TTTGACTCTTTATCTATTCATTGCAAGCGCCATTCCTCAAGTCTGTGAGTCCATTATCCCAAGTCTTCGAACCTTAACAACGGCTATACTGGTGCTCAGACTTTAGATGCAGACTCATAAAGACCGGATCATGCTCATCATTCAAAAGGTAGCCTCTATGCTACAATTTGATCCTGTCTTATCTCGTGTAGTTCAAATCGATAAGGCGACAAGGCATCAAGACCCGCAGTTTCGGAGATAATTCGGGCACGAGGCGGTGTACAAAGCGGTAGATCCTCAAATGTCTGGCAGTAATACATAAGGACCAGCCCAGGGATCGCCATATCAATCACACACCATCCACCCTGTGCTGCTAAGTCTCAGCGGTGACGCCTTAGTACCAGCAGTGTCGCATTAGAGTAGGTTGTTTAACCTGGAATTCTTGCCTCCTGCTTCTGGAGCTTTCCGCAAGAAAGCTGCACTTGCTGTCTCTGGGAGTCGCAATTGCTTGCGCGGGAATACAAAGGACGGAGCTCTATACGCCCACGGTCCCGCTCCAGAACGGCTACATACCATTCACTGTATGCAGGTGATTCATCTGAACCAGCATCACCCGAGATTTTCTGCGGCATTTGCTGCTTTTTCGTCTCAGCATCTTCTTCAGAAGCCGTGCATGTTTGGACACAGTCATTGATTCACGACACATTGTCATGAACCTCTAAGCACAAGCTTTCAACTCCGTTGAAAAGGGGTGTGTTTCGTGATCTTCGAAACACCAAAATGGAGGAAGAAGAGAAGCCCGTCATGGGAGAGGCCCGCAAGCTGCCCACCATGCCCTCTCATGCGTCTCTCACGCATCCCCCTCCTTCTTCCTCTGCCCATCTACACAACCGAGGAGATCCTACTCTCGCTCCTCCATTCATTCCCCCATCCGCATCGAAGTCTTTATCTCCAGGTTCTGAGCCTTTCCCATCTCACCATTCTAGCGGCCAGTTAGGAGAAGCTTCAGAGGGACACTTAAAGCCAAGTGACTCTGAGAGCAATTCAGCTTCCCAACACGCAAAGCGCGATAGTCTTGTCGAACTTAACTCTGACTGGTCTGATGAAGAAGTCATGCCCCGATCTGGTCTTCCCGTGGGGTCGCTAGCGACTGGTCTTTGCTACGATGAGCGCATGCGGTTCCACTGCGAAGTCCGTCCCACCTCGGACGTGCATCCGGAGGATCCACGTCGGATCTGGTACATCTACAAGGAGCTATGCCGTGCTGGCCTTGTTGATGACCCGATGTCGACGCGACCGCTGGCTCCGAAAACCCTGCAGAGGATCAACGCGGTCAAGGCTACCCAAGAGCAGATTACCATGATTCACACTGAAGCTCACTACGCGTTTGTCAAGAGCACTCAAGGTGTGTCAAGCCGGCCTGGTGTTCTCGATCCAATCACTGACTAGATGCCAGCGATGGATGATGATACTTTGGTGGACCTGGAGAAGCAGAAAGATTCTATCTACTTCAATGACCTGACTTTTGCGTCTTCGATTTTGTCTGTAGGAGGTGCCATTGAGACTTGTCTGGCGGTTGCGCGGCGCAAAGTCAAGAACGCCATTGCCGTTATTCGTCCGCCAGGCCATCACGCCGAAGACAACGAGGCGATGGGCTTCTGTCTATTCAATAATGTCTCCGTTGCAGCGCGCGTCTGTCAGAAGGAACTCGGTGAGAAGTGCCGTAAGATCATGATACTGGACTGGTGAGTGCAAATTGAGCGCTTCTTTCTTGAATCACAGTACTGATTCGATCATCAGGGATGTCCATCACGGTATGTGAGAATCGACCAAATATCGACTGAGGAACTAACACGCTCACATGATTACAGGAAATGGAATCCAGCAAGCGTTCTATGATGACCCGAACATTCTGTACGTCTCTATTCACGTTCACCAGAACGGCAAATTTTACCCTGGTGGCCCCGCGGGAGATTGGGACCATTGCGGTGAGGGCCCAGGTCTTGGAAGGTAATTTCCAGATGCACTACTCAGGAGAGACAGATTCTGAAGAGAAAGTATACTTACATCCGACTGAAGGAATATCAACATTCCCTGGCCTGATCAAGGAATGGGTGACGGTGATTACATGTGGGCTTTCCAGAAAGTTGTGATGCCCATTGCTACCGAGTTCAACCCGGACCTGGTGATCAGTAAGTCTTGATGTTCCTTGATATTGGTCTCTCTCTAACCTCGGAGCAGTTTCGGCCGGGTTCGACGCTGCCGCCGGCGATGTCCTTGGTGGCTGCTTTGTCTCCCCGCCTTGTTACGCCCAGATGACTCACATGCTCATGACCCTTGCTGATGGCAAGATTGCTGTCTGCTTGGAAGGAGGATACAACTTCCGTTCCATCTCCAAATCTGCCCTAGCGGTGACCAAGACCCTCATGGGTGAGCCGCCGGATCGTCTGATGAACACTATTCCCACAGAGGCTGCCAAGGCCACCGTCGGTCGCGTCATGAGCATTCAAGCTCAATATTGGAGTTGCATGTTTCCGAAGCCACCAATCAATCCTGTTTGGGCAAATCGACTTCACGGTATGTTTGCTCCCCCGCCAGCCCACGAACAGACATTGACAACAGTGTCAGACGTCCTTCGTGACTATCAGTCCAAGCAACTTTACGAGGACCTCAAACTCACCCCCTTGTGGATTTATCGCACTGCCATCTCCAAGTCATTCAGTAATCAGGTCCTATCAAGGTCAGTGCCGGAAGAAATACTCGAAGAATGACGATGAGGCTTACCATTCACTCCAGCAACAACACTCATAAACCAGTTCCCCTTATTGTCATTTTTCACGATCCGTAAGTGTGATGCGAAAACAAAGTTGGCCAGTCTGACTGTCTCTAGCCCCGAGATTATGGGACATCCCGACCCGGTGACTAACCGAATGGATGCTCACAACACCTGGATGGTAAGTCGACTGAAGGAGCCCAGTTGATAGCAATGTGCTAATTGGAAAAGGCGGACGGCGAGAGGGACTACCTTGAATGGATCGTCAAGAAGGGATATGCTGTAATCGACGTCAACGTCCCAAAATACATCACTCGGGAGCCGGTAAGAGTCACCAACTAATATTTTCTGCACAGATTGTCTAATCACAGATACAATCAGTCCACCGGCAGATATGAGGACGAGGATGAAAATCGTTCCTCTGCAACCGAAGAGTTGGCGAGCTATCTCTGGGACAACTACATCGAGTACGCAGGCGAAAATGTCCGACATGTGATTGGATACGCACCTAACATCATTCAACAGGTCCACGGAAGTTACCGAGATCTTTTTCCTGGGGATCGGCAATGCTTTCTATGGGGTAGCCAACCTGCTTATCAACCGAGGTGCATCTTATAAGACATAAAGCCCGGAGAAGTCGCTGACTGGAAGTAGAAAACCTTTACAAACGCGTCAACGGAGTTGTGTCATTTGTGGCTGAAAATCCAGTTCGTGCGATTGCTTCTCCCACTCAGACGTGGTTGTCCAAGTGGTATCGCGAGGTAGGAACATCTGAGGATTGGGGTCACCTTTCTCTCACTCCCATGCTCACCATATTTCTAGAACTCTCTTGTCTTTGTCTCAGAGACGCACGGAGTCTGGGGCAACCCGGACCGCAAACCATCCAAGCGCTACGGAACACTGATCAAGTCCCCGGAGACGCAGCTTAGCGAGATGCTTGCTCGGCACAAAGAAGAAGTATTCGAATGGATTTCCGAACGTGCCGACGATGAGTCCGAGGAGGAAGGCGAGGATGCCGATCAGGATGCAGAGATGAAGGACCAATGAAGCTGCTTCAGTGACAGCCCTAGCCTGGATGAAGTTCTTGATACTGCTCTACAGTATCTTCTCCATAAGACCTCTGTGGTGCCATCCAACGCGATAGTTTATGCTGAGTTCGTGCATCAGCATGAGTCTACTGATCCGTTTCGATCTATCACTCCGACGACGCTTCACCGAACAAGTTATCAAGCGTCTCTGGCCGAGGGTCTCCCGCAGAATCAACTTAGAATAGTGCGGCACTCTACCCTTTAGCCTTGGTAAGCGAGACGATCTACTGCCGGACTAAGAAGGTATCTCAACATTCTTGAAGAGGGTGGCTATGCCCTGTTGTTTTGGGGGAGGCGGAACTTAGGTCAAGAGGGGTTGGACTGAAGTATTGTACATGTGCAACAAGTCCTTTCGCAAGTTCGTTCAATTTTCAGGAAGCGCTAGAAAGGGACTTTGAGAGCGGATGCATCAGACAGTAGTGTAGGCTTCAGCCTTTGGGCCTTTTGACGGGGATTGGGACCCTGTGCGCCACGGAGCTGCAACTCCTGGCGAAACGACGACCAAGTAAATACGAGAATGAGGCGACAGACTTGATTTCTCGTGCCGGAAGTAGAACCTCACCAACCACATCATCACATCTTGGGCGGTGATGAGAGAAGAGCCAGTGAGCTGACTCCAAGACTTTTCCCGAGATGCACGAACTAATGTAATGCACCCGGTGTCTTGGATGTCACTAATCCCATGTCTCAGACGTTTACCCCAGATTTGAAGTCAGGGTCCATCTCCACTCTTGGCAGCCCAGAGACACATTTGCACACGGAGAGGACGGACATCAGGTCGGAGCGCTCTGAGACATACGAGTTCATCGTGACTTCGTTCGTGGACCTTCCAACCTATGATTACATGGCTCTCCAACGTCCATGCGGGGCGCTGGAACTATCTGTTGGTCGGCCAGGGCTAACGTGCCATTGTTTCCTGCGCTCCGCCCACGTTGTCTCGGATATGGCAGGCGAATGCAAATGGCCCGATTCTGACGTCGAAGCTATTCCGCGATGAAGAGACATGAGACGGAAGGTCTGAGTGCCGACACTGCATTTTGACTCAAGTGCCCGGCAAGAAAACTATATAAACCCGGGGATGTCTTCACCTTGAAATATCCATCAACAGTCTCAAGCTTCCCATCTACAAATATTCATCTGACCACCAAACTTCGAACACAATGCGTTTCACTGCCGCTCTCATCGCCTTAGTCGCCGCCCTGGCTCCACTGACCAGCGCTGTTGGCAACGCCGCCGTTGTGAACCACTGCGACTTCCCTGTCTACCTATGGTCTGTTGGTGGCTCCGTTGGCCCCAAGGTCACCATCGCACCCAAGGGTATGTACAAGGAGCCACTGCACCATGATCCCGCCTCCGGTGGCATCGCGTTGAAGGTGACCACCCACGCGAATGGCCTCTATGACGGCAGTGCACAAACCAACTTTGCCTATACGCTCGACGGCAACACCGTGTGGTACGACATGTCCGACGTCTTTGGCGATGCATTCTCCGGCCACACATTGAATGTTCTACCCTCCGACCCTACCTGCCGCCGCATCTGCTGGAGTAGTGGTGTCGCTCCAAGTGGTAGCCAGGTCAAGGATTGCCAGGCCAACTCGGATATCACTCTGAACCTGTGCGCCGCCGCCAAGTGCTAAAGGCTCTGTCAGGACCGAAGGTATTAATGATAGGGTTGTGGACTGGGGCGCAGTGAGATGATGCTTCAAGAATGAACACTGCGTGGGGTCCAAAGGAGTCTCGAGATCGGTCGTGGAACAATTGAATAAGCGTTGGCTGTTGGACATAGTTGAAGAGTAATGAATACATATGTTAGAATTTGCTTCGGGGTCCATACTTTGTTTCTTTGGTCTGGATAACCTTCTAGAACACTAAACGTGGACCAATGCATTTTGTTTGGGAAGTACGGGGTTAGGTATGTTCCAACCTCGGAATCGAAGAATATTTAAGTTATACGCAAGGATGAACACTGTAATTCCCGCCTGACCATATTTGCTGGGGAAAGAGCCTCATCACAGCACCGAGGTCTGAAAATGCTCCGATAAATACGCTTAGTCAGGACATTTATCGTTTGGGTTCGCCCCGCCTCCGTTCGCTTTACAATCGTCGATTGACGCTCATCATTCATCTCCATCGATATCCCATTGCCTGCATATAAATTCTCGGGCGTGATTCTGGTGCATTGGCCACATCAGACACACCGCTTCCTTCCCCCGACCCCTACCTTGATGCTCCCAAGGTCCTCTATCGCACGCCCGTGGTTGTGGTACAGAGGCCTGAGTTACAATCCAACCGCTCCATATTTGCTGTCACGAACCTCGCTGACTCGCTCGATTCGGCTCTCGTTTTCGAATTTTACATCTGAGCTCCCCTGGGTCCGCGTGTTCTCTTCCACCCACCCGTCCCCTGCCACACCTTCCACCATGACTCAAATTGAGCGCCTCACAGAAAGACTGGAAAAGCCGGAGCTCGATGATCGATCTTACCGAGTCATTCGCTTGCCTAACAAGCTTGAGGCTCTTCTGGTGCACGACCCTGACACTGACAAGGCTAGCGCCGCCGTCAATGTCAATGTGGGCAACTTCTCCGACGAGGATGATATGCCAGGGATGGCACATGCGGTAGAGCACTTGCTGTTTATGGGTACGAAAAAGGTACGTTCTTTGGTCCGAGCTAGAGAGCGGAGAATGGAGGGCAATGCTGACATACATCCTGGCACTGCATAGTACCCCAAGGAGAACGACTACAACCAATACCTAGCCGCCCATTCCGGCTCTTCCAATGCATACACTGCTGCTACTGAAACGAACTACTTCTTTGAAGTCTCAGCCACTGGCGATTCGAGTGCCCCCAAATCCACTGGCCAAAACACACCCACTGAATCCACAAATGGGACGAATGGAGTCGTCAGTGACGTTTCATCCAGCAGTGCTGAAGAGTTTGATGGCAAATCACCTTTATATGGCGCTCTGGATCGGTTCGCTCAGTTTTTTGTTTCACCTCTCTTCTTGGAGTCGACATTGGAACGTGAGCTGAGGGCGGTGGATTCAGAGAACAAGAAGAATCTCCAGAGCGATCTGTGGCGACTGATGCAGCTGAACAAGTCCCTTTCAAATCCTAAGCATCCTTACCATCACTTTTCAACTGGTAACTTGCAGACACTGAAGGAAGACCCCCAAAAAAGGGGACTGGAGGTGCGCAGTGAGTTCATACGGTTTTATGAGAAGCACTACTCTGCGAACCGGGCCAAGCTGGTAGTTCTGGGCAGAGAGTCTTTGGACACGCTGGAGCAATGGGTTGAGGAGTTATTTGCAGATGTCGAGAACAAGGACCTGGCCCAGAATCGCTGGGATGATGTGCAGCCCTTTTCTGAGGAGGACATGTGCACCCAGGTGTTTGCGAAGCCGGTCATGGACTCCCGCTCCATGGATATGTATTTCCCATTCATTGATGAAGAGAACTTGAACGACGTTCAGCCCAGCCGATATATCAGCCACTTGATTGGCCACGAAGGACCCGGCAGTGTTCTTTCCTACTTGAAAGGTAAGGGCTGGGCCAATGGTCTCTCAGCCGGTGCTATGCCAATCTGCCCTGGCTCTGCATTCTTCACCGTTTCGGTTCGTCTGACCCCCGAGGGTCTCAATCAATACCAGGAGGTTGCCAAGGTGATCTTCGAGTACATTGCCATGATCAAGGAGCGCGAGCCAGAGCAGTGGATCTTCGACGAGATGAAAAACCTGGCTGAAGTCGATTTTCGCTTCAAGCAGAAGACACCGGCTAGCCGTTTTACCAGCCGTCTCAGCAGTGTGATGCAGAAATCGATGCCTCGTGAGTGGCTTCTCAGTGGATCGCTCTTGCGCCGCTTTGATCCCGCGTTGATCAAGAAGGCCATGTCATATCTCCGCACTGACAACTTCCGACTTATCATCGTATCTCAGACCCTCCCTGGAACCTGGGACCAGAAGGAGAAGTGGTACGGTACTGAATACAAGTTAGAGAAGATTCCTCCGGACTTCTTGAACAAAATCCAGAAGGCCTTGGAGTCGACCGAGGCGACTCGTACTTCCAACGTGCATATGCCGCACCGAAACGAGTTTGTTCCCACAAGATTGTCCGTGGAGAAGAAAGAAATTGAGGAGCCGGCGAAAACCCCCAAGCTGATCCGCCACGATGACCGTGTGCGCCTATGGTTCAAGAAGGATGACCGCTTCTGGGTTCCCAAGGCGACTATCAACATAACTCTGCGTAACCCCTTGGTGTGGGCGACACCGGCGAACCTCATCAAGACCAAACTATACTGCGAGTTGGTCCGGGATTCCCTCGATGAGTACTCTTACGATGCAGAGCTTGCGGGTCTGGATTACCATCTTGCAGCGAACATTCTGGGTCTGGATATCTCCGTTGATGGATACAACGACAAGATGTCTGTTCTGCTGGAGAAGTTGCTCACCACTATGCGTAACCTGTCCATCAACCAGGAACGGTTCCACATCATTAAGGAGCGCCTGACCCGCGCCTTCCGTAATGCTGAGTATTCGCAGCCTTTCTACCAGGTCGGTGACTATACTCGTTACCTGCTGGCCGAGCGCAGTTGGGTGAATGAGCAGTACATTGAGGAGTTGGAGCACATCCAGGCCGACGATGTGTCCACCTTCTTCCCTCAGCTGCTGGAGCAGACCCACATCGAGGTCCTTGCCCACGGCAACCTGTACAAAGAAGATGCTCTGCGCATGACTGACTCTGTGGAGAAGACCCTCCAGGGTCGAGCCCTGCCTCCATCGCAGTGGTACCTGAGACGTAACATGATGATTCCTCCGGGAAGCAACTTTGTTTACCCCCGAACTCTCCGGGACCCTGCTAATGTCAATCACTGTATTGAGTACTATCTCTTTATCGGGGTCTTCTCGGATGCCACCCTGCGTGCTAAGCTTCAGCTCTTCTCTCAGATGACGGACGAGCCTGCATTTGACCAGTTGCGCAGCAAAGAGCAGCTTGGATACGTCGTGTGGAGTGGCTCCCGTTACAATGCGACCACCATGGGCTATCGTGTGATCATTCAGAGTGAGCGGAACGCCAAGTACCTTGAGTCTCGCATTGAGTCGTTCTTGGGTACATTCGGAACTACCCTTGAGAACATGCCCGAGGAAGAGTTCGAGGGTCACAAGCGCAGCGTTATCAACAAGCGTCTAGAGAAGCTGAAGAACCTGGGCTCGGAGACTGGTCGTTATTGGTCTCACGTCGGCTCGGAGTACTTTGACTTCTTGCAGCACGAGACTGACGCGGCCAATGTGCGCACCTTGTCCAAGGCTGATCTGGTGGCTTTTTATCGTCAATACATTGATCCCGCCTCTAAGATGCGAGCCAAGCTGGCGATTCACCTGAACGCGCAGTCTGGTACTCGGGCAGCTGAGAGCGACAGCTCGGACGAGAAGCGCGCCCGTCTGGTCGAGATCGTCGATAAGCAGCTTTCGGCCGCTGGTTTCACTTCGGACCAAACCCAGCTACAGACGGCATTCAAAGAACTGGACCTGACCGTGATAGATCACTCACAGATCGTGTACATGGTCAAGACCTACATGGCCGGAGATCTTAGCCTGTCCCCGGCCCAAATCGATCCTGTGATTGAGAAACTGGAGAGCACCTTAGGCCTACAGCTCAAGCAGCTCGGTCTAGTGGTGGAGAAGGATGAGCCGACCAATGGTACTGTGGTTGGCCCAGAGCCCGTCGTCATCACGGACGTATCTGTTTTCAAAGCCCGTCTGCCTGTCAGCACTGGGCCTGTTGCGGTGCCTGATATCACCGAGTTTGAGGACTTCGATGCAAAGCTGTGAGAGTATATTTGCTGTTTTGCAGGGTTGGTGCAATGGAGCATGACGGTCGGGGTAGACGGACATGAAACTCACAAGGGGCCAAACCTAGTATCTAATTGATTGCATAAAGTCAAATGAAACGATCGAGTAACCGAAGTGAATCGTGAATCGCTTTCCATTGGAGCCCATCGTATTGTTTCAAGACCGTAGGATTGGGTGCCTGAGGCGCCAAACAGGTGCGTCTTATCTAATGCCGATAACAAGCTTGTCCTTGTCGCCATCTCAGTTCGCGCCCTTCTTGACCACCGCAATTCCGAATCAACAATGGCTACCACTACTGCTACGGCAGTCCAGAGTAGTCGCCCGTGAGTATCATAAACCTTATTTTCGATCGCTTGAAGCAGGACTTTCACTAACAAAGGCCAATTCCAGTCCGATTCTCCCCAAGGACTTCTCCGCCCAGCAGCCGGAGACCATTCGCCTATACCCTCTGTCGAATTACACATTCGGCACAAAAGAAACACAACCGGAGGAGGATCCGTCTGTTCTTGCGCGCCTCAAGCGATTGGAGGAGCACTATGACCTCCATGGCATGCGGCGCACTTGTGAGGGTATCCTGGTCTGTCACGAACACAACCACCCGCACGTCTTGATGCTGCAGATCGCCAACGCCTTTTTCAAACTGTACGCCCGACTCTTCGATAGAAAGAGGTACATGATACACCGCTAACGAATGCTCAGGCCTGGCGATTATCTGCACCACGAGGACGAGGAAATCAATGGCTTCAAGAAGCGATTGAATGAGCGCCTAGCCCCCGTGGGCTCACAGTTCTCTGGAGAAGGTGTGAATGAGGACTGGGAGATTGGTGACACTCTGGCTCAATGGTGGCGACCGAACTTTGAGACCTTCATGTACCCGTTCCTGCCTGGGCACGTCACACGACCTAAGGAGTGCAAGAAGCTCTACTTCATCCAACTGCCCAAGAAGAGTAAGTGGCCCCCATGGTTCCAAGCTCTTCAACTAGAATTTGCTAAATTTGGCTTCCAGAGGTCCTCTCAGTCCCTAAGAACATGAAGCTTTTGGCCGTACCGCTGTTCGAACTATACGACAACACCGCCCGCTATGGCCCCCAGCTTTCAGCCATCCCTCACTTGCTTTCGCGATACAACTTCGAATTCGTGGATGAGAATGACAATGTCGTTGCCGTGACCCCTGGCACACCTCTGGCAGAGAACCAGATCCCGCGCACCAAGGTCCTGGCTGGTGATGACGGGCAGGACACCGGAATGACGGACATTGGAGACGGGGAGCGAGAGGGATAGTCAAAAGCAGGAAGTAGAAAGAAACATAATGTCACCCATTCATGAGCGTACACCCATTCTGCTTCAATTGTTCAAATGCCTGCCTTTTATGTCCTGGTTTGTTGAAAGTATAGGAACCTCCCAGACTTACAAACCCATGCGCATGCTTGTGATATATACCAAAATTGGAAGGAACGCCGAGGAGATAGCTGCACATGTTAACTTGAACAGGAAAGTCAATCTATACTTCTTCCTTTGTTGTTTGAAGGGATGGGATCTAAGGCCAAGGTAGGGGGATATAATGTCACGAACATCTGTATTTCCATTTCCACATACCCCGATCAGTACTGCTCAATGATGCACTAGGTACGCGAATAAGACATGTTGTCCGCTTGAATGCATTGGCCTCGAGAAGAAATTCTATCAAGGCTAGGAGCTGCTTACTCTGTTGACGCATGATTGCTTTCACAGAGGCCGAGAGTAGCTTGGTGCATATTTGGGTTCCGCTCTCTGGAAGGTCGGATATACCGTCGGTCAACAACTTGATCAATCATAATTGCCGAATGTTGCACCTGGGCACTACGGGTTGATACCTGGCACTCAATACGCACTCAATGCGCCCCCCTGTCCACATGTCCTATGTCCATGAACCTGCTAGCTAGCTATATGTTCGATGTAGGACATGGAAAATACTCTGCTTGTTGGCAATTAACCGAGGGTAGCACTTCTTCGGATGTCTTCATCCTATCTCTGACCCTGGTAGTCTCCACGTTGTATTTAGATTGTCCACGGGGACTGCTTGACCCAGTCTCAAGCAGTCCTTCGTTATGCGCAGTATGGACTCGGCTTCTTTAGGCTTACTCTGCCGGGTTGAAAGCAATCCTTTCGGAGTTGACACCCTTCAGAGTACTGCTAGGATTGAAGTAGAAACATCTCCTTCAATCTGACGCGCACCCGTACCTGGGGTGCCCGTGGACCCGTGATATTATTAGGATTTATTGTCAAGTGGGAGTAAGCTACCTTCGGGAGTGCGACGGAGACCTCGGAGACTCTTTACTAAAACAGAAGTAAAGCCACTTCACGAAAACATGGACTGCGATGTGCCGCGGGCCCAGTTCGAAGAATATCATGGCAGCCAATGGCTATACACATCTCTGCGGGGTATCAGCGAGCAACATCCGGGGAAGGTTTGACGGCTGATTCGAAGCTTTCCTGCACAGACGGGAAATTCTAGCAGTTCCGTTTTCCAGTTACTCATGGTGCCCGTTCTCAGGGTCTGCGATGATGTTCCCCTCTAGTCAATGATCGACTCGCCAAACACCGAAAGAGGACCTGCTGAGGAAAAGAGGATAATTACCCAGAAGGCACATTCCTCGTGGTCAAACGCCTCCAAAAGCCCACATGCCCCGCCCCTAGCTACAAGTCTGACTGGTTGCATTCGTTCTAGTGTGAAGAACCGAGGAATGCCGATCCTTGGGTATCCCCACCACTCGGGCGAAGGATCCGCCCTCAGGAACGGACAACGAGCCTATTTAAGAACCTTCGCCAAGTTGGGATATGGCTGCTGTGAATTTCCCCGGCTATACCCCGCCCCAAGACATCGTGGTCTCGTGGTCTCGTCTAGATTATTTTCTATATCGCAAATGTCGCAAGAATGAGTATATAATGGAAGGATGGCACCATGAAAGGGCAGCAGACTTCCCAGGACCAGAGTCGGGCACTAAGCACCAGAGTATATTGATTCACTCATTTTTTTTCTTTCTTTTTTTTTATTTTTTCTAAGCCCTTCAAGCTGTCTTAGAGATGTATCTCGGTCAACTCTGGCATTTGGTGGCAGCAGCAGCAGCGGTTGCCGTGGCTGCCCCTGCTCGTCCGGTACCTCGGGGTAAGAATGGACTGGATCTCATATCTACCTTGACAGTCCAAGCTGACCCGAGTCGCAGATGTTTCGGCCAATGTCCTGGAGCAGTTCACCCTCTACGCCCAGTGGGCGGCTGCCGCATACTGTTCCAACAATCTCGACTCTACAGGAGATGCGATTACCTGCGCCGGAGGGTATTGTCCGGAGGTGGAATCTTCCAAGACCATCTCGCTATCCGAGTTCAATGAGTAGGCTGGTTCAATCTCATTCTCTAGAAGTGGAGGGCTAATGTCTCAGTACGAACGACTTCGGCGACACTGCTGGATTCGTGGCCGTCGACGAAACAAACAAACAGATCGTGGTCGCTTTCCGGGGCAGCAAGTCTATCAGCAACTGGATTGCTGACCTGGACTTTGATCTGACCGATGCCAGTAACCTGTGTACTGGCTGTGAAGCGCACTCAGGGTTCCTGATGGCGTGGGAGGCCGTGGCTGACTCGATCACATCCCAAGTCAGCTTGGCCATGCATACCTACTCGGGGTATACACTGGTTGTGACGGGCCACAGCCTCGGAGGTGCCATAGCAGCCATAGGGGCCACTGTACTACGTAATGCTGGATATGTTCTCGACCTGGTAAGTGTTGTCTCGCGGTTGTCCTTTTCGGAACGGCTCTAACGCCATCACAGTACACCTTTGGCCAGCCACGCGTGGGCAATTTGGCGCTGGCCACCTTTTTGACTGAGCAGGGAAATAATCGGATGACGCATCTCAATGATATTGTGCCTGAGACTGCCTCCTACTACCTTCGGTTTTTCTCATTCAAGTCCCGAATACTGGATTACCTCTGGGGACGACGTGACCGTGACCACATCCGACATTGAGGTCATTGAAGGCATAGACTCGACAGCCGGCAATGCGGGCGAGCTCATCGAAAGTGTTGCCGCTCATGCCTGGTATATTATTGATATCGATGGGTGCCAGTAGAAGACGAAGCAGTTATGAGCTATGATGAATCGGAAGAATCCAAAAGCATGTCCTGCATGTCCTGAAAAGCCACGATGTAGTATATTATTCGATCCTGGCTGCGTCCAGAAAAGGTAGAAGCCAAGGGAACTTGAGCAAACATATCTTCAAACCAGAGTTGGGCTGGATGGTAGAGTTCAAGTCTTGGATTATGTTGACAAGCGGATGTTATTGGGGTAAGACCCACCGATCGCCTGTGGCTGGAGCTTTTCGGTGGCGGGGACAACTTTAACACGTAGAGACCCTCGCATTCTCGGTTTCAGACCCATCAAGCTCGCTAGCTTTAATCAGGCTAGGGCTGCCTTCGTCGCGCATACCAGGATTCTCCGCCATATCGAGCCCAGGAGTCCGCCTTGACAACTCCCCACAACTAATCAACGCGCCAATCTGCCAACGCGCCATGTTCTGACACCCTAATGCTCTAGTCCCTCTTACACCATGCTATTCGCCCCGAGCGGACCGCAGAGTCCTCGCCGTCGCAATCGCATCAAGTCCATTCTCCTCACAATATTTCTCGTCCTGGCCATTTACTTCGTCTTCTTCGCGCACCCCGAACCGTCCCAGAAACCCTCTACCAAAACCGATTATGCGCAGCTGCACAAAGCAACTCCCACCCCCAAAGCGGATGAGCAGGCTCGTCCAGTGATTCGAAGACGCAAGGAAATGGTCGTGGCTAGCATGAAGAGCGATGATACTTCGTGGTTCGCCGAGTACTTCCCAGACTGGTCCCGGAGCATCTACGTGGTGGACGACAAAACAGCCCCATTGACAGTGCCACATAACAAGGGGCGCGAGTCAATGGTATACTTGACGTGCGTCTACAAAGTGGCACAATCTACCGTGCGAGGCTAATGCGACCATACATACAGCTACATCATTGACAACTATGACTCCCTCCCAGACGTCATGCTCTTTTTACACTCCCAACGCTTCCAATGGCACAACGACGACCCATATTACGACGGTGTAGCCATGCTACGAAACCTGCAGGTCCCATACATAGAGAAAAATGGTTACGTGAATCTGCGCTGCGTCTGGACGCTCGGATGTCCAGTCGAGATCCACCCTCTCAGCGACGGACACCGTGACGACGTGCATGCTGGCGAGTACTTCTTGAATGCATTCAAGGAACTTTTCCCCTCATACCCAGTCCCAGAGGAGATCGGTACCAGCTGCTGTGCACAGCTTGGAGTAAATCGCACTGTTGTTCTTTCAAGACCCAAGAGCGACTATGAACACTTCAGAAACTGGCTTGCGGCGACTACTTTGACAGATGATTTGAGTGGACGAATTATGGAATATTCGTGGCATAGTAAGCGTTTCGCGCGTGCTAAGATAGAGTTGATACTAATGATTTATAGTTATATTCGGACAAGGAGCAGTGCATTGTCCTTCTGCGGAAGCCTGTTACTGTAATTTGTACGGTCTTTGCGACTTGGAGTGCTCAGAAGGCTCCTGCGCCGGTCGCTATGTATTGCCGCCCTTCTCTTCCCTGCCCAAGGGTTGGCCATACGTTGGATGGAAGGGTCAGGCCCAGAACCCGAGTGAGGGTCTGCCAGAGTCGTGAAACAAGTGGGATGCGAGGGCCAACAACTGAACATGATTTACGGAATGCTATTATCGTGAAGAGGAGGGTCTGCCTGGTCTGGGATCCTCAAAAGGCCGAGCTACGGAATATTACCTGGTAGAGCCCAGGAATCGCGTAGGGCTTACTGCGCCGGCTCTTTTGAGCCCACAACCTCACAAGCGCCGGCCGATTGAGGCCATGAAAGGAAATGGGAAAAACTGAGAGTCTAGATTATGTCGCGGCCAGTCCCTAGGTGACCTTGGAATAGCGTAAGCAAATCTACATCCAATGTTGGAAAGTGGTTTTCCCCACGCGGAACCCGGGGGGAGCCGAGGTCTCCGCATTCATCGAGTACTCAGACACTACTTCTATTTCTACTTCTACTCTTCTCCTTCCACCTCTACTTCCACGTCCGTTTCCATAAATCTTTATACCTCCAAAATGCTCATCATCGGGCTCACGGGCTCCATAGCCACAGGCAAATCGACAGTCTCCTCCATCCTATCGTCCGCACCTTATTCCCTTCCCATCATCGACGCCGACGTCCTCGCCCGTAAGGTCGTTGAACCAGGTACGGCCGGCTACAAAGCGATCGTCAACTACTTCGGCCCCAGCACACCCGACCTACTCCTCGAGGACTCCACAAATCCCAAGGGCAAACCACTCAACCGGCCAGCGCTGGGCCGACGTGTCTTCGGCGACACCGATGAGCGCAAGCGCGACCGCCAGGTGCTGAATGGGATAATCCACCCGGCCGTACGATGGGAGGTATACAAATCACTGATCTACTATTATGTGCGCGGTCAATGGGCTATTGTCCTGAGACGTTCCACTGCTGTTCGAGAGCGGAATGGACCTGATCTGCGGGACGGTCATCGTGGTGGGGGTGCACGATCCAGCAGTACAGATGGCACGATTACGTGCGCGCGATGCTCACCTCACAGCTGAGGATGCAGAGAACAGAGTCCGCAGTCAGGGTGATATTCGGACAAAGGCGGCCCAGGCAGAGTTTCGAGGTACGACGACTTCGCGCGGAGTGGTGGTCTGGAATGATTCAGACAAAGCAGAGCTGGAGCGTGCAGTGAAGGGGGCTATGGCCACTATTGAGGCTTCGAGTCCGCGATGGTGGGCGTGGACGCTATTGGCGGCGCCGCCGGTGGGCTTTGGGATTGCCGCGTGGAATCTGATTGTCAACTTTGCGACTCAGAAAGGCTGGGAGAAGAAAAAGCAGCAGGAAAAAGCGCGGTTATAATTTACGCGTGAGCTCTACTTAATACCCTTTGATTTGAATGTACATTGTGCCTGCACCGTGATGGATGAGGGGAAAGATTTGCCCAAAGTTTCCTTGGGTCTTATAGAGGATCTACTCCTAGAAGGAGGAAGGAATTTTGCAGACAAGATGATAGTTCTATACTAAACGCCAATGCGAAACTTCCGGGGTATCTGCAGATTCATGAAACAACGTCACCAGAACTAAGCTCAACCGCTCTTGCGCTTCTTCTTATTCTTTGTTTTCTTTTCTGACGAAGGTCTTCCCATTTGGGGTTGGCGCCCACCTCCACCGGAGATACTTGTCAGCTCGGACAACTTGAAGTTGTGGGTATTGTTTCTTTTCAATGCTCTGGCTTGAGCATTAGCCCTCAGCTTTTCCATGAAGGCGTCCATCTGGTCAGAGTCTTCAGGATCGATCTGTTTCAGTTCCTCCTTCTCCTCATCATTCATTTCTTCATCATCTTCTCCTGTGTAGGCCTGGAAAATGTCAGAATAGTGGCATATTGGCGGTTCAGTAGAACTCACGTATTTCGGCTTGCGCTTGAAATTGCCGAATGACCTCCGACCTCCACGCGGAGTGTCACCTTCAGTATCTAATGAGTCGGCTGCCACGACCATGGGCTGTGAAGGATAAGAGGCAGTGGGAATGTCTAGCACCCATTCAGTCTCGCCCGCCTCGGCGGCCTGTCGTGCAGCAGCAGCTCGGCGCTTGTCCTCCTCTGCTTTCAAAGCTGCATTGATCGCATCGAGTTCTGCCTGTGGTGTTCCCGGTGTCCCCGGGCTCTGGGCCTCGGTTGACAGTCTGGCGCGCTTCGGAGTAGGCGGGCCATTCTCGGATCCTGACTGAGATTCTTTGGCAACTGCCGTCGCCGCAGCGCGTTGCATGAACTGTAGAGGGTTAGTCCCAAGGTTTCATCACATCGTTGGTCCACATTCACCTTCATTGTGAGCAGACGTGACGACATGGTCTTTTCAGGCTTCGCGCCTGCCGGAGAGGACGACATGATGTGCAAGGAGTGTACAACAAATTGTTGCTGAGTTTCAAAGTCGAAGAAAATGGCGGCAGAAAAAGGCGATGATCGGGTAGGCGGTGAACATAGCGGGCCAGCCAATTACAGTTGCATTATTCAGAGCCCTGCACCTCTCCCGATCTTCTCTCCAGACCTCATCCTGTCCACCACAATCCTTTCACGGGACTCAATCTGCCCAGCATGATGTCCTGCCGCCGTCTGACGAGCCTGGCGTCGGTTCGCCCGCGCTTCACCGTCCGCAACTTCTCCTCGGCCGTCCCTCGCCTGTCCGAGAACCGCATGCAGGCCAACGACCCCAACCCGCCCGTCGTCAAACCGAACGTCTCGGAGACCAATGCTGAGCCCACCGACTCTTTCGGCCGCTGGGATGCCACGCTGCAGGAGGACCCCGCCGTGGCAGAGAAGATCCGCAGTATGCAGGCCCCGAACCGGGCGTCCACCTGGGCCGCCAGCCAGCAGCCGCGCCACGAGGCAATGGTTGGACCTCGTTTCGAGCAGACCATCATGGAGGCTCAGGTGCGTTGATCAAGTTTTCAAATTGGAGTCGAATGGGGCTGGGTCGCAAAGCGGGGAAGAAAGCAATAGACTAACTCTGAATTCTTAGCCGCGCCCGATGGCCGCCATCGAGCTCATTCACAAGCAACACGTGCGATGGACAAAGTCCAAGGTCGTCAGCTGTGACGGCGGCGGTGGTCCCCTCGGCCACCCTAAGGTCTTTATCAACACCGACAAGCCCGAGATTGCGACCTGCGGATACTGCGGAGTTCCCTTCGTACGTATACTTCCTCTAACAACCGAGTCTACCTTTGACTAACTCCTCTTTCCAGGCTCACGAACAGCACCGCGTCTACCTCCAGTCTCTGCCCGAGACCAGCTACCCCCCTCGAGCCCATCAACGACGCCGCCGATGTGAACGAGTCGCAGCGCGTCACAGAGGGCGGCTTCGAGCAGCGGTAAACGACTAGCATAAGATTCCTTTTGTTTGGCGTTGATCATTCCCGCGTGTTATTGTTTTTGGGCCCAAGGCCGTGTACAGAATATAGGATCAATTGATCTGTCGTTCGCCCCGTGCGATGATTTAGGAACTGAACTATACTCGCGCAGCTTTGGTTCGACCGGGTCCAGTTATCTACGTGGACCGATGTCTCCATGCTTTCTTGACGCATTTAAAACGCTGTACCTCTGCAGAATATTACACACAGACTCCCCCATCATAGACGCTCTTTCATTTTGGTACCAAGTCAATTCTTCTGGCCCTGGATGGTCGCAACCACCTTACGCGAATGGCGGCTTGTACGGAATTCCAGATACCACACGCCTTGCCACTTCGACATGGAAAGATGGTTAGTAACACGTCAAGGCAGAGAAAAGAAAGAGAAGAGAGACGCACAGTTCCAGTCGCCAGGCGGCCATTGGAGATGGGAATATTCACCGAAGCACCGATGAGAGCAGATTTGATATGAGCCTGATGCAAATGAAGCAGTACATTAGTACCGCGAATCAATTGGAAATTTCTACGCGCAGACAGGGTATTCACGAACCGGCATATCATCCTCGCCCTCGGCCGAATGACGGTACAGATTTCCCTTCTTATCCATAGGCGCAATTCTGTCTAACGCATCGCTCATATCTGCGCGGACATCGTCGTCCCAGTTTTCGTTGAGCGAAAGCGCGCAGCTTGTGTGCTGGACGAACAGGTTCAGCATGCCAACCTTGTAGTCGCGAATCTCAGGCACCTCCTGCAGAACATGGTCGGTGATTAGGTAGGAGCCACGACTACGAGCGGGTAGAGTGAATGTCTTCTGGGACCAAGACATGGCTTAAGGGAAAAAAAAATAACCGAGGACGTAAATGGAGGGCAGGGAATGGGAAGTAGAAGGGAAGATGGAAAAGTGGGGGATTCGAAATGGAATCAGATCGTTTTGATTGGGTGGGGACGTGATGTCATACCGGAGTTCTATACTCTTGTTCTTCTTTTAATATTCTGATGCTATTGCTGATTTCTATATTTCTGATATTCTCTATTCTCATGTTCATAGTGTTCTACATATTCCCAAAGGTCTCCTCTTTGTGAGCGTTGTCGCAGCCAAGCGGGTACATGTCAGTTCCGATTCCCGCTGCACAGGTTAGCTTGTGACATACACCCAAGGTTCAGAGCCGTACGTTGATTACAGACCACTATGAGCTGTCAGTCATTTGGCTATGACCCGAATCAATGGCGAAAAGTGACTGACGGTGATTATCGGACCGTTGTAGCATTCGACATACCTTGAGGTTATTGGTCTCAGTACCGTTCCGGCACGGAATGTGTTTCCAGCTCTATCAAAACATAGCACGATTTGGGCTAGTGCTTCCATATCTAACATGTTTAACTAGATTAGCCGGTGGTCAAATGATCTTCAAATATTGAAAAGGTATGCCTTTCCCGCGACCTGACTTTGTAAAGTCTTCATCTTCGTGATGAGGACTCGCAGATCGCGTCAATCATATCAACTTTCGACCATTTGATGTCATTCTATGCTAGCAAGAGATCGTCTCGTATCCAAGTCTGCTCTCAGGCCTGTTGAGTAATGACTTGGCTGTCAGTCATTAGAGGTTTGCCAAAGTCAAGCAGAGGGGCAGCTGAGCTCGCGTGCAGATCGGCGAGTTCGTGATGATCGGAAAACAGGTAGAAATTGCCTGTTTGCTCGTTTCCCTTGCACAAATGATCTTCCATTATGATAAATCCTAGCGCTCATACCGGCCAGGTATCTCATCACAATGTTAGATTTTTTTGAAGCTACTGAGTTGAAGAATAATCACTACTGTCAGTCTGGGCGATGCATTATGTTTACAGATCTTTGCCCTGGGAATCAGTTAAGAGGGAAACAAGGATGTTCACGCCAATGAAAATCAATCTAAAAATTGACTGCAGAGAGACGGCCAATTTTAAAAGTCAACACATAGGCACTTCGCCAAGTATTATTCGCACACACTCGGGCATTGTCTTCCATGCCAATCGCCAGCACACGCTGTATACGTATACGTGCGCCAATATCTTCCTAGGGACATATGTTGACGCCTTCCAGGTGTGACACCTGTAGGGCCCCTTACGGTGCATCGCAGACTGTCGACTGAACAAGAGGAGGGTTACTTGTGGCACTCCCCCAATCAGCGGCTCCCAGAGCGCGGCCAGCCTCGGTACTGTTATCAGATCGAATCTGCGCCTCGTCAATTTTGATCGTAAGTCTACGTACGGGGTCATCACATACATAGTTCTGAGTTTCAACAAAATGCCACCAATCATCGCTCCTAAAGGCATCTAGTTGACGAGGAGAAAGAAGTCAGAGAGCTGGAACAGACACAGAAGGCCAGCAGAACGGGACTTACCGTCGAGACTCTGACTCGCCGGGTCATTCCACCCAGTGTTTCTCGTATCAAAGTTAGGGTGCTTGCTATGAATAGTCAGCGAGGACCCCTAGAGTAGATGGTTCGATGTTCGCTTACCTCCACGCCACGTATACTTTCGGGTGGTCTATCTCCGTCAGCGAGGGTCCAAGCAATGGATCAACAGATACATACCTTGATTCTGGACTCCATTGGGGTTCTTTGCATCCCCAGCATTGACCTCATCCGTAGTCAAAGTGTTTTGAATATCGCCCCAGGCCAAATCGTTGTAGCCACTGTGAGCGGACAACAGAGCTCGAGAGGGCGCCCACATGTTGCTATTATCGCGCGAGTGAATGATAATAACGCGCTCCCAGTCATAGTTGTGGCCCGTCTCAATCAGTCCAGCGACTGTTGCACCATCCTTCTCATAGAAAAGATTATACACGACGCGCACCTCGGTATCACTGCACCGCTGGAAAGTATAGTAGACAGGAAAGGCCGGACCAGGGTTTCCAATAGCCACGCTAGGATTTCGGCAGTTGCACCCGACATCGGGGTACTCGCATTGAGCTGCCGGTGGTGTCATATGGGCGCTATCATAGATGTCCGGGGTGGAAGGAGATCCTCCAAACGCCCAGGTCGGATAGCAAGGAGGTTGGTTCATAGCCTGACCGAAGAACCACATCGGCGCATAGCGATCAGCGAGATCCACTGCACCGGCGTCAAGAAGAGAGTTCATCTCATCGTCGGGGATTTGTGTGACCGCGGCCACACGACTCGCCAACAAGGCCAAGGCAAATGATTTCAACATCGGTGCTTTGAGCGGAACAAGATCACTTGGACCAGATTGATCCCCTCCCGGGCGACCAGTCTTATATCCGACTCATTCATATACTATCCGTCGGACATCTGTAAAAGGATCAGGAAATACCATATGCCCTACGAATTGCCTAATCAGGACAAGATCTGCCGGAGGAGCCAGGAGGGTCACATCGGGGCGTAATTAGCACCGGCCATCCCGGAGACAGGAGTCAATTGATTCTGCACGCGCATCTTGCCGGTGGAGTTTGGACCCTGCGTGTCCACGACTTGGGCCGAGAATTTAGGGACCGAGTCAGCGCTTGGCCGGGTACGAGCGCCGTTTCCCCTTGATTTTAGCACATTGTCCCGCAGAACGTGATGGTTGTGCTGCTTACATTGGTGGATAGCTCCTCTAAAAATCTACTATAAAGTTGATGCCAAGTGACCCTAGAGGCCGAGGCTGGCGGATACTCTATTGTTCGTAGGCTTTGATTCGTCATGTCTTCATCTAATCTTGATGGAAAATGTTTCTCCAAGGTCACAAACACCGCACCTATCCCCATGAGGTATCATATTCGCGTGAAATGTCCTGTTATTGCTTAAGTAGTTCCCCATGGTCATCCAGCCGCTGGCTCTTCTCATCCATACCCGACCACTTGGTGATTCCATCCGGGATGTCCATCACACGCTGTTCGTAAAAGATATGACTCCTAGAATGCTATTAGCGATTCAGGCCCGATCATGCAAGAGATGGGCCACATACGTTGGTTTGAAGGACTCCCTGTGTGACCGCTGCTCATCGAAGGAGCCCTCGAAGTCGATCGAGGAAGGGAACAAAAGTACCGTGTTGCGCCCCTCGTCCATGAGAGGGGATCTACAGTATGCGCAAGCGACCTTGGTCGGCGTATGGTAATCCGAAGAGTTTTCGGCGGACGAATAAAAGGATAGACCACTGTATCCTTGGTCGAACGAGATATCATCCTTATGGAAGATAGCGGCCCATTGGAAGGGCGCTCCGTGCATGCGCTGACAGCCCACACAATGGCAATATTTCGAGTTCAGAGGCTTGTCACGTTTCAGCGAAAATCCAATCTTGCGGCATTGGCAGTGGCCCCGCCATTTGATGTCGCCAAATTCTTCGGGGGATTGTATGGTGTAGGGTGAGCGGTGCTTCCATTCTTCCGATGATAGAGTATCTTCGGGAGGATTGTTCGTGACGGCCGGCGTCGGCAACGGTCCGCCTAAGGATGAGTTCATTTCAGCCATGGTTGTTTCGGAAGGTGAGGTGTGAAATTGAATGGCTCGTGGAGAGCCTTTCGGTTTTAAAACAATGGAGATTGAAGATGATGTCAGTTCGCGAAAATCAAGGTCGCGTGTATCTACATACCCACTTCATCATCGCTCGTCACTCTTTATCTCTCTCTCTCTTTCTCTCTCTCCTCTTTCTCCTGGGGGATCTTCCTCTGGGTAAATGGCCCAAAGCTTCTAGAATGCAGACTCGGAGCTTTTTCTTCTTGTTTTGTTGTAAATTGTAACTATCTGTTTCAACGCTTATCAGCCATCGAGTCTAGACCGGTGATGTCATGGAGGCGACTCTTTGGATCAATGATCAATGTGTCGGCGGAACCACTGTGGGCTTTAAACTGGGTCGAGATAGGATACGGTGGTCCCTGATCCAGACTTCCGCCGATGAAAGACCTCTTTGATTATCTAAGATCTGAACTCTTTGCTTGTGACAATTGAAGATGAAACCGCCAATGAGCGCGAACTGCGGGGAGAGACCGGCGTTTCACCCTGGTCGCTTAGCCGGCCTTTCGACTTTGTCTGTTTCATTGATCGTTCCCCTTTCTTTTCTCATCACCTCTCAGGATGGGCCTCTTGAATAAGCTCAAGGCCCGTCGAAGTGCCGGGCCCTCTGAATTCGCAACCCCGCCAAGATCCAGAACAATTCCTGGCCGCGATTACTCCAGGAAGCTGCCACGCCCCGTGCTGGCCTACATCTTTGCTCTCGTCTGTCCTCACTCGGTGGATGAATCCTACGAAACCTCAGAGGAGTCGATGACCGATGGCTGCATGTTATGTGATATGCGTGACCTGGCGCACGCCGCCCAGGTTTGCAAGCGCTGGTTTATAGAGGCGCGCGCGCTGCTGTAAGTTATTGCCAGTGACAGTGGGCCACCCACCGGAAAGTAAACATCCGGCTAAGATCGAATCTGGGGATAGATACATGAATGTGCGGATCGACCCTGTTCATTATTGCGAGCTGGAGTTCCAGCTATCAGCCAAACGAAAGCGCCGCTCCTTCTTGAATCGCAACGGTGACCCCATCGATGCCCCGCAGGTTCGCCTCGAACTCTTCATGCGCACCGTGCGAGAGTCCCAGGGGCTGGCCAATATGGTGGTGTCTCTTCGAATGCCCTACATGACCCGAGAAGCCAACAAGGCCAGCATTGCCCGCACTATCTCTGTACTTCCGCACCTCCGCTTCGTCGACCTGCCGACCGGTCTTTTCCACGATGAACCCTCGTGTGCAGCCCTGAAACAAGAATTGATGATTCGATGTCCCGATCTTCGCCGCATGAGCTATCGACATGGCTCGGAGGGGAGTTTCGCGCGGCTTCCAGGCGCTCAGCTCTGGGTGAATCTGGAGAAGCTGGAGCTGTCGGGCTTACAAATTGAGCCCAGTATCCTCCGTCATGGCCTGGCGTCATTTAATCGTTTGCGTGATCTTACTCTTGATGACCTTCCGTGGCTCGACGACTCGGCATTTGCTGTGAATGGGCCCCTACCACCCTTCCCCGCAGTGTACCAACTTACCATTCGCGATACCCCTAATGTCACGGCAAGCGGGCTTGCCACATTACTTTCTTCTCCAAATAATCGCGCAGCGCTACAATCATTAATGCTCGGCGCAACCGGCGTGCTGCCGTCGGCGCTACATCAAATCTTGGCTGCAGCTCCCCGGCTTCGCAGTCTTTCCATTATCCAGGAGGTGTCGAGATCATTCCCACCGGAGCAGATCCCTCCTCTGACGTCCAAGTCATTGACTCTTCTGCACTATGAGATTACCTCCGAAACGGAGAATCACGGACTGGCTCCGGTCGCAGGATCGTACTACGCTTATCTTGTTTCGTCTCTGATGTCTCGCTCATTACCTGCACTGCGCGACCTTTATGTTCGGGACGCACAATTCCCCGATACCCTTCTTCTAGCACCTCCTCCCCGACTCTTCGGTGGCGGCGAAAATGGCCCGCAGATGATGAGTGGAGGTCTATCCCAGCCCTTGAATGTGTACAGCAAGGGCCTCGACGAGCTCGAGTGGAACTTTACCCCATACGAGCCAGACCCCGGATTTGGTCGTCGATCTGGAAGTACTCGACCGGTCAGCTTTCACGATGCGCAGCTGAGCCGGTCATGGGGTGGAGATGCGCGCAAGAGTGTGCTCGTGGGCAATGGATTCGGCGGATTCCTGGCCGTGCCAGCGGACGAGGACGAGCGCCCCCAAGAGTAGTGGTGGATACAAGCGGGCCAGTCGACAAGATCTGTGGCGGTAATCTACATACCTTCGCGATGTGATTTGGGCAGCAGGCAGCTCGGCTATACTATGCCTTACGACGTAATGAATTCATAAAGCACGAGCATCAGTGATGGTACATTATTTTTGAAAAAAAAAATAGATTTCCAGCACAGCCCGTATAATCAAGCACAAATTTTCCCCCGGTTTGTTATACATAAATCATCAACCTCTGGTCTCCGGCCAACCATCCGGGAGAACCAAGCCACGCCAGATCCACTGGTTCTGCAGCTCGAATTCAGTCATGTTGCAAAGCCCATAAACATTGCAGTACATTGAGCGCGGATCAGGGCAATGCTGTGGTGGCTGCCCGAAGATCACTAGAATCCGACTGTTAGCAAATAGACAACACAACGGATAAGAGCCACAAACTATGCCAAGAGTACTCCAGAATCCGACCACTAATGCCAGAATCGAGTTGAGTATCCATCAGCCATCGTTGGAATCGTTCGTAATCGCTTTTCGGACGTTGGAGTACCTGCTCCCGGGACACGGCGAATTGGCTACAGCAGCCACCACCAACCAACTCCGGGACCGGCGTATCTGGGAATAGTATCTTGAATTGATCCGGGAACTCGACAGCCGTGGGATGTGCCGGATCATCCGGTCTCTCTCTCCAATACTTCGCAGGCTCGAGCTCAGCAGGACAACCGATCATCCACGTACAACGCAGATTGACATATCCCGCCTCACGCACGTAATCGAGATTGAGATTTTCGATTGAAACGACGCTATCATAAAGCGGATTGTCATTATGCCACTGATAACGAGCACCATGTAAAAAGACTGTCACATCGGGCAGCGAGTCATAGCGATCGATCAGATACGTCAGGTACACCATCGCCTCATTGCCCTTATTCACCGGCACCGTCAACTCGGCTTTGCCCGGCCGCACATCTGCTCGATAAATATTCACTGGCCAGGCAAGATCCTCAACCCAAGTCATATCGCTGTAGCTCATGGCTGCGAGGACCAGCTCTTTCTCGCGGGCGTGGTCACTTGGTTCACTGGGTTCCGGATCCGGATCACCATCCGTCACGACATTATCCATCCCCACGAACCCCTGTTCTTCCGCCCAGCGGGAAATGGATTCATGGTTCAAGACGAGCTGGTAAGAGAGTATGCAGAAGATTGCAGCAAGGACCAGATAAGTCAGGGCGCGCCCGCGTACAGGGGAATTGCGCGGGTGTGAAGAGCGACGTAGCCAGTTCATGATTCTAGGCGTGAAGTCATTGCCACTAGGACAGCCCGAGATGACTGTAAGAATGAGACTGATTTAGAGAAAAGATTGGAAAGCAAGATGAATACCTCGATCAGGGTCGATGTTGAGACCTTGACGTAGAAATGATCTGGTCCGGTCCCCGATGGTTCCTAACCATGGAACGGCTGGAGGGAGGAACAAGACAACTCAGCCAAGTAGATTGGAGCCTGTACCCAAGATAATAGTTCATGGGCTCATGGGCTCATGGAAAGCCCACGTAATGCACGTCCACGCATTGATGACTAGCTCGAGACAGTGAAGCACGAGCTGGAGGGACGGGTGGGGATTGGTGGAGTATTTCCAAGATGCAGTGCTGACAACATTCAGTATAGATTCTATCTCCTATCATTACAATGGAAGAGATACAATTGCAGGTAGTCACAAAGATGCTCGAATGGCATGATGGAAAAAAAAAAGAAAGCCTGGACTAGATACTCCTCGAACTCGTAAAAGACACATCAAAAAGACATGAGCTCCCCCCCCTTAAGACCTCCTCCATGGTTCCAGGTATAGAGCAGGACTCTTTACTTTCCATATCCCGTCACTTGATCACGGTATGGGTTATCTTCGAGGGACCAGGCAGGGCCAGGTGATGAGCCCCATATCTGCGGTGCATCACTCAATACACCCAATGCACGATTGAGGTCTTGGTCAAACTTCGGGAACAGACCGCGAAGCTCTTCGAAAAGATCGACGGGAGCAGCGGTCGATATATTCCAAACACTTTTGGCTCGAGAATTCGTTCTTGTCCACAGTTCAGGATCTTCATTTGTCATCAGCTTCACAACGGCATGCATAATGAATTGGGGTCGGAAGTCAAGGAACCCTGCGATCCGATATGCATTTCCGCGAAGATCTGGTTCACTCCAGGGATACATGGTATAGACTTCCTGTACCATAGCTTGCAAGACTATGGGCTGGGCACCTTCGATGGCCCGAGCGAATTTGTCCATTGCGAGAAGCTGGAGTAGCTCCATCTTCAAGTACCGTGCAGTTTCAAACAACTCTTTGTGTAGGCAGAGAAGGCGTAGATAGTTGTTACATGTAATGCATTTAGTTGCAATTTTGACTTTGGTAGAGTAATCGGCAACGTCGCTCTCCACAATGGCGTAGTATCCGGTGTAGAGGAAATCACGAAGCTTGGGCATAACGTATTCTGTTATAGGGCTTCTTCTAGCACAATCAAAACACATTTCTGGGACATTGGGATTGTCCCTAAGAAGTTTCCTGAACACGAGTGACTCGCGCCGTAGGTCGGATTTGAACACCGGGTATTTAGGGACATTGTCTTCATCATCGACATCACAGCTGAGCATGAAGTCAGGAGTCCTACAGATGAGCCAACTATGGAAAATGGTCAGGATAATACCCTCTCAGCGGTCATGGTGATGGTGATGGTGATGTACCTTGAAACAGCATTCTCGACCTCCGCCTGACGTTCAGGGCCCTCATCCGGACCTATTGGGATCATGTCTCCGAATCGGTTCGGTTGACAACTACAATTTGGTTTCGGCATTTTTCTGGTTCTCTGTTTCACACAGCTACTAGAAGTTTGCACTCTACATCCCACAGTGAGACATAATAACGGGAATTTCAAGATTTATTATCCTGGAGAGTTCTTTAAGTGAGGCTCTATCTTTTTGGAACTTCTCAGGGGTCACGTCTCTTTCAAGAATGCTTTGAAGGCCTTCGAGGGATGCATGCCCACACGATTGAAATTTACATCAATGGCAACAAAGAAGCTAGCGAGAATTCAGATATTATGATGACTTTCAAGTATAACCCAAAATATCCGGACTTTTCAAAATATCAAATCTTTTGGACCCATCTCAAGCACGGAATATCCGGGACTTTGACGCGAGGAGTGAGTATTGCAGGGCAGTGAGAAGCTATCGACGAGCACGCTGCCACGTCATGGTACAAAAGTAAGAAGACTAAGTTTTTTTTGGGAAGCTCTACTGCATACACTGATTGCTGTCTTCGAGTCTAGTACTCTTGTTTGTCTTACAAACTCGTCTGCCAACATTTAATGTCTCCCGCACTAGATCACTGTGGACACAAAACACTTCTGGGCGCGCAGATTCATATTTGTGCTCTATGGAGCGTATCGAAAATCAAAAGATTTTCAAGCCCCATTGTGCAATGAGCGTAATCTCTGAAACGGTCATGATAGCAACTGGGGTGATCATTTGTTGGAATCTCTATCTCCTTCACTTGTCCCACAGATGAGTACCAATGACGAGGCCTATTTTTCACAGCCGCGACATCATCTCTGGCAATTGTCTCGTGTAAGCCTTCATCACGATTTGACTTGAAGACTTGGCGGGTGCGTAGTGTTACAATTTGACGTGCTTGATCATTGAGGACCCAAAGCTCGGGATTCCTCATGCTGAAAACTCCAAGCCAATCCTAGGCTGATCCATACAGACAAACTGCCATGTTGACTTCAGCTTGAATTATGCAGATGCTAAGAATAGCATGATTGTCTTTGTCTGTATCTTTCCATTTCTGTAAGGTCTTTGTTTCTCTATTCAGCTCTCCAGAAGGCAGGTCCTTTGTCCTCGTTCGTTATTTCGCCACCGTTTGCTTCTTGTTGATCTGGATTTCCGCTCGATTTTCAAAGCGGTCCCTGTCTAAATCTCGAAGAACCAGATACGTTCCGTCATAATCTAGGGAGGTCAAGTGACATCTCTAAGTCTTGTGGCCTGAAGACAAGACCAATTTGACAAGGTTGCATCTGACCAAAACGAATATCCCTACGTTGCTGATAGTCTTAAAACTCGTATAATGATGACGTCTTGACTAGGGTACAATGGACCATTTAATGGGGTAGCTATATTTAGGATTGGAATATTGGGCAAATTTCCACACTAGTTCGGGTCTCCACGTCTGGTGTTGACCTCGTTCCCATGAATGACTCAATAATCGGAATGCTGCAAGGCAGATATACATTTACCTTATGTGAGCCCGCTCGGCTCGTACTGGCCATGATAGGCGCTTTTTGGTTCCCGACTCAACACCATAGGTCTACTCTTTGAAATCTTTCTCCAAAGCAAGACGCAAAAGTAAGAACAAGAAGCACGAGGACATGTAGAATCCTATTGGAGACACAGGTGGCTCTAGATTGATCGTTCCAGGGCTGGCGGTCTCATCATTTGGGGGTAAAATCTGCCCAGACCGCTGCCAGACATCCCACGAGACCAAGGTCAAATCCACGAAGCTTGAGCCTGAAACATATTACACATAAGTGTATATGCAGGGTGTCGGCGCAATATAACAAATGGAGAGCCCCTCTTCCTCGGAGACCGAGCCTCTCCGCTTACTTATACACGCTCGGAGAATTCCCGAGCCAAGCTTGACTCAACAATGAGGCATTTGATGATAGGTTGACCAGGGCTGAGGCTTTGCTCATCAGCAGAGTCAGGGATGACTCTGGCTCTTTGAAGGTCTAGCTGCTGACTTTATCTGAGACCTGTCCAGCCTCGAGGATGCATAGCTTTGTCAAACCTCGATTCGTCAAAAGGCGGGCCACCATGCGGCAGCACTTGAGGTCAACGTGCGGGCCATTCGCACCCAGATGAGGGCCCAATGAAGTGGGCTGATACGTTTGATCGCCATAGACCCGATCGGGCAAATGGTAACAGCCTGTTTCGGACAGCGCAGCGTCCGAAAGGCCGACTGCCAGCTCGGCAAAGTCTTGAGGACGGGCAAAACTGTAGATCGCTAGTGACGATCCAGTCGGATGTTAGAGAGAGGACTGCGGACCCCACCTCGGTGGATTTCAGCGGCCAAGTCCGACTTGTTCTTGCTTGATAGAGTGATGGGCGATGCCAAATCCGATTGCAAGGTTCCAAACATGTTGTTCTGTGCTTCTTCTGTGATTATGGCGGGGAAGGGGGAGCGGCCTGCAACGATTAAGTATAAATGCTAGTTAAATCACGCCATCTGCCCTAGATCTGGCTCATTTTCCAGCTCGCTCATTGCCTCGTATCAGCTTAAGCTTATTTGAATTAATTCGAATCCACCTATGGCTGCTGATCAGAGCCCTGTTGCTCGTCGCTTCCTGCTGGTTAGTGTGCCCAGGACTGCGTCGAACCTTTTGCGTAGGTGTGCAAGTAAAAGTTCCTGTTCCTTTCGCCTGACAACATCGCAGTCAAGATTCTCAATATCTACAAGCAGCCTGGTGTATTGACCAACAAGCAAGGCGGGTATTTCCTCTTCCAGGCATTCGTTGAAGCGACACGAAAGGGCCAGTTGGCCAAGAATCCGGGAGACTGGTCCGATGAAGAAGTCAAAGACGTCCAGGGAGGTTTCCAGGCCTGCATAGACACCCTGGAGGAGTGGTCTGCGAAAGCCCGCGATGAAAACAAAGTTCTATTCGCAAAGGAGCATGCGTTTTGGCTCGTGAATCCAGCGTCTTTCCAAGAAGCTGTCACTGGCCAAGACGACCCCGAATTCTCGAAACAGTTCCGCATCAAGACCGACGCATACGGACCCGACCACAGCTTCTCCCCATCTAACAAGACGATCTTGTCAAATGAATACCTGCGCACGTGGCAAATGGCCTTTATCATCCGTCATCCGGCACTTGCCTGGCCCTCGATGTATCGTGCTATGCAGAAAGTTGCAGCAGAGGGTTTCATGGATGAGGATGGCATCAAGGGCTCGTCCGCAACCAATATGAGTCTACGCTGGTCTCGCATGCTCTATGACTGGTGCATGGAACAACCCGATCAGCCTACTCCACCTCCCGTCATCGATGCCCACGATCTGATACATAACCCCGAGGTGGTCCTCCGACTCTGCGAGCAGACCGGACTGGATAAGAGCGTGGTGCAATTCGAGTGGGAGAATGATGCTAAGAAGTCCGACAACTGGGCGATCGCCAACCCCAATGCCCAGGCGGAAGAGGTCCATTTCCAAAACCGAGCTGCGGCTATCATGCTGTCGTCTCTCGAGGCATCCAAAGGTGTCATCAAGGACAAGGCGCCCGCGAACATCGATATTGCCGCCGAGGCAGCGAAGTGGAAGGTTGAGTTTGGAGAACAGGCTGCACAGATTATTGAGAAGGCCGTTCGGGATTCCATGCCCGACTACGAGTACCTCAAGTCCAAGCGAATTCATTCCCCAGGTAAAATTGGGAGGGCGAGATCTGATGAGACGGACGTGAATCACACGCCAGAGTAGATCAGTGGTAAATAGAATGTCAGTATAAGTATATCAGGGTGCTTCTTCGCATTATTCTCTATACTCTACTTCCGTGGTTGTATAAATGCGATTTGACCAAGTACGTGAGCCTGGTTTCTCTCAAGGTTGGCCTCGATCAACCCATCTATAACAATGGAACTAGCCCAGATGCTCCTGTGGTCAGTGCTCACTCGGGCAATTGATCGGTCGTGATATCCACATTAGTGAAAACGGTTGAAGTAAAAAGGAAATGGGATCTTGACAGGCTATAATACATTCTTGGATAATATGCAATTTGACTGCGCCAGACTCTTGCTTTAACCCCGACGGCCACCACCCATGAAGGCCTTCTTCTGGCGAACATAGGCAGCCACAACGTTCTCGACACTACGGCGGTCGTGCTTGCGAGACCTATGGATAGTGAGAATATTAGTAAAAGATTCAGATCGACGAGCCTCAGGGAATGGACGAACCGCATGAAGTACAGGCGAGCGCGGCGAGCCTTGCGCTCTGCACGCTGGACAATCTCCACACTCGAGATATTCGGATTAAACACCTTCACGGACATCTCAACGGCGACACGAGTGAGCTCGTTTCGCAGCAGGAAAGAGGTGTCAATGCCACGCATCTTGATACTCAGAACAACACCATTGAACGGGTCGCCGTTCTTGAATGTGACTCGGACGATATCACCGGGCTTGACACTGCGAGGATTCCGTCGGTAGTCGAACAAAGCCTTACGCTCGCCCTTGGGATCGATTACCGACAATTGCGACTCGGTGACGCTTGCGATTGGGTCCTTGCATACGGCGCGGGTGGAGGGCGGAGGAGGATAGACCTTGATCGGCTTGGGGGCTGTGGTGAGGGACTTAAGTTAGCAAGAGCCGGCGTTACCGGGTTCAGTTCAATGGTAGCGCATACCATTTTGAGGCTGATGGCGGGCAGGGATCTGTGACAGGAATTGTTCGGGAGATTGGAAGGGAAAGGGACGCGCTTCGGACGCTGTGAGTAGGCAGTCGAAATGAATCGGCGGCTGATCTGAGGTTGAATGGCCTCTTGGGTCTTAAACAAAGATCTCAGGCAGGCCAGCTGTCGCATTGCTGGTAAACCCGCCATAATTGTGATGGAGGATGTGAATTCGTCGAAGTCGGAGAAGTTTGCTACGGACCGACGATGGCAGAATAATGCCAAGCCTCGATTTATTCGGCGTCGAGATTCTCCGCCTCGCTTTTCGCGTCTTCCAATTCAATCCCCTCCCAACCTCGTGATCGGATTTCCTGCGAGTCTCATAACCTGACCCGCGGCAGATAGACGATCAATCATGGCTGGTAGACTTTTCCGCTGGCCGGGCGCCATGCGCCAATCGGTCATCTCGCAGGCTCGCGGCTACGCTTCAAAGTCAGGTAAGAGCTGCCTCAGAACATGGTATAATTGTGTTTCTATATGCTCATGGACAACCTTCAGCGATTCCGACATTCTCCCCGACTTCCTCCTCCGAATTGAACGAGGCTCTCGACCGATTCCGACAAGATCTCTTCATTCCAGCCGGCCTCCCGAAAAGACAGCGAACAAGCATGTACAAGGAGAAGCACGCGCAGCGCTTGCGTGATGAGCCCATTACTATCAACATTAGCGAGAATGAAGAATATACGCTGCAGCCCAAGAAGCATATTGACTCCCCAAAGAAGTCGGATGCCATCGAGGTCATTAAGATGATGCAAGCTATTGAGGACTATAAGAACTTCATTCCCCTTTGTCAGTGGGCTGCGCGGGGCCCGGTATTCTGTGACGGACGATCACTGGGAACAGGTCATTCGCAAGGCAGGTGGTGCTCGCAAACTTCACTTGATCATCGAGTGCGCAAGGCAGTCGGAGATCACTGGCCTTCGTCTGCGGAACTTGGAACTTGTCAAGACTCTTTTCTTCACGCTTCGTTTTGCTGCTCACAAAGCTGGTTTCAAGGGCCCTGAGACTGGAAAGGCTCTCAACATGGCCAAGCAGGCTGTCGACATCATGGACGCCGACCTCCCAGACCACTCATACAGTGACCCTTCCCTGAACCCCAAGAGCCAGCCCCTAGTCATCGCTGCTCTTCTGGAGCTAAGTGCCGCTCGCGCCATTAACGATTTCGCTGGCAAGGACAAAGACAAGGAAGTCCTCGGCTACGCTCAGAAGCTCCTCGTCGCTGCGCCCAAGGGCCATTACCAAAAAGGCCCCTCGGACGATGGTCGTCAGAGCGTCAACAACTGGATCCGTGAAGCAAGCACAGTCTACAATGGACTAAAAATGTGCCTTTCAATTCACGGTCTTGCTGCCGATAAGGTTCTTTACCGTGAAGTGTCTTCTCGCCTCGATGAAGTGAAGAAGTCGCTGAAGAAGGTGGTTGAGGACCCCACGCACAAGGACAAGGATAGCGAACACTGGAAACACGCCCGCGAGCTGCTCCAGGGCTAGATGTATGAATTTGGAGGGCTTGAGTCATAGTAGATCTTGAGCTACAGCATGTGTATATTACTTTGATCCCATCATATCTGGAGCAGACTGTATTTCATAGAATGAATATTGCATTCCCGAAACCCGAATCTGTGGGCTTCTTGTAAGATTCAAGACTTTAAAGCTGCTAAGTTTTCGACCCGAACTAACAATGCAAACGCTCAAGGGCAAATAGGCTGTTGCAATGAGTCCTTACTCAATGTTTTCAAAAAGGCAGCTCCAAGGTGTTGTCATTGCTGAAGCGGCCCCGTGACGAAAGGGTCGTCTTGCCATTTACAACAGCAGGGCCAGAGACAGTGATCTGAAGACGGTTAGACTATAGTGGGAGAAGGACTGAGGAAATCTTACCTGGCCCTCTGGGAAACCGTCAGAAGCGCTGGCTTCAGACATGCCAGTGAGAGTGATCTCAGTGCTACTGAGAGGAGATCCAAAGTGGCTCTGTCCAGCGACGCATCGGTAGTCAAATACATTGGTTTGAGCAATAGCGCCGGCAACGCCAGGTCCAGTCAATGCATAGACCACGCGAGCTCCGGTGAAGACCCGAAGATCCCTCAACTGCTCGGAGCTGAGGCGAGCAGATGCCTCACCATCAACGCGATGCGAGATGCAGAGCAGACGCAGTTTGTCTAGTGAAAGCTCGGCAGTTGGGCCAATCTGGGCAAGCTGACTGAAAAAGTTCCTTGATGGCATATTTCCAGCTTCCAAAGTGCGACTCTGTATCCACCGTCCAAGAGATGAGAGGGGTCCGGTATGCGGCTGCATGATTCGCTCATGGTAATTAGACATGGTGTGTGATGATGCGATGATGACCGTCGGTGACACTCCCGCTGTAGCTAATGCAAAATCGACCTGCTCGCCAGCAACAGAGTTCAAAGCCACGGAAGCGTTCGAAAACAAGGCACTCATAACTTGCAACAAAGGGTATGACCGGGCAAGAGAGTCGATTGAGAGAACAAGATCATCTGAGGTAAAACGTTGGGTCCGAGGCAGTGCAGAGATTAAAGCCGCAATTGCAGATACGAGGTTCTATAAAGTTGTCAGAGTAATATATACACGGAAAAGCTTGTTCATTTACCTCAGATTGGAATTCAATGAACTCGCCTGCCGGCGAGGATGACGGCCAAACGGTTCTCAGAGCAGGTGCCGGAGTACTAGGGTCGTAGTCAGGGACTGTCATACCAGCCAAGTCCTGTTGCTCTTCCACAAGCTCATGCCAGACAGAGACTTCCAAGTTGTCCTTGGCACCCTCTGGAACTTCATGCCAGTCCATGTGTCGGTTGCCATCCTTTGCAACCCAGAGAACGCGTGACAGCTGCTTGTTCTCTTTGGTGACCACAGAGACATCAAAGGAACCGGCTTCGGCAATCAGAGCATCGGCTTGAACATGATTCAAGTGAGATGATAGAGTCTCAGCTGGAAGGTTATGAGGCACAATGATCGTGATAAAACCGTAGAAGGCGCCAGCTGTATTGAGATTAGCACCTGGTCCTGAACAGGTGTTGTTTGCCCGTAAGATTTTATCTTACCAAAGATCGCCGCTAGCAGTTCAACGGAGTCAGTCAGACAGATGGCGACGGTCTTAACGTCGGAGTTCCGCAGATAATGGCCGATGACATTAATTTCCTGGGTGACCTTGCTCAGCGAGTGCTCAACGGCCTGCTTGCCCAAGACAGTATAGATTTTTCCCTGTTGTCCAGCGACGGTTCCATCGGGGTTTAGGGATCCGCGCATAGCAGCCTTCCAGACGTCACGCAGATCTCCACGTCGCCCGGCGGTCCATTTAGGCGCACCCGGGTCTTTAACGTTCAAACCGAGGCGGAGAGGGAATCCATGAGGTGTCTCTAGACTGCGGTATGTGGCGGATTCACCTGGTTGTCGAATGGGAGATCCTGTAGATTGGCGGGCCAGAAGAAATGGGTGCACATCGGGATCTTTGGAAGAGATGACAGAGTATACGAAGAAGACAGCAATAGTGCCGGCAAAGATGGCGGTGTAGATGTTCCAGTCAGCGACCAGGCTGTCCAAAACAGCATCAAGTTGCTGGAGAAGCGACGGGTGATCTGTCATTGTGATGGAGACAAGATCGTTGTAGTGTCAACAACCCCAAACTATGACGTTGAGGGGGGCGCGGAATACGGTGCTCGGGTCAACAGTAAGACCGGCGTTTAAATTCGACGCGCCGGCGTCTGCAAGATGCACGACTCAAGCCCCAGCCACTTGCGACCATCACAACATCCCTGATGACCAGGGAACAGCTCCCCTAGTCCCAATGCTGTGATCAACTTTCTAGGTCGACTCCAGGTAAGTGCTTTCATTCATTTCAATCAGGTAAGTCTCACTCTCTCCCTCGTGATAGGCAATTGTTGATCCCAAATTTCAGTTTGATCTCTCGTCTTGTATTTCCGACTGTTGCTCGACTCTTGTTTGCTGCGCATAACAAATGGCTACTTTATCTGCCCCGTCAACTCCCAAAGCTGCTGCGGCCGCACGTCCTTCTTCGGAGGGGTCTGGTGTTCCCGGTAAATGGCGGCACCCCCAGCTCAATGAGATTGTCAGGCGTCAGAATGCCGCGACCTTTGGCGACAAGGATGTCAAGAGGCTGCTTTGGAATGGAGTTGCTTTGGTGACAACTTGGCTTTTTGGAAACACTATCAAAACCTAGTAGGTCGCAAAATACTGGCAAGCATACTGAACATACTCTGACGAGTCTTTCTACAGTGCACGCCTCATTCTTGACAGCAAGCCCACATACCACGAGATTTCTCTTCTACTGCTCCAGCTGTTCTTCGCCTTCAATATTTTCCTGGCTCTCTGCCCCCTATATCGACCGAAGGATGACTTCTCCGATATACCCCTTACCCCCACCCAACGTGCTTTGTTGGGCATGGACCCTACTGCTACACCACCTGCAACCCCTGGAACCACGTACCTCACCCCACCGAGATACCGAATGTCCACCTCGCGTAAGGCCAGCCCTTCAAGCCGACAGACGTCTCCTATGAATGCGACCCCAACTTTCTCCGAACGACGGGTCTCCTGGGGTCCTCTTTTTCCCCCACCTCCAGCCCTTTGCTTCACAAGGCGGTCGCAAATGGAGGCAGGGACACAACTGGTCGGCGACAGAGCTTTGGGTCCTCTTCACCTCTTGGTCGGAGCAATTCGTTTGGAGAGTCTACGATGTCTAGTATGTCCAGCATTGGACCCGGCACTCCTTCCCCGCTAGGGGGCAAGCGAGCAAGCCTAGGGGGTGAGTAATCGATGGCTGTATGAGAGAAGTCGACGACTCTCTACCAGCAACGGTCCTCTCTAATTCGTTTTTCTGTATCTCATACTGGGCTGGGCATGGAGTTTGTAACATTCGGTCTTTTAGCGATTCCCTCATAATGAAATGGAAGCATTTTTAAAGAAGAGAAAAATCAATTCATCTCATGTAATTGTATAATAGCAGTAAGAAGGTAGAAAATTCGGGGCTGAAAGCAACTCGCAGTAGTTCCAAGTTCATGTGTACCTGGGCGCGGCTCGGCAGATCCTCCGAAAGCTCGTGTTCAGGCCAAGACGCTCCGCAACAGGAACGAACCGCAACATCGCTCTCGGCCTTGACAACACACTATCTGGCCCCTAGATATCTACTGCATGACGCTCGAGTTGTGAGCGACTCTCTTCAGCAATGGGGGCCTCGGAGTCAAAGCTTGTTTTCAAGCAGGGCATCTTCCGCCTCTCCGAGGAGAAGGAGATCCCCGCTGACGACCCGTACTGGACACGAGTATGTCAAATGACCACAGATCGCTTCGAAATGAGGCGCAGATCATAATGAGACTGATGTGATTCACAGTTCTGGGAATTACCTGAATCCTCCGAGGACATCTTCAGCTTGTTCACGCCAGCCGACATCCGACGAACGCGCGACCATGCCTTCTCCAACTTTGAAACGCTGTTACTGTCCGTCTCTTCGCGACTGGTAGTACTTAAGAACCACCCGTCATTCCCAGATCCAGACCTAGCTCCCGAGCGGGACGTTCTGAACTGCATTCGCATCCTTACCCGACTGCTGCCCTTTGTCTACGAAGCCGAACATCTTGAGGACTGGGAAGAGAAGTTCTTCTGGGCCAGTCGCAGGAAGAAGACCAGACAGGCGCAGATCGCTGGCGAAATTCTCTTTGATGAAGCACAGTTGGAGAGCCCGCAGGGCGAGTCGCCTCGAGGGGAGGAGTACGAGGATGTGAAGCCTCTTGGTGAAGAGCTGATTGACACTCTGCTCGATCTACTCTTCTTCGCCGACTTCACTATTCCAATACTCCCTACTGCGAAGAGTAAAATCTCGTACTCGATCTGGCAAAGTGGTGTTGGTTGCAACACGGCAATGGGATCGAACAAGACGTTGGAAAGCAACCGCTGTGAGATTGTACGCTTGCTTTTGACGATGACAGGCAAGGCAATGTACATGCCATCAAGTGAGTTCACCAACTAGAAAATGAAGGTAACCATAATGGCTGACTGGTATAGACACTCTTCCCGTGCAAGGTGTCCGGGCTATTACGTATATCACCACTTGCCAGGACAAGCAGGCCGTCTTGACGCTTCTATGCTCTCTCCTCAATACGGTACGCTCATTGGTGTCGGGTGAGCTGTCTGTGACTGACATTGGAAATAGGCTATGAAATATAACCCTGCCACTTGGAGGGTGCCATACGACCATGTTGTTTGGAAGGATCCGAAACAGATCCTAGTGATATACTGCTTGCAGCTTCTCCTCGTTCTTCTGATGTATCCCATTCCTGAGGATGGTCGTGGAGCTCCGCCAAAGAACTATTACCGCCATTACTTTGGAAGGCTTCATCGGCCCCAGGATTTCCAATTCCTCATGGATGGCATGACAAGGATCTTAAACCAACCTGTACGTGTTGCGCATTTTTCTTATATCTCTCGTTACTAAAATGTAACAGATGCAAGCCACGACCTCCTATCTCCCTGGAAGTCAGAGATCGGTAAAATGGGCACCTGAGATCCTGATGCTCTTCTGGGAGACGTTGCAATGCAACAGGCGCTTCCGATCATTTATCATTGATTCTAACCGCTCGCACGATTTTGTGATTCTTTGCGTTTTCTACGCGATGGAGTACAGAATGGACCCGACAAAGCAGGGTGTGGTTCGGATGTGCGTTTTCATCCTCCAGACCATGAGTGCAGAGCCCACCTTTGGCAAGAGTCTCAACATGGCTTTTGAGGCCCAGGAAACTTTACCTCAATCGATACGACTACTGAAGTTCCGGGGCTCGTATGCCGACTATCTGATAATGGTATGTCCCCAAGTTTTTCGTTTCCATCTATTGACCTACGCTAAACTGAACAGTCGGTTCACAATCTCATGGCTACCAGCAAGGGACATCTTGATACCGTCTACCCCGCTCTTCTTATTATCCTCAACAACATCGCGCCCTACATCAAACACATCTCTCCGAGCGCCTGTTCCAAAATCATCCAACTCTTCTCCTCTATGTCTGCGCCTAGCTTCTTGCTGGCAAACGAGACAAATCATACGCTTCTTGCATCGCTGCTCGACTTTGTCAACACAATTCTCGAGCAAAACTTCACTGAAAACCCGTACCTTGTTTATGCGATCTTAAAGTATAAGCAGCGATTCGAAGCCGTCCGGGCGTTTACTCTAGAGAGTGGCCAGCAGGAGATTGAACGTCAGAAAGAGAAATGCAAGGCAGGTGACATGCCAGGAGACATCATCACCAGTCCGACACTTTCGCACTCGGAAGAGGATCTTCATGCGCCCTCGGGCGCCCGCTCGCCTTTGACCCGCATTCCCGAGGAAAACAGCGCATTTGCGATTGGCGACGACGATTCCGATGATGAGGAGGGAACTGATGGACAGGAAACTCCATCTCAGTCTTCTCCGTCGGGTCAAACCTCTCGCCGGCCATCTGTTGTGTCGGCGGCTGATGAGAGCATCTCCCAGGCCCGGGTAATGTCTGAGAAGGCGCGTGGCAAGATGCCTGCTGGGAGACCGTCTTTCTCGCGCCAGAATAGCATGACCAGTCAGACCAGCATGTCTGCTTTGTTCATGTCGTCGTCTACTGGCTTTACGCCAACAGTTGCTTGGGTAAGACTTTATCTTCTTCGTGTACCCGAAACTACCCGTACTGACTCCATCTCTCTAGCTTGAATCCTGGCTTCCGGAGCTACCTCTGCATACGATTCTCACCATCATCGCCGCTATCGCCCCCCATATCCCCGAAGCAGCGCTTCTGGCCACGTCTAGTCCCGAGGCTCGCACTCTGATCAACAACCTTCCATCGTTTTCGGAGGAGCCCCAGATCAAGAGCATCACATCAGAACCAACCCCGATCCGTGCCCATTCCTTTGAATGGTCTGCACTATCTATGGGTTGGTACGAGTCGCTTCTTTGGGGGTTTGTCTTTTCTAGCGAGATGATTGTTGGCTCCGCTGCGGGTGCAACACCAGGCACAGTTGGTGTTTGGAATGGGACCAACATCCGACTCTTTAGGGTGCAGGAAGCCGCAGCTCAAGGTCCCTCTTTGTTGGCCCCTAAGGGCGCCGTAGACGCAGTGGGTAGTAATCTGGTCCAGCGTATTGGCAACCTCAGTCTTCGAGGTCGCAACTCGATTTCGCAGGAGGGTGGACAATCCCCGAGCGTGAGAGAAGTTTAGAGTGATATGAAGGCACCAATGCATTTTAATTTGTACATAGAATTACTGGCTTGATATGAATATTCTTGGAATGACCATTGTTACATCGGATGTCTAACAGTGACTGAAAATACTGTAGAATTATCGTAGGCAAAGATCGGCGATTTGTATCAGGGCCTTGGAACACGTGCGAGCCGCGTTCCGCCTCAACCTGCTTTCAAATGTTGTCAACTTCACCCCTTCACACCTGAACCGCGAACTGTATGTTGCATGTCAACTGGTGTCAATCCATCAGGTCTATTCAGCGCTATGGTATCTGCGCTCGTACTGTTTACGGCCGTGGTCATGGCTCTTTCCGGCCCGGACCCGGTCGGCGCGATCACTTCCAGCCTGCAGAGCATCCTCAAGAATACCCACGGAAGCAAAGCATATGAGTATCCCACAGACATAACAAGGGATTTATATCCGGTGTGTGTGAGAATTGGATCTTCTTGTCCTCGATTGGGTGATAACGTGCTTCGGAACTGTGGCTAATGTCATGTTTAGATTCCTGTGCACTCTCATAAGTAGGGGTTCCTGCGCATATCACATGCATTGAATATCATGAGCTCATCCTAATTACCGAGCAGTGACTACTGGAGAGATGAGCCTTTCTATACCGGTAAGTCTAGAGCTACATATTGACCGGGCTCCTATTAACGAAGCCCCCAGGTTTGTCCAAGGGCTGCACATCCACCGAGGCTGATGTTTGGCTGTATAACGGCACCCTTTTCGTTCGTTTCTTCCCATTTGATGTTCCCAAATGGTCAATTGAACAAGTAGCCTCAGGTTGGACATGATCAATCTGCCCTAACGAAGGAGCGGACACTCGAGGCCCTCTACATCAACCCGATTCTGGACGTTTTAGAACGTCAAAATCCCGTTAGTCCATTTGTAACGGAACCTACCAAGAAGTCAGCACTTTCTCAACAAAAGTCGTATCGATGCTAAAATGAGCCTAATATAGCGGTGTCTGGGATACTACCCCCGATCAGACACTTTACTTATTCATCGACGTGAAGACTTCCGGTGTCGAAACCTTCGAGGCCGTTATTGAAGCTCTGGCACCCCTTCGGGAGAAGGGCTATCTAACCACTCTCAAGGGTGGTCGAACCATCACCAAGGGCCCCGTCACCATTATAGGCACAGGTGAGACCCCACTGGACATGGTTGCGCCTGTCGAGGACCGGGACTACTTCTTTGATGGACCCCTTGACAAGCTCAACGATACCAAGTATGAAGACATCACGGGATTGATTTCCCCCATCGCCTCTACGGACTTCGCGGCCGCAGTGGGCAAAATCACCTCTGACACTGATCCGATCCTCTCCGAGGGCCAACTCAAGGCACTCCGTGATCAGATTGCCACGGCTAGGGAGCGCGGTATTGGTGCGAGATACTGGAACACGCCTGTCTGGCCCATACGCCAGCGTAATCTCGTTTGGAGGACGCTTTTGCGCGAGGGGGTTACCCTACTCAATGCGGATGATCTTGACGCAGTGACGAAAGAATTCTGATTGCATGATATACGGTGCTTCATGGGTGATGCTCATTTAATCGGGCCATCTCTCGTAGCCATCTTTGGAATAGATTTCAATGGAATGAAAAAAAAAGAATTATCGAGCATTGCATGACTTGGTAATCACGTTGGCAACTCCACCTGGGAAGGCCAGTTCATTAGACCTCCAGGCCCCACCATACGTCTACCGAGGCGTCGCCTCTATTTATGGTGCATTTCATCCGCTAAGGAGACACTCTCGGCATCTGTGAGGCGACAGCTTCCCCTCGACATAAGCGATCTTTGAAAGCGAACAGCGTGCATCTTCCTTCTTGATGTGTTCTTGGCACTTAACAAATTCGCCGCCTTTTGAGTGTCCACACGAGTATCGAATCTGAAGCATTGTGCATCGCTTGGGTAGACTAGGCTCAACTTTAGAAATATGAGATATCCCCTCTTCAAGTTGACGAGGGTATGCGACTGACCTGGAAGGGATGTGTTGTGCTTCCACATGATCACTGGCTTAACTGTACCAGGATCGTATCAAAGCAGCACTGAGTTCAATAGGTAGCCTAGAGATGGCCGTATGGTGTTCTCCAACGGGCGAGACACTTGCCTGTCCGAGTGAGCTACGGTCTGGTCATGAAGTTGGTTTGATACGGAATCGGGCAGCTCTGCGTGAAGGACAGTAATTTCTCAGGCAAGACTTGCAAGTAAAGAAAGGAAGGTCAAGGCTGGGAGTGCAAGTTCCAGGATGGGATTGCCACATAGAGAAAACATCACGACGATTAACTCTCTCTTGACTACACCTGTAAGAACAGCACGCTTTGATGAGGCTTGAGCATTCCACCAACTCATTTTTCCTTTTCATAAATCCCAGCCACTTCCTTCCCAAGATTTTCATGGCCAGATGATCGATACGACTGATGCAGGTATCGACTAGATGCGTTGGAGGACCTCTCTACATTTCCCCCTCTATCGATCCACGACACCACGATACACGAAACAAAGTCACTGTGTCAAAATACTCCGATCCATGGATCCCCCAATTTCCATCACGACACATCCAATATGCAGACCGTATCTCATACATGGACCCCAGGGCTCGATCGGGAACATGGCACGTGATCTGCATCGACACGGCAACGCAAGGGAAAAAGAGAAAGAAAACAGGTCCACAACTTGCCCCATCATCTTCACCCTGAAACATTCTCTTATTGGGCGTGTGACAATGGCATCGGACGGGGATCTGGGAGATCTCTTGGCCAAGATCCTTCCCTTCGGGGCCGAGCTCACGGTCCGCCATGCCTCATCCATTCCTTCGCCGTCGCCAGCTCTCTTTGCCGCTGCGCCGGGTGAGGAGCCTGAACAAACATTCCTCGAGAGCCACTTTCTATCGGCATCCGTGGACTCTCCGAAAGACGATGGGGCGGAAATCATTGTCTTCGGCATGGAAGTGTTGGTCTATACTACGGCCCACTTGACCACCATCTTCGTCTCCAAGGCGGACTCGACCGGGTTCATACACCTACTCGAGCTGCCGCAAAGAGTGTCGGTTCTGAGACTCATCTCAAGTACTTTTCTATCATATTTAGCACGCACACATCAACGCCCAGGTGTTCGTCTGGTTGTGTCCTTGTTTGCGCGCGCTCAAAACCAGTACCTGTTCCCGGGTAGCATTGAGAATGCCGAAAAACATGTCCTCGACGATCGGGGACTTATCAAATGGTGGTGTCGTGCCGTGGACCCGATCCTTCGCGAGCATGAGCCTGAATCGCTCTCAAAGGACCCGAAACTTCTGAACCAGACAGTCGAGGCGACCAAGGCTTCTGCGACCGCGTACCTGATCGTCCCGGGTTGCGATCGTTTCGAGACACGTAATTTTTTCCCTGCTACGGCCAGATCCGATGCACAAGATCGTCCACGATGGCTCAGCAGCTATCCTTTGAAGCAGATGTGCCATGATCCCGAGGCTCCGCCGCGTTGCTTGGTTCCTCGCCTCCCTGATGACCCCAAGACCCGATTCTTGATTGATCTAGACGACGAACTTCCTGAAAGCATAGAAGGTGAAGGTGCAGCCCATGCGACCGGACAGTGGAAGAGTATCAAGTCACTGGATCAATTCTGGGAAATGATGTCCTTCCGACAGGAGTGCTCTGCTGGCCGGCTCGTGGGTTTCCTCTGGCTTGTCATTAATCCGCCTGGTTTGATGAACTCGACTACTATGGCTAGTCGGACTCGCAGCTTCATTCCAGACAAAGCAACATCCCAATCGAACAATGGGCCGGACCAGTGCAAAGCAACACCAGTCTCGGAATCCCACAAGGAGCCTACGGATAAAGAACAGCCTGCGGAGCTTCACTCAGCGCCAGCGCCTTCTTTCGATCGCCCATTAGTGGCATCTGTTCCTGCTGCTTCTATGGAACCCAATTCCTTCTATTGGCCCGAGGCTGGACGAGGAAACGTTCGTTCTCAGCGAGGCTGATTATAAGAAGATGATGGACTGTGTATTGGATCATTTCTACGACGAGAAGGAAATCGTCGCCAGTACCAAAGCCTATGTCGACGAGGTCGCCTCTCTAGCAGATCAGCTTACCTGGGGCAAACGGGCAATCGGAACCCATGCTCCACAGAGCACGAGTTCGGAATTTGTGCCGATGAACAACCTTCTCGACAGCGGCTTGATCCGTAAGCGGAAGAAGTCCGAGGGGGAGGCCACCACGGCTGCCGCCGGAAATTCAGCGCCGCAGAGCGGGTCAGACACGCAACAGGCTCCGTCGCAGCCAACATCTGTGAATGTACTCAATGCCGATCTCATTCGCAAAAAGAAAAGGACATAATATAGTGAGCATAGGACATCGATCGGAGTTTAAAGGGATTCTTCATAGCATATCGCATTTTGGACTGGGCAGGCTGGAATTAGTTGACTACGATGAACATCGACGAGACTTGTTCTCTTAGGACTAAGTTCCTTTCCCGTGCCAAATTATATTCTCTTGCCCCTAGGCTATGATGTTTACAATGGAGTAGCCGGGTCGTACCCAAGGCAGCATGGGCACCTTATTGTATTTGGTTCTGAGGCCCGTATTTGAGTACGCGCGTAGTGCTTGGGGCTATGCTTTATGTCAACTCTATCGTCCAGCTCACGATGCCCTACGCTTGACTTCATGACCATGATTAGGGTCCGACTGTCCAACTACCAATCTTGGTTTCGGTCTACGCTACTTCCCTCGATGTGGCTCACGGCAGTCTAAGTCGAGTGGCACAGCCGCCTCGCATAAAGCTGAAAATGAAAGAGGGGCGCGAAAAAAAAAAAAACCACTGGACCAGGGAGACAACACCACGAATGAATTGAAAATCAAGTACGACACCAGATAGCACTTGAATTGACCAAGGTCATTTTCGCGCAAATTGTCAATTTCGAACCCGAATGCGCCCTGAAATTGACCCATCGACCCAGGCGGCGTGGAACACACCCGGCAAAACCGATATCCACTCCGCAACATCCGAGCTGTGTTATTGGGTTACCCACCAAGAACAGTTCAGTGCCCTAGAATGTTCGTGTTCGATTTACTCACTTGCGTCCCATGCTAGAGACCACGCTCCTTGATAGAGCGCGGGGGCATGGCGCCATGTCCGCATCCACTGTGGCCGGCTGGATCGGTCTGATCTGGTATATCATCGTCTCAGTTGTGTGTGCTCTGGGTTACTTTCAGATGTGCGTGGGAAAGACCGCGGGACTGGACTCTGTGCAGTCTGGATGACTTGGACTGTGGCTGACCAGAACCACAGATGGAAACACTTTCTACGACAGCCGCGTCGCTCCCGCTTGACCTCCGCTGCTGACGCTCCTCACGTCACTGCCATTCGACCAGTTAAGGGTCTCGAGCCCCATCTCTACGACTGCCTTGCCGCTACGTTTCGTCAAGACTACCCGCGTGACAAATTGACGATCTGCCTGTGTGTGTCTACGCGCGACGACCCCGCCTACCCTACCCTCCGCAAGCTGATCGCCGATTTTCCCGATGTCGACGCGCGATTGTATGTTGAAAATGACGATCCATTGCTACAGGGTAATGGTCCCAATGCATACAAGCTTGGCCCGAACCCCAAAATCCGGAACATGAGCCGGGCATATCGGGAAGCCAAGGGAGATATCATTTGGATCATTGATTGCAATGTCTGGGTTGGCAAGGGAGTGTGTGCCCGCATGGTGGATAAACTCTGTGGATTAGGGACTACTCAGGACAAGAAATACAAGTTCGTGCACCACCTGCCCGTGGCTGTCGACGTCACTGGCGAAAGCAACCTGCAGGCAGAGCGCCAGGCACTCTTGGATGACAATCCTGATGCTATCATCCCCAGGGAGGCAAACCACGCGTTGACATCCGACCGCCCGGAGGATAGTCTGGGGAGCATGCTTGCGCATGGAGGAGGGCGTCTTGAGGAGCTTTTCCTTTCCTCGTCCCACGCCAAGATGTACACTGCCATCAACACGGTTCTCATTGCTCCTTGCATTGTGGGCAAATCCAACATGTTCCGCCGCTCACATCTGGACTCTCTCACGGCTCCGCCTCCAAACGAGCCAAACCCACGTCTTCCCGGAATTGATTTCTTCTCCGACAACATCTGCGAGGACCATTTGATTGGTGATCTTCTGTGGAGAAAGAAAGTGCCTGGAGAGAAGGCATCCCGTGAGCGCTGGGGCAAGCATGCCATGGTTTTTGGGGACCTGGCAATTCAACCCGTGGCCAACATGAGTGTGCGAGGATACATTGCACGTCGTGTCCGATGGCTTCGCGTTCGCAAGTTTACGGTTCTTCTGGCAACTCTAGTTGAACCCGGCACCGAGTCTTTTGTTTGCTCCATTTACGGTGCTTGGGGTGTCACAACCGCTTTGGCTCCATACCTCGAACAGAAAGGCGTGTCCTTCGCCCCGGCTCTCAGTACCTGGACTTCTTTCCTTGCAATCTTTGCGCTCAGCATGGCGCTCTGGGTTTTAACCGACTGGACATTGTACATCAACCTACATTCGGCGGAAGCCATAGAGCTTGACGAAGACACACCTATCTTTGCACGTCCTACTCGTCGTTCTGCGTCCCACGTTACTCGCCGTCCCTTCCAACAATGGTTTATGGCATGGCTAGGCCGCGAGCTTCTAGCCCTCCCCATTTGGCTTTCAGCTGTCTATGGCGGCGTCACAGTCGTATGGCGAGACCGACGATTCAAGGTTGGCTTCGATGCCAAAGTCCAGGAGGTTGATCCCGAAAATGCTGAAGGCTCGTACTCCACTGGCTCAGTGGTAGACTGGTTCCCTTTGGCACCGCAAAAGACTAATGGGAAATCAGATTAATCGCGGCGCGTTTGATGGAATTTGTCCCGCCCAACATCTGGTCAACGTAGTGTGTATTATAATCCATGTAAAAAAAAAGAGGTCTGTCTGTATAGAAATCATTTCTTCAGATTCATTGAATATACCCAAATGCTTTGTCTATCTCAAAATTTTATCGTATTTCCGTCAATTGGTTCTCATAGGCCTCTATGCTGAGCTGGAGCCCTCATTAGCGCCGCTCTCCAGACCAGCCGCCTTCTCCGATGACAGCAGCCACTCAACAACCTGTCTGCCCGCAGACATCTCCCCCGGACGATTGCTGCTCGCCCTGGCCTTCACCCTCGCCCTCGCCAATGGTCATTTCGATCTCCTGCATCTCCTCATCCTCTTTGACTTCCTCGGCAGAGGCAGACCAGGCCGCCCGCTCAGCGAGGAACACAGCATCGTGGCCAGCATCGTTCTTAACAGTAACGTCTGCACCCGACTCAACAAGAGCCTTCACACACTCCAAGTGTGTATTCAGCGCAGCCCAGTGCAGCGACGTGTTACCAGCATAGTTGCGGTGGTTGACAAATGCCGCACGCTGGGCAGGATCCAAATCGGACAACCTTTGCAGAAGCGCGTTGAGAATTTCTGAGATATATCAGTCTACAGCTAGTAATAATGAAGCCAAGATCCACGTACCGATGTTGCCATTGGCAGCTGGGAAGTGCAACACACAAGATCCTGTGCCGCCTTCGGATTCAGCCTCCATATCGATAGCTGATGCGACGATGTGAGACTCGGGGCAGCCGTGCTGCGAAGCCAGAGTGGCGATGTCGGCCTTGAGAGCCTCGAGATCGCCAGCCCGAGCGTCGTAGATGAGATCGTCAATTGCCTCAAACGAGAGCTCGACGAGCTTTGTCGTTGATGTAGACATTGTGATCGGGCTAATATGTGCTTGTTGCAAGACTAATTTTCCAGCAATGATGGTTTTCCCACTGGATGGAGAATTTGATATGTGCTAGTGGGGTGTCAGTCGAAGTATTCTGACGGGCTTGCACGAGCCACAATAAATCGAAGCAACGATACGAAGTTCAATAAAACTGCAAAGAACATGAAAAAAATACTTTGTTCGCCGTTGACATGTGATTGAACAATAGCAGCTCCAAGATTTGCATGAGGCGTTGATAAGCGCATGGGTGGTGATGCATTTTCAGCCCCCCCACCAATAGATAAATCTGGACTTCCAGTACAATCGAAGACAGAACTGGTGGAGAAAAAGACTCAAACATCTGAAATTGCTTACCTTTGCGTCTCTTCGACAAGCGTAGATTCTTGCAGCGAGGAAGTTGTTCTCGCCGAAGAAACTTTGATATCTAGGTCATGTGACACGGTGGGGTCGCCGGAAATCATCGTCTTTATACTTCATCGTTCAGAACAGGATGTACAAGTTTGATTCCGTAGATGCTCGTAGCTAATGGTACAGGTGCTGTGAGGGAGTTGCGCTTCACCAAATAAAGCCCCTCTATGCAGCATGCTAGAAAAAGTCGCAGAAAAAATAGCCACAAAGCGCCCGATTCCCACACCCGGTGTGGGTGGTATCACAAATAGCATGCAAATGTTCATAAGAATGTGACAGCCAGAGTAGATTCCCGGCAGATAGGCTGGACTGGTTCGGCCTGCCCGGCTCCAAATCAATCGCGCAACCATGCCCGCCGCTTTTCTTCTTTCTTCTCCCGGCGCTTTTCCTTGAACATCTTCAGCTCCTTCTTGCTCAGCTTTTTGGCGCTGCGCTCGGCGCGAAGACTCCTTCCGTCATGAGCATTTGCCGCAGCATCGACATCGAAGAATGCGTTCATTTGGCGCCGTGATTTGTTCTCATCGTTGTGGTTCTCCGGGTTGATCGACTCGGCCTGCCAGCGCCCAGTAAACCGGTTGAAGGTTCCGGTTGCGGCGTACGCAGCAGCCGGATCTAGTGCGACACCATTTGAGTCTACTGTCTGCTCTTCATAATGTTGCGCGTAGGGTGCAGTCGGGTCGTAGTCGCCGTGGATGGCGGGGTTGTATCCCCCCCAGTATGGGAGCTTTCTTCGGGGGTTCTTCGGGAGCGATGATTTCGACGCCTGGTGCGGTTTCTGTGGTCACACGAGGGTTCTCCCACTGAGAAACTTGGGTAAATCGATTGTAAAAATAGAATGCGTTACTGGTGGCGTCCCATACGGGCTCCCACCCATCATCTTCAGGTGGGCCAGGCGGTGCTTCATCAGGGAGTGGTGGGGGCACTTCATCCGGCAAAGGAGGTGCGGTTGTGTCTTCTGCTTCTGCGTCCTTCGATTCTCGGTCTGGGATTTCTTGGCCTTGGGTATCGAGCTGTTGCTTCTCCGTTGGGGACCCGGGTTGAGCTCCGGACGGGGCGGGGGATGCTTCCGGTGCAGCAGATGGAGAGCCTGCATGGTCCCCTGCAGCAGGCGCAGAGGGTTGCGATGGGACAGACATTCTGGCGATCGATCCTGCTGCGACAGGTAGATCAAATCGAGGACGTTAGGCCTGGGCCGAGTCTGGGGATCTGAAGCAAACCGCGACTGACCGCCTTGGCCATCTAGGCCTTGCCTATTCTAGACTAGCGTCATTTTGTATAGCTGCAGTTCGAATGACGGTCATTAGACCACACCACCTCACCACCACGGAAGAAGCTCTATAGGTAAGAGGCTAATGATATGATGAGTATGCGGCTTTACAACCATGAACCACTTCGAGATCGGTTGGTTGGGCCACAAGTCACGGATCGGCATATCCTGAATATTGTGCATAGGCCGCCTCATCAGACCTCCTTGAGTATGAAATCACGGGAATTTGTGCACAGTTCTCGCATGTGACTGATGATTGATGGTCAGTGTCAAAAAAATCTATACTGCTCCTGACAATATGGTGCAACCGGTCTGTCTAATCCATATACGAAGGTTGGGTCAGTGCTCGCTACAGATGAAGCCAACCCCCGGAGAACATTAGTTATATTGTGAGATAAAAAAAAGGTAAGAAAATAAATTGAGACTGCTTTGAATTATTGCATCGCAAATCAAGGTCCTGTCGTTGTGGCCTACGTGGTTGGAGATGCCTATGTTGACAAAGCTTAGGTTCGGCCAGAGATATATTTGGATGCGGGAAACATATAGCCGCGCCACCACTCGGGCATCCATGTCTTCACTGAACGCCGAGTGAAAACTTAACCCATGGATACTGTGCACAACATGAACGGCCACAATATTTAATTTCCGTGAATTTTAGACCATGATCAAATCTTTAAACATAGTCAAGGCAATCTGGGAGAGTCACAACGGGCGTGCTGTTATGTATCATCCAGCAAAGAGAATTCTCCTACGACGACATTTACAAGACTGAACAATCGAATCTATAGATGGGAGTAATTACGACAGTATCCTGGGGATAATTCACAGCTTCTTCAAACACGAAAGAACCTGGGTGGTGGCACATTTATGATTTCAAATTGACCACTACCAAGTTCTGAGCAAATGATCATTAGGGATGGACTACATCCCACCTACTGGAACAGCGCAGACTCAAAGTCCTGCAAAAAATACAGTAGCTGTCCCATCATTTTGCTCAAAACAAAAAAGAAAGTCATCTCACATTTACCACTGACTCATGACACTGCAAGAGATTAAGATGCGCACCGAAAGTATTAGCCTGAGTCTCGATCATTCCAATGAGAAGCAATAGAATCTGATTTCCGACATTGCTTCTCCAACATGATCTAAATCGGGCCGCAGCAATCACGATCATACGAAGTAGGGATAGTAAGATGAAAGGGGGAACGGATTGCTTGGCCAACGAGGCGAGGAGAGAGCCTCGGGATCTGGGGTGGACTATGAGTCTACAGGGGCGAGAAATCAAGGCTTGTGAACGGGGAGGGTCTGGCTAGGGCATATTCAGGAGCAGTGCAGGCCGGGGCCGACTGTAACCACAGATAGCATGTTTGGTGAAAGGAAGCTCACATCGGATCGGAGACTTCTCGTGGCATACATTAAAGTTGAGCAAAGTTTTTGGGTAACCAATTCGTGCTCGTGGCCTAAGGGCGCAAAACAATGAAGGGAGAGACCCGGGGGCCTCTGATTCAAGAGCATGAAGTTGGCCCAAAGCTCCCTTGCGTGGGCTTCTGCCCATGCGTCACCAACTCCACTCGAACCAGGCCGAATCAGAGGCCATTGTGTATTGGTAGGGCCGGTTACATGCCTTAGCTCCCGAATCGATGCAGGGTCCGGGTAAAAGATCCCTGTAGTGACTGGGAGAGTGGACCCACTTTATCATGAGTTGAACTAGGGTGGAAGAGCTGCGTGTCTGTCTGAACAGGTGAGAACTACGATAGAACCGTTGAATAATACGATGATGATGGTAGGAAAGGAGTGAAAGTACTAAACACAGAGAGATAGAGAGGGAGAGGTCGTAAGGGTGTTAAACTCCGAGTGATGTACACTCGCAATCGACCATGTCGTTCTATACATCAAGCTCACAATCACAACAAAGGCCGACGATGCACACCCATGCAAGGCCAGGGTATAGGAATGCCAGGGCAGATTACTCGGTCGCGTGAAGTAGATACCAATAGGCCCCGTAGATCCATACCAGGAGTCCGCCGAGGGAGCGTTGAATGGCAAGCCCTGGAAAGTGGAGAGATCACCCCCTTCCATTACCCTACAGGTCGCATTCCGGGGAGAAGGGGAAGATTGCTCGAGGGAAACAAACAGAGATCGAGGTAATCACGGTGATTCAAGGCGCTCACAGACCTCCACCAAGTTCTATATAAGCATAGTCTTTCAGCGCCTCAGATGTTCTTTTCTCCATCCCGCATCACTCTCTTTTACCTTCTCTTCTGAGTCCAGTCTTCTCTTTCTCAAAAAACAATCTCCGAGTTTCTCGCGTTCAAATCCAAATCCACACAATGCAGTTCACTCTCGCCGCTGTTCTTGGCCTCGCTGCCACCGTCGCTGCCCTTCCCCCGTCGGCCCCTCCGCCGGTGGTGTCGGTAACGCCAACGGAGTTGGCAACAAGGGCAACACCAACGTCAAGTTCCCCGTTCCCGACAACATGACCGTCAAGCAGGCTCAGGCCAAGTGCGGTGACCAGGCTCAGCTCTCCTGCTGCAACAAGGCCATCTTCGCCGGTGACACCACCGATGTCAACTCTGGCATGCTCGGTGGCGCTCTGTCCAACCTGGTCGCTCATGGCTCCGGCGCTGATGGTCTTGGTCTGTTCGACCAGTGCTCCAAGATGAATCTCGAGCGTAAGTCAACCAACCATCTCGGATTTCATCTGCTAATCTTCCACAGTCCCCGTTTTCTTCGCCATCCCCGTCCAGGACTTGGTCAACCAGCATTGCAAGCAGAACATTGCCTGCTGCCAGAACTCCCCCTCGTCCGCCAACTCCGACTTCATCGGTGTCGGCCTCCCTTGCATTGCCCTTGGCTCCCTCTTCTAAATGCTTTATTTTGTTCTCTGGCATTGTGCGGGAAGCAATGGTGGCCACGTCCGCCCGTTTAAGGCTTGACAGGCCTGCGAGCTCGGACCGTTATCGATTCTCAGGATGGATAGCAGGCGCTTTGGCATTTATTTGAAATAGATTGGCGATTTTGTTATCGAGCCCGTGTATCATTAACTGTGTCGCGTTGCACCCCTCGGAGAAAGAAGACTGTTTTTTTTAACGTGATATTGCGGCATGTGTTCCCAGCTTCTTGCTTTGTGCTTTGGCACCGTGGTTTAGCTGCTGTCTAACCTAGTGTTTTTCGCATATATATTCTTTAATCCACTAGACTTGTCTTTGATTCGATTCTGATCATTAGTTCCTGTCGCAAATACGGCCTTTCTGGCAATCTCTTGACACATCTAAATTTGTAGTTTTTTGAGGCTTGTGATGGTCTCCAGGGAAGACACTATCAGTTCCCCTCTAATTCCAATACAGTATACAAGGAATTCAAGGCGCTCTTATCCCTTTCGTCTGCAGACCATTACAGAACAAGGGAACCTTGATCTGCGGGTTTGCCCAGTTGACTTTGAGGTGTGTCCCATGTACGGTTGTTTCAACGGTCAGAATACCATTGTTCTCCTCCCCATACTACTCTGTAGTTGCGTCTTCTTAATATCTTGCATCTCAATTGATTGTTCGATCGAGCTCGCCCTCATACGTAAGCCATTTCCGAACCAAAAGCTTCCCAGTCATTAACATCCATAATCATTGAATCGCCACCAACAGCCATGGATGCTTCACCAAGGCCGTCCCAGTCCCCCACCGCTCCACGTTCCAATGTTTTTACCGCCGCCCAGCCCGTGAGCCTCCAACCACTTTTCCTCTTCGACATTAATTAAGAATTCTTCATCGGCCAGATCAGAGGCATCAATCCAACCAGACGGTACATGGGCTCGCAAGTTTCTGCTTGACCGAGGAGCGCGTGGAAACTTCACATTCAAACGCTTTCTCAGCATCTGCGTCTTGGAACGCTTGAGCTTTGACATAGCGTCCTTTGGCTCTGCCTCTTTCCTCATCGGTCCCTCATCCCGCTCCACCATAGTTTTTGGCACAGAGATTTCTTTCCTGATTTTCTCATCCATCCACTCGACGGATTTCCGTCCCTTGTGGCTCGACTCTCTCCTCTCGGGATCAATTGCATCCTCTAACTTTTTCGTCGGTGAATCGGCCGGTGTTGGGGTCGTGTCTAGCTTGTAGACTGGGTACTCGGCAACAGCGAACGCCCTCGATGTAGGGTCTGTTGCAGCATCCGGTGCCTTGCCATTGTCGAAAAGCGTTCGTAGTACAAGGTCGGTCGGACTCGGCTGTTTGCGCTTGGGTGACTTGATAGGAGGAATGGGTTCCAGGGTTGCATAGTGCATCGCCGTGGAAGCAGAGACAGTACTCTCTGTTCCAACCGATGAGCCATGATTGGAATTGGTCTCGATCAAATCATTTGTTTCATCATCCAGACGCTGAGGCTTGGCGGTGCGGTGCTTGCGAGAGAATGTACCATCGCGCATACAGCGAGCCATGGTTGAGATGAAGCCCATCATTGCAGATATTTGCTGGAGAGAAGAGGATATAGATATTTGTGTGAGAAAAGTTGGGTTGGAGGGGGATTGTATAGTTGATAAACTCAGTCTGGGGCATGATCGGGGCAAGGGGGAGGGTTCCAAAGCTTGGAATTACTGCACCATGCGGGTCTAGACGCCGCTGTACAGTCTTTACGCTATACTATAGATCATAGGAGCTAAGTGCTGGGCTAGTAAGTGTTGTGAAACATCCAATGGATCCAATGGAGATCCGAGGCTTGATGCTCGTTTTGTTTTGTTGCCATAAGCCTGGCCATGTACAGCCTTTGCACGGCATCGAAGAATTGACTATCAGTATGGCTTTAGCAAAAACAAATCTGACCAATTCTAACGATGAGCGGGCTATTCGGCATCACGATCGTACAACGTGATGACAAGACAGCCATGAGCCTGACGTCCTGTACTGCAGCCACAAGGCCCCGAGCTCATAGCTCGTGGTAGTGCATGCAGTTCTCTAATGCACGGCTGCGAAGTAGATCAAAACAAACCCAATCGTAGGAGCGGTCTCAAGGCTGCGGCTGCATGCCCCCGGCGATCTCACCGAGCTTGGGACCTCGGTGGGCCTCTCGAAAGGGCGCATGCAAGGACGTCTCCACATCCCTTGAACCTCATGGGCAAGTCAAGTCATCGTAAAAGCGCTCACCAGCCATCTGATTCCAATCCCAGAGGCATGTGCGAACACACGCGTTATCTAGAGAGGTTGGACTCGTCTTGTAGGTTGTGGAATGTCTTGGTGAGCGGCGTCAACGCGCGGCCGCCGCAAGTTTAGCCCTAAGAATGTAGCCGCAAGAATGACCAAGAAATGCCGCACATGGACCCAGCTGTTCCGAACCCCTTGAAGAGAAGCGGTGTCTGCTCCGACAAGCTGCAGGATCTTGCTACGAGTGAAAAGAAGCGCTTTCCATAAGGGGCAGCTATACTGTTCAAGACATATGACGATAGTCTGCGTGTTGCGAGTAGATGACAACTAGTGTGGGCTGAACAAATGTCGCGTGAGGCAAACCAGCCCCTCTTCTACACTCTCTATTGTGGCAAGACAACCCTATAAAAAAATAGTAAAAAAAAATGCTACCTCAGAGCTTGCTGGTAGGCGCATCACTGTACAGAGACCGGGTCCGGTTCATGGCCTCAACAGCTTCCTTCTCGATCCGCTTCAGCAGCTCATCGCAAGTGGGGATATCATGAATCAATCCAATGACTTGGCCTGCAGTCCACACCTGTAGATGAAATTAGAGTGTGTCGAGGAGGAAAAAGAGAGAAATACTTACACCATAATCCGGGTCGCCGTTCAAGAAGACCTGGCGACCACGCTTGCCACTGACGTACGGGCCAATCTCACTGAAATCACCGGTGGTGCTCTCACGCTCAATCTTCAATGCATCCTGCGTGACCTTATTGGCAAACAAGCGGGAGGTGTTCTTCCACCGACGCAACACGAGGGCGGTGTCAGTCTCCTGTGCGTTAACGATAGTCTCCTTGATCTTCCGGTGGATCGGAGCCTCAACAGTGCTCATGAAGCGGGTACCCATGTTGATGCCCTCGGCACCAAGAGCCAAAGCAGCAGCAAGGCCTTGACCATCAGCAAACCCACCCGAAGCAATGAATGGGACCTTGAGTTCCTGGCGCGCACGGCTCAGCAGGATGAAGTTGGTGATGTCATGCTCGCCAACATGGCCGGCGCACTCGAATCCATCGATGGACAGGAAGTCAACGCCCAGCTTCACGGCAGACTTGGCGTGGCGCACCGTCGTGCACTTGTGCAGAATGATGATGCCGGCGGCCTTCAACTGCTTGATGACGGGGCCCGGGTTGTTTCCAGCAGTCTCAACGATCTTGATCCCCTCATCGATAATGACCTGGGCGTAAGCACCGTAGTCCGGGGGCACGAGAGCAGGAAGGAGGGTCAGGTTGACACCGAAGGGGTACTTGGTCATTTCGCGGCATCGTCGAATCTCCTTGCGCAGGTCTTCGGGAGTAGGTTGCGTGAGAGCAGTGAGCTTCAACGTATGTTAGCCTTGTTCTTACATGATTTGGAAATGTACACACCAGTCCCAGACCACCTGCGTTGGAAACGGCCGAGGCCAGCTCGGCGTATCCTACCCACTGCATGCCGCCCTGCACGATGGGCACTGTAAAAAAAATTAGTGTTTATTCTAGTTCTAGCCAAAAAGATCTTGCGCCTACCTCGGATGCCCAGCTTGCGGGTCAAGGCAGTGTTAAACGGCATTGTGAAGTTGTACTTGTTACTGGTATGTGAAAGAACGGCAGGTTCGGTTCACGTAATCTGCTTTGAAGCAGCGACAGTAAGACTTGGACTGTGTATGAGCAAGAGAAGGTCAATAGGTAAAGATCGTGTCAAATGAAATAGAAATGCAGCTATGGAGGCCTGGCGATTTAAAAAGCAGCGTATGACCCCGGGCAAGCCGCGGGCATGTCTGTGGGGAAACGTCGAGTTGCCGAGGTTCGGTGGTTGCGCCGCAAATGATTAGTCTGGTCAACATGGGTAGACCGAGAAGTATTCATGCACTCGAACAAAATAAACACATCTTTGCACGGCCTTTCAACCTACCAGGCATATTTTGTACGAAATACGCGCAGATAATGAAGCGTTCACTTTGTATCCTCCCTTCCATCATATGGGATGTCATGACCTTACCCAAACATGTGATTGAGCCTTACGATGGCCCCAGGTCGGCATCCCGGTTGACTGGGCCTTAAAGGGCTTAAAAATGGTGCCACAGACCAGTGGAAGGCATAGATAAGCCAAGGATTCACTCCAACAGTGATAGCGATGAAACGAGGGCAGACTGAACAGTCTGAAGGATTACCCGACGCCGCAAGCTTTTGCTGGAAGAGCTTCAACTTGCAGCTCCTGGTGTCCATATTACAGCTAATTAATATTACCAGACAAGAGCAACCTGCCAACATTGCTCGATCATTCTTGTCAAGTAACTCTACTGAATAACGGTATGTTGCCCTGATATGAAACCCATCCGGCTCATTGAAAGAAGCAAATGGGCGATTAACGACGACAGGCTATCCCTCTGCGGGTTTCGTAGGTCCCTTAACAGTCGCGACAGAATGTCGAAACAAAAGGGTGCTAAGCACGTCAACTTCATCCCGGCCACGGGGTCGGTACATTAACGTGAGCAGAAACTCGTGATGAGGGAAAAGAAACAAAGCGGGAGCCTTGAACAAGAAACGCTGTGGACACAAGCGAGGCTATCACGTGATCCGGAAGAACCAAAGTCCGCCACTGTCATCAGTGCCGAATTACAGAGGCCGCCATTGGCTCCCGAGAATCCCGTGACGGATCCCAAACCCGAGGTAGTGCCTTCCGGTTGTTCACGATTGATTCCTTATTCTTCAACACGGGTGAGATCACGACTTGAATCACGCATAATGTTCTCTCAGAAGCTTGCCCAGCAGTCGCTCCGTCGGCGTACGTCTACAAACCCCCTATCTTGACCCAAAATGAACCTCGCGCTGACGATCCGCTACCGATTCACAGTTGCCGTCCAACAGCCGCTTGCCATGCAGTGGTCGATGATGCGCGCCTCCCCGGCTGCCATCGCTCTCGGAAAGGGAATCCAGTCGAGGTCAGTTCCATTGAGATCAATTCTAGCGCACGTCGAGCTTGTCAACCCACACGAACCATGAAGACCGACGTCATCCGCAATCGACCGAGACTAACTCAATATCTAGACCCGTCACCACCTCTCCCAACACTGAGGACCCATCCCAGATCCTGGCCAAGCAGCGCTTGAACCGTCCCGTCTCCCCTCATCTGACCATCTACAAGCCCCAGATCGGCTGGATCGGCAGTTCCTTGCACCGTATCACCGGTGTCGCCCTCTCCGGCTCTCTCTACCTGTGGGCCACCGCATACCTTGCTTCCCCCGTCCTCGGCTGGCACCTGGAGTCCGCTTCCATGGTTGCTGCTATGGCTGCTCTCCCCATTGCCGCCAAGGTTGCCTTGAAGGCCACTCTTGCTCTCCCCTTCACCTACCACTGTATGAACGGTGTCCGCCACCTGATCTGGGATACCGGCCGCGCTCTCACCAACCCCGCCATTATCAAGTCCGGCTGGACTGTCATTGGATTGAGCGTTACCAGTGCTATCGCTCTTGCTTTCCTGTGATTTCATCTCATACCTCTTGAGTCTCTTTGTGTTATTATAGTCATTTTTTTTTTACCAATCATACATGAAATTCTGTTCTGGCGCGAGCTCAAAAGGCGCAGAATTCTTCTTTGTTACTCAATGTCTTTTTCCCTCTAGAGATCTAGGTATGGCTTCGATCGCAATCTCTTTTTTGAATCTACAAACAGAGATCGTTGCTTCTGATCGGGATCGTTGATATTCGTCATAAAACGTATGGACAATCTGAAAGATCTTGGGACACCATTACTCTATGCATGGCAATGACTGTCCAATTCCAAGTGGGCCAGTAATAAGAAATGATGAGTCGTCCACTTCTTTGCTCATTATCTCCCTTCTCTTCCCTGTGGCATCATATCATCCCCATCTCACCCTTCATGCAGGCAATCAATGCTCTGTGTTCTACATAGTCCCTTGAATTAGCTCGTTATTTGAAATGTGCACATTCAACTCACCTATTTAGCCAATTCTCCTCAACGCCAAAGAAGAAACCCAATTAATATCGATCGTTTAGGCCGGGCTCGGCGGTGGGTTGGGAGGGAATGGCCGCGGCGAGGAGGATCTTGCACCGAGTGGTCATTGACTGGCATGTCGCCGACTGATGTATAGTTCAGACTAGATGGAAGAATGGCTTGGGCAATGTAGGCGGTGTTATGGCAGGCCATTTCACGCGAGTGTAAAGTTCCACGGGTGCTTTGAGAGAAGGCGAAGTAGAATAGTATCTGAGCAAGACCAGTGGAGAGATAGTAATATTGATGGAGCGAAAACTAGAGTTGATAGTATTTCCAGTCTAATCGGCCGATCTCCTCCTTTTAATACCTCTCACGCCAGAGCAATGGGGGGGACCATCGGAGATGCCATCCATCACAAGTCGTACACCGCCATCCCGTCGGACATCACAATCAATCAAACCGTCTGGAAGATGACACCCAGGCGTGGCCTTGTTGAGATCTAGAAATTCGATTCTGCAAGGGCCCGACGGAAGAATTGTATAAATGGTTGGACGGAGCAGTCACGTCCGCTTTGCCTGAAGCTCCTCTGTGTCTTTCCAATGCTTCTTCAAGCTTTCAGCCAATAAACCAATGGCTTTCTTCCTGAGGTCGAAGCAGACAAATGCTGTTTTCCAAGACCTTCCCGGAGCGTGCAGATTCCTGTGGAGGGGCACCAGCGGTCTAAAACATCATCTTCCGGCTTCCTGCAGCGATCATCGTCTGGGGGATCGGTGGCTCTATCTGCCTCCATCTAACAGCTCCATGGGACCGTCTGCGACGGATCGACCGTCGCTAGTCGTGATTTGGAACATCCGGATCAATTCTTCGCCGGATTGGGGCTGAAGAGCCTGGCGGTGGAGATATATCCTACGAGTCTTCCGCAATACCGCCCTTGAAACTCACCGACGGGGTTCTTCCAAGTCTTGGGATTTATATAGTATGGGTTCTGTGATACCTGGGAAGTTCCCTAAATTTCTAACACTGAATTGTCATTCCTAACGAAAGGGTACTTGGGTGGAGAGAATCGCCTGCAAGTATATCTTCAGGACATAGAAGACGCAAACAAAGAGCCGGGGATACGCACACGTGGATTATCCTGCGCTTCCGTAGGTTTCCATGGGCTACAGCAACCGTGAAAGTCTCCTGCCCTTTTCAGAGGGGAAACCATATTTACACAGCAGCCGTAGGATGCACCCTGTCCACAGCGGGAGCAAGGGTCCTTCGAGCCAACCACTGAAGCTTGGAAGACGCTATTATCCGATGGCGACATCAAGCAGTCTCAGAATCGACCGTGTGGCGTATGAGCCAATCTTGTCTAACCTCAAGTCGTAGCTTCGACCGAGCTGACGGCTAAGAAGGCCATATAATGTCGCCTAATATTCTCCTGGTCTACCCTGGGCCATCTAGAACTCTACTGCTTTGAGATGCGGGTGGTTTCTCGGCAGCGACCAAAGTCCTGGCCCTTGTGGTTAGGCCCTGCTTAGAAGTGTGCCACTTGCTGGTATCGTGTTCTTCCAGCCCAAAAGCAAAAGACGGACAAGGTTACCTAGCATTGTTCTCGGACCCTTACTCAAGAGTAGGGCAACACGGATGATGGGGAGGATATCCAGAGAGGGCAGTTGCTAAAATGAGACCGTCGGCGAGCTCCAGGTAGGTGGAAACGTACAGATACCTCCAAGTCTGAATAAATTCCCACAGCAATTATTGCACTTACTGTTGGGAAGTTCCACGGTACAACCAGCATCCAGAGTCATTCGCTCTAGGCCTGGCCTTCAAACGGCGGTATGGGCATTTAGCAAAGGACCATGCTCACACTTGACCGCCTCAGTAAATAATGCGGATACGAGTCATGATACAGGCTTTTATACATGCAGCGAAGTATGGCTGTCTCAGAAGTCTTTCCTGGCCAAGGCTGGCCTGGCCGTCGCCGTGAGTGTTCATGGTCACGGATTACCGAGTCCAGCTTTCACCCAGCGGTGAAGCTCAGTTGCATGCCAACGCCAGACCGCCGGGCGATCAAACACTGACCTAATTAATTTCGTTCGAAATGCTCGAGGAAGTATTGTCGGGGTAAAATGATCAGAGTCAAGGAGCAAACGATCGAATCTGTGGTAAACAACCTTGGGGGCTCGTGGTCGGTGGAGGATGGCAGAAAGTGTCGAGGAATTCTTTCCATAGGAACTTCTAATCAACCATCCACTCCGAAGACCACTCGCCCCCCCATGGCTTCGAATCTGTCTACTCGAGCGGTCAGGTCCGCCTGTATCGTATCAAGAGTCGCTCCTCGTCCTATCGCGACCCTCGTTCCCCGCCGCACCTTCGCCTCGGATCAGGAATCCTCGACCGGTGAAGCCCCGGCGCCCCGATGGTCCTACACGCCGCCGCGTACAAAGGCACCATTCAGCCTGCGTATGCATTCTAAGCGCCCCAGTTTCCACGTCAACTCGGACCCAGCCACGCTGGATCGATTTTATACCCGCATGCTGGGTAATGAGGGTGACAAAATGCTCTCGGAGGAGACCAAGTGGTTGGCTGTTACACATAAGAGCTTCGACCAAGGCCGCCGCGGATTCAATGATCGATTGGCCTTCCTCGGTATGAGAAAACCCGGATACCATGAAAATATAGAAGTGTGCTCACACGATGACTAGGAAAACGAATTGTGCAGTTGCAGGCTTCGCTCGCTCTCGTGCAAGATCCCGCGACCGCGAATCCCTCTGCTTCGGCAGAGGACGAGCATGGCCGCGTGCCATTCTCTCACCCGGCTCTTGACGGCCTGAAGAATCTTTCAGCCAGTACCAAGAGCTTTTTGACGGACCGCGCGAAGCTGGCCGAGCTTGCGCAAAAATACGAGATGCAGAAGGTGCTTCGCTGGTCGCCCAGAAAGGTTCGAATCTTTTGCTCCTAGACCATGATTTTGCGCTAATTTGATATTCTATAGCCCGAGAATCTTCAGGCCTCTGGCATTGAGCTGGTTCTGGCTCACACCATGTACGCGGTCATTGGTGCGGTTTCGCTCGAGAAGGGAGGACACATTGCGAATAAGGTGGCTCAGGAGCGGATACTCGAGCCTTTGGGAATCAAGGCGGTCGCTTGAAATTGATCCTCCAGACCTGCAGAGGTTGAGGATACTCCGCGGCATTTCCGGCGTTCTTTGATATTTTCCCTCAGGGCGATGGGAGGGCTGTACCTGGATCTATAGTGATGTACATGTATTTTTACCTTGTTCTATGCTCAATTGCAAATACCATTTAAAGGATATCACTCATTTTTCATTTCAAATTTTTTTTTTTTTGATTCTAAGAAAGAATAATAGAATGTGAAAAGATATAGGAATGTATGGCTCCTCTGACACCGCCCGCGTAACAGTTGCAAAATACACGGCCAGCTCTTATGGATCCCTCAACAAAATCGTAGTCTCCGCAAACTCTGTATCGCAAGTGTAGTAATTGAAACTGACAGTCACCTAGCAGAATGCTAGGCAGCTGCAGAAAGCCTCAAGGGCTTTGTACTGCCTTGAACTGTCTAATGAGAGCGTTGAAGAAGGAAGGAATTGAGGAGGGAAGAGAATTTTATTTAAGGAGCCCACGCTAACCACTTTGGGTGAACAACTCCACTGCGGGCATCTCGACTCTCGCGACCTCCGACTCCCCTGCTCATCCCAGGACATTCACACCCATCTTAATCTTCAGTGTTGGTCAATCTTGCCAAAGGCGCAGAATGTGGCTTTGCTGTTTAACTTAACCCCACCCCCGATAATCGATATCCGACATACACTTCTGTTGACACGTCATGGCGTCCGCACTCTTCTTCCTGGACCTGAAGGGCAAGGTGGGTGATTGAAGAGACTGGGGACATCTTGCGGTCTTCACAGAGAGCGCTTGCCCAATTGTACAGCAAGCAGTCCTTACTGACAAGGTGATAGACCCTTCTGGCCCGCAACTACCGCGGAGACATCCCCATGTCCGCTGTCGAGAAGTTCCCTATCCTCCTGAGCGACGCCGAAGAAGAAAGCTCCGCCGTTCCTCCCTGCTTCTCCCACGAGGGCATTAATGTACGTCCACCTGCGCCGTAAAAGCTACTCCGGGCCCTTGATCTCGAATCTCCTTTTTGTGTGGACCCCACCCGAACTGAATTTCGTTTGTGTACAGTACCTTTATATCCGTCACAGCAACCTCTACATCCTCGCGTTGACGAAGCGGAATACAAATGCCACCGAGATCCTTCTGTTCCTCCACAAATTAGTGGAGGTCTTCACTGAATACTTCAAGGTGCTGGAGGAGGAGAGTATCCGAGACAACTTTGTTGTAATCTACGAATTGCTGGACGAGATGATGGACTTTGGATACCCGCAAACAACAGAAAGCAAAATCTTGCAAGAGTAAGCATAAGCGCGATCTTGATCCAGGCGGTGCTAACAGCTTCAAGGTATATCACCCAAGAATCACACAAACTCGAAGTGCAAGCCCGACCACCCATTGCCGTTACAAATGCCGTCTCTTGGCGAAGTGAGGGCATCCGTTATCGCAAGAATGAAGTTTTCCTGGATGTGGTCGAGTCTCTCAATCTGTTGGTTTCGGCGAACGGAAACGTGCTTCGGTCTGAGATCTTGGGCGCCGTTAAGATGAAGTGTTATCTGAGCGGTATGCCTGAGCTGCGATTGGGCTTGAACGATAAGGCGATGTTCGAGACCACAGGCCGTGCTACACGAGGCAAGGCTGTGGAGATGGAAGATGTCAAGTTCCACCAGTGCGTGCGCTTGTCGCGATTCGAGAACGATCGAACAATCAGTTTCATTCCCCCGGATGGCGAGTTTGAGCTCATGAGTTACCGGCTGAACACACAAGTGAAGCCCTTGATTTGGGTTGAGTGCTTGGTGGAATCTCACTCAGGATCACGAATTGAATACATGCTGAAGGTACGATTCTCTATCAACGACGTCTCCCTTTCTCGCTAACCATCCTCTGCTATAGGCCAAAGCACAATTCAAACGTCGCAGCACTGCCAATAATGTTGAGATCATCGTGCCCGTCCCCGAAGACGCAGATTCTCCCCGGTTCCGCACCAACATCGGTACCGTTCACTACGCCCCCGAAAAGTCCGCGATTGTCTGGAAAATCAAGCAATTCGGTGGTGGCAAGGAGTTCCTCATGCGGGCGGAGCTAGGTCTGCCGTCCGTGAAGGGAGATGACGAGACTGGTGGTGGTATGACTGGTGGATTCGGAGGCAGCATGGGCGGCGCCGGCGCCATAGGTAAGGCTAAGCGGCCCATCAACGTCAAGTTTGAGATCCCCTACTTCACTACCAGTGGTATCCAGGTGCGGTACCTGAAAATTACTGAGCCAAAGGTATGTTCAGTCCAATCCGATCTCGTTGTGGTCCGACTCACTGATCCCCCTCGCAGCTGCAATATCCCTCACTACCCTGGGTTCGCTACATCACACAATCAGGCGACATCGCCGTCCGTATGCCGGACGTCCAATAGGGCGTTCTTCTTTGCTGAATTCGCGTGATGTTCTGTACAGCCTTGGTCCTATTTCCATTTCCCTTTTGCACTCCCGTTCAGGCCGGCCGGTCCGATAGATAATTAAATCCTGATATCCAAGGTCCAATGTCCTGTATCTGTACGGATGAATAAAATAGATGAGATGGGGTTGCTGCTCTAAATATATGAAACAAAGCAATGAATGCCAATCAACGTGCTCATCAGGGCTTTGTAGGGTTAGAATGTTACAATTGAGGGACCTCCTTTCTAGATGTGGCCTCGAGACTATGTATGGCCCTCTAAGGTTGACCATATCATGGGCCCCCTGAAGGATCCCATCTACAAGTCTGGGGTGTTCCAGCCCAATACGATAAACCCTTGATTATGGAATAAATCAATTGGAGAACGAGATGTACAAAATGCCATGGCCAGGGTATCTCGACTCTCAGCACACGCAAGACAAGAAATGCAAGATCTTCGTACCGCAACGCCGTGCGTATTAGCGCCCGTAAAAATTTTGAAAGCCCAAAAAATGCCTGCTATACATGACAAAACGCTGCAAATTATGACAATCCATTAGTTGCATCCTCCGACGTTTCCGGCGGCGGAAGCGGGAAGCCATCCGTTCGACCTGCAGACGCGGCTTTGGAGAAGCCTTCTCGGGCTAGCATGGTGTTCAGCACGGCGCAGTTGTAAGCGGCCTCGCCCGGAGGCACGACTAGGAAGATGTAGGTATTGTCTGTGAAGCGACCGAGGAAAATGTTGAATTGCGGCGTTTTGGTGTGCATGACCACGAACCCGGCTGAGGCGGGGGTGGTCATTGTGTTGCGGGCGGCGCAGTGCTTGAATGCTTTCATGATGTTTGAAAGGCGCTCATGGCGGTCGTAGATGGGGTTTAGCTCGCCTACATCCGAGGTGACAGATGTAACAGTCAGGAAGGTAGACCGCTCGAAAAGAATCACCTCCTCGGCGTCGATCTTCTTTGCGAACGCGCTCAGGAACCGTTCAATCACGGTAAGATTCGGAATGAGCTTGTGCACTATCCCAGCCCATGCCTTATACAGTGATTGGTCCCAGATGCTACTGCCAAAGGTGTCGACGCGAAAGTCCTTAGACCGGCTGCGGATAAGAGCGGAGCGCTCTTCGTAGATGCGTTGGCGGTGCTCGGCTTGGATGAGGTCCATCTTGTGCACGAGACAGAAGACGTAGGCATTGGGGCTGAACTCGCCCAGAGCTTCGATGATCGCATTGTACGTGTCCAGGTCGCGATCGACTTCTCGGGATTCGATGTCGAAGACGTAGATAAGCACGGCGACATCCGAGAAGATGTTACCGCGCTGTGAGGCGAGGTAGGTCTCCATAAATGCATCTTGTCTATGCGCAATCCAAGCGTCAGTTAATTGAAGATCTGGAATTTACACGTTCAATTGGCTTACCCTCCACAGTCCCACAAGTTGAGAGTCAGGTTACCCATGAACTTGACATGACTGTGCTCCACATCGATAGTAGCACCGAGGCGGCGCACATCCTTAGCGACGTAATTGCTAAAAATTATGGAGCGCATAGACGACTTCCCCGAGCCACTCTTGCCCATCAAGAGCACCTTTCTCTTCTTCTTGCGTGCGTCCATAATTCTGATCGACTGGTGGTGGTGGTTGCTGAGCTCAGATTGCCCCGCAAGAGCGGGGGACCACTCGGGTGGTACTTGGGGCGGCTCGGTGACTTCGCAGAGCTGCTGTGGAGCTCGTAAGGGTTGAAATTGAGTGGTTAATAGGAGGAGAGCATTTGCCACAACTGATCTGCAGCATTGAAGACGAGAGAGGAGAGGAAGAGGAGCGAGCTCCAGCCTCAGATGCGGAGTGACGGATCAACTTTGGCCCGATGAGCGATCACGTGGCAGGTACAGAAATGCGATGACGCAGTGCCGCGGTGGCTTTCTTGATCAGATCTAGCGTATGAGGTCTTTTGAGCTTCTAGGGTATGATTCGGGAAAAAGCTGATAGTCAGGAATGATGTGTATTGTTTTGTGAAGGGCAAGGACAAGCATCCGGTATAGCCGAGGTACCGATGGAAACGTCATACCTTGCCAGTTAGTTAGGTATGCAATCTATAGTAACAGGAATCTCGTTATATGCAGCCACGAATGGTTTGGGGGTGGTATAAGAATAAGGCTGATTGGGAGAAAAGAAAAAGGGTAAGAGTGGTATCCGAGAATGAAACGCAGCGATCACCATTGCTGGCAAATCATGCAAAAGGCCTCAATCGGAAAGAAAAACAAGAACTGTGAATATCAAAGACGAAGAGGCCATCATCAAATCAAAGGGGTCGTCATCAGCATTTCATAAGGACCACCATATCTTGGTAGACCAGGTATCCAATAATCGATTAAACTCGTGCGTATATAGGGCATTAGAAGACCGTGCCGTCGGAACGAATCATAATGGGCGGCTCCTTAGTGTTGGGCCTGGAAACTTCGGCGATTTCACGACCGCCCTGGTTGAAGTTAGCATAAATGCGTTTCGTGGGAAGAAAGAAAGGAATGCGGACCTTCCATGTGCCAGCTTCCAGCATTTGGGCCAGCGTCAATTGCTCCTCGGAACCACTAAGTCCCAGCTGGGAGTTAACCTCATCGAGTAGCTCGTCCAGGAAGCCAACAGTGGCAGCGCGCCATTCCACAATTACGTCGTCGTCGGTAGAAAAGAGCGGCACCACCTCCACACTGGGCTGACCCTTTATCTGCGCATTCTCCTTGTATGCTCGAATGCCACGCTCCAAGTCTGGTCCCTTCAGAGTCAATAGACCCATATCGATCAGAAGGCCGCCATTACGGTATTCAGGAAGACCCGTCAATAATTCACTGCCGGCAAAGTGGATATTCATCAATTTCGACATTGGCACCATAATCGAGTAGCAAAGCCACTGCGTCAGCTTGTGGAACGGCATGATAGTCTCCCACGGCTGCGAGGGCGGAGATCGGGGGAGGATCGAGCAGGGCCATGCATCCCCGATAGTCGCACCGTCGATTTGGGTTCGCGACTCGGGCCAGATTGATGAGAGGCCATCCATGAGAACAGACCATAGTGTGGTTATAGGGACAATGGGGACGGATGAAGCCAGCGTCGAAGGATGACCAAGCAGGTAGTCTGAAAAAAGCATTTAGCAGGCGATCAAATTCCTGGGAACATACAATTCCATCTTACCGAGCATGTTTCCAGGCCGGGCATCCACGCCAAAGAAATCCTGGTTATTCAAAGCTTCTGCCAATCGCACCAACAGGCCAGTGCGACCTTCCAGCCCGGCCAGCGGATTCTGATCGGAATGTTGCATCCCCTTGGCCAACTTTTCGACTGTCACCCTTTTCAATCCGGCACCATCCACCTGGCACGGCTCTGTCGGATCGCCGCTGAAAAGACCTGACTTAAACATCTCCAAGCTGGCGACAGCCAAACCTTCACTCCGTCCGTAGATTTTGCCAGACTCTTTGGATTTGTAGGACCAATTATTACCGGCTCCGGCATCGAGCAGTACCGACACCACGAATAGGTCGATCAAGCGGCGCGTCCGCTCCTGAGCGTCAACACTGCTCGGCCATGACTGGAGGAGCTGATTAATTCGGGGCCTACCACCGACATCGAAATGTTGCCAGCGGCCGTGAGGCGGAATGCTTGCGTAATCGGGCGCATAGTCGCGCTTTTTCCACGATATAGGGGTTAGAAACCGGCTTTGAAAGTTCGGGTCCAGTGGATCGGAGGGGGCCATGTTTACCTTGATGATCGACACAACATAGGACGCAGTGGCCTTGAGTTTGCTCATGTCGACATCGAAGTGGTTCAGTCGATTGCACCTGGCTCTACCCATGACCAGCGCTGCGCGTTCGCGTACGGCATGGATGCTTCGGAGATAGGCGGCGGGGTCTAATGCTGGGTCCGGCGGGTTTGAAATGGGGAGCTCAGGGATGGATGCCGGAAGACCACTACCCTTGTAACCGGGGGACCTTAACGAGGTGTTGGAATTTCGAGCGCTGTTGACAGAGACGAAGGATTCATTCTCGTCCTTTTCGCTGTTTTTCGAGTTGCGCTTGAAGAGGCCCATGGTCGCGATCACAGGGGAGAAACGGTGGGTGTTGAGGTCGGAGCGACTCCCATTAATTCAATATCAATCTTGAAGAGGGGGGAAAAAAAAATAAGTCGCCTGGGTATGTTGATTTTTTTACCCAAGCTCCAGGGTAATAAAAGTCGAGCGGGGCGGTCGGTGGTCCGGCTCTCGACAATCTCCACGGTTTAGGGACGCGGATCTAGGTGGTCTTGCCCCGAGCCTCGAAGTGGGGAGACGGCCGAGAAATTATTAATTTCGACTATGTCAATATAGGGGAGGTTGTCCACCTTAAAAAAAAAAAGAAAACAATATGATGTGCAAAAGGAAACAACCCGTCGAACATGACGAGAAGAGGGAGCTCGATACCAGAAAAGGGAGGATGAGCTATGTTTAAGAGTTTGTGCTTCGTATTTTGGTCAAATGGGGGAACCTTGAGTAAACGCTAGGTTCAACCTTTAGGGCCCGAAGATCCTTCTATGAATGGTTCACCAGAGCATGGTACGTGTATAGATCGCTAGCGCGGGTAAATTGTCTGGACTTTCGACTCTGGTGTAGCTTAGTGCACCAACAGGCTGTGTAGGCTACGCTAAGATGGCACGGACTACCTTGAGCGGGACTTCGAGGCGGCTAAGTGTTTTGAGTGGTGGTAAGTTCGCGCATCGCGTCAAGAAGAGAGGTGGATTGTTGCTCGAAATCTTGGGTCGCCCCCCGAGTCCCATTTTTCTGTCGGGTCCGTCTATGACGATAGTTACTGTCCCCTCCCCCCTAGTTCGGGATCTCTTGGAGCCATGGATTCCCGGCTGCGGTGTGGAGGGTACTATACTGTAGTACCTGTATCCAGGAATGGCTATGACTCGTGGGATCCCATTTCACATGCAATCCCATGGACCGAGTGAATTCTCCGCTCAAGGTATGGCGGACATACTCCCCAGTCAGCACTAGCGGGGTCACTGCAAGAGACGCGGTGTCAGTCAATGGGAAGTGGAGGACAGTCTTGTCTCGGAGCTTGTTTTAATATTTTTTTTTTTTACGAATTAGTGTCGAAGAGCTTGTAGAAAGACTTTGTACAGCGAGGGCCAAGGATGGCCCTCTTACCTCACGATCGGGACCCGAGCAAGGTCTAGATCGAGCAGCACGCTCCAAGAGCTCGTTAGAATAGTGGACAGTGCGAGACATCTTCGGAAAGACCGCATTCCCCTGGCGATCAATGAGTGACCCGAGAGGGTCTCAATCTCCGCCCACCCCTCCCGAGAAGCACGGGCCCGGGTTTCATCTTTAAACCCTGTAATATTTGCCCCTTCTGGGCGGACTCCGGTCTTAGTTAAAGGTATATTATCTAAAAGACATTCCTGGACTAGGATGTAGGGGTATTCGTTAGTACCGAGAATGGAGTCGTGAGGTAAACATGGCCTAGCTAAAGTATCGGCCCACGCAGGCAATGAATTTTCACCTCGTTTCCCTCCGTTACCACGCGGCTCCTACCCGAAGACTCCGCTACGCCTTCAAAATAAAGAAAACAACCAAAAAAAAAAAAGCGGAAAGCGGAGAATTGACTTTTCTCTGTTTTCCCGTCTGGGACTAAGCGGAACTCGCCAACATCAACACAGCATACTTGAACCACTCGCTTCCACTTCTCGCAGGAAATTGCTTGAAACGAGAATAGCCCTTCCGGTGGCTGGCCTTAGCTGCAGCTCGAATCGAACGGTTGATTCTAGGAGGCTTGCACTTGCATCCACTGGCTCCTTCTGAGTGATTCTGCCTGCTCGATCCTTCAAATATGGCACTTGTAGCCCTTGTCACGGACCGTCCGACGTAGCATGCCTGCTCCGTGGTGATATCGTGTACCTTAGCGTGGACCATGTGAGTGGTTCTCGCGGGCGGGAAGGTCGCACGGTTCATTGCCAAATGTTGGCCACGGAGAGAGCCGCCCCGGTTGCTCCACCACATTGTGAAGCGTTCACAATTTTTTATTTTGGGGACCCGGCCTCGTATTTCCGATAAAGTACCGACGTCAGTTGGGTCCTTGCTGGCCAGTCAAATTGGCTGCTCCGCGTTCGGTTAACTCTAAAGCTCCATGGCGTTCGGAACTTGAGCGAATTTGCCCTAACGAGTTTTTTAGACGACCTTATGTACGAGCGGGACACTCATTGAATTTGCCCAAAACTTCCCCGTGAGACCTCCATGATTGTGCTAGTCCCAGAAGAGTTTGATGCACACAGCACATTCGATTGACATTGTCCGTTGTCTGCGAGTGCCCTTTTTTTTTTTGGTGCGCGACTTGTGGCAAACTCGTCGGCGCATTGGTCTGTAAATTCAAGAGTGGGCCTCTGTGAAGCGCTGCAGAAGGCGTCAATCTCTCTTTCAGACAAGCTTTGGGCTAACCAGTGCCCGTGTTTGGTGTGTGGCGGTCGGACTCATACGTAGAAGTCACGATACGTTCACATTTGTGAGGCAATTAGCTCTATGTAGACCACAAATGAACATATACTTAGTTGGGATCAAATCACTATAGGCCAATGTCTGTTACAGAAACTTCGTGTAGTATGCCACAAGCAGATGTTAAACGAACCAACGAAGATTCGTTTCCAGAACGGATCCGGCAGCAATAAATCCTCGACAATCGAGGCTGGTAGTGAAAACTGCTGGCAACGGGACTTTGGAACGCAAGAGAGCAAAGCGCCTAGTCATTGATCCAGAAACAGAAGGGCGTTATATTGTTATGAGCATGTACTAAGATAGTACCTAAAGGGCCATATTTAGGAGAATAGGAGGGATGGGAGATACGAAGTCGCATGGTGAGTTGAAGTGCGCGCTTACTACGGTGTAAGAAGATGGTTGCCTAACAGCAATTATGCTGATCTTTTTGGTCCGCATTTCGGTTACTTAGCATTTATGGTGGTCCTCACACCAATATAGGGTATTACTTGACGGTCTTCATTGAAAGAGATCGTTCATTTTGTTCGAATCTACCCCGTGGAATAGATTGAGAGAATTTAAGCGTCTAGGCCTGTTGACTCATCTTTTCGATCGGGTTCCAGTGCGGAAAATGTGCCTAAGTAGGAAATGACATCCTTTTATCAATTTCGATCTGTGTCATGAAGGCCGCGAAACTGTCGCGAAAAGCGGAGATTGCATGGTTGTCAAGCCACCCACTATGTAAACTTCCAACAGCTTCATATCAACCAGAAGCACCACTCAAAAATATCAGGAAGGAAAAGGGCTTGACCGAAGGCACACGGATCACCATGCAGCTAGGCGTTTCCTGAGAACAGCAATCAAAAACCAGAGAATCAAAGCGTATTGCACTGGTGCAACCAGTGCCTCGCCGTTACACCGACTCCTTCTATACTCAGAGCCTTTGTACCTCAGAGGCTTCCTGATATCTCAAAAGAAGTGAAAATACTTCTGAAAGCTTGCAAAGAGGCAGAGCAAAAGATCAAGATGAGTTTCCTGATCAAATTTCGCAAATCCCTGCTGGGGAGCTTCTGTGCTGGGATATTTGCACGCTTCCACAGACGACCCACCGATGGCCAGGTGGACCACCAGCGAGGGCAGTATGTGCTCCCAGCAGAAAGCGATCCACATGAGGCAACGATTCTCGGATTTCCTGCTCGCTGCTCCCTACCGCCAGAGCAATATAACGCAGTCTGTCGCGAGCTCGCAGAACTGGCAGCTGCGATCACTGAGTTTGAACCCGTCCGCATCTACGTGCGACCCGAAGATAAATCGTGGGCAGAGTCCGTGCTAAAAGAGAGCGTCAAAGGCGGGTCAAGGGTAAGTCTCATTCCCTGTCCCGTCAACCACTGCTGGGTTCGTGATACCGGTCCAGTATATGTTCACGACGCGACGGGGACGCACTCAGAAAGAAGATTTGCGTTGAACTTCCGATTCAATGAATGGGGTGGCAAGAAACCCGAGAATGATGGAAAGTGCTGGGGTCAGCAATGGCCCTTGATGGATGAGAAGACACTGCAAGAGAATACGGAATTCGCGCAGTGGGTCATTGAACATGACACCGACCCGTCGCCAGTGACCTGCATCAATGCTCCCATCCGCCTCGAGGGCGGTGCTCTAGTGACAGACGGCGAGGGTACTCTGCTCATCACCGAGAGCAGCATCATCTGTGAAGCCCGTAACCCTGGCATGTCCAAATCGGAGATTGAGACCGAGCTGAGACGACTACTGGGCGTCGAAAAAGTGATTTGGTTCCCAGGGCGCCGAAACCTGGACATCACCGACGCGCACATGGACGCAGAAGCAAGATTTGTGCGGCCGGGAGTCGTTGTCATCACGAGACCGCATGAGGGTGAGATTGACGTGTGGAATGAGATGTCGGCAGAGATCCACGAAATTCTGGTCCGCGAAACTGACGCCAAGGGGCGACGCATAGAGATCCACAGCATCGACGAGCCTGACCCGCGAGACTTGGTCCAAAATCCTGATGACGAGCTCATCACCTCGTACGTCAATTTCATCTTTGTGAATGGGGGTCTCATTATTCCCAAATATGGCGACGCATTGAAGGATCAGCAAGCGCTTCAGACTCTACAGACGTTGATGCCAGAGCGAGTGATCCGACAGGTCTATTCCAACGCCATTCCTCTGACTGGCGGAGTGCTGCATTGCGTCACTCAGCAGATCCCTGTGGCGAAGTGATTGTCAAATGGAAACTCGATTGAATGTTCTGGGCCCTATGCTGAGTCTGCTGCATTTATGACCTGCCTGCCAATGTTCGCAGGTTTTTGATCTGTTGTCCTCAAACCCCGATAGCCCAATAAGTATAGTTTCATAAGTATACCCAGGCTTCTATGATATCTAGTGCTCATAATATCTGGAACCGCTCCGATGCTACAGAATCTCCGACAGGCGTAAACCACGTGTAGTAAAATTCTAGCCACGGGAAGGTCGGTGTGGACACAGTGCACATGCACATATTTCACTAGGCCTTATTATACGCATGAAGGGGTGAACTAGCATGAGCCAGGGGTTCAAAACTAGGAACGAAACAAACTTGAGCTTACTGGCACCCGAGATGCACCAAGTCTACATTACGGTGGGCTTGATGCACAGTTATTGGGAGGCTGGGGTCACAAACCGGGTGGCCTAAGCTATAGCTGGGAAGAGTGGAGCAACAGTACCCCTAGATCTCCATTTGCCTGCATTTACTATGCACAAGCATTGCCACCAGGGTTTTTTCAGTACAAAAAATGCAATTGAAACTAAGTATACCTCCAGAGAGCTGATGTAGTCTCTGCGGCTAAACTCGCAATTCAAGTATCAGAAAGTATGTCTGTGTTTAGACCTTTGATTCAAGTCCAAATGCTAATCTACTGAACTTTTAGCAAGCGGGAAGACTCCACACAGATGCAGCGACAAGAAGGCCAATCAAAACCCAACGCACAGATCATGTAGTCGCATGTGTGACGAGTGAGCCATTTCTGGCGTCCCACAAATCTCGATCCATCCGATCAAACCTCCGATGAGCGCCTGGGGAGAACCCATGGACTGAAGCGGGAACCGATCCTGCACAGTCTCACTATTGCACAGAGTCGATACAACTCTGCCGTCTCAAGCTCCAAGCGGGTAAATGCACGCTGACATTTGCTATGTCCTGGATCTTTGTGTCTCGTTAGACCTCCATTTGACTCTTCAGATGTACACCATCGGTCTTAGCCTCTCAAATTCATCATCTTGACCTCGTGTCATGTCACTAGCGGACGATCTCTACAGCCGATTGACCCTCTTGCAGCAATTTGGTATGCAAACCTGCTCTCCGCCAGGCCCAGGTAGCTGAAGTGGATCCAAACTACTGTACATGTTTATATCTACTGTCACCCACCTGTGACCCGAAATCGGCTCAGATGTCAATACATTTTCTATTTCGCAGATCTTGGCCACTGTATCATAGTCGGGTTTCTGACAATTTTCGTGCCAGTTTGGTCCTGTGCTTCGTAATGCATCTTCATTCCAACAATCTTCCGATCCCTATTCCCTTACTCCGAAAACACGATCCCGCAGTCATGGATTTGCTCCCAGCCCAGCAAGAAATCTTTGGTCCGGAGAAGATCCCAGTCATTTCACAGCCAGCCCCCAGCCAATTGGTTGATCTTGCAATCGAAAGCCAAATCTCTCGCATAACAAAGCGAGCATTCCTTGGTGGAGATGAATCCTTCTTTGTCGCGGACTTGGGAAGAGTTACTCAGCAACATCGACGATGGATGAAAAGTCTCCCCGGAGTGCAACCATATTACGGTAGGAAATCAGGATCAAAATAAGAAAATCGGGAAAAGGAAAACCAATATTGACGAAGCCCAGCGGTAAAATGCAACTCCGATCCAACTCTACTAAAGCTCCTCGCGAATCTTGGCACCGGCTTTGACTGCGCTTCCATAGAGGGGATGCGCGCCGTTCTAAACCTGGGTGTAGATCCAGCCCGAATCATTTTCGCCAACCCGTGCAAATCACCAGCATCCTTGATATTCGCACGCAAAGCAGGCATATTTTGTACGACATTTGACAATATCGACGAGCTAGATACTATCAAGAAACACATGCCCGAGTCGCAGCTTATTCTTCGCATTTACGCAAACGATGACAGTGCTTTGATCTCGCTCGGCGAGAAATTTGGTGCTCAATTGGATACCACGGCCACACTGTTATCTCGAGCGTGGGAGCTAGGACTGGAAGTTATTGGGGTGAGCTTTCATGTTGGTAAGAAAAGAAGGGCAATAGATTGTTGAAGACAATTCTGCTCACAAGGAAATGTCAGGAACTGGAGCGAAAAACCTGGATGCCTTTGGCAGGGCAATTGAAGATGCTAGAGTTGCCTTCTCGCAAGCCGAGAGACTTGGGTTCAAACCTACGATCTTGGACATTGGTGGTGGGTTCCAAGATGATTGTTTCGAAGATGTAGCATCAATGATCCGACAATCGATCCGTGCCGAGTTTCCAAAGGGGGTAACGACTATTGCAGAACCAGGGAGATACTATGCATGCCAAGCATATACGCTCATCACTCGAGTCCTTTCTCGTCGAAGACAACTCGGCAGTGCGGCTGCTTCTGGTGTCCCAGACATGCTGTATCAGAGTGACGGAGTATATGGAAACTTTCTGAATGTGATCATGGAGAAGGAGATAATGGTACCCCGCTTGATTGGAGGCAAGAGGTCATCTGGAGAGCATAGATACTCAATTTGGGGGGCCTACGTGTGATAGTGTCGACTGCGTTGCAAAAGACGCGCTATTTGACTCTGAGGTCAAAGTAGGGGACTGGCTAAGATATGACAATATGGGTGGTCAGTCTCCAGAACCTTGGAGGGGCGTGGTAGGCATCGCTAACTGCTGATAGCATACACCACTACAACGTCTACACGATTTAATGGCTTCGATAGCTCCCACGACACGTTCTACGTGAATAGTGAGACACTATCAGGTTACTAGCTGCGGATATATACCAGAGCCTTCTTAAGGTTCTAGCACTTTGCTAAGAACCGCAAAATCGAAGATTTTGCCTGAGAGGTAGACACTGGCTATCACCATGTCACCTACGTTCCAATGTATTGAAAGAACGCTGGACGTTGAGGTCCAATTATAGGCACTACGCTCACCATCTAAAAATACAGGTAATGAGAGTATGAACGACAAGCAAATGCCATGATGTATTGCCAGATAGGGGAACTGAAAAATGCACTTTCAACTCCACGTCAGTTATCAATGTTACACCCGTCTTTCTATCCTTCCCCATTTGATCGGAAATGGTAACTTCGGGTAGATAGAAATAGGTGGAGATCGAACAGCTTCGATCGCGAGATCAAATTTTTATAGAAGAGGTTGTTCTTGATCATTTCTCAGATAGCGAGTCATTGCTTGAAGAATCTTGGATTGCTGGACGGACCTTTACAGAAAGCCTTGCACTTTTGGTCTGGTAAAGGCGACAAGACCCGAGTCCTGTTATGATCAGGAGATGAGAGGCTAATGATTCATATCACATTCCAATGTGATAACAAGGGCCAAGCCCCTTTCAAAATGTAAACCCTTAGACAAGGCTGCAAGGCTATCCGGCATTCTTGAATAGAATTGGCTGGACCTGGGATTCTAGACCCACAGGGCAAGATCTGGGATTCGGGGCCGAGATAACTAGCTCTGTAGCTAGGAGGCTAGTCAGGCTAGTCAGGCTAGTCAAGCCGAGAACCCAGACCTAGCTTGTTAGATATACAGCTACGAGACGTCCCAAGAATTTAAAAAGAATAGAAGATACCGTCGGGCTCGCTGAATTTCCCATCGCACGGCTAAGGAGTGAAAGATCGAAACAAATATGGATATCAATCAAAAAGAAATGTAAGACCGAAGATCAAAATCAACAAAAAAAAAATCAGACCGAAAAACCGAAGAGACAAAGACATCATGTTTTCTCGGTACCTGTCATTTGGACATCCTCCGGAGCAGCCTCAGTGATGATAGGCTGCTTGATGTCCATGCCGTACGGTTGAGCGTCCGGCGCAAGGGGCTGTTCTTTCTCCGCATCCTGTGCGGCTTTGTTCCCAGGGCGCTTTCGTCCCAGGCGTTCACACCAGTGCTCTGCACTTACCAGGGTGTCGTTGACCACGCCACTGACCTGACCCAAGATATCCAGACCTTCGTTGGCCAAGACCAGAATGCGATGGGCGCCAACAGTTGCATCTGACGACGCCGCGGGAGAGTCGGGAGGCGGCTGCGAGGTGCTGGCCATTTGGAATCGGTGAGGCAGAGATGTCAAGTGTCGGCGAACCAAGTGACGGGCGTTCTCGGGCAAAGCACCTCCAGCGTACTTGGACACGACATCGACAACCTGTTTCAATGTCGAAAGCACGTCTTCCTTGACGGCTTGAATGCGCTGGGTAAGAATAGACGCATTTTCAGGACTGCTCGATCGCTCTCCATTTTCGGCTTCACTCTGCTGCCGTAAGCGGGTCTTTTGGTTCTCCCACTCCGTAACGGCACTCTGCAGAGCTACGATCGCTCTACCAAGCCGTCCATTCGCCCACCGCAGCCAAGCTAGACAATACGTCAGACTGCGCAGCGACTCCTCGCTCATCGCAACACCAAGGCCCGAAGTCGAAATAACCAGCCGACTCTGCCAGGTGGGCGGAGCCTGCCGCCCGGGCTTTTCCTCATAGCGAGGAGATCTTGTGTCGTCATAAGGCGGGAGAGTGTCAGCCATGGAGAGATCTGAGGAACTTCGCGCGCGGGGCTGATCGGTGATCTCAGCACCTCGCTCGACATCCATCTGCTCCCCCGCTACCTTGCGACGTTTGCTAGCGGGTTTCGTGTCGGTAGACGAGTCCCGTCGCTGTAGCGCCCAGCGCAATCCGCTTTCAACACCCGTCCTCCGTCCAACCGTTCCAACGGTGTTCGCGACGGGCGAACCAATGTTGCGCTCGATGAACTCGGCGCCGGACTTGAAACGCGCCGAGTAAGACTTGGACGAGGTATATGCGGAGACAGATTTGGAGATAGTCGAGGAGATCAGCGGGTGAGAGGAGGTTAAGAGAGAAAGAAGAGGTTCCGGCTGTGGAGGGTCTGGTGAAGCTACGGAGATGGTCTGTGATGCTCGCGGGGAGTGACCGAATTCTGCAGCGATCCACGATCCAAGAATTAGCCGGTGTCCAAGCCGCATCCCCAACAAACGCGCGTAACGGTTCAGCCTCGGGACAAACTCACCGGAACGAAGGCCTTCAAGGGCTTGCGCCGCCTCCAGGTCGTCCATCGATAGTACGCTGGCGGCGCGACGAGAGCGGTCTTGCGGATCGTACTCCATTATGGGGGCATGGTGAGGATGTATATAAGGATTCACAACCTTAGGAACTTGAGTATCATCCATGCCGGGGTCTTTGACGAAGAAATGGTAAGAAGTGCCCATTTTCACGTGAAGGTGGAAAGTCCTTAGTCATGAAGGCGGTTCACATGTCACCCCAACAAGTTTTACCCAAGATTACCGAATCACTGTAACACTATGACACTTTTTACACTGTTCATACATTGCCATTTGACTCTTGACTTGCTTGGGAACGCCGAATGTCGCTTCAAGCGGGGGGGGAGAAAGGGGTAGGATGGACTATGACTGGTCGTGCATATTATGCAGCTTCCTTTTGGGGCAACAAACGCCCCCCCTGGTACACTTCCAAATTCCCTGTGGAGTGGAAATCAGTATACGAGAACGAACAGGGTTCGCGGAATACACTGCCTCGTCACATGTGGTACACCTATGGGTCACCCTTTTGTACTTTCGTTTTCTACAGTGTCGGATGTACTCACATCGATCCCGTCACAGCTGAGTCCGAGCCCTCCGTAACAACTGCCGGGCGCAAACCTGAGAGGCCCAAGCAGTAGCCCTTCCCAGACTAAGTCGCCCCGACGCTTTTGCCTAAATGGCCTATCTTCATGTGACCTGCCTCGATTTTGAGTCGGTGTCATTGCTGATTTGTGTTCCTAGCTTGCGGGTGATTTGTCTCTTTAGCGGTGATACGTGATCGAGCTCGGACGGGTGCCGAATTGAATGTGATGTTCATATGAATGTCTCGGCGGGCGATACTGCGGGCCGCAAGACAGCGTGTGCACGCTTGCCACCCGATCCCAGATCCAGATCTGAAGAATGCTGCGATTGGCTCTTGGATACGATGGGGATTACGGAGGAAATCTAGGAGAGGATGCTCATTACATTGAAACGATTCATCAAGTTGTCAGTATCTAATACAGATCATGGCTTCATTGTCTCATTCGACGGACATGCCGTCGTCAAAATAATCATGGACCTCCCATCCTTGGGAAGACACGAGGGACTCGATGGCCTCTGCGCCTTCATACTCGTCTGCATCCTCCTCGACTGCCTCGGGCTTGGTGAGGGTCTCTCTAGCCGTGAGTCGGGCAACCATCTTCTGATTGACTCGGTAGGTAGCGAGCACATCGTGGATAACACTGCGCGAGGACTGGGAGGACGCTTTGAGTTGACAGAGTGCTTCGCCGAAGGCGTGGAAGGGCAATGTGCTATGCGGATGGTGTTGGTAGAGATATGAACCCAGTAATCGTTGCCATTCGTCCGGTCGATTGCGCCAGAGGCAAAGTAGCCAGTGGGACCCTTCAGGTGGTGGGAAGAGGAGAGTCTGCAGATGACCTCGCGTGATTTGGGCGAGAAGGTCTCTCTCTCATTCGAGTTCGTGAAAGAAATCATCCACTGGCCGAAGATTGATTTGACATTTTGTTCCATTTGTGACAGTGCAATGCTCAACTCCCTGCAGTTGGGTTCACGTTTGTCGGCAGCGGTGATGGCCTCCTGCCATGGACGAATGAGGTCTTCGTCCCGGTCATCCAGACCTACATCTTCGGGATACGTATCATTGAGCTGCTTCAGGATTGCATCATGTTGAGTCTTGGCGACCACGAATTTCAAATAGTCGACTATGTTGCTTGTCTTGGGTTTGCGGAGTGGAAGACGATATGCAGGTGGGGATCGATTTTTCGGGCTGATCTTCTTGCGGTATTCTTGCCATGCGAGCTCGGACAGATGGACACCACCTTTTCGTCCATCAACTAGATGACTGAGGAGACAGGCCAGTTCTTTGGCGTTGGGGCTATCGATTGACTCGTCGTACGAAACCTTCTCATGCTCAACTGTGCACTTTCCCAGGCTGGACATGGTCAGGTTGAACTCGAACGCGCTCAGTAAGAAGTCCGCAGTCGTGGACAGCTCAGCCATAGGCACCGAGTGCTCTGTGAGGCCGTAGTGCTGCGGCGGGAACTCCACATGTGGGAGATCTGAGTTGTGAAAAGCCTCCACGATAGCAGGATCCCAGCAGATCCATGGAGTGTCCCCCATCATAATCACCACCAGACAACATGTGCGCAAGTGGTATATTGCCCGTCGTCGGGAACACAATCACATCCTTGAAATGTCGGAGCTCGGTCTTCCACACAGCCCTACGGCGTTGAATATCAGATGGAACATGAGCCGGTAATCGACCGACTAAGACATCCCTTCCGGTGACCATGTTATCGAGGAACTCATTATTCGGATCTCGCCAATTGGTCGACAGTCCGAAATGGACCTCGTCCGGTTGAAGAACACCGTAAGGGTCAGCGATACAGTAAGCATACGTGGACAGTGGCACCTGAATGTGGAGTTCCTCAACATGTCGCTCCAGCAGATACTCCAGAAACCTCCGTAGACGACGTCGAAGAGGACGGAACGATTGAGGCTTGAAGCCAGCCTCCGACAAGCGAATGATGTACTCGGCATCATTCATATTCCACTGCTCTATTCGCCGCGCCTTATGTGGTCCATCCTCACCTGATGGACGAAGCTTTTGGAGAAGACTCCGACAATGAACAGCATCGTTTGTCTGTAGCACGTACGCAAAGTCATGATACAATGCCCAGACACCATCATGTGTCAACTTTGCAATGTACTCCTTCATGTGTCCCCCAAAGTCAAGAATACCAAGAAGCTGGATATTGAGATCCACCGGATGCAATGATTTAGACCAATTAACCACCTCAAAAGTAAGCTTCTCTTCATCGACAGGATCTTTCCAATTGACCGGGTGCGGCTTAATCTTCAATTGTGAATCCGAGATCTCAATCCATATGCCATCGCCTCCGTCTTTATGGAAAGCGCCATGCCTCGGTACCTCACCATCAACCATCCAAAGACCTTTAGCACCCGCGATTCGACCTTGAAATGCACTCGGAAGATCGCCATTGATCTTAAGCTGCTCACAGATCCGTCTTGCCAAATTGCGAGACATCAAAGCACAACCATCATTCATGACAGGTTGATGAGGTCTGCGAACATCAGGTAGATTGATCACCCGAGTACACGGAATAACCACAGATGCCCATGTCTTGGACAACCCCAAAGAAATGCGCTGGAACAACTTGCAATTTTTCTGGTTGCGATTCGCCGCGGCAGGCATATGCCATTCAAGAAGGTCTTCCAAACTCATTGGCGTGTGTTTCTCACTAGCTTGATTCGGCGGAGCAAGAGACGCGAGAGATTTACCCAGGAAATCTACACCATCGACAGCAAAGAACTCAACGCGAAAGCGGGGCTCGGCCTTGACTTTCTTCTTCGATTTGACTTCCTCCATGAAGAAGGCGCGCCAAGTGCGTCCAAGGCAGTGGTGATCATTTCGAGTTAGCCAAGCCGCAATGCTCTGTCGAAGAACAGATGGTTGTTCTTCGAATCTGAGATGGACTGGTGGTCGAGCTGCGGCGGGGATGGTAATTGTCAAAAACCGATCGGATCCAAACCGTCGATGGAAGCGACAGGTGCGTTCTGATTTAAGAGGATTCAAGCGCAATTTGAAGATGCCGGGTTCGTTCTTCACGCACCAATCCAGTTCTCCTGTCATGACCACGACTTCAGAGTGTTTTCCCGTCTTGAAGCCATCTACCGCAGCTTCCCAAACCCCGCGGGGGGACTTTTCTGGACTGGGACGGTCTCCTCGTAAATGATGGTTTTGAACCCATGTCCAAAACTTGTCATGGTCAGTGTAGACAGATGAGTTCTTCAGCATTTGGTCGAGTGGAACGTTCCAGACTCGTGAAATACGCTCTAATTCGTATCGAGAACGCAGTGAAATTCTCGCCGGAAGTGGTTGATCGACGGAGAAAGGCCCATCTTGCAAGAGCTGCGTGACCAATTGCTCCTGTAAAGAGCTTGCCCGTTCATTCAAAGCAGGCGTGTCGGCGCTCAGACTCATCTCCTGTTCAATGAATGCGCCGACAATAGAATCGGCATAGGTTGACTGGGAATCCATTGGTTCGGTGATGTCAGTTGCAAATGATTCTTCTATTCCTTCACTATGCGATGCAAACAAGACCGAGCTAGTGACAGTCGAGAAACTTGTATTCATTGCATCCATAGCTGGGTGAGGCGCATCATATCGTCTCTCATTGTGCGCAACTGTCTGACTGGCTTTGAGTCTTTCCAAGAAAGTGGGCGCTGGCGTTTGCACTCCATTTCCATTGCCCCGCTGATTCAAACACCGCTCACTCTGTTCCGAGATTTTCAATTGCCTGAGATCAGGTGTAACGGGCTGGTTTCTCTTGGCTGGCGAGCTGGGCGCTGTGCGATATTCATCATCACCTTCACTCGAGAATCGGCGCTTCTTGGGTGAACATCCTATCCTGGCATCTCTCGGATTCACGGATGCCCGATCATTTGAGTCCATACGCTTATTCTTGAGTAAGCATAGTTCGCTTCGAAGTAAAAGAAACAAATGGTCCACCCGCTGGTCTCTGTCTTTCTGACTCAGTACTTGTGGTTGTTGCTCGTACCGCCATTTCACAAAATTCCACTGTTGCTTGGTGCATGGCCGATTTCTGGCGATCCACTCCTCAAAGTCAGCGAGGACACGGTCCAGGATCGGCCGATGGCTCCAAAACAGCAATCGAAGGCCTTCGAAGACTTCCAGTGCTGCCGAACTATTACTTCCACGAGCGACAGGCGACCAGTCCTGCGGGACCGGGATTTCAAGCTCATATGTTTGATTCAAGTCGACAAGAAATTCTCGATAACTCCGCTGACGTTGCGGAGTGGTCGGTTGATGAGGCGGAGCCATACTCAAAGAAGCACTTTGAAGGTCCGGGAGCCCGTTGAACGTGGCCTAATGTTCATCCTTATCAGACTGGGCCGAAGCAAAAATCGCGGGGTATAACAAACCACCAGATTGAGCTGAACCAATGCAGGAGGGCGACCTCGTGGAAGTTCATGCAAAGAATTAGAGCCAGATGAAGCTGTGAGGCAAACAAGTGACAGCTTCTAATTTTCCCTGGGAGGCTGAGTGCATGCCGCGCAAACGACATAATGCTTGTCGCCGGAGTTTGGAGTAGTCGCCGCAGCGCTGTTAGCGCTTGCTCATCACACTGCATTACAAAAGTACAAGAACGCGGCTTACGACTGATTCAATAGCAATCTTTCATGAAATCTGCTCATACGCTGCACACAGGTTAATTACTCTTGTCGGGTCTCCTGCAAGTCGAGTGAAGGTTCGTTTTTGTCCGTCCACAGATCTGCCTCACTCGGGACAACTCGCTTGCTCTTCCTAGCAACCTTGTGGCCAATGTACAAGCAAAGATAAATGGGAATACCAATATAACAGGCCACAAAGGACCGATAGTCGAATATTATCCTCCCGGAATCAAAGGAAAAGGACCCGAGAATCATGGTCGCAGAAATAAAAAGACACAACGCTATTGCCAGCCAGGTTCCCGGGAGGCCGAAACGGGCTCGGTAAAGTAAGATGCTGTCTTCGATCCCTTGTGCCCTTCGTGCTCGGACGAAAGATATATGGGTAAACAATATCGACATCCAAGTGAGCAGGCCGAGCATCGTGACGGTATCCGTGAGATATCTGAACATGAGGACCGCATCCTGAGGCACATTGAGGTACGCAAGGCTCGCCACAGAAGCGCACACCGCCAACGCATACATGGGAAGGCCTCTCTTGTTAAGTCGCGACAGGAACATGGGTGCCCGGCGCTTGACAGCCAGATCACACATGGCTTTGGTTGCTAGCCAGAGATCGTAGTTCGCCGTGGATAGAACAAAGAGCAAGATAAAGGCATTCAAAATATCAGGGAGGATGGGAATTCCAGCCAAGTATAATGCCGCCACAAACGGCGAGGCTGCCGCGCTCTTACTAGCTTTGTGGTGAAAGGATAGGGAAACCGAGTCGTGGGGAACAAGCATCCCGAGCAGGATGACCGCAAGTAGATGAAAGACCAGAGTGCGATAGAAAATGTGCTTGGTAGAACGAGAGATCGCTTTCCGCACATTTGGAGACTGTGCCAGGATGCCAGCCCGTTCGCTCCCAATGTACACAAAAGCGGCCGAGGACATCGTCCCGCAAGTCAAAATGAGATTTTCGACGAGGCTGTTATCGTATCGACTCGCAAAGGCACCAGGATTCTTCCAATATCGGAACCCGCGCATGTCCTGATCGGGCCCACCTCCAAGAGCAACGATGATCGAGAGAATCATGAGTGCGAACATGACCAGGAGCTTGACCGAAGAAACATAGAACTCAACTTGACTCGCGAGTCCATGATGCAGGTAGTTCAGTACAGTGATTGTCAGAAGAAAGACGGTTATCCAAACTCCAGGATTGACTCGCTCAGGGTCCAGCCAGTATGATATCAACAAAGCCGCGGCGGTCAATTGACTTGGTGTGACGAGGGCATATTTAAGCCAGTATCTGGACACCCTTCAGCACAGCTCCATTCGCACGGCCGTACACTTACATCCATCCCAAGCTGAATCCCAGTGCCGGATCACAGAACCGCACAGCCTGGTCCGCAACCGTATAAGGCTTGGGCAACCAAGCGACAACCTCGCCCAGCGCCGAGAGTACCAGATAGACAGCGAATCCGACGACCGTATACGAAATCGTGATGGCAGCGGGCTGCAAAGTCAGTCACACCGGGCAGGCGTCGTACAAATGCCACTCACGCCGCTCCTATGCCAAAGTCAGCATTGGCTGAGATCACCGGGTGGTCGGCTTACATTGACAACGCTCTCCCCGTTCCAATCATCAGGCCCGTGCCGATAGCCGTTCCCACCGCTGTCGGCTTGCTTAGCGCTGGTATCAAGCCACAAAAGCCACACGAACTGATAACGGCGACCTGCCGCGGTTCCAGCTCCTCATAGATATCATCGAATCCCGTAGCAAGGTCGCATGGGGAAGCTGAAGTAGCTGAAGTAGCGGGGGGAGCCGAGGAAGCTGAGGGAGCTGAGGGTATCTGTGGTGCTGTCTCTGTTGGAGGCCGTGACTCGGCGTCTGTCTGCAGTTGTGGGTCATCAGAGAATCGCACTCTTCGGCGGGGATGAGACATCTCTTATAGTCTAGAGAGTCGATTGACTTCAAATGGGGCTTGCAAGTCTGAACGGTTCAAAGTTCACGGACCAGAGTCCATATCTGGGGTAGCGTCTCTACCGGGAAGGCGCGATGGATGAAACCAGGGGTGATTGGGATATTCATGGATATTTCTATATGCAAAACGCGGATCTCCGTAGAGGAACCCTAAAAAAAAAAAAGGTACGTAGTATGAAACAACACAAAAACCCAGATCTTAATCATTGCCCCCATAGGGCCCTCGGCCCTCAATCCAGGAAGGCCAGTGAGTAAGCGTCTATGGTGTCCCCGTCGAAGCCGTGGCAACGCCTAAAGTCATAAGACGCCCAAAATGAATCAGCGAGCCCCCATTCTATGGGGGAGGGAAAGAGAGGGGGGGGGATGTCATAAATCTTCAATAACCAGATATGAAGCGAGTCGGATCAACCGAGGTAAGAAATGCGTGAAACCGTCCGTATCTTTTTCATCGCGACATGAGCGAGTCGCTCGACTCAGTGCGCGGGAAGATGCGCGTGTACAACGAATCGCTGGACTCGGTGCGGGGGAAGTGACGTTGGTGCTTGCGCGAGATCACTCGGTCTTGGTAGACCCCCTTGGCGGTACCGCGGATCACGGACTCGAGGTACTCTTTAAAATCGGTGGGCTTGAAGTCGGGGTAGAGCTCGGTGGTGAGATGGTAGCCGAGGTACTTGGCGTACTCGGGGTTGTTGTCGCCACGGATTCCCCAGGAGTATTGGTATTCGGCGAGGTAGCGGGGAATGAACTTGATAGGGTCGAAGGGGTAGGTTTCACTAGCCTGGCGGGCTGCGAGGACTCGGCTGTTGATGGTCTCCTCCGGGACCTACGAGCTGTCAGTAAGAGTCATTTTGTAAACGAAGATACATGGGAAACACATACGTAGTTGCGATCAACCTTCTCCTCACTGATTTGCTCCATCAGGTCGTAGATCTCATTTTGTGTCGAGACTAGGTTGTAGGCGAGAATCTTCTTGTTCAACGTGCGCTCGTCGCTGATGATCATGGCCATGTAGCGACCGATATCGCGCAAGTCGGTGAGCGCGGTGGGCATGTTTCCGTCTCCAATGATCTCGTCGTTACCCGAAGTCATGGCGTAGTCGACACGGCCGGACAAAAGGCGCGGGTAGGACAGCTGGTACCACCAGCCAACATCGACAATGGTGTAAGGGAGCCACATCTGGCGAATCTGGTTGTAAACGATTTCTTTCTGTTGTTCGGTCAGCCTGGGAAAACATTGAACCAGATCGCAAAGACCTCCATACCTCATCGCGTAGCCACATCACACCTCCGGGAGGTGCGACAGTAATGAAACCACAGGGGATGAATCGCTTGACGCCGACTTTCTTGGCTGCCCTGGCCAATGGGATCTGGTCTTGCTGCTCGGCCGGGCCGACACAGCTAATCACGACTTCAATATCGGCAAGAGCTTCGATCAAATGTTCCTCGGGAGCCTTGAGGTCGCACTTGCGGATCTTAACCCCGCGTTCCTCTAGCTTCTTGATGGCTGGCTTGTGGACAGAAATTGGGCGGACAAGGGCGATCACATCCTGTTATTGAAGAAACCCCCGATTAGCACGGTCGTGATGGTTGAAGATGTGAAGCAACATACAAATCGGCCATCGTCCAGCAATCCGTTTGCGATAGAACCTCCGGTTTCACCCGCAGCTCCGACCAGGAGAACGCTGGTCTGGGACATGATGGACGATATCTCAGCGGTCAGTAGATACGAGGGTGTGGATGGGTGGGGGAAATGATGAAGATGATGGGGGTGGCGGATGGGAGAGAAGGGAAAGAAGGAACAGGAGCGTTATAAATTCCTAATGTTCCCACCCAAGGATGCTTGCTACCCACTTGGTCGCCCATCCGGAGTGGTGGGTCGAGTGGAGGTTTCGCTCCCCTCTGAACGTCATGATATCTCGTTCATCGTGTGATACTCAATTCAGGTACTAGTCTATATCTCCGCTTACTCTCAACGGCTGTACAGGGGCTTTGAACGGGAAGGGGGCTTTCACGAGAAATACGGCATTGGACGCCGGTCGGAGAAACGTGAAGCCCTGTCGGGAAGCCTTACGTCATACCAGCATCCCGTTGATGCTTTCAGAGATCCGGTAATGTTGGTCAGATGTGGTGTACTCTTTCAAGATCAGGGATCAGGGCTCATCTCTTCTTCATGAAGAGATTGCTACTTGTTACTAGGGGCATTGGTCACTGCGCTGACGCCAGTAGCTAGGACCGGATGACCATCTGTGATAATGGTGTCGACAAGACTAGTCTCACCAGGGCAATTCCGGCCTGCAGCAACCATCCTCACCTCTCCTCGACAGTAGTGTTCCATTCCACCAGTGATCTTCCGATCCGCGAGAGTCTTGGACAGAGAAGCCAAGTTTCAGGCCCCGTCTTCATCCCCCGTCCCAGTTTCAGAGCCACAGTTCCAATGTAGCGCATCGCTGCGCATGCCTTCAGACAGTGACGAAATGAGACCCCTCCGAAAGGGCGACGAGTAGTCATGGGCAATCAAGGGCTCTAATTGGCCACTGCCAGCCTCAAAAAGTGGAGACGGGCAAAGAGTTCAAACTTGTTCGCGCCGCCAATCATCGGGATCCGGAGGCCTGAGGTCCTGTACTGGCGATGACCCGGTTTGAGGCAAATCGCCCACCTTGGATTCAGCCACACCCGGAGATCGGTGCCTAGATCGCGAATTCAACGTCGAGATTTGCTTTGCTGAAAAAGGCTGTCGAGCTAGCTATCGTGCCATCAAGCTGCACCCCCGACTTCGATCCCGGATTTTCTGGGTCTAATTTCCCCCAGCATTGGAGGGGTGAGGTGGGGTATGGTACAGAGTAACTGGGCGGCGAAATTGAGCATCCGGCTCAATCCAGTATGCCGGTGTGATGATCTCGGGATCCTATGGTCTCGACCTGCTGTCCTGTAAACGAGACGATAGAATCACGCTGCTTTCCCTACTTGTCTTCCCCGCATCCTAAAGATCGGGGAGCTGCGTAGGAACATCGGTCCCCCCCGCCCCAACGACAGAGTGTACTGGAGGGTGTAGAGTGTGGAGTGCAAAGTAAGCCTTGCGTCCAAGCTGGCACCTTCGAACCCGGGAATGTGGATGCTGCTAGAGACCGCCCACCAAGCCACCGTCGCCTTGCTCAATCCGATTCATCAACGCACGAGCCCCCGAAACCATCCTCCAGGTGCATGAATGGTCTCACGTCTTCAGGGTGCGAGCATGGACATAGCATGCACAAGAACGCGGGGCATATGATCGACGGTCCGGCTTATTAACCCTGCAACGTAGACCAATGGATAACATACTGTGTGGTATTGCGCATGACTCGCTTCCATTCCTTACCCCTCTCCACTTTCACTGCAGTCTGCTCTCCTCACTTTGACTTTCCCATTTCCAAGCTTCCAAACATTTGCCAGATCGAGACATTCCTATACAAACCGTTAAACCAGGAATGACAAGCAAGAGCGAGAATAAGTGTCGCGAATTATCAACAAATGGCTTCTCGTGGATCGGAAAGTTACAACGGAGAGAGATCGATGCGCCAATAAACATAATGGTGATTTGTAGATCATAGTTCCATCGAGGCATTCCTAGCCGGGCAGTAGCTCAAGGTCTCATTAAGGTAACACTAACGGATTGCATTTCCTGCCCCGTGTGAGATTAGATCTCATAGAACATGAGCAATCACTATTCCTGGACACTATAGAAGAGAGAAGCCTCCTCGGCAGACCACGTGCTACAACAAAACAATTCAAGCAATCAAGCCATCTACGAAGCCATAAGTCAAGGAAAGGTCCCAATAAGCTATTGGGAAATCAGCTCCATCCGACAACGCGTCAATATTACCCGAAGACAGAGGCGTCGTCGGTGATTTGAGCCCCTTCAAGTTGAAGTCGATGAGCTCTATGGATTCGACAATACATGATGTCTGTGAGGGCATCCATAGACCATCTTGTGGTTCAATGATAGTTCTAGCTTTGAGAGATTGTGTCCATTAGAGGGAACCCTGAATTTTCTGTATACGCGTTCAGGATTCCCGAGCGGCATTTCTGCAAAATCGTTGTACACGTTCGAGCTGAAGGCCTGAACTGGGTGGTCTGATGAAAGGGAAGACTTAGAATGAGACAATTGTGACGAGTGGATCAATTTTTCATTTTCCAGTTTATTTCTCCGTGATTTTCATCTTCAATTGGTGGTGCCATGGTCGCAAGAGGGTAGTCGACAGGGTGTCGATTGTCGAGAAGTGTATTCCAGATGTTCAATTGGCACTGAGGGTCTAAAAAATTCAGGTATGCTCGCACAGCAGAATTAAAAAGATGATTATGCTTTCTGTGCACATGTGCCACACGTATTTCTGTAGATTCGCTATATTTCCCGTATCAACAGAGCAGTTTGACCGGCATTTTCCCTCCAGCATGTCCACTTCGCAATCCCTTTGACTGATCTACATCCAAGCCGCCGGCAAGTTTATACTTGTCTGACTGCCTTCAATGGGATCACAGATTGTTGAAAGCTGTTACGCCCATACTGACAAGCAATCAAATTATTCCAAGCACCAGTTGCGATAGCACCCCCTGTAAATAACTATTAGCGATGGCGTCGAAGAGATCAAAGGTAAGGGGAAACGCACGTTGATGCACCGGTTGGGGCGATCCCGATGACGGCAGCTCTATATTAACAATGGGTCAATGTCATTGCATAAATAACTGAGACCTTCAAGGTTGTGAAGATGGTTTGGCCTTACATGAACGCAGCCATCGTAGCGATCTCGATGTCTGCACCTCAACGCTTCGCTTTCGTTATCATTGACGTCGTCCGATGGGGTTGCGATAGCCACGGTGGCAAAGAATAGAGCGAAAATTACAGTCAGACGCATTATCTCGTTTGGAGTCTTGAGTGGAGAATATGGGGTTTCAATGGCTGAATTTGTTGATTACTGGAAGACAGATTCATCTGTTTGGGTAAGCAAGGATTTTATACTTGTGGTTAATTTGGAATATCAGCTCATTCGAATTGTTTCTCACAACGTAGTATGAAGTGGACTCGAGTCTCACAGTATTTGATGTGTTGTGATGTTCCACGGAAGACTGGACCATTCGGGATGAACAACGTTGATGGCCTTCTGCTGATTGCATGAAATTACTGACAGCTCATGAGATATATGGAAGATGTATCTACGACACGATGGAGGCTTTATGGTTCAAAAGGTACTCCTCCAGGGATTTTGAGGTGGGATTGAAATGATAACTTTGGATGTCCAGCGCTCGATCCAAGGTTGATTGTTACTGAGAACCGTCTTCTTTGTTCAGAACGAATAATAAAGTCTTTGACAGAAATCAAAAATTCGTTAATCGCAGTACTTTGCTCCATTTCCTAAGGTTGGGTTCGATATCCCCCGAAGCACACGTTGGAATGTCTCGGGGCTGTACTTTCGTTGAGCAAGCTGCAAGATGCCGGGAGGAACCTCGTATTCAATTTTCAGTAGTGTGTGTCTGAACATTTAACAAGGGTAGCTTTGGTTTTCTGCTGGTTTCCTTTCCGAAGTCCGGGGTGCATCTCTTGCACAAAGCCACTCGCATGCTAAGTAGCACAGAAATACATGACGCAAGTGAAGTTTCTCTATTTCTTACACTTTCACTCCGAGCTGCATGGATCATGCATGTCAGATTGAAGCTCGGATTCCAACGACAGAAACTCTACACGCGAAGCAAGAAAGGAATTGGAATCAGTCCAGACATGTGAATGCAGAGGGTATCAATAGCTTGTATGACATCAAGTGGTATGACTGCCAGCAGTCACATCTGACGTTCACGTATGCTTCTCAGAGTCCCATGCTTCGGGTAACCCTCCCCGCTCGTACATCCGGGACGATAGGGGTGATGGGAACAGTGAGCACAGGGTGTACAACATTCTTCAGGGTTCGGATATCCCACAACTGTCCGCGACAGTACAACCGTACAGTCAGTGTAGCTCCCTGCTTGAGCAAAAGGAGTTCTCGCTGCTGGCGTCTTTCTTCCATAATGATAGCCCATCGAGCCCTAACCTCTCTGACTCGCTTCAGTCGATTCCGTGACAAACGCTTCCACATGATGTGTTGGTGGGTCATTTCGAGATTCTGGTCACTTGGCCAGCCCCACTGTCTCGCGCCGGCAAGTTCAACCTTCGCTGGCTTCGATGAAGCGGCTGAGTCGATGCGGGACATTTTCCATTGCCATCTGCGGAGCTGTTGCAAGTCGGCGTTATCACGACAGAAGGTCAGAACGCCCCGTCGGGCCAGATGGTGTTGACGAACATGGTAGTCCAATTGATAATGGGCAAAGAGGAGCGCCGTCTCGGGGTCAATTTCCTTAGTCTGGTTGAGTACCTCGTTCAGGTTCCGCTCGACAATCTCGTAGTATCTTTCTCGTTGGGATGAAGTTATATGCTTCCAATATGTTTGATCGTCGCATTTTATGGTGTTGTCATAGGGGGAGATACTTTCTTGGCTTATCACATTACTCTGGAAGAAAGGCGGGTAGTGCTTCACGTTGTAAGTGCCACTATCGATATCAATGGCCATGGTGTCTTTGGCGACCGCAATTTGGCACTTTTCGCAACTCAGAGCCTCATCTAAAGCTTCGAACTGTATGTGCAGTTATGTTAGTGTACGACAAGATCGAGATTCACGTGAAAAACGAACCAAGTCTTTCTCCCTTACTTCCTTTGCGGCCAACTCATCGGCCCGAGTGTCCGGAATGGTATTCTTCATCCTGAGCAAAAAGCCAGCTCTGGTATGAGCGAAAGATGAGATCAATGTGAAGATTATGTGAGGTGGAAGTCGAGCGACCAGTGTATCTTGTACACCGAGGCAGTGTAATTGTGATAGGACCGTGTCGAGGAACCAGTGTATTGTATACACTAACGTAGCGTGATTATATGAGGAGACGCAACGTGATGATGTGAGGTCCGAGTGAAGAGATCAGTGTATCCTATACACTAGCGCAATGTGTTTATGTGAGAGCAAAGATGCAGTTGCGATTGGAGGTTCCCACATCTTTAGATATAGTGAAGATTGACCACCGAAGACTCTGAACAGTGGTGCCTAAAAAAAAAAGACAATGAGCGCCCTTTGAAACCGACACAAAGAATGGTGGAGGCTGCCTTCAGAGCATTCCCTCAAAGGGAATAAAGTACCAAAGAGCCGTTGCCTCGAACGTTCGATGGACTGGAAAAACAAACTCTCAGTAATATATCAGCTTCTGCAGATGGGCCGTGTTATACCCCAAGCTCGGGCAGGCGCGAATTCCGCACGCTCCGCCCGGGATCAACTGACGGAACATCTGAGCGCAGTCATTCGCAACGAGGGGCGTGATACGGTCATTGGACCTGATTTCGAGCTTATGATAACTGTCAGGCCGCGCCCGTGCAGAAACAGGGAAACTGCAGGGCTGGAATCCTCCGTGATCGGGTCGGGAAATTACGGTGAAGCGGTGATGTCGAACGCGGGTCGCTACCCACGTACTTCAGTGTAATCACCTCCCGTTCTGGGCGTATATAGCTGATCTATGCAGAATAAACAGTACGAATACAAAGCTGAAATATCACTTTCGTGGAATTCCCAGACAGACTCTCACATCTCTGTAGATTGTGAAGTCGTGCCTATGCCGAAGAGTTGCTGTCAGTGGCGCCGCCGGTGCCGGGCGGCTTTCTGCGTAGTGAATTTGCTTCTCGTATATAACAACATCAAGACTTCTTGATTCATCACGGCATAATTGAAACGTCTGAAACTACACCCATGGTCAGGAGATTGAACACGCGCGCCGGATGCAGCAAGGAAGACCTAGCACATGGCTTCACTGGCTGGTTGACTGAATAGTGGAGCGCGTGCAAGTCAGCTTCGAAACCAGCAACCCGATCATCGAGTAAGCCTCCGACATCAGACACGAAGAATTACAGGGAGACAGCTTGAAGCATGTCGAGTGAGGGGCAGAATCAACGCATGCCGGTCACGAGATTCTAGCTCGAGCCGCTGCGGTCGATTGGCTCCGCGTATCGAGAACTCATTTAGTACTGCACTAGGGATACCGAGTGGTTGTCACACAGTAGAAATTTGGCATATATTTCGATTTCATTTACGTGGGTGAATTTCAGGAGGCATGCATTGGTTCGTAGACCTGTGAACAACCAAGAATCCGGTTGTCTCGATCACCTATCTCGTTATATAGGTATCATGTCGTGATCGTCAAATTCCAGGATATGACAACTCTCGTACATCAAATTAAGGAGCACAGTAACCCCCGTCGACAATGAGATCAGCTCCAGTCGTGTACGTCGAGGCATCCGATGCCAGATATAGGTAAGCCCCCTTGAGCTCGTGGGTCTGGCCCTCACGACCCATGGGAATCTTATCACGCCAGATGTTCTTAGTCTCCTCAGGAACAAAATTGGAGATTTCGGTCGCGATGTAGCCGGGGGAGATGGTGTTGGCTCGGGCGAAACGGACCCACTCGACGGAGAGGGACTTGCCTGTCGAAATTGTTAGCTTGCATACTCGGCCAAAGCTGAGAACCTACGTACAAAGGTGGATAACACCGGTCTTGGCGGCATTGTAGGCAGCCTGCATCTGGGGAAAGTTGACGATGTGGCCACTCATGGAAGCAGTCGCAACGAAACTACCGTAGGTGAAATTGATAAGCTTGTTGCCGTTGATATCAGTACCTTCTTCCTTTTGGCGGCGCCAATGGCCAGCGGCAGCTTTCGCGCAGTAAAAGGTGCCGTCAAGGTCAATCGCGACGACATCGCGATAGTGCTCAAGAGGACCGTCAACCATAGGTCCTTTTGTCCAGGGAATACCAGCATTGGCAATAAAAACGTCCAGGCGGCCATTAAAGTCCTTGACAACGGCGTCGGTGGCGGCTTGAACCGCCTTGGGGTCAGTAATCTCAACCTGATATGCTTTGGCTGTGAAATGAAAGTCAGACGTGTCAATCAATTGCATAGCATTTCACCATCCAGACATACTCTGAACACCGTACTGCTGGGCAATTTCCGCAGCACGCTCAGGAGTTTTGGTGTTCTTGTTATACCACAGCGCCACATTAGCGCCGGCTTCGGCCAGGCCTTGAGCAACGGCGAGACCAATGCCAGCACCAGCACCAGTGACAATAGCAGTCTTTCCCTTGAGAGAAAACATGCTCATCAAGCTAGGGTGCTCAGGAGCAACTGTATTGTTGTGGACGAAAAGTCCATTTTTAACCGGATTTCCAGCCATTGTGCCCAGGAGTAGAAGAACCGGGGTATTGGAGTAGATAAAAAAGAAACTGGAAAGTTTCTGAGAAGATCTCGGGGGTGCCATTAAATAGCTGCAGAGGGGTAATCCTGCAAACAAAGAGCCACTCAATGCGGTCAGACGGTGCGATGTGCTGGCGGTGAAGCATGATACAGAAGGACCAGACCCCTTCCCTGGATCTGTGGCGAGGGGTGAGCTTTTGGCACAGGTCCACTGCCTCGATGGCGGCGTCTGGTTTCAGTAGCTATAACGCCATGCGGCCCCAGACAACAATGAGCTGCGGAGGTTCTGACGGAGATGGACGATAGTCATCTCGCTCACGGGTTGAGCAGTCGACTCATGCCGGATGGTGGGCTGTTTTTCTCCCCGGATACTGTATCTTTTGTTGAATCTGACGTATCCACTGCTATACAAAAGGCGGTGGGGCGATCAGCTTACAGCCTGGGGTAGTGCAGTTCGCCCTTGCCGGAACCTTTCCCCTCCGGCTCAATATGAGGGGTATACGATAGGTGCTGAAGGCCTTTCGGAAGTTAGCAATATAACAAGTGCCAGCCCGTTGCGATGATAGCTAGGGCGGGTGTCTATTCCTAATACAGCGGAAAGACAGCTGGTCGAAAAAGGGGACGTCTCGAGCTATTAAACATGTCGCGCGGGAGAGCGACATCCGAGTGTGTGCTAAGTATCCTGAGGGTTCGACAATGACTTTGCCTGGACAGACCCTGAAATGCTGTTTATACCCTGACCACAGCCTGGTGAGTCCGATTTGCCTGTTCACTGGGCAAATGCCTTATATTGGTGGGGGACAGTCCATTCTTGACACACGACCGGGTTGATCGTACGTCCTAGTAAAGTATAATGCGGTGTCGATTACTACGATGACTTCCATACCAAGCCAAATTCAGTCTGCACTACCAGACAATCCAATGAAAAAGGCCATGTGCTTGGTAATGGGGACGGTGTGACCGCTGGCATTCCTACCGACACTGTTGGTGATGCGGCAACATTCCTCGGTATAGACCAATGTTTCCATAACAATGCCACCAGAATGCCGCCCGCACAGTGCCCTTTCGATCCTGAAAGATCTGTTTTTCTCCTGATTGTTGTGTGCTCGCGTTGCTTTCTCCGGATTCACCGGCTGCGTTTTGACATACGAAGGTGGTAGGAATACTCGTGCAAACTGCTTCGAACTTCGCATGCGGATGAGCGCGTGGAAGCATTGACCTCGCGAGTCGCGCTCTGATCACAAAAATTGGCTGACTGGTGGATATGCTGCAACTCAGTAGCATCGTCGCCATCGCCGCCTCGGGCGCGGCCATCTTTGTTGTCTTGTCGGTGGTTGGAATAGTGGTCTGGGTCAGAGTTCGCAAGGAACGACATGCAAGAAGACTACATGGCCTTAAGAGCGGGCAATATGCCCACAGCATCCATACCTTCACGGGGAATACCCTGACCTCGCTGTCATACGAAGAAGGAAATGTACTCGGGACGCATGGACAGCTACCTTACGGCAAACCAGGAGAATGGGGCCAATTGACCTCTCGAGAAAGTCTGGTACGGAAGAACACATCGGATTTCCCTTTGGTCCAAACAGCACGATCATTGCGCCAATCATTATCTCGGCGCCGTTCCAGGCGACTATCAAGATTCTCCAAGCATAGCCGCTTGAGCTCAATGGCCACTGTGGATGAAACGGTCATTCAGCAACCAGTGAGCCCTCCTCGGATCTCAAGAGAAGATGTTCCTCTCTCTGCTGTTGAAGGAGTGCTTGAATTGCCAACGGAGCGAACACCCAGGCAGACACCAGAGATGAATCAGGATGGTGTCGGTTTCCATCTGGGTATGCGGCCGGTCTCCCCAGGCTGGCCATTTCCCAGCCAAAAGGAACGATCTGGCCTTGGTCCATTGCTGGAAGGCCGTACGTCTCAGGATATGTACGATCCGCCGCGGAGAATATTCAAGGAGTCACCGCAGCGAATCCGCGGCAATAGCATCTGCGGTCAATCAGCAGGTCTTGCACCCGATGACCCAATTCCTTCACCTCCCCCGCCGGCAGCGTTCCCAGTGGATAGAATGAGTTACGCTAGGAACGATTCAGTGATGCGCCTATCCTCTATGAGTCTTGATACCACAAATAGCTCAATTCTCGATGATGACAGGAACGGTCTACGATCTTTGGACACCGATCGGACCTCCCCTGATGCCCCATCTGGCGGCACCTTTGTGCCATTCAGTGCCAGTGACGTTGGGAAAAAAAATGGACGGCGAAGCTTCATTTCAGCCAGTACCAGCATTTCCATGCCACCCTTGCAGAGCTTTCCTGTCCGCTCTTTCTCGACTGCGGAGGCTCGAAGGAAGTCTTCTTTAGAATGGATGGCACCTCGACGCAGTGTGACCACGACCTCCCGAAACCCTAGCAAGTCAAGCCACTGCTTGAGTGGGCCTCCATGCCGCAGCAATTCCTTGTCATCCAATGCACCTACCAGGAATACATCTTTCCGAAGTGGAACTCCTGGGTCATTGAAGGGTTTCCAAATGATTAACCCTATCAACCGGAGATCGTCTGGAGCACAAAGCGCCTATGTTCCCCACTTCAGTCAGTTCCAACAACCGCCAGTTTATGAGATTGAGCCGCAGAATGATCCCTTCTATGGCGGTTCCCCCCAGTCGACCGGAACCCTGTTCTCCATTGGATCCCCGGGGCAAGCAGCGACCTCGTCGATGCCTCCGAGTCCCATGCAACGCTCTAGTCTGTCTCAGCGAGGCCCTGTGGTTTCTGCTCTGAAGAGTGCCAAATCGCAGCGCAAAGGTCATAGACGCCAGAACTGCGTGCGTATCTCGATTCACCCTCCTATGACATTCGCTGGCCCTACCTTCTCCCCCACGGTGGAGGAAGAGCAGGATGATATTGATCAGATAGAAGAAGTGGATTCGCGCGAAAGCAACATGAATGGAACGTCCCTGCCTGTTCTGCCAGCCAACGGGTCGTCGCCACTTCCACTTTCCAAGCGAAGCAGTAGACGCAACAAGGCTCAGCCAAGCACACTGGGTCCTCTTTCAGAGGAGCCGCAATCTCAGATGAACAAGAGCCCCTCGAAGAAGAGGAAGAACGCTACAAGTGATGCCGTAACCCGTGATCCTCTCACAAGCAAGGCCCGTGAACTTCCTGGGCCTGTTACCTCTCTACCTCCTGTCTCCGATGGCACTCTCGACCACACACCATCCCCGTCAAGAATCTCCCCTCTTTGGGAGCTTCCTGAAGCCCCATTATCATCGCTTGAGACTACCCCTTGTACTGGAAGCCCACGGCGTTCTGGTGTCAAGGGCCCGCGCAGCCAACCCCAGACGCCCAAATCTGCGCGCAGCACTCCCGCACGCTCTCCAACAAAGGTTTCCCGAGACCCATTCGTTGGATCCCGTCTGGCCGGTGGCTTGCCTTTAATCACAGGCACTCAAGGTAGTGACTGGCGGAAAGCAACAGACTCCCTGCACCACGTTGCCACCGACGCCGATGATCTCTCGCTTCGACGCAGTCCTGAATTGCCAAGCCCCTTGGTCGGTGGCCTTGGCCCCCTTCCCACACCCCCAATGTACGGTATCAAAACCAACAAGAGCAATTCAAAGGTGCGGGATCGCGTAACCATTTGGGAAGATGCCAACCGCGGAGTTTCACCACCCAGGCCTTCTCCTGCACACCTCGCTGGAAGATACGCATTCTCTGACAATAATTTGCCAACACACTTCAAGAGCAACACATCGAACACGCCTCGGTCCCTTTGCAAGAACGGTTCTCCTATCCGACTGAACGGCCAGCGGATGGCTCCCGCACCCGCCTCTGCACGGCGAGGTACAACAACACCAATTGGCAAAGGTGTTGGCTTAGGGGTCGTTGCGGCCACCCCGGTGAGTCTGTACGATGGTGAGGGATTCTTTAGAGAGTAGTGTATTCCCTGGCGGCTATTCCTCTTCACTTCTTTGCTTTCAAAAGCATTATACCTTTCTGCCTGGAGCTTTTTCTTGGTTTTATTTCTTGTTCTCTTATTTCTTTCTCTGCTCACTTTTTCTTCACGTGTGTATTTCAATTACCCGATATGCACCGTTTACTTAGTCGTAATTAGAAATCAACTTCTATATTGATTATGATGTCGTCGTATCATAGCATATTCATAATCATTGTCATGTTTGTACTTTATCATCCCCTCTAAATACGTGGAAAGCAATCGAAGCGATATACCTTAATTACTCAGTCCTCCGCCACTTCGTCTCATCGCTCTCTTCCTCGCCATTTTCCTCTCCGTTCTCCCTCTCCCTCACGGTACCAGCACCGGGACCAAGTGGGAAAGCGGGCGGCTCGCCCTGCGCAATCCAATTCCCATCCTCATCGAAGAACTCATGCATATTGTCCGCCGTGATCCATCCAGAGCTTCCCTCCACAGGCGGTGGCAGATCCCCATTGCTCGAGCCCAGCGCATCCCGTCCCAGCTGGAACAAAGCTTGTCCATGTTCCTCGGCTGAGAGGAACTTGGACTCGTCCTCATCCTCATCCCCGGGCTCCACAGGGTCCGGGTGCAGGTTCGAGCAAGCCGATACGGCATTATACAGCATTTGCGTAGGCGTCTCCTCCGGCTCCTCATCTGTTGTGCTCTCCGCAGCGGGCGGTACCACGGTCAGCGTGATGCACTGTTCCTCGTCATCTTCGGCGGGTGCAGACGGTGTCGCGATCTGCATGTAAAGACCTTGGACTTCGGCGTCGGTGCCCGGTACGCGCAGGCGCTGGATAGCGTGCAAGGAGATGGAAGGGTAAGGGATCGAGACACCAGCGGAGGCGGCTGCAGAAAAGAGAAGGAATTTCCTGATAGAAGGACTGTTAGCTTTGATCCGCCCCGCGGACCTTGGGGGTACTCACTCGGATGTCACCCATGTCTCGACATCTTCGATAGACATCTCTTTCTCATCGTCCTCTGTAGATCCATTCGAAGCGTTCGCTCCACACAATGCGCTGAGAACGGGGTTGGCGACGAGGTCGCGCTCGAGGATCACGACCTTGCAGCGCTGGCTATGATAGTGAAGCACTGCGGGACCGTCATGGAATGAGCTGGGTGTTCGCGACTGGTGCTCTGCGAGGGGGACGAGAGTCGATGCTTCCGGGGCGGTTCGTAGCACCTCCATGGTGATATTTCGGTACTTTGGGTGGGTCAATACGCCTGTTGTGCGCTTCTAGAGAGATTGTCTGAATTGGAGGTTGTCGCTGGAAAAAAAAAAGCTGGAGCTTCCGCGCGGCAGCTTGAGCTGTTGCCGCCCGCGGTAGCCTCTCGGGGGAGCTTCTCAACGACCTCTGCATATATTATGCATGTCGAGAAACCTCAAGACGTTAACGAAAAAAGACCTTTATGTTTATTTAGCATTATACCAAACTAGTGGATTACACAATTGACTATCCTCGGGATCCTCAACAACACAAGATATTGGGGCCCGCTGGGTACGTAGGGATATATATTGTAGCAACCCCGGCCAGCAGATCAGTAATGGACACACTCCACTTGACGTATTGATACGAAAGGAAATAAAGAAAGCCGAGATCGATCGCCATGAAAGCAAGTAGGTAGGATGGAGGAATCGTACTATATATCGACATATAGAACTCATATTCTCTGAGCTATCATCTGAGAAAAGAGCCTGAAGTTCGAATGCATGGTATTATAGGTGCTACAGTAATCCCCGAAATCATCACTGGAATGTAGGGATTTTTTGAAATGAGCCACCTGATAAGTCACTCACCCCATTGAACTTCGCATGCGAGAAGTTCTCTTTGGAGTCGTGCTCTGGCGGATACCCACTCCACCCAGGGCGGATTTGCCCAGTTCATTGGTTTTACGGGCTTATAAGTCGTCATGCCCGTTCATGCCCGGGCACTGTGCAGCGGACAGTACTCCAAGTCGTGCTCATTCCAATGGCACTTTCCCCGGCTTGCGTCTCACGGAGAGTTGATGTTTGGAAGCACTAGCGAGGCTTCACGAGGAGGCCGACCGGGATTCATTTCACGTCAAGGCCACCAAACGCCCGATCCAACTCCGCTCCTTCGTCATTAGGAGCCATGGCCGGCATACTAGAGGATCCTTGATCGGCCGAGGTGCTGTCCAGCAGGCTTTCAACTCCACCTTGGGCTTCCGGAGGAACAGACGTCCGTTTTGGCTGTAGGAGTTTCTCCTCACTATCCAACCACCCGGGCGCGACACGTCGCTTCTCCGCCAAATCTCGCTGTCGGATCGACTCTTCCCAAGCCTTGATGGCCTCCTCGGCGTCGCTTCGGGTCTTCTTCAGGTGTTGCTCAAGGGACTGGCACGCTGCCAGGATTTCGTCTGGGTGTGCAGCATGTTCGCCACTGGAGGATACGACATAGCGAGCCTTGGCATCGGGATTGCTTGGATCGACTGTGACGGAGGGTGGGAGAGTGGAGGGGACGGACTTGTAGGTGTAGGGTAGAGTGACCGAGGTGGGGAGGTTGATGAAGGGCGACACGGTCAGAGGCACCTGTGCCAGTAATAAATGAGGGCCTAGGGGAGTCAGCTACCATGAAGCACGTTAAATTCAGACTAAACTCACAGTACGAGTCATACATGGTGAGGAGCGCGGAGTGTTGACGGAGGAAAGTGACGCAGTTCCACTCCGGGGCCTTCTGGGCGTCCGATGATCGCCATCTCCACAACTTGCCCAGTCTCCACGGAGTTCACTCGCTCCGCCACCAAATAAAGATCTGACTATTTACACTCTGAGACAAGTCTCTCGAGGAATCAAGCCACAGAGTTCCCCTCTAAAATGACCTGGCAATGGTCTCTGCTGAATTGAACGAGGTAGTGTCCGTGATATATCTCCCATCTGTACACTTCTATAAACACAAGTATAGGAAACAAACGTCTGTGCAATTCTAGCCAGGAACCAAATTAACTGAATGCTCGTTCACTATCCGACCGTGATTATCAAAACTCTAGCTTCACTATTGTCAATCTCTAGTCTTGCAAGTGGGTTTCAAGCCAATATCAGTGACAAAAACCCGACACAAGCCGAAAATGCACCAAGTGTCAAAGTCATCCCTGCCCAACCATACTTGATCCTGGTGAAGCCTGCAATGAGAGGGCCCACGAACTGCCCGATCGCAATCGCCATATTACAAAGGGCATATCCAGTGCCCATGCCGCTCGACTTTGTCGAGTCGACATTATATTTGGCTTCGATGGCACGAACCGTGTCGGATACTTCAGCCATGACCTGGGCCTGAGAAGTCGTCATGAAGAGTCCAACAAAAAAAACCAAGACAACAAATATGATCTGATGCTTTGGGGTGTTCTCGTTTGTAAATCGTAAGGCCACGAGTGGAATCATGGCGAGCACGAGTTCGATCGCAACCGTGCGCCGTCGGTTCCAGTTCCGACCATATTTGTTCAATGGGATACTCAATAGGCTTGGAAGAGATACTCCGAGAAACACGAGACCGGAATTTGTAGATGACCATTGGTATGTTTGCATGATGAAAAGAGGCAGGGTCTGATGTGTTCAGCATGGTCAGCTTCACAATGAAGATCCAAGATTTCATCGGCGAGGAACCCACGGTTTCGAAGGCAGAGAATATCGATGATATCGTGATTTTCACCAATAGAATCATTAAAAAGCGAGGCTCCCAGAAGTCCCACAGATCGAGCGACTCCTTCCCTGGTTTTGGGCGATCTAACAAGGGCGAGCTTTCATCGGAATGAGTGGGGGATGGTAGGACTCCTTGTTCTGTGCAACCCGTTCAAACCCAAGTCAACCATGAGATTGATATGAGACGTACTTTGTTCTTTGATTAGGAGCCGTAGTGTAATGTCTAGGGCGAGCAAAGCTATTGGCAAAGCAAAGGCACCGTAGATACCGAAGTGATCAAACCTGCGCGTTTTGAGCATTCCGTCTCATCCATCCCCTGAACCCTGAAGCAATTCTTACAAAATACCACCAAGAACAGGCCCGGAGATCATCCCCCAAGTGAATGAGATTGAAGCATATGCCATGAACTCTCCTCGCTTGTCTGGACGAGCCGTGTCGGCAATCAACGCAAAGCTGAGCACACCAACAACGGCACCCGCAAGCCCTTGAAAAACTCGGGCAATAATGAGAAGAGCGGGTGTACTTCCAAAGAGGAACAGGGCGGTGGATAGTGCGACGGCGATGTATCCGACGAGTAATGGAGATTGACGTGTGTGAATCCGATCACTAATAAATCCAACAAGTGCTAGCAAGGTCAGTCGATTCGGTCGAATCTTTTCGGTATACTTACGGGAACCGATAAGCAAAGCAACGCCATAAACTGCTAACAGAATTGAAGTCCATTCTTGAGCTAGAGACAATGAGTTATACTGTTCAAGCTGTCGTGGCTTCTGGAAGTTGGGTTCATACTTTCTTCTCTCGAGCTTCTTCCATCACGAATCAACAGATAAGGTAGAATCGGGACAATCTGTGAGATGTGGATATTAGCGAGAAGCGATGGAAATAGAAGAGTCACTACCATTCCATAGATGAACGTGTCGGTGAATGTTGCGAGGCTCATTGCTACAACAACAAACGTGCCTGACGAGCGCATTTGTCGAAACTTCATTCGTGCTCGTAAAATTCTGAACGCAAGTCTAGTATTCAAGTAGACGACATGAACCGTACCCCGTGCAAAGAAGCCTGAAACAGACATTGCCACGCGCTTTGAGGGGAGAAGAAGATTTGGTGTGGCCGACTGGGTTGAGTAGAGAGAGAGAGAGAGAGAGAGAGAGAGCGAGAGCGAGAGAGCGCTAGGGGCCTGGCGGCTGCAAGTAGTCACTTATACGCTTGTAAAGCCAGACATATAGTATCTGATACCACAAAATGATTGGATTAATGCCCAGATGTAGACATCCCATGTGATTGCGCCTACACAGAGTCAAGTAATGGTCTTTCTATGCGGCAACCTGGAAAACGTAGAATGTCTCATGTTTGCCGCGAGAACTCCCCAAGAACTTCACCCCGGTGCCATTTGAGATGGACACAATCTCGTCTTCATCCCATTGGCGCATCTTCATAGATATCTGGTATTTCTCTATCTCCTGGTCTTCACCATCCGTGCGCTCCAATACGTCCAGGTCAAATTTGATGTATTTAATCTTGCCCTTTAATTCTCCCCGGTGATTGTATTCCCGATACACTTTGCCTGGATACACCATGCTCGGGACTTCTGTGATACCTTCTGGTTGATGAAACGTAATACTTTCTCTCTTCTGGATGACCGATCCATCATAGATGGATATGTAGGCCCGTCCGGTGTCTCGACGAAGGATCTTAGAAATTTGATTCAGAAACACCTGTGGCTGGCTGTCCTCTGACAGATGGCTGATTGATCCAATAGAGAAGATCAATAGATCAACTTTATGGTACTCCTGTTCTCGCATGATGCTTTGAAGTTCGAGAGCAGATCCATGGATCCAGGTGACATGCTCTTTCAATGGATCTTTCGTGACATCTTCTGCCTTTCTAAGCATATCTCTTGCGGTATCGATGCCCATCAGCATAGTGTCGGTAAAGTCAACACCGGCTGTCTTGGCACTTGTCGCAAGGCCATGAAGCACACGGCCTGTGCCTGTTCCGAGATCCCAGATGATGAATGGATCTTCAGGCGTAGGAGGACGAAGTTTTCTCAGCTCCTGATAGAATTTCCAATAAAAGGATGCGTCATCCACCGAATTTGAGCTAGGAGCGACAATATCGTAGTAGTCGACAAGATATTGAGAGCTGTAGATGTCACATTCCTCAAACAAAGATACAATCATCTTTAGAATTTTTGAAATGGATCAAACACAGTAAAATCATGAAAGTATTTGTTGCTGACTTCGGATGCAGAATCGCTATTCATTTCTTATGCGACTTGTCTAGTAGAAAAACTCCAAAAACTTTGAAAGAGGATACGAAGTACCTCGCGTTTGTCCAGAGGCTAGCTGAAAAGTATTACCCTAGATAATCACCCCCCCAAGGTGTGATAGAACTGCACTGCATGAACGAGAGGGCAGCTTGGTATGGCTTGATGTGATGACCGCTGCATAGCAGAGTTATGGCTGGCTGATATAGCGGGCTGCAGGCCGTGCACCGTGAGTTAGATAGCAGATGCAGCTCGGTTCTAAATACAACCCAACTAGACTCTGACGCTGGCATAGGGTCTACGAACGGGTCTTGTATCCACTTTGGGGTTTGATTCAAGTTCAGTTAAAAATGCAGTATAGAGCCATATTCTCATTCGCCAGAATTCCTATCCTAACGCCGAAGATATCTCCCCCAGGGCTTTCAAGACAAAAGCCACCATGCGGCTACCGCTATTGGGACTATGACAGCCAGCCACGGCCTCAGAAGCTCGCCCAACATTGCTGCATCTGCTTCCATTGCTCCTTGGTTGAACTCATTCGTGTTGTTGATCTTAGGATACGGTTTGTCTGGCACCGGAACCCCTAGAAACGCACACAGGGGTTCCCAGCCATCCCCCAGTTTCATTTCCAAGAATCTCTCAGATGGCACTCCGAGTCGTACTTGGCTATTGTGCGCGAGAAATCTTTGTTTGCTTAAGTCACTGCGGTAGTCATTATCGCAGATCACTTTGTAAGCTGTCTTGACCATGCGCAGTTCAGGTCGCAGTCGCTTGGGTTCAACGTATTGGAGGATATTCAAGATCGGCTTTTCTAGCCAAGGAATTATAGTGTTGTGAACAGATTCGAACCAGGAGTCGGCGGATCGAGTGGTGAGGATAATCTTCGCTTCGGGATACAGTCGATGCAAATCTTCCCAGAACAGACTCGCGGGTATATCCAGAAGAGCATCGTATTTACCCCTCAGACGGTCAAAATCTTTGCGATCGTAAGGACGGCCTTTATTGAAGAAACGGCAATTCATCGCCTCTGTCCAATAATTGTACATCTTTCGGGGATCCTCGATGGGCTCACACATGTGCCATGGCGTGTATCCAAGTTCTTGTAGAGCCAGATACAAGGCTGTTCTCTCAGTAGCTTTCTTGAAGTAAAGATTCAATTTCTGGAAACTTACATGCGGTTCCTGTACGCGAAAGACCTGCAACCACTATCCGCAAAGGCTTCTGGTGCGTTGGGAGTGGCTCCTTGTCAATCAAACGACTCATGGTCCTGGAAATGATGCTCAGAAGGAAGATGGTTGTGATTGAGGAGTGATTGAGGAAAAGAGATCTTGGGCATTCAGCGCAGATGAGCCCGAGATTCCGGCGCAGGCTTGCGCTAGTGTTGGCATCGTACTATCATTTTCGCCGTGAATTGCCCCTTCTCACTCTCACACATCACGATTTCGACCAACAACACTGCATAAAGAATATCGCAGTGCGAAAAGGCATTAAATCAAGATGAATCTGCCGGAATATTTTTGTCTATTCAGTGGCTTGGTACAGTAGCATGTTGATCCCAATAGATCATCCAGACTAACGACTTCAACAGTTCGTCACTTGGCACCTCTTTGCCGCAGCATACAATATATTCCTGCATCCTCTGCGTAACTACCCCGGCCCCAAGCTAGACGCTGCCACTCGCCTTGTCTATGTCTACCACATGATTATGGGAGACAGTTGCAAATACCTCGCCCGTCTACATGATAAATACGGAGAGGTCGTTCGAGTTGGTCCTAATGAGCTATCCTACACAACGGCGTCGGCGAACAAAGTAATATTTGGAACGAAAGCCACGGCGGACACGTCATTCGAGAAGAACCCTGCGGTATACATTCAAGGCTCTGGACTGGCACAGAATATTCTGTTCGCTAGCACAAGCGAGCATCCTCGATACAGAAGACTCATGGGACCAGCGTTTTTCGAGCAAGCGATCAGAGAGCAAGAACCGATGATTCAAGAATTCACAAGTACCATGATTGAGACATTTCGACACAATAGGTCAGGAGAGGCATACTACCCATCCAAAGATGGCATCGTCAATATCGGGGCCTGGTCCATTTTTGTTACCTTTGATGTCTTCAGCGCCCTTTCTTTCGGTGAACCGATCGGCTGCATTGCTTCAGCGGATTACCACCCTTGGGCACATGTAATCTTTGGTGCCATGAAGCATGCCACCTTTCTTCAATGTGCCCATCGACTCAAACCCTTTCACCGGGTCCTGGAGAAACTTATTCCGCGGGAAATCAGTGCACCTATGGAACAGCACATGGAATATTCACGCGCCTTCATGGAAAAGACCGGTAAGGATGAGAAATTCTCCCGTGCGAGCTTTTCATCCTTCATTCTCAAAGGTATGACGAAAGATGAATTGTTTGATAATATTAATATTCTTGCCACTGCCGGTAGCGAAACTACAGCCACCGCTATTTCTTCTATTTTTTACTACTTGACCCATAATCCACACAGCTACCAGAAGTTGGTGGATGAGGTTCACTCTACGTTTACGAGTGAGGAGGAGATTACTTTCAACTCTATGGCGAATCTCAAGTATCTCAATGCTGTTATCAAAGAGACCTTGAGAATTCACCCCTCTGTGCCAGTCGGTCTTCACCGAATTACTCCCAAAGCAGGCAGCTACATCGACGGACGATGGGTTCCAGGCGGAGTGAGTCTCAGCCCAAGATTTGATGAGACGACATGGCTGACCAAGTTGTAGACATGGGTGTCCGTGGCACTACTCGCGGCATACAGATCTCCGAGATACTGGCACCGCGCCGAGGAGTTCATCCCAGAGCGCTGGCTCGGCGAGCCCGAGTTTGCGTCAGATAATCGCGCAATCTGGGCGCCTTGGTCGATTGGACCGAGGAAGTGTATTGGTGTCAAGTAAGTACTGTGCTGATGTGGTGGCTTGGTAAAATCGTGCTGATCAAGCTGCTACCGCAGCCTGGCGTACCTGAACATGCGGTTGATCACAGTTCGTTTGCTATGGAACTTTGACTTCGAGGCGCAGCCGGATAACTCGGACCCCCACGAGCTGCATGAGTTTGGGGTTTGGCAGGGTCAGGCTCCGCTGAATCTGAAGATTCATGATGCACGTACTTCTGTGTCGGTTTAGTGAGCAAGTGGGGCATGCGATTCTCCGGGCTACTTATCTCGGGCGCTGCATGTGATGAACCAGCCGCTTTGCATTTGGGCACGCACAGTGAGGACTCGGAACGCTTGGTTGGGTTTTGGCTGCATGTAATCTGTGGATTAGTCTTGTTGGAAGAACGGCGATCTGCACGTTGGTTGTGCTGAGATTCTAGACTGTAAAGCCGAACTATATCAGAGTGAGATTATAGCGGCGCAAACATTTACCCTTGTTCGGTGACCCAAGAGCGGGTAGAGTAGATAGACTAGATGTTTTTGATGGAGGGAAACAAAAAACCATGCGTTGTGTTCTCATCTCCACATCCCCTGTAAGAAGGACTTACTCAAATTGTCTGACCTTCTGAGTCAGAATAACCGATTTAGTATAAGAGTAGTTTTTAGAGAGGAGAGCGATTCAAGTATCTCTCGTCTCTTTGTTTACTACAGTCAAGCATCGGCTATGACGCTTAAAACGATTACTGTCTTTGGAGCGACGGGGAACCAGGGAGGATCAGTCTTAAGGTCATTGCTTGAAAATCCCGACTTTAAGACACGGGGAATCACCCGCAATCCCGAAAGCGCAGCTAGCAAGGCTCTTTCTGCTCGCGGAGTGGAGATGGTTCAAGCAGATGGTTTCAATTTTGAGGAGATGATTGCTGCATTTCGCGGCTCCTGGGGCGCCTTTGTGAACATCAACTCGGATGACAAGGTAAGTGACGTCGAAAAAGGTTCATTTTTAGTTTCCAGGACTGAGTAGTGCAAGATTTTTGCCAACAACACAGGCCCTACCGAATTTGATATGGGCAAAACAATAGTGGACGCCGCGGCTCACGCGGGAGTTCAACACTTCGTTTTCAGCTCTGGTCCTCCATGCACCGAAATGACAGACGGCCGAATCCAAATGAAAGCCATGGATAGTAGGCAACACTCTCAAGTCTTCTTTATCTCTCTAATATGACAATAGTGAAATACAAAATCGAGAAATACGCTCGAGATCTGGGGACCTTCAAGTCTGTCAACCCCGTCGGTGCTGGCTGGTTCCTTGAGAATTTCCTGGGGAAGGAGGCTGCACCTGTGTTTGGGGGATTCCCCCCATTTCCCGGACGAGGACGGTTTTCTTTCGTTCAGGGTTCCCTACTGGGGTGGAGAAGAAAACGTGCCTTGGCTAAGCATTTCCGATGACTTTGGGGATATAGTACAGGGTATCTTCTTGGACCCGATGAGGTGGGATGGCCACTTTGTGCACGGTGTGAGTCACATTTGCAGCTTTGAACAGATTGTGGCGGATTTCCAGGAGGTTTCCGGACAAAAGTCCAGATTTGTCCCAATCCTGCCGTCTTGGGAGGCCTTTGATACACATGGGATCCACGAGCTGGAGGATGTGAAGCTCATGTTTGGATTCACTCAGACCACAGGTGGCAAATACTTTGCAGATCCAACTGAGTGCCATACGGCTAGTGAGCTGAAGAAGGCAACGGCCTTGACTTTGGGTTGGTCGGAGAGCAGATACGAGTTGGTGACTGCGCGTGAGTGGTTTTCAGCCCGCTTTGGAAAGTAGATAAATGTATTAGCGTCTCTCAGCAAACATCTGGCTGCTGTATGCGTGATAGGTAGAGCAGGTCACTTTTGTCACTCAGGTGGCGTTAGAAAGACGCTCTTCAAGCCAAATATCCACTCTGCTGGGCCAAACCCATCAGGCAAATCCACACGTCGTCTACCACTTTCCAATGCCCCAGGCTAGAATATGCACGGCTCCTTTTTTGCCAGCGGCATTAATCGGAAATGAATGGCTGGCTGATGGCGCAAGCCAGAGTCTCCCAGGGGCGGGCCGTGTGCGTTGGGATGTTCAAGTGTTCGAGCATGAGGGTTCGCGCTACTCACACTACCTTGCCCACCTCCACGTAGATAAATTGGGGGAAAACTTGAGTAGTGTTGATGCATCACGCCTTTTGGAATAACACTGGGACAATTTTATCTATCAATGCCTTCGGAAATTCTGTTCCCTTCGGAGGAGTACGACCTTCTTGTGGATCGCAACATAGGCCTGGGACAACTGTTCGAGTTGCAAGTGCGGCACTCTCCAATTCCGTGGCGGTGACTGACGGACACATCAATCTTACCTACCAAGAATTGCATTTGAAGGCCATACATATTGCTGATCAGCTTTACAAGCTGGGCATTCAAAGGGAAGAGCCAGTCGGTATTATTGTTCAGCATGGCGTCGCAGACATTGTCGCTCAGATAGCAACCGTCTATGCAGGAGTCAGCTGCACTCCTATGGATCCCAATCTGCCGGATATCCAAATAAAAAGACGTCTTGACAATTTGCGGACTCGATTCGTTCTTGTGGATGAGTCGAACGTCAAGCCGGAGTTGTCCTACACCCAAATCAATATTGATGATTGCACGCTCTGGGCGGCCAAAGATTCATGGGCGGCCGAGTCCATCTGGGCTACTGACCCTAAAATGCCCGTCCTTACAACTTTGGAACATCGAACGCACCTGATCCACACATCGGGGACTACCAGTGAGCCCAAAGCTGTACAGATCGCTGCTCGATCGATATTGCAAGTTGTCTACCACGCGCCATTTGAGCCCGTGGGTTCTACAGACATAGTTGCGCACATCAACAACACAAGTTTCGATGTTTCCCTCTTCGACATATGGGTACCATTAATCCGCGGAGCCCGAATTGCAGTATTGAGCAAGGTCACTTTGCTTGACTTACCTGCTATGTCAGCGGCAATCGAGAAAATGGGAATCACCGTTATGACAACGACAACAGCACTTTTGAATCTTGCCGCAAAAACTCACCCTAATGCTTTTTCAGGTTTGAAAACCTGTTTCATAGGCGGAGAAGCAGCCAACGTCGCTGCCATTGAAACAATCTTCAAGTATGGACCTCCGCAGCAGCTTATCAATGCGTACGGTCCCACCGAGACGTGTATTTTCTGCCTCGCCCATCGGATCACAAATGACGACCTGCAAATGGGTAGTGTCAGTATCGGCAAGCCAATTGGCAAGACAGTTGCTTATATCTGTGATGAGTCTGGGGAGCCGGTCGTGGAGGGCGAGGAGGGCGAGCTGTGGATAGGCGGTGCTGGCGTGTCTCCTGGTTATGTGAATCATCCCGAAAAAAAACCGTCCTCCTTTGTCACTTGGAACACAGCCAAAACAAGCCTGCGATTGTATCGCACAGGAGACAGGGTCAGAATGCGACCGGATGGTCAGATTGACTATATTGGACGTCAAGACCACCAAGTGAAAGGGCTACCGCATCGAGCTTGAAGCTGTTGAGATGGCCATGTTGCGAACCGGCCAATTCACTGAAGCCGTCGCATTGAAAGTAGAGGCCAGCCAGGGTGCTGGCTCGATATTGGTTGCTTTCGCTGTGCCCGTGTCGTCAAAAGAGCCTCACCCAGGAAATGCGGCAATTGAGTCTTTAAAAACCATGCTCCCAGATTACATGGTGCCTCGAATCGAGTTGATTTCTCAAATGCCCCTCAACAGCCATGCAAAGATAGACCGAAAGCTTCTGACTCAACTATATCGTGATCGGTGGAATCAAGTCCGGAGCAACGGTCTGACTGGCGACACTCAGGAAAAACTGGCGTTGCTGTGGACAGATATCCTGGGTCTTCAGTCACTCCCTGGAAAAGAAAAGGCCGATTTTTTCCACCTTGGGGCCACTTCATTGCAAGCATCCCTCCTCATCAGTCAAATTCGAAAGCACTTCGACGCCGATATCTCACTTCTCACTCTTTATGATCATCCCAGAATCGGCGAACTGGCAGCGACCATCGATAATTCCCGCGAGCACTCTTTAGGCACAACGCGAAATGAACAAGCGGTGTGGATCCAGGATACAAAGATCGCCGATGACCTTGTTTCTCCTTCTGCTCCAGTGATAGACTGGCGCCGGGACACCGAGGGGCGTGTTTTTTTAAGTGGCGCAACTGGCTTTGTAGGTGCGTTCTTGCTCGCCAATCTGCTTAGAATGCGAGAAGTGCATCAAGTAGGGTGCCTGGTGCGTGCAGAAAGTCCCCAAGTAGGCTTGAACCGTATTAAGCTGGCCATGGGAAAGTACGGCCAGTGGGAAGAGCGATTCTCGGACAAGATCCTAGTGCTTTGTGGATCTCTTGAAGATCTCTATCTGGGCTTAGGCTATGAGCGCTTCCATGAAATCGCCAGTTGGGCAAGCGTCATCTTTCACCTTGGGGCAAGAGTCAACTACACACAGCCATACTCACTCCATCGCCCTGCCAATGTGGTTGGGACCAGAAATATCGTGCGTCTTGGGACTGCTGGTAATCAGACCAAGGCAATACACTATGTTTCGAGCATCTCCTGCTTTGGCCCCACAGGCTTCGTGACCGGAACGGATCATATTGCCGAAGATGAGCCACTATTGAAGCACATCGAAGCCCTTACTTTTGACCATGGCTATGCACAGTCCCAATGGGTAGCTGAAACAATGTTGCGACGGCTTATTGATTGCGGGTTCCCAATTGCCATTTACCGCCCTGGATTCATCACAGGTCACAGTCAATCTGGGGCTTGCAACCCTGACGACTTCTTCAGCCGTTTAATCCATTCTTGCGTCGAGATGCAGTCCTACCCTCTCCTCCCTAATCAACGCAAAGAGTTTGTTCCAGTAAACTACGTCAATGCTGCTATCCTGCACATCGCGTCTACTCCTTATTCTTTGGGTCATGCTTATCATATAGTGCCCCCCAGCCCAATCTGTCTCGATTGACATGAATGATACAATGGAACTGGTCGGGTCTCTCTTGGATACACCTCTCACAGGAGTACCATACCGGGACTGGACTGACGTCTTGGCGAAGAAATCACCGTCGAGGCTACGACCACTTCAGCCAATGCTCGCGGAAAAGGTTCATGAGGGACTGACTCGGTGGGAGCTCTACGAAAATATGCCACTGTATGACACCACCAATACAGCCCGCGCATTGCAAAGTCTACCAGGCGGCCTTGAATTTCCTCAATTGGATCGTGACTTGATGCTGAAGTACTATACATATCTTCTGAGTGTTTAGATCTTTGTGGTACTTAATCATACTCGTTTCATAAATCACAATACTTGCAGCTGCGTTAGACTCAATTCGACAATCTTCTTCAATACATAGAATTGTGGCATTCACGAGGTATATAAAGACAATCTTTTACTCAAGACAGGCGTGAAGCCATCAAATTAGGGATAAGTATCTGACGGGCCCACAAAGCGCCGCTGCATCAACTTGCCATCCATCGCAGCAAGCGTTACAAGTTTCCACGACTCAATGTATCTCTACATCCCAGACCACGCACTGTGTAAGATTGAGTCCGTGACGATATTCCTTCCACCGTCCGTGCAACTGGATCAATAAAAATCACATACATTGGCATTTATAGTGCCCTCAATTGTGGATCCATGAATGTGCTATCCAAGGTTCGCTTGAAGGAAACTGAGCAAATTGGGCTTGCGAGACCTTGCCACAGAAATTCAGCTGGTCCAATTTTGGCATTATATCCTCTTGTGGCCTGGTAGGCTAGTGGTAGACTTCCACCTTTGGGTTCGGAAATATCCACAGGTGTGGTGGAGACCCGCGTTCGATTCGCGGCCAGGCCCCATCTTTTTTGCATTTTGTTCACGAGCAAGTGGCAATTCGATCCATTCAACCACTCCAGATCTGTTTTGAAAAACCGCCATGTTATTTGACTGGAACAGGTCGATATCAGGTTTGAGTGAGGATTGAAACTGTTGATTCATGACCAGTACTGTACAAAGAATGCAAACGCGAGAAGTAGATCATAAAACCTTTTAAGCGACAGACTGTTTGTTCAGATGACCAGGCAAGCCTACCGCAAGAATTGAGAAACCATGCATAATTTGATAGTAGATTGTAATCACGGTGCAGTCATCGCAAACAGAGCGTCTCAGGGTCCACCTGAGACAGCAGCCGAGGTTCCTGCAATGGCGCCGGTGTTGGAATTCGCCATATGCCTGCGCCTATTGTCCTTGTTCATATACTTCTCATACTCTTTCTCATAACGTTCATAGTCTCGGAGGTATTTGTCATTCTTGTCCCCATATTTTTCACGGCGTGGAGGTTGGGGCTTGACGTAGAATCCGAAGCACATCGTCGGAGCAGCGGAAAAAAGTATTTGGGTCGGTTTGAGTTGAATAGCAAGATCTTGAACAGGGCATAGACTCAGGTGACTTTCAGACTGGACAAGGGAATATGATCTTCTCTAATTCATGAAATTAACCTTTCTGTGTCCGTTCAATGGGAAGAGAAAAGCCTTATCCTTATAGTGCACTGGAATAGGCCAACCCCAGAGGGTCGAACCAGCATAGCCACCTGCTTGTTCTTGGCCTTCGTCATGTAGGTTTGGGGGCCGAAGTGTTAGGGCGCACCTGCGGGCCTCACTAGGTTGGGGCCATTCCTAGCCAAATGTGGAAAGAGTACAGGCGATCATAGATTCCACAACTTGCGGTGTTTCATTCACATATTGCACTCTTCATTTCTTCCATACTTTAGTCTTCGGCTATAGAGAGTAATCATGATTGAGGGCCTTGGGGTCATCTGTGTCTGGGCCACAAAACCTTCAGCGTACATTTGCTTCTGAGTAAATGAGACATAGAGGGCAGCTTTCAATGTAAACCGTAGAAGCTTATTGATTGTCTTAATTGAGATTTAGTATCGCCGCAACTTACGGACAAGACAAGCCATTACCATCGTCGAAGCTAGAATCTGCGCCTTGAGGCATGGAAGCTTCGACACGCTAATGAAATATTCGGGCCGAACCGAGTTCTTTTGGGGCTAGAAGTAAATGGAATCGATAAAGCTGACTTGTCACATCTGGATCTGTATAAAAGCTGAAAGGAGTCTGGGCATATCATCACATGAAGTTCATCCTGGATTCACCAAAGGAATGCCCACCACCAGTTGCAAGAGTGCAATGCTAAATGCTCCCACGGAGGACCCAATGGAATTCCTCATCAGTTTGAAATCAAGGATAGAATGTCACAACATTGGGATAGATTGTTTCCAACCTGCAGGAGACACTAGGGTAGTAGTCAATGCTTCTGGGGCAACGCAAGACCACAATGCTGTGGAGCATCCCACACAGGCGTCAGAGCCCGCAGACGCAAAGATCTGAACCTATGCGAGAAGAGCTTGTTGACATCGCTGACCTGACTTGGTGGGGTTATTTCATAAAGTCTATCAGAATGGCTCCATCTCTGGAGGAACCGCCTTGTAATTCGCTTACCCTAAGGCACCTAGCTTATAGCCAATCTGCGCTTGATCTTGCTCAAGCATGTCTAGGCCTCCTTCCTTTCTCAGGAAAGGGGCATGCTGAAGTCACATTCGCACTTCCTACACTATCCAGACTCAAGCAGTCTGCTAACCAGTCGATCATCAATACTACTTTCTTTGACAGTGGAATATGACTCGGGGAATTGGATCTGCTGTCAGGGTGGAACTGAGACTCTCTCGGTTAAATTGTCTCCTGAAGTTTCTTGTCAACCTGTTTCGTTATCAGCGATGCTCTCATACTGGTAGCTTACCATAGGTTGCAACTAGGATGAATCCAAATTTATCAGCCTGGTAGACACATGGTCTGGTGAATGCCGGGGCTGTTGTTAGGAAGAAAGCAAGGACGGGCAAATTTACAAGCCGTTGCAGTCGACGCATGGCTTCTTTACTATGAGAAAGATATTTATTGAATGATAACTTGAGTAGAACCACTTGCAATTACTGGGTAGTTGGTTGATGGCATCAATAACTAGGCAATGAGCCTTCGGTCTGCAGTATCTCCAGCGATAGTCATATAAGCTTTGCTGACTTTCTATTTGCGAAGGCTACCTTGACCCCTATGTCCCACGCATATAATGCCACCCTCAAGACATGATTTGCCCCCGGTGGTCACATCGCAACCCGACCTTGATCACGATTGGACCGTTGATCACCGAAAACACCGCGCATTCACATGTTCTGTAGTTTTGCAGGCTATATTCGACATTTTGAGCGAACGCATGAATGTCCCTGTTTTGAAGAGTACTTGAATAGGTGCCTCAGTCATGTAAGTAATGCTTCTGGCATCTCGGGTCCCCTTCAAGCTATTATCTCATAAATTGATCTCACGTCTGATTTCGAGATAAGGTGCAAAGTACGACAGCTGAACAAGACTGCAGTGGAACAGGTGCAAGTCTCTGGACAGATGGCATTCGATCGCTTATCCGGAACCCCATTGTTCCCACTATTTGTTGGAAATCAGTGGAGACTCAGTGGTTGGTCCCTATTTCGGCCTAAGGCCATGAGTACGGGGTTTGAGGCCGATTCCAACGCTGCTTTCTGTGTGACATCTGACCTTCTTGATTATCGAGAGAAATTCGAATTGAGCTACGATCTTGAGAAGTGGCAGGTTTGCGACCGAAAGTGGTGCATCGTTGAAAAGTGTGGAGCGGCTGAGAGAGAGGCCCAGCCCGCTTATCCAATTTGTTTCTCTTTTTCCAACTTCGCCATCGCCACACGCGATCTTTTGCCCAACTCCCACTCGACTCCCCTTGATTATTTTCAGGCAACTACCTCGTTTTCTACACTAAGGAGTGAAAGGAGTATTCGTCTGATCTCCTTCGCCCTCTGTGGGACATTTCCCTTCCCGCTTTGAACTCACCCCGCCACACCTCCGCGCCGTGAATCCCCCCTCTCCTCGGCCCCCTTGCTCCGGTTTTCGACACTTCAGACAGCTATATCCCTTCACCTTCAAAATGGATCGAGCTCTCGCGCGCGCGGTGACCGAGAAGAAGCCGGTCCCTGAGATCGATTTCTCGTTGCACACCATGGAGGATGGCAGCCAGGTGTCGACAATGGAACGGGTGGTTAAAGGTAACGACCGGTCCAGATCGCTATTATCACTTTGGAACCAGATCTGACTCGACTGTGAATTATCAGAGGTGCAAGCGCCGGCCCTGAGCACCCCGCCTGATGACATGTTTTGGTCCCCCGACGACCCTTCCAAGCCAAATCTCCAGTACCTCAAACAGCACCTGTATCGCGAGGGTCGTCTTACCGAAGAACAGGCCCTATGGATCATTCACGCCGGTACCGAGGTTTTGCGCCAGGAGCCCAACTTGCTCGAGATGGACGCTCCTATCACGGTTTGCGGTGATGTCCACGGCCAATACTACGACTTAATGAAGCTGTTTGAGGTTGGCGGCGACCCTTCGGAGACACGATACTTGTTCTTGGGCGACTACGTCGATCGTGGCTATTTCAGTATCGAGGTGCGTATCCTCGGTTTCTATTGCTATTCCTCGTCTGACAGACTTGCAGTGTGTTCTGTACCTCTGGGCGCTGAAGATCTGGTATCCGGATTCGCTCTGGCTGCTGCGCGGTAATCACGAGTGTCGCCACCTGACGGATTATTTCACCTTCAAGCTTGAGTGCAAGCACAAGTATAGCGAACGGATCTACGAGGCGTGCATCGAATCTTTCTGTTCTCTGCCGCTGGCGGCCGTCATGAACAAGCAGTTCCTGTGTATCCACGGTGGTCTTAGCCCGGAGCTTCACACTCTCGAGGACATCAAGGCTGTACGTATAAGCCAGCCACTAAGCCGACGTATCGCTGACAACAGTAGATTGATCGTTTCCGTGAACCCCCGACCCACGGTCTGATGTGCGACATTCTCTGGGCTGACCCTCTGGAGGAATTCGGCCAGGAAAAGACTGGTGATTTCTTTATTCACAATAGTGTTCGTGGTTGTTCTTACTTCTTCTCTTATCCGGCTGCATGTGCGTTCCTCGAGAAAAACAACCTCCTTTCTATTATTCGAGCACACGAGGCCCAGGACGCCGGGTACCGTATGTATCGAAAGACTCGCACGACAGGATTCCCTAGCGTCATGACCATTTTTAGCGCTCCCAACTATCTCGACGTGTATAACAACAAGGCCGCCGTTCTCAAATATGAGAACAACGTCATGAACATTCGGCAATTCAACTGCACTCCGCACCCCTATTGGCTGCCCAACTTCATGGACGTCTTCACCTGGTCCTTGCCCTTCGTCGGCGAGAAGATCACTGATATGCTAATTGCTATTCTCAACACCTGCTCGAAGGAAGAATTGGAAGAGGAGGAGGAGGAAACTCCTACCTCTGCTTCTGTGGAAACCATTTCTCCTTCCTTGTCGACGGAAGCTGCGGAAGCCAGCGAGGTCAGGCGCCGAGCCATCAAGAACAAGATTCTTGCTATTGGACGTCTTTCGCGTGTGTTCCAGGTCCTGCGTGAACAGTCTGAGAGCGTTACAGAATTGAAGACGGCGGCTGGCGGCCGTCTTCCTCCCGGTACCCTCATGCTGGGTGCTGAAGGTATCAAGCAAGCCATTCACAACTTCGAGGACGCCCGTAAGGTCGATATCCAGAACGAGCGCCTGCCTCCTAGCCAGGAGGAAGTCATCGAGCGAAGCGAGGAAGCTCGCCGTCAAGCCATGGCACGTGCCGAGCAGGAAGCTGCCAATGATGCCGGACTGGCCACCGTCGCCAGGAGAATCAGCATGTAAGTGATGTCTCGTCAACGGTCAATGATGTATCTCTGATCCCTATTAGGTCTGCCGGCTCTGGTCGCAATCGGCGCCAGCGTGACTCAACTTCCAGGGAGGCCTAGAAAAGCCGTAGGAGCTTGATATAATGACTTGACCTATGCATTTCTTCTTCCTGCCCTCCAGCGAACACGCTTTTGCCACGACATGATCGACACGATACCCTTCTTATCAGCTTGATCCCATCACTTGTTTGGCCATACACTTGGATCTACAATAACCGCACCCAAACTTGGATTGCTCGCGTTCAACTTTGGTATTCTAGGATTCATGGATTCAGGGGCTAAGTAGATCTATGAGTGTAGCTTGACATGATAACAGATGTTCTTTTTCAAGGCGAAGAAAAAAAAGAATATCATGTAATGATGGCCTTCAATTTATTGTTTCAATCTTCTGACATTTCACATTTCATTTGCAACTGAAGAACCGAAACAAACCTGTAAATGTAAAAAGGTGGAGCCGCCAAGCCTTATGTCCGTTCCTCACTTTCCAAGGTTCCGACCCCGAGTCCTTCGTTCACATCTCCGCCTCGTTCACTACCCTTGCTCCATCGCGCCTCAATGCCCTCCAGATTGCGCAGCGCACTTCCGCGGAGCCTGTCGCGCCCGCTGGACAGCGCGGGTGTCTTCTACTGCCCCTCCTGCTCAACCTGGAGACGGGAGCTCACAACGCGTGCAGGCGCCAGCACCGGCATTGGCAGAATTGGCTCGGCACGTAGATCGAATCGCCTGCTGGAGCCGGCTACGACTGTCAATGCTCGCCATTTCACTCATTCATCTGTTATCACGGCAGGCAAGGCAATCCCACCGCGATTCAAGGAGCTGCACGATGCTCTGAGTAGAGTCCAAGATGCAGCGATACAGGAAGTCAGTATTAGTCGGTTACAACTGGCGTTGAGAGGGTTAGAGTCTGAAGCGCCTCTTATTCGAGTTGCCGGTAAGTCACACTCTGCGCAATGGCTATCCGTTGGCGGTTGCGACATTTCATTGTTGAAGATAGGCTCTGACATCTTCGTGGGTTTTAGTTCTCGGACTAGATAAAGCCGACTCTGCGCGCAGATTGGTTCGGTTGCTTCTCGCCGATCCTCTGAGTCAACGCGAGAGCTGGGAGGATGTTCTCGACGGCTATGATGCGGACCCTTCGCGGGGTCTATTAATTCGGTACGGAATCACTTTGGAATCAAGGCCACGATAGGAATACTAACGGGGATCTCATATATTAGATACGGCGAAGTCTCGGAATCCCTACCCGATGACCTTCTTCCGACACTTGCAGTCCGCTCACCCGTCCTGAAGAAGGGTAACATCGAAATCCTCATCGGCAAAATCGGCTCTGAAGCGGCCTCGGCTGGCGCCTCCCTCTCCGCCGATACCTTCCTCGTCCCCAATGTCACGATTCCAACATCACACTCCGGGCGGCAAAATATGATCCGGTACCCTGTGCACGGGAGTATCGTGTGCGGACACGGAGTGAATGGATTGTTGGCATTCAGTAGCTTGGTGAGCCGTGCAGACTTGAAGAATGAAATTGCCTCAGTGCGCGGTGCAATCGAGCTTTCCGTGGCGAACCAGACCCGTGATAGCGATCGTCTTTCGTTTGTGGATATCGAACGTGCGAGCACTGCCCTGGACAAGATCCGTGAATCCGTGCAAAATGCCACCGAATATGAACGGGGGTGGAATGCGAGTGGTGTGCAGGCCGTGGTCGACTGGCTCGCAAATTTCTCCCTGGCGGACAGTGGAGAAGAGTTAAATCCTGCTCTAGTCCCGTTGATTGAATCGCTGCTCAATGCGGCCGACGAAGGTGTGAGAGCTCGGGATGCCCAAGCTCTTCAGAAACAGACCGTCGGAGCTGTCTCCGAGGAAGTGCGGACCGAGCTTGAGCGTGGAGTCGTCTCCTGGGCAGAGCAAGGGCATTCAGAGCTCCGTAGCGCTCTCGAGGCAGGCTTCGCTAGTCCGCGCTGGCGAGGTCTTGCATGGTGGAAGCTCTTCTGGCGGGTTGATGATGTCGGCATGATCACATCTGATATCTTGGAGAAGCAATTTCTTCGCCGCGCCGAGCGCGAGGTCATCTTCAATTCGGGCAAATACCAGCAGGCGGGCCTGCTAGAGGAGCCCATCACTCCTCCTGAGTCCAACACAGATTCAGCCCCCAGCAAAGCTTCACTTACTCCCTGGCCGACTCTGATCCCCGATCTTAGGGCCAAGTTGCTCAACACCACAGTTCCCTCGCTGCAGGCCCTCGCCCAGAGCCTAGTGCTCTTCAGCGTTTCTACCACTGCCTTGACCTCGACACTCTCTGTCCTCACGTACATTTCCGTTCCTTCAGCATCCGCTTATGAATCGGCCACCATCGGCGCACTCGGTCTAATCTACTCCCTACGTCGTCAGCAGAAGAAGTGGGATAGTGCCCGTGGATTCTGGGAGGACGAGGTCCGCGAAGAGGGCCGCACATGTCTTCTCGAAACGGAAGCATTGCTGCGTCAGATTGTCCGTGAAGGTGGTAAAAGCATCAGTGACGCGTCCGACCACCGCGCACGAGAAGCGGTTGTCCGCGCACGCAAGGCGTTAGAAGCTGTACGCTCGTGAAAAGTCTCGTGAATGACCTACTGTACATGTACCATGATTTAGATTAGATATTGCTTAGCTGTACAATCAACTGCTGCTACGTTCTACAGATGCATATCAGCAATCTTGGAGCCTTGGGACCAAGGACAAGCTTTCTCACTCCACTTTTGCTGTTTCAGCTGTGTCGGAGGTATCCTAACCAGCCACGAATCGCCAGACCCCGCAAGATAGATTTACTTCGGCATCCCGCTGGGGTTAAGGGTTGCCAGCGATTTCAAACGATCGCGGTGTGGAGCCCGTGGAGTTTACGCATTGCTTAACCGCCAAGGCTATGTTCGGCCCCATGGATCTGAAGCGACTGTCCAGTTTTCCATTCATGTTGTGGGACTGAAAACTGCGGTTCGACGACGATTTACAATCTGCCATGTTTACCACTTAATATATACATCAAGATTCTACTCGCGCGGATTCCTCTGATTAGCCATAGTTTCCCAAACACAGCATGGGCATCGACGAAGCGAGATGTGATTGAAGAATTCTATATCCAACCAAGACCCTCCTAATTAGTGAAGTGTTTCATGATGCGCTTGACGACCCAATCCGCGGGTGTAGCGTGGGGCCCACGAGACGACTAAATCGTTAGTCCAGGAACAACATGTTCGATTGAACGTCTCAAATTCCAGACCAAACGGTGGGCTTGTCCACTATCACGCCCAAGCACTGGCCAGCTCTGTTACAGATTTGCTAGTGCCTCCCTTGGACGAGCTCCTATTGCACGTTTCCTGGCTAGAAACACCGCTAGATCCGCCCGTCTTAAGAGTGTGCTTTTCATGCTCCCGTGTATTTCCCGGAGGAACCCAATCGCATACGATATGAGCCGGGTCCCCGTGCCACTTCGTCCGTCGGAGGGATAGAGGGGCTTAATTTCAGGATACCAAGGGATTGGCGGAGTCATCTAATGTTGAGAAAAGACCGAGCGACTAAAAAGGGGGGGGCAATGGTGCTATCTTTGGTGCTTGGGGGAGATGAAGAACATAATTACTTGATTACTTGATTCCCTTGTTCTCTGCCCTTCGTTGTTTGCTGTGTCGACTTTACCTTCGGTTTGCCGTTCGCTCCTTTCCAGCCCTATCTCAGGACAAGGCATACACTCGTTTTTCCTGCACATCGTCTCTCCTTTTATTCAATTCATCCCTCCTTTTGATCAAGGCTGAGCCATTTTTATTTGCATTGAAATTGTCGGACGTGAGATTTGTGCTTTCCCTGTCGGATGCAATTGATGCTGATGATCTTCTATAGATACCAGACGAAAGCTTCATAGAAGTCATCTCAGGCCCGTGTTTATTTGTTGACGTCTGAGAGAACGCGCCTCCAGATTAAACGGTAAGCGGCATGTCTGATTGACTTTATTTCGCGATCCTATCCCTCCACTGCCACTGGCTAGTTTCACGCCTTTTGCAAGGGTGAGAGCCCTGAAGCAAGGGCACCATTCCTTTCTCCGAAGGGAGTCTTCCACTGCGATGCTCCATGTTATCGGAAGGGATCCCCGCCTTTCTTCTGATGCCTATTGATTGGGCATGTACAATCCAGGCCTGCGACCCTATGGGTCAAGCGCACTGAACCTTTTTGGTTCAAAAGCATTCATAGCGCCACTGATCCACTAACATCTCTATAGCGTCGTCAACTCCACCACATACACGCCCACTCTTCATTCAATCGTGCTCACTGTACCAGTCCGATTAATCAGGTGCTCCTGGCGAGTCACTGCCATTCGTTTTTATCCCGTACCATTCGTTCAAACCATTTGAAGCGCGTCGACGCGCCTCATACCATCACAATATGCAGGATTTCCGCCTTACAGCCTTTTTGGGCGCCTGCCTTATTGTACTTCCCACCTTTACCGATGCTTTCTGGCGCCTCCCCTGCCGTGGACGAACTGGTGTCGCTCGGTTGGACCCCATTGTTGAGCCGGGAGAGATCTCAGGACACATTCATGCTGTTCACGGGGCAGGCAGTAAGTTTGACCCACCTCCTATTTCAAGAGCTAGCACTGACGACACGATGTAGACTTCGGCATGAGCTCTGATATGAATACTCTGCTTGATTCCAGCTGCACCTCATGCGCTGTGGAGCAGGACATGTCCGCTTATTGGACCCCTCCTCTCTACTTCATGCACACCAACGGCAGCGCCGAACTGGTTCCACAGATTGGAGGCATGCTAGTGTAAGTCTCAGACACTTATCTGAACTGGACCCTCGTGTTAACGTCGCTTATGAACAGTTATTATCTCCTCTATGGAGAGAACGTGACAGCCTTCCCGAGCAACTTCAGGCTGTTAGCAGGCGACCCTTACCAGCGCAACTTCACCTGGCCGATTCCTGATCCACCAAAATCATCATGGTCTGGTGCCCAGTTATCGCAGGAAGCCCTACGCCAAAAGGCCATTGGATTCAATTGCCTGAACTATGCCATGGCTCCTGAACCATCCCTCTATCGCCATTTCTTGCCGAACAAAACCTACCTTGACGAACATTGCACGGATGGCGTTCGCCTCGAGCTGATGTTTCCATCTTGTTGGAATGGCGAAGATGTCGATTCAACGGACCACAAATCTCACATGGCGTATCCAACTCTGGTAATAGATGGCACGTGTCCGGAGGGATACGAGACTCGACTGGTCTCATTATTCTTTGAGACTATTTGGGACACGTACGTTTTCAAGGACGTGGATGGCTACTTTACGCTCTCAAACGGTGATCCAACAGGATTCGGGTACCATGGTGATTTCATGTATGGCTGGGAAGATGGCGTCTTGCAGGAGGCCGTCGACACTTGCACAAGCGATACGGGTCTCGTCGAGGATTGCGCGATATTCAATCTGCAGTCGGAAAGCAACCAGAGGGAATGCTTCTTCGATGTGCCGGAATCGTTGAAAGATGAAAATGTCTATATGCATGCAAATGGACTGCCTGGAGCCATGGCGATTGAATCGGGGCCTGCATATGCCACGATGTCAATGGCTTCGTCTCCGTCATCAAGCACTACATCACTGGAGCCTAGCACTACATCAAAGGAGCCTAGCACTACATCAAAGGAGCCTAGCACTACATCAAAGGAGCCTAGCACTACATCACAGGAGCCTGGCACTACATCAAAGGAGCCTAGCACTACATCACAGGAGCCTGGCACTACATTAAAGGAGCCTGGCACTGCATTACAGGAGCCTGGCACGTCTACTCCCTACATCTCAATCTCGCTACCACCACTCTCTATCAGCATCGGGGACTTGAACCTCGATGCCCTATGTCACGCACGAGCCCGCTACTATTGCGCCCTCAAGTACTACATCGACTTTCACTCATACACCGACCCCAACCACAGTGGAACTGGAGTCCATAATTGAAGAGATAGTCTATCTGGGACAAAACGTATATGTCTTGACTGACGAGAATGGAACACCCTATGCCACCAAGACTGGTGCTCAGCGGACACTCACTTCTCTGACTACGACCATTATGGCAAAATCGACAGTGGTATCATACGTCGAGAGAGACAATGTGCCCGAAGAATCAGAAAAGCAGGAACATATTGCCGAACATGCTCGCCGACATGTCCACCACCATGGCCATATGCACAAGAGGTTCTAACATAACATGGATCAAAGCTTCAAGGCAAAATAGCTCACGCTGAGCGTGGTTTTCCTGTTTCGAATATGTTTGAGGTCCGGTCCTGCTGCAGTATCCTCACCTGCCTTGGCTCACTGGACTGAACTTTCCATTCATGTACATGTTTCTTCTCGCTGTTCCAGGCAATCCATCTGGGATGGTGAATTAATTATATTGCCATTTTCAAAATGATGCCAAACCGTCCTGGCCGTTAGCGATAGGGGTGCTCTGAAGTGTATTGGTTCTCAGGTAATCTCCAATTTTCCTCCCGGCGAAATCTTCAAGGATCAGCGCGATATAAGTAGAAATGGTTGAACGACATGGGATGGTCTGAAACAAGTTGGTACGGCGGCCAGTATCATCTTCGTCAATTACTGAGACATTAGGCCGTTCATGTCAGACTAAATTAACACAGTGTCTCAGGCTGGTATAATTAGCGTGGATGAGGTATTTGGAATGTCGTTGTGCTACCTGACATCGGAGTGCCGAGACAAAATCCGGTTACTGTTATGCAGTGCAAGAGGTTGACGTGATGATGTGGCTCACCAAGTTTCAATCTTGTATCTCGTGATTCAGGGAAGCTGCTACCTCAAGGGTCGATAACTCTTTTTCCGGGATGCTCAGGAATACACCAGAATGGAAAGTGCCGCAACGTGTTGACGCAGGTCACTATTGATTCCCTATCTTTTCTTTCTTTCTGGTCACGCACGTGGCTGTGCTGCTCGACGATGAGCTTATCTTACAACAATGGCCTAAGACGCGGACCTGGCCATGGATACAAAGTGCCACATCGTGAGCCGTGGCCATTGCTGAAAGCACCAGGCCCTGCTCGCCCTGCATATGCATTGTTGAGTCTCGACCTGAACCTACCAGGATTGGCTTTTGGAGCTTGTGCTATTTTGAGGCGTGGATATCACCGCATGAAAAATTCACTCCAACACGAGGCGGAAGGTTGCATGCAACCAGCCAAGACTTGATGGTGGTGACCTATCCGAGTGCCAGAACAGCACTCTCATGCATGGCAACAGCTACGGTGAGCTCTACCAGCGTTTGGATCCGATCAAGGTGGGAAGCTTAAGTCAAGACGTGATGGCTTACTCGATAGCATTTCTGAATAACATATAAGACGAGTGGTGTTCAGTAGGTGATCATTGAGGAGCATTCACTTCAATTCGCTAAATGATTGTTGTTCTCGCAAGTCTTTACAAATTGTACGATGGGCTTCCATTACATCCCCGTGGTGTCTCTCTTCATTATTACTCTTGCTATGGCCTCTCCTCCGATGACAGCTGCCAGTGGCCCATTGAAGCAGGCCCAGGCTACCATGACTGTTTCTCCCCCAGCAGTTAACAAGAATGCACATCTGCGCTGCGCGAGTGGGTCGTCTGTCGTGTACACAACGGACTGTACAATGGGCACCCCTGTATCCTACTGCTGGAAACCCCCGTCGCCGATCAAATGTCAAGCCGGCGAGTTCCCATCAGTGTGGCATCCAGACCATTGCATGGAAGAGCAAACCTGTTTCCCAATCAGTGCAGCATGGATCACAACTGAATGCTCCAACGGTGCTATTCCGTACGCCACAAACACATTGTACGATGGCACACTGGCAGAAGGGAAGTCCACTGTGATAAGCTGTAAGCTAAGACATTCTTTATCGAAGCATTATCTAACATCACGGTAGCTGTTTCTTGTGCCTGTGGCCCCAATCAATGGTATAGCATGGCCGTGCTCGATGGCGGATCCCAATTCGATACATTCTGCATGCCTTACAACTCTTGTCCTCCTGGCATGGCAACCTCTACCAGTATTGATGTATATTGTGCGTCTGCAACAGATTCCGCGGCAGTGGCTGCTTGCTCAGATGTCTCCCTCGAGTCTCATTACTGCAAATGTGATGATCCAATGCAGACTCCAGTGTATCCCGAAGAACCCGGCGCTGCTGCCACGGGCTGTAAGTATTAAGCGAGTCATCGCAAGGCTCCACAGGATGGAACTCAGTAACAGACTTACGAGATGAAAGGCTTGAAGCTCTTCCTTGGGGCTTCATTTGACTCTGTATCCTCTCTACTTTAATAACATTCTAATGTACAATCACTTCAAATTTGACTCAGTTGCAAGCGATTGAATACCAAAGGGGTTAAGAACCATGCTCTAGCCCAGTACAAGTGACGCCAGTGAAAAGCTTCGCCGAGCAGCATTCGTCAGCAATTCCATCTGTTTCGCTGCCAGAATTAGCCTAAATCCCATACCAGTCGCCCGAGGAGTCCCGTGCCCACCAAAACCCTCATCGGCGTCCGAATCAGGGAACCGGACATTGTCCCGAAGACAGAGCTCCGTGCGCACCCCGCATCGGCCCGCGTTCTGAAAGAGGTTACATAAGGGTCCGAAGATGTCATATTACCCCTCAAATAGCGCGAGTCTCCTCCTCAATACATCCTACCTCACAGCATTCAAAATGGCCGAATCTCTTCCTGAAATGCAGTATCGCTCCCTTGGCCGAACGGGTCTGAAAGTTTCGGTTATCTCGCTTGGTAGCTGGCTTACCTATGGTGGACATGTCGGAAATGGTACTGCGTGTCATTGCTGGTCGGATAAGTGGACATCTATACTGACTAGGAGCAGACATTGCGTTTGATTGCATGAAGGCCGCGTGGGACGCCGGAGTCAACTTCTTTGACACAGCCGAGGTCTACTCCGGAGGTCAGTCGGAGATAGTGCTTGGAGAAGCGATTAAGAAGTTCGGGTGGAAGCAGAACGACTTGGTTATTTCTACCAAGGTATTTGTCAACCCAATATCCGAATTGAGGGTGATTTTAATCTTGTCCAGATCTACTGGGGTAGAGCCAACAGCGCCAACCCCGACAAACCGCTGAACAACAACGGCCTTTCTCGCAAGCACATCATTGAGGGTATGAACCTGTCTCTCAAGCGCCTTGATCTTCCCTACGTGGATGTGGTATATGCCCACCGCCCAGACCGGGAGACTCCCATGGAGGAAATTGTGCGTGGCTTCAATCACCTGATCGACCACGGCAAGGCCTTCTACTGGGGAACGTCCGAGTGGTCTGCGAGTGAAATCGCCGACGCGTGGCGCATTGCCGATAAACTGGGTCTCATCGGACCCGCCGTTGAGCAGCCCCAGTATAACCTTCTTGCGCGTGAGCGCGTTGAGAAGGAGTACCGCTGGCTGTATGAGGCCCATGGTCTGGGGTTGACTGTCTTTTCGCCTCTCAAGGGTGGCATTCTTACCGGCAAGTATAACGATACTACCGCGCCTCCCCCCGGGTCACGTCTGGCTGAGTCTGAGGATGGGTATGTGAAGGGTCTACGCAAGACTGTGGGTGACGAGACCTGGGAACGGCAGTTGAAGCAGACTGCTGCGTTGAAGCCAATTGCCAAAGAGCTGGGTGTTTCTACAGCGCAGTTGGCCTTGGCTTGGATCCTGAAGAACCCCAACATCTCGTCTATGATCACTGGTGCTTCACGGCCAGAGCAGGTTCGCGACAATGTGCGCGCCTTGGGTCTTGTGGATAAATTGACCGACGAGATCATGGAGAAGATCGAGGTGGCGGTGGGAAACCAACCTGCTGAGGAGAAAACGAGGTTTTAGATCGAAAAAGAGGCGGTTATCTTGTGAATTTATTCAAATGCATTGTATCGACACCTTGATGGTCTTCAATCATCGTTGACATACCGGTCAAATACATTGGCGTAGAATTTGCGTCCTACATCACGGTGGCTGCGAATCTTTGTCCGTAGTTGCGACTCGCCCCAGGTATCATACTTTCCGCGCAGAAATGCTGAGTCGATGTGGGCTCCTGCATCAGCCTCCAAAGATGTCCTCTCCTCGCGAAAATAACCTTTCAGAGCTCCCAATGCCTCATCTTTGGTCAGACTACCACGGACACCCTGAAAGAACGGGACACTATATCTCTCGAGTGGACCCGATAGTACTCGATGAGTAGTGGCTTTGCATATACCATGTGTCACCACTTCAAAAGCCTGTCCAATATTCACAACGAAGGTACCCTCAATGACCGGGACATCAATCCATTTTCCGCTATTGTTGAGTACTTGTAGACCCTCGACATGGAGAGGTGATGCTTGCAGGAGGAATGTCCACCAACCTGATGAATCCTTGTGGGGACCAACACCCTGCCCATCAGAGCCTGTTGAGACATCCGAGGGATAATGTACAAGCTTGAGACGATGTTGGTCGGACAAAAAAGAAAAGAGAATCTCCGACGGCACGGACAGAGTCTCGGCAACAAGTTTCAGGAATCTTTCACCGAGATTTGTAAGCTCGTTGATATAATTTCCAACAACTTCTTGTATCTGAGGATATGCGGACGGCCACTGCTCTGTTTTAGTTAATTCCAACTGCCTAGAGTCTACTTGAGGTACCTGATTGGGCCCCTTCAGTCTTTCATACAGAGGCGATCCCTCTCTCCAGATATCTGGCAATTCGGTCGCAAACTCGAACTGCTCTCGCTTGTCTGCGATTCCAGCTGTTGTTTCGGAGCCGACGTGGCTGTAACCCAGAAAATGCGGGGAATTATGCAAGGCTATGTTTTCTTTCGTTTGTGCATCCAGTTCAAACAGTTGAGGGAGGATAATCTTCAAGTTCTGTACGACCTTTTGAGGCACACCATGGTTCGACACGTAAAGAAAGCCGACCTGCGTAAGGGCGTAGTGGAGCTGGTTTAGGAGACGTGGCCGTGTCTCGGGGGATTCGGCGAGAGAGAGATCAAGTATGGGGATAGACTGAAAATCTGATGTCATTGTAGGAGGTCCTGCGAGCACTCGGGTTAGATGTGTTTAGTAGCATCAATTGATGGCAGCCATCTTTATTCCGATGAAATGCTTTTGCCATCCTGGACAGCGGTATTGGATGGCGTAACCGCAAAGCATCGGCGGATCCCCGCACCTGCGGGGTAGACATTTCGAGGTCTTAGGTTTTACTAGGTGGTCTCTTCTACACAAGAATTAATCCTTTGTTTGCACTGCACGATATTGATCAAACTTATCAAACAGCTTCAAGATCTTTCTCAACTATCGCCTTGGTTCAAGAGAAGTAGAGTGACCGCTGTACCTTTGACTCCATAACTGATTTGCAGCATTAGATACATGTGGCAAAATTACGGGTGGCTCGTGTCAAACTACCCAACGGTTAGCTTCTTTAAACATGACGAAAAGGGGCATGAGACTAACGATGCATTGTTCGAATGGCACGCTTGAATTCAGAATAGCCTCAAAGGTGGCACGGGCAATGATTACCGGCACCCCAATGTGCTCAGCCTGCTGTTCAGCCTGCTGCACGACCTCCTCATTACGGGACGGTACATTGACTGAATCGCGAGTCGGTTTGAAACGTGTTGCCTCGCGTACGTAGGCAGCCCTGGAGAGAGAATCAGTCCACAACGACCTAGCAGTGCAATGTGAAAGAGGGCTGGAGAAGATCCAGGCTCAGACAGGGTAACGTACCTCTGATTGAGTAGATCGAGAAGTTTTCCGTCAATATCATCTAGCGCGTTCCGAATTTCGTCGAGAGAATCGCAGCAGGTAGTGAGAGTCCCGTTTAAGGAAGAGAAATGTACGCTGGGGGAGCCCCAGGGTACTGGGCGATGATCCGTTGAAGGCGGAATTGAGGGAAGAAGGGATGCATAGCACGAGGCCCCGGAAGCTTCGGTCGGGACGACGAGGCGAAGGCCAGGAGAGGAGTAGACAATAGGGGAAAGAGCTGTTGGAATATCATGATGAACTCTTTAAGGAGTCAAAGACTTCAGAGATTGAGCTTTGAATGACGGAGTACGCATTAGGATCACCGAGTGGACCCGTAGATGTACGGTAACCCTTGGATGGCAGGGCATTTCATCGACCATCTTGGATGCAAATAGATGCAGGCAGACACTCAACATTGAACCTTAGTTTCTTCTGATGCTATTGCTCTCTTCGATTGACATTATTCTCTCAATGAAAGACAAGCAAATGCCCTATGCACCGGGGCATACCTTTGTCGAGGCAGCTCGGATGGCCATCTCCGTCAGTACATGAAGCTAATGCTAGGAAAGTAATCTCGAAGTGACATCACCAGCGTCACGTAAAAGTCGATTTCATTGATTGTGTATCTCAATTGTTTATCATAGAATTTATTATAACCGCGAAGCTCGTAGAAGAGCATGGAGGCGTTATGGGCTGATGCGGGGAACGGAAATCGCGCCGATCCAGGATCCTTCGGGCCAGAGACCCCCTCCCCCTCTCAGGTACTTTGTCAAAGTTCGCCTTCCTGTCGAGTTTAGTTTTCGTATAGGTATTCGGAATCTTCTTGATCTTCTCGTTCTTCGCTTGACAAGTCTAAAAATGACCGGCTCACGACTGCAGGATAAGGTTGTCATCGTCACAGGTAAGTCCGCTAGCTTCCCGCTTGTACTTTGCTGATCCACTATCTGTTCAGGAGGTGGCTCTGGCTTTGGTGCCGCTATCGCCCTTCGATTCGGAGCCGAGGGAGCCAAGGTCATTGTTGCAGACATCAATGTCGAGGGTGGCGAGAAGGTGGCCGCACAACATCCCAACCTGATTTTCCAGCGTATGGACGTCACTCAAGAGGGAGATTGGCAAACTGTCGTCGACCTAGCGTTCTCAAAATATGGCGGATTGGATACCTTGGTGAACAACGCTGGCACTACTTATCGGAATAAGGTGGGTATTTTCGATCCAATGTCTTTGTGGAGATGATCCAATGCTGATGAAGGGTCTCTGTGGCTGTGTTCAGCCCACAGCAGAGGTCACCGAAGATGAATGGGAACGGGTCTTCCAGGTCAATGTCAAGAGTATCTTCCTAGCCGGCAAGGTCGCGATGCCTCGATTTCTCCAACAGGGCAAGAGTCGAGGTGGCAGCATGATCAATATCAGTTCGACGGGTGCCAGCCGCCCACGACCGGGCCTGGTGTGGTACAACGCATCCAAGGGTGCCGTTACCAACGTGAGTGACCCAGCCGCTTAGAGACGAGATCAAGAGCTACAGCTAAAACGCCACTCATCTAGGCTACCAAGGGCCTCGCAGCCGAGTATGGTCCCCACAACATCCGCGTCAATAGTGTGGCACCGTTGCTGTCCGGCACGGGTCTCTTTTCCATGTTTACGGGTATGGAGGACACTCCGGAGAACAGGGAGAAGTTTATCGGCAATGTGCCCCTGGGTCGTCTGACCGAAGCCGATGATATCGCCAATATGTGTCTCTATCTCGCTAGCGACGAAGGAAGCTTCATCAATGGGACGGAGATGGTGGTTGATGGCGGCAAGTGTATCTAAGTGGATCTTCTCCAGTTAGTTATACGAAGTGACCCATACCCACCCAGGTACTAAATATGAACATCGGCTATCTCGACCTCTTATGACTATTGCTCATTTTCTATAACCAACACCATATATCATGTGCCCTCAGATCAATATTCGCGCCGGCGTCATAGATCGCAAACATGGTCGACACGAATTCGTAGTGGGGCAAGATGGCGGGGGTAGATAATATGGGCCAGGAAAAACTTTGGTTAATATTCCCGCAGGTGTCATGTTCCCTCTTGTGAAGATAGCCAAACGCTTTGTACGAGGATTTGTCAAAGGACGATCGCCACAGAGGTATGCTATGCCCAATACATTGAAGACTGCGTCAGCCCCAAAGGCGCGCGAGCCGCCGACGTGGAGCTCGACGAGATTGGCATCGAATAGAAAGCTCAGTTAAGCGGGGGGTCTCATACAACTGTCAATAATAGGTGGATTCATGGAATGGGTGGATTGGACCGGCTCTTGGCCATTGAACAGCAGATGGAAAAACTCAGAGCAAAAGCCACCGGTGGGATCTACGTGGGGTCTTCAAAAAAATTTGGCAAAAAAAAGTGTCGAGGAGTGGGGAGTGAGCAATGATCCTCGATTCACGGGTGATCAGCATCACCTCCCCTTCTCTTGTCTGTAATATCATGCTGTGATATGTCTGCTTGTCTTCATGTCTTCTAAACTTCTCCCTCCATGGAGATTCAAATTGTGGACGACTTAGTGACCGAGACGTCAGAGTTGCCCAACTCGCAACCGCCCACCGCTTCGCGGAAACGCGTCCGCCGCTGGCACCATCGCGGTTTCACAGGTTGCTCAACATGTCGCCGTCGCCATGTCCGCTGCGATGAGGCCTCTCCCATTTGCAATAACTGCACTCGTTTGGGCCTTGAGTGTGATGGTACACAAGGGCGGACGACCTTCAAGGTCTACGGCCCATCGCAAAGCAAGGAACCCAAGCTGCCCAAGGCCCAGCAGAGGAGACACAAGCCACTCAGTCCGGACTTATCCGGCGAGTCTTTAGCGAAAACACTTCCCATCAAGTGGAAGGACCTAAAGGACTCATGGCAGGCTGTTGTAGTGTCACCGGCGACGGCATCGCAACAACCACCACAGTCACATGCAGAACCACAACCACCAGAACCACAACCACAATCACAACCACAACCACATCAACGGCGACGTCCACCTCCGATCTGCTTTCGCTTCCAGGAACCCTTGGGCCCGGCCAACTTGGCCAATATGCAATGTAGCGACGAGCGCTATTATACCCACTTCATTGACCAGGTGTCCACTCTTCTAATCATTTACGACAACCCCATCAATGCGAACCCATACCGCAGTTACTTTCCTGACTTCTCTCGCTCGTCTCCGTCCATGGTGGGCGCCATGCAGGCATTGGGCGCGTTGCATCTGGCGAATACGTCGGTCGGGCCACAGCGAAACAAACATTTCCAGAAGGCAATGGGGAAATACGGACAGGTGGTCCAGATGTTCCGCGCGAGGTATGCTGCGCCGAAGCGACAGCTTGGGATGACTGACTTTGCGACCTGCCTACTGCTATGTCTGTTCGAGGTGCGCTTCTTTTGGCTGCAAACCCCTTTGGACCACGTCTCATTGACTTAATCTTACAGATGATGGACTCTCAGCACCTAAACTGGGCTGTACACCTGAAAGGAGCACGCGAGATCTACAATCTCCTCTTCTATCCGCATACTGGCAGCTCCGAACGTGAAGTCCAACGAGTCGCCGATACAAATCACCCTCTACGATCATTTCTTGTATCATTACTATCGTACCTTGATGTCGCCGGTGCATGTGCAACACCCGGGGGTACCGTGGTGGACGGCAGTTACTGGAAAACTCTCGGAGGCGGGTGGGAGTACAATCTTGGCACTCCGAGTCTGTCGGGTATCCACGATGATCCCACTCTGGTAGAGTTGCGGTCGGCATGGTGTGGTATGATGGAAGTTCAAGCAGCCATCAGCACTCTCGCCCGTGACAAGCAGTGGATGTCCCCCGAACAGCAAGACATGGTATACAAGGACATCTTCCACCGGCTTGTGGTCTGGCGTGCCAGCACTCCAATAAGTTTGCAAATGCTCGGAGACATGGAGCTGGACGATGAGAGCTTGCGCCTGTTCCCGTTCCCGGACATGCTCGAGTACGTGGGATGCATCGAAGCCTACGAAAAGGCAACCTTTGTGCACCTCCACCAGGTAGGAGGAGCCGGCCGACCAGGCTGGATCACTGATCGAGCGTACCTGGACATGCTCATCACTCGCATTTTGACTTTAATCCGCAAGCTTTCCAAGGACGTTGGTCAGCTGGCAGTCCTGTGGCCTCTCTTCATCGCCGGACAAGAAACAAGAAAAGAAGAAGAGCAGAAATACGTTCGCCAGACGATGGAAGAGCTCAAGCGGTTCGGCTTCAAGAATGTCGACAAAGCACTCGAGCTCCTCGAAGGCGTGTGGTTCAAGCGACGTGCCTTTCCTCAGGGGTGGACCGAGACGCTCGACGAGATTCAATCCAACATTCTCTTACCCTGATACCTCCGGACGTTGTGTGACCTTCTCTTGGATATACGTTTCTCCGCGGGCAACGCCTTCTGATATCAACCATGCATATATTGTCGGACTACTGCACCTCTGGCATATCTAAAGATACGACGTCTCATGAATTCTGTGCCTACAAAGGCTGTTCTCATCTGTTCCATTGGAAGCGCTTTGTTTGCTTTTCATCTTCACATTTTCATTTCCTCTTCCTTTTTCCATCTTGGTGAGGAAACAGCGTCCCCCGTAGATTTATTACATTTGACATACTTCCCCATCTGTCTTAGGAGTCCTGTTCATACAGCATCCGACGATTAAACCTGTTTTTAGTGAGCGCTAGTGGCCCGATCGGGTTTGCAACCAAGCCAAGTGGGTTTGGGTGGGTTTCCCGCGCCCAACCGCTTTCCCCTTTGACCCCAACACAACGACCAAAGCCATGATTCATAGGAATGTAAGACATGCCCAGAAGATCATCTCAATTTCTAGATCTAGTCACACGTTTCGAAGCATATGCCCTGCATAGCACAGCCCAGCTCCGATCGCATGTAGCGTGTCAGGGAACAGGCTGGGCGCGGGCCTTGTAGCCGGACATGCTTGCTTTACCTTTTGCAGAAACAGGGCCTCGGACCAGAAAGCTCCGAGCTCGGGGCTACGAAACTACGGAACGTCGAAAGTTTCCAAAATTTGACTTCAGAGCTGTCGGACCCTGTCTCAGGGACATATTCGACATGACACTGCCCTTATATGCTGCATTTGTGGCGATTTGGTATTAGAGAACCTCGGAAGAGCATCAATATTTCTATCAAGTTTGAACCCTTTAATCAAGTTCGCGGCGGAGCCACTCCTAATCTTCCCGCGGTGGGGAAACGAGCCTGGACCGGGGCCGCGAAACGGCGTTCAAGGTTTTTCAATGATCTTATCCGCCAGGTCCTGATCTTTTGATCTTTTGTATTCGCAGAAAAATTCGGTCGCAGTCATTCTTTTTCACAGCTTGCCTCTTTTCTGCCACCATGGCCAAACAGCAGGAGCAAGAAAGCGTCGGCCACGATCAGCTGATTGTTGGCGAGGATGATCGCAGTGACATCCAGGCTAAGGACGATGCGGCTTTGCTGGTGAGTATGATGCATCTCATGAATAGTTGAGAAAGTTCTTACTGACATGATCCAGCGCACTATGGGCTATAAGCCGGTATGTGATTCTCGAATGGCTGGATGATCGGCAAACTCATGAATCGCAGGTACTTCATCGGACTTATACATTGTTCGAGAACTTCGCCACCACCTTCGGTATGTATAAAATCATAGATTGAGTGTTCTGTCACTCTGCTGACTCTCCTAGCCGCGCTCTACTTTGTGGGTGGTGTCCGCGTCACCTTCAGCACTGGAATCGCTGCCGGTGGTAATTTGGCTTACTGGACCAGTTACCTGGTCACCATGGTCTTTACCTTCATCACCGCCGCGGTGATTGCCGAAGTCTGCTCTGCTTCCCCTTCATCGGGTTCAATTTATCTCTGGGCCGCTGAGGCTGGCGGTCCCCGTTTCGGTCGCTTGATGGGTTTCATCGTGGCGTGGTGGAGTACCACCGCGTGGACAACATTCTGTGCCAGCAATACCCAGTCGGCGGTGAATTATATGCTTGCTGAGTTGACCGTCTTTAACGTCGACTTCCCCAAGGATACTAGCAGTGTCAAGTTCCGCGCTGTCCAGTGGATTTGTACCGAGGTCATGCTCGCTCTGGCCGCTCTGCTGAACTTCATGCCCCCTCGCTACTTCAAGTGGGTATTTTGGATCTCCGCGGCTTTCGTCATGCTTGATTTCTTCTTGAACCTCATCTGGCTTCCCATTGGCACTGCCCAGACTTGGGGCTTCCGTTCTACCCACGAGGCCTTCATGACAACCTACAACGGCACCGGTGCCCCGGCCGGTTGGAACTGGTGTCTTTCTTACTTGGCCACTGCTGGTATCCTGATCGGTTTCGATGCCTCGGGTCACATTGCCGAGGAGACCAAGAACGCTTCCGTGACTGCAGCTCGTGGGATTTTCTGGAGCACCGTTGCCAGTGGCTTCGGTGGTCTGGCTACTATCATTCTCTTCCTGTTCTGCGCTGTACGTCACTTTCCCAGTGATGCAAGCATTCACACAATACTGATTATGTATCTAGCCGACCGCAGACCAGCTCATGGAGTTCGGTTCCCCTCAGCCTTTTGTTCCGCTCTACGCCGTCGTGCTTGGTAAGGGTGGACATATCTTCATGAACATCGTATGTATTGTGGCCCTATGGTTCAACACTGCTATTGCTATCATCGCCGCCTCGCGTCTTGTCTTCGCAGTTGCCCGTGACGGTGTGCTGCCCTTCTCTGGCTGGGTGTCCAAGGTGCACAATGGCCAGCCCCGTAACGCCGTCATTGTGGTTTGGGGTGTCGCTGCTCTTATCACATGCACCATTCTTCCCTCCAACGTTGCTTTCACTTCTTTAGTCTCTGCAGCCGGTGTTCCCAGTGCAGCCGCCTATGGCCTGATCTGTCTGGGCCGACTATTCTGCACGCCCGACCGCTTCCCCAAGCCGCAGTGGAGTCTGGGCCGCTGGAGCAAGCCATTTCAGTTCATTGGTGTGTTCTGGAATGGCTGGGTTGTTGCTGTTCTGTTCTCGCCCTACGAGTGGCCTGTGACTGGCGCAAACTTGAATTGTAAGCCCCCTTCTCCAAGTTGATTGTTCTCCAACTAATCGCGAGTAGACGCACCGATTATCATGGCCGGCGTCACTATTTTTGCCTTGGTTTCCTACGTCCTCATGCCAGAGAGCGCGTGGCTTCCTAACGAGCGCATTACACATTTCATCGATAGCAAGGGGGCCGTCGAGACAGTGGAAGAGGTCGACTCTCCGGCTCAGGCCGAGGCGAGTGACAGCCGATGATGTCCTTTGGATCACCGTTAGTAGGGCTCTTGAGCTTTGGCTCATGGAGAATTTAAAAATAGAGGTCTCTCACTTTAACCTCTTCGTATATTTATAGACTACATCCTGGACATACGTTGCGTTTTGGCTTATTAAATGAATGCATATACTCCAACATCGCTGAAATCAATCTCGAGTTACTACCTTGAATATCTTTGTATGCGTTTATACGAATACAAGTAGAGTGCGCCAAAAAGCGCAATGGTTACAGTTTCAAATCGCCCAAACCGTAATCAATATCTTCTTCCTCCTGGTTTAGTTGGCACATTGGGACGTTACACACGCTTTCTACAAATATATACACTTCAATCATTCTGATTCGTATGCTTTTTATTGAGTATCGCTTTCACTTTATTCAACACAAGCATCCTGCGCATAAGGAACGCAAAGTACAAACTTAAAGTAGTTTAAGTATGCAACTCCCGTATATGTAACGGGGATATATCTGGCACCTCTCCGGATCCACCACATTGCATACTTGGCTGCGCCGTCTGCAGCCAACACAGCAGGCCCCATGGATGAGTGAAACGATGCTGGAACGATATGTCGGTAAAGTATATCAGGGTCATCATAAAAGGAACGAGGGTGCGGAAGGAACTGTCGTTTGGATTGAGAGTAACGCTGCAACGGTGCATTTCCCCAGGAAGGATGGAACTCAATCTCACTACCAACGTACCATACTTCCGGAAGCGTAGGGTCAGAGGGGTTGGCCACTCTGTACTGCTTGTACAATTTGACAAGTCGAATCGCTGAATTGCAATTCGATTCAACTGCATCCTGGTCTTTGGAGCCATGAGCCAGGATCAAAACGTCAGAGGTGGAAAGAACAGCGAGCGCTTTATCAAAGTTGTTATGGTCCCAATCAGTGCCAAATTTTAACTTGCGGATGCAGTTAACCCCTTCACGCTCGAGCTCTGTCACAATCGCTCTACCAAATGCTCCACTTGCCCCAGTGATCACAAAGCGCTTTTATCTGAAGGAGTAGGCAGTACCCAGAATCCAGTTGAGCACCTTGATAAAAGAACCGATGTAGCGATCCGGGTAAACATGATGGAGGGAATGAAACTCTGGGCCCACGAAGAGCCAGTTGGGGTCCTTTGGGGCAATTTTGTAGATGAGATGATTCGAGTCGCGGCCGCTCGTGAAAATGACAAAAGCGGTTCTCAGCATTTGAATGCCAATAATAATCCAAAGATGACTTTGTGTGGACCAAATCAGGGCGTTGGGTATCACGAAAGAGGCAAAAATATACCCCAGTATGGTGCCAAGAACTTGCAGTGCTAGCTCAAGTGGCAAAGCTTGAAATCGAATCTGCTGAAGATATTTTTGTCGAACTGCATGTGCCTTGTGAAGTAGAGATGATGAAAACGGTGAACTCGTGCCAGGCGTTGAAAAAGAGGATGGGAGGATCTGCTGCACCGGTGGAGCATATGATGAATAACATCAAAGAACAGAGAGCCTGTGCAAACCAGGTAGAACAGATATAGTAAAGAAGGGAAAAAATTGTAGCTCAGTATTTTCAGGTACTGAGAAGGTGCCAATGTAAATATTGTATCGATAAATGGCTTGTCGACTGAGTCGATCATCTCCCCGAGGGATTTCGAAAACAAAAAACAAGGGATTGAGAGGCACTGAGCCGTACTCCTCGTACTTCTCTTTAGGTGCAAATTTTGAATTCCTGCCCCTTCAAACCATCGCAAGATTCATCTTTCATATTCGCACGCCCCTTATATGTGGATATATGCTAGAGAAGAGATACATGCCCCTGAGATGTGGATATATGCCGGAGAATAGATACAAAGGAGCGATATTGCGAGGGAATCTGGCTTCTTTAGTTAGTATAATGGACCCATGGAGCCCATCGGCGCCCTCTCCAGGCTGCCTAGTCCGTGCAAACCTACCCCCACCAGACTATCATCACAGCTTGGAGGAACTGGAAATCAGAACATGTCAGGATATGCCGGACGAAAAAATCGCCATGACTTTTCTTCGGCCCAGGTCTTGTGACGTCAATCTCTTCGCAGTCAAGTTTTTGATTACTGGATTTGTGTAATATCTTGCAAAAGATTTTGAGATTCTGATGAGAGAGATCTTGACTGAAACTCCGTCGGGAGTGTTCCGTCTGGAACAGTGCCACAACCCCACTATAAAAGACGTGCGGGAATACGAGTGCCGTAGAATATCATTGTTAAAGATAACCTTGTCAAGAGAAGTGAATACATACTTCGTATGCTCTGCAGAGACAGGGACTGATGGCAATATACTTTTATTGCAGACCCACAAACCCACGTGGTGAGCCATTACAAAAATAGCGCCAATTGTGCCCGGGAGATTCTGCACTTAAGGCAGCAGCTTCAGAGGAACTTATGATGCATGCCCTCATAATATGTCTCCAATAGCCTAGCCTATTCATTGTCCTAGAAGTGTGAGTAGAGCCTATCAGCCAGTGGCAAGGTAGGCATGGAGCGTTGAAATATACTACTATATACCTCTGAAGAGAACTTTAATTACCATGTATGCACGTACCTAGGTGTAGAAACACAAATTAATAGGTGGTAAATGGCACAATTGATAATGATCTAGCGTTAAAAGTCACATTCAGACTTGAATTGACGTGAATCCACAATACCCCCTGCACAAATGCAGCTGACATACTGGTTCGCTCTAGTGTGCGAATTTCTGCCCACTGCAACAACAAATCCGAGTCATCCCATGGAAAACAGAACTCCTCCGCATCCATGAGTATAATTCTAGCCGGGCAGTACAAATACACCATGAGTCACGTGCTCTATATTCGGTTCTTATGTCATTGGGTCCAGAAACGGCAAAAAGCAAAACGAGTACGACGATACTCTACAAACCCTCGGACGGTCACGGAAAGCACACGCAATGGTCTCCACTCCCATTTCAATAGAAACGAAATTAAGACACGAGTACGGCAAGGATTTCTACTTCGAGCGCTAAACGTACGATCCACATAGCTTAAACGGTGCCTGATGGACGATCTCATCCAACACACTCCTTTTTATTCCAAGGAATTCGAATAGCAGTCTTACGCGCCCCATTTCCCTTAGAAATGATATCCCCTCGGCACTACGCCCTGGGAAGTAGGCTTTCTATGGTATTACGTCGTGTTCGCATTTATTTTTAGGTCTAATCTGTAACTATAAAGCATCAGGTCGCAGCACTTTTATCTATATCGAATACAGGCGCCAGACTCCGAGTCTATAACGTTCCAACGACCATGCTCCGCCTCTTTCGCAGAGCAGTAATCTCATATCTATCTCTTGGTGTCACAGTTTCTGCCAACCCAAATTGCAAGATCTCCCCCAATGACTTGACCTGGCCATCCGTCGACGAATGGCATGCACTCAACCAGACTTTACAGGGAGCGCTGATCAAAACTGCTCCTGCAGCTTCATCATGCTACCCCGGTAATCCATACCATTCATCAGAAAATTGCACAGATGTGAAGAATCATTGGACCTATGCTTCATATCACTCCGCCTGGCCCGAGAGTATCGATTATCCGATCTATACCAACAACTCCTGTCTCCCCCCGGAGCGACTGGATACACCAAGGATCGGGGATGCTCGGTCGGTGGTCTTCCACAGTACATTGTCAATGCCACTACGGAAAAGCAGATTGCCATTGCGATGAAATGGGCGTCTCAGCGCAATATCCGCGTTACCGTGAAGGGAACTGGACATGATCTCAATGGCCGGTATGCAATCCCGTCTCAGTGGATATTAATATTGTTACTAAAAATCTACTCGATCTACTGGTGCATTTTCCCTTTCCATTTGGACCCATAATTTCAAGCACACCGAGCACCGGCCGACATGGAGGTTACCTGGCGATAATGAAACTGCAGACGTGCTGATATGTGGCTGTGGAAATAACTGGGGCTCTGCGGACCTTGCGGCAAACAACGTGAACAGAGCTATCGTGGGTGGTGAAGATTCTACTGTTGGCCTGGGTGGCTTGATCCAGAACGGTGGTCACGGGTGGCTGTCAAGCCATTATGGTCTTGCATCAGACCAAGTATACCAAGTCACTGTGATCACGACTGATGGCCGCCGTCTCGTTGCGAACGCTGCCCAGAACCAAGATCTGTTCTGGGCTGTTCGTGGTGGTGGTGGAGGGCAGTTCGGTGTTGTGACAGAGTTTGTTCTGAAAACACACCCCGTCCCCGAAAATATGGTGACTGGAGGTGTCGCTTTCTATGCCGCCGATCAGTCCAACGCGAGCGCAACTGCATCTTGGAATGCCTTGGCCCATGTAGTTTCTCTCATTCCCGAGATCATGGATACTGGTCTCACGGGCAGTATAACTGCTCTGACGAAAGAAAAGGTTGTGACATTGTTGGGTTTGTCACAGAGTGTCCCTGGAGCCGCCGCCTCCATCAGCTTGACCGGTTTCAACATGACTACCGCTCAGATGAATGTGACAATCAATAAGCTGGCAGATCAGATCAGGAACGCCACCCACGGCAACTATTTGAATCTCACTCTGACCGCACCCACGACCAAGAGCTATTACACCCACTCTGGCTCCACCCAACAAGCCGGCGCCGTCAGCCTGCTCACAAGCCGTCTCCTAGGCCGACGTGAGCTTTCCGACATTGCAAAAGAGGACCTTATCACATTCCTTCAACGGATACTCGTCGCTGAAGACTCTGCCGCCGGGTCAATGCTTCTCTTCGGTCTGCAAGCTGGTCTCGGACCTGCTAACGTTCCGGAACAAATGCGAGGAAGTGTCCTCCCAGCTTGGCGGGAGGCCTATACCCATGTCATGACCTACGGGCCGACGATAAACGCGACTAGCGACCCAAGCGAAGCCCTCAAGAGTGGTGCCGAGTGGTACGAGGCAGTGAAAGAGCCTGTTTGGAGAGAATGGGCGCCTAATACCGGTGCCTACATGAACGAAGGAAATCCTTTCAGTACTACCTGGAAGCGCGATTTCTACGGTGACAACTATGAGAAGCTTCTTGAGATCAAGCGCAAGTATGACCCAAGTGAGAGTCTTTACACTTGGGGTGGGCTTGGCAGTGACATGTGGAACTATGATTTGAGAAGCGGGCTCTTGTGTCGGACAGCAGCTTGAAGAGACCAATTCTATAGGTTAGAACAATATTTGAAATCGTACGATGCAATAGAACTGGTTCAAATAAATATGATCAATGTGACACTATCGGGAAAGTTGAAGAAGGAGCTACACAGTAAACAAAATCTTATCTACGCAGCAGAGGGGACCGTAGACCATATAATCTGTGCAATATCCAATTGGTCTTGTTCATTCAAGCCGTTACATTCATTCCTTCTTTTTTTTACTGAAACACACCACGATTCAGGCCGTGCTCATGGACGGGGCTGCGTAGACGGGTATGTATATGCGTAGTGTACATATGTCTAGGAGGTCAGGTGTTAAGGTTACTGTTTATCCACAGGGGCATGGTGCTGTCCATAAGAGGTGCGGTAGGATCATGACCCCGATCAAACAACGATGAGGCCGTAAAGACAGTAAAAAGTAACTGCCAAATTTCAATCATCTGTGGTGGCATCTGGGCCTCCTATATGGTCCTACATGCATCCTAAAAGTAAAGGAGCCAAATGAAACAAGAATGGCCCAAAATGAAAGGCTCCATAGAATTTAACATATTCTTCTATCGCGCATGCAGTATATTGACTCTGTTAGAGATATTTAGAGTGTTGAAGAACTGGGATATTGCAGACCAACGTTGTTGTCGCGAAAGAGCAGCAGCAGAAGAATTGATTTAACGGAATAACAATGTATCCGCTCAAATATGTGTGGCAATGAGGGCGTCCATGAGACATTGGATAATACCTCAACGAAGTAATGAGACATTTGACGAGGCTACGAACAACGGCCTCAGTACGCATAGTGATAGGTAGCGTCTTAAAATGACAAACCAATAGTTACTCAGAACAAATGTCATCGACGCCAACGAAAATTAAAAAAGCACTTGGGCTACACAAATTTGTCCCTTATACCTCGATTGAAGTATGACATACCCTAGATAAATTGACCTAAAAAGCCGAAGTAGTCCCTCGCAAAATGCACTCAGTTTTAGGCCAGGTTTAGGCGGTACCAATTCCGCACAGCTGACTCAATATATGTGCGAAACTTTTCCTGTTCCTGGGCGGCGCGAAGGACTCCACAATGATATTCACAATGCTCTCAGCATCAACCAAGCGGATTCCGCTCTGCCGAATATCTTGCAATTCCTCTTTTGTGGGGAAAGTATAATAACCGCTTGCTTCGGCCTTCTGGGGCTTTTTTGCTAACTCTTTCCCTCTGGCAATTTTATCAAATGCTTTCATCGCCACAGCCACCCCCATAGGATAGACATCTCCCATGAACGCAAGCATCGACTTAGAATAGTCTATGGGATGCTCCCGGATCTCTATCACATCTCCCGAGTCCCAATTTTCGTCAATATTATGGAGGGAGTATCCGAAATTGGTTTCTTTGTTTTTCATAGCCCGGACAGTCGTCATGACACCGCGGTAGGCAGGAAGCGTTCCGGGATGAAGGTTGAGTAGACGTCGAGGCTTGGAAAAGTAGCGAATGATGTCCGATTTGAAGCGCTGGTAGCAACGCACTGATAAGCCAACGCTGATGTGATGTCTAACAAGCGTCTTGATGAAGGACATCTTGTTGACGTTGGGTACTTCTTCAACAAGAACTCCGTATGTGTTTCGAATCTGGTCCACGGTTTTGTGTGTGGCGCCTTCAAAAAACTCATCTTTGAAGTAAGGCAGAATATACTGCTGTAGCAATTCTCGTTCGAAAAAGGCTAGCTCTTGAAGGTCGAACGAAGTAGCGCTGCGGCGGGCCTTGTGAGTGGGGAGGTAGACGAAAGGGACATGACCGGCAGCGAGAAGCTGAGGGACAAGTTTGCTTAACATGAGGTGTGAGAAGAGATCGGACCCACAGAAAATTGCGACATGCAACGACTGGGCACAGGGATTTTGCGTCAAGCTGTCGGAGATGCGAGCAGCATGTGCTGCGATCCGATCGATGGCACTCACGTAGAAATGTGTACCACATGTCAGGGACCCAATGGCGTAGAGACCCGGGGAAGCACTCAAATCTTCAAAATCAACGGCTATTCCACCACTCGGATGAGCTGTAATGAGGGCGTTCTTTAGCGCGGACTGGATCAGGGGTGACTGAATACGGTCGAGACTACACTCTTGTCCAGTGGCCTCAATAACGTACGGGGCTTCAATAACGCTAGCAGAGGTTTGTGTTTGGAACTTGCCATCCCAATTCACTGAGTCACCCTGGACGACTTGTAATTGACAGCTTTCTAGCATCCTGAGTATCTTCTGTGCATTTTGCACAGGCATAGCATGACGGAATCTCATCCAGATACTGTGATACTTCTCCATGAATAGTCTTTGGCTTCTTGGTGACAGACAATTCCAGTATCTCTTAATGACTGGCGCCGTCCCTCGCAGGACTGCCTGCCATTGAACTTGATTGGTGAGAGCAGCCTTGATGTCCTGTCGTATTTGCTTTTCTGGAGACGGGTCGTCTAGAACCCAACTCCAATCACCGCTTGTAGCTTTTGAAAGCTCTTCCATGAGACCATTCATAACCTGAAGAAGGCTATCGTGGGGGTCGGATTCAGTCTGTTTGGCAAGGTCGTATAATGCATAGCGACGCGGATAGGTGATCTGGTCTCCTTGGACTTTAGGCAGTCGGCCACTACGTGACATTAAAGTGATAGTGCCTCGGTGGCCATTGTCCAAAAGATAGGTGGCAGCATCCACAGCAGATAAACGAGAGCCCACAATGATAACAGGGGAGTCTGGTGCGATGGAATTTAACTGAGAGAGTGGCCATGGGGTCGCAAAGAACCCGGGAAGGTTGATGAGATGAGAATTTGAGACTGAGCTGAAATTGCCCAGTGCTAGAATAATAGCCTGCGACAAGAGGCGTGTTCCATTCTCAAGAGTCAAATGAAAGACGCCATCGTTGGATCGGTCGATCTCTTTGGCCTCCTCATGGATAATGGAAACCATCAAGCCAGCCTGCTGAGCTGAGCTCATTGCTTGGGCCCAGGTGGCCTGAAGATATTCTCCATAGTTTTGCCGCAAGGGAAAGTCGCCTTCCTTGAGACTCGTTCGCCATTGAGAAAAATGTCGAGGCTGATCAAAGTACAGCCCCATTGTATCGGTATGCATGTTCAATATTGTGCCGGCGCATGCATTCGAGTAGGCCAAGCCCGGACCAAGGATTTTACTCTTCTCTAACACGACAACTCTGCCAGCTTGGTTCTCGCTTTTAGCTCTCTCAATCAATTGAAGGAGCACTGCAAGACCACTAGCACCACCTCCCACCACAACAACGTTGGGTGATGGAAGGGATGAAGAGGCGGGGCTTTGGGAGAGTATCCGAACCATTGTAAGTGAATTAAGTAAAGATGACAGGATAGGCTGTCCCCCATAAGAATAGATTTAGTCGTAACGTCTGCTTTTATATTCCAAATTGTCGCCTTCGCCTCTCTCGCTGATCATTCCTCGATTTCCAAGCGGAGAAATGAGAACCCCCATGGAAGGCAAGAATGAGAGATAGTATTCGATGGAAACAAATTCCCTAATAGAGCACCTGCAGAGCCAAGATGATGTGATGGTCTCGATGGGAAGTGAAATTACATTTATATCCACCTCTCTATGCAGTCATCTCATGAATACTACCCTCTATGCGAGAAATCTTGCAGGCAATCTGGGGATGTGAGCGACTTCAAGGGAAATACGAAACCAGACCTGTCTCCGAGCTTTTTCCACCAATATCAAGTCAACACAAAGAGCAAGTGGTTTCTCTCGGCGCGTGCAGGTGGGCAGAGGCGGAGTGGGGCCCGAATATTTGCGTGATATCTGCTCTGCTGCGGGAATTCCCACGGCCAGCCTAAATTGGCTGATGATGTGTTTCTTTTACTCAATGCCAAGGATACGGAAAGGAAAGTGGCAATCCACAAAAAGCAACTTGCGGACAGGAGATATCCTCCTCTCGGTTCACTTGGCTTGATGTTGGGGATAGTATGCCTTCGAGACATACCCAGAAGATTGTTCTCACTAAGGTTACATATTCAAGGTCTTGTATCAATTGTTGATTTTCCCTCAATATATAAAGTGCCAGCTGGGTCTTTTGGCTTGAATGATGCTAGTTTTCCAACACGTTCCGATTCAATTGTATACAATTTCCACTTGCGTTGACGAAAATATCTGAACACTTGCAAAAGCTTGCCATTTTTACGTATCATTATGCGTTCTGCTCGCGGCGAGATAGTTCTACCGGAACGTTTAGCCAACAACATTCATGTTCAGCTTTCCGATAAAGTGCGAGAACCCTCTACACGTCTCTGTCTCGCGGGCGTCTTGGCTAGCGACGACGCCGGCTCGCGCCAATACTCGGAATGGACTCGAGAGACTTGTCAAGCTATGTGATTTGACCCAAATGGAGGCGTTTGGAAGTGACAATGGTACCTGACTGACAGAGCTTTAGTGGCGTAGACTTTTGTCTCGTGCGTGTGTCACCTAGAAACGTCACAACGTACATCAAGGCGCTCAATGCGAACCCTTGTATTCATGGCATCATCGTGTACTACCCGATTTTTGGAGACTCCAGGGACGATGAACTAAAAAGTCTTGTCAAATATGCAAAAGATGTCGAGGCTCTCAACTGCAAGCCTTCGCCCCAATTCCCCAAAGTTGTGAACGGTCCAGGGCAACACTGTCAGACGTCGGCACTAGTACCATGCACGGCTGGGGCCGTTGAATCCATCTTACATTGGATTGGAATCTATGATCACAATCTGCCTGCGAGACAACAACTGCGAGGGTGGGAAATCTGCATCATCAACCGATCTGACGTGGTAGGGCTTCCCCTCGCCCGATTGCTGGCGGGCCAGGGAGCCCGTGTCTATAGCGTCGATGTTACAGGAGTCCAGCTATTCCACTTAGTCAATACCTCTTGTGGTGTGGGTGAGGTACAAATATTAACCACTAAGTGGACGCTGCAAGATGCCGTGAAGATGGCTGGCGTGATCATCTCGGCCGTCCCGCACCCTGCGTTCAAGGTGGACACCAAATGGCTTCAAAGCGGGGCGATCTGCATAAACGTCTCTTCAGCCAAGGTACGCTCTTAAAAGACCTAGAAAGGACCCCTTAGTATTATTTCTAATCGATTGATGCAGAATTTCGAGGCAGACGTTCTTGAGATAGCCTCGAAATATGTGCCACGTATTGGAAACTTGACTATCGCTGCTCTGTTGAATGATTTACTATTGTGTGTCGATCAAGATTGAGGCAGGTCAATGCAAGGTGCATTCCGCTACAAAGCGATATGCTAGGAAGTCTTGTTTCTATGACACATTACGAACTTTTAGAATTTTTGCCGCTGCATCATTTAACACAACATCCAAAAAGTCCTGGGATAGATGATGTGGAGAATTCTGCTGCCTAGGTCCCCTCCTTGGATAAAGTACAATGTCTAGATACGGCAAAATACAAACAGCTGTACAGAAAACTCAGGGCACTTTGATGATCCATGAACTGCCATAATGTCAAGCACATCAAACCTTGGCCTTCATGGTGTTTCCAGTTTTCAATAATCGAGCGCTCACAAGGATCGCGGCACCAAGAAGAAAAGACAATCCACCCCATACCTGGGCCCCGATGTAACCATGAGCCTTCTCGATGAGAGCCCCGCCAAGAGGTGGACCCGTCAAGCACGCAAAGCTGACCACGGTGAATCCCATGCCGATGCGGATTCCAGTCTTGCTCAGATCCGGTGTCAGACTGGAGAGTGTAGAAGGCCAGAGACCTTGTACACCGTTGGAAAAAATACCATATAAGACGGCGAAAACGTAGAGACCCGCGGTCGAATCCACCGCGGCCCAGCAGAACATCATTAGACTAGCCCCAATACTCAATGGAATGATGGCATTCAGGGGCCCTGAGATAACGGTCCGCCAAGTAGGCAGGGATAAGCCGCCCGAATATTCCTGCGCCGTTGGTAACGATGATCAACGTGGTTGAATCTGAATACGTCAAGCCAAGAACGGTGCGGCCAAAAGCCCCGACATAGTAAAAGGCGAAATAGAGTCCCCAAAAATTGAGAAACATGCCGAGGATGAATAGCACGTAGGTCGGCTCTTTGAAGGCGACCCAATCGACTAATGGGCCTGACCTGCGCGGGGGCAGTCGCGGCCGAAGTAGCAGCGTCGTCGGTATGCTCGTAGCCACCATCACGAAACCTAGCACTCGGACCGTCCACCCGAATCCAATGCTTGGCATGAGGGCCTTCACCAGACCCGGAAATAGCATACCACCGGTCCCGCTTCCGACAAGAGCAAATGCTAAGGCGAATACCCTGCGGCTGGAGAAGTAGGTGGCCACCAGGCCCATCACGGGGCAGAACTGCAGACCATTGCCAAGACCAGTGCAGACCCCCTGAGCAAGGAATAGCTGCCAATATTGGGCGGCGAGAGAAGTCATGAACACCCCAAGCAACTGTAAGACAACCCCGGCGTAGTAAACGTGGTAAAAGAATCCGGCGTCCAATGCCCTGCCCGAGAAGGTCCCGACGAAGAAAATGAGAAAGACCTGCACAGATCCCACCCATGAAATGGCCGATGGTGAAACTCCGAGTTCGGACTGGTAGTAAGCTTGGAAGACGCCAAAGCTGGCGATATAGCCCCAGGTATTGAACGCCACCAGGTGGCCCATCACGGCTTGCGTCCAGGCTTGCATGCCCCCATCTGGCGGCGGAGGGACCGCTTGCGAGGGTGAGGTATCCTCTAGCATCACGGAGTCCGTGTGATTGCCGTTCATCGGGGATGCCAAGGAGGCTGGGGCAGTCCTGGAAATGGACGCAAGTGGAATGGGCGAGGAGAGGGAGCGGAAAAGAAAAGAAGCAAAGGGTTGCACACCATTGCGAGCTCTCAACTTGCCAGACCAATTTATTAGTCGCGCGGGCAGCGCACTGTGCAGGGTTATGACACGACCCCGAGTTTCCTTGACTCATCGTTTACCTATATGTTGGAGATTTTCTCCAACCCTACTCTTATGCTGGCGTGATCTCGACATCTCCGTCCAATGAAACAGATTATACTACCGAGCCAGATTGGATGCTGGCCTGATCCTGCATGTTCGCTTATCCTGAAATTTTCTCCTCTCAATGCCAAGCAACGGTGATCGACACCTTGAATGGGGGGCAGCTTGCGGAATTTGCCGAGACTCGGGCACGAGTACTTTTGTTAAACCCCGGACCAGTTGCTTGACTCGCTCCTTGGCCGGCCATCCTTCAAGGCCTTTCTGCACTCGGGCTCTGCGGGTGCAGATAGTTTTATTAATATACTATTGCATTGCGTCGGAGAATGGAGCAAGCATGACAGAGCAAGGGGACATCGACATAGCTAACCGAACGTCTATGCATTAATGACGAAGCAAATATTATTGAGCTACAGTGAAAGATATTCGTAAGTTTTACGTAGAAGTAGCTTGTACTGCTAGGTCCTCCTGATAGTAACACATCCAGCTGTATTTCCACCCCTACCACTCAAATAAGCCCTCAGACACGTCCCCATCCCAGTCGGGCGACGTGACGGCAACCGGCTGGGTCCGTCGGATCAAATCAAACTGTGCCATTCGGTACGAGGACCAGACTCGTGGCTTAGCCTCGTGCCATCCGTCATCGAAACCTATCCAGAAACTATAGCCATCGATCAGCCAAGTCAAGGACAATACCTGAATCTAAGTGGGTGACTGAACGGAGAGTATTGACTCACAGAGACTGTTTCTCGGTGGACCAGAGGAGATTTTTAGGCGATGCATAGTCAGGCCAGATGCCAGTCTGGGTAATTTCTATAGTCAAGCATTTCCTATTAGTCTATACTGTAAAAAGAGAACAATTACTAGAGAGTCAGTTTACTACTTAAAGCTTCTTTCGAACTCTTCTCGTATGCGATTCCTTTCTTCCCGAGCAAATTCCCAGAAAACAAGAGCTTTTCCAGTGCGATTGCCTAGCTGCTGCCTACGAATATCCTCCCAGACTAAGCAGACAAGGATACCGCCAGGTATATGCGATTCTGCACGAACGGGCTGCTCAGTTTTTTGGTAATCGATCATTTTTGGGGACAAAATGTGAGGTGTGTATATTTTCCGATAGTTTCTTCAATGCGACATAGTCCGGAGGCTCGAACACTGTGGCCTGGTTGGCGCGAGCGACGTGATCTTGCTTCTCTGTGTTGATCGAGAGGATTTGGATGAATAATTTGAAGAACGCTCGATTTGAAGAATCTGTGACATCGGTGCAACGAATTTTGATAGACGCATAAGAGATTTGATGTTCAGCACCTTGGCGTTCTCGCTCATCAATGATATCGGTGATTTGCCAGTCAACTATCTTGTCGCCCCTCACTGCAATCGCCTGGAATAGCAATGCGACTTCGAGATGCCACAGTCTTAGGGGCCACCAACTCATGATTGATGACACTGACAATACATTGATTGAAGCCTCATCTAACAGCTTCTTTACAAACAAGATCAAGAATTATTGGAGAGTCGCCGAAATTTTCGGACAGTGGGAAACTAGACTTTGACTTCAATGAGATATTGTTACCACTTGGTTAGTCGAATACAAACAGAGAATGTTTCCAAAAAGTTGTCCATGCCATCAATATTGATATTTCATTTATGAGGGTACTCTAGAAATCGTTGGAGGTGCCCTTCACTGTAACGAGGCCCCAAGGTGGGGCTGGCCCAACTTATTGAACGGCAATGAGTCGATGTATGGCGTTCCTGCGTGGAAAGGAATCTTCATGCGTGGCTGTATCTTCAGTTGCTTTTTTAACGTGGTCCGAGTCATAAGCTCCAATGATCGGTCGCAAAAATATGGCCTAGTACGAATGCATGATCCCTTCGTTTAATGCGGGTAAACCGTCATGCAGCGACGAGCCCCGATGGCAAGATGAACATGAGGGTCAGCCATGATTGAATGCAATCGGACTTTGGCAATCTCTCGCACTCGGGATAGGAACGATTCTCAAGATCGCGGACGCTTCATATCATTCCTTCGGACCCAAGCTTAAGCTATGGTGGCTACCTGTATGTACACGATTGTATGCAGCTGAGCGCATTGCTAGCCATTAACTATAATCCCATGCGCGTCCCCGACCCCCACCTCCATTGAGCCCGTCACTTTCCGCCATATCATTTCTTTTGCGTCCTGAAACTATCAACTCTACCAACAGAGACCAAAATCACCGGAGCTCTTCAGACCTCTTCAAACCCTTCTTGCCCAGCGACAGCATCGATTATCTCTCCCAGGGAGGCGGATGGAGCCGTTCGCTCTTCACGAATTCCACAAATGTCGACTTCAGCAAGCCTGAAAAAGCATCAGCCTTGATCTCAAACCACATTGAGCTCACTAGTAGTATGCAGCGGCTTAGGTTGGCCCTATTTCTGTGGCCCCTTGCTCGCAATATCTCGTGACCTGGACTCGGCTTACCCATCGACTCCCACAGCTGTTCTTTCCGGACAAACTCAGCACATATGTCCCCAAGATCTCGTTCCCATAATCCTTCTACGGCACAGCATATGAAATGTATCAGAACCAGCTCAAACCGAGCGGAGGTCTTATTTCTTTCGTCTGTGGGAATCCTGCCCTCGACTGCTTCAGCAAGTTTCAGGATGAAATCCCATGCTTGAGGTGCTATGTCCGCTTCTTCGTCCAAGCACAAACAGGCACAGATCTCGCTAGACCACCGTCGGCGAGCATCTGTGTCTACAACACAATGAATAGCAGCATGTCCCAAGAGGAAGCACGGTCAGCTGGTACCTAATTCTGATGTCTTCATCGGGGTATGCTGGAAAACCAGGTTGTCGACGGGGATTATTGATCCTTGTACAATGGCTATGCCCGCGCTATGTTTGCCGAGCAGACTAACTTTTCAAGATTTGTTCCTCGGCTCGAACCTGAGAAGCTACTTTTCCATAGAAGTGAGGGCGAAGAACTGATCTTACGGCGCAATTGATATCGTTTGGCGTCAGGGGTGGAAGCAATTCGAACCTGCTTCTCTGCCAGGGGATTTTCACTCAGAGGAATCCTTCGGGATGGACAGCCCCGAAGGCACGGATACCAAGACGGTGTCCGCGGTAGGCGCGGTACTTTTGTAACGCCCCTGACGGTCTCCTCATATTGTCTGTTCCGTGGCTGACCCTCTCTGATGCTGGCGTGCAGATCGATGGAAACGATCTATTACCTTAGAAAAACATCCATGCAACTTGTTTTCTGGATCCGAAAGGCTTTTTCTTTCGCATTTTTGTCGCGCTTCTCGTTCCGTGACTTCGTGCGATGGCGATGCTAGCCCCTGTCCCCTCACTATTGAGCTCGATAATTGCTTACTCTAATTACTCAACAGCCACTGATAAGGTGTGACCTAACCATTTTTGGGGTGCCTCAAACGTGCTTTTCTCGGCACTGGAAAGTCTTCCAAGCCCAGACCGCCGATCTCAATACCGCTAATGAAATTTTCGTGCTGACCCGGCTCTTGTCCTGCTGCGATCCAAAATATCGAGCTTCGTGCTCCCTGCGACAGCTTACAGGGAGTTCCGAACAACATGTAAGGTGGTTTACTGTGGGGTTTGTACGATTAACCAAGGTGCATGTTGGACTATTTCTCGTTCTGGCCTGCAAATCGCCAAGCATGTTGAGCATGGTTACTGCGAAGACCAACAGCAGCATGGAAGCCTTTCGCGGCATCGTGGCATCGTGGCATCATTTCGGGGACATCTGTATCTTCATTGCACAATATCCACAGGATCAAAGTCATTGCGCAACTTTCTGGGGTACTATGGCGTGGTGCATGCCCTGCCCGTACTTGACCTTCACACATCTTACAAAGAAGCCATGAAATTAAGCGTCTAAAAGAAGTTGTACGCTGTGAGTCCACTTGTTCACAACGACGTACATCTACATTTGATGTACATGCCCGGACATGAGTCCAAATTTCACTCTGCAGCATGGAAGTAGCCCTCTCAAGCACACCCATCAATGAATGTTCTTTGTCAGGGCCTTGGCCACCTGTTGGCACCAGTTACCAGAACCCTGGACCGCTGGCTCACCAATTATCTACGAGCTGCTCACCGCATAGACCGTTTTGAAAAGCAAAGGAGATGACATGGCCTGCTACATGTGGCTCCAATCAAATCCTAGAGTGAGGAAGCCGGGTGCCAGAGAAAGGTCGATCTCCTCGACTGCTTGGTGTTGATGAGCCGCCTGCTCAGATCCCAAAGGAGAACTCTCTCCCATTCCTCTTCATCACTTTTGAATTAGTAACAGTGGCAAATGAATGCAAGTACAAAGGCCGCGCACATGATTTGCTTTGTTATTGGAGTAAAGGCGTCACGATAGGAAACAAACAAGACAAGATGAAAGGGAGATCAACAAGGTGCCCCAATACCAACGCTATGCCGAACATGAGTAATAAAAAATTAGAAGTACAATTATGATTGTGATGTTCGTATAAAGTTTCCCGCGGTTGCCATTTGTACTTGGATCTCTGCTCGTCATGAAGATCAATATCAACGCTATGATCTTTCGTCTCAGAAGTGGGAGAGCCGAAGGCGGACTCAGTCCTGAATCTGTCCCCATGACTCTCTGGAAGTGATTTGTGACTTAGAAAATTGCGGCGACCATTGCGCAGGACGACAAGAGCAAGTTCGGATCTTTGATACTGCCGCGGTGAATGAGGACGCAAGGCGACTGAGGACTTTGCTTCGATGAGACGCTTCGAGAGATGCGTGCGCCATAGCGGTGAGTGTTCATAGTTAATCATTCTGCTAGTAGGGAAACAATATGCACGGGTGTCCGCTACTTAACGCATAGTGATCGATAGACATAAGTCCCATTTTACGCTTGTATTAGGTATAATCTACACAAGTTGGATTTTTGCATTAAACTTACATAAAGGCTAATGACCGTACCACATTTGGTCACGATCATCGTTCAAAAGCCTTCCATATTCAAGCATTAGCCGCCACCAGAAAAGTCTCATGTCTTCACTGCGAAGTACAAGGCGCGACCACTCATAACTGCTCTGAGCAACCTTTTTGCCTAGAGCCTGTCCCTCTGGCTCCTGGGTCAAGTAACGGACAATTTCAGGAAAATCTCGAAGATCCATGCTGATCGGTATGTAATGCAGCCATGGAATTAGCCAGTCATCGTGCCACTCCTGATAGAGACTTTGCTTCAAAACGGCTGATTTAGACATGAGGAGACGATAAAAGCGCCCACTGAGACCATTTCCGTCAATGTCAAGATTATACTGTGCCTTATAGCCGTCGACAATGTCGTCTCTGTTGCCACTTTTGATTTTCAACTCATCGTTCTGTTCCTTGCACGCGAGATTGTCGCATTGAATGGCGGCCGAAATTCGCACCCTGGTGGAGTTGGAAATGGCTGCAAAAGTGGAATTGATTGATTGCCACTCTGAGCCTTGCGGTTGCATGGTTCGATTCAGTAGGGTGACATGATGGTTTTCGTCCATTGTTAACAATGCCAAGCGCTGGCGCTGTAAAGACCGCCAGTTCTCGGTCGTAGAGTGGCCTCCCGTGTTTGAACCAGTCCAATAAACAACGTTCTCTTTTTCTTCCCAGTCGGGATCCTGCTTCTCCTTATACTCCCCCGTTCGTAATTTTTCCGCATAAAATGGGCTTGGGTATAGTAGGTCATTGAAGCAGGAGGCTTTTGCCTGAGAAAAGACCGGGACTAACGCATGGGTTATCGTCATTGATTCCGGGTGACGCAGACCAGCATGAATATTGTGAAGTTCGGGGAATTCACAAACGTCTTTACTCAACGTCACGTTTGAGATAAATCCCATTTGAGTGAGAAAGGGTGATTTGGTGGCCTCGAGGGAAAAGTCTCGCGCTGCGGTGTCAGGAGAACAAGAAAGTGAAAATGCATCCCAAGTATTTTGTTTGCCGATATTCAAAAAGTCGACATGCTGAGCAAGATCGGGATTTTTCCCAGGTAACAGAGGGCCTTCGTGCGAATCTCGAGCAGCGCGCAGAACATGTGATAACATATCGTAAGGTACCACGACTTTGGGTTCATCCATGGTATTCATCGCAAGAGTCATATTAGGTAAGGTTTGGAGGATTTCTGAGTCAAACCAGGGGCTAAATATTTGCCCCATCCAGTCTGGCGGATTGTGAAATGAGGGTTCTGTGCCTTGAGAAACTGTAAACCGGTACATACCCTCCCCCTGACTCGCAATGATTACATTCTCTAGACGAGCTCGGATATCAGATGGAGCTACGCCCCATAATGGATCCAGTGTTGCCATCATGGAATCAAACTCGTCTGTCAAGAGAAATTTTTGCTTCTGAGCTGCGCGGAACCATTTATCAAAATGGAGAGGAGGCTTTCGTCCGTATCGGCGCTCGTATTCTGCGCAACACGCATTCAGTGTTTTAGATTGGTTTTTGATCATCGCGGTCAATCTTGAATCGGCTTGTGCAGCAAGATGGAGAATTGGATGTACTGATGGATCTAAGCTGTTCCGTGATTGAGACGGTTCTATGCGCCATAATGCTGAATTTCCAGTAAGAATGGGTAGCACCGGGATGATCATGATTGCTAACACCCGCCGTCTTGTTGACGATGGAGGCAAATTTGTTACTCCGAAGGTCAATGATATAATAGATATCAGGGGCATGATAAGGGACTCTTGAAGCGTATCTGCCAGAAAGCTTTGAACCGCGGCGGCAGAGTAAGAGTCGATGGTAATGGCTGCAAGCGTGTAACCGCTCAGTACCTGCGGAATAATGATAAGGTGTGAGCCTAGTGCCATCTTGCGGCAAGGACCAATTGAAAGGAGCGGCAAAACAAACCAGATGAACGGTAGCTGTCAATCCTGCTGCACTGCAAAAAGCCTGCAGAATTATCGGCCATGCTAACATGGATGATGGAGGAATGACTAGAACAACCCCTAAGAGAATCACAGATACTCTAAGGACAATCGCCTCCATCATCTTGGGGAGTGGTAGCTGTTTGCTATAGTCGTGGCATGTGTCAAGCAAGAAAAAGCTTGAAGATCTTGACAAGACAGAGAGAACCACAAATAAGATCGAAGAGCCATTCGAAAAGTCCACGAAAAGAACAAGGGCCAAAATTCCGAGTATGCTGAGAATTGATAATTGGATAGAGTGTCGGAGTTGTGATTTATTTCGAGTCACTCCGTTATGAACTCCAGGTTTCGGCAAACTAGCCTGCTGCGAATCTCGATAAAACAGTGCAAAATACGTGAATAGCACTGCCAGCGGCTGTGTGGAATCAGCCCCTTTTCATAAATAGTCAATAAGGATCGGAGAGCACACCATGGCATAGGTTGCATCATAATACAACGTCAGTACGCGTGCAATTGCGATGATAAGTGAAGTGCTCCATGCCATCCAATTGAATTCATATTCTCGGTCCTGCGGCAAGGGTTCATCATCCGAGCCCGCTGCCGGCGACTTCAAAAAAGTACGTCGCAATCTCAATGCAAGGTAAAGAATGATCCAGCACAAGCAGTCGATACGAATATCAGGCCTCCATTCTGATGTCTTTCTCGAGTACTGCATTACGATGGCAATAGTAGCGGCGACGCCATAGGTATAGCTAGAGTCCATGGCTTAGGTCTACCCGTTGGTCATTCTGTCCATCCAAGTCGGCAAATCATATGGGACTTACTTTTCGGTCCATCTGGCTGGCTTAGCCACAGCTCCAGCATACTTGTTCTGGCTTTGCTTTCTTCACGAATCCCGCTGTCTCTATTCAAAGAGTTAAGGAAAGAACACTGGCAGCGAGAAGACAAATATTCGGCATGGGACTCTGTTCAGAGTGGAGAGAAGTTCAATGAGACGGGATTCCGTGAGGTGGAAGATTGGCTCAGGAGTCGAACGAGATTGGATTAGTGCCGTAGCTTTCGCCCCCACGAGGAGATTGAGAAGGTACAGGACAGATATCGTACAATTGGTGGATTTGATATTAGCGCCCCCACTATCTGTACCCGAAGCACCTCGATTCAGCTGAGGACGCGACTTGGCACACAGAAGCGAGACTGAACACAGTAGTCGGGCGCTAATGTTGGTAAGAAGGCCAATCAAAACAGTGGTCATATTGAGTGGGTCATGATGGGCGGATTTGGACGCGCCATTGGACAAGCATCGGAGTTCGATGGCGGGAGGAACCCTGTTGGACCCAACCAATCTTAGAAGGCGGCTCAACTCCACTTATGCGGGCGGATGTGGTTCCGGTGTGAGGGGCTAAATTTCGGACACCGGATGCTTTGAGGTGCCCTCATCGCGTTCATGGCTGTCATAATTGCACACGTGCTGCGGGGACTGAGATGATGACTATGAGGCAAGTATAGACATGTCTCCCATTAATCCCATCTATCCCATTGATGCACATGTAGCATATGTCTAGGTACCCTTTACTGGTTGTTGTTGTTGTTGCTGTTGGCAATCTTGGCAAAAGGTCAGGAGAACCGAGTCATGGTATTCTATCAAGTCCCTAGATAGCCAGCCGTCATTTTGTGGAAAAACATGACTCGTAAATTGTTTCAAGAAGGAAGATTTGGAATCCTTCGCCAAAAGAGCTGTATTTTCGTCGCTTGAACCCCTGTTCGTCCATACATTAGTGCGTGACTAGACAAATCGCAGGGGCCTCAGGGCTCATACGACTTAACGAAATGAAAGTGTTTTGTAAGTTCGTACTAGAGACGCTGCCATGACTTTCAACCTGGGCCCCTTCCCCCTATAATTTCCCTCGATATTCAAATTTTCATCCCCGGCGCTTCGCAGTACTTAAGTCTGTTGGCTCAAACCTCGTCTATAGACTGAGCTCCGGCACCTGGGTGGCTTTATTCTCAATTGCCTTTGCCCAGGATTCAAACTACACTTATAGCCTGCCGTCCCTTCAATACTTCAGGCTGTGGTTATCATCATTCTTCCGACTTTTGCTTTTTCCTTATCCCACATCCCTTTCTCTCGAACTCTTAGTTATATATTCACTTCGCAGTAGATCGCAGTAAGTTGCATTTTCTCTTTAATTCATACCGACTTCTCATCACGCTCACTGCATACACGGAGATTTGTGATCCATGAATACTAAGTCAATTCTTACTCTTCAGGCATGAAAAAGCTTTCCAAGTTCTACACGATTATCTCCCTTTGGGGCCCGTTCCTCAATCATGTTTCAGCAATGGGACCTTGGGCCATGACTTGGTCTGACTCAACATTCGGATCAGATGGCCCTTGGCATGCTGTCGATATTTACATGGGTGGAAATGACACAAAGATAGCCATGTTTCCAGGAGGATCATGGGTAAGCTATGTTCTTCTGAACACGCTCTGTGACAATACGACAAAATTATCCTCGTACTGCTATGCAGATCGCGCCGGTCTCTACAACCCCGGCACCTCGAAAACCTGGGATGGTGATTCTATTTCCCTGCCTCCTGCCAACGCATGGACAGACTTACAATGGGGTTACACGAATGCCGTACCCCTGAAAGGCTACGCCTATCGGGCACTCGAGTCCATAGATGTTGGCGGCACCGGCACATCGGACTCGAACTTGATTGCCATTGAGCAAGGGTACCAGACCTATCCTGGTGGACATCTCTTCCCCCTGGAAGTAGGTATCCTTGCGCTAGGTTCCCCGGATATCAACCAGTCATTCTCCGAGATCAGTGGACCGCCCCTTAACGGTACTTTTGTCACTAGCTCGCTGTATGAACAAGGTGTCACCCCATCCTATTCGTATGGTATGCATATCGGCTCTCCAAAGTTCAATATCCCTGGGTCCCTGTATCTAGGTGGCTACGATAAGAATCGACTGCTCGGGGATGTATCTACGCAGCCGATTGACAGCGGAGAATTGCCAATCGAAATTCTTGATATTAGCCTTGGTGTTGTAGAAGGCAGCTCAATTTGGGGGTCTTCCAGTATCACGAACTTGATGGCAAAGTCTAACGCATCTCTACAATCCGGGACAAACGTCGCAATTGATGCGACAAATCCCTATATTTACATGCCTCAGAGCACATGCGACGCCATCACCGCATATCTACCTGTCACCTACCGCTCTGATATTGGTCTTTATGTTTGGGACACGAACAATGAAACTTACGCCAAAATTATTACATCGCCCAGCTATTTAGCTTTTGAGTTCGCCAAGAACGACGTCAATACGGAGAATATCACAATCAAGGTTCCCTTCGCTCTTCTGAATCTCACTCTGTCACCTCCTTTCGTGGAAGTCGACACAGCATATCTTCCTCTTATGCCCACCAATAGTCAACCGGTTCTGGGTAGAGCTTTTCTACAAGCGGCGTTTTATGGTGTACATTGGTCTCAAGAATATTGGTTTCTATCCCAGGCCCCGGGACCGGATGATAATTTCATCAAGAACGTTGTCAGCATAGAGCCCACAACTACCACCATCAGTGGGTCTGCAAGCAGTTGGGAAGATACTTGGGCATCCTACTGGACTGCTCTACCCTCTACAGCTGCCAGCAATGGATCCGAGATAAATTCGTCCAGCTCCTCGAATTCTCCTACGAAACCATCAAATGCCAGCACCGGTCTTTCTACGGGTGCCAAGGCAGGTATTGGCGTCGGCTGTGGATGTTCTGCCGTCGTGATCATTTGTTTAGCTGCCTGGCTTTTTATTCGCCGCCGAAACAGAGCCAAACAAGTCACCGCATCACCATCGCAAGGTTTTACGGGCCATTATCCCACTTCACAAGGAGGTGCGCCAGTCGAGCTTGATTGCAGCAAGCGAGAAACCAGGCATGAACTGAATTATGAGTCTGCTTTCGCAGGCTACTATGAAAAACAGAGTTCAGGAAATTTGAGATCAGTTCAAGGCCGGCAACGTTCCACTGGAGCGTCCGAAGGCCTGACATCTGCTACTACTCCTCGATATGAGCTCTTCTGACTTACGCGAACCGATATAGCTAGCCAGTTCGAACCACTAGCCTCCGTTATTTCTTCTCTGACGTATTTAGACTTAATTCTTCATAGTACTATTTTTCAAATGAACATTTATAAGCAATGCCTTAATTGGGTATTGTTCCCAGCAGGGGTTGTGTCGATGTAACCAGATTTGCCTATGATATTCAGACAGTAGACCATAGACTATTCTGCAACATCGTGACGCATGGGAACGGATGACTAAGGGACTCAGAGTGAATGGGGTGGAAACAGTGATCAGAACTTAAGTCCTTCCTCAGTTTCGTGTTTTCTTTGAATACCACATGTTTCCAAGCATTCTGAGTTGTAACAAACATCATATTAGATATTGTAGTGGGGGAATGGCTGGCTGCATGAAGGAGCGGTCTATCGGATGATTAAGGCTTTTGTGATGTATAAGACTTTCTATGCGCAGGATAATCAAGACAGAAACACTTCCTCTTCCAAATCACCCCTGTGTGTTCTCCTCCTCTATAGTCCTTCCTCTTTGGGTGTGTGTTGTTCAGTTTGCGTGGTCAGATACCCATCGAGCCATCTCCACTTCAATATCTAGGCTGCAAAAGCGGAGGTGTCGAAAGAAAATTACCTGACTAGGGAGTTCCGGATCCTCAATCCTTGAGCTATTAGACTATCAGATTTTGGAAATTTTTCCTATCGTCGTCTGCTCTGTAGGAGAGGCAAGGCCTGATGTTTGTGAAGACTCACCTCTGTACGGTAGCACAGTCAAAAGCCACCCACCTAGGGGCTGTGGATATATTACAGGGCCAGCTATTTCAAATGGGCGCTCGTAGCCTGAAGATGCTCTACTCTTGCTTAGCCTTCCCACCCCAATCGTACGTCGCTGAGGCGGCTCTCGCCCCCTTCTTACCTGAGATAACACACACTCGACTATTGACCTTACATGAGCTACGTCACCTGCGGCCAATAGTCCAGTGGGTACGCTGGGTAGATAAGTGCATAAAAGACAAAGCGATAAGCCGTATGAGAACGGCCCTGTGGGCTCTACGCCAATCATTTGGCCATACGCTTCTAGGTAACCTTGTTCCAGCAGACGGAGCTGTGTTCCTGCGTATTATATGATTACAGCAATATTATCCTGTGACTTGTAGATGGCATTGCCATACTTATTATTGGGAAGTGACCGACGCTAGCTTATCATCTCACTATGTCATCCTTGGTCTCCAGCACAACATGATTTGAACTTATGGTACCTCCCTAAGACCTAGGCTGACAGGTCATTTTGTGGTCTCCGTCCTGGATTCATCGAGTAGAAAAATCAGGAAGAAGTCCAACCAAGATGCGGCTTCTATTTCGAGATACAATAAGAACATTTGAAGTTCGAGATTTGCCATAGAAATTGATGCTGTCGAGGCTACGATCGACGGCCATTTGCCTTACCTTAACCCACATGTGATAAAAATCGATATGATGCGACCTTGTTCCGAACAGGAAGAATCGGTAAGCATCGTATAGTGCTAGCTCATTGACAGTGATACACAAGTAAGCGGTACAAGCATCGCTTCAACGCTATGAATAATCTTATTGATTTCTTTTGGGATTTCTGGGATCCTGCCGACCTTTTACGGGAACTCCGGGAGAGCTTCCCAAGAACCAATATGAACGACGAAACCACATAATCTCACAACTGCATAAAAGACCGTTTCTTGTACTTAATGATGATAGTCTCTTCAGTTGTTATTCATGGCGATGACTCGGAAGGCCACGCGGAGGTATTGGGCTACAGCAAGCTCCCAGCCACCCTGGCAGCTCCAAACATGGTCAACGAGGTAGAAAGATCACTTCTACTACTATTAAATCTAGCGGCAGGACCCGCTATTTTTGGAAAAATGGATCGCAATACGTGTGAAAGTTCGTGATCAACGACGGTGAATATGTAGGTCGTCAAATGAACATTGGTATATCAGACATGACTAACTAACAACAAATTTGTAAGGGAAGTCGGAGATGTGATTGGAACCCCGAGCTTCCTTCTACGACAAGGACCGGTCATCATTTACTCCCTTGCGGGCAGGACTCCCTGTGGTCCTGTTGCTACCCATCCCGCTTCAAGCAAAATTTCGGATTTCTAAATTTGTTTGAGTGACCTAGATCAGGTTGTGTCACTGTTTGCAGTGTCAACATACATCGCCACAAAGGACCTGACCAAGTCCGACAAAAAACTGTCTTGCTCTTCCAAAGTTCCGTATATCCGGGTTCATCGAACAGATTGCTGAAAATCTGTGGAGGATGGGTAACAGTTCCACGGGCTGAGTTTTGCTTTCTTGCTACGGCCGTCGAGAACTTCTTGGAAAGACAAAGTAACCGAGTCCAAGCGCGACTTGCTACAGACGAGTTGAGCAAGGGGTCAGAGTTCAGTCGCCCCCTTCATTATGATGCTACTATGCTATTTTGCTAATCGCATTCTGCCGATTCGGAGCTGATGACGATATTCTGGGAAGAAAGTGCTGACAAAGCCTAGTTGGTGTAATGGAAGCACGCCTGCGGTAGACACCTACCTCCGGGTAGGCCTTCACGGGGTCGCAAGTATCTAGGTCCGAATCCTGTGCTCGGCACATTCTGTTTTCCGTCACTACCTCTTATTAACAATCTATCTGCTAAGTTGAACTCTGCCAGAATATGGTAACGAAATTATCTTACACGTAAGATATTGTCATCGGCGTTGGGAAGGTAATTTATTATCTCGATGAGTTACTATTTTTTAGTCCAGTGAGCCTTATCACGCGTCTTGAGGGCTGCTAGATAGGGCTCTAACACGATATTTCTCGAGTATCTTGAGAAAAGTATAGAATTCACTAATGTGGCGTCTTCAAAATAAATTAATAGCCATTCAAATCCACAACTTCGTCGACTAAGCCTATCTTGGACCCGAGCACTTACAGACTTCACCCCCGTGACAAACCTAGGCTTACATTACAACTAGGCTGAGAAACAGCTCTTTATCGTCGACTTTGTCATATAGGCATCATTATTGCGGCTAGAATTGCCCATGCTAGCATTAACTTATCAGATCGGTTTGCCAGTGTATATGACTATTCTAGTTGTTGTCCGACGATGAGAGCTACCGCAATTTTGACATAAATCTTCCATATACCTTTTGGGAAGAGCGCAGTACTTTTCCCGAACTTCTATGTTTTTGATAATTTTAATTCTTCTGAGCTGTATTGCATAGCCCGAGACCCTCTCATCCTGAACTTGAGGCTACGGTTTTGAGCACTAGTGATTCTTTTGAGGCGATGACAAAGCGCTTCTTGGACTTATGTATAGCTGTAAGAGCGGCGGACGGCCATTGTCGTCTTTTGATTCGGCATTAGCGTCTTTCTCGAGCAGCAGCTTGAGAATTGTCTCGTTCTCGTTCCAAGTAGCCCATGACGGCGGCAACCGGCCGTTATCGTCATTTGCGACGACTCAAAAAGATACGCACAACCTTGCATTTTAACTAATATTGCATAAATGATGGATATCAAGCAACTACAATCCGATATGGTGTAGTGGCTAACATCGCCGTCTCTCACACGGCAGCCGGGGGTTCGATTCCCCCTATCGGAGATTCCTTTTTGGCCATTCTTGGCTAATGCCTTCCTTTTCATCCCTCTTCGGTGCCTAGGAATTTCATTCCTGGATCGTTGCATTCAAGTTTTTGTCTCCCAACCGAATCCTAGATTCTTCATCAGCTTACAGGGAAAAAGACAAAGCGTGGTGGAGAAGCGGGAGGTCCGGCATCTCCACACTTTGATGCGGGGGAATAAGATGTGGCGTGTCAAGTAAATAACCGGACCAGTGGATGCTGGCCATGAACTCGCGAACCCCCGGGGCCTTTGGATCCGATGGCGACTAAGAAGGTCTATCGTTCCATCGCATGGTGGGAGTCCGGTGCCTTGTAAACGCCATCCTTCTTCCCTCCTTCCTTCTCTCTCTCTCCTCCCTTTCATTCAACCTCACTCACCTCAGATGCACCCTCTCTTTGTCTGACCATTTCGTCTTATGATCGCGTGATCACCCTGCGAGATCCAGCTATGAGTTTCAAGCTGCCTCTACGGTCAGCGCTAGGGTGCCTGGCGATCCCTGCGGGCGCGGGGAAATTGGTTCTACCATCCGGTAAGCTTCGCTCTGTGGCCTAGGGCGCACTTGACCCGACATCTTTCTCACTATTCCCAAGTAGTCTCGCAAAACCGTTCGTTTTCGCTTCATGTATCGACGAGGACCTCCTCAAGATCACGTTCTCTCCTCTGCCATTCGTCTATAAAAGAAGCGCGTCCACCGCTGCTCCGGCTTCGGAGAAGCTCACTTCGGCAACACCTGTCCCGGCAACACCGTATTCCGAGCTGACCGTCGGGGTCCCAAAGGAAATCTACCAGAATGAGCTACGAGTGGCCATCACCCCTCAGAATGTGGCTCTCTTGCTAAAGAAAGGGTTTGCGCGTGTGTTAGTGGAGCGCGGTGCTGGTGAGAGAGCGCAGCTACTGGACTACGCCTATGAACAGGCTGGGGCGACAATGGTTGATCGGGACGCTATCTGGCAGAGTGACATCGTGTTGAAGGTTCGAAGCCCACAGCTTGAGGGTCCTCTCAATGAGGTGGAGGCTCTACGTAAAGGCTCAACCCTTATTTCTTTTTTGTATCCCGCTCAGAATAAGCCCATCGTCGACGCGCTGGCTGCCCGTGGTGTCACCGCGTTCGCTATGGACCGCATTCCTCGCATCTCTCGTGCTCAAGTCTTTGATGCTCTGAGCTCCATGGCCAATATTGCCGGTTACAAAGCTGTACTAGAAGCATCGAACCACTTTGGTCGCTTTCTGACCGGCCAAGTCACTGCTGCAGGAAAGATTCCTCCTAGCAAGGTTCTTGTGATTGGTGCTGGAGTGGCAGGTTTGAGCGCAATTGCTTCGGCTCGTCGCATGGGTGCGATCGTTCGTGGTTTCGATACTCGTCCGGCTGTCCGTGAACAGGTTCAGTCCTTAGGGGCAGAGTTCATCGAAGTCGATATGCAGGAAGATGGTGCTGGCCAAGGTGGCTATGCCAAGGAAATGTCCAAAGAATTCATCGAAGCTGAGATGAAACTGTTCATGGAGCAGGCCCGCGAGGTTGATATCATCATCACGACTGCTCTCATTCCAGGTAAGCCTGCGCCGAAGCTAATCACAAAGGAAATGGTAGCTGCTATGAAGCCGGGCTCGGTCATTGTTGATCTTGCAGCCGAGGCAGGGGGTAACTGCGAAGCGACTGTCCCTGGTCAACTCTCCAATTACAAGGATGTCACCATCATCGGCTACACGGATCTTCCTTCTCGCCTGCCTACTCAGTCCTCCACTTTGTATTCCAACAACATCACGAAGCTTCTCTTGTCTATGGCTCCAAAGGAGAAATCGTTTGGCATTGATCTCAATGATGAAGTGGTTCGCGGATCTATCGTTACGCGCAACGGTGAAGTCATTCCTCCGGCTGCACCGCCTGCTCCTCCTCCGGCGCCGAAAGCAGATGCGAAGACTGTTGCAGCCAAGGAGGAGGTTGCGATCACCCCCTGGCAGAAGGCTACTCGGGAGGTTGCCACTGTCACAGGAGCCATGGGTGCGACACTCGCTCTGGGGAAAGCTACTGGCCCCATGTTTATGGGCAACATGATGACTTTCGGCCTTGCTGGTCTGGTTGGTTATCGTGCAGTCTGGGGAGTAGCTCCTGCACTTCATTCACCTCTTATGAGCGTTACCAATGCTATTTCCGGTATGGTAGGTATCGGAGGCCTGTTCATCATGGGTGGGGGATACTACCCGACATCACTTCCTGAATATCTTGGTGCTGCCTCGGTTCTTCTGGCTTTCGGCAACATCTCGGGTGGATTTGTCGTGACCAAGCGTATGCTTGATATGTTCAAACGTCCCACCGATCCTCCGGAATACCCCTGGCTATATGCTATTCCAGCTGCTGTGTTTGGCGGTGGCTTCCTAGTTGCTGCCAGCACTGGAGTGGCTGGTATTGTTCAGGCTGGCTACCTTGTCAGCACCATTCTATGCATGAGTTCTATCTCCAGTTTGGCCTCTCAAACGACAGCAAGACGCGGAAATATCTTTGGAATCCTAGGTGTCGTCTCTGGTATTCTTGCATCACTGGCTGCAGTGGGTTTCTCAACGGAGACATTGACCCAGTTCGCTGCGGTTGCTGGTGCTGGTGTCATGGCTGGTGGCTTGATTGGCCGCCGTATCACACCTACGAGCTTGCCGCAGACAGTTGCCGCCCTGCACTCCGTTGTTGGTCTGGCTGCTGTTCTTACCAGCGTCGGTAGTGTGATGGCCGACATCACCGATATATCGACTTTGCACATGGTCACGGCATACCTGGGTGTTCTTATCGGCGGTGTCACATTCACTGGCTCGATCGTTGCATTTATGAAACTCGCTGGTCGAATGTCATCCAAGCCCAAGATCTTCCCTGGCGGGCATATGCTCAACTCGACATTGCTTGGCACCAACATAGCAACCATGGGAGCTTTCTTGACTATGGCACCCGCAAGTCCGACAATTGCAGCCACTTGTCTCGGAGCAAATACTCTTCTCAGTTTCCTGAAAGGTTACACCACGACTTCGGCCATCGGAGGAGGCGATATGCCCGTTGCAATCACCGTGCTTAATGCCTATTCTGGTTTTGCTTTAGTCGCGGAAGGGCTGATGCTGAACAACCCGCTGTTGACTAGTGTCGGTTCACTCATCGGAGTGAGCGGTTCGATTTTGTCTTACATCATGTGCACTGCCATGAATCGATCTTTGCCCAACGTTCTGTTTGGTGGCAACGCGGCGCCGGTACAGAGCGAGAGGAAGATTGAAGGCGAAGTTACCCAGACAACCGTCGAAGATACTGTAGAGGCCCTCTCAGGCGCCGGGAACGTCATCATCATTGTCGGCTATGGAATGGCCGTCGCAAAGGCCCAGTATCCTCTTGCTGAGATTGTCAGTATTCTTCGTTCTCGCGGCGTCAATGTCCGCTTTGCTATCCATCCCGTGGCGGGTCGCATGCCCGGACAGTGCAACGTTCTGCTCGCGGAAGCTTCCGTGCCATATGACAGTAAGTTTGTCGAGTCCCCATTGAGTGAAAATTCTGACACCTGCAAGTTGTTCTGGAAATGGATGAGATCAACGACGATTTCCCCGACACAGACGTTACGCTAGTCATCGGCGCCAATGACACCGTTAATCCCATAGCGCTCGAGCCGGACTCTTCCATTTCTGGAATGCCCGTTCTGCACGCTTGGAAGAGCAAGGAAGTGATTGTCATGAAGCGGGGCATGTCAAGCGGATACGGTATGTCCTTCATCTATTCTAAATTAATTCTGACTAATGTGGCCTGAACTTGACAGCTGATGTCCCGAACCCAATGTTCTTCATGCCTGGAACAAGGATGCTATTTGGAGACGCAAAGACGTCTTGTGATGGTTAGTGAAACCCTCACGCCAGTCTGTGTACCAAGTGCTAAACTGTCAATAGCTATCAAATCGGCTCTAGAGGCACGGAAGTAAATATCGGCATTCTCTTGCGCTTATTCCTTCTGCTATTTTGCGTCATCTGCGATGAAAGAACTCTACACATGCTCTTTATCCCGTCTCATTCCCTGCATTGCTTACTCTGGCTGTCAGTATTCCAACTTTGCAAATTTAAGACCAAGCTTCCATTGCAATTGGAGTAGCTAATTGTCTGTTGAGTCCTATCTCACTATCAGGATAATGAGATTCATTAGGCCATCCATCTTGGATAATTCTTTCCAGAGAAATTCTTAGTCAAATCCTTGTGTGAAAAATCTCCTTGTAGATGATTCTTAAATTCCAGCTCTCTTCATTCTTCTGACCAGCAAAATCACGAGCTTATCCAACTCACACCATTCCCGGTGTCCTCGCAATCAATGAATCCTCAAATGATCAATCCCGCCTCGCCGAGCGATTAAGGCCAAATAGATCAAGTGCAACGAAGATAACTTTGAAAACTTTGAAATAGACATTAACCGACCCAGACTTGGACAAAAACGCCGCCCCTGAAAACCAACGCCAAAATCACCAATTCCCAACCCAGATCCAATCCCTGAGATCTCGAATATCATTCAACACGAAAACCACTTATTAAAAGAAAAAAAAACATTACTTGATTAAGAAAAGCATTAGGCTTTCGTAAAAGACCTCTTCCCAAGTTTCAAGCCCATGAAGCTCCGTACACCAAAAGCAGAGCTATTATGTCTCCCATGACGGCGTTGACTCGGTTTTCGCACAATGTGAGACTCGTAGTTCATGGATGTCAGGCTCAGCTGGCTTGCAGCAGCAGGGACGGGAGCTGAGGTATCCATTTCGGAAAACAGACTAGCCGATGAGGCGATGCTGGACGTGGCGGAATGCTTGCGAGTCATACGGCGCATCATGGGTGACTTTTGAGCTAGTATATTGCTCATACTGCGCTTGGAGAAGTGGCTGGGGGGGCGAGGTGAAGAGACTGGGCTGCTGGTATAGTGGTTGGAGTGTAGCGAGGCTGTTTCACTGTGATCGAGGATATAGCCCAGGCGAATCTCGTCTGGGAAGGGAGAGGCTGGGCGTGAGTAGGATGGCACGCTGCTGTTGCTGTTCGTGCGGATGGAAGGTGGACGGTGGCTTGGGTCTGTTGGTCGGCAGGTGCGGGAGGGGTTGGGTAGTGCTGAAAAAGATTTCTCGCAGCCTGCTGTGCGTGGTCGTGATCGGTTCATTAAATGTGGTAAAAGTTGGGGTGAGGGGAGAAGGTAGGGCAGCACGGGTATGTCAGACACTCGCTTAATGGTGGCACTTTGCATGGACGGAATGGCCTGCGGCGTAGCGAGTCTGGGGTTCTCTGGCTCTTTGCGCTTCCCATTTGTCTCTGAGGACCGAGAGGTGGTGGCCTGGTTCTCGGTCAAGCAAAGTACGTTGAGGCTGTTCTCGGTTCTTTCAAGGAACAAACGCGACCCGCGGTCTCGATGATTTGCTCTGGTTCGAGAGTGGCTGGGCTTGGATTTGGCAGTCTTTGAACGTGCGCCGATGGCGTTGATGAAGACCACGGTAGGACGAGTAGGCGGCTCCATCATGGTGACCTTCTTTGCAGTCTGAATCTCAGCACTCTCCACAGAGAAGAGGGATGACGGCGACGAAGATCGTGACCTCATGTTTGGGTTGGCCGGTGGTGAGTTAGGTCGGACATAAATTGCAGGCTGCAAGTAAAGGCTCGATGCCATCGGCGGGCTATCTGGTGAGGGCAGTTCCAAAACCATGTCCTCCTCTGGGTCGAAAACATAGGCATCATCCCCAAAGTTGGCATTACTGTTTCGCTTGACGGTATCCATAGACACCGGTCGGGGCCTTTTGGCTGAAGAATAAGGGGCCAACAGCTGTTCCTCTCGATCCGAATCCGTGTCGGCATGGGAGTTCTCATCGGCGCTTAGATCAGAGTCGAAGAGACCGGCTCTTTGGGAACCTGTAAGCGAGGGGACAAAATCCTGAGCGCCAGCCTCCGATTCGGAAACATCCTCTTCGTCCGATTCGTACCGTTTCTGGAGGCTTTGCCTGCTCAGACGTTGAAGATCCAACGAGGTGGTGGGTTCGTACATCTTTGCGAGTCAATGCAAAGGGGGAGAAAAAATTGTTCCAGACAGGAAAGGCAGAGGCCACGAGAAGGCAGACCAGCCCGGGATAAAAAGTAAAGCAATGGAAAAGGCAACCGAGGAATCCTCCAACGAACGCAGGCCAAAGTCTAGTGAGGCGTTCCAATCCCCTCGAAGTCAAATATCCCACAGCTTTAAAAGGGACAAGGAGATATTTTCTCCTGTCAAGTCACAGGCACTCGGGACAAGGGAAGGGTCCTTCAGGTCTGGTGGAACCGCCGAGAGAGTGGATGAAGAATCGGAGATCCGCTGTCGATGGCCGTTCAAAAGCTAGAAATCGAAGCAGAAGAAAAAGGTCCCACCCGTCAGGAATCGGTCCACCAGGGAGGGGGAGGGCTTTTTTAGATCCGGCGCTTCGCTGTAGAAAAAGGGGGACAGGCATCAATCCCTGTCCACGTGTGCTCAGCAATGAAGGCCCTGGGCAAGGTCATTACAGGGCATCGCAAGGCATTGCAGATTGCAGAGTGCAGAGTGCAGAGTGCAGGTCATAGATCCCTGCGGTGCAGGAGCAGGGTAAAGCCAAGCTCCTCGTCTTCCAAGAAGTCCTCCTGCGATACTCCTGCAGGCACCAGGGAATGGGGTCCTAGATTGGCCCGACACTTCCGAACTAGTGACGGGAAAAGCCATGATGGGAGATGGCCGCAACCCTTGCATGGGGAGGGACGAGTTTCACCATCACAGCGACGCGCACTCTCCGCATCGTGGCGCGACAGTAGAACAGAACCTAATTCCATTTGAGGTTGGACTGCCACCGCCAGGCCAAGTCCAATAAAAACTTGAAAAATAAAAATATAAAAAAATCTGATAGATCAAAGCAAAGCTGTCGTTGGCTAAGTGGCCCATGCACCTCACGCTGGGCTGCCGCAAGTCAGGTCTGTGCAGCATCATTGGCTTTTTTTGACCAGCCGAGAGAGACTGGCAGCTGCATCTAGATTGGTCAAGCCATCCCGTTCGAGATCGGGTTCTATGATTTGATGAGCGGAATGGGCTCATCAGGGGGAGAGAGAACGGGATCCAGTCAGCCGAGTTCTGCGTGCTCCTACCCAAGGTGGATAGCACGGTATCGGTTAGAAAGGTCAGCTCAGGACATGGAAGCGGGAAGGAAGCCCAGTGGAGCATGATGGTGCGAAGCGACCAGTGGTGAGCAGTTGGGGGAACCGTGTGGATAGTGGCCGACCTTAGCCGCTCCAGATGAGTGGGGCACGTAACTCTCAAACGCCGACGAACTCCTTGGGGTCGAAAAGTCGAAACTTGAAGATCCTGGTGGAGGTTCGGTTCGTACCGAAGGTTCTTGAGATGTCAGGGGCACCATGATCCCCAGCCCCAGCCCTTTTGGGTTAGGAGGGACCTGCGTGCCATACAGATGCACATCCTGAAGCATGGACCTATGTATCTGGCCCTTCCAGGGGTCGTCAGGGGGAGTTCATGGTTAATAAAATCTAGTCTGAGGGAAAGGCAGGATAATTCCTACCCTCGAAGGGACCAAATATGCTCGAGGATGCCCTCGGTATGAAGGGCTCAGAGTCCCTTGACCTGGACCTTGATCATAGCCATCATCATCATGATCTACATAATCTACAATATCTACATGTCATACTCCCTTAGAAGCACTCGTGCATTTATTGAAGTAACGGAGAAGAGACTCTACACTATGGGGCCTTTTCAGTCCCTGCCAAGGTCCTGAGACTCCTTGCGTGGGATTCAAGCTGGTGAATGCTCTTGGTTTAGCGCCAACCTCTTACGCTATCGTTTCAAAATTTCTTGTTTTGACCCAAGCATTCAGCAATGAAATGGAGAACGATCATCTATTACGACCAATAGTCAATGTTCTCCTGCCCAGCCCCATGTTGAGGCCACAGACTCATGCAGCCGCCATGTCAGGCAAGGACGCTTCCGCAATCCACATACGCACAAACTCAACGCGCGAGTCTGGTAAAGAAAGCTCCAGCTATCAGATTTCGGGGGCCTGACGATGTCATCGGTGCCGCCTCTTGGCTCAAGCTCCGAAATTAGAGTCGGCCACATGTCTAGCGCTAAACATGGGACCTGCGCAGTTTTGAAACTCGGCCGGTTGATATAAATACAACTACCTAGGCAGATGATATCGCCACGGCGCGCCAGGCGCTACACTCTGCTTAGTCCGTATACCAACTATTGATCCGAGAATTCTCCGACAGATCTTCACTCCCGTCGTCTCGGTCATGGACTAATACGTATTTGGCATCCGGGTTGATAGCGCATGGTTTAACACGCAAGGCATAGGGTTATCTGCCCGAATGACAGCCACCCTCGACGGATTGCCATGCTCCATGATCTACCATCATTATTGCCTACGCATGGACGATGCGCTATTGGAAATATTCCCGGCCACGTTACGTGGATGGCTGGTGCCAGGGGGTATCGATCGGCCTGTCGTTGCCAATTGAGTTCTGTGTGCTGCTCTCTGCCCTTTGCCCTCAACGATATTGCTCTTTCGATCTGCCCGTCCTCAGCCATCGGTGGCTGGTCTCTCACGATCAACTTGCGCCGGTCGCCGCACAAGGGCTCCGGAGATTCTTGAAATGGCTGGCAAGCTCGATTATGCTTCATTCCATGGGGGGGCTTGTCGATAATCTATTCTCGACTAGTCCATTCCGGACGCTCTCTGTTCCCAGTCTCACAAGCCACTTCCTGCATGGATCTACACCCCAGCCTGGTTCCTGCGTTCACTGCGGGTCCAGCGGATGTGATGCTGCACATTGACCGGCTTAGGAAACACTTTGGTTTCCCCATCAACATAAAGCATTCTGTCGATGTTGATTGTTTGTTGGTGCTGAAATTGACCGCGAGGCAACCGCCTTGACAGACGAAAAGCTCGAGTGTGAGCTCGTCTGGTCAGCATGGACTCCAGATTCATATACCTTGACACGTCGTGCACTAGGTCTGCTGAGTTCATATGCAGGACACTACCGGATTTCATGCCAGTATTCCTCCACATGTCCACGTAGTACTGCAGGTATAGGCATGCGGATCGGAACAAAGCAATGGCCATGCCTTGCTCCTAAAAATCGACCATTGACTATTGTACTGGACTGTGAGGAACCCGTACCAACCACCCAACTTTCGCGTGATCAATTGATTACATTTTTAGAATGTTTGCATCTAAGATAATTTACTAACAAATAAGGTGGAAACATGCGGTCAAAGAGGCCTGCCGCCAGCAGGCCGGGGTGATAACGACAAATATGAACTGAAGAATATGACATTATAGAATACAACCGAAGCAAGGACCGACAGCCCTCCCGGATGGAAAAGAAAATGCCTCACCCAGGACTCCCTTCGTCCCGCTTCCCAACCCCAACCCACATCATCCTCACAGCCTGGGCACATGCCGCGTGCACCAGACAGGTCGAATCGAATCGTGTCTGGCATCATGAAGGGGTCATTCATTAAAAGGTTATAAAGCGAATCACCATAGAGCAGCCAATATCTTCCTTGCTCGTGCTCCCCTATGTGTCAAGCTGGATTATGTTCGAAGAATTTTCGGAAGATTCGTTCGTCATCGCGAGATGATTTCACAGCACTTTCCAGTCACCTCACTTCCCCCGGCGCGCTTAGGATTTCCAAAGAAACCAGCCCCGAAGGAGTCATTTAGGCCTTGCGGGAGCGAGTGACGGGGCCATTGGAGCGGCCGGTAGTGGCAGCACCGTTGGAGGCTTTGCCGTTGGTCTGGGGGAGGGAACCTCGAAGTTCTTCATATCGATAAGGGACTTCTTGCCGGTGTTGCGGCGGGGGCGGCCAACCTTGGTCTCCTTCTTGTAGGTAGCAATGTAGAAGGAAATGAAGAGGAGCAGGTACGAGGTGATAATGCCAATACCAGCGAAGGCGGCGAATTCCTCACCGGCGCAATGGCCCATGTTGGGGGCCCAGGGGAAGTAGGTAGAGGCGAAGTAGGTGTAGGAGGCGAAGTAAATGAAGCCTGTTCGCGCGCGTTAGTATCGCAAATCAACCCTCTTGCATGGTCGTACTTACCCAGATCAATGATGAATTGCAGAATCTGCAACATAGTAATGTACTTCTTCCACCAGATGCGGACACCACGAGCGCTCTGGAAGTAGTACCAGTACATGACAACGTGCACAAGCAGGTTGATGGTAATGGGAACCCATGACACGGCGGTCAGACCAATAAGCTGAGTGTAGCAAAGGAGAGCAGTGGCACCGTGGTGATAGGTGTGGAGGAAAGTCAGGGGCTTCTTCTTCAGGACAAGGAAGACGGTGTCAAGCAGCTCAACGTACTTGTTGATGTAGTTCAACTGATTCAAGGTTAGTCGCGTCGAATCGGTCAACACGCGCGCACAAGAGACAACTTACGTAGTAGAGGATGATGAGGGGCTGAGTCCATCCACCCTTGTGGTCGCAGATGGTGTAGAAGACGCCTTTACGAACCAGAGTGGGCAGGAGCTGCTCCACAAACAGAGCCAAGAGAATAGCGCTGACAGCGGTCAAGATGAAGTTGTGGATCATGAAGAGAGTGTTCAGCTTGAAGGCGGGCATCTTCTTCATGACCTCACGGCCACCGAAGATGACGATGTAGTAGGTGACCAGCATGGTCGCGGTCGCCTTGAAGGTGGACATCGGGGTCACGCCCTCGATGAACTTGAACTCGCTGGCGGGGTAACCCATGACCTGCTCGTAGGCCTTGTCGAACAGAGGCCACAGGTGGACGCCAAACGGCCGGTCCAGGGTGGGGAGGGGCACTTTTTGAAGGAAGTCGGCCATGATGGACTTGGTCCGGGATGTGGTAGGGAGTTCGACGGCGGGTTTGGGATTAAAAAGCCGATTGGGCTACTGCAGAGACTCGATTGCACGCGCGCAGTCAGGGCGGGCCAAGAGGAGAAGGGAAGAAGGGAATGGAAAGGACCGTCGATGGGAAGAAAGAAGGTCAGGGAGGAAGAAGAGTAAAGACCAGCGTTACTTTTTTGCGGCGCCTTGGGTCGCCCAAAGAGGAATAGCGCGGCCGCAGAAAAGGGGGTGCGCGAGAAAATCCCCAGCCGTAGCTTCCGAGGTATCGGTGCATAAAATTGCTTTTCCGTGGTGTTTCTTGTAAGTCTTGTATATCTTGAGCAATGAGTAGTCTTGGGTGTAGAAACTTCCTTTTTGTCTAATTGTACATTTATCGATCCTCTTTTTGTTGATGTGAATCAGGTACACCCGCGAAACTTTCACATGCATAATCAAATGATGCCTGAATGGCTGTTTTCGGTAGCCCCAGTTTAGGTCTTGGGATCTATATTGACCCCTTTTTATATGACGTGCAAGACTTTCTATATGTTCTCCCACCACTAAGTTGGGAATTGACTGTCTTTAACTTTTCAATCGTAGACAAGCTTGCAGCCGAAAGATATAATGCTGGGGAGTCCACCATCCACATAACCTTCCTTCACATCCTGGTAGCCGAGGTTGTCGTACCAAAGTCAAAGTCTGGCAGCTTGTACGCTATAGTTGTACTTTGGGGGGGGGGGGGGGTGCATAGTTCAAGTAGTCTCCACATTGGGCATTTAGCCTTACTATAGATGACCTACTACTTATTGTCCGGGGTATATGCATCCCGTTTGTGTGGACAGCCTTTGGCCTATGTGGCACTCGCATCTGTATCTTCTAATATATGGTGCTGGAGGTTTTAGTCCTAATTGTTGTGGCTAAACTATAAGCACAATTCCCATACGCATGCCTCTATATGCTTCCTGGAGATGCATCTGTCCGGGACACTGCATCTATAGATCCTCAAGTATTTCTCATGCCATTGACCACTCAAATCTCGCTGTTTCTTTGATTGGCAGCCTCGCTTCCATTGAGACAGGTTGGAGTTGGTATATTTCAAGCAGTTCGAACCTGATATGTTGCAAGATTATTGTTGAAGATAAGTATATTATGACATCTAGCCGGTTGCACCGAACATAACCCATAAAGGCAAAAGAACATATGCTTAATACACCATTGAATCACGGTCACTGCACTAGTGCAAATTATCAGACATAAAGCAGCCCATTGAATGTCATTCTGCCCCAAGTTATCAGCATGATGCGTACTTTGGGCCACACTGACCAATCAGCCGCACGCGTTTGAGATCGAACGGGCCACATCGGGTGATGACTCAGCCCATGACAGTCAGGCCACAAGGCAGCGACACCACACCACCCGCAAAATCCAGCCGGCTAACACGACACTTCGTCTCCTTCCTTCCCCCCATCCACCTCTCCCCTCACCACCCAATCCATTGACCCCGGGTCTCAACACATCGCCGTCGACATGTCGTCCCTGTCCATTTTCCGTGTCGCGACGCGCGCCGTCCGCCCTACTAGCTTCGTCCGAGCTCCCATCGTCCGCTCCCGGATGCAGACCCCGATCATCATGGCTGCCCGCGCTCGCACCTTCGGCACCACCTCCAAGTGCCTTTCCGGCCACGAGGACGAGACATACGAGGAGTTCTCCTCCCGGTACGACCATCTCATTCATCCATTGATCTTGGCAGATCTCAAAAGAGGGGACGCGGGCTCGGGCTTTGCGCTGCCAGGCGCTGCCCGAGTCCTGACTCTACGACTACATAGGCTCAGCTGGAACCTTCTTTGCTGACTGATTGTCTTTAATCCAGATTTGAGAAGGAATTTGATGGTGTGCAGGATGTCTTCGAGCTCCAGGTAAGATCCTATACCTCCAATCCGGCTTTGCCGGTGCGAGATGATTCCAAAGCCTTTTATTTCTTGGTCTCGCAAAACACCATTGGAAACCTGCTAATCAATCTCTGTTATAGCGTAACCTGAACAACTGCTTCGCTTATGATCTTGTCCCCTCCATTGAGGTCCTCAGCGCCGCCCTGAAAGCCGCCCGCCGTGTCAACGACTTCCCTACTGCCGTCCGTGTCTTCGAGGGTACGAAATAATTCCGGCATTAATGACCATATATTGTTTGAGCTGCTAGCTAACATACTGCGTCAACAGGCATCAAGGCCAAGGTCGAGAACCAGGAACAGTACAAGCAATACCTCCAGCAGCTCGAGGGTCTGCGCCAGGAGCTTGGTGTCGCTCTTCGGGAAGAGCTCTACCCCCAGGAGGAGTAAATTAGCGTTGCCTTGTTCTTTCTTCCATCAATTTTCTCTCCGGTTACCCACCGACCCCCATATGTTGCCTACGACCCCCGCGTTTCTCTCTAGGTCGGGAGCAGATCGGGTAGAAGAGAAAGCTGTATACATACTTTAGAGATCTCTTGTGTTGTTAGTGCTACCGCTGTTTGGAAAAAGGTCATTAGCGCCTTAAGTGGTGCTTAATCTATATTCCTCTCTTGTTCAGCGCTTTGCTCTCTGCCTCGTACCTTGAATATAACATTCAATTGCAATCTATCTGCTTCAACTTTTGTCCCAGAATTTCTCTAATTTGTTTGAAATCGCGCACCGAGCAAAAGCACGTCGGTCTTCCGTCATCCGAAGCACGAGTGGAGACCCACTGCGGCCCAGGAACAGACATGAGAACACGGGAATGAACACCAAAAGAGATTGTTAATGTGCGATCAATATAAGTACAGAGAAGGCTAGACCCGCAGCAACTCCCATAAAGCTGCCCTGGGAACCGCCACGGCCAGGAACGTATTTTGTGAGAAGGGAAATTAAAAGGGGACATAACACAACACAAGTCATCAAGAGGTATGAGTCCGCTCAAAACGCCAGATACCGAACCACCTAGTTGTCCGGAATATACTCATCGGGTATGCGAGAGATGATGCAAAGAGTTCATGAAGTGACGTGGCCGTAAGTCGGTCGACCACCTTAGTGTGTGCCGACGTACTTGAAATATGTCGGCCGGCAGTCCTCTTTGGCTAGGAAGTCTGCGCCGGCGAAGAACTTGCCCGGGGTACAGCCGGAGCACTTGGGTGAGTTTGGACAGTTGTAATAGGGAATATGGTTATAGCCAATGTCACGGAACCTGGAATAGATATTAGTAAACGACATTTTGAGGGTGATTTTATATATGAGGCGATGTTCGTACCAGTGCACGTTGTTGGAATCCGCGAAGAGGCCGATGCCGAGGGAGTGGACCGGTGCATCTCCCCAGCGCTCGTAAAAGAAGCCACCAGCACGATCCAGGTGCTGGAAGTAGGCCTCGTACTTCTCGCCACGGAAGAAGTCCATATCGCCGATCTCAAAGTTCGACCAGAAGTGGCAGGTGGAGTAACCGTTGCCTCCCGCCGTGTGCTCGGGGCGCGCCTGATCATCCGTGATCCAATCCCACATGTTGTTCTCGTTCAGATATGACGGGTTCGCAGCCAAAAATTTGCGGGTCTCGGGCCAGAGGGTCTTGATAGTCTGCGGGGCATCGTACAGATTGATGGTAAAGCCATATGTCTTATTTCGGTCCTCCATGTAGCGGAACACGTCGTAGTCCACATTGCAGAAGAATTGGACCTTGGGCTCAATGCGCCAGTAATAACGATACTTCTCGAGGGCGGGGTGTTTGTAGAACATGCCGCTGTTCCATCGACACATCTGATGGTAGGAGATCTTCGAGGCGTATTGAATATTCTCCTCCTCGAGAATCTGAGCAGATTCCCGGAAGAGATCCATGTTAATCCAGTCAGGAACAGCCCAGTGCTCCTTAGGAACGAGCTCTGTGAAACATAGAACAAGTCAGTCCCAGAGACCATGGAGCCAGAAAGAGGGAGATCGCACCGTATTGACACTTGGCCTTGGTGAGCGCTTGAGTCTGGCGCTTAAATTCGTCGGTGAAAGGCTGATCATTGAAGAAGATGTAGGGATAGTTGAACTTGTTGTTCCAAGTGCGCTCGAGGTCCTGCATGGTATGGATCAAATCGCCGAGTTCCTCGTTGCGCACGAGGGAGATAATGGCAGCATTGGTGCGAGCGGACTTCTCGGCATCAGGGGAGTAATCGTGCTCTTCGGCTCGCCATAATTCGCCTTCAGGTTCACCGACAGCTAAAGAATATTAGGGGAGGCGGATGGTGAGGGATAGTGGCAAAACGCACGGTCTAGAAGAGGGTCTCTGGTCATGCCATGGACGAGTTTCGAACTGGATTTGGGAGAATCCTGGCGCAGCTGGAAGATCAGGAACAAACAAAGCAAGATGCATGTAGCACCGAGCATGCGAATGGGACGGGCGATCGCCATGGTGGAGGGTGGTGAAAGGGGGAGAAGGCGTGCGGCGGCCGCGATATAAAGGCGCCCGTTCTTTTTCCCCCTGTGGATTAGCGCCCGCGCGTCCAGTCGGCTTCCGCGCGGCCCTTCATCATTCAACTTCTGGGTTCCGGGGTCTGTCGATCACAGATCATGGCTTTGGCCTTGAGCTCGCTGATTGAAGAGCTGATTGTCGTTTTGGCTAAAGTTCCTCCTGACCAGAAGGTAAGTTTGTTGTGTTGTCGGTGTCGTAGTGGGCCGAATGTTGATCTCGACTAGCAATCCCCGCGCATCCAGGCTCTCCGAAAGCGCGCCGAGGGAGCTTTGCGTCCTGGTACTCATGGACGTACCAATCAATTCGCCGTCGCGCGCAAATTAGAGGGGTTACAAGAGAAGTTCCAAGTCCTCAACCGAGATGAGCTGGCCGATGCTCTGAGTACTCGCCTCAAGGAACTAGAGGGCTACCGCGACACATGGCATCCAGAAATCCTAAGCCTGCTTTTGCAACTTTCGGACCGCCCAGATCAATTGTCAGATCTCGATCGACTCCCGACTCCTGCTGTCGCTACCGAAGAGGACAAATCGCTATTGTGGTCCGACCTCAATGACCAGGGAACCGCCTATTGCCATGAAGACATCTGGGAAGAGGTCGACTTCGCAGCCGACTCCTCAGAAGATGACCTCTTGTCAATCTCAGATGGCGGGGACCTCGTCTCCTCTAAACTCTCACTAGTGACCCCCGCCTCCCAAGAAACAGAATACGTCATTCCCAATGAGCTCTTCGAGTCGAGGGAAGACGGAGATCTCATTGCCTCGATAGAAAAGGCCCAGTTCTGGACACCAGAGAACAGGGCGAAGGTCGCAAAGGATCAGCAAGATGCGTCCTGCATTATCACAGAATTACAATGTGCCAGAGAGGCAATTTTCATGCTGCAAGGTTTACCCACTTCCATCTTCTGGCGCTTGGACACCGATATCGAAGTTGATCGCTGCTACAATCTCGCATATTCCTCAAGCACGTCTCTTTCGGCCTTACTGCGATCATTCACTGAGATTGGAGCCAAAATTGATGTTGCGCGGCGCTTTACAAGGTTACCACAGGCTATCCCCTACCTGCAGACCTTCTGCCGGGGCGTAGAGGAGCGGTTGCTTGACTTTGATCGGACTCTTTCCCAAAAACAGTGCGAATATCTTTCGCCTGGCTCAACAGTCAGCTTAATTCATCTGCTCGATGATGTTCGCCGATACTCTCGCAATCTTGAATTGCTGGCTGAACTCATCTCCAAGCTGAACTCAACCTCGACTACTCACCCTATGCGCTGCCTTGAGTTATTATACAACTTGGTTTGCATGGTTGAAGCACTTGGTGATGAGAACGCATCCAACGATCTTGCGGTACTATTCTTCTCCTGCTTCAAAACATATACAAGGTCAATCCAACTCTGGATGAAGACAGGCAAGGTTGATTCTAAAGACAACACTTTCTTTGTGCGAGTCAATCGGGAGAACAAGGAACTACGTACTCTTTGGCACAATTGGTTCATACTGGACGAGGGCAGCAGACGACAGAACATCCCCCAATTTTTGGAACCTGGAGTACAGAAGGTGTTTACGACTGGGAAGAGCATGGTTTTCTTGCAACATTTGAGCGCACAACCAGACCATCCTGGAGATGGAAGCAGCGATACGGCCTTCGATGAAATCTATTTTCCAACTGAATTTTCTTCATTTTGTCTCCCGTTCCCGGTGCTGGTCGAGACCGCCTTCGATCGACTGGTAGATGCCAACCACTCACTTAGCTCTGCGCTACTACGCAATGAATTCGACGAACAATGCGGCTTGTGGACATCTCTCGATGCCCTGCAACACGTCTACTTAGGCAAGGATTTGAGCATCCTCGGTACTATTGATGCGAAGATTTTCGACCTAATGGACCGAGGGCGCTCCTGGGACGACAAATTCCTGATCACCGAAGTAACAAGATCGGCATTTAGCGTCATGCCTGGCATTGACGCATCAAAGCTTGTTGTGCGATCAGCAGGCTCTTCAGCTTCCTACAAATTAGAACGATCCGTCAAAATTCTCGAAACAATTTCAATTGATTACGTTCTCCCTTGGCCTGTGGCGAATATCATCACCCAAGACGCCATCCAATCCTATCGGCACATTTCAACCTTCCTCATGCAGATCCGGCGTGCTAAGCATGCCCTTGTGCGAGAGCGCATAAAAGATGCACGCAACTCCGTCACAAACGACCCAAATGATACCCATGTCCACGCTCTGCATCACGAATTCCTTTGGTTCCTCGATTTCCTGTACTCACACCTCACATACCTGGTCATATCCACCGCAGAGCAATCGTTACGATCGACGCTTTCCAAAGCAGAAGACGTTGATGCCATGATATCAGCTCACCAGGCGTACATGTCCTCACTGAAAGAACAGTGCCTCTTATCCGAGAGCCTTGCCCCAGTGCACAAGGCCGTCGTCGATATCCTGGACCTCTGCATCCATTTCGCGGATCTGCAGACTGCACGGAATTCAGAAGAGACTCATGATAGCCGGATGGGTACATCACGCGGACATGGCTTTGAATCCGACTCGGACGAAGAAGAAGATATTCACGAGCAAACTTTGACAATCTCATTTCGTGAATCGCCCTATAACCACCAAATACGAAATGTGAAGCGCCAGTTCGACCATCTGACCAATTTCGTTGCCGATGGATTGAAGGGTGTTGCGCGAGCGGATGGATGTCCGAGCTGGAACATTTTGGCGGATCGGTTCGAGTGGAGGAAAGGCTGGTTGAAGTTGTAATGGATACCTCGGTGCTAGATAGCCTTGGCTTTGCTGATCATCGGGCATGATCTTGCTCTTGATATCTTTCATGCCCTTACGATCTATGGAGACTACGAGCCCCATGACTGTACATCAAAATCGAAATGAAAAAAGAAGAAATCTTGCTTGAATTTTGGTATATCTTTAGTATCTTCCACGGTAGTGCACTTACAATAACTTGATTGAATATGGCATGCGTAAATTTCATGTTTCGTAAATTTCTTTTCGGTGCGACGGAGGAAACCCTCTTGACTTCCAAATAGCTTTGGACCAATAAACGGTAATATAGACAACGGAATAACAGGTCGAATGATGAACAAGAATCCATTTCCCTTGACTCCCTAGCCGACCCAGCGTCTGGCGCTGAAGAAGATACGGCCCCAGGGACCAATATCACCCCACTCTTCGGCGTGGGGAGGCAGGTAACTGGCAATGCCACCCAGAACGGTACGCTCGGGATGGGGCATGATAGCCAGCACACGGCCATCGGGACTGCGCACACCTGCAATACCCTCTGGACTGCCGTTGGGGTTGAAAGGGTAGGTCATGGTCGGCTTGAGGGTGGCGTTGTCGACGTAGCGGACGGGGGCAAGGTCCTCGCGAACGAAGTCCTTGGCAGTCATGGACGGGGTGCCGGCGAAGGAAGCACGACCCTCGCCGTGGGCAACGGCAATGGGGAACGAGGAGCCGTCCATGCCGTGGAAGAAGACGCTGGGGCGCGAGGGGTCGGGGTCGGAGATGCGGACCATGGCCACACGGCCTTCGTACTGCTCGCTGGTGTTGCGCTCAAAGCTGGGCCAGTTGCGCGCACCAGGGATAAGCTCCTTGACACGAGACAAGAACTGACAGCCATTGCAGACTCCAAGAGCGAAGGTGTCGGGACGCTCGAAGAAAGCCTGGAACTCCTTGCGGGTGTTTTCGTGCAGGAGCACTGACTTGGCCCAACCTTGACCGGCGCCGAGGACATCACCGTAGGAGAAACCACCGCAGGCGGCGAGACCGGCGAATGTGGACAGAGACACGCGGCCTGAAATAAGGTCGGTCATGTGGACATCGACGGCGGAGAAGCCGGCGGTGTTGAAGGCGAAGGCCATCTCCGCTTGGCTGTTGACACCTTGCTCACGCAGAATGGCAACACGGGGCTTATTAGTGAAGGGCGAGTACTGAGAGAGGCTAGTCATGAAGGGCAGGCCACGGTCCTTGGGGTCGAAAGTAGGGTTCCACGACAGACCGGGGTTGGCATCGTCGAGAATGTTGGCGAATTCCTGCTCGGCGCACTCAGCGTTGTCGCGGAGCTTCTGCATGTGGTAGGAGGTTTTGGCCCAAGTCTGCTGGAGGTTGGAACGAGTGTTGCGGTACACCAGAGAAGCCTTGTGATAGATGGTGAGGTTCTGCTTGGACTTCTCGGAGACGCGACCAATCTTATGGATTAGGCCAGGAGGAGGACCGCAGGTGGCGAAGGCAGAGCGGAGTTGAGTCTCGTGCTCCTTGCGGACCTGGAAGACGGCACCCAGCTCCTCGTTAAAGAGAGACTCAACGATATCCTTGGTGTGGAAGGAGGAGCAGATGTTATCGATCATGATTTCAACACCACAGCGGCCGGCAAACATCATCTCAGCAAGAGTAGTCAGGAGACCGCCATCGGAGCGGTCGTGGTAGGCCAAGACGATACCAGCCTCCTGCAGCTGCTGAGTGGCGTCGAAGAAGTCACGGAAGAGATCGACGTCGTGGATATCGGGACACTCATTGCCAACCTCGTTGAAAACTTGAGCGAGGGCAGATCCACCGAGTGTCTTCCTGCCGATTCCAAGGTCGACAAACATGAGTACAGTCTCTCCAACGTCCTCGAGGCTGCGGAGAGCGGGGGTCCAGGTTTTGCGGAAGTCGTTAACCGGAGCGAACGAGGAGATAACAAGCGACATAGGCGCAGTGACCTCCTTGGCTTCATTCGACACCTCATCCTTCCACTTCATCTTCATGGACATAGAGTCCTTTCCGACGGGAATACTGATACCAAGCTTGGGGCACAGCTCGAGACCAATGGCCTCAACGGCCTCATAGATCGCAGCACCCTCGCCCGGGTGACTGCCGGCCGACATCCAGTTAGCAGAGAGCTTAACGCGGCTAAGGCGGTCCACCAAGTCGGAAGCAGCAAGGTTCATCAGTGACTCAGCAACCGCCATGCGAGCAGAGGCACCGGAAGAGATCAAAGCCAAGGTGGGCTTCTCACCCATAGCCATAGCCTCGCCAGTCCTCACGCCCTGGAGCAGGGAGGTGGCAGTGACAGAAACATCGGCAACAGGGGTCTGCCACTTGCCCACCATCTGGTCACGAGCAGTAAGACCACCGACAGTACGGTCACCGATAGTGATCAGGAAAGACTTGGAGCCGACGGCCGGCAGAGACAGAACGCGGTTGACGGCCTCGTTCACAAGCTCGGTTCTCGAAGTAAGCGAAGGAAGATACTTGGTGAGGCTGGAGTCCACGGCAGGCAGAGTCAACTTGCGCGAATCAACAGTCCTGGTCATACGAGGGGTCTTGCCGAACAGTACAGACAAGGGCAGATCGATGGGAGCCGGATATTCCTTAGACTCCCGGTCGAGCAGGATCAGACGCTTCTCCTCCTCAGAAGTACCGCCTCCACGGCCAACAACCGAGAAGCCGCAGCGCTCACGCTGAGCAATAGCAGTGAACTTGTTCATGCTCTCTTCGCCAACGGCAAGGACGTAACGCTCCTGAGCTTCGCAGCACCAGATCTGCATGGGGCTCATGCTTCGGTCTGCGCTGTCAATCTCACGCAGTTCGAACTTGGCACCCAGGCCCGAGTCGTGAATAAGCTCGGGAAGAGCATTTGACAAACCACCGGCGCCAACGTCGTGGATGAACTTGATGGGGTTGTTTTCACCCATGGAAACACAAGCGTTGATAACCTCTTGAGCTCTGCGCTGAACTTCGGCATTGCCTCTCTGGACACTGGCGAAGTCAAGATCCGCAGAGCCCTCACCCGAGGCAATACTAGAAGCAGCACCACCTCCGAGACCAATAAGCATGGCAGGACCACCAAGCACAACAAGGAAGGAACCGGGCTTGACGACGTCGGGGTTTTTCAGGGCGTGTTGGGGCGGACGGTACCCACACCACCAGCAATCATGATGGGCTTGTGGTAGCCACGCACCTCCTTCTGACCGTTGCCAATGTCAATCTCAGTCAAGAGGGTACGGAAGTAACCAGCTGTGCAGGACGACCAAACTCGTTGTTGAACGCAGCACTGCCGATAGGGGCCTCCAACATGATGTCCAAGGCGCTAGCAATGTGGTTGGGCTTGCCAACGTCAAGCTCCCAGGGCTGACGGTGCCCGGGAATCAAAAGATCAGACACACAGTATCCAGCGAGGCCAGCCTTCGGGCGGGAGCCACGACCAACGGCACCCTCGTCACGAATCTCACCACCAGATCCAGTGGCGGCACCAGGGTACGGAGAGACAGCAGTAGGATGATTGTGAGTCTCGACCTTTGCCAAAAAGTGCACAAGTTCCTTGGTGTGCGACCACTCTCCAGTAGTGGTGTTAGGGGCCCAGAAAGCACCATCAGAACCCTCTAGGACAGCAGCGTTGTCACTGTAGGCACTGACGGTGTATTCTGGGTGCTTCTTGTGAGTGTTGCGAATCATAGCAAAGAGGCTGTTGGGCATGGGCTTGCCATCGATGACCCACGAGGCATTGAATTGCTTGTGGCGACAGTGCTCGGAGTTCACCTGAGCAAACATGAAAAGCTCGACATCAGTTGGATCGCGAGCAATTGCACCGTTCGGACCATAGGCTTCGGCAAGATAATCAATTTCCGAGTCATCCAAGGCGAGACCAAGCTCCTTGTTGGCCTCCTGGAGGACCTCCTTGGGGGACTTACTGCCACCCTGGAGGGAAATGGTCTTGAGGGGCTGAGGAGCGTGCTCTGAGAACATCTTGCTCAGCTCGGGCGCATCTTTGCTGATGATTTGAGTCATGCGATCATGCAGGGTGTCCAAGTATCCAGTCTTGTAGTCCTCGCCATCGTTGCGAAGACATGACACCATCATACCACGCTCAATGCGCTTCACAAATTGACGGAGACCGCAGACGTGCGAGATACCGGTGGCCTGGGAGCTCCATGGCGAGATAGTTCCGGTGCGAGGGTAAACGTAGAAGGTATCGAACTGGCCGTCATCGGAAGCGAAGGTTGGGGGCACGTCGGTGATATCGCCATATCGCAGCAGTTGCTCCAGTACAGCATGCTGACGCTCATTCAGCGGTTGGTTTAGGTGGACGTAGTGAATGTACTGAGCCCGAACGTCCTTCACTCCCAAACTGGCAGCAATGGCAAGTCCTCGAGAACGAGAGAACGCCACCGAGCCCGGAATGGCCAGGAAGGAATCGGTAGAAGTCATCATGAAGGTAATGAATCGCGTAAGTACCAAGCCTCCCTGGGAAAAGAGGAGGAATGGCTCAGATGCCTCTCAAGATTGACTTAAAGGGAAGCCCCGCGATGAGTCGATCCCAAATTTTTTGAGTCCGCCCCGCGCTAGCCGATTACGGAGGCTTATCAATGGGATCACGTGTTGATTACCAGGCAGTCCGTGAATTTACCTTCATCTTCATTTTATCGTTATTTTCTCTGCGATCTACTTAGTGAAACTGATCGTATAGTTATTGCATCCCGACTGAATCAGCCCTCTCTGCTTCTCATGGTGATATGCGCTTCCCCCGGCCCCCCACAGTCGTCGATGACCAAAGCCAATTAAGAGGTAAAATAGTGGCTTTTGCCTGCCCGAACAGACTACAGGAGCGAAGTTTACCGTGCCGTTGCAGTAGTACTCTGGTTTATGCATTGATCTAGTAGTGCCTTGGCCAAGGCGTGAGTATCACTCTCGCGAGAAAAAGGCTTCCTTAGAATCGACAAACATTTGATCGCTCATGCTCCTGGCTTCGTGGTGAATTTACAGCCTCAAAAGGGTCAGGACGGATCAGAATAGCCGTTGAAAGATAAGATGTTGAAGTTATGTTCTTTCCGTCCTCTCCAATAGGCGTCTGAAGAATGGACATGGCCAGTGCGTGCGATCATCAGGAAGATGAATTTTAAAGCAACCAGGAACCTGCACAAACCCGCGATCAAGACTTAGCACGTCAAAAAATCTGAGGCTTGAAATGGCCGGGTGGTCAGAGAAGTGAGTTGATAATAGCGACATGCTGGACAAGTAGCACGATCTTGTCTCAAGTGTGTTTCATTCAACGACTGCGGAGAACTTCCCTTCAGAATCGTAAGGAAGTGCAGAAAAAGATCCTTGATCAAAGGAAGAAACACTCTCAAAGCGTGTTGCTCATCAGGTTGTCAGGTCAGTGGTTGACCTGACAACCTGATGAGGTCAATTTGTTCATGACTAATAATTACTAGTAGGTTTCATGGGAAATTTGATATCTTAGTTTGCTAAACTTAGTTAGCTTTTTATGTCGGAAACAGACCCACAGTCTAGACCTCATATGCCTTTGGCAAGTATTGCTAGTAGTGGCTAGATATATAGTGTATTGGGAAAACATGCGACAATGATAGTAGTGTAGCCCTCGGCATTTAGGATGCCGAGGGCACACATCACACCTTCATCATGGAATGAAGGCTAGATCAGACAACTACCCAATGCAGTCCGTATCATCTCTGTTGGTTCATGATATCGAATCAAGAGTCATGCGCGGTGCATTTATCAGAACAATCCTTTAGTCCATCTCTGGCCGTGCATGGGGGGTTGATTGTGTGTGTGTGTGTGTGTGTGTGTGTGTGTGTGTGTGTGTGTGTGTTTCTTTATTGGTGCGGCCCATTCTGCAATGCCAGACTGCCATTGAGCCGTTTCCAGTTCATTATCTATCACTAATTGTCCTCATACCCCGTTCAATACGAAGGCGGTAATTAAGTACTAGAACTAGCGCTATAGATACTAAGAAAACACGCATTAGGAATACTCCTATGCGGTAGGTCTTTTTAGACAACAACGCTCTAGGCGAAAGTTGTAATAGGCTAGATAGCTACCGCCAGCAGCACGCTCGAGCACGTTGTTTAAGGCGGAGTTTCCTACTCCTCACTCTGATAAATAAAGTACAGGCGAGGCATATTCTCTTTCAAGCCTTGGCTAGATGGCCAGCACTTGCCTTTGTACAATTCGTTTAAAGTTATCAGGGCAACTTGACTCATTATAACCCTTTCCGGAGCTTATGAATAAGCTTCGCAACTATGAGGACCTACGAATGGGAACGACTTGTCGCTTCATAGATCTAGATGGGTCCGAGATACCCTTATGTATCCTGTGCGCTGAGCAAAATCAAAAAACCACATGGTGCGAAGCATTCAATTCCCAATTTCGAATGATAAGCGCATCATCGCCTCGAAGAAAGATTCAAGAGTTGTCTTTTCACTCCTATGTGGGTCTCACCTGAAAGGACTTGCACGGTTTCGGTTGGTTCTGATTGGAAAAGCGATAGTGTAGGGAGTAGTGGATACCCCCTCGCCGTGTGAATTGGTTCGAAGCCTGCAAACATCCCCAAATCAAGACTCTGTTTTGGTGGCATCGGAGAACTCGAAAACTGCTTTGGAACGATAACTTTGGCGTGGTTTTCCAGTGGAAAATCAAATTCCAAAATGCATTGTTTGACCATCGAGATTGAGCTTCGCCTCAGGTATGTTGAGTTCTCCTGTCGATCACTTATTCCCCTCTGCCTATCACAACGACTAGCGAGTCCTTTGACCCATTCGGCTTCAATCATTTTACACATGACGAATTAGCGACCTCACGCTAGTGATTTTAAACTTCTGCTCAAGTCCAAAAACCTAAGTGCGGAAGCGCGTTAGATTTAGAATCGAGGTAATAAAATAAGCGCACCCCTGGTCGATCGTAGTGTTCGAAATCAAGGCACCATGCATTTGCCTCAAAACTGGCATTTGGTCAGTGTGTTTTCTTTGGCGGTTTCCGCTACTACTGCCGGGTTCAAGGCCAAAGACATAATTATCCGCGATGTGGCTGTCCTCGGAGGTGGTGCCACAGGTACATACGCCGCGGTGCAATTGAGAGAGCAGGGATACAGTGTGGCACTTGTGGAGAAGAAGGAACGCCTCGGTGGTCATGCAGAGACACTTTACCTTCCCAATGACAAGTATGTCAACTATGGAGTAGAGGGATACTTCAACAACGAGATCACCACAAATTTTTTCAGGCAGCTCAATGTCGACTATGAACCACTTCTTCCAGGCTCAATTATCTCGGAAAATGTCAACTTCAACACAGGTGAAAGAGTTTTTCCCGGCAGCGAGGTCTTGGGTACTGTGGCTGGTGCTGTCTTGTACCGTGCTTCGATTGAGCAGTTCGACTACCTCGCCTCTGGGGCCTACTACCTCCCCGATGAGGTCCCAGAAGTTCTCCTTCGTCCTTTTCGTGAGTTTGTCGAGGCGCACGCCTTGCAGGGAGCGTTGGATGTGATTTTCATGTTCGCCGAAAATGTGGGCAATATTCTGGATGCCCCGTTGCTTTACATAATTCAAAACTTTGGCATTACCCACATCAATGCATTGCTAGAGGGAGGGTACATCCGGCCAAAGAACGGCACGTACGAGCTGTTCGGCAAAGCCGCGAAATTCATCGACGACGAGAATATCTTCTATGAAACCATTGTGACCCAGGCCAAGCGCAACTCGACCGGCGTGGAGTTGGTCGTCGAGAGCGCGGACGGGAGTCGCAAACTCATCAAAGCAAAGAAGCTTCTGATTACATTCCCTCCCACTCTGTCCGCTCTTGATGGCTTTGACCTTCGCAAGGAGGAGACTTCCTTGTTTTCCAAATGGGACCATAAGAACTACTACGCTGCAGCCATAACCAATACGGGTTTGCCCGATGGAATCAACGTTGCAAACACCAATCCTAAGAACCAGCCTGGTAGCCTTCCCCTGCCTCCATTCCAGTGGGAGCTCGAGTACTCTGGTGTGCCAGGATATTTCATGACGAAAATTGTGGCCGAGTCAAATTTCACCGCCGAAGATGCCAAGGAGTTGATCAAATCTGACCTTGAGCGCATGGGTAAGACCGGTGTGTTCTCCACCAAAGAGCCCGAAATCGCGGCTTTCGCCTCCCACTCGCCTGAAACCCTCATTGTATCCACGGATGATTTGAGAGATGGATTTTATCGGAAGCTGTATGCTTTGCAGGGTCAGCAGAGTACGTACTACACAGGATATACTTTCTGCACAGACTACTCGACTCCGCTGTGGAACTATACTAGCAGTGTGTTGGACATGATGAATCTGTAGACACGATCTCGTCTTCCGTCTTCCTGAAAGAACAGAGGTTAGAAAATTCCATCGGCCCTTTCGATCTATCGGCCCTTTCGAGAAATTTCGATCCCTCAGAAAGAACTAGAAGATTATGAAATTCTCATCATCATCATTAGTCTTGGCAAGGCGGCAGAGTTCCAGATGAGGGAAAATGGTGATCATCCCAAAACGGAAATACCCTCCGATGTAGCCTCTTATCCCGGTCTTGCTACCCGCCACCGCCTTGCGAGGACGGGCGTGTCCCTCTTCTGTATAACACTCGAATGCTGCCTGCAGGGGGGCGAACAGCTCTCACAACGCTTCAGGTACCGATGGAGCTCACCTTGAAATGTAATAGAAGAGCAACGCATGAATCAAAATTGATCTTACACAATAATTGGAAAATTTATCGAATAGCTATTGTAATGAGATGGCCTATGTAGCAATAGCTGAGATTTATAGATTCCGGCAATCGCAGAGGGGCCGACGATACATGAAGTGAGACCAAAGTTAAAAAAAGAGCATCACACTGTACGATCTGCTGATATTTAAGTGGGCCCATCGCAAGGGCTGATCAAGACACATGTTATTTGCCTCCACATCCGCGTGTATACCCCATAATATTCTGTTCAGACAAATCTCCAAGCATGTGGATCACATCATCGTATTCATGAGTTCATTCCTGACACTCGAAAAACATTGAACATTCTCATGTGTGCCTTTCTCTACCCTTGATAACGAGGTTTGATAGACCCGCCACGCATGGCGCCAAGCTGGAGCTTGGGACTTTTCCCGCACCGGTCATACAAAGATAATCTTGTGTACATCATCTGACTTGAGAGCGAAAATTGTACACATATTGTACCAGTTTGTGAGTGCTTTTAAGGTATTGGCCAGAACGTCTTTAAGCAGAGACCGGAGCATCTGTGCACAGAGTTCATCTTCATGTTCCGGGCATACTGACCCAATCACGCTTCCAGGGACAGGCAAAGCATTACCCATATATTCATCTAGACAGATATAAGACGTCCATTGGAAAGTGGCCCTTCGTAGCATATTTCCACATCAGGTAATCGGCTCGGTTCCATTTAAGGTAATATGGGACAAAAGTGGGTCGAGATATCCAAACTTTTTTAAGGTTCCTGTTCCTTTTGCCGCATTCCCTTCGTGGCTTGATCAATTCTGTAAAAAATTGACAAGCGAAGTCCATGGCTGTGAAATATAAAAGCCTACTAAATCCATCAGTAGACAAATCGTAATTGCAAGTGGTCACATTTTACTCTAAGCCAGTCTGGGCAAATCAATACCTTCCCATACTGATAAGCTTTATCCATCTAAGCAACATGGAGCCCCCCCGATCGCGACAGATCCACACGGTCGACTCTAGTCGGACAGCCTCTATTGGATCCGGCTCTGAACCTCTAGACTATCTTGACCTCCCTGTGCGAGAAGTGGCCGATGGCGCCGACCTTCGAGAATACACCACTGAGACACGAGCAGGCGAAATTATTAAGCCTGTCAAGTCCAATGCTACCGGAAAGATAGAGGATTGGAAGTTGGTCACCTTTCATCTCGAAGACCCGGAGAACCCCAAAAACTGGTCGAAAGTCTACAAATGGTACTGCACGATGGTTGTGGCATTCACCTGCTTCGTCGTCGCATTTTCCAGCAGTGTTATCACTGCCGGTTTGACAGGCCCGTGGACACATTCCATGTTTCTCGTGAAGTCAGCTTCGTCGTTGTCAGTGTCTTTGTCATTGGATTTGGTGTCGGTAAGTTATATCTGTGCTTCAAATTGATTCTATCTCATTAACAATGTACCAGGCCCAATGGTGTTTGCTCCATTGTCCGAGATGGTCGGCCGGCGCCCGGTATATGCCGTCACTCTACTCATCGCAGTCATCTTTGTTATTCCATGTGCTGTGTCCAAGAATATCGGGACTCTCATCGTTTGCCGAGCGATTGACGGTATCGCCTTCAGTGCGCCAATGACCCTAGTTGGTGGTACACTGGCGGACATGTGGAAAAACGAGGAGCGAGGTGTCCCCATGGCGGCGTTCAGCGCTGCACCCTTCCTTGGCCCTGCAATTGGCCCTCTGGCTGGTGGTTACCTCTTTGACGGGGCTGGCTGGCGATGGCTCTACTGGTTGCAGTTGATTCTGTCCTTTGTTGCCTGGGTCTTAATCACATTCACTGTTCCCGAAACATATGCGCCCATCTTGCTCAAGAAACGAGCCGCAAAGCTGCGCAAGAGTGAGAATGATGACAAGTACACCACTGAGGCTGAGCTCGATCCTCGCCCTATGGGACAGAAGCTGCGTATCTTTCTGTTCCGTCCTTTCCAGCTTCTCTTCTTGGAACCTATTGTCTTTTGCATTGCCCTCTACATGTCGGTTCTGTATGGCTTGCTTTACATGTTCTTCGTTGCGTACCCCATTGTTTATCAAGCTGGAAAAGGGTGGAGCGCTGGAAGCACCGGCCTGATGTTCATTCCTCTGGCTGTCGGTGTGCTCATGAGCGCTGCCTGTGCTCCTCTCGTCAACAAAAACTATCTCAAGATCTCGGAGCAGTACGGTGGTAAGCCTCCTGCGGAAAAGCGTCTGATCCCCATGATGTTTTCCTGCTGGCTCATTCCGATTGGACTTTTCATCTTTGCCTGGACATCCTATCCCAGAGTTCACTGGATTGGACCTGCCATGGGAGGTTGGCCGGTCGGCTTTGGCTTCATCTTTCTCTACAACTCCGCCAACAACTACCTCGGTAAGTTCTATCTTGCAGCTCCTGATATGCTCCATTACTGACCTATCTTGCAGTCGACACTTACCAGCACCAGGCCGCTTCTGCTCTTGCAGCTAAGACATTCCTGCGATCCATGTGGGGCGCCTCCACCGTTCTATTCACTGAGCAGATGTACAACCGCCTCGGCTATCAGTGGGCAAGTTCGCTCCTTGCGTTCATTGCTTTGGCTTGCTGTCTTATCCCCTTCGTCTTCATTACAAGGGCGAGTCCATCCGTCGCTTCTCCAAATATGCCTTCTCCGATGACGAGGAGCAGGCAGTCAAGGCTTAATGAGAGAACGTCGGTGGAAGAGCCTTGACAACAGACTCTATCGAGTCTTGCGATATCCCCTAATGTGCATTTTGCCTTCGAGAACTTTTCTTTTTCTTTTCACGAACGATGTCGAGTTAGCCATGGAGTTGATGATACACACTACCTTGAATGTTAATATACCTTGTGACTTACGCAAATAATACCAATCAAAGCATATATTGATTCACCTTGAAGTTAACATTTCATCACTGACGTAAAGGAATTTGCCGCATTTGGACGGTCCACCACAAGCCACGTGATTTGACAGATAAGGCGCGGGCCATGATGCTCTCTCAGATCTCCAATCGTCTCCAATTAATTGCTTGCGATGCTGGATGCTGCGCCAACACAAGTAATGGATGGATTTTGAAACTCTCCTTGACCCTCTCGAATAGTCGCTAGCCTGCGACAGTCTCTTTCTCGAATCAATCCCCACTGACTGTGGCAAGCCGCCAACGGTCGCAGACCAGTGCCCGACGCACGATAATCTCGCAAGCCTACATCAAAACCTCAGATAAAGCGCAATGACGTCGCCATACCCGCCTGGGCCTTCATTTTCGCCCTCTGACATCTCCTCGGGTCCAAACAGATCCGTTTCGGAACTCCCGCAGTCTCAAGTGGACGCCATCATTCGCACGAAGCGCAAAGCGCGTGAGCCCAAGGCTTGCTACCCTTGCCATGCGCGCAAGGTTAAGTGTGATCGGAACCTACCGTGCGACGGGTGTGTCAAGCGCGACCATGCAGATCTTTGCTCCTACGAACGCCCCTCCAAGAAACGCTCACAAGGGTTCCACGAGAGCCCCGTGGGTGGCGCTTCAACTGGCTCCGCAATGGAGCATCCTGGTCTCTACAACTACGAAGATCACCCACCGCGAATAAAACTTGAGCCCGTCCCGGTCCGAGCAAATGGCAATAGTCCGGGCGGTCGGATCTCAATTGCGAGGGAGGAATGGGACAATGTGCGCAATCGGCTACGAGAAATGGAGTCTACCATCTCGTCATTACGCGTGGGTCTCGAGAGAGCTGATGAAGGCCCCTCTACAATGCTGGACTCCGGCAGTGTGCAGAGCGCTGACGCGAGTTCCCGGTCCAAGGGTGCCTCGCCTGAACGCGAGGGCATCCACGCTGCAAATACTCTCGGTAAAGGCACAGTTCACCTGGGATCTCGATCGGTCCTCGCCTATATTTTGAACAATAAGTCTGGGTCCGATCAGCTTCAGGCCCTCCTAGAGGATGGGATACTGCCTAAACTGGGACTTGACAACGAATCTGCAACCTACCCATTCGTCGATTTGTGGTCGTCAGACATGTCGACGTTTGACATCAGTGCTGTTTGCAGTGCCTTGCCAACGGACCAACAGTGCAGAGAGTGAGTCATGTTCGTCTTTTTATCAAATGAACAAGATTTTGATATCTTGCGCAGATTTTTCTACTATTACAAGAATATTGCGGGAGCAATCTATCCGGTGCTTGAAGACGTCCCAGGATTCGAAAACACCCTAGAGCTTCTTTTGGAAAGCAGAGCTGCCTCTGGTGGTGCTTACCGTGAGGATGTCGATGAAGCGCAGAACCCTTTTGGAGTGAGCATAGCTTATCTAGGTCTACTATTTGCTGTACTGGCATCCGGCTGTCAGTCGTCAGATCTCGGAAGCAAGGAAAGAGAATTGACTTCCCAGGTCTATGGTAAGCCAGGAACACCCAGATAATGCTACGTTGACTAACTTTCGACTCAGTCTGCTGTTCTTACCAGTGTCTCCGCATGACGAATTTCTTATCACAGCCGACTATCGAAGCAATCCAAACGCTCTTGGTCATCGGCAATGTCTTATCCTACAACATGAACCCTGGAATTTCATATGTCCTGCTCGGCATGACACTCCGCATGGGCCTAGCCCTTGGCCTTCATGTTGAGTCAAGCAGGTTCTCGTCGCTTGAACGATACCGCCGTCGTCATGTTTGGTAAGTCATGATTATATAGCCCCTTTGAAAAATTTCCGATCATCTCATCGATCTCGACAGGTGGTCCATGGCGTGGCAAGATAGCCATTTCTCTCTTTCTTATGATCGCCCATCTACCACGGCAGTCAGTCAGCCTGACATTGCATACCGAGAAGGTTCACAGCCTGGCGACCTCTCCTACTTTGAAACTCTCTGTCGAGTTATTTCATTAGCACTGGAGGTCGTTCGCATTCGGATGCTCAGCCCTCATTCTCAAATAAGCGTGGAAAGCATTCAGGGCTACAAGGATAGAATTCAGCAGATCATGGTTGAGGCGAAACCCTATTTACGGGATGCACAGTGGTGTTCCACCCCAACAGAACATCTGGAGCGAGTCGTGCTCAAACTACACTCCTCATACTTCTCGTCCGAGCTCTGCCGGCCAGCGCTCAAGCCGAACTCCGAGTCAAGTGACGCCGATACTGCGAGCATGCGAGGTCACTGTGTGGCCAATCTCATGACCACTGTGGAGGCTTATATCGAAATGCACAACATCAGCTCGCATGCGGCACGGTCATGGATTGCACTTCAACGCGCGATTAGCTCTGCATTTCTTCTTGCGGTTATCGAAGAAGCCAAATCGGACCCTAATGTATGGAATCTCTTGCGCCAGCTCGAGAGCATCATTGCCCAGCGAGCTAGCAGCGAGCGAGCTTACTATACAGGCGACGTGAGTGGTGCTACTGGCGGCCTGACTTCTCCCCAGGGCATGGCCACCTACGACCCGATTACCGGGGCGTCAAATCCACCAGCTGCTGTTCCACCCGTCATGGATCCTAATTCCCCTGCTACCGGCATGCCTGACACTCAGACCCAATGGGCCAAATCATTGGCCAAGACCCATCGTGCTCTGCAGAAATTATTGACTGCATTCGGCAATCAGCACGCGCGCCTTACGAATGGACGCAGCCCTGCGCTCACTTCTCAGGCTAACGTCAATACTGCTGGTGTGTCAGGAGGTGCGTTTGCTCCGCCTGTCTCAGCAGGCATGACTCCTAGTGTTGGATCGCTCCCACCCCCTACACCTGAGAGCTCCGGCAGTGGAGAATGGACGATACCCAACATCCTTGACCGCGCATCCGAGTACATCCACCCTCCACTCTGGGGCTAGGAGGAATACACATGACCTTTGGTGAATGTTTCCGATATTTCTTTCCCCTGCAGCGCGAACTTGAAGCATTTCCCCGGCGTCAGATGATCTTCTCTACATACGAAACGTGGTATGGATTTCTGGGACTTGGGAGGACTCCTCTATTCGTACTTCTTGATACTCAGCTCTTCGTATGCTGTCTATAATTTTTGTCTACTAATCCACGACAATTTGAACATCGGTTCGCCACCTGTAGAGTTCAAGAGCTTGGTCCCCATTCTAGGTAATCACCATGGAGCAAAGTAAACAGGCGAGAAAATCTATCGACTCCGCGCAGGCTTCAATTCGCCCACGCATTCCCCAAAGCCAACACCAGAACCAGCGCCACCAGCCACGGCAGTCATGCGAACCACATCGCCATCCTCTAGATATGAACGTGTCGACCCATCAACAAGCGTGATAGGCTCTTTCCCTGCCTTTGTCATTTCTATTAGACAACCAAGAGTGCCCTCATCGGGACCACTCACAGTCCCCGTGCCGAGGATATCTCCAGTCTCGAGATCAGTACCCGCGCTTGCCAGATGTGCAGCCATTTGACGTCCGCTCCAGTGCAAATGCTGGTGATTTGATTCGCTCACGGTCGAGACTTGACCTGCAGTGATGATCTCAACCTTCATACCGATATCATAGCTTGACATGGTGATGTCTTCCAAATGGCTTGCCAGTGTAACCTCGGGCTTGGGTCCTGGGACTTTGAACGGCTCTAGGGCGTCTAATGTGATCACCCACGGGGAGATGGATGTCCCAAACGACTTCCCATTCAACGGACCAAGTGGTTTCATTTCACAACCTTGAACATCACGGGCTGGGAGGTGTTTGTTAGGACTTGATTAACAGATGGTGATCAGCAACACTCACAGCTCCAGTCATTTAGAATCACCATTCCAAATATATGCTCATCTGCATCCTTTGCATTCAGCCCCTTTGAAGCATCCAGCTTCTTTCCAACAATCACGCCGATCTCTAGCTCATAGTCCATGGCTCTGGAGGGGCCATAAATGATCGGTTTCTTCTCGGAAGATGCACTACGGTCATAGAAATGGCCATTTGGCCGAGTGATCGGGGTACCAGAGACAACGATAGTGCTCGTACGACCATTGTATCCGACTGGAAAATGGAAAAACCCGGGGGCGGAGTGGGATCATTGATGATCGCCCGCCCTGCGTTGCGAACATGATGCAAACTGCACGAAAAATCCGTGAATCCACCCACAGAAACCGGGAGATGCATTGTGACAGCGCTAATATCTTCGATGAAGTTCGCGGGCAAGGAATGTTTCAACGTCTCCTGCAACACGGCTCGCACCTGGCGCTGCACGGACTTGTCCAAGGCCGCATACGCGTTTAGCGTGGAGCTTTGGAAAACATCCTTGGGAGTCCAGAAACTTCAGCGAAAACCCCTGATCGCTGTAACTCCACGAGAAAGACGACATTATTCACAAACCGAGTGACACATTGGATTGGATGATTGTTGGACGAAGCCACTCCAAAAGGGATATTGGCGATATAAAAATGGCTGCTATAGCTTGGCGAGGTCATATTGTGCGAGTGTTTGTGGGGAGTCAATATGATGACATTGAACACTAAATTCTCATATAGGGGAAATGGGAGGCCTTTGACAATGTATTTATTGAGATGCAATTTACCTGAACAACCCCCACCATCCGAGGTTTGCGGGGAGATTCAAAAAGACGAATTGAGCCCACATCCCGACGGACCTAACAAGCCCTAACTCCGCGTCCATAGCCTCATCAGCCTCACTACGTGAATGCTAGGAGAGATCAGATTGTCATAAGTAATCAGAGCGTGGAACTTGGCCTGACACCGCATGAGACAAGTTTCGGTGAGCCCGGAAGTACGATGTGGTACTGCTGACGGGTTGTTGCCCGTCAGCACACGAATATCCACCGTTGAGTGAACTTTCACCTTCTCTTCGCCTTCCACCACCGGATCAAAGGCTAGTATCTTTCAAGCACTCATCTACTCGTTCAAGAATTCACTGACCCTACGATTTGCGGTCTAACCCAGCGTCATAACCAAAGGACCAGAGATCATAACTCTTTAACACCATGTCATCAACAACCCGTCAACACTTCAAGGTCGGAGTGCTACTCTTTCAGTGAGCAGATATCCTGGATTTTGCAGGCCCAATGGAAGTTCTGTCTCATGTCTCTCACAACCGCGATCCGAATCAGCCAGACCGAATGTTTACACTTGATACCATTGCAGAGGGCCCGACCATCCGCTCAGCCAGTGGAAGCTGCCTGACTGTGCAAGTCGATAAGTTGCTCGAACAGGCTTTCAAGCAAATCAACGAATACGACATCCTTGTCGTGCCCGGGGGGAACTCCCTCCGTGGTCCAACCACTTGTCGATGGAAATGGGCCGGAGATAGAGTTCATCCGCAGATTTGCGGGCCTTTCCCTGCCACCATCTCAGAAACCACGCACCCTCTTTTCAATTTGTACCGGGGCTCTTCTAGTTGGTGCCGCAGGTGTCTTAGGTGGGATGACTGTGACTACTCATCATCGCGCTGTCGATGAACTGCGAGATGTCTGTGACCGCTTCAATACGCATGGCTCGGCCCACGTAGTGCATAAGCGCTACATCGATGGCGGCCTCCTCAAGGGCGAGGCTGTGCAGCTTCTTTCAGCCGGGGGTATCAGTTCGGGGTTGGATGCTTCACTGCACCTCGTGCGTCAGCTCACCGATCCGGCCATGGCCGCCTTCGTATCTCGGGTGATGGAGTATGACTGGTCTGAGCAGAGCAAATGATATAGGATAAGCTTGTCAGCCTAGTGACTTAGTTCGCGGCATGGATCTTCCAAGGTTACTTTCTCTTTTTGAATTCAGAGCAAACGTTATTTCCTCTATCGACAATGCTTAACCCTTCATAATAGCATCATTCACGCACTTTTGTCCTCTGTGACATCCAGCAAGTCGAGATCTTGGCTGACATGGCTACCACTTTCCGGTATAAAAAGTGATGTTCTGTCCTTGAAACATGATACGTGCTGTAATGACTCTGAAAATGCATTCAGAAGCGTGGACACAGCCCGTGGCTTTACTTGAGAGCATCACGACAAACCGTATTGATGTGTGAGCCAATCCGACAATGATCTTGTGCTAGAAAGCGGAACTTTATCTACAAAGCTCATCGTTGTACCTAAATGCAAAGGTAGTAATCGGGAATTGGCACTTTGACGGGGTCCTCCGGGGACATTTTTGGCCCATCGTTTACTCTCCGTTGCCCCGTCGGTCTTGAGTGGGCTCTGCTGACACTAACTCACATTTCATCATTCTGCATTTTCCTAAGTTGATCCTTTCGTGGATTGGCGACTAAAATTCTCCTTACGGGCAAGGTTGACCTGTTCTGTTTCATCACTAGAGTACATCTCACTCTGGACTCTGATCACAGGGAAACAGAGCCAAACGTCATCAAGTTCGAGTTGTACAGGACAAATAGAACGAATAGAGCGATTCATCAGCTTTGAAGGTTCAACCTCATCCCCGCTGTCTGAGTCCGCAGCGACAAGCACAGTCATCGTTCGGAGTGTCATGACCTGTGGGCACAGTATGGGGCTGATAACTCTACACGTCTGCATGCGATGGCGAGTCTACGCGTACTTATATGGCAGGATGTCGCTCTGATGCACTCAGATCTATTCCATCCCGGGGGGATATTGACATACTAGAGATTATCTTCGGTCTCTACATTGGAAACTAGACTTGAGCGACAGACATTCAGAATCAGTGTCACCCAAATTCAACTTCGGTCACGATGGTTGCCCACGCACCTACTGCGAAAAAGCTGCCGACCCTATATCCGCAAAAAGCCTCCCCAAATGGCATAACTCATTCTCAGGAAGCAGAATCTACCGATACTCTCCCAATCAGCATCATGACTGTGGATCGCGCGCCGTCCGAGTTTGACAGCGCCGATCACATTCCGATTACCGCAAACGGTAATGGCGCTACAAACCACGCGAATGATAGTCTCTACGGAGACGTCACAACACCAATTCACTCTGACAATGACTCAAGCGATAGAAAAATGGCCGTTGATATTCTCAAGGTCATCGAGAGTTATGGTGTCGACTATGAGAAGAATGGTGGTTCCTGGAAGGGACTCGAGTCCTTCATCCCCACCGTGGAGGAGCGAGTTAAACACCGAGAACCGATCCGCATGATTCTTCCTGCTTTTCCTTTTAAGTCACCCAATTCAAGAGACAAGGTGTTGGGCACAATGCCTGACTTTGGCGAAGAGTTGGCGCTTGCGCATCTGAATGGACTTTGCGAGAACATCGCCCAGGTATACGAGCCTGGGGCCGAGGTATACATCAGCTCAGACGGACTGGTGTACAATGGTAAGATTCCCGCTTTACCATAACGAGACTCTCTAACTAGTCATTAGACATTCTTGGGGTTCCAGATGAGACTGTCTGGGACTACGGAGAGAACTTGCGCCAGATGGCCATAGAGAAGGGTCTTCGCAATATCAAATTCATCCGTCTATTCGAACTGCTTGAGCATCCATGGGTCAAGACAGACAGCCCAGAGGCTGCCAAAGCTTTCTATCTTGCTCACGCTAGTTGTCTTCGTCGCGAACTCAGGCACTTACACGGTGACCCAAGCTTCGATGCCGACGAAGCAATCAAGACCGACAACGATACCTGCTTGACGTATCGCGGATACATCAAATTCCTAACCAAAGACCTCGCGCATCAAGAGCAGACTCAGAGTTTGTCAAAACGGGCGAGACAGAACCAGATTGCCCAAATCGCGCGCCAGATGATCGTCCGCGGCAAGATGTTCGCCGCCGCAATCAAAGCCAATCGAAATGACTATGTCCGATTATCCATTCACGAATCCGCAGGAGAAAAGAAGCTGTCAGTATCTCTTATTCCACAGCTTCGTGGAGCTCTCGGCTTCACTCCGTGGCATGCATCTGTCGCAGTGGGCGTGGATGGTTCATATCGCACCGTGCACGCCGAAGACGTACGCTACACCCACGACCTTATCTACAAGAATGGCCAGCCATTTTACTTTCGCGAAAAGTCCGATCTCTTCAACTGGGCTGAAGATGGTGTCTCCGTGAAATTCGAGCATCTCTATCCTGCGGACTTATCATTCGCCCTGCCGACATCGATAATGTCAACCCACCCCCTTCAATCCGCATTCTGCCTATGCGCAAAGTCCGCCAGCTTTCAAATAGTATGTCACCTGTTATCCTGCGCGGCTTCTCAGAGACTCTTGAGGAAGAATTATACGTCAAGGCTGCGGAGCAGCTTGGTAGCATTCTTCCATGGAGCTTCGGAATCATCCAAAAAGTCCGCGATGCCGGTCGCGCCGACAAGCTGGGCAACAACGTCACCTCGAACGAGGCCATGCCTATGCACTTCGACGGAATGTTCAAGTTTGAAGAAGTCACTGATCCCACCACAGGAGAAACGAAAAAAGTTCAATGTCCACCGGGCTACCAATTCTTCACCTGCCCAGCGACCGCAACAAAAGGAAGCGGGTATACACTCTTCGCCAGCTCGCGATTATTCTTCCGGTACCTCCCCCTCCCATGGACAGCTGCGCGCCTGAAGAACATCACATGGGCAATGGACAACGACGGGTTCTGGAACGCAAAGTTGAAGAACCTACCACTGATTGTGAAACACCCTGTTTCCGGACTGCCCTGTGTACGCTGGCACCAGCCATGGGACTCCAGCAAGACCAAGTTCTCAACATGTGATGTCACAATTGAGAATGACCATCCCAGTCTGGTTGGGGTTGTGGATCGAATTACTTATGACCATCGGGTGTGTTTGCGCTTTGAGTGGGAGAAGGGAGATCTGCTCATAAGCGATAACACGGCGATGCTGCATACCCGCACGGGGTATAAGACTGATTGTGATCGGGAGCTGTGGCGCATTCACTTTGATTAGATATTAGTGCTTCTCTTACAAGTTGGTGCTGATGTCGTATTTATGTCGCTCATTCTAAGTCGCATGTTCTCTGTGCCTATGGGATTCCGGGTGCCTTGGGACCAAATTGTGACAGTACTTATATGTCTTATTGTGAAGATATCATGTTTGAGATCTTGCTTATCTCTCTGAGATCATTCTATTAAATTTTGTAGCTACAGATTGCCGGTCCTCACATGGTCCCAGTCAGCTTCAATCAGACGTTGTCGGTTTACATCATCTGCTGTTCGCTGCTAGTGGCGACCGTGGCCTTGAATAGGCATGAGCAGCCTTCAATATTAGGTCTTTTGTAAGCCAAATTACAAGTTCAACGACCATCGCATATAAATCCATTCCTACCGAAGGCTCAGTCCGCCATATTCTTCAAACTAGGTTTCATAAAGAGTGCTCATACTCTATGATGTACACTTTCAGCGCATCCCCTATCCACACCAGCCATATATCAGGATAGAATCAAGTTTGAGAGAATGACCTAGAATAAGCACTTTCCTGGCATCTCACAAACTGATCCCTGGAAACCCTCCACTGGGAGGACTCTGGATCTTGAGTGATGAAATCCCGGCATGAAGAGTCATGGAGCTGAACACATCCCGTGTGCGATCTGCGTTTGGCATTTGCACGCCAGGGGCGCATTTATCTGTGGCTGCGACAGTGGCTCCAGTCCACTTTCTAGTGTTGGTGCTGGTGACGGATACCCAGCTGTGGCTGCCGAGGCGGAGTTTGGAAGGACAAGAACGATGATTTTGGATTGGGGTGATATGGTGCTTAGAAATTGGAGGATATGAGGTAGTGCCGTTTCTGCATTTCAGCTCATACAGGTTAATGTCTAATGCAATTGTGATTGTAGCAATTGTAGATATGCTTACCTGTAGCGACATAGTACAGAGGCTGGTTTAGGTTGTTTGGGGTCTCTGCTGGAAGAGGTTCTCTAGTGGTGAATAAATCCTGAAACATACTCCCACTTGGACCTCCTGGAAGCTCTATAGCAGTGTTTCCAGTCAATTCCGAGGCTGCAGGTGATGAGTCTATAGCTCCAGATGGAAGTTCACCATCGATGAAGCATGTCTGATCTCCTATGAGCCCTGGGGATGAAGGGAGAGCCATATCTCGAGACCAGGAAGCAGTGGGTATGTAGGATTGACAAGATTGTGTAGATGGGTCGGCACTTAGATTTTCCCTAGGATTCATGTTGAAGTGAGAATGAGAGAAGTGGCGACTGGAAAGCAGAGGTGCTGGCGCATATGGTTGGTCCCAGCCGTTGAGAGCAGCCGAAGCCCTAAGCTCATTTGCAATAACACGTTCCTGCAGCTTTGCGATTCGATCTCTAATTTTGCGGCCTGGCTCCACGTTAGCCATAGACGATATTAAATGCAGGTTTGAAGACCTACGATGGTTCCTCTGTGACAGTCGGTTTTGAAGGCGCCGTCGCTCCAACAGATCTTCCTTCCGTCCCGGCGAATCTTCACTATTCGGCGACTCAGGTATTTTCTCGGCTTTCATGATTGCTGATTTCGATTTTAATCGTTTTCAATATGTCAATTATCCTTCAACATGGTTGACGATCATTAAATAAAAGGAAACTGTCGCGTGCGGACAGTCGGTACCGACAGGCTGCCGAACATCGAGCATTTATACTGGTGCAATCCATGTGCAAAAAAAGCATGAATCTCACGGTGACACGCACTTGTGCAACGGCTGTCCCGGGGTAATAGTCGGTCTAAAAATGGACCGGGGATGAATCAAGTCTCTCAGCCGCGTGATGGGTCCGTGGTGGGTTGATGTCACTTTGCCTTTCTCAGCTTATTCTTATGTTGAGATGTTTTTTTTTCTCGGACAGGCTATTCTTGCAGCCTTTTTCTTGGTTTGGCTGCAGTCGTTCCACGTATCAAGGACTTTGTGATGATGCAGTGGCCTGCTATGGCGCCAGCCCTAATTCTTCAGCTATCGGCCATTTGGGATGTGGTGTAGCACCTATGAAGATGGCGATGGCTTCGTATTTGAGCCTGTTCGGGTTATCTGGAGCCACTCGGAGTGGCGAGAATAGTGTGAAATGCTTTGGCGCTACTCTTGGCTATTCCTAGGAGTCCTCTGAATGAGCCTTAATATTAAAGGCCCTTGGTGAGCCAGGAAAAACTCGACTCACGACGATAGTTTCCCAGTCATTTCGGGAATTCAATGCATGCCATAGCCCAAGCGCTGCTGGTACTAGGTACTCTCTAAACCGATCTATACTGTCATTTTAACCTAATGTCTCACAGTACTTTCCAAAGACATTCAATAACGTGATTGGTATCTTACCTTACCTCTAGCCATTCAACATAGCATCCCATATTGGTTTCCTCATTTCTCGGAACTTAAGCTGAAAGCGCAATGACTAGAATCCGAATATGCCCCGGACTGCGCAAAGCCCAAAAAAGTCGGTATCTCCTACCTCATTCAGAAGGTGGACACAATAGCATGCTAGTGAGATGGATCTTGCAGTTCACCGCTATGTCAGTAAGTTTCAATCTTTGCATGTACCCATGTCCTAGCCAGTGTCTAGTATGCCCTATCTAGGAGGCCCTGGAGGCGGCTCGATAGGGGCAGAACCCTGCGACTGCCATGTGGCCAAAATCGAGGAATGGGTCTTTCTGTCTCAGAGACATATGTGTGACACTTTCACCCTGGTGATGGCTGCGGAGCGGCCGGTTTCACTTTTCTATGGCCTTGGACTGATGGACTGGTACACTGTGCGACGCCCGCGGACCGACCTCGGTAATGGCGATAAGTCGCTGGGATCTTAAAGTCGTAACTAGATCGAATCACGACATCTCTGGGAAATACCCCTAAGTTTTGACCGATGTTCTTTGTTTAGTAGTTTAGAGGACCTATAGGCTCTAAATTGCATAGAGCTGGATGTTCAATAGAATTCAACCGTTTTAAACCTATAGAAGACATCAGGGAACCGAGAACATCCCACTGACTGTGAACAAACAACTCCAAGGAATTAAATATAAATCCAAATGCCGCTAGACAGGCTCGACTCTGTACATTTTCTTTTCATTCAAGTCGTCGGCGCCACCGAACATCAACTTCACGATACGAACTTAGGGCACGACCACCGCCATCTACCAATCACCACCATCAACAGATTATGCAACGACCAGCAAATCAAATTGTGTCAATCTACCACTAGCTCGAATCAGAATCTTTAACGGCGAAAAGTCCGTCAGCTGCCAAGCCTAAGGCAGCCAGATTTACGCTGACCATTTGGATCCAAGGATTGTTCTGGTGCAACCTCCCTCTATAGTCGAACTAGCCTGACTCTCGGACACATCTACTTGAAGACTGCACACACTGCTTACAAACCACTGACGACCCATCACGCATCGCTGATCCCTTCTCACTGCTCACTACTCACTACCCAACTTCTCAGCAACATGGACGTCCTCAAGACAATGGGGAACCTCCTCCCCTACCACCTCCTCTCTTATGGCGCCCTGCTCGGCACAGAGGTGTACCAAGTAAGCCAAAGTTGCCCCTTTCACTCCACTCCCAATCATAATTTTATAAGTACTGACCACCCCCACAGAGCTTCGTCAACACCAAAATCTGCTACCAAGCCCTTCCCATGCGCGAATTCATTACCTTAAATAAACGCATCTTCCCCGTCTACTTTGGCTGCCAAGTCGGCCTCGCCGCACTAACCGCCGCCACCCGGCCACCATACAGCATTGTGTCGCTGGCTCAGGATGTTTGGAGTGCCGTGCCTTTGGGCGTAGTGCTGGTGATGGGATCTTTGAACTGGTTCATTTATGGGCCGAGGACTACAAGCGCGTCGCTGGTGAGACGGGCGCTTCATGGTGAGACCTGGTCAATTGTGTCGAAGTGGTGGTAGTGACGCTGATATGTGTACAGAAAATAAGGAGAGTTCGGCCGATCGGGACGAAGGCAAGATTCACCGGGCGAATCGGGGGTTTGCAGTTAACCATGCAATGTCGATTCATATTAATGCTATTGCGCTTGTAGCTACGGTTTGGTATGGGTTTTCGCTGTCTGCTAGCATTTTGGATGGATTCTAGACATGATGGACTGGATCGGTAATACATATTCTTGAAATCTCGATACATGACTGACTTTATGATGCTCACACCGACCTCTTCTCGACTTTTAATCAATGCTGCCTAAAAATAGTGTCCCTCAGAATAGCCGGGTAGACAAGTTAAGGCTGGCTCATTCACGCGGCGGCAGCAGCTTGCATGAAGATTCTCTCGCGCTATTGTCTTGTTAGCCACATGTTTGTAGTTCCTGGTCAGTGGACTTACTTTCATGAAAAGCGACCCGATAATCGTCAATGCACCTGCACCTACTACCAAGTAATACGTACGAGACATGGCATCGACGACAGCATGGAGTATTTTGACCTTTGTGTCTGCCGGGATCTGCTTCAGGACAGCACTGTTCGATCCCGAGATAGCTCCCCGGAGCACATCTCGCGGCAGGTGAGGAAGAATCTTCTGTAGTTCGTCGATTGCCTTGTTCTGGAACACGGCTCCAGAGATGGCCAATGCGAGGACAATGCCGAGATTCTGTGCCAATGCAATGAAAGACGAAGCATCCGGTTCTCGGGACGGGGTGACTTTGGCTTGCGCTACTGAAAAGCTTGCTTGGATGAACATGCCAGCGCCGATTCCGATAAGGACAGAGTAGCCGTAGACTCGGCTGTTCGAGCAATTCTCATCGATAGTGCCTGTTAGCAGTGTTAGCTGTTTGTCCTATGGTCGAGATGATATACGGACTCATCAAGGCGCCTCCAATGGTTGTCAGGACTCCACCGGCCAGGTACCATGGCATGTAGTATCCAAACTTGGACATGAACCCGCCATTTGCGAAGCCGGAGACGACCATTAGGCAGATAAAGGGAAGCAGTCGCACTGCTGCAGTCAGAGCTGAGTCCCCTCTCACAAATTGGAAATACAGAGGAATGTAGTAAGTGGGAACCTGCATTTTGTCAGCTAGCTCAAACGCGATCAAGATCATTGCGACTGACAAATACACACGTCGAGGCAGAACACATGAGTGCAAAAAGCAACCACATCAGAGGCTGGCGCAGAAAATCAGCAGGGAAAATGCGCTCCGTGTCCGTGGTGCCAATGGTGAACCGCTGCTGTAGAACAAACAGAAGCAGCAGGACACCACCAACCACCCAAAGCGTGATCTCCTGTCCAGCGGCCCAGTCGAAGAGATTTCCTCCGAAAGTAATAGCCATGATCAAGGCCGTGAAAGCACCCACGTTCAACACCATGCCGAGATAGTCGATCTGTAGCAGCTTCTGCGTGAGCGTCATGCCTTCCTGGGGATCACCACGGGGAAGGAAGAAGATGTAGACGGGAGCAAAAGCACCGCCAATGCATAGGTTGATATAGAAGGCCCACCGCCAGGTTGCGTGTGGGTTTTCCGAGAATGCACCACCAACCCTATCATGCTTTCAGCATTGGCTCTTGAAAAACCTAATGGGGAATTTTACACTGGTCCAAGCACGGTTCCAGTTCCCCAAGCTACAGTCTTGGTGAGTGTCTGACAAGCCTCCAAAAATATGAAACAACATACTTATCCCGGTGAGTGCCATGTAATTCGGCCGCTGTCGAACAGAAGTGGTGAGTGATAGCAACGTGATGCAGCCCAAGTACATGCCCGCGCCCTGTAACTCGTCAGTACGTGAGAAGCCCACGGGATATGCTCATACTAACCCCCAAGCCCGCAAGAGCACGGCCAACAATAAACGCATTCATACTGGGAGCAGCTCCACAAAGCGCACTGCCAGCTTCAAAGAGAACGACGGAGGTCAGATACAGCCATTTGGCACTAAAGATCCCGAACAATTTTCCCCTGCAACACTGTCAATAGTATCCCCAAGATGACCCGATGGTCCATACCAGGTAATAATCGTCGCGGAGCCCGAAAGCACAAAGGCCACACCCAGCCAACTCAATTTCCCTACCTCCCCGAACTGATCGACGATGGGAGACTGCACATCCGCGACGATGGTATTATCGAGCGAGAACAGAAAAGTCGAAGAAAGGATCGTCAGCACGATTAGAATCCACTAGGAAAAGTCAACAAAGGTAACAAGTGCGCCGAAGAGAAAATCTTAGCTCACCAACGGCTTCGAGACCTTCGACTGAAGATCCTGCTGGACAAAGTCCACATCCTGAATAGTTTCCTGGGCACTGTGTTTGCTTTCGGTGTCCATGTTGAACTCCCGGAAATAATAAGGAAAGAGAAAAGTGAAGCACACACGGTTCAGAACAGTTATGAACCTCGGAAACAAAATGAGAGTAGGAGCGTCAAGGGGTCTCGGTGTCATGTCATCTCTTCTGTACGACCTCGTGGAAGGACTTAATTACTGACTCCTTTTGCGCATTTTTTTCTTGTCCATTTTTGGTTCTTTTTTTCTCTTCACTTCTTGTCGGGTCCCCCTTGAATGTTCTGTCCTGTCAAAAATGTCTGGGTCTGCTGTTCCATGACTTTCAACTTGCTCACCGATATTGGGCCGAGTTTCACAAAGGCGTTTGGTGTCTTTCTTTTGTCGTGATGACGGGAAAAGCGTTTGCTGATAAATGGAGGGCAAAATAATACCTTACATCAAGGGCAACTCTCCGATCTTACTATATTAGCTTCATGTATAGTCGTAGAGGTGAGAGGGTTTTCGTATTGAATATTTCTGTTTATGACCTGGTATTTTCCCAGCGAATGTTAACTGGCGATAGGATCGATGTAACTCTGATTGTTTTGCTGTTTCGAGGAAGATATATGGTCAGGTACCTTGAATGTTCGAACTCAGGCCCTGGGGACGATCCAAGTTTGATTGACATAAACTACCCCAGAGGGTGTGCGTCGATCGCCTGACCGGGTGTAGATCTTGAAATCTCTTCCAGATGTTCTAAACCTACGAGGTTGCTAGGTCACGATATCTTTTTTCGCCTGTGTTCACAGAGTTCGGAGATGACGAATGCTCAACGGCCGAAATCATGGAAGCGCTGGAGACATCAGAGCACTTGCCGCTGACACAAAAGAGATCCCGAGACACGAGCATAGGGTGCATTTACAGTCCAGGGATATGCCTAGATACACCTCGGGCTCATCCAAGAGCAGCTTTTCATATCTCAAATATCCTCCATGTCTAACGAAGCAATCAGGGAACCAACCATTAGAAGCAATTCAAGTCTCCATTGTATGAAGCTGGTATTTCTATCTGCCAAAAACCCAAAGGAATAGAAAGCAATTCAAAAAAAATATCGACGCTGTGGTATCACGTTGTTGCGTTGAACGCCTCTGTTGCTAATTGACATCAGTCTTCCCCAACTCCGCCCAGGCGGCGCGGGGGAAGATATTAACATTATGCTGTAAAGATTAGGGTCGTAGCACTCTATAAGGGTTTAGGCAAAAATCACAGGACGGCATGATCAGCCCTGAACTCGAACATTTTCGGACTTTCCAGCAGCACAAAGGACTCATACCGGAGACCGCGCTCTTTGCCGTCTCGGTCGGACCAAGGATTTACTGTGCTATTCCACACGCTACTGTAGCCGCTGAATAGCGAACGCCAATAGCAAGCCTCGGCGGCTGGTGTGAGGTACCGTTCGCGGAAAGTTTTGACGCTGTTATTGGCGATGCGCTCTGCGGCCCCATTGTCGCGGACAAGAGGCTCGATCTTCTCACCGAGGTCGCTGAAGTCGCGCTCGACTTCCACATAGTTCTGGTTCGGGCCTTCGGAGACGAGGAGGTAGTGGTGATGTTGGATGTACTGGAGTTTGTGTGCGACGATGACTGAATTACAGGCTTGTCGGTATTTGAGGGATGCGGAGTATGATCGTCCTACAACGAATGTGTTAATTGTGGATCCACAAAGAAGACTGTCACGGATCTGGTCTCTCACCTTCGACATGAGCGATGAACATGTAATGGCAGTGGTCCTCCATCTTGAGCACATTGGTACCCGAGGACCACTCGACCTGCTTCACATCGCCCCAGGGTTTATCGCGCGCGGCTTCCATCAATGCGCGACGCAGCTTCGGCGCAAAGCTTGGCTTGCCGCGCCATACAAGTTGCGGCTTTTTCTCCTCCCACGGAATGTCCAATCTGGTGATGCGATCGACCACCTGGTCATATGGGCCGATGTAGTTGGTAGGGTTATCCCAGGCCCAAAAGCTGAAGTCCGGCATGAGCCACACCCCCTCTTCGGTTGGGGTGCGGGCAAAGACCCAAACCGGGTATTCTGGACTCGTCACGTCCTCCACTTTATCTTCCACGGAGAAGACGAACTCGATGTCGCGGCGTAAGGCGCGATCCTGGTCGGCGGCCAGCGCACGATGGATCGAGCTCAAAACTCCCAGAATTTTCCGTCGGTGATCCTCGCCCTTGGCACGCGCAGCGACCACATGCAGGTGACCTTGTGATATGAAGACGCGCGCCATGCCTGGTTGTAAATGGATGGCATCGAGGTCCTCGGTTACTAAGCCTTGAAGGGCCCGCCAGTATCTCTGACCGCGCGCAACATCTTCAAACAGGCCTGGAAACGCCGCTCCGCATTGGCTGCTATCGAGAGCCTCATTGCGGGCGTCGCGAGCGTAATCGAACGACCACCTAGGGGACGACGGTATTTGCAGACTTGTCTCGGGACAAGAGAGACAGGTGGAGCATTGAAAGGTGGTAGATGTTTGACAAGCACAGTGGCCTGCGGGAATCAATTGTGTGAGGACGGGGTGGATGTAGTCACGATCGGAGTTCATGCCATACCAGATGGCGAGAATGACGCTACAGGAGAGGCAAGCAATGATGCATAGCATTGACAGGCCGCGTCGCGGGCGTAGTACGGGGTATTTCGCGGTCATGGTGGCAATAGCATCTCTTCGGAGGTCTGGACGAAGAGAAGGGGGGGAAATATAAGAGAAGGAAAGTTCGAAAGGACGATCAAGCTCGAACAGAGAGGAATGGATTCAAGGTGATCACTTTCCAAGGACGGTGGGGCCCCCGTCGCGTCATTCCCGCAAGTGCTACATTTTCGGTGCCTGCGTCTAGGCCCACTTTTAGCCCCAGGGAACGCGTCTTTTTAAACTCGGGACTCTGTTGACCCCCCTGGCCACGTCTTGTCCGATCACGATCTCTTTTGCGTTCGAGGGAAAGTAAGGCATCACCCATCACCCATCACCCATCACCCATCATCCCTGTTCGATGGACAGGGTCCAGACTGAGTGAGGCTTAGTGCTCCGCCCTGGCCAAAGAAATCGGAAGCTAAGAAGATGTTGTAGCCTTGTTGCCCCACGCAAAGCCTTCGTAGCCACTCTACCACCGGCCCCCCACATCATCACGTCCCCAACACGAAGGGGCCAGAGGGGGCCAAAGGGACCATTCCATTCCCTCGCAGCTTTTGCCTATTAATGTGTGAAGCCTACATATAGTTTCATGTGCGTTCAGCCTTAGGTGTGGGCTAAGAGTCAAGCTAAGCACAATTAGCGGCAATCCAGAGCGGCAGTGGCGCCTGACAAACCCCTAAATCAAGGGTCGGAGAAAAGAAAGACAATGTGAACAGATGGGATAAGAAATAGAAAGGAAAGACCTCACGTGCCCATCTCACTTCTCAGTCTGATATTCATTCTGCAGCCTTGCGGTTTCAAGGGGCGTTTTCACTCGACAAGCCACGCCCGTGGGCAATCCATGGATCTGTCCCTAGGTAAAGGTCACGTGGGTAGCTGGCCCGATTACCTGACAAAAGAGTCGCAGCTGGACTGAAAGAGCAAAAGAGAAAGAAACCCGGATGAAAGAGCACTGGCTCAAGATGTGGAACTCCAATGCGGAACTTTCATAAGTCTATTAGGTGAAAAACCCTTGGTATAGTAACATAACTTCGCTTCGCCTATGCGCCCCCCTGAAGCGCCTCCTTTCCCTCCATAACGCCGGTAATGCAATGTAAGAACCTCACTGTCGGGACTGGCTCCGGTGATGCCTGCGACTACGCGCTGGTGTATCATTCATCTCCGCGTCGGGGGTGGCCGGCATAGCGGACCGGCGCTGTCGACCGGGGCGCACGCGACCCAATGCCCGGCGAAGGAGTCCGTCAGCCTCTTCATCAAGAACAGACTCAACATTCTCTTCGGCGATTTCTGTCTCCGTTGCACCGGGTGTAGCTGCATGGGTCACCTCGTCGGTCCATTCCTCGGAAGGTTCTGGACGTGCGCGACGCCGCGAGCTGTCATCCTGCGTATGTCGTTCTTTACCCCGAACCTCACGAGAGCGGTTGGAACTCCGACTTTGTGATCGAGCTGCCTCCTCCATCATTTTACGATCTTTCTCGCGTCCTTCAAGGGCCCAGAGTTCGAGTGCCCGGGAAAGGAGCGTGCCAGCAACGCCCGCCCCGCCGGCGGCATCCCCGCCCCCGCTCGCCCCCAATACTCGAACGGCCTCATGCAGAGCGGTCACTGCTTCGGTCGTGCGACCGAGTTCCAGCAAGAGAAGTCCTCGTGACGTATGCAGTGATCCGACCAGACCGCGATCTTCGTAGCCACCAACGCCCGATGCCGTGGCAACGGCCGAGGAGCCACCCGCCCACCGCCTAAGAAGGGCGAGTACCCCATGCTGGTTCCAGCCGCGCCTACACGAAGGCACTCGTCGAATTCGCGAAGAGCCTCATGCAGACGGCTCAGGCGTCGCAAAGCATGCCCGAGGTTAGCACGAGTAGCCACCCACGCGCCAGGCTCACAGTGAAGAGAAGTTGCCAACGCCAGGGCTTGTCGGAACAACTCCACGGCTGCGCCCAAGTTGTTTTGGTGGTAAAAGACTACACCAAGCTCATTCAAAACGAGGGGATCTCCACCAAGCGGTGCAGCTGCAAGATTGGGGGGGAGGCTAGGCGTAGAGCCCGGGACCGATCCAGTCGACATGGCATACGCAGCGCAGAGATACTCATGGGCGAGAGACATGTTGTTCAAGGCCAAATGCTGCATACCCAAGAATAGTTGCGGCAGATGACTGCCTTGAAAGAGCCGCGCCGCCGTACTGTAAGCCGCGATGGCTTGATCATGCTCACCCTCAGCAGCGAAGGTATGGGCGAATCCAATCCATGCTGGTGCCGAGTGGGGATCAAGTAAGGATGCCTTTGAGAAAAACCGTCTGGCCTCGGCGATCTTCGACACGGCGAGGTAATAGACACCGATGGCCAAGTAGGCATACGGTTCTTCGGGAGCATGGTCTGCAAGCATGTGGGAAAGCAGGAAAAGCGCATTGGTAGCTCCGGTCTCATATAAACAGGCCAGATGGAGCGGATAGACCGCTGGAGCATGGCCAAGATTACTGTGCGCGGGCATGCTAGAATTGTTCGTCGTCGTCAGCTCACCGGACTGGGAGGTGGAGAGGATGGAGGAGGTCAGTTCCAGGGCTTCGGCGAAGCGACACTGGGTGTAGAGTGCCTCTGCACGCGACAAGAGTATGTCTGGATTTTCCGAGAGATTGTAATGTGTGGAAAGTGTCTCAGTCGCATCCGATAGAATTGCGGGCGACGAGTATTTGGACAATCGCGTTGTATAGAGCATTTTGGTGAAGTGTGCTGCTTCCTGGGAAATGGTAGGGTCGGGGGAGGAAACCGAGTCGAAGTCTAGGGATTCAAGGAACTCAAGCTCCTCTGTCGGCGACATCAAGGAGTTCTTCATGAGCTGATCAAATGCCTCGAAACATTGCACGTCAATTCGCACCGCGTCTTTGTAGCAGTCGCGGGCCCGGTCAAACGCATTCTGCTTGGCGAAGCAGAGACCTCTCAGATAGCACATGGCGGCCTCGAACCGAACATTATTGGCATCATCTCGATCGCGATCCTCCCCTCCTCGGTCCCCCCCTCTCTCTCCATCTCGCTCGCTACGCGCGCTCTTCCCATTCCGCAACGTGACGTGGTTTTGGCCGTCGAGGTGCTGAATCTTCCGCCGACTGTTGGGATTACGAACCAGGTCCGCAGGATTGTGTTCACCAAGAATTGAGAGGGCTTGCTCGAATTGGTTCTGTTTGATGTAGCAGTGCGCCGCAAGGTAACGGCAGGCGGTGCTTCGGGACACAAGATCTTTGCGAGACAACAAGGCTAGCGCGCGGGTGAAGTTGTTGTTCGAGAAGTGAACCTGGGCAAGCCAAAAGGCATCTGAGTCGCTATCTGTAGAGTCTCCAAATCAGCCCTGCAGCATCGAATCCAGCGCGACGAAAAACTTACTTGTCAGTGCCAGCACCTTGTCTCCAATGTAGATAGCGGATTCATGCTGGCCGCGATTCAACGCGTCCTGTCGCCAAGAACGCAGATACTTTTCCATCGCCACGATTCGGACGTGTCAGAGCCGGGGAGGACAATGGGAGGGCATGAGTTCCGTGCCTCGGAGAATTTGCCAGTTAAAAGCCGCGATGCAGCTCGCATCAGAGCGGGTCGCGGATTGTGGACAAATAGTGGCCCGTGCACGTACACAGTATAGACACGGCTCAACTCACGTAGACGGGATGTGTTTAGGAAGAGGCCGGCGTGCAGAGATGCTCCATAGAATCACCGATAAAGCTACCTGACGCATCCATTTCGAAACTCGTTCAGGTACGCGACTTCCGCAAAAACAACAGGTCACGTGCTTCCATATCACGTGCTGATATCAGCATCAATCCGCCACTCCCCCGAATCCGTTCTCTTTCTTGACTTCCCCAAACCCATACTGGATAACTCAAGTCGACCGTCAAGATGTCTGAGCGAAAGGTCCTGACGAAGTATTACCCACCCGACTTCGACCCGTCGGCGATCGGGCGCACGCCCAAACACCTCCGCCAAAAGGGTCCGAAAGTCATTACCGTTCGTCTGATGGCCCCGTTCTCTATGAAATGCACCAGCTGCGGAGAATACATCTACCGAGGGCGCAAGTTTAACGCTCGCAAAGAAAACCTGGAGGAAAAATATCTCAACATTCCAATCTACCGGTTCTTACATCCGCTGCACACGATGCAGCGGCGAGATCACATTCCGCACCGACCCGAAGAACATGGATTATGAATGCGAAAAGGGCGCCAAGCGAAACTTTGAGGTGTGGCGAGATGCTAAGGACGACAAGTACAATGAGACACAGGAGCAGACGCTGGACCGTCTCGAGCGCGAGGAGAATGAAGAGGCGGAACAGCTTGAGCGTGACAAGATGGCTGAGTTGGAGGAGAAAATGAAGGATTCGAAGCGCGAGATGGCTATTGCGGATGCTTTGGACGAGATTCGGACACGCAATGCGCGCATTGAGCGGAACGAGACAAACAGCGACGACGTGGCTCTGAGCTTTGTCCGGGACGAGGTGGACGAGGCCAAGCTGCTGCAGGAGAAAGAGGATGAGGAAGCGGCGCGCCGGGCTTTCATGACTTCTACCGGAGAGAAAATAAAGCGCATCGTTGAGGAGGAGGAGCCACCCATTCTGGCTGGACCGTCAACATCGAAACCTTCAATCCAAATGCCCCCGCCATCGGCGTCGTTTGCACGGGTCAAGAAACCGAAGAAGCCTACCGGTAGTCTTCTTGGGATCAAGAAGAAGCAGTCGCTTGTTTGATTTTCTTTCTTTATATCATCGGCGCGGGCGTTTGATTCATCCATACGAAATAGCATAGGGTGATCCCAGGCGTTTACTCTACATTAATGACAACTATGCCATGAGCTGAATTTGAATAATTGAATCAATTAGGCTATTGAAAAAAAGAAAATAGAATAATACACAATCCGGTATCACAAATATCTCAAACAATAAGGGAAGAGAATTTCCTCCCAACCAAAGCGCCACGCTCAATAACAAAACCAATCCGCAAGGCCCATGCAGCAAAGACAAAAAAGCCACTCCAGGATTTGGAGGAACTAATAGGAGAGATCAATCCAGCAGAACACAACAATCTAGAGATATGGCATCCACAACGCATCGCCTTGAGCCAGGTGCTGGGGGTTAACCGCCCGGGATATCAAATCGATCGAGGTTTGGTTGGCAGGTAGGTTGCCCTCTGGAGGGCTGGCCAGACTGACAGCGCGATTGGCGATGATATCGCTGTTGTTGTAGACTAGCTCGCGCAGCTGTGGGACAGGTAGGACACCGCGGTGCTGAGCAGTAGCCCAGAACATCATCTCATCGCGGACGAAGACGCTCAGTTGCTGCTCCAGCTCGTGTCGTGGCTCTGTCAAGCAACGTGCGATCGCCATCATGGCACAGGCAAACAGACCCTCAGTGGCAATGGGGACCCAGCAGGGTCTGGATGTTGGGTGTGAATCGGAACGGCACATGCTCTGGGTTGTAGAAGATGGCCTTGCTAGGATTGATGGTCGGAATCAATTCTGCTCCCCAGATGTCGCCAGTCGAACGTGAGATCAAGATTTTGTTCGGGTACCGGTTGCCAATGTGCATAATGTAGGTCATGAACGCAACCGCGGCGTACTGGTAGGCGAATTGTCGCCGGAAGAGCCAGAAGTCCGCGAAGTTAGGGTAAGTCTGCTGGAAGTAGTCCAACACCACGGTACTGGGAACCCATTTCTCCTGGATGGCGGTCAAGATCTCAGTGCGCAGAACCTGCTGCTGGTCGGTTGTGCGCTGGAAGATGTCAGTTATGCTCGCATAGTAAACAAAGGCGGCGGAACTTACATTCTGCTTTGTCTCTGCCAGAGAACGCATACGATCCATCGTAAAGAGGACGGGCTCATCCTTGTTCATACCGACTCGCCTGCAGTAGTCTTCGTAGATGCCTTGCATAGAGATGTAAGATGAGTCGTCACGCACCAAGCGAATATGCGGTGCCAAAGGAACCATCAGAGGAAGATGGAAGTAGAGATTGCGACGACGGCTCTCTTTGCGCTTAGCCAGCAAACCATTGAAGATCCGGAACAACTGGAGAATACGCTCCTCACGGCGGCAGTGGCGCGCCGCAGGGTGCTGAACAGCGAAGGCATGAATGCTGCCATCGTGTCCGCGAATCTTGAGGCGGCGGTGACACACTCCAATACCGCGAACAAGGTCCACATCAGGAAGGAAGCGGTCGATACGGACAAAGTCTTGGTTTTTGTCCTTATGTAGGAGGTACTGACCGGGGATCTCGACTTCATCGAACTTCAGGAAACGGAACTCGCTGAGGTGGGGCGAGTAGGTCTCCAAAAAGCCAGATTGGGGTCGGCGGTCGAGCTTCTCCTCGAACTTGTCACGCCAACGCCGCAACTTATGGATGTACTCATGCATCGTAGGCTTTTTGACGACAAAGTCCGCCTCGAAAGACTTGCGGATATGCGCCGGAAGAATTGTCTCTGCAAATCGAGTGATGTTGGCTTCGGTAGCAGCAGGTAATTTGAAGTCTTGCGCGTATGATCCAGGCATGCGTCCAACATAAGACAGCCCATCGTTCAAGAGGGCAACAATCAGTCGATAAGCGTCCTCGTCGGGTGGACATTTGAAGTTCTTGTGGATCTGGTCGACCATGGTTTCCATGGAGAGAGCGAGCAGGGGGAAAGCGGTCTTCAAACCAGACATGATCTCGTCCGAATACTCCCAAGGCTTTTTGAGGGGCTCTTTCTCCGGCAGCTCGCGGAGACTGCCTGGTTCTGCTTCTGTTGCGGAGTTCCGTTTTGACCTGGCACTTGAAGGTGTGCTTGTGCCTGTGCTTGAGCTGGGGTTTGACCAGCTTGGCCTGGTGTTGGGCTTTGGCCTTGTCCTAGGGCCGGAGACTGACTCTGTGCCTGGTTCTGCGCAGGAGATTGCGCGGTAGGCAGGTTCGCGGCTTGATTGGCAGGAGAGGCACTAGGGGCGCTGGTCACAGCCTTCTGAGCAGGAGAGCCTTCTCCACTAGCTGGTGGTTTGGTACTCGGGGAAGAAGCTTGCTGGTGCTGTTGTCTAGCCCGGGCCAGCTTCTCCTGCTTCTGGTCATGCTGCTTCTTGATGCTCAACATGTCCTCTCGGTTTGTGCGTAGGAGGAAGAAGAGAGCCTGCGGATATAGCTTGGCGATCTTGACAAGAACAGCCTTGCACAGTCGTGCCTCACGGTGAGACAAGCTGGTCAAAAGCTGAGGAATGAAAGTAATCCAGTACCAAACAGGAGTGTCTCCCTTGAAGTTCTCAAACGCGCTGGCAATCTGGCTTTCTTCGTTGTCCAAGCTGAGAAGCCACAAGATTCGACTGAGTAGCTTGCGCGACTTAGCACTCTTGTAGAGACCTGCAGCCTCCAAATAACAGCTGACAGCATTGCTAGCCAGCTCATAGTCATCTGGTCTCTGCTTGAATCGCTGGTCACTGTATTGACCCCATTCAGACCAAGCCTTGGCAAGACGGAGATCGTAGTATAGAGCAACTCCGAATGCTTCGTTGGCCTCGTTGGTATGATCGAGCTTAGCAAGGAACATGCCCTTAAGGGTATAGAACTCGGCCTTCTGCTGCGGTCCGAAGTAGTTGAGATTGGTGTTGTTGATAACATCCAATCCACTGTTCAGCTCCTTCGGGTTTTGGTAGTGGCACTTGGCTTGTTCGCGCAACTTGAGGAATGCCTCCTGAATTTCGATATTTGGAAGTGTGTAGATGCGGCTGAGTTGATTGATGCACACCTCGGGCATTTGGTGCTTGCGAGCGACGTGGGCGAAGCGATTGATAATCCAGGCTGTCTCATGATATCCGCGGTAGGCATACGAATTACTGGCCACGTTGTTTGTCTGGGGGGGTAAAAGGCCAAGGTAGGTCTGGTTGATGAGCTGGAAGATGTGCTGTCGCCATGTAACAAGATCCTGCCAAGTGTTGATATCGTCCCACAGATTCGGCAACCGGTCCCGCCAGGTTCCAAGGAGAAGCTTCAACTCTGCAGACTTGGTGTCCAAGTTGCGTTCGTTGGTTTGGGCCAAGCTGCCGCAGATGTGGCTAGCATCGTGTAGTTCAACTAGAAGCTGGAAGTGTTGCAAAATTGGAATGTGCGCATTCGTGATACGTTTAGGTAGTTGCAGCCACTTGCGAATAGACAGCTGGATTGACTCATCACAGACGCTGTTGAAGTCCTGCATATTCTCCTTCTTCACATGGAACTGAAGAAGAGCCATAAAGGCCTGGAAGAAAGTGCGGCGCGGAGTAGGAGCATCAGAAACAGATTTAATCAAGGATTCCAACTGCTCACGATTGCCCTCGCTCTGCCAGTTCTCGATATTTCTCCACGCAGCCTCCAGCAAGAGATCATTCAGGTTCTCGTGCTTGGCAAAATCGCTCAGAATTTCCCATTGCTGAAGCTTCTGAGCACAGATTAACCAGTGATCTTCCCACACGAAGTATTCACCCTGCGAGAATGGCATGGCACCAGAGCGAGCCTTGATCTGTGCGTTCTCATAGAGCTGCTGGGACTTGTCCCACATGCCTTGTTGTTCATAAGACAATGCTGCATTGGTTTCAACAAACTTGCAACGACGGCGCCATGTTCCATAGAAAAAGTCATCCTCTTGGAGACCGGCATAGACTTCGACCAGCGCGTCCAGATTGCTTTCTCGAACAGTGGCAGTATCAATGATAGGGTTGATGGCACTCTCCTCGAGGTAGGTGGCAGCGGTGTACCAGGCATCATAGGTACGACTGAGGTGTTTCATGACATGAGGAGGAACCTTAAACCGCGGAGTAGCGCGCACAATACCCTCAAGAAGAGATTGCACAACATTTGGCCGCTTGTCCAATTGCCTCTGGTGATATTCGCGGGTGAGCAAAGAGACCATACCCTTCTCAAGATCGATACGGTCATCCTTGGACAGTGTTGACCAGAAAATAGGGAAGAGCGTAGTCCACAGCTTGTAAGCAACGTTCGCGTCGGTATGCTGGAGCTGGCACAATGGTTCCATCAGGTCACGAACCCGAACATCGCCGACATCAGACATGAACTTCCTGCGCTCGGCAACAAAAGTCTCAAGCTGGCTGTCAACCATGATGTCCACCTTTCTTGAATCCTTTTCGCCACTGGAGAAAAGGAATGTCGACGGATACAAAGTGAAGTCGTCGGGGTGGAGGCGGGCAGTGGTATTCATGTCGATGCATCCCAGAACCAAGTGTGAGGCTTGAGCCAGCCAGAAGGAGTCAGAGAGGGTATCCCAGTTCTGACAGGTGAGCACGTAGCTCAATCGTGAACTAGCCAGGCGCGTCAAACTGCGATCGAAGATGGTCATAAAGCGGTTGCGCATTTCGACGTCCTGTGCTCTGGTACCAATCAGGAAAGCATGCTCCAGTCGGACAGTCAACTCGGTACGGGTGATCTTGGAGTCTTCATAGATGCGAATGACCAAATCGAGGAACTTCTTCAACATGGTCTGATCAGGGCGAGATTCGAAGAGTAGCATCTTGTGTAGGACTGCGGTCTTCTCCTTAAGCGTGGGCCATGACTCGGTCGAATGGAAAATCCATTCCTCTGCCATACCCAGAACCTTGCTGCATAGCTTGACGTTCTGTGACCGTTCCACAATGGAAGCCAACACGCTGAGGAACGGGCGTCGTTGGTCACCAAGGTGGGACATGCGAACAGAGATCAACTCGATTGTCTTGTAAATGAGATCAACGCCGAGCTCGAATTCCTGCTGGTCCGGCACTGCTTCGGTTGGTTTCTGGCCGTTTTGGGAAGCCTGTGCTCCATTTTGGTTGGTTGAGGCTGCGACGTGCTCCTTAGCAAGCTTTGTGGAGAATGCCTTCATGACAGCGGGAATATGAGTATCAATTTCGGCAGGCTTGATCTTCGATAGCGTCCAGAGGGTGTTCAAGCTCGACACATAGTTGCTGGCCGAAAGAGTCTCGGTCGCAATCGCAGACAGGTAAGTTGCAAATTCTGACGGAGTGCTTTCGGTGTCCATGGCATCTTCATCGTCAGGTGTGTCATCTGGGACAGCCTCAAGAACACGACGAACTGGAGGCGGCAGCTTGGAAGAAATCTCCAGTTCATCCTCAAGACCATGTAAACAATCTTGGATTTCCGGATTGTCGGATTTTAGAGGCTTCTCAAGGAGCTTCTGAATCGAGGATAGACGTGCTGTGATCCACTCATCCGGCTTGGTGGCGATGAGCACCCGCAAGACCTGCAGAGTATTGATCATGGCGGTGATATGTTTATCATCGGGTTTGTCGGCCTTCTCGCCTGAAAGGATGGGCTCCGTCACTTTCTGATAGAGGTCAATATCGAGATCTCCCCAGTAGTCCTTGGACAGGAGCTGCCTGAGAAGATTCATGGCCTTGTTGATCATCTCACCGGTGGGCACAGGTGGTGTCTGTTTGGCTGAGGACATTTGACGAACGTCCGTAGCAGGAATCTGGAAGCGCTCCGGGATCGTGGTGATGAAAGTGATGAGATATTTGACCAAGGCTGCGCGCAATTCAGGCGGCACGGTGTAATCAGATCCTCGGCTAGGCGGGGGAAGAAGGGAAGGAGATGCAGAGGCTTCTGTTTCTTCCAGCTTGCGCTTTTTAGCATTGGGCGACTCCGTGACACCATTAGAGACAATGCTGTTGGCATCTGTCGCCAGAGCTCGTTTTTCTTCCCAGTGCCAAATCAGCCCGATCAGGTTGAGAGCCAGCTTTTTGCTGTCATTCGAGGTGTTGGGCGGACCAGCGATCTTGATAAGCGATGGGACAATTAAAGGCACAAAATGCTCACGAGACTCATAGAATAAATCAGGCTGTCGCACCAAGAACTGGAAGATGCTCATCACCTGCTGCAAGTTGGCAGTCTCCTCGGCCAGAATTCGGCGAGGCCACTTGGCCCACAGCGGATATCGTGCCTCGGGTCCTTGATTTCCCGCTGTTCGTGTAGGCAGAACAGGAGCCAAGACGTCGAGGGCCTGTGTGACAAGAGCTCGGCCTTCATTCTGGTGAGCTCTCAACAAGGCGACGTAGACCTGGATAACGATCTTGAAAGGAGTCTCGTAGTGGGCGATGAAATAACTGATAAGGACGTAGGCACCATACTTGTTGATGATGTCCTCGAGACGGATGTAATTCCAAGCAAACTTGATGATATCCTTACGAGAATCCTGCACAGTTTGCGCATGGTATTTTATCAGCAAAGCGGAAAGCTGAAGGAGCTCCATTCGAGAATGATCAACGCCAGCTTGGCTCGACTCTTCACTGAGGTCAGCCAGCTGAGGCTTCCACAGACGACTCTGGATGGACTCGGTCATGCTCTTATCCATTAGCCTAGGGCCGTTGTTGGCGCTGCTCCACGTCAGCTGAACATCCATAGCGAAAATAGGATTGACCAAATGACGGAATGCATATGTCTTGGTCCTCTGCGAGCAAGCCCGTTGGCCGTAGAGATCTAGACAACGCATAATGACGGATCGGCGGTAGTCAATGGACTCATTAGTAATGACGTGCTTGTAGATGAACTTTGGAAGTGCAAGTGTGCGCTTGAGCTCATCGGCAGACAGGCCATCAATAACCTCGAAGAGGAAGTCAAGATCATGGCTAGCCTCGGCCAAGTAAACCGTGAACACATCCATTAACTGATCCTCAGCTTGTTCGACCCTGAGACGCTCATCAGGAGGCAGACTGTCGCCACGAAGCTTTCTCTCTAGCTCTCGTCCGGCAATTAGAAGCTTTGACCTCAAGTCTGCATGGTCGGCCAGCCAACACTTGGTCAAGCTGTAGGAGCAAACAGAGTGGACAACGTAGATTCCATTGATTGCAGCGGTATTCTTGCCATCGGCTTCTGATCCAAATGCATTGGACTTGAATGCTTCAGTGTCAGCAACAACTGCATTACGAAGCGCTTCGCTCTCAGCATCAGCCAGAATCTGTCCGAAAAAGCGCCCGTAGCGCACGTCTTTGAAACGTGCCAAGAAGAACGCTAAGCTTTCCTTGGGATACCGATTGAGGTACTTAACAAGAGGCTTCCGGAAAGGACTGTGGGAGGTTCTTCGAAGTTTCTGCTCGAGATCAAGAACCTTGTTGACGAGATGGTCCATGAATGAAGTGGCCGCAGGGGAAGAAGGTGGAAAATATTGAAGATTGCGGCCACAATTTTCATCGCAGGGTTTTGCTCAACAAGGCTGAAAGATACCTTCTGCAGAGTGGAATCATCGGCGATCACCTTCATGTGGTCGAGAAGACGAGCACCAATCTCAACCTTGAAATAGTTGGTCAATAAGGTCAACAGTCGGGCGAGCCCATCAAGGCCTGCGACGCTCAGACGCTTGGGATCCTGCAGGTTCATGAGAATAGGACGGAGGCCATTCTGGAGAAGGTCCTTAGGCAGCTTGTTAGTCTGAGTAAGAACATCCTTCAGGCCAGAATTGGCTGCTTCAATGACTTCAGGAGACCGCGAGTACAGTGACTTGAAGAATACAGAGATGATGCGTGCACGGCTAGTATTTTGCGGCGTGTTGGCGAACTCAGGGAAGTTCATTGCCATCGACAAAAGACGCAGGCAGGCAACACGCAAGCTGACGATCATCTCTGCGTTCTTAAACTCATTAGGCTTGGAGGCAAGTGACTCGTCATCAGCGTCAGCAAGAGCGAGCGATTCCAGCATTAGTCGGTTGAGCGGCTCGTTGAAAGTGACGATCTCGTTGTGCAGGCTCAAGCAATAAGTGATGGCATCAATAAAGCCAATCTGCGTCGGGAAGGGCAGAGCGCGCAACGGCTTGTTGAAAATCGACTGAAGAAGACGATCCCTCACAGGGAAAATGAGTTCGTGTACTTCACAGCCGAGCTCATCTCTTAAGGTGTCAAAGCAAACACGGCAAGTCTCGCGAACGTACTTATTCATGTGTCCAAGTTCAAAGACAAAGAAGCCACACAAGGTAAACAGGCGACTCTTTTCGTTTTTCAGATCATCCTTGGGAATAAGTTTGCCGCACTTCTTGAGAATTAAGGCCATAGTCTCCTGGGACTGGATCCTCGTGGAGGCAGGGAGATCTGCAGGAGTATCCTTGATGACGTGCAAGAGCGCGCGACAGAATTCGACATGTCGCTCATAGATCCAAGACTCTCCAAGGTCCAACTTGGTGGCAAGGAGATTGATGCCCAGGCTTCCCCCCGCTTTCGTGAACCACTCCTCGCTGTGACAACTGTGACAGAACACGCGTCCCAAATGCTGGAAGAATGGAAGCTTGGCCGCTTTGTCGGGGCGCCGAAGATAACATTTGCGGCTTCTTTTATGACCAGCATAGCTTTTTCAGCTGCCTCGCGCACTTGGACGTAGTCAGACGAGAGAGACTCCACGATTGCGTCGGCCAAAATTCGAGAATCAAGATAGGCGGGACCCTCGCCATTTGCAACATCAAACGGCTTGCGATTATGGCGGGCTTGAGCTAGAGCACGGCCGACCTCTACAACAGTAAAGTGCTTGCAGACATCAGCCACGAAAGCAGTCGCAGCAGGCTCAAGATCAGAGATCGTCGTTGCAAAGATGCAAGCCTTGAGGAGCTTCTTCAAAGTAGCCTCCTGGGCCACCTTCTTTGGCATTGAGGCTGATCTCTCCGACTTCTCCATGATGTCGGCCATAGCACCAGCTTTGCCTTCAAACAGGTCATTTGCATGGAGACGAATCAAGGATGCTAGGTCATCAGGGAGGTTCTCATATCCTATCTGAAGCTTAAGATGGGAGCTGAGCATGCGGTAAGCCTGTTGTTTGTAATATTTGTCAGAAGCCAAAGCCGTATCTGAAGAAGGCTTTTCCAAAGTCGACTTGGGAACCTCCATTAATTTGCCAATGGCCAAATCAATGCCAACGTCCACAGGAACGGACGCTTCTCACTGGGGCCAATGAGACGAATGTCAAAGCTTGGATTGTCATCGGAATATTTTTGGAACGACAACTCGGGTGGGTGATTCAAGAACTTTCGGTTTCGACCACCCAACTTTCCAAGGATGCGCATGGTGGTGTGTGCGTGGAAGTGGTTATAAGGGTGAGGTCGCAGGTGGTCCCAGAGCGCAGTCATCAACTCGTCCATAATGGGTGCCATGATTGGGTCCAAGTAGTCGGCCGTGAGATTGTCCACACAGAGCTCCAGAGTGCGCAAACCTTGACCGACAAGGTCAGAGTCCGCACGCAAGGCGACCACGATTGGACGCATGAGGTAGCTCAGGTGTGGCAAGAGGTGGCTGAGCCTTGCAGGAACTGTGAGAGTGAGCTCAACGTAGAGATCCCGCTCCTGAGGCCTGCGAGCAGCAAGCAACAGGTTGTTGAAGGTCTCGAGGAGCATCTCCAGCAGAGGAAGAATCTCCTTATACAGAAGCTCGAATCGGCCACCGCCAATACTTCGGAAGAGGGACCGCAGGAGCAGGAAGTAGTTCATGGGCTCTTCGGCCGTCACAGACAGTTCGATACACTTGGTGACGATCTTAGTCACATGCGGGTGGAGAACCTGCTCATTCTGCACCGAGAATAGAGTCACTGCCATGAAAGAAAGCTTAAACATTCTCAGGAGAATCTTCGCTTTGGTCATGTCCGAAGTCCCAACCTCGTCAATACGCTCCATCAGGTACTGTAGCACCATACCTGAGAAGGCAGGTGAGGTCGCTTCGCTAGCCAGGAAAAATTGCGGCAGGTGCAACAATGCGCCATGCTCAAACATGAGCTCATGAAGGTATGGAATTTCCGAGTGGAAGACCTCATGGAATGTTGCGGTATCGATACAGTGGAAGACCGTGCCAAAACTCTCCAATAGTTCCTTCTCTTCACGCGACATAGGTGCAGTGTATTGACTCGCAAGGAAATCGAAGGGAGACGAGTAATTCATTTCCGGGGGGGGATTGATCTACACCATAGTATCGGAAAACGCGAGCACCTTCGTGGAAGAGCTTTTTGATAACCCGAACCTCCTCGGCATTGTATCCATACGACACCTCGGACCAATTGATAGGCACACTGTTTGGGTCAATCTGGATATCATCAGGATTGCAGTTCTTCAGCTGGTGGAATATGTTCTTCAACCCATTTATGAGATTCTTGAAGAGGAAGATGTTATCCGAGACAGGGTCTCCACCTCGATCGCGTGGGCTGGATGTCTTGATGGGAGAAGCGGAGAAGATATCAATGTCATCCCAGTCCGGAGGTTGGTCCTTCTCGGCAAGATAGTTTTCGGCAGATGGCGTTGTGTCTTTGCGGCTCTCCTTGTAGGCTTTGGAGACCTTGACGGCATTATTGAATTGGTGGTTCATGGAAGCGAATTTATCACCAATGGCATCCAAGATCATGATGAGGAAGTAGCGAGCTTCTCGCTTATCTTCAAGCTTAGAAATCTTTTCTGCCATGTTCAAAAGGAGTTTGGCGCTCATCGTCTGGAAACTAGTGCCAGGGAAGTCATCGTGAAGGTTCTTGGTGTAGACTTCCACGGTGCGGCGAATCTGATCACGGCTCAGATGGTCACGAACATGATGAATTAGGTCCGCAAGCATGCTATACGCCAGGGGCCTCATGGTCTCATAGACGGTCAAGCCATCACCAATCAAGGTTCGCTCGTCCAGAAGCTCGTCAATCTTCTCCAGGAAGATTTTACGATAGTTGAAGTTAATAATGTGTCGAATTGCAACGAGCAGCTCTTTTCGAGCACCGGATTTTTCGCGAGGACAATCCTGGAGAAGACGAACCACGACAGAAGGAAGGGTTGGAAGGAAATCTTGGAGTTGGTGGGCATATAGTCGCAGGAGATATGCCAAAAAGCTCATCGTCTTGACTTGGGCAGTGATGAACTCCCCAAATGCGGCCCTATTCTTAATTTCCTTGCAAACTCCGGTGAAGATCGTGCCCTGTGCAGCAGCATCCGCATGTGCCTTTTCTTGCGGTTTGGCTTGCAATAGCAAGATTGTCTTGATTAGCGGTACGAAGAGCTTGACGTTCGCCGCTACTGAGGCGCGGTGGGTTTGGAAGATTGAGACGACGATGATAGGACACTCCGCAAGGACCTTGAACGATTGCATGCCCTTCAAGATGACATTGCTGGACTGCTGCTCAGGTCCTAGATCTGAGACCGAAGTTGCGGGAGAGCTAGGTCGAGGCGACTGGAAGTTTTGGGCGCTTGCGTTCGGCGTTGAGGGCATGCCGGAAGGGGTCGCTTGGTTCGGTGTGTCGAATGTATCTCGCACCACCTGCTCCATGGTCTGGAACATCTCCTGGATCAGCTCTAAGAAAGGCTGCACCCGTGCGGAGGTGGCCTTTGCTTGATTCCGCTCCAGGTCCATGATCGTCTTCATGCACAGAACTGCATTGTCTTCGTTTTCGATGCGCGCAAGATCCATCAACAAGTCAACCATGTCCGCAGCGTATGGTTCAACATCGGGTGAATTCATCGGCAATCGGTGTAGAGTCTCGAGAATACAGTTTCGTAGTTTCTAAATCGCGTCAGGGGACTAGGGTTCATCTTCGGACATGTCGGGAAGCGGCTCGCCGAAAATCTCACCTGCTCGTATGACATACTGAAGAAGACTGGGTCTCCCTTCAGAATTGTCTTGAATACGGGCCATAGCTTGGACAGGAAGATGGGATAGCTTGCACCGGAGCATAAAGGCTCAATGCTGTCTCGCAACTCGGTCGCGACATTGGCTCTGACTTTCACATCTGCGGCGGGGGGGACATGGTTAATTCCTTGATTCAATGGGTGCTCGGAAACTCTCCATCTATGCGCACATACCCAGCTTCTCATCCCCTAGCTTGTTAGCATAAATATCGATATTCCGCTCCATATTGAGGCGGAGGTCCCCACGAGAGGGCCAGTCGAAGGGATATGGCTGTAATTAAGGCCTGGCCGAGTGGCCGGCTGATCAAATTTCAGCCCGCGCAAATACCCTGAGTCAGAATTGGGGGCGCATATGCGAGGACGTGGAGTGGTCGAAGCTCTGCGGAGTTCGAACAATTAGGTCGGAAAAGATCGATCGGAGGGAGGTAGGAAGCGAGGAATTCGTCAAGTCATTTAAATAAACACAATTAATACGCCTGATCCACGTAAATGAGAGACTGGACGGCAGAAGAAAAGACGAAGGAACCCCGCGGCGGAAGACTGTAATGGGGAGAGTAGAGTAGCGCGCGAGACCTGGCCCCGAGAAGAAGGGACGCGGGCTATCGCAGAGACCCCGAAAGAAACACTAGGCCGTTTTGGGTAATCCGGAGACGGTTGTTCCTTGCCGAGTCGCGCGCGTGTCGTAAGCGACTAAGCGCGCGGTTGTTCTCGAGCTCACAGGTACCACTAGGTTTGGCCGCAGCAAAGTAGTCATGCTTTTAGAGACGTTGTTGCCGTCATAGTAGTGCCGCTCCATTTCAACAACTGGACAGCGAACAAACTTGCTTCACCTTTGTGACTAGTAATGGGATGTTTAGTTCTGAGGCTACATGTAGATATTGTAGTGGGAGAACCGGTGACATAATAGCATATGTGTGGCCTCAGGCATATTCCAATGTCTGCAGTGCATACATAGTGCGTCTTCAAGACAGAGTTGGAGATAGAGAAGGCAACTACCCAATTCAATTCCGGTTACTACCACATTTCTCTGTTCGTGATGAAGCTTTAGGAACGATCTGTACGGCCTCGACAGGGCATCCGTACGGCATCAGATGGGTGAGTACCCGGTAGTTACGTACGAATTTATACTCCTACATTGACTTGGTATAAGCCCAGAGGTCATCACTCAGTATTGGTCTAGAAAAGAAAACTGGCAACACATATAAGCCACCGACACTCGTCGGTGGATGGAAACGCCATTCACCCTCATTTTCCATATCCGAACACGGTTCTAAGACGGATTCCAACTCAGAGGTCCGTTCAGTGATCTCGCACTCACATTGTTGTAGATCGAGACACAGAAGGGGAAATATCAGAAAAGCCATGTACACAAAAGAGATTGAAGTAAAAAAAAAACAGGCAAAGGGGCACTCAATAGGGGAAGGTATGGGGATAGGGAAAAGATGGGCATTAACCTGGGCGAGTCGAAATAAAAACAGGAAAAATCGTCGCAGCCCGTATTCGCTATGCCATGGTGAAGAAATATCAATGGAAGTCACATATCCATTGGAAAGAAGAGAAATCTTCATTTGGTCGAATTGCTTCGATGCAAGATCTGTACATTTGTTGCACTAGTCCCGCCGACCGATCGTCGTCGCGGCCGAATCTCGCTACCACTACCGCTCCGTCGCCTCCGGGAACCGCGAATGGAGCCACGGCGTCGTGTCTGGAGCAAAACGGACGTTCTCACGTTAGAATCAGGCTGGCTAAACGGGTGGACGGGTCTTAGCAAAAGACAAAATCAAAGGTGAAAACAGCCAAAAGGTCAATAAGTCAGAAAGACTCGCATGGGGATGCATAAAACCCAGCAACATCATGATAAGATGTCAGAGATGTACTGAACTCACCGAAGTTGGAGTTCCTTCCCGCGCAGGTCGATCCTTGGAGATCTCGTTGTCTTCCTGGAGCTTCAAAGTGTTCAATTTCTTCTGACTTTCATTGGTCATAGCCTCAACCTCATCGATTGGCTCGGGCACGTCGAGAACAGGGGCGGGAGGTGGAGGAACTCCGTTTTTTCTGCTTGTCGCTTGCTGTTCAATCGTGTCCCACCGGTCCTGTCGGGACTTCTCTCGCTGATCGGCGCTGTTTTGCTGCTCGGTGTACTCGTGAGAGCACTCGTCAAAGAGCTGTGGGTTGATTTCCATAAACATTTTCATGGCATTGTAAACCATACTGTGGATGGTCCTGTAGGGAGGATGGTCAGTTTCCATCAACAAGTGTAGGGCTGATGAAATCTTGACTCACCGATTCCAGTGGCCCTTGGAGTTCTCGTAAAGCGGGGCGAACATAATCGGAAGGATGGTCTCCACATTGTCGCTCACCAGGTTGCAGAAGTACTCGTTGTTCCAGAAATAAAGAGCACGCTCAGCAACCTGGAAGTGGGGACTGGCTACAGACTTGGCAAGCTGGTTGAAAAGAGGCTCCTGCACCTTCGCAAACTCGGCCGGATCCATGACTTCGAAGATGTCTTCTACCTCGTTCAGATACATCACCTCCTTAGTGCTGTTCGTCTTCGGCCAGTAGCGCAACAGACCAAGAACAACCTAAAAAGTCAGCATACGATGATCAGCAGAAAGTATTGTTGAATACATACATCTTCTGTCAAGGTCGAATCCTTCTCCAGGAACTGAACGATACAGTAGGCCAGTTGCGGGTGATACATGCTGAGGCTCTTGACCTTGTGCATGGGAAGCAGAACCCTGGTCAGGAACAACTTGTGCTCCTCTTTGAGAGGCAAGGCGAAGCCGTTGATGATGGAGCCCAGAATTTCCAGTAGTTCAGCAATACCGTTGTGTCTCTCAGTCTCGTACATGAACTGGAAGAACACATTATTGATAGATCGCCGGATATATGATCGCAGATTCAAGAATTTGCCGTAGATCCGGTGCAAGGTTGTCTTGAGGAAATCGCGCTCGCGAGGGTCCTCTGAGTCGAACAGGTCGAGCAGCTGTATTGATAGTTAGCCAATTCATCTGAGCAATTCCCAACAATCTCGACAATATACCTGTAGCACAAAATGATGATCGATGTATTGCTTCGCAACATTGGTGTTGAAGTCCTGACTCTCGATAAATCGCAGGAAGAACTCGTAGACAACCTGAATATGTGGCCAAGCAACTTCTAAAACAGGCTCATCCTCTTCAGGATCGAATGCTTCGCCCTGTGGGGTCATCGGTGGGGGAATGGGTCGAAACAGGTTCTTGGCGAACATCTCTACCACCCGAGGGTACATGGGCTCAGTGATCACGGACCGGTTGTTGGCGACGTAATCTAAGAGCTCGTGAAGGGCCAACCTTTTGATCTCTTTGGATTTCATGTCTGCCGTAGGATCATTGAAGTCAAAGATAATGTTGCACTGATCAATCTTTTGCATAAACAGCTCCTGGCGTCGGTTAGGCGCTACCTCATGGAAGCCTGGCAATTTCTCTAGCTCTCGTTGGCGCTGGTCGGAAATGTCGAATCGCGATGAGTGCTGGCGCTTAGGGGTCCGGATTCCTTCTGACATATCTTTCGGGGTAGTCTGAAGGCGATCGAATACGTGGGATTTCCTTGGTGGTGCGAGATCTCCAGGCATCGTCTCGGCAGCTCCAGGGGAGGAGCATGCTGTGGGAACGCAGAGAAAGAGTCAGGTTCATCGAGGTCACCTTCGTCCGAGGGGGAAGGCGATCTTACCGGAGCGCTGGGGCTAATGATCACGCTAGGAGCCACAGGCTGTCCTTGTCGCGTCGGGGTACCTGGTCCATTATTTGCAGACTGGCCTGGGATACCGGCTCCTTGAGAGGTGTAATGCTGGGCTGGGGCGGCGCCCCCGGATGGGGTACCTCCCGGGGAAGCATTGTCCGGCGACTTTCGCGCATCATTGAGAGATGTTGTGGATGATGCCGGGGTACCTTGGTTGGGCGATGTCGGTTGCTGTGTATTGGTAGTTCCGAGAGATGCCTGGCCCGAGGATGTGGAGTTGGAGTCTTTCTTCTTCGACGACTTGTTCGCATCCTTCGCCCGTGACAACTGCTCGTGCTGAGATGAACAATGTAATCAGTTTGGATCCAATCTGATTCAGGGAGGAACACCACCTGCGTGGTGGGGAAGGGGCGGGTAAACATGATAGTGCGGTAAGAAGCCTACGAACAAGGACACTTACCACTCTCTGTCTGAATCCCTTCATCTTGAGACCAGTATTGACAGCCACATAAACTCCGCTAGATTTCTTCTTGCCAGTGCAGCCGCACGCTGCACTTTAGCCAGGGTGACTTGGGAGCGGGCAACGGGGGCGGCCGCGCAAGAAAGCCAAGAGTGAGGCGGATGTGTTTGTGTCGACCTAGGGGAATCTTGTAAGCGCTCCGAATCATTCAACAAATGAAGCGTCCAATTTCACGGGCAATAAATGAGGGAGTGGTATTGGATCATTCGCAGGGGGCCAGTCATCGTCCAATGGCGACTGCTTGAGAAGACCAGAACGGGGTGTGTAGCAGTACGCGCACGGGCAAGACGGTTCGGGGTTGGAGGGGCTAGGCATAACGAGGACAAGCAGGAGCAATACGTACCTCTTTGGACCTAAGATGGGACAATTGGCGTTTCGAGGTGCAAGCAGGACTGGCCAGGCGGCGGAGAGGTCGAGATGGGACTGGCGTTGCTTGATCCGCTCTGGAGGATCTCCGTGTCGCTTAGTGGCAGGCTGGGAGCGGGGGGTTCGAAAGCGCAGGGCCACTCGATTGCGATCCACAGCACAACTCGAATTATTTGGATGAAAACGATGTTGACCGAGGCCAAGGAATTTAACAGACGAAGAACCAGTTGTGTGGGTGGGTGATAGTGGAGAAAGAGGAATGTGTTGTTGAGGTGAAGTGAAAGGCGGCGGGATCTCCTGGCTGTGATGGTGATGGGAAGAGGGGGAAGGGGTCAAATCTAAGGTCAGCGCAGACTGCCAAGCAGTTCATCTACAAGGACGATGCAGTCTAGGCTGTCATCAGAAGGGCTTTAGTCTGCTGAGGTTTACTCGAGTTCTACAGATCGCACTTCAACATCCTCTTTGCTCATGCTATTTTGTATGCGTTTTCCCGCTTCTTGTGAGACTTATGTCATCAATCACGTGCCCGTGGAGAAGGGTTTGTGTTTTATGACCATTCATTGGATAGATTATAGTTCTAAAGAAGCGACAAAAGTATATCCAATTGGACCTGTGGCGCAGCGGTAGCGCGTGTGATTCCAGTCCACAAGGTCATCCGTTCAAATCGGGTCAGGTTCAATATTTCTTTTTTGGTTCACTAATTTTTTCGATGTTACTCTAAACTCTTCAATTACAGCTTGACGTAGTTAGGTGTTCTCCAAAAAATAATTTCACATTGATAAAATTAATATTTTTTTTTTATTTGAGATATAAAATAAGACTTAATTAACAAAAGGTTCTGGACAATCATAGACTATCCATTTATTAAATTCCTGAGGGAGAGCGCAAGCATAACAATAGAAGATAAAAATCGATAGAATCGACAAAAAAAGTAATGTTGAACCTGACCCGATTTGAACGGATGACCTTGTGGACTGGAATCACACGCGCTACCGCTGCGCCACAGGTCCAATTGGATGCTTTGAATCTCGTCGCAATAAGTCATAATGATAAAATTCGAACTTGGCTCAACTATCCACCACACCACCTCTACACTCGCGCCAACCTATTAGAAATTTAAAGTATGTTTAGTATGTATTAATCCATAGCTCCTGGATACTCCTGATTATGACTCGAATGAAAACAGGGCGTCGGACAGTTACCTTAGTATGTTTAGGTACGGATATATATTTCTATATCCCTGAAAGGTTTTGACACGTAGAACCCGTAACCCTGGGATGTGGAGACACCTTCTAACACATCTAGTTATCTATGGAACCCTGAACTGGGAATTCGATGATCCTGGATCATCTCTTTCAATGGCAGTGCTGAGAATGCCAATCGGTTGAATTTGATCCACTGTGGACCGGGGTGTTCTTGCATCCAGATTCCATGCTTCCACCCTGGCCTGGTACAATTCTTAGTTGAGCCTGACATGTTTGCAAGTTCTTGATACAACACTTTGGATATTTCCATTAGCTATTAATGTTTCATAGACTCTGCGGCTACATTGGAGGAAAAGGGGCGCTAAGACTGGCGTGTATTCACATCAAAAAGACCGTGGAAGAAAGATTGAATAACGTAGGGTTCAACAGCTCCTACAATGACTTCAAAGCTCAAGTTCACGGTAAAAGGCCGAAATGGTGCTCAGTACTGTTCTGATGCGCCAGCATTCTCACGTAGCAGTTGCGTCACGACCAATCACCGTATAACCCTTACCCTTTGACCATATGAGTCCTATTTGGAAAAGCAGAGAGTCGATGCACATTTTGCAGGCCAATGCTCCAAGGATCCAAAAGAAGACCGATTTTTCCTGGTCGGGTCTACATTCCACGAGCCAGGGTCATCTCGTCGCAGACAAAAAGCTTGTTCTCCGTGGCATCTGAAATTCCCCGAGCCACATAGCCATAATGATCGCGAAAGAAAGGATACTTGATTCTTATGGGTAAATGAACTCAAGCAAGGCATGTCTTTCTAGCCGAAGCCGGCGTGAGCGCCATCATAGGCTTTGATCCCAACATGGCTTCGAATCATTTGAAAAGGCAGCAAGAATCCTCGATCGTCACAGGGTCACTAACGAACTTCGAAAAGATATATCGAAAGCACATACATGGACGTGGGGGCAATACTGTCTCGAGCCTTCTGCATGAATCCAAGAACCATGATATAGTTCCGTTGAGCATCAAGCGGCTTTTGGAGGAGATGTCGTTGAAAGCGAATGAGCTAGTAAGTCACCAAGAGGTCGTGAGCCTGGTGACCATCGAGCTTTCAATCGCTTTCCTGCCAGCATAACTAGTCAATGCTTGCAAATTACTTGACAAAGAGTGGGAAATAAGCCGACATGACCGTTTTCAAGCCCCAGTATCAACGAAGCTGGCACGGGGCTGCAGGTTCTATTTGGAAGAATTTCACGTTTGCGGGATTTTCGGCGAAGACTCCGATGGACAAAAATTCAAATTCGTCCTTTGCGTACCTGACTCGGCTAGCCACGCCCTCTCCGAGAAAGGAACAATGCCCTTCTTTGTATGTCGTGCATCCTAGCTGCCTTGATGGACAGAATCCTTTAACAGACGAGCTAGCAACGAAGATGGTATTGATTTGTGAGACGAAGATACCACTCCAACTCGGACACAAAAGGGAACTCTCGGCACAAGAGCTTCTGTGAATTCACCCCTCTGCCGCTTATTTCAAACCCAGGGCCGAGAGTGTTGGAGCCATAAGCTTGTCGAACGCGGGGAACTTTAACTAAATTTTCACAGCTTTTGGCAAGTGGGAAGTATTCAAATCATCCGCAGATTACTGAAGTAAGTACGTAGACCCTGAATCTTTTGAATCAGCGGAAAAAAGTGCAATTGATCGCAAATTTGAAATGTTTATGTGAAGTTCATCAGCAAAGAAAGATCTAAGCTAGAGACTACAGTAGGATATCCCTGGAAGGAAAGAATATCAAACTTGTTGGAACAGAGATCGAGATTTCTTTTGACCGTTGCTCTGAGCATACATTGACTTTCTTCAAATGCCTGTCTCCAGTGAATGATTTCACACATAGTTCTCAGAAAATCGGTAACTATCTATATTGAAATACATCAGTCAAGTAATAGTCTTGTAGGACCGGTCGAGGTAGCCGAGGTCGAATTAGGCATACACTTTAAGGTCATTGGACGCATCATTTCACTAAGTTAAGTAGCGGTAGAACTGTTTATCCATGTGGTGAGCGAGACATGATGTGGGGTGATTTGGCCTACAAGCGCAAGAAGCCACGACTCTGACCCTCTTAGATCAATTTGCCGCTAGACGGCTTGCCAGAGTGCTTATTATAAAAGGCGGACCGACATTGACACCTGGAAAATCGGGAGCAAGGAACACGATTAGTCATCATATCCCGATGCTCTCAGTCAGTGTGAAATGCGCGTGCAAATGAAGGAGGCTCATTTTGGTTAAAAGAGACCTCAGACCGAGAAAAGTCGGGCTCAAATCCTGGGCGCTTTTTAAAGTGAGCAAAGTGAAACGCGACTGATTTCTCATGTCGGTTGTAACTGCTGCATGCTGATGGTCCATTCATTATTAACTCGCCTTCAAGCCAGTGGACCAAGCGGCTTGGACTATCTCAAACCCCCTGCATTTGTGTTCATCATTTTGTAACCACGCGATGGAATCGCAGCGTGATTCCAGAACTGCACCTTTCTACCCTGTCCCGCCTCGACGTTTGGTTAGCGCTTGAGCACCCTGCCGTGATCCAAAACCTTGACAGGGCTGTGGACACACTCCAGGGCAATGCAGGAATCCAAAACGTGAGACTTACAGCTTCTGTCCAGTCTCGCCACAATTCAACGACTCTGACCTGACACAGATTTTGAACCCGCCCAAAGCTGATACACCCGCTCAGCTATCACTGCGACCAGAGGATGTTATGGCTCGGCAAATCCAGTCCATCAGCTGTCCATCAAATAATGTTTTGCTCAAAGTCACTGTCCCAAAAAGAACAGGCCGAAAACGCAAACGAGGCTCGGACGAGCCCTTCACTGAGGCTAGTTCAATGGCCGAGTCTCCTACGCGACAAACCTCAAAAGACTTGCTGCGCAATCTACAAGACAATGCCTCCAAATACCGCATTGAAGCGGTAGGGAAAATAGAACGTACACATTTATTTCGAGGTATGTATAGATTGATGTTATATTTGAATATCTCTCGGTCTGATTTAACAATTTCAGGCCTGCCGGACTTCATGTGGTCGTCCACTCGCAGTTCCTTCACGAATCAATTCAGCCAGCATATTACTCCTTATGACTGTAAGTGAACTGCATCATGGAGGGAGAAAACTCGCACTAAGAGAATTCTTAGTGGATAAAATGAAGAAATTCCAGATCAATATGTCCAAAGGTGCCATTACGAATGTGGACATCATCCCGCCGCCCTCATTCACCCAGGGCGATCTTCCATTCCAGTACATGTACGCTTCCAACGCCCTGAATGACACCTAGAGCCACGTACTAAAATCTCATTCACTAAGGTATCGCCAAAATCCAACAGTGAAACAAGCCGTCGACGAATCTGGCAAAATGATCACAGTGAACACCCAGCAACCGACGAAGATTCGCAGCCATCTCGTCGCATTCGACATTCCCGTTGTCCCATCCGAGCCCCAAGAAGACCTCGCTCCAATCGAAAGCCTCGATCCGATCCTTCGTGGAACCATCGAAAGGGTCAAAAAGCTCTTCGAAGAACGACCAGCCTGGACCCGACGTGCTATTCGCAGTTACTTGGCGTCAGATGAACAGCAACCCCTTCTCCGCCATGCATTGCCCTATGTTGGGTACATTTTCCGCTCTGGACCGTGGCGCGACGCTATCATCAAGTTGGGCGTGGATCCGCGCACTTCCCCAGAGTACCGTCATTACCAAACGTTCATGTTCCGTGTCGCCGATTCCAATGAAGCCGACCTCGACAATCCCAATTCCGTCTCCGGGTCTGCTCATGCAGACACACACATATTCACTGGCCAATTACCCCTCCCACGCGACGGCCGCATCTGGATGGCCGGTGATATCAAAGATCCAATTCTCGCCTCGATTCTCTATCCTGCCGATCCACCACCCTCCTTCTTACGCTCGGAATGTGAAATCATCAGTGACGGCTGGTTTGGTAATGGCACAATGGCAAAAGTGAAGACCATTATGCGAGCCAAGATCGCGGCTCTCGTTGAAAATTCCACGGCGTCGGACTCTGAATTTCAGCGCATTGCTCTATTCCCCGACCATGCATCTAGCGAGGAGGATCTCGCTGCTTACTTTACGGTAGATCCGGCAACGTCGTCTAGTAAGGAGATCTCTTATGCGACGGAGGTGAGAGCGTCTATCAAGGGGGCCCCGCTTTGGAGAAGAAAGAATGAAAAGGAGTCGTATGGGATGGAGAAGAGACCTGGCCGTGGTGGACCAAGGAAGAGGGGGAAAATGGTTGAATTTGAAGGGGTGGATGCGAATAATGAACCAGAGCAGAGTGAGGGTGAAGAAGAGGAGATGCAACGGAAAGAGATACTCGAGGAGCAGGTCGCTGCCGCTCTGGCGGCAAGAGATGCTGCCCAGGAAGAGGAAGAAGGTGAAGAGGGAGATAATGATGAGGATGAAGGAGAGGACGTGGATGAGGACGATGATGACAATTGATGTGATAGCTTGAAAGATGATATGAAGATTATTTCATAATTGCCCTTTTACAATTCAATCTATGCATGTATCGAGCTTCACCATCAAGGATTCAAAAAAGTGTGAGCTGCCTCCGGCGCCTCTAGAAGCCGAGGAAAGCACCCCTTCTTTTTCCAAACGGATAAATGAGTCAAGCCGCGACGAATCGCCGTAAGAATGGAATAATCTCATACCAAGTTCATAGCTGGCCATTTGCTGCATTCTTTGAAAGGTATTTCATTTCTCTAAGGGGAAGTACATGAGTGTTGACATCGTGAGCCGGGTGGCAGACAAGGCACGTATAACCGAAAGAGCGCCGAGAACATTGGCGATTCCGAGCTTATCGGGGAAAAGTCTCCTTTGCATATCATTAGAAACAGGGAGAAGCAGATGTATCATGTAAAATCATTTCAATCATAACTAGACTTGCGTGTATACATCGTGAACCAGCATCAGACATGACAAATACTCATTGATTAAAGTGTGGAATCAGAAGAACTTGAAACCGTAAAACAAGACGAACAGACAAGCTGATAAGAGAAGGGTATTCAAAAATAGACGAAACCAACTATCACAACGCCATTTGAACCAGAAATCAACGCCATGCAGAAGACAGATTTATAGCTGAAGCCGAAGCTAAGAGAGGGAGAGAGCGGGAGAGAGGGAGAGAGCGGGAGAGAGGGAGAGAGCGGGAGAGAGGGAGAGAGAGAGAGAGAGACAGAGGGAGAGAAAGACAACGCCGAGGACTTTGCGAATGCAAATGTGTTTTTGGCTGATCAAGGAGAGGACTGGGTCTTGTCCTCGGAAGCTTGAGACACTTCTTCAGTAGCGCTCTCGCTTTCCCAAATCTCAATCTTTGCATCTGAGCCGTTGGTATTAGTAGACTCAGCTACCGGCTTGGGAGGAGTGGCGGTTTCCAGCAGGGAGGCGATGGAGGTGGTGATGTCAGGAGGAAGAGAAGTCGCCTGTGTGAGGACATGGGGCTTCTTCAAGGGGCCATTCTCGCTCTCGTCGTCATAGACAACAGTATAGGAGAAGGCATTGCAGTCTGCGGGGTAGTAGTCGGAAGCAGTGAGCTCGCCCAACGGCGCACGGTCATCCTCCATCTTTGAAGCCTTGCGGGCGTCAGCCGCAGCAGCCAGGGCATTTGCCTGACTAGAGTGAGGAAGATCAATGCCCAACTCAGCAGGCGGAACATTCTCTTTCCCGCGTCCGTCAGTGACGGAGCTCTTGCCCTCGTCGTCGCTGATATCAAGAACGCCAGTCGAGTGCTGCATTAGATTGGTCATCTCTTCCTGCTCCGAGTCGACGTGGATATCGAAGAACCAAGACGCCGGTCCTTTGGGCTTCGGGGCAGCGGGCTTGTTCTGGGCAAGGGCGGTAGCCAGAGAGAAGGGGCGAGTGACAGCGCGCTTGCTGGACTCGGGACGGACCTTGGCGATGGTCGACCGGCGACCGAACGCCTTGCATGACTTGGGTGGCGGAGTCCGGCCAGCGGGCTTGAGGAGAGGTGCGGAGCGAGGAGTGGTGGGAACGAATTTCAGCGGAGTCGATAGTTGAGATGAGACATTGTTGTCTCGGGTGAGGGATATGCGGGAGGTCTTGAGTGGCTTGGGAGAGCCTTTGGAGATATCGTCATCATCGAAGCTGCGCTTGCGCTTGGCAGATGAGCTCAGGCTGCTGGGATCGATATTCTCAGAATTGTCGATGAAGATGGATTGCTTTGCAGATAGGGCGGCTCCTGGCCGGTGTTAGTTCCGGGGCTTTGATAATGACCGAGACGAACCATACCATTTTGCTGATTCTGACGGTTCAACTTGGACCGCATCAAGGTGTTCATCCTCGGAGTATCCAGACTCGCGAATGGTTGGCGAGAGGGAGTCATGGTGAGGGTAGCCATGATGGAAGGCGTGTGAGATTGGCTTTTGTTTTGACGTGACGGCGCTAAGTGGGGATATTGGCGGTCTACACTCACTCGATCGCGAGATCGAACCAGAGATGATCTTTCGTGAGATTGAAAGATAGAATAGTATAGCAGGATCAAAAACAAGGGGAAAATAAATAAATAAAGGAATCAGGTAACAAAGATCGGATGGCGGTTAGATGAAGCCTGGAATGAGGGAGAGAGTGGAGAGGGTCTCCACCAGAGAATATAGTCCTTAGAGAGAGGCACGGCTTGAAGATTGGTAATGGGGATGTGGGATGAGGAGATAGTTATAACCGAGACGATGTTAACTTTTTATCAGGCAAGGAGCGAGAGGGCAAAGGGGACTATTTCAAGGCCTCGTGCAGTTCACATAGCCCGGAGAACGCGACCGCGTTCGCATGCAAGGCGCCATGCATTCGGAACGATTGGATCATACGCTGGGCTCAAGGCTGGTGGCGTTTATGCAGCATAATCCCATTATCATTCCAGTTTGGGGGGAACGTGTGTGGGAATGGAATGCCGACGCGGGGACGCGCTTCTATACTGTAAAATTTACCCAAGCTACACTATTTGCTCATTGACTAGTAAAATCTAGCGATTCACCAAGCTTATTCATTGATTCATGTAGAAAAAGAATTCCTCAGCTTGAGATGATAAGAAAGCGTCAGGAACAGGACAGTGTCGGTGCTAACGCTGATGCATCACACTCTAAACGCGTATCCCTGCGACGCGCAAAGTACCCGGTACCCGCCACTCCTCCGCCTCCACATACAATCACCAAGTACCAGATACTGCACGCGCGACACACTCTCGCGTTCAGCCCCTCCCTTGCACCAGCGCGCGACTGTCGAGCCCACCCCGCCCGCCAACGCATCTGGCTGTTGCTCCATTGGTACCCAGCCCGGCGGGAGCAGGATGAAACTCTCGCTCACACTGGAAAGGTTCAGAGTTGCAGCGTGCAGCGTGCAGGTCGCGAGGGCTACGAGGGCCGTGTGCCGGAGGGCTGGAGAATGTCCGATGCCCTTCCAAGGTTCTCTCCCAGCTATCCAGGTGTAGCATTCAGGGCTGGCCACCGTGTGCGAGTGAGCCTGAATGTGAACCTGTCAGCCTTGAGACTCAGATTCCTTGGAGAGGGAGATCCTCCCTCTGGCTCGTGGACTGTGCCATCCCCGTCATTGCCATACATTCCAAAATGGAAAAGGACCAAACTCCCTGTCGCAAGGTCTAGATTGGCTTCAAGGGGTGAATCGAGGGCTATTTCACATCGATGAATCGAATTCAAATCAATATCCTCTAGCCTCATGATATAATTTACATTGATATTTATAGACTCTAATTCTATAGTCTGAAGGCCTTACACCTCGTCCTCGAACGGAATGCTATCCATAGCACCCTGTCGCTCCACGGCACGAGCTGACGCGCGCACTGCCAGGCGCATCGCCTCGTCCATAAATGTCTGGTATCGATGCGGCTTCTCCGCGTCAGTGAGATCCTGACCCGCCTTATTCGCGGCGCGACGTTGCTCTCGCCATCGCGCAACCTTGACCGCATATGCTCCAACAAATGTGTCGCCCGCTGCCGTAGTGTCTAACACTTGAGACACCGCTGCTGCAGGAATCTCATTCGTAAAACGCTTGACCCCATCGCTGGGACAAGTGGACCCGCCATCCGTAGCACTGTACCAGACGCCCTTGGCTCCCAGCGTAATGAGTAGGTACGTCACACCCAGCTTGTGGAAGTATCGTGCCACTTTCTCCTTGCTGTTCAGCCCCTCAGCATCTGGAACGACACGAAGAAGCTGTTCTGTAGGCGGCGTCATAAGCTCCGCTTCTGTTTCATTCAAAATCAAGTGGTCGACTGCCGCATAGACATCTTCAGGCAAACCTCCCGGTGGTGCAGGAGCCGGGTTGAGCATAACATCCGGCCCAGACTCGATCCCACGCTTGCCGGCAGCGCGATTCTTTTTTTTGAATGCGGCGACTTCCCGAAGAATCCCAATGACAGTGTCGACTGGAATCTCCCCCTGCATTACGATCACGTCGGGCAATGGGGTAGAGAGAGCGGTTCCCAGAACCTCGGGCTTAGGCTGCATGCCCGTGTAGTTCGCACCGGGCGAGAAACAAATGCGATTCTCACCTCCAGCGGACGAATCGACGATAATAACTGCCACGCCAGTGTATGCATCCTCAATGACTCGCACTAGCGAGGTGTCCACTCCAGACTTCTCAAGAGTCGGCTTCAACAGGGCAGAAAAGTGGCCATCCAGGGCACCGACAGCACCAACCATCTCGACGTGAACGTCACTATTGGCATTCATTCCCTCTCCGGTGGGTTGTGGTCGAGACAGGCGTCCACATGCGACCGCCTGGTTTGCGCCCTTGCCGCCGGCACTGGTGAAGTACTTTGAAGCCGTGATTGTCTCGCCGGGATCGGGAAAACGAGGTGTGACGGAAACCATATCGGCATTGAGGGAGCCGACGACACGAATGAGGGGAGCCATGATAGGCGCAGGTCGCAATGGCGTCGTCTTTCAATGTGAGGGGTGTGGGGTCGGGATAGCTTAAGAGCGATTGAGGGCCACCGCTCGATTCGGTATCGCAAGAAAGGAAGTGATGACAGGACTCAATGTCTCTGCCCAGTTGCTTGGAGAGCTCGTACTAATAGGTCCACGCAACGGGAAGAGGATCGAGTGACGTGACGGCGCGGGGCATATTTATCCGGATGTGGATGCGAGATCCACCCGCGGGGGGCAATTTGGAACTATATGAATATTTGAAGATAAGACTTCACGGCTCGAGCAATGCGACAAGGGTGAGGTTTCTTTTGATCTGAGATTCATAATATCTCACTCATCGCGCAATCCAGAGTTGGAACTATTGACTTAAGCCAGGGGCCTCCCCTCTTTAAGCCTAGTGAGTCGAGCTATGCCATCCAAGATCTTGGCATTTAGGTTGAAGCTCAAAAATCGTTCATGAAGGCTACAAGCTCAGCTTGCTCCCAGTAAAAAGGTGCACTGACGAGAATTTAGGAGATGATTGCAGTAAAATTCAAATCATGACGCTCGGTTCTTCGAAGTGGATTCGTGAAGGGTGTGTTGTGCGGTGGGCGAGCCTTTGGAGACATATATCACAGCTACTTGCATACATCATGTATGGGCACAATGGAAAGCTTCCGCATTCATGGCCCCGTTTACATTTGGGGTATCGAACCAGAATCGCACCAAACACCCTGAGATCTCTGAGAGGGTGGGGCCGGAGTGAGGAGAAATGGCCTCTCAACAGATCAAATTGAGTTGCCCTTTATCATGATTTTACATTCTCACTCCTCGGTCAAGTCTCACAGTTGGTGTCAGCAATCAGCGATTTGATACATACTTCTTCATTGATCACTCTACAGCTGATAGTTGTGGCTTGATTCCTGCATGCAAAATGCGCTTGTCGCTGACGCTGAGGGTGCTCGACGGTGGTTTCGCAAAAGGCAGGCTCTATCCCGTGAAAATGGAAATGGAAATTGGAAAATGGAAATTGGAAAATGGAAATTGGAAAATGGAAAATGAAAAATGGAAAATGAAAAATGGAAAATGAAAATGCAAATGCAAATGAAGGTGAAAGTGAATGTGTGAGAGTACGAATTTAAAAGATAGAAAGGAGGAGAAACAGGTTTTCTGTGGAAGAGATTTACAAAGAATGTAGACGCATCTGAAATGAATCTCTGGCCAATTTACATGGTATTGCCCTGGCGGCAAGAGAATCCATATGAGATGTTTCATGTACTAAAGGCACTCAGACAAACACCAAGTTTCCATTGTCGTTGGAGATCCGCTCCGCCAGATTGACATCAGCATCAATCTCCTCGTCATCAACGTTCTTCAATTTAGCACGAAGAATAGGAAGATCTTCGTCACCTTCGCGGTGAAGCTCAATGTCACTGGCACTGTCCTTGAAGTCCTGGCCTCCCCATTCGAAAGAGCCTATGGATTGATTAGCTGTGGTTCCTCAACAACTTGGATACAGTGGGGCAACATGCCGTTGTTATTGCCAATAATGTGGTTCAAATCCAGCTCAGACTCGTTTTCCTCGCCATCTTCAGTCCGAAGAGTTGCTTTGAGGATGTGGTCATCGTCCAGCTCGAAGCTGAGGGCAGACTGGTGGAAGCTCATGATGTGTGTGTAATGGTGAACTGTGGGGTTTTGGCAGGTGGGAAGACTTGTCGACAATCTAGTTGGAGAGAAGGACCCTTTTATGTTTTCCACGACTAGGTTTTTAATGAGCCGGGTTCTACTGAGGTACCTCAATCTCCTTTACAAAAGCCCCGTTCCTTGTCTACCACTTGTCCCAGCCTCATTTGTTATCCGTTCTAATGTGGGCTGTTTACTCGCAGGCGTTCCACATTGGGCGCTCTAAGAGGCAGGGTGGAGGGCACACATGCCACGCCACAGAAAGGCTGAAAGAAAACAAAATCCCCACTGGTTGAAACATAAAACGCATCGAGCCTAAGATGGGGCTTGACATTGCGCCGACTCAGACAATTTGTGGAGTCAGCTTTATCCTGTGGTGTAGTCTACACCCTAGGAACTTCTTCCGAGAGGCATAAAAAAGGCGCCCCCGTATCCAATTATCGTGGCGCATGATGCAGCCCTATTTTTCAGCCACAGGGAATGCATATCATGTTGCAGTCGCGATGCTCGCCAAGAGCTCCGTTATTGCCCCGCTTGTGGGTTAAGCGCCTGTCGTCCTTACTATAGACCAGATTATGCCAAGAGGAGAATTCTGATGCCTAGAGGCTCTTCGGTCATTATGCATTACCTGCATGCAAGAGGCTTGGGATTCCGGGCAACCTTGAATTACTTTGGCTGTCAGACTAAGGAGTTGTTGAGGGGGTTGCATCTATGTGAACAATTGAGTAAATAGTGTTTATGCCCCTCGGAACAGTACCAAATATTCTGATGGTAGGGCGGAGATGGACAAAATTCGCAGCTGCCCCATAATAGGTAGCTGCAGTGTTTTGCTTGGCAGGCTATTCTGCAATTAAAGAAGCGAGATGTATGGATACGCCCCCACTTACCCTGACAGACCGAAGCGACCCAGGTGTTGGACTGCACCCAGATGCCTACAAGAATGTCAAGATCTTGAAGGGTCACTTGTAGTAAATGGACAATGCATTCGAAATCGTATACTTTTCCAAGACCAATGAAGCCTTTACACTCTTGCAACTTGATTTCCAAGCAGTAATCGCGCGCACGCTAGTCCTTTCTACGGAAAGGGCCGTGAATACTCCCCGCTTTGTAGACCGCTCCTTAGAATTTTATCTTTCATTTACAATATGAGCAAGAGACCCGAAATCTTGTGTTTTACACAAGACCGCTATACACACTAGACATCGCGAAAATAAAAACGATGTTCCATTGGTTATCTTTCAAAGATTCGAAGGGTGGGTAAGGCAAGCAATGACGAAGGTAAAACAGGGCCTAAGTTCAGCGGACAGCAGATAATGATTCGCAAGCTTCAAAAACCATGTACCATTCCGACAGTATCAATGGGATCACCTTTCAAGTGTCTCATTTGATATAGCCCAAATCACGGAATGCTCGATCTAGGATCTCATGGATCGTCTTGTCTTTTTCGTAGGGTATAATCCATTACCGAATCCCCAGCTACAGCCGTCTGTTCCGCCGCCTCGTATTTTATTTTGGCATACGATTCTAGATCCGCTGGCGTTTTGAGTAACCAGTCACGAAAGATACGATGTCGGGCAGCTTCGGGCGAGTCAGGACTCCACACGTGGAGATTGACGTGGTAGGCGTTGGGCCAATCCTCCACAAAGAATCGGTGTTGGTGCCATCGCGGCTCACGCAAGAGAAATCGAAACCCTGCCTCTTCCAGAGGTTTGACATAGGATGCTTCATCCGTGGCATCATTCAGTGTCAGATCAACGTCAATAATGTCTTTGGCTGGAAGGCCAGGAACACTGGTAGACCCAGTATGAGCGATGTCCAAGATCAAGGCCCCCAGGGCTTTTTGAATCCGCTCTTTGACTTCTTCGAAACGTTGCGGCCATTCTGGGTTGGGCTCAACTATGGTAATGGAAGGTGTTACGGTTCGCGAGGCTACACGCTCCACGAGCTCCGGTTTGTGCTCGTAAGGCTCGAGGATCTGCGCAACTGGAGCGGGCATACTCGGATGGATGGTGGTTGACTCCAAGCTGACGGCGGAGTAAGGAGGGGAAGGTAGAGACTTGCGGTCCTTGGCCTAATCAATACAAATATCTCTTGCTGACCGGGGTGGCAGTTATGGTACCGTTACAATACATAGAACCACCCAGAATCGCGTGTTCTGTACCTTAAGTCACCTCGTCGAGGCGATTTTTTGGAGGATAATCACCATGCTTGCCAAGCATATACTCACTTGCTAAGTTTTTATGTTATGTTCAGTCCTGGTATCGAGTGAATAGCGCGAGAGATAGCATAGACTATTGAAGACATCATCCCTACCCATTTCAGCTCTGTATGGCATATGCACAACATATTGTAACACTACCGGCGGAGAGCGCTACAGATGGGGAGAATGGGAATAGATGGGCAAGTCGAGAGTGAAAGGCAGCCATTTTCCAGATCGCCAGAGTTACGAAGTGATTCTAAGTGGTCCCCTGTATTATCATGGTACTAGAACGATGCCGCATCAATGGCAGTAGTAAGAATGCGAAGGTGTATCTGATTTCGAATATTGTCGTTGAAAAAAATGTACCGCCAAACCTGATATCATACACGCCAAACACCCCATGAACTCCTTCGCCTCGCGAGACGATGCACAATCCGAAATTGTCACCCGTAGCACATATTGTATCAAAATTAACATGTCAAAATCATCAACGACGTATCACGGAGCGTTACGGTAGATCTGCGAACCGCCGGAGCGAATCTGGACAGTCTCTCTGCGTTGCAAGACCACCAGGGACCGATTGAGTGCTTGCTCACTGTAACCCTTGCCATCGACAAACTCGCGTCGCAATGTCGCCAAGCTGGTACTCCAACCGAGGGGCAGACGACGCTTGAGCTCTTCTTCAATCTTGTGAGCTTCCTCCATGAGCTCCTTGCTACCTTGACCTTCACCCTGGGTGACGGCATCCATGGTGGAAGCCAGGAACAGACGAATGGCCTCGTCGACATGGGCCTCGGTGGCGATGGGAGAGAGCTGCAGCTTGGCGAGAGACTCAGTGATACGGACAATGGCCTCCAATTGACGCACGGTGATGGGGATAGATGAGCGAGTGTTGGACTCGAGCTCAGTCCGGTGCACTTGCTTGCGAATAGAGACAAAGTGAGAAGAGAGCTTCTCGGCAGCTTCGGGAGAGAGGCGAGGGGCGCAACGGCTATCGACATAGGTTAGTATCCATGGAATAAGTCGATTCGACAATATTGTCAGACTTACCTGCGGCAGTAGCTGATGTAGCGCTTCATCTGGTCCACGGGAATTTCAGCTTCAACCTGCTCCTCCATACCACGACCGCCCATGTGAACGCCCATGACGTGACGTGCGATTCTCTCATCACGGCCACGCTCGTGGTCGTCACGAACGATGAAGATCATATCAAAACGGGACAAGATAGTCGTCTGGAAATCGATGTTCTCGCCCGGGGTCTTCAAGTCATCATAACGACCAAAGATCGGGTTGGCCGCCGCCAGAACGGATGTCCGGGAGTTCAGGATTGTGGTGATACCGGCCTTGGCAATGGAGATAGTCTGCTGCTCCATGGCTTCGTGGATGGCCACTCGGTCCTCGTCACGCATCTTATCGAACTCATCAATACAGACAACACCACCATCTGCAAGCACCATTGCACCACCTTCCAGGTAGAACTCGCGAGTGTTGTGGTCTCGCTGCACCGAGGCCGTCAGACCAGCCGCCGAGGAACCCTTTCCGGAGGTGTAAATAGCGATAGGAGCAGCCTTCTCAACAAACTTCAGCAATTGCGACTTGGCAGTACCAGGGTCACCCAGCAAGAGCACGTTAATGTCACCACGAAGTTTCATTCCATCGGGCAGGATTTTTTTTCGAGCCTCCCATTAGAAGACATACAATAGCCTTTTTGATGTCCACATTGCCGTAAATAGAGGGAGCAATGCTTCGGGCCAATGCATCGTACAGATCAGGACGACGACTGAGCTCCAAGAATTCCTGCTCCTCCTCTTCAGAGAAAACGGAGTTGCCCTTAGCGGTCTGATCCATGTCAGTGTTGAGACCCACTGCCCGCAAGTAGGGGTTACGAATAGCCACCGCAGCCTCCTTCTTGCCACCCTTGGCCTGGTAAATGGAAAAGATACCCATGACTGTGCAGCGGGAGCCAGGAACAACACGGTTGGCCAGGTAGCGGTCTGCAGAAATCAGAACGTGTCGGGGAAGTTCACCCACAGGCACCTGGTCAGGGGCCTCCTGAAGCTTCAAAACCTGCTGGTCCACGAACTGGCACTTCTCGTGGTGAACCACATAGGGATCGAGAGGGCACTGTTCGCCAGGCTGGTCACCAGGCTCTTTAGAGCGACCGCATCGCCGCGGGAGCGACAGGCCAGAGAAGCCACCTTCGACGTGAATATTTTCACTGTGGTCACAGTTCTTGCACCGAATGTGAATAAGAGTTGACTTTGAGGAGATAGTTGAAGCACCGATGACAATACCGGGAATTCGCACGAGATGGGAGATGTTTGTGGCGTTCAGGTCACGAATAGAAATGTGCGAAGCCGAAGAGTGCAGAAGAAGTTGATGGGATGGAAGAGTGATATCCCGCTGACCGGGGTAGACGATTCGGCGAGTGCAGTCTTGAAGTGCTAATTCAAACTACTCGGATTAGCGGGTCGCTTGTATGGAAGATGAAGACTGCGCATACCAGAGGAATAATATCGGCGGGCTCTGTGGTGAGTTTGTGGGCCAGCTCCTCATTGTAGGAAATAAGATGGGCAATGTCAATGTCGCAGTAAAATTGCTTCACAAGCACATTCTGTCGTAATTGATCGCTGTTGCATCAGGTCAGCTATTGGGAACCAGCCTCTTGGTAACATGAATGTGGGATGTCGTACCGGTAGATAAATGCATTATCCAGCTGGAATTCAAGCACAAAGTCCCGCAGGCGATTTTGAATAGTTGTGCGAGACTCATCAGCACCGTTGGTGCTGGGCGCAAGGACGCTCAGGGTATAGGGTGTGCGTCTATCCATGGGTGCGGTTGTTGATGGCGGAGGACAGGAAGGGAGAGAACTTTTGGGCTTTGGCGGGTCGCGCGTCGCGTCGGGTTAGCTACGCGTTAAGTGGTTCTGCCTCAGGCTGGAAGACAGAGCTGACCGGATGAATACATTATCCGAGAACTCTCGCTCCGGTTAGCGTCTTTCCCGATTGGGTGGACATGCACATGGCATCCTGGAAACAAAAGCCACCTCGACAACTACGCTTAGGCCAGGCCTGTGAGAGATCTCTGACCGGAACTGTGCAGTCCGACGAGCTCGAGCATTGAGTGTGGTTGTTGCTGTGCCGGGCTGACAGCTCCGCTCCTCCGACATACATCTGTCATGATCAGATAACTCGGAGCTTCCCCAACGATCGACCCCGAGCTGTCGCATCCGCCTCGCGGACCTGCACAATATGGCGCCATCTAGTCCGCGCAAGTCAATTGACAGTCTGGCTTCAGGCGCGTCGACTCCATCTATCTCCTTCTACTCTTCACCCCAGTTGGAGTCTCCGCGGGTACCCCCTCAACGGTACCCCCTGAGGAGGGGATCTACGGCAAGTTCGATCGTGAGCATTGGAGGAGCCTTGGACACGTCCCATCACCATGGCCCAATCGCCGAGTCGGGCCAGAATGGTTCGTTGAGTACTCCAAGCCTGGAGCGTCTCGATTGCTGATACGCTAATGCTCTGTATAGCTATCTCCACACTGCTCCAACCACCCATTACCCGGACCGGCTTGACACCTCATACTGCGGCAACTGCGAGCGGATACAAACCCCCCTCATCCCGCGATATCACTCCAGTTACCCTCACAAATATCACGCATGTGGACCCGAAGGTATTTCAACCGTATCTGGCGCAAATAGGCGGTCTTTACGATGTTTTTCAACAATCCAAGGAAAATGCCGGAGAAGAGAGCCAGCAGGCGCAGGGAATGAAATCCCCGAGACTTGATGATAAGGAATCTTTGATGCCATGGAGTCCTGAACGAAGATCTTCATTCATGTCTACGAGTAGTTCACGACCCACCTCACCATATGACTCTCGCGGAAGACGTTCCTCTGCTGGCTCACGGGGCCGTGGGCCTGCCGTGACACCTTTGTCGACTATACCACCTGTCTATTTTGAGGAGGATTTCCACCCTAGAGAACCCGCGTACATTCGATGTTATCTCAGAAAAATCGGAGGTGGTTAGACCGCCAAGACCGCCAACAAAGGACGATAAGCACTTGAACGGTGGCGCGCCCGAGCCTGTGCACACCGGAAGAAAAGCATTAGCTACCAATGCCATTCTTCAAGAGAAGCTTTCGTGGTATATGGATACGGTTGAAATTCACTTGATCTCATCCATTTCAACTGCTTCCAAATCCTTCTTTACGGCACTAGGTTCGTTACAAGAATTGCACGCGGAAGCTGCTGATTCTGTCAACCGCATCCAGGTCTTGCGGCGAGACCTGCAAAAGATTGATAAAGAAATGGCTTTAGGTGGCCTAAAAATAGTGAATTTGAGACGGCGAAGAGAAAATGTGCGAATGCTGGCAGCTGCAGTGGCTCAGCTTCGTGACGTTGTCGAGTCAGTCTCGCGATGTGAAGAGCTTGTTGAACAAGGAGATATCGAGGTCGCTGCTGATGAGCTCGAGGAGGTTGATAAATTGATGGCTGGCGAGAAAACTTCGGACCGGCCTGCCGAGGACGAGAAAGGTTCCCCAAGGCGGGCCATTGACATTCGAGGTCTTCAAGCTCTTGAAGGAGCGTCTGATGACCTTGCAGTGTTGCGACAGCGCATTGGAATGGGCTACGAGAGCCGTTTCTTGAATGATCTGCTAGGTGACTTGCGCCAGCATGTCCAAAATGTGTCCTCCAACGTGACATTGCAGCGTTGGGGTGCCTCCTTCCAGCGACAACGTGGTGGTCAACGCCCCGCGTCTATGATTTATCCGGCATACATGAATTTTGATAGCGAGCTGCGATCTAGATTGCAAACTCAGCTTCATGGTCTTGCACGAGCGCGTTATACTACTCCTGCGGCAACTTCGTTCAAAACCGCCGTTCTACGCGAAATGAAGGGCTTAATTCGCAGGCACTTGCCTAGTTCCAGTGATGACGACAATGAGTCTATGGTGTCGATATCGACACACAACGACCGGCAGCGAAGTCAACAAGAGAAATCGTCAAGTCTTGCGCGCAATCTTCGTGCACTCGAACCAGAAGATGCCTATGCAATGCTCGTTGCGGTATACACAGGCATTAGTGAATGCTTGCGTCGCTTGAGTGTGCAGGTCAAAATTCTCTTGGACGTGGCCAGTGGTCTTGGAAGCTCTCCAACCGCCGCTGTAAAATCACCGCTGAGTCCCCGCCCTGGAAACGGAGATAATGTATCTTCTGCATCTGCCATGGCACAGGACGAGATTTTGCAAGTTCTGGACATGTCGAGTCTACTCGGCCAAGCGGTAGACATTGCCCAGTCTCAGATTACCAAGGTCCTCAAAGTTCGATCAGAACAAACATCTCAACTTTCGAAAGAAGAGTTCTTGAAGTACTTCACTCTGAACCGTCTTTTTGCCGATGAGTGTGAAGCCATCTCCGGCCGAGGTGGCACTGCACTGAAGACAATTGTGAGCAACCAGATCAAGGAATTCATATCTCGATTTAGTGAAGGCCAACGGCATCGTATTGTCAAAGTCATGGACGCAGACCGCTGGGATGCGCGTGACTTTGAAGACTCAGAAGTCACTATCCTTACACGTATCCTTGAGGCGAGCACCAACGATATTGAGGACTGGGTTGGAGTCACAAAAATCTGGGTCGCGAATGACGATAATGAGAAAACCAAATCTCCTCAAGCAGGCAGCGACATCAACGGGTCAGGCAAAGAGAAGGTACGCACTGCTGTTATTGATGAGCAGAAATACATCCTGCCGGACTCAGCCGTGGAGATTATGCGCAGTATCGAAGAATTTGAATTCCTTATGGCCAATATTCCCAGCATGATCCAGGACATTGCCCCGCAATTGCTGGAAATTTTGAAGCTATTCAACTCGCGTTCTTCACAATTAATTCTTGGCGCTGGCGCTACACGCAGCGCCGGCCTCAAGAACATTACGACCAAGCACCTTGCCCTTTCGTCGCAAGCGTTGAGCTTTGTCATTGCCATGGTACCGTATGTTCGTGAATTTGTCAGACGACATGGGCAAGGGAACCAAGTTATGGCCGAGTTTGACAAGGTCAAGCGGCTGTGTCAGGAGCACCAGTCCGGTATCCACGAGAAGCTGGTTGATATCATGAGCTCGCGCTCAACTGTTCATGTCAATGCCATGAAAAAGATTGACTGGGACGCGGACAACTCATCAGGAGTTCATCCTTATATGGAGACATTAGCCAAGGAAACGGGTACTCTACACCGTGTATTGAGTAAACATCTCCCCGACATGACTGTGGAGATGATCATGGGCCCCGTGTTCAATAACTACCGAGACCATTGGATGAAGGCCTTTGAAGAAGCCCAAGTTGAGTCAGAGGCTGGCAAGAAGAGGTTCGTCTGAACATTTGTCCTTGCCTGACGATATGCTAACTAGATTCAGAATGCAAGCCGATATCGAACATTTCCGTACAAAGCTGGGCAAGATCCACGGTGCTACGGAGATTGGTGATAAGCTGCTTGAGCTTGTCCAAGACAAGGCAACTGTTGCCCTAGCCTCTACGCCCGCGCCAAAAGCCGAACCCACGAGCGAGAATCAAGCCCAAAGCAACGGATCTGATTCAGCCGAGTCTTGATACCCTTCGCCGTTAATCGGTACATCTACACTATATATATAATTCCTTTCACTTTGATTGCAAACCGTTGCATGGAGTTTAGAAGCTGCACAGAAGTGCACTTGCCATTTGCTTGTTCATCCATTGTCAACATATAGCGTGTCCGATGAATTGCATCTATAGAGTCAGCCTGGCGTTTCTTGTGGATATTCAATGACTATGTCTATTTACTGACCGATTCGCAAATGTGCTGTACTTATTAAATTGGAAGTAGGTTAACAGTTCATTCAAATCCTGAAATGTTGGGGGGCTCCTTCTCATCCTCTCCTCTCGCGGTTCTTGAAAATGCAGATTGGAAGGTAGTGGCAATTATCGTAGCCATTTCTTCCCTGGTGATCGCGGAAACCTATGACTGGATACTTGACGAAGGAACCCGCAAGGCAAATACAAGGATGTTGATGGCCAATTGTATGCTGCTCACCAAAACAACAATTCACTTCGGTGGCCGACAGCGGTCAGCATCAAAAGTTCTATAACCGGGTTAATAAAATATAATAAGCTGGTCTAGAAAAGCAGACATGACCATAAGTCCGAGTAAGTTGTCAGAGAACTTCTGCGCCTTTGTTTAGAAAGCGGGGTTGGGCGTTCGCCGACTCTACGTGAAGTTTCGACGACACAAATAGAAGGCCTACAAATCAGAACAAAACGAGAGCCCGAGCAGAAAGAAAGCACGCCCTCGTTTCAATCGAGAGACATATATTACATAGCGGTATTCCGTTCATTGTTCGCTTCTTTATTCAGAAAAAGTAGTGAGGTTTTGTTAGCTTAGGGATGAGAGCCTGACAGTTATTCTTGATAGACATTGTAAATGTATAATCGAGTAAACTGGAGGTGCTATGATCATATTGCATTACAGCACTAAAGCTTTCTCATTGTTCACAGCTGTAAGAGCTCAATGCAGCCCCCTCCAGCGCAGATGCTCTCAACCACAGCAACATCGGCCATCGCCTCACGAGCTCCAGCTTTTTTATCATGCGCAGCACCAGCACAGGATCCAAGAAAAGCCTTGATCTCCTGGTAAACGCCTCCACCGAGAATCTCCTCATCAATGACAACATTATCGCCTTTCTGCTCTTTTTCGAGCACGATCCGCCAAGTGTCCTCTTTACCATCCACGGCACTGATGGTCAAAGCACCTTGATCTCCGACGAAGATGAACTCAAAGATCCCTTTGGTAGAAGCAAAACAGAAACTCAGTGAGCCAGAAGCCCCATCGTCAAATTCTATGGCTGCATTGACAGTGTCCACAGGGGAAGATGAGGATATTTCTGGTGACAAAGGCTGACCGTCTTGGTAATTTCACGTCCCGACACGTATCGAACCAGCGCGACGAAATGCACGCCGGCATCCAAGATAAATCCCCCCCTGGTACTCTGGTATCTTGCGCCACTCAGTCTCGTAGTATTGATTGTCACCAGGCTGGATGTTACCCCAAACACGAGCATGAACATGATGAAGCTTACCGATACGACCATCAGCAACAAGACTCGCGGCACGAGTGAAGGCACGATCATAGCGGAATTGCTCAGCAACTGAAAAGATCAGGCCTTGAGGGAGGTAGTCGCGCTCGTAGTCTTTGATCAGCTCATGAGCCGCTTTTGTGTCTTTAGCCACGGGCTTCTCGCATAATACGTGCTTGCCGGCAGCGAGACACTTTCGGACGACATCTGGCTGAACAAGAATCGGGAGTGCAACGATGACTGCTCCAATGTCTGAGCGTTGCAACAATGCGGCGAGACCCTTTCCTTCGGAATCCAACTCATCGGCGTAGATATCAATGTTAGAAGACGTGGCGCCTAGTTCATCAGCCACTGTCAGGACAGACTGTGCTGACTGGGCAGAACGCGAATAAACTGCTAGCAGATTGGCTTGTAATTTCAACAATGCCGGTAAGTGAGCTAGAGACCATTAGCAAAGAGCAAGGAGCCATGGAAAATAAGCGTGGAAGAATGAAGATACTCACCTTCCTTAACAAACAGCCCAGCTCCGAGTAACGCGATTCCAGTCATTATCTGGCACACTTGTAATTGCAAAGTATGAGGATGATGAGAGCTGTTTCACGTTGGACACAACGGGGCAGTACTCTTTGTATTATTCTCTGAATGACCCTCCTGGTGGCCGAGGTAATCTGCAGATATCAAAGTAATTCTCCAGAACTTGATGTAGACATAACAAGATTGGCGGCATCTAATGCCAGAGAACGCTAGAGGACTACCCCGCATTCCTAACTGGAACCGGTGAAGCAGCCGCGTCGAGAAGGGACTTATAACATATTGACTAGTCTCAAGTTATCTAGTTCGGTATGTCCAACCCATGGTGATGTTTCTGGCAGCCATGAAACCTACTACCGGTCATCATGGGCTTCAGAAACATGCGCAGCATGATGTGGATACAGGAACGCGTTATTTTTTTGCACATATGCAAAAAAGTTTGACGAAATCAAGGAGATACTTCTCAAGATCATTGATGCGATGAGTCGAATTCTTTCCCCGCCTTCCACACTCGTCCACTGTCGTTGCCTGCGATATCAGCGCCTTTATAGGAAACTTCAATCATTGCTTTTTTGTCGAAAGATTTGAACAATAAAGAACGTTATTCGAGAACAGAGCTTTTACGAAGATGCTACGATCTCTTCGACAATTGAATTTGGGGAATCATTTATTCATGTAGCTATGCCAATCAAGCCTCGAAACCGAATCCGAAAAACTCCACTGATAACAAAACAGTGTACAGGAAACGTAATGCGTAGCTCGTGCCACTAGAATTCATTTAAATGGGTTGCCAGCACCGCATTTACTGTCCAGGCAGAGCACCAAGGCCCTTCTTATCACCAAGGGTCTTGGGCTCGTGACCGCCCTTGCCGCTGCTGTGACCGGGGGCGCCGGTGCCGCTGAAGACTTCGCGATCAGAGCCGGTCTCGGCGGGCATGGGAGCAACCTTGCGGTCGAGGGGACCGTCCTGTGTGGATTGTTAGACTTGGGGTTTGTTATGTAAAAATAAAATTGCAAGACATACCTCCTTGCCGACACCGTGGGCCTTGGTGGGGCCGTTCTCGATGGCGTTGTCGCTCTGGGGGACACCGTTGTCGTACTCAGCGCCGCGAACCATTTTGAATGTGTTGTGTGTGTAGTTGGGGGGAGGTGGGATATGGTGAAGAGTATAGATTTGGTCTGGGTCAATTGTTAGCGACTAGATACTTGGAAATCATTCGTGGAGATCGCCGAGATAGATGGAATACCTTTTGAAAATGGAGATGAAGTTATTGGTTTGGGTGATGAATTGCTAGCAGTATGATGGTGCGTATGCACGACTTTAATAGCTCGATGCAGAGACTTAGTCAAACATCTGGACCGGATGCGTGACAGCATCATGAAGTCATGGCCCCACAATGACTTCATCAACGAATTGGCATCTAATTCTGGTTCATTCCTGACCATGACGCTGGAGAGGGTCTCCGTGGAAATGAAATGGAGTCAGATGCAAGTACTCAAGTACATTCTAGAAAGAAAAGAGGTCATATTCTGTACCAAATGTCACTGGGTGGTGGGTCGGCACCAGATAGGACGCAAAAGTAGACTCGCACACCGGGAATCTCAACGAAAAACATGCACGGGGAAATCAGTACAACTTTGACACGCGACCAAGTCAATGAAACAAATTTCGCCAGATTCTACGGTCCTGGGCAACTTGACCTGCATTCAAGCCGGCAACAAGACCTGATGGTAGGGGAAAGCTGCCCGCCCCAGGGAACTCACGCCAAGGCCAGGTCGAACGGTGGTTTGGGAAAGTATTAGATACCATGCTGGGTGGGGAGAGACTGCCATGTGCCCATTCTCTTCTCTCTTGATCGACTAGATGCTCCAACGAAGCTATGGTCTGCAAGCGGCCTCTGGAGACGCTCATTCCCGCAACACCGATTCCATCGCGACCAAATCTCGAGGTGTCAATTAGCTGGGGTACCTGTTGTGAGTTTAGACTGTGGGCGTCAATTAGAAACATCTCCGACGTCTGACGTCTCACGCTGACGGAGGTCCTTGGAGTTATCAACAACGGACGGGGAAGTGTAACTGGCGACAGGTTGCTCATCACACTTTCAGGCTCCGATATTGGGTAGGGAGGGCGTCCGGTAGTCTCGGACAATTGGATATCCAGGGACACTGGAGTGGGAGTTTCTGAAGATGCAAACTGCCAGTAGTTACTAGGAGCCGAGGATCAGGACCTGGGTGTCAAGCTCAGACTGAGGAACACGATACGGCGGACAGATAGTGGTATGAGACGCCCGGTTCTCCAACGAGATGGAAGTAGAACGCTCGAGGTATGTGGGCTGACGAACTTGACTTCTAACTGAACAGCAATTGTTTCCTGTGTTGTGAGGTCTATTCACAGAGCAGTACGAGCATTTGCTATCGTCGGGCTGATGACGTTGATTCGTCGACTGCGACAATGAAATGAGGCTTCGAGTGGACGAGATCTCGATCTGTTCCTGAGACGAGCCTGGACTACAGACAATGTCCACACTCGGCGGAGTCACTGGACAGATTGTAGATTTAGACAAAGCAGAAGGCCAATGGGATGTGGAGAATGAGAAGGAGAATGAGTGGAACATACTTTGGCTGAGATATGTCTTTGGATAACCATTGACCACTCTGAGTCCGCCCCCATGCAGTTCATGATGTGATGGGCTCACATCGGTGCTACCGGAACCATCCACTTCCGGCATCGTTAGATAGGCCCGGCCATTGGGGCTACTATTAGGGGAAAGAACAGAATCGGAGTTGACCGCTGTAAGCCCACGCATGTTACCAAGTTGAACAGTAGAGTCTATCGCTATGCCTCTGAGAAATTCGTCCGTGACGGGCGTCTCACCCCAGGAGCCCTGGAAGGATGCTATTGGGGAGGCTCGAGAACATTGTCTAGATCCAGAGCATGAGCACGAAGGCATCGTGAAATCAGCGACCGGGTCAGAGGACTTTCTTCTATTCCGTAACTTGTGAAGCAACGTTTGTGATGCCCAGTACAGTCGTCGGATGAAACATGGCGCTGGCATATTGTAGATAGAGTTGCTTGGTGCCCGTGTGGAATACATCCAAAAATTTTACCTACCTAGCTAAGATATCTAGGTAGGTACGGCGATGTTGCCCAGACGGGCTCTTTCGGTACTGTAAATGCGTCCCCTGGTGATGGTACTCTAGGGAGAAAAGGGAATATTATCCTCTAGGAGACACCAGTCGAGGTATTTATTTATCTTGGGTCTGGCTTGTTGTTGCAAAATGTTTGAATCATTGCGAGCAATCCCTGCGGATTGTGTCTTTGTGAGAATAGCATTGATAGGCATTGATGGGACATTGATTGAGGCTATGCTACAGGGTATTAATCGAAATTCAAATAAAGAATAAATTCTGGTGAGCGAGTCTCTGACAATGAAGGAAGTTGACCCAGCTCATTGCATCCAGTCATACCATTAAGAAGCGAGTTTCAGTTGCAACTATGTGTCTCGTTTAGTCTCATAAAGATTCTTACGTGGTTCCTGGATCTTGGTGCCGAATAGTTCAGGCAGCACAGCAAAGACCAAGTAAAGATCAAGTTTGCAAAGGGAAAGTGGAGCGTGCAGTGACATCACCATAGCTTTCCCCAGAAATCGAGCTGTCAACGTGCGCCGACTGGCTCTTCCCTGCCCTACCCTTTTTTTTTGCCGCTACCAGACATTGCCCGCAGATTCAGGGGTTCGGATTGGAGGCATTGATCAGATCGACGCCTGCAACAGCACCAGGTACATGAGAGGTACTGAGTTTTGGTAATTTGGGGAGCCTGGGGCAACCGATTCGGTTAGTTCCCTCTCCGCACACGTATATCGTGGGGGTTTTGATCAAATCCCCCCTTAAACCATAGCTAGGAAAGCGACAGGAGCTTGAAGCTACGGCATTTACGCGGAAAGCCTGACCGGAATCCCATTCGGGATACATTTATAAACGAGGCTAACGGGGTCGGAGCCAGAGCGTCGTACCATGTTCCAACTCGGACAGCCGCCTCGGCCAAGCCCGGGAGAAAAACTCGAAAGTTGGCTGATCGCCCTCACTTTTGGAAGGGAAGAATTGCCACCCTTGTGAGAGAATCACTGTACATACAACTTGCTATTCCTTGCCTAGTAGATGCACTTCAATTGCGCCTTCAGTCCTGTGCTCATCCTAGTAAAATGTAGAACCAGCCTCCACGGGGAAAATCAAGATCCCGCCCCCGCACAGACCGAGTCCGGAGCTGCCAACCCCGTTTTACAAGGTCCTAGTCCCCGAGCTTGCCACTGCCCCCTCTTTCCTTTTCTTTTCACTCAGAGCTTCATTTTCCCTTCACTGAGCTTCAGCTTCAGCTTCAGCTTCAGCTTCAGCCATGGCCGACGAGAACGGCACCGAGCCCATCAAGCGCGATGTGCGCAACCATATGCTGTTCGAGGTAGCCACCGAGGTGGCCAATCGCGTCGGTGGCATCTACTCTGTGCTTAAGTCCAAAGCTCCCGTGACCACTGCCGAGTATGGTGAGCGCTATACTCTGATCGGCCCTCTCAACAAGGCTTCGGCTGCGGTGGAGGTTGAGGAGCTCACGCCATCCAACCCGGCGATGCGCGACACTATTCAGTCCATGCAAGCGCGAGGAATCGAGATCCTGTACGGTCGCTGGCTGATTGAGGGTGCCCCGCGCGTCTTGCTCATCAACACGGGCACAGGCTACCGCTGGTTGGACGAGTGGAAGGGCGATCTGTGGAATACCTCCGGTATCCCGTCGCCGGCTGCCGATCATGAGACCAATGAGGCGATCGTTTTTGGCTACCTAGTCGCATGGTTCTTGGGCGAGGTAAGCTAACTCCACACCAACCAATTCAAGCAGTCCTAGAATTTCGTATTAACAGCTACATAGTACATCGCACATGAACGTCGCCGGGCCGTCGTCGCCCACTTCCACGAGTGGTTGGCTGGTGTGGCTTTGCCCCTGACCAAGAAGCGTCATATGGACTTGACAACCATCTTCACCACACACGCTACACTGCTGGGGCGTTATCTCTGTGCGGGATCGGTTGATTTCTACAACAACCTCCAATACTTTGATGTAGACGCCGAGGCCGGCAAGCGTGGTATCTACCACCGTTACTGCATCGAGCGCGCGGCTGCGCACAGTTGCGATGTCTTCACTACAGTGTCACACATTACTGCATTCGAGAGCGAGCACTTGCTGAAGCGCAAGCCCGACGGTGTCCTCCCGAACGGTCTGAACGTGAAGAAATTCTCTGCCATGCACGAGTTCCAGAACCTGCACTCCCAAGCCAAGGAGAAGATCAATGACTTCGTGCGCGGCCACTTCTACGGACACAATGACTTCGATCTGGACAACACCCTCTATCTCTTCACCGCTGGTCGGTACGAGTTCCGCAACAAGGGTGTCGACATGTTCATTGAGGGTCTGGCTCGTCTCAACCACCGCCTCAAGTCGGCCGGTTCGAACATGACTGTCGTGGCCTTCATTATCATGCCGGCCCAAACTTCCTCCCTGACTGTCGAGGCCCTCAAGGGCCAGGCCGTCGTCAAATCTCTCCGCGACACCATTGAGAACATTGAGAAAGGCATCGGCAAGCGCATGTACGAGCGTTGTCTCGAGTGGAAGGAGGGCGACAACATGCCTGATGAGAAGGACCTCATCACCAGTCAGGACCGCGTGCTCCTCCGTCGTCGCTTGTTCGCCATGAAACGCCACGGTCTCCCGCCGATCGTCACCCACAACATGGTCAATGACCACGAGGACCCCATTCTGAACCAGATCCGCCGCGTGGAGCTCTTCAACAAGTCTTCCGATCGCGTCAAGGTTGTCTTCCACCCCGAATTCCTCAATTCTTCCAATCCTGTGCTGCCCTTGGATTACGATGACTTTGTTCGTGGAACCCACTTGGGTGTTTTCCCATCCTACTACGAGCCGTGGGGTTACACGCCGGCCGAGTGTACAGTCATGGGTGTTCCCAGCATCACTACCAACTTGTCCGGATTCGGATGCTACATGGAGGAGCTGATCGAGAACTCGTCTGACTACGGTATCTACATTGTAGATCGTCGCGCCAAGGGAGTTGACGATTCAGTAAACCAGCTGACCGACTTCATGTTCAACTTCACCGAGAAGAGCAGACGCCAACGCATCAATCAGCGTAACCGCACGGAGCGTCTGAGCGATCTGCTCGACTGGAAGCGCATGGGACTGGAATACGTGAAGGCCCGCCAGCTGGCCCTTCGCAGAGGTATGTTGTCCATTTCATTTCAGCTTGTTTCAAACGAATTACTAACATTAAATTGCAGCCTATCCGTCCTCCTTCGATGGAAATGAAGACTACTTCAACATCATTGGTGGAACCGAGCAGAAGATCTCCCGCCCTCTGTCTGTTCCTGGATCTCCCAGGGATCGCTCCGGCATGATGACTCCTGGTGATTTCGCTTCTCTTCAAGAGGGTCGCGAGGGTCTGAGCACCGAGGACTACGTCGCGTGGAAGCTCCCGTAAGTTCAACTCCCACATCGACTTTGACATTTCCAAAGCTAACCTCCCACAAGTGAGGAGGAAGAGCCAGATGACCACTTCTACCCGTTGACGCTGCGAACTCGCAAGACGGCGGATCGACCCCAGTCCCCACTCGACAGCATCTCGATCAATGGGGACCCGGCGGAGGGCCGTAGTCCGAAATAGTAGGGAGGAGTGCCTGGAAAGCGGGCTGAAGCTGATTCATTGGTCCATTGGGGCCTCTCTTCTGCATTTGGTGTTTTTGTTTTCTCTTGTCTCTTCCGGAGTGGAGTACTTCCCCTCCATATCCTTGACGTCATGTTGTAATATGTGTTCCCCTAAGTTGACTCTCTACCTTACCTGTTGCTTGCATTTGGAGCCTATGATGTTCTATGGAATGGGATTCAAATTTTTCCCATCTTGGTCTGACCGTAAACCGTCTGGAGAGTATGAAAGCATGGCCCAGCTCGGAGGGATATCGGCGCCTAAACCGGTTGAATTCGGAAGACGGTGGGTTACAATTCGAATAGGTTTATGAGCCAACCCCAAACATGCAGATCATTATCGTGCCGGTGAGCCTTTTCTTACTCATCTCGGTGGTGTAATCATGAGCAAAGCCCGTAGACCCTGGGCTCTGCCCCGCCTGGGGTATTTCTACCCCTCTTGTGTTCATTTCTCGTACTTCCTTTTTCTCTTCTTCAATTACTCTTCTCCTCAATTGCATCAATTTCACTTCATTCAACTTTAAATTCGAGTCTACCATCGGTACGACACTCTATGGAGCCGCGCACGTCCTAGCCTCGATCCCCCCAGCCGGGGGGGGTTTCCAGGGACTCTCGCTACGATGATCATCGCGGATCAAGGTATTTTTCATAGTATAACAGTCACTGCTACGCATGACAGGTGTTCGGTCAGACCAATCTTTACGGAGTGAGGTCTGACTGTTCTGAGATTATACTGTCAAAACTTGATCTAGATAATTCTAGCGAAAGGACATGCGTGACTTTGAATTGTTTCCCCTTTGTTTTGCCCCCCTCGTTCTGACTTGTCTCAACTGAGGGTGCCATTCTCTCTGGGATGCTGACCGGTTTTGAAGTATACATAGTTGAACTTGTTCTACCGTCAATATGGCCACTGACAAGATCACCTTCCTGACCAACTGGTATGGCTATGACTAACAGACTAGACCTGATACCTTGGAACTAGGCTAAGTGTGGTTCGCAGGCACGCGACCCCCTACCACGCTCCCCTGTACCTCGCCCAGGCCCGTGGCTACTTCAAGGATGAAGGTCTCAAGGTTGCCCTTCTTGAGCCCAACGACCCTTCTGATGTGACCGAGATCATCGGAAGCGGCAAGGTCGATATGGGTTTCAAGGCCATGATCCACACCCTGGCGGTAAGTTCCTATATTTCGCAAATCGATAAGTAGGGGCTAATACCCTCTTGAAGGCCAAGGCGCGCAACTTCCCTGTTACCTCAATTGGCTCTCTTCTGGACGAGCCGTTCACCGGTGTTGTCTACCTGAAGTCTAGCGGTATCACCGAGGACTTCCGTAGCCTCAAGGGCAAGCGTATCGGCTACGTGGGCGAATTTGGCAAGATCCAGATCGACGAACTTACCAAGTACTACGGCATGACCGCCGACGACTACACCGCCGTCCGCTGCGGCATGAATGTGACCAAGGCCATCATTCGTGGTGATATCGACGCCGGCATAGGCCTCGAGAACGTGCAGATGGTCGAGCTGGCCGAGTGGCTCGCCGAGCAGGGTCGTCCCCGCGATGACGTCCAGATGCTCCGCATCGACCAGCTCGCTGAGTTGGGGTGCTGCTGCTTCTGCTCGATCCTGTACATCGCCAACGATTCCTTCCTGGCCTCCAACCAGGAGAAGGTCCAGAAGTTCATGAATGCTGTCAAGCGTGCCACCGATGCCGTCATTGCCGACCCCGCTGGCACCTACGAGGAATACATTGACTTCAAGCCTATCATGGGAACCCCCGTGAACCGCAAGATCTTTGAGCGCTCATACGCCTACTTCAGCCGTGACTTGAAGAACGTCAAGCGTGACTGGGAAAAGGTCACCAACTACGGCAAGCGTCTTGGTATCCTCGATGCTAGCTTCGAGCCCAACTACGTTAACAGCTACCTCTCCTGGACTCTGGATGAGGAATCTGGCGACCCCACTGGTGACCAGAAGCGTATGGCTGAGCTGCAGAAAGATGTTGCTGCCAACGGTGGCTTCAAGCGTCTTGCCGTCGGGACCACGGCTTAGAGCAGAAGACTTTAGATCTCTATAGCCAGATACGTCGGTTCACTCGTTAGTCCGACTTCACTTGGCAGAATAATTAAGGAGACTCGCTTGATATCTCGAAGATGCAGTGATGTAAACCCAGTCTATTCAACACCGTAAATGCTATGCCATGTACAATCTCAAATCACTTAGACTCTTCCCGTTTCAAGAGAGGATCCTCCGCTCGCTCCCCAAATTCCAAATCGCTCAGCTCGTCCAGTTCATTCAGTTCCTCCCCGGAATGCGTAGCATGCCCCTCAGTGATACTCCGATTCTGTCCGTTCTTGACGCATAATCGTCTCCAGGCACAGCAGGGAATAAGCCTCCACACAAGCCACACACTCAACACGAACACGGTAGCCGTCAGGAATCCCATCCCGAACATAACAAGAAGAGACATTGGCCTTTGTATCTCTGGATCATCCTGCTGCTCCCCATCATAAACCATAATTTCCAACCTCAACTTCTCCGGATCTTCCCAATCCATCAAAGGCGACGCACCAAGATGCGCATCCATCTTATCCAGCCCGACAATCCTCAACTTTGTATATAAACACCCGTCAGGTATGTGGACAACAGTCTCAAACCCAGATTTTGGTACAGCCAAAATAAAGTCCAGCTCCGAATCCTCAACCTGTTCCTCGTCCTCCGACCTCGTCTGATTCCGCAAAGACGCACCTGCAAAACCCACGTCTTCACCTCCGTTGCCCCATTCCAACTAACAGAAGCATGGGTATCCGAAAGCGCCACATCAGGATTTGTCAGGGGCAATCCAACCCAGTCCTGCTTGAACACACGATACGACATGACCTGACCCGTGTTGAAGGAACTCTCTGATCCAAAATGTACTTCGCAGAGAACTTCGCCGTCGGGCGCGAACTCGGTGTACGCGGCGCTGGAGCCGTACCCGACGAGCACATTTCCGTTGTCAAGGATTTGTACTGAGCCCTGGGATTGACTGCTGATCGGCAGTGGGTTCCAATATTGGTGGCGGACGGAGGCTGTCATATCTCTTTCATCAATATCGATGAACAGACCGCGGCTCGGATTCTCGGGGGCACCTTGCCCGCGAGAAGAGTTGTCGAAGATGGTGATTGCTCTTGTTTTAGAGGTCGAGTAGTCAGGTTGAAAGCGGGCGTGATGCTGCCAACTGAAATTGGTCGCCGCGCCACCGGATAAATCGACGAACGAGTTGCGTTTTCCACCCAATTTCCAAATGATCTCACCTGTTTGACCATCGACATATGCCAGACTGTTCATGTATCTGGACGAGACGAGAAAACTACCCATCTCGTCTTTATCAACACTGTTAATATGGAAGAAGTCCCATGGCTGGTCTTCGCTATCACCATTTCCTTCGCGGTCTCGCTCGACTTCAGTGAAAGCGAAATGCTCCGAGGCGCGCCATTCGAAGAGTATCTCGTTCGACTCGACGTCTACTTCCACGAAGATACCGTCCCAGATCCATCCATTCTCGAGCCCGCCTACATCGCGCAGATCAGCGGGAGTAATAGCATAGGCAATGAAGACCGCCGTGTCATCTTGCGTAATTTGAAACTCGTGAATATCAACATCCAACCCATCTACACCGTCAATCTTGTAGACTTGTTCATAATGCGAATTAAGCTATACAAATCAGCACGACAGACAGCTAAACACCAAACGCATCATCATAGTTTGACAATGAATCAACAAGGAGGAACGACTCACCATATACCCAAACCCAACCGCATGCTCGCCATCAACATGGTCCCCGGCCCAATAAGTCAAATATTTCTCCCCTTGAAAGTATAAACATTGAGATTTAACGTAACCCAAGAATCATACTCCTTAAACCAAACCAAGTGGCCCTCGGAATCCAAAATCATCGGCCCAGGCTTTCGAACCGCCGGTCCACGCGGCGCAAGCATCACGTACCCATCACTGCACGCCTCGCTGCGCTGCCAGTAATTTAAAATCGGACCTTGCACCCCCTTCGACGAGTACCGCTGCACCGGGAACGGCCCATCGTGGCCGGCTTTATACCTCTGGCTGCGCCAGTAAGCTTCTCGGTCCGCGAAAACGTATAAAAGGAGTGTCGCGAGCGTGAAGATGCGCGCGAGCAAAGCAATCATCGTTGGATGAAGAGATCATGATCATGGCTTACGGGAGATCTATTTAAAAATTGGGGTGTTCGGCATGGGATGCCGTTGGGAACGAGTCCACGCGGCCGGCAGCTGAGGATTGGGTCCGCTAGTACCAGAACAGGGGAGGTGGAGATCAGAGTGGGACTCTTCCCACTCTATTTTCCTCTCTTCGCATCGGAGAGAGTCGTATAGACTTCCAGTTGAGAATTGGGATTTAGTACTTTGGGTGGAATCGTATAATCTGGATACCTTGGTGATCTTGAAGTTCTGATGATCCGGTGGACGGCTGTGACTCTTAAATTTATTCTCAATATGGTGTTGGGATTCCGCGGGGATTCCGCGGTCTGTCGGAAGGCGGCGATCGATAAGTGATGGATGATCAATGTAATCAAAATATTCCTCGACCTGGTATCGACTGCAACAGGCGTTCGCACTTACGCTCGGGGCTCCGGGGTTCTTGGACGGGTTGACGTGTCTATAGAGTGTGCACATAGTTCCTTTACTTATCCGAAAGCCAAGCCCCAGCCATAATGGAAAAAATTGGAGCATGTCTGGACAGACTTTCATACAACAGTGATCTAGATCTGTAAATGAATTTGAATAAGAGAGGAATATGTGCTAGTGCCAAATGCGTATTATACACAGTATACATGGTATTAGCCCAAATGAGACCTGCATCGTCGTCACGCATCGAAGCGCCGGGTATCAAGTATTTTCAATTATGCCCAATGCGCCATGCATACTTCATCTATTTGGTCCGCTGGTAGATTTTGCCGAGGAAAGCCTCGAAAACCTCCTTCTTGAGACCCTTGGACTCGTCAACAGCCGCAATCTTAGCCCGCAGCTCGCTGACAACAGTCTCTTCGTACTCCTTGTACAGCTGCTCAAGCTTGAGCTCGTCGAAGACCTTCTTCACCTTGAGCTCCGCCTCCTTGTCCTTGCGGCCGTAGGAGGCATCCAGAACCGCGCGCTGTTCGGCGGTGCAGCGCTGGATAGCCTGGTTGACCAGCCACGAGCACTTGTTGTCCTGGATGTCGGTACCAATCTTGCCGATGACCGAGGGGTCGCCGAAGTTGTCAAGGTAGTCGTCCTGGATCTGGAAGTACTGACCGAGAGGGATCAGGATGTCGTGGGCCTGCTTGAGGTTCCTCTCCGTGGCGACTTGTAAATAGTGCATGGCCAGAGCAACCGGCAGGTAGAAGCTGTAGTAGGCAGTCTTGTAGGTGACAATGAACATGTACTTCTCCATGGAGAAGTTGTCCAGGTTAACATTGTCCTCGGGAGCGGTGATCAAATCGCAGAGCTGACCAAGCTCGGTTTGCCAGGTGACCTCGTGGAAGAGCTCGACGATGTCGATGTAGGCGGGGTGGGAGCGGAAGCGCTGCTTGAGGATGAGGTAGATGGACCCCTCGAGCATGAAGGCATCGTTGATGGCAATCAGACCAACACCCTCATTACGATACCAGCAGGGCAAGCCGCGGCGAGTGATGGAGCTGTCCATAAGATCATCGCTAACCAAGAAGAAGGCCTGGAGTAGCTCAGTGAGCCAGCCCAGGATGCTCAAATGCTCGAATTGCTCGTCGGTCAGGGGCTTCTCCAGGAGGGCGAGAGCGGTGTCAGGGACCGAGAGGCCGCGGTTCAGCTTGCCGCCAGGAACATTGGTGTTCAGAGACTATCATGCCGAAGATTTGATTAGCGTCCACGATTGATTCTTGTGTCGTTCCTGGGAAGAGGGGTAATTACCTTCTCGAACCACTCGAGGGCGTTAGCTGGGAGGTTGTACTTCTTCGCGTGGGCCAGGATATCCTGGGCCAGCGAAGGGAAGATAGCCTCGAAATCAGCACGCTTAGTAGTAGAAGCCATATTGACACAATTGAGAAAGTCGCAAGTCGCAGGTGAAAGAACCATGCCCGACCCATCGATAAATTGATTATCCCCGCGGAGGCTCTGCTTGGCGTGTTTGCTCTGTTTGTGTTGACATGCGCAGTTGCTCCGCGTCGTTTGTCGTCGCTTTCGACAATTGCGCTGGATTGCGACTGATGTTCGAGAAGGATCTATTCATTGCCATATATCATCCCGTTCTTTGCCACCTTTACGCTGAACGTGATCATCGATCGCCGACCGCGCCGCCAACGCGCCGAACCTGAATTCGTTGCGGCCGAAGTCACTGTGTTGATTGAGCTCCGACACGATTACTACCTTGCAAACCAGATATTGCGGGTCAACTGCTGGCTGTGATCGTATTGCATCCAGAGTTCCGCGCAGGGACGTGGGCTCCTCAAGTACGGTATCTTTGTGCGCGCAGCGCTCAAGATAATCCACCATGGAGTTCACCGACGACACTATCCAGGATCTGAAATACCGTTTTGAAGAGGCAGCTATCAAGTGCTCGGAACGGTGTCTCTATCAATCAGCAAAATGGTAGAGTTAACCGACTACAGATCGCAAGACGCAAAATTAACATTACATGCATTGTTTAGGGCAGCAGAGATGCTGGATTCACTCTTACCAATCGACCACGAAGACACCGACCCAGAATCACCGATGGATGTGACGGATACGGCGCCTGCTATGAACCCGTACCTGCGCACCAAAGACCTCGCAGAGGCCGCCCTCGAAGCTCAAGAAGCCCACAAGTATCTCTTGGCCAAATCCTACTTTGATACCCGAGAGTATGACCGCTGTGCAGCAGTGTTCCTGCCTCCCAAAACACCTCTTATTCCTTTCTCCATGACATCGCCCAATTCAAAGCCGAAACAGGCCCGAACCACCCCGATGAAAGGCAAGGACAAAGCCTCTCCCTTCCAAGGATCCAAAGGTCATACCACGAAAAACCCATACCCCAAAATTAGCCAAAAATCGCTTTTCCTTGCTCTGTATGCGAAGTACATGGCCGGAGAAAAACGTAAAGATGAGGAAACTGAGATGGTGTTGGGTCCTGCAGATGGCGGAATGGCGGTCAACAGGAATTGCCAGATCTTGCGCGAGGATTAGAAGGTTGGTTAGCAGAGCGCGCTGCTAAAGGACTGGAAGAACAAGGCCAAGGCTGGCTGGAATACCTCTACGCAGTTGTTCTATTGAAGGGACGGAACGAGGAGCTAGCTAAAACATGGCTCATCCGAAGTGTGCATCAGAACCCATTTCACTGGGGCGCATGGCAAGAGTTGAATGATTTGCTTGGGAGTACCGAGGATGTAAGTTCCCTGCTGACAGGCTGAGAACTCATTGCCGCTGACATTACAATAGTTAAACCAACTCTTGCCTCATCTGCCGGAGAACGTGATGACTTTAATTTTCCACGTCTATTGCAGTCAAGAATTATATCAAGCCACGAACGCGACAGACAAAGCTCTAAATGAGCTGGAATCTCTATTTCCCACAAGTGCATTTCTGCAGACCCAACGAGCCCTGCTATACTACCACAATAAAGGTAAAGTATCATTCATTGCACGACACTGCGACCTTCCAATACTAACGGATGGCAGAATTTGACGAGGCATCTCAAATCTTCTCTCAAATTCTTACTACATCACCCCATCGTCTTGACAGTCTTGACCACTTCTCCAACATTCTATATGTGATGGGCGAGCGGCCAAAGCTCGCATTTGTTGCCCAAGTAGCAACCGCTACAGACAAATTCCGACCCGAAACATGCTGTGTTGTGGGCAATTATTATTCTCTGAAATCCGAGCATGAGAAGGCTGTCATGTACTTCCGCCGAGCCTTAACCTTGGACCGCAACTTCTTGTCCGCCTGGACACTAATGGGCCACGAATACATTGAGATGAAGAACACGCACACCGCCATCGAATCATATCGTCGTGCCGTCGATGTAAATCGCAAAGACTATCGAGCCTGGTATGGTCTTGGTCAAGCATACGAGGTGCTCGACATGGCTTTCTACGCCCTCTTCTACTATCAACGCGCTGCGGCTCTCCAGCCTTACGATCCTAAGATGTGGCAAGCCGTCGGGTCCTGCTACGCGAAGATGGGCCGAGTGGAGCAGAGTATCCAAGCTTTGAAGCGCGCCCTCGTTGCAGGCTCTTACTACGCAGATGACGGCGTGCCAGGCGCCAGTCCCAGTTCTAACACGCGCAAAATCCTTGACCCGGAAACCCTGCACCAGATAGCGACTCTCTACGAGCGCTTGGATGATGAAGAAGAAGCCGCCGCATATATGGAGTTGACCCTCCAGCAAGAAACCGGCGGTTCACCCGTACACGACGAGGACTCCGAGGAGGATGAATACTCATCTGCTTCCGAAAATGCAGCTCATAGCGATGAAGGCTCTGAGGACGACGACGGAACCTCTCGTCGGCGTCGCCGCAAGCCGCGCCCCAGAACCTCGTCCTTCGGTATGCAGCACGATGACTCGACCGCCAGCGATGCCTGGCACCATGGCACAGGCCCCACAGCTACTACATCCAAGGCCCGTCTCTGGTTGGCGCAATTTGCTTTACGGCATGGAGACCTAGAGCGAGCTGATCAGCTGGCGGGAGAGTTGTGTCAGGATGGAATGGAAGTTGAGGAAGCAAAGGCATTGATGAGAGATATTCGTGCCAGGAGGGAAGATGCCGATTAGCCCCGGCTTGCTGTATCTTATTGTCATGATAGCGCGGCGTTTATCTTCTACACAATTACTAGTCATTACGAAACCTGCATGGATGGCGAATCTTCTTTTACTGTCATTATACATTATCATTGAGTAGCACTAATCATCGAAACAGAGAAGCGGATCGATGGACTTGTACTCTCCCATAGCCAAGATTTGGGTTTGATCGAAGTTCACAGAAACAGGAGGCAACAAGTCTGGCCTGCACCTCTTGTCGAAAGCTTCCAATTGAGCATATTCTCCAGAGCTTGAATCTCGACCTTGATCCCAATGTAAACAAGCATAGTAATACTTTCGTCCGAGATCCGCCCAAGTGGCGCGTAGGCAGAACTGCAGATCTTCAGGTTGAACGACTTGCTTCACAATGTCGGAATTCAGAAAGAAGATTCTTCCTGAACGTGGGTAGCATTCTCGGGTCCTGAAGCCTTTCAGAGCTTGGGCGATTTGATAGATTTCTTGACCAAGAGAGTTTTCACGGGGATTGACGAGTACGATGCCCAAAGCTATACTTCGGGAAACGGCTCTAGGGTTGGATCGTTGTAGAGAAAACCGTGACTCAATAGAGCCTATGGCTTGAAGAAATTTGTGAAGACCAGGGGACCCATGTTTAGGTGATAGGTCAGAGGGAACGCTTGACATATATACGGGGACTGTCGTGAACGGGGATCGAGGATATTCGTTTGCGTTGAAAGATGGGGCCATAGGGTCTGTCTTTTGGGCTTCTTCATGGTGTATAGAGATGATACTCCGTGTTGGTGAATCGAATGGGGTATGCGGCTTCAATTTCAACCACGGTTTGTCCGACGATGGTTTGCCATGCTTGATGGGTGGTTGACCAAGTGTGTTGGCTCCTATTTGGCTGGGAGAATGGCGGGATGACAAGTTTCGGTTCTCAGTCAGGATGCCGTCGTCTTTTGAGCTACTAGTCTCCTCCTGAAAGACCGTTGCATCAATATACACAGCAGGAACACCATTCATGCGGGGCACTGAGCCATGAGCAGTGCTCAAAGAAGTTTTTTGCGACTGTTCATTGTCTTGACGCGAGTCGGGGACGTCTTCATCCTGAGAAGTATCAGATAAATCGGTTGCTTGCGACACGGCATCTGAACCAACACTGGAGCTTCTTGAAGAGGGACTGTGTGATCTTCCCACAACGTATTGATTTAGTCCACTGCCAACCTTCAACCGCTTACGCCACTCCTCTCTTTCTTGGGAAAGGTCATCTTCAGGTATAGACCGAGCGTTCTCTGCCAGAAGTTGGAGTTCTCGATGAGAGACTGCATCTTGAAATGCTCTGTCGGTGTGAACTTTCAAGATGCGAGGGAACCGCAGTGTGAAATACCGGGCATTGGACGGCTTTTCAAACCCACTGCCCATCATTTCGACAACGAAAGGTTTCTTGTATAGGCTGGATGCTCGAGGAAGACTAGAAGTTCCGTATGTCACATCAAAACCATTGAAATTTTCCGGTTCGCACGCATAGAACTCTCCCACTTGATTGAAATATTGAAGCATATCACGGTGCATGCAATGGTGGTCGACCACATCGACAACTTTGAATTGAGGCACAGTCTCAGAATGCGCAAGGATTTCCTTGTTCAAGAGACACCCAACCAAAAAGTGTGTCCATCGCAATTTGCCCGAAAACGCTGCGGCGTCATGAGCATCATAAAACCCACCGATAAGAGCAAAATCAACCGTGTCTCCCAGGCCAGGGATGTAGTCTTTCTTAAGCTTGATCCACCGACCAAATGTCTTGTCCACGCCAGCGGAGTACATGGGGAAGTATGGTTCTTCGGAAGCCTTCAAGACACAGCCCTCCCATCGTTTGGAGATTGCACTGGCAAAAATGAACTCTAGTCGATCTCGACTGTCAGGTTTACTGAAATCCAAGACTTCTTGTTCAGCGATGGCAGCTCGCCCAGGTATTTCTTGAAGCACATCTTGGAGTAGTAGTCGTCGTTTTCGATGGGGTTCTCTCAGGCAGACATCATCGTCAAGCAGGAGAATATCGAAGCAGACAATCATCAGGTGTTCATAAGATTGGGGTCTAATCACATCAGCATATGTCGAGGGGTACGATTCCATTATAGCCATACGGAGAGTCACTATCAATCCCAAGATATGTGCCAGATCGAGGGAGAAACCTTCGAAGCTTGTGAAAGTCTGCCACAGCCTTCTTCTCTTCATCCCACACTAGCAATTCTCCTTCAAGAATGCAGCGACGTGCAAATTTGCATTTGTTGGTGCCTATATGGAGGGACTCCTCGAGAGTTGGAATTATACCAAACCGATCTGCCGTAGAGTCTTTCCCACTTTTCGAAAATATTTGTACCGGGGTTTCCTTGTTCGCAAGATCGATGTGAATCTGACAATATTCGCCGTCATATTTTCGTTCAATGCTCATACGGCGGCCCTTTACCATCTGATAACAATGTTTGATACTGCGAGCTTTGTAATATTCCGGTCGTCCGATTTTAATACCAGGAAGGGGCCGTAGATGATATATAGCAATTGAGCAAAGGGTGGCAGCCAGCCGAGGATCTGGGCGAGACGGGAATTTGTTGATGGGTTCGGAAGAGAGCGTTTGCAAAGCGCCTTGGAATGTGTCTTGGAACTGAAGGAGAAAGGGGAGCAAGAAATGGAACCGATCTAAAGTATACTTCTGCGGAAGCACGACAGGGTAGCTCTTCAGGATCATGCGAGTAAGCCACTTGGCATCCCTGCTGCTGAGACGCCGATATAAAGATGACAGAGCACTTTCCACATCTACTGCAGTCTTCTGTTGGCGTACTTGGGGACCTGAAAAGCGGCATCGAGATGCAATCATACCCAAGGCCAGATCGATTTCTTCCACCGTGACTTCTCGATTTGAAGGAATATTATTCTCAGCCTGGCGCATCACATTTTCCACGCATTGGCCGAGATCAGGCCCTCCGGACTTGCGCCACTGATCTAGCTCTGCCAACCGGGACGATCCCAAGCCCAAACAACGTGCGGTCACTCTTGACAGCGATATGGCTTGGAGCCAGTAGACACGATCAGTACGTTTCTCGGGAAACATGCACGAGAGCAGAGCCAGTCTGTCTGTGTCTGGACGATGAATGTGTCGCTCATGCCGAGCAAACCATTGTCCAATAACTCGGAAGTCAGGTCCGTTCTTTTTGACAGCCACGCGGTTGTCATCGAGTTCAGACAAAAGATCACACAGGAACCTAAACTTGAACCCCATGAAGCATGACTGCACTCAGGACAACTCGCCCTTTGGTTGAACGATACGCTCCAAAATCGCAAAGCAAGCGGGACGCGAAAATTCGCGAGTGGACCTTTCCATGGAACGCGAAAGCACGTGACTACTAAGTATACTGAAGTGCAAAATGATGAACATTGCTAACCGCTTTCTTCGAGGTATATCGGTCTATCTACGTAGACACTCTGGTGGTATTCGCCAAACTCCGAGCTTTTAATCATGACACGCCATTCACACTTGAAACCAGCGAAAGAAGTGAGAGGAAATGGAAGGTGGAAGGTCCCGTTGCGACTAAAGAATGCCTTGCTTTTGAAGACTATGACATGTTAGCATATGTACTAAGATGAGAATGGAAAGGGAGAATACTAACTCGAGATAGATCCTCTCCGGCATGACGTTGCCTTCGGCGTCCTCCATTTGTACAACGTTGTCGCGGGCTTCCCGCTCCTTCTTGCGTTCAGCTTCCAATGATTCCCATAGCTGTATAGCCTGGTCGATGCCAGTGATCTCGCGGAAGAGATTGGTATTTGCTGTGATTCCCAAACACTTGAGTCCATGAATGTGCGTAGCTTCCGAAAAATGCTTGTCAAATGCCCGACGACCCATGTAGACATGGTTTCCGCAGATCTCACACTGATACTCAACTCCAAGACCGTGAAGCTTATAGAGCCAGTATGGAATCGGCTTGCCATCCCAGGCAATAGGAAGCTTCAGCGGGTTATAGATCTTCTCGTCATCATCTTCGTCGTCGGATTGATCTCCATTCTGGCCCTCGCCGTAGCTCTCAGGTTCGGCCATCAAAGCCTCGAGTTCCATTTGACGTTCACGTTCCGTCATACCCTGTCTCCGCTCCACGTTGGTCCTGGTAGCTTGTCGTTTGTCCTGCAGCACCTTCGTCAGGCAACGCACGCGGTGCTCACGTTCGGCAACAGCGCGTTCCTTTAAGCTGAAAGAGGATCCATTGCTCGGCGCTCCTGGGGCCCTCTCAGCCGTTGCGCCTGATGCCTTGCGAGCCTCCGCAGCGCGGATATGCTTCTTGCCCGTCAAGTGATTCCGGTAGACGTTTTCGTTCTTAAATTCCTTCTCACAATCTGGGCACCATGTTCCTTCACCTGTGCCCTCAGTTTTGGGCCCAGAGGCACCATTTTCAGTTTTCTCCTCTGTCCAGCCAGGAACTTCCTTCGCTTCCCACTGTTTGTCAAATTCCTCATCGAAGCTGCCAAATAACTTGTCCAGGTCCTCGAGTGGCTTAACGCGCCTGATAAAGCTTTCCAAATAGCTGGCGAGTTCGCCAACGTAGCGGAAATATTTGTCGGACAGCTTATCTTTCCGCTTAATCGACATGGTCGGGGGAGTAAAAACGTCGAAGACCTCGAGATACTGGATATACTTCAACCGCTTCACACCAGGCAAGTTCAAGTAGTCTTCGTGGAGAACTGTCAAATCCAAGTACTGTCCGAATCCTTCCTCGCCGGTGAACATGTTGTCGATCTCCATGCCGTACACTTCGCCTTCGCCAGGTTGGCGACGCTTGTATGCTTTCTCAAGGTTGTCGACGGGTTCATTCGGGTATCGCTTGTGGAAATCCTTGATGCCGTCAAGCTGTTTGTAAAATACTTCGAATTGGTCCCCTGTCGCGATCGACTGCACTTCATTCTCGCGAAGACCGTCCGCATCCTTGTAGATCTCAAGGAGTCTCTTGGACTGCTCCTCGATTCGGTTCAGGAGTTTCGCAAGTTCATGGTCGCGGGCGAGTTCCTCACGGATCTGACCCGGAAAAGTCAGCATTAGAGACAAACCGTGGACGCCAAGGGCGTGATAACTTACATTTCGCGGCTTCTCAGCCACGCGATCAGCAACGGCTTGCTCCAACCTCTCAAGGTCCTCGTGGATGAATCGTTGATCCTCAAGCAACATTCTGAGTGTGCGACCGTATTCCGGCTATTTTCCAAGCTGTTCACAAAAGGTGTGGCTGGAGACAGCGGTGACCGTTGAGAAGAATTGGATTTGCGGCGGTTTCGAGCTGCAGCTTTGCGGATGATCACGTGCTGGTGCCACTTCCATCGCAAAAAGTCGATCTGAACTCTCACTTGCAGACAGCGACAACTGCCACCTTGCTCAAATATCTAGATCCCTTCTCTGTTGTCAGCTGAATCAATACTCCTTTCACCATGGCGGACGGAATCGACAGACGTGCCGAAGGTATGCGCTTCCAATCCTACTGAAACCGCACCCTGCTAACAGCTGCCCAGAGCGGATGGAGTTCAGCACCTCCAAGGAGGTCACGGTGGCCCCTACCTTCGAGGACATGCACTTGAAGGAGAGCCTTCTCCGCGGAATTTACGCTTACGGTTACGAGTCCCCCCTCAGCTGTCCAGTCGCGTGCGATTGTTCAGATTTGCAAAGGTCGCGATACCATTGCGCAAGCCCAGTCTGGTACTGGTAAAACCGCCACGTTCGCGATCAGTACTCTGCAGGTCATTGACACCGTTGTGCGCGAAACACAAGGTATATAGACTTTAAAATTTGCGTGGTGAAAACAGCTATACTAACGAGTGTTCCTTTGCGATAGCCCTGGTTCTCTCCCCTACTCGTGAACTTGCAACCCAGATCCAGTCCGTCGTCATGGCTCTCGGCGACTACATGAACGTCCAATGCCACGCATGCATTGGTGGTACCAACATCGGCGAAGACATCCGCAAGCTCGATTACGGCCAGCACGTCGTATCAGGAACCCCCGGCCGTGTCGCCGATATGATCCGTCGCCGACACCTGCGCACCCGTCACATTAAGATGCTCGTTCTCGATGAAGCAGACGAACTACTCAACCGCGGTTTCCGCGAGCAGATCTACGACGTTTACCGCTACCTTCCGCCGGCGACGCAGGTTGTGGTTGTTTCGGCCACTCTTCCTTACGACGTGCTTGATATGACGACTAAGTTCATGACAGACCCTGTACGTGTCTTGGTCAAGCGTGACGAATTGACTCTGGAGGGTATCAAGCAATACTTCATTGCTGTTGAGAAGGAGGAATGGAAATTCGACACACTTTGTGATCTCTACGACACCCTGACCATCACCCAGGCAGTGATTTTCTGTAACACTCGCCGAAAGGTCGACTGGTTGACTGACAAGATGCGTGAGGCCAACTTTACTGTCTCCAGCATGCATGGCGAGATGCCACAGAAGGAACGTGACAGCATTATGCAGGACTTCCGTCAGGGAAACTCGCGTGTTCTGATCTCCACCGATGTTTGGGCTCGTGGTATCGATGTCCAACAGGTTTCACTTGTGATCAACTACGATCTGCCCACCAATCGTGAGAACTACATTCACCGTATCGGTCGTTCTGGCCGTTTCGGTCGCAAGGGTGTAGCTATCAACTTTGTTACTAGCGATGATGTCCGTATTCTGCGGGATATTGAGCTTTACTACTCTACCCAGATTGATGAAATGCCCATGAATGGTGAGTTGGCTATTCAAACCTTATCCAAAAGCCTTATACTGATTCTTTTCAGTTGCCGATCTTCTATCATAAATGCCACGGCCTTGACTCTCCGAGTGTTTACTGCATGCTTTTCTACCAGCCAAAAGTGACGTGATGTGTCCCCGGGGACATTTACTGTACATTTGCGTTCATCCGCAATGCTGCAAATGTAATTGATGATAGTCATCCAAGATGACTGAGGGGCCGGTTTTGTGCGGAGGAAAGGGAAAACAATACGTTTCAGTAAGGCTTCCCCATTTTCTTTGGCCTTTCTCTTTGTGACTAATCATTATTATAGTCTAAGATTGCCAGGCAAGACGATCACCCCTCCAGAGGTACACTTGTGGTTTGCTTTTTTTTTTTCTGCTGAGATTTCTACTTACCCGGACGCTTTGGGAGTTATGATTGACGGAATTTATTCTAATTCACTTTAAATATGCCCTTGTTGTAGTTTTGTACAGTAGAGAGCACAGTCTCAGTCAAAGGCTTCGTCCTGGGTGATATAGGGTCTTTATTCAACACGACAACAGGAATAAGAAAATGGAGGGAATTCTATCGCACTTAAGATATTCATTGAAATGCTACAATTTTTGAGAGTACGCCAAAATGCTCTGTATGGTCAGGGGTGGTGAAGAATCGTGATCATGGTCAGAGTCGTGTGTGGTCCAACACAAAGAATTCTAGAGGAACACGAGAAAGAGCCCATAGTTATCAACTTTAAAAGCCCTTACCCTAATATATTGCCTGACCGTCACCTGCGCGTGGAATAGAAAAGAACGCCGGCGGAAAACGTGACGGGGACATCTGTGAATAGAAGCATGGATATGAAAACAGTCTTGCTTTGCTTGCGCGAATTATCTATCATTCATTGAGATCAGAATGCTGACGTTGTTCTCAATGCGCTTGTTCGTGGGAATCCGTTGGACGATACGCCACGGCGTTGACTTGGGACGCCTGTCGGGCGAGGTCGATTGTTTTCACCGGTCCAACTAGAGATTTGTGAGTAGCGTCTCGGGTAGTTATTTTTAGGGGAGATGCTCACATGCGCACAGCGCAGTCATCGCCTGCTGAAGCAAACATTGTTGCGTTCGTCGGGTTCCATGATATTGAGTTGACACAACCCGAAACATGCCCTCCAAGAGTCTCCACGTGCTTGCCATTTTCCTTATGCCAGATGTAGACCTGGGAGTCTGGAAAACGTTAGTACAACTATGAACAGCTTCGTGATCAGTGGTTCTCACCTTCGCTGCCGCTGACGACAAAGTTCTCATCAGCACCGCCAAATGTGCTGCGGATAACAAACTCGCCCTGCTTCTGGCCGGAGAAACGCCGAATCACGATGGATGTATCCATCTCCAGGAGCTGGATCTCTCCCTCTGCCAGGCTCACGAGCATATGTTTTGAGTCCCGACTAATAGTAACTGATGTGGGTTTGCTGGAGACGGGGAAGCAGATAACTTCCTCGTAGGTCTGAAAGTCGAACACGTGAATCTTTGAGTCAGTGTCTGCCGCCACAAGTCGCCGTCCATCCTGGCTAAGAGCACAATCCTGTACCCGGAACCCGCCTTTCCACTTGTGCAACGATGTCCCGCGAATACTCCAGTGGCAAAGCTGCGCACCTAGGTCGAGAGATGCCGTTACGAAGGATTCGCCATCTGCGGCCCAGGCGGCGGCTGTCACGGGATCGCTGTGATGATCGATGGTAAGAAGACAGCGGCCATTCTAAGAGATGGGATTAGCAGCAGAAACGATCTACGCAGTCAGGTAATTCATACCTCAACGTTCCATACTCGGGCTTTTTTGTCTTGTGAACAGGTAATTAGTTTTGAGTCGTCTGGGCTCCAGCTAGCGAATGCAACACCCGAAGCATGATCATCCAGCCGCTGAAGCACTCTAAAGTCACCGGTGTCATATATGAGCACGGTGTTGTCTCTGCCAGCAGTGACCAACTTTGTGCCATCGTGGGAAAACTCGCAATACCAAACTTCGTCAGAATGTTGAGTGAGATCGTGGGTGACTTGCAATGGGAAGTCATTTCGGTCACACATGTGATCTGAGTAGAGCGAAGGTGGTTCAGCAGTGTTGTGGTACAGGCAGTTATTGATCTGACTCTGCTTCACACTGTCTAATAAAATTGCAAGTCGATGCTGCGGAATCATGACAGAGGGGGATATGGACTTGGATAGCTTCGCCAGAAGTCGTTCTCGCGATACGGTGTAGGGGCCGTCCCAGCCAGGTTGCTCACGTAGCAGTTCCGTGGGGCACATGAGAAAACTGTGAGGGCAAGTTAGCAGATCGCAACACGATATGATCTGTGGGCAAACGCACCTGGAAAGAGCATGAAGGCGCTCAATATTATAATTCAACGGCGTAAGTTCTTGCCGCAGAACGATCAGTGCCGCACCGAGATCACCCGCCTCCAGGAGCTCAAGGAACTTATGTTCCCGCAAGTAAAATAGCATTTTGTTCCTGTCTGCATCTTCCGCCAACAATAGTGTTTCATCTGGTGAGAACTTCTGAGTATTATGTGTACCTCCGTTCCGGAATGACTGAATCAAGATCCTTTCAGCTTCCGACCATCGCCCGCCCAACACAGCACTTCGGAAAGTGGCCACCCCAGCGGTCTCTAATTGAAAGCCGCTCTCGGCACTCAGCATAGAAGCCGCGCCGCCGTAGCCCATTTCGTACAGACTCTGCATTATGATGCGCGTGACCTCCTCCCGCTTATGGCCGTAGTAGCTCATGTTTGCCAGAGACTTGGCGGAACCGTTCGTGTGTGACTCTCCGTTCGACGTAGTACTGGATTGGCCGTTCATGCTGGCTTTTCTAGAGCTGGAGGTCGAGCCGTTAGAGGCCTGGGGAAAGCCATTTGTCGATATTTCATCCGCACGCATGTTTGCCAGGCGCCTGCGCTTGCGGAATGAAGGATGACCGTCAGCTCGGCCGGACGGTATAGAATCGTTAGGGGATGCGACTGCGGTGCCGTCTTCAGGTGTTGCCTCAAACCCTGTAGCTGAAAGATTAGGACTGCTTGAAGGAAGGCGGCGGCGACGGAGATTGGGTTGGGTTCGGGAGGATGGTTGGGCGGGTCGGTATTCTGAAGGAGAATCGGTATTGCCGGAGTCGGGGGCAATAGGGTCGGGGAAAGGAAGATCAGGGTGGTCGGGAGTGAAAGGTTGGAAGGGAGGATTGTTGGCCAGGTCGAAAGTCTGGATCTGCCCAGTCCCCTGGCTCTTTGAGAAGAACCAGGTGAGCAGATCTACAGGCGGGTGGATAGTTCCTCGCCGTTTGGGGGAGCTCGTGATGGAGCTATCGATAAAATGGATATATCACCAGACCGAGATAGATCCTGGTCTCAAATCGCAGATAGATCAGAGACGAAGGGGGATGTTAAGTAGAGGGCTCAAAGGGTTTTAAGATCCCCTCTTTGGGATATGGAGGTTGGGTTGCGGGCGGAGATGGGAAATGGGAGAAGGGAGCAGATGAGCTCTTATCGGTAACCCACCCAGTCAGGCGTCACCAGACAAAGGCTCCTCTCGTCAGCTGATTGTGAAGAAAGCAAAATGAAGTGAATCTAATGTACTATTACTCCAATTCGAGATCTGATCAGGTTATGTGGAAGAGTCCTTAGCCTTAGCCCAAGAAATATGGTGAATATGTGGCACCCAGTAGTGATCACCGCAAGCTCTATACGTGTACGTGGACCCTGCCCCGTAGCTTGAGCGACAACTGGACATTTGGCTCAGATATTCCCGATCGTACCTTGGATACTAATTCCGAATGAGGTCCTGTAGGATTGCACAGGTGATTCTAGAGTAGTATATACCATTCCCACTGACGCCATCATGATGCTTCCGGTCCTACCCCCTCTAACGCTCTAGGTATAAGAACCGTCCAGCCGCAACTTCTCAGCCAACTCTTTAAATCACCCCTGATATATTTGAAACCTATCATCGATTTACCTCAATATAACTATCCTCAACCATGGCTTGCGACTGCGGAACTACTTGCGCGTGTATCGGCGCTCAAGGTTGCACTTGCGATAAGGGCAGCTGCAGCTGCCAGGAATGCGGAGTATGTGATTCTCTTTGCCTCCGGCGGAAGCAGTCCGTACGAAGCAGGACTAGGAAGTGAGCTGACTTGAAACCTCTTTACAGAAATAATGTCCCACTACAACCGCGCTGCCTACAGTCACGTCACCTACAACTGTTTGCAGATGGAATGACAAGGTCGAGTTCTGAACGGATCATATTGAAGACCTGTTTCATAGCCATAGGCGAATATGACGCTCTTTTGACTGTAATTTAGAAAATGAGATACTTGGGAAAATTTATTACTTGCGTATGAATCAGTGTCGGAGTAGTAGACGTCATCACGACTCAACCAGCGCCGCCTCGGATGCTTACGGTGCGTCCCATGATCGTGGGACACTTGAATGGTGGCAGCACGTTTCTATTTTCCCTCGTTAGACGTGATTCAAAATTAAAACTGAGGAAGATGTCTTACATCATCACTGTTTGTGCATTAGCGATCGTCTCGATCTCTGTGGCACGCGCCTATGCCGCTGGTACAAGAATCATGAACATCGGCAGACCGATCGGCCTGAGCTGTTTACTACATTAAAGCTTCGGACTAGCCTCCAGGAGAGCAGCATAACTTGCCAAACTGTGGACGATCGAGCAGTAGACTAGATTATCAGTCGCACTACAAAGAGCGGCGTCAAAGCCCGGCCGGTATCCTCAAGGGTTGACATCTGTCTCCATACGTGCAAACTTGACAATACCCAAACATGTAGACCTGTGCAGTGAATATTAAAGAACAATCATCGTCAGACTGGCATGGAAATTGAAAGTTCCTGGAAACTTGATTTCGCGCAAAGGTTTCCCGATGCAGAGCCGACACCAAGCCTAGCAAAGCACCGAGCAGAGTGCAACCAATTACTACATCATCGGATGGATCCTCAAAAGTTCCAACGCATGCTACTATATCAGAGGAAAAAGAACATCCCCCGGCGACAGCTGTAGATGCAGCTCCCGAGTGCATGCCTTGTGGTCTTTGCGCGCAGCAGCAGCAGGAGGAGGAGGAACATGATTATGGTGAGTGCTGCATCGTCATCTATTTGACGATGAGGTTTTTTTGCGTTCAAATCGCTGAAATCTCCTAGCAATACTATTTCTACTACAGTAGCGAGTATTTTACCAACCACTGTGCCGACGAAATGTAGCTCTGTGTTCACTAAGTGATGAGGTGTATATTTTCTCGACCGCTCACGGCATCGAGGTATTGTAAGAGCGGTAAGGGGAGGGTGTTGGTGTTGTTGCATGCACATGTTGGGGATATCCATCAAGGCCGGTAGAATATGCGTGAGGCCCAATACGCGAGGCAAATGGATGCGAATTCATCCAGGAAATGATGATCATTACAAGGTCTATATCTGCAAACGAATGCATCACTTACCAATGATAGGAGAACAGCTCTGGTCAATGCCCATATCGACATTTTGGCTCAGATATATACAATCTAAGTTTGCACGACAGTCTCACGTTCAGGCCAAGCATATAGATAATCGTAGAAAGTCTTTATGGTAAGGAATCTACGTGCAACGAATCCGAAGCAATTGACGAGAATGACAGGAACATATGCTTAAAGAGCCGAGGAACGCGGCAAGCGGCCCTGCGTTCACCACTGGGAATTATCTACTCGGTTTGCCGTATACCATGAGATTTCAAAATGAATCAGTAATACCTAGACCACCACATGGTGCCATGGTCATCACAGTTGAACGATTAAGAAAAGCAGAAACGAAAACTTATGGGTCGCTTGATGCCAGTCAACTAAGCTAGACCGCCTTGGAATAGCTGGTTAGTCGGCAGCACTCGTGCCGCAAATATCAAACCCATGCCCAAGGCCAAGATTCCAGTAAAGGCTGCAATAAGTCCTAACCGGGCCAGTGTCTCAACACCAGCTCGCTCATACTTGGTGCTGCGCCGTTCTCCAAGACGGGTAGTACGTGTCAAAGTGGGCACGTACTTGAATTCGAAGCGAGACTCTTTGCCGAGACCGATCTTCTCATCTAGAATCACCTTGTAAAAATTTTTGCGACGTAGCTATTGCTCCCGTCAGTCAAGTGTTTCAAAGGCAGCAGAAGCCCTCAAGTAACTCACACTGATCATCAGTCGATCTAGAAAGTGTATTTTGGGAATGATAGAGGAAAGGGTCGCGACCCAGAAACAATAACCCCATATCATGAAGCGGTAGTAAAGACTCGTTCGTGGAATCTCCAGTTGATCGGAGAGCTGATCTCCGTTCAAAAGTCTAGTCAGTGCCTCCATAAATTCTTTGGAAGCATATGCTGGAGCCGTGTTCTCAAGACCGAGAATAATATTTTTCGCGAGAATCTTTCCGGTCTCAGTTGGATCAATCTCAGAGATCAAAAGTGATTCCATCATGGCCAGTGCCTTAGTGGGATTTTCCAAAGACTCTGTCGGTGTGCCCATGTAAAATGCAACAAGTCGCCAGAGCGCAATATAGTCTTCGATCTCATGTTGACTGAGATGGATTCCCTGTCGAGGTAGCCCGAGGTATACAACTGAGCTACAGAAAGTGTGAATCGTTCCGATACAGTCTAAATCATTGACCGGTGTTCCGTATTTGTCGATATCATAGTAGTCGGGCTTCTGTTTCACCAGCTCTAAGATCCTCAGGCGGACGGATGAGTGGAGAAGTCGCACGCGTACTGATGAGACGTTTCCTTCTCCTCCTGGCTTCATTCCCTCGGCTGAACTATTGACTTGCAGGACATGCTGGAGGGTTTCGAGAAGTCGGCGTCGTACGACTTTGGCGCCGAAGCCACCGGTTCGCGCGAGTGTTTCAACAACCCGGATTGCTCCCCTAAAGAACATCAGTGTGAAAGTTCCAGTTTTATGACGTGTTCATACATTCCACCCAGTAAGCTCTCAAAGCTGAGCTGTCGTTCTACGTTAGCGTCAGTCAGGTATGAAAAGGCAGTATTCCGGACATACCACATTCAAGATGGGAACACCGTATCGGAAAAAAGTATCCTGTCCTCGTTGTATTTGCTCCCAATCGACCCATTCTGGGACCGTGTTGACCTGCGTCCATAGCTCTTGAAGCTTAGGGTCTTTGTCGACATGGTCTCTCAGCAGGCCATACAGATCCTTCTTGAAAGGCCTATCCGAATCATCATCCGTAGGGAGTTGATTCAAGATCTGCACGCACTCATCGGCAAGAGCGTCATAAGTGAAAGCCATGGGTCGCAGCTCATCTGCCGACCTGTGGCGGTCAGTCCAGTGAAACGAGTAGTCCCAATAGTGGCACTCTATGCTGTGCCTCAGCCTGGGACTTTTCAACGCCATGATTCGAATCAGAGATGCAAAGTATTGCCTAGGGAGGTTTCCAACTCTGTTTCAAGAAGGCGATGCGGTCATGTATAAATAGTGAAAGTCTCCCCACATGCAGCCGTCATGGCCGTGGTGGTTCCTCCGATCGCCTCTACCATGGCCCGGGGTCCAGGGTCGATCGGGAGGGGTAAAGCTGGGACGACTTGCATGTGAACTACATTCACGGGGGATCGACACTTTCATATTAACGGTTCTGGAGATATGAAGGAATATGCTCTTCTGGAGGATGAGTTGCGTGCGCACTACTGGCTGGTGTGTCTGTCACGAGCCGCGATCTGCGTTGTCGGTTAATATTCCGACCGACGCTCACATGTTGCGGTTTAGGAAAAGGCCAAGAGCCCCAATACTTGGAATTATGCCACCTTGTTATAGAGAATCATGCTTGAGATAGCACAATTGCCGAGCTACTGTGTCGTGACCAATGGTCTACGGTGGAGGATCGGGCACCTATGACATGCTCCGTTTTCTTATCGACTTGTATCTCCTTGGGCTTCCTGGAGTTTGCATCACTCACGAACCAAATATTATCGCCTAAAGACGTGCTGATTATATACGGTGTCACTCTAAAGGGACTTGGAATTCAGTCCAGAGGTATCCTGCCTGTGTTCGTCTATGGAAGATCAAATTGATCGCTCGAATGGCCAAGCAAGTGTCCAGATTCATTATCTATGCGTTAGAACGAATAATATTTTCCACCTCCTCTCTTCGGTGCTTCCAGAAATTTAAGCCAGCTCTATGTACTTTTCATTACCTACAGTGACTGAGCTCACAAGTTCAATGCACGCTCGGCGCAGTCTGCAAAGCAGCACAGTGCAACGTAGCAGCTGGGCGCGCAAAACGAGGTCTAAACGGTTCAAGGCCAGTAGTCTGATAAATAATGCGCCTGAGCAAGACATCGTCTCGGCTATTGGATTGATGAGAGGGCTTGTTTCATCCCGGCTGCTTGCCAGACGGCCGTCCTGCTCCCTTCAATAGTCTGTTCCCTCAGCACCCAAGGAGATAGAGGTAGAGATGTTAGCTTTTATCCTCTTCAGAGTACTGGTAGCTTTGATGAATATGAAGACATGTTTGCACGCCAACTAAAATCCCGAGAACGGGCCACGCTGAATCTCTTGCGTTTTAAGAGTCGTCCACCGCGCCAATAAGTCTTCCATGTTGTCTGGCAGGGTCAATGTATTGCTCTGAGCATCATTGCCACTTTTGTTGCTGGCTTTCTCGGTGCTACTAGGTTGGGGACGCTCCGACTCCTGCTCAAACACATCCTGGTCCTGCTTCGATTCTATAACGGCGGCATTATCCAACCCCGGCTCCACTTCCTCCGCACCCTCCTCTTCCTCTTTTCCATCCTCCTCTGATGCTCTCTGCATGTCGCTCGCACTAATCGGCGCCTTCGACTCCTCACTCTGAGTTATTGCCTCTTGTGTCTTCGCAAGATTCAGCTTCTCCGCCGCTAGTTTCGTCTTCCACTGTCCCTTCTGAGGAAATTCTGCGTCTACCTCTTTGAAATTCTCCGATTGTGACCAGTGCTCAGCCGCGTTGCAATCTTTTGCATACTTGGGCATGGTGTCAAGTTTCCGCAGCCGGCAGGAAGTCTCTTCATTGTTCTCATCCCACTCCTTTTCTTCACGGGCCAGATGAGACGAGGATCTCCTCTCACGATCTCTCTGGAGCGCACGCTCTAGACGCTCAATCTCCTGCTGCTGTCTCCAGAGCTCCAGGTCCTGACGGACATCATTTCTCTCTAACATGTTCTGGTGGCCATCCCTTTCGATGATACGCCGACTCATAAGAAGCTCGTAGTCGCGATTGTTGGGGGAGGCTTCACAAGAGTCAACGCTAGCAGTACTTTTGTTCTGACGGCGAATGGATAGGTCAGTTTCGGAGAGGTCCGATTCGTCGGATTCATTGTAGTCCATGTCTACAAGCGATTCTGTGGGTGCAGTAGAAGGACCAGTGACTTTCGTCATGGGAGGGTTCCCGGAAATATGCTCACTGTGATCGTTAGCGAAGTTTAAAAGAAGAAGAAACGTTGTGACTCGTACGTACGCGAAAAGCGAATGGTCAATATGAATGGGGGATCCAAGTTCGACTTGGAATCGCATAATTTCTCCAGAGTGAATATTCAAGACACCGGTTCTGATTCGTGAGTGTCTGTTCTTCTCAAGGTTTCTCTTGCAGGATTCGATCCCATCAAGCATGCTTTGTATGAGTGTATTGTAATTTTCAAGCTCAGCGGACTTATTGTCTTCCATAGCTCTATGATACCTTTTTCGTGCTCCTCTGTTGTTCGTGTGTTCGATTGAACTCTGTACAGCTTGATCACTCGAGTTCGAGCGGTGGTTGGCTGGCCTGAGTTTTTGGTTCCCGATTCCAGAGATCTCAGTGTGGGACAATCCACCCCGCGGTTTGACTGTCGTGAGTCCCGGAGAGAAGTGTTCGGCAATACTTGACTGCCGTGGCTTCGGGTTCTCGTTTTGTCGTTCTTCCAACAAAGTCTGTATCAAGTCACGCTGCTCTTGGACCATGGTTGGTATATTGTTGCTGGTGTAATATTAATTTCTTCCTGGGGTTTTCCAAAGGCAGGATGATGAAGCATACCTTCGAATTTGACCCGCGTACATAATGACATTGAGCAAAAGTAGCATCGTCGACTTCAGCCTTTCCAGGTTGATTTTCAGCCGCTCCCAACTCGGCTCAAGCAGGACTATCCGAAGTTTTCCAGTCACTCGTCGAAGCTGACTCTTTTCTGGCTGCTCATCGATATCAACCATTCTCTGGATCTGTTCAAGTATGTCCCGGCACTGAGTAAGGACAAGACTCAATGTGCGAAACGCCTCGTCTGAACAGAGCTTGGACGACTCCTCCTCTTCCAAATTGTCTCCAAGTTCACGCAAAATAGCACTTACGAGCGCGACCTCGTTTGACAGAACCTGGATTGTGTTATGCGCATCCTGAACCCGTCTGTAGAAGGAAAAGAGTTTGACGGATAATCTAGCGCCTAAGTCTGCGACTTGTAAGATACTGGCCGCTGCCCCAATAGCTTCAAGGCCAGACATGATTGCGAAGAGGCAAAAGAACTTCGTCAGTGCGAGTTCACAATTAGCCGATCATGAAATAATTGAGGAGTCGAGGTATGGAGCTGCCCTTGGCGGGGTTGGCGGGGCTAGCCACCGTGTTGAACAGCGCTATAGACCAACCGTGTAATCTTCGAATTCTCCCAGTACCATATTACCGCGAAGCCCACCCGAGGGTCCTATCGAGGCTTCGTCTTCTGTCTGGCTTAAGCCCGTGGGCCCTGTGTGAGGTCCCGGGCCCGTACGTATATGAAGATGGTGGTTTGATACTAAGGGCCTAAATGATCTCGGCGAGCACCCAACTTTTTGATTTATCCCTCTCACGGGCGAGATATCTCAATTTGCACATATACCCCTTTTGATGTAATCCGGCTATGTTTAGTGCTGTTGGACAGGAGTTTATAGGAAGATTTCGGCCCCCAAATTCTCATCTCTTTTCAGCAGGGATAGTTTGACCCCCAAGGCTGGCGACTTTGCGCGAGTGATTTTTGTCGCCAGTTCAACACACTCAGCACGCCGTTCATGTTTTTGCCTGTTACCATTTACATTCTGCCAGCGTATTTTTAAACGTGCATCACACTTTTAGATCTAGACTATGGCTATCTCTTCTCCGGATGAGACCACGAAAGCTACTAAGTCAGAAGATGCTGCTGAAAGTACCGCCCAGCTTCAACATGCGAACAGTACTGGGGGGTCAGAGGAGACCTCGACGGTAATGCACGGTTTCAAGCTTGTTGCAATCTTTATAGGTATATGCTTCGGCACCTTCTTGATGTCCTTGGATATTTTCGTCATCGCAACGGTACTTCTACCTGCTCCCCTCCTTACTATCCAAAATCCTAAAAGGGTCTGACACTCGATGGATAGGCTATTCCATCAATCACATCCGACTTCAAGGATACGTCGCAGCTGGCCTGGTATCCGGCCGCCTATTCCCTTACGACTTGCGCATTGACCCCGTTGGCAGGAAAGCTGAGCTCAACGTTTCCACTCCGCTGGATCTACATAATATTCTTCTCCATATTTTTGGTCGGCAGCCTCATATGTGGATGTGCTCCAAATAGTAACACCTTCATTGTGGGTCGTGCAGTCGCAGGCGTTGGGGCGTCCGGTGTCGCGGGTGGTGGGTTTGTTATTGTTCTCACTGTTTCTTCAGAGAAAGCGAAACCGCTGCTCATGGGCATATGCAGCAGTTGCTTTGCTATGGGCCTCATTCTAGCACCCATCATAGGTGGCGCATTTACTGAGAAGGCAACGTGGAGGTGGTGTTTTTGGATCAACCTTCCTCCAGGTGCTCTGACATTAATCTGTATGCTCTGCTTCTTCAGACCCCCGTCCATGCAGCGCGATCAGTCTGCTATCCAGCGGATCAAAAGCCTAGATTTTATCGGATGTGGAATATTTATTCCAGGTATTTTCATGCTGCTTCTCGCTATGATGTGGGGCGGCACAAAAGAGAATTGGGACTCAGCAACAATCATCGGTCTCTTCGTGGGCGCAGCTGTGATACTCATACTCTTTGTTTGCTGGGAAAGCCATAAAGGAGATGATGCTATGATACCAGGAACCCTCATTGTTAGACGAACAATCGCTTTCAGCGTTTTATTTTCATTCTGTCATTTTGGGTCTCTTGGCATTATGAATTACTATCTTCCTGAATGGTTTCAAGCAGTGCAAGGCGCAACTCCGTTGGAAAGTGGTACGCGGATTTTAGCTGCTGTGCTCTCTCAGATAGTGGGAACATTGACTGCTGGTGTTCTGGGTGAGCTTTTCATGTTAGGATCTTACTTATCGAGGTATCCAAAGCTGACACTAGGACATAGCGCGGAAGATGCATTATTACAATCCTTGGCTCTTTATTGGACCCCTCTTAGTGTGCACTGCGGCAGCTTTATACACTCAATTCTCGACTTTCGATACACCGTCTAGCCATTGGATTGGATTCCAGGTCATCCAGGGTCTCGGAGTTGGCATGGCCCAACAAATGCCCTCTCTCATCGTCCAATTAGCAGTCAAAGATAAGCCGGACCTTATGCCAGTTGCCGTCTCACTCAATCTGTTCTTCCAATTCTTAGGGGCCACCGTCACGCAAGTTCTTGGAGGTATCGTATTTCGTTCAATTCTGGGCCAAGAACTGGCCAAGCATGCCGGACTCAATGCCTCCCAAATCAATTTGTTATCTACCGCTGGAACTGCCCATATACGTGAAACTACCGAGCAGAGCTTTCCCCCCAAATCGTTACGTTCAGTTCTGGAATCTTACAACACAGCCATTACTGCAACGTTTGTACGCGTCCATCTCCGGGAGCAACCCCATTGCAGAATGATGACTGACCAGATTGACACTGATAGTTTGTTGCGGTCGCTACGACAGCCATAGCATTCTTACTAGCTTTTGGAGTCAAGTGGTTCAGAATCGCCGAGGCAAAGTCCACTGAGGGGGAAAGGGATGACACTGAGCGGCAGTAAGACCTGTTCAGCCCGACCATATCGATATTGTGGACGGAAAATACATGTTAGACATCGCCAGAAAAGCTAGCGTCTTTTGGAGTGAGGCTTCAACGATTGATTTCTTCAATTCAATACATTTGACCAACTTTGACTCACTCTTCATGTAAATCGTACCGTCTTCAAGCCGTCCGAGATTCAAAGGATTTGCTTCGCGTGTAAACATGCTTTGATGCTACTATAGGTCAATTGTGTCTTTTTAATGCCTTTTCATATATATCCGGGAGAATAGAATGATTGAAGACTTAGGGACTTTAACATACATTGGATAATGCTAAGACTCCCTCTGGCAGGACGCCCGCTGCACCTGAAAACTCGAGTAAGAAAACAGGAATTTGCTTGAAACACCCGATGAGTGCACCGCATGGTCTTCAGCATAGCATTTGGCTGTTATAGTGTCAAAAAACTTGTGATCTATACTTTGCATGTGCAGAGGGGCGCCGAGATCCGGCGCTTGATCTCTCGCCTCCTATTTCTCGAAGCTAGATCATGTAGAGACAATCATTCCATTCAATATAGAATGCCCGGGCTATTGACTAGGCATCGACAGTTCGAAGAATGCCTAATTCTATGTAGTCGATTCTGCAATGGCACGATTCAATGCCCGCTCTGCAGCAACTATACGAAGGGGCATGTCGCCCACATGGCTCGTACTCACATGTAATCGCACCCTTCGATGCTAGCACCCACGCCCCCTATTTTCTAAATATTGCTTTTTTGAGGCTGACAGACAAACTCACGGACAATGGAGACCTGGCGATCCCGGGCGCTAATCACTCGGAAGAACGAGCGAAAGGATTGGATAGCATAAGGGGGAATCTCCACGACCCCCCCAAACAGGACCTAGTGAGCACATCTGGGCAACCTGTACATTGACTGTACAAAGATCACCTAAAATCGAATGTTAGGCTTGCAAAGGCCTCGATTGAAAGCAAGGCCGTCACTGCTGCAATTGATTAGCAGAGAGCCCGAGCGTCCGACCTCTCCACCGCCCGTCAACCGCGAGCTTCCAAAGTCTCCGCTTCCAGACTCACCCACCTCCATCTCCTCCAACCCCTCTTCCAAAGCTACCACCATGGCCCCCAAAAACAAGGACCAGGAGCCTCATGGCCTCATCTTCTCGGTTTCCGGCCCCGTCGTCGTGGCCGAAAATATGATCGGCTGTGCCATGTACGAGCTGGTAAGTTCTCGAAAGCTACCCCCAATGCACTCCGAGTCATTGCTGATCCGATGGCTGCCAGTGCCGCATTGGACACGACCTTCTCGTTGGTGAAGTCATTCGTATCGAACAGGACAAGGCCACCATCCAGGTCTACGAAGAGACCGGTACGATTCCTTACCACTTGTGGGCCACGTATGCCCCGATCGATCATCGCCGAAGCTAATTATTGTGATTTAACAGCCGGTTTGACCGTCGGTGACCCCGTCACACGGACGGGAAAGCCCCTTTCTGTCGAGCTTGGCCCCGGTTTGATGGAGACGATCTACGATGGTATTCAGCGACCGCTCAAGGCCATTTCCGACAAGTCGAAAGGTATCTACATTCCCCGTGGTATCTCCGTCAATGCGCTGGACCGCGAGAAGAAGTGGGAGTACAAGCCTGCCGGCTTCAAGGTCGGCGATCACATCACCGGTGGTGACATTTGGGGTACCGTCTTCGAGAACAGCTTGGTGAATGACCACAAGATCCTTCTGCCCCCACGTGCCCGTGGTACTATTACACGGATATCCCCCGCCGGTAGCTACACCGTCGAGGAGAAGCTGCTCGAGGTCGAATTCGAGGGTAAGAAGAGCGAGTTTGGAATGATGCAGACTTGGCCGGTCCGTGTACCTCGCCCGGTCAACGACCGTCTCGCTGCCGATTCGCCCTTCATTGTCGGGCAGAGAGTGCTGGATTCTCTTCCCCAGTGTTCAGGGTGGAACCGTTTGTATTCCCGGCGCTTTCGGATGTGGCAAGACTGTCATTTCCCAATCCGTGTCCAAGTTCTCGAACTCCGACATCATTGTCTATGTCGGTTGCGGTGAGCGTGGTAACGAGATGGCCGAGGTGTTGATGGACTTCCCCGAGGTATTTATACTGTTCGACATCAAAAGCCATGTGTGATTGTTAACCGCTTCTCTCCCAACAGCTTTCCATTACTGTCGAGGGCCGTAAGGAGCCCATCATGAAGCGAACCTGCTTGATCGCCAACACCTCCAACATGCCCGTGGCCGCCCGTGAGGCCTCCATCTACACCGGTATCACCATCGCCGAATATTTCCGTGACCAGGGCAAGGACGTGGCTATGATGGCTGACTCGAGTTCTCGCTGGGCCGAGGCTTTGCGTGAGATTTCCGGTCGTTTGGGAGAGATGCCTGCTGACCAGGGTTTCCCCGCCTATCTGGGTGCCAAGCTGGCCTCCTTCTACGAGCGTGCCGGCCGCAGCAGTGCCCTGGGTAGCCCCGAGCGTAACGGCAGTGTCAGCATTGTTGGTGCCGTCAGCCCGCCCGGTGGTGATTTCTCCGATCCCGTCACTAGCAGTACCCTAGGTATTGTGCAGGTCTTCTGGGGTCTCGACAAGAAGCTGGCGCAGCGCAAGCACTTCCCGTCGGTCAACACCTCGATGTCCTACAGCAAGTACACCACCGTTCTGGATAAGTACTACGAAAAGCACAACCCGGACTTCCCTCGCTTGCGTGACCAGATCCGTGAATTGCTGTCTAAGTCGGAGGATCTCGACCAGGTCGTGCAGTTGGTCGGTAAGGCGGCGCTTGGTGACTCGGACAAGATTACGCTGGACGTCGCCGCCATGCTCAAGGATGACTTCCTACAGCAGAATGGCTACAGTGACTACGATCAATTCTGCCCTCTGTGGAAGACTGAGTACATGATGAAGGCATTCATGGGCTTCCATGACGAGGCTCAGAAGGCCGTGGCTCAGGGCCAGCAGTGGAACAAGGTCCGTGACTCCACCTCGGACCTGCAGGCGTCTTTGCGGAGCATGAAGTTTGAGGTACCCGACAACGAGGAGGAGGTCACTGCCAAGTACGAGCAACTCCTGCAGTCCATGTCGGATCGCTTTGCGTCGGTGTCGGATGAGTAGAGGGATAGAGAGAGAGAAGCGTTCTCCGTGCATCTTGTATTCGGTTTTTGACAAGCACATTACCCTGTAGTTATGTTCAATAAATTTTTGACTTTGATCGAGACTAGGCAGATGTATAGAAAGTAGTAGAAGTAGTAGATGTAGTAGATGTAGCAGGAGTGGATGCCTGAGTAGCAAGTGCCGCAGCCCACGAGCCGAAAGACCCAAAGACCCAACTGTGGATCCGCCACCCTCTGTCACCGCCTGCGTCTGTTTAACCAAACACTCCGCCTCTCTCCTTGCGATATCTCCCTATTGCTCTGGGTGTTTCTTACTACGGTTGCCCTTTCTTTTGATTTCTAGCCTTCTTTCGCTCAGGTCTCATACACATCGCCTAGCCATGGCAAGCTCAACTGGCCATTCGTGCGCAACCACCCCTGTCCCACCATCCCCTCTGATGCGGCCTAGCTAACCTGTGCGAAGCATAAACGTGAACGACCCCAGCCTGATCTCGCTGGTTAACAAGCTCCAGGATGTCTTTTCTACAGTTGGGGTGAGTACATATATTAGCTCTCATGCGACGCCCGTGTTCTCTTGCCCGAAACTGACACCGCTTGCCATTAGGTGCACAACCCCATCGACTTGCCGCAGATCGTTGTCGTCGGATCGCAGTCCAGTGGAAAAAGTTCAGTATTAGAGAACATTGTTGGCCGTGATTTGTATGCGCTCTTTCCCTCACAGTGGTCCTCATGTCTCCGGCATTTCGCGACGGTGCGGGTGGCGGGGGTACCTCCAGGCAGCGTCGTCAGCCATTGCTAACCACACTTTCTATCTGATTTAGCCTACCTCGTGGCTCGGGAATTGTTACTCGGAGAACCCCTCATTCTGCAGCTGATCAACAAGACCCCTACCGCGCAAACGAATGGCGACAAGATGCTGGAAACAACGGACAGCGAGTCCAATGTCGACGAGTACGGCGAATTCTTGCACTTGCCCGGCGAGAAGTTTTATGACTTCAACAAGATCCGTGATGAGATTGTGCGTGAGACAGAAACCAAAGTCGGCAAAAACGCTGGCATTTCACCTGTCCCGATCAACCTGCGCATCTACTCACCCAACGTCCTCACCCTGACCCTGGTCGATTTGCCCGGTCTCACCAAGGTGCCTGTTGGGGACCAGCCGAAGGATATCGAGCGTCAGATTAAGGACATGGTGCTCAAGTACATCAGCAAGCCTAATGCCATCATTCTGGCCGTGACATCGGCCAACCAGGATCTGGCCAACTCCGATGGTCTGAAGCTGGCGCGTGAGGTGGATCCTGAGGGACAGCGCACCATCGGTGTGTTGAGTAAGGTTGATCTGATGGACGATGGTACCGATGTGGTGGATATTCTCGCTGGTCGGATTATCCCGCTGCGCCTGGGTTACGTGCCCGTTGTCAACCGTGGTCAGCGTGACATTGAGAACAAGAAGCTCATTTCCTATGCTTTGGAGAATGAGAAGAACTTCTTCGAGAACCACAAGGCGTATCGAAACAAGGCTTCGTACTGCGGTACCCCATACCTTGCCCGCAAGCTGAACTTGGTACGTGTAGCAGTCGCAAAAGTCGCGTGAGCAGTCAACTAACCTCATTCTAGATCTTGATGATGCACATTAAGCAGACCCTCCCTGACATCAAGGCCCGTATCTCCTCCTCTCTCCAGAAGTACAGCACGGAGCTCGCGCAGCTCGGCGATTCCATGCTCGGCAACAGCGCCAACATTATTCTCAACATCATTACCGAGTTCAGCAATGAATACCGCACTGTCTTGGAAGGAAACAACCAGGAGTTGTCCAGTACCGAGCTTTCGGGTGGTGCTCGTATCAGTTTTGTCTTCCACGAGCTCTACTCGAACGGTGTCAAGGCCGTTGACCCCTTCGACGTTGTGAAAGACATTGACATTCGCACGATCCTGTACAACTCGTCCGGATCTTCGCCCGCGCTGTTCGTCGGAACCACTGCTTTTGAGTTGATTGTCAAGCAACAGATCAAGCGTCTGGAGGACCCTAGTACAAAGTGTATCTCGCTTGTCTACGACGAGCTGGTGCGCATCCTTGGCCAGTTGTTGAACAAGAATCTCTTCCGCCGCTACCCCATGCTCAAGGAGAAGTTTCACACCGTCGTTATTGCTTTCTTCAAAAAGTGCATGGATCCCACCAGTAAGCTGGTCAAGGACTTGATCGCCATGGAGGCCACTTACATCAACACCGGTCACCCCGACTTCCTTAACGGACAACGCGTAAGAGCCCCATGCCTCCTGTCATGATAGACCAGAAACGCTAACCAAATCTAGGCCATGGCCATCGTGAACGACCGCCAGCTAGCCGCCAAGCCCACCCAGGTCGACCCCAAGACCGGCAAACCTCTGCCCGCCCGCGCCGCGAGCCCCTCTCTGGACACTACTGGCGAGGCTCGAGACAACAGTGGGTTCTTTGGCAGCTTCTGGGCTTCCAAGAACAAGAAGAAGATGGCCGCCATGGAGGCCCCGCCTCCCACCCTCAAAGCTTCTGCTACTCTGTCTGAGCGGGAGTCTACTGAGGTTGAGGTTATCAGTAAGTTCCACCCTTCCAGCTCTGTAAGGTGCCAAGTTAACCCCAAATTTAGAGCTCCTCATTACCTCCTACTTCAACATCGTGAAGCGCACGATGATCGACATGGTCCCCAAGGCCGTCATGTACACACTGGTGCAGTATGTTTCATTTCGATCACTTTGATAGTTCCAAACTGACATGATCCAGATACACGAAGGATGAGATGCAACGCGAGCTGCTAGAGATGATGTACCGCAACAACGAGCTCGACGACCTACTGAAGGAGAGTGATTACACCGTCCGCCGACGAAAGGAGTGCCAACAGATGGTGGAGTCTCTCGGTCGTGCCAGCGAGATTGTCAGCCAAGTGCAGTAAACTCGACATCCTTGGCCATCAAGCTGTGAAAAGGGGTATTTTTCCACTGTATGATTGAGTGTTCTCGCGTTGGCGGAGTTGGACCATTATTTTGTGACTTTGCGGACGCAATCCTGACTATATTCGATATTCGTACACTTTCTGCGGCTTACTTTCTGCTTTTGCTTTGCCTCGGGCCGCATTCCACGTTCTCCCGAGGTTTAGAATTGTTGGTCTTGAGAAAGTCTCACGGTTCACAAGGTTCCGGGAATGTCTGGCATATGATTTTCCTTTTGAGGAGTTCATTCATAATGATGTTTTTTACTGCTCTACGAATTGCTTTAGATCGACTCAATTGCATCTTGTTTTTCTTTTAAGGCGTTGGTCTACCCTACCATCTATTCCACTCGTTTCCCTCTCGTAGGCTCCTAAAATTTATTTACCAACACAGTGTCGATACGTATAATGCCAATCCTCCTTCTTCAAATCCTGCCGCACCTTATAATTCCTCTCGGCCACATCCAAAATCCCCAAATCCATATTCACCACCTTGACACCCTCTTCATTCCCCATCTTCACCACCGGTCCCACAAGCGGCATCGTCACCTGCGACAAGCCCAGGAAATCCTCCGAGGGCCCGGCAGCATTCGCAAAGATAACCGCACAAGTATTCTCAAAACAGCGCGCCGTCAACGTCGACTCCAGAAACAAAGCCTCGACATTCGCATTAAACGCCCGCGCCTCAACCGACGCATCATGCGGCGTCCAATAAGTCGGAATAATCACAATCTCCGCCCCATCAGCAATCAACTCCCGAAATGCCTCCGGGAACGCCAGATCCCAACAGATTAGCATTCCCACACGGCCAATCGGCGTATCGAATGCAACATGCGCATCCAGTCCCGAGGAAGCCAAGGTCGGCCGCTCCGGATGCCAAATATTCTTCTTGCGATATGAGCCGAGAATAGACCCGTCGCTCGAAATGAAGTACGCCGTGTTCCAAAATCGGTCCCCTGTTGCGCTTTGTTCCTTCTCGATGATTGTTCCGGGAACAAGACTCATCCCCAGCTCTCTGGCGAGTGCTTGATACGCGGCTAGGTATTTTGCAGAGTCCTCGGCTTGGATGGCCCAGCGTGGGTCGGAGGGGATGAAGCCGCTCAGGTGGTATTCTGGAAGAACGGCTAGTTCTGCGCCTTGGGATGCGGCGTCCCGAATATACTTGCATGCAGCTGCATGGTTCTCTTCAATGGCGAGGTCCTGGGGTAGGTGGTTAGTGGCGTGGGCGTCATAGATCACGGACTTTGGGGAGTTTCGGGGGCCGATTTACCTTGATGTGCCACTGGATGATGGCGACGCGACGGGTAGGAGCCATGATAGAATACTGTGTTTCAATGTTTTGAAAGAAAGGACAATTGAGAAAATATTCAGTGGAGTAAAGGAGAACGCAATATAGGTCGAGGTCGCACAGATAATCGATTCCTACTGCTACTCCAACTCCCTACTGTTGGAGACGGGTGGGGATGCGGTGAAATGCGCAAATCATAAACGCCGGAACTGCCTCTCCCGCGCCGAGAATCTATCATTATTACTTGGGGGTCTATACAGAACAATGAAAAGAAACTATACACATTAGATCCCGTATATCATGCTTCCAATCCAAATTATTTACCAAACGAACAGAACCGCTCGTTCATGCCATCGCCACTAAGTCCGTAAAGGTTGGCTTCTTACTGACCCGATACACCAAGCGATCGGTGAAGAAATGAGCGAACACGGCGTGGATGGTTGGAACGGCACCAAAGAGGGTACCTGCGACGGGGAAGGCGATGCGATCGAGAAGGTACTGCGGCTTCCACCAGATACGCTGGGAACAGCCCGTATCAGGCAGATTGGCCTCCTGCATATCGCGCATGCGAGCATTGAGGCAGAGAGTGTGCCACCGCTCATACAGCGCCAGACAAATGTTCATTCCCACGAACGACATTCCGCGCACGATGTCAGTGACGGAGAATGCCCATGCCAGGGTTGGATGTAGCTGGGACGCGGGGGTCAAGAAGGTGTATATCACCGAGAACAGCATGATGATGGTCAAGTGACAGGGGAGGAAGTGAGCCTCGTATAACAGTTCCAGTAGAGCAAAGTGTCTCGGACGCAGGAATAAGCATCGTTTGTGGAACCGGAGGTAGCCCAGCGAACGACGAGCCGCGAAGCCCGAATCCAGAGCTCCCCACATATGGCGGAGAGCCTGGCGATATCGGGCAAACAGAGTGTCCATGGATCGTCTCCAGCCGTGTCCACGGTCACTCGACACGTTACACTGGCTTGCGGGGACGTAGATCACGCGGGAGATGACATTACCTGCTGTCTCAAAGTAGCACTTTAAGAGCATATGCATGTCCTCGCCAATGGCCGTCGGGTCACTGTCCCATCCGCCGACCTTCTCGGCGAGGGAGAGTGGCAGCGAGTATACCGAGGTGGGGATGGAGATCATGGTTCCCGGATACATGGTGGACAGCCCGGCAAAGCCCCAAAGCAGATCTGCACATCGGACGAGAACGGGGCTCTCGTGAGAGTTGCGATCGAAGATGATGGGGCAGCAGTAAAGGGAGCGATCCGCCTCACTGAAATGGGCGTAATGCAGTCGACGGATCTCGGTGAAATAGTCGCGAGAGAGATGGGTGTCGGCTGTTCATTGTTAGTATCTCTTGAGTCTTTGGGTGGGTGGGAAAGGGCCTACCATCCATGACAGTGACCACAACATTGCAATTATCCTCGTTCAGATCGGTGCGGTGAATCTCCACGATACGACGAGCGGCCCATGCCACATTTGAGCTTTTCCCTGCAATCTCACCACGGATACCTGATGGGTGGAATGTACTGCAGATGTGAAGGAAAGACTTTTCGAACTTGGTGACCAGGTGGCCCGCTTTGTCCGAGGACTCGGTTTCCTTTTGCTCCATGGCCAGGTATATCTCATATTGTGATTTCGCCCGTGGGTGGCTTGCCAGCACTTTGAGGGTTGTCTCGAGTGTATGAAGGTCTTCGCAGTAGTTTGGTAAGATGATCGCGTGAACGAGTTCCTCCTCGATCACTTCGTTGATGGTCACATCGGTCTTGAGGTTCTTGGTGAGCAACGAGTCCATCGAGGACATGGAAATGGGCGAGATGGGTGGCTCGAGATCATCTTGTCCTTCGGGCTGCGGCGAGGGAAGAGGGGTATGCCAAATGCGCCGTTCCAACGCCGTCTTGGCTTTCCCAGTAGCTCTGTAGATCGACCACCCGAGCCGGAGAGTGAAACCCAACATATGGACATGAATCAAGACCGCGTATACCACAAAGATCCGCTGTGCTATATTCATGCCCCCCCAGAAGCCGCCCTGGGTAGGGTGACTCGATGGGGAAAGTAGCTCTCCCAGAGCGCAGACTTGAGAACATCAGAAAAGGCGCATACCAACAACACCACCAACCCGATAATGCTAAACCCCGGCAGACAACGAGTTACCCAGGCCAACATCTTGACGGATCTGAACACGAAATGTGAGAGTAGTCAAAAAAAATACAAAGGATTCGTAGACCGCGTTTTACAGGGAATGAAGCGAGTAAAAGGGGCTACTCTCTCTCGCTCTCTCTCTCTCTCTCTCACCCACATGGTTGCCTAGTATGTTGATCTACATTGATCCCCGTGTCCCTGAGGACTACAGGAGCGAACAAAACGGGCGAATCAGACATGCTGGTGCAGGCAAATGGGCAGCACCAATGACCCTGGTGAGGAAAGGTGGGACTGCAACTAGGGTCTAAGGGGACTAGAGACCAAGAGGCACGACGTGAGAAGGGTCAAAGAAGTGTAAGAGTGGATCGAACCCGCGAAAAAGCTTGGCCGCATCTGCGACTGTGAATGGGTGAGACACGCACGGCCACTCCCCCGATCCCGCCCCGACACCAATCACGGCAACTAGATGCAGACCGTGGTTGACCGGGAGGATATCAACTCGTGTAGCTCATTTCTTTTGCTTCTCAAAGTTCAGAATCTCTCATCTGATGTCAATTTTTACAGTCCTAGGCGCTGCAAATCCGCAAGACGATCATGCGATCGAGTGCTCGGGCTCCATGCATCGTCCACCAACCCATAGCTCTCCCATTCCCCCGTCGCCTTGCGCGGGTTCAGCGCCCAGTAGCCCCAACTCACGTCCATCAGACTCAGAAATTGCACCAAATGACGCCAGTAGTTGCCATCTCCTGCCGACTGATCATCGGGAGTTCCGAATTCTCCCACCCACACCGGCGCAAGATCCTCGGCCACCAGATAAGCCCAGTTCGTCCACATCTCGGCGGCAAAGTCTTCATATGACCGGCCCCCATAGGGGCGCAGGCTGCCCCAGCCAGACCACTTATAGACATGGGCGGAGTAGACCACTCGATCGGGCACGCTGAGTCGCACGGGCCGGGAGCGCACTCCAGACAAGTCGTTCGCAGACGAGATCCCTTCCACGATCATCAGCCAGTTCGAGTTCATCGCCAGCAACCGTTCAGATGCTGTCTCGGCCGCTGTGGCCCAGTCGGCCCAGTGCATCGTTCCCCAGAGTCCCCGGACTTCGTTGCGCAGGTCCGCGCCCATGACAAGCGGGTTCGGCACCAAGGGCCGCATCACCGTCTCCCAGTTGCGAATCCAGTCTTCCTCGGTTTGGGGAACACGGCACAAGAACTGACCACCAAACCAATCGTTTGACCAGCCTGCATCGCAAGGGTTGGCTCCACAGCACCAAGTCGCCTGCGTAATGTGATTGTTGACAATGATGAGCAGTCCAGCCGCGGTTAAACTCTCGACGACAGCGTGAAACACATCCAACGCCCGTATCGAGGACCCTTCCGGAATACCATCGAAGAGATCTCGATTGGCAGCAATCACCTCGCGTCCTATCACTGCGTTCTCACTCACAATCTCATCGGCGTATGGTAGCCGCACACTGTTGAATCCTAAATCGAGGATCACTTGTGCGATCTCATCACGATGCCGCACCTCCAGTCCCCCGGGAACGAAATCAATATCGCTTGCCCCGTACCAGTTGATACTAGCCAGTTTGATAGGCGTGCCCCGGGCATCGAGGATATGTCGGCCCTTGGTGTGAAAGGGCGGAGTGAAATTAGTACTTGCCCGGAGAGGGTGGCTGCTGATGGGGATCGTCGGGACGATCAAGATCTCGTCCCTTCGGACTCTCCATAATAAAACCCGATATAGTAGAGCTGCGATCGTGGCCAGCACGATGGATACTATTCGGTGTTGCCGGATCCAGTGGATTGCGGCTCGCATTCTGTAGTGTGCCATCCAATCGTAGACCAGGAGGGGATCTAGATGGATTCTTTCCAGTGACCCTCGACTCGACAACTTTTTCGCGGTAACGCGATGAATTGGATTTTTTGGGCGGACTCTGGGTGTCTGCCATGGCAGCATCCGGAGGAGCCGCGCTTACCCTTCTGTGGGAAGCCATCGGCCAATAATAAGGTGCAGTGAATTGCTGATCTTGGCCCAAAAATGCTTGTTCTCGAAGGAGAAGATTAAAAAGATGAAAACAACTGTCCTGTATAAGTCAGGGTTTTTTCAACGTGATATGCGTGTCAGACCTGATCCAGGCAGCATTCATTGGACTTTATAGTGCTGATGTCAATTAACCTTAAAGAGACGAGGCGTTTGGAAGTTGCCCTGGGAACGCGCGTCTACCATCCCAAAGCTCTTCCTCTCGGGTCCCAAAAGTCGCTGAACTAGTCTCCTGATCCTACCAGTGCTGATCATCGCAGGCAGTTGGTAGATGTGGATCTGATGTAGCCACATTTAGCACCAAATCACATTCCGAAGGTTCTGTCGAACAAATTCCTCGGTCACTTGATTCATCTTGACCACAGGCTGGAAATGTAATGTGAAACAAAAGAATCAAAATCAATGCACTGATTTAAAAAATGACACCAAGGAAACGACCATGCAAAGAAGGAAAGAAAGGGTAAGCTCAACCAAGCGCTACGATTCCTCAATCGCATGATTCGCCCAGACTTCCGAGGAATCTGTCACAACCTCGTCTTCGCTAATAACAAATCATTCCTTAGTCCAAATCCAACAATGGACTCTTCAATAAATCTGCGCAAAGTGTTTCGTGAATCGTGATGGCCACCGAGCCGCAAGTCGCTTTCACCGAAACTAATGAGACGGATGAGGACCCTTAATGAGCTGCTGCTTGATCGACTGGGCGCTATTGAGGGAGTGGTAACAAACATTTACGACGAGTGACCTTCTAGTAAAGATGTCGGTGTGAATCTCTTTCTCAGTGGAAACAGTCTGAGAATGCTTCACCTCATGTACATTTGTCTACATGTCGAATAGCAGAACTTAGATGCAGTAGGTCGGATAAACCTTGGTGAGGAGAAGGGTCACTACTCACTAAATATGCGCCATTCTTGACATTTACTTTAACCCTCTGCACGGAGGAGGGGAAAATTCGAAGGACTGACAAAGTTGAAAAGTATTCTTCCTATTCGTTGCTACCACTGCCCACGACAGATTAGCAATGCGTACCTGTTATGGATCATTAAGGCAAGAAAAAGACAATTTGATCAAACCGAGATGATACTTGACGGAAACAGGTCGCTTATAATCGCTACATAGAATGCCTTTGTCTCCTCTCTCTCTCTCTTTGTCTGTCTTTAACAAGTTGCGTTTAAAGGGCTTCTGGGCGGTGACTTTCTTTCTACTTTTCTCTCTCCGGCTATCCATTCATGATCTTGAAGCAATGCTCGAATTTGGTCTCTTTCGAAACCAACTCTTCGGTATCGGTGAATCATTTCACGAGTTGCCAGAGCTTCAAAAGACCTAAGAACGAAGTTTCTCCTCATCTCAACCTAGATAAAATCTTCTGGAGTGTCATTAGACAAATCTCGTGTGTCCTAGAGTGATCGCATCAGGAGACAAGGACATGGTTCATGCGCTTCAGTGTGATGATTCACGACTTGGCATTGGTGTGATTAAATAGCTACAACTCTGTTCCTCATGGAATCTACTCATGTAGCAGGCAATTTCCGCATCATGACCCATCATCAGTCCCTCTGAAGCGTAAGAGTGATAAGTATGATATGTAAAAGAAGGAATGCGTGTGGGTGAATGATTCTCTATTTGAATCGTCAATGGCAGACCGTTGGCCCACAGAGGCAACAAAGATTAGTTGCTAATCCGGGGTGTTGAGGGGGAAGTATATACCAATGGCCCATGGAAAGGAGAGACAATGACGCCGGCTATCATTAGTTCTTCAATGCCCGAATGCAAGCAAAGCGACCGGGGGGCTGGCTGAACGGGGGCATCCCCTGGGTGTTGACCGTCTTTTTATTGCCGGCGCGGTGGGTGGATAATCATTCAAAGACATTTGAATCTTCATAATGAACAGATCGATATCGAAACTTCTACTCGGGCATTTTCGGAGATGCCTCGCTATTTTATGCAGCACGAGTAGAAAAAGCGAGTTCATATTGGTTGATCATCGTAATCCTTGTCAATAGAGCTGCACTGATAACGCTCGATATGCAGTCGATGGATGAGATTGAAATCAGAAATTGACCGCTAGGAGGTCTCTTTCGACTAGGATTAACCTGATCGCGAATTCCAGGATCGGGTCCGAGCCCAGATATCATATTCGAAGGATGAGACTCGCGACCCTTCGACCGGGGCAATGAAAAGTGGGCCGATGTCTCCCCTGACGAAAACCCAATTTCCCCTTTAGAGGCGTTCCTTGACTGTGTGTGTGCTGCAACCGAGTTATTGCAGGAGTCAGGGCTTAGCCGCACTGCGGGACGACACACTGGAATGCAGTCGAGATCGGAATATTTCTGAGATATAGACATGGAAAAGTGGATCGCAGGGATGTTTCAAGAGTCTCGACTCTGCGAGACCGCGCCAAAAGCTTGGCTTTTCAATGTTTCAGTCCGGGGTGGATAACTTCCCCTTTTTTTAGTCCCTCGTCTGTTAGGCAGATATATAAGGTCGAGTGGCTTCACCCGATAGATCTTGGTCGGAACATGAAGTTGATCAAAAAAAGAAAAATCAAAATAATCAAAACCGAATCAATTCAAATCATATCCACTCTGCAAGCGCATTGCCGAGTTCGGCCACAGGAAACGGCGGGAAACGATCGACAGTACACGTTTTTGGCATGTCGAGTCCGTTTCTTACCGTAATTTACCGTCCGTGACAATTTCCGTTTGCGCCTTTTTTCGTCGCCTTTCGTTTTGGGCCTTTATTTTTTTTCCAGTTCCTTGTTTGGACCTCCTATTCATCTCATTGTACCGCCATGTCCTCGGTTTGCTATCTTCATCGTGGCCCAATACCACGCGGCTAACAACGGCGTTGCCCGTGCCTCTCTTGCACGAGTCTCGGCAATCTTACGCATGTATGGACTCCCCCGATCTGGTGGCCAACTGAAGCTAAATGACGACAGGACCGAAAAAGTTTCCCCTCTTCGAACAATCCTGACCGGTCACTACGTCTCCGCGGACTGTGGCCTCCGCTTGGGAACGGCGACGCCGGCCCTTCGAATACCATGTACTCATCTTACCTCCGGCGCTGCTCAGCATTTCTTCGCCGGGCGAACAAGTTCAAGCAGCGCATCCCGCTAATCAACCAGCTGCACCTCAACTTCATCTTCCTCCATTATACCTATATCATCTCATGGGTCCTCGTCGGCTCCATTATTGTCTACCCCGGTAACAACATCGCCTATATCGATGCCCTCTTCCTCTCGGCGGGCGCCGCCACTCAGAGTGGGCTGAACACAGTCAACTTAAATGAATTGCGCCTGTACCAGCAAATTGTACTCTATATGATAACAATGTTCTGCACTCCAATCCTTATCAACAGCGCCTTGGTCTTCATTCGTCTCTACTGGTTCGAAAAGCGATTCCAGCACGTGGTCCGTGATGCGCGCGCCTTGCGTTCGACCCGTTCCCGCATGGACACAACCAGCCGAGGAAAGGACAGTGACGAGATCAATCGTGCCGAGCGCGGAGTCAGCGGTCGCTCCATCGTCGTGCTGCGGGACGGCTCAGGCGATGCGCGAGGCGACCGACTCCCCGATCCCACGCGCAAGTCAGTCAACGATGCGCAATCCGAGACCGAAAGCCCTGGTCACGATGCGAGCGGCCAATCCAGTAGCGACGACGATCGGATGGAACGCCGATTTGGCTTGGGCAGTTTGAGAGTGCCGACGCAACTTAATCCGGAACAACACATCGCGTTCTTGGAAAATCAGAGGAAGAACACAGGTGCCCTGCGCATCCCCAGTCCTCGCGAGTACGACCGCGGTGGTGTCCCCGAAACTTTGGACGATGGGGAGGATGAGAGGCCTGACCCAGTCCAGCCTTCGAGTCCCCAATCCGATAGTCGGCGCAGCTCTACGCATTCGGACGAAAACGACCACGTCCCTCCCCTGGAGCCGCCACACATCACCATCAATGAGCCCGAATTTCCCAGAACGCGCACCCGTGGAAGTATATTTCCCCGCTTGGATACAAGACCTACTGTGCGAGACACCAAGGAGGTAAACGAGACGACCGGAGGATTGAGTAACGCAGGCACGCGGAACACAGTCCGGGGCATTTGGCGGTCGCTGACCCAGGAGAGAGACCACACAACCCAGCCGTATCTCAGCTGGAATGCGACGGTGGCTCGAAACTCCAACTTTGTCGATCTGACCGAGGAGCAGCGTGATGAGTTGGGCGGCATTGAATACCGCGCGCTGAAAACCCTGGCGGTCGTGCTGATCTCTTACTATGTTGGGTTCCACATCTTCGGCATCTTGTGCCTGGTCCCCTGGATCGTTTCAGAGAACGATCCGTGGGGTAACACAGTCAAGGCCGATGGCGTTGGACGGCCCTGGTGGGGAATCTTCACTTCTGGCTCTGCTTTCAACAACTTGGGCTTTACCCTGACCCCGGACTCGATGTACTCCTTCCAGAGGGCTATTTTCCCTTTGCTGATCATGTCGTTCTTGATCATTATTGGCAATACTGCATTCCCGTGTATGCTTCGTTTGGTCATTTGGACTCTCTCCAAATTTGCTCCTCAGGGCACGGCTCTTTGGGAAGAGCTCAAGTTCCTGCTTGATCACCCTCGTCGTTGTTTTACCCTCTTATTCCCTCGAAATGCCACCTGGTGGCTGTTTGCCATTCTTGTCGCCTTGAATGGCATTGATGTGATCTTTTTCATCATTCTGGACGTGAGTTGTCTATCGATCTTTTTGCACTTTCATTCATTCTCGGTATTGACTTTGATTCATAGTTGAACGACCCGACTGTGACTGCCCTTCCCCCCGGTATCCGAGTCCTGGACGGCTTTTTCCAGGCCGCATCTACTCGTACTGCAGGTTTCGGTATCGTGAGTTTGTCGGACCTGCACCCCGCTATTCAAGTCTCATACTTGATCATGATGTACATTTCCGTTTTCCCAATTGCCATCTCTATGCGTCGCACAAACGTATACGAGGAAAAAAGTCTGGGTATATACGGCCCCGGTGACGAAGACAACGCCGACGACGAAGATGACCAGACAGCACCCAGCTACATTGGAGCTCACTTGCGACGCCAACTGAGTTTCGATTTGTGGTATGTGTTTCTGGGATTGTTTGTCATCGCCATCGCGGAAGGACCTCGCTTGGAGGTCACCAGTGACTCTGGTTTCCAGCTCTTCACCGTCCTGTTTGAGGTTGTCTCTGCCTACGGTACTGTCGGTCTGTCCTTTGGGTACCCTGGTGTTGACACCTCTTTCTCCGGCCAATTCAACGTGGTGTCCAAACTGGTGATCATTGCCATGCAAATCCGTGGCCGCCACCGTGGCCTGCCGTACTCACTAGATCGCGCCGTCCTGTTACCTTCCGACGCTCTCAACAGGCGCGAGGCTGCTGATGCTGATCGTCGCATGCGCCGACGTACCTCGAATCTCAGCGGTGGCGAGTCCATGGGTCGTCCTCGGTCCCGGTCCATGTCCATGGGACGTGACGTTGGCATGGCTACCGCCACGGAAGGCTATGACTGGCAAACTCAACAGCCCCAGGGTAATGGCGACGTGTTCCATCGATCCTCAACCGTGCGCTCCGGTCGTTAGTATCCGCGGGCTTCACATATTCTACACATCTTTTGTATTTACATAGACATTGGGCGTTGTTTGGGGGCATCCGTCATTGCTGTTAGCGTCGCTTTTTGTGGCATATATTGAACATATTGGAGAGTTGGTAATTGAATCCGCATGCATCACTTACATCTTATTGAGCCTTGATCCTTCTCGATCTAAATGACGTTTGGGTCTTCCCCGCGTGCAAGCGCCCGCATTCCTTTCCGATTCCGGAGACTGTCGCGTGTACCGCGTTGGGAGTCGATAGTAGGGATGATAGTCATGGAAATGGGATTATTCTCAATGGCATCGAGAAAGAGAGAGAGAGAGAGAGCTCGGTAAGCGGGTGGTTTGATCCTGATTGACCAAACCTATTTGGGGTGCTGTGTATGATGGTTTATACTTCACGCAACCGTTGATCGACGCCGCGCCCTGAAATGATCGGCGCTAGTCCGCTCCGAGCACATTCCAGAGACCACCATGACGGCATCAACATGGGACGATGCCGTACTTAAGCTGCGAGATGTGAACCTTAGGACAGGTCCATCGAGATCGACACTGTGCAATAAATCAACCTTTGTTCGTCTCTTCCCCGTCCTGGATCTAGACCATCACTATCGTGGACATCTTCTACACCCATCATGGATGGTCAAAAGCTCCCTCGAGTATACCTCGATCGTTACAGCGGGGCAACTTCCAAATATCCCGATCTCCATCCGACTGATATCCCCAAGGCTCCGTCGATCCCAGTGATCCCGGTATCCGAGTCCCCGGAGCGCAAACCCAGCCAACGACCCTGGTACAGTCCATTCACCTGGACCCGACGACGGACATTCATCTCCATCCTCGTCACGATCGTGATCATACTAGTCATCGTCGTCCCCATTGAAGTCGTCCGAGCCAACCGCTACCCTGACTACAGCCCTCTAAATTACACACTCAAAGACTCCTACGCAGGCCCATCCTTTTTCGACCATTTCAACTACTTCACCGAACCAGACCCAACCGATGGCTTCGTCGTCTATGTCAACAAAGAGACAGCCACAAACCTCAACCTCACCCATGCAAGCGACACCTCGGCAATCCTCCGCGTCGACACGGTCACGCCCAATGCGCTCAGTGGTCGTAACTCTGTCCGCATCGAATCAAAGAAGGCATACAACACAGGTCTTTTCATCTTCGACATCATTCACACACCACACGGCTGCGGAACATGGCCTGCTCTCTGGATGACCGATGGAGCGAACTGGCCCGCGAATGGCGAGATTGATATCCTCGAAGCAACCAATGAAGCTTCGCATGGCAATGAGATCAGCTTGCATACCACGCCCGGATGCTCTATGAAAGTGAAGCGAAAAGAAACCGGAAACAGAATCTACAAGACCTGCGATAACAGCACGAATGGAAATTCCGGATGTGTTGTGGTCGGGGAACCTGAAACTTACGGCGCGGCGTTGAATCAGAATGGTGGCGGTGTAAGTTGGAGTCCTTTCCTATCTCCCATCTTTATGTTCCCATCAAGCAATGCGGACCCCTGACCCTTTAGCAGATCTACGCATTGGAGCTTCGCAACGCCGGAATTCGAGCATGGTTTTTCCCGCGCACCTCCATTCCGTCCGATATCACATCCAAGACACCAGACCCATCAACCTGGGGCACAGCCCTAGCTGACTTCCCCAGCACAGAATGCGATATCCCGTCGCATTTCCAAAACTTGAATATCGTTGCGAATATCGATCTTTGCGGAGAGCTTGCCTCGCAGCCACAGTATTATGATCAGTTGTATGGTTGTCCGTCGACATGTACGGATTTTGTAGCGAGGAACCCTTCCGCTTTCTCGGATGCGTATTGGGAGTTTAGGAAGTTTGAAATTTATCATGCTTTGAATGCTTAGAGGATTTGATGGACCGGTTTCGGATTGCTTTATGAGCGGGAGTTTTGCTGGGTTTTTTTTCTTAATTGCTTAGTACGAATGGGATATGGATGTATTTCATAATGATTAGATTAATCTGCTAATACACCCCAATCATTGATCCAATTCTTGATACTCATCCATTGGTATTTTACGTATAATTGCATTTGCACCAATGTAAAGTACAGACGCCCCTTAAGACATATCCCTGAAGTCTCGTGAATCCAGTATCCTTTGTAAGGAATCAGGTCACAATATCAATGTCGAAGCGTTATCAGTCTGTCGTTGAATCTACATATGTCGGGGTCTCAGTACCATTTGTGATTAATCCTTGGTTGATTCTTCTCTACCGTAGGATCCTCAGTGCCATTCAATATCCCAGTCCTCAACGAAAGGTTCTGGGCCACTATGCTCATCAAGGCTCATTGCACCAAGTTTGAAGGTTCCCGAATGAAAGTCTAGAACTTGTTCACAAGGAGCGCACTGAAAAGATTGCTCTCTTGCGCCACATGCTTCACAGCGGCTTTGGTAAACTCGGAAACGTCGAAAGAAAAAAAACGAGATTTGCAGCAACGTTGCGGTAGGTTGTGTGAGTGAAAGTCACTTGAATGCAGACTTTTCTACATCTTCTTTTATTTAATACCAGTCAAAGTGACTTTAGAAAGGAAGATAATGAATGCAGAGAGTACTCGTATACATCATCCAAAAATGGGTATCTTAACATGACTCAAAAACACGCACAAGCAAACCGGGTCCAACCACGGATAACAGAGAAAGCAATGAACAAGATCAACCCGCGAGCTTGGTAAGTTTGAATTTTTGACGGAAGAGGAAAACATGAAAACCTGAGCGAAACCGAGATCAAACACCAAAGACCTATAGAAAAACGTGTCGTCGTGAAACAATGGAAGAAAAGTTAAAGCTGACGCAGCAGACTTCCCTCTGCGAATGGATTTTCTGGCGACAAGTCCAGCATTGGCTGCGTCGCATTGCGATCACCTGTTGCCACGCCTCGCCCTTTGAATGGTTTGGGTTGGCTGGTGACCTTTTTAGAGGTCAACAGACTGTTAGGTTGGAAGGGATTGGGCGGCATAGTGGGACTGGCTTCGGCAGAGCTGAGTTGGGAGGATTTGTGAGGTGCTGTGACTTGGCGGACGCTGCGGGTGGTATTTGAGCGGTTACGGGTCTGGGCAGGTATTTCGACGGATGGTCTACGCCATGAAGTTGCGGGAGGGATGGCTATCGTGTTGGCAGCTAATTCGGGTCCAGTGGCAGCGTCGACAAGTTTCACACCGGGTTCAACGGTTACACCGCGGCCTTTACGGATATGTTGTGGTGCCTCCTGGAAAACGGGCGTTAAGTCAATAAGAGGTTTTGGTTTTTGGCTGGCGGACAGAGACCGGCTGAGGCCATCCGGTGCACGAGTCATGGTGTTTGTGCGGCTGTTGGAGTGATCGAGCGGGTGTATAGGGCTCTCATTCAGCAAACCCTGGTCGGTGAAAGGGTCTTCTTTCGCACGCTTTGCCCGTTCATCCCTTTCATGCATCGCCTGTTTTCGCTGAGAATATGATCGACCCAGCAAACCGGTGGGAGAGAAGGTGGTGTTCTCCAGTTCTGCAGAGGGTCTTCCCGGAATATCAATGGCCAACTCCTTGGAGAAGGACGACGGTGGAGGAGCATGGTCCCGACTGCTCTTCTTAGAAGCGTAAACATCCTTAGCCGTGGATGGGCGTGGCACCGTCTCACCATTCTGGCGGTACGTGAGAGACCTTGATGGAAGATGGATTCCGGCCTCGCTCTTCTCGGTTGCCCCCATCTTGTTGACAAGATACCAACTCCGCCACGCCTGGATCACCGTGAACCACTTGTCAGCCATAGCGCGGTCATTGGTACTGAAGAAGTGCACAAATTTCTCGGTAGACAGGAACATGGAAGACTTCTGTTGACTTTTGATGGCCATGCAGATCTTTTTGGGAGGTCTAATTTCCTTTGCAAGAGACCGTGCATTAGGCTTGTATATGTCAAAATCGGAGAGGTGACATATGACAGTATGATCTTTGGAAGACTCCTTCTTTGCAATAGTCACTTGCCCCGTGGAAGATAATGTCACCCACCGCTTGTCCCATTTGCCGGGTCGCTGAGAGTAGTAGAGGTAGGCACTTGTCTCAGAAGGCTTCTCGCTTGGAACAAGATTGGCGTCCAATTCGGCAAGGGCATCCATGCTCGAAGGAGGAATAACGATCAGCCTATTGTCTGCATCGTGTGACCAGGAGTTCATGATGTCTCGGACACGCTCATATCTTCGCAAATTTCTCTCCAAGCCAACTTGGTCGAAAGATTCCCGGACGATGAATTTTTCAGGGTCGATGTCACGCGACAACTTCTGAGAGGCGGACACGAGCAAATCTTGCACTTGAGTAGATGGAGTCACGGAGAGCTTGAGCAAATTATCGCTGTATTGCACAAGAACTTGGCGTTCTCCAGCATTCACCGCTGAAATGGGCGCATCTATTCCAGGAACAATACCCCCTCCGCCAACTCCAATATACCTTGGCGCAGAGTCTTGCGTCTTCGCGAGGCCCATCTTCTGGAAGAAGGACTTGCGCGTATTCTCACAGGACGGCGCATGTGCGCTGGCTCGACGACTCTCTAAATCAGCAGCCGTTGGCGCCGAACGGGGGAGCTTTGTTTTGCCCACATCCTTTTGAATGTGCACGTTCTTCTCAGATTTCACCGGCCGTAACGTACGATCGAGAGATGGCTGCTTCTCGCCCTCGAGCTGTGCCATCGCATCTTGTCTGTGTTTCCCGCGCGTGAGCTCTTCTTGCGCGCTCAGTGACAGGTTGGCGGTTGGTACAGAAGACGCCTCGTAGGGTTTTGCGCAAGCAAGACTTGGTATAGGGGGGATCGGTGGATTGGGCACTGCAGTGTTGGTGGTATTCACAGCAGGGCGGTTGCGACGGTATCGAGACATGCTTCTCGCGATTGAGGGGTTCTGGTCACTTGTTGCGCCATGTTGGGGAGGAAGCGCTTTCTCATGGCGGTCGGCACCATTCGCCTCTCGAACAGATCGATACCGTGACATTGTCTGCGGCACAACGTCCGCAGCAGGCACAGCAGGCCTCACCATGGTTGCGCAAGCACCTCGTGGGTCAAGAAGTCAAAACTTCAGATACGGTGTGATCTTGATGGCGAAGTGATCAGTGCCATTCTGGGGTGTCAGACTTGTAAGGCTGGGATCGCGGAGTAGAGGCGAAAGTTTGGGGCGAAGTTGGTCCCTGGGCCAAAGAAATCAGGGGGAGGTGGGACGGTTAAAGGTCAAAGTGCCAAGATGAGGCTGGAACAAAATGCGACAAGGCCCGCAGTCCTGCAATCCCTCAAACCTGCAATCCTGTTTTGGCTCAATCAACGGTCAGATCTAACGTGACAATCAAGAATCGGGCCGCATTTAGGAGGAGTAGAGTGTGATTCATCAGACTGGCAACCTACCCAGAGTTTCATCGGATCGTGGGAGTCAAAATGCGAGTCTGAGTTTTTTAAGAGTGGAAGGAATGCAGGAATGTGGAGCCGGAAACGTCCTCGTTTCGTGTTGTGTCCCCGTTGCGCTACCATCGGCGACTTTTGACAAGTCAGTGAACTCGGGCAAAGGAATCTTGCTATCTGGTGTTACACTTGAGTAGACGAAGAGACAATGCCTTTGGTCCCTGGGCTCCACTCAGATCCGCGACATCATGGATAGACCCGAGGTCCACCCGGTGGGGGGATCATCCTAAGATGTGAAGCTACGCCTGCAAGGGCTGGGGCTTTTTGTACCTATCTGGTGTAGATTTCGACGCCTAGTGTACTCACTAGAGCTGTGGTGGCTTCCAAATCAAAATACATACTCTCCAACGGCGTGGATCATAGTGGGCTCACACACCTAGCTATATGCAGGGTATCTCCAGCAGATCCGGGCTAAGTCGATCTAGGGCTTGACTAAGACATTGGTCTAGGAATGGGATCTCACGATCGAAGCCAAAACGCAGGGAACTAAGGAAGATCGCAAAATTGGGCGTGCATGCTGTGGGTCTAGACTCGTCACATTTTCAAGTTGTATTTATTTTCGTGTTCCTGCATGGCAAGAGCCCTAGGTGGCTTGGGAGGCTACTCATGCTCTCTCCACCTGATTGCCCTCCTAATATGTATCCTATTAGGCTTCTATTTCCTGTATGCCCCCAACTCTCTCTTCCTATGAAATTGTTAGGATGAGACCGGTCAAAATGAGATGAAATGAGATGAAAGGGAATCTTACCACCAGGCCACGAAGTCCATGGTTCGCACATCGATGCCTAGGTCCTTGAGCACCTTTGTGGAGAGGTGCGTATCATAGGGCCGCTGCACACTGGCATTGGGATCATTCCCCTCCTTGTTGCGAATCATACCGGGCAAAGGCACGGAAAGCACCTGCGCCAGCTTCTCACAGATCTCATACTTGGTCATGCGGTCCTCGGAGCTGAATTGCAGAATCTTTGGCATCTCCTTCAGGTGCTTCTTCTCTTTCAAGTACTTGATCACGATGTCACGGCACACGCGGCCCACGTCTTCGGTGTTGGTGGGGTACCGCAGCGCCCAGTCGTCCATCTTGACTCCGGCATTTGCATCCTGCGCTTTCATGACGGCATCCACGAGACAATTGACTGCACTCTCCGAGTTCTGCTTGGCCGACCCGTACAGCACGGGAACTCGCAACACAACACCCAATCCGCTCTCACGAGTCGCCTCGAGCACTGCCAATTCACCATCGCGCTTGAGCTCGCCGTACAAGTTAGGCGGTTCGGTCTTCGCATCGGCCTCATAGGGGGCGTCGCCCTCCTTTCCGGGGAAGACGTAGTCGGTTGAGATGTAAATGAGGAACGCGCCACGGGTCTGGCATTCTTCGGCGAGAGCACGAGTAGCGTCGACATTGATCTTACGCGCCTGCTCCGGGTTCTTGTCGCACAGGTCTGGAGATCTGTTTGCCGCACCTGTTGAGCTCCACGTCAGCTTGAGTGAAATGATCCACGGGCATTCCCGGGCTTACAATGGATCACGATATGGGGCCTGGCAGTTTCAGTGAGCTTCACGTAGCTGAATAGGGTCCAATTTCTGGATGGGACTCACTTGACATCGTCCAACAAAGACTTGATCTCCTCTGACTTTTGAAGATCCGCCTTGAGGATTGTTGGCGGGGCAGCACGCGTGTATCCCTGTCCAACCACAAGAACACCCGAATGCTGGAAGGTGCTGAAGACCTGACGGCCCAAGAGGCCGCTAGCTCCAGTCACAAGGACTACAGAAGACATGATGAAGCAATTGTGTAGGAGAAAGAGTTGACCCTCGGTGAGAAATTGTGCCCGTTGGCTTTGCGGGGCTCTCCCATGACGTAACTGACTCGCCGTCGAGTTTCGCGCGGTAGAATTTTGTTTACTCTTGAAATCTACCAGATCTGTACTTTGTTGTAGCTTTAATCGAATGAGCTTCACTAGTTGATTTTCAATGATCTTTGTCATCGCTGTGATTGTAATGGCTGTGATATTGCAGAACTTAGCCGTATTTAGAGTTGAAAAGCTTACCCGGTGCTGCCGCCACCATTGTTTGTTAGGGAAGATTTGTTCCGCACACAGCAGTGAAATTTCGATTATAAAAAAAAACCCTAGCTGTAGCATATCTATAATCAGGTTGGAATTCCGGTGAACTTGGGGATTGCACTTTAGACCATGCGTGAATCGTTGCCCTAGAGGGGAATGAAAGCCTAACCAACATAGAGCAGGCAGATACTACCTTCACCAAATTTATAGGATCTTAACCAGCCCTATAACAAGACTACACATCTATACCCTAATGAAGTTGTGGATCGATCATCGAGGACGAATTCAACAGCTGGAAGATCGGCCGTCAATTTACGAAATGTTGCGGCAAGGATAATGTCTCCATGTTAGGTGCTCGAGAGCACATCTGCGCATACCGAATCCGGCCAATTACTGAATTGGGCAGGTAACAGGCTTCGATAGCGAATTGGAAACGAACAGTGGAAGCCGAAAGCAAAGAATTTGATAATGCCGAGAAACGCCGAACAGATCAGAAACATGAAGTCGCGGAGGCAACTCCGATGGTGCAAGCAATTAAAAATTGGGATTCGGCTGAAGATCGGAGCGGCTTCTCCACTCTTCAATTGACCGGGCATCCACTTCCGAATTCCTTTTCCCTCTCTACACCTCTCGAGCACCGCCATGTCTAGTGCCAGAAATCTATCTGCCGCTTTGCGGCGGGCACGAGTGCCTCGCCCTCGCCTTCATCTCCGACCCGCTCTTCCTTACACACCTCTGACGACCGCCGTGCGCAGCTTCAGCGTTAGCTCCACCGTCCGGGCTGACAAGCAGATCAAGTACACGAGCGATGCATACCCCAATGTCAAGCGCGATCCCAAGTTCGCAGAGCTTACCGCTGAAGACGTCACGCATTTCAAGGAGCTTCTGGGCTCCGAGTCAGCTGTTATTGATGGCGTGACCGCCGATGCGACGGACGATATCGAGCCCTTCAACAGTGACTGGATGCGCAAATACCGTGGCCACACCAGATTGGTCCTGAAGCCTGGAAGCACAGAGGAGGTTAGCCAGGTGCTGAAATACTGTAATGAGAAAAAGCTGGCTGTGGTGCCGCAGGGCGGTAACACTGGTCTGGTCGGTGGCTCCGTGCCCGTTTTCGATGAGATCGTCATCAATACCTCACGCATGAACAAGATCCGCTCGTTCGACGCGGCTTCAGGTGTGCTGGTTGCGGATGCTGGAGTTATTCTCGAGGTAGCGGATCAGTATCTCGCTGAGCGCGACCACTTGTTCCCTCTGGACTTGGGTGCCAAGGGATCCTGCCACATCGGAGGCAACGTCTCTACCAACGCCGGAGGATTGCGCTTGCTGCGTTACGGCAGTTTGCACGGAACTGTGCTGGGTCTTGAAGCGGTCCTGCCGGACGGGACTATTGTTGACTCTCTGTCCACTCTGCGGAAGAATAACACTGGCTACGATCTCAAGCAGCTCTTCATTGGCTCCGAGGGTACCATTGGCCTTGTTACTGCTGTCTCCATTATCTGCCCTTCTCGGCCCAAGGCTGTCAATGTTGCTTACTTCGGATTGGAGAGCTTCGAGCAGGTGCAACAGGCCTACCTTCAGGCCAAGGGCCAGCTATCCGAGATTCTGTCTGCCTTTGAGCTTATGGACGGCCGCAGCCAGAGTCTGGTCAAGGAGTCTACTGGCAACAAGTATCCTCTCGAGGGCGAATACCCCTTCTACTGTCTGATTGAGACCAGTGGCTCCAATGCGGAGCACGATATGGAAAAGCTGGAGACTTTCCTTGAGAACGTCATGGGCGAGGGTATTGTTGCTGATGGTGTCTTGGCTCAGGATGAGACCCAGTTCCAGGCTCTGTGGCGCTGGCGTGAGGGCATCACTGAGGCTCTGAGCCACCTGGGTGGTACGTACAAATACGATGTGTCGATCCCCCTTTCCGATTTGTATCTGTTGGTCGAGGATTGCAAGGCTCGTCTGACCGAGATGGGCTTCGTTGGTGACGACGACTCTTTCCCTGTTCGTGCCGTTGTGGGATATGGCCACATGGGTGACTCCAACCTGCATTTGAACGTTTCCGTACGCCAGTACAACAAGGAGGTCGAGAAGGCTATTGAGCCTTGGGTGTATGAGTGGATCCAGAAGCGCCAGGGCAGCATCAGTGCCGAGCACGGCCTTGGAATTGCCAAGCGGGAGTTCATCGGCTACAGCCAGAACGAGACTATGGTGAAGCTGATGAAGCAATTGAAGGCTCTCTACGATCCGGTAAGTTCGGCACCTTGCTCACACCTAGCCCCCCGTCTGAACTATGCTAATCCAGACTACAGAACGGTATCATGAACCCGTACAAGTACATCTAAAAAGGCCTACACCCTTGAATAAGGTGTTAGTAGTGTATAAAATATCCATCACTTTCCCTAGCTTCAATTATTTCTCCCACTAGCCGACTAGTGATGCTATACAAACGCGATGTCACATGATCTGGCTCTCCTTGCATCTGCACTAGGCCATATCACGTTAGTGTCTCCCCACTTAATGCCTGAGGCTAGCATCGGTTGCCATGCGAGACGCGCCTTGTTTGGACAAGGCCGTTCATATATGCTCCACCCCTTTTGGTTTCAAGTGCCCAGCTGCCCGACACTTTCTTCTTTTTTGCTATCACTGCCACAGCTCCTGGAATAAAGGTCTTTTTGAGTTCAAAGTTCACCCGGTTTCCGCTGGACGAACACCGTTCCGCTGCAAGCCTGTCCGATCGGAACCGCTAGTTCGGCTTGATCATTGCGAAACCATGGCAGACGATATGGCGAGCCGTTACCAGGTGATGGAGGAGCTGGGAAGTGAGTACCAGATTTACCTAAAATGCCCTCTCATACCATATACTAATCAATTATCTTTCATTCATAGGTGGAAGTTTCGGTGTCGTTTACAAGGCAATCGATACGCACACCGGAGAGATAGTTGCGGTGAAGCATGTACGCGCCACTTTTCCTCCGATGCCCCTCACACGCACATCCAATTGACCTTTTTCTCGCGTCGCAGATTGATCTCGAGTCCAGCGAAGATGATATTCAGGAAATTCAGCAAGAGATTTCCGTCTTGGCCACCTGCGCCAGTGCATATGTTACACAATACAAAGCGAGCTTCCTGAAGGGTCACAAACTTTGGATTGTGATGGAATTTCTGGGTGGTGGGTCCTGCCTAGATCTGGTACGTGGTCTAATTCTGCTGGTTTGCAATAGTTGCGTGGTTTGTCGCTAACCAATTGCAGTTGAAACCAGGGGTCTTCAACGAAGCGCATGTGGCCATCGTCTGCCGAGAGTTGCTACAGGGTCTCGACTATCTTCACGCAGAGGGAAAGATCCATCGAGATGTCAAGGCGGCAAATGTATTGCTGTCTCAAACCGGAAAAGTGAAGCTAGCAGACTTCGGTGTGGCCGCTCAGCTGGTCAATATCAAGTCGCAGCGCAACACATTTGTCGGTACCCCATTTTGGATGGCGCCGGAAGTTATCCAGCAGGCTGGATATGACTTCAAGGCGGATATCTGGTCGTTGGGTATTACCGCGATCGAAATGATCAACGGCGAGCCACCTCATGCTAGTACCCACCCGATGAAGGTGCTTTTCCTCATTCCAAAACAGCCTGCCCCGCGACTAGAGGGCAACGAATACAGCAGCGCCTTCAAGGACTTTATTGCCCAATGTCTAACCAAGGACCCCGACCGTCGCCCTAGTGCAAAGGAATTGTTGCGACACAAGTTCATTCGCGGCGCTGGAAAGCCTGAGTCCCTGCAGGAACTCATTCACCGCAAGCAAGACTGGGATGGCGGCCGTGGAGTCACGAAGGACGTTAAATACTACGCAGAGTCCCTGTTAGTTCCCAACACCGCTGGTGGTTCCAATTCGCAGCTAATAACTGAGACCAGCAACACTATCACGAAGCCACCCACCCCAGAGGAAGACGAGGACGATTGGGTGTTCGATACTGTCAAAGCTCCGTCTATGTGGGTGCCCAAGGGCACTGACTGGACCACGCTTGACGAGGATGAAGACGAAAACGAAACCACCCCTGCTCAACTAATGGAGGACTTGCATATCTCCCAACCACCCGTCCCGCCCAAACATCAGCCCAATTCCACAGTTCGACGAACCCCGGCTGCCGACCGATCTCCTTCAATCCGCAGAGCCAACACCAAGCGTCGATCCAGCGGTATCAAGCAGCCACTTGGGCTAGACTTGAGCTACGGAAACAGCCCGTCCACTGTTCGGCAATTCCGCCGAGTATCGGACAAAGTTTCCAGTGAGACCCCGAAGGTGCCGCCTGGCTTCGACGAAAATTCTAGTCCGAAAGTTATTTCTGGCGAGTCCAGCAGCAAGGAAGCTCAGCTAGGACGCCGTGCATACAGTCGTGCTGTTGGACTTTCGTGCCAAGAGGTGCTCTCCACCACAGGCGACGGAGAAAAACGTGAGGCCATCTCTCGGCTGGCCGAGGCCTGGAGCGACTTGGAGATGGTCGATCCCGAGGGCCTTTATCACATCATCCGCACTATAAATGAGAAACTTCAGGCGTATGTCACAGATTCCGACTCTTCCGACAGTGATGAGGAGATACTAACCCCAGACAGTGATCCCCGCCTCAACTCCATGATCCCCACATCTCCTCAACCCGACTCTCCTGGGCGGCCCCGCCTCGTTCTGGCCCAGAACAATCCTCACCTCAAAAGCCACCGTCGCCGACAGTCGAGCGTGGCGGAACCAAATCCCCCAACACCCCTCTCCAACATGCCTGGCCAACACGTCGCGGGCATGGAACATACTAAACAACTGTCTGATGTGCTCTACTCGCGTTGGGCAGATGGACTTCGCAATCGCTGGGGCATCTAAGCGATCATCCGCAGCATGCTCTCCCCACGCACATCCCCTCCTCCTTTCATCTTCTTCCATTCGCTGTATAGACCATTCCGGCGTTTTACGTGCTTGTACAACCCCCCTTGCGTTCTTTTCAGGCTTACCACCAGCCTTGCATCTATGGTGTCCGTTCTTTCTTTTCATTTCTTGTACCCTGGTGGGACTGGTCCCGGAGTTTTGATCTGGTGTAATATCTTGGAACTCATGTTCATGTCTCTTTTTTGCCTTTGTCTCTTTCCTGGCTCCAACATATGTTTTAAACCCTTTTTCCCTTCTCATAGATAGGCTTTTCTCCTCGCTGTCATTTACCTACGATTGTGTCCTTTGTTCCCTACCTTTTGCATATCTCAAGGCAAGGGACTTTCAGTGTGCGATAGCTCCAACGCTATTTGTGAACCATATGTCCGAGCGGAAATGCTATGATGTGATTGGACTTGTGGCTACTGTTTCTTGTATTCTTGTCCAATCAACTCATTGGTCCCTATTCCTGCACATCCAACCCTCTGCATCCGTGATGATCGAATGTCCTAGTGACTGTAGAAAATTCAGAGCTTTCGTTCATCGTCAACTTTATCTTCCAGTGATTATTTTGTTTCAATTCTCATATCCGAGGTTTCATCGATTCAAAATTGCCAAAATAGAGTACCCCTGAACTCGACAGCCAAGACGTCTAGATCTTCCTAGTTACTCTTTGGAAGTCTCGCCCGGCGCCACTTCTGGGGGCGGTGGGGCTGCCTACGCACTGCATGTAATTTGGCAAAGACTGCCTTTCTCCGTGATGCTATTTCGGGATTGGTTTCAGTGGAGCGTCATAGCTTTTGCATTGAGTCGGACGTGGGCGGATATTTGCAATTATACCACCTTGCTACATTGAGACGTTAATCCAGTCGTAGACATTCGAGCTGGGAAAGTAGGGTCACAGCACAAAACATAAATGCGTGTGGCCTGCACATGCAGGTGGTTTCCACTGACAAAGTCCGACACTATACGATTCAGCATCGGATTATATAAATCTGCGCCAGGGGTAGACGTAGACACGGGGAAAAAAAGTTATTTGGGAGTTCTTGTCAGCTGGTGGTCCTAGGGGTCTTTTCAGGCGCTCCAAATTCATGCTTTCCGCTGCACATGTGATTAGCACGGGCAACATGCCACGAACTTCGTGGACTTCGCGATAGGAGACGGGAAATATTAGATACATGGTCTTAGGATTGAGCACGTGTCTATTAAAAAACCCTGTTAGAACGATTTGAGTAACAAAGAAATGCAAATAACTCTCGAGCTAGTTCGAGAGCAAGGATGTGCATGGCTGTGTTCAGTCTGATATGGCTGATTCGGTAGAGATAAGTCACCATTGTTATCTACTGAAAGTTGCATTCCTTGATAGCAAAGCTATGTGACTTCACTACACAGAATATTATCTAACAAATACATGCTTTGAAGTACATACAGGGGACGGACTAGATCGCGTATAGACAGATGATATATTACTTCTTGTGATCTTAGCAAACAACTTTGCAGCACGGACACCACCAACCCGAATGGCTGGCGTACGCCAAGTGCACAAGCAGCTTCACCTTTCCATCTTCTCCTTATCATTATGGGCCCCATTGTCAAGACGTTACCTTTGAGGAAGGGATACATCTATATGGGAAATTGTACTTTACGTCATGAAAATACTCTGCTTTGAGCCATGGATTGTGACTTAGAAACGAGTGCAATTCACGGGACCTATACATCGCCGGTAGGGGTATCCAAAAGCGGAGAGTGTGATCAAAGTAGCCCAAGCTTACCAAGCCGCCCGTCAGGCAAGAAGGCTACAGACCAGAAAGGCCTTCAAAGGCCTGGTGTAAAACACCTGTGGCAGTATCCCAGAGCTGTACACGGTCTTTACGTGGTCTCAGGGTCTTTACAAGACGTTGTTGTCTATCCGCCTTTTGAGGGACACTTCGACCATGGCATATGCTGCGGCATCCATGGCCGTTAGCCTTGCTATTATTTCGTCTTTGCGAATCGGAGTAGTCGCAAATCACCACGAATGACAAGACATGGAATATGGTTCATCAGCCCGGCCGTGTCCATTAAGAAACAGAGCACACCCTTTTTTGCGGCAAGGCTGTCGCGGACTGAAGCATCCTTCAAAAGATGATTGCTTGACGGAATGAACCCGTAATGTACGGTCGGATTGTCTTCATCCTCAGCTCGTTGAGTTCATGAGATTAAATTCGTTGAAATCTTCATCATAATCTATAGCGCAAGCCTACATTTGTTTTGTTTTATGAACGGTGCGTCTATGGTTAAGCCAATCACTTTCTTGATGTGGCCGCTTGTATTTTTTTTTTTGAAGCCATAGTGTTTTCCTTGAGAGCCTGGTTGACTGTTTCTTCAAGCTGATTGCTCTCGCTCTCATACCGAGATCGAATCTGTTGATCGCTGCGAGGAAGATACAGAGCGTCTGGTCGAAAAAGCACATTGCGATAGATCTAGACTTCTCTGGCGGTCATTCCCAGTGAGCCAGGACGCGGGGCGAACAACCTGTAGCCTCATTTCGTCACGTGGATGAATCTTACGAAGGATCGTCGCGTACAGACAGATCAGAGGTCACTCAAATGTATCCCATGTTTGAGATAGCCTTTTGGCAAGAGAGGGCCCATAAGGAACCGTTGAGCGTGGAGCGGTGAAGCTCATTTTGCACTTGGTTGTCTACAGGGTCTAGACTTTGACATTTCTGTATGCATTCTGCCCGGTAGGATCGTCCGTCAGTGGAATGCAGCCTCGCGGGGAATTTCCAGCGCCGATCTCATGAAACCGGAGCTTTCGCTGTTTCCCATTTTTAAATAGGTAACAGTGTAAGGTGGGAAGGGATGCCGGGTCAAGTGGACTAGAGACCGGAGATATGTGAGAATGTTTAAAATGAAGCTCGGCAGCGCTAAGCAGCGTCGAGGCTGCGGCCCCTGAAACACTCGTGGCAAAGAGGCGCGGTCCTTGGGACCCGCTGTGGGCTGTGGGCTCAGGAGACGGGGACTGGACTTTCTGTCATTTCGTTTCCTTTTCTCAATACATATACTCCAATCCTACACTCTCGTTCATGCCCACCTCCCTCACATAGTTTCTCTCCAGCTGGCTGGCCCACAATGGAGAGCTTCCCCGGAACAGGCGACGACGTCCATGGCTCTGTGCCGGATGCGTCCCGCACGACTCTCGCCTCTCCAATCCAACCGGAGCCTGTCTCCGGGCAAACAATCTCGCGATCCTCACCATTGTTGCAGAACCGATCATCACTACCACCGCGAGCGCACCCAGGTGGCCGACATGCGAAACGGTTGACCTTGAACTTCCCCATCAACGTTCCGTTGGACCAGCCGCCATCCGCCACTGACCCCAGTGTCGCCTCCCCCGGATCGATGACCCCCGTCACGCAGCCTTCGACTCGTCCGTCCCCGCCACTCCTGGTGCTCCTATTCCCTTGGATGTCGACGATGATGGCATCGATTTCCTTCGAGCCATCGCCCTCCAAGAGCGGAGGGTGATGGAGCTCCGGGAAGAGCTGTCACGGGCCGAGACGGACCTGTCAACTCTCAAGAAACAATGGGCGCAGTCGGAGAAGTCGAGGAAACGCACCGAAATCAGCCTTCATGCTGAACCGTTGCTGCCACTGCGATCTCCCGACCTTAATGCGCCGGAGGCATCCAGCCCGCATCGCCGGGAACAAAGCGTGAGCTCGGTCGGAAGCTCGTCGGTATCACAAGAACGTATCAGCCGGGAATTGGATCGTCGAAGTATCATCCGTCCCACTTTAGCTAAGGGTACTACTATCTCAGCCAACGGGCGGCGTGTCTTCCAAGGCTCTCACACGCGCACATTGTCTCTCTTGTCTCCAGTGACAGCCCAGAGCCCTTCTCTTGGCGGCCCCGGTTCGTCAGAGGCTGAGCGTGTTGGCCGCGCCCGCGGTCAGCTACATTGCCGTCTGTTGAGCGTCACAATGCCCCTAGTATGGGCATGCCCATGGATGAGAGTCAGGTGCCGGAACATGTGCTTTCACAGTGGCAGAGGACTCTGCCGCCTCCATCGCGCGAGGCACTCATGCGTACGGGCAAACAGATGGCTTCCGATCTGCGCGAGGGTCTCTGGACATTCTTCGAGGACATCCGACAAGCAACAGTGGGCGAAGAGGGTATCAACGCGACCGAATCACGGACTATGTCACAATCCAGCTCGTTAACACCGTCGAATTCACGCAAGCGCGATTCTTTGGCCAAATCCCAAAGTCGAGACCGGCTATCAGCCGCAGGTAGTGGTTCGCGATCAACATCATCATCGTCGCGGGGAGGAGGCCAGCGGCCGATGCATCATCCGGTAAAGACACCAAGCCGGTGGACATTTCCTCGTCTTTCTGGCATGAATTCGGCGTTGATTCACCGGCGCAGACGTCGACAGGCGCTCATCGCAGTCCCTCCGACAACACAATCGCCGCAACGACCCCACGGCGCGCGAACGAGTCCGAGCGAACAAATCACCACTCCAGCAGTCCAGCCGCGGAGGATGATACGGCCGACAACTGGGATTTGCGGGACACGCCGCTTCCCACGTCCAAAATGACGCATACGCCCTCGTCCAGCCGGTCAACAGTAGAGTCCTTGAAGCATGATCAGTCGCCCGGAACACAAAGTAGCAGTCCCCGAACGAGTGCCAGGTACATATCGACTTTTCCTGATTTTATCTATGACAACCTCGTCATGCGCTGACGCCCCCTTTCCAGCTTTGGCGAATGGAATCCCAGTTCCGCCGCCCCCGATCCCAGCGTGACCGAAGGTATCCCCTGGCCCACTATCACCAAGTTGGCCCCGTCCAAGCTACAACGTACCGCCTCCAACCTCATGGCTGAGTGGGAGCGCAGTCTCTCGCCTTCACCCGACCGAAAGGACTCGTCGTCCTCGTCCAGCCGAAGCAAGAGTAGCAAGAAGGACTGATGGTCCTCACATTACCTACTTTCCTTTTCTTTTCTATGTACATATTAGACCCCCTTTTCCTTCTTCGGCCCCATTAAGGGTCTCCGTTGGGCGATTTGGCACGAACACACGGATTCATGCAGGGTTACGACAGTTCAACCCACGAGAGCGTTCCTTTCTATTGCCAATATTTGGAGCAGGTGGCTTCATTGCTTTTCTAGCTTGTCATCTATGATGGAACAGCTGAAGATGAGCATCATCAGTCAGACACAATAAATTTATGATTGGAAATAGAATGATGACTGAATACCTTGACTTGTTTGCATTATTAGTGAGACGCAACTATACGAGGACGGTGATTTCCTGGAGTGTCACGTGACAAACGACGCAGTTGGCGAATCTGGGTTGCCGTAAAAATAAATTTGCGTGAGTCGCCTCCGCAAGATCTCCGAGCCTCGACGTGAGCTTCTCGAACTTGCATTTTCTCAAGGGGACTTCTACCAGACTTTTTTTTCTTTCAAACGCCCTCTTGCATCAGACTCAAAACATTTGAATCTCCTTTCCCTAGCGCCCTTAAATTTCGACCTTGAACGCGCCTTCGTCATGAGTGTCCCCGGTATGCCGATGATGGGTGGCCTCGGCGGTGCTGGCAACCAGACCGCCGGAATGAATGAGCAGGAAGCAGCCATGGTGAAGATGGTATGTCTCACGTCACGCGTCACGAAACGCGCATTCACTAATGTTCGACCAGATGCAAGCTGGTATGGAGTCGTGTCCAGTGAAGACAGTCATCTCCGGTACAATGGGATTCGGTCTCGGAGGTGCCTTCGGTCTCTTCATGGCCAGTGTAAGTCCCCAAAGTTCTTTGCTTCAAACTTGAAAGTCTAACCATCCCGCGCTTAGATGTCCTACGACTCTCCCCTCACCCCCCAAGGTCGCGCGATCTCCGACCTCCCGTGGCGCGAGCAAGTCCGTCGCGGATTCAAGGATATGGGTTCCCGCTCTTGGTCCTCTGCTAAGAACTTCGGTATCGTCGGCGCGCTTTACTCCGGCACCGAATGCTGTATTGAGGGTCTCCGCGCGAAGAACGACTTGACCAACAGCGTCGCGGCGGGCTGTATCACCGGTGGCATCCTCGGTGCCAAGGCCGGTCCGCAGGCAGCTGCCTTTGGTTGCGCTGGTTTTGCGGCGTTCAGTGCTGCTATCGATGCTTACATGAGAATGCCCGAGTCGGATTAAGCTCGGTGTTTTGAATGCGGTGTTCGGTTCGACTGGCCTACCTTTGAAGATTGCGATGTCAACTTCCGCTTTTCTTCGATTTGTATATCTTCTGCGGCGCTTGGCGACTTGGAATAGAGGGAGCATAGAAGGCGTTTGGGTTGTTTATTTTGTGGCACCATCTTGTTGTCTTGCTCTGGATCATAGATTCAGGAAGGCTTAATTCGCCTTTCGCGGTGGGGTTGTCTTCGGAGCTGCACCGGACGAGCTGAGTTATGGAAATAGCTTGGCTTGGCATATTGCATTGCGTTCCTGAGAGCTGGGAACTCGTGTGTCTTGTTTTTTGGTGGGTTTAACGTTACCCGTGTATTATATCTGCTTGTTCTACGTGAACATATTAGAGCCCTATCGGGAAAATTCTCCATCTCATCTTTGATACCCATTCAAGTTTTGAAACCAGTCAGGTCGATGACAGTACCTTGGCATCTATAACTATCGGCCAGGCATTAATAGAAGAAGCTAATGACTGTCAACCTGCCCATGGACTGTCGTACATAGCGGGCCCAAGAGTACATCATTCAATGAAAATTGGAGTTGGAAACATGACTGATACGGTGGAATACAGATCTCTCTATCGCTTGTAGACTGTTTCAGTCAAGAGTTGATGCGAATATGCTAGAGCACACAAGGCCTCATTGCACTAGTGCAAAATTGATAAACTTTTATTTGTTTATAGAGATGTAATCATAAGTCTATACTTTCAAGTCGCTGGTCATGTGTCGAAACAGAATGTGTCATGTATCTAGGCAATACGGCCCGGGAGAAATCTTAGAAAATGTAGGGCCAAAATGCCGTATACTTATGTAGAGTCGTCCAGTAGAGGGCATCGCCGACCACTCCGAAGTAGACTCCTCAATAGGCTCTTCGGCGACGCAGCGATCACACCGACACAAAAAGCGGAATGACTTTCGAAGATGCGTGCGGCGTGAGTCGAGGTCTTTGTATCTCGTCAAGTCGAAGTAGGAGATGCAGCATTCCTGGCCGGGATGAATATGGCGAGATGCGGTAAAAACCATGCGGCCTTCGTCATCAGGTTTATGAATGATCTTCGACGGAGTCAGTAATTATGTTTCCATAAGGTGAGTCGAGAGACATACATTTGGTACACATGAATGATTAGCAATTGCCGCCGTAGGATAAACGGCTGCGGCAAACTGCTCTCCCCTATCAATCGGGGACAAGGTGGAGGATAATGGCCCGTTTCTCTGGGATAGAGACCGAATGAATTGGCCTCTTCTTGGCAGATCAGATGCAGCATCCGATCCATATTCAACCCGTGGGATAGAGCCGGGCTGTGCTTCAGATACTTCTTCGCAAGAGTTGTCCAGGACTTGACCTGATCATGGGACCAGGTTCCAGCGGATCCGCACAACGAGTCAATGGCCTCCCAGCCATATTTATATGGAGGTTTTGATCCAGTGGCAGGTGTCTTTTCTTGCAGTTCCACATGTCGAGAGGCAAGCAGACGGACAATCAGCCAAAGCATGCCAAAATCGTATTCTCCTCTTTTACTTCGTATTGACTCTGCATATCTCTTGAGCCAAGCGCATTCAAAGTCATGTCGAGACTTATCAGCGTCTCTACAGGTGCTGCTGCACCATACCACATCTTGAATGCAACAATTCAGACATGGATATCTGCCATTGTCGCAAGGAGCTCGACGATTGCAGGCAGGATTGCTGCAAATCAGGTGCTCATTGACCTCGGGCTCATCAACGACGGGAATCACCGCATAGGGCCGGTCGATGAGAAGACAGGCTCCTTTCGGGATATAATGGGATGCACGGAATTGACGGCCTTTGACGGGATCAAGGCTCTCAATCAAGTGTGGGTGGATCCAAGACTGCTTTTGGGACCTGTCTACTGTCTCTGGCTCGACGGTGAGATATACGACTTGAGACATGGCGTAGGTGATGCCCAAGGGGGCTTTCTAGAGCGGGTATTTTTTTTTTATTTTTTCCTTTTACGAAGTCGGAGTTGAGGCCCGGCAAAATCTTTGGAATGGGGGTCTTCAGAACCACAATGTTGAGGGTTCCGCCTGTGGGGCGAATATTCGCCATTGTGAAGGGGAAGTAGCCAATCTCATCGCTATCCGCGATCCCGAGATGAAGTTTTATCCCAAGCGACTGTCGTTGATTGGCGGCCGGTATGCATCCCCTTCAAGGGCCTTGTTTCATTGGTCGATCTCTATTTTGATCTTGAGCTCAATTCTAGTTTCAGATGCACGTCTGGGATAGGTTTTGAGAAAGGAAAGTCTATCAGGTCTTTTGTCAGCGAATCTTCTACAATTCACAAGAACTATCATCTGACAAAGACTACAATTGGACGCGAGAGACAAAACAAGACACCGAGAGAAAAGGAGAAACAGAGAAAGGCAGAAAGGGAGAAAGAGTATGGGTAAGTGTGTATAATTGCCTATATTGCCAAATCCAGTCAGTATGCCCTATTTACTTGCTCCACCTCACCATGAATCAGATCGCTGGCGGCAGGTTTCACATTCATGACATTCAGAGCTAGCAGCCAACGTCGCCGCAATGAAGCTGGTAAAGATCATCACAGGTAAAGGTTCATCAAGTTCACGCAGAGACAAATGCGAGACTTGTCTTTCCTAAGTGGCTCTGCATGTCTAGCGCCGGTGGGTTGGCAGATAATGCCAGCTACTGGAAGACACCACAATTAATCCTCTATGGAGAACTCAATCATCAAGATCCTTGCTCTGAAGCCTTTGCTGCGTTCAACACCCTCATTTTTGCAGTCTGTTCAGACTACACTGCTCATTTCTAGATGAAGGCCATTGAAACCCGAACCCTGGAGCTGCTTTTGTGGCGACCCTACGGCCCCTATCCTTTTACATGACTGAGGTGCTAAACTAGTAAAGCGAAGAGGTATGCTCAAAGTACAGTTTTATTCACATTTCATACAATTGTTTCAGATCTAGGGCAGCACAATGTACTTCTCCAGGTGCTTGGGAATAGCACTGCGAAGGTTCTTGCTCTCCAGCCAGGTGTTGGAGAACAACCGGTCGGCGTAACGGTAAGCGCCATCGCACAGAATGGTAACAACGGTGTTACCCTTGCCCAGCTTCTCAGCAATCTCCTTCGCAGCCACAACGTTAAGGGCGGAGCTAGCACCGAGGTACAGGCCTTCTTCATCCAGGCAGCGGTAGACCATCTCAATGGACTTCTCGTCACTGATATTCAGCGAGCCATCGAGTAGGTCAATATCAGGCTTCAGGTTGTCTGTGACACGGCCCTGGCCAATACCCTCGGTGATACTGCCACCAGAGCGGTCGGTCAGCTTCCCGCCACTTTGGATGTAGCTGTGCAAAACACTGCCCGGCGGGTCGGCCAAGAAACACTTGACTTTGCCATTGCTAGTATCCTTGAGATAGCGAGTAATACCAGCCAGGGTACCACCAGTTCCGGTAGCGCAAGTGAAAGCGTCAATCTTGCCGCCGGTCTGGGCCCACAATTCAGGGCCGGTAGTCTCAATGTGCGCCTGGCGGTTGGCAATGTTGTCGAATTGGTTGGTCCAGACGGCATTTTCTCAGGGATTCTGCATGCCGGCGCGCCTGGTGGTTGTAATTTTGCGGGTTATCGAATGCGACAGCGGGAACTGGGTACACTTCGGCGCCCAGCAGGCGAAGCAGATCAATCTTGCCCTGTGACTGAGTGTTGGGCATGTAAATGACCAGCTTGTAGCCCTTCGACCGACAGACATGGGCTAGACCAATACCGGTATTTCCGGCGGTGCCCTCAACCACCGTACCACCCGGCTTGAGCAGTCCCTTCTCTTCAGCGTTCTTGACCACGAACAGAGCAGCTCGGTCCTTCACACTCCCACCGGGGTTCTGGAACTCCGCCTTGCCCAATATATTGCAGCCAGTCTGCTCCGACAGCTTCTTTAAGCGAATTAGAGGGGTGTTCCCAATTGCTATGCGACATGTCAGATCAATCAGGGCTAAAGCCGTACCGAAGCTCAAGACATACCCTCTGTCAGGCCATTGACGACGCCTTGCGCCGTTGACACGCGGTTGCAATAAGCAGTCGACCCCTCAGCGGCACGGAGGGCCGTCGTGCCAAAGCGACGAATGCCTTGACGGAACATCTTGCACAAATGTAATGAAAGTAATGCAATGCAAGTCAATCAATTCAATGCAGTCGGCCGAGCAGCTCCGATGACCGGGCTGATTAATCACACCACGTGATCCTTATCGCTCCTTCCCCGTTTGGGCTGTTTGTTTACCGCCCGCACATCTCCTTGCCTCATCTGTGGATTCGTGACTGCCATGTTTTCTGTCCCTCATTAATTGCGCCTCGATATCAACACCCAGAATGCCCGGCCGCGTCGCCGCCCGCTCGACCTCCGCGACAACGCGCAGGTCGTCGGCACAGCCCTCAGCGGGCCGTGCCCCCCTCGGTGACCCCATCGTTCGCGATTCCCGAAGAAGCAGCACTGCCAACCGCCTCTCCAAACCTCCGCCGCGATGTCTGCGCCATCTTCGCCGATGCCCAGCGAGCAACAACTGGACATCGCAAGCTTGTTGTCCGCTTGCGCAAACTGCAAGAAATCAGTTGTGGCATCGTTCGGAAGAAGAAAGGAAAGGACCAGGATCAAGAAGAAATTGAGCTTCCAGAGGAGGAAACCGTTCCAGAGACAGAATTCAACGTCGAGGTGGGCCGTTGCCTGCTTCGCATCCTTCCGATTAAGAAGTCTGAGCCCGTCGGCGACCGCATTGTGCGATTTTTGGACACTTTCATAACACATGCATTCGAAAAAGGACAATGAGCTTTTCAGCTCGAACGAAGACGACGAGGATGAGTTGAGTAGGGAGACGCCCACTGCTCGACTTACTGCGAGCTTGATCAACCTCCTGGTGCCCATCCTATCTGCAAAGGACAAGATGGTCCGGTTCCGCGCCACCCAAATTGTCGCGCATATCGTCAACTGCCTGGAGTCCATCGATGATGAACTATACCACACAATTCGTCAAGGCCTGTTGAAGCGAATTCGTGATAAGGAGTCAGCCGTGCGTGTACAGGCCGTCTTTGGCCTTGCCCGGTTAGCCGGCAACGAGGGTGAGGAGGACAACGAAGCCAGCTCCTCTGCTCTTCTCGACAAATTGATGGACATCATGCAAAATGACACAAGTGCCGATGTCCGAAAGAATCTTCTCACCAACCTCCCGCTCTCCCCCGTTACCCTCCCGTACCTTCTCGAACGAGCTCGCGATCTCGATGCACCGACCCGACGTACATTGTACTCACGTCTATTGCCTACTCTGGGTGATTTCCGCCATCTGTCCCTATCTATGCGTGAAAAACTCCTTCGCTGGGGCTTGCGGGATCGCGATGAGAGCGTTCGCAAGGCGACTGGTAAATTGTTCTGTGACCGTTGGGTTGAAGACTGTGCTGGAACCAACCGCGACCCGAATGAGGGTGGAAACTCTCAACGGTCGCCTCCTGACTTGAATGCCCTGTTGGAACTGTTGGAAAGAATCGACGTTATCAACTCTGGAATGGAAAGCGGCATCGCCCACGAAGCCATGCGTGCCTTCTGGGAAGGTCGTCCTGATTACCGGGAAGCTGTTGTCTTTGACGAGCCTTTCTGGGAATCCCTCACTGGCGAGTCGGCCTTCCTCCTGCGGTCATTCAATGATTTCTGCCGCGTCGAGAACGAGGGTAAATATGAAGATCTCGCGGACGAAAAGATGCCTGAAGTTACAGCGCTTGCCTACTTCCTCTCCAAGTACATGACTGAGCTTTTGCAACGGAAAAAGCAACTAAAGGATTCCAGTGAAGCCAATGATGAAGATGCGGTAGAGCAGGAATTCGTCGTGGAGCAACTCTTGCACATCGCGATCACTCTGGATTACAGTGACGAGGTGGGCCGCCGGAAGATGTTCTCTCTACTCAGAGAGTCGTTGGCTGTACCAGAACTTCCAGAAGAATGCACGAAGCTCGCTGTGGAGACATTGCGATGTGTCTGTGGACCCGATCGCACAGGCGAAAGCGAATTCTGCAGCGTTGTTCTAGAAGCCATTGCCGAGGTCCATGATACTATCGCCACGGAAGACAGCTTTGTGTCGGCCAGATCTGAAATCAGCGACGACGCGAGCAGCCGACACCGGTCTGAGACACCGGGCGAAGAAGAGCCAACGCCCTTCAACAAGGAAGAAGCCAAGGCAAAGATTGTTCGTGAGATTGTGGTCAACATGAAGTGTCTCCACATCGCCCAATGCATGCTTCAGAATGTTGAAGGAAACCTGCAGCAGAACATGAACCTGGTGACTATGCTGAACAATCTTGTTGTTCCCGCAGTACGGAGCCATGAGGCCCCTATCCGTGAGCGTGGTCTCTATTGCTTAGGTCTTTGCTGTCTTCTCGACAAGGTCGGTTTAAAATCCATACAAGATGAGATCTTTAACTAATTAATCCCCATTGCAGAACCTTGCTGAGGAAAACATGACTCTTTTCATCCACTGCTACAGCAAGGGCCATGAAGGCCTTCAAGTCACCGCATTGCAGATCATTTGCGACATGATCACAACGCACCCTTCGCTCCTCGCCCCAGTGACTCAGTCTGACGGCGAGACCGTGACCCCGCCTGCTATCCAGAAGCCTTTGCTTAAAGTGTTCTCACGTGCACTCAAAGCAAACTCTCCCCCAAGCGTGCAATCCGGCGCGGCTTCAGCGTTGTCAAAGTTATTGCTTACCAGTACTTTCGAACCCACTGGGCCGAATGTCCCCCCCGCCATTCAGGAATATAATCAAAACGCAGTTGAAACGTTGCTGCAGAGCCTTGTGGTGTCTTTCTTCCACCCTCGCACGAAAGAAAACCCTGCCCTTCGTCAATCACTGGCATACTTCTTCCCCGTTTACTGTCATTCACGACTGGAAAATACCCAGCATATGCGGCGGGTTGCAGTACCCGTGGTCCGTGCAGTCGTGAACGCCGCCGAGGAGCATTATTCGCTTGAGGCTGAGGAGGATAGCGATGGCGAGGTTGACGAGAGCATTGGCGAGCGCGAAATCAAGGCACTCGTGACCGGTGTCATCGGCATGCTGGCCGAGTGGACTGATGAGCGCCGAGTCGTTGGCTTAGGAGGCGAGCGCATTCTGGCAGGGGGCACCGCTAGCTCAAGTGCTTGTGGATGGGTGCACCTTGCCCTGGTCAAGGATATTCTGGAGCGTGTCTTGGGCGTCAGCGCTGGAACCAGTCGCTGCAACAAGGAAGAACGCAAATTGCTATTCTCCATGTTAAGCAAACTCTTTATTGCTGCTCCAACAGTCCCGTCTCGTGCTAGTTCTCGTCCTCCCGAGGGCGAAGATCAATTCCGTTCTAGCATCCGAAGCGCCACTGCGACTGGCGTTGAGATTGAGCCAGACAATGTCCAGCTCGCCGAGCAAGTCAAGCGGCTGCTTGATGAGACTATCGAGGAAGGTCTTGCTGCTGAGGCATCTAGCAGGAACGCCTTAGTCAAGGCCAAGAACTCTGTTTTGAAGATTCTCGCCGTTGCTCAGGATGCTCGTGCGGCGAGCGTACGCCCTCGTGCTGGTACGGAAGATAGTGACATTGGCAGCGTCCGCTCTGCTAGTGTCCGACGCTCCGTCGAGCCGACTACCCATCGCCGTGGGGTTTCTGTGGAGCCCTCTATCATGGAAGAAGATGAAGATGACAGTGTAATTCGTTCTGGCAGTGTGCGCCCGACTGTTGAAGGCGGCGTTGCTCGTAATCGCGTTGCCGTCGAGCCCAGCATCATGGAGGAAGAAGAAGAAGAAGAGGACGACCATGACACGAGCCGGGGAACAATTATCAAAGAAGAGACGGCTGATGAGTGATGATATTCGGGTCTGGCTTTAGGATGGCGTTAGTTGCATCTGGATTTTGGGTTGGCATCGATGGATAATCGATACTTAGTGGCTGGTTTTGGTTGTATATGACTTTCCATGTTGATTTCGTGCTTGCGGTGTCTGATACGAAATAACATGCTTTTGCACACTCTCATATGGCTGAATTCCGTATAGCCCTAACAAGGCAAAGATTGTAAATTTCTGGTTCTCTTTGGTTCTCTTTGTGTTTCAGTATCGCTTATCGACATCTCTTCCTTGATTTCTGGAGTGAGAAGTTGAAAGAGGCCAACGCCTGATTGAGGCGCAACGGCTTTTTTGGTGGCATTTGAGCCTTCGACACGTCTAAGAAAGACAACCCGGATCCCACCTTTCGATATTGCATTCACATAAATGCAAAGAGCTTCTAAAGACCAGTAATACTACTCAAGAGGAAGAAGTAGATTCTTTCGGGAGCCGTACATTTTCGAGACGACTGATTAAATTAGAAAGAATAGAGGGGCCAATGTAAGAGATCTTCTGCGCTGGTGTCGGGGAACACATCATCGAATCAATCCGAGCATCCTACAATCCTCTCTCTTGGATTCCCGAGCTACTTTCACTTCTTTCAAGAATCCGTCTACACCTCCCTTGTCACCCCCTCGTATCACTTATGCATACCTTCACTAGGACCCTGACATCTTGTGTCGAGCCTGGGAAAGATCAAATCTCGGAATCTCCTTTTTTTCAATTCAGCTCAGGGAGTTCCGACCAGGCAGTTCCAAGTGCTACCTCTCATGGTCCCATATGAACCAAGACCGTCCAGGGTCACTGGTTCTTTGACAGTCAATTACTTCTCTCCATGCTCTTTCCGATTGACTTGACTTCAAAATTGAGAGAAATAAGGGATTCGTACATTTGTTGACTTTATGAAGCCTTCTTTCTGATGATAGATTGAAAATGGTACAATTCTTCGCTGGGGTGTCTGGCTGTTTCTTGGGGGCAGTCAACCAATTGACCCAGCACAGTAAAAAGAACAAAATTAAACTGACTAACATCTGCATCAATCGCTTCAAATATGAACCACCATTCTCAGGAGACTTTACCGTGATGACCAGCAATATGTCTTTGTTTTATGCGGGCGAACAATAGCTCGGTCGCCATTTCCGGCCCAATTCTGATAGCATGGCGAAGCGCCGCGGTGACAGCAGACTTAAGTGGAGTATGTCATTTCAGATTATTCAAACATCCTGAAAATAGGCTTGATCTAGCATGTCGAGTCAACGGGTCGAGGATGTAGTGCCAACACAGTAAGATATACGCTATATTATTACTAATGATATTAGACGGATATGAGTAGCCCGTAAGATTGCAGCCTTTGGCCCCCGGGAACTGAAGAGATGCAGAATAAGTCTCGATGACGCGGGTTCTAATGATGCAAGAGTCCGAGGGGAGGAATTTGAGTTTCATTCTCATTCTCGGGATTGGATGGGGTTTGGTGTACAGGCTCTACACGGTCGAAGATGTTTTGACTGATTCCCCCGGAATTCTTGACCTCCTTTGGCCCTCCCAAGTCGGGTCTGTAGCCAAAGCACCGAGGCGAAACATGAAGGCTGGGAAAGCAAGTAGCCAAGGACTTGAATCTTGAGGACCTGCTGCGGGTGCACTATGAACAATGCAATATGAACCAGAGAGGCATTCCATGAAAGAACCATTGAATCAGAAGGAAGTGACCACGGTTATCGTCAGGTACGCCACGTGATTATCCTCCCCGTTCTTCCAAACCACTCGTGGGTAGAAGTCTGAATATCCTCCTGTCTACCTATGGGATTCTCTAGATACGTTATCTTGCCTATATTTACGTTCAAGTACTTTCGACGGAGAGTCCCCGGCTCTCGGTCGCAGCCTAGTTGACTCGCAAGCATGGGCCCATTCCTAGATTTCTGACAGGGGTCCCCACTTACGGAATGCCAGAAGTCAGTCGCATACTCACATAGGTACCTTGCTACCTGGAGGTCTCCCAGGCTAGCTAAACTAAATGTGGCCTGGAATTAATTAGCGGCGACTCGCGCGAAATCCGTGAGACGGACAGGGATGGACTGTTGGGGTTGCACACGGCCCAGAGGTAGGATGGGCAAAAGTGAACTCAGGTTAGGGGGAGGGGGGTGGGGGAGTGGAATTGAGGAGAGGGAAAGAAAGAGTCAGCTCCGAGCTGCACGAGCTGTACATATGGCTGAACTCTAGAACCTGCGAGTAGGTGAAATGAAGTAGAAATAGACCGTGGTCCAATCTCCGCCCCGTGAAGCCCGAAAATCTCCACCGAGTTGCCTCGTTTCTTCCTTCCCCCCCCCTCTCTCCTTTCTCCCTCCTTGGGCTTCTCTTTTCCATCTCTCCGCCACGACCCCCTGTTTGTCGTGTTTTGTCTTCTGCTTCCTTGCAGAGACTTTTTCTCTCTCTCTCCTCCCCTCCCTTTCTCCTCCCCTCCGGGCCTCCCCCCTGCTGCTCCGTTGGCAGCGACAAGTCAGAGATGGCGGCCGTTTCAGCACCCACTCCGAAGCTGGATCGCTACATTGTCATCCACGTTGCAACCACCTGTGACGAACATGGCGTCTATGTCACCAAGGATTCGGCTGAGGTGATTGAATTGGGATGGATTCTCTTGGACTCCAAGACTTGTGAGGAGGTACATTGCTCCGTCCCCGGTTTTCCCGATCAACGAGGGAGGAAAAAAAAATCTAACGATGATCTTCAATTCTATAGTTGCACCGTGAAAGCGTCCTTGTCAAGCCGGTCAACACTCCTATCACGCCGCTGTGCAGTAAGCTTGTGCCAACAAACCCCCGTTGCCTTCCAATTTCGCTGACCAATTTGTTACAGCGAGCTTGACTACCCTCACATGGGAGCACGTCCGCTCCGCAGGTACTTTCCGTGATGCCATCTCCCGATTCGATGCCTTCGCCCAGGAACACCTCACTAGCAAGCAGCTTGAATTTGCCTTTGTCACATTGGATTCGTGGGATCTGCGCGTACAGCTGCCCCGCGAGGCTCGTGACAAGGCAGTCGTTCTGCCCGCATATCTGCAGCACTCCCGAACCTTCGACCTGCGCACCGAATATCAACGCTGGCAAACCCACCACCCCGAGTCGCTGCCCTTCGGTCCCAGCTCCCTTTCTAACATCTGCGCCGCCCTCGAGGTCGAGCCCGTTCAGTCCTCGGCCCCCATCAAGCACAACCTCCCCTTCCACTTGCAAGCATTGGCCCCCGCTTCGCCGCGCCGCGCCATGGAGGAGTCGATTACTCTCGCTCGGGTACTCCGCGGTCTGATCCGCAAGTCGCAGCCACCCCACGAGCACCCTGAGATCCTGACTCGTCCAATGGATGCTCACGCCGATGTTCGCGCCTTCCTTGCCGAGCGTAGCAAGGTCCTTCACCTCAGTGGCCTGCCCCACGACACCACTCAGTCGGAACTGGAGAGCTGGTTCACTCAATTCGGTGGTCGGCCAATTGCCTTTTGGACTCTTCGGACTCCGGACCAGCACAAGCCCACGGGCACCGGCTTCGCCGTGTTCTCGTCCCACGAGGAGGCTGCCGAGAGCCTGTGCATGAATGGCCGTGCCTTGAACGAGAAGGCTATTGAAGTTTCACCTTCCTCCAGTCGGGTTCTGGACAGGGCTGCTGAGATTTTGACTCCCTTCCCGCCGTCTAAGAACCGTCCTCGTCCGGGTGACTGGACCTGCCCCTCGTGCGGTTTCTCTAACTTCCAGCGCCGCACGGCTTGCTTCCGTTGCTCGTTCCCCGCCATGGCGGCCACCCCCGACCCAATGGGCTACGGCTACGGCTACGGCCCGCCCAACATGATGCCTCCTCACATGGGCCACGGCCACGGCATGGGCCACTCTCGTGGTATGGGTGGCAATGGTGGCGTGGTTCCTTTCCGCGCCGGTGATTGGAAGTGTGGCTCCGAAGGATGTGGTTATCACAACTTCGCCAAGAACATCAACTGCTTGCGCTGTGGTGCTCCTCGCTCGGGTGCTGCCGTGGTGGCCGACTCGGCTTTCCCCTCCCCATGGACCCCCCATCACAATTCAACATGGGTCCCAATTCGATGGCGAGCACTCCCGCACCCGGTCCGTTCGCCTCGACTGCCAGCGGCTTCGGTGGTTTCAGTGGCCAATTTGGTGCTCCCCAGAACAATTACGCCCTCCCTGCCGGTGGGCTGAGCAACGGCCCTGGAGCTTACCCCCCAGATGGGTCAGGTAAACTCGGGATATGGATCGTCGGCCACCTCTCACTCCGCTGCTTCCTTCGCCAACCCTGCCACCCAGGCGGCTTTCAGCGGTGCCGACCACGGCGTTCCCTCCACCAGTGCCTCCAATGGTGCTTTCTACGGTAATGAGGGTTCCAGCGACCCCTTCGCGTTCTTGTCGTCCGGTCTAGGCGGCCTGACCGTCTCTGATGACGCTCATTCTCGTCGTAACGGTGCCGGCGCCAACAAGTCGCCTGCTTAAGTGCGGAGCGGCGTTTCACCTATTCAAAAAGCCCGACGAACTGGGCGGTCACACTTACGTTGTCCATATTGCAACCCTGTATTGTGGCAGGTATATGCGTTGGTTGATATTCGTTGATACGCATTTGTATAAGGGATTCATGCGGTTCCGGTGCATCGGGTTGGAAGGAGCAGGCGGGTAGCGTGTCGATGGTTCCGGATTTTTTCTCGCCTCGCCGTACTGTTGATTTTTTTTTTTTCGTTTTTCATTCTTTGTTTTATTTCCATTGAGCGGGTCCGCTCATCCCCTTGATTCCATCTCTGAGCTTGGTTTTATTTCATGGTTGTCTTTTTTTTGGTCTGCTTTTTATTGCAAGGATGGCGGCGACACCCCGGGGTTGGGTTTATTTTGGCCGTTGTTTGTTGAGGGTTTCGGACGCGAACGCATTGTGAGCCTGGGTTGCGCACTCGACCTGCTTTGCATTTTAGATCTTTTGTCGTCCCTTTCTGCGTTGGGTCATGGCAAGCGTCGGAGAAGTCAGGGTATTGATCGATCTCACGGATGGGATATACAATGGTTCGGACTCGGACTCGGACTCCGTTGGGGGTGTTGGGGGATTTCCTTTACTTGCGCCGGCATCGTGGATGTCTTTTTCGCCAGGCACTGTGAATGCAACAAAAAGATGGTTTTGTTCATATTCGATTCCATTTCGTGTATTTGTCTCGCCCGGTGGGTCTTGGATACTTTCACTGGGAGCTTCCCATCCTTCAATCGAGGGAATAGTATATGTCTGGAAATCTGTTTCATCTTTTCCGAGTAATTTGTGGCAATGACCACTAGCTGAGCGTATACCTTGCAATCTTGGCCCTATGTGAACAGAAATTACACAAGATGCATGGTTTAGGTTCATGCTGAAGGATATCCGAGCATCGGACCTTGGGGACCTCTCACATATTCTTCGACCACATGTCCATATAGTACATTGGAGAACTACAAAAAGATGCTTATTTCAACTCAGATTCCTGCAATCCATGATTTGAGGAATTGGAATGTCTATCGGACTCGCTCGTAAATACGAGAAAGTTGAAAGGTAATGTTACGGCGAGGCTGCGCTTCAGGCATCCGCAGGCTGTCGCGTCCACCGCCCGCCGGACCTCGTCATTGCTAAGGTAGCGTTCTCCCATCACGTTCTCCCAGCGCCCTCGTCCATTCTTCAGCCTCGATCGCCTGGATCTCCTGTACCTGCACTTTAATATCTTCGATCTGATTCCCTTGTTTCTGCGCTACAATGTCCGGCTACGACCGAGCTCTATCAGGTAAGCCAGCTAGCTCCCCCCAACCATCAGCTCCCTTTGCTCTAGTGCTCGACCTTGAATAAATCATGCTAACTCATCCTAGTGTTCAGGTACGATCACTGACCCCGAGCTCCAGCTATAGCGAACATTGTCTAACCCAGGCCCAGTCCCGATGGCCACGTCTTTCAGGTGGAATATGCCATGGAGGCCGTGAAGCGCGGTAAGACCACTTTCATCCCGACCACACAATAACAACTCTGGATCTCCTGACACTGAAGGGTCCATCACTGTTTCATGGCGAGCGGCTTGCTAATTGAGAATGATGTACAGGAACCTGTGCCGTCGGTGTCAAAGGAAAAGACATCGTTGTCCTCGGTTGCGAGAAGCGCTCCGCCCTCAAGCTCCAAGATACCCGCATTACCCCCTCGAAGATCGCCCTTGTTGATGACCACGTCTGCCTTGCGTTCGCCGGACTGAACGCTGATGCCCGCATCCTGATCGACAAAGCCCGGCTAGAGGCCCAGTCCCATCGTCTTACAGTCGAGGACCCCGTCACCATCGAATACATCACCAAGTACATTGCAAGCGTACAACAGAGATATACACAGAGCGGTGGTGTACGCCCATTTGGTATTAGTACTCTGGTTGTTGGCTTCGACCAGAACGACGGCACACCGCGCCTTTACCAAACCGAGCCTTCTGGCATTTACTCCGCTTGGTAGGTCTTCGTGGACTTTAGAATACCCTATGGAGACCATATGGCTAATTATTATTCGTGAGCAGGAAAGCGAACGCTATTGGCCGATCTAGCAAGACTGTCCGCGAGTTCCTTGAGCGCAATCATCAGGATGAGATGGACCGGGAGCAGACCATTCAGCTGACTATCAAGTCATTGCTTGAGGTCGTGCAGACCGGCGCCAAGAATATCGAAGTGGCCATCATGGCGCCCGGCAAGCGCGTAGAGATGCTGCCCGACGACCAGATCGAGGCCTACGTCAAGAGCATCGAGACCGAGAAGCAGGAAGAGGCAGCCAAGAAGAAGACCAGCCGGGGAGGTACCACCACAGCCGCCATTTTGACCCGGGGCGGCGAGTCGGCAGAGTAGGTCGATTCAACGATGTGTGCCAATTTATAGCGCTGGTCTTCTTTCTTCATGAGAACTTTAAAAACCACGAATTTCTACATCGTTCTTTCCGTACTGTACAACATATGGGTATCGATATCGCGGAGATCGGTCTGTCGCTTGAAATAACGGCCCGGATTATCGTAGTCAAGCACAAGAGCATCAGATCGTCAACATCATGAAATTGCATCCACGTAATGCACCCTCTCTAGCCCATGCGATCTGAGAGATCCTTGAATTGGAAGATGGACTTTTCTTGGTGGCCACGAACTCTGTCATCCTTGAGCATTCTGGCTACTGTTAGCATTCCGGTCAAGCCTGAGCGTGTGATTCCCTTGAGCGTACCGGTTGTCCATGCGCGCATCGTCACCCTCCACTTCCAGTCTCGCATTTGGCGTCAAGGCTTCGAGGACGAAGTGATTATCGCAGTGCGGACAGAACTCATCACTAAGAATCCCAGTCATGTCAGTCACGCATGCCCTTCCCCAGAAACGTGTGGTAGTCATACCTCTCCTCAAACTCAGCAGCATCCTTACGGAAGCACTTCTTGCATTTTTTGCATGCAAAGATCTATTCCGTACACGTTTAACATTTGCCATACCACCCAGTCTATGTCTCGGAAGGGTGGTGCCTTACCATCTCCTGAGCCTTCTGCAGCATGTGGGACTCTTGTTCTTGGTGGCATTCGGCACAATCGAACCATTTGCGACCTGACAGAATATACAAGTGAGCATCTGCATAACGCACGGGGTCTCGGAGAACGTACAGCAAGGGGAGCGAATAGCCACTTGCGCATTGAGGATGTGTTTACTGCGGGGTCGTTAGCTTCTAAACTTTTTTTTGGGAGGCTTGAAATTTGGAGGTGCTAGGTCAAGAGGGCTGGCTTGCAGAGAAAGACGAGGTCAAGACTTACCACATGGCGCAGAAAGGAGTGCCGGGTTGACGCGTAACCAGAGAATCAAAGAATAAGGACGTTGCGCAGGAACACGTTGATCTGCCACTCCCGTGATCCACCACTTTCGCTCCCCGCCACTTTATTTCATCTTCTCTCTACTTGCACCCCCTCTTCTACTTCTCTTTCTTTCTTGGTTTCGCGGCCCTCTGCGCCGCTTCTGATTGTCTGTTTTGGTCTTTTCCCCGAATTTCAAACCTTCCTGCCTTGGCCTACTCCTACTCCCAACTTTACCTTTTGACCCCAACACGACACGAGTTCCTTCCCAGGCTCCAGCAATCAAGCTTATGATCGATCCTACCGGCTGGTATCGGCGAAGGATCTACGTCTATGACTATGGAGGGAAACGGCATGGATCAGGAGAATGCGGATGAAGCTCCCACTGTACGCTATGGCTTGTTTCATGTTGCACGCGGACCTACTAACCCCGACATGCAGCGGAGACCGGTGTCCTCCTTACTATCTCACTTCGAAAACCTCTCGCACCGCAAAAGCCAATCCACTGTCGGAACCGGCCCCCATGACATTACCCAGCGCTTCTTGAGAACCCCCGAACCCGGCGATGATCCCCGGTCTTCAAGCCGCATCTCCTTGGATCTGCCTAGGCCGCATTCTCCCTGGAACGCAACGGCTGGCGAACGACAGGGACGTCGAAATGAACAAGCCAACGGCGAACAATCACGAGCTCGCGGATCTCCCGGAGCTCGATATGGCCGGCCCATCTCCGTGAACTTCAACCAGTCGTCACCACAGCTTGCGCCTACTTTGACCGTACACTCGCCCCAATCGCCGCCGCGGGGCCTTGAGCGGGAGCTACGTACTGCTCAACAGGATGATAATCGCATGGTTAGACCCTCAGTTCATCGAGCCAGAGAGTCTGTTTCTGCTGGTCCAGCTGCCTCTCGGCCCGTGACGCCGCAATACGGGTCTTCTGGTCCAGCGGGAGAGACTACTGCGCGTCTCTCACCCAATGCTCCAGGCTCCAATGGCACTAGCCCGCAATCGGAGCGAAAGTTAAAGAGCGCATCACTGCCACCGCCGGTGAACCGGGCAGACAAGCCCAAGATCCCGGCCAAGCCGGCAATGTTTTCCCATCCGGATACAAGCTCCTTAGCTCCTCGGCCTGATCCCACCTTGTCTGAAGGCCATGTGTCTCCATTCAGCACTCCTCCCAGTAGCCCAGAGAAGCCCTCAAACAAACCAGTTTCAGCTAGCAAGCCACGACCGTCGCCTTCACGGCCTGGGACTGAGCCTCCGGTTCGCCGCTCGTTTGATGAACGTCCACCCGCATCATCTATCTGTTCTAGGCAGGATGCTCGAGAAGTCGGCTTCTCTCGGACTCGTCCGGTTCCTGAGCCTTCACGGGCCACTAAACCTCTCATGGTGCAGATTCCGCCGACTTCGCCCGCGCCCCAGGAAACGTATACTGCTCCGCCGCTTTCTTCACAAAGGCTTCAGGCTAGCGACAATCCTCCTGATCGTCCCGGTCTTCCTCCAAGACCTACGCCGACTCCTCGCAGGGGGGGGATTCTCCCCTGCGCGAGATTCTCCAGCATCTGTAGCTAGCCCAGCCCAGATGACACCAATTGCACGATCTGCTCCTACTTACCCTCTTATAGGCGAGGCACCAATTCAGCGCGGCATCCAGCGACAGCAGTCCTTGCCTCGAGAATCACATTTATCATCAATATCACAAGAGCGCCGACTGGTGCGGACAGATACAGAAGAAGAAGAACTTCCTGTCGATGAAGTTAAGGTGTCACGAACCGATTATCCCGATTCCTCAAAGGCCAACCGGCGGCCTCCGCTCTTGAAATCAGGACCCAGGGAGATTTTGACACGGTACGACACCCGGCTACTCGCTGTATGCGGAAAATATGTGTGCACCACCGGATACTTGACCCGCGTTTGGGATCTCACCACCGGCGAGCAAGTTCTCAGCATCGGCCATGGAGAAACAGTGAAGAGTTTGTCTTTAGCTTTTAAGCCTGGAAATGGTCTTGATGATGAGGGTAAACGTATATGGCTCGGTACTAGCGCTGGAGAGCTGCACGAAGTCGACATTGCATCGCAATCCATTGTCGCTAGCCGAGCCTACCCATCTCGCAGAGAAGTCATCCAAATCTTACGCCATAAGAAGGAAATGTGGACTATAGATGATGAGGGCCGGTTATTAATCTGGCTGCCAGATGAGACTGGTGTTCCCAATTTACAGTACAGCTACCACAGTCCCCATGAGCGAGTGGCCCGTGGCCAATTCTCCATGGTGGTGGATGATAAACTTTGGCTGGCAGCAGGCAAATATGTTTATATCTACCGACCAAGCACGCGTGATGACTCCACATTCAAGGTCCTCAAGCGCCCATTAGGTCTGCAACATTCGGGTGACGTGACCTGTGGTACATATACCACTCAGGACGGTGGCCGTGTGTATCTTGGTCATGCGGACGGCAAAGTAACGGTTTACTCGTCCACCGACTATGCGTGTCTGGCTGTGGTCAATGTTAGCGTTTACAAGATCAATTGTCTCGGCTTTGTGGGTAACTATCTGTGGGCGGGCTACAAGACAGGTATGATCTACGTTTACGACACTAGGACAAACCCCTGGACCGTGAAAAAGGACTGGCGCGCGCATGACAGTCCTGTATGTGACTTTGTGCTGGACACGAGTAGCGTCTGGACGATCAACCGTTTGCAAGTGACATCCCTTGGCACTGACAATTGCATACGTCTATGGGATGGAATGCTGGAGGATGACTGGTTAGGTATGTTATCGGTCTCGTTGTGCCAATTTTCCACTGGGGCTAACATAAACAAGATGCTCGAATGCAAGACCGAGATGTCGAGTTTTGCAAATTCCGCGAATTGCGTACTGCTGTAATTACTTGGAATGCTGGTGCTTCAACCCCTGGTAGTTTGCGCACGTCTGATTTCATCCGCGAGGCTGTTCAACCAGAGAACTCTCCCGATATTGTGGTGTTTGGGTTCCAAGAACTTGTCGACCTCGAGAACAAGAAGATCACAGCGAGTACGTATATTGACTGCACTGTTTACGAATACATCTGCTAACCCATCTCTACAGAGAGTTTATTGAAGAGTAGCAAGAAGAAGGAGAATGGCGAGAAGGAGCACATGAGCCGGCAGTACCGGGTATGGGCTGACCATCTCACCCGAACTTTACACGAATGTATGCCTCTCGAGGAATCTTACGTGCTTCTCCACACTGCCAACATGGTGGGACTCTTCACCTGTGTGTTTGTCAAACATAACGAACGCCACAATATCAAGAGCATCAACGCCTCCGAGATTAAGCGGGGAATGGGTGGTTTGCATGGCAATAAGGTTTGTGGCGCCTCTCTTCGTGTCCTTGAGATCAAGCCTCTAATCTGTCACTTTCAGGGCGCTCTTGTCTTCCGCTTCGTGCTAGACGACAGCTCGATTTGCTTTGTCAATTGCCATCTCGCGGCTGGCCAAACACAAACCGCTCACCGTAACAACGACATCGCCGCGATCCTAGAAGCAGAACCTCTACCCGCCGAAACCAGTCCTACCACACGGGTGAATCAATACGCCAGTGGAGGTGACGGATCCATGATTATGGACCATGAGATCTGTATCTTAAATGGGGACCTGAACTACCGCATTGATTCCATCCCACGCAATGTCATTATTGACGCTGTCCGCCAAAACAACCTCTCAAAACTTCTCGAACGCGACCAACTTCTAGCATCTCGCCGCAAGAACCCCGGCTTCCGACTTCGCAGCTTCAATGAAGCCCCTATTACCTTTGCTCCGACATATAAATACGACGTCGGTACTGACCAGTACGATTCGAGCGACAAGAAGCGCTCCCCCGCCTGGTGTGACCGCATTCTCTACCGTGGAGCCGGCCGCGTCAAGCAGCTCGAGTATCGCCGACACGAGGTCCGTGCCTCCGACCACCGGCCTGTCAGTGCGACGTTCAAGATTCGCGTTAAAACAGTTCTGCCGCAGGAACGGGCGATTGCGTGGGAAGCATGTCAGCAGGAGTTCCAGGAAGAGAAACGACGGCTGGCTTCTGAAGCCAGGTAAGATATTGTTCCCGTCTTTTGATCTGTCATTCACTAACATCTTTCTCAGCATTGAATATCTCATTACTGTCCTCGGTACCGATCCTCGCCAAGCCCGTGCGCTGATCCTGAAGGGTTGATAAGTGGGCGACGTATCATGGACGCACAGGCATTTGCTCTTTTCTGATACCTGCGGATGTACATTAAAACAAGTAACGATTTTACGAATAGACATGTATCATGACTACCCAGACTTTCAATCTTCTGCTACAGTAGTATCACAGATGTGGGGAGGTGGCGAGAAGTCCGGGGTCTCGCAATTCCCTCAAATACAAACTGCAGCTATTAATTCTCAACCTTGCAGATAGTCTCCACGGGACTCGGGCTATTCATCCCCGGACTGACTCCGGCACTGGTGATGACGAATGCAAAAGGGCCCCCATGGAAGCTTACACATACGGCGCACGAAGATCGGCGGTTCTATTAGGCTGACGATGTCGTTCTATTTATCCGTTCCCCGCACTGGCTTCTTACTACTTCAATAAATGTGCATATAAATAAGAAGCTAAGCATTTTTGACCCTGTTTTTTGGAGGTCAGATCCTTGTGTCCAGATTCTAGTCACCATGTTTACTTCATCTCTGGCTGTTCTGGCTTTATTTTCTTCGGCGAATGCTCTTGTGCGGAAGGATGGCGTGGTAAGAAATGATTCCGCTCAGGCATCCACAGCTCCAAGGCGAGGAGAATGCTAAAAGACTAAGCAGGGTCGACTCCCAGCACTTGGCTGGAACAGTTGGAACGCATTCGGGTGTGATGTGGATGCGGACAAGATCATGACTGCCGCCAATGAGATGGTCAATCTGGGGTTGAAGGAGCTAGGATATGGATATGTGAACAGTAAGAAAACCTCGTGGGGAACCTTTCCATTGTCATGAGCTCTCATCAACATCAAAATTTCCCTAGTCGACGACTGCTGGTCCATCAAGGGCGCAAGAAACAGCACGACGGGCCGCTTGATGTATAACTATACCACATTTCCAGACGGTATCTCAGGTCTCGCGGACCAGATACACAATCTTGGCTTGAAGATCGGTATTTACAGCAGTGAGTCAACCCCGTTTTCGTGTTTGTATACGCCAACGTAACTCAGGAACTATCCAGGTGCCGGCGAGACTACCTGTGCAGGCTACCCCGCCAGCCTTGGACGCGAAGAGATCGACGCCCAAACCTGGGCTGAATGGGGAATCGACTACCTCAAATATGACAACTGTGGTGTCCCGACCAACTGGACTGATCAGAACACAGCCTGTGTTCCCGACGGCTCTGGCAACCATCCCAACGGAACATGCCCAGATCTGACAGACGCAGCACCTCCTGGCTACGACTGGACCAAGTCGAAGACATATACCCGCTACACAAGGATGCGGGATGCCCTTCTCGACCAGAACAGGACCATTCTTTATTCTCTTTGTGACTGGGGAGATGCGGATGTGAATACCTGGGGCAATGAAACTGGTAACTCGTGGCGCATGTCGGGCGATATCAGCGGTACGTACATCACATTTTCTTTGGAAAGAGTTCTCACACCATCATTCTTAGCAAGCTGGACCCGTATCGCGGAGATCGCCAACGAGAACAGCTTCAAGATGAACTATGTCGATTTCTGGGGCCATCCCGATCCAGATATGCTTGAGGTTGGCAATGGCAATGTCACCGACGCGGAAGGCCGCTCTCACTTCGCTTTGTGGGCTGCTATGAAAGCTCCTCTGATCATTGGTACTGCGGTGGGTGATAGATTTGAAGAGATTATTCCCCATATCTTATACTAACATTATCCTAGCTCAATGACCTGAGTGATCCCAACGTGGCTACCATTAAGAACAAATATCTCATCAACTTCCATCAAGACCCAGTCGTTGGTCGCTCCGCGCACCCTTACAAGTGGGGTTATAATCAAGATTGGACATTCGATCCTGCTCACCCAGCCGAGTACTGGTCTGGTCCTTCGTCGAATCTTAAGGGAACTTTAGTCCTGATGCTCAACTCAGAGGACAAGACTGCCACCCGTACTGCTATATGGAAGGAGATTCCTGAGCTTCAGGGTGGCGAATCGTATCATGTTCTTGATGCTTGGAGCGGAAAAGACTTGGGTTGTGTCAAGTCGCATTATAGTGTCTCCTTGGAAAGCCATGATTCGGCTGTGTTGGTGGTCAAGGGCGCTTGTTAGGGACTTGGGACTTTCCGAGGATACGCAACCATGTTCATTATCTTGATTTGTGCAATTTGACGGTTCTGACGGTGTGTTTCCTGATCATTAGTATCAGCGAGGTTGTATACTACATCCTGCTGTATTTGAGAGCTCAATCATGAAATGATCACTTTTGCTGTCTAGGGTTGTTTAGGGTGTGAAAAGCTTGACTTTTCTCCGATCCTTCATTCCTCGTCTTGTCTCTGTCAAGATGGGCCAATAGACTATGGCAAGGGTCCGGAGTATAACCTGTTGTTATATTATCTCCTCTGCCTTCATCTTCTCAATCTAGTTTCTTGTATTGTGCTCTTATTGATGTTCTGAGAGTTCTGTCATTGTCATACTATGCTACTTTATATCTTCAAACCCATCGGGAACTATTTCATCGCCTGCTCCATATCTGCTGTACTCGTGTGCTTTGTACGATATCTCTGCACTACCCTGGACCCTGTCTGAGATCAAAATAGCTTGACGCAAATCCGCTGGTCATGTGCGAGCTCCGGGGTTTCCTTTAGTTCTACACGAAACAAACAAGGGGAAAGCAATACTAAGGTAGTCAAGTCTTGGTAATGCTGGGTACATAGATCTACAAGCACGCACAAGCTTGAGGAGTCATAGATATAATACGCAAGTTAAAAGGTAAGATCTCGAATCCACACGCATCAATCTCCTAATAGATGTATTCGGAAACTAAAACAACAGGTCAGCAATTGTCATCGACAAACTTGTGCAGGCAAGCAATTTTTGAAAGACCTGAGAGGTAAAACATACTTCAAATTCTCCCGATCGGTCAAGTCCAGGAAAGCAGTCGAATCCAGATCCCGTGCTTCGAGACCGCCCTCCATCTGAGATTGGATACGGTCCCGCTTCTTGTTCTCCCAACGAAGAAGAAGACCGAGCGTGGAAATCAGGACAGCCTCGATTAAGTGTGAAACAATCATTGACCAGATACCGAGCTCATATGTCGGACTGTAATGTGTCAGCTTTGTGTACGATCTCCAAGGAGGACTCAGACTTGTACGTACGATTGATCGGTCTTGTAGAAGAACGGTCCCGCAATATTGCCCGTGCAGTAGCCGAGGAAGAGAACTGCATTGGTGACGACCTTTTTGGTGTGGCCTAATTCGCAGAATCAGCAATTGTCGGCTCGGCGAGATAAGAGTATCAATGGCTCACCTGCTGTGTTTGCGATCTGCATACTCAGGATGAGCACGAACGCAGCATTGTACGGTCCAGTCAGGTAGTAGCAGATCAGCCGGCCAATATGATGTTGAGTGGGGACGAAACGAAGTCCGAATGCGCCAGCTAAGTTGGGAATGAGGAAAATCAGTACGAAGATGCATCGTCTGTTTTCGAAGCGATCGTTCAAGTAGACGCATGCCAATATGGACAATGCAATGAGCACACCATATGGAATCTGAAAACATCAGCTGTCAGAGCCGAGTAAGATTGGAAAAAGGCAAAAGTTACTGACTTGCATCAAGGTTGTGACAAGAGTAGAGAATCCAAATCCTTTAATAATGATGGTCCCAAAGTTGGAGATGCCGCCGTTGGGGACATTGCCTGCTTTCTTTAGTTACGGCAAGTTGAATCAGCGTTGGTTTCAACATACAGACAACACCAAGAATGAAGAACATGTAAAGCTTATAGTCCAAGAAAGCTTCGAGTATCTGATAAGGCTTCAAGTGCTTGTTCTCCACGCCGGTCTGATTTTCTCTAAGACGGTCCACGGCGATCCGACGCTCGCGCTTTGTAAGGCCGCGCGCAGTAACAGGGGAATCAGGAAGGAAGATGAACATGACGATACCCCAGGAAGCACACAATGCGCCGCTATAAATCATTCAGTACTCGGAAGACGTGATCGGTAATTGAATATGATCCTTACATCACCAGAAACTCGTATTTCCATGAAGGCAAAGCACCCCGGATATGACCTATACCGTAGCCGAGGAGACCACCCAGAGCAATTCCGATTCCATTTGCAGTATACCAAAGGCCAATTCGAACGGGCTGCTCACGACGGGTATACCACATGCTGGTGATTAAGAGGAAGGCCGGATCGGAGCAAGCTTCAGCAGCGCCACCTAGCGCGCGAAGAACCGAAAGGGTCTCAAAACTATTGCATGCTGCCTGGAGCATGAGGAAGAAACCCCTGCTTTTACATGAGCCATTGAACGATTAAGTCGATTTTTCGTCTCCGAAACCTACCACAAGAAAATATTGGCTCCGAGATATTTGCCTAGATACTCAATCAGGTCTGGGTTCCCGCGTTTGTTCCGGGGGTGAAAATACCGATCGGAAGGCGTTGCAAGAGAAAATTGGTGGGGAATGCCCAGGCAAGAAAGCCAAAATAGAAGATACTGCTCAGCCAGTTGTACTGAGTGCCATGTAGGTTGAGATCTTCTCGCATGTCAAAGATAGCAGCATAGCTAAGGGTGGTCTGGTCCGGTGAGAACAATGTTAGGAAAGCGCGCTTCCACTGCAATCTGCAAAGACTTAACGGACTTTATCGATATAGAAGAAGGCATAGCAAACAGCCAAATACGGTAGGATCATAAGATCAATCTTCCACAGAATTCGTCTTGCCTCGGCTGGGTCGATCGGTTCGTGGAGTTCCGCCGGGTCGTCGAAAAGCGCCATGGCAGTATCGCCGTCGGCATTTTTGACGGACTTCCACTTGGCCTGTATTTCGTTGCTATCGGCGTGTTTCATGGTCGGTGCATCATGTATATCGCCCTTGAAGCCTGGTGCTGGCTCAGCATTATGGTTGGCCATTTGCAAGGCAATGTCTCTCGATCGAACTTATGAGGACTGAGATATTGAGGACCGAAAGGAATTGGATGACTGTAACGTCGGAGTAAACAAGAAAGGAGTCTGAAGATAAGTCACATCACAAAAAAGAGCTTGGGGATAAATGAGAAAATATAGCCTGACGATCAACTCTCATTGCCGGTTACTAGTCCAAACTTCCGACACGATGCTGTGTTTCTGATTCCTGTTCATCACAGACCTGATACTCCGCAAAAGCCAAAACTTAAATGACCGGGGAAATCGGACTGTGTGAATACTGCGGGGGAAGACCCAGCGTAGTCCCCGCAGAGCCAAGAACCCAACGTACTGCTCGAAGATCGGTCAATACGCCGGCAGACCGATGTCGGCTGACGAGCTGCATCCAGGGACGTACGCTGTGAGGTGCATCAAGTCTCATGGAAGGCTGCTCGTATCACAAGGGACTTCTGTCACTCGGGCGTAAAGCCGGCATGGCAGGGATATGCACTTCGGGGGAAGTCCGAAACCAATGCGCCTAGAACCTCATGTAGACTATCTATAGGCGGGAATTTGCCTCGGACGCTTGCAGGTCGGGTACCTCGACCGTGCACAAGAACTTCAGCTCCGTCCTACTTTGTTTAAGCGGCGTGGGGGTCGTGGGGAATCCGGCGATGAAGCGCGGAGAAAACCCACTTTGCCCCATATTCTTGATGGACTGCTGCGTTTTCTCGCGAGGGTCATCAACTAGGAAGGTGGGAGTAAATGCATAACCCCTTACGTTTTATTACGCATTGGCAGGATCATCGAATCCCCGAAACTTTTGGTTGTATTAATTTCAATGATAACCATCAAGATTTTTATGTAACCCATGATCTTCATTAGAAATGCTAAAGCTCATGAATAAGTCCAGTCTTTGCTGCTTTTATCCATCATATTCAAGTTGTTGAACCCCAAATTACCCAGGTGGACATTGAGTGAGTGTATCATCAACGCCTATCTTCTATTGAAGTTGAGGAATCGCGACTGAATAGGAATAATTGTTAGCGAGCCATTTCTGCCCTGAAATATCTGGATTTACTTACCGCTAGGAAGAGAATAATCAAATTAGACCCAATAAAAGCGATGAAAATACCCAAGTCGCGCCAGCGGTGGTCGAAGTCCATGCCAAACGTCGAATAAAATTGATCTCCGACCTTATAGGCACAGTACTCGCACGCTTGGGTCGCATTATCCAAGAGATACCCTGCACCACCGCGCTCAAAGAAAGGCTGCATGTAGTCACCACAAGTTTCGTTGGCCGGTGCCTGGAAGTGATTGTATTCAGAACTGGTGCATGTCACATTCCGCCCATGAAGCTCCGTCACGACCATGCCACCGACCAGGCGGGTGAGAGGGTCAAGTTGATAGAGCCAGGATCGCCAAAACTTCGGCATCTGGGGCTTTGGGATTGAAACACCACAGAACAAGGAGAAGATAATGACGATCGGCGGGTTAAACTGGGACGCGATGAAGCTATTGGGAGTAAGAGCTGAGATCATTTGGCCGAGAGTTACGGCAAACAGCTCTGTGATGAGGACCATGAGGAACTGGTAACCGGCTCTGCTGCTCTCGCTTTGGAAGCCGGGAATGTAATAGAGCGGTAGGAAGAAGCAGACAGCGCAGAGAATGCTGTATGGTAGCTCTGCAGAGACCATAGAAATGGCAAATGCAGATTGACTGTATGTCTTAGAAGCAGATTCGCGGTAGAAAATCAATCTGGATAGATCGTATCGAGGCTCCACTTGCTGCAAGATGATCGCGGGCAGGACGGTCACGTTGAAAATGACAAAAATACGATACTGCAGCGAAGAGCGAGAGTCGTCGAGCTGCAGATATGCAAGACCACTGAGAAGGGCAATCACGACGTGCGTGAAAAGTCTAGTGAATCCGTAATTACGAGACCGCCAGAATGCCAAATGAGTTCGTCGGCCCACGACCTTGATCTGATGCCACAGGGGCGACGCATACTCTTTCTCAACCATTCTCAAGTTTGGATCTGAGTTCCGACGGACAATTTGTATGCGGGACTCCTTGATGGAGACGATTTCTTCCTTCAACATCTCTAGCTCTGGAGATGTACGCCAAATTTCTCCCCAGTCTCTATCACCGATCCGGCGTGTCTGTCCAGCGCCAATGGCATCCAGCATCCACTCAGCTGGATTGGCTTCTGGCGGACAGTCGGCACCATTACGGCGGAAGTAATCTTGCAGGATGTGTGAGTCCAGACCAATATCACCAAAATAGATGCATTCTCCGCCTCTCTGGAGAAGAAGTAGTCGATCAAAGGATGTGAAAAGAGCGGAGTTGGGCTGGTGGATTGTGCAAAGAATGGCCTGGCCTGCCGCTGCAAGTTTCTTTAAAAACCGAACAATATTGAAAGCAGACTGACTGTCCAGTCCAGAGGTAGGTTCATCCAAGAACAGTAAAAGCTCTGGTTTGGCGGCCAACTCAACACCGATCGTGACTCTCTTTCTCTCTTCAACCGAAAGGCCAGTCTCCGGTGTTCCAATGATCGCATCGGCAAGATTCTCGAGTTCAAGGAGGCTGATAATCTCTTCAACGTATTCGTACTTTTCAGATTGCGGCGTCTCAAATGGTTGACGAAGGTCTGCAGAAAATCGCAGTGCCTCACGAACAGTCTGCATGGCTTCATGGGTATCCTGTTGTTCAGCGTAAGACGTACCTCGTTGGAATGAAGTACCAGGAGCCTTCCCATCAACGAGGATTTCACCACTAACTACGCCAATATTCTTCCTTGACGCCAAAACATCCAACAATGTGGTTTTACCTGCACCAGATGCCCCCATCAAGGCCGTCAATTTCCCTGGTTGGACGTAGCCGTAAACGGAATTTAGCAGCTGTCGTTTGCCCGAAGCGACCGGGACCTCGTAGCAGACGTTTTCCCAGGTGAAGACTGACGTTGAGGTGATCTTGAGATCAGAGCCTGCCGCCACATTTTTTGACTGGCGATTGGCCCTCTTCATCTCTAAGGCCTTGTTGAGCTTCTTGCGCTCCTTGTTCTCCTTCTGGTAGAATGTGATTGTCTTGCCACCGGCGCCGAACTGGATCGTTTCTCCAAAGTAGAGATTTGTACCGAGGAATCCAGCAATCAGAGCTAGCATGATACCAAAATTGCGCCATAAATCACCGTAATAATAGCTGAAAGTCTTTTCCACATAGCTGAGGCCGGGGATGACGTCTGACCCAGCTTCGCCGCCAGCAAGTGTGCAAGCTTGATGAGCAATATCGTCATAGCCTGGACCATTTGGCACTAGGGAAGTGGAAACGCATGTCATTGTGAGTCGACTGAACTCGTTGACCATTAGCGAAGCAAAGCCAAGACCAAATGGATTGATGTAATAGATCCATCTCAGCCAAACCTGTGCACCACTCCATTGAATGAGGTATCCGGATGTGATGACAAAAAGAGTAATGATCACAGCGGCGAATTTCATCGCGTAGTCAAAGTCGGGACTGACACATCCGAGCGAGCGGAAGATGACAGTCATGCATACGTAGCCTGTGAGAATGATCAAGACAAAGATGAAGAATGCACCGGCGTCAAGGGCTAGGCCACACATGAAATAAACGATGATGCTGAAGATAAGAATTTTTGCCATCGCAAAGGTGGTGTCGACGAGAATCTGGGCAATGAACAGCGCACTAGGCCGGTAAAACGTAAATGATCGGTGCTTGTTGACAATCGCACGACCCATCATCGTAGAAGCGAGCTCAGAAAAGGCTTGGAAGCCATTAAATAGCATGCTAATAAATAGAAGACCACCTCTAGTGAACGCACCGGCACTCGTCTTTGGTTGATTGAGCCACACGGTACCTAGGATAATGGCGATGCCTGTCGAAGTCATCCATGAGACTGTTAGAGCGAATTTGTCTTGCCATTTGAGTAAGAACTGCCGTTGCATTAATGCCCAAATCTGCAGGTGGAAAGGAATGGAGTACACCGAAGACTTGGGTGTGAACTTTCGCTTGGCCTCCCGGTTCGCAATCTCAAAGTCATCGTAGATCTGCTTTTGCTGCTGAACCTCGGCTCTGTACGTTTGCATTTCCTCGTCGAGTCTTTTGCTGAGGGCCGATTGCTCGAAGGCTTGCACGAGTGCTTCTGGTGTGGAGGGAACATTCTCAGCATCCCTCCCATCCCGGAATTCCCTCTCAAACGGGTCTGTGCAGCCGGTGAGGTAGTCTGGGGTGGTTTGCCGAGGTTTCTCTCGGTATCCAAGGCCTTCAAAGTAGGCTCGAGCCTCAGTCGAAGGGCCGAAGAAGACTTGACGACCGCTGTCTATGAGAAGCACTTTATCAAACTGTTTGTAGATATTTTCCGAGGCCTGATAGAGAGACACAAAAGTCGTGGTTTTGTAAATGTTGGTCATGATTCGAAGGGACTTGGCGAAGTCGAGAGCAGTCGAGGCATCGAGGCCGCGTGTGCTGTTGTCCCACGCCAACACAGTTCCTGAAGTAATCATCATCTCCGCGATACTGACACGTCTCTTCTCTCCACCACTAACACCGCGAATGAATTGATTGCCAATGACAGTCTTGGCAGTATGCTCGATGTTGAACATTCGAAGGAGCATTTTGATCACTTTCTCCTTGAATTCAGCCTTTGATACGCCATAGGGACGCTTGCCAGGAGTCTTTGTATCCAGTGCAAATCCAAGTGTCTGTTCCACTGTGAGAGTCGCCTGATGAATATCATCTTCCTGGTTATATACGGCTTCACCACGGAATCTCTTGGCAAATGTCTCGGATTCAAAAGGACCGTACAGGACCTCTCCATCAACGCCAGTGAAGCCGAAGCGTTGGTTTGCGATCACTTTGAGAAAAGAAGTACATCCAGATCCTGGTCTTCCTAGGACCAGCACCATTTCACTAGGTCGTGTGAGACCGCGGAACCCTTCCAGGATTTTAAACTCGGTTCCCTTTTTCCCGTAGCCAAACATGTGCATGAGCGTCTCTGGGACGTTGAAGAAGTCGATTATTGCGTCTGGGAAGGTCTTGATGAAGGTCTTCATACCGCCCATTCCACGGACCGTGAGGTTGTTCCAGATGACACCTACAGAATGTTAGATCGTGAGGGTTCCATCGCCTTTCAGGACCAACCAATTTGTTTATCTTTAATGCCAGCCTCTTCCTCGGCAGCTCGATTACCGCGCAGAGCCGTCTCCTAGATCCCAAGATTCATCCGTGTCGGTGGAGCTCGCAGCCTTTTCCACATCCTCGTTGTTGGCCGCAGGCTTTGAGGCTCGCGAAGCATGTCTTGACAACCGGCGTGCTTGGTGCGAGATGTTGGAAAATTGCTTGTTCAGGTCGGAGAAGTCCTCCTCGGCTTTTTCGACATCGACTCCAGACCGCATAGATATCCCGCCTTGGGTATTGGACGTGGTGATCCCCTCATATTGCTCGTAGCTACGCGACTGCAGAGAATTGACCTCGGAGTCGACACTATCTCTCATTGCCGATTTCTCATCGGCGGTCGGTAGTGACAACATGATGGGGATTTTATGATGAATTTTCGGTCCACTCACCCGAACCCACTTCCCCAGGTCTATCAGCGGGTGCGATCCCCAGCACTGGTGACGGCAGAGGCTGTGATCTTATATCACGTAGACCAAAAGTTTCGAGGCAATGTAGATTCAAGAAATCAAATTTGGTCAGGTCTTAACAAATAGAATTACTCCAAGGATATTGGAAAAAAACGAAGTGAGCAAAATTCACAGGAAAAGAGAATTAGTCACAGACCAAGCCTCAACCCACACTAGCTAAACCCCTAAGTCCGTTCCTGGTTCTCATTCCCACAGTTGCCACCCACTCGGCTCCACTTTAGCAGGGTTCTGAGTCTCCGCGGTGAGGGAGCAAGATCAAATGACAATGCACTTCTATTATCAGAATTAGCGGTGATGAATCGACCCTAGCCTTAGACTACTCTAGAGTGTAGATCCTGACTCATCGTGTCGGACGACCGATGCGACCGTGAAGGGTACTAAGGCCTTCTGGAAAGTGCAAGCACTTCGTGGCAAAACCCCGGCTAAGTTACATCCTGAATCCCAAGTGGGGACATTGTGTTCCTAGGCGGCATCTTCCGTTCCATGTCCGTGTTGGATTAGAAAGGCTGACGCCAAGCTCGCGGGCTCCTTTTGGGGCTTAGATGTGCAAATGGCTGGGTGAGTCATAGTGAATCGTTCTCCACTGGTTTGGACTACGAATTATTAGCCTTCCGGGCGTAAGAGGGACTTCATTTTTAGAGGAAAAATTAGGCATCAGCGGGGAATTTCATGTGGGGAAGGGTCGGGACTCGGGCCCGGCGGACCTCTGTCAGTGTTTCCCATCTGTAGAGATTGCCAGATCCAAGCTAGCGTCACGCTAGGCGGGCCACGATTCTATGGGATTAATAATTCTACTTATACTGGGTACTTTAGGCATTTTGGGCTTCTCTTGCGTGGTCACGTCACTTATCAGGAAAGAGGAATTATTTGACCGTTCAAGTCTACGCAAACTTACCCCGGAGACTGCCCCCCCACAGTTGCCGAGCTTATCGTAAGCTAAACAGACATGGTTGCTCACTCATCTGCACACTTGGTGTCTGGTATAGAACATCTGTTTTCTCTCTCTAACAGCCAATACAGTTAGGTGTACCCATCTCAGGGCCAACATCAGGATAGTCCTCAGTCAAATACACGTGATCGTGACAAAGAATGGACTGATGACTTAAGCCGCGAGGATGACGCTGTCAAATCAGTTACCCGCGACCAATATAACATTCCGGCCTCATGTACTTACAAGACCATGGCATTGAATCATTACACAAGCTGGCAGTCCCTATTGACGTAGACAATGCGCGATCTACCTCCGTCAATCTTCTACTCGTAGAATTCGCAGGATATGGCACGACTCATGTAAAGCGGGCCTACGAAGACTGGATCAGTCCGTACATGAAAAGTTGGAAGGAAGAGCTTTTTATGCAATCAATCCAGCTTATTCAACATTTGCGTATACACATGGTAAGAACGCTATTGACTCGGCCATGATCATTGACGCAATGGATCTTCTGTACACAAGCGAATTCGATGGCTTCTGTTTGGTATCTAGCGACTGTGACTTCACACACCTGGCCGCTCGCATTCGAGAGTCTGGACTTACTGTATATGAAATCTGTATATGAAACCGGCGGGCGCAAAACGCCAAAATCTTTGTTTCTGCTTGCGATGAATCCATTCACACCGAGAATTTCGTCTACCTTGAGGAGCTCGTGTCACATTCCGAGGCTGCTGTCAACCACAAAAACTGTACCACAGCACACTCGATTGATACAGATACTGAACTAGTGAAAAGTCTGCGAGCCACGGTGGAAACTACCTCCGATGATGATGAATGCGCTATGCTGTGTGATGTTGGGACCCTCCTCTCGAAAAAATATCCTGATTCCGACCCTCGCACCTATGGACACTCTAAACTCAGTAGTCTCATTACTGCGTCCTCTTTTTTTGGAAGTATCTCGCCGCTCTTCATGACAAGGCTTCGCTCCAGAGATTTGTGTACGTAGAAAGCGTGGGCTACACAAAAGCGTTGCCTAATAGGTACGAGCCTATGCAGTAGTTCAGAATTGTGCTGAACCCTTTGAGACGATTAATGAAAGCTGGCGGTTGTCCATTGGGAGCTCTACTACCGCAACCTCGTTTCATCACGTTTTCCGAATCGAGCCTCTCATCGGGTCTCCCGTTGGAAATAATCGCCTTTTTCGACTTGTTTATGGAGCTCAGTCATGTGGTCAAGGCAAATCTTTTGGTGCTTACATTGCTACTAAGACCAACATGGAAAACTGATATCTGCTCATGAAAATCATGTCCAGATCTATTGTAAAACACAAGGCCATGAGAGGCGGAAATTCAGGAACGACCGACGAATCGAGTCATCGGGAAACAGTATCATAGGTGCCATGGTTTGAATTCCCCTCGGCCCGAAAGCGGTATAGTCAATCATCTTGTTTCCAAGTATTTCAATTTACTGTGGCAAGGTTAGAATCTAGTTCTCGCGATGAGAGGTCTGTGTATACTTTAATAATGTTCCTAAAGAGACCAATTCTTCTTTTTTCTAGTTTCGCATTCCATGCCTACAGAGAATCTCCATCTAAGCCGTAGCAAGACTTTTCATCTCTTTGTTTGCTTGCTGCTCTTTGCTTGCTGCTCTTTGCTTGCTGCCAAGATTACTTCGAGAATCTTTATCTTTGCTGTGGACGTCGGATAATTTTTCAAGGAGACATATCATAGGCGTCGTGGCCTTCGCCTCGATTTGGCAAACTATTGTTCGCGCATCAAAGAGCTCAGGTCCGCTTACAGGGGGGGTAAAATTATTTGAAGGGATCTCAAGTGGATGAAAACTTTGAAAAGAAATTCCTCGAAATTCTGCGACGACTTTGAATCAGAATCATTATCACTGACTCTCACTAGGAAAGGTGCTTGAGGGTCATTTGTGGACAGGTCTTCCAGGGCTCCACAGGGGGAGTGGAAGAGTTCGAGTTGTCAAGAGTGACCCTATTGAATTTAGATTAACATCCGAAAAGACTGAACAGTGAACAAAAGATGGGAAATTGCTTCTAGGGCCACTCTCCGCCATTTGCGTCCACGGGACTTTGAGGTACCCGCTTGTCAACTAGAAGCTCAAATGTGAGACAAATGAGAAAGTGGGCAGCTTCTTGACATTGTTGTGATTGTTGGCTAGCGGCCTTCACCTGCCCCGCTCCGCTTTATTGAAGCGATGCTAGCACTTATCAGGAACCAGTCACACGCGCGGGACCGCGAGTAGGTTATCAGCTGGTGGTATTTTCAGTTCGGACCCCCGACGGAAATCAAGCACAAATCTCTTGATTCCGTGAGAAAACTTAGCTAGCGTTGCACTTCCCCTCCCAGAAAACTAGACTACGCGATAAAAGTGCCGCTAGACTCGTATCGTAGCATTGCCACCAATGCTTGTGTGAACAATTTCGCAATTCTTGGTCTCGGACTCCGACTTACCAGGGCCTTTCTATGCTAAATCAACACAATGGTCGTTCATAGTCTGCATGATGCCGCTGAAACCCCACCACTAGTAGCTTTTGTCAGCCGAAGTGCTTTCTTCTGGTGTCAAATAAATAGTAGAAAGCTCCGGTCTTCGAGTTGCTGTTGCTGTTGCTTTTTTTTTTTTGTGTTGTGATTACTTCTCTAGTGCCCGAGAAACTTTCGGGGGTGGTTTCGAACCTGTAACTATAGACTGCGGAGGCAATTCACCATCTGTAGTCATGTACTCTCTGGGCTTGACTGCTCTGTCTATGCTCTGGGCTACCGGTGCCCAGGCAGCTGGACGTCGACCTCTTCCACCTCCTGCTGTTGCAGCGGCAACAGCCACATACGGCCAATCCACTTTTGAGCAACTCATTGATCACAAAAATCCGAGCCTTGGAACCTTCTCTCAGCAGTACTGGTGGAACTCTGAATGGTGGGAGAGCGAGGGTGCACCGGTATTTACATTTCGCTTTCATGCGCTCATTCGAGACACCCCTCTGACTATCACACAACTAATAGGTCGTACTCTTCACCCCTGGCGAGGAAGCAGCCGCTGGATATACTGGATACTTGACGAACAAGACTCTAACCGGTGCTTTTGCCCAAGAAATCAAAGGCGCAGTGATTCTCATTGAGCGTTCGTCGGATCCATTCCCCACCTTTTTTCCCCGTTCAATGGGAGCTAATTGAAACTTGATTTTCTCGATTTACAGACCGATACTGGGGCAATTCAAGCCCATATTCTGATTTGACAACCGAAAATCTCCAATACCTGACTCTGGAAAATGCCATTGCCGATCTCACCTACTTCGCTAAGAATGTGGATCTTCCTTTTGATACGAACAGTAGCAGCAATTCCCAGAATGCCGTGCGTCCATTATCACCGCACCATTCTACGTGAGCTAAAATTATAAACTTCTAGCCTTGGGTGTTGAGTGGAGGTTCTTACAGTGGAGCTCTGACTGCATGGACTGAGTCAGTCTCTCCCGGTACATTTTGGGCGTACCATTCTACTAGTGCCCCGGTTGAGGCAATTTATGACTACGTGAGTTCTCTCCAGCTCCGATTTGATTTAATTTTATGCTCACAAATTCCATTCAGTGGCAATACTTTGTTCCTGTCCAAGAGGGAATGCCAAAGAACTGCAGTAAGGATGTTGAGCGCGTGGTGGATCACATTGATAGTGTCTTCGCATCCGGAAGCGAAAAGAAGATCCAGAATCTGAAAGACATGTTCGGACTTGGTGATTTGGAGTTCGATGACTTTGCTGCGTATGCCCATCCTTCTCTGCTGAATGACCAGAACTAACGCGCGAACTTATTGATCAGTGCTCTTGAGAACGGACCTTGGCTATGGCAATCAAACTCCTTCTACACGGGATATTCATCTTTCTTCGAATTCTGCGACTACGTTGAGGTATCTTTTCACCAGCTTCGTTGCTTGGATATTGGAAACTGACCAGCCTAAACAGAATGTCGAGGCGGGTGCGATGAAGGTCCCAGGAGCCAACGGAGTCGGCCTTGATAAGGCACTCAAGGGTTACGCCAAGTGGTTCAAAGAGATCTATTTCCCAGGATGTGAGTCGAAAACAGACAGCTCTTATGATTTGGATACATCTCTAATACAGATTTAAAGCATGCGCGGGATACGGCTACTGGACCGAAAATGACACCACTGCTTGCTTCGACACTTACAATGCATCAAGCCCCCTATTCACTGATACATCGGTGAACAACTCCATTGATAGACAGTGGCAATGGCTCCTTTGCAACGAGCCATTCTTCTATTGGCAAGAGTAAGAAGATGCTTGGAATTCAAAAAAAATGTATCTTCTGACTGGTATCTCTAGTGGCGCGCCAAGTGATACTCCCTCTCTTGTCTCCCGGACTGTGAACGGCGCTTATTGGCAGCGCCAATGTCCTCTTTTCTTCCCCGAAGTCAATGGCTACACCTACGGTAGTGCAGAGGGCAAGTCTTCCGCCGAAGTCAATGCTTGGACCAAGGGCTGGGACTTGACCGACACCACTCGACTGATCTGGGCTAACGGGTACGTGATTATCCCTTCCTCCGAAGACCCTGACTCGACCTAAACAGAGATGAACACATTTTTCTGACCACATTTCTAGACAATTTGATCCCTGGAGAGAATCTGGCGTCTCGTCTAGCTTCCGCCCTGGTGGGCCTCTGAAGTCGCGACCTTCGGCACCTTTGAACATCATTCCCGGTGGCTTCCATTGCTCTGACCTTATTTTGAAGAATGGTCAAGCGAATGCGGGTGTCCAGAAAGTTATCGATGCCGAGATTGCACAGATCAAGACTTGGGTGGCTGAGTACTATAAATGAAAGTCTAGAGCATCTGCAGGGCAATATAGTTTCTTAGAACCCCCTTTCGAGAAAATGAGCCAGTCTATTCCTTGTTTTTTGTTTCTCTTTCACGATATCTCCCTGTGAGTCTTCAAACAGTGACAAAAGAGGTTTGCAGTCCTCTATGAAGATCTTAATGACCCTAGAGATCCGGCCGATTGCAAGAGTGCTCGTCATTCCTCGAAAGTCCTCAGCTGCCGGAGTAATGGCTGGGTCGACTATAGTATCTGGAGGACAGCGCGGCATTCTTGTCTAGAAGTGAATATCCACTATAAGTTGCTTATAAAATAATAAGCTCGCCTCATTGAACGTTCTTCGTTGAAATCGCGTGTTTGCTTCCAGGTTTTCCTCTCTGCCTGTATAAGCTAAGAAAATGTGCATGTGGTTTGAGGACGATCTAATTGTTGTGCATATCGCGCGTCACCGGATGGAAGGAAGTTAGATATACTAGAGAAGTACGAGCACACGTTTTCAAGTTCTTTCCATAATCGTTCAACCGCTCCAACGGCCTTCCATTTTGGGATAAACATGCGCCAATCCAATGGGAGGTCGCGACACCCCCGCCATTCGCCCCACCCTGAGATGGTTCCCAGGTTATATCTCTGGTTTGCCTCCCCATCGATTTGCCTCGGTATTCCAGCCCGACTCGTATACGCTTTCTTTGCTCTTTATTGAAATTCTCACCGAAGAATTGATTTGAATTGTGCTTGAAAATGACCGAAACTTGGGTGATAGTCGGCGCTTCGAGAGGCATTGGACTAGAGTTTGTGAGACAACTCCTGCACCTTGGCCATAATGTCATCGCCGGCGTGCGAAAGCCTTCGGTAGCAGAGAAGCTATTGCAACTGATTTCTAGCCAATCGATGTCCGAACGCTGCTTAGTCGAGCAGTGCGATGTGACGAACGAGGAGAGTATCAATGTGAGTGAGCACTGACGAACTTCAGATTATGCTTGCTGACAATTCAGAACTTTGTGAACAAAGTCAGCGAGGCTACTCGACGGGGGATGGTTGTGAAGAATATCGTGCTCAATGCCGGTGTGCTAAAATATCCAAATCGAGCAACAGAGATGTACGAAGCCATGAGCATGTCACTGGAAGCTCTACTAATGATGCAACCTGAAGATCTTTTTCAGATTTCGCTCTTCATTTGCACACTAATACCATCGGTCCCATAATATGTGCACAGAAACTCATCAAACTGAACCCCGACCACCCACCTTCCAAGGCGGTATTCATATCCTCTGATTCAGGATCGACTGCCTCGTTTCGAAGCCATGAGGATGGCTTCGGGGCATATGGAGCGAGCAAGGCCGCGCTCAATCAGATGCTGAGGCACATGGCAGCAGAACTGGAGCGCAATGGTGGCGGCCAAAGCAAAACGACAATTCTTGCCATGCACCCCGGGGAGGTTCAAACGTACGTGGAGACTATTCTAGAAACTATTGTGGATTAACTAATTGACCCACAGTGATATGGCCAACATTGAGCTAGGGTGGGAAGTAGAAGGTACAATTGAGCCTTCTGAAAGCGTGGAGAGCATGCTCAAGGTCATTGGGGAAAAGGATGAGAAGGATAATGGGACATTCTGGTGTTGGGATGGCAGAGTAAGTTTTGTCTAAACCATCATTTGAAAGCTTACTGACACTCCGAAGAGTCATCCATGGTAAATAATTCGGGAAATTTGAAAATGATTGATCCTAAGTTAGTTATTTTCTGTGTACAGTAGCTTGCAAGATCGGCTTGGACTATTACAAACACTCTTTCTTTCTCAGATACAGTTTCCAAGACCGCTCTGATCTGAATCAATTAAACTAAATTTTAACCCTGGCTAAGAATCTTTTGAGCGGTATGGTAAGAAACGAGGCGATGATAATATGAGTGCAACCTTGGGCACCCCTCAATTTCTGTTTCTCCTGCTGTTCAACATGGCTTCGAATTTATCCTCATCGAAGCGGCTGCTAATTTGCGATATGATCGAGAGCAACTCGGTGACAAGCTATGAATGATTCGTGATATGCGGAGGTGGGAGCTCAGTTTGGGGAGCTCAGTTTGTACGCTCATCAACCTCAAGTCATCCACGAAACGCCGGAACAAAAACTTTGCATATCAGGAGCTTGAAAGACGAAGTTGGTTTGGCTGTCAACATGTGATCCTTCTCTTGGTTATCCCCTTCAGCTTCAGCGCAAAAACTCCGTGGTCTCCAAGCGCTCAGTAGACCCTAGCACCCTGGGTGCCTCTTCACGTAAAGAATCATAGATAGCATTCCCAATAGCTGGAGCTGCCTTTTTCATAGCCCACCCTCCACCTCCCCACCATATTGGAATGGTAGCGACCATCCCAATTCCTGTAACAGCGCCCACGCCAAGACCTAGAGCAAGAAAGGCACCATTCAACCCCCCAGCCAACTGTCGGCATCATGACACCTATACTGGTTCCTTTTGCTATCTTGTTCCAGTTGTGAGGATCGAGAACATTCTCAACGTCGTCTAATAGCCCAGAGGGAGCTGCTGGAAGGTTTAGCTCGACCTGATTCTTGCCCCCGTGCCTTAAGCCCTCGATTTGTAGAGGGAAGAGGTCTACGGGAAAGTGCAGCGGCTCCTTAATACGCAGTTTGGACCACGAGGGAACGACCAGGTGAAAAAGAATAGTCTTTCCACGCTGCGGGTCCGTGGTCACTAGCTTTTGCCTAACTTCACGCATGAAAAGACACATAAGATCTAGGTCACGACCGGGTTTATTCACAAACTCCAATGGCAGAGGACGCTCTCTTGTCAATCGATGGAATGCTGGATGCCAGTTCGTGGCATCATGATAGACAAAGAAACGGTGATTCTTTCGGTCTTCCTGGTCAATATCGTTGATCTTCTGGCCGGGCAAAGCCGTCGGAACCGCTGGCACCCGACACAGTGATGCAGTTCCTGTCGCCGAGATGCTCTGCAATGTCGTCCAATGCTTTGATTGCCCGGTGTCTCTGGACAACTTCGATTGCTGCTAACGCCGCCTTCCAGCACTCGGAATAGTTGATGCGATCCAGAAGCGAGTCCCCGGAAACAGGGCTAGGATTGGCTTGCGGGGCAGATTTATCCATGAAGTCCGCTAGTACATTCTTCACGTTCTTTACCCTGAGGCTAGCACCTGCGGACGCTGCCTTAACGTCCCCAACTACCGGATTTGACGGACCGGGGACGACAGACGATAAGCTCTCCAGTATTCGCTCGCTACATTGAGCTGGGAGAGAACCAGCATCTGCAGTGAGATTATCGGGTACACGTTGAAACTGCTCGGCGATCTTCTTTGCCCGTCCATGAGGCTGTGGTGTGGCTGTGAATAGTTAGGGCGGTTAGGTTCTTTGGTGAGTGAGCATTTCAGCGCCGCTCAGCAAGTCATTAAGCGCCAGAGCTAGCCTGGACTATTGACTGGACATCCTGCTTTCAAGCCTCCTAGTCTTGCTTTTCGTGGAATATGGACCATTGATCATGGTCGCAAAAGTGGTGCATCTAGCTCGTTTCAACTAACAGGCCCAACTTATTTTTGGTAAAAGCTACATGGGGCCACGAACAGCGAAGTAGCGAAGGATTTGACACCCTCGCCCGGCCCGCCCTCCACACCGCTTATCGCCAACCTGAAAAGGTCCTTAGAGTATCTTTTTGGATGTGCCCACCCAAGCTCTGCTTATTCAGGCAGCATATATGTAGTAGACTTATCGTAGTTAAGACTTAAATCAGAAGATATGGGAGCAGGGTGTAGAACAATCGTCAATTTTGGCCGGCAAACAACTTCATTGTAGATAAATCAGTCAGTCAGTGACAAGTGGGCTATACTTAGGAGGATAGGCTAGCATCTCCGCAGAGTAGCACAAATCCAGGTTCCTCAATTCCAGCCGGGTCAGCGGTACCTTCTAGCATATTGCCCAGTTGGCATCCTAAAGTCGCGTGTCTTCCAAGGATCGACTGACGTCTCAGAGCGCGCTCCAAGACGCAAAGCAGTGGGACCAAAATGGACATTATAGAGAACATCTTCCCATCATCTTTCACTAATATTGGGGCCTAATCAAAATGCACTTTGTTAAAGAATTCTTCTTTGTCAGATCTCACCAAACGCTGTTTTTGATTGACATCCTTGGCTCGCGGCAGCACCCACAAACAAAATCGCGGTAGTCAGTTGATTAAACCCGAAAAGAACAATGTGACGGTTTGGTTCAATACTATGTTGTATAAAGAGCCGAGAGTCGAGAATTAACAGCATATGATTCGAGTAATCTTGGCAGGGGAGGCTGATAAAAGGAGTGAGGGTAAAAAACGTAAGACGATTTTGCAAGCTACTGTGTAATCAATTATGATTAGTCGCTTTCCTACTTTAATTAGTGGTTACCAAACCCAAGTAAGACATGATTGATATATGCAAAAAATTTCCCTCTCCACAACAAGGCCGGCTGGCCCAATGGCAAGGCGCTTGACTACGAATCAAGAGATTGCAGGTTCGACCCCTGCGTCGGTCAATTTTTTTGTTTCCTTTTTTTGAGTCACATCGTCCATTTGTATTCTCCGTGGAAATTAATTGACGCCAACTTTTTTATCTTACCCCAGAATGTGGGTTATGTGTGAGCACAGGTGATCACATTGACTCCTGGACTTGCTGCACGTCCAACCTCAACATATCTAGTCATCCCGAGTATTTGTCACTCCTGCCAAGGTTTCAATTTGCGGATCTTCAGCGAGGATATATATCTGGACTTCTGATGACATGTGCTCATTGGTGCAGAGGCGCACACAAGCGCACGTTTCAGATTGAACATTTACTCAACACAATATTGGACTAAAACACGATCACTCTTTGTGTATCCCATGATGAATGAACCTGGAGGACGTGTCCATCAATCCATTCCGCACGCCTGCCTAGTTCGATTCCTTTGATTTTACCGGCTTGTTACCTCGCCCAATTTGGGGCCAATGCATACTTCTCTTCTTCAGCTTTCCTTTCCTGACGCCCCGCGTTATAACCTTCCATCGATCTAAGACCACATTGATGTATTCATCGTTGATGTGGGCCGTATCCCTCGCGCCTTGGCTGAGAAGCTCTATCTCTAGAGCGGTAAGCTTTTTCGTAGACAGAGCTTTAGAGAGTTCCACATCAAGCCCCTTCAGAGGATACGTGACGATTGCGGTCAAGCCTACATTTGGTGAGATTCGTTTGAGATGGAAGTCACTGCACTTGATTTATGAAAAAACACTTACCAGACAAAGTTTTCGTGATACACGAAGCTGTTCCATAGCCTATCCCCGTGAGAATTTCAAATTTCTTCCGGTGAGAGGCAGATTCTCTGGGAAACAAGATGAGGCTGGATAACCCGTTGTAGACACCAAAGACAAGTTCCTTTGAGAGTATTAGGCGTTGAAACGAGATGATGGATTCCAACTTACCTTGCTGGCTGCTGTGAGCCCGCTTTGTAGACCCTCGATCGTCTCGGGCAACTCGACATTGTGGTCACCCCAGAGTTTCGGCGCATTGTGTAGACCTTGAGTAAATGCGAAGACAAGATCTATGGGAGCTCGAACCACATTGACAGAGGCTTCTCCGATACCCTGTAGGCCAGAGGCAAATGCAGATCTCTTGCTTGAGGCCACGGACTGTTTCTCGAAAGTTAATCGGAAGAGCTCTTTAGTTGACGCACCAAAGTTGTTGAGGCCTTTGCCGATTTCACTAGTTGAGTCAATAAGGGAAAGAGCCATTCCCGAAAACGGATCTCGAGGTCCGACGTTCAAGTCATATTTTTGTGGTCGAAGTCTGAATTAAGAGAGTCAACTTAAGGAGCGCCGATGAAATCCACTGATTGTATACATACAGCTCAATTTTGTCAGTACCGAGTAGATCTCTGTCTACTAGAAGCGCCACGGCACCCGAGCCGAGCTGGATGTTCGTTCCTCGAATTTTCCAAGCCGCTGCGTGCGAGCTTGCAATCGCGCAACCCAATTTAGAATGCTTAAGTTGATGGTAGAACGATGTAACTCCCGCATCGACGCCGCTCTCTTGGTGAACTTGTTCCCCGAGTTCTTTTGCTCTCCGAATGATATCTGGTTCAAGGGCAGCGCCAATTGCGGCAGCCAGATCGGGCGCAGTCAGCTTTTTGAACGGGAGGGGCTTGGGGCCTGCCCCTATTTTCGCGATCATCTCCCCCCAGAATGGCTGGTCACCAAAGAAGGGAACGATGATCGATGGCTTCCCAGCAGCCATAGCCGCAGCAGTTGTACCGGCGCCGCCGTGGTGCACAACGCAAGAAACCTTTTGGAAAATCCAGTCATGGGGACAATTGCCCAGAAGATGGACGTTTGGAGGAATCACCAAGTCTTCGCTGCCCAGTTCCCCCCATCCTTGTGAGATGATGGCTCTTACTCCAGCCAGACGTACTGCTTCCAACAACAATAAAGTCAATTTCTTAGGGTCGTCCACAATGATAGAGCCAAACCCGATGTAGATCGGAGGCGACCCATTGAGGAACTCCTTCAACGCTGGAGGGGGAGTGTATGGAGATGACATGGGCAAAAAATAAAATCCCGAAATGGAAATGTGCGCGGCCCAGTCCTCAGGCCTGGTGATTAAGCTTGGCGACCTAGAGCGTACTCATGTGAGGAACAAATCATCCAAAAAAAAACTGCGGGCTACTCACCAGCAGTAGGTGTACGGAATACGAAGTTGAGACACAATGGTGGGTCCAGAAGCTCTGTCCAGAGGCTTGAGTCCCAGTGTTTTGCTTCTGAATGAGTTGATGACATCTCCTAATCCTTCCCATGTGAGCATTTCAACAAATATATAGGATAGGTAATTCATCATGCTTCCTTTCGAAGAAGAGGCATGTATGTTTGCCAAGGGGTGAGGGAAAGACTGGGTCGGCGACCAAGGCATCCTGCTTTGTATGAGCATTTTCTGGTTCATGTGAAATGACGATGGATCTCTTACGTGAACATCAGATGCAAAGGTACGCCTAATTTCTCTGCACAGTGTATATGCGCAAATGAGGGGGGATTGGCGATAATCGCATGGGCAAAGAAAGGCTTCGTGTTTTCGTCTGTGCTTTGAAAGCATGCTCGCCAGCACCCGTCGAGGATTTCTCGTATATCTGCTCGGTTTTGTTGAATGTCTCCATTGCGCAGGCTGTTCATGCCGGGCATCAAGCCGGGGTTCTTCACCATGTACGCCATGAGCCTTTTTGGATCGCCTCCGATATTGAAGAATTCTAGGCCGTGAGTCTCAACAAAGTCTTTAAAGGTTTCGTGAGTCGCGATTCGGATGCGGTGGCCTGCCCGAGCAAGCGCGAGTCCAAGGGCAACAAAAGGCTGTATGTCTCCACGAGACCCGACAACTTGGATCAATATATTGAGTGAGGGCGGAGCAGGACATTCTTGATCCAGGTCCTTCTTCTTACGTGTCTTGTAAACTGGAAAGCGCGAACGAGGTGCAACAGAAGCATTTATCTTTTCAAGCCTTTCGACGTCGATATCCAGTCGTCCATTCTCTGAATATTGTATTAGCTTGTCTTAGATGCCATATCTCTGTTAGTGGCAGAACGTGGGCAAATAGAATCATACCGGTGACACTGGTCTTGGCTCCTCGACGATTGATATCGTGATTCGTTGCGATATGGAACATTTTTGTAAAGATAAATTGCTTGTTTCATTTGAGTGCTCGTGAAATTTCGATGATGAACCTTGCTGGATAGCTTGGAATATTCCAAGTGTTTATGACCATCCAAAGCTCAGTTACACAAGATAGTTGTATATCCTCGGAAGAATTTTCCAGAGAAAACTGCTTCAATATAGTGATAGCGAGGTGCACAAACCTCCGAAAAAGTGATGTCAGCAAGATTTGGAACCTTGGATTGATCAAAACAGCCAAATAAAGTGAAGACATCCAATTTGATGCATTTCGAACGCCAATGACTAAGAGGACCCCAAGTCCAATGGGTCGTGTCTTTCACAAAGTATGATGTCATCCACAAATATGATTACTGAAGCCACTTGGGATTTTCACCCAACTCTTTCTTCAGACGGAGGCCGATGAAATCGATGGATGACAAATGATGCTGTGGTGGTTCCAGTCCCAAAAGATCCAAAATAGAGCAGTCTAGATGTACTTCTAGGTTTCAGGCTTAATAATCAAATTGGGCCTGGTAAGTCAGACTTGTTCAAAGTTATCTGAAAGGATATATTGCAAGTGAAGAAGTACGCGCAAAGATCTTGTAGATTTTTAATTACAAATATCCAGACAGTAATTGAGTCAAGTGTAGAGGCCCGATTACATTATCTTCTCGGTCGGACAATAAACTTCTGACCACAAGCACCAAAGCCGGGGTTATGCTGTTCGGCTCATGACTAAACCGAGCACCAAACAGACTTCCAATCTTCCGTGGATTTCTCGAGGTATATTCAGCCTTGGTAGCCTTCAGACAATTTAGCGCTATCGATACGAGTCCAATCGAACCCCAATCCGATGTGTGATCCACGTGCGATGATGCTTTTGGGCCAATTTGGAAGACTGATACGTGAACGAGCACCGCGAAAAGATCATTTTTGGAAGAAGAATATAAATAACAAATATTAGTCATAGTCTACGTGATGGTAAAAAGCTGCCGCTTCGGGAAGAAGCACAGGGTGAGAGTCACTCAGCCGTCCTGAGCAACCTGATCGCTCGACCCGATGCTCAAGCTGATCAGCCTATTCAATGTCGTCTTACCTAGATCCTCGAATAAAACTCTCTCTGGAACCAGCACACTGCTAAGTGAGCGTTATCAAGTAGTTTTGACTAGCTTAGCGAGGATCCACTTATGGGCCTACAAGCAAAGCAAGAGTAGAAACTGTATCAAATCTTACTACATCTGAGTTGGTAGTCAACGGAAGAGTAAACTAGATCTACAGTTGCTTTTTCACCCTTTGCCACCTTTCTCCGGTGGCCGTGGACCGAACCTATCTCCTCTTCAACCACTGAATACCCCGTCCCCATCCACCCTAGTCAACCGTTCATCTATTCCTTTCGCACCGATCGACACAGCAACCGCCTCGGTATTCAGGAATCTCGCAGCTAAACGCACACTTCTGAGGCTGAATTGATTCTTGCATCTTTCTGTCCTTTGAACCTGCACCAATAATAAAGTATTCTCATCTTCTGCCGTTGTGTCGTCAGCAAGAAGAAACAGTCCCGGGTCCACAATGCTCCCTTCTGCGGTCTCGGACAAGAATTGCGCAACGTTATGAGCACTCCATCCGAGAAACGGAGAGGTGAAAGAACGTTTAACAGGTGAATGAGTCACCGAGTCCCTGGTAAGTTGATTGATTGCATCTTTGGTTGCTTGTGTCAGGAGGACAAGCGTTGCTGGCGAGTTGAGAGTATCGGCTTCATGATACGCCGCGCTCAGGATGGACGAGTAAACCTGGATCCAAAAAAGTTATAGAATGTTTCGAAAATTCGCTACGGGATGGCCCATAGGTGGTCTACTCACTGAAGGGGAAATGTCGTGGATGCCAGCAATGCCAATAAGTGATTCGCCCATTTCGTGCCGACGAACAGTTTTTCGAAGTTGTATTCTTTTTATGTCCAGTGGAGTGACGTTGTTAACTGAAGATTTGTCTGTAGATTGAGAACCACTTGGATTACATTTGGAATTAGTTCAAATCAGGTTTTGGATCACTGGCGAATGAACTACCACTTGAAGTCGATTAGATCCATCGAGCAACAGTAAGGCAGTGTTTACGCCCCACAGCTTCATCCACCATCGTAACACTTCCAAGTGCTTGATACCTATAAAATTACGCATTGCATGAACTCACCGATTGGAAAACCATTCAGCTTCATTGAACTTGTATGTTGAGAGATGCCCCGAGTCATCAAGCTTACCCCCGGAGCCGTTCCCTGAAGATCTCCACCGGTTGGCGTAATTACGGCCCCAAGAATGCGGCTCCACTGGGTAGCATTGACAAACCAGCTCGCGTCGGGAGCCGATCACAACTAATTCTTTTTTCTTTTTTACTCTCGTTGCTGTTCTGCCTTGGATTTATTATTAATATTCGTCCTAAAGACAGTATCAAGACTCAGCATGCTCTCGAAACGACTCGTGTTGGTCAGTTTGGCCAATATATTGAGCGTCGGTACAGTCTACGCTTTGTGCGGATTTCAAGCCGAGCTGAGAAGACTACTACTAACATCACTAGCACGGAGCTTTGCACCATGGAAAGCGTGTCTACGGTTTTCCGATGGTGTCAGTACTTGCACTTCAACCTAGTCAAGAACGGGAGCCCCCATGGCAGCTGCGTATGGCGCATTGTTGTGGGGATTTGCAGTCATCGGAATAGGCTTGTTCCTGGCAAGCATTCTTTTCACGACCTTTCTTCTGTGCTGCTTTCTCAATGGATGGACTTATCTCGCCATCATTGTGTTGGTTGACCAAAGGTTGCCAAGTAATCCATTAATACGAAACGTTATTGGACCGGTACTGCTGTTTATGTCGGCCTGGATATCTTGTTCGGTCTCAGTATCTTTAACGCAATGGCTTCGACTATCAAGTTCGTGATCATGGGGGCAGTGTTTGCTTTGATTGGGATCAGTACAATGGTGATGCTACCTTTGCAGACAATCAAGCCCGAGAAAGTATCTCAGCGTTGGGCCAGAGCTTTATATGTGGTCTTGTTTTGTCTGCAAAGTTTTCTCCTCGAGCTACTATCGAGAACTCAATCCGCTGCATTGGCCATGATGACATTTTTTTTTTGGTTTGTTTGTCCATGGATTTGGGCTCGCCATTATGTTCGGACTGGTCAAAGGCCAAACCGCTCACCCTACTCTGTTTCCCCTCAAATATGGCCGAGTACTTGCTACCTGGGGTCTTGCCGGTGCTAATGGCTGTCTCCTGCGCTCGCAGCTTCTGCATTTACCTCGAGGTGAAGACATTCTGGTCTTCGTTATCGGGATAGTGTCGTCATGGTTTGGCGCAAATCTATACTTCGCGCCGTTTGTCGGAGCCAATTCTCTTGTATAATACTGTTTTGTGACCTGTTGCTCGATTTTGAATAGTAAAAGAAATTGAGTCTCATTTATCAATAAGAAAATTCTTGAAAGCTTCTAATAATTCAAAGCAGGACTCATAAATCCAATTGAAACACTCTTGAAAGGCCCCAAAATCTGATGCATCCAATCTCCTAAAGCGGCCAATCACATGACCAGACGCGACCCGCGTCGACGTCAACCAACTCGTCCCTGAACGCCCGTCCATCCGACGCAAACACAACCCCGCAAACTCCAAAACAGCACCATGCCTTCCTTCGCCCCCCTCCGCCCGACTCTGGGTCTCGCCCGTGCCGCTAACGCCACCGCGCGCAGCTTCAGCAATTCCGCGTCGCGCTCCGTCGCCCGCATGATCATCACCGGCCGCCTGGGCGCCGAGCCCGAGCTGACTGCCACCTCCTCCGGCCAAGAGATCGTCCGCTACTCAATTGGAACTTCGTACGGGCCCCGTGATAACCGCCAGACGAGCTGGTTCCGCGTTGGTGCATTCTTGCCTGAGGGCGGGCAGCGGGATTACATCTTGAGTCTGCCGAAGGGGTATGTTTTTTTGGGGGATCTCGATGAATGGTGTATTGGGACGGGTTGCTGATTCAACAATAGAACTCTAGTTTATCTTGAGGGTGATGCTAGCATGCGCTCCTATGAGAACGCTGATGGTCAGAAGCAGACAAACTTGAACATTGTGCAGCGTATGTTTCTCAGTTCCAGTTATTGATCTCAATATCGGGGTGATATCTGACACGTTTTCTTTATAGGCTCTCTTGAGGTCCTCAACCGTCCCCAGCACTCCGGTGGCGACCAGTGAGTGATCCGTCGATAATATGCTAGTTCGTACGCATCACGAGTCGAGTGTGATATGAAATATGTGGTGTTTTCGGATACGGGTGGTCCAGGTTGGGATTTGTTTGTTTAGAGAGACTGGGTCGATTGAGACGCTTGGTGCAGGTGAACAGGGTCGGGCGCTTCTGATTCTTGCTGTGTGATTTTATTGTACTTGTATACCCTGAATACACCCTGTTCCGCTGTACGGTGGTTGCCCTGTAGATGGATTCTCACTAGGATATGGCAAAGGTTTTCGACTATACAAACTCATGGGTGAGGGATACTTCAAACACGATGAGAGTCCATCTGAATTGAAACACTAAGTCAAGAGGGTAAAAGAATTAAAACTGAGATATGGCTTCGCTAGTACAGAAGAATTGCCATAGATGGGACCTGAGAGAAGCAGTGCTTGAAAGCAAATCATAGCTGCCTAGAGCTGAACCTCACTCTCCTGACGAATGACTTGCTTCACATGAATGAAATCCTTGGTCCGGGGTGAGAACGGGCCAACTGAATACTCATTACTTCCTCGGCTTTGGCTGATTCCTGCCCAAGCATTGGTGCAGATGGTCTGAGATGGAACGGACAGATCATCAAGAAGGTTGCCCATGCCAGCATTATGAGAAGCTTTGCGGCGATTCCAGAATGAGCGGTACCACGGGATTTTCTTAGTGGGCAAGTTGGCATTGATGATTGGGACTGAGGATGAGACTGTGTCCTTGTCGATTTGATTGTAGGGACCATTGTGGGTTGGAAGAACAGGGCCGCTGGTAGTCCAGTTGTTAGTATATGGCCGTCTGGGAAATCTAGGAAATACATGCCGTGGTGAAAATGCCTTCTTGAAGACTGACTTTCCCTTGCTGCTGGCGCTTCCAGCCAAAGTAGTCGAACTGGAGTCATTGCGAGCAGGGACAGTGGCCAGGGCCTGTGACTCAAGCGGACGAGACACACCGGGAAAGCAGTACCCGAAACCGAGATACCAGGACAGCAGACGATACATCTTAGTGGCATCATGACCGAAACCGAAAAAGATGAAAATCATGAATCCTGCCGCAACCGGGTTCCATCTGTCGAAGAATACCATACCGGAGGTAGGCACCTTTTGGATTTGAGACCAATTTGAGCCTGGTCCATGGAGTCTCTTCCATGAGTACTGATGCCAGGGCATTGAAAGGCTCATATCGTACCAGACCAGGTAGGTCTCCACGGGTAGGATTGCAATAAGCATAGAGAAAGCGAGGAAGAAAAGGCGAAGGAACCCTGATTTGTTCATAGTGGTACCACGGGATCGCAGGATATGCACAAAGTCGTTTCGGTATTTCAAAAGTCGCATTAAGACGAGGCCTGTTCATAGTTAGTGAACCATTTCAATCGAGGGTTGTCGTCACGACTCACAACAATAATAGCCGGCGATCAAACAGAGAATGGGGGGCCAGATAAATGCCAGCATAAAGGTCACCCAGCTCTCGTCGAAGTTGTTCACACAGCCCGAAATGGAGTAGAGAAGGAAGCGGCTTTTCTGCCAGACAATGTGCGTGATCATGGCAATTATCGGAGCGATCACACAGAACAGTAGATCGATGGCTCGGTTGCGCCAACGCAGGATCTTGCTCGGGGTCCAAGTTGCACGACTCGTATCCATGACCATTGCCAGGCCCCGGAACATGCTCACCAGACACCCTGGGATAGCCACGTAACTCGCGACCATGATCTTCAACTCGACATCGCAGAGGCCTTTGCCATCCCACCATGCGTTGATGTTGTCGTTTGGCCAGATCAGGGCATTGATAATGTTGAACACATTGAGGATACTACACCAGCATATCAGAGCCGTAGCTGGCAAGTTGCGGTTCTTGGCATGCAGGATCAACGGCGAGATGGAAAGACCAATGGACAAGAAAGACAAGGTTGGCAAAGCGACCGCTAGCGGATAGCGCTTGTTAAGATCGGAACCCTCACCAGGATCCATGGCGAGACACTTCGGGTTTCTGTCACAGACCAAATAATATGCGGCAGATAGCGAATCAGTTCTAGGAACTTTGAGAGCTTACCAGCAGCTCCGAAGTTAAATAGAAGATGCTGAGAAGAATAAAGATCAAGTACAGACAACGCGCTGAGGACCATATATCAAGACTTCGGAGCTGACATTATCCAGGTACGAGTACAGACCGAGACGAATGGTTCACAATAACGTCTGGAGCGAAGCCTATATCGAGACATTCTCTGGGAAGGGAGACCGATAGGCCCAGTGGCGAGGCACGAAGGCTGCAGTAAAGAACATGTCCAGTGAAGCAATATTCTCGGGTCTCAATAAGAAGTCGCAGAGTCATCGGGGAGATTGCAAATAGGAGCATTTTTGCCATGAGTTGACGAGTTTTGACCCGTGAGCTTCTCCGCTTCGGGAGCTCAATAGAAGCCGCCTATTGACAATTCAAAAGAATGGGCCCAATGGGCTCGGATCTGGTGTGACCGGGTCATATCTTTGTCTTTGCATTTTCCTTGCAATCGCGGTCAGAGTCAAGTGCTCCTGTGCCAGTGTTAGAGGCTACTTGCGTAAATGTGTAGACGTGTAAGTGTGTGTCGAGGTCAGTGTGGTGAGGTAAGGGGACTCTGCTGAGACCTTAGCATGGATGACGACAGCCGACACAACCTCAGCCAAGTTTAGCTGGGGTCAAGGGTCCAGTTTTGATTCTAGTCCTGATTCTAGTCCGAATTCTAGTCCCAATTCTAGTTCCAGTCCTAGTCCCAGTCCTAGTCCCAGTCCTAGGCCCAAGCCCGAGCCTGACGCCAAAGCACAGCAAAGCACAGCAAAGCACGAACTCCTCAATATACATGGAGGAACACCTCTCACATCATGGCCGATCCACTACGTCGCCGTATTCCACGCCTGGATTCCGGGCAGCGTCGTAACTCCACGCTATCTGACTCCATCTCCGAAGCTCGCAACTCTATCCGCTCTTCCACCGATGGCCTCTTCCTTCCCCGCGTAGCCAAGGGAGAGGACCCTGCGACCGAGGAGTCGCACTGGCATTCGGCACCGCTGGGCCTAGCGCTGCTGCCGGCCATCGCTGGCGTCTTCTTTCAGAATGGCAGTGTCTTTGTCACTGATGTCACATTGTTGATTCTAGCTGCGGTTTTTCTAAATTGGTCGGTCCGATTACCATGGTACGTTCATAATCTCCTTTGTATAAAGTTCCCGAGCTAAGATCGGTTCCAGGGACTGGTATCGCTCGGCCCAAGCCATCCAGCGTGACACTAGGTTCGAGGCTCCCACCGATCCCATTGAAATCGACCTAGATGAGGCCGATGAGACTATCGAGACTAGTGATAGTCACGATAGTCCCCAGTTGGCTCAATCCGGCCCCCAGAGCCACCACCTGCGTGCTTCGGCTGAGGCAAAAGCTGTCAAGGAACTCCAGATCCATGAATTGGCTGCCCTGGCCGCATGCTTCGTCTTTCCTCTGATCGGCGCTTGGCTACTCCACGGCATTCGAGGCAGTCTGTCCCGACCATCAGAAGGCCTCGTTTCGAATTACAACCTCACCATCTTCCTCCCTAGCGTCCGAGGTCCGCCCCGTCGCCCACCTTCTAAAACTCGTACAAGCCCGTACGCTCCATCTCCAGCGCGTCGTAGCATCCGCCGACAATGAAGTCGAGTCCGAGAAAGTTCAGGACCTCACCACCCGACTCGAAGAGCTAGAGGCCCATGTCGCCAAGGCTGCCGCCGCCCGTCTCGAGTCGAGCTCGAAAGTTCACTCCCAGGAGACAGATGCTCCGTCTCTCATTACTCAGGCAGTCGTCGAGACTCGCCGAGCAGTTCAACCAGATATCGAAGCACTCAATCGCGCCGTCCGCCGCTACGAGAAACGCACAGCTCTCACCAATCACCAGGCCGATATGCGCTTCCAAGAACTCGAAATGCAAGTCCACGACGCCATTGCCCTAGCCGCTGCTGCGCAGCGCTCTAGTATTTCTCGTCGCCAGAGCTACGCTTTCATTCTGATCGACTGGGCATGCGCCTGCATCGTCGTTCCTGTGCAACTCTTCCTCTCTATCTTGAACCTCCCGGGCCGAGCAGCAAGTTGCTGTCTACTGATAGTCAAACAAATGATAGGCGGTCACCGTCCATCCCCGTTACGCTCCAGACCGAGCAAAGGGAAGACTATATCAAGACGTCGGAATCACTCTCCCCAACCATCTCGCGCCCCAAGTGTCTCACCCCTGGTGCAACATATTTCCAGTTCCCCGAACGGAAAACGCCGCAAGCCTCAAACCTTGCAGAGCATCTAGCATTTCTTAGGTAATAAGATCAATTTTCGGGTTTCATTTTGCATAATTTCGGGATTTTTCGGACGGTGCCTCGTTGGGCATATGTATTGGCATTGGAAACAGGACAGTATGGAATAAGGGCAGGGAATGGGCGGATTGCAGAGATATCCACAGGCGTATATATTTGACTTCCAATCTACCTTTCGATCACCTCGATCAGGCCACTCCATGGATTATAAATATGGATTCAGTCGACCGTAATATCCTGTAGCATCGAAAAATCATCAGTCTATTCGAAGAAGTATAATTGGGATCGCGGAATGCAAACTATACATGAAAACCTCAACACATCAAACATTTGAAGCAGAGTCTATCCCCCCGTGTACACGAAGCTACATTGCTGAAAAAGAGGCCTCCGGAGCGTCTACCAACAACGATAGAGCCAGTTTACGTTGATTATCGACCACCCGACGGTCCACGCTCATCCACACCAACCATCTTCAAGAACGGCTCTATGATACTCTTCTTCCGTTCATCAGATGCCCGTCTCTCCTTTTCCTTCGTTGGGACAGGCACAGAGGCCGAAATGAGCACGCGAGCAAAAATGGACGCGTACGAAGACTCGACAGCTTGGCGGCGCGCTGCGGGCTGAGATGCGGTACCCCCAGATGGTTCGGATCCGCTTACAGTCGGTGCACGCTTGCGGCGGAAACTACCTGCGACAATGAATGCTGCGGCGGAGGCAGGTGTTGGGGTATGAGATTGGGATTCAGAAGTGTTCCCTTCCTTCGATTTGAAGTCAACGTCGGCAGGTTGTTCTTTGTGATTTGATGAAGAGGTTGGTTGCGCTGTTGATGGAACGGGAGCGACTTCGTTGGCGATCCGGGCCAGCATGAATGTTACAAAAGTGAAGGAGACACTGTGTGCGGGCGAGTACGCTAGACTTTCGAGGACCCAGGCTTGGGACTCTTCCCATGTTCGAGGCGGAGCTTTTTGTTTTTCGCGCGCGAGCATGTGCTGCTCCATCTTGCCAGACGGATGCAGTGACAATGCCGTCGCTGAGGGAATTGAGGAAGACGAGCAGGGTTTCGGAGAGGATCTCGAGACGGTGCAGGGATGGAATCTCCGGTGCGAAAATGGAGGACAGTGATTTGTTGGTGTCGAGGGCTTCGCGGACTGAAGCGAGGAGAGGTGCTCGCTCGCGTTGTTCTTTCAGGGTCCATGTATCTGACTCGAAGGGCCATGCCGCTCCGGATGGATCTTTGACCCAAGGCGGTTCTTCTCCAGACTCGCCATTCGTCATACTCCATTCTGCTACTGCACGTTCTGCCAGCTCGGAAATGGACTCGGTCAACCGGAAAAGCTCTCGCGGAGCTGATAACCGCACTTCATGCTCGCTTTTGGACAGCGGGATAGTTCCATCTGTTGCAAGGCTCCTGGCACCAGCCTCTGGCATGCGTGTTAACTCATCAACACTGCATCCAAAGCATGTGGGTAGCCATTGTCCGGATACAGAGATGAAATGATCCCGACCACTGTCCACACGCAAGACGAGGATCTCTTCCAGCTTGATCTTTTTGAGGTTCAGTAGGCGGACTTGCTCAATAAGGCGTACGTGCGCAGTGATATCGACATGAGCCACTTCTCCGGGGGGGCAAAGTGTGGCTGCCAGCAGCGCCTTTTCCTCCAGAATGACTCTCGCCAACATGATTTACCTTAATGTCAAGCCAAGACGGGGTTTCGTTTTTGTGGTCTCCTTCGAAGCCAGGCCGTTCGGCGAATGAGAAGGTCGCCGAGGTACTGCTGGTATTGGCAATGGTCAAAGTCTTGTGAACAGGAACGTCGTAGGACACAGTGCCAAAATCGACAGTATTCGAGTCTAGTTCTGATCGCTTTTCGCCGGCCTGGATATCGACCACCACCGTGAGGCCGGGTCGGGATTCGTTCTCGGCCTTATCCAATTCGCGTGCCACCTCTTGATGGACCTTGGCCTTGAGGCTGGGGTTGACCGCATCGATGTTCAAGGTGAATATTGCGTCCAAAGGCTTGTGGTCGGATGACAGGATGCCTTGATGGGAAATATAATGGTGCAGACGAATAACGTCCTCCACGGGGTCCTTGCTGGGGTCCTGAGAGGAGTTTGTTGCCGCATCATCATCGGAGTTATAGTTATCGACATCGGCAGCACCGTCCGAACCGTCTCCACCGTCCGCGCCATCTGTTTCGGGGTCATATTCAAACAAGACATTGTCGTCTGCAACCGCTTTGTCCAAGCCACGAGCCTCCATTTCTTTGTCACGCTTTCGAGCCTCTTCTGTTTCCCGATACTGTTGTTCATACTTGAGCATGTCTCGTCTGGATCGGTAGAGAATTCGATCACACCAGCTGGGACCACGACGCTTCTCGCTGGAATCGAACATTGCGACGCTTCCAACATCGTATTTGTATGTCGGCAAGAATGAGATCTGGCCCTCGTTCCACCCTCTGTGGAAGGCAGTTCCTTTCTTCTGTTGCATCCGTAGTTGATCGTGGACGATAAGAGAAGAAATCGTTGTTTGTAGAGATGCAGGATCGTTGTGAGGATCGATCTCTTCGTCGCTCACAGGTTCAGCATATTCATCTCCTTCCATAGGCGATGGCAGGTTAGATTCAGGCTCGGCATTAGCATCGACCTTGGAGCTCCGGCGACTGCTCGACTTTTGCTGCTCCTGGCGCGCAGTATCATAAGCATTGACTGTGTGTCGAGCCAGACACTGCCGCACATCATCGCCCGAAATGTCATCAAGTCGGTAATTCAAGTCACCGAACCAGAAAGCGAAGTCTTCGTCGCCGATCAGGTCGGCTTGGTTATTTTGTGTACGTTCCGGATCAGCCGACTCAAACTTGGTGCGTGAAACAATTTGAGATGCATCCCAGTTGCGCCTTTCTAGACTTCCCTTGTCTGATCCAGCCGCCAAATGGGCGTTCACAAAGACTAAACGGGTAGTTTCACCCAGTACCACACGGGTTGCCACGGCACCTTTATTGCCCATGTAGCCCATCAGTCCCGTTCCCACAGAACTCGTACTTACAGACGAGATACTTTCTGCGATTGACGGGGATGCATAGATAAGGAGCAAGAGACCGAGCAATTGAACCTCGGAAACGAGTTGATATGCCGAGGAAGCGTTTTCTGGACAGCATCTTTCCATCGGGTTGATGGCCCGGAGTCGGTATAGGGTCGCAAGGCCTCGGTCGGAGAAGAAATATCGACAATTTCCTGCAAGCCCAGAACATAGAGGTCGATCGCCTCCGGGCTGCATTGGAAGGGTTTTGCCGACTTTCCCTCCTTCTGAGCTTCCTCATCGGTTTCTTCAGAGGATCCACTAGATCCATCCGTCGTAATATTTTTTTGAAAGTCTGAGCCCTTTAAGCCCGAAAACTTCTCGCATACTCCTTGGCCTTGGACGAACCACTTGCCAATATCTTGCTCGGTGCCGGAGATTGCGGCCACATTCCATGTGCCAACCTTGATCCGGATCGTCCGCCGGCAGGTGTATTCATCTTTTCTTGCTTTGACCGCGCGGGAGAGAGATAAGAGATCAACGCCTGGGGTATCGGTGTCTTCCAAGTTCTCCGCATTGGGTTCTTTTGGGTCTTCCGTAGGAGGCGACGCTCCTCGCGAGTTATCGAGCACCATGTTGAAATCAAAGCGTGTTATCGAGTCAGTGAGCTTTTGAGGAGGATTCTCATGACTCGAGGTTGTGGTCTAGATGAATGCGACAATGTATATAGGCAGGTCTATACAGCTGCACTATTTGCGACAACCTGGCGCTGCTGTCACTTTTGGCGGAAGATAGCTCGGTGCAGGAGGTCTGGAAGCAAGTACGGTGCGAGATGAAAGTAACAGTAAGATCAATCACGAATGATCGAGTGAGAGTGATCAATGGGTGTTCGTCTCATGCGAAGCTCAGTGCGGCGAGATTCGAAGGGCGGGGGTCGGCATCATGCGGGTGCAAACACTCGGGGGAGGTGAATGAGAAGACTGAGGAGCTGAGATGAATTGACTAGTAGATGCGATCAAGACTATTGCGAAGATAAGCCGGAGCACCTGGTAGAAAGAGTCGCGAGGTGTAAGGCGGAGAGCTCAACGATGACGATATGCGTGGAATTTCCCTTCCACTCGCAATAGGGTCGGATCACCTCTCCACGCCTCTTCACCACGTCTTCATTTTTCTACACTTTACATCTCCACGCAGCCACCATGGCTTCCCACAAATCACGGCGACAGAATAATCACCACTACTCCAATAATCACACCGACTATGAATCCGATACGGTCTACGTCTCCGACATGCAGAATCAATTACCACCGCTTCGCTCTAACGAGGAGCTGAACCTCTTGGTTCTGCAGCGTCATAACCCTTCTATCGCCTCGATCCTCTCTCTGGCCCCTTACTCAGTCGTCTATATCTTTAGTCCCACCACGCGGGGGTGGGAAAAGATGAAAGTAGAGGGCACTATGTTCGTCTGCCAGCTGACCCCGGGTAGCCTGGGTGAAGATCGATACTCCGTATTTGTGTTGAACCGATCAGGCCTTCAGAATTTTGAACTTCCTCTTACAGAAAGTGAGAATGTCGAATTGACAGAGACCTACGTGATCCTTAAAGCGGACGAAGCCACCGAAGGCGAGAGGGGTACCAACGGAATCGCAGGCGGCGGCCAGAACGGTAACTCCACGGACGTGCGCATTTACGGTATTTGGATATACCAAGAACCTCCGCCTAATTCGACTGCCGATGCTCGCACTATAAACGCCGACCTGATTCGCCAGTGCGCCGCCCACGCTGGACAGAGCTTGAAGATGGCGCGCCAGCGTCTCGAGGAGACGCGTCAAAATGGCATGCACGTTGCTGCCGCGGCAGCAGAGATGCAAAAACCACCTGTGGAAGAAGCACAAGCCAGCACGGCCATGGGCCGTCAGATGTCCCTGAAGGACTTATTCGGGCAGCAGCGAGCAGAGGACGATGGATGGAGCGTCCGCGCACACCATGTCAGTCCTGAGCAACATCAGCAACAACTGTATCAGAACATGAACCCTTTGGTACATCCTCAACATAACCAGCAGCCACCTGCGCAGCCACAAGGTCAGGCGGATGTCCTGGGCGATTTGTTTCGAAGAGCCGGGATCGCATACCAGGGAGGACAGGGGAATCGAGTGTGATTACGTTCTTTTCTTCCTGTGATCATTCTAGCATGTTGCATCTGAGGAGTATGACTTGATCTTTGGTTTCATGAATATCCATGCCTTTCCTAACATGATCGGAAGGAAAGGCGGCGCGTCGCTTGAGATACCCGTGATAATATGTCCATAAGATACCCAGCAATGCAGGTAGCTGCAATTTTTTTTTGGGCCCCCTGATATTTGCTCTCTAGACGTCCATCTATATATTTGTCATATCCTCTATCATGTCTGCAACCTTGCGAGCCATGATCTTACTATGCTCTGCTTCTTATTAGCACCCAGACTTGAACTCCGTAGGCGTAGACTCGAACTCACTTAAACAGAAGGCATGAGGCAAACCCTCTTCACAAACAAACATCCTCGGCCCAGAGCCCTCTTTCTCCCCTCGAGCCGCAATGATATCGTCCCTCGTCTTCTCCGCAACCCAGTGATCATTCACACCAAAATAGAAGAACATCTTCGTGATAGGCTCGCGCGCATGAGCAACACCCCATACGTCATCAGCCCATTTATCAGACGTGATGGTCCGCATCTCATCAGCAGCCATGTGCCTTTATTGAACCATTAGATCAAATCAGACCAACGAAGAAGACGAAGTGGAAGTGAAAGTGGAACACATACAAAGCCTGCCTAACGCCTCCACGACTCCTCAAAAAGGTACACGTCGTATCCAAGGCATGCTCCGGAGGATCGTTCATCACAACCCTCACAACAGACCTCAAAGCAACCATTGGCAGAGTAAAAGTAAGCAACCTCGCAAAGAACCCAACAACCAAAGCCAGCCTCGGGATAATCGACAAAAGACCCTAGAAGCAATTAACAAAAACTCACCCCACCAAAGGGAAAGGATATGCGTACTGTCAGTTTCTGACCAGACGGCGAAGCAGCAATATCCATCACAGTCGGAAACAGCATAACGCCTCCGACGATATCGAAAGAACTATTGCTTTCGCGGTGTCGTCTAATGACTTCCATGGCTATATAAGCGCCCACAGAATGTCCGATCAGGATTACTTTCCGGTTTCGCGGCGCGTTGGAAGCAAACCCGTTCATGACGATGTCAAGGCGCTGATGAACGAAGCAGACCTGGTCTTCCAGGTCATAGAGCTTAGAGTCCCCTCTTCTAGATTTGTTTTGCGAGTTGAGATCATTGGAAGAGAGATTTTCATCAACTTCAAAGCCTCCAAGGCTGCACCCGTAGATTTGATAGGCGGGTTTGCTCTGGTTCGAAGTTTCCCCCAGGTTTTGCGCTAGGAGTGAGAGGAAAGGGTGGTAGTAGCCGATTAGACCTGGATTACCTGATATGAAGAAGATTGATGTTTCTGCTGAAGACGGTGATCCTGTATAGGTGCAGAATGTATTTGGGGTGATCTGAGGGTCCATGGCTTTTGCTTTTGGCGGGGACGTAATTGTGTAGAGCAAGGTTGATGAGGTGTGTCCAAGCCGAAAAGTGACGGAAGTTCTCAATTCAAATTAGAGATTAGAGAATTGAATTGGTGAAGTGCTCGGAGAACTGTTTTGTGGAATGTCGCAATAGGAAGGACGTTGATGCACCGGACGGGATTGCGAACACGGAGCCAGTGGATCCGCCATGTGAGCCGGGCCGAGCTCCAGACCGTGATCTACACATTTATACAGATCTGGAATAAGTAAGATAGCATCTTAAATGCAATGTATTGTGAGAGGTCCCGACTCCCCGACCTAAGCACCACCCCGGACCCGGATTCTAACCCCCGTCAAAAAGGAATAGCAAAAAAAAAGGAAGCCGAGGTCGGATCCAATGCATAGACTCCCGAGCGCAATGTACATCATTCATCCCAGATCACCAACAAAAAATACAGCACCGCTGGTTATGGACCGCCGAGGGAAGAAAGGACAAAGAAATGGATCGCCAAATAGCAGCAAAAAGCAGAAAATACAGAGGGGCTCTGGAATCTGGTATCTAGCTCGCCAAGTCGAAATCAAAAAAAAAAAGGGGAAGGATGTGAGGCGGCTGGGTATCTGATCAGCCTTCACCCTGGCTGTCGTCGCGATGGTTTTCCTTCTCGCTGGTGCTTGATGGGGCGTCTTCGCAAGATGGCTCATCGGGAAGAGATGGCTTAACCGCTGGGCCCAGGTTGATGGCGATTCTCTTTGGCGCCGCGTTGGCGCCTAACATGGTGCTCTTTTCAGCGGACCCGATCGAGCCGATTGACATGGTCTTCTTCCGGTGGATTGAACCAGCACTGGAATTACTACTTGTAGAGCTCCGGCGCTTGGGTCCAGTGGCAAGTTTGACCAGCTCATCCTCGTCCTCTTCCTCGCGGCGGCGTTTTTCGGCGAGGCGTTCAAGAACAGGGGGATTCTGCGTTGGCGAGGTGGGGGTGACGGTCGCTTCAGAGGAATTCTCACCCTGGACAGCTGCCACTTTTGATGGCTGATCTTCTGCAAGTCTGTGTGGGTCGTCCTCGGGCTTAGTATCCATCGCATCTTCATCGTCATCATCTGGATAATCAACCAGTGGCTTGACCAATGGAGAAGCAGATCCATTGACGGTACCAGCAGTAAGAGCAGCACGATTTTCCTGTTGCCACTGGGGTTCGAATCAGTTTGGTGTTCACACAAAGGGGGTCAGATTATCAGGGAACACAATTCACTCACCTCATCTTCGTCATCGGATCCAGCGAAGTACTCCTCTTCCGTCGCGTCCAATTCCTTCACACCCTGCCAGCGCTGACCGTTCAAGGGCATTTGCTGCGGTGTATCACTCTCATCTTGGCTAAAGAGCGTAGATTCGGCCTCGGCACCATAGCCTTGCATCTGATCATAGCGCAGGATGAGATTTTGGAAGGTGTCAACGTAGGTAATTCGTTTAAGCTTCTCACGGTACTTCTCAACCACATGGACGATAAATGGTTTAATGTTTTCCCGTTTGATGAATTCGAAAAGCTCGAGGCAGGCGGAGTTGAGAAGGTTGTCACGGGGCATGGTTTCGAGGACGATATCAAGAATCAAGCCAAAGGTATTGTTATGCGTCATGAGGGCTTGGTAAAAGGTATCTTGGAGGCTAATAAGTGTGCGGAAAAATTTGAGGGCAACTAGTTCGGTCAGTGACTGGGTCCAGGGTGCAAGCAGAACACCTACCTAGCTTCACGGTTTTCTGAGGGGCTGTGAGCAGTTGGGCCACTCGAGGAGCAAGCTGTTCACTGTGGATTGCATTACGGGTGCGGAAGAGATGTTGACGGACGAAAAAGGTGAGGATGTCAACAAGATGCGAGTAAAGCGTGACTTCTTGGAAGGTCAAGTCATTAACTGCGCATGGTTAGCTCAGACCTTCTTGGCTGACGTGGTGTATAACTCACGGGAGGCACGGTTGGCAAGTTGTTTTAGTGGCTGGAATAGTCGCTTGGAAGATTCATCGAAATGTTGCTGAACAAATGCATCAGAGAGCAGGTTGGAGGAGCGGACTTTAAAATAATCGGGACCAGCCCGTGCGAGCGGATCCTGCAGGGGAATCTGAGGATCCAGGAGGATCTTGATCGCATCAGCGAGTTGATTCTTCACACCGAGGTCGGTCTCCGCATGAAGTAGATCGATCAAAGTATCCGTGAGTGGTGTCTTCTTCTCGTTGACTGCCTTGAGCATATACCCGCGCATCATTACAGGGTCATGATCCAGCAATGCTACCAGAATATCGATGCCCGTCGTGCGCATGGCAGGATTGGGATGCTTCACGGCGAAGGCGATGACTGCGAACAGTCCGTGACTGATGAAGTTGCCAAAGAGCTGGGCCCGCGACGGAGCCTGTAAATTTTTCGCAATTCCAGCACACTGATGGAGAAATTGAACCGCATCGTCCTTGCGCTTGCCGTCGGTGTTTCTGGGGTCAAACACGGAAAAGAGTTCGCGCAAGAAGACGGCGTTCGACTGGATGTGATTGACAATTTCCATCTGATTGAAAAAGATGAGGGAGTTGAGCACGGAAAATGTCGGATCGTCTAGGATCCGCGCGAGGACCACATCCTTCAGGTATTGCAAACGCCAAGTACTGCGAATCTTTCGCCGAATCTGATTGTCCTTGATGGGAACGACTTCCTTGTAACGCGACTGATCTGCGAGATATTGTCGGTGGTTTGCCTTGTGTGTTGGAAATTCGGGGTCATCTGCGAATCACAATTAACATTTTGCTTCTACACCCTCCTTCGATGGAACACGTACATTCCAGAGCCCCGACCACTCCCAGTATTATATGGTCGGACACTACCATCTCGATAATGGCATTATCGTTCAAGAGAATCAGAGATTTCATGATGTTGCAGAGGCGATGTAAATCAGTTAGACTCTCCAAGTCCTCCGCTGTTGACACCAAGGGAACCAATTTGTTGATGTAGTCGTCACGAATAAGAAATTTCGATAGCGCGTCGCGACCGTTCTGTGTCATGCTGGCGGCTCGGACGATCTGCTCAATTTCAGGGAGATTGCCCAGATCCGGCGCGGGCAATACGATGGATTGGTAGCTATCGAGGTCGTCTGAGAGGGCGTCGTCTGCGACTTGAATTAGAAATGCGCAAAGCCAGCAGGAAAATCGGACTCACCGGCTGTGGCTATGCTCAAAAGATGTTGCTGAACAGTGTTGACGAAGTCCCTGATGTCGGAGATGATCGCGACGGTCAGTCGAGTGCGCGCACAAACACACCGCGGGCATTCGGGAAAACTCTCACCATATCACCGCGCATCCCTCGGCCTCTTGAAAACTCAGCGCCATATCCGTGCCATTTTGTTCCGTCCAGACAATCAAGGTCTCTGATCGCGTGATACAAGTCAGTCAAACCATATTCCTTCTTCGGTGCCACGGTCAGGCGGAAGTGGTGGGACAGAAACCTTGCTGTTTTTGATAGCCATCATCTTTGGTGATCTTGGTCTCGAGCAAAACGCGCTGCGGTTGATCTTCCGATTCGACATATATTCGTGGTTCCTCCTGTGATGAGCGTGGCGCGGGTTAGCGACGGGTTGCCGATGCTGGAGGGAGGGGGAAAAGACGGAAAACGGAAGAGACAGCACGCGCCCTGGTCGTCGCGGTCGCGACAAAGGCGGCGCATGCAGGAACGAAGGAATCAGAGCTTACCCCCATGATTGTGCCGGTACAGAAACCGGTGCCGCGATCAAACCAGTCATTATTCCTCAGCTCGTAGACCTTGACCCGTTTGCGACCGTCGGGCGGCTGTAGGTCCAGCGCCATGATCCGGTAGGAAAGTGGCAACTCGGCACAGGCGTCTCCGGGATGAGGGCCGGGAGCTGAGTGCCAGTTGGAAGAAAAGGGGACGGGGGAAACCGGTGGAGGTGATGATGACAGAGTCTGCGGAGGGGATGACGATCGAAGAAGAACGGGAGAAGATGGGATGATCTGGAAGGGGGTCCACCTGACGGGGCCGAGGCCAGCTTAAGCCTTGGTCTCCCGTACCTGACTTGGGGACAATCGACCCTTGGACACTGGCTCTTCAGCGTTTTGGATGATTTTGAGAGTGTCCTTTTGAATTCCTCTACACAAAATAGTTCTAATTATTTCCGACTCATAGGATCCTACGAGATCCAACTAGTCTTCGCGACCCGACCCAACTGCGAGCCCTCAGAACTCTATGATCTCGTTCTGATCCAGACCAACATACCAGAGCTAAGTATAGAAACGTGACTCCGGGGGCGCTTGTCTGACGCGGGAGAATTTAGCCTCCCGCACCGAAGCTTCGATTCCAATTCTGCATCGAGACCTTACTTAGCAGGTGGGAAAGCATGTCAACTGCAAAGTGAAAGGCTATGGGCTCCGCACGGACACCGCTTTGGCTCGGAGTGGCGGTTTCATTGGCTCTGAGCTGGAAGGGCAGATTCTTTATCTACGCCCGATCAGGAAAGGTTCCAGACCCGGCGTCTCTCTGGTTCTTTTTCCTTGCTCGGTAGCATTGGCGTGAAGTCTCTTGTTTTTTTCTCTTCTTCCTATCTTCCCCCTCCCCCCCCCGTCTTCACGACTAGCCTTAGAACGAGCGACTTCTGGGAGTTTTGCGCTCGTGGTTGGCTATAAAGCTCCCTCTAGGAAGGTATCGAGATATTGAGATCTTGTCACATTTGCGGCTTGGTGCTTGACCCCGCTTTCTTGTCCTCTTCACGCCATGTCCGGCTCTAAGGACCAAATCACCGTGCAGACGGCCGAGCCAGTATCCCCGTCGCTGCCCAAAGACTCTGCCATTACCGTTGTGCGAAGCAGCTCTGCAGTGCAGACGGAGAACGAGAATGGCCCCGAGACGCCAGCTGACAAGGTTGACGAGCAGAAGAAAGGCTACTTTGCCTTTTTAAAGACCAAGGAATTCTACATTATCGTGATCCTGGGGTAAGTGATCTTTCAAACCGGACTTCTCTCTGGCGCAATATTAAAATACCTCCAGTCAACTGCTCGCAATCGCCAATACTTCGACCAGTACCTTTACTACTCTTCTTGGCGAAGAGGGCTGGGCAATCCCCACCTTCCAAACCCTCCTCAACTATGTAGTGTTGACATGTATTTTCACTCCTTACACAATCTACCGTTATGGGTTCAAGGGCTGGCTCCGTTTGTGCTACCGTGACGGCTGGAAATGTATAGTTCCTTCCAACCCCCATTCTCAGCTCACCACTAACCCTGGTTTCCAGACATTATTCTTGCGTTTTGTGACGTTGAAGGCAACTACTTTATTGTGCTGGCATACCAATACACCACCATGCTCAGCGCGCAATTGATCAACTTCTGGGCGATCGTCGTCGTCGTGATCATCTCGTTCCTTTTCCTAAAGGTGCGCTACCATTTCACTCAGATCGCCGGTATCGCCGTCTGTATCGGTGGTATGGGCGTGCTCATCGCCTCGGATCACATCACTGGCACCAACGGCGGTGACATCTCCAGCGGCAATCAACTCAAGGGCGACCTGTTCGCTCTTCTGGGTGCCTCCTTCTACGGTCTGACCAACACCGCCGAAGAGTACTTTGTCAGCAAGCGACCCGTGTACGAGGTTCTTGGCCAACTCTCTTTCTACGGCTGCATCATTGACGGCGTCCAATCCGCCATCTTCGAGCGTAGCAACTACCATACCTCTACCTGGGACGGCAAAGTGGGCGGCTATCTTGTCGGTTTCACTCTGTGCCTGGTATTGTTCTACTGCCTTGCACCCCTGCTCTTCCGTCTCTCCTCGGCAGCCTTCTTCAATGTCTCGCTGCTGACCATGAACTTCTGGGGCGTTTGCATCGGTATCAAGGTCTTCCACTACCACATCCACTGGATGTACCCCGATTGCCTTTGTGTTGATTATCGTCGGCCAGCTGATCTACTACCTCGGTCAGCGGGCCCTCGCTGAAGCACGGAAACCCTGGCTCGGCACAAACCAAGAGGGAGGTGTTGCTGGTCTATTCACTGCGAAGAGGCGCATCGAGCATGTTGTGCCTGGTGGTACAGCGCAGAGCGAACACGAGCGCGCTCTTTCGCCCGAGGCTAACACCAGTGCTGCTTAGATTCTCTGGATGTGCCTGATGTGCCGTTCTTGCTTAATTTTTCTGATCTCCTTCTGTGCGGAAGAGTTGAGAGTACATATCTAGATGTGAGTTCTGTATAGACTCGCTAGTGGTTGGCTGGTTGTGTTCGCGAGCCTCGGGTGATCCCAATCTTCCTGGCTCGGGACCGTTGCTCTTTGCAAGGTGTTTATTTTTTTAATTTTTAATATTTGATGCTTCCATACGAACATCGCTTATGAGAATGAAACATGAATGATCCACAGGTGCACATCCAGGTCTCGTGCAAATTGACCCCGTTAATCATCCTCTTCCACACCAAAGTCGAAGAAATCATCGATGTCTCCCATTGAGTCAAAAAAGATACAAAGCAATATTTACTTACAAGTCAGGCCTCCACCACCTCAAACCAATTTATTCCCCAACTAGGCACTTCGTCAGTAATACGCCAAAAGCCTAAAGAGGGTGTTGGCATTGAGCGCGCGGTTCAGACGCAAAACAGCCCACGAAACCAACACCAGCAACGAGTGGAAAGGGAGCAACTCCGCTGCCAAATTAATATAAAAGAAGGAAAAGAGGAAGTGAAGAGAAATTAAAAATAATCAAAGAAACTCCATATCCATATCGAAGAGAGAAAACAAAAGAAAGATAACCCAACAGGACACCAGTGAACTTTCACATCAGCATAGCCCTCGCCAGCATTTTCCCGTCGCCGATGCCAACCAGAAAATAAATAAAAATTCAAGAGCCTCGAGACACGTTCGCCCCTCTGAAAAATATATATCACAAGCCACAAGTCGACCAAACCCAATGTGCATACCGAAAAAACCAAACCCCAGCCCAGAATAGACGCAATACAAAGATCAAAGACCAAAATACCTTAGGATAAACACCGAGAAATGAGAGTTCCGTGGACTTCACGAACAGCGCCTGTATCCGATATCCGATATCCGATCCACTGTTTTTCCCTCCAGATGGCACCAGATTGGGGTTCAAACTTCAACAAGAATAAGACGGAGATACCACTCTTGGAGGGTAAGGGTTTGTTTGCTTTTCGTTTTTGTCTTTTTCTCCCCCTGGATGGTAAAAGAAGCCAACTCCAACAGGAGCAGCACCTCTTCCACCAAAAGTTCAACCCAGCCCAGAATCAACATAACAAACCAACATCAGTGGAGAACGGTAGTTCTGCCATGTATGTACCGAAAAGTCCGTATTTCATGATGTAAGCCATTTTCTTCGCACAACGCCTTGAATAAAAAAGGGAATGATAAAATTTAATATGCATGCCGTAGCGCCATCACAGATGTTGAAAGCTGTGTTTAACCCCACACAGAGGCCTGAACGCCGAGCCCGCTCTTGGAGCCCCAGACACCACTGCCGTTGCTCCAGCCCAGACCAACGCCGCCGTCTTTGGGACCAGGTCCATTGGCAGAAGCAGTTGCAGTTGGGTTGGACGCAGCGGATGTGGAGCGTTCGCCAGCGGCGGCAGCTTCACCGGGAGTGAATCCGAAGCCTAGAGGCGAGGGGAGAGGGGTAGTCGAGCGCTTGGCGTTGTTCAGCGCCGGGTTGGGGGGACGTCCCAGCGGACTGACCTCCAGCGGGGCGAGAACCGATAGGGCCCACGGATGAGCCGATGGCGCCGGTGCTGGGCTTAGCGGGAGGCTGGCGGGAGGAAGGCGAGTCGGCACCGGGCGAGGAGGTCGAGGTGACGGGCTGTTCGGAGAAGCTGGCGTTGATAGCGGAGCTAGGCGAGGAGGTGCTGTTCGCGCGGGAGGGAGACTGGAGGCCGGAGGCACTGTCAGCAGCAGGTCCAGACTGCGTCAGGCCGAACGGGTCGCCTCCACGAGGAGAGGCACCACGAACTCCGGAAGACGGAGTGCCAGCGGGCTGGCTCTCGGAGCGAGCAGCCTCATCGGACAGAGGGCCCGGGGGAAAGAAGGCGGGGCTCTCGTTTCCATAGAGGGCTCGGTGCTGACGGGCGAGAAGCTCGCGACGGGATTCTTCACTCACTGCAGCGGGGCTGGTAGAGCGATCGGATTTGTTTGCAGACATCTCGGCGAGGAGGCCTTTAGAAGAAAAGTATTAAAAACCCAGTTCGAAAGAAATGAACAAAGCCAAAAACAATATATTATACAAGACCGACGGATACATAGGTGCACAAGGAAGAAGAAAAAGACGGGGGAATATAGCAGGAAGGAAGAGAAAAGCACACGCTACCACGTACTTCGGTTGTACTGCTGCTCCTGGTGATAGTTGCGGAGCTCCCGTTCACGCTGTGCCGCCATCCGACGCTTCGCCTGCATCATCTGCTCTACTTCATTGGGACGACCCTGGTAACGCTGCGAGGCGTAGAAGCCCTGCACGTTGCCGGACGGGTGCGCTCGAGAGCCCTCGAATTCGCTGACCGAGTGGTGTCGCTGAGGGCCGCCACCCATGCGAGGGTCTGAGGGACGTCGGAATCAGATCTAACGTCGGGTCGGTCGGTTGCGTGGCCACGTACCGTATTCAGGGTAGGGACGGCCCATCATCATGGGCATCGAGTCCCGGCGGGGAGCGTTCCATAGCTTCCCGCTCTTGACCAGATTGTCGATCGCACGATCAACCTCTGCAAAAACGAATCAGCATGAATTTCTCTCCCAAAATGATTCAATCATCCCATTCCCGGTGCATTGATCGCCGAGTTCCCAGAGTTCTCGTCGAGTCTGGTATCCGTCCGCCGAGAAGTCCGATATGATTATTTTCTCCGGGCAACGCAACGGGGCGAAACAAGCGTGGGAAAAAGGAACCGCTGAAACGAAAGTGGTGTGCATACCGTCAAATTGAGAGGAGAAGGCCGGGCTGTCCTCGCGCTGGGAGACCGAGCTGGAACCTAGAGACCAAGGTTATGACTTTTTCATTCCAATAAACCAAGTTTTGACGATGAAGCCATACCTGACCGGGAGGGCGGCACGGGCTGCTCCCACGACACCTGGCGCGGCGCAGCGGCGGGCGCCTGCCAGCCCTGAGGTTCGTAGTACGAAGACATGGTCGTAGAGAAGGAAATCTTCGAAACAAACGGCGACGGTTCAGGGGGTGGAAGCGGCGAAGCAGATGATCCGGTTGAGGCGATCTGTAGAAGGAAAAAAAAAGTCAGTTTCCGAGAGCCACAACAAACTAAAGCCAACTCGACACACAAACACCACGAATCTTGAGACTCAAATCTTGGTTTCTCGACCCTAATCGAACGTAATCACGAACACTGGGGATTTTTGAGAAAATGAAATTGCGGGTCTCCGGAATCGGGGGTTTCTCAGTGTCCGGGGAAGATCCGAGGGACTTACAAAGAAGGAGCCTCTTGGAAATTAAGGCTACCACGAGTCAACGAGGCAGATACGGAGGGAGGGAGGGAAGAAAAGAGAGGAGAGGAAAAGGAGAGAGGGTCCAGCCTATTTCGGGGGGGCGTGTGGGTGGATTCGCTGAGGGAGGAGGGAGAGGAGGGGGGGCAACCAAGATGGTCGCGGGCGAGTCCGAGTAGGACAACCTTGACTTTGTAATATTCTCGCTTCTCAAAGGTGGATCTGAGAGTTACTTTGTAGTTACCTTGTTCTCAGGGTATTGGAAAGGTACCTTAGGTTGTGTGACAAGACACTTCCTTCTTGTTTTTACTCTTTTTTTTTTTTTGGGCTTTTCTTACGGTAGTGTGTATGTGGTCACTCCAGGGCTAGGTCGGGTACATAGATACAGACTTCACAGCGAAGTAACTTCCAGAAGTAACCAGGCGAATGAACATGCTTGGCCCAGGTATATGAATACATCTCTAACGCGGCAATTCCCGGCAAGCCCGCTGCAGCGATTCCGCTTAGTCGTCCTCAAACTGGGCCGGTGACCGGAGATTGGATGCCCGCACGGGGGCGTGCGCCTAAGCGTTGCAAGAACCGTGTCCGATCCCCATGTCCAGTATGATTCGTGAACTGATATTGTCATTAACACGGTCATCGTCATTGCTCTTAAGTTTCTCAATTCTCCCCTCTATAGATGCACTGCTGGGTATCTCGCACTAAGGCCGTGGGATTCTAATTCTTGATCGGTGAGATTCTGTCAAATCTGTCAAATCTTACGATACACGGATAAGAAGACCGAAGTAGTTCTGGATCACCCGAAACCCCTCGGGATCATCGCAGAACGTGCTGTACAATGATGGCAACGCTGCAATGCGCTCTGCACCTGGTGCATGCAAGTCCCCCGTGACGAGCCGTCTTTTGAAGAAGTATACGAAGCCTTGCAAAATCTTGGAATCCTTGGAACAGGGTGAGATTTTTTTCTTCTCTCCCGGTAACCCCACGGCAGGACATTAGCTGCAGTAGTCGCATTGCAAGGCCGTTTGGCCCGTGCGACCAGCGCATCACTCGGTCAAGTCAGGAATAGGAGGCGGGTGGGGCCCTTTTTATATTCTTCCGCAAGGTCCGCAGAGTCTCAGAGCACCCTTCGGTGCTCGCATCCTGCAGTCAGCCTGGCCCTTGGCCCGTTTCCTTTGCGTCGTATAGATGGGTGGTGGGGCAATCGTCGAGATGAACAGTCCCAAGGTTGTGAATCAAGGTTCTTCTCCAGGAAAGTGGGAATATCGAACTAGGTAGCTTCTCATGTGTAGAACACTTTACCTGTTCGTCCTTGAACCTCGGGTCCGGCTTCCCCAGAAACTTTATTAGGATCACTTGCTTTGCTGTGAACCCTCCGAAGGGTATCACCATGTCTGTCTTCCGGGATCCCGCTAGCACCAGGGCTCCCACTCGATCCCATGCCGAACCATTCTAAGCGAGCCTCTGTGGCAGAGAACTATAAAATGCACCTTCAAAAAGAGAGCTAGGTAGCATCCAACCGGGAGCTTCCCGAATGTACCGAGTACAAATAAGTGCCATAGAGTGGCCCGAGCCCGTGGGAGAGATAATAGATCCAATCGATGAGCCGCCTCTTTCAACGGGGGATCGGCTCGCAAGGAGGGGTCCCAAAGGCGAAGTGTGTCAAAGGAGTACGTAGAGAAAACTTCGGACGCAGGTGAGAACCAATATAGGTGAAATCACCAAACACCTCTCCATCACTAAATTAGGTTATAGTGTTTTTCCGCACGTGCGAAAACGCGCAGGATCGCGGGGAGTGCAGAACGACGATCAAATAGGGGGTGCTGGGCCTCAACAACTTCGCCATGTCATGGTACCTGCATGCACATTGCGTACATTCGGAAACAGGCTGAACGGGCGTGATGGGCTGGCTAGAGTGGAATGGGGAAAGCTTTGTAGAAAAGACAAAGACCCAAAATCGGATGATCTATCAATAGTCTCCTATACTCCGCGGCTGGACTTATACTCCTACTCGCAGGTTCTTTCCTTGTTTCCTCCAAGGTCGCAGGTAGAAAGGGTAGAAGCGTCTAGCAAAGTCTGAAGGAACTTGTTTTCTTCGCAATTTACATTGCGAAGTGCATATCCCACTCGAATTGGACAGGTCTGACTCGGTGGTGAAAGAAAAAGAGGGAGAGAAACAGTGCGGTCGGCCGGGCAGTTACCCAGTTACCTCTTTACCGCCAACAGGGGCTTAGACATCTTCACACCTACACCTCTACACGTTCACCACATACGCGCCCTTGACTCTTTCTCTATTTCAATTCAATCGGAGCCCCGGTCGGTTCCTCTTCTCTGTATGCACGGATTCGATCCCCAGTCTCAGTCCACCGTTCTAACCGCGTTCTCAGATTCGACTTGGTCCGCCCGAGGACTTCCCAGCAACTCGCTACCACCGACACCTTGTCCCGGATATTTTCTATTCCAAAGACTCCTGGCTGAGATTATTCTTCTTGATTTTGTCTCTTCATTTTGTTTCAGCATACCGGGGCCTAAGTGGAATTCTGCCACTTTCTCCGACCTCCTCCAATTTGGCAACTTCGTGGACGATAGATTCTCCTCCACTCCCGCACTTGCAATAAACCCACAACCCTCTTCTTACAACCGCCACCTCCAACCTCCCTCCCTTTCCTGAACAACTCGAGCATTGTGCGCCGCGACCGACTTCCGGAAATATTATTGTGGGTTCCTTTGGCGATTACGATTGAGTGGGACCCGGAGAGGGGCTCTCTTCTGTGGAGTGTGGAATCCTTTTCGCAGCCAAGTCGCCGAGTCACCAAAGACTGGTGTTGAAAGAACCCCTATATGGTCCCATACATCGATGGGAATGCAAACTGTTCCCATCACATTGGTGACAGTTCACCGATAGCATCGGATCAGCCTCGCACTATGGCATGGATGCCGCAGTCCGACGCGTCCGAGATCCCTCCTCGCCCACCATTAAATTCGCAGCAATCGAGCTCCCTCCCATCGACCCCGTATCAACATGCGCGCAACCTCTCGTTCCACTCCCGGACGCCGTCCCCCGCCCGCGGAAGCACCTCACCCCGTTCGACGCACTCCGAATCCACACATCTACCTCCCTCGACTCGAAACCCGGCGCCCGTTTGTAAATATGAGACGGCGATGGCTTATTTTCGAAGACGAATACCGTACAGCATGGGGTCCGACATATTGCCGGAGGAGAAGGAGGCATTGAAAGAAAAACTTACACCCGAGGAGGAGAAGAAATTGACGAACGACATTGAGGAACTCTACGAGCGACTATTACCTTCGGCGGAAAGCGACGACCGACGGCGGCAACTAGTCGCTAAACTGGAGAAGCTTTTTAACGAACAATGGCCTGGGCACGAGATCAAAGCAAAGGTCTTTGGATCCTCGGGGAATAAGCTATGCTCTAGCGACTCGGACGGTGAGTGGGAAGAATTGAAACCTCTGGCTAGTGCAACACCAAGCTGACTCGTGTACAGTGGACATTTGTATCACGACCGATTACAAGGCGCTCGAGCATGTGTGTCTGCTAGCAGACGTTCTGGCGAAGCGTAAGGATAATATTCGGAGAATTTAGGTTGTGATTCGGACTAACATGATTGATTTAGATGGGATGGAACGAGTCGTCTGTGTTTCTCATGCCAAGGTTCCTATTGTGAAAATTTGGGACCCCGAGCTGAGATTGGCATGCGACATGAACGTGAACAATACCCTTGCGCTAGAAAACACTCGTATGATTCGGACATATGTCGACTGCGATCGGCGGGTGCGGGTCTTAGCGATGGTCGTCAAACATTGGACGAAACGACGGATTCTCAATGATGCAGCTCTCGGAAGCACCTTGAGTTCTTACACCTGGATCTGTCTGATCATCAACTTTTTGCAAACAAGGAAACCGCCTATTGTCCCCAGTCTGCAAGCTCGCCCCCATGAGAAGAAGGCTACCCCGGACGGGGTGGTCTACTCGTTTGATGATGACCTCGACACGCTGCAGCAATTTGGTAAAAAAAATACTGAGACTTCGGGTCAACTGTTGTTCGCATTCTTCCGCTACTACGGTCATGAGTTGGATTACGAGAAAAATGTTATTTCGGTACGCGAGGGTGGGTTAGTTTCCAAGGATGTCAAAGGCTGGACCTTCTCGTTGAACAATCGGCTTTGTGTGGAGGAGCCCTTCAACACATCGAGGAACTTGGGAAACACGGCAGATGATACGTCATTCCGAGGCTTGCATCTCGAGTTGCGGAGAGCCTTCGGGTACATTGCAAAGGGTGATTTGGCTGGTTGCTGTGAACAATTCGAGTTTCCACCGGAGGAAGAGCGAACATGGGAACGACCACCGCCACAACCACGACCGACCCTCACACCCGTTGCACCCACACGCGGTGGCCGCGGCGGTGGACGGGGAGGCAGGTTCCAGAATCAATTTTCTCGAGGTGGATTTGCCGGCGGCCGTCGGACATCCAACACGGGCAGGGTCAACTCCTCCCGTCAGCAGAATATGAATGGTAACAATCCGCCTGACTTGTCTCTACATGCTCAGCAGCAAGCACAGTTCCTCTTGCATGATCAGCTATATCAACAAATCCAGCTCCTTCAAGCGCAGGAACAGGAGCTAAGGATGCAGCTGCATAATCAAGCAATGATTACTGGGCGACCACCGCCGGTATTCCTCCGTCAGCCCTTCATCCAATTTCCTATGCCTCAGCAACAGGAATATTCAGCAGATGAAAACTCGCGTTCAAGGTCTGAGACTGTCAATCAGCCACCACTTACTCCTTTGACACCAACGGCTCAAAGGCTGTCCTTTGTCAATCCAACATACGCCTCAGTGAGTGCTGCGGGCACACAAGGCGCCGTGACTAACCCATCGTCGCCTTCTGCCTCCTCCGCTGTGCCCGACCTTCGTCGCAACCCTCGGCGGTCTTCTGTTGCCGCAAATGGATCACCGAGCGGGTCATTTAGGGCGCAGTCTCAGCCTGCGCGGCCACAGAATTCACCCCTCCAGAATTTTGTACCCCTTTACGCAGTCCCACAACCTCTGGATACTTCATTCGGTTTAAAGGGACGACCAGCTCCCGAGCCATCAGAAGGTGGAGACGGCAGTGGGGATGAGAGCGCAATGCCTTCGAATAGTCTTCCCAGCAACGGGTCTCGCTCGGACTCTGTGGACGAAGGTCGAACTCAGGAATTGATGGGCTATTACCTAACCCCTCAACAGCTGCAGCTCTATCAGCAGAATGCAATGCTATCACCTATGGGGCTTGCCCTTCAAAATGGCTACACACAATTCCTGCCAGCTCAGCCGGATTATCGGTCGGGGCACTCGTCAGATGGACAAATTGCCCGGGCTGACCAGTCGCCCATACCAGCTTCGCTGGGATCATCGTCGCAGCCGAAACGCTCGTCTTCTTCGCGGCCTGCAGCTTCTTCCGGGCCTTTGATTGTGGATGGTTCGGTGCCTCCGACTCCCAGTGCACCAAGTGAACACCGCCCTTCGTATGCGTCTGACCTGGTTGATCCTTACTCCGCCGTTACTCAATATACGTCAACATCGGATGATCATACCATCAACACGCCCGCTAGCTTCTCTGATTCCTTGTCGCAAGACTTCCAAGATCCGGGTCCTTTTGACATGGATCAGACTCCAGTTTTTACCCGGCCTCTCGAGTCCCAGAAATCGAACAGTACCAACGGCGAGTCACTGAAAGGGAACGCAAATGGTCAGCCGGAGCTCCTGGCAAGCCGACTGCAGAATTTTCATCTGTCGAATGCTGAAAAGCTTGCTCGGTCTCATTCTACCAAGTCCAACTCCGAACGACCCAAGAATAGCGCCCATTCCGGGAAGGAAAACCCTCATTCCAAGAACTCAACGTCTAACGATAAGACCACGGGCTCGCACCAAGTGAACGAGACTCGTCCGCAAAGGTCGTCCTCGAAGCGGAAGACCAACGGAGCAGACTCTTCAGAGAAATCAAACGGAGTGAATCAAGGTCACAAACCCAAGCAGAGAGGCCGGCACGACGCATCACAAAATGGCACATCCCACGGGGATATTAAGGACCACCTGCCTCGCAAAGGCGGTGTCAATGGCACGCCCGAGACCAGTCACGGGTGGCAGACAACGAAGAAGAAGAACCGACGGAGCGGCAAACCGTCTGCAGAATCTCGTAACGGGACAAACGGTCCCGAACCTCTTTCTGTGGACGAAGCACTGCGTAAAGGCGGTTGAGCCTTCTCTTTTTTTTTTCGTCTTTCTCTTGACAATGGACCCATTTACCTCCGACAGTTCTCCTGTGAAAACTTCCAGACCAGTCGCTGAACCGCCAGGCCAGTCGTCGACGAACTTCGCACAATTCGCTGCTCTCGCACCCCACCACATTCGCATCAACCTATGGAAATCTGTACGACCTTGTCAAATGAATGTCAACCATTACTTGTTCATCATATTTTTGTTTCCGGTGTTAAGGTCCAAAGGGGGTGGGGGCATATGCGCATTCACCATCATCATTGCTTTGCTTTGGAAAGCTCCCTAGCAAAAAGACGAGAAATTCTTCTTTCTTCGAGGCTTTCCTTGTTTCAAAACTTCATACTTCATCTTTAAATCGCATCCTCTGGGCAGGCTACGAAACATGTTCTGCAGCTTTTTGGAGTTTCTTTTTTTTTCTTGTTTTGAAGCTAGACCCGGATCAAGTGTTTCTCTTTTCTAGCCTCTGGGGTGTGCCTTTTCGGTTTTGTATAAAAAGAAATACCTGCCGTGGAATGAATCAAATGAACAAAAAAAAAATCGAAAAACTGGCTCATGTCACGTAGCGAGTTGATGACTGGAGATTCCAGAGGTTGCAGCTTCGCTTAGTCTTTTTTTCGTTCATTGTATATTGATCGCCGCTGTTGACATATCTAATTGCCATCCAGGGACTTCGGAGACAGAGCGGGCGGTCGTCCGAACAAAGAGAAAGGCAATTTATACAGGCAGGCAGTCTTAACCCTTGGTCAGCGGTCATTCAGGCTGTCAAAGATCATAGTGTAGACCACGGGGCTATTAGGCTATCATAGGAGGAAGAGTCAGAGTGAGCTTGGGAGTATTTGAACGAAAGTGAGAGAACGGCTTCTTATCTCTGGCTAAGCCCTTGCTCCCTCATTGTGCCATCGCCATTACAGTTGCCGTCATAGAAATTGTGTCACACGTTATAAAGCATGTTGTTTCAAGAGGTGGAGGGTTACACGCGTCCTATGCGGCGCGTTGCTATTTCCACTTAGAAGTGAGGTGTCTCTACCTTCCTAGATGAGTAGACTTGAACGTTCTGGTTGGAGGAATGAAGCTCACGGCCTGAAAGGTAATGCATGGGTAGGAAGTTTCTTCTTAATAGAGAATCGACGACCGGCGAGGGAATATTCATTAAATAAGGCTATGTTTTATTCATTGGAAAGTAGTACTGCTGTTCCACTCCAACAATGACGATACAACAGACGTAACAATACACAGGATAATCGTATGGTATAGTACACGGCGACACAAGACACCAAGAGGCATGTCTTTTTGCAAGACGGTATTAAATAACATAGACAGGTAAGACCCAAGGGGAAAAAAATGAAGCCATATTCAGGCATTCGAGCCGCTGCTAATATTTGCATCAGGGGGCGCGAGGAAGTGCGTTTATTAAGGCCCATCAACTCCAGATCTCGGCGAAAATGTATGGGAAAATCACGACGCAGGCTGTCCAGAAGACCATAATTGATCGGAAGGGGAATAATATCAACTGAGTCAAGGAACTCTCGGTGAGCATGACCCAGATGGAGACGAATGCGACAGAGAAGAAGTGGCTGAAAAGGACGAGGGGTTGCTGGATGAGGCCGGCGAGAAGTCCGACAGGACCGTTGATGTAGCCCATCTGGAAGTAGCGGAAGCAGCCGCGCTGAAGAGCGAGGAGGTTCGAGTCTAATACAAAACATTAGCGGGGAAGGTCGTTTCAAAAGTGGGTGGATTGACGACGAACCATCAGCGGCGAACAAAGCGTAAAGTGCCTGTGCGAGGATGTTGATGACAGTTGATGACTTCTTTCGCATCCAGTGGAAGCGCGAGAGCTGCTTCAGGACCAGTTCTGTATTGCCCAAATCAGGCACGCGCTCGGGGCTCAGCAATTCACGAATAAAGCACACATCGTTGAGTGCCACTGTCATTCCACCGCCCGTCAACGGATGCCGCATGTTAAGCGCATCTCCCAAGAACATTAATCCGGGAGTCTTATTCGTTGAAGCAGGCAAGAAGGAGTTCGGCATAGATCGTAGGTGGCCCTTGTCCAATGCGGCCTCAAACATGGGCTGCACCTCTTTCGGGAGTGTGGGGAGAATGGTATTTCGTAGGTGGCCCTTTACACCGCCATTCTTGACCGACGCAGAGGGAAGGTTCTCGGGGATATCCACAAGGACGCGAGTCTCGTGGGTGCCGATCTGGTACATGAGGACTGGGGGCTTATCGCTGAGGAGGACATGGCCGTAGTTCGGAGCGGGGAGTTTCGCGTCGATCATTTCCAGGCCCCAGAACTTTGATTTGGCTTTGGGCGTGTGTGGGTGGTAGCTTTTGCGGAATTTTGAGGCGTAGCCATCGGCGATGACGGTGAGTTGGGCAAAGTAGCAGTCCTTCAGATCATTTGTCATACACTCAACACCGAGAACCTGCTGTGTGTGCGACGAAGTCACCAGGCCCGTAGCCTGGGTCTCGACGATAGTCACATTGGGGCAGTCGTGAGCGGCCTGGCGCAGCTTCATCACGAAGCGGCCATGGTGGAAAGACCGTCCTAGGGGCGCGGGCATAGAAGGGTCTTCCTTTGGGTACTCAATTGAGACGGGGTCTCCAAAGTATGAAACGTAGTATCCATTGACCTGGATCGCGTCGATCTCGTCCAGACAGTCTTGCAGGCCCAGCCGCTCCAGTGCTCGCACGCCACCGGGCTGCAACAATTCACCGACAATGCGATCGGGCTCCTTCAGCGATTTTTCCAACAACGTCACACTTCGTCCTTGTCTTCCAAGTGTGACGGCAAGCGCACAACCCAAAATACCCGCGCCAACGATTAGGACATCACTCTCGTGGTGTTCAATGCGGCGTTTAGCGGCCCGTCGAGACATCGTGGCATGGTCGTGCAGGAATGGCATGGTGTTGGATAAGAGGTACGGAAATTGTCAAGGCGGCCGTTGCCGCAGTGGCATTCTAGGTTATAAAACGGGGGAAATCGTAGTGGATTCAAATGAGGAGTATGGGCTGATCTTTTTCCGTCGAGAAAGGGGTGTGGCGTGACATGTGAAAGTCTAGGCTCTCCGCCTTCCTCTTCAATACGTGCACTATACTCTTCTACCTATTGACCCTATGTGACTCATTGACACATCTTTTTGATGGGCTGTTATTTGCTTGATCATTCTTTCAATCCTACCTGCGAATTTGGAAGATTACTACTGCCTATGACCCTATTCATGCAGATTTGGTGTCCCAAATAGACAGTCAGGTAGAACCCTTCTACAAGATTGACGCAGATTACACTTCCCCTTCTGGATCGAGAGCATCCATTTGAAGAGAGACTTCTTTCGAGGACTTTCTATCAACCCTAGCGTTTCTCTGGCGCGCTATGATAGACATAGATACCCCTAGATATACATTTTTGTGAGCAGATTATGATAAAATCTCGTTCGCTCGCTCGATCGATCGATCCCGATCGATCGATCCCAAGCAGTTCCACGATCAAAACGAATTGAGCCCTGATATCCCTTCAGGAGAGGTACGAAGGGGACCATGTGCTTTTCTCGCCCTTGCAGCCTGTGGACTTTCCGATTCGCTCCATTTTCAGCCTCAGTCATGGACCACAGAAGGCCACCATGCAGGTAGCTTTCGATAGAGACTGCAAGTTATCTGATTGTCCAAACCACGCAACTCTGTAGAAAATCCAGACTCGCCTCATAGCGTCAGAACTATCCCGTGACAGCTACTAGATAGTCCAATGTCGACAGTGAGTCTCTAGAAACACCGCGCTCATTCGTCATTCAGATCAAGCCGCCCTTCTCTTGATCTTTGATCTTTATGCATAATAGGATCCTTATATGAACGAATGCTACGGTTTCCCTGCCAAGGGTGTTGGGCTTGGTTTTTGCAATCAGAGACGGCGCGCTCGCTCAGTCTTGAAGAAGCGAGTGGGAATGTTTGGTGGCGGAGCCGTGTCTTGGTCACTGTACGAAATGTCTATTGTTCGACTTCGACAACAAGGCTTAGCAATGCAACTGAGAGTGGCTGGGTGCCTTTGGAGATAAAGTTGGCAGGATTCTATCCTCTAAGAGTCCTTGAAGACATCCTATGTAATGAGATCTTACGGGGCAACTCAAGGGGACAATACGCAGAAGGCCAAGTCCAGAGACTGGATGGTATGTTTGAATACATGTTATGTACAGTCATATTATACAAAAGACGAGTCTAGTTCATTGGCGATGGCCGAATGCATGCACTGGCTGTCTTTGCCCTGATCGTCAAGAGCGCACGGCCCTTTCGTCCCGGAAGCCCTTAGGCTCGGGGTAGTCCGGATGCTCAGGCAAGAGGCGGTGCTCAGAATTGATGGACCTCTCGCTCCACCACAGCAGTACCTCCTTGCCATTGGGGTCGTGAACCCTATCGAGCAGGTCAAACTCCATCTCTTCGTCGAATTTCACGAGAACTGCATCGACCGTTTCATCTGATAGATGTCCATAGCTTGTGACGGGACGAGGCAAGGCCAGCTTGGTTCTCATCTTACTTTTTTGTTGACGGCTGACGGCGTAGAGAGTAGGATCATCACTGGCAGCCTTCTTCCTGAGCATTTCCACTAGTTGGTGAATGACATTGAGGTCATGGCCGGACACTCCAGCGACTCTCCTCTCGAGCATGGGAAGGAGGCGCTCGGCTTCAGCGACGAATGAACGCGAGGGTCGCTCGTATCGAGTCAGCACAGTCGATATACACCACCAGATACCTCGGATGTTGTTCTCAATAGCGTAGGCACGGAAGAGCATCTTGAGCTGAACTTGGTCGAAATTGTGGGTTTTGCGCCACTTGGACTTGTAAACTGCTTTCAGGATTTCAATCGCTATCACTTGGCGGCCCTCTTTGATCAGGCGCCGACTGAGGGCCACCGATGCATGGTTTTTGACAATGAGCGTTGGCGTGTCAGCGCAGATGTTATTGAATTCCAACAGTGCAGACTTGTATAGAGTCGAGTCACGGACTTTGGATCTATCAAGTTGAGCGATCTGCTGTAAAAATACAGGCACAAATGAAGGGAAAGGAAGGGTGTATCGAACGGTCGGCCGGTTCTTCCATTCAAGCCATTGTTTTCTGATGCTCTGACGGACTTCTTCTAAGTCGGTCGAGCCGTTCTCCAAAATATGGGCGACGGCTGCTAGGGAGAGGTGAACCGATTTGATGGGATGGCCGCCTTCTGTCGCTTTGTCGAAAGTGAACTTCGCCTTGCTGAAGTGGCCAGCGTGGATAAACTGCTCCATTCGCTTTTCCAACGGCATGTAGAGATTGATGGACTTAGTGGCAGCAAGCTCGTCCACGCTCTCACGGTAGCTCGTTTCAGCGGCGCGGCGAACGGGTCTCAGACTATCGCCATCTAGCGAATATGACTCGGCGCTGGCTCCCAGAATGCTCCGGGAGGAAGCGACCTGCACGTATTGCCTCTTTGCCGCTTTCATCATGTTCCACGATCCGACAGGGGTCGACTGCATCATCACACGACGAGCGTTCAAAATCTTCTGAAAGGCGACTTTGTCAATCCCGGATTTCCATTGGCGCTTCTGACTCATCTCGGTGATTTGCGCGATCATGTTGGTGTCACCCCTTTCAACCAGAGCCTCGAGAATGTGACGGTGGAGAACTCGGTCAGGTACAATACCGAATTCGTTGATAGAATTGACAATGAATGCGAACGTTTCTCGACCTGAATGAGTGGGATAGTACTCCAGGAGGAGACGATCAAAGACACGGGCGAAGTTACGCTTTTCTGCGGTCAATCCACGCGCATGCATATCGCGCAACCCATCCATAACGCGCTCCCAATCACACAATGCAGCTCTGCCATACAACAGCAAGCCGATTGATCGACATCCAGGAGCAACGTGGTACTTGTCGGGCATATCAGCCACCAAATTTTCAGCATCTTGGTGTTTCCCAGAATCGACGAAAGCCTTGATCATCGGGTTGAAAACTTTCTCGGTAGGTTTGCGCTCCAGATCGGACAAATGCTTCAAGACCAGTCGGAATTCATCGGCTAAAAGATCGGTGTTTCGAGCCTTCTTCCATACCCCGTCGAGGTATGCCCCGCATAAACCACCTTCCACGTCATGCTTGATATGGTTGAAGAAAAACCACTTGGCCAAACTTAATCTCCGGGACTCAAGAAGGCATCGGAGGACGACTTCCAGTAGATGTTCAGGTACTTGCAACTTGAAGCGGTGTTTCTCGAAAACGGCACATACTGCTTCCACGTGCCCCTCTTTCGCCAGTAGATGCATCATCATGGCCCAGATACTGGAATCGATCTCAGCCACTTTCTCCATACGGTGGAAAAGGTTTCGGGCAATAAACACATTCCCTTTCTTGCAGTTTTCAGTGAACAGGTGGTATCCGAGCTGTCGTCTGTCCCAGGAAGTCCCATTCGGGCTCTTCGTCTTATTATGTTCCTTGATAAACATATTCGTGGCCTGAATCTCCTTGCCCTGGATGATCATTTGACGGATTTGTTCATCGAAAGGCACTTTGCCCAGTGCACGTGCGCGTTGCGCCTTTTTAGTCTCGTATGCTTGCTGTTTCTTGTTGCGGTGGTCGTGTTTCAAAGCGGAGTCGGAACCGTCATAGTTGAATAGACCGACCGGAATTTGGCTAAATTGTGGCAAGTGCAGTACAGAAGCAGGTTCTGGCAAAGATGAATCACTGGACTCCGCGGCCATATCCGCAACCTGCGACTTCTTGGATTTCATGGACTCGAATCCCATGAAGTTCCCTGCTTCTGCTGCTTCCATCATATGGGCGAGGCGCTGTGCAGATGCTTTCGCGTTGTAATTTGGTGCGGAGGTGTGGATAATGCGTTTGTTCTCGACGATCTGCTCGGCTACGCGGACTCGGCGATGGACATCATAAGTGACCGCTATAAGAGCGCAGCAGCTCCCCACAGTACCTCCGGCGAGAGCTAATTGACGGAGGGTTCGGAGGGCATTGCGCGAGGGAACGACCGGAGTTGAATTGGCTGCTTTGGCGAACATGGTGATGGCTTTGGCCGCGGGCTAACGCGCCGGGCTCGCCAGCCTCGCGGAAGCGGATCGAGCGGCAAAATACTAGATGGGAGGAGTGATCTGCAACATCACTTGTCCCGGCGGTGTTGGGTGTGAGACAGGGAGAAAATGAGTTAATGGAATGTGGTGGTAGCTCGGGGAGAGATGTGTGAACTCGAATGGGCAACTTTTTTCGGAAACAGTAGAGATGCGCGAATGGTCCGTGTGGCCTACTGTACTCCACGGCCGGGATCGGCTGATTGTTTCTACTCGAGCATCATACGATAACACAACTTCGCTAGCCTCGTGTGGTAATCACTATTAAATAGACAATGTAGCCAAATGACTCTGTCTAAGGTAAATCTAGCGTGAGAGGAGCTGATCGTGTTCATCTTCTCCAACTTCATTGGCTTCAACCGCGATATCAGAAGCAGCCTCGTCCTCCAAGGTCACTACAAGATCATTAGTTGGTTTTCCAGGTTAGAGAGGCAATGGAACTCACCATGAGGGTGGATCAGGAAACTCATCAAGAGTGTCAAGCCAAAGACTGCTGCTAGACAAACGAACACGGTCTGGGGGTAGGTCGCGACAGTCAGACTGTAGATCAAGTTAAGGATTGTCGGTGCGACAACTCGTGCAAGCGCGTGCAAAAGGCCTGTGGCACCAAGCATCTGGCCGATGCGCTCTTGTGGTACATGTTTGGTAAGAGACGATTGTAAGGTTGCGGCACCCATGCCGCCTAGTGAGGCGATAATACCGGAAAGGATCATCATGGACGGGTGATTCGACAACGCATAGCCGACATAGCCTAGAACATCGAAGACAATGGATAGACGGATGATGACGATGTCCAGCATGTCGGATCCTCGGATAGCTCCATCGTCGGGAGTTGGAGTACGGAAGAAGCGTGCAACAACGGGTAGAACCACGAACAAGTTGACCACGCGAATCGCATTGATGATGGACACGAAAAGACTTGATTCCACATTACCCCAGTTGAACATGTACGCAGCGTAGATGATGATCAACTGTGCAGTACCCATGGCAATACCGAAGCAGGCCGTATCCATCGCGGCCAGGAGAACAATGTTCCGGCGAAGAGCAGGACTAGCACCCCGTCGGTTAGAGAACAACACACTTGGTCGACCAACAGCGGGCAGAAGGATCGAGAGCGGAGTCACAAGCTTTATCGGGTTAAGAGCCTTCCAAGAATACCACTTGACATCTTTGGAGTTTGCCAGCTTCGTATGGTGCCTGTCACGAGCAGCGAGCTGTCGCTCCTTCGAAAGAGATTCTGGAACGATGAAGAGAAGCGACAGAACAAAAATTGCATGGCATGCTAGGCCGATGTAGAAGACGGGTAGAGCAGTTCCAGTCTGCTTGATCAAGAACGCAGCACCGCTGGGTCCAAAAGCGATGCCGAAGAACAAAGTTCCGTGGAAAAGGCCGAATGCCACACTTCGCCTGTCAGGAGGGGTACAATCCGATGCATAGGAATGAATCAGAGCCTGGGCCGTTGTGAATGATCCACCGAGTCCATCCATCACGCCCCCAACAAGGAACCATTTGACGGACATAGTGTCCGGTCGGGAAGCGATGATGACGGTGATCACCTCATTGAGCACTGCGCCCATCGCGCCGAACGCGATAAGTTTAGTCCTGCCATAACGATCTGACAAATGGCCCAATCGAGGACTGACAAGTGCTGAAATGATTCCGGTCACAAGATTGAGATAAAGCTGAAACTGGGCGACGAGAGACGAAATTTCAGGGAGTCGGCACTGGCCGTTATCCTCTCCAAAAACAATGGGAAGCACAGTGAAGTTGGGGTCTTTGGCCATTCTCTCCGAGAAATAATCGCGACAAATCAAAGACATTATCAAATTAATCCGGGGTACCGCAAGTCCTCCAAAGCCCAAAGTGAAAAGCGCGCCGAATGGTAAAAGCCACCAGATCTGCCACCATCGATTAGAAGGGTCGTAGTTGAGCGCCACGAGTCACTTACAGACGGTCTCCTCCATCGCGGTCGGGTGTCGATATCGCGCGGGCCTTCCTCATAATGCGGTGGTTCATCGTCAAAATCATCGCCGGCCAGCAGCGGTTCGGCGTGAACCTGCAAAGGAGTTTGCTTGGGCTTATTTACCGTGCGACGGATGTTTCTGGCTTGCTGCTGTGCGTCAAGCGCGGGTTCGCCTGCGAAGAGTTCCTCATTCTCCATGATAACAAAATTAGAATATCGGTTGAGTCTACCGGCACATTTCAGAATGGAAATGTAATTGAGGATATCAAGATGACCCTTTCAGGCAGGGATGGGCTCTCAGGGCCTCCGGATTGAGGGAGAGCGAATGCGACACTGCGTCACGATTCTTATCAATCAAACTGGATTCGATAACGCGGCCGGGGTTGAGTCCGGTAACTCCGATGCCACGCGACCTTGGAACAGCTATGAAACGATGAATCTTGTTTCAGGCACATTTTCAAGTAATGCAGCATGTTCGTGTGTACAGTTGAGATTTTAAAGGTAAGTAGAACGCCCCCGCCGGATTATTCTATGTACATGCAACCCGAAATTATAATGTAAACAATTAAAAAACTCTCCTACATCACAAGAGCCCCATGCTGTTTACCGGCAAAGAACTTCTTCTGCTCTAGACAGCGGTCACTCTTACAGCCTTGGCAGCGCAGTGTCATCTGAGCAGAGCAGGGCTCTCCCTTCTTCAGATGCTGATGAGCAACATCAGCGAGAGCCTTGATGAAGGTCGGGTTGCCGTTCAAGCTCTCAGCTCGCTTGACACCGGGGCTGTTGGCCTCTTCCATGACCTCGAGATCCAACTCATAGAGAGTTTCGATGTGGTCGCTAGTGAAAGCGATAGGCACAAGGACCAGGTCAGTGTGGCCGCGCTTGACGTATTGCATGACGGTATCACTCGTCTGGGCCCCGAGCCAGGCAGAGGGGCCGACCTGGGATTGCCAGCATAGACGATACGGGTTGCTGAACTTCAGTCGCTGCATGACGGCATAAACGGTCGCGGCGACCTCGGAGGGATAGGGGTCACCTGCAAAGGAGACAAGCATTAGGATAATCTGGCTCGTAAATGAACCCAAGGTATTCTTAAACTTACCGCGGTTGACCACGCTCATGGGCAAGCTGTGCGCAGAAAAGAGCAAAACCACTTTATCCCTCTTCTCCTCCGGATATGTCTTCAATTGGGCCTCGATGTTTTGCGCAAAGGCCTCAACCAAGCCAGGGTGGGATGGCCACCGGTCGATGACACTCCATTGAATAGCCCCAGCTAGGTCAGCATCCTTTCCTTCCATGCGGGTCCGCCATTTCCACAGCTCATTGAGCGAGCTTCCTGTTGTGGAGCACGAGTACTGCGGGTATTGCGTGAAAGCAACAGCACGCCCTCCCTTGCCGTTGCCGAATCCATCATCCAACAGCTGCTGATACATTGACTCGGTCAAGGGGGCAGCGTAGCGGAATGCGACGTAGGGCTTGTGCGGCGCGGTTTCAGGGGATATTTGATCAAGTACCTTGCACATCTCGGCACATTGGTACTCAGACCACTTGCGGATGGGCGAGCCACCTCCAATGTCGGCATATTGCTTTTGGATCTTTGGGGTCCGGCGCTTCGCAATCAAGGGTCCGAGGTAATTCTGGAACCGACCGAGAGGGATCAAATCGCCATCAGTCTGTAGAAGCGTCAAACGAGACGGAGTTAGCCAACTTTCTACCACCTAGTTCGATGAGACTATTTTGAAGACACGTACAAATAGTCTGCTCAGAAAATCTTCCACCTCGTTCGTTGTCGACGGACCACCCATGTTCAAAAAGACCATCGCTGTCGGTCCCTTAGATCCCGTTGCATCTTGCGTCACCGGTGGCACTGCTGTCGCGAGGCCGCGACGTTGGTTGCTATAACACGCCACATAACCGCCTGTTGCGGGCCGGAGTGCCGAGGTTGTAGCACTGCTCAAGATCCGACGGGGAAGCGCAAAGGGGGCGCGGAAGGACATTGCTGGGTATGATATTGGAATGAGTAATTGACAAAATCCAATACACTCGAACAAAGCCAGATGCCTGAATCGACGTGTGAATTCAAGGCACTCTGCAGATCGCAGAGATCAAGTTGGCAACCGGAAGCTTCCTCGGCCAATCAACTCGCAGATAGCGTCAGCAACTTGGAGAGTAGCTTGTCACATGACCTTCGCGTCTCCCCGCGTTCGAAGCGCGTCAAGGCAGCAGCTGTGGAACAAAGTAGAGGCTGCGCCTCTGTTTTTCTTCTACTTCACCTTTTCCCATTCGAATACACCGTGAAAAATATGGCAGATGACACTTCGGCGCGGGAAGAGGAGGGGTTTGAGGAGGACGAGCTCGACGAGACCGTATATGCTCCCCAAATACCTTCAGAGTATAGATCTCATTGCTGACTTGCTTGCTTTCTAGAGCTTTCGGTCCGTCAAAGACGCCGTTCTATTCGCGATTGATATCAGCAATTCAATGCTGGAGACTCGTCTCTCTGCCGACCCCAAGAAGTCCGGCGGAGAGTCCCCGGTATCAGCTGCTTTAAAATGTGCATATCACTTGATGCAGCAGCGCATCATCTCCAACCCGCGTGACATGATCGGTATTCTGCTATATGGAACTGAGTCATCCAAGTTCTACGATGAGGATGGCGAAAGCGCTGACCTCTCCTATCCGCATTGCTACCTCTTTACTGATCTCGATATTCCATCGGCGGAGCAAGTGAAGGAATTGCGGTCTCTAGCAGAAGATGAAGATGTGGCCCGGCAGATATTGAAGCCATCGAAGGAACGTGTTTCGATGGCCAATGTGTTATTCTGTGCAAATCAGATCTTTACCTCCAAGGCCCCGAACTTCCTTTCCCGGCGCCTCTTCATTGTTACCGATGACGATAACCCGCACAGTGACAACAAGAGTGTCCGATCTGCTGCAACTGTCCGTGCAAGGGATCTGTATGATCTCGGGGTCACGATTGAATTATTCCCCATTTCTCGTCCCGATCATGAATTCGACACATCCAAGTTCTATGATGTAAGTCTTACGATTGTGTTCGAAGGCGTGGAGATAATGCTAAGTTGCGACAGGATATAATTTACAAAACCTCTCCCAGCGACGGTGAGGCACCGGCATATTTTCAGCCTGATACAAACGCATCGACCGGGAAAGGTGACGGAATCTCACTTCTCAATACTCTTCTATCAAGCATCAACTCCAGATCGGTGCCTCGGCGATCTCTCTTCTCCAATGTGCCTCTGGAAATCGGACCCAACCTCAAAATATCGGTGAATGGCTACCTTTTGCTCAAGCGACAAGAACCAGCTCGGAGTTGCTATGTCTGGGTGGGAGGAGAAACTCCCCAGATCGCTAAGGGAATCACCACACAGATGGCAGATGACACAGCACAAGCAGTCGAAAAGGACGACATTCGCAAAGCATACAAATTTGGCGGAGAGCAGATTGCCTTCACGACCGAGGAGCAGCAAGCCTTGAGAAACTTCGGGGATCCTGTCATCCGCATCATCGGCTTCAAGCCACTATCTGCGCTGCCTATCTGGGCTAACATCAAGCATCCGTCTTTCATCTATCCTTCTGAAGAAGATTACATCGGCTCGACGCGCGTGTTCTCCGCCCTCCATCAAAAGCTCCTCAAAGACGAGAAACTGGCCTTGGTCTGGTTCATTCCCCGCAAAAACTCCACACCGACCCTATCTGCCATGATTGCTGGTGCTGAGAAGATAGATGAGAATGGTGTCCAGAAGGTACCGCCCGGGATGTGGATTATTCCGCTTCCCTATGCAGATGATGTTCGGAAAAATCCCGAGTCCAGCATGAATGTGGCTCCGGAACCACTAATCGATTCAATGCGTGCGATTATTCAGCAACTACAGCTTCCAAAAGCCGTTTACGACCCTTCAAAATACCCAAACCCTTGTATGCCATCTCTTACTATCGATGTATGGCTGAGCTAACTCATGGCAGCCCTGCAATGGCATTACCGCATTTTACAAGCTCTGGCTTTAGATGAAGATCACCCAGGGACACCAGAAGACAAAACCAAGCCTCGATACCGACAAATTGATAAAGTAGGGCTTTTAAGACTACAATATGCAGCACACTGCTAACACCATATCAGCGCGCCGGAGACTACGTTCTCGCCTGGTCCGACGAACTAGACGCCCAATCCGCTAAGGTGTTTGGCAGCACCGCCGTCACAAGTTCCACGCTCGTGAAGCGCGGCCCGAAGGAACAACTCGAGACTGCTGATGCGGACGAGCACCCAGCGAAACGCGTGAAAACAGAGAGTGGTACCTCCGACCTGAGACAATGAGATCAAGCGACATTTCGAGAAGGGCACGGTAGCAAAGGTGAGAATCAAGCTTTTCCTTGATTTCTTGGTATTATGTGACTAACGTGCATCTGTCGTATAGCTTACAATACCTGTATTGAAGGAATTCTTGGTTTCCCATGGTCGAGCTGCGGCTGGGAAGAAAGCCGATCTGGTGGATCGAGTTGAGCAGTACTTTGAGCAGAAATGATGAGTCAATTGCTCATCAGCTTTGAATCAGTTTCAACTGCACCGTAAATAACGAATTATGACATTGTTACATATTTTGCTCCAATTGATTAATGAACTTCCTATCCGGTCCATATCCGAGCTAAATTGAAGAGTGGTCATCTAAAAGGGGGTGTCTGGATTTAGCATGCTAGGTCTCGAGAGATCTCAGGAGACCTGCACAGAAACGTCTTTGAAGCAAATTATACGATTTGCAATCATATAGCCACTGAGGTAAGCCAACTTTCAATATCTCCTGAGAATAAGTTTAGGAATTTCGGCTATTTCGAAACTATTGAACATTAGCTTTGCCCCAATAAGGGGAGGAGACTCTTACTTAATCCCGAAAGAGCTATTAGGCCGCTCCTATACGCTAGGCATGTCTCTTCAGCACTCGGTCCAGACCGGTGTGTGTCAAAGGAGTCGATCAAAATGCGAACAATCTACACAACGCATCCCGAAATTAACAAGCATGAAAATGACAATATGTTTTCTATCGGGACTGAAGTATCAGTATTTCTATATACATCAGGATCAAAATGAATCTCAGGCATCAAGCCTATCCACAGACAAAAACTCCAACTTATGTAAAGAAAATCGAAGCACCCCCAAAGATACCGAACGCCGGGCACTGCGAGTTCGCGCAGGCAATGGAAAGTGTAGGCGCTGAGTATGCGAAATAACAAGCCGTCGATATGTGCACTGCGTCTTTTTTTTTTTTAGCATTGGCCGTAAACCTGACAATAGCACAGCTCCTCATCGGGACAGTAGACAGCGCTCATGCCGAAGATGACATGCCACAAGAACTCCATGACTCGTCCAGACGAGGCGTCATTCAATTCTGTGTCGATAATCCACTGTCTGAACTTAATGTAATCGTCTCGGGGACGGAGATGCACCTGCGCGCGACTCAGCGCGAACTGGGCACAGCATGCAGCGCCGATTTGGTCTGGTTTACGCAGGTAGCGTTTGTTATAGGACTCCGTTTGGTGGAGCGAGGAGGTGTTGAGGGGTGGAGTGCTTGTTCCGTCGAAGATATCCCACCAGACTTGGTCTGTGATGTGGCTGTTGTAACGGTGAGAGTCCCGGCAGCCGGGATTCCAGTTGCAGCGAAGATTGACGTAGCCGTTTTGTTGGACAAAGTCAAGTTGAAGCATGCGCATGGCGGCGACGTTGTCATGAAGCGGGGCGTCGACGTGCCAAGCCATGAGGAAGCCGGAGCGGTGGGCGTGGAGGAAGACAATTGTTGAGGGGAGGTCGTCGTAGTGCTCAATCACGTAAGTGAGGTAAGCCATGGACTCGTGGCCTTTATTAACTGGGGTTGTGAGGATGTTGGCGTTGGATCGCACGTCTTGGGTGGGGTTGACAATGTAGATGGCTCGTTGCCAGCTGGGATGCGGTCAATGGGGTGAGATGAGGTGCATTGGAGGAAGCTCACATACTCAGGTAGTTCTTCTTCAACCCAATCGGTGGGTTCCTCTTCCAGCTTGGCCATTACAATGACTTTGTCTCCCTGGGTAGTGTTGCCGTTGGTTAAGTGGTGGGCGGGCCCATTGCGATCCAGCCAGTCAATTAAGTATGCGCCAGCGCGGTACTGATTACAGAGGTCCTGTAGATGAGCCTCTAGCAGATAGAGGGAAAAAGAAGAACACCCGTGACGCATAATGCGAGACGAAATCCACCTCTCATTGTGAAAGCCAATAAATCGTAGTGAGAGAGATGCCCTTCAGGCGGTGCTCCCAATGATCCAGATATCACCTCACCAGGAACCAATGATCCATTGAGTGGGGGATCAAATAGAGAAATGACCGGATAGAGATAGAGGGAGAGAGGGAGAAAGAGTGAAAGAGAGAAAGAGAAAGAGAGAATGCAAGACGACTGCGTGAGAGGAAATTAAGAGAATAGAGAAGGGAGTGGAAAGCGGCCCGGTCTTTGGGGCAAAGTCGCGGTGGAGAATAAGGAGAAGGAGAGTATTGAAAAAAGGTTTAAAGGAGAGGCCGCGAAAAGATAACCTTTCCGCGCACGATCTAAGAAGAGTCTAAAGAGAAAAGAGGATAAGGCGGGATGAAGAGAGTTAGAGGACCCATGCTATCTTATTTTTAATTATTTTTTTTCCCTTTCGCCATGCAAGAGTAGTCTAAGCCGAGTTGAACTTAGGATAGCACTGCGCCCCCACCACTGGGTCTAGCCGAGGCAAGACTACGATCGGACTGGCTCAGGGGATCTTGGAGCTGCAAGTCGAAGCCGGGGTTGGTTAGGGGCCGCATGGGCCCTTGACAGGTAAAAGCTTGGCTCGGGGTTGCGTAGACCCCTGAGGCGTTAGGTTAAACGCGCATGGAATGGAGGGGGCGACAAGCGCAAGGACCATGGCTCTTAATATGGATCCCCAAGTTTTCAACTTCTTGATTAGTTGGGGTTTTTCGCGTATAATGGGTACCACGGTTCCCACGTGGCGACTGGATATAGTTCCAGAGAGGGACGTGGGAATGTGGAAAAAGCGTACGGCGCTTTGCAGTAAACATAAGCAGCGGACGCAGTTTCTCCACCAGGCTATTCAGTCTTACAGTAGTCTCCCATCCGATGTGGGGCGAGATTGAGTCCGAATTCTCTCCGTGTTGGAGTTGGGAGTTGGAGTCGAAGTCGTTGAGGAACATTTTCGGTGACCTGTTCATCTCATTAGGTCGCCTCGGTGTGTTAGCTTGTGGCGATGACGGAGGAAAGACCCCACCACTTGCTGATCGGCGCATCAATGATGGCGTGGCTCTTGTAAAGTGGGCAACTGCCAGAGCGGTATGTACTGTATGCTCAAGGACAAAGTGATGAACTGTCCCCAGTTATCTCGAATGGGGATTGCGGATCAGTTCCACGCGATTTGACCCTCGCAGAACCGGGCGAGCGGCGGCAGTGCGTCAAGCCCCTCCTTGCTGTTGCAGTTGCAGGCTTATTTAATTAAGCTCGCGGGCAAAATTCCGTTCTGGCAATGGGGACCCGCCATACATAGTGCGCCATCGGCTGCGGTTCCACGCCCATTGTGATAGCCTGGGGGGGGTCCAGTGTTTCATTGGGCCACAGTGCTCAAGCCGCGTTGACATCGCAGGCACCGTGTGGCTCGTACACCTAACGGCGTGGCGATCTGTCTCGATTCCTTTTTAGATCTCCAGAGAACGCGCCGGGTATAAGGCTTTTCATGCAGGTGCTGACCAGATGGCGAAGCCCGCCATGGTCAGAGTCATTCGGAAATTTGTTTCGCTCAGGTGTCAAGGCGTTCAGGCGTCAAGGTGTCCAAGTCTCGGTTAGTCCGTGACCTCTTTTATTGTGACTGCCTAGAAGCCTTTGGCGTTCCCACGCATTAGCTTCCATTTTAGTACTGTTGAGCTACTTTCCGGTTAGACTGGTCTGTTTTCATTCGCGCTAAAAAAAACCGCCCGCTCATGAACCAATTCATGAGATCGATGAAAAGATAGGCTTCTAGCGTACGTGGACGCCTGCTCGAGGGCGGCTCTCGCCCTGGACGAAATAAGCCATTTGCAGCCATCGAATTCAGACTAGCCCTTTTAGATGTAGACCTACTAAAATACATCTCCCACCTTCTGAAGAGTGCGGATTTTGTTTATCTTTGCAAATTCTGCGTCTCTCAAAAACTATGTTGATTTGATGACTGCCAACGGAGCCTCTCGCCCGTCCTCAGAGTTGACGTGTCGGATAATGATAACTCTCATAGGTCAGAAAATTGCTTTGCAAAAGAAATTCACTGTCGTTGATTTGGTGAATGCTGCCGCCAACAAGCCGGATGAAGCCAACGATAACGGAGAGATGTCTAGCTCTTCATCTAGGATGACTTGGGTTTGCAAGCTCCGTGGCCAGACATGAAGAACCCGTCGGCTGGGGATGGCAAACATACATGAGTCTGTTGCTATGCCTCTCATAGAATCATCGGGATATACCATGTGATTAGTTCCAAAATCGCAAGGCTCAAACTGATCTATGATGGAGCTTATCCATGCACCATTTGGAAGTAAGAGAAGGCTAAGTACAATAGAGCAGCTTGATAAAGATATACCGATGCCAGTTCCAGAAGGAAAAGAAACGATTGATCAAATTTGTCCCTCTCCCCGAGCTTGGCGATGGACGTGAATCGGAAATGTCAACTTCGTGAGCCTATGCACACAGCCTGTGATTTGATCCGAACGTGCTCATGAGATGAGGGCCTATAATCGGCTTGGAAGGCTGAATGCACTGGATTCGAGATTGATCTAAAGTCTCACATCTCGCTAGCTTTTTATACAAATTTTTAGGGAAAGATTAAAGAAAATGAAGAATAAAGTCAAGACCTCCGACGTTTTAGGTTTTGTACCATCCATCACTGGGCTATTTTACATCCGGGAAGATCTTCAGCCCAGTACTTGATATCTCCACATCCGAAAGACTATTAGTGTCCATGCTGTGCAGCCAGCTGCATTAAACAAGGTCTTTAATCGCTATCTTCCTCCTCTTCGTCACTGACTTCTTCCCCATTGGCAAGTGCCTCCTCGCGTTGTTTGCGAGCTCGCTCCCGCTTCTTGTCCAGCAAGGCAGTAAGCTTCTTCGCAACATTGAACACACCCCCAGTTCCCGCGCCACAGGCCGCACAAGACGGATTCTTCCGATAGCGATTCAAAGCGCAGGACTCGCAGAAATAGTGACCGCACTTGGTCAAGATAGGGTTTGTGTAGGGTTTTTTGCAGATGATGCATGCAAAGGGGATGCTTTCCAGTAATTCGTCGTCGTCGTCGTCCTCTTCCTCATCGGCCATGCCGGCACCTTTGCGTTGTGACACGACACGCCCAGTCAACTTCTTGCCGTTGGTACCAATCTCCCAGTCCCGATCAAGTTCCCAGCCTTGCTTATAGTCTTCTCGAGCGTGAAGGAACTTGCAGGAATCACCGAAACCACAGACTGTATAAATGAGTTAGCAGCTGCATCAATCGGATTTTCAGGTTGAGATCGACTTACATCCTGTCTGCTTATAGTCCTTACACACATCGGGTGCGAAATCCATGACGGTCACCGTGCGCACGTTTGTAGGCGCTTTTATCGGGCCGAACTGTTTGTTCGGCGCATCTGGGTTCTTCTGGATGAAAGAGGTGTAATTGGCGGCACCCTTGTACGTGCCGTCTGGTCCAGCAGACTCCTGTGGGCGCGCTCGCGTCGAGCCGAGTAGATTCTTGGCGCTCAACTCTTCATCATACCAGTTAGCGCTCTTGGTTGCGTCGTTGCTCGATGTCAATGGAGCGGGACCGGCAGAGGGCTGTTCGGTGGAGGACTCCTTTCGGGAGACATTAGTCGCGGACGAGGCAGTCACTGCGACATTCTTGCGCCGTCTCTTAATGCGCCGGCCTTCTTCGTCATCGGAAGAGGTGAAATCGGAGTCGGAGGCCGGAGGTGGCGTGGCGGGCTTCTTGCGAAAGCTGGCTTTGGCCTTATTTGAGCGCTTCTTGAAGCCAAATTGGGGAACAGCCTCAGTGGCTGTCAGTTCTTCTGTCATGATGAGGGACTCGAATGACAAGAATGGTAGCAATAAGTCAGATAAAAGAAAAGCCTGTGGATTAGATATCATCAAGAAATGACGAAGGCTCTCGAAGATATGACTAAGCCAGACAAACAGTGCAAACCATGCGCTCGAAGAAAACAACAACACCGTAATTCGGTCGAATCGGAAGGCTCAACCTTGTTTTCAATGTCTTGTTTACAAGGTCGATCGCTATCTTCTATATCCTTCGTTTTTGATATCTGTAGCTCCGTACTTGTCGAGAAACCCCCACTAGCTATATTTACACCCACGTAGCGTCACGGAGGGGCGATCACGATCTCCCCCATATCGCGCCCAATCTCAAACACTGGTGTCAGTCGACTCCTCCCAAGGCGCTCCCTCTCTCTTCTTTTCCTCCCCGCCCGAGTCGCCCTTCGCTACCCCCATTTACACTCCCTACACTCCCTTCATTTTCTTTTCATTGTTAAAGTGTTTTTCTCGTTATTTTTCATTCGTTGAATTTTTATTGTTGATTGATAATTCCTGTGTTTTGCAGCGTCAAGTTGGGTGATTAAACGCGTGTGCCCAGATCTCGCAGGTCCGGGATTCTCACGGATTCGCCCGTGTTTGTTGTTTTCCTTCCCCTCTTACCTTCAACTCCCCTTGTTTGCCCCTTCTTGTGAGGTCGCTGGCCGGCTCACTGTACCGGCGCGAGGACCTTGCGACACTCGAGGCGCGTTGACTTGGACGATGCTCGTGTAAACTCAACTTGATCCATTGAACAAACCGTGCGACTCCTCTCAGTGGCAACTGTGGCCTCTTATCGAAGGGGACTCGGACGCCGGCTGAGGCACACCGCACCCTTGGAGAATGGCGGCATCCAACATCACGGACAACTCTCTCGCCGCAGTGATGGAGGATCCGTTTGTTTCCACTAATGGGCAGCCCCCCGCGCCCCGCGAATCTCATCGCTACTCGCCCTTCGATACACAACTTTTCAGTCTCAATGCTTCTTCGCCAGCACAGGCCAAGCGAGCCCTCGAAGCCCATCTCGCCGAGACCGAACGTCGTCTTGAGGAAGCGTCCAAGTTGGGAACTGCGCTTATCGACCAACAACGGCAACTCGAGGAGCAACTGAAGGAGGTTGAACAGCAGCAAGATGAAGGAGAAATAGGCCCGGAACTCCAACAGAAACTCGCCGATCTGGAACGTGAATATAGTGAAATTGGCCGAGAGACAGCTCGCGCATTTTTGGCTCCAAAGCGCCTGGCTGGAGGTGAAGATGCTCCGCCGGGTACTCCTGGATTCGATCAAAAGGTACTTGACCGCAACGCCCATATCCTTAAATGTTGCCCGATCTAACACGTAGAAAAGTCTCCTATTAGCCCCGCTCTTTTCGCCAGCCAGGCGACCAACTCTCCCAGCAAAGTCAGCGTTCCGTCCCGCAAGCAGCGCAATCAACCAGCCAGTCGTGTGCACGACATCGAATTTGCGACCGAAATTTCTACCTCTCTTCTAGCCCAAGTCCGTCAATTACAGGCGCTTCTCGCGGAACGCGAGGAATCCCTGAAAAATGTGAATTTGGAGAAATCACGATTGGAATTGGAGGCCGAGGCCTATTCACAACGCATTCGATCGCTCGACGACAGCGAACAGCGCTATAAGGACGAGAACTGGGCGTTAGAAACGCAGACCCATGAGCTAATGGCAACCATCAGAGACGCTATCGAACGTGAAAAGAAACTCAACAGCAGTCTTAGCGCATCCAACTCCGAAAAAAGCGCCATAGAGCGAGAACTCGAGGAGCTGAAGCAAGTCAACGCAAAGCTTTTGGAGGACCAGATGGAGGTACAAAAAGCCAACGATTCTGAACTGCACCTCTTGCGTCGGAATCTAAACGCTGGCGATTTGGAGAAATCTGCTCTGCAGAAGAAGCTGGAAGAGCTGACCTCTCAGAATCAAGAGCTGGCGAAGGGGTTGGCTATGCGCATCCGAAACTACGAGTCCCAAGGCTCTCGTGATATCACTGCCGACAACGAGGGTTCCGACCAAGAACATATCACGCCCGAAAGCTCTCCGCCCCAGTCCCCCAACAAATTCACCCTCGTCACGGTCATTTGGAATCGGAAACTCTGAAGAGTTCCCTTGGCCATGCCCATCGTATGATCCAGAACCTCAAGAGCACTATTCATCGGGAGAAGACGGAGAAAATGGAGCTCAAGCGCATGTTGCAAGAGACACGCGATGAGGTTGAGCAGAAACGCCGTGAGGCCGTTGCTCCAAGCTCGAGCAAGCGCCCGAAGACCAAGCAAGACTCCGTCCGCAAACCTCTTCGTCCAGATCTTCTGGGTGCTGGCCGCAAGGAGAAGGCCTTTGTTGAACTTCATGACACCGATTGGGAGGACAATGCTGGTCAGATGAGCCCCACTCGCCCGGTTGTGGCAGCTATGCCCACAGGCCGTGCTGGTGCTCGCTCTCCTGATGGACCTAGCGATGTCTACCAAACTGCCACCGAGGCTGAGGATGGATTTGAGACCGCCAATGAGCGCGCTACCGCTACTGAGAGCGAAGCGTTCCAGACCGGTATGGAAAGCATGGCGGGCGACAGCAGCGACGACTCTGCAGACCTCACTGAGACAGAGAACAACATTCAGAAAACACCACGCAGTCGAGTTACCTCATCTTTGGTCATGGCCAAAGCCCGTGACCGCACTTCGTGGCACAGTTCGGCTTCCACCTCGGACGATGACCAACCCGACGACGGAGGTGCTCCCTCGCCAAGCCAAACTCACATTTCTCGCCCTCGTGTTAGGAATAAGCGAAGTATTTTGAGACGTATTCGCCCCTCTGGGGAAGCCCCATTGGCCTCTATCAGCCGGCCGGGAAGTTCGCGCAACTCCCCTGCCCCAACCTCCGAGCAAGAGACAATAGCTCAGGAGGGTCAAAGCCTGTTCGCCGAGCTTGCAGAGCTGGAAGGTGGTGAAGAAGATGAGGATGAAGAATTCCCAGAGGCTTCTACTCCACGCATGGGATCTGTATCTGGGTCTCGCAGACCCTCTGAGGCAATACCTGATTCACCGCTTAGACCAACTACGGTCGATAGCGGTGTGATGACCGAACCTTGGGAGCCTACCATTCCTGTCGCCATTATTGGCGAAGCCGCTCTCCCAGAAGCCCCGAGTACTCCCCAAAGAGGCTTGACTGCGAATCGAGATATCGACGCTGAGGCTCAGGAAACACCCAAACTAGTTAGCTCCGGTACTCAATGGACACCTCTCAAGCCCTCGGCGATTGAGAATGACCACCTGACGAATGTTCCCACGCCACCGAAGATGGCCTGGGACCAGCGATCTGTTGGGAGTCAAGGAGTCGAGGCAGGCACTCAAGCCGAGCCGGCTGAGATGGGAATGGCCACCATCACCACCCAGGAGACTGTGCCCGAGGTACCCACATTCACAGAATTGGGCATTTCATACGTTTCTGGAGGCGTAGTTGAGCCTGTGAAGCATGAGATTCATCTGCCCGAGCCTGTGATTGTCGAGCGAGTTGTCGAGCGTGTGCGGGAATTGCCCCAACCAGCATTGTCATCTCTTCACACGCATCACTCGATTGAACCTGTCCTGGCAGTGATTCCTGATCCAGAGCCTGTCATTGTTGAGCGAATTGTCGAGCGTGAGCGAGAATTGCCCCAGCCAGCATTGTCATCTCTTCATACGCATCACTCAATCGAGCCTGTTCTGGCAGACATGTTTATTCCGGAGCCAGTGGTTGTCGAGCGCATTATCGAGCGTGAACGGGAATTGCCCCGGCCATCCTTGTCGTCTCACCACACGCATCATTCAATTGAGCCTGTTCTGGCAACCATCTCTGTGCCGGAGCCGGTGGTTGTTGAGCGCATTGTCGAGCGCATCGTCGAGCGTGAACGTGACTTGCCTCGGCCATCCTTGTCATCTCATTTCACTCATCACTCCACCGAGCCTATCCGGGCAACAATCCCACACCCTGCGCCTGTCATCCCGGTCGAGCCTATGCGGGAAATCCCTCAACTATCCTTGTCGTCTCTCTTTACTCATCATTCCACCGAGCCTGTTCACGCCCGACTCCCAGAACCTGAACCCTTGCCTGAACCTCCTGTTGTCGAAGCAGCTCCATTATCCTCGCTGGGAGTGTCGAGTATTGTCTCTGAACACACTGAGCCTGTTCAGCCTCAGCTTCCAGAACCCGTCCCGGTGCCGGAACCTGTCGTTGTCGAGCGTATCGTTGAGCGCATTGTCGAGCGTGAGCCAACGCTTCCTCAATTGTCTGTCTCTTGGCTGGACCCGACCTTTACGCACCCGGTTGCACCTAAAAAGATCGAGCTTCCTGCTCTGCCTAGCCCCACGATTGCTGCTTTAAGGTCGATCGAGACCCATCCCATCCAGTATGTCCCGCGCGTCGTTCCTCCGATGACCGACCTCGGCATTCAAACAGACCCAATGGAGGAGCCCACAGCTGCAGCAGTCCTCGTCCATGAAGATGAGACCAGTGACTCTATTCGCAGCAATGGGGATATCCCCAGCAGTGAACGGCGAACAAGCACTGGCTTGGCTCTGAGCGACATTTCTGGTCATGCTTTGCCTCATACTGGTAGACAGCCCTTCAGCTCTGTCAGCATGGATCAGGGCGCTCAAACCATTCTGTCCGCGAAGCAGATCGATCAGCTCCTCATGGAACGGATAGCTCAGCGTCCGCCTTCTAATGAAAGCAATCACACGAAAGACATGGCATTGGCTGCTGCTACTACCGCAACTGCAGCTGCCGCTGCAGCTGCCGCTGCCGCCGCGTCACCATATGCTACCCCCAAGCTAAGACCTCGCTCTCAACAGCAACTGTCCAGATCCGGGACTCCCAAAAGACCGGATACAGCGACCAGCCAGGCCTCTGGCGTGAGCTCTCACCCGCCTCTGCCTTCAGATCACCGCGAAGCTATCCTGGCGGCCGAGAAGAAGTCAATCGATGTGCCCCCGCCATCCCCCGGTACCATGGGTCCTCCCTTGGCCCCGGCCTCTGCCTATCGTATGAACGTGCAAGGCCCTCGAACGCCAAGCGAGAGTGCCAACCGCGCTGGATCCACCAAGACCGTATCTACTCAGGCTCACGTGAGAAGGGGAAGTCAAAGCCAGATGTCCAGGCGGTCATCTGTGTCCTCGTTTGCTTCCGAGCTCGAGGAGCGGTTCAACATGAACCCTCACGCTGGCCCCATGCCTCATGGCCATGGGCCTAATACTGATCCTCGCATGATCCAGGCGATCACACAGACAATGATCGGCGAGTTCCTGTGGAAATATACCCGAAAAACCGGTTCAGCGGACATGTCGTCCACTCGCCATCGGCGGTACTTCTGGGTTCACCCCTATACTCGTACCCTATACTGGAGTGAATCGGACCCGCAGACTGCCGGAAAGAGTGAGCTTCGGACCAAAAGTGTGCCAATCGAGGCTGTACGGGTGGTCGCAGACGACAATCCCTATCCCCGGGGCTTCATCAGCGAAGCTTGGAGGTTGTCAGTCCTGGCCGTCGCGTCCGCTTCACTGCCAGCACCAGTCAACGGCACGAGACGTGGTTCAATGCCTTGTCTTACCTCCTCTTGCGCGAGACCAATGACAACTGCGAGGACCACGACAATAATGTGACCTTGGATGATATTGATGAATTCAATCCTGGATTCCGCTCGGCTTCTCATCAGACAGCCCGAATGTCACTGTCTTCTCATAACAGTCACACCCTCCGCGGCAAGCCTAAGCAACAACGTGCAGCCTCTGCAATGTCCATGCGCTCAACTGGAACTCACGGCCGTGCGTCTCCCGCACTTAGCACTGGGGCGCCAAACTCCACGTTGCAAGTACCCGAGGAACCCCCGCAACGGTCTTCATCCCGCCTCAGTTCCATTCTGAACAGCTCGATCCGAGGATCAATTGCTAGTCTGAAGGGACGCCATGGTGCCCAGTCCCCCAGTCTCCACAACGAAAGCCTACGTGATCAGAACAGTATTGAGAATCTTGGACATACCCACGACCATGATGACGGAGACCGACTTGAGAACGTGCGTGCCTGCTGCGATGGCAAACACGACGTGGGCTCGCTGTCCCGTACCAGCCGGTACAGCCCGCGGGTCGACCGCATCCACTCGCATCACTAAAAGCATTGGCATTGAAATCGGGATGCTCGAGTTTGCGGGCAGGTCCTCAAACGAAGACGGCTTGCGTCCCTTCTATAATGGCTACGAGTCTCTTTTTCTCTTCTTGTCCGACCAACATCTCTTCACCACCGTGTCACCTACTTTAATAGAGGACTCAGTCAATTGGCTCCTTGGCACCTTTCTGGATTACTTGGAGTTTCTCCCACTAGGGTCACCACACCTCATACTTCACTCGCTTCCTCTTTCCTTTACTCATACAGACCTCTCCCGTCTTTGTCCTTCCTTTGTGTAACTTCCGTGTTCAAGTCACGGCCAAATCTGATCCGACATTCACCCTTCTCTACCCCTTTTTCGTTTTCTTCTGTTGATAATTCTGTCGAACCATTCAAGCATATGTGCGAGTACTTTGCTGCTCTTTCTGCGTGATCGTGCTCGGTTCCGTACTAAGCACCAGAACGTGAGCCGCCATACTAAATTTTAGTTTGCATTTGACAATCTATTCATGGGTTCCATGTCATTGAGGCATCTCCAGTAATTATATTCATGATAACAACGTGAAGTCGAGTTTTCCCGGTTTCCGGATGTCAAGAGAAGGCGTCCGATAAGGACCCCACCTGGTCACCTGACCCATCTCCGCTAAATACTCATTGGAAACGTTCCAACCCTTCCTTTTCTATTCTCTACTTCTTGTGACATCGATCTAGCATCATGTCTTCGGATGCTCCCCCGCCTCTCGGTGAGCGGCTACTCGGCCTAGCCGAGCCCGCAATGCTCATGGCCTGGGCTATGCGTCGTAAGTGCCTCTTCAATTACTTTTCAATGCCAAGCGGGAAGATTATATTCCTTATTTTGATTTTTGGAATTGCTTCATGTTCAATGTATCTCGGTGTTCTGTTGTCTTCTTCGTCTAATATGCGCCTATTCATATGTCATTTTAATATTTGATGTTTGGCTCGTCGGGTCTTCCATATGCAATACTCAGCCATGGTCCAAGATACCCGATGGCTAACTAGGAACAGATTACATCCGCGTGTGCGGCGAGGCTGTTTTTAAAAATGGCCAGGTCCTCGCACCTATCTCGCGGACCAAAGAGCTCCGCGACAAAGCCTTTGGTCAATTCTGGGTTGAATTTACCAGTGAGTATTCACCACTTGAGGCATGATGCATTTTGCATGATGCATTACGAATTTCCCACAACCCTTCCTCAAATCCAAGAAAGAAAAAGCAGTCCATGCATCACTTATCATCTCGGACTACACATCTCACATGTGCTACCAATTTTTGCAGCCCAACAAACTAACCCTCACCAGGCACGCCATCGCAGCCAACAACACCCCCAGTCGCCGACTCGGGAGAAGATGAATTCAACCCAACAAATAACAGGAATTCCTCAGCCCTAATCCCACCTCTCCTGAAAACCGCTTCTGGGATAGCCCTGAGCATTGGCCCAGGCACAGGAACCCAAATGCCCCTCCTCCGCTCCCCAGCCATAGAAAAGATCTACGGCTGCGAGCCCTGTCACGGTCTCCACGACCAACTCCGCGCCAAAGCCTCAGCCGAAGGTCTAGCATCCAAGTACCACATTCTCGGCTGTGGTGCCGCGGCATCAGAATTACTCCCTGCCTTGCGGGAGACGAAGACCAGAGTTACGGCTGCCTATGACGAAGATGCGAAAAATGGGATCTTCGATACAATTCTCTGCGTGCGTGTTCTCTGCTCTGTGCCGGAGATGGAGAAGACCGTTGGAGAATTGTATGGATTGTTGAAACCTGGTGGGAAGATGCTTGTTACGGAGCATGTTGTTAATCCGTGGAGGAGTGCCAAGGGTTCTTTGCTTGCTAGGGTGATGCAGGGAGTTTATATGCTTTTAGGATGGAGTTTCTTCGTTGGGGATTGTTGTTTGGACAGGGATACAGAGAGGGCGTTGAGGAGGGTGGCAGATCGTGATGGCGGATGGGAGAGTGTTGATATTCAGCAGGATTTTGCTTGGTCCGCTATGACCTATATTTCGGGGACTTTGGTGAAGAAGGCTTGAATTGGGAGGTAAATAAATGCATTGATTTTCTGCAAAGGGGTATCATAGTGGAAGGCATATAGACATGTACATGGGAGACTACTCCAGGTGTATAAAGATGAATGAGAATGGGGGGGTATCAGATAGGTTTTGGTCGTCCTGGGGGCCAGAAATCAAAAAGATCTAGGGCTTCAGATGTCCAGGGCCCCTCTTCGTTGACATCTGGTTGTTCAGAAAGCGCACTCATTGCGCTTCGCATGAGTGTGGGTCGGCTTTGGAGTGTTTGTCGGGCCGTCAAGGCAGTTGGAACGGATAGTGATTTCCTTAAAGGTGCATCGAGAGCTCTTCGTGCAGGTAAGTTGGGAGGTTGGGTCATCGTGGCCCCTAAATTTGAGCTGTCCGCCATTGCATCAAGAATGAATTGCGTCGAGTCCGAGGGCAGGAATTCGGCATTTGTGGAGTCAACCTGGTGGGCGGGTGTGGTCGCTGCTCTACAAAAATATTAGTGCTGGTCTCTACTATATGCCGGACACATACTGACTGCGAATCCAGGTTTCTTAGCGTCGCTCGACTCTTTATATTCGATGGCCTTGAAGACGATTTTTGTGATGGGTCGCTAGGTAACAACGCACTGTACATGAGCTTTTTGCGAGGTTTCTCTGTTGCCATGCGCAATGTCTTGATGGGTGCTTCGGAGGATGAGGTGTTTGAAGTTGTTCGTGGAGGCACTGGTAGGTTTTCATTTGGAATCTTTCGGGCACCAAGCGGCTCGGTTTGCATGTCCTTAGCTGCTGTACGTTCTGGTTTTTGTGAACGGCTCGATAATGCTGAGCAAGCAGGTAGAGGCGGTTTCACAAATTTCGGAGGTTCGGGCCTTTGCAAATCTGTTGCTATTCTTGCGTCTCGTGGGGGTTCAGGCGGCACTGGAGGGTTCGCGAACCTTGGGGGCTCTTTTACTTGAGGTTTCAATGTCTTGGATATATCTTGTGGTATTCCCGGTGGCATTGAAGTGTCCGGGAATTGCGGGAGTTCAGGTCTTCGTGAGTTCATTGCCCTCGGCGCACTTCGTGCTTTCTCCGAAGGCGCAGGGGGTTTCGTAACTAGCGCCGGATCAGACCTCTGCGGTAAAGGTGTCGATGTTGTTGTTGTGGTTGTTGTTGATGATAGATTATGTGCCTTCTCGGGCGGAGTTGAAGACCTGATAGTTGTCAAAGGAGCAGGCCTTTGTGGCCCTGTTACTATGGGATTTTCTCGCCGTGTCTCTGGCGGAGGCTGCGGGACGAGCGCTGGATTCCGAGGCCTTTGGGCTGTTCGAGGCATCTCATGTGCCGTCGCAAGCTTCCGTGATTTCGCAGCTGGGGGTCCTTCCTCGGGTTCGGTCAAATCCACCACTTCAGCTGGGGCACTTCTATTGACGAGTGGTTTCGGCGGGGCCACCTTGGGTCGTTTTGGTGCGCGCTGTGACGGCAAAGAGTTCTCTGATGAGGGAGGAGGTGGGTGTCTTTCTTCGTAAGGCAATACTAGGTGTCCAATTGGAGTCTTTTTAATGCCGAGAAGATCATTCAATGAGCGAAATGGCTGTGACGAGCTTGATGATCGAGGCATCGAGGCATGCGGTGCATGTGAAGCGGAAACATTGGCCTGCGGGGAGTCTTGACTGGATTTCCTCTTCTCCAATAGACCGGAGAGATCAGTCTGAGTGGTGCTCATCCTCTCTCCAACTTGGATCAGGGCGCCTTTGTCCAGCTCGAGCTCGTCACCGTCCTGCACTTCCTCGACCGACCGCCAGTGGTGGTCCCCGATGTAGTTTCCCTGTTCGTCGTAGACCATGATGCGCTTGTTGAATGTGTGGTACTTAAGATAGCCATCCTGCCACCGTTTGGACTTGCGGCGCAAATCATGTGTGTATAGGCAACGGAACTTGATGACTGACGCGGTGACTTGGGACTGGGACTGCGACTGCGAGCCCGGGCCCGGACCGGGGCCTGGGCGAGCGGACGACATTGGGGTGAACATGGTGAAAGGAATTCATGGATTCGTGCATGCCGATATTCAGTGAGACATGATGGTTGAGAATATTGGAGATGATGAAGGTGGAGGTGGATAAGACGTGATAAGAGAAACGCGGGTCGCGTTGGATTCAGGCACGTTCAGGTGTTCACTTTGGACCTGGTCTGTATTTGCTCTCTTGTTCTGGATAGACCCCATTTTCGATTAGTTTGCCAGTCTAAAACAAGAAGATGTATTTGGCGACTGATACGTTTGTTGTCCAGGTGATATCATGTACCTAGTACCCAATATCTAGTCTTCGAAGGTACCTGTACCTGATCAACCAGTGATTGCGTGTCGCCTCAGGCATTCATTGATCCATGGTTGACCTCATTGTCATCATCTCGTCCTAGAAATCTCTTCAAACATGTACGTAATATCAAAATATTGTGACACGTTTTCCATATTGATCTCCTTTAGCCTTTCTCTTTTTCGCTGCTTCACCATGTCATTGCTGCTTCACTATGTTATGGGAATCATTCTAAGGAGTTTGGAAGCTATGTGATTGCACTGCCTACAAAAGCGCATATCGCCCACGGACTCCCCACAGTCCGTGGTCATTGAATAAATAGTATGATTTGCTTTCGGTCACAAATATAGTGGAGAACGGCTCAACAATGATGGAGTGGATCGACACGTTGCTTTTCCTCCCAACCAAAAGCCGAGAATAGAATGAGGGGGAGGGGCGCGAGAGCCGCAGCGAGGCTGAAACATCCTTGGGGGCCGTGACACATCCTGTTTCTCCTTCCTCTCCTCTCTTCTTATCAAAGTGCTGACAAGAAGTGTGCCTCAACAATCACGCCCAGAGAAGCTTGTTTCACGCTTTGGACTTCTTTGCTGTGCTGCTTAGAGCTGAGCTCCCCCAAAAGGCTCATAGCTCTTCCCATCCACCAAGATGCAGAGCATGCAGCGAAAGTTCGGACGCATGACCACCAAACGGTCTGCCGATGACAGCCAGGTCGCCGTCCTTTTGAAAGACTTCGAGGATGCTGATAATCTATTGACCAAGGTACGTACGCAGTTGTGGTATCCAGGCAGCACCATTCTAGGGACACGTCGCTAATTCATTTCCAGATTGTTGATTCCACCAAGGCCTGGCGCGATGCCTGGGTATCAATTGCGACCTTCCAGAGCCGCATGCTCGATGAGTTCGACGGTCTCTATGCCCCCATTGTCGGCTCCAGCGAAACCGAGACCTCATATCGCCCGGTAGATACCAGCCCCGCGATTCTAGCCCGGACCAACAGACTACGAAGAGAATACGATGAACTGCGCGGGGACTTACAACAGGAGCTTGAAGCCGTCGAGGTGCGCATGACACAACCCGCCGAAGACGCGAAGACCTACATTCTCCCAATGAAGAAGACAATCAAGAAGCGCAATGACAAAAAGGTGATTGGCGGGCCCCGCTTTCGGAATTGAGTCCATGTCTAATATCCCTATAGTCCGATTTCGAGCGCTACCAAGGCAAAGTTGATGGCCTCATGGCAAAGGGAAAGCGAAGCGAACGTGATAATGCGAACCTGGCTAAGGCGAATTCTGATTACGCCATCGCTAAAGAGGTACGGACCTATCAATGTCTACACATGAACATATATTGATCATCGCATAGGCATATGTTGCTGCGGACGATGACTTGCGCCAACGTCTTCCAACGCTCATTTCCCTCCTCTTCTCCCTGGCCCCTTACATCCTGAGAGCACAGGTCGAGATTCAAAACCGCATGCTTGCGCACTACTACACTGTGCTGCACACCTTCTGCGAAGAAGAAGGACTGCCATCCCCACCACCACCAATGGAACAAGTCATTCAAGAATACGAACTCGCCAACAACCCAGCAAAGGCTCAGATCGAGAGCCTAGCTTGCCTCGCCCAGGGCAAAGCAATCCGACAATCGGATCCCAACAATCCCGAGAACAAACGGCCCTCGATCGGCAACTCGCGGCCTTCACTGAATTCTCGACCCTCACTGGCATCTATCAAAAGCCACGCAAGTAGCACTTCGGGATTCTCCATATCCGCAGCTCGCAAGCCCTCTGTCGCGCCCCCCATGCCAGGGAACAAGCCCTGCGGTACGGAGTATCGCTCTGTATCTCCATCATCATCCTATATGACAGCACGTGGCTCCGTCTCCCTCGCCAGCTCCTCGGGCACATCCCCTCTTCCCAGCGGGGGTGACTACTTCGAGCCCCCAATGCCAGCACCATCCCCCATGCTCAGTCCATATCATCAACCAGTCTCCCAAGTTCCAGTCTCCATGTCCCCGCCGGTCCCAAGATCGACCACGTGCAGTACACAGCCAACTCGCGCAACCCAAGCGCTCAGGATATGACCGCCGCAATCGCAGCAAAGAAGAAGCGTCCACCGCCCCGCCCCGCGGGGCCTCTTTTCGTCACTGCTCTGTACGACTTTAATGGACATCAGAATGGAGATCTAGTTTTCCGCGAAGGAGACCGGATCAAGATTGTGACAAAGACGCAGAGCACGGATGATTGGTGGGAGGGTGAGTTGCGTGGTGTGAAGGGACAGTTCCCTGCGAACTATGTAGAGTAATTTGGTAGATTGGACCTGGCTAAAAACTTGGAGGGGGTGGAGGATATATACCCAGGTGGATTGAATAGCTTGTTTTCTAAACTAATTGAGATTTCATGGTCTTCTGCCGATGTTTAACAACACAATACTTGATACAACAACTTAGATTCAACATATGGGTAAAACCTTATACGAATTGCATACAATCAGTGAACGTGTTGTATCGTGTCTTCAATTTTACAACGATGGGTATGATAAAGGCTTTTCAGAAGCCTCGAAGATGAGCCATTTTTGTAATATTTTTTGTATCGATTGAATTCAATGGTTTATATTTTAAAACTTGAACGTGCCTTCCATCAACCACCCAAGTGGTCGAGCAGTAACTCGACTATCTCATCTTCCTTGGTCTAGTGGTCATGATTTCCGCTTGTCATTAACACCGATAAGCGCGGGAGACCGGGGTTCGATTCCCGAGGGAGAGTTCTTTTTTTGCACCTTTTTATTCTTTCCGATCTCTTTCTGCTCGTGGCCTCACACTCTTTTACTCAGAGTGTTCTTTTTTGTGTATTAATGATATGTCAATTCAATCTGTAACGGCACTATCACTGAAGCCTTCAACCCTGGGTGGTATACATATGTGTGTGCGGACATGATCGAAATGAGAGCCTGGGGTAGAATAAATGCACAGGTCCATCGATCCATCACACCATTCAAATACACATTCCAATAATAAAACGCGTTATAGAAATACATTGGCTGTTTGGTTTGGTACCGCTGTATCCATTGGACGACGTCGACTGTCCAAAAAGATGTCAACCATGTGCTTGCTGGAAACAGTCGAGTGATTGCCCTGGAGCTTGTGGTACTGGCCCATCATCTCGTCATGTTCCTTCTGCTGACGTGTGTTTTCGTTGTTCAGACCGCGGAAATCTCGATACGTCCGCATGGACCGGAAGGAATTGGGCCTCCCGTTTGTGACTGGGTGCCGTGCAGAATATCGCGGGTACTGCTCCAGTGTCCAGGTTCGCTTCTGGAACCCTGCAGCATCGCGCCGAGGAGTAGGAGAGTCGGGCGCTTCACGAAGGTTGGCCGCTCGTACGCACATTGGCGAAAGGGAGCTTTCCCTGGAATTTTGAAGTCTGGGCACGGTATCTTCAGCCTGATTGGCGTTGATATAAGCGTCAGAGGGGTTGTTGTACTCTATCTCTGCGAAGCTGGGCTCAATCTTTTGCGAACTGACAATGGTTCGAACACTCGTTGAGCGACTGAAAGGACGAGAAAAGTTGTTTTGAGCCAGAACTTTAAGATCTATCGGTACCTGGGCTTCAATACGCGCTGGCTCATTTGGCCCTTCAACATATGGAGTAACGGTCGAATCTGGACTTGGCCCCTGGGCTCGCCGTATCATGCCCATGAAGAGTTCATCGTCATCTTCCTGGTACTGTGCGTCCTCCCGGAAGTGTTCCCTCGTGGGAGTCGTGGTCTCAATTCTGCCGATCTGCGAATTCATCCACTGCTGCCAATCGGCGCTTGCCTGCACCTGAGACCCTGGGGGGTTTGATCTAGGCTTCCGGGTTGGAGAAATGTGGCGCTGAGAAGGAAATATAGTCACTGTACCTGGTTCTTCGAATGTGCCCAGAGACTGGTCATCATCAGTCATGATGTCTTCAGTAAGAGTCCTACCCCTGCTGCTGCGAGAGTAGACACTCGAGGATCTTGACACATTCTGCATGTCTTCACTATTGGTAATGACAATGCTCCCGGTTGATTCATCGGAATGTTCATCGATGATGAATGCCGATTGGGGAGTTTTATCCACAGCGTGGGGACTCAAAGGTCGACGGTTCTCTTCGCCAGGCAAGTACCGAGAAACATGGGATGGTCGAACGTTTCTTTTTGACTGAGGCTGTCTCCAGGGAGACTGGGAATCACCGCGGTGTGCAGTTGCAAATGACACAGGTGAAGAATCTCCACTTGCAACATGGCGGACGGATTGTCTGCTACGGTGAGAATAAATAGAGGTGGTGCGTTCTGGAATCACACTGTGTCCGGGCACAGTGCCGAAAGTTATCTCCTCTTCTGGGCTAGACACTAGTTTTTGTCCAATCTGCTTGATCAATGCAGCGTATAAATCGTGGCTGTTGACCCAGGGATCCAAATTGTGAGCGCTCGATCTCTTGCTAGGCGAATTGTAGCCCGAGCCGACCTGATCTGACATTCGAGGAAGTGGTTGGTCCAAGTCTCCATGCTCTTCAATCGAGGAAAGTGACTGGCGATGACCAGTCTTTCGAGTAGCGACGGTGTTGGCGGCGGTCGTATCGGCCCAGCTGGTGACGCGCGAGGCGGATGAACAGATGCTGTCACGACCAGAAGACACCTGAGTTGGCTTCAATTGGTCCGTCTCATTTGTAGGCTTCAGACTGACGCCCTGGTCGGCTGTAATACTGACAGGCAGAGCCTTCACAGCTAGCTTCTCAACTGGAATGGAAATATTTTGATCGTGAAGATGGAGCTTCTGCTCGACAGGCTTTGAGAGCCCAAACACGCGTTTCAATCCTTTCTTGAATGATGCAGAGAAGATTCTCGATTTATTGCGAGAGCGCTCGAAGTTGGCCTGCTCGGGAGAAAATGCACCGATACCAGCATCGCTTGTGACGCGGAATGTTTTGCGGAACGGCTTGGGCTCCCTCTTGTTCCTGGACAAGAAGGATGGGTGTCTGACGGGACCTGATCCCCCCGAATCCTCAAGAAACTGGCTGCGTGCAAGCTGGGTGGCGACATCGTGGCTTTTGGCATGAGGAACGCCTCGAGATCCTGGAAGTTTCCCTCCGTGGATGAAAGAGATGGAAGGTCTCAATGTGCGTGGCAGCTCGAATCCTGGGCTTCTTTCAAGGTCAATACCATGCCGAGGAGACTTTGGAGACTTCGGAGACGCTTTGTAGGTGATATTTGAAAAGCGCTGTCTGGTGGAGAACATGGACTTGGCTTTGCGGAGTCGGCGAAACGAAGAAGGAACAGAGCTATCACGTCCGTCAAGGCCTCTAAAATCCGTATGCGGTGGAGGAAGAGTTGACTCTGCGATACAAGGTCGAGAGCCCGACTCCATCGACTGGCGTGGTGTCACTGGGGGGTACTGGAGGTACAGCAGGTGCTGAGGAGACCGAGAAACCATCATCTATTCCCTGCAGACTGCAGTTCGGTCGGCGTCTAGGTACAGCCATTTGTGTTGGCCCACCCAGTCGATCGTACGAATTTCCGGACACTGGATATGATCCTTCGCCTGAGCGCATGGCTTTTGATGCTGCGGCTGCCGCGTGGGCCTTGGCGACATTGGGATCGACGATGCCTACTACAGGACGGGGAGTCTTGCGGATAGAACGAGAGGACATGGACCGACGGAGACGATCTCTTGTAGTGAATGAGGAAAACATGCTGCGAATATATGCAGTGTATAGAGTATGTTAATGGAGATGTGATGAGACGAAGTGCTGGATGTATGTGCAGGGAGATCCCCAGAAACGGTGCCTGCAGGGCAGGTGCGAGGTGCCCATGGTTGGCATAAGGGAGTTAGAAATTGGAAGGTGTGTATTTTATAGCCGCCACCAGATTTGGCGACTTGATCCTTGGGAACAGACAAGCGACCTTCGAAACCGAAACGAGAGTGGATCCGAAGAAGCTCGATATGTGATAAGCCCTAAGTGAGTGATGTGAGTCATGGAGATACGAGTAGCCTCGTCTGACTCAACTTGACGCATCATCAGAGAAGGGTCCGAGGAACTTCGAGCTGTTCAATCATTTATGAAGGAAGCAACCAGACCACCAGAGCAAAGTAAATCTCCGTACTCAATTTCATCCCGCTTGTCATGGCCCGCCCTCCGTCCAGTGGAGACTCTCCTCCAAGATTTCCTTACGATCATGTTCATCTTGACGGAAGAACACTAGAAGGCGGTGGCCAGCTTTTGCGAAATGCACTGGCTCTCTCAGCATTGACTGGTCGCGCCGTGACCGTCGCCCACGTTCGCGGAAACCGCAGGGGCAAAACTGGGTTGAGGCCATCCCACAGCGCCGCAGTCAAGCTCCTGGCAAAAATCAGTGGCAGCAAAGTTGACGGTGACCGAGTCACCTCGCAGTCGGTGACCATCTCCCCTTCAACTACGGAAGATACCTCCTGCCAGAATAGGAATAACGTTTTCATTCCGCTCCAAAACGTTGCAGTACAACCCGAATATAACATCAACTTGTCAAGTCCGGGTTCAATATTTCTCATTTTTCAGGCCTTGTACCCTTATCTGCTATACGTGGGATCTCGGGCAGGATCAAAAAGTATCGAATTGACTATGCAAGGCGGCACCAATGGTAGAGACTCACCTTCATATGACTATGCCACCCAAGTCATGGCGCCTAATTTTGCCAGATTGGGTCTTCCTCGTCTTTCCATCACCCTACACAAACGTGGATGGTCAATAGGAAGAATAGAACTAGGCTCAGTTACCTTCTCCATCCATCCTCTTGCGTTAGCAGGGCCTGAAGGGGATGTGGGATCTTCGGGGCTATCTGGGCGAAGTGCAACAGTAAAAGCCGAGCCTATGGCCGCGGGTGCTTATTCCCACATATCAACATCATGAATTACAAGCGTGGGAAATTAACTGGTATCGATGTGACTGTCCTCGCACCGGATGAGGGATTTGCACAGGAACAGACAGCCGGAGCAACGACGATACGCAGCTTCGTTGAACGACAGACTTTTCAAGCCTTGCGCGAGGCACTTCGAGCCTTGGATCCAAATATCTTTGAGACACCAGTCGACTCACTATCAGGCGACAGCCGCATACCGATTCACCTACATACATCCGAGCCGACATCCACCACCAGTCGCTTGTACATCCTCTTTGTGGCCCACACCTCTATCGGATTTAGGATTGGCCACGATATTACCCTCGGGAAAGAAATCTATCCCAAGAAAGCAAAGAAGGGTCAGAATTCGCGCGCCAAGGGTATTCAGGATAAGACTGATGTGGAAATCGTCGCTGGCCTGATCGATGAATGTGTCCGCGAATTTATTGGAGAACTCGTAGACAAGCCTGTACCGGGTAGCAACCCTCACCCCACCTCGGAGTCTAAGAAGAGATCATGTCTGGACCAGCATATGCGAGACCAAATCGTGGTGTTTGAAGCCCTTGGTAAGCTGCACCGGAACGAGACTGAGACAAGGTCTCAGGTCCAGGAGGATGAGCGATACTGGAGCCTACACACTCAGACTGCGAAATGGGTGTGTTCAAAAATGCTAGAGTGACCACATAGAGAAGCAAGGGTAAACACTGAGTCATGAAATGCAAAGCTCATGGCGCTGCTCCTTTACCCACATAAGTTGGCATCATTTTCACTTTTGCCAACTGCTACAAAGCAATTAGAGGCGACAAATATGACAGGATCGCTGCAAAGTATAATAGCTTCGATACTTGAATAGCAACGATAAGAGGCCTCTTATCTGAGGGCCACTTTGAACATTTATCGGACCTTTAGCTTACGCAAACATCGTCCAATAATCCAACCCGAGATTACAGGACTCAAAACCACGTAATCCGGGGTCCAGCCTGAGAACATTATCAACACGGCAACCGTGGCAGTCTCATTCCTACGCGACACCCACCAACGAGCTCAGATCCACCGCGCTCGAGCCCGCGCACCAAGCAAAGCGCAAAGCGCAAGACACGCACCGGCTATCGGCCACAACATAAGCCTGATAGGGAATCCAAACCCACATTTGCACGACAGACGTCAGCCTCGGAGGGTCCGAGTCAAATCAGCCTCGTGCAAAGCAAGACAAGGTGTCACTCCTTCAAGCGAAACTCAGTCAAAACCAGCCCCGAGACTTTGACATGGACACCAGATCAGCCCCGAGGGAACCGAAACGAGACCCCTGAAGAGCGATAGTGGAGCTCGGGATTCCCCACAGAATCAGCTTGAAACCACCATGATCTGTGGCTGAGGGCACAAAAAGGGGCTAAAACACATACAGCACGAGAACGAGAGAACACGTCTAGAAAGAAAAAAAAAAAGTAAAAAAGTTGGCCCCACGAGGATGGTTTGTTTGACTCGGTTCGAACCTGAACTCGAACTGGAACTGTGGGGGCAAAGTCAGGCAGCAAGCTTGATTCCTTGGCCCCCCCCCAACAGTGAATTCCTGCGAGTTATCCTTCCGAGGTAATTTAACACCGAGTAGCTTACCGGTATCAGGTATCCAATAGCCCTACGCCTAGATCGACTCGTAAAAGACGGTCTCGTATATAAACCCCGAAAACCACAATGGGTGATTCGTACTCGCATTTTGCACAGTCTCGTGATTGAACATCAAGTGGAGACGAGTATTCCTTGGGGTTGCCAACGCGTGGACCCATTCTCCTAAAGGGCAAACTAAAGAGATAGTCTCCCCCTAAGCCAGGGGGAAAATGTCAAAAGAATGAGACGAGTGGAGCACTGTAAAAAATACATGTTTTTTGAGCTATGGCGAATTTGAGTAGCGTGAAACAGATTTCTTGTCCATGAAGCCGGCTCTCATGTTTCCAGGTTTGGGGTCAGGAAGCTCAAACGGCTTCGAGGCTTCCTCCGAGCCGACGCCCGACTGGGAATAATTCTCCGCTTAACATTACTGGATTAGGAATCATCATTACGACCAAGAAGTAAACGAATCTGGATATCAGCTGTAGGACTCTCATCCCGAAGAATGCAGAACGTGCAGCCCTTTGAGCGTGATCATGACTGGCGATAGCTGAGTTCTACGTGGCTGAGAATCGGACCCGGGATCGAGGACTGGGGCTGTTAGTGACGCATCGAAGATGCTGGAAGGATGCAGCTCGCTCGAAACGGCAGACGGTAGGAGCGTGAGGTTTTAGGGAGCAGGATCTGAGCCTGGGACATGGATCTGAAGCGTCTCAGCATGGCGCATTGCGGCTGATAATATAGTTCCGATCCCGATCAACCGGTCCGGCCGAGAATTTGAAATGGGCGGTTCTAGATGCGAGTTCGAAACATGGTTGAAGAGGTGATGGGGCTGGGGCGAACTCAAAAACCTGGTTCTTGGCATGTCCAAATCTAGGTCTAGATTACGAGCTGGAGAAGATGAGGATGCAAAGTGAGGGCTGTGTTGGGCATAGGCATGGTATCTATGCGATGAGGTATCTGACTAAAAAAAAAAACTATGGGATAATGATCATATCGAGATTGAACGCATTAAAAACAGTAAGACGTAGGGGGGTATGGCATAGCGAACGCAAAAAAAAAAGAGAAGCACGATCCAGGGACATAGGTGAGACGTATGCGCAAGGAAAGAAGATCAAAACGAGAGGTCGATCACCGGTCGACCAATCAATGTCCCATCGACGCCACTGCCCACCAGTGGCAGATCCATGAGTGCCGGTAATCCATGCAATGATCTCTATTATCCATGTAGTAAAGATAAAAGGAAAGGGGAGCGAAAAAAGGCGCCCAGCGCGAGGCGCAGGCGCAAGTGCAAGAGAAAAAATTCCGTAACGAAAGAGCCGCCATTCTCGTGGTTTATCAAATCAAACTCCCGGCGATGCATATGATGGTAACGTGGGGAGGTCCGGCATCCAGAAAGTTCATACAGAACTCAGTGCCAGCCTGCTGGATGCTTTCCAGACATGCGCGCCTGGTGACGGACCATCCCGGAAATGATGCGCTTTACAGCTCGGGGCTTTCCTTTGAGAAGTCGGCGAGGAGCTGCGATGGGAGCTGGCGCTTGTAGTGGCGCGGTTGTGCAAAGGGCGACGCGGACGCTGGGCGACGGAGGTTCAAAGTCTGAGTTGATATGAGTATGCAGTTCTGACATGGAACCGGACTATAGAGTCTCAGGTGAAGATGTAGTACTTACGACGCAGTCGGAGCATTTTGCGCCCTGACGGTTGACGCGACCCCGGCAGCCACGGGGGTAGTTGGCGCAGGAGTACATGGCGATGAATTGTAGAGTACGCGGGGAAGTCGCGGGGAAAGCAGTCGTGGCACGACGAAGACAGAATCGAGGCGCTTCTGTAGAGATGGCAACAGTTGAAAGCGGATGACCGGGGTCGAAAGTTGGGAGTTGAAGAGTCAAGGATTGCAAGTTGGAAAGTCGAGCAGGTCGGGGGAATAGATCACTTGAAGAAACCAGGGGAAGAAACGTTGAACTTTATTGAGAGTCCTTTGCCAAAGTAAGAGGCTCACGGATGACGTCGGAGGCCGCGGGTGAATAGGTAAGGGTATTAGCGCTAGTCCAGGGCAGGGATCTTGAACGGTCAAGAATCCGAGAATTTGAGATTTGGAGATTTACAGAGAAGAGAGGGGTCTATGGGGTCTTATATTCAGAGAGGCTCAAAAGTATGAAACATCGAACATTTGGAGAAAAAAAAGAAAGTAAAAAAAAAAAAAAAGAACCGAAAAAAAGGAGGACTAGGCATTTTAGGGTTCCATTATTACGGGTAAGGGAACGGCGCCGTTTGTTGTAGACTGGGGTTGTTCGTTCCCAATGAAGTGGTCTTTTTCTCCGAAATGTCTCTTTCTTATTGATTCATTTATTTGGATTTTCTTCATTTCTCTGTTACTTGCCCCCCAGATAACATTGAATGAGAAGGTCATCTTGTCGTATAGTTTCGGACCCTGGCCGCTGCTTCTCCCTCTATCCTGTATTCAACATCCTATAACCTAGCTCCCGTATTGTATAACTTCTATCTTAGGCATCTGCATAATCGGGTGCTAGTGCTATCACTTTCACATACTGTCATGGCACCTCCGTCCGCAGGCAGATCGGTCGATCTCCTTCCCGGTAATGCGGGTTTCTGATCGGCTTAGATGCCTGCCTTCGATGCATGGGGATGAAGAGGCGGGCCAATGAGAACACAGACATAGAAAAGAAATGAATGTGTCTGCGGTCGGGTGCATGGCCCGGATCTCGCTGGAATGACTCGCAGTCTCACCCTATATTGCCAGGGTCAAGTGGAGCAGATGATGGAAGGAATCACATTGAGTGTTTTTCTTTACCAAAGGGCAACTGTGTGATGTGCCGACGTGGCACTGGACCCTTCTGAGCTCTGTTTCCAACCCCCGCCCCCTTTTTTCTTGCCCCTTTTCTGCATCCCGCCTACCATGCCTCTGTTTCGAATTAATGCCCGATACGATACTTCTGGGTCGTCAGGCGCTAGGCGCTAGGCGTTCGGTAGAAGGACGGAAGCTTGAGATCGGGATTCTAGAAGTCCAGACCGGACGTCCGAACGGGTGTTCTGGGAAATCCCCACCCGGGATTCCCTCGATTAGTCGGTTCGGGCCTGTGAAATTTCTTGGTATCAATGGTATTGATGGTTATCGTGGTTTTGGTATCGATATCGCATCAGCCCTGCCAGTGTCACATCCCTTTCCCCCCTTAGGCCCCCGAGGAGTCTGTGCCTGCATCTGCGCCTGCGTCTGAGCCGATGGACCATGATTCTCACTGTCACTTTCACATAGTTCAACGCGGCAACTTGCTCTTGTGGCAGCTTGGTGGAGGCGGTGGAGCCCGACCTTGAATATCCAGCGTTCCGTGTAGAACGTAAAAGTCCGACGAAACGTCGGCCTTGGCCGAGACGTCAACGTTAAAAATTCTCTCTACATGACAGACCGAAGCCAATCCGAACGATGGCTTTATTCCTTGTTTCTGGTCTCGTCAGGACAGCATATTGCTCTTGTCCTTTCTAGAACCCCCTCCCTGGCAGATTACGGCTCATTATGGTTTCGTTAGCCCACCGCGTGTCGCACAGGGGTGACAGTGGCAGGGACGGAAGAGTGTTCCATTTGTCGAGATGTATCTTCCGGGTCAGTTGCCAGGCTCACCGGCTCGATGGCTCTTCGCGCCGTTTGGATCTTGCGGATGCGACGGCACCTGTAGTTCTCCGACCTATCACGGATCCATCCTCTTCGGGAAGTAGATCGCCTTAGCCACAGCTAAAGCTATGGAACTCACCATGAGATCAACCAAGGGCACCCGCATGTCTGGTTCTAGATCCGGCTCGGATGTAGCGGACCACTCTCAAGAAACGTGTGGACCCAGAGACCGGATCAGGCACCAAAGAAACCCCATCGAAGCATAGAACGAGGCTGTGGAACACGAGCGTTGGCTATCCGGATCTGGACCATCACAGCCAAACTTCACGGAACGCGTATGACCGGAGCTGGATGGCAAACCTTACTACGACAACCAACGGTGTGCAGATGTCGCCCCAGTCATCATCGCTAGGCCAAAGGAATAGGAAAGCACTAGAAAGGGGTGTCGGGAACAGGGTTGAGGTCATTCGCTTGGACCCCGGTCAGACCCAGCCACGTCCTTCTTGTCTGCATGCTGCATCTAGACCGTTCCGACGCTCATGTGAGCCTATTGTTGTCGACCGTTGACAGAAGTGGCTTATTCCACCACCAAACCCTGTTTGCGAGCCGCGGCTTTGCCGATCTGGGAAAGTCGCAGGTTTATCTGATGGAGATAATGCCGTCACGGGGTCAAGCTTCAGAATCATGAGGCTGTCCATGTGACCCAAAAGAAAAAAAAACAGGGATGATTATTGCGTGATGAGTTTACTTAAGATGATACTCGATAATGCGATACACGATGACTGAACGGGGGCCCTTTGAGGTCTAGACTTCAACGTTGGACGTGGGTAAACTGAAATTTAGATTTCCCAAAGAGACCGAAGCACAATCCATGCGCCTAAAAGTCCCAGTGTCGATGCAAGGAGCAGCCCATTCCCTTCCCAGGTTAGCCCCAGATAGGCAAACATACCGACCACCAACTCCTTCCGCCGAGCAACATCCCGCCGACTCTTCCAGCTGGGGTCAATTGCAAATGGAGCCAACGCTTTGGATTGCATATCCATGTGACCTGTTGTGGGCTCAGCATGGCTGAGAGGGATCGTTGCAGCTAGCGCGACGGGGCGGTGGTCTGACTGCGGGAGTAGTGGCAGTGCATCGTATGCTTGGGGCCTGACATGTCCGCCTTCACCGGCCCAGAAGGGACTGTCAAGGAAGAGGATTCGATCACACCAGCTGGGCCAGCGGTGACTGGACCATTGCCATTCGGGGTCAGTGTCGATTCCCAATTTTGCTGCCTGGCGTGCCGCGTCGGAGTATTTGTACGTTGGTGGGAACTCAATCGGCGCTTCTGTTAAGCCGTGGAAGCTTCGACCGTCATGCATCTCGCGCATCAGTTGGTCGTTTTTCAAGAGGTGCGAATAGTGTGATGGGTCGTCGCGGTCGACGCAACGACGTGGGAAGCGGCCAAGGTCTGTCTTCAGTGGGCTGACATGGGAAGTGCGGTAATTCAGGTCTCCAGCGAGGAAGACGTAGGAGTTTGGTGCGAAAAGATCTCGGCGACTGTCTTCTGAGTGAGAAGATGACTGATGATGGTTCAAGAGAGCGGTATTCTCGTCTGTGCTTGAATTTCCTTGAATATCTTTCGGATGAGAAAACACTAGGCGCTCAACGATGCTTTTCCAGTCCAAATTTCTCTGCTCAAGACCATTCTCAAAGGGCGCCAGGTGCGCCGCAACAAAGGTCAAATCGACAGACTTATTAGAGTCTTCATCCACAATGTAGCCTAGACGAGCTCCTACGGCTCCCTTATTGCCCATTTCCTGGAAACCAAAGCCAACATGAGCCATGTCAACCCACGGGACTTTGTAGGAAATATCAGTGCGCGCAAAGACCATCAACCCTGTCATGCCTGTGTGGTCTTTGACCAGGTTCACGTAAGATTCGTTCCATTGCTCTGCAGTAGCTTTCTTGACCGCTTGGACGAATGCTTCAAAATATGGAGCGAGGTACGATCCACCCAAGAAAGAGTAGGCGATCGGAGCTATTTCTTGCAGGGAGAGCACGATGAGCTCGGGCGCAGGGAAGCTCTGAGCGCTCGAAGTGGAAAGGGGATCAAAAAAATGTTTAGCGAAAAGGTCGACATCGATAGGCTCACGAGCGCAATTAGCGGTCAATACATAGAGATTGAGGTCCATCTTGGCCAGCTCGAGCGTGTTGAAGAGGGATGAAGAGTAGCGGTGACGTCGTTCAGTGCGCGCCACGTGCCCACGCAGATCAACTCTATCTCAGTTTGTTCCTTGGCCACAACTTCGGGGAAACCGTTGCACTAAACACGGGCGTGTTTAATGGAGGCAAGAAAAAAAAACACATTGAGCCAAAAGAAATGCATCATCCGTGAATCGAACACGGGCCTCGTCGATGGCAACGACGAATTCTACCACTAGACCAATGATGCTAGTTGTTGTGGACTTAAAGAAACAAACAATTATCAGCAAATTACATTTTCATTCTCGTTCTGGCACTACGATCTATTGATTGTCACTTGTTTTTCACTTTACAACTTTCCTCGCACATGGCTTAGATCTTTGTTATCGTCGAGTTCTACAAGCAGCATGCCTTCGGCAACATCCTCTTCCTCGTCTTCCATCTCATGAACCCATTTCACCTTCCCAGCGTGTGGACTGCGTACCTCCAGCTCCATCTTCATCTGCTTGACAAAGGCCAATACCTGATTCTCGGCGACGGTGTCCCCTTCGGCAACCAATATCTCGATAAGTCGGCCGGAGAGTGGAAGAATCACATGTCGCGAATTGTTGGGATCTCCACGACGATGTGAGGATGAAACCAGAGCCGACGCCGCGGTGGTCGTTGTCTCCAGCAGCATGCGGTATGGAATGTCAGTCTGTGATGTGGGGGTGGTATACTCAATTTCTGCATCGAGAGCGGTCGGGAACTCATTGCGTAGGACTCGCGAGAGCTTCAGATGATGGGCAGCTCTTTCTGACGACTTGCCGAGTGTTTCGAGCGTGATAGACCACGCGTCACCTTTGCGGAATAGTAAATTGGAAGGCAGCGCAGCCGGCGCTACCGATTGCGAAGACACAGCGGGCTTGTCGTTGCTTTGAGTTCTTTTCGATATCTGTTCTCCTAGCTCATGAGCTTCATCGAGCTTCTTTCTTAGCCATTGCGTATCAATGCTGCCCGCCAAAAAATCCGCATGTGCCACAATGCCCCTAAGGAGATTAATGTTTGTTTTGACACCATATATCTTGGAGTCGGACAACACCCGCTGGGCCTTCCTGACAGTGGCTTGCCATGTTGAACCAGTGACGATGATCTTAGCCAAAAGATTGTCAAAGTTCGATCCCACGATTAAAGCAGATCCACCAGAAGTGTTGACATTGCTATCAACTCGAATACCATGTCCACTGGGGACAAAAAAGTCCGTCACTTTGCCTATGCTGAGAGCAAAGTTATTACTTGGATCCTCTGCACAAAGACGAAGCTGAATTGAGAAAGAATTTGATGGCGGCGGCACATTTGCGTTGACAGCTGAGCCTAAGCCGAGATCACTGAAGGACTCGCCTTGGGCCAGCCTGAGCTGCGTCTGCACCAGATCAACACCGCTGATGGATTCGGTGATGGTATGCTCAACTTGCAGGCGCGGGTTGACCTCTAGAAAATAGAATTCACCCTTTTCTTCGCTAACCAAGAACTCAAAAGTGCCGAGCGATCGATATCGGATTGTGCTAGCCATTTTCAGTGCCGAGCTGATGACTCGAGCGACCAAAGCCCGGTCGCGCATTAAGGCTGGAGCAAACTCGATCACTTTCTGAAATCGTCGCTGTACACTACAGTCTCTCTCCCAAAGATGTCGCACTTGACCTGTGCCATCGCCAATGACTTGGATCTCGATATGGTGGAACCCATCAACAGCAGCCTTCTCCACAAAGACAGTCCGAGAAGGTGACTCGCCAATAGCACGCTGAATGTTATGATCCATCTCCGACTCCTCACGGATAAGGCGGATTCCTCGTCCACCTCCGCCATCCACTGCTTTAATCATGACCGGGTAACCGACCATTCTGGCAAAGGCGCGAGCTTCATCCACATTGGAGGTAGACCGGCTCATAGCCTCTAACACGGGAACACCACATTGTTGTGCAAGTACTTTTGCCTGAAGCTTATCGCTTGTGCGGGCAAGGTTCTCTGGCCCAGGCCCGATCACGATAGCGTTAGCATCGCTCCACATGCGCCGTGCGAACTCTGCGTCCTCGCTGAGGAATCCATAGCCCGGATGCACTGCGTCAATTGAGTGCCTGTAAACTAGATCGACGATAAACTGCGCGTCTTGATAGGACGATGATGAAGGAATCTGAATTGCTTGATCCGGACGTCCCAAATCAATATGCGAACTATCGTCTGAGGTATATAGTGCGACTGTTTCGACAGGAGTTGGTAGTTCCCTTGCTGCATGCAAGATGCGGACAGCGATTTCACCTCTAAAGACGGATGAACAGGTATGAAATGTTTGAGTCAGGTTTGATGGGCTTACCTATTAGCGACCAGCAGCCGCCGAATGGGCCGAGACTGCGGGGGGGTCCCGTAATGACATGGAGTGCGATTAGCAGGACCAGGGTAGAGGACTCGAGCGCTATTTTCACCAGCACTAAGCCTAGAATCAATCAACCCAGATTAAGCAAGAACAGAGATTCCTCAGTGGATAAGAAACAGAGGTTTTTGCCGACCTCGAAATATTTTTTCTTATAGCTCGCTACAATTGACTACGCCGAGGTCCTCGGGCTCAAGCTTCCCCTCAGCGGGACCGGTCAAAAAGGGATACAATCATGAGCGACCATCACATCCCCAGCCGTCAAAATCCACGTACCTTTCCACAAAGTCTTCACCATGAAAAAGGCTAGCACAGATAAGGATGGCAATGATAAAGCTGCCGAGCGCCTGAACCAGGTATCTTCGCATATCTCCCCCGATAAACCGAAAACCAGTCCCACTCGACTACCAGCGGACTACTCCGACGTGCTCGGACAAATTGCTACACTCCGTCAAATAGCCGCCACACCAGATCCAAACCACCGTGGCTATGTGCGCCAGAAACAAGCTGGAAAATTATGGGTTCGTGAGCGCATTGAGCAAGTTCTCGATGAGGGCAGTTTCCAAGAGATCGGATCTGTCTCTGGCACGGTGACGTGGAAGAAGACTGCGCCTATGCGTGAGAAACCCGTTGCCTTTGTGCCTAGTAATAATGTACAAGGTGCGGGGACTTTGCGAGGTAGGAAGGTGTTGCTCACTGCGGATGATTTCAGTATCCGATCTGGTCATGCAGACGGTTCTAGTCAAGGAAAGACGGTGTATGTGGAGAAATTAGCCATTGCACTGCGATTGCCGGTTGTGAAGCTTGTTGACGGGAGCTCGGGGGGTGGGAGTGTGACTACTATACGGAAAGAAGGTTGGAGCTATCTTCCCCATGTTGCGTCGTTTGCACCTGTGATTCAGCAGTTGAATATGGGAATCCCTAATCTGGGAGCGGTTGTAGGCCCGGCTGTAGGTTATGTTCCTGTCTTTCTTGGTTTTAATGCTAACATGCGCAGATTGGTCTCGGTGCTGCGCGAGTCGTGTCATGCCACTTCTCTGTGATGGCAGCAGATATCGGATCGCTGTTCAACGCTGGCCCCAAGGTCGTGGAGGGTGCAACGTTCGAGGAAGGGTTGAACTTTCAGGACCTCGGAGGCCCAATGGTGCATTGCACGAATGGCACAATTGATAATCTTGCCGCCAACGAGGCTGAGTGCTTTGAGCAACTGCGGACTGTTCTTAGCTATCTGCCCAATTCAGGTAGTGAAGCTCCGCCAGTCATTCCCTGCAATGATCCAGAAGACCGCGAGGACCTATCGCTACGCAGTATCATTCCTCGCCGACAGGCCCGCATGTACAATCCTCGTACGATCATCACATCGGTCGTTGATGAAGGCTCTTGGTTTGAGATTGGTGCACTATGGGGCAGAACAGCCATTGGTGGTCTCGCACGTCTTGGTGGAAGACCTGCCGGAGTGATCTCGCTTAATTGCGAAGTGAATGGCGGTGCATTGGATGCTGCCGGTAGCCAGAAGCTCACTCGGTTGCTGAAGATGTGTGACGTAATGAACCTGCCCATTGTGCAGTTTCTTGATGTCCGTAAGTACAGCTTTGCTTCTAACTGAAGACAATGTGACATTACTGACACTACTATAGCCGGCTACGCTATCGGTACCGTTGCCGAACGCACTGCAACCATGCGCTGGGGCGTCGAGTTAGCCAAAACTTACTATACAACGACAATGCCAATCTTCAATGTGGTGACCCGAAGAGTCTTCGGTGTTGCTGGTGGCGTGATGATAGGTAGCCGAGATCCTGAAATGCAAGTCGCATGGCCATCCGGACAATGGGGTTCACTACCTCTGGACGGTGGGATTGAGGTGGGGCACCGACACGAGCTACGAGAGGCAGAGAAAGTGGGGAAGAAAGAAGAAAGGTACAAGGAGCTTGAAGAGGAGTATCTGCGTCTGATGAATCCTGTGCGCACGGCGAATGCGTTTGGTGTAGAGGAGATCATCGATCCGAAAGATACGAGGAGTGTTTGCTGTGCTTGGGCTTCACATGTTTACGACGTGCTTATGCGGGAGAGATTGGCTGATCGGGCTAATGGCAAGATTCACCCGTCTTTTGCTTAATTAAATGACAGCGCCTCATCTACACATGCCGATCTAGGCCGTGGGCCCGCTGTCGGGATTTGAGGAATATGCTCCAGATCTTGATGGCTTCCAAAGTAACACAACCACGCCTGTTCACATGCGAACCAGGACACTTAAAAACGGGATATCCAGTATCTCAGTCTCTGTAATCTTTTTTTGCTCCTCATTTTATGAACAAAACAAATTTACCCCACCTAATTCCCCCCAAGTATAACAGATTATGTAACCCCGATAAGCCTGTCGCGCACCATCAGATAAGTAAAGAAAATCGCACACCCCACCACACACGACACTTTCAAACACACCTACTACAGCCCATTATGGCCTCGATCCAGATACTGGACGGTGGTCTTGGAACCTCCCTCCAAGACCAATATGGCGTGAGCTTCGACAGCACCAACACGCCCCTCTGGTCCTCGCATATGCTAGTTTCCGACCCAACCACCCTCCAAGCTTGCCAAGCCGACTTCGGCGCCGCTGGCGTGGACGTCCTCCTCACAGCAACCTACCAAGTCTCTCCCGAAGGATTCGCACTTACTAAGACAGCCGAATACCCGAATGGTATTCCCGTGCAGGCTGTGGGCGGATACTTGCGTACAGCTGTGGAGGTTGCGGAACGCGCGAAGGGCCGCGACAGCGCCAAGATCGCGTTGAGTCTGGGTCCGTACGGGGCTTGTATGATTCCAGGACAGGAATACAGTGGTGCGTACGACGCGGCGCATGATAGCGAAGAGACGCTTTATCAATGGCATTTGGAGAGGCTGCGATTGTTTGTGGAGGTGGAAGGGGGGTTGGCAGGGCGGGTACAGTATGTTGCGTTTGAGACACTGCCGAGGCTTGATGAGGTGCGGGCTGTGCGAAGGGCTTATAAGGACTCTGGCATTGAGGCGCCGTTCTGGATTGCTTGTGTCTTTCCTAGGGGAGGACCAGGCGTTGCCTGATGGAAGTTCCATTGAGCAGGTTGTGGAGGCCGCCGTTGGACCTTTACATGGTGCGCCGGTGCCCTGGGGTATTGGTATGAACTGTACCAAAGTTCACAAGCTTGCTGGCTTGATTGATAAGTTTGGAGTGAGTGTTCAGGACGCTGTTGCCAAGGGCCAGCTTTCTGCTGCTCCTGCCATGGTTCTGTACCCTGATGGTACCAATGGGGAGGTTTACAACACTACGACGCAGGTTTGGGAAAAGCCTGATAGTCTGAAAGAGGGCCAGCGAGACTTGGTAAGAAGCTCCCCTTCTACTATGTGTGTGCAAAGCTGACCGGACTTTAGGGTCCCTGGGAGACCCAACTTGCGCAAGTTGTCAACGACGCCAAGGCAAAGGGCATCTTCAAGTCATTCCTCGTGGGCGGCTGCTGCAAAGCATCGCACCAGGACATTGCGAAGCTCCGAAAGGAGTTCGAAAAGTGATTGCGATCTGCAACATTGAATCGGCTACAGGACCGGTAGACAACGAATAACCTGACGTTGGAATATTTTGACGTTGAATCATGGCTTTTTCTGCCGTATGCTATGTTGAATGCTATGCAATTATGTAAAAATTAATAATGCGTCTCGAGCGCTATACGAGCCAGTCGATAAAGCGCCCCCACATGGTGTTGCGTGGGTTCTTGTGCGGCATGATTTCGCCATCCTGGAGACGGCCGGACCAGAGGTCGATGGTAGCGGCACGTTGGAACTGCAGAAAAATAAATCAGCGGATGCTCCTGAGAGACCCGGAGACGAGCCTCCGGTAAGCTTACCTTGGTTTTGTGCCAGAGCTTCCAAACCAAAATCGGAACAATGAAAATTGGAATGCCAATGTATGATGCGACAAAGTTCGATGTGTTCCAGTTGCCCTTGAGGAAGACAGGGAAACCGGCAACTAGAGTGATGATGGTAGATCCAATGAACCCGAACCAGGCGGCATAGGGCTGGAGTGGTGCCTTCCAAGGGAGAGTGTCTCGGGAAACACCCTGTGCCTTCATCGCAGCATGGAAACGGATATAGCATAAGCAAAGACAGGCCCATGCAATCAAGCCAGCAACGGTACTCAAATTGAGCAGCCACGTGAATGCCTGTGCGGCACCACCAGTTCCAAGACCTTTAAGTGCTGTTAGTGAACAATCTTCACCGAAAGAAACAAGCGACACTTACTCAGATAGGCCAGAGGTCCAAACAGCCAGGCGGTGATAACGGCAACATACGGAACACCTTTCTTGGTGCAGCGGCCGAAGAACTGAGGAAGCTGGTGGTCGGTTGTCATGGCAAGGATCATGCGCGATCCAACCCAGCAGTATGAGTTACCGGCAGACCAAGCGGCGATGAGAATACAGGCGTTCACAATGGACGGCAAGGCGCTGATGCCTGCTTCCTTGATGGCAATGACGAAAGGCGAGCTGTTGGCGTTATCAGAGCCAGAGGTGAGACCCGGGGCATTGGGGCTGACAATGATGCCGATGAGCAGAGCGCCGAGGACATAGAAGAAGGCAATGCGGTAGGTCACGCGACGGGCAGCCTTGGGAATGGCACGGTGAGGGTCGACAGATTCAGCAGCGGTGATGACGACGCACTCAACACCGATGAAGCTGAAAGAGGCATTGACGAAAGATGACAAAAATCCAAGGAAATGCCCAGCGGATCCGGTGATACCATTGTAGTCTGTCCACGGGCCGGGATTGTGCCAGAATCGGAAGCCAATAGTCTCGCCATTCGGACCACCGCCAGCTGTGATGACAATAGACACGATCACCAAGCCCAAGAAGCAAAGAACCTTGACGGCACCACCAATAACCTCGGTTTCACCATAGAAACGTACGCTCATGAGATTGATCGCTAAAATCAACACCAAACTGATGCTGATTATCATGGCTGGCGTTATGTCTGTCCAATATGAAACGATGACGGCGGCTGCAGATGTTTCCGAGGCGATTGCGATAGTATAACAGTATCCGTAGGAAATGGCGAGCGAGAAACCGACGGATGGATCGATGAAACGAGTCGCCCAGTGAGGGAAGGATCCGGCAGTAGGGAAGACAGTCGCCAGCTCGGCGATACTCTGCATGACAGCCCACAACACCATGCCGACGATGATATACGCGAGTAGCAACCCAGCTGGACCAGCTTTCGCGTAGGCAGAGCCAGTTCCGATAAACAGACCAGTTCCAATTCCACTGCAGAAACCGATCATGGTGACCTGGTAATTCCGCAGGCGACGCTGCGTAGCTCCACGACCACCAACATTCAGCTCCATCTCCCCTTTGAGGGGCGCTTCGTAGTCACCCAGGTTGGCATCCGACTGGATGTCACTGGCGAAGGTTGGCTTCTCCATAGTCGAGAATAAAGGTGAAGCTGCACCTAATCCACGAGATCTTCCAAAGTCGAAAAGAAAGATTCTAGAAAACCAAAAACCATGTGCGAGAGAACCTTCTTTTTTTTCTCCGAAACCCTACACGGGCCGATCACGACATTTGGTTCTCCGTTTCCGCACCATGGATAAACCCCACTATCATCAGCATCATTGGGTCAACCTCCTGGGGTCCCCACATCTCACAGAGGCAAATTTCTAATTTTTCTTTCCGACGTTGGCCACTTGGGGCGAGAGCGAAAGATTGTTCGATTCGATGCCATAGCACGTCTTGGCGTGCATTGGGGTAGAGAAGGTGTCTTAGCTGATCTCATTACTCCATGCAATGACGTGTAACGGGTGTTGTGTACAGTACGTGTGGGACTTGCCCGCTCTGCAACTTCAACTTAAGCTCATCCGATGGGAAATGGAGGCGCTCAGGCCTCGCTTGCCCTGGATAGGGCTAGTGATTTGTTCGCTCATCGGGCCGGTTGATCTGGCGGAACTGTCGGAATGTAATACACCGACCAAGATCATTTGGGGGTTCGGTGATCGGTGCCTGAGGCGTTAGGCTTCAAGATAGGCCTTCACGCTAGTCAATTGACTAGCAGCTCCGTGGCCCTTTTGTGGGGATATCCTGGTGGCTATCTATGTTTTGATAGGGTAATCTTAGGATAATTCTTGGGACAAACTATAATAACGAGGAAATCTGAGACAAAGAGAATGCAACTTCACAGCACTGAACCGGTCGTAAGATAATGAATGCATGGTTTATGTCGGAGTCCGAATGGCATGTTGTCGCTGCTTTAGTGTGTACCCAAAGCCGCCTCCATCTCCTATAGCATTCGAATCAGCCCAAGGAGCCCCCCTTTAGAATCCTTCTTCTATCAAATCGAGACGCTCGAAATCACGGGCCACGATGGAGACACCCGAAAGTCGGTCGTAGGATTTATGCACACAAATGAGACAATGCGGGTTGGCAACCAGACCTACAAGAGCAGGTCTCTCGTCGATCCTTGTCTGTCGTTGGATGGATGCGATTGACGTCCAGCCGAGGCCCGTCAAAGATGCAAATAATTACATCGATAGCGCCGATCCACGAGTAAATTGGAACATGGAAAGAAAGTTCTTACCTCAGCCCTTGTGCCCCCTCCTTTTCCCCAGGAATGTGTGGTTAGAGCCTGTCCCTTCCCCGGCTTCACATCTCATCCCTAGGGGATTTGTTCAGACCCTATTCAGCATCTTCGATCTCGATGAGATAGATCAATTAGGTTGATGGCTGATTCTATCCGACACGATGTCGGGCTCGAGGGGCCGTCGCCCGCGACCAGTGAGGAGGGCTCTCCAAAACCCTCGAATGAGGTTTCTATTTCTGAATCGCGCCGAAAGCTGCCTGAGTTTCTGGATCACTTTAATGCACGCGACCTGAAAGTGCTATTTCGCTGTTCTGTGGCGGCATGGGTCGCGTCGCTATTGATATTTATCAACCCATCTCTGCAGCAGATCGGGACCGCGACGTTCTTTGCAACGTGAGTTGAAATGTCGAATCCGTCATATCAATTTCATTGCTAATTTGGCCTCCAGATTGGTGCTTTTCATGGTCCCTCCCACAGGAATTGTCTTTATCTTTATTCTTGGGGCGTTCACCCTAATTTTTGGCATGGCCCTTGGCTGGGCTTGGGGTGTTATCGCTATGAAGGCTGCCATGGCGGCGCGACCGGCGGCCGAAACTCAGGCCAGGATTCAGGCGCTTGGTCAAACAGCCTATAGCCAGGCCAATTCAACGGGGAAGCCCTTAGTAACCGTCGAACAGGAGCTTGTCTACTCTGGCTTCATGCTGGATGCTCGTGTTTCTGCTGTCTACTTCTGTCTCATCTGTCTCATGGTCTACTTGTTGGTGAGTACATTCGATCTATGCAAAAGTGGAAAATAGACACTGACAGATAATGATAGGCTCGTTTGCGCGCGAAGAATCCCAAATTCGCGCTACTTCAGATCTTTGGCACGATCATTATGGACATATTCCTCACGGTCGGCCCGCTGCTGACCTCTTTCAACGGAACTATTGCCAAGATCTTGATTGAGCCTGCTGCCATTGGAATTGGACTGGGATTGGCTTCCTCGATTCTCTTGTTTCCCAAGTCGACTTCAGCCACCGTTCTCGATGGTGTCGAGGGTCTTTCGCGATTGCTGAGGGGTCCATTAGATGTGACTGTCGCCAGTCTTCTCAAGGACGAACATCTGGTGATGCAAGACCTTCAGAAGCTGAAGCAGAAAACCATCTCATGCTACAAGAAGATTGATCCCGCACTCGCCTTTTTGCCATTGGATTTCTCCGTTGGTCGATGGAGTGCAGATGATGTGAAGAGCTTAAAGCAGCCTATGCGTCAAGCCTGTGTAGCGAGTCTTTCTTTGCTGGAATTCCAAATTGCCCGCCTTGGAGGAGAGGCGAAATTAGAGAAACTTCGTGCACTCACTGCTGACTCTGCGCAACACTCTGAAGTCAGCCTCAACGAGAAGAAGAAACCACGCGAGGTGGGCATGCGCCAGCTAATGGATAGTGTCCACATGGTCCAGGCATTGCGAAGCCCCGAACACGAGGGCCTTCGATTGGATATGCTCGATGCGATTCGTCAGCCTTGTCAGACTATTTTGCCCGCCTGCCAGGAAGCGGGCGACGTTGTCGCTGAATGCATCAAGGCTGTTAATGCTGCCCGTTGGTTTCGTCGGCCGTCTAAGCAGCATTTAGATGAGCTTCAACAGCGCAGCTACTTGGCCTTCGAGACACTGAAGAGCTTACGGTCAAAATATGCCGAAGAAACGACGGAACGCTTGCTGCAGATCAATGCAGATATCTTCGATGAGAATGGCAAGGTCAAGGCTATCGACAGCTCTTCCATGCCCAAGCTCCGCGGTATCATGTTCGGCATGGTCTTTGAAGAACACGTTCTTGGTGTCGCTGATGGCTGGGAGCAAGTGCTGGGTCAAGTCGATACCCTCATGAGAGAGCGTCAGAAGTCCCGGCTGTGGCTGCCAAAGGGACTGCGCTATGCTTTCAACTGGATATTCCGAAGAAGTGCTGATGCACCCGTTCCAGCAGCACAGTCTCCTGCTGTGGATCCTGATCTTGTAGAGGCACAGTCAAAGGAGGCTCAACAGGCGCTCCGAATGAGTCGTGGTTACCGAGTAAACCAACGTAGCGGCCTTGGACGTGTCATACTTGGTACTTATCACTGGCTCATCAGCTACGAGGGTATGTATGCTTTGCGTATGGTCGTTGTGACTATTGCTCTGGCTATTCCGGCTGTGATTCCTTCCAGTGCCGGGTTCTACTATCGGGAGAAAGGATTGTGGGCTCTGATTATGGGACAGACTACAGTTGTGGTGTACATGTCGGACTTTGCCCTCTCTCTCATCTCCCGTTTCATTGGAACCATCCTTGGGGGCGTCGCTGGTCTGGTGGCATGGTATATTGGTTCGGGTAATGGATCTGGTAATCCATACGGCCTTGGTGCGGTAATGGCTGTTGTAATTGTCCTCTTGATGTGGGCTCGCATCTTTGCCCCTATAGCTTTGCTCCAGGGTGCGATGATGGGTGGTGCAACATGTATCCTTGTAATCGGCTACAGCTACGATGATACGTAAGTCCCATGCTGCCTTGTTTGCCTTCGTCGGGGGGGTTGAATGCTGACATCCGGGTTTCAGACACATCCCATCGTACGGAAACCCTGGTTGGGGATACAGTGTCTTCTGGCGACGACTCGTGCTAGTTCTTGTGGGATCCGCCGCGGCTATGATTGTACAAATCTTTCCTCGCCCACCTTCCGCGACCCGACACATCTGCAAATCTTTGTCCAACGCGCTACGTGGGCTCTCCGACCACTACGCTCTGCTCTTGTCATGCTGGGGCCAACCACATCGCAACGAGGGCATGGTGGCTGAACAACTCGCACTCGATGTTGCTCAGACCCTCAGCGCCCTCGATGGACCCGTGGCGCTACTCCGTCTCGAATTCTCAAGCTCGCCTTTTGACAGCGATCGCCTCGCCCAAGTGAAGTCTCTTTGCCAAGAACTCAACCAGCATCTTGGCCGTCTGCTCTACTTGTCGGCATCACTGCCTGAAGAACTTCAACATCGTCTCGCTCGCCAGGCTGGCCTTCTCGACCACCGTAATATAGGAGACGTCATGGCCGTTATGGGCGTCGTTGAGCAGGCCCTCAAAACAGGCGATCCCTTGCCTGAGGTGCTCCCGACGCCACTTCTGAAGCGGTGCTTCGAATACTGGCGTTCACACCAGATCGAAATCATGCTGAGCAAAGACCTGATTCGCGATGAGAGTTACCGCAAGTTCTGCGTCGCAGTCAGTTCCTATCTCAAGTTCCTGAGCGCAGTGGATGATCTAGTGCTAGTGATGAAGGGCACACTCGGAGAAGCCCACATCGTGAGCCGTGAGTTGATGCAGGATATGCTTGTTGATTTGCCCGTATAGCAGCACCCCATGTCCATAATTTAATACCTATAGAATGATAATTTGTTCCGACAATAACCAAGAGTAGCAAAGGCCGAAGTATGTCATTACTAATGGAAATTATGCAAACGCCCCACACCAAATGTCTTCTCCGCACGACCGTTCTTTCTCCTCATCAGGTTTTCTCCTCATCCCAAATGGCACTAGCGCAGGGACTTCCTTGAAAAATGATGTGCTAATGTTATTTATTCTTTCTTTTCTTGATGCCCGAGTGACTATATTCTAATATATACTGGCCTAATGGCAGCTTCGCGTCTTTCTCGTCTCCCGCGCTGGATTAGCCACTGGTTGGGCTACCGTCCCAGAACTCCCACACCATTACCGACATGGCAAATAGCCGCATGGTCCTTCATCGCGGCCTTTTGCGGTCTTTCAGTGCTGCAGGGCATCTTTAATTATTCCGACTACTTCAAAGAACGCAATGTACCCGGTATCATCGCATCATATGTAAGTTCTCAAAATCTAGCCAAATGTCGCCATCTCCAGAAACTTGATCTGATTCAAAACAGGGCGCGTCCGCAGTCCTCGTCTTCGGTGCAATTGAAAGCCCCCTTGCCCAACCACGGGCCCTGATTTTCGGCCACTTTTTCAGCGCTCTAACTGGTCTCTGCGTCACCAAATTATTCAGCCTCATGCCAAACCAAGCGCGTTTCGAGTCATTGCGCTGGCTCGCCGCCTCCTTGTCTACCGCTATTGCTATCGTGATTATGCAGCTCACTGGCACGACTCATCCTCCTGCTGGTGCTACTGCTCTTCTCCCGGCTACCGATGAGCAAATTTGGCAGCTTTCCTGGTATTATCTGCCTGTGGTGCTGCTGTCTTCTACGATGCTCATGTCTTGTGCCTTGTTGTTGAACAATCTGCATCGGCGGTATCCGGTTTTCTGGATTGCGCCGAGTCCGCCAAAACCTGCACCAGCACCGACGCCGGTGTCGGCGTCGGCTGATGGTAGTCAGGCTTCGTCGTCTCATGAGAAATTGCCCGAAACGCCGGTCTAATCGGGAAGATGCTCATCTCCATGGTACAGTGGGGGATAGAAACCGGTCAAGGGTCACCTTGTCGTATAAAGAACCACAGGCGACAGCGCGATGTCGGTATAAGTTTCTCAAGTGGATGCGTTCCGGCACAAGAGGCCTTTGTTTTATAATGCATAATCATCCAATGTAAATAGTGTCTAGACTCAGCGAGCTTTTGTGAGACCTCGAGATTTGTTTTAAATAATATGTAATACCTCTCAAACACACAGTATTTTCGCGCAGAATTACATTCCCCTTCGTTTTCCTTGCCCGCTTAGTCTTGGGCCTGGGCTACTATTAAGCGATCATTCTTGAAAGCTCGACCTTTTTGGACATTGATCGTGCAGAAAGGTATTTTGCGAGAGAAGCTTTTCAACCGAGCCTGAGTGGGCTTTGACACCCCTGTTTGATACTTCGGGGACAAGAACAAAGACCAAGTCGACGAGCTTGTAGGCAATTGACGCGTACTGAAATTCGGCCCGATCAAAGCATCATCCCTTGCTTGAGTCCGGTATGCCGAGACAAGCATTCCTTAATTCATTCCCCACCTTTCGGTACCAGGGGCGACTTGACTAGCCGATAGCTGTAGTTTCGGGGGGTTTTAAATGACGGAGGGCACAAGGCCAGACCGCGCCTTCGAAACTCGTGCTGGCTGCCCCCCCTCGCTCTGATCCAATGTATTCTATTTCACTAGTCTAGAGTCTAGAAATCTATCTGTTCACACCAATCGGGGCCTAATCTCGCATCGCTCCGAGTCAGATGCACGGATTTCGTTTTTCCGGTACGACGTAGATCAGGGAAGACGTGAGGTTCTTGTGGAAACCCGGCATTGTACGCGGTACAGATCATGCGCTCGGAACACAGAAGTCAGCTTCAAAGCGTCATAGAGGTCCGCCAACGCGAGCAGAACGATGCAAATGGCACAGGTATACAATTTATCCAAACCTGAATCCCGTCTGAAAGTGCCGAGCTCCATTGACATCATCCACTGAACAGCCCTAAAGCGGGCCCACCACTTGCCGTCACTCCCGATGGTCCAGTCAACTTGTGGCGATGGATTATCGGAGTTTACTTCAACGCCATCAAGATTTGATTGTGATGAAGGACCGTAGTCACAGCTGAAAGCTCTACAAGCTTCGTCGGCGCTATTTCGTCATCGAACAATAGACGTCTTCTGGGGTATAATAAGCTGGAATATCTGCTACGGATGTGTTCGCACGGCAACTTTCATTGCGTTCGATAAAAAAAAAACAACTATGGACACTTTTCAAGACGATTTCAACTGGTCTTTCAAGGCCAAAAAACCTTTCAAGGTGATAGTTGTTGGAGCTGGTGTCGCTGGACTAACCGTCGCCCTTGGGCTGAAGAAGGCTGGGCACGAAGTCTTGATCTTAGAACGAGTACATGAGATTGCTGAAGTCGGTGCTGGAATTCAAGTCGCCCCAAATGCCGCACAGATCCTAGGGCGCATTGGTCTCCTGAGCGATGTTATGGAGAAGGCGAATGTATTAGAGAGAAACTCCCTGCGCCGGTATGCCAACAACGCAGAACTAGGAACAGCCCCTTTAATGCCAGAGGTGAGCATGATCCTTCTTCGAGAATATCACATTGCCTGATGATTTAGTAGGTCGGTCAGAAATATCATGCTCCGTTGGCTGTCATCCACCGAGGAGACCTCCAGCGCATACTGTTAGATGGCGTCCGGGCCGCGGGCATCGAAGTGCGCACCAGCTCCCGGGTAGTCCGAGCGGTAGATGACTTCGAAGCCAAAGTCCAGCTCGAATCGGGAGAGTGGGTTTCAGGAGATGTGGTGATCGCCGCAGACGGAATCAAATCTGATTTGCGTCATCAGATCGCATCCCACCACGGCGTGAAAGATACTTGTCAGCCCACAGGCGATGCAGCCTACCGCATTCTGATCCCCAAAGAACAAATGAAAGGGGATCAACGCGCTCTGGATCTGCTCAATCATAATGTCGGTATGCGCTGGATGGGGCCTGGAGGGCACATCATGGGATACCCCATCAAGAACAACACCGTCTACAACATGGTATTGCTACACCCTCAGAAGCCAGGCGATTCGAATGAAGAAAGCTGGACCAGCAAAGGAGACAAAAAAGAGATGCTCTCCTTCTACCACGATTGGGATGACTTGGTGCGAAGCCTATTGAGTTATGTCCATGAAGATGAAGTCATGGAATGGACATTGAACTCCCATTTCCCTCTTCCCTCGTGGGTGGAAAACAAGTGCGTCTTGATGGGTGATGCTTGTCACCCAATGCTCCCATACGTGGCACAGGGAGCTGCGCAGGCCATTGAGGATGCCGGTGTACTTACTTGCGCGCTCTCTTTGACCGACTCAATTCCCACAGCATTGGCAGTCTACGAGTATGTGCGAAAGGAACGTGCGGAGCGGATCCAGAATAGTGCGGCGGTGACGAGAAAGGCGTTGCACTTACCCGATGGAGAGGAGCAGCGGAAACGAGATGAAGCCATCCGAGGATCGGGCAAGAACCCTGACTTGTGGGCTGATCCTAGCTGGCAAGAATTCATGTGGGGTACGTATCACTTCCTTGATCACTTTTGAGAATTCCTGAATACTGACAATTCTCAGGAACGGACGTTATGAAGAACACGGTCGACAAGTGGGATAACCTGGTTGCACAGAGCCATGGATACCATGTACATGCAGTGCAAGCAATTGCCTACTAAGAAAGTATGACCTGAAGCACAATCCAGTGTATTGTGATTGCACCGATCGCTAGTGGTATTTAGCATGCCGGAGGAGAGAGCCAGGCCAGCGAGGTGCATGTATCGAAGACAGTCACTGATACTTCTTGATTCATATTTATATAATCCAACTCTTATCTGTCTAACCTGACTTTCTCTTCGAAGAGACATCTCAGAATTATAAATTTGAGGTTATAATGTCTCTGGTTATAATGTCTCTCAATGTTTTGTCCTAGTGGCCATTATTGGCCAGTCATTTGGGATAAGACTGCGCCACACCTTCTACCGCGATCGGCAAATCGGTATATCTGACTATCGCGAGGGTTTTTATGGGCTTGACAAAATTTTGATCGTATTTTGTATAATCAGGCAGCAATGTGCATGGATTGTTGCATGTGCGAGCCTTTCTCTATAATCTCGTTGCCTGCATAGCCCGTGCAGGGAGAGTTCCTAGTTCTTATGTTGATGTCGACGGTGAAATGATGCTAAAAAGCAATCAGGCGTCCAGTCGGACGCTTTGTCGGATGCAAATTGTCCTGAGTTGGTATAGTTCCATGTATGGGCCGGTCTGTGCCCCTAGTCACTGATTACCAACCCCAAGAGGCGAAAAAGGGCCAACGCAGTAAGATTCGACTTTCCCATCATGAATTGTCTACATTATTCATCCGCTCAAGTCATGCTTCGTTATGTCGTTTCACTATGAGCAGCGAAAACTGGAGAATGAGCGCGTTGCTCTCGTTCCGTTCGATGTAAGTTTTCCTTGCGGGGAGAAAGTTCAAGAGTTCAAGATAGATCAATACTCATGTTAACAGCCCTCTATCCATTCGGCAAAGGTTGTGGAAGAGACAGTGCTACATCCCGAATTGCTAGACTATATTCTCTTTCCCGCCAGCAAATCAGTAGAAGAGTTTCTTGCATTTCACGCGAAAAACATAGAGGAAGCACCCGCCAATTGTCTGTACGCCATTATCGATAAATCGAATACCGGACTGAAAGATCTAAACACGACTTTTGCTGGCACAATCGCCCTCACATCAACCGGTCCAGAGAATGCGTGCACCGAATTGGGTATCATGATCTTTTCGGCATTCCAGCGCACGCACGTGACGTCGAACGCGATAGGGCTTGTGCTGCAGTATACACTCGATCCACCTTCTGCGGGCGGCTTAGGGCTGAGGCGAGTAGAGTGGAGATGCCATGCTGAGAACCAAGCATCTAGAAAAACTGCCCTGCGGATGGGGTTCGAGTTTGAAGGAATTTTGCGATGGGACAAAATTTTCCCTGGAGGGACGATCGGACTTTCCGTAGACGCCCTGGAGAAGAGAAATGGGTCATCGGGGGAAGCGATAGGAAGACATACTGCCGTGTTTTCCATTGTTTGGGATGAATGGGAAGAGAAGCGACCCAAAGTTGTCGAGCAGATGGAGCGAGGACATTAGTGGTGCAGATCGAGTCTCCCTGCCATTGTTCAAATGAATATGTTCCAGTATAAATATCACTTTGTGCAAAATACTATACATGACCCATCCCCAAGGGTGAAGGATCTGCATCTCATTGATGATGCAGAATTGTCCAAGTTCACGGTTCTCATCAGACAAGCCAGCCCATTGAGCAACACGATTCGAAACAATTCTCTCCTTCAACCAGGGAGAGCTAGTCCAACGTCGAAGTCGATTCGTCCACAGTCCCTGCAAGATTGTCCTCGGCGAAAGCCAGTTGATCATCGGGTTGACGGCCACATAAGCCGGCCCACTGTATCCGACTCGCACCAGAGGATTAACATAGACGCCGTGTTGAGCTGTCAACGGGTTATCCGCGTGAATCAGACAGCATTCGGAACCTTCGAGATGTGACGCCGCGAGAGAGTCTGGAATTCCTCGGAAGCGTAATGGGGTTTCGCTTATGAACGGAGCGGCTGGCATGGCGACCATTCCATTCCAACAGCTTTTTACTGGAACCGGAGACATGCTTTTCATAGCATGACGGGACACAGAGTCACGAAAGAAGGGCCATGTAGACATAACGGCCTCGTGCCCGCTGGCATCACGCAGAGCAAAGGTGTCGTAGTAGTGAGGTGGTTTGGAGAAGTCCATTGAGCAGGCTGCGGCGTAGTCGCCGTCGTTGGTATCTAATAATTCGAAGACATCATTTGGCTGTTCCTGTTAGCTTTTCGTTGGTAGAGAGGAAAGAGTAGGTTAAAAACTCACTGTGAACACCACATCATTGAGAAACAGAACCTTATCAAATGTGATTCCCTGCTTAGCCAGCTCATAGAGTGGTTCGAGACTCAGATTCCGTGCCCGTGCTAAATACGGGATTCGTCTCACTGCCTTCTTCCCTTGTGGCGTGACAATCCAGCCCTCACCACTCGGTGGTGCATTGATCTCATCCTCGTGAGTCACATACGATAGCGTGATAGTCCGAGGTACGCCGAGGCGCTCCAAGTCCGCATCGAGATCCATCAACACGCCCTTGGTATTATCATAGCTGCCGCTTTCATAGATGCTGATATATACGTTCTCCGGACCGAGTTTCCACGCCAGATCCCGCACGGCTTGACTCCAGTGGCTTCGGAGAATGATCTCATTATTCCAATTCACGCTGGCAATATAGATGCGTTCTTGTCTGCGGGGGCGTTCCCGATAAATAACGTCTATTTCGGAAATACGGCGTAGGATCAAAAGGAGCTCGATTAGGTTCCATGCGATAAAGGCGAGCAGTAAGTAGCGGAGAATTCGGTGGCGCACTAGCACCCGGCGAAAAGTGCGCGGGTACGCTGTTATCTTGGTCATAGGGAGCGGAGGCCGGGATTCGCGGCTGTGGATGGGAAAGATCAGATGAGGTCTACGGGAGGAATGTCCCGCATGTTAAAATCGGATGTGTTCGGATAGGGGAAATCGGTCCCTAGGAAGGTGAAAGAATAAGAAGAGAAAAATATTGCGAGGGTCAATCAAGGGTGACGTGTTGGCTGAAGCCCTTCATACTTCCGAAGCCAGAAAAGGGACGCGCTGATCCTTGGTTCGCTCGATCTACCACGAATGTCGATCTGTGATCTTTTATGTATGCCAATTCAGATAATCTTACAAGTATTGATAGACAGTATGATCAAAAATAACATGACAAGAAAAGGGTCAATCAGCGCCCCGACGCGTCACCAGTGGAGCAGCGTGCAAGTCCCGACAGCTACAAGAACAAGCATCTTCTGGAGACTCATCCTCGTACCTCGTGAGGTAGAGCTGCTGGATCCATCACTGCTGCTATTGCTGTCACCGCTAGTGCTGGCCCCACTGTCAACCCATGGCTGCCCGGGAAGCGTATCGGAGCTCTCGTCGATCGCAGACTCGCTCAAGAGCTTATTTTCCAACAGCGCGCAGCTCACTCGCTCTGAGCTCTTGGGAATGCTGTTAGTAACTGCTATGGGCAGGTCAAACACGGTATAGTAGTCGGTTCCATTCCAGCGGAAGGATTGATGCATGGAGATGTTGTAATCGCCTCGATCGGAACCGCTGGCGCCATTCCCGACAAGGCACTCAGGCCAAACCCAATTTACATGCTTCACCGTCGACGATGGCTCCAAGTCCAGAACAGGACCAACGTATGTGTTGTTAATCGATGGTAGCGTGCCGTTGGAGATGGTGAAGTTATGAGACTTGGCCTCGGACGTCAGAAACAGCGTGATGTTGTGGAAAAGCGTGGGCGAGTCTGCAGATTGTGTAGACGGGGGCCAAGGGAGCTTCCCATTCCCTGAGACATCGATGGCGACTTGCAGAGTTTCTACGTGCGGTTCGTTAGTTGGGAGTCTCGAGCATGTTGATGGGTAAAACCTGCCTCCACCGAGCGGTGTGTTCGGTTGTGGGGCGTCAACAATGGCCAACCCTGGCGTATACACCTGGCCATTGACTAAAGTGAAGTTGTCCATTTTGGTTCTTGTGAAGATGGTAGCGACAGATGAAAACTCTCGAAACCCTTAAATTGAGCCCATTTGGGCCTCTAGCTCATCCTTAAAAGGTCTCCCAGATGTTGGTGGCGCCAAGGGTCTCATTTCCGACGCCTCCGTGGTCTCCTTAGCGTTTCCGGGTTAATCTATCTTTCATCTCGCCTATTGCTAGCGTAGGGTCCCATACTGAATTTGAACATATGAAAGCCGAGTATATTAGGAAAGCACAATGAGTTAAGTTAATTTACATCATTCCCGAAATGGCAGTCGGAAGCCCCTTCATATTCTCCAAGAAAACATCAAACTCCTTCTTCACCTGATCCATGTTCTCATCAATATCATCAGTCCACCGGTGGATATAGATAGTCTTCATTCCAACACCCTGGGCTCCTCGCAGATCATATGCATGGGCTGCGACTAGCGCGACTTCCTCCGGTCGCAGCTTGACATATTGCAACGCTTTCTGGTACGCCGCGGGGTCAGGTTTGTAGACCCCTAACAACTGACTTGAAAATAGCATGTTGAAGCTCAGACCGGAAGAACGGGTAAGATCAAGCTGCAGACGAGTTGTACCATTTGCATGGACAAAAACCTCGAGACCCAGATCTTGCCGGATGCTGCGAATCGCCTCTTGGACTTCCGGCCAGGCAGACTGACGGTGCCAGGCTTCTATCATTTGTCGCTTGTCATCAGATTGGATGTGAGGCTTGAACTTTGGACATTGCTCGAGTACTCGATCAAGGACTCGGGAAAGGGTGACGTCGATATCTTCTGGCTCAAGGCCTTGGAGAAAGCGCTGGTTGTTCTCGAGAAAATACTGTCTCCGCCACTCAAGGGCTAGTTTGGATGCATCGTCACCGGAGATTGTGGATGGGAATAATGCACGAACGCTACTGTGCCAGTCGAGACAAGTGCCCATGAAGTCGAAGAACACGGCTTTGATAGGGATTTTGTCGGCAGGCATGATGAGAGATAGCAGCTGGGTAATTTTGTTGCAAGTAATTTAATATAATTCTGCCAGGAGGTTGAATACTCCATAGAAGATTCCAAGGCAGACAGACGGGTCATCTTGAGCTTGTTGCTGACGTCTAGGAATGATTATAAATCCGATGGGGGCCGGGAAAAAGAATTGCGCAACACTTGCATTCTGTCAGATTTTCTTATGGATCACCTTGTTAATTCAGTGAAGAATCTACAAATGGCATCAGCTGAATTCTATGCCAATTGGAAATGACGTGGACGAGAAAGGGAGAATGATGCCCCGTAGTGCACCGTTCAATCACACCCTCATCACACACCTCTACAACTTTGAGATCGAATAGTCCGACTGACACACAGCCTTTCAACGAACGAACGTTCCATTCATGTTCAAAATCACCTGAATCACGGATGCAGTGATACAATATTCAAGATAGTCGCTGACCCATGCTTCCTTCCCCGCACTACATCCCCGCTTCTCCACATCGGTACACCGACAAGTCCACCTCAACCGAAGCTGTCGATCATCGGCAATACAGACTGCAGAGATCCGGGCTCTTCTGACACGCCTCAGTAATTTTGAAATGGTATCTGACTGGTGCTGCTCGACATGCTTGTCAACCTTCAGTCGCCCAGAGCATTTAAAACGCCATGCTGCATCACGTATATCGCCACACCCCAGTGAAGATGAGTGTGGCTAACAAAGCCCGCAGATGATGGCAATCGACCACATATCTGCCAGCTCTGTGGAAGCTCCTTCAACAGAAAGTAAACATTTATAAAGATCTTTAAATGCTTACACCCTGTCTAATGTTCCATAACTAGGGATGTTCTTCGTCGACATGAACGTACTTGCAAAGCCCAGATTTTGCTGGCCAGAGAAGATCAATCCGAGACCTCTGGAACCCAAGAGTTACTAAATGCCCGTGAATCCAAACGGCGCTGCCCATCTGTGGATTTACACGAGGTCTCAGATTCATTGACTCAGCCTCTTCTAGACGCCTTCGACCCGGCCCTGATGAATTGTGAAGTTGAATCGCCACAGTCACCCTTTGCTAACAATGAATCATTTTCATTTGGAGACAGATGTGGACGTCAAGCGATTGAAATGCCATCCCCAGTGGACTTTTCAGCCCTTGACTGTCTCTTGTTTCCAGGACTTACCTCTGACATCCTGGCTGCAGAGAGGTTGGAGCATTTAGTCTATTTCACCAGCGCTAAGGGAATGGCAACATTCACTGAACAGCAAACCTTTCTACAAAGGCAGAAGATGGTAATTGAAGCTTACGAAGTGAAAACCCGTCTTGAGAAAAAGTGCAAGGCAGAGGTCGAGTCGGTCGATCCGTTGCAAGCCAAGTCGCGCGAAGTCGTTGCAAACATGCAAGCCGTCCTCAAGAAGGGAATGGATGGACCTGCTGTCACTAATCAATGGATAGAATCCACCCAAGCAATGTGTTGTGAATTTTTCTCTCCTTCCAACATCCGCCGCTTCCTCGAATACTTCTGGTCCCTTTGGTACCCCAATTGCCCGATTGTACATAGACCATTATTTGACACAAAGGAAGCCTCTCCAGCTTTGCTATGTGTAATGGTTTTGATTGGCGCCTGTCTATCTCCAAGCAGCGAGGAGCACGAAAGTGCACGGATTTTGCTTGACAGCTGCGAAGAGCTCGTCTTCACTCACAATTGCTTCCGGGATGACGGAGCTATCTCAAGAAATGATGAGAGAAAGGACATGGTACAGTGTATGCAGGCCTCATACCTGGTGTGTTCCCTTCAGAAGCGGGAAGGTAGTTTGGAAGCTCAGGCGCGGATTCGGCGGTATAGACATACTTCAATGGTTGCAGTAAGTTGAAGCCAATACAGAGGAAAGCTTCACCCATGTGCTTATTCATTCCAGCTAGCAAGAAGTATCGAGCCCAAAACAGCATCGCATCGGAATCTTCAGCTTGGAAGTGCATCGCTGTCTTGGTGGAAAGAATTTGCAGAGGAAGAGGAGCTTATTCGGTATGGACCGGGCATTCTATTGGTTTCGAAACGGATGCTCATATGGCTAGAACTATCATTTTCGCATTTTTGATTGACGCAGCATTGACTATTCTCCACAACTCTCCACCCCGGATAGTTGTGTCGGAGCTGAGGATGGACGTTGCCTGTCCCGAAGCATGCTTCCAAGCAGAAACCGCCGAGGAATGCCTGCAAATTCTTCGGGTGTGGTCGAGCACTCGCTTCTGGAAGAAGCGACCATCAGTCGTCTCCGTCGTTCGACGTATCTGCCAAGGCCCGATTGATGAAACTCTCGTGCAGGAATTCTCTATTTTAGGAACCCTCAATCTATTTACATTAGTACAAGGTATGTCTCATTCATATATATTGCACCCCAAGCACTAATCATCCATAGCAATCCACTCTCTCATGTTCCATCTCCACAACTCCCTCGTTTTCGAATCAACTCTAGCCCCTGTTCAAACTGGGCTTGAAAATTGGCGCCGCATCTGGAACGAAAGGATACCTGAAGATGTCGGCATCCCTGACACCCCCGACAACCTTTGGAAGCAAGTTGGATTTCTTCGGCAGGCGTCAGAGTTTTGGCATTTAGCACGTATCATAGCGAGCAAGATCATGCTAGCCAATCAGGATGAAAGTAGGGAGGCAGAAGAAGATAAAGAGCTGTCTAGATACGACCACACGGACATGGGGGATGTCAACGAACTCATCATGGAGTATCGAAGGTTGAACCTTGGTATGAATTGAGTGTTCCGACTCTCATGATTGTACAGATACTCTGAAGATAAATGCTAAATCTTACGCACATTCACTTCGAAGTTCGTCGGTTTCACGAACCAGTAGTTCTCCGTCATCCATGTCTTCCTCAAGGGAGTGAAGTCGTAAGCCTTCACCAGACGCGGGATCAACTTCGACATCTCAAGGATCGAAATGTGTTTTCCCAGACACGTTCTTGAACCAAGACCAAACTGTGGAAGATCTGTGATCAGTACGTGCATGAATGAAGCAATTATTGCAGAGAGTCCAGACAACATACCGGCATATACATCTGATTCATCACCTTTAATTGCTCAGGGCTAGTTTCCGTTTCCAGCCACCTCTCAGGACGGAAGACTTTTGCATCAGGGAATACTCGCTCATCGTAATGCGCAACCCAAGCATTGACGCCAACTTCGGTACCTTCAGGGAAAAACCGGCCATCGATCTCCGCACCACCAGCAGGGACCACTCTCCACATGGGTAAACCCGTAGCGCTATGCATACGGAGAGCCTCTTTCACGATAGCCTGAAAGTAAGGCATCTCTTGGCTTTCTTTGAAGGTAATCATGGCACTGCATTTGCCCTGCAGGGTGAATTTATCAATTTCTTCACGTAACTTGCGTAGGACCTCGGGATTGTGCATGATATACCACATGATACCAGATAGACTTATCGAGGTAGTATCAGACCCCGCAGCCACATTAGACTGACCCATAATGAAGAGATGGTAATCCGTGACTTTTTCTGGGTCTTTATTGCGGGCGGTGATCATTCTATCCACGAAGTCTTGAGCTTGAAGCGTTTCATCGACAGCTTCAGAATCTGTCTTTTTCAACTCATGAAGCCGGATCTTTTCTCGTACAAAATTGGCGATGTAGGCTCGTCCACCTGCGCCGGAACTTTTGAATCGACTTAATAGGCCGAAGAGTCGCGGATGCCACTCTGGATAGATACCGGCCAGAGTACTGTACATTATTACCTTGTTCAGGGCATCCATGGCACCGTCAATATCATGACCTCGGTCCAGAAATCCTAAGATGGTTAATACCTGAAGGTACAAGTCTGAGCCGGGTCTACCTTACCGAACCGCTCTCCGAAGGTTATGTTTCCAATAACATCGAATGCATAGCATTGAAGCCAATGACCAAGGTTCAAAGACTGCCCTTTGTCCGCATACTCGTCGAGTCGCTCCATAAAGATATCCGCACAATGGTCCACAAATCCCTCATAATGCACCAGCGAACTCATCGAGTACAGATTCGTGAAGCGTTTTCGATTATCGGCTGACACCTCGGTCAACGGGAGAACCAGCTAGATCCAAGTAGAGCCTGACTCACCATGTCTTTTGATATCACGATCTGCGAACACAGTCCACTGCGCCGGATGCTTCCAGGCATCATACCAAGCCGATTTGGCAAACCGCGACCCATTCCCATAGACCGTCTTGATAGCGGCTGCCTCGCTGATGCTGTACTGGTTTGGGGCAACGCGTACGACGGGACCGTATTTTTGATGAAGGGAAATATTGTCTTGCTCAAACCCACCTTTCTGCACGCGATTGAAGTACCATGATTTGGTGAAACGGGCCCAAAAAGGACCAGGAATATCTTTGAGTGGCGAGAAGAGGGCTCGACTGAGTCGATGAACGAGTACGAGAATAACAACGATGATCAGGAGTTGTAAGAAGATTTGACTATGCATGATGAACGTGACGTGAGTCCTATTTGACTCTTTGTAGAGATTCTAGGGGTTTCGGGGGATCTCTTATACTCCACGGGCGCAACGAGGAAGCGAAAGCTAGGGATCATCATGGTCCACCCCCCCCCCACCACCACTTAGATATCATGGGGTAAAGCCGCTTTTAGGCGTCCCGAATTCGTCACTCGGGTAATTCGGTAATTATGATCGACTCTTCACAGTCCGGAGCTAGTGGTAATAGATAGCTCAGGAAGACAACCCATATTTACGTGGCATTCGTTGCAATGTACATGAGCAAGCAAACTGGAGAACTGAACAGGCAGTCTTAACGACCGTGTGTACGATAGTAGTCAAAGAGATTAGGAGTGAAATTATACCTGTGTTTCACCTTAGCGCCCGAAAGAAAATGAAAATACCATGGAAACACACTGGTTTGCTCCGGTCAAGTCAAGTGCTCTTATTTCTTATCCCCCCCACAAGCCTACGATGCCCATAGAGAGAGCGATCACAGCCAGCCAGGATCGAGCACGTTGCATGCGACGCTCGCTGTCCATCTCGCGCTGGACACTCTCTCCGTTCACATCCTCTTCGGTCTCCACGACGACAATATCCTCATCTTTTGTGGCACATGACTTGGACAGGCAAAGACCGGTGCTGTCTTGAATCGCAGTCAACGCCCAGTTCTTCAGACCCAGGTGGCGATTGAACCAGAGATCCAGGCCATAGGTGGACAACGAAGAGACGAGGCAGATCCAGACGAGATAGGGGTGCTTTCGTCGCGGCGGAGAGATGCTGAAAGAAAAGAGGAAGCAGGTGTTCACGATGGTGGATAGTCGCAGCGCGTATTTGCGGTTGAGGCGCTTCACCTCATTGAAGCAGCGGGATGCGGTGCTGGAGGAGGGGAGGAGCTTGAGGGATGGGATCGTGATGGATGATGTGGAATAGGACATGCCCTGCGAGCAATTGCGTTAGCGTTAGATGACATCCGTCGCGACAGAGCACTATTTTTTCGAGCTTACCGTCAGCAGGCCCAGAGAGACAGTGCCGACGAACTTGGTAACGGTGATGGGGCAGGCCATGGCGCCGGTCAAAAACAGACTTAAGTCCGAGAGACGAGTTCGAGGAAGTCGTGAGAGTTGGAGTTGATTGTCGAAAGCAAGTCGACACTTTTTGCTGGAAGGTGACGTCGCTGCCAAACATGCGCCCGCCAATCAGCGCCCGCACATTCTTCATCTTCGCCGCGCGCCAGCGATTTTGGTCTATTACTAGAGAATTATGGGTGCATATGTCCAAGAGACGGCATGCCTTTGAACTTCGATAATTTCAAGAAACAAGTGAATGCTCGAACCCCCATGGTCTACCATTGTGTAGGTAATACCGGTCGGGCCAGCGTCGGTACACCACGGCAATCTGAAGCTCAAAGAAAGACCGCTTCAGACAGATGTATGGACAAATATCGAGAAAGAACTCAGATGAGAAAAAGCAAGTATGGCCGCACCCGAAGAATCCTCTACGATTGAATGTCAATCACGCCCAGCATACGTCAGGCAACATGGACAAGGACGGTCCTCACCCACACCTTGATCTTATCTCGTAGATGCCGGACCTGTATACCTCACGAGGCGTCTTGATGTTCATACTCCAGGGGCCCTTTATTTGTATCGGAGGACCGTCATGACTCTGTGAAAACTCATGTCTACTAATATTCAAGCATTTCAATCAGAAGTAGTGCGGCTACTGTTGACCCTTACCATAGAGCGGGTGAAAGCTGTAGAAACACAAGCGGCCAGGACCTCATCGATCTGTTCCGGTCAAAAACTGAATATCTCTGTCGGCCACCATGGGCGAAGCCTATATGGCATATGAAAATGGGACAATCCTCAACATGAAGACTTTTTCTCTTCTACTGTGAGATAGCAATAAAAAACATATGATAAATGAGGAGTTCATCTGCAAGCATTATTTGCTCGAGTAGAAAGTCGCAGAACTATTTCAGCCGCAGCCTCTGTACGCAAACCATGTCCGATCGCCGCCCCCCACTTCCTTATTTGTATAAAAGAAAAGCCGAGAGGAGGGATTTTCGCCCTGCGATTACCCCATCTGCAATCTATGTCTCGTAATAACAACCTCGACTAGCTGATTAGACAATGGTGTAGCCCGTAGCTCTTCAAAATCCGCAGAATCCGACGCCCAGTGGATCTGCCACAAACTCGTAACTCGAATTCGCCCCGGCTCGGTAATTCGTGAATCTCCGAGGTTCCATTCCTTTTCATCCTTTGAGCCTCGGTGGGTCCATACTGATCGACCTGTCATGTCCTGAGACCGCAGCCCGATGGCCTCTTTGGTTTCCTCGCGATCCAAGGCAGATTGGAGCTGTGGGGCCTGTCGCTTACATGCGTAGGACCATCAGAAGAGCTCGATCTTTGCAATGCCATTCCAAACTCCGGAGTCCGACGCGCAGGAAGTACTTGAAGTCGGTGGCAGTTTTCGAGGACCTCTATGACCATCGCCCTTGCATGCTCGGAGCCCACCACCTGTACTGAACAACTACAATGACTTCTCAGAAATCAAGTACCGTATTCACCGTCTTCCGGGGCTTGCATGATGTGGGCTATACCTGGTCTCCATTCGTGACGAAGCTCGAGGCTCGGTTGCGATTCGGCAATGTTGCATACCGCGTCGAGACAGGATCTATGAAGGAAGCCCCGCGGGGGAAAGTTCCATATGTGTCTGTCACACATGCAGATGGGCAGATCGAAATGATGTCGGACTCGACGCTTATTGCGAAGGCCTTGATCGAGACGGGAACCTTGCAAGATCTAAATGCCAAGCTATCACCTTCTGAGAAATTGAACGAGATCAGTTTCAAAGCCTTGTTTGAAGAAAGGCTTTACTTTTACCAGGTAAGTATAGAGAGCCGGAATAATAATGGCAACGATCTCTGACGGGGATCTGACGCAGGGATACGAAAGATGGATATTGAACTACTACGCTATGAGATTCAAGATTCTGGGTTCCTTGCCATGGCCAGTCCAAGTCGTAGTGGGGAATATTATCTATCTCAAGTACACATGTACCCTGTCAGGCATGGGAATCCTGAAGTTCAGCGCTAATGAAATTGCTGGGTTCTGCCGAGAGATCTGGGAGACCACAAGCGAACAATTGATGGCGGTCCGCGCCCAACGCCAGGACCAGGAAGGCCCCTTTTGGCTGTGGGGTGGCGACACCCCGACCGAAGCCGATACCGTTCTGTTCGGATTCGTTGTTTCGAATCTAGTTAGTGCTGCGTAAGTTGATGCTTTTGATCTGGATTTGATTCCATTTTGCTGATCTTTGAGATAGGAGCCCGGCTTCTGCTGCCACTATCAAGAGTCATCCTGTTCTTGTTGACTACGCGCGTCGGATCCATGACCACTACTTCCCTGACTATGAACTCTGGAAATAGAGATCACTGCCGTCATGCTTAGCTTAGTACCCGAATAATACTTGGTTGTCACTAAATAGTGAACAGAGCATGTCCACTGCGTATAGCATCCTTGTGCACAAGTATTGTTGCTCTTGTCTTGTCTTGCTACGATCAGGAGTATCATCTCACAGCTATAATATTCACTATATCATTTCTTGTCAGTACTCCTACAGGCCAGAAATGACTGGGTCTGAAGCCGGTCCCATAATAACCGGCTCATGATGTCGTACATTTTCTGACCTTGCGCCGATTTATCACGTTTCTTGGTTTGTCGCACAATATCACTGAATTATCGAATCATCCTTGCACATGTTGTGGCTCTCCCCATAATCAATTGATCGCGCAAGCGAAGCTGCATAACTGGACTCAGAAGAAAATTCCCAGTCGTGATAGTTTGTATCAAGATCCTTTCATTCAGCTCATCGCCTCATCATATCGTCGTTGAAGGAGAGTTATTTGGGCAAGACATGGCATGATACTTGGCCGTGGGCCGAGCACACACAATGACAAGAAGAAGAAGCTAGAGAGACGACTTCTCTGATAATGAACACTGAAATACTCGTAAGATTAGCTTTAAGACGCCGCGATTAAATTTCGGGACCTCGTCCATCTTGCGAATCTCGCAAGGGACTGCACCGCCAACCGAGCTGAAAAGACCTCCTCACTGATAGAGGGGCAAGTGGAGGCTCACACTAACATCGAATTTATTGACCTGGTTTGCCATTACTGACATTCCAAAACTCTGGGTCAATGATCGGTTGGTGTATATTTTGCATCAATCTTTCATATTAAGGGTTGGCGGAGAAATTAGGGACCACGAAACCGACAGATCTATCTGCCCTCTTGTTGTTTTCGCTAATCATCCTTTTTAACCCGGAGAGAATGTTGTGTCTGGCTGTTTATCGGGTCAAAGCCTCGAAACACAAAAAAAGAAATGGATTGTTTCAAATGGCAGAGAAAGAATCAAAGTGTGAGTGAAAATCTCATTGTGAAGACTCTCGTATGATGCACTTTCAAAGAAAGGATTTTTTTTTCGTACGTTTGTGGACAAGCGCACTCACACAGGGTCATTCAAAGACCATGGCAAACCCCGTCTTGTTCAAAGGAAATTTCACATGGAAAGTCGAGCCGCATGATTCACGTCGTCCTCAAAGTCGAACACTAATCACAATGTCATCGGATCAACTTGAAGACGAGACCCTACTCCGAGATGCGAATACCACACCGCTCAACACATCAGTCGATAACTCGTTCGGTCCTATCCCTTCAGACATCCTCGATTGTTTTATGCCCAGAAACTCCGACCATGAGTCTTCGCTGGAAACGGATGAAGAATTCATGACCGAAGCCGAATTGTTTGTCTTTGCTACGGGGTTTGAAGAGGGACCCATGGCAGATTCGAGGTATTCTATACTGGACCTTGAGGATGAACCCATTGTGGACGCGATATATTATTCCATGGTGGACGACGATGACCAGTCGCTGTCAAACTCCAGGAGTCGCACTGCACAAGACTTTGAGAGAGAATCTCTCCCAGACGGGAATGTTGAGCTTGTGTCAGATCACGAAAATACGCTTCGAGTCACCTCCTCGAGTGAAGGCGCACTAGCGCTGATCGCCGACACTGGTACATTCAGTTCCATTTCTGAGACGAGCAGGAAGAGCAAAATATCAGATCAAAAGAGAGCGAAAGAAAATAGAGCCGTCACTCAAGAGCCGAGACAAGAAACAATGGAGATCAAGCTCCTCAGGGCCGAATCGAAAAAGGAGAAGTTGATGCATGTCATCCGCGATCTCGAAAAAGTGATCGCTGATAAAGAAGACGAATGCAAAAAAGCCGCAGCCGAGCTTCGGGAGCTGACTTGTAAATTCAGAGATGCCCAAAACCGTACACTTCTCAGAGAAGCGTATGTCGAGCAGATGCATGCCCAGAACCAGGAATTGATCCATGAGAAGAAGCTATCCGAGGTCGAAAAGAAAAGATTCGAGAGAAAGATGCAGAATGAGATCGACCGACAAAAGAAACGGAGTTCACAAATCCAAATTCAGCTCGGGCAGGCGATCAAGGGCGTGCAGGAGATGTTCGATGCCCATACGACAGATCATGCAAATCGAGTTGAGGTGGCGGAATGGTATGAAAAGAAGGTCGAAGATCAAAATGAGCAGCTCCTTGAGCTCTTGCATTTCATGGAAGATACTAGGAAATATGTATGGAGCCTCCAGATGCCTGGGAAAGACGTCTTTTATGAAGCTGAGGTCAATTTGTTGAGAAGTAAGACCCTTGATTGGACTGGGCCTCCGCCGGCGACCGAATATCAACCAAATGGTGATCTGTGGGCGATGCAATACCGGAGAGAGAACGATGAGATATCAGACGATTTTGCCACTAGCCACGAGGGCATAGCGGTTAGTTCTCCCAAGAGCAGTGTGGGTGGTGCCTACATGGTGATGGCTGCCCCTTGGAGCAGCGATGAGATATCAGATGGGTACGCCTCGAGCAGTGATCAATTAGCACTTATTCATCCCACTGATAATGCTGGTCCTAGTGGATGGAGTGGTTTCGACCCAGGAAAAGACCTGACTCGCGTCGACACTCTCACAAGGAGTGTAAGCAATTTCCACCTAGCCTACGAGGAAAATGTCATATTGGAGACCTCGTTACTACGTCTGAGTGAGGAGGACTTCGAGATAAACGCCGATGAAGAATGCATGGTGCCAGAGACACAACCGGGTGCTGATAAAGATATCGACACGCAAATATGCAGCTCACATGCATCTCACGCAGAGAAGACAAGGCCTGTTGATCTGACCAGGCGCCAACTCTTACCTGCATGGCGCGATGCTGTAATCTTCCCAGATCCCGCAGCGACACAGGAGCTAACCATTGCAAGTAAGAACCTCCGAGGCCGACGACTGAAAAGGAATAAAAACTACTTCAATTCTCCTCTCAATGCACCTCTGACCTCGCCTATCTTCATCTGCGCTGATGAGGATTTCAACGCTATGGACGCTGATACGCCCTTACCGTACTTCACCAGGCTGCCATCATATTCACCCCCCTCAAAACGAATCTGCCTAAGCCGGCTACGATCGCTGGCGTGGGATTCTCCGATTCGGGATCATTTCCCCGGGCAGGTGCTCTTCCAGGAACGGCTCAAACAGGGACAAGCCGGTGTGAACGTGAGTCTCAGGCAACCTGTTCGGTCTCCATTTGCAATTGCTGGTAGTGCTTATGCTCGTCCCGATTCGCAGACTGCCACGCCTCGAACGGCTCGCGAGGATTCGGGATGGTCATTGTCCATTGGGCATTACCTTCAGGCTATGATCTCGAGGTCTTCTTCCGAGAATACTGACGGTGCATATGTTGAGAGCAGCATCATCCTTTATCATGCACATTTTTGGAACGCGTTCGCCGCGCCAGCAAACCTCCGGGAGAACGTCCTAGTAGCCATCAGGATGATCTTGATGTGTATGATGATGTGGCTAGCGTATAATTTGCGTGCGTACGACGAATGGAAGCTAGCCAACGGTGAACCGACGACGCTTGAGATGATCCTCGAAACGATGCATTGGAGGACGATGCAGATAGGGCTAGTGGATACAGCTCGGTTCGGCATTCATGAGTGGCTGGAGGAGCGGACGTGGTTAGGTTGAGGTTTTGACATGTCGGGCTTCAGCTCCATTTCTGGCAAAGCGCGCGCTAGTCTTTTGCATAGGTGGGTTGCCGGTAGCGTGGATGTTATGGAATTACGACGCTTGTTCTAAAACGGGACAATGGCCAGGCAGAAATATCATCGCCATGTATGAAAACACCGTACTGACAGTACCACGTATCACCAATCACCGCACGAGCCACGCAGCAGCTGGCGTCATCAGCTCCACCCTCGCCCCATTTGCAGACGGATCATCTCCACTGCCCCCCCTCTAGACTTCGATCCTAATCTTCTATCCTGAACTTCGATTCTCAGCTGATTTGAACATTCAACCCCGACATCTTCCATCCCCATCTCCCTTTGTCTTCGACGTCCGCTCATTACATTCACAATGCTTGTTCGCTCCATCCTACTGGGTGGTGCGGCCATGGGCGCCAGTGCCTTCCTGGTCGTCCCTGAAATGGAACCTCAAATGGAAGCCGTCGAGGACGGTTTCATGAATATTTCCCCGATGCTCCGTGAAGATACCCGCCATGCTCTGGTTGACCTGCCCTGTACCGACTGTCCCATCCGCCGGGTCGATAAGGAGGGTGCCGTGAGCTGGGTTGAGGGCGAGCCCTCGTCCCTGGTATGTCAGCTCGAACGAACCCGTCATGATTATGATGACGCTGACTGATTTTCATCATAGATGCTCGACTTCGCTATTGAAGACAACCGTCTGCTGGCCAACGGTCGCCAGATCTTCCCTCCCGTTCCTCCTTCCCCATCGACGTCCTTCAAGAAATCGAAGATGGCGAAGTCGCTGGCCCCATGTCCGTTGGCTACGCCCTCGAGGTCATGCCGGTTCAGACCCCCTTCGATGAGGCCGGCGCCGACCTACTCGATGTCCGCTTCACTATCCTCGACTTGGATACTCGCCCCGTCCCCATTGACACCGTCGCCATCACCCTCGTCCAGGATTCCACTGGCGAGTTGTTAATCGCGAAGACCGAGGTGGAGGAGAGCACACTTCCTTCCGAACGCAAATCTTGGAAGAAGTGCCAGGGTAAGCCGAAGTGCCTCCAGGAGCTTCTGTTTTCCCGCATTCATGGTCTCCTCGCCCACGCCAAGGACCGCATGATGGGCAAGGGACCAGGCCCCCAGGCCGGTACTCCGGGCAGCCGTAAGGGCTGCGGCGGCAAGAAAGGCCTGAAGGGTCTCCTCGACATTTTCGGCAATCACCACGGCCCACACAAGCACCATGATGAGGCTGGTCCTGAGGGTCACCACCGCCACCACGACGAGGGGGAGACTGGCCCCGAAGGCATGTTCCACGACTTGGAAGGCCCCACGGATCACCATGGCCACGGCCACTTCAATCCTGAAGCCGTCGATCGTCCCCGCCACCATATGCACCATGGCCCTCATCACGGTGCTTTCGCCCATACTTTCTCTCGCGTTGTCCGCTTCATCCTGGTCCCTGCTATTCTCGGTGTTCTGGCGGGTCTCACTGCCAGCGCCGTTGGCATGCTTGTTGGCCAGGCCGTTGTCTTCCTTTGGCAGCGTTATCGTGGCGACAAGCCTGAGGAGCACAAGGCCGCTTGGGAGCAGGGTGATGCTTGTGAGAAGCAGGGCCTGATGAGTGAGTCTGAGAATGTGCTCCCCGAGTACATTGAGTCTTCATCGACTCGTGCATCCATGGACAAGCACTAGAGTGGTTCATCGTGAAGCCGATCTTTAATCGACTGAAAGCTTTCATGTCTTATTTACCTTCACACGCGGAAGTCAAAAAGGATCATATTTTCGAGACTGACCACGAGATTACAACTTTTTTGAGACTTGATTTCCATGAAACGTGAGGTTTACTTTCTATTTTTCCCCCTAGTGTACGTCCAGCTTGTACAGCGAATTTCCTATCAATGAATTTTATTATAGAATAAAGTCTTTCCCATCAATATACAGACCTGTGTCTTACTCAATTTCATTTCCACTTAACCCATCAGGATACGTTGAACATATACTGTATCGGCTTCGTAGCGTAGGGCTGGGCAACACGTGACGATGCAGCATCATCACGCTCCCCCCCTCTTATCGATCCGACAACAACACCGAACCAACGTTCCCGAGCTACATGTCCAGAGCTCTACCAACGATGATTGGGTCTGTACAATGACCCTCAATCTCTCGACTGATCAAATATCGGGTTAATCACCACTCTTCCTGTCCGCATCAGCTGGACGTGCTTGCGGCTCTAGCTCCGCTTCGACCTGGACCGCACCTCTGTACCTTTCCACTTCGGACCCGATCCAGATCAACAGCTACCCACAGCGATGTCGTGGTCATCTTTCATGCAAAAAGCTCAGTCGCTGATTGATCCAGCCAACTTTAACATTCCCTCCCTTTCTTCAGACAATCACAATCCCTCCAAGGCCTCACTTTTCCGCCAACAATTCCGCCTGCCCGACTCTCAGAATCCCCTGCAGGAAATCACTGCCGACCTGATCCTTCCGCTTCCGAATTCTTCTAGCTCTGGCGAAGGCACCCGCAAGGTAGATCGGCCAGGTAATCGGTACACAGGGCGTCTGCACCTTAGTGAGCGATTCATCTGCTTCTCAACACAGCCAACGAGCTTCCTCCCCTCCTCCACCCTAAGTGCTTCGACCAATTTCACTGGGCAAACACATGGCACTGGACCTTCTGGCAATGGCTTCACGCTGCCCCTGTCTTGCATTCGCCGCGTCGAGCGACTTCATAGCGCCAGCCACGTCTTCTCTCTTGCGTTGACAACATGGAATGGATTATTGAGCAAACAACAAGAACCCAGCTTTGTCCCTCAGCGTCTTATCCTACAGCTTGTCGGTAGCAGGCAAGCTTGCGAGCGGTTCTGCGATTGTCTCAAGAAGGGCCTGCGCGAAGGCATGAAGGAGGTCGACAATCTGCGATCCGTCGTTGCGGATTGCTACTCGGAGTATCTACTCTCGGGCGCAAAGGGGAAGACACAAGAAGAGCAGGGAGAGAACTTTCGTCCGCCCCCTGATGCAGGACTGGGCATGCTCTTCCGCTACCCCGGTGATGCGCGCAAGCTTCGAGACCGGAGCAAGATGAGACTTTGGGGCGAGTATTTCCGAGGTATGCGCTGTGATCTGGAATTTTTCTCAGAGGACTTCGACTTATGTGGTTTTTAGAGAATGGTCGCAATGCAACGCTTGTCCGTCAACCCACGTTTCACAAGCTGATCAGAGTCGGATTGCCGAATCGATTGCGCGGAGAGATCTGGGAACTTTCATCTGGTTCTCTTTTCCTCCGTCTCCGTTCGCCAAAACTATACCAGGAGACCTTAGCTAAGTTCGATGGCCAGGAGTCTCTCGCCATCGACGAGATCGAAAAGGACTTGAACCGCAGTCTACCAGAGTATCCCGGCTTCCAGAGTGAAGAAGGCATTGGTCGCTTGCGTCGCGTTCTAACAGCATACAGCTGGACCAACGCCGAAATTGGATACTGCCAGGCTATGAACATTGTCACTGCGGCCTTGTTAATGTTCGTCGCATCCCTCCTTCACGCAAAGCCCACCATTTGCTGACTTAAAACAGATATACGTCCGAGTCTCAGGCTTTCTTCCTTCTTTCCATGCTGTGTGATCGTCTCCTTCCAGGATACTATTCTACCACCATGTACGGCACTCTTCTCGATCAGAAGGTCTTTGAGTCTCTTGTGGAAAAGACTATGCCCGTTCTTTGGGAGCATCTTGCGAAATCAGATGTGCAGCTCTCCGTCGTCTCTCTCCCATGGTTCCTTTCACTTTATATCAACTCCATGCCTCTTGTCTTTGCATTCCGTGTCTTGGACGTGTTTTTCTTGGAAGGCCCCAAGGTACTCTTCCAGGTTGGTCTGGCGATTCTTCGTGTGAATGGCGAGGAGCTTTTGGACATCCAGGATGATGGCTCTTTCATCTCCGTGCTAAAATCTTACTTCTCCCGATTGGATGAATCGGCCCACCCCAGGTCTGAAAACCCGAAGCTGCGGGCCATCACCCGATTCCAGGAATTGATGGTGGTGGCTTTCAAGGAGTTCTCAGGGATTACTCACAGCACCATTGTCGAACAGCGCGAGAAACACAAGGACTCTGTTTTGGAGAGTATTGAAAACTTCGCCAAGCGTACTTCTATCCGCAATCTTGGTCCTGAGAGCAAGCGTCTCAGTGTCGAAGATCTCGGTACCATCTACGATCGGTTCTACGACACTTTGTATCAATGGGAGCAGCATCAAAGACTCATTGCGGAAGAAAGGAAGCGACAGGAAAAGAAGAAGTCCGAGCGTCTCTCTACCCTTGGGCCGCCTGCAGACGCAGAAGTAGGGCGCGTTGGCCTCGGGCCCAGTCCCACTCACATGGACTACGATGCTTTTAGAGAATTCTTGGCTGCTACTTCAAAATGGGCTGTCTCGGATACGCCTGCTGGTTCTCGGCAAGATTCCCAGGGCTACAGCAGTCTCCGGGGAACCAACAAATCACTGCTCTGGGCCAACCGCCGGCAACCGGCGGACCACGAGTTCATGCAACGTCTCTATCGGAAGTGGGCTGATGACCCCAAGGAAGGCTTGAATTTACAGAATGTTGTAAATGGTCTGGCCCGTCTTAAGGGATCACCGGATATCATGAACAACATCAATTACTTCTTCGACCTTTACGATGACAGTGGCAATGGCCAAGTTGACCGCGAGGGTATTCTTAAAATCTCCGAGGCGCTTCTCTTCCTCTCCCGTCGTGGATTCGAAGGCACCATCACTGCCACTCAGTCTCTGGAAGACTCGAACGGCGCTAATGATGACCAGAATAGAGTTACCACTGACGAGAGATTCCTTGGTAGCGTCAGTGCCTTCATCCGTCGCTGCTTCGAATACGCCGACCCGAGTCACCCGGAGAACAAAAAGTCCACCAAGCAGGACGACGCTGAAGAAGTAGCTGGAAAGCTTGACTCGTTTGCCATCGGCGATGACGAAGAAGACCTGATTGACATTGACGACAAGGAGAAGGAGTCGCCTTCCCTGGAAGCCTCTCAACCAGCCGACACCAAGAAGAGCGAGCAGGACCGGCCAACATCCGAGTCAGCTAATCCGGCCCTCGACCCTAACAACCCTCTTCACATTACCCTCCCAACCTTCCGGATGGTCGTCCTCGCAGACGAGCTCCTCGAACAGTTCTTCGAATCTTACTTCCCACAATCCTTCCACCTTTCCGACCACCCCCATCCAGCTTCCCTCGCCGCATCCTCATCTCTTTCCTCAAACCTCACAACCTTCTCCAACATCGGCAGCGCCAAAACCTCCAACGTCTCGCCGGCCGGAGCCGTCTCTGTCGCCGGCGCCTCTGGCGGCATCGTCCCGCCTGGCAAAGGCCTCCGTGGGGTCCTCGACAACATTGTCACAGATGGCATCCGTATGGCCGCCGAAGTTAAGAAACGCATGGACGAAGCCCAACGCGACCTCGAGCGCAATGCCCTCGGCAGACCTGAGGAGGACGACGAAGAGGACGATGAAGATGACTTCCGCCGAGGCTCAACTGCCGCCATGGCAGGCGGTATTTCCAGCTGGGGTGCCGGCGTATATGGCGCGGATCCGCAACGCGGTGGTGTTCGTGATGCTGATCGCGATCTGCTTGAAGGCGCAGAAGTCCTCAGTGTGCGTGGGAAAGACGAAGCTTCCTCTCTTCTCGATAGCACAGAGGGAACTGAAAAGCTCCATGTTGGAGGAAATGATGGCGCATCTTCGCATGATGCCGATGTTGTTAGCAAGGTTGTTGAGTTTGAATCATGATGATATCCCTCTCTTTCCGGTTTGCAGGAAGGATTCTTTTATTCCCTGTTGTTTCTGCGTGCTTCTGGTCCTTAGTTACATGCAAATCATACACTTGCGTTTGATGCATTCGTCTCGCCTGCATTGACATAGGTATACAGCTAGATTAGATACCGTCAGAATACTACTAAGTTCAACTCTCATCACCGAAAAAGTGGATTACGCTGTAAATTTGGATATATTGGATTACATTCAAAGTTGTTCCAAGGTTAGAGATAAGCTTTCGTGGCGGGGTATCTACTTGCCGCCCAATAATATCATGTAGACTTACCCTGTGCCCGACTAACGCTTTGAGATATCTAATGATCTCATTTCACCTTAAACCTCCGACCTGATCATTTCTAAACATATACCACGATGGTCGTCTACAGAGTTCGTAGCCTCCGAAGAATCCACCTCGAACCGCAAAGACAATATACTAATTGAACCGACACTCCCAGGACATTATTAGCGGCGACGAGATCCTCAACGACGACTTCTCACTCGAACAAGATGGCCCCGTCCTAATAACCTGCGCCTGTCAAGAAGTTACCAAGACCCCTTCCAATATAAGGGATATAGCCTCGGACGAGGGATATAACGACTCAATCACAGTCTACGACATCGAAGAAACATTCAATCTAGTCCGTCACAAGCCCGAGAAAGCGGATTTCAAAGCCCACCTCAATAGTCAGGAGCACCATCCCACCCGTTAAGACCCGTGCTTATGTCGTAACATATCCTCAGCTTATTTGAAAGCCGTCGCGCGACAAATTGCCGCCGATGGAGCGAGCCGGGAAACACTCCGCGAGTTCCAGTCTGGGCAGGGACCTGCTATTAAGAAGATCATGGATAATTGGGAGTCTTTCGATGTGTTCTTGACGCCGTCGATGGATGTTCATGCAATGTATGTGGCCTTGGGTGTTCTTGGGGACTTCCAGGTGTGCTAATCTCGACTCGATCTGGGCAGGTGCGTGCTCATTAGGTGTCGGGAGGATGGGTCGCCGTATGCGACGTTTTGGAGGCATGGACTTGAGAAAGTCGAGACTTAGATGGCAGTGGCATTGCAACTTTGAAATCGGACCCGGTTAGAAGGATTGGCCGGTCTTGAATTATTCAAGTGGACGTAACGTATTCCACGGCAAACCCGCCACCACGGTAAACCCGCCACCCCCAAACACCATAATAAATGCGAAAAATTAGAACTTCGTATCTCAATAACGATTGATTATTCTACCTAAAGTTATTGCCTTTAGCTATAATGATCTATTCCAAGTGAGATCTAAGTGAGATTTATTAATCTATAAGAAGTTAGCTAATATTAAGCCGCTTTACCAAAAATTCCAGGAATTCTGTCGCTTAGTACACGTAGGTAGTATCTATAATAGTAACCTACTATAAGGGCCTAGAAGATTATATAGTAAGTCTAGTAAAGCCTAGTAGAATATAAGGTGATATAAAGTCTCTTAGCTAATGTAGTCCTAGTATAAATATAAAGTTGTAATTTATCGCAGTTGCTATGGTGTTTGGGGGTGGCAGGATTACCGTGGTGGCGGGTTTGCCGTGAATACGTTAGTTGAGGTCATGAGAAATGATACTTTTGAAATAGGAACAAAAACTTCGTCTCAGAAGACATTCTTCAGAGCTTGATGAACTTGAAGATGTTGGATTGAAATGGCCGAAAAAGAGTCCAGGATCAACTCCGTTCTCAAGCTGCGTCAGACGTGATTTAGATGAAAAGCAACACTTGAAACAAGAATGAATCTCAAATCAAATGAAGTTGAATGATGATGATGGTAGGTTGGCTAAATGATGAATTCGTGAAAGTCGTGAGATGGCAGTCACATTTCTATGTACAAGCATGTCATTAGAATAGCGCTCTGCGTCAAGCAGAGGAAATTGAATGCCATATACCGGTCAATGCCTTGGTCCAGGACCGTAACATAGAGAAATCTGGAAAGAAAATGCGATGGGATGGAGTGCTGGTAAGGGAGAAAGAAAAGGTGGACAAAGGGTGGTAAACGAGTTTCACATCAATGCTCAGGCAAAAAGGTGGAAGAGTCGCTGAAATGAAATCTCAAGGCGGATTTCAAGATTAGATTAGTCTTTTGAACCCTCGTTTTCGACCAGCTCCAAGACGATCTGGCTACGCTCGTACTGTGGGTGTTGCATGCAAATCTTGACTGTGTGCTGCGTGTCACCGTTTGATGTGCCATTAGAACCAGGGAAGCTGCTTATGTTGCTGGATGGTGTAGCCTGGCCGAAGGAGCCGGGTAGTTTGCTACCATCGTCCAAGCATACAACATTGTGGCCGGGAATAACTTGTCTGAGACGGCCATTCATCGCATTGCGAACCTCGACAAAGTCATCATTGAAGAGAATAAGGAATTTCCCGTGAAGACAAGCCGTGTGTGCATTGCCGACAAATTCCATGACCACGCTGCGAGAAACGTCGCCGTGCTTGTTGACATAGACAGCGCACTCCTGATATGCAACGATAAATTCACTGTCGCTGAGACGGAACATACCGAGCGGGCGAAGGCCTTGGATGCGATGGGCAATGCTATGCAGAGTATCGTGGGCATCTTGGGATTCAGAGCGGAAGTCGGGGACGGACCAAGACTGCTTTTTGTCGAGGGTGAGGACTTCAATGCCCCTTTGAGTGGAGATGGCAAGTGAAGAGTGGAACATGTTGATGCCGTAGCTTTCAGCGGGAATGTAAAATTCATCGTACTCACGGAAGAATTCTGTTTGCGACCGACGAGACTGGAAAAGGCGGGTTTTGCTGGATGAGGATTTTTGAAGAATGGGCTCGAGAACCTTGAATGTAGAAGAAAGTCCGTCTCGCTTCTTGTACAATACCAAGTACCGGTCTTTCATGCGTCCGGCAGCGAAAAAGCCTACTTCGCGATTTCCGGAAAGTTTCTGAGGAGCTCGGCGGGCAGAGTCCTGTGATTGAGATATCCCACTAGCAGGGCACACCACGTCAAGGTGATACGCAATTAAGGAGCGATCTGCGATAAGTAGGAAGAGATTGAACTCTTCAAATACGGCAACCTGTGTCACCCGCATGATAGGGATAGCCTGGACAGGTCAGTCAATAATTTAGATTCGAGCTGGACAACATCAACTTACCCGATACCAACCACGCGGGTTGCTCAGATCAGACATGTACACGCCGTATTCAGTTCCAATTGCACACATCATACGCCCTGGAGGCTGCTGGAAGACCGTTGCACAGTTCACAGCAGTTTTGCAGACCGGTGGAGGTCGAGGCCCAGAGTTTGCATACTTCTTTTCCACTTCCTTGATAGCGCGATCCAGCGGAGTGCCCTTGATGGTCACACTCTTCGAGCCGGCAGAGTGGTCAGAGTAAGCGAAAGCCGTGTCCGCGAGGACACGCAGGCGGAAAGGCTCGGCGTTCTGTGAGAATAGAGCCGCAGCGTGCTTGGTCTTTGCCTCGATGATCTTCTCACACCATTCCTTGCGGCTTTGTGCGGAGAAGGCATACAAGATGTATGTGCCTGTTTTTCCAAGATGCTTGATCTTGAACGGGTAAAGAATTTTGTCATCTTTGGAGTCCAGAACTGCGGTTGTTCCATTTGTGGAGGCACTGGTATGCGTCAAGGGACTTACCCCACCTTGAGCTTGAGTCACCGTTGAAACACCACGAACTGATGACTTGATAACTGGGTCGTCATTGGTGCTTTCCAAGGCCAGAAGATCCATCGGGATGGGCAACTTCGAGATATCGTAACGTTCGAATTTGACTGTCCGCGATGGGTCACGGGTAATGCATGACTTGGCAAGAACGAGATAGTGATCGAACAGGATGGCATGGGTATCAACGAGGAATCGAGTTCGTGTTCCGGGACGTTGGAGATCACCTCGGAAGATGATTTCACGGCCCAGGTGCTCAAGGTTAAGTTCCACTTCTTTCTTCATCTCTGGCCGCAACTGCAGCTTAGCTGCGAGCTCCATCAAGTCGACCTTTTTGCTCATCTCGCCAACTTTGTTATCACACTCCAATGCGACAACCTTTATTTCCTCGATGGCCTGTGCCAAATTGGTTTTTTCTTCGGAGTCTATGGGCATGTTTTTGTGGACAGTAGCCAACAACAGGGTGTACCTCTGGATCCGCGTGATCGGAGCTTTCAAGTAAGTATCCCAGCTCAAACGGTGAGACATTTTGTTATCCCGCGCAGAGTTCAAGAATGCTTTGAAGTGCACATTGCGCTCGGCCTCCTTCCGAACATAATAGTTCGCAGCCGGAAAATGCGCAGCATAATCAATGTAGACACTCTTGGCTTTGCGGATCCACTCTCGGAAGATGTCACTGAAGCCAGCAATAAACGGACCTTGTTCCTTCTGGCGGTATTTGAGTTGCGCCAACAGGAAATCCTCGTTGGCCCTTTTCACTGTGTCAACTTTTCCAAAGACATCGGCCAGGAACTTGGACAGTCGTTTGACTGGAATGATAGGAGGATTCATCCCAGAGAGCCGGTCACGATAGAGTTCACGCAAGACGTCCAACTGCGCAATGTAGGCATCCTCAGTAGTTACAATCTCATGCAAATTGTTCTGCCGATCCACCTCTTTCTTGGGATGTGACTCCCACACTTCCTTGGGCACATTGTAGAAAGTTACCCAGTCTTCCATTTTTTTCTGCGGGGCCATCGTCTGCGCCTTCAGATTGACCTTCTTTAAAGTTCTCATGCAATGATGAGAATAGCAGCGCCCAAAGGAATCGGTTCCCTCAATATGCAGCTCGTCTTCATGAAGGTGGGACGAGTAACAGCCAGTACCAGTGATTTGGAACAAGACACCTGAGAGGTTTCCGCTGCCGAATCTGACCCATTCTTCCTCCGTGACAAGTGCTTCCTCCTGAAGCATGCTATTGACAACACGCGCAGCGAGGGTCTCGGCCTCAGTAGTGTTCATAGTTGGAACTTTGTGAGTAAACAATGCCACAATCGCATCAACAATAGCCGAAACCCTGAGATCGGTCTCATCCTCGCTCAAGTCCCAAATCCAAGCTAGAATAGAGCTAAGAGCCCATGGTTCAGTACACTTCTTGAACTGCTCCGATGACAGCTTTGTAGGATTGAATTTCTTGCGGCGTCCTGCAGGAATCGAGGGTAGATCCAGAGCCATCGAAGCGGCCGCTTCGGTCGAAACAATCTTGGGAAGTTCCTTCTGCCGAAGCCGCCACAGGTCTTCCTGTTCCTGCTTCTTCCGGAGGCGGTCCGCTTCGGTCTTGGATCTGATGGGCGGATCAGTACGAAGTCCCATAGGCGTCGACAACGAAGATGACCGCGGGACTTGAGAGGGGCTGAGTAGTGTGTCTCCATACGCGTCCGCGGATACAGGTATGGAGGGTTGTCTATACTGATCCTGGACCTGGAAGTCCTCCTGCTCAAGGGGCCTATACGTTCCGGCGGGCATTAAATGCGAGAAGAGCTCTTGGTTCGCGGGCTCAACGGGAGCTGGTGGCAATGGGCGCATGCCCGGATGGAAAAAAAGATCTTCGTGCGCAGCTCGGTGTGGGCTCTCATCGTCGGATCTATCTCCATCCAGTGGCTGTTCATAAGGACTATCTCCATCCTCACCATAATCAAAGCTCATTCGACGGTCAAAATTTCCTGGTGCTGCGAGCCCACCGGTGCCACTAGCATCCACCCGCGCGTCAATTGGCAAATGATGGAAGCGGTTGGCATATTCGTATGCGATAGCGGGGTGTTCGTAATCGTCGGCATATTCACCTCGTTCATCAGGGGAAACATCGGAACTTCTGAATGAGCCATGCGTTCTCGAAATGCCTCCTGCGGCTTGATCCGAGTATTCATCATAATGCCCCTGTTCACCATAATGAAGATTACCGTGATAACCTCCTTCGTAAAGAGCCAGATCGTGTCCCACGAATTCGCTATCCTCTTGAATATCTGAATTAGGCGAAGGGCCTCTAGGCGACACACGAGAGCCGTAGGAGCGAGTGCTGAGAACTGAAGCGTTCGTCTCACGCCGAGGACGGCCATGCTGATGAAGAATCTCTCGGTCAAGTCGAGCTCTCTCCTCCTCTTCCGCCATGCGCAACATAGCTAGCCCGGCTTCAGCTTCCGCCTCGCTGTCATCACTATAAGCATCGTAGTTGACATATTGACCAGTTCCAGTCGACATGTTGCCATTGGTGTGGGTATGTTGTTCGTCTGGTGAAAGTCTTAATCGCGACGCCGAGCTAGCATGAGATGCTCTAGAACTATGGCGTCTTGTCGTAAAAGTAGCCTGAGTATCCATCACCGCAGATTCAATTTCTTTGATCAATTCATCATTTTCATAAGTACCAGTGAGGCCGGGCGATGGAGACGGTCCATTCATGTCCGGCATATCGTCAACAGGTGGTCCAGGTAAGGGCCGAGCCTGCGGGTGTCGATTCAGGGTGTCGGTTCGTCTCGGCGATGGTAGAATTGAAATGTCTTGCTGTACGGGTGGTGTGGGAAGAGACCGCGCTGAAGACGAGTGAGACATACTTGATCGCTTTCCATAAAGTCCATTGCCTTGCGGCTGATGTACGGGCGGCGCTGGCGGTCGATCCTCAAAGTCTGGGGTTATGGGCGGGATCGTGGCAGAGGGGTATGGCGAGTCCGTCCCGAACCCGGGAGATATGGGGAAGTAGGGACCGGTGGCAGATTGAGGCATGTAGGCACCAGAAGGTGAATTCGAGGTTACATATCCAGCTGTTGATGGAGAAAGAGTCGGCCGATACGCAGTGGAGGCGGTGCTCCCTGTCCGCTGGCTCAAATTAGTAGGCGATGATCCATACGAACGCCCTCCATAGGGATGATCGGGTGCGCGAGGGGGCGGAACTGGTGGTTGTTGTGATGAAAATCCGTAAGATGAGGTCAGGGGTGCTTGACCGTACGGCGATGCGTCGCTTGGTCGCCGTGGCAGGGTGGGAGACGCCACACTCGCGACTGCAGCAGGCTGATAAGCTGCCGGGTTATAGGGTTGATGGCTCGGAGCGGGATTGGCGTGCGAAGCGTTATAATTCAAGGGATTATAACCCAGGTTCGGTTGGGTCTGCGATTGCGGCAGGCCGTATTGTTGCGGGTTGTACGCACGTTGGGCCGAGGTCGTTGGCGGGTACTGGTAGTGGTAAGTGGCCGATCCTGCGCTGTGCGACGCAGCACGAGTGGGCGACATCGCCGGCGTTTCAGCACCGTGTGAAAATCCAGCATCTCCACCGTCATCATATCCCCCGTGAGCGGCACCGTATGCACCTTGTACAACATTGCCAGTATATCCAGCGCCACTTGTCGGCAAACGCGCGTTTGCATCGGTCGCTCTTGAATTGTAGATCCGAGCAGCGTTGAAGAGCGTCGAGTCGTCTCCAGCGTCGTAACTAGGCATTCGTCTCGGCAGATGCTGGGTTGGAGTGGGGTTGTGCTGAGGCGTGTAGCTTTCATAGCGACTGGAAGCTGGCTGGGAGCTCGGAGGGTTGCTGGTCTGGCCATAATACGCCTGTTGGCCATTTGGGTGCGCCATCGCTGCGGGAGCTACGTGACAGTCGTGCGCTGCGCTCGTGATCTTCAAATCCAGGGTCGCCACCTTAGAGGTCAGGAGTGTGTGAGAGCCGCACTCAGCCTCCAGATGTGCGGGACGCGGGCAGGTGAAGAGCTGCCGGAGAGCGTCTGGCTCTGGGCATCCCCGAGTCAACGAGTGTGGAGGTCGGCGAAAGAGAAGGGGAATGGTAGTTCAGGTCAAGAATGCGGAGCCTAAGTAGTGAGGGACTGGCACTTGACCTTAATTTCCCCCACCGCCAACGCCAACAGTCCCTGGCGCGCTGAATAATGCGATTGTGTGTTGAAGGGTCGCTGGCCCCCCTTTATTTTTAAAGGCGTTCCACTAAAATTGCCGTATTTCGCCAGCATCTTCAGCTGGAGTTTTAATCACCTCCATGACTACAAGGTCTACACACAATTAGCGTGCCAATTCTCCCCGACACCCTGCATTAGATCAATGACTGTTTACCCTGGCCCCACAACCATTTCCCCCATTACAAGGCTGAGGCGGCTGAGCCACTGCCCCGCTGCCCCTAATAAACCACCGTGGATGCACTGCCTTCAACTATTCCAGTCCGGCCAAGGCATTGACAAGTTGATGTCGGAAAGGGGCATGGAAGATACATTCAGTTCTTTATTAGACCAGGCTTTCCTCCTAGATGAACGATCCATTCAATGCTGGGAAACGAGCTGGTACAAGTCCTTACAGCCCAATTGGTGGCACCAATGCATTGCGATGTAAATTTCTTTTGGGACTGTTAGGGTCAAAGATGAGCATGCAAGATTAAATCAGACTTAGGTCAAACCGAAGCAGATAGTGTACCTCCCTGTCATTGCGATATTTGACGGACGCGACCCATTACTGGTCCAGTTAAAAGACATCATGTCAGCACCTCGTTCTCCTACGACCATCCATGAAGCCGCTATATTTCTGAGGGGCGGCCATTGAATAGACCATTCCAAGAATTCAACCACTCAATATAGCCGAGACTGTTTGTCTCAACCAATTCATAATTAGATGATGTACTTCATCTGTCTTGTTCATTCCAGGCGTTTGAATTCCGGACATGCATGAAAATTGGGCAGAGGTTGTCAACCTCGCTTTCCGGACCCCCTAAAGGCGTAGAAGAAAAATAATTTACAGAAACTTCTCGATAGAATCTCCACACTCCCCAGTCCCCATTAAGTGACCGTAAGGAGGATTCATCACTACGCTAAGTGACGTTGAACTGGACGCCTAAACAGCTACATTTGACGCCATCTTCAGCATCCTATTGACTTGAGCATTACTTGAAACGCTATCACGCGTTTACTTGTTGCCCACCATTCCAGTGTGCTTATCGAAAGCCTGGGAGCGCTCCTTGAGCCCTTGGGTTTGCTCGGCTCCACTCACGGTGCTCAGGATAGGCTGTCAGGTATGCCGTTATAACGAAAAATATCTCATACCCTCTTTGAGTCGCTAATCACATGAATAAAAAGACCCTCTTTATAATGCTACACCGCCTCAAGGCTTCTCGATTATTCCTCAAAAAGCCTTTCCCCAACTCTTCTCAACTCTTTAGCCCCATTATACATACTTCATCCGAAAGATTTTAGGTGCTTTATGGCTTCTCAATCATCAGATTCCTCTTGGATCTCAGCCGTTATCGCTTGCTCTTCCTATGTATTTCCCTGCCCGTGGCAATGATCTTATCCTTTGTTTCGTTCTTTTGATTGGGCCTGTTTCTCCGCTTTTGACTTTTCTGTGAACAAGAACCAAGCATTTCACCCCGAGAAATATTGGCGATGTCGTCAGCGAATTGAAGAAGGCATCAGACTAGATCCTGTGATAGGAACGAATTAAAGAGCTTCACTGCAGTCGCCCTCCCATTTGCGACATGGCGCCGCTGTTCTATCCACGTTTGTCCTGCTTGCTTCTTCGAAGTGAGCTCACAGCAGCGTAGGATCCAAAGCGTGTGTCTAGGGCCCGTCTAGGAATCATCATGTACCGTGTTGTCACTACTCATGGAGGTACAACTTCGGGCTTCTAATGGGCGTGATGGGGACCCGCCTCTCGGGAGAGGGAACTGGCGAAGTTTATGTTTATGGACGACACTCTCTAGAGTCCGAACATGGCTTCTCAAACCCGAACAACATAAAATGTAATTTGAGCAAAAATTATGAGCTACATACTCAAAATTATGGGTGGCATTGGGCAGGCGTGAGGTCTCAGATTGACATGGCCCTATTTGAACAATGCTACCTTCTGACATGCCTTGGGGCGGTGAATTCAGGCTATCCTGATCACAGCTTTACCCTGCATAGTCCCATTCTCGATCTCCTGTAAGATCTCATCAATATTCTCCAGCCTCCTTTCAGTTAACTGTGGTTTTACCTGGCCCTTAGCAACAAAGGCGAGGGCCTCCACTGTATCCCGACGGTCACCCGTGGATGTGCCCATGACCTTGATGCCACGGGCGACAAAGTCCGCGGGGCCCAGGGGGAGCGGTGTCGGCTTCGGAGGCAGGCCAATACATACCAGGGTGCCGGTCCGTCTCAGAAATTTGGCAGCATCGGCATAGGCCTGGCCGGACGATGCACAAATGAGTGCGCCGTGAGCTCCCCCATCCGTGACTTTAATAACCTGGGCCACACAGTCGTCCGTCTCGAGCACGTCAATGTACGATTCCGCTCCCAGGCTCAGGCAAAGATCTCGTTTCCTAGCATCCAGGGCTACGACCCTGAGCCCCATGGCAATTGCATATTGAATAGCCAGATGGCCCAAGCCGCCACCGGCCCCCGCCACAGCGACCCACGAGCCCGCTCGTAGGTTGGCGATCTTGAGCGCCTTGTAGACAGTGACACCAGCGCACAGTATTGGAGCCGCATCGGCGTCGCTCACCCCAGCCGGAAGGCGGACCATGTACGCGCTGTCCGCGATAGCGTACTCGGCAAAAGTGCCCTCGACATCCTTGCCCGCGAGCTTCCGGCTTGGGCAAAGGTTCTCATAGCCGGTCGTGCATACCTCACACTTCCCGCAGACGATGTGCACCCACCGCACAGCTACCCGATCACCGATGCGCCACTCTGCAGTGTCCACCTCAGTGCCGAGGCTGGCGATCACCCCAGTGCCCTCATGGCCGCCTACTGAGACCTTGGGCTGCAGGTAGGGGACGCTGCCGCGGGCCAGATGAAGATCTGTCGCGCAAACACCAGAGTAGTGTAGCTTGACGAGGACTTGAGTGCCTATGGGGACTGGAGTTGGGCGTTTGGCGACGGATATGGCCTTGGTCTCTTTATCCTGAATCGCCGCAAGAGACGTCTCCGGGAAAGATAGAGAGCCCATGACGGCGTAAGAGAAGAGCAGAAGGAAATTATTGTCGATGGTTTAGCTGAGGAAGAAAGTAGAGAGAGACAATGTAGAAAGATTCCGTCGTGGAAGAAAAGCAAACGGCCTGCAATCAAGACGGGGTCTCAATAAACACGCTTCATTTCTATCTGCGTTCCCCTCTCCATCTAAGCTTTTGGCGAACGGCGAAATCAACATCCTGCAATACTCGGGACTCTGACACGGATCCCCGCAGGAGCTGTTGCTTGATGTTTTGCCGAATACGACTTATATCCGATCGGAGCCAACCATCCGAGAGTCCTGGGGTTTCCCCGGCCATTCCCAGGGAACTGGGTGCTGGGTCCATCTCCGCGTTGAATCCTGGGGTGAAAGTGGACCCGTACGGACAACTATCCGACATCAACAACTTCACGGTTTCTGGGCTCCCCAAAGAGATCCTGGTCAATTGGCTGATAGCTTTAGTCTTTCACCATGTATCCCGTGAGATCATGTCCTTGGGAGGTCCAGACTCCAGCCACGAAAAAGAACGTGCTGGACGTGGCTCTGCTTTTGCCTATAATTGGACTCATTTCTTGCATCTGGGGAAGCTTCCAAAGTTGATGCCTGTAGACTCCCGTGAAGAGCCTACTTAAGAACAACATCTCATTATGAGCACGAAGAAAGAAGCTATCCCACGTAAGCCCATACGCAGTCCGAGACGGAAAGAGCCTCAGGAGTGTCTCGGATTGACCCTCGCCGGCGCGTGCGGACCAAGTCATACTGACCCCATCAGATACAGACAGCGACATGGTGGATGATCCAGAGAAGAGTTTCTCGGAGTGCGAGGATGCCGACACTTTGGAGCCTAACCTCAAGATGCGCGATGGCATCGTTCTGATGCCACAACCGTCCGACGACCCTAACGACCCGCTCAACTGGTCGTGGTTTCGCAAGCACGCCGCTATGTTCACCATCTCGTATCTAGCTCTCGTCTGTTACGTGGCTGTGACTACGCTGGTGACAGGGACGGTGGTCCTGGCTAAGTCCTTGCACGTCCCCAAGTCGACGGCCGTCTACCTGGGCAACACGCCCGTCGCTCTCTACGCCGTGGCTCCCTGGCTCTGGAGCCCGCTGAGCCACTTTATAGGCCGTCGCCCGGTGCTACTTATTACTAATATCATCGCCATAGTCGGAGCTATCGTTGTCACAACGTCCAGGACATATGCATCTTGCATGGTTGGCCGCGTCATCCTCGGTGCTGGGGGTTCGGCGTTCTGGACACTGGGGCCGGCGAGTATTGGGGACATTGTAATTATCTCCTTGCACCATGATATCACTGCTACTCTAATGAGCCAACGGACAGAGCTGACCATGCTATGCCGCAGTTCTTCCGCCACGAGAAGGGCAAGAAGATTGGTGTGTCGACCTTGGCCATTGTGATCTCACCATTCCTGGGGACAATGTATGTATCAAAAAGACATGCTTCCATAATTTTGGAGAGGCAACAGCTGACGTGATCCTTCTGACAGCATCGGCGGGCCCATCATTGAGAACGAAAAGCTGAGCTGGCCGGCCTCCCAGTGGATTCCGCTGATCTTCATGGGCGTGGGCTTCATCATGCAGATTTTTTTCCTCCCTGAGACTATTTACATTCGAGAGACACGCGCTCATCCCGCAACCATGTCCACATCTACGCCGGGCAAGTCCACGTTCTGGGATCGCTACGGGATCCACATCCCCAAGCGCTCAGAGGAGAAGCAGCACAGCTTCCTCTTCATTGCCACACGCCCGTTTGTCCTTTTCAAGTACCCCGCGGTGATACTGTCAGCCTTCTGGTTCGGTATCACCTACATGATGCATGTGGGTATCACGGCCGAAATCCCGCTCATCTTCGAGGCGCAGTACAATTTCTCCGTGCTCGGTGTTGGGCTGTCGGGCTTCTCAGGACTCATCGGCGCCCTGCTCGGCGAGGCTTATGCGGGACCCTCGTTGGATCTCATCGCTAAGCGGGCCATGAAGCAGGGCCACGAGTGGCGCCCTGAGTACCGCCTGAAGGCTATCTGGCCAGCAGTCATTACCGTGCCAGCCGGGCTGATTATGTTCGGCACGTCGATACAGTTCGGAAAGGCTTGGATCACTCCTCTGATCGGACAGGCCATTTACATCTTCGGAATCGAGGTTGCCACCACGGTAATGTATGGATTCCTTTTCGGACTACACCCAGTTTATGAAATGTGCTGACAAAGGATTGTTTCGCTAGCCAAACCTACATCCTTGAATGTTACCCTCGCCAGGGCGCCGAGGCAAACTTGGTCTTCAACCTCATCCGCAATTTGTTCTCATATACAAGTCCGTTCTTTCTGCAGCCAATGATTGCAAACCTTGGAACCGCCTCTCCGTTTGGCCTCTTTGCTGGCTTGACCGTATTCTTCTTCCCTTTCACTGTGGGTGTCTTGATGTGGCGGGGCAAACAGATTCGGGACAAAGGAGGAGATCCGGGCTGGAGTAGGGATTGAAGATGGGTCATTCGGTTATCTGTTGTTGAAACTCCGGTCTTGTGGGAATACCGTGTCCTGGGACCATAACTCGTAGGAACCGAGTAAAACACTGCTTGGCAATAGGCCTTGAAATTGAAATGTATAGGTTACTCAATGCATCGTACTTTGCGTTCAACGTGTCCCCCCTGTAGTCTACATATTCAAACACAGGGGGGGATCGTGCTCCTGAAATATCCGGTGACAAGTAATAAACAATCGAGTATCTGAATCAAATAGAGAAACAGATAAGGATATACCTTTAGTTCTCTTGAGTGTCGCGAGAAGCTGAATTCATTAATTTTGGACCCTTGAGACGGGTCTATTCTGTTTCATGGATGATCATAATGTACTTTACATCAATTTGAAAAAGAGGGATTGATTTTCAACCAGCTTACACTGACATCTCCTAGCCGAGTGACTATCTAAAAAGCATACTTCAATCCCGGTCTCGCTAAGCTCACGATCTGCCTCTCTGTAAACTCCTCGATGCCCGCCACGCCACCGAACCGGCCATAGCCACTCGCGCCGCCGACGCCCCCGTTAGGCAGCGGCGCCTCAATGTACACGGTCGGCCCGTTGACGTGGCAGCTCCCCGTCCGGATCTGCTTTGCCGCGTCCATGGCGCGCAGGATGTCTTGTGAGAAGACGCTGGCACACAGCGAGAACTCGCTGTCGTTGGCCTGCGCGACAGCTTCATCGTCTGTGTCAAATTCAGATACGAAGAGCACGGGGCCAAACGTCTCTCGGTGGAAGAGGTCCATGTCCCGCGTAACGCCCGTGAGGACGTGAGGGGCCAGGATTGTCCGACACGGTCCGTGAAGAGCCAAGTCGCCCGCCAGAAGCGTGGCGCCCGCGTCGACCGCATCCCTGATCAGACCGAGCACACGCTCAGCGGAGGCGGCAGTGAAGAGACCTGAGAGTTGCGCATCCGGATCCTCCAGGTGGTTCCCTACCCGTAAGCTCTCCACCCGTTTCACTAAGAGGGCCTTGAAGTCCGCTGCCAAGGAGCGATGCACAATCGCCCGCTCCGTAGACATACAAATCTGCCCGCTGTTAGACATGGCGCCGTATACCACTGCCTCCACAGCGGCCTCCAAATCGGCATCCTCCAATATCACGACGGGTGCCTTGCCACCCAGCTCCAGGACACACGGCTTCAGACATGACGCTGACAGCCCAGCGATGATACGGCCAACGCGGTCGCTGCCCGTAAAGTTTGCGCGGCTCACCTTTGGGTGCCGGATTGCAAACTCGATCGCCTGTGGCGTCTCGGCGGCGCTGGTGGGCAGGAATTGCAGGCAGCCCGCGGGCAGTCCAGCCTCAATTAGAGCGCGCACTACGAGGTGCTGCGACTTAGGGCTGAACTCGGACGGCCTCAGGATCACGCTGTTCCCGCAGATCAACGGGCAGCAGATTGCTCTGGCCGTCAGCGTGACGGGCATGTTCCAGGGGCTGATGGCCAGGACCACGCCGACAGGCTCGCGGCTCACTAGGATCGTGGTGCCAGGCCGGTCTGCGGGGACGATCTCTCCCTTGATGTGCGTCGCCAGGGCGGCGGTCTCGCGGAAGACGCCAGCTGTGGACATAATGTTGGCCTTGACCCATCCCCTCGTGGCCGACACCTCGGCTGAAAGGATTGCTGGCGCGTCCTTGTCGATGTACGTCTCCATGATATCGGCGGCCTTGAGAAGGATTGACCGTCGTGACGAGGGGCCGAGGCGGGCCCATGAAGCTTGAGCTGCATGTGCTTCCTCGATGGCGGCGGCAAAGTCATCTAGAGAGGCCGAGACACACTCATAGATGGTCTCGCCCGTCATGGGGTTCTTTACGGGGAAGGTCCCATTCTTCTGGCTGTTCTGGTATTTTCCTGAGATGAATAACTCTTGCGGAGCTGCGAGCGAAGTATCAGACTTGCTGACATGGACGCCGTTGGTTTGAGACATTGTGAACGATCAATTTATACCCGCAATCGATAATTCAGTAGGGAGCAGGACGGTTCTGAAAGCTTTAAAGCTCTGTTCTTTGAGAACTTGTAGTTCTAAGAAACCAAGGGGCGCTGTAAGAAAGAATGCGGGTTCCGGCTCCCATATTACGCAAAAGTCATACATTACAGCATCGTATCGGCTAATTGATCGAGTATGACTCGATTGACGTTCATGCTGACGGACTTTGGCTCCGGATATTTGGAGATGTGGATTGGTATACGCAGTGATGGTGCTCCATTGGATCCACATCTCATGTGGGGAAATCAGAGGTACGTGGGGGTTTACAAATGCGGTATAGTCATTCCGACGGATGCTTGGTCCCGAAGAATGTAGAAATGGGCAGTACACACTATTGCCTCACAGCCTTTGCCTCCGGGCTAGAACATATACCATACTACAGGCAGTGCGCCATGGACGAGCCACTATTGGCCCGGATTTCGTGACAAGAGAGAATCGATATCGCCCCAGTCCACAATGCTGGTCCCGTCCATCGCCAGAAATGAGTCCATCATCCAATTGTTAGCCTCTGGCTCCCCATCCAATGACGTCAATAAATTTGGCTGCCAGAAAGGATCTGATATACCGAGCCTCGGCATAAATTCGAGGCCTTGTCCGTGCTGAAAACTCAGGGGCCGTTGCTGCGACGCTGACAGGGAGGAGGATGTGTCTAGCGATGCTCCTGCACCTGGATAGATTGCTAGGTTGCTCGCTCGCCTGCCGTCTAGGGCTTCGTGAATAGAGCCGTTGGACCGGCCCCGATGGCCGCGAGATGCCTGTCGAGTTATTCCCGTCTCAAACCCAGCGCCGCTAGCCGTTAGCCGATCCGTAGAGCCATCAGCAGGCCTGACATTATCCTGCCTTGATCCATCCTCAAAGGTAGCCACAACGCGCGCGAACCGCTTCATCGTGCTGCACTTGTTCACACGCATGAGCACTTCTCTCGTTTGTGTGATCAGCTTGCGCAATTCCAGCTGCAGGTGCGCCTCGCGCTGGTCATGGTATTGGTTTGCAGAGCTAGAAATACGTAGCGACCGCAATATGAGCACCATAACGCCGCAGTAAGCGTAGAAGACATCCATGGCCGATATTCCATTCACCAAGTCAAAGGAGTCTGCAAGCAATATGAGTCGGCATAGCTGCACGGCGTGTGTGACGCAGATGTCTGATAGCCGTTCTCCTGCAGAGCCGTTATGCGGGTCGGTTCTGACCTCATTCTGGCTGAGCAGAGCTATGTGCTCTGGCTCACCCTGTTGTGCGGACGCAACATATCGTAGCAAAGAAGACCGCGTCACGAGAACAGCAATATACCTGTATTGGAGGTGCAAGACCAGGGCAGCCCGAAGTCGAGGTCGACTTTGCCAACCCATCATGGCCTTGAGATCTTGAAATGACATTCGCGGCATCTCCTCAACATTCTGGCAAAGTGAGTCCTCTGTCTCTTTGATCAATGGGATGTTCAACATGTGGTGGGAGGCAAGATCGTCCTTCCACGCCTTCAAGATTCCCAGCGTTTCTTTTGCAGACTGCTCTTGCCGAGCCAGACCGTCGATGTTGCTCCTTCCCTTAGCCACAGCCAGCGTCTTGACGGCCAGGGACACCCTGGCTTTAGCCAGAATAACTTGCAGCCTCAGCGAAAGCTTCATGACCTCGTCGGCCTCATCCTGTCCACTGTCCAGCACTCCCTCACGCGGAGGGACTATCTCCACACCTTCGAAGTCGTAAAATCCGCTTGGTCTCCCAAGGCTGGACGCGAGGAATTGCTCAAAGCCGTAGAGCGTACAGAAGACGCGCTTGCGCACCTCCCTTTCCATTGGCCGAAAGTGTGACCCAGTGTCGCTCGCTCGGTGCAGGCCCATGGCGAAGGAAAGGCGCATGGCAGTCCCAACCAAGTTCCAGGCCGCGTTACGCTCATTATGATTATGTAGAAAGAGGGATAAAAGCAGAAGAGCTCGAACGTTGGAGAGGGTGCACTTTGAGATAAAGTGAGGCAGGAGCTGACGGGTGAGGCTGGCACAATGGCGACAGAGGGAAGTAAGATCCAAGTCGGTAGCGATATCAACAGAGCCAGTAAGTGCGGCGAAGGCAATCATCATATGCAAACAGCCTAACCAGCCTGCCTCGGGTAAGGTGGGAGAAGGTAAATGTACACCCGCTCGAGGGCGCTGATCATAGTGCCGCCCTTTGGACATGAAGGTCTCATATTCTTCCTCAAAGGTACCGCGGTGGAATAAGGGAAAGTCTGGATGGACGTGCTTGAAATATACCCGGATCAGAGAATCGACGACATCGCGAGCCGGAAGCTGCCTCCTTATCTCGTCGATATCATTTACGGGTATATTGGAGAAATCCCGGACAAGAGCAGAACCCAAGGAGGCAGGGGAGCGCTCGTCAATCTCCTGGCGCTCATCGGCACCGTTGCCAGTGCCTCCAACAGGCAAAGCAGCGAACTCACTCTGGTCACCATCTGCTTCCAGGGCTTGCGCTGCATCTTCATCGGTGAACGTGGCCGTAAAACGAGCGGGTGCCCGGGAGCCTACGGCATCCTCGCTGCGGGATACAAGAAGCAACCTCCGGAGCTGGCCCAAAAACTGCAGGCTTCCAGACGGGCCGATGAAATGTTCTCGTCCAGTGGTATCTCTAATGAGTCCAACCGGTTCATCTGTACAGGAATTTTTTTCCAGGACTTGGGTGGAAGAGTGCCTTCCTTCATTCTCGGTATGGACATTCACGACACCTGTTCTTGGTGGTGAGGAAGAGGCACCCTGTATTGACCCTGTGACGCCCTGGTCTCCAGCTTTCGTAGCGAAGTCTCTCACCAGCTCCTCTATCCTAGGTGATTCCCCTGACGTCTGCGATAGGTCCGGCATGGCATAACCCCTGCTCTCTCCTAGCCGGATGAGGTCCGGAACGGTGGAGATGCCGTCATTGGGAAATGCCCCACGTACGATGGCCTCTAAACATTTGAATCTAAAGGTAGGATTATACACATCGTCAATACGGGCTGGCCGCACAAGAAGGTTGCCCGAATGTCTTCTTACCGATCACTCAGACTGTCCACGCTGCCGTAGAACCTAGTCTTTCGCGGAATTGTATATGAGCATTCCAGGTTGTGGTCCTGGCACATGACACATCCGTGCCCTGATGGCAGTGAAACACATTTGCAGCGTCGCTGTCGGCATCACGGTACGGAGACCCAAGTGTCAGCTTACAGCCCTTGCATGTGCAGGAGGCAACAAGGGTTTGACCTTAATTCTCCTGCAGTATCACACAGCATTGAGCTTACCTTACGACAAAAGTCGCCTAGCGCAGATCTCAGTACCGGGTCACTTCATACTCGCCAGCAACAAGCGAGCTGCATACACATGGACTTACAGCTATACGCGGATCGCTTCCGCGATACGTCGGGGATCCTCCTTAGCCGGCGCTTCGGCTGTGGTGCTGCCGATACCTCGGCCATCGCGTAGAAATGGGGTTGCGGTCATCCACTTCCTTCGTCTTGCGTCCGATATCGGGTCCGTCGACTTGGTCTCTCTTCGGTGTAGATGGTAAGATAACTGACGGAGAGCCGATGAATGTACTGCGGAGGCAAAAAAAGCGTCGGAGCAACGAACCGTATGCACGTTGGGACAGGGGGGTTGATACGGACTTATGCTCCCGGTACATGACGCGCTTACCAGCCCTGGACAGGAACTGCGGGGACTTGGGGCCGTTTCCCCGCATGTCCCACTCTCGGCGCCGACAGCACCTGGCTATACCAATATCCGGCAAAATAGCCGACTTGTATCAAGTCTTGATCCGTTTCTTATTGTCAAAGTCACACCTTCATAGAATTTTTGTCATTACAACCTCTTACATCTTTGGATTTTGCTTGTCAGCGGAAAGCAGGACGTATCAATCGCCAAGATGTCGTCTACAAGCGAGTCCTTCACGCTCCCAAATGGGCGACAGATGGCCTATGATCTGTCATCCAGCGATCCCTCCAATCGCGTGGTCCTTCTCTCTAATTCCTTGGCCGAAGATTTGACCTCCTGGGACCGCGTCGTGCCGGTATTGGAAAACCAAGGCTTCCGCGTCCTTCGCTACGATCATCCGGGCCATGGACGCTCGGGTGCACCTACTGAAGACGAATTGACCTCCATGACATTCGAGAACTTGGCGGATGATGTCTATCATCTTCTCGGGCATCTCAAAATCAACAGGTTGCATGCCTGGATCGGTGTCTCAATGGGTGGAATCAAGGCCGTGTACTTCACCGCGCGCCATCCGGGCATCGTGAACAAGATCGTCGTGGCTGACGCTATCGCCGCCTCCCCGGCTGTAGCCTGTATCCCCGATAACTTCGCCGCCCGAGTAAGCGCCGTCAAGCAGTCGGGTTCCATATCAGAGGACCTGTCAAATACTCGGAAGCGTTGGTTTGGTGAAGATTGGATGGCGCGGCATTCGGAGGAGACGGCCAGGATGGAGAATTCCATGGCGACAACTACAATTCAGGGGCTGGAAACGTGTTGCGCCGCCCTAAGAAGCGCTTCTTTCGACCTGAGGCCGCTTTATCCGAAGGTGGGACACGGCTGCGAAGAGGCGCTCATCGTCGCCGGGGAGAAGGATGCGGACCTTCCAGTCAAGATGCAGGAGATGCGACAGGCTATTGAGGAGAGCTTCCGGAGTTGTGGAAAGAAGGTGCCCGTACGGATGGAAATTATCAATAATGCCGGGCATGTTCCCTATATTGATGGTTTCGAGAACTTTTGCGAGATAATCACCAAATTCCTTTCCTAGTTAGCACTCATTTTTTCTAAATCTAGACTTTGCAATCAAATCAATTGAGAGCAATTCATTCTTCAAGCCGTGTTCCCCGGAGTGTGTCATGTCTTAGTCCCGTAATGCTCGTCTCCGCTGTAGCTAGTCTGGGGTAGCAAGTGCGCGCTAGTAGGCAAATAGAAGCAATGTTCGGGAGTTGGCCCTGACCAGGATGCATGTGCCGCGAGGGTGGGTCGAGAGCGACATCCGTCGGGTGCAGTCTTCCGATGGACAACCTCGTACAGGGGGAGTATTTCCGCAAATGCAGAGGGTCGCGATCGGAGAAACAAGACGGTCTCGGACACGATTATGGATCTCGACAGTTGAGTTTGCCATCATGAGTTCTATAAAGTGATCATGTTTGAGATAGCGAATCGAGACATTGGATGAAACACTTAAGCAGACCGGAAGACAATCATAATTCAGAGGGATTCCTTTCCAACGACGCAACAAAATGACTCACACATCCAGATCGTTGAACGTTCTCATTGTCGGCGCCGGCTTGGGCGGCCTCGCGGCGGGACTGGCTTTGCAGACGGACGGCCACAAGGTCACAATCATCGATGCAGCTCCTGAGTTCGCAGAGGTAAGAAACCAACAGCCGAAGCTACTTGAGCATGCCAGATATAATGGATGGAATCAACTGACTGACACTGGAGTTTCACATAGGCTGGAGCGGGGATCAGAATTCCACCCAACTCGAGCCGGCTGCTCATGCGATGGGGTGTTGATCTGGAGAGGATGAAGAAGTCGACTTCACAGAGATACCACTTCATTCGCTGGAAGGACGGCAGCACCATATTCGATTTGCCCTTCAACAATATCGTCGAGACACATGGGGCGCCTTACTGGTTGGTTCATCGAGCAGACCTGCACGCCGCTCTGCTCGATGCGGCCCTGAAAGCCGACATCGAGGTCCTTACCAAGAAGCGTGTCGTATCCTACGACTTCGAGGCGCCGAGTGCCACCACACAGGACGGCGAGGTTTTCAAGGCTGATTTGATCGTTGGTGCAGACGGCATAAAGTCCACCTGCCGACCCCTTCTTACCGGTCAGCCGGACGTCCCTCGGGACACGGGCGACGTCGCCTACCGGATTCTGATTCCTGGTGAGAAACTGCTGGCGGAACCGGACCTGGCTCATCTGATCCGCAACCCCTGCACGACATCATGGTGTGGTCCGGACGCGCACTTGGTCGGCTACCCGATCCGCAATGGCGAGATGTACAACATCGTCGTGTGTGCCACCTCCTACAACGAGACCACGGACGAGGTCTGGGTCGTCAAAGGCGATAATAGCGAGCTATGTAAGCGCTTCGCCAGCTGGGAACCCCAGGTCCAGAAGCTTTGCGCCCTCACGGGCGACTTCATGAAGTGGCGCCTGTGCGACCTACCAAACCTCACCCACTGGACACACCCCTCGGGCAAGGCCGTGCTGCTGGGTGACAGCTGCCACCCGATGCTGCCTTACCTAGCCCAGGGCGCTGCCCAAGCCTTCGAAGACGCCGCCGTTCTGCGCCAGGTGCTCGCCCAGGACGTGCCCATGGCTGCAGCCCTCAAACAGTATGAGCAGATCCGTATGCCGCGGGCGAGTCTGGTGCAGGCCAAGACTCGGGAGCACCAGTACATCCTCCATGTTGATGACGGTCAGGAGCAGCAGGAACGGGATGAGAAGCTGGCTCTCGATACTGCGGAGAACCCGGTCTTCTGGGGCTACGGTGACCGGAGAGAATGGCTCTTTAGTCACGATGCAGAGGTGATCCAGAAAGAAGGGGCAAACTGGAGAGATGCCCCCAAAATGAATGGCGTGCATGTTTCTTAGATAACGGAGGCAATGCTTTAGACTCTTTTATTCTTCCGCCAACCCAGTTATGCTTACGTTGTGTATCAGTCCTCTGAAACTCACCCCGTAGTGTGACCGTGCTTTGCGAAAAAGGCATCTCCAATCAGCGTACAATTTGTATACGTGTTGCAAACCTCGCACTGGACTCAAAGGGACTGCCTGAGGTTGTCGGCACGGCTAGCGGCGACGTCTATGTCAACTGGTGTTCCAGCTCCCCTGGTATATTTGCCCAAGCCCAGTATTGCCAACACGCCCCAAACACGGTCATCGGTAGCGATAGCCGATCCGGCGTCAGCGTAAAAGTTTGCAGTGCTCAGGAGGTGCTTCCTAAGCCCAGTTTGCCTCAAGCTGCCCGACTTTCAACCCGTGCTCTAGTCCGCGTCGCTCTGTAATGGAGCCCCGGCACAATGAAACAATAAGCTTGAGTGGGCACGTTATGCCAATCTGCAAGGAATCTGTGTATGATTACCACCTTGCCTACCCTGAAGAGGGCGGTGTTTGCAAATATGTGCGTTATGGCTCCAAGGTGGAAAATAGAGTAGCGTCAGGCTAATAAATGCTACCTAGATCAGACCGGCCGCGTTAAAATTCTCGGCAACGCGTTCCTCGAGATAATTCTCTTCCATCTCTCGTACAGGTCTGAGCTTTGCACAATATATGAAGATTATTCAAAAGGCAAAGCTGAGAAGAGAGGTAAAGCTGCTTAGAGTTAGTCTAGCATGATTGAGGCAATACACCGTCACTCACAAGGCAATAAAGCTAAAAGCCTCTGCGGTATAGCTTCGTGAACAGTTTACCTCTCCGTTCCAGCAGTTCCTGCGACAATTTGTTCGATTGAAATCGAGAGCCAAGAGAATGAAGTAAGCTATCTATAGACCGGAAAAATTAGATTGCTTACAATCAATGATTCCGTCCTTATATGCTGACAGATAGGACAAGACGCCGCCTGTGAGTAAAAGAAGAAATATATGCCATCTATAACAACGGGTCATGTAGCTAATACCCAGAGCCAACACAAGAATGACCAATGTCAATGAAGCCTTCTTATCTGTTAAAGATCACGGGCAATGGCTGGCCGGGCCTCGATAGATAGCTTACAATGACGAGCAAATAGACCACCATGACAGTCTCGGTCCCTTCTACCGCCCAAGCTGTAATTCCAAGGACTATTACCGCACTAACGGCTTGAATAGCGCGAACAAACCATCCTGCGAGTCCAATAGAATGGCCGAAGTAGCTTCCCATAGCGGAGAGATAATCTGGGCAGACTTAGTGTTTCGATGATCAGGTAGAGATAATTAAATATACTGAAAGAGGCAAGAATATTTATTCAAATTTTAGAAAGAATAGCAGTCCCGCATAACGTTCATATGGAGTCCATGATCTCACATATGGGAAGACCTCCACGCCCGGAATTTCCAGATAAGTGCATTGAAAAGCCTTTTCAAAACAGAAATGTATTGTTCCTGTCATATGACGCACTTCAGGCGATCGATTCGCTGATCTCGAGTCAGTCATCGGCTATTGTGATCGACAAATCCTCTGCGATCGATGATGCTCTGATTATGTAATCAACAAAAATGGTCATATATTGCGCCTAAGAGGCTCTTTTTTTTTGTGGAGATTGATAAAGATCAATAGATTCGAATCAAAAGCGTGAATGAAAGGGCCTGGAAGGCCGTATAGTACTTGCAATGCTAGCCAACAGCCATGTAACCGGCCGTCGCGGCTCGCAGTCCCAAAAGGACCGCATCTTGCCTCATATGAAAAAGAATGATTGGTCCGGACCTCTTTTCGATGTGAGCGATGCCTTCATACAAAAGTCTTCATAGCTAATAGTGATCTTCAGACGATCTACGCTGGAGTTTCTATCTCAACCACGGCCAATTCCAGCCCCCACATTGCGATTGCCTTTCGTGATGTGACATACCTTTTGGACTTTATAGAGACAGTTCTTCCTCCAGAGGCCACAGAAGTCGAGATCGGCCAGTCTATTATTTCCGAGCTTAAAGAGTACAGTGACATACACCTGGAAAAGATTGTTGGTATTGCGCTGCCCCGAACCTTGCATGAACGGATTCCATCTTTATGCCCACAACTTTGGGCAGAAATGGACATTTTGCCGATCGCCCTGGATGAGGAGTCGTCTGTCATATCTTATGCTGAGAACGAGACTCGAGTGCATCTTGAGCACAAAGCTATCGATGAGCAGGCTGAATCAATGGCGAGAAAATGCACAAGGTACGATCGATGCTCTTTAGAAAGAACTCTTACAACCACCTTTTTCTTTGATCGCACGGTAGCTAATACTCAACAGGTTCTTTGGACCCAACAATCTGCCACTCTTGCATGTCGGCTTTCTTGGCGACGTGGGGGTAGATGCGAGCTTTCACATTAAACTCATGAACGAAGACTGTTTCCAGCAGAGTGTTCGGCCAAAGACCTGGTCAGCCGTGGAATACTACGTGAAGGATCTGAGGGACCGACAAGTAAAAATCGCCTTCTTTAGTGCGACTCCTCAGGGCGGGGGCGTTGCACTCATGCGGCATGCTTTAATTCGACTAGCACACGAAGTCGGCGTGGACATCAAATGGTGAGCTTCAAGCGTATCACCCTTTCACTGTCAAAAGTCTCTTGATACTGATTGCTTCGCCAAGGTATGTGCCGAAGCCAAGGCCCGATGTATTCCGCATCACCAAAACCAATCACAACATCTTGCAAGGTGTTTCCGCGCCACACGAACGACTGAGTCCAGAAAGTCAGCAACACCTAGTGGATTGGATCGATGACAATGCCCACAGATACTGGATACGCAAAGGCGGCCCTCTTGGTCGGCCTGCCCAGGGGGGCGCCGATATAATCATCGTTGATGACCCCCAAATGACCGGTCTCATTCCGGTCGCCAAAAGAATGGATTCACAGAGACCCGTTATCTATCGAAGCCACATTCAAATGCGAAGTGATTTGATTGAAACGCCTGGGAGCCCTCAAGCTGAAGTTTGGGACTTCCTCTGGGAGCAGATTCAAGCCGCAGACATTTTCATCAGTCAACCGGTGGACCATTTCGTTCCTCAAAATGTGCCCCCGGCTCGTGTAGGATACATGCCCGCATGCACCGACTGGTATTCTCTCCATTTTCCACTTATCACCTGATTCACTAATGACTTATGCCAGGCTGGATGGTCTCAACAAAAACATGAGAGACTGGGACACTGCGTTCTACGGACGGATGTTCAATCACTCCTGCAAGAATACGGAAATGACCACCATTAATTACCCCGACGGTAAGCCAAGGGAATTGAGCATATTATTCTCTCAAAGGCCTGAAATGTGTTTGCTAACGTTACCACAGAACCATATATCGTGCAAATCGCACGATTTGATCCTGCCAAGGGGATCTTTGATGTTCTTGCATCATACGACAGCTTTCGAAGTCTACTGGCTCAGTCTCATCCTGAGATGAAGGCACCGAAACTTCTCATTTGTGGCCACGGATCCATAGACGACCCCGACGGATGTATTATCTATGACGCGGTTCTGCAGCGTATTCAAGATACCATGCCACATCTTTCGGATAGTATTTGCGTCCTGCGTTTGGGACCATCGGATCAAGTCCTGAACACCTTGCTCTCCAAAGCACACATTGTCTTGCAACTCTCAGTGCGTGAGGGATTTGAGGTCAAAGTATCGGAAGCAATCCACAAAGGAAAACCTGTCATCGCGACCCGTGCAGGCGGCATCCCGTTGCAGTTGGAGGATACAAAGAACGGGTATCTTGTTGAAGTCGGAGATGTTGATGCCGTCGCCAACCACCTCTTGGCTTTATGGACAGATCACGATCTCTACCAGCGCATTAGTGCTTACTCCTTGAGCCATGTCAGTGACGAGGTCAGCACAGTCGGACATGCTCTCAACTGGTTTTATCTCGCGTCCAAGTTGTCGAAAGGTCAGAAAGTGCAGCCGAACCAAGATTGGATTCAGGATCTAGCCCGACAAGAGCTCGGTCAATCGTACTCCAAAGCCGACGGAAAACTGAAGCGGTCGGTCCATGATGCTCACTGAAAACGTCACGGTCAAATTGTTTCGTCTACGGCGTTCAAGGTACCCTTCACGTGCGAAGTCTCGCATCTAAAGGGAAATCAAAGTACTGGGAGCTACTTAGCCCTAGGCTATTGACGTCAGACTATTGGGTTTTGTTGATATTAGTCTGCGCTGCTTTCTTTGAACCTACCATACAGAGTCGATAGTAATACACATAACGTTATCTCAAATTTTGTTATCAACTGGTAGTTTGCCGATGGGTTCTAGGATCTACAAGTAACGGTGATCTGCGCACTTGAATTTGCTCATGGGCGTTGATTCCAAGCAGAATTTGGACGTTCCAAATCAACTTATAGGACGGACAAATTGTGACACGGGTGCTGTACTGCAATTGAATTAAATCTTCTACGAAAATTACAATTGGACTCGTCTACATATTGAAGTGAGAATGACCCGATGGCTGACTACGCAGATTAGGCAACATACACACTCTCACACACTCACACACACATAATGAGGAAGGACTATAGGGAGGAGAACACATAAGGGTAGATTAGAAGAGAAAGTGTGTCTGTCTTGCTTTATCCTGAGCGTAGAGAGTCTTATACATCACAAAAGCCTTAGTCATCAGGTGGACCGCTCCTTTATGCAGTCAGCAGTTCCCCCACTACAATATGTAAGGCCCGCGAGGTAGATAAGATCGATTGGGCCAATTAGCCCTTAGGGCAAGATGTTGGTACAGTATGTATGAGTTCGAGATCTTTAAGAGCATCCGACACACGCTAGGGATGTCTAAGGTCCAAGTGTCATCTCTTCCTTATACATGGGACTCTTTAGTACGCTCCTGTTGGAGCATAGCCAGCGCCACCACGAAAGAGTGCCATCATCGGCGCATTCCAAGTGAAGAAACTAGCCGAACATTGGGATGATCTGCATGCCAAGCCCACCTTAAAGTGCGAGTCGTCCGCTTGACCGAGGCTGGAGGACATTTGGAATAGGGTTTTGGCAATTCTCCTAGGATATACCGCGGAAGATACCTTTCTTTCGAGATGCAGGAAGAACACCGAATTCTCGGGCCTTTGAAGGTAGATTAGGGTAAAACAAGCCGTGAAGATGCACTCGGTAGAACCGGAATTGCGCAACATGCCCCACATTCAACACTAGGCGTTTCCCGCTATTCCGGTGGCTCTTGGCATACTGTCGGACTTTTGAAAAGCCTCGGTAGCACCTTATCCGAGGAAGATCGAAGTCACTTCTTCTTCATCCCGCAATAAGTGCGAAGAGCTCCAGAATTGTTAGAAATTAACTCGATCTCTCTACGAGTAAGATCATCTGTCGACCGGATAGAGCAGAACAGTCGGAGAGTTCGCCGACTTCACAGCTTTCCCCGCACGTCCAATTTCCCCAGATTCCCGTTAGACTTTGGATCGTGTGCCTTTCTCTCTTTCTCTCGCCTTCTGGCCATAAAGATATCTTGATTTACGTCTTCCTATCTTCGTCCACCGCGTGCGAACCTAGCCGCATAGTGCCTTGAGCTGCACAACTCCATTCACCCGCCCGGCTACTACCTGGAGTAACGGAAGCCACGCATATTCCAAAATGGTGTTCTTGCCGGATAAAAAGTTCGGCGAACTGGGCACGGTTCCAGACAGCATTTCGATTTGTGAGTTCATGCTCAACGAGAAGTATGGACGAATGGCCCACGACAAGTCGCGGGACCCTTACACCTGCGGGTTGACCGGAAAGTCGTATTCCTCACGAGAAATTGTCTCCCGTGTAGACCAGATCGCCCGTGGCCTCGCAGCAGAATTCGGCTGGAAGCCAAATCAGGGATCGGAATGGGACAAGACAATTGCCGTTTTTGCCCTCAACACGATAGATTCTTTGCCTTTCTTCTGGGCCACGCATCGACTTGGTGGTGTCGTGTCTCCGGCGAATGCATCCTACTCTGCCGCTGAGCTGAAACACCAGATCGTGGACTCCAAGGCTAAAGCTCTCTTTACTTGCGTCCCGCTGCTTCCCGTCGCATTGGATGCGGCCGCTCAGGCCGGTCTTCCTCGGAGCAAGATCTATCTGATCGATGTACCGGATACGATTCTTGGCGGCGCAAAGCCACCTACCGAGTACAAGACCGTCAATCAAATAGCCGAAGCTGGAAAATCTCTTCCACCGTTGGAGGCGTTGAACTGGGGTCCTGGAGAGGGAGCGCGTCGAACCGCTTTCTTGTGCTACTCGAGTGGCACATCTGGCTTGCCGGTATGTTGACCATTAACCACGCTATCCAGGCCAATTTCTAACAGAGTGCTTACAGAAAGGAGTCATGATATCTCACCGCAATGTTATCGCCAATACCATGCAAATCGCCCTCTTCGAAAGGAGTCACCGAGCCTCATCCAATAGCTCCACTGAAGTCACGCTGGGTCTTTTGCCGCAGAGTCATATCTATGCCCTGGTCGTGATCTGCCATTCGGGTCCGTACCGAGGAGACCAGATTATCATTCTTCCCAAATTTGAGCTCAAATCTTACTTGACGGCCATCCAAAAATTCAAGATTTCATGTCTCATGCTGGTAAGCTATTGTGACGGCATACTCGATGCCAGGTTATTAATTGTGCTACAGGTTCCCCCGATTATTATCAACATGTTGCGCTTGCAAGATGAATGTTCCAAGTATGATTTGAGCTCCGTGAAATCCCTATTCACAGGAGCTGCACCCCTTGGAATGGAGACTGCGGCCGATTTTCTGAAGGTCTATCCCAAAGTGCTCATTCGTCAAGGATACGGTAAGGACATGTTCTCTCCATATAGATATAGAAAGTACCAGACTGATTTCTTCGTACTAGGCCTCACGGAAACTTCCACTGTTGTCAGCTCGACCCATCCCGATGATATACTGCTCGGCTCTTCGGGATGCCTAGTCCCAGGCTTCGAGGCACGCATCATGTCAGCGGAAGGCGAAGAGATCACAGCTTACAATACCCCGGGTGAGCTGGTGGTCCGATCACCCAGTGTGGTGCTAGGCTACTTGAATAACGACAAGGCTACCAAAGAGACCTTCGAGGATGGTTGGATGCGCACTGGAGACGAGGCCGTGATCAAAATTGGTCCCAAGGGCACCGAGCATTTGTTCATTGTGGATCGCATCAAGGAATTGATCAAGGTCAAGGTTTGTCGACTCATCAATCTGAAAATTTTTAAAACTATCCCTGACTAACCGCCAATGAGTAGGGTCTCCAAGTTGCACCAGCTGAGTTGGAAGCTCACCTGCTGACTCACCCCGCTGTGTCTGACTGTGCCGTAATTGCCATTCCCGACGATGCCGCTGGTGAGGTCCCCAAGGCTATTGTCGTCAAGTCAGCCTCTGCAGGTCCAGATGAAGAAGTTGTACAGTCTATCAAGAAGTTTGTTGAGGACCATAAGGCCCGGCACAAGTGGCTCAAGGGTGGTGTGAGATTTATTGATGTCATTCCCAAGAGCCCAAGTGGCAAGATTCTACGTCGCCTGCTGCGGGACCAGGAGAAGGAGGCTCGGAGAAAGGCCGGGGCGAAGATTTAAGCTCCTAGATCTTTGTGCAAGCGTTCGTTTTTTCCTACAGCAGTAGATTCTGCCCTTGATGACATGTTTTTGTTGATCGACATTACAATTGATTGGTACTTATTAGAATATCAAGCATTGAATTTATAACTGATCTTTCAATATCTTTATCTCAATTCATACATATTCTCTGCAGTTAAAAGGAATGTATACTTCACTTTAGATATTGAGGGAGTTTGCAGTGTTTGTCTCCTGCGGGGATGCAGATTTCTAAGCGGGGGAGGTTGACAGAAAAAAAAAGATCCAGCTTCAGCTCGCTCATTCTTTCATTTTCTACTTTTAGACAGAGGAATATCCGTTTACTCTGTTCTTTCACTTATTGAAATACTCACCCAAGGCATCTGTCCCTAAAATACCCCCAAATCACCTCCAATCGATATATTCTATAAACTTTACATCACATCAATCTCGCCTCCGATTGGCATCTGCACAATGTCCGCCCAAGACCACCACCAGCAAGATGATGAAGATATGTTCGTTGGCGCCGACGAGGGCGAAGAGATTGTCAACGACGACGACCACCCAATGGAGTCCGACGGAGAAGACGAGCAAATGACCTACGAACAAGAAATCTCTCTGCAGAACGATTCATCCGCACACTTCGACTCACACGACGACTCCGTCTTCTGCGTTGCGCAACACCCTGTACACAACAACATTATCATCACCGGTGCCGGTGATGATCTAGCTTACATCTTCGACTCGACCCCTGCCGAGAAACCCCTTCTCCCTCGCAGTTACGAAGCAAATCCCCAGCCGCGCGAGCGCGAGGGTATTCCGCCTCTAGCTAAGCTGAATGGACATTCTGATACCGTCAACGCGGTGGCTTTTACCGAGCCGGCGGGTGAATATGTGCTGACGGCCGGTTTGGATGGCAAGCTGCGTGCTTGGCGCGACTCCACGCCCCAGAAGACTGGGACTGCGTGGGAGTTTGTCGCTGAGGCTCAGGAGGTGGAGGAGATCAATTGGGTTGCTGTTTGCCCTTACAGTGAGGGTAGTGAGGAAAAGCGAAATGTTGTTGCATTGGGTGCCAACGATGGCAGTGCTTGGGTATTCCGCATTGATCACACCGACTCTCAACCTATTACCATCATTCAGAGTTTCTTCCAGCACACTGCTTCTTGTACTGCTGGTGCCTGGACACCGGATGGAAACCTGCTTGCGACTGTCTCTGAAGACGGTAGCTTCTATGTCTATGATGTCTTCGGCGCCGCGGCAGCGGCTGGCATTTCTGGCTCGCCCGGTACCAACGCTGTCGTTGGTTTGACAGCGGAGGACCAGCGTTTTGCTATTGAGGGCGGTCTGTACTCTGTTGCTGTGTCCCCGGGTGGTGGTATTGCCGCCGTGGGCGGTTCTGAGGGCCACATCCGGGTCGTCGGTCTTCCCCGCCTTGCGGGTGCTGCTGCGAGTGGCAAGGGCAAGGCAGCTCAATCTGCTACTGCCTCCGCCGCTGGTACTATCATTGCTGCGCTGCAGACCCAGTCAGACGGCATCGAGACCTTGTCTTTCTCCCAGCCCCCGATGACTTTGCTCGCTGCTGGTTCCGTGGATGGCTCAATTGCTCTGTACGATGCTGCTCACCGATTTGCTGTTCGCCGTCATATCAAGGAGGCCCACGAGGGTAGTGCCGTGGTCAAGGTCGAGTTCCTACAAAGTAAGGCCCCGGCTGTCGCTCGCGCGGGTCCTGCTGGCCAGAACCAGCCCCGATCATGGATGCTCACCTCGGTCGGACTGGATGGTGTTGTCCGGAGATGGGACGCTCGTGGCGGTACCGCCGCTGCCGCTCTGGGTTTGATGAAGGAGTGGAAGGGTCACATGGGCGTCTCTGAGAACGAGGAAGGCGAACAGGCCGGTGGCATCATGGGCTTCGTGCAAGGCTTTGATGGAAAGCGCATTGTCACCGCTGGTGATGACGGCGTGACTTTGGTCTTCGAGGAGGAGTAGAGTGCTGGTTGTATAGGACTTTGATGCGATTTTTATGATATCATGTTACACCCATAAAGGCAATGTTGCACGATTTAAGCCTTACAAGGAATGAACCTCCAAATTTTACGGATACTAATGTCGTAAGCAATATTCCGCGCGACATAGAAGGGTTATAGGTCAAACAGTAAAGAAATATCTGTAGTAATTGAACATGAACTATGTACATCCGACAATTCAACCCGAAGCGCCGCTGCAAGGCACTTCCCTCGGCATGAGGAGTAGGCCGCTCCGCTTCGACTCGACAAGAGGGCTTTCAAGAGACGAGGCCGTAGCATTCAACGTCAAAATTCCGGGATTTTAAGTGTCCTGCTGAGATAGAACGACTCTTGCTCGCCGATTGGGGTATCCATCCTTCTTTGATTATTTGTCGGTCGGCCGCCTGAAAAACTTCTTTGCAAAACCTCCTAGTGGTGGGCCTCGCCGTGGGCGTCACCGTGGTGGTGGTCGTCCTTCATGAAGAAGTGCTCGTATGCGCAGTAGGCAGTGAAGGCGACAGTCGCGATGCCCAGACCGGGGAAGAGGCCCTTGAAGCGGTTCCAGCGGGTAAAGGGGCCGGTATAGCGCCAGGCCTCGCTGTATGAAAAATTAGTAGAGCGCGATGGGTCTCACGGCGGGGACGAGTCAACGTACTGGCGAGCCCAGGGATCCCGTTTAGCGTAGACGGAAGACGGGGAGGCGGCGGCCTTGAACTGGCCGACGTCAAAGCCGGTGGGGTTGCGGGCAGGCATTGTGACAGAAGACAAAGAAAACACGGAGAGAGAGCGAAGGCAAGAGCAATCGATCCGAGACAGAAGTCGAAAGACGTGAAGCCGGAGCGGTGCGCTTGGCAGAATAGCATCTACGCTAAACTCGATACGGCGAGCAGTTAGCTCTCCCGCCTTCGCGGACGAAACTGAAGCCAACAACCAGCGCCAACTCGACAAATTCAAGTTCCACAATGCCACCTCCTGTAGGCAGATACGGGCCTTCGGGTCTCGGCGCTCCCTACACCTTGCAACAAGCTCACCTTCAATCCCAACATCCCCACGCACAATCCGCCAACACCGCTCTACCTCCCCTTCACTTGGTGGCCACCCTGGTTTCGCTGGAAACCCCAATACCAACATCAATCCTTTCCTGTCTTCTGCCGGCGTCACGAACGGCATGTCAATCAGCGGCTTTGCTGGCGGTGCAGATGGTGGTGGAACGGGACTGGCAAGCCATGCGGCGCAGATGGGCTTTGCGCGAGGAGCACAAATACAACAGCAGCAACTACACCAAGGACCCCTCGATTCAAAAGCCGGTGCTGCTAAGACCCGGATTCGCGATGTTTGGAAACATAACCTGGCACATGAGTTGGCCGTTTTGAGATCGTTGGTTGACAAATACCCGTACATCAGCATGGTAAGTGGGCGGGGTTAACTATCTATGAACTGAAGGACAGATTCACTTCGAGTCGATATTATTTCCACTTTCAACCCAGCGATGCTGACTAGTCTTAAGGATACCGAGTTTCCAGGAATTGTCGCTCGGCCAATCGGCTCGTTCACGAATAAAGCCGACTATCACTACCAGACCCTCCGATGCAATGTCGACCTCCTCAAGATGATTCAGCTGGGAATTACTCTGTTCAACTCCGACGGAGAAGTTCCCCCGGCCACCACCACGGATGCTAATGGACAACCGTACGGCAATGCCATGGCACCAGCTCCTTGCACATGGCAATTCAACTTCCGGTTCTCATTGGAAGGGGATATGTACGCGCAGGAGTCCACAGCCATGCTTGCCAAGTCGGGAGTTGATTTCGCTATGCACGAGAAGAATGGGATTGACCCTTTCGAGTTCGGATCATTGCTGATCAGCTCTGGTTTGGTGCTGCTGGATGACGTTCACTGGGTTTCTTTCCACTCTGGTTACGACTTTGGTTACCTCATGAAGATCATGCTCTGCTCGCAATTGCCCGAGAACGAGGAAGAGTTCCATAAGCTTTTGACGATCTTCTTCCCATCGCTCTATGACATTAAGTATCTCATGAAGCATGCAAGCCGCAACCAGGCGGTCAATGACTCGCCCCTCACCCCAGCCGCTGCACAGATTCTCTCCAATTTAGGTCAGAAATCTGGCTTGGGGGATGTCGCGGAGGAGCTCGGTGTCAAGCGTATCGGTATTGCCCACCAAGCTGGATCTGATTCATTGGTGACAGGTGAAATCTACTGGAAGATGCGCCAATTGATTTTCGGCGGCTCAATTGATGAGAGCAAATACTCCGGTCAGATCTGGGGTCTCAACGGCCAAATGCCCGCAATGTCCTACCAAATGGCTCAGCAAACGCCCAACCTCAACGGAGCCACCATCTACTCTGCAGTCGGCACACCCGGTACCCCCAACACTGGTATTGGCGCCGGCGCTCATACCCCTCACGGCTATGGCACACCAGGCGGATATCAATCCAGCAAGGCATGAGACGTGTGAAAAGAGAACGCAAGAGTATGATACGATATGATGCATGTACATATGCGCGAGGGTTCTCGTGCTGGATTTCTCGTTCGCCATTGTCTACCTGTCACTTTGCATGAGTTTGCGTAACTGCGAACTCTTCTCGTCGGAGGTGTTGGGTGGGGGCAGTGGGAGGTGTACGGTGTTTCTTTATGATTTTGGCTGGTCTTTGAATTCATCTCGCGAGGCGTTCGGGCTCCACGGCCTTTTTTGCCTTTCTGTTTTGGTCGCATTCTATACTTAGAGGTAGACGGGCTCTGGGGGTTTCTCTCATGTACAGCGAACCGTCATTTCTGATCATGCCTACATTGCTAAGGTGTAATTTTGTATCCTCCAAATATTCACCATGAATCATAGTCACAAGTAAACTAGTTTCCTCATTAAGAATCGATAGGCGAAGTACCCGGACCATGACAAAACTCCATGAATAAAGTATCGAGTTCCGAGCCATGCAAGATGCGCGCAAGCATCCAGTTACCTTTTTGGGACACCCTAAACTTGAACAGGAAAAGGGATCCGGCCTCCGCAATTCATCGTTATCGGACTTATCTAATCGACTTCAATGGCGATAAATGGGTGTTGCACGAGGGGTCCTATATCGCAATTGATTTAAATATTCCGCTGCAGCCCTGTCAATTGCGCTCTCCAAGCCTGATTCTGTCCCCGTTATCACTTAAACGGCTGCTATATACCCGGGATCTTTCTTTATTGGCTTACCTCTGAATCGACACAAGAAGAACTGCCACGATACATCGGAATGGTTCTCGACCGACTCCAGCAGTTGACCCACCAGGTCAGCGCGACGGCACCAGCTCCGCATCCCTTCGACCCTCTCTCCGCGGCAGAGATTGACGCCGTTGTCGCACTCGTTCGCAAGGAATATGGCTCGCTCAACTTCAACGCGGTTACTCTATATGAGCCGCGCAAGGCCGAGATGCTAGCTTGGCTAGCTAATCCGGAGAAGGCCCCCCGTCCTGCTCGTGCAGCTGATGTTGTTGTCATCGCGCCGGGTGGAAAGGTCTATGACGGTGTGGTCAACTTGGACCAGAAGAAGATCGTCGAGTGGAATCATACACCCAATGTGCAGCCACTTATCACAATGGAGGATTTGCAAGAAGTGGAACATGTCGTGCGCAAGGACCCCAAGGTTATAGAGCAGTGTGGAATTGTTGGAATCCCACCAGAGGATATGCACAAGGTGTACTGTGATCGTGAGTGAATGAGATGCGGCAATCTGAGCAGAATCACCTTGGCTGACTTACTTCAGCTTGGACAATTGGCTACGACGAGCGTTTCGGTACTGGTGTCCGGTTGCAGCAAGCCCTTATGTACTATCGACCGCACGTTGACGACTCCCAATACACCTTTCCGCTGGACTTCTGTCCCATCTACAACGCAGAGACCAAGCAGATCATCCATATCGATGTGCCACCAGTGCGGAGACAGATCAATAGGGCCCCAGCAAACAATTATCATGTCGCTGCCATCGAGAGGGAAGGCGGTTACCGTACCGATATTAAACCTATCCACATCACACAACCCGAAGGTGTCTCTTTCCAGATCAAAGGCCGTGAGATCGAATGGCAGAATTGGAACATTCACGTGGGTTTCAACTACCGTGAGGGTATTGTCTTGAACAACATTAGCTTCAACGACAAGGGCAATGTTCGACCCATCTTCTACCGACTTTCTCTCGCAGAAATGGTTGTTCCATATGGGAACCCCGAGCACCCTCATCAGCGCAAGCATGCCTTTGACTTGGGCGAGTACGGTGGTGGCTATATGACCAACAGCCTATCTCTTGGCTGCGACTGCAAGGGTGCAATCCACTATATGGACGCAAACTTTGTCAACCGTGCCGGTGCCTCCACAACGATCAAAAACGCAATCTGCATTCACGAGGAGGATGCCGGTATTCTTTTCAAACACACCGATTTTCGTGATGACTCTGTCGTCGTCACACGAGGCCGAAAGCTGATCATCTCGCACATCTTTACTGCCGCAAACTACGAGTACTGCGTGTACTGGATCTTCCATCAAGATGGAACTGTTCAGCTTGAGGTCAAACTGACTGGCATCTTGAATACCTACGCCATGAATCCCGGTGAGGACACCAAGGGCTGGGGCACTGAGGTGTACCCAGGCGTCAACGCACACAACCACCAGCACCTATTCTGCCTACGTGTGGATCCCAACATCGACGGCCCGGACAATACAGTCTTCCAAGTCGACGCGGTTCAAGGCCCGGGCGAAGTCGGCAGTGCCGAGAACAAGTACGGCAACGCCTTCTACGCCAAGAAGACCAAGTTCACAACTCCGCTCGAAGCAATGTCCGACTATGACGGATCAACAAGCCGGACTTGGGAGATGTCAAACACCAATAAGCTGAATCCGTACAGCAAGAAACCCGTCTGTTACAAACTTGTTAGCCGGGAAGTCCCGCCCCTCCTCCCTAAAGCAGGCGGTCTCGTCTGGAAGCGCGCTGGCTTTGCCCGCCACGCAGTGCACGTCACAAAATACTCTGACGAAGAAATCCACCCGGCCGGCCGCCACGTCCCCCAGACATCTGGTGAGCCCTCGGCTGGTTTACCTCAGTGGATCGAGGCCGCGGGGCCGAATTGCTCGATTGAGAACACCGATGTTGTGTTATGGCACACTTTCGGTCTGACACATTTCCCTGCACCGGAGGATTACCCTATCATGCCGGCTGAGCCGATGACTTTGTTGTTGAGGCCTCGTAACTTCTTCGATCGCAACCCTGCGCTTGATGTGCCCCCGAGTTATTCTCGGACGCCTTCGCAGATCGCAGCGGGTTCGAGTGCTTGTGCTTGTAAGAAGATTGATGGGTCGAGTGTACTGGTTTGAAGGCTGCATGAATGAGAGAGGCCTGGGAAAGTCAATCATCAAAGATTGATTCTGTATGAGCAATTTTGCTTGAATATAGTCAAGCGATAAGTTTTAAAATGCAATTCTATAATGAGAATCCCTTGTCATCCCCGTATTGAGACTATGCAGAGTATAGTAGATCCATATTACTTATTTTCCAAATGCTGTCTAAAACATCTATCTAACCCTGGGGCCCCTATATGTACTTATTCCAAAAGATTATCTCACAGGCAGAGTTTATACTGAAGCTGTGTACTTTTCAACCAAGATATCACCTTGCGGCGGAACACTGGTGATATTGAATGGATCCAAAATCTCATACTTACAACCATCAAGCTCAACCTTGGCATGCTTGAGCAAGGCAAAGATCCAGCATTTGAGCTCTGTCTTAAAGTTAGCCACGTCAGAAGATAGGAGAGAGGAAAGGGTGTTTATACCCATCACAGCCAGAACTCGCCCCGGACAAGCCCATCTTCCAAGCCCAAAGGCGAGGTATCCAGAGCCAGTCATGCCCGCTGTCTTTCCGGATCCAATCCACCGTTCTCCCTTGAACTCCTCCGGGTCGGTAACGAACTCCGGGGATCGATACGACAAGTGAGTGACTGGGAATACGAGAGAGCCTATTGATCAACAATTAATTGATTTGAAATTGATCTGAATTTGTACATATGCACAAGTCATAGGATCATAATACGCACCTTTGGGAATGATATAACCACCAAGTTCGATGTCGCGAACGGGCGCCCGCACAAGATTGACAATGTCACCTTTCATTCGAAGCACCTCACGAATGAAAGAATCAGTCCTGACCGCATCAAGCATTGCTTGGATGTCCACAACAGGATCTGTGTGATTCTTGTCCCAGGATTTTAAAATGGAAGAGACTTCGTCACGGAGATCATCCTGACAGCCTGGCCGCATTCCAAGGTGGAAGGTTACCCATATCATTATAGTAGCCCTGAATATAATCAGTTTCCATCATTTAGTCATTCTGTCGTGGGGGTGAAGAAGAACAAACGTTTGGTGTAGACTAGCGAACAAAAAGGTCAAGATCAAGACCACAATCCACAATCTCGTACGAAATGATAGATGACCGTCTGGCGAGGCGTAGGCTCGAACGAGGTATCCGATTAAGCTATCATCCTAATAATGCCGTCAGAGTCACTACTTTTTCTGACAAACCTTCATTCATACGATACCTTCTTTTCAGGAGACTTTGAAATTTCCGAGATATCCGTCCACAGCGTTCGTGTAAATGTGAAGCCAATATGAAGCGGGATCCGAAAGAGAACAATCTTGATCCATGTCAAGGGTTTCCATAGCCACGATGCTTTGCGCCCTAGGAAGGACAGGTTCTGGTAGATACCCAAGAGCTCGGCAATGTCTTCAGCCAAATCCACGACCGACTTGACATTCCTGGCATTGCCGTATTTCTATTTCAGAGGTCAGCTGGGATTTTCTCTCGCATCTTGAACATGACCAACCTGTCCAAAGAAAATGCAAATCGTTGCCTCTGCCATGATGGCTTGGACCTGGTGTTGAAGCTCGACGGGCCTTCCAGGCTGAGAAGTGTCGACCATTTCACGCACTCCTTTCTCGAAGATTGGCCAGACTGGGATCTCTTTAGTACGTCTTTGATGTTTCCAGTCAGAGTTCAACTTGGGCTTTGCTCACTTTCAGGCACAACCTTCTGCATTCGTTGAGCGACAAAGCCCCGTGCGTAGGTATCCATGTCATGGAAAAATGTTCCATCGTGAAGTTTGTTGACCCAGGAAAGTCCAAAGAACTTGCTCAAGTTAAATTTGATGCCCCTTTTGTTTTATTATCTCTAGGGGAAAGGTACTCACCTTTGTCATTCCGCTCTCAAAGCTAAAGTAACTTTCATCCGTGAGGATCTGCTGTGTGAACTCATTGGATGTTAAGAAAAGTCTCTGTGTTTCCCAGTCAGCGGTATCCATTTATTTTTGGTATGATGAGTTGTCACATACATGACCATTACGGTGAATCTGGATGACGGGTCCATGTTGCTCGAATGCCCTTGTAATAGACTCTAATGGTGTGTGTTGAAGTTCATGTTCCTGGCGCAAGTTAAATTTGTGTTCAAAGTTTTCATCCAATTAAAACGCCGGGATTTACCGTGAGAGGAACAAAAGGAGGTAGAGCTGCCCTCGGAACCTAGATTCACCACATGTTATCATTCCAGCCCTTTTGGGCTTTCGAATTGGAACGCCTGTACCTTGGATTTGCGCAGAATTTTCCAGAAAAGGGAAACTACCGCAAGGACAAAACAGCCGATGATAATCGGCCAGTGGGTGATAAGGAGCATCGTGAAGCGGGACTTGATTGGGAGGCTTGCAAGATACTTCCTGGAGGAAGCAGGGGCATTCTGAGGTCGACGAGGTAGATATAGGTGCTTTGGTTTTAATTTCCCACGCGTGAAGCCTGTGGATCCGTGATTGGAAGGAACTGGGCGCGAGTGCCGTACGGGAACACTACCCGAGATCATTCCGATCCACTCTTTTGAATGGGAAAAAAACCCTTACGTGAGACCTGAAGGCACCACTTCATGCCATCTGTGTAACAGAGCAGTATCTATGTTCTTTAGGAAATGGGTTATGTGGGGTACTATATAATGGTTATCACTGGCTGTTGATGACGCCCCTGGCTGCAGCATCGAGTTTTGCGAACCAGCTGGGGAAAAAAAAAAGAAAACAAAACAGAGGCTTGGAATTACGATCTATAGGCAGGTGATCAGACTTAGAGAGCACCGTGCGCTTGGCCTATCCGAGCTTGTCCCAAGAGAGATTGCCGGTAGCGGAGTTCTCCGGGTTCAAGACCCAACCACGATGGTACTCAATTTAAGGGGAAGAAAGCCCCTCTTTGAATGCAAGCCTTGAATCGACCGTATCCCATGCAAATCAAGAAGTGAAGAGAGCCTATACAGGAAGGAGTTCCCAATCAAGGGATATGGACGCCACCGTCTCGATTCCATGTGAAGCACATTCCATGTTCATGTCAGTGCCGGCATGCTTCGCCATGCCGCGATGCGCGCCACTAGTCCCGAACACTCTTTGTTAACCTTCAGCCTGATTTTCTTTGTCTCTGGTTCGCGTCTTTTGCTTAGCGTCATGTGGAACACCACTTTGCGCACGCTGCATCTTTGTGGTCTCTCGTCATTCATGCAAGGGTATCTCAAAAAAACAAGAATACCGACTTACTGGATCGAGCTAACGTGGCAGTCATGAACGCTCACCAGAAGTGAATTCCCGCTGGTTTGATGGATTTACCCCGCCACCGCGGCAAGATGTAAGGGATTTATTTTCTACTGGGAACAACTTCATCAAACCAAGGCTTCAAAGGTTCGTTGGCCACGGTGGAAAGCGATTGGACTTTTTCCTCGACTCCAGATTCAAGACTTGCAATCGCCGCCGGTCACCACCCTCCAACGCATCAATCTAGCCTTGATGTAATGCTGTTTGAAATTGTTTCGTGGCCCGAATCAAGCCTAACTAGTTCATGCAAGGAGCACGTTACCGGGGTCTGACGTGCGTGGTGAATGATGGAGCTCACATCTGCTCAACCGCCATGCAGTCAACTGGCAGCCTGAGAAATGTCCGATACTATCTTAGGGTTGTCTAATAGCGGTGAAACCTTGGTCTTGTCTAAACAATTTTTGGGACATGCCCAGAGGCTTGGCAGATGCCCGATGAGTTCGCCGAGTCCGCGCTGGATGTAATTGAGACCGAAGATTTATCATGGTCGAATTACAAGGCTCGTGGCATCTTTTCTTTGGTCTATTTCTCAAGGTAGATTCCAGGTACCAATTCGAAACTTAGTTTCTCCTTTGGACTTTGAAGCGATAGGCGATCCATGTACGATGGTTCGGATCTCTGGAAACAAAATCATTGAGCTAGAGACCTTTCTCATCGCAGTTTATCTTGGTCGCACCCAGAGATACCATCTTCACATGTCCCGTGACTTGAGGGTAATAATATCACATATAGTCAAAGTTCCGTGCCAATGCAGTTTCGATCCTGGATATGTTGAATTGAGCTGCTGTGTGAAATCAATGATATCTGGTCAGTAACGAGTTGAATAGGGGGAGATGAAGACAAAGCGCGTGATGATCTGGCAAGAATCTACTAGAGACTAGTACCCCTTCAGGAATTGGAACTTCGTATACTGTTATGCTTGAGATTATTTTGTGACACATTCTTGGAAGGTACTAGACGGCGTGTCAGCGGTAGTCCCCTCGTAGATCGGAAGGCCAGGGCAGCACCCGAAGCTTCCATTTTCGGACTATAGTGCTCAGAATAGTCCTAGTCTCAAACCTACTAGTCCTGTTATGGCTTTGAAGGTCCTCAGGAGCTCACAAAACTTCCTCGGATAATTCTCGTTTTCCAGGTGGGCAGCTACGACGATCAAGGCCAGAGGTCATCATTCGATGCCTAAGTATTTAAACTTCTTGCTCCACCCCTTTGACTTCACTTGCGCATAGTTACCATGGTTCATCCAGTGTTCCATGCTGTACTCCTTCAGAACCTCTAGCTTTCAGGGTATCTACCATCTAATCTTTCCCCACTTCTCAGACTAGTGATAGATATGCAGAAATTCGAGTCCAGGTTCAGTCACAACGCTGTCACGCCTTGTGATTTCATGAAACAGACCAGCTGCGGAATGGAGAGGGGGGGGAAGGAGAGAAAGTGAGACTTAGCAAAAGAAAGAACTCCCCCAAGCCCAGGATTTGAACCTGGATTCTCCCGGGTCCCGATCACGGGCCTATACCGTAGTACGCCAATACCTTAGTATCTCCAGGGGTGTTACCGTTACACCAGCTTGGGCTGTTTTACCTAGGAATCAATGCAGGCCAATGTCGTGCTCGATTCCTCTTATGTAATGCTCCTTTTGTGAGTGTTCATCGCTAACTGACTCATAGCAGTATCGTTTCCATGTGTCCCTGGGATGGCTATAGTACCAGGGTAAGATCAGATGATGACAGGAACTCTCTGATCGTGCATCTTTATCACTGTGAGATTCGGATACTATAAGTTTCGATACTTTCGTCGCTTTTAGAACAATTGACTTGAATGCATATCTTGAGATCGATTTCACAACGGAGATGATGCATCTTGCGAATGTCCATCGCCATCAGTGGGTCCCGATATGTATATAGATGTTCAATTTTAAGATTGGTTTTATTTTCACATCCTTCCACGCCATCCTTTATCTTGTGCATCTCGGAATTTTAAAATCACTAATTGGCAATTCGATCGTGACCTTGGGCCTTGAAGTGCCATCTCAGCCTCCCCTAAATATGTTCTTGAGAGTACCATTCACTTTCTACTTACAACCACCTTACCAGTCTCCATGATCTAGGAGCTTAAGCGTACTGAATCCATTAGAGCGAATAGTATTCAGTAGGGAATTTGACAGTAGGTATTTGAAGGAAAAGATGCCATCAACCTATACAATTCAAAGAGGGAGCCATACCATCTATAAGCAAAGAGCTATTGGAAGGCTGAGCCTTGGCCTATTTCCACCGGAAAACGAGGCAGTGAATAAGACCTTTGATTGTAGTACCTTGCCAATTGTTTCTGAGTGTGATGTGTAGATTGAGTAGTTTAGTCGAAGACGCTGTATAACCCTTTATTATCCCATGCCAAGAAATAGAATCCCAAATTCCGAAGAACAAGTATCCAGCCCCACTTAGCCGCCAGTCTATCCAATTAGACCCCTTGAATGATCACCACCATGCTCCACACCAGAATTTTTCAACATGTACCTCCATAGTGCCAAAAATCCACCAGCAACCATCCAATAATCCGATATGGTGTAGTGGCTAACATCGCCGTCTCTCACACGGCAGCCGGGGGTTCGATTCCCCCTATCGGAGCATCATTCACCAATCCGATATGGTGTAGTGGCTAACATCGCCGTCTCTCACACGGCAGCCGGGGGTTCGATTCCCCCTATCGGAGTCGAATGATTCATTTTTTGCCCCTTTTGATGTTATAATGCACCTGGTGGCTTATAGGGGAGTTGGTATTGAGATTTTTGGAGGATTGTGGGGGGCTTGTGGTGGTTGGAGGGATAAGTGGATGTAGTGAGTCAAAGAAGCATGGGATGGAATGGAATCCCAATAGGCGAGTGGAGCAAAGCATATGAATATCTTCTCGCCCGTACTCTATAGTATTGGCCATATTTTGTGATAGGAAATGTGTTTCTAGCTCGAAGGAGTATTGTGTATTGTCTTTTATCAAACAAGCGGTTTTTATAGATGACAAGATCCATTGTGTGGGAAATGAGAAGCAAACCCGACCATCAAAACAGGCTGCAAAAGAAATGCAAGCAAAAAGGATTTGATCTTGAGGTGTAAAAATCCATTCCCCATAGTAATTCAACCACAAAAAAGGACCCATATAATTCGCCCAGAAAAACGCCATAAACAATAAGAGGGAATCGTCAAGTCTGGTAACCCAGCACACATGCAGAAACCAATAACACTCAGACCAGGACCCTGCATAGGACCCTAAGCCCGCTTCAAAGCAGCCTCAACATCCTCGAGAAGCGCCACAAGCTCCTTGCCACCCTCACTCTCTCTCCCCTCAATCTCCAGCCCCTTAAGCAAAAACGACTTGGCCTCTCCATACCGCGTCATCTCAGCAAGACACTTAGCGACGCGCCACCAAGCCTTGACATTCCCAACAGGCTTCGAGTCAACACTTGACTTCGCATCAACGAATCCCTCCGGCCACGCCTGCATCGCCATGTGTGCCTGCGCGCGGTTCCCAAAAAGACCAGATAATTCTTCTCGGGCGAGGGAAACGGGTTCCCAACCCGGTCGCGAGAGAGCCATATCGATGGCATAGGTGTATAGGCGGACGGCTTCGACATGGTTTCCCTTGCGGTAGGTTGCGTTGGCGCTGTCGCGAAGTTTGGTAATTTGGGCGCTTCGCTTCGGGTTGACAGGTAGAGGGGGTGGAGGGATACCTGCGGGTCCTTCTATGGAGAGGAAAGAGCGGTGCAGGTCATTTAGTTCATGGAGCTCGGCATTGATGGCGGTTATTTGCGTGGGTGTGTAGGCAGATGATTGAGGGAGGGAGATGGATTTAGTTTGCGGGTCGATATGGAGGGGATATTGGTTGAAGATATCGATTTCGCTCATGATTGCGGTGAGTGCCCTTGGAGTCCAGAGTGTTTGGTGGTTGGAGATTGCCGGTTTGCTTGGAGGTGTTAGTTTGTTGCGGACTCGTATAGACGACTGAGGCTGGGAGCGGCGAATGATTGTCATGTAATGGGGAAGATCTCATGCATACCAGTGTGATGTAGTAGGTCAGAAGAGGAATGTTCCTTGGAAGTACGCAATAAGTTAGGATATCTGTCAAAGTGGAGGGTGACTTAGTCTTTCGGCGCAAGAGCAAGCTGTCCAGAACCACACCGACACGGAAGGCGGTGGCAAAATAAGTAGATCCAGGGCCAGAGGTACGAGTTACCAGCATACACAAACAGAAACCGGGGTATTCATGATATGAGGGATTCAAGTTCTATTTGCGTACATTCAAGTCAAAGGTCAAGTTGTCGTGATAGGGCTCCATAAACAGTAAGACAAATATGACTCCCAAAGGGGGCAAAAAAACACAAACACAAACTATGCGCCTGCCAACACCGCTCCGTGGTCATGTCCGGACACCACAAAGCAGGGTGACCCGATGATTTTGGGTATTCATAGCCGGCATCAAGCCTCCACAATCCTTCTATTAGCATTCATCATACACCTTCACCACCTCATACTCGTCCATACCCGCTCATCGTCGATGAGTTGTAGTCTGGATGGGCGGATCCATAGTCGGATGGGGTGTATGGGACATTGTGCTGGCCGTGCGCACCGCCGTAGCCTGTGCTATTAAAGTCATGAAGAACGCCCCCGGGCGCGGGCGCTGTGGGGTCATAGGCACCGTGCATCGCCGACCGGTTGCCCAAGTCATCCACTTCGCTCTGTTGCAACAGAGCGTAATCCTCATCTTGATCGCCACGGGACGAGGCAGCACCCATACCGGCCCTGCCGGAACGGAAGTCATCCTCGTCCTCCTCGAAGTCGTGGGCTGGATTCGAGTTGAAGGCGGCTTTGGACTGGGCGGCAAAGGTCGGGTCAGACACGGCGTCGGGGAGCGTACCGGTGCGGCGGAAGTGCATCACATTGCGGAAGGACATCCATGCTGTGATGGCAAAAAGAATGCTGTGGTAGCCTTGAGGTTAGAACAGCTGCCGTGCAGTCGCGTTGAAAAGACCACATACAAGATTACAACGCCGATAATGGTCGTTGCTGTGCTGATGTTGCACTTGGTTTCATTGCCGTATGCCCAGTTGGCGCAGCCAGAGCCACTGCTGGAGGTTGTGGTGCTCTTCGAGCTTGTCGTAGTGGTGGTGGCACGTTTGCTCGAGCTCGTGGAACTCGAGGAGCTGGAGTCCTTGTCGCTGGTAGAGGACTTTCCGATGGATTTTCCTTGAGCAACATATGAAGCCAGACACACCCATGCCGCGAACCAGCAAATAGCATAGATCGCGTCGACCGCAGCAAAGGCGTAGACGTTTCCGAAACGCCGGGCACGAGGCCACATGGGCACGCCGGCAAGGTAGATCAAGGCGGGTAAACTGACCCAGCACTAGGGAGGAACTGTAAGCTGCAAGGTTCCCCAAGATCTAGAATATCAGTTCTCAAGGGCACTCACCAGGATCCAATAATACACGGTCCGGCCATCAATGCCATCACCTTTTGTCCAAATCGCGATCGTCAATGCCCAGGCAAGGAAGATGATAAACGCCTGGGCGAAATGAATGAGATTCTTTGTCCGGCCCAGATTTCCACCGGATGGTCGGGGCATTCGCAGCGCCATATTGGGAGATGAGGACTGCAAGGGTATTTCAACCCTTCAGAATATCACCCGACAAAGGGGCAGGAGTGTCGCAGGATCACAAGGGAGAGAAGAAAAGGAACTGAAGACTCGGTCGGACACGCTCTGGAATGCGCAGATATGTGACAGGGGATTGCTGGGGAATTGGGAGACTTTGCGCGATGGGGAGGAGGCGCAGGCTGTACGGAGCGTTTCTTGGCTTGATTGTCAGCCTCGTATGTGCAGTGCGGCAAATAAAATCGCTTGTGAGTTGCAATATTCGTTCAGAGGTTTCAGAGTGAAGTTGTTGAGAGTGGATTGACGTAAAGATGGGGAGGATTTCCGACGAAACTATTGTATCTTACGTTTACGTTTTACTCCTCACACGGCCACGATCGCCCAGGCGACAGCCCGAGGTTTCTATTTTGGGCCTCGTCAGCCACGGTGGAGTACACGTACCGCCTTTCTGTGGCAGCGCTGACTATCGTCATCAAACAAATAAATGCTTTATCAGGCTCCACAACCTTCCTGTCTGGGTTTTGATCTTTCTGGGAGTGTATATATACATTTGACAAGACGCCACGCTTCAAAGAATAGAGTAACAGATAACCCCGAAAAGTAGCGCTACACCAACGCATCATAGTGTTGTCGTGATTCATAGAGTCGTAAGTCATAGACGAATGATCAATCGTCAAAATATCCGGCCAAAAATGCGGCCCGAGTTTGCTTCACTAACATCCAGATTTCTCGCAGTGGCTGGTAAACATGCACATGCCACCACCAGGGGACGGGGTCGAGATATGAGAACCGCGGATTCACCCAGAAGAGGAACGGCTCAAGTGTTCCTTCAAGAGATGTGATTGCATGTTTCACAGTATTGGAATACGGTAGTAGATGGGCCACAAAATTGTTATCCAGCAAGGTCAGCCACGGAGGCTTGTTGGGCGATAAGGTAGCCATCACCTTCCAAGCGGGAGGCTCCGTTGGGGCTGAGTCGAGGGCTGCAAGGTAACCAGAGACAGGACATGGTGCATTGCGCAACAGATTATTGAAAGCTGCTGCTCCTGAAATACAATCCCCGATGTAGATGGTATGGCGAACGGACGAAATGTCAGATTCCTCATCAACCAGCAGCCGAACTGAAAGATGACCGGTCATCCGCGGGCCTACTTTGCTCGCAAAACTCTGCATGAGCCGATGGATGGCGGCGGCCAGGGCTTCGTCGAGTCTCGAGGCACCCCAATGAGGAGATCGAGTACCCGCGAGTCGGACCTTGATGGCCTGAACATGGCCTTGTATGACCAACAGATCTGCAAAAAACTCTCCCAGTCGGTTTTGTTGCTGCAGAGTCCAAGGATTTTCCTTGGAGATGTTGAGCTCGCTAATCTCCGAGTATGTTCTGCTAAGTGTCCGCTTTGGCAGCGAGACGGCTGATTCACTTCCACCCGAGCTGAGGCGATAAGACTTGGCTGGGGTTCGGTGCAAGATTTTGTGAATAGAGTCGCGCGATTGTACCTGAAAATGCTCCAATACGGGAAGATCTCGCTCCACTAAGAAGTGCTTGAATGAATCCGGGCGAACAAAACATGCAACCAAATCGGCATCAAATGCAATGCATTTGCAGATGGTCCGACTCTCGACGACTTGCCGAGCCGTGGCATCTTCGATAGCGGTGACCCTAGGCGAGCACGGAACCCAGAGGTCAATCTCCTCGCGCTGAATAATTTCTAAGATTTTTGAGATATAATGGTCAGTGGGGACCTGGTAGAATGCGACGAGTGTCCTGGACATGCTCCCGCCTGATCGAATAGGTAGATCAAGATCCACGACATCTGCACCCACTACACGGTGGCCTTCAGCCTTCCATGCTCGTGCGAGGGCCAGGCCATGCGATGTACCGATTCCTGTGATCAGCATCGTCTTGGGGTAGGGCTGTCCGTCATTCGATAATGCCTGGTGCCGATCGGCGGGCCGCAGTCGCGCGAGCAAGACCGCCACCATCAAAATCGTATTATCCATGAAGAGTAGTGAGAAAGAGACTGCAATACGGAACAGGTGCCCCAAGGCGCTGCGTAGACCCTCAGCCAAGCTTGACGCTCGGAGTGTCTTCACCTGACTCGTGTGGAGACGAAGTCGTCTCATCGTAAATGTCGCCATGAGAAAGACAACTCCAGGCAATCAGCCTAGACCAAGAAAAGGGCAGAAAATTCCAAGCGAGAAGGTAAGGATGAGATGGGATGCAGGGAGGAGCGATGGCGCGAATCAGGGAGGGGGCGATCGGCCGAGGAGCCACCATGTGTGACTGTGTACTTTGTCAAGAGTCTCGTGCCGAGCTTTGACATTTCCGGATATTACTAGGTACTAGGTACTAGGTACTAGGTACATCACGCTCTGTACCCGGCGATTAGATTGGCCATCTCAAACCTGTACAGTGTAGAGATCAAGGTGGGGAGATCGGGTTTCCGATCAAATCCAAATCGGTGAATTCGGGTCTCATTGCCCGAATTATTAGCTCCGCACGATGTCCGATTCTCCGAGAAGGTATTCCGCACATCATAATGCTATGACAGCATGTCTGCCAATGAAACGTAGTTCTCGGGCGCACTTTGAGCTCATTCAAGTATTTAGCCCCGAGAGCCCTGTCGGGTTCGGGACCACTTGAGTCGTTGCTTAGCTATATAGAACGAACTACCCGTCCCTAGCATCCTTCTCTGACTCTCATACTTCTTTACATTCAGAATGACTACAGGTCCAGGATCACCTTCTGCTCATGCCTGTCCCGGGGAGCGCTCTGTAAGTCTCCTCTGCTAGACAGTCCGAGTCTCTCAAAAACTAACAGCCATACTCTCTATAGCGCGAGCCAGGCCGTGAGATGAAGCTTTTGCACTACATCTATAGCCAACCAAATCTCGATGACATCCGAGGACATCCCCAGAAGGTGCTAGATCTAATGGATAAGTTTGAGGAAACCTACCACATGATGACCGTCGGAGGACCGAAAGGTAGAATTGTCAAGGACTTAATCACCGAGTCCAAACCGAAGACTATGATCGAGCTTGGCTGCTACGTCGGCTATTCCGCCATTCTGTTCGGAGACGCCGTTCGCCAGAATGGAGGCGAGCGTTATCTGAGTCTTGAACTGAACCCCGAATGGGCTGCTATCGCCAATATGCTCATCGAGCTGGCTGGACTCCGTGATTTCGTGCGGGTCATTGTTGGCCGCAGTGATGTCTCGCTTGACAAGTTGTTTAAGAGTGGTCAAGTCAAGAAGATCGAGCTCATGTTCATCGACCACTACAAGCCTGCGTACACCACCGACGTCAAATTATGTGAGCAGCTCGGAATGATTCAGCCTGGCACGATCCTGGCTGCTGACAATGTCCTGTATCCGGGCAACCCGCCCTACCTGGAGTATATCCGAAGCACTGTCGAGCAGAAGCGGGAAGCGGCTAAGTCTGGCCCTGTGCAGGAATACAACGTTATGGGAATGAAAGAGCATACCGTTGACTCCTTCATGCCCGAAAATGACGTGCCCGCTTTTGAAATAGTTGGAAACCCCAACCTCGTGTACAAGAGCGCGCTGTGCCAGCCCGAAGGAGTAAGGGTGAGTCACCCGTGTTTCTTGTGTGTCACACCGTATCTCCATTCAATTATTAATTGGAAACACAGGATGCCGTTGAAGTGTCGCGATGTGTAGGATTTCAGGAAGTATAGACCAACCAAAGTCTTCGGGTGTGGGATAGTGGGGGGTCCCTGTAACGTGGGCCAAGCCATTGCCAGAGATTAAACAGCATGTAGAAATTTTCGAAAGTTGCTTATTGCTTAACAATCAAGCCCAGTCCTGGGAAGCCCCTCGTAAGAGCCCTAGGGTGACAGTGGTCCGTAAAGATGGCAAGCCGAGAGTACGTCACGGTCCGAATGAGGCGGAGGCGGAGTCGGCATTTGATAGATTGGGAAATTGCCCCACTATAACCAGAGGTTGTTGTCGCCAGGACCTTCCCCCGCATCAGCGCGCGACATCCGTGAAAAGCAATATAAAGCGCGTTCTCCTTGAATTGAAAAACCACCCATCCAACCCTCAACACTTCAATCATGGCCTCCAAGACTTACAACGTCGGTGTGATCGGCTACGGCTTCAGTGCCAAGATCTTCCACATCCCCTTTGTGAAGCAGATCCCCGAGCTCAAACTTTACGCTATCGTGCAGCGCACTCCCAAGGCCAACGATGATGCGGAGAAGGATCACCCTGGTGTCAAGTCGTTCCGTACGACGGACGACATGGTCAAGGATCCCGCGGTTGACGTCGTGATCGTGACTACTGCCCCGGACTCCCACTTTGACCAGTGCAAGCTCGCCCTGGAGGCTGGCAAGCACGGTACGCAATGAAAATCTCCAAGAGCCTCATATAACCAATGCTGATACGTCTACTATATAGTGGTCTGTGAGAAGCCTTTCACACCCACCCACAAGGAAGCCGAGGAGCTCGTCGCCATTGCCAACAAGCAGAACAAGCTTCTGGCCGTATACCAAAGTACGTCATCTCGCACGGCATCATCTCTATGCCCCTAGAAGATCGCCACTAACAAATATTTCTTCTGCAGACCGCCGCTGGGATGCTGATTTCGTGACCCTCTCCAAGCTGGTCAAGAACGGCTCGCTCGGCCGCATCTCCGAGTTTGAGACTCACTTCGACCGCCACCGTCCCGAAGAACCCGCCGCCGAGTCTCACAAGTGGAAGAACAAGGTCATCCCCGGTGGCTCAGCCATCTACGACCTAGGTACTCATCTCCTAGACCAAGCCGTGCACCTCCTTGGCCTCCCAAAGCGCGTGACAGCCTTCATTGGCTCTGCCCGTGCCAGTAACAGCTCCGGATTCGAAGACTCTTTCACCGTCCTTCTTCACTACCCCAACAACCTAATGGTGACGGCCAAGGCGACCGTTGTCAGCCCCGAAGACGAGCAGCTTCGTTTCTGGGTCCGTGGCGAAAAGGGCAGCTTCAAGAAGTTCCACCTCGATATTCAAGAAGACCAGCTCAAGGCTGGCATTATGCCCCAGGATAACGGCTATGGTCGTGAGCCCAGCGAGCGCTACGGTACCCTAACGACCATCCAGGATGGAAAGCCTGTCAAGGAGGTTGTTCCTACCGTTGAGCCCCCCTACTTATACCGAGTACTACCGCAAGCTTGTTCGCGCCCTTGGCGGTGAGGGTGATTTGCCCGCTAGCGGTGCTGAGGCTAGTCAAGTCATTCGGTTGATTGAGCTGGCTCGTGAAAGCTCTCACACTGGTCGGACTCTGGATGTCTGAGTTGGGTTTGTATGAAAATTGATGATGAATATTATGAGTACTAGGAAGCCATAGAAAGAGAAAGATCGAATTGTATATTGACTTGAAGTCTGATCGTGTCCTATGATATGAGTACAGCAAGAACACCTGGGTGGGCATCGTAGGACGCTTATATATGTTCACAGTCATCGTAATACCTTGCTAGATGTTGTATTTCGACATTTCTGAGGATTGAGTCGGGGTTTATGAAGCAAGCAAACATAATCAAAGATTCCCCGTTATTTCCCAAAGGGTACTTGAATGCCAAGAAAATGGAACACTTAGAACGAGTACCTCGAAATAGCCTCTGCTTACGCTGACAACATCGTTCAGACCTGCAGCTTGCCGAGCTAGAAGCGTCCATCTGCACTAGTTTCACCGGGACATGGAATTGAGCCCACACAGAAGACTCAATGCAGAAATCCAAAATTCGCCAGCTCGGGCCCTGCCATTGTCCAACTCGCTAGCGTCATCGAGGCGCTGAAGCTACTCCGAATCAGTGAGATCTCCCGCGAACCCCATTTCGCCGAGTCGTGGCGGGTCTGCACTGGAGGCTCTTTAAACCCTGGCGAGACACATGGCGGTATAGCACAGCGTGGCCAGCCACTGTCTCACTAGCTTGCCTCTCAAACATTCACTGTCACATGGGCGTCATGCAGGAGTGCGAGGTCCGAGCTGTTTTGGTCTTTCGATTCTGGCACGTTGGACCTCCACAGAATCAAGACCGGAGATCCTTATATTCCATCGGCTCTGCCAATCTGATTATCTGATCTCCCATGGACAATATGGACGCCAATTCGCTACCGGATTTCGAGGTGCTTTCCTATCCCACGCAACGCGGGGAGAGCGGCGACTTCAAATCTTCGCCATTGGAAAGCCCAATCTCTCTGAACACCGCTTCTTCGTGGACATACTGTGGGCCCCTATTAACACTCGACTCAACCCACCTGCCTCCGTCATTTCACACATGGGCTGAAGCAACAGTCAATGGGCCATTCATGGGCCCTCTTCTGTCCTTTTTGGCATTCGTGCACGAATTTCTCAAAGCCAACGGCCTTTCCAATTATTGGCTGACCATCCGAGCAAGCACGGGTTCAGAAGAATTCGACATCCCGCGCTGGCACACTGATGATTTATTCTTTTCCCCAGCTGCAGGGATGCGATCACGCCAGCGCCGCTCATTACTATCCCCGCTATACAGCCGTGACAGGACGTCTCAAAGGCCCGGCATATCCTTACGACGAAATAACACCCTGAAATCTACAGAAAGGATCCAAGTCACATCATCAACCCCAAATCCAACTAACTGGAAACTCACCACTACCCTGCTTGGACCTGGAACCCTGTTCATAACCCAAAAGAAAAGCCCCGCGGCGCGCGCGATCCAACGCACCGCTAAGCGGAGTGTTCGAGCCGCTCATCCACACCATGTGTGTCTATCCGTCCGCTGCGTAGGCTGCGCCATGGCGGCCGAGTCCGTGCGGACGCGTCTCGCCGCGGAATTGGGACATGACGGGATCGTACAGGCGCGATCGGGCGAGTGCGTGTTCTTCCGCGTTGGCGAAGATGAGGGAGCCGTCCATTCGGAGCCGATGTCTCATGGTGATCGGATCTTTGTGAATGTTGTACCCGGGCATGAGGCGGATTTGAAATGTTTGATGGCGAAGTGGGGGATGGAGTACCCAAGGGCTTGGTGTGTGGGATTGCCTTTTCAGGGGGCTGAGGAGGGGAATTGGAGAGATGTTGGGGATATAACAGAAGCTAGGGTAATGGATTAATGGAAGGTGTATGTGTTTAGATGTTGATATCGGCAGTGATGCAGTCGCTTGGTAGAGACTGATTTGGAGGAATGTGGAAAGCGAAATCTAGCGACGAACAAAAGCCTAAATGATACGAGGAAGAAATCTACGTGCAAACGTGAATCACTACATCTATCAAGGGATTTTTAGCTGGCTCGGTTGTCTACAGATAATCTGCTCGGAACGAAATTGAGAAGGATCCTTGAAGACAGAGACGACTTCATATGATCTACTTTCATATCTGATCTAGCGGATTGGGCTCTAATTTAACACTTGATGGGCATAAGATACACAAGACTAAACCACCTCAGCTATGAGAAACCATGCAGACAATAAACTGAACCAGGAAGTCATGCGCGGAGATCGATCACCAGTTCAACGAACAAGAGAGAAAGATCTTTAGACCTAGTTGAGCGCCTAGTAGATTGCAGCCAGTCCCATTAACAGCGCAGTCAAAGCAAGAAAGCTCCCAGTGGTTGACAGAACAGTCGATGCACCATTCGCCATGGTTGAAGTCGACGAAGACGTAGTAGCATTACCACTGCTCTTGGGCGACGTCCCAGTAGCTGTAGCATTAGAAGCAGACAGTATCTTGTTGACCTGAATCCATATATCACAATATTCGTAACTGATAGTTCCAGGAACAGACGAGTTCCCAAAGACCATCCCAGGAGTCGACAGATTCTTTGTATTCTGGAATTGCGGCCAATTTACAGCCTCAGTCGACGGATCGGCATTTTTCGCCATTGCAGTCCATGCATCCATCATTTGCGCACCGAGCTGATACTCAGCGGATGTAGAATTGCAAGTTCCGTTAGGAAGATATGAATTGTCCAGATTCCCGAACACGAACGGTATTTCAGAAGTGTGAGCTCCACCAACGTAGGAAACCTCATCCTCGGAAATTGTGTAAAGCCAGGTACAGGTGGGGTTGTGAGTGAATTCGTAAGTCCATGCGGAGATGTTGTTGCGTGCTGCTTGTGCCGCTCCGTACCATGCTGGACATCTATACGTGGAGTCGGTGATGACCTGGGTCATCGCCAAGAAGATTTCAAGCGAAGTCTTATTGCCGCTAATTGCGGCAGACCCACCGGTCGCTAAAAGAGCGCTGGCCTCGGATTCGAAGAGAGATGGTTGGTAATACTTGCCAACGAGCGAGGCGGCTGCACCGAAGTTTTTGCGAAGGAACTCTCGGTATATCGACATTGTGGGAACTGTTTGGGCACCGATGGCCCATTGCAAAGTGTAGACGATGGCTTCAGCGGAGTCTTTTGGTGATATGGTTAGTGGACTTTATAGATTGAAAGTGAGAGGGATAATTGTATGCTTACTGGATCCAAAGACTGCTGGAACTTGTACCCCGCGGTTGTAGGGGTCCTCGTCGATGACTTTACCGTCCACATAGGGATAGAAATTGTGAGTCCCCTCACTGAGAACACTGAGAGAGCCCTCGATACCATAGTAACCAATTCCCTCATATAGGAAAGTATCATTTGCGTTCGCGCTAACCAGGTCTGAGACAGTCTTAGATTGCAGACATGTTTTCTGTGATATGGATTAGGGATCATCTAAAATAAAGAAAGATAAGGTAGGACAAGAAGCTTGAGTGTACTCACATCACTAGAGCTGCATTGAAGTGTTTTCGCGTATGATGCACCAACTTTCTGCTGAGTTGCATTCAAGGTTAAGCTCCTACCACCTCCCGATTCCGAGATCACACTCTTGATCAAAGTCGGGGCTTGAGGAAGAGAAGCAATGATGTATGCACTCTCAGCACCGGCCGACTGACCAAAGAGAAGAACTTTTTCCTAATTTTAAGACTCCCTCGTTAGCTCCCTTTTTTCTCGAGCTTATATTGTGACTGAATGCTTCATGCCGTACCGGGTCACCGCCAAAGGCCTCGATATTATCGTGGACCCACTGCAATCCAAGAAGGAGATCTTGAATCCCCTGATTACCATAGATACCGGCGCTTTCAAGAGCCATGAAGCCAAGGGGGCCAAGCCTGTAATTGACCGAGACAAGAATGGAGCCTCCGTCTGCAGTGTTACAGCCATCGTACAAGGGGTCAGAGATTGAGCCCTCTGTATTTGAGCCACCGTAGATCCAAACCTTGACTGGAAGCTTTGAGTCTTTGGTAGCGTCAGAAGGAGCCCAAACATCTAAGTAAAGACTGTAAACTTCATTGTGAGTATTTTCTTCCTGACCGTTGAGAGGTCTCGTAGAGGTATGAGCCCCCGATGAACCCGACTTACCAATCTTCGGACGAAAGCGCAGATGAACTCAGTTTTGGCGGTGTAAAGGCATCCGAGAATTGAATACAGGTAAGGGCCGAGGTGGTTGCATTCAGTTTGCCTTGAGGGAATTGCTTCTTGTAGGCCTGCGGAGGTTCGAAGCGTAGCTTGCCAACTGGAGGTTCCGCAAAGGGAATTGCTTTGTAGAATACTGCATTTTTTCCATCACATCGTCCACCTTCAACGGTGCCAGCATCGATGGTGACAGAAGGCGGAGATAATGCTGCAGCTGCAAGGGCCGGCAGCACAGCCGTCGAAAGCCATTTCATGATGATTAAGATGGTTCTAGGGGCTTTAAACGCGAGGAAGAAATGCTCCAAATTGTGAAAGCTATGGGTCTGTACTGCAATAGAAGTGCCGCTGGACCCTCAGCCTTTATATTTTGGTCCGGTCGTAACGAGTCATGTTCAAAAATTGAAAATCATCTCCTAATTTCCCACCTTGACCAGCCTCATACCTTCAGGTACCTCTAATCCTGGCCCAGCTACATGGATCGACATCACCGCAGCCTTACCAGGAGCATGATCGTAGGATTCAGCCGCGTTGGTGGCCCCAGCGTTGAGCGTGCTTGTGCTAATCCATTTACGGCAGAAACTGCGAGCACCAATAAGCTGCTTCTTTCGCGTCCCAACCTAGGTTCCAAAACTCCTGGCCCAACATACAGCGCAGATCTGAGATCTGCGTTCGCAGCTGTGTCTCATTCTGGGTTTAGCGGCTCGACAGAATGCGCAGCAAGCTGGAGCCGAAGTCTCATCTAGCGAGGCGGCGCGGAAAAGTGTTTTGGTTGACCGTAGCACCACAATACTCCCGTCCGCGTTCCGGGCGAAACAGTTCATCCACACGTCTCCGATACAGATGATGCAGCACGCCCCTAGAAAGGCCTGATAGCCCCAACGCACCAAATTCTATGTCACATCACAAATTCTCTCTGTAAATTGCTGTTCAACACTTTGAACGTAAACTTTCAATACAGTGAGAATTTTTTACATACTTTCGAGACTTACATAAATGCAGGCTTTTCTCTACATGGACCTCTGAAGTGCTTACGTATGGTCTAGGCGTCTGTTTGAACGAACAGTCTACTTGTCTTTCGCGCGTGCCTTATATACACGTAAGCCTGGAATTTCAATATCTCTATCTATAATTTTATGAAGTATAGAATACAGAAAATACCTTACTGTACGGCTCGCGCCCTATAGTTCGAACGAGCCTGAATTGTGGGTAGCTGGATTGGAACGTTGAAAGCTCTGTCGATCACTAATCTCGCTAGCTATACCATCTAAGTCATGAAAACTCAACAGAGATGGCATAGATCAGCTAGAAGCCCCATGATTGTAGGTAGCGATCCAATGAACCCTCGAGGTGAGAGAAATTCTCTCACAGTCAATTCCTTGTAGACCTTATTGGGAACATACAAATTAACCACAGGCCACGCGTTCTGAGGCTCGCTCATGCATGACCGTGCACATAGGTCGGACCTATCGTTGTTTGAGGTTTGTCCTGTGTGTCTCCGTGGACGTGGGGGCCAAATCATGTTCTCGGTCCCAAGTCTAGGGCCACTTGACTCCCCTCCTGAAATCTCTCAGAACACATTGTATATACTTTCGCGCCACATCATCAGGAGCAACTTTATTCGCAATGGTGTACGATGGCAAACCAAGTAAAGGTTGCGGTAACTGCCGCTCCCGCAAGATCCGATGCGACCAGGCACGGCCGGCCTGCGGGGAATGCATCCGAACTAAGCGAGAATGCCCCGGGTACCGCGATGAGTTGTCGCTGATGTTCCGCGACGAGAGTGAATCCGTTGCCCGTAAAGCGCTTTCATCTCGGTCGTCTACAGCTTCATCTAAATCGTCATCTTCCAGACGCCAAAAGCTGCCCCAATCGGTGCGCTCTGCTCTTCCAAGACAGAATGTTGCATCCTATGGGACTTCAGCCTCTTCCAACTCCTTGGAGGATCCAGTCTTTGATTTTGTCTCTGATCTCGAGCCCCAATATTACATGCTCCAGTCTAGGCGGAGTCCCCTAGGAACACATCCCGATACGGGGATCTCAAGGCAAGAGGCCATCTGCTTCTTTCTTCAGTCCCACACAATACCCGGAAACTTTCTGATCACAGATACCTTGACCAATTTCCTCATGGAATCTGGTGGGTCGCTGGGTCAACAAGCTATCCAATCTAGTATTGTGGCGGTTGCCAGCGCCATGCTCTCACGTGTTCGCAACATTGCCTCGTTGAGGCAAGCGGCGCGACAGGAGTATGGGTCCGCGCTCAAGCTAGTCAACAGGGCTCTCGCTGATGTTGAAGAGGCTAAGACTAATCAGACGCTTGGTGCAGTTGTTCTTCTGGCTCTATATGAAGTAAGTACATTCTCCTAATCTCCACAAAAAAAAATCAGGATCCAATATTCGCAGATCGTCGTATCAAGAGCTCCGCAGGGAATTGAAGGGTGGACAAACCATATATGTGGAGCTGCGGCTCTACTAGAGCATCGCGGGGTCAGCCAGCTACGAAACGAAGTAGGGATTCGACTGTTTCTACATTTGAGATATCAGATCGTACGTCAGAAACCATTCCCAGAATCACTCAGAAAAGGCTAATCAGTACATAGATCATAAGCTGTCTCCAACGCGATGTGTTGGTGCCAGGCTCTTTATTGCAATGTACAAAACTCGACCTACTCCCCGGTATCAAGGATGCCTTGGGCAATAAACTCATCTTGATCATCGGCAATCTGTCTAATCTCCGTGCCAATATGCACACACAAACATTGAGCCACCCACAGGAAATTATCAGTGCGGCCTGTGCCATTGAAGCCGACCTCATTGCCTGGCTGGCCGCTCTGCCGCCGGATTTTACATATAGCAGTCATACCCTCATGCCGATGGATCGATCCTTTGAACGTCGTTGTCACGGCATCAGACCCTACAATGGCGAATACCACATCTATCCGGACATTTGGTCGCCCAGTTGCTGGAATCACTACCGTTGCGCACGCATCCTGGTCAGTGAACTCATATTATCGCATGTCCACAAGCTCTCCAACAGCTCGCCTTCGTCTCTGTCCGAAGACTTCCGCTTACATTGCAAGTCTCTACGTTCCACCATCCGTCGTCTAGGCGCCGACATCTGTCGTAGTGGCCCATTCCACCTAGGCGCCTGCAACTCGGAAGTTCTTCCGGAAGCCACCATTCTTCCACCCGAGAGCTACTTGGGCGGCCTGATGCTACTCTGGCCCCTATTCATCGCCGGTATGATCGAGGGTCCGACTCATCCGCAGCGTCAATGGGTGATCAAGTGTCTTGAGACGATAGGAAACACGTGGGGTCTGGCTCAAGCGCTGGCACTCAAGGATCTTCTCACCGTGGATCCGGGCATGTTCCATTCGGTCGAAAAATATGGTGAAGCCGCTGATAGGGCGACCGGGTCGTCGGAAGTACTGCCGTTTTCTATCTTCCATGTGCCATATTATAACCTCCCCACAATGAAGGAGTATCGTGAGCTTCATGCCTCGTCGGCGTGAGTCGTCTGGGCTATGCGGCCTCTCCGATTCTGTGCACTTTGGGAGCGAACTGTTTTCGTATCAACTGCGACTGATTGTTCCAGCGTGCTCATTTAGAAGATCATCATAGAAGAATCCATTTTTAGAAAAACACACACCACAACATCAATCGGAGAATTGAATCGTCATGGCGCTTACTATTGCCGCGATCTCAAGGGTCTTTCGTACCGATGGTCGGGGACTGCGCGGGTGCATTGGGGGTCCAAGTTTCCCCGGGTCCAAGTTCCCCCCCCTTTTATTTTACTGATATTCGACGATCTTCTTTGACTTATGGCTTATCTTTCTGATCTTACTAATTCGCGAGACCTAGCATAGACTCGTGACACGCAAAGGCAAAACAAACCGATCGCAGCAAGGATTTCCCATGTGGAAATGGAGAGTCGCGAAGGTTTTGCGCGAATACGATCTGTGACATTAGTCGCTCTCCACTGGCCATAACCCGTCAGCACGCACATGTCAGCTTCAGACAGCGAGCATATTGTCAGATCAGCCTCCACTATCCGTCTCTCCGATCTGAGAAACAGACAAAATGCTGCGCAAGAAAGAAATTTACACGAACTTTACCCCCATTCCTCCCCAAGTGCCCCGCCAACTAGCTCTCGACATCCTCCACAGCCACAGCGAGATCATCACGCTGAATCCGCTCGTCCTCTCCCACCGTCCTGTCAAAGCCCCGCAGAACGCAGTCGCAGATGAGTATTATTCAACCTGGTACGAAATCACCGAGCGCGTCCAGTATCTCCCGGGCATTGGGAAGCTCGGCTCAGGCAAGATCAGCTTCAAGGGCAGCTTTCACAATACGCCGTGGGGCTTGCAGACGCACACCTACGGGCCCGTAGGCGTGGACCTGCGCATTGAATGGCGCATCGGGGGTAACCAGCCCGACGAGCCCGAGGCAGAACAGACGGAAGATGGGGCGCCTCGGGGGCTGTATCTGCGCGAGAATATTAGTATCGAATGCAACCTGACGCTACTCTCATTCGTGAAGAAAGAACTGCAGGCTTCGTCCAAGGTACTTGTCGACCGACTGATCAAGAAAGCGGAGTTATTAGATGCCGGCGCACTGGAAGGCTTCATGGAGGCTGGGATACTGAAGACGTTTAATCCGGCTGATCGGTCGACTATACCACCAGTAGATTGGGCGGCTGCCGAGGAGCCGCAGTCTCCAACGTCGTCGATAGCTCGGTCCAGGTGGTCGATGTCGTCAGGGTCGAGGCGTACATCTGGTCCGTCCCGCCATTACGGGCAAGATCAGAAGCCAAGCATGGCGGTGGAGCTGCCGGGTAAGTGTATCATTCATATCAATTATTGAAACTTGACTGATGTTGGGCTAGATACATCTGTTGCGTATGGCGTCGGGTCTCAAGTGGGCAAGGCATTCCCGGCTGAGCTGCCCGCAATGCCAGAGCATTATGAGAGCCAACATTATAAAGGCTAGAGTTTATGATGTGTAAGCTCCAAGGTTCGTGGGTGCGTCTAGGGTTGATTGCCTGCAGTGATGTGCTTTCAGAGGATTTTTAATATAGTGAGATAATTAGTACCGAATAATGTGATAGTGCCTATAAGAAATGCCCCTCTAAGAGACCTGCCTCCATATTGACCCAAAGTGAGTATAATCAAGTAACTCTGTGGCATTCGGTCGTCAGGGCTATTCAATAACTCTCGTTTGACACGAAACTGTGTATGACCAGGCAAGTGTGGGCCAACCTTCATGCAAGTGTTTCGCTCCATGTTGGAAAGTCCAGTACTCTGCTTGAAAGAGGACTTACCTGCCCAAAATGACTTTCAACAGATGGATAAATCCCCTAGTGGCTCAAACAAGATCCAGCCCAGCATTCTTTTGCTTTTTAATTCATCGAACATGAATTTCAAGAAAGAGGTGATTGCAAAATCTTAGAAGGATATACCAACGCCAAGCCGCTAAGTCCCAGAATAGAATTTTTGTTACCAAACAAAAATCGCCTGAGTGGCAGAGTGCTCCAAATACTGGAGCTAGTATAAACAGCCTGAGGAAAGCGGTGATCTTTTTGTCTGAGCTCCGCGGAGATAGGAATTAACCTGAAGCTCACGCGGTAAAGGATGGCACTTAGGGTGCTGATCCTGGATTACAGGAAAGGATGCCTTTAAACCGAAATCTGCCATAGGGCTGGTCTTCCCCGGGTTTTCAAATTGAGCTCTTTGTCACACGCCCGGTAACAGCTTACAATTGCATATCCTGAGAGGTTGAGCTGTGGCTCGACGTCGCTCTACCCGGGGTTGCTGACTCTCCGCGTGTCATGCCTTTCGACATTAGGGGCTGGAATCTCGATATTGACCGGTTTATTGACCCGTTTGTACCAGCGGCGAGATGGCATCTTGTCCCCAAGCCTGTGGCGCATTTCTTGGGGTATCGTGATGAACCGGTCAAGCCATTAGGGAATGTCCTGACTGCCTTCTGGTCCCTGATCGGTGCATTCTGCGGCGTGGCCCTAGTGGCTGAAGTGTCCAAGCAAGTGCCTTCAATGGAGGCCCGAGATGCCCCAGAGGTTATTGGGAGCTTTGTAAGTCACAGCAGAAATTCGATACCCTGATATCCCGGACAGCAGCTGACAATCTTCTTGCACCAGGGTGCCGCTGCAGTGCTTGAGTTCTACGCCATCGAGTCACCTTTTGCTCAACCTCGAAATGCATTTATAAGCCAGTTGTTTGCGTGTTTGATTGGTGTTGGCATATCCAAGCTCTTCGCTTTGAGCTCGCACTCTGAAGAATACACTGCGCTCGGGGGAGCTCTCGCTTGCGGCCTGACCACGGCAGTCATGGGCCTTACAAACACCGTACACCCACCGGCGGGTGCGACGGCCTTGTTAGCTGTCACCAACTCTCAAATAGCTGGATTGGGCTGGTTTTTGTTTCCGGTCATGCTGCTCGGGATAACGCTGATGCAAACAACGGCTTTGATTGTCAATAATGTTCAGCGACGCTTTCCCACGTATTGGTGGACATCACATCCTCTATTACGTTCTCAGGATATCGACGAGGTGAAGAACCACCAGAAAGCCCGCTCTGATGGGCCAAGTCGCTACGAGGCAAGTTTAACAGATTTCCCTCGACGAGTGGTGGTTGAACGAGGGGATTTTTGGGTTCCCGATGGGCTTAATCTATCAGAACAGGAGAGACGAGTCTTGAGGGCGATTAGTGAACGTATATGACCTAATGGAATCAAATAGGTCAAATGCAAACAATGGTTATAACTTCGGAAGGATGGGCTTTACTCAGAACTATCACCTATCATCTCGGGACGATTCACCTCGCAATTGACTACTCCTCTTACAATTGTTGAGGGCCTAGACATCAATTCTAACAAACAGGTCTTTATCTCAGTTATTTGAAAGCTACGTTGGGAACTCACGAAGTAGTAACGGGTCATCTTTATTACGCTATTACTCAGTAGGATTCGCTACCTGGAATGTTGTTAGAACGCTTATTCGTATTGAACACTCAACCTAGAATTCTCGATAGTTTTGATTGAGAATACTCTGTGGATCTTTCCCGTGCTCCTGATAGAAATTGAATGGAAGCAAGCCACCTCGATCATAGGGCCCATAGGGGCGGGGGGGGAATCTTGGCTCATGGAGTGGATGTAACTATCGAAATCCGAAGATCTAAGCTTTGAGTAGAGGAACGGTATGCTGAGTTTAATGATGCCATTTCCTGGGGGAATCACATTTCTTCAATTTACCGTACCCAGCTGATTGGTACTAAATAATCTTCCATTCGCAATTCTTCTTTAGAAAGTTCCTCTTAACGCAAGTGCCCCAAGTACAGTGAAACCGAGTGGCAAATAAGTGGACACCTCAGGCAGCCAATGCCCAAGTGTGCGGTGACGTCTGTCACTCCCAATCAAACGCTACGCATTCGCTGTTTGGCCCACCGCTCGAACTTTTTGAAATTTTCTGTGAAATTTTCTATTCAAACAGCACTCGACAGGCACTATCGAATTATCGTCCGAAGGATCCCTTTTTTTTCATCCACTCTCCAACTTCCTCTTCCTGAGTTCCATTTCCACGGAGACTTAGCGATCCAAGTTGGTTCTATCGATAAGGGCTCAGCATTAATACACCCCCCACTCGCTGCCCCTCTGTTTCTTCCGCCCCGCCGCTCCACTTCAGACTCTTTTTGCATTTTGCTTCAGTTTCTTCGCGTCCTTCCTTCCTTCCCCTCCCTCCCCCCCCATCTTTTCCCCTACTTCCCGTCATCATGGTTTCTGCTTCCAAGGCGGCCCGTATGGCCAAGCGTGGCGATGCTGCCTCCAAGAAGTCCAAGAAGGAAGAAGTCACTGGCGACCAGCCCGCCACCTCCGAGGACAAGATGAAGGACGTCGAGAAGCTCACCTCTCAGATGGACAAGCACGGTCTCTCCGATCGTGTGACTACCGGTGTCCTTTCTTCCCTGCCCGCTTCCCGTGACTGCAAGATCACCTCCGCCTCTCTGGTGTTCCACGGCAAGGTCCTGTTCACCGACTCTACCCTCGAACTCAACTTCGGTCGTCGTTACGGTCTTCTGGGTGAAAACGGCTGTGGAAAGTCCACTCTGCTGAAGTCCATTGCCACCCGCGAGTTCCCCATTCCCGAGCACATCGATATCTACCTTTTGAATGAGGGTGCTCCCCCCACCGAGTTTGGTGCTCTGGAGTGGGTAGTCCGTGAGGCTCAGGCCCAGCTCGACACCATGGAGAAGAAGGCTGAGGAGATCCTCGAGGAGGAGGGTCCCGACAGTCCCATTTTGGAGGATCTGTACGACGTAAGTCTTTGATTCTATCATCTTTATCTCTTTTTTCCCTTTCACCGATACTAATACCCGTTCACAGCGTATGGACAAGATGGATCCTTCCACCTTCCACACCCGTGCCTCTCTCATTTTGACCGGTCTCGGCTTCAACAAGACCACCATCGACAAGAAGACCAAGGATATGTCCGGTGGTTGGCGTATGCGTGTCGCCCTCGCCAAGGCTTTGTTCGTCAAGCCCTCTCTGCTTCTGCTTGATGACCCCACTGCCCATTTGGATCTCGAGGCCTGTGTGTGGCTGGAGGAGTACATGAAGACCTGGGATCGTACCCTGATTCTGGTTTCCCACTCCATGGATTTCTTGAACGGTGTCTGCACCAACATGATTGACATGCGCGGCAAGCAGCTGCTCTACTATGGTGGTAACTACGATTCTTACCACAAGACTCGCTCCGAGCAGGAGACCAACCAGATGAAGGCCTACGCCAAGCAGCAGGAGGAAATCACCCACATCAAGAAGTTCATTGCTTCCGCTGGTACTTACGCCAACTTGGTGCGTCAGGCCAAGTCTCGCCAGAAGATTCTCGACAAGATGGAGGCCGATGGCTTCATCCAGCCTGTCATCTCCGACCGTGTCTTCACTTTCCGCTTCGCCGATGTCGAGAAGCTTCCCCCTCCCGTTCTGTCCTTTGACGATGTCAGCTTCTCCTACTCGGGTGAGTGGAAGGATACCCTGTACGAGCACCTTGACTTCGGTGTCGATATGGACTCCCGTACTGCCCTTGTCGGCCCCAACGGTGTCGGCAAGTCTACTTTGCTCCGTCTGATGACCGGAAAGCTCAGCCCCATCGGTGGCCGTGTCTCCCGTCACACTCACTTGAAGCTCGGTGTTTACAGCCAGCACTCTGCCGAGCAGCTTGACTTGACTAAGTCTTCCCTGGAGTTCGTCCGTGACAAGTTCCCCGAGAAGTCCCAGGACTACCAGTACTGGCGCCAGCAGTTGGGCCGCTATGGTCTTTCCGGTGAGTCCCAGACTGCCATCATGGGTACCCTGTCCGAGGGCCAGAAGTCCCGTATTGTCTTCGCCCTGCTCGCTATCGAGTCCCCCAACATGATTCTGCTTGACGAGCCTACCAACGGTCTCGATATCCCTACCATCGACTCCTTGGCCGATGCTATCAACGCCTTCTCTGGCGGTGTCGTCGTCGTGTCTCACGATTTCCGTCTCCTCGACAAGATCGCCAAGGACATCATGGTCTGCGAGCACAAGACTGTCCGCCGCTGGGATGGCAGCATTGGTGCCTACAAGAAGTACCTCCGTGACAAGATGATCAGTGCTGGTGCTGTCTAAGCTACTCAAATCGAGTACCTTAGCTTTCCTTTCTCATGACGACGAAATGCTAGACGAGAATCAAGGGAACTGCAATGCCTAAAAGTTCAATGATTTGACACGCGTCTTCACCAATCACAGGTCGGCGCCGTGATCCCGGATCTTGATATTCTTTTTTTCCTTCCTTTTATTCTTAGATCGGAGGTGTATGATCCCCTATCCTTTCCTCATTAGACTTGAGCATGGGAGGGGCGATCATTTTATTGTTTCCCTGCGATTGTTATTTTTGCTGTGATGAACCCATTCCCCCTCGACATATAGCAGATACGTTCCTGTTGGTCGATTTTTCATTGTTTTACGGTTGTTTTTCACCCGCCGTGGTGCATCTTTGATAGAGAGTCTGGTGTCTCGTGATGGGACGCTGGATCATTTTGCTGTTCTGCGTGTCGATGTATCTACGTATCTTCGGGTCAATGACATGAAATGGCTTGCTTTTCAATACATTCTGTTTGTAGTTTCCCCCAGTTGTAGTTCTACCCCATCAAGTTGAAGCACTCAGAGGCAAGTATGTAATTGACACTGCCTTATGTAGTACAATGCCATCTCGAATACTGTTCATTTTGAGATTCTTGCTCGAGGGCGGTTGAATCTGCCAATTGGATGAGTTTGAAATCCTTTAAGAGTACTATATTGCTCATATTGGTGTCCCAGAAACCTTAGGCTTCGATATCAGGATTGTAATTCTCAGTGAAAGAACAAGGGATTGGAAGCGTGAATGACAAGATCTAGTCGTGAAATTGCGCAGCGCATAGATGATTAGGCTTCGATCACGGCCACGACTCGCAAGATATTGAATTGGCCCGGATATCCATTCTAGTAAGCCTGCCTAAACTCGGAGTCTTTGGATATAGTGGATGACACAACAAGAAAAACTGGTTGCTCAATTAATGCTTTGTCCGGTCCGCAACCAACTCGGGCCCAAACATATCATTCGTACTGCGCTTCTGTTCCTCCAGTTTGCGTTTCTTTGCTAGACGTTCCGACTCGGTCTCAGAAGCGGCCGGTGAGTCAGTTGTAGAAGGCAACGGCTGAGTCAAGTCGCGCTTTAAGTTGACCTTCTCGGGGTTCTGGCAGTGATAGAGTTTCTTTGCGATTCGCTTGAGATTTTTCATTTGATCGGGGTCGGATGAAAGGGGTGTATATGCATGGAGAAGAGCAGCGCAGTCAGATATGACTTGGAGGAGTTTGGTGCGAAGTTCGTAGAGGGGATTTTGGAGGTTATTTTGGTTCGACTCGGTTGTTTGTGTGAGGGGGGCCACCGAGCTTGGTATCGAGATAGAACTCGGCCAAGGGCCGGTCTGCGAGGAGGAAGGCTGCAAGCCAGATTTGTGATGGGGTATAGAGGAAGTATACGTCTGTCATCTGCGCGGCAGACTTAAGCAGCTCGCGGGTTACGCCGTGCGCGCGGCCAATTCGGTCTGCGATTGAAGATGAGGGTGTAGGAGGTGGCGCAATCGCGAGAAGAGCACGCTGAAGCTCCTGTGGCGTTTGACTTGTTATATGCGGTGCGGGTTGTCCTTGCCCCTGTGCGATGGCGGAAAGCTCCATGACGCCGCCTTCCAGGCCGCGAAATGGGTGCCGGACGTCAAATGTGAATCGGAGGCCTTGCATGATAAGAAATTCAGGGGCGATGACTTTCTCCTCTGATGGTCCACCTGGGACGCCGGCTGCGAATTGACGGAGGGACATGTAGTAGTTGTCAGTCTTCGTGGCGAGGAACAGCGCGCATGCCATGATATCTTTAGGGTGGTAGGTCATCGGAGAGTTGGTCAGGTAAAATCGGCGGAGATACTGGATAGCGGTCGCCTGTAAATTGTAAAGAGAGTCAACTCATTGTCTCGTTGGCACCTAATATTGCCTCGACTATCTTGAATCCAACTTACCCGGACCATCGTGGGCAAGGGCGGCTTATATTCATCACCTAGCTCCAGCGTCTTCTCACAATAATATGTGACTAATACCAGCTCTTCTTCCGGAGTCAAGCACTCAATTTTCTTATCGCCAGGCCTCTTTGTCTCCCCATCGCTTCCAGGTTGCGGGGTCCCTGCTGCAGACGGGGTGGCAGACGAATGGGCTTCACCAACTCGCTGTATCGCGGCACGCACGCGCTGACTAGCGACATCATTTGTTGTAGCTCTCAAAGACCGGAGAGATGCCTTCGTGTAGGACCAAAGTCGATATTGGGAGGAGGTACGGTAGACATCGTCTTCGATCATGACGTTCAAAGGCCTTGATCTCGGTGCAGTAAGACGGCCCAGGAGTAGGATTGAGGTGCGTATTCAGCTGTGTGAGACGAGGATAAGACAGGAAGGAAATCAGTGAGTACGATTAATTAGGAGAGGCTCATCGAGACAAGGTGCGCGCGAGGCCAGGAAAGGGCGAAACACGTCAAAAGTTTCGTCGCGGAGATCGAGGCAAGGCTTGGGTTTGACGCGCTTATCGATAACGACCTATGATATCTCCACGTCCTCGTTCTACAACATTCATGGGTACAATTTCATGGTATTCGACTTCTTTTTGTTATGCAAAGCTTGAAGGCCTCCATCGTTTGACCAGGGCTCATGTTTTCCTTCATTATTTGTCATCACCTGGGTACCCAAAGGGCCAATCCGACTCTTCTCGGGTCTCCAGGGCTTAATCGCCCAGCAGACGAGCAGTGATATCCCCCAGTTGAGCATCCTCTAATTCCCGGGGCTGGCCTCCATTGGTGTTGATGCCAACAAAGCGTAAAGCAGACACCACTTGTTCCACATCGAAGCCCATGTCGGTGAAACGGGTCACTAGGTCCCTGTTATATCCGCCGTATCTATGAGTCAAACCGTGAGCTTATGTCATTAGTCAATTGAAATAATTGTGATTTGACTTACCGAGCGGTATCGTCCTTGGGAGCTGATGACTGAGCCGTATTTGCTACGCCTGTAGTGTCTGAAGTAGTGCGGGTGGAAGGCGCACCGGCATACATCACAGCCCATTGGCGTGCAACACGCTCAAATTCCTGAGGGGCCTGTAGCATCATCGTGGCGACCTCCGCATCTTGGGGGTCTTTCGGCTCTGGGGTGCTAAGCAGTGATTGCAGTGAAAGCAAAGAGGATTTGACGGTCAAAACGGGCGACCAAGCTGTTCCAAGAGTATCAAGACAGATTGCACCCTAGAGTCCTGCCAGTGAGTAGAGGCTCACAAATTTGACCATATAATGGTTGAAAAGCACCTACCGTTTGGCTGCTGATATTTGGATGCCACACTTTGGTCTCAAACTTCATGAGTGGAGGACGGAAGGGATAATCGGTGGGGATCTTGATATCAACACTGTAGGTGCCGCCTTGATACGGCGTGTCGGGTGGCCCTGGAAAGGAACCACGGAGATGCGTGATATCTTCATGGTCGCCAATCGGCTCAACCTTGACTTGAGAGCTCTTGTCTTTCTCAATGTCGGCCAGTTCTTTGGCTACACGACGCATGCGATTACTAGCCATCTTGATGTTGGATTTGAACTAAGGCGCACAGACAACTATGAGGCAAGAGTGAAGAAAAGTGCGTGGAAGTAAAAAGGAGTTCGGTTTTGCGGAGGCGAGGTGATCGTGTGTCGGGAGGAGACTCGGAGAGATCGGATTTGGATGGAATATATACTGAGCGATCAAATGTCAGCATAAGATGGTTCACGAGGCATTTGACTTGAAATACGGGCAGGGTGGTTCTTTACCAAGAGCAACAGATATCTAGGTAGATAACTGAGAGCGCCAGAGAGCAATCTCACCAGTAGAGGGGAAGTATGAGAGGCGATCAGGTCTGGTCTCGAGCTTACAAGAGCTGCACCGGTACTCGAGAGCGAACCTGATGGGACGTGTTGTTATACTGCCGGATCCTCCAAATAGACTCTCTCGATGCCAGTCCCAGACCAAATTGTTGCATATTGATTGTGCAGGTTCATGAAGAAGCTGGCTCACGGCAAGCTCAGGCAACAAGGCACCCATGACGCACGGGGGGCCTGAGGCTCTGATCACGTGCTGGCGGCAACAGCTTGCAGCTCGCAGACCCCCGAGCAGCGACATCAAGACTGCCGTGACAGCTCATCCCTTCCACCTCTATTTCCCATCCATCTCCAGCTTCCTCGTCCCCGGAGAATAATATACTCCCGCAATCTTTGCTATTAGTCTTTTTTTTTGGACACAGACAGTGATCCTGTCCCTGGCTTACAAACATGGTTGGTGACCCAACCTGCTCCAGCTTTCATCTTCCCGATTTGGCTTGACTGACATGCTTTCGTCTAGGGTAACCAGCAGTCTAATATGGGCGGTGGCCCTGGTGGTGATGGACGTGATGACAAGGATAAGAAGGTACGATTACATCCGACTTCTGCTACTCATTCAGCTCTGACAGCGCGCCTACAGAAGGACAAGCCCAGATACGAGCCTCCCCCGCCGCCTACCACCCGTCTCGGACGCAAGAAGCGCAAGGCCGCCGGTCCCAGCACTGCCGCGAAGCTCCCAGATATCTACCCTACCTCGAGATGTAAGCTGCGTTACCTTCGCATGCAGCGGGTGCACGACCACTTGCTACTCGAGGAGGAATACGTCGAGAACATGGAGCGGCTACGCAGAGCTAAGGCTCAGGAAACAAAGGGACCTGTCAGCGATGGAGATATGGATGTGACCGATCGAAACGCGGACGAGCGAAGCCGTGTCGATGACATGCGAGGCAGCCCGATGGGAGTTGGTAATTTGGAGGAGTTGATTGACGACGACCACGCGATTGTTTCTAGCGCCACTGGTCCAGAGTACTATGTATCAATCATGTCCTTTGTTGATAAGGATCTCCTCGAGCCTGGAGCCAGCATTCTTCTGCACCACAAGTCAGTCTCAGTCGTTGGTGTGTTGACTGAAGAATCTGATCCTCTCGTGTCTGTGATGAAGCTTGACAAAGCTCCCACGGAGTCATATGCCGATATTGGTGGTCTTGAGTCTCAGATTCAAGAAGTCCGAGAGTCTGTGGAGTTGCCATTACTACACCCCGAGCTTTACGAGGAGATGGGTATCAAACCACCGAAGGGTGTCATTCTCTACGGTGCCCCTGGTACTGGAAAGACACTGCTTGCGAAGGCTGTTGCCAACCAGACAAGCGCTACCTTCCTTCGAATCGTTGGTAGCGAGCTGATCCAGAAATATCTGGGTGATGGTCCGCGCTTGGTCCGTCAAATCTTCACAGTCGCCGCTGAGCACGCCCCGTCTATTGTGTTCATTGACGAAATCGATGCCATTGGCACGAAGCGTTACGAATCGCAATCTGGCGGTGAGCGTGAAATCCAGCGTACCATGCTGGAGCTTCTGAACCAGCTCGATGGTTTCGATGACAGAGGTGACGTGAAGGTCATTATGGCCACCAACAAGATTGAGACTCTCGACCCCGCTCTGATCCGTCCTGGTCGTATCGATCGTAAGATTCTCTTCGAGAACCCCGACCGTAAGTGTTTACCTGATATTCCCAACATTGAATTGCCTAGCTAATGTCCCTTCAGAAAACACAAAGAAGAAGATTTTCACCCTGCACACCTCAAAGATGTCTCTCGCTGATGACGTCGATCTGGACGAATTTATCAACCAGAAGGATGATCTTTCTGGTGCTGACATCCGTGCCATCTGTACCGAGGCTGGTCTCATGGCCTTGCGAGAGCGTCGTATGCGGGTCCAGATGGAGGACTTCCGCTCAGCTCGTGAGCGCATCATGAAGACGAAGCAGGACGGTGGCCCTGTGGAGGGGCTGTACTTGTAAGCGCTGATCAGTGCTTCGCTGAGGAACTCAGCTTTACTGGTCATCTGCGCTGGACACCTCATCTGGGTGTACTGTGTATTTTAATGGAACGCATGCGAATGGCGAACGCGATATACACCGATCTAATCTCTCGGCTCCTCTTCTTCCAGTATTGTCACCATCGTCAAATCATCAACCGTAAGCTCTGTAAATTTCTAGATTGACCCCTACGGACACTACGACGCCCAAGCGAGTGCAAACATTGCAAACATCGCAAACTAGCTCGAGCTTGATCTTATCGGCGTCGCAACTTCTTTTCCAACACAACTTGTTCCGATTTGCAAAATGGACGGCTTCGACGAGGAAGCTTTCAAGCAATTCTTTCCCTCCAGCTTTGGAAAGCAGCAGAAGTCGGTTGATGTCGATACTCAGATCGACCGGACCAAGCGTGCCGAGGTCTCGGTGCCAAAGCCGCCCGCAAACCATGAAGGGACAGAACTAACTGCACCCTCAACAGCTGGCCCGGCAGAAATAGAAAGGAAGACTCAAGAGCCAAAGGACAGCTACGATGACTCAAGCGATGACGATGATTCCAACGACGAGGATGACGAGGACGAATTTCCCGTGTCCCATGAGCTAGTCATGAAGACACACGAGCGCGCTGTTACGACGATGACCATGGATCCCTCGGGGGCGCGACTAATTACAGGTTCTACCGACTGTACGCTCAAACTGCATGATTTCGCCAACATGACCCCTTCCACTATACGCGCATTCAAGTCCGTCGATCCGTCACTTAAGAAGCAATCTGCGGCGCAAGATACACACGCTGTTCACTACGCTGCGTTCAACCCGCTATCGCCTGGTCACGTTCTCGTTGTGACTGCCACGGCCCAGCCGCGGGTTCTCGATCGAGATGGTGAAACTATAATCGAGTTCGCAAAGGGTGATATGTACCTGCGCGATCTCCACCACACCAAAGGCCATATTTCCGAGGTATCTAGTGGAGCATGGTGCCCATTTGACGAGAGCCTCTGTGCTACTGCGGGATCAGACAGCACTGTGCGCATCTGGGATGCCAATATTGGTCGTTCACAGAAGGAAGTCATTGTCCACAAGTCGAGAGTGGCTGGGTCTGCTGGGCGGACCAAGATGACAGCCGTGGCGTGGGGATCTTCGAAGCAGGGTGGGTCCGATGTTTTGGTCGCTGCTGCTCTTGACGGTAGCCTGGCCATGTGGGGTGGCAAGGGTCCCTTCACACGGCCGGCTGGTGAGGTTCGAGAGGCGCATACTCGAGACACCTGGACCAGTGGTCTGGACGTGAGCCCTGACGGGCGGTACATTGTCAGTCGAGGCGGAGATGATACAATCAAGCTGTGGGATACCAGAAAGTTCAAAACGCCAGTGACTACTGCGTCTCACCCCTCGACATCGTTCCGCTATCCGACATCCAACATCCAATTTTCTCCTTCGGGGGCGAATATTATCGTCGGTTCAGAAACTGGCCACCTTCATATTCTCAACCCGGCTTTGAGGCCAGAGTTGGTGACTCCCGTTACCCCTGGCTCCGCGTTGATTACTGTAATGTGGCATGAGAAGCTGAATCAAATTTTGACCGGTTCAGCCAACGCCGAAACCCACGTTCTCTACAACCCGACAATGTCTACAAAGGGAGCTGCATTAGTCATGTCCAAAGCTCCCAAGCTTCGACATGTGGACGATAACATCTCCTTTACTACAGACCTGTCCTCAGGGCTCGCAGGCGACTCTGTGGTGGTGGGATCTAACGGTGTCCCGCATTATAGCTCAGCGACTTGGTCTGCTCGCCACCCAAATGTTGGACTCACAGCCTCTGGTCGTTCACGAGACCCGCGCAGACCATACTTGCCGCAGGTTACACCCTTCGCCAAGGGCGGGTCCGATGAAAGATTCATTCAGTCGCATATTCCTCTCAGCTCTATGCGCGATGAAGATCCTCGAGAGGCTCTTTTGAAGTATGCCGACAAGGCCCAGAAGGATCCTATCTTCACGAAGGCATACCAGGAGACGCAACCCAAGCCCATTTACGCAGAATTGAGTGATGATGAGGACCGCGGTCCTGAAAAGAAGAAGGCACGGCGATGATCGTCAAGGTCCCACTTAATGCCTTGTGTATACTAGATTTACAGAATGTCCAAACTTCAAAGGCTACGATATTGAATCGACACGACCATGGAAATAGTATGACATGTACACGCAGGCTGTAACAAAGGAAAATTGCGCTGATCTGGTATCAAGCAGCGCACAGCCTCCTTACATAGGTCGGCAATGCTCCCCCTCTTTTCGCTGCTCAATGACGTCCGCAGAGTGGGATCTTTGTAGTACACGAAACCCACCTGAACCACCAATGAGACGAGTGAACACCACATGCTTAGATTTCGCGCGGATTTGCATTGTACGCTTCACGCAGCGGCGTGTGGAGGCTTTCCTTAGTCTTCATAGGCCTGGAGTAAGGAGCGCCGTTGGATGCTGACATGAGCATTTTCTCCGCTCCAGCTCTTCTCCGTGCGTTGCCGCCTACTAAACCTCCACGACTGCTACCTGGTCGAAGAATCCTTACCTCCGACCTCAGCATGCCGTCTATATGAAATCTGCAACGCTCATTCCCTGATCTGAGTCGACTCTAGTCGTTGAACAGCCCCGGTGCTTCGAGCACTTCCGTCGGTATCCCGAGTTTGGCCCGGTGGATGCGGTACCTATCGCACTTGTTTCAACCTCGCTCCTATCCTACGCGACGGAGATGGACACTCCACAGCAGCGGCTGGTCGCAGGCTTGCTTACCTCGCTTGTATCTTCGACTATTGCACCATCTGCTACAACTCAAACCCCCGCCTCCTTTTCGCGCTACGCCCATTCTGTCCCTCCCTCCTCGACTGCGGTCCCTCCACATAACCATAATGGCAACGGAAGAAGCGGCATGCACGAATGGTCGTCACTTATTGGTATCACCACGGCCTTGGTCGGCAATGTTCTGATTTCATTGGCGCTCAATATCCAGCGCTACGCGCACCTTCGGATCGCTCGTGAATGGGAAGAAGATAAGAGCAAACACGAAGCCGAATGGCGGCGCACGCATTCAGAGTCCTCATTTGAAAATCAGTATGGGGCTCTAAGAAACGGCGATCGGAACCGGTCCCGTGGACGCTCGCGCGTTCCAAACCTGCGTGTTGAAGGTAGCGGCTTTTCGCCGTACCGTGTTGAGGACGGCACTGCGAGAGATAGCAGCGATGCCTCTTCGCGAGATTCTCTTGCGTCCGACCGGACTGCCCGACCTGGTGACGGAGGACACCAGCGCAAGTCTTATCTCAAATCTCCATACTGGTGGGTTGGAATCGTGCTTATGTGTCTTGGTGAGATGGGCAACTTCATGGCCTACGGATTCGCACCAGCTTCCATCGTTTCTCCTCTAGGTGTTGTGGCTTTGATCTCGAACTGTGTTATAGCTCCATGCCTTCTTAAAGAGAAGTTCCGATCGAGGGATTTCTGGGGCGTTTTGGTCGCTATCGCGGGTGCTGTGGTTGTCGTGCTCAGTGCAAAAGACTCCGAGGAAAAACTGGGCCCTGGTGAAATCTGGATGATGATCACCCGTTGGGAATTTAGACTCTATCTGGGCCTAACCACCGGGCTGATCATAGCTCTTATGTGGGCTAGCTTCCAGTATGGCTCACGCTCAATCCTCATCGATGTTGGGCTGGTCGCACTGTTCGGTGGATACACAGCTCTTTCTACCAAGGGTGTTTCTTCGCTGCTGTCCTTCACTCTCTGGCACGTCATTACCTTCCCCATCACATATTTGCTCGTATTTGTTCTTGTGTTCAGCGCATTGATGCAAATTCGCTACATCAACCGGGCCTTGCAGCGTTTTGACTCGACCCAAGTGATCCCGACACAATTTGTTCTCTTTACTCTATCCGTCATCATTGGAAGTGCAGTCCTCTACCGTGACTTTGAGTCAATGACGGCCGAGCGTGCAATGAAATTCGTGGGAGGATGTTCCTTGACATTCCTGGGAGTTTACTTTATCACCAGTGGTAGGGTCCGGTCCGATGACGAATCTACCTTTTCTACCGAAGACGAAGAAGAGGCCATTGGCTTGCTTCACGGTGAACGATACCATGATCGGATCGACCTCTCCCCTCCTGGCCATCATATTGGACTGTCAAAAACACTGCATTCCGCCCCCGGGGTAGATCTTGACATTGTGCACTCGCCTTCAGGGTCTCTAGCGAGCCGTGGGATTGACGGAGTCGATGAGAACGAGCTCACAGCTCGAGGTGTCCTATCTGCTGCACCATCGTCTCCTGCAGGCTCATTGACCGCCAATTCGACTTTCTCGGACCCCTCGCTGGATCACGCATCTCCTCTACGCGCTCCTTCTCACATGTCCAACCCATGGGCCGACTCAGATCAACCACTCGTAACACCCAAATCCGATACGGAGATTTACCGCGACGCTCCTCCTTCACCACGAGCCGTTGATCCCATTCAGGAATCAACAGTCGATCTTCAATTCCCACCGGCTCCCGGTGCAGAGCATCTAACTCCCGATGGTTCATCAGCAACTTTTCGTCGTGCCTCCACCCCAGCTCTTGGAAATGAACCCCACATTCTTCTCGAGACGCCTTCCCGACGCGCTGTGCGCAACTCCCTTTCTCATAGGTTCTCCCCCGGTCCCCTTCTCCCTACCCTCTCGGGTGGTTTCAGCGCCGTTGTTGCTGAATCCCTCCGCCGCGGCGAAGGCAGTCCCCTGAAAGAGCGGAGCAGGCGGAAGCTAGGTCGTCGTAGGCAACTAGATGGCGCATTCGACCGAGGCACGGGCCGTTACCAAGACGGCGATCTCGCACATCCGGGCGCCGATGTTGATGGCCTTGAAACCCCGTTGACGCTTGCCAATGCTCGTCTCCAGTCCGCTACAAATCCGGCAAAGCCATCCGCCGAGGCCGGCCGCTCCACTCCGGGACTTGCTACCGAGCTCTACACCACAGCATCTGACACCGGCGATGAAGAAGGGACACGGCTCCGCAGCTTCAGTGACTCTTGGAGCGGTGGCCTTGCTTGGCTGGGCGGTGCACTGAAGAAGAACAACCAGCCTGTCGACAGCAGTGCGGTGACGCAAGGCACCGTGACTCCGCAGGCCAGCGAGGGGCTCTCGGCACAGGGTGAAAATCAAGACTATGCACACACCGAGAGCGAGTCTCGGACTTGATCCAGCAAGGGAAAATCCTTGACTTTTGCAATTAGACCGTACATGAGTGGCTGGGTCACTCAACACATCTCAAATCATACCCTTCTCATCATTTCCTTTTTTTCTTTTCAATTTTCTTTTTTGCGCAAATAGTTCCCTTTCTATGGCATATGGTCTTGTAATCGGCATTGCATTCTGCAGAGGTATATTTCATTTTTTTGGCGATTCGATATTCTTCTGTGTCATCTCATTTTCTGCTACATGAAGTTGCAGGCGGTATCGCGTCAATTTTTCCCCATTATGGGGTGTTTCTCTCAATTTCGCATTTTGTGTACAATTCATCCAATGCCGACTCAGACAAGTACTCCTCAAATGAAATGCTCATCGGGTCTCACTTTATACATAACCACATCTCGCATGACGACTGCCCACCGGAAGCAAAGGCGTACTTTTATAGGTGGAAAAAGGTGAGACCGCCGACATTGCATTCATCCAGTGATTGTGTAGATCTCTCCGCATCCTGCTATTTAGCCGCAAATACTTCATCTCCCTAGCTTCTCCACTCGGATCGTCAGGTAGACAAAACTAAATCCCCGCTCAGACGCGGGGTAACTGCTCCGTTTCCATATAGTCATAGTGTACATGCTGTAGGTCCGCTCTTGCGACCGTGATTTGCTCACATTGACCCCATCTCCGTGATGCATGCTAGCCTAGAAGCTAAGATTCCAACCGCAGCTCTGCCATTCCGAAACAAGTAGGGTCAGTGACACGATGGGAAAAGCCCCGATAATTTCCCCTCGCGGGGTCGAGAGATCATGCCAGACCAGGATGTGTCTTATATGCAGCTCTGATCGGCGATTCCTAAGAATTTTTTATTTCGAACTTACCATAAAAGTTCGCTGTCCATTGAGTTGGATTGTGAGCCTGCGGGATTGATTTTATTGATAAAAAGGCAATTTAGCGTCAAGATGAAGGCTGGCGGACTGTCGAAGGGGTTGTTTCTGGCGCAGCTGCTTGCTGCTATCACGCTTGGAAACGCTTCGAAAACTCCGCTCTACAAAGATGCCAACGCGCCTGTTGAGAAAAGGATTGAGGACTTGTTGGGTCGAATGACGATTGAGGACAAGATGGCGCAGTTGATACAAGGTATACTTGTGCAAGATAATTGCAGTCTTGAAACATTGAAGGCAGAGAATTGGCTGACCTCGGGCTAAGGTGACGTTACGAATTGGATGAACCAAACTTCGGGAGCATTTAATTATACCGGACTTGTGGAGAATATGGAGATGAAAGCTGGCTCGTTCTATGGTGAGACTCTCTATATGGACCTGTACCTAGGAATGTGCTTGACTAATACTGGGTGTTTACAATCATAGTGGGATACCCTGTTCCTTGGGATTGGATATCGGATAATATCAAGAGAGGTCAAGACTATCTTCTTCAGAATACCACACTTGGGATACCTGCCCTGGTCCAGACTGAAGGTATGGAGATGCTGTTACTTTTGGCATATGAAGCGAATCGACTAATCGCAGCTAGGCATACACGGATTCTTGATTGGCAATGCTACGATCTTCAATTCCCCTATTGGCTTTGGAAGCTCGTGGAATCCCGAGGTAAATGGCCCAGGGCTTTGAAATGCTACAAGAGTTCAGTTGGCTAAAAGTCACATTGTAGCTGGTCCAGAAGATGGCTGAAATTATCGGCCGCGAAGCTCGAGCACTCGGTGCTAGTCAGCTCTTTGCTCCCGAGGTTGATCTGGCTCGTGAACTCCGCTATGGTCGTGTACGGCTCTAATATCTTGTTGATCGCACATGGACTGACAAATGCATAGGTTGAAGAAACTTTCTCCGAAGATCCCTTTTTGGCAGGTGAGATCGGGTACAGCTATGTGACAGGTCTGCAGAGCAAGAATGTTTCGGCGATGGTGAAGCATTTCGTCGGGTTCAGTAACCCGGAGCAAGGCCTAAACACGGGTCCTGTGCATGGAGGTGAGAGAGAGTTACGAACCACGTACGTTGGAGCTGCCCTGTGTCGAAAGATATGCTGACAACTGTGCAGCTGGATGCCCTCGTTCAAGCGCGCTATCATTGACGCCGGTGCATGGTCAATCATGGCAGCATACCATTCGTAAGTTGCCTAATATGTAAGAAGGGAAGATCTTTGGCGGAGACTCATTCTCGGCTGAATAGATACGATGGTGTTCCAGCAGTCGCCGATTACCACACTCTCACGGAAGTTCTGAGAGAGGAATGGGGCTACGACTACTTTGTCATGACCGATGCCGGTGGAAGTGACAGACTGTGCAGCTACTTCAAGATGTGCCAGAGTGACCCTATTGATATGGAATCGGTCACGGAGCAGCTATTGACTGCGGGTATTGATGTTGAGATGGGCGGCGGCTCCTTGTGAGTGCATACAGCAAGGAACATGAGACCGAAAATGGCTAATCAAACTGCAGTAATTTCCAGAAAATCCCAGAGATGGTGAAGTCGGGCAAGTTGGACATTTCCTACGTCAACACGGCAGTGTCCCGGTTGCTTCGAGTCAAGTTTGAAATGGGACTCTTCGAAGAGCCATATCCCGCTGCACCGGAGAACCAATGGCATAAGCTCATCAACAATGACGAGGCAAAGCAGATTGCGAGAGATCTGGACAAAGAGTCCATCATACTCTTGGAGAATCATAATGAGACATTGCCGCTGGAGAAGTCCGGCAGCATTGCAGTGATTGGGCCCATGGCTCATGGGTTCATGAACGTGAGTCCATGCTCTGACTGTCCAGATCAAGCATCTAACGCAAATTTCAATCCATAGTACGGCGACTATGTAGTTTACGAAAGTCAGTACCGTGGCGTGACTCCACTCGACGGCATCAAAGCCGCAGTTGGCGACAAAGCCGAGATCAACTATGCCCAAGGCTGCGAGCGATGGAGCAACGATCAATCGGGATTCGACGAAGCAATTGAAGCAGCAAAGAAATCTGACGTCGCTGTGGTTGTCGTTGGGACCTGGTCCCGCGACCAAGTCCAGCTCTGGGAGGGTCTAAATGCAACGTGAGTGAGACATTTTTATTTTTTCAACTCCACTGCTACACCAAGACATCGTGGCCCTAATTTCAAAGTCAGCACCGGTGAACATGTCGACGAAGATGACCTGTCACTTGTTGGAGCCCAGGCTCCTCTGATTAAAGCTATCGTCGATACTGGTGTTCCCACTGTGGTGGTTTTATCGAGCGGTAAACCCGTTACAGAGACTTGGCTTTCGAACGCCACTTCCGCACTAGTGCAGCAATTTTACCCCTCCGAGGAAGGTGGAAATGCACTCGCCGACGTGCTGTTTGGTGATTACAATCCCTCGGGAAAGCTATCTGTCAGTTTTCCTCGATATGTGGGCGACCTGCCCATCTTCTACGATTACCTGAACTCGGGCCGCTCCATTGGGGACTCGGGATATAAGCTCAGCAATGGGAGTCTTGTCTTTGGGCATCAATACGTTCTAGGCAATCCAACGCCATGGTATCCATTTGGCTATGGCAAGAGCTACTCCACTTTCGAGTATGGGTCTGTGAGTCTCGACCGGAGCAGAATCTTTGCGTCAGACAGTACCGTTACTGTTAGCGTCGATGTGACCAACACAAACTCGAAACGGGACGGAACGGAGGTTGTCCAAGTCTATGTTTCGGATGAGATTGCCACAGTTGTTGTCCCTAATCAATCGCTCAAGGGCTTTGCCAAGGTGGTAATTCCCGCTGGTAAGACCGAGACTGTCAAGATCCCGATCAAGGTTCAAGATCTTGGACTATGGAATAACAGGATGAAGTATGTGGTGGAACCGGGTAATTTCACTGTGATGGTTGGAAGTAGTTCGGGGATATTAGGGGCAATACCACGCTCACTGTGCTGTGAAGGGGAGCCGCGGTAGTCGCATAATTCAAACAAGTCATGAGGATAAGGTAGCTGACTTTCCAATTCAATAGTACTTGGTCTGAAATTGATCGTATCTCTAAATGCGAAGCAGATAATTAAAACTTTTACAGCACCGCCCGCGTCTATATCCAAGAAGGTGAATGGAAGCTATACTCTTCCGTCTGCTCCATCTCTGGTCTCAGCGGCCAATTTTCCATCGTCTCCGGCGCAGTCCTCGTCAAAGTCAGTCTTTTGTAGGCGTTACCATTCTCAGAATGAGACCTCAGCAATTCCTCCTCATCGGAGACAGATCCTTCCACATCCTGCTCGAGGCTAAGGATAACCTCAATCGCTTGGTGGTCTTCGGTGACCTTCGGGTGACGGCTGGCGAAGTAGCGTCCGTATTTGTAGAGAGACCAATAGCAGCTGATCACATTGATCACGGTGAGCGCGATCTTGTAGAAGGTATAGTAGAAAATCAAAACGGCATAGCCAATGCGCTCGTTCTTCTTTCGCAGATGGATCTCGTTGAAGATGATGACGTTGATGATATACATCCCAATTGTGGCGCCAAGAAGGATGCCACAGAATCCAGGGCGAACAATGAATGAGATCGGGAGCATAAATGGTGCCATGAGGTAGATGAGTGTTTCATAGACCTCTTGGAGAACACAGAGCTTCGCGCCGATCTCCCACCAGCCAAGCTTCCAGCTTGTCAGAATGTACTTGATATCATAGTACATGCCGACGACGAAGAAGAAATTCCATCGTTTGAAACGCTGGGAGAAGATGGTCATCTCTCCAAAGCCACCGCGGCTACCACTTCCACTGAAGAAGACGGAAGACGGCGTTTCGGTCTCCACGAAAACAGAAGAGCACATCGTGATACGTCCTCCAAGGCGACGACAACTATCTCCGAAGAACCAATCCTCCGAAACAGAGAACCCGGGATGTTCATAAAATGTCTGCTTCAAAAATTCCGTGTTCCAAATTGAGATTGCGCCATGGGGGAAAGTCGCACTGCCAAGTTTTCCGAAGAAAGCCCGTTGCAAACCAGACATCTTATACTCGAGATCTTGAGCCTGTTGACAGAATGTGCCTTTCGACGAATCCGGACCGACACTCTTGATCGTGTACCCAATACACTTGACCTTCCCCTTGAGTCGATCAGCGACAATGGGGAAGTTGGGAGGTAGTGCGCAATCGTCGTCGATAAGGAGCACATTTTCAAAGCCCTTGGCAGCATAGCAGCCGGCGAATTGGGCGACGATTTTTGATCCAACGGGAACCCAAAGGTGGTTCACACCATAAGGCTGGCAAACTTCTTCGGTGTTGTCGAGAGGCGTTTCGGAATTGCCGTTGGCGATAACAAAGATGTTCTGCGGAGGGAAGATTTTCAAAGCGGCTTTCAAAGTTGGCCCGATGATATTGGCAGACTTATAGCATGGGATGATCAGAGCTGTGTCCTTGGCATTTGAGTAATTCTTTTCGAGGTCAAGGTTGCTGTCGTCGATGGTGGGAGGATCCTTCTCGAATAGAATGAGGAGAGGGAGGAATGCGTAGCTAGATTTAGTTAGCCTGTAATACAACAGGAGAATAACCAAGCTAACTCACAGTGCAGCCAAGCCAATTGTAATAGCATAGCCTCCTTGAATCACAAATTTGACTCTCACAACCCAGTAGAGCCACCAGACGGCTCCTTTCCATAATGGCATACCCACGAGGACAAAGTAGACAAATAGAACGAGCAGGGCATATAGAGTATATTCGAACAGCAGTCGAACCCAGTATTTCCGTTGAAGCGCAACACCTCTCACTTTGGCTTTCTCGTAGACCTCGTACATGCTATTCCGGTTGCTTTTGAAGTGAGATGCCGTTGGACTTCTTGCTGGACTGCTAATCGGGCTCTCTTTAGGGCTCAGGATGGCCTCTTTAATCGGTGAAAGTGGTGCATTTTTCTCTGGATCGGAAACCGGAGGCGTCAAAAAGTCAATTTTTCTGATATTGTCCCATCCTATACAATCATTAGATGGTTGATTACGGGAATATAGGTCAAACAGAACACCTACTATGTAGCTCGGTAGGGTTGCTTAGCGGTCGAGTTGCGGGACGAGGTCTCTGAACACGACGAGTGGAAAGACTAGCAGATCTAATAAGCCCACCGGACTGGGTTTTGCCTGCTGACGAAGGTCGTGCTTGTGTGCGATCATTTTGGGGAAGCGATTTCTCCCATTTCAACTGCTCCCATGGAGAACTGAACTTTGCAGTGGCCAGCAGATGCTTGGGGACTGGCACATCCTCCACAATAGAGAGTGTTGTATTCTCACCCTCAGACATTATAATATAAAGGATTAATAAAGACCGGCTGTGTTATATGTAAGACACATGCGCACAAGAGAGAAGTGAACGGACGGCGAGCAAAGCTTTCACCGAAGAAAAAAGTGACTGGTTAAACTATTTGGAAAAGAGAGCTCCATACCAAGTTTAAGAGAATTGTAGGGCTAGGGACGAGATCTTAGCCAGGAGGGTGGGCCTTTGGCCGGTGCGTTGTCTCCATTTTCTTCCTTGCTAGACCTAGACTAGACGATTCCTTGTCTCAAAAATAACATTTCTGAGGCTCACAAAGTTGGAATTGGCGATCTTTCCGATACAGACTCAACGGATTCCACGGAGTACTTCCACGTGGTTCTAATTCAGAGCTACCGAGAAAGATGAGACCCCAAGATTCATGGTTGAAGGGCTGAGAAGGGCGGCTTTACAGGAATGGCACTAGTTGAAAATTGAATGAGATATCCTATGAAGAGCCCTATTCTTAGGTGGTAGCCTTGGTTCTCACTTTCGATGGATTTCGGTGGATCAGTTACCCGTTCCCATCCCAGTTTTGCTCTCAGGCACCGGCGGGCAGGGTCTTACGATTTCAGAAAAGAACCACGGACATAATCAAGTGAACCATGGGTATAGGGCGTAGAGCTCAATTATCAAAGACTTGGAGTCATAGTATCCAAAACAATTTACGGACCTACTTGATTTAGGCTTAGCCTGGAATCGAGACTCGGCTAGAAGAGATTTTGGCGTAACGCCTGAATAGCCTTATGAAGCACGTACATTTTCGACCAGTGAAAAGACGAGACGGAGATCTGACCTGATGATCTTCAATTTGATTTCTTATTTGGTGCGTACTAAACCTTGCTCGTCCATCTCGGCGGGCTCCGGCGTACCGTGGATCGCGTCGTAATAGAAGTGGAGAGACTGCTTCGTCAGAGTGGTCCAGGAACGAGCCAGACACGATGACGCCAAGCTAAAGCCATCCGGAATTCGAATCCACTTTCAACTACCGAGGTGGGAATTCGAATCAACAAATTACCCCAAGAATTAGATTAAAAGGTCCAGCCTTCCTTTTTCGACGTCATGTGAAGCACCTTCCCTGCTTTTGGCAATAAATATGTTAATAATACTGACCTGGGTGAAAAGTGATTTAGAGCAGAACAAAAGCAAGCTAAATTTAGCCTCCCGGCTCGGCAGAGGCGGCATTGTGGATGCTAAACCACACAGCTAGTTACGCCCAATCCAGTAGGTGAACGACTATCATCGAGAGATGGAAATGCCCATGACTATGGTGGTGTATGCTCTAGCCGGGCGGGATCTGTTTCAAAAAGAGGCTAAGTGATCGATTTGCTAGCCTTGCATGAACCATGTGGGAACACGTGCATAGGATCGAAATCAGCGTAAACCAAAATTTGCGCGATTCATTCCTAGCCGCATCGCTGACGCGTACTGGTTCGTGGACCGGCTACTCCGGATTCCATGTCTTTGGTCTTGTTGTATGTTCAGAGGCTAAAATACAGCTATGAAGCCACGGGGAGCCGAGCGACTAGGGGTTGTCGGGACTTGAATGGCAAATCAAAGATGCATCGTGGACGCATTATGTAAGATCGTTGGATACAGAAATATGACAGAATTGACCTGTCATATAAATGTGTAGAGTACGTCCTAGTGGGCTTACAGTATGTCCAGTTCAGGTCTGTTTTCCGCATCCACCTCAACCCAATGCGGATTTTCAACGGAGCATTGTCTTGTGAAGATCGAAGCGGCTGAGAGTGAGGAAAGTGAGGCAAATATGCAGGTACACCTCCTTCTGGTGAAAGAAAGTACATAAATGAGTATAAAGAGGAAATAAATGCTTATTCATTCGGCCATCTTCCGAGCTAGTCGAGAGAAAACTTGAGAAGACACCCGAAGAGATAGAAATGAAGGAAAATCTGAAGAGTTTGCGTAGAGAAACTCCCGCAAGATGTACTCTCTCTCCCCAATCGGTATCTTGTAAAATTCCACAACCCTCCGACCCGCGCAAAGTAAAAGAGAGACGAATTCACCCTACTATCGCGAGAGGCCTGCACCCTGTGGATTCTCAGAAAGCCCACCACCGAGTTCCCAGGTCTCCAAAAACCTCCCCTCGCCTTCAATACTGCGGTCATCCACGTATCATTCCATATATGATAAAGACTTCCATCATATCGAGCCATACAATATGCAGATCTTCCCTAAGCTGACCGAGGCTGTCTCGATAGACACATCACTAAAAGCCCCTACCCAGGATCACTTGCGCTTCAGCTTTAGTTGAGTCCTATAAGCGAAGCCCTGAAAGGCTGAAGCCAATTGTACGAACGTTCGCGAACGCTTTGTTGCGATAAACTACCTCGTACTCTGGATTCTCTACTTTCACGCACCGTATGTGCATAGCGGGGCCGAATTATTGTTCTAATCAGAATTTTCAGATATTGTGAGAAGTGTGCTTCGTCATTGTTGATGCTGACGCGATAGACCTCAATGATGAGATTCGGCGCGCGTGTCTTCGATGTTGTGTCCCAGGCCAGCCAAGTATTCCTGCTCGTGCCCATTGACCTTTATGGAGACTTAATACGATCATATCCTCGTTCATTATGAGTCGAATAGCCTGCAAGTGATAAAGTGACATGATATATAGATTTGAGGGATCGGAAGGCTCCAGTCGAATGTGATGTCCAAGCACGCAATGAAGTTGTGGACCACCAGAGCTCACGAACTTCGTCGATGATACCATCTGGGGAGATAAGGTGCGTGCCTGTATCCCGATTACAATCACAGCTCGTGGAGATGGCAGTTGTTAAAACAAGCTGAACCTATTTCGACAAGTTCCGACTCCATGTCACTCACCCATTGCACTGATTGCGCGTCATTCGTGGCTCATGCAGCGACGTCCGGGTTCTAGTAGATATCCCAACACAGGCCCTGGAACGGATCAGGTTTTCCCATCTCCAGCGCAGCCTGGCGTAATTAATGGCTGCACTCGAATTTCAGAGAGTTACACAGGGCGAATGTTGTGATAAGGTAAGTCATGACCATCATCTCTCGATCTCTGACTTTTATGCACGGAAACCCGCTGTTGGGAATAAATGCGGCCGTCTCTGGCCCGACTATTACGTTTGTTTGGGCAGGCCTTCTCTAGTCAATCCCACAGCCCCTATGACAGAGACTTCGGACTGCATCTCTCTCTCTCTCTCTCTCTCTCTCTCTCTCTCTCTCTCTCTCTCTGACGGGTGTTGTGACTACCTTTCGTATCCAGACTGGCATGACATAGTGAATGCAACAAGATTTGCAAAGCCACAGGAAATGGAGGACATTGCCAAGCGATTGCAACTCTAAATCAAACCTCCTTCTCCGACTTGTATGCATGGAATTCCGTCTGAGAAAGGCCTGCCTTAACATCTGGCCCGGCTACTACGTTTGCGTCGGCACGTCATGAATTCTGGTGCTTAATGATGCTGTGCGAGGGCATCATATTCCTGGCCGAGGCATCTTGCTATTATTGACACTCTGTATTATTCTTTCTAGCTCCTTGCGGATTCAAATCGCATTCACAAAGCTCCTATATTCCGTAACACATGGAGACTCAGATATCCGCTGGTCAAGCAGAATAAAAGACGCCCTGATGTACGCGCTGGGAATTCTCATTAAAGAAGCAGGGGATTGATATTGTGAAAAAATTAACAGGAATGTCCATCTTAATGTGTATAGAAAAGAATGGTATCGAACCGAAATCAAGCGTTCAAGTAACAATTTCGTAGTGAGTTAGAAAAAAGAGAACAATGTGTGAGTCAAGGTCCTGCATCTGCGTTACCTCCAGTATCTGATCCAGAAGCATTGCGGCCAACCGCTTGGTGAGAGGAATCGGCGTCTGGATGCGGAGAGACTGGAATATCTGGTCGTTGACTGCTCTGGCCATCGACTGGACGACCCTCGGCTCTTCGTGTTTTGGCACCCTCTTTCAACTTCTCCCAACGATCACGGTACCGTCCAAGGACATTCTTCAATTTTTCGTTCTCCTGCGTAATACGATCCAGATCATCCTGTTTGCGACGGGCAAGTTCCTCTAGCTCCTTGATCTTCGGGTCTATATCGGAATTTGCTGGTGCCGTGGAAATTTGGGCCGCCGGAGATACTGCAGCTGAGGAGCCATGTGTCAGTTGCTCTGGAGATCCAGTGGTATGATGATGCATGAATCTCAGTGACTGTTGAAGTGCCATAGATGATGACTGTGCATTGACTTCCCACATGTGCAGTCGCTTTGAAAGAGTATCGGACAGTTGTTTCAGTGCTTGATTCTCCATCTGTAGTTCTTCGACGGTCTTGGTGTTCTGGTTCATGAGTTTCTCTGGCGCACCTCGACGTCCACTGCGAGAATTGCCCGTACTCTGGCGCATCTCTGGTGACGCTGGTGCTTCCCGTGCATCAACAAATTCGTCATCTGCCTCATCCAAGCTATTGCGGCGCGCCTCCTTCTCTGCTCGTGTGAGGATTCCTGCGTATGACATCGTTCCTCCTGACGTAGGAACAACATAGAAGGACTCAGCGGGGTTCCCTAGGGCGCCTCCCGGCGTATCCCGAATCGATCGCAGAGCTGCTGGAGAGAACAGACGACTCACGTCTGGCTCCACGGTAGAAGAAGATCGGTCTGAAGTTGCATGATGGCGATCTAGTTTAGTCTCAGCAGACGACTTTCGGTTTGCGGATGCAGCCTTAGCCGGGTCCTCTGATAATAGTGGAAGGCCAGCAAATGCTAGCGGTGCTGAGATTTTAGAGATCAGTCCTTCAAACGTGGAGTAGAAACGCTGGAAACCCTCGTCACTTGTCGAGGATCTGGGTCTGGAAGGGGTGTTTGCTGGTACGACTTCATGGGAGGTAATCTCTGTAGGAATGGGCATTTGAGGAGACCACATTTGTTTGGGCGCAGATGCTCGGCTCTGGCGTTTCCTTATTTGGAACCTCTCGCAATCTTGATTCACCGGATGTGGCCCTCGATCCCTCCGTCATCTTCGCTCCGGCTTGCTGGGCAGAAAGGGTTGGTGACACCGGTGACCCACGACGGGGATGCGAAGGTATACCACGAGCTGAGGCCAAGTTGCTGGCTATAGATGATGATTCACGACTTGACATCCGAGGCATTCCTGGTAGTTTCGGCGGCTGGTATTGAGCATCCTGGCTGGTGGCTTTGATGTTACCGGGGTCTATGCCTGAGGGTTGGGCTGCAACGTTCGAAGGGAAGGTTGCCGGATTCTCCTCTGTTATACTAGCAGGATGCTCATGTTGAAATCTCAAGATTTCGGCCAAAGTCTTGTGCTGGTGTTCGAGTAGCCGCAGGGTTCGGAGGGCCTGTGTGCCCGATTGCGGTCAGCGCACGATCGCTTCAAAGGAAGGGGCTTATCGGCCTCACCTCTGGGTCAGAGCTATTCTGAGCAGCTGTAGCGAATTCACCGGCAGCCAAGTCATGTTCCTCGCTGGCGGCAACGGGATTCGACTTGCGGGTCTCGAGTGCCGCATTTCTCGCGTGTGTATGGGCCTGATCAAGTTAGAGATGAAGCGCAACGTAGCGATCACCCTACCAGTGTAAGCGGAGCTGCCTCCATGTTTCTTCAGCAGCATAAGGGTGTGAACGGCAGAGGTGAGCAGCCTGAGAGGCTTGGTGGGGAAGAGAACATTTGAATGAGTGACGCCATTCCCGTCGCTAACAAGACAAGGGAGGAGCAACTCAAGACCTCAGCGATTCATCCGTCTTCCAGGGCAACTCCATGAACAAAGACCCGATGCAATTGTATAGTCGAACACGATTCTTGTTTTTCTCGAAACTAGGTGGTATCTGCCATGATCGGAGATTAAGCTGAAAGCAGCATCCACCGAGACTTGGTCACATCGGCATTCTAAGTAGCGGGGAAAAGGCTACGCTAACTTCCTCCCAAAAAAACGACATAACGCAGATCCAATAGAGTATCCAAACCGAAAATAGAGTCTTGTAGGGTAGTAGTGAATTTAGGACTACGCTTAGAGGTGAATGCTATAATGACGAAACTGGAAAGGAGAAGGTCCAGACCCGCAGCAGAGCACCTGACTAAGGTGTCTAAGTGTCAACTGCGGAGCTTCTCCCTCGTTGATCCAGGGGATCACCTTTGCTCATTACTCTGCAATGCAACTCCCATTGACGGGATTATGCAGCTGATCGATCTGCTGTGTCCCCTGCTTTGATTCAATCCCTATCTATTCGTAGCCCGTTGGGGCTCACCTCTGCCATGGCCGACTCCGAAACCTCCAGCCTCCAGGGAACCAGGTCGCGCCGCGCCTGGACAGTCTCTGCAGATTCAGAGACAATGGATAGCTCAGCTCGGAGCAACGGCCGATCATCTAATGATTCCAATCTCGAACGACCCAAAACTTCAACTGGGGAAGTCCCAGATTCCGCTAAGGCTGGACCTAGCGGCATCTCCAAGCTCCTCAAAGCACGACGGAGGCGGAAGAAGAACGACAAAACACCTGCAGATGCGCCACCTGTACCGGAGATTGTCACTGAAGAGGACCTCCGGGAGAGTCGATCGAATGATTCCCGAGATGGCAATTCCACTTTAACATCATCCAATAATAGCTCAGCCCCGCCAGAAAGCGATGTCATGAACTTATTGACCGATGATTCCGAGCCCGAGAGGTACGTCTAAGCTTTGCCGCCCCGTTCTCATCGTCTCGGGAAACAAACTAACATCTTTTTGCCTAGGACTCCGCCGCTCACCACTCGCAACTCCCATACGGGATTCTATACCTCCTCCTCTCCCCTCTTTAAGACCAGATCCGTGGACGCCCCTGAATCCGAAGGCGGACAAGCGGACGTTGAATCGGCTGTAAGCGGCCAAAGTGTGACTGAGTCCGAGTCAGCTACTAGCGATGATCCCCCCTAGGCCAGGCATTCAATCAAGCATGACATTGGATGTTCCGGCCGGCAATAGCAAACGCCGCAGTACTTCGCCTTCACCGGGGCGGCGCCTCAAAGATGCCTTCAGCTCCGACAAGAAAAGCGAGAAAAACGCAAGCACGACTGCAAGCACGACCACAAGCGCGACCACAAGCGATGACGCAGACCGAGCATCCTCAAAATCGGGTAGCAAGGACAAGCGGAGTATATTTGGAAGCAGACGCAGCAGTCTCTCATCGAAAAGGGCTCAGGCAGCTCCAGATGAAGCTCCTCCGCCCCTGCCAGCTCCAATACGTACAGACTTGAAAGAAAGTAAACCTCGTTCCCTGGAAGCAAGCCCTCTACCGAACACGCCTCCGCATACAGCCATCCCAGCCCCAGCCACGACCGTAACCCCGCCCACGCCGATCGAACACCGGCCACTCATTTCACAAATACTAGGCGATGGAGTAACGGGCTCCCCGGAATCAGTCACATCTCGAAATTCCATATCATCTCCTCCAGGGGTTACTACTGTGAGTCCTTCTGGAAATATGATCTCACATCGGCGGGTACGATCTGCCTCCGCGGCTCATGGTCCGAGCAAGTTATCCAATGTCACAGCATTGAGTCCGCTAGACGAAGGAAAGTCCCTCAAGAGTTCGTCCAGTCAACAAAGTGGCTTCTTTTCATCGGTGTTCTCTGTCGCACAAAACGCCGCTTCCTCAATTAGCAACACCCTCAACAACCAACAAAGAAGTCGGACTACCTCTTCCGCTGTACCCGCTGAGCTCGAAGAGAGCGGCGAGGGCAGCTTTGAAGGTCTTGACAGAAATTCCGATGAAAGTAAAGGCGAAGACGGGAAGCCATCTGCTGTGCAGACCCTGGGGGCTGGTGATCTGAGTTTTAGTCATCTAGACATTGACGCGCCGCCCGGGGAGGTGATCTCTACTACCGATGGAGTAGTTGTCACCAAGCCTCCAGCGACTCCAGTTGATAAGCGGATGAACGCAGCAGTTCAGCGGCGGGACGAGGATTCTGCGAAGCTTGAGGACCAGCGGGCGGCACGCGCAGTTAACCTGGCTTATGAAAAGCCCGGTGAATTCCCCGTTATTGGGTCTCCTGGCGAGGATGTCTTGGATATCCAGTCTACCGTTTCCAATCCTAGAGACGGCCTTATGACTGGGGATCAAACTCCTCCTACTGGCAGTATCATTGACGGTGATATTGGTAGCGGTATCAAGCGAAGTGGAAGTGTGCGTAGCCGACTTGCACGACGCCACCGTGGTTCTTCCGGGGCCACTGCCTCGACAATTGGTGCTATCGGAGCTGGGGCCAGTGCCCTGGCGCTTGGTGTTCCTGGCGTCAATTCAAGCGTACCTCGGCTGACTGGCTTCGCGGTGGCGAGCAAGAAGCGCAACCGAGACTTCCACCAGCTATTCCGAAGTGTTCCAGAGGACGACTATCTGATTGAAGACTATAGCTGCGCCTTACAGCGTGAGATCATTCTTGCTGGACGTATCTACGTCTCCGAAGGTCACATTTGCTTCTCCAGTAATATTCTGGGATGGGTGACCACTCTTGTCATCAGTTTCGATGAGGTTGTCGCCATCGAGAAGGAGAACACTGCAATGGTATTTCCCAACGCCATTGCCATTCAGACGTTACACGCTCGACACACCTTCCGCAGTTTGCTAAGTCGTGAATCTACGTACGATCTGATGGTAAACATCTGGAAGATCAATCACCCGTCTATCAAAAGTTCCGTGAATGGAACCCGGGTCACCAACTCTACTGGTGACAAGACTGAGAAGGTTGGAGATGGCGAAAGTGACTCTGAAAGCGTCACCTCTGATGAAGACGAGGTTTACGATGAGGATGAAGAGGACGACGCTGCGGAAAGTTTCTTCGAGGCGGGGCCTAGCGCCAACGCAAGTGACAGGTCATTGCCTGGCCGAGCAGGTCTTAGCCGCCAAACCTCAGGCTTATTCACCAATGCAATGGTCTCAGGGGCTGGCCCAAGTAACGGTGATATCAAGAATGGCGACAAATCGGCGGCTTCCAAAGAGCCCGATTTCCCTGGACCCGCCACACACGGGCCCACTGAATATACGGAACCCGGTGGTTCATATGATAAGGTCATCAAGGATGAAACCATTCCTGCCCCGCTTGGAAAGGTCTACTCCTTGGTCTTTGGACCTGAATCGGGAGAGTTCATGACCAAATTCCTTGTGGACAATCAAAAATCTGGCGAGCTTCAGTTCGAGGGAACAGCTAAGGGCCTGACCAACGAAAGCCGCGTCAGAAAGTATTCTTACATAAAGCCTCTCAGTGGCGCAATCGGGCCCAAGCAGACCAAGTGTATCAGTACCGAGAACCTTGACTTTTTGGACCTGGAGAAAGCAGTCTTGGTCACGCTAAGCACCCAAACCCCCGATGTGCCTAGTGGTAATGTTTTTGCCACAAAAACCAAGTACCTCTTTACGTGGGCCTCTGGCAACCAAACTCGGTTCCTTATGACATGTACGATAGAGTGGTCCGGGAAGAGCTGGTTGAAAGGTATGTTTTTCGAGATCCTAATTACATGGAAGTTACGCTAAATGCTGTGCAGGTCCTATTGAGAAAGGTGCAATTGACGGTCAGACTGCATTCGGTGACGACCTGGTCAAAACTCTGAAGATGGGTGTTGTTCCTCGAGGGCGCACCGCTGCCGCTGGACGAGGCAAGGGTCGTCGCAAGAAGGGTGATCCTGCGGTTAGCGATACGTCTAAGGTAGCTGGGCACAAAACGGCCACGGATTCTAGCTCAAAGCAGGCCGAGACCTGGGGTCTCTTCGAACCGATTCGCCCAATGCTAGAGCCTGTAACCAGCATGCTCAAGCCGCTTTGGAGTGGAAATGTCATGATTCTCATGGTCGGTATTCTACTGTACATGGCATTCTTCCGAGCACCGTCTGGTTCATCTACTCTGTCCCGAGATACTGGCCTACCTGGTCTAAGTCTGCCTCAGCGCCTAGCCGCCTATGACGAGATGTGGCGTCGTGAGGAGAGTGAGTTGTGGAACTGGTTAGAAGACCGCGTCGGTATGGAAGGCATGGTCTTCCCCACTCTACATCACCGTCCAGAGGCTCACACAGCTCGCAAGACTTCCCGGGTCAACGTGGCTGATGAGCTTGATCTTGTTGATCGACTTCGCGAGGAAAAGGCCTCGGACCGAGAGATGGATCACGCGATTCGGACTACTCGCCAACGTCTTGATATTCTTGAAGAAATGATGAACAGGCGCAAAGTGCACTCGGCTCCCGACGGAGAGCCTGTCCGAACTGAGCTATGAGTTTGACCCATTTCCGATAGCATGCGCCTCCTGACCCAACTTCACCAAACTCGATCTACCCACCTACATCGCTTCACTCTCAATTTTCCTTTAAGCTCTCCTGTCTCGACTACGACAGTTCTTCACTCCCTGACTCCCAATTACTTTCCATATCTGTCTACTTCCTTTCACTTTTGGGCAAGTCCCTTCCTCTCCTTCGCACATATTGCTACCTCGCCACATTCCTTTCGCTTGACATCTCTACCTGACACGTGCGGGAGCAAGCCTTTCCTTCGCATGTACATGAGCGCCAACTACTGTCTATACCGGGCTACACGAGCCGGCTCTCAGATCTCTCTCCTCTCTCTCTCTCTCTCTCTCTCTCTGTTCAAGCGCGTTGCATCACGGGTTCTTCTAGTGCTGGTGGTGTTTGTATCTTTCTGTCCCAGATTATCTCTTTTCCCAGCGTTCTGAGTCGAATTATTTTTTTTTTTTGGTCTGGGCACCTCTAAGCGCTGCTGCAGTTCTTGTTACCGGATGGGTTCTGGTGTTGATATTTTCAATACCTGCCAAGCGTGCATATATAGACGCATCCAAACGTTTTATCTACTTACGTCTTCCCTTCTGTGAATTAGGCCACTCGAGAATTGCTCACTTCGAATTAAAAGGTTCTTATTGGCCGGGTATTATGATATTTGTATATACCGTCTGTTCCATTCGTAATCCAGCACAATGGACGATTAAGCAGATAGCTTTAGCAACTTCCCAGCACAGAATTGCGTTACTTACCTCTTCATCTCCTGATCCTTCTCTTGGACCTTCTGCCGCCTAATCTCCTGATTCCTTGCCCGAGACGTTTCCCATGGCTTCACACCCGAGTAGAACAGATCGTCAATTTGTTCCAAGGATAGTGTAGCGGTCTCGGGCACAAGCAAAAATATGAAGATGGCAACGACAAAAGTTACGCCGGCGTAGAAATATCCAACGTTGGGTCCCATGTTACCATACTCCGGATCTAACATGTAGGGCGTCCAAAAAGTCGCGCCGAAAGAGAATAGGCCGTAGAATATGACGGTATTCGCTTGTCCGTATGTGCGAAGTGCCACACTGTGCATCTCAACCGAAGCTAGGCCGGCACTAGGCGCAATGGTTCCGCCGAAAATGAAGGCCCATAGACAGAGCAAAATAACGACAACCATCTTTGCAATTTGGTCGTCACTTCCCAGTGCGGTGTTGACTGAGGATAGAATGAGCATGCATGTTGCCATAGCACTGTAGCCAGTCACAATGGCGATTCGTCGTCCGCCATATTCGACAATCAGTGGCCCGATCAAAGCGCCGGCGAGAATGCATAATGCGATGATCACGTTGATGAGGTATGGGTTGCTGATACCGACACTTTTCAAAAAAGTTGTTGCGTAAGGCTGCACGAATTGGATTCCGGTAATCGATAGCCCGATCATGATCAAGGCGGAGGCTAGTGTTCGGCGGATTTGGCTTGACTTGTAGATTTCAAACCATGAGTTCGTTGCCGCGGCAGTTCGCTCCTCTTTGATATGAGCCTTGATATCCGCAATCTGGGCTGTAATTTCGGCGGAATCTGCAGGCATGCGATACAAAATGCTGAAAGCCTTCCGTGCTTCGTCTTCTTTCGAATCATCGTTGTTTAGAATCCACCGTGGCGACTCGGGGAACATCAGGATGCCCGCACCCAGGATGATTCCCAATGGAATCTGGCACAGAATGGGTGTCTTCCATTGCCAGTAATTTCGTGGCTCAAACTGAGCCGAACCCGCACACACGGCACCTGAAGCAAGATTACCCAAGGCCGACCCAACGTTGTAGAGCGCCAGGGAAATACCACGCTTGCTCGCATCGATACACTCTGAACCGTAGGTGACACTCGCGGAGATGAGTTGACCGATTCCAACAGCGCTGATACTCCTGCAAATCATATAGTGCACGAAACTGCCTGCCCCTCTTCCTCCTGTGCCGAGCATACCAGCCGCACCGATGATGGCAAGCATGCAGCCGATCTGGATAGCACCTCGACGGCCAGTGTATCTGTCTGCGATGCCCGAAACACCGCCTCCAATGCCGATGAATAGGTAGTTCAAGCTGATGCATAGTGATTGTTGCAGCGGAGTGAGTGAACAGTGATCGACCGGTTTGTTGGTTAACGGGTTCAAGAGTTCGGTGCAAGTGCCAAATGCCCTCAGGTAGGAAGGCATGATCAACACGGCACCGACGTATCCATTATCGAAATTCGAGATCCACGCTGCCAAAGAGACCCACAGAGACAATCTGAGCATAGCTCCGGTCGAGATTGAATGTCTTCCATCGGCGCGAATGACGGGAGGGTCAACGAGGTCGAGGTCATGCTCAGACTCTGCATAAGAGGCCCGCATGGTGGAAATGTATACGTGGAATCTAAACCAAAATTGATTTCTGGTCGAGTTTTCAAGATCTTCGCTCTACCTTTTGATCTGCAGACCCAAGTTGGACCTTATAAAACCCCTCCTTGTCTCCGTGTTCCGCCTGCATACCAAAGATGCGCCTGCATTTCTAGACTAATCATCAAAAATGCCAGCGAGGCACTCTCCCCGATAGGAGGATTTGATAGCTCCCAGTGGCTGATACGGCCCTTGCTCCTATCAAGTTTGAATCTCCAATGGTTCAACAGGTTTTGTGGTCATTCCACCCGCTGTGAGATCGCTGTCGAATTAAAGTAGGCCAAGCTCCACAGGGCTGTTTCAGCCTGTCATGCTTCATCTCTAATGGATGCATGGAGCAGATGCACTGGATGACTTTCAACACACTGATAACGAGCAATGAGCAACGAGCACTAGATCGATTCCCCAATGAAGCATGTGATACTATGGAGCTTGAAAGGGGCATAACTTTCGCTAGCGACGGTGAGTGCCTCAAACCCGGCGAACAAGCTCAACATCCCCTTCAGCGGGATCCTCGGCCGCATGTATCAACGTTTTGGCTCCAGACAGACTGTGCCCATCAGGTCATCACTGTACTATCTAAAAACCCCGATGTTTACCCGGTGGTCCTTCTGGAGAGCCTTTCCGAGACCCGCCAACGGTAGGTCCCGCATCGTGTGTAATAACTAGATGAAGTGGATCAAATCGAAGACTTTCCAACGTTCCCAGGTATCAATAAAGACCGTCCCTGACATAGTCTCCTCACAAATACAGCATGGACATTAGTGTAGAGCGGCATTCTGCCGAAATGCAAATGGAATTCCTCCTTACTCGGGCGAGATACTATTCAGGACACTGCACAATGCCAGAACGTTCGCAAATTCGACCATCCCAATACATCCAAGGTCAGCTGTTCAAATCATCTGGTCAAAAAATTCCTAGTTATCAGCATGATATGCAAGCCTGACCCACCCTATCGATTAGGTACGAAGGAATCGTAGACGGCTTCTTAGCCGGTTGAGAAATGCTAGCGCAAGGGGAAGCCCGTGCTCAATCTTTACGGCGGCAATCAGAATTGGTTGTTAGAGTCTACTGGAAGTATGAGTGCTCGTTCCAAGCTCGGAGAAAAAAAAAGTACGACTGTGCATCGTGAGCCTAGTTTAACTCCTGACTAGAAATGGTCAGCGGGGAGTGGAGATCCTTGACTTTCAGTCCCACTATGATCGTGCCGCCATTAAACTTATGCTTGCTAGAGTTTATTTCTTGTCAGATTTGGCGTGCAGTGTTATCGGCTCATTTCCAAGTGTATAGCCCGACGTAAGGGCTTCCACGACAGGAGAGCTCTACCCGGCACGGATTGACGTGGATCGGTGAAGCAGCTCATGAATGCAAATCATGAATGAACTCAGTCGCAGTAATCTCTTTTTCGATCACTCACTATCTCTTCGGGGCATTGAATTGGAACTGTTTTCTTGAGTAGAGTCGAGTACTTCAAAAAAAGATCACGTGCACTCGCGCAACCCCGGACTCCACCGGCGCCCGCAATCTTCCCCAAGCAACCCACCATGGAACTCTCGACTATCCTGATCATCGCTGTCCTCTTTATCGGTAAGAACTAAGAGTCTTATATTCCTGCACCGAGGCGTAAATTAAGCAATGCCACTACTCTTCGAATAGGCATAGCACACTCGGTCTAAGACAAAACTGACATCCACCTGCAGCCTTTCGAGTGTTCCAAGCGCGCAGCGACGCCTCAAAGCCCATGATGTCGCACGGAAAAGTAGCCAACATTGACAAGTCAGTTTCCTCCGCGCCCAGAGCCGAGATGATAGGATTGGGGCAAATTCAAGTCTAACATGATGCACGGGGACAGCCTCGCCATTTTTAGGGCACTCACCTCCGAAGGTCCCGTCGTTGTGGACTTCTATGCTACCTGGTGTGGACCCTGCCGCGCTGTGGGCCCCAAAGTCGGCGAGTTGAGCGAGAAATACCCGAATGTGCGCTTTATCCAGGTCGATGTTGATAAGATGCGTGAGGTTGCGTCGCAATACCAGGTCACTGCTATGCCTACCTTTGTTTTCTTGAAAGATGGCAAAGAATTTGGTCAGCGGGTACGTGGTGCCAATGTTGGTGCCCTGGAAGCTGGTATTAAGAACCTTGCTACTTGATTTTCATCTTTTTTAAAAAGAATTTGGAGATGATCTGGAATTCTATGTCGTCCGCACACCAAATGCGAAGAACTGATGCTAGCTTTTCCCATCTACCAGTTTTGCGATGGACTTGATCACTGCTTGACTTCTTAAAAAGGCACAACTCATCTCATAAGATGTTGTTTCAAAGGACTTGTCAAAGCACAGCGAGACAAAGAAGCAAGGGACCTTTCCTCAGTTGTAGCTCCTGTTTCCAAAAGTCATTTATACAACTACGATTCACAAGTTTTGTGGTAAATAAGTTATGTATAAAGCGGAGATAACATTACTTCTATGAGCGAGCACGAGAGGAAATGTATCTCACAAAACGGACAAGAAGAAATCGAACATGAGGTATATCACAGGACAGTTCCAACTCCCAGAAAACCAAGCCACCGAAGCGAAAGCGCTTACAGGAAGGAGCCGAGGCAATACAGGGAAGGGCAGCACCGAGCACGTCGTGGGAGGCGGTGGAGGGGAATTGGCACAGCAGGCGATGTTCTGCTTGCACTGCTGGTTGAGCAAGTCCTGGATGGGGATACCGGCCACGACGGGGACTATCGATGGTTAGTGTCGTTGTACAACGGTGTGGATGTTTGAGAAATACTGACTATGGGCATTCAGCTTTGTGCACTGGTCGAAGATACCAGCACCCTCAGCACCGGAGCCGCTACCCATCAGGTTGGAAAGGAGACCGCCGCCAAGGCCCGAGTTGATATCGGTGGTGTCAGCGGCGTAGATGGCCTTGTTGCAGCAAGAGAGCTGGGCCTGGTCACCGCACTTGGACTGGGCCTCCAGGACGGTCATGCCCGCGGGGACCTTCCAGCGAATGTCGGAGCCCTGGCTCTCAAGGCCGGCCTGGGAAGGCAAAGCGACAGCCACAGAGGCGAGGGCAAGAGTGATAGCGGTCAGAGAGAACTGCATTTTGAAGGTAGAGATTAAAGATTATAGTCTTTAATAAAAGATTGAAAGAGGGTTTATAGAAGAGGATGGTAGAGAAGAGGAAGCTGGAGATGTGTGTGATGAAAAAGGTAACATGACCCTCGATGTCACGCCTTTTATCTCTGAGAATCCGATGTTTGGGTCAGCGTTTGCCGTAATCTTTTGGCTCGATATCAAAAACAATCCTACCATTTTTTGCTCTGTGGAATGCCATTCGTAAAGGGGCGAGAGCCATAATTGCTTGAGCTTCAAGCTTCCTGAGCCCCTTCATTGGTTGACCGATTCCTCCGGAATTTACTGTTCGATTAGATGGCCCCTGTACTCCTGAACGTCCTTTAGCCCTGCATTCCAACTTGTACGGGCGGCATCCACGGAGGCTACCCTACAGAAATGATTAATTTGGATAAGGTCCCTTTTGCTGACTCCTCGTTTCAACGGTGGATCTAGTTCTAACGAGATTTAGGGGGCTTGACTATGGGACACGATTCACGCTGGGGATGTCGCTGTTCTAGAAGAAGCATCCAAAGTCTTCACATGTGGACTTCCTAAGCAACGTACGAAGAATGCTCTAACCATTGCAAACCTACTATCAAAGCTTACATCGTCGCACTGATGGCTTACAGGTGCAGCTTGTTGGCGCAAGTGACCTCAGTGGCTTCGGAATCTTGTACAATCTCATTTCTCGAATAGATCGATCGCGTCTCAGCTCGTGGTACCATAGGAACACGTACCAAATTAGTCACCAGTTCAAATGAGATAATTTGAAATCCCAAAATATGAGTGCCGGTATTGATCCCTGAGTCGAGTCCCTACTCAAGACTGTGGATCAATCAGAGGTTCGATCGAGATCTTGAATAAGCCCACTCGAAATCCACTTGCGGCGCATTCAGCGATGCCCGCTCCCCCTGTCGATCATCCTTGGGCCGGACTGGATCAGAATGTGTCCCTGTTACAATGGGTGACCGATGAGATCTGCACATTATATCTCCTAGATACAGATTCTTAGATTCGTTCGCGCAGGGAAGGAACGGGTTGTCGCCCTGTGGACTTTATCTTTTGGAAGCAGAACACATGCAACGACTGCTATAGTTGGGATAATAGAAGGGAAATGAAGGAGCTCAGGATTATTTGCGATTTCTTGCACCAAGACCTTGCACATTTCTCGTAGAGAAAATGTGATGAGGATCACAGGTGTGCCAATTGGATTGGAAACTGCGATTACAGGGACAGCCCCTTGATCGCGGCATCCGTGGTCGAGTCATGACTTTCACACCGCACAATCTCACTACAATGCCAACTTGCGACTTGCGACTTACTCTTATGTCACAGTCAGGATACGGATCTTGAACTAGAATCAAATTCATCAAAGTTACCTACAGAATAGCCGGCTTTGGGCCTTACCTTCTATAGATGCAGTAGTACATTACTACCTAAATAGGAAATACGCTAGCCTCATTTGGAGTACCATGCAGTTAATGGCCTCTCGCTCTTCTGCGACAAGCGTCTCTTTAGAGCTACTTTTCTGCTATATAGGCTATAGCCATGCGTTTTCTCAGTTGTCTGGGTAATGGACATTAGTAATATTATGAATGGGATGGAGATAATTAGAAAATGGTGGCAGCACTGTTTGAAATATATGTCCTCCATCAACGCACATCAGTACCTCCTACAGTCCTCATGAACCAAATGATGCGACACAGCCTATATGGAATTAATGAAAGGATATCATGGCATCTCAGTGGCAACATAAACAGCATCTGCACGCCCTGGAGAACACTAAGCCTCGTGCTTAGTTTTATTTAAACACACGCTGGCGATGCATTGGGCAGGCTTAGCGTCATTGTTGCCCAGGCTCTAACCCAACTAAGAATAGCGCAACCGCCACAGCCCATTCTATGAGCCGCTTTGAATATCGATTGCGGATGATGTTCGAGTCTGCCTATAGCCAAGATCCAAGGACTGTGTACTTCCTGTGATGACATGAATAACTGACTGAAATTCGATACGGATTTTGAAACTATCACGGACAATTGTGCTGAAGTATCATCGAAATGTGACCACCATCGCTTCACAATCAATTATCGAATAACCGCTGTTACGAAGTAAGAAGGATACGGAGTGTAAGCGTGAAATCAGTTGTTCAAGATCCTAGCTAAGCTGCGTACGTAGACGTGATAGAAGGAAGGGTCCGGTCAGCTGCCCAGCTGACATCCTCCCAGTATATAGATTTAAGTACTCGGCGCCGCAAATAGCTAGTTCTTCATGGGAGAGGGCTGTACATGCGACGAGAAATGTGGCGTTGTTGAGTCGGCCTATTCATACGACGTTGGCTGGGTGGCGTAAGGCAACGTGGAAGCAGAAGTTCTTTTGAAGGAGGTTCAGAGAGGAGGGCTTGCTTGGAAGGGGTGGTTACTCGTTGACCTAGCTGTGTTTCATTTTGTTACTCTCTCTACATAGATTGTCTTAGTAAACTGATCAACAATTCGAGTTACAAGTGAAGTTAACTTCGGTAAAAAAGATGAATAAGCATCGTCTATTTCTCAACGCAGCAAATGCAAATGCTTCGAAAAATTTTCAGGAGAAAAAAGCAAATTGACCAGGAGGATGTGAATCGGTTCGGTCAGATCTAGACCGCCGAGGGGAATCGTAGTGAAGAAAAAGCATTAAAAAGCAATGGTGCAGGTGTTAATCGCTTTCAAACAATGGTCAAGAGAACGCCGGCGCCCTGCGTAAAAATAAACTGACAAAAAAGCAAAAGCGCGCACCAGCTATGAGGATTGTACAAGAGGAAAACAATATCAAGCTTGCAAGTATAAGGAGTAATGTCCTCGAGGCAGAGATTCGTGGTAGTCATGGAATGGTCATGGAGAAATGCACAGTACAAGAGAGTGCTTAAGCATCGGGGAACGACTCGGTGCGGTCCTGCTGCATACTCTTGCGCTCCTCCTTGACTTTCTTCTTCTCCATCTTCTTCATAGCTTCCTCAGTCAACTGCTGTCGGAAAAGACGTTCCACGACGTCCTTCTTTCGGGCTCGTCGGTCACCAATCATGATCATCACACCACCCGTGATATTGCAGGTGATGGAGCAGCAAAGGATGACTGTAGTCAAAGCAAATGGACGCTCCCCCGGGGATTCCATGCTCCAGGTGCAGGCGCCCAGAGCCATTTGAAGGAGCGAATGACAGTCGAGGATGACAACAATAGCGATGAGTAGCTGCATGGGGAAAGCATGATGGGTCATCGTTTCGTGGGGTTTATAGAACGTATGGGACTTCGCAAATTTCTGCTGGTGGTGTTCCAAGCGCTGCTGCTGGCGGGCGTCGAGAACAGTGTATTCATACTCATCCTCTTTGGGCGTGTCTCCAAACTCGACATCCACGTCCTTTTCTTTGGTTTCTGGCAGATCATTCTTGTCTTTCAAATCGGGAAGCGCCTTCTTGCGGCGGATCTTCCACGTCAAAAATGTGTAATGCGCGATAAAGCACATATGATAAGTGTCCACGGCTCGGAAGGGAGCCAATCCATCACCCATGATGGCGAAGAGTGCGACCAGAATATTGTCGATGACGTTGATGAGGTAGGATTGTCTTCCACCGACGTTAATCCAGCCTGGATGGAGAAGTTAGAAGATATCCTCATTTTGATGATACCATGTTCAAGAAAGCTCGTACCGATCAAGAAAAGCACCCATGCGAGACCAAATAGAGTGATCAGGGTTGCGTAAAGTGTAACGAGGAAACCCAGCGCTGTAGAGTCAATGGATCAGCATGAATTGGAGCATGTGAGGACAGGAGGAACATACGCTTTCGGACGTATTGTCCAAAGCCCTTCATTGCCCGCTTGAACTTTGAGCGACGGGAATGCAGCATGTGTCGAACATGATCATTGAGCTCCATAAAGTCTTCCCGTGTCCATCCCTCAAGCCCATGGTCTTCGGGCAGTACAGCGTAGCGAGGACCCGGCAATACGGAAGACATACTCGTAAACGGACGAAGCTGATCCAATCGCGGCCGTTGTTGAAGTATCCTGTCTTCGGACAAGTCCGCTTCAGCTTCGTCCGTTGTTGTTCCCTGCTCTTCGTCCGAAGAAGGTGGGTGTCGCGTGAGCTGGTAGGTGGGCATGCGGTTGACCCAACCACCCAGGTTAGGCACAAACAGTGAGTTCTGAACATTCGTAAGGGTAGACAAGGCAGAAACCTCAGGATCTGGGACGGTCGAGGGTTAACAAGTGTCTTGAGACACTGACTCATCGAACATGGCTTACCGATGACATCCAGTACATCAACTACTTGAGGCGCGTACTCGTACCTGCGTTGCTCCTCTTGCGTGGCCGGCGGGGCGGCTCCTGAAACGGTTGATGCCCGATTACGGGAGAAGCGATTGAGTGCCGCTTGACTTGTGCGTCGCAGCACATTCCGAGAAGCTGGTCGTTCCAGCACGGCAGGCGGCGGCTCGAGATACTCGGGTGCATGCTGCTCACCTACACTCTGCGTTGGAGTGAGTGGCACCGGGCTCTGACGGGATGATTCTTCCGACAAGGGCGTCATCCGGATAGGTGTTGCCACCTGCTGAAGTGTGTTCGGAGGGGATGACCATCGCCCTGGGCGCGGCTCAGAGCTACTGCGTCGGCGACCGTGGATGGACTCATCTTCTTCAGTGACAGGAGATTGTATGGTCGGGTGGCGAGAGGTCGAGAGCCCGGGTTGTTCCGCTTGCTGCGAGTTGATGGTGTCCAAGGAGGAGAAGGAACCCAAGCGCGAGATCCGGATACTAGGACGACGCGGGCGATTCGAATCGCCGCGAGTACGCAGCGTTGCCAGCGGTGGCCTCCTCGGAGGAACGAATGAAGACTCGGGAAAGGGTTCAGAAGGTTGCGACTCGGATTCCCCTGCAAGCGAGAAGGGCTCAATGCGATCTCGATCCATTGCGGGTCAAACGGGCAAGCCGGAGGATGGCTGGGAGGGAAAGAGAAGGGCGGTTGGAAGAATGCCAACAAATACGAAAAGCCCAGCCCCCTAAGGGATGTAAGACATGAGATATTGAAAAGTACCAAAATTCTAAAAGTGTACCAAGTTAAGTACTGACGTTTGGGAAATCCAAACTTTGGGGTCTGGAACAGAACCCCTTCCGGACCAGCCTTAGTCATCGCCAAATCTTGTTTTCGCAGTGACGACGTAGTGGAGAGGCGCCTATGTCTGTGCTTGTCACTATCGTGCTGATCTTTGCAGCCCTCGGATCACGGCGGCCGATCAATGCAAGCGACACTGGCCATTTTCACAGTTGGTTTACAGCACGGGCTCTCATGTACCATAGTGGATCGAAAGCAAAACACGTTTGACAGAACACTTCCCGGTGGCAAAATAACATGATAAAGGGCTGGGGGCGGTTGATCGATAAGCAGGCTCCACCCCTCCGCTTCGATTGAGCATACATATGTCGGAGTTCAGCGTCTGCAGCGACTGATACGGATTTCGGTCACTATGAACCTACATGCACATATGCAATATACTTCAAATGTGGTGGGTGTGGCAATGACCCCCGCCCCGGTCGCGCTGTCTGTGTTTTGCTTACTTTTGGAGCCACTCCAACAGCTTTTTCTAAATCTATTTCTTTATCCGACAAGAAATGTTATACAGAGCTGTCTAGAAATACTAATTTGGAAAGCTCACCTAAGGGTACTCAACTGATATTTTCCCAATACATAAACGGAACTAGGCTTCAATGACAGGCATTATGAAGCAGACCCTATCACGAGCTAGCAAGAGGCAGAGATCCACATAAAGTAGTCTATGGTGGTTGAGAAGACAATCTTAAATTGACCGAACAGCTGGAGAGAAGAAGGATCCTTATGGGACATGCATGTATAAATGAAGTGATGTTTGCTATCAGTAGTATCAAGTTTCGAGGCATTGTCTTTCTGGAGATTCTCGGAACAATTTGGGGCTATACCAAGGGCCGTGAATTGACCTTTCATTCTAGGACGACTGAGGATCATGGGTGATTTTGACAACTACCATTGTATCGAAGAAGAAGGCAGGAAAGCTGTTTTCTTGTGTAACATTGGGATATCCGGATGTGTCATGACTGTGTTTTACAGGAGTCCTTGGCGGTACAAAAAGGCTAGTACCGCAAATCTACGCTGATTCACCATTTGAACCCCTGGATATTGATCTAATCTTTATTCTACTCGTTCCCGTGTCGACTCGCCTAAGATATGCCTTGTACGCACGCTTTTGTAGCATTTGTCCTGACACTATGTTCCGATCCCCAAGATGAAGACAGAAATCGTGGGTGATACCACAAATATTCTAAAAAACCGGCCCACAAGACCTGGCGGCTTTAGCGACAGGAAGGAAAGAAGACACTATTCATTCAGACGGGTGTATTCTGGATAAATCTCTGCATATAGGTCTAAAGTGCACAAAATGCATACAGTCAAATTGCCACTCGCCGTATATTTCGTTTCGCAAGGGCGCTTGTCATGACCTCAGTCCTCTTACAAGAAAAGAGATTACAGTAGCTAGGCCCCACTCGGTGTTGGGGGCATCCCCAGGTTCCCCAATCATTAGGGACTAAAAACCACAGTGGAAGAGCGTGGAAAGCACCGTCTCAGCAATAACGCGCCCAGGGCGTGCGATAACTTCCCTAACGGCGATGTCACACCGCAGTCCCCGCGGTATTGAATTCTGTGTGTCGAGCTGGTCCGTACTACGACGATCAGTTGGTGAACTTGGATCTGGTCGAATTCCGAGCCTGAAATACGATGAACGCGATCAGCATCTCGGTCTGCGCCAGTGTAAAAGTTACGCTCAAGCAGAAGCGAGCGCCATAGCCGAATGGCATGTAATGTTTTTCCATGAGAGAGCGCTGCGCCGCTTCTGTCTTCATCCATCGACCAGGCCGGTACAAGTAAGGATCGTCAAAGACGGCAGCATTATGATGCAATGCCAAGACCGAAGCGGAAATAGTGACCTTGACAGTATGATGGGGTCAATAGGCCATTCTATTTACACTTCAAAATGGACAAAAAGGCGGCTGAAAGTACTCACTCCGACTGGGAGGATCACCCCGTCGAATGGCTTCTTGTTTGGGACTATTCTCTCGGCATGTCCGCTGGATAGGGGGTATTTGCGCCTCGGCTCTCGAACACAACAGTCAAGAACCGGTGTTGCTATCACACTTTCAATCTGAATCCAATGGTAGGCCGTGAAGCTCTTTGCGCAGCAGTTTCTGCCACTCCGAGTTACACGTCAGGTCCCAGTGACTAAACGTCAACGCTAGGGTGGTGGTGGCCTGCGCGGCAAGTATGTAGCAAAGGGGCTATTAATGAGATGCTATGGTTAGCCTGCCGATTACAATTTAGTAAAATTCATTTCTTGCGAGCTCTCCCCGCCCACTCAATTGATGCCCCGACAAACTTATCACTGGCAAGACATAGCGATTTGGTTCCAGATATGGACAATAATACGCTTCGCTGCACCATATGTCTTTTTCAACACAAAATTGGAGAATTTCACACGATGGGCTGAGATGGAAAAGGAAGACCACTAGTTCGTCGTTCAGCTAGCCCAAACGGACTTAGATTTTGTCGAGGTCATGCAAGCGTCTCCCAAAATCGAAGCAGGGCCTGAAACCACAAAGTCAAATGAAGATACATACAATGGAGAACCGGCCTCTCACAGAAAAGCGGCGCAGACAGAAGTGCCCTCAGTTCAAAGACAAGAAACGACCAGAATAAGTAGTCTAGAGGCATTCGCTCGGCCCTTTACTTGACTGGAGCTTGATATTAGATGCGGTTGTAAGTCTGATTAGAATGAGTCCTACACAATTTTACAGTCTCCGAAACGTCTCAAAAGTTTAGAATCGGTTGAAATGACAGACGTCTTCTCCGCCACAGCTTTGCGGCCCTAATCAACCTCTATTTCCAAGAGTTTTACCAACGAGCCAAGTAATAAACAGGCTTGCTCTTCTTCTCAACCATGCAAGATCCATTTGCGGAAATAACAAACTATTTGGCGGCCACGATTGGTCGTACATTACCTTAAGAACCGTTCGTCAGAGCTTAAACATGTGGCCCCGCCGACGTTGCTTCGGTCCTCACCGCAGGTTTATTGAGCCCTCTTCAAGAGCCATAGCAACACCACAGCATCTCCGGCCGGCTACACAGGGAACATCATGGCATTGGGATTCAATAGGAATGTATTCATGGGACGCATTTCAGACTTCCAGAAAGGCCCTCATCAGGAACTCGAGCTCTTCAAAATCCAGTATTAAGTGAAAATCAAGTCTAGCCTCTTCGATATGTTCCCTTACCCATGGGTTCTTCAAAGCTTGTCTTCAAAGCTTGTCTTCAAGAAGTGGCCGAAGCTGACTTCTCCCGGATTGAAAGCCCTCGTGCCGGGCGCAGTATGGTGTACATCGATGTTCTTGGCACTTTCATTCCAATGGAAACGAGGGCCAACCGAGACCAGAGATTAGCATTACCGAATTTGCAGGTACTCACGGTGATGTTGTGGATGATACGGCTTTCAATGAGACGCTCAAAATTCAATGTAGTTCGACGACTTGGTACGCGATTGTCAGTGCCTCGTCTTTGAGACGGGCACACTCGAGTTGCGGCATTTGAGTATGGTCACCAGAGCGGCCACTTAATGATGGGCAATAGTGTATTCCTGATCTCGAAATTTAAGCACAGATGGGACCCTTGAGCGTCGGATGATCATTTTTTTCTGAAGGGATATGTGCCAACTGTATTGCGTGAAGTTATGGTAAAAAAGCTTGATTGTGAAGACAGCCATGGCAGGTCAGAAAGCATTTTCACCTTTATGAAACAGAAAATACGTGCGGCGGCAAGTAGAGCTGATGTCAGAACATTTGCAGAGTTCTGTACGTAATTTCGAAAAACGCTTCTGCTTGGTGGATCGTGAAGATCAACGGGACCGCGAATCATAGTGGAGCCGGCTGAGGTGGAAGATCACCCTGCGTAAAGCTGCCAAATCTATGTTTACTTCGGTAACTGGGGTGGCAGTGGCACTTGGCGCATATGGTGCAGGTTAAATCAGGCAGAATTAAGATGTATGCGTCTCAATTCCAATATTGGATCCCTGAAGAAATTGTACTGTGAATTGTTAGCGAGCTACGTAGTCAAGAAGAATGCACATCGAATGTCATAGTACCTCAAAGAAACTGGGTCTCTGGGCTCCATCATGACATCAAGTGGTTGCCTCGAGGACAAAGGCGGTGAAGACGAAAGGCATCATAATGCCCCAAGGTTTCGAGTGGGTTTTTAGGGCCGGTCGGGGGCTGTCACCGCCCAAGGAGAGCCTGTGGCACCTAACATTAGCACCTGAGCTTGGGGCAGTAACAGAGTCACTCAGATCACCCAAACACGGCTAGCCCCTCACCGCCTCTCCTTTCCTTCCTCTGTCTCCCTTCCAAAGGTTCCTTCTTCCTTCCATCATAACAACTAACTCAATTTGTCTGCCATCTTCCCCCACCATCGGTATCTCAGGGCACCAAGCTACCCTGCTCCTTCCCTCCGTCAAGTTTTCACCCGCATCCAGGCTTCAATCAACAAACCTTCCCGTTTGTTTGACACCACGCACGTTCGAGCTTTTTCCATCACGAACTCTTGTGTCTCACTTTCAAGATGTCTGCCGTCGACGCTCTGACTACCGACATGGCTGCTGCCACCGTCAACGAAACCGCCAACACCAACGGCACTGCCCCGGCCGCTACTCAGTCCGCCGATGCTGCGGCTGCCAGCGCCGATGAGGGCCGTCGTCTGTACATCGGAAACCTCGCCTATGCGACCACCGAGGAGGAGCTTAAGGAATTCTTCAAGAGCTACACCATGTAAGTTGTGACGCGCTAGCTGGTTCTTCGGTTGAGACATTGGCTCTGGCAGACCCCGCAAAGCTCCATGACTAACTTGTGACCCGCAGCGAGAGCACCTCGATCCCGGTGAACCCCCGTACTAACCGCCCCGTTGGATACGCCTTTGTGGATCTTGCCACTGCCCATGAGGCTTCCGCCGCCATTGAGGAACTTTCCGGCAAGGAGATTCTTTCGCGTAAGGTGTCCGTCCAGTTGGCTCGCAAGCCCGAGCCCGCGGAGGCAAAGGAAGGTGCTGCCAGCGGAGGTGAGGGTGCTAGCGGCAACGAGGGCCGCAAGCGGACCGGTGGCCGTGGTCGTGGCCGTGGTCGCGCTCGTGGCCGTGGCGGTCGCGTTGGACGCGGTCGTGGAGTACGTCATTTTACCCTCCAAACCCCAATCAACAAATACTGACAACAATTTGAAGGTCCAGGAGGGTCAGGAACCCACCGAGGCTACTGCCACCGAGGAGACTCCTCTGGCCGAGATTACGAACGAGACTGAGGCCGCTGGAGTGGAGGGCAAGCAGCAGGGCAAGGCCCGTGCCGCCCGCCCTCAGAAGCAGCGTGGCCCCCCCGAGGATGGCATTCCTTCCAAGACCAAGGTCATGGTCGCTAACTTGCCCTACGACTTGACCGAGGACAAGGTACGTGGCTAGCAGTTTGAGCTTTTAATTCTCCAAACTTCGCGTACTGATCAATCTCTACAGCTGAAGGAGATCTTTGCCGATTACAACCCCGTCTCCGCCAAGGTCGCTCTGCGTCCCATTCCCCGTTTCATGATCAAGAAGCTCCAGGCCCGCAACGAGCGCCGCAAGACTCGCGGTTTCGGTTTCGTTAACCTGGCCACCGAGGAGCTCCAAGCCAAGGCCGTCAGCGAGATGAACGGCAAGGATATTGATGGCCGCACTATTGCTGTCAAGGTCGCCATTGACAGCCCCGGCAAGGAGGATGATGTTAATGCTGCTGCCGATCAGTACGAGGAGACCGCTGCTCCTGCTGAGGAGAACACCGCCCCCGCTGCCCCCACCGAGGCCTAAATTCTCGCCGATTTCTTTACCCCGCAGATAACTTGCTGACTTGGCTTGAGGTTTGGAATGGGAGGTGTTTCAGCAGTCATATGATAACGTTCCCCTTGGAATGATATATGTTATGCGCTTGTTTGAAAGTTGAATCTGGGGAGAGAGGAGGGTGTGATGACCTTTTTTACGGACGCCATGGACTATCGCCATGTCGTCCATGCTGGAGAGCAGTTTCTTTGTTTTGCTGATGCCTCCACCCTTAACGACCTTTGCCTTCTGTATTGTATCTTAGCACACATTTAACTCTTGATGACGACCTGCAATTGGAGATTATTCGTAGTCATATTGTACGGAGTGTTGTGGATAGCGTGCCACACTTAGCGATGACGCTAAGTTGGGGTGACCCTTGCCGATCAGCGGACAGCCAAAACACTCCCTCGCAACTCCGTTCGATCCATCTTGCATACTTCGTCTACCCATTATCTCTGCCATTGCACGATCTCGGTGGAGCGATTGAAAAAAGGGGTTCGGCTTCAAATTACACCTTTCCCTAAACAGCGCCGAGGCCGAATCCGCCCTACCCTTGAACGACACTCGCTCGCCACTTCCCAATTGTCTCTCCTTATACACTCTACACACTATGTCTCGCATGTGGGAAGTCGACCCGGAGACAAGGACAAAGGTGCGTTGGTAACCCTCCATTGGCCGCCATCAAGACGTCCAAGGCCACAACCACTGCGACACTGCAAGGAAAACTAACAGCTAGCCCTAAACAGCTCGTCCAAATCTCCAAGACCAACGGAAATGACAGGTGTTGCGACTGCGGCGCACCATCACCTCAATGGGTTCGTGAAACTCCTAAGTCAACGCCATACCTTTATACCCACCTTTCCTGGACCCTGAATTCTGAACCCAAAACACACACGAGCTAACGAACCCGCAGGCCTCCCCCAAATTCGGAACCTTCATCTGCCTCAACTGCGCAGGCACGCACCGCGGGCTCGGTGTACACATCTCCTTCGTCCGTTCGATCACCATGGACGCTTTCAAGCACACCGAGATTCAGCGCATGGAGCTGGGGGGTAACGAGCCTTGGAAAGCATTTTACGACGCGCACACCGTGACAGTTTCCGAGGGCCGCACGTTTGAAGATTCTACAATCAAAGAGCGATACGAGGGTGACGCAGGAGAAGAGTGGAAAGAGAGATTGTCGTGTAAGGTTGAGGGCCGCGAATATGTGCCCGGACAGGAGAAGAAGAATACCACTGCCTCGCGATCGAGTACGCCGATGAGTCTGGGTACTGGCCCAACGGGGGGAACCCGGACGGCCTCGCCTGCTGCGTCTTCGATTCGGTCGCAGGATAGCGCGCGGGGCCCGACGAAGAAAGAGCAGAATGAGCAGTACTTTTCGAAACTCGGGTCTGAGAATGCCGGGCGCTCGGAGGCCTTGCCACCATCGCAGGGGGGGTAAATTTACGGGCTTTGGGGGTGGCATGCCTGCACCTGCTGCTGGAGACCGGAAATCTTCGCCTTTGGGGGGGATTTGGTGGGTTCGGGGGCTTTGGAGGAAAGCAGCCGTTTGATGAGTTCCAGAAGGATCCTATGGGAAGTTTGACAAAGGGTCTTGGGTGGTTTGCTTCAACTGTTGGCAAGAGTGCCAAGCAGGTAAATGATGCATATTTACAGCCTACGGCTAAGCAGGTATGTATTGACACTTGGTTGTTGGAAGTACGTGCTAAAGATGAAATTGCAGCTTGCCGAGTCGGATTTCGCTGCTCAAGCTCGCGTACAGGCTGCTAGCTGGGGCCAGAATCTGCAGACCGGTGTCCGTGGTGCCGCAGACCAGTTCAATCGTTTCGTTGAAGGTGAAGATGGTCGTCCTACGCGGTCTCGCGTTGAACCCGAACGTAGGGATTTCTGGGATGACTTCTCGTCTCTTGGTGAAGAGCGCCAGGTCAATGTCAATGGAACTGGCAATGATAACAGACACCAGCGAAGCGGGTCGCGATCTGATGTTATTGGCACTGCCGCGATGCGCAAGGGCCCTGCATCTACGCCGCTGGCAAACTCTACCATTCCTACTGAGACCAGTGCTCCTTCTGGGAAAGAGGGGACAGAGACTGGTGCTGCCACAGCCAAGGGCAAAGATGACTGGGATGACAACTGGTAGATTTCTGCCGTATATATTGGGTTGAGTTTGGGTTGAGTTTGGTCATTACCGGGTGTGTTTACTACACGGTGGGGCTCAGATGCCATGTTCATGGTCGGTGTTGATGCCCGTCTGGACTTATATTTTTGCTTCGAATGAAGGGTTATCTCTTGGCTCGATGGGATGTGATTCGACAGCGCATTTCAGGTGAAATCGCAGGCGATTGTGTTTTGATCAGAGTAGTGGTACATTGTAGGAGTATATTATCACAGATTATAGTGCAATAGGTGGAGGCGTAGAGAGAAGCATGGACTTAGAAGCCTCCTCTTAGCTCGGCAAGAACAACCTTTTGTCTCGGGGCAGACATATTCTCAAATCGGTCTACGCTCATCACGAAGGTGCCGCGACCAGCGGTCAGACTGCGCAGGTGCTTGAGGTAGCCTACCATCTCCTTGAGAGGCACCTTGGCAGTAATAGTACGCTGACGAGAAGCAGAAGCCGATACCTCTGCACCAACAGACGCACTGATGAAGGGATCAGCGGGTGCATACACCCGCTTTGGATCAATAGGAGGGAAAACGTCTTCTGGAGATTCAGAGGCGTCGGTCGCGGATACTGGAATTTCCGCATCCAGTGAGAGAATGTGTCCACCTCTGGAAGATGAAATATCATGAACGACTGAACCAAGACTAGCTTCGTCGACACTGATAATGACGTTCATGACGGGTTCCATCATCACTGTCCCGGGCCCGTCGAGGAGATTCCGAAGAGCGCCAGAGGTGGCTTGACGGGCAGCAGCAGAAAGTGCAGATGTGGTGGTGTCACTGCCAAAGAGGTGTTCCGCCTCGTTGATTGTGAGAGTAACTCGGGTGTTGTGCATAGGGAATGTAAATTGGGGTCCGCGAGCAAGTGCTGCCAACGCCCCATTCTGAAGGGCCGTGCGAAGAGCAGCATTGTCCATACCCGGTGGAAGAAGTGGGCTGCTTTCCTCGTCCATTGCCTGCAGACCTGGAGCACGGATAACTATTTGATTGCCTTCAAGTGTCTCGGCTAGAAGGGTGTCCTCGTCTGCAACTTCCGCGACATCCTCTCCATTGAAAGGCTCAACGATAGCAGTGCATCCTGCCTTGCCACGGCGACCCGCCACTTCCTTGTCAAAGATCTTCGTGATGGCAGCAGATGCGCCAAGTCCGGACTCTCGATATCCAATTTCAATCCGTCCCATAGAGGCCTTCGCTTTCATATCGTTGATCAGACGATCCCGTGCGATCTCAAGATGAAGCTCGCCCATTCCACTCAGGAGGGTCTGACCTGACTCTTCGTCCACGCTGACATGCAGACTGGGGTCCTCACGGAGAAGTAGAGCCAGTGATTCCTGCATTCGCTTTTCCTCGCTTAGGCTGTGCGGCTCAACGCTAGTGAAGAAGACCGGGAGGGGCACCTCGATTGGACGTAGTTGGAGGCTAGTGAGTGGCTCTGGTGGCGTGGCTTTGTTACCTGCGTAGGACACAAGAGTATCACCAGTTCGAGCGTGCTTGAGTCCAACCACCACGCCGATGTGACCAGCAGGAATTGAGTCCACTTCAACCGCGTCATTCGCATACATCTTCAGTAGTCGCGGTGCGCGCTCAGAGATGTGCAGATTCGTATTGAAGAGCAGACTGTTGCGATCTAGCGAGCCGGAGTACACTCGCACGTATACTAGTACACCACGCTTGGGATCATTGACTACCTTGAATGCCAGTGCACAGCTTTGCAACTTGCCGATGGCTCCTTTTGGGTCAACGTGTGTCACTGCCTTCTTCTTTTTCTTGCCCTTTGACGGGGCAGATGCTTGTTCGGTCTGTTCCACAATCAAGTCTCCAGAGAGCAACCGTCGTAGTCCCCCTTTGACACCGCTGATGCTGACTTCGGGATCGGGTGCCTCGGGTGGACTGGGAGGAGATTCACCACCGCGTCTAGCAAAGGCTGGACACCCATGTTGCGGAAACTGGCCCCAGCGAAGACAGGCACAATTCGACTCGCCTGGTCAAGGACGCACCGCCGGAGGCTTTCAATGAGATCCATTGGCTCGATCGCCATATGGTCTTCATCGCATTCAAAGAACTTTTCCACAATCGTCTCATCCTGCTCACTCAGCAGTTCGACCAATGCAATTCGCGCCCGACGGAGCTCCTCTGCCAGAGCCGGTTCCTCGGCATCCAAAAGCTGGAGATTCTTCATTTTAACTGTCCGGCCATCCTCTCCTTCCTTCCACCGTAGCCCCTGTAGATTGACTGCATCTGCAATGCCAACAAAAGCCCCATTGCCACCCTCGAACCAGGGGATATGGCATACAGCTGGGTATACAGACAAGCGAGAGCTGACCTCGCGCACAGTACGGCCAAAGGCAGCACCGTCGCGGTCCAGCTTGTTTACATATATAACTCGTGGGATCTTATATGTGCTTGCTTGATGCCACACCTGCTCCGTCTGGGCCTCAACACCAGCTACACCATCCAAGATGCAGACCGCACCGTCCAGGATACGCAGGGACCGCATGACCTCGAATGTAAAGTCGGCGTGTCCAGGCGTGTCAATGAGATTGATCGTATGTGAGTGGGCTGAGCGTGGCAGTGACGGATCTTGCGTGCTTGATGTAGCCCCATTGCCATCGCCAGGTGGCCAATGGAATGTGATGGCAGCCGACTGGATAGTGATACCACGCGCACGTTCCGCGGGCAGGAAATCAGTCACCGTCGAGCCTTCATCAACATCGCCAATGCGCCGAGTGAAGCCGCTGTAGAACAGCATGCGCTCGGTAGTCGTCGTCTTGCCGGCATCGATGTGGGCGATGATCCCAATGTTGCGTGTTCGGTCCAATGCCTCACTCTGCCATCTTGCGAGTGATGTAGAGAAATATCTTGGTCGAATTTCAGAAGAGATGAGGCTCTTCAGGTGGTTGGTCTGGGTCCTTAAACAATGCGAACCCATACATCGCATCCCCGGCTGAGGGAGGCGAGACAATGAAGCCATGGCCATGCCTGCTGGTGGCCTAGAAATGACTTCTTATGTCTTCTAGATGCAAGAAGACATGCGGTCCTCCGGTAGACGTTGAAGTTGAGGAAAAGAATCGCGGAGCTGCTACTCGACCGGGCTTGGCGCACCTTCCACTTCGCCCATACGTAACCGACTCCTGCAACTCAACAACCCAGTCTCAAGGCTGTCCCGTGATCCCAACCCTCAGTCTGCTTGTACAACTTGCTATGCGCTTCTAAAAGCGCCATTAATATTTATCTCAAGCTACGAGAGGTATGTTTCCAACTGTCTTGGAGCTACCTGAGGGTCATTGTGGGGGTCGATCCCCAGCCATCAATACTGACGCCTGCCATGAACTAGCAGCTCCTTCGCTTCCCCGTGGACACGCTCCTTACGTCCAATCTCAACAAGGATGGACTACTCTTCCATCTCCAATGATCCCGAGAACTCTGCGGGCGCTTCGCCATGGGGATCTCCGCGCAACGATCGAACCACATTCCCCACCTCCGGCACGAGCGACATCCCGTCATCTCCATTACCAGGGCAGGTACAATCCATCGAGGGATCTGAGCGAGGCTATGAGGTTGAGCCTCAATCCCCAGACCTTTCTGCCCAACTGCAGAGCGCTCAATTAGGTGACCCGGACTACCCCGAGGAGCAGCCGCCATTCGCGCAGCAATCCCCCAAATCCAGACCACCATCAGTCACAATCCCCCGCGCGCTACCAGACTGGCCTACGGCAGCCGAACTCCCGGCCTGCTGCACCTGTGTACAAGATTCAGGCCAAGATCACCGGTCTAGAGAGGACAGGGAAGAAGGACCCTATCCTTCGCTTTGATGTCCACGTAGGTTGTCTCTATGACCCGGGCGGATGCGCGCAGACAACAGCTGACTCTTTTCGTTCCTGATATGCAGACCAACATTCCCAAGTTCCGCACAACTCAGTACCGCGATGTTCGCCGCACCCACTCCGAGTTCGCCAAGCTTGCCGACCACTTGATCTCTGCCAACCCGGAAGCGTTCGTTCCCGCCGTGCCGCCTCCCGTGACTCCGGCTGGCGCAGGTACCGATGAGGATGAAATCAGGGTTAAGGCTTCGATGCAGCGATGGCTCAATTGCGTCCTCAGCAATGAGATCCTCATCCAGGATGACGAGGTGGTGCTGTTTGTCGAGAGCGACTTCGGATACAGCCCGGTTCTGCACATGAAGCAACCTGCGACTGGCGTGCGACGCAAGATGCTTAAGCAGTTTGCGCCGCCACCGGATGACACGCCTGAGCTACAAGCTGCTCGCCCCATCGTTAAGCTGTTCTACTTGGGATCCATGGACTCGAGCCACAAGGTCGACCGGATCGTGAAAGCTCGCCGCGGTATGCTGTTATTGAACACCCTTCTACACCCACAGTGTCTCATCTAATGCTCTTCAATACAGGAGTGGGACTGGCCGAATCTGATTTTGGTGTGAAGATGGCGCAAATGCACGTGCAGGAAACCCATCCTGGCCTGAGCCTGGCCTATCGCAAACTCGGCAAGGTCATTCAGACGGTGGGTGATTTCCATGCTGTCCAAGCGACCGGTGAGGCCACGACCCTTGGGGAGCCCCTGGGTTACCATTCTTCAGATGCTTTGATTGTCAAGGAGACTTTGACCAACCGTCACATTCTGTTGCGCGAACTCCTTCAAGCCCGGCAAACCGCACAGAGTAAGCGTGCCGCTGCAGACCGCTTGAAGGTCAGCTCGTCCGTCCGCCCTGACAAAGTCGACGAGGCAATCAACGCACTGGAAGAGGCGCAGAGCCATGAGGATTACCTCACCAAGCGCACCCAGCGCGTGACAACGAACCTACTCCAGGAAAAGCGTCGTTGGTTTGATCGAACCACTAACGACCTTTTGTTCAGCCTCCGCGAGTATACTTTGCGCCAGATCGAAGCCGAACGACGCACCCTGGCTACCCTGGAAAGCGTTCGACCCGATATCCGTGCCATTGATGCTTCTGGTGGTTTGAGCCGGCTGGGCCGCGAAGCACACCCCACCGTCCGTCGGTCTAACATGGCATCTAGCCAAGGTCCGAAGGGCGATGCCTGGAGTGGTGTTCCCCGCCGTGTGGACGGCACGGGCCGTAGTATGAGTGGCAGCTTCACGGCTCCCAACCTGAACGATGACGAGGACGAGGAGAGTCATCCCGAGACTGCTCAGGGCCGTGTTCGATCTACGAGCCAGGTTGGATCGATTGCCGAGGATGATGATGATCGACTGGATGCGCGTAACGCTGCCAGCCGGCTGGCCACCAGCACATTCTGATCGGGTTGATGGATTGCATTGATTTTGTACATGTAGCCTGAACACGACCTCGTGATTCCCCTTTGTTGCCTTTGTAATTCGTCTCCTATCATGTCTCTAGGTTCCAAGCCACTTTCACTGTTCTTCGATACTATGAAAAGACAGATCATTTCCAATTCATCCCGCGTACCCGCTGAAATACTCAAGAAGTCCACTCTTGGAACCTCTCAGCCCCGTCCTTGGGTACCTCGAACCAAGAAGCTTTCTCCTTCAGGAAGATATGGGCAGCCGGCTGCGGCATTTCTGTCATCCCATCATCATCCAACGTCCCCGCAGCAACACCAGTGTCTGGTAAGTCCTTATCAAGGTACATCGTCATCGTCGAGCCACAGCGAGGACAAAAGCTGCGCGCAGCTGTATCGCTCGACCGCCACTCAGTCGGCTCGACAGTCCATTGAATAGCATCAGCCGGAAAGAATACCCAGGCCTGGTAAGGAGCTCCGGCTTGTTTTCGGCATTCCACGCAGTGGCAGTTGATCAGTTTTTGAGGCGGGATGGAAGTTTTGTAGCGGATATAGCGGCAGGCACAGCTTCCTGAGACCATTTTAAGAAAAAATTGAGCAGCTGGTTTGCAAGGGTTCGAGGAAGGTGTAGTTGTTTCTCGAGTCGTTTGACTGTAGTGCTGGTCTGGTTTTCCCCCATGGCCGTCGCCGCTTTTGCGCTCAGGCTCGGCTTCTGGCCACATGCATTCCTCATTGGCCATATCGAGATCAATCTAGGGTAGCACTACAGTACAGACAGCCCGAACATGTCTCCCAATCATCAATAATAAGTCAATTTTTGAGATTACTTGATTGACATCTAGGTGGACTTCGAGCTAGTTCACATAAAATGATTAGATGACCCGAGAGGAAGGACTACAGTATAAGTTGGGACGTATCGTCTGTTCACCAGTTCTGGACCTTTTAGCCGGCGGCGAGGCCACGGAATGGTGTGCTTCGGTATCCACTTGCACTTAAAAGTACTTAACCAAAGTGGAGGTGCGGCTAGGGCGGCAACATTGGACTCTTTGCTTTTGTAGGATCGAAGATCTTCCAAAATACCCCGGTTTACAGTCACTATAGATAAAGGAGTCTATGAGTTTGTCAATGGAGTCTTTTGAGTCATCTAGTGGGCGACGGGTAGCAAATAATTGCTGAGAGTGGCTGCGCTCTGCTATTTCAAGGGGTCTCTTTTCTTCTTCCATTGTAACTTTCCGAGTGGTTAATATGCACGGAAAAGCTTCTAGTTTAGCTTGCGCTCTACAATTCACGACGGCTTTCAGTGATCACAAGCGACAACAGCAGGAGAAAATTTCCACGCGGATTTGTCCCCGCGCAAGGAATCCCTCTGTTCATGTGAAAAGTGGGAAAGCTGAATCTGTGGTACTGAATGCGAGGACTACAACAGATGAAGTATGGAAAGCTCTTGTCAACTACTTTATTGGCCCCCTTAGTATGTCATGATCAATGCCTTTTCAAGAACTACTGTAGGAGGCAGACGTGCTAGTCTCCATGACGTGCCTTTGTTGGCCCATTTCATGCTCATATTATTAATTCTAGCTATCTTCGAATCTCAAATGGGAACTACTATATATGGCTACCCGGAAGGATAGTCAATTTTCAGCGAGACGGCTGTCAGACAGATGGGGACCACTCCTAATACACAAAAAAGAAACCAGGTTCTAAGTTGTGATATTAAACAAGTGGTAGCCAGTCCTGTCTTTAGCAAGATTGTGACTGAGGAGCACTTAGCAAATTTTTTGCTTTCTGCCACCTCTGTTATTACATAGAAGACAGAAGATAGATTGGACAAACACGAATCTGGAGAATACCACAGGGTGTGAAGGCTTACTATCTCGTAAGTAACTTCTCTAATTTTTGCAAGTTATCGATTCGGCGATGATCAAGAGAACAGTATAGCTCGCAGCGTCTCGAGATCATCACCTTACCTGTCTAGAAAATCACGTGTCGCATGCTGCCCAGGTATGTGCAGCTTCTATCAGTAGCCTCATCCACGACCCACTCCTCTCCCTGAAGACATGGACAGCTGTGGAGTGTGCTCCACATGTATATGCAGAGGTGTGCAGCTTTCACCTTCCGTGCCTTCTCGAATATCACAAGGCACAGATTCACACGATCAACTGTTCCCCTTTCCTTACATAAGGCCCCCACTTCAATAGGACGCGAATCCCAAGTGAGACAGCGGCCCCGTCATGGAGACACATTTAGTGCTGACGGGGCTCTACCCTGCTGTCCCTTTGGTCGGGTACTCTAACGCCGTTACCACACAGACGGCCTGAACGAAGTCCCGCCAATGAAGATGTCAACGGAAGCTGGCTTTGAGTTCCGCGAGTGTTTTTTGACAGGACTTGCGGCCCGCACGGGACCCCTTAAAACAATACTGTACCAGTTGAAAAGATGCTAACCCAGTCTAGCGCCAGCTGATCATTCAGCAGGAAAAGGAGAATCGACGATGATTGAACATTTCGATGCCGCGAGCGGAGATGTTGGCTGATCATTGCCCCAATCAGTCTGCTTTGGCTAAGCTGCTGAAATCGAACAGGCGTCATGTAGTCTAATTTACATGACCAAGGCCTATTGTTACTAGCCTTGACTAACGGATCCGTGCGTCTCACGGACGTCGAAGCCGCCGTCGATGCCTTCGGGGAAGGCCTGGGACATATCCGATGCTTATGGTTGGTCCGTCGACCATGAACTGCGGGGGCCTCGGCACCACTGCAGTCCCAGAGTGCATAAGCGCCATGTATTGCAGAAGCTCAGTGGCGCTAGAGACTGATTGAATAATACGAGCCACTCCGGGTTCCGCATTTCAGGTGTCGCTTGGCCTTTCTAATTTTCTTTCTCCCATTCTCATTGTCATATGTTGTGACATGTCGCCATGTCGTTGCAGGCGCTCTTGAACGCGATCCTGGGGTTGCTAGCCCTCTACATCACAGGGGTATGGGTGAAACGAAGGAGAGCCTTGGGGCCACTGCCCCCAGGTCCACCACCCAGGCCCATCGTGGGCAATATCGCCGACTTGCCGCCTCCAGGGGTGCAAGACTGGATGCATTGGCTGAAGCATAAAGATCTATATGGTATGCTGAACGATCTATTATCGACGGAGGAATTTTTTTGATCTGTTGCTAATACGATACTGCGCTCGTAGGGCCTATCAGTTCTGTGACGGTAATGGGTCAGACGATCGTGATCCTAAATGACATAGAGACTGCGTCGGAGCTCTTGCGCAAACGCGCCTCAATATACTCGTCACGGCCGCATATGGTGTTCGCATCCGAAATGTCAGTACAAGAGTTGCTTCTCAGTATTCTTAATGCAGCAAACCAATATCACCATCTCGGAGCTCGTATTAACATCAAAACAGGGTGGGATGGGGCCATGCATTATCCATGCAGCCGTATACCGACCGTTTCAGAGCATACCGGAAGCTGATGAAACCTTACTTTGGCTCGGAGAAAGTCGCTGCGCAATATATTCCGCTGCAGGAGGTGGAAGCCCATCGCCTGTTGTGGCGGATTCTGAAGGACCAAGGAAACCTGACGCAACACATCCAGACGTTCGTGATTCCCCAGATACTTCAAAATATTGAGAACAATATGATAACGTGTTTTTTTATAGTGAGGCCGGAGCGGTCATCCTCAAAATAACATATGGTTATAGAGTTGAACCGCACAAGGAAGACCTGCTGGTGAACCTTGTTAATGTAGCTCTTGAGCAATTTGGACATGCCGCGACACCAGGTACTTGGCTTGTAGACATAATACCGGCACGTAAGTTGCGCGCTAGAATCTCCATCGTTCACATCATCAGAGCTAACTTCGACACAGTAAAATACGTCCCATCCTGGTTCCCAGGCGCTGGCTTCAAGCGTACGGCACAAGAGTTCAGGAAAAACCTTGAAGAAGTTGCGAAAAAGCCCTACGCCCTCGTCCAGCAACGGATCAAAGACGGCAGGTACAAGCCATCATTTCTCTCGGATACACTTAAATTAAATGGAATACCACCCTCCGGGTCCGAGGAGGAATTGGTTGCCAGATGGACAACAGCATCACTTTATGGCGCGGGCGCTGACACTGTACGCTACGTTATTTGCCTCTTCATGACCGACACGATTGCTAATATAGAATAGACCGTGTCTTCAGTTGGAACCTTCTTCCTCGCAATGGCGTTGTACCCGGAAGTTCAGAAGATGGCCCAGGATGAGATTGACCGAGTTATCGGCCCTGGTCGACTCCCCACGGCGGCAGACCGCGATCGCCTACCTTATGTCAATGCGATGGTCAAGGAAATTTTCCGCTGGCATCCTGTAGTACCAATGGGGATTCCCCATATGTCGACGGCTGACGACATCTACGAGGGATACTATATACCCAAAGGCTCTCTTATCCTACCGAATATCTGGTGAGTTTCATTTTTTGTGAAGTCGAGTTTGAAGTCGTCATGATATTGCTCATTTGAATCCGTTTTCTAACTCGCACACCAGGGGTATGATGCACGATCCCGCATTGTATCACGATCCTATGGCATTCAAGCCAGAACGCTTCTTGGAGATCGATGGCCGCACCCCCGACACAGATCCGCACAGCTTCGTATTTGGCTTTGGGCGTCGTGTCTGTCCTGGTCGAATCTTGGCTGATAGTACAGTATGGCTCAGTGTTGCAAAGTCTCTTGCAGTGTTCAAGATCAGTAAGCCCATCGAAAATGGCGTCGAGGTGGATATCAAACCCGAGTTCCAGCCTGGGGTGATCAGCCACCCGGTTCCATGCAAGCTGCAGATTACGCCTCGGAGTGCCGCGCATGAAGAGTTGATATTAGCGGTGGAGCAAGAGCACCCTTGGGAGCAAGGTGACGGGTCCGAGTTGCAGAAGATCCGGTGTTAAAGATCGTACTAGTAATGTTTCAATGATTAATTGTGTGGGCATGAGGCGGACGATTCGCTTGTACATATCCAGCTGAAGTCTTCTAATTAATGACATACTGGCCTAACAATACCTTTTTGTGCGTCTTGGCCTGAAAACTCTCTTCAGCGAAAACGATTCCAGGTGGGCAATGTCCATCGTGTTCGAGCTTGCGTGATCCTGGAGTTCCCAATCAGCTCATAGGAGTTCCAGCACGTCTGGCAATATAAAGATAAAGTCCAAAAATTGACCAATTTAAAGGACTAGGAGGCCTTGAATAGGTCTAGAAACATCGAAATTCATGGAATGGAATACACACTCCTCACACTAGCTGACTGCATACCACGAAAAGGCACCTGCTGATCAGGTGAATGGATTTACGCAATGAAAGCGAGAATCTTCTTGATCAGGTGACCGTACAATCTTCGGCGCAAGCTTAATTTGAGCTCAATGATACAGAAGGAGAGATGGGCATTAAACCACAGAACAGCCAAAATGCCAGACACGCTCCTGTCTGTAAATCCGGACGTGACACCCGGAGCTGTGACATCATGTGGGGCAGCTATGAGCTATGAGATGTCGGCGTAAAGCAGACACGATATCAACTCCCATGTCTTTTTATGAGGATTCGAAGTTATGGAACTTGAGAGCTAGTGAGGCTCAACGGATTTCAACTTCAAGCGAATATTGGAAGTGACCACTGGGGACGCCTTTATTCTCTCGGGATTCGCATTACCAGTGCAACCCCACTTTGGATCTACCTCGGACCCAAGTTTCTGTATCAAGGACTTTGATTTGAAAGCAAAGGCCCACATCCTGGTACATTTAACAGGTCACCCTTGTCGGACTTCAGAGTCTGTGTTTCAACCCTGCTCTTCAGTGCCTTCCCCCTCCATTACATTCGTCCTCATTGTACCCCCATTGCAATATGGCTTCTCCTCAGGTCTTCATGTAGGTCAGCCCACTCGGCAAGCTTGAAAACTGAGATCTAACGATCCCTATAGAACTGGTGCTTCGGGTTATATTGGTGGAGATGGCCTTCACGCCATTGCCAACGCTCATCCCAACTGGCAGCTGTCGGCTTTGGTCCGCAGCCAGGAAAAGGCAGAGCAGGTCAAGGCCCAGTACCCGAAGATTCGGATTGTTCGCGGTGACCTAGACTCTTCTGATATTATTGAGGAAGAAGTCAAGAATGCCGACATCGTCTTTCGTCAGTACAAAGTCCCATTGGTACCTGTCTCCATGCCTGACTTTTTCTCCAGACTTCGCCGACTGCGACCATGTTGCCGCAGCCAAAGCCATTGCCAAGGGCTCTGAGCACCATACAGCTGAGCGTCCTCTCTGGATCATTCACACCTCTGGCACTGGCATTCTGACTGTCGAGGACCAGCGCGCTAAGTCCTACGGCATTGAGCGTCCCAAGGAATACAACGACTGGGAGGGTGTGAGCGAGCTCATCAACCTGCCCGGAGATGCATTCCACCGCAACGTCGACGAAATTATCATTAATGCCGGCAAGCGTGATCCCGCCAGCGTTCGCACTGCGGTTGTCTGCCCGCCTTGCATCTACGGCCCTGGCCGTGGTCCCTGTAATCAAAAGAGTATACAGGCTTACCTGCTGGCCAAAGCAGTTTTGAAGCGTGGTAAGGGCTTCCTTGTCGGAAAGGGCGAGAATGTTTGGCACCAGGTGCATGTTCGTGATTTGAGCAACGTTTACGAGGCCCTCGGTGCCGCGGCCGCTGAGGGCGGTGGCAAGGCCACTTGGAACAACGAGGGTTATTACCTCGCTGAGAACGGTCCCTTCGTCTGGGGTGATATTCAAAAGAAGGTTGCCAAGGAGGCTTTCGCGCAGGGCTTCATCAAGTCCCCAGAGGTCGACTCCTTGAATGATGCCCAAACTACTGAGATCCTTCCCGCTGGAGTTTATGCGTGGGGCTCTAATTCTCGGGGTCACTCCATTCGTGCTCGCAAGCTGTTTGGTTGGGAGCCGAAGCAGCCCAAGTTGATTGATTTGATCTCTGAAATTGTTGCGCTTGAGGCTAAGGACCTTGGCTTGAAATAGGATGCTTATCTTGTATGATACCTATGATACCATGAGATAGTCATGACAACTGCCCATAGTCAAACGTCCTGGTAAATTGATGCATTGCGCCGAAGATGCAAGTGAAAGCTACAGGTATGAGCAAGCTTCTCAAATATCTCCGAGACATGCGAGAAATATAGAATCTGGCCCACCTTAATTGGCATCTTTGGATCTGGACGTGGTCTTCCAGGTCACAAAAATAAAGACCAAACACTCACACTCCAGCCTAAAATCCTCAGTATGACAGAGAAATCAATTCAAAATGAAACCTTAGCCACGAGAAAATGTGGAGCATAGAATCAAGGGAGAGACAAGTCAATCAAAATGAAGCTCAATGAATCTGCCAATTTGAATGCCAAACTGACACCTCAGGCAGCAGAACGCTCGGACCCATTCTCGCGGCGTGAGCTTCCTACCATCATCGCTCACGGGTCTTTCGTTGCCATTCTTTCATCTCAACTTCCGTTCTCCATCCTCACCTTGATGAAGCGTTGTCGCTGGTATGCATCTCCTACCTAAATTGCGCGACATGCTATTACTCTCTCTCACCGAATTCAATTGCTGACAATTGTCCTGCCGCTTCCCCAGATTCAACCCTCATGACCTGCATTGTCTCTGCCTCACTTTCTACCGTCTCTGCCCTTCGCGTCTAAGCCGGCACTTCAACCGATATGGCGCCCGGGCAGGGTGGGAAGCGAAAGCGCGGTGAGCGCTCCTATTCCGGTGACTCGGCGAGCAACGAAGCCTTGCGACCCTCCCCTCATCGTCCTAGCACGCTCAATATGGCATACCACCATGGAAATCAATCCAGCCAAGCCAGAGACCAAAACGATATGCGCGACCGATCACGCCGGCACTCAAACCGTGGCGGCAGTGGTCGACACAATTCCCGCCGTGGATCGTATGAAAGCCAGCAGAATTTTTCAAGCCCACAGCACAGGGAGCCCAGCGCAATGTCTCTCCCCTCCTCCAACTCAATCCCGGGAGGTCGCAGAGACTGTGCAACCAAATGGCGAGACTGTGACGACCCAGCCGAACCCTTCCTCGGCACCAAGCACGCCGGCCGCGCAGTCGCAGACACAACATCAATCTCACACCGAATCCGAACCACCTGTGAGGCAATCATCCGTTACATGCCCTCCATATGACTACGAGTATGTCACGGACACGATCGTACAGGAATGGTCGTCGACAGGAAAGCAAAAAGTCGTGGAGGAAGGAACTTCGGCTCGGGTGCAAGAGAATCTCGCCGGTCTAGCTTCGATCTACCAGGAGCTCATCAGATCTGCGATTTACGGAAGACTGTCACCTTCGGAGGCAGGAACAGCTGTCAAAGAGATTATTGGCGATAACTTTGCAATAGAGAATGTGGAACTGGAGAGCAAAGAAGCCAAAGCTTCACCTTCCGTTTTTGATCCACGTTCTTTGTTCCTCGATACCCTTTCTATCATCACCGACTCCGATACCTCCAATGTCGCACTCAAACCTCTTGTTTTTGCGACTTCGATTTCTCCTGCTCTAATGCGACTCCAACTTGACACCCCTTTGTTGCAATCCCTAGGATTGGTTCGTGAGACCTTTGCCCGCATGGGAATCCGCAAGCAAACCAATCTGCTCTATCGTCAATCCAACTATAACCTTCTCAGAGAAGAGACAGAGGGATACTCGAAACTTCTCACTGAGCTCTTCGCCACAAGCGGCAATGAGCCGCCATCGAGCGAAGTGGTCGAAGATACCTTCGAAAGGGTAAAGGCCATGATTGGCGCCTTTGACATGGATGTTGGTCGAGTTTTAGATGTGACATTGGATGTGTTCGCTGCCGTGTTAGTCAAACAATTCCGGTTCTTCGTGAAGTTGTTGCGAGTCAGCTCCTGGTGGCCCAAAGAAAATGAGACTACGCGAGAGGCCCTGCACAACTTCGGATTGCCAAATTGGGCTCTCCCAGGCTCTACAGGCTGGATCACGACAGATGAGGAACAAGCCGCCATTATGAAGTCAAATGAGGAACGCGATCGAAAGTTCTGGGATCGAGTGCGAGAGGTTGGTATTCAAGCTTTCTTCGAGATTGGGCACAAGTCAATTTCGAAGGAAGAGCGACTTCAATTGCTTGCAGAGAATAATAATTTATCTGAAGAAGAAGCAGCAACAAGGACATGGATTCAAGAGACAGGAACATTACCACCAAAGGGCAATCGTGTGGCAGCTCAGCTTCTCGGATTTAAATTGCGATTCTACGCCTCTTCTGTTCGTTCCAAGGACGATGTGCTGCCAGATACCCTCATCTATTTATCTGCACTGCTCATCAAAGTGGGCTTTATTTCCCTGCGCGACCTCTATACTCACCTCTGGCGACCTGATGAGATGATGGAGGAGCTAAAGACTGAGAAGATGACCGAAAAAGCGGAGAGAGAAAAGGCTGCTCGGCCAGGTGGCGGAATCAACGCTCTTATGCTTGCAGGTGCGCTTTCAGACGACACGGTTCCTCCCCAGCGTCTTCGCGAAGACTCGCGCAAGGCTACTCCGTCAAAGGACCAAGAGGCCGACAAACAGTCTGCCAAGACAGAGAATGATCTACCAGACCCGGTTGACCAGAAAGTCTTGCTGCTTAAAAGTCTTCTTTTACTTGGTGCCGTTCCCGAGGCTCTCTTTATCATAAGCAAGTTCCCTTGGTTGATGGATGGCTTCCCTGAGCTTCCTGACTTCATCCACCGCATTCTTCACCATTCGTTGAGTAAGGTCTACTCACCACTCCGCCCCCTCTCAGGGAAAGACCTTGCCGGCCAGCGACAAATTCTGAGCAATGACCAGTCTGGTCTGCCGAAGGGCCAGATTCGACTTGCCCAGCCATCGGCGAAACGGACGCTTCGATGGGCTAAAATCGACACAGACGACGAGAATGAAGGTATTGCCTACCGATTTTATTGGGACGAATGGTCAAACAACATCCCAGTCTGTCAGTCCGTGGATGATGTCTTCGCCCTCTGCTCCTCTTTCCTAAATCTCTCTGGTCATAAGATTGGACAGGACGCGAGCTTGCTCTCGAAACTAGCGCGTATCGGCAAAGACAGTCTGTCTAAAGACACTTCTGAAGAAAACAAATCTCGCTGGCGGGATCTCTGCAAGCGCCTTTTGTTGCCTTCTGTCAGTTTGACTAAAGCCAATCCGGGTGTCGTAAACGAAGTGTTCGACCTTCTCAGTTTCTTCCCTCGCGAGGTTCGATACAACATGTACGCAGAATGGTACTCTGGCCAGACATCCAGAGTGCCCGACATCAAGTCTGCCTTTGACCAGGCGAGGGCGGAGACCAAGGACGTCCTGAAGCGACTGAGCAAGACCAACACCAGGCCCATGGCTCGCGCACTGGCCAAGATTGCTTACGCTAATCCCGGAATTGTCATCAACGTCGCCATCAGCCAGATTGAATCGTACGAGAATCTCATCGAGGTTGTCGTCGAGTGTGCGCGCTATTTCACTAATCTGGGCTACGATATTTTGACTTGGTCTCTCATCAACTCACTTGGCCAGAAGGGAAGAAGCCGCGTGCAGGAGGGCGGTTTGCTTACTAGTCGTTGGCTGAACGCCCTATCCACTTTCGCTGGCCGAGCTTTCAAGCGATACTCAATTATGGATCCTACCCCGTTGCTGCAATATGTTGTGGAGCAACTGCGTCACAATAACTCCACCGACCTGATTGTTTTGGAACAAATGATTGTATCCATGGCTGGCATCATCACAGACAACAACTTCAATGATGCTCAAGTCCAAGCCATGGCTGGTGGAGAAATACTCAAGGCACAGACAATTTTACAGCTCTTGGACAAGCGACACGAGTCCAAGACCACCTCGAAGCGACTGATTAAGTCGCTTACCCACACTCGCCTCGCAGGTCAATTACTCGTCGCCATCGCCCAGGAACGTTTGACATGTGTCTACAATGAGCCTTCATCGGAACTCAAACTTCTTGGGAATATCTTCGACGAAATCCACCGAATCCTCACCCAATACTTGGACCTACTACGGAGTAATCTGTCCATTGAAGAGTTTGACTCTTTCGTGCCTGATTTTGCCGCCCTAGTCAAAGATTTTGGCGTTCAACCCGAGATTGCTTTCTGGATTCGCCGAGCCAGCATTTCCAAGAAGATTGCCGAGACTGAATCATCTAAGGTGGAGACAGAGTCAACGACGAAAGAGATCACCGAGACTCCACCTCAGCCTAGTGATGAGAATCAGATGGACACTGCAGACGACGGTGATAGAACTCCGAAGGTCGACCAGATTACCACCGAGAGAGAGATGAACATCGACAAAGAAGAAGTCACCGCTGCGCCTCTATCGTCCAACCCCGTGATGCAAGACCTGATTAACAACGTCAAGACTGCTTTGCCTGCCGAAACATGGGAGGTCATTGGTCCCCACTTCTATGCAACCTTCTGGCAGCTGGATCTTTACGATGTCCACGTGCCAGGCCAGTCCTACGATGAAGAAATGGGACGGCTGAAGAAACGAATCATGACCATCTCCAACGACCGGTCTGATCTGAGTTTAGCTGGCTCCCAGCGCAAGGACAGAGACAGGAAGGCTATTACTGATCTCCGCGATCGACTTCTGCAGGAAAACAGAAATCATCTGACTGCATACAGCCAGACTCGCTCTCGCTTGTTGAAGGAGAAGGACCAGTGGTTCGCCGGAATGCGCCTCAAGCACGACGCCCTGAACATTGCTTTACTAGAGCAGTGCTTCCTCCCTCGACTGCTTTTATCACCACTCGATGCCTTCTTCTGTTTCAAGCTGTTGAAGTTTTTGCACAGCTCAGGGGCTCCCAACTTCCGAACTGTTGGCCTTCTCGATCAACTCTTCCGCGAGCAAAGACTCACAGCACTGATCTTTTTATGCACATCCAAAGAAGCCGACAACTTGGGACGCTTCCTCAATGAAGTTTTGCGTGATCTCTCTCGCTGGCATGCCGACAAGGCTGTATATGAAAGAGAGGCCTTTGGCACCAAGAAAGACCTTCCTGGATTTGCAAAGAACGTTGGACCCGAGGGCGTGCCCCTGGCCTTCCTGGAGTTCGAAGACTTCCGCCGTCTTCTCTACAAGTGGCACCGCCTATTCTCCGTTGCTCTCAAGACCTGCCTTAATAGCGGCGAGTACATGCACATTCGAAACGCGATCAGTGTTCTCAAGGCAATTGTCCAGCACTTCCCTGCCGTGAATTGGATCGGACGTGACATGCTGAACTGTGTCAACGCACTGAGTAAGAATGACGAGCGAGACGACGTCAAGATTCCCGCGGCATCCTTGATCGGTGATCTTAACCGCCGTGAGAAGAAGTGGATGCTCCCTCAAGCATTCAATATGGTCAAAACCGGGGCTGGCAATCAGCCGCCTGCGGATGGCAAGAGTGGAACTCCGCAGCCAGGAAGCGGGACTCCCAATTCACTCAATGCTTCTGCTCCAGAATTCAAGCCTACGTCCGGACAACCGTAAGTCACCATCTCAGGCCTATTCACTTTGCATGACGACTAATACATCGAATGACAGTGGCGACGGATCAGCCAGCCAAGAAGGATCTGGCAAGATGGAGGTGGAGGATGGTGAGATTGAGGATGCGAAAATGGCCGATGCAGCTTCCCTCAAGGGGCTGGAAGATGCAAAGGCAGCGGAGCCTGGTACCGATTCTGGAACTTCCACGGCTATGGATTTAGGTAACGACGAGCGGCCTGATATCCGTGGGCAGCTCGAACCTCCTGTGCGACCTCGGCCAGGCTCTCGAGCCTCCGATTCGGCTCGCCCATCTGATATCCCGCGACGACCGGACCCTGAACGTTCAACATCACGTCGTCAACAGCCAGGCCGTCCTCCACACGGTGACGGCAGACTTCCTCCACGCCCTGACCTGAAAGTGGACGACCGACGCGACAGGCTTTCTGATTTCAACCCGCGTACTCGTCATGCAAACCCTGACTCTCGCTCCTTCGATACTCCAAATGTCCGCGATCGCTTTGGTATGAGACCTCTGCCAGACGATCCAATGCGCGGTCCCCCTTATCGTGACAGCCGTCTGCCACGAGAGCCAGAGTGGAGTAATGATCGCCCTGGCCGTCTGCGTCCTGATCCATTCCATACCCGCGACGGACCAGCTCGTGATGACCTTATGCCTGACTTCGCCGACCGCCCCGGCGACGGTCCCCGTCGTGGAGAGCCGATGCGGCCTGACCGGCCTCCGCGTCCTTTGTCGCCTCCCAGATCCGATCTCCCCAATCGGCCCGACCGTCGAGGGGCCAACTTCACCCAGCTTTCTCCTCGCGATGAATTCCCTCGAGGTCCACGAGACCGTGCTGCTGATCCGAGAGATGCCGGCCCTGGCCCTGACTTGACTCACGGCCGGCTGCGCCAACCTGACGCTCAATCCGAGATCCCATCCGGGCCACGGGGCTCGAGGAACCCTCGTGGCCGCAATGCGTCTGGTCGCCCGCCCAATGGCAAAGCACCAACTCCCGAACGCCAGGTGCCCACGGGCCCTGCCCGACAAGGTGGGCGCGGCGGTCCCGAGCAGTCCCCTGCCACCCCTGCCCCTGCTCCTCCCTCCGAAGCTTCCATTGCACTCGGTATCCACCCTGATAGAGTCCGCAATATCGTTGACGACACGCCATCTCAGCAAAGCCCGCCAGCTGCCATGACACCTCCCTCTGGCCCTGAGGGGCGGTTCCAATCAACAACAAACTCCCCGCGGCCCTGGTGGGGATCGCAACCGCAGTGACAAGCGCTTTGCCGGTATCAACAATATGCTCCAGCAGACAAACCCTGCTGAGCGAAGCAATGCCACTCCACCTGCCCGAGGAAGAGGTGGAAACCGACAATCGGATGCCGGGGACCTATCCTCTCCACAGGTATCAAATCGCCCACCCACAGGTCCGGCCTCATCCCAGGATGATGGTCAGCGTAACCGCCCTGCACGAGGCGGTGACTTGCTTGAAGACGCCGGTCCTGACAATCGTCGTTCAGGGGGACGAGATCGGAATCGTGAAAAGGACCGTGAGCGCGAGCGTCGCGGAGAAGAGAGCGCTAACGGCGGCGGCGGTAATCGACGTGAAGAACGTCGGAACCGTGACCCTGATCGCGAGCGCGGTCGCCGGAGTGATGTTGGTGGAGGCGCTGGTCGAGACAAGGAGGATCGTGATAAAGAGCGTCAGGGCGAGTCTCGTGAGAGCCTGCGCCGGACTAACAGCTTGCGCGAAGAGACAAGACGCCGGGACCGACGTGATCGTGACGAAGGACCCCCCGCTGCGAGTGGCCCTGCTCCGGGCAATGCCAATGATGAAGGCCGTCTTCGACCGCCGTCCTCTGTGGGGGCCCCTCCACCTCCACCACCTCCCCACCGCCTCCTCTTCCCAACGATGAACAAGGTACCCCCCGCCGCTGGGGCTCTGGTGGTGGAGACCGAGGAAATCGTAACGAAAACCGGGATCGCGAACGTGAGCGCCGTGGTGACCGTGGCCGAGACCGGGAACACCGCGACAGCGGTGGCTCTGGCGGACACCGCAAGCGCGGACGTCCCAACCCCGAAGAAATGCCCGGTGATGGAAATGCCCGGGGCCCGCGGATGGGAAATGACAACAAACGCCCTCGTCGTGGAGCGTGACATACCCCGATGAACTCGCTGTAGTGGAAGATACGTGGAAGATTGCCCCGGCCTTGAGGCTCGTGAAGATGAAAATTCCCCTGTGACTACTTTTCTCCTATTTGTTTTATTTATCTCCCCTGTGATCGCTGCACATTGCATTTGGCGGTGTTTCGGACCATCCAATCTGTTTCTCTTTGTTACTTTGCTATATTCCAAGATCGATATCCGTATCCCCTGGACCTTTCTATTTTTGTAACCGGCGGACCTCTGTAATGCCTCTTTGATTTAGTTTTACCTTCCGAGGTTTAGTACCTAATACGCCGTCGACTCATCTATAATTATAAGCCTCAAGTTACGAGTTTGTAAGGTAGGGCGTACAATCTTCCCAATGTTCAAGTCAGAGATGAATGCAGTCGCAGAAGAAAGGAAAATCCAATATCCAGATACTGCTAGTGAGAATTAGACATCGCAGACCTCGGCAGCAACCCCGACAGAGGCACACAAACTTGAATCCGCAGCAGGGTTGGAAGATGTCAAAAATGGCGATCGAAAGATGAAAGAAACACAAACAAGAAAGACTATGTATGGAATGTGGACAGAATCTCTTCGGATCGTCAGTCTCTCCGAATTAGTCTATCTGAAATGATCTGCCCTATCGCTTGATTCCTCCATGATGAAGAAGCAAACGCACCCCTGATTCTTGATCCCAGGAACTTTGAGCAATCAAAACCGTCTTTTCTCAAGCGTGTCCTAGCTCGGCTTTCACCTATAGTCACTTAGTGGCAAACATGTTTGGCGAAGCAGGTGCGATGGCAACACAAAGCTCGTTCTGATCACGAAGGCAGCTTCTAACCTTTCCACCTCGAACATTTGCATCTCTCAAATTCACGAGCACTGCACGCGGCTTACTGATCAAGTCCATCCTGGGCAGGACATACCCTTCAAAACACGTGCTATTAGTGCGACAGGACCCCGACAGTGTTACCTCTGCTCCCTCATCCACCGCACGCCCGACGTCGAAATGATGCCCATCATCTCCACCGCCGGGGACACGGGTGAGGAGATGAGTCGAGACTTACCAGTGCAAGAGACGATCGCTGCTCGTGCAGAGCGAGTCTTTCAACGTGCCGAAAGCGAGACTCTTCCCATCAGCTTCACCACGAAAGAGATGTGCCTGCTCATCCAGCACTTCAAAACCATCAAAGATACAGACAAGGCCAACATCCACATCCGCAATTTGCTCGCCACCATCATCATCAACCGGAAATACCCGGACGAGGTTGGAAAGATGTTTGAAGATATCGATGATCGAAAGCCGAAAGGGTATGCTGCTCGCTGGACCAATGAGTTTCACATGGCCGATCTGGAGCGGGAGGTCTTGGAGCAACTGGAGGTTGAAGAGGTAAATGGCGAGCAAGGTCCGCCCTGGGTGGTACCAAAGGTGCCTGCAGACCCGTCGAAGCAGAGGGGTCGATTTGCGGATAACCTACCGGGAGGCAGTCGTTTCTTTTTTGAGTAGCTTGGGAACATCAGGCCTGATATAGGCCCGATGAAGGAATAGAAGCTTTGATATGCAATGACAGCACAACCTCCTATAATTCGACGAGTGAGGTGATCTGTATAGTCAGGGGGTATACGGGCAACTTGTCTTTGCTGCAGCGCCAGAAGAGTAAGCGATCAGGCCATCTGAGACCACTCAGAGCACGGTACTCCGACATCAACGTACATCTTAATCACGACGCGAAACTTGTTCGGAGCAGCAACATAATTCGATCTGCAATCAAACCTTCGAACACGATAGAGATCGAATGCATAGATTATTCCAAATTTGGCGACACCAGGTCGTCGATAGCGAATGCATCATAGAAACCGGGTAGAAACAGCCCGACCACCGGGTTGCCGAAGAGGGCCCCCGACCAAATCCTTTTCATAGATGTCTTATCTTGACACAAGGGACCTATGGACAGACAGCGGCCGTCCGTGCCAAGGACACGATACAACCAAGTGGCGTTGACTATTCGGAGGGTTATTCTTAGATCGTGCTAATATGGTATTTGAAATGTTCCACCCCCAGCTGAGAAGATGGGTGGCGTCCGACTTGACAAGTCACGGTTTCACTTGTGACGGTGGCCAGAGACCCTTCATCGAGAGACTAGAGGGGTCCATTTAAGCGAACGGCCTCCGGTATCATGGCTAGACTGACGAGCCTGCTCGTTTTGTTTAGGGTTAATCACTAGCAGGTTGAAAGTACTTGCAGGAGCAGTGCAAAAATCCTGGGACGCTGAGACCGGAGTGATTTCTTAGGCTCGGCTGCGTGTCCTATCTTAGGTCTGCTTCTTTTTTGAAATTTCCTATCTCCTATTTTCGAGCATATTGTATGCGCAGGATGATTCACTAGTCATGGTCCGTTGAACCTTCGGAGAATAGTTCCATGTTTCGAGGCGATGGGGAAAGGGGAAAAAAGAAGAACCCGGTGGATAAGCGAACTTCAACCGATAATTTCCAGAACGTGGCATTGTTTCAGTCGCTTTCATTCGGTGCGAGCACTACGAGTGACTAGGAGTGACTACGTAATCAATACTGAGTTGCAGGATCTGGTTATGGTGCGATAATGCGTTTGGGCAAAAGATATTCCAGTAATAAGACGGGGAAAGGCTACTTGTTTTTCTCATCCTATACATCCGATCGGTGACTCAAGTCGCTTCGGCTCCAAACATCATCTTACCCCAGGGCTGGACTCGGCTCGCACACCGGGGGGGTCCGAGGGGGTGATTTAAACCGATCCGCTTCTTTTAAAAGAGGCGTCACCGCTATGACCAGCGGTACCCATCGACGTTTGCTTATTTTCGAAGATATCGAGGGGCATTGTGCTGGACCGGTCCGAGAGGGCCTCATTATCTGAAAATAAATTTCTCTGAAATAATTCAGAGGAGCCATCATCCACCATTGACCCTTGGGCACCGAAACGCCTGAGTCAAAAAGGCGTCACTAGCGTCGGGGCATGTGTGGACTCAAGTCGGCGATCCACTAGGAAAGAGGTCACGGTCGCGGTCACCCGTTCTCAATGATCCGGATCAACAACCACGAGTTCTTTATCGCAAACAAGAGAGCCAAGAAGCTACGAGCTCTAGCACGAGCCCAATCGGTGGTTAGCTTTGTGCGCAAAAGGGCCCGTTCGACGCGACCGACAGTGAATCCATACTAGCAGAGTCTAGGCGCGTCGGCGGTGCAGAAGTCGATGATCTTCAACTACTTTGGGTGCTGGTGATCGCTCCACGGTGTCAACGGTGGGCAAAGAAAGGTGTCGAGTCTGATTTTGATTATTCTGATATCTTGGCCACCATGGCTCCATTTCAGGGCCCATCACAGCCCTAATGGTATTTCCTGGGCTATCGAGAGCCAGACTGGTCAATCCTAAGCCCGGGGATCCACTCATGGACGAGGATTAGCGCCCTTCTTTATCGGATCCATTAAACGCATTCCTCCCTCGCTCCACCGGCACTCTAGTCGGGGCCCATGAGGCTGACCCTTGAAAAAGGTCCCTACGTCCTCGTTCTTCATTGTTTATCGATTTTCAGTCTGCAAAAGTATTACCAGCGTTCTTTGCTTCGATCGGCGTTCCGTAATATCTACAACGTCGGCATCATCCCTCGTTTACCCCCCGCATACCAGCCCCGTCGCAGGGCCAACGTCTTTCGGCTTTCTCTGTCTACCAGTGACAAGAATTCATTCTACCTTGCTCCGTTGCTCTGGAACGCGCCTCTGATTCAATCTTTTCGCCACATTCGTCCTATTCTTGGACTTTGACGTACATAGCCCGCTATTGCAGGTCACTTCAGGTCCCTTCTAGCACATCCTCGGGAGACTACAAGATCCCGGGCTACCAGCGCTCAAAACGCAGAAGTCCCAACCACCCCACCGAATCGACTTGTTTGGATATCCATAAATCAACCCGCCATCAAAATTGGTGTTTACCCTGCTGTAAAGATACACGGCGCCCCCTCTCGACTATGATGGAGCGCAAGCTTTCTGAGAAAGCCACCAAGATGCGCCAACGATTTACTTTTTCCCGCGGTAGCCAGGGACGTCACCGCGCTGCTACAATGACTTCGACCAGTGTTCCAAGCACACCTGGCAGTCGCCCTCGTTCATCTACTGCCCCGGGTCGTCCAACTCTATGGAGATTGCGTGGCACAATATAGACCCTAGTCGGCACTACCAGTTCACCGATGAGCCAGGATACTTTTGTCCTTCTTCGCCCATCATCAGCCGCCAGGAGATTGAGGAAGGCATTGAAGACGAGATTACACACGCTTGCACGATGCTTGTTCACGATATCAACCAAGAACTACCAATATTACCATCTCTCGACACAGCACCAGGTCCAGGCAGTGGCAGTGCTAGCATGGCCCGAGCCTCAAGTGAAATACATCCTGAAATCCAGGACGAAGTGACCGATGTTTCACCCCAAATGACAGCTGCAAAGGAATTTGCCGCTTGCAAGCCTGTGCATGACTCGGGTGTTGCTTTTAGCGCCCAATCGTCAAGATGGGGCCAACCCGGTCAAGACAGCATATCAGGTACCGGTGCTTCAGCCAGAGCAGGAAGATTTTACGGCCGATGCAATCCCCCCCAAGAGCAAAACGAAACGGGTCGCCAGCGTGGACGAAGCGTCGCCACAGAAGCCAAGTCACTGCGCTCTCGATCTCGATCTCGCGCGTCCAGCTTCGACATGTTTCCGTATAGTCCTCCTCAATCATCCGCACCATGGTCCCACAATATCAAAAGAGACCTCGCACCCTCCGCAGACCTCTTTCCAGAGCCAGAGTCCCTCCTCGGCGCTGAGGGTATGGCTTGGCTCCACGCTAGCGACGATATGCACCGCCTCGGTGACAAAATCAGTTCATCCCACGGTGACGAACACGTTGGCCTTACAAGCCTCCTTCACTCAGGGCCCGGCCCACGACGTTTCTACAGTACCCGCCAACTACCATCAGAAAAGGCCTTCGGCCCGCACGAATCATCTTATGAGCTCCACGGCAACCTTTCCGTACGCAGTCTTTCCTTCGACCGCGATCTTCACAACCCCCATTCAACACAAACGTACAACACACAACCTCTCTACTCGTTCGTCCTCGCGCCGGGCGCAAACGAGCCTCCTCGTCACAAACGCAAGAGGGCCTCCGAACTTTTCAAAAAGCTAGCTGGACTAGGCATGCGGCGCAAAGACGACCCGGTCGACTGCCGAAGCCCAATGGTTGCTGCTGTGTGATGAGATCGCCAACCCCATTACGATACCATGTCAAATTTGAATTTCACTTTGTTTCTCATGTCTCGGATAGATCTTGTATATACCCCCATTCACCTTGCATTTACTTCCCAACAAATGTTTTTGTCTCTTTCCAATAGTGTGTTACTGTGCGTAGATCATTGAGGTTAGGATCGTGTTCATGTCTCACGTTGTGGAACATGCATGTTATAGATAGTGAGACTTGGACCCGGCACAGAAGGCGTCCCTTGCATGATTGATGACACCTGAGTTGTTTGAGGGGATGACACGAGGGGCTCCTCTCTACTTTATTGCCGCCCATATAAAGTCTATTGCTTTTGGAAGGGATTGTGTTCCACATCAATTCCAATCACTAAACCGCGGTAATCCGAAGTCTTGGTCATTCCCAAGTGGCAATGATTTGGTAATGAAGAAGTGTCCTTCCTTATCCACATTGTCACATACATGCAACTCGAAAGGTTGAACCCATGGGGATGTTCGAGCAAAAGTAAGCTTTCGCATGTCCCCTCGAGTCTATAGTGCCCTGTGTGAAGCACAAAATGGATTTTAATATCTTTATATTGTTTCCAGTCGACTGAAGACTGGGCACGCTCGGATCCGTAGTCCTTGAAAAGTTATACAATCTCTGCCGATAAAATCTTCTTCACCTCAACATATAGATTCTCTACGGAGGAAAAACTCTCTCCACTCGTATAGTGAAGAGACACGAGAATCAGTAGCAACCGGATTCAATGATATCATGTCTTCAATTACAAGTTCGGAACTCAGATGCGCACTGTGGATCCACCTAGGGACCCAGCGCCATCGGGACCGCCGAGGTTTGCTGCCGTGAAGTATACCGTCACTCTTCGTTCGCATACAAAGCGAGGCTGTATCATCCACCCATGCTGTCTCTTATTGACCTCCAAGCCTGAAACTATAGTCAACCCAGACAACTCCGTGCTTCCCGCTTCAAACGATCAATCATCTCTTCAACCTCTACTCAATGGCTTCCAACCCAACTGACTGTAGACCCTCCAGTCATTGCGGTGCTCGGTGCTGTTAGTACCCAAGGCCAAGGCCTGGTGGCAGCTTTACTCAAGGGCACAGTGATCGTTTTCCGTTCTAGCCTTGACGCGCGACATTGAATTTGAAGCCACACAGCATCTTCAAGCTCGTCATGAGGAGATGGTGGACTACAAGTTGGCTTTGCCAATATCTACGTCTATAAGTCGTTGTTGGCCTCATTCAAAAATGCCCACGGGGATTTTGCTGTCACGAATACCTGTTCAGCGAGGAAGTCTATCCAGAACGAAAAAGACATGCGGCATGAAGTGACGGCCGGTACAAACAAATATCGGGCTGTAAAAGTATTCATTCCTCATACGTTTCTGTGACAGCTTTTGATTTGCAACGGTCTCGTGTTAAGATCCCGCTGATTCCACCTTGGCCTTGTCTTCTATCAGGCGTGCAGAATCAAACACTTTGTCATGAGCAGCCTTCCGAGCATCAACATCGCCAGTGGTGATAAATTTCGAAAAGTCTTGCATTTCAATCAGAAACATGAACTTGAAAGATCGGCCATTGAGGAGCTTGCCGCCACCTTTGTGCATTCTGGTATGTTGTCCGTATTTAGGGATTGCCGGGGACTTTAAGCCAGCTAATCGATTCCAGGCTTATTGTACTTGAATCTGAATTGGCCACAGGACAGTATAGAAAAAGTTAAGCTTGCATAAAGATTCTACAAAGAATCAAGAAAAGCCTTTTTGTTGATGCGATGGCAAAAGACGGAGTCATACATTTCACAGCAACTCTCTCGACGGATAAGAAGGTCGATTGGATGGACCCTTACTATGATATTGGAGTCTATGTCGCTAGTATGTGATTCGCAAATGGAATGATCCTGCTGAACGTGCTAATAAAGTCAAATATAACAGGAATATTTCAGCTCGGTCCCTAAAAAAGGGCTTCGACCAGGTTGAGACCCACAATGTTTTGCCATTTTTTTCATTTCCTCATGCTATTGTGGTATCAGTTTCGCAATTCCCGGCTGGAGCCCGACTGGGAACGAGTCTTCCGACGAAATTCACAAGGGCGTCCATTGCGTTCGTCGGCTTGCTAGTATACGACGAGGGGCCCGAACAGCGGAAATGCACCGGTCTGGTCGACTGGTCTCCTTTATACAGTACTTTAAAAGAAGGATGAACGAAGAATCTCTACTAAGTTGCACAACACTCCTGTTACTAGAAAAAGGGCCATACAGCCTGTTGTCTATTCTCTATCTTGAAAAGTAAAAGCGACACGCTGTCGCAGCACGAGACCCGGAATTTCACCGGTTAGCGGCTTCATGAAGTGACCCATCAACCCCCCGAGTGCTTTTCCTCTTGAGGGAAAAAGTGAGCCAGAGGGTGGGCCTGATGGAGAGCAGTTGGATGCTTCTTGTGCAGTCATCTCGACATGGATTTAAGGTCCAGTGAGATTCGAGAGAGGCAGTTGGATGCTCATCTCCCTGACTAGCGAAACGGAAAAAAGAACAGCAACCTTAACTTCCCCTGTGCGCCACGGCCTCCCACCAGGACGCGAATCCACACTGAACTCAGCTGGGTGGGATTCCATGTCTAGGACGGGGGACATGGGATGGCGGCAGAATGACCTGCGCCCGAATGCAGAATTCTGGGCGGGGATTTTACCATGCGGTAATATCCTCAACCTCGGCCTCACCAAAGGTACTGCTCTTGGTCAAGTTGCTGACACTGGCCAAAGCTGCGGCGCCCTCGGCACTAGTATGAGCCATGATGTCGGGCAGAACCTCGTGGAAAAACTCGACAATGTGGCGGTTGACCTGCTCAAACTGCAAGAGGAAAGCATCATGGCCCTCGGGGCTGTCAATGCGCTTGAGACATGAGTTGGGAATGCCGGCGGCGATTTCCTCCTGCTCGGCGAAGGTGAAAAGACCGTCGGACTCAATACCGAGTACCAGAGCGGGCTGCTCAATTCTGGAAAGGGCCTCGCGTACGGGATCCTCCGTATCCTGGCTGGTACGATTTCGAGACACGTCGTGAGTATCAAGCTTGCGGGTCATGGCAATGTAGCAATTGGCGTCAAATCGGTTGACAAACTTCTCTCCCTGGTATCGAAGATACGACTGAGCGGAGAAGTAGGTCGGGGGACGTGGGCGACCTGTCAGGTTGGTCGGGGCCGGGGACGGGGCCGACAAGATCTTGGTGCCAGAGAATTGCGGATCCATATACTGGACTTCCGTCTGCGGAGCAGGGGTGGGGGAGTTTTGTCTGCTCTCCGAGCGAGACGAGAGGTGACCATCGTTGTGGATGGCCCAGTGCTCATTGGGAGGGGTAGGTGCCTTCTCGGCGCCATTGATGCTTTGCCGCTTGCTAGGGTCTGGTACATTCCGGCCAAAGCGCGACTCGAAGGAGTTGCGGCTGCGATAGGTGAGCAACGCCGACATGCGCGCTGCTCCGAGACCAGTCGACGGCGGGTCATTGAAGGGATAGTACCCATCATCGTACTTGGGATCACTGTATATGCTCTGTCGCTGTGCCTCGCCCCAGCTAATGCACCAGGCAGAGTGGCGAGCAGAGGTTGCAATCGGTACAATAGCGCGCACGTAGTCTTTTCCAAAGAATGCATACTCGAGAGTGAGCATACCACCCATGGAGCCACCGACCACTGCGGCAATTTGTTTGACACCAAGGTCGTCCAGGACCATCTTGTGGATGTTCACGTCGTCACGAACAGTGGTGAGAGGGAACTCGGGTCCATAGTAACCATTTTCAGGTTTGTTATCCTTATAAGTGACCGCACTCGCACTGCCATACGGGCTTCCGAGACTGTTGAGGCAAACCACGAAGAATCGAGACACATCGAAGGCTTGACCGGGACCTCCAAGGAGGGGACCCCACCAATCTGCGACATCGGCGCTGCCACTGAGGGCGTGACAGATCACCAAGACATTATCGCCATTGGGTGCCAAAACACCACGGGTGGTGTAAGCCACGGGAACATTGTACAATGTGTCACCAGATTCCAGGGTGAAAGAAGGAATTATCGCAATCGATTGATCCTCAATCAGGCGGGCATATGGGTTCTCCGGCTGCGCTTCGACTCTCTCTACGGGATTTAGTAGCCGTCTTGGTCAATTGGGACAAGGGGATAGACTGACGGAGTCGTGCAGTAGAAGGACTGCTTTGGGAGGCCATTTTCAATTTGAATGAATATATGAAAAGGACAAGAACAGAGAAGAACGGCGAAGAATTAGTCTCCCACCAAATGAGTCAGGATCCCCGCGGTCCCGCAATTCGTCAAATGGTCCGGGCGGTGAATCCACATTCGGTGGCTGATTTTTCACGCCCCGAAAATTCCCTCTTTGATTCCCTTCAACTTTACCCAACTTCGTCTTCGATCCCTTTTCTTCACCATCTCCCTTCAATACCGTCACAATGGCCAAGACCAAGTCTTCTGACAACATTTCCTCCCGCCTTGCCCTCGTCATGAAGTCCGGCAAGGGTTCGTCTCGCCACGTTCCGCACATTCGATTATCGCTAATTCCCTGCAGTCACCATGGGTAACAAGTCCACCATGAAGACCCTCCGCTCCGGCAAGGCCAAACTCGTCCTCATCTCTGCCAACTGCCCTCCTCTGCGCAAGTCTGAGCTTGAGTACTACGCCATGCTTGCCAAGACCCCCGTCCATCACTTCAACGGCAACAACGTACGTTCACCCCGCCCAAGTCGACTCTCATCCGTGAGACGTTGCAGCTGCCTGTCAGCTTTGCTACTCAGAGAAGAAGCCGGGAAAGTCCACTTCGGAGAGTGAAGTTGCTCAGCGATGGGATCTCGTCAAGAGATCCCGGAGAGCGAATGAACTAATACTCTATAGATTGAACTTGGCACTGCCTGCGGTAAGCTCTTCCGCTGCTCCGTCATGGCCGTCTTGGACTCTGGAGACTCCGACATCTTGAGCCAGGAGTAAACGTATCATACCCACTTGTGGCATGAAAGATTGCCCACCGCTGTTCAGTCAATACTGCAACACATGGCATCTGATGAATTTATGACTTCGATCTTGCTGTTGCACGACTATACACAAAATCAGGAGCTGGGGCCATCTGGGCGAAAATCAAGAATAATCAAGAATGATAGCCCACCTTGGGAAAAGGTCTTTATAGAAATAGCCTAATAAATGATGCAACACTCTACGCGTTATCTTCTCGTCCCATTTCCTTACAGCATCACGCTATCACGCTATCCCTTGTTTGCCCTACTAAAGGATGCGCCGACCCCCACGCCAGTGTTTGCGGGGAAATCTGGGTATCCACCCAGTGCACTTTGCACCTCAGCGATTAGTCCCAGCAACTATAGCCTGAAAATGCCGGGCAATCCTCGGGTTAAAACTACCATTCGCAGCTTTAGCCTGAAGTCTCCGGGAATTACCTTGCATCATCCTAGCATATGCGATCGAGGGGGGGGCTCATTTGCGAGTTGGCATAAGAAGCTCCGGGGTACGCTTCCTTTCCCAAATGTCTGATGTTGAGGGGTTATGATCTGCAACATGCGCGTTCTTTTCTTGTTCGCGTCTCTAGGCGTCGTTGCCGCTGAGAATGGCTTGGACGGTTGGCTGCGATATGCACCACTATCGTGTACTGGTCAATGCCCATCGAAGGTCCCCGCCAACATTGTCGTCCTCAATGCGACTGAGACGAGCCCCATATACGTCGCAGGCTCAGAGCTGCAGACAGGTTTGAAGAGCATATATGATGTTCACGCTCAAATCACTCATGGCCCATGTAGGGCATCCTCATCCATTGTGATTGGTACCTTCGGGCAATATCGCGAAACCTGCGGAAGTTTGAGTGGAATCCCTGAATTGGAAGAGGATGGTTTTTGGCTTAGCACCTGGGGTGACAAAGTCCAAATTCTTGGCTCCAACGATAGAGGCGCCTTATACGGTGCTTTTGAGTATCTATCGATGCTGGCACAAGGGAATTTCTCCGAAGTCGCATACGCCTCTAACCCTTCTGCCCCGATTCGATGGGTCAATCAATGGGATAACATGGATGGACGTATCGAGCGAGGGTACGGTGGTCCGTCGATCTTCTTCAAAGACGGAGGTGTCGTCGAAGACCTCTCTCGTGTCAAGCAGTATGGGCGTCTCCTAGCTTCTGTTCGGATCAATGCCGTGGTCGTCAACAACGTCAATGCCAATGCTACTCTCCTGACGCCTGAGAACCTCAAAGGACTGGGTCGAATCGCTGACGCCTTCCGCCCATATGGAGTGAAGATCGGGATCTCACTCAACTTTGCGTCTCCTGAAACGCTTGGTGGACTCAACACCTACGATCCTCTTGATACGTCCGTTATCAACTGGTGGTCAACCATTACGGAACAACTCTACCAGAACGTGCCTGATATGGCTGGATACCTTGTCAAGGCAGATTCCGAAGGTGAACCAGGTCCTGCGGTGTACAATCGTACCTTGTCTCAAGGAGCGAATCTTTTTGCCAAGGCGTTGCAGCCGTATGGGGGCATAGTCATGTTCCGTGCATTTGTCTACAACCAGCTCAATGAGTCGAACTGGTACGCAGATCGCGCCAAGGCTGCAGTTGACATTTTCAAGCCTCTTGACGGGGGAGTTTGAAGAGAATGTGGTTGTCCAAATTAAATTCGGTCCAATCGACTTCCAGGTCCGCGAACCTACCTCGCCTCTATTCGCAAACTTGCTCAATACAAACACCGCTATTGAATTAGAGGTGACACAAGAGTACCTCGGGCAACAATCCCATCTTGTGTATCTTGCTCCTCTTTGGAAAACCGTTTTGGACTTTGACCTTCGTGTCGGCCACAAGGAATCATTGGTCCGTGATATCATCACAGGCAAGCGCTTCGACCGAAAGCTTGGAGGATCTGCAGCTGTCGTGAATGTCGGCACCAATACGACCTGGCTCGGTAGCCACTTGTCTATGTCTAACCTCTATGGATACGGCCGCTTAGCATGGAACGCAGCAGACGATCCCGAAGCCATCCTCCAAGACTGGATTCGTCTGACATTTGGCCTTGACCGCACCGTCCTCAACACTTTAACCCAAATTTCCATGGAATCCTGGCCCGCTTACGAGAACTACAGCGGTAATTTGGGCATCCAGACATTGACCGATATTTTGTACACTCATTACGGCCCCAACCCTCAATCACAGGACGGCAATGGCTGGGGCCAATGGACCCGTGCAGACTCCACGTCCATTGGAATGGACCGCACTGTCTCAAATGGAACTGGATTCTCAGGTCAATATCCAGACGAGATCGCAGCTATGTACGAAGACCTCAGCACCACTCCAGATGATCTGATTCTCTGGTTCCACCATGTCAACTACACACACCGTCTCCATTCTGGCAAGACCGTCATTCAGCATTTCTATGACGCGCACTACAGTGGTGCCGAATCAGCACAAGGCTTCCTTACACAATGGGAGTCGCTGAAAGGCAAAATTGATGAAGAGCGATACAACCATATCCGTCATCGTTTCGACTATCAAACAGGCCACTCAATCGTTTGGCGTGATGCAATCAATAACTACTACCATAATCTCTCAGGAATCTCAGATTCCTCCAAGCGCGTTGGTCATCATCCATGGCGCATTGAAGCTGAGAACATGAAGCTTGATGGCTATAAGGCCTACACTGTCAGCCCATTTGAGACAGCGTCCGGTTCCATCGCTATCGTCACCGCTTCCAATGATACCGTGGGTACAGCTACCACTAAGGTTGACTTCCCCTCCGGAACTTACGATCTTGCTTTGAATTATTATGATCTGTACGGAGGTAAATCTCACTGGAAAGTCCTCTTGAATGGTCATCCGATCGGTGAGTGGGATGGTAATAGTGAGGATACCCTCAGTCATACGCCTTCCATCTACTTGGATGGGCATTCTGCTATGCGTATCAAGTTCCGCGATGTGAGGGTCAAGAGGGGCGATGTGTTGAAGATCGTTGGAAAGCCTGATGGTGTTGAGCCTGCCCCGTTGGACTATGTTGCTTTCCTGCCGCAGGGAGTTGTGGACTAGTGTGGTTGCTGTGTATACCTGCCCTGTGAACTGTGGACGAACCCATCCATAGATTTTTCATAAAAAGCACTTCCCCCGCGGCTTCACTCTCAAAAAAATCGTCAATAGGTGTATACCTTTTTATTCAAAGTATATGAGATCTACTATTCGAGTGGAGCCAATTCACATGTATTGATACGGCCGATAGTTACAATGCCTCGGGAAAGCACTTGAAGTCGCGGCTAAGTGACCAATAATGTCCCAAGATCCTAGTCCCTCCTATGTATTCTGTCGACTATATTACAGAATGACTATACCAGCAGTGATTCAGTATGGCGCGAGTCATTGCGATACACGACCGCAGCGCTCCATGGTAAGAAGACAGAACATACAGTGAAATGAAAGAGACATCAATTTATAAGATTTCGCATGGTCGGGTGCCTCATTTAGGGCGTCAATACTTTAAGAAGCACAAGCTTAATTTATTTTGACTTTATCGTCGACAAGTGATGGGCAGTTCCAAAAGTATGCAACTCTTCTAGTTGCTTTTTACTGGATGTCAGAACTTAAAAAGTCCGATACTTACGCTAGCCTAATTTGGTGTAGCGCCTACATCATCGTCGCGCATTCCGGCGCGTCCCCGGATTCGATCCCTGCAATTGCAACCTTCCCGGGATTGCGCTTTGCTCAATCTATGTCTATGCACAATGGCTGATTACTCCTCTTTGAAGGTCGCCGACCTGAAAGTGGAGCTCAAGAAGCGCGGCATCCCCCAGACCGGGCTTCGCCTTAAACAGCACTTCATCGACAAGCTACTTGAAGAGGATGCCAAAGGCCAAACGAGCGAGGCTGCTCCCGAAGCTGAAGCCGCAGAGCCCGAAGTCGCAAAGCCAGAAGCCGCCGAGTCTTCAACTATCAAGCCCGAATCGCAGCTAGAATCCACAGAACCCGCTTCCCAGGCGCAAGAGCCGCCAATCGAAGAGCCAGACCTCGAAGAAACACAAACCGAAGAACCTAAGGGACCAGAAGGGCCGGTGACAGAAGAGACCAAGTTTTCACAAGCCACTCCTTTGATTGATACCACTCACGAAGAAACGAATGTACCTAGCCCACCCACGCCCAAGCAAGCAACGGAAAATGAAGAACCTGCAGAATCTGAGAACCAGACGCCAGCTGCTCCTACTGAGCCATCTGTTGAAGCGACCAAGGAGGCTGCCGAATCTGATCCAGTTGAGCAGGCACCTGGCATCGCCGATCAAATCGATCGGGCTGATTTCGCGATATCTGCTGAGAAAGCTAGACTCTCGGCGCCTCTGATCTCGGAGGCAAACACAGAACTTTCTACACCACTTCCAATCGAAGAGGCTCTGGAGGATAAAAGAAAGCGTAAGCGCCGCAGTCAGAGCCCCGTTCCAACACCAGGGGCAGTTGCGAACAAGAAGGCCCGGGCCAAAGATGACAGCTCCCAATCTGCCTCTTTAGACGACAAATTTTTTGTTCCCCGAGAGGAAAGCACAAGTGCGCAAGAGATGCCAGAGGTACAGATAAAAGAGGCTCCAGTGCCGGCGAAGGATGCCCGGTTTAAGGGTCTATTCGCTCCCACCGAGCCAGACCATGCTCCCTCCAAGGACGTTATTATGGAAGATGCCGACGTGGAGCCTGCACGGCATCCCGCAACCGCCTCTCTCTACATTGACGGGCTCATGCGTCCTCTCCAGCCTCTTGCATTGCGCAAGCACCTGATCAGCGTCGCGTCTCCTTCGGGCGCATCCCCAAACCCGGACGTCGTTCAACAATTTTTCCTCGACTCCATCAAAACGCACTGCTTCGTCCAGTTCAGTGACATTGCCGCAGCAACACGTGTGCGCTCCGCACTTCACGGAAGAGTGTGGCCTGATGAGCGGAATCGCAAGAACCTCTGGGTGGATTTTATCCCCGACCAAAAGGTTCAAGAATGGATTCGTACTGAAGAGGCTTCGCAGGACCGGGCCGGTCCCCCGGTGCGCTGGGAAGTCGCATACGAGACAACCGACGATGTGACAACGGCTAGCCTGACTGAAGCTGGAGCAAACCACCCGGCTCCATCGCGACCTCGCGAACCTGGCTTTACCCGTACACCGCCGCTAGGACCGCGCGGCAGTCACGGTCAGATTGAGCGCGCTTCCAACGCCCCGCCCCCAGCACGAGCCGGACAGGGCTTCAAACCCTTGGACGAACTTTTCAAATCCACTACAGCCAAACCCAAGCTCTACTATCTCCCCGTTCCACGGCCGATTGCTGACAAGCGTTTGGACCAATTTGACGAGTTGCTACGGAAAGGAGAATTCCCACGCCGCGGCGGAGACGAGATGCGCCGGATCACTTTTGAAGACAAGGACTATTTTGTCGATGTTGGCCCGGAATATGGAGCGGCGGCTCTGCAGCGACGTCAGGACCGTGGTGGACGAGGGCGTGGTCGTCGACCCTAACTTAGTGAATACTGCATACTGAAAATAAAAGAAATGCCAAGAGATGCGGCGTGCTGGACAGACACATATATCATAGCTGACACAGCCTCGAAATTACACGAGTTGATTTCCGTTCCTGGAACCAAACTTCCAGGCACCACAAAAAACTGGAGCCCGAAATAAAAATAGACAGTTCCAAGCCCCGACGATCACCCTCTTGGAAATTTGTTCAATCTGTTCCCATTGTCAATTTCTCACACAAGTGGCTTGGACATGACACGAGCCACATTGTTTCGCCCTTTTAATTTCCCACTACTTCATTGTTGATGGTGGCGGCGCCTCCCTGATCGCGGATAAGAGATAAACGGGAAAAAAGACCCTCCGCTTACTCCGTACCTTTTCTTCCCCTTTCAACACTCCCCGCAGACTACCACCTTTGATCCAGAATGGGCTGGACCGTGTGCAATGCCACCGCAGAGCATCAGACGAGTGCGCCTATGCTGAGAAACAACCCCCTCCCATGGGATCTTACTGACTTGCGACAGTCTCGGAAACGGATCTTTGGGATGGCGGCATTACCTTCCACTCCCTTAGCTTGATCGTCGGCGGCGTATGTGCCCTGCTGGCCTGCCTCGTCTCCATCTTCCTGATTATGGGTCATGCGACACATTATAGCAAGCCCATACACCAGCGCCAGTGAGTTCGGCTGAATGTTGTCATCGGACGCGGGAACATTGCTAACGGAAATAATTTCTTGCGCGCAGCATTATTCGCATTCTATTTATGGTACCCGTCTACTCCATCGTCGCCTGGCTCAGTATCCTCTTCTACAATGATTCCGTCTATTTCGAGGTCATCGGTGACTGCTACGAAGCCTTCTGTATCTCCGCCTTCTTCTCCCTAATGTGCCACTACATTGCCCCCGACCTACATAGTCAGAAGGACTATTTCCGTAGAATTCAGCCTAAGGCGTGGCTGTGGCCGTTGAGTTGGTTCCAGAGCTGGAAGTGTTGTTTCGGACACCGCGGGGCGTGGAGAAACCCGCGCAGTGGGTTGACGTGGTTTAACGTGAGAGAACGCGCGCTTTGGCTTGTCGAAATGGGGAGCTAATGGAGTGATTATGTAGATTATCTGGGCTGGTGTTTTCCAGTACTGCGTCATGCGGGTTTTGATGACCATCGTCTCGGTCATCACACAAGCCACAGGTACCTATTGTGAAGAGTCGCTAAGTCCGGCCTTTGCGCATATTTGGGTATGTGTTCTCTATCTTGCCTTGTTCAAAAGAGCCAGTCCGTTTACACTCTAAACTGCAGGTTCTCGTCATCGAGGCTGTCTGCGTCACCATCGCCATGTACTGCCTGATTCAGTTTTACCTCCAGATTAACAAGGACATCGCGGAGTACCATCCCTTCGCGAAGATTTTATCCATTAAGCTGGTGATCTTCTTGTCATTTTGGCAATCGGTATGTCTCACAATGTCGCCAGCTTTGGGTGCCTACTGAACACTTTTTTTCTTCAGACGTTCATCAGTCTACTCATCTCTAGCGGAGCAGTGAGCGCAACCAAAAAGGTTGCGATTCAGGATCTAAAGTATGCTTTGCCGGAGTTGATGATCAACATTGAAATGTTTCTCTTCTCTATCATGCACCTATGGGCCTTCTCCTGGAAGCCCTATGCCATTACCAACGCGAATCAAGGCGAAGTGAGCGACTTCTTCGGCAACGGCAAAGCAACCTATGAGGGTGGCCGCTACGGCATGAGAGCCCTGGTTGATGCAATGAATCCTCTTGATCTGTTCAAAGCAGTTGGTCGCAGTGTGCGTTGGCTCGCCGTTGGACGCAAGCACCGTATGGAGGATCCCAGCTATCAGGCACACCACGAGAGCATTGGCCTTGAGCCCCCGGACGCTGGAGTCGTAACCAATGCAACGGCATACACAGGTGCTGCCGTGGTGCCTGGTGGCCGAACAACTCGTTACGCCGCAGACGAGGAAGGCGAGATTCTCCTCGCTAATGCGCAGTCTAACCCCGAGGCTGCACACCTGGGCACTTCACCGTACGCATCCGATTCTGATAGTTACATGCATGAGCATGAGAATCCGGGCCGCTTCTACAATAATGACACCGCCTCTTCCTACGACGATCTCGACCACCGCAACCCGTACCTTGCACAACATGACGCACAACACCTCTACCCAGCCGATGGTCCCCTCCGCGAAGCAGTCCCCATGCCAATGCCAGATCCATATCGGCCACCACCACCCTATCCCGATGATCATCACTCATGATGACGCATGAACTCGTTACGACAGTCTTTCGATCACATCGGACTGATTTCCATTCCATATTCATGATAGCCCTGATGACGCGGGATTCGAAGTTACAGACGGTATCCTCGTTTCTGTTGTATGGTACCCACGAGCAGTTGAATTTTCTCGCTTTATAAATTGTTTTTCTTTCGTTTGTTTGGACACGAATACCCATTGTTTTCGTCGTTGGCACATGACGCACTGATGCCACCTCCACTTCAATGCGCTGCACTTTACTACTTCGCACAGCGGACCATTTCTTGTACGAATTACCTTACGAATGAACTTTGATCAAGATGTCAAGCGATAATCCCAAACCAGATACCCTGTTCGGTCATCGAGAGTAGTCATATAAGAGTAAAGTGAAAATGCAAAGATAGATTCGTCATCTCGTCTAAGATCCTATAATCTCATAGAAGAAAAAGTAAGGCTCATAACGCCGATAAAGATAAAGCAACACGAGCCTTCCGAGGCTTGTTTTCGTAAAGAGGATGTGTATCCTGCTGCAGAAATTGGAGCCACCCCCACTAAGAATATGTGCTCTCCCCGGTAGGTGGCATTGCGTGGGCATACAACTCGTCATCCATCCTCCGCTCCGCAACAGCGGGGCCTCGGCGTGTGTTATTAGCGTGGCGTGCGCTCTGGATGATATGCGACTTGCGGCCTAGTTCGCGCATGGACTTGACGTTCTGACCAATCTGACCGAGCAGGGATACTAGGAGAACGTCGTTGCTTTGGGAGAGGACTTCTGAGGTGAAGGCACTTTGTTCATGGGGTGAAAGGATTGAAAGATGGGAAATGAGAGAGTTGATGTTGCGAAGGATGGTGTGCGATAGCTGTGGCGAGAATGCATCTTTTGAGTCACTTGATTCAGTGGCTGAGATGCTAGAGACATAGGATTTGATAAGCGAGATGCGGGACTCAAGAGTGCGGATGGCGTTCAGGCGGGTGTTGAGGTTCGCAATCAGCTCTTCCTCCTCCTGTGAAAGCACGACTTGCGAGCTCTGTTCCCCGTCCGTGTTATCCTTATCGCCACTCTGCTTCGAACCACTCGCGACAGTTCCAGGAACGATGGTCTCAGTCCGAGTAGCAGTGCCAGATCCCTTGGCGATGGTGTCGACACCGATCATCTCCGCCTCGCCGGTCTCCACAGAATATGGCAGCTCACGGAACCTTATGTTCATCTTCTTTTCCTCGCCATCTATTTGCATGTCTTTGCCTTCATCTGCGGCATTTTCGCCTTCCAGGACGCTTTCGTAGACAGTCAACGGAAGCTTGGCGCCTTGTCTATTTTGGAGCTTTGAGGGATGGAAGGCCAGGAAAACTGCTGACTCGTTATAGTCCTGGAGAAGCTGCTGGTGAACAGGAAGGTGCGCGGCATCTGGTCCAGATGGAGGTGCGGTTGACCACCATCCGACGATATCGAGGGGAGGATCTTTATGTACATCCTTGACTGTGTTTCAGTCAGCTGGAGATAGCTTTCTGCAGGGAGGGATCTACCGACACTGCTTCACACGCTCTTCGAACCAAGATGCGGGCAGTAAGACCTTTCCATCGGCTTCAATCGAAACAGGGCACTCAAATGCATGTTCTAGAGTAATCTCGCGCCCATTCTGTTGACCTAGCAGAGCCCCAATGATCGGGTCTCGCTGCTGCCGTGCGGCATGACGAGTGATGTGGTCGGAGATGTTGAGAAGTACAAGTGGATGCAACTGAATGTGCAGGCCCGAGTCCGAAGACTTCTGTGAAACCAGAGACTGCGCCGGATCCATCGTTGTAGCTGTTCACTACAAGTGAAGATTGAAGTGCGGAGCGGAGGCGGTGATGATGCGGTAATCCGTTTGTCGTGTTTGGCGTGTTTGGGTCTTGGAGAGCTTTCCCCGCCGCATCTCACTTTCTCCAACTATCGTGTGTCAGTACGCGATGGCTATCCCGTCCGCTTTCGATGCGCTGAAATCGCATCTGACCAAGGTCCAGGAGGATCCGTCAACATTCTTGGACGTCACCCTCATCGATCGGTTGAAAGTACAGCTCCTTGAATCTACCGACCCTGTTGTCCCCGCCACTCTCTTATCGCAGATATCAGCACTTTTACCCGTGCTACAAGAGGACCCTGAGCCACTCACTACCCTCGCCATTAAAGCTACAAATTACTTCAGCTTCACAGACCTTCGCGCCGTCGATCCTCCGATCAACCTAGTCGCTGGCTTCAAAGCTCCATCCCCGCCTATCAACCTTCTTGCTCTGTCGTTGCTGGCCAAAGCAGGCCAGGCTTCTAGTGACGCAGCCATTGTCGCGGGGGATTCGGAACTGGTCGCTGCCCTCGTGGAGCTATGGCTGTCTACCTCCTCGACAGCAGTTGCACAGGCGGCTCTCGATGCACTGTGGGCCTTGCTAGAAGTTGACCTGGCTAGTCCCCTCGAAAAAGGCGAATATGAACAAACAAGCGAAGATGGACACGCTGGGCAGGGACTCATGTGGAGGAGGCTGTTCACGGATAAGGATGTTTATGGAATTCTATTTGGTCTTTGCAGTCTCCAGAATGGTGCGCCAGGCGAATTGTCCAAGCGCGAACGGACGGTGGCCCAAGGAAGGCTGATGGTATTTCTGGTGAAGGCAGGCCGCTTACGCTGGGATATTATCTCTAAATCTCACGTTTCTGAGATTGAGACGGAGTATCAAAGCAAGAGTCTGCTGCATTTCGCCGCCTGCCGGATGGTCGATCAAAGCGATGTATTGATGCACATGACGCTTCTAGGTTTCTTCCGAGATGTGTTGGAAATCGACGCGCCCGGCCTTGCTGCTCGAAGCTCCGTGCAGTCTACATCGACCTTCTCATCTCCTGCTCTCGACTTCCTCATTTCGGAAAATCTGCACTCGAACGTTCTTGAATATTATCTCAATGAGTCCAAACTCGACTCTGTGGACCTCGTCTATCTTTCAGGTCCAATTATGGCTTATATGGCAAAATATGCCGAGGCATACCCCAACCACTTCCTCCAGAGCTCTCCCACGGTGCTTGAGGGAGTTATCTCGCGCATCTCGCGTGCACTTGCTATCCCCTCGATCCAATGGGCACATGGAGAGGTCCCCACTGGACATCTGACAATTTTGGCCTCCCTACCACGCGTCCTCCTCATTGAAGCTGGTAAGAATGGGTCTAATCCCCTTCTGAGCATCCCCACAAATCCCCCGAATGAAGACGCCCTGAATACCCTGGGCAGGGTTTTCCATGGACCAGCTCGGACACATGTCTCCGATTCAATGGACCTGGACAGCTCCGGCCAAACTCCAACAGACTGGCACCACGAAGCGGCAGCGGCACGCATGCTCTATTTCCAATATCTTAATAGCCACTCTACTTTCTGGACCGATGTCGTTGCTGCCGCAGACCTTCTAGCAATGAAGGAGGTCGCCTTGGCAGCGCTGAACTTCATTAGAGCCATCGTTATGGCAAAGTGGCAGCCGTTACCGCCAGCTTCGCATGTTTCTCACACGTCATCTCGATTTCAGCTGCCATCTGAAGAGAGTTTAGGTCAACTTTCCCCAGCTATGAATGGCCTACTCCCTCTCTCTGGTCCATGGGCTGTCCTCACTCCGCCGGCTCTCACGACCCTTCTGCCTTATCTGTTCAAGCCGCCACGGTCATACTCGGAGTTTGTGAGTGGTGGTGCAGGAGATACCCAGAGCATTGTCTGGAAGGTAGCCACTGCGAAATATGATGTTCTTGAGCTTCTCAGTCATCGACTTCAACAAATTGGGGGCCAAATGGAAGGACTCGAGGACATTTTACGAACTCTGCAACAACGGGTCGATGATGGCCCTTGGGGGCCTGTACAACCAAGGAATGCTGAGATCGAGGCGGTTGGGTTTTAATAAGAAGGGAAGTATTTGTCTCCTAGCTTCTTCGAGGATGCTTCCTTCCTTTCATGTCTTTCTGAGGTTAGCTTTTTAGGAGCCTTTTTGGCTTTTATGGAATGCCTTATACATTAAGAAATTGAATGTTTCTCAGAGGCGCGCATGGAGCTGACTTTGTCACAACAGTGATAGACCTTCTTTATACCGTAATCTCATCAATTCCTGGCGCTAGTCTGAGCACCTGCGTACCCGATTTCCTCTGCCACTTCTTGGCGTGCCCTTTCCGTATTAGTGCTCAGACCTTGCCGCTTTGCTCACTGAGCAGATCTGAAGCACGCCTCTGGCACCTAGCTGACTGGGACCCAGAAATGATAGACTGGGACCTAGGATTTTATGACTAATCCTAGGTCCCCGTCAGCTCCCGCACCTGAAAGGGACCCAGGCTTTCCCTGAGTCCCAGTCAGCGCTAACATACGATTTTATTAAGGCTTTATGTAGACTGAAACTAAAACTAAACATTATCTAGTTACCTCACTTAAGTATAGACTAAGTTTTCTGCCGGCAGATAGGCCAAACCGTGGGGCCCCGTGCCACCGCTTCAAAGGTCCGGCATATTTGTAAGATATTAGGGACCTTACTATCTCCATTGCCTACGCTCCCTTAACTCTGATAAAAAGATTTCTTTAGTATCACGAAATTTTAGTCTTCCCAAGTCAGCACTAATCTTCCTCTGGTAAGTCAAAAGGCCAGATATCTCTTAGGTCTCCTTCATTTCTAATAGGTTCGTTATCGTCTGTACCTTTGTTCTCCTGTACGGCTTTCAACATCCCCTTAAATATTGCCCTATTTTCTGCTTTCGCCGCTTCCCAGGCCTCTGGAGGAACCTAACCATCAGATACACTGTTAAGTAAGTTTGACAAATCATACTTTAGGTTCTGGGCCGCTTTAAGCCGCCTGTATTCCTTCTGATATAAATCTGTATCTTCTGGGTCTGACAATAGAAATAGATAGGAGTCAGAAAGTCCGAGGTCCTCCTAGTCTTTTAAGGTCTTAATAAGCCTATACCAAAAAGCAACTGCGCTATCTTTCTAAGTTCTGTGGCAGTGGGTCGAAATAGGCCCTCGTTTGTTAAACGGAGGGCGAGCAAGCCTCGGGGTGAGAAACTAAGTACAAATTTCGTAAGCTTTTGTGTAAATATTATTATCATTAACACTTAGAGCAGATAATGCCGACAAAAATACATAAGTCGCGAAGGCTGGAACCTTATCTGCATACCAGAAAGCTAGTTCTATACTTAATGACTGCCAATCAACAATGCCCGTTATTATCGTCGGATCATTATCTAACACTAATATGTTTCTTTTAAATAGATCGGGATGGAACAAGCTCGGCACAGCTGCATTATGTATCCGACTATCTGCAGAAATTGCAGATAAAACCGTTCTACTATGTTCGAGAAGCTCCAAATATATTTGAACCGAGCCATAATTAGATAGCCTATATAAGACCTTAGAGTCTCTTAGTAGGATTCTTGACAGGCCTGTATCGACAAGGCTATCAGCAAATGCGCTTACCGTCAACCCTATATCTAAAGTCTTAGCCCTCATCTTCTCGATTAAGGGCGTTAGAACGTGCTCACACGGGCCATGGTTGGGAATCCCATGCTTGTAATACCTGCCGTCTCCGCAGTTCCAGTACCTTGTTTGGAGAAGGGAGGTTTGGACGTGATGTTGCAAATGACGGAAGGTCGGATGTATTGATGCTGCTTAGGATGACAAATCAATGGCAAAGTCACTTGTGATACCTGGGATGCCTTTGTGTTATGCCTCATCATGCGCGAGGGTTGGAGTGCAGAAATGCTTGTTAAATCTTTTGTTACTGAGGCCAGGGGTTTGCGAAGACCGGACCGAAGACTATGTCATCACAAGGCGTTCAACTAAGAAGTAGTTCAACCTTTCTGTAGCGAGCATGGTATTCCGGAATTTCAGGTAGAACCCGCAGGAGCCTGGGAAAGCATCTCATGGGGTCCGCAGTAACGGCCACTAATGGGGATATCCATCAATCAGCGCACTTTTGTGGGCCGAGCGCTAACACAGCTAAGCGCCGCTCCTAGTTTGCAAGACCAATGTGACACTCTGTGCATTAGCGAGAGGCTGTATCTGCACCATATCTGAAGCACGGTGGATTCATTCATTTTACCTTCTCCTTACTGTATATATCATACCCAGAAAGTGGACTGAGTGACTCGAGCGAACCCACTACATTCCAATGAATAATTGATCAAAGGAGCAGAGCTCATGAAGCTAACATGCTGATCAAATGAGGCGATAGATGTTACTTGTTTGTTGGGAGCCCCAACATTACACTTTTACAGAAGACAAGGAGTATTTTACTTCGGAGACCCATTGGACCATTCGTCCGAGAGCTCCCCTCGTCGAAGCAAAGATAATTTCATACATTTCATCACCTCAAGGTTTGGTGCGTTATCTAAAAATACAACTGGACGAAAGGATCGACCAATGCGCGCTCCTTGGAAGACGATAGGCTCACTGCTTGAAATCACGCTGACCGTGACCAAGACCATTGCGGATACTCTCCCGCTCCCTCTCAACGCAGCCATCAATAAATTTCAAAGGTAGGGCTACCAGCCTCGGATCCTTTCCATTCAAGACCTTGGTTGCCATCTGGAGATATTGGACAGTGAACACTGTCCAAAGCTCTTTATCCACGTCACTTTCCATCAACGGAAGTGGGTAGTAAGGGTCATTTTCGAAAAAGGCCATCACTAGATGCGATACTAGGGCCTCAGGGTTCGCCAGGACGGCGGATTCATTCCATATATTGCACAAATTGAAGTCAAGCATCCACAAACGGGTCGTACGCTGCTTAAAATTGACCGACATCCTAGACTCGATATCTGTGTTGGGAGGTAGTGCTGCTACCTGCTCCGCGGACATATTCAAAGTGAAGGAAACCTCCCGTGTATAGGTTTTATACCCTTCACTTCCTAGCACAAATTCAATATCATACCCATCAACATGGGCAGCCCAGTGAACAAGCGCCAACGCTTCACCTATAGCACCAGCTATCTTGTTAATAGGAAGGTCAAGCTCGATCATCTGGTCAAGATGCAAATTGAAGTTGCGCAAAGTGAAATTTGCAGATGGAGCAGTCGTAGCACGACGCCGACCAAGGTAAACTCGAGCAAGACAGTCTTGATTTGTTGGATTGGCGGCCACAAGGGTTCGAGATGGCTCTGGGCAGTACTTGTTAATGAGGGCTTCGCGAGCGATTTTCGGCAATGGGAGGATCCGCTGTGAAATCAAAGTCATCGCTGGCAACGAGACTGATTCTTGCATTGTTGCTGTGAAAAACGGTTTGTTTTCGTTCCACCAGATCTCATTGCCCTTTGTGACATAAGAGAAGAGTTGTGGTACGCGGCATTCCATTGGTTGATCAGGGCTCTGATGCTTTTGGACAGCCTCGCTGATGCTGTAATGGGCCTTGAAATCGGCCCAAAGACTTTCTTCGTATGACGGCTTGGCAACTTTCAAAACGTACCCTCGACCAGGCCTTTCAAAGACAAGGCCGCACTGGCCAAATCCGATAGCGCGGTATCTGACGGAGGTCAGAAGCTGCTGACTCTGCTGGACACGAGCAAAAGAAGAGGTGGTAGTGGTGAATGACTCCGGGGTGAGCACTTTCAGAAGAACTTTCTCGGGGGGAATGGTGGCATCCAGAAGATTCAGCTCCCGAACAACCATGTCATTGTGCTCTTGGTCTAACAGGGCGGAGAGGTGATTTGTCAAGTTCATGTCGGCAACGAAAGAGGAACTCGCAGAGATAGGGGATTCCTCGCTAGAAGACTGCTTAGAACGACGAAGATGATCCATCACGGGTGCTTTGAGAAGAGACAATGATACTGGAAAATGGTGTGAGAGGGTGGCAGGATGAAAATCAGAGAAGGGGGGGTTCAGGTTGGCAGTTGCCTTGATCAGTTCCGATGCTGTATTTGGCAGCGGCGCACGACATAGTGGCATGGTCATATCCACTGAGTCCGAATCAGATTTACACCGTCAAGATTAATGCTGTCTAGGAGATGGAATTTATCAAGGCTCAGTGTTGAGATGCATATGTTTTTATATAAACCCAATTGAGGTCAAAAATCCAAGCCCGGCCCCAAGATGAGCTTGGGTTTAGTCAGGGTTGGGTTAAAGTTGGGTCAAGGATTAGTCTAGAGCCGCATCTCCACTGTGCACCTGCCATGGTTTGGCTCCTTCTACTAACCCTGTGTCAGCCGGGGCCCCTTTTTCAATTCTCGGTGGGTGTGAACGGATTGAATCTTAAGGGAGCACTTCTGGGACGGCTCTTGACGATGTCCGCCAATAATGAATCAGTTTTCTGACCTGGGGCTCGAGCCGGATGGACGACGACTAAATTCTTCATCAAAATCAACTCGCAACTAGCCAATGTCGAGGCTTGGCTATTGTCACGCAATGCGTGAGGGTTGCCGTCACATACCCTGAGAAGATGTGTGAGCATTGCCGAAACTTAGCGGGTCCTTTCTCCGTCTGCTTGAAGGTCGACGGAATTGACGAGTGTGCTAATTGCTACTAGGAGAGGGAAGGGTACCGGTGTTCGTTCAACACCAACCCCTCAACCCCAAAGTCTCGACGCAGCTCGAAGCTGTATACGCGGAGGAAATCGAGGCCATGGATAAGGAAGCTGCAGGTCTGCGAATTCATTTAAAGCGCATGATATTTTCTTCGGCTATGTCTCTAATTAGTCTACATGAGTGGGTATTGCTGCTAAATTTTATTTTTGGTAAATGGCATGGCTGGATTCTCAGGCCCGGTGTGATTTATGGCATACCATCAGTGACTCAACCGGGCCAGTACGTACAGCTCTGAATGTCATACTTGGGCGTGAGGTCCTGTTTGCAGCTTCCCGCATTCTACGTGGCTTCGGTGGATCTAGTGCCGAACGCGCCAGGAGCACCGATCACTCGGAAAAATGGATGCCCGCTAATCCGTGGTAGAAGTATTACCAGGACCCGTGATCCCAAAGTACCAAGCCTTTTTGTGTAGTTAAATTCCCATGGGGAAGTCATATCAGGTTGCGAGGGGAAAATATTCTGGAACATCAAAACAAATACTTGGTGTTTGTTTCATACAAATTGTATGTACGGAGTATTCCAAGGCTGATTTTGTACGCATAAACAGAGTTATATTGGCTAACCGTGTATTGATCCACTCCACCAAAAATTAGAAGTTCTATCATTAACGTTCCAAACAGCACATGCTTGTTTCATCACTTCCCAAAAGTGTCCTATGGCAGTGTATTGCTTGTGTTGCCTGGGGTTGATATAAGAGCACAAAGGCGCTCCAACCATTTCACGTCCTCCAAGCCAATAATAGTCGAACGGCCACCCAGGTCACCCCATAACATAGTGCGCCACTTACTATCGCCGGGAATAAATCCTTGCGGCTTAAGCTCAGGACTTGCATCGCAGCACGTCTATCTCTCCAACCCAGTCCAGGAAATTACTTAGCTTTGACTCGAATATTGTGGAAATTCAAGGTCCATTTGCGACGTAATCTTTGGAATTTTTTATGAAAGTAACACATAGATGATACCTCCTATTCATACCTCAATTGGCAATTGGTAGGTCACAAATTGAGCCATTCATGCTGCAGCAGTTCTGCTGCTGACTTTCTACGTGTCGGGTCAATTGTAAGCATTCCCCGAATGAATTCGATGAAGATGGGAGTTTCAGCGTTAGACATGTTATTAGGTTTGAGGAAAGGCCGCTCAGTGCCATCTATAAGCCTCTCAAGACTCGTAGGTGTCAGATCTGAAATTTGAAAAAGGCCGCCTTGAGCAGAATTACCTAATCGGAAAAACAAGAAATTGGAACTTCTTTTGTTAAAGACATACCATTTTTGTTGAAAAACTCTGCCGTCCTGCTTCCTTTCTGGAGAAGCTCAGGCGGAAAATTACCAAGTATTTCAATTGTCCTTGCAAGTCGATCATCATAAACCGTCCACGAACCGTTTTTTGATGCCACTCCAGAAAAAGGCACGGTAATTTTGGCATACACCTCTCATACCGCTCTTCTGGAAAGATAGGTTCAAATGATCCAAACGGGGGTGGCGGGATCGCGAGCCCATACATGTTTCCCAGACGCGACAGTCACGTGCAACATACTAAGACTGAACCCAGGATATTATTGAGGGAGTTTGAGAAAGCCAGATAGTAATAGCTGAGGGTTTGTAGATTGCTAGTAAGGTTAGGGCGGATGGGGTAGTTGTGACGCAACGTAATTGGCTACTTGAGTACTTGTGATCGCGAAGGCCCCGCCCCGCCCTTTGTACAGCGATGGAACATGTCTCCTTTAATTCATTTCTCTCCCACAACAGCATCAAGAAAGAAGCCTCGGCAACAGACTTTCTCAATGGCGGACCCTTTAGCTATTATTGCCTCAGTACTGGCTATCATTAGCACCGTAATTAAATCAACAAAATCACTATGCGATGCTGCTTCAAGCTATGGAAGTCGTGACAGACCCCTTGGAAGGCTTCAAGACAACCTCCATGACCTTGCGCAAACTTCGGACGCTTTGAAGCAGGTCATTGATGCAGAGCCATCGATTTTGGAGCTCCTGCGTGAACCAACCGACCAATGCAGCAAAGTATGTCATGATTTCGAACAGTCGATGGAAACCCTCAATCCTAGCGCACCGAGGAACATCGAGGATTATTCAGGGGCTGATTCGCTTGCTACGTCTACTGCTATGACTGCCGAAAGAGCTTACTACCATTGCGGTAGTTTTTTCATCAAACGAGGCCTTCAGCCGAGTGAATACAAGACCACCATTCGAGGCACCAAGCATATCCCCCGACTAGGGAAAGAACGACTTCAAAATGAGGCCGCAGCGTTGCATTTCATTCGACGCATGAGTAACATCCCTGTTCCAACTTTGTACGGTGCTTTCGAGGTCGACGACTCGTTCATATTAATCACAGAGCACGTCGATGGCGTGTCTATGTCAGCTTTATCGGAAGATCAAAAAAGCGTCGTCCGTACTGAAGTTGAGCAACACCTAGCCACCCTCAGTGGGATCAAATAGAACACTATTGGTGGCCCTTCGGGGATAGTGCTCCCACCATATCGAGCAATGCGGCTTTCGGACAAAAATGAATGGCCAACTAAAGTGTCCAAGGATAACGAATTTGTCTTTTGCCACAATGATCTTTCCCAGCATAATATCATTGTCGATCCCCGAACATTAAGAATACAGGCTATTATCGACTGGGAATACGCTGGATACTTTCCTGAACACTTTGAGTGGCCTTTCTACGAAAGACGAGGCCCGTCAATAGCGCTGGATGGTGAACATGATGATTCAGCAGATTTGCTGCAATTTATGGAGGCTTCCTGAGTAGCTATCTGAAGAAAATTATACTAGGTGTGATTCAGAAATTGATTTTGGATTGGTTTCTGTCAATATGAGTTAAGCGCATGTGGAGGCAGTAACAGAGACTTCCCCTCAATTCAACTCAGAAACGGAGCGCTTAGTCCCATATCGTCACACATGACCGCATCATCCCTCCACCTTGCATCGGATATTGAGCCTTACAGCGTCGGTGAGGGTCGCCTGGATGGGCTGTTAGTTGGGATTCCTTTTGGGTGAATGATTGAGACATACTTAGCCTAGTGAGGGGGTTTGAAGCATATGAGGCATTAGCTTTGGGTTTCCGAGACATCGAGACTGCAGTTCTTACACTTCACAATAATGGTAGGCATCTCGCAGTAGAATTTCAGGCTGAACGTTGAATCACTTGTTCTTTGAAGGTGATGCTTAATCGGGATGAGAATTATAGGCAGAAGTATAGAGTATTCGAGCAAGTCACGAGCTTCAATAATTCCAGACTTGGTAGGCAAAAGTCTGACGAACGTTCGATGCCTCCTTATCGCCAGGACCTTGAGCCCTTGAGCCTCTTCAATTTCCGTCGCAGATATGCCACCTTCTAATCTTAGTGTATAGAGTTTCGATCCCTCTCCTTCAGCCTTATAGCCTTAATTAAGCGAAATTGGGCGCTTTAAGACCTCGTAGCTTCTTATTTGACTGTAAGAGGCTTATATCAGAGTACATATGGTTACTCTTACGTGAGTAAGGAGCCTTCATATCGTGCTCCCTGTCCTCTTAGCCTTCTATGAGAGGCAAGATCTCTTTAAATATATTGTCATACATCAGAATAGAACGGAGTAATGAATTATCCTTCTCATAAATGGGAAGGCTTAGTCTCAATGCTATCTATTCTAGTGCTTGTATAATATAGTGCCCGTATAGCCGGTATAGTCCCCGACTGAGGCCGTACGTGCAGAGGACGGACTATAATATTGCCGTAGGCCGTAGGCCTGAGGCATCCAAAGTCTCCACAGCGCGGGGAGACTACGGTCATGTGATACACAAAGGCGGTGAACAACGGTATTTTCTCGAAATAGTGCATTTTGCTCCGCAGACTATTGACCATGGCGCCGTGCACCGTTCCGACGTGAAGATTGGATTTCTTGTCATTCCAGAATGTCCCGCTTCGGAAAGGGAAAGCGCGGACCCGGTGCCGAGTTCACCTGGGATGCTGACCCTGGCGGCGAGCCCGACACTGCGCCCACTCCCCTCTACCCTGTACGTTGCTTCGTCTTCAGCTCCCTCAGTCCCCGCACACGATGCTTGCAATGAACATGAAGTTTTGAGTGCTCACACGCGTTCAAATGCGCATCAATAGGCATATGTCGTTCCCTACGCACGAAAAATCACCAGCAAAGAGCAGGCCGAAGTAGACAAGAGCCGGCGGCTACGTGAACGCTTCCACGAGGGACCTTACTACTCTGTCGTGGATGCTTCGGCCTCGAGCGCCAAGAAGGGCAGTGCTGCTCGCGCCAACTTTGACCCGTTCACCGGCATGCCTTCTTATTCCGGACGGTACCAGAAGAAACACCGAACTATTCCCAAGATCTCCGGCATTGGTCGCGACTATGGTGAGTTTCTTCGATCATCCGCGCCTGAGATACTTCCGGCTTTCTTGTTTTCATAGCTCCCATTACTAATTACGTATCTAATATGAGCAGAAACTCGATTCTTCCCTCGAGAGCTTTGGCAGATCATCCAGCCGAACTTCCGCCCCGATGCCTCATTAGACGGCTACCAGGCCCAGAGCAACGCCGTCAGCAACAAACGTGGATTCGAAGATGAGGACGACGAGGAGGAAGCCGCGGCCAAACGACGAGCCACTGGCGGCAATGAGGACGATGGTGACGAGGACCAGAACGAGGGAGAATTGCTCGATGGCGACGAAGATGCGATGGAATCCATTGCAGATGATGATTTCCAGGATGATGAAGACGACATGGGCGGTGACTACGATGCCGAAAAGTACTTCGATGATGGCGGTGATGACTACGGAGACGACGATGGTGGTGGCGGTGATGAGGAAGCTTATTGAGGCGCTGATCCAAGATACCCATTTTATTTTTATGCTACTTGCGCTTTTATGCGCGTCCACATCCGTTATAGCCTCATGGATAACTTCAATATGCAATGCATGGGAAAACCCCCCAGCGTTTGTCTTGTGCCTCGAAAGCTTGACATCCCCCACGTGACATGGCTTGAACACGGGTAGACGCAGTGATTTAAATAGAGATACAATCTGATCCATGATTTAAAGCTAGTCGTATCAATTCATATTGATCAAATCGTTCATACACGAAGGCGAGACCAGACTGGATGACGTCAGCCAGCGAGATCGGCCCCGCTGGAAACGGCATTTTTAGATGTGGAGGGGCATCGAGCACTCGCGACTCACCACTTTCTCGACATGGACACGCAAAGTCCCGGCCGAACGAGGTCGGCTCTCATCCTGTATGGATCCGAGACCGGCAATGCACAGGAAGTGGCCGAGGAATTGGGCGCCCTAGCTGAGCGTCTACGGTTCGCGACACATGTTTCCGAGTTGAATCAGTCGAGGCCGGTTAGTTGTAATTGACCGGCGAGTGTAGTCTCCACGGGCTCTCGGCTGACATTCTTTGACTCCTAGGAAGACCTCTCTTCGTACACAATAACCATATTTGTTGTATCGACCACCGGGCAAGGTGATTTACCTGCGAATGCGCGGGCGTTTTGGAAATCCCTTCTGCTTAAGAAGCTGCCAGCAACATATTTGGATGGAGTCCACTTTGCGACTTTTGGACTAGGAGATAGCTCGTATCCCAAGTACGTTTTTGAAGTGTTCTCTTCTTGATCTATGCTTATCGGGAACAGGTTTAACTGGGCAGCGCGCAAGCTTTACAAGCGGTTGCTGCAACTCGGCGCAAAAGATATTTACCCGATCGGAGAGTCGGATCAGCAGCACCCTGAGGGGTAAGTCTTCTTATATCCCATGACTGTGAACTATTCTAACAATACTGTATGTGATAGACTTGAAGGCACTTTTATACCCTGGATGACCGAGTTCCGAAAGCATTTGCTGGATATACACCCTCTGCCACCTGGTCAGCATCCAATTTCAGACGATGTACAGCTGCCACCAAAATGGATTCTGCAATTGAGAGATGGCGAAAAACCAGTCCAAACCCCAGAGCCCAAGAAATCAACGGCAAGCATAGCTGAACCGGATGAAAACCCTGGCTTGAACAATTTGGACTGCGATCTCAGGCCACTGCCTGATACTATGAATGCGACTCTCGTGCAAAATCAACGTATCACACCACAATCTCATTGGCAGGACGTTCGACGGATTACTTTGACAGTTTCAGAATCTGTGTCGTACAATCCCGGAGACATGATCGCCATCATGCCCAAAACCTCGCCAAGTGATGTGCAGATACTCCTTGATTTGATGGGTTGGAACGAGCAAGCAGATGCTCCCATTGCCCTTGTTCCAACAGGCAACACACTCGCGCCCCCTCCCGTACCTGGCCTCAGTGCATATTCAAACCTGACCCTACGCTCTCTTTTCACAGACTATCTCGACATCAAAGCTATTCCGCGCAGATCATTCTTTTCAACGATAGCACACTATACAAGCGATGAGATGCATAAAGAGCGACTTCTCGAGTTCACAAACCCTGAATATCTTGATGAATTGTGGGATTACACGTCGCGCCCTCGACGAAGTATTCTGGAAGTGCTGCATGAGTTTGACTCTGTCAAAATCCCCTGGCAACACGCAGTCTCCGTGTTCCCCATCACCCGAACACGGCAATTCAGCATAGCTAGTGGTGGAGAGCGAAAGCGGACTTCCGATGGTCACACCCAATTCGAGTTACTCATTGCCATCGTCAAGTACCAAACAGTCATCAAAAGGATTCGCGAGGGCGTCTGTACCAAGTATCTATCGAACCTTCGCCCAGGCAGTACGCTCCGGGTCCAAGTTCAGCGGGGCGGACTCAATTCTTCAGTGCAACAACTCACTGGACCCACTGTTCTAATCGGACCCGGCACAGGCATTGCGCCTCTGCGGTCCATGCTTTGGAAAAGGCAGCCTTGGTCCAAGCCTTCCGCGAGCAGAACCCTGACATCGAGCCCCCCGTCGGGCCAACCGTATCACTCTACGGTGGTCGCAACCGCACCGCAGATTTCTTTTTCGAAGAAGATTGGGACTATCTCAGTAAATTGATCCCGCTGCAGGTGCTTACGGCGTTCTCGCGTGACCAGCATCAGAAGATCTACGTGCAAGATACCATTCGCCAGGACTTCGAATTGTTCTTCCGTCTTCTTCATGACATGCGTGGGTCTGTCTTTATTTGCGGGTCTTCAGGACGTATGCCTCAAGCTGTGCGAGAAGCTCTTATTGAGGCTTTCGCAAATGGTGGGACGTCGGAGACGGGTCAGTCATATAATCGCTTGCAGGCGGAGGAGTACTTGATTAGCATGGAGAAGATCGGTAGATATAAGCAAGAGACATGGTAATTCGGTCAAAGTAAGCTACATGAAACAACATGCCCGCTCCGATCTTCATCCGATGTCCTTAGGGCTAGAATTGCAGGTGCTTCGAACAGAACAGCTATAAGTAGTCAGGGGGGTTTTGCCCAATACTGAACGAAGTGACGGCAAACAGATGCTCTTGGCAGCAATAGACGTTTGTACTGTGACAGGCAACGGTCCACACATGCTCTCCACCAGTAGGCTGTATGTGCTTAACCTCGGCTGGCGCGGTGGTTCGAGGAGGGCTACACTCGGGCCGCGTCGGCGATTTCAAGGCCTTGGCACTCCGTCACCGCAGTCGACTCTTTCTCCGCGACCATCGACACACCTCCAGCTTCTCCCCCACTCGGAACTGGTCCAACCTACCGTCTACAACACACATCATGGCCAGCAAGTTGCGGATATTGGTGCCTGTCAAGCGGGTGATCGACTATGCGGTACGAATGAACTTCCCACTCCATCGCTGACCGGCGATCGGAGCAGCACGAGCTGCCCGCGACGGACAGAATACAAGCCACCCAACCTCGAAACAGCATGAAACTAACCATGGAACCAATTTGACAATCTACAGATCAAGCCCCGCATTAACAAGACCCAGACGGGCGTTGAGATCGCCGGTGTCAAGCACTCCCTGAACCCATTCGACGAGCTTTCCATCGAGGAGGCTGTGCGCCTGCGCGAGAACCACAAGAACAAGAAGAACCCCATGGAAGTTGAAAACATCCTTGCCTTGTCCGCCGGCGGCCCCAAGGCCCCCGACGTGCTGCGGACCGCGATGGCCATGGGCGCTGATCGGGCATTTCACATCGATGTTCCCGAGGCCGATGGTAGCCCGGAGCCGCTGACTATGGCCAAGATGCTACGCGGAGTCGTTGAGAAGGAGAACATTAACCTCGTTCTGCTGGGTAAGCAGGCTATTGACGGTGATCAAGGCCAGACTGGTCAAATGCTCGCCGGACTGTTGGGCTGGCCGCAGGCTACCCAGGCCAGCAAGGTTGAGATCAAGGATGAGACTGGTACCGTTGAGGTGACGCACGAGGTTGATGGCGGTGTCGAGACCCTGCGCGCTAAGCTGCCCATGGTGATCACTACGGATCTGCGTCTGAACGAGCCCCGCTACGCTAGTCTGCCTAACATCATGAAGGCGAAGAAGAAGCCGCTGGAGAAGAAGACTCTAGCCGACTTTGGCGTGGAGGATACGCGGCGGTTGAAGACTCTCAAGGTCACTGGTATGTGTGGATTGCCTCATGATTTGTGAACTATTTGCTAATTTTGCTTTTTTTTTCTTTACAGAACCCCCTGCGCGCAAGGGCGGTGGCAAGGTCGAGGATGTCGATGGCCTCATCGGCAAGCTGAAGGAGCTTGGAGCTCTCTAAATGAGGGTTGTGCGTGGCGTCCCTAAATTTGTACTGTGTTTTTATACCATCGATCTTTTGTCCCGCTAGACCATACAGTCTTTGCCTGCATCCATTGGATGCATTTTCATCGTCCATGTTGGCTAAGCATTTTTATGCATTGAGATGATCACCCAAATGAAAGAAGAAGAAGAAAAACGTTATTTTCCATTGTCGGCCATTATGTATAATTCCTGTACATTTCACATTCGCCTGGGACTAGACCGGGGACAGTCGGCAGTTCAAAGAGTATGGCGAGGGCTTGAGTAGTGGGTATCCTGAAGAGCCCCTGCAGGAGTTTCTGCATTCGGATCAACAGTCATAGTTTAATACTGTGTTACCTCGATATTGGGAACTTGGTAGATACCTCAACCATGATCAACGATTGAAGGATACTTAGCGCAATTGATCCATAGACTAATGTAGATGATACCCGCGCTAGTGTTGGAACGCCGAGATCGATCGAATCGCTTGCTAGACACGATTCGGTCTTACGAGTTCGCCTCATTCGATAGCCTAGAAATCAAAATTGTCTGGGAACAGCCCATTCCCGAGTTACCAGCCGCGGAGAATGGGGCAATCTCCACTTAGAGTTTGTGTGCCATTCTCAGCCGCGGAACTGATTTTTAACGGTCGCGATCCCGCGGTCAACGAGCCGGCGATCCGAGACGTGGAGTCGTCCAGAATCTCTTCCAAATACTAAATGTACCAAAAATTATTTACTGGTGTTCTAAGGTGCTATACAGAAATGGTTGCACAGAAAATTGACATGTTCTAAGAATAAGGTCCAATTATGCCTCCGATGGCGTGAGATCCACTATACTCGGGGATTTCTGTCGAGGCAGCAAGGCCACCGCCCTGTTTTGCAGACCACGACAAGTCGAGTTGAAATCTCTTGGCCCAATATCTAGATTTGGTAGCGCATTTATAAGTTCGGGATCCGGGCGAACCATAGTGGCCGTGGGGCCATAGGAAAATTTGGAAAACTGCGGAAATCGATGGCCGGGAGCTGCAGGTGGGGGGCCTTGTGATGTATCGCAGGAAGAAAAGGAAAATGAGAGATGCAAATATGGGAAAGACGGAGGATAGCAGTGCCCGGTGACGCAGTTGCTTCTGCAGGGCTTCCGAGTCCACTTAGTCGCGACTATTGAAACATGTGCATCCACCGGCTCAGGCAAAGAAGAATAGCGTTGTCTTTGAGTGATGACGTCCATCCGCGCGTTCCATGGACCCAAAAGCCTGCGATCGGATTCTGGACTTGGACGCCACTCCTGCCTTTCCGTCTGACCCGATTTCCACTATAAGCGGCCCTGGTGCCTGACATTTTCTTTTGAACTTCTTTTTCTTTTCCTGAGACATCTGGGATTCCTCGATCTACTCAAAGATCCGCGGTCGATTTGTGGTAAGCTTTCTATAACTCTGGGTACATTCCGAACATTTCGCCTTTCAGCTCGCCACGAGCCACGAGCCACTTGCGCTCTAGGTGACGGGGGCGCTGTTGGGCTGCTGTTTTATGGCATCATAAGCTCATCACCAGTGTTAACCCGGCTGTCTACAGTACCATATCGCAGACCCGTGAGAAGTTTGTCGCAACGCTCTCGCCCCGCACTGCATTCCCCCAGTGGCGACCCTGCCGATTCCGGATTCCTAGGGCAATTCCTAACCCGATTATTTTTCTACATTCCTGATCGCATTAAGGAACATACCTCGGACTGATGCTGTTCGCAGCGCACCCGTGTTTCAGATAACGATAGACCATTGCACTGCTCTTTTTCGCATCTTCCATTCATCTCCCACGCCAGCACCATGTCGCAATCCACATGGGAAAAGACAAAGCGCTTCTCGAAAAAAGGCTTCGACAAAGCATGGGACACCGTCGACAAACTAGGCGCTCCCGTCAATCGCCTCTCCAACAAATTGGGCGCCGAAGCCTTTTGGCCTATGGCCATTGATAAAGAAAGCGACAAGGCTGCGCGCATCTTGCGCAGTTTCGTCAAAGATGGCTTTTATGCTCCAGATAATGAACCTGGTACCGATGAACAAGGCAAGATTAATCGCCCCAAAGGCAAGCAGAGGGTCATTAAGAAGATCCCAACCAAAGTGATTCAAAATGCCAAGGGCCTCGCCATTTTCACCACCATGCGAACCGGTCTCTGGATCAGCGGCTCTGGAGGCAGTGGTGTCCTCCTCGCACGCATCCCCGAGACTGGGGAATGGAGCCCGCCATCCGGCATTATGCTGCACACGGCTGGTATCGGGTTCCTCGCGGGAGTAGATATCTATGACTGTGTCGTTGTCATCAATACATATGAAGCACTCGAGGCGTTCAAGAGAGTGCGCTGCACTCTTGGTGGAGAGGTCAGCGCTGCCGCTGGCCTGTGGGTATGGGAGGCGTGCTTGACTCCGAAGTTCACAAGCGACAGGCTCCCATCTGGACATACATGAAGAGCAAAGGTCTATACGCCGGTGTTGCCGTGGACGGAACCATCATTATCGAACGAACCGACGAAAACGAGAAGTTCTACGGCGAACGAATCTCGGTCACCGACATCTTAGCCGGCAAAGTGCGGCACCCTCCCGATGGAATCAAGACTCTACATCAGACCATCAAAGCAGCGCAGGGTGATACCGATGTCGACGAAAGACTAGTCGTGTCTGCTGGCGAGACGCCCGGCGATATGGAAGTCGCAACCGAAGACGACCACCTTTTTGGCGTACCCGAACCGGACGACCCGGATCCGTACGGAGTGAAAGCGCTGGAGGCTGAGGGCTTGTTCATCCGGGAGGCCGGCACGAAGGTGAGGCCAAGTTATGATATCTTTGAATTCCGGCCCAACCCGACCAGCCCGGTGTTCGCCACTTTCTCGCGGCGTAGCGCCGAAAGCTCGCCGCGCAATAGCTGGCGGACCAGTGTGCAAAGCCATGCCTATTCTGATCGCGGTACACAAACCGATGACGCGCCGCTAACAGCCACGTCAGTGAGTCGAGCCTCCTCACAGAGCGCGAGAGATTCGATGAGTGGTCATATGGCGAACCGATGGGAGGACGATGCGCATTGGGATATCGTGCCGATCCAAAGTGTGGAGATGGAGAAGGAAGACGAGAGAGCGCATAATGGTTTCGCCGAGGAAGAGAAACATGCTGTTGATTACGATGACGACTTGGAGGTTCACGAGGTGACCAACGCGACTATCACTCAGAAGACCCTGCCGGAGGAAGAAGCCAGCCCTGTTGATGCCAAGCGCATGTCCCCTACCTTTACTCGTGCTCGCCTGGTTTCTATCCCGAAGCGTACCCCTCCACCTCTGCCCCCGCGACACCCGCGACACACCTGGGGCTCTGGTTCCAGTCGGGAGTCTACCTCGCCAACAGCTCTATCACAATCAAGCCGCAGCACCGAGCAGACTGAGGCTGCTATCGAGGCTGCTGAGTCCCCAGAGCACTTCAACGAGTCTAGTGCTTTGCCTTCGAACGTAAAGGTTCTCCAGACTAATGTTCTTCCGGCTGTGGTAAACGAGGTTGATTCGGAGTCAGACCCCGAGCTACCTGCGGATAAGGATGAGTTCATGTCAGCCAACGGTGACAGCGAGAACATCTTTGAAGAGAACACCCTAGCTGAGAAGCCTAGCTTGACGGAGACCGCTCCCGATACCAAGAAGGAGAAAGTCGAGGTTGAGGAGAGGGTAATCGAGCCGAAACATGCTTCCTTGCCGGTTGAGACCAACTCGAAGATCGAGCCAGAGACAGTGGAAGAGGTGCCCAAGATCGAAGAAAGCCTGGCCTCACTCGGTCTCTCCGATAAGTCGGAAGAGGCTCTGGTCCCACTTGGTCTTGCAGACAAAACTTCCGAAAAGAACGCTGAAGCAACCAAGATCGAAACAAAGGATGATGAGGCTGATGAGGCTGATGAGGCTGCCGAGAAGAAGCAGCTTGACGTCGAGCGCCCTGACGCCAAGCACGAAACCATCAGTCCTCTCCAGATCTAAGCAGCTTCTCTTGTTCACCTCTTATTATTGATGACTCTCTCTTTTTTGTGTTCAAACTCCATGATACCTCGATACCTCGGTCGGTATTGGATGGGACGGTTGTTCCATTTGATGGGATAAAAACTCTTACTTGAACGGTGCCAGTTATACATTTCAGCGTCTTTGCATTCGCGGGGGAATTTGATGGGGATGGTCCTCTCGGTTTGGCGTATAGAACACTTGCGATTAGTCTTGGTCTGTTTTTTTTGCATATTATCAGGCATCATCTGATGTGTCAATAGTCATTCAATTTATCATATAACTTGTATTGATTTTACACTATTGAAGTTAATTGATGGCAGATTGCGGCTGCAGTAGGTCCCCTGGATGGTCATGCCTCCTAGTATCTAGACCGACTGTCGACGCCTTGACATAACCTAACCAGCTTAGAGCCAGACGACGGTCAAGGAAAAAACAACTTCTGCAGCTGCCTCTTGGAGGTAGGCAGTACCAGCTTACTCCTGTAGCTCGAGCAATTCACCCAGCGGCAATACCGATCCTACCAGAGCCCACTGATGGATCGACACATTAGGGCTACAAAATGTTCCATCAAGTGGCGCACGTTAGAAGCTCAGACTCTCACTAGCGATAGCTGCAATCTGTGATTTCGAAATGTGGAGCAGTCTTGTGTTTACCTTGAGTTATAGCAAATCCCGTAGACGTCCCTACCGCTACCTGGTGGGCTCCCTGAGGTCGACATTAAGGTCATCGGACTCTGGCTAGGCTTCGAGTGCCAAGATCATTTAGCATAAAGCCCTTGGGTGTTGCACAGGGTATTTCTGATAAGCTCTTTTAATAATGATTTTGTTTTTGGGGGTGGCAAACTTGCTTCCTTCCACCGTGATATACAGTCGAGAATTGTGCAACCTGCATCTCCTCTCCCTGACCTTTGAGACACAACTGGGAGGACATAGTTTAATTGCTGTTTCAGAAAAGTGTTCATCAAGTATTTCCACAATTTTGACGAGGATCCAGAGCTCGCTTCTGTCTTGGCGTCAAAATGAAGATCTCCCCATTTTTTTTTAAAAAAAAAAATATAAAAAAAAATATAAAAAATTGAAAATGACTGAAAGCCTCATAAGGTCTTTGGATATGGAAATGCCCGAATATTCTGGGCCAAAAAGTAGACTTATGTTGTGCTTCAGGGATCCCCAAGACTTCGCTATCTTGGTGGCGTCCCAAGCCAATTCTCAGTGAATTGAATAGCTTGCTCATGAGGTACTTTTGTTCATGCACTGACCACTTCCCAGTCTCTGGGCCTTCGATCAAAACACATGTGCGCACTACCCCTCTTTTCTGCACCAACTACTTGTGTAAAAGAATGAAACGACGTGAAATGGTCTAACGGTATCTATTGGCCCTGGCCTATCCTTGGTGGTCATCTGGGGGCTGACGTTGCCGGTGGGTGCTATTTAGCGAAGATCTAGATGCAACGGATCACACTCACAGATCTCTCGCATCCAATGAAGCTGTTGATGACTCGACCTTGGCATAGACATTAAACCCAAATTGGCTAGGTAACATGATGCCAGCCTATTCGCCATACCATTTTAATCGATGGTACAATGAGCTCCATGCCGCAATCAATACCGCACCAATGCTGTTAGCTGGGTCTTTCTTCAGCCTGCATTAGCACGACTTGTACCCCGAAAATCATGCAGACTTGAAACCCACTTGCGAATGACTGCGGAAGCGAGCCATGGCGTAAATCAGCCCTGACGCAAAAACCACATTCTTCCCTTTTTCTTCTTCTGTGTTTTTTACATAGTCCCTAACGGATCTGATAAAAGTGACGAGTTATGACCGGCATCTTAACCTTGATTATAAGTGGCCTTCTGGCCTTTCTTATCATCAGAAGTATTTATCGGTTGTACTTTCATCCCCTCAGCAAATTTCCCGGCCCCAAGCTTGCAGCTGTGAGCAGTGCATACGAATTCTATTTCAACGTCATAAAGAGGGGGAAATTTGTCTGGGAGCTCGAACGCCTTCACGATGTTTACGGTCAGTCGCTCCAGATGCCTTTTGACTTTAGTCTAACGTGTACAAGGGCCCATTATCCGGATCACTCCCCGAGAGATCCACATTAAGGATTCAAGTTATTATGATGAGATATATGCATCCAACTTACGGAGACGAGAAAAAGATGCCCTCGTAGTAAAAAAGTTTGATCTTGATGGATCGGGGTTCTCCGCCATCTCGCCAGAGCTCCATCGCCAGCGTCGTGCGCCACTAGAACGGTTTTTCTCAAAGGCTGCAGTGGCCAAAATCGAAAACTCGATTCGATCCCACCTCGACAAGTTCTGCGACCACCTCCGGCGCGCCTACGCTTCCCACAATGTCGTCCCTCTCGACGCGGGCTTCTCCGCATTGACTTCGGATATCATCCATCAATATTCATTTGGGTTCAACAGTGGTAATCTGGACCAAGAAAATTTCAATGAACATGTCAGAGATGGGATCAATGCGCTCTTCACACAGAGCCACATTGCTTTCTTTTTCCCCATTATCCCTATGATTATCAATGCCCTACCACTTCCACTGCTAGAGAAGCTTAACCCATACGCTTTTGCTCTGGTATCACAGAAGAAAGACCTCCATCGGCGATCAGCAGAGGCCCTTGAAGGGAAGACCAACAACGGTTCGATCATTGAGTTTATCGCTGGTGCTCACATGCCGCAGCATATGCGCACGCCCAATCGACTCGCGGATGAAGGACTGGCTCTGATCATTGGAGGCACTGAGACGACTGCCAGATCTCTTGGACTTGGCATGTATCATCTCCTCCGCAATGAGAATATCATAGCTAAGTTGCGAGAGGAGCTGCGATCTGTGATGCCCACGCCCGAGTCTAGGCCTACTTGGAATCAGCTTGAGCAGCTGCCTTATCTTGTAAGTACTTCCTATTGACCACGCAACAAGTCAGATACTTACCTAGATTTAGTCTGCTGTTATTTCGGAGATCCTGCGTGTGTCTACGGGCATTGCAAGCCGATCGCCTCGTGTCGCGCCGTCAGAGACCCTGATATACAAGAACTATCTCATTCCACCGGGGGTGAGTATCTTGAGACTCAACATTTGTGAGAGTTCTGACAAAAAATAGACACCGGTCAGCGAGACCAACTACTTTGTCCTCATGGACCCTGCTATCTTCCCGAATCCCCACGTTTTCGACCCAGAAAGATGGCTGCGTGCCGCAGCGAAAGGCGAGCGATTGGATCGGTACCTAGTCAACTTTTCCAAGGGTAGCCGAATCTGTGTGGGAATGAAGTTTGTGTCACCTACAAGTTTCTTATTCTGTGATTCGACTAACTTGTGACACAGTTTGGTCTATGCTGAGCTTTATTTGATTCTTTCGACGCTAGTTCGTCGGTTCGATCTGGAGCTACACGAGACGACTGAAAAGAATATTGGCTTTGCTCGTGACTTTGGCACACCATACCCCGAAGAAGGAAATTTTAGTGTTCGAGTCATAGTGACTCGGGTTATTCAGGAGTAAGATACATGTAGTGATTTTGTTGGTCTCTCTGGGTACTTCACTCTACTCATTACTTTCTGTCCGTGGAAGTGTACTAAATCGATCACTAGTGCAGAAACAATAAACACAGCTAGATCAAGCATACAATTGTAACTAGCACAGCCAAGAACCATTAAATGTCACTCATAAGGCAGGCCGATTATCGAGGAGAGACGTCACACAAAGTCCGCTTATCTCCGAAAGCTTGTTTTCTCTTGCGAGGCTCACCTTTTCGACTTTGATGGCCTCACTTTGCTTCGCGCCGTCGATCTCTCATTTGGATCATTACTATTCATCATGCCTACCGACCAGCATGTCAGCGCAGCTCTGTCGCTCATCGAGAACGACAAGACCAAGATCTTGGGCCTGAATGTCGGCCCCCACAGGAACGTCCAGCCGGGAGACTACATTCCTCGCGCCGGTAAGACTACTGTCACAACATCTCCATATACCAAGACTACTGACAACCCCCACACACAGATGCCCAGACTCCTCCCGAATTTTTCTTCCCGGGCCTGGATACCTCCAAGACCTACCTGATCGTCGGTCTGGACATCGATGCTCCCTTCCCGTCCTTTGGTGTACTGGGACCCATCCTCCACTGGATTCAGCCTGGCGTGAAGATTACTGAGAGCTCTACTCTCGACACCAGCGCCCCATTCATCGCTAATTACATCGGCCCTGCTCCTCCTCCTGGTAGCTCACCTCACCGCTACATCTTTTTCCTGTACGAGGAGCCTGCTGGCTTCGAACCCAAGAAGTATCCCCGCGGATGGCAAGACCCTGAGCAACTGGTACCGCATGCGCTACGATCTTGACTCTTGGGCCAAGGAGATCGGCCTGGGTTCTGTGCTGGCTTTCAACTACTTCAACAGCAACTAGATCTACGGGGGGATTCATGACGCAGTCGGTTCACTTTTTCGGTACTGGAGAAGAGCAAGTTGTTATTGTTTCGTTGCTTTCTTTTCGCTATGGCGAAATCTAATTCTGACTGTTGCGCCACTCCGTTTTGATGAAATTGCAACAGATTTGCTTACATTCATCTGCTTACGTGCAATACTCTTTCTGTAGTTGGCTCCGTTGTCTAGGACTGCAATGACTTGGTTAAAGGCCTACAGAAAAGCGAGTATGCATTGATCCATTTGAATGTCCGTAATCGACAACCGCCTTGTTCGGCGCTTCAAGCAAAGAAAGAACAGCATACTTCCTTTGTATGTACTCTCCCGTTTATGTTACCTATCATATCATCTCCACCAAACAATCCAGATGGTCCTCCAACTTTCATCTCTCTCTCATCATCGCTCTGTGCCCTTCCGGCTACATTCTAGCTTTGATCTCAGTATCAAAAGGGAGTCGTAAAAGACACTATACGAGGTCGAGGTTGAAATGGCATGGTAAATAGACAAGTCGAAATAATATTGACAGCAGCGCAATAGATTGAAGCTAAAGGCAGTAACGGCAAGTACGCAGATTTTGAAAAGGGGACACGGGTGCCCAAAGAACTGGTGCGATGCGGCTTCGTCCACCCGAGGTCTAGAGGGTTCGAATACCGGATCCACACGAAGACGAGGGCAGCCATATTCACCCGGAGTCAAGGGATACACAGATTCCATATTCCAGTGATACTAGAACTATCACGAACTTTGTGTCCGCTATGGGGCGTCACAATTAGGACATCGTTTATGACGCTGGTCAGGTCCGCCAGTGATCCTGGCTCCACACCACATTCCCCTGCACTGTCAAAGTGCTGCTTTTGGCTGCTTGGACTACCTCGTTCGAGGTAAAGTCTGGAGGATCATGAGGAGGGTTCTTAATTTGTCATTTTATTGAGCTTATCAGATAATACCTTGCCCTTTCTCTTGTGGATCCCGGTTTCTTCATCTGTAGTGATAGCTGTGACTAGCTATGAGGCTGCAAGGAAGTCTCTAGTACTTCAGGTCTCGTTCCCAAGTGACAAGATCATTGCAGGCCTACTACAGTCCCACGTTAGCTTAGGTACAAGTGAAAGAAGCTGTAACTCTTTCCGGAGGCTCCACAGCTTATCGGTCGGTTGCCCCTCGAGATCCGGTTCGCGCTATCTGCTCCACCTGAGCTTCTTACCGAAGCCGATCCCTCTCCTCCCCCCCCCCCTTCGCCATGGTGCCATAATATCGAGGCACTCCCCTGGCCTTGCTCCTCAACGGCAAGCCACCATGGTTTTCAAATGGCTCACTCTCTCACTGATAAGTATCGTTGCGGCCCAATATTTCCCTCCCACGCCGGAGGGTCTGAAGATTGTCCACTCCAAGCACGAGGAAGGCGTCAAGATTTCCTACAAAGAGGTCGGCCTATAACTCCATTCGACTCTTGCATTCATTGTATTAACTGCGAACAGCCAGGTATTTGTGAAACTACACCAGGCGTTAGATCATATTCGGGCTACGTCCATCTCCCCCCAGGAACTCTGGAAGATGTGAATATCGAGCAGAAATACCCCATTAACACTTTCTTCTGGTTTTTCGAAGCTCGCCATAATCCGAAGAATGCCCCGCTGTCCATCTGGATGAACGGTGGACCCGGTAGTTCGTCCCTTATCGGTCTCATGCAGGAGAATGGCCCGTGCCTGGTAAATGCAGATTCCAACTCGACCGAGCTTAATCCCTGGTCATGGAATAACTACGTCAATATGCTGTACATCGACCAGCCTAACCAGGTTGGATTTAGCTACGATGTTGCTACAAACGGTACCTTCGATCAGCTTGGCGCCGGGTGGAATGTATCAAAGTGGGAGCATGGCGTGCCTGTCCAGAACAACACTTTCTACGTCGGCACGACTACAAGCCAAAATGCGCAAGCATCCGCCAACGGCACGGAAAATGCAGCCCGTTCGCTTTGGCACTTTGCGCAGACTTGGTTTACCGAATTCCCTCATTATAAACCACACGATGATCGCGTGAGCATCTGGACAGAGTCTTACGGTGGACGCTATGGCCCAGCCTTTGCTGCGTTCTTTCAAGAGCAGAACGGGAAGATTGAGAATGGTACTATCGCCGCTGCTAGCGAACCCCATTACATTCACCTGGATACCCTGGGAATCATCAACGGCTGTGTCGACCTCCTCGTACAGGAGCCAACATACCCCAAGATGGCATACAACAATACCTACGACATCGAGACAATCAATAAGACCGTCTACGAAAATGCCATGGAAGCATGGAGTCGCCCGGGCGGATGCAAAGATTTAATCACGAGCTGCCGTGCATTGGCAGCCGAGGGCGACCCCCACATGCACGGCAATAACGAGACCGTGAACAAAGCATGCCACAAGGCCGATAGTTTCTGCAGTAATCAGGTTGAAGGGGCTTACGTCACGTATTCAGGGCGTGGCTACTACGACATTACGCACAAGGACCCAGATCCATTCCCACCGTCTTACTTCCTGGGATACCTCAACCAGAACTGGGTTCAGGGGGGCCCTGGGCGTCCCGATCAACTACACCGAATCCACCGACAGCGTCTACGCTGGCTTTTCATCGACAGGTGACTATCCTCGCTCAGACGTGCACGGCTATATTGATGACATTGCGTATGTACTTGATTCTGGAATCAAGGTCGCTCTCGTCTACGGCGACCGCGACTACGCATGCAACTGGATCGGTGGTGAGGATGTGAGTTTACTTGTGAATCACAAGGAGGCAGATGCTTTCCGTAATGCGGGATACACACCACTTCGGACGAACAAGACATATGTCGGTGGCCAGGTTCGTCAACAAGGCAACTTCTCGTTCACTCGAGTCTTTGAAGCTGGTCATGAGGTCCCTGCGTACCAGCCAGAGACTGCGTATCATATCTTCTACCGTGCCCTGTTCAACCGGGACTTGGCTACTGGCAAGGTAGATACCACTCGCAATACCTCGTACTCTACAACTGGCCCGAATTCAACTTGGAACATCAAGAATGAGGTGCCAGAGAACCCGAGTCCGTTGTGCTATATTCTCGCCTTGGAAGCGACCTGCACGGATGATCAGATTGCCCGTGTGGCTAACGGCACGGCGGTTATCAAGGACTGGATTGTCATAGATGAGGCGTCGCGGTAGACAGTCATCTGATTCAAAGATGCTAGTCCTGTATATACCGGAGATTTATAGCACTAGATTCAGGTTTCCAGCCTATCCTGTACACTCTTCCAATGTTGTATGTAGACCCTCAAACCTGGTCAAATTCGTCACAACAAGCAGGTGAAAGATCCTTCGTTGACGCATTCAATGATCGAAGCACCATGCATTTACTTGATGCCCCTTTTACTTTTCTCACAATGCCGACGCTCCATTTAACAGTGAAGTTACGGCGATGCCCCAGGAAGTATGCTCAACCTTAAAAGTGGATCATGACATAATCGTTGAAGTGGGGCTCCCGTCGATGATGTCGTGGATCGCGATGCTACTACTTGCTCTTCAGCCCACAAATGTCTTTTGCATACGCTTGAAATTACATCGTAGCCACATAGTAAAGTTATATTGATCAAGAATCAATGCAGGTAAAGGTCATACCATAGATCAGCGTCTACGGGCCACGGCACGACCGCACGGAAGCTTCTCGAAGCTTCGATCCATGAATCTGCAACGTCACACGTCACAGACACCTGGAGACCATCAGGTGGGATTCAGGATTCTTTAATGCCCCTCTGCAAGGATAAACCCTTTCCTCTTGTACTCCATTCACCTCTCAGTCCCACTCCACCTTAGATTCCCCAACTCCCATCACGCTATATCGCCCACAGCGCCACACCTACCTGGTATCTTCTACGTCATTCGAGAAGGCACTACCCACGTCGAGGGATCACCTCTCTTTCCTGACAGGACCTTTGCTTTTTAAGCTCGCAGACCTCGTCTCTCGCGCCCGTTTTGCCCCTTTGGTGCCAAACTCAATTCAATCACAACACATCTCACCATGCCTGTTGAGACTAAATTGTATGACGCCTTGAGCGTCAACCCTAGTGCCACCCAAGATGAAATCAAAAAGGCCTACCGCAAAGCAGCTTTGAAGTACCATCCCGACAAGAACAAGGACAACCCGGCTGCTGTTGAGAAATTTAAAGGTATGTACATCACTCAAACAATCATTTGACTTGGTACTCGATTACTCACTCCTCTTGTAGATGTCTCCCAAGCTTACGAAGTTCTCTCTGACCCCGAAAAACGCAAGGTCTACGATCAATTCGGCCTCGAATATCTTATGCGTGGTGGCCCTGCACCCTCTCCCGGCGGCGGCGGCGCTGCTGGCGCGGGAGCTGGCCCCGGTGGAATGCCCGGAGGATTCAACTTCGGCGGCATGCCAGGCGGCGGCGGTACGCGCACATTCCACTTCTCAACTGGAACTGGTGGAACCAACGGATTCCGATTCAGTAATGCAGACGACATCTTCCGCGAGTTCGCCAAGGCTGGCGGTGGAGGTGGCGGCGGAGCCGGTGGCTTTGAGGATGATGACATCTTCTCCATGCTTGGAGGCATGGGCGGCGGTGGCTTCCGCAGCCGACCATCTGCTGGAGGATTTTCGGCCAAGGCCAATCGTGCACCTACTCCAGAACCGACTGTCGTTGAGAAAGACCTCCCTATCACACTGGAAGAGACCTTCAATGGCGTTACCAAGAAGGTGAAGACGAAGAGCAAGGCATTTGATCCGAGTGGCAAGCGGACCGGTCAGGATGTCACTTTGGAGGCAACCATCAAGCCTGGCCTACGCCCCGGCTCGAAGATCAAGTACAAGAACGTGGGCGACCAGGAAGAAGGCGGCCGCCAGGACGTGCACCTGATTGTGAAAGAGGTATGTTGATTTCCACTGAACCCTATATGAGGCCCAATACTAACATTATTGATAGGTGCCACACCCAACCTTCACTCGCAAGGGCGACGATCTTGTCACCAGCGTCGAACTCAGCCTCAAGGAAGCTCTGACGGGCTGGGAGCGAATTGTGAAAACGATCGACGGCAAATCCATCCGCGTGTCCAAGCCTGGACCAACCCAACCAGGTCATGAGGAGCGTTTCCCCGGCTTGGGAATGGTGATTTCCAGGAAGCCTGGCGAGCGCGGCGATCTCGTGGTTCAGGTCAAGGTGAAATTCCCGACCAGCTTGGACTCCAACACTAAAGAAGTCCTCCGAGATTTGCTTCCTTAATCTTGTCTTGATGGCATTTATGGCGTTTTTGTGAGCGTTTTTCTTAATGGGAACTAATGATAAGCAATGAGTTTTATTCTGGCGTTGGGAGGTTCAAGGTCGCGTCATTGTTGGTGTACATAGTCTAAACCACTTTGGGAAATGCGGAGAAGCACCTCAACTTGGAGAAATTCAGATCAACTCTCTTGACCTACACTGTCATCCCGTAATCATGAAACGAAGAATCACATTTATTCAGCGCCCCGATGCGCCTTTCGAGGCTGATCAGGCGGTCTTGACCTCCAAGTCTCTCACGATCCGCAATCTGGACGCCGCCCGCGAAGACCGCTTCACGTTTGGCCTCGACGACCTTCCACAGGAGGTGAGCGGAACAGCATCCCGCAGTATCAATCATTGAGAAGGCCAATGGCTAACTTTCCTTTGACCTACAGCTCTGCGACGTTCTTCAGCAGTCGCATGAACTCCATTTGCGGTGGACGACCGAGCGGTCCTACGACGCCGTCGCGCCCTTTGCCAGTCGAGTCTCGCCCGGCCTACACATACACTATACCCCTCTAGCGGCTGAACAGTCTTCGTGAGTCACTTTTGCCCTACCTAGGCTCGAGTTTTGACTGACAGGATGATCGTGTAGAGAGGCGCTATGCTCACTGCTCCGCAGCGTATTTGGGACAAGCGAGGGGCATGAGTACGGAGTGGACTGCTCGAAACCAGAGGTATACTAAATCCAAGCTTCTATCTGGTGATTCAGGTTGCCTTATTTGGTATCAAGTTCACTGGGTAAAGACTATGCTAATCCCGCTTTCGCATAGGACACATTCATCACACCCCCAATCCTATCCACCAGATTCGCCGCGTCGGCCTCTCTTCAGTTTTATACCCAGCTTCCCTCCCTAGAGCCTCTCGTCAATTACATTAAGAACTTTGCTTGCGACCAACGCGAGGTTGGCAGTGCCGATTGTAATGAGCGTGCGGACTCCCTGCTCACGGCCGACACGGTCGATGTCGACTATGATAGCATTTCGCACGCCCTGACTGTGTCGACTTTGTGGGGCAGTGCACCCAGTGGAGGCTGGACAGAAGATATCCAAAAGCCATCATCCAGCGCGCATCAGGTCGAGTTTGGGCTTTTGGGCGCCGAGCCAGGCCTCGAGCCGCAGGAGATCAAGATGGGCGGGCTACTGGCTGTAGTTGGACAGGATAAGAAGATGAGTGAGTATGAAGATCAGCTACAAGTAGTCTGTATCAGAGCATTGTCTAACCATACGCAGAACCCACCATGTTCTCCTTCCCCTCGCGACACCATCCGCTTCCGAGGGAAGCAAGATATACCGTTTCGTTCTCTACTCCGACAGGTCTTCACCCGACAATGGCCATCTCTGTGTCCAAAGCCGCGCTAGAGCGACCCCCAGCACCCACCGACGCGACCTGCGCACTACACACTTACCTCACGCTCCCATCGGCTGTCTTTGGAGACCAGTACCAGCTCGGAACCACCGATCCGCTCTTCCTGGAATCACATAATCTCGTCGCGCTGCGAGCCGTCTCTGGTGAAACAGATCTCGAAGCTCCAGACTGGGCCGTTGAACGCTGGGGCTCGACCTGGCTTTTCGAGCTTGCTACTCCTTCCCCAGGCCCGGCCCAATCTAACTTCACAGCTTCTATTCCTCTGCACTTACGTTATCTCGAACCTTCTGAAACGGGATATCAGACTTTGAATGTGCCCTGGCCGGTCGTCTTCTGGGCTTGCACTGCTGAAGATGGGACTAAGATGGGTGTCAACCCATTTGACCGCACGAATCTGGGCTGGGACGGTCTGTTCGGTCCGCGCACTATGTTCTACCAACTGCATCCTGATTCTGAACATCTCATTCAGTCAGTGGACGCACCAGTTCTCAAGCTTACAGGCGAGGGTATGTTCAAGGCAAAGAACATTGAATTGGGAACCTGCCTTGCTATTGTGCTCGGTTTCCTTTGGGTGCTGTGGCGCCTTGTCCGCGTTGCTTGGTCCTCTGGTATCGGCTCGGAAAGCAGACCGCGCAGGTCTAGCAGACATCCTAAGAAAGATTGAACTAATACTTGTCAATCTTGTTCTTCCATTGGCGTTCACGGGTATCATGATATCAACTTTACACAAGCATTGCTGGGCAATAGCGTTTGTGTATCCACCACATGCTTTATAGACATATTAACCAGTACCCTAACTATACAATTCTCCATCCCATCAGTTCCTCTCCAAGTAACTCAACACTTAAAGTCTCCAAGTAGCCCATGATAGAAACTCATCTTAAATCCCCATCTCAGGCAACGGCCATGGCACATCCGTCATGAGAAACTGATCCAGATCAAAATTTTGCAAACTGGGCATATCAATCATCAAATCTCCCAACCAAGACAGTTCCACATCCGAGACAGGGCCCATATCCAACCCAGGCACCACCCCAACACCACCAATCTCCTCCGTTTCAGGCGCCATCGCCAACGCATTCGCCCTCAAAACATCCGCCAACGCCCTCGTATCATCTTCCTTCCTCCGTTGATGCAACGCAATAAGCAGGTAAGCCGTCGAATACGCCTCTCGCATCACACCTGTGTCATACGCCGCCACCACCTCACCCAGCGTCCGCATCGCATCAGGAAGCAAAGCTAACGCAGCGCGATTATCAATAGCAAGCAACGTGCACACAACCTGAAACGGTACATTGGCTACCTGATGCCAGGGACTCGAGGCAGAGACCATTTCTCGTGCAGCGCGGAGACCGCGGGCCGCGAGGGCGAGTACGCGGTCTAAAATGGTGGATGTTAGGAGGGCGTGGGCGTTTAGGGGCGCGAACGCGGCGGTAAATGCAGAGGGTCAGGTTGCATTGAACAAGAATTAGGGAAGGGGTTGTGTAAATAAGAGATAGGACGGAGGAGAGAGCATTCTCAAGTTCTGGGAGGTCTTGAGGTGCTGGACCGGTTGGGTCAAGGCTTTCGGACAGGGGGAGTAGGTGAAATAAGTCTGCTTTTTGAGATGGGGGAGAGGACGGAGAGGTGGACGGGAGGGGTGGAGCGCTTGGAAGGTGGGTTGTTGCGCCATGGAGGACGACTCTTGAGCGGCCTAGGTCAAATGATATCCAGATATTTAGATGGCGAGCCATACCGAATAATCGGCGGCCAGTGTCGTTTGCCTCAGCAGTTCCACTTTGGTTTGGCGTTGCGATCAAGCCTGTTGAGTCTGGATCTGGTTTGTCGAGGTGGAGGCCTGCTGCCTCGATGAGATGCATCAGTGTGCAGCTGGCCATCCAGGCGGCGTGGGGAGAAGATGTCATGCGGAGATAGGCTGCTCGAAGAACCCATCCGGTGACGATGTCGACCGATGGTGTTTGTGCGCAGAGCATGGTTTGTTCAAGGAGCTTGTGGGCTGTATCAATGAGCTGTCGCTCTGTTGGCATAATCTCACGCTGCGAGAATAAGAGCCCAAATGCTGCCATCCCGCATAGCACAGCATCATAGTCCTGAATCTCCCGAGACTCGTTGGCTCGTGTTGGCGCTTTCGACCAGCGTTGGACAATATGGTCGAAGACGCTCTTCCGGTCTAGGAACGCATAGCATGGGTCAACTTTTTCAAAGTAGATGACGGCTAAGCGCTGCATCTCATCTTGCGAGATGATCTCGGTAATTGGCGCCGGCGACGTTATTGGCGAGGCGACAGCCGACGATACACGCCTCTCGCCAACATTCCATGCGAACAGATGTAGTCTGGGGGCGCGTGCTGGATCAATTCGTAGACCCAGCTTGCGGACGAATGCCGCCCCAGAGTTGGCCTCCAAGGAATGACCGACTCCATGGGATTCATTCACGCGGGGAACTGGAGATGCAGCACTGCCCGCAGTGCTGACGGGGGGGGTGATGGGACCATCCATCCGGTAGCGGGCGCTCGTCGAGTGCAGGTAAACCCCGATTATACATGGAACTGGCGCGTTTCTTGCGCGGGCGGCGCTGTAATGACAGTCGACGCCGGCCTGGACACAGGTCGTGCATGGCCGCTCGCCGGAGCATTTGCGCTTGCGCGATTGACAGGATAGACAGGCGGCACGCGACCGCTTTCGAGGCGTTGAATCGGCCATTGAGTTGGAGCAGAGACGCGTTTACTTTCGAATCTAAAGTGCAGGTTCCGCCCGCGGCCTCCGCTCTGAACCCGCGTTGCATTACATTGACTCATTTACTCTATACGACAATTCACTACATCCCCGAATTTGTACAGGCGTGGACAAGGTTCCATTTTGTGACTCATGAACTCATAAATTCACGAATTCACCGTCAATCGTACTTTCGACCGTCAGGATAACCCATCATATCCTCCAGCTGCTTGAGATCCGGCATCCCTGCTGGCCCCGGCATGTACTGCACATTGTCCCGCATCGTGGTGCCATTCCACCAGATCTCGTTCTTATGCAATGCCTCCATGATCCGTGGTCCGTCGATGTACGTGCGGATCTCGACCATCTGATTGCGGTGCCAGCGAGTCACCCACACATTGACGATGTCAAAGTCGTCGCCTATGGCCCTGTCAGACCGGTTCACCGCGAGAGGTGATTACCTACCCGAGTTCATGACTCCTCTAAAATTGATCTCCTGCACCGACCATGCACTATTGCACCCACCGTGGATGGCCTGTGGGTGGATCTCGAATTTGTCGGCGTGATCGAAAAACAGCACACTAACGCGACGCAGGGCATTGACGTAGAAATGCAGCAGATCGTGGTAGCGGCCGGCGATCGGGTGGTGCCCGACTACGGTGAAGGTGACATTCTTGTGGATTAAAGTAAACAGTTTGCTCATGTCCTTTTCCAAATCCTTGAAGGAATCCCAAATGTGCATCTGCGACACATATTGGCAGTGGGTGGAGGGGTTCTCAAATTCGAAGCCTTCACGGTCCCTAGTGGGGTCGTGGATAATGCCATCGCCATTGCAACGACCGTCTGGGTCGACAAGACCTGATCCATCACATCCGGGACGTTCGAGGGCCTTCTGCGGGCCTACGGTGACCCGGCCGCTGGTTCGGGAGAGGCCGATCCCTAAGGTAATAACGAGATATCGCGAGATAAGCATGGGTCTTTTCGGATTATGATCTTTGCGTGAGAGGTTTTGCCTATCAATGCAATGACAAATTTATTCACGTCTTCTATTTATCCCAATTGACCTTTTTTTTGGTTTTTAAAGAAATGAAAAAAAAAAAAGTCCCGCTTGGGTAGCACAGGGAAATGCACCGAAGGGCCCTTCTAAAACACCGTCGGAGTGCCAGAGGCATACCTAGCGGTGTGTAGGTACAGCATGAGCGGGGACACAGTGCAGCGACGAGGCGTCTAGCGTAGCTGATAGCTAGGTCGAATGCCCATTGCACTAAACCGAAATCAGAAATGATGTGCCTGATGATCCTAATCGAATCAAGTTCCACGGCCGGTATCGGCCCAGCCCCCTGATTGGCCGGCGGTGAGCAAAGCACGTGCCCGCACTGAGTCAACGAAAACCTCTTCTCCGAACATCGCCCTCGTCTTTCTTCCTTCCCCTTCATACTCCACTTTCCACACTCCCACACCTATGTCGCGCTAAATCACTCTTCTTCCTTCAACTTCCCTCTGACTGGTATTACCACAGTCGCGCTTATGTGTTTGGCACCCTCAACTTTTACCTCCCAGGACTATATCTCGGGTATGTTGAAACAATTTCCCAAATCCATTGTCGATCATCCATATACTAATTGATGGGATAGACCACCTCTGGAAAGCCTCAATCAACTGAATTGACCGACCAATACCCCGTTTACACCATCTCGCTATCATCTTCCATCCAAATCAAAAATGTTCATGAACCTGTTCAAGGCCATGCCCGCTCGGGCCGGGGCCTTCGCCTCCATGAAGACCCCTGCTCAGGCTCGCTTCATGGCCACTGTTCGTCAGCGTGCCGCCCTTGAGCCCGCTACCTTCACCATTCGTGACGGTCCCATGTTCACCGGAAAGTCCTTCGGTGCCCGCTCCAACATCTCCGGAGAAGCCGTCTTCACCACCTCCCTGGTGGGTACCCCGAGTCCTTGACCGATCCTTCCTACCGTGGCCAGATCCTGGTCTTCACCCAGCCTCTTATCGGCAACTACGGGGTTCCTTCCGCTGAGAAGGATCCCAATGGTCTCTTGAAATACTTCGAGTCCCCCAACCTCCAGGCCGCCGGTGTCGTCGTTGCCGATGTTGCCGAGCAGTACTCCCACTGGACTGCCGTCGAGTCTCTGGGTGAGTGGTGTGCCCGTGAGGGTGTTCCCGCTATCTCTGGTGTCGATACTCGTGAGATTGTCACCTACCTTCGTGAGCAGGGTTCGTCCCTTGCCCGTATCACCGTCGGCGAGGAGTACGATGCCAACGAGGACGAGGCCTTCACCGATCCCGAGCAGATTCACCTGGTTCGTCAGGTCAGCACCAAGCAGCCTTTCCACATCAGCGCTGCGGAGCCCACCTCCCACGTTGCCGTCATTGACTGCGGTGTGAAGGAGAACATCCTGCGTAGCCTGGTTGGCCGTGGCGCTAGCGTCACTGTCTTCCCCTTCGACTACCCCATCCACAAGGTTGCCCACCACTTCGACGGTGTTTTCATCTCCAACGGTCCCGGTGACCCCACCCACTGCCAAGACACCGTCTACCACTTGAAGCGCCTCATGGAGACTTCCCAGGTCCCCATCTTCGGTATCTGTCTCGGTCACCAGCTCTTGGCCCTGGCTGCCGGCGGCCGCACCATCAAGCTCAAGTACGGTAACCGGGCTCACAACATCCCGGCCCTGGACCTGAGCACCGGTCGCTGCCACATCACCAGCCAGAACCACGGTTACGCCGTCGATGCCTCTACCCTGCCTTCTGACTGGAAGCCTTACTTCGTGAACCTGAACGATCAGAGCAACGAGGGTATGATCCACAAGTCTCGCCCCATCTTCAGCACGCAATTCCACCCCGAGGCCAAGGGCGGTCCCCTCGACTCCTCCTACCTCTTCGACATCTACCTGGACAGCGTCCTGAAGTATAAGAACAGCCAGGCTGGTCTCTTCCCTCAGCGTGACAGCCGTCCCAGCCCTCTGCTGGTGGACCTGCTCCCCAAGGAGCGCGTGGGCGTTCAGCCCACCGTTGGCATGCAGAACATGGCCGCCGCCGCCGCCGCCGCTGCTATCTAAGTGAGCATGTCCTCATGTGGAGTTCGGGCTGGAATATATTCGGTTTTGGTCTTTTTGTTTGTCTCATAGTTCCTTTCTTGTTGGTATATCGGATTTCAATTCATTCAAATGTTTTGATTTTGATACTTCATAGTAATCTGTTCACGTAAACGTAATGGTAATGCTTTAGTCAATGCTCTCTATTTTGCCACGATTGACACCACATCCTCGTCTGCTACCAGATGCGACAATCCAACGCGTTGTGGTACGTGTCGAGCGCTGGCACCCCAAACCATGGCGTACTTGAATGTTTCCTTGAGTGTGCGATGAATCTGGTCACACACATCCTCGATGGTAGAGTCCTGGCGCACAATCAGGGCCTCGCTGAAGTCGGGCACTTCTCCCTTTCTGTGGCATTGTCAGTATCATAATCTTCAAATTGAGTCCCTCCAAAAGGAAATGCATCAGACAGGAAAGTGCGGCATACCGTTTTGTGTACAGTCGCATTAATCTCAACTCCTTCCAGATCCGCTCGACCACCTCTTGCACACCAAGGTCAAGCTCACAACTCATGACCGCTGTGTGGGGCTCACGGGCCAGTTGGTCCAGGAACTCGAGGCTGACGCTGTCGATCTTGTTGTAGACATACAAGCTAGCATATAGTTAGCATAGGCCTATTCATACGCAGTCGATTTGTGACCCTGAGGCTCCTTACCAGCGGATGTACTTGCGGTGGTCCTTCATAATGACGTCGATAAAGTCATCGATCGTAGCTGGAACAGAAAATGAGTCATTTAACTCTCGTTGTACACTTCAATGAAGACTCACCGTTTTCGTCTCGCACCAACACCTCACAGTTGAGAATCTTGTAGTCACGCAGCACGTTGTAGATCATCTTCTCGTCGAGGTATTTGGGTGGGGTCTGAAAGCCGATCTTCATACCGCCGGCCTTTTTGATCTTCAGGTAAATGTTGCTAGGTTCTTGTTAGTAATATTTCTCCATGGAGAATGAAGTATGACCTACGGAGGCTCCTTATTCAAGCGAATGCCAACAGCGTCTAATTCAGCCTCCAACAAGGCTCGCTGCTCAGCACGCTTGGTAGCATCCAAGACCATCAGGACCAGGTCACTTGTCTAGATCCAAGGTTAGATTCCACCTTCCCTTCAATCTCTACACAAGCCAAGACATACCTTTGCAGCAGAGATGACCTGACGACCACGACCCTTGCCCTCGGCAGCACCTTCGATAATACCAGGCAGATCCAGAATCTGGATCTCCGCACCGCCGTACTCCAGGACACCGGGAATGGCAGTCAAAGTGGTGAAAGAGTACGAGGCAGCCTCACTCTTGGTCTTGGTGATCTTGGACAGGAAAGTTGACTTTCCAACGGAGGGGAAACCGACCAGTGCCACACGGGCATCACCACTTTTGCTGACGTCGAACCCGGCGCCGCCACCTGATCCAGCACCGCCTACGGGCTCGAGAAGTTGGGCTCGAAGACGGGCGAGTTTTCTGGGAATACGTTAGCACGATGTACTCGAAGCTATCTGAATCTGAGATCTGCAATGGAGGAGGTAGCTACCCTTTCAATAGACCCAGATGGTATTCTGCGGATTGTTAGTTCTGGACGTGATTACTGATCTGCTGGTAGAACTTCGTACCTGTCGCCTTGTTCTCTGCGGGGCTTTGTTAGCGGGGTGATGCAAAATTTGGCTCTGAGATAACTTACTCTGCGTCCGGCGCATCTCATCCTCAATCCTGTAGTTCAATGTGTCAGTGATTCATTTATGCATCGTTGTGTAGTCAACATACTCCTTGATCTTTTCCGTGATATTGACCATCTTGCCGGTGGGTAAGGCGTATCGCCAGATATCGCACTGGGTTTGTTCTTCGTTCCGTTCAGCTCTTGTCCGAGTATATCAGGCCAGACAAAATCAAGTTGGCCTACTTTTCAATCAGAGCCCAAGATAGACACTCGCGAATATCTAAAATCCCAAAAACCAGCGCAAAGGTCGTTCGTCGCGAAATCCGCACCCGCCAAGCCTTATGTAATCACCTTCATTTCGCCGCGCAGCTTAACCTCGCTTTTTGCCCTCGACACCTCCCTACAAATCTCCCCAGCCATGGCAGACACAGTCGTTGAGCCCGAAGAGGCAATTGTTCTTAACAGCCCCGAGAACGATGCGCCGGCTGCGGACACCGCCGTTGTCAAGAAGACCAAAAAAATCATTCGCAGGAAGAAGAGGCCCGCTAGGATACAAGTTGACCCTTCTTTTGTGAAGTCGGAGCCGCCACCGCAGACGGGTACGATCTTTAACATCTGGTACGCCAAGTGGTCTGGTGGCGACCGCGGAGATCAGCAGGATCTCAACACGCCGGCACCGGGGCGCTGCAATATTGCTCGCGACAGCGGTTATACGCGCGCTGATAAAGTGAATGGGTCATTTTTCTGCCGTAAGTGCTTATCCGATCTGCAGATATCAATGGGAAGCTTGAAGGAAACTAATACTGGCCCATCCAGTCTTCTTCGCCTACGGTACATGCTTCAAAGGCCCCGAGTGCGAATACCTGCACCGCCTACCAACGATACACGACATCTTTAACCCGAACGTCGACTGCTTCGGACGAGATAAACATTCTGATTACCGTGACGATATGGGTGGTGTGGGTTCCTTCACCCGCCAGAACCGCACGCTGTACGTCGGCCGAATCCATGTCACCGATGATATCGAAGAGGTGGTCGCGAGACACTTTGCGGAATGGGGACAGATTGAACGCACGCGTGTGTTGACGGGACGGGGTGTGGCTTTCGTGACTTATTCGAATGAGGCGAATGCGCAATTCGCCAAGGAGGCTATGTCTAAACAGGCCTTGGACAATAATGTGAGTATAGTACTTTTTACATTGTTTGAAGAAAGCATTTGCTGACAATCGTTAAGGAAGTATTGAATGTTCGCTGGGCGACTGTTGATCCGAACCCTTTGGCGCACAAGCGAGAGGCGCGCCGTTTGGAAGAGCAGGCTGCGGAGGCGGTGCGTCGGGCACTGCCGGCAGCTTTCGTGGCTGAGATTGAGGGCCGTGATCCTGAGGCGAAGAAGAGGAAGAAGATTGAGGGTAGCTTTGGGTTGGACGGGTATGATGTACCCGATGATGTATGGCATGCGCGCACACGGCAGCTAGAGAGCTCGAAACCCGCAGCTGGCGAGCTTGAGGCGCCTGAGGAGCCCTTGATGATCGAGTCTACGACATCTGTAGCTGCGCCTGCGCCTGCACCTGCACCAGAATCCGAGAGCGGGATCTTTTCGAGCGCGACAGTGGCAGCTTTGAAGGGATTGACAGGTGGCAACATAACGACTCAGGCAGCGCCTCAGACCTCTGGGCCATTAGTCGCTTACGGAAGTGACGATGACAGCGACTGAGTCAGCACTACATGATATTTGGATTCTTAATGTACTAAACAGCGATACCTCATCAAATGACGAATCTGGCCTCATAGGCACGAACTTCATTACATTGGCGTTATTCATAAACGGGGTATCATCCCGAACGCTCGCTAAACACAAACAAGGGAGGTGTATGATAGTTTGAACAAGAAGAAAATCACAGTTTCCACCCCAAATGAGAATATGCAATTGGTCCCGTAGACCGAAGCCAAAACCAACTCCGTCCTTACCTGTCGCCGGGTCCGAGGTCGTAGTACACACATGAGCCGGTCCGATAGTTGTAGATGAACGCGTTGGTGTAACGTTCTGTGCTTTCGCAAGAGCGGCTTTCCGAGGCGAGGTCGCTAAGTAGTTCGTACACTTGGCTGATGTATTTACGTTCTGTTAGCGGTGCGTTTTGAATGACAGTTCGCCAGCTGTCGGGGTCGGAGAGGCGAGTATTGCGGATAGAGTCGAGGACGTCGTCGCGTGTGTCAATGGCGGCGACAGGACCGTTGCGAGCACTATCGGCGACCTCGCGGGAGCGGAGAAGAGCTGTGTACAATATTAGGACTGCAACCAGGAAAAGGGTTACTAAAGCGTACCCGACTCAACGATGTTCCTTCGGTTTGTCTTCTTGCTCCTGTGCTGAGGCACGAGAATACGCACATCATTCGCTTTCTCGCTAGACAAGAGAGCATCCTGCTGCACAGATTGGCGTGACTGCCGAAGATCCACCATGCCTTCACGATGGAGCCGAGCCTGAACTTCGAATCGAAGCCAAGGTACAAGTTCGGAGCTGCGAACATCATACTCTTCCCTGCGCTGAAGATTCCGCACTTTGTAGCCCCGCTCCTTACTGTCTTGCTTCGCGATCACAATCCAGTGGTGATTGTGCTCGCGGTACTTGATCATAAGCTCTTCAAGAGACGAGGCGTCAACAGCAAGCTCTGCACTGACATCGTTCGCCCAAAGATCCTCGATGATCTTGATGCCGGTGGTGCGAAGAACAGCTGCGTCGAAGCTAGCAACAAGGACATCGCACTGTTTCTTTTAGCATATGATGGGGTTTGAACGAAGTGACATTCAGGTACAACTTACCCTGCGGGTTGTCCAGTATAGCTCAGCGCCCGTGTCAGTGTCTTTCGGCGCTGCTCTGGAGTTCAGGTGCTCTCTCATAGACAAGCCGAGTCTATCAGAGCTGAGATTGAAGCCGACTGCATGCGCTTGAGGTCGGTTGGACAGAACCTTGGGAGAGAACTCTTGGATCAAACGGTCATATCGGCCACCTGCTGCAAAGACATCGCGGCGCTTGCTGTCAAAGATACATTGAAACAAGACGCTCCCTCGGTAAAACTTGTCGTGCAGGCTACTTAAGGGATTGATGTAGACCTTTCGTTTTACGCCAAAGCATTGCAGATAAGTCATGAGCACATTCAAGCGGGCGAAAATAGGGGAAATCCGTTCAGCAAATTCAGTGCCTTCCATGATGGATTGCAACCTGCGCTGCGTCTCTCTCGGATTATCTAGATTAAAAAGATTAGTGTTTCGTATACTATAGGCTATGCTTGAGCTTACCTCTAAAGTCAAAGCGAGCAAGATCGTCCAGCGAGGTTGAAGCGACACCAATAGCAGGAGACCGGAGTTCACTTCGAATTTTCTGCATGGTCCATTTGCCGACATTCAGCTTACTGATGACTTCCTTCACCAAGGGAATCTGGGAAGGCGTTATGCGACAGAATTCCATGATCAGTTGTAAGAGGTCAGAATGATTGATCAAAAAGCACATTGATGCGGATCGAAGAGGAGGGAATTCCTCGATGATTTCGTCAAGTACTTTGATCACTTCCGCTTCCTTCAGGGCTAGGTCAAGCGTGTTGTAAGATACGATGTCAAAGCTCACCTCGCGGTGAGTGCGCGGCTCGCTCCCATGCGTAGACTCCCTATAAACAGTTCCAAAGGCGAAAGTCTTTTCCAAGGAAGGATCCTGGCGGGGAATTGCACGCGCATTTGGGACTGTCAGATCGAAAGGCAACTGAAGAAGGTTGCCAGATGCGTCCAACAAACGAACAGCACCGCCGGAATAATGCTGGGATCGTGGGAACAGCATCTGTCTGACCGACTCTACAGCACCGTGTCTCCGAAATATTGAGGTCAATTTCTCCCTCACAAGACCCTGAATGAGCAGCTCATTTGCTTCGGGCACTCCATGAGAGTCCATGTCCCAGGCGAGATCCTCAATTTTCCTCGGTGATTGGGAGAAAATCGCAGACAGGATTTTCTTGTAGTCTGGCGAGTTTGGATCGGAAAGCAGGTGCACGATAGCACGTCTGAAAGTCTCTTCCTCAACTTGAAGAGGAATTTTTCCACTCGAAAGTAGTTCAGCGGCAGTAGGTCGTTGATTGGGAATGTGGCTAAGAAGCGACTCAATAATTTGCCCTTGAACGACTTTTTCCGATTGCTGGAAAGTTTCCGGGAGTGCATGGTTCGGCTCTCTGATTGCCCGCAGTGTTTGATCGCGCTCCATGCTCGTTGGTAGTGGATGGCACATTTCGAATAGAATTACACCGAGGGAATACATCTATATTATATCAGTATCGAGATTGAGATTGGGACTTGAATCTTGGCAGGCTGTACTCACATCGACTTTCTCATTATAGTGACCCGAGAAACCAGATTTCATCTCGGGAGCAACATAGTATGTGGTCCCAAGACTGCGAGTGAAGTCTCCTTCGAAGTCAGCTGCCGCAGATGAGCGTACAGCTGTTGTGAATTGCCCGCTGGTCGCAAGTCCAAAATCGCCGATGCGAGGATTATTGGCCACGTCAATGAAGATATTATCCGGTTTCAGGTCTCGATGAATAATGCCGTGTCCATGGATGTGACTCAGGCCATCAAGAATCTGTCGGAACAGACGCCAAGATCGATCGACATCATCGTACAAGCCGTTCTTGATCAAATCTCGTAGTGTCTTTAATCCATATTAGCATCTTAAAACCCACGACACTTTTCTCTTCAAAAACTCACATGCTTCTCGCAATATTCCATCTGAATATACAATGTAGTCAAGACGGTTCTACCATAGGAGCTTGATCTTGCATGACTGTACTCAGCATCATCTGCGCTACCTGTTGCCCAGTCTTCCAGGTTGTCTTCATTGTGTCGATTGGATATCGTTCCTTCGTCTTCATCGTCACTGTCCGAGGCGGCGAATTCAATCTTTGGATAACCACTAGAACTGATGAAGTCAAGACCGCCGGTGCTGAATCCGTGGTGATCTTGACTGGCAAAGGGATCCCCCTCCGTGGAAGAGATGGCTGCTGACTCGATATGGTTGTAATCTTCCTCGAGCCAGGCTGTATAGTATCGTACAACATACGGATGATTCAACCGTGACAGTAACATGATCTCTGAGAGTGTATCCTTCAATGCCGCAGCGGACGTCTGCGAGATCTTTTTAATAGCATAGAACCGGCCATCCAGCTTATTCCTAGCTTTCACGACCTGGCCAAAGCCGCCACGACCCAGCTGACCAGCCTCGTCAAAGTCCTGGTGGTAACGAGACAGGGCCGACATGGCACCAAAAGAGTCTCCAGCCGTGGGCGTCTCTGCAAAGATACAGAATTTGAAGACCGTTCATGCATGATAAGTGGTGCATCCACGCGGAAGAACTCCGACGGCTGAAGCTGGAAGGCCGTGGGGCGCTTTTTGGGGTCAGGGCGGAAGAATTCACGAAGCAAATCTTGAAGTGGCGGGGAGAGTCCCATGGACACCATCAATTGGTTCGCCGATGTGTATCTCAGAAGGACGTCTTTCCCAAAGGCCATTTGAAGTAATACGATACCGAGATCCCAGACATCCGTCTTCATCGTTGGAGCGCTCTCCTGAGTCAACTCTGGGGGCAGCCATAATGGGGATTTGGACATAGTCAATGAATGCCTTCCACTTGGAGAATCAGGCAGGGCTTCCTCTATGTTAGATTGGAGTTTAACAATGGTACCACCGGATACCGTCCTGCACAGCATAATTCGTCCACTGTGAATATTGCCATGAACAAATCCATTGCGATGATAAAACTCCAATGCCTCTAGAAGCTGAATCATCCAGCCTCGAAGACTTTCAACGGCAATTGTGCCCACAATATCAAGCATCTCCGAGAGTGAGCCCTTATTGGCAAACTCCATAAGGGCGCGAACTTTCCCGTAGTTTTCGGGTGAATCCATGGGGGGGTTTAGGAGGAATGATCGTGAATCCCACGAATCCCACCAGATTGGGATGCCGAAGCCGTCTCAACCCCTCCAATTTATCTTCGCTAGCCCGCATCTGCTCCCTAAATGAAAAAGTATCGGAGCTCTTTTCACTGAGACAGATTTCCTTGAGGACGAGGAGTGGAACATTACATCGGTCTTTAGGCACGAGGGGTCTCACGGTGAAGGTCGTCTTACCCGGCTTGCGTTGCAACAGAGATTTTCCGTATACAGCGCGGAACACCAATGGTTGCTCGTCGGTATCATTGACCGTGACTGGTGGGTCAAATGTCATGAGTTCTGAAGTGCTTTCCATGAGATCACCCATGTCATTGAAATCAATCCCGCTGCTCCGACTCTTGCGTCTTGACTGGGCCTTGTTGCGCCGCCGCTTGTCCTGGAGCATTACCTGTAGCTCGCGTTCTTCCTTCGCATTTTCGGCTTCTCTCTTTCGTAGCTCTTCCTGCTTTTCAAGCTCCGCACGCTGAACCGCTGCGGCTTTTTGCTCCATTCGTTCTTCTTCAAGGCTTGGTAGGTCTTTGTCCTGTTCTCGAGCTTGGGCAACATCCTCCAGGACATCCTGTATAGATAATGCCAGCTCAAATATCATCTCGCTTCCCAGCAGCGTCTTTGGCTTTGTGCGAAGGATTTCCTGGATGCGGGAGCGGGCCTCATCGCGAAATTCGCCTAGGTTCTCCAGTGATATGTTCGGAACCGTCTTGGGATACGTTGCGGGCAGCTCGACTAGTACCACGAGGCGAACGTCCGGGTTCGAGGAAGCTCGGAGGTGGAGCTTGAAAGTCACGTCGGAAGTTTGCTAAGGTGCCAAATTTAGTCACGCGCAGAAAAGTACAAATAATCTTTACATACCTGCCATGCTGACTGCCGCAGCTGGACTTCTTCATAATCGTCACCATAGATCGATTGCAGAGCTTCCGCCTCTGTCTGGTGGATTTCACGGTAATTTGTTGTAGGTATAGCGGGGGATGTCAAAGAAGACTCGGTGGAGGAGGTTTGCTTTTTCTCGCGGGAAGGTTTCTTCCTCTGTTTGGGAGACATCGCGGGGCGTGGCGCGAAATCGCCCTACATCCGGATATTGTACGACATGGGGAGCAAAGAGGTGAACTGAGTGAGTGAGTCAATTGGGAAAGAGGATTGCGGGCAACGACTTCGAAGAAACAGGCGGTCAGGTACTTATCGATAACGCTCCCCTGTTGGTGACTAAATCCTATCTACAATTGGGCAATTGATGCAATTCTTGTAAGTTTCCTTGAGATTTCCTGCTGTCTCCATCAAATATGAAGATCATACAAAAGTTCCATGCGTATGATGCCTTTCGGCCCAAGTGTGGGTATGCTGAGCTGTCCCGCCAAAGATTACTGCAGTAGTCTCCGCCAGCAGGAAATCAAAGTCCCCATTACTTCCACAGAAACAGGGTGCTCATCTTACGAGTGATCCACGCCAAGAATGAAGGTTCCAGTCATCGCAATCAGCGGAGCATATTCCCAGTGTGCCCATTGGCCCTGGCCATGGGTCCAGCACACCGCACCGTCGGCAACGGCCACCGCGCTGTTGAGAATCAAGGTCCAGCCCAATGCCTGACGAGTCCCAAAGTAGGCGGTTGCGTAGATAACAAGACCCATAAAGATGTCTCGGATGCCGTAAATCGCCATCAAGCTGTCGACCATGCGGTGAAGTGCTACATCCGCGGGTGGCTGGAACGCGAAAAAGGTGAGGCCGTGGTCTGGGCGCACGATGGCATTAATGCCGAAGCCAATCGATATGGTTGCAATCGCTGTTGCAACCAGATAGAGAACAGATGGCTTAGAGAAAGACATATTTGAAGAGATGTCGCTGGAGGGTGCAGAGAGGAGAGAGGGAAAGGGCTCGAGCTGGGGTTAAATCTGGGGTAGTATACAAGAATCGCAGGCACATGCATCCGAACACGAGCTTCTACAGAGCCACCTTCCCAGTGCCATAGAGGCTTTTATTGACCCTTAGACAGCCTATAAGCTCTTTGGCATCAATTCACTGAATCATTGTCCAATTCCAGCGTCAACGTTGATGTTGAAATGATCCGTCATTTTGTTCGGACGAAGTACCGCGGCAAAGCACTAGCGAGTCCTCCGAAGGGACGCCTAACTCTTAAGGTGAGGTAGGGGTCGAGCTCTAGCCCTATTCTTTTAGCTTTCGCTCATGAGATCGTCCAGAGCAGAAGCAAGATTGACATAAGTGCCTCATGATGACCAATTCAACCTTACCGGTTTAGAAAAGACTTGAAACTTGGTGAGAGTAATAAAGATTTTGCTATCGCAATTGTCATCGCAATTGTCATGAGCTTTCCAGCAGAGAACCTAAGGAGAAGATCTCGCGGATGCAAATTGCGTGTACTGGACCACGTGCTTCAGGGTTAAGCCCGAGGAAGTAAGGCACATGCAGCTCAATCACACGAGTTCAGAAAATTCCAAATGTCTCTTGACTTGAACCGGTGATTGACAACCGGAGTCAGCTTACCGTCTCGTGGTACTCGTGTTCGCTATCGATAAGCGCCGCTTTTCTGCCTTCCCGCGTTGTAAACAAACCTCCTCTTCACCTCTCCTCGGCCACAATGCTGGACTGGATGAAAGGGAACGAGGGCAAGGCTGCAGGTTAGTTCTTTTTCCCACATCCTGAATGCTGAATTATACTGATGCCCTTTCCACTTTACTCAGACGCCTCCAAGGTGCTGGAGCCGCCCGAGACCCCAGCTCCCGTGTTCGCGATGCGCGCTTTCAAGAGTGCCTTGTTTGGAACGCCCGCCGTAGAAGAGGAAGAAAAGCGCGTGTCGCAACCAAGGCCGTCGATCCATCAACGCAGTCAGAGCGACACGACCCATCCCATCCCTATCGAGAAGACAGAAGCCCCGAAACTCGACCCCGACCCCGACACGATCTTTAACCCCTCGGGTTCTCCAACGAAGAGTATCCTCGTGACACCCGGGACAATTGCAAACCGACGCAAGACGGTCTCCTTTGGTGAAGGTGTTGTTGACAATGAAGGTAAACGTGACGCTCGCGTTACGAAAACGCCTTCTAACCCTGCGGGCAATATCACAACGCAATGGATGTCAGGGTCAGCCGATGGCAAGCCCCGAAGCAAGCTCACTCAGACACTGCTTGATGCGCGGGATAATGCGAGCAAAAATTCCGAGTCGCCAACGAAATCTGTGACAAGCTCCAGATCTGACACGAAGATTGTCGCACGATCCCAATCCAAGGATGAAGTTGAAGACATCACCCTCAACTTGGATGAGCCACGTTCGGAGTCGGGTAAATACTGGAAGACGGAGTTTGATGCCTATCGAGTTCGAACCAATCGAGAGATCAAAAAGCTCATCCACTATCGGTCAGTCGCCAAGTCTTATGCTCGGAAGAAAGACTCAGAGTCTCTGCGACTAGCAGATAAGCTGCGTGAGGAAGAGGAGAAGGTGGTGGAGATGGAACGCCAGGTCTCACGCCTTGCCTCCGCAATTGTCGGGGAGGGATCTCAGGCTGGCAAGGAAGAATTGATTCAAGATCTCACCAAGCAAACTACCTTGGCGCTCCAGTACAAGCAACAAGTCTCGTCTCTGCGCAGGTCGCTCGAGCAACAAGGGTGGTGAAAGGTGATGTAATCGAAACCACCGAGTCAACCAAGGAAGAGCAACATTCAGACAATTCATTCGAGCTACGCAAAGCGCAGCAGGAGCTGAAGCAAGCCAACGCTCAAATCGAGGAAATGAAGCGGCGGAGTTCAGACCTCACCACACTTCAGAATCTCGCGCAAAGCTCGGAAAAGAAAGCGCAAGATCTCGAAAAGGAGAATCACTCTCTCAAACAAACCTTGGCACGCGTCAAGCAAGAAATGTCGCGATACGAAGGCCGGCGCAAGGAGAAGGAAACGAAACTCAAGCAGAGAGAAGCCAAATTGGAAGCCCGAATCCAAGAGTACCGAGACCGTTTGAAGACAACCTCTCAGGAGCACCGTGCATCAGAGGAGGCGCTGCGTGCGAATTTCGAGGAGGAACGCCGTCGAATGCAAAACCAGATTGACCTCTTGAGGCTACGTTCTGCTGGTACAGAGCATGGCCCGACCCTACGTCCCCAGCAACGCCACTCCTTGAGCCCGCGCAAAGAGTATTCGGGGGTCCATGTATACGACTTTGCAGGCAAAGACCACCCAGAGTTCGAAGAAGAAGCCACCGATGACATTGAAGCACCACCAAGCCCAAGCCCTCGCTCCAAGGGACGACAGGCCCGCAATGCGACAACAGGCGTGCCAGATCTAAGAAGAGTTCGAGATGTCGCCGCTGATGATGACGAGGTCACGCATTATTTAAACCAGATCCTCCCCAGACCCCGTCACGTTGTGCATACAGAGCAGGACGCAATTCCACCCTCGTCACCACCGGAGATCGCGCCTGTCAAACCACTTAGTCGCAACCACACGAAGTACCAGTCCATTCGAGATGGCCAACGCTCATATCGCTCTCTGTACTTGCGTGATCCCGACAACAAGGATGCAGGAATTGCGCAGCGTCCGCGACCCCACATCAAGTCCACCTTAGATTCAATCTCAGGCCTACCTGCTACGCGGCCTAATTATGCCGGATACACAATTTCCGCAGGTGAGCGCGGCCCCCGACGTGGACTGGCCGACATGAGAAGCGACATGCTCTCACCGGAGAGAGTGGCCGCAGCAAAATCGAGGCTTAAGCAGAAGCACGAAAGTCGAAAATCAAAGGCTCTACTTGGAAAGGAGAATTTGTAAGGGGGAATGTCTGATCATTTCGTCTTGATTGGGCGCTACATGGGTTGTGGAATTTGTTCTCGTTCGAGCGCTTGTGTTGTCTAGATAATCAGAGCATGGATGAAATACATATGCAGAAATCGAATTGTTATAATTTCCTTGTGACAATCATAGTTTGCCAAATCTTCATTGCGAAAGTCGAGACATCAAACTTCCATATATGTTCTAGACTAAACGACTGTGTTCTTGGCCAACGTCTATTCAAAATAGGGCACATACCAGGTGATCTACAAACCCACTTCTAACGACAAATCCCGAAAAGTAGCCGGCTTTCCAAAGCCACCATTAAATTACCTTGTATCATCACCAATTTTCTCTAAGCCTTGCCATCAGAGAAGGATACCACCGCCCACTTGCCGCTCCAAGCCCACTTGCGAGCCTCGCTGCCGCCTCCATCGGGAAGCTGGCGGAGCTTCTCATCTTCGCCGGCTGGGAGACCGACGACAACATCGGCTTTGCAAGTGCGGAAGGCCATAACACGGATACCGGACTTGGGGCCCATTGGACCGATGGCAGTTGTGAATGGTGTTGTAGGGTCCCATTGAGCCTAGGTAAAACTTCAGGAACGAGGTCGATTAACTTGACGTTACTGGGGGATCTTACATCGTTGGTCAGCTTGCGGTAGTTCAAATCACCCTTGAAAAGGACAAGCTCGCTCTCCTTCAGATCTTCGAAAAGTTCCGGTGCAACGTGAGGCATGCGCCAGAAGCAGCCCTGGGTAGTCCAGAACGAGTGCGGACGCACGATGAGCTTGCCGTCCTGATGGAATTCACTCCAATGCTCGAAGAGGAATTTCACGTCGGCAACCTCCTTTTCAGAGAGATCGGGGTGGGCCTTGTCCGAGTCGTCCGGCGCAGTGTAGAATGCTTGGGGGTCGGCCATGCAATTCAGGAGATCCGCAAAGTCCTTAGGCGTGACGTCGGATACGAACCATGGGAGGCGCTTGGGGTGGAGGACGATGCTGGTGGCCAGACCCGTGGACAGCAGGTATCCAGCGAGGATCAAGTCGACGAACAGCTCAAAGCCGGAGTTGTCTAGAACGATGTCGACGCGACGCTCGCCATCCTTCTTCTCGCGTCGGGCCTTCTGCATGACGTCGAAAGCGGCATCAAGGTCGTTGACGAGGATGTTGCTTTGAGAAGCTTTTCGTGCTTCTGAGCCCTGCAGTTTCTGGATGTCCTCATACGTTAGAGATGTCAAGAGCGACAGGTCGGTAGCGTTGCCCCAGAGGCAGATTTCGCACATCTCGGAGAAGAGGATTCGCTCTGCCTGCTCCATTTCTTCGGCCGATTTGCCATCTGAGCCCTTGCTGAACTCTGCTTCTTGTGCCAACTCACGGTACCGCGCGGCAAGCTCCAGCACGGCGGGGCGTGAAGACTTGAAGGTAGACATTTTCTGGCGACTAAAAACATCATATCCCTTCCAGAGTTTTGACAGCGCGAAGAAGCTTTCCAGGCGGCGGTCTATTGATCGCTCAAGTCAGCTCCAATTGTCATGAGTAATTCATTTACATCTGGTTGCATACAAAGATAGCATTCGGCATAGAGCCATGGGGCATCATGCCATTTGGGGTTTCCACGCTGCTCTAACTCTTGGTTATACGAAGTAATATCCGAATGGCCATCGTCATCAAGAGGTCTGTCAACATATCCAGTCAAATTTCTTCCAAACAAAGATGTAATAGAATAGTCGCTTCGAAAACAGGATAAAGATTTCCGAAGGCGAGGTTGTTCGTGACTTACGTCAATTGTTTGTTGTGCTGAAGCTCATAGTTCAATTTGGTGATCTTTTCGAGGATGCTCTTGCCTTCCTGGAGCTTCCCGTCGTCCGTCACGTCCTTCAAAGTGCGGTGCAGATCATCAATGGCACCAGTCTATGAGAGTCAGTGATTTAGGCTGCGTCATATCCGAGAAACACCTACAATGATGCGGGGCCATCGATCAATGGCCGAGACCGAGGCGAAACTCGACTTGTCCGAGGTGAGGTACTGGGCTAGTGGGAATCAGCAATTTCCAAGTAGTCAGACTCAATGCGTAACATACGTGTCTTCGGATCGAATTCCATCTTGTGTTTCTGACGTTTGATGAAAGTTGGGGAAAACCAGCAGAAAACCGGAGGGGAAGCGGGGCAAAAAGGCGGTGAGTTTCTACATGGCGAGGAGCTAAGATAGGAATAAAGAGACTCGTAAATACAGTAGTAGATTCGTCCTGTCTAGCTCATTTAAGATACCTGTTACTTCGTGTTCTAAATCATCACATGGCCGAGAGAAGTGAGTTCTGTGCATACGCCTAGACCGGATGTCAGTTCGGATCATTTAGATTGGGGGGGATTTCACTTACCATCGGCTTGATATCCGGGTGAGGGACGGCGTCAAACACCTCATATTGGAGCTTAAGGTCAGGCCCAAGGTTGATATAAGCACCCTTGTTCTCGGTAGAGTCGCAGTATTTGGGTGCAGAGAAGACGGTAATACAGCGACCATCATGCTCGACTTCGTATCCTTCCATGCGCACCTCGTGGGATCGGATGATAGCCTCCAAGCCGTTGTTCTCGCAGAATCGCTTGGTGATATCGGGTCCGAATTGCAGACCGACGCCGCGCTTGCTGGGTCCACGTCCAGGCTGGGTTTGAGGGTCGGTCCAGAGCATCTCCATCATCAGACCCGACTGGCCAGGTTGGCGCTGGTTGTGACGATTGAGTTTCCGGATATCGTCCAATGTGATCTTGTCGTCGGAGAAGAGACCGCCGTGAAGAACGAGGTACTTGCTACCAATCAAGGTAGCCAGGGGAAGGGCAGAGAAGGACTCGGAGAAAACCTTGAAGACCCGCTCATTATACTTGGCCTTACATTCTCCCTCGAACCCGTAAACCTTGTTCATATCATCCGTCTCGTGGTTACCGCGGTTAATGAATAGACCGTTGGGCCGCAACCACTTGTATGCGTATAGAAGAAGGGCGATTTCGCAAGACCACGAGCCACGGTCCACGAAGTCACCGTTGAAGAGGTAGGCGTGAGTGTCGGAGGGGCTGCCGTTACGGCGGAAGATCTCCAAAAGATCGAAGAATTGGCCTGGTTCCGTTAGTACCCTATGTAGACTTCCATGTTGAGAGCAAACATACCGTGCGTATCACCACAGACCGTCAACTTCTTGCCAGCCTCCACACCAATCTCCACCATAGTCGGCTCGTTGTAGACCAAATCCTTAACAGCCTTGATAATCTGGAATACATACTTGCGGTGAATGTTCTTGCCGTTCTTAAAGCGTTCAATCATATCATCGATGAACTCCTGGGTCATCTCGCCCTCCAGGTGCACACCGTCATAGTTATCCTCAACCTTAATAGCATCGATATCAAGACCTTCAAAGGCAGACGGAGGATCTGAAACCTCAATAGCTTTCTCGAACTCCATCCGGCGCACAAGCTTCTCGCATTCGGCCAATCTCACCCTCGCATTTTGGTTGCCGGGTTCGCGCTTGACGACAGCCTTGAAATCCCTCAAGGCAGCCTTGGAATCAAGGATAGCGGCGTTGGCAAGGGCACGTCTCCAGTAAGCCTAGAACGAGTCTCAAGTCAGCACTGACCCTGTGGCCGCATGCGCCGTTCCCACCCCCACACTTCCTTGTCTGCGGCTGTACTCCACGATAACGACTAACCTTAACGTAGTCTGGATCCAATTCCAAAGCCTTCGTGGCATCCGCGATGGCGTAGCCATAGGCCTCGAGTTTGATCTGAGCCTGGCAAGAGAGAATGAAGGTCAGTTGAAGCGGAAGTGATGGCTCGTGTGGAAAGGCCGTACCTGGGCCCGGTTACAAAAGAACGAGGGTTCCTGGTCATATTTCTCGATCGCCTGGTTGTAGAAGTCTACAGCAGTAGGCCAATCATGGTTTGCAAATGCCTTGTTGCCCTGCAACTTGAGGGCGTTGGCCGCCTCCTTGTCGGAAGCCATAGCGGAGCGGGCAGACGAGCACGAGACTGTGACGATCGGAGGTTTGGAGGGCGCAAAGCGATGACACAGGAAGAGAACTTGCTCGGGGGATTGTAGGGAAAGAGGGTCCTAATGGACCGATGAGAGACGGGCGTGAAAGTGGCGAAATACAGGTAAAAGAATAGAAATCAGGGTCGAATCAAGGCTTGTTCCTGACGATGTTCTTTTTTTCTTCGATCGCAACGGGGCTTGGCAACCTTCCAGAACCCTCGACCGCTGTGCCCGCCTCCCTCCTCCTTCACCACCCACCATGTCCTTTTACGCTCCTTCGAACCAGCAGCGCACTCTGCGCGCCTGCATGGTCTGCTCCGTTGTTCAGCTTCATAATGTGAGAGAGCTCGCTGTCCCCAATGCCGGCATCGCCTCGGCGGCTTATGATCGTTGATCGCTGACCAGCTTTCTGCTACAGAAATTCATGCGTGACGGCTGTCCGAACTGCGAAAACATCCTCCAGCTCCGTGGGAATAACGATGCCATTCAAGAATGCACCTCACAGGTCTTCGAGGGCTTGATTGCAGTTCGTGACCCGGCCGCTAGCTGGGTTGCGCGGTGGCAGCGTTTGGACAACTATGTTGCTGGGACATATGCGGCCAAGGTGACAGGAACAGTGAGTCTGGAATCGCTCTGGTCGCTCGGAATTCAGACTAACAGTTTCAGCTCCCCGAGTACATTATTAACAGCTTGGAGGATTCCGGGGTCAAATACGTTCCGTAAGTGCTGCTCGTGATGCCACTGCTGTTTCTGTTGACTCTAATTTCTTCTCGTTATAGGCGCGACGGAAGTACCGGCGAGGAGGAGTCCTGAAGCGATCTATTTCGAATTCTCTGCAACCTTCATTGTTCATACGGTCTTGGCGAATACCCTTACAGAATCCGCGCGACCGAGCTTGAGGACTTGAGAAAGATAGATACATTACTTGACTGGTTTTCTTTGGAGTTATAGGTCGGAAGCATGGCGCTACTTTTCATTCTCGAGCATTCAGCTACAGGTCCAATACAGCAGAGGTTCCAACTGCTAGAGTCCCAAAATATAGAATTTGGAATCTTTAATCACAAAATATGAAGTCATTCAATTGGTAGTGACGTGAAAATCTATGAAATGTACATGGCCCGACTTTGGGGGGCATCACTCGTGGCATGGAAAAAGTAAAGAAAACCCCAAATTAGAGGTCAAAGACAAACATGGAATCCGCTTATTAAATCATGTAGGAAAGGGCCAGCCCAGTCGCTGATTCTGAATTTAAAGCAGCTTGATGATCTTCTCAATGCTCTCCAGAAGGATATCGGCGTGGTGCTTCTGGAAGACCAGCATGGGGCGCAAACGAACGGCAGCGACACCGCTGCCGCCGATGTTGACACCAACGGTCTTCGCCTTGGCGAGGAACTCGTCACGCTTGGGGGTGTCCCAAGCAATGAAGGTTCCCTGGCCCTTACCACGCAGGTTCTGGAAGTGGGCGGGGTATTTGGCAGCGAGGGTCTCGAGGCCGGAGTAGAGGTAGTCACCGGTGATGCGAGTGTTCTCAACGAGACCAAGACGCTCGACCTCCTCGATGATGGCGCGGTAGATCAGAGCGCGGGCGGGGTCACCCATCCAGGTGTTGAACTGGCGGTAGGGCTTGTTGGGGCGCAGAGCAGGGTTGCCGAAGTAGTAGCCAGCAGTCTGGGCCTTCTTGGAGAAAGTGACCATGTCGGGGGGGAGTGGTGAGGTTCCAGTGGTCGTGCGCCCAGAACTTGCCAGTGGCTCCGATACCAGTCTGCACCTCATCGACGATGAAGAGGACGTTGGTGCGCTTGGTGATGTCACGCAGGCCTTGGAAGAAGGCGGGGAGGCGTGATTGTCACCACCCTCGGACTGGATGGGCTCGACCATGACGGCGGCGACGGGGTTGTGATACTCCTTGATGAGACGCTCGACCTCCTCGAGGCAGCGCTTCTCCTCGGCGGCATTCTCCTGCACATGGTCCTCGAGGGGGTACTTGAGGGCGGGGAAGGAGGCCTGGGGCCAGTCGAAGGCGGGGATGTCAAGCTTGTGGATAGCCTTGGAGCGGGTGGTGGAAAGAGAGCCGAAGAGACGGCCGTGGAAGGCAGACTTGAAGGAGAGGATAGATAGCTGGGGAGAACCGGGGCTCTCGTTGTTCATGGTGGACAGCAACTCCTCCTCAGTGAACTCGACCTGGGGACCACCACGCTGAAGCTGGCGGTAGTACATGAAAGCGGCCTTGTAGGCCGTCTCGTTGGCGTCAGAGCCGGCCATGGCAGTGAACACCTGGTTGAGGCCCTTTGGGGCGGCCCGCAAAGCACCGGTCTTCAGAATCTTGGCCCAGTCAGCGGAGGGGAAGTTACCAAGAGCGGGACGGTTGATCAGCGCATTGATCATCTCAGGAGACTGGGTAGCCTGCTTCAGGTGGGGGTTGTTATAGCCGACGGGAATAGAGGCGATCTGAGCATACACATCCAGAAGCTTGTTGCCATCGAGATCGGCAATGTAGTTACCGACGGACTGAGAGTAGTCGGCAAGCATGTTCAAGCTGCGAACATCGAAGACCTCATCGAGCTCCGCGGCAGCCGCCTTGTTCTTGGGGCCGGGGATAGAGGTCTGGACGGAGGGAGCGGTAGGCTCATTGGGGAAGAAGGACTTCTCGGCCGCACGCAGGCGGGTGGTAGTCGAGAGAGTACGAACCGCCGAGACACGAGCGGCAGTGCGCAGCTTAGCGCCGCTGCGAAGAACGGAAGCCATTTTATAAAGTAAAGGTGGCTAGATGAAGTGCAACAAAAAGAGGAGAGATGCCGGGGATGGAACAGTCGTGTCAAGAACTATTCAAGGCAAATGGCCCAAGATCCAGTCCAATTTCTAATTGAAGTGACACGAGAGAAGTGAAAGAAAAAAAGAATGGAGGGGCAGAGGATTTATATCGATGGCAACTCTCGTTATCTGTCGCGGTGAGCTCCAGAGCTCTTCTTCTCCCGCGTTGATACCATTGGATCTCGGCGGCGTACACCAATCACAGCAAAGAACGGCCCACGAAACGCCGAAGTAGAAAGCCTGGAAACTTGACGAATTGAGTAAGTCTACGCAGGTGGGTTGCCATGCTACAATTTTATGTGGTAAGAGATGCGCCTGACTCCATCCCACTCACGTCCGTTTGCCCCATTCCAATTGAATGGACTCACGAGGCGGGAAAAGAAGGCTCTTTGCGCTTCCCCACCGTCGATCGCCTTATCGCGATAACAGCGTGCGGGGCCCTTCAGATCCCATGACCACGTTGTCGCCCAAGTGGCTAATACTGTTTCTAAAACTACATATTGTTTCTCGTAATACCTACCCCTGCCTGTCATATTCTGACATTATATTCTGACATTATATTCTGACATTATATTCTGACATTATATTCTGACATTATATTCTGACATTATATTCTGACATTATATTCTGACATTATATTCTAACATTGAATTATCTAGTAGACTTACAATGATAATAACGGTCCATCCTCATGAATCTATCGAGAATTGGCCACTTACTTCAGATCATATATATTTATGTATTCACGTTGGATGCATGTCCCAAAGCCCATGACACATGCATAGTTGCTATACCCCGGAAGGAAGTAACCAAATACATATGAACCATGACCTGTTGGCACACATGCATGAATATTGGAGCCCGTAAAGTTGTCCAGATGTATAGAAAGCGACGTCACGATTACCAAGTGTGAGAGTCTCTAAGTCACCTGGGCAAAGCTCCCTGAACGGGAATGGTTGACCCGGAATTATAATTCTGGTCTTGATTGAGCAACAAGCACTCAGGAATTGAATGCATGAGGCTCTTTCTCAGGCCGAGTGTTCCGATCATATCTATCGCTGAACATATTGGGCAACTCTCACCGTCGGGAATGCCTTCCTAATTGGAACATTGCGGATCCACACAACGGATTGTTTCATGGACGCATCTATGGAGCTTCTCCTTCATACAGCTGGGCTTGTGGTTTAGTGGTATAATACTCCCTTAGCATGGGAGTGGTCCGGGGTTCGATTCCCCGCGAGTCCATTTTTTGCTTTTTGTTCTTTGACTCCACGCTCCTATGTAGGGGTAACGAACATTTTCTCTTCCTTGGCATCAATGAACATGACTTCAAAAATTTTCGTGTACGCAGCTTAGAGTCATTTAGTGGTACTTGTGCTCAAAATTTTGAATTGTATTCAACAAGTAACTGGTTCCATAACTCAGTTGGTTAGAGTGTGGTGCTAATAACGCCAAAGTCGAGGGTTCGACCCCCTCTGGAACCATTTATTTTTTCTTTTCCTTTTGTTTTTCCTCCCTGCAACGGCTTGGTCACTTTACTGGCTGACCGAAAGGGTGGTTTACATGAATTCCTGAACGCACTATCACTATTGTTTCGCATCTAGCTTTGTTTCTTTTCACCTGATGTCACTCCAAATGGCTTTACCTAAGTCACAGCCGTGATTTCCCAGCCATTCCTCTATATTTCTGATCCGTCTGTAAACCAAACTCATTTTACCTTTGCAATCCGGTTCATGAAGCTTAATTATTCTTATTCACACGCCCCAGAGATTCCACCCCATTTCCAAAAGTTTTCTTCGTACTTGGGACTCAAATTAGATCTTAGCTGAAGCACACTAGACTAGGGACCACGCTAGATTAGCGTTCGCCGATCCTAGCCAGAACATGAATAGTGCAGTTGCAAGATCGGAACCAGACTCGATCTATTATCGAACGAAGATGCTGGTCAGCCGAGTCACAATGTAAGACCAACTTCCCGACCGATCCCGGATTACGAAGTACTAGTCCACAAGTGTAGCCACAGATCAGCGGTGGTTATCAGTTACTTGAAATAAGACAAAAAAAGTCAAACAAGGATGATTGTCCATTAAATCATATTGTTGCATGTATCACACTCGTCAAGCCGTCACAGTGGCACTGTAAAAAAAGCTTTTTACCACCTGGGCAACCAAAACCCGAAAACAAGCAAAAGCACAGGGGATATATCAAAGGCAGATGGTACAAAATATATTAAAGAAAGCCTCTCATGAATCAGTTGGGGTGTCCATGCCCGAGGGGCCATTCGTTCTCGCGCTGTGTAGAGCTCGAAGACTTGGAGCTGGCCGCGGAGGTGATGACTACACCGTGTTGCTTCATATCAATGGCGCTTGTGGGGGAGATGGCGCGAGTAGGTTCATTAGAGAAATCGTAAGATCTATCCATGTCGCGATGGTGGGCGAGTCTGGACTCAGTCCATGTTTCCATTTCCACCGTGCGCATGATCTCGAAGCGGTCGCTTTCGTAGCCTGGCTGACGGGAGTCGGTGCTGATGGGGTGGTGGGAGTTTCGCGAGCGGCCATTTGATGACCAGATCTTCTGGGAGCGGGTTCGGTTGTTGTAATTGTAGCTGATGTTGCGGGAGGATTGCAGAAGGTGGGGAAGGAACGCCGCAATGAGAGGACGGAGGGCTGGAGCGGAAGAGCAGATCTGATCATTCGTTAATATCATTCATGGAGTTGACTTTTGGTTCCGTAACATACCAGTCCCAGGCTAATCTCAACTGCCGCGGCGACAAGGACAGGCCATCCAACCCAGGTAATATCATAACTAGCCACCATACTCTTCCACACGTATACAGTGCGCACGGAGCCTGCCACGTTGACAATGATACCCAAACCGAAGATGGAGATGACAGCGAGACGTTGGCGAGTGGGAAGTTTCAGACTCCAGATGAGAGGCATCGGGATGGCGGTAGCGAGGAAGTCAGTAAAGATGTTGATCACACTGGCGGAGAAGACAATGTCTGGGTCATTCAGGCACTTGTGGGGGTACGTGGGCTCGACCTCCCAATAAGCCTTGATAGGTCTGCACCAGGAGTCAGTCTTTCAGGTTGATAGTCGGCTTTTTTAGAATACTCACGAGCACTGGAAGACACTGACGAGGGTGAAGGTAATGCAAGAAAGTGCAACAAAGATCATAGAGAGAATGAAAGCCCAATTATAAACTTGAAAGTTGCCCTTTCCAGCGCCTAGAAGTCGTCGACAGAACCACAACAGTGATATCTTGGTGATACTGGATGACATTGAGAACATGATCTGGAAACACAAGTTGAGCTTCTGCACAGTGGGCAGCCACGAGGTCGGGATATCCCAAATGTGTCGATTCCAGCCCCAGACCTCCGTCGCGAACGAGGTAATGACGACCATTGCAATGCCGAAAATGAGCCCAAACACGATTAGAATATCGTCAATACCGGCACTGTATGTGATCCGAAATCGAGTGTATAGACGGAGCATTACTGCCACGAACGCCAGAGACATGGTGATGATGTTGACGATCATGGCGCCATGGCCGCGAGTCGGCGGGTCAATGTAGTTTGGCGTGGGCCATTGAGCCATCACGGCCAGCGGGGGAAGTCGCATGGCGGGCGAGGAATGTGCTCTGGTGTTTCCAATGTGCTATTGTTGCAATGCAATCGAAAATAGGGCATGCAATTGTCGTGTGCGTTGGTTTTCGGGGATTATGAAGGCGAAGGGGCAATAAGCATCGCCATATCCGTAGTAAATAGAAGAGCACACTATCAAAAAGTGAAAGAGAAAGTGACAATGATGCGGCTATATCATGATGAATAGAGTAATGACCGTAGGAGAGAAGAGATTTAGCGTTGTATCACGCTGAGATCTGGGGATCAGAACAGATATATTAAGCAGTAGGGTATGACGGGGCAAAGAATGGTTCCATTGTGGGAAACAAGTTAAATTACGGGCAGACAAAACACGCTGATTTGTGAATAGACTTTTGGACGTACAGTCGAGACCCAACAACCGGCAGACGATCAGACGACTCCATACTACGCAACTACGGGCGTTCCATGAACCGATGGCGATGAGCCCTGGTCCACCTCGCGATTCAATCCACCTGAAAAAGGCGCCAGTGCTTAAAAAGGAGGCAAGACCGACCGCCGGCGGGGAAGGGAGGCACAAAGCCGACGGCGATAGGTAGATCCAGAGCATAGTTCTATTCGCGAATCCACCCGGAGCGAGACAGATCTGATGCACAGGACGTGAGAGGCTAGTGCTTGGAAAGAGTGATGCCCGGACCCACTGGCTCGCTTTCAGGCACGGAGTATCATCGCGGTATCTTTTGTATCACCGTCTTAGTGCCTCGACAATCCCTGCATATGCGACCTCGCCCCCCTGTTCGGAGGTTTTCCAGCTCACAGGCCGGAAGTTTCGTCGTCTGCCGAGGCACGCCCCCTACTATAGAATTAGCCTTCGCTTGCATCTGAGAAATCTCTCGGCATCGATTTTGGCGAATGTGCGGGGTTGTACGGAATAGACGAGTGGCGGTGGTCGGTTGGAAACTACATTCTCCACCATATCCACCATAACCATCAATTTTTGCAAGTCCGCAAATTCACAGATGAACTCATATCCAAAGATTACCGCCTACTCGAATCATCTATATTCTGGTTGAGATACTACAGAAACAATCTCATGTTGCCTGCGTTTAGACTAGTCCAGCTTTCGTGAAACCTTTCGATTTGTTTCATACTGCCCTTAGGGATATACAGAACCAAATTCAGACACCCGAAATTTCAAAATTTGTGTTCATGGCAGCCCACTTCGAATTCCCACCAGCAGCGGAGGTCGAGTGCCCGCTGTCGGGCCTCATTGAGCCCTGTGCGTTGTTATCAATCAATTGAGGACCCTCTTTTTTTGCCGTCCCTACATATGTTTTCAAATAGTACAGTAATATCCATTTGACCGGTCTCTAGTGACATCACCAACCGCCTCCAAACGATGTCTCCAATTCGCCGCCAGAGTTGCCGTGCCAAGAGAGATACTGTACAAGCAATCCGATCCACCGACTCTTCCTCTTCCTATCTCATAATTACCATCCGGAAGTAGTTAGGCTCTTGAAATCCCGAGAGAAGATCATCGATCAACTCTCATGGGAGGGAGGACCAAGAACTATCAGCGCTGCTGCGTCGCGGTCAGCGACAACATTCGCTGCTCAGACGCCCAATGCATCGATCCGGCCTGGACCGAGTCGGCCGAAGATCAGCACGGCATTTCAACTGCATTCTGACTCGAGACCCGAAAATAAGACTGGATGATCTGCGTGCGCTATCACATTTCTGCAAGATACCGAGCTGATAGATCTCACAACCTGATTCAAGCTCTAGGCGGTGAATGCGTGTTTCGCAATTGGATCAGTCCAGATTTAAGAGGGGAGGTGTGGTCAATCCATATTCTTATTACCGCAGCTCCATTACTATCACGGTCGGGAAAGGCTTCGTGTAATGGACGTGTGACTAACAAATAATGGAACAGACTTCTATAGCCTCTGCGCCCGTATGCTTTTTGTGACTGTATTTATCGCGGCTATTACTCGTTCATGGCTTGTGACAGTGGCAAAAGAACAGCGCACTGTTGCGGAATTGGGACCCGTTCATGCTCGTGGCGGACTAACGAGATTACTTCTCAATACCGCCTTCGCTTGGATATCACGAGGGCCGCGAGTGCCACAAGCGCACACGAAGTGGCTTACAATCTATAGACGAGCCCAGGGACCAAGTGTTCAAGTACTGAGGAAAATGTGGCATGTCAGCTTCTGGTGTTTGAGTCTTTGCTGTTGTACCACCAAACAATGTGCGACCTTTGAGCTCCAATTGTGACCTTGTTTCAATCGCTTTGAAGCAACAATGTCCTTGTGCTATGTTTGATGACAATTTGGCCGAGTAAAGACTAAGGGGTCCAGACCACGAGACCTTGGTTTCAGCCGAGGTCGCACTGCAGATTAATGTACACTAGCGCGCCCGAATGTGGGGTATACGCCACCTCGGGGCAACTATGGACAATAACCAGGGGGTAGTCACAGTCCTATGTCTTATGGGGCCTCAATCACACGATGGGATGGCCAGTCTTGTTGCTGTGCATTCATGAGGTAGCCACTGGGGACCGATCGTTTGGGTTCTTCGGAAGTAGTCTGATAAGCTCCTGAATTCCTTGAGAGTCAAGAGACGCGAGACAGCGTTCGAAGAGAGAGAAGGGGGGGGAAGAGAGAAAGGGTAAGGACCATGCGCACAGATCTCACATGTGTCCGGCGCTTGATGACTATGGGCCTTATTCACCAAGGGTTGACTCGGAAATATGGTCGCCTTGATCAAAGTCTAAACGTTTCCATGCTCCTCCAGTACAGACTTACGAAGTTGGGTCGCCAAACTCCCAATGGATGAACAAGGAGTGATTTCTTACTTATTAATTGCGGTGAATTCCATGGTTTCAAGTCTGTCGCCTCACTGACTCCACGAAGTTCTTTAAATTCATGTCAAAATCAGTGCGAATTGAAGAAACACTAAGTGGTACAATAACTCTAGCAAGGAAGAAAGACTAGTCTAGACAAATTTCATCGACGCTACCATTATCCCAAGATATGATAACAGCGACAAGTAACATTAAGAAGGATAATACCAATACAATATGGAGTATTTTTCTGCTAGTTTCAATAGTCCACCAGCCGGGTGGACTTTCAGGAAAATTGCTGGAGCCAGAAATGCGTCTAGCCATCGTAAGAATTTGCAAGGTTCAGACTGTCATTTTTGAGGAGAAATTGAGAAGAATAAAAATAATAATAGGAATCAAATAGAGAGACAATCTCTAGATACCATATTCATCGGATGTTAGTACATTAAAGTTGTCCAATGATATGATTGGAGTTACTTTATAAGCGAAACTGCTGGTAGCCGCGCCAGTGACGCTTCGCCGACTAAAAGGCTTTGCTCCAAGTTTTTGAAAATGTAATGGTATCCTGAGAGTAGTGTGAGTACCACAAATCACGAAAATTCTGCCGGTATTTGCAAGTTTTCTTATCGGAATTCAAATAAGGCACCTGTAAAATTGTCAAGATGACTGAGAAGTAATGACCCAACTCGTTTGACCCAGAAATCGGTGACTATACAAATTGCCTCTGGAATACCTTCCTATTGCCTAGTCGCCGGATCAGGTCTCTCAAGACTCTCCGGGTAGCTAATGACATGTCCTCCATTCCTTCACATATGAAATGAAATATACCTAACTGATCTGAATGATTGCCAAATCTGACCTCTAAAAAGCAAGATTTGGCGCCCTGAGGTGGTAAAGACGCAGAAGGTAGTATTCTGTTTCGAAAGGCGAGAAATCACACGGCAATTCGACTTTCAAAGAGCTTCAACCATCCACGAGTGCCATACGAGGTAGGTGAAAGCCGAGAAATTACCATGATAATACTTGATCTCAAAATTGCCGGATTCTCCCCTGGATGTGCTCTACGTCATGCAAAGTGAGTAGTTATGAGGCTGTGCATAAATGCTTCGCGGATAATCGGTTGCATATCTTCTTTGTTTACACTGCAAAAGTAAACTCAGCCAATTTGCTGAGAACATGAGTTTTTGGGTGCTGGATTGGTCAGTGAATGGTGTCATGTATTCAGTAACTCATTGACATGGGATGCTTGCGAGAGATGGACCTTCTCCATTCATCGCTTGCCAATTGTTTGGCGGTAAGCCGAGCAACGAGAAATAGAATGTGTCGTTGCTTTGATTGAGCAATTGAGCACTAGAGTGGCAAAACGAATATGGTCTGCGGAGGTCCCAAAAGTGGATGCCAAATTTGCCACGCAACTAGCGATCTGGGAAGAATCAACGTGATGCAAAGCTGCGAAAGCCTCAAATGAAAGCTGAAAACCCGAGTGCATGATATCGAAGTGATGGGAGGAAGACCGCGGATGGAGAAAGAGAACCGGGAGTTGGGAGGCATCACTGACTGCCATAGATTCAATGGGTAGATCCTCTCCTTTCCGATACCTGGCTCATATTTTCCCACACGGGCCCGAAGTGTGTCCGACTCTATCTGGCATTTCTTCTTTTTCAAACGTTGTGGTCAATCAATATTGGACGAAGACACTAAGACACTAAGGTAATAGTCCAAGTGAAGGCAATCATGGAATCTATCTCTCTAGACCTCATGAATTTCGCGCTTTACATGTATGAAGAGGTAGTACAAGAGATCTTTGGACAGAACAAATACCTCGCCTGAAGCACGGGACGACCTGTCCAGGCCATGCACTTCAGACAATATCAAGTGTCAAAGAGAAAAGGAGATGTGTCTCAGTTCATGAAAACTTTCGGCGGTCAACACCTATCGGGATCTAATTGCTCCTGGCAAGTTGGAAGATGCCTAGAAATCGATCCAGGCCTTCGAGGCCCCGCAGCCTATCTAGATCTAGCCCCGGAGGTTGTAGTTACCTGAGGGTCTCCACCTTATTTTTAGGAACGCTATTTTGATTCGCTCCCGTCAATCTGGAGGGCTAAGCCACTGTGAAGATGGAAAAGGCTTGATGACGTACGGTATGAATGCGAAGTGTCAGGGGCGTCAGACACGTTTGTGGCGGAGGGATTCCTAGGTTCCATTCGAAGTGTGCATGGGAGTGGTACGTGGCGAACGCAAATGAATGGAAAAGCAATTCTAGAGTGGGCTGCATATCCATGGCGGCCAATAAGTTACCGTCTTCCCCTGGGAAAGGACCGAAATCAACCATGGCACCCGTCTGGAACCCGCGACGTGCCCGTGTAGCTCCACTTAGTACGACGGCAGGTCAAGTCTAGATCTTCATGAAACAAGCCCCCTTTGCGCCTCTGCGTTGTTCGGTTTCAGGCCTGGTTCTCCTTTCTGTCCCCCACGTTTCGATTTTCTTCTTCCTTCGCTCCAGTTTTCTTCGTTGTTTGTTCTGAATACCTTCATTTTTTTCTTTTCTTTCCACACTCGTTACAAATCGAACCGTAGTCCTTACCACGCGCTCTACTCTACCTTATTTTCTTTTCTTTTCATTTTTTTTTTCCTTCTTCTTCTCTTCTTTTGCTTTTTCAGCCATCTTCAACATGACCGAGGGCGAGAGTGCCCCTCAAGTCGACACAGCGGCTACTGTCACCAGTGACAGCTCCGCTGCGCCGATGCCTGCCGAAGTTCGCGCTCACGATAACCACCATGCCGACGCCCCGGCCCACCATCTGAAGGAGCGGGACTCCATCGGACGGCTGACACCACGACCAACCTTTATGGAACATCTAGCTGAGTCGCGCGATGCAATGTTCCATCTCGACCGTCGCGACTCGAGTGAATTGGAACGTTACTTTGTACGTGGATACCAAGGCAGCCTGGGAAAAAAAAATGAGCACCACCATTGACTGATCGATTATAGCACGGTCCCCGTGAAATGGACAAGCACTCGAAGTGGCCCACCTTCATGCGTATGCATGGTAGTGTCATGCCAAAAATGATCTTGCCGCTGTTGACTGTGGCTGCCTGGTCGACATTTATCACGCTCTTTTCGAAAAAAGTTCACTACAGTGAGTTGGACGGTAATGTGTGGCCGATGGGAATGAGCTAATTCGGATAATAGTTGGTATCAACAATATTCTGCTCACCGTGCTGGGTTTTGTGGTGGGTTTGGCGTTGTCGTTCCGTTCCTCGACTGCCTATGAAAGGTAGACCTCTCACCAATGCATTGAATCAAGACCATATACTGACTTGTCAAAGATGGGCCGATGGACGCAAATACTGGGCCCAGCTAATTCAGACGTCTCGAAACCTGTCCCGCACAATCTGGATCAACACTGGCGAACGCCAAGGCGAAGAGGGTAAGGTTGATCTGTTGAGAAAGATGTATGATGATCCTCCCTGCTGCATGTATTTGTTCAAAAGCTGACCTTCACCACAGCACAGCCATGAACCTCATTCTGGCATTCGCCGTCTCTCTGAAGCACAAGCTTCGCTTCGAGCCTGATATCGCGTACGAGGACCTGGCTGGTCTCGTCGGCCACATGGACACTTTCGCCCGCGACGCCCATGACAGTGAAAGACTTCACCCCCCGGCCAAGTCGTTCAGAAAAGCTGTTGGAGAGTACCTTGGTGTCTCATTTGCCGAGTCCAACCCTCGCAAATTAATCAAGCGGTCTAAGAAGCCCCTGGGACACCTTCCCCTAGAAATTCTCAACCACCTGTCTGCCTATGTCGATTCGTGCGTGAGCAACGGTACCCTTGTCTCGGGCCTGCACCAGAGTCAAGCTAGTAAGTCTATCTTTTTCATTCAACCTCTACTTCATAACATGCTGACTTTCTCATGTAGTCGGCATGATGGCCAGCTTCAATGAAGTCCTGACTGGTACCGAGCGAGTGCTGGACACTCCTCTGCCCACCGCATATGTCATTGCTATTTCTCAGATCGCCTGGATCTATGTCATGGTTCTTCCCTTCCAGCTGATTGCAGTTCTTGATTGGGTCACTATTCCTGCCTCAATCGGTAAGACATCATCCTTTCGTCTGAATGACCACCGCTAATATATCCGTTAGTCGCTGCCTACATCATTCTTGGTCTGGCCACAATTGGCAGTGAGATCGAGAACCCGTTCGGCCAGGATGTCAACGATCTCCCGCTGGACACCTACTGCCGCCAAATTGCCCTAGAACTCGATATTATGACTTCCACTCCGCCTCCCAAGGTTGATGACTTCATGTCCCGCCCGGATAATCTGGTATTGTTCCCACTGAGCCAGAACGGATACCCCGAGTGGAAGGAACGCACCGTCGAGGACATTCGTGCCGCTCTGAAGACGAAGATTGTTGCAAACCCTGAACCTGCCCCATCAGATGCTTCTACCGTTGTAGAGAATATGTCTTTCAAGGCATCCAAGAGCTCCGTTTAATTCAAATGGAAACCAAACAGAGGTCTTCTGAAGACTTTGACTGCATCAAGATCGAAAGGGCATTTTCAGCTTGATTCAAGCAAGATCAGATTTACTTTGACCGAGATTCGACAGCGTGAGAGTTACGGCGTTTCATCAGAGCAGATTTGCTCCTATCAAAAAGACAAAATTGTCTAAAATTGTGTTTAGAGTGATCATCTTCGTAAATAAGATTTGCGGTGTTGTTTTCTTGTGCTATAGTTCCACCTTTGATACACCGAGATTGACCGGCGTATCTGCGAACAGAGTAAGCTGTACTGAAACAGTCTGGCGACCTGTAGCGACATCAATCTAGTGGCGTGCCTTATGTATGGGTAAGTGACCTTCGGCCCTTAGAGCCATCAGCCACCATGACGATGAAGCTTGAATGAGCTCTGCTTGTTCCCGGACGCCAGCAGGTGGCAGAGACTGACGACAAGTGTAGCCTCTTAAGCAAGTTTCCTGCCCATATATGGTGAGTCGCGTCCTTGCAGTCCGTGGCACACATATAGGGAATGATCGCAGGCCGTAAGCCAAGTTTAGAACAATCTTCCGTAGTCAAAGAGAGACCCAAGATCACACTAGATCAAGGAACGAACAAGCCCGATCCAGATCCAGCGACTAGCGCACCCAGATAGTTCCCTTTAGCACAGACTCTCCATGCGACATTTGTGCCGCTGCCACTCCCACCAATCCACGAGCTGAGGGCCGAGACAACAGGTGCTGCGTCTTCACGCGGAACACGCACCCAAGCGCAGTCGTATTTGCTCATACCGGCAACTGCGGGTAGTTCCAGCTTTGCAGTAGATATGGATCCGTGCTCGATTTTCAAGATGTCGATTGGAATAGCTGTTCCCGTGAGACCGAGGAATTGTGAGAGCGCGGCGGAGAGGTAGGTACGGGCGGAGAGAGCATCGAGGGGTTGTGGGCTGATGTTGTCAGGTTGGGGAATGCTGTTCCAATCTTTGTTAGCTTTGATCACCGCAGATGCGCGGTCGGGGAAAATGAGCAATTGCTTACAGTCGGAGCTTAAGATAGGTCCATGGCGGGTTGCGCGATGTGAATTGAAGGGTGCTCGAGGTGGCGTCTTGCGCTTTGCGCTTGTTGCCCGTTGATTGAGTCTCGGGCTCCGTCAGCTTTTGTTGCACGTCTGCCATTGTTGATGTTGACCGTGGGGTTGGGAGAAATGAGAAATGTAGCTGAAGATGGCAAGCTGTTGCGAAATTTTACGTCACGGGATTCTGTGGCGCATCAACGACAGCTTGAGCTATTTTGATCCGGCGTTGTTTTGAGCCGCGTCGATAAGTCTTTGCATTGACTTTTTAAGGAAGAGCTCTTCGCTGTCGTTTCCGATCGTCAACTCTGTAATGCACAGTGTCTTTGCGCGTGCTTTAGCACCACGAAGTACCTCGACATTTGACTTCGGGACTTGGAAGATCTAAGGATCTCTTAGTAAGGTGGACACAAGGAATTTTCACAGCGAAGAAAAGTAGCTCGAGCAAATCCGCTGATTTGCTTACCTCTGCAAATATCTGTGAAACAGCGAGATTGGCTGCTCCGTCGCGGGGAACGGCCGCTGTTGAGACATCCACCCTGTCGTTTTCGACAGCTGTCACGCCCGCTCGTTTGGCAGATGCGTTTGCTTTCACATAGCAGAGAATATGAAGGTTGTATGTATTTGATGCAACTTGAGGATTATTAACCAAGCGAAGGAACGAGAGCGAGCGACTCATGTTGCAATGACAAGAAGTTGGGGGGAAGCAAAAGAGTTCCTCAGCCGAACAGTCGCTCAGCACACGTACTTCTTTACTCACGTCTTCTTCCACATTGCGTAAAAAGGAGAACGCGGTGTTTCTTGTCTATACATTGTCTCATTTTGTTAATTGAACTTTTTTTGTCTATATTTAAAAGAATTGGTTTCCAATCAGCAAATTATTTGATAATGTCATTAGATGCCAAATTGGCAACAAGTATAGAAACCCAGACTAAACCACCGGGATGCAAACAGATAGTATCATGTTTATGGTATGCGAGAGTCGGCACTCTAAAAACATAGTCCTCAAGGGATCGCTGCTAAGACTCTAGCAGGAATATACCAAAGGCTTTCTAGATGAATTACTTCCGATATATGCTGTCCTGCATAATCATGCCAGCTTTACAAGAAAATTGAACTTACAGCCCGATCAAAATATTGATATCAATTAATTCAGGCCGAATCGCTTGATTCTGAAGTTCACACTCATTCATTATTTGTCTTGCCGTCTCGATGAAGGACAGTTTAGACCCCTTCTTGTTCATTTTCCATTATGTCCGTTGAGTTGCCTCGAAAAAGACGGAGGGAATTACATCACGGCTGCCTACCTAGTGAAGAGCATGAATATGCACGACGTATCCGGATGGGCTGTAGAAACAGGAGACTTCAGTCACCCTCAATCCTGCATCACCGCATGCCTAGGTGTCCAAGGGATTTCAAATTCTTGAGAGATTATTAATCGATATAGAATCTATAAAATCTAATACGCTAATACAAAAGAACGCTGTCCAAACTGGAAAAGCCAGCGGCAACGCCACCTCGTTAACCTCCTTTCCTTTCGTTCTCAGCAGCCACCCGCCCTCTTCGTTATGAGATATCTTGCCTGTCTTATCCCACAGGATTGTTCCATAGACACCGAGTTCTGAGATGACGTTGCCACGAAGTACTTCTCCATCGTTTCGCAGTGCAACATTCTCAGCGTTGGCTGCTGGGTTGATCAACTCCATCAAAACCCAGCCCTTCCAGTCAGACTCGGGCATCGACCGCAAAAAGTCTGGGATCTCAGATTTGTAAATGTTGTTGCCTCCACCTTCTCGTTGCGGCTTCAGGACATGCTTCATAGCGGTCTCTGGGTTGAGGGCCAATTCCCGACCCTGACCCGTGGTTGAGAGGTCATATTGGGGAGCGAAGGTCTCTCGTAATCTTGCAATGACTGCGGGATCAACATTGCTGAGGAAGCTTGACAGGTGGTCCGGCCCCGTAGGCTCTGCGAGAACTTGCTGGATTTTCTTGCAGCCGGCCAGCTGGTTAAGCACGGTTGGACACTTGATTGCCCCGGAGCGTTCCATGTGTAGGCGAGCCTCCCAGTCACGACTGGACTTATACTCGTCGGGAGAATAGTATGCCCGAAGATAAACAGTAGTCACTTCGAATGCAGATGTCGGAGAGTGAGGAGGATGATAGATTAGTGGTCGAGATGGATTCGAGTCGGAAACTGTTGTCTGGTCTAAGATCTTGCTGCTCGCCAAACGGAAGACAGGAATTTTATGGAACTGAGTGAGGTGCTTCGATAGAGCATATTGGTCGAAGACGTTCCGTTCTCCTTCTTGAACTATAAAGAGAACACACAAAGGAAGACCTGGCGTGGACTTCGATGGTCCATATGCCTTGTGCGCGGCAGCCAGACCACCGGACAAAGTCTCAACTGCAGTGTTAATGGGTGGCACACCGGATTGTAAGAGAGGATGAGGCGGATAACTGATTGGTGACCCAGGTGGTGAAGTAAGAAGCTCCGTGTGCAATGACCTGACAAGGGCAGAAAGCCCACCAAACGACGAGGATATGGTGTTAAACTCCACCTGCTTCAAAGCTGGAGCATTATTGGGCGTGACATGGGCCATGTAGTCAGATCTATAGAGACCCAAGGACAGGTTCTGAGCATAGCCTTCTTTCTGTACCGCCAGATGTGTTTTCCATAGGTTGGCCACGAAGTCGTCAACGTCGATGAGTCTTGCAACGACATAAATTAGCTGACTTCATTCAAACACGCAGGGTGCCCATACTCTTCTATGATTTTTCCAAGCCATTCTTCGTTGCAAGTGATGGCAGCGTATAGTTCATTGTAGACTGTTTGCAGCGCCTGAGCCTCCTCAAAGCATACTCTTGGGAACGGACTGGGGAAAAGCGTCACTGGGGCATTGGTTGCCAAAACTCGATTTGGGTCTGCTCCTTCTGGAAGCATTGCTGGATTCGGTCGAACAGCAAGACCATTTTGAATAGCCCAGTCTTTGGTGGCCGTCACGAGGTATTCTTGTTGGGCGAGCGATAGGCTAGGAGGGTAATTGGTGTACATTGAGTCGTCCATGATTTCGGTATTTCGCGGAGCTAGGAACAGTATCGGAATCTACCTTGGGGCACTCGAGAAATTGCGATATGCCCCTCTGCTGATAAATCACTCGCGGGGAAGCCGGCCCTTGACCGCCCATACACCGCCCATACACCGCGCGTCATACCGCCCATCATACCGCCCACAATTAACCACACCGCCGAGGTTTCTCGGCAGAAGGTTTGAATGACTTCACGTGCGTCTGAGGCTCAACATCTTTTTTGTTCAATCTCACATCTTGCTGGTACTCTTTTCTTCACCCCACAGCACTAATGCATATGCGATGAAACAGTGTCCATTTGGAAGTGCTCTCCTGCAAGGTTTGTCCCGCACAGGGGGCTACTGACGGGTACGTTTGGATCTGCATACATTTTGAGTAACTGAAATTGAATGTCACTGATTTAGGCGGCCCCCCCTCAACGCACCGTACCGCGAAATGACAGACTTTCTTAATTCAGACCCCCTGGAGTGGGGGGTGGAAGAAGTTGTTGCCTTTCTCTGCAATCCTGCTTCAGCTCCATGGGCGCTCTCTGCGACTTCTCCGCGACCCGATCTTCTGGCGTTAGCTGCTGCCCTCCGCGACAACGAGATTGCTGGAGAGGCCTTGCTTTATGATGTCGACCCACAGGCTATCAAGGATGATCTGGGTGTGAAAGCTCTTGGTCATCGCAGCAGCGTCAACAGAGCCATCGAGTGGCTGCGGGCGCGTTCCACCAAATACCAACTATCTAAAGCAAGTGCAGCCTTGCCCAAAACTCATTTCCCCGAATCACCACCCAAAAATATCTCACGCCATGGAACATCAATACCAGGGGTCTCCTCTCTGGAAACCATTGCTACTCAAGCTGTTGTACACCCTAGCCCGATTGCCTCGCCTGTACCCGTGCAATATGTCAATGGCAAACGTAAGATGGCACCTACATTTATTTCTAGGGACAGCGAGCAACATGGTCTGCGACATGATGTGCACAATTCTGCCCGTGGTGGATCGAGTGGAAGGAGTCAAATGGGGCAACCCCCGCAACTCTTACCCAACCATCTGGAGCGGCCTCAAAACGATGCAAACTCTGAGGCGTTTTTCGACAAGCTGATGGCAAAATATGCCCCAGTTGAAAACGAAGAAGTCCTTCCAGTGTATGGAGACTCAGGGTCAGAAGCCTCATTCGACTCAGAAACCTGGGATGAAATATCTCCAAAACACAAACTGGACAGCCAAAATCCTGATGGTGCCAAACTTTCACCTGAAGATGTGGCATCTGTCGTATCACAGTACATTGCAGATCAGGAGGAACTGTGGAAGGAGAAGGTTCTGCCCAAAAAACTTTCAATTGCCCGGTACATCTGGCAGGAAGCTCAGAGCAATGCAGCTGCGAAGTCAGATTGTTCAGACCGTCTCCGCCACCTGGAGTGCCGCTTGAGCACCCAAAAAACCGAACTTCAAAAAGTTGCCTACCACTCGCGCGCCAGGGTAGAAAAATCATGTGCAGCCATGGATATGACCATCTCGGAAATTTGCTTTCAACGATGGAGACTAAATGTATTGGACTCAGCTGTTTGTCCACCTGACGTGGAACCTCCCCCGACAGCCTCGCAGCCTTGGAAGGAACAGTCGGCCCACAAAGACTCTGACGATGACAGGTCAGAGGACTTGGGGTATGACACAGGGGATTCCTTCGAAAGTGAGGACTTGGGCGATTTTATCATCTCTGATTCCGAAGAAGAAATATCAGAACGCCAACAAAAGCATGTCAGGGATCCTGACCGGAGCAAATCACACTCGCCTGCCCGAAAAAGGCCACGCATGATAGAGAATAAGGTTACTGAAGATTCTGATGCCAATGCTGGATTCTCCCTCGTTTCTTGCCAGCCCACAGATGGCTTCGATTTCGTTGATCTCACAGGCATGAGTCCAGCCTCAACAACCTTTTCACAAAAATCAGACAAAGCAATTACACCGACGGACCCTGAGGGTACTGAGGATTTGGACATTCAAACCCCTCCTCTGAACCCGACTCCGTCAATTCCTTTGCATGATGCCGAAATGGACTTGGATCTGTCGATGAACAGTCCTCCGATTGATCCAATATTGGAGACCAGAATCGAATCTCCGAAGCCAGCGACTCCATTGGACAATATCAATGGGATTTCGCTAGCTCAAACTGGCGAGAAACGATCCTCCGTTTCTCCTCACGTTAGCACAGGTGACAAGACACTTCCTGCACGCCAGGAGGATATTGACATGATCAAAGAAGTCTCAAACAAGAGTGCCGAGGAGCTCGCAAATTCACAGGATCGTATCAGGCTATTGGCAAAGAACATCATGCATTTGAGTCCAGATGAGCTCCAATCATTCCCAAAACGCTTGAATGCACTGTTGGAAGAGACATACACAGACTTGGTTGAGGAGACGCTGAGAGCAATGATTCTCAATCAACTAAACCCAAGATCCAAGGAAAGAGATACAGGCGAGAACGCGTTCGCCGTGCGCATAGCCGAACTGTTTTTGTCCTGGCATCACTGCATTGTGTTGGCCCCTGACCGCGGTATTGAAAAGAAATTCATCACCGAGGGCCTTGCGGCCATCCAGCAGGATAGTCATGGAATGTTTCCAGCGTTTCTTCGCAGATTCAAAGGCTTCATATCTGCGATCAAGTCCTACAATATTCCCAACCCGCCACGAGAAAATATCGCAAGCCATAATCGCGGGGATGCTAATTGCGGAACACACCTCGGCTCAAAGAACGCTGGACAAACTGGCAATAAGAAAAAGTCTGCAACCAGACTGCTCAGTACACAGCAGAATGAAGCCCAAAAGCGACTCCACAGGCAAGAAAAGGCCAGGGCGGCTCTAGAACGTGAAACAGAAAGGAGAGGATTGAGTCTACATGATCCGGCTGGCCAAGCAGTGACCTTCAAGGAACCCAAGATATTTCTTCATCCTGAACTTGGAAAATTTGTCAAACCACATCAGTTGCGGGGCATTCAATTCATGTGGCGGGAGCTCATTGACGCTACCGACTCGCAGGGATGCCTGCTCGCCCACGTCATGGGCCTTGGCAAGACTTTTCAAGTGTAAGTGGTCTTTCCTACTCCAATAGTGGGTCGAATATCTAATATTTGACAGGATATGCCTTCTTGTGACTATTGCCGCAGCCGCAGCGTCAGATGATATCAAAATCCGCAACCAGATCCCCCGCAAGTTTCATCGATCTCAGACCCTTGTTCTATGTCCATCTGGCGTGATTGAAAACTGGATTGATGAGTTTGCCATATGGGCACCGAGTGGTCATAAGCTCGGTGCAATCCGTGACATCATTCCTCGTGCCCAACAAGACGAAGTCTTCGACCGATTGGAGCGGATCAAAGCCTGGAATTCAGATGGCGGCGTTCTCATCATGAGCTATGAAATGCTCCGCTCTTTGATACAATACAGGCCTACCAAAGCTAGCAGACCTCTTAGCATTGAGCAACAAGAGTTTCTCTCGGAATGCCTCCTATCGGGACCAAACATCGTTGTTGCAGATGAGGCGCATAAATTGAAAGGTGAGAAGTCCGCCATCTCGCAAATCGCATCTCGTTTCAAAACCAACAACCGCATTGCGATGACGGGATCCCCTCTCGCCAATCACCTTTCCGAGTATTACCAAATGGTCGAATGGATCTCGCCAGGCTATCTGGAGAGCCCGCAGTCTTTCAAGACCAAATTCATGGAACCAATTCAGGCTGGATCCTACATTGATAGCACTAAAGCAGAGCAAAGAGAAAGTTTGTGTGCACTGAAGGTTCTAGGCGGAATCTTGAATCCCAAAATTCATCGCGCAGATACTTCCGCTATTGCATCGGAACTGCCTTCCAAGACAGAGTTCGTTATCGTCGTGCCCTTGACAGACCTGCAACGGCGGGTTTATGACACTTTCGTGGCATGTCTGAAGAAAAGTTCCGAATCAGATGCTGCCACGAAATTGTGGTCGTGGCTGGCTCTCTTGCAACTTTGTTGCAACCATCCGGTACCCTTTCGTGAGAAGCTAGCCGATCGATCAAATCAATCAGCAACTGATCCAGAAGAAGCACTCGAGGGAGAAAATTCTGTTTCCGTTCTTCCAGTGTCGATCAAAGACGCCGGACTTCCCAGTGACCTCTTCCCCAAAATTGAGGCTCTTTTCAACAGCGTTCAGAAACCGCTTGGTCCCGAATTCTCCCACAGATCCATCCTGCTTAACCAAATTCTTGACGAAGCTGCCAACGTTGGAGATAAGGTTCTGGTATTTTCGCAAAGTATCCCAACCATGGACTACCTTGACAAACTACTCAAGAAATCCGGCAGAAAGTTCCTTCGTCTCGACGGCAAGACCCTGAGCGCGCAACGGCAATCGCTATGTAAGAGATTCAATACCTCCAATACAGAGCAAATCTTTTTAATCTCAACTCGCGCGGGAGGACTTGGCCTAAACATTACCGGTGCGAACCGAGTGGTTATCTTCGACTTCTTATTCAATCCGACATGGGAGGAGCAGGCGATTGGACGTGCCTATCGTCTTGGCCAGAAGAAGCCGGTCTTTGTATATCGCTTCATTGCCGGTGGCACTTTCGAAGACAATATCTTCAACAAGGCTGTCTACAAGAGTCAGCTCGCTGTACGTGTGGTGGACAAGATGAACACTATTCGCGAAGCTGCAAAGAAAACCGACGAGTATCTCAAGACTGTCCGCCAGGTTGAAAGAGAAAGCCATGATGAAATTCTGGGTCAAGACCCCCAAGTTCTCGACAAAATCCTTGCAGGACCTTTCGGGAAGGTCGCCCTGAAAGTGAGCCTGTCGCACCTCAAAAACAATGAAAGTGACACCCTGGATGGAGAAGAGCTTAAGCGTGTGAATGAGGAGCTGCGCATGGAACAACTCAAACGATCGAACCGACCTGCATATGAGGCAGAACTCCAAAGGCGACAGGCGATGTTGGCTGCGGAACAGAGAAAGAAAGATGAAGAGTTGCGAGGGCAATTTCTGATGATGACCCAAGCTTGGAAGAATCGAGAGAATGCTACCCCGGTCAGTCTCAATCCGGAAGCCATTTTTGCGGCTAGTGCGGTGCAAGAGGTCTCATACATACCCACTGCGATGAGCCTACGGCAACCAGGCAAGTGTGTCGCGTCAATGTCCTCTTTGGGATATTCGCCCAGCTCGGCATCCATGTCCCAACGGCGTTCCATCGCGCCTTTGACTAGCGGGCAGGGCCAATCAAGCCCCCATGACTCGGTTTTGCCCAACCCGTCACTCCCCGGTGAACATCGAGTAGGGGTGGCATCCGTCAACACCGTAACCTCGCCTGACTCTATGGCCTCGCCAAGACCGGTTCCCAGGCCGTATACCAAGCCATTCAAGCCCAGTTTATGGACGCAAGCTCCTCAGCAATTGAATGGCACAAACGGCCATCTCTCTTCTCGGTTCCCTGTTCATGGTCTCTCGGTGAGCGGCAACCCCAAGCCATATGCTCATGCGAATCCCCCTCCGGCGGTCACTGCTCCCCATGAAGCTTTGTCTGCTCCTAATCAATCTAATCCTTCCTCTGCCGTCGTCGCTATTTCTAGTCCCTCTCCATACACCCTGGGTGAGCCTATGAATATCAGCAGCGATGACGACGACGCGTACTCGCCACAATTGAACGACTGCGAGAGCAATCCACATTCACCAAATCTTGAAGTTCGCGAGAGCGACGCATACTCGCCGCCGGCAAACTTCCCTCTATTACCGTGATTGCCTGCCAATTCAGGCTTTCCGAGTTGCTGGAACTCATTTCTACTCAACTCTTCCTTCTTCTTCTTTCCTTTTAATGTAATAGTGATACCCCGCTCGCGCTTCTCTTGTTAGTCATCTGCTCCGATCACGCGTCTCCTGCGCGTGGCATTCCGCCGATGTGTCTCTGTGCCAGATCTGGAAACAGCATGATTTATTAGCATGAATATGATATTTGAACACAGAAGCACAAGCTCTTCTCGTAAGCAGCCTAGATCGAGCCTAGTCTATGGATATCAACGATCTATCCCTGCGCGAAGGAAATAATATATCTGGTGATTGTCGCTGGGGTTAGATTTTGAACGGACTGCCAACTTCCCCACCGTCAAGTCCGCTTATCTTTGTCCTCAACTTAAATGGGTCTCTCCACCTCTCTGTTGTATAGTCATCCAATGGCCGCAATTCCAAGAGCTCGCACTGGCTGCTGGACATGCCGTTCGCGCCGGATCAAGTGTGATGGTAAGTTTTTCCCATTTCTGTTCATCATCCACAACTTAGAACGATTGTTAGAGCACCGTCCAGTCTGTCGGCACTGAGCCCGAAACAATAGCCCGTGTGGCTACGGAATCCGTTTGGTATGGAGCGAGGAGTCAATCGCTCGTATTGTCTGTCATGGACGAGCAGGCGTGTGATTGAAGCGAAACAATGTTCAACGCGCAGGGAACAAGGATTATAGGAAGGCAAAGAGTACTACAGACAGATCGAAATTCCCGTTCAAGCAGACGGTCCACTCTAGCCAAGTCTGGATGTTCCTGAACACGACTACCACAGATCTTGAGATTCATTCTGACGGCGCACGAATCAACGGTCCCGAATCAGACACATTGAGGATCCCTTCCTTGTCCCCTTCACTGAGCACAATCCCAGTTGATGGTCGACGACCAGACTTTGACCCTGCCTTGATGCCTTACTTTGAGCAAAGAGTCTGCAGCAGGTCTACCCTCGTGAATAATGCGCACCATAATCCTTATCGATACCTGATCCTCCCTATGGCCCTGCAGTCAGAGGGACTCTACATGCCACGCTCGCCATCGCAGCTAGCACACTTGAATTATCCGATCCAAAGTATCGACTCCCGGCATTGGAGCACCACAATAGAGCATTAGCTCATCTCCGAGGTCTTCTTACCCATGATGAGGGGAGGAAAAAGGGAGCTGGACGAGATATTCGGACTAGTTTTTATGCTCTGCTGATTCGACGTGAGATACCGAAATATTTCTTTTGACAGAATTCAAACTCATGGACCAACAGATATCAGATAAAAGCCGCCCGCCATGGGTCACCCACCTGAACGGGTTTTAAGACTTGATTCGCATCTGACAAGAGCGGCCTGGTCGCTCAGCTCATAGCAAAGAACTGGCAAGCTTCTATCGATACATCAATTTTCATTTGGTCTTGCTCGTACGGTATGTAGAGTCCATTCATTGTCTCAAAGCTCACCGATGATCCCGGATAGTTTACATAGACTCCTGACACGATAGATCCGTACATGGGACTCAACCCCAAGCTTCTGCTGCTAATTGACCAAGTCGCCGAGCTTACGTGGATTTGCGGAGATGAGCAGGACAAAATAGGCGTAAAAACAGTTCTCAACCTGAATGGATGCCTCGAGGAATCTGAGCAAAGGATGCCAGTGGAACACCTCTCTTCCAACACGGAATGTGCAGCAATCGCAGAAGCCAATCGACTCGGGGCACTGTTGCTTCTACATGCAAATAGTTCACCGGAGTCTGTCTGCTCCCTTCATCCTCCGACGTTGAATGACGAAGAACAAAATGGCTAGACTGAGCAGATTTTGTACTTGATATTGATCAAAAAGGCAAACATGATGCGTACGGCGGTTTTGCCCTCTGGCCTCTGTTCTTGGTCGTATGTTGCGCCCATAATGAAGAAAATAGGGAAGTCGTGACGCAATTATTTCAGGAATTAGAAGCTATTCGCCGGTTTGGGGTATGTCGTTCTTGCCTTGCCCGAGACCAAAAACGTGATATCTAACAGTACATTCCTGTATAGAATATTGCTCCGGCTATGGAGGTTGTCGAGACGGTATGGCGCCAGCAAGACCTCTCAGTGCAGGACGAAAGAAAACACCAGAGAATCAGGAATGCGAACGGGAAAGGCGAAAAGGACCCCTTGCAAGGAGCCCGCTTCTCATGGGAACATGCAATGGTGATGTTGGGAGATTGGAAAGTAAAGCTTGACATGATCAATTTCTTAGCGACAAAGCTTTCCATATTTCATAATGTTAAAATTGAGATGATATTCAGTGGCGAACTGTTTGGATTCAACAACTACCGAGCTATTCCCAACACTGACGGCGTTGATACGTGAACTGGAGTTCCGCATGCCACTTTCTGTGTTTATGCTTAGTGAGCGACGTGTTTACCGACATCATGGATTGGCAGGGATGAGCCTGGCCAGATTGGTCTATATCTCTACGTGAAGAGAGAGCTGGATGGGGAAAAAGAGAACAATTAATATCGGTAGGAAAATGGAGCTGGAGGTATAAATTCAGGGGAGAAAATCATTATTCACACATGAGCATCTTGAACAATCTTTTGATTCGGAAATATCTTATGCTGACATTGATCTAGTCCCGGTGGTGGCTGGGGAGGGCCATCGAAGGAAGCCACACCGAATGCTACTGAAGTGAAGGGCAATACCTTTCAGCCAAATAGACGAGTCAGCAATGTATATTGAATGATGAATGACGATGGGACAGAACCTCTTCTATAGAGATGATCCGCTATCTAGCCCCAATTTGGCTACTTTGGCCATGCCGCATGAACGCATAGTTAGGGCTTAGTGTATTGTGCTGTAATCTGATTACCACACCTCCAGGCTTGTCAAGGTACCACAGATTCACCCCTGGAAATAAATCTCCACCTTTAGCCGTAGATTGAGTTCATACTTATATTTCCTTTCCGTGGCACACTTCAACCCGCATTTTCCACGTCTGGTTGTCAATGAGGTCATACCCGAGCGCAACCCTCCAAATGCCGTTCCACCGCCAAACTTAATTGGCAGCAGCTTCGAACAACCTCATCTCAATCCTAAAGATGTGTCAAGAGCATCAAGTTCAGTCAGTGATCAATATCATGGGCGCACAATGGTCAATTACACCTGCGAAGCTCCAGTCGAGGGCATCGTCGGAGCATACACGGGCAATAGCTTCGCATTCCAAGCTGCCATGGCCAGCCTACTAGGTTGCGCCTTGTACAGCGCCCTCGAGTTGATCATCCTGGTCTTCTTGATATTCAAGCGCTACCGTGGCTTGTACTTCTGGAGCCTCCTCATCACATCCTCCTGCGGCGTCATGCCCTATGCGCTTGGCCTTGTATTGAAATACTTCGAGCTCGCCCCAATCTGGATCCCCGTCACACTATCAACGTTTGGATGGATCATCATGATCACTGGCCAATCGCTAGTTCTGTACTCGCGACTACATCTGGTAGTCTATAACGCCAAAGTGCTTCGCTTCGTGCTGGGAATGATCATCTTTGATGCCATCACTATGCAAATACCGCAGTTAATCGCCTCGTACGGCGCGGTTTATGATTGCCAGAAAGATATAGCGCGCTTCTTCAATCTCTGGGAGAAGGTGCAGCTGTGTGTATTCTTCGCGCAAGAGATTATCATCTCAACGATCTTCATTGTGGCAGCCATGAAGCTGATGCGTTTGAATCCGACAAGGACCAAGCGAAGATCCAATCTCATGTACCAGCTACTCATGATCAACTTTGTGATTATCGTGATGGATGTTTCCCTGTTGGTACTGGAGTTTTTGAGCGACTTCATCTTGCAGACGGTGCTGAAATCTTTTTTCTATACCGTCAAGCTGAAGCTGGAGATTGCGGTCTTGTCGCGGTTGAGTTCTTTTGCTCAAGCGCAAGACCAAGGTGGAGGCTCTGGTGTGAGCGGATTAAGTTGATGCTAGAAAGTCACCTTTTCTTTGGGTCTATGGTTCAAGTTTTGAAGGTTCGAGGTTGCATCGGCGGGAGATAAAGATATATAAGTCTAATTGTACAATAAGGAAGTAAAATAAAAATATGTCGAGAAAGTGTGACAACAAAATAAATGTTCAGCACCCAGCATGGTTGATACCCCAGACACCGGACGCCTTCCCTGTTCCCGAAACAATCCCAGATCTACTGCAAGAGAGTTTCGAGGTCGGCAACCCGGGTAGCTCTATCCTCGACCTTCCTCTTAGAAGTCTCCCCGAAATGCCGCGAGCATAAGTTCACGCTTGCGTTTCTGGATATCAAGGACGCGCTCCTCGATACTATCCTCAATGACCAGTCTCCACATGGTCGTCTCACGTTTCTGGCCGAGCCGATACACACGGTCGAGAGCCTGGTCCTCGATGGCGGGCGCCCACCAGCTATCTGCCAGAATAGCCTGGTTGGCCGCAACGAGGTTGAGACCGACGCTGCAGACACTGAGACTGGCAAGGAGAACGGTGCAGGAGGGTTCGTTGGAGAACATGTTAATAGAATTGTCGCGCTTAACGGACTGCATCTTGCCGTCGATGCGGACAAATTTGATGTGGCTTTTCTCGAGATGGGGCTCCACGAGATCGAGGAATGAGGTCCATTGGCTAAATACCACGGTTTTCGTACCTGGTGCTTGGCCCTGAGCTGTCAGAACCTTCATGAGCGCCTCGATCTTACTACTGGGGTTGTTAGGGTCCGCGACAGCGGTGTCGGGGCTCTCGCCCATGTCGACAGCAGGAGAGACGAGACTGGAAGTGTCCTTGATGTCGGCACGGCAGAGCGGACACTTGTGTTGTCGCTCGATGACTTGCTCAACACAGCCTCGACAGTAGGCGTGGGCACATGCAGTGATGACAGGATCATCGAAGTTGTCAAGACAGATGGCACACAGTTCCTGGCTCTCGATCTGGATTTGCAGCATATCCTGAAGGGCTTTAACATTCTCGGGGGTCAGAGGCACAACTTTGTGCTTCTCCAAATCGCCCATGAGTTTGTCTACACGATCTTTGCAGAGAGCCCAGTGGTCGCAGACTTGACGAAGACGAAGAAGAACTTCCAATAAATGGGAGTATTCGCCCTGTTTATCCTTGAACTGCATGAGAGCACCCTTCGCCTCCGACCTGACTTTGTTAGTGGGTGATAGGAATGATGCAATGAAGAATCAACATACTGTAGCGCGTTGTACTTTTCCAACTCATGCGGCTGAAACTTGATACGAAGGACCCGAGATGTCATGGTTGGCAGACGCAAGTTGATGAATTCCATATCCTTCCTTCGTCTCAAACAGATGGTCCCCATGAGAGCCTCGAGAAGTAAGCGAGCTTCAGGTTCACCATTAGTAAGTGGACGCATAAGAACACTGTTGAACATAGCAAAGTCTTCCAAGCCGCCGGTGAGCCCGAGGAAGCGCACTTGCGAATACAGATCCTTGAGTGTGTTGATAATCGGTGTTCCAGTAAGGGTCCAACGGGAGTCTGCGCGCAAGGCACATGCTGCAAGAGAAGCCTTTGACCGGGGATTTCGAATGGTGTGACCCTCATCAAGAACAACACGACGCCAGTGGACGGAGAAAATCCCCTTTGCCGGGGTAGTCTTCGCCTCTGGTTTGAAGTCCAATGCAAGGGCTCCGTAGCTCGATATCACGACGTCATATGATGCCAGATTAGCCGCCTCCTTCTTACCCGATCCGTGATAAATCAAGATCCGAGGGGCGGTCTCTTTTCTAGCATGTTCTTGAATTTGGTTTCTCCAGTTACTCATGACGCCGACTGGAGCCAAGATCAATGTAGTTTTGCTGAGACTCGTGGGTGCGAGGAGTCGGGTTAGCCATGATGAGAGATATGATCTGGATGGTTTTGCCTAGGCCCATATCATCGGCTAGAATACCACCACTCGCGAGCGGCGGAGCAGTAGTCGTTGAATAGTTGGTAGCAATGTTGGTGAATTTGCCACCGTCACTTTTCCAGAGTTGTACTACAGCATCAGCACCAGGTGCTGGAAGTTCAGGAGATTCTTGGGCGATCATCCATGCCAAGCCTTGTCGTTGGTACGGGAGGAGTTGTGTGGAGAGACCCTCTGGAGAGTCAGCCATCGGCATCTGAGCTAGGTCTGCCTCTTTCTGACCGAAGCTCTCAACAACCCGACCGATTTCCCGTGGGTTGAAGGAACTGCTTTGGCTGAGCAATTCCTCCAGGCTCTCATTTTCACCCAGCCCGGTTGGATCAGAGAGGTTGGCAAACATCGCATTATCGCTTGTCTTGAACTGCTGGGCGGCTTTACCCAAAGCCATTGCACGAGCTTGCTTTGCAGCCTTGCTCCTTTCCGCGGCTTGCTCCTTTTCCTTTCTTGCTGCGTCGCGATCCGCCTGGACGAGCCTGGACACTGGGAGCTTATCTTGTTGCATTCTCTTCTTCAATTCATCTTTTCTGGAAGCTTCGCTCGTACCAAAGAGGTTCAACATGACAGGGCAGTCGTAGAAGCTTTTACCGCCTGTCAGAATGCCCTCGACAAGGAGATCATGGGGATCCTGCAACATGCCCCCGTCAATTCTTTTCATAAAACAAATGTCTCCCGATTCATACCATGTATTTGGCGAGTTTGGCTGCGAGCCCTCGCGGGATATGACCAATCTGAGCACCCATGACATTGTCGACCCGAATCGCATTTGGATCGTATTGATTCTGGGGCTCTCGTTTCAGAAGAACATGCTCTCCAGATGTAGCAACACCATTGTAAAATCGGACGCCCACAATCTTTGCAGGCAATTGACCTAACAATGCTCAGAGATTTTGATCTTTGGTCATATCATAGATGCATGGGTCTTAAAAAGATCACCTACCGTACATCACAAACTCGCCCGCCGAAGAGTCATTCTGACTACCCGGGACAAGTTCGTTGGCTTGATCTTCTTCTTCATCAACAAAGGCAACCTGGGATAGTGGGGGCAGCGCGATGTAATCGGCGCTTTCGTCAAATCTCGTGCCAGGGCTGACGTTGGAGGAATCAAAAGATGACCCTGTGCGGCTGACCTTCGAGGCACGCGTCGGTCCATTGTCCGTATCTATGAAGTCGCCAGTATCAGGTTTTCTTTTTCCATTATGTCGAGCCATGATGGCGGTCTACCTCCCAATGATCAATCGGTGGGGAATGTCACTAATGATAGATCGGGATATCCGCCTTCACCATACAAGTGGACAGGAGAAAGGAGGGATGACGACAGAGCCGATCGGGAAACCCACGCGCGTATGACACGTGAGCACGTGACATACTGCTGATATCTTGGAAGTTGCATGAACTTGTTCTACCGCTTTTTCTCTCTACCATTCGAACATTGAACATCGAACCTCACAAGACGTGATTTGATTTCTCAATAGCATTATTTATTGAAAGTCAGCACTAGCCGAGCCCTTGAATTGGCTCATTTGTATCGGCAGACCTAGCGCGTTCCGGGCAAGCTCCCGAGTCTAGCGGCGCCCCATCCGCATGGCCGATCTCTATGGCACCTCCAGGGACCTCGAGCAGAGCCATGAAAAACAGTTAGAGTCCCTGCTACTGCAAGGGGTTTACAAACCCGTCTTCCTTTACCATGTGGTTTTTTTCAACTGTCTCCCGATCATCGGCATGGTCATACCGCGCCGACGAGGCACACGCTATGTTCGTCAATTTATTTATGCCATAAGTCTGGCATTTGCTTTGGAAATGCTAAGAAACCACCGAACTCTACTTGGCGGCAACGGATACATGCTTGGCATGATGATTGCATGGTGGCTAGTATGGTGCACCACGCTGTTTGTGTTCATGGATATCGAGCATGACTTCCAGCGCATTGAAAGAGGCGCTAAACTTGCAGCCGACGGCGATTCTTCTCCTGGAAACACTCAAGAGATGTCGAACCAAACAGAGACTGGCGATCAGTCGAGTCAGCCCCTCTTTCACTGGCAGTCTTACCCGCGCAAATTCTCTCATCGCCTTGAATGGTGTGCAGGGCTACTTTTCAACCTCAGAGGACCCGAATGGAATTGGCGCGTTCCTCATCTTGGCCCTCTTCCTCAATCGGTTCACAAACACCTGCAGCCGGAGTATCTCTCTAACAAGTTCCATGCTGGAGGCGATGCTACTTGCATGACTTCCGGGCAGCGTCTTCGGGCTGCCTTCAAGACCTTCCTGCAATCCTATCTCCTTCTAGACATTCTCAAAGTTGTAATGATGCGGGACCCTTACTTCCGAGGTATTTCAGGATGTGACTCAATGCCTCCATTCCCAATGTCCTACCTCGCGCCTTTCCCTCTATTAGTTACAATCTACCGCTACCTCCTCAGCTGCATAGGTGTCTACGTTGCACTCAACTTCGTCACGTCACTCAACCCCATCTGTTTTCTTGGACTATCATTGGCCTTTCCAAATGCATCGCGGAAGCTGACAGCTGCCCCGCTGGACGAGGCGTGGCTATATGCTGACTCTTTTGGACCCTTCATCTCACCCGTACTCGACCATGGCATTGCCGGCTGCTGGGGCCGCTGGTGGCATCAATTGTTCCGCTATGGGTTTACCGCCACTGCACGTTGGATCTGCGCATGTTTACCAACCAGATTCGCCGCAAACGAACAGATAAAACAAATCCTCTATATCGTCGTTGCATTCACAATCAGCGGCCTCATCCACGCTTGCGGCAGCTACACTCAATTTGCGGAGACCAAGCCTTTCTCAGGCCCATTCTTGTTCTTTTCCCTGCAGAGCATAGCAATTATTTGCGAGCACATCTTCAAGAAAGCTATCTTCCCTAGAATACCTCTCGTTGCTGGCACACCGCGGTGGTTGAGACGCACTGGAAATGCCGTCCTCGTTTTCTTCTGGCTGCTCTATTCGGGGGGGCTTTATTGCGGATGACTTTGCCCGAGGTGCGTTATGGCTGATGGAGCCTGTTCCATTCAGTCCACTTCGCGGCCTTGGGCTTGCAAATGGGGATGACTGGTGGTGCTGGAAAGAGCCATGGTTTCAATATTGGAGCGATGGGACGTATTGGGGCAGTGGGATTCGAATTATATAGATGACCTACCTTAGACAGCACATAGCCATCATGCATTAGACTTCAAATTCGCTTTCACGGCCAACGAATCAAGGCGATGTCCCAGTAGCATTCTTATTAAGTACATTAAACGCTGCTGAGAAATCATAACTTATGTATAGATTTATAATATGGTCCTGAGATAGAGACAAACTCTTGACATATTTTGATATATGTACACTGTCTTCAGCCTTCCATGTTAACATCCTCATCATCATCATCCTCATCATCAGTGTCAGATTCAATGTTTAGAGTGGGCAATTCGTCGTCACTATCATCCACAGACAAGGATGCATCAGCGGAGGGTTGCGGGGCGACCGCAGAGGAAGACACTTGCGAAATAGACTGGACTGGCTTTGGCCCGATTGTCGCCTCAATTTTGGCAGGCTGAGAGACGAAAGAAGTGACGGTCTCTTCAAAGCGGGCTTTCTTAGTCTGCGACTGCTGTTTTGAGGCCAAAGTGAGACTGGCTGGCTGAGTGGTGGTTTCATCAACGTAGGTCCGCTTGTGCAAAGGCGCCGCGGCTTCGGTCTTATGAGTCACGGTAGGAGCGACGACCGGCTCCTTCAGGAAATCGGAAGCTCTCGCCGCAACGTGATACGACTCATCGACCATATCTTCGTCATTTTCTTCATCTTCCTCGTCGGCAAAGGCGTCAAGTTCTGGAGCAGTCATGAGAACCGGCATTCTAGGACGGATCAGAGCCTCAACCTCCATCTGATCGGCGTGAGCCTGAACCAAGAAGGGAATGATGCTAGCACCAGCTGCACGGCCCTTGACGGCTGGGACTGGGTTCAAGACACTGGCGAGCATTGCATCCTTGTCAGCTGTCAAAATGATCGTGCGGTCGATCTCAGTTCGGACGGATGCCAGGAGCTCAGAAGGCACGGATGCGAGGACAATCTGCAAAAGCTCAGAGGCGGCACGTTCGAGCTCGGGAAAACGGTGGGCATCTTGAGAGTGTCCGTTTTTCTGAAGACTAGGGTTCAAGAAGGCATCGGCATTGACTGAGGTTTGGCCCTGCTTCGACTTGGACTTGGGGTCAGATTGTGCCTTGACCTGAGCGACAGAGTCTCCAGAGACTGGGAGGAGCTCAGAACAACAAGAGTGAATAGCAGGGATGATAGAGCTCATGCTCTGCTTGGTCATGGCTGGGCCGTTCAAAGAGACTAAAGGGCCAAGCAAATCATAGGCAGCCATACGCACGTCTCTGCTGAAACGTTCATTCCGGAAAACCCAAGTGACTTGATCCATCATATTTTGCATGATCGCAGCAGCAGTGTTCTCCAGAATGTTCACAACGTGTGCCAAAAGGTCCATACAAGCAACGTGGATGCGAGGCAATTCAGCGAACAGCAATTCACGCTCCTCACGGCCAATTTGAGAATTGGCTTGCACAGTGGACGATCCTTCTCCGCTTGCCGGGACGGTCACAGAGTTGAGGCGGGAGGTCAAGTCCAGAATGGGGCCTAGGGGAAGAGCAACCGCAGTGGCTGATGGCGTAGAGACGAACCCTGACAGAATTCCCAAGAGAGTGATCAGCCTTTGAGCTCCAGCATGCATTCCATTCCAGCTGTGAAGTCCCAAAGCATCGGGGGGCATCCATCGACACTTCTTTATTGTAGTTGTGTCGTGGTGCTGTCAATGTTGAATCGACAGATTCCCATTGCTCTGTAATAGACCGCAGGATGAAATCGGCTGTTCTGTGGGCAGAAACAATGGTAGATTTGCAATCTCCTGTCCAGGCAGGGCCCGATTTGTCCTTGGGTGCACATTTGTGGAGGGAGACAAGCACTTGTTTGGCCACATCGATGACTGGCTCGGAATAGAACACAGGTGGCTGGAAACTCAGAACACTGGTCACCAAGGATCGAATCTGGCTTGCGAATGGGCGGAATATCGTCGGGTGACGCGGAATCAACTCCAAAACGGCGTGCAAAACCGTCTCCATGAAGGGAGTATTGGGCTTCGGCTCGCGGATCGAGCCCCCCTGGACCTTTTGCAAAGTCCCTACCAGGTTCAAGGCGGCATTCAAAAAGGCTGGGAGCTGAGGAGTCGTGATCTCTCGGACGAGGGTCGGGTACTGGTAGGTAAGATGAAAGATGCGGGTCAATGTGATGATACACATCTTCCTCGTAGACACAGGATCGGGTTTCTAAGAGCGTCATGAATTAGCCAATTGAATACAAAAACTTTGAAACAAGTGATCCATACCGCTAAAATTCCAATCAGACCGCGAACAATCGGCTCGTAACCACGGAGAATCTCCCATTGACCGGCTTCGACGGTAGCTTTCACCAGAACCACTGCAGTCCAGCGACCCTCCACAGTGCGGTCCTGCAGCAAACTAGCCAGGCGAGTCTTGAGTTTGTGAGTCTGAACTGCATTTTCAGAGTCGGATTTGCCTGGCTTTTGGGATTGCGGGGCAGAAAGTAGTTCGGCGCAATCGCTCAACGAAGTTGCAAGAAATGAAGCGATGAAGGGCAATTGATCGACCGGCGTGGTTGTCAAGCGATGAGTGACCGCCCGCAGAGTGGTGGCAGCCATAGCGAATCGTACGAGCTTTCCGCCACGATTGTTTTTTTTTTTAGCAAAATTATGACTGAAGTCGAGCAAGAAGCTTTCGGAGAAAAGTTGGTGGCAGAATATTTTTTTTATTCACCGCCCAGACCCAGATTCGAGCTTGGGCCACATGAAGCCTCGGGTAAAATTACCGTGGTACCGTTACCTACATACGTAATGCCACCCCTGGGTGATCATCGGCATTCACGTTGGCGGCGTCCAAGTGCCTTGATCTTCTCCAACTCTCCCCGTCTACACAATTACCCAACCATGGCGGTAAGTATTCAATTGCTCTATTATGGTCGCCCTTAGTCACAGCTCACAATGCATCGATTCTGCTCGAAATATACCACTAACACGTGCGACTAGGGAAGTAATTCTGAGAAGGGACAGCGCTATGCCGTTGCCTTGAACCAAGCGCGTGCCCAGGGCAAGTGGGATGAAGTCCCAGAATTGATCCGAAAGGTCACCAAGCATGCACCGCAAAAGACATGTATGATTGCATCACTCCACGTCTCTGAATAGCGCTAATAGGAAGCTACCCCCAGGTTTGATCCAAACAGCAACGGCTGAAAGTCGAGTCGTCGAGTATCTACGACAGAAAACTGGCCCCGAAGCCCCCGAAGATGATCCTACACCTGCGCCTGAGCCTAACCTTCCAGAGCTGATACCCACTCTTCTGACAACAATCGACAACAAAGATGGTTGCCCGCAGGAGATACTGCAGGCACAGGTCTGCGTGGGATGGATTCATTGGGCCTTGGCCGAGCCCATGTTGGCCGCAGCACGTCTTCCAAAGGACTTTACTATGACCGTTCACGATATACTGAGTGAAGGTGATGGCCTCTCCTCATGGACCGAGGTTTGTATAGTCAAGGGATGCTACATCAAAGGTTTGTGAATCCCGTGAGCTACTTGCAACTCTCAGGCTCATTACGATCCAGGATCAGCACAATCTACAGTCTCAGGAATTGACGAGACTCTGGAGACATTTGCTTCGCTTGTGCCATGGCTTGGGAGCGGGGTGCTTACGTCGAGTACCAACGCGCAATTCCTCAGTTGGTCTGAAACCATGCTTGGAAAGGGCGCCCTGTTGGCGAGTGAAACGGCGACAAAAGCTGCGCCCATGTCTGACCCTAGACATGTGGAGATTGCGCTTCAGCTTTTCCGCCTCTGGGCGTCCCTTACTTCGGTGATGCAAGGGCTCGCTTCTCCACAGACCTTGTACACCGACGCCTCCGGTTCACTGTCTCGGGTCACTATTTGGAGGGCCTACTACGGATTTCTCTCTACTGTTCTCCAGGACAACCTCATTTACACCCCTGTGCACAGCGGCGTTCCAGAACGCCCCGAATTGGCCAGCGAATTACGGCGCATTGAGGCTATTTGCGAAAGCAACCTTCTTCGGGAGGCGAAATTCCCCACCGCTAGTTCGAACAACTCCGAAATTGAGGAATGGATCGAACTGGTCATCAAAAATTGGCAGATCCTTTGCGGACCGCACTGGCAGGACCAGGATCTTGGCGAAGGGGGTCAGAATGCCGTCGGCCGGAATGTTTTGGACGTAAGCGGGAATGCTTGACCCTTGCTCGGCTACTAGGACCTAACTTCAACTCACAGATGCTTTACCGCGCAGCAACCAAGACATACCATTCACACCTTATTCTTCGGCGGTTGTTCCACGTTCACGCGGCTTTAGCGGACTTTGATCTGGCCATCAAAGCTCTAGACTCTTACATTGAGATTGTGACTGCCGCCAAGGAAAGAGCTGAGAAGGGGGCTGAACTGGGTGAACTGGAGAGCGATGAAACACTGTTGCAGACGCTCTCCGAGGGTGTTTCTTTACTCAGCAGCCTTGGATCGTTTGCCGAAGCAGAAAAAGCCAAGGATTTGACGGAACTGATCAGGGAGTATATCGGCAAGCAAGTTGCTGGTAGAGAAAATGGCAAAGTCGACGGCAAGCTATTGCTCTTGCAAGGCTCGAACTCTTCTCAACCTCGAGAAATTCCGCTTGCGACACTTGCCACTGCCTACAGAGCAATCGGTGTCGGCCTTGCAACTTGGGCATATTGTACTCCTTCGAATGAGGCACGCGATGAAATCAGAGCTGAAGCCATTCAGTACCTGGAAAGGAGTATCGCACCTGAGCTGGGCGATCAAAGAAACTACTCCTCGCTCTACACACTCGCTATCGCATTGGCCGAAAATCGAGATCTGGACACTGCGATCAACTACGTCAAATATGCTTTAGGCTCCCATGGCTCAGCTCCTAGCTCCGAGGATCTTCTTAGAGAACGGGATCTTGTACCCCTTTGGCACTTGCTGTCGCTGCTGCTTAGTGCTAAGCAGGACTTTGAAATCGCGGAGCGGTCATGCGAAGCTGCCTTTGAGCAGTTCCCGGCCGAGATTTTTGCTAGAAACAGGCGTTCTGAAGGACGTGAGTCCAGAAATTCGCACCTTTCTGGCCCTCCCAAGCGCACATTTGTCAGCCGACTGTCAGGCCGTGAGAAAGAACGCATTCTCGAGACTCGCATCACGCAGGTCGCATTCACTGAAATTCTCGAAGGGCCCGAGGCTGCTCTCAATCAAAGTGACCAATTACTGGGACTGTTTAGCAGTCTGTTCTATGACTTTAACCTCGAGGGCGAAGAAAGGACAAATTCATCCAAGCCAGAGCATTTGGTACCACCCAAAAGCTCTGCTGGTACAACGAAAAGTTCTGCTGGTACAATAAAAAGCTTCCGTAGCAGCATATTCCATCGGAACAGGAATTCTCAGATGCCAGAGCGCCGAGCCGATCCAACTGGCTCGAAGCCTACTACCCCGACCCCGCCAATTCCAGCCATTCCAAACGGACATTTAACTGGATCTGATGCACCTGCCATCCAGATCACGGATGAAGATACCCATGCACAGTCCGATCGCGCCTCTACAATTGGCAGGTCGGATTCAAAGAGGTTAAAGAAACGCAGCAACAGCTTCCTTGGGAATGAGCGAGCCCGAGGCCAGGAACCTCCTCTTCGAAGCGGAGCAGAGTCTCCAGAATTGGTTGGCAACGCGGTATCTGGAAATACATCACCCATGTCAGCACACCATTCGACGACCGGCAAACAACCCCTGCAGCCAGTGGCTCACAACATGCATCATATGCAACAACCGCTCCCAGTTGGTCACAAAGACCAGCCACCATCGCAAGATGTTCGACTTCCAGGCACGGTTCATCACCGATTCGACTCTCCATCAAAGGCGATCACCAAGTTCTCAATTGCCCAATCTGAGAAGCATGCCCTTGGAATGCTTATCAAATTGTGGCTCATTATTGCAGGAATGTATCGTCGTGCATCTCTGTTCGATGATGCACGCGAAGCCTGTGAAGAGGCCGCGAAACAGGTCACAAGGGTGGAATCAGTAACAGCAGCGCAGGAGTCATCAGCGCGGGCTTTCAGCAATCGTGGCTGGAGTGCTACCAAAAGTTGTGATGAGCTTTGGGCTGATGTCTACTCCGAACAAGGGATGTTGAGCCAGGCTCGATCGAACCCCCACCAAGCTATTAGACACTTTGAAGAGGCGCTTTTGCGCCAGTCCGACCACCCAATGGCTACTATTGGACTTGCAAACCTTCTCCTGGATGTCTGGGACCAGAAGTTACCACTCGAGGCAGCGCGGGCCGACGTGGATCTCAGTACCTCTCGCCTCTCCCTGCTCACTGAAACCCCCAAGCCAAAGACTGGCAAGGCTGTCTCGATTGATGAGTTGAAGGCTGCTGAAGCACTGGAGGTCGAAGGTTCAGCAGAGTGTTCAACCTCAGCACACGATGTTGAGCCTAAGCATCTCCACCGCCTCGCAGCACGGGATCGTGCCTACGGTCTTCTTTCCGCATTGACCAAGCTTGGCAGCTCGTGGGATAGCTCCGAGGCGTGGTATGCCCTATCCCGGGCATATGAGGCCGGTGAGCAGGTCGAGAAACTGAGGGAGGTGCTTTGGTGGTGCATTGAATTAGAGGACCGCCGTCCGATTCGACACTGGTCGAACATTGGATCAGGACTCTACGTTCTCTGAATCGAAAAATAGCCACTGGGCTTTCTTTAATTAATTTCCTACATCTAGTTTGTTTCCCATACCGTCCTTGTTTCTCCCCTTTCATTTCCGGCAACTGAGATACCATGTCCGCGGTTAGGACTTAGGGGGTTTAATTAGTTTTGAGAGCATTTAGCATTTGACAAATCTACAAGTTTCAAGCTTACGAAATACACATTCTAGTGAAAGCATTGGTAGCACAACTTTATGTACATGGCTTTGCAAGCTCCGACTGGATGCTCGCAAAGCTAAAAAAAAAAATTTGAATCAAGCACGTATATGAAAGTTGGGTTCATTTTGCTGGCCCAGTAGAGTAGCCATATGAATTTACCGCGCAGCAGCAACGGGGGTCCAGGCGGAGTACTTGGGGCGGGTGCTGTGATCGTGTTAGCCAATGCAGGTGCTGTAAATCAACAAATCACACATACGTCGAGTAGGTCTTGAAAGCAGCCCGGCTCAGAGTTGGGTTGGCACGGTGGTCAGGGAGCTCCCAGGTGCGGTGGCCGCCCTGCAGGAACTTGTCGACGGTGGGAGGGGCATCGACCATGTACGAAATCCAAGCGTGCCTGGAGCCAGCGTTAATAATCGGGCTCTGTTCGCGTGGGCAGGGGGGGCGCTTACCAGCCAGGCTCAATGTGGGAGGCATCATATTCGTGCTCCTTGTAGTCGACCCATCGTGTACGAACTGTATGGGAAAGGTCCTTAGCTTCCATGTCCTTTGTGATCATAACGCGTCCAAGTGGTTGGTCTTACGGGGAAGCTCCTCCTCCATGTTCTCGAAGTACTTGTTGCCGAAGCGGTCGACTCCGATCAGGGTTCCGGCCTTGGTATCACCTATGATCGCGCGGGGTCAGTTATCTGCCGCTGGAAGGATCGGGAAGGGTCCAAGTCATACCGATGTACTAAAGAACACCGAGGAAAAGGTCAATGTTAGTCTACAGGCATTCTAAACCATCCCATATCTCATCTCGGCGGCAAGCAACGTACGTGCATCTGGTGGCCGGCATCCTACAAATCCGCGTTAGTAAGCTCTTTTCGCCGGATGGAAAGGGCGCGTAGCAAACCTTCAGACCAACTCGGCGCAAATTGCGCAGTGTCCTCATAATGGTCGACATCTTGGCGGTGCAATGGGGGGAAAAAGATGGAGTCTGTCGAGTCGAGAAGTGAAATGGAAGTCGGAGCGGGATGCAAACACAAGATGTTTGCACCCGCATTGGTCTCCTTCCCGATTCAGAAATCCTTTTGACACCGCTATCCAAAACATGTTCGGTCGCATCGGAGGCCAGGCGCTGCGCTGCGCTGCTCGGCCGATTGTGCGTCGCCAGATTCCTGCGCGTAGGTTCTCTGCACATGCTTCCCATGTTGCTTCGGCCTCCGCGCCATCGCCCTTGGGGCCATGACCATCGAGCTCGATCGCATTGCGCCTCGATTCGAGGTCCCGGCCTCTCAGATTACAATTCTTGATTCTCCGGCGAATTTTTATTCCACATTGAAGGTGTGTATATCTGTGATAATACGACAAAGCTCTGTACTGACGCTGCGAAGCATAAAATCCGCAACGCCAAGCGGCGCGTCTACCTCTCCACGCTGTATATCGGAAAGACAGAACACGAGCTGATCGAGACCCTTTCGGAAGCTCTGCGCACCAACCCAGACCTCAAAGTCTCCATTCTGACTGACGCTCTTCGCGGTACCCGGGAAACGCCCAATCCTTCAAGCGCATCCCTGCTCTGTTCATTGGTAGAGGAATATGGACCGGAACGAGTCGAGATTCGGATGTTCCATACTCCTAATCTTACGGGACTAAGGAAAAAGCATATCCCTCGCCGAATTAATGAAGGCTGGGGATTGCAGCACATGAAACTCTACGGTATCGACGATGAGATTATCCTCTCTGGGTAAGAATGACATATCTGTATTCATCACATGATGCTAATACTGCATTCCAGAGCCAACTTGTCCTCGGACTACTTTACCAACCGTTTAGATCGCTACCATTTGTTCGATTCCAAAGCTTTAACAGAGTACTACGCTCGTATTCACCACGCTATCTGCAGCATTAGCTTCCAAGTCCTGCCAGATTCCGACAGCAAGGCGGGCTATCTCTTAGACTGGCCTACTTCCAATAAGGCTCCATCGCCTCTCGACGGTCCCGAAGACTTCATCGCATGTTCATCGACTTTTTTGGGCCCGCTCATCCAAGCCCGTGATAACAAGCCTGTCATTCCATCCGAGTCAAGCCAAACTTTTGTATACCCCGTTGCACAGTTCACCCCTCTCCTAAAACCCGACACCTCCACCGAATTCCCTGCTGTCACCGGCATTCTGCGTCTCCTGTCCGAGTCTCCTGCATTTGCAGGAGCGCGCTGGCTTTTCACTGCAGGATACTTTAACATTCATCCTGTTCTTTCTTCCTTCTTGATCGCCAGCACATCCTCCACCCCTCAAAACCCAACCACAACCCAGGGCACAGTGTTGACCGCTTCTCCCTGGGCGAATGGCTTTTATGGATCTCCGGGTGTTTCCGGTATGCTTCCAGCTGCGTACACGCATCTTTCTGCGCGGTTCTTAGACCGCGTTGCTGAGGCGCAGTGCACAAACTCCATTCAGCTGAAAGAATGGCGCCGCGGTACAGTCGGCACACCAGATGGGTGGACGTACCACGCCAAAGGCTTATGGATCACCCTTCCCCAGGAGAAACATCCCAGCCTGACCTTCGTCGGTAGCAGCAACTACACCAAGCGAAGCTATAGTCTCGATATCGAGATAGGCGCGCTAGTTGTGACGAGCGACCAAACTTTGAAGGAAAAGCTTGGTGCTGAGACCGAGTGGCTTCAAAAGGACGCCAAGGCTATCTCGAGGGAAGATCTCATGCGCACTGAACGACGCGTCGGCTGGAATGTACGCCTTGCAATGTGGATTGTTGAGAAGGTTGGCGGGGCACTTTGATGCTTCTTTGTAAACATATATTATAAGATAGAACTTGTACTCTAAATCGGGAGGATCCCCCTTGTACTTTTACATAGATCAGATTTCCTATCATGCCAGTTAGGAACATGTCTAAGTCATAGCATCGGACAAGAAGTCATGCAGATACCATCGCTCCTCCTTCCAAGAGTCTAGCATATTCCCTCCGATTCCATTAGGAGGACGTTTATCTATTACCCCCCCATATCCACTTCAAACCCTCACCTTCAGGCGATCCTGGCCAAGAAATGGTTCGGCTTTGATCTCGACGACACCCTACACGATCTACAAAGACTCAACATGAGCCTCGATGGCTGTATTTTAAGTCATCAATGAGACTTTGGGGGTCAATATAGATACAATGGGGGTAAAGAACCAAGAAACCCTGCAAATATCGATTGTAAATGCCTCCACGGACAGAAGAACCTCAACAGACTACCGCCGCGAAGAATTCACACAGGTCCTCGAGGCGAATCTCATGGACTCTCCCATTGAAGATTGTTATGTCAATAATCTACTGGGAGTATATCAGTGGTCACTACGGTCGTACTTGATCTTAAAAGCAGGGGCGCGGGGTTTCTACATTTTTCGGCGACATGTAAAAAACTCATTGTCATCACCGCAGGCCCGGCTGATGGGCAGGAATGGACAGTTCGAGAAATGGATTGACATCCTGATGACGACGAATGCAATAGGAACATCCAAAGTTGATGGGTTTTTTGGCGTTGTCTTAGAGAAGTATGGTATTCCTGCAGATGACATTGTCTAGTCTAGTGATAATGAGGTTCGAGATGTTAAGACCGCGCAGAGAGTTGGAATACACGCTGAGCTTTATTATGAGACACAGCGATGTCACCTGAATAATTTGGAATCACTGCGAATTGAGTCCTGGGAAGTCTTAGTGCTGGTCTTAGGGTCAAGGTCTTGAAACAACGAGACTAGGACATTACTGGGAAAACGAAAAAAAGAGACTTCTGTTATATATGGATTGAGTGTGTCAAAATATCACTTTTGGTCTAGCCATTATGATCCCTTATACATATGCAAGAAACGTCGTAAAAACAAACAAACGCCGAGTCATGGATTCCATTCAATGTCGTATCATGCACAGATCCAGCTACAGGACCTTGTTGCGAGTGTTGGTACCGGAGAACCGAGCGGGGCCAAGACCAGCACGAACTTCCTCGAGCATCTTGATGCCAATGGCCTCGTTACCGTTCTTACCACGCTTGTTCTTGGCGCCTCTTCGCTTGGCCTGGGCACTGGTGTTGTCGTCCCAACCGGCGAGGAAGTCGTCCATGATGTTGTGGAAATCGCTGCGGGAAACTCCTTCACCGCTGGCGTTGACAAGGCTGGGTGCAAGAGATGATGCTGTGGACATACCGGTCATGCCAGTGGCACCAGTCATGCCGCTGACCATGGACATGCTGTCGTCGTACTCATCTTCTTCGTCAAGAGAGTAGAGAGCCTCAACTCGCTCGAAGCGATCGTCCAGGAGACGGTGTCCTTCGGTACGTGCCAATGCGGATGAGGTCATGGAGTATGCAGAGGGGTTGGTCAAAGCACCCTTGCGCTTCTTGCGGCGGATGGGGGTGCCTCCAATAGTGAAGGCAGTCGACGCGACAGTCTGCTGCTCAGAGGGTGCCATAGTTGGTGGAGCCGGAACACCCTTGCCAGATTTAGCATCCTTCTTGAACTTGGCGAATTCGTTCATCCAGCCCTGATCTTGAGGGTGGAGATCTGGAACAGCCTGATCAACCTCGGGCAGCTCGCCAGGTTCGAGAGGCTGCGAGGAGCTTTCAGTATTCTCAGCGAGTTCTCGTGCTTCTGTGCTGTCTCTTTGAACTGGGGCCTTCTCAGTCGCATCCGACTCCCATCCCCCATCCTCCTCATCCTGATCGAAAAAGGTATCCTCCCAGTCTCCAGAGTCCATTTCCTCAGCCTGCTTTGTGAGCTCGCCGAAAAGATCGTCGTCTTCATCATCGACGAAAGCATCGTCCTCCAGAGCCTCCAAAGCCTCGCGCAATCGCGGATCCATATCTGGCTGGAAACCCGCGATGGCATCGGGGACGTTCTGCTGATCCTGATAGGTAGGCTTGCGGATATACGATGAAGCTGTAGAGCGCAAATCACCATACTCAGATCCGTAGAGGCTCTGGCCACCCGCAGCGCTCCGCGCATCGTCTTCGTTTAGAGAGACCTGGCGCAGCGCATCCTCCAGCTTCATCGCCTTACCCTTGACCTTCTCGGGCTTAGCCTCCACGAAGTATGCTTCTCCACCCCCAGTTCCCAGTTCGCGCAAATGTTGCATGTAGTCATATTTGGAGTCATCATAGTAGACACCGTAGTTGGCAGCTTCACCCTCATTGCGGCGGACGGATTCATCGTGGAATTCATTCTCGAGATCGGACAAAACCCGGAAAGGCTTTTGCGAGGATGTCGACGCAGAAGAAGGCGCAGGACCGCCGACTTGATGCAGGACTCGGTCCTCCGCCTGAGGGTCGTGGATCAACGGGTCATTTTGGGACCGGTGGAAGAGCTGGAAAGTGCTCGCGTTCTTCTTATCACTGGCCTCGGGTAAGTTAAATGTTACTGAGCTTCGTAAACCAAACTTACATCCACTGCTTCTTTGGCGGCATGTTGGCTAGTGAAGTGAAGATGGACGCTTGAAATGAAAAAAAAAAAAGGTTGGATTCACTTTGGATAGGATCACGTGGGGCTTATCGCTGCCTGACCCCTCGGGTCCTCACCTTAGTTTTAAGCGAGAAGATGGTAGAGATGACATTTCCACTGTTTATTTAAGCTGAAATAAAACAATATATCGAGTAAATCTGCCTATAAAATGGGAGAAAACATACTCGTAACTGCAAGATTTCTAAAATTTTCGCTCGTTGCCCCGCTGACTAATCGTTATCTTATCCGAACTTAGAGAATAATCCAAATTTTGACCCCTCAGTGATCTTTTCCAACTACATACCACTACACCATCATTCACCATGGTGTTAGCAAAGTCAAAGAATGCCGTGGGACTGGGCAACAGTCTTATGAATGACCGCTTCGGCAAGGGCAAGTCCTCGAGCCAGAAGAAGGCTTCCCACAATGCCATTGCGCGCAAAGGCGTGAATGGAGAGACCTACATTACCAACGAAGCTCAAGAAGCGTCATGGGTCAAGATGCGCTCCATCACCGAACAGGCTGCTTTGGATGAATTCCTTAGCACTGCAGAGCTGGCAGGAACCGATTTCACCGCCGAAAAAATCAACAACGTCAAGATTATTCATTCCGATCAGAAGAACCCTTACCTCCTGACCGCAACCGAGGAGAAGAACAAAGTCAAGAAGCATCTGAAGAACAGAGGGAAGTTGACAGTGCCAAGACGACCGAAGTGGGATTCTTCGACTACACCCGCACAGTTGGAAAAGATGGAGCGAAAGAGTCTGTTGGACTGGCGTCGCGGGCTGGCGGAACTTCAGGAGCATCATGATCTGCTCATGACTCCCTTCGAGCGAAACTTGGAGGTCTGGCGCCAGTTGTGGCGTGTTATTGAGCGATCCGATCTGGTCGTGCAGATTGTCGATGCGCGTAACCCTCTTCAGTTCCGTTCCGAGGATCTAGAGAACTATGTCAAGGAGATTGACTCGCGGAAGAAGAACCTTTTGCTCGTGAACAAGGCAGATATGTTGAGTCTCAAGCAGCGAGAGGCTTGGGCCCAGTACTTCGAAGAGAACAACATTAATTTCCGATTCTTCTCGGCCCATCTCGCTAAAGAGAAAATGGAGCTTGAGATGCTGCTGGAAGAGCAGTCAGACAACGAAGATGATTCTCAACTGACCAAGTCGGCGAAGAAGCTGGACTTGAATGAGACCGAAGACGACCCTTCTAGTGAAGAAGATGAGGAAGCTCGGGCTAGGCTCGCTGACCCCGACCAGTCCCTTGGTCCACACATTCTCGATGTGGACGAGCTTGAAGCGCTCTTCCTGGCCAACGCCCCCGAGGCTCTCCCTCAGGAAGGCGACTCGGACGGACGTAAACGGAAGACCACCATTGGTCTCGTCGGTTACCCCAACGTGGGTAAGTCCAGCACAATTAACGCCCTCCTCGGAGCCAAAAAGGTGTCTGTCTCTGCCACCCCCGGTAAAACCAAGCATTTCCAGACATTGTATCTCTCTCCCGAGATCATGCTCTGCGATTGTCCCGGTCTCGTGTTCCCCAATTTTGCCTCTACGAAGGCCGATCTGGTCGTCAACGGTGTGCTGCCTATCGACCAGCAGCGTGAGTTCACCGGTCCCGCCGGCCTTGTCGCAAAGCGAATCCCCCGACACTTTATGGAGAATGTGTACGGTGTGAAGATCCCCATCCGGCCCATCGAAGAGGGCGGCACTGGTATTCCCACTGCTAGTGAGATTCTCCGCGCCTACGCCCGTGCCCGTGGTTTCTCCACTTCCGGTCTGGGCCAGCCCGATGAGTCTCGTGCCGCTCGTTACATCCTGAAGGACTTTGTGAACGGAAAGCTCCTCTACGTGCACCCGCCTCCCACACCAGAGGGTGAACCTAGCACCGATCCGAACGAGTTTAACCAGGAACTCTACGATATCGCCCATCTTCCCGCCAGACGCCAGGCCATTCTCGCCAAGGCCAACCTTGCCGCCGAAGCCGATTTCGATTCGGAAGTTGGCTCCCTCGCCTCCGCAAACGTTGAGACTCACGATCTTCCGGGTGCACGCTCTCGTAACATTGATACCGGTTTCTTCGGCACAGCCACTGGGCCCTCTGCCGGTCGCATGAGTGTTCCCTTCCAGCACAAGTACACGGAACAGGGCCAGCAGATGCGCAAGAACCTCACTGGTCGCAAAGAGCGTATGATGATTGCTATGGAGCGCGGCATTGATGTCTCTGAGGTGAAGAGCGGCAGCTCCAAGAAGCATTTCAAGGGTAACAAGAAGCGAGCCAAGGGCAAGCGCAACACTCCCGAGAATGACGACTACAACTAAAAGTGCCTTTTTTTTTTAATCTTTTGATGCTGTTATGACTTGTCCATATGGATGGCTCGCTCTTTACATACGGGATTTGCATGTCAATGTTGATTTCGATCTGAACCTACCCAGGTGCTCATGCTTGGACATTGCCGGCGTTGGGAATAGCATGAGTTGGAATGAAAGATATACCACGTCTACACTGTTTTCCATTAATTCACGTATTCCGAAATATTTCATTCTGATATCCTTTAATCCTAATGGTGTGGCTATAGTGCCCCTTTTCACAGATGGCTCTTAGCCTTGAAGCCAGAGGCAAGAAGCAATCGATCTGACTCCTCACGCTGCCACTTTAGCTTAGCAACCACGGCATCCTTACGATCGCGGTTCTCGCGACGACCCAGCTGAGCCAAGTGAACCTCATCTGGACCGTCAGCAATACGCAGAGTACGGATACCAGCCCACAAATAAGCAAGAGGAGTATCTTGGCAAACACCAGCAGCGCCATAAGCCTGTACAGCGCGATCGATAATAGTCAATGCAGTCTGGGGCACAAGCACTTTAGCCTGAGCAATCTCCTTAAGAGCAGACTTGGCATCGCCCTGATCGATCTTAATAGCAGCATTCAGCACAACGAGACGAGCAGCATCAACCTCGATACGCGACTTGGCAATCCACTCGATAATGACACCATGCGAAGAAAGAGGCTGGCCGAAGGTCTTCTTGCGGTCATCGTTGACGCGCGCAATGAGCCACTCGAGTGCCTTCTCCGCTGCGCCAATAGTGCGCATGGCGTGGTGGATACGGCCGGGACCGAGACGGCCCTGGATAATCTCGAAACCGCGACCCTCACCCAGAACCATGTTGGAGACGGGGATGCGCACGTTGGTGAAAGTGATGTGGCCGTGGCCGTGCGGGCATCATCGTAGCCGTAGACGCTCAGCATGCGGTGCACGGTGATGCCGGGCAGACCAGCGGGCACAAGAACCACGGACTGCTGGCGGTAGGTGTCTTTGTTGTTGGGGTCGGATTTGCCCATGACAAGGTAGATCTTGCAGCGGGGGTCACCAGCGCCCGAGGACCACCATTTCTATTCGACTTAGTATTGGATAAATTAAATCGCTGATCGGGGTGGGAATAATACGTACCGAGCCATTCAGGACATACTCGTTGCCCTCGCGGCGGATGTTCAATTCGATATTGGTAGCATCACTGGACGCAACGTCGGGCTCGGTCATCAGGAAAGCAGAACGGATCTTGCCATCGAGCAGGGGCACAAGCCACTCCTGCTTCTGAGCATCATTGCCGTACTTGGCCAGCACCTCCATGTTACCAGTATCGGGAGCAGCATTGTTCGTAGCCTGGTAACCCCATTAGCATTAATCTTCGGAGTTGAGGTATGTTCCAGCATCACGAACCTCGGAGGCAACCTTGCTCTTTCCGAGCAACTCGGCCATAAGACCATACTCGACATTACTATAGCCAGCACCCTGCTTGAAGTGGTTCTTCGGCAGGAACATGTTCCACAAGCCGAGCTTCTTAGCCTTCTCCTTCAGCTGCTCCATCACCACGGGGGTGGTCTGCCATCTCTTTTCGCCCTCGCCGAGCTCGGCGGAGAATACGGCATCGGCGGGGATACAATCTTTCTCGACGAACTCCTCGACCTAGGAACATGGTAAGCGTGGGGTTACAGTATCGGGGGAACAAGGTCCGAGGTGTACCAAGTCGAGGGTCTTCTTAGCGCGGTCGCTAACGAATGGCTGGGCGATGGGAGGGATGCGAGTAGAAGCAGACATTGTGAGAGTGTGTTTGAATAGAGGGAGAAGAGAGAGGAGGGTTCGGCCGAATATAAGTCAGCCCATTGCTTTGGGAACTGCGGAGTAGCGCGGTGTGGAGAAGCCGAGAGCGGGTTTTTGCCTCGGCCCAGCTATGCTTCGATGCTGTCCAACTTTGTTAACTATTTACACACATCCCCCATAGCCGTCGGGTATCATTAATCGTTGAATGGAGGACCTGAAGGATTCCGTAAGAATATTTTAATAACTTGGCGTTTACTTTCCTGTTAGACGGCCCGGACTACATGAGGCGAGATCTGCCTCGGTCAGATCTCCACCTATTTTTAATGCCGAGCAAGTACAAAAGGAACTCGATCATTCAATTGCTCCCTAACCCCAAGTTCCAAAGGGACTTTTGACCCCCAGAGCCAAATCCATAACCTAAGAACCCCGTACCAACAATACAAAAATCCAGTCACAGAAGAAGCAAGAAGGCATCGCGGTCATCACAAAAAAAGAAAAAAGAACATAAAATATTGAGAAGGAGCCCGCATGCAAACACAACACTCAATCCATCAATGCAAGACGACTTTAACATATAGCCCTGTTCAATAGACGTCCAGCGCCGATGCAGTTGGACGATAGATATAGCAGTCGGGGAGATGAATTGAGCGTGGCGAAAATGACATGCGGGCGAGAAGCGAAATGCAATAAGCAAGATGAGCATTCACCGGGGACTTCTACTCGGTCGCTCGGTTCTGCTCTGCCGATGATTGCTCATAGCTTTTCTTGCCAAGTTTCGCGAACAGCGACTGGGGCTTGCCGGCGCTATGAACCCAGGTTAGCTCGGTACTCTCTCAGCAGGTCAACCTAAATAAGAACATACTTCTTGAATCGCTTGCCCTTGATATCACTGAGCTTCTTGGTACACGGGCTCATGAGCTCGTCGGACGGAGACACGTAGGCAGTGGGTTGCCTGGAGAGTTTCGTCTTAGTATTATGTTTGGCATGACGGATCGGTGAACTACTCACTTCTCATCACTGTCGAGCTTCCCCTGCAGTGTCTGACGGTGCTGGTCCATTGATGAAAGATCGGCCTTCATGTCTGACTTGTCGATATTGGCATTGGCGAGGTGGGTGTTGGTGTCGCGGTCCGCGAGAGGCTGAGTGTGTGTTGTGGAGTCCATTGTGTACGTGTGTGAGAAAGTGCGTGTAAGTGTATGTGGAGGAGGCTTGAAGCTGTGAGGGTTGAGGGCTGGGAATTGAGAAGTGAGGAGAATAAGAGTCAAGAGCAGATTGATCGAGATCGGATAAGAGAAAAACGTGTTGTTGGTGCAGGTGGGCGAAAAATGAAGAAAATGGATTTGATTGTTGGCAGGGCAACCGTTGTGTTGGTCCCCGAACCGCGATGACCGTGTATGACGCACCCGTCTAGGGCATTCCCAGGTTTCGTGGATCCTCTACTTGCTTGTTGTTTAGATTTCATAATTTACTTGTTGAGTAGGAAGGTTCAACCGAGCAATGCTGTATGCAATTATTAAAGTACAGTGAATCGTACAGGGGATCGTATCGTAGGTCATTCAAGCGTATACAGCCTTCCCAATGGAACACCTAGAACGCCGTGGATCTTGAGGAAGCAAATGCAAACGAGACCTGGCTTGATGAGCCATGTATACAGGGTCAATTGGTGCCAGCCAATATAGGACGCTCCCTTGCTCAGAGGCTTATAAGGCGGTGGGTCGATCGTCAGCTTCGGGGGATTCGGGTTCCAGGAAAGTCTTGTTCTCGACAGCCCCTTCTAGATCCAGATCTGTCATATGACTACCCAGGAAGGCGGGCGGAGTGCTACGGGACCGGAGTGGAGGTGTCCCGAGTGTGGGCACAGTCATTGAGTCAGGGGAAGCTGGCCGGTCGACTTTTTCATCCTCCATTTCAGCCTCCCGCGAGACATCGGATGTCGGAGTCGGCGGAATGTATTGCACTCTCGGGCTGGTCGGACTGTCTTGGGACGAGGAGCTGTCTGAAAGATTCCGCCGGTGGCCACTTTCATGGTGCGGAGAGGCTGGTCGTGCGGATGCGGGGCTGGCTGAGGGTGAGGTGAAGATTGGCGATGAGGATGGTAGGCTGTAGGATCGGGTGACCATTCGCTGGACGCGTGGGAACTCCATGTAGGTGCTGACGGACCCTCGCGAGAACAGTACTAGCGCAAAGCAGCATAAGACCATAATGCTCTGGATGACTGTCACACGTTTCTGGAAGACCAGCTCATCGGCTAACACACCCAGTTGAGAACTGATAGAGGTCACCTCTTGCTGATAGCGCATGCGCTGGTGCTCAAATTCAAAGGCAACGGATTTCCAGACATGGTCGTATTGTTCTCGGAACTCCTTCAGCTCGTTGAGGACGGTGACATTCAGGTTCTCGAGAAACTTGGAAGTCTTTGAGAGCTGTCGTTTCTCAACCTTGTTGAAAGCATCCCGAAGGATTCGGGACTGCTCTTCAATATAGAGTAAGGATAGAGTCGAATTAGATTCAAGCATTTGCAGTCGCTTATGTACGGATTTGAAGAAGGACTCTTGGGTTGTCGGGTTTGAAGGTGGCGGTTGGGTAGATGTAGGTCGAGTTGCCTCTGGGGGGTAGACTATTTGGTTCCTCCTTAGGTTTCGTCGCCGGTTGACTCGTGTTTTCAACGGCGGAGTCTTGCTGTACAGTTTCTCCCGGGGCAATTGAAGCGTCCGGTGTCGTTGCCACGGCTTTTGGCGATTCGCCTGGCTTCCGAGTATTTTCGGCTTTGGGTGGGGTGGATGATCCAGATTGAGTTTCAGAAATGTTGTCTCCGGTTGTGTATGTGGTATTCACGGTTGGCGGCGAATCCGGCTGAGCCTTGGTAGCCGTTCTTTTTGGGGTAAGCTTCGCTGGGATATCATTGATACCACACGTATTTGCAGGTTGAGGGATCAGACCAAGGAGGATTACTTCCACTTGAGTGAGATTATTAGGGCAAGTCTCTTGAGGCCTCTCTTCGCTCGGAGCTTCTTCAACTGGAGGCTGAATGTTCTCAGCCTGCGTAGCTCCGGGAAGCTCGCCAATCTGAACTGGCTCCACAATCTCTTCGTCGTCGACTCGGCCACTCTCATCATGTTTATACTCTTCCATCATGGTAGTTCCATGCACTCGAATCAGACTGACAGGACAGAAGAACTCATGACCATAGTGCGTTAAGAACTCGATCCGCAGGTAGCGAGCCCAGATGAGGGAATTCTCCACGGCGAAAGCCTGTACCTCACGCGTGTTCCTGGCCTCATACACGCCCAACTCCTTCCACTGGTCGGGTTTCGCGGGATAGCGATCCGAAACGCTGACCCTGAAAGTGTGGAATATCGAGCTAAAAAATTCATAGTTCGCCAAAACGACTGTATCGACGAGAATGTCATCGCACAGTTCCAGAATCAGAAACTTGTTCAGGGCACGACACTCATTCAGCATGTAACTGTCCTTATTCTCCACCAGCACAGAAGAAGAGCCCTTGCACTCCGGATTCGTCTTGAGCACCGTCGCCGCACAATCAAACGACGCATAGTTGAAGCGCTCCTTGCACGTCGTCCCAGCATCCTTACGACGCCGAATATCTTTCTTGATAACCGGAGCACGTTCATCTCCACCATCCTCTCCTCCATCAACATACTGTGACGAAATGGGGGTACCCCAAGCTGTAGGACTCGCCTCGGGCGTCTCAGCCCCAAACCCACCAAAATCCAATTCAATCTCCCCATCATCCCCTAATGAGTCCAGCGCGTTATTGATCCCAGGCTGCCTTCGACCCTCTTTCCCGGCCGCTGCAGCCCGTCTACTCGCTCCGACATTCTCAGCAGATTGGCCCGCATTCGCAAGATTCTGCTTCTTCCAATCCTCAAATGAAAGAAAACTCGCGCTGTCAAGCAGCGAATCTGTATCCTGCTCTGGTTCCGCCTGTCCTGGAATCGCCTCTACCGTCTCTGTAAACGCAATAGATTCTACCACATGTGTGGCTCCAGCTTCGGACGTCGCAGTCAGAATCAGATGGCGTCCCCACCGATGTTCCGGACAGATAGGAGTTTGGAAAAGCTCAGCCTCAACCTCCCATGAGTTCTTCGGAGGACATATTGCATCCGGTATCGTCGAGCGATCCGACTGTGCGGAATGCTGAGTTGGGTTCGCAAGCGCACATCCAACAAGCACAATCGAAATGGAATGCACCCAAGTCCACGACCGTCCCAACATCTTGAGGTTGTGCGATAAGCAGTCTCGTGTCGCGGTAGTCTTTCGCGAATCTGACGAGCTCCTTTTTTTTCACGCCGACGTAGACGAGAAGTCTGTTGACAGTATCGTATCACGTATCACGTATCACTCCGGAGAACCGATTTATTATGACGTGCGCATCGTCGAAGGTGGAAGCGAAATTTGATCGCGACCTTGATCGTTATCTGAGAGCCACGGGAAGATAAATGGGAGGGGGAGGCACGATGATAAAGCGTGTGTCGGTGTCGGTGGTGGTGTTGAGATCGTGCGATATCGGGTGTAATTAGGCCAGTGAAGGGCTGGAAACGAGCGACACACCGAGCTCAAGACAAAGTGGATCGTGGCATCTCACCCGTTTGACAGCTGGGGTCACCGCCTTCTTGACCGCCGGTTTGCTAGAGACAAACTCTTCTAGTTTTGGGAACATGAAACTGTAAGAGTTGAGATAGTGTTGCGATGTTATTGGATTGATATTTTATATCATGCTACATGTAACTAGTCGCTGAAGTTGCAGCTTGGAGCTGCATGGTTAAAAGGCAGAGGGTGCATCAAGCATAAACGGGACACGCACAAGCTTCCACCGCTCTTCTAGACCCACTAAGCCCACAGAGGACTGGACTTGGCTCTAGGGGGACTACATCTTACGCAAGAGATTGCCATAGTCTCGTCGGAATTACCAGAATGTACGATGCTTGAGTGAAGTCTACTACACGATAAGAGTCTACAGTAAACTTATTCTTCACGGATGGTAATCAATTTCCCCTTCGACTGTCCCACCGACCTAAATACAGTACACACACAGGATTCAGTACACTTGGTCAAAAGAGAAATGGCCCTCATTTCAGAGAACTCAACCTCCACGCAATCGCAAACACCACTCCACCATCTCAGTCGTTTTTTGTCCATATGCAAAACCTCGGAAATGAAAATATTCCCCCAAAGCAGATCCTCCCCACCATCTAGTCTTTTTGGTGCTCGACGTCCCCGTCCTATTTCGGCTGTCCTCGGCTGGATATAGTACAGAATTTGGAGAATTGAAACGAGGAAGTGAAAGTAGCCGAGGACAAGGCTGCAGCGCGATCGTGCATAGAGTTGGAGAGCAGACGGAGACACCGGCAAACAACCAAAAATCGAAAACCAGAGACACAAAGACAAGAAACAAAATTAGTTTATCGTTGGTCAATTTTTTGAACTTTTTTCCCAACTAAATCGAATAAACGCGAGGACGCGAAACGACTGGAACAAATGGAGTGGTGAAGTTGTTGCAAGCATAGGCGAAGTTATGCTACAGGTGGAGGTCGTGCCACCCGCCCACGAGATCGAGATCTTCGTCGAGGCTGCCGTCGTATGAAGAGTGTTTGAGGGGGGATTGTTTGGTGACATCCGCAGGCTCCCGACGCCAGTCCTTCTGGAGAAGACGCCGACGACGGTCAGACTGAGGTGGCTCACGCTTGGCCCGGAGACCTTGATCAAAGCCGGAAGAGCCAAGACCCCAGTCGCGCCGCCAGGTGATGGGGGCTCGCTGGGGACCGAAGAGGTCACGCGTCTTACATTTGCGACGCTTGTCACCAAGTTCCGCCCACTTGTCCGACTTGCCTCCAGAAGCTTGCGGGGAAGCCTGCGGGCGAATGGGACGAGGCGTGCTGTTAGATGCGCCGGTGTCACTGTCAACATCGACGGAGTTGGCTTGTATCGCACGGGGTGCGGTGGGCTGATTGACCGGAGTATGGGTTCGGTCGGCAGAGGGAGCGGAGGCCGGCTCGCGCAACCCGGCCAGGGGAGCTGGAAGGCGCTTACCCTGACTTTCTTGGCTCCAACTACGAGAGTTCTGCTCACGGCGTTGCTGGAGTGCAAGGTCTTCAATTTCGGACTCTTCCTCCTCCTCGTCCCAGAGATCACTCCAGCTCTTGGAGATCTGGTCATTCGCATGCTTGCCAAAGACCATCGACAACGATGGCAGAGGCTTGCTGGCATGACTAGGCAAAGAGCCGGTGATAGGGACAGGGTCGGATCGAGGAAGGAAAGGCATGCTGCGTTTACCGTGGAGGTTGAGCGAGCGGAAAGACTCACCCATGGCGGAATCCAAGACCGAGGCCATCGACGGGGTGTTGAATTGAGCCGAGATCCAAGAGGTACCTGCCACCTCGGAAGGTGGGAACAAATCCTCGGTGTAGCTCTCGTTGTCGGGAATAGCGGACAGCTGTCGCATGGCCTGGTGAGGGCTTGACTGCAATGCCTTCGCCCAGGGGAAAGAATCGCCTTGGTTGATGAAGGGGCTTTGGATGGAGGGAGTGCGGAGAGGCTCGCGGTTGGCAGTAGCAGTGACCACTTCGCGGTCCTCAGCACAGAACTCATCAAGGGACTCGTCATCGGTAGTGAAGGACACAGCCCGCATGATGCACTGACGCACCTGAGCCAGAGAGCGCTTCTCGGGGTCAAGGGCCATGGCATGGAGCAAGATCTCAAAAGTGTCCTGAGACATATTGGGGAAGATGTCGAAGAGCGATTGACGGTCACGCACGTAATCCGCAAAGAGCACGTCCGACTCAGTAGGTGTCACAAAGGGATTGCGGGCAAACAGGATGTTAAGCAGGCAAATTCCGATGGACCAGATATCAGCCTTAGCCGGGGAGTAACCAGTGGCAGGCGGGTCATATTGCTCAGGAGCCATATAGCGGTCACTACCAACGCAGGCTTCATGACACCACGATTGTCGAGTTGCAAGACCAAAATCCCCAAGCTTCATCGAACCGTCAGACATCAGGAAGATGTTCTCCGGCTTAATGTCACGGTGGTAAAGACCGTTGGAATGCATGAAATCAAGGGCGCCGATGAGTTGCAGCATGAAATCCCGAACGTGCTCAGTCTCCAAAGGACCCCGGTTGAGACGAATGGCTTCATATAGGTCACCATTGGCACAGTATTCCAAGACAAGGTACATATGAGCCTCGGTCTCGAAGGAGTGAATAAGATTAACCAGATTTGGGTGATAGCGGAAGCGCCGGTGGCACTCGAGCTCTTCGAAGCGATCGTCAACAAAATGAGGAGCTGACGGATCTGTCGAAGATGGCTTGGTCAAGCACTTGATGGCGACATCTTGGCCGGTCGTGATATCTGTTGCGAGAAACACCATGCCGAACGACCCGTGATTGAGCGGGGCAACCGTTCGGAAACGACCATCCAAGAGTCGACCCTTGACGAAGTCATTCTTGAGGCACTCCATGGTCGACATGATGAGTAGTGGTTTCGAGAAATGAGATCAGAAAGGGTCTGTGGAGCAGAATGCGGAGGGATGAAAGTGCAGGGAAGGTGAGGTGAGAGAAGTAAGAAGGTTCAAGGAAAATCAACAACAATCTATGAACCGCTGCAGAAGGACCACGTGCAACACGCGTATAACAGCAACCAGGCTAATGGGTGATTAAGTGTTCAAGAAGTGAAAAATTGAGGCCTGTGATCCCGATGCGAAGGGATTGGAGCAACAAGCACAAAGTATCAGGACAAAATTGGCGAGTTCCTGATCAGCTCGAAAGGTGTCGTAAAAATATACCAGAGGAACAGAGTGGATAGACAAGGGAAAATATGATGAAAGGGCGCAATGACGGCGCTGCTGAAAGGACCCGGAGAGGGTGGATGTGACGCTTCAAGGAAAATGTGTAAAGACCGTTATGTGCTCATTTGTATGTCGTTTTCGTTGTGATAGGTGGCGAGGGCCTGCGGAAGTATTGAACGAAGAAGAGAGGGGTCACGAAGGAATGGACAAAGTTTGTTGAGCTGAAAGGCTGAGGAATTGGAGGTGAACGCTGCGTAATATCGTAATTTGAAAGGCAAATAAGACGGATGGGAAAAAAGGAAGCCTATGAACACCGGGTTCAAGGTTCGGAGTGACCAAGACTCAAAGAGTAAGGTGAGATTAATGAGTCATGAGCACCGAGTGAACTGAAGAAGCGATGGTCGAAGTCGAAAGAAGTTCGAATCGAGAATAAATAAAAGTCGAAGCGATCCGCAGGCTTTGAAAGCTTGATGATCGAGTCAAGATGAAAGTTGGGATCCTGGGAGGACTGCCTCCGAATTCCAGGGGTCGGAAGAGCCGGAGTGCTGAGTGTCAGGTTCCCGGGCGACGTGGATTCGAGATCAGGCGAAACGCAGTTGATAACGACAACGTATGGAGACTTGGCAACGTATAATGGACGACCGTGTGATGATTGACTGGACACAGACGATGGACGAAAGCAAGTAGCGGTAAAGTCACTTGAATTCAATGGCAATGTCGCTAAGCGGGGGGAGTCGAGTTAAGACTCGGAGGGTTCCTCGAGAAAGGTGAAGAGACAAAAGGGAGGTTTCGGCGGGAAAAGAAGTCGAGGAGAGTCGAAGCACTCGACGGCAACGTGTCTGGGGAATAGACGGGACGCGGCAAACAAGTACTATCGCGAGAGAGCGAAAGGAGACGGAAAGGGAGGATGTGGCGGAGAGGTGACGAAGAGGTGACGGAGAAGTGATCGGGACTAGGGATTTAGGACTAGGAGAGGGAGGAACGAGGGAAGGGGGATATGGATATAGGAGAGGTAGGGAAGGTCAGGAGGAGATGACTCTTAGGCTTAGGTAGAGCGCAACTGTTAGTCACTGAGTGGGGAGGAAACCGGGAGACTAGGCAGTGCCAATCAACCCGTGTGACGGTATCGATACGCGTCACAAACGGGTCTTCCTCGTGGGCCGACAGCGTGTGATCTGCACGCGCACCTTAAACTTGGTGGGAGAGGACCTTGGCCGTTTCCGTCCCCCGGTATTGTGACCGAAACCGATCATGGTCTTACGCCACGCAATCCGTAGTTCCCCATCTTCATGAACCTTCCAGACATTCCATGACCCTTGGGCGTCACTGGGCGAGACCCCTGGGAATTCACCTCTATTGGATTCTAAGTGTTTCGGATTATCTAAAGACCGTCTTGAAGAATTTCAATTGATCTTCATTCGGGGGGGGGGGGGAAGAGACTACAATTTGTCGACCCAAGTTCCAAGATTCCAAGGAAAGTTTCATGAAGTCTACTGGGACCTGCAGTACTCACTCTACACGGTAGGAGAGAGTCAAAGATAGGAGCAGGGGTACAAGCTCGGGCACAGCACTTTCGACCGAGGGCGGATCACATAGGGCGCGCTAAACCAGATCCGGTGGATTGCGCAGTCGGCTTGGGGGGGGCAACCTCCAATGACAAGACCGAAACGGAGCACTATTTCCAGGCTTGCATGACGCCATGGATTGGGACAGATTGGGACGAATTGGGATGGCGTGATTTCGTCTGGTTGGCGTCGGTGGGTCCCCCTCTACTGCAGGCCCCGGAGTTCGGAGGGTCGAGTTTCGTTGCTTGCTGCAGCACTTTGTGTACCTCGGGGCCTGTCTCCTGTCCTTTCGCTAGGGCCTATCTAGGACGCCTCTCTACGCGCCCTGGCGAACGCGTCAAGGGTCTCTCTCTCTATCTTTAGTTGCTTGTCCCTCGTTTGGCGCGTGGGATTATCGAGATTCGAAACCGAAATGGTTCCAGAGTTGCACTCCTACGTGGCTGCGGGGGGTTTGACATGGTCGATCTATCAGGGGGGATGTTGTTGATGATCCTCCTGGTGGACCGCTCCTTACGGCGAGACAGGGAGCCACGGAAGTTGTCTGCAGAAGCTCCCGAGTGCCAGAGGGTGCACACACCCTGAGGCACGTCTCAAAAGGCACATCTGGGCCAGGGACATTAGACACCCACGCAGCACGGATTTTCATCCCGGTCCAGCGGTGAAGGATGGTCTGGCCAACCGGCTCTGACCGCCTCCTGCGAGGGCCGGCAAGGTTTGTCCTTGCAGGCGGTCGAGGCATTTCTCTGAGTGGCAGTGGCACGACTACACATTACCCATGACGCGGATTCACGGCCATCACGCGATGCTTTCAATTTGTATACCATTAGTCCCCAGTCCCATCCTCCTGGAACGAAGATCGAACTATAATATCTCAAAACATACGATGATATACACAACCTCCTAGATGATTGCAGGGGAAAATGCGTCTCGTAGTGTGCATAGTCGTGCATCGTAGTGCCTTGTAGTGCACGGCTCAGCTTCTGAGGTCTCCGTCCACTAGCCGTCGCCGTGGGCACCCTGCCTGCATCCATATTGCCATGCCGTTTCATCATTCGGTGCTGGATGAGTATCATGCACGCCTTCCCCAAAATAATAGCCGACTCTCCAACACGGGCGCCGAGGACAACGCCCTGATCCAAGACGAACCACGAAACGGAACATGGCGAAAGTTCCCCAGCCCTTCCCGTGTCCTCATGATGATCCAAAATGATCCCAGGAGTCGCAACGTGTCCTCCTTTGGGGGGGAAGGGTCAGCCCGTCGTTCCCGGCAGCGTAACAGTCTTGACTACTCAGCGAAGGCACCAATCAATACAAGCCAACAAGACGGGACCAGTCTCCGTGATTAACTAATAACACCTAACACTCGCACTCAATACGCAGACGGAGTAGAGTTTGTCCAGTATCCATGGCTCAACTTTCCGAGATAAGACTCTCATCTACAGTAGGCCCGAGATAGGCCAGATAACACTCACCCGTGGGACGTTGATCACCCATTTTTGTGATCCCATCGGCTTTACCCCGCACGATCGTCATTCCAAAGTCACCATCGGGTGGATTCTCAACACTGTTGCGTGCTACGGGAGACCACCGATAATGGAAGTCTGTTTTGGCCTTTCGGGGGGGGGGAAAGGGGGAAAGGCCTCGAGGCGGGACTGCACCAGGAGGGGGACTACAGTATCACCGTGGGTTATCTGCCACTTGAGATAATGATGATCTCACTTATCGACTAGCGCTCTGGTATTCTTTCCTTATTTGTCTCTCGGAGGCAGGCGAGGTAGGGGTATGTCATGGGTATGTACACCTTAGGCTTAGTTCGAAGGCTGTGTGGGGGAATGGACTGACCTTCAGACGATCCAGCGCTTCTATCTACCAGGTGACCGGCGCGCAAATACTAAGTTCCCCGGATTTTGGCTCCGGGGCCAACCAAGACTAGCCAAAAGGGTCCGTAGAGCCCACAAAGGCCCCCAAAGGAGAATTGGGTTTCTTGATTTACGGCTATTTTCTTCGCCTATTGGATAGCTCACCCCCCAATGGTCATCGGACACGAGAGCAATGTCCATTTGAAGGCTGACAATGTCTACGCCATTCCCCCGTTGCCGGGCCATTTGACCCCGTGCTCAAAGCCTTTCTTCGATGGCTTTCTCCGACCGTCTGTAGATCCCGCAAGAGTCAAAAACAATTCTCAAATGCGGTGGCTGGGGCCCGCTTCCGCAAAATAACGGGTCATGCAACCTGTTAAACATTTGGAACTTTCGAGCATCGACCTTGCAATCGGGATGCATGGTGGTTTGGCTCGGAGCCAGCTTGCTTGCATCGTTGAGTCCTACACAGTGTACAGCGTAGTGCGTACCGCGTACAGCGTACAGCATGCAGAAATCTGAACGTATACCCGTTGGTGAAATTTTTTGTCCGTGTGAAACCTGGACTCCGCAATGCAGGTCAGACAGAAATCTTGTTCTAAATCAGCTCCCTTGCCGGTGATCGTTGCCTTAGGCTAATGCAGGGTGTCACTCTTGATATGTAGTTGGGATGCTTTGTTACGACTAGAATCTCTTGGAGGGTCTGGACATCTGAAGCAACGGGTCATGATGCATAAATTATTGCTAGATGTGTCAATCACAATCGAATTGATCTTTAGTCTTGTGCCTTTTTCAAATTCTCTATGGACGATGGGCCGGATAGGTGTGCATTTGCTTCTCCAAAGTGCACATATATATCCTTTGGCTTCGGGTACGTCCTCAGACATATCCTTGGACGTATCGAGTGCTAGTCCGCATAAAAACAGGCGCACAAATAATGAACAGGCAACCAAGATTTTGAATGAGATGTCCAAGAGTTAATATGCAAGGGTCAAAAAGGATGTAGCATGTCCATTACCCAAACAATGAACAATGAAAAACGGTCCTCCGGATGTCAATAACTAGGCCAAGACGATTCTAGGCCAGAATCTCTACACTCTGCACCAACTCCAACACACTACCAAATGCCCCTACAGTACAATATTGATGATCAACTACCATCGCCACATCCAGTCGAAATTCAAAGCATCCACCTCTTCGTGGATCAAGAGGTGGATCAAAGTAGCTTCCCACTCCTCCGTTCGATTCAGAATCCGTTTGCCTATTCTCAATCGGGCCAACCCCCCCCCACAATTACAAGTTCAACTACACCGGAATCCACCCCTTGAACAACAGACTCGAAACAATGTATCGCTATAGCGTCAGCAACCAGACGCGAGCGGATCCAACGAGCCAATCTCTCTACACTGTAACGCCGTGACGCCGTAAATAGAAGCAAGAGTGAAGCTGTTGACGCCGGTCCCCACACGGCACTCAACTCCTGTTGGCAGCCGACCAGTTCCGCCCGTTTCAGATAATGTCTCAACATCATTGCCCAGGGCCTCGTAATGGGGTGGCCACTCTAGACCATGACCACGCTCCACAGCGCCGGAAAGACAGATATCCGACGGGCGGTTACGGAGAATGACGTTGCCCATGGAATTGGAATGTGGCATGGGATGCTCTCAGCGAGGTGGCGAATTGTGCCGGGGTTGGTAACCACAAGCTTCGGGGAGTCTAGAATGCGCCTCCAACGAGGTACACATGGACCAAAGGACTTGTGCCAGGGGTTCCAGGGCTACACAGGGTTGAGACACGATTTGAGGGTTGAGTGCCGAGTGCTGAGCGCTGAGCGCTCTGTACAGGACACTTCGGAATTTCGAATGCATCCAATACTGGCGTCCGAGTCGAATGATGCAAGGTGGTAGTGAGGGGTCATGCCATGCTTCGGCTGTGTTGACTTGGCAACGGTCTTGGGGAGTCGATCTGTCAAACACACGAGTCACTTCCACGTTCGTGCATACTATTTGCCTGAAACCGGGTGGTCCTGGCGGTGGTCGAGGCTTGCCAGAGATAGCCTGCCCAGCCCCTTATTTACTTCCAATGTGGAGAAAGAGACTTCGGAACAAAAACATGAGTCTTCAGCGAATTTCGTTTATCGGAATTCGGTATTCGGTATTCAGTATGCCATGGCGATGCCTGCGTGTACTGATACAGAAAGTTCGGGCACAAGTTAAATCACGTGTTGAGCCTTGATCGAATCGATCATGGCGGTATTACAATACTATAGATGGAGATTCAAGTACCAAACAGTGTAGTGAATTTCTCCAGCGGATTCAATTCAATGCATTCGGAGGTCTTCCTTCAAATGTGAAACAGGTCCCTCGATAAGAGGATGAAGCTTTGGAAGGGCCCGGGCCGATCTTAGTCCCTCAATCTTCCAAGCATGTGCCACTACCATTGAAAATGTAGACCGTATCAGGAAGGGACGCATATGATCAAGAAGGGAGAGGTGGCATTTTTCATCCCCTGTCACTAATCAAGAAAATGCTGCGGCTGCTGCGGCTGGGGAGGGAGGGGGGATGGGAATCTGGAACAGATTTCTAGTTTTATGTTGAAATACGACATTTCATAATCAATAACTAAGAGAGGGTTGTCACGCCGAGCGTCAAAGGCGTCTTCCATTAATAAATGACCGTTAATTGTCTGAAATTGTGGGATCGTTCTGCCGATGACGAAAGAAACTCGCTCAATATTGAATAATGACCAGGGCGCTGTATACATTGTCGATTATATATCGACCAACCGGTGCTCATGAATCAAATTTTGGAGACTTGACCGCTAGAGTCAGAACAAGGTCCTAGTAAGCATAGAATTTTTTTTTTTATATGTGGAAGCTAGAACAAGACTTATCTATACAGCTTGTGGACATTCTTACGCGTCGAGTGTTCTCTCGTTCGATCGAGAAAATAATTCCGCAGCAACGACGTCCGCATTAGCCAATCCTGCTTTAAATGTGGAGAATCATCTTGAAGTTTCCGATTCAAAAGGTGATAATTGGTCGGTCCTGTATAAGAAGATGATGGTCATCAATTACTTCGGGAAGTAGGCAAGCGACATATTTGTTTTTGAGTGAAAAACATGTGGCCTTGAGACAATTGCGATATCGTGGAATTAGAATCTATATTTCGCTCTGAGCTATTACGTGAAGGTAGAAGTCTATTAGCTGTATTGCTGTACCCAACTTCAACGATTTGAGAAACAATAGTGCGAAGGGGACACCTTGTTCTAATGGTTATTGCCGCAAGATGATATTATCTGGCAGAAGATCCGATTTGAACTCGCTTGCCATGGATATCTCTGTGTACAGATCGAATTAAAGCTTCGAGATAATAATCCTGACCTGGAAACCTTACTTTGTATACCGAGAGCTTCTGACCCACCAGGATACATGATAATTTCGGCGAATTGGTCATCTCCTAGCGCATGAGCACGTAGTAGATATACCCCTAGGCCGATGAGATGGTGAAAACTGTTCTCTCAATACGTCTATCAAGATGGCCAGGAACCCTTTGAGTCCATGAGATAAATTCGTGCAGTGATTCTCCGAAGCCAACCGAAGGCGACGGTGATTCACACTTGTGCCGCCTTCAATTGGCGGGAAAGTGCTCGGCGCCCCACAAGCGATCTGAAAAAACGACATCAACCATAGCAAAGAGTCGCGACACGTTGCAGAATGAGGCACAATGAGCAAGCGCTCGCTTGAAGAGTCTAGAACTCAGGTGTCTGAAGGCGACAACGGTCTGCTACCCATTCAAGACCTGCTGTCGCCGGATGAACAGGACAGTGGCACGCCAACCGGCGCGAAGAAGCCGAGGAACTTCATTGCGACCGTGGTATGTAGTCCCCTCACACGTCTTGAGATACAATAATTCTAATTGCAAAAGGCCTGTGAGACCTGCCGCTTGAAGAAGACGCGATGTGACGAATCGCGACCGCGCTGCGGACTGTGCAAGTCCCTGGGCCTTGAATGCGTCTACAATGAACGCAAGACATCCAAGTACGTAGCTTGCCATATTCGATTGCATTTGCTTACATAGAATCCAGACGGGATCAGTCTCTCTCGATGATCATGAGCACTCTTCATCGCCTCGAGACGAAGCTAGAGAACATTCCGTCATCCATCTTCAATGATATCCAGTCGCTTCGGGGGCAGATGCACCATGTCAGCAATACTCCGCACGGGCAGCCCTCGCCTGCGATCGGTGATGATGGCTATCGGTCAACGGTGACGCAGACGCCAATGACCCTCAGCTTCACCCCGGCAAATGATGGAGACGACTTCGACTTTGAAGAGAACCAAACCACCCCAGACGCAACCGGTCGGATCGCCATTTCATTCAGCCAGCACGGTGTCATCCTCTGGCCTGGTGCCCGACAAATTCTTCCTAAACAGCTGCTCGCTGCCTATGAACTACTTGGCAAAAACTATGTCATTGAGCTGGAATCGACGCGACCACCATTGCCCATATTCACCAGTCCGTTTCCCCTGCATGCAGGCGAGCACTGGCTGGAGTTACTGCCTCTGGCAATGATAAAGGGGCTAGCCGATGTATTTTTCAGTGTATTCAATCCGTTCACACCAATCATGGACAAGAGTTTCTTCTTTTCCTTTACCCTTGGTTCGGCCATCGAAAGTGGCTTTGGTTACACTATGGAGACCTGTATTGTCCTGAATGTCATGGCATTGGGATGTTTGGCTGTCCTGGCTCATCAAGAGGGAAATTATCCCTTACCAGGGACTCAGAGTCATCGATTTGAGCCACCTGAATGGATGAATGTGGTCTATGAGGAACAGCCCGGTTTGAGATTCTTCAACGAAGCCCGTCGGCGCATTGGATTTTTGATGTGCGACAATGACCTTCAAAGCTGTCAATTCTACCTTCTTTCTGCGTACGTTCACCCTGTCTTCACATCTGTCGGGGGGCCCTGTGGAGCTTACAAAACATAGTGTCTACTACAGCCAGATTCTCCGCCCAATGGACGCGTGGGCCATGATACATCGCGCCGCGACTTGCTGCCTGTCGATGTTGACCAAGTATGTTCAACCCATGGATGTCTGGTTGAGGCCGCGCTAATTTCAATTAAGCCACGATGTGAGCTTCGATGAGTGGGAAGGCGACATGAAGTCTCGCGTATACTGGAACTGCCTCATGAATGAGACAATTCTTGTTCAGGAGCTACATCTCCCACCAAGTGGCCTATCACGGCTTGAGGAAATAGTCCCGATTCCCAAGTTCATTGGGTTTGAAACAACCGGCCATGTTTCCACCCGGTATCCCTCATCGACGGTGGTCGACGACTCCTACTTCCAGTATCATTTCTTGGCGCAAGTGGCCCATCGAATCATCCTCACGCGCATTCGCCATTCACTATATTTCTACTGTATGTATACTCCTGGTACGTGAAGACATGGTTCTAAATGAATGCCAGCCGACTCGGGTGCCATTCCTCTGCCCGCCGTCAACGCCGAACTACGCCACCAACTCGAACAATGGCGCACCAACCTCCCATCCGCCATCCAATTTCCCGACTCATATCACCCACAACCATATTCCACCCCAGCAGAACCCTCACCGTCATCCGCTTCACCAAACCCGATTTCGCCTCGTCCCGCAGATCCAAACCGCCCCCTCTCCCCAGCGGTAGCAGTCACAGACGCCATGCTACGGGGCCGTTACATGATCGCACAGTTCCACATTGGCCGACCATATCTATATAAAGCCCTCCGGATTCCAGACTTACTAACAGAGGACGACATAGAACAAATCAAACGCGGGCTCCAAAACGCAATGGATTGGCCCGTTACTCAGGGCATCTTCCGAAAAATGAAAAGTTGCATCCCTATCAAGTTCGCTTTTTGCTCGCAATTCTTTGGGCAGATACTTCTGTTCTATTGCATTGCACATTCGCCTAGTCCGCGCGTGCGTGAGACGCTTCCGGCTGGCTGGGAGCGCTGGAATGAGGAGATGATGCGGTTTTTGGAGGATTGTGCAAGACAAAGTCCTGCCGTGGCACAGGACTTGGAACTTCTCAGGTCTCTGTGGCCTGGGCATAATTGATCATGCTATATTCTTGGCTTCGTGCTTGGGATTTCTACATGGAGTTTGAGTTTGATGGGTCTACGGGCTCCTGGGTGTCTCTTTCTTGCCTCGACTGGTACTGAAAGCTAAAATGTAATTTGTATTGAAAGAACTGAATGATAGAATTTTGGATTCTCATAGGATATATAGACGGCTATGTACGTAAATTCACCTAGGACACAATGCATCTATGGATAGACAAGGGTATTGCAACAGAGAAATGGCCTCAAATTTGGCCGGGATAGGCAACTGGTGACAGGGAAGAATTGAAGCTACCCTCCCGGATCAACTGGTGCTGATGGCAACGGTAAGAGCGGCTATGAAGATGGTAAATTACCAGATGATCACAAAGCCCATTCGTCTGCAGTCTCCGAGGCCATAATGAAGGGCTTGTCAATTTGCTTGATAGCGTGATCACCGCACAGGATACTATACATAGGTTAGTAAGCAGTAAAAGTTGTACAGATATAGGAAACCTACCAAGCTTCAGCAACCAGTCCGTCCAATTCCTTGACAATCTCCTCTCGTCGTGACGGAGTAATCTCGCTCTTGCTCAGCTGCCCCTGCAAATCGCGAATATACTTCTTCTTACCTCCGGCACCATCCAGCACCTCCTTACCCAGACAGTCACTGTGGAACGCATGCTGACAGGGAAATACAAAGAACTGGCGACTCAGAAGAGGCAACGAGCAGATCCAGCACTTCTCACCTGGCTCTACGATCGCATAGCGCGAATCTAGGCCAGCAATCTCGGAGCGAATTTGCCGGGCTGTTTGAGCGGAGTTGTCCATTTCCTGCCGCAGAGCATCGATATGGCGCGAGTAGTCTTCCAGCGCGGTACAGATCTCATCTTTGAAATCATCGATGACGACAAAGTCTGGGAAGAAGGGAATGAGATCTTCGATGCGCAGGAGCTCGCAGCGGCGCAGGAATTCAATTGCATCTTTAATTCCTGTACCGGGCTGGCAAATCTTCTTCTCCGCGACCAGGAGCCATAATTTCTTGCGTAGCTTGTCGTTGCCTTCCGGGCGATCGGCGACGATGGCCGCAAGTTCAATGTCATTGTGTTCCAAGGCGAGTTCTACTGCCTGAAGGTATTGACCCATGGCACTGTATATGTGGATGCATGATTGAACCCTCTTGTGCTGGATACAAAGTCGAAGAGCAAAGTCTGCATCGTAGGGAGGCGGCGAAGAGGACTGCGATTGGAGATACGTGAGCAGTCCGGCTTCCGAGGCTGACGGACTGGAGGCATGAATCGAGATGAGTGTGTTATGAACAGCGGCAGAAGGGCGAGGATGGTTGACAATGATGAAGTTCAGATAGCGAACAGCCTGGTTCTGGTTGAGAGAAGTACTGGCAGTCTTGTTGTAGTTCAATAAGGCAGGGATGAGTCTCTCGGGGTCCAAATTTGTCTGCCGCATAAGAATCTCAATGAGTTCGGTAGGCGCATGGGTCATGAGGACACTGCTGTACTTGTAGAAGACGTCGGGCTCATTCTGTCGCTGAAGGACGTTCAAGGCCTCTGACCATTTCTCGCGCTGAATCCAGTAAGAAAGCACGTAGTTGTGGTCGTTGGTGGTAGTCGCAAAGAATAGCAACTCCTCTTCACGTCCGTGACTGCTGATAATATCGTAGACCGTTTTCTTGTCTAGATCTGCCTTGTGCTTGGTCACGAAATTCTGGAATTCGGCTCGCACGCTGCCCAATTGATCCTTGATCTCACCCGTCGTGGCGCCCTCTGTCAATTCGGCCTTGGTAGCAATGTTGTCGTCCAGAGAATTCAGCTTCGACATGAAAAGCTCCACAAGCCAGCTTGCAACCATAATTCTCTGCATGACAGATGCCTTCTTATAAGTGGATAATTGAGACAGGAGATAATTCCGCAGAGCATCATACTCCTTGTTGTCCACCATTGTTAGGCAAACCTCCTCAAAGCCCTTGCTGCTCTTGCCCCAGACCTTTGCTGCCTCCAAGAAATTACCACCAGCAGCGAGATGGTCTCCGAAGCAGTCAAAACAGCGTCACGCTGTGTCTGACTGTGAGCGTACTGAAGGGCTTCCTCAAACTTCTTTTTCTTCAAGAAAATTTTCCACACATCGCGATCTTCATCATTGGCGACCACTTCGAAGATCTCCTGCCCAGTAAACAGCCAGTGTGTGTTTTGTGCCAGGTCGGTCAACAAGCCTAGAGCACTCTGCCTAGGCTCCAGTATAGCTTGGTCATAGACAACTTCCTCGCTCAGGCGATTCACAGCAACCACTCGACCTTCAACCAAAGCCAACACATGCCAGCGGGACAACGTCATTGAAGAGATTGGGTCCTGGATCATTTTCCTACCACCGCGAGCAGATTGAGATGCCGGATATTTGGAGCGAGCAATGAGACTCGCGTGTTCGAATGGGCCGCTAGATGACATCTGTCCATGGAAAATTCCTTGAGCACTCAGCCAGGCGAACTCCTTCTCCGTGGACCTTTCGGTCTGGGGGCTTCCAGAAGCAGAGGGCGAAACCGTCAGAGAGGCCGGCGCAGAGCCGGATGGGCTTAAACCATCTTGGATCAAAGGCGTCTCGCGCTGGAAAAGCTCCGTATATATGGAGCCGCCGCCTTCCCTGCCTTGTCTTACGGCTCCAACACGACCTAAGAAGTGTATCAACTTTCCATATGTCGCAACCATGACCCTCCGTTGCTCAGGCCTCGCGGGAACTGGCTCGGCGCACAATCCAATGACTGGCGAGGCATCTGGAACCTTGTAAACTACCGTGACGTACTTCTCCTCGCGCCGATAGAACTCCGTGGACGGTTCAATGTAGGTTTCGTAGACATTGCCGTCGGTTGTTCCCAGTAGAATTTCGCGAGTCGATGCAGTGGGCAGAGAAGGGTTCCAGGCAATGCTTTCGATCGAGACTCCCTTTAACCGGGACAAGGCCTTGGGCTGTCGCGACTGGGTATGGAGGTAATAGTTTTCGCCAAGCGTAGTACTGATAATCAAGTGAGATGCCGAGGGATCCAGGAACATGCGTCGGATCAGACCGGTCTCTGAGGACTTCTTTGGAAGGTCAATGTCTGTTACAGACAAATGGAATCAGCTCGGTTTGTTACGGCTAGCAAGTGTTGCAGGGATGTGGTACTGCCTACCATCAATGTCTTCAGGGGTATCGAGATCAATTCGGAGAATGCGCCCAGTTGACAGCGCCAACACTAGAACATTGTTTGCGACTTGGGCCGCAACGAAGTCCGCGGCGATAGGGAACTGGAGCTGCACCCGCTGGACGTCGAAGATAGGTAGGGAGTCCGAAGGGTCCGTTAGGTTGCTAGGAGCAACATAACTACTAGTTCCTTCCAGCGCCATGATGCGCGATGTATCAGCTATATCATGCCGACCGCCAAGGGTTTGGAGGGAAGCTGTAGGGAGCTGATGGAGCTTGAGTGATTGCGAGACGGCGGGCGGAATGCGGAGGTTACGTGCCTTGTTGCCTGATGACTTAGGCCGCTCCATATCTCAAAACTGTGATTTTAGGTCTACGAGAATAACGATAGCTCCTGAAAATCTTTCCGTGCCTCATGTATTGGGGTATCATCATAATAACGATGCAACAGCTGTGAAACATTACAGATGAATTGGGGTATCTCGAGAACCCGATCCTTCGAACATCACATCACTGCGCACTCTCGCTCAGGCTTTCGTGCCTTCTCCTTCGACTTCTCCTTGAATTTACCCCTTACTTCCTCGATCCTTTGTTCTACCTCTCCTCGATTTCTCTTTGCCTTCGTAGGCGGCTGGCCCGAGCTTCAGTTCATCGGGGGAAAGATCACCAGTCTCCAGGGCAGACTCGTCGGCCTCGCCTTCACCATCACTAGTAAATTTCTCGCGGCTTAGTCGCCCAGTGAACCGAGAGAATGTCGATCCTATCCTATTATCGCCTGATTGACTGCCAGCACGGCTTCCCGAGTTGCTTTTTGTACGTGAACTGCGGCTTGAGAAGCCAAATGCGCCTCTGGCGCTTTCCTCTCCCATGGGTGCTAAGCGCGGGGACATGGATGGCACTGATCGTGCCTGAAGACCCCAAGCACCTTCTGAAAATGCAACACTGGGTCGTCTCACTGTATTTTGGCCGTCTCCGTTGTCAGGTGCAGTGATTTCAAAGCTGGGTCGAGCAGATGTAACATCTTCAGTTGTGCTACCGTCCGTGTCGTCGACTGCCAAGCCAAAGAGCTTCCGAGAGATCTCATTCATATCTCCGTCCAGAGTACCATCAGATGCGCGGGATGAAGGAGCCTTGTATGAGAGATTGGCCATGAATGCATCTTGATCCATGGGAAGGATTTGGTAGAAGAGAAGATACGGCGACTCGGTTTTGAGGGCCGTTTCAATGTCGATGAGGGTCACTCGCTCAGAAGCCAAGTCATCGAAACGCATCCAGTGCTTTGGTGTTTCAGAATGGTGGTCGAGTTTGGTGCTTGAACCAGACGACGTAACATCAGGACTTGTGCCCCGGACGATGGAAATGTAGTGACCTGAGTCTACGGAATTGCCACGATGGCAGACCATCGCCTGCAGAGAAAGTTTGAAGTTCCCATACATCGGTGAGCCCGAGTCCAGATTATCATCTTGAATGAAATGAGGCAACCCGATTTCGGTGGGAATGTCAATGTACGTATTGAGCCGCGTTGCCGTTCCATTGGGAAGGAATGAGTAGCGCTTCAAGCACATTCCAAGGATTGGTCTCTTGGAGGAGAAGTGCGCTGCAACTTGAGCATCGCTGGTAGGCGTATTATCGGTGTACCATGCTATGATAAAAATGAGTTTCAATCCTATCCCCTGAAGTCCTGACTTACGGATGAGACTGAAGAATTGCCATGCTGGCATCATTACCTCCTTTCGGTAGGAACCTTTCCGTTGTTGACGTTCTGAGGAAGGCGGGTTCGTTTCCCCAGGGGTTTTTTCGGACTCTGGAATGAATCGTTCCCGAACAAGGCTACTGCGCCGACCAAGCCGTCGTGCATTAAGAGCCTCGTTGAACTCGGTAAAAGAGGACCAAGGGCCTGGTCCTTCAATCCGAGAAGAGTTTGACTGAACTGGGGATATGGTCGGGGTCGTTTCAACCTCCTCCACGTGGGCGGTGAAGCCCTTGGATATAGATAGAGAATCCACGGAATGAGAAGAAGGAAGAGTATTCCGCCGCTCGAGATAGCGCTTCACTTCAATACGATTGTTGAAGTACGCCTCCAAACAATCTTCGAGAGTAAGAGTCTGTCCGTCGGTAGGCTCCGGTGGAATCGCCACCTCCAGAAGTCGCTCATTGATGAATTTATGATCATCAGTGGCATCTTCTTTGCCAGTGTGGTAGATGTCCATTTTCAGAGTAAGAAGCGGTAGTTCGAGCTTCTCAGTTATGAAAGTGAAAGCCTCTGACGCATCTTGCTGGTGGAGATTGGCTGCGTCTTCCCAGCCACACTCTGCGAGGGCATCCTGTATGTGCTTTGTCTGCATGAAGATGTCAGCTTTTGAGCATAGGACAACAGAGCCAGGAAATACATCCGTACAATATCGGTTGTGATGAGCTTCCCTGCCCGTAGCATGTTCACCCAGAATCGTAGCAGAATGGCAAGCTTGCGACGGGGTTCGTCGTTGAAAGATTTGTACAAGATGGCTTCGAAGCAATCAAGGTGGGCGAACATGGCGAAAAGCAACGCGTCGAGGTAACAAGTGACTCCCTGGCGATTTTCTGCGCCGAGAAGCTTTATGTTGGGCGTATAGCTTCTGATGATCCCTTCGATTGAGTCTTCCAGTAAGAGCAACAAGCTGATCGCTGTATCGACGTCGCCCTTGGTTGATTGCAATGCATAATTAAAATGCTCTTCTTCCAGTGTTGTGATTCCCAGTCTTTTAATCCGGTTCTCGACATCCTTAACCTATAGCAACGAACACGGTTAACGAGACGTCGAGCGACCGTGTGAATGTCGGACAGTACCTTCTTCTCGTGATCCTGACTGTCGTCTTGGTTCGGCGGCGATGAGAAAAATCCTCGAAACAAGGGAATTTGTGTGCTCTAGAAAAAATCGCAATTAGCGACTGGTCTCTCCTTGTCGTGGGCCGTGAACCGCCAGGTAACCCGGACAGCGCAAAATGGTGAGGGGGGCCTGAGTATGTACCTCGTCTTTACTGTGTCGCCCTTTACCGCGCCCCTTGGTAAGAAATCGATGAATGCCACTCATGGTGGATATATTTGCAGGAAGCAGGGATTCTAGATCGATCAGAGTTGTGTTTCCTCAAGGCGCGACATGCGGGGGAGGCGAGCTCTCATGCGGAGAGACTAGCAGAGGCTGCAAGATTTCCATAGAGAGCGCGGAAGACACATCATCGAAATAGTCCGACTTGGGCACGGGACAGAGTCAATCACCACCCCTAAGCAACAGAAAGACCGTGCGGGTCGGCGGTAATGGAAAAGATTGCGGGACGATCAAATGAAGATAAAGTGTTGATCACCTTCCGCGGGGCTCGTTGCCCAGCCTGGCGCCTGACCTATGAGGCACATATTGCACGTGACTGTCCTGGTGCTTTGCTGTGAGAATGAAGCTGAGTAATCAGTATCGTCTTACCGGCAAAGCGATTCTGAGGGGAAATACCGTGATGTGAGGCTGGTGTAGATCGGGAATCAAGCTGCACCATCGGGAAGTGGCGCAAGCCGTGAACGTTCGACTCGTTCCCGATCTGTATATACAAAGAACCAAGTTGTAAGTTGATTGACAATCATCATCTTGATCTTCTCATTGTACGCCCATGCATAGGTGTCATGTATTTCTGAAAGGGGTGTTATGCTGCGACGACAGTACATTATTACTCTACTAGAATCCCTCTGAAAGGTACGAGAAAATCAAATTTTGAGACCCAGTTCGTCCCGTGTCGTCTTCAGGTCCTAAGATGTGTCACTGGCTAAGTTTCCGCTCGTCCCAATCCAGTTAGGCGCATCTCGAGTGTAGCTTTTCTCTCCTTCACGAATTGGATTATGGATTTGCCCAAGGTTTGTTCCACGCCCCGTTCCGGACGACTTGGAAATCTCCATAAGATGTGACCAGGACTAGGGCCTTCTCATCTACGTCATAACCGTTGATTCTTCATTTTTAAAGCGCCTCCTACAACCAAAACCATAACACATTCGAGCCATGCCACGTTCCGTTCAACACTGGCCGGGGGGAATTCCCGGTTCCGTCAAACCACACCCAGAAACGGATTTAACTTTGGACCAGATCAAGGAGGAAGTTAAGGGCTGGCTGCTCTTTGTACAGGTATGTCTTCACAGAATCTTGTGTTTGCTAGCCACGCCTGCAGTGAGTACTAACTTACAGTCAGGAAAATTGGGTTCCTGCAGCTAACACTGGTGCTTCCAACGACGGAGAATATGAGCTGCATCAAAGGCGGCTCCTTATTGAAAAATGGGCATCGGCCACACAGGAACTTCGTGATGTGAATTCCACCCCGTCAAATCTCCAAAATTTATTGCATCAAGTAATTCTTCCATTCAGTCATACCAATCGCGTGCGCCTATGCCTGAAGGTCTCCAGTATCCAACCGAAGCATTGGCACATATCTACGATACTCTTCAGCCAGGCGATACTAACGGCCTAATTTCTATCGCCCCTGTCGACGAGGCCTATGCTACCAATCGGGCGCGATGGGTTAAATTCGCTATACTGTTATATAACTATGATTTCGACACTGGGCACTGTCTCGATAATTGTATACCCTCAGAGGCTATCTTGAACCCAGAAACTACCACTAATCCTTCGATAGAGGATTTTCTATCCTGGCAGGATTTGGAGACCGCAAACTTCAATGTTTATCTCACACGTACTGGTACCGTACTCAACTATGGGTATACAGGCCCATATATACTAGTTGATGAAGAGGGTCTGAGAACTGGTCGTTTGACAATGGTCGAGTATGAAATAAATGGGACTGTGAAGGATTCTCTTCACATCCGCCCGTTTAATATGCGAATGCCATACATATACGCTTCGACGCTTGGGAAGGGCCTGGATGAGATCCGTCATGTTCCGGGTGGCTATACACACCAAAATCTGCCGTGGGTATTCTTGGACCCTGCCCATATAGGCCAATGGGACTTACGGCCGATGGGACTTAAGACCAATGGGACTAATACAAAATATCAGACTTAACATGGACCTACCGATCATCGATATTCTCTGTCAAGCTAAAGCTGCTGACCAACTACCACAGACGATGAACCTGTCTTACCGAGAGCAATGGATGGAGGACGTCGAGCTTTATGCTCCGGGCTATCTGGCCCTCGAGGCAGAAGGGCGTGCGGGAGAGTATTCCCTACACCGTCTCACTAGACCAGACTCCGTCGGGACAACCAAAAAACAGATTTGGAACAGGCTGCGGGCCGACCCGAATCTCTTTGCCCCCAATTTCCAATTCCTAGGCTAGTTTCAAATGTATCATTATCTTCACGATGACCTAAGGAACCGCAACCGGAAGTCTCCGGGTATTCAGACTCAGCGACTTACGGGGCTAGCTTCAAGGGTCCTCTCTATCTCTAATACTCTCCGCTGCACGGATGCTATTTTACCGTCGGAGCCAGCCAATGTAAATCGCGGAATGTAAGATAGTATGTCTATTAGGTCCGATTACTCTCCGGCCAATCTTATTCCTCTGGCGAGACGCTACAATAGTTGTCCACGAGGTTGATTGCCCGTAGTCCTTTGGACTGAAGCCTGTGACACATGGAATATTGAAATAGAAGGTGGATTATCACTTTTTCGCAATAGATTCAAATTTTTATTCTGTCACAGCGCCCACGAAGACCTAATCCCATTTCATCTACAAACAACATGACAGAGACCAGCCAAGCTCAGCTTTCTGAAAAGGACGTCGAAGAGGTCGGAAAGAGATATTTCCTTCCTCGAAGCGTGGAAGAAGCAGAGCGAATGCAAAATCAACATGAATGGGTGAAAGGAGGCGCCAATGGGTTGGTCCTGCCACCGATTGATTTGAGCCGATCAGGAATGCGGGTTCTCGACGCCGCTACTGCAGACGGTACGAGACGGTGTTTTGACGTGTTCCTTCCTCATACTAATATTCTTCAGGCTATTGGATGAAGGATGCCAAGAGTATATTCCCCAAGGATACAGAGTTTGTGGGCTTTGACAACGCGTAAGTGCTCAGTCCCATCCTGTGATATAGCATCTTCATGTGAGCTCACTTTCAGCACCCTGCAGGCCCGAAGGATACCCGCCACTTGATTGCAACCCGCCGCTTCAAATCGTGAAGCAAAACCTAGTCGAAGAATTCCCTGCGGCGTGGAAAGACGGTTTTGATTTTGTGCACCAACGGTTCGTCATTCCGTTGTTCAAGACGGAGGAAGTTCCTTTGGTACTCCGCAACCTGATAGGTTGTATGAAGCCGGGAGGTTGGATCCAACTCGTTGAGATGGACTTCCAGACTCCAGTCTCTAAGCCTATCGAGTCATGTCCGGCGGTCCAAGCATTTCATAAGTTGACTAGCGCCGTGGTCTCAGACCCGCTCGCTTCCACAAAGCTGGCAGACCGATTGAAGGATGAAGGTCTCGTCAATGTGGGATACAAGGCAATTCCCATGGTTGCTGGCTCGTCTCACCCCAATGCCGAGCTGGGAGAGCGAGGAAAGCGAAACATGTTGTCGATCCTTGGATTCTTCCAATCGGTAGCTAAGTAAGTTTCTTTCTAGAATCATTGTGATAGTCATTACTAACAGGATCTAGGCCTGAGATGATTGGTATGACGGAAGAAGAGTGGAAAAACCTTCCGGAGCAGTTTACCGAAGAGATGAAGAACCATGAGGTTGCCCTCTGTGTGTACTTTGTTTGGGGCCAAAAAGCCGGAGGCAAATAAGGGACGAGAGCTCAACCAAAAGAATGGGACCCCTCACCGTGACAGGCTTGCTCTAGCGTAGACTCTGGCAAAGCCGGGGTATTTATAGACCTAAGAAGTAGCTTCCAAGTTATCAAACTAGACGAATCTACACACAAACATGACCGTCCATCTAGAAAGCCAGTACATAGATTCTAGTGGAGGCTAAAACAGAGACGACCTTTTTCAGTCCCAGGACCCAAATTGTCAACCGGGCGCTACAATAGCAAAGGGGACAATCCCCACCAGACCGTGACGATGCGAAGGCGTGCGAGCATCACATAAAGGCGGAGTCCGAGATTGGGCTCCATCCGCGCCACGCATGGAGACTGGGGACCTTGGGATCACGTAATATGTCTCCGATCACTCATGCCTTGAGTATGGCTGGGGAGCCAATGATATCGTGAGAGAACAATTGAGGGTATTAGGGTAACAATAAGTCGCCGGCGGGCATTAAACCGGCCTATATACTATAAATGCTGCCTGCTACTTCGAGCATACTTGGTAGTTGTGTCCTCACCCTGCAGCAGTATTCATCAGTCTCTGTCGTCTTGGGACACAACACAAATCTCGAACCGCTACTTTGTTTTACTTTGCCAAGTCAAATTCGCTTCTCCAAATGGCCATTTCAACAGACGTCCTCATCATCGGTGGTGGGCCAGCAGGCCTGAGCGCGGCTCTCGCGCTGGCTCGTCAACAGCAGAGTTCAATCATTTTCGATGCAGGGACCTACCGAAACGACCCTGCAGCGTACATGCATTTGATCCCTGGGTTTGATCATATCAAGCCATCGGAATACCGAGACAAAGCCAAAGATAACATTCTCTCGAGCTATGACCATGTCCAATTCCAGAACACAACTGTGTCCAGCGTCCAAAAGGACGAGGCGACGGGAGGCTTTTCCTTGACCGACGAAGCCGGACAGACATGGAAGGGCAAGAAGGTCATTCTTTGCAACGGTGTTGAGGACATCTACCCCAACATCGATGGTTATGCCGAGTGCTGGGGAAAGGGAATGTAAGATGCCATCGGAATAAATAGGCAAAGGGTGTTGAGCTAATCACTTTACCCAGATTCCACTGTCTCTTCTGTAAAGGTTACGAAGAGCGAGGTTGCCCTTCAGCCGGCGTTCTCGCAATCGGCGGAGTTTCCAAACCACCTTTGGCTCTGCACGTCGCCCGACAGGTCTCCACACTGAGTCAGACAGTCACAATCTACACAAATGGCTCTGAGGACCTTGCCAAGCAAGTGAGTGATGGATTTGGAACGTCGAAAGTGATGAAGGTGGACTCCCGCAAAATCAAGAGCTTTTCCAAACAGGCCGAGAAGGCGAACGTACTCATCGAGTTTGAGGACGGAAGCACTGCAACGGAGGGATTCCTCGCACACACTCCCGAGACAAAATCTCGTGGTCCCTTCGTGGAGCAGCTCGGCCTGGAACAGACTCCAAGTGGCGATATCAAAGCAAGTCCTCCTTTCAATCAAACTATCGTCAAGGGTGTGTTTGCGGGTGGTGATAGCTGTGGAATGATGAAAAACGTTCCAAACGCTATTTTCTCAGGCTCTTTGGCTGGAATGGGTGTCTCGACTCAGCTCGCGGCGGAAGATCAAGGACAGCAGTCGCTGTTTGGTTAAATATCAAGCCCGAGATATTTTCAAGATAGAGAATCTAAGGATGACCAGCCGGTCTTTCGTTGTGTGTTCATCAGACATGTTAGAATTTGGGCAACTCAATATGAAGCCAAGAAAACCATGAAGCCCGTATGCAGCCTGAATCTTTGGGAAACCTCATGAGTCCAGATCCTCTCAAAGGAGAGCTCTCTCAAGGTAGTCTGAGTCCGGCTCGGCTACTTGAGGCCTAATATCCACCGAAGCTTAGTCCCCGTAGTGGGTAATTTTTCGGACAAAGCTAAGTCACAGTAATTTGTACTAATACGACATCTCTCATCTCGCCACTCGGCAATCAGGAACTGACCGTCCTTTCCAAGATGGCACCGCACGCTACGGCCAATTCGCCAACCTTCACGGAGAGATCACCCCAGTCTCAGTCGATATGTGCTCTGATCGAGACACACGCACGCGAGCAGCCACATTCGATTGCCGTCTCCCAAGAAGACAGAAGCCTGACCTACGAGCAACTCCACAAGGCCTCGTTGTTCCTAGCTGCTCTTTTCGATACAAATGGCGTCAAGGCAGAAGATTCAATTCCAATCTTCCTTTCGAGATCTTTAGAAAGTGTCGCATCAATACTGGCACTGATGCGATTGGGTGCCTGCTTTGTGCCTATGGATGCTAGCGCGTGGAGTCAGGCGAGAGTTGATGTGGTTTTGGGAACTATCGAGCCGAAGACTGTGGTAGCGTCTGACAGAAGTGAGCTGAACGCCGCTGGGCACCCGATGATTGACGCGGATGACGTTCGCTCTGCATTCAAAGACTCTATGAGTGAGAAGGAAGTTCCGACAATGAATGGAGAGCTGGACACCCCTGGCGATCCGGAACATCCAGTGTACATCATTTTCACGTCCGGGACAACAGGGAAACCGAAAGGTGTTGTTATTCCACGTCGATGTGTTGAAAATTATGTAATGCAAGGACGTGACCAAGGAATGCCTTTCAACTTGGGAGTTGCTAGCGAGGATAAAGTGCTGCTTTTATTCTCTCTTGCTTTTGATGGTAAGTGCCAACCGAGATTTCTTTGAGTATTTGCGACAAAATACTCACATTCAGTGCCCTACCGCAGCTGCATGGGGTGTTTTCTTCAGTTGTCTTTGCCACGGGGGCCATCTAGTTCTCTCAGAACCAGCAAGGGTCCTGGAGGATGCGAAGGATTGCACCATTCTTCCAGCGACACCTTCGCTCCTCACCACATTGGGAGATCCTGCAGCCTATGTGAGGGTCAAGAGTATTTTTCTTGGAGGAGAGTCTCCGAGCCCCGCCTTGATCGAGAGATGGTCGACCCCCAAAAGACAGATTTTCAATTGCTATGGACCAACTGAGACCACCATTTGTGCCAGTATGGCCAGGTTGCAACCTGGGAAACCCATTACTTTGGGAGATGCGATGAATAGTACCCGGATGCTCATTCTTGATGAAAATCTCAAAGAATCTGACGAAGGGGAGATCGGTATCACTGGCCCCGGCCTGGCATCGGGGTACTATAAGAATGAAGCACTGACTGCTGAGAGGTTTATCACCTGGAATGGCTGTCGTGTTTACCGAACACTTGACCGAGCTCGCAAAACACCAGAGGGCATTGTATTCTGCGGCCGAGAAGATGGGATGGTGAAGAATCGAGGTTTCCTCATTAATATCGAAATGGACGTTCTCCCTATCATCACTTCATACCCGGAAGTGCACTCGGCGGCTGCTTTGATGCACGAGGGGAAACTCATGGCTGCTGTCATGCCAGAAGGTCTTGATATTACAGAGATGCGATTGCAGCTATCAACATCTCATGATGAGTTCGTCGTTCCTGATCAAATAGTCGCCCTCTCAGAACTTCCCCGCACGTCTAACGGGAAAGTTGATTTGAAAAAATTGCGAAAGACTTTCAAGACTATGTTTGCCAAAACCGTTTCTAAAAATCAAGGTGCTACTCGCTTGGAAATTCTTCAGGAAGCGATTGCCGACGCTTTGGGGCGTCCTGTTGCCTCAGTGAACACTCATTGCAGCTTCTGGGAGCTTGGTGGAAACTCCCTTCTCGCTATCAAGCTATTGTCGATCCTGAGCCAAAGTGGCTATCGGGTCAGTTTTAAAGAAGTCTTTGCACCTATATCATTGGCTCTTCTGTCTGAGCGACTGGAACCGGTTGGTATCCCAGCCGTAGCACCATTGGCGTGTTCAATCGAAATCGACCAGAGAGACTCCCTCATTAAGTCACCAATCACGGCAACACAACTGGGGATGATTCGATCTTCCATCAAGGATTCAACAGCGAGCTACATGCTGGTAACCATTGGCCATCCTTGGAGCTCTGAAGCAGGGCACAGTGACAAAGTTCGGGACGCATGGAAAGCAGTCCTAGAGCAACATACCATATTCAGAACAACCTTTGACGTAATAGAAGGGATACAGGAAGTCAGTCCAGAGTACCGTCATGATTGGGAAACCCGCTGCGTGACTAACGAAGACTTACCCGCTGCTCTCCGGGATGAATCTGACGAGTTGATGAAACTCACGGGACATAACAAAGATAGCAATGTGTTCCACCCCCTCAGCATCTTTCGCCTCGTTGTTAACGAAAGCCATACTGATGCCAATCTACTGTGGCTTGTTCATCATAGCCTTGTTGATGGTTGGTCCATGAGTTTGATCGTCAAGCAAGTTCAAGCGCTTCTAGACGGCAAAACTTCGATGTCCGAGCCGGCACAGTTCTGGCAATTCTCGCAGAGTCTATCGCAGCAGTCGCAAATCACACGAGCCAAAGCATTGGACTTCTGGAAGGAAGCTTTGTCCAAGGTCGCCGATGCTGTGCCATTGAGCCTTCCCATACCAAAAGACCCAACGGACGAGCGGCAATTCGGCATCACTACTGTCAATGTTGAACTTGCAGTGACTCAGATTGAGCAGGTATGTCGGATTCAAAATGTTACATCGGCTACAATGATACATGCTGCTTGGGCTCTTCTGCTACGATCCTATACAGCACAAGAACAGGTCACATTCGGAACTATTTTCTCGGGTCGCGACTTTCCCCTCCAGGGTATCGACACTCTTGTGGGACCAACTCTAAACACATGTCCTTTCCCAATGAACCTTGTCGACTTCAAGAGCAAAAAAGTCTTCCTTTCCAGTGTGCAGCGCCTGCTCCTTGACATCGGCTCGCATCAATGGTCAGCACAAGAAGCATTGCAGTCTATTATGCCTGGAAGTCACTCTAGAGTTTACCAGACCACGCTATTCCTAGAGTATGACTTGCCAATATTCGAAGATTCTACTTTGAAATTTTCTCGTACCGACTTTCCCGAATTTGGATTAACCGTCATCATCCGGCGGGAGGGATATCAACTCACCTTCCAGGGGTTGTTTGACCAGACAATGTATACGAGACCGGTCGTTCAGCGCATGATGACACATTTTCGAAACATATTCATCGCCTTGCTTGATCCGCAATGTCAGACAATATCTCAGGTGCGCGGGCGAATGTTGGAGCCAATCGAGGTTCTCTCCCTGACTACGAATTCGCCTACTCTGATGAAGCCCTACACGGGACCATCCAATCTCAAGGATAGCTTTGAGGCAGGTGTTGATCAGTGGCCAGATGCCGTGGCTATTGAGTCCAAATCCTGTTCTATCACGTATCGGGAGCTCGATCAGCTGGCAAATCATGTCGCCAAGACCATTGCAGACCGTTTGTGTCCCGGCGATGCCGTTGGAATTATCAGTGATCGTAGCATAGAATGGCTCATTTCCGTCATTGCTGTGATCAAAGCCGGGGCTATTTATGTTCCACTTGATAAAAAGTTACCTGTTGAGCGAATGCGCATCATGATACACACCGCTCAAGTGAAGCTTTGCGTCTTTCCTAATGAAGACTGCCATTCCGAATTTCAAGACATTTCCAAGGAAGACGTTCTTTTGCAACGGATGTTGCAAAAGAATGAATCGAAAATGGTTTCCCGGCTAAAGACAATAACAGTGGGAGAAGATATTGCATACATCACCTTCACTTCCGGATCTACAGGCGTTCCCAAAGGTGTTCGAATCCCCCATCAAGCAGTGGTCTCTTATTTGGCCTATGGACCTGCTCGCATGGATGCTCGCCCAGGTCGACGTCATTCACAAATGTTCTCACCCGGTTTCGATGTCAGCCAAGCCGAGATATTTGGAACACTCTGTTATGGAGCTACGCTTGTCTTGGCCGATCCAGCGGACCCATTTGCCCACTTGTCCGAGTTCACGCGACCATGATCACGCCGTCTTTCCTGTCAGTATTGGATCCATCTGATCTACCAAACATCGACACTATTCTTTTCGCCGGCGAGGCGGTTCCACAGATTCTTGCAGACCGCTGGGCGGGCACAAGAACTGTGTACAACTCCTACGGCCCATGCGAGTGCACGATTGGGTGCTTATTCCAGCCTCTCGATCCGCACAAGGAGGTCACTCTGGGGCGAACGATTCCCCGCGTTGGAGTCTATTTACTTGACTCTCAGAAACGCCCAGTCCCCATTGGCGTGCCTGGGGAAATTTGCCTAAGTGGTATCCAAATTGCTAATGGGTATATTGGCGCTGGAATGGAATCGGTTTCGAGGACGCGCTTCATTCCAGACCCTTTTGTGCCCGGATATCGCATGTATCGCACTGGGGATTGCGCAGTCTGGACAGAGGATATGGAACCCAAGTTCTTGGGACGATATGATAATCAAGTCAAAATAAGAGGCTACCGGGTCGAACTGAATGAAGTTGAAAATGCCATTCGCTCGGTCTGTCCCAATGTTCGTCGGGCGGCGGCTCTTGTGAGTAACGACAACATTCTTGCCTTTGTTGAGCCTGAAGATGTCGATATCGATGGACTTCAGAATGCCCTGCAAGCCAAGCTTCCCAGATATGCGTGCCCTTCGAACATAATGGCATTTGCAACTCTGCCTACGATGCCAAATCAGAAGCTCGATCGCAAAGCACTGCAATCATATCTAGATGTGACAAAAAAACAGAACCAGACTAGATTGACCCCGCTCCAATCTCTGGTTGCTCAGGTTTGGCGCGAGGCGATCGGCCTTCCAGAGACCGTCGAGATTGGCGAAACGACGGACTTTTTGGCACTCGGAGGCAATTCCCTTTCACAGATCAAGGCTGCTCAAGCTGCAAGTCGACGATTAAACAAGAAATTACCCATGGGTCTTTTCATCTGGAACACCATTCTGTCAGCTTTGTGCGAGGAGATAGCTGGCCATCTGCCCGATGAAAGCGGGCTGTCTGATCACTTGTCTTTCGCTTCATCCTGGAAAACTGTCAAGCCACCTTATACAAATGTATATGACATCGAGAAAGAGGCTTTCCAACTATCAGTCTCATCTCCCACGCCCCATGCGTTCAATGTGGCCTGTCATCTGCGACTGAAAGGAGACCTCAATCTGAAGGTATTCGAGAGAGCAATTGCACGAGTCACTTCATGCGAGCCGGTCCTCAAAACTTGTTTCAGGGTCGATGATGGCCAGCTCCTACGAAATCAATCTGATGTGCCATGTGAGTTGAGAGTGGAGAAGCTGTCCGAGCCCTCAGTCAACATTTTTGCCAATCGGCCGTTTGATCTGTCGTCCGGTCCATTGACTCGAATTATGATAAATGATAACATTTCATGGCTCGACCTCGTTATTGTGCAACATCATGCGATTACGGACAAGGCCGCAATGAGACAACTTCTTCAAAAGGTGCAAAAAGAGTATCTTCGTGTTCTGGAAGGTGGCTCTGAGACAACAAAGATTGCGCCAGCTCAAGTCCCAGATTACACCATTTGGGCTCAATGGCAGAGACTTAACCAGCCATCGCTGGTTACGCAGAACGAACATGCCGAATACTGGCGAGCACAGTTACTCGATTTGCCCACTCCTCCATTCCAACCGCTTGGGCAAGTCCCCAGAGCATATGTCGGGCACTCGCAATCTATTTTACTGGACATACCTCCAGCTTGTACTGGATCCATGGAGTTTTACGTAGCTCTCGTTGGAAAGACACTTGCAAAAGTTCAAAAGTCCCAAGATGTCATCATCGGTATACCGCACATTGATCGCACCGAGCCTGGTACCGAAGACCTCCTTGGATGTTTCCTCGACCGCCTACCAGTGCGCGTGAAGATTCTTTCCGAAGACTTGGACGACTTTGAAGGTCTGATCAAAACGGCACAAACGTCAATTAAAAACTCTCTGAAGCACTCCATTTCTCTCAAAGATATCCGGAAAATCGTCGGACAAGAAGAGATCTTCCAAGTGATGGTGGTGTACAACAGAAAAGAAGATTCCATCGAAAACAGCATCACACTTCCCAACATCGAAATTGAGCCTGGGCATGTGAAAACAACAGGTGCGAAGTTCCCGCTATTGATTGAATTCACAGAAGAAGAGGGATACACAACGTGTGATTTTGAGTACATGGAAGACATAGTCCCATCGGAGACTGTTTCTGTCATTGCGCAGAAAATGCGGGAGATTCTGTCTGCTGTGTAATAACGGTCAGGTATCTCATTGCTGAATAGAATTTATAATCATTGATATGCGGCCCTTGCGTCATTCCATTTTTACGTGACATTTGGATTATGGAGCTATGGTACTTGAATAGACAGGGATTTGTTTTGAAGTAGGTTTCGATGATTATCTTGAGCCTAGGCCGTCATCTCCAATCGCCGTTCTTTTAATTGGAAGTCCTGGACACCAAGAGCAATTCTCTTGAGGCCCTCTGCCAACTGATCGCTCGGGACACCATAGCATATGCGGAACCAACCCGGCTCTTGGAAATGATAGCTTGAGCCTGAAGACACAGATACACCCCTCGATTTTAAGCATCCTAATAGCCTTTTCTCTGCATCGAAATCACTGACTTTACTTAGTCTAGCGAACACAAACATACCAAAGGCTACAGGCATGTACTCCATCCCACTCTTCTCTAGAAAAGAACGAATGGACTCATAAGCCTCTTTCAATTTCTGGCCCCCATGGATCTTGGCTTTCTTGATGGTAGAAGGTTTCAATATGAAGTTCGATGCCAACACGGTCGACAATGAGGAGACTTGACTATGGACGCTCAGAGCACTACTAAGACGCACGGAATCGTTGAATTGAGAGACCAGCGCACCCTAAAATTGTTGCAATAGCTTGTCAGTAATTTTGAAAAAATTCGCTTTGCGCAGGAATGTAACAAAAGACCACTTACCACACGGATTCCGTTGCAACCGAAGTCCTTGCTGAGACTGTATATAACGTGGATCTGATCCCTCATACCATCATCGCTGAGTTGGAGTGCTGAAATGAACGGCTGGAAGCCACTTAGAAAGGGCTGATGTGCGGAAAGAGCATATACTTCGTCTGAGATATAACATAACTCATGACGCTTGCAAACTTCGAGTATAGCCTGTAAAGTCTCCCGTGGGTAGCACTGACCCAGCGGATTTTGTGGATTACAGACCAGGACCGCCTTGATAGGAATTGCAGAGCTCCCAATAACCGATTCATAATTTCCTATGCTCTTAGCGTCGAAGAAACTATCCCGTGGTACATGGACAGGCACGACGGTGGCATGGCCGTGAATACTGATTGAGATGTCAAGACCGGCCCAGTATGGCGCGGCAATCAGAATCCCATCGCCAGGATCACAGATCTGCTCCACTAGTGCCGTTAAGGCGAAGCTGCCTCCGGCTGCTAAGACGACGTGGGAACTTTCAACGGGAGCTGATGGCTTGAAGCTGTGATTGAGCAGATCTGCCATGAGCTTCCGGGTCTTGGAACAACCGCCAATGCCAGATGAGTAGGCCAAGTCCTGGTGATAGCCGTCAGTGAACTTGAGAGAGAAACTTCAGATCATAGTGCAAGCATACTTGTTCGGATAAGTTGTCAAACGCCCCTCCCAAACCTTCTAGCATCATCGTCTTGGTCGCCCAGTTCTCAGCCGTACTAAGGTCGATGGTTTTCGTATCTCCAGTGAGAACGGCATCGTGCTGTCCCAAGAGACTGGGTATGATTGTGGCATTTCGCTTTTTGCATAGCTGGGAAGTTTTTGAAGTCATATCGGTTGCCACTTACAGCCGTCAGGATGTCGATACGTGTGCTTCTCTGGGTGTGAAATTTGCCGCACTTGGTTTACAATGCCGACGAAAAGAGATGGCTCTTTGCAGCGGCAAGCCCGTTCTTCTTACGGACCGATTACCCCACACCCTTAGAATACTTCTAGATTAATTTAAGCTTGCTTGCTACTTAGTCGCCGAGCCCTCCGGCTTATGCTCCGTCCAGAAGGTATCTTACATCCCAGCCCTTGTAGTATAGCGACTGAAAGAGACTCCATAAATTTATCGAGTACTCAATAGAATGATGATCTCCTTGTTATTAGGGTATCCAGATCATTAGAAGTCTTTTCAATATCGATAAAAAAAGAGTATCATGGCTTTGTCTTTACTAAGCTTCCTGTGAGTGCCTATCCCGCCAGCAGCCACACTGAGATGGCATAGAACTAACTCATACTAGAGCTCAACCTTTCAAATGGAAATGGACATTACAAGACGTGAAGGTGTGTGGGTACCTCTATAAAGGCAATTATCCTAGTTGCTTACCATAACGTCAGAATTCGAGTCAGGAACATGACTCTCAACCTCCAGCCAACGACCCTTCATTATGGGTAGATGAGGTCGGATCTATGCTAACAAAGATGATGGTTATGGCTGGGTATCCTCCCCATTCAGAATCAATTCATACAAATTTCTTTCATGAGTCAGTCGCACGATCCTTGGGTCCTCATCCCAGGGGAAGTGGGCCCCCTGATGGCTGGAAGAGCTTCATGACCGATGACCATACCCCGGTCGAGCTAAGCTGGTGCTGGTCTACAAGATTAGCAACCCCCACGGTTCGATACTCGGTTGAGCCAATAGGTCCTTCCGCTGGACAGGATGTCGATCCCATTAACACAGCTGCCAGTTTGCGCCTACTCGGAAATACCCTTCCCTTGGCTCCAGAATTGGATTTACACCTGCATCGCCATTTCCAGAAATTGCTTTCATCTCGAAACGAACCCATCAAAATGGAAAACAAAAGCTCACTTGCTCCCCAATCGCAAAGCTTTATGGCTTTTGATCTGTTGGAATCAACCATTGTTGTCAAGCAATACTACTTACCCGGATGGAGAGCCTTGGCGGAAGGGAAAACAAAACTTTCCGTCGTTAAAGAAGCTGTGCAGACGCTTCCTGCTCCAGCAAGTTGTTTGAAAGATTCTATTAATATGTTCAATGAATTTTTTGATTCATTCCCAGAGCATTCGAAGCCAGCCATCGAAATTGTGGCCATTGATTGTCTGGATCCGTCCCAGTCTCGGTTGAAAGTCTACTTTAGATCACATCTCACGACCTTGGATAGTGTGATTGACATATTGAGCCTAGGGGGGAAGGGCTCCCAAAACATGCGACGAGGAAGACTCTCTTCGAGAGCTTTGGTGCTCAGTCTTTGGACTGGACCCCCACGAGTATCATAGCAATCAACCCCTTGGTGACACGAACCACCGTACTGGTGGCATTCTATACTACTTTGAGCTGAAAAAGGGCACAAAAACTCCCAAGTCGAAAATATATCTGCCCGTTCGACACTACGCGCAAAGTGATGAGCAGATTTCCCGAGGCCTTTCCAATTATCTTGCCCGCCGTGACAAGGCACTGGCGACAGGCTCTTACTACGAGGAGATCAAAAAGCTATGGTATGTCTTTTGAATAATAGAATTGTTTCTGGAAATCAACAAACTGATCTTCATTTTACAGCACACACCGGGACCTAGCCAATGGATTGGGATTCCATACTTACGTATCCTGGGCCTCTGAGAGAGACAAATGGAATGTGACTGCCTACTTCAACCCGGAGATCTATCATGAGTCTCGGTTTTGAAATTTCGAGATCACTCAAAACAAATTTTGCTAGCGGTTGCTCTCTTTGCTACAGAAAGTGTCCATTTACGTCTATAAATGATCGGAAGATGCGGTATAAATTGTGAACATATATCTAAGCAGACATCAAACGCACCAAGTCAAGTATATTTCAGGAAAAACATTTATATCAGACTAGAAGTTAATTCTGTTCTTTATGTGTAATTCTTCTCGTGAGTTTGTTGGTCATTTGAGGTGATGAATGAGACTTTTGTGGACTCAGCTGGGGGCATTAATTCCAAAGGAGCTTGAATACCGGTATCTAGAGATTATTCCACTTGATTATGAAGATAGATGTTAGGAGCGATAATACATCATAAATACTAGAGATAGATACTATAGATCTAGATATCATCGAGGCTAAGGCGAGGATACGGTGAAGAGAGGCAATATCCCTAATTAATGAGAGTTGTTATAACGCAAAGGGTTAGAATCGGAGTGATTCCGGTGGGGTAAGAGGTCTCAGTATCGTTTACTCCCCGAGGAAGCGATGTCTGAGTAGAGATAACTCGGGGAATACCTGATACAACACACTTGGCCGCAGGGTACCTTGCGGACAAGAGGCATGATACTTGCAGATTTGCTACTGTAAGTAACATCTGTCAGATCGGCATTGCACTTGGTCAGCTGTGTCACAAAGCATCACGGGCATCACCTCCTCCTGGATGTTATGGAAGGATCTTTCACAATGAACTCCACCAATTTTAAGGTCGCTCTGACTTTCCTGACTATCTTCATTCTATGGAAGGTTTACGGAAAAGAATAATTGTGTAATTGATAAATTTGTGAGAGTTCACTCCCTTACGTTGGCAATGACGATCGACATTGAGAGACTCAAACACTGGAAATTCTAGATCTCGAATTTTTTGCACCCAATCAAGAACAAAAACGGAGAGCATATTAAAGGACCAAAATGGAAGTATCTTGACGGGCAGTGCCTCGACAAGTTTCTTCGAGGCCGTGAAGTCAGCCAGGAATGGCAAAAATATGGACCAGTCTATCGCATATGGTCAGGATTTGTCCCTGAAATGTAAGTCTCCCAGAGTTACTAGCGTAACACCGAAGAGCTCAAAGTTGAACAATGACAGCGTTATTACGAGACCTGGGGACGTCAAAGCCTTCCATAGCGACTCCCCGACCCATATGAAAGCAAAGTCCAGCAACGGCGGCTGGTTATTTCATGAGCTTCTCGGGAACTGCATGGGCCTCATCAACGGGGACCGTTGGAAGAAAATTCGGGCTCAGTTTAATCACCTCTTCATTCATCATGCCGTCGCATCTATCTCCAATCATGTTGAGCTCGCAGCATCCAGGTACTTGCAAACTATTGAGGCAAAGGGAGATGAGTCTGTTGAGGTACATGCTGCCAATGACTTCTCACGATTTCCGTTCATGACCACTGCAGAGTATCTTTATGGGCCCTTGACAGACGACGAAAAGGAGGAGCTATGGAGCCTGGGTCAACAGAGTCTTGGACTCATGGGCAACGTCCTTTCTGGTGGACTATATCGTTTCAGCCTGTGTCAATGGGCGAAGCCAAAGTCATCTCAGCAACTCCAGAGTTTTCAAACTAGATGGCGGATATTTAACGAAAAGATGGCAGAATCGCGAGGGGTGTCAGACCATGAGCCACCAGCTATCGTGGAGGCTTGGAAAGGTGTGGAAATTGGCGACGTTTCAGCAGAAGAGGTCAGATTATGTATCTCAGTGTACTTTTTTGGCCGACTCTGACCAGCCCCCAGGTTCTTCAAACTCTGAGTGAAATGCTTTTTGCAAATCTTGATGTCTCTACACACGTTCTCAGTTGGCTTATCATCTTCCTTGCGGAAGATGTCAACACACAGCGACAAGTTCGAGAAGAATTTGCAGACAAGACAGGGTCTGTTGCGGAGTTATGCGAAAGGAAAGACACTATCTTACAATATTGCTTTTGGGAGTCAGCCAGACTTCGGCCCTTTACTGGTAGGATAAACTTATCTGCCCTACATTGGAAATTCACTGACTGATTATAATTAGTTTTCACGATTCCTGAAAGCTCAACACAGACGAAAAACCTTCAGGGCTATATTATTCCCCCATACGTCAGTCCTGACTTGACCCTACGCAAGGAAATATGCTGATAAGAAAATCAGACGAGCGTTGTTGTAGACACACTCGCAATCAACTATAACCCGGATTTTTGGGGGAAGGATAACTGTCAATTCAAACCACATCGGTTTCAGCATCTATCTTCAACTGAGGTGAGAACAACGTGAATGAAAAGCCTTCGCATTTTTGATACTGACGAGGGCTAGCTTCGCTATAATCTCTTCACATTTGGATTTGGAACACGAAAATGCCTTGGACAGCATTTTGCCCTGGCTATGCTGAAGCATCTTGTATACCAGCTTGTGGATCGATACGAGATAGAATTACCAGGGTTGGAAGCCAGGAAGAGTTGGAGCTCGCAGCCCATTCAAGACACCTGGGTCCCGATTGCCAACGCGCGGATTATTCTGAAGCCAAGGAAATGAAAGTAATACAAAGTTTTACTTCAATTGGTGACTTTCTAGCATGCAATGCTCAGTATATCTTGTCCTATTCAAGAGACTCTAGTCTTAGTCGGTAGCTGTCAGAAATTCCTAAGCCTCGCGATCCATCTCTTTAAGCTCTGCGTCGGATAATCCAAACCGAGCGATACGATTCAAGGCTTTCTGGACTGGAGGTAACTTGCTAATTCTTTCACTCCATTCCTTCAGTTTTGGCCATTCGTTGAAATCCAACTCGGCAGAAGTTGCGATAGCTTCGTTTGCCAGGGGCAAGATGGCAAAATCCGCAATTGTCGGTCTGTCAGGTAAAGCGATCCAATCTTGACCGGGCTCATTCAAGCGGGTCTCCAGCAATTGATATTCTGTACGAATGTACTTTAGCAGCACAGAAAGAGACTCGCCAATATCTACTGGCTTCGGCGCTTTCATCAAGAGCCAGATCTTCCCGGTCGCGCCCAGACCCGCAGTGTAAGACATCAGCCAGTTCATGACAATGGTTCGTTCGCAGAGGTCTTTTCCATTGTAAATTCCTTCTTTGTCGTACTTCTCTGCGAGGTACGTTAGGCAAGCAGAACTGTCAAACACGTTCAGCCGCTGCGGCTTGCCATTGACCTGATAGATCTCGACATCTTCCATCGCGGGAACCATTTTGTAGGGGTTTATCGCATGGAACCATGTCTCGTTGCTAGTTGATGTAATAATGTGGATTGTATGAGGAATATTCAGGGCCTCAATCAGCATCAACGGCTTTACGGCGTTGGCCGTGGATGTGGGACTCGCTGCAGACGGTTAGTGATTGTCGAAGTGCAATATCCGGAGTACATGTTTGCCGTTAATCCAGAACATTAGCTTATCCCCCAGACCAGACTTTCTTACCTTTTTTGACATAGAGGATCAGCTTGTCCTCGGGAATTTCGGGGCGGACGGATAGATCTGCGCTCGGCTCGGCCATGGTGTATGCTTGACAATTGCAATTGAATCCGGAAAAGGAATGAATATTGTTATAAATGTACAATTTATTCTAGATTTCGTGTTCGTGGTGTAATAGTTATACCGGCACCGGCGAATATACCTATCTCTTCGCCAGGTCGAGCAATAGTCGCCGAGATTTGGCTTCTTTTAATACCACATCGAAGTACCGGAAGAACACCATCCTCCTTTCATTGACAACTCTCTATTTCACTTTCTATCAATCTAAGAGGGGACTGATTTTTCATCCATCATTTCAATTTCTTTACCTAAAATGACCCAGTCCCATGTTCCGGATACCTATCGAGGTCCCCGACACCAGGGCGAATATGATCGTCTGCGGACTCAGCATGATCTTGTGAAGGCCGCAATGAATGGGAAGCTCTTATATTGCCCTGCGGATCTCACAAAGCCCGATCTCCATGTTCTAGACTCCGCCACCGCTGAAGGTACTTGGTTGATCGATCTGGCTCAATCGGTTCCTTCAACTGCGACACTTTATGGCACCGACATCGCCCCCCAGCACTTTGTTCCAGAGAATGAGCGGCCTTCAAACGTGCATCTCTCCCCTCATTCCATTTTTGACGCTTGGCCCGCCGAGTTTCAAAACAGCTTTGACGTGGTGCATCAGCGCTTTGTTCTGACCGTTGGCTCCAATGAAACAGCTCAGGAGGCCGTGAAATTGTTGTTTTCATGTGTGAAGCCTGGGGGCTGGATTGAATTACATGAAGGAAATATGCTTTCAATTCAGGAGGGGCCTGAACATGCCGCATTCATGAAGTTCCGCGATATTATGGTCAACGCATGGGCGGCCATAGGAAATCAGCCGAGCCCGGGATCATTCCTGGTACCCTGGCTAAAGAGTGCGGGAGCTGTTGATATTCAAGAAAGTGTCCAGACTATCAAGGTTGGAGCTGCATCAGAGAATAAAGAACAAGGCGAAAGAGCTGTGACTGTTTTGCTCTATCTTCTCGACGGAATGAAAAAGATGCTGTGTGGTATGCTGATTACTATCCAATAATCGTGCCTAGAGAATCACAATGCTGACCACCATTTGCTTTACGAATAGGTAAGCCAGGCCAACCTGATAGCAACGATTTTGATGATCTTCGCAAGGAACTAGAGGTTGAGCTTCGCACTGTTGGGAACGTTTACTACTATCATCTTGCTTGGGCACAGAAAGCCCAGAAAGGCCCAGAGCCCCACAGGCTGTGAAGCTTGCCTCGCGGCTGCAGAATAGTAGATTGAATAGGCGCCTATGCATTCACTAATGTTCCCTATGACCGGAATTTCGATTTGGCGGTTAACGATAACCCCCTTTTACCTGGCCTTGCATGGAAAAGCTTTCATCTCGAAAGTTCCAGATATTATAGTTCTACGTGCTCATCTAGCATTTTCTTCGTCTTCCTGGCATACATGAAAAAAATTTTCTCGTCGCGTGGCCTTTTACCTCTTCCTAGAAATCATTATCCTGGCGGCATTTGCATATCTAGTGACTGCTATTCAGCTCGAGATAGAGGTATAGAAAAGAAGAAAAAGAAAATCTAGAAGAGGAAAAAAAATAAAAATAAAATAAAATAGACCAAGAAAATGTAACGCCGCAGTTGCTTGTCAATTTCATACCTTCAATGTATTTTTGCACGTTGTCGGGCTCACTAAACCTTCATTTCCTGCTGTTCCTCGTCTGCACTGGCTTCCTCCATGAGTGTCTCCGACTGTCTTGCTTTTTGAGGCCAGTATCCAACAGCAATAATTACTGCTGCGGCTCCAAGCACTCCGGTTAATAGCCAGAACGCATTTCGGTATCCAGCCATCGATACCATCATAACTCCATGAACGGGCTTTTGATTTCCATTCATGAAGGCGTTAGCACCTGCTAGAAGGACACTGGCCCCGACTTGATAAGCGGTGTTGAATAGCGCGCTAGCCACAGCATGATTGGCTGATTCAACCTGTCGAAGTAGAATACTTTGGGCTGGAACCATCGCAACGGGGCTGCCGCAGACAAAGATTATGGCAGCCACGATGGAGTACCAGTATCCTTCACCATGACCAGTGCCACCAGCAAGATTGGGGGTGGCAAATGCCCAAGCTACAGCACCTGCTGCTGTAATGGCAAGACCGACGACAAGAGTCATTTTCTCTCCAGCAAACTTGATCATTGGGGCGGCTAAAGCCCCACTGGCAATTGCCGAGAAGGCGCCTGGCTGTTCATAGATGCTTGTCAGTCTCCCAGAATTCAAACGAAGTTTCCTACATCTTGTGTTCTAGACCAAGTCTAAGATGAAGTAGAATGACTGAGTAGCCCGAAAAACTTACCAAGAAATAGACCGCAGTGAGAACTGGTGTGTAACCCAAGAGATTGACACAAAGCTGAGTAGTGATGAAAAACCATGAACTGAAGCTGCCACCAAAAGCGAAGATGGCGACGAGCATCAGAAAGAAAGGCAAGCTCTGCCAAACATATTGAGGAACACAGGGATTGGAAACCTTCATCTCGATGAGAACAAAGACGCCCAATAGACAGGCTCCTAGAATGATTCCAACAAGAACAGGCGCGGAAACCCATCCGTTACTTGGGCTGTCATTGAGACCATAGACCAGTAAAGCGACTCCAATCACAAAGACCACACTTCCCAATATGTCGATTGGAACATCTCTTTGCCGGTCAAAGGAGGGTAGGAACAGACATGCTAGCACGAGCGCCAGCCCGGTGAGAATAAGACATAGCCAAAATATAGATCTCCATCCGGCGGAGGATGCTAGGCTTGTTTAGTTCATGATATTTCATCGTTCGCAAACAGAAGGAGTGAGCCATACAAGAGAGAAGAGACCCGACCACGGTCCCGATGGTAGACCCTAATGGGGCACAAGCTGTGTAAATTGCCAGTGCGGTGTTTCGCGAATTGCCATCTGGAAAGGTCCTACTCAGGATGGCAAGTCCGTTGGGTGCCTTGAAAGCGACCGGTATCATATCAGAAAGTGTGTAGAGGCATGTCATGAAGTGTGTCACATACAGTCAATCCAGCTCCAATCCCAGAGATTGCACGGCCGGCAAGCAGAGCCGCTTTGTTCGGGGCAGCTGTATTGATAATGTTGGATATTGTAAGAGTTGCTGCCCCGGAAATGAATGTTTTCTCGAGGCCAAATTTCTGGCCCAATTGGCCACCGACAAGCAGGAAGGCGGCAAAAGTAATATTGTAAACAATCAACACCCAGTTGATATCATCGCTGGTAAAATCCAACGCCTTTTCAATATCTGAGAGACCAAAAAGTACAGCTGAGAGTTGAAACAGATCCAAAAAGTTCACAAGCGTTGTGGTCATGAGAATCAAGTTGAGGTCGGCTTTGGGGCTTAGTCGTTCCCCCAGGTGATACGGCGGCATCCACTGCTTTAGGCTCATCGTGAACGGAACGTCAAAAAAACCAACCTAATAGGATGAAGGTTTGATAATATCCAGTAAAGTGGATGGCAGAAAGATTCCCGAATACTCAGAGTTCGCTGGTTAATTTCTTGGGTCTCACCATATACTCTGCGTGAGTACCTTGAGAAGCAGACTAGATCTCGACCCCGGAGACTTTCTCGGAGACTATTGACATACATACTTTATTCGTACTAGCAATGTACGCTTTCAAATTGTTTTTCATTAGCCCCTCCTGCCGATCAAAATACTACCTCGGCTCCATTCTTCCTTAGGGGCATTGATCGTCTGACGTCGAAACAATCACAGCTGGTCTCCACAAGCATGTCCATGGACGAGGCTTTCGATATCTTGAAATCAGTTCCACTGATCGGTATGTAGCTTACCAATAGTGTGGCCCAGACCTGTAGGCTGACATTCATTCAGACGGGCACAATGATTGGCCACACCTCATTCGTGGTTTTTATGACAATCAACTTGACAATCGCTTCAAGCCAGAGAAGGATTTAGTAGGACATGTGGATCTCAAGCGACTCCGAGAGGGGAAGTCTGGCGGTGCTTTCTGGAGTGTCTATGTAGATTGGTAGTTTGGCCAACGAGACCCGTGATGCTGTGTCCTGCTAATGACATGGTCAGCCCAGAATCGGACGACTTCTCCGACGATGCAGCTCATTTCGAGACGTTGAGAGATACACTACAGCAAATTGACTTAGTACATCGACTAGTGGACTCGTACTCCGACTACATGGGGCTCGTTGAGCATGCCTCGGATATCATGCGCCTGTTCAAAGAAGGGAAGTTTGCCAGCCTCATTGGAGTCGAAGGGCTGCATCAGATCGCAAACAGCTCTAGCATCCTTCGCTTATACCACAAACTTGGAGTTCGATATGTCACATTGGCACATAATAAGAACAATCTGTACGCGGATAGCGCGGTGAGTAGTGCCATTCGATGAACAATTGTGGGATGCTAAGAGAAAAAAAGACTTCAACTTCCCCAGCACACGACGGTCTATCTGCAGAGGGAACATTGATGGTCAGGGAAATGAACAGAGTGGGAATGTGAGATCAATTCAGTCATTGCATCTCATTCCCTTATGATCCAAAGAAACTGAAGATCGTCAGGATTATTGATCTTTCGCATACAAGCGAAGCCGTGATGCATCAAGTTTTGGATATTTCTGAAGCCCCTGTGATCTTCTCCCATTCTTCAACGTGAGCCAACCCACCATTGAGTTCCGAGTTACAGCGCTTGATAACATTGTCTGCATCTCAAACTACAGAGCATCAATTGTCCCACACCCTCGCAACGTTCCTGATGCCGTCCTCAAGAAACTTCGGGTCAACAAAGGCGTGATTATGATCACGTTTATTCCTTCCCTTACCCATTTCGATGCCACACGAGCAAACACAGACCATGTTATCGATCACATTATGCACGTTGGGGAGCTTATTGGGTACGACAGCATTGGGCTTGGTTCCGACTACGATGGCATGTTTAGTGCTGTGAAAGGAGTCGACGATGTCGCTCAATATCCTCATTTGGTGGCTAGAATGCTTGAACGCGGCATTGCCAGACCGGATGTGGAAAAGATCGTTGGGCTTAATCTACTCCGCGTCTTGAAGAGACGTGGAGCTGCAATCTATCCGACTCAAGACTCAAGAGCCATTCATACAGGATGAGGTGCGACAATTATGGAATGAGAAATTTCGAAGTGTTGTGAGAGATGTCTATCCTCGTGGAGAGACCGACTTGCCTAGAACCTCTTCACCGGAGACGAGCAAGTAAGCTCTGGGCCCTTGAGAAGTGCTCGACGGTCTTTTCATATTGCATCATTTCCTATCTAATCCATCACCTCTTCCCCAAATCCTACTGTGAACATAGTCATGGTAATACCACATGGTCCATAAGAGAAAGTCGAAGATTAGTAGAAACCACGGAGGAACATTCCCCTCTCCGTCTTTGAATCTATGAACTCCTCTTTCAATCCAACATGCGACCCTTTGCCAGAATGCGTCAAATAATTTTTTGCCAATTTTGAACTGGTAGGTTTCTGCCGGGAGAAACTTACGCTGAGACAAAAGTCTCTTCTGGTATGAGTCTGGGAGGGCATGTTCACTAGCACCTCGAATCAACAGGTCCTGCGAGGGTAAATTAGACACCAAACAAACCAAAAAAAAATTTCTTTCTTGAAGTATTCACCGTGTATCGACTTGAAGGAAGTCTTTCGTAGCTTCGTGGGATGCTGTGTCTTCCCAGCAACGAGGTAACATTCACTTCGGAGCCATCTTTTTGCAACGTGGCTCGAAAGACCTCAGTCTTGTAGGCGATTCCGCCTCTACTGCATGTCAGATGTCTTTTGAGCTATGTATGAGACTAGCCTTTTAGTTTGTACACACCCTTCGCTCACAATCACCCGTTTCATATCGTCCGGGGACAATAGGTACGCAACGCCATAAGCGGGCAGATCTTGGTTTTCGGCCACGCGCAAGCCTCCCATGGCAGGATCCGTATATGGAATGCCCATGATGTTGAAGGAGAGTGTGTGTGTTTCAATCCTAGCGACTTCGGACCTCAAAGGTTGAATCTTGCGGCGCGTGATGAAGACATCCGAAAGCATATTGGAGCCATAGGCAAAATACCACTGTTGACTATTTACCATTTTCCGAAACAGGGCCTTGGCGTAAAAGGGTACGTTCACTTTGGCTCTCAAGTCAACGAAGATGGTTCTTTGAGGCCGCAATAAGCGATCTTTGCAAAGTTACCGGGGGGTGGCTGTTCTTTTATTGCTTTCGAATCCTTCACGTTTACTTCTCAAGTTCATTTTGTGGGCTTACTTGTCCAGTCCCCATCTCATCTGCACCAATTATTGTTTCTTGTGATCCGTGATTGACTCTTGGTGGCTGCGGGCCGTCGGGACCTTGGGAGACGGCTGGAATTGCATAGGCTTTGGTAGCTGGTACCTTGGGCGCTGACCTACGCCACTCCCATACTCAGCGTTACAGTCGCAGTTTCTCCTCGCCGGCCAGTACTTCCTTCTTGGTAGGCGATAATGGACCCGTGTTGATTGTTCGATCCCATTTTCATCGATACTTGAGATAACAAGCACTGAACACATTTACCAGTCTATTATACGCTCACTGCAAGAGACAAATCTGGGACCGAGGAAGAGACCAATGTCCACATTGAATATGGCCCATGCTAGTGACACTGAATACCCGAAATCGGGGCAGAAAGTCAAAATACGAGCTTCAGTAATTGAATTGGTCTCATTTGCTTTGCTCCCCTGTCCAAGCTTCCATGGATAGATCGTGATAAGCTGGACCCACAATTTCTCCGTCCGGTTTTAGCGAATGTACGATGGCAACTATGGGGCAAAAACATGTCGCTTCTGGAGTCATCCCTAATCTTAGAGTAATCCCTAATCCTACTTGGGCAACTGGTGGGCGCCAGAACCCGAGAGTACCCTCGTAAGTTTGCCGACGGCTTGGTTGAAGAAATCACCATTTTTATAAGACCCCAGCAGCCACAATTACACCTTATTGAGCCAATATTGTATCATCATCAAGCAAAACTCTGTTCATCAAGCGAATGCTTTGATTGATAGCTGATGTCTCCAACTGCAATCCCGGTTAACCGTGAAGGCACAGGTACTTCACTTAAGCCAAATCAGAGAACACAGAAATCAAAAGATTTGGACAAAGATTCATCAAAACTTCGCAGTGCCTGTGATGGGTGCCACGCGGCTAAAGTGCGCTGCACAGGAGATTTACCATGTGCGCGATGTGCGAGAGAGCAAGTTCCTCTACTACAAAGATCTGATCTGTAACTGACCTCTCTGGTCCCCGCCCGACAGCAATCTAGACTGTCACTATAGTTGCAAAGCAAAGATCGGCAAACCAAGGGGCAGCATGAATAAAAAGACCATCGAGCGTTTACGACAGATGAAGGAAGAACGGAAACAGCAGCACCTTGCACCACACACCCCTCCACCAACAAATGACAGCACCTCGGGCATACCACTCCTGCCATCCTGCGATGAGGACGCAACTTTTAGTCCGCTACAATCGCCACCCAATTTAGAGACTAGAGTTGACTGCCAAAGTCCAGCCAGTTTTATCTTAGGTTCCTTTCCATTCCAGGAATCTATTTTGCCCGAAAACGGGCTTGACTGTATGGAGGATTGGTTGCCCATGATCCCTGATGAGTCTATGGAGAATGTACAGTGTCCGATAATTGCATGCCTTCTACACAGAAAATTGACCTCTCTGATCTCTGATAGGATAATTTCCCACTACTTGGTGGCTTGACTGGTATGTCTCTTCCTCTAGCGATGAAACATCCTGGCGAGCACACGCTAATGACAGGCATTAGGAACGCACAATGAGAAGGACACATCAAATGCAAGCTCGGCGGGAACATTGAACGGCAGCAACATTGGATTCGGGGAAATAGACGGACACAAAGAACCATCAAAGGATGTGGGATATTCTATCCATTTTCCATGCTCTCCAAAGCCATCGAGATGCAAGAGTATCGACACCAACTCCAGCAACGGTTTCCTCGCCGATCAGTTTGGTTCCTTTTACCTGGGGAGTACATGTCATCACTCCCCATCCGGTGGCTGCTTTGCAACACTGAGCAATCACCTTTGCACACTTCAATCCATTCCTCAAACGTCAGAACAGGCAAGGGCCATCGATATCCTTCTGATCCAGTCGCAGCGGACCATACCTTCTATGCGATCTCTTTTCAATTGTCGCCCGTGCATGCGAGACCCACAAGCGCTCCTTCTAGTCAACATGGTCTTGGCACGCCTGTTGAGATGGACTCATATGTCTATCTGCGATTATGGGAAACGATGCATTTCGGCAGAGGTTCGCTTGGGCAAATACCAAATATCTGGAGATTTTGGCCATGCCGTCGCTAGAATGCTGATACAGACACATCTGGCTGATCTGAAGACTACTGTCAATGCATTTGCGGGTCTGGTGAGCCAGACTGGTCATGGCAAGGCAGATAGTGCTTACTTGAGCCAACAGGCAAAAAGCCTTGAAGCAGAACTCGGCGTGATGGAGGAGAAAATACAAAAAATATCAAATACTGGTGCCATTTAAGTTCTTACGAATATCGAATACCGAGAATTTGTTCTCTTGAAATAGCTCGCCAGTCCCGGTTTCGTGCGAAGTTCCTTTGATGAGATCGCTGGGGCATACGGACTAATACTCCTTTTTGGCAACGCATGATAATCCACAATAATCTTCGTAGCTTTCTCTGAGTGTATAAATATATCCACTCTTTCGGTCCTTTTTAGCGCTTTATTCCCCGAGCTACGCTACAGGAGTGACTGCGTTTCTCTAAATATGTAGAGAATTCATCCCCATCTGCTAATCTTCTAGCCTTGACTACCAGCGAAATCAATACAATACGACCTTGTAGCATCCTATACGACGGTATGAGGCCGACATTATAGTACGTAGGGCTACTCTTACGATAGCGAGGGACCTTAGCACCGTGGTCCCCCCCTAGCTTGCTATAAGAGCTAATAAAATCTCTTTGTATATACTATTTTTCAAACGAAGTAATTGATTACCCTTCCGAAGTTATCAGATCTGTCTGGATACTAACGTGGTCGGTAAGCGAGTGGCGCATGTAAGCGAGCGGCGCACCCGCCCACTTTTTCTCTATATCTTGACACTTTTATCGACCACAACGCCTTTATATTGATTAATCTCTAGCTTTACATGTATTCCTCTTATGTCCGATCTGTCCGCAATTAGTACATTGGGGTGGACGCCGCGTCTTCGGTGCTGGTGTGTCCTGCGGTAGTAGGCTTGGTGGAGCTAGAATTGCCTGAGAGGGCTCCTCATGAGCTTCCTCGAGCTCTAATGCTTCTCGTACGGATAGACCGTCATCGTGGGCTATCCATCTAGTCTTACGAGTACGCTTTCGCCTTTGCGTAGCGTTTGCGGCACGTAGCTGCTTATTTTCGTGCTCGAGAAGTATACCGTTCTACATTGCGATCTGACAGCCTTTAATAAGCTGGTTTAACGCGGTTTGCGAAGGCGATAGCGGACTTTTTGAGCGTCGCTTTAAGAAAGCTTTGATTGAGGATGCTTGCTTTAAAAGCTCATCGATATTCGCGGGCGTATGTGGGTAAAAAGCGCTTGATTGACTACCGCGGCTTATGGGAAGGTGTCGGCGTCCGAAGTTGAATATTAAGCTTTGATAGCACTTATTGAGGATCAATCGGCACTAATCCTGCTGCTCGGAAGCTATTTTATATTATAGTTGGTTTATAAGCGTCGACGCGAGCTTGTGGGTATATAAAAAGGAAGTTAAGTTTGTCGATATAGTTAATCCCGAGCCGCATCTTTTAGTCGATTAGACCGCCGTATGAACGCTTTAAAATAGCAAAACATCCGATATTAAGAGGCTGAAGTAAATGCGAGGAATGCGGTGGCATACAGATTGGGATAATTTCATGATCCGCGCAGATTTGATCGAACTCTGGTGTTAGATAACTCCCGTGTCCGTCGAGGACTAGAAGTCGATATCTTCCACGCGTACGATAATTTGTTGACGGAATAAATTGTTTTTGAAGCTAGCGAAGGCCTATCTCGTCGGTTGTCCATCCATTTGCACTAACTTCGAAGCGCCAGTCGGGTGGAAGGTCTTCAAACCATGCTTAATTATATTTTTGGCCTTTAAAAATAAGCGTCGGCGGAAGCACCCACCCCGAAGCGTTAATTGACTTAATTACAGTTACCCACTCGCGGTTTCCTGGCTGTAAAACTGATCTCCGACCGTAGTATTCTGATCGGGTAATCACCTTTTAGGCCGTACAGAGGCCTATTGCGAAGCCAGTCTCGTCAAAGTTATAGATATCGTCCGGTAAGATACTATATTGCTGAATTGTGGCTTATACGAGGTCAAACCACGCTCGAATGATCTTTGGATCCTCTTATTCTGCCCGTTGGTAATTATAGCGTCGAGAAAAGCGAGCTTTAAGCTCTGGACGGCGCTAGGTGAAGTTATATACCCATTTTTCGCCGACGGTCTGGATAGGGGTAGAACCGCGCTTCGTAAGTAGAATATTCGCCATTTCTCGTACGTGAGCTTGCGTAGGGGCTACACCGCGTGAATCTAGCGATAATATCCGTTGCTGGAGTATATCCTCTTCGATTTGGGTCAATTTATGACCATTTACGCGACGTTCAGCGCGGTTTATAGTACCGCGTAGTCGACGGCGGAGCGTGGTTCCAGGCACATTAAATCGACGTGCCGTCTCGCGTATAGACGTGATTTCCTTATTTTGAATGGCTTGTATAGCAATTGATAAACGGCCCTCTTGCTGGACAGAATCCTGGCTTGATCCGACACGAATTGGAGGCATAGTGCTTGATGGAAGATAAATGGACGCGCGGAGATGCGAAAAAGTGGGCGGGTGCGCCGCTCGCTTACATGCGCCACTCGCTTACCGACCACGTTATCTGTCCTAGTGCTTATGTAATATGGTGCCGGCTCGGCCGCCGCACTCTCAACTGCATCCTGAGGCTGCACTTGCAAGGGACGGACTAAAATATTTCCGGGTGCCATAGGCCTGAGGCATCAATAGTGTCCGTGGAACGCAAACAATTTTCGGCCGCGAGTCTCTTGATGATCCGCGAACCCGACATCATCACCCTTTACACATAATGGCTGCTAGAGAGCAGTCCAGATATTTGGCGCGAGCATTGCCCCGGGCTTTCATGCCTCGGCTCGTCCCCAGGCCTTCCTCGGTCGCCGCAATGCTTCCGACGAGGCTCCGGCCAGACGCCTTTCAGACGAGCTGGAGACTGCATCCTCCTTGACTACCTCTGTCTCTGAAGACGCAGCGAAGTCCTTTGACCCCGCTGCGCAGGCCAAGGCACGCAAGACAAAGCTGCCTCGAGGCCGGTATGTGATATGTGCCGAAGACTTTCTCCCTGGTCGTGTGACTTTGCGGAGTTCTCGTGAGAATCAATCCAACTGATGACTTGACTTCAGATATCAATTCCGATCCCCCAAATACGACCGCGGTCCCCTCCATCCTCATCAACCGCCTCCTCCCTCAGACCCTTCTTCCAGATTGTTCGTTCCCGGTCCCTTTGCTCTTCCGCGCGCCGAGCAAACATACCACTCAACCGTCGCATCGGACATCCTTACCCTCTGCTACGTGCACACACCACCTGGATTCAAGCCCCCACCTAAGGCTCCCCGTCTGCGCGAGTGGGATGACAGCTCTCCTTACCACAAAAACCGTCCCCTCCGCGGGCCCCGTGGTGGTGATGTTCTGCGTTTAATTCGGAAGCCCATCCGCTTCAACAACATCCCCAAGATCGAGCGCATCACAATTCACAGTTACGTGAAAAACGCCGCCCATGAGAACTCGTCATGGCTGCACGTTGCCGGTATGGCTATTCAAGCCATTTCCAACACTCGTGTAGAGACCTTCAAGTCCAAGTCCAGTGTCGCGACCTGGAGCATTGCCCCTGGCCGAGACACTGTTGCTGTCAAGGCTGAGCTGCAGGGTGAGACCATGTATCACTTCCTGGGCAAGCTGATCGATGTGGTTCTGCCCCGGATCAAGGATTGGCCCGGTATCAAGGGTAGCAGTGGTGATAGCAGTGGAAACATCACCTTTGGTCTGGTACCAGAGAATGTTGCCATGTTCCCTGAGATCGAGGTCAATTATGATATGTGAGTTCTGCTTTGCTACCTGATGATTTCTCTTTCCTTTACAAGTATTCAGGTACCCTCCCAAGATGATTCCTGGCTGCCACATCACCCTTCACACCACCGCCAAGGCGGACAAGGATGCTCGCCTTCTCCTGAGCGCCATGGGTGTACCTTTCTACGGCAAGATCGCCCACTAAATATAGACTGAAGCATCTTTCTGACGTCTTTGGGTTTGCTATCAAATATCATGGGACACTTTCGTCCCACTCGACCTGTAACTTTAGATGTGGCCTGCATAGTGGCCACTGCGATTCACCAACCTTGTGTATTATCCTAGTCATTTCTTCGAGCGAAATATATGAAACCTTCACAGAAGCTCCAATCATCCACATAATCTACTTGTCCTAGAAGCCGACGAATGGTTTGTTTCCTGCTCAAGATGATGGCCATGTGAGTTGTGACACTCCGGTGCTGAAAGTTATTAGTTTAATATCCCATAATTGGGAATTAATGATGCATAATACACTCAATTCTATACATATAAGAGCCACATAATGCGACAATAAAAGACCCTGGTGAATTGTATAACTACCCGAAAGGATCACTCCCACTCGGCCAAGGCAAGACAATAAAATAACGGACATCATGCGTATTATCATAGTACAGTCAACTCTTTTCAGAGTTCACGTCATAGGCATAGCCAAGAACTGACACTTGAGCAGCTCATCAGCACTAGGCCTCTTCTCAAAGTCAACCTGGAAAGTCATATCGAGGAACTCCTTAGCCTCATCGCTGACATGTTCTGGGGCAGGTGGGCGAGCCTGGTTACTTCCAATTGCAAAGATAGCCTGCAGCTGGCTGCAGTCAGGGAAGGGATGGGCTCCACTCAACATTTCCACGACCAGACAGCCTAAACTCCAGATGTCGGCTTTCTTGGTGTGTGCGGTTTGGCGCACCACTTCGGGCGCCATCCAGTAGACACTGCCTTGCATGGATGGCCGGTGAATATGGCCGCCGCCGCCGCCGCTGGCGCGAGCGCCAAGGAGGGTGGATGCTTCGACGCGCTTTGAGATACCAAAATCGGAGATTTTGACTCCGCCCTTGTTGTCGACGAGGATGTTGGCTCCTTTGATGTCTCGGTGGATGATGCCCTGGCTGTGCAGGTAGGAAAGACCGGCCAGGATCTGTCGGACGAAGTTCTTGACCAATGGCTCCTGGAAGGTGTTGTACTGCTTCAACATAGTAGCGATAGAGCCACCCGGCACATACTCCAGGAAAATGTTCAGGTATTGGTCGTCAGCCTGGGTGCCGAGGTACTGCACGATGTTGGGATGGTGCATTCCTTGCAGAAGTTCGATTTCGTGCTTCAATGCAGTGACCATGCCGTTCTTGCGTTTGTCAAATTCAGTGCCCTTGGTAGCTGAAGGTATTTCGACCTGCTTAACAGCCAAAAGCTCTCCAGTAATGGCATGAAGAGCCAGGTAGACGCTGCCAAAGGAACCCTCACCAATAAGAGATCCCTTCATCCAGTTCTTAGGCGCAAAATTGTTACCAGCCAGGAAGTCGTTCATCAGATTCTCATCGTCATCTTCCTCTACCTCCTCATCATCCCCATCGTCGGGCACAATCATACTAGAACGGTCATTAGAGGAATGTCCGTCGGTAGCAATGACACTGGCAGTCTCATCCAGAATACTCTGGCGCGATGGGTTGGCTTCGTCCGAGCCGCTATCGAACGAGACATAGGATTTGCGGTTCGGCTCAATAGGAGACTCCTCCTGAAGGGGCTGTAGGGAGCTTGATGCAATCGAATCGCGATAGGAAGCCTGTGGTAGGTTGAACCTGGTAGAGATGGGCCGAGATGCACGGGCGGCCTGTGCTCCACCCGGCTGGAACCAAGTGTCGGCAATATTGGGCATGGGCGGAATCGGAGGTAGGGGGGGGAAGAGGAGGTGCATCTTTAAGACTCGATGCCACACTGTAATTGCTGACAACACTGAGACGACTTGCTGCTCGACTGAGACGTTGAGATCTCCGCATCGTTTTCGCAATGTCTTCTTTGTCATGACTGGGGAAGAATGACTGAAGTTCATGGATAATCATCTCACTTGGCGGTCTCTGTCCAAAGAACGACCGCAGTTTATTGGCCACGGGATTGTTGCGCTCGCTATTAGGTGATAAGTCTGGCTCATTCGTAGTATTCGTAGAAGATGTACGATGCCGAGCACCCACGGGAGAGAGGGGTTGCTTAGTGTTGAGAGTATGCCATGATTCTCCAGTAAGCTGTTGAATCTTGGACTTTTGGCGAGAGGTGGATTTGTCCAAGGCCATCCGATGCGTCACCTGGCTTTCATCCACCGCCAGCTGAGACGCCCGGCGGACCTCATCGATGTCAGGTTCCCCGGCGTGAATTTTGCGCAAGATCAACCGACCACGCTCGGACTTGTTGACGCCTTCGCAGATTTCCATGAGTTCCGCCTCCGTCAACCGCCTGCAGTTCGAGAGATCTGCATCTAAGCCATCCAGTACATAGAAGCAATAGTTTCGATACTGGTGCTCAGGCAGCTGCAATTTCTTAAGGACGTTAATGATGACCTCGTCCGGTGTCTTGCAGTGGCGGATATCAAGAACCTTGGTCTGACCGCCAGTATAGATCACCCGAATCACCGGGGAGTTCAGCGGCAGAGGGCCCATAGTAAGGCCGTCAAGACTAGGGTTCCTGGGGTGTGAGCTTCCTCGGGGCCCTTCGTTCGGCGTGCTTGGGTTACGCCCGGATCCCGAACCAGCTGTGAGATAGCCATCTTTACGCCACGAATCTCCAGGAGATGTGGGTTGGGAGGGTGATTTACCCAAATAGTTGAAACCGTCATCGACCAGCTGCGACATACGTCGGTTGCTTAAAGTTGTCGGGCGAGCAATAGATACGCGGGAGAGATCCGAGGATAATGCGGCAGCTTCCAGCGCGGCTAATTTGTTCTATATCCGGAGTTAGTACGCGGAGAAGAGGAAATACTCCAGAAACACTGACCAGATTCTTTTGTCTTGGGTTGGGCATTGATTTGTTCCGAAGCTGCTTGATCGCCACGAAGATGCGGACCCGATCGCCGACTTTTTTTATACCCATCTCTTGCAAAATCTTTTGGTCACAATCCAGCAAATTGTCGCCGTTAAAATTATTAGCTGGCAAGAATTAGTGTTCGTCCGTCCCAAGCAGGCTACAGCACGAAGATACCTCTGAAGATCGACTCGTACTGGCCACACTTGATGCTCTGCAACCACTGAACCACCCTTTTCTCATCCCAGGATCTAGAGCCGAGTCAGTACAATATGTAGACTTTGACATGTAGGTCTCTTTGAGTCTCACCGGACTGCCGCGAGTTCATCCTGCCCCTCGGAGAATTCCGACCTCGTCGGACTGCTGAAACCCACCCCATCCTGTAGCTTTGTTGCGGTCGCCGGGCGTTGCGAGCTAGTGTGGTAGGCAGTTGCCGGTGTCTGGGATCCTGATGCGCCCATAGGCGGTACGTACTGCTTGGAAGCCAGCATCATGCAGCCGAATCGCGTCGCGCGTTCTCAGGACTTTTGGGATCCTCTAGCTGAGTCGGAGTCTCGCAGCGCCCTCTCCTCCGCTGGACTATAGCGTCTTCACACCAGTTCGATACGAGGGCTGTCGGGGTGATGCAGCGAGGGTCAACGCATAATCTTGAGCTCCTGAAGACCAGTTAGTTTCCCGTGGTCTCGCTTGACCGGTCGCTGGGGCCGGGAGGGGCAACAGAAGCAAGATCCGCACCACCTCGCCGGAGGGGAGAGGAGACAACTGACCGGAGTTGCACAATGACACCAGACGATGTCCGTCTCCTCGCCGGGCAGGATACCAATGTAGGGTTGTCTTGGTAGTCGCGATCGCGACGTGTGAGCTTTTTTAGGGTGAGATCGCTGGGGCCACTTAGTGTGGTCCGGATCGGGCGTTAATCGAAGATAAACCAGAACACCCCCACTCATACAGGAACGAGGAGGGAACGCAAAGAGAACGGAGTTCGCACGAAGGAAGATCTTGTGCTTTTGAAGAGCTTGAATTCGGGCCGAGTGAGCAAGGGGCCACGCTCTTCCCCACGCGTTTCAAGCTGACGAATGTACGAGCCATCGGAGACATCGGAGCTGTCATGTCTTATTTCCCCCCTTGCGATCGTGAAACTTACACTTATTGAACTATGATCTGCTATGTACCAATAGTGTACTTATTATCTGGAGCCGTCTGAAGCGGCCCTCTGTTCCTCTTCAGTGCTATAGAAAGAACTACTTTATCTTCCAAGCTCCACTGTTGAAACGACGTGAAACAGCGGCTCTGATTTTGTCTTGGAAGCGGTCATGATTTCTACTTTGGTGATAGCGGAGACATAGCTTGAGAATGGCTAGAATGGGTATTTGGAATGGCATGAACATATGGAGTAAGGAGTGCTTCCTCAAAGGGAGACCGAGATACTGCACGCCGGCCTACATGCCTTATCCTGGCGTCCTTTCTTCCTTATTTCTTTGAACTCTAGGGGCTTTCGAGGCTTTCCAGGCATTTCAAGGGTTCATACGTTGGTTTTGTGTCGCCCTTTACTTTTCCACAGAATGTATCCTCATCGACCTTTCCCAACAAGATGTCGAGCTCACCATAGGTATGGGACCATAGCAATTGCCGTGGACGACATTCAGGACCTAATTGGAAACCCCCGGGTGAAGGCTAGCCCTAATTCTCTACAGACCTGCTTCAACCTGGTCGATGCTTCGATGCATAGGTGACATGATACCTGTCAACTTCAATGCTGGGTTCTAGACCACTTGTATTCCCTATGTAGCTGATTATTCTTGTTCTCCCGCCCCAAAGTTCAAATTGATCTGACGCGGTCTCTCCGCACCGGTGGAGACGCTGCACGATCGGACCTAGTCTTTTAACCCGGAAACTCCAACTCTCCCATATGCACGAGCCGGCCATTGACTATGTTGCCTATATCGTTCTGTCATTTTCTTTGTAGAGTAAACAGATGTGTTGTGCAGCCACGTGACCGTCCCCTCATCTGAGCCAAACCCCACAGTTCAATTTTCCCCGCTCAAAAGGGCTTGAAATTCTTTCCCCTCTTGACCCCCAAGGAACCCCAACGACCCCCCAATATGGAGGACGAGAAGTCTGCAAAGGTCAAGAAAAAGGGTGCCGCTCACCGAAAGTCTCTCTCTTGCGAGTATTGCAGTCGATCCTTCGCCCGCTTGGAGCATCTCCAACGCCATCTCCGCACCCGTTGAGTAACCCCGATCTATCCTTTCCCTGATCCTTACTAATGTAGGACAAACAGATACCAAGGAAAAACCTTTCTCATGTGACATTTGCTCCAAATCTTTTGCCCGGAGGTAAAGCCACTACTCTGCTTCCCAATGACCCAATCGCTTATCTTGCGGCCATCGCAGTGACCTTCTGGTGCGACATGAACGATTGGTCCACCCAGCCGAGAGTGCTGCCAGTCGAGAACATCGGACACATAATGGAGTCGATAATACCCACCATGAAATTCAGATACAGCCGACTATAACTCAACCCGCCCACCATGAGTCGCGCATGCTAGAGCTTGCCGATGCCATCCCGGTCCACACCCAAGTCCCTCCACCTCCCGAAGTCCAGGTCCAGCCTCCGTCGATTGTCGAGACACCGCATTTCAATCCTTCCTGGGGCTATGATTTGAATCTCTTGTCGCACGCCGCAAGCCATGTCGCTTTGGAGGGACAGCAGGAAAGTCTGGAGTCGCTGCGAAAACCATCACATTCGGTCGGCACACCATCTCATTCCATTGCACAAGTCCCAGAAAGAGGGATTACGGATAACTACGGCCTTGAGCCCTCTATTCTGGACCTAACGGATCTTGGGGATCCTGTTCAAGACTTCACAGTCTTTCTGGAAAGTGTGGGTCTGTCGTCCGATTTGGGACTCTGGGGTGTTCTCGTCGGTTGAGGATCCTATGTTGCCTCCAAGTATCTCCATGGAATCGAAACCACAAGTTCGAGAGCAGACAGCGTCGACAAGGCTGGGCGGAGAGTTAATGAATGATTCACGAATCCAGGCAGAAGAACCGCCATCCTTCTCCAACTTCGGGTCCCGATTACCGTCCTTGCAACCCGAGTCTCACGAGATTGAAGATCGCATTGGTCTATCCGATGAAGGCTCGCGACCCGCATGGGATATTACCAATTCTGATCGCCAGGTTTTTATGTCAAAGCTCGAAGAGTTCTCCTCTGTTCTTCCGAAGGGTTTTGTTCCGCCGTCGCGGCACGCTCTATCTCGCTTCTTCGCTGGATATATCAATGGGTTGAATGAACATCTTCCCTTTGTGCATGTTCCTACACTATCTATTGCCAAAAGCTCTCCCGAGCTGACCCTGGCGACAGCAGCGGCGGGATCACACTACCGCTTCGAAAACGGCCGGGGAATCGACCTTTTCCATGCGGCAAAAGCAATTCTGTTAGAACGTCTCCGTCGAAGAGATAGCAGGCAGGTCCCTCATCCATCATGGAACTATGTTTCTCCTCCCTCGAATTTCCACAACTCCCGTGGTTCGTCCATGATCTCGAATACCGCGAGCAGTCCATTTCAAAATCAAAGCCTCCCGAATTCTTCTATCAATACGACGATCTATACACCAGACGATGCTGATGCCCATATGGAAGTGATTCGAACCTTTTTACTCTTGACCGTGTTTGCGTCCTGGGAAAGACATCCAGAACTTCTTCGAGAGATCCTATCGCTTCAAAGTACACTGGCTCGGCTTGTTCGGGAACACGGACTCGCAGAACCACCTCCCACCCCTGAACCCATAAGTTGGGAAGAGTGGGTACGAAGAGAAGGCAATAGACGTACGAAACTGATTGTCTACTGTTTCTCCAACCTCCACTCTATCATGTACAACATTCCTCCGCTGATCTTGAATGGGGAGCTGAAACTGAACATGCCCTGTTCACACGACCTTTGGAAAGCATCCAATCCAGCCCAATGGCGACGAGTACTCCGCACTCGACAAGGTTCAGATGTTCCGTTCCAGGATGCGTTTGCACGGCTTTTCTTAAAATCATCGATCTCCCTCCCATCGACTCCTATTTCTCCTCTCGGCAATTACATCCTCATCCACGCCATCATTCAGCAAATCTTCTTTGCCCGCCAACTTTGTTTGTCGGCTCCAAACATGCATGGGACTAGTCTGAGACAAGAAGATCTCAACGTCTTAGATCACTCTTTGAGTGCCTGGAAGGCATTGTGGAAACGCACGCCCGAATCTAGCATTGACCCCCCAGAATCCAGCTGGCCCTATCGCCTTTACATCAACGGCGCTTCTGGGACTTGCCTACATCCGACTACATGTTGACCTCGGCCCCTGCAGACATCTGATCACTCAGGACCCAGTCCAAATCGCAGGAGCCCTGATCGAGTCGCCACCTATCTTCCGGAGCCCTCGGTTGATCATGGCACTATTACACTCAGCCCATGCTCTGTCCATTCCCGTCCGACTAGGTATTGACTTCGTGGCAAGGACACACTCGTTCTTCTGGAGCATTCAGCACTCTCTCTGCAGCTTAGAATGTGCTTTTCTCCTCAGCAGGTGGCTCCTCGCCATCCCTGCCACGCAGCCAGAGCAGAGGTTATCCGAACATGAGCGCAAACTGCTCCTGTGGATCAAGAGCATGATGGATGAAACCGAAATGGCTGTTGATCCGCCAGGAGCACCTGACATGGAGTTCATGGCGAACCCATACAAAGTGCGCCAGCTCAGTGTCGCCATAGTCCGGGTTTGGGCCCGGACGTTCAAGGGTAACACCAGCTGGGCGATAGTGGACTTGGTAGGCATGAGCTTGGATACCTACGCCGATCTTTTGGAGAGCTCAACAGGCTTCACATAATAAACATAGGTCGCGACATGATTCGGTCAGACTTGACCAAGGAATTTGGCGATAAATGCACCGCCGTGTCAATGACCCTATCGCTTCTTGCTTCTTTCCTTCTTCCCTTTTCTATACTTCTCTCTACTTCACTTATTTTGATGGACATGATACTTAGCGGGATTTTGTACATGCGTGGTCTGATTTTTTTTCTATTTTTGATTTGGATATGGAAGGAATCTCCTGGTGGGGTTCCTTCAAGGTCTGTATGTATTATGACTTGTCGTCACTTGTGATTGCTGTCTATACCCGGTGATGCGAGTATCTCAGCTGGGGCAAGGTTATTTGGCCCCAATATGTCAGGCATTTGCCTGACAATTGAAACACGTCAAAGACATTCAAAAGCTCAATTGGACTTCATCGCAGTCATGAATTTATGAGGGCTTGTTTTCCTGGTACTAAGGTTTCTTTCGAGGTGTTATGGGCCGGTTCCTGGCTACGCTGGTCGGCACAAAGCGGAGTGCGGACATTGACTTTTCCAGCTCGTCGATCTCCATGTCATCTGACTTCTGTTGAGCTCTTGGCTGAGACTCTGGCGCCTGAAGTGGAATGACTGGCGGTTTTGTTTGAGATGCTGAGCTGCGGCGCCGCGATCTTCCCTCGTGGGATGAGATAGACACATGAGAGATGCGTCTTCTGTGGCTGTTTAAGGGCCTCAGCATCGACGTCTGTCTATCAATACCATCATTGATGATGTAGAAATTATAGCTCTGAGGCGAAATGAATCAGCAAAGTTCTCGAAAGTATGAAAGGATATCATACCTGAGGGAACATGTGCTTATCTATGAGATGAAGTCTACGCTTCTGAGGAGTCGAGCACTTCCGATCGCATGTTTCAATGAAACATCCAAACTATGTAGTTCGAGTCATTTCAATCTTGTGGACGCAATTAGAAAGGTAAGCCAGCACATACGGTCTTTTCGCCGCGCGCGCGCCGCGCGGACGCAAGAGGATCATGATTCTCTTCGATATGAAGGTTCAGGAAATGGCCCGTGGGAAAATTCCTACTGCATTGAGAGCAGCGATTGACATGGGTCTGTCGGTAGTGAACCTCGTAGTCTTCGTACGAAGTGAACGAGAGAGTCTCGCGGTGCGGCGGTAGAGCACACTGCATAACCTCGGTGACAGGTTCTGGATCCCAGTGTAAGATCTTACTGTCCGGTTCAGACGTAGCAGACCTTGGACTCGGGGATGACGATACGTCAAGAGATGGCGGACTCGAGCTTCGTGAGCGTTTGGACATGGCGGTGATGTGATCGATCCACCAAGGCGGGGCATTTCACTGCAGCAGGGGATAAGATGTGACTAGGCGAATCATAGTGCAAAGATCATCTGGCAATCCGAAGAGAAACTTAAATATCAAGCGCGAAACAAATCAAGCAGAAGAATAGACGAAGAAGTATGGAAGTAGAAATCTAGAAAAGTAGAAAAGCGGAAAGGTCACTAGCCACAATTTAATCAGCGCCACAGGGGAGATGCCGCAAGTACTCCACGTCTTTTTCCGTGACGGCACGTTTGGGACTTTCAAACTTCTTGCCGGACTCATGGCTCCTTCGTCAACCTACCCAGTCAAAGCCATCTGACGGGCGTCTACGGTGGGGGAAAGTCTCCCATCCTGATTCATGGCTTTTCAAGATGCGTGGCAGTGAGTCCCTTCGTCCCCAGTCAATCTCAGATCTAACGACATGCTAGGACTGCGCTCCACGCCGAAAAAGAGCTCTTGCAGCGCCTTATTGAGAAGGAACCTACCTTTGCCGAAATATCTCACTTTTATCAGAGTCAGTCCCGCAACCTACATCGTCGTGCAGCTTTCCAGCTGACAGCAGAGAAATTGCGCAGATTCCGCACCGCTTGCCAGAACGCCATCCTCCTCGACTTCGAGACCGCCCGCGATACTAATGTCGAGGGTCGCCTGTGGGATGCGCATCTGAAATTGAATACCCGGTTCCGCAAGCTGCTTTCTCGCGTGAGTAAAGATGCTCTAAGTGACATGCTGGGGTCACAACCGGCTAATAACTACGACACAACAGTACCGCGACGAAAACGCTAAAAAGAAACCCGTCGAGAAGCGTAAGCTCGAAAAGCACTACCTGGACTTCATCAAGTCTAGCCAGCGATTCTATCGAGGATACATCCAGCACCTCTCCTCGCACTTCGGAGGCATTGTGGAACTGGACAAGGTCGCGCGCAAGTTCAATCATGAGAGTGCGCAATTCTTCAGTCCTCGACTACTATAGTCATGAGACTAACTCCGTCATTTTCCCCAGATTTATCGACGCAGCCCTCGTCCACGGTCACACCCGATTTGCACAAGCGCATCCTCCAATCCTGCCATGCGACACTAATTCGTCTCGGCGATCTTTCTCGCTATCGAGAAACTGAACTCGTCGCCAAGGACCGCAATTGGGGCCCCGCGATTGGATATTATGATTTGGCTTCGGTGATCTACCCTGTCTCTGGCGCATCGCACAACCAGCTGGCTGTCATTGCCCTTGCCGATGGTAATCATCTCCGAGCTACCTATCATCTGTACAGAGCGTTGTCCGCCCAGGATCCGCACCCATCCGCAAAAGGAAACCTAGAGATTGAATTCCGCAAAATTATGAACCTGTGGACCAAGAGGGAGCTGATTCGTCCGGAGGATGCCGGTATACCAGGAAGGGCCCTGGCTCCTTGGTTCGTCTATCTTCATGCACAGTGTTATAAAGGCATCGATTTCCCGGAGCACGACGAACTGGAGAGCGAGGTGATGAGCCAATTGGCAGTCGACATTAGAGAACGTTCTCTTGAAGGAACACTCCAGAAGTTGTGTCTCGTCAACATTGCTGCTGAAGACTTTGCCCGAACCCGGTCTACTGAGGAATCCGTCTCAAACGCCCGTGCTTTCTTTCAAAGAATCAACGTGAAGACTTTCTTTACCTTGTTACAGATCCTTCTGGTTGAATTGGAGCGATTTGCCGCTGAGGATTCAAGCACCAGCAGCAAGGATACCCTCAAGAACGGTCCGGACAAGGTGACTGTTGTCGCGCGACGGATCTTGCCTGCGCTGCGTCACTACAGCTCTTGGCTTCTGACCACTAGTGATCTCTTGGTTGCGCAAAAAGAAGAAAAGGACTCGATCCTTTCCATTCAGATCCAGGAGTTTTGGAAAATATATGCCGGCACCCTTACCCTCCTTGCGTCTACGTTCGATGTTGTGCACCTCCCAGAGATCGACTATCTCCTGGAGGAAGACGAAGAGAGTCTCGGATTCGCACCGTTGGATCAACCCGCTACGTGCCGCCGATACCTTGGCATGGGTGACCAGATCAAGCCTCGCATGAATGATCCTGGTGTCGAACGAAGCCACCCCAATGAGGAAATGCTTTACCGAATTCGCGAGTTCGTGATTGATGGCCTGGACCTTGTTGTCAGAAATAAAATTCCCGTTATTCTCGTCGACGACGAGGACAAGAAGACTTTCGTTTACCAAGAGGACGGCCTTCCCTCTCAGTTCTTTTCAAGCCCTCATGGCCGTCAACACACTCTGTCAACCCCGAATATTGAACGAGACGAGATTCCCAAGGCAATGCAGGACTCGGTCTCTGTTGCCGAGGGTCGCAGCATGTTTGATGGCTCTCAGTCGGCGTCGGCGTCGGCGTCGGCGTCTATGTCTGCCAACATGCACGGCATTGTCGAGGGAGTAGAGCGTTTGGTTGAGTCTGACACATACGAGAATTCTCCGGATCTTCTGAATCAGTTCACCTATTTCCATGATAGTGGAGAAATGCCCACGCCTTCTGCGCGAATGGCATCAAGCGCCAATGCTTTCCCCTTTAACGAGAGAACTCCGCAACAGTTTAGCACCCCCCTTGCCCCGCCAGGTCTTGGTCCACCTGTCGTCAATAGAGCCGGGCCTCCTCGCGGTTCGATCTCCCAAGGTTACGGTGCATTGCCTGCCCTCCCGAGTATCTGGAACTCTTCGTCTCCTGGGCCACTGAGGGATGGGCCTTCTCCGAGGACCCCTCCAGTCCTGGGAGGACAGTCTCTAATGCACGCAATGGGTCCAGCGGGCATGAACGCCTCCGAGCGATCGCCATCCCAGGACCAGATGACCAATGATCTCCGCCAGAGTCTCATGGGCCAAACCCAATTCTCAACCGCCCTCGACCCCGCTGGCTCGATTTCGTCCTCGTGGATTCCTCCAACTAATCTCTCCGCGCAACCGCATCCCACGGGAAACAGCTGGGATCACGACATAGGCTGCATGACCTTTGGCTCTTACAAGCTTCCAACCCAGCCAATGTCTAGCGGCATGCCCGGCCAAAGCTGGGCAAACGACGCCTTCATCGCGAGTAGTCCTAGCCTCTGGGGCAGGGCACTATAACTCCGCATCCAGCGGCCCCCGCAAGCCAGCGACCCAGCTCGGCGCAATTGGTCAAACCCCACCGTGTGGCCAAGGTGGTTGATCACAGACACGAGTGACAATATCCCAATCTGTACGAAAGCCGCATTTCTATCTGCGTCACACCCCTACACAGCCGAGCGAGACCCGGAAAGTTCCATTGACCGGATCCCTTCTCCTCAGCCCTGGCTCGTGCTCGTGTTCTCATTGGAGGCCATCCAGGACAACGAATGTTCTCTACTCATTCTACGAGGCTAGCCATTAGTCCATGACTTGAGTTTCCCTTGTCCCTAATGTCCAGACGCCAGAAACGCAAATGCCTTGAGCATGAGCTTCGGCCCGCATCCGCCGGCCTTCTTGCGCTGTGGCACTTTTTTTTTTTCGCTGAATCCGATTTGGAATAGGAAGACGGACATAGCGCGTTTCAAGACGGACACGCGGGAAGATCAAGTAACGGTTACCCTGCTTTCAGCGGAGCGTCTCGTTTGTCATTCATTTTTTGATGCGTTTTGCTCTTTAATGCGAGATGAAGCCCCTTATGACGAAGCCCTTTTTTGTGTAGCCTTCCTTTGATTATCACGCTAGATACAATTATGATGATGGGTTTGGCCCTATGCCAGACTGATCTTGACAAGTCTGCTAGTCAATGGACAGTGATTTCACGTCTAACCCTAAATTTGCAATTCAGGTCGAAGTGCCAGTGAATGCTGGACATCATAATCTAGTTGTAGGAGATGCCTCGAGAGGCGATTGGCTTCCGCATAGAATCATTCGATTGTAAGCCATTCGGAGTCCATCACGGTTGTGCTAAGTAGAAGGGGGGGAACATCGATCCACGTCCAATTCGCCATAAAATGGTGTTCTGTCGAGTCATATTCGGCAAACACGCAACATAGTGACTTTGTCTTCAGAACTGTGAAAAAGAATAAGAACCGCCAGGGTAATCAAATATGGTTAGTCAACAATGGATCGAGAGGGGAAGCTTAATATACCCATCTAGGGCTGTGACTCAAGGCCAAGAAATATATAAATTCATGGCAGTGTTGGAACTCGATCGCGGGCAAGATGATCTTTAAAAGCCTACCGCACAGTTTCTGTGAATGAAGGCTGTAGTCTAGAGATCGGTACGAACCCCAAGCGCTTGCAACTAGGTGTTGAATACATCAGACAGGTCCAACAAGTCGCTAGGGCTTGTGCACTACTTGCATCGACGTGCACTTGCAAAAATAGCAGGGATTTGGGACCTCGACCACAAGGTCTTTTTATCTCAATTTATCAATGTACATGCAAAATCTTAAGCCAGAAGGTCATTTTACCTGTGCGGTTCTCTATGCACAAGCCTCAGATACAGTCTCGATGTGATGTTGTGCTCGGGAATTGGTGTTTTCGTGATATCGTTGTTGAAAACTTGGCACTTTTTCAACGCTCGCGGCCCTCCTCAGGTTTCACACGCTCTTTTTCTCTACACAAAAATTTCCCACTCTGGACACGAATGGATCATGACTAGGAATCAGGGACAGCGATGGAGTAATGATGTATGAGAAAGGACCGCAATGTTTCTTCCGAAAGGCTTGGCGCCCTTTGGATTAAATTGGTCGACGTTAAGTCGCTTATATGAGGTATATGGAAAAGAAAAAACGAAACTGTTTGGGTATAGAGGGTTGAATCATCCAAAGTTGTTGGTGCTTGTCAATTATTTGAACTGCACTGGGATCTTCACGAGAAGATTTCTGTGTTGAAGGTCTTCGTTTCTATTTTGGTGCGAAGGAAACTTGATCGATTAAGAGCGGGAGTAGGCCTGCTTGGGGTAGGGGTAGCTAAAATGGACGGTTAGCTTGGCGAGGTTCTTCGTGTGTATGACTGGGTGGGAACTCACGAAGGTCCGAGCTCCTGAATGCTCTTGCTGGCCAACCACTGACCCATGTCGACGCAGTCCGCAAGGGGCTTGCCCTGGACAAGACCGGCACAGAAGCCACCGGCGAAGGCATCACTTTCGGAAAGACGAATTAGATGGTTCCTCTATTATATGCTGAGATGATAAAACTTACCCGGCACCGTTGGTGTCGTTAATGGCATCCTTGGGGAGCTCGCGGACGGGGAATTGTTGGACCTCGACATTATCGCTGGAGCCAATGGCAACAACGGTGGGCTCAAGACCCTGGGTGACGATGACAGTGCGGGGGCGCTGGGTGTTCTTCTTGGGGAGGGCAGCAAGCTTCTTAGCGATCTCAACAACGTCTTCGGTGCCCCACTCGTGGCTGGCAGAATAGGCACGAGCCTCAGTCTCGTTGCAGCAGGTGTAGTCGGTGTAGGGCAGGACGCTGTCAAGCTGGTCCTTAAAGAATTGGGGGATGAAAGGAGCGGAGAGGTTGAGCATGAAGACCTAGGAGTCGTAAATAACCATTCAATCCATTGTCATCTAGTTGACATACCTTGTTCTTAGCGGCAGCCTCCTCGGCGAGAGCCAGGATGGCGGGGACGCAGACAGTCAGGTGGAAACCGCCAACGTAGAAGAACTGGGCCTTCTCGACAAGGGACCAGATGTGGGGCTGCTTCAAGTGTTCGAGCTTGTACTCGTTGGCAGCAGCGAGGTGAGTGCACATGCTGCGGTCGTGGCCGGTGATGATGACACCGCACTTGCCGGTGGGCTGAGACTCGTCGACACGGTACTCGGTGTGGACACCAGCCTCCTCACAGGTCTTCTTCAAGATGTCACCGTACTTGTCCTTGCCGACACAGCCAATGTAGACAACGGAGTTGTCAGGAAGAAGGTACTATTCAATTAGTATATTTGATAGATAAGGCCAAAGTCGAATCTTACCTGAGCACCACGGGCAGTGTTCTGGGCGGCACCGCCAGGAATCAGCTTAGCATCCCTGGCCATGAGTTCCTCGTAGAGACCCATGTGCTGTTCCTCGGCGAGGATGGCATCGTTGGCCTTGAGACCGTACTTCTCGAGAAGAGCAGCATCGCTAGGAAAGCCATGTTAGCAAACAAATTGGTAGATAATCCCCGAATGTCAATCCGTACCCACGAGCCTGGATGTCTAAAGAATCATTAGCAACCTATGAGATCTTTCAAGGAATTGAGCAAACATACCGAGGAGAGGGTTCTCCAGGCACAGAAGAGGGTAAGATTGAGCAGACATTTTGATGAATGAATAAGGTATATGTAAGAGGGAAAAGGTGAGAAAGGGTGGGAGGATGGAGGGGTCTGGCAGAAAAGCAGCCGGGCGGAACAGTCCTCAAGGTTGAGCTCCACCGTCAACACACCTAGTGTAACCCATCACCACATCACTCTGTCATCCACAATGGCCGACCATACATTGGACGTCCCGGAGCTCCTCCAGTCCGCTTCAATCAAGACGCATCCTTCCCCGGCCCACGATATCAACCCGTCCACAGCGGCCTCGGAAAAGCAACCCGTGGTCGCAGCCCCAGTATCCGATGCTGCCAGCATCGCCTCCGACATCGTCGATCCCAGCCGGGTGATTCGACCTGTGCGCCGGCGCCAAACACTTCCCCCTTTGCCAGACCTACGCTTCGAGCAAAGCTACCTGGCCAGTATCAGGGATGCTGACACCTGGGGGCGAGTGGCGTGGATTACCATTAGAGACCAGGTACGGCGGCTATCAATCGTGGAATCCAGGAGACACATGCACATCTGAGGACAGAGCAAGCAACATGCGAAGCGAAAATTTTTAGCTAACATCAAGTGATCCCATCAGGTCCTCCTGCCTCTGATCCAAGGCACAGTCTGGACTCTAGCCCTCTCCGGCTGGCGCTTTTGGAACCGCAACGCCTCGCTCAGCGGGCACACCCTTGGCAGCCGAATTCGCAGGTGGTGGTACGATGTGAACAACTGGAAACTGCCACCGCTCGGGTGGACTCAAGATCCGAAGGTGGCCGCGCAGGTCGACGATGTAAGCTCGTCTCTCTAACAAACCCGGGAAGAATCTGTGCGGCTAACGCTTTTGGAGTTTTTGCAGTTCTATGAGGCGCAATTCTCTACCACGGGTGCGAACTGATTGTACAGTCGTGCAGTGTATTTGAAGAGATAATACTCCAGGGGCTGTGGCCTTCCTTGTTTCACTAGCATCATCGGCGTTCAATTGCGGAGTTTGGTTTCATTTATTATAAACGTGTTTTGCTCTATATCCCACCATCTCAAATGGTTCTCCATCGGCAATAACTGCGTGTGCGGGTCTTGCTATCTCCAAACCTCCAATCCCCAATAGCACACACTATTGGTCCAGTAAATCTGGATTTCTTCTGCAAAATTCTTGAGATCCTAGCATTCTTTACAGACCCGAAACATCAATAGGTATCACAATCGATTAGAATTCATAGTTGAGGAGATTCCATGTTTACTCTGGACAATCGGGCAGAGCGAGCGGCTAGAAAACGGCCGATTGAACAAACGACAAGAGTACGATTAGCTAGTCGAGTTCCAGCTTGATGTGAACGGGGCTTGCGGATGAGAGACTCCTGGGACAGATCGGCTTTCAGCACCGGCGGTAAGTCCATTCAAGCTATTTGCCTCGGCTGGCTGGCCGGGTTTTAGCAAATCGACAGGCGCAGAAATAGGATGAGTGAGAGCCGTAGGGGTGCCCGCTGAGGTTGACACGGAAGGCATAGGTGGTGCGGTCATTGTCGGCACTGGCTGAGGCACCGGGGGTACTAGTGCAGGAGGGCAAGTAGGTGCAGTCACTGCTGGGGCTGACTGCGTAGTGAAAGGTGCTGGTGCCGGAGTGGGTAAGGATGTTGGCTTGTGTGGTAGAGACGGGTGTGCAGATGGCTCAGCTTCGCTGGCATCTTTCATCTCAGACTCCTGAGTAGGGGGAGGCTCATCCTGCGCAACCTCCAGTTGATTGGGTACATTGCCTTTGCCGTAGCGAAGTTGGACCACAAGACTTTGTGGTTCTCCATGCATTATGGACTCGTCTCCACTAACGTTCTCTGCCTCGTCGTCGCCCTCGAACTCATTCTCATCGTCTTCCTCTCCGCCCCATTCTCTTCCGCTGTCAGCGGCCTCGGACGGGGCAGCTTCAGACTCGTCCTCAAGATCATCGTCTCGGTATCCCGAATAGCCATTGGGATTGATAGAGGTCCGAGCTCTCTGAGGTCTTCCTTCTTCCTCTTCGTCCTCGTCGAACTCAGAGTCCTCCCGCTGTCCAGTGAGCAAAGCCTCTCCGTAAAGTCCGCCGGCACGGGACCGAATCTGCCGCCCGCTTGCAGTAAATCGAGGACGTGAAGGCTCAGCCGGTGTCACGTTAGACGAGCATTACGGGTCGATCGCCGGGAAAGAAGCCCATCCGAAAACGTATCCTCATCATCGGAATAGGTATACTTGAGCTTTTTACCGCGCGTACGTCCCTCATACATGGAGAAGCCAGGTTCCGGTCGAGTAAAAGCCGCTTTGCGCTGGAGACGATAGTCACGTCGCTTGCGTTTCTGAAAATATGCTCAGTTCAAGTTTCTTGTCGAGCTATATGGGCAACTTACGTCCTCTGAAGCCTCGAATCGAGGAATAGCATTCTGAATCCTCTCGCTGAGCTTCTTCGAATTTGTGCCTTTTTCTTCTTGAAGCTTATCGGCAATTTCTTGTATCTCTGGAATACTGCCGGCAACACTCCACCAAGTATTGTGTTTGAGAGCAGGGTTGCTCTCCCGATATAAACGAAAGTGTGTATCGTCTTGCCCTTCGATGAGCCAGTATCGACGTTTCAAGCTATCGCGACCCCATGGTTGAACAGAAAGGGGTTGGTTCAGGTCGTCATCGTGGCGCGCCTGCTTGTATGATTCCTTAATTTTGGCCTGGATCGCATCCGATGATGCCAAGGACCAGAGTATCAGAGATCGAAGCAGCTCCAGCTATGAGAAGATAATAATCAGAATTGGATATTGCATTTCCACGTTCATAAGAGCGTACTCGTTCTTCAGGCGCCATCGTCGTAAAGCTGCGGCCTCCGTGAAGGGGGTTCTTGCCCTGCCATGCCTTGGGCCACTGCGACTGATGTGTTGAAATAGCTTCTTCGAGTGGTCGTGTATAGTGATTTCGCCTGTAAGGTACCAATGCCAAGGTCAGCCAGCTCTTCCGTGGTTAATTGACGGGGGGAAGCAATGCGCGCGTTTCAGAGACTCTGCGCGGGGATCGAGGTAACGGGTGGCGACCATACTCAACATCCTTCTTGCGATTTAGAACGAGACCCAGCAATGCGCATAGTAGGCGCTCAATGCATTCACCCGGTGGGGACTCCTCAACTCCTCTCTCGATGTCCTGGGGTCCGAAATGTGGAACTCCCCGAGGGAAGGATTCGTGGAAACGCGCGCGGAACATGACGATGAACTAAGTATTGCGATAGCTCAGCAAATGTGTTCTAAATTGGTCTGAACGCGTTATGGATGTGTCCAGGCGTCCAGCGGTAAGCATCTTTAACATGTCAGTAGTTGAACTCACTGCGATGATCGGATTGTCTGCCAGGACGTATTCATGGGGTGGTGATGGCTCCCGCTTCGGCGGCGGCGTCTCCGATTCCTTCTTGAAATACTTAGTTATACCAACAGGTTCATCGATCGCCATAGCTGCTTCGTCGTCTGTCGGTGGTGCCGATGATAGCGACGAGAGGTCTGAATCCGAAAGTGCCATGGTGGATGTTGTGGGTAGGTGGTGCGAAGGACAAGGTTGGCGTCCGCGCAGAAAGCGTCACGTCGGCAATACCTGTACCTGCACCCGATTATTTAATGATATTCTTTACGCAACAGAGCCATGTGCAATGCGCTTTGGTCGAGATCACGCCGCATCTGTCTACAATTGTCATTCATGTACAGACGCAATGAATGTACGACGCGCTCTATCGGGAGGTCTATAAAGTACCCTTGTCATAGGCACGGGTGTACTATGCAGACCATTACAAAACTGCGCTTGGGTATCGCTTGGGATCATGTTTCGCAATTGCCGAACCTATGAGAACGGGCTAGACTATTTCAGCAGACTGCTTTTAGACTGTGTTGAGATGACCAGGATTACACCAGTTTGAAGTCTCGATATATCAAGAAGGCTTACGGGGTGACAGATTGGTAGAGCTAGCAGTTGAACGAAGGCTGTTATTAGAATCAATGACAATGAAGGTGCTCGTGCCCAGGTAAATTATAATATAATTCTTCTTTTATTTGATGCTCGATCTCCCGGTCTGGAGATGTTGAATGTGTTGATCGATTTCGACTGCGTCGGTTTGATTAAGTAGGGGGCTAGTGGTCATAGAGTCACGAAAAGGAGACGGGGCTCTTAATAGAGAAGCTGATAAAGGCCCGCCGATATCTCAGATGGATTCGTTTGTCTCCGCAGACACATCAGGGCTATCTTCTATGTCACGTGATGGGGTTAATACGTGACAGACAGGCGAGGCAATGACACACTGACAACTTCTGAGAAAATAATGGGACACGCTGGACAATGTAGAGATTATGAATTTCACTATTAATTAATGACGCAGGACAAGAAAATCCAATATAATTGCTATCCCATGCAATCTGTGGTTCTTGCAACATTTCTCTCGCGAAAGAGATTACATAATGCAGCTTGCGCTAGTGCTGATTGGGTTAGGTTAGCGACCGCACCCTAAAGCCCACACAGTCCCGTCCTCCGTCGATTTCTCATCCTCCCAACGACAAGCCCATCGTCAATTCGAGGTACGACTTTCCACACCCACGACTCTCAAGTCGATTCTCGTCTGTCAACGCAAATACTAACACTCTATTCCAGACAGTCGCCATGGGTCGTGTTATCCGCAACCAGAGGAAGGGCCGTGGCTCCATTTTCAGTGAGTGCGATCGAAAAAAAAATACCGTCCTTTCACCAATTTTTGTCGACGCTGCGCTCCGAGTAGCGATAAAATTGCCATAGCCAGGACATACTCAAAAGGAGAATGCGAGTGCTGATTTCGATTTTTTCTGTTCACAGCGGCCAACACCCGTCTCAACAAGGCTCCTGCGCAGTTCCGTACCCTCGACTACGCCGAGCGTCACGGATACACCCGTGGTGTCGTCAAGGAGATCATCCACGATGCCGGCCGTGGTGCTCCCCTCGCCAAGGTCCAGTTCCGTCACCCCTACAAGTTCAAGATGGTCACCGAGACCTTCATCGCCAACGAGGGCATGTACACCGGCCAGTTCATCTACGCCGGTAAGAACGCCGCTCTGACCGTCGGCAACGTTCTTCCCCTCGCCTCCATGCCCGAGGGTACTGTCATCACCAACGTCGAGGAGAAGTCCGGTGACCGCGGTGCGCTCGGCCGTACCTCCGGTAACTACGTTACCGTCATTGGCCACAACCCCGAGGAGGGCAAGACCCGCATCAAGCTCCCCTCCGGTGCCAAGAAGGTCGTCAAGAACACTGCCCGTGGTATGGTTGGTATCGTCGCCGGTGGTGGCCGTACCGACAAGCCCCTCCTGAAGGCTTCCCGTGCCAAGCACAAGTTCGCTGTCAAGCGCAACTCCTGGCCCAAGACTCGTGGTGTTGCCATGAACCCCGTCGATCACGTACGTTCCCCTTCATTTTCAATGCCTTCTGGCCGTATATCTGACTCTATCTTTTATAGCCTCACGGTGGTGGTAACCACCAGCATATCGGTAAGGCCTCGACCATCTCCCGCTACGCCTCCCAGGGTCAGAAGGCCGGTCTTATTGCCGCCCGCAGAACCGGTCTGCTCCGCGGTACCCAGAAGACCAAGGACTAAGCGTCCAATTACGTGGAGTTTTTCTTGTGACGGGTTGAAAATGGATTTCTGCTATGAGACAAATGTACTTAGGCGACTGCGGATAAGCGTCCCATGCGCCCTAGCGAATCAAGGTTGTGGACACCACCTCTTCTATGTCGAAAATAAGGGTGATAGAATGGGGTCGGGGATGACCTCATTGTCAAGGCAGAACGGAAGATCAAAAAAGGCTCTTGGGGCTGAAATGATACACCTTCAAACTTCATTCTGGTCACCCTGTAGACTGCCCGTAATCTTTGAGACGTGCCTATGGGCTGATGCTCTTCCTTGGATGTCAACATCAACTCAAATTTAGATCATTGTCCCGAGTGCGGAAATCTTTCCAGTCGAAGTATTGCAATATTTTCCAAAGCGGAAAGATGTAAAAGAGGCTACTGGCTATTTGTCTAGGTCCTACGCATCTTGTCCCTTTATCCGGCTTAGCCCATCTGGTGAGTCTCGCTGGGGTACTCCACGACTCCACACGTGGATGAGGACTAGGCAGTGAGAATCGGCACGCCACAAAAACCATATATTTCGCTGCAAATCCTTATTTCCAGTATGTTGAACTGATCGCCGGTCATTACAGCTGTATATGCACCTGACAGTGTTCAGTATCTCGTATGGCATGTGGCTGTGTCGGTCACGAAGTGGTAATCAAGTTCCTCAGAGCAATATATATCACAGCTTCATTGGAAGTTGACATTCCTTTAATTCGATATTACTTCCAATAGTATATTGAAAACAACCAAAATACAGACTAGATACGGCAAAGTACACCAATACCAATAAATTTCCACTAGAATCATTGCTAGATCGATAAAAAGTTCATGTCAAGATGAGGTGACCTCGTTGATCTCAAAGTGACCAATCAGAGACGCCCCAGCAGAGTAGAACCAAATCACCCCAGCATTCTATATTCTCCTATTTTCCACGCCTCTTGACAATGTAATCCAAACCCCGAAATGAAAGGACACATCGTTCGTACCCATCAACATGTCGACCATGAAGAACACCCCACAGAGGATCTCGCGCCTCAGCCGATCCGGCACAGCCCTCACCTCCGCCGAACGGTGGCAAGCCGTGACCAAACGCGACACAACGATCCAAAACTTCGTCTACGGCGTTTTTACCACAAAAATATACTGCCGTCCCTCGTGTCCCGCGCGGCTAGCCCGGCGCGCAAACGTTGAGTTTTACGACACCCCCTCCCAAGCTGAAGCCGCCGGACTCCGACCCTGCAAGCGCTGCAAGCCACAATGTGACCTCGTGGCGGCTGCTAGTTCGCAGGCGACAATGGTCAATAAGGCATGCGGGATGATTCAGGAGGCACTCAGCATAGGGATGAAACCTAGACTACAAGATCTGGCGGCTCGGGTGGGACTCACTGCGAGTCACTTCCATCGCGTGTTTAAGAAGAGGATGGGTGTGACGCCGGGGCAGTATGTGAGCAGTATTCTGGAGGGGTCTAGGGGTGGTTCGTCAGGATCGGGGCTGAGGACCCCTGATAGCGTGTCTCTTGTTGAAACGCCGCGCTTGGATGAAAACGGAACGGGACTCTTGGACGCGGGGGAGGGCCTCGCGTTGTCTGGAGCATATGAGCCGCCTGTCATATTGGATGCGTGGAATGCGTGGAATGAGTTTGATGTGCTGCTGGCTGCTGAGCAAGGGTCTGGATCTGCGGAGGTTGATGGCTCTATAGATCCCCGCATCATCTCTGCGACGTAACCGTGAGATAGCCTCTTGGGTAATAGTGTTGACCATGATTTTATTCGCGTGAGAGATGGAATTGAGCTCACATCAATATAGTTATAGAGAAGCCCTCAAAATCCAAATGATGAAAAGATCAATCTCATAGGCTCTGAACAATGTCCAGCACAATACAGACCCATGAATCAAGCTCCCCGCAGGAGGCGCCAAGGCGTCAAAGCAAAGAGAGCAAAGTCAATGCCATGTACCTCGCCACCACAGAGGGAAACATGAAACATCACCGCGAACCCTTTTCGTTGAGAAGTCTAGTGTCTAGTGTCTAGTGTCTAGTGCCCCGTGCCCCTAGTGGTGTACTTAGACCTGGCTGGGAGAAGGAGGGGAAATGCGTGTGCAGCTTACCAGCCATCAGGTTCGGGCTAGTCCTCATATCGATTGGCGCCGGGACCAATGGGTCATTTATTAAATACAGTGTTCAAATCTGAATCCACCTGAACCAAGTTGGACCCTGTTCCTTGCGGTGGCAAGTTAGAAACATGGACATGGACAAGTTAATTATAGTAAACGCTGATCCGGCGGTTCCCACTCTTCCAATTGGAATGAATCTTCTCCACTGTCGGCCCACCAACGCGTGTCACCTTTAGCCGTCGAGTCTAGCCTCGAGCTAATGAAACATGATTGTCGGGGATAGGAAAGACATTGTGGTCCGGTGAGAACCTGTCGTTGACGGTGAATGGCCCTGGATTGAAACCAAGTTTGACTCTTCAAGAGGAAGAACATTCTCCACCGATCGACAATGCGCTGCATGCAGTGAAACGAATTGGGGGAATTCCAGAAACCTTTGGTGGCGCAGACGAGAAATAACAATTCGATGAGGATTGCGTGCCCAGGGATATTGCAATCTTGTTTGTCGCTTTCTCCTCCCTTGCGATCCTTTCCCTTGCCCGCCTTCTCAAACGTAACCATCTCTTCTCCACACCACCTTTGCCCCCCTCTCCGGGATCGTCCTCTCTTTGCTGTCTCCTGTTTCCTTCTTTTTTTTTTTCTTAAACTATTGATCTGTACTTCTACCAGATCGCCTCACGATCGTTCCATCTTTCCTTCGCTTTTCGTTTCACCCAGTGCTCGCGTGCGCTATTCATTCTCGGTTGTTTACCTCAAATCCACCACTTATCTCAAACCCAGCCAACCGTCACCATGCACATGAACAAGAGAATCGGCCGCTTGAAACAATGGGCCGGAGAACGGATGGGAGGAGAGATCAAGACCTGCCAGTCTGATGACTTCAAGGCCATGGAAACCGAGATGGGAGTGCGGCACGAGGGTAGGTCTTCTCCCGCTCCGTGGATCGGCAATGCTAACGACGGGCTCAGGTATTGACCGCATTCACAAGTCAATGACTGCCTATGTGAAAGCTATTTCGAAGCGCAACGAGGGCGATGACAAGGAGAAAACACTCCCCGTGGCGCATTTGGGAAGTAGCATGGTTACTCACGGAGAGGACTTTGACCAAAACTCCGAATATGGACAGTGCCTCACCAGTGAGTTTGAATTCAAATGTTGGAGTGGAAATCAGTCTCTAATGATGTCTAGAGTATGGACGGACGGAAGAGCGCATTGCGCGCATTGAGGAGCGTTACATTGCGCAGGCGACTTCGACCTGGCTTGAATCCCTGGAGCGATCGTTGACCCAGATGAAGGATTATCAGGTAAGTCACCTCTACCCATTCATCCGACCCACCCTAACACCTCGTCAGTCTGCTCGCAAGAAGCTCGATACTCGGCGTTTGGCATACGACACCTCTCTTGCCAAGATGGAAAAGGCAAAGCGTGAGGACTTCCGTGTCGAAGAAGAATTGCGCAGCCAGAAGGCCAAATACGAAGAGGCCAATGACGATGTGCTTCGCCGCATGCAGGACATCAAGGAAGCGGAAGTGGACAACGTAATGGACATGGGTGCCTTTTTGGACGCCCAGCTGGAATATCACGAACGCTGCCGCGAGGCGCTCTTGCAACTGAAGAGCGAATGGCCAGGCAGGACCGGCCCAGCCCCATCGCCAAATCGCCGCCCAACCATCCGTGCGCGATCGAACACGGCTAATTCTTACTCGGAGCGATATGACCCTGTGCAGGAGGAGCTGGCTAGTGTCACAGAGGGCCGCCCTACCATTCGTTCTAACAGGACTATCATGACCGAGTCCCCTGCACGAGAACTTTACCCGCCCACTAACTCATACCCGCGAGGCACTCTCACCCGCACACCCACTTTCGAGGGACCATCACAGCTGCGACAAGAACAGTCACCAGTCGCGCCCCAATGGATCCAGCGAACCGCGAGCGATAACCTGACCAATGGCCGAATCAGCACACTGTTCCCTAGTGGCCGACTCCCCGTTGACCCTTACGCTGATCCCGAAGAGGTCAGCTCGTATGGACGTTCTAGCCCCGAACAGAGCTACGGCAATCGATCCGACTCTCCCGCCACATCTCATGGCAGCGTGGCATCTCGGAGACCAAGCGCAACCACCCTGAGCACTGCGGGAGCGGCGAAGAAAACACCTCCACCCCCTCCTCCCTGCCGTTCTAAAAAACCACCTCCTCCGCCACCCCCGATGAAGCGTAGTCTAGTGACATCGATTGATGCGTAACGTATCGAAGCCTGTGGCAATGGTCCTTTTTTGGGGGGGTTTTGATCTGAGCACGGGGGTTTGGGGGGATATTAAACGCCATGTTCAATCACGGCACCTGATCGTTCTTCATTATGCTTGTTCCCACGCCATTGATCCCTCGGGATGTTGATTGGCATTATTTCTTCCTTCTTTCATTCATTTCAGCTTACACAGAATCTCCGCGGATGGTACGGAGGACTGCTTTTCATACAGAAACACACTGAAGGGATTACGAGCAGTCAATCTGTAGGTAGAGCACAATTTGCTTTGCGGAAGCAGTGTTGATAAACGAGTGCGTTGAATGTATAGGGATTGTAGATTGGAGTACAGAGGCATTGTTTGATTGCTGTTACCGGTATCAGATATGCGCACAGATCCCGCAGCCCCGGACACTGTCTGAGTCAGCAGCACGTGATCTGCGCACGAAATCTCCTCTTCGTCCTGTTGTTAGTCGCCCTTTGAGAAGCACCAGGTTTCCCCGAGTCGCGCGCAGTTCGGTCCCCTCCATCTCCATTTTCATCCATCCACCCTTCCCACGCGCCCACCCGACGCGACCATCGCCTTTCTAGGCTCCCTCACCTATTGTTGCGCCTCTCCTCCCCCCTTTATTCCCTTTCTTTCAATCCCTTTTTGGCACCAAGTACCCGCTCTCACCCCCATCCATCGATCGCATCACCCGAAGCTCCGACCACCCAACCACTGAGCTTCCCATCGCCAAGGCCTTCCCCCAGGTCTTTTTCCATTCATACCTCCCCGCCCTGATCGCCTCGTCGCGCTCTTACCATCCCAATCGCGACCAACCCCCTCTTCCCTCCCGGGCGCGACCTGGCTTTGTAGCAAAGTGGAGCCTTGGACCTTCAGTTCAGATCCGCCTCGGTGCCAGTCGCATTGTGCTCCCACCGCGTGCCTTATTCACATATGAATTAAGCAAACACGCGTCGCATCATGACCTCGTTGCAGCCCACGCCCAACATGGCGCGACCGAACCAGGTTCCGATGAACATGAGTAAGGTCAAGGAAAAGTTGCAAGTAAGTAACGCGCACCACTCTCTGCTACACCCATTATGTTCAATCACCTTGCCTCGCCTTGGTGTTTTCATCGAGTACGATGTCTGATACCTTCGACAGCGATATCAGCAGCTGAAGGCTGCCAATGTCGCCCACGACGACCCTGAGTTCGTGGACCTCCAGAATTTCGTCAGGAAGTTCCAAGAGTTCCAGGAATTCTCGAAGAACAAGGCTGCCATGTCTCAGCAGCAGATGAATGGCGCTGGTGCAAATGGCATGCCCAATGGCGCGCATGGTAAGCCTCAACCCGCCTCACACTCCCCTGCCACAGTTTTGCCTGTGAAAAGCGACTGACCAGACTTCTATAGGCCGCACTCCCTCTACCTCTTCCGCCGCTGGTCTCACTCAGCGAGCACCCACCGCCCCTGGTCAGCCCCAAACACCAGTTGCTGGTGCTAAGGCACCCACTGTTGGAAGTGGTCGCTTCACCCAGGAACAGATCAGCATATTCAGAGACCAAGTCACGGCATTCCGGACACTGGCTCGAAACCAGCCCTTGCCGGCCGAGCTCATTGAGAAAATCTTCGCCGACAAGAAACCGAAGGCTCTCACACCCGCACAGAATGTTTCTTTAGCAGAGAAGGTTGTTGAAAATGCCAATAAGAAGACAGCTGGTCAGGCTGAGGATACTACTGAAAGTGTCATCCCGGGCAAGGATTGGTATGATGTTGCTAAGCTTCCCGATGTGCTGCACAAGCCCATCACCTACGGAAGTCAGCCTTACCGTATTTCAAAACGGTTCCCGGCCTTCGCTCCTGCCATCGGCATCGACATGCAACAAATCCGCGCCGACGGCGAACGCATCTTGTACAACCGAATCACTTCTCGGATAAATGAGCTTGAGCAGCTCTCGGCCAACGTCGGTGCTTGGGATACCAGCAAGAGCGATATGCCCTCCGGCGATGACTCGACGAAGCTGTCTATTCTTCTGGAACTCCGAAAGCTGCGTCTGTGGCAGAAGCAGCAGCGCCTTCGCCAGCAACTCCGTAACGAGGAGCTCACCTACAGTGATCTTCAGGCCCGACCTAACCACGCACACCACCGCCGCATGAAGAGACCTTCTTTGCGTGAGGCACGAATCACAGAGAAGCTTGAGAAGCAGCAGCGTGATGCTCGAGAGACACGAGAGAAGAAGAAGCAGTGGGATCAGTTGCAGGCGATCATCAACCATGGCGCCGAACTTGCCAACGCCACGATTCAAAGCCGCACTCGCTCTCAGAAGTTGGGTCGCATGATGCTTCAGCACCACCAGCATATGGAGCGCGAAGAACAGCGACGAGTGGAGCGTACTGCCAAGCAGCGTCTGCAGGCTCTGAAGGCCAACGACGAGGAGACTTACATGAAGCTCCTGGGCCAGGCCAAGGATTCTCGTATCTCGCACTTGCTGAAACAGACCGATAAGTTCTTGAAAGAGCTGGCTGCATCTGTCAAGAGGCAACAACGTAACCAGGCAGAGCGATACGGTGACGATGAGGATCTCGAAGATGACGATGAAGAACTCGCTGATAGCGAGGAGGATGAGGAAGAGCAGCAATCTTCCGGCAAGAAGAAGGTCGACTATTATGCCGTTGCACATCGTGTGAAGGAAGAGGTCACCGAGCAGCCTAGCATCCTCGTTGGTGGTACGCTGAAGGAATACCAGTTGAAGGGTTTGCAGTGGATGATTTCACTGTACAACAACAACCTCAACGGTATTTTGGCAGATGAGATGGGTCTTGGAAAGACCATCCAAACCATCAGTTTGATCACGTACATTATAGAGAAGAAGCGGAACAACGGGCCGTTCTTGGTCATCGTGCCTTTGAGTACATTGACCAACTGGAACATTGAGTTCGACAAGTGGGCGCCTTCGGTCAGCAAGGTCGTCTACAAGGGTCCTCCCAATGCACGCAAGCAACAACAACAGCAGATTCGCTGGGGCAACTTCCAGGTCCTTCTCACGACCTACGAGTATATTATTAAGGATCGACCTATACTCAGCAAGGTGAAGTGGACGCATATGATTATCGATGAAGGTCACCGTATGAAGAACAGCAACTCCAAGCTGAGCAGTACTCTCTCACAGTACTACGTCAGTCGTTACCGCTTGATTCTTACTGGTACTCCTTTGCAAAACAACCTGCCCGAGTTGTGGGCGCTTCTTAACTTCGTTCTGCCGAACATCTTCAAGTCCGTGAAGTCTTTCGATGAGTGGTTCAATACGCCTTTCGCCAACACTGGCGGCCAAGACCGTATGGACCTCAGTGAAGAAGAACAGTTGCTTGTTATTCGTCGTCTTCACAAGGTTTTGCGCCCCTTCCTGCTTCGTCGTCTCAAGAAGGACGTCGAGAAGGATTTGCCTGACAAGCAGGAGCGAGTCATCAAGTGTCGCTTCTCTGCCTGCAGACCAAGCTCTACAAACAGCTTGTCACTCACAACAAGATGGCCGTCAGTGACGGCAAGGGTGGCAAGACCGGTATGCGCGGTCTCAGCAACATGCTGATGCAGCTGCGGAAGCTTTGTAACCACCCCTTCGTGTTCGAGCCCGTGGAAGATCAAATGAACCCCACTCGCATGAGCAATGATCTTTTGTGGCGAACTGCTGGAAAGTTCGAGTTGCTTGATCGTATTCTGCCCAAGTTCCGTGCCACCGGTCACAGAGTCTTGATGTTCTTCCAGATGACGCAGATCATGAATATCATGGAAGATTTCCTTCGCCTGCGTGGCCTCAAGTATCTCCGTTTGGATGGTTCCACCAAGTCTGATGATCGATCTGACCTTCTGAAGCTCTTCAACGAGCCCGGCTCTGAGTACTTCTGTTTCTTGCTTTCCACCCGTGCTGGTGGTCTGGGTCTCAACCTTCAAACTGCAGATACCGTCATTATTTACGATTCCGATTGGAACCCTCACCAGGATTTGCAAGCTCAAGATCGTGCCCATCGTATCGGTCAGAAAAATGAGGTTCGCATTTTGCGTTTGATTAGTTCCAACTCCGTTGAGGAGAAGATCCTGGAACGTGCACAGTTCAAGCTTGACATGGACGGCAAGGTCATTCAGGCCGGAAAGTTCGATAACAAGTCCACCAATGAGGAGCGAGACGCGCTGTTACGTACCCTTTTGGATACCGCTGAAGCCGCAGAGCAAATTGGCGACCAGGATGAAATGGACGATGATGACCTGAACGAAATAATGGCCCGATCCGAGGAAGAGATCGGTATCTTCCAGGAGATCGACAAGCAGCGCCAGCTGACCTCCGAATATGGCCCTGGGAAACGCTTCCCTCGACTGATGTGCGAGGAGGAGCTGCCGGATATCTACATGCAGGAGGACAATCCTGTCACCGAGGAAGTTGAGGCCGAAGTCATGGGCCGTGGGGCTCGTGAGCGCAAGGTTGCCCGGTACGACGATGGCCTATCCGAGAGACAATTCCTGGAAGCTCTGGATGATAGCGATGATGACGCTCCTACCCTGGACGAGGTCATCGAGCGCAATGCACGTCGCGCTGCCGACAAGATGAACCGAAAGGAGGCCCGGAAGAGTGGCAAGCATGACATCGAGGCTTCTCCTGAACTGTCTTTGGATGAGGAGGAAACTCCCCAGCGCAAGAAGCGTCGTCGCGTCCCGGCTCCTACTAAGCGCAAGGCCGAGGAAGTCGCCGAGGAGACTCCTCAGCCCAAGCGCAAGCGCGGTCGCCAGCCCAAGATTCCAGACACTCTCAGCAGTGCTGATCGTGCCACCCTGAACCGAATTGTCACCTCCGTTGTTCAATCGCTGAAGGAGATGGAGCAGGAGATTCAGGGTGAATCTTCCGACAGCGAGGAAGGCCCGCTCGTGCGTGCAATTATTGATCCGTTCATGAAGCCCCCGCCGCGTGCTCATTATCCCGACTACTATATGATCATCAAGAACCCTATCGCAATTGACACCATTGAGAAAAAGATCAAGCGTGATGACTATCAGAGTCTGAAAGAATTCCGGGACGACATCCACCTGCTCTGCCAAAATGCCCGGACGTATAACGAGGACGGCAGTCTCTTGTACCAGGACGCCAATGATATTGAGGTCAGTTTTGTCTTCTCGCGTACCTTGGTAACATTGAAGGACTACGAACTAACTCATCACACAGGCCAAGTGTGTCTCCGAGTTGAAGAGGCTAACCGCGGAGCATCCCCAGTTTGCCAACTTTGATGAGCCTGGTTCCGTGATGGGCGACGGCCAATCGACAGGCGCAAATACGCCAATGACTGCAGGAACTCCCGGACCGAAGCTCAAACTCAAGTTCAACAACAACAACTTTGACAGTGCCTCTATGAATGGAACCGATTTCGGTGATGAGGAATGAGGCAATCCTTCATCCGACCTCAATGCTTTTGGTCCCTGATGTCCGCTTGAGTCGATGTGTACCCGAAAATGCGTGCTTTCTTCTATATTGGGAAAGAGGCGTTCCCCGTGATTAGCCGGTCTGGACGACCCTGGAATGGAAAGGACATGTGAGGCAGGGCGCTGTATTCTTTATTTTCTTGTTCTTTTGATGAGCGATCTATTTCTCAGGAGTCTCTACAGATGGCCCTGATATGTGTTTAGTACGTACTTTACAGTTCAGAACTGGCTTCAAATACACTGAGTCGATATTTGACAAGCTTCCCTGGGATAACATACATGAAACTCACCTGCGAGCTTCGAGCATGTGCATGCGATCAACGAACAATGCATGCCGACTACAGCCAGTTGCGGCTGCTCACCGACTGTTTCTCGGAGTAGTGTTGTGGAGGGGCAGCTCTGAATACGAGCTGCCTCTCTTGAACCATCTCTCCCTTACAATCAACCCTCTTTCCCCTCACGATTCACCATGTCTGAGAACAAGAACCTCGTGGGCAAAGTTGCAGTCAGTAAGTTTCCTACCACGTCCAACTCTCCATTCTCTAGCATCCTCCCGCATCTTCTAGCATCTCCCTAACAGACCAAAAGTCACCGGCTCCAGCCGTGGCATCGGCGCAGCAATTGCCCTCAAGTTCGCCTCCCAGGGCGCCAACATCGCCATAAATTACTTGAGCACCGCCTCCGCCGCCGAGGCCGTGGCCAGCCAAATCCGCGCCCTAGGCGTAAAGGCAATTACCATCCAAGCCAACGTGTCGCAAGAGCACGAAGTCAAGACCATGTTTGAGACCGTCATGCGCGAATTCGGAAGACTTGATATTGTCGTAAGCAACTCGGGCATCGAGCACTTTGGAAGTTTGGAGCAGGACACAGGCGATGATATCGATCGTATCTTTGCAGTCAATGTCAAAGGGCAGTACTTTGTTGCGCAGCAGGCGTTTAAACATATGAATGACTTTGGAAGAGTGATGTTGACTTCGTCGATTTCGGCCGTGAGGGTTTGTCTTCCCCCCTTTTTTCCCATAGTGGTTGCTGTGTAGAGAGGGGCTCTGGTTCCCAAATGCTGATGATCTACTAGGGTGTACCGAGACACTCGATCTACGCTGCGTCCAAATCTGCGATTATCGGTATGACCAAGTGTCTTGCCATGGACTTTGGCGCGAGGCAAATCACTGTCAATTGTATTGCTGCCGGGGGTGTCAAGACGGATATGTATACTGAGATGGCGGCCAAGTATATTCCAGGCGGCGAGACTTTGACCCCAGAGCAGATTGACGAGTGTCTGTCCAAGTGGTCACCTTTAGGTAGACTTGGTCTACCGGAGGATGTTGCCGGTGTTGCGAGCTTGATTGCTAGTCGTGAGTCGCAGTGGTTGACGGGGCAGACGTTTCATGTCTCTGGTGGTGCGCATATGGCTTCTTAAGGGCTGAGGTCATGGTGCCAGGGAGATATCCGAATGCTTGGATAGTCCGTAAATCCCGAGGCATTCGCATCATACATCCCAATCTAGTGTTTGATAATTTACGAAACTGGAATGTGTCAATCGAAATACTGAACCTCTGGTAGATTCTTGAGCAGATGACTAGTCTTTAGTTTTGGGATAAAGCTGTTTCTGCCCCGGGCGTCCCCCATATTTCCATATAATCAAGCAAATAGTGCTCCATCTTGATGAGTTGATATTTTAATCAAGGATGATATGGTCTTCTACCAAGATGTCTTATCGCAAAACAAAAAGAAAACCATGAATAGTGTATTGGTGTGGCAATGAAAGACTTGCATGTACGTTATGGGTATGAAGAGGCCAGAATGAAGGTTATTAAAACAGAAAAAAAGAGATTCCAAATAATCAAGACATCCCATAAACTGCCTTAGTTGGCAAAAAATGATGTGATCGCAGCGCTGATGTATTAGAAGCACGCCCATCAAGAAGATACTTGGCATTTGTACTGGGTTCTGTATCCTCACAAGGAACGGTGCCATTTGAGCTGTGCGTCTCCAGTGCGTCGAAGACATGACCGAAAACCTGGCGGTGGACATCTGATGCCCACAGGAAGTCAAGATGCTCATAGGTGGCAATTGGTTTGGCGATGGTTCCACGTGGTAGACCTTGCAACATGACGTTGATGTCGACGAGACTGTCACTGTCACCATATAGAAGCACGACTGGGGTCTTAATGTTGCGGGTTGGGTATTTGACAGGCTTGTAAAACCGTTCACTTGCAACAACGCTGAATGGGGCGTGGAGCTCGTCGTCGAAGAATTGGAAATTCTTGTTACGGATAATCTGGAACCAGTGGACCACTGATTTGGTGCTTGTGAACGAATACAGATGCATATAGGCAGCAAGCTTTTGTGTCTGGGTGATGTTGCGGCATTTCCAATTGAAAAGCATTGAAAGCATCGTGTCAATAATGCGGACGTAGATCGGTGGGTAAAGAATTGTTTGCCACATTGTGGTTGATGAGAGGATGCTGCGTCGGCCGAACAGTAGGAAGAGGAAGTCTGGGGATGCCTTCATGAGCGAATCGACAATGCGGTTGCGGAGACCTGAAGGGGCCATTGCAGGCGCGAGTGCCACGAAGACATCAACCTTCTGATTCAAAAGAGGGTGGATTGCGAGAGTGGCAAATGCTTGTGCGGTACCCTGTGAGAATCCGATGTATGAGAGCGAGGGCTGGCCCGTCACCTCGAGGATATACTCGATGCTGTTAGGAATATCGTGGAAGGCGAATTGGTCGATCGAGAAGTCCCAAAACTCATTCGAGCCCGGAGAGTAATATACCGACTTCTTCGCGTACTTGTTACCGCGATTATTGCCAAGCCATACATCGTAGCCCTTCTCCACTAGTTGGAATGGGAGGCATCGTTGCTCGTCTGTCAAGGAGACCCACACCTCACTGGACATGAGGAGACCATGGTGGAGGTAAACAACTTTCTTACTGGTACTGCCCGCGCCTTGGTTGACGCGCGTCTTCTCTTCGCCCTTCCGATATGCTAATCGGTGGAGGCCAAGCAGGTATCCATCGGCAGTCTGAACAATATGCTCCTCTGCTTCGTAGCCAAAGAGAGCACAGATGTCCACAAAATCAGAAGCCTCGGCCACGGCTCCAGCCAGAACCTCTTCTTTTGTGCGCTTGTCTTGCTTGACCTGCGCCTCGAGAGGTAAGATTTTATTAAAGAGAGACTTGGATTGTTCGTAACAGAATCGAATGATTGGCGTGGCTGGAGGAGTGTCAGTAGTCGGTTCCCACGTTTGCAAAAGAAGCAAAAGATTACTCACGTAGACAGAAAGTGATCAGATGAATGACAGTCTCCAGTAAGACCATCACCAAGGACGCTAAGAGTGCGAGGTACTCGAACCTGGAAGTTACACGTTAGTCGCCACGACCCGCGGATACCAGCTACTCTACCAAGAACATACCAAAAAAGCCTCCCGATAAAGGGGACGCGCGCCATGCTGAACAATCTCGGTTCCAATACACGCGACTGAACCGACTTCGTCTCTATACAGGAAAAAGAAGAATGGAGGAAGATCGAGCGGTTGCAAACGAACTGCGACGTCATGTGCATGTGAAATTGCTGACTCATCCGGGGTCCAATCAGCGAATGTTGAGATTGAGATCGCCCGAGTTTGCGATTCGATCGGACTTTGACAAGGCGAGTCTTATATCAAGACTCGACACAAGCGAGCCATGCCAAGCTCATGCACTGATATCCGTGAGTCGCACAGCTTCCGGATGCCACCGTTTCTATCCCTGGTCAGACGAGCTAACCGCATGTTCAGGCGAGGCACTGGCCCAGTGCCTGCAGGAGTCGGACTGTATTATGGTCCAGCGTCATACGCCGCGCGAATGTCTCTCTTCGCCGCTAGCGGAAGAGTTACCCACGAAGTGCCAGCAATTGGCGAAGGGATTCAGCGAGTGCAAGTGAGTTGATCACGCTGTGACACCGGATTCCGTGCACCGGCCTCACGAGAGGGAATGATTGCTAACATGTGCATTTCAAATAATTCAGGCGCGGTATGGTCGATATGCGTAAGCGATTCCGCGGTAATCGTCCCATTGCGGTCGCGAAGGAGATGGATGCCGAGAAGTCATATTCAGGCGGGCAGCTTTACGCTGGTAAACCGGCCTACCAATCTGTCAAGGAAATCAGTGGTGACGAGGTGCAAATGGACCCTGAGAAGACTCGTGGTCTGTAACGCCACGGCCAATATACTCATGGAGTTGCGACAGCAGCACTGCCGAGTCGAGGACTCCGCGCAGTTGCTATGTATTATTAAAGCGTGGGGAATATTCCCAGTCATGCTGGCATGGTCTGGAGTTACCTTATTTCATGTTCACATTTGAATGCCAGCGCCATCTCCAATCTCAAATAGACACTGAATGTACAATACACATTGGTACAATGGTTTACTGAACGAGACAAGCAATCCTTAGCATATCAACTTTGCTTGACTTGAAGCTATAGGTGTCACAAAGAAAAATATCCCACATCATGATGATAAAAATTGAAGACAGATCTACTGCGTCTTCTTGGTCTTGTTAGCCACAGGGGCCGAGTATAGCCAGACAACGACAAACGCTAGGAAACCTCCAATCACCGACCACAGACCGGCGATCCAAACCCAGCCAGCGCTGATAGCCCAACTGCGCGCGTACTCGTCGTGCGCAAAGTGGCGCACCGTCACCTCGTGCTTCTCCTCAACGTTGGTGAGGAAGGGACGCTTGTAGTTGACGCGGAATGAAAAGATGCCGTGCTGGTCGGGAGTGACAAACTTGGTGCTGTACACAGTGCTAGTCTCCGTGCGGCTGGTAGGCTCGAGGGCCAGACGGTGGAAGGGCGAGAGCATGGTGAATTCAAGCTGGAGCTCATCCTCAGCGGGAAGCTCGAAGGGAATCCACTTGTCGTAGGAGTATTCAGACATCTCAATGCTGAAGAACTGAAACAATAAAAGTGATTAGTATGAGTATAGCGAAAGCTTTGAAGGCGGGGTGCACATACAGTCTCATTCTTGATACGGTAGATCTTAGGGTTCAGGTCCTCAAGAGCAACTTCGCCGTCAGTGACCAAGTGGTGCTTGATCTCGCCAACCTTCAAAACACCAGTCTCCTTGAAAGTCCAAGCAGTCAATTGCTTAGCAAACTCCCGGTTGACAGTAGTGGTCTTCTGTCCATTGGGAGCCTTGACGGAGGCAGAGAACCACTTGTCCTCCAGAGCCTCAACGGAACCAAGAACGGTAAAGCGTGCGGAGTTGCGAGCTTGCATAGCCGAGACAATGTTCAGCTGCGAGCCAGTCGCCTCGATATCCTCAGCTGCGGGGCTTTCATCCTTAGGGTTGTATGCATACGCAGTGTTCGGAGCGCGGAGGATGGGTGCAACGAGAGCGCTCTCACCTCCCAAGGTTTGAGGAGCAACGCGGGGTAGGGCCAGGACACCCTCGCCATCGAAGAAAGCCTTCACATCGGGACGGAGCGAGCCAGGGCGCTGGAGGAGGAGAACGTCGTGCTTCTCGGCGGCCGAGATGGTGTCGTAGTTAAAGTGGTCAATGACAACGGCGGAACGGTCGCTCGAGAGGTGAATGTCGAGTTCAAGGAGGAGCGAGCTGATAGCGCTGGAAGTGGCCGACTTGCCAGAGAGAGCGAGGACGATGTTGCCGTCCTTGTTCATGAAGTCCAGAATGTGTTTGGGAGTCAGGTTGGGGCCGAGTCCTATGCCAGCAAGTCAATTGAAAGTCCCATGTATAGCAATATAGAATGCCGACCTTTTGACTTCGGGGGAAGAATCAGAAGGTGGTCGTAAGCTCGTTCGCCGTGTTCGAAGAGGGACAGCTTGTCGCTCTTGGGTGATTCGAAAGACACATCGTACCCACGGCCTGTCATTGACGTTAGCACAATTCTTCACAACCAAGTGATATCCAATTACCCTCCAGATCTGACCATAAGGTCGAGAATGAGCTCTTTTCTGTGGATTCGTCCAAAACCACCAGCAGGCGGCTTCCGGAGCTACTCAGAGCGTTAACTGCGGCCAAAAAGCCGCAGAGAAGCAACGCAAGGCACCACCGCATCTTGGAGAAGATCCGCGCAGCGGAGCAAATGCCGAAAAAGGGGAATAAAAGAAGGAAAATAAGGGTGGTGGAGGTGGGAAAGCAGAGACGTGTATAGATAGAAAGGGCGACGTGTTAGATGGGCGATGCCAAGACCGACGCTGGGACCTGCGCATCTCCGAACTTCGACTTCACTTCTTCCCCACGGCCTTCCGAGTTTGTCTGTTTCCCCTCCCCGCCAACACTACCGACCAACCACCTGGGTGGACTCTGACTCTCTCAATTCGTCTAGTTTCGAATTGCGATCTCATACGCCTCGGTTTTTAGACCCGTCTCCCCAAAAACTTCGCTCGAATAGTCGTTCGACCCTGCCTTTCACCATGTCTACCCCTCAATTCTGGTCGACTCCCCTCCGCTACCTGCGCTGGGCATCTCATGAGAAGCCCGCCATCTTCTGGTCCCTGGTCATCGGCTCAGCCGGCCCCGTCGCGCTCGTTGGCCCTCCCCCCGATCCGTCGCGCTCTCGGTGACGTCGACCCCGAGCCTATCCCCATGTCCTACCCCAGTAAGGCGACCACGACTCCTTTGAATCCGACATTGCATTGTCGAACTGCTATTTGAGACCATGAGGCTAACCATGACCCCAACGCGCACAGTTCCGAGCGGCCCGCGGAAGATCCCCCAGGGCTACGAGGACCAATAAAAGGACGCAAATATCACAAACTTTGCATCCGTGGAGGATTAGAGCCGTAATGGGCACATCTATCCAGAATGATACGGAAATTTAGCTCAGAGGGGGGCTGTTAGCGATGCCTCATGCACAGCTGGGATCCTCGGCAATGTCGTCCGCAGACCATTGACTCAAGCGACCCTGTCTGTCATTGTTTTCCCGAAAAGAGGCGCTTTGATACCAATCTTGTTTGTACTGCGATCTCGGGATGGTCGGATGTCGAGATCGTTGTGCCGTTGTATGTACTATGTTTTGAGAAAATCATTTATTTGACTTTGAGTCGATTTCTCAATTTCTATCTGGAGACTCTAAGGCTGCGGGCTATTTGTTCCTGGTAATTATAACTTGTTGGTAGGTAGCGTGATGTCTGAGCTGTGTATCGCTGAGTAGTAGAGAAATGCTGCATCATGAAGTTGCTCCGTACAGCTCGACCATGACCAGCAAAAAACGTTCATGAGCAGCTAGGGCAAGTATGCAGGTGTCTGAGTATGCACTACAGAGTTGTAATAGCATTTGGCATGCTGTTTCACGCTTGCTTTAGGCAAACCCTCACGGAACTTACCATTGAGTTAGAGATGATTGGATTCGCGATTGGAGAGTGATTAGTGCATTTTCTCTATTAAGGCTGATCTGAAGTGGGCGAGCTGCTTGTTTTCGCCCTGGAAAAGCAGCTCGCCCTGGCTCTCCCAGTGGGAAAGTCGCACAGATAACTTTGAAGAGAAAGAACACAGAACATAATCAAACGAATGGAAGAGATGGGTTCGATTATGATTGTAGAACCGTCAAGTCAGCGGCAACCACAGAGCAAAGAAACGCCGTATATGCTCATATCTACATGTAGGTTCATCAGCATCGCTTTATGAAAGCAGTTTCTCCCGAGATTCCACGAGCCGAAGCCCAGAATAAGCAAACATGAAAACCCACAAGTCCCGTGCCCCTAGGACAAGTCCAAAATCGATCAAAGAAAAAATACCAGCCACTGCTAAAGAGAAACACATCCGATACACCGTCAAACAGCCCAGACAAGGAAAACGCGGAACCCCATGATGGATATCCGGAAGTCATTAAAGCAGAAGAACAGAGAGCTCAAAAAATCCAAGAGATGCCACCTTTTCGAAACCTCGCACAATGCTCCTACTCCTAACCGGCCGCTGCACGATAGTGCAGGGTAATTGAAAGAGGATGCCTTTTCTCTTCCAGGGACCATGCTCGATCTTTGAGCCGGGAGTTTCCGCTGGAATCCAGAATTATGGCACAAAATGTGGTGAATGATAGGAATGGAATGTCCAATTGTGGGAACTTTTTCCCGACTGTCGGATCTGCTGATCTAAATTTCCTGTTTCCTGGACTTGGGGGTATTTGTCGGAAGGAGTCATGGATGCATAGTTGACAGGTTGAGGGCAGCGAAGAGTCCAGGAATACGGAATTCGTCGACATCATTATTGTTCCCAGGTTGTTTCATAAGTCCAAAGGAAAACCGGCAAATTCATCCAGTGGGACCACGGAGAAGAAAGAAATCAAGCATGCACAAGTCACAGGCTCGGTGCCAGTCCAGATTTTTTTTGGGGGGTTTTTTGGGGTTTGTTTGTTTTGTTTCTCATTATTTACCGCCGACGGTGAGGATCGCGCTCTCGGGTGGGTTGCGGCCTACTGCGCTCGTATTCCGGAGTATATCTCGGCTCCATTCCTATCCGGGGATCTGGGGCAGTAGTGGTAGGGTATGCCATCCCCGAGGTCACGGGAGAATAGTCCGACTGGTCATCATAGCCTGGTCCCGGGTATCTGGGCGCATTTCGGCCACCGCCCTCGTAACCATAGCCACCAGCGGCGGAGTAGGTGTAGGAAGCAGGATGCATATCAGCAGCCGTCACAACAGGCTGAGAGGATCCAGAGTAGGAGGCCTGGGGTGGAGGGTAAGGAGCCTGGCCTGCTCCGTAGGGCGAGTGAGTGGAAGTGTAGGAAGGAGGGTTGCTGTAGGGAGCATTCTGGGATCCGCTGTATGGACTTTGGGAATATTGATCCATATATGGCTGTTGTGCCGGAGCGGCACTGAATGTGGGAGGGGATGGCCCCGGTTGCTGGCGAACGTCATGAATGGCAGATGTGGCATAGTTCGCTGAGTGATTGTTAGGGGCATGAGATGGGTTAACATCTTGATTGTAACTACCTCTCGGATAGCCTAAGTCAGCCCGTCGCGAGACATCAGCTTCCCAGCGGGCCGAATCGGCCTTGATATCAGCAATCATCTCCTATCCAGAAAAAGGTCCTTGGTCAGATGAATGTTCCGGGGTCTGATGGTCATTGTCGTGAGTCGACTTACAGATGTGAGATTTCGATAAGCCCGGATGAAAAACCCTTGTCGACCCTGTGGATGGTCAGTTAGACTGTTCGATTATATGTCAAAGGGGGAAAAGAGAGACGGACACCATGGTTGCCGGGTCTCACGAGCGCGTCGTTCCCCAGGTAGCGGCAGATATCTGCTTGGATGACTTCGCGGCTGATTCCATCGCCGGGGATAAAGTATTCATTCTGACGGCCTGTCATAATGTGTCCGGAAGTAATGGTCCTGAAATCAAATGGTTCCTCAGGGTCGGGCCCAAACAGAAAAAAATGAAATATCCGGGCTGATAGGAAGATCCTGGGGAAGTAGAGGCAGGTGTGTCCGTTTTATTGGAAGAAAATACAGAGTTTCTATGAGGCGACCGGTAGGTAAGATCCAAGATTGACTCGTCACCACTTCAAATGACGAGTATGTGTAGCTCGGGTCCAAGGGGTATTGAAGAATCGAAATTAACAGTCCACGGGAATACGGCCAGAGATATAAGAGAGGCCTTTGGTCGGGAAGCAAATGGTCCAGTCAAGTCCAGTGGAAGAAAGTCCGGTAGAATCCTAGGGGAGGGAGAGAGGTCCAGGGTAGTTGTCCGGCAATGTATCCTAGGAATCTCGAGCAAGAGATCACAATGTAGCCGAGTGACTAGAGATGGCTGAGATTTGAGAAAGGCGAGAGGATGAAGAGGAGAGGGTTGAGAAGCGATCAGGAGAAAACACGGTCCAAGGTGGGGCTGAGGGTCCTCTGGGTGGCCTTTGTTTCTGTTCTTTCCTTTGCACCGGAGACGAATGTCTAGGTGGATGAGCCGGGGGCGTGAGAGAAAGGGTTGAAAGGTTTGAAGGAGGGAGAGGGAAAGGAATAGGAAGAGGGAGGGGGCGAACTCAGGCGGTTGGGCCGTCGTCTTGGGCTGGTGCCACGACTCCCCACTGTGTGAGCAAGCATGCATGGTCGAATACGGTTAGAACCTACAGAGTACCACTCTGCTTGTACCCGTCTCGGTTGACGCTGACTATCTAGTTCTTCAGCATCACTGTCACTTGATTGTTGCTGGACGAGTTCTATACTACTCCATTCGACCATCGCGTATTCTACTCTACCACTTGGACGCCAGGGGATCGTCCCGTCCAGCATGGACTACAGGCTAGTCTGTGCCCTGTGCAGTCGCTCCTAGTGGATCTCTTGGGTCGAACATCAGCTACGTAGGAAAATTGCATGGCCAAGGTACGATTACCTCTGCCTTGTGTTCCTTGAGGCGACACTGTCGGACAAATCAGGCCTAGAGGAGTCGATCATCAGGGCTACGACGCAAGTCAGGCCCGGTGTGTGGATCAAGGAATCGAAAAACGTTGCCACCAAAGGTCAGATGGGGTCTAAGCTGGTGTACATTGGTGAGGTGCGGGCGTTGGGCACGAATGCGTGGCTTTGGGCAGGAAGTTGTACCGAGGCCGCCACTCAGCGTGTCAGACTCCGATCGGGGACCCCTTTGGTTTGCTGAAGACTTCTTACTTGTTGAATCGGACTTGATTTAGCTCTGAGCTACAGTAGATGATCCCGGGGCACACAACTATCATCCTATCAATCAGAGATCTCCTCGAGGCGGTCGCTCAGAGTGCATTAAAAAGGTGAGGCAAAGTAAACAAACACGTTCGTTTCCTGAGGCTCTCACACGTGCCTTGCACTAACCCATTTCGGGACATACATCCAAGGGTCAGATACCCAGATCCCTTCCAGACTCAACGCGTCAGGTTCTTATTGCCCTCCATGTCGCCATGACGCAGATATGTCCTTTGACCTTCCCACATCTCCTGATGCGGTGAGACGATCTCACTACACCCACCGCCACCTCCAGCTTCTCCGACATGGCTCGACTGCCACCCCACTCCGCGCCATCGCGCATGTTGATCTCGATGCCTTCTATGCGCAATGCGAGATGGTCCGGCTGGGCACGCCGCGTGATAAACCCCTCGCTGTGCGTCAGTGGGACTCACTGATTGCCGTCAACTATGCAGCGCGGCCTTTTGGAGTCACTCGAATGCTCTCAGCCACCGAGGCCCGAGAGAAATGCCCCGATATCGTCCTGCAGCATGTCGCGACATTTAGAGAGGGAGAGGGAGGGAAATGGGCATACCGCGATGATTCGTTCAGGAACATTAGTACCGAAAAGGTGTCGCTAGATCCTTATCGGGCGGAATCGCGGAAGATCCTCAAGACCATGAAAGATGAGTTGGAGCGATGGTGTACGGAAGGACCCGGAACCGGAGCTCTTTGCTCTCACTCAGGGACTTTCGGCATCGCTGGAGAAGGCGAGTATTGACGAAGTATTCATTGATTTGTCTCCAATAATATACTGCGTCTTGCTGCGAAGGTACCCTGAACTACGGCCCAGCCCGCAGGAGGAGAACAAGGATGCCGCTCTTCCTTTCCCTCCAACCACGGCGCTGATGTGGGGCCCCGAAAACTGCTTAATTGAGCTGGGTGAGCATGGGTATGAAGAAGATGACCCGGACTGGGATGATGTTGTCATGCTAGTGGGCGCAGAGATCGTACGCGCAGTAAGAAATGCCGTATGGGAGAAGCTTCACTATACATGCTCTGCAGGGCTTGCTCGTAATAAGATGCTCGCGAAGCTTGGTAGTGCATGCAATAAACCCAACCTGCAGACTGTGGTGCGGAATCGGGCGGTGCAGCATTTCCTCGGAGGATATAAATTCACCCAGATCCGGATGCTAGGTGGAAAACTGGGAGACCAGATTACTGCGCTTTTCGGCACGGAGCAAGTGAGCGATCTTCTCAATGTTCCCCTCGAACAATTACGCTCAAAGCTTGATGATTCTACCGCGTCTTGGCTGTATGGCATCATCCGTGGCGATGATCGTAGCGAGGTCAATCCTCGAACGCAGATCAAGTCCATGTTGTCAGCAAAATCATTCCGCCCAAGCATCAATTCAATGGAACAGGCCGAGAAATGGCTGCATATCTTTGCGGCCGATATCTACGGTCGACTTGTGGAGGACGGCGTACTTGAGAACAGACGTCGGCCACGAGTGATCACACTGCACCATCGAACGGTTCAGTCACGATCGCGTCAGATACCCATTCCTCCCGCTCACGCCATCGACGAGAGCCTTCTCTTTGATCTTGCCAAGAACTTACTGCAGCAGGTCGTTGGAGATGGGCAGGCATGGCCTTGCGCAAATCTTTCCTTAAGCGTGAGTAGCTTCGAAGATGGTGTGGCAAAGAACAAGGTCATTGAGGGTTTCTTGCTTCGAGGCGAGCAGGCCAAGTCATTGAGCCATTCAATAAGACCCCGTGAGGTAGAAGGTATTCCAAGCGAGTATCCATCTGATAAGAGGAGGAAGACTGATGACAGTGGGATTAAGCGGTTTTTCTTCCAGTCACTGAACGCCAAAGATCCCGCCTCCAACGTTAAAGAATCTACCCCCAAGACAGAAGACCCAAAGCCAAACATTGAATTTTCCGCTGCATCTGACAATGAAGAGCTTCAACCAGCCACAGAGCAAAGCCCAGGGCTGGCCACTTCGGTGATCTTGGAAGGGCAAATAGATAACACCGAATGGGTGCAAATCACATGCCCTCGGTGCTCTAAATCTATGCCTGAGTATGAAAGGGAAGAGCATGATGACTGGCATTTTGCGAAAGACCTAGAAATACAAGACCGACAAGAAGCAATGACTACGCAACAGTCTCATCCGGCGAATCCGACCACCTCGAGGGGCTCGAATACCCGTGGACGAGGCGGGCGAGGAGACAAAAGCAAGCCTGAGAAAGGGCAGATGCGTCTAGCCTTTCAGTGAATCGCTTTGGTCTGTAATAATAACAAAATCACAAAATCCACGAATGTAAAAATAAACACAAAGACATAATGAAAGGATCATGCTATTCCCTAAATCCCTCTTGTTTCTCCCAAGTATCATCAAATGCTTCAGTAAATGAGAAACAATTTTATCAAATCTGTAGGTCTCCCTGCAAATTGTGCTCACTATGTTCTCGAATAGATTGCCGCTTTCATTAACTACCTTTCTCCATACTGAGTACATAGCTCATTAGGTTATTAAGTCAAGGGTCAACCTATTACTATGATGAATGCAATTTCATGATAATCGGTAATCATCAGTATACATAGAAACTTTCAACGAGACCCACAACATGATGTCAGGCTGCGAGACTAATAAGTCGCACTGCTTGAACACCCCATCATCCGTCCCTTGTTCCGTCTTCCATACTTTTGGGTCGTGCAATCAGTGTTCTCTCTGTTCTGACCGACTGTTAGTAACACTGTACCGTCGTGAGAATCCACTGGATTTTTTCTGTCCTGTTACCTGCTTGTTCTTATCTCCATCTCACCTATACTTTGAAAGATGGGAGGTATCTTGTTTCCCGTAGTCTGCGCCGCTCCGCGAAGCAAAGAGGTCAGTGCCGTCTTTTCTCCCTCTTCCCCCTCCCTAGCCTTGGCTCAATACTAAGCCCTGGTGAAGTTTGCAGATCATGAATCGTTTTATTGAGCAAAAGGGCGTTGATGAGGACGAATGGAACCTTGTATTCGTAAACAGCATTGAAGACTATTATGATAAGGCATTCGAGCCACCAATCGAGGATGATAGCAGCCCAGATTCCCCATTCATCGGAAAGGCGCCTCAAGAATGTCACCAACTGCTCTTGAAGCTTCTCGAGGATACCGGGTCGGAAATGATGACCGACTACTTTGCTATCATGGACGACGGGTCAACACAAGACGACACTGTCCTGCGCGTATGCGCAGAGAGGGATCTCGAGAATGAAGTCTTGGCCTGGCCGACTGTCCGTACTACCTTCCAGGCTTCGGCTGTCGCGCTGATGTTGTATCATTCAGGGTACAGCAGTGTCGGGGAGGATGTGGAACGTGCTCAACGTGAAGACGACAATGTCTATCGTGGAGATTAGTCTACCTTCAAGTGATCGATCTTAATAGACAGTAAGGGCGAGAAGCCAAGTTAGGGGGAAAAATTGCGTCAAAACAGAAAATGAACTGTTCACCGCTTGAAGCGGCTCCTATAAAGCACCTGGGATTGGCATATTTTTGTTTGACTCATTGGACTTCAAGATCAACCAAGATGACAGTGATTATTTTGCCTCAGCCGCACCTCAATGAATCGATATGGAAAGTCAATGAAAGCTCCTGGCTAATTTCAAACAAGCTTCTTGTTACTCGTTCGTCGTCGCCACCCCTGGACAAGACTCCAACCGACGGAGCATGCTGGAGCGACAGCAATGGGGGCATTTCCCCCTCTCTACTGTACCTGAGCCACTTCCAGATTCTAAGCCCTCAAAGAAGGCTCCTATCCTATCTTAAGAGTCCACACAGTCGACAATCAAGCGGCCGTTTGGCGGGTAGGCGAAGCCTTCATCGAAGCGCATCATGGACTATCCCTATGTGATCAGAGAGCATGTTACCCTACAATTTCTCAAAGACTAAGGGCCCCGGGGTTTTGAATTTCCAAACGTATACCATCATTTTGAGACTGCTTCGCGATATTCCTCGTCGCCTCGAGGGTTCCCAGCCAACTCCTTAAGGAGGCTTGGCCCAAAATGAACGAGACTCTTCGCCAGTATTACATCTGCAAGGTAGCAGATGTTTGCAATCACTTGACGGCATGGAAGGGCGGTTTCAGTGGTGGTCAGCTATTGGAGCCGTATCTCGTCAAAGGCAGCAGCAAAGAAGGCGGACGCCCTTTCTGCACACCAGCTTCTAAGGAATTGTACTGAGTTGACTATGGATGTCTCTATACTTGTCTTCTATCATTGTGATCTTGGCCCTACAAATCCTCTTGTCAATAACTCGACAGGCTCGCTAGGCATCATCGATTGGGGGCTTGCTGGCTACGTTCCTATCGAATGGGTTAGAACAAAATTTCGACTCTCGGCAGGAATAGACTTCAACTATGAGGACCAGGACTCCAAAAAGGACTGGCGCCGCAGAGTCGCCCAGCATCTAGAAAAGATGGGCTACCATGATGTTGTGAATGAATGGTGGAAGTTTCAAGACAGCTAGTTAACAAAAGTATTAAGCCAATACTCCTTTGTCATAATATTTCACTGTACTGAATAGACCTTATGTAAGCATAAGAAGTCTATTAGGGCTTACGAGTAGTAAGTACAGTCGTCTATAGTACATATTCCTTATAATATCTACATTTCTCTAGAGAAGGTTTAATTTTCAAATACTCACCAATACTTTCCTTTGTATCGATACTAGTCTCGCCTACTGTAGAAGCTTAGGCGACGCCCCGAGACGACCTAATAGAAGGAGCTAACGCCCCACAAAACCTATACCGTATAGGCGCTTTATCCTACGAGGAACCTTAAGCCCATCCTATACGAAGGAAAAGGGCCTTAGTCGACTAGACAACTCTATCGTATAATAGTAATTACTGCTCTTGGGGCGGCACATTATGCACATCAAGTTCCCTAGCTTAGCACGTCCCTATGCCCCATAGGAGGTCATTAGAGGCATAGGCTCCGCCTACACCTCGCCGGACGTTAACCAATACTAATACTTATTAAAGGAACCTTCGAAAGGTTGATAAAAAAACTTTGACCATACCAGACGTCATGTGCACGAAGGGCATTGTATGGTTCCAAGGTTCGACCCAACTATGGCCCTGCGATCCATGGATGAGGCCATGAGCTTATATCGGTCATCTCTACCTTGATTCTGCAGAGAATAAACAAAAGAAAAATATCACTGCTCATTGGCACTATACTACACTACGTAGCCCGCATGAGTTGTTTCGTCCAGGGTGTGACATCAGCGCCGCGATCGTCGGTCATCGGGCTGCGACTGCGCTCAGCCTCTCCATGCCGCTTTTCACTTTCACTCCCATTAGGCTCCGATCCTGCCTTGTCACCATCTTTCATTTCCTTTCCGTGAAGCAACCTCCGATCAGATTGATTGTTGAATTGTGCCAAGATAGGCGACGATAGGCGATAATGCGCGACAGCCCCGCCGGAGCCTTGAGCCGACCTCTGTGACAATCGACCGTTTCGAACACCTGCAAGAGCCTAAGGAGCTCAGGTGACCACACCGTGAGCTTGACAACCCTAGCGCCCAATGACTGAAGCCTCTTTCACCCTTGGCCAACCCCTCTTTACCACCCTGCACCATGTCCCGCCGACCACCCCGCGATTACTACGAGGAAGATGACTTTGAGATCGAACGGGAACGTGATCGGAATCCGCGATCTCGCCAGCGAGACCGTGAGTTTGAGGAGGAAGATGTTCAGTACCGTCGTCGCAGATCAATGCCCCCAGTCGAAGATCTGGAGCGCATGCACATTCGCGATCGCCCGCCCCGCGACTTCATGCGGGAGAGCTACGCCCCACCTGAGGATCGCGCACCTATGTCTTTGAGGAGACCACGAGACAATATAGATGGTGTTATACCGGAACGGGAGCGCGAAGAAGTCTACATCCGTCCGTCACGCGAGAGACGCCGGCCTCGTCGTGAGATTGATGAAGAGCAACTCTTCATTAATGAGCGTGAAAGACATGGCGGCCAGCGACGACGTCGCTCTGAACGTGATATTGAAGAAGATCTAATTATACGACGCAGAGAGCGGCCTTCTCGTGATTATGAGAGCGAAAGCGACTTCAAGCCCCGCGAAAGATTCGAGGAGCAAGATGAGACGTTTGTCCGACGCTCAGGACCACGACGCAAACCGCGCCCTCGTTCGCGAGAAGAGGAGCTAGAAGAGCTTCTAGTTGACGAGAGTGAAATGGATCGGCCTCGACGCAGACCTTCTCTCGAAGAGCCGATTTTTGAACGTGAAGAAATTAACGAAGTTATGATTGACGACCGAGAACGACCCCGTGAGAGACGGCCTCGCAGAGAATCAAATTACGACAGATATAGAGAAATGGAAGATGTTATTGATGATAGAGAATCAGAACGACTACGAGAAAGAAAGCTCCGAAAGCCGAGGGTTAAGGAGGAGCTGGTTATGCAGTGGAAAGATAGGCCATTGCCGGGCGAGTTCGACGAGGAAGAAATTCGCATTAGAGAGACAAGGCGTCCTACACGTCGTAGTCCACCGATGCCAGTATTTGCTCCAGAACCACCAGGTGCTTTGCCATTGCGTGGGAACGGAATCGAAACCGAAGAACAAATCCGCATCAGTTCGCGGAGTCGCCCGAGACCTCACCACCGCGATGTCGAAGAGGAAGAGGAGATGGTCATTCGACGCGATGAAAAGGAACGAGATCGTCGAAGACGAACTAAGATTGATGATGAAATTCTTTTGCGACGAGAGGACAAAAGCCGAGGTCACAGATCAAATAATGAAGAAGATGAAGAACTACTCATTCGACGCGAGGAGCGAGATAGAGACCGTCGGCGGGCGACCAAAGACGACGAGGAGCTCATTATTCGACGTGACGAGCGAGACCGACCTAGGAAAGAGTCAGAAGACGAGGTGATTATTCGAAAGAGTAAGAGACGGTCTTCGCCTCGAAAGCCTTCGCCCGATGTTGCGTCCATTCATGCACCTCCGATCCACCAGGATGTTATTACGCATCATCATCATATTGACCACGGTAAGTCAATTGACGAAAATCAGAAAGAGGTACCGACTGACGGACGCCAGGATTTGAAGCGCCGCCACGAGCTCCCAGCCCCGATGCTTCATCCCAGACAAGTATCGACGAGGTTCATTTCCATCACCGGTGAGTTCGATACTAGCATCCAATACAAGCCAATCTGACACCGAGTCAAGCAGAAAATCCGGCAGCCACAAGTCTGAAGAAGATCTTGTTTACAAACATCGCTCCGATGACGAATCTGTCTCCCCAACCAGTCGTCCTTCTCTCGATTTCAATAACCCTTGGGAAGCAGACGGTGCTTCCACTTCACGACGCAGGCCCAAATCCATAATCGACGAAACTGAATCCATCAAACCATCTCTAGCCGGAAGCACCCGCAGCCGTGCAAAACGAAGCATGGCTCGTGATCTAGACTTTGATGAAGAAACAGATGAGGAAGAGATAGAGGTCCATGAAGAACGCTACGGGCCTCGTTCTAGCACGCGTTCCCTGGGCAGGGATGTCCCAGACGCCGTGTCCGAATGGTCCATGGTTCACACACCCAAGACTGATGCCCTTGAGATGCCTGGTGCTCTGAATGTCATTGAAGTAGCCCCCAAGGCGCGATCGAAGACGAAATCGACCGTAAAGTTGCAGCGCAGGTCTCCTCTGAACCTCGCGATGAACGCTGGACGGAGATCACCAAGGACCTGGTTGTTCGCGAGGCAATTGAGCGGCTCGGATATGAATTCGAAGAGACAAGAACGTTCTACTATATCTTCTCTTATCTGAAACCGGTAAGTTTAGTCGATCTGGAGTCCGCCGGCGAGTACCTAATCTGGCTATAGGGGGACATTGACGAAATCGTTGAACTATCCGATGAGATCCGCGCCGCGAGGCGACGACGTATCCGTGAAATGCATCGTGAACGAGCCGTACCGCCACCTCGACCACCGCGCCCCAGGTCCTTGGTGGATAGGATGCCGCCTCGGGCACGCATGGCTGCCGAGCGGCGAATGAGAGAGCGAGAATGGATTATTGATGCTCGTCGTTGATCAGTGAGCTGCATATTCAAGCAATTTCTTCGGGCATCTTTACTTTCTACATCTACGTTTTTTGAACCTTGTGCCACGTTTTTTACCGGAAGCCACGAGCCACGAACGGCATCACATCGTGCTGTGCCGATTTGGGGGGCACTTCAGCTCGGTCCACTTCCGCCTCTTTCAAGCTCTTTTGGCCCCCAGATGGGTCTCTGGCGGTGAGCACTACAAAGCGGATGGCGTTCGTTTCAAGTCGCAGTCCTCATTGTATTCCAGCCGCAATCCAGGAGGTGCCAACACCCTGACAAATCGTCTTGGCACAAAGACATGAGACATGTAAGAAAACATAGCTGCATTCGACCCGTAGAACGGACGAATTTCCCTTGGATGGAATGTCCAGAAGCAGGTCAGCACTAGACAGGATGACTTCCGGAGTAGAAGCAATAGTAACCAAGTGAGCCGCGTGTTTACAATGCGGGATGTTTATAGCCGCGCCCACGAATCAGAATAGAAGGACCTTGTAGCTCACGAAGCAAGAGCAAGCCACTAGGCTCAGAGTTGCATCAGTCTCTATGCCAGGTCCTCGAAGCCCGGTATCGCATCCACACTGGACTCGGGCGAAGGCCCCAAAATACCAGGGGCAAGGTAACTGACGGGCGATCCTGGGGCAGCATCGATCCTTCTAGACTTCTAGACTTCCATGTTTGCGACGCGCAAGATTTTCATGACCCCCCCTGGCGCCACCCGAGGGTACAGTGGGCATGAATGTCTCAGGAAGATTGTCTTTGGGCCAAATTATGGACTTTACGGGTGGATCCGGTGGAGCAGTCAGGTACCGAGATTTGAAGGGTTGGGTGAGTCGATTGGGAAGCCATCATTGGCAACCGAGTGAACCAAGCACCCTGAACCTTGGGAAGATTTTTTAGGGGCGGGGAGTCTTTGGAGTTGAAGATGAAGATGTTGATCGATCTGAGTGGATGACTTGCTTTTCTTCTCTCTCTTTAGGACATTAAAACTCTGAATCGGCCATTGTTTCGGGCATCGATCGATGTGAGCTCGTTACGATGTCATCGAGTTGGCCACTTGCGACCGTCCTGGGCCAGTTTTTCATGCGTCAAGCCAGGAACAATCCACTCGCCGGCTTTTGTGTGGCCGATCACCTCTCCACTGCGGTGCGACAGGTCCTTGCTACCAATCTCTGATATCAGGGGGAGGCGAAAGATGATGCATTGAGCTTTGTGTTTTGTGCTGTTGTGCCGTTGTGCCGTTGTGCTGGATACAGTAAGCTCCGGAATGAGCAGCCGATAGTCAACAAGACCGAACGCTAGGAAAGAAGAAATAAAAAAAAAAACAGGGAAAACAGGGAAATGCAGGGAATGGGCGAGAACGGGTATCTCCTCCTTCAGTGACAGACGATCGTCTCCGCGTCCATTGCGAATGGCCAATTGATAGCGCAGGTACAGCTGGCCCAGTTGCGATCGCCCTCTCGATGACTCCATGGTGCAGCACTGGGGCCGATCGGGGGGTTACTCGAGTTCAGTACAGCATACAGTACTTCTCCGCTGGTTATATACCGAGCCTTAGTCTATGGAGGATAGGATGAGTGAGAGAAAAAAAAATATGGAAAAGAAGCAATACTAGGACAGCCGTCGTTCAGGTAGTCAAGACAAAGGTCATTCCCCCGAGTGTAAGTAAGTACTCATGGTGATCCCGGAAATCTTCATGTGGCGGCCGAATTTCATGTGGCTTGCTTTTGGCCGCAGCTCTGAGACAAGCCGCTTATCCACACATTACGTATACTTCCTTACACCCTCCGGCCCATTTCGTGAGTCGTCTACTGAGAGAGCAACGACCGAATCCAGCATCGTCCAGGTGTGTTATCTTTAACTGATCCTAAATCGCACAGAGTATGAAGGGTACCTATGGGAATGTTGAGAAGGGGGAAGCTTTTCTTAGCCACAACCACGGTTACGCAGTCCAGTGGGGCTGCACCAATTTGGTATTCGGTTTACTGTGCGCCGCGTCAGTGCAAGTGTAAACATGCACCGCTTTTACCGTAGAAGACCCCCCCCCCATTTTCGTGGTTTCGAGTCTCCTTTCCCATATTGCCAGCGCCCTATAGTCAGGGACAAAAGTAGTCTTTATTTTCCTATCGATCATTTCCTCTAGTACTCCAAGTAGGCCACCGTCAGTAAGGACGTGCGCCTTCCAAGTATCCACTGAGCTAGCGGCAATGCCGGGATACTCAACTTCTCCGATAGAAACGTTCAGCCCGTGACTCCGTGACTCCCGCGTCTTTCTCCTCTTCTCTTCCTCACCCCTCTTCCAACACTAGACGATGCGCTTGGCTGTCTAAGACTTGCGAGGCTTTGAACGTCTGGTGGGGCATACGGCAAACGCTAATCCGTCTTCTCCTGCCTGCTCACCATTCCCATAATCCGACTCGAACTCTTCGGGGATTTCTTTCACGATACTAGTCGATCCCAAGTGACTTCAAGTGCCTTTCTTACCCCTAGTGCCGGTGGACGTGAACGGGGAGGTGCTCGTTGAGGAAACTGGGGATCTTGCGGATAAACACTGGCGAGATTCGTCAACTTCCAAGACATTCGTTCAACTCAGCTCGCCATGCGTCTTGCACTCCTCGCCTCGACACTGGCCTTAGTGGCCCGGCCAGTCGTGGCCAGTCTGGCCTACTGTGCCACTGAGAACACAGGATCGTCCTTTTCGGCTGGTACGTCGGATTCGAACCGGTCCGTCTTTGCACGCGTGTTCAATTTACTGACGAGGCTGTAGTGTCCAATACCTACCAGTCTAACGGAGCCTGCACAGAAACTTGTGCCGACTATGCCCTCGGAATCCTGCAGGGGAAGAAGTGCTGGTGCTCAAACGTGGCACCCTCGACAGACTCTCGCGAATCGGTCTCGGAGTGTGATACGGGATGTCCTGGCTACCCAGCTGACAGCTGTGGAAGTGCAGCAAAGGGTGTTTGGGCCTATGTGAAGATCTTAGGAAATTCTATTTCCAGCACAGAGAGCGATTCCGCAACGACGAGCTCATCAACAAGTACAACCTCCTCGGTAAGTTTCTTCCTATTGATTGTTCCCCAGTTTTGTGTGCACGTGGAGTCGATGAGCCTGGCCCTGTCATGGCCAGGTGTATTCTCTGTGCTTTTTCCATGGATTGTATCTCATCACTGAGATATAGACCACCACCACGTCCGGTTCATCGACCGATACCTCCACCACCCAGGTCTCTTCTACAAATGTATTATCCGAGCGCATACCTCGATCCTTCAGATCGCACAAACTAATGTCCTACAGGCCAGCACCACCGATCCTACGACCACAAGCAATGTCGTCAAGGAGACCACCAACGCCAGCGGCCAGGTCAGGACCGTCACAGTTGCCGCGCCGGTTTCGACCGCTGGACTCGACACATCCGATAAGTCTGCCGATGGAGGCAGCAGCCTAAGCGGAGGCTCCATTGCTGGAATCGTCATCGGTGTCCTGGGCGGTATTGCTCTGGTCGGCGCCCTGATCTTCATGATCTTCTTCTATCGGAAGCGTGCTCGCACAGTGAGCCCCATTCCCAGCCAAGATATGGCCGACCGTGCCAGCCAGGGATCCAGCTTTGTCCCTGGTGTCTTCACTCAGGGCCACACCCAAGAGATGTCTGGCTCGTCCTCCCTGGGCCGTAAGCACACCTTCACGGACAACCGGATGAAGGCCGACATCTACCCCAACGGTCCTCGTGACAGCAGTGTATCGCTGCAAGACAACGAGGACTACTCGCGGCCTGTCCTTCGAGTAAGTTGCGACGACTTCAGTCAAATGCCGATGCGTACTAACGACACTTCAGGTTACCAATGCCGATTAAACATGATCTGACCTCATCCACTCTTTCTTCCCACCCATCACCTGCCGACATGATCGGCCCCTTCCACACATTGTGCGCAACTACCGCCCAAACAGCCCTGTTATGATACCCAATTGTCACTTGAATTCTATCCTTCTATTATCGGTGGCGACCGGTGTGAACTGTAATCTCACCGCGAAAGAAGAAACAAAAAACGACCATCGAAGCCGGGACCTCGACTTCGCCATCAGCACTTTTCCAACAACCTGCGTGTGGCGTGACAAGAAAGAGATGGACACTAAAGAACACGACTAGCAAAAACGCAAAGGGAAAGAAAACCCGAACATGCAAATTGTTGATGGTATTCGCCGTCGAGACGACTTCACGAGCAATCTAACATACATATCTTGCATCCATACCACGAGGGAGCCGGATTTGGAGAGCGAATTCTTCCACAGTACATACGCCTTTCCTCTCCAATTCCATCCTCTCAATCCCGACTCTGAATTCGACCTCAATCTCTTTCTTCTTTCTCTTTCATCTCTAATTCCAATCTGCCTTTTTCTGTACCATCCAGCCCTGCTTTGATCCTAATTCTGTGGCCCTTCCGTTTGGGAGTTTATGGCTTCATCGCCCGGCGTTTACCACCTGTTATTTAGAGAGTGATACATCGACGAATACCAATCCTTGATCCCTGCTTATTTTGAGTATGTCCTTGATCGGAGTCGGCTTTATGTGACTGCCCAGAGTAAGGTAGACTTAGTCGAGACTCGATTCCGTCTACCGCCGCTTGCAACTGTTGCAACACAATCATGCAACAGTCTCGCTTCGCTGCATCATGGTCCGGTCTGTGGAACTGTTCGTTTCGGCACCGCTGTTGATACATGGAATTTCATTTCCAGGTTGTGTGGAGCATGGTCTGGTCCCTCTCACAACGGTTATTTGGTGGAATCTTGGCGGGTAACAAGAGCAAGTTTAAACTTCTTGGTAATTTGATTTTTACTTCATCATACTTTTTTGGCCTTTTCAGAGAGTACTACTTATTATATGCATATGCAGCCTGAGACGCTATTTGGAAATAAGAACTGAAGGAGTGTCGAACTGGATCTTTGAGGAAATCGTGGACACGCTAAGACTGTAAAGAAACAAGAGATGCACCATTGTGGATGGAGAAAATGCCCCTTGGAACCCTTTAGAAATTAATCTGGAATTTTGAATTTGGAGTCTGCCACAAGAGAACGGAGAGAAAGTCTACACCAATGGCTAGCCAATTGGCAACAATCAGCGGTCGAGTATCAGTAGGCCGAGAAGAATGAAGTCGTACCAGATGAAGTCTCAACCGGGTCGCCACTCGACTGACTATGCCATCTACTCGAACGACTACCGTTATGCTAATTCCCAGTCAAAGAAAGTCCTCGATTCATGAGCGCGAGGTGAAGTAATGAGCAGCCAGTGCCATTGACAAGTTCCGGGTAAGCACCGTGAGAGAGAAAGAAAGAAGAACAGACGTAAATCGGGAAAGATTCATGAGAGCTTTGTGGAATTACTGTTCGTGGCATACTATTCACGGCACCAGGAACTTGACCATATCGAGAGTCTTGGAATCGGCTGCTTTGCTGAAGAAGACATCTAGGGAGATAGTCAACCTCCGGCATTCCTTGATAATGACGGGGATGCTCGCTAATATCTGGGGTTTGGTCTCACGAGTACACAAATCACGATTATTGCTCGGGTGGTGGGGCTACGGCACATTGTACTACGCGTTTCCTGAATTTTGGGGTTGACATATTGGGAGGCTGTCGTATGTCCCTGCGGGGTATACAGCTGGGGATTCAGCCGAGATGCTCGGCTAGGTTGTGGACCAGCTCGGCTAGCAGGTTATTGATTCAGAATGGTACATTGAGGAAAAAGAAGAAAAATCTGTTTGATGCTTTGGGATTTATGAATGGTGTTGGTGTAATTGAGGAAGCCCGATATTCCCCAGGGAGAAATAAAAATTTTGACGAATAACGAATGAACTATGTTCTGAAGATCACTGTTGAGAAGAAAATTCGATACCAGCCATACTAAACGAAGAAAGACTTGTTTTGAACGCGTCTATGAGAAAGCTGAAAACAATCTGCGAAAGTCGACTTGGAAATGGATGAAGTATGTGCCTGTGCTAGAGTAACCTTTCAAAGTAATCGCAGTGACTTTTACGATATCAATCTAGTGAACCCAAAACTGTGGCTTGATAGAGCAAAACCCCTCCGCTGACTGATGACAGGTTAACACCGAGAGGACAGGATAAAGCCGAGATCCAGAAAGAAGGCCTGACTCTTTGGCCCTGCTTGGGATTCAAGTTGGCAGTTCTTGACTAGTGAGAGGATACTCCAGTGACACTGGCGATGTAATCAGCTCGCAGGACATGAAGAGGTCCAAGCTAGGAGCCCCCCTCATCTAACATCAACTTCACTAGGATGTCTTTGCCAAGAGGGAATGATTGGCTTGACTTTTTGAGACAAGATGCTGCATGAGTCCCGTATTCTCTAGCCGAAAGTTCTAGAAATGAGGTAACGTAGTACTCCAGAAGACCCTGGGATGTGGTGGGCCAAGCAGAGTGCGAAGAGACCAACAACTGACCCTTTGAAAGGCCTCCATGATGGGATGTTGTACCGATGTATACCCTGTCCCAGCCTATGCCAGGTTTTTGCTCTGACTCGTGTTGTCCCCGATCTTGGATTTACTCGGGTTGACCACAATTCGAGTCACTTCAAGCCAATTCGAACTGGGGTCATTCTGGCCTCAGTCCTTCTAATTCGGATTTCGGTGACCCCAGGTCCGGTCTACCTTCCCCAGATGCCCTCTCAGCCAGAAAGCCCCACGCGGTCCAAAGGATGACGACTCGTCGGCGTGTGGTCCCCCCACTCGAATCTCATCGTTAATTTCTCGGTTCATCTTCGGCTGTACCCACGGATGTCTATTGGCCCCAAAAAAGCCAAGAGCCCAGAGGCGCAAAAAACGTGTCAGAAAAAGGAGCAACTTGCAATAAATGACAGATTATCCAACCCGGCACCGGAACAGCCGGCATCTCAAGCGGGCTCGGGTCGCCGATATCATCACTAGTATATGGCACCAGGTTTGAGAAGCGACTCGTCATTTCCGCGGTGACCCAGGAAAATCGCCACATATTCTATGAACCCCGGATTTCCCACCCCCGACATTGACAGTCCTTCACCGGGCATCTGGAACTGGCATGGTGCAAAAGGCATCTCCGGACTTTAATCCCCATGGGCACCAAAATGACCACGCGTCCCTCCGACTCGGTTCCCCGAGGCTTGGCAGCCTGGACCGAGAGGTGCTATTGTGAACGGGCCCGGCTAAGACTATATGCCGGGCCCCGTTTCAGTGGATTTCTATGCTACGCCTCGTGGAAGTACCCGAGTTTTATCGACTCGACCCCGTAAAAGTTATTGTTCGAGCCTGAAAACGGCGACTCTAGATCAAAGTTTGTCTGGGTCCAGGAACACCCGATATGGAGCCCTCTTCCCCGCCGTATGAGCTGTTTGGTCTTTTCTCTCTCCACTCGAGACACGCGAAGGAGCGTTGTGGAATCCACATGGTTGGTATGAAAATTTTCGTGTGTTCCAGAGATCCAGAACTCGGGCATCGTCCACATCGTCCAACCCGTATGCGAAACTCGGCACCTTTTCGAATATGAGACAACCAGTCGATGCATATTTCCTCGAAATCGAAAGGAGGACGCGTGAAATAACTCATAAGGCGGTTCCTGTCCATACTGCCTTGCGTGTACATACAACCCGCTATCGGCCAAATATCGGTCAGAGGATCCCGTCATGCAAGTACGGAAGAGTCCTACAAGTAGTCCGCACCCTGACTCCGTGAGCACTAGACACGACACCCAAAGGACAAGACATGCAGAGATTGGATCAGGATCTCCGAATACAATCAATCAAGTAAGTATTACCAAAGAAACCCGTCAATGGTGGCGTTTTCTTGGCCCGGAGGCTTGTTCGCAAGACGGTTCGGCGCCCAGTCGACGCCGCGGCTTGAGAACAAGAGTGCTTCTTTTCGATCAAAAAAGCTTGGTGGCGCTCACTAGCCCCCGAAGGTTTCTATACGTTTCGTACCATCCGGAATATGGCATTTCCGACTCATGAACCAGCTCCGAGTCTAGCCAACCCCGTACCTAGCGGGTTCTTAGCGTTGCAGTCTCATAGAATCTTGTGACCCAGGGTCTCCCCAAAGGGCAGCGTCAGCATCGTAATTGGTGCCATGGATGTGATGGTCTTCTATCCGGGGGAAAAAAGCCTGGCTTGCAGCGCTAACCCCAGGAAGCGAGGAAGCGAAACAGCACAGAAAGATGGGGCGAGGACTATATAATGCCGTTGGTCTGCTCGTCTGATAGTTTTATTTCTTTTCTTTGGTCTGTGGATCTGGATATCTCTTCTTTTTTTACTCCCTTTTGACTTACCCTGAACACCCCCCTGCAATCTTCTCAAGATGGGTGCGGTCAGTCAGTCAGTGGTTGCTCGCAACAATGCCGACAAGCCTCACGGTCTGGCGGGTATGCTGAAGAATCCCTATGTCTTCATGACATGTCTCTTCGCCTCACTAGGTTGTATCATGTATGGTTATGACCAGGGTGTGATGGGTCCCGTGCTTGTCATGGAGAATTTTGAGAATCACTTCCCGACCTTCCAGGGTTCGACCATCCAGGGTTGGTTGGTCGCTGCTTTGGAGCTGGGAGCTTGGGCAGGTGCTTTGATCAACGGTTTCCTCGCAGATCGTATCTCCCGAAAGTACGCCATGATGGTTGCTGTTATCATCTTCACCCTGGGTACGAGTTTGCAGGCGGGTGCTCAGACGCCCGCATACTTCTTTGCTGGTCGTATCGTGGGTGGTCTCGGTATTGGCATGTTCTCCATGGTAATTCCTCTCTATCAGGCTGAGGTAAGTTATGTTCCCAAGAATTTTTCGGAATGGGACACGCACTGATATCAATTCGCATAGATTGCCCCTCCGGAGCTTCGTGGATCCCTGGTGTCCCTCCAACAATTGTCCATCACCGTCGGTACTGCCATCGCGTTCTGGATTGACTACGGCATGCAGTATGTCGGTGGCACTACCTGCCAACCCGAGGGGATTGCCAACCCCTACCTCGCTAGTGGTAGTTACAATGCTGCCCAGAACCACGGACACACTTGCTTGGGACAGAAGACTATCTCGTGGCGTCTTCCCCTGCTCTACAGATTATCCCTGCCTGGATTCTGTTCTTCGGCATGTTCTGGTTCCCCTTCTCGCCCCGTTGGCTTATGATGAAGCACCGTGAGGAGGAGGCCGCTGCCGCGCTTTCTAAGCTGCGTCGTCTTCCTACCTCCGACGCGCTTCTCCAGGCTGAGCTTCTTGAGATCAAGGCCGCTGTTATGTTCGACGAGGAGACTGAGGCCGAGGCCGTTAGCGCGAATGGAGCTTGGGCTCCCTGGAAGGCCCTGTTCGCCCCTAATATGTTCAAGCGTCTGATGCTTGGTTGCTGCATGATGGTCTTCCAGCAGTTCACCGGTATTAACGCCGTTCTGTATTACGCTCCTCAGATTTTCGCCAGTTTCGGTTTCTCGTCTACCACGCAGACCCTCCTGGCCACTGGTGTGACCGGTATTCTGCAGATCATCTTTACTCTTCCTGCTGTTCTGTACCTTGACAAGTTCGGCCGCAAGACTTTCCTCATCGCTGGTGCTATTGGTATGTTCTGCTGCCACATTGTCGTCGCCGCTGTCGAGGGTACCTACGAAGATGCCTGGAACCTGAACGAGGGCCTTGATAAGGCCCAGGGCTGGGTTGCTATTGCCTTCATTTGGCTGTTCGCCATCAACTTTGCTTACTCCTGGGGTCCTGTCACCTGGGTGTTGACTCAGGAGATCTTCCCCAACAGCATGCGCTCCCGCGGTGTCTCCATCGTCGCCTCCACTAACTGGATGTTCAACTTTGTCATTGGTCTGACCACCAAGGATATGCTGGATTCCATGAAGTACGGTACTTACATCTTCTTCGCCATCTTCTCCGGTCTCGGTGGTCTGTTCATCTGGAAGTTCGCCCCGAGACCAAGGACAAGACCCTGGAGGAGCTGGATATCTTCTTCGGTGGCTCTGAGGATAGCATTGCCGAGGCCGACCGTGTCCGCATGCAGAGAATCTACGAGTCTCTTGGTCTCGCGGGTCTGGACAACGTTGATGACCTGAAGGCTGAGAAGCATGGCATCGCCGAGCAGGTCGAGGAGACTGCCAAGGTCTAAGCTTGATTAGTGAAGAAACTTCATTCGGGCTTTAAAGCTGCACCAAAATTACGGTATATGATGTTAATTAGTTACGCTTCGATGTAATTGCATTGTTGGTAATCCATCAGTGCCTGATAAATTTAAACTAATTGGTTGGTTCCTACAACTCTGGCTTTTTTTTTCTTTTTTCAAATTCTCTCCACTCTTCTCCAGTATGAATATTAAGACGAAAGTTAACATTTTGACCGAAAGAGAACCAAACCCAATGAGGTCTGAGACACTCATCATAACACAAAGAGAAAAACAGTTTCTACCGGGGGGCAGGCACGGATATCATTTCGCGCAATTCAAGCTCTTTCCCTCTGAGCATAGCCAAGAAATCCTGCACAAACGGTCTTTTGCGAATCGATTGGAGTCAATGATGGACAGCAAAGAATGTCATTGACTTTTCCTCGCAGGCCTCAACATCAATTAATTTGACGAGAGAGGAAGTAACCATCAGACCATTCCGCCTGTTTCGGAGCTCGACACTATGCACAATCATTTCAACGAGCAAAAAATCGTGCCTGACCATTTGAGACCTCACCAGACATCATTGTTCGGAGTCTAGGGACCCACCTATAGACTTCAGTCTCAGTGAACTATCAGCTCTCTATAACCTCCATTATTTGCTATATATAGCACCTGAAGCCCCAACACGTTTACCGGATCTGAGACAACGTGGTCTATCCACTGGATAAATGAGTCATCGTTCAATGCCAAGGAGATTGAGACATATCGAAGTCGCCCTAAACGTATTGGGCTGACTATTTAAGCAACCATCAGCGATTTCAATAAAGGTGACTCCGCCCAACAGCGGCTGGAGACGGATACATGAGGGGGCAAGTAAGCCGAACATCGGACTAGAGCATCATCTCAACAGTTAAGATGCCTATAGAAGGTCGCTTTGAGTACTTATCTTTCTTTACTTCGTTAAAAGGCTCAATAATCAGATACTCAAGATGCCGTCCACCTTAAATATTGCACAATTGAATACCAATCCATCCCCTCACCGGATCATTATTGTGGGAGGAGGCATCGTCGGTGCAGCGCTTGCGTTCCATCTGTCCAAGGCTAAAAGTGAACATCATATCATACTCATCGATAAGAGTCTGGACACTCTACTGGGATCCACCGGCCACGCTCCAGGATTTGTTGGCCAACTCAATGAGTCGCCTGTCTTGACCCGGCTAGCCAAAGACACTGTCCAGGACTACCTCACAATCCCCGGTGGCTTTGAAACAGTCGGCGGCTTGGAGATTTCCTCGACGCCATCTGGATTGGAGAATCTACAATGCCGACAGAAAACAGCACGGGGGGTAAATCTACCTGCGGAGCTTCTCACTCCAGAAGCGGCCGCTTCTCTGGCTCCAGACTTTATCGACGCGAACTCGATCAAGCATTGCCTGCATTTCCCATCAGATGGGACCGCCAATGCAGGGATCATTACTGCTTACTATATCGAAGGAGCTCGCGTCCGAGGGGTGGATTTATTGGAAGTAGCCGTGACAGGCTTTGCAACCAGGAAAGACGGCGACCTACCGCAGATTGCGACTATCGAGACCGCCAGCGGCGATATCGACTCGGAAGGCAGTACTGTGATTCTCGCCACTGGAATCTGGACCTCTTTATTGCTTGGCAAGAACAACACCCCCGTTACGCAAGTTCCGATCCCCATCGTCCCCGTTGCACACCCGTACACATTTACTTCGCCTCGACCTAGACGTGTCGGGACCGCGTATCCATTCGTTCGCTGGCTTGACCATCACGTTTACGCAAGAGACCATGGAGACCGCGATGGTCTGGGCAGTTACGATCACCCGCCAATGCAGCTTGATCCTATTGAAAGCGCAATTGGAGCCTGGCTATCAAGCTTTGATAAAGTACTGTCGGAAGCCTGTTCCAACTTGAAGAACGGATCGGAGTTCCAGGTCCAAGGACAGAATACGGACCACGCAAAGCGTTGGGTAGCGGAAAAACCATTTAATGGAATCTTTTCTGTCACGCCGGACAATTTGCCCCTCGCTGGTCGAGTACCCGACGTTGCAAATCTATGGCTTGCTGCTGCCATTTGGGTTACAACCGCTGCTGGTACTGCTCAGCTGCTGACAAGAGAGATTCTTCGTGATGGTGAGCATTCGATAACTTCAGAAGATAAGGCTCTCTTGGACGCCCTGAACCCGGCACGCTTCCAGGGCGTTGAAGAGGATTTGCTGGTTCGACAGTCATTGTCGAAATATAACGATATTTACAACCGAGAGACTTAGATGAATCTAAGTGTATCAAATCAAATTTGGAAGTTGCTAGTTGGGATTGGAAACCCGTAGAGATAAGGTGGGCCAGGACGAGGTTGACAGAGCAAGTCATCAGCTACTAGTTGAAACACTGCTCTGACCCGATGTAAATATATTCAATATAAGTGATGAAGATTGAAATCAATCATTCTTGATCAAAGTCACCTATGCTGCCAAGAGTCTGGACATTTTTACCCTTTTTGGTATAGCGGGGCCCTTGTCCCCTTTCAGTACACGCAGTCCTGCCTTATCTCGTGCTCTTCTCTAACGACATGAGCCGATTGTAACTCCAGTTGTGTTTTCAATCAATCTTGTACTTGGGATTATTATGGATCTCTCATTATAAAATCTGAATGTGTCCTACTCTGCCCAGACACAGCGTATACCTTCTACCCTGGAACCTCTACCGACGCGGACTGGAACAATCATGCAAAGTAGATCGCAATAATAAGATAACGAGATAAGCCCATGCCATTTACGTTCCCGTCAAAAGCCAGCGTCGTCATAGGAGGAAAGTTGACTGCATTTCCTCCCCAAACACGGCAAAACCAATCGAGTGTAGGCCAACCAAAGAAGCGATCCGATGCGTCTATCAAGTCCTCATTCATGGATGCGAACTTCCCCGCTTCGAACATCCGGATGAGTGCAACATTTTGAAACCTGTTACTCCATCCTAGTCACAAGCAGAGAGTATATATTGACCGGGTTCCCTTTCGTCTGTATCGCGGTATTTACTTGGATAATACAGCCTTTGCTTAGACCCTGTGTGCCTTCCACATACCAAGCATATGCAATCCGGTCTGCATTTTGGAACAGCCCATTCCAGCCTACTACCTGTGCTCGAGCACATATGGACTTGATAAACATGGACTTCCCAATGAGCAACGCGATCTGGCGAATAGGCCTATTCCTTTTAACAGCCACAGCCGTCTATACACTCCTATACAAAATGCCCGGCAAATCCCTCTTCAACATAATGTATTCCCGCGGCCGCAAAGACTCAACAGCAAAGACCCCACCGCGATCCTTCTCACCAGAGAAAAAGGAACCCAAAAGCGCCATCTCACCCCCAACTTACAGCCATGTCCTACCACCGTCACGTAGGGATTCGATGCTCGAGTTGGAAGAAGCTGCTACACCCCAGTGCGAGGTGAACGAGTCCGACATGCTAAAGAACATGCTACCGATGACTGCGAACTACCTGACCAGTTCTGGAAAGCTGTACACACCGACTGGATTCTCGGTAGATGACATCAAGAACCTGGGTGATTTCCCGAACTATGCGACTCTCAGTGGAGTGCCCCTTGCCTAGTGCTTATCCAGACCATGATATCAACAAGGCTATACCTCGACCTTATCGACCTTTTCGCTGGGCGTATCATCAGACCATGTGTAAGTACCGTCCCGATTGAACTAGGAGATACAGGACTGAGTATTGAAATATTAGCCTTGACGAGGATGGAGACCGACTGGTGGATCGAGCTTGAAAGCACGTACAAGACTCGCATTGCTCAGAGGAAAGAGCTATACGCCAAGAATGGCAAAGCCGTCCTCGATGCAATGCCCGGATCCGAGCTGGCATGTAAAGAGCTCATGGAGATGGTCTTGCAATTTATCTGCGCTCGATATCCACAACACTTCACCTTGGTGGACAAACGCATATTGAAAAACCATATCCTCGGCACGGAACATGATGTCAAAGCCAAGCCTCCGTTAGAGATTCTCCTTGAAAACGTCCCTGAAGATTTTGCGATTATGCTGCGCGATGATGAGACGGGTTTCTATTTCCTTCGTGCGGCGGTGATCTGCTCTGCTCTTGGGTGGAATGTTGCTTCGAAGGTTGGGAAACGACTCGATCAGATTCACGATCCAATCCCAGATTACAAGGAGAAGATGCAGTTTTCGATGGATCGGTATGTATCGTCATCTCTTGCACGGGAGCAGGAAATAACCATTTTTTTTTCAAAAGATTCTTCACGAAGATGCCGACTGAGAAGCCTATTCAGCGTGGATCTTGGGGTCTTGAAGTGGGTGAGCCGCTATACATGCCTCCAGGCCACCCTCATGAAGCACAGCGACTTTCTCAAGATCCTAAGCTCGGTATCGAGGACTGCTCATTGCGTGTGGACTGGCAGACCCTTCGTCGCCTACCTCTTTCAGGATCTATCATCTTCAACTTCAAGGCGATTTTCACCCCGGTCACCGAATTCCGGGACGAGCCTGGTGTTCCTGCACTGCTTTCGAAGCTCTTCAAGGAAGGTAAGCAAAACTTGATGCAGTACAAGGGAACATGGCATGTTGAGCATGTTGTTCTTCCGAAGATGGAGGAGTGGGCGAAAGAGCAAGAAGAGAACCTTGTAGTTCCTATGAAATGGAAGGTAGCTACTCTGGACGAAAGTCCATGGTTTAGAGGCTGGGAGGAGAAGTGGCATCGCCAACAGGGGTTCTAGAGCATGTTTCGTATATTGAAACGGGTGGATATTTCATTGATGTTTTCGCGATTGTCATTGCCGGAGTTGGGCGGACATTGGGTATATGAATTCATGACACATATGATTGTACAGACTTGGTGGTAGAGATGCTTCGGTGCATGTTTGTAATTGGCACATAGAGAGGTCCGAGTGACAAGTCTCGAGGACTATCCATCCACGGCGGAAGGACTGGTGGGTTGAAACCAGATGCCAGTATCCCAGTACTAAATAGAGAAGTCGTGGGTCAAGTGACGCCCCAGGTCAGGCATTGTCTACCCAGAGCAGTCCCTGGAGCCCTCGTACTCAAGATGCGATATATTCGGCTGCTTCGTAAAGAGTTTGAGGTGGCTAATTAGACCACGACAAGGATAATCATTCAAGCGTGGTGAGGTGAAGTCGGAGAGGGTAACTGCAGTTCGAGTCTTTCAATCATCATCGAGATCTCTTCTAGGAGATCGTGACCGTGACCGTGACCGTGACCGTGACCGTGACCGTGACCGTGACCGTGACCGCGACCGCGCACTGCCCTCACGGCCCGCCTCGCCCTCCTCTTTATCGCTATCCTGATCGAGTTCTTCCAGCTCATCTGCTAGAGGACTGATTCGCTCGTCCAGCATATCCAAATCCTCTAGTTGTGCCCGCGATGGGAGCTTCCACAGACTAGTACCGCACACACGATCTTTCGTAAGAAGGTCGTCGATGAACTGATCCATATAGGTAAGGGTAAACGTATCCCGGACTCGACGCTTGATCTTGCGATAGTCGAGTAAAAGAGGTTCCAGAGTCTTGTATACATCCACCGCATCAAAGGTCAAGCGAACATAGAATGCAGCCAAAGCGCGCAAGTACTTGAAATCTCCGGCCGTTTTCACCACACCATTCTCGCCAGATTCTTCATTCTCTTCGTTGCTGCCCGGATCGCTGAAGTTCAGGTATTCGAGGATGACGTCGCGGTCGGGACCGAGCTGCAGAAGCTTAAAGGCAAGGCAAAGGAAGGGTGTCGGCTTTTCAGAAACTCCATAAGTACCACCAATTGAAGTCAATTCGACTGCGCGATCGCAAAGAGTGGCCGCGTTCAGTCCGAAGCACTGCTCTTTCCAGTAATAGGAATCGGTGATGCGGTCGCGCACGGCCTTCTCGAACAACGTGACTGGATTAACTCCACGGATGAGAGGGCCAGAATAGCCCCGATTGTCCAAGAAGGAGCTGGCGTCAGCACGATGAGTAGCCATGGCTGGATTGAAGGAGTTGAATAAGCGGAGTGGAAAGAGAAAAGCTGGCGCCAAGACCCGAGGTCTGCCTTATCGATAATCGCGCGGCCAACCTGACACCTGTAAACAAGGGCTGATGTCACACATCTGAGACAAGATGGTTGGAGATTCACAGGACGAAGCATTCCTTTCCTTATCCATATGTTGTCCAGTCATGGTGCTCCTCACTTCTTCAACGGTCTCCGCCATCCTTTCCATGGGGGTGATCGCGCTGTTCACCATACTATTATTCTTCTCCGGCTACGTTTTACAACAACAATCAGTGCGAACTATTCAAAGCGCGATACGACCTCTATCAGACCCCGCTTCCTCGAAAAGTCATGGAGCCGCATTCTCGAATCCACAGAAACGTGGCCTAGCGGGACCAGATCTAGGGCTAGGAGACAAGCAGGAAATGCTCGAAGGAAGTCCAAGCAGTCGCACGAGGGGGGAATTACGCATACCTGCAATTGCTATCTAGCCCAGACCCATCTGATATCTGCTCTGCAATTCTCTTCTTCAAACAATTGGCGACAAACGGGACCGCCATCCAAGACCGCCTCTTCATGTACCCACAACAGTGGGACCGTATGTCCGCTAAGCAACTCGGAAAGCCGGCATCAATTGCACTATCCATCTTACACGCAGCGAGCATCAAGTACGGTATCTGGCTGCTCCCCATCGATATGACGGCTGCCACATCCCAAGGCTACGAGTCCACAGATACCAAATTATTACGTTTGGGACAGATTCAATTCATGCAGTACGACAGTGTGCTGTATTTACAGTCACCAGGCATGATCCTCGATACGGAGCGACTTGACGAAGTCCTGCTCTCACGACCACTCCCAGGCAGGCACGATAAGAACCGACCAGAGTCATTCAATAACGAAGCATGGATTCCAATGCCCCTTCGCGCAGAGCGTGATGATCACCTGCCGCCAGTCTACTTGATTACAGTTAACAATGTTGGCGGTGGGCATGTGCAAGCCCGTACACATGTACCCAACGTTGCTCTTCCGGGTTTTGGCGGCCTTATCACTCCACCGTGGGGGTACAAGCCTGAAAACACCGGTGATGAAACCACCCAGCAGCCGGCTTATGTATATTTTGAGAATGATCGCGACGGTCGAGTCAAGTGGGCCGGAAACCCACTCTTTGGAACCTGGCGAGCCCAGCAGTACGAAGTATGTGAAGGTCTTGATCTTGATAACGACATTTACCACGAGCAATGATTTGAACATTTAACATATGTAGCATACCCCTGAGTTGTATATTTTTGGATCTGGATTGGACATGGCGTTGGGACTTGGGGTTGATTCCGAGAAGTACATTCAATACACGATTTACGATGTCACATTGATGATCAAGACATTCAAATATTTTTAGGCGCTAATGAGGTCATTGTGACCCGCCAGCGCTATAGATGCGTAAATTACTCCTCCGTGCCCAGTCATACAATTCGTGGATGGTATCAAGGTCATACAGTGGCTCAACGCAGCACGGGAAATTACTGGGGAACGCCGATCTCGTAGCCGAGGAGCACCTCGGTAGTGTTGCCTTCCCAGCCACGGTTGCCACTAGTGGAAATCATGAACCGGCAAGCATTATCGACGAACAGCTGGGAAATAGTGCCTGTGCGGTGGCCTGGAATGATGAGGAACGGGGTGGTTGAATGGCGAGAGCTCTGTTCATGCTGCAGGTCGTAGAGACGAAGAATATCATGAGACGCGCTGCGAGGGTTAGAGTGTTTTCGTCTGACGATGAGAAATCACATACCAAACAAGATGGCGACCGTTAGGCATCGCTTTGAGAGCTGTCACTGGTCCGCTTCCTTGAGGGAACTTGAAAGTGCGCTCAGGGTCTCGGAGTCCCTTGTGTAAGCTGAATTCTTCGACCGTGCCATTTCGTCGTCCGGCATAAATGTAATTCCCGTCCGGAGACCAACATGCGTTCATACACCAGGGAGGGACACCATTACGGGGAGTAATTCGAGCGACCGGATTGGGCTGCCGCCTGTCCCATACCCGAATAGTTCCATCGATAGACGCTGCAAGAAATGTAGTATCCGCTCCTGAGCCTTCTTGCTGCATCCCTGACAAAAGGTCTGGACCTTGCGAATATGACTCTAGGTCTTCTGCCTTAGGAAGCCCGTTCACAGCCGGCTCGGTCGATATACGAGTGTTCGGCTGCTCGTGATTTGCGTCCGCTTCTTCTGTACTAGCATTAGCATCAGCCGCCTGGGCGCCTGATTGAGGCGCCGCCTCTGATTGTGGCATCTCAGTGCCGTCTTTCCCCAGGGGCGTCTTGATCTGCGAGAACACCGTTTGCCATTGCGCGGCCGAATTCATCATCGTCATCGACCCCGAAGACCCCACCCGACGGCTCTCCTCCATCCGCAGCTCCACCATCGGCATCGCCAAATAATGAATCCGCGCCACCGAATAGTGAATCTGCCGGTGAGCCCGCCTGCGGGTTCTCAGCAACTCCTGTATCTCCAGCATCCTGGGTTGTATCCATGAAGTTGGTTTTGTCGGCACCATTGGCTTCGTAGTTTGATGAAAATGTACCATTGGAAAGCATTGAATCAATGGTGTCTTGCGGAACAGGTAAGCTAGATTCCGGTCGGATCTGCACCATCGATATTTGACCGGCACTTCCTCCGAATGATCGTCGCGACTGTCCAGTGTTCAAGTCCCAGTCGATGACCCTCTTATCCCAACTTCCCGACAGCAGCGACTGCTCGTCAGAAGTCAAATTCAATGACGATACCGCGGAAGTATGCTGTCGTAGTTGCACAATCTCCTTGCCTTCATCATGACGCAGTGTCTGTAGTCGAATAGCACCGGATTCCAAACCTGAAAGGAGCCATAATCCTTCACTTTGGCATGCTAGAGAGTACACCGGCGACAGGCTGTTCGCGTCCATATTCTCCCAGTATGTCATTAGCACGCCGGCTTTGACAACACTATCGACAAAGGGGTGTCTTTGCGCCACGGTCAACATGAGCTTGCTATTGATCGACTCCGCCCAATTGAACTTCCGAACGAACCCATCAGAGCCCCCACTAAAGACCCAGCGCATGTCTGCCGTCGCAGTGATCGCGTTGATGGAAGTGCTATGCGGTGCAGCGGTGGTAGGAACAATGTCATAGGTCTTCGCAGTCAAGCATTCGGGGCGTACGCTTGGGTGGTATATCGAGAAAGACTCCGACATAGATGTGTCGGCATTGCCTGGGGTATTTACATCGTGATTCTGCTGCGAGGCTATACCACCGCCCTCCGATGCTTGACTTGCATTAGACGGGCTCCCAGGGTCATCATCGGCGTCGGCGTCGGCGTCGGCGTCAGCATCGGGTTCGAGGTCACCGTCACCGTTATCGGCATCGCGCATTGTATCGTCAAGGTCATTTTCGTTGTCTGAGCTTCCATCCTGGGAACCTAATGGGGAGAAAGCATTAGACATTGATCATTCATTGAAGGTCTACTGCTGGTCGAAGGTTCAGTCTCACCTGCCAAGTCGCGGTCCTCGTCCTCCTCAAGTGACGCCATGACTCTTCCAGGGAGGACACAGCTCCAGTCCCAGTTCCAGAAACTTTTGTCCGATGTAGCGAGGCAATTCCGTGAAAGCGGGATGTTGCAAGAGCTTAGCTTGTAAGCGGAGCTTTGGTCAGATCCCGGCGCGGGGCTCAGACTCGTTATATAATTTTGAGAGAGATCTCAATGTAGAACAGGATCTGTTTTAGTTCAATGTCCGATGCAGTGACCCTAGAGTTGAATAGCTCCGATCGTGGAGAGCGAAAGCGGGCAAATGCGCAAGGCGGTCGCGATCTCCACCAGGGTCGCGTTTCGAGCCAATCGTATTGCCGATTTGTAGATATGGCCTTAATGCACTTCGGAGACAGTTCTCTTCACGCTATCAAACAAACTCGATAAAAGCACATCAAACACACTGACATAACGTAAGCCCATTACTTGATTTGCGGTGGCTTGTCAAGCCTCACACGGCTTGCGTGACATCAATGGCTATGATGTACCGACCAAATTGGGCGCTCCCAGTGCAAACAGCAATTGCCATATAATTTTAGATAATTATTGATGAGGACACCTCAAAAAAAGTCAATGTTTAAATTCAGTTTTGATGAGTAGCATATGATGTACGATGGAAGAGAATGGCTTCTGTGAGCCTCAGGCTCTCGCTCCAGAGCAGGAATCATCAATCTTCTTCTATTTCGTTTCTCTCCTTTGTTTTTCGATCGGACGCGTGCCACCTTTAAGTTTCTCTCAGTATCCCTGATATGTAATGTATATTTTTCTTTCCGGTAACATCATTCCGTTGACAAGACACGTAATGTCGTTACTATCATAATGACTATGGTTGATCATGATAAATGCACCTTTCGTCTTTCTCGGATCTGAGTTTCTATTTCCTATCAAGGAATCTTACGCCCAGCACTGTCAACGAAGAGATCGCTCCTAGCCTTAGGCCTGAGTACGTTTTGCGCAGCGCAGACAGGTTAGTTCATTTGCGCGGGACCTTTCAGGCCTTTCAATCAATGCAAACAAATGTTCGCTGAGACGCAGCCGACATGAATCCACTCGATCCTTCATGCAAGAGACTAGGTGTCCTTCCGCGAGCCTCTTAGGAAATGAGGGTGTTTAATTCACCCTATGCTCTGGAAGCCCATGGATTATCACTCAGGTCATAATTCAGTAAATCTTCTATGTGGGATTCCCAGTTCGTCAACGTATGGTCACATTTCACATCACACATGTACAATCACTTGCTGTATTCATAAAAATTAGATCATAGACATATAATGCTCCAAACTCTGTCCAAGACAATTGATAAACGGCCACTGGGTATTTCGCTTGAACAGTCTCGCCCGTAATCTCAAAACCGCCATACCTAGAGCAGCGGGCTCAAGATTTGGCGGTGTTTCAGACTCATCTTCAATATCGATAGATGAGTATGCTTCTTCGACAATGCACCGTGTCCAGCGGAGGATACGACTTTCGTTTTCTGCAAGAGTCCCTAGTGAGTATTCTGGGGGTGAAGAAGATTCTAGGGATGCCAGAACATACCGCTTAGTGCCTGGTCTGGACTGGCCTCGGCGAGCGTGAACAACCACTTGCTTAACAAGACCGCACATTCAAAGCTGGCGAGTGAATGACGCACACTCCAGAAAAATGCCTGACTGCGTGCAATATGATCAATACCAAGCCGGACGGGTATGCTGAGAGCATGTGCCGCGTAGATGAGCGCCGGAATTAGACGGTAGCTTCTTTCAGGCCTGGAAGAACGACAAAGTGAAGAAGCGATCATTTTCGGGTCTCGAGTTTCTAGGCGGCGGTACGGGCCTAGATTCAGGGATAGTCGAACGTAAGCGAGTCCCAAGAGGGCACTCGAAGTGAATGGTATTGGCCCATTGGCATTATGTGGATCGAGACTGGATTCTGGAGCTTGTTGCCAAACAGTAGTCCAGGAACGCAGAGCTCGCCTATCAGTCTGTTTAGCTGATGAAAGTGCAATAAATTTGGGAAGACTTACTCTATCTTGTTGAGTTCTTCGGTCGGTAGGCTTGTTGAGTGGTTCCCATTTGGCAACGAAAGCTCACTGACAATGTGGATTCGCTGGAGCAGACCGTGAAGAAGAATATAATTGCCCAAAGGTGCCGGTATCGGCTCCACCGGTGTCGCTGACCGTGATTTCTGTAGCAACAGGGTCAGAGCATCTTGAAAGAATAATTGTTGGGGACCTCTGTCTCGCTGAGCAGCTTCCCACTCAGAAGCACTGTTTGCGGTCCATTCTCGTGTTGAGCAAGGAAGTCGCAAATGCATTTCGCTGCTGCGAAGGGAGGGATAGACATTATAAGCAACGCTGTGAATATGAATGAAGCAAAATGAAATGAGCTTTGTTCGTCGAACGGACTCCTGATCGGCCCATTCATACCAATCCAAGGGCTGAGCGCGTGAATCAGAGTGTTGCTCCGACAATCCAATATCGCGTAAGTGCTGAACTAATTGTGCTTGAAGCTGGAAGGCCTCCTGTACCAGCCCAGCTCGCTCCCAGGTAGCATAACTCATGAGGACCAGAAGACAGCGTATGACCTCCATTTTTCTTGAGGTGGTATTTGCTGCTCCATTATTGCCTGGTTGGTGATCAGTATAAGGAGGAACTCCCATGGGCACCGAATAAGCTGCTTGCGACGCAATGCGAGATTCTCTTGACATGCGTTCAAATAAGACTGTTTTGGAAACATGGAATATCCGCTCAGCATTGCGATGCTCAAATCGATACTGTGCTCCAATTGTCATAATTGCCAACGCGAGCTCTGGGGAACATTCATTAAAGCGGAAGGTCGGGATGTGTATAAATGGAATGTGTGGGTGAAAACCCTCAAAATAAGACGTAATGTATCGGGTCAAAGTATGGCGTGACGGAAGGGTAAAGTCTGGAATGACATTGCGGAAGTCTTCAAGGGAGGCCGCGAGGCGAAAACGCTGGTCTTCTGAGATGTTGAATCGAGAGGATTTAGTGGCTTGTGGGGGGTTCTGGCGACTATTAGGGTCACAGTTCAACGGCGAACAGCAAGCTTCCGAGTACGGTGAAGCAAGATCAAACATACCAGAATCGGAAAGGGCTCCTAGGCTCTGGTCGCCCCGTGGCACTGATGGGAGCCATGATCGAAAAGGTGAATCTCCTCGCGATTCCTCTCTTAGGCTACGGCGAGATTTTGGCTGTTCCGGGGAAAGAAGTGACGTCTTCTGAGGATCTTCCACGACGATCTCATTCAGCTGAGTCGCCTCTCCCTCACTAGGTAACCACTCGGCCGGCAGTCCGATTGAGTCTAAGAATGTAGTAAATTCCTGAAAATGATTGAGATCTTCGGGAAGATAAGGCAGTGCTGGAAGTAACTGTTAGCAGTAGCATCGCATAACGATGAGGAGAGCTCACGGGCAGCTTGATAATCCCCAGGAAGAAGCAACTGAGCAGCTTGGATCATGGCAGGATCATGCATGCCAGGATGTCCATCCGGAACTGCACTAGGATTAGGAGCCCCTGCAGGCATTATGTTACCAGGCTGGTTTTGCGCCAGATATTCGACATGTGTAGGTTGTGTAGTCGGCCATTGATGTACAGCAGGATGCTCCGGCATAGACCCTACTGGACGGGCCGATGCATCATATTGCGGCGAGATGGGTGCAGCTGCAGGTGCAGAGTGGTGGGGTGGTTGGAAAGCCGTCTTGGCCATAGAGCTGGATTGCGATTCTGGAGAATCGAGGCCATCCTGATGGGAGATGCGTGTATGGCGCTTCAGCAGATCGCGTCTAGTAAAAGCTGCCCCACAGAAGCAAATGAACGGTTTCTCCTTAGTATCTGGGCCTGATCAGCATTCTCCATTCTATGTGGTAACATGACCCCAACGGGACTTACGGGTGCGCACATGGCGCTCCAAATGTTCTGTACGTCGAAAAGCCCGACCGCAATGGATACAGATCCGGGCTTTTGCGCCGCGGCCCGATATCTGGGGTGATGGGGATGGCATCAGGTACTCCGAGCACTTGGAGAAAGGAAGAAAGTGGACTCGAGGGGCGAAGTCTTGCTGCGGAGAGCGCTACGGTCGCTTCTCCAAACCTTTTGGAAGCGGTGACTCCAACTGTCCCCCACTTTTGATTGTTGCCCTTACCGTTTTCGTCTTGATCGGCGATGTTCCTATCAATTGACTCTAACGGCCTTGAACAGCTGATATATCTACCGGTCTTGAATTAGAGGGAAAATAGCAATCATGGCGTTCCGAACTTTGTTTCCTGGTGTGGCCGTGGTGACCGGTGCTGGTGGAACTGGTATGTTCTTTTGATACACAACCCCACATTGGCAGATCATTCTATTGACATGCACTCAAAAGGTATTGGAGCAGCTGTTGCAAAGGCCTTCGCTGCAGCTGGCTGTGAAAGGATTGCCATTACAGACGTGAATGAGAGTACTCTTGAGCAAACTAGGTCAGCAGTCGCTGCCGCTCACCCTAAGGCCCGCCTCCTGGCTTTGGCCGGGAACGTCGCTGACGATCGATTTACGGAATCTTTTATTGATAAAGTCGTGGGGACTTTTGGACGTGTTGACTATGGTGCGAACTGTGCTGGCGTGCTTGGTGTACCGGCTAGGTCATCAGAGACATCTCTTGCCGAGTTCGATCGAGTCAACAATATCAATTATCGAGGATGCTGGCTATCTTCTCGCGCCTTATTAAAGCAGATGGTCGTCCAAGATCCTCTACCCAGTCATGAAGCTAGCCGCCCGCCACAGCGTGGCGCAATAGTAAATATCGCCAGTCAGCTGGGGGTCGTCAGTCGTCCTAATGCCCGTAAGTCTCTCTTGTTCCGTCTTTGTTTAGATTCTGGAGGTCTTTACTGACAAGGTTCTTTTGCAGCGGCATACTGTGCATCAAAGTCTGCTATCATAGGGTTGACACGCGCAGATGCGATCGATCACTCTCAAGATGGGATTCGAGTCAACTGTGTCTGTCCAGGAGTCATAGAGACGCCTCTCGTGATGGAGAAGAAGGAGGTTCGCGATGCAATTCTACCAGCAGTAGAGACAGCCCCCATGAAGAGAATGGGAACACCAGCTGAAGTTGCTGACGTGGTGCTATTTCTTTGCTCGACGCAGGCATCATTCGTTCAGGGTCATGCGATGTTGGTAGATGGCGGCTATATCACGGTGTAAATGAAATCGAAATGCAAACCTCGGAACAGAAGCTCAAGACTCAATTGCTCATAAAGCCATACACAAGTTTATCAAAATGAGCAATAGAAATGCTACTAATGGGAAAGATCTCGACTCTTTTTCAAGAGCTATTTAGATGACATGTTGGCCGAGAATGCTCGATTGAACAAGACTAGAGTTGATAAAAAGACGAGAATATCTCTTGGCTCAAATCTAGTTTTGAACTGTGCTAAATTGCATCTTCTTCCAGTCAAAAGAAGACTCCCAAGCATGTCCAGCACGCAAGACTTTTTCCTCTTGCCACAGTCCTCCAACAATCTGCATACCAACGGGTAGCATGACTTGATCATTCTCCTGAGCCGGAGCAAAGCCGATGGGAATTGAAAGCGCCGGATGACCTGTGACATCGAAGATAGCAGTATTTATAGTAAGCCCCATACTGGGCTTGAGAGACTCTAGCGGAAGACCTCGCTTCCCGTGTTTGGGTGCAACAACAGGAGTTGTGGGCATAACCAACACATCATATTTCTCGAAAAAGGCCTGGTATTTATCGCAAAGCTGACGTCCGATGTTGACAGTCTTGCCATAGAGGCCTGGGAAATGAGACATGAGATATAGGCCGTTGATTATGACGTTCTTCGTGGATGGGAATGCGCGCTGGAACCCTTCGTCTGTCCATGGCAGTCTTGCTTGCTCCGCTTCGGTCATATATAAACCTCTCCGGCCGGTGTTTTGTCCCAGTAGAGTCTGGGCTCCGGCAATTCGTTGCTGAATGGTCCAGATTGCTGGTCCGTAAAGGTGCTCTGGTAGAGATACTTCTTCTACGCTTGCACCAAGTTCTTCGAACTTATGGGCTGCATTCAAGACTGAGTGCTTGACACTGGAGCTCACAGTATCGTGTTCGAATCCTTCTCTTAAAATACCGATTTTGAGACCGTCCAATCGTTGGGGGCTCGCTTTCAGGACCTCTGCGAAATCTGTAGAGCCGGGCTGCGAACTTGCGAGTGCCTTGTCATCAATGCCATCGTATCCACTGATGACATCCAGACACGCTGCAACTTCAAGGGTACTTCGGGCGAGTGGGCCTGCATGGTCGTTCATGGCATCTCCACTGGAAATGCCCGTAAAAGGAACCCTCCCGTAAGTCGGTTTCAAACCAACACATCCACAAAACGAGGCGGGAACTCGGATACTGCCACCCTGGTCGCCTCCAATTGTGATATCTACGAGACCAGCGGCCACCAAAGCTGCTCCTCCGGAGGTGCTTCCTCCTGCTGAGTAACCAGTAGCATGTGGGTTCTCCACTGTCCCTTGCGCACTGGTATATGATGAGGTTGAATGGCAATGATTCTCACAAGTCGACGTTCCGTGAATGTCAGCGCCAGCTTCCAACAGTCTTGTCACGACTGTCGCGTCAATGGTCGGAGTCCAGGAAGGAATAATATCGCTGCCCAGCAGCTGAGGAACTCCGGCCACTGCAATAACATCTTTCAAACTAACGGATTTTCCTGTCAATTTGCCGCCTTCGGGATTGCCACGTATCAAGAACCGATGTGCCCATGCCTGGCCTAGCACCTGCTCGTCTTTCGTTGGTCGCCGCACATTTTCGCGAGGATATTTGACTTGATCAGGAACGGGCTGATAATCCGGCAAAGCAGCGACGCTCTCGGCACAATCATGCACAGCTGCTAGGAGAGTGGCAAAATCGTCTGCCTCGGAGGGATCGATAGAAAGTCCCAAGGGCTGAATGAGTTCCTGAACATCGCCTGGCTTCACTGGATTGTTCCTATGAGATCATTTGTCAGCCTTATTCCAGATATACAAATACCACCATGGATCCGTGCTCCTTACTCCGAAATACTCGTGAACAGGACCGACATATTGCAGGTTGGCGCGAAGGCTATGATACTCAACCCACCATGGGCTCCGAAGTATTTTTGTGAAAAAGAGCGAAGTTATCGGTGATTGCCGATGGGCGGATTGCACATTGGAGTCCGTCGGCAATTCCGTAGTTGACTAATGTGCCTGGCTCCATCGACAAGGGGCCGTTCGAGATGACTCCACTTCGACTCCAACATGGCCCACCGGCCCAGCTTCTGGGGCTATCATCCTGTGAGGTCATTAGAAGTAGATACTACAGATGATCTTGACGAGATAATGATAATGGAAGTATGACAAGATGTTATGAAGTAAATTTCACGATAGCTGGCGATCTGAACAGGTCTGATACGCAATAGCTCCGATGGAGTGGAGGAAGGGTTCATATCTAGTAGAGTTCCCCGCATGTTCGGCCGAAGAAAAGCTACACTTTTCAACTCTCCTCTGAACAATCACACAACTTTGCTAACACCATGGGTCCAAAACGAGTCCTTATCACATACGGAGTCGATGTTGATGCCGTGGCCGGTTGGCTTGGTTCCTATGGAGGCGAGGATTCAACCAACGACATCAGCCGAGGTAAGTGTGTTTTTGTTTTGGTCGATACGCGGCTTTCTAATTGCGCGAAAAGGAGTATGGGCTGGAACAATTGGTACTAGGCGTCTATTGAAGATGTTTGCGAAGTATGACATCAAGACGACCTGGTTCATTCCCGGCCACTCGCTCGAGACTTTCCCCGAAGACATGGCCGCAGTACGGGATGCAGGACACGAGATTGGACTGCATGGCTACTCTCACGAAAACCCGACCGATATGAGCATCGAGCAGCAGCGCGATGTCCTCGACAAGACCTATCGCATGCTGACCGAGTTTGCGGGCAAGCCACCGCGAGGCAGTGTTGCACCGTGGTGGGAGACCAGCAAGGAAGGTGCACAGCTACTGCTCGACTATGGTATTGAGTACGACCACAGTATGAGTCACGAGGACTGCCAGGCATACTATCTCCGAACAGGTGACAGTTGGACCAAGATCGACTACAAAGCCAAGGCTGAGACTTGGATGAAGCCGTTGGAGCATGGTCCGCAGACTGGGCTAGTTGAGATTCCCTCGAACTGGTATATCGATGACCTGCCACCGATGATGTTCATCAAGAAAGCACCCAACAGTCACGGCTTTGTCAATCCGCGCGACGTGGAGGACATTTGGCGTGATCATTTCGATTACTTCTATCGCGAGTACGATGAGTTCATTTTTCCTATCACAATCCACCCTGACGTTTCGGGAAGACCTCATGTGCTTTTGATGCACGAACGGTACGTAGGCCATCAAATATGGGTCGTCTTACAATCACTAATTATTATCAGCCTGATCGAGCACTTCAAGAAACATGAAGGTGTTGAGTTTGTGACGATGGAGCAGGTGTGCGATGATTTCAAAAAGAAGAACGCACCTCCACCCGGTGCTTTGATGCCCGCCCCAGCTGGAGCGATGCTCACTAAGTGATGTCATATAGCATTTTCTATTAAGGTTCATACTAGAACAATACAATCTTTCTTTGGATATCGTTCTTATCTTCGGCTCTCCATCTGTAGCTAATATGACCCCAACGCCTTACTCCAAATCTGGAGTATCCGCATGCGTCTGTACACAGATAATTGCCCACATCATCACGTCAAATGAAGATCATACCACCAATCAGATCTTATCTAGAACATGGTGAAAGACAACTCCTATAGTAGCCTTTCTGCACACTTGCCCGGCTTACTCCAACGGCTACACCAAAACTGGCCAATTGACCTTCTACCCCAACGCAGACCTCACCCGAAGCTCTGGATTGCAGCTCCTCATTGCGAATGGATCGGCCCCTGTTATCAGACAGTCTCAATTTGTGGGGAAAATACAGTGAGCAAGTCCCGCTGATCCACTGCTCTCGTTATCGCACCTAGAAGGCTCCATACGTTGAAAACCCCAGAAACTGTGACTCGTGCCTGGGCGACGCAAATGGCATTCTCATGTCTGGGCGAAGTCGGGACGTGAGATAAGTGCCTGTATCGTGTGCTTGATTCGTCCTATATATTCCTTGCGTCGGATCCCGCTTGTATTTGTGTACTTTGGTTTTTGAACATCACAGCGATTTCGACATCTAGACTCGAGGTCTGGTTTGCCACAAGAGCTGGACTTTTGGTCATGTCCTCGTCAGATGAGATCAAGGAGTCCCCTTTTCTTAAGGGTGACTCGACATCCGATATGCAAAGCGCTGATCTGCAAGATGCTGAGGTTGAGGACCAACACGAGGTTTTCAAGAGGGGTGATGGTCAGGTAGATTTCCGCACTGTGAGCTGGATCAGGGCGGGTGTGATTTTCTTGAAGAGTAGGGAGTCCAAGATATCTGACCCTGAACCAGAGGCTGACCAATGTTTCGTGCAGTCATTTTTGCAACGGGTGTGCTCTCCATCCCGTCTCTCATGTACGAGCTGGGCGCTTTTCCCGGCGCCGTCAATGTCGTGGGCTGGACGCTTCTGAACACCTACTGTGCCATCTTGCAAGGCAACTTTCGCAATCGATATCCAGGATGCCATTCCATTGCCGATATGGCACAGGTTGTCGGTGGACCGATCTTGAAGGAGATCGTCGGCTTCTTGTTCACGGTCAGCTATGTGATTGTTGCTGCGTCCGGCATCATAGGTGTCTCGACTGCATTGAATGCCTTGTCGCTGCACTCCATCTGTACCGTCTGGTTCTCAGTCATTGCCACCATTATCATCGCCCTCTGTGCAAGTGTACGCAAGTTCTCTCACATCGGCTGGCTCACTTGGGTTGGATTTGCCAGTGTCTATGTCGCTGTTTTCATAATTGTGTAAGTTCCGCTCCACATTACGAGATACTGTCGACTCATAGATTTTAGGATTGGCGTGACCACAAGAGATCGCCCAGCTGCAGCCCCCCAGACAGGCGATTTCGAACTTGGGTTCCGAGCAATTGGTAACCCCAACTTCACAACCGGAATTACAGCTGCAGCCACTATCTTCGTGTCGAGTGCTGCGACCTCTGCTTTCCTTCCTGTTATCTCGGAGATGCGCAAGCCGAAAGATTATCCTAAGGCGGTCTATATGAGCATGAGCCTGGTGACTGCATCCTACCTGACCTTCAGCCTAGTGATCTATGCTTGGTGCGGCAAGTGGATCGCATCTCCATCTCTCGGCAGCGCAGGCGGCACCATCAAGCGGGTGGCTTATGGTATTGCGCTGCCGGGTCTGATTATTAGTGGTTGCCTGTACGTGCACGTCGCGGCCAAGTACCTATTTGTGCGAATCCTGCGTAATTCACGCCACCTGCAGGCCAATACTGTAGTGCATTGGGGGACTTGGTTGGGGTGCACTAGTGGAATGTCTGCCATTTCCTTCATTCTAGCATGCGCCATCCCTATCTTCAACTACGTATTGGCCCTAGTAGGCGCACTTTGTTTTGCGCCGCTGGCCATCTGCCTGCCCGCCTGGTTATGGCTCTACAGCCATGGACATTATTTGACGGGAAGTGTACTTCGCAAAGCTATATGGGGGTTGCATATTGTATTGTTCCTATTGGGGATTTTCATGACCGTTGGGGGAACTTACGGTGTGATCGTCCAGATCCACGATGCATACCGCGATGGGCAGATATCGTCAGCATTTTCGTGTGCCGATAACAGCGGGTCAACCTAGGAAAACGCTGAATTGTAATTCGACCATTGTTTCTCAGCTGTCCGAGAATCAGCTAAGCGAGATTAATACAAAAATAATGAAGCATCGAAAGCAGAGACATAAAAGACGAAACTCCGGTGCCAAGACCCCCCCGGGGGACGCGCCATCAGCGCCGAACAGCCGAGTGCGCTACTTATCTTGGGACCTAATTATTCTTCTTTCTCACTCACTTCCCTCTCCTCCATTCCAAGCTGTATACTTCCATATTCTAAACGACGTACTCTCGACTGCTCGCTTCCACCTCAAGCTCTTACCTCGGCTGAAATACCACCCCCAATGTGACCACACCCGCGTCTTATCAGCCGCAATCAGTGCAATCCCCAGAATGTCACCCAAAACATTACTTGCCGTGCTCTCTCTAGCATTAATCGTTAATCTAGTAGTGGGCGCAGCAATTCCCACTTCGGACCTCCAACACGAATACGAACAGATGTCGACTCCCACATCATGGTGGACCCAAACGAAGTCCGACATCAAAGTCCACGAGCATAATCTCGCCAAACGCGCCCCCTACTACTTCCCAGAGACAGTCCCAGACGCCGAGGAACTCGCGAATAGTCTCACATCTATGCGCGAGGCTGGATTTGTTGCAGACTCCCAAACACAAGAGTCAATGAGAGTGCCGGATACAGGGATCGACCTTCGTGCACGGATACTTCCTTTACGGGACTTGATATCCGAGCTATCTCGTGCGGAGGCGTCCACGCCACTTCTTCTGCCACCTATAGCCTTCTTTGTCTTCGTCGCGTGCGCTGCCTGCGTGGCCACAGTCTATCGGAAAATCAAGTGCGAGCGCTGAATTAGTTTCTCATTTTACTTTTACCTTTTGCCATCGCCGATCAGCAGAAACAATCTCTTTCTTCCCTCTGGTCTTATGCATCTTTTATGCGTGGCCTTGGACTTATCCACGCTTGGTCCGGGCGCAGGATCTATTTGCGTCCGGAGTCTGCGGCAAGGGACTGTCGCAGTCTCTTAGTCGGTGTGGGGTTTGCGTTGAGGGAACAATCCACCGAAACATTGCCCTTACGCCCCAGCATATCTGCGTATCTCAAAATTTCCGGGTAGCATCATGCCAGCCCGATTTGATACGCTGTTCAACTTCTTGTCGGCCAAATGCCAAGCTTCATTGTGCAGCGCGGGTAGCAGAACGGCATTCCTTAGTTCGCATGCCAAGCCACCTAAAAATACTATTGCCGAGAAGCTATAGGATCGCTCGTATCCTCGCCCTGGCCTCATGACGATAGAATCTTCACTCGACCTCGATCCGCTGCGCCATCCCCATCCTAACTTACCGTGACATCGGAGATGGGAGATCCAGACGTGAGGGATGCCTGACCTCGTTCCCAGCCGTTCGAACATTCGACACGCGATCGGCACTCGGGTGTTCCTATGTCCGGCGACAGTCCCTGATCCACATTGACGTCCAAAGTTACTCAGCTTAGGTGACACAAGCAGCAGGCACCAGCATGATCCCATCGTGTGCAATCGTCCTATTCTGAGTTGAAATTCTGGGCGCGACGATCAGCCTGAACTATTTACCTCATTACGTGTCGGGTATAATGTGCTCACATCCACAGATGGATAGATACTGTCGCCCAAGCGTACGGGCTCAGGGGCTGAACCCCTTTTCTCGGTCTCCTGAATTGATCAAATATTCTAGAAAGAATGACGACCTGTGAATACCAAGCATGTTTGTACAGCCTTGATGCCAGTGCTAAGTAGAATTTTGGTCATAAATATCTGGACAAGGGCGATACGGTACATCCACTTCGTTGCCCCACATGAATCCACCTACAATCGTCGTAATTGCATTGCATCTCATACATCTTTGGACTGATCTCGGCACGCTATACAGATAGTTTTTCTGGAAAGTTAGACACATTTAAAAATCAAAGCAAATTCCATTATCTATCTAGCGGCACAAAACGTGCTCAATCCATTCCTCAAACGGGACACGTCCAGAGCCGGGAAGCACGGACCATAGAATAGAGATGCAAAAAATAATTGACGATAAGTCTTGAGACAAGGTAGAAGGGAAAGGGAAGGGTCGGTAAAGCAATGATGCCCAGGTACGCCATGAAGAAATGGAGGGAAGCGAAGGGCCACGAAGAATGACCAACGCAAGACAAGACAGCAGAACAACCGCCCATAACGAAAATATGAATAGGGAAGATTACATTGAAACTCTTTTTTGCAACCTCCAAAAACGAGGAGATACCAGGCAGAAATATGTACGCAGATAAGTAATAATAAAACAGAAAAGGACAGACACTTAAGTGTGTGTTTTAGGAGTCGTCGACAAGACGCTTGGCGGCGAATGCACGCTTGGCTCCATCAAGGAGAACATCCATATTGCCGCTGTTGTCGCACATGCTGCGGAACAGACCGTCTTCTTTGTTGATCAGGATCCAGGGATGGTCAAATTCGATGACGCGGCCGTGATCGAGGACTAGGACTTTGTCGTAGTCAATGATTGTCTGGAGACGGTGGGCGATTGTGATGATTGTGCTGTCGTGGAGCTCCCGCAGCGTCTCTTGGATCTTGGCGTCGGTGGCATAATCGATCGAAGCGGTGGCTTCGTCCATCATGAGGACGCGAGGTTTCTTGAGGAGGGCGCGGGCGAGACAGAGGAGCTGGCGCTGGCCCTGTGAAAGGTTGGAGCCGGACTCGGAGACCAGGCTGTCTAGGTTGTGGAAAATGTTCTTGTTGTCGGCGACGGTGAGGGTGCTACCATTCATGCCGTTGCCCTCGACGGCGGTGAATGTGCTCGAGGTTGCGGGTGTGGTGGCGCCAGAAATGCCAGAGCCGATCAAATGGACACGGCGAATGGCGGTGAAGATCTCGGCGTCGCTGAACAGACCGAAGGGGTCGAGATTGCTGCGGATAGTACCCGTGAACAGAGTGGGATCTTGAGGCACAATGGTGATTGCTTCGCGCAGATCCCGCAATCCAATTGCGCCAATGTCGACGCCGTCGATCATGATCTGGCCCTTTTCGGCCTCCAGGCCACGGAACAAGGCCAAAGCCAATGAACTCTTACCCGCACCGGTACGACCAACGATACCGACCTTTTCACCGGGCTTCACAGAGAAAGAAATTTCCTTGAGCACAGGATCGAGGTCCGGACGGTAGCGGGTAGTGTAACCCTTGAACTCAACAGCACCTTCACTGGGCCACTCAGTCGTAGGGCGGTTCTCCTCGATGACGGAAGCAGCCTCTTGCTCAACCTCCAAATACTCACGCACTCGCTCGACGGAGTTCATGTTCTGCTGAACCTCAGAGTAAAGGCGGACAAGCCAAAGCACGTTCTCCGTGAAAGTCACGGCGTACGTCAGAGATAAACCAGCTGCACCGGCGTCAATCTTGCCAATATTGAGGAGGACGAAGGTCGCGGAGAAGAAGGACACCAAAGCTCCAGTCCAGTCGACACGCAGAGCAAGCCAGCGGTTACTAGCCCAGAGATAAATGTGGGGCCGGTTGTAAGCGTTGATGCGGCGGTGATTATCGACCATGAAGCGAGGTCCATCACCATAGGCACGGATAGTCACGATACCATTGAGAGTTTCACCGAACTGCTGGTACAACGGGCTACGTTGCACAGACTCCAGACGCTTGAGATCACGAGAAGAATTCAGGTAGACGGCACCAAGCGCAGTGTACACGAGAGTGATGAACACACCCGCAATCAAGAACCCAGGAGTGATAACAGAAATGAGAATGACAATCATAATCACGGAAGCCAAGCTGTGAAGCATGCCAATGGCAACGGGAGCAACTTCCTGGTCGACAGACTCAATATCCTTAGAGAATCGGTTCATAAGCTGACCAAGGGGCGTGGAGTCGAAGAATCGGAACTTGGCATGCATGACTGCCTTGAGCAGACGATCGTGTATCTTCCATGATGCGTGTAGCGAGCCCCAGAACAACACAGCCTCTCGACTCAGAGAAATTGAGATGTACAGGAAGCCGAGGAGAGCATACACACCGAGGTAGTATCCCACATTGACCTTGCCATCTGCGGCAGTGCTTGAGAAGCGAGAGCTGAGTTGCTGAGGAACCCAGGTGCTCACCTTGGAAACGCTGCCAACATTGAAAGTGGGAGGCTTGAGATGAGCTGCAGCGGCATAGCTACCCATATCCTGCTGATTGACACTAGCAGTGTGGTATGCGTTGGCCCACTGGCGAATCCAGATGTTAGTCGACACCGAACCAAGCTGTTGCATGCAGAAAATCGAAATGGCCAGGACCCAGTAGTATCCGGAGCCCATGGAGCGCAGATACATGATCACAGTTGACCATTTGATGCTGCCAGTGGCCTTGCCCTCAGACAGCTCTGTCTTCTCCTCCTTCTTTCCGTTAATTTTGTTTGTATTTCCATTGGTGGGCTCTTCCGCGTTGTCCTCTTCGCGAACCGAAGGCGCACGTGAAAGTCCACGAGAGCTGGCGCGAGAGCCAGGACGGGACTTCAAGAATTCGTCCCCAAGGGCACCAGTAGCGGCGACATCGTCTGGGCGACCTTGAGCAGCGACCTTTCCATTTTCAAGGACAACAACGTGATCAGCCTGGGGAACAGCGAGAGCGACATTGTGTGTCACTAGAACGCAAGAACGGTTCAACATCAGAGGGCCAGTAAGAGCTTGACGGAAGAGGTGCTTGGCTGTATGAGAGTCGACGGCAGAAAGACAGTCATCCAAAAGCAGATGGCGAGCACTGCTGTAGATAGCACGGGCGAGCGAAATTCTTTGCTTTTGGCCGCCAGACAGACTGATACCCTTTTCTCCAACCAGTGTCTGGTCGCCAGCATCGAGGATTTCGATATCGCGTTCCAGAGCACATGCCTTGAGGACGGCGCGGTAACGTTTCTCGTCAAGAGGGGATGCGAAAATGATGTTCTCCTTGACGGTGGCGTTGACCAACCAGGCCTCCTGAGCACAGTACGCAACACTATCAACTAGACCAGTTGCAGGGTCAACGGGGAGATCTGCTCGGCTCGTCATGCCCCCAGGGAGATGGACACGGCCTTCGATCAGTTTCATTTCACCGAGCAGGGCCATCAGAAGAGATGTCTTTCCGGAGCCAGTGGGACCAGCAATAATGCTGAGACGACCAACAGGGAAGTTGACATCGAGATTGATCAAACGGAAGGCATCAGCACCATCATCGGAAGAAGAAGAGGGCTGCAGCCGAGGACCGGAAGTGCTCCAGGACAAGGTAGCCTTCTCCAGAGCGATCTTGGCCGGTCCATCGGAGACACTGCTATCACGCAGTTGATCATACTTTCCGGTCTCCTCCTCGTTCAGGTACTTATCCACACGATCAAGGGAGACCTTTGATTCCTGGACGTGAGCAACCATGTCTGCGAGCTGATCCAAGGGCACACGCAAGAGCGAGAACATTGACAGAGCAGGGAAAGCGATTGAAGGGGTCAATTGCTTTTTCTCAACGACAGTGTATAAGAAGAAAGACAAGAATGTGATCAATATCGGTGTTCCGTACCAGACGGTAGCGGCGGAAGACCAAAGAATGTAGCGACGGCGCAGGGATTTGAGCTCGGCCTTGCGCTTCTCGTTGACAATGTCCTGGAACCGTTGCTCCCAGGCAAAGTACTTGATGATGCGGATGTTTTGGAGAACCTCGTTGGTCGCATGAATACGGGCGTCGGTACCTTTAAGGATCGCATTCTGGACCTTGTTGAACTGCCGGGCGATGAAGAGGTTGATGGGCAACATGAACACCATCAACGCGATGCCAGCGAAAGAGCTGAAACCCATGATTTTATAGAGGAGTGTGATGGCCATGATGATTTGCACGGGAACACTAGCCCACAAGAAGTGAAGGTAGGCGCCAACCTCGCTGACCTTGAACGAATCGATGGCCATCAGGTTAATGATGGTCCCGACATTGGCCTGCACGTTGGCATCCTCCAAATCAGACTCGGGCTTTTTGCCAGACTCGGTATCATTATTATTGTTGTCCTTCTTCTTGCGACCGAAAGAAAAGAATTTCCTTTTCTTCTGCTTTGGGTCCTGTGACGCAGCGGGCTCCCCGACAGCCTTGCGAGTGGCCTCCACAGACGCACCGGCTTTACGTCGAAGCGCCTTGGCGTAGATTTCCCCAATGATGATGGCACGAATTTTGACACCCATCTTCCGCCCAATAAACAGGGCCTGGCCGTCGGCTACACCTTGGACAATGGCGGAGCAAAAGAGAAGAATGGCATACAACCAGGCCGCATTGGGAGTCGTCGAACGGGGGGTCCTCGACGTATTCAAGGATGGCCTTGAGTAGCATACTCGGAACAAAGACGAACAGATTAGCGAAAATGGTCCAGAGACCTTGGATCAAAATGGTCGAGGCGAAGAATCGAATCAATTTCCAGGCCAATGAACCCTTCATTTGCCTTTTACGGAAGTCCGTCAGCACAGTGGCAGCCTTTTGAGACGGGGTCAAGTTCCAGACGTCCTTCAGCTCCAGAGGCTGTCGGTAGCCTTTCAGGACCAACGGATCGAGCCAAGAGAAAGTCGCAAGAGACAGAAGACTGGCCATGGGGTGTCGCGGGGGCTCCAATCCCTCCTCGTGCTCGACTAAGACCGGCTTGTTGCCTCGACGGGTAGTCAGAGCAATCAAAAGAAGCAATGTGCTCAGGGCGAATTGAATGCTGCTGAGGGTCATGGCGTGATGTGAAGTTGGGTGAATGATGGCAGATCGGAATACCATGATGTTGAACAGCCATTGGGCACTATACAACAGGGCGGTATGGGTCCAGAGCCTTGGAGCCGTGAAAATATCCATGGTGGACAGCAAAAGCCGAACCAATACCAAGAACAATATGTAGCCCCATGAGATCAACCCAGCCGTCGCGGGAACGGCCCCATGACGGCCCCAGCCGTCGGTGGTCAAGCCGACAACGTGAAGCGCGACCAGGCCGATCAGCGAGGCGATTTCGATAGCGACAATGGTGAGTTCTGCACGCGGGCGATCGACCTCGAACTGTGATTGTTCGCTCTGCACAGCCTGCAGGAGTATAGGATCGGACTCGCTTTCGAGGCCATTAGGAAGGTCATTCTCGGGCCCGTCGTTTGCAAGGACCTTGTAAGCGACGCCTTTGCGTTCAGTCACGAAGCGGTGGGCGAGGCGGGCGATAATCACAAGCAACGAGATAGCGCAGGCCGCGAGCGGAAGCGTGATTTGCAAGATACTAGCCAATTGAAGTGATTAGCCGGCGCGGGGTCTAACGGTCTCCGACGGACTTGGTGCCGGTCGGCAAAGGAAAGCGAAAAACGCGAAGACTCACTTGCGCTGGAAGCATTTGGAAAGGTCATCGATGGCCCAAACGGGACCGTTGCATTGCGGGAGCATGATCTGCGTAGCAGAATGTGAACGGCTAGGATAGCTCTCCCGAGCAGCAATAGCAGGATCAAGTCGCGAGGATAGCAATAAGCGATGCAACAGGTATTAATATGACCACCTCCCCGGGTCTCAGCAACAATCTTCCACTAGCACGCAGGGCGAGGCTAGCATTGCAGTCGGACAGAAACCGGAAGCGAAGCGTTTTTTTTCTCTCTCGCTCTGGCTCTGGAAGACCGAGAGCCGTTTGGCGGGAGCCTTGATGAGATTGAGGGAGGGTAGGCAGGGTTGTCCACGGCAAAAAGGATGAGAAAGGAGACGAGGACGGCGGGGGAAAGAAGAAGAGCTTAGGTGTACCTAGCGTAGGGATCTCGACTAAACCCGGCGGTGGAGCGTAGGGTCCGGTTCCGATAGCAAAACGGTCAGGGTGACATGCGCCGCCACCACGTTTGCGTGGTGGAGCGAGTATCTCAGACACGAGATCCTACCACGCTATGCGATGATACTTAAAAGTTACTCGAAGAAGACAAACAGAGGGTTCTATGCGCCTGAGCTCCAATCTACTCCCGTGCAGGTTGGAAGATTGGAGTTCCTCCTATGACTCGTTGCAGCGTTGATCGTTTCTTATCGCGGTCAAGTTCCCCACCGATAGCGTTCGCCTTGTTCTGCCCCGTTCGATGATCGATCTCATGCCTAGAGCCTAGTCCTAAGTGCCTGGATGAAAGGGGGATACAGTGGAAGAAAGAAAGGAGGAGAAATTCCTGTAGTATCCTTAGCCTATCTGTGGCGAGTCTGACGGGAAGAATTGTGCTCCTTTGCCACCGGGGGCTGCCCGATCTCTTCGACATTCGCGAAGCCTACCCTTTTTGCGCCCCGACATCATCTTCCCATTCTCCACTTCCACTTCCCCTTCCCCTGCTCCTCCCTTCCCTTACCACTACCCTGCAGCCTGTGAGAGTCCGACTCGCATCATCTCTATCTTTTCCCACGACCATGGCGGAACGCATCCTCATGAACGAATTCCGGGCCCTCACCAAAGAGAAATGGGTTAACGTCGAAGTGAGTTCTACACCCCCCGTTGGAAAGCCCTGTTTTGGATTCCTCTCAGACCAAGTACTGACTCTTGCTCGGCGCTCAGCTTCACAATGACGACATCTTTAAATGGGACGTCGCACTCGTTGTCCTGAACGAGGACTCCCTATACTACGGCGGGTATTTCAAAGCAACTATGACCTTTCCCTCGAACTATCCTTATAGCCCTCCCCGTAAGTTCTCTGTAGCGGACTCTGTGAATGCGTGTCTACGTTGCACAGGATCACTAACAAAACAATACGCAGAGTTCCGCTTCCTTGTGCCCATATACCATCCCAACATTTACCCGGATGGCAAACTATGCATCTCCATCCTTCATCCACCGGGTGAAGACGTAATGTCCGGCGAATCTGCCGCCGAACGCTGGTCTCCGGCTCAACGAGTTGAGTCCGTCCTCATCTCCATCCTCTCCCTCCTCGATGACGCCGAGGTCTCGTCCCTGCCAACGTCGACGCTGCCGTGATCTACCGTACCGACCCAGACAGATTCCGCTCCATAGTCAAGGGCAATGTCGAAGAATCCAAAGCACACCGGCCAGCGAACTTTAAAATGCCGACTCAGACTCAAGAAGCATCTTCCCGTGAAATCGTGGAGAAGGAGGATGAGGACTTCTGGGCTGAGTCTGGTGACGACAGCGATCCCTTCGGTGGGAGTGACTCGGACTCGGACATGGATATGGATCATTTTACCGGAAGTGAAGATGACGACGACGACAATGAGATGGACGACAATTCTCTTTAAGTGAATACATCCTTCCACGCCACACGCGCTTCACGACATTGCATCTAGAATATGAGGACTCAAGGAACTGACGCCAAACCGACCATTTTTGGGGCCAGAATTAGCCGCCTTTTAATGTCTCCACTTGGTATTTGGGACGTCCATACGCCCCCCTGACCGCCGCGGCGGCACTCCTCAACATTGGGAAGGCATTTTGCCACGCATTGTTGACATCCACCCACCCACGGGTACATACAAAGTCCTCACCTTTCGCGCTGCCACGCCCCTTCACCCGCACACCGTCATGGCACCCAGAATATTCTCTAAATTATTCAAGAGCAAGATTAAGCAAGAATCCAAGTTCACACTGAAGGAAAATTCTCCAGTCGCAATAGGAATTTCAGATTCCACCTGTGAGATCAATGGCGACTTATTCAATCGTTGGAAACTTCCAATCCAACCACCAGAATACCGCTTACGCACACTTCGTTCTCAAAAGCCCATTTTCTAAGACCAGAGTTCATTTTTCCGCTTACCCACTGAGATTAGGAGGCTGATATATCTCGAGCTTATGGGTGGTCGGCGAGTGCACATCCGATATCTCTGGAAGGAGCCGTCGCCATTTCGACCGTAGCCGAAACGTGGCGGGTCCCGCTGGGAGTGGTGGCACATTGTCTGTGAACAATGTGATTGCTTCCCGGAGGACCCTGACGTTGATTGCTGTCCAGACTGGAGTGCTGAGGCGGGTCTGTTGTAGAAAAGACCTGAAATTGGCGGTGTAGAGTGGCTGAGGAGCTATCAAACTAGGTAAGTGGAACTCATCCGATATCTGGACGGTGTCTTACGTGTGGTGCAGCTACGAGGAAGCATCGATAATTCTCTATGAGGCAAATGTCTTCGCGATGAACAAGGCTATGGACACTCCGTTCCTTATGTCGCGACTTTTGTCACCGCGCTGTGCATCTATTATTATAGCTATGGATATCTCATTTCCTGTTGATATCTGTAGACCTGGACAATATGAGAATGATTGGATGACCACTTATGTAGCGTTCTTCAAGTTGTTTAAGCAAAGTTTTCAGAGCGTGCATCAGCTACGCTTGGAGCTTCGAGTACTGTCGTGGGAGGTTTTGTCCGGTTATTTTGATGACGAGAGGCTAAAAGCACTTCTTAGGCCATTTAAGAGACTTTCGAAAGGTCGAGAGTGGACTCGACTGCAAGTTTGCGTTCCATATGATTGGTATGCCCAGTTCCAAAACTTAAAAGAAAAAATGCCTTGTCAAGCTGAGTGGGAGCTTACACAGACTATATGGTCTGACCCCCTCATGATGGAAAGACCCATGCTAGGGTGAAATTATACGACCGATTGGACTTTTCAAGACTTATTTCTACCGGCTTTCTTGAACGTCTATTCCGACATTGTCGGGTCATGAACGGCTGCTGTATCCAAATGAAGGTTCGAATTCATACTAGCGCTATTGGCCGACGCAATGCGCTATAGCGGCTATATATGGACAGGATCGAATCGTTGAGTTCATTGAATGTGTTCAAAATCCGACATCGCGAGGCGCGAGTCTTTATATCCGGGCGAAGGAGAGAGATTGCATGATGGCGTATTGGGTCGCCAGAGCCGACAAGGCAAACGCAACCGCAAAAGGCAATTCACAGTTCCTCATTTTACAGTCTATAAAAATCAAGCGTTCCTTGCTACAGTACATGTTCGCAAAGCATGACCTATTTTCCCACAGTTAGAGCATTTTACTGCCCTCTTCTGGTTCTTCTCCCCATTGACTTTCTTATCACTTGCCTCACCCACACCCACCTCAAACGAGCATCGATTACGCTTCTCTATCCTCCCTGGCACTGCGAATGGAGATTGTTTTCTCTGAGACTTGAATAGTGCATTTGGCAGTCGAGGTTCCAAAAAGGGGTAGATATATAGAGTAATGCCTAGCATTCGTATACCAAAATGAATGGACCTCCTGAAGTTCAATCGTGATACTGCATTGAAGAAGAACTGTCAATCGATGAGCACAAGGCAAGCCCATTGTGACAGTCCAGACATTGGTGCATGCTGGTAGAGGTGAACGCTCTGTGACGTACCTAGCTTTTTGGAACTGTTGCTCAATAAGCTTAATAGCATGTCGAGTAATTTGTGTGATGACCTTTGAATAAATCGGGCGTGATGTGACAAGAGGCTGCCGGATGAGGATCCGATATGCTATTTGATAAAAGGCATGTAAGCCTTCGACACGTGAAGTTGCAACGTTTCCAAGATGCAGATGTTGCCTAGTCCAGGCGACCACAAATGTCTGTTTATGAACAAGCCACAACCCCTTCACATAATGAACAACAGACTGATATTTGGCGCACTTGGACTCAAGGTCAGCAAGTCGTTTATCATATTCATCTTCTGTCGGGGAGTCCACCGCAGCGCACAAGGGATGGGCACAAGGGATGGGGGAGACCAAGTAGCAGGAATTTGACATATACAAAAGATTCTCGTTCTGAAATCCATTTCAGGTTTGCGATGGTTGGTGATCCACCAGCCCTAGATATAAAGTCTGTGAACTCAGGCTCCTTGCGAATCCAGAGGTCGCTAGAGTCTACAATATAAATGTAATCCTTTCAATACAGAACATATTTCAACGTCATCAGAATGGCTTGGAAGGCTATAGGCATCATAATCAAGCCACATTTGCCTTGTTCTCGGAGATTCAGCATCTGCCAATGGTTTTCTGTGAAGTGCCATGGTTAGACAGATTCGAGGATCGATAAAAACGAACTTACTCATTGCCATTGAAGACTTCAAAGCCGGTGGATCTAATAAGCACAGGCCGAGCAAGATCGGCGATAATCTGCTTGACTGGGGCGGTAGCAAAGGGTGATATTATGATAGAGTCCTCGTCGATTTCCGCGAATCCTCCTGCACCGTGAGTTCTAACAATTTTGAATTCCTTTTTAGTCAAGATATCTTCTGCGACCTCTGTATACACTGGGTCCTAAGCAAGTAATAGCAATGTTTCATTGCCACGACAAAGTTGAGCGATAGTAAGAGCCATCGAATACTAGATCATGCAGTCTATCATATTTTCTAACTCCGAGTTCTCATCCTAAGAGTCGTGCTGCCTTTTTAGCCATTTAGGTGCGGAGCGGCAAAAATCACCGAGCCCGAAACAGACGTTCTTCACAGTGTTTATACCGAGTACATCTTGGACCATGGTCGCCAAGTGCTTATAGGTCTTGCTATTCTGCCACAACAAGTGTTTCTCGTCAAAGACTTGCATAGGCTATGCTATAATCTCTCGAAAGTCTCGTGCAGTCTGATTACTCCAATCTACAATAGAAGAGCATAGGTAAGTTTCGATTGGGCCGTTTGTTTGTGCTTTCACAGGTTGCCAATATTCTTGGTACTTGACATAGGGTTTCCTAAGGGAAGCTTTCGGGGACATCAGCAGCTATAAGCGAGAAGACCGTAGCTACTGATGCTCTTCCCACATCCGTCTCCGATTCAGTATATATCAATATACTACAAACTCCGATAGCGAGACCTTCCCTGAAGGCAAAACCCTCTCTATGAATAAAATCTCTGATCACCATTACGGTCTTGATTATTCGGTGAGCAGAACATCTAGCATTTGCATTCTCGTAGCTAGAGTATTCACAGCCACTGTATATCTATATGAGAAAATTAGACGCAAACAAAGAAGCTAAATGATCTTTTGAGAATATATGATATCTGCGACTTTGAACTAATTTGCAATCTCCCGCAACCCACTTCCAGGTCGAACAACGCACCTTCCTGGGTCTAAATTGGAGTCGAGAACCTTCTCCTGAACCTGCTTACTGTGCATATACCACAAAATCACACATATGTGGTAGCAGCTCGGAGATGGGTTTGCGACAGAAAATGAGGTAGTTGGGGTGAGAGATCGGATGAAGTAGAACTTGGTGATAAACTGAGAGCGGATGACCAGTCTCAAGACTGGGAGAAGCAGACCAGGACGTGCATCAGATGGCCCGATGTAGGTTCATGCCATGTCTAAACTGTACGAATGATACACGACTCCCGCTAATAGTGCAAGGCTTGGACGTAAACCCCAAACATATTCTAAATCGAGTTTAAATATATGGATGTCGACAAATATAGTACGTAATGGTAAAAGAGAGACGCGACAGTCTGGTGCGCAGGAGATGCGTGGACCACCCAAAACAACGAAAAATAGATAAAGCCAAAGAAAATACGATTTGCGCCGTTAACCCTTCATCCAAATGCCCATGTGTAGAGTCCCGTCACAGACAGGACCGGGTCTGAGGTCTACTCTAGACGATAACGGCCTTCTTGATCTCACTGTAGATGGCACCAAGCTCCTGGTCGATGACCTTCTCGGCCTTGTTGACAAGACCGCTGATGCGAGTCTCAATGTCCTCAACAGAGGTACCAGTGGAGCGGGACTTGTAGCCACCCTTGGCGAGAATCTCGGTGTAGTTGGAGGAACCACCACCGTTCCAGGCAAGGAGCTAGAGTTATGTCAGTTCAAATTCTTCTAAAGTCATTCTTCTCGCATGTGACTTACATTAGGAGTGTCGGAAGGAATGTCAGTCAGGGCACCGGAGGTGGCAATGGTGATCAGAGCATCCTTGAGCTTCTTGGGAGTGATCTCCTCGACAGCAAAGGCCGAGTCAGATGCGGGCTGCAGGGAGACATAGTAGGCCAACAGACCAGCAATGTGGGGAGAAGCCATGGAGGTACCGGAGATAGTGTTGACGGCGTACTTGCTGCCAACCCAGGTAGAGAGGATGTTCAAACCAGGAGCGAAGATGTCAGTGCACTTTCCGTAGTTGGAGAAGTAAGCACGCTCATCAGCCAGAGTGGAGGCACCGACAGTGACAGCCTTCTCGGCAGCGGCCGGGGAATAGCTGCAAGCATCGGCGTTGTCGTTGCCAGCAGCGACGGCGAAGTGGATGCCAGCGTCAACGGCAGCGTTAACAGCAAGATCAAGGGTACGAGAGCTGCCACCGCCCAGACTCATGTTGGCGACACTGCCCTTGAAGCCCTTGACCTTTCCGCTCTTGGCATCCTTGGCCTTCTTGATGTGAGCCTCGGCAGCCCACTCGACACCCTTGACGACATCGGACATGGTGCCGGAGCCGTTGGAGCGTAGCACCTTAACAGCGTAGACATTGGCCTGCTTGGCAACACCGTACTTCTTACCGGCGATGGTGCCAGAGCAGTGAGTGCCGTGGCCGTTGCCATCCTCATCAGCATCGTTCTCGGGAATGGTCTTGCCCCAGTTGGCGCGGCCCTCGAAGTCAACGTGCTCAGTGTTGGTACCGGTGTCAATTACATAGGCATCGACACCCTCACCGCCCTCCTCAGCATAGAGGTACTTGTTGAAGGTACCGAACGAGAGGCTGTCCCGGTGGGAGATACGAGCCAGACCCCAGGGAGCGTTCTTCTCAATGGAGCTCATGGTGTGAACAATAGAGTCCTTCTCAATGTACTCAACCTATTACAGTTGCATGTTAGCATTGGTTTTGTCGTTTGGGCTGCTGGGGGGTTCCATGGTAGGCGGAACTACTTACATCCGGGTGGCGGCGAACCTGCTCAATAACATCCTCGTGGAAATGACCGGCATACCCCATCAGTGAACCAGCCACGTGGAAGGTGTGCTTCATGCCCGTAAAGGCATCGGACTCGAAGCCGAAGAGCGATCGCTTCTTCAGCTCCATGCGGCCCTGGGTGGAGTGGATGTCCTGCACCCAGCTGTGGTGAGCGGCCGCAGCCGACGGGTCGACATGCTTCTTAAACACAACGATGTAAGAATCCGAGACCTCCTCGGCGTTGGTAGAGGAGATGATGGGGGCTGCTCCGTGGTGGATGGAGTCCACTACCATAGGTGAGGCAGCTGTAAGCAGCGGAAGCAACGCCAGGCCGAATAAGCCCTTCATGATGGCGGATAGGTTTGTACGACGCAGCGAGTACAAGAGGGATAGGAAGAATAATGGGATAAGTTGGATAGATAGTTGGATGGGAAGGGGAGGAAGGAGGAGATGAGGAGAAGGAAGAGGTAGGAGTCAACGAGAGCGGAGCTTATCAAGGGGAGACGAAAGGGAAGGCGGAGAAGGATGATGCAAGCGGAGCGATTACCGTACGGAAACCCCGTCGGATGACCAGTCGATTGCCGCCGAGCGTCGATCTACAGCTTGTGCAAGGCCTAGCGGTGGGGACATCTACTCCGGGGGTGGGCGGTACTGTCACGTACTGTCATGAGGAGGCGCCCCCTCGAAAGAAGCTCCTACAGCGTGACTTCCAAGGTTCCCTTATCGGGCGATCTTCGCTATCTTTACTGTATCACTCCCTTGTGACACGCAGCTGCAACGACAGCTACACCTTGGAATACTGTCAGCTAGTTTCCATTCCCGGTTTTCGACCGGGTACCTGGGTCGATGCAGGGCAGGGGCATGAGACTCCGGGACGATCTCCAAGGCAACTCGTCTTCCGGAGTCGCGTGCTTCTGCTCGGATGACGCGAGTATATATTGGTCGTATAGCCACGCACCTAAGACAAGGCTCAGCGCCCTTTGTACAGTACAATAGTCCTAGGCAGCATTACTCCACACTTCCCTGGACCAACCGTAGGCTTATCGTGTGTCTTATCATCCGAAACGACGATCTCGTAACCCACTGAGTGACCTGGCCGACCCTGAAAATTGCCATGCCTCACGTCCGCTCAGCCCCATCGCTCAAGACTGGGCACCTGATATCCTCTCCCCAGTGTTGATACGTTCGCAATTTGGCGGCAGGGACCGGCCCTATTCGGGACGCTAGTTCGAAGTGTTTGTTCTCATGTGTCTTGACTGGACCCGCTAAAATACAACACATGCAGACCGCCTCACTCTGCTCGCCAATCGCGCTATCACGGTCTCTGGTGGTTGCCCGCCATCGGATCAGTGGATAAGATTTGGCAATGCCTCCACTCCCTCCCTCGCCCTCCGGATCGATCGACCGGCTAGCCGAAGAGCTTGCGCCCACTGTTGACCAGCTCAAGGGCCTCGGTGCTGGTAACGCCATCACTCTTTCCCGGGCACTTGCGGCCACAGAACCCCTCCTCCGTCTCCGACACACCTTTATCGATGACGCACGCCCGCGGACCGCCAAAGATGCATTCCGGCACCTATCCGGCTTCCAGACATTGCTGGACCTTGCCGACCAGCTAGTGGAACTGTACGATGCCGAGGTTCTATCCAACGATGAGAGGAAAAGTTTGCTGGGGGTCTACAAGGATGTCCTGGGAGTTCTGGCCGAAGGATTGAAGGATCATTTTGGCAACCGACGATATTTCGCCCGCAGGATAGCTGGAGGTGGGATTGCAGTCCTCGAAAGAACTCTTGACCTGCTGGCTGGGAAGATAGATAAGGTCGAGAGCGACGCCCAACAACTCTACGGCGCTGTCCTTGCAGCCGCTTTGTGCCAGGAAACAGTTGCAGGTGTATTTGGAACACTGGGTGCAAAGCTTCAGAAGAGGACTGGGTCTTTAAAGGAACTTCAGGATGCAGCGGGCCGGTGTTTGGGGTCTGCCGAGACTGTGGAGGTTGCAGAGCTTCTGGGTCCAATGATCCGTGTTTGGTTGGCACACTCGTCCTCGGGGCACGAATTCCTACGCTTCGCTCTTCCCGCATGTCTTTGCCAATTAGCGGCACAATCCCGGAGAAACGTGGTAGCTTTACATGCCACAGGGATGTTAACTTCTATCCTTCCGATCTTGTTCGATGACGGCCGGTCCGATACCGAACAAGCCCTTTATCAGGATCTGGCTCGCTATCTGAGCGTTCAAGGCATGGGTAGCTTGGATGATGCTGTGCTTCTATACCGCCAAGCTCATGAAAGTCCCAAAGTACTCAAATTCCTTCTTTCGGCGTTGAAATATTCCAAGGAGCCTCCGTCAATACAATTTGACTTGTCTCTGCATGGCTTTTGTTCCGTGGAATTTGCGACCCTGGGTCGTCCATTCCCACCACACGCTTCTGCTGGCTACACTCTGGCAACTTGGGTCCGCTTCGACGATTTTGATTTAAACACCCATACTACAGTCTTTGGTGCCTTTGATGCCAGTCAGACGTGCTTCCTTCTTGCCTATCTAGAGAAGGACACGCGCAACTTCATCCTTCAGACTTCAATCCGTGGAACACGCCCCAGTGTTCGGTTCAAGTCAACCAAATTCGAGTCAGGTCGCTGGTATCACATTTGCCTGGTTCACAAAAGACCCAAGCCTTCATCATCCTCCCGAGCATCTCTCTTTATAGATGGTGAATTTGCGGAGCAATTAAAGATTGATTACCCTGCCACTCCAGTCAATAACCATCCCACCAGGCCTCCGCGGATACAAGCATTCTTTGGAACACCCCAAGATCTAGCTATGCGCCTTGGAAAGGGCGTTTCAACCTCTCGGTGGTCACTTGCAAATGGCATCCTTTATGACGAAGCATTCAGCGATGATATGGTGGCTGTCTTCTACAATCTAGGCCCTCGATATTTTGGAAACTTCCAAGACTCCCTGGGCTCTTTCCAGACATACAGAGCGTCTGCCACTCTTAACCTCCGAAATGAGCACCTTCATCCTGGAAAGGAAGAGTCTTCTGACATTGTCACTGCCATTAGACGCCGCGCTAGTACACTGGTCCGCGAGAGCTCAATTCTGATCAATGTGTCCCCCGTTGCAGTACTTGATGACGACGATTGCAACAACGTTGACGAATCCCAACTCATCAAAAGTCTGTCTCGAAACGCGGCGAAAAGCCTCCATCAACTAACGAAAGCCGGCGGAAATGCCGTCGCCATCAACGGAGCTACTCCAGCTATCAATGATGGCTTAACACAACCACAGGGAGTTGGCATACTGACCGGCGATCCTGTTGTTGCTGTTCCAAGGTCGCTGGACGACGCTAGCTGGTGCTTGGGTGGCTGTGCTGCCGTGCACTTGAGTCTGATACAGGCGGCAAACACTGCTGAGACAATTCGTCTGGCCGTGGAGGCGCTTTACGAGGCCGTTCAAGACAACTGGCGGAACAGTGAGGCCATGGAGAGAGAGAACGGCTATGGCATTCTTGCGTCCCTGTTGCGCGAGAAACTTGGCTTCTCTTCGGGTAACTTCGCCGGAAACCATCGAGTGATTGCGCTTGGATGTAGCCCTGAAGAGCAAAATGCATTGACTCTTGATTTGCTGCGTCTCACGCTTGCATTTGTGGGATACAACTTTGAGCACCCAAACCATTCCATTATCACGAACCCCCTTGCTTATCGGATTCTCCTTGTTGATATGGATATCTGGAGGCTTGGAGAAATTCCATTGCTCAAACTGTATTATTCGCAGTTCAAGGTATTTTCCACGGACAGCAATTACCGCCGATTCAATGCTAGGCGGCTTGGTCGCATGCGTGAGTAACTTCCATGCCCTTTCGTCTCAATGGTCCAAAGACTGGTTAAGGGTTTTGAACTAAAGCTGACAGACGAATAGGCGTGAACAAGAAATTTGTTGAGACCCTGAAGACCGGTGAGCTGACACAAGAGACACTTGAACCGTGCTTATCATCCTTTCGATCATTGATTGAGAGCAACTTGTCCCCCGATCTCCTCCGCTCTCTGGCTTTGTCTATCACCTATGCACTTCATAAGCCGAAGCCACCTCCAAGTCTCCAGAAGAAGAAAAGCATCCGGTTCGCACAAGCATCGTCCCGACCAAGCTCATCGAAGTCGTCATACTCCGATAAGTACATATCAGCGCTTGCCTTGGGCACAGAGATGATGCGCTTGTATGCTTCCATCCTGTGTAACCCTATTGATCTTGCACCGCTGAAGAAGTTTGCGAAGGCGGTCACAAACAAGGTTAGTCGTACATATTATGAAGAGCAGTAAAACTATGCTGACAATAAACAGTGGCTTTTGTACCTTTCATGCGAAGACGAACCTGAAATCGTGGTTCTTGCATCCAAAATCTTAGCCAGACTTCTTGTTGTCCATGGAAGTGGTTACAATAAGAAATTTTCCGAGAAGAATGGCGGATATACAGTCTTGAGCCATCACCTGAGACGGTGGTGGAACATTCCTGCTCTATGGCCCATTTGCTTGTCCATTCTGTTTGGCCGAGACATCGCTCTCATGGACCTTGATCGTCCTTTTAAGGTCTCAGAACTTCGAAATCTTTTTCTTGGGGATGGGAATTTACAGATAGTCTACCCTGAAATGCTGCCGGTGATCATGGGGATGCTCAAGAGTGGACTGAAGGGTGTTGTTCTGGCCAGTGATGCAGTAGAACAAAGCCCCGCAAGGGCAGATGGCTTTAGTACAGCCCGCCCCAAGATGTCTTCTTGCAGCTTGGCAGGTAAGTATCGACATGAAGTATGGATTGTCGAAAATGTTAACTAATGATTATTGGCTAGATGTCGCCTCGAGGGACCAGACAAAGCACGGACTTTCGCTTTTGACCTCTGTGGCTCAATTTTTAGGAGAAGCACGCTCCAAGTCACAAGTCTTCCGGGATTTCACAGCTCAGTCTGACTATGTGCAGGAACTTTTGGCCATTCTTTATCCTGTAGTCGTTGGTTCAGATACCGTCAGTCCCAGCACTGAGATGAACTCCCGGTGTAGTGGGCTTAGCTTTGACGAAAGCAACTTGGTTATACGACCACGCTCCAGCAATGTCACTACACAGGCAAACCTACAAACCTCCACCGTCGAGTTCTCATGCAGTCCTCCTGATGAGAGTACTGATATCCTGCGTCGTGGATCGTTCATACTTGTCTCTTCCAATCAGAGACACCAGCCTTCTTCCGCGCGCATCCACCGTGTAATTGACCCTCAATTCACTGCAGATGTCGCTGCAACACAACATCCGCTTGTGAAGACCGTCTTCGAACTGGTTCTCGCTGTTTTTGAGGACCAACTGCTAGAGCGGAAAGATTTTTCTGGGCTGGGGCTGTATCACAAGACGCCACCTGGATTTATTGATCAACATGCATATTTCATCTCGTGGATCTTCAAATGCCTGCTGTCGACTTTGCAGAAGTTGCCCTCGTCTAAACCTCGCATTCTTCAAGAACCTCGAACTCTGACAAACCTTGGCCGCTTTGCTACCCACCTTGCTGAGGCGGTCTATGAAGGTTGGTTCATGGACGGGGCAGCAGCCACGCTAGAAAGTGTCGGGTCCATCCTTGAGTATCTCCAACGGCCTGACATCTCACCTCTGAAGAGCATTCGGCTGTGTAGCCAGGCAGTCGCGACTTTGCAGTCAACTCTTTATAGGGTTGTTCTGTTTCAGTTGTCAGACGCGGAAGATGGAGAAGCTTTATCTGTTTTGAAGCGTCTGAACTACTGGCAGGTTGTTCTTCTCTCGGCATCTGAGACCCAGTCCAAATACCTCCATCTGGTTTGCTATTTACTCTACACTAAATTGGTCAGTGATGACCATGAAGTCCGTCTAGCAGCTGCAAATTTCTGGAGAGTGATCCTCGTGCAACGGCCGGACGAGATGACCGCCATTCTTAGCAATGTTCCTGTCCCGCTCCAGCGTAGACTCGCGGAAGGCTTCGATTCTCTCGTGGGATTCGAGGATGAGTCGTTCTTGAAATGGATCGACGACCAGAGAGACGACCTTGACGCTTTATTCTTTGGCACTATGTCTCGGTCTTGGGAGGCATTCGTTCTGGAGGAGAACGCAAAGAGCGAGGATTCCGCCAAGAACCGCATCTCGAAACGTAAAGACAGGCTCAAGCATTGGATCCATCTGGAGAAGTTTGATGAAGAGGTGATTCGTAAGCATGATGCCACTTTACCCCATTGGATCTCGAACATCTCGGCATCTGAGTTCTTGAAGTCGCAAAGATCGCAGCAGGATTCGCAAGACAACTCGGCTTTCATGTGGTCCGCATTCTCGACACTTTTGCTGGATCTGCGGCGACCAGGTGGCCTCCTCGCAGAGGACAAGGAGAAGAAATGGAGACTTGACCAAACTGAGGGTCGCAGTCGTATGCGATTGCGCGTCGTCCCTGATGAGTCCGGTGAACGACAAGAGTATCGGCCAAAACGGAAGGCCTCTGAGCCACCTGCAGTCAAGATTGACACTCGCATGCGCGCCTTGTCTGAAGGTGAAGCATCTTCAACACCGACTCACTTGGCAGCCGAACCCCCATCCGTCGAAGATCTTGAGCAAGAAGACGGTCAAGACGGCGACGGCGACGGCGAAAATCGTAGCATGCTCGAAGAAAATTTCGAGATGATCGACGATCCGAAATTCGAGCTTGAAGACTACGAAGACAAGAACCGGAAGGTGATGAGGTCTCTGCAACGAGGTGACCAAGTTCAAAATGTCTGCAACTTGTCTCGAATCATCGGTCTCGAGGCCGTGGAAGGCCTCCTGATTATCGGGAAAGACTGCATCTACATTCTAGACGGCTTCTTCCAACGAGCAGATGGCGAGATTGTCAATGTCTGGCAAGCTCCATCCGAGGAACGCGATCCGTACGTGCGAATGATTGCTGGCCGAAAGTCCAACGACCGTCGTTCCCAAGAGCATGAGACAAGAAGCTGGAAGTGGTCCGATTTAGTTAGCGTCTCGAAACGTCGATTCCTCTTCCGTGATGTGGCTTTGGAAATCTTCTTCACGGATGGTACCAGCTATTTGTTAACCTTTTTTTCCCCGCGGGTCCGAGATGATCTTAGCAACCAGCTTGGTTCCAAAGCGCCGCAAGTCACCGGAAGTGCAGGACACTCACGGCCGGAGGATATCTGGCGCTACGAGACCCTGCGTAGCCAAGAAGATGCGCCACAGTCCCTCGGCTCGAAGTTTGCTAGCGTTTTTGGTCACCAGGCATCAAATCCGGCGACGCGGAAATGGCTTCGGGGCGAGATCTCTAACTTCCACTATCTTATGTTGATCAACACGCTTGCTGGACGAACTTTCAACGACTTGACCCAATATCCTGTCTTCCCATGGGTTCTAGCCGATTACACTAGCGAAGAGCTCGATTTGACCAATCCGAAGACATTCCGTGACCTGTCGAAGCCTATGGGTTGTCAGGCACCGGATCGTGAAGCTGGCTTCCGAGAGCGATACAATGCATTTGCAGAGATGGGTGATGACAATGCCCCGCCCTTCCACTATGGAACTCATTACTCTTCGGCCATGATCGTTAGTTCATACCTCATTCGGCTGCAGCCATTCGTCAAGTCCTATCTTCTTCTCCAAGGCGGCACTTTCGACCATGCCGACCGGCTTTTCTACTCTATCCGCAAAGCATGGGAGTCCGCATCGCGAAACAACATGTCCGATGTGAGAGAACTGATTCCTGAGTTCTTCTATCTCCCTGAATTTCTTGTGAACTCCAACAAATACGACTTCGGCCTTCTCCAAAACATGACAACAGCCATTGACTCGGTTGAGCTACCGCCTTGGGCTAAGGGTGATCCGAAGATCTTCATTGAGAAGCACCGCGAGGCACTGGAGAGCCCGTACGTGTCTGAAAACCTGCATCAATGGATTGATCTCGTTTTTGGTAGCAAGCAGAAGGGTGAGGCTGCTGTTGAAGCAGTCAATGTCTTCCACCACCTGTCCTACAAGGGGGCGAAAGACTTGGATGCTATCGATGACCCAGTGGATAAGTTGGCTACGATTGGCATAATCCACAACTTTGGACAAACACCTCATCAAATTTTCCAGCGGGCCCATGCTCAACGTGAAGATCAGCGGCATCGTATACCCCGATTGGATACACTCGCGGAGTCGTTGACCCAGATGCCACTTTCGCTTCTTGATATCGAGGAGCGAGTGTCGACTCTCTCAATGAAGCAAGACCGTCTACTTTGCACAGCTGCTTTGAGACTCAACGTCCCACCAAGCTTTGACCACTACATGGAATGGGGCTTCTTTGATGGTAGTGTACGCTTTTATGCCACGGATAGTCGCAAGTTGCTTGGCCATTTTGAACACCTACATATCGGGCAGCTCTCGCACGCTAGCTTTGCCGATTCGCGAACACTCGTCACCTGTGGAACGGACTGTACAATCTCCCTTTGGACGGTCACGACAGGCTCTAGGTCTGTTGACCTCCAGCCCATCGGATCACTGTTCGGTCATCGTGCCCCGGTTACCACGCTTGCAGTCTCCCGATCCTTCAGTACCTTGCTTTCCGCGTCCAGCGATGGCCAGATTATGTTGTGGGATCTGAACAGACGATGCTTTGTGCGAGCGCTTCCCGCTAATGGAATCGTCGATTGTGCCCGAATCAACGACGTTACTGGCGACATCATCGTCTGTCGAGGCAAACGCATAACCATGTATACACTGAACGGAGAGCTTCTTGTTGATCAACCAGTGTGCGATTCAGCTGACGACCACGTGCTATCCTGCGTCTTCTACGAAGGTGTTCAAAACGAATGGCTAGAGCGCGAGCTCGTCTTTACCGGCCACAGCCGCGGTGTTGTGAACATCTGGAGCAAGGCCATACATGGCGGCCGGTTCGAGCTGGAACTCATTCGACAGCTACATCATACCGACAGCAACCGCGACAACGGAGCTAACATTTCCGCTGGGATCAGTTGCATTTTAGCCCTTCCCCAAGTGGTTTATACTGGGGACGAGGCAGGCCGAGTGGTGAGTAATTTCCAACATCATCGAATCTTAGTATCGTGAACATAGCGCTAATCCTTGGCCGTCAGTACGAGTGGAACTGTATCCAACGGCGCTGATCCTGCTCCTGCAACTCCCATTCCCGCGCGGGCCGGCTACACTGAACAAACCACGCAACTTTGGGGGGGACTCCCAGGTTGTGATGGGGTTCACCGCAAATATACACAGGTACAAAGAGCACGGCGTTCTATTTTCTTCCATGGGCATTTTGGGTCCGTTTCCTCCGCAGTTTCCCCTCTTGGGTTTGAACTTCAGCATAGATAGCGCTATATCATGGCATCAATTAGCATGGGCACCGAAAGCACGGGTCTCCTTCACAAGACGGAATCGAGATGGATATTTAACCGGGTTCCGGTGAGCAGGATGCAGCCCCGTACTGTAGTGGGCCGTTGACCGGTCGACCACACTCCGGTTGGCGTGTTCGGAGCACACTGCGCCGCGCTTGAGAGTTGGGGATTGTCCGGTTTCAATTGAAGCCATGTTCAGAAGATCAAATAATTCCATGGCAGAACAGTCTACGTAGTTCAATGTAAGATCCGCTTGTAGTTGGGGAGGAATGGAGCTGTTCGGAAGCTGGTGGAATTGACGTTCCTGACACGTTGGAAAACCGGCGAGTTTTGGAGGGGTTGCCTCTGCCGGTGATTTCATCGTGCAGCGTCATTGGGCCCCACTCGCCCATCCCACCTTCCGGTACTTCTGTCCATTATGGGATGGCCATACTGAAGGTATGTACTCTTAGCTCAGCGCTTCCAGTCCACGGTTGCCCGCCTCTAAATATCTTCGTGCCGCCACTTTCCTCCTTCCCGCATTCTCTTTCTTGACCATCTTCTATCTCATCCATTTCTCTTCAACAAGCATCTCCACATCATGTCTTCCTCCTCGAGCAGCTCAAGGCCACCGGCACTGTCGTGGTCTGCGACTCTGGTAAGTCCCACCGATTAATCTGCATGCGTCGAGCTCTCCACTAACACGCGTACCTTAGGTGACTTCGCCAGTACGTTATATCGAACCCCGCTACGAATGGCGTTAAGTTGAAGATTGCTAACATGCCACAGCCATCGGCAAGTACAAGCCTCAGGATGCCACCACCAACCCTTCCCTGATCCTGGCTGCGTCCAAGAAGCCCGAGTATGCCGCTCTCATCGACTCCGCCGTGGCCTACGGTAAGAAGAAGGGTGGTTCCCTCGACGCCCAGGTCGACGCCACCCTGGACCGTCTCCTCGTCGAGTTCGGCAAGAAGATCCTCGAGATCATCCCCGGCAAGGTCTCCACCGAGGTCGATGCCAAGCTGTCCTTCAGCACTGAGGCCTCCGTCAACAAGGCCCTTGAGATCATCAAGGTACGTGTCACATCCCCCGGTGTGGCAATAGTTTTTTTTTTCGCGTGCTAACTCTGTTTTCCAATAGCTCTACGAGGAGGTCGGCATCAAGAAGGACCGCGTGCTCATCAAGATCGCCTCCACCTACGAGGGTATCAAGGCCGCTCACATCCTCCAGTCCCAGCACGGCATCAACTGCAACCTGACCCTGATGTTCTCCCTGGTCCAGGCCATCGCCGCCGCTGAGGCCGGTGCATTCCTGATTTCTCCCTTCGTCGGCCGTATCCTCGACTGGTACAAGGCCGCTCACAAGCGCGACTACACCCCCCAGGAGGACCCCGGTGTCAAGTCCGTTCAGGAAATTTTCAACTACTACAAGAAGCACAACTACAAGACCATTGTCATGGGTGCCTCCTTCCGTAACACTGGCGAGATCACCGAGCTTGCCGGCTGCGACTACCTGACCATCTCCCCCAATCTCCTGGAGGATCTCTTCAACTCCACCGAGCCCGTCCCCCAGAAGCTCGACGCTAAGGATGCCCTCTCTCTCGACATCCCCAAGCGCGAGTACCTCCACAAGGAGGCTGAGTTCCGCTTCGACTTCAACGAGGAGGCCATGGCTGTTGAGAAGCTCCGTGAGGGTATCTCCAAGTTCGCTGCTGATGCCGTCACCCTCAAGGAGCTCCTTAAGGCTAAGATCCAGGCTTAAGTGATCGGCCCTGGGGTTTATTAATTTCTTCCATGTTTCTCGCTTTCTCTTTTGTTTTACAGACTTTATTTGTAAATTGGCGATCTCCAAAATGTCTGTGGAATCGGTAGATACGAATTGATGAATTTTTTCATGATCTAAAATTGATTTTTCTTTGACCCCCTTGGAACTTGATTAAACCCTATGCGTATGAATCCCCGGTGTCGGAAAGGCAAAAAGCCGAAGGTTCCGAGACCCCCCTGGTTGCGCGAGGATCTGGCCTGTTCGGCTTATTCACCGGAGCGGACTAGGGACGAAAGATGAACCCCGCAGCGCCTCTGTTGGGGTGAACGGTGTGACTTGCCGCGGGTGCACCCGTAGACCGACACCGAGAAGAAAATATACTCAGGGAAGCAAAGGGGCATTGGACGGGAAACATGATCGATGTAGATTGACCCGATCTGAGTCCAGCCATTCTCGATACCATTGATACCGTGGTCATGTCCGTAGAGGTCTCGACGGCATTATGTCATTTCCCCTCGTTCCGAAGAGCTGCCCGCTTAGGCAGGTGGGGGTCTGTTTTCACGCGGTAATCATGTATCGGTACTGATCTACACACACAGGTAGAAGGCTACATTAGGTACCAATACAAGAGCTAGGTGTTTCCCGGTAATGGGTCACGTCAACATCATCCACTTATTATCTTTGCGTCGCCCGCCTCCTGAGGATTTTCTCTTCTTCTCCTCAGATTTCCAGACTCGATTTTTAAACAAAGTATCAAGAAATCATCCAACTCGTCATCATGGTTAAGGCTGGTAAGTGCGAGAGCTCCATACCCCACAATACCTCAATACCCCCAAATACCTCAATACCCCAGCAAGGACCTTGGGATGAGCACATTCGAGCACCTTGGGGGATCCTTTGCGGACCTATCGGCTGCTTTCCTCCTCTCCACTGGCCTGGGATCTCAGCTTCAGCCGGATCTGATCGAGCTCATTTGCTGTTGCAACCCCGAGGGGCTCAAATGAGCTCGGGGTATGCGGGCCATTCCTTCCACCCGCGTTCTGGAAGCATCAACTTTGGCTGGATTATCAGTGATGACTTATGAGCGATGGACTATAAACTAATACGACGCAGTTGCTGTCCTCCTCGCGGAGACGCGAAGATTGGTGGTACCGTCACCTTCGAGCAGGCTGATGAGAACTCCCCCACCACCATCTCCTGGAACATCACCGGTCACGATGCCAACGCCGAGCGTGCCTTCCACGTCCACCAGTTCGGTGACAACACCAACGGCTGCACCTCTGCCGGCCCCCACTGTATGTCCTGCAGGTCTAAGCAATGGCAGAGTGATCAGCTAACATACCACAGTCAACCCCTTCGGCAAGACCCACGGCGCTCCCACCGACTCCGAGCGCCACGTCGGTGACCTTGGCAACTTCAAGACTGATGCCGAGGGCAACGCTACCGGCTCCATGCAGGACAAGCTCGTCAAGCTGATCGGCGCCGAGAGCGTTCTCGGCCGTACTCTAGTCATTCACGCCGGCACCGATGATCTCGGCAGGGGTGGCACCGAGGAGTCCAAGAAGACCGGTAACGCTGGTCTCCGTCCCGCCTGCGGTAAGTGAAATCGGGTTGATCACTTGATCTTCCGCAATCTACAGATACTAATTGTTGTACAGGTGTCATTGGTATTGCTGCTTAAACGCCCCCAATTTACACGTGTAGTCGGGTCTTGTTATCCCCCATCTCTTTTTGAGATGAAAAGTTCAGGATAGTACCCTGGCTAGGATGAATGAACGTCAATTGCAATTTGTGCTCCTCTAATTCCACTTCGTCATTGTACACTTCCTACTTGATGCCTCGTAGAGCTCACCGGCGTACAATGTACTACACAATAATGTGGCCCGGAGCCCCCAGACCGCTTTCCCCACAACCACCGGCCACGTTTCGACTCCGAACCCCTTCTTATCGCCGTCCTTTTTTTCCCCTTTCTATTCTTTCTTTCTTCATCATTGTCATCTGTGTTACCACCGGTGGCCAGTGTCTGTTTCCTCTCAATGCCTTTCGAAGCCCGCGTCAAGTCCGTCCTGTCAGGCGACACGGTCGTGCTGTCGCATGTCACCAATCCCTCACAAGAACGCATCCTGAGTCTGGCCTATGTGTCCGCACCGAGATTAAAGAGAGAGGGCGATGAGGTGGGTATTTGGTCCTTTCCAATTGGCTCAATTGGCAGATATTCTCCGGAGTTTCCTTGGAAACCTTCGGTGCTCTGTTAAGCTGTTGACATGATCGGAGGCAGCGCAGGTGAACTAACTCAGACCAATCATAGGCCTACGGCTTCCACTCCCGTGAATTCCTTCGTGAGCTCCTTGTTGGCAAGGTCATTCAGTTCCACGTCGTTTATACCATCCCCACCGGCGCCAAGCGCGAGTACGGTATCATTAAGCTGCCTGGATTCGACGCCCAGCTTCCCGATATTAGTGTTCAGGAGGGATGGACCCGTGTCCGCGAGGAGGCAGGCAAGCGCTCGGATGATTCTGAGGAGACTTTGGCTTTGTTGGAGCGATTGCGTGCCCTTGAGTCCCTCGCTCAAAACGAGGGCAAGGGTATTTGGTCTAGCACGGACAATGGTCAGATTGAGACCTCTTACGAATTGTCTAATGGCCAGGCATTGGTGGACCAGTACCGCAACAGCCAGCTAGAGGGTATTGTTGAGAGGGTTCTGAACGGTGATCGTGTCATTTTGCGCCTGCTGCTTTCGCCTCAGGAGCACCTCCAGACTTTAGTTGCGTTGGCGGGCGTGAGAGCACCTTCGACGAAGCGCACAACTGCCGAGGGTAAGGAGCAGGCTGGTGAGCCTTTTGGCGAAGAGGCTCTTCAATTTGTTGAGTCTCGTCTGCAGCAGCGCAAGGTCAAGGTCTGCCTGGTCGGTGTTACTCCCCAGGGCCAGCTAGTCGCTACTCTGCTGCACCCAATGGGCAACATCTCTCGATTCCTTCTCGAAGCTGGTCTGGCACGTTGCCAGGATCACCACTCTACTATGCTTGGTGGTGACATGGCTTCTCTTCGCCAGGCGGAGCTCAGTGCAAAGGCTGCCCGCAAGGGTGTCTTTACCGGACACGTTGCTCCCAAGGGTAGCGGTGCCGCTGCTCTCGACTACACTGTCACCCGTGTATTGAACGCCGATACCCTTTTCATTCGCAATAAGGCCGGCCAGGAGAAGAAGATCAGCCTTACCAGCATCCGTCAGCCCAAGCCCTCTGACCCCAAGCAGGCTCCTTTCGCTGCCGAGGCCAAGGAGTACCTCCGTAAACGTGTCATTGCCAAGGCTGTGAAGGTTACCATTGATGGTAAGAAGCCCGCCAACGAGGGTTTCGAGGAGCGTGAGGTTGCTACTGTCATGCAGGGCAACGTCAATGTTGGTCTGGCCATGGTTGAAGCCGGATATGCCTCCGTGATCCGTCATCGCATGGATGATAACGACCGTGCTCCCTACTACGATGAGTTGTTGGCCGCTGAGGCCGAGGCACAGAAGGAGAACAAGGGCATGTGGTCGCCCAAGGCTCCCAAGACCAAGCAAATTGTGGACTATTCTGAAAGCGTCCAGAAGGCGAAGCTGGAAGTCGGCATCCTGCAGCGCTCGAAGCGCATCCCCGCTGTTGTCGACTTCGTCAAGTCTGCTTCCCGTTTCACCGTGATTGTTCCCCGGGAGAACGCCAAGTTGACCCTCGTCCTTTCCGGTATTCGTGCTCCTCGATCTGCCCGCGGGCCGGGTGAGGCTGGCGAGCCGTTTGGTCAGGAGGCCCACGATTTGGCTAACCGTCGCTGCATGCAGCGCGACGTTGAGATCGACGTTGAGACGATTGATAAGGTTGGTGGTTTCATTGGAACTCTTTACATCAACAAGGAGAACTTCACCAAGGTCCTTCTGGAGGAGGGTCTTGCTACCGTACATGCATACTCGGCTGAGCAGTCTGGTCACGCCAACGAGTACTTTGCGGCTGAGCAGCGGGCTAAGGACGCTCGCAAGGGTCTTTGGCACGACTGGGATCCCAGCAAGGAGGCTGCTGAGGCCGAGGAGTCGGAGGCTGCGAACGGCGGCGACGAGAGAGTGAAGCCGCTGCCGGCCAGCGCCGCAAGGACTACCGCGATGTGACCGTCACCTACGTTGATCCGGCATCTGGAAGATTGAAGCTGCAGCAGATCGGCTCCGGTACCAACGCTCTCACCGAGCTGATGAGCGCGTTCCGTTCCTTCCACCTGAACAAGGCCAACGACACCCCCCTGCCCGGACCTCCCAAGGCCGGTGAGTGGGTTGCTGCTCAATTCAGCGAGGACGGTAACTGGTACCGCGCCAAGGTTCGCCGCAACGATCGTGAGAAGGAGCAAGCTGAGGTTGTTTATATCGACTTCGGTAACTCTGAGGTTCTGCCCTGGAGCAGCCTACGTCCTCTCACCCAGTCCCAATTCACAAGCCAGGCTCTGCGCCCCCAGGCTGTCGATGCCGCCCTCTCGTTCCTACAGTTCCCCACCTCTCCTGACTACCTTGCAGATGCTGTTGCTTTCGTGACCGACCATACCTGCGACCGGCAGCTCGTCGCCAACGTCGACTACGTTGACCCCGAGGGCACTCTGCACGTCACTCTTCTCGACCCCACCAACTCCAAGAGCCTCGACCAGAGCATCAACGCCGACATTATCTCCGAGGGCATGGCGATGGTGCCTCGTAAGCTCAAGGCGTGGGAGCGTGCTTCCATTGATACTTTGAACACCCTGCGTGAGCTCGAGGAGGAGGCCAAGGCCGAGCGCCTCGGTATGTGGGAGTATGGTGATCTGACCGAGGACTAAGTCTGAAGCTGGAAAATTTATCTGTATCTATTTGGAAAAGTATGGAATGAGATCGCACCATTCTGCATAAAATTCGGGATCGGCTTGAGACGAAAATACCACGTGCTATGGCACTCAGCACAATGCCATTTTAATCTGCTATTCACATTTTCTTTCCTTCTCCATCTGATCTCGGATCCACGCATAGTTCATCCTATGTGGGTTCGCCCCTGCAGTTCGTGGGCGCCGTCGATTGCCGAAACTCCTCACCAATTAACTTTAGTTTAATTAGATCAAGCATGGAGTGGCAGATCCCATCCAACAATAGATCTGTCAGTTAGCAATACTCTGGTGCCATATCAATAGTTCAACCCGACTCCGTTGCCTCGGCCTCCCAGAACCTGGTTGCCGCTGGGTCTCGAGGGACTCCTAAGATTTCAGCTGACCGCCCTTTCTCCCCGACATCTCCGCCACCGTCTGTTTTTTCGGGGGCCAATTTCATACATACCCCCGACGAGAGAAATTTAGAAAAAAAATGCTCTGGCGCACGAAGTCCCACCACAGCCAGGCGTCCGAAGCGGACGCCTCGGTCGCGCGTACCGCGTCCCCGTCCCAGAATGATCCGTCCGCTTCCGCCGATCAAGCTGCGGGCACTGCGTGGCTCGCTGGACACTTACACCACCTTACGCCGGGGCAGGATGAGAAACTGGTCGAATTCAAGACTGTCTGCGCTGAGCGCAAATACTATACACCTGGTGTGGAACAGGGTGGCGAGACTCAGCCGCCAAGCCATGATGATGCGACTATGCTGTATGTTACATGGTCCCGTGTTCCAAAATGTTCTGTACCCCCAGTCTGGGACATGGCTGACAATGAAACGTTGATATAGGCGCTTCCTGAGAGCTCGCAAGTTCGATGTCGAGGCTGCCTGGGGTCAGTTCAAGGATACGGAGGACTGGCGAAAGGAGAATAAGATCGAGGACCTGTATGCGCATATTGGCGTGGATTCATACGAGGCTGCTCGTCGCATGGTAGGTGGTCCGCTTGGAGTTCGGCTGATAGAAAAATTATAGACTGACTCCATGCTACAGTATCCTCAGTGGACCGGTCGTCGTGATCGCCGCGGCATTCCCGTCTACGTCTTCGAGATCCGCCACCTCGACAACAAGGCTGTGGCTGCTTTCAACACTACGGCGACCACCGGTATCCCCGAGACACACAAGTCTTCTTCCGTCCCGGCTCGTCTGCTAAACTTGTTCGCTTTGTATGAGAATCTTCTCAACTTTGTTATGCCGCTGTGCTCGACGCTGGCGCGACCTAACCCCGAGACGCCCATCGTCACATCTACTAACATTGTCGATGTGGGCGGCGTTGGACTGAAGCAATTCTGGAACCTGAAGAGCCACATGCAGGATGCCAGTGTGTTGGCAACAGCTCACTACCCCGAGACGTTGGATCGCATTTTCGTATGTTCGCTCGCTACATTCCTTCATCGTGCATCTGCTAACTCACTTTAGATCATCGGTGCTCCAAGTTTCTTCCCTACCGTTTGGGGCTGGATCAAGCGCTGGTTCGACCCCGGCACTACTTCGAAGATCTTCATTCTGTCCGCCGCCGAGGTGAAGCCGACTCTGACCTCCTTCATGGAGCCCTCCAGCATCCCCAAGCAATACGGTGGCGAACTCGAGTGGCAATGGGGCGACATGCCCAACCTGGACGAGCCAGCGAAGGCGAAGCTCCAGGGCATCGAGCAGACCTCGCCCGAGGGCAAGAAGGAGATGCTGAAGGGACCCATGCTGTTCAAGGGTGACCACATCGAGGTGCTGGGCAGCCAAAGTGGCAAGGATAGACGGGAGACCATCCCGGTGCCTTCAACTGAGACTTCTGCCGAGTCCAACGAGAATCCAGCCGGTGACGTCGTGGCACCTTCTGCCTCCACTGAGAACGAGAAGACAGGCATCGACGCAGTCAACGTGAACCAGGTGAATGAGACCGAGACTCAAACCGCGACCGCTGCCGCATAGACGCGCATAGATTACCGCAACGGGCGTGGCGTGGGGGGAATGTGAGGGCAGATTCCTCAACCGAGGCATTCACCCATCTGATAAACGAATGCGTCTGCCTGTTTATCCTCGTTGAGTTTTCGTCATTATTTTGATTCTGTTTTTTATTCGGGCATTGCAGCTGCATGTGCATAGATGGAGGCTTCATTTACCTCCAACTTGTGGTTTCCGGTTCTTGGTCTGTTTTTGCTCAATTTCTACAACTTCCGGGTTTGGCTCTGGCCATTTAATGGGTTTGTCTTCTTTTTTCTTATTCTATATGGTCATGACTCATGATTTTTGGGCTTTTCAGTCCTTTGTTTGGTGGATTTTGGGGTGCTCGTTCATATCCTGGGCAAAGGGGATTCGGTACATAGAGTACATACATCTTTGGAGATTTTCGGGTTGTTCATTCTGTTGCCACGCAAGACGCTCAGAGCATAGTGGATGGTCTATTAGATCATGATCGCCGTGACTCGCACGTGTCTGGTTGTGTTCTAGATTTTTATGATTATCGATCAATATATTTGCTTCTTCACATGGGGCACGGCTCAATTTGTATGTACCCGCCCCTACTACAGTTCTGGGATGATCCGCTTTGTCTTCGTAGTCCAGTCCGCATGTCTATATTTCATCTTTCCGTTAAAGCACTGATAGCCTCCCATGGATGACTTGATCTCTATGCATGACAACTTATCTTCCTCAAGGGGGCCTTGACAGTACCTGGACTCCGTGTCCCTGATCCGAACCATGGAACCCTCAATGCGGGGGATGTCACATGACCTGTTCAGGGGCGCGTTCGTCGCCCAGGGTACAAAGTCGCACATGGTATATGGTACTACATGGTACAAGGAGCCTTCCGTCGGACATTTTGTGCCACGCGGTCTTCTGCATGATTCGTACTTCCTATGTCGTCCTTCCTACTTACATAAGATCATGTAGATTCATCTTAACACAGTTGGGTTCTTTCAATAGATCCCGGAGGAGCATGTGCGGTGCATTTTCATCATGGTCCCATCATAGCGGCCCGAGTGTCTCCTACTAGAACCAATCCAGCCCAGGAACCATCCCAGGACCCAGTCAGGCATTCGTCTCGCAGTTAGGCGGACGCTAGTGGAAGCGGCTGCGAAATGGTTGGGGAATCCTATGAGCTCGACGTCATGTCGACTTTCCCAAAGAGGGCAAATGGCTCCGGGGAGTCCCAAATTTGCGGAGGCTGTGGCTTCACATGCGCGCCGATGCCGAACTAGGGCCAAAGTGATCGACAGCGCCAGATTCATTTAAGCCCATCAAAAAACCCCCCGACGTTGTTGACCAGCATTCGGACTCTTTTCATTATGGCGGAACGCAACCCTAAGGACTCGATGAAGTCCACCTGGCGGCATCAAGCTCGCTCAGAGTGGACCCTATTCCACTGGTTCTATGAAGTACTGGGCATCCATCCCGAACATCTCGACCAGCAGGTTCCAACCCACATAAAGGAAGACGCCGTCCCGTATGTACCAGACTGGTCTATGCATCGCTGGGTACTCACGCACGCGGTGATCCCCCTTCTACTTCACCACGCCTACGTCCAATATACCGGCCATAACCTTGGCCGCTTAGGCGCCTTCATCTTATATAGTTTATCCTTCAAAGCAATCGCCATCCACGAACTTCATGTGCTCCGACGCCTGGGCCACACCCACGGCTTCCTAGACGGAGACAAGCACGCCCGCGATGGCGTCCCAGACATCGGCGTGAGCAAGGTCGTCCGCTCCCTCATGTCCACCTCGACCTTCCGCCCCATGTTCACCGTCCTACTCGCCTACCGCGTCGCCGAAGCTCCAGCATCAATGAGTTTTGCCTGGCTACCGCTGGAAATCGGTCTCTACGGAATCATCCTCGACTTCTGGTTTTATTGGTACCACCGTCTGATGCACGACGTAGACGGTCTCTGGAAATACCACCGCACCCACCATCTCACAAAGCATCCAAACCCGCTCCTCACACTATACGCCGACATGGAGCAGGAGTTCTTCGATATCGCAGGCATCCCGCTAATGACCTGGTTCACGATGCGGTTCATGGGTATGCCGATGGGTTTCTACGAATGGTGGATCTGCCACCAGTACGTCGTTTTCGCAGAGCTAGCGGGACACAGTGGGTTGCGCGTGCACGCCACCCCGCCATCCACGCTGAGCTTTGCACTGCGCTGGTTCAACGCAGAGCTCGTGATTGAGGACCATGACCTGCATCATCGCAAGGGCTGGAAGAAGAGTCATAATTATGGCAAGCAGACTCGTCTGTGGGATCGGATTTTTGGTACTTGCTGTGATCGCATTGAGTCGGTGGAAAATAATGTGGATTATGCGAATCAGTCACCTATGCCTCTTTATTGAGAGATGGCCATGCGTGATTCATACGAGGGGTTTCTGGGGGTAAAATAGGGCGTGTGGGTTTTGGTTTTTGCTGTTGATATGATTTTTGATACCATGTTAGATTTCACTTCTGTTATATTTTAACACCAATGATTGAATGAGACTGAAAGTTTGGTTTCGCTTTTGTAGTCGTGTACATGAGTACCCGACTCTCTCTCCCTCTCCCTCTCTCTCTCTCTCTCTCCCTCTCCCTCTCTCTCTCTCTCTCTCTCTCTCGTTGGATTTAGCATGACTTGTATTGTTGCGCACAACATAAGTCTGGTAAGAATGATCTCGGCCCTTCAAGGACCGCAATCTAGCGCAACAGAAATATTTCAAAATTCGAAAAAAAAAAACATCATGGAATGCGGGCACTCTCTCGTTTATCAACAATTACGGGTCATCGCGGGAAAAATGTTCCAGTCGAGTCCAAAGTGAAGAATCAATGGATCTCGATGCCTAGCCCATTTCATAATAAATTCAGCCGACCGGCAGCGACTTCGAAGTCATCTGGCATGATACAAAACAAGCATCAAGCTGTCCGGTCCAATATATCACAAAGTCACAAGATTCAAGATTCGCTTTTGTATGTTACAAAAAAATACTATCAAATCACAAAGTTCCATGATTGGTGACGATAAAGTAAAGGTTGAAAGGGGTGTCGGATCCTACACGATACACGGAAGTGCACATACACAGACAATATTTGTGGTTAGGTTTTACTGCGTGGCCACAGGCGGTTCGGGGCCTTGGGATATTGTAGAGGGCACATGAAGTGACTAGTAGGAATTTGTAGCTCAATTGGACCCTCATAGGCCACTGAATAGGATAAATTCCTGCTGATTGATGCCCCAGTCTTCCGCAGATCCTCAACGTCGACAACAATGAAAAATTCTCTCAAGCTTTGATCATTGAAGATTTTAACGAGAGTAGAGTTCTTAATTGATACCGATCTTTCCGGGCACCGTGTTTGATAGAAGACAAAGGCGGATCCTTCTGGAATTTTCAATCCTGCCACTTCCATTTCAGACAGCAAGTCTCCCTCGGGATCATCGATAATAAGCACATTACTTGCTGATTCCGTGTCAGGCTGTGACTTGAGATCAGAGCCACTTGGACCTTTTGTGCGCCTCGGCGTTGGTGGTGTTTCTGGTATTTCTGGGACTTTTTGCCCGTTCAGCTTCAATTCAAATTTGACAGGGCTTGTTAGTTGATTATTGATTGTATAAAAGGGCTTTTGACGACGGGTTTCGTATTTTCCCTTTACATCAACCAAGTCGATTATTGAAAAGTAATAGTTCTCGCTCTTTGGGTATTTGATATCCTGGAATTGGCAGTCCTGGCCCAAATTGTGCATGAATTTTGATATAAGCCTTGGGCCACCCTCGAGACCTTGTGAGGTAACCCTTTCCTCCGCCTTTGAAGGAAAACAGGTCAAAGCGCTCCTTGCCTAACACGACGTTGCATCATGCAGTTGTCATATTAATGGTGCTTCTGAGGGCGATATAATAACTCTTGAAATGTTTAATAGGATGAGAGTTAGCCCATGGCAATTGGGTGGTTTTGATTTATGCCACCCTGTTATAAAACGCATATGTGAACCTCTCGCTCAGCAGATTCGGCACCTACATCAGTTCCTATCTAACATCTATGACCAGAGATTACATCTGTGGCAATTGGAAAGCATTCCTGAGTAGCATTGTATGCCGCAAAAAACAGGAATTTAATTGCCAGGAGAGTAAGGAATGGAAGCCTCTTATTGAGGTAGGCTTACGTTGTGTTCGTTATCTTGCTACGCAAGGTATCGTGCGAGCTTCGGTGTCAAAATGCTCTTATCGTGTACCCCAATCTGACTCTTGGAGACGATATTCTATTGCAAGAATCCGAAATTCCTGGCACCAATGCCGATAAATGGACTATTTTGAAGGCAACACACCACGCAGAAAAGGAGGATATGACTAGTTTAAACAACTTGGTGGATCTTGGTATAAAAGATAGCCAATGATGGGCTCGACACAGCACTTCCACTTATTCCGATAGTCCATTTCGGTGATTATATGTTATTACTGCTGACAGATTTGAGATTGAAAACCTTTACAGGATCTCAAATCGAATGGAAGAATATCTGAAAGAGGCTGAAAATTTCTACACACTCCCAGATGGAGAGAAGGAAGATTTTAACACCACACTAAAAATCCCCCTTTCCATTAGGGTTTATGGTGCACCAGGGTCTGGAAAATCCTTTGTGATCGAGCAAATTATTCAAGGTATTACTAAAAAAACGCGACAGGGAAAGACCAACAAATATCCTGATCTATATTGGAATCTTTCTCAGGTTCTGGACTACTCCAATCTCTTGGTTGTCTTCCAGACCGTCCGTGATAAGACTGTATCGGGTCAGGTTCCTATTGTTTGCTTCGACGAGTTTGACACAACTTTGAATGGAGAACTTGGATGGCTCAAGTTCTTTCTCGCCCCTATGCAAGGCGGGGAATTCTTCGACCAAGGGCGAAGCCGACCTATTGGCCATGCCATTTTCATTTTCATAGGGGCACCCGGTTCACGTTCGAAGATTTTCAGCATGACCGAATCCAACTTGTCGATGCTGGATCTGTTGATAACCCTGAGCTCGCACCCGGTAGCTCGGGTCGAAGGGATAGCAATACCATGCATCGAGAAGAAAAAGCCCAAAGGGCTGCTCGAGCCGTCAAGCTACCGGACTTTGTGAGCAGATTGAATCGTCATCTCGATATCCAGGGTTACGACAAGAATTCTGACAAAGACCCTGTATAAATAATTCGACGAGCGATACCTATTCGTTCCAAGCTGGAAGAAGTGGGTTCAAAGCTGAAGGGGTCTGAACTGGCAGGGACAGAGGCTCCCAAGCTAGATGATGCTACACTCAAAAATCTTCTTATGGCAAAAACGTATAAGCATGGAGCTCGGACGATCGACAATATCTTACAACAAACTTCATCTTAACGCAATTCTTCCCGAGCAAGGTTCATCTTCACAAAAGACTTCTGGGGGGAGTTCATCTCCTCAAAAGACTACCGAAGAAGATTTGTCTTCTCGTGAGGCTTTCGAGAAAGTTTTACATCCTCATGAGGCTTCTGAGGAAGTTTCATCTTCTCAAAATGCACCTGAGCAACTGCTGCCACCTCATGAGCTTTCGATGAAGTTTCACGTCCTCAGAAGTTTTCAGAGGAAATTGTTCAGCAGAGTAATGCAGAGTAATCAGATTTAGTTGGATTCGGATGCGAGTAAATCCCTAGGAATTAGCAAACACAGGATTCTTGAATCATGAGACTTGATAAGAAGCAGAAAAAGAAACGGAAATGTGACGAGCGAATTTCTGACTGTGGTATGGAACCCATAAAGTGCCCATGTATCTATGCAAAATACTCACTTTTATTTCTCTTGATATGCTTGGCCGTCACAATTGTTGGATCCTGGCGACTTAGGAATGGGAAACTCTCAGAAGCCAGTGACTGAGCTCAAGATCACATGGATTGAAGAGCCCACGCTCTCTGCATACAACCTGAAGATTCCAGAATAAAAGGCCTGCTCACAACTTTTTCAGTTGTACACTCAGATCGTCAACCGTGAATGAAAACATGAATGGGTCGCTGGTTTTAAGATAAATAGTCGGCAAGAGAAAAAAGAGCGCAAGCCGACCATTGCATTAAGTCATGATAGAGATACGACTTATTTCTCCTTCGTGAACAACTTCAATTCTAAGCTGTCTTTCTTCAATGTTGGCAAGCATGGGGAATTTTGGCGGTTGTTATGCGATTTGCGATATGCAGTTGACAACTTGATTCCTCCAACACCCAAGTATGTAAAAAGTAATAGGCTGCAATAATCACACATGGATTTGATGACTAGTGAGAAGGACCAGCTGCCCCGTCTGCTGTTGTTCCACAAGACTCTCCAAGCGCGTAACTGAGTCCTGCACTTCCTCCACAGTTGGCAAATTGACAATGAGAAGATATAGCACATCCTGCTGCATGACCTTCTTGATAATACCCTGCCGCCGGGGCCTATTCATTTTGTCCAATCTTGGACCACGGGGAAGTCGACCCTGAGCAACACGCTTGATACCCAGTCTTTCTTGCCTTCTGGCTTTCTTAGCTTGGCGTCGAGGCAATGGGTTTATTTTCCCGCCCGGTGAGGAGTGAAATTAGAGAACCGTTGTTAACGGCGTGGGTAGGGGTCGTTGTATCGTGATTGCATGCTCTCCCTCTGGCTGGCCGGGACGACAAGCGATGAGCCCGGATTTTCACTTTCCTGTAAGTATATTAGTAGAAAACACATGTAAACAAAAGGAGTCGAACGTACGTAAAAGGCCTGGGCTCTTCGATCCATGTAGTCTTGAACCCAGATACCGGCGTCCTTGAACTTTTCGCGAACTCCTGAGTTCTCAGGTCTCTTCTCATTTGTCTTTATCCCGAGCTCCTGAGCAGCAACGCGATCGAGATCAGGGAATACAAGCTCTGCAGACTCGGGAAGCTCGACTTGACCATATGTCTTGCCGCTCGCCAAGCGAATGTTCTTCAGCTGCTTGCTCATACTCGACATATTCGGATCAGGATTGCTGTATTTAGCAATCGTCTCATTGAGATCAAGCTTTTTGCTTGCAAAGAGAGTCTTCCCTAGATTATTAGAGAGATTCGCCAGAAGACCCCGTTGCTGGCCAGGTACTTGATCTTTGAAGCACATCACCATGGCGTAGAGACCGCGTGGCATGAATAGCGCCTGGTTGACTTTATCAAGGAACGTATTCCCCCGATGACGGGACTGGAGTTCCCGAGCAGTGCCAGCCACGACTTGGACCACTGTGCCGACCACCTGGGTAGCCACATGGGGGACAAGACCAACAATACCGGCGGCAACAAAGACCACGTCGATCCAAGGATCCGCCTACTTTGAGTTAGGACATTCTTCGCCCGATTCCTGATGGCAGACGGGAAAGTCACGAACCTTGCTAGATTTCTCCCAATCGGCCAAGAATCGCAAGAACACATCTTGACCAATTCCGCAATCTTGAAGGACCGGAGCATACGCTCTCACAAACCCACGATCCTTCTTTCCGAGGTTGCCGCTGCGGAAGAATAACAGGACATGGAATCGTTCTCCCGGGTTCTGGAGGAGGACCAGCCATCCCGACCATGCGTCGAATCATGTCATCCTCCTTTGTCCTTGATATCAGACTCGGTAGATGACACCATAGCCTCCTCCTCGGAACGCGACATTACACGCTCGGTCATTTCATCAAGCTCCCAAGCCGCTTCATCCTAGTTGGTGACGAGCTCGTTTTCCGAGTCACTGTAAGAATCAGAGTCGACCTTATGCACGCGCAGTACTTCTTTCCCATCTATGACGACCCATTCGGCTGCGCCGCAGTTGACGAGCTTCTTCGCTTCGACTTGGTCGATATTCTCAATATACTCGTACTCATCTTCTAGGTTTTTGATTGCAGGGGCCTCGGCATCTCTGGGCATAGCAGAAGAAGAAGCTTCGCCGGGTTGACTGGATCCTGACCGTGCGCGGTGGATCATCTCCGAGCTAGCCCCGATGCCTGCGCTGAGCAGTTTTCCGACGATGCCCTGTCGTCCGAGAGGCATTTTGAAATGCTTGTAAGAGGGTTGAAACAGAGACAAAACTCCTGCGTTTGAAAGAAAAAAGGGGCGCTCTGATTTAGGGTATTTCAAGCTTCGGCACAGTCGCACTAACATAGAGCTCAAGTGCTTACTTTTTCGCCCCCAAACTAGAGCTTAAGCCACTGTTCGACTCTTCGGGGGTGAAGACTGATAAGGACTTCAGCCCCACCCTAAATCTCGCTACAGCGGAGTGAATCGACTTCAAATCATTCCCAACTATAGATTACACTCTTGTCTGAAAACTAGTAATGGTATATGCAACGCTCTCTAAGCTTATGCCTTCCACAACATGTTGACTTGCTTCTTGCGAGCCTGGGAATAGAGTTAGTAAACGCAGAACGGGCTGCATGAGATGGGATCAAACTTACCATTGGAGCCAAAAATGAAACTCCGACGGCCAATGCCACAACAGTCAACAGAAGTTGCAGCTTAGAGAAGCTCTTGCCGAGAATGTCGAATGCCTGGCTAGGAGTGGCACGGGTGCCGAAGATATCGCCGCCGAACGCAAAGATGAGACTGGTACTCTCCAACAGTGTAGGCTGGGAGAGAACAGTTTTGATACCTGCGACATCGCGGGCGTGCGTCAGGTACCACTTGCCATCAAAGTCGAGGAAAGGCGCGTAGCGGAACAGACCCTCCTCAGCTTCGGACGAGGTTGGGTCTCGGCCGACGGGACGACGGGGGTCCAAGACTGGACGAGGAATACCGACGATGGAGTTGGAGAAGGGGAGGGTGCAAAGGAGCTGGCGAGTGGTGATGCCCTGGCGGGTTTGGGTGACAGCCATGTGAGAAATGGGTTCGGGAATCACGAAGGACTGCGAGACCACGTGAGGGAGCGGGCTGGCGCCGTGGATGCTGGAGTAGTTTCCAGCAGCGTCAAGAGGGCCACGGTCGTTTGGAATATCGGACTCATAAAGCTCAGAGATCACAAGCTGGTACCCCTTGGCGGAGGTTTCGTCAGTGACATCGCCGTAGAACGAGTAAGCGAACCAGTTTTCAGAGATGGTGGACGAAATGGGTTGGTTTGCGTCCACACCAACCTGGATAGCTTCATGTAGAATCTTGCCCGAAACAGCATCCAGAAGATAGAAGCCGGCAGTGTGGCCCTTGGTATCGACGGCAGTAACCAAAACCAAATTGGAGTTGAGGTACTTGTACAGGACTGAACGGTCTCCGAGAACTTTTCCAATGGACGCAACCGGGTCATGGGCAGGACGAGCCGTGGCCTGGATGACCTTTTGACCAGCAGGAGGAACAAACTCCCATACAGGAACCTTGTTATCGTTGTGGGCCCAGCCGAGCACACGGCCGTCGGTGCTAGTGGTTACTAAGTATCCAGTGCTCTTGTCAAAGGAAGAAACTGGAGTGCCATCCTCTTGGATGCCCACAACCTGGTTCTCAATGGTGGCAATTGACTGAATCTTAATATCCTTCGGCAAGGAGCGCGACGTAATAGAACCAGTGGAGACATCAAGTGTGATAGAGCTACCGTCACTGGCGTAGATGGTGGCCTCGCCAGATTCAACCAAAATCGCCTTGATGTCCCAAGAGGAGGTTTCAACAGCCTGGATGGACCAGGTGATCGCGCCCTGCTTACCAGTATCCAAGGCATAGACGCGGCCCTTTCGAGTAGCGATGATCACAGGCTTCGCAACTCCAAAGCTGTCCAAATTTGTCACCTCGTCACCGAGAATACTACCAAGAATACGGCTAGGAAGCTCTTTCAGCCAGGCGGGGAGGTGTTCGAGGTCCCGCACATGGCGCTTTACCCGATGGATGTATGCTCCGAGCAAGGTTTCGTGGCCCTCGACCTCCAGCTCATGAACCAGGTCTTCCTGTACATCGTTCTCCACCCAAGCGGCTGCAACGGCATCAATCAACGCCTCGGGGCGATTCCACTCGATTTGGCCGTTGCGAATGAGCTGCCAATCGCCAGAGTCACGTAGAATAGCAGCACGTACAGCGACGGCAGAGCCCTTTGCGACAACTTCTGCGGCGGCATTTGAAGCGCGTTCAGGGGAATTTGACCGAAGATCCCAACGCCCCAGAACGCCATGGGATGCGGACGAAACCACAACGGTCTCCGAATCAGTAATGCGAGTAAAGTACACATTGGCATCGATGCTGCTGGTAGCGACCACGGAAGGACCTGACACGAAGGGCAGCTGGTACGCCTTCGCCACCGTAGCAGCCTTCAAGTCCACGTGGTAGACCTCGGCCCAAGATCCAGTAGTTGTGCGATAGAGAACCAAGAAATGGGGAAGAGCGTTGAGTTTATGAGCAGCGTGCACCGTGATCCGCTCAATCTCCTGGCCCGACACGTTCTCGATAGAAACAGTGTTGACCTGCTTAGTGCCAATGACATTGATCTTGAGTGACTTGAGCGACTTGTCTGCCCAAACAATCAAAGGCGATGCAGCGTTGGCTCCCACAAACAGAACGGATTCAGGGCCGGTGACATCGGCATCCGAGCTCAAGCTGTGCTGGCTAGTCTGACGACCCGTCAGCGAGTCCAGAGAGGTGACCTTGATCTTGTAACCCTTCAAAACTGAGGACTGGAGCGAGATGTAAAAGACTTGAGTGGGAGAAGATGACACCTGGAATGGGACATCGCCGCTGGAACCATTATTTAGCACTGCTGCAGCCACTACCAGCGAAAAGCTTACCTGTCATCCTTGTATTCCCACTTAGTCTTTCCAGAGTCACCGTCCAGACGTCTCACAATACCGGCGCCGCCGTTGTTGACGAGCGCAAGCGTGTCGCGGACGCTGGAAGTCGCACTGGCATCCTCCAACTCCAGGAGCTCAAGATCCGCGATCAATCCATCAGCAAATTTGTTTTCCCAGACCAATTTTCCATCCTGAGCACTCCATGACGAAACATAGTCTCCGGCTGCGCCGACAACAGCGTCATTCCCATCGAGACCGCGTAGAATGCCGGCTCCGCCACTCAGCTTAGAGGCCGACCGCGAGAGGTCCTGCCGCCAGACTAATGAGCCATCTCGGGGATTGACAGCACCCAGAATCGACTTTTCGGAAATGGTGTAGAGGAGAGATGCATTGGAGGAGGTAGAGGGCTTGAGGAAGAAGGTCGAATCGGGGGGAGGGGGCACCGAGCAGCGCATGGTGGAAGTCAATGTGATTGACCTCGTCGGGATAGATGGCCGCTGCGGGCGACACGCACGCAGCTATGAAAAGCGCCGCTTGGAGCCGCATTGTGCTATGTGATGAGCATTGACTGAAGAGGTGTCGGGAGCTTGGATCGTGGATCTTGGGGACGTCGGGTCCGCGGGCGGTGATGGTGATCTCCCCGGACCCTCGCACTTTTGACACGTTCGTTCTCTAAACTTTCACCTTCCACACTTCATTTGGTCACCTCTTCACATCAATATTTTCCTACACTGAATCACGCTGCCATGCGTTTCAGGCTGAATTGACATCATACAGGTAGTAGACATATACTTGAAGATAAATAGAGGCCACTTGACGAGTTGAATGTCTCGACATTTGATCAATTCTATTCTGCGACTGCATCTACCTCAATCTCAACCAGCATATCATCGTCAACAAATCCATTGGCGACCACAATCATTGTCGCAGCCGCACCGATCTGGTCTCCATTCTCTTTGCCCAAAACATCCCTGAACCCTTCCCCCACCGCATCGCAGTCTTCTTTCCTGCTCACAAACATCTTACATCGCACGATGCTCTCGGCACCTTGCCCACCAACTGCTTGAATAGCTTGGATGATCTCTCCCAGGATCACATGTGTCTGTTGCCGAGCATCTCCAGGGAATCGAACTCGCGGGGCGTCCGGGGGAGAGTTCGGGTCTGCTGCAGTCGAGCCAGCCACGTAGATGAGTTGGCCACGACGCACTGCCCGATAGTATCCGAATCGAGCCTCCCACGGCGAAGAAGTGCTGAAGAATTGCTTCGTGGTGGTCATTTTTCTAATGAATTCTTAGCTGTTTTCTCATTGCCGCTGGTGACTCAGTCGGTCTACCTGAAACAGTCACCGGGTATGTAGGATCAATTGAGGAAGAGAGTCCGCTGCTGTGCTTGTAGAGATACAAGTTGATACAAATCTTAGGTTGCAGCTGCTCGCTATATATCCTCGTGTTGGCCCCGCTATGTACCTGGGTAGCTTTGTGGCTTGGTGTTCCGCAATGAGTCAGATACACGGTGACTCGCCATTCTGTTGAACAAGCAGCAATTCGAATGTAGCTTGATCCAAGTATCGAATCTATTCAAATATGAGGAGTGTATAATGATCCCTATTCACGCCACACATGGCCCGTTGGGATTCGGGAAGCTCGGTATGCTCCAAGTATCCAGCTGCGGGGACACGCTGATAAGAATGTTTCAAAGGCCTCAATCGGTTTGGAAACAAACAACAGACCCCATCTAAGACTACCATTATGCACCATAGACAGCTTGGGTAGCTAGAGAGGCGTGTGACTTCTGAGGAGATACAAGAGTCCGCAGTCCTGTATCATCTCAATGAGAAGGAGTTACAATATAATGCCGTTTTGCTCTTCCGGTGACATGGCCGGTCTGATCAGCCGCCTCCGCTCGACTTCATCAATCTTGGCTCGGATACTTACTTCTCGGCAGTGCCAAGGGTTAAGCGATTCTAATCTTCTCCTCCTCAGACTGAAAAATCCAGTGGCAATTAGGATATTCAGCCAGAAGAGAATATTTCAGAGTCGAGAACAATGCTACATGAAAATCAATGCATTCTTTGAAGCCTTGCGTGCAAGTCATTAATCATACAATCCAGTAGTCGTACTTTCACATCCTTCTAGGGCTTCCATTCGGTGTACGGCCGATCGACAACCATCTCCTTCACCGTTGGCAACTGAACCTGACCCTTTCCGAACTCCACTGCCATCGCCATAAGCTCTCTCCAACGTAGACCCGGCGCAATCTTACCCGAGATGGTGTTAGGAGTCAATGTGTCACTATTAATGGGGACAAGAGCAGCCCGGCCGAGAATAGCCTCGAGAGCCTGTTGAGCGAACGAGACTGCCTCCTTGGCATCGGAAGGAATACCCGTCTCGTCAAGACTGACAATCTTTGAGTTTGGAAGCTGCGCCCTGAGATACTTGATGATGTTGGGGTTGCGGGCACCACCACCGCACATATACACACCGGCGATCTTTTCAACATCAATGTTGAACCGGGGGAAGAAGGTGCGGTACTGCTTGACAATGTTCTGGGCGGTGATACGTGTGATGGTCGCGATGATGTCGTACTTGCTCATGCCCAGAGCCAAACACTCATCGATGATCTCCTGAGCACCATTGTCGCCGAAGGTTTCACGACCCGTTGTCTTGGGAGGCAGGTGGTTGCAGTACTTATTGTTGTCTAGGAACTTGTCGACTACTGCCTGGTTGACGGTCCCCTGAGCACCCCATTCGCCGTCGCGATCATATTCCATCTCGCCGTTGGTGAAGTAGCGCATTGCGGCATCGATGAACATGTTTTCCGGGCCACAGTCCCAGTCGACCATGGCGTCGACGCCACCTTCACTGTCAGGTGGAATGACACAGAGGTTAGCAATACCGCCGATATTCTGGCAGATGCGCCATTCAGTGGGGTGGCGCAGGAGGAGACCGTCGATCAAAGCGACGAGGGGAGCACCTTGGCGGCCGACCGCCTGTTCAGCCATGCGGAAGTCCGTGACTGTCGTGATCTTGGTCATGCCACTCATGACAGTTCCCTCGCCGAGACAGAAGGCGGACCGGGTCTCGCCAGTTTCGGGCATGGATAGAAGCCAAATCGTTTGTCCGTGCGAGCCAATGAGGTCGATGCTATCGATCGGTACATTGTGCTTCTCACAAAAGAGCTTGACTGTCTCACCAAACATGTTCCCGAGCTGGACATTTAGTTGGGACATGAGGGATGGAGTAGTTCTTGTTTCGCGAAGCATAGCGAGGACGGGCTTCTTGATATTCTGCGGGACGGGAAACTCGTCGTACTGATATGAGGGCAATTTGTCAGTCCCGCTGAAGTTGAAGGAAACAGAGTACTAGAAAAGCATGGTACCTTGAGGAGCTCCATGTGCAAAGGGGCTTCTGGAGAAACCTGACGATAACGAACAAGGGCGCAGTCAATGCCGTCCATGGCCGTACCGCTGTTCATTCCCATCACTGTAATGTCGAGGGTGCCATCGGCAACACAACGGCGACTCGTGCCCTGGCCATGGGCAGAGCCGTTGGGCTCGGGAAATTCAATGGAAGTGACCATTATTGTGATGTGCGTATACAGAACTCAGATACAATGACTTTGATTCTCGTAGGAATCCACAGGAGCGAAATAGCGCTTCATATATACCTTCTGAAATCAGAACCCACTTCGTACTAGGCACACAACAACACCCCGCCATTCCTCATACTCCGAGGCTAGATGCACGAACTCATGCCGGTATGCGAGACTCGGGGATGAACTTCACGGGCGACATAACTGATTTGAGCTCGAGAAACAATCCAAAATTGCCTGATTAGGTATCTTCGAGACGAGGTTCCCGGACCGGCGAATCTCCGGACTTGCGAAAACGTGGAGAGCCATTTTAGCCGTCGGTCTCGGGCCGTTTATGCGACGACCCCATATGCCTTCATCCCTTCGTCCCGTGTTATTTGTCAAGAAGATGGGGCCGATGGTCTCCGGATTTGCATGGATGGGTGTCATGAATCGTAGTTGGCCAGTGGATCCCGAGCTCTGGTCAGAGCAATCCTCTCTTTTCATATTGACCCGGTGAGAATAGCCCTTACTAGTTTCTTTGATTAGGCATATTTAAAGTCTTCCCTTGATCTGCTGTCCCGGGCTCCTCTAACCTCGAAACCTTGACCCCGTCCAGTCGCACATATAACAAACACACCTTGTCATGCCTTCCGCTACCATGAAGGTTCAAGAAATTCGTTCGGTTTGGACCTCAGACGAGGGTTCAATGGCTCAACAGACGGCCAAGACCCGCTGGGCCAAGATCATTCAGGGTACTGTGGACGACATTGGGAAGACAGCCACCAAAGAGAATATTGATGCCCGAGAAAGAGCGGAGAGCATTGCCATCCAGATCGCCCTCAAGCAAATCAAGAAAGAAATTGAAATGAACCACGCCCTCACGTACGTAACTCATTTAAAATCAGCGAAGAGCAGACACTCATGACGCTTCAGGCCCCTGCAAGATGACGGCAAGCCAGATATCCAAGAGTGGAACGACCAGTTGGCTGTGATCGGCGAGAGCAGTTGGGTCAACTGCCCTTGGCTTTTTGGAGAGTGCTACATGTATCGGTACGACTGACCCTGCAAACATTGGATCGAAGGATTGTACTGAAGAGTTGACAGACGTATTCAGAGGATTTTAACCTCCTCAAAATACTGGCAGAACTATGATGTTTTCAAGCGCCAGAAAGACTCTACCTTCGTCAAGTCCAGATCCGCCGTGGAGGAGCTCGCCAGCCGTTATATGCAGACTGTCGCCGAAACTGGGCTTGTTCAAAACGAGAGCAAGGAAGAGGCCAAGAAGTTGCTGTTTATCGAGATGACGGAGGTTGCTTTGTGGGGAAACGCCACAGACCTGTCACTCCTCGCTAATTTGAGTCTGGAGGACTTACAAAAACTTCAGGGCCGCGATGCCATCCAGAAGAGCCAGCGGAACATCGTCGATAACGACACGGACGACGTGTGGTCGTATCTTCAATGCACTACCGGTCAACCTGATCGCCAGATTGACATTATCCTCGACAATGCGGGCTTTGAGCTCTTTACTGATGTGCTCTATGCCGCTTACCTGCTCGACACCGGCATCGCTACTACTGTCAGACTACATACCAAACAATCCCCGTGGTTCGTCAGCGATGTCATTCCCTCTGATATCGAGTCAATGTTCAAGCATCTTGAGTCCTCCGATTGCTTTCCAGATCGCCAGTATCTCGACAAACTCACCCCGAGACTCCGCAAGTTATTTAACTCAGCCGCGATCATGACGACGAGCGACCCTTTCTGGACGACGCCGTTCTCATTTCATGAGATGCCCTCCAAGGCAGCTGCTCTCTTTGGGGAGCTCCAGAAAAGCTACCTAGTCATCTTCAAGGGTGACCTCAACTACCGCAAACTGACCAGGGATGGACTGTGGCCTCACACCACCACGTTTGAGGAGGCTCTGGGTCCACTTGGAAAGCAAAGCGGCATCAAAATTTTGGCCCTTCGTACAAACAAGTCTGACGTTTGTGTCGGTGTCCCGACCCAGAGAGAGGTTGATGCGTTGAATGAGGAGGCGCCGGGTGGTGCTTGGATCCAAAACGGAAAGTATGCCGTTGTATCGTTCAATGAGGGCAAATAATTTTCTTCCGTCGCGCGAACGAAATCCTTGTATCTCTTAGGTCCCTGGATAAAAAATTGTGGACTGATTACGCTATCGACCATTCTTCCTTTAGAGAATCAACTATCCAGGTCGTCGGCCACGCATGCTTCGTTTCCATATCTCGCAATAATTTGATCAATGCCTCTCTTTCTGATGAATCCGTCATCAAGGGACCCCCTTGTCAATGTCAGTAACGTAATCCTACGTGAACAACGCTGGAAATGCCTCACATATAAAGGTGGAATGACAGAGCGTGATCAGCGATGGCACTGTCGGAGGAGAACTGTTGCATGCACCACAGATCGCACGAGCGTGTTTCATGACCCGGATCTAAAGGCGTCAACTAGAGCATTCCTTAATACAGTAAGATTCAGAGCTCACATCGGATTCACGAGCTGTGCCATGTACCCCTCTGACGGCGAATTTAGGCGTTGGCTTGTAGATGGCCAAGAGCATACAGGCAAGATGGTAGTATCCAAATGCCATAACTGTAACAGACATTAGACTGAGCAAAAAATAAGACATCTTGTACACATACTATGCCAGTCAGCCGTAAACCATATCTCTGGAAAGGGGTTCCCACTGCCAGGAACGGCTTCGCTTTGCCAGATTGGGTCAAATGTACTTGGTCGAGTACTCAACCAACTCTCGACGGTGTCGGATAGCTCCTGCCACCGACACATTCGGGTAGAAGGCTCCGGGTAGCTTGACCCAAAGCAAAAGTGTACCACTGTGACACAAATCCAAGTCATCGTGTTGGCCCACGCTGTTTCAGAATCCAGATTGCTCAGAGAGTCACCTCCGCCCGGAGGGGGAATGAGAACCAAGTCCGAATCCACATTGGGAGCTTGCTGATGTACACATGCATTGTACAGGCACTGACGCAGGTACACCCAAAAAGCCGCGTGCCGCAACCTCGGGGCCGAAGGGTCCATTTCTCGTCCTTGCGATGCCCGGAGCAGAGCCGAGCAGCCGGCTAAGTGACGCTCCTGATCGCTGCCAGTAACCATAACTGTTTCGGTCCCGAGAGGATCAGCCTGGACATCTCGTGATGGCTTGAGACTTTCTCGGACTTACCGTTAAGCTGTTCAAACACGCGCAGTATTACAATGGTACACAGCAGATTGTCATCGTCGGCAACCGTTTCCGAGCTCAAGAAGGGTATCAATAGTTCTACGCAGCGCTCATGCGCTTCCTCTGCCATTTCGGCATCTCCAACGTGCCGGGCCGCGTAAGAAAGCACCGCATGAAGTAGGAGCGGCGATTGCTTGACCAGGATGGGAATCTTCCGAGTGAACTGACGGGAGGCATCGGTACAGTCAAGCCAAGGCCCGAGCTGCGTTGCGAAGTGGTGTACAAGGTAAGCTTCTTTGTAAGTCAGTGGAGTCCCTGCATGTATCGCTTCCGCGTGCGAAGCCGGCGACCATGGACTTAAAGAGTCCGAATGGAGCAACTGAGAGATCTGAATTCCAGCCACGCTGAAGTAAGGAGACGGGGTGGTGTTGTTGACTGAAGATGCCACCAGAGGCACTGAAACTGAGTCACCAGTGTATTCTGGCTGGATATCAAATTCCTGAGTGTCATTTAAAGTTGTCAAGGAGGTATTGTTATGTTGGTGAATACGACCTTCGGCATAGTTTGAATTGGTGGTGTAGTCAAGATTTGTTGCATGAGCACTCTCTACGTCCGCAATTCTGTGTTCGGGAAGGTGTGACATTCCATCCTTATCATAGCCAGGACCATCTTTTGTGTCTTTTCTGGCTTTGCTTATTTCATAAGGCTTGATTCTGAGGCGATTGGGCGGGTTTTCTCGAAGACATGGCCGGTCCTTTTTTTGGCATTGCCCGCAGATCGGCTTGACTTGATCGCCTGTTCTCAGGTTAATCTTTGCATTCAGCCTATATGGAGCTTTTCAATAGCTGACATTTGACATGCCTCTTTCGGCAAGTCAGGCTGTGATGAAACTCAGCAAATGATCGTGATGGATGATAGAGCTCGGACAATCGCGCCGTCCAGGGTCACGCGATCCGTAGTTCCGCCGGGCAAATTCCCACAAAAAAACCCCAGCGTAAGATACCCGGATCTGGACCAGCCACCGTTCCGATCAATTTCTCGATAGGCGAGGTGTAAAAGTCGTGTAATGTAGGGAAAGGTTTGCGGGGAAAGACTTACCATCCATTCTTGGAGCGAAGCTTTCCCATGTTGAGACGTGTGGGTCTACAAACATGCAGTCTGTAATGGGGATGTTGTAAAAGCGAGTTGAGTCCGTCTGGAAGAAGAAATATCGAGACGAGCTTAGAAAGTAGACGGGATCAAGTGGAGGAAAAGGTTGGTTATGACTTGCGGGGATGGGGAAAGTGGGACCAGAACTCGGGATTCGGGGTTGCGGAGGTGGAGGAGAATTTGGAAAAGGAAGATGACCCCCGAGGCTTTTGAATTTGCCGGGATTTCCATCACGGCCCATCGAGAGCCAAGAAAAGCTGGGAGTATGCTTGCCTTTCTCTCTGGCCATCATTCATCGTCCATCCTGTGCCGCGAAATAACTCATCGACTATAAACATCCCCACATGTCCCTAATACAATGATGATTACTTCGCTATCAATAATCCAGGGTTGAGTCTCCCTTGATCTCTTCACACTTCTCTCTACTTCCCAATCGCATTTTGTTCAGTGTTTCCCCCCTTGTTTCGATGTTATTCACCATGCCCCAGAAAGGTTTCTGGAGGACGGTCCCTGGGCCTAGACTACTCAGGTTAATTACTGCAGTCTCTGCCATTGCCATTTCATATGAGGGTATGAGCCAGGGTGTCATGGGCGCTGTCAATGTCGCCCCAGAATATGGAGTAAGTGTTGCAGTCCTGTGAGCCATTATCTGCCAAAACTGGAATCATGAACTAATGAAACATTCCATCTGTAGTATCGTATGGGCTTCGCCAATGAGCATGGCAAAGTCATCAAACCCTCTCTACAGGGTGGCATTGCCGCCATGTACTATTTCGGCGCTCTCCTCGGGGCCTTCTGGGCCGGTAGTTTCTCTGATGCCTATGGACGTATCAAAGGGATCTGGATGGCCTGTCTCTGGTGTCTTGCCGGAGTGATCCTTCAAACAAGTGCCATGAATCTCACCCACATGCTCTGCGCCCGAGTTGTTGCCGGCGTTGGAGTATCCTTCATTATCGTTATAGCCCCTTCGTGGACCGCAGAGCTGGCGCCAGCGAGTCATCGTGGTCAAATGATCGCGTTAACTTTCCTCGCCAACTTTGGAGGCATTGCTTTATCATCCTGGATTGGCTTTGCGACCTCTTTCACTGACTACGCCGGCGGCACCTTTCGATGGCGCTTCTGCTTTGCCTGTCAAGCGATTCCGATCTTCTTCCTTGTCATCGGCACCCTGCTCATTCCTGAATCGCCCCGATGGCTCACCAAGGCCGGACGCAACGAAGAGGCATTCGAGATTATCACTAAACTTCGTGGAGATGGCGACCGTGACCACCCAGATGTGCAGAAGGAAATTCGCGAAATCGTCGCTGTGGTACAGATGGAACACGAGATGCAAAGCTCCAGCTATATCAAGATGTTCTTGGGCATTGGTTCGGGGGATATTCACATTAGCCGTCGTATTCAGTTGGCCTTCTGGCTCCAGGTCATGATGCAGTACGGCACGGGTATTGCGGCGGTCGTCATCTACTCGGGCAACATCTACCGCACTGCTGGTTTTGATGATTTTAAATCCAACTGGTTGTCTGCCTTGTGTATGACTTGCGGTCTCTTGGGTACTGGTGTCGCTGCCCTGGTTTTGGACCGAGTGGGTCGACGCCGGACCCTCTACTGGGGCGCGGTCGCTTTGAGTATAGTTCTTTTTGCTCTGTGAGTACAACACGTCTTGCCATTGACTTTCCTCTTACTGACTTTCCTCTAGTGGTGGTTTGAACCGTGGAGCCGTGAATAACCCCGATAAAGCTGAACAGTACGGAACCGGAGCCGCTGCCATGGTCTTCATCTACGTGGTTGTGTTCAGCTCTTCGTGGTTGATGATTCCTTTCATTTATCCGACCGAGATATTTCCGACATGGCTGCGCGCTAAGGGTAATGCGTTTGGTGCTGCAGGTTGGGCGGTTGGCTATGGCGCTGGGTCGCTGCTGGTCCCTGTTATGTTTGCTGGTATACAAGAGAAAGTGAGTCCATTCCCGCCTTCCCCATATTTCAATGTCTGATTTCTGTTCTTACAGACATTTTACGTATTTGGTGCCGCTATGTTCTTCTACATTCCTATCATTTACTGTTTCTTCCCCGAGACTGCTGGCCGCACACTTGAGCAGATCGACTTTCTGTTCGCTAGCAAGAGCCCGTTTGTTTGGGAAGAGGAGAAAGAGTTTGCCAAGCGAATGACTCAATTCAATGCTGAAATACAAAAAATGGAGGTTGAGAACGGTGATTATGTGGGCGACGATAAGGGATGCGAGGAGTTTGTAGAGAAGGTCTGACCGGGGTAAAATGCCAGGTGCAAGCCAAACCGTCCGTGATTATTTTAGTGTGGTTCTGAATGTCACCGCCCCTGTTATATACAACGTGTTACGACAAATTTTGCAGTCGAGAATCTAAATGATCCCACAGTAGGTCCTTAGAGTTAGATTTCAGCTTTATTCATTCCAGTTTGCAGCGGATAGTGAACCAGCTTTCGAAGCTCGAGGAGCCAGTCAGCCCCTCTTACCCTCCGAGATTGCCATACTCATTGCGGCCTGTGAAGGGATCCGTGAGAAGAGGGGATGACCTATATCTCGACCATGTGGGCTAGCTGATCTGGTTATGATAGTAGAGCCGATATATCGGATCTGTACGATGACTGCAATTGTATATAATTCGAAAGTCTTGATCAAAGAGGATAATGCTTGGTTCTTGTATATGTACAGCGACTTTGAAAACGAGATGCAACGCCTACCAAATGACAGCATGATACATTCTTTTACACTCCAAAGCAGGCTTTGTTGGCCGAACGCACAGCATCCTTCTCACCCTCACTCATGGCGTTGGTAATCTCCCAGAGCTTGTTACCGAGACCCATAGCACGCTGTCCCTCGGGGCTCAAGGAAGACCAATCCATCGCGCCCTTGAAGCCCTTCTCGCCAGGGCCGCCAGCACCGGGGAAATCCCATGGCGGCGAGTAGGAGAGAGCAGCCTGTCGCTGCTTCAGGAGATAATCGACGTTCTTTTCGCACAGCGGTGTGGCAGGAATGTACAGCACGCTGGAGTCACCCTTGCCATGGTGCTCCTTATCAACTGAGTGCAGGGAATCACAGTGCCAGGCGACATAGTCACCAGGCTCAACCTTGGGCACCGAGACCATAGTAGTCTCCAGATCCATGTGGGGGTGGGTAACAGGGCTGAATTCCTGGCAAGCACCTCCCACGGAACCGGGGAAGGTGGAGTCCAGGTTAGGCTCGAGGGTCTTCACGTCAAAGAAAGGTCGCAGAAGGGTGTACGCCGTGCTATGAATGAGCATAGGGCACACATGGAGGGTACCCTCGCCGGGTGCAGTGTCGGACATGGAAAGCCAGCCCTGGAAGAAGCGTAGCATGGAGCAAGCGCCTGCACCATTATACATGTCCATCTTGGCATTCAGGCGGTGGCGGATATCCCACGGGTCATACTGTTCCCACTTGCCTTCCAAGATCTTGGTGTAGACACTGGAGTACTCGGGGTCTTCCCAGCGCTCAAGGGAGCCGCCGTCGACGTGCGGGCCAAGAGTGAACTTGGAATCACCAGGGTCTCTGATACGCAGGCGATCCGCATATATGAGCGGGTTAGAAGTGGAGACCTTTGAAATGGGGTCTGATGAGTGCCACAGACGCTGCAGGAAACGCTGGGTGTCGAGCATGTTGGCATGGGCGCGGGCTTCCACTTGAGACGGAGTCCAATACAGTTCATAAACGGCGGGAGAGTCTGCAGGGAATGCCTTCACATGCTCTTTGTTGGCAGCGATATAGTCACGGATGCGCTGCTTATAGTCCAAGGCCTGATCCCGAGGAATCACATTGCGAATGACCACAGTACCCCGGTGGCGGATCTCGTTCAGGTCTGCTTCGGAGATCTTTCCCGATACCACATCGGCATATTCCACTGAAGGGATAATCTACTTCATGTCAGTCATTGCTCCTTCGAAGATGAATGGCAGCATTTATCAAATATCGCTTACATCACTACCTTGAGACTTAATTTTTTCCACCTCCTCTTCCATGCTAGGCAGGAGCCGTTTCCAACTTTCCGTCAAGGCTTTTTCATTCTTTTTCCAGAACTTTAGCTTGAGCTCTCTAAAGCGCGCGGGAAGAGGCTCCGGCTTGTAGTCCGGTCTCAAACTGGGGAAGACTGAAGAGATGTCACCAGCGGCTTTCGTTGTCTGCGCGGCAGTGGAGGTTGATGCCGCACGAGCGGCTGTTCTTGAGAGAATCCTGAGACATCGACATGATTGATGATTGGACTTTCCGTTGAATGGAGACCGTTTGGGGGAATAGCCTCGACTTTTATACTTTAGTGGCCATCGCGGGATGTACAGTTCGGGGTTGTCGGGTGCCTACTCTTTGGGGTAACCTTACCGCCATCGGGCGGCAAGACTGCCCTTTTTGTCTGTCTTGATCCGACAATTATGCGCTCTGATTCGTGGGCCTGATTAGACGTGGGCCTGGTCAAATGCGTCATGAGATTTAACACATTAACACATTATATGCATTGTTGGCATTATGAAGCAGACACTAGTGGGAGACCCTTTCGGTGACCTGGGCAATTTAAGACAACCATCTCGTTCGCCTGTGTTCAATCGTCAAGACATCGCAACAAGCACTCAACGGCAATCGAGGTGCCTTGATCAGTATCGACGAAGTTGACTGCCTTAAGACCCCTTCTAGACCACAATTTCAACCTAGTCTGCTCATGATCTAAAAAGGAAGCAATGTTCAGACGACTCTTGTTATTTGTCAATCATAGTACCCTAAACAATGCTTTTGTGCAACTACAATTCTCTGTCTCTATAGTCGCAATAGACCGATGTAGCTCGTGGGAGATAAAGTAGTTCACTAGTCTGAGATGTCGCCTGGAATGTAGTTTTCAGAGCGAAGATTTTGATGGATTTTCTAGCTCATATTAGCCCCCTTAATGCTACCTGCAGATTCAAGCAGGTGGTCGTCCGTACAATGTCGGACCTCTCATTCATTGGTCAAGGTCTCCCGGGTAATACTCAGGCTTCCGCAATGCCATTGAGCCCTGAAGTTTCTTCACAGCTCTCATTGCAGATCGCGAAGAGGCGATCAGGAGCCCATTTATCAGGAGCTCTCGTATTCTTGCCCTGTGTTTTACGTAGGGAGGGAAATTACATGCAGCAGCATTATTGGCCATTTGCGTCACGGTCTTGCTACAAAGGGGCAACACCCACTGTCTATTTGGGAAATCTATCCGTCTCGATGGAGAACTCTGGAGGATGAGATCATCCAAAACCACAACTCCGGATGGAATTCGGCTATTATTATACCGACTCGGATTAAACGGCATTGCTTTTATCGTTTCCTGGTGTCACAACAAAATTGAGAAGGTATTAGAAGCTCGCTAGAAGCTCGCTAGAAGAGCATGCGAAAACGGCATAGTGGACGGAAATGGTAATATTGGCGAGGACCCTCGAGTCTCCCCCGGAACACTGCTGGACTGGCTCGGGAAGAATGGCAGGATGGGGAATCGTCTATTCCAAACCTGTCAGATGACTATGGCCAAGGACTCTAGAAATGTGCTGGCGATGAAGTCGGAGTGCGGCCGAGCTCGGGCCACTTTCCTACGCTGGGAACCGGTGCAACTCCCCCAGGGTTCCCCTCTTTTCAACATCGGCTATGGTATGCACTGCACTTGACTTCGAAGTTCTAGACGTAGATATAAATGACCGTAAACTGTCCGGTGGGGTCTTGTCAACCTTTTGACCTCTGTTTACGCACACCATGGCTCTCCAGGTCAACGGACGGACAGCTATCGTCACTGGGGCTGGATCTGGTATGCCGTATTACACCATGGTTTGGGACCCAGGCAAGAGGCTCACATTTACTTAGGAATTAATTTCGCCCTTGCGAAGCTATTAGTGGAAAGCGGGTGCAATGTTTTGATCGCAGACTTGGCCCTGCGCCCCGAGGCAAAGACGCTTGTCGACAAGCACTCGACTGGTACTGCTCGGGCGGTATTCCAAGAGACCGATGTGAGAGACTGGCTGCAACTACAACGGATGTTTGAAGTTGCAGAGAAAGAGTTTGGCGAGATCGACATCGTTTGCCCAGGTGCCGGGATTTACGAGCCGGTAAGTGTCCACACTACGGTAGTCGTTACGCGGACGACATGCTGACAGTTGCATGCAAATAGCACTGGAGTAATTTTTGGCGCCCGCCGGGATCCACGGCAAGCAAGGATGCCCCCGATGGAGGTCGATATGCGCTGGTCGACATCAACGTCACACACCCCATTCGCACCACCCAACTAGCCATTGCGCATTTCCTGCGTCACAAAGACAACGGCCGCCCGAAACATATTGTTCACATTTCGAGCATTGCGGGACAAAACGCGACATTAGCGGCCCCTATCTATGTCGCGACGAAGCACGCCATCAATGGCTTGGTCCGGTCACTGGCCAAGCTTGAGGAACTTGGCATTCGAGTCACAGCCGTGGCTCCGGGTGTCATCAAGACTCCGCTCTGGACGGAACATCCTGAGAAATTGACAATGATTAATGACAGGGTCGACGAGTGGGTGACGCCGGAAGAAGTGGCTACGGTCATGTTGGCCCTGGTGCAGCAAGACGTCGTAAGTGAGACCATTGGAGACAGGTCGGGCCGGGGTCCACAATTCCCAGTGCGCGGGGGCACGATCCTGGAGGTCTCGAAGACCGTGCGGGCAGTTGGCCAATTCAATGATCCAGGCCCTGAAGGCCGGCCCGGCAGCACTGCCACCGGCCATGCAGCCTTGGAGAAGGAGAGTTTCGAGTTGCTGGCCACCAAGGGATGGGGACTGGCCAAGCTATAATTACGCGTCACTTAATCATTCTTGGAGAACATGTTTCACAAGCCCTCGACGAGTAGTGCACTGACGTAGTTAACAAGTAGTCAAGCGTAGTCAACTCGGGTGAGCACAAAAGTGTGGAGACGGAAAAAGTCAGGTGCTTGGCCTATCGGGGCGCTCTGATAAGAGGCCACGGCTCCATCTCTTCTCCATTATTCATCCCTCTCTCTCTCTCAGGTACGCTGGTCGTCGCTATGCCCGCCTTTTGAGTCAATCTACCGCATAGACTTGGGAACTTTTACATCACCATTCACGAGATGGAGGAGACAGCGGTAGGGGTAGGCTCTGCGAGGGCTCAACCTGGACTGCGACGGTTCGTCTTCGGACCCTTTTCCCGATGCAGCCCACGTGCTAACAAGACCTGGTGCTGCAGACGAGCAGGACGAGCGAAACATGTAACGGGGTTCTCTGGAGAGGCCAGCTGGACCAGCAGTGTGATCAATCTGGTCAATACAAGTGAGTACGAATGTTGCGCGCCATGGACACCCTCTAACGCGATGTCTCTCAACAGTCATCGGCGCCGGAGTACTAGCCATGCCGCTCGCGATTTCGCACATGGGAATCGTTTTGGGAACGTGTGTGATCTTATGGTCCGGGGTCACGGCGGGATTCGGGCTCTACCTTCAATCAAGATGCGCTCAATACCTCGATCGAGGAAGCGCCTCCTTCTTCGCGCTCTCGCAATTGACATACCCCAACGCCGCCGTGGTCTTTGATGCGGCCATTGCGATCAAATGCTTCGGGGTTGGCGTGAGCTACCTCATCATCATTGGAGACCTCATGCCTGGGGTGGTCCAGGGCTTTGTGGGAGGTCATCCAGTTTATGATTTCCTGATCGATCGTCATTTCTGGGTCACTGCATTTATGTGAGTTGACACACCTGACTTTCATGATCTAGTCGCTAATCGCCATGTGTTGCAGGTTGATTGTGATACCTCTTTCGTACCTGCGCCGCTTAGACTCGCTAAAATACACCAGCATCGCGGCTCTCGTATCCATGGCTTACCTGGTCGTCTTGGTCGTATATCATTTTGTCATAGGAGATACAACTGCGGATCGTGGACCAGTTCGCGTGATCCACTGGGCTGGCCCGGTATCGACCCTCGGCAGCCTTCCGGTCATCGTCTTTGCATTCACATGCCATCAAAACGTGCGTTCTCTTTCGAGGTGTCAGTATTGTGTATCAGCTAACGTGGTTTGCTAGATGTTTTCTATTCTCAATGAAATCAAGAACAACAGCCACTTCCGGACGACAAGCGTCGTTTTTGCTAGCATCGGTAGTGCAGCCGCCACCTACATTCTGGTCGCCATCACTGGATATCTTTCATTTGGTGATCATGTGGCTGGGAACATCGTCGGCATGTACCCTCCAGGTGTCTATGCGACGATCGGCAGAGCTGCGATTGTTATGCTAGTCATTTTCTCTTATCCTCTCCAATGCCACCCCTGCCGAGCCTCAGTCGACGCCGTGTTGAAATGGCGACCTGCGGCCCAAGCCTCCGGCATTGACAACTCCCCACACCGACACCCGTTGCTTGGTCCGCGTGGCAACCGTGTGCCGGAGCCCATGAGCGATCTTCGTTTCTCGATTATCACTACAACCATCCTAATCCTGAGCTATTTGGTAGCCATGACTGTTTCTTCTCTTGAAGCAGTGCTTGCATACGTGGGTAGTACGGGCAGTACCAGCATAAGCTTCATCTTGCCAGGGTTATTCTACTACAAGATCTCGGCCCCTGACTCTGCTGCCCACCGTGGTTTGATGAAGGAAGACGATGAGGCTGCGGAAGTTTTCACTGATGAAGAAGACGAAGACGGAGATGAAGGCGACGGTTCCCTTGCTCGATCATTGACCGAGAGCGGCATTTTGCTCCGCGGAGGTCGTCACTGGCGCAAGGGGTTGCTCCGCCCTTTGAGTTTGGCCCTGGCCATCTATGGCATTGTAGTCATGGTCGTCTGTCTGACCACCAACACCTTCTTCGTCACTTCGCACTGATCGATGGGTCCGCTTCCAAATACCCGGATTTTTAATTAAAGTTGTCCAGATATATCTTCTCACACGCTTGACGGTACACCGGGAAAGTGGTTTTGTGTGTTCTTTTACCAATTCCTAGATATTCGTTTCTGCATAGGGGGATCTTTTTCACTATTCATTTGCATAGCTTCTGCAGTCTTTGACCTTTGTTCGTGATTGATGTTGGGCGTTTGGAGTGCCGAAATTTCTCTTCTTGTCACTTTGTCTACTTTGTGGGCTTATTGCCTCTTGGCCATACTTTACAGCAATGCCTACATCCGTCGATGAAAACGGTACTCCTTGACGCCAGTCTGGCGTGCAAATGTAAACCTTCTTTCACCAAAACCTCATTAGATCCACGAGCAGTCCGTTGTTTCTGCGCATCGAATCCCAGGTCGTGCTCTTGATCATCAGTTCATTCTACATTGAAAGATCTTCTTGATCTCGTCCTTTATATCATATTATTATATTATTCATAAATTTTTTCTCTTACTTAACAAGGTACTATCTTAGATTAGCTTTTAAAGAAGTATCTAGAATTAAGTACTATTTCCATAGATGAAAGTCTTGTAAAACTAGGTAGTCAATTCGATCTTATAGTTAACTTGAAGCTCTTCTCTAATTGAACATCTCCAGAACTAAATCTTTACTTGATGTCTATCAACCCAAACCCCGACTCCCTTTTATACGGCAGCCACGGCCAGTATCAGAAACCTCAGTCTCCGAGGTATAATAAGAAGGCGACGCCTCAAAGAAGTCTTCACGTATTGTGGAAACGATCCCCGAAAGCTCTTTTTCGCCACTGGAACAAGAACTAACCGCACCCTCCTTTTCTCGACATCAGCCATCAGGAATATTGTTTTCAAACAGCGCACGAGTGCAAAAACTAGTTCCAATCTCTGTGCTTCAACAGCATAGCGTAGGGCTATGTTGAGCGCTTGTGTGATTTCACCTTAAATGAGTGCATCATGATTCAATCGGCGGGCCTTCATGAGCGGCCAGGAAGGGCTGCAATTACTCCTCTCCTGAAGGATCATACTACAACAGCTGAACAAGTATAAGAGTGAATTATGTATCTTGCAATTGTTGCTAGCATAACAGCAAAGACAGTCAAAATCTTAAAGAAAGAATACTGGATCACGAGCAGGACTGCATATAATCAATTAAGAAAAGCATTTGTAGAAATAAAAAAGGTACACATGCGTCAAACCATTTGGCATATCCAATCTTGTTCATCACCGGGCGAGTAACCCCACAGCCATATGCTGAGTATAAGACCCAACTTAGTTGTTCTGCTGGCTGTTCAAGATGCGCAGAATAGACATGAAGAGGTTGATGACATCCAGGTACAAAGAGATGGAAGCCTGGATCTCATCATCAAGATGATAGTGGCGCATCACCATCTGTGTGTCCACAAGGATGTACCCCGAGAAAATCAGGGTACCCATGACACCGTAAATGAGCTCAGCGGTGCTACCGAAAGGAATGAACATGGCCACGAATCCGAAGAGGACCATGAACCACAGTGCTCCGAAAAGGTAAGGCATCCAGTCGGTGAAGTCGTACTTAGTCTGGCATGCGAAGAGCGTCAGGGCCACAAAGATGCCCAGTGTCAGGGCGAGGGCCTGCACCACAACGCGCACGTCATAGAACGATGTCACCACGCTGATTGAATAGCCTTCAAGTAGTGTGAAGCCAGTCAGGAAGATCAAATTCGTCGGGTATGACTTGGCCTTCCACCAAGTAGCTAGCATGAATCCGAGGGCACCGAATATGGAGATAATCACCAGCCATGGGCTGCCTTTGATAAATTCGCGGTAGGAATCGCTGAAGAAGGAGATGGAGCAGAGGCCGGTTGTGACGAGAAGTTGGACGGTCCTAGTGTGATCTTTGTGTTAGATGGTCTTCTGTTATTGGGAAAAGATGGTCCACTTCTTCGTTGAAGGGAGATGGGTTGGTGAGACTTACAGAATCGAATAAACCTTGCGCACGAACTGCATCCGGATGTCGATAGTGCCTTCCGACACGCAGCCACCGAACTATACGTGCATATCAGCATCTATGAGCTTGGCAGGAAGTAGTGATGTGTAAGGCATACCTTGAAATCATCGGGCAGGTTGTCATTCTCGGTGCGCGGAGCCGGGTCAGCTGTAGCCTGATATGAAGGCGGAGATTGAGTGAACTGCTGATCTTCGAAAGAGTCCCGCTGCGGAGCGGGCTGGTAACGAGCGTTGGCAGCCATGTTGAGGTTTGGAACTTCTTGCTGTTGATCGAGGTTCGATGACAGCGGCGATGGATGTGAGAGAAAACCCAAGAGGTGGGAGGATGACCTTGGGAGGCGCAGCCATGTGACGTTAGATCACGTGTATCCATATCTGGACTACGCGATAAGAGATTAGATGGTCATCACTGTTGGGGATCTGCAGTGATGGAAGGATCGAGACTGTTTTTTTCATTGCGCCCGTCAGATCGAACTTGACCTTTTTATGAATTACATTATTATTCAGCTCCACAGCATCTAGGGACATGATTCACATGAGAAGCATGCGTTTTGTTGTGACCAAAAACAGTCATGGTGAAAGAAAAGCCATATCCTACTCGGATAAAGATGACACTTCACGCAGAATTAAATATATGTGCATTTCATCACAATGTGACTTTAGCTAGTGCGAAATCATAAGTTTACGTTCTAAAAAAGTTCATGCTCTCGTCATTTCGACAATTCAGTCGATCTGTCAGCGAGGGCGAGTGTCATCATACGAGTTCTTGATAGTCGACCCCGAATCTTCATCGGTGTCCATCACACCTTCATCATCATCGTCATCGTCATCGCTCGAGTTATCACCAGCATGACCCATGTCCTGGCTCACAGTCGCGCTGGACATTTGAGCTGGGAGGCGCCTTCTCTGGAAATCCTGTGCGTGTGCCGTAGACATGGCATTGCCGACCGCTTTCGCGAAACTGGGACGGCGATTCCGAGCGCGCAGGGTGGAAATGGATGGTGTTCCGGTCTCAACATCTCCCGGTGCCATGAACGGTGTTGTTGGGGGAATTTGTTCTTGCAGCTGCATATCGCCAGGCTGTGCGCCATCAAGGCCTGGAGTTTGAACGGCAGGCACAGGCACGTCGTATGGAAGGGGCACATCTCGCGAAGCTCGGAACAATAGCACGTTCGTGCAATGTTCATTCTCGACACGGAAGATAGACCACATTCCGCGGCGGAAAACCTCGGATAGGGAAATGACAAAGCTGAGAACCGCGGAGTGCTGGAGATCATTGACGAAAATCGCGTAAAATATCCAGTTGAATCGAACGATGACGTCCAAAACCATTGCGACGTAGTAGATCCATACGCGACGGAAGGCTAGCACTTCCCGAAGGAGTTTGTGTTTAGCATATGGGTTGCCCAAGCTCCAATCCATGATCAGATCCCAGACAGATACGTAGACAGCATTCAGAAGACCGAAAGTGATGAACGCTGCCTGGAAACGAGTGTGTCGGTCAATGCGATACATGCTCAGGGTTGCGTAGTAAAGGATACTGAAGACATATTTTCCCAGGTTCAGAAGATGAGGGAAGGCATTTCTAGTGTCTGCGTAACGACGAATGCATTGGAAGGCTCGCCATATCGCCGGCAGGGTGCTGAAGAATCCCAAGAGTCGGGAGTGAGAAGAGTTGCATTTGACTGGATTGGACCAGTGGGAAGCGTATAGACAGAAGAACAACGCGATGTTCTAGACAATTGTTAAGTGGAGCTCAAAGCGAGGGGGGCCCTGGTCAACTTACACCCATGGCATATACTTGAGAGCAGTACATGTCGCCGAGGAAGAAATCACGGAATTCAACAGGGTATATCCCAGCAAGTAGAAGTCGCCACTGTATTCGTCAGTAATGGTAGAGGCAATGAGAATAGCCGAAACTCACGTTCGAAAAGGCCCACCACTTGCGGCTGCGATGGTAGAGAACACGGACAGGCAGGAAGATGATGATGAGCGTCAACCCGATCAGCACAACGGGCCAATATATGTACATAGCATTGATCCACGAAAAGTTAAGCCACATGAAAAGGCCCATGAGGAAGATGAAGAAAGATGGAATCTGGATGGCTGTCAGCACGAAATGTAGACAGTACTCAGCCCAACACATACCTCGAGCAATTGGCGCCACTCTAAGGTGTGCCTGGTATCATATTCGAAAACAAATGCATAGTTGATCTTCGACTTGGTCCACACCATACAGTCCAAGGAGAAAAGTAAGAAGTGGAACGCGATAAGGAAGTAACCGCCATAAATCTATCCAAGTCAGACAGGAGATGTCCCACGTGGTTGGGGAAGTAAGGGAGCACAAACCTGGAGTAGATAGCTGGTCCACACCTGTATTTGAACTTCACCATGTCGTAAGTGCTGTGAAGCATAGACCAGAGCCTGAATGGCAAACAGAGTACCGGCAGTAAGCAAAAGTCCTGAGCGAAATGTACTGGGCGAAAAATCGCCCGACTTCTTCATTGTGTGACGCAATTTGGAGGCAGCAATCTTTCGGTTGCCGCGCTCGAAATAACGTGCGTACAAATCTTCCACCGCCGACATCAATGTCTCCAGCACATCACTTTGCACAAACGAGGCCTTGTTGACCTTTTCGGACATATATCGCAGCGGTGGCTGGGCATTGACCGCCTTGTCATACTTCTTGTTGATCTTGCGGAAAGCGGTTCGGTTGAGATAGGCATAGCCTTTCAGCAACTCAATTCCACGGTAGAACTCCTGCAAAGCGTGCTTGAGCTTGCGCTTCGCAGATCGATAGGAGACATCATTGTTTGGCGGTTCCTGCCGCCGCATGAAATCTCGTCGCTTGGTAATAAATTCTCGGTCAGGAGCTGGCATCCTTGGTGTGGCCATCTGGGCCAGTGCCTGTGAATTCTTGCCGAAGTGAACCTTACCCGTCAGGGTATCCTTGAGTCGGGAGCTGTTTAATTTCCCTAATCCATTTTGTCCATTCTGAGGGTCCACGTTGCGTCGTTTGTTCGCTCGTTTGGCATCATACACTTCCTGGATGCGCTGATCCCGCATGATGTGCAGCTGTTGGCGAAGAACCTTCAATCTTTCAGCAGCCTCCTGCTCCTTCATTTGGTAAAAGTCATCGATCTTCTTTAGCTGCTCATCCAGGTACACGAAGAATGCCTCTTCCTGCTTTTTGACCTCTGATCTCGCTTCAGCCAGTGCGTCCACCTCTGGATGGGAGAAGACACGCCGCATGAGCTGCGATGTACGATTCATCGAATTTGACTTGGTTAAAGCTTTGACTGATTGTGGGCTTTGGGCAGTTGGTAGTCGGGCCAAGGGTGGCTGGTCGGGCGGGCCGTCCACAGCATGCGCTGGTAGATCGCGAAATGTAGCACGGCGAGTCGCAATAGGGGACGGTGTTCTGGCTTCCTGGCGACCTTGTTGATCCTGCGGTGGAATATACTCCTCCTCTGGGTCCAGTGCGGGGTCCGGAAGCTCGAATGAAGCAGCATCTGAGCCGAGACCGTGCGGCTGTGGCGGTGTCGCCAGTATACTACCATAGCTACCAGCAGTTTCTGAGAAGCGCGATCCTGGTGTGCGAAGCGGCTGACGCTCTGTCTTCGGGTAGGTATACCACGGGCATTCGATGACGAATTGGCGCCAGTGGCCTGAGGGATTTCCGGGTCAATGAGCTCCCCAGCATCGAGCTGCTTGTCGGTGTTCGACGGTGTTAATGTCGCACCATGGGAGAACGGAGTACTTTGACGAAAGGACGGGGTTCGAGGGCTCCGTTGTGCCTGCTTCAGGGCACGAATAATTGCCTTGACCTTCTTCTTGCCGCCCTATAGCATGATTGGTTAGCAACTTCAATCGGCGGACTGAGTATAATCATACCTTGTAGTCGAGGTACTTTGCTCGCCATTCAGGAACCAACTCCTGCTCCAGCTCTCTGTGCAAGACTAATGTCAGCCACTGGAATGCCCCATAACGGAACATCACAGAAATCGAACTCACTTGGCAAACTTCATCCTGAGCAACCCTCCGTCATCGCATGCTTACCGGTGGTGGGGAGAACTTTTGGAGGGTAATTGAAAAATTGCACACAAATGACGAGGTCGGGATCGAAGAATTTGCCCAAAATGCTCCCCCGTCGTTGCACGACCGATAAGGCGGAAAAGCAAGCTAGGCGACCTGGGGCTCTTCGTGATAAGAAAGTATTCAGGAAAATAGAAGAAAAAATCCCGGGGATCCACAGAAGATCTACTACGCAAGGTACCGACAGGGATAGAATAGTGTACCGAATACCCCGAATATCTGGGCGTGCGCCATAATCCCATCTAGTTGCGATGACTTTTAGGTACGAATCGCAACAATCATCGAGCCTGACACGGGCACGTGCTCCACGCACGATGAGCTCATTGCCCAAGTTAACGCCCTCGTTCTCAGGCATAAACAGCCCTTTTGATCAGCACCGGCCATGATTGGTCAACAGGCCCGCCCACGCTAAGCTGCTTATGGACGGGCTGCACAAAGCGGGAATCCGAGCGTCCAACCTGTGTGTCCGACATACAATCAGTAGTCATTGGGATCTTTGAGTTTGGACCGCACCTGCATCACGCATAGGCGTCAACTACATGCTCCTTGCCACTCGCTATTACACTATGGCCTATACTGGCTCATCTGGGGAACATCACCCTCATCATCGGAGTCTTGATAGGAGCCCGAGATCTACATTTGAGTTGGAATGTGGATTGCTCCGGAATGTGTTCGGCGTGTTTTTCCCATAGTGAATGGCTAGGAGATATCTTCTCTGCAACCCTATGTACGCGACTTACGCATTCGGGGAATTCTCCTTCTTGGCACATTGGTTCATAACAGAGGTTTCGTGCATTGGGCACGATTACTTGCCCGCAAGGGAGTGATGGCCACTGTAACTCCTCAAGTTCAAATCTGCACCGGATTCTTCTGTGTCTCTCAAGAACAGCGCTACTTTAGATGCTGCTTTGTCATGTCATGTGTTTACATGTAAGAGACTCAAGCATATTCGCTTGGTACTATCGCCAAGCTACCCTAATAAGCATACCACATGCTTTCGTGCATCTGTAGGTGGCAAGAAAAAGCAATATCAGATTGCGTATTTTCAGCCAGATACCTGGATCTTACTTTCCATTCCAAACGGATCTGCCAGCGGCCACGGCTCTCGTGGGGCCCGTAGCGGTCGGGTTTGTAATTCTCTGCGCCGTGGCCTTGGATGTAATGGTCATCGTACATTCTGTGGACATTCTCTTCAGCGCGGTATCTTAGCCTCAATCTTGTCAAACTCGTCCACACCCTTGATTTCGGCGAGCTTATCTACCTTAAGGCCGGCGAAAGCGGCACTGGTCGCCTTGGCATATGCGGGGCTGACGGTCTTGCCTGCAGGTTCAATAAGAAGATTGCCCATGACAATCTGTCGCGGTTGACCCTCCGCCGCCATAGGCTCTGTTGTGAGCATCTTCAGAACCGTCTAATATTTAGACGACTTCATGTGTTGCTGTGCAGGGCAGGAGCGAAAATACTCAACGCCCCTGAGCGATGAACTATTGCCTGCATGTATGGATATGACGATCATGCTCACATGTGCGTGTGCGTGATTGGGGGTAACTTAGCCCAGCCGAGAGCCATCACGATGACGGTATTGGATAGTAGAGACAAGCCTTTAGAGAGGAAAGTTGTATCGAGAATGATGACAAGAAGAAGGAATGTTAGAGGGATGAGGTGATGATATACCCGTACAAGCATATTCGAAACCTTCGGAGAGGCTACACCTACTCGGCGCAGGATATTCCGAAGGGTTCACTCGTCACTGTCGACAGGGTGTGTACTCTGAGCGTGACTCTACCTGAAGATATTTACAGGCGGATGGACCAAGACGTTTTCCCTAAACACGGCTAGAACACGGGATGGGCTGACAATCCGAGTCGGCATCCCTTCTATAGGGCAGTGGAGCTGGCAGATCGCACAGTCCTCTCAACGCCTGTTGGCGCACTCGGATAGCTGTGGGTGGGGCGATAGAGACTTTCCTTAGCGAAACTACCGGCAATTCTTTATGTTGGCCCTCGAAAGGTCAAACGGCGCCCCAAGTGAGTGTCACGATCCCTAATATACCTTCACAGGACCTGATCACTTGCAATTTCCATCTGCACCGGCCGAGAAGCTCCAATAGATCTCCCAGATACTTTGGGGGCTGACACAAAGACAGAATATAGCTCTATGTGATGCTGAAATTGTGCACATCACATGTCCACCATCCAATCAGTCTTCTTTTTACCTTACTGATGACGAGACTCAAGGCAAGCTATATTGACCCTGGAGCCAAAAAGAGAAGTGATAAAGCCACACCAGGGGTGCGAGTACATGTCCCATAAGGCCCAACGAGATGGTGGCATGCTGATCGCAAGGACCGATATGGAAGCCAGGCGGACCCATTCAGCCCTATTTCGCCGGCAGATGAACCAATTAGAGAGATGATTTCGGCGGCAAGCGTGTCTCTGTCCTAGTGGCACACAACCCATAGTTCGAGGTATACAGAACACTTAACTCTCTACAAGAACTACGGTAGAAGCGGGGCCAAGCTTCTCATGTCTGAAGCTTGGCCGCACCCTACAAGGCCCCGGCTGAGCATCACGAGCTTCCTACTCGACGCAAGTGGCGGTGCGCTTGAGAACCTGAGAAGCAAATATTTGTTTTGGAAATAGATGATTAGGAAAAGGTTCAAAGAAACTGGACTCTGTCACTGGCTATGTCTTTGATTTCTCGTGATCCCTTTACGTAGAGCGTCCACCCGGCCCGTGCACATCCACATCTCATTCCAAGGAATATGATGTCAATGGTACCATTGATTTGAGCTCCATTGAGCTCCTGCCTCTCTTCGTAAGTTCAGCCGTGAGAGTTTTGCGTACAATTGGTTGAGGATCAATGTAAACACATTAAAAGACATGCTGTGGGGCATACATATAGTGGCTTGAAATAACATAAAAGTCTTCTACGGTACATAATCTTGATCGGCCCTGGGTGAAGACAGTGCCACTGCCAAGAGTCTGCAAGAAACATTGCCTCATCAGGTATTCTACAAAGGCGAGCATTTGAACATAGTGGAAATGATGCAGGCAGGGAGATTCGCCTCCGACATGATTCATCGGCCCCACATTGAGCTCCGGTCTTGGCAAAACTTTTTCGAAACACCCCAGGTTTGTGATAGAGCGGTGATCATTATCCCTTCAGTCGCACCTTACCGTAACAATATCATCGGGACCAGAGTCGCCTTGTGCGGAACGAGAAAGGCGCAGCCACCGGACTGTGTGCGCCCCCTTGGACGTGAAGCTGAACAGCTTGGAAGAAGCCAAAAGTACAGGAAAGCTTCACGAGCAGAGCTCAGCGCTTCTGCTGTGTAGCTATCACGAGACCCGCAACCGGGATCAATTGAAATTGAGGCCTCACCCGTCACTATGCCGACCAAAAACCCCGCTCCATCCGACTTTCCCGCCAAACTCACCGTCACCGTCACCCTTCCACCCTCTGCATCCTCCCCAGCCCCCAATGTCCTACTTCTTCTTCACGGACTCGGCGATTCGGCTGCAGGCTTCACCTCCTTCGCGCGAGCCCTCCAGCTTCCAGAGACCGCTGTCGTCACAGTACAAGGGCCTGCACCCCTGCCATTGGACCTGGGCGGTTTTCATTGGGGTGACGATGTCTCCTTCGATACCTCCAGCGGTGGGTTGGACATGGACGCAGGTCTGACGCGAAGCACAGCAGTACTGGCTGATGATGTCGTGCGTAACACACTGGTCAAGAAATGCGGCTACCTCCTTCGGGAGGTCATGATCTTCGGATTCGGACAAGGTGGCATGGCTGGGTTGACGGCGGCTCGCGAGCTGGGACAAGGTGACAACGGTGGACCTCTGTCAGGAGTAATCTCCGTTGGAGCACCATACCCACTTTCCGGGCAGCGATCGGGGGTCAAGAATCGTACGCCAGTGCTCTTGGTGGCTGGACGAGACTCCCTCGTTGTCTCCGATGCGGCTGTTCGAAGGACGAAAGAGGTCTTTGAGTTTGTTGAGCTCAGCCGGTATCCGAGAAAGGGTGATGGCATGCCCACAAACCGGAATGAGATGATGCCTGTCATGCAGTTCTTTGCACGGCGGCTGCGCAGCCGGCAGGGTGTGCCAGAGGGCAGCGTGGAGATTGGCTGATATATCTGCCACAGAGCTGACCCATCCCTAGAATGGATCAATATTCACGATGTCATGTCACAAAAAAAACCCCCCCGTGGAAACAAAACATTGCATTTACATATTTACAAAACAAACATATATGAATTAAACCAGAACACTATGCCACTTCGGCCTCGATGATTCCTTGTCCCTGGCGCGGTGGGAACCAGAATTGGACCACTTGAAACCCAGCCAGTGTTAACAGCTTCTCCCAGTGATCCTGCGTTCTCTCCATGCTGCTGCAAAAGACCATCATCTGCCAATCCAACATGGTCTGCGCCAACGGAGCGCCCTTGTCAGGCAAAACGAACTCCTCGATGATGAGTTTCGAGTAGCCTTTCTTCATGGCAACCCGCAAGTGCTGTAAGACCTCGTAACACTGTGCATCTGTCCAGTCGTGCAAAATGAATTTCATGTAATAGATGCGAGCGTCTGTCATCAAAGTTGAATTAGTTCCAAATTCCTCACAACTCGAGAATTGGCTCCTCACCTTGAATGGGCTGTGGCTTGAATAGATCGAATGGCAGGCTCTCAATCTTTTGACCGAAGTTCTTCTCTGGTAAAACGCCTGGCTGATCCTCCAAAATCAAGCGACCCAGGGCAGATGGAAACTTGGCTTCGAAAGCCGCCAGCTCATGTCCTCTCCCGCCCGCCACGTCCACAAGCAGCACATCCCCCTCATGAGCTTGATATCCATCGATCAGGCGTTCCTGGACAGGAAACCAATCGACCCAGTTCAAATTATCTCCACGGTTGCCTTCCATATAAGTATTGAAATCTTTCCCGGATTCGGGACTCTGTGAGAACCATTCCCAGAGAGACTTTTCTGTTTTCTCGCCGTATTGAAAAGGCCCATTATTCGTTCCTGTGGGGCTTTGGAAGCTCGTTTGCCGGAAGTATTCTGGAGTTTTGGCCAAGCTAGGCATACCAACATCAAATCTTCATTATATTGTGTTAGAATAAGGTTGAAAACCCGTGGAGGAAATGGACGTACAAGAACTTAACCGTCGCCACACTTTCGCGGGTACTCATCTGTCGTGTCATTGTGTTTGCGGCGTACATTCTGATATCGTGCTCCACGAGGTATCCAATTCCAGCAAGCACACGCAATACTCGTTCTGCCATGGGTCAGGTTTGGATGCTCATCTTCACCATGAAGAAACCGGTGTCTTACCTGTCAACATCAAGTCCGCGTTCTTGACAGCAGCAATCTCTTCCAATGGCAAGGGTATATTCCTCTCTGTGAGGGTCGTGAAGATATCGAGGTCAACGCCAATCCTGACACAGAGGATCTGAGTGGGCTGCAAAGACAGATTGTCAACTTTTGCTCTCATTTTTTCAATTGTCGAACATAGGCCCATGCACAATCGCCCGGTGTACTCACCGAGTAGCTGAGTTGAATGACTGCGTCTCGGGGCTTTTGGAGTGCTCCGACTAGATCCTGGGCGGCCTTCAGAGCTATGAGCCGGTCTCTCTCATTCTTGTCATTTTTGAAGCCGTCGGCTGCTTGACAGAGGGTATTCACCAAGCGATCAACGTGTTGCGTGTCGCCAATATATGTGATCATATTTGGAATAGCCCACCAACAGTAACAAGGAACAACTTCAAGGAAAACTTCCAACGTCCAAGGCCGAAACACACCAAAGGATTCAAATTCCAGAGGGCAAATTGGCCATTATATAGTCGAAATAAATCTCCTCCACTTAAGAATTTCCTCGGATGTTTCCCGACAAGCGAAAACCTACATGGATCATCCTGCACTTAAACAAACCTAAATCCGCCTCAAAGACAAATCCAACTCATCAGAATACCCATCAACGCCTCGATCAGCTTTTCGTGCCCAAAAAATGTGTCCGCGTGAACAAAGTATGTGGATCCTGCAAAATAGCGGGCACCATACAAGTCGACCAACAATCCTCCTAGTCATTCGACTGGGAGCCCAAACGAACCAATCCAAGGCAGATCGATCCTGTTCTTAGATCTTTCACCCGAAATCAAGCAGGCATTGGCTCCCTGGAACCCAATCACGTCTGGGAAAAGTGCCCGATGCAGCTAGGATCACACACGTGATATCAATCTGCGAGGGTCGTACCTCATTTTTTTGCAAGTCGAGATGTGATGGATCTGAGTGGATCCAATCAATATGTGTTCTAGCTACGGAGAACACGCCGAAAGAAGAATTGAGGATTGGCAAGTGTTTCTCATCTGGGGCTACGTGTGCGTGGTTTGTTTATTCCGGACCGCGTCTTTCTTTGCTTTTTCTCAGCCTGCGAACATGTCCAAAATTTGCTGGTTCGAAGCCGGTTCGAAGCCTCGCCTTGCTTACTGTGGGGTTCGGTGGGCGCTCTCCTATGTGATGGGTGTCTTCTTGAGTGCGATAGACTGCGTCGATGATTCTGGAAGGAGGCGTCATGGAAGTTGTCGCTCTGGTTATTAGGTCAATTAGCCGTGATCAGGGATTTATTTCAATTGGAAACCGCGAAAGCCTGCTTCAGGTGTATCGGCGGGATTCCAGGGCGATGACTATGATGACAAGACAGGTGTCATAAATGTGGAACGGGCGCTGAGACTCGTACCCAGCCTCACTTTCTTTTCCACGCAATCCCTAAACGTGAGGTCTCCTTTTATAGTCTGATTGTCTCGCCCCTGTGTCTCGTAATCATCCCTGCAGCGGCTCTTATATTTGGTTCTATACTTTGTCAGTCTTTTTCTCACTTTGTCGACCATATTCTTTTTGCTCGGCATTAGATTATAATAGAACTGAGTTCCCTTATCTAAATCTGGCGTCACAAAGGAGCTATTCCAGGGGAATGGTGCCAACGTGGATCTACAGACGCCACTCGTTATAAATTGTTGGTTCCAGCTCGTACTGCCGATCCCGAAAAAGAAGGTACCTTGTTCCTCCAATATTTAATATTTCCAAAAACAAAAATATTCTTTTGTGTGGGTCATCATTCAATAATTTGTGACTCCACAATTGGCACCTCGACATTGCAGCGAAAGAAAAGCCACAATCGTGATCTTGACGGTGACTGAGCTGGAAATCTTGTGATACCACCCTCCCCTCGTTTATTGCCTTCACTAACGAGCTAGAGATGGCTGTGAGAGGCTTCATGCGAACACAAAGGGCCAACGATAATAAATAGAGCAGTCAAAATGTACATTTCTAAATTTCCATGTCCATGATAAATGCAACCACTTCTCTATTTGTATGTTTCGGTAATCCAGCCATAGTTCTCCAAAGTAGCTTCATTGAAGCGGCGGATATATGCAGTTCGTTTGAAAATCATATCACATCAGTACTTCTAACCATCACTTTTTAAGTCCAATCACAGCCAAGTTCCGTGGACTCAAACTGTAGTCGAACACGGGCTCAACCCAGCACTCCTTGACATTGTCATGCTCGCGCAAGAATTGCCATCGGTCAACAACGATAACGGCCTCGACGACCTGAGCGCTAAATGCCATCAAACTCCAGACGACACTGAGGTTCTTTCTTCCCTGTTGGAATCTAGTCTCGTAGACCTCGATTTCCTCGTCTGTCATTGGGGCAACTCGCTCTCGAATCTTCGCACCGTGAATTGGGTCACGACTGGTTTTCGCTGTTGCGGTGCGGACATAGGAGTTGAAAGATGTGAATGCAGCTTTGCGCAATGATCCGATGATCACAGGCGTTGTACCCTTGGATTCACCAGTCAGATCCTTCACGAGACCGGGTCTAGGTACCACCTCGCGGTCGACAAGGATACGCTGGTATAGAGCGCGGTAGAAGTGGCGGGTGAAGAAGCTCTCGCTATCCGCGTAACCCCAATTGTATGGGGCCTGGACAGCCATTGAGCGGGCGGTAATATTGAGCTTCATTCCCTTTACGCCGGAGCTCTCATAGTCTTCGAACATTTTGGACATTGGGAAACCATGAGGGTCGTACGCGCATCCAGTTTCGGTTAAGCGGGGATGAAGGGAGCGGAGGATGGGCAATTTATATGTAGCCGGACCCAGACGTTCGGTCAGCAGGTTGTAACAGCAGCCGATCATGGCCACGGCCACGACGGATGGGTTAAGGATCAGCGAGCGCACGCCGTGGTGAACAAGGTTTCCACAGGAGTGCAGGGATACGACCATCACACGAGGGTCCTGCGTCTTTGCGTCTGCGTGTGTTGTAATCGCCGTCTCTTGATTATCTTCTGATGGCTCTCCGTTGGTGACTTCAAGAGAAGGATTGACAACATGGTCGATGATAGGCTCTAGGTATCCGTCCAGGATTTCATGCTCAATGTAGCTGATAATTCCTCGAGTGTCGATCTCAGGCTGCTCCTTCTTTGCTTGCCGTTCTTTCGCGGCAGGGCCAATGATTTCGCCAGCTTCAAGAGTGATCTCACCCAGCATTTTGAACGCCGTAACATCCTCGATTGTCTCATCGAGTTCTTCCAGATCTTCAGTTGAGGTCCGAGGCACTCCCGTCTCTGTCTCTGTTGATTCAGGAGCTGCAAGCTCGGGTTTACCGTCGCAGTCAGTACAAGACTTCTTGCGATTCTGCACATAGATAGTCTTCTCTTCCTTCTTAGCTAGCCTAGCTTGAACATCCATATCCCGCGCACCACTGATATACTGATGCTTCCGCTCAATTGCGATGATATGTTTGTGGTAGGGCGAGCTTGCTAACGTGCGTCCCAGGTAGTTCTGACCAGATCCAAAATCCACAATATGGGAAATAGGCTCACCCCGACGCTCATGCACAGTATCGGATAGAGATGCGACATATTTGGAGAAATGCTCGACCTCGTGAACCTTCTTCTTGTTCATGCCCACCGCAATGTGTCTTGGCAGGGTGCTCTTGGTCGATTTTGGGAGCGCAGATGTGAAGTCTCGATCGAGACTCAGCCGGCGTACATTGTGGATATATTCCAACAGATCTTGCGGAGGAAATGCGCCTCCATTCCATGTGCGGTCACCATCTTGGGCGTCACCGTTCGTAGCAGCCTGTCGCAAAGGCTCAATGTCTTCCCGAAGAAGTAGACGGATGATGTCGTGAACGTCGTGCTGGTCGAAGAATGATCTCCAGCTCTCGGATAGTAAAGCCGTATAGATATCGGGTTCGCGCGTTAGGAAATCGAGGATATGCACGCCGCCGCACAGGTTCATGAACAGCAAGTTCTCACTCGCGAAGGAAAGAAGCGCATTGACATAGGTGTCGACATCCCTCCATTCTTCGGCGAGTGGTAGGGGGCGATCACGAGCCATCTCGAAGAATTGAAAGCGTCTTGTCCCTCAGAAGGAGCCATCGAGATAATCGTGGGGAAATTGTTATCTTTTTTTTTTATCGTTGCGACCAGCTGAGTCATCTCAAAGTCGGAGTATGAAATCAGCTCGAACTACAAAACATCAGCCATTGACCTATTTCTTTTATTAGATCTTGCACTGTAAGACTTTTCAATGGGAAATAATACCAATTGTGAGACCACAGAGTCATTTCCTTGCGATATTGGAGTGAAATGACATCACAAGTTCTCGAGCCTGCTCCCCTGAAACCACGTGATTGTCGGCGAGCTGGCAGCTTCCCCGTGGCAGCGCAACCATCATTCGCATACAACACCCCGATAAACCGCAGCCATGGAGCACACAGACCCGTTCCTCCAAGTCCAGGCGTAAGCAATCCCCGCGACCGACCGGTTTAACCTTCCAACCAAGAAACTGACCAACTTGATAGAGACGTCCTGTCAACACTACAATCCAGCCGTCCCCTCTTCTCCTCATATCTCCGCATTCGTTCTCTAACCAAGAATCCGTCCAACCCAGAGCTGAAGCAAGCGCGCTCAGAGCTCGAAAGCACAATATCCGAGCTCAGCGCGGACCTAGACGATCTTGTCGAGAGCGTCCGCGCCATCGAACAAGACCCTTACCGCTTCGGTCTAGAGCTGGAAGAGGTGCAGCGGCGGCGCAAACTTGTGGACGATGTTGGTGCCGAAGTCGAGAAGATGCGTGAAGAGCTTCAGGCTGCAGTTTCTCATGCACCGGAACCGGACCTGCCCAATCCTACGGAGTTTGATGCTGCGCTCGAAGCAGATGAGGGCCGGGGTGGGGATGATTACTATGCTTCGATGGAGCAGCAGCGACAGGTTGAGTTGATGCATGAGCAGGATGAGCAGCTGGATGGGGTTTTCCGCACAGTTGGAAACCTGAGGCAGCAGGCTAATGACATGGGCCGCGAATTGGAGGATCAGGCGATTATGATCGATGAGGTCGATACGCTGGCAGACCGCGTGGGTGGGAAACTGACCAACGGCATGGCGCGCATTCGACATGTTGTGCGAGCGAACGAGGGTAAGTAACCTTCTCGTCTACGTCTGGATCTACAGCTGGATCTATGGCTGGGGACAGTTGTATATCGATATGGGAATCACGAAATTTCACGAGGCTAACTTTTCTTTCTCCGTTAGATACATGGTCCTCCTTTTGCATAGCGGCGCTGATCTTTGCGCTTGTCCTATTATTAATACTCGTTATCGTCCTTTGATAATACATCATTAAGGACGCCGGAAGACACCAGCGTCACGAAGCATGGCGTTTCATAGCGGGGCATTTCAAAGAAATTTAGTTGCGGGCCTTCTTGCGCGGGCGCGAAGTCTCATCGCCCTCGTTGTCATCATCCTCAACCATCTCGTCGGCGTCAATCTCGCTGACGTCAAGGTCATCGAGTTCATCACCCATTTCGAACGATTCCACTGTGTCCAGAAGTCAGTTCAAGTTCTTGTTGTGGATACTGGTATCAGTCACGTACCGTAATACTTCATGGCATCGGTCCAGAGGTCCTCGGCGATGGCGATGGCAAGCTCCTCGCCGTCGGGGAAGATCTCGGCGTCCTCGAGGTCATCAATGAGCTCGTCATCCTCATCCTCGTCATCCTCGTCATCGTCGACCTGCTCGCCCTTGAGGATCTTGGCATAGCGCTCATCGTCGAGCTTGCAAGCCTCTTTGTTCTGCTCAGCAGAGACATCACGGCCACGGTAACCGAAGAAGGCGAAGAAGCTGGTGCCGGCGGGGCTCTCAATGCCCTCCTCATCATCCTCGTCATCCTCGCCCTCATCCTTCATGCCCTCATCCTTCATGCCCTCAGCCTCAGCGATCTCGAGCTTCTTGACGAGAGCCTCGTACTCGGGGAGCTTGGTGCGGTCGCCACCCTTCTTCTTCTCGGCTTCAGCGAGGTCACAGGCCGCATCGAGCAGACCCTTGGTGAGATCCATATCCTTCTTCCAGTTGATGCGGACGGGCTCAGAAACAAGACCCTCCCAGGTGCGGACCTTGCCGCTGGAGGTCTTGATGCTCTGCTTGCGCCAGTAGAAGTCCTTCACGAGCTGAGAGTTGGTGAAGAAGGGGTTCTCCTCCTCGCTAGTGTGGAAATCAAAGGTGAAGCGCAAGCTGCGGGGCTCGCCGTTGCCCTCAGCATCCACCTCGAAGCGCTCAACCTTCATGTTCTTGAGAGCGGAGCCGATCACAGCAGCATCGGTGGGCAGGATGTACTCGTCAATCTCAGCAGGGGCGCTGGAAAACACACGGATCCAGAAGTCGTTCTGGACCTCGGGGGAGGAGATGATCTCATTGCGCTTCTCGAAGAGGGGTTTGAACAGAGGAACCGACTTGCGAACTGGTGCGAAATCAGCATTAATCTTTGTAAATAGAGTAGAAGCAATCGCATCATCATCATCATCATGCTGACTAGAATAGTCAAATGAAGATACTGCACGAACACCCGCTCGCGAGAAATGAAAAAAAAAAAAATCCTCAGACCGGTGCCGCCACTGCGAAATTAAATGGATTGGGGAAACTTACGCTGCTCGACCTCGGCGCGAATGAACTGATCCTGCAGGTTGGAGATCTTCTGAGCGACCTCCTTAGGAATGTGAGGAATCTCGACACGCTCGAGAAGAGACTGATCTTCGGCAGACATTGTGATGAGGAAATGGAGGGGGGCGGGATCAGGTAGTGGGTATTGGGGGTATAAAGGAGGTAAGAAAGCTCGAAGCTTGTCAAGTGAAATGAAACAAGAAGAACAATCAAGGAGACTTGACTGTAGGGGAATCAGGAAGGTATAAGTAAGAGAATTCGAAGAGGGAAAGAAGTGGAAGGCCAAAGAGGGGAGCTAAGAAGAAAAAAAAAAATTCAAGTAGCCGATCAGCAGCTGTCGATGCGCGCATCAGAAAAACTTTGGAGAAGCTAGACCTACTCAGAGATACCGTCCGGTACCTCCGGTTGCGGTCACTTGTCGCAGCAGCCTAAGTCACTCCGTGTATATAGAGGTACCCGCAGGCGGTGCGCCCAGCAACGGGACGGATTGGATGGTAGAGAGAGAGGGGGGTTTTCAGCCTGAGGTGTCGTCGGAAATTTCGTGCCGCTTCTTTTTTTTTCATTTTCACAATTGCATCATGAGGTTCCATTGTGGTCGATATTTTCTTAGCGCGAGATTCTTTTCCTCCAAGTATGTCTAGGATGTGTCAAGGAATGCCCTGTCATGACAGAATACAATATCTCTTCGTTCAATGCTATCTCGGACTCGGCGTCTTCGAAGAAAGGAAGTATATCCGGCGGGCCCAGATCCTGCCTTTAACAATGTGATGAAATCTCCATCCGCGATTCGTCAATAGATCCCTCCCATTCACCAAAACTTCCAAACTTCCAAACTTTTGCCTGGAAACCAATCTTGGACTTGTAGTCAGCCGTCCAGGCCAGGTTTAATTTGATTAAGATAGCCGAGACTTCATTGCTTTTTCCGATTAGCACCTTAGTCTGAGGGCGGGGAACTGAGAAATAGTGATTAGATCACTTTATTCCAACTGCACCTCTAGACCCGAATGTATCAATATAACGATACTGAGTCTTTGCAAGGGGCCATTTCCATTCTCTGCACCTTTCACTTTAGTTTGTAACCCCCCTCATTGGACCGGAGAGTGCGATAAAGGAGCGGTCTGGCTTTGGCGGTTAGTGGTGGATAGTGGTGCTGCGAAGATTTCCTACTCGCTGCTCGTTCTCGGATTTTGATGCAGAGTGCTACAAGCTGCATCTTGGCTAGGAATGGAACGGGTGAGTCATAGAACTTGTGCCTGCCAGGAGTGGAAAGAGGAGAGAGAGAGAGAGACAGAGCCAAGATAGCAAGGGAAATCGTGATATCTCATTCGATGTAGAATTTTGGGGAGGGGGACCCGGCCCTGGCGATCAAAGCGGATGGTCTGGGAAAAAAGAAAACAAAGAACTTTTTTTGGTCAGAGATGAAGAGAGAAAAGGCGTCCCACCGATGCCTGGTACCAGACATCGTTCCGATTAAGAACAGTAAGAAAAACAATGACAAAGACAGTCATGTCCCATATAATTCCCATGCCCATTCGCCAATTATGCAATGATTAGAGCAAAATACAAAACAAGGCAGGTTCAACATGCACAGGCATCATCACCATGCACGTCTGCCGGGGATCGAACAGTCGTAAAGAAGAAAAGGCGCCGATAATCATCAGCGACGCCAAGACACGCGCGAGAAATCAAAAGAGTGCAATGGCAAAGGGACGAAGATGCTCAAAGCATCCAGTCCAGTCCATTCGCCTCTTCTTCCACGGGAAATACCTCACGCGCATACTCCTCCATGTCGCGCCAGCCCTGCCACAGATGCCGGGCTTCGTCCGTCACCCGCAGCGACACGACACCGCCTGGCCCTTGCATCATTCCGGCGCCAGCGCCCTTTCCACCGGCGGGGCCCAGACCCTTGGGCGAACCCGCTGCCGGCTGCGAAAACTCGGGCTGTGGGAAATAGGGGGCATTGAACTCGCCGAACAGGACCTCAAGCGTCTCCAGCTGTTCCCTGTATCCCGGCGGAATATTGACTTTGATCTCGATCCGAGGCACGCGCACGTAGTTGCATGGCCGGCCCAGCGCACGCTCGAAGGCGGCGCAAACTTGGTTGGGCGAAAGGGTCTCGAAGGTGAGCGCAATCCTAGTGATGAGGCAGTTAGTTACTTTTGTTTCCAATTGTTTTTTTCTGATTCCCGGGTACTTCTCTGATTCGGAGAAGCGCGGGGCCGGGTGATCCTGATAAATCTGGGGTGGGGGGTGGAGATGTTCCGAGACTCACCGATGACCATGCCATTTCTTTGGGCCGTCTTTGAAGATTTGCAGCAGAGTTGGTCCCACATCATGCTCGGCATCCAGCCAAGGGAGCGGGGTCTCCGAGTCAAAGGGCGCGCGCCACTCGAAGCTGCCGTCGGGCATGAGTTCCATCTGGAAGAGCGGGTAGGGAAGACTGGTGAAATTGTTGTTGTAGATACCGGCGTAGACAAAGGTTGCCGGGAGAGACAGCTGGCGCACGTAGTTCTCGACGGTGAACTTGGGCGCCCACTGCGGGACAGCCGGCCAAGGGCCGTGAACGGAGTGATCCGGCATGCTGCTGTAGATGTAATGGGTGATGGAACCGGCACGTTTGGCAGCGTCTGCCAGCGCCCGGCCGATGGCCACCTCGTCGCCGGCCTGAGAGGTGGTGTTGATGAAGGCGAGAGAGGCGCCCTTGAAGAGCTCGTCCATCAGTCGGGTATTGCCGAGCAGCGGACCCTGCAAGAGCGTGACATTGGGCAAGGTCTGTAACTCCTCGGCAACAAGCCCCTTGAGAGAATGGATTTGCGCGCGCACAGCATAACCCACGGCGGACGCGACTCTGATCAGCGAGGCGGCCTGTCGCCCGGTCGCGTTCACCACGGCAATCGTCTTCTGCGGTTGTGTCATCCGGGACAGGCTACGCAGCCAATATTGAAGGTCAGGGAAAAAGAAGACAAGACAAATGAAAAAGAAAAAGAAAAAGAAGCAAGGGAGTATAGGTATGGAAAAAGTGGATCTCGAAGGAAAGAAGAAAGGGATGAGGGCAAAGATAAAAGAGAATCCGGAGTAGAAAGGCCTTGGCGAGAAAAATGGAGGTGAGGGCTGCGATAGTGGGGGTACCTTGGGAGGGGAGCAAAAAGTTGTATGTAACAAGAATCGCGATCAGACGGGAGGGGGGTGATCCAGCTCCACCGAAACTTGTGAGGCAATTATGCGATGGAAACAGTCATCACGGGCGAAAGATGATCTGCTCCAAAAAAAAAGAGATTTCACTGGGGTGGGTTTTTCACTCTTCTGTCTTAGTTTTTTTTTTTTTTGGTTCCGAAACCCAAGGCGGAGGGGGATAAGATAAAGGGGAATATAGGGTTATCTATATACAACACAGAGGAGAGAGAGGGGTGCTCTACCGTCCGGGCTCACCATAATTTCATGAGCTATAAGTTCCTCATTCCTTGTCTCCCCCTTTTGTTCCTTTGCTACTGATGACAACGTCGAGTCTAGACTAGGCGGATTCCCTTTTTCTTTTACGTAAATCGGCACCTCGTCGGCTCCAACAGGTGGACGGGAAGATCCTTAACCGGCCACGCATCGGCACCCAGACTCGGGCTCTAGCAGATTCTTTTGACATCATTCTGGAGGAAATCCGTTCAGACCCTCTTTCAGAGAAGGCAGGATATGCCGGATAAGCTAATGCCAAGCCGTGCTCGTCCGGCTGGTCGTCGGTTCCAGCTGGAGACAAAATGGCGCAGAATGAGTTCGTCCAACAACCTGCCAGGGGCGGCCTCACGTGGTACTAGGTGGATTCCTTTGGCTCCAATTGGCACACATGGACTAATGATAGTACATGGGTAAAGATCACCTGGACCGACAACGCATGGGTCCGTCCCAGAAGGGCAGTTCAAATACAGAGAGGTACACCAGCAAATGCCGCCGGAGAGAATTGGGTACCAGGACGAACGTTTCGAAGCTGAGTTGTATGGTTCAGATGAGGAATCTAGCTAGCGACTCGTAGACGTGCTAACCCCGCAAATTCTATCGGGCATTTCCCCCCCCCCCTGCTGCAGGAGGGGCGCCGAATTTTCAGCGGCACCGACCGAGGGGCAAGATCGGCCTATTCCACGGTGGAGAAAGGGAACGATCATAGATCCATTAAGTGTATCTGATGAGTTCCCACTCCCGAACCACTTGATATAAGATTCTATAGTAATGCTAGGGTCATCGGAATCCAGGCTAAGTCTCAAGTCATCCCACCGGAAAAAGGCAAAAAAAGAACAAAGAAGAAAGAAAAAACGCCGTGAATGGAAAAAATAAAAATCAAAAATCAAAAGTCGTAATATGAGGCCCTGCGGCCTTACCACCCTTCTTTTTCCCCACTTGGTGGTCTTGGACCTCCTTCCCCCTCCAACGGTAAGGCCCGATCTCCGCGGACGTCTGTGGTCCCAATGGTTCGACACCCTTCTGGCGTGATCGTTGCGCTTATGTGTTTGGTTCGACGGTGCGATGATGTGACTGTGCTGCGCTATAAACGTGTGAGTCGTTTCTTCATGGTGCAGACCCGGCCAACGTCCGTCCCCGCTCATCTTCGAGCTCCGGAGTATTTACGCCGGGGTCAATGCCCGCCAACTCCCAGACCCGGGGCCGTCGACGAGCCAGTAATTCTGCTGCCGGTCGCTCGTCCGAATGCAGGTGAGCACCCGACTTGCGTAGAAGGCGCACGTGCTCGGAGAGCCCGGCATTAGCCGCGAGGAACAGCGGGGTACGGCCGTTGCGATTACGAAGATGCACGGAACCACCCTGGGAGAGCAGGTAGTGGAGGATTGCGATCGCCGGGGAGGTGGCTGCCAAGTGCTGGAAGACGGGCGCGTAGTTAGCTTCAGATTTTGGGAGTAGGGAATGCAACAGGATGCGCTTACAATTGGAGTGTTCCCCGAATAGTCGGCGTCATTCAGCAGCCAGTGATGTTCTGTCTTCATGATGGTTTGGACCCGTTCGAGATCTCCATGCGCGATGGCGTAACCCATCGCCGTGAGGGTCTGTACACGACCGGGAAGAGCTCCGTCCGGATGTCGGAACATCGGAAGAGAAGACTCGGTAAGCTCTCCGCGCAGGGAGACGGACATTTCCCTGGACACGGTGTCTGGGGTAGCACCAGGGAGTGCGAGTAAATAAGCCAGCTTCGTGAGAGCACCCTCGGTAGTCATGTCGAGGCCAGCAACAACGCCAGCACGGGACAGACTCATGCCGGTGGCACAGACTGGACTGACACTGCCGGTCAGACCTATAGCAGAAGACGTCGGTTAGCGAATATCATTAAAGTTGGGGCCAATCGAACTTACATTGAGTTACATTGACAATGACAATACCACGCTTAATGGCATTGGCCAGGACGTTGATCATCGCGTTATCTGGGCCAGACGGAGCGTTTCCAGCTCCAAAGGTCTCCAAAATGAGGCCGCGGAGACCGTCCAGTTTCAGAACCGCATCCACCATCTCGGGCTTGATGCCCGGGAAGATACGAAGGCACGCGACATGGGTCGTGTCAAGATTTGTTTGGATCCGGAAGTGCTCCAAGCTGGTGGGCCTATGCACCATATCCCAGTTGACATTCGTGCGCATCGAAGTCGTGATTGCCAGAGGGGGACAATTCGGGGCATCAAAGGCGGCAAAGTCGCTCGCCGCCACCTTGGTGGACCGATTGCCACGAAACAGCTTGTTGTTGAAGTATAGGCACACTTCCGGGATCATGAAGTGACCCGCCACCACGAGCGATCCCAGCAGATTGTCAGTTGCGTCATTTTGGAGCTCGAGCATAGGTGCCTGAGACCCTGTGAGCACGACGGGCTTGCCGAGGTTCTGGAGCATGAAACTCAGGGCTGAGCAGGAGTACGCCAGACTGTCGGTGCCGTGAAGCACCACGAAGCCATCATACAAAGTGTAGTTCTGGAAAATGGTCTCCGCAATCTGCGTCCAGCCCTTGGCATCGATGGAGCTGCTATCCAGGAGCTCTTCAAACTCGAAGACGGTATACCGCACCTGCTTTCCATAGGCGGTGATTGGCGTGCGCAGACTAGGATGACCCTTGACATCTCCTGCGGCATTGGTCACCACGTCCATGTGGAACGACGGCGAGCCATCATTGAAGCACGGCACTCGTGCCATGCACTTGTCCTGGAATCCCCGGGCAGGCACGAACCCGGCCGGAGACGGCTGCATGCAAATCGTCCCTCCAGTCATGATGATCAGTACCCTGGATTCTAGGACATTCTCCTCCAGCTTCGCACCCATGACGGGAATCGACACCTCTTCCGCGCCCATGATGATAGTCGCACTGTCGGAATCACTTTCGGTGTGGTGGAAAACTGGATCCAGATTTCCAGATTTCCAGTTTGATATCCAACGGTCGGTCGGGGGTTGGCGTCAATCTTCAATTCCCCAAACTTTTGTATCTACTTGGATCAACGCGATAGCCCTGCCCCTCAGCAAAAACCGAGATCGTCGAATCGGCGGATTGCGGGGAGATGACGTTGGATGAGGAAAATTTTCTCGTTCTCTCACGTAAATGCTTTAGTCAAACAAGCAAGCGCAGGAAGAATTTTTTTTTTCCGGCGAAGATTGAGACTGACTCGAGGCAGATCATGATTGATTCTTTTGACCGAACGCGACTCCAAATGGGCCAGCGCATTACGTACGGAAATTTAATTGGAGAAGGAATTTCACCGGTTGGCGCAACTTTAAAACGCGGCTCCACTCGGCGGAGTCGTCTGTTTTTCTCCGAGGTAGGACGTCGAAATTATGGAAAGGAGAAGTCAGGCGGTAGGGAATCATATTGATCATTTTAGGGTATTTTCATGCTCGTTCAAAATCAAATGCAATGCTCTTTGCGACAATAATAGTGTGAAATGGCCAACATTCTTCGTTTTGTTGGAGTAGCGCATGATGGGCAATCTGGCGTAGGTGTTTATATCATTGCATTGGAAAGCATGGATGGAGTCGCTTGGATTGCGTGTTGCATGGGAGTCGAATAGGAGACATAGGATTGGCACCGCGAGGCTGCAAAAATGCTGCTGCTAGGTTGTCGCGATGTAGTAGGTGTCGAATACATCACTTAGGAAAGGTAGAAGTCTGGAAATAAATCACAGCCTCAAAGATGATACAAGCAATAATGAATTACAGAATGAGATTTGTGTAATAGGTCTCAACTCTCTGTGCTTCAAGTCATCAACACAGGTGAATGAGTGTTGAGATTCCTGTTTGCTCGGTGCACCCCCCAATGTGTCGAGTCAAAGCTTTCCCGTTGAAACCAATTCAATAAGAGAGATGAGAGAAGCTTTTGAGAAGCATTGGGCTTAGATATCAGGTAACCCGCGAGCTATACCCGATAATCAATCGGTTTTCCCTAGAGACAAACCCCCACTCTACCACCCATCGACAAATGCACTTTTGGACCAGCCAGTACGAGGACCGGAAAGATTGCACATGATGCTCGAAATACACGGTCGATGGTTCGGGGTTGAGCATCGTCACAGTACGGGAAGGCTGGTTAAGATCTGCTTTCTATGCTTTGTACAAAGAGACACAATTGCTGCCTTTTCAAAAGCGAATGATTCATCTGATTTGGAGAATCACTGCAATTTTGTATGTTCTGTATTTGGTTCATTTGCAAATATGCCTAGGAATCTACAATTTTCCAAAGTCCCTTGAACAATGCAGAGAGAAGTTTGGATTTTTCACGAAGCACCAAAATTTTAAAATGAACTCCAAAACATCCACTCGATGACTTCACATCTCAGAAAAAAACGAAGGGACAGGTCTTTGGTACTGGTTCCATCATGGCCGGGGCCCGCCCTCTCAGAATTGGATTTGTAGTGCTTAATTGCCATGTAATGATCTGCCTACAATACCACACTTGGGATATGCACGCCACCAGCCCTATTGTAGAGCGTGGTGGCCGGTCCATCTTCCGCTTCAGATCAAGTGCATTAGACGGGTGCCCAAGAGGGACAATCTCATGAGGTACCTTCTCTTTGGAGTAAGACTTTATGTAGAGTTCACCGAGAGAGACCGGACAATGTCCGTTGCCCCGCATTTGGTATTTTCGTGCATCTTTTGCCTGGTGGCCAGGTACCTATCGGGATTGTCGAGGGACTTTGGTGCTTGTTGTGTCGTGAAGACACATATGTTTCGCCTGAAATGGTATGTTTTTTACGCCACTGGCTACTACTAATTATTTTGATTTCTCAATTCACTCTTTCCCGATTTTTAAAGAGGTTGTTGTTTGGGGTCTGTCGAAGCCCAATATTTGCAAATGAAACTAGGCGAGTCCTTCCCACTCCAACCCCCCACTCTTATCGCTCGTCCATCTTCTATAGTCCATTCGGTTGGAACTGCAACAGATCTTCCTCCAGCAAGCCCATCATATACTGATTTCCCGAATACCAGTTGCTCAATTGTGCAGCCTGTGACATTTCCGTCGGAGACACATCCTGGTTCTGTGAATGAGCCCCAGGAGCAGATATACCAAATGCCTGCGACGAGGCCTGCGAGAAGTTAGTTGACATGGTCGGAACATCTGTTTGATAATATCCTTGGGCATTTGGCATGAAATTCCCGGGCGCGAGGCCTAGCGCACTCAGATAGACATCAAACTCCTGTCCAACAGAAGCTAATGTCTGATCCTCGCCTGCCTGGCTTCGACTTTTGGCTTCTACGTAAAGACGGGCGACGGTTCCGAGGACCGAGGTGAGGTTATGTAGTCGATCAACTGATTGAGAGAATGCGCAGAGAGGGCGTAGGGAGGCGATGAAGTCTTCGAGTCGGGTCAAATCTTCGGTATCAGAGGTTGCGATCACGTGGCAGAATAGGACAATGAATGGGACGAAGGGAGAGAAGAAGATTGCCCTATTAATTGTTATTTAAATTCAGAAGGCGTCAGTAGGTGAATTGGTACTCACCAATGCATGTAAGAGCATCTGATGATCTCGCTTGCCTCCTGTAACTCACTCACGCACATCTGGTGCTGCTCCAGGGATGCACGTGCCGTCTCAATGCACTCGGGTATAAAAATGGTAGATGACCCTGACTCGGGCGATGCGGGGATGGCGCGGTAAATTAAAGTCAAGATTGCCAAGCGGCTGACCTTGTCGGAACGGAGATACATGAGATCTACGGCGCTCATGTGTGTGGACAGATTTGAGGCCAAGATTTGCTGACGAAAGAAGTTAGAAATGCGTGGGTTAGTCTTTGGTAGTCGTGACGTACCTCAAAAGGCTCAAAAATAACCTCCTGTAATTCGGTAGCTAGCTGACGGGCATGAGCCACTCGCTCACTTTCGAGTTGATTCAATGCCGCCGGGCTGTATAGCAAAGCGTATATCTTGCCCTCGATCATGGATTGCTTGGTCCACAGAGCACAGACGGTCTTCCATGCATTTTTGCCCGTGCAGGTATCAAGTGGAGACGGCACTCCGATGTCATAGTCTGGGACTGGTGAGGCCCGACCTAGGCGCAAGGAAAGCAAGTTGAGGATGGTAAACGCAGACCAGAAGACCGTCTGCTTCTTCTCCTGCACCTCTTGCGAATCGTGTTCCATAGATGAGAGACGATGGTATCCCAATGTCTGACACATTTGAATGGCCATGGAAGCAAGCGTCCAGCTGACCGAGGGCTTTGAGATCTCAATTCCATGCATTGCCTGGACCGACATGTGTTAGAATGACGTAGACAAAAATCAATAGGTAAACCTACTCCAACAGTCAGTGCGACAATGGAATCGAAATTTGCGGGCATTAGAATATTCAAATTCGCTAGTGCTGCCTCCAAATTAAACTTGCAAAGTCTCAAATAGTGCTGGTACTTTTCCTTTTGAACAGGATCCTTTTCAAAAAACCCGAGCTCGACAAAGACGTTATAGAGCCCAGCGTTTGCTGTGATAAAGGTCGCGTCTGAGTAATCATCAGTGCAGAAATAGACCGCGCGACATTCCTGTATGAAGTACTCGACCGTAAAGAATGGTATGTAGCCACCAAAGGAAGCTGGAGGCGTTTCTGCATATTTTGGTCAGACGAAAGCTGAGGATACCAGATTAGGAAGGTATCATATCATACCCTTGACGATCTTTAACAGATTCAAAACAACTGGCAGAGGCGGCATCTCCAATTCGCGGATATCACAGCGGGCACCGTGCCGGTCACTCTGACTGGGGAACTGGCCTCTCTGGGTATCCTTGCCGCGCCATTTGTCTTGCATCTCAACTATTTGTTTCAGGGATGATAATGCCTCGCTGATCTTTGGGCTGGAAAATAGCTCAGGAGTGCTATGAGAGACTGCAGATTCGAGGAACTTCCTCGCATAGGCTGAATGAGTAGCCAAAGAAGAGCTTCCTTCAAAGTCCACCCTGGGTCATATTGTTCGATAGCTGCGTTGGACGTATACCCAGGCCCCTTAGTGCTTTCGTGCCCTTGCGCTGTACCTTGGGACTGTCTTCGAAAGTTGCCTTGAGGTGACGCCTGAGATGATGATTGCCTTTTGATCGATGAAGTCTCATGGGACTTTGATGAGGCCACCAGCTGCCGAAGAGCTTGTTCAATACCCCCAAGACGGTCTTCGATCATGTCAATCTTTTTCTCACTGCAGATTTGAGTCAACCGGGAGACTCCCCACTGTGCCATAATTGAGCAGGCCAAGTAGCCAACTCAGCAAGCGAGGAAATTAGTAGTACATACTACTGGCTTGAAATTAACACACGGCGCCTCGGCTCGTGCGGTCTCTGGCCTTCGCCAGTAGAGCGACAGGCCATATTGGCGCTGCGACAATTGGAACATGGCGTGCGTTTATCGCACCGGATCTGTGTAAGTGTTAATCAAATCGTTCTTACCGGTCAGGAGAGAACATACTTTTCGAGAGCGGCACTGGTCGCACTAGAGACATAACAAGTCATTGTAAGTGAGCAACGGAATGACTCGGTCTACTGGACGCGGAAGTGGAGTACATACTGCACGTCGGGCCAAGGTTCTGGACCCCTCACTACGGTCGGAGCCCTCGGGTTCCATGAGAGCGAGAGTGGCGTATGCTTCCAGTCGCAATTCTAGCACTTCTACCGGTTGTACAGCTGAGGTTACAAAGGGCTGTGCCGTCGTCTTAATATGAGGCGGAACCGGTGCTGCCTTGGTGGGATCACGTGGCCTGTAAGATGAAGGTGAAAAACTAGAGCTACGACTTAGTTATGTCGGTGGAAATGAGATTGATAGCAGTATCAACATTCGTGAGATCTTCATTCGGCGTATCGCGTCATCAGGGACTGTTTTACAGCACGCGCGGGGTCTTGATGTGGGCAGAGCGCGTCCAGCACAGCAATTCCACCAGTGTATAATATTCTATCCAACAGAAAAGAAAGGACAACAAAATCACAAGTTATAATGCATAGGAATGCAAGAGACAGGCTATTTCGGAGAAGATGGCGGTTTCCATGATCCATCACTGCGCCAGACTGCAGCGGGTCCGTAGTGACCAGGCTCGGAGCCCCGCAAGAATGCAAAACGGAAGAACAAATCTTCAGGCTCATCATCAGGATCACTATCGGCCAGTAGAACAGACTGAGTATCAAATGTAGAGTCCGAAAGGTCCCGACGATCCAGAAGAGGCTCATCATGAGGCAGCTCCAAGCCCTCATGGCCACGGCGGTGCCAAGTGAATTCACCTAGCTCGTCCTCATCCAGATAACCACGCCAGCGCTCCACGTCATTCAGCAAGACCGAAACGCCATCCACGGCCAGTTGTGTCATGCGCTCGTGTTCCCAAAGCGTGAATGTGATGTTGCCATTGCCGCGATAAGTCTCCTTGGATCCTGAACCAGGTAGCGAAATCTCGACAGAGGAATCGGTGATATTAGGATATGAAGCACCCCACCATCCGCTGTTTCCACTGCGGCCCGGAGCTAATTCTCCCAGGGCAGCAGGGGTTTCGATGATTGAAGCAAAGCCCCATCGAGCAACACCGTTGATGAATAGACCAAGGAGCAGTCCTTGGTAGATCAATGAAGGACGTGTGGGGAAAGCAGTTCCTGGCATCAGCAGGATCGCCAAAATGTAATGATGGATGCGGAGTCGTAGACCAGGAAGTGGGGCCAGAATCAAGATGAATAGAAGCATGGTGCCATAGATCTTGAGGTACCGGGGGAGCAGTCCACCCTGGCGGATCTGCCATGCTTGGGTAAGAACGATCGTGAGCACGGCTGGGATGACAATGGCGAGCGCCAATTTGGCGCCAGGCTGCTGCTGAATGTCCATGGGGGTCAGGCGCTGGAGGGGGATCAATCGCGCAAAAGTATAATTGTTCAAAGCTCCAATGAAGAGTGCCGGAAGATACAGGAATAGTTTGGAGAACTGATAAATTGGCGATGAGATCGGATGGAGAAGCGGGTTCACACAGAACTTGAACAGCACATAGACCACGAACGATGCGGGGAGCAGTCGAGACAAGAGAGTGGAAACGAGGTCACTCAGGTAAGGGTAAGACGGCGGGTCTGCAACCAATCCGGTGTGGCAGAATACCATGAAGAATGTACTGAAGAACAAAACAGGCGGGGAGGTGCAGAACAGCCAGAGGAGCCCGACAGCAGCCGCGGTAACGCCCAGGAGCGACCAGCGCGGGTCAGCGGGGCAATTGGCTTGCGACGAGCGCAACTGAAGGAAGCTGAAAGCCTTGGGGAAAGTCGATGGGAAGGCCACAGACTGAATGCCATTCTGCTTGACCGATGGGAATGAATGCGCCGCGCCCTCGAGCTTCACGACGCCACATCCACCATCATTGGAGATGGTACCCGCATGTATGGCTGCCTGACAAACAAAACTGTCCGCGCGATAGATAGCGGGTTCGGATGAATGGGGTTGGGGGCCTCCAACTACGAGACCCTGATAATTGAATGTTTGGTTCCCAACAACATGAGGCTCGAGAAGCTTCTCATCTATACAGTTCGCAGGGCACCGGAAAGCGATAGTCGAGGAAGAGAATGGACGGCATCCGTTGCCATTGAGGCCACATCCGTTATCGAATTCCCTAATTTAAAGTCAGCCGATCGTATGATAGTACGCGCTTGTTTTGTACGAACCAGAGATTCGTTCGACATGATAGTGTCTGTAGCCGGCCGTAGCCTTCGATGTATCCAGATGAGCGCGAGTGGACAAGTACCAAGAACCAGGGTAGGAACCAAGATACATAGAGCAGGACGAGGAGTGAGACTTTGTGCTTGCGCTTAGGGAAGAAGTGGTCGAGGTACTGAACCGGCAGTTCCTGTATGCGCGGGAAGAGCGGCTTCAATAATAGCATGTGGGGAGGATTGGGGCCCTTGATCCAGTGCGCCGTCGCGCGACCGGCCTTTCTCAGTGGCAGTGGTACCCAGCCCCAGCGAAAGGACTTGGATGACTCCTGTAGCCAGACGGGCAAAGCGCTTCCACCCGCCTCAACATCGGGCGGCGGTAGATCCTCGGAAGTGTCGGGGTTGACGATGCGCTCGTCATCTTCATCCTCGAGTAGAGGGGGAACGTAGAGGCGAGCTGCCTCCTCGCGACCCTCTCCGAACATGGCGAGGGTTCAAGGGAATAGAGATGACCTCAAAAGTCGTGGAGCGACGAAACGAACGGCAGGGGTAGGTATGATGTCGGTGCCGGAGCGGTCGGCAACGCTTAGGAGTGGAGAATTCCCCAGTGGGTTCACCAGAATGATCAGCAGGAAAACCCTGTCCCTGACTTGATTGAAACAAGGCACGTAAGGTAGTCTCTCGAAGAATACAGACGAGTATAAGGGAGTGGGTGAATTGTCGACAGTGGATGAGCCAAGTTGAAGACTGGGTCAGGCAGAACAGACTCTGAAAGTCAGGCAACCAATCACAGGGCCTCCTGCGGCCAGTGGCGACACTCTTCTTCTCAAAGAGACCAAAGACACATTCTCTAGATTCCTGCCAAGTGCCCTTCATTGCGTCCTAGAGGGATGTCTAGGGGCTGAGAATCGTATTCGGATCAACCACCTTTCCAGGTTCACACTAATGCAGGACAGTGCGACATTGCTTCCCCGCAAGGATCCTGGCGTGGATAGTGGGCACTTTCTGCTTGGAGCACTAGTAAAGTTAGCTTGACATATTTCAGTAGACGTTTATCAAATTTTCCAGAAAAAAGCACTCCCAAGATCCGGCCCAACAAAGGCTCCAAAGTCATGGAGCAAAAGATCTCAGATACGGTTCGAGGTCGTGATTCCGAGCACGTGAGCTGTCCATATGTCGATGGAGATATATACACCTCAAGCCTCAAGCAAGAATCGAACATAATTGGCATAGGTGAGACCATCAACGTCCATGAATTAGACAAACACATATCGTCTTCAAGATATGCTGATCGCTCTTAATATGGAAAGCTACAGATTGATGATCAGCCTTTGGGGGTCCTAAACTTGGGCGTTTATGTCCCCCGGAGTCCGCCACCATCTTGAGCATGTCAAATATGGATACAATACGTAGCCTCGAGGGCTGCGACTGCAGGAACTCTTGATGAACTAGATTCTACCCTTAGTTATTTAGGTACTTAGGTACTTAGGTACGCAGAAATCCTTATCTCCTCTCCAATCCTGAGTCGTCCGACCGGATGAAGCGGAGGACGAGGACGGCCACTGGATTGCTCCCGATGCTTATCAAGCACACGTTGAAACCAACCTTTCTTGGAAGGACTGTGCGGGGGTGGATCAGGAGAGATTAGAAATGAAATTCCCGTCTCTTAATTTCTGAATGAGCTGGAACTGACTTTTTTGCCTCCATTGTGACTTCTTCCTGAGAGCTATCTGCAAGACCGTGGAGAACGTGCAGCGATCTTCAACATGACAGCCGTTTCTCCGCCCGCCGACTTGTCGCATCACTACAGCTACACTGCGACTAATCGCCAGGCGAGCAGCATCAAAAAGTTCTACAAATATTTCCTAATTCCAGGCGTGGCCAATTTCGCTGGCGGTAAGAACTTCATCCAGTCTTTGATGCAAAATCACCTACTAAATCTTCCCTTCCTCCTACTCAGGTTTACCACACGCCTCATACTTCCCCTACGATACCCTCGAAGCCACCGTCGCCCGCCCACAGCGATTGCAGCCCGTCGGCGATAATGATGTCAGCCCAGACCGAGTCGTCGTCCCTAAACAAAGCAGAATTGTCGACCCTCGGCTACGCATCGATTTGACAACCGCCCTTCAATACGGCACCGCCGAGGGTTACCCTGCTTTGCTCTCCTTTTTGCGACAATTCACCCGGGATCACCTGCATCCGAACGTCCCCTACGCCGGAGGACCCGAGGTTGTAATAACTTGCGGAAATACCGATGGCTTTGCCAAGGCTGTTGAGCTCTTTACCAATGTCTGGAATCCCGGTCGCGACTGGATCCAGCAGCGGGAAGGTATCCTCTGCGAAGAGTTCGCGTACATGAACGCTATTCAGACCATCCGGCCACGGGGCTTGAATGTGATCAGTATCGCAATGGACGGACAGGGTATGTGTGCGTCTGGGAAGGGTGGGTTGGCCGACGTGTTGGAGAACTGGGACTTTCGGCGCGGTCGCAGACCACATCTAATGTATACCGTGACGTGAGTAATATGGACGGCTCTGGATCCGGTATATGCTAATCAATGTTCAGAATTGGCCAAAACCCCACTGGAGGCACGCTATCGCTTGAGCGTAGGAAGGAAATCTATGCTCTCTGCAAGAAGTATGACGTGATCATTGTTGAAGATGAACCATACTGGAATTTACAATTCCCGTCAGCATATGAGAAAGAAGCTCGTCATCGTGGCTCATCTCATGGACGTGGTCCTGGTGCCCAGAATTACAATGAAAACGGCAAGTCCTCGGGCTACGAGTTCTTGGATTCATTGGTTCCCTCGTATCTATCCATAGATACCGAGGGCCGTGTGGTGAGACTCGACACTTTCTCTAAGACCGTCGCCCCGGGAAGTCGTCTTGGTTGGATGACCGCACAGCCGGCTGTCATCGAGCGAGTCACTCGAATTACTGAGACCTCAACCCAACAGCCGTCAGGCTTTGTCCAAGCCCTGATCGCTGAAATGATCATGGGGAAGGAAGATGGCCCCAATAGAGCCCGTGTCTCCAAGAAGGAAGACGGTCAAGGCTGGCATATGGATGGCTGGGTGCGTTGGCTAGAAGGCCTACGTGGAGGCTACGAAAGACGCATGGTCACCATGTGCGATATTCTCGAAGAAAACAAATATCTTCTCTCTCAGCAATCTGAAGTCTCTCAGCCCACTGGTAACCATGTCGATGACTGGGAAGTTGTGGACCGGGTCCAGATGTTCGACTTTGTCTGGCCCAAGGCTGGCATGTTCGTCTGGATTCAAGTCCTCTTTGATAACCATCCCTTGCGATGTCAATATAGCGCCGAGAGCCTGTCGAAGGCTTTCTGGATTCATCTCACCAAGAAGCCACACTTGTGTCTGGTCGGACCTGGCAGCCTCTTTGCCCCTACTGAGAAGTCTGCTGCGGAGGCTCACAAGTTCATTCGCATCGCCTTTGCACCTATGGATGTTGAGGATGTGGTGCCCTTCACTCGTAGATTGGTGGAGGGCTTCAGCGCATTTTGGAAGCGAAAGAACTTGGACGGGCTTGATGATGATGACGATGCTGCGGTTATGGCGATGCACAATTCAACATCGGGATCTGGAACTAATTTCTTAGGGTCTGGTTATTAGGACCGTTAGATAGGAGCGATTTCACAGTCTATTGTCAAGAACATATACGTAATCTTTTATTTTTTCTTTGAAATGATAGGCCCATTCTCTTTATGCTGGATTCGCGATACCGCTTTCGCAGAAATTGAATACTCTGTCATAATACAAACCGTGTAGACAGGAGACGAAATAATGCTGATGCCTTGCTGCCTGAACATTACCCTGTGGGGAAAGTCAGGTTCTCCGCGGCGTGAGAAGTCGCATTCTTCACCACGCGGGGCACTGCCCGAACAATGTCGCAGCTGGACGAGCTAGAGAACCGAGACCTCGCCGAGGAAATCGAAGCCATCAATGCCATATACGAACCCGAGACCATCACGGTGACCCAAGCGGCCGCCAGTCACTCCAACAACACAATTGACTTGGGCTCCTCCGGTACCTCAAACGATAATGTGCAAACAATAGTAACACTCCAGATCCCTGGTCAGCCGCATTTATCTTTCCGGCTTGGCTTTGACGTCAATTACCCAGAGACACGACCTACGGTACTCGGGACTGCATCGACTGCCGCGCGCGGGGAAGGAAAGATTGCCGTCGATGTGTTGGAAGACATTGTGCAACGGACGTGGCAGACTGGTGCCGTCTGTCTTTTCGATGTGATCAGTGAAGCTGTGGAGGTATTCCCCGAGCTGAAAATCGGGGGAAACAAAGAAAGCAATGAAGCTGGACCTGCCGAGTCAAATTCGACCGGGCAATCTTCAAGCAAAGCCGACGAGCCCACGATATCAGGGGAACAATTTGCTGCTTTATCGCTTCAGGATGAGTTCGGACTCGACGATCCCCCCGACTGGATCCTTTCCGACGTCATCACCGAAAAAAAAATCTACGTTCCTAGCCCGAGCGGTGCAGGTCACCAGCTTAGCACAGGCACAGGCATTTCTAGATCATTTAACGACCACGGATAGGAAAGTGGCCGTGGCTACACATAACATCAGTGCCTGGCGCATCAAACAAAAGAAAGACGGCGGGCACATCTCTGATCCAGATGCTGCGGAGACAGTGGCTCAGGATTACGATGACGATGGCGAGACCGCTGCTGGGGGTCGTCTACTACACGTGATGCAATTGATGGATGTATGGAATGTGTTGGTCGTCGTCTCACGATGGTTCGGGGGCATCCACCTAGGTCCTGCACGGTTTCGGCTCATCAATGATGCCGGGCGTGACGCTTTAGTCAAGGGTGGTTTTGACAAAAAGCAGATCACGACCGCTCCTGAGAAAGGAAAAAAGAAAGGGAAGAAATGAGCTGACCTGCTCAATTCTTTTTGGTACTTTTGTTCTCGGTCGTTCAACCCCGTAAAAGTTGAAACAATCATAGAATAGACAAGTCACTCGCTACAGTACTCGATCCTAGCTAATCCACTGCAGTGTACATGGCTCTAATTTGACACCAGCGCTCCGTCGAAATTACCATGAGCCGGCACGCCTTTGAATCCTGTGTTTCAACTGTGGCGCTGTGGCAAACACCCTAGCCTCATGAAGTGCGATCGGCCTCAGTTGGCTTATAGGTATTAAAACTAATCCATCGGCCAATGAAAGCCCTTGAGACCATCAAAATCATTTGCAAGGAATGAGAAGCACTGAGGAGCTTATCTTTGGCTATATTTGTAAATCCCAAAGGATTGTGGCGGCCCCCACGCTTTTAGACAGACGGCCCGTCCTACATACTTCAATTACCTCGCTTGAGGTCAACATATGCAGTGAAATGCGTGCTCTACCCATGCATACATCTTAGAAGTCTAACAAGCTTTGTTCAAGATGTAATTTCAGGCTGACTGTGCTTATACTCTTGGCCGAAGTAGCTATCATCTTCGGAGGGACATGTTTCCTAGCATATGTCAAGCTTCGTCCACGTTCTTCAATATTGGGTTTCTTATGCAACAGCCCAGGGAATAGTGAAGTGACTGTGATGCAAATAATGCCTCCGCGGAGAGAGAATGGAGTTCTTGGATACTAGTCAACGAGCTATCAATGGATGATTGGGTACAGTATCGATCGTCGCTTGTGTCGGGCGGTTTGTCTATTTGGGAGAGTGGAGAGTGAAATTGTGTGAATGCTGATAGGGATGGGGGGTGAGCCGGCTTTGAGGGCAGTTGCTTTTTTCACTCACGACATGGAGAAGTTGAATAGAGATGTCACGGATAAGTTGAGTCATTGTGAAAGTGCTCTTTCCTCGACATCTTCACGTTGAGAGAAGGTCATGTTGAGTTGCTCAGTTCCAGAATGACGGATAGGTTTTGGTATTCGAATGGGGAGTGTTGAAAACATGGCAGTTGAACTACCTTTCTTGACCAGATGTTTGAGAATTGATATTACAGTAGTTTTCGAAATCAGTTATACCTCCACACTCTTACTACTTAATTCGCGGAAGATAAATCCGGATGGCGCTAATCCAATATAGGTCACCGCTTCATAATTCCAGCAGAATCGTCATCGTAATGACAGTACTGCCGCCAATGAGTCATCGTTATAGTACTGTAATAGTACATGGAACCACCCAGAATCGCTTCGTAGATCTGGCGATCTGGCAAGATCGCCCGCTAGCTTTCCACTCCCGTTTTGCCTCTTTCCCTCTTTCTTCCCATATGCAGCGCAGCCCTCGTCTTCGCCCGCCAGTCATAATAAAGAAGGCTGTGCTTATGCTGTAGAGAGCTAAACCGGGTAGGGAAAGATGTTTTTCATGGATTATGCTATCGATTGCGCTTCTCATTCGTTACCAGCCTCAAACATAATCTGGTTCTCCCAGCAAGCTAACATGGGCTTTACAAGGATCGTGATTATTTTGAGAGATGAGCCAACATGACCTCGATGATGTATCTCAAATTATGGAACACGAACTATGGGAACACAACTCGGATTACGCCCCAACTCCTGGCTATTGTGGCAGCCCCTACGCAGCGCTATCTACCTTGAGCCCCTCCCCGTCGAGTGTAGAGGGTGGCATCGAGTCCACGAATAAGTCTGGCCCGCCCACTCTCAAATTTCTTCAGCTATGTGACTGGGAAGATGGGAAAGCCTACGATGAGGACCCACCAACGTGTATCCACTACCGTATAGAGTGGCGAGTGACAGTCAATAACAGGGAGGTGTCAAAGGACACGGAAGAAGATGTTGTTTTGGCGCCCAGCGCCTTCTGGCAGCTGTCCTTGGAAAAGAAGCTAGAAAAAGCTCTTCGACGAAAAACTACTCGGCATCGCCAGGTGAGACCTGATGATACCGTCATCGTCGCTTCAACAACCGATCGTACCAAACGCAAATTGACTAAACGCTTTGACGATACCGACATATTCTGGACTGCCATCGAAAAACAGCTTCTGATTTGGTCAGACCTCTTATTTCGTGGTAAGGAGCTCACGCTGAAAATCAGCTTTAACTACGTAGACGATCGTCACTCTTCTCCATCCGCTGGTCGGAAAGGGGAAAAAAGAGGAAAGCCATCCGTCACGCAAAGAATGCTCGGTGAGCGAGATGCACAGCTCGATGCAGAGGAAAGTACTTCTGGCGGCAAGCCAATCTGGCGCAGCGTCTATAATCTGATGCGATGTGACTCGTCGACGTGTCAGCATGGCCCGCATTGCTGGGTGGACCCAATGGGGAAAAAACATTACCCACTTAAGTCTCATCACATTAAACGCCTGATAACCCACGTTGAAAAGGGTGGTATTCTTGAGAGCCACAAGGACGTGCCAGAAGCGGTACGTGACGAATTATACAGGGAAGAGCAAGACAGATTGGGAAGAGACAAGCGCAAGGAAAACCATGTCACTGGGACTGGAGTACCATACCCGCCTATCAACATCAATGTCTTGCCGTCGCAGCCTACTCCTCATGGACTTGATACCTCGGTTCCCAAGGCAGCAGATAACTTGCAGGCTTTGAGCCCACTTGAGATCTCTGGCCCCAGAGATGTAGCCGTGAAGGAGTATGGTGAGTGGCAGGTGTCGAATGTCGACAATGATACACTTAAAACTGCATTTCGAGAAGTGTGTGATGTGATGCTTGAGAACGGTCTTGACCTTGAGCAGGTGTACAAGGACCGAGACCCAAATTTCTTCATTGAAAAAGGGATAAAAATAGGCATCGCTCGACGTTTCGTAGACGATATCGGGAAGTGGGTTAAGAACGTGAAGAAACCGATGCATATTTATGAAATTCTTTAGACTGAACGATATCAATTTTGGAGCACCGCCTACTCTTTGGGAAGGGTATTGAAACAATGTTCATACTAGATAATGTGGCTCACGTTGTTGTGACGAATAATCCATCGCGCATTAATTTCGTATTTGTATATATGGCATAGGGTTGAACTCAGTCGTCATCTCGAGGCATCTGAGCAGGACGGAAGCTAGCCCGGTCGGCCCAGTCTATTTTTGACTTTTCGCCCAGCTAGTCTGTCTGTCGAAGACCTCTCTTTCTTCTCCTTTCATGCGCTTGAGACCCAATTTCCGGAGGTCGGAAAAGAAAGTAAACGCAGTATCGAATGTCTCCGGATGGGTCCAGCCGTCCCTTTTCACAAGACCATCAATACTATCAAAAAAGTCTTGAACTTCATTCCAACCCTCTGCGTCTACTGCGTGGCCTCTTAATTCTTCCTCGGTGAAGTGATAGGGGCAATCACCTTGACCGTTAAGCTCTTTCCAATGCCTTGATGCAGTTAGCTCCCGCCAGTGTCAAAAGATTTATGAAGTCATACTTTTCAACATTGATAAGGGACTCTCGGAAGGAGACAATTTCATCATCCCAGGTATTTCCGGCCAGTTCGACAGCAAGGCGCCTTGTTTTTCCATGATCTAGATGAAATGCTTTTGCAAGTAAAGGGTTCCGTTTCTCTGTTTCCATCAAATAAAGCTGGAAGAGAGTTGATTTAAAGATCTGTCGCTTGATTTGGGCTTGCTGCTCGGGGTCGAGTTCGTCAAAATTGTCTGGACGGTTGAGTAGGATGCTACCTTGATAATCCACCAGCGGAGATGGCTGTGCTTGAAGAAAAAGTGGCCCGACCCATGAGCCTTGCCAGTCAATGACGGCTGTAATAAGATTGTTCTCAACGAAGAAATTTGATGAATGGAGGTCCCCGTGCCATAGAGTGGGGCGATTTAGGAGAGGATCAATGTCCATGAGGCAGGGCACAATGCTTAGGTATTTCTTCAACAGATCGAGATGTGCCCGTGGATTGTTTTGGGCCGTAGAGACCAACATAATATCATCGGGTGGCTTCGGAATGGCGTGCTTCTTTATCCATTCCACCTCGCGCCAGCCAACACTCGACGCGTATTCCTTCGGACTTGACCCTACAAGCAATTAGAAATTAGATGCTGAGATATTCACAGTAGGATAGAAGAACTTACAAGGACCTCGCGATATGTCCATGCTAGAGCGCTCTTTTTTCCAGAAATCTCTCTCAACGGTAGGGCCAATAGTGAATTTCTTAGAGACATACTCTTTTATTTCAGGAGGGACCACGCTTGTGATATGAGCCGGCACCGCCCTATCTACCGCGTCGCTCGCGAAGTATATGCTTCCGTAGCTAATAAACTTAGGATGAGCAGAAAAAGGCAAGGATGAAGAAGACGGGAGAACATACTGTGAAAATGCTACTGACAGCATCTTTGTCTCGATGGCCACGACCTCCCTCATGATGGCAAGCTTCGCGTCTGGATTCAATTCATCCCACTTGGTCGCTAACTGCGTTCCGGTCGCTTCTTCCATGAGAATGTATTCTGATCCCACCGGGTTATTGGAGGTAGCACTCCACCCTACTATTCGAGGAACCGGAATCTGGAGGATATCTCGAGCCTTGCGGGCACATGAGTCGCCTGGTGTGTTTCAACTTGGTAGGAGTGGACTCACGAACTCCATGGTCGCAACCTCAGAGGCAGTCGTATAGAAGGCGGGACCAGCGTTTGGATTGGGGATACGTGCCAATATCGTTTTCCCATCATTCATCCTTAGGCGGAAAACCTTGTTGAACCCTCCCTCAGCCAGTTTTGTAATCGAGTCACAGCCATCCGAACCTATGGCTTGAGCTGCTAAGGTCTGAAGCTGAGAAACGTTGAAAACCTTATACCTGTCTCGGAGCTGCTGTTCCTCATCCCAAAGCCATCTTCCACTGGTATAGCGAAATAACTGCTCGACGCCAGAATCGTCTGATGACGTCTTGTCCTGGAAGGTTGTCATCGTGCGTACAGCGAGCGTCTTGCGGACTTCACGACCGGTCGCGCTGGGCGAGTGTGTTCGGAACAATGGCGAGGAAAGTATGGGCCTTCGTGGCTGGAATAGACGGGCCGCGCAAGGCTTCAGTCGTTGCAGTGTCGAAAGGACCGAATGTCCCACATCCGCATTCATCGCTGGACGTGGGTGTGCTGATAACGGATGGAGATAAGTTGCGCTGGAGTCTGCGGGTAGAAGGCGACCGACGTCAATGTATTGGCTTAATAAGCCGGCGTTTCAATTTGGCCCCCGCTGCTTGAGCTTCAGTTGCCTACCACCTCACAAGATTATATGGAGTTGCATAGCTCTCATGATTGGGTAGAGTAAGCACTGCTTATGCGTCAACCTGGAAATGTGATACGAAATGTCTCACACCCATCAATTATCTAAGGTCCAATCAATTATCTGAGGGGCCGTGGCCAGCCTGACAAGGGCTGCTAATTCCGACCATCGCTGGCGTTAAACAAAACGTCCGGTGGCCTCGCACGAGCCTTGGGCGGCAGTATGTTGATCGAAAGTGGTTGGCGTGGTACACAAGCCCCTCGTTTGTGATTCTCAAGCACCATGCCAGGATATCATTTGGGCAAGATATCTGTTGGAGGTGAACCTTCCTAAGCGCCCGCCATGTTACACCCCCGCACCTTTTGGACATATAATGTTCGACATATCCCTTGTAGTCCGAAAGTAAAGTGATCAATTCATTAGATGCGCTCTATCTATCAATATTGACCGTCTGAGCTCAAGGTATGCGTTCAATGTTTCTTGATGGAAAGATTAGTCCTCATAGTATTAGATGCCCATCTCTATCAAGACCCTCCGTGCGTTCACCGAAGGCATACCCTGGGCCAAAGTGTTCAAAAAAGCCGAAAACACAACCAAAGGGCAGCGCCTCTACCCATCGCAAAGCCACGATAAAAAGAAAAACTTCCGAATTGACAAAGGCGCAAAAATCAGCGACAGCCAACAGGAGATCATTCTTTAAGCAAACAAGGATGCTGAAAACGCTGAAGTGAAAAAGGCCGCTCAGAAAGACAGCCATAGGATCTTGGCAAAATGCGTCATCGACCCTAATGAAGTGGATGCAGAAAAGGCGAAGAAAGATTTGGAGGAGTCTTTCAAGGCCAACAATTGATAGGTGCCTTAGGAGAGAATGTTTGTGGCAAGAGTCAAGGGCTTTCAAGTGCCATAAACTTCTATTTTCAGGCCCGCGTATCGAAAATGACCTCTAGCACTCTCCTCTTTTGCACCGACCATATTGATACACTATTCAAGGAAGATATTAAATCCTTGACCAGGGTCTTTTTTATAGTAACTCCAGTTGCGCTTAATAAAACTTTTAAGCTCAGCAAAAAACTCTTCAATTGGATTTAGATCTGGCGAATAGGGCGGCAGATAAACTAATTTTACCCTAGTATCCGCATATATCTATATAAGCCGCTCTGAGCGGTGGAATGATGCGTTATCTATTATTAGGACGGATTTAGGTTCTAGCTATCTTCCGCAATACTAGAGAAGCTAGGCTATAAAGTCCTCAAACACTATAGCATCCGTAGAACCGCGGAAGATACGCGGGAGGACGATCCTATCTTAGGCATACGCGGGTAGTATCTGGTATCGCTGGTCCCGGTAGAACTGTGTTACTTGCAGTAGAGCCTTGCTAAGGGGTGCCCAACCTATCCGTCTGAAACCAATCCGTTTATCACATCCAGATTCATTAATATACACTAGGTGATACGACTTAAAATCCGCAAGATTATGCAAATAATAGTCCCGCAGATCGGCATTTTGCTCCTTTGCACGTTGTCGCGCGGTCTTTTTGGACCAACGTTTGGCGACAAGGGCTCTTCTAATGCTGGAGGTTATAACCCAGGTCTGGAACTCATCCCAGAGGAAGACAGCCATCTCATCGAGGTAGAGACCGGGCTTCTCAGATAGGTGGTCACAGAGGGCTTCTATCATCAGCGGTGTGACGGTTCGTTTCCGGCCTATCTGGGTTTAGGGCGCATAGATGCTTCCAAATTGCCGTAAGTTCCTACGAATATTAATGATTGTAAGCTTGGTGCATTCAGCTTCTTCGGCCATCTGAGACGTGGTGAATGACTGGCTCTCTATTATATCACGGATGAGATGAAGTTTTGAAGCAGGAAGCCTTGGTGCCATGTCGTTTGGACTGATTTTGTATAACCTCTGAAGACGCGCAAGAATGATGAGCGAGGAAGGCTGTTTGCTGCCGAGGAAGGGGTAGAGGCACATACAGTAGGTAGCGTGTATAGCAGTTTCGCGTAAATTACATTATTTCGGGTTTCATGCTCGTATTTTAGAATAAAGATGCTTTTCAGTAAGCGGTCTAGAAAGCGGAGTGATCACGGCATTGCCATATTAGGACTAGCGTGCTTCCGGCTACTGTTCGAGAATTAAGTCAAAAGAGTGTTGGGGGTATAACTGATTTCGAAAACTACTGTACTGCAATACACTGAATCTGGTGTTTTTTTCTTCATGTTCAGAGATTATCAAAGGCAGGCGAACATGTGCAAAATATAGACTTGACTGGCAGGAGAGAACTCGTCCCGTGTGGAAATTCTTTCAGTGGGCACCCCTGGGTATTCGGATATTTCATGACATGAAACAACAGGGTCTTCATCGCAGAGCTTTCCAGCCACATTGGATTTGTCGTCTTGGCAGTGGCCACCAACAGCGACCCCTCCCAGGCAATTTGAAGACAATACTACCTTGGGGCCACGAAGACTCCTTTGAGGAACTGCGCAATTTCTCAGACCTGGCTTGAGGTGTCGTCGGATATCAAAGGATCATGAGCCCCTCAGACGACTTTCGTTGTCCCAGGCTACCAAGTGCACTTTGCTTTTCCCTGAGCGTCTCCGGGCGTGGGTATCCAGGGTTGTTGATTGCTCATTTGTGAAAGCTCATCTTTGAAGCTATACCCCACTCCAGATACTTGCGCCCAGCAGTCATGCCCATGCGAAGGCGACACGTTCTAGAACGACCATGAAGGAGATAATTTGATTGCGATGATCATCAAAAAAACTTGGCATTCCAAAAGCCGGAATGGCAGATGAAATCATTGGGGATTTGTTCAGTTCTACCGGCTTGTAGCACCTCTAGTTCGATTAACAGGTCCAGCGAGCCAACCGCCTACCATGGAACGAAAATACCGATCAGCGAGTCAATATTTTGTCTGGAAAGCTTCACGATCGGGTTCAAAAAGTCATGCCAGCACGAACACAGCGGCATCACATCACGGCTGGGATAACCGAGATTGCGGATGGAGTCAGTCCGCCAAGGCATGAGATTGCAGGGAGTCTGAAGCCAAGAAGTGACATTCGATGCGGATGCTGTCGCAAGGTTCGAGATGGGGTCTTTGTCAACATGAAACCACTAATGGGTTGATAGATTCGCTGGGCGTTGAGGCTAAGCGATCGATGGTTCGGGTGTGGGGAAATCGGAACCACGGATTTTCGGCTGCCACGGTATATCGGACTTGGTATCCGCAAAAACTAAGCTCTTGGCCTCCATAGACGATGATTTCTTTTTTTTTTTCGGGCTTTAGGGCAGGTCAGTGGGGACTCGTTTCAGCACGCGGGAAAATGTCCAGGGAACTGCTCACATGCTGTCTGTGCGAATATATTCTTGACTAGGATCAATGGACTGGACCCTGAAACCATTAGAGTTTGGTTGACACCTTCCATTTCTTCCCCTGTGGAATCCCCACTGGAGACCTTCTTACGCTAAGCCGCACCATGTCGGCCGTCAACATCCAGAACCCGAGTGGAGGGGGTCTCATATGTCCAGGGCTGGGAGCATCACCCTTTTCGAGCTGCAAAGATTGTCCTCGCCATGGTCTGAAAGTTACTGTCGAGCCGCCGGTGCTTCGTAGTTTGCGACAAAGTTGAGCACAAAGCCAATGCAGCGTGGCGCACAATGTCTTCCCAAAGCGAAGAGAGAGACTCTTGCTGCAGTCATGCCAGATGGTGCGTCATATGGTCGAACCGAAGTTTCTACAGGTCGCAAGGGCGTAGAGGGGATGGACCTGCGTCCCGTGAAAGAGACAAGAGTGGAGCTCTCATGTCTGATGAAACTGGGCCGTTCTCGAGTGCAACCTCCAGTTTCGGGGCTCTCGAACACAAGAAGGCAAAGAAGGTGGGATTTCGTGAATGATGATTCGTAGACGACCCGCTGAGGGAACGGAGGGGCGCTAATATGTCAACCAGTCTCTCGGCGGTCGGGAGGCCCAGGTACGCAGGCGCTGCGGTTGGAAGACACAGCTCAATGGTGTGACGGTTCATGCCCCTGGACGGTGGATCTCACCTTGCACCCGAATCCCCCAGTGGTTGGCTCGTTCCCAGCCGCCGAGCCCTGCACCGCGAAGTAGATCGCCAGTCGCGTATCGGGATTGGTGAACGACCGCTGGGCCGGAGCACCACTCACATCCGAGATCTCTATACTTTGTCGGTGGAGGCAAAACATGAAACATCCCATCTGTTCTTGAATGCCTTCCCCACTTCTGCACTCGCTTCGGCAAGATGGAATCATCGCCCAGTCTTGGACTTGCGTGTGGAGAGTCAAACGTTGGAAGTGTCCGATTGATTGTCTCGGGGCCTGGGGACTTGACCCCGTCTTGGAGGCAACGTCACCTTCCAGTTGAGTATATAAAACACCCCCGGCACTGATGCTGCATACCTTTCGTTCTTTTCCCCGTGCACTTCACTCCTTTCTCTTCCTTTCTCGGTTCGACATAACAGGCCAGTCCTGTGTTTCTTTCTCTTTGATTTGCTTGGTAGTCCTTCGCCTGTGGCAGACTCCGACATTCCTTTCAGCTTTGACAGCTTCGACGCATCCGCATCCCAGAATCTTGATCCGATCCTTTGACTCCTCATCAGAATACGCAAGACTCGATCTTTGACTCTCGAAAAAAAAAGGAGGGCTTGTTCAAAGAAAGCATTTCCCCGCTCTTTCACACAAAGGTATTGTGGTTCTATATTCGCCTCATCATTCCAACCGTTTTGTTGTCTGTCTTGGATCCGCCTTTGTCAATGACAGTGATTACGTCGCATGTTTCATTGGACTGTCACAGTGCTTTGGAAGTCTGTCCTCAGGCTGCGGAGAGTACTGTTATCTTTATATATGACCTCCCCCCCGATCCTAGCCAAAACAAATCCCCTGCTCCTGCTGCACAGCATATCACATCGCCTGCGCCATACATTCTCGCTAACAATACCTCGGCAGGAAGCCTCTCTTTTCGTAGACGCGACTACCAACACTCATCTTTTTTATCACAAATCCATTCGTCTGGTACGGACCGGATCTTCAGTTCTCACTTTTGAGTCGAACCAACAAAAAAGTCGATCTCAACATGTTCGCCAAGTCGATGCTTATGGCCGTCCTGGGCGCTTCCGTGGTCAACGCTCACATGATCATGAGCAACCCGGTCCCCTATGGCAAGAGCACTCTGAATAACTCCCCGCTGGCGGCAGATGGCAGTGATTTCCCCTGCAAGTTGCGTGACGGCACCTACGATGTCACCACGGAGAACACTATCGCTATTGGCGAATCTCACGCTCTCACCTTCGAAGGCAGTGCCACTCACGGCGGCGGCTCATGCCAGATCAGTATGACCACCGATCGCGCCCCCACCAAGGATACCGAGTGGAAGGTTATCAAGTCCTTTGAGGGTGGCTGCCCTGCCAATGTCGATGGTAATCTCTCCGGCGGAGCCAGCTTGGCCGATCCCTATCAGTTCAACTTCACCATCCCCGAGGGCATCGAGACCGGCAAGTACACTCTTGCCTGGACCTGGTTCAACCGTATCGGTAATCGTGAGATGTATATGAACTGTGCGCCTGTTACCGTTACCAGTGGTTCGTCCAAGCGTTCTGTTTCAGAGCGAACTCCCACTGTCGAGAAGCGCTCGGCCAATTTCCCCCCAATGTTTGTTGCCAACGTCAACGGCTGCACCACCAAAGAGGGTGTTGATATTCGCTTCCCTCAGCCCGGTGATGTTGTTGAATACGATGGGGAGCCCGCTAACCTCGCCGCTGAGGGTTCCGCGGCTTGCACTGGCACTGCCACATTCGGTGCTTCGGGTGATACTGCGTCTGGTTCATCGGACTCTTCCAGCTCCGGCTCCAGCTCCGGCTCCAGCTCCTCTGGCTCTGAGTCTTCGGCTGCCGCTAGCAGTGCTCCTACTGAGACTTCGTCTGCCGCTGTGGCCCCGACCACTTCTTCGGTCCCAGCTGAGACAAGTGCGCCTACCGTGCCTGAGACTGCTTCAACGTCCACTGAGGCCGCCCCCGAGGCCACGTCATCCTCCAGCAACACCATCTCTAGCGGTAACTCTAGCACTAAAAGCGGTACTTGTAGTACCGAGGGACAATGGAACTGCATCGCCGGTACCTCCTTCCAGCGCTGCGCCAATGGCCAGTGGTCCGTCGCTCAGCAGATGGCTTCTGGTACCGTCTGCACCGCCGGCCTGAGCTCTGACCTAACCATCTCAGCTTCCAAGATGGCCCGCCATGTCTCTGAGATGCGTTTCCGCAAGCGTAACCTCCATGGCCACCACGCATAAGTATGTCTCTAGCATACGCCCACGACGTCTGCTGGTTTCAGACCTCATTTTCTTCTTCTCTTCGTTCGTATGCATTTCTTGCATCTTGTTTTTTCTTTCGTTTCCGATCCTGGATATAAGGCGCCCTGGGATGGACCTTCTTTATTTCGATGCATCTTGTCGCTTTTCATCGTGTATATTCTCAATATGAGACGTGGGAGCCGGACATTTGCGTATTTGTGCAATCAACCCTTCTTTAAGATTGAGATCAGTGTACTCTTGCCCTGTAAGCTGTAAAGACGTAGACCAGTAGGGTTAGCTCCATTTCAAAGCCCTTCTAAACGTTCACAAGAGTTCACAGATCTGTGTCCAGGCATGGAGGTGGTAGTTGAAAGCATTAGATCTACCAGATCAGACCAGCATTAAAAAATAAATAGATCGATAACGAGGACTCCAATTTTTCAGGTAGGTGACGGTGGTGGTGGTAGCTCTAGAGCGTTGGCTGTACTTTGTAGCGTCAATCAAAGATTAATGCAAGGGTGGGTCTCCTATGCCTTAGGTGTCAGCATATATTATGTCATCGGGCGCTAACACTCCGGGGAGGGTGGGCTATTCCCATTATGGTGATCAGGGCTAGGGCTAGTGTGCCCACGACCCGCAACTCTCAGTAAGCGAAAAAATCCACAGGTGAGGCTTGCCAGCAAAGTTGGATCTTCAACCTCACCATCGCCAAATCGACCACAATGGCCTCTCGCCCTACCGTCTCCATTGCCACGGCTGAGGGCAAGCCCTCCGGGGCTTCCCAGCCCCTGCCCGCTGTCTTCGGTGCCCCCATCCGTTCGGACATTGTCCAGTACGTCAAAATCGAATCTCGAAAAATGTGATGCTTGGAGGGGGGATGCTAACGCCTCGTCACAGGCAGGTGCACGCCGGTATGGCCAAGAACAAGCGTCAGCCCTACGCCGTGAGCGAGAAGGCCGGCGAGCAGACCTCTGCTGAGTCCTGGGGTACTGGTATGTGAACATTCAAACTTTCGAGATCGATGTGGAGCACGGCGGGAGAAAAAAAAATCTCGAATTGAGCCTGCTGCAAGGAAATTGGTCACGACAGACACTGACGAGATGATTGTCATTGAACAGGCCGTGCTGTCGCCCGTATTCCCCGTGTCTCTGGTGGTGGTACTCACCGTGCTGGTCAGGCTGCCTTCGGTAACATGTGCCGTTCCGGTCGTATGTTCGCCCCTACCAAGGTCTGGCGCAAGTGGCACCAGAAGATCAACCTGAACCAGAAGCGCTTTGCTACCGCCTCTGCTCTGGCTGCCTCTTCCGTTCCCGCCCTCCTGTTCGCTCGTGGTCACCGCGTCGCCAAGGTCCCCGAGGTTCCCCTCGTTATCGAGTCCAAGGCCTTCGGCTCCACCTTCACCAAGACCAAGGCCGCCATTGCCCTCCTCCAGGCCGTCGGTGCCGGTGAGGACCTCGTCAAGGTCCAGAAGTCCAAGAAGCTCCGCGCTGGTAAGGGTAAGCTCCGTAACCGCCGCTTCCGCCAGCGCCGCGGTCCTCTGGTTGTCTACAACCCCGAGACCGACGGCAAGGAGCTCGTCAAGGCTTTCCGCAACGTTCCCGGTGTTGAGACCTCCTCCGTCTTCTCCATGAACCTTCTTCAGCTCGCCCCCGGTGGTCACCTCGGCCGCTTCGTCGTCTGGACCTCCTCCGCCTTCGAGGCCCTTGACCAGGTCTACGGCACCACCACCACCCCCTCGGCTCTCAAGAAGGACTTCCTTCTGCCCTCCAACTCCGTCGCCAACGCCGACATCACCCGCCTCATCAACTCTTCTGAAATCCAGTCTGTCCTCCGCGCCCCCAAGGGTGAGGCCAAGACCAAGCGTGTCAACGTCCAGAAGAAGAACCCCCCTGCGCAACAAGCAGGTCATGCTGCGTCTCAACCCCTACGCCGCTGCCTACTCCAAGCAGAAGCTTGGTCAGCAGAAGGTCGAAGCTGGCAAGCCTACTCGCGCCGCTGCTTCTTTCGAGCAGGTCCTGAAGGAGGAGTAAACGTGTTTTCCTCTGACTTTTTGGATATGGTGAAGGGATGAAAAAACGGTAGTCTCAGAGCAAAAATGAATCAATGCCTTTTTTGCAATACCCCTTGGGTTCATTTGGAGTAATAATATGATCATGATCGATGCTATTCTCGTTATGTGTCCCCCCCCTATCTAAGAGGGTAAGTAAGGTTGTTGTAGATGTAAATTAGGGATATTATCATGTCTCTCAGGTGGCAGGTGCTGATAATCCACAGAGCTCTATCATTCATTCGTGTCCGTGTATTTACCGCCTTTCTTGATGTGTGATCCTGCTCTGTAGAAAACCTATCGCTGCCCAGCTTTTGGACAAATATGGAGTTTTTCGGTCACCGTTAGTATCTTTAGATAAGCAATGCAACGGCCACGCTTATTCTTGAAGTGTGCCCTTCTCTTTCCTATGAGCTCTGAACCATCACTTGCTAAATCATCATGTCACGTCTGTGTCATCGCGTGAGAAACTGTGACCCTGCCTCAGAAGTCCGCAATTGTATTGTCCTTGGTGAGTTGGTACTGTGCAAGAGTCATATGCCATCGAGTCCCTGAATTCTGAATTCTTGTCCTGTTTTCAGTATTGCGTCAGGGCATCTCGGGCTGCAAGATTTCAAATAATATATTTCGCCCCCACGGCCCCCGGCCGAGCAGAGATCTAGATCACATGCTTAGGGCCTTAGAACCCATACAAAGATCGCCATATGTCAATACTTCCGATTGCTGGAAAATTCGGGTGACAGGTAGTGTAAGCACTTGCGCAGAACCCCTGCAAAATGTAATTCTTTAGCAATCCTAGCACATTCGAATTGAGAAGCATTCCTCTTGGCTACGAAATTATCAATTTCAGGAACTAAGATCAGGCTGTCCAGCACTAACTACATCGAGCCAAAGAACTTGGAAGCATAAGCCTCTGGAAAAGTGAATCGAGGCGTCCTCATCCCGATCAGTCGACGCCTTTGGCAACGTGTTCCTGCGAGTCACCGTCTTTTTTAGCCTGTCATACCCAGGTACAGGCCAATACCAACGGCCCCCCATAGTGCACTATCACATGTCTGAGTGGGAAACTACCTAGGTCCAGAGAACAACTGACAAAAAGCATAAGTCTCGTATGTACCAGCAAGCGAAACATAAAAAGAGGCTGTGCCAGGGGTAAATTAGATTAAGATGAAACATGCATCACTAAACCACGAACTAGTTTGTAGTTTTTGCCCCATTTGATTGCCCTCCAAAAATACGACCTGTCAAGCCGATGATCCCAGTTGAGCTTGGCGATCATATCCGTTGAGGCTGAAGCAAACCTCTGCCGGAGTCCGAAGCGAGACGCTACTCTTACTTGAAACGTGGAGCACATAGGAACCCAGTTCTCGTACTACTCACCTGCTTCACATGGCAATTGTTCTAGAAGCCCAATTGATTAGACTTTTGTTCTTTTTTTCGGAGCCCGCCGGTTCTCTGTCCCCTTTTGAATATGGGTTCCTAGAAGAGAAGGGGAAAAATTGCTGCCTATCAAATTTTTTGGGACTTGTTGGATCTTACGAAATGAATACTGCTTACGGTACGTAGCCCTTCCTTTCTTGCACGGCATCAAGAATAAATAATAATGTCAGACTCATCACGCACGGACGTAGAAAGGACCGCTGAATACTTAAGCTATTCAACTGGTAATGCGTTCGGATGCAATTGCGATGAAGATCGAGGACGTGCTTGTGTGCGACACGAGCATAGAAAACAACACAGGGACCCGGGTGCCGGTCGCCAGGTTGAGTTTTCCAATATCCCGAGAGGTGGAGATGGATTTACGTCAGGTCCCGAAGCGGACTTTCCTTTAAGGAACCCTCGTCTCTTTTCGATGCCGCCTATGGGGGAAATTTGATCGAGTTACAGTTTGTTAGTGTCCCAGACGGTACCAGGTCGGCGGTAGCGAGGCCAGCTGATCCCGGTATTGAGTTGGCACTACGAGATCGTGTTGACGGGTGGCTTGGGATCTCGGTGCGACACTGCCTCGAAAGCTTCACGGCAGATTGGCCGAGGCTTGCTAGCGAGCCCGTGAGTTTAATGGCACGGAAGATGCGACATGGGGAAAACCACGCAGCAACCATTACTCAGGTGTTGGATCGGAGAAATTTTCGCCTCCGATCCTACCGATCTTAAGGACTGAGGACCTAGTACCTAGGACCTAAGCATAAATGTGGTCGGACGTGAACGACCGGGAGTTGAGCCCAGCATTGACCTTCAGAGCCGTGATCATCGATCCTTAGAGCCCGAGAAATTCGATGGCGTGCAGATGATACCATTGAATCCTTTCCCGGAGACCCCGTCGCAGATCCTGTGATGGACAAGAGTTGGCCAAGGGATTCTTTCCAAGGCTGATCCCTAGAAGTTCTGGCGCATGTCTCACCCTAACACGGATCGGTTCAGGGGGTTGCGGCACAAAGTGCGCGTTGCGCTACCGGGACTTCGTTCCGTCGCGACTCCGCAGAGTTTTAGAGCACGGGCGATGCAAAACATGTCCTTCTCGCAGTAGCAGAGTCGCAGTACACTAGTGTGGCCAGGCACCGGGCGTTATTCTCTCACCGGTTCACCGGCCGGTGAAAAAGGCTATGCACCTGTCCCTTCCGCTAACTGTGAAAGATCTAGATGCAGATTTGGCGCATAGTGATTTGATTACTCGCAGGGAAAAAAGTCAATGGCTTTCTTTGTTGTTGCCCATCCTCGGCCCTGGTCTACGGGGACCAGCACTACCAAGACATTAAATGATTAACCAAAGTCTTTATCCACAATGGATTCATACTCCTGCAAGACGACGTCGCAGTCGGTATTTGTTCGGACCAAGTTTTGGGTCCGTGTGTGAAGTGAGGCCCATGGCGTGATGAAACCCTAAAGAGCGAGCCACGATGCTCGGGTCGAAATGCCAGATGGGTGTTGGTGATTTGCTAATTCCCGTAGTCTATTTCTTCGGCTTTTCTATCTTTCTATTTGAATTTTGAATTTTGAAATTTTCTTGTTTCTACTTCTTACTTTTTATTTTCAACTTATTAATTTTCTGATATCGATTTTTTGTTTTTCCTAACCCGGGACTCGGTGTTTGGAGGAATTTGTCGATGTCATACGTGGGGCCTCAAGGCATCTTCTCTCACTTGCTTAGACTTTGGGTGTAACCCAGAACAGAAAAAGCAGGGGCTGAGACGGCGATCCCGAATGACGGCTTGCAGATCGGATCGTCATGCCTTTTGAGACATCGCTACGTGGTCGAGTGCATCACCGTTGGAGTCGTTCAGGTGGAGTGGTGGCTGGAGAGCTGACCCAGTGCAGCCTGGCAAAAGGATCCTGGGTGAACCGGGTTTCTGACTTAGATCTCGATCCGGTCAGCGTGCTGACCGGATGAAAATAGGAGAGCTGATGTATCATATCGTGATGGTGCAGAGAGACCAGAGAGGCCGTGATGTTGACTTTCTGCTCCGCACCACGTAGATTGCAGTGGGAAGAAGAATCTGCACATGCCAAGCTAGGCATCAAGCTCCGAGAAGGAGCCACCAGGTCCGGGGCTATCCACGTGAGGCCGAATATTCAGCATTCAAAGCTCAACCGAGGAGAGTTTCGGCTTTGATTCTCAGAACAGATTTTCGAAGCCCACACCCAGAGTTCAAATGGGGGAAGCCGAACCACTCTCAACCGAGGGTTTTGCAATTTGGGGAACCCATCGGAGTCCACCCAGTCCAGTCCAGTGCGATCCAGCGATCTTCGCAAAGGCTTTTTGGCCAGATAAGCCCTGCGGCCCCAACGCTGGATCCAGGAGAATTTGCCCGACTAGGCATCTAGTCGCCCGCGCCACCGTGCCGCCCAAGACATGGACCCACCACGAGGGTATCCGCGGCCGTCATCTCGGTCCCAGATACACTCGGCTTTTCCTCCGCCCTATTTCTCTAGCCGCGCTCAATTCTTCATGACGATCCGTGGCCGCGCTTCCTCCCGTCTCGTTGCTTTTCTGGGTGCCCGTATGGAGTAGTCGGTGCGGAATCACCCCATATCGTGGCAAGTCAATGAAAAACAAAATAATCCCAAGCAAATCCCGAATGCGCCTGATCCGTACTCATTGGATCTCGCGAGTCCTGGTACATGAGACTCGTCATGAGGTAGGATTATGTATCTCATGTACATCTACATCATTTGGGGGGGTGGGGGGGGGGAAAGGAAATATCAACGTGCAAGGCGATCTCACTAGCGGTTCGAGGGCCTGATGCTTCCCGTGCATAAAATGTTTCCTCCATCCTTGAACCCGGAGGATACGTGATTTAATATAGAGATGCAGTGAGAGAACGCCCCTCTCGGTTCATCCGAGACCCATGGAAACTCGGTGCCCACCTTTGCCCCCCTCCATTCTCCAACTCCCGAAGCAATCGGAGTCTTCTTAGTCTCGGATGTCAGAACCCTCTCCACCGAGCCATGTCCAACGGCAGTGGAAATCAATTGCCGTCCATTGAGGACCAAGATTCCGCCAGCTATCCCGGGGAATCAGGGCTGGACGACCGAATGCCGACAATTCTCGGACCTTGTACAAGAATGGTGCTGAGAGGAGTCTCCACCTGAGATGACCCTCTCTATATTGATCTCATTTTTTCGATGGGCTGAGGAAACCCGAGCTTGACCAGCTTGGCTCTAGAGGCCCTCTGAGAGCCGCTTGGCTTGCAGGATCGGTGAATAGGGTCTGAAGAAAAGGGTGGGAAATGTCTCAAGAATCCTGAAATTTTTGCGCCTATTTTTTTTCCGTCTCTCGTGTCTTGGGTCGACCTTCGAGAAACATGCGCGGACGGGGCATCCGAGAAGAGTATAGATCGAGCCCGTCGATCGTATGGCCTAATGTAGCCAAATTAAATTTCATTGTACTTTGGGGTCTGTAATTATCACGTACCCAGAATACATACTGTGACTCTGGGGCTTTTCTGAAGCTTCGTTGACCCCCTCCGCCACTTTCCTCTTGGCCTCGGCTTGTTCTTTTCTTCCTTCTTTGGTGCTCCTGGTATTCTCTCGATTCGGCTGGTGGATTACATCTACCTTTTCCACTTTCTAGTAATTTTCCTTTCCGGTCTAGTGTTGGGCCTTTCGAATCCACCAGGGGAGTGAAGGCGCACGGAGCAAACCGCTGTCTTTTCCCTCTAGTCTATTCCAATCTACCGCGGGGGAGTGCTTTCTTAGCCTTTGGTTCTAGGATCCCCTTACAACGGACCAGTGGCGATCGACTTCTGCGACCAGGCTACGTTCCCCTGTATAGTCAAGGCGTGTGCCACCATCGGCTCCTGGGTCCTTCATTCCGACTTCATCATCGTCGCAACTATCAGGACAAAAGCACTGGGAGTCCTTTCAAGATCTGGACGGTTCCATTCATTTGCCTATTTGACGCACCCCTTTGCCTTTTGACAGTTCGCGCCTGGATGGTTCGACGCTCTGTGAGGTTGTTATCGCTGTCGCTATCATTCTTCCGTGATTTTGGGTTGGAACTCTCCTAGCTCTGTCTGTTTGTCTAGTCCGGCGGTACCGGCCTGTCTTCCGCGATCTGTTGGGTTAATTGATGTTTGCAAGTTCTCAGACTATCGTCACATCCTTGGGCGCCTCTGCAAAACTTATGCAAATCGCTAGGATCCTGCAGCCGGCCCTGGTATACGAACATGCACCCTGAGACCATGACTGTCAGAATTTTTTGCGACACCTTGGTCTAATTTATTCATTTCAATCTTATTTTTACTGGAACTTTTTGAGCCTTGGGAATATCGCGACCAGGAACAACATCACAATCATCGAGTGTGGCTTTCCGATCTATATTGCTCCGCTTCAATAGCACATCAACCGCCGTGCTAGACCTAGCGCAGGTTGTTTCGGTATGTCTGATCTAGAGGGGGAGCATCGCTTTAAATACTGACCTGAGTTATCTTTACTGACTAGATCTTTCTCCTGCTTTCTTGTGCTCAGTATCGGCGCTCTCAACTTCCGAAAAAGTTGCGGTTCAAACATCACATAGACTTGTTTCTTACGACAGTGTTATTGCGATCACAAAGCACACTAACTCCCACGGGCTACTTGTGAACGGGTCATTTGGCTGCCATGTGAATGGACTTTTGCTGAAAGATCCGCGACAATCGACACTTTATCCAAACGCCTGTCATGTCAGGCTATCACATTGGACCCTTCGGTCGTATGTTACCATCCAGAGACGGCCAACTGTCGGAACAGCCCTCGGAGTGTACAGCTAATCGATCAGAATCCGGGGATAACCCATACCAGCTTCCACCCCCTCGGACCCCGGCGAACTTGCAATTTGGATCAGACCCATTTCTACGGAATCGCCAGAGCGACAATGATGAGCCAGGAAGGGGACCTGTATCAGCGGAGTCTGCATCTCAGCGACAACAGACCGAGCAACTTCCTTCCGTCAGGCAATTGTTGACACCATCCAACGACCCGAGCTCTCCTCCCTATCCTCAATCATTCGGGACATCTGCGCGCAATATGGACCATCGCGAGCATTCATATCCCTATCGCCATCATGGCCAGAGTTTATCATCACAAATCACCCCGATCGGGGCACAAGACAGACCTCAACCTCGCACAGAATCTTTTCTACAGCCCCAAAGTGGCCTCCCGGCATTGTCTCGGGTGGCTATGCATAGTCCACAAGACATTAAGCACCATCCAGCAACTCGAATTGATCCGACGGCAACCTCCATGCCACACAACCAGTCACCTTTCCACGGTCCTGCCCATCACGAAAAGGCCCTAAGCAGTGACATTTCGTCGCCAGAGAGCGGGAGTCGGACGATCGGATCTACTACGCTTCCCCACGTGGTGGACGAGCGATACATCGATGGTGAAGGGATCTGCTACATCTATGCAGATGGGTCGCACTGTCCCAAAGCCATTGAGGGAATACCTGTCAACGCAAACTGGGGTGTTACTAAGGCTGGCAAGCCGAGAAAGCGACTCGCACAAGCGTGCCTGACCTGCCGTGAGAAGAAGATCAAATGCCAACCTAACCTACCTAAATGCGATCAATGCCAGAAGTCTGGACGTGAGTGCAGATTCGAGAGTGCGTAAGTACTGATTCTCCGCCCGTCTCTACAAAGGAGGAATACTAAAGCTGTTGAAGCCCCCGGGGAAATCGCTCATCTATGAGAGGTTCTCACTCTGCAGGGCCTTCAAGCAAATACGATGGAAAGGAAGGATTTTCCCCCGGCCTTGCGAATTCGGACGTTTCCCCTTTATACAACATGCCAAGAGCCTCGAACAGCGCAACTTCGTTACCGGGGACCAGTGGACACTCGCCGAATTCTGAGGGGGCCAGGCTCACACCAACAAAAACAGAAAGCACCTACGAGACAATGGCCGACGCGGACAGAGCATATCGATCACGGATGTACAGGATTCCACGCCCTTTCGCTGGTCAAGATTCGGTTACACGAGCACCGGAGCACATTGAGGCCAATCGACTCCCCGAGTACACCGAGATTCTGGGTGAGCTAAGGGATATCAACCCCGATGACCCGCTTACGAGTTCTTGGAACATCGACCCATATGAAAGCGACCCCGAGACTACCATGCATTATATCGGAGCTTACTTATCAAACGTGAACGATGGAGTGTATCACATCTTTCCGCATGCACGATTCATTCTGTGGTTGAAATCGAGCCATACGAAATCAGCAGAGGATAAGATGCTACTTTACTCGATGATGGCTCTTGGTTCGATTTTCTCTGACCGGCCGGGTAAAGTCATCGCCTTAAGAAATTATTCCCGTATTGCGCGCTTCGCCGTTCAGAAGAGCCAGCATACATTGTCTTTGCAGCTGGCACAGAGCCACCTCATACTCAGTCTGTGGTACTATGCTACTGGGTCTTTGGTAGGATGTTGGGACTCAATCGGCGCGGCAGGACGGGCAGTCTCAGGCTTGCGATATAATATGGAGTCTGGGGGTGTTGTTGTGGACCACAGCCAGGTTCGCGATTATGGACTGCATCCACAGGCGTTGATTGAGTGTCGCCGCCGAACATTCTGGGTCGCTTTTGTTCTGGATGTAAGAAACTCAACTTTCTTCAACGGGGTGCAGAGTAACTAACTAGCAATCATACAGAGAGTATCAAGTTTCTTCTCTGCACCCTCGTCATTCATCTCCTCAGAATCGGCATTGATCCGACTGCCATGTCGGGAAGAGATATACGAGGCACAACAATACACCACAGCACCATTCTTCCAATCCGTCCTCAATCAATCCCCCGCACCGGAAGATGACCGATCTGCCCTGAGCCCCATGGCATATTTAATTCAAATCCTCTCAATTTGGGGAGACGTCTCCCTCCATATTCTCCGCCTATCCCACATCCCGACAGAAGGATATATCCGTCTCGCCGAAGAGTTTCACATCAACATTGTCCGCCGAAGCGAAGACTGGCTTCGTCAAATTCCCGAACACCTGATATTCTCAGCCATCAACATGGAGCGAGCTAGCCAGGCCAAGCAAGCGGACACCTTCATTTCAATCCACATGTTTTACCACGCCACATTGCTGAAACTCTATCGGCACGCTCGATACCAGGGCCTGCGATCCGAGCTTTTGGTCCAGTACATCCACCGAGCTCGCTATCATGCAGTGGAGACGCTCCGGATCGCTCTTGCGGTCGCTCAATTCGCAAATGATAGGCGATCCGCCCGATCTTCCCCGGAGACTTCATCGCCCAAATTGATACTCTTGAGCCCGTTCTTAGGCTATGCGGTTTTGTCAGCCGTTGACGTGCTGAGCGCGGCTGGCCTAGTCGCAGAACTACCTGAATGCATCTCTTTCATCAGAGGGGCGCTCGGCATGGTCCAGCTTCTCGGACGCCACTGGGACAGTTCCCTAGAAGTGACGAACATCATCCAGAAGCGACTGGATTCGATGATCGATTGTCTCAATGACCGCATCCGATCGCAGGATAAAATGGGCTTCGCAGTGAATGGTCCCTCTCTCGAAACGAAGATCCATTCGTATACCTCACCTTCTCGTTCGCCCATTGCCCTCGAAGAGGATCTATTTTACGGATCTTTGCCACGAGAAGTCCTTCTACACTACATGCGGACCGACGACACTGCATTTTCAGAGCCTAGTATTGTCTGGTTGAAGGATCACTGATTTGTTTCATTCACAATTGCAGATGCAATTTTTATTTGAACAAGAGGGAACATACTTATCCAAGCTTCCTTGGGTCTTTAACGACGTGATGATATTGGTTTCAGTAGGTCTGCATAAGCCTTGACTAGTTCCGCAAGATCAGAGCCTCTGGACGGGAAGTTGCAATGTTTTCCTAGTCCCTGTATTATACTACATAGCCACGTTTTTGTCATATTCCGCCATCTTACGAGGGTCTGCTGCACACGCATGTATTACTACCTACTATGGGATCATGGATGCGATGTTGATCATGAATTTCCGACTTTCACACCTTCCGCGGAGTATCGGCTCAAGTACAAGGATTAATACACGAATCGTACTATAAGTGCCTGAAAGCTCAATTCCAGGACCCATGCGCTAGGCAAGGCAGGCATTTGAACGGATCAACCCTCCCATTCATTTGGATCGTACCGCTTCACCCAGACGAAGCTACCTTCACATGGGTCCATGATACCAGCGTAATGGGTCTCTTCATTCAGAACTGGGTAAGTCGTGAGCCACGATATTGCTTCTTTTTGCGTGATGGCCAGGCCATTGTAATCGGAATGAGACATAGAGCCCTGTCTCCGCTCCACCTTGGCGTCATCTTCCTTTTTCCGTCTCAGACGTAGTGATGATCTTGTTCCTTGAGATTGATGCGCCTGGTTTTGCTCTGCTTCCTGCCTTTCAATCCTGTCCCGGCCTTGCATATGCTTCTTCAGTTTTTTGTCCCATTTCGCTTGTATGCAGTCACGTCTCTCATTGCTGTCTTCAATCAAGTCCGCCATGGCCTCAATGCCACCCGAGACCAACGTTAGACCTGCATGATTTTGTCTTTTGTCTTCGGCAATAGCCTTGAGTGATGCTTCTGACTGCTGGTCGTGGTTTGTAGTGACAATGAATGATGACGAGGAGCGCACGATTGCCGTACGATAATCTTTCTCCATCGTCACTGTGGTGGTCCCATTGCTGAAGATGAAGTAGGCAGCCGTCGTTGGCATACTGGGAACATTTGCGACGATTCCTTCGAGTGTCGATAATCCTCTACTCTCGGGCTGCGACCCAGATGGAAAAGTGAAGATACATTCCCGCAGCAGCGATGATATGGATTGTCGCATCCCAAGAAGCACAAGAAGATGATTAGAATAGAAAGCCAAATTCTTCGATGTGTCGTGAATAGGTCGAAAATTCAGCGAAGCACTAAGACCCTTCCTTACGCCCGTAAGAACACCCACGTATCCAACGTACGTGACTGTCGTTGCAAGCAGCGTTGGGTCGTCTCCCCTTCTAAACTCAAGTTGAACAATCAGGTCACGCAACGGGTCCATTCCCCAATCCAAAGTTCGGAAATGGAGCATTCTCGTCCCATGTCCATCTGTGGTCCGTACACCACCGCTCGTACAGCCCATCAGGAGATCGAGGACCGTGTTCAGACTGATTAGGAGGTACATGTCGATTTCTGTGACACGGCTGATGCCGCGAAGCTCCTCTGTTTCTTCGTGGGTATAGAGTTTGCGTAGGAATAAGCGGGCAAGCCTGTGAACTAGCTTCAAGGGGATCTTTGAGGAGATGGATTGGACCAGCTCGTCAAACATGCCTCGCAGAGCTCGCATCCGGTCTCGGTATAGGCGTGCGAGCTCCACATAGCGCTCAGATGGAGGCAATAACAGATTGATGTTGAATACTGGAGGGGTATTGCCCAGAGGGCCAATTCTGCGGGCTTCGTCCATGGTGATGCTGATAGTGGATTAAATTCAGACGAAGGTTACGATGTGGTTGCCTGGAAGTGAAGGCCCGTGGATGACTAGGCTTAATCGAGATGAGGCTCTGCTGGCTTCTCCGCACTTTTCGAGGATTAATGCTTGGTCAATGTGAGATCATTAGGGCGTTCAACTTGTTTGAATGCATCTTGATACTCATGTATCTGTTCATTGATTGATCAAAGCTAACATTTGGTGATCATGGTCTGCTACTGGTATAGTTAAAGTATAGCGGCTTGGCAGGAATAATTGCAGGTGAGCCCATAGCTCATGCGGAGCTAGTGTGAATCCCACTTTATTACAGCCGATGATTATAATGGTATCTTTCGAGTGAATTAACCTAGAAATCAAGATTGAAAAGTCGAAGGATCCCTAATCGATGATGCTCCTAGATGTCTGCCTCAGGCACTAAGTGAGTACCTAGGCCTATGTTGATTGTGATTCCAGCGGCATCTCTCTAGCTTTGTGCTTTTCAATTGCTAGGTGTCTTCTAAAGGCGAGCTTGACCTCAGATAGCTCTCTTTGGTAGCTAAATCAAGAGATCTCACCGGTGCGATCCACATAAGTTCGCGCTATGAAGGCTCCATTCCTTTCATCTGCGGGGCCTGCGGAGACGGAGGCACGGAAGGTTTCTCCGGCCGAATTTCTACCACCTTGTCTTGTCCCACTACTGCGCGTCACTCGATCGGAGATCATGGAGCTTGTTGAATGCTAAGTCATTGAGTCCAGAGTGCAACAAGCTTCAATGTCGTCCCCCTTCGACCCGTCGGATGACCCGTCGGATTCCGCGGAGCAGTTTGGCGCCCCCACGGATGACGGACTCGATGGCTACTATAGCATGATGGCCGACTACCCCGAGGCACTCGATTACTATGCCTTGCTTGGCCTATCCTCAGACCCTCCTCCGAAAGAGACCGATATTCGTTCTGCGTACCGCAGCCTGACCCTCAGCTTCCACCCGGACAAGCAACCACCGCACCTCCGAGAGGCCGCTCAGCAGCATTTCACGAGGATCCAAGAAGCATACGATGTTCTTATCGACCCCAAGAAGCGCATAGTCTATGACCTTGCGGGAGAAGAGGCTGTGCGACAAGAATGGGGTCAACACGGTGCGATGGGTCCAAGAGGGGATGCGCAGTCCAAACAACTGGGCGTTAAGGCGATGTCGCCTGATGACTTTCGAAAGTGGTTTTTGAAGACAATGAAGAAGCGCGAGCGCAAGGCTGTTGAAAGTTTGGTTTCGAGCCGGGTATGCATTGCTGATTTGATATCATGAACGGAATGGACTTTGCTAAACTTTACGCTCACGGCTCCAGGGCACTATTACACTTGGAATCAATGCATCTTCAACCATTTCAGTCGATGAAGAAGATGGAGATGTGACTTTCCAAATCCCATCGGCTAACTTGAGCACATATGCCGTCAACTACAGCTTTAGGACTCCTCTGCATCTACCTGCGCTCTCGCAAGGAACGAAGGACGAGGGTGAGACTGAGAAGCCGGACTCGGAGGCTACCTCAGATGATCTTGACGATGACTCAGACCCCATTGAAATGACGATCAACATGGGAATCGCGGGCAAACTCGCTCGTCCCGGGCAAAAGCTGCAAGTCGAGTATGAAGATAAGTCGACTGAAGAGCAGCTAGTATGTTTCCAGCACGATTAAAAGGTTTTATTTTCACTAATACTTCCTAGGTTCCTTTGCCACACGTTTTAGTGGCGCAAAATATTAGCCTTGGTGCTACTGTCACCCCCAACATGAGGGGTTTGATGGGCACCAAGGGTATTTGAAGTCGACAGCCATTCTCACTCCTTCGAGATTCTACTGTCCGTGTCGAGGCTGGTGTTTTTCCCATACCGTCGTTGAAGACGACTGTTGGTCACGCTTTCCAGCCAATTTCCGGTATCAAACCGATCAGCGTCAGCGCTAGCAGCACGATCACTCGATCACTATGGGAGTCTCTGCCTTCGCTCGATGTGCAAGCAACAAAACAAGTTGCCCAACGAAAGATTGCATTCCTGACATGGTCTAGCGGATTGATGGAATGGCCCGGGCTTCTCCAAGAGACTTTCCCATCCCTTGGAATGAGTCTTGGAAGCTATTATAATACTGGAGTGAGCGACAGCACAGTTCAGATTGGCTTGATATCACAACCAAAACAACCCTCGAGAATGACTGAACTCGACGAGGACAACGATGATGATGGTGATGATGACGAACTGCGCGAGCAACTGGAGAAGCAACAGGAAATTGATCGCGCGGCCGAGTTCTGGCAAACATACCTCACAGCTACCCCAGCAGGAGGCGGTATCGGACTGACCTATTCTCGAAACTTATTTTCGGGCAAACCTGCAGATGATCCCGTGAGGTCAGAATGGAGCGGCGAGGGTTACTTCCCCATGGCCAAAATGGAGGAACCCCGGGCAGTGCGACTTGAGATCAGTACCGTTCTCAACGCAGACATGTCTATTAGCTGGGGTATCAAGGGCACTCGACGCGTTGGCGAGTACACCAAGATGTCACTCGGAGTCGGTCTTACGCAACATGGCATCATTGCTACTGTTTCTTGGAACAGACTGGGCCAGGGAATCAAGCTTCCCATTGTCATATGTCCTGCCCAACAGGCTAACCATGATGCCGCTGCATTGGCTGCCGTCTTCCCGTGGATTGCCTACTGTGCGGTTGAGTTCGGCTTCATCCGCCCGCGCGATAGAAAAAGACGTCGGCAGGCGGTGGCACGTCGTCACAAGGAACTGAAAAAGCTTATTCCCAAGAAGCGGGAAGAGAGCGAGCAGGCGATCGAGCTCATGTTCGATCAAGTGCAAAGACGCCAGGCTAGAGAAGAGGCACAGGATGGGTTGGTGATCAGAAAGGCCGAGTATGGTTACATTCCTCCCAAGGATAAGAAACCCAAAAACGGCTTCAGTGAGCCTCGGGTTATTGACGTGACTGTTCCTGTGGCTGCTCTGGTTGACCGCAGCCAGCTAGTGATCCCTCAGAACTCGATAAAGGTGAGATTAATTTCACTATGCATATTCGTCTACGGCCAGTTTTTCTAACTTCAATTGTCTAGTTCCAAATCATAGGTTTCCATGACCCAGCGCCTCTTTTGCCGAAACGGCTCAAGATCTGGTACACATTCCGAGGACGCAACCATTACGTGGAGGTTGGTGACAAAGAGCGTGTCTCCTGTCCCATGCGCAGCCATTTGACTTCTGAGTGAGGCGATCTATACCCATGAAGGCCTTTAGCCTTTGTAATTTTACAGCATCTTGTTACTTGGTAGGCTTTCGCCACATTGAACATTCTACTCCTACTCTCATATGCATGCGTGATTTTGGCAAAAGCGCCGAGTGAATTATTCTCCCCTCGAATAAAACCATCTGAATGCAACATAGATGTTTCCTAATTACGATATCTGTGGTTCAAAGTAAAGTAACAAGTACTAAGAGACAGATGTCGAGGTGACTTGATATAGAAAGTCTTGGCACTGCGGTGACCGGAACCCGCCACTCACGCAGGTCGGCAAAAGCCAAGAGTATCGACCCAGCTTCTCCTCTCATCCAACCTCCTAACTTGAATGCTCTTGTCTCGCTATCAAGTCTCACAATGACTTCTATGGCATCGGGCCTTTTCAAGTCCCTCCCCAAACCCAAATATACCGGCGAAGAAGAGGAGTTGCCACAACATGCGCAACCGCGTGGTCCGCGTGTGGTGGGCGCCGACCAGATTGATGAAACACAGGTCGTCTTACGGGTGAGTTCCTTTTCTGTGTACAGCTGCTACAAATCTGACCAAGCTTGATCGATTAGCGAGTTGGACCTCCGCCCTACGGTAACCGCACAGGATGGCGACCGCGAGCCCCCGAAGATTTTGGCGACGGCGGCGCGTTCCCTGAGATTCTAGTCGCACAGTATCCCCTCGACATGGGTCGGAAGGGAAAATCTTCGACCTCGAATGCGCTTGCGGTACAGGTCGATGCTGAGGGCAAAGTCAAGTATGACGCGATCGCACGCCGCGGACACGCCGATAACCGTACCGTTCATGCTTCGTTCAAAGATTTGATTCCGCTCCGCCAGCGGGTGGATATGGGAGAGATTTCCCTAGATCGCCCTTCTCAGGAGGAAGTTGCCGCGCAGATGGAGAAAACGAAGAATGCTTTGGCCAGTCTGGTGGACGGAGCTGTGCAGGCACAGAAACCGAAGAACGTCAAAGGTGGAAGTAGAGCTGAGCCGACTTTTGTCCGATACACGCCAGCGAACCAGATGGGAGATAATGAGCGCAAGAATGATCGCATTATGAAGATTGTCGAGCGCCAGCAGGATCCCATGGAGCCGCCGAAGTTCAAGCATAAGAAGATTCCCCGTGGCCCGCCATCACCCCCCCTCCGGTGATGCACTCGCCTCCACGAAAGCTCACTGCCGAAGATCAGGAAGCTTGGAAGATCCCTCCGCCCGTGTCGAATTGGAAGAACCCCAAAGGTTATACTGTTCCCCTGGACAAGCGTCTGGCTGCGGATGGTCGTGGATTGCAGGATGTTTCGATCAATGACAAATTTGCCCAGTTTGCCGAGGCATTGTTCACGGCTGATCGCCACGCCCGTGAGGAGGTGCAGCTCCGTGCTCAGATGCAGCAAAAGCTGGCTGAGAAGGAGAAAGCCCAGAAAGAGGATCATCTCCGGCAGCTGGCACAAAAAGCCCGCGAAGGCCGCGCTGGTCTCAGCCGCGGCGAATCTCGGGCGCGCTCGCATTCTCGGAGCGCAAGCCGTAGCGTGTCACCATACTCGTCAAGGTCCGGGAGCCCGAGCGAGGATGAGGCTGCTCGTGAACGCGCGGAGCAGCGTCGGGAGCGACGACAAGAACATGAACGCCAGCTGCGCCAGTCCCGCATGGGTACAGAACGTAAAATTCAGGCCTTGGCCCGCGAGCAGAACCGTGATATTTCTGAAAAGGTGGCTCTGGGCTTGGCTAAGCCCACTCAGAGCTCCGAGTCCATGTGGGACTCGCGCCTGTTCAACCAGACCAGTGGCATGCACTCTGGTTTCAATGAAGATAACCCCTACGATAAGCCGCTGTTCGCCGCGCAGGACGCCATCAACAGCATCTACCGCCCTCGGGCTCAAGCTGATGCCGATGACGAAGACGCAGGCGAAGGAGAGATGAGCAAGATCCAGAAGACTAGCCGGTTCGAGGTTCTAGGACGAGCCAAGGAGGGATTCAAAGGAGCCGCTGATGCCGAGGTAAGTAATACTGCGGATTGAAAGATGGAAGATGTCTGTCTCAATACTAATTGGTTTTCTCATTCACAGGAGCGCCAAGGTCCTGTTCAATTTGAAAAGGACACTGCCGATCCCTTCGGCATTGATAGCATGATCGCCGATGTGACTTCTGGCCAGAAGCGGTATGGAATCCAAGAGGCAGGCGAAGATGATCGTGGCTCGAAACGCGCAAGGGTCGAAGAGGATTAAGCTGGGCTGTATCATGATAAATCTGGGTTCATATCTTTCTGTGCCGCGTAGGCAAGGCTGTCTTTATGCATTGCGGGCGTTTTGGCGGTGCCATTTACACCACTTTGATATCACCGGTGTTACTCAAAACGACAAGCCTCGTTGGGCTTGCAATTGAAATAAAAGTACGATCCATGGCCAAGTCGTAGTATGAGCATAGCGTAATACACGTAATATGTCCCAGACATGTTAGACACCCGAACCAGTCGAGCAGGAAGTGCAAAGCACAGTGGAAAAATGGTTATGCCAGCAAAATTGAACAATAAGCACGAACAGAAGCATAGTTGATCTAGATACAGGTCTTTCAATGGAACAAATCACAGATGAGCCAGTGGAAGGAGGCAGGCTCGGAAGTAAGAGCCATGTTTAAGACCTCCGGTGGGGGATATTACATTGTTTACCGGTTCAGTTCGCGGACCTGGTTTTTCTTTCCTACCTTGTTTTACTTTTTCACGTATATTCAAATATGTCAAGAGTTGTGTTTAATTTGAACAGGCGAGCGGATCAATCTGTAGACTCGAGTGTAGGAAGTAAGTAAGTAATAAACGAAAACAAATCTCAAGATTCTAGTTCTTGAGCTCCTGTTTGTTGGGAGTAAGAACCTCCTCCAACCACTTGTAAGCAACGGGCAGACTGTGAGGGTAACCCATGTGCACCAAGCCCTCGAAGAAACGGCCTTCCTTGGGACCACCGTGGTTGAACATGATCAACGAGTCCTCAATAGGGACGACACCATCGTCAACACCCTGTGAAACATATTAGCACTAATCCAAAGACTCCAAGATCCCTCGGACATACGTTCAGCATCAGCAGACGACAGTTAGGCTGGTCCATAACACCCGTCTCCACAAGCGAGAACTTCTTCTGCGCATTCTTGGTAAACTCTTCAGCGGAAGCATATCCATACTTTTCAGCCCAAGAAGCCGTGATCCTGCAATCTGTCAGTCTCCCTTACACCAAGAAATAGCACCTTGTACCCACTCAAAAGGATATTCATGGTCATTGACCCGACTCAACCACTCTTCCCCCAGGAAATGATGACTACCAGGGCCATGCGCAACACACCCAGCAAATTTCTGCGAGTGCGTAGCCGAAGCCCGAATAGCATAGAACCCACCAGCACTCAAGCCCCAGACAGCAATACGATGCATATCAAACTCCGCCCGGGAGCCCATGTACTCCAGCACACTGTCCCACAGACGATCCGCACTCTCTGGATCCGCAGGGTCGGCCGGACAATCCGCCGTACCGGGGATCTCACAGACAACGGTCGCCCAGCCGCGGTTAATGATCTCGTGGGTCCGCTGGCTGTTATCAGTCCTGTACCCGTCCAGACCAGTTATGAGAAGCACGACGGGCACAGGGTTGGAGGCAGATGCTTCCTCGGGCAAACGCACGTAGATTGGGATGTGGGCACCATCGCGGCCGCGGGCGTGAGTGTGTGGGATGATCTCTTCCTTGAGCACAGGCTTCCAGATGGAGGCGGCTTTGAGATAGACGCTCTTTTGGCGCTCGTAGGCGGCACGCTTCAGGGAGGTGGAGGAGTTGCTTGCTGGGCTGACGTAGGGGAAGCGTGAGATGCGGAGGACGACGGCGGCGCGGCGGTAGAGGTCTGAAGCTCTGCCCAGGTGGCTATTTGTGAGGGCTCGCTCAGCTTGTTGTTCCAGAGCATCGACGACGGGGATGAAAGCCTTGGTGTAGGCATCCGAGAAGGCGTCGTTGATGTTGTCCTGGTTTGGTTGTCAGTGAATGATGGCCAAGCTGGGTTACAGGAGATCACATACATCTATTAGCTTCTGGAAGATAGGCTCGAAGTCTTCCAAGGCACCGTCGTGAAATGGGTAGATGGATTTGGTGCACTGTTTTGAGATTAGATTTGCTGGGTATACTTCAAGACTCGAAGACAACATACGCAAAACTTCCACTTGGTCTCCCACAGGGCCTTAATGGACCCTTTGTGTGGGTAGACGGTGTTGAACTTCTCTCCCATCATCCATGGTGCCATGATGAGTACAGTTGTTGTATAGTTGGAAACTTGCAGCTAGGTTTGTATGGCTGTTCAGATGTGCTGGAGCATGTGTGAAGCACTTGGAAAGCGTCATATGCGAACTTTTTCTTAAATGACTAGCCCTTCGACTAGCGTCAGAACGGGATGACGGATTTGGACTTCGACCGCGACTGTGATGTAGATGTGTATGAAAACAGCAGGTGGAGCAATGATGGCGGGAGATCTGTGGTAGCTTGCGCTTTCCGTCCGTGATCCAGGCCGAAAATGTGATCTGATAGGCGAAGAATGATGCAGTGGGTGACTCAAGGGGCCGGAACTATTGCTTATAGGCGACCAGGGGCAAATTGGTCTGTTTCCGAAACCGGCCAGGGGATGGATTCTCGATCGCGGCATATGCAGTGGAACGACTAGGCATGGTCTATGTCGGAGACGCAATGCGTGATGGATATCAGCCATGAGTCCGATGAGGGCTCATGGTTGATTGTGCCTTGGGGACAATGCACTCTCCCGTCGTGAATCTCATTGTCAAAGGTTGGATGAGTTGGGGCAGCTTCAACCATCGGGTGGTACGCAGCAAGCCCTAGCTTCCGCATGCGGCATATATTGCATGAATTCGATATGCTCTCTCCTTGCATAAGGTACGGCTCTATGATGGTTGCATCGAGAGCCCGATGAGCGAGACAATTACGTCGGCACAATCCAATAGAAGCTACTAGGGATCATTTGTTATGAAATTGGGCCAAAGAAGACGACGTCAATCGGTCCCGTGACTATGATCCACTCACAAATTCATCGCGGTGTTTTGACAACGATTTACTGGAAAGGAGAGAGGCTGGCAAAAGACCACGTTTGAATGTAGAGAAAAGTTAATCATTATGGAGACACAATGATGCAAAAGAATCGCCATTCTGAAAAGACTATCAAGATTATCATTAAAATTATCTAGTGTCAATTAGACATGAGGTGCTGGCAGCATATATACAAGCGCTTTTGACATGCGAGCGCACTACTCCTCTCACTCATACTGCTGCCAGTACTCGTAGCCATTGGGAAGATCATTGGGCCCATCGTCGTGCTGGTGGTAGGTCTGACCGCCCTCCTTGATGTACTGATCGTTGCTTTGAGAAGAAGGCCATAAGCCCCTGGAGAGGATGTCAGTATACAAATGGAACAGTCATTACGATGGGGATTCTCACTTCGTGTCAATGTTGGCAACCTCAATGGGCTCCTCACCAGGTTTGCCGCCGACTTGTGCGTAGGACTTGTCGGTACCGGCGCTGGGCCAGACACCCTTAGTATCCTGGGTGTCGGCAATATCAGCCGGGCCATCGGAGCCATCGCCGACCTGAGCGTGGTTGTGGCCGGTTTGAGGCTGGGGCCAAGATCCGTTGGACTCAATCTGAGAAGCGTAGATGGACTCATCGTCATCCGAGGGCAGTACCGGGTTCAGGGGGAGAGTGACTCGGCTGGGCCTCGGTCACAGGCTGAACAGCTTCGACAGGCTGAGCAGAGGGCTTGGGTGCAGCCTGAGACTCAGGAGCAGGAGCTTGTCCGACAACAGGCTTGGGAGCCGAGGCCTGCTGAAGGGTCGGGCGAGGCGGAGGTGCCTGCTGAGTAGGTGCTGGAGCAGACGGGGCTGATGTAGTCGACTGGGGCTCCTGAGCCGGCGGCGGAGGCGTCTGCTGAGTAGGAGCTGGAGCAGACGGGGCTGATGTAGTCGACTGGGGCTCCTGAGCCGACGGTGCAGAGGCCTCGCTGGACTTTCCTGGCGGGTACATAGCACCGTAGTTCTCAGAGGAAACATTAGTGTTGGCACCGGTCAAATCAAGGCCCTCCTTGCCAGCGGCGTTACCGTAGGAAGGATCAGGGTAGGCAGCGCAGGCGTCATAGTGGCTCTGAGGAGGGGCATGTTCGGACTGAGGGAAAGTCTCAGGAGCCTCGATGATGGTGGCCATTAGGCCAGCCTCAACGTGCCATTCGACGTGGCAGTGCAGCAGCCAGACACCGGGGTTGTCTGCACGGAAACGCATGACAACGTGTCCGTGGTTTTGAACCATGATGGTATCGCGCCTGATGGGAGTATGGGAAACATTCTTATATAGACCAGTGAAGTAGCCACCGTCGACTTCGGTTCTCTGCAGGACCTGGAACTGGTGACCGTGCAAATGCCAAGGGTGCAGGTTGTTGTGGTGGTTGTTGATCACAATTTCGACTATCTCTCCGTACTTAACAACAAACGGATTGACCTGGCCGTACACCTCGGGGTTCGAAGAGAACTCGGCCCCAATCGTGTTTGCGGTGTATAGAGTGGGAACTTTCTGGGGGATATAGGTCTTGTTGTTCACAGTGAAGCGCTTGATTCCATCAATCTCTGTGGAATAGGTGTCGATGATGATCTGGTGCTGAACGGGCTCAAGCAGGGGCTCCTTGTCCAGAGGGACCAAAGAGACGTCATCAATGAAGCGATCGGGAGTAAGATCATAGATCACCGGGGGCGGGGGCAGGGGTTTCGCATCGTCGTAGACAAGCCAAGCAGTGGCGTTGGGATTGTATCCCGCGGGAATGTCACGACCCTCAAAGATGAACATCATGTTAATGTCCATGGTATCCCAAATGGCGAAGTTCTGACTCGCATCGGGCTTGGTGTGTATCAAGACAGACACTCGCTGTCCGGTGGCAATACGAAGCAGCTTGTCTCCAACAGGGGTAGGCTCGGTGTAAATTCCATCGACTTCCACGACCGTCATCTCGTGGCCATCGAAGACCCAAGCGTGACCAGGCCAGTTACCGGTACAAATAACATGCACCAAATAGGTCTTGTTGGGCAGCACCTTGATCTTGGTGTCACTGGCATCATTGATCAAAGCAGAGTTGGGAACGGGCTCCAGGCCACCGGCGGCCTCATTCTGCTCTGACTCGTATTCATTGAGCAGGTCGGGCATCTGGCGGTGGTACCAATCGGTCAACGTGATAGTGAACTCATCATCAAAGTGGAAAGGCACTTTGGGGTCGTGAACGATCAGAGGGCCGCGGAAGCCATCGGGATACTGAGCCATGTTGTGAGAGTGATACCAGTAAGTTCCAGTTTGGTTGATCTGACCACATTAGTATTGCATTTGCAAGTGCCCGATGGTCTACTCACATCGAAGTGATACTGCATGTGCGAGCCTGGGGGCAGAGGACACTGGGTGACACCACTAGAACCATCCATAACACCGGTGGCATACTGGTGGAAGCCATGCCAATGGATGCCGGTGGACTGATTGCCCAGACCATTGTACACGTCGACGATCAGACGATCACCGAGGTCCACATCAATCTGAGGGCAGGGCCATTGGCCATTGATACCGATGACAGGTCTCTCAAACCCATCGGGAGAGGCATTGACCCAGGTGATGTTCCAATCCAGGAAAACATCTTTGGCGGCCACCAGTTTGCCGGCTAAGCTCGCCAAAAGAAGGAAATTGAACTTCCCCATAGTGAAAGGTCATGCAAATAACGAGTGACAATCGACTCCGAATCCGAAAGATAGTGAAATGCTCTGAACGAATCGAGGGATCTGAGTTGAATGACCGAAACTAGGTATTATCAAATAAGAGGGAGGAAAAAGAAAAAATAGAAAAACCGACAACGAAACGAAAGAGTTGTCGAATGAAACGAAGGCGTTGGGCGACGGTTGGCTATAATTTTTGAGAAAGTCAAGAGCGCGCAATTGGGAATCCTGCCTTTAACAGCATGCATGATTTGAATCTACACTAGGGATGTAAGTGTCGATGGGTTCCGGATCCAAGTTCCAAGTCTCCAGCAATGCCAGCATGGTCTACAATCAGGACACAGAAAAACAAACACGCCGAAACGGGACTAGGTCCACCGCTTGGGAGTTGGAGGAAGCATTCCACCAAGGAGAAGGACCGCCCGGTATGCAGATGAATCCCCCATTTCGGTCTTGCATCGGAAATTGCCCCAGCAAGGGGCCGCATTCCAGGTGATGGTTTCAGTTCATCGTAGACAAGAGCACTAATAATTGGATTGATTGGAGAATCAGATTTCAGTCGAAACTCGATTGACCATTGACCATTGACAACGGACGACTAAACGATCTGTGGTGTTCGTTTTCAGGTGATGGCGGTACTCATCATGGATCGTGGCGATCGTGGTGAGGTCAGCGGTGAGATCACATTTCCGATCAGAGACCACCAACATGAGCATAAGGAGACGCAAACGCAGACGCTTTTGCATAAGCACCAATTTCGTTCTTCGAGGTTCAGCGCGCCCGATTAAGTCTGAAGACGCCCCGAGGCGGAACTGGAGAACCCAACAGGGCACGGATGACGCAGAGCATCATCATCTCGGTTATCGTCGTATCAGTATCGGGGGGAAAGACTCAGTGGATCAAACGGCCATGGCTCCATGGCTCCATGGCTCCACTCCAACTTCACTTTTTTTTTCTCTCTCTTATCGGGAGATCTCCATTTGATCCTTTCGAGTCATAGACCCGACAGACAGATCGTGACGATTTTCTCGGTTGTCATAGCTCCAGCTCGAGGACTCGAGGGCATCTGCAGAACTGGTACCAGGTCCGATGGTCGGTGCGTTTCCCGGTAGATCAAAGTAGACAAACGCGGGGGAAGAAGACGTAATTGACAAAAGGCCCGGTTCTTATTGGGGAAATTATACCAAGGCGCGCAGTAGTTTCACGGATGACAGGGGATGATGGCCTCCCCACATTGGTCTTCAGGTACAGCTGCACGACACTCGTCTTTTCTCTCGAGCGCCTAGCGCGGAGGTCATGATAAGGAAGTGGGGAGTTGAGAAGTAGAACTCAAGTCACTGATAAAGAGTTGCAGGAAGGGATTTGGTAACCCGATAACCAGGGACGAACAAGTCGAATTTTTTTCCCTTTTTCCCAAAAGGTGCAAGTGAGGGGAAATAGTTGTATCGTCACCTTTAGCTTTTCTTCTTCTCTGACTCCATCCCCACGGTAGATGGATCTTGTTTCTTGCTTTTTTAGACTCACTCCGATCCGTGTACTTCCCCTGACGCCATATTCCGTGTACCGCGCTCAGCACTAAGCCCTCAGCTTTTAGCCCTCGGCCCTGTTGCCATAGCCTCCGGCATCACGTCAATGGCGTAATAAAGGTGCGAGCATGCGAAGGACTCTACACTTGATTCCAGGTCCTCCATAGCTTTGGTTCTCTACACAATTATTCCTCATATCGAACGCAACTCGAGCATGGACCAATCTATGACTCTGATCGATGCCCAGGTGCAATTTCTGGTGAGTTAATTCGGAAGCAATTCCAGGGAGCCATTTCCCATTTAATGATGGTTCAATTGATTCAAGAGATATATATTTTAGGAGGAGCGACTCGTGCTGGTTCACATTCCATTGGACCTCTATCCGTATTTTTTCAAGGCGGTTCTGAGACTCATCTTCGACGAAATATATTCCCTCGATGAAGAGCGGGAAGACGATCTCATCCTCGAGGATATCGAAGGTACTTCGGAGCAAGGTTCCGACTACAAGCAACCCGCTTTCCTAAATGTTTCCATTACTCCGGTGGAAGTCTCAGTAATATGTCCTCGTCGACTCGTCCAGAAGTACTTCCAACCCTTACTTGACCAGCTCAACCAGCTCAACAGCACCCTCCGTTCTCAACTAGATGTCAGCGATAATGATTACATCGCCATGCAGGTCCTGGGTCAGGGTCTGGAAGCCGGCAAGCGCGTACTGGAACTCACCAGTCCACTAGCCATGGCGGGGATTTCTATCTTCTTCATCTCGACCTATTTCTCCGACTACATTATCGTGCCCTTGCACAGCAAGGAAAGCGTAGTGTCAGCACTGGAGAACAGGGGCTTCCAATTTGAAAATGCAACAGCGGCCTTCATCAACCCGCTCAGCCCTACGTCCCCAACCTCAGAGCGACGTTTCAGCGACGTCGTTCCACCAGCAACCCCACCCCCATCATCCGTCTCAGAATTACAGACACGCACATTTGAGAACCTTCGCAAACGTCAAATCGTCCCATGCGTAGATGACACCCTTCGTCTCGTCCAATGTGCAGCCCACCACCAATACAACCGCGAAGAAAGCTCCATGGCCATCCTCCGTGATGCACTGACAACCGTCCTCCTGGTTGACAACCCGCGCTTCCTCTCCCTTACTCTAGCAGCCTTGGACCCAGCAGCATCGCTTCTGTTGGAAAAACGCCTCCTTCCCCGCTTCGCCCGTCCAACAAGCTCACCCCAAGACTACGAAGACGGCTCAGGCCTCCTCCTAGGGTCTAAAGAGGAATATCTCATCCCCATCATACTCGACCTGCGTGACCTCCCTCTCGAGGCATCAGGTATCGTCTGCGGCGTAGCAGGCCGTCTTGCTGATTCAGCGGGTAACCCGACACCCGCAGCAAGCGGCGACAGCAGTCTTGTGGGCAGCAACGATAGCAGCGTCATCGGCTCGGTGCCCGCGCTATTCGATACCTTTGGATCGCGACTTGCGCTGGGACACAGAAAGACGAAATCTCAGCAGTTGCCGCCGACAACACACCACTTGAAACCGGATGTGGATGCGGGTGCGGATGCGGTGGAGATTAGTTTCTTGAGTACGGCGCGTGCAGGGACGATCATTGTTGGGGAGGATGAACTCAAGAGAGCAATTGATGCTCTTGAGGCGGAAAAGGCGGACAAGGTGCAGGAGGTAGTCGCTGAGGGGTCTCCTCTCCGTATCCAGGGACTGGAATTGGATGCTTGATGCTTGATGCTTGATGGGGGAAAAATGATTTGGATTCCTTTGGTTTGCTCGCCACCCCACGTTCTGTATGAGTACACGTTTTTCTTGTAAGTGTGTGCTTTACTAGCGTTCCAGCCCGGATTGCTCAATAGGTTGTTATGTTATTATCGGAACAAGTCTCAAATATATTCATATGACACGACGAATTTCATGGCCCATGAGAAGGCTAATAGCTGTGAGTATGTGCATGACTGGATTGGTACGTGGTCATGTGGCCTTCAATCAGTCCTCCTGGATTCAAAAGTATATCTATACCGCTTCAAAGACAAAAAGAGTTGACTTGTGTTGATGATGAAGACAGTGGATCATCAACTTGCCGTCAGCATTGGCAATGGCTTGGTCAGAGTCGCGTTGGCGATGAGTCTTCCTTGTGCGTCATAGATGAGTATGTTAGCGTAGCCTGCGCTAGGCGTGCGATCGGCGCTATCGACCGGTCTAGCGTACTTCTGTCGCAACAGTCCGTTGTCCAGCAGACACGAAGTAACGCTTGTTACCAGATTGGGATATGCGTTCTGGTCCACCAACGTCCTCACATCTGAACAAGTCTCCAGACTGTGGAACGGCCGAAGTCGCTTAATAGTTGAATTCTTCCCTTTCCTGGAAAAAATGTGGGATTTTTGGGTAGATCGTGCCCGCCTTGCACGGAGAGCTCGCTGGGACGGATGATGTAGACAGTTGAAGCAACAGGGGATACCAATACTGTGGCCATAGTGACAAGTGAGAGTTTCCCCATTTTGGGAAATGTGCAGGTAGATTTCCATGTGAAAGATGTGAAAAGAGTCCATCGGTTCCGGGCATCGACCATGGATGAAAGCATCAGGCAGCAGGGAAATTGCGTGAACGGCAGCCACGCTCTGAAGCGGCGATGGCTTGTAGGCTCATCCCAAAAACTCGGACGGTACCTGGACAAGATTTAGAATTCATGTCATAGAAAAGAGAGAGAATACTTTTACCATCTGAGCACCCAGCTGCCCAGTACCCCTGGTCATTCCAAGCCACGCAGCTCACAGCCTTAATTTTTTCTCCCATTGGCACAGTAGCAACATTTTCTCCACTGAGTACATCCCACGCAAAAACAGAAGCGCCAAGCGCGGCCCCATCTTCCTTTGCAGCTTCACTGCCGCTCAAAACTACGGCATCACTCTGCGCAAAGACAGAGCGAACCCGCAGCTCCTGGTTCCGATAGACATGCTTAGGCCTAGTGCTGAGGAAAGGCTGGGCCTGCTCCTCGCCATTCTTGACAGGACCTCCGAACGCAGCTAGGAGCTTTCCGTCTGCTCGATCGAGCATCCGAATATAGCTATCCAAGGTAGAAGCAAGCAGCGCATTGCCATCCGCCGAACAACGAATACTCGTTACCGGATGAGCCAGGACATCGACCGTCGTCTTACCTGTCCGCACATCGTAGACGCGCACATTTCCATCATAGCTGCCACTAGCGATAGAGTAGGTAGGCCCATGAACATGCAAACAAGAAACGGTGTCGCTTGCTTCAGTGAGGGTCTGAATAGGCTTGTAGGCATTAGATCTGGTGTCCCACAAGTTTATTGTGGTATCTGCACTACCTGAAATCAAGAAGAAAGGTCAGTAAAATGAGTTGAGCCGCAGACCAATGACCATACCAGAAACAACAAGCGAATCACCATCTCCGGCAAATTGGACGGCTTCAACCCTGCTATTATGCCCGCCCCATCTCTTAATTGTCAAACCCTGCTCAACATCCCATAGAAAGACCTGACGGTCACCTCCTACGCTGGCAAAGCGCGCATTGTCTGCGGCGACGGCTATGTCGAGGACTGAATAGCCATGGGCTTCGTACCGCTGGATCGGGGATGTAGTCTCGACGGCTGTCGCAGAGTTTTCCCGCATTGCTTGGAACTGCGCGGGAGAGGTGAATGGCGCGGTCTGAGGAACCTGTGAGGACGTAGGTGCCTGGGTAGCTTGAGAAGGTCACGGCATTGACGGGCCCTGTCATACGTGATGAGTCCTAGTTACCGGGAAGAGCGTGATGCCGAGCTTACCACTATGCGTCTTCAGAGTGTGGAGATGCCGTGTCGGAAACTTCTTCGAGGGCATGTCAAGCTGACTGAGGAGCGGAGCAGTTGGAGGTTGAAGCCGGAATGTGGATAATGTGCGGAACTTTGGAGCTCGGGCAAACTGGGGCCGAACTAGAGCTAACTATAATACTTCATTGCTATGCGACAGCCTCCCAAGTTGACTTGCTACATTTGATGAAATAGGGATTAGATCTGTATTTTGCGCGCTACATAATACAGGAGGGTTATTATCAAGGATGTAGAAACCATCGCTAGCTACCTGTGGTGAATGGATATAACAGAACAAAACGAACCGGCCCTTCGAGGCGAAGGTGCGCCCTCCCAAGCGCGTGAACGGCAAGACATAGGGTACTCGAAAAGAAGAAAATAAGGAAGGAGCATGCAAAGTGCGCCTACTCCTTTTTTTAAAAATCCAGCATACTAGCGACGACCGTGGCTGCGAGTGCTGGAGCCCTGGAGACCCTCGATCTCCTGCTCGAGCGATTTGATTCTAGAGAACAGTAAGTATATGAAGTCAATGCGTAACAAGTAGATCAGGCATCAACGTACGCAGCATGAGTGGCCTCGAGGTCCTTGTTGAGTCTGTCGCGCTCGGAAATGAGCTTCTGCTCCCACTGGCGGAAACGCTGCTCCTCGACCTTGACCTGCTCGGTGAAGCGCTTGCGCAGGTTCTCCTCTTCCTCCTTGAATTTGGGGTTGTCCAGCTTGCGTGGGCGAGCCTCGCCAAACTTGCGGGTTTCCATCTGCTGGGCACGGTAGGCCTCGTAGTGAGACTCCTCGGTGGTGTGAATGAGGTCGAGCATATGGGTGCGGATCAGGATCGAGCGAAGTTTCTTAAAGTCACAGTGGTCCTCGTTCTCCACCTCAGCTACACCCCAGGCGTACTGGCGACCCTTGACAACACGGCCGTCGTTGGCCTTGACATCCTTCTCGGAGCCGATGACAGCGAATGGCATAGCAGCCATCAGGCTGCGGGCGTGGGTAGCGGCGTGCTCATCGTCCTCCTCGATCGGCGGGGTGTAGATCTTAATGCCCTGGGCCTCAATAACAGCACGAATCTGATCACGCATTAGCCATGGGTTCCGATTGCAAAGCCATGCATGATTTCAACATACTCTCTCCTTGTAGCGGGCCAGGTCGGCGTGGCTCAGAGTGTCAGCCTTGGCGACAACGGGGATCAAGTTAACGCGAGAGCTCAGACGCTTCATGACCTCGATATCGAGGGGCTTGAGGGTGTGGCCGGTGGGTCGGATGAAGTACAAGCAAGCGTGCACACGCATGTCAATCTTGTCGGTACGGCGGGGCTGCTGCTCCTGGAGCATGTAGGACTCGTGTTGGTCATCCAGGAACTCGATGATAGGTTGCCACGAATCACGGTTGTTGACATAGTCGCCGAAGCCGGGGGTATCAATGACGGTAAGACGGACTGACGGCGGAAAACATCAGCACAGGCATTACACAAATATGGCCCGTCACATCCCGGGTGAATTGAATATCGAACCTTTGAAGAACTTTTCCTCGAGCTCGGCCTTGGTGATCTCGATTTCGACGGTTCGGTCGACTTGCTTCTGGTGACGGCGCTTGTGATCGGCGTAGTTTTTGATGGTAGTGGAGAAGAGGGTGTTGATGAAGGTAGTCTTTCCCAATCCCGACTCTCCGGCAACCTGTAGACGGCATCATTAGCGCTGATGTCCCGACCGAGGCATTCCAAGCTCAGACACACCATAATTGTAAAAGCCGCACCCCGCTTTGCAACAATCTTGTGTCTAGACCGCTTCAATCAGAAAGCTCCTCGCTGCCAATTCGGATCGATTCGTCGAGTGGTACATACCGCTGGTTGGGGAGCTACATGTACCAAACACAGATTAGACATCGGAGCATTCAAAACGCGTTGGGAGGTTATCGGAAATAACTTACATTGGCAATGCCAATCGGCGAGGCAGTCTCCGTTGTCGACATGATGAATTAAGAGCTGGAATGTGAAGATGAAGAAAATGAAGAGAAACCCCTCGGTTAATGACCTGATAAAAGAGGAGAGATGGCCAAGGGTCCTTTGGGAGAAAGGGAAGTGAGCTGCTCGTTGCTCCTTCCCCCTGAATCTCCTTTCGTTTTCTGGAGTATAGCTGGCCTTGCCTATCTGGGACTAGCGCCTAACACTATCCCTGATTTGGATCGGAACTGGAGTATTGATGATCCGCTCTTATCACGCTGATTGTCGCGCCGAACATTTTTTGACGAAGTGCTTCAAGCTGTCGCAAGTGGGAAAATGAAGACCGACTTTAAGGTGAGTGCTTTTCGATATTCCTTGTATGACTTTTTCTGACTCGTAATGTAGTTCTCCAATCTTTTGGGGACGGTCTACCGTCAGGGCAATTTGCTCTTCACGCCCGATGGCACCTGCTTGCTCTCGCCGGTAGGCAATCGAGTCTCGGTCTTTGACCTGGTGCAGTATGTAGTCTCAAACAGCCTCTGCGCATCATTGGAAACCACTTGCTCATTATGTCGCCCATAGGAACACCTCCTATACCCTTCCATTTGCACCCGCACGAACATCGACCGCCTCGATCTGTCGCCTCGAGGCAATCTTCTGCTCACGGTCGATGAGACCGGACGAGCAATCCTGACAAATTTCCAACGTCGCATTGCCATCCATCACTTCTCATTTAAGGGTCGTGTGACTGCTCTCAAGTTCTCTCCGTCTGGTCGCCATTTCGCAGTCGGTGTGGGGAGACGCTTGCAAATCTGGCAGACCCCCTCCACCCCCGGTACCGAGACAAATGGCGAGATTGAATTTGCTCCTTTCGTTCTGCACCGAGACCTTGCTGCACACTTCGACAATATCTCAACGATTGAGTGGTCGAGTGATTCGCGCTTCATTCTCACAGCGTCCAGGGATTTGACTGCGCGAGTATGGAGTTTGGATCCTGAGGATGGATTCGAGCCGACCACCTTGGCCGGTCATCGGCAGGGCGTAGTTGCCGCATACTTCAATGCGGAACAGGAGAAGGTAATCTATATCATTAGTGATGTTTCACTGGACTGGTTCTGACTTAGCGTATAGATTTACACCGTCAGCCAAGATGGAGCCCTTTTCCGCTGGGAGTATGTGACCAAGAAAGATCCAGAGACGGATGAAGATATTGCGGAAGCCCGTTGGAGAATTGTGAAGAAAGACTTCTTCATGCAAAACGACGCCAAGGTCAACTGCGCTGCGTTCCATGCGTCCTCCAACTTGCTGGTTGTGGGCTTCTCTAACGGTCTTTTCGGCCTGTATGATCTGCCTGAGTTCAACACTATTCATCTTCTAAGGTGTGTGATATTACTCTTGTGTCTCTTTGCTTCTACTAACAGGGCTTTTGCTCCAGTGTCTCTCAGAGTAACATTGATGTTGTGACCATCAACCACTCAGGAGAGTGGCTCGCAATGGGATCGTCCAAGCACGGTCAATTGCTAGTGTGGGAATGGCAATCCGAGTCGTACATTCTCAAGCAGCAGGGCCATCTCGACTCCATGAACTCCCTTGTTTATTCACCAGACGGGCAGAAGATTGTCACTACTGCCGATGATGGTAAAGTCAAGGTCTGGGATGTCAAGTCTGGTTTCTGTATCGTGACTTTCACCGAACACTCAAGTGGTGTGACCGCGTGTGAGTTTGCCAAGAAGGGAAGCGTCCTTTTCACTGCTTCTTTGGATGGTTCAATCCGAGCCTGGGATCTCATTCGATACCGCAACTTCCGGACCTTCACCGCACCCTCCCGTCTGTCGTTCTCTTCCATGGCTGTGGACCCTAGTGGTGAGGTAGTCTGCGCCGGCTCGCCGGACTCTTTCGACGTTCATGTGTGGTCTGTGCAGACTGGCCAATTGCTTGATCAGTTATCAGGGCATGAGGGTCCCGTGTCTAGTCTTGCCTTTGCCTCCGATGGTAACCATTTGGTCAGTGGCAGCTGGGATCGCACTGTACGTATCTGGAGCATCTTCGGTCGTACACAGACAAGTGAGCCTCTTCAGCTCATGTCTGATGTTCTGAGTGTGGCGTTCCGAGCCGACGGCAAGCAGGTCGCAGCCTCGACACTGGATGGTCAGCTATCATTCTGGAATGTCAACGACGCTGCCCAGGAGGGTGCTGTGGATGGCCGTCGTGATGTGTCCGGAGGTCGGAAGGTCTCCGATCGTCAAACCGCCGCGAATGCCGCGGGAACTAAATCTTTCAATCGCATCACATATAGTGCCGATGGCAGTTGCATTCTAGCGGCTGGTAACAGCAAGTACATTTGCTTATACGATGTGGGCACGGGATCCCTTCTCAAGAAATACACTGTGTCGGTGAATTTGTCCCTGGATGGTACTCAGGAATTCCTGAACAGCCGCAATTTGACGGAGGCTGGTCCTCGCGCTTTAATCGACGAGACTGGTGAGGCCTCTGACAAGGAGGATCGAATCGACCGCACCCTTCCTGGCGCGAAACGCGGCGATGCTGGAGCTCGCACCACTCGCCCAGAGGTGCGAGTGATGGCGGTTGACTTCTCACCAACCGGCCGTGCATTCTGTGCTGCTTCTACTGAGGGTCTCCTCATCTATAGCCTGGACACCGACTTTGTATTCGATCCCTACGACCTTGATATTACCATCACACCATCCACTATCCTTGAGACACTTGAAGCTGCAAAGGTGGCGTCTGCGTCCAACACTGTCGATGATGACAACACATTCTTGAAGGCTCTGATCATGGCTTTCCGCTTGAATGAACACAAGATTCTGCGTGCTGTGTACGAGTCCATTCCTCCTCAAGATATCCCTCACGTGGTCCGTTCAGTGCCCACAGTCTATCTTCCCCGTCTGCTTCGGTTCGTCGCCCTCGCAGCCGACGAGACCCCTCATCTTGAATTTAACTTGATGTGGATTGAGTCTCTTTTCAGTTGCCATGGTCGGTACTTCAAGGAGAACTCGGGCACTTTCGCGCCTGAGCTGCGTGCCGTTCAGCGCGCTATTGATGACATTCGAGAGAATCTCAAGCGCTTGACAGAGAAGAATCTCTACGACTTGAATTACCTTCTGTCCAAGCCTGTTCTGGCCGATAAGAAGCCCGCTGCCACACTCTTGGCGATGACTTCTGGTGAGGCTGATGAGGCCGATGAGCAAATGGTCGAAGTTGAGGACGAAGAGGGCGGTGAGTGGATTGGTTGAATGGAGGTTGTGAAGAACCTGTAATGTCAACTTTGCATATGCGCATGGCGTTTGTATATTAGGACGATCCAAAAAAAAAGTGTATAGAATCAAAGGCCTTTCAAGTGCACTATCAATCACGTCAACCAAATGCTGGGAGACGATCGTGCTACGGTCTGTTTGCCTGAAAGGGCAAGTCAACACAGATAGCGAACACCAGTTCTTTGTGTGTTGGCAAGTAGGCATCTTTCGTTTCTTAGTCCCCGATTTCTAGAATTCTTTTTAAGTTCCACGCAATACTATCCGATGCCATTCTGTGTTACCTCCATTGATTCTTCATCGTACAGCCAGACTTCTTCATCTTTCTCATAATTCCTGCATCTGAAGCAATCTTCCACTAAAGTTGCCGAGAACGTCTAGATGGCTGGCTCATTTGTGTGGCCCTTCCTCGGAGTTCTTTTCGTGTACTTTTGCTTGCGAAAGAAGTCACATCCGGCCCTTCAGCGCATTCCCTATGTCAAGTATAATGCATTCATGCCAGATATCTTCAACAGGCTCATCTATTACCCGAAGGCTAAATCTATGATCTATCGAGGCTATGAGAAGGTTTGATATCCGTGAAGTAGGGACCGGACATGGATGGTGGCTGATCAAGATATAGTACAAGGATAGCCCGTTTCGCATGTTAACTGGCGATGGAGAGATTGTGGTATTGCCGGCGAAATATCTAGCTGAGCTAAAGCATCTGCCTCCTTCGATTCTTAGCTCCCTAGATGCGCAGTTCGAGGTATGGTTCTAGAGCAAGCATCTTGGTCCCGAGATCGATAGACTTCGATCCTCAAATTGACATTATGACAGAATGCGCTGGGGCACTACACGAACATATTGATTAGCAGCTATCTGCCATCGCAAACGGTTCGAAAGCGCTTGACCCCCAGTCTGGGTATTTTTACACATTCTCAATATAGAACACGCAAGCACTAACTCCACCTCTTAGTGCGAGTCGTCCCCCGGGTCGTCGATGAGCTGCGACATGCATTCGATACCGGGCTGCCAGACTGTGAAGGTAAGGAAAAACGCGATGCATACGCATCAGCAACTAATGATTCCTATAGAAGACAAATGGACAGCCATTGAACCCCAGAAACTATTCGTACACCTCATCTCCCGAGCAACATCCCGTGTCATGGCAGGCGAATCTCTCTGCCGCAACGAAGAATGGCTCAACGCAGCGGGCAGATACTCCGTCAACGTTGGCCTATGTCTCATCCTCCTGCGACCGTTCCCCAATTTCTTACGGCCATTCGTCGCCCCGTTCCTCCCTCCAGTGCAACAGATGAAGAAACAAGTACGGTTCACGAAGGACCTCTTCGTTCCAATAATCAACAAGCGCCGCAAAGCAGAAGCAGCCAAGGATCCTGGGTACATCAAGCCAGATGATTTCTTGCAGTGGATGATGGACGGCACAGAAGAAGAGCAAGACCAAGACCCCGAAGCATTGGCGCATCATATGTTGTTGCTCGTGAGTCTGGCCGTTGTACATACTAGTACGATGGCGATGTGTCATATTCTTTATGATTTGATTCATCATCCAGAGTATCTGGAACCTTTGCGGGAAGAGATTACCAAGACCTTGCCTGATGGGTGGGCGAATGCAACAAAGGCGTCATTTGAGGCTCAGCGGCGCATGGATAGTTTCCTGCGCGAATCGCAGCGCTTCGGGCCCCCTGGTGAATGTGAGTGATCGTGTGTTCTACATCCAAATGCCCTCAAATAGAATACTAAATCGTGATTGATGCTGATGTGCAATAGTATCGTTCCACCGCATCGTAAAGGAACACCTTACACTATCAGGATGGACTCATTCTACCCGAGGGAACACACATCTGTTTTCCCTCGGGCCCAATGAGCAAAGACCCTTCCTTCATCGGGAATCCGGAGCCCTTTGATGGCTTTCGTTGGAGTCGGGACGCCAGTGATCGTAACTCCCTCGACCATTCTACGACGCCTGATCCCGGGGAGATGGAACCACCAGGCAGTAAGAAGCAGTATAATGCTGCACTGGTTCCATCAACATCCACCAGCTTCGTCAGTATTAGTCCGTCGAACATGCACTTTGGATTTGGACGTCAGGCGTGTCCCGGCCGATTCTTTGCGGCGAGCACAATCAAGGCGATCATGAGCCATCTCATCATGGAGTACGATTTCAAGTTTGACGATTGCCAGACTGGGCGAAGACCAGTGAATTGGATGGTTGGGGAGCACGTCTTGCCGAATACGGATCCAGTTGTGTTGATCAGGAAAAGGTCCATTGGGCTGTGAGAGACGCCGGCGCATGTTCGATATTCTACTATGATTTTGGTTGATGGATTGGGTTGACTTGGTCCATGGGTACTTACTTACGAGAGACCTGATCTGATGAATCTACTGTGAAAGTTTTGGTACTGGTATCAGTCCATTTACGTAGTAACCATCATAGACAATTGCAGGCTGCCAGACTATACAGTCCAGATGACAAGGTATGTCGTGAAATAAGCAAAGAAAAGTCTTCCCTATACATCGTACACAATGACAAAAATCCACAACCTAGTTACTCCTCAATGGGACATCTTCCGTCAATTTACTCAGGATTCACAGTGGGGGGCACCGCCACGCTGTCCGCCACGGCCACGACCACGGAATCCATTTCCGTTACCGCGGCCGCGACCGCGTCCTCGTCCACGCTCAAGTCCCTGGGGAGGAGGGACTGAGGTATAGCTTTGAGGGCGGAAGTTCGGGTTGTTCTGGATGATACCTTCACTTGGGTCACCATTCTCAACCGAAACATACCCGCCACGCTGGCCCCCACGTCCACGACCACGAGGTCCTCGCGGGCACCGCCATTGCCATTGGGACGGAAGGGAAGCTCAGTGGACTGCCCGTTGGCATAGCCGCCGCGGCCTCCACGACCGGCTCCCTGGCCGGAAACAGCTCCACGGAATGAACCCCGCAGAGGCGGAGGGGCCGGAGCGTTTTGCAGCTGGCCCTGCCCATCGGGTCCGAGAGGAGCACCGTATCCGGCAACAGTCAATGGGGTCTGCTTCTGTTGGGTCTGTTGGCTTGCTGCAGCGCGGGAGCTAGCGAGCAATTGACGGTGGGAGACGTTAAGGACAGATGACGCAAGGACAGTCTGGCCACGGAACGGAGAGCAACGGCCACCAAGCGTAGTGCCACTCATGAACGAGACGTCAAAGACCACGTCAAGCAAAACAGCGCGAGGGGTTCTGGTAAGACCGACAACAGTGCCGCGAGTGGCGATAGGAACCTTGCCAGAGTCCTGAGCATAGACCACGCGATCTCCAAGCTTGAAAGTCTGGTTGCCCAGACGGTGCTCCACGTCGGCCGGGCGAAGCAAAGCGCTACGGGGAACACCACGAACCTTCTTGGGATGCATTGGGGGTTGCTGAGCATTGGCAGCGTCGGCATCCTGTTCGATTAGGTGGACAATATCAGAATCAAGCTGCTCGGCATCAAAGGGCACTCTCTCGAAGTTCTTGGCCTCCATGGACTTCAACCAATCACGGATCTCCTTCATTTTCAGAAGAGCGATCTCCTCGGGATAGAAATCGTAGGGGCTGTAGCGATCATTCTGGGGGTTGCGCTGAATGCCAGCAAAGAATTCAGGGAACTTAATCATGTATTGCTGGAGCAGGTCGACGGCTTTTTGGCTGAACTCCCAGCCAGATTCTCCGCGGCGAGAGTATCCGAGCACCTTCTGTTTGCGAGCCTCAAACTTCAGATTCAATCCCAAGTTTACACGCTGCCCATCAACATCAACAGAGAATGAAGAGGTGATTTTAGCTAGGACCAAGGGGTTAAGACGGAGACTTCGAGCAATGGCGTAAGAAGGCATGTAAGGGCAGTATCGCTCAGCTTGTCTGACACGATCTCTTCCAAACTCGGGCTCTTTGCCCTTGACAGCGGCGATCAGACCATTCACCTTTCCTTCATCATGACCAGTAATATGAACAGGTCGTCCGTAATTGAAGTCACCCAGGAAAAAGGCACGAGAGTTTTCCGGGAATTCTTCCTCGATGGGCAGAGCCTCTCGCTCAATGAAACGTTCATCAGGGTTGATAACGTCATCAACAACGACTTGAAGGGCGTAATCAGTCTCCTGACCTGTGATATCCGCGAACTCTTTAATAGTAGCACCCTCTTCGGTCTTCGTCATGCCCTTAAGCAGCTGAATGTGGACCATTGACTCAACTTCGCCGATAACCATGGCGAGTCGCTTGCTATAGGTTCCTTCTATCTTGGTCGCCTTCTTCTTCCACTGCTCAATTTGCTGAGGAGTGCTGCGGGATTGACATGACGTGCTCTTCATTTGGCGGAAGAACATAATCAAATAATTCGTCCGAGACACGGATCACCAGAGCTTCTTGCAGGAATGGATATCCAACATGGACTCGTTTTCCGAGCTTTGTCTTGGCCAGTTCGATACTGGACCGGCTCCCAGGATCAATCAGAGTAATGACCTGACTCTCGTTGCGGCTTTCCTGCTGGAACACTTGGACCCCGTGGAATCCGAGCTGACCAATATGAGGCAGGGTCTTCAGAGTCGGGAAGCCTGCGAGAGCCGCTGAACCCAATTGCACACCGTCCATCAACCCATGGAAAGGCTCTAGGCCTTCCATGACTGGGAGATCAAAGACATTTTCAATGCAGCGGCAGTTTGGCAGGTCAGGGAACACGCCAGGCATCGAGGATGGGTAAATGAAGTTCACATCTGGAGAGTAGGTGAACTTCAAGCTGGCTCCGAAAGTGTTCCGGGCCTTCTCATCAGGGGTAAGGAACTGCTCCCGAGTCTTGAGAGCATCCAAAAGCCTGGTCTCGTCGATGAACGGAATCTTAACCACAGCCTCCCATTCCATCTTCTTGCCGTTCATGTCCAGCTCGAAGTCACGGGGGTAGAAGTCAATGATGGGTGAATCAGGCGAAGTCATGAGATCCCAGTACGCAGTAGGCACAATCTTCTTACTGCGATCAGGCAAAACACCCATCAGTTGATCGTAGGGTCGGAATGGTCTTCCAAGCCGGAAATTCATGTCGGCTCCGAGGCCCTTTTTTACGTCTATACTATGGTTAGTAAATTGAATGGGACGCTTCGTGGGGGATATACTGACCAGAAATCATGGGGGGCATAGTGGTACTTGAAGAACCAGGGCCACGATGCTATACCGCGGTAGTAGTAGAACAAGACCCACTGCAACCCTTGCACGTAATTCTCTGTCAATTGTTTCATCTCTTCCTCGTTGTCAAGTCCCCAGCCGAACTTGGATCGATAATATGTATCCTTCCATTCCTGGAACTTTTCCTCGTACTTCTTCTCCGCAGCCTGCTGAGCTTCTTCGGAGGTCATTTCTTGAACATTGGCCTTCTCGTATTTTCGAATGATACGTTGAACAGCCAAAGTTGCTTCCTCGTCATCGTCATCGGAATCTTCGTCATTGTCGTTCTCGGGTTGCGGCAGCTGAAGTCTCATGAATCGATCACCAGCCTCATTTTCGGTGGTAGACCAGGGCAGACGAAGCGCATCCGCAAGCTGCTCCACGAAGGCACGATCGCGTGCTGGCAAAGTGGGAGGGAAATCCAAGGGTTTCGCCTCGGAGCCCTTCCCAGGCCGGTTGAGCACGTACTTTTTGATCTTTTTCAAGATCTCCTTCTGATCCGGAGTGATTGTCAGCTCCTTTGGCTTCGTCCGCAGCTCTAGTGAGCCATCATCGCCGTTCTTCTTGGACTTGATCCATTGGGCGTCGGAGTACTCGGCCTCGAAGAAGCGATACTCAACATTACTCAACACCTCAAGAAGAATTCCCAAGCGGTCCACATTGATCGTGCCCTCCTCATTGATGTAGCCACCCATCTTGCGCAAGACATCCTTGTAGATCTTAAACATCAGCGCCAGCGCACCCTCGTTAATATGCAGATTGGGCAAGTTGGGTAAGAAATCGTTTCCAACAAAGAATGCCATGAGGATGAAATCGTCAATCACACGCTCCATATCGAAGGGAAAATTCAAAGCACCTTCCTCCTCCAACTCCTGGAATTCTAATTCCAAGTATTCTCTAACGACGCTGAGATGCAAGAGATAGAAGTTTTGATGCTCGAGCTCTTTAGGTTTTTTGGACACTTGCCGACCGAATGTCACCTCCTCTCGCAGAAGACAGAAGTGGGGGTCGTGACTGAGTAGACCCAGCATGATCAAGTCAGCATCCAGACCGTAAAGACAGTGGCGCATATTGGCCTGATAATCAGGCTGTGCCTTCTTGCGCCGAATATACTCCATGATCTTGTGCTCGCCTTCACCAGGGACCTCATGACCCGAGAGCACGATCTCCACGCCTTGCCAATCTCTATCCTCAGAGATCTTCTTGTTGATAAAGTATTTCAGCTGTCGTGTCAGCTTCGCCATGAACTCCGTGCCCGGAGTGATACAATTGCTGTCGAAGGCGTCTTCCTTAGGCATTTCCATGCCCTGCTCAATCGCCTTCTCCTTGGCCTTCTCAGCATCCAGCGCCGTTCGGAATCGACGCGCGCGTTGCTGGTTCATTTTCGCACGAGGTGCGACGCCATCAACGGCCATGAAAAACAGCTGCTTGGGCTTGATCTTGCCAAACAAGTGCTCGATATAGTTGAAGATGGCGATAAACATCTGTTCCTCAGTCATACGGAATGTAGGCGAGTCGCTGTCGCTATGCGTACAGTTGTGGATAATTCCATTCATGTCAAGATATAGACTGTCGAACTCCGGGATGCGGCTTTCGGCGATGAGCATCGAGATAGCGGGGTACCGCTCGCTCAGCCAGCGAAAGAATTTTGGAACACCCATTGTGAATGTAGTAACGAATTAAGCGGTCGCGGCGGGTACTGGTACAAGGCAAGGGTAGGGGAGGTAGAAGGACAAGCGTAAGAGTTCAATCGTCACCCTAATGGGAGGAAGAGTGTCCACCAAAGGAAAGTAGGTGGGCGCAAATTGAGAGGACCCGATAATATTGCCACAATTATCCCCGAGAGATGTGGTGGGGTCGTTTCGAGAGGGAGGAAAGAGGAAGTGAGAGTGATGGTAGCTGAGGTTGTTGAGCTTGAAGTTGGCAAGAGTCATTGCCAAGCCCATATTCCCCTTTGGGACTAGTGTCGAGCGGCGCCCATTAACGCGGTCTCCCGACCTTGTCGCGTTTCGATCGCCCTTCGCACCTTTCCTTTCTACTGCGCTCTCGGCCCGTCCACTAGTACCATTCTTGTCGCATCTAGTCGCGATCGCACACTGTCGGAGATATGGAGCCTTATGAGGACGAGAACCGTGAGTTTGTCAGGGTTAAGCGGGAAATCTCGAGCTAACAATGAGCAGCTCCGATGGAGGAGACCGAGAAAGAAAGTGAGCACAGCAGCGAAAAGATTATCAATGAAGGTATCATTCACTTCTCACACTTCTTGTCCCGCATCTTGCGCAATGGCTAACTCGGCCCTATACATAGAGTACAAGACTTGGAAAAAGAATGCGCCGTTCCTCTACGACATGATGCTGAGCACAGCTCTGGAGTGGCCGACGCTCACTACCCAGTGGCTGCCAGATAAGCAAGAGTCAGTGCAACCAGATTTCTACTCTCGCTTTTACCTGTTCGGCTAACTCTCTGTCCGTCCAGAGTTCCGGACAAACCTTACTCAACCCACCGTCTTCTTATCGGCACACACACTGCGGGTGATGCCCAGAACTACCTCCAGATTGCGCATGTGCAGCTTCCCAATCCCAATGTGCCGAACCCCAAGGACTATGATGAAGACAAGGGGGAGATTGGAGGCTATGGCGGAGGTCCCAAGAAGCCTCAGATGGAGATCAAGTTCAACATTGTTCAAAAGATTGATCACAAGGGCGAGGTTAACAAGGCACGATACCAGCCTCAAAACCCTAATATCATTGCTACCATGTGTACAGATGGTCGTGTGATGATTTGGGATCGATCAAAGCACCCCAGCCAGCCTACTGGGACAGTGAACCCTCAGATGGAGCTCCTGGGCCACGAAGCCGAAGGCTTCGGTCTGAGCTGGAATCCTCACGAGGCTGGTCACCTCGCCACTGGTAGTGAGGACAAGACAGTCCGTCTCTGGTAAGTACATGCGCATTATCATCAAAGTGTAAGGTGCTAATACAAACCGAAGGGACCTTACCACCTATACCAAGGGCAACAAAGCCGTTCGTCCGACTCGCACCTATACCCACCACTCTTCCATCGTCAACGATGTCCAGTACCACCCTCTTCACTCATCTCTCATTGGCACCGTCTCCGATGACATCACTCTTCAGATTCTGGATGTCCGCGCTGCAGACACGACTCAGGCTGCTGCCTCCGCCACAGGACAGCACCGTGATGCGATCAACTCGATCTCATTCAATCCGGCGGCAGAGACCATACTAGCTACTGGATCTGCAGACAAGACAATTGGCTTGTGGGATTTACGAAATTTGAAAACGAAGCTTCACTCGCTGGAGGGTCACGCCGATTCCGTGCAGTCTGTCTCGTGGCACCCATTCGAGGAATCTGTGTTAGCTAGTTCCAGCTACGACCGCAAGATCATGTTCTGGGATCTCAGCCGGGCGGGTGAGGAGCAGACGCCCGAAGATGCGCAAGACGGACCGCCAGAGCTGTATGTACCCCTCAACATTGACCACGTCAATCCACGTCAATCCTGGAAGGCGACTGACCATTTTCTAGTCTCTTCATGCATGGCGGACACACGAACCGCATCTCTGACTTTAGCTGGAACCTCAGCGACCCCTGGGTTCTTTGCTCGGCTGCCGAAGACAATCTGCTGCAAGTGTGGAAGGTGGCGGATGCGATCGTGGGCAAAGATCTGGAGAATGTCCCGACTGAGGAGCTGGAGGCATAATTTGCTGATCTTTCTCGGAAAAGCCCGTTTGGCACTTTCTTTTCCTCGTGTGGTTGTAGACGAACCATAGGTTTGATCATAATGAATACCAACCAAACTACTACCATATAGCTACCAATTCAACAAATCTATGGACTTTTTTGACATATTGTTCAAGTATTGAATGTTGTTGTTCAGATCATTGCCCTGTGCTCTGTCGGTGCCCTATCAGGGAAATATGTTTCTGCTCTGGGGATATTACAGGTTGCAGAACCACTCCGATATGAGTCTGGGGTACCTAGAAGTGTTCTAATAGCCGCGGGGTTGTTCGACCATCTAGCTTGACACTAGATGATTTCCGTTGGGCTCTATCTGAGATAAAAAATCGGCGTGAGGTTATATTTTCCGACGAGAATGAGCTAGCTCAACTCAAAATATATTTAGCCACCACTCTGTTTCTCAATGATCAAGATTATTATTCCACTGTTCAGTAGGAAAATCTCATTCAATTGAGATCAAGGTCTTCATATTATCCGTAGATACCGTTGCTGGTAAAATCCCAATTCTTACCCACCATAAGTCAGCATAGCTGTCGCACTCTCCGACTGTCCGAAACCGCTAAGCGCGAAGGCGTGCCCGTGGGCAGACCGTTGCCACTGACAATTATTGGTGGAGAGAGAAAGCGGTGTCGGGAAAGATGAGGGGGATCGTCCTCAATCAGGCCTAGCGTCCCGTGATTTCGGATCGCATTTGCGCCAAAAAAAGTAGAGTCATCATGGCGATGCTGACCTGACTTGATCTTCTTTTTTAATTCTCGTCGGTACTACCGGTGCAATATTCTACAATTTTGAAAATCCCTACTTGTACATTTCCTTCACCATGGGTTCTGGTTCTCCTCCACCTTCGAAGCCATCAGCAATCCCGTCCCACATGATCAATGGCAATTCTCCCCTCCAGTCCTCCACAGCTGCAGGCTCGGGCTCTGGTACTCGGGCTCGCGATGCCCGTGAGCGTGAAAGTCTCAACTCCTCAATTCAGTGCTCTTTTGCTCCTCGTGTCCCCATTGAGTTCGACAACCTGGAGGTGGGACCCTCCCACGCGGGGGATTCCACTGCTACCGAATCCGCAGCTGCTGCAGCTATCGCCCCCAGCATCTTGAGTCTCCGGTAAGTATTGCTGCCAAAGTAGTCATACGGCTGACTGAATACATCTTTCTGACGATTCCACAGGGGTCGACCAACTCTGAATGACCCACCCCGCGACCCCAGGGACGAAGGCGGCCCATTGACCCCGCCGGCGACTGTCAGCCGCCCCGCCAGTCCGTATACCATGAACCCACCAATCGACTTTGACGGTCTTAGCTGGCCGTGTAAGTCATACGATCGAAAATTTTGCGGCCATGTTCTCTAATTATGCCATTTAGGCCCCGGAACACGCGAGCGATTGGAATCGACACCGGAGGAGAACGCGGAGCGCGTTCAGAAGCTTGCTGGAGCAGTGCGCACAATTCTCGAGTGTGTGGGCGAGGACCCCGAACGTGAGGGCCTTCGTGGAACCCCCGAGCGATATGCCAAAGCTATGCTCTTCTTTACCAAGGGATACGAGGAGAACGTCCGGGATCTGGTCAATGGCGCAGTTTTCCACGAGGATCACGACGAGTTGGTTATTGTGAAGGATATTGATGTGTTCTCTTTGTGTGAACACCACATGGTGCCCTTTACTGGAAAGGTATGTCCTGCATACGTCCCTGTTAGATCATTCTAACCATGTGGGGCAGATGCACATCGGCTATATTCCGGATCGCCGCGTGCTTGGTCTTTCCAAATTGGCCCGCCTGGCTGAGATGTTCTCCCGTCGTCTTCAAGTCCAGGAGCGACTGACTAAGCAGGTTGCTCTGGCCATCTCAGAGGTCCTCAAACCTCGCGGTGTCGCAGTTGTCATGGAATCTGCCCACCTGTGCATGGTTATGCGTGGTGTTCAAAAGGTCGGCAGCACCACGACTACCAGTTGCATGTTGGGATGCATGCGTTCAAGCGCCAAGACGAGGGAAGAGTTCCTGACTCTTCTGCATCGCAAATAATTCCCCATCTGCTTTCCTTTGCCCATTACTTTGACTGACTCAGCTCCGAGTCGGGTCTTTCACTTACTAAATTGGAGTTTCGGTGGTGACCTTTCAACAGGTGTTCTTAATGCTGGCCTTTGCCTCATTTCTCTAGCGTGGTTCTGGTATTTGCTTTCCATTTTTCAATTTCTTCTGCATTCATCATGGCAATATTTCGGATAAAGTTTGTCCTTGATGCCCAAATTTCGCCACTATCTTTGACTCTCGACGCCTCCACTGGTCTGTGACGAAGATATTTGCACCCATGAACGAGTTCTTCCTTCATTACCTGATTTCTAGACGCACACTATCCCAACGGGGCTTTTTTTGTTTGTTGGAGCTGTGATCTTGGATACTCAAAACCTCTGGCGGCGCCGACGAGGCTGTTTCAACACTTGATGTTTCATACTGTACTCTCAACAACATGATGCCAGGCTCTACCCTGTCTTCTGTATATGTCATCATATCCATATGTCGATATTATATGCATATCATTGATCTATTCTGATTATCAACCTCAAGATGACATTTCTACTGACCACCAGGATGACCTATATGTCGGTCATCTTAAGAAAAAGCTGGCACCGCAAATCATGTAGCGATCTCCCTTTTGTTCGATGAATGGCTATTGAGAACCGAAGACAACGTTCTGGTGCCTAATTGTCTAGTATTGTTGTTGTTTGTAGCCAAAATGCAGAAGGTGCCCGCTGCATTAACACGTCGCTCCTGTCATTTATCTTTCTTTCTCTTTGTTTCTTGGCCTTATTCTTCCTACTCCTTGTTCTGCCTCACTTTTGACTTTCACATTGATGTTCTGACTCTCCAGACCGGAGCACCTCAATCCAGATTGTATGAAACAGAGTCAATATTCCAGTCATGTCGCCCCAACGCCCCAGTCAAGTTCATGCAGACTTTATGCATGAGAATACTGACTCCCAGGAAGCCATTGCCCAGCACGACGGTCTGGACTTTTCGTTTCCTCTTTCCGGTACTCAAGGAGCAACTCCACACTTTCCAAGTGATGGAGATTCAACCCTGACCTTGCGTCCTACCAAGAGGATCGCAACTGCTCCTGCCAGTCCCCAACGCTCCCCAAAGCGCATCTTCCCCAAGAAAAGCCCATCGGTTCAATCGGCTCCAGCTGACTTGGCTTCTGCCTTCCATCCAAATGAGTTTGACTTCGCCATTACCGATGCCAACTTTCCCAATACTGCCAAGTCCACTGTTGACGCGACCGCCATCGCTGAATTTCTGAGTGCAATAGAAAAGCACCTTGCAACTCCGCCTGAACAGAGACGCACCCCTCGCCAGAACCTTCAATCCTTCTTGATTCAACAGCAGCTTGTCGCCGGAATTCCCGTTGACAAACTCGAGCCCATGAGTGGTCCTGGATCTCGTCAATCACAGGGAATTCCGAGGCTCTTCAACACACCTACTGCGTTGACATACTTTAACGATGCTACCTACATTCCCGCAATTCCACCTGCACAGTTCAATGGATCTGTTACTCCTCTCCCAATACATCCATCACTGCCAAACCCACCGCGTAAGGACAAGATACAGGATGAAAACGACCAAAGTGATCGCTGCCCGGCGACTTCTTCCCAGGACTCGACGACTTCGACTGGGTCTGCAACGGTGAACAACCCCCCCCACTCTGCGTTATACCACCGATATGATCGCTTACTTCTCTTCAGACGCAGAGCAGATAGCAATCTCAAATTTTTACACAACCCACTTCGCGACTGGTTCTGGAATTTTGGGACAGCCTGCTGCTGCGTCTCCTGCTGCGTCTGTCCTTGAGTCTACCACCATAAAACTAGGTCACGACTCGGAACATGAGATTCTATCACCAGTGGACACGTCTGAAAACGAACCAGAGAAGGAAGCGCTCTGAATCTACAACTCTGCCGAAGTCTATTTGCATATTGGTGGTCACAAGTTGTGATACAGATGTGCTATTGTACCCTCAAGTCGGAAGGACGGGGTGGCATGGGCGACCGGTTGATGGAAAAACAAAGAAAAAAATAAATAGGAGATGGTCACCACTATGGACAATGTAATGATACTGATCTATGAATGTGCCCATGCCCTCACCCTCTCCGAACGAGAAATTGTAGATCACATGACACAGACACGTGTCCCGGCTAAGCTCGACTCCCGCAGCGCAACCTCAGCCTGACGTGACATCAACACCACCTTCCATGTCCCAGTCACCAGGGCTTCAGTGGCGTACGTCTAATCAGCATTGTTGAACGAAGGAGACAACTCGGCCTTTTCAGATCATCTTCTTCTTTTGTTTTGGTGACTTTTGCGGGTGTGCAAGCCACAGCCCGTCCGGCCCGGTCTCAAGCTGACCTCCCTCTCCACGGGGGCGCAGCGGCTTTGGCGTCACACAGCTCGATGAGGGCTTCATGACTCTTCTCTAAGTCATCGAACATACATGGTAGGCCTTGGGACTCCTCTTTGAAATTGCGAACTTTGGGGATCACGCAACCACTGGACCAGCTAGAGGATCTTTTTTCATCGGCCCATCACACCTTTGTTCTGAGCTCTGTTATTTTTTGAGCTTTCCCTGGCGCACGAAACTCTGGGATTGTTTCAACTAGTCTCTGGCTCCACCCTGGGCCATCTTTTGTTTACAGCACCTGCAGACTTCCCGAGCAGGGATCGACCTGATGCATATAACTGATTTCACGAGACGATGAGATGGTGGGTTGGCTTGGTCGGAGGTTCAGGGGGGTTAGTCTCTTCTGGAGATACTGCGATATCGCGATGCTCGCATTCTTTTGGATAAACACATATGTTTATCTGCTGTAAACTACGGCCGTCACCGCAATGCGGTGCTCCCGTTTCATCACGACGATCAGGGGTCCTAACCATTCGGCAGTCAATTCACGGAGAATCTGTCACTTCGTTCTGATGAAAATACATTGCGGGAGACAGTCAACGTCATGCAGTGCCATGCCATGACATTGCCACATCGTCAAGATTGAAGGGCAAGACTCATGAAGAGCGTGACAAAGCTCACATCTGGTCATTCTGGCACCTACGTGCTTTACACGCGATACAATTCTTGCTTTATGCAATCCGTAGATAGATCGATCCATGAAGCAATGTGATCTTGCCTCAGGCCGACGTGCGAAGCCGGGTGAGGATCGAGGCAAACAGGCCTTCAATGACTCTGGAACCCCAGCAAAACTAACAACAGCAAGCTCTTCACTTGTGAGATTTCACATAGCACGAAAAGAGTGTCGACCAGATCATACCAAACCAGGCCAAAACTTGGTGCATCGGCTCCGAATCCATTTGTAGAGCCGCACGGGCAGCCACACATTCGCCTCTGACCACTCGGCGCCCTGGGTCCCATCACCTCGGAGCCATCTTCAAATGTCTTTCAGTAGCTCATTTCACTGATTCATAGAGAACCGGTGCGTATGAACCCAAAGCGAAGGGAACTCCTTGCTCACACAACAGGCTGTATAGTACGGAAAAACCATTGATCCGCAGGCCCCCCCCAAACCCGACGGTCTCGCTGAGAACGCGGACACGACAAGCGGCTCCACTCATTTGTGCTTCCCTCGACTGACTGGAGCGCTTCTCCATCATCTTTACCCTTTCTCATCCTTTTCTAGCCGCAGCCAGATGCCGCTGGTGACGCCTTCATGGCTGGGTCCCGAAGGAGTCCGCCGCTGAGAGACCAGTGGAACGCCGACCCAGATCGCGATCCCCGTGAAATGGACAGGCGCAGAGGTCGAGGGTCGAATCGAGATCGAGGCAGGGCCCGTCATCGCGAAAGAGGTCGTCATTCGCGACCTAGCGATCGTCATGTCGATTATCCTGCACGGTCGCCACCTGCGCGCGCTTCCCGCTTTGGCTCTGATCTATCTCACCCCCCCCAGCGATTCTGCTTTGGATCGACCCCTTCCGCGCGGCTCGCCTGGTCCTCCGTCAGAGTTTGACGACAATCGAGGATTAGATCATCCTCGACCATCATCAAGCGGTTGGATCGACCATCCATCCGGACCGTTGGACAAGGGCATTTCGGCATCTCGGCGTGACGAGTCGCCTCTTGCACCCCCGTCAAAGAGAAAGAGAACTCGCAGCCCATCACCTTACGGTCCGCGTGGCTCATATCATCCCCGGCGCCCATCCTTTGGCAAACAAGGCGATAGACGCGACCGAAGTCCCTCATTCAAGGGCCGAGGCCGGTTTTCGGGACGTGGTGCTCCTGGCCGGGGTGCTTCGAGGCGGAGATCACCCCGTGGACGCGGACGAGACCGTCGTGGGAACGATCGCCGCCGTTCTGATATTCAAAGGCTGGGCAGGTCCAAATCACCTGGTCGGGATAGAGAAACCCATCCATCACCAGACAGACATTCTCGCTCGCTGAGTGGTGACTATAGTGACCGAAATTCTCGCTATCGATCTCGGTCTGCATCACGACACTCAGCTCGCTCCGTGCACTCGAGGATGTCGACATTCTCTTCGAATTCACGAGGTCAGGATGGAATGAACTCGACTCAACCTATACAATCTATCATGCACAGCACAGCTCGCTCTCCCCCGCCACCTCGACCTATCCCAAGCTACGAATCTAGGAACATGAGTGGCCCTAGCGATGGACCCGCCAGCTCACGAGACGCATTTCCGATGCACGAAATGCGGTCTTCAGATGTACACAATAAGCAGCGCCGCCGGCCATCCCGACCATATCCTGACTCAAGACCATATCCGACGTCTCCAAATCTTGCAACGCCGACGGGCTCACACCAGGGATCACCACCACCCGCCTCTCCTTATCATGGTAGCCGAGGAGGTCGATCTGGACAACCTTCGTTGGTTGCATCTGGGTAAGTTTCAAATTCTGTTTCCTTTTCTTAACCTGATTTTGCACATGCTGATTTTGTTACCCTATTGAAGACCGTCTCCACCCAATCGACAGGATAATTACACTTCACAAAATGTTCCGTCGGGGCCGCAATATCACAATAACCACGGACATTTCGATGGGTCATTAAATCACCACCCCCAAGGCCCGTACAACGGACCCCTCCATCGAGGGGGCAACTCTGGGTTCCTAGGCAATCATACAAGCCAAGGCCCAGATCGCCGGTTCTCCGCATCCGGACCCCCTCACTTTACCAATGGGCCCTCGCACCGCGGAGGCAGGGGTACTTTCAACAGTTCACAATGGACTGCATCTGGATCTCGTGGCCGCAGTGGACCGCAGAGCCCTCCTCCGCATAGCCGTGGTTCGCAGACACCATCGACTCGTACTGTTCCTGCGAACGAACCGCATTCTCCTCAGGCACCCAACCCCGGAGCTCAATTTGCAGTCACAAAGAGGGATCGTGAAAGTGAAGATGTCAGGTCTCTACCACAGGCTGAAGGTGGTGGTCCTCATGATATGGCCCCGCCTCCCCGTGATTCTCACATTACTACTCCCGGGGAGAAGGGTGGGAAGTTCAGTTTCGCTCTTAAGCCGAAGACTGCACCAACTCTTACTCCGAAGCCAGTTCCCGAACTTGCTCAGCGAATGGTTCGTGAACCACCCTCTCGGGCACCCGAACCGAAAAGCCCTCGCAACCGATTAACGAACGGGCCCTTACCTAAGTTCAATCCTGATGCTCGTTATGACCGACGCGAACGGGACCGTGGACGCGACAGGAAGGGAGATCGTGACCGTCGAGACTTCCGACACCAACGAGACTTCCGGGACTCACGGGACAGTCGAGACATGCGAGATGATCGTCGCTTCGACCAGCGTCGCGATAAACGGAAGAATGACAAGACTGACAGACGTCCTGATTTCCCACTACAAGAACGCCGCTGGGATCCATCGCCAGAGCAGCCGAAAGAGCCACCGAAGCAGACCAAGATTGTTGTTCGGCCCAAGCCACGCCCAATGATGGCTAAGGAGTTTGCTGATGCCGACTCAGTCTACTACCGGAAGCCGGGCAATGAGTCTGTTATCGGAGCTGGCACTTACGGCAAAGTGTTCAAGGGGATTCATGTCTTTACTCAGCGCAAGGTTGCCTTAAAGAAGATCCGAATGGAAGGCGAAAAGGACGGATTTCCAGTCACAGCAGTGCGGGAAATCAAGCTGCTGCAAAGCCTTCGGAGCCACAACGTCGTAAGCTTGCTGGAGGTCATGGTTGAAAGGAACGAGTGCTTCATGGTCTTTGAATATCTTTCCCATGACTTGACTGGTCTAATCAACCACCCTACATTCTCCCTCACCCTCGCACACAAAAAGGATTTGGCCAAGCAGATGTTTGAAGGATTAAGTTATCTTCACCACCGCGGCGTTCTTCACCGAGATATCAAGGCCGCCAACATCTTGATCAGCAACCAGGGACTGTTGAAATATGCCGATTTCGGCCTGGCTCGCTTCTTCTCCAAGAGCCGCCAACTCGATTATACCAACCGTGTTATCACGATCTGGTATCGGCCACCAGAGCTTTTGCTAGGTGAGACTCGCTACGGCCCAGCGGTCGATGTGTGGAGTGCTGCATGTGTGTGTATGGAAATGTTCACCAAGAAGGCTGTCTTCCCTGGGGAGGGCGGTGAGTTGAGTCAACTTGATAAGCTTTACAACTGTTTGGGCACACCAACTCGCGCCGAGTGGCCGGACCTTGTGGAGATGCCGTGGTTCCAGTTGATGCGTCCAGCAGAGCGCAAGAAGCGTGTCTTTGAGGATCTCTACAGAGATGTTCTGTCCCCTGCGGCTATGGACATGATTGCCCAAGTCTTCCAATACGACCCCGCGAAGCGACCGAGCGCCGAAGTGGTCCTACATCACCCTTACTTCCTGTCCGAGGAACCTGTTCCTCAACAAGCCATCGAGTAAGTTAACCCGGCCTGACCTATATTTTTGAATCATGCTAACCGTTCTCCTAGACTAGAGCATATCGAGGGAGACTGGCACGAGTTTGAGTCCAAGGCACTTCGCAAGGAGGCTAGGCGTGCCGAGTGGCAGAGCCAAAAGGACCGTGAGAAGCGGAAGGCAGACTCATCCGTGCCGACCAGTGACCGCGATCCCAAGCGGGCAAAACAGGAAGATTCGGATCAGGTCTCTGGCCTATGATTGGGGAGTTCTTGGTGGAATGGCTTGCATCTACGATCACGGCAGAGCCTATTATTCGGGAATCTTTCGGGGGCTTATTTTCTGTCACATATTGCTCAGCGTCAAAATCACGTTATCATTAATATCATTGATGCAGATGTTTTCCGAGGGTATCTTATATACGATAGGGCTGAGGGAGAAGGCGTCCCACAGGCAGAACCTGGCTAAGATTGAAACATAGAAACGCGCCCAAGAAAAAGCAAACCATCCAGCTACATCGGCACTGCAGAGAATCCTTATTAGCTCGCACTACAGACAGTCGGTTGTACGCAGCGCTTGAACAGGGACAGCATCAGACTTTGCCAAAAGACCTCACGCCCTACCAGCCAGGATGTAGATGGCGGTTGGGACCTCGGATTACCAGAGAGCTCACGGAGTTTCTTCATTTAAAACGCGTAGATTGGATTGCATGCTATGGACGTACCCAGTAATGAAGCAATGAAGCATCGTTGGGAAGAAAAAAGGAGTGTCTCGTCAATCAGGTCATCAACGGGTCATGGTAGCTCGAAGGCCCTCGTGATGATGGTTTTAGATGCGAATTAATTTGCTCTCGACACACACATCGGAGATGACGGGGCAGTAGTAAAATGCAAACCCCAGCATTGATTTGAGTTGGTGGTCTTGCTGTTAAAGAAAGAAAGGAAGAAAAAGAAAACGAAAAGGTGAAGAAAAAGGCCGTTCGGATAAAAAGACGGAGCGGGCGGCAGGCGAGATGTGATCTGATTGGTGTGGATGGAGCTTCGAGTCGCCGATTCATCGTCTTCACCACTTTCAACCTTGACGAATACCCCTCCCCATTACTCGCTACCTCTCCTTCTTTCGACCCTCTATAGCGCCTTCTCTTCTACGAACTCGTCCAATACATTTCCTCCTGCTGCGACCCACGACCTTCATATACCCCTCCCGCCACCGACTCGCGTTCAAGCCCGCCTTCATCCACCCGCCTCGTTTTCTCTCCCGCTATTCCGGCCCTCTGCGCGCTCTCTACGTTATCGATTACCCTGTACGAGTATCTGTTTAGTGTGCCCTGTCAGTTTTTCGAGCTTCCTGTTCTCCCGGATGACCGCTCGTGTCCTGGACATCCTCACCCGCCGCGATGGATAATGCAAACCTGTGGACCCGTCGAGCAAAGTAGGACTTCGCTTTGTACACCTCTCGAAGCCGGAACTCTGCTTATGACCTTCTTCCTTTAGTTCTTCGAAATTGTCTTTGTCAATGTCTGGAACAGACGGCAAAGAAGGTGCCCGCGTCGAGATGCCCCGCTCATCGAAACGATTCGGCCCCGATAGCTCCCACGGGCGTTCCAACCCTTTTAATGCTATATCCCCGATGTCAACTGGCGTCTCGTCACCCTCCACTAATGCCTCCTCCGCCTTTGGCTTGGGGTCAGGTGCTTTCGCCTCATTCGGCGCTCCCAAGACCCCCGGTGGTTCAGACGTGAAAACTCCCGGTGAGAAGCGCGAATTCTCGGCGGAGCAGGAAGATGCCATCAGGGCTAAGGTTTTGGCTCATTCCCATGTTTCCGGGCCCGGCGAGAACCCGCTTAAGTCTACCTGGATTGTCTGGTACCGTCCTCCCACACCCAAGTACTCCGACTACGAGAAATCCACGGTCCCGTTGGCGTCCATATCGTCGGTTGAGAGTTTTTGGGCTATTTATTCTCATCTCAAGCGTCCTTCGCTGCTCCCGACGGTGTCGGATTACCACATCTTCAAGAAGGGTATTCGGCCCGTTTGGGAGGATGAGGCAAACAAGAGAGGCGGCAAGTGGATTGTTCGGTTGAAGAAGGGTGTGGCTGATCGCTACTGGGAGGACCTGCTGCTGGCCATGGTGGGTGACCAATTTGCGGAGGCTGGGGACGAGGTCTGCGGAGCCGTGCTGAGCGTACGAGGTGGAGAGGATGTCTTGAGCGTGTGGACACGCATTGATGGCGGGCGGAACATCAAGATCAGGTAGGACCGCATTTTTTTTTTTGCCCTGGGTTAGCTATGGAAGCTGACTGTCCTATCACAGAGAAACGATCAAGCGCCTGCTTGCCTTTCCACTAGACACCAATATCATCTGGAAGAGCCACGATGATAGCATCGCCCAGCGCTCTGCCATCGACCAGGCCCGTCAGGAAAAAGCCACTAACCCTAACACCCACCTGGGCACAGAACGGCGGCGCCCGACTCACGAAGACCCGGACAAGGTCAAGGGAGCCACTGCGTGAGCTTCGTTACCTTGTGGCCTTGAGCCCTGTATAGTAAACCCCAACAACACGGAGAAAAAAAAGATATTATGCACAACTTACTCATTGGGACGCGTTTGGTTCTGGGGGGCGGTGGGGCATCGTGGCGAACTCAGCGGTTTGTTTTAATTTATGTCTTGAGTGAACTCATTATGTCTGCGTCATCTTATTCATGCGTGATGCTTCGTTTCATGGTTTTTTCTTTTGTCTACGTCCCATTCATGGGAAAGTGCAGGTGCATTCTGTCTTGCTGGCGTGGGAATGTTGGTCTTCTTAAGGATTGTTAATCTAGCTGATAGCTGATTATGTTCTGGGTGGCTCCGAATAAAACCATCTATGACCGTACCTTCATTACTGGTCCTTTGTTCAGTATCATTCCACTTTTGTCACTTCTCGTGGAGACTATCAAAGTATCCTTTTTAAGTTGTCTCAATATGCATGCCTGACAAAACAGGCATTCATCTGACCGCCTAAGATAGACGATACGACGACGCAATCCAAGCGGCGAGAAAGTGGAAAAAGAGAAAAAAAGAAAAAACGCAGGATGGGACCAATGCCGCGCATGGTCCTCCCTTAATCGAGGCGCACTCTGGATGTCGTTCTTTGCGAATCTATCCGAGATTATCGCCAACTTGTCTCCGCGTCGCCCGCGTCGCCAGCCCGAGGCTCGTCGATGGTCTGACCCAGATTCACTCCGCCATTTACCTTCTCCCCGCCGCGCTTCTAGGTCTCCGAGCTTCAAAGCCTCGCGGCGTGTCAGGGTACAAAATAACGACTTTCCTCTGGATACTGACCTTGACGATACGCTATCTGAGACCCGTCTCTTACCAAGAAATACCGCCAATTCGCAGGTGTGTAATTCCCAAGATACACGCTGAGCGCCGTGGCAGAGCTTGCTCTGTCTTCATCCTGAAGGAATGCAAGCTTCCGGACTCAGCGTTCAATTACACCTACAGCTCAAACATAGCTCCTTCTTCTTTCACAGTCACCCACTTTTCTTTTCGACGTCGGAACTAACCTCTCTCAGACTATTCAAAGTTATGCCAACGACTCCTGCTCCTCCCCTGGACCTACTCATAACCACCGACGATCCCCTTCTTCGCAATTTGTCATAGATCTCACAGCCCGGTGAGGATATCCGACAATCGCGCACTCGCCGGCAGGCAATTACTAATGTTGCGCGCTTTGCTAAGTGGAGGCGAGACCTCGCAGATGTTGAACAAGGATCGGAGGCGTAATGACGCTCATGCTCAGGCCCGTCAAGAAGAAGCGAGATTATTGGGAGCGAGAGATTACAAGTATGTTGTGGGAAGTGGGGATGGAGGGGCGATGAACTTTTGCTGACCGACTGGGGTTGCGAGCTGCAGAGATAAAAATGCCGTGCCAATAACGCCTGGTGCGAGTCTTCAGAAGAACAGAAAAACTCCTGGGGTATGTTGCTAATATCTCGTGCTTGGTGTTTTTGCCTTCTCTCTGACACTTGGGTCTGTTAGTCGACGGCTGCGTTTAGACCAACGGATAGGATTTCCCATCGTGCGCGAGACAGTGGGCCTATTCGTGCCTCTGGAAAGCCGAAATGGTCGAAATCTTTGAATGAAAATCCTCCGCGATTGGATGATGCTCCTGATTTTGAAGAGTCGAACCGGCCGAGCAAGCGTCGACGACAAGACGATCACGCTAAAGTACTTGAGTGGGCAGATGGGACAAATGTGCCCTTGCCTCGAGTGTTATCACCTTCGAGCCAGGTTCCGGCAAAATCAACAAGCAACGGCTTGGCCAGAAAGCACGAAGAGTTCCGTGGCGTGGAAGACAGCATTAGAATCGATCGGAGCCCACAACTTCTGAGACGAGGTCGGCATACTCGTTTTGCTTCTGACGATCCCCCAGAAGAGCCTGTTACCTCGGTTCATTCGAACAGAGGAACGCAGGCCAACAGAAGACCGGACTTGCCTCAGCAATGTGTTCTCGATATTCTCGAAAACCATGATTGTGCTGCAAAGGACCTGAATGACCACATTGCTCCATTGAGCACCACCCAAGCCGTCTCTAATACCAGGGAAAGTCCAGATGAACTGCAAGGCGAAGCCACCACTCGAGCAATACCGAGCGTCCTTGATGACAAACAAAATAAATCCCGCCATAAGCTCAAGACGAACAAGCTTATGTCTCCAGTCCGAAAACGATCGCCATCTGATATACGAACTACCGATTTCGCGAGCTCGCCCTCTCAGGGGCCTAAGAAGCTCAAGCAGACTCACAAAACCTCAGCTAGTCGTGTCAAACTCAACTTGAACTATGTTCGATATGGCTCCATCGTCAAGACTGTCGAAGTGCATAGGCCGCGCTTTGTCAAGATGATGGCGGGAAAATTTGAACTTGAAGACTTTGAACCGCCAGGAAAGAATGTTGAAATTCTAACGCGAAATGTTCGAATTGCCTATCAAGGAATTGATCAAAGTCTGAAAGTCAGGCTCAAGCTCTCTCAAAAGTCCGAGTCTCCAGGTGACAGTATCGTCGACATTGAGTTTTCCACGCCGATTGATAAGCTACTGTTTGTGGAGCAGCTGGAGGGTTCTCAGATCAAAATCATAGACAGGCCAGGGTACGCCATTCGTATGAGCATTCTTTACTTCAAACTAGCTAACTTCCAATAGGTCGTACATGGACAAGGCTTTTGAAAACTACGCAAAGGAGATGAGCGAGCATTGCAAGCACCCCAAGCAACCTTTTCAGGGCTTCTCTGATTCTCAAACGGCACCGGTGGCACCAGCCGCGTCAAAGATCCGTCAGAAAATCTCTTCTGCTTTACAATATACCAAAGACGAAACCGAGGAGTCAAAACAAGTCAAAACCAAAACAAGCACTCATGATGATTCTGGCCAGATGGATGGCTCTGTTGACCTGGGAGAGAGGCCTAGCAACCTGATGAATGATTCTGATTCTGGAATCCAGATTCCTGTCAAGCCGTTCCGGCCACGGGAGTCTGATGATCAAGAGACTCGATCTACTCGGCGAACGACACGCGCCCTTGGAAATTCAATCGGCCTGGACGTCTCTGAAACCACCAGTCTTCCTCCCCTTATATCCCTCAAAGATGACGCTGCTCGAAAGAAATGGAAGAAGCCATTGGTATATCCTTGGAATGGGAAGAAAAAGGCCGAGGTTTGCGTTGAAGACCGGGACCGATTGCGTGAAGACGAGTTCCTGAACGATAACCTCATCGGGTTCTACATGCGCTTTTTGCAGGATCACCTCGAACGCACCAACCAGAAAGCTGCCGAAAAGGTATACTTCTTCAACTCTTACTTCTTCGACACGCTCACCAATACCCCGAAGGGTGAGCGCGGTATCAATTACAGCGGGGTGGAGAAGTGGACGCGCCACGTCGACCTCTTCAGCTACGACTATATCGTTGTTCCCATCAACCAGGCTGCGCACTGGTACGTTGCCCTTATTTGCAATTTGCCTAGCTTGGAGGTTGGAACTGCGGAACCCGTGCAGCCATCCTCGGCGTCTATGAGCGAGAAAGAGACTTCGAATCAGCCGGAAAGTGATGTACATGAGATCCTTGAGTCGCCTGAACCCGATCCTGAGCCCAAGCCTGTCCCAGTCCCCACTACTTCGGAAGAAAGGACGCGCAATTCCGAATCTCCGGGATCAGAGGATGCACGGCAATCTTTTGCTTCCATGACTATCCGAGAGCAGGAGAAAGCGCAAAAGGAGGCAGAGAAATCGGAAGCTCCAACCGAAACCGACGAATGGCCTGAAGGGGAAGAAAACCAAACATCGCCTCCTGTCACGCTTTCTCCCTTCAAGGAAAACACCGCCGAGCCTCAATATACACATCACTCGACAAACGATGCGGCCCGCAAAAGCAAGAAGGGAAAAGCTGGACCAAGGCTGAGCCCGAGCCAGACAACAATTGTCACATTCGACTCTCTTGACCTCGGTCGCTCACCGACGATCAAGATGTTGCGAGACTATATTTGCAAAGAAGCTAGTTCCAAACGTGGTGTCCAAATTGATCCGACAGCCATCAAGGGCATGCGCGCTCGCCAGATCCCATTGCAGCCCAATTTCTCCGACTGCGGTCTCTACCTGTTGGCGTATGTTGAGAAGTTTGTTCAAGACCCCGACTCATTCATCTCGAAGCTCCTGAAGCGTGAAATGGACCAAGTCAATGATTGGCCTCCTTTGGGCTCAGGTCTTCTTCGACATCGGCTGCGCAAGTTCCTCGATGATTTGTACGATGAGCAGGCTCGTATCAAGAACATGTCGAGTGGTCAGACAATCATGGCAGATCAGCAACCGGTTTCATACTTGCTCGGACCTCCAGTACCGAGTCAAGCTGATCCTGACGAGAAGGGCAATGCGGAACCTCGGCTCACAGATGCTACAAAGAACACGAGGCTGGATCAAAGGCCTGCCCTTGAAAATATTGTTCGACAAAGTGATAAACCAACCAATAGATCTGTTGCAGATCAGTCCAACTTGGTGCCCGCCCTCTCTACTACCGCCTCTGACTTGTCAACGGGAAAGAAGGCGCCTGGGCTGCCTCCCGCAGATACAGATACCACTTCGCGACCCACCTTGCCAGAAGACGAAAAAGAAGTTGTTGAAGTGCCGGACAGCCAGGAGACCGGGAAAGCACCAGGACCAAAGCCGGATCGTGCTGAGAAGAAGAAGGCTGCCAAGGTAGAGGAAGTCCCCACTGACAACAAGTCAGAGCGGAAGAAACCCACTATACCTAATGACACAGACGTTGTAAATGTCGAGCAGCGCTCCCCGAAGAAATATTCCGACGGTTCCCAGGTGCAAGTGCAAATCCAGGTACGGCGCACACCACCCCGAGTTCACCAGAGCATGTGCGAAAGAGCCCACGGGGAAAGCCACGCAGAGATTGAGATCACTTTGTATTTGATATCTACTTTTTGCTGCGTGATACCCCTATGGAGCAGGAAGCGGCGATCCAAGCATGTTGCTACGCCCTAATTTCGGTGAATCGTAACTTGCTTTATGGAGGGGGAGTAGACAGTGTTGAATTGTCGAATGAGGATCATTTCGGCCGTTGAGTTGTTAACGCACGAAGATACCAGCATCTGCATCATAACAATATATTATCTATATCTATCTCTGGCACCCTCTACCACTGACTCTCATCAGCATTAACCCACCATGCCATCTTATCCTTTTTAAATGTTTCGAAATCCCATTCTGCATCCTCCAGCCTTCCTTCCCCGGCCACCCAGACATAAGTCTTCGCCTGAACTTCATCGCCTTCAACCTTTGATTTCTCTTCTGTCGCATCCAACACGTCCTTTAAACGTGCCTCCAAGGCCGACTCATTCCCCCCCCGGTATCGACTCCCCAAGCACACGCACAGTAACTGGGTCTCGAGTATACTCATCCCCCTCATACATATCTAAACGGTGAACGTCACCGTCCGTCAGTCCAGAGACAAGTGTCCCTAGCACGGAAGACCTAGCCGTAGCCTTTGATGCCGGTACAATGCCTGGGTAGTCTGCACCCCGCACACGATGGCGCCGATAACCGAGCAACACAGCTGGCTGGAATCGAAGCATCGTTTTCTGCCAGAGTTCGGGCTCCCTACGCCCGTGAATTACTCGGTGTAGCACCTGCGGTGCCATCAGGGTTCCTAGCTTTGTTAGTCTACGACAGCGGCATTTAAGACCCAGGACTAACTCACCATAGAAGAAGAGGACATGGTCACCCATTGTCACCTGGTGGATGCGAAAATCAGGATTCAAAGGTTCTTGGGCTAGTAGAATATGAGAAGAATGAACAGAAATTTTGACAAAAAAAAGAAAGACTCCCGAGTCAATAGAGCGGAAAGCGGACCGGGACACAGATATACCGCGATAAGATACCTAGATACATTCGCGCCAGCGCCAAGTCGTTCCTGAAAGAACCTGTCAACGCAGCTTTCTAAATATTCACTGACACTGCTTCGAGTGCAAATGGCTCACTGAAAATAACAAGGACTAGTGCGCAACGTCAATTCTCCAGGTCGTTGCCGGCGCGCATTCATTTCCTCCCAACTTCTTACTAATTGGGGCTGGAGCTCCCAATCACGCCTCGGTGGCTTCAACCCTCGACAACTCAACAATCCCGCATTGTCACCACCACAATGCACTCATCTCTCAACCGCTTGCAAGCGGTGTTTGGTTTTTTCACCACCGTCGCGCTGGTCGTCGCCTGCCTAGCCGCGGTCTCAGTGGTTCTATTCCCCAGCGATGCCACGGCATCCGTTTCGCTAAAGAACGTCCAAGTGTAAGTTTTCATCCACCCAACGACGCGCACATCGCATGCCTCGTAGACCTCCGAAATACCGCTACGTCCGCAAGCTCCGCGATGCTAATCTCGTCCGGAACACAGAACCAAGGGTCGCCCACACTACTACTCCACAAAACGCGAAGAATACGCTCAACTCCGCTTCGACCTCGACGCAGACCTATCCCCTCTCTTCAACTGGAATACCAAGCAAGTCTTTGTCTACGTCTACGCTACCTATTCCTCCTCCGATAAGACGAACACCCTGGTCCGTCCTTCTGAGGCTATTATCTGGGATTCTATCATCGAAGCCTCGCCATCCCCTTACTCATGGGACGTGTTGAAGGAAAAGGCCATCTCGGTGCTTCCGGCCTCGGTGACTGGAAAGACGAAGCGCACCACTAAGAAGGCGAAGGCGAACAAGAAGAATGTGAAGAAGGAGGAGGCTCAGTCGGGTCTGCTTAGGCTGCGGGGACAGAAGGCCAAGTATCAGATCAGTGATATCACAGGGAGACTTGCGGAGAGGGGCAATGTCACGCTTTCCGTGGGGTGGAATGTGCAGCCTTGGGTTGGTGCTTTGTGGTGGGCGCCTGCGACTGGGGCGGTGCCGAGGACACAGGGGACAATTGTTTCGAGTGAGGCGTTTGATTTCCCGGCATTGAAGGGGAAGAAGGTGGAGGGGCAGCAGGAGAGTGTTTAAATTTGGCTGTTTGATCTGGCTTTGGGGGAAAAACTTGGGTGTCCTTGGATAAAAACACAATCTACAATTGCATATGATTGCATGACGCATTCATTCAGAGGCTTGAGAGTGGTCCATTAATATCATAAAATTCGCTTGGGTAGTTATACTATGAAAGAATGGGAATCCATCAACACGATCTTGCAGAAGAAAAGTCGTAAGAAAGGACAACACGAGAAGCAAAGGATAGCGAGTCGTCATTAGTGGTACGAACACAGACAAATCGTGTATTGAATGTCTTAGACTGTGCCATAATTGCGCGGCGTGTCATGGTGTCCACCATTTTGAATGCGTTCGGAGTAGACTCCCGGAGCAGGGCGCTGCGTGGCGCGGATCATCGGGTCGCGGTTGCGACGCTCATAGTAGACGTATTCCAGATAAAATGCATGGATGTGACCCGGGAAGTCCTGGAATCTCGAGTTAGAAGTCGGACTGGGGACAAGTCGCAATGTAGTACGCACCCGAGAATTGTGAGCAGGACGTTGATCCAGAAGTCGACGCCGCAGCCAGAGATCATAAAGACACCGAGCGGGGGAACTGCATGCCTCGTTAGCGGAGTCCGGGCCGTACAGTTCTGCGCCTGGCGTCCAGGCAGCAGGTATTGCTTATTGCTCTGGTTTGCGGGCTGTCCTCCGTGTAGGAGAGCGTGACGGATCAAAGAGCTGGTCGAACCATTCGTGCACGAGAACCAAGGGAATGAGGACACTTACTGAAGAGGGTGATGATAATCAAGCATAGCGTGGAACAGGTGCCTGCCATGGTGGAAATTGAAGGTGGATTGGACGGGAGGTCACTGTTCTGGTGTGGCTGAAGGCTCGGTCGTCGCAAAGAAGCTAAGGAGTACAATCAAGAAGAGAAGAGGGAAGATATAAATAGGGACCAGGTCGTCCATGGCGGAATCGAGGCGTTTCATGATCTGCAAGACGTCACGGGGAGTCAGGCAAACACATCGCGTTTCATTGCTGTGATAGGGCTGAGGCGGGCCGTGCCAGTGACGTCATGATCACTCGCGCCTAGTTGACCTGCGGTCCCTTTATACTTCTTGCCTACACTGTATGTATATGCATATATGTGTGAATACATATATATCTATATGTACATATTCACTTGTATACTCTCTCGCCTTCCCTCTTTTCATGTCGTCAAATATGTCGTGGAGAGAAGTATGGTCCACAGAATTTAGCGTTTCGTTCGACTGATGAACTATTAAATACGCTTTGAGAAGTTAGAGACTATGACGCACATGCGTGGACGTAAAGCATGAGAATTTCAATCATTGAGGGAATAATAAAAGCAAAAACATAAAGAGAAGTCTACGGGCCTTGAGATACTATTAGTAGAAGAGACTTAAAAAAATAATCAAATGCACAAAGCCTTTACGCGCCTGATTACTTCTCTGTCGGGCTGTACTTGAAGCGCGTCGTGATTGAAAGTACTTTCACCACTGTACATAGATTCAGGATAGATTCAGGATACCCGAAAACGCGTAAAAAGAGAGCGTCATATATAACCATCAAACAGCATCAATAGCTGCCCGTGTCGTCACCTGTTCATTCTTATTGCCAAGTTTCGAGATTTGCAGAAAAGCATCAACCCCGTAGCCTTCCAGGCTATGCAGCTCCAAGCTGCCCGCCCAGTATTCCGCATACACGCGACTCATTGGAAGCCCCATGCCTAGTCGCAGATTAGGAGGTCGCGACGTCAAACTATCGAGGGATCCTTCATGGTAGCTGGGGTCCCGATGCGGTTTGCGCTCGGACACTCTGAGCTCCTGCATGGTCGCAGCCATTGCGGGCACCTTTTCCAGGTTCTGCAGCCGCAGCTGTGTCCGTGGACCCTTGCTGAATGACCATAGATACGGCAAGATCTCTCGAGGAATCCCGCCGCCCTGATCGGAGATACGCATGATGACGTGCTGGGGTGTCTCGCACACGAGCACCTCGATGGGTGGAGGCTGGGACGAGGAGTCGTGGTACTTCTCCGTCACAGCCTGGACGGAGTTGCGCAGCAGTTCACCTACAATGTACTCGAGGTGGCTGAGGATGTATGGGAATGTGGCATCGACGTGGCCCTGCACCTTAATTTCGGGGAGCTGCATTGACGGCGACATCTTTCGCATCAAATCATGTGCCACTCTTCCGCATCTTTCGACAACCTCTTTGGCTTTACACTTTAAGAAAACCTCACCCACAAAGTCTGCGTTCATGTCGGTTCTCTCGTGAGAGTCGGGGAAATGCCAGGGTTCGTTGAAAGTGTCTGTAAGAGCCAGATGCTGCTCTGCAATGACACGACGGGAGATACGCTACCCCAGGATATCAGTCACGGTTCTCAAGCGCAAGATTACTCTCCAAAACATACCGCTCGCAGGAGTGTGTTCATTAGCCGGTCCATCTCGTCCGGTGGAAACAAGTCACGGCACTCCAACACACCGATTGCCAAATTGGGGATCACGACAAGATGCTCTTTGAGCATCTCGCGCAGGACATCGCAAAATCGATCATTATCTTCCAGGCTGCAGATCTCGGGGATGACACGGAATCGCTCGAAAGCTTTGTAGTACAATTCATACACGAGAGACAGATGTGGGTTGGCGACGACAACATAGGGCAATTGTTGAATATCTCGTAGACGGTGCGCGAGACTGTCGTGAATGTTAGTGGATAGATTGTTTTCCTCACGAGCCGAACACCTACCGAGTGGGCAGTTCCGTCCGCACGTAGTTCGCCGAGCTGATCAGTCGCGGCTCAGTCAAAGTACGACCGAAGAACGTCAATTGTCGAAGACTTATAGGGCGAATTTCTCGCTCAGCCCATCTAGTGCCGTTAGTATGGATACCTCACACGACCAGGTGGAGTCATAGTCATACTCATCCAAAGCAGAAACGGGCCGCCATGGCGGCAGCTGGCCCGAGTAAAATCGTGGCCGGGGAGCACGCAGGGTTTGCCAGCATCGTGCTGAAAGACTCGACCGCATTGTGCTCCATGCAGTCAAGTCGGGGGCAAAAGGGCCACCTGGGCGGTGATCTTTCGAATGCGGGAAAAAGAGGAGCGTCTGCATGTGCTCGGCTGGGCGGTGAGAGGGGTAGACATGTGACGTAGAATTTGCTGTGGCTTTGCATCATGTGCGCTTTTCGAGATGGAATTCGTGAAATATAGATGGTATTTTGTTTTAACTGAATGCCAAAGATACCATGGGCGGTGCTTTTACTTATAGACTGAGCTAAAGCTGACCGTTGGAGCCCCCTGGTGTGTAGCTGCAGGGGGCCTGAAGATACTGTCACCTTCAAGGCCCGAGCCGACCGGTAAAATGATGCAGCTGTGAGATAAGAGTGAAAATCATCGGAGAAACCTATAGGATGTATCTACGAGTAGAAACTACTGATCCTTCTAGTTCTTGCCAGGCAAGATACCTCCAGGTACAGAGACAGCTAGGGTTCTAACCGTTAGGTACCTGACAAGCACATAGCCTGGGCTATGCAATCAATTAGGCCAGGTAGCATATTGACCCAATAATACGTCAAAATTGGAATGGCCGAGCCCCGATCCCTGAATAGAAAAGGCAGAGCCATAAATCGGAGCTTGTGAGAAGAGAAATAAGCCTGCTTTGTTTTATACTTGCACGCCCCGCCGTTTCGATTCCCTGCCGAGCGAAGGGCTCCGCCACCGCTAGCTCCGGCCCTCGTTCTGCGGGTTCAGAAGAATTTCCTTCCGACAACGACTTTCGGCCTTACGTCTCCTCTCAAATCCCCCTTTCATATCCCTTCCGACAGGTGCCTTCCGGCTGGACGGGAAGGCCCCTTTTCGCCATGGAAAATGTGTGTCCGACCGTACCCCTCGGTGTCGTCATTGCAGATCTAACCACCTTCCAGCTCGCGGAGAACGACATGCTCGTCGATGAGTATGAGCAGTACCGCAATGAGAAGACCGACGTCGTCGTCGTGTCCCGCTCCGGCTCTGACGAGCCCGAGCCCGCCCCGTCCGCTACTGACCGTATGTTTTCACTCATCACCCTGTCCCCTCTCCGACGCCGCGGAACTACGAGCGACAGCCATGGTTGTGTCAGATGGATAGAAGAGCGGGATCATACGTGGTGGAACTTCGAAAAACATTTGCCCCGATTTCAGCAGCTCGTCTTTGCGGTGCCGGGCCATGGGAAACAACCGGCTAACCAAGACTGAAACTTAGATGCCGCGATGATGGAGCGTGTCCTCCCGAAAAACCCTGATCTCGAGACCGAAGAGGAAACCTACCACTCATGGCACATCGAAAATTGGAGGAAGTTGGACCGTAAGCTTCACGGCCCGGTGTTCAAGTGTGGCGGATCTCCCTGGTGGGTGATAAATCCTAGCAGGTCTGCGCTGTCGAAGCTGACCAAAGAACAGGCGCATTCTCTTCTTCCCCTATGGAAACCATGCTGAGCACGCTTCGTTCTATTTGGAGCATGCCTGGGAGGGTGAACCGCCTGAAAACTGGTACGCCTGTGTACAATTTGCGCTTGTTTTGTCGAACGTTAAGGATCCCTCGATGCACGTTTCTCACGGTTAGTCCCCCCTTCTGTCTATTTTCCCTCTGATGTTTTCGCCAAAAACCACTTCCGGTTTCTCAATGTACCGTTATTGGTCTGAACGGGCTCTAAACTAACCTGCATGCAGTCGCTACCCACCGTTTTACCGCCGAGGAGGGAGACTGGGGTTTCACTCGATTCTACGACCTCCGAAGTTTATTCAATGAAGCGTGGGAGGGCAAGAATGTTCCTTTGGTTCAAGACGACGAGGCCATCGTAACGGCCTATGTGCGCGTTGTGAAGGACCCCACTGGTGTTCTCTGGCACAGTTTCCAAAAGTAATTTTCCTCCTCCCATACTAATGGTTCTCGCTGACCATTTATAAAAGCTATGACTCCAAGAAAGAGACCGGTATGGTTGGTCTCCGAAACCAAGGTGCTACTTGCTACTTAAACTCTCTGCTTCAATCCCTATACTTCACGAATGCCTTCCGCAAGGTATGTTCTCTGCTCTCTCTTGATGAACCTTGCTGACCCCGCATAGGCTGTGTATCAAATCCCCACCGAGAAAGAGGCCACGCGTGACAATAGTGCTTGGACACTTCAGAGACTTTTCAACAATTTACAGACCAGCGACTCGGCGGTTTCTACAACAGAACTCACCGTATCCTTTGGCTGGGATTCGAGACAAGCATTTGAACAACAAGACGTACAGGAGCTGTCACGAAAGCTCATGGAACGATTGGAGGTGAAGATGAAGGGCACAGTTGCCGAGAAAACCCTCTCCGATCTTTTCGTCGGCAAGACGAAAACATACATTTCTTGTGTTAATGTGCCTTTTGAGTCCTCCCGCGTGGAGGAATTTTGGGATATTCAACTCAACGTTCGGGGCATGAAGACCCTGGATGACAGCTTTAGAGACTACATTCAGGTCGAGCGCTTAGATGGAGAGAACAAGTACGATGCTGGTCCGCCCCACGGCCTACAAGACGCGGATAAGGGTGTCATCTTCGAAAGCTTCCCCCCAGTTCTGCACCTTCACCTGAAACGTTTTGAATACGACCTCAACCTCCTTACGATGATGAAAGTAAACGACCGACACGTATTCCCGATGGAATTTGATGCTGCACCTTATCTCTCCAAAGATGCCGATTTTACGGAGCCTTGGGACTATGAGCTCCATGGTGTTCTTGTGCACAGCGGTGGCCTTGACGCTGGTCACTACTATGCATTCCTGAAACCTTCACAGGATGGTCACTGGTACCGCTTTGACGATGACCGTGTAAATCGAGTTACCGAGAAGGAAGTTCTCGAGGAGAATTACGGAGGGGAGTACGAACTTACGAACGGAAGTGCCGGTGTCAAACAGCCCTTCACTCGTCAATACTCCACGAAGCGATCGATGAACGCTTACATGTTGGTTTATATTCGCAAGTCGCGAGTGAACGATGTTCTTCTCCCGATTGGCCAAGACGATGTGCCTTCTCATATTGAAAAGCGCCTGGCCGAAGACCGCGCAGAAATGGCACGTCGCAAGAAGGAAAGAGAGGAGGCTCATCTGTACATGAACATTGGTGTCTTGACCGAGCAGACATTCCAGTCTCACCACGGATTCGATTTGACCAGTAACGATTTGTCCCAAGAAGACCCAGCCCTTCCTACCCCATACCGGGTTTTGCGGACAAAGAAGGTCAGGGAATTTGCGCAGGAGATGGCCGAAGAACGGGGACTTGATGCGCGGGCCATCCGCTTTTGGGTAATGGTCAACCGTCAGAATAAGACCACTCGGCCAGACCAGGTCATTAAGGACCAGGAAATGACCGTCGAAGAGGCCTACACCAAGTTCGGCACCAAGGGAAACGTTTTCCGTGTTTGGATGGAGGTTGCTCCCAGTGTCCCTGAGGGCGACAACCCCCCATGGCCCGACAACGACACAATCCTCGTCTTCCTGAAGAACTTCGACGTGGCCGCTCAAACCCTGACTGGTGTTGGTCCTGTGTATGTTCGCAAGAACCAGAAGGTATCTGACTTGGCGCCTACTATTCTCTCCAGAATGAAGTGGCCTGCGGGCACCGAGTTTTTGCTGTTCGAGGAGATCAAGCACAACATGATCGATGTCATGAAGCCTAAACAGACATTCCAACAATCTGAGATCCAAGATGGCGACATCATTACCTTCCAGCGCCAGGTCAAGGACTCGGAGCTTCCGTCTACAGTCATTTACCAAGATGCCAGACAATTTTATGACTACCTTCTGAACCGCATGGAAGTTTCCTTCGCTCCCATCAAGTCCGTCGAGGGTCAGGAGTCCGCCGAGTTCACGCTGACTCTCAGCCGGAAGATGACCTACGATCAATTCTCCAAGAAAGTGGCTGAACACCTCAATGTGGAGCCCACGCATTTGCGATTCTCGCCTGTTCTAGCCAGCAACGGCAAGCCCAAGGCTTCAATCAAGCGGAACGTCACTTCTACCCTTGCTCAAATTCTTAGTGGGCAATATGGTACTTATGGTTACACCATGCACCGGCCTGATGCTCTTTACTACGAAGTTCTGGAAATGAGCCTCAGTGACTATGAGAGCAAAAAATGCATAAAGGTCACATTGCTCCCCGAGGGCATCACCAAAGAGGTAAGATTCTATCCGTCGCTTTGCCTCGAATTTCCACTAATTCGATACAGGAAGTTGTCGAGGTCCTGGTTGCCCGTAACGGCAATGTCGCCGAAATTTTGTCTGAATTGCAGACAAAGGCAAACTTGAACGATGAGACTGCTCATGATCTGAGACTCCTCGAGGTGATGGGCGGAAAGATCAAGCAGGAGCTCCGAGACGACTATAGTGTGACGAACATCAATGATTACTCTACTCTTTATGCCGAGCGCACTCCGGCTGAGGAGTTGAACAAGGATGATGAGGATAGAATCATCAGTGCCTTCAACTTTGACCGTGAGCCTAGCCGCACCCACGGCGTTCCGTTCAAGTTTGTTGTGAAGCCGGTCAGTGTCTCTCCGTCCTGCCCCAGAGGCTCTCTTCCTATCGCATACTAACGTTCAATAGGGTGAGATCTTCAAGAAGACCAAAGAGCGTCTCTCAAAGCGCACAGGGATCAAAGGCAAGCCTTTCGAGAAGATCAAGTTTGCTGTTATACCTCGTGCGTCCTTCTCCAGTCCCAAGTACATCGAAGATGGTGAGTCGTTTCGTTCAATTGCCGAAGTTTATTGAAGTGGGTTGTTGACGACCTCTACAGATGACATTCTTTCCGACATTGCTGGTCCCGAAGATTATCTTGGCCTTGACCACGCTAGCAAGAGCCGGGGCTTCTGGGGTAGAGACTGATAGCTTCTCCATCCGATAAAGTAATTTCCTGGGCGCTGCGGGGTTTTTGTGGGAGGGCTAGATGCTGCAATTCCGCACATGAGGCAGTGACAGCCTGCGACGACTATCTTTTTCATTTTCCATTTCCATTTTTCAACGCTTTTCATTCTTATGTCCCCAAATGTTTTCCTTTTGCTCTCGTTAGTACAGGAGTAGAAAAGACGTACAAAATGAAGTTGATTGTTGGGGTGCAAACATTGCAAACAGCGGACCCCCGTCTGCATCGAACTCCTGACACGCTACGTTAATCCGTCAACAATCAAGATCGAAGGTCTAAGGCACAATGCGCTTCGCTCTCCTCGCCGGCCTGGCCTCCCTGGTCTCCTCTGTCACTGCTACTGCTTTGACCTACCGCCTTGAGGCCAACGAGAAAGCATGCTTCTACACCAACGTTGACACTTCCAACGCCAAGGTGGCTTTCTACTTTGCGGTTCGTACACCACTATTGAACGCCTCGATCTCTCGGTTTCTTCCTAGAATCAAGGCATTGTGCTATCAGTTACTAAGGCTAGCTCAATATAGGTCCAATCCGGCGGCTCCTTCGATGTCGACTTCACCGTGACCGCGCCCGGCGGCAAGGTCGTCCTTGACGGCACCAAGGAACGCCAGGGCGACTTTGTCTTCACAGCCCAGAGCATCGGCGAGTACCAATTCTGCTTCAACAACGAGATGTCGACATTTGCCGAAAAAATGGTGGACTTTGAGATTGCCGTACGTTACCGTCTGTCCTGTTCAACCTGCATGCCACGCGTGCTCTTAGCCCCTCTACCACCTCGTCAATCACACAGACGAACCATCAAATCTGACATACAAGCAGGTTGAGAACGAGCAGCGCGCCCAGCTTCCCTCCCGCCAGGGTGCCAGCCCTGAGCAGACTAGCAACCTTGAAGAATCCATCTACAAGCTGTCCGCGCAATTGTCGACGATCTCGCGTAACCAGAAATACTTCCGCACGCGTGAGAACCGCAACTTCAGTACCGTGCGCAGCACCGAGCGCCGAATCTTCAACTTTAGTGTCATTGAGTCTCTTATGATGATATCAATGGCTGCTTTGCAGGTGTTTGTGGTGCGCTTCTTCTTCCAGGGCGCTCGGAAGGGTATGTTTTTCTCACTGTCTCCATTTTTCGGTCGAATCAGACAAAGATCAGATCGAGGTCTTTTTCGATGAAAATTTCTAGAGGGGAAGTTATCTATGCTAACTTTGCGAACAGGTTACGTTTGATGATTGAAGTCAATAATACGATGACGATGCATTCTATTCTATTTGGTCATAATTGGCGTGTCGTGTATTCTTATTACTCTCCTATAGGCTAGAGTAATTGCTTCAATCGCATTTAAATCGGGATACTTGTTGAGATGACATTGCTATTTGCCTCATTGCTGATCTTCCAGGTATAGTGACCCACCGTGAATGACTTTTATCTATCTCTTTGTGTTTATTGGACTGTCTGTGTCAACGCAGAGGCGGTAGAAGGTGCGTAGCAGGTTTTTCGGGGATATTGGAAAAAGCGTTGGGGAAACCGACCGGTTTCCCGCTGCTTCAAGTTTCTCAATCGTCTGGCCACTTGCTGATTACTGGCTCCAGGAAAGGGGGAGGCCATGTAGGTCCACCAGTGTTCGAACTATTTGGACTAGTCGTACTTGTTCAGGATGGGAGCTGCGGTGGTCGGACGCGACATCGCGATCCACAGGTGCTTCACGAGGGAGAGTCGAGGCATTGCTGAAACCTGTCTGGGCAGCGTCGTCAGTTATGATCAGTGTCATGGTGAGGTCAAGGCTGGATGGTGCTGCGGGAATTCAGCGAGTACTGCAGGTCAAAAGCTAAGCTTGGGCGATGAGCATCGCGCAAATCCGATGAACAGGTCTTTCCTCGATTTCAAGGGCTGGCATTGTCATAGTGACATCAAGCCAGGACAGGTGCACATCTGGATATTCCAGACTTTGAAGGGAGATCATGAAGACGAAAGAGGAGATGTTCGACATGAAGCCCTACTTGGGCATCATGCAGCCCGGGTGGTTCCACGGACTCGGTCGATTGTCGGTCGGTTCGCTTGCAAAAGGGCAAATTGCACAAAGCAATAGTCATTTCAATGTCCTGTCAGGGCCCGTGAACGTCAGGTTCCATGAATAGGGCGTGGTGCACAGTTCACTATGCCAACAAAACAGGTTTCCGTCGTCATCAACAGTTACCATTACCGAACGTACTATGAGGAATGCAGGGTACGTCGAGAGATCGGTCTAGAAGCAAAGACCGAGGGAGATAATGGAGACATGAAGATCTGCGAGAAATGATACCACGTACGAAACCCGATGGTGCCACCGCGAATTGGGTGGTAACAGCCGGGTGATAGGAGGCTCAATAGAGGGAATTTGCTGCGTCCATGGTTCAGAGAGTGTTTCAAGTTCAATGGGCTCTATCAAACCGACTTTTTCGCCATGACTTCATATGGTTGACTCCAAAGCGTCCTCTATGCCGGAAAGTCGCCGTATGAAAGGGGTGATATCATGGCAAAGCAGCGACCGGTGAGCAGCAAAAACCCACCATCCATCGTCATTCTTGCGTCTTTGTGCCCCGATACGGGCAAAGTGAGACTACGGGCAATATGTCGACAATAGGGGGTTCGAAATTGGCTTCGATATTGGCATAGTGATATTGGCATCGAGTGGTCGAGGGGCTGTGCCGTCGTAAGAGGCTGCTAGACCACGGGCATCCCTGATCCTCCCGAGATGTCATGTTGATGGGACAACCGCCCCAGAGTCTCCGAAGTGGAGCGAGGTGCATGACGAAGATGTGATGGTTCGTTGATCAGAGACATTTCCCGGGGCGACAGGTCGCTGTGCGATCCGACCGCTATCTCTGCAGCGTGTCAGACTCAATATTGGGATTAGCTTGACTGCTCTGCTCCACCGGGCTGGGTGGAGTTACGACATCGCACATGGCCTGCGCTCTGATATCACAGCGGACTCATTGCATTCCCTTGGAACATCCAGCGTGTGGCGGGCAGCGTTACACTTCGGAGGTCTGCATACGCCGCATTAAAACGACTGTCCTGATCGGGTATCGACTCTGGACTATTGAAGTAGTCCGCGAGTATATCAATTATTGATACACAAACCTAATGGACTTGTGGGGCTTGTTTGTTGCACAGCGATGATTTCACTCAATTTCTCTTCCTGCTCTTAACACCGTGTACCGGAGCTACGTAAGGTAGCCGTTCGTACCTGCTCCGCCATATCACACACAGGCTTAGGCTTAAAAGGGTTTCCAAAATACACGGGGCGATGGGAACCTGGACGATATCATTCTAGGAAATCCCTACGTCGAAGTGGAGAAAAGAGGCGAAGGTCTTCCAGCCCCAAGTCCCAGCGCAACGGCGCCGAGCATGCGCGACCCATTCTCTTCGCCTCCCCCGCTGCGATGGCAAATGAACAATCTTCCAGACCCTGGCTCTCTTCTCTGTCCCATGGCTGTCACCGTTTACAGATTGAGTCCCCCGCCGATGATCCTCCATTTGCCCATGTCGAGCGTGTTCTCGAGAGTTTGGCTCTCTTTTGTAACCTTTCCCCCTCTTTTCATCTGCTCGCCACATCGTAGCCAAGTCGATATACTTCGTCTAGAGAGGCCTAACTCTTCTTTTTCCAGGAAATATTCCGGGATTCACACCTAATCTGTAGAATAGCCGCAAAAGGAGGAATGTCGAAGTCCGCGGAATGTGGCTAAATGGCTCGCGGGCCAGAGCAATGTCCTATCTGATCTCGCTGGAACTTGACGCATTTGAGGGCACCCTGACGTCAGGTGGTCTTGCATGCCTGAGGCAGCAAGAGGCAACCTTTCCCCGGAGACTAGAGACGACCAATGATGTTTCCGGGTGCCCTAGTTCCCCTGCCACAAGTCCGTGAGATCTGGGCGATACGAATCGGGCAGGTGAATAGCCAGTGGTTTTTACAATTCCCTTACATTCATCTTCACAGGCAGTGTGGAAGACCCCAGTGATATCATGGTTGCGGCGATTATCTGATCTCGTGATGGAAAGGCTATAGATCTCGAGTCCTGTGGAAGAGCATTACCCTCCTGCATCGGGGGCCTCTTGTCGTGTGTTCCTGCATAGAGCCACGATTGAAGAAGCCCACCAAATGGAAGCGCGGATCGCCCCGATGGTCGGACCGATGACGCCATGGCTGGTTCCACTGGGAGCCTCAGCACCATCCGAGAAGACGCTGGTTCTACAGTGGCATGTATTCTCCCGGAGGATTACGCCCCAAACGGAACACGAGGGGAACGAACAAGAATGGCGATGACAGGATCGACAGCTCTCACAAGCCCTGATCGTCTCTGTATACCCCAAACTTCGCATAGCGTATCCACTGCACGCTATTCATGCCTCCACCGGGGATGTCCACCGCACGTCCCGCATGGCACCTATCCCGAAGCGGCGCTGGATGGCTAAAGGCCTCGGCGGTCGTAGGCCCCCGACAACGACCAGGGTGGCCGTCATGATTCGTCCACCAGACCTCAGTCGCAGATCTGCAGGGGACCGTCTGCTGCGTTGCCGATCTTGGAGCGCCCATCGGCTCTGGTCCGTTCGCGCATTACCAGTGACCTCATCGGGACAGTTGGGGCCCTTTCAACGGGTGGACCGAGTGATGCTATACCCCCCTATCTGCACCAGTCTCCATGCAGAGGTGGGGAAGGGGTTATTTCATGATGATACTCCCAGGAGCCATACGCGCTCCAGCATGGGCCCCCCACCTCCACTGCATGTAGGAGGAGTGGACACCGTTCTTATGATGTCGACTGGCCTCTTTCAGCCATCTTTCAGCCAATGATGTCACCTCGCCGGGACTGTCAACGGAGGCCTTCGTCGACATGGGACTCCAGAGCTGTTGCGTTTTCCAGCCTATCAGACTCTTGCCGACCTGGCCTCCTTTTGTTATTCTCGATCGTCCACCGGTGATTTCATATGAGTGGAGCCAATTCATCTTATATATCTCTCACTCCATGATCGAGTTTAAAGTCATTCTGTTTTCCATCAATAAACCCTAAAATATACCTTCCACATTCCCGTTAGCTCGCGCTGCGTTTATCTGCTGCTCCATCTTCGGATTTCCTGAAACGTTTCCTCACAATAATTTGGCGTCTTTCTCTCTCGATTCTCTTTCCTTGGTTCATTCCTCCCAGCCCATCAACTCGGCTTTGATTTTACTTTTACTTCCCAAGGTTAGTTAAGTCTACCCTGGGTTTCACAAGTCCCTCTGAGCCCAGAACGTTGTCCCGTCCCGTTCCTGTGCGACTGTTTGCCGGAACGTTTTGTCCCAGGCATGTCCCGCCTGTGGTCTAAATTGTCGCCAGGGTTTTGCTTAATATCCTTTATACCATCCTTCCCGACCGCTCGATAGCCTGGCATTACTAACAAAACCCTTCCTGCCTTAGACAATTATCCACCATGAATCGAAGCATTGCGCAGCCCACTGAGACCGTCCAAAGCATGTTTGCTCAGGATTCGGGAGCTGGACCTCCCGAATCTAACAGCCATGTCGAAATCCAGCGGTCTATGGATCCTCATGTGTCTCTTGAGGACTACAACCGTACTATGCTGGAGTACACCCAGCGGCAGATGTCCTCCTTCGTCGACCTTGATGACGGCCGTGGAAGTGGCTCTAGCAATCGAAGCAGTACAAGCGGCGGCTCCAGTCTCAATGGAAGTCGCACTGGTACCAGCAACGGCGTCGTTGCAAGCCAGGCTAGCACCCCACCCACTTCCGCTAGCGCTGCCGCTGCCAAGCGGCGCAACCTTCAGCAGGGTAACCAGCAGTCTGCTCTCAGCCCTGATGAGGCTAACCCTCCTCGATACTAGCACCATATTATGGATACCCAAGGTACGCTCTCGTTTCATGATTTCACACATGACTGGCTTTGCTAACAGGACTGTAGCAATGCGGTTCATCTTTCTAACGACCGTGTTATGACCTCGGCTCGACATTCTTATTGAGTTCGACGGCGCAACATCATTGACTGACAGAGTTTGTCAATTTCATCCTGTCCGCCCGGAGGCGGAGTTTTCATGGAGTTCTCGCGACGCGAGGATGCTTGCACATCTTTGTTTTCCAGCGGTGCAGTATTTCAAGCCTTGATTTTTCTGTTCCCGATGGAGGCAGGTCTCTGAAGATGATCATTTCTTTATACTCCCTCCGATATTCCTTTTGCCCAGACACATTTTAACCCAGGTTCGCTCGGGTCCTACCTTCTGTTCGTCGATGCGAGTATTCCCATGGGATGCTACTGTTCGCATCACGACGATAGTCGGCGCGAACCATCGTTTCCCTGACCCCCTTCACGATATATCCAAAAACTTCCTAAAAAAAGGTGATGCGTGATATTCGTCGCGATCTCACCCTCTGCCCCGACTTCTCTTCGTGACACCTCTTTTTTTCCACCGTGATTGTTGTGGGCTGATTCGGAGTCCACTCGATACAAGAACAGTCCACAAACAACGTTTTCATTCACCTTACAGTCCCATTCTTGGGCACGAGCCTTGTATATGACTGCTGCTTTGCTGTGTCACGCCCTCTGCGAGGGTGGTCATCAGCCTGTACAACACGGCGTCCTGTTCAGCGAGCAAACGAGCGTTGCTTTTCTTTTTCTTTCCATGGGTGCTTGGCTTTTGATTTCTGGGGTGACTTGATGGCCCCCATTTGATGATCAACACCTTTCGAGTTCGAGCGAGGATGCTAGCACATCCCTCGAAACAAGTTTATGACCTGATGTGATGTATTACCACGACAAAGCCTTGTTGGCATCATTAGCTGTATAACAATCAATGTGGCATCGACCATAGAGTCATTAAGCTTTGCTCTAGTAAAAAGAAGATTTTCTTAGATTTTTCTAGATTATCCTATACGTGACTGGTGTTTAATTGTTCTTTAAACCTACCCAGGATTGCCATCGATACTTGTTTAAACTTTGAGTATAAATATATATATGAAACATGCAGTCTGTGGATAACGTAGATGGCGAAGTCGAGATATATATTGCGCTTTATCAGATGCCGAGTCCATATAAGCCTAAGCGAATTCAAAAGGGTCTTAGTTACTAGGTACACAACCACAGAATGGAGGGAAAAAGCATCCCTTGAATGGTGTGGGATTCTATGCGTGTATGAACGGCGCATTCCTCGACTTCGAGGCCAATCCCCCTTACATGCATCTTTTGCGAACACTTGAACAGATCTTGATGGAACTATACACACATATATAAGGCCATTCAGTTGAGTTCCTGAGCCGCTGTATCTAACAGCAGGCATATCTGTCTCATCTATATATCCACCTTGTCTAAATAACCCAATACGTTGCGATGGAGGTCGGAGAGCAGATCGACTCGCAACATACCGCAGAGTCTCACATCTCGAATCTCACCAACCTGACAAGCCAATGAGCTGATGATCGTCGTTCGCATTCTCCGTCGTTCAACTCGTTCGCTCAGTGGCCCCAGGGGTCTATGGGTTTCCAAAGTCGGTTCCTGGGAACATGAACCCCTGGAATCCTGAGAAACGACTAACAAGGGGCAGCAGCATTGGGCTACTCTTGCGCATCCCTAGTAATCTCGGAAATCCTGGGAGAAGAGGTCGAACAGTCCACGTCCACCCAGTCCTTTCTCCTTCTTCCTCAACACTTCGACGACCACGAGGGCTTCACCTAGTCGAAAATTCCCCCTCAACATCCTACTGAGCCCAGCTCTCGTCATTCCTTTTCTTTCTTTCTTTCTTGAGGATCACACTCTTTTGGACCCCTACACTTTCAACATCAGTCTTCTAATATCACGATTTAACCACCCGCAACGGCCTCGTTCTTCGGCATATCACTCACTACACTCGCATCTCGATAATCAAATACGAATCCCACCAATATGCGCTTCGATACCCTCTTCGCGTCCTTCTCAGCCTTCCTCACCGTCGCGGCCGCCATCCCCGTTGTCCAGGACCATTCAACTCCGCTCCCGACACCGACATCCTCGAAGTCCGAGATCCCATCCCACTCTACGCCCTATGGCTCACCCTCTGCCACACCCAGCATGGTTGGAGCGTACGAATGCCCCCCCGACTCAGGACAAGAAATGCTGCCAAACTCTGCAGGAAACCTCTCACGATGTCATGCAGGGCCTGGGTAGATTGGTGCCGATCTTGGGAGGAATCACAGTGAGCTCCAAAGTGACGTTCCAGTGTACGTTTAACCATCTCCACAATACCACAATGAGCCACAATGCTCACTAGAAATACAGGCAAGACGATGACCCTCGAGGAAGCACCTGACTCCTGTGACGATAACGAATACATTCCCATGTGCTGCAGCAAGGAATCATCGGTACGTGCTGGGAAACCCTCCCCAAATAGGGTCAAAAGTGTATATCACTAATCCATTGACTCATAATTCTAGAACTCTATCGGCCACTGCAAGTCATTCGCCGAAGCCAAAGAAGCATATTACCGCTCATTCGGATACGGCCAAGAAAGCCAAACCGACTACATCCTGGACGCAGTTGACTAAGAAACATATACTCGCATGGAGACAACTTGCGTCTTGGAGGTTCTCTTTTGATGGAATGGATTACACAGGGAAGCATTGGCGTTTTATTTCATCTCGTGATATAACTTTGGTGGCTCGCCTTGATATCGATTTGCTTTTTGTGTAAAATTGATCGCACCTTTCTTATTTGGATTTACTCATGACCGAGCTCTTCTGTAAACCTTCCCCCCGACATGTGTTAGGCTAGAGGTTCTTCAATAGACTTGTAATAAGAAGTATACTATGAGTGCGCCGGGCCATCTTATCAAGTCAAGGTTCCCTTCCATGTAATTGAGCCTACAACATGTGAGCAATGTCATACTTCAAAGCCTCGTGTATTTTGTTGTTACTATTTACCCCGTATGTATGGAAAGGGGTCTCCACAGCCGTCGTAGTATTTATAGCAAAGAACCCAGCATTCCTACACGCTCTAATCCGTGTAAGATCATTTGCATTCATCAGTTAAAGAACTAATGGTGAACCGGTGGGCTTGTATCTACTATTGTCAGTCAGCTACGCTATCTATAAGTTTGCATGCGTAATCACTGAGCAATTGCAGCCCTGTGGCTGATACGAGGTCAATATGTCGACTACCGTCCAGCCCAGATCTATGCCGGTCGCTAGAGGATATCAAATGAGGCTCTGTTCTGAGGAAATTTGCATAAGAATACATTGCAATGTCAGAGTAACGCAAGAAAAAAAAACCCCCCCAGCTGGAACAAACACACTGTGCTTTGAGGCTGCCTGAGATCTCAGCCCTTTGTCATACCTACTGGTCCAGCATCAGCATCTTGCCCACGCATTTTCCCAACTCCATTTCGCTCCGTCATCACAAACCAGCGCCACCTATTACAACACCTATCAATACTCGCCATAAGGACGTTAATCGCCTTAATAATACAATAATACTAATTATACCCCTTATGTCTTAATTTCGGTTGCTTCTTATTTATCATAGAGGAAACCAATGTTTCTCATCGCTACCGCGTGAAAACCTTTCCCCAATTTGGAAATCACTTCCTCGAGCCCTAGATATCCAAGTACGCGATAGTAGCAAGTCACGACTCCTGGTACCCCGCCCCTAGCAAGTTTCTACTCGCCGTGCACGCAGCCGTCGGCAACATCCTGCACGCGACTGGGCGCGGCGAACTGATTGCGAAGACCATAAAGCACCTCGGAGGCAGTGGCGGCCATATTTCTCACTACTACACTGACGGAGGAAGTGGTGCTGCTGCCCAAAACCGCAGTGAGCCTCTCTTCTTTGACAGGACGCGCCTGTAATCCACCGCATGAGAGGATTTATGATTACGTGAATCAGGTCGGTCATTTTAGCGTTTATAATTCTGGATATCTTGACTTGGGGAGTAAAAGTACATTGGAAAGCTTTTCTATCGCCAACTTCGTCCGCCAGGAGGCCCCCAAGGGGCACCCTGCTGCCCACCAGGATGAGGCGGAGGGAAGTGATACTGTCCAGGAGGGAGAGGCGATCCTGGAGGCACAGGCATAGAATGTCCGGGGAAGGAGGGAGGAAAGGCTGGAGGGTTGATGCCAGATCCGGGTGGGGGAAAGGCCATGTTCGGGAACTGTGGGGGTGGGGCAGGTGGCCAGCCGGGGTATTGTGGAGGTGGGGGAGGCACATTGGTTCCCAAAGGAGCATACTGTGAATGAGGGTATGCTGGAGGGGGGGTGAGCATGTGAAGCTTGGTGGGGAGGGGGGAAATGAGGCTGTTGAGGCTGCTGAGGTGGTGATGCTTGACGCGCTGAATATGGGCTTTCGCGGCCAGCCAATCTGCGGGAACGGCTTCTGGACGACGATCCGAACCGAGCCTCACGTCTACCTGCCGGAGACTGGCTCCGCGATCGGGATATTCGACTGTCCATGGAGCTATCGCTATAGCGCCTGCGTTTGAAATCACGAGCTCCGCTGACACTTCGACTGCGGCTGCGGCTGCGGCTGCGACTGCGACTGCGAGTACCCTCGGGTCCTCGCTTTTTCATCTGCTGGCAGAATGCTCGTGACCAGCCGTAGTATGTCTCACCATCCAGAATGTCCCCGGTGATCTCGTCCCGCACGATCCTCTGGCCTAGCTCATCAATATCGATATTCCCATTATCCTTGACGAGCTCCTCATTTCCGTAGATCAAGTCCACATCCTTCAAAAATCCCTTGAGAGCCTGTACCAGACTCTCATCTGCGGGACCAGCGAGAAATTGAAGCGGCTTGATGGAATCGGCGTGAAGAGGGATAGTCGAGTTCGGGATGATGTGGGGGATCAGATTGCCGGCCGGAAGATCGTAGTACGGTGTTGACGGGTCACCATGAGTCGATGGCATGATGAATGGTGCATCCTTCCCGGGCAACTTCTTGGCCGCATCTGCTTCGCTGGCCAAGACATCGTTCGATGATGGGGCCCCTCCCGTGGAGGCCGAGTGCTTCACCACTTCCCGCAGCCTGTGGAGCAGATCGGGACCAAAATATCCGTGCTCAGACCAGATATCAAGTAAATCATTTAGGCGGCGATGATGTCGGGGGTGCTTATGCTGATCGTAGGCTGCAGCGTGGCCGAGTAGGTCGATCATGAATGGCTGCAAGGACCCGCTCACCGTGGAGAAGATTGCGGTGCTGTCCAAGTGATACTTGCTGTGGTGTAACAAATCATTGAGAAGATAGAGGATGTGGAGCCGGCGACGCTTCAACGAAGGCTTCGGCTTAGCGCCTGCTGGAGCTTCATCAAAAGATTCCGCCAATGCCACCAGGTACTTTGCCAGTCCTCCTACCCGATTGGAAGAGGAGAGCACAAAGTTGAGTAGCCATGCTTTGCAGGTCTGTGTGGTTGAAGAGCATTTAGTAACCGGGGGTGCGAGACACGAGGTTGCAACAGTTCAGACCTGGATGTTTGCCGGGGAGCAATGTGACAAGGCGCGTTCAAGGTGGGAGTGGAAGGCGGCGATATCATCTCGAGGGACTGATGAAGGATCGGGGCGTAAGAGGCCAGCAGAAAAGGCCGCCTTCGCAATAGCGATCTGATGGGATGTCATTGCGGGGATCCAACTTAGCTTTTAGCTCAAAGAAGGAGAGTGGGCGGCGGCAACGTTGATGCTATCCCACGTGACCGGGAGCTGATGCTTCTCCGCATTCCAAGGACATTTCACTGCTTGGGAACAATCAAATGAAACCGGAGTGGCTAATTTATCTCTAGCGCACTGAAAACATGGTATGCTGTAGTTTATCCCTATGTTATCAAGTATCTTCCAGAGTACAGTAGCGTTAATTGGCGGTTCCAGCGGTGTTCCGGCAAGTCGAGAAAGTACCACAACCGATTCCAATTAATAAAGATTCACCCGGCCTAAGGCCATCGGTTGCCGCACTCCCGTCCTCAGTCTATGTGGAACCTAAACATGATCTACCACCGGTGAAGCCTAAAGACCCTCGAGACTCCTGAGGGGGAAAATTCCCAGCCCCACTCCTTCGGCCGGTACTGGCGATTTAACAAACCCGCGATGGCGTGAGGCAGAATAAGTCGCTCTTCGTGCCGACAACCGGAATCTGCCGATCACGCATTCAGTCTAAATCACGTCGGATGAGCGTTTCCAGCGGTAGTCAGCCCACTCCGAAGCTGCCTTAGCCCCCGTAATTGCAGGCCCCACGGTGACTCGGTCACTCGCATGGCCTGACCCTCATTTTCCCCTTCCATATAAAGCCTCATACTTCCCATTCTTTCCCTATTGTGTACTGCACACTCTTAGTAACCCCGAGTTTCTCAAGAATTACACATCGCTGCACTGATAGCCACTTTATCTTCACGTCTTTTCCAAGTATCGACATCATGGCCGCCGTCGTCGCTCAACTCGCCCGGCCTTCTGTCCGCCACTTCTCCGCACACCGGCCTCGCCCTGACAGCCGTGCCACTCGCGCAGTCGCAATGTCCTGCCTAGTCACTGGTGTTGTCCTTCCTTTTGTCCCGCCTGCCCTTGAAAGCTCGCGCCAGAGAAAATCCGGCTCTCCTGACAGCAACAAGTGAGTTTAGCAAAGAAATCTCCGCATGATCACGACTAAACTTGCTTCCAGGCCCCCTCCTCTCTGTTTCCACGCTCGCTAAAACAGATTTTCCGCGATGTGCTCTGAAAGCACAGAGATGATCTCGTTGTCAACCTCAGACAGGTTCTGTGTCGCGGCGCGGGCGCCGGCTTGGGAACTGCTATGATGCATGATATTGAAGGCGTTATGGGCGCGGCGTCCCTATTCTATGTTGTTTTTTTTATTCTTTATCTTCATTTCAATTGCGTGGGGTAGTTTTGTATGATACCTTCCAGCCGGGGTAGTATACGATTCATCGAAGGGTCTAGATCGCTTGATCGACGCCAAGCGCGTTTGAATAGACGATCTAGAAACAAACTTACGATTGAACCAGCTGTATGCAGAAGCTGGAATCTCCATATCGTTGTATATGAGTAGAAGCTTCAAAAAGAGGCACTTCTTGTTGAGAAGGAATTTGAACATAGCAGGATGGTCTCAGAACCATGAAATCTTCACACATCCAAAGTCATGGGCCAGCCCGTCATCTCACGAGCGCGCCATATAGCATATTTTACAGAGAATGTACAAATACAATCAAACCGCTAACTGAATCTGTTTCCACTGGGAGGTCGGAACGGCGCCGGCGCCTCATATTTGCCCTTTTCTTGCACTCGGTCGGTCTCCGTCATGGGCTCGTGGCGAGTTGGAGCTGGATCGTGGGATGCTTCAGCACTTGGAGAAGCCACATCGTCTGCAGCGTTCTGAAACCGGGCCATGTTCACTCGCTTCAAGCTGGCATCATCGGTCGGCGTCGGTGTGGGAACGGAAATAGCTTCTCGGCGGTGCTCAGCTTCCTGAGCCCTGAGCTGAGCCTTGCGCTTTATTTCAGCTTCAAATCGGGCGGCCCGGTCGGCGTTGATGGATTGTTTGGCAAAGTAGTAAGCACCACCACCGGCTGGATGAAGTGTGGTTAGTTTTAGGGCCATAGGGAAGTGATCAAAGCGACTTGGCTTTTCCCCAGACAGAGACTGAGGCAACAAGTACTAACCAACGCAAAGGGCGCCCCAACCAACCCTGCAACCATCCTCAATTAGCTTCCTAATCACCGATTTCGGCTCCCGCCCATTTCGATTGAGGGAGGGTGTACTAGCTCACCAGGTAGATCGAATCTGGCAAGAGAGGACAGTCAGCAAGTTTCTTCGGCTCAGATCAAGCTCAATCCTTACAGTATTCATGGCTGTGAAGATGACTGGGTGAAGGTGAAAGATGGAGTACCAGAGCTCGTAACGTTTTTCCCAGCTCGGCGGGTGTCGGATGAAAGCGGTGACATGTGCTGTGGCAGTCGAGAATGTCAAGGGTTCATCACAGCATGCGATTCATCGTCCCCGACTCCACCTTATATCTTACAAAGTCGAACCAACAATAATTAGAAGAAAGGCAGCTGGGACACACCCCCCTAGTCTCATGGAAATGGACAAAGAGACACCTCAGTAGAGGCCATAATAAGGCCTTCAAAGAGCTCGAGGGCTCTAATGCATGACTAATTCTGGCGGGAGATGGTATATCCTGCTTCCGTGTATCCTAGAAGACAGGCCCTTCCACCTATCCCTGCTGCAATCTGACAGGGATTCCTGCCTCGGGCATAAAGAACAAAACGAAGGGTAGGGACACTAATTACTTTCAAGCACTAAATACTCGTTCACCACCCCTCCTCCCGTGCTCTCCTCCTTTGTCTTCTGTTTAGGTGTCTCATATATGTTCCTTTGCAATCGGGAAAACAGCTTTCAATGGTTGTCATGATGAAGCTGAGGCACATAATCAGAGGGCGAACGGGGCAATACACCATCACCAAGCAACTTCACCAGAGTGTCTGGCTCGCAACGTATGTTTTCTTAGTCTAGTCGAGGATTACCTTGTAACTGCTGCGGCCCACAGGAATCAAGAAAATGACAGCTTTATCGTCAAAAGTGCCAAGAATTCTCGTTATCATGACGAAAGAGACGTCCTACTGCGATTTTAGCACAAAATTTCGCTTCTACGGCCCCTCCTGGACGAGATTCCGGCCCCTGCTTCTCCACCGGCTATTGTCCTGAGATATCTAGAGGATAATATCTTACATGCGTCTAATGGTAAACGTCTCGCCCGTGCAGAAGTGAAGTTCGTCGCTCGACTTGTATTAGAGGCGATATCTGTTCATCACCAAGAAGGGTTTGTTCATGCGGGTAACTTTTTAGTAATTGACATTTATGTAGTCTCGCTGACTTGTTTATATGCAGACATCAAGCCAAGCAATGTGTTAGTCAATTACGGAATAGGTGAAACCAGGTTCAAAGAGGTCCAGTTAGCAGACTTCGGAAGCACAGTGCACTTGGATTCTGCTCATGCTCCTGATGGAGACTCCTTAGGAACTCCAATTTCAGAAGCCTAGACGCTCGTCTACAGATGAGATGGGATACAGCCACCGATATATGGTCTCTTGGGGCAATGGCAAGCCTTTCTACCCCAAAAGCTTCTTCCATCTGCCCTGATCTAACTGGTATATAGCTTATAAGCCTGCTCTATGGGGAGGGCTTCCCCATTTTGAGGCCGATGTCCCTGTGGATCACGAAGATTATGACCTGAAGATCCTCATGAAGCACCATCAGTGTTTCGGACCGTTTCCCGCTTCGTACGATGAAACAGCAAACCAAGAACGACGAGCAGTTCTGAATTGGGTTATGCAAAATTGTCCTCCGAATACGATGAGGCCTTTTCATCTCACGACCTCACAAGAGATATGCAATGAAGACAAGGAGTTTGTGCTCAAGGTCATAAAACTTGATACAAGAGATCGGCCTTCTGCCCAGGAACTCTTAGGAGACAGCGGGTTTGCTTCAGGGGAATGACCCTAGATCAAAAGGACATTTAGTGTTCATTCATAGTCTTAGTTAAGCAGGACATATTATATACAATACGGAACAACTTTGAAGACTCGGGTCGTCGTAGTCGCGTTACATTTACTTAGCTCCCTCCTTTTGTTTTCTTTCCTCTTCATCTTGAATGTCTTCATCTTGAATGTGCTCTTCTTATTCACGGACTCAGCTCCTCACATGGACTTGGCGTGTTTCGTCTTTGTTGGACGAAAAGGGGGCGGCGCATGTCATAGACACGGTCAAACACGTATGTAAGGTGCAGGATTATTCAGGTGCTCCAATAGTTTTTTATTCCACCTCTATTTTCTGACCGTGCTTTCTACATTGGTATTCCACTTAAATGAGTACAGCAAGTAGAGAAGAGGAAGCATAGTCATCTTGCTATGGAACGGCAAGGATACCCGGATGGTTGCGAAGGTGCGTCCTCCACCATGGCTTTATAAAAACTTCAAGCTAGTAGGCACCATAAAGCCTGGCACATTGGCGTCTCAATTGAGTCAAAGCAAACAGCTCAGAACATAATCAGCATCATCAAATGTGCATTGATAGAAACTCAAAGCTGGCCAAGGACTAGTTCTTCTTCGTAGGAAATAGCACACTCTTCTCTTCATCATATTCATTGAAGCGAACCCCTGTATAATGATCGCGCGGGTCATTTGGGCTGTCATGCTCGGCTTCCCTTTACCATGATACGGTACTCGGAGGACTACAGGCTCTCGAAAGTAATTGCAAGTGAGGAACAGATTTAACTCTAAGTGAGCACCGAATGAAAGTTGTAAATCAAGGTTGTAAATGAAGGCTTTGACTGAGTACAAGAATGAGCGTCCATATATATTCCTTCGTAGGTCAGTAATTCACTTCCCTGGCTTGAATTGAGGTCCTATGTTCAGGCTGCAGACGTATTGACTTCATGATAACATAGTGGGAATTAATGAGCGTAGGAGCATGCGAGATTCTTGATGTCGTCGGCTAAGAGCACTATCTCACTGAAGCAACTCAGTTGCCAGGGCACGTATAGGGGCCCTCAAGGTAATCAGAGGAACCGCAAATAGCACCGTCGCCTGCACCACTTTGGGATGTACACTAGGCAAAGATGGTAATATTAGCAAGAGAGTTTTGGATCTAACAGTAGTAAGTCTTTACCGAGCCAACCGAGCATGCACTGCATCACAACCATTAGTATAGCTCTCTCATTCCGCACACCATCATGACTTTGCAACTTACTAGTTGATTCCAGCAACTTTGCACGAGGTCCCGTTACATTCCTGATAGAAGATAATTAGATCTGCAGAATCCCACGTAGAAGGAATACCACGTACCCCGCAAAAAGCCCAACCATTGGGACAGCCTCGGGATTGAAGCGTATTCTCTCGAGTAGGAGCGGCTGCAATCAAGGGAGAGCTAACCACAAGAGCGACAAGGATGTTCATAAAATGCATATTGGCTCTCAAACTTGCACACTTTAAATTTAATGAATGGATTAGTGATGTTGATAAGAGTAGGCAAAAACTTGCGTTTGTGGATTTGAACAGGCTCGATCTCAAAGCCCACCGGGTCCATACTTATATTCACAAACTGACTCGGAACACGGTACATACGAAGAGCTGACTGCGAAACGGCACTGAATTGTCCACGTTACATCGTGTTCTCTGCAGCTGAACTAGCCTGCAGTCAGATATGTTTTTCGTGAAGATCGACGCGACTATAACTTAGCAGGCCTTATTTCCCCAACCTACGCTAAGAGATAAGTCCTATCAGAGGAACGTCCGTATGCATATCGGTAGATCTTCTGCTATTGCAGCTGCAGATAATACGTGGCGCAATTATACAAGGGACGCCTAAAGAAAGGCAAGTGTGCTCGATGTGACTCGCCAAGCAAGTACCTAGTCTACGTTATAAGCTTTCCCCTATGAACCCCTATGGACGAACAGGCCTATAGCTATTTGAGACTTCTTCGAAGATTCATACTACCACGACTTAGTATGTCCTTTTTGACTCCATATTATGCGAGGAGTTGAGCCCCAGTCTAGCAATGACTATTTTCTTGTTCAAAGATCATCTGCTAAATTTCTTGATCCCTGGTGTAACCGGCCTAGCTAGTTCGATTTGAGAAAAGGGTGGCCTCAAAAGAGCGAGTAATCTTGGTCTATGGGAGGCCTTGCATATGATATACGGTAGTATTGCCGATCTCCCCTGAAATAATTCCACACTAACCTTGCTAGGAAGCGTAAGCAGGGTCCTATCAAGCCCCTCCCGCACAGGCTGAATATCAAGCATTATGGTGGCGTTGGCTTTGATGGGGGCCTAAAGTGTATACTTGGCATGATTGACCAACGTGAAGATGACTCCCTACCCATTATAAAGCTCGACACGCATCACGTGTATTTCGCCATCCCGTATTTACCACACGGGGTGGTGAGGCCGTCCGCGTTTCTGCCGCGTCCCTGAAAACCAAGCTGCTTTTTAATAAAGAACCGACTGATACTTTATCTGATTACCGGTCTGGTACCGGAAAGACCACCAGAATCACAACACTATTACGATAATTGTATACGGGAACCCTCCATTTTTTGCGTTTGAGAAGTGGGCTTCTCAATTTTAATACATCAGGGTGTCCATCAAACTGCAGTACATATTATGACATTCTTTTTCAGATGTAATAATAGCTAAACTAAAGGAAGAACTTTATGCCTAATATTCAGTGAGAGTTAGACCTAGGGTTAAAGGCCAAGTAAAAAGGTTAGGCATCGCCAAACAATTCCACCACCTGGAACAAGACTTTTTCCGTATCTGGGGGATTTCCATGCCGAGAGCCTGAAAGACTCTAGGCCCCCATCACCTCACGTGATTGAATGTGGGACTCGATCTGGTCCGCAGCTCAGCGCCGCCTGTTCTCTGCGGCCAGCGGCGGTCGTGGCATGCAGTTTTGATTTACCTTCAACGAGGCGGTAGTCGCCTCAGCATATGCCTTTCTTTTGATTACATTCCGCTTGAACTGTTCCTTCACCCATCGGTTGACCGGCCAAAGACTACAACATGCCTCCCAAGCGCAAGGCGACAGACAGTAGGGACCTGGCATCCTAGTTGAAACGGGGTTACTGACTCTGCTAGGCGGTCGGTCTAGTAGCGCTTCGAAGCGACCTACACCGATCCCAGATGCCACGGAAATCTCCAGCAGCGATGAATACTCTGACCCAGACGATGGAGATCTGCCGGAGGAGCATAACCTGAAAGGTAGAGTGTGGCGATCTACTCGAACAGCACGGCTGAGATGCTAACTGCAATGAAGAGGTCGTCAGCAAGTTCTCGCTCGCTTCATTCAGCAAGCGATCTCAGATGAACAAGACCGATCCTAGATTCGGCTACAAAGACCTTTCTTCCCTGCCTCTCAAGCCCGATCACTACAATCGCCCTCTATGGATCGAGCCGGTGAAAGGCACGATCACTCTCGAGAGCTTCAGTCCCCTGGCTCCCCAGGCTCAAGACTTCTTGACCACCATCGCAGAACCGCTTTCGCGTCCGACCCACCTCCATGAATACCGCCTGACTGGCCACAGTCTGTATGCGGCTGTATCGGTGGGTTTGAAGCCGCAGGACATCGTCGCATTCTTGGACCGCCTTTCAAAGACACCTCTTCCAGAAAGTATTCGAACCTTCATCATCGAGTTCACCAAATCATACGGTAAAATCAAGATGGTCCTGCGACACAACCACTACTACGTGGAAACAACAGACCCCGAAATGTTGCAACGGCTCCTGAAAGATGAGGTCATTGGTCCGCAAAGAATTGAGAGCACTGAGGGTATCATCGAACGAGCGGCTCCAAAGATGGGGGGGTCTTGTTATTCCTGGAACAAAAGATGCCGCCGGTATTCGAGAGACTGGTAATCAGCAGGAGCCTGCCGCCGCTCCCCGAGATGACAATCAAGAGCAAGCGATGGACTACGGAATTGATGATGTCGGAGAGGATGAAAACGAAGAAGCCACCACATACAGCTTCGAGATTCCCCTGCTGGTGTCGAAGTCGTCAAAGCTCGCTGCCAAGCGATTGGGTGCCCTGCTCTAGAAGAGTACGATTTCCAAGGCGACACAGTCAACCCCAACCTTGACATGGATTTAAAGCCTGCTGCCAGAATTCGTTCATATCAGGAGAAAAGTCTCAGCAAAATGTTTGGTAATGGACGTGCGAAAAGTGGTATCATTGTCCTTCCGTGCGGTGCCGGTAAGACGTTGGTCGGCATTACTGCAGCAGCAACTATCAAGAAGGGCACAATTGTGCTTTGTACCAGTTCTATGTCGGTCGTTCAATGGCGAAACGAGTTCTTGCGATGGACCACCATTGACCCGAACGACATCGCCATCTTCACATCTGATCACAAGGAGAAATTCAAGCGGTCTACTGGAATTATCGTTTCCACGTACTCAATGGTGTCACAAACCCGAGCGCGTTCTTACGATGCCCAGAAAATGATGGACTGGCTTCAGTCTCGTGAATGGGGTATGATGATTCTTGACGAAGTTCACGTCGTTCCCGCGTCTATGTTCCGTAAGGTCACATCTGCGATTGCTGCACAGAGCAAACTCGGTTTAACCGCGACTTTGCTGCGAGAAGATGACAAGATCAAAGATCTGAATTTCTTGATCGGGCCTAAGTTGTACGAAGCGAATTGGATGGAGCTTGCCGCACAGGGCCACATCGCCAAGGTACAATGTGCCGAGGTGTGGTGCCCCATGACGACCGAATTTTACTCGGAATATCTACGAGAGAGCTCGAGGAAACAAGCTCTTCTCTACATCATGAACCCACGCAAGTTTCAGGCTTGCCAATTTCTGATTGATTTCCATGAGAAGCGCGGGGACAAGATCATTGTCTTCTCCGACAATGTCTACGCATTGGAGCGCTACGCACTCAAGTTGAACAAGGCGTATATTTATGGTGGGACTCCACAGAACGAGCGAATGCGTATTTTGGAGAACTTTCAGCACAACGAGCAGGTCAACACCATCTTCTTATCCAAGATTGGTGACACATCCCTGGATCTGCCCGAGGCCACCTGTCTCATCCAGATCTCTTCTCATTACGGTTCGCGTCGTCAAGAGGCGCAGCGACTTGGTCGAATCCTACGAGCCAAACGCAGAAATGATGAGGGCTTTAATGCTTTCTTCTACTCTCTCGTGTCCAAGGACACTAGTGAGATGGTGTATTCTGCCAAACGACAGGCTTTCCTGATTGATCAAGGCTATGCCTTCAAGGTCATCACTCACCTTCAGGGTATTGATAACTTCGAGGGGCTGTCTTATGCCACACCCGCGGAACGTCGAGAGCTCCTCCAAGAAGTGATGCTGCAGAATGAATCCTCCGCCGATGTGGAACAGGTTACAGATGATCTCTTCTCTATGCGGTCGGCAGGCAAGCGCGGCGGGAAGAAGCCAACCGCGAAACGAAGCGCAGCCACTCTCAGCGGCCTCGCTGGTGGCGATGATATGGCTTACATCGAATATAATAAGAGCAAGAACAAACAGCTCAAGGACAAGGGTGGTCATCACCCACTCTTCAAGAAGATGGCGCGGCAACGCGAACGTGCGAAGAAGGAGAGGGAGTCAGCCAAGCCCTAGAATGAATTTGGGCTTGCAACAAGGATGACATAGAAATATGGACCAGCTCCGATTCATGCCCTGTAGATCGGGCGCTATATCTATACCGTTCTGGGACGGAGCAACTCGGTGGATTATGCAGCATCTTGGATTTCCGACTGAAATTCCGCTCTAGAATGAGACCCCAAATACAAAAGACTCAAAACCAAAACCACGTCCAATTATTCCCCATGTCCGTAGAGATTAGAGGTCGGTCACCAGGCTCTGTGCATCGTAATTACTCAGTACACGAAGCCTAAGTCAGCAAGCCGGGCCCAGTCCGAAGCTATGCGAATCATGACGTCCGTCGGAAGGCCGAGGGCCCGATGTCTCCGCTTTTCCAGGATACAGTGACTTCATCTGTTGATCCTGATAGGTCTCCCCTACAGCTCCAACAACCCTGCCCCAGTTTTGGTCGTGCACCGAACCTTTTCCGCCTAAACAAAGACTTTTTTGTAACGTGTCAATCATGGCATTATAAAAGGGACATGGGATCTCGCTTATTGTCAAACGAACGACACAGCTGCAAATCGATCTTGAGAACGGGTTATAGTCCAACTAGTATCCTGCGTCTGAGGTCTTCGAGTAATCTACCTGTGCTATTTGCCTTGGAGCTTACACTTCCACCACGACTATTTTTATCGCCACGATCTTCATCTTCAAGTCTATACAGCACCCGCTCTGTACCACGCGTTCCCGTGCCACCTGTCCACGTTTGCTCAGTGATGGCGACTGCAACTGAAATCCATCTAAACCCATTGACAGATGCCGGGATCTTTAGCTTAAACGTCACTGATGATGGGGCCAGAGCAGCGAGCGAAGTCCTGCAAGAAGACATGGAAAACCACCACGTGTTCTTTAATGACGACGGATTCCATAGTATGTTGATCCTGTGAAGGGTTTCTAGTTCCCATCTTGACAGTATTTAGATCACATCACACATCACATCCTAAGCATGTACGCGGTCGGCGCAAAGTCCGATGAGATCAGGGCCGCCTTTAGAAAGGATATGAGCTATCAGAGACCTGCCTTTCCCACTGACCGAGCTGTGGTAAAGGGGATGTATGACAAGGCGAAGTTCATGGAAAGCTTCCATGATGACAAGCAGTATCCCAACTATTTGGCCTTTTTCCAGGAGGAAATTGATCTCAAGGGAGTTGGTGATGTGCTGAACGAGTATGTTTTTGCTGGGGATGATCGGGCAGAGAGTATGCTGTGTCGACTATTTGGCGGTGAGTACCATTCAATCTCTTGTCATGCCTTGATGAAAGAACCGGAGAGTAATAAGCTAACATCGACAACCCAGGCCTCATCCACCCGCTGATCCACCTCGGCTTTGGAATTGAATTTAACCAGCCTGCTATTGTGGCTCAGGCACTTGCTCAAGCCGCGGTTCATGATGAATGGATGGGTCCTGCTTTCTTCCTCCCTGTGGAGAAACTGGCCGGTGGAATTGGAAAGCCAGGCAAGAAGTCTCTTCTACAGCTGCTGGATGAGATTCGAGATAACAAGGCTTTGAGAGAGAGTGCCCATTGGTCTGATGCGAATAAGATGAGAGATGGGGTGTTGCACCGTGCTCCGAATGAAATGCTCAAGATCGCTGCGCAATACACCGTATCGGAGGATCAGGTGGGAGAGCGATTGGCGGATATGATCAATAACGTTGGTGAGTCTTCGAATTACTATTCTGTCAGAGGAAGGAAAATAGTATCGCTAACAGGATCTGGGTAGTTTACTACACGAGCACCGCACAACGTCGTGACAAGGAAGTCAAATTCGACTTCTTCTTAATGCATGGCCTCAACTCATCGATCTTTTTCACTAAATTCATTCAGCTTCCGTACTTGACCCCAAAGACCAAACTCCGTCTTCTGGAATGGAAGGGACGTCTTGATCTGCTGTTGTACGTGTCGCGAGCCTCGCCAAATCTCCTCCCGGACGAGGTCATTCGATACCCCATGAAGAATGATTGGCCTGCGCTCTTCGCCCATTGCGTGACACATCCCGGCGATGACGGCCATCTGGTGAAGATGGTACGAGCCCTGGCAAACGGAGAGAAAGTGTGTCGGCCATACGAGAGTCAGGGTCCGCAGGTGATGCCCATTTCCGGAGATATGTGGCTTCGGATTGGAAACATGGGTGAGTTCTCCGTTCAAAGTGGCAGCGGCATGATCGGAAAGGAATTTCAACGCTAATTGCTTGACTAGCTATCGACTCCACTGTTGAGGACCCGATGTGGGTACGATCCACCGGGTTCGATGAGGCTTGGGAGCATCTACCGGGGCGAGCTCATCTGAGATATTGATGATGATGCTGAATTGTCTGATGCAGCAAATCAGACGAGAGGTTGTAGAATATTTTGAGGCACAGATGTCATTTTGATCAGATAACCGAAAACAAATTGAAGGTCCTTTGTTTCGATTGAAGTAATGTGTTTGGCGCCAATACTGTTAGTGGGTCTGGCCCTGAATCGAGAATCGATGACGCGCGAGGCTACCCTGGACGAATCGACAGATCGTGTGAGGTGTGCGCAATTGGGTCTGGGATCTTCAGAATATCAGTTATTGGCAGCTCAAGTATAAAAGAATCGAGCCACACCCTTTTAGTAGCCGAAATTATCAGAGAAGAGTGAAAAGCATCCAACATCCGGTGGGCCTCACGTGGCGAACTACCAAAGTGGGGCTCCCCAACAGCTTCAGCTTCTTCAACTTCTCTGGCTCCTGCAATCTACCACTTCTTAAGGATTTACTTCCAACATGCCCAAAGGAAACGACCGGGACGACAATCAAAACCAAGGTTCTTCCAAAATGCCCCACGATCGTGACTGGACCGATGAGAGTAACCCCTTCGTCGCCTTCCGACGCTTTGCCGACGAGCAGGTCTCATCCGTGCTACAATCAATCACTGGGCTTCCATCCTCACTTTCCCCGCCCCAGCACGACCGTTGGACCATATTCACCGATGACAAGGGCTACGGGAGTATGAAATACCGTCACCGAGATGGCGCCGAAAACGCGGGGGACCGACTCTATCCATCAGACCAGGGTGCAGGGACCAACCCTCCAGCAGGTGACAAGGACGAGCCGGCTTCAGACAAGAACGAGAAACTTGTCACGCGACCATCGCAATCTCGACAACTGGGGACAGACCAGAACCAGCAAGCGCGCAGGAACATTCACCACGGACCCTCCGACTTTTTCGGTATCGAGTCTTTCTTCGATCTTTTCGAACACGATTTCCTTCCTTTCTCATCGAGTTTGTTTCATCCCCATCATCGCTTCTCCTTCCCCGATTTGTATGAAGAGGACTCGCCTACATGGCCCATGACATACATCATGTTCAGCCCCTACTCCCCCCCTACTGCTGGAGCGCCAGGCTCATTACCGCGCGCGTCGCGAAGGCGGTGTCTTTTCCTCGATCATGTCTACACTTCGATCGGATGCTGAGCGTGACCCGACTGAGCCACTGTGGCGCGAGGCATTCGAAGACTTGCTCCGGTTGGAGAACGGGAAACCTATGCTTGACCGTGATACGTCGACGGCCGGCAAGGCTGAGAATGGAGCAGAATGGCTTCATGGCCTGGTCAGGCGAGGCAGTTTGGGCGATCGGTGGAAATACGTGACTGGCTCAGACAGTCATCCTTGGACTGGTATTACTTTTGATACTAGTCGCAACGAGAATACTCGTGTTTTGCCCGAGAAGCCTGCCGAATCCCAACAGAATGGCGAAAAAGCTGAGAGCGAGTTGGACGTATATGACCGCTTCTTGCAAGATATTGAGGCCCGCGAGCGTGAATTCCTCGAGAGTGTCCAAGAAAGTCCTCTCCTCCGTCTGCTTTTGGATGAGCGCCGTAAAGAGCAAGACGCGCCTCAAAACTACCAGCACGGCTTCCCCAGCGTCGAAGACAAACAAGGTGATGATGATGACGAAAGTTGGCTGGATCTTGTCTCTGGTGGCAATCGAAAATCTGTTCCGGAATCACCACCGGAGCCAACTTCGATATCCGAGGCCAAACCAGTTGCGTCCCCGAGGCACGCGTTGTATCAACGATGAGTCGGACAGAACGTAAGCGTCTTGCCGATGGCTCTGTGCAGACTACAATTGTCAAGACTAAGCGGTACGCCGATGGCCGCGAGGAAACTGATGAATCCGTTGAGACGACCCAACCGCTGTCAGGGGAGGGACAGTCGGCTGAAGACAATAAGTCAAAAGGCGGCTGGTTCTGGAAGGACTGAATCAATCGTTCGTCAACGTTTCCTTGCCAGTTTGGCATCTTATGACCCATGAAATCCAATTGCCTAGGACAGCTCATCAGCGGTTTTTTTTTTTCGTTTCTCTTTGTTTTCATCATTTCGCATCCATCCCAATCACAATTAACTGGCTCTGTATATGCATCAATTTTACATGTCTCTGACCTTGTCGATAGCTAAATTGACTTGAATAAAAATTCGACTATTTTTTGACTATTCGAAGTCTCAGTGACATAAATCATCAGCTTGCAAGCTGACCACACATCTTCCATAGCCACATCGAGTCAATTTCAACATTTTCATCTAAGGAAGCCATCCAGCTTTCAATCGGCCTTGACACTCTTCTTCTGTGCTTTCCCAGTATTCCAGCCCTTGGACTCCCAGTACTTGACACTATCCTCCATCTTCTTGTAAGCCCAGGTGAAGGAGGGGTCTGAGTATTGAGTAAGCATAGAACTTGCACTTGGAAAGCATCAAGACTTACACAAAAACTGCCGAAGATCATGGCGATTATCTTCAGGACTGTACTGCTCAGCGTGGTAGCTTGGGGTGATGACTGTCATTTTATGACGGTTGATAGAGTACTATGTTCATGTTAGTATTTGTGAGTAGATAAGAAGCATATGAGTAGAGACATACGTTGTAGAAGAAGTGCCTTGTCTTCTCGTAAATCTCACGAGGACTATATTCGTGGCCCCAGACGTGCAGAAGCTTTTCATACATGCTCCATGGACCGAGCTTCGAAACCTTACGCATGTACTGAAAAAAAAAATCGTCAGTATATAGTGAGCTTCAGTTGAAAGGGGATCATCTTACCCCGAACACGCCAAGCTCAGCGTAAGTCACGCCCATGTCTGCCTCTGATGATTTGGTCAATATTAATTGTAATGATTCGTGTGGAGTTGACTTACCATCTGACTGCACATAGGTTTCTGTGATTGGTTCGAGTTCGGCTGTGGGCGTGGCGTCTAGGAATTCCTCCAAAATTGGAAGGTCAAAGTTACGGCCTGCCCAACCAATGAACTTCTTGAGGTCAACCTTGGAGATGGAACCAATTGGGTTTAGCTGGTTGATAGGTCAGAATGGAGATTTTGAAGCGTTTGAAATATGTGTCGGGTCACTCACGTCAGCAGAACTGGCATCGTACTTGGTGAGGTAGCCTCGTAGACTATCAGTTGAGACAGATGATGTTAGTTCCATATTCGAGTGGCAACTCGGTGTCTCGCTCCGTTTTAGGCATTGATTCGACGTACCATTCTGTTTCTTCAGTTAGTATTATTCCGCAATAGGGGAAATTCGAAGCGCTTACCATCAACGTTTGATGCCGCCAAGACCAAAAGGCCACCACCGCCAGGGCGTTGACGGACAGTTGGCAGCAGCTGAGCAAAGAGATAACCTAGAACCATTCTCATGCGGGCTTGCACATTCTGTAGGGCCGCATTCTCGGCACCACTGCCGCCGTGAACCTTGAAGCGGGGCTGGAAATTGGTGACGACAGTAAAGAGGGTCATGATCGCAGTCACGACGGTGTCGAAATTGAAATCGATATGATAAGAGCCAATGTCCGCGGCCAGCCTCTTCGCGCGGTCTCTTGTCTCATGACTGGAGTTCTGAGTGCCCATGTAGCTCGTATGGAAAATTGCCTTTGCAATCTCTTGACTACTGGTAGGAAGCCAATCCGAGTCGGCTGGCTTAGCACAAAGTCGGCGAACATCCTTAATGACTTGCTCGTTGCCTTCCCTTACACCCTTGAGGACCTCACGGCACATTGAGTGCACAATCACCGACGTAGCACAGCTATCGATGCCACCACTAAGGGGGATGAAGAAACCAGCGGCACCGCATCGACGGAGGTAATCCCACAGCCAGCAAGCTGGTCCAAGGGCAATCTCTTCCTCTGGTGCATGGTAGCGAGGCTTGATAGGCGCGGAAATCGTGAGAGCAGGATCGGCATCTTCGCCGCGACGAGACAGTCTCGTGTCAAGATCAAGGCGAACATAGGGAGACTGCTTGCTTGCTTGCATGCCACGGCTGACGCTGCAGCGGTATGTTCTGACATCCTCAATATCGACAGTGGCGGTGACAACCTCCACATCGTTCAGAGAGAACTGGGACCCTTGAGCTACTATTTCACCATTGACCACAATCATAGCACAGCCGTCGTAGTACAAACGGTCACCGTCACATCCTTGTTGATTGGCATATAAATAGATACCACCACTGAGCTTGGTGGCCTGTGTGATCAAATTGATACGTGTGTCGAGCTTTCGGAGCTCGTGGTGGCTTCCCGAAGAATTGGAGATAATCTCCACACCAGCAAGACCGTAGGCATTGTGGGGACCATTGGGCGTGAAGAGTTCTTCACAGGTCTCAAGGCCAAGGCAGGTGTCCCGAGTGCTGATAACCGCGTCGCCGAATGGGACTTTGTACTGGCCGGTAATGCTGCCGACGATCTGCTCGAGATAATAATCTTCCACCTCTTGGGGTCGCTGCCACGGGGTAAAGTGCCGGTGCTCTCGGTAGTTACCATCTATGATATATTAGCATGATCTGGATGATTGGTGGTAGAAGAGCGAACCGTTTGCGAGCCACATCTTAGGGCGGATGAGAATGATCTTTTTATTGAAGAATATAACCCTGGTATGGGGGCTCAGTAAATTAAAGACCTTCACAATGGCCTGAAGGTCTTACCGGCAATTATATCTCACATTGCGATGTCTGATAGGCATTCCAACATCGACCACGATATCCTGGGTGTCCGGATGGTCAATGATGCGGGCCAGCATCTCCCAGGAGTGGAGGAAGGTATCGCCCTCCAGGAACCCATCAAGAACGCCATACCCGGTAATCTCGAGCTCGGGACCAACACGGAGGGTGGCGCCAGCAGCTTTAGCCTGGCGAATACTTTCGATAATGCGTTCCGCATTGCCCTCGAAGTCGAGAGCCCATTGGTTTAGGGAACTAGCCAAGGAGTCAGCGGACGTTCTGGTTGAGATGATGCAAAGCTCCTACCAGGTTGCGAGGGTAACCAAGTGTCCCATGATGAAATTTCCGAGGCGATTGGAACAGGGTGCAAGCTAGTACCGAGCTCAGGAAAGTGAAGTCTTTCTTATCGGCAAATGTGAATCAGGTCACGTGTGTGGGGGAGTCACCGATTCCCCGCTCCTCGTTTTCGTAATACCACGCCAAATACGGACCTGCGCCCTTCCTCGGCCCAAGTCCGAGGAATTACCGGTTATCGCGATACACGACTGCGGTTCAGGCACGGATCGGTTTCGCCGAGCTGATTAATAGGTCGGAATAAGGGTCCTGAGCTGTCGCAACCGGCTCTTGTCCTGGTTGTAATTTTCTCAACTCATTGCAACTACCCATAGAGGATCGAAAGCCTGTTGTTAACGTCTTCCCATGATGAGCTTGAACCCTCAAATTCCCGCCCCAGCCCACACGCTCGCCGATTCGATGTTGTCGCGGCACTTTGGCAAAGAGACGGTGAACTACTTCTCAAGTATGCCGAAAGCAAAGGCAGAAAAGCAAAATACAAGGCACCAAGGCTAAATACAAACAGGTTCTCCTATCAATCGACTGTCCTTTCTTCGATCCGAGCATTCGTTTCTATCAGCGGCGCTGAAGCACCCGTCTACTCAGTTTGTCCTGCTGAACAATCTCGCTCCGTTGATTCGATCGCCCTCTGAACCATACTATGCCAAATTTGAGGAGCTGCGCAAATTCATCCCGAGGGATTTCTTTGATTATGCCGAGGAGGATTCAATCAAGAGCTTTGACTCGCGCAAGACCAACCCAACTCTCATCTTCCTCGGTATGGACGAGAGCCGCAAGGAGGGAAGTATGACGTACAAGATATACTCTGGAGTGCCCTTCTTTGCGGTGGATGTGACTCCCAAAGGCTCAGAGGAGCAACAGACCGCCGCTAAGGATGTCATTAGTGCTATGGAAGAGAAGGGATTGTCTTTCTTCCAAACAAGAATCGTGAGCACTTTCACTCCGGGCGATGGTATGTTCACACCCAGGGCTTTCAGACGTCCATTGTTGAAGAAAAATACTAAAAATGTCTCTTAGCTGCTATTTATGCGCAAGCACGCGCGTTGAACGATTGGAACAATCGCAATACCTTCTGCGGCAACTGCGGTAACCCCACGCTGTCCGTCAACGCTGGGACGAAGCGAGTTTGCCCGCCGACAGATGCTGCCCGAGTTGCGCAGGGTCAGCCCAGGGAGCGTCCCGCTTGTAACACTCGAAACACGATTTCCAACCTGTCTTTCCCTCGCACTGATCCTACCATTATCGTTGCAGTGGTCTCTGCTGATGGCAAGCGCATTCTGCTCGGCCGGTCGAAGAGATTCCCGCCGAAGTGGTATTCCACCCTCGCTGGATTCATTGAGCCCGCGGAGTCGATTGAGGATGCTGTCCGCAGAGAAGTGTGGGAAGAGGCTGGTGTGACCCTCGCTCGCGTCGTTATTCATTCATCGCAGCCTTGGCCGTACCCGGCGAATCTCATGATTGGTGCCATTGCGCAGTGCAGTGATGCCGCTCATGAGAAGATTCATCTCGAGCATGACCCTGAGCTCGAAGATGCGAAGTGGTTTGATATTGAGGAGGTCGAGGAAGCTCTGCGTATTGGCACAAGTGATCTCAGTGGTAATACGCCTGCTGATTACAAGGGCGGCTTGAGATTGCCGCCCGCGACGGCTATTGCGAACCAGTTGATCCAGTGTGCGATCAGTGCTGATTATTTTCAATCCGAAAAGAGCAAGATGTGAGCATTATGGGGCTTTAGACGCGGATTACATCAGAAGGCTAGAGACGAATATAGCGGAGTATATATACAGTTCATCGAGAAGGTCTAATTCGTCCTTTTGAAAAGTTTGTACAGAGGTTCTTCATAAATCAGCATAGACAGTGCCGTCCCGCAGCTCATGGATGCTTTCTCTACTGCCCGGGGAGCCAACTTCCGTGTAGCGAGTTCCATCTCGAAGCTCGTGAATAGTGACCCGCCGGTCTCTTCGTCGGTTGCGCTTGGTACCTCGAGATGATGATACTGAATCGCCGGGGGTGGCTGACTCGAAGCTCCCAGCTTCACTGATAGCCACGTCGCTGGGTGTTACTCCTCGATCCATACTATCTCGCTCAATGGACGCCTGAAGTTTATTGTCTGCAACAAGGGAAGCGCCAACTTCGGTATACCATCTTCGCAAACCGGAGGCATAGGCGCGTTCCTGTGAGCCGTATTCCACCGGCGGTCCACTCACGTGTGCTTCTAGTGAGGAGCCATCGAATACCGCCCACGAGCTCGATTCGACACTGACGAGCATGATCGAGTGGTCATGACTCCGTACCTTGAAGTCACGAAGCAAAATCGCATTGCCTTCAGCTAGAGATGGCATGGCTGACTTGGTACGTCGGAAGATCTGGGCTTGGAGGGTTGTGCCAGCCATAGAGGGATCGGTAAGTTGAACAGTCAGGAAATAGTCTCTTGGGCCAGAGCTACTTTTGACGATTGGCGTTGCTTCGTAGACAGTCGAGATTGTGTCTACCAAGGAGTTATAGTGATCGACAAGTGTGGCAAGAGGAGCAAAGTAAGACGACTTGCTGCGCAATCCATGGGCGTGACGGTCAGGGACCGAGGATTTGGTAATGATCACTTTCGGCGTTTCAGGAGGTTTGTTGTCGCTCAAAGTCTTCGTTTTTTGCTGATCGACCTGAGCATGTTCGGTGGTAGGTACAACGACATCCACGCCGTCTTTTCCGTCATCTTGTCGAGTGTACAAAGTGTCGGGAAGGGGCTCAGGTGCGACATTTTCAAGGGGCAAGAGGGCTTTGTCAAGGTGAGCTTCATTCATACGACCAAAGTGTTCCCGAGGTTGTTCTGACTCGACGAGGGAACGCGAAACCTCGGTCTTTTCTTGGCTGGGAGGGGAATATAGATGAGGATCGGAAATTGGGAGCTGATTTTCAGTATCGCCAAGCGATTGCCTGTTCACAAGCTTGACCTTGGTGTCAGAATGCTGAGATTGTGGTTGGGAGACATTTTCCTCCTTAGGACCTTCTTCCTGGTCTTCGCCCTGGTATTCCATCTCGTCTTCTTCCTGATTTTTTCCCATATCTTCGTCCACGTCGGCATCCATGAGAGATCGCGGCAAATCTCGATCATTGGCTCCGTCCAGGCTGCTCACGAAACGATCAGAGGAGCCGGGTTCCAAAAGGCCTGTTTGCTTGTGTTTTTCAGTCTCCACTTCGGATTTCTGGTCGGAATCATAATCGGATTGTTCTTCTGGCTCTTCGTCATATGCTTTTTTGGTTTCCTCTGCGTTTGAGTCCGAATCAATGACTGATTCCGCCTTCTCCTTGCCTTTAGAGTCATGCTGGGTTTCACGCGGCTCCCTCGCGTCAAGTTCATCATTGCCGTGCTCTTCTCCAACGGGTTCTTCGTCGATAGAAAATTCTTGACGCAAATGTTGCTCAGCGTGATGGTTGTGTGCTAACTCTTCCACCAAAGACTCGTCGTCAATGTCACTGTCATGGACTCGTTCATCGTCTCCATCTTGGTATCTAAATTCCAGCGCATCAGAGTCTGACTCGTAGTCTTCCTCCTCCTCCTCCTCCTCCTCCTCCTCGACATTCTCTTCTTCGTCTACTCCATAAAGCTCGTCTTCCTCCTCTGCTGCGTATGTCGCAACGCGCGACTCAATGTAAGGCTCACGGATAAAGTTGCTCTCTCGTTGTGTGGGTTGCGAAGGCGTGGAGGCCGGTTGATCGGAAGCAAGCTCATCTTCGCTGTCGCTGTCGAGCACTATGATTTCAGGTTGGGATTGTTGTGGCCAAGGCGGCTGTGTTGTCTGAGGATCCTTGTCACTACTATACCCGTCTTCGTAGCCACACTCCCCCTCATCCACGCCATCTTCCTCCACGAAATCTTCCTCCACGAAATCTTCCTCCACGAAATCTTCTGCATCATCATGATCATCATAGAGGGCTTCATGTTCATCGCCGTCACTTTCTTGACTGGAACTTAGACTAGCTGGATGATCTTGCAAGGGCAGAGCAGCTTCCACAACTTTAGCTTCACTTTCAATTGCTTCTGGTGCGTGCTCACTAGTTTCGTCTTCGGCGGTTTCCATGTCGACAATCGCGCGAGCAGCATTCACCATAGCATCGCCGTAGACACGGCCTATTTGCGCCGGTGATCCCTGGACATCTTTGACTTCGGATCCCTCGCTTTCTGATCCAGATGCTAGTTTTTCGTGCCAGGGATCCTTCTCAGAATCCGGTGCTTTTTCAGCTCCGCCAGTTTCCCCGGGTTGGCGACCGACAGACTCCGCAACAGACATCATGTGGGTATCATCGGTTTCTCCCATTTCAATATGAGCTTCATTCAATTCCAGGTGTTTCTGGAAGGTTGGCGAATTGTAAATCTCGGTCGATTGTTCATGAGTCTGTTCGGCGCGGTGGCCTTCTTCCTGAAGTGGTTCCTGGTCTTGCTCTCCCATCAATGATGGACTTGAGAGGGATTGAGCATGCTGTGTCGTGTCTAGCCGCTCCGTAGAAGCTAAAGTTGTTTGGAATTGCGAGCTGTGTGAAAAGTGAGCCACGAAGCTCTGCACTAGAGAAACAGTCCCCGCTTCCGTTCCAGTAACAATGGATCGAAGAGTCTGTGCTTGTTGTTGGGCGTGGGATGGCGAGAAGTACTCCGTTGAGTAATTATTACTGGACACGATAGGTGAAGGAATTGGAAGTCCGGGCGATGGCACCGGGCGTAGCTGAGGTGTATCTGTAGGAAGATGAGAGGCTGCTCCCGAACCTTGCATGCCAGTTCCAATCTGTCCAGTGGTCTCATGGTTCATATGAGGCGCTCGCCTGCCGAAAAGGCTTACAGCAAGATCAAGTGAAGGCTTCACAAAAACGGATGAACGATCTTGCAATGGGCTTCCGACATTTTCCTGATCCGCAAAGACGGTATCATCCAGAATAGAAGCGTCATTGTCATAGGGAGCTTCCAGAGTGGTCTGCCCATCTCCTTCGGTGTTCATTTCATCCTCAAATTCCCGATCCCATATGTTTTCCAGGTCCTCTGAGCCTTCTTCTCGGCCACTTGTCGATGTGCTTTCAATGCGCCAGTCGTCTCTTTGAAAGCTATATCTCGGCCGTTTTCTGCCTTTCCCAAGTATAGACCCATCCTCGTCGGTAAACGGGTCAAAAGCAGAGTCTCGTGCAGCCTTAAACGGGGACTTTCCACTTTGTGCGAATGCCGGCGAAGACCAGGAACTCTGTCCATAAGCTATGTCGTGTATTGAGATTGCGCGGGGGGTCGAAGGCAGCTGTTTCTCTGTATCGTGCGATGGGCTAGGGGACTGCTCGATGATTACTGTCGACAAACTTTTTGAGGGAGAAGTGATCTGAAGCTTGTGTATTAGCATATATATCGGGGTTGACTGCTGCGAGTCCAAATTACCTCGAGTGACACGCCGTTGTGAAATTGAAGATCCCACACAACAAGTCTTCCAGGAGTTTGCGTGGCTGCATCATTGCCACCAAAGTCAGCACCTTTCAGGGCGAGGCAAATGGTATCTCCAATTCCGACATGTGATTCCGCAACCTTCTCTGCGGCGCGCCCATGAAAGGTCGCCTTTACTTGTCCATTGGACCGACGGAGGCGAAAATCGGGTTCAGCGAGCGAAAGGCTGAGAGACTTGGACGAGGACGAATACGGCCAAACGAGACTAACAGTCGCAAGGATACACTTCTCCTCGAGCTCTTCAAGGGTTGGTGATAGCTGCGCGATCGGGATTTTGGTCAACGTCGGCAGTGCATTGACTGCTGTAGAACCGGTCGCGTCCATCGCGGCCGTCAGAGCGCCCGCTTCTTCACGAGCTTCGTCGCCTATGCACAAGTGTCTGCATATCAGATATCTAATAGATCATGGAGCGGAAAGGTTGACTCGGGGGAGAGTGCGCACAAGTTGAAAGACGCGGACGCATCAACGAGGGTTGAGCGTTGGCATCTCGAGCTCCGTAATAGTTCCGTAATATTACTAACTTTACGCTTCCGAACGGAGTGTTTTAGGTATCATCGTTACCTGAAAAATCACCCTTTCGATTTACGCCTTCGACAATTGCAAGTTAACTGAAAATTGAGATACAACCAAAGCTAGGTATTCTTAAACATTCAAGAATTATAACAAGGTAGTTTTTGCATCTTGGACAACAATATGTGAAAGATTTGGTATACGACTTTATTCACATCTGAGGTCCATACTCAAATCTAATACATTCTCTAAACATCCCGGCATCTAACGGCCACAGCTCTATAACTTAAGACCACTCCCATATCTCGTCTCCCTCATAGCTTTTCTTGTCCTTGGTACCTCTTCTGCTCCTCGAATACGAACCCGAGCTCTGAGAGGGACCGGATCTTCCTCCGTTGATCGCCCCTCTGAACAAAAGCTCTTCTAATTTCAGGGAAATTGGCCCGGATCCACCTCTCTCGTTCACCCCAATAGGTGCCAAGTTTCCCCTTCCCACTCTTCGCAAGTCCTTTACGGGGCTCGGCCGACGCTGCCCAGTCATACAGGGAGTTCAGATAGTCTGCGTCCTGCGGGAATGGAAGTACGTGGTAGGCTTTTTGATCACCCTTGGTTGCGATTTCAATACTCTCCCATGCTCTCATTTCCTCCGTAGAGGGAAGATGGAGACGGCCTGACCACACGCGAGAAAAGACAGAGGCTTGATTTTCGGCCATAGGGAATGGAATCACTCGCTGGGACAAGACGGGAAACACCATGGTGGGGCGATCAATGTAGAACAAATGCCGGAATGTATTCATTGTTCTCCAACCATGCGTAATAACCGGAGGTTCGAGGGATGACAAGAATGGAAAGGAATAGAAGTATCCTGTACAGAAGACGATCGCGTCGATACGTTCCTCGACGTGGCCATTTGCAAAACGGATGGCTCGGTCATGATTTGCCGGAGACAAGAACTCGACGATCTCGGGACAAATGATCTTATCTGCTGGAGATGAAGCGGATAGGTAGGACTCCGACTTCTGGGAGGCCAGGATTTTTCCCAAGCTCACTCCATTGATTTGAGCACCGATGTCGAGTCCAGAGGCAGAGCTCCCAACCACAACAACCTTCTTGCCTCGGAATGCCTCGGGAGAATCATAGAACTTGGAGTGCGAGATAGACCCCGGATAAGTTTTGTCCCAGCACTGGATACCTAGTATATCTGGGAGGTAAGGGACGGTAAAATGGCCGCTTGCGACTACCACAGCATCGTATATGCTGAACTTTGTAATGCCCGTGCGAAGATTGTTGGTGACCAACTCCCAAGTACTCAAGCTAGAGTCTTTCAACCGCACATCCACGACTTGAGTTTCGAAGTGAATAAAGTTCTTCACGTCTTCTGCATAATCTTCTAAATATTGCTTTACCATGTGGTGTTTGGGGAACAGTGGGGTTTGCGGAGGAAATGGTTTTTCTGCGTAGCGCATCAATTCCTTTGGAATGTTTGTCTCAAGCATATCATAAAGAGGCGACACAAAGACCGCTTCGCGCGTCCCGTCCGGTTGATCCACCCAGGTCGGCTTCTCAACCGGCTCATCTGGATTGAGATGAGGGACTGTGGTCAAAAAACGTGTTTTACAGAGGCTGGAACTGTAATTCCAAGCTCCCCCAACACAGCTTCTCTGTTCAAAAACATCTATTTGGTCGAAGTACTTCTCGGCCAGAAGATATCTATATTGATCAATTAGCATCCAATGTCACTCAAAATGTCAATAGGCAAGTGCCCAAAGAGAACCGTAAGCATATCAGGACAATCGACGGAGGATTTACTTTACCGAGGCCAGGCCAGATGGCCCAGCTCCAATGACCGCCACCCGGCGTACGGGATTCATGAGATCAATTCGACAAGATGAGGATCAGGATGAGGGGTTGAGCGGAGTATAGTGGAGTGTACGGGCTTATCGTGATGGATAGTACCGTATGTCCGATAAGCATTGTCACGTGCAGGTGCGTCCGCGCTCGAGTCGTTGCCCGTCACTCTTCCTTTCTATACTTCATCTTCCTCCACGTTGCTTGTGTCGGGGACATCCTGGGGCAGCGCTACCTTTGGGGGGTTTCTTCAGCTCGTGTCATGTAGGGTCATCCTTGTTCACCACGCAATAGCTCCCATTCTCATTGTCTTCCCATCCGCTCATCCGATAGCTCCAAACATGGCTAACTTATCAAGCTCGCGAGCACTTCGCTCTTTCCGCGCAACCAATATCACCAATACTCTACAACCCACCCTTTCCATTCTCCGGCAATGAATTGTTTTCCGAGTTCGCAATCGTCAGCACTCCTCGCGAGATAGTCGCCCAGCTCCTTATTTCCTACTCTTCCCAACTCATTCGTCAACGCCTTTCCAGTACAGGTCACTGTCCAGGGACTTACAAAGAAATTCTGTCGCCAAAAATGGACGAAAATCTCACTCCGTCCTCCGTGGGCGATATTGAAGCCGAAGTGCCGATCTCTATTCCTGAAATTACCGCGCCTCTTAGTGTTCGAGTCGACAAAGACGGATCTCTCGCTCACACTCACACGGCAATTCACCATGATCACCCAGAAGGTCTACTGAAGCCTTCGCATCGTGGGGATTTGGTGTCAATGCAAACAATTCAACCCAGTGCGTTGACTGTCGAGAATGTCGAGGACGCTTCGCCGGGCTCAGTCCGCCTTGGGCCGTCCGAATTTGCTATAACACTTCCCATGGATTCTCGAGTCAAGGACGACTATGAGAAGACGTTGACGGGTGCAGCACCCAGCATGCGAGAGTTCTTTCTTAGCTTTAGTCCCACCTCGCAGGTCTCAGAAATTGAGCGAAGACGATTGTTGCCGAAAATGCATGAAGTCATTGCACGTCTCAACAATGTTTCGACTCATCCAGACTTGAACATTCCCCAGCACTGCCAATACCATGATTCTGAGCTGGCGCAGGAGGCCTCATGGGCCGAGTACTCCAGCGCGAAGTTTTTATTCCTCAAGTACTGGATAGAACTTGCGAGTGCACACGACCTTCATGTGATCCTTGAGGTCCGTGGCGACATGAAGCAAAATATTCTTGAACGCTATTTGCCAGGCAAAGGCTTCACTTACACAAAACCACGCGCCGAGCTGGGCGAAAGCGTCGAAATTTCAATGGCCAAAGGCTCCTTGAGTTTCGGTATTCACGGAAATGACGGCGTACAAGAGCTTTTCAAATCACCATGTGCGATTATTGCCCTGGACACTTCTTTTGACCCCAGGAGCCCCTCGGTCCAGCATATTCGAACAACCTACACTCGAAATGGAAGCCTTCTTCCTGTCATCTGGCTACTAGTTGCCAACACGTGTGAACACATTGGACGCTGTCTGCCAGATTTATCAGAGTCCGAACGGCTTCGTCTTCTTTTGCAAGAAACTGCACACCTCCATGACGACGTTGGCGATCTCCAGGACGATGCCCTAGGTGTCCACGAAGATGTTGAAGAGGTTCTCGGTTATTTATCTGACAACCTTGCCAGCTGGACGCTTCCCAGTATTGAACCTTTGCATTTTATTACTCAGGAAGAATTGGACTCATCTGACCCCTCGTCAGATGAGCCAATGCCAACAGCTCCGAAACGTTCCCTGGTAAATCCACTCTTCCAGTTGGTTACTAGAGTCTGCCCAACTAACATCGATAGGACGACGATGGCGACGATTACACAACAAAACGTGCACGAGTTGAAACGCTCTATACCAGCGAATTCACTGACTTAAGCAAGGCGCCCAGCCGGACCTTGAACCATGACCTACACTCCTTGGAAAAAAGTCTTGTTCAACTAAAAAACGCGCACGCCGCAGAGAAGGATCAATTGCAAATTGAGTTGCTGGAGACTCAGGCTCAATTGCAGGATTTCAAGAAAGCCATGAGCGAACTGCAGCACCGCTACGAAAGTAGGACCAAAGATCTACACAAGACGCGCCAGAATCTTGAGCGACTGATAGAAGGAAAGACTTCCCTGGAACAACGCATTGAAACTCAAAGAGAAAACCTTTCAAAATTAAAGGACGAGCGCACAAAGCTCAAACAAGAACTTGAGGAAGCTCGCCAGGAGCTCAAAAATGGTGGAGGTACCTTGGCTGAGTTGGAGACCGCCCGCGAGGAAATTCGGCGGCTGACGAAGGAGAGCGCAAGTCTGGAACGGAAGGCCGAATACTCGCAGAATCAGGCAGAATATGTCCGTGAACAATATCAAACTGCATCAAATGTGGCTGCTCAGGCCGGCAATGAAGCTCGGCAGCTTCGCGAGGAGAATGAGTACTTGAAAAAGAAAGTTGAGGGCAACATGGTGCAATTACGGGAAATCAACAGAAAGAACGACGAGGCTCGGCATATCGCGCGAATCGAAGAACTGGAAATTATCCTCGCCGCGCGAGATGAGATGCTCCGGAAGAAGGAGGAGGAACTTCGCGAAATCCGCAAGAATCGACCGTCGACTCGCTCCACCAGTACTCAGCCGCGGAGCCCCAAATGGGCCGGCAGCCGACCTACCAGCCCTGGGGTAAATCACAATGGGAATGGCAATGGCCTTGCAGGACGAGGCAGCGCCTTGCGTTTTAGTTCGGAGATGCCCTTCTAGCGATTCATCCCGTCCCTTTAGAGTATCATCCGTGGCTTAGAAATGTACAGACCATCAGCTTCATCTTTTGACCTTACGAGCGAACACTGCGCATAATACACACTATCGTTTTGTTTCGGTCTAGTTCTATAATCAAGTGCGGTTGATTCTAGTCTCAGTTCAGATGTGCCATGATCACTTCCTACCGATCACACTCGGTGAAAGCACCTTGAGCCGATGTAACCACGACTGTTGGTCCACCTCTGATCTATGACGCATACAGACAAGTAGAGCAACCTCTGCATGAGCATTACCTCATGTAACCTCCCACTTTTGCTTAGAAGATAGGCCTTGCATCGACCCTCCATCTTCTTTATTGGGAACCCAGGATTTATTTGATTACGCGAGAATAAATTATTTTCAAACGATCCGTATTCCAAGATTAATTTAAATGAGGCCACGTAAATAGGCCTATAAAGGTTATGTATACACCGAGGTAAATAAAAAGCACAAGGTAGAGAGAGCCATCGACAAAAGAGTGAAAACAGTGAAATAAAAAACTAAACCAAAAACACATTCTTTGAAACCCATTCAACTCCAAACCAAATCAACAATATTTCAGAGAAAGATAAAGAAATGCGGTTCACTTAGACAGCGGTGTTCATCGCGTTCGCCATGAACGCAGCCAACTCCTTGGCCTTCTCGCCACGGGTCATAGTGAAGTGGTTAGCTCCCTCCATGACGGTAATGCCACCCACGTTCTGGGGACCAACGAGGGTATCCCACCCATTGGGACCGAGATCGGTGCGGTTATTGAGAAGCCAGAGCATCTCACGGGGATCGGGGCTTCCATCTTCGGCAGGCTCTGGACGAGCATCCGTGGGCTTGTTGCAGACGCCGTCCTTGGCCCAGACCATGAAGGTCTTTGGGAGCTTCTCGGCCAACTTGCTGTCGTTGAAGGGGAAAGGCACCGCCTTGTAGGCATCAAGAGAGTCAATGAAGGCAAGGAAGTGAGGGAGCAGCCACTTGGGCGGGGGTGCCTTGCCCTCTCCGAAGAGACCGATGGTATCGAAGAAGCGGTAGAGACGGCGAGGAAGCTTCTCGAGACCGATCGGGAAGGGTGAGTCGAGAAGGAGCAGACGCTCAACTCGCTCTCCTTCCTCAAAGATTAGCTGACGGGCTGCGTCGAAGGCGCAGATGCCACCAGCTGACCAACCACCGAAGTTGTAAGGTCCATGAGGCTGGCGACGGCGGATCTCAGCGACATAAGGAGCAGTAATCTCGTCCAGGCTGGACTTCAGGTTCTCGGGAGTGCGCATGTACGGGCAGTTCAATCCGTACACACAGACATTGGGGGAGAGACCTGGTATTGTGGCGTAGGAAGTGGCAGATCCAGAGCCGTCAGGGAACAAGAACAATTTCTGGGTAGCCGTCTTAGGGTTACCTTGCAGCAGAATGGAAGTTGCAGGCGGGTGCTGAATAGCTTTACTTGGAGCAGCCTTGGGGACCTGGACAGGGATCTCCTGGGGAAGTTGGGTAGGCTCAGGAGCAGTGGTCTTTGGTTTCAAGTCGAGTGCCGTCTCAATCTCGTTGACAGTCTGGTTCTCGATGAAGAATTCTCCCGGGAGATCGAGGTCTAGAGTCTCGCGAATTTTACCGAGGACAGTCAGTGACATGAGAGAGTCAAGGCCCATTTCAGCCAGGTTCTCATCGCCCTCAAGCTCATTGGGCTGAACTCCAATTTCTTCAGCAAGAATCTCACAAATCTGTTTCATGCTGTCATTCTGCTCGTAGGTCATGCTCTTCTCATTTGCGGGAGTTGGAAGTCCACTCGAATTTGGAGCAGAAATGTCCGTCGAGGAGGCGGCAGAGGAGATGTCGAGCTCGCTGCTAGATCCGTCGCTGCCGCTCTCACCAGGGCTCATCTGGGTCAGAAGCTGCTTGAAGTCCTTGACAGTGGGCTGATCCACAAAGACTGAGGACTCAAGGTCGAGACTCATCTCCTCGCGGTAGCGACCAGTCACGGTCAAGGAAAGCAGAGAATCAACACCATAGTCCGCAAAGTTGAGGTCGTCGGTCAACTCCGATACAGAAAGACCAACTTCCTCGGCCAGGATGGCGAGGGCCTTGGTGATAACACTTGGGCCAGCGGACTTAGAAGGCGCAGCGCGATCGGCTGACTTTTTCGGAGGAGCCTTCGCTTTCTCAAGGTTGATGGGTGCAGGTCTACCCTTTGCTGGAGCAGCTGGAGCAGCAGGAGCAGCTCCGGCAGGCGGGAGAACAGTGTCGAGAATTTTCCGAGCCAAAGCCTGGAATTTGACGCCACCGTAAACAGCAACAACCTCATCGCCTTCAAACATCCACACATCACCTGCCCAGATCGAGTCTCGCCATGGCTGCATGCAAACGTAGGTGCGGTAGGTGACCTTGGGGTCGAACTTTTTCAAGCAGCGCATGAAATCCCAACCGTGGTTCACAAATACCTGATTCTTGGAATCAGTGGCATCGCTAGCATTCATGATGAAGCCAGACAAGTGACCAATGCTGTCTATCCAGAAGGGGTTGCGGTGGAAATCTCCAGGAGGAGCCTGGAACTTGACCAAAGCAGTAGCCTCGTGCTGGTCGCTGTCGAGAATGACTTCCTGAATTGACTTGTAGTTCTCATCATAGTCGACCAGGGAAGCAAACAGCTTGTATACCATTCCGCGCTTCATGCGGTGGGCCGCACCAGATTCGGTGCTCTCCCGGAGGTGCTCAATACTTCTCTTGATGAGATAGGTGTTGCGCTTCCATTCCGCCTCAGCAACACTAGTATCGAAGAACTTAACTTGGCAGTGCGCATGATCGATAATTTTCTTGCCTTCAGGCGTGACGGACCAGACCTTAATGACAGCGTGTTCATCAGCCCAGTTAGTAGTGGCTGACACTCGGAACAGCTGCTTGCCGCCCTTTGCGATCATGGGCTTGGGCACAACCATGTTGCAGACGTCAAAGCCTCGTCCCTCCCAGTCGGGCTTGTAGGTCTTGACCAAGAAATCGCCAAGTGTCTGAGCGATGTCGGCGTACAAAGACGATGGGCATAGAGCGGCGCCATTGACCTTGTGGCCCTGAATGACTCGATTCAAGTCAGGGTCGGCAATGTCGTTCTCAATGACCACAGTCGCCGTCTTCTCGTCACCGCTTGTCTCGAGCACCTTCTGGGCAGCTGTTGTCAAATAGGTAGTGACAGGCGCGGCCTCGGTGGTAGGGGTCGCCGGAGCACCCTTCAGCAAGCAGAAGTTGTTCGTATAAGGAATCCAGTAGTTCTTGAGATCCCACTTGTAGGCAGGAAGATTCAGTACCTCATGCATGTTGCTGAAGTCCTGATGATACTCTTTCCAGCGAAGATCCACACCAGCCATGTACAGAGCCGAAAGACTGTTAGACAGCACCTTCCATGTATCTTCCTGGCGACGCAGTGATGCCACAGTTGTAGCCTGGGGACCAAAGGTCGACTTGACCATGCCAGAGCAGACGGGGTGAGAGCCAATCTCAACCCAAATGGTTTTATCATTCATCAGCTTGGAGTGGCGAGTGGCCTCCAAAGCAGCGAGGAAGTTGACAGTCTCCCGGCAGTGGCGAGTCAAATAGTTAGGAGCGAGGACCTCAGGATTGGCTTCCTTGATAACATCTCCAAGTAGAGAGGAGACGAAGGGGATAGAGGGCTCATGGAATGTAACACCCTTGGCGATATCGGCGAGACTCTCGAGAATAGGCTCAACCTGGGCAGAGTGGAAGGCGAAAGGTACCTTCAGCTTAGTAGCCTTGAAACCCTCGTTCAAAAGTGTATCAGCAAGCTTCTCAATCTCGCTTACGGATCCACTAATGACAGTCTCGCTGGGAGCATTAATACATGCTACCTCAGCAGCATTCAGGTTCAGGAATTGCTTCACTTGAGCGACAGAGGACTTGACAGCCAGCATAGCGTGAGTTCCAACTTGGCACCGCTCGGTGAGCAGCTGAGCCCGGCGACCAGCCAAGTAGATAGTGTCACTGGTTGTCAGAATGCCAGCAGCATTCATAGCAGCATACTCGCCCAGGCTGTGACCGAGTACAAAGGTCGGAGCAACTCCAAGGGAGATCCAGAACTTTGTCAAAGCCATCTGGATACAAGTAGTACCCAGCTGGGTTACAATAGGACTCAACTCCTCGATTTGAACGCTGCCATCGATCAAGGGAATAATTGATGGGAAGCCCAGGCTTTGAGCAATGCGATCGAGGTGCTCGATGTGAGTCCGGAATTGCGAATTGTTCTCATACAGCTGGCCAGCCATGGCGGTGTATTGAGCACCTTGTCCGGTGAAGACAAACCCAACTCCGGGCGCGGTTGCAGGAACCGGAGTAATGCTCTCACGATTAACGCTAGCATTCAAGCCATTGCGGATTTCATCCAGCGTCGAACCAGTTGTGGTAGCTCGGAATGGGTGGTGGATGCGACGCGCGGTAGTGGTGTAAGAGAGGCTAGCAAGAAGACTTTCCTCATTGACATTGAACAAGTTCTTGTTCGTATCGATATACTGGACCATTGCGGCAACGTTATTCTTCAGCGCAGACTGAGATCTGGCGGAGACGGCGACGACGTGCATAGACCGGGGGTCCTTTCCGCTGCGCTCACGCAGAGGGCTATCCTCGATCAGCAGCGCAGTGTTTCCACCAGCTGCTGAGAAGTTGTTGACAAAAGCCTTGCGTTTGCCACCCTCAGGGCGATTCCAAGGAGTGGGCTCCATGGCGATGTGCACGTTTCGTTGCGCCATGTCAGTGGGGAAGTTATGGTTGATCTTGTTCTTGATGCCGCAGTGAGGCGGGATCATGTTCTTCTGCATCATGACGAGGACCTTGATTAAGGCCGAGACACCAGAGGCAGATTCTCCATGACCGATATTAGACTTAGCCGAGCCGAGATGAAGCGACTGAGCTGGCCCACGACGATAGTCGGGAGCAAAAACCCCCAACACTGATTCCATCTCGACGGCATCGCCGGCTTGGGTTCCGGTTCCGTGCATCTCAATGTAGCTGACCTCCTTGGGATCGATGTCGGCCTCATTGAGCAACTTGTCGAAAATGAAAGATTGGGCGCCGGCAAGAGGACGGGTAATGGAGACGGCCTCCGCCGAGTGATTGGTGTAAGCGCCGTCAATGACACCGTAGATGGGGTCGTTATCGGCATAGGCGTCCTCAAGCCTCTTGAGAACCACGGAGCCAATGCTATCAGCTCGGCAGTAGCCATCGGCACCATCGTCGAAGGTGTTGCAGTTTCCAGTTCGGGAGAGGAAGTGGCCACGATCAAGACCAGCATGGTTGTCCGGGTTGGTTAGAATATTGACGCCACCTGCCACGGCGGAATCGCAGTCGTTCTTCCATAGGGAGTTGCATGCAATATGAATGGCAGCCAGACTGGACGAACAGGCCGTATCGACGCTGACACTAGGGCCGCTGAACTTGAAATAGTAGTTGATTCGACCAGGAGTGAAAGCACGGTTACCACCAGGAATAAAGTAGGTGTCAATATCCTGGCCGCTGTTTATCTCGCGGTAATCATCACTGGTCATTCCGTAGAACACACCGACTCGGTTCTTCTGTGTGGACGGAGTACTGTCCGGGATGAAACCAGCCATCTCAAAAGCCTCGTAGGCAGTAAGGAGAGCAAGGCGCTGGGCAGGATCCGCTTGCAAGGCCTCACGAGGAGACATGTTGAAGAATCGAGGGTCAAATAGACCAGGCTCATTGATCCAGCAGCCATATTGAACTTGGCTGGTGTTTCTCTTCTTTCCATCCATGTCGACATGTGCTTTGACGTCCCAGCGCTCCGGGGGCACCTCACGGTGAACATCGAGTCCCTTATACAGGAGTTCCCAGAATGCTTCGGTGTCGGGAGCTTCAGGGAATCGACCTGAAAGTCCGATGATGGCAATCTTGGATTGTTCGGAGCGACCACTGTGGTTATCGCCTTCTGCATCCTTCTTCACCTCGCCAATAGAGCCATCAACCTGAAGGTTTGAGATTCCAGACTTCCTTAATGACGTATACAGACTCTGTGTTGCCGTGCTTGAAATAGGAAGCAGGGTGCACTTGGACTTTGTTGACTTCAAGTGGGAAGAGCATGCGTCGACAACCTTGTCCCAACATAGCTGGCGCAACAAAATCTCATTAAGGGACATCTTTAGAAGAGCCTCCATACTTTGGGCTTCCATTGCCTTGCCTGTCTCGCCTGACAAGATTGGAATTTGGGGGACGTAGTTCTCAAACTCTTCTTTTGGCCAGGACTCCATGATTCGGTCAATATCTCTCGCATCATACAGGTGCTCGGCATGGTAAGGACCGTGAATTGGGACCCGGGTGGGCTTCTGCTCCTTGGAGAGGCATTCGTCGACGAATTTCCCGAGCATAGAAGGTGGACCACTAATGGTGACACCATTCTGGCTGATGGCACTGATATATGGCTGAGAAACACGAGTAAGGGCCTTTTGACACGTTAATCTTTTTGCATTCCATTGTGTAAGAAACGGAGGATGTACTAACATTGGTCTGGGCGAAGCCTTCAATGAGCTTTTGAGCCTCTAGCCCTCGAAGTCCGGAGACCAGAACAGACCAACTTGGTGACGGTCCCTTTGATTCCACAAGGTCCCGCACCTTGATGACAGATGCTCCAAGCCTCAGAGCCAGAACAACAGTCTGAACACCGGCTGGGATCAGCTCTCCCACAGTCCGCGATGCGCTGACAGCTGCGGCAGCAAGCTGGCCGGTGCACAGACCAATAATGCAGCTGTCGTATCCAACAGGATACGCATGGCCAAGGTCACCATAGTAGCTATCAACAGTTAGATTGGGGATAATCCATACTCCTGTTCGAGACACTTACTGGATGAAACTTCCAAGCTGGTAAATGGTCGTCAACGCACTTTCCAAAGAAGGGTTCTGTCCGTGCTCTCGATATCTTGCCAGAAGGTCAACAATGCTCGTGAAGCGAGGGAACATCTGTCGCTGCGAGGGTGACAGCTGGCTGATTTCCGTGCGCAAGGCATGATAGCACTTCTGGAAAAATGCCTTCAGTAGGGAGTCGTTCTTGGCATGAAGCAGGCGACGCAGACCCGAATCAAAGTCGGCAGTCTGATCTCCAAAGAGATACACTCGACTGAGGCTTTCCATTGTCAAGCCTGATGCAGTCAGGGGTGTAAAACCTTATGAAGAAAGAAAAGAAGACGAATTGGAAACTGACACGAGTCGACGGGGTTGATACTTTATACAAGTAATGATGGGGATATTTTCATATGGAGTAGAATTCGATCGATCGTAAGGCACCATTGGCTAAGGGGTCCGATTGGCACATGGATCATTCCCGGTAAAACACTTCTATCCTGTTTTTCCCCTCTGTCAAAGAGGGCTAGAACATGCGAAATGTGAGACCAGACGTCTTCATCCATGGTATCCAGGCTGCATGGAGCATGGCCCAAGTAGTACTCCGCTCAGCCGGGATTTTCAAGTCGTTTAGCCAGACCAATGGCACGGTTACTGTGGTTAATCCGCAGGTATGCAGTGAAAAGTTGCGAGCTTCCAAGCTCGAGGAGAACGAGATCGCGATGGAGTGGGCCCGGCAACGATCGATTCCCTGGGTTATCCCGATTGGACCCTGAATCCAAACTACGGATGGACAAAGGTACGGGAAACCGATGATAGCTTCTTGCTGCCGATAGCTGTTTGCGGATGTGACAGCTACTGAACCATGCGTGGGAAATCGATAAAAGACCCTTAGACCACTATCCATGACATATGACCAATCTTAAATGCCGGATATGGTATTCAATACAGAGAAAAAACCGAAGATCGTTGCAATTGTAGGTTGGTATTGCCGGTTTCAGAAGGTTACACTCGCTGCGATCCATGACGCACGTGACTGACGTGCCCTTTGTACCTCTACTGCAAGGTTTGCCATACGGGAACGAGACAATAGGAACTAGGGAGCGAGGCAGGGGTTGCAAGGCTAATTGTAATTGCATTGTGTTCGGAGTCTCCTTGATCACAGTTTCAACCCTTTTGCACGCAAAATAATCGTTCAATTTCTCATGTTCCAGATCTATGTCTCAGGTGGTCAATTATCTGGAATGCAAAGAAATCCCAGGAAAACACGAGTATTGCCCGATCTCATGCAAGAGAAGTACGCCAGCGTGCAGATCCTCCGAGGTGCCATGCCAAGGTACAAGATACGTCATGACTTCCTTCGGCCGTCAGTTTCACTTCTGGGAGCCACCGCGACCTTCTCTCCAGCCTCTGCAGATCAAGTACTATCCTGATCATGCGACCCCTGGGAGCGCGTGTCGTGGCGTCGATCGAATTCCAGAAAAGTCTGTGCGTGATCAGATGCAGTTGCCTTTTTTCATGCCTTTTCATGCCTTTGGATGCCTTGGCGAACATCGCAGATCAAATGAGTCATTATCACCCATCATATAGATGCGGAAATCTGTCAAGCTACTTAAGGTTTTGTCCTGGGCCAGGTAGGTTTAAGCCTCAACCAAGTCAAGAGGGGAGGTGCTTGTGTCAGACATCTCGAAGCTTGTACGATCTGTCATAGGTGGAGTGAGATCTACACCGATCAAAGTGGGTCAACGGCAACGGTCCGCCATTTCCGGAGAGAGCAATGCAATGATAAGAGCACTTGTCCGACGAATGGATGAGAGAAGATTGAACCAATTTTGAAAATGGGACCTTCTGGTATCACGGGTATCAAATATAACCGAGGATGGGTATGGCCTGTGAAATGCAGCTCATGCCAATGATCGAAACAGTCCGAGGGTGTCACTAAGCAATGTAAGAGGAGTACCAATGCTAGGCCTGGTAGTGCCCGCTTCGGCGGTACGACTTCCCGGTCGTCATATCGGGGACGTCGCTGGCCTCTGCGATGACATCAATCACTTCAAATTTCTTTAGCTCAACTTCATGGTGGTGTTGAGGCTCATGCCAGTGGCCATAGGACTCCACATAATCATCTGTAGTGGTTGCCTGCGGGGATGAGGGAGTCACTGGAGACTGGGAAGCTACAGAGCTGGGCTGTGGGGAATAGCTACGCTGTGGAGAATAGCTGGGCTAAGGAGAATAGCTGGGCTGGAAGTGTAGCTAGGAGGATGAAGCGTGGAGGTTGACGCAGGCGTGGGTGTATACATAGGGGCGACGGAAGGGGTAGGAGTGGGAGTGGATGGGGTCATAGTGGTACCGCTGTGAGGGGGCCGTCCCTTGCTCGCGCCTGGGCTTTGATCCTCACCAGCCGGAATCTGAGGCCATACATCAACGCCGTCAAGGAGTGCAACCGCCATACCGTTGGATAGATGAGTCTCGATGTGACAGTGGAAAGAATTGGTCCAGGGTTGACAACCTGGTACCGCACAATCATCCAAGTCGGGCCGGTGGGTCCATTTGTAACAAAGTGTCACGCTTCAGAGGGTTGTCCAACTGGAAAAGCTCAGGACGCTCAGCGTTAGCCTCTTCAGTGCTGGTCCAGATGAAGAAGTCACGACCCGCACCAAGAATGAAACCCTTGTTAGAATGCTTGTGCATCACATGGGTCGCTTGTATGGGGGGCGTATGAGACATGTCGCCTAGCTGCAGGAGGAGGTCGACCCAGGTGCCATTCTTGGTCTGGATGGTCGGTCACCTGATCAGCCAGGTTGTTCTGGCATTGATATCTTAGAGGATGGGGTCATCCCAATTAGCCATCACATCGTACAAGGCGCTTCCAGATGCAGTCCAGGTATATGAAGAGCCATAACTACCGAGGGTCAGGTTAACCAGCTGGTCGGCGTGTCTTGGTACTGTGACCGGAGGGTAAGGCTTCATGTTCCTCTGGTCCAATGCCTTGACAGCGGCAGATGTACTTCGGCCCTCGTAGTCCACAAACGGCTGGGAGGGATAGATATTATCAGAGCCCTGTTAACGCATAGTCGCAAAGCCATAAATGACTTGGTCACCCTGAGTGTCAGGAACACGGATCGTGTAGTCCTTGTAGGGCTTGTCAAGTTTGACCATGGCCGCGTAGCGCTCTCCACTGAAGATCGCAACGCTCTCAGCCAGCTGCGGCTCAATATAGCTTCCGTCAACTTTATAGATGTACATTGGGTGCTCGTCGATGGAGAACATCAAGGACTTCATGAAGGCTGCACTGATAAATTTGAGGCTGACCCAGCCATGATCGGCGTTGACGTTGATAATTTCGTGCAATCCAGTGGTAGGTTTACAGCCAGCATTGAGACCCTTGGGAACATTGGCTTCGATGGTTGGGGGAAAGTCACCTTGGGTTTGGTATATATTGGGCAGGCATCTATGGAGGGAAAATGTCAGCCTCTGGATCGAATGAATCTCGGGAGATTGATTCACCCCCTTGTCGGTCAAGGGCTGGTTGCCAATGGCAGTCTTGAGGTAAGGTAGCTCAACACTGGAAATATTGTTGGTTCCTGGGCAATACACGGCACCGCGGCCATTGATTAGAACACTGTCCATGCAGCTGTTTCCCCATTAGCGCTGCTATAGTGTTCAATTAAGAGCAGTGGAGACTCACGCAAGATTGAGACCAGAGTCTCTTTGGGCTTGTTGGTATTCTGCAGCAGTCAAGTGATCCCAATCTGACAGTATAAAAAGGTGAAGATTCTTCTCCGCTTTCTTCATTGTCGCAATATCGGTGGGATCGGTGGAAATCTGGAGCAAGGGGTCAAGAGTTTCGGGAGCCGGACTACAATCATCAGCACCATCAGGATCACTGTTAGGCAAAGCAAGGCTTACTTGATCCAAATTGCGCCGTACAAGCCATCGGCCATTTCCAAGCGAGCATGAGCATGGTACCAGTAGGTTCCATATTGAGTGGCCTTCCACCGGTAAGTCCAGCTTCGGCCAGGCTCAATTGGCTTTTTGTGTCAGACCAGGAACTCCATCAGACCACGGCGTGTTATGCTGCTGCTCAATGCCGTGGAAGTGAATGGACGTTTCGAAGGGCATGTTGTTGTGAACAACAGACTAAGTCTTGTTGGAACGGATCCTGTGTGATGAACAAATGTAATCCAAAAAGTCGTCCCTCCACATCGTCACCCTGGGTGATTCGCAATTCCGGTCCAGGAAACAGATCGTTCATGAAAATTATCTCTCGGGCATTGCCATCGGGCGCTCCCTTCTGCCAAGTGAGATTTAAGTCGAAATGGACCTTCTTTGCCCATGCCAGGGGCACCAGGCTGGAGGCGGCTAGGGCCAAGATAGTCTTGAGGGGCGTCCCGAAGGCGTCATCACTCGTCTACTACTTGATCGGAAACCACGTGAATGTGCCGATGAAACCCTTCTTTGGACTTCCAACTCTGAAGTGCCATCATCATCAAATGTGCCGCTGTGATTTGCGTGGTTATGACAGGCTCGCTTCTTTTGTCGGAACAATGTTCCCTACACAGCTATGACAGACGAGTGTCAAGCGAATCAATGTTGGGTGTTCCATGCCAACAGCACCGCTTCAGGAAGGCATCACATCCCACATAGTTCGAGGAATGTTCAGCCACATCAAAACGGTTTTCTGCAGGCGGAAGTCGAGCCCTGTCCCTTGCATGGAGTTGTTGCTTCGCGCGATTTTGTCCAATGATTGCTAGTAGAGGCCACGAGGTGGCTGCACGGCTCGGCTGAGGTCGTGAAGGGACTCTCGGGCCGATTCCTCCTAGTCCGTTCGAAAACGAAGAATTAGTTCTACCCCAGTCTTCCCCAGCCACATCAACATTTAACACAAAAGATCAAATGTCTAGCGTCGCCATTTCATGCAAACTTGGTCTAGATTAGGTGACAAAGTTCAGGCCGCCCCTCGTCATGTTAACAAGTGCAATCATGTTTGTGCGCTTAGTTGAGTTTACATCGTGGCACTTTATTGAATTGATTGCATTGGATCTGCATGCCTTGACCGACGATAGTTTACCATCTGAAATGCCAGATCCCCCACGGGCTCTTGATCAGCGGTCACTTTCACCATATTCTTGACCTAGTTCTGGCCATGTCTATTATCAAAGAGTGCCGGTTTTGCATAGATCCTTTCACCTTTGGTCAAAATTTTGAAGACTCTGCTGAGCACAATGGTGCGCAGAACAAGAGCCATCGCTGGAGTATGGGCGAATTGGAGCCAACCATGGGAAAATAAACCAAGTCATTCCACACTCTATATCAGGTTGTTCATAACAGTCTGTGAAGGCATCCAGGTAGCCTCTGAACATATACAGAATGGTGTAAGTTGACACTATTCATGCCGGGTGATGAAACTCACTAATGTTGAACAAAACTCGGAAAAAAAAGTGTTTCTTCTTTCTATGCCCACTTTAATTCCCATATTGATTCAATTTTCTTATGTTTTTGCCAAGGGCTCTTGGCCCCCAAAGGCGGGGAAGGAGCGGGAGGTTGCTAGGGCCAAGTCGCAGCGACAATCAAGCCGTGGGTCAAGTGACGGGAATAAGCTCTACAACCAACAAAAGAGCTCCGGGCGTATGAAATATTTAGATCGCCTGTCTAAGAAGCATCACTGTATTTCATCCTGTCCATCGAATAAGGAAAATATGAGACACAGATGCCCTGGAAACCAGGTCGCTAACCTAAACGTATTAAGCTTATCGATAAACCATTTCTCCGCCCGCTAGACCCGATTCAGTCACCACGTAAACAACCCGACCTCAGCTCGGGCCTCACCGTAGGAACCTGGATTTCCCTTGATTTCCGTCTCCCCTTCCTATCCGATTCCTTTGATAACTTCCGACCTGACAATCTCTTTCACCGCCTCTCCAAAATGCTCGCTGCATGAACTTTTACCCCTGCCGAAGCTCTCCCCATTCGTCCTGCCCAGCTAGGTTGCGACTGAGAAGTATCACGGACAATACGGTCCACGATTGCTGCACAACACATATACGTACCTAGCTCGCGTCATTCAATACTGTTGCGTCGGCGACTTCCCCCTCGAACTTCAAGTGTGCCAGTAAGACCGGTCAAAAAAACATCAGTCCCACGCGATGGCGCTCAGCGCACCTCAGTTGCCATCGCGGTTTCCGTGTTGGTGTCGAGCTGTGTATTCATGGCAGGAGAGACAAGTCGAGACTTGGGGTTTGTCGAAGGAGATCTCATTGAATGCTTGAACGCAGGAGATGGACAGTGGTGGATGGGTCGCTTGCGGCGTGATAGACGCGCTGTTGGACTCTTCCCATCCAACTTCGTCGAGCTCATGAGCGAGGATTTCGTCCCAGTCAGTCGAGATAGTAGCCCAATGGTCTTGCCAGGCGCTTCTCCCATTCATAATCCCACATTCGCCCCGAAGAAAACAAAAACTGTGTTTCGAAAGCCGTTTCAAGCGCACAAGGAAGCCTTGTCTCCTGCTTCAAATCTAGCGAGGAGCGGGTCTAACACTCCAGTCAAGAGCTCAATACCAGCAACACCACCTCGTGACGGGGGTGGATTGCTCGAAATGTGAAGCCTTTGCGCACCCATGCTTCTGCGGTCAAAAACCAAAGTCCATTGTCGCGCCCAACTTCAGTATCGTCCCGGCAGTCATCTCGGGGTGTATCCCCAGCCGTGTCTCCTCGCGCCTCAATGGAGCCGGATCGTTCGCCCTCTACTATGATTCCTCGAGGCAGTATCTCCTCTTCACGCCCAACATCCCGGGAAGTGTCACCAATGTTCTTGCAAGAGCGCGAAGCGTCGCCACCTCCCCCTCCGCCTCCTCCACATCGCGTGGCTATTACTCGGCCACCTTCCAGGTCCCCGCAACCTCCCCAGCCCTCGCACTCTCCACAAACATTCATGTACCAACGAACGCATTCGCCGCAGCCAAACATTCATCAACAATCGCGGTCTGCTCAGCCCTACATGCACCAACGGTCACCCTCTCCTCAGCCTTACGTGCATCAACGATCGCCCTCTCCCCAACCATATATTCATCAACAATCATCCTCTTCCCAGCCATACATGCATCATCGAACCTCCTCGCCTCAGCCTCTAATGCATTATCAGGCACCTTCCCCGCAAGCCCAGATGCACCATCACCGGCACCGAACACCCTCCCCACAGCCACCGATGCACCACCATACACCTTCTCCTCAGCCGCCGATGCACCAATTGCAATGTCTTCTGCGCTCCCCACAGCCTCCCGCGCACACCCCAAAACCGTCAAGATCCCCCAGGCCTTTGGATATGAATGACCGTTATATGATAATTGCGCGCACTCCATCTCCAGGCGCACTTTCAACACATTCCGCTGTCTCGGCCCAATCTGATGCAAATGGCAATACTCCATCTCCTCTCAGAGATGCCATGGAAGATGTGATGACTTCATTGCAAGACATGGGTCTGCCCCGCCAGGCTTCACCCTCTCTTCGTGATGCTCATTCACCTTCAGCTCCAGTTTCATTCAACAATCCCTGGTCGGAAAACACGTATGATGATGACAAAACCCCGCCAGGTAACAGGCGCCGTCATTTGACTTCAATGGGCTTTGATGGACTTAACCAGCAGACTCACGGGGGATTGGTACATAGGACTAGTGTTTATTCACATGACTACCATGGGGACGGTCCGCCTCAACTGAACAATTATGTGCAACGGATGGAAAGCCGTCTTCGTCAACTAGAAGACCAGAATCGACCACCCGAAGATGAAGGAACACCTATGGATGATGATGCACCGCCGCCGCCGCCCAAACACGCCACTTATCATCCGCGGCACAATTCCATTCCAGCGCAATATCCCCATCTTCGGTCCAGGCGGTCTGGTCAAGACGTCCGAGGTGACGTTTTGGACAGATCGTATACAAACAAATCGAGCGCAACCAATTCTAGTGGGGTTCAAAGCGTCGGTACGCAAATGACCAACAGTACAGACAAGACTAACCAGAGCATGATGAGCGGCGCCTCTGCCGGGGGCTTCAGTGCAACAAGCGCAGGAAGTTACGCGAGACGAAATGGTGCTCAAGAGAGGCCCAATACAGCTATGGAAACCGTTCGTTCTCGAGGATTCAGTGACGTCGGGAACATGGACCGCCCTGAAACACCCCTGACCGGTATCTCATATCACTCCAGTCACAATACTTCTCGACAGGGAGCATCATCTGCTATCCCATGGTCATCTGCTGATCATGACGCGGGTGACTCGGGTGGGGTTTTTGGTGGTCTCTCCACCCCAAAGACCAAAAAACAGGGCTTCTTCAAGAAAATTTTCGAGTCCGCGAAGACGGGTGCTGCTAGCGCAAGAAGCAGTATCTCCGTCGGTCACAGTGGTGGCCCACAGTCACCTTCCAAGGGGCATAGGGTAGTCGATACGATATCTCCTCTTCTCACCTCTCGAGACTCGGCTCGTGATAGTGCTCGAGACATGGGCCTCAGCGCTAGCGCTATTGACTGGGTCCAGGTTCGACGTGACGTCAACCGCGCATCGTCTCCTAGTAGGAATGAGCGTATTGAACGAGCTGAACGCTGTCAGATGATGGATCATCCAGTCATTTACGCAGTTGAGGAATTGTATGACACCGCAGAGGGCGACGAAAGTATTGACGGTCTCCCAATCAGCGAGCCCACGAACTTTGACACCCCAAACCTGTCTCTTGTTGACAAGGGTGCCCGCTTTATCAGTAGCCTCCCTCCTACGACTAACCCCGTGAGCCTGGCTCAAGGCTACATCACTCGCCCCTACAAAAGTGATGTTCAACGACTCCGTGCAATCTTCACATGGGTCAGTGAGAAGATCGCTTGGGAGGAGCCTGTCGATGGCCTTGATGTAGACATCAAAAGGGTCTTGCAGGCAAGACGCGGCAGTCCTCACGAAATTGCCCTTTTGGTGCACGAAATGTGTGGATCTGTTGGTATTCACACCGAAGTGATCCATGGCTTCCTTAAACAACCTGGTGATGTACTGGATCTCGAGAGTCTCTCGCATCCCAATCATTGGTGGAATGCAGTCCTGGTCGATGGTGAATGGCGCATCATGGACTGTGCTCTGGCCAATCCGACAAATCCGCAAAGAAGCCGATTTGTAACGAGCAACTCTTCTGTTGCTGAAACTTGGTACTTCCTTGCCCGTCCACTTGAGATCTGCTATACCCACATTCCTCTGTATCCCGAAGAGCAGCACATTTGCCCTCCGATCTCACCTGATGTTCTACTGGCATTGCCAGCGGTGTCCCCGCAATATTTCAAGCTAAATGCAAGAATCCCCGATTACGATACAAGTTTGATCCGGATTGAGGGACTGGAATGCATGCAGATTCGGCTTCTCGTGCCAGCAGATGTTGAATGCGCTGCCGAGGTCGAGTCTCCTGCGTTCGCCCGTGATGCCGATGGAGATTTCTTTGAAAGCGGTGACATTATACGCAAGCGAGCATTGGTGCAACCAGACTGGTTTCGAGGTCAAAAGAGGATCACTGTCAAGGCTGTCCTGCCAGGTGACGAGGGACAGGGTGTATTGAAGCTCTATGCCGGCAAGAAGGGCCTCATGCACACTAGCAGAGACATTCCACACCCCATGGCTCTGGCGCTTCCGATATTGCACAGCGGAGAGAATCCGCCCTACGATTTTGTCCTTCGCCATCCGACCCCGCATGCCCAGCGCCACGATCTTTACATTATGCAACCGCAATGTTCGCGCCTGGCAGTCAATAATACATTTGTTTTCGCCGTCCGTCAACATCCCTCATCGCCTGGAGTCACGCCAAAGGATGACTCTTCATCCCATGGACGTGACTCTCCGTCGGTGTTCAACCGTCCTGCCAGTGCACTTAGCATGGTATCAAGCACCGCGGGTGGCTCAACCGTGTCGAGTAATTCGAACGAGTTCTCTGCTTCAACCTCCGCCATCTCATCTACCAGGTCGTCTTCCGGTCGTGACAAGCCTGCGAAGCTAGCCATTCAGTCTCCCTCCGGCAAGATCCTACGTCTCACCCGCAAGGCAGACCACATGATCAGCAATGACAATCCATCCGACTCGGTCACGGATGCTGTTGCGGAGGGTAGTGTATGGGAAACTGTGATCAAGATCGGCGAGCGAGGCACCTGGCGCGGTCTAGTGCTCGCCGACCGAGTGGCACGGTGGTGTGTTTTCTGTGAATGGGAGTGTGTCTGATGAACTATCAGATTTGAGTTGGATCAACAGCTTTCTGATCGTGATAGAGCATACTGAGGTGGGTATTTGATGATTTTTTGTTTGCATTTTTTGCCGCTTTCCATGGCGCCTGCGTTCTCATCTTATTCCTTTTTCCCTACTGGCATTTGCATCAGGTTGGCTTGGAGCATTGCATATACTGCGTTTCATTTTCATTTTTAGCAAACAATTTTGCCTCCTGGTCTCGGGTGTTTGGGTTTCTATTTAGATCTTGCTAGAAAGCAATAAATTTGTATTGCACCTCGCATAAAGCATCCGACGATGTAAGATATGATGGTTCTTCAAACTTACCTTACTGACTCGACAGCCCGACCAAACATCATTACTAAATAAGACACTCTAATGAATGGTCCTGACTGCCATCTTAGATGTGTCGTTCACAAATTATTACAGACCATGATCACGTCTCGGTTGGGCCGTCAGATCTGAAATCGTGGAACTTGTGCAGAAAAACGCCGAAAGATGGTGCTCTCCACTGCCGTCCTCCCGCGACCGCCGCTACCTCTCTTTCCCTCTCATAGCACTTTGATATTCTCTAATTTTCTTTGATGGACCACCAGCCCCGGGCTTCTCAATTCCCTCTCCGTTCGTCCAGCCTCGGCAGCGCAGGGTTTTCAAGAGTTCATATCAGTCTTACCTTACGCCTCCTATATAGACACGATGAGTTAATTTACTGCGGACCATAAATGAATCGCGATTCTGCGTTCTTCGTCTATTCAAGGTCTTTCGCTATGGTGTTGCTATCTGACACGTTCCAATCGCAGTGAATATGAAACCTGACACACCGAAATCATTTTTCCGGATTGTTCTCTCTGGTCACATCTATCCTGTCCAAGTTTTTTTTTTCTTTTTTTTTTTTCAATTCACCACATGATGCTATTTAGATACGTACAGCGACACCGCTAGAGTCTCCAAACCCCTTATGCACCACTCTTATTCGCCACGTATGCCTCCTACCATTCTTACTGGACCAGTGATGTTTCCAGATACGAACTTGCTGAGTAGTAGAGTACAATCGCGGTATAACTCGCTCGCCAGATAGTCATAAGAGGTGATGATCAATTTGTGAAATTGCTTGGTCAAGCAGACAAAGCACTAAAATTCAAAACTTTCAAGGGGGCATCCGGCTCTCGACGTCTAGCGGTGGCTTGAATTTGATGGAGTATATATTGTGCAATACCTGCTTACCTCACATCACTAAGTGATTATATGGTGGAGCGGTAACTCAGGGGTTTAGAGTTTCCGATTGCAGCGTGTTTATACAGCCGTCATCGGAATGTCAGGTGTTCGAATCACCTTCGCTCCTTTTTTTTTCCCTCTTTGCCTGACTTCTTTGTTTAAGACGAATAATTCTAGTCCGGCAATGTCGAATACACTGCCAGGGACGTTGGATGCTTCAGTCTGAATAAACCTGTCTATTACTACGCAACACTGGAGGATCTCTTATTTGATCGGTTTAATCATAATCTACATTCTTCATCCAGGCCTTCTTCGAGTCTAGGACTATCATGCCCTACTACCGACTCGCTGCGTTGGCTCTGCTTTGACAAGACATGCACGAGGGAATTCAGAACCTACATAGAATTCCAGGAACGCTGCCCATGCCTGAGCTGTCAGAAACATTATCCAAGCATGTAAGATATTTGTGAAATATTGAAAGCAGTATTTCTGGTAGCGCACTTGCCCTACCCTAGGAGTAAATTGGGAAATTTTTGGGCACACCATTAGCGACGCGAGCTCAGTTCTCTGGGTGACCTTTGGAGATGCTGCTGAATCTGCCCAGAGCCCCAGCAGGCTCTGGCGGAGGCCTGGCGCCATTTATACGAAGGAGAAGGGCCTTACTACCTCTACATTCAAGATAGTCACTTGTCTAAAAAAAATAAAATAACAAGCATGGAGAAAACACGAAGCAAAAAAAAAAAGGAGCGAAGGTGATTCGAACACCTGACATTCCGATGACGGCTGCAAATACAAGCTGCAATCGGAAACTCTAAACCCCTGAGTTACCGCTCCTTCGGATGACAAATCATACCCTTTTAACACACATACCCTTGTTTGAACAAAAGAAGAACCTCGATTACCCTTATTGTCCTTGGTCATCTCAAGCAGGGGGCCCCTGCACTTCTCCCTGGACGGAGAATTACGATTAGCTTTTGTAAATAAAAATCCCTTGCAAAGTCACAACATCAACTCTGTTCAGCCATTCATGTTGACGCTTAGAGTAATAAAAAGATGTATCAAGAAAAGATGCAAAAAAAAGGAGCGAAGGTGATTCGAACACCTGACATTCCGATGACGGCTGTATAAACACGCTGCAATCGGAAACTCTAAACCCCTGAGTTACCGCTCCGTATTTGATGAACTCGCAAATTATTTGAGCATCTAAACTTTAATCAGTTGAGAGAATTTTCGCAGACCTTGTCCGATGTTGGTCGCTGCCGATGAAGAGATACGTTCTTGTTCAATTTTTATTTCCTGGATTGAATCGATCTAAGTAGATGAGGCTCAAAGAATCGAACTCTATCACGGTGCACAGACAAACTGGACAGAGAGAAATGACTCCTCAGGACATGGAACACCCTATAGTTCATTTGAGATTATTGGGACACGTACAACGAGAACTGTTTGTAAAGCATTGGACTGAGGTGACGGAGACGCGCCATCCAGCCGTATTAGGACTTGAAAGAAGTGTTTACTGTTTATATGCTATTTTACTTCTTCTTCTTCTTCTAGTGAAGCTGTCTTAATTCCAAGGGCTTCACAGTGACAGTATTGGGAAACAAGAAGGAACATCGAAAGAGGCCTCAATGATAATCTGTTTCGGGTTTCGCGTAATACTTGCATCATGAGTTGGCAACTACTTTCCGCAGCAGCGGTGCGACCTGCTTTCTGCTAGCAGTCGTGTTTGTCTGTTGCCAAAAGCGTCTCCAAATCCCCGAGTCTCCGTTCAGCGTAGACCAAATCGCATGTTCTGTCGAATCAGGGCACTCACAGACCACTGGCGACCATCTCTCGAGGCCAAGGTGAGTAGCGTTCTGCTCAACAAAGGCCTCTGCAGCCTTGACAGCAGCATCGCAATCACCAATCGCGCAAATGAGCAATTCTCTGGAGAATGCATTGTCCACGGAATCGAACGAGGTCATGACAACCACCGCATCCAGCTGTTTAGCTGCAGCGAATGCATGTAGGCCCTCCAAGAACTGTTGAGGCGCGCCTGCCTTCTCAACGACCCAGCGGATGGGTTTGACAGAAGAGCAAAAGCCAAGTTTGATCGATTGCCCAGATGAAGATGTTTCGGTCCATTCCTTGTAATCTCGGTCTAGGACCTCATCCAAGGTCAACAAATCCAGGCTGTTTGTCTTCGCGGCTTGAACCTGTTCATAGAATGCCTCCGCATCCCATTTGAGGTCCTCCTTCGCAACCTGCTCGCGCAGGAACCTCACAGCCTGAATATCAACCTCCGTTACCTTTCCTTCAGCCGTCAGGTTTGAGGTGTCGATCAGGATTGAGGCTAGGGCCAGCTTCGCAAGCTGCGCAGTTTCGGCGGAAGACGCTTCTGCGGCCCAGAGATCACGTCGAACCAACTCATTGACGATCAGGGAAGAACACGATCCCGGACCAGATTGGATTATCAAGGGTTGGCCTGCAGGGAGGGCATCCTGGCTAGGTACGAAGTGCTCGTCGACGTGATGGTCGACACACCCCACCGTGCGGAAACATACCTCAGAGAGACCAGCTATGGAGCCATGTCCAATTTGACCCTCGACGCGGTGTGGCATCGCGTTCCAATCGACCATTGTCGCGTCAGCAAAGATTTGTCGCGATATCGCATTGTCTCGAAGACTTTGTGCAAAATCCGCAACTGTGACGCTGTGCTCTCGCAGGAGCTTCCCCGCGGAGTCGGATGAATTTTCGAAGCGTTCGTCGGAGTTTAATGCGGGAAAGCTGGTGGACAACCATAAAGCAGTGACAAACTCTGGTCGCAGCCGGTATAGCTCAGAGCCGGCAGGCACGATCGGGAGGTTGAGGAGTGGCACATGGGGGCGTGGGGTGGTGCTAGGGAGACGATTGCTGGCCCAGTAGGAGTAAACGATGGCGGAGATGATTGAGTCGAGATCGGCGGAGGGATTGCCCACGACATAGATGGGAGGCTCGGATAGGGCCCCAGCTAGGAACTGGAGGTGTACCTGACGCGCCTGGCGCAGGAATTGAAGGAGGGTCATGTCGCGGAGGAGTTGAGGTTGTGTAGGCTTGATATCCCACTACGTCACCCGGGCGGAACAATAGATCCCCGCAACTGTTTCACGACGTTTCTACAGGATCGACCAACTGCAGGATGTTCCGAATGACCTCAAAATCTTCCATATATTCGCGTTTACCGAGGGTATCCAGAGCTGGCGAGCAGTTGAGATCAATGGTTCAATTACCTGAACCGTTCGCCGAGCTCCCTCGTCATCCTATCTTGTACAGCCACCCTTCCCCGATCCACCCATTACCCTCTCTATCCTTCCCATCCCAAGGTCCAAGACAAACTGGGATCAAGGTCTATGCCAAGCGGGAAGATCATGGAGCACCACTCGCGTGTGCAGGCAACAAATACCGCAAGCTCGAATATATAGTGCCAGACATTCTATCATCCTCGCCAACATACCACTATCACGAACATCACCCCACGACCGAGAAACTCAAGGGACCAGCAACGATTCTAGTGACAGAGGGTGCAATTCAGAGCAACCACACCGTCCAAGTCGCAGCACTCGCGCGCAATTTAGGCCTGAAGGCCCTAGTCCTTCTTTCACGTGGAACGGGCGGCGGGCTCCTTGCCAGTCAAGACCAAGATGCCTTTGTACGCTCAGGGAACGCACAGATCAACCGAATGCTAGGCGCCGAGGTACATATCCTAAAGGAAGGCGACCCTAGGGCTAATGATGCCAATCCCTTTCTTGAGGAACTCCGCGCGCGTGGTGAAAGGCCCTACTGGATCCCCGGCGGCGCCAGTCTCCACGCGCTCGGTGGACTAGGATATGCGCGAGCAGCGTTTGAAATCGAATTACAAGAGCGCGAGCTCAATCTTAAAGGATCAGGCCAATTCGATTACATATTCGTAGCCTGCGGCAGTGGAAGCACCGTCGGCGGCCTGATTGCCGGGTTCAAAGTTGGAGAACCAGCGATCACCACGAGGCAGGTCATCGGGGTTTTGAATTCACCGACCAAGCCGAGATCGTACCATGAGGCACGAGTCTTGACATTTGCGAGGCGGGCCGCGCAGCTAATTGGGCTTGATGGGAAGAATGGGCTTGAGAGTGAACATGCAATTATCACGGATGATGTGAGGCTTGAAGATCGATTTGTGGGGACTGGTTATGGTGTTTTGGACGCCGAGACCAAGGAAGCTATGGAAAAGATGGCACAATCGGAGAGTATCATTCTGGATCCCGTGTATACGGGTAAAGTGGCCAGAGCAATGATGCAGTGGGTGAGAGAACAGGAGGTGCAGCAGTTTGCGCAGCAGCGTGGGTTGGATGAGGTGAATGTACTGTTCATCCATACGGGGGGTCAAGCCGCGTTGGGGGCATACGCAGATGTGATCTAGGAAATGAAATAATCCGAGGAAAGAGAGACTCAGAGCCTTGTGAGGAATGGCTGCATTCATTTAATATTACACGATGACTAGCAACAACAAAAGTCCAAAAAGCAGACTGCCTCATTCATCACAAACATAGCCGTAGCTGACATGAAAAATAAAACAGAACACACTACTTGAGAAAGGTAAGGGAACGCTCTGAAAACTCCGCGGACATCACCCGGTCCTGACCTTTTATATGAACCCCTTTTCCAAAAAAAAAAGCGTGATCGAGAGGAGAATCCGCGAAAAGAAAAATCCTCGGAAATGGATTTCTCGACACATTTGAAGAAAGAACAAATGTGAGTCTACGACTCGGGAAGGGGCAGAACAAGTGGCCGATCAGAGCTCCGACTCAGGCTCCTCTAGCTCACGGTCTTCTTGCTTCGCCGCAGATGGCCCGGTGGCAGGCTGGGTCTCACTGGCAAGAGCTGACTCGTCGTGCACGGAGCCTGCACGACTGGTGCCGTTGCTTGCGTTCAGGGCGTCAAGGACCTCAGAGGCATGAAGGTTTTCCATGGTCTCAGCATCAGGGTTGACGTCCTCCTGATTAGTGAGGTCCGCAAACATATCGTCTAAATTCTGACGCGGGCTGCTGCTGACGAACGGAGGCTCACGGCCACCGAAGCGCGGCGAGCTGAAGAGAGAAGTATCCATGCCCTGTCCAGTGGGCGAGGGAGAGCGCGGAAGGAAGGTCGGGGATGAGGGAGCCGCCGCTGCATGGGGCAGAAAAGCAGAAGAGGTTGGTGCAAAGGCAGGAGTGGAGTCGCTGGCTGGCAAGGAGTAATTCGCAGAGAATGGGTACGCGGCAGCAATTGGTTCTGACATGGGAGTCAGGGCTGGCCCGGTTGTGGGGGGCTGGCTGTTGGCTGCGGTCGGTGGCGTAGGCTGCAGAGATGGACGAGGAATTACTTGTGTCGCGTCAACTGACTTGCGTTTGGTGGCAAGCATATGCTTCGTGCGCAGATGCTCTGGAAGATCTTCAGGACGTTCAACACCAAGCTGAGCCATGATCTTTTGCTGTTTGGTCGGGCGAGGCTTCCGAGTTGACAAGGACTGCTCCAAGATGGGCGGGGGTTCCGGCGCAACAGGAGCCCACTTGTGAATCTCCTGTCGGAAGAAATTCGTCTCGTACGCCAGGAGAACCTCCGCACCTTCAATTTTGCGCAGGTAGAAGATCAAAGTAGGTACTTCTTCAGTGGTGGTACAGGCAGCGTTGGTGAATCCCTGGAGGAAATCACGGAAGGCAAGGGCTTGATTGACGATGCTGTCCAGGACCTCCTCCTCGTCCGGCTGGAAAGGCAGATTGGGGATTTCCGCGTGCCAGTCTTGGAGATCCTCGAGCTTAGGCCGGGCGGCATCACGAGGGATCTTCTGTCGCCAGTCGCAGATGGGGCAAGTGTACTTGTCAAACTCCTTAACTTTGCCTCGTGCGATCTTGAGACATTTGCCGTGATACCTAAATTATGTATTAGTGACCAATTTACCACTATGCATATCCAGAGTCGCCTCAACTTACCACTCATGGCAAACTTCACACTCAATCATCATGCCTGCCTCTGAGTGCCGACAAATACAGAACACGTCTCGCTTCCGTGATTTGGGACCCCACACATTGCTCGGGGCAGTTTCAAGCAATCCATCCGGAGTGTTGTCTCGCGAAGAAGGCTCCACGGGGGGTCGATAGCTGTCCTCGAGATCGAAACAGTACGAGTTGCGTTTTTCAACATACTCCATATGAGACTTGAGGATATGCAGAGGGGCATTCGCCTTCCCAAAGAGCTTCTTGCCTTTTCGCATCCAATCCTCATGCCGTTTCTGTTCACGTTCCAGATCAAGAGCTCCAATCGGTCGACTGTTTAGTTGCTCCAAAGACTCTATGACCTCGCGAATGTCCTTGTACTTCGGTCGGTTTCTAATATTACTGTCTTTGCTCTGTTCGTAGAGTGTTTGGATCCGCTTCTGTGCTTCTCGCTGCTTGGTCAAGATAGCATCAACGGAGGCAAGAGTATCCGGAGCCACGGGGAAACGGGATGCTTGGGCAGAGAGCGCTTCCAATTGCTGGTAGTGAACGGCTTCCACTGACATCAGTTCTTGGGCCTTGGCTTCCCAGGCTTCGCCACAGCGGCGGAGTTCCTTGTAATGAACCAGATGCTCGTTGGTGTCGGAAAGACCAAGCCGCTCACCAGCGGCGACAATCTCCTGGCAATCCTTGAGGGAAAGATACTTGTCACGCTTGGCAGTAGCCTCTTCCACCCACTTTCTTTGTCGGTGGATCTGCTCCAGGTGCTCCACTTCCGGCATCTCCACATTGAAGTTGCGTCCGGCTTCAACAAGGTCCTCGATCTCCTGGGCGGATCGGGCGGACGGGTTCATCAGGGCAGCGTTAACGTCCTGGCGGAATTTCTCGATCTCGCGGGTCTTCTCTTCCAAAGCCGCCATCTGTGGACAGTCGAAGGAAAGTTTATCAGCCTCTGCCAGAAGGGCGTAGATGTGATCCACTCTGCGGACTTCACGGTCTCGATCGTCCAGCTGCGCAGCCTTGGTACTGGCTCTCCGCCACGCTTTCTCGTTTTTTCTCCGATTTTGCTGCTTCCGGGTAATGTAGTTGTTTGCTTCCTCAACCCATTTATCGCAACGCTGGACGAAAGCCGCAAGGTCTTGAAGGCCAGGCAGGTGGTACGGGATTTTCTCACCTTCACTGAGCAAGTTATGCAGAGCCTTAAGCTGGGGCTTTGGCTCGTCCTCTAAGGTCTTGTCGAGTTTCTCTCCCCATATTTCGGGGGCTCTAGCTCGTTCGTGAACTCGTTGGACAGTCGCTTTCAGTTCTGCGTCACTCACGCGGTAGCGAAGAGTGTGATCCGGTCCCAGGAATTTCTGGGGAAGAGAGTCACCACAGCAGTCAAAGGCTTCCACGTGCGACAAACAAAGAGTTTTGCCAGACTTGTGGCAGCGGAACTGGGTAAGGTAAGCGTATGCCTTGCACTGCTGGCATTGATAGTCATCCTCGGGAAGATCCTCCTCCTCCACTACGAACTTAAGTTGACAACCGCTGTTCGAAGACTTGACACCAAGAGCGCAATCATGAGGCATGATTTCCTTATGGCGAGACAGAAATGCTGCACGTTCGCCAAGCTCCCGAGTACTGGTTCGCTCAAGCGCAGGAGCCAGCCACTTCGCGGTCGCAATAGATGTATCTCGTGTAGCTGCGGTAAACAGCAGCTCATCGTGAGAGAAGCATGGATGTCGGCGGAATGTCTGGAGGCGCTCCACGCCTGCGGCACCCCAAGGTTCCCAGTCGGCGGGTGCGAAATTGACAGCCTCATTGAAGTTGAAACCATGATTGAAGCCAGCATGGTAAGCCTGAGGGAAAGTGAGAACAAATTGACCAGCTCTTTGATCTACAGCATAGACACTGACGCCAGCGCTACGAAGCTTTTCCGGCGGCATGAGGGTAACCAGCTGGAACAGAAGATCTGGCTGACCCTCGAAGAGCTCAGGGACTGCTTTTCGCATAGCCGTCTCAAAGGCCTCAGCATCCGCACCGGGAATGCCATACCAGGTCTTTGTCGCGCCAAAATGCTGGTAGTTGGCCGAGTAGGCGTAATGGTCTTCATTATGCCAACAGAAAGTCGAAAAGCACATGCCAACATAAACCCACGGCACGGTCATACCGGATATATCAGATTTGATGTGGCGGAACAGCGAATCGCCATAGAAAGGAAGGACGTTCAAGTTCCAAGGATCGGACGAATATGGGTCAAGTGGGTTACGCTCAATGGTTGGGAAACCACTGCCGTGAGTAGTCGAATGGATGTCCGCGCCGTACTCAACCTCAACAGTCTCGTGTAGATCGACAACCAGCTTCCAGAATTCAGCTTCGACGTCATCTTCGGTTTCACGACGATGAGTGTTTAGAACAGGGTCAAAGGGCATCTTCGAAGCGAAATATCGCTTCTTGAATTCATTGGCCTTTTCTTGGAATTGCTTTAACGAGTAAACGCCGCCATCTTCGAATCCAAATTCGCCAGTACCGACAAGGCACTTCGGACAGTGCCAATCATTCTCGGAAGCGGCAGTCGTGGAAGGATCAAGGCAGGCGGTATGATAACCAAGATCACAGCTATCACAAACAAGGATTGTATCAGGATCATCTGACTTTCCACATGATTCGCATTTCTCGTCAGTTCTCTGTGTCCCGTCTTTCCGGGCCTTGGGCGGCGCGGGGCGGAGGAGGGACATATGAGAGCCTGCAACGGTGGGCAGTGAATCTACAAAGAGGGGGTCAGATCGAGAAACGCAGTGAGGTGAAAAATAGTTGATATACCTTTTTTGAGACGCTTACTGCGTCGCCCACTTAATTCATCAATATCTCCATTCTCGGCCTGCGAGGCACTATCATGACTGATGGCACGCTTGACAGAGTTCGCAGCATCGCCGTTGGCCACGGGTGTGGAACGATGCTGTTCAGCGATACTCTGAGGTGTCGAAGTGCCATTCTCGCCCTCGCGCTTGATCGCCGGGCCGTTGTTCACAGTCGCAAAGCCAGGTGAATGATTGACGGCGGTGAATCCAGTTGCGCCTGCATTCACTGAGGTGAAACCCGAGGGCGCTGGCAGTGGAGGAGGGGTAGGCTCTACCGGCGGAGTTGGCTCTGAGGGCTTCTCCATCGGGGTGCTGGAAGCGAGGGGCATGCGCATAGCCAAGGTTTCGTCAAGAATCTTTGAGGGTGTTCCGTTTTCTTCCTGTGTAGGCTTTTTGGCCATGGGCGAAGGACGCGGCGAAGGAGTAAACGGGCCGCCATGCTCCAGTTCGAGCTGCTGCTGCACCCCAGGCTTGGCTCGGGCCAAGTACTCCTCATATGGTTGCAAGTAACGTTGATATGAGTTCTTGAGCGAGGTTGACAGCGAGGACATGATCTTGCCGCTGTAGCCGAGATCACGACCAATCTCGGCCCATTTCTTCGTTTTGCAAACTTGTTCGAAGCCGCCTCTGATTTCAACGGCCTTCTTCAATTTGTACAGATCGAGAGGGCGTTTATCTACACTCGGTAATCGACTGTAATTTGTCCCGTGTTGCTTGTGAAACATGGCTAGTCCATCGATGTAGTTCATATTGGCTCGATTACCTGGATTAAAGTCAGGGTTGGATGCGTCATCCGGTGTGTTTGCACCAGTAGTAGCGGCAGCTGAACGCGGGGCCATACCTCCTTCGACTGAGTTGAGTTCTTGTCGACGAGTTTTGAAGTGAAACCGCTGTAGAAAGCATCCATATTTAGCTTGATGGCTCTGAAAGTAGGGGATTAAAATCGAGATGCATGCACGACTCTGTCATGACAAGCTCCGCTTGCAAGAGCAAGTGCAGAACGGGTAACAAATTGCGTGGGAGCCTACCTCTGTATCAATCGCGAATGTCGGCTGCCAGCCCTCCGGTGGGGATAACTCTACAAATTCCATATTTCTTGCCTTCCGGTGCAATCTTCTGGATGTATGCCACTGGATCCTTGAACTCCTCCTCAGTGGGGCGGAAAGTGGGAGCCTCGGGGATGCCCTGAGGCCGGACGCGCTTGGCTGGCTCGCGGGGAGCATTGGGTTGACCGCGCCGCTCAACCGTTGACAAGTCGAGCGGTGCCGACCTACGAGCACTTAAGGGCACATTGTGTGAATGGGACGGGTGCGTGCTCGAGGATCGAGTAGGCTGGGGGCCCATGGATGATTGTCCGGCCATCAATTTTGCCCCGTTCAAGGCCGGGGCCACCATCTCCGGTAGTTGTTGAGCGTTTGTATACAGGGTGGAGGAGATGCAGCCTACGCGCGTTGCCGAGTGCCGAGGAACCGATCACTGCTGCGCGAACGGGCGCATTGAAAGGATCTTGAGAATCGAAAACCGAACAAAGGCGGATGGAGTGTGCAAGATTCGGAGGAGTCTCGCGAAGACCCTTGAGTACAAAGGTTCTTGACAAGAGGTGACGGAAGACGCGAGTGAAGAGGGGATAGTAGGGTGGTGTAAGTCAGAAGAAGATGTGGAAGGATGGAATTGATAGAAAGAGATTATGAGATTAGGGAAATTGGGTGGAGAGGTACTGCCCCGGTCACTCCTACTGCGCGGAGCAACGGAAAAGCGACCTGCGAGTGACTCGGCCTACTCGGTAGCGAAATCGTACCGTACCGTAATTTTCCGAGACGGCAGCCGCGCAGGCACCATGCGGGAGGAAGTCGTAATTATAACGTTACCAACAGGTCGCCGCAAACGGGACAGCATCATACGGTCGGTTCCTTCCAGGCCCGAGCGTCTCTTTCCAAGATTTTTCCATCCTGTGATGCATCACCTATACCTCCCCAGGTTCTTATTTCCATCGCAGCTAATGGGATATATCGGATCTGAATATAGCAATCAAATATAACATTACATGAGATGATATAGTCGTCTCATAGTGATCTAGACACAGATGTCACTGGAGAAAAATACGACTACATTGTGAGTGGGTCTCAATGCCTACCTAACCTGGCGTATCTAAAGAGATGCTGGACAAGATGTTCTGAAAGAGAACCAGAACGAAATTGCTCAAATAGCGCTCTGAGGAAATCCTGGGAGGGGACCTCGAAAGATCGAGAGAAAAATATCTTCTAGGCTCATTGGCACTATCTGCGTGACCGGGCCTTCGTGAGGCTAATTCGCCGACGTCCCATCAAACTAGATCGAGATCTGCCGAGCACAGGGGTCTCCACGGCGTTTTCACCAACCTCCTGTAATTTTGTCCCTAAACTTGAATTAAACATCCTCCACGGAACAATATAACTTAGCCTTTAGAGAAAATTATCGAAAGCGACATCTGGAGAAGCACCGAACCACGTAGGATCGGAATTTTGACCCGTCGCATATCATGTGATCGCGTGTTTACCACACGCGGTTGGCCCGGAAGATAGCCACTTTCAGCGCATATATCCCCCACAGCAGGCATTGATTTGCAGATCATGCAGTCGCATGATGAGCCGAGACCAATTCCGGCCTATTACTGCTGCTATCTCCTTCGGTCTACCATCCGACACGCTTCGCTCTATATAGGCTCAACTCCGAACCCCGTCAGGCGACTTTCCCAGCACAATGGTGAGGCCAAAGGAGGCGCCAAGCGTACCGCGCGCGATAAATTACGGCCCTGGGAAATGGCCCTCGTGGTGGAGGGCTTCATGAGCCGAATTGGTGCTCTTCAATTTGAGTAAGTCTCGCAGCCCTAGGAAGCAGAGCCGCATGCTGATGTGGTACAGATGGGCTTGGCAGCACCCTGAGAGGACACGACATATTGAGCTTGATGAAGATGATCTTCTTAGCTTCCAGTCTAGATTCACCGTTTGCCGACAGACGGGAAAGACAGCACGGCGAACCACGCGCCGGAGATCCTTGACGGCTCACCTAGAGGATCTGCATTTCCTGCTTCGGTCAGCCTATTTCAGTAATTGGCCACTACGGGTGCGATTCTTCCGCGCAGACGTCTATCGCGTCTGGAAAGTTTGGAACGAGCGTGTAGAGACCTCTTTACCTCCGTCCAAAGTAATTCTTGACGGGGACTGTCCTAAGCAAGGTGATGGGGTGGAAGCAGTGGGCAGCGTTCGCCAGCTGCCGGCGGACTACGCAAAACTTGAAGCATACTTGGAGAAATCCACTTTTATTCTTGGAGACACACATGATTTACACTGTGCAGTATGTAAGAGGCCAGGCAACCCCAATACACAGCAAATAGTGGTTTGCCCAAGAGCGCCTTGCCGAGGCACGAGTCATCTATTATGTCTATCTGCACAATTCCTTGAAACCACCGAGGATGCGGGCATGCTCGTGCCAACGCAGGGAGCCTGCCCGACGTGCAAAGAAGTCATTCAATGGCCAATTATGATGCAAGAATTGAGTTTTCGCAATCGCGCCGGAAAGGAAGTTCACATGATACTGAGACGAAAAGAAAAGCGCGAGCGTAAGGAGTTTGCAGATCAGTCGCCCACCAAGGAGGGTAAGAGCAAGAGCAAGAGCAAAAAACCCAGTGTGCGCATGTCTTCTGCCGAGCCAAGATTCGATGGTCAGTCAGAGCCTGCGCCAGAACATAAGTCTGAGGATGACCCCAAGTTAAACGATAATTGGTATGAGGAAGTCGAGCTGGAATCGGACAATGAATTCGGAACTCGAAACCAGTCGCCTTCGCCAAGTAGACTGGAAATCGTCATTGAAGATAGCGAATGGGAAGACGCTGAACTTGTGGAATGAAGACTCGCTATGAAATGCAGCTTCGAGACGCCAGATAACACTGCCCTAATTGGCGAGCGGCCCCAGTGTCCTCAATGACCCGATAGTATCAAGACGCGCGAGACAGTCCAAGACGGCAGTCTGAATATCTTTCGATACCTCCTTCAGTGCTTTCCCAGCATCGACGACATAAACGTCCTTCTGGCGTTCAAACAAGGTGCGGAAGAGGTCGCGCACGCGAGTTTGCATAGCTTCATTCTCGTATCTTTCCGCCCCATAACCGCCACGCTTGGCGGCTTCATCAGTCGAAATACTGAGGAACAAGCAAATATCCGGACGCGGGAGGCCGAGCTCGGGCTGCCAGGCCCAATCCAGCGAGAGCGTCGGGTTGGCCTTGGCGGCGGAATACACGGCTCCAGAGTATGAGTAGCGGTCCACAATGACAGTGATACCGTTGTTGATATCTTTTTCGATGCTCTTGGCAACCTCCCAGCGGTTTGCGGAGAATAGGAGGTGGATGGCGTGATCTTCTTGGTTGGCTGAGCCGCGTAGATAGCTATCTATGAGCTTTCCGATGGGCGTGGTCCTGTCTGTACGCTCATTAGATTTGTTCACCACTTGCAACCAATTTCAATTACCTGGGAATCGAATGTATTTTACATTATGCCCTTGCTCCGTGAGGTAGTTCTGTAGTATCTCGCATTGGCTTGACTTGCCGGCGCGGTCGAGTCCCTCCACCACGACGAGCGCTCCGCGTCGCGTCGACGTGTGTTGTGACATGCCTGTCATTCAGAATAGGGCACGAAATCAGTATGCGCCAAGGTCAGTGATTTCCACGAGACAGAATTGGATTTGATTGAAGTAGGAATAATTTCCAGGTCAGTGAATATGTGCAGCAAGAACCGGGGAGTTGGAAGCGAAGGCCGTTGTTTAATCGGAGACACTTTTTCTGCCGCCCGATAAGATCGCATGGCAGCCGCATCACAGCCATTCGATGAACAACGTCGCCATGACCTCCGAGGCATCTACGACCACTGAGATGAATTTCAGTATCCTGAGCTCTGCAGCTCCAGTGCTGGCACCACGAGTGGGAACATTGGCTATCCCCGGTCGCCAGGCCATCGCGACGCCGCATTTCGTCCCACTGACCACGCGGGGTGCCGTGTCGCATATTGCGCACGACATGGTTCGAAAGGGAACCGCTATCAACAGCCTATTCATTGGGCTAGAGGACTGTACGTACAACTACTTTGGCGACTTCTGAGGCACCGATAACAACAACTGACCTAAGTCCCGTCTGTCAGTCATCGAGAAGAAGCACCCTGCCCCGCTGTATAAAACTCCTGTCGCCCCTGGAGAATCCCCTTTGAGGCGTTTTATTTGCGCTCCCGATGACATGACAATAATCCTTGCGCCGCGACGATTCCCTTCGATTCCATGCCCGCCCACAAATACCGAAAGTTCGGTTGCGGTATTGACTTCTGTCGGATTCCGCCAGCTTTCAGCCCAACAGTACGTGGAGGCGATCCAAAAGCTTCAGCCCGATATTGCTATCGGCTTGGCAGATATAGTCACTGCCAAGCCACCAGGTGCTAGGCGGCGCGGAAAGATGGTTGACCGAACTCATGCGTTTACTCGCGATGCATTGGCGCAGCTATACGGATCTTCTGTGACGGAAGATAAGATGTCAAAAGCCGCATACTTTGCGCCGGTATTGCCGCTGGAGAATGCGCAGCAGTCGCTTTACCTGGAGGACTTGGAAACTGAGTTCCGTGATCATCTTTCTGGGTTGGCGCTGTACGAGTCCACCTCTCTGGGCTTCATCCCAGAAACCATGGGCCACCTTCCTCGCCTATTGCTCAGCGAGCCTGTGACTCCCCATGAGATTTTGCGAGAGATATCACTTGGTGCAGATCTCCTGACTGTACCCCTGATTGGCGCATGCTCAGATGCTGGCATCGCGTTGGACTTTGTCTTCCCTGCTCAGGCTAGCACGGAAGAAAGTGGCGACCCTCAGCCCCTGGGTATAGACCTGTGGCCCTCCAAGCACGCAAAAGACACTTCGCCCTTCAAAGTCGGCTGTGAATGCTATGCCTGCCGACACCACCACCGCGCCTACTTGAATCATCTCCTCGCCGCGAAGGAAATGACTGCCTGGGTTCTCTTGCAACTGCACAACCACCACATAATGGATCAATTCTTCGCCGGCGTACGGGATAGTATTGAGCGAGGCACTTTTGAAGAGGATGTCTACGCTTTCAATTGTGCATACGACTCAGAACTACCAAGCCGGTCCGGCGAGGGTCCTCGGTATGTCTTTCGTTCCCCATCTTGGTATTCATGTCCATCTAACAAGCGTACAATCAGACTGCGTGGTCACTACATTGCTCCCAGACAGGGAACCAACCATCCGAAGCGTATGCAAAAGGTGTATGGCCGCCTCGACGATTTGTCGGAGAAATTCAACGAGTCCCAGTCATCAGTTGCGACACCTGACACAGACGCGGAAGGTCTTGAACGGCACGGATTTGCCAAAAAGCTATGAATGCCATACAATAATTGCTAAGTTTTTCCTTTTGGCTTTGGTCATAGCATGAGAAATGGGAGCATTTGTTTACGAAACCTTTTTTTGCAATTGGCACATTTGGCCAAAAGAGCATCATGAATGGAAGTCCCTACTTTGCATACGATTTCTGATCAATATTATTTCTTTCCATGTGGTCATGCCACCAATCATTTGCGCAAGATCAAGAGTACTGTACATGATCCAATATCTCGTGATGCCATCAAATTTTTCACGTTCAGACGTATCATCTCCTCATCTCCATAAGAAAGGGATTTCAAGGGTATATCCGGGATTGTAATTGTGGGTGTAGATGCGAGAAATTCTCGGGTCTAAACCTCGCCTGCCAGCACGCGCCACATCCACTTAACTTCATCCTCTTCTTCTTTACTGCCGCGCTTGGTACCGGCACCAAATTGTTGTCCGATGACGCAGACAAGCCAGGCCTCGTTCTTGGCAGTGTGGAGGAATCGCTCGGTGGGCGAGCCGTGGGGGTAGATGCGGCGCCATTCGTCCCAGATGCGGAAAGCTTCCTCGCCCCAGGCACGGAAGCTGACTTCCTCAATAATGGTTGGTGTGACAATCTCTTTGCCCCGGAAGACACCCCAGGTCACGGCGTTAAGGCTATCCGGGTTGGAGTCGAGTTCGTCGAGACCGACATCGGCAGGTTGTGTAGGCAGAGATGACTCGAAAGCTCCGGTCTGGTTCGTGGCGAACCAGGTGAGCTTGTCGTGACCGTGCTTTTCGAACAACGGCTTCAGGATTTCCATGTAATCCTTGTTAGGGCAGAAGAATTCAACAAAAGGCTTCTGGAAAACGAAACCCTCACGCTGGGGGCCCCAACCGAAGATCTTGTCGTCACTGCGGACGCCATTCACGGCGGGCTGGGAGGCTAGTGTCCACCAGCCGCGGCCGTCAATGAGCTTGAGCAGCTCGGGCCGGATGAGGTCTGTCTCAGCGTTCAGCCCATCGCCCTCCTCGGCACCACCCTCCGACCATGGAACCATATACAGCTCACCATTCACGTGGCGACGGAAAATCGTGTTAATGTCAGAATGGTCCACAGGGTGGCCCCAGAGTCGCCGAGCAACTGCGGAGGTTACGTGAAGCGAGGGTCCATAGCCATCAATCTCACCAAATGCAGGCGAGCGCGCATCACCCCATCGGCCGTTGGGGAAATCATCCCATGTAGCTTCTCGGCCAAGCGCACCCATACCCTCCGATATTTGGAGGGTAGTTCCACGGCCAGGAGGCATGGCGGGCAGTCCAGCGCTGTTTGCCAGGGCCTCATGTACGGAATCATGCGATGACTCCTTTCCAGAATACTTGTCCACGATGACGCGGTTGTGTACTTGCGAATTGACAGAAGAACGGCGTCTTGCCAGCGAGCGGGCCCGAGTTTCCAGAGAAATAGCGACATCGATGTCCTCAAAAGCGGATTCATCGATGGTTGAGAAAGGCGGAATCAAGTCACATCGCTCAAGAATGAATGAGACAGACTTCTCCAAGTTCAGAGTGTAAAAATGGAAGCCCCGCGGGCCCGGCGACGGTAGCTCTTGGATACCTCCCACAATGTCACTGACAACGTCGACACCAGCACGCTTGACAGCATCGTCATCGTGCTTCACTTCTTCCATACGTTTAGCAATGGGGTCTGGGATGTGCACGTTGCTGAGCTTTGTCACGCGAGTCAGAATCTTGTAGCTGTGAATGGGCATGAGGCCCGGGATGATGGGAATGGTCTTGAAGACTCCCGACTCGTGGTTGCGGAGCATGTTCTCAAACTTCGTGTAAGCATCAAGATCGTATGTGAGTTGAGTCATGATGAAGTCTGCTCCGGCAACGGTCTTCTCGATTAGATAGGGCAGATCACGCATAGGATCCTGGACGTCCTGGAAAGCGTCGGCCGGGTGGCCCTCTGGGTATGCGGCGACACCAACGCAGAAGTAGTCACCATGTTGTTTGCGAATGTATTTCACAAGGTCCACGGCGAAGGTGAAGTCCTTGTTGCTATCGTCCTCTCCGTGCATATTATATTCCTCGCTTCGAGGCGGGTCTCCACGCAGGGCGAGAATATTGCGAATACCCAGCACCTTAGCCTCCTCCAGAGCCATGTCCACCAACGCACGGCTCATGTTGGTGCATGTTAAATGCAGAACGGTCGTCAACTGCAGCTGGCGCTGGCAAACTTCGGCGAGCTCGAGGGAACGGGCCGCTGTGCTTCCGCCTGCACCCCAAGTGACGGTGACGAAGAGCGGTCGGAGAGCCTGGGCCATGCGCTCCAGACGCGCAGACAGGTTTGCAAACCCCTATAGCGTCCACGATCGTCAGCCATCTTTCTTTACACTAGGATTCCACGGTCGCGGGGTTACCCCACCATACGGGTCTTGGGAGGGAAGAACTCCAGCGAAAAGTAATTCGCGTCCGGCGGCAATGCCGCGATCTTCTCTGTGATCTTCTTCTCCATTGCGAAGGATGGGGACAGCAATGGGAGGGGAACGAGACGAGTGAAGTTGGCAGAAGTGGACCGTTCATGGATTAAAAATGGCGACCCGAACGCATCGGGAAATATCTCGAATTGCGCCTGCCGATACCCTGGCCATCCCGCACTTTGGCGGATCTACGCCATTTCCCGCCAATTGCACCATTAATTATTCCATTACGTTCTGCATTTACATTGACAGGAAATCCAGCTTTCTGGAGAGGCTAAAGGGGCGATCGGAATGAGATTACTCAGCCCGATACGAAGCCTATGCAATCGATAGCCGAACTCTCTCCGTCGCGCGCTTGTACTTGAGCTTAGACTATACAACCGCGCCCTATTGTCACACCCAGTCAGAACCTCCCCTGGAGACACGCCGTTTGCTCTCATATACATTTGCGATCCCGACCATGGCGCCTCAGCGCCCCATAAGCTTTCTTTGCCATCTTCGTCTCCGAGGCACAGCATCTCGAATGCCGCGGCGAAACCTCTCCTCTCCTCCACGATCAGCCTCTTCAAGCTCCAAAGATTCCCAATCTCGTCTGCGCCAATTGAATGACCGCCTGCCCCGCTTCCTCCGCACATACACTGCGCCTTTGCTCGGAGCGCCAATGACCCATATCACATCCTTTTTAATCCTCCACGAGCTCACCGCTGTGCTGCCATTGTTCGGACTGGTAGGCGCGTTTCACTATGGAAATTGGATGCCAGATCTGACCTCCGGTACCGGGGAGAAAAATGCTTTTGACGAAGGGGCTGCGCGATTCGGGCGCTGGTTGAAGAAAAAAGGCTGGGTCGATGAGTCGGACGTGAGCACAGTCGCAGATCATGAAGCCACTGGGTTGGCGCCACGCGAAAAACAGCGGGCAGGCGTGAGATTAGTGCTCGAGTTCGCTACAGCTTATGCGATTACAAAGGCTTTACTGCCCTTTCGTCTGGCTGCGAGTGCATGGGCGACGCCCTGGTTTGCGCGGACAGTCCTCGCCCCGACAACTCCTCTGGCCAGGAGGCTAGTGAGGAAAAGCTAGGGTAATCGATACTCGTACGTGTACTTATGCTCATGCTCATAAATCATATATGAATTGTATATAGTTTTATTGAAGCCATCAGAAACACTTTTCAACTACTGCATATTTATGCTGCAAGCAGCCGAGGAGCAGCGCTCGTCAGGGCAAGGCACCATGGAACGAGTGGTTTACTCGTAGATCCACTGGGAAGCGGTGTGCTTCCACTGGAGGACCTCGGAGGGGCTGAACCAGAGGGCAATCTCCTTCTGGGCGTTCTCGACGGAGTCGGAGCCGTGGCAGACGTTGCGGCCGACATCGATGGCATAGTCACCACGGATGGTACCGGGAGCGGAGGCCAGGGGGTTGGTGGCACCGAGGATAGTGCGGCCGGTCTTGACGGCGTCCTTACCCTCCCAGACCATGGCGCAGATGGGGCCACTCAGCATGTCTGACATGGACGTTAGCTTGGTTTCAGGCTGCGTTCGAGAGGTATGTTACGCACAGGAGATGAGACCCTTGAAGAAGCCCTTGCCGGCGAGGTCAGCGTAGTGCTTCTCGAGGTGCTCCTGGCTGGGGGAGGTCAGCTTCATGGCAACGAGCTTGAAGCCACGGTTCTCGAAGCGAGAGATGATGGGGCCAACGAGTCCACGCTGCGGTCCCATTAGTATATAGTCAATTGATGCATGAACCGAGTAATCCATCGTGGACTTCGGTCGAGATGTTGTCAAAGGCGTACCTGGACACCATCGGGCTTGATGGCAATGAAACTGAAGCAATTGATTAGCTACGCCGCTCCTGAAAGAGGGACCGGAAGAGGAGTAGATGGGTGCGGAGGGAAGGTAGACAAGGCAATGGTAGAGTAATGGTGGACTCACGTCTGCTCGGTAGACATCTTGATGAATTGAAGTTGAAGATCTGGGATCAGCAAGGGATGGGAGATTAAAGAGGAGGGAGGGGGGGAGGGGAGAATAAATACGTGCGAGTCTTTTTTGACCAGTGCTGATCCACTGGTGGGGCCCTCCCGAGGGATGCCGTCGGTCTCAGGCCGCCGGCTTGACACCTTAACACCTTGACACCTTGTAGCCTCAGGTGTCTTACCCCAGCTATCTACCATCAGGCCAGCCTGGAGCTTCCTTGTAGATGTACCTCCGGATGCTGGTCAACATCCTTGATCTGTACACAACTAGAGATTGAGGGTCTCTGATTATACACTTCTATCATGGCCAGGAGTCACCCTGCGTCCCGCTGGACGCTAATGCTCTCCGTGGTCGTTCTTATCGCATGCATTGTTGTTCCCGGATGTGAGATCCCATTGCAAAGGCCGAGAACCCCCCCCAGGGTTTGACTAACCTCGCCATTGACAGTGACCGTGAAACATGAGAACTTCAAGACATGCGAACAGTCCGGGTTCTGCAAACGGAACCGAGCCCTCGCCGACAATGCCTCCGCCCAAGGCGCGTCATGGAGCTCGCCATACGAGCTGGACCCCGCTACTATCCACTTCAAGGATGGCCAATTGACTGGCATGCTGATCAAAACCACCGCGAACAACGAAAAAGTCCACTTGCCACTGACGGTTTCATTCCTCGAATCCGGTGCTGCTCGTGTCCTTGTTGATGAAGAAAAGCGCATGAAGGGCGACATCGAGGTCCGACACGGCAGCAAGGTCAACAAGAAGCGTTATGATGAGGCGGAGAAGTGGGTTGTCGTTAGTGGCTTGGAAACCAGCAAGTCGGCCACCTTGAACGCCCAAACCGAGACGGGCTTCACCAATGTTCTCTATGGACCAAACGATAAGTTCCAGGCGATTATTCGACATGCACCATTCGAGGTGGATTTTCAGAGAGATGGCGAGACTCATGTGCAGGTCAATCATCAAGGTCTGTTGAACTTGGAGCACTGGCGGCCCAAGGTCGAAGGCAAGGAGGGCGAGTCTGACGAAGACGAGAGCACTTGGTGGGAAGAGACGTTTGGCGGCAACACCGACTCGAAGCCTCGTGGCCCTGAGAGTGTTGGTCTCGACATTACCTTCCCTGGATATACCCATGTGTTTGGTATTCCCGAGCACGCTGACTCGCTTTCACTCAGAGAGACTAGGTATGAAGCGTTTGCCTTATCTTATGCTCGAACCCAGCTGACCGTTCTTCAGAGGTGGAGCTGGCAACCATGAGAATCCTTACCGGATGTATAACTCCGATGTCTTTGAATATGAGCTCAATAGCCCCATGACTTTGTATGGGTCGATTCCCTTCATGCAAGCTCACCGCAAGGGATCTACCGTCGGAGTCTTCTGGCTGAATGCTGCCGAAACTTGGGTTGATATCGTCAAGAAGGCTGCTTCTTCGAACCCGCTGTCCATGAGCTCGCACACCAAGAAGGATACCCAGACTCACTGGTTTTCCGAGGCCGGTCGAATCGATCTTTTTGTTTTCCTTGGACCTACTCCCCAGGATATCAGCAAGACCTATGGTCAGCTCACAGGCTATACTCAGCTTCCTCAGCACTTTGCCATTGCCTATCATCAATGTCGCTGGAACTACGTTACCGATGAGGACGTCAAGGAGGTGGACTCAAAGTTCGACAAGTACCAGATTCCCTACGATGTGATCTGGCTCGACTTGGAGTATACCGATGACCGGAAGTACTTCACATGGGGATCCGCTCACCTTCCCCAACCCGAAGGGCATGCAGGAAAAGCTTGACGAATCTGAGCGGAAGCTTGTTGTCCTCATTGACCCGCACATTAAAAACAAGGACAACTACTATGTCTCTCAAGAGCTGACCAGCAAGGGTCTCGCTGTCCTGAACAAAGATGGTGAGATCTACGATGGATGGTGCTGGCCGGGCTCATCGAACTGGGTGGACTGTTTCAACCCGGCTGCGCTGCCCTGGTGGAGCAGCCTGCACAAGTACGACAAGTTCAAGGGATCGATGCCCAACTTGTTCATTTGGAACGACATGAACGAGCCATCCGTGTTCAACGGGCCCGAAACTACCATGCCCAAGGATAACATACACTACGGAGATTGGGAGCACCGTGATGTTCACAACGTGAATGGTATCACTCTTGTCAATGCTACCTACCAGGCCATGCTGGAGCGCAAAAAGGGTGAGGTCCGCCGGCCCTTCATCCTGACCCGCTCTTACTACGCTGGGGCCCAGCGTATGTCTGCTATGTGGACTGGAGATAACCAAGCTACCTGGGATCACCTGGCTATTTCTCTGCCCATGGTTCTGAACAACGGTATCGCAGGATTCCCCTTCGCTGGCGCTGATGTCGGGGGGTTTCTTCCACAATCCTGACAAGGAGCTTCTGAGTCGCTGGTACCAAGCTGGCATTTGGTATCCCTTCTTCCGTGCCCATGCTCACATTGACACTCGTCGTCGTGAGCCATACCTGATCAGCGAGCCGCACCGAACTATTATCTCCCAGGCAATTCGTCTTAGGTATCAGCTTCTGCCTGCATGGTACACTGCCTTCCACGAGGCTTCTGTCAACGGAACACCCATTGTGTACCCTCAGTACTACCTCTTCCCTGATGATGAGCAAGGCTTTGCCATTGATGACCAGTTGTACCTGGGCAAGACTGGTCTCCTTGCCAAGCCCGTTGTCAAGGAGAACACCTTCACCACCGACATCTATATTGCTGATGACGAGAAGTACTATGACTACTTTGACTTCACCGTCTACCAGGGTGCAGGCAAGAGACATACTGTCCCTGCCCCAGAGGACAAGATACCTCTATTGATGCAGGGTGGCCACATCGTTCCCCGTCGGGACCGCCCTCGCCGCAGCAGTGCCCTCATGAAGTGGGATCCCTACACCTTCGTCATCACTCTCGGTAAGAACGGCGAAGCCGAGGGTAGTATCTACGTCGACGACGGAGAGACTTTCGATTATGAGCGCGGTGCCTACATCCACCGCCAATTCCACTTCCGCGATTCTGTCTTGACTTCTGAGGATCTCGGCATCAAGGGAGCCAAGACCGGTGAATATCTTAAAACCATGGCGGGCGTCACTATCGAGCGTATTATTGTCGTTGATCCTCCCACCGAGTGGAAGGACAAGAACAGCGTCATTGTTATCGAGGATGGAGCTAAGGCTGGGTCCACAGCCTCGTTGGAATATTATGAACAGCAAGGTGGCAAGGCCGCTTATGCCGTTGCCAAGAGCCCTAATGTCGGCATTGGAAAGACGTGGCGGATAGAGTTCTGAGATGAATTTCATTTTAAAATCTAGCATATGTGCGCGATGTGAGATATCGGATTTTCGATAGAGCATGCAATTCATTTCATTCAAATATTCTATCATCTCTGTTGTTCCAAACCCACGAGGCTAATACCCGCGCCTCGAATTTACCGTCAACTTCATGTTGCGTGGGACAAGACACACTGTAGAGAGAGCATCGAAGCTGTTCCAGAAACAAGCCTAGACTGCACTGCCTGTGTCACTTGAGAAGTTGAGAGGGTAACGATTCTTGCCATCTCCTGGGTGTCTGTATCTAAAGGCGAGTGAGAGCGTAGGCAGTCTTTCATTTCGTTTGGAATAGATACCCGAAGAAAGCAAATTGCTTGCGCTGCTGGGGATAGAGGACTCATATCCATTTCAACGGTTTGCTTGAGAAGGCGCCATGAGGTCTTCTTAGTTCTTCTGAATGCATTCCGAGTTAGCTTCCTGGGACTCCGACCGTTTGAAAATTTCGTTGCAAGATGAGCCTCGTCACAGAGAGACTGCGGTTTTCCTCGTCGTGGTCTTCGTCGTGCATTTCTTGCGACACTGTTCCATCAGCAAATACACCACTCTAACCCCGTGCGCATCATCTCGTCGTATGATCCTTTCTTCGTAGAATTTGGCAAAGTAATCGGGATAAAGCTTTGCAAAGAAATCCAGGGCGAAGCGGTGAGCTATTTCCAGTGCTCAAAGGGCGCCCTCCATAGTGATTTCTGCTTCGTTATACTCTACGCGTTCGTAATGGGTCACCCTAAACACGTAATCTTCGTTTCCTGTCCGCTCAGGAGGGTTTGGTACGCTGCATCAAGTTGACAGAGGAGCTGCTCCGGATACCGGTGCTTATTGCTGGTAAAATCAAACATTGAGTTGTATTGAGCCTGCTTATTTCTGCTGATCGAGTTAATTTTGAAGTCTTATCAAAACAAATCCCTCAACAATTCGTGTATTTGATATTAATATTTACAGTCAAGAGCAAATGAAGACGTAGCTGAGATCCAGACATTATTATAGTGTCCCTCCGATGCTTATTCTAGCTCATGACTCTGAACATAGACATGGATCTTTGGCCCTTCCGAATTGGTCGCCTCCAACGATATACCTCCATCATAGAGAATACTCCACTCCACCGTATTGAAGCCGTCATTTTTCACGGTATTGGACTCGAAGAAATTCGACATATCTTCTTTCTGGTCGAAGAAAGCAGCGTAGTCTTCTATGAAAAAATTCAGAGCAGCTTCGTTGGCCTTTTGTAGTGTAGTGAACACTCCCTCGACAATAGTTGTCGTATGCTCGTCCGTTCCCGCTTCGTCAATATCGTGATACAGCACAAACACCCAAGAGGGATTCGGATTGTCGGTCTTCTGTCCGTGTGGATATGGCTTGAATTGTACTGCCCACACTTTGTCAAGCAGAGCCCGAGGGTATTCAATCTCGCGGAGATCGTTCATTTCGTCCGAGTCTGTGGGGTCCATAATTGCAGGTGTCGTAATAGACAATAGAAAGGCTCAGGTCTCCACGGACCGACCCCAGAAGCTTAAAATCAAAGAAACAAACGCTTGGACGTAGAGAAACACAGATTGATTGGAGCTTGGATGCCCAAGAGAGTCTGGGCTTGTGGAAGCAGATCACGAAACGACACGCTAGTGCAGTCGCTAAGCTGTGCACAGACAACCTGGAATAATCTTGTTGACTGACAAAAGTACGTAAGTACAAACATAGCCGCTATACTTGGCCCTCATCTCTTCCAGTTTGTGCTTGGACGTGACGAAATGTGTTATGAAGGCAATCATCCAAAAGCGGCCGTTATACAAACACCGTGCGCTCCACTGCGCGAGAATTATCTGTATTCCCCTTCTTCGGGACCACAAAAAACTTCGTAAATAAACTCCTGCCTTTCAAAGCTTTAATATTTAAGAAATTACTTACTTGCATGAAATAGTATGTTTCTCTTGTTGTAAGATTTGTAAGATTCTTCCAGTTGACATTGAAATATCCCCGAGATCCGCAGCAGGCACCGCGGCTAGCCGGTGAACAAGTCTTATGCTTGTTAATCGAAAGTTAAGAGGACACTCTATTTTGCGTGACTGATCAAGTCGATGATTCAATTACGTTCCGTCACTTAAATGTATACATGCTTCATCGAATGCCAAATAATACATACCCGATCAGGTCTTTCAAAAGCAATTAAGGGGTTCACGAGAATTCAGAGTCTATCGTACCGAAATTGTTTAAGTGTAGTTCTTAGCCTGTAAGACCGAAATCTACCGGAGAATTCCCACCCGTTGCATAGCCACCTTCTGACCTAGTTCACAGGACAATCTCCAAGCGAAGGGACTTTGACTGGCGGATGATCGACAAGGCCTCGAGCCGCTGACATAATACGGCAACGAAAAAAAGGACCGCATGCGGCGCGTGGATTATCTGCCGTCTTGGTGGTTCTCCCGAAGCTTGTTCCTGTTTCTTCGAGCTGAGTCAGGGTCGCCTTTCTTTCCTGCAGTCGCGTCAGAGATTTTGAAATCTCGTGGAGACTGTCAATCTGGGCCGGACGCTCCGTCAAATCCATAATCACCCATTGCATGTCCGCAGACCGCGAAAGATCAGCCCAATGTCTCTCATTCAACTCGCCCTTGAATATGGCGCCCCTGTCTTGTATGCTCAAGATCGTAGTATCTTTATGAAGACTTTATGCTAAATGTTGTTTCTCGCGCTAGTCTCATTTCCTCTCCTCTCACGTCCTATGCCGACCAGATCCTCAGCATTCACCGGAATAGGAGCTCCGCAGGCTTCTCCTTGGACATTCCGTTGATCATGCTTGTCGCATCGATCCTGAAGTAAGACTCCACCCATCGCTAGCAAGGAAGCGAAGAATCTTGTGGAATGGCAATTGTATTGACGCACTTTCAGGGTCTTCTATTGGTTTGGAGAATACTATTCGGGTGCCCTGCTGGCACAGGCCTTGGTCATGATAGTCGTACAGGCGGCCCTTCTCAAGGTTGCTTTGGACAACCGACCCGCCTCGGGCGCGAAAAATGGCATCGAGCATACACCTTTCAGCAGCGGCTCTAGCGGAGGATTCGTGCGGCCATACGACTTTTGGCAGTGGAGGAGCACAAAGCCGTAAGTGAATATGACAAAGATCGCACCCCGGAAGGAGGGCTAAGTCATGTTCTATTGTAGCTACTGGTTGTTCCTGGGCTATTTCGTCGCTATTCTGACTGTGATTCACCTCACTCCTATCTCCTACTCGGAGACCTATATTAGCGTCCTCGGCTGCGTTGGCCTGGCTGTCGAAGCCATTCTCCCCCTCCCTCAAATCTTCGCCAACCATCGCTCCGGCTCTTGCAAGGGTTTCCGGGTTTCTGTTCTCGCATCATGGCTTCTTGGTGACACTATGAAGATGAGCTACTTCTTCTGCAGCGGAGAGGCCATCCCCTGGTCATTCAAGCTGTGCGGTATGTTCCAGTGCGTGTGCGACTTCTACCTGGGCTTCCAGTACTGGATGTTCACCCAAATGACTCCTCGAGCCCCGGCCACCTCTCAAAGTCTCGAAGACCGATGGGGCCAAGGAGAGAAGGATATCCGAATGAATTAATGAAGCTGTAACGAGCGCATTACGATTGTGTTCTGCATTTGCTGTAGATAAGAGTGGACTGATGGGATCATAGCGATGGCGACCATAGCGACCATAGACTTGTAATTATGAACGAAAAAAATGTTGATAATCCAAAGATCCATCAATGCATGCTTGTTGTCAATGTGGAAGCTGCTATCTCCGGAGTAAATCCGGTTCGGGAAGCCGTGGATCTGCCCCGCCATTGCGGTGCTGATGCTTCTGCTCCGCGGACTCTCTTCCACGAGCGGATCCCAATTCTCCTGCTTCTTGTTATTCTGAGCCAAAGGGTTTGATCGGTTCACATCTCCAGAATGGCTGAAGTACCTACCATCCGCATCGGCTATGTGCCCGGTATGTACCCTCTCTCTAAATCTAGCTTCGACGTTTCCCAGATTGAAGAGCACAATCTTGGGAACCGAACAGTTATCTACATTGTCTTGATGAAATTTACTTACCTGAAATTCTTCTTTGCTCCCAGAGCACTATCTCACTCCTCTCCACCTCGCTCTCCGGTCCCCAGCCGTCGCCTCCCTTCCGTTCAAGATTGTCACAACTCCCTTTCCGTCTGGAACAGGCCATATGATCACATCGCTGCGAAGTCATGAGATTGATATTGCTATTGGTCTGACCGAGGGCTGGGTTGCTGGTTTGACGGGAAAGACACAGCCCCAGAGCCCCGCGGAGGGAGGATACAAGGTTGTCGGCCACTGGGTCGATAACCCGCTGCGCTGGGCCATTGTCACGGGTCGCAATCGCAGGGACCTCAATGGTGTGCCGGATTTGAAGGGCAAGAGAGTCGGTGTCAGTCGCCCTGGAAGGTAAGCATAGATCGCTCCGACATGCGAAGCAAAATTGACCGTTCCATGTCCAGTGGCTCCCATATCATGTCTTTTGTGCTAGCTCAGCAGCAAGGCTGGGAGTCTGACTCCCTCACAAGCGTTGTTCTCGGCCCCTTCGGTGCTCTGCGAAATGGAGTCACAGGCCAAGACGAGGCACAGCTTGACCAAGCTCCCAAGCCAACAGCTGAGTTCTTCATGTGGGAACATTTTACAACCAAGCCTTATTTCCACCCAACCAGCGAGAAGCCTGACCCACCGCTGAAGAACATTGGTGAAATCTTCACTCCCTGGCCCTCGTGGATGATCGTGGCGTCGACAGCAACGTTCCCCAACCCAGAAAAGGACGCGCGTCTGCAGAGCCTCTTCCAAGCCCTGGACCGGGGTATCAAGGAATTTGAGGCTGACACTGCTCAGGTGGTCAAGCTGCTGGGAACGGGCGAGCTAGGCTGCAACTATATCGAGGAGGATGCCATCGAGTGGTTGAAGGATGTGAAGTTTACTGATGGCACCCGTGGTGTCGATGCTAAGGTAATTGAGGGTGTCGTTGATATCCTCAAGGTTGCGGGTGTCATTGACACCCGTATGAGCAATAGTGAGGCTATCCAGCGTGTCATTGGGATTCCGCGGTAAGATGACTGGGAGCAGGAAGTGTATGAATCATATATGTACCCTTATACTCTGGCAAGACTCCGGTTTAAAGCTCTTTGATGAGTCGATGTCTCTCGGTAGGGTTATATAGAGCGATTCAAAGCCTAAGCCTCTTAGTTACGGCGTTCCGTTACCTCTATTATATAGTCGAAAAGACTAGCTTCTCTAAGGCTACCGAATAATATTATATGTTAATTATCTGCTAAGCCTATAATCTTATTATTGGAGGTATTTAAGACCTAATTGTAATCCTATCCTAGCGGGTAGAATGATATATTTACGAATAGTAAGTAAATAATATGATAAAGTAATAGACGGAGAGAGGAAGAAGAAGAAGAAGAAGAAGAAGAAGAAGAAGAAGAAGAAGAAGAAGAAGAAGAAGAAGAAGAAGAAGAAGAAGAAGAAGAAGAAGAAGAAGAAGAAGAAGAAGAAGAAGAAGAAGAAGAAGAAGAAGAAGAAGAAGAAGAAGAAGAAGAAGAAGAAGAAGAAGAAGAAGAAGAAGAAGAAGAAGAAGAAGAGGAAGAAGAGAATCTCTCGGAGACAAAGACATTGGGTTACAGTACGCGAATTAGGGCACGCTCAATGGATTCGCTACTAAGCTTGTCCTGAACCCTTGGACCTCTTCTTTTGAGAAACTGCATTGTATAGGTATATCTCAGGGGGGTGATAATAGTCCAGTTTCTATTAATTTAAAGAGCCAAAATTATGCAGAGCTTATATCTCCAAAGGGTACTGACTCTACATGCTACATAAGCTGCCGTGCGCAATCTAACCGTCCATATCACATCTCTTTTTTTTTCCCGATGAAAGCGCAACCACAGAAAGCCATGCACGACTTCAAGGTTATACCCCGCTATTCCTCCAAGGAAAAGACTCAAGCTGACCATGTTCAATAATATAGCCTAGAAGTCGTTCTATGGTGGAAATGTCGAGTTGTCGGTGGTACATTCCTCAAGGCTCCCCGATCACCCGCCGAAACCCCTGACAACAGCCCGGGAATGTAGGCGACCCAGGTGAGCACACAAAATGCTCCAATCCACAATGCAAGGCCAGATATTCCCGAAGATCATGGCCTGCAAGCTCCCTTCCTTCTGTCTCGAGCGGAGTCGATATCGATGCTGGCGCGGGCGGAGTGGGTCATACCAAGCGATTGGAGTGTCCGGACCCCGAAATGGCGCAGAAAGTGGAAGCATTGTTTTCCTCCATGGCATGCACGCTGGGGAGCAAAATAACTCGACATTCGCTATTTAACCCGAGCCCTCGATGGTCACGCTGGTCGTGGATTTTACTCGTGTTTCTGTCGTTTTAGTCGCCAACCGCCAACTACCAACTGCCAGTCGCCGGCCAGTCGTCACTCCTTTGAGTTTTTTTTCTTCTTTATTATACTACCTTTAATACCTAATCCAACTCAGTTGCGCCAGCTTATCTTCGATTCACTCACATCATGCGCCGGTATTCGAGATATCTCTCCGGCTCAGTGCTACTCGCCTCCATGGGAGGAGTGCAGGCCAAGCTTGATCTGAACTCCTCTACCAATATCGCGGTTTACTGGGGTAGGTAAATTCAGATGAAGAAGCATACAATAGCCTCTAACATGATTGTGGATTAGGTCAGAACTCGTTCGAAGCTGCGGGAGGAAAGGGTCAGGGCCAACAACATCTTTCTTACTACTGCGACAGTATGTACGATTTTGATCCCCCAAAAGAATACTGCTAATTCTGTAAATCTACAGACGAGAATATCGATGTACGATATACCGATGTGGAATGCCAAAGATCGACACTAACAGCTCAAGCAGGTAATTCCCATGGCGTTTGATATTATGATCAACGGCCCCGGCGGCGCTCCCCAGGTCGACTTTGCTTCTGCCAGCGCGGACTGCGACGTGTTTCCAGGCACACAATTGAAGAATTGCCCGGCAATAGGGTACGTGGTTCTGCGTGAACAAAAGGGTCTACAGCTGATATGAAGTAGCCAGGACATCAAGACGTGCCAGGACAAGGGAAAGACAATCATTCTTTCGATTGGAGGTGCAACGTACAGCGAGGGCGGCTTCAAGTCAGATGCCGATGCCAAAGATGGAGCCCAGCTCATCTGGGAAACCTTCGGACCGAAGAAGGATGGTTCAAATGCTCTTCGTCCTTTCGGCGACGCTAGCCTTGATGGCTTCGACTTCGACTTCGAGGCCAATGTCGAGCACATGGCGCCCTTTGCCAATGCCCTCCGTGACCTGATGAACAAGGAGACCGACAAGCAATACTTCTTGACCGCCGCCCCTCAGTGCCCCTACCCTGACCAGTCGGACAAGGAGATTCTGAACGGCCCTGTTGATATAGATGCCGTTTGGGTTCAGTTCTACAACAACTACTGTGGCATCAACAACTTCGACACGAATGAGCAGAATTCCCAGTTCAACTTCGAAGAGTGGGACAACTGGGCCAAGACCGTCTCCAAGAACAAAAACGTCAAGGTCCTTGTCGGTGTTCCTGCCGACACGACCGCCGCCAGCACTGGGTATGTGCCTGTCGACAAGGTCGCCGCGGCGGTCGAATACTCCAAGAAGTTCTCGAGCTTCGGCGGTGTTATGATGTGGGATGTGTCGCAAGCATACGCAAATGAAGGATTCGTTGATGGCGTGCGCAAGGCGCTGGGTGAAGGAGATTCCGGTTCGTCGTCGTCGTCCAGCTCGGCGTCGACCACGGCGTCTGCACCTACGTCCACTAACACACCGGAGACTACGCTCTCTTCCAATGGACAAGGGTCCTTGTCCTCATCTTCCTCCTCATCTGGGTCTGGGCCCTCGTCCAATGGGCCTGATGAGCAGGCTACAGCTACTCCCACTACCCTCACGACCATACCTACCGTCACGCCGACTCCCACGTCCCAGGCGACGACCACGACCACGACCGAACCTGAGCCCACCGAGTCTTATATCACTCAGACACCGCCACCTGCGTCCACCGAGCCCGAGCCGGCCACAACTGAGGCTACCCCCGCCCCTGAGCCTGCATCCACCGAGACGTCAACCACGACGGCTGTCGCCGCACCTACCATGACGCCCGCGCAGAATGACAACGATGCTAGCGATAATACTCACAGTAGCGCTCACTCGGCCGATGGTGACAGCGACTCCTCTGGAGATGCTGATCCGACGCCTAGTCCTCTCGGCAGTTTGCTGAGCGGTGATCTCTTCAGTCTTCTGGACGGTCTACGTAGTGCCAATAGCGTTGTGAACGGTATCTCCCATGGTATGACCAAGAACCTCCGCCGCGTGAACCGCATTGGATATTAAGTGCATTGAAAAGCCTTGGGGTCGGTCCAGTGCTTTGTTGTGTCTGTTTTGCATAAGGGCCACACAAGCAAAAGCTTGAGAAGTTTTCAAACATCTACAGTAATATTCGAAATCAGTTATACCTTTGTACTCTTCCCTTTGCTTTACCGGATCATAATTCCGCACGAGAAGAGTTCTGATTGGACATACTCGATGAGTGTCGATATTAGACCGCCGCCTGCAGATAATGTGTGTACAGCGAAAAATGTATCTTGAGAGAAAATACCATACGCGGGCTGCCTCTGAGCCTCTCTTCTTTCTTCTCATGCGGTCGCCCTCTTTCTGTGCTGAATCTTGTTTCTCTCAACTGAAAGTACCGAATCTTAGGAGTTCCAAGATTCCCCCTTGCGAAGCTCCATCTCATTCATGTTATGATAGAAAGCCAGACCTTTACAGTCCCACCCCCCAGATGGTCGACAAAGCTGAATGCATCAGGCTTACGATTATCAATATTCGCAGGAACTTGCGGCAATTTGAAACTATATACGCAGTCGTTACGTTGCAAGCTTTCAAAATGGGCAAGAGCCAGCCAGAGCCCAGTTCACGAAAAATATTCAACGTTTACTAAAAATACGATAGAGATGAAAATTTTTCGCATTTAGTACAACTAGGGCTAACCTCTTCGATGCATCCCCATGCTATTCGATATGTGAATTTGCCAATCATCAGGTTCAATCAACCTCTCCTTCTCAACGAAAGATTAATTACATCGAGCAAGAGTCATGCTCGATACACAAGTGCCATTCAAATAAATTCTTGAGAAATCCATTGGTGATCGAGGGCGACCTAGATTCCTCATGTATCTGTATCTGCTTAACAGGTACTCCAAGTTGCCAGAATTGACGCCATATTCTTAGTATAGATTTTCAGCAAGAAATTCCACTTCTTCCAGATCGAGAATAACGATATAATTATAGCAGACTAGACAATTGTTCGGGTTCATATTATTTATTATACTCGGCTTTATATTCCCACAGAGCATATAATACTTCCTCAAGATGAGTTTCAATTTTCTTCTTATCGATGTCAGCTTAAGCAGGTTCGTACAGAGTTCCCTCCCGTCCATATCAGCGAGAAAAAGCGCACGGCGGCCACAGAAAGACCCTTAGCCAAGAACAGTTAGAATCACGGTTCCTTAAAGCGACTGCAGATTATTGTAGGCGTTTATCTCCTTTTGAAATGCCCGAAAACATTCGTTCTTTTCTACTTTAACGATAACCGATTTAGGTAGTACAGATTTTTTGTACTGTATTTAAGCTCTAGACGATAAATTATAGGATCGGATAATAACGCAGTGGCTAAGCCAATTTTAGAACGATTTTGGTATCCAGCAGCTAGATTATCTAGAGGCTTAAAAGCTTAGTGGTCTCTTCTGATGAACACCCGGTAACTCAACTCATATTTAACCGTTCTATGCTAGGAAAAAGCTTCTTCATTATAATTGTAGAGCGGTTCATTGCGAGGAGACGGGCTCAAGGATCAAAGAAAGCAAGGGGTTGCATCAGTTAACGAGGTCCATAGCTTAATTGGTCTCGTACCTCAGTGACACGGGGTCCACAGTGGTTTATATATATCAATTCGCGCACTGATGTCGTCATGTAAGAAATTGAAAATCAAGAATTTTACAAAGATTTCTTTGAAGGTTTAATAATAGGAAGAGGTATCCTCTACGAGGCGAGCCGAGGCCTAGGTGCGGGGCGTACTTTATTTGGCTCGAGGTGTTCAACCTATAACAACGAATTGTCTATTTGTCACGGGCATTATCGTTCCATCTCTGCCGAAGCTATAAAGCGATGACCTAAAGCAGATTAGCCTATCTCGGGTTTATTTTACGGGAAAGAAGTAAGGAAGAGTGTAGAGGTATGATTGATTTCGAATATTACTGTACTTCTTGTCCTCACTTGGTTGATGGACTTTCATTTGTCATCTCTCCATTCCATCTCCCTTTCTGTCTTGTCTCATGTTCTTCTTTTCTCTTACTATCCTTGATACCCATAATTTATAATAACTTAACATCCAAGGAATTCAACGTAAGGCTTCAGCACCATACCCTCAGTTCCAAAGAGACCATAGACCGCTTAAACATGTCATCAATATCAGTTGATGCCTTTAGAAAGAATATTTTCCGATCAAGACTACATAATTTGAAGGCAATTTTAAAAACATTACTATGAAAAGAACAATTTTTTCCATCATCAACAAGACCACCCATTACCGCTCCAATCATAACAGTCCATGCTCGCATTACTCAACTTCCTCTTCTTCCTTGCTGGCAGCCAGGAAGAACTTGCCATTTGGCTTGCCCGGCTGCTCATACTCAACCGTCAAGCGAGACAAATGTCCAAGCAGGCTCTCCATCTTGATCTCTCCCTTGCTGCGCTTGGCACGACCAAGGTCATCAAGCCACTTGACACGATTAAGCATGAAGTAGACGAGAGCAATGACAATCTCCACACCAAAAGAAAAACCCCAGATACGCACAACGGTGACGATATCCGTCCAACCATTCGCACTCTCTACAAATTGATCCGCCGGATCAGTCTTCATATCTTGATTAGTGAACCAACCAAACAGACAGAAGATAGTAGCGAGGGCATCCACGCCGAGAATTGCTACCACCAGTTGGAAAGACGGCCAAGTGTCTATACCACGGGTCACGAAGATCAGCCAGTTCTCGGTCAGTGCTACTTCCAGGAACAGCACTTCTTGGATAGATCCAAAGTTCTGAATGATACCTCCGGATGGTAGGAACATGGTGCCTCGGACTACCCAGGTACCCAGCGCTAAGAGGATTCCGAGCAGGACGGAGATGAACCAAATCTTCGGGAGTTGCCATTCCACTGGACGAAGTTCAAATGACGCATGGTCATAGGCCACCGCCACGGTCGCGAGATCGGCGAAAAGAGCCAGGAAAACGATGAGCTCGACACGGATGCTTTCATTCAAAATGATCATCGAGGTCACAAGGTAGATCTCCAGGTGCAAGCAAAGAGCGATACGGTATTGGATATATGCTTTCATGCGGTGGAAGATTTGACGCGCGACCTTGATTGAGTCAATGATAGTCGACAAGCCAGGCTCCAGGAAGACGATATCGGATGCGGTTTGCGCGGCTTCAGAGGCACCTTCGACTGCAATACCGCAATCTGCTTTCTTGAGAGACGGAGCATCGTTGACACCATCTCCAGTCATTGCCGTCAGGTGGCCTCGTTCCTGAAGGATTTGAACCACTTGGTATTTGTGTTCAGGGAATACTTCCGCAAAGCCGTCCGCTTTTTCGCACAGATCGCCCGCCATAGCCCCGCTCAGCCCGCCGTGGATCAGTTTATCGGAGTTGTAGACTTTAGTACCTAGCGCGAGCATCTTGCAGGTTTCCTTCGCAATAGCAATTGCATCACCAGTAAGCATCTTGACACTGATACCGAGATTCTGAGCTTCACTGATTGTCTGCGCGGTATCTTCGCGAGGCGGATCGAACATCGGCAGCATACCGAGCAAAGTCCACTCCTCGCCTTCCTTTTGCACGGCCACGCCCAAAGACCGGAAGCCACGGTGAGCAAATTCTTGAGCCTTGGCCTTGTACAAATCAGCGACATCTTTTGAGCACTTTGTGAGTTGTAGCACAGCTTTCGGGGCGCCCTTGGTGCAAGTGTATCGAATGCCTTCACACGTAGCGACCGTCACAATGCGTTTTGAGACTGGGTCGAAGGGTGTGAACTTTTCAGTCTTCCATCCACGGCGCAGGATCTCTCTGGCCTTAGGATACTCGCGGAGGGTCAAGATGGTGACTTTGTCGATGGGATCCAGAGACTCAATATTATGCGAGGATGCTAGGCAAGCCACAGCAAACATCCAGTCAGGGTCGACGCCTTCAGCCACGTAAGGATCTCGAATACTCAATTTGTTGGCCGTCAACGTTCCGGTCTTGTCAGAACAGAGAATGTCCACACCCTAATAAGGACTGTTAGCTCCTATGCCGCGAGGAAAAAATATTCAGATTACAACATACCGCCAAAGATTCAATGGCAGTCAGCTTCTGCACGATGGCTTTCTTCTTAGCCAAATAGGCAGCACCAACAGCCATCGTCGTGGTAGTGACGACAGGAAGACCAACAGGGACACCGATAATCAGCAATGACAGAGTGTAATGAAGCAGAGTCTGTTGTGGCGGAGAAGCAATAGGAATATGGCGGAAGAAACCACCAATCCATGCCGCAAGGATCCAGGCCATGACGAGGATAAGGAGCGAAGTTCCAATGTTATCCATGACAATTTCAAAGTGACCGGCACCCTTAGCACCCAGCACCATGCTCGCAGTACGACCAACGAAAGAAGTCTTTGCTGTAGTCTGAACCACGGCGAAAGCCTTTCCACGCTTACAGCCAGTTGTATAGTAGATCACATCTCCCATATAACGATCCACAGCCAGTGACTCTCCGGTGATGGCGGAATGGTCACAGGCCAGAATGGGGTAGCCGCGCTTTTTCGGACGCTGGACTTGCCCGGCGTCAGCATCACCACCGCCATCAGCATTGTCGGCCTTTTCTGTGGTCTCGACGGGCTTTTCCGGGGGTTCGCCTTCTTCTTCATCGGACTCGGAGCCGCCACCCAGCATTCCTTGTTCCTGTAGCTGGTTGAACTCTTCCCAGCCATTGGGGTCATTAATGTCACAAATGACCTTGGCATCAGCCGGAACAACGGAGCCTTCACCAACGATGATCTTGGAGATCTGGTTAATACGCTACATTCGAGAGAAATAGAGGAATCAACATACCACATCGCCAGGGACTAGTTCGCGGGCTAGAATCTCTTGCTGGGTGCTATCGCGTATAGTGATTGCGCGCATGGCAATATCACCTTTCAAACTGGCGACGACGTCTGCGGCTTGCTTTTCCTGATACCAACCGACTGCAGCGTTCAAACACAGAATACCAATGATGACACCGAAATCAATCCAGTCATCCAAACCAGCGGCGAGCAAGACCGCCAACTCCATGACTATTATCATTTGTTAGCTATTACTCCACTTTCGGAAGACTGCTACCAACCGTAAAGGATAGGGCCCTGAAAGTAGGATAGTATTTTGGCAATGGGATTCTCCTTCTCAGAGACCAGTTCGTTCCAACCTGAGCGATGTCGTCGACGAGAGACCTCCTGGGTCGAGAGACCCTCGCGAATATCGGTGATAAGCCAATCATCGGGGAATTTGCCCGCCTGGTCCTCAAGCTTCTTGATACGGACCTTGCGCTTCTTCCAAGGCGCATACCAGACCCGCTTCATCATAAAATCACCCTCTTCCTGCTCTTCTACAGCTCCCTCGCGGTAAGTAGACACATATTTGACTAGTTTTCCATACTCGTCCAATGTAGCCCAGTCCCCCTGCAGAGAAGCGCGTGAGATGCGAGAGCCACGACGAACATCGCCTCCCTCTGCATTGCCTGAGCTCGCCATATTGGCTGATGGGGGGGGATAGGGGAATACTCGAATTGTGAAATTGGAGCGGGGTAATCGAATGTGTCTTGACAGGGAGAGAGTGGTGGGTGCAGAAGCAGGAGAATGCAGGCGAAGGTGACCTGCAGTAGTTTCGAGAAGCAAAAGAAACCCTGACTGTCTTCAGCCCCTCGATGAACCAACAAAGAACAATTGGGAAAAATTGCAGGAGAGGGAAAATATATTACAAAAGCAGAGAGCTCACTTGCCCTATGCTTTCTGCCCTTCAGTCAATCATGCTGACGTCGAGACTAGGAAGCCGCCGGCACCCAACGGAGATCTTCCCTGGAAGGAGAAAAGCACGAACAGCCAGATCGAAAGCATAGCTGACGGGTCTTGACGTAGAAGACCATCGGGCCTATCCAAATGAAGCTTCTCGACACCGGGCCGTTTCTCCCGTCCACAGACCAATCTCCGCTTGGGTTGATCGCCCATCCATGGGCTCGTCCCAGAGTTCCATCGGTAGAGTGCCTTGCAAACAATGGTTCTGATCAGCATCGACAGAAACGAGAAAGTTGTACTTCGCAGCTTGTGTGGAGTCTTCTTCTTTTCCCGGTCTCTTCCGCGCCATTGGTCCTGGCCAAGCTCTCCTCCCTGTCCCGGCGAGCCCACTCAGCAGCAGTATCACTTATGTCCTTGATGGATTCTACTGACTGGCAGATTAATCCGTGTTACCTATGTGCGTTGTTCCCCTGGCTGTTGACATGGAAGCAGCTCGGGTGATGCGGTAGTCTTCTACGTCATGCTCTGAGCTTATTCCGCTGGCAACCAAACTTCCAGAGCTGCATGGCGCTTTCATTTCCATACGTTCATGACTCATTGAATATGTCTCTGGACAAGTCTGAGTTTATAGGGCAATAACAAGGAACTGTTCGCAGCCATATCGTCCCGAAGTCAACGATTGGAAGGCAGCTTACATCACGTGATGGGATTCAGCCCTATACATTTCCGCTTGTATCTATCGTGGATGTGTGTGGATCGTTAGAGCGTGTGCATGATCTGCATTTGGTTTTATTTAACACAATCGTCGGTATCTCGGCATTTGTACCTAGCCCTGTCTAACGTAGCAAAATCTATCATCTATTTGGTGGTTTTACCTGTGGGGATGTTGAAGAAGACTGCAGGGGCACCAGGAGCGGCGGCCCGATCGCAACGGAAAAAGCCCTTGCGGTCAAACTGGATAATGTCGCCCTCCTTGAGTTGGGCAACGTTACAGTCAGCCAGGCATGAGTCGCGGTGCTCAGTGTGGTAGTTGAGGACATCCTCAAGAACATCATCCTCGCTGAGAGAGTCCTTGGTCAAGAGGTAATCGAAATCAACGAGCTCAACGGGGACGAGCTCCTGGTCGGTGGAGAGCCAGGTGACCTTCTTCTCGGTCTTCTTGACATCACCGGTGGGGTTCAGCTCGAGCTCAAGGTTGGTGATCACACCAGCAGCATCAGCAGTGATCTTGCGGACGAATGCGTTGCCCCAGTTCATCAAAGTAATCTCCTCATCCGGCTTGAACAGCTTGGCATCGGCCTGCTCGAGAACAACGGAGCCACTAAAAGCGACAGTCTTGTTGCCAACAGCGGCGTTCTTAGCGTGCTTGGGCTTCTGCTCAGTGTAGGGAGCGGGGGCATTAGAGATAGTGGCCTTGACGATCTCCTTGTTGTCGACGGCAGTGTGTCGAGGAGCAACAGGGTCAATGTACTTCTTATTGGTAGCCCAGATCAAAGCCCAGTCAAACAGAGTCACGGCGCGAGAGGGACCCTGCTTGAGGATAAACTCACGCAGAGCGGGGATGGTCATACCACGACGGCGGATACCGCGGATAGTGGGGAAGCGGGGATCATCCCAGCCCCAGACAATGCCGGTCTCAACAAGCTTGGTGAGCTTACGCTTGGACAGGAGGGTGCGGATGAAGTTCATGCGAGCAAAATCCCAGACCTGCACGCCACGTAGATTGAGGGCATCAAGCATCCATTGGTATTGAGGGTTGCGGTCACGGTACTCAATGGTTCGCAGAGCGTGAGTAACACCCTCCATGGAGTCGACAACGGGGCAGGCAAAATCATAGGTAGGGTAGATCTTCCACTTAGAGCCGGTGCGGTGGTGGGGAGCGGGGTTACAGCGGTAGATGACGGGGTCACGCATGGCCTTGTTCTTGTCGTCAAAAGAGATCTTGGCACGGATGCACCAGCGCAGACCCTTGGGGTACCCTTCTTCATCTCGTCGAAACGAGCCAAGCTCTCCTCGATGGAGAGTTCACGACGCTGGCTAGGAATACCATCCCATCGCTGGGCAGCCATAGTCTCCTTGTCGGTATCATCGGCATAGGCGTGACCAGTCTTGATCATCTTGATACAGTATTCGTAGAGCTCATCAAAGTAGTCGCTGGTGTAGGTCATCTTGTTTGGCTTGATGCCCATGAGCGCAAGATCCTCAACAATAGCATCCTGGAACTCCTGCTTCTCATTCGAAGGATTCGTATCGTCGAAGCGAAGCAACATGGTGCCGTTGTACTTCTCGTGAGCGAAGTAGTCGTTCAGAAGCGCGGCCTTGGCGTGACCAATGTGAAGATATCCAGAAGGCTCGGGAGGGAAACGAGTAACAACGCCATTCTCAGTGTTACGCAGATCGATATCGTAGCTACCACCCTCCTTGGACTTGGCGAGCTTCTTCTTGCGGTCGACGGCGTTGATGGACTCGACAGCGGCCGAGGTCCAGAGGCAAAGCTCCTCCACAAACCGGTACCAGCGGGTCAGGTTAATCAGGTTACCTTTCTTCAAAGCAGCGACGGCAATTCGGTTGCCGCGGAGAGCACCCCACAGAGCAATGTCGGCAGTAGAGAGAGAGTATCCGACGACGAACGAACGCAAGAGTAAGTGGGTGTCGAGGCGGAGGAGAACAGGGTCGAGAGCCTTGAAATCAAGGGGAGTGAAGGACTCGAGCTGGGAAATCCACTCATTCTCCTGTTGCATACGATGCGTCAGACTCGCGTGGCTCTATTTTGATCAAGGGGCAACTCACAAGGCTGAGATCCTTGCTAGCAAGATAGGGAAATTGAGTGCGAAGCTCCTCAACAGCCTGAATAGTACCAAAGACAGACTTGGAACCAGTGGTCAGCTGGACAATAGCCTTCTCGCCCTCCTCCAGAACGGCAGAGTCCTCATAGTTGATGGTGATCACCGGGGTGGGACGGGCCTCGTTGATGGAGGTGGCAATGAGCACCACGGGCAGCAGAGCCGCGTGATTGGCGCGAGTGGCCACGGTCAAGGTAGACTGGGACATTTTGCACGAACTCGTAAGAAGTGTGACTGTTTAAAAGTTGGCGGGGCAGTCATTTCGCTATAGAGCGATCGGCATATCGGGTCAAGGTTTCTCCGAACCCAGCGTTGGCAGAAAACAATTGCAGTGAAGCGCCGCGATCAACTGCTCCGTCATCGTTCAGCCATGTCGTCCTACGGCGCTGCTTTGCCCTCTGCGGCACGCGGAATCCTTTCATCATGTTGCTCAACCTTCAGCGAGAAGTCAATGACTCCCGCTTTGTCAATTTTCCAGCAAGTCCGCGGCTTCAAGAACAACGCGCAGAAGGGCAAGGGGAAGAAGAAGGAAGTCAAGACGGACCGCAAAGGACCCCGAGAGTTTCGACAGAAGAATCTGAAGGATATGCAGCAGTTTGCTCTGTGCGATGCGATGCGGTATGTTTGCTCAAACTGGATCAAGCAGGTCCATTCGGGACCTCGGATCATTTTTTGACATTTTTCGCGCTGCAGCTATCTCCGGGCTATGGAAGTTGGCCGCGAAAGCACGGTCACAAAATACGAAATCCACATTCGCATGCGGACAAGGAAAGACGGCCCCGTCATTCGAAACATGATCCGATTCCCTCACGCTGTTCAAACCGAGTCCCGTATCTGTGTCATCTGCCCTCCGGGGTCCAAGCAAGCGAAGGATGCGATTGCCGCTGGTGCCGTTCTTGTCGGCGAAGATGAAGTCTTCGAGGCAATCAAGGCTGGGAAGATTGAATTTGATCGGTGTCTTGCTCATCCCGACAGTTTACCGGCGCTGAACAAGGCCGCACTGGGCCGTGTGCTTGGTCCCCGTGGTCTGATGCCGAGCGTGAAGACGGGTACTGTGGTGGAAGACGTCGCATCTCGTGTCGAGGATCTCCGAGGAGGTACTGTTTATCGTGAGCGTGACGCTGTCATCCGTCTTCCGATCGGCCAGCTCGGATTCTCCCCGGAGCAGCTCCGCGACAACCTGCGCACAACCATCGAGTCAATCAAGAAGGATGCTGCCGGCCTGAACGACCGCATCAACAAGGAGATCTACGAAGTTGTAAGTACTTCGGCTATGCCATTCTTGCACCATCTGCTAATTCTTCATCCAGGTACTGAGCTCAACCAACGGCTCTGGCTTCAGCTTGAATGGAGAGTTCAAGACTGACGACTCCCCAGAATCCTCGGCCTTGACCGGCGTGTAAAATACCTGCTGTCTTAAATTCGATTGGCGTGTACAAATTATTGTTTTACTAGGAAAGGACATGGTGTATCATGGTATCATTTCTGCTCAATGGAGACTCCTACAAACCTGAACGCCGACGCTATGTATTCAACTCCAGCTGGCCTCTGATCTTTCGCGAAAAGAAAGAGCGACCTATACCTTGAGATTTTTCAATGCAGCAATTGCACTGACATCTTCTCCCATAAGGTCGTAGAGACGTAGGACCGCCATAGTTCTGGCGTCGCGCTTCTTCCCCGCATGACTAGCCTGTTCCAGCGCAGTCTTCAAATCCAATAATACTGTCGACCTGATCTTGGCCACACGAAGATGTTGTGAAATTAAAAATGGATGTTTCTCGCTCACTCGTGTCGCAATGGAGGTCAAGAAGACGTATTTTTGGACATGTCGCTCGAGCCGTTTAAGGGAAACCGGCGTCGTCCCATCCTCCAACTCCTCATCATCGCTGTCCCCACTGTCATTTGAGTATATATCTGACTCGCTGTCCGATTCGCCTGATGTAGAAGCTGCCTCGGCGGGCGATGACCTTTCCGAAATCATCAAGCGGTGCTCCAACTCCTCCACTCGGTCCGCATAGTCTAGTAGGTCTTTGCCGATATCCGCATGGGCGCGCAATTGGCGCTTCTCGTTCAATAGTGCCTCTAACTCGGTTCGCCGTGCCTCAACCTTGTCGCGAAGTGATTGCACATCTCGTTGGAAAGACAAGAGTCCGACTTTCACACCCTCGACCTTCTCCTCGCCCCCTCGAAGCGCGGTCCCAAGGGACAGAAAGTCCTGATAGTTCTCGTTGACTAGGTCCAGCAACTCCTTATTCAGGTGTTGTTCCAAACCACGAAGCTCCTGCCTCAAGTCCTCGAGGCTTTGGTGGCGATTGGTCAATGTCGACAGAAACGTGGCGGGATCAAAGTCGGGGGCCAGAAAGGACGTTCGAGCTAGCGGTTGGGGAAAAGGCAAGCCGGAAGAGTCCTCGTCAAAGTCAGAAGCCGACTCGTCGGAGTCACCAAACTATAACTGAATGAGCGGGGCTTTCCAAGACCAATGCAACAAGACAACAATGCCGCAACATACATTGAACCGGTTCATGGCGAGGTCGAATCAAGAAGAAGTGAAGAACGGACAAAGTGGTGGAGCTTGACCCCAAGCGTGTCGGTCTTGGCGTTGGTTGATTCCCTTGCGACTTCCTGAACTAACCTCTAAAATGCTGACTGTTGACTTTCAACTTCTTACCTCTGACTTTACAAACTTGCCGAAATCCTGCACCTCTCTTCTTTTGTTCGCTCAGAGATTGCCAGCGCATTGTCAACCCAGAAGCACATGCTCCCTACGATTTTTAATGCATCTTTCCTCGTGAGTTCTCGGGTGCGCCCCGCATACACTTGAGTGCCGAGCGGGGTTTCACCTGCTCTGCGTTGTCCTTGAATCAAAATTGGCCGATGGATCCAGACCCATTATCCGCGCACTGGGACAGTAGTCGGCGGTCTACGTCCTTCAGTAGAAAAGGATGGCCTAGACTGTCTCCGTCCTACGCGTCTCCCGCTGATGGAGGCCCCTCACTCCACGCCAGCTGGCGGCACTGCGAGTCCGTAGACGAGCAAGATACATCAACCCATGTATCGTCTCGGCGCCAAATGCCCGGAGTCTCACGACCTTCCCCCCAAAGAGACAGGCCGGCTAGTACTTTCCCTGAACGGCAACCCACTCCACCAACTCAGCCCGTACTAGTCAGAGCTTATTCTGGTAATGCTGAGAACACGACGGCCAAGTCGACCATGTCTTCACGCCGCATCTTCCCGCTCTCCGGCCCCAAGAGCTCGGTTCCCTCTCGTCCATCGGGTCCGCCGCCCCCGTCGGATAAGGATTTCAGTATTGAAAGCATACTGCAGGCCATCGAGCCTGATATACAGGGAACCTTGGATTCGATCGCCGAGATTTGTGGACGGAGCAAGCTAAGTCTCGCCAATGAATATGGCAGTCATATAGCGCCACTGGGAGAGATTCGCGCTCCAGCAGGCAACCTCGTTCCTGTCGAAGAAGCCAGCTCAACCGACGAACGGCGCGCCGATGACGGCTTGATCATCTTCGACGATGATCCTGGATTGATGGAAGGTGGCCGTGATATTCATCCGTTTCCCTTCTATCGGTACCTTGAGAATCTCCGGCAAGCCGCGTCGTTGCTCGAACGCAACGGTGCAGCCGTTGCAGGTCCATCAGCGCAGCCAAATGCCTCCACTACCGCTGCCGTGGCGACTGATGTGAATGCTCCGGACTTGAATGTCACTCCACTGCTCAATTCTCGAGAGTTTGCATCGAGGCCAACGAACACGGTACGAGATCTTCTGGCGAAGAACAGTACCTCTAGCCAAGGTGACCACTCTTCTCCAAGTATTGTCACCCCGGCTGTTGTTTCTGAGGTTCATCTTGATGCACAGGCAGGCGAAAGAAACGCAGAATCTGATCTATCTGTTCTGTTCGTGGATCAGCTCAGTCCTGATGATCGCATGCCAGTCGTCGTTCGCTCTCTTCTTAGCTGGCTGAGATGGACTACACGAATTGTAGGTCCAGAGTCCCGCCCCGCGTTGCAGTCAGCTGAAGGTCGACTACGAGCCATGCTGGAACGACCTGCCGAGGACCATTTGTCTTCGCAAGCTAGTTAAGAGGCAAGCTTTTCAGGCCTTCTTGGATGGGCATTCTACCCTGTGCACAAATTACAACTAATCACGACACCAATTATGACGACTTGAATGTATAATGATTGATTCATATCCGAGCATTTGCAAACTATTGATTTACAAAGACTTAATTTCATGATATTGTAGAAACTCGCGAACTCCGCCTAATTTTAGCAAGCAACGCTGTAATGAATGCTTAATGCAATGCAAGCCACCCCCGCCGATGTCTAGATATAAGATCAAATGACCTTTTTCGAAAGCAATTCATTACATCCCAGCAGTGCTCTCCACACCCCGAAGTAACGACTTCGCGAACTCCTCGAATCGAGGATACGACCAACCCTCCTTATACTTCTCCACAAGCGGTCTTAAATCCGGCTCCATAGGAGCCCCAGGCTGCTCCTTCTGGTCCTGATCTTCCTCCTCTTCATCCTCACCATCACTATCCTCTATCTTACCCTCAACCAGCTCCCCAAACTTAACATCCACCGGCACTTTCCCCATGAACGGAATCCCCAATTGCTGCGCCATAACCTCACCCCCACCACTTGAGAAGAGATTGCTCACCTCCCCACAGCACGGACAAGCATACCCAGACATATTCTCAATAACCCCAAGCACGGGAATACTCGTCTTCACACAGAAATTAGCCTCCTTGCGCACATCAGACGTCGCAACTGCTTGCGGCGTCGTCACAAGCACCGCACCATAAAGCCTCGGCACGGTTCTCTGGGCAGCAGTCCCCGCATCCGCAGTAGAGAGCGTAAGAAGCTGTTCCGCCAATGCGATATGCTCATCACTAGTGCCAGGCGGTGTATCGATGAGCAGGTAATCTGTTTGGCCCCAAGAAACGTCGGACAGGAATTGTCGAATCATAGCTGTCTTCTTGGGTCCGCGCCAGATGACAGCGTCGCCGCGGTCGCGGAGGAGAAAGCCTAGGGACATGCAGCGGAGAGAGCCGCGTGCGGGTGAGGAATCTGATTGCGGTAATGCATCATGGACTGGAACGGGTAGCCAGCCATTTGGGGATTGCGTGATCTTTGCGTCTTCGAGGCCGACGAGGCGCGGGATGGAGGGCCCTGTAAGGTCGATGTCGAGGATTCCGACGGATTTGCCTTGGAGGGAAAGTGCGAGAGCTAGTTGGAGGGTCACAGAGGATTTGCCTACACCACCCTTGCCGGAGAGGACCTGCAGGGAGGGGTTAGCTTCTGCGAAGGAAAACTGACTCAAAGGGTAGTTGTTTCGATGCGCACACTCGCCGTTATCGATAAGGTGTGAGGGGTAATTGTTGCGGCGCTGGATTATTGGCGCGTTGGGGGTTATTGTGAGGGCTTACCAGGACGATGTTCTTCACACCTTCTAGAGGCATTCTGAAGATTGATGTTAAGTTGAAGTGCAGATTGGATGGCGGTTCTAAGTAGTGGGGAGATCGATGTCCGGATGCTTATCAATCGGGCTCTGACTAAAGCACGCACCGCGGATTGGATGCTTCTACATGGCAATATGATGGGGAAGGAATTGATTGGATTTTGATTTTTCAAGATATAGAAGTATTCCTTTTTCAGAGACGTCGTTGGTCTAGCTAGGAGACGTAGTGACGCCAGTATCCATGGACGGTCATAATTGGTCTGTAAAAGTCTATGTGCCCTCGACACACTATTTTAAGAGCCATGGTTAGAAAGCAAGTGAGTTGTGGTCTATGTCCACTTCTGAACGACAACACCTCCACGCTTGAACTCAGCCATATCTCCGAGGACCTGGTCCATGTCCTTGAGCTCAGTGCTGGGGAAAGTCGTCATCAGCACCCAGGCACGGTCTCGGCCCTCCGGAGTCGCGGCAGAGACGAACGCGTAGACGTCGCCAATGGTGGCAGTGGTGTTGAAGCGAGAGGTTAAACGGGTGCCATCACCCAGACGAATCTGAAGAGTCACAATGGGCTGTGATTCATCGACGTCATGTGTCGGCTTCGCGTCGCTAGTAGAAGGCGCAGGTGTGGCAGATGATGGCGTAGAAGCCTGGCTCTGAATGCCGGGTGTTGGGCTGCCAAGACGTTGACCGGCGCCCGAAAAAGGCTTGTACTTGGGCTTCGGCTGAGTGTATTTCTCATCATGCTGCTTCAGCTCTACATCGACTTCCTGCCCGGCCTCGACATTCATAATGGCGAGAGGGGCGCGGCCCTGGCGGATGCCTTCCAGAATCTCAGCGTTACGAGGAATATCTGAGCGGTAAAGTTCGCCATCGTCCACTGAGAAGCCATCGGCCCAGAAATGGAGAGTCCGTTGGACGCGCTGGGGGCGCTGCTGCACCGGTCCGGTAGGGTCTTCGATAATTCGGCTCGGCGCATCGTCACCACCCAGGGTGCGGGCAGCGCCGGTGAAGTATGAGGGGCGCTCCTCGGGCTCATCCGTACGTTGGGGCCTACTCCTGTTTGTGAACATTAGTATCGTAACATTATGGAGCTGCACGGATTGCATCAAGCTTACTTTTGGGCCTTTTCGAAAATGCTCTTCTTTAGGTCATCCGGGTTCTTTTGCACAGCTAAGCCTGACTTCTCTCCGCCAGTGAAAAAGTCCCGTTCCCCAGAGTCGTCGGACTCTGAAGAACTATGGTCATTTCCGCCGGAAACATCACCCAATGTCGCAAACTTCTTCCTGGGCGCGGCACGTTTTGTAGAGGATGTAGATGCGGATGGCATCACAGGGTTCGTAGGCATCTGTCCGCCCAGAGTTCGACCACCTGAAGCAGCTTCACCTGCATGTGAAGCCCCAGTCTGCCTGCCACCGCCAGTGTTCATGCCTTGCAAAGCCTCATCCTGCTCCGCAAAGAATTCAGTCACCGCAGCTTCTATATCCCACTGATTTGCTTCGAGGTACGCTTGAGCCTAACAATTACCAGGGAAATGTCAGTGGCGCGTCTTATTGCAAAGGAAAACGAAGCTTACCGCTGCAGGTTGAGTGCCCGTCATGGCACAGAACTGCGACACCACCTCGTCGTGCTCTGCGGGGTTAGGCTCCATGTTCGAGCTCGACAGACAAGTTTCAGGGGATGAAGAGAATCCGTAGGAGACGAATGGCGTTTAAGCACAGGAAAGAGAGTTGTCTGTCAGGTGCACAAGGTGAGAAAATAGAGAAATGTGAGAGTACAACAAGCTGAGTTGAAGGAGCCAAATCAACACCGCGGCAGGTACGTCACTGCCATTGGTCAGCCGGAGGCCAGGATCTTCCGCTCCCCGGCACCTAAGGTGGACATTATATCTACGGCCTCATCAGGAATATTCTATCTGCTCTAGCCTGTTCGAAGACTTTTCAAGGAATACAAAGCTGACAGCAAGAGGTATTCCATGAGCTTCAGATATGTCGACAAAGAACCAACAAATCAAAGATAAAGACCTATAAGTTTATCGGTTCGGCCTGGCTATACTTGACTGCGCTTCACCTGGCGTCTGTGTAGGGGCTCAAGTTAATTATGTATCTCACTAAGGGCAAAACCTGCTCTAACACCAGGTCTGAGAAGGCTAAAATCACGGCCTATTGCTCCAATACTCCTTCAAACCTTGCCTGGAGAACTCGCTCATTGACCGCGCAGTTCACTTGACCGCGAAGAATATGGATTCAGAGCAGTCACATCTACGATGAAGTACTGTAAGTTAGTAAGGTATTATTTATTAGGCACGTTGTCTGCTGTCAAATCTAACCAAAGCTACCTCGTGATCCATCTACTTTTCCCGTGATTTTCAGAGTGAACAGCAATCAATATGTACTTCGTAATCTCTCCTTGTTCTTGAAATTCTATGACAAATTCAGAGAATGGTTATAGTTTATCTCGAAGACATCTGCCAAGATAACGATGGCTATCTCTTAGATCTCTTGAAGTGGTTGAGTTCCAAGTCCACATGGGGTCGACGCGCTGACATAATACAAGTACCCACCGACATTCGCCAGCGAGGAGCAGCTTGTTGACTGCAGCTCAATCTGGCCCGCTCTCAATATAGGGAAACCCCGATCCTATTTTCTCTCCTGGCGCTCTAGCCTCCGATCCCTGCCCGCCATGGCCTCCGATGCGGCCGGCTCACGAGTCGACCTCTGCGACTCGACCATGACAGTCCCCTCCGACTCGGAAAATTACTCGGCAAACAACGAGATGTCGTCTTCTCCTCCGTCGACCTCTAGCTCACCCATGATCCTCTACCATCCCCCGAATCTCTGGGGCATACTCCGCGGCGCGGCTATCAATTTGTTCCTCCCCTTCGTGAACGGCTTGATGCTAGGATTTGGTGAGCTGTTTGCTCACGAAGCGGCCTTCCGTCTAGGATGGTCAAACACTAAGGTACGCTGCAAGGTGATGCAAAGTCATAATGTACCGGCACTAAGCTGACTTCTTCCGTCTGGTAGATTTTCCCGATGTATCGTCGGTCCCATCCCGTGGGCCCCGGAGTGGACATTCGAGAGCTCCCTTCCGAGCAGAGACGGGTGACCTCCGCAGCTGGTATCAACGACACCGCCTCTCTTGAGTAGACAGTAGAGGCTTCTGCAGGCTCAATCAACCAAGTATCCCCATTGAAAGAAAGAAAGAGCCCAAGATGCGGGACACAAACCAGTACATGCTTGACCAAAGTGAGACCTTTAGTTGAGGGAAAAGGAGACTGTACATAGACTACTCAGTCGGCGCCCGGCGAATATGGATTGAATTTCACAGTTTTGTTTTAGACATATTAACAATGATCTTATTTTAATCTCTTCGACTCTCCAAATTCAAGTTGATATCGTCTCAAGTTCAAATGTAGACGCGGCTGTTTACCCGCGACACTCCGCCCGGCAGAAAAAGTCTCCCAGATCGATATGATCACGAGTTGCACTTACCATCCACTCCATCATTCAATTCGCCCACCATGATTGGAGCTGCTGGTCTGAAAGGGCCCGGTATGGCTGCTGCCATTTTTCGGCAACGGCTGACTGCGGTTCCAAAATCCACTCGATCCGTTCGTCATTCCTGGAAACTCCGGGGCAGTTTCGGAAGTTGAAGTTGACTGATCTCGCGCAGATATCATCCGTTCGGTCGCTGCGCCTTCGAGTACCCGGCCAAGGAAGCCAATTGACTTTGGCATCTTCGGCTGCCAACTGGCGCAAAGCGTCTCTTGCTGCTGGCCCGGCCGCGATTCGCTTCAAGTCCTCCATGCCTGAGCCGGCACCCCCTCCCGCTCACGAGACCACCACTAGCCCAACCGGAATTGTTGAATCGACAGACCTGTCTGATTTTGACCTCTCGACACTCCCGGAAAGGATCGGATATCTGAAACATGATCTTGGTCTGGATTATGGCTGGGGTACCTCCGCAGCCACGCAATGGATGATTGAACATCTCCACATCTGGGGGGGGATTGCCTTGGTGGGCTGCCATCGTCGGTACTGGCTTCATGATTCGTGCTGCTTTGCTTCCCTTCATGCTTGGTGCTTCCGATCAAGGTGCCAAGATGCACAACTTGAAGCCTGTGGTCAATCCGCTGCGCGAAGACATGATGCGCGAGTTGCAAAGCGGCAACCAAGTCGTGGGTCAGCAGAAGAGGGCGGAGATGCAGGAAATTCATAAGGCACATGGCGTCAAGTGGTGGAAAACAATGCTTCCCATGCTACAGATTCCCCTTGGTTTCGGTATTTTTAGAGCCACTCGGGGCATGACAAGCCTACCTTTACCGGGTCTCCTGGACGAGTCCTTCCTTTGGATCAAGGACCTCACTGTGTGCGATCCATACTACATTCTTCCCATGATGACTTCCGCTTTCATGTATTTTACCTTCAAGGTTTGTCGCTTCTAAAGTCCCCTTCGGTGCCAACATCTAATCATGATCACAGAAAGGAGGCGAGTCCGGTACGATGGACATTTTGAAAGGCCCGGGTAAAGCTATTCTTTATGTTTTGCCCGCATTTTCTTTCGTTTTCATGGTCTGGCAACCGGCGGCTCTGCAACTTTATTTCGTGACTACCGGTATCTTTGCCTTGGCTCAGTCCAGTGTATTGCACAAACGCTGGTTCCGAGAGACCTTCAATTTGACCATCCCCGTTGTTACTCCGTCCGGCCCCGTGTCTTCTTCAAGGGGCCCAAGTACAGCCCTGACGCGACTTCAGGAGCGCATTGCAGAGGAGAAACGTCTCTTGGCCGAATCACAGAACCCGCCCCGGAAAGATGAGGCCCCGAAAAGCTACACTAACGTTAGTGCTATTGATCAATTCCTCGATAAGTCAAAGAAGGGATTGAGCAACTGGCAAACCGAGGCGTCTAAGTCGATCCAGTCTATGAAGGGTCAACCTACAACGAATCGTGACGGCTCGCCCATTGAGCCACCTCGTATCACCGAGGCGCAGCGCAGAAAGGCCGAGGAATATGAGAGGGAGAGACAGGCGGCCGATGCCTTCGCCCGCGAAGAGCGCAACGAAGCTCGCCGCCAAGCCCATATGAAGGCACTTGCCGCTGAGCGGGAGAAGGCGAAGGCTTCCTGGCAGAAGCAGCGTGAGGCCGTGGTCAACAAACAGATTCGGCGAAAGTGATCTTGCTTGATGTGTATAATCTGTACAATATGGCGCTGAACTTTGCATTCTGAATTTGATGTATTCTTGGACTAGACTTCAATTTATCCATACTCTACTTTAATTACCGTGCTGTCAGTCAACATCCCATTGATAGGGACTTTGGTATCATTTTTGCCGAGTATACTGGGGATGTAAACAACTATACAACCCGGCTTAGAATGAAATCGAATGCGAGCCTCTACACTTGATTCCCCAGTGCACCCTCAACATCTTACGGAGCATCTCTCGAAAAAGGTCTTCTGCCTCGTTTTACGTTTCCAATGTGTTTCTTTTTTCTGTTTTTCCTTTTTTTTTTTCAAATGACTTCGAATACGTTTGGGAGAGAGATGCAATTCAACAATCTTTCCGTACCATGTAGCAGACATCCCTGCCAATAAGGAGAGCCGGATTCTTCGGCGTGTAAAGCACCCCATTTCGAATCCAATAGACGGCGATGTTGGTGATAGGGGATGATGATGCCGAAAGATGATTCCAAGGGGTGGAAGCATTCAAGCTGATGCTCATCAGTCTCACCAAGCTAATCACTAATTCCACTCAAGTTTGGAAGTGTTCTGCCTGCCACTAGATTCGGCAGTGTCTCTGATTTATGATAGCCTAATGTGTTTACAGCAACGATAAATGCAAAATATCGAGTTTTATTTCTATAATGCTTCAAAAGGAACCCCCTGGAGCCGAATATCTTGTACGGGGTGAACCATAAGATCAAGAGACCAACTCATGCAACAAACATAATGGCGAGTCACGAAGTCCGCATAGGATTGGAAACAGCAGGTAACGGCAAAGTTGCTTTCTCATCATCCACAAAAACAGCCTTTTCCAACTTCTGCGTTATCCGAGCACAAAACGGATCAACATGAGCAGTCCAAGCCGCGGCAACAGCATAGACCATCCCAATCCAGACAGGTATACTGATAGCCACAACCCACGGCGGGCGAATTGGAATCCAGTTCCTCACATCATCAGTATCCGCCTCGGCCCCCTCCCAAGGCTGCCCGGTAATTCCATACAGCATCCAAACAAGAATAACGCGCAGCATGGTGCCGTGAACTAAGTAGACAGCAAAACTCTGTTTGCCTAACCAGAGCAGAAGTCGGTTTGCGAGGAACCGTTTTGTGGAAGGGGAGAGATAGATCGCGAGGATGATCATGTCGATGCCGATTGCAGTGTAGCGCTTGCCGACATTGACTCCAGGCGGGAAGATATGTTGTGCTATTTTGAACATGATTTTCGACCAGCCCGACCATTCCGGGTGGTCTCCGGGATAGGAAGCTATTAAGAGGCCGAAGATTGCAAGAGGGGCAGTGATCATTCTGCGGCCGTAGGGATGGGTTTCAATCCAACTTTTGAGCGTGATGCTGTGCGATAGGTCGCTGAGGAGCATGCCGTAAATTGCTTGTATCTGGAAAGTTTCTGGATGAGAGTCAGCCCGACTTTGCAGCTATGATCAATTTGAAGCAGGTACTCACCTGTGTTCTTCGCCGCATCCTGATAGAAGTACAACATCATACCAATGTAAACCATCACCCGATACCGGACTTTCATAAACATCGTCGCCACAAGGAGAATATACACCAACATGGATACTTTAAGGAGAGGCAAAAGAGCCCATTGGTGATCGTCGTATGCCATATATCCGGTCGTCCACGTCGATAGGAAATTCTGGCCCAGACGAACGATTTCTTTCCAGAGAGAATCTTCCAGATCTGGAGCAGCATATCGACACCACCAGCAATCCGACCTGTTCGCGACAATGAAACCACCGAATTGCGCAATAACCCATGATATGATCATCGCAATAGTGGCGGGGAATATCAACCGTGGTGGTCTACGGAATGCGCTCTTTGCAACAGTTGTGAATGATGCTGCTGTGTCGCCGCTTCGAGATTGTTTGATAGGTTTCAAGGCGCAGACATAGCCCGTCAGAAATGCAAATATAGTGACCCCGATACGGCCTTGCCAGGGAATGCGAAGGATCGGCCATTGTAGAATTCGCGGAGTTGCGTCTTCGTGGTTTCGGGGCGAGAAGAGATCGTAGTCCCAAGCGCGGGCTATGTGAGTGAGAACAACTAGGAATGAAGCGATTCCTCGAAGGCCCTGAACGTGTCAAAAAAAAAAACATACTTAGTAGATGAAGGATCATGGAGCTGAGTGGTAATATGCATACATCAATCCACTTGACGCTTTTCCTCGGATCCCCCTTCTCCGAACCGTTGCCCGGACTCCATGGCAGGACAGCTGGGATGGTATCCCTCAAACGAGTGTAAAGATGTGTTGGCTTAGCGAACGTCATCGTATCAAATGAAGGTAATTGAAGTATCAAGAATTGAGAACCATGAGGGGCACCGAATCCTCTCTAGAGGTCGAGGTCAGAAAAGCACCAACACGAGATGGAGCCAAAAGAAGGAATTTAATCATCCCACGACGGCCAGGATCGCCATTGCTAATCCTCATTCATGGGAAATCCAGACCTGCCAAGAAAGAAGGGGCACGCGACTCCTTCAAACCCAACGCGGCCGTGGCCAGGAATCGAGTCGAAACACAAGAGTCCCATTCTGAATTCAATGACGCGATAGATATGTGGCCATGCAGTGCAAGCCAAAGGCTCACAGGCAGTTTGACTATGCGGGTCGTGGGCGAGGGATGCAGGCGGCGTCGATCATGGTGCGAATCGAGAAAGTACACATTGCTTTGGTATGCCAGGGAGGACCCGGCGTCCGTCATGCATCTTTAGGCATTGGACTCCCTTGCAGCGGACGGAACCAGAGTCTCTGCAGGATCCGTACAGAATGGGATGCGGGTTGAGTGTCGAGGGCTGAAGATCGAGGTCGATTACATTTGTCGTGCTGGGGTTGTGGTTAACCATCGAATCGAGGAACATCATGGTATTGGCAAGGAAGGGTGCAAATCCAGGAGTGACGGGTGAATAGATCAGATTCCCTTTCAGATATTTGGAATGTAGGTTCTAGGCCAGGGCTACGAAGGCGTGCGAGGACAGGGCGCGTAGCTACATCTAGCACACATCTAGATGGTATCAATTGTAATGTCCCTGTGGCATCCCTAGGTATAAAGCAAGAATCACTCCGCAGCTATGTATAATACCTCGACGAAATCATGAAGCGTATATTCCAAATGGAATCCCCAAAGCAAGACCCCTCGCTCCAGCCAAACGCCGATGCAGTAAAAGAGAATGGCAAGAAAAACAGTTCATTAACGGAAGATTCGACGGCCGCCAACAGAGCCCGCGTTCCAAGTAACGGAACCTTTGACTCCCAAATTGTCCAGACTCATCCCGGAGAAGCCAACGCCTCCACCCTCACCATCGCGTTTCGAGCGCCGTAGCGCTTCCCGAAGGTGGGCAGGTAGAAGTTGGCCCCGGTGGGGATTGGGCGGCGGTCGGAATTCGCGACGTGGGCGTAGGGGTGCTGACGATAGACCGAGTGTATGCAATGATGGAGAAGGAGATGATACAGCGTTGGCATTATGGACAGGAGTGGCTGAGGGTCTGGCTTGGTCTGCGTCGGACTCTTTCTTGATACCATTGTTGACTCCACCACCCGGGGTTCCAGATGGCGTAGGTGTTCCTGCGTTAGACTGTGTAGCTTGAGTTTGTGCCTGTGCTCTGGCCTGTGCTCTCTTCTCGGCAGCCTCCTCCTCGGCATCGAACTCAGCCCGCGCAGCTTGATCGTATGCCGTTGCCCATTCAGCCTGCACCGTGCGTGCCTTTTCGACAATTTCACCAGCGAAGACCTTAGTAAAACCGTTGACTGTAGTGACAACACTTGCTGGAACTGATTGCGATAGTGCATGGTTGACGATACGACGAAGTGATTCCTTGCGCAGCTTCGCGCGCTTGAACAAGTCATATCGCTCAGATTGCATGGGATTAAACGCATCCACCAAGATACTGTGATACCGCAACATCACTCGTTAGCTTCCAATCCACATCCTAAATTCCAAACCAGGAAATCGAAAGAGGAACATACGCGAGGTTCTTCTTCTCAGCCTCCGTGTCAGTCGTGCCCTCTTCACGGCCCAAAAGCTCGCCCTCATCGTCATCGTCATCCTCATCACCATCATCACCACCTCCTCCACCGCCGCCCATACCTCGTACTGAGCCCTCGGCATCGGCAGATCCTAATCGACCATCACCGGCTCTGGAACTAAGAGCATCCTCGCGCTCGCGCTCGCGTTCTTTCTCAGCCTTGCTTTTGCGACCGCGTTTTTTTTCCGCGGGCCGCTCCGGCAAATACACCGTCTGCGCTGCCTCCGCCGAGACTTCCTGTGTAACTGCCCGTCACACTACCTGCGTCGCTAGCTGCGCCAAAATTGCGTTCTGCTTCGAGAGTCGGAAATGAGGTCTGGCGGAGAGGATGCATGCGCGCCTTTTTGAGAATAGGCTGTGAGGCTGCTGAGGAAATGGAGGGTCGCTTGAGGAGGTTGGTAGGGGTCTGGTATGGTGGTGGTGATGACATTATGAGCGCTTGGTGGGAGAGGTGAGCAAGGCAAATCCTCTATGTGAAGTTGTAAATGAAGTGTCAGACTGAAACAAGTACTTGAGACAAGATTGACTGAGTTTGCGCCTAGCGGGCGAGGTGCTGCGAGTTCGATGAGCTTCCGGTGTCGTAATGTGTCCAACAGGATAGAGGCAGAAAGCGAGCAGCAAATTGAATCGGACAGTTATGTCGAGAATATGAATATATCGGTATCAAAACTAAATGAGGTTTGTTTCACCAGTGCAGCCCGGTAGTTGCCGTAGACGAAGCCTAGAGCTACAGCTTCGCCTCGCGCGATGCACGATTTCACTTCGGAGTCGCGGTGCTGAGATCATGCTCACCGCCTTCTTCTTTGGGCCGAAATTGTGAATATGGAGTGACGAACTATCGTGGTACAGCTAATTCGTCACCTTGCAAGCTTTAGGACGATTTGAGTGTATTAATTTACTTTGGGAGTTCGACAATATGAGAAATGAAATAGATTCTCATTTATAACTAATGAATGACTAAGTCACAAAAGCATTACCCGAAAGTAATCGCTGAGATGAGCCAGCTGAAAGAGAACGAGGCGCTGAGCGCATTGATCATGCAATGCCACGCAAAATGTCAAGACAGAAAAGCAAATGAACAAGAACTTTCAACAGAATGCGATAAAGACAGAACATGGACGATGAACAGAACGATGAACAGAACGATGAACAGAACGACGAAAAGGGACCCAAGAGGACAGCAAAATTGTCAGTGCCTAAGAGCCTTCGTGACGGCACTCTCAGAACTTCTCTCCAATCCGAGGTGCCCCCCCTTTCCAGTCGTCGCGCTCATAGTAGCGGAACACAAGATCGTAGCCATTCAGGTCGTGAACGATGCGGTCAATGCGACGATAGCCCTCGATGTGCTCCATCTTAGGACTGCGACGCATGGCCAGGCGTTGGTGAGCCTCGTGGAAACCGTTGGCATCAGCCTCGTCAAGTTCAGGCTTGGTCTCAAACAGAGTGATGCTGAAACGGCCCGGCTTGAAGATGTCCACGACTTGCTGGATGATGTCTGAAGTGGTCTTCCCGTTCTGCGAATGCGGGACGTTGGTCTCGAATGATGCGTACGAGCAGTGGGGCTCCGGAGTGACGTGCACGGTGAAATAGTGGGTTGGAGCCTTGCTGCTGTCCGGAGAAGGAACCACACCATTGGCGGAGAAGCCACATGGGGTGAACAGATACGCATCAATACGAGCATCCGGGAATTTGCTCTTAGGGTAGACGTCCGACAGACCGCACGCCTCGGAAACAACAGTTCCCAGAGCGTGGCCCTCGGTGGTCAGCTCCGGCGGTAGAGTGCGATCACCCTGGACCTCAGGGTCATCCAAATCTGAGCCGTTGCTGAAGACATCGACATGCTCAATGCCCTCATCCTTGTCATAGTTGCGGTAGCGCTTCTCGGCTACGGCGGCGGCATTGTCAAGATAGAACTGCTTGGCGTTCTCCTCTTCCAGATCAGTCATCAGGACCTCAAGCGTCTCATCGTACTCATCACAATTGGCAATAGGAGCAGGCTTAGGCAAGCTGAGTACCTTGGTCTCGGTCTCGGTGTAATTAACTTCCTCTGAAGGGCTCGCCGGAGGGGTGAGCAGAGTGTGAGGCTCAGTCAGATACAAGTACCAGTGCTCTCCATTCATCTTGCCGATCATGTAGGCACTGCCGCCTTGGAACAACTTGTCCATGTTGCGAACCTCATCGCGCCAGCTGCGGTGAGGGCCACGCTGACGATCGGGGAACAAGAAGTTCTTGCGGCTGTAGAAGACGCGATAGGGAGCAGCGGCCACAGTGATGCCACGAGACGGTGGGGCCGTGGCACGAGGGAAGCCTGCAAACAGAGCGGCTATCTCTCTAAGATACGAGGGAGACCTGACAGCAGAGTGGTGGTGCCGCATGTCTTCAGGATGAGCTTGTGCGGCCAGACAAACATGCTGGACTCGGACAAAAGGTAGGCGTCCACGTCCTCAGACGAGACAATAGAGAGTACCTGGCAGTTGACGAGGTCAAGCATATCCTTCCAGATTTCACTGGGTACCTTCTTCAGACCCTCGGGGCCTGCGTCGCCGAGCTCAGAGGCAGATGGCGCAAACCAGACCTCAAGCAATTTCTCAGGGCCTAGTTGAAAAGAGTTAGCATTGCAGCAAGCAGGTAGCGGTATGATTGACCAACCTTCAAAGGCATTGCTGGAGTCGAGATCCTGAGTCGCGTCATAGTTGATAGTCAGAGAAGTTCCACCGAACGAGGACGGGGACGCGGTATAGTTCTTGGAATGCCGACGTGAACCATATCCGTTGATTGTAGCAGCCGAAGCCTATTAATTTTATGCGTTGAACGGATTTAAGAAAGGTATGAGGTCGGACCGCCCTTGGCACCGCTTGTTGTTGAAGACAAAAAGGCTTTAGTAGCACTGTCTACTTACCCAGACGAACAAGGGGGCGATGCCCGTCTGAGAAGAGAAGGCCCTTAGGACGATTTATAGCTGGACAGACCAGGCAGATGTGAATCCTAAACAACCTGAAGGGCTGCTAAGGAGGTAGGAAGGCGAAGGAGAGGAAAAAGCTGCGGCAAGAAATGTTGACGTTCAGTCCGGTACCCTCGTTCTGGAAGATACCGATACTGGTCAAAGTATCGGGTCTAGCAGACGAGAGTATCTGCTTGTTGAAAGGGAAATGGGAAAAAGTTGGAGATGAAGACGACTTGCGGGAGTCGTGCTATCGAGGCCTGGTGATGGTAAAGTCCAATTAGTGTAAGAAAAAAATGAATGAAAGAAGAACCCCACACAATGTCAACAAATGCCAAGCTAAGAATTGGAACAAAACTCTTCCTTCCAGAGCAATCGCTTGGAAACAGAACCCAGTGGATATTTTTTTTTTGCTCGTGGCCGCTAAGTGAGGGGTAATGACGAAAAGAAAAAAAAAACAACGAACACCTACTTCGCGGGCTTGGACAAAAATCGCAGAAGATCCTTCGAGCTCATGGAAGATATGAAAGGAAATTCAGCTTAGATTTGCACGATGTCGCGGGAAGCCACAATCGTGTACATCAGCGAGTACAAAGGAGGACTTTGTCTCTGGGAGCCTGATGAGTGCCCGAGAATGGATTGCTCAGGATGGCAGAGACGAAAGGCGTTCTCTGAAGGACTTCTTTGGTCAAAGCACAGCCGTGGTCTGATCGAGGACCTCAACTGGAGGGGGTTGACAGCTGCAAAATGTTTGCCTGCGCAGTTTGGTTGGTAATGCGCGATTTTGTCTGTGGACCCGCGCTCGTGGGGCGGCGCCGGATCAAAATCTGTCTGACATCAGAGACCGGCATCCGGTTAGTTTGTGTGCGCTACGCCTCGGACACGGCTGGAATGCCGAGAAAGGAGAATTACATACCGGATGAACAAGAGGGCAAAGGCACACAGTTTTAAATCGTCAAGGACGAAACCTCGATTGTGGTGTGGAGAAAAATGACTGCGACCAGGCGAGAATCTTGGAAACTCACGCGAGCGGTGAGAACAGGCAGAATAAGCTTTCCGGTCCCTGACTGAATGCGGTAAGCGATCTGCGGAAAGCGTCATATCGACATTGATTTCTATCAAAGATGATTCCGAAGGTTCAAAGGGTAGTATTTCGAAAGAACATCTATATTGGACCCTTTCAGATTCTTCTTTAGTTGGCTACGCAGCTCTACGTTAAAGTGACTATATCTAGAGCAGCAAAATGACCGAGTCAATGTAAGCCATGGATTGTTAGATGACGCTGAAAGTCGCCTTTTTTTTGAATGGTGGAAGGGCCAAACCGACAATAGGCAGTATATAGCGACACTTAGCTAAGGAACATGATTAGCACAAGAGACCATGGAAAGGGTAATGTCCTCTGGATCGCGTCTATCTTAACTCGAAAGATTCCCATGGATCGTTCGGCAAGGCGAGAAATCTGAATTGAAGAAGAAAATGGGATGGTAATTGTCTGACACCAATGTTTAATATATCAACTGACAATGACTCGAGTCGAAGAACATAGGGGGGGGGTTAAATAGCACCATGCATACTTTTGTCATTGTGAGTGACTTACCCAGATGGCAAATTCCAAAAGGATACGGCTCGGCAACGCAAATTGAGCAGAAGGATTGATTATAGCATTCCACTTACTTTGCCTGATGCCACGACTATACCTTTTCTCGTGTACTAAGTACTCAACAGATACCTCTATCAAGTCCCTGACGGATCACTGCGCAGCTGATAGTACTTGGTAAAAAAGTTTCTGGACGCTAGTCGGATTTCCAGCGATTTATCACCCCACTAATCTTGGTAGGTAGTTCATTAAGCCTAAATCCAAGCGCCTTGATAGGGGCGGCGGTAGCTCACAAAGGAAAGCCGCATACCGCAGAGGAAATCATCTCGAAAGAGGGGCCTTAAAAGCTATGAAGTTGCAAGTGACCAATTATTGTAGAAATTTTATTTATCAAAATGCCTGGAGATACCAAGGACAAGTTAAATACCTTCGTAACGCCTAATTAAAATAGTAACGCCATACCCACCGGGAGAGATTGGAGAGCTACCTTCCCTCATTATGTTTGGAGATGATACAAGAGAAACGCCTACGCGTCCAACACCAGTTGAGCTACCTGTACTTCATTGACCTCAGCAATCCTGCTGGCAATGAGGTCTCCAACCTTCTCAGCCAGCCGTGTGCGCATATCATCTGTGACGGTAGCAGGATGACCATTGGCCAGCGAGACCTGGCCGTCTCGAAGTGAAGCCAGAACGCCGAGAAGAGCGTTCAGCACCCGCTCGGCCGCGGGTCGACGAGCTGAATCTTCAAGACCATCACTGAGTAGTTTAGTGTACTCGCGAAGATTGGGAATCATGAGAACCCGCACCACCTCCGCGCCACCCACGGCTTGTAATCCGATCACAGCACCATAGTGGGCTCCAAAGGGCTTGGAGGGGTCGAGGAAGCTCTTGAGACATGACCGCACCAGGCGAGGCTTGAGCATATGGGATGATTGGGAGTATTTCTTCGCGATGAGGCTAAGCAATGAGGCAGCGAGGTCTCGGAGAGCGAATTGTTCGGCTAGGTCAGCGGCCCCACCAAGTTGGCGGCCGATCAGACAGGTCAAAATGGAGGGGACGAGAGAAGCAACCTACTAGGGTCAGATCTGAACACGATGTTAAAATCCAAGACGGAAACTCACATAGGGGTCAACGTAGAGAGATGGGTTCTGGACCAAGGCCTCAGCCATGTGCATCACCTGGGTCAGCACAAAGATATCCTTAAGACTGTGTGTGACCTTCTCGGCGATAAATTGCACAAAGTACGGGACTAGTTGGTGCAGACCGGGGTCCTCCTTAAGACTGGCATATCCGGAGGTCCGGTATTCTTCACTTGTCTCATCCAAGAAAGCACTGCAAACCTTCTCGAAGTACAGCTGGAGCTCCTTGGAGAGGACATGCTTCACCAATGGTTTCACAGCCACGTCACCTGCGCCGCTCATTGCCTGTAAGGTCTGATTGGCATTAGGGCCCTTAGATGCGAGTTCGAGGTTGCGAGAGTCTGCCGCAGTCGGATTCTGAGGAATAGAAGGCTGAACGCCCTCGACAGCGAGCCAATGGCCTACATATGAGGTCAGTAAGCTCCACAACCAACTTCGAGGTTAGTTCACTTACCGGTAAAAGAGACCTCGCGGGGAACTTTGGGCAACGGAGCATTGATGAGCTTCTCAAAATCCACCTCCTCATCCTCCACGTAAAAGAGTGGCTGGCCAGGGCCAAGTGACGCTTCGCCGAACCGCAGCGGGCGGAGGGACTCGTAGCCGTATAGAGGTTCCACATCAAGGGTTCGCAATGCTTGGGAGATATCCTGCGTTGTGAGGAGTGTCCGTTTGCCGTGGCGCATTGACTTGAGCGCCTCCTCTAACACCTGTGCAACGCGGTATTCGACGTCGCGTGCCAGATTCTCAGTCACGTCATGATTGAGGTTGGTAATGCCGACAGACTCCGCAACATCACGAATATTGTCTGGATTCCAGACGGACATGGCGACGGGAGTGATGGAGGCTGAGACGGGATGAAACGATCGGGGTTATCGAAATGGTCGGTGACCGGAGGGCCGGGGTAAAAAACAGCGCGCAAACGGTGATGGGCGGAATAGATTGACAGAGTCAAAGTCGCATTATGAATAGCTCTGGCTCTAGGGGTCGAATGAGAGCAAAGCAAGGCCAGACACCACGATTATCGTCGTTCTGGATTGTGTCGCAAGATGAAGGAGGAAGCGCGGTGATTACTGAAATTGCGCGGACGGTCCTAACTGCCTCCCGTACAAGCTCTATGCGTCCCCTGGCCTTTAATCATGTAGCACTGACAATGAGTGAAATTACTTATTATTCAACTCTTTATAAAGAAATGAATGATTTGCTTGGAACCAAAAACAAGAGTGGAGAGTGCCGAGCTCTGCTCTTCCGGGTATCACAACAGACTGCTCGCAAGCTTTTACTTTGACTCCTTCACTTCCTCCTTGGGCTGCTCCTCCGTGACAGGATCCTCCTTGATAGCCGCCGGAGTGGGCTCATCCTTGGGAATCTTGGCCGGTCCCTCGGACTTGGGTGGCTCCTCGGTCTGGGCAGGGACCTCTGGAACGGTGCTCTCCGTGGTCACGGCAGCTGGCTTGGGCTCCTCCTTGTCTTCGACCAGCGGGACTGTCCGGCCCTCGTCCTTGAGATCTGCTCCCTTTCCACCGTAGGACTTGGGAAGTTTTTCCGACCACCCAGCAGGGAACTCACGAGCCAAATTAACACCATTGCTGATGGGGTGGAACTTCCGAGTGGTGTTACGGCTCAGAATGAGCTTCATAGCAGAGAACATCCAGCCCATGATAGCAGGGACATTGACAAAGTATTTCTCGCGCAACAGCTCAGGGTAGGCGGTAGAGAAAATTTCGATGACTTTCTTGGTGGCAGTACGAACGGCAGGGTCCATGCGGAAGAACTTCACATTGAGGTAGTCGTGGACCTGGATCATCTGGTAGGGATCCTTCTCGCCATCATAGTCAATAACGGAGGTCGCATTTTTCATGTTGAGATCCTGCACGGCCATCTCCATCAGGGCAGCACGCCATTTGAGGAATCTACTTGGCATCAGCTTTGTTTTTCGTCTCACCAGATTGGTAGTATCACTCACTCATCAACATCCGCAAAAGTGCCAGTCATATCCTTCACGGCACCGTAGATGTTCCAGGTGAACACCAAAGGACGGCCATTGTCCTCATAGGTCGTAAGGTAGCCCAGGCCACCGAATTTGCTCGCACTGTAGCGACCAGACTCAATCAACTCGAGGGGCTTGGTCTCCTTTCTCCATTCAAGAGCTTTGCGAAGCTGTTCCTCCGCTGCCTGGAGGTTACCCTCGTTGGCGCGCAAGAACTTGATCAGCACATTGACGGTCGGAACATCCTCGCTGTTCTTCAAGGATACGCCCCACATTTCTCCGTAGCCAGTCTTGCTGAGAATCTCGGGAAGGTGGTCAAAGAATTGTTCAAGGGACGGGATACTGGTCAGGTATGCAGGCTTCTGCTTCTCAGGCTTGGCTTCGGATTCCGGGGCCGCAGCAGGAGCAGCAATAGCCGAATTAGCTTTCTGAGCGTTCTCCTCGACCTTGGGTGTTTCGTCCTTGGTAGGTTCATCTGTCTTGGGCGCAACATCCTTGTCGGTGTTTTCGATTGCAGGGGCGTGGGTCTCCGGCGCAGTAGCTTCCACAGCTTCGCCCTTAGGCTCAGCAACGGGAATCTCAACAGGTTTGGGGTCTGACATTGTATTCAATGATCAGGAAAAAGGTGAAGAGAGAGAGAGAGAGAGAAAGAGACTGAAACAGCTCAGGGGGTCAAGAAACAGGGGCCTTGTCAACAGAGCTGCGACTTATCAATCGGGTCCACCGCGCCCCACCTGTCATCTGCACCTGCTGCTTGAGACCTCCAGCTTACTATTGCCATATTTATGTAAGTTGCAATTTTCATGATAGTCCAGGATATTCATACATGAGACTACCTATGTCCTAAGGCTTCAAGGCTTGGTGATCGTGATGAAGCTTGTTACGATCTGCCTAGCTCGAACTGATCGGCAGCCGGCGTTGGCTTAGGCTTGTGTTTATTTTTGGGTGCTTAGCCTAGATCACTCTACACCCCGGAATTTCCCGCGCGCCTTCTCATGTTGTAAAACAGATCTACAACTCAGGCATCTGACGGCTCGAGATGGCAGCCTTGGGCCTCCTTGTACTATAGACTCCTCTGGGGTTCATCTTGACGCTCCTTTTTCTTAAGTTCATCAAACTATACTCTGATGGCGGAAAGACAGATTGCTCGTTCACCTCCGATGTTCCATTTCATCGATGGCAGAAATTAGTCTACAATGCCTGTCTCAACCCAATCTGCGCAATCACGGGGCTGGACACAGGGCGCATTCGTCTTGCCGATGATACCCTTGAAACGCTTCTGCGACCGGCCATGAAAGAGCTTGAGGCCGCTGCCAGGGCTGCCGGGGTCATACTTCCTTCGGGAATCGAGAATTGGGCGATCAATGTCGACCCTCTGACAATGTACTTCCGACCAAGCATGCAGGAGGATGTCCAAAAGGTAACTTTGTAAAGTCCTCTGTAAAGCCGAATTGCTGCTAAGTATATTCAGGGTAGTCGGCGAACCGTTGAGAGCAGGCTTGTCGCGCGGAGTACCCATGCCAACATTGACCTTTCTGTATCACACTCTGAAGGCGATGCAATGGAGACTCAAAGAGCAAAGAGGGTTGATTGCCATTCCTGAGAGAGGCGAATATCTCAAGAATGGTTCTCGCTAGTTGCCTCATCTAGTACTTGCGTTTTGTTGATTAGTCGTGCTAAGGTTCATTTGAAGTAGCTCCGACAAATAGCATAGGATGATTCGAATTATAAAGTTATTGCAAATTGTCGCGAAATCTGATGCAGTGTAACCTAGGGGATTAGGAATCATTGTATCCTGAGAGCATGTCTATTGAATACAAAGAATCGCATGTCATAAGTCATCTTGGCTGCGTAAGAAAGAGAACATTACCATGGTACTTAAATAAGGGCGGTGGAATCGAATACAAAGATTGATGAGTTTCAGATCGGCTACTTTCCTGAAGAACCTGGATCTGTCCAATGTCACCAATGCATATCTCAGTGGAATGGAAGAGGCCCTTGAGATGAACATCAACTAGCTTGTGACTAGTACCTCTCTCTTTACTGTTGGATATGTCATTGGCCGAATTCCGTGCAATATGCTCCTAATTTAACCACAAGGCAATCGTTTTGCAAATCTTGTCCCGTAAGTCCTAGTCTCGCGTCATGATGCAAGCGCATGAAATAACCTTGATTTTAGTTTTGGTGACTGCTGCCATTCAGGTTCTCGTCTGGCGTGATAAAAAGAAGGAGACATCGGCGGCATCTTCGGTCCAAGTACATGCCGCGGAGAAGAGATCCGCACATACCAATGCCCATGAGACGGCAAACCTAGGCTAGATAATCATGTCTGCGGCAACCACGCTTTAGACCTTCGATCCATATCTTCACAATACATGGTTATCTCAAGTTCCTCTTAGCAAGCAGGCTTGTTACCCTACAGAGTTCTAGTGAGACGAATGATTGAATCTCAAACATCGTCCTGCACCATTCTCAACCTTCCTTTCTGATCTCCTCGCGCCCCACACTGACAGGCCATCGTAATCTTCGGACCTCTGCTCCCCTTCTCAAGATGAAGTCCATGATTGCTAAAAATCGAATATAGGTCTCGAAAATATAAGAAATGTGGGAATCAAGTTCATAGCGGGCACCCAAGCCGGCTTAGTGCTTAGCTTGCCCCAAACGGACCCGCAAAGTCTGCTCCCGCCAGATTCTATAAAGGCATTGAGCCTCCCCATGATACTGAAGTCTCTCAACGCCATCATCTGTCTTTAAAGCAAAGCATCACGGCAATGGCCGACCTACTCCCCCGCCAGCCAGTCAGTGTGATCGTGCCACCAGTGGCCCCTTGTATAGAAAGTGACCGACTGCATCTCCGCCCCGTCACCGACTCCGACATCCCCGCTCTCTTCGCCATTCGCTCGAGACCAAAAGTCGCACAATTCAAGTACGTAAATCCCTTTTGCCATGCCTTCATATCGTATCAAAGATTTGAAAAACACCCGCGATACCTGGACAAGAACACTCCCCATTCTAATATAAATTTATTCCAGCCATCCTAAAACTCCCTTTAAAACGCATGCCGAGACGCGCGAATGGGTTGCTAGTAAAATATTCACTTCCGGAACCTCCGATACAATCGGTCGGTCATTCAACTACGCCATATGCGATAAATCGCAGCCTGGCGTCCCTCTTATCGGGTACGTGAGTATCAATGAGGTTGTGCCCTGTCCTGAGATCGGGTACTCGTTGCTTCCTGAGTCGTGGGGGAAGGGGTATGCGACGGAGGCGCTGCGGTTGATGCTGAGTGCTTGGTGGAGGTTGCCGAGGAGGACATGGGGTGACGATGAGGAGGTGGAGAAGGTTTATGCAATCAGTCAACGGAATAATTTGGCAAGTTGTGCGGTTTTGAGGAAGTGTGGGTTTGTAATGGAGAAGGAAGTGGACTTTGAGGAAGATGAGCTTTATGTTTGGAGTTTGAGGAGGCCGTGATGGGTTCAGTAGGGAACATTAGGAAGGAATTACGGTTGTAGGGAGAGAAGGTCACTTCAAAAGTGCCTTGATAATTGTAAAAATGGGTGGTCGATTGAACCTAGATGATGTGTGATGTGATGACTACCGTCTGAAAAACCTACGACAAAAGCACACTCTGAATAGAGAGACTATCTCCTGTGTTGATAGTCCTCGATGATGCATATCATGGAACGAGCTAAACCCCAAGAAATGACAAAGCAAGACGCATTCTGATGCCTCAGCTCGCATATAGAGGAACGTATACGAAAAAAATTTCAGAAAGCCGCTGGGGAATATACACACAGAGAACAAAAGAAGAAAAAGCATATACCGGATCGTACTATGTTAGCACAGTATGGAGACGGAGACATTGCGAAGGAAGTGACATGGAACAGATGAGAATCTGATAGGTGAGAACAAAGAAATATCACAACAAGAGTACAATTAGTACTACCTATTGACCATTGCGAAAGTGTTCAGGGATTTGCGGCACAGAGGGTGGGGGACCAGGCTCGGTCTCGTCCTCGTCTTCCTCCATTTCGTCCAGTTCTTCCGGGTGTCTATGCAATGGAATGGGATGTTAGTCAAGGCGAGACCAGAGAAAGACATAAAAAGGAAAAAGAACAACAACATACGCAAGTAAATCTTTGATGTTCCGCATCTCATAATGCTTCTTTCGATGTTCCTCGAACTGGCGATGTTTCTCCTTCGCCTCCTCGGTGGTCACGAGACCATCACCATTCTCCGCGCCAACATGAACGTGCTTTTCACTCTTGTGCGAATCCGTGCTCATGCTCCGGTCCCGGAAAATTCGGGGATCAGACGGGTCAGGCCCAGCAAGGGAATCCTCCTCCGGCTCGCCAAGCTCCAGGTCCGGGATGTCGTCTTCCGAGACGCCCTTCTTGTGCGTCTTGGCTGAGCGGTCCAGTTCATCAACGACGACGCCCTGTGCGTTGATCGAACTCTCTTGGGCCTCCGCGAGGCGGATCTCCTCTTCGTCCTCCGTTGGGTCGTAGTGCGGGGCGTAGGGTGTTTTGGGCTCGTCGATCTTCATCTTCGCCGTGCGCTCCTGCTCTGTGAGGTACAAGTTTGCTTCGTCCCACTTGAGACGGGGGTTGTTCTCTTCATCATGCGCGCTGGCTAGGGACTGCCGGCGGGAGGAGCCTGGTCGGGCGTTGGAGGAGGACCGGCGTCGGCCGGCGTTTTGCAGTGTGTTTTGCAGAGTAAGGTCTTTGGTGTCGCCTGTTTCGGGGATGGCAGGAGTGGTCAGCGGACTGAGAGCTGCAGCTGCAGGGGCTGCAGAATAGGAGTGCGAGTTCTTCAGGATGCCTGTGTCGTGAGACATGAGTAAGGTTGAAAGCACGGGTTTTTGAATTTTGGAGCTTGCTGAGGCTCGGACTTGGAGAGCTTACCTCTCGGGCGTACATGCACATCATTGGCGCTGTTCGCCTTGGCCGGCATATGCGGTGCGGTCGTCATCGTGGGTAGTAGAAGAGAACAAAGAAAGTGCCGTCCGATTTTCAAAAGGGCGTAGACACAGGAGGGGTAAGGTGGGGCTGCTCAGGATACCGTCGTGTTGCGTCAGGCGTTCTTTGTCAGATGAATACTCAGCTGAAAGTTAGTCGAGTCAGAAGTGGCTCATGTCACGATCATTAAGCACAAGTACAGAGCACAGACTCGACAGAGCAACGAGTCAGGTGTTAGAGATGAGGTTTACGGAAGGCGGTGCGTGGGGCATGACGTCGGCCTTGGCGCCTGACGTCTTGGGTTACAGACGTGGGGAAATCCTACCTTAACACAGCTCTCTATAGCTTTCTAGCTTGTCTACTCAGGAATGGCCGTCAAGATTAGATTTCTCTACCGCACTGTGAGAGAAGAAGAATATGTCATGAATTATGCACCAAAATCAGATACAGGCCTCCCGGTCTTTCAAGGACAACGCCATGGTATTCCCTCTCCACCTGCCCGGTCGACATAGAAACTTGAAATCTGAAATAGAGAATCTGAACAGAACTCTAACACCAGATGAATCGCCCAATATGGGTGGGTATCTGTATATGCAAGAAAAAAAAATAAGAATCAAGGCCTGCCTCGTATAAAAAGAAAACGAAATGAATCCAGAAGGGAATATCAGATCATGCAATAGAATCGAACTCATCTCGTTCGCGGAGTCGATTGCGCGCGAGCGTGTCGCCTCCGCTGGCGGATAACTGCATCCAGTGCAGTGCGAGACACATACTCTGCGGATCGGACTTGGAGTCCTTGCCACGTCGGTACATCATCTCTGCTTTGAAGGTGTCCCGCGGTCGAGTGAGGGGGAGAGTCACACGAGGAAGCAGCTCAGGGTGCGTTAGATAGAGAATAGCCAGTTCTCGCTGGGCGACTGGGTTGCCTTCCTTGGCAGTAATGATCCACATTGAAGCTGCGTCCTCGATGGCATGACCGGGTCGGGGATAGAAATCAGACCCCGGGAGCGGGTGTCGTCGCATAAGTTCTTGGGATACGATGTGATCTGCAATCTCGACCATGCTATGACAGACTTCGTCCTTCAGACTAAGTGCAGCGAGACCAAATTGAAGGAATGCCGTCCCGCGATCGGTCTTGCTGAGTTGGTCTCCCGGCACGAATGCAGAGATAAATTGTAAATCTCGGAAGAGAGTCTTGGGTTTGACATCTAGGATCAAATCACGTAGCGTGGCAACAATCTGGTCCTCGGATGGAGCAGAGCAATCCGACCTTCTGGAGCCACAGGTGACAGAGTCGGGCGAGGAGCATGTATGCACCCCCATCTCCGACTGTGGCATGTCTGTCGCGTGACTTTCCGAGAAGCTGTGGCGGGTGCGTTGCCGCGATCGAGGGCGATTGTTACGCACCAAGTTATCGTCTTCAGCCGGTCCTGGGTTTGTGCCATGTGATTCAGCGTCTTGTGCTGGAATTAGTGAAGCAACTACCAATGATCGCAGATCCCGCAGTGCATTCAATTTGACAAATGGGTTGCCATGACGCGAGAACACTTCAATCAACCGGCGGAAGACAGACTTATACGAGAAAGCAGCCTCATCTTCAGATTGAGGTGCCCGCTTGCTATTCGTCGTCTTTGTGCTGGCGGTGCTGCGAACGCGCATAACAAGGGAATTCAGAGACCTGCTCCGTCGGACTCCAGGTGCTTTTCGCTCCCGAAGATGCTTCGATCGCTCATCATAGTCAGAATAAAATTTGTGAATAGCAGCTCGTCTCTGCATCTGCACTCGGATCCGTGTTTGGTCCAGTGAACTGGTAAACCAGGCGTCCGTCTCACTTCCACAGCTCCATACTGGCGAGCCAAGATCACTCAGTAATAAACTGGTCAATGTTTGACGGAGGTCGTCCATGAAAGCTGTTTTGCCATGGGCCTTGCGCTCAGCTCGACGAGGTTGCCGAGTTGCGGTCTCGCTGAACATGGAAGGCGGCCGTGAGTAAGCACTCGACACGCTAGCCGCATACATGGGATGTCGTTGAGGCGTGGACCAAAAAGTGCTGCATGTGTCTCCAGTCGATGTCGAAGCCGCTCTTGTTGGAGATCCTCCGACAGATGAAACATCCACCGAGGGGACGTCTCTTTGCGACCGATATTTATCAGAGATCAGACTTTGAAAAGAAGGGGCGTTCCCAAGAGACGGAATGTCTTGTACGAGACGCGTCAGCGGATCGGGAAAGAAGACGTTCCCAGGGAAATGAGAAGTCTGAAGCGGGTCTTCGCTAGCGTTCGTAGAGGGTCGAGGAGTTGTCGGCATTGAGAGACCAGGAAAGGCGCGGGTTCCATGGCCTTCGTATCTAGCTCGTTCTCGCTGGAACAATTCACTTGCCCAGAGCACCGGGGTTTCCGCCATCGTCCCCCCTACCAGACGATGGATGCTAGTCCGAACCTCATAGCAGAACCGGTGGATTCGCTCCTCGCCCTTGCAGAAGTTCTCAATCGCATTGTGGGTCAGCCACTTGCGGGTGAGTTCAACTTGCTCGTCAGATAACTTCTTCGGACCACCCTGGCTACTCGGTGCTTTCATCATGTTCATGACCTGCAACTCAGGCTTCTGGAATAAGGAGCCCCCAAGTGATCGTGCTCCTCGAGATCGACTGTCTTCGTACTCGGCGGGCGTTCTCGCCGGGTAGACCATCGTCTTCAATGCCATTGCCACATGTCTAGCTTCTTCGTAGCGCATGGAGTTCTTTACATCGGTCATGTACCACATCTTATTGCGAACCTTGGCGATTGTGCCCATTAGCTCTTTGACCTGCGCTTGAAGTCGACGTAAACTTTGATCGAGAGACAGAAAGTCGTTTTCACAGCGTTCAATAATGACCCGTGACTTGTTCAAAGAATGGAGACGCGAACGATGCATCGGTCCCAAGATCCAAGAATCGTCTGCTCGCGAAGAATCGGATAGACTTTGGCGAAGTTGTCTCGACGCATTCCACCAATAGTGTGCTCCCACAAAGTCAGAATAATGATGAGTAGAAGCCATGGCCTGATTGAACCGGTCCTTCAACGTGAGCGGTTTCGACCGTTCAGAGCCAGGCAAGTGATCATTGTCATCCGAATCATAAACATGATTGTCCTTGACTAGACGGACGATAGCCGTTTGCAAGGCCTCGTGATTTTCCTCCAGGCCCAAATTCGTTGAATTGGTATCATCATCACTATCATGGACCGATGCCCCCGACGATCCATTCCCACATTCTGGAAGTAGACTCCAGGTCAGACTGTGGCCATCTTTGGCGACGGAAAATATAGTCCAGTATTCATCAGATGGGTGCTCCAGCCTCGGCCGCTCTTGTGGCTCGTCTAAATCAGTCAATTCAAATCGGATTCGAGCCGCGGGCTGGCTTAAGCCCTGTTCCGATGGAGAGACAGGCAATATCTCCGCAGGAAAGAGAGAGCCATTTTGAGAGGGCGCGGCATTGCGGGGTCGGAAGAAGACAGGTTCCAGATGTGGCTCGGAGCGAAGATTGTAGGAAGACGAAACGCTAGAAGGCCAGGAGGAGAGACTGGCTGAGACTGGAGAAGAGTGAACGGGAGGACAAGGCTGAGGAAAAAGAGCGTCTAAAAGAGTAAGTACGTCTGTGGAAGATAACAAGAGAAAGCTGGACGAAGGATTTCTGCGAGTCGAAGACTTTGTTGATGATGCAAGGTCTGTCGAGGGTTCGGAAGAAACTGAAGTTTGGAAGCGAAGAATCATATTATCAACATGTTGCTTAATCGTCGGGCGCAAAATCGAATAATGATTCCTGGAGCCGGGTCAGTAAATACCCGCGAACATTCCGCACGAGAATCAACCTACATGGAGCGTAGAACGGCAAAGACTTGGGAGTAAGCGCGCAGGCCAACCTGACCGAGCAGCTTCTCCCGCGCATCTTTCCGAATGTGAAAGTCCAATAACAAACCGTGAGTCTGAAGACAAACCGTCAATGCCAGTTCACCCTTGGGGCAGAGGATCATACCTCGGGGTACGTCAAGGCGCTATAGAGAAATTTGGGAAAGAACCACTGAACGAAAAGATATTCCAGGAAGCGACTGCGGCTATCAGGATGATCCAATTTCCTGAGAATTGCTTTAGCAAACTGAAGAACAGCACGAGGGAAGCCTCCATCGGGATCGTCGAGCAAGCGGAACAAGTCATCCACGGCAGAAGCAAAGAACTCCTCGGCGACATCCGTCCTGAGGGGATCCAAGGCTTCAGCCGCAAAATCCAATCCGGCGGGGGTATCTATATGTTCCAGAAGAAACGCGCCGGTTTGCAGGATATCCATAAGGTAGAGCTCAAATTTGGGACGGGCCTTCCAATTGCTGCCCGTTGCCCAGGAGGACAGGACCTGACCGATGAGAGGATAGAATTTACTGCTGCCATGGGACATTAGTTGGGCGCAGACCGAGGACCAGACATCAATGCGCAGGCTGGCCTCGGGCGTCTCGGGCTCCAGTGGTGCGGCAAAAACGTTACAAAGTAAGATAGAAAGCGGATCGGTCCTTTCAAAAGCATACGCATGGTCCTTGAATGCAGCTGACTGGGCCGGGGTTCGATTAAAGGAATATTGGCTCCTCGAGCGCGACGAAGGGAAAGCAGGGTCACCAGAGTCTAAAGAGGTAGCCGGAGAGGTAAAAGCCGCTAATTGAGCGGAGGAGAAACTGCGCAGTCGGTCGACGAGAAACTGAGGATCCGAACGAACCAGGCGCAAGATCTCCAGCAGATCCGCGCGAGACTGAGGGCTTAGTTGATGAAAGAAATCCGAACGGTCTTCGGGATCCGATGGTTCGTGTTCGTCCAGATCCTGCTCGTCAAGTCGTGCGCTGGATACGCACGTTTCCTGGAGGTCATAGAGCATGTGGTACAGAGACACAAAGTTGGCCTTGTCATCTTGTCTTAGGGCTTCGACTAAACCGCGTTGCACGGTATTCCCGATGCGGAGGATACGCGACGAAACCCCGATCGACACCTTGGCGGCGCGCAGGCGGGTTTCCAAGCGTTTTCTCTGGGTCTGTTTGCGCTGGCTCTGACGATAGCGATTGGCAAAATCCTCAAAAGAGACCCTGGGTTCATCCTGGACAGGTGGGAGTTTGAGGTGTCCGAGGTCATCGTCCAATATTAACCTGGGACTGGACCTGGGACTGGGACGGCCCGAGCCAGCCGACTCACCTGGCCCCATCTCGGGAAAGGACATCGCTGGCAACGGAGAAGGAGGAAGAGGCACCGATGCGGGCGATAGATCATGTGGATCATTCTGGAGGCGAATCCGCACGGCTGGGCCATCGGTTAGCATAGATTAGTTTGGAAGGTCAGGCATCGAAATCCTCCCCCACAGAAACACGATGGAAGAAACAAGGAACAAGAAACAAGACATAATAACCATGATCAAAATGTGAAAACCAAAAATTTCAAGTACGTACTCATCTCCGACGCCAGAGAAGAAGGCAAATCCTCGGACAGCATCTCGTCCATTGCGCCAGGCGTGCACTGTCGCGAAATGCCCCTGGCCGTGGGCGGATCCTTAGCGCATGGTCCTATCGCGGGGCAAGAGACCGACTGCACATCCGACAGACGACGCACCCGGTCAAGAACAGAGGAGCGTCGGTCCAGGTTGGAGTTGGAGGGGGAGAAGGAGAAAGAGAGAAGAACGAGAGAAGAGGGGAAGGTTTATGATTATGAGACGTAAAGTGAATCGGAAAAGAACCAGACAAGACAAATCACGCCTGGTCCAGAATAGCGACTTGAAGCGGACAGATGCAGGGAAGGACGGGTACACTTGGCGCGATGGGAATACTAAGGTCGAGACGCAAGGAGAAGAGAGTGAGTCTCGAGTACACGATGCGTTGGCACTGCATGCACGACTGAGCTGGTCCGGGTTTAGGGGCGTGTGATTTGCTAGTCGCCCTCCTTTGGCCCTCGGCGGAGTCCGCGACTGAGCGTCATGGCCAATGATGGGTCCAGAGTCCCGAGTCTTCTCGAACGAGGGCGATGGCTGGGTGGCCTGGGTTTTCAGGATTCGAGTGGTCCCGTTGAGAATTGGGAAGTTGGAGGCACTGGGGACAATGGGGGGGGGGGGCATTCGAGAAAAAAAAAGAAAGGGGAGACAAGAGAAGACAAAAAAAAAAGGATAGTGTTACTATGTGTTACGATGTTGTTCTATACGGAAGAGTTGCATCGGACCAGTCCGCTATACTTGGAGACTCAAAAGTCGAGTTGCCTCCCATGCCCAAAGCTACGCGTCCTCATGACCCTGCAATTGGCCACCCCTGCGCCTGCAGATGCACTGCACTTCATCTGCCCCGGAGATTACGCGAGTCACCGGTCCTAGGTAGATGCTGTCATTGTCATGGTTCTCATAGCTGTTGCTGAATCCCTTAAACGCCACATAGTAAATACTGCCCACGCCGACACATATCGAGAATTATCGGCACATCCACTTCTTGTCCACCTCTTTCTGTCCCACACGGACCGCAACCTGGTCGAGGGTAGCCTTTAGAGTTTCTTTCGACACTTTCGGGAATCTGGAAGCTTCGTTAGCAAGTGGTAGAGAAAGGGGACATGGCTTACGATCACGTACTTCTTCTTCAAAATCTCCACCAGTCCAACCTTACTAAGATCGCTCCCGTCAACAGCCTGCTTAAATTCATCGAGCGATTCTTGAGGAAACGGCTTCTTGGCTTTCGACGTGGTCGGCGGTGGCGGCAGAGCAGCGCTGACGGCAGGGACAGTCGACTTGGGCTTGACCCCGAACGCTTCCAAGCCATTCACAGCAGCGCGTCCCTTGGCTGCGGCTGGTTCGGCCCGCGGCGTTTCCCAGTATGCTTCGGAATATGGATTGATCGGGAAGCTCACTGCATCTGATATCGTCTCAATCTGATATGTCTTCAAATTGTGGTCAATACCGTCGGCCGCCCATCGGATTCCGCTATTAGCGGGTTCCAGGTCACCAACAATAAGTCGACGCTTGCCACCGACCAGCGCGTCGTCCTCGTCATCTAAGAACCCGTCCATGTCATCCTCGCCCTCGTCACTCATCTCCTCTTCATCCTCTGAATTGAGGTCTTCACCTTCTTCGGGCTCCTCCCATTCGGCTTCGGAGTCGTAGTCGTAGTTTATATCGGGGAGACCACGGTAGTAGGGGTTTCGACAGAGCTTTTTGACAGCTGGCTCAGGCACGGTTCGCGTCCACGTCCCTTGGTAAGGCGGGCGCACATCTTCTCCAAATTTGAGCGACTTGATCGTAATTTTGCGCAACAGCTTATGCAGATTTTGAACAGGCGCAGGGTCTTGCTTGGCACCAGGTTGTAGAGAGTCGTCATTTGCATGCTGAATCTTTTGTAAGATCTCTTTCACAGGCCGGTTGTTCCGACCTCGACGACGGCTGAATGGGATGATGTTGAAGACTTCGGAGGGTCTGAAAGATATAGGTTGACTCGTGGCATTATGCGGAGCCATATAGCTATCAATTTTCTGTCGAACATGTTGCAGAGCTTCCGAGTCCCGCTCGAAGCGATGTGGAGGTGCGACAGTGGTGTGTGACTGGAGGAAGAAGTCGGGAAAGTCTCTCTGATAATCGGACTTGACACTGGAAGGAACCTCTGCAGTCGTGTCAATATCACTAGAAGCGGCCTTTTTCGGAGACGCCGGCGCAGATGTTCCTGCGGCAACTGAGGGAAGGCGTGGTTTCGCAAAGAAGGAGTTGAGCTTCGGTTGAGCCTAAAGACAGTGTGAATAGACGTACTTGAAACGAATGACACTTAATTGGTACAAACCTTCTCCTTCTTCTGCTTCTCCTCTTCCTTGCGACGCTTTTCCTCCTCTTTGGCAGCTTCTTTCGCAGCCTTTTCTTCCTCTTTCGCCTTCTTCTTCTCCTCTCGCTTCTTCTTTTCTTCCTCCTTCAGACGTTTCTCTTCTTCTTTGGCAGCCTCGCGCTTCTTCTTTTCTTCTCCCTTTAAGCGCTTATCTTCCTCTTTCTTATGCTTTTCCTCTGCTTTTTGTCGTTCCTTCTGCTCCTTCTCTTGCTGTTTGGCCTGCTGGCTAGCTGGAGATAACTTGCGTTTTTTAGCGGCAGGAGTCATAGTAGTATCGGACTTGATAGGGGAACCATCGTCCATATGCTGGGTAAGGTTTGATTGTATAGAGCCGCCGGCGGCAGGTGCCACCGTGGACACATGATCACTATTCATGGCGGGTATCTCAACCACGAAAGATTGCCTGCCCGATGGCGACAGTGACTCTTTCGGGTGCAAAGGAAGAGACGGATCCCTGTTTTCCTGATTTTCGTTCGAGGTATCCGGAAAGGAACGTTTTGGACTCGAGGGAGGATTTCCCTCCCCTTCTACCTCGTATATCGATCGTTTGCAAGGACTTAAGGATGGAGAAGCCGTTACAGATTGAGCTGGCATAGGAGACAGGCGCATTTCGGTATCCATGAGGGTTAGAAGGCGAGGTCGACTCGGTTCAAGATCATGTGGGCCTAACGCCAGCGACGGTGGGACAAGAATCGGACAAGTGAATCATGAAAGTAGAGAATGATATAATGAAAGGACAAGAGCGAGATGATTGTTCAACTCCGTCAATCCAACCGGCTTAATCTCAAAGATTCGAAGGGAGAAACTTGCCAGACGCGTTAATCGTTTCGCGCGGCGCGTCCGATAAGGCACGTGTCCGCTTATGTCAGGTTCCTGACGAGGTCAGGAAGATGTCGCGTGAACAAACTGATGGCCTTCAAAAGACCTTAAATAAAAAAAAAAACAAAGAGCACTTCATTTGCAATGTGGCATTGGTACTGGTTGAATTCTATAGGTGTTCTCTGCCTGGGAGTGCCGAGGGCGTCCATCCAGCCAATTACCAATGCGGGTTCATTCTCATCTTTGAAGTCTACCTACGGGGTGATTCAAAATCTCAGAGTGAGCATTCCAGTTAGACCAATTTATCATGTGATAATTATTCTCTTTTCAGATTGGACGTTATAGATAAAGAAAAAGCCGGGGGTGAGCCCGGATGCAGATGTAACAAGGCAAGTAGAAGGAGATGTAAGCCATCCCATCCACTTCTTGAGCATTAAAATGTGCGATGCCACAAGAGTACTGGGCTTGAGAAGGCCACCGCAGAGAGTCAAGGCAAAAGTATAGACATAAAAGCAGCCCAAGTCAGCCATCAAGACCATTCGAGGACCGGGCACGACGATTCGGCGAAGAGGTATTATGTGCAGCGTCGGTGACAGGAGTAGAAAAGAAGTAAGGTAGAAATCATAGAAAAGGTGAAGGAGACAAAAGACGAAGGAAGGTATAAGGACAGGCGCTACGTGAAGAGGATATCAAGCCGAGACGTCTCAATCACTGAGATCCGGGTTAGCAACGAATAGCCGCACGTTGGTCATCGAGGTCGTTCGTTCATCCACGCTGCCCCGTCGCCGTAGCTCATCGGCCTTCTTGGCCTTCTGGGCTGCTTGGTCTGCGGCGTTGGGGGCCTGCATGTCAGGAACCCAGTCCTCTATCTCACTACTGTTCGTGGTGTGGGTTGTAGCGGCATCGTCCTTGACAATGGATGATACTCGGCTCTTCTCCTCTTCTTGGATCTCCGCGGGGGTATTTTCAGACACATTCGGTAGGTCGGTCTTCTCATTGGGTGGAGTGCTGTTGCTGCCCATAGTACCCTGAGTTCGCTGGTATCCACTGGGGTAGCGGGAGCTAGCAATCGAGCTGCGGCCACTCCCGGTGCGCCTGTGCATGGCGGCGCCTTCGGTACTACGGGCGTCCTCCTCGTCCTCGCCGATTTCGTTGGCACTGAGTCGAACGGGTACCTTGGCGCCCACCAAGTTTGAAGGAGAGAACTCCATAGCACCCTTAGTGTGACGAATCTTGCCACTACCGCCTGAACGTCGGGCGCCTGCGCCGTGGACTTCCAGGTACGCCCGCTTCTTATCGCGCAAGGCCTGCTCGCGCATTCGAGCATCCTCGGGCTGGGCACGATCGCACCATACTGTAGCCTTTTGTCGTCGCATAAGAGCTACATACCCAAGTTGCGAGCTGGCGGAGCGGTTGGATGCGCTTCGTCGAATATCGGTCTCGGTGTGCGGCATCATATTGGTGCCGGTAGAGTTGGTGGATGTGGTGGTGCTGGACATGCGACGGGAAGTCTGGAAGTTCGCCGGAGGACCCATGGAGTGTGGAGAGATAGCGGACGGTGGGGCCCCTTGGTAGTGCTGCGAGGCACCATAGGGAAGAACGTTGGAGGAGGTAGTGCGAGTCCGGCTGTGGGTGGTTTGCGCACTGGCAGAGTGTGGCGCTAGGGATCGAGGAGCATCAAAGGACTGGTATCCATAGGTAGGCTGGGTAGAGCCGGAGATGGGCTTGCGAGAGGGAGGGCCCTGATGGATGGGCATGCGAAATTCGGTCATGTTGGGTGGAAGCAGGACACCAGCCATGTAATCCTCGACCGATAAGGGTAGTCAGCTGCCGCGAGGTGGGCACGCTCGGTCGCTAACGAGTCCGTGCAAGTGATTATTCTCGAGAGAATAATAGATCGATTTGGTGAGAGGAGTCTCTCCTTGTTCCGAAGTGGTCTGCGATAGCGCTGTCGCGCGGCTGACGGACAAAGACTCCTGCGGTGTCAGTGCCCACTGCACTATATCGCTACTGAAGCCTCTTTGAGGGAGAGCAAAGACAACCGATGAGCCTGACAATCCCTTGACCCAGGATGCTAAGCGATAAGCAATAGGAGGGGAATGGTCCGATAGTAGACAATTGGCTTGGTCGAACACCCGAAGGATGTGAAGAGGGGGTTGCAGAGGCGAAAATTCGACTGCGAGCAGTTCGTAGGTGCCCAATTGACCGTGTAGCGCTTTCAAGGCGCTTTTGAACAAGACAGGGCAGGAGGGTGGAAGATGTTCCTGGAAGGATAATCAAGTCATGAGCAGGGGGAGCAACGCCAGGGCTAGGAGAGGGGAGCAAAAGAGACTTAGGCCGCCGCAAAGTTGCCTGATTGGCTGATACTGCGGAACACGGCGGACCTGATGCTGAGCCACGTATTATTGCGCCGCACTCGTATTTTTCACTTGGTCTACTGCAACGCTGTGATGTCTCAAGCCTGAAGTGATTGATGGCGTGGGACCTACGACCCTCATCCCCTATCTGCTCATGCTGATCACTCCTTATTTTTGATGCTTGCGTAGAGTCACCGCTCGTCGGAAAATCTTGGATGGTACGCGTTATGCACTGCTAGACTTTCTCATCCAACATACACGGGGTAACCCGATTTGGCCCTCCACAAGCTCCACCCGTCACACCAGTACGTCAAGGCACCGTTGTGATAATGCTGGTCCATCGATGCCACATCCTCTCCCATCCTTCGGGCATCAGGTACCAGATGGATTGCCGTCCCGGTAATCGTGGCCGCAATTCCCGGACTTTGAAGGCGAGAAACTGGCAGATTGTAATGTGGCGCGGCGCACAGTCAGTGACGTTGCACTAGTTACTTCCCAGGCTTACCAGGTAGCGTTCAGTGTGTTGCCATTCCGATTCCGGTGAGGCTAGCAAAGCGGGGTGCGAGTGCAGGTCTTCTTGGACAGTAGTCCCTGTCAGAACCTGCTTTTGGGTCTAGCCTCCTCTCACTTATGTACTGATGGGCAGGTGGGCCCGACTCGATTCCACCACGTGGCGGCTCCAGTAAGTCCGCTGGGAATCAGGCCATCAGTCTAGAATCGGCATTGTGTGCGCCCAAGTCTGGCCTTCTCGAGTGTGGAGAGAGTGAACTGGATGCGCTCCTCAGTAGGGAGGACGAACTTCCGTGTGGGGACCGCCGCGCGCGCTATGCCGGTAGTAATTTGCTTGCTTGAATTATGCCCAGCTAAGTGCTCACGGAAACTCTAAAGCTTGGACTAGACCGAATTCGCAGCGACCTTATATTATGGTTCTGGTATTTTGTAAGTTCAGTGCCTGTTGCCGAGGGCCGATGACGGCGAATTGATCAAGGAGATGACGGTGCGGGGTTTGCATTCAACAATTTGTCTACAGATGGACGTCTTCACGTCCTCCGCTCGTACAAGGCGCCAATCATCCTTCATGTCTCTGTCTACCGTGCGGGACACGGGATGAGAACCTTGCAATGCAAAGATTGTCCAGCGCATCACAGAATTGCGTAGACGGCGCGCGGATCGCGAAACACTGAGGCAATGAAAGCTGCGTTAGCTTTAGTACATATCTCACCAAGTGATTTCCACATTTTAAGTTAGGTGTAGGGTTCAGTATTGCTACCACTACTTCTACCGGACTTCTCTCTGACACGAAAACCGTAATTTCTTATCAATGCTTCAATTGATGACTTGAATTCAACGCCGATCGTTTATTAAGGAACATTCTATCTTATCTTGAACTCACATATCGTCGAAGAACATTCCATTAGAGCAGATTTCTGAACATTAGGTGATCAGTTCAAGTAGAGGCAAAGAGGCCATTGGTGCCGCTTCCGTACGTAGATACCAAGAGCCCCTTGAGAGCGGGTCAATCCCTCACACAATGCAGAATCCGGGGTCAAGCCTGAGGTTAATCCTACATTCCAGTGGCGATATTGGGCATTGCAGTACATCAACGTCATGGGATAGAAAGTGATGGCATCAGAATTTGTAAAACCCGAGACCACAATTTACACACGTGATACACGATGCTGGCCTTCGTCTGAAGTGTAGCTGAGTGATCGGAATGGCTTTGCGGAAACGCACTCTTTGAGGGTCTCATTTTCGTAACCCAATTCCTACGATCTACTTGTGTTGTGAGGTCAGATCGAGATCGAAGGATTGAGTGGGTCGCGGCTGAGCAGCCTAGGGCTGGGATTACATTACCGGGTGAGCAGGGCAGATAGCAGAAAATTCATGATCACAAAGATACTCATTGGAGAAGTTTCAATCCATTTTAATCATCTGAGTCAAGATAAATGGTCCACCTCGATATGTCAAGCACTATTGGTCATTCTCAAACAGCCAAGCGCTTAAAATGAACACAGGCGGCAATAGTAGGGCTGAGTCTTTGTAATTTACAATACGAGCGACTGCAAATTCTTGCGCTGAGCCACACCCGCACGTGGGGGAATGTGGTACTTGGTGGGACCGGATTTGGAAAACTGTTAGTCGTGACGTCAAGATGTTTCAGTGCCTTCCGGGTTTCATCTCAGCTGAAAAAAAAAAGTGTCTGTGTCCGTGCCGAGTCGATAACATAGTCTAGGGCAATGTGGCTTGGGAGGAGAGCTGGTGAAACCTATCGGATCTCAATTTCGTAAAAGTTTACTGACTACCTGTTTGGGATCTGAAAGGCTATGTACGGTACCAAAATCAAGGAACCTGCGGAACGCCCTGATGAGCTAACACCGTCGGGCCGTCTCACAGCTTCACTCGTCCCTGTGTGGATACTAACGCTCCGTCTTTCCGGACCAGGAAGTCCTTGTTAGGTTCCCAGCCCATCCATGCTCGAAGGGTTTCCTCACCGCCGGCGCCGGGCATGAGCCCACCACCGGACCATGCACCATCATCTGCTTTCATGGGGAGAGCGGGTGTGCGGGATAAGTGAACGACTGGACGTTGCTCGTATCCCGAAGCCTCAAGCTCCACATTCTCAAGCACAGGCGTGGCACAGGCATCGGTACCGTCAAAGACTGCTTCCCACTCGGCACGAGTCTTCTCCTTGAAACGACGGGTAAAGATGTCGCGAAGGGCAGGCCAATTCTCCCGATCTTCACGCTTCGGTATCGATTGTGGATCAAGTTCTAATCCGTGCAACAATGCCGCGTAGAACTGTGGCTCCAGGGCTCCAACGGCGAAGTATCTTCCTATATCCTTGGTCTCGTAGGTATCGTAGTAGGGACATCCACTGTCTAAGAGGTTCTCTCCTCGGGGACCATTCCATGCTGGAGTTTTTTGCGCCAATCGAGGGAAAGTCGCTAGGTATGCTGATCCATCAACCATGTTGGCTTCGACGACTTGTCCACGACCGGTGCTGGAGCGCGCGATGAGTGCCATCAAAATTCCTAAGAAACAGATGGCACCACCGCCAGCGAAATCACCGAGAATGTTACCCGGCGCATAAGGCTTGTCTCCAGCTCGTCCGAGCATAGACAAGACGCCTGAAACAGCAATGTAGTTGATGTCGTGACCTGCCATGTCCTTGTATTTTCCATCGCGTCGGAACCCCGTCATACGGGCGACGATGAGCCTTGGGTTATGCTTGAGAAGGACCTCCGTCGGTGAAAGACCGAGGCGCTCGAGGACACCCGGGCGGAATGGGTCGATCAGGACGTCAGTTGCAGTGAGCAAACGGATGAGAACGTTCCGTGATTTCGCCTCATGTAGGTCAATTGTAATTGAACTCTTATGTCTGGTCAGATTATCCGTGCTGACAGCTTTTGGGCGGTCGACGCGTAGAACGGACGCGCCATAGTCGGCTAATAGGAGACCAGCGAATGGGCCTGGGATGAACGGTCAATGTGAGTGCAGGAAATCCGGCGATGAAGATATTACCTGGAGCTAGGCCAGCTAGCTCGATGACCTTGATCCCCTTCAACGGCGGAGCGGACATTTTTGGGGATACAGAAGCAAAGAAAAGAAGAGGTTCATTATTGAAGCTTTTAAAGTCTGTTCTCCGCAGCCGAGGTCCCGGAGGCCGGTGGATTGCGGGGAAGTATGAGTGCACAAACATTATACTTTCAGCACGAATACTGATTAATGGTCTCTATTACCTGACTACAGGATAAGTAAGTAGCCTTTCTAGGATTTAAGAGATGATATCAGGGGAACAAATCACATGAATTTGTGATAAACCCGGAAGATTATAGTCATTCAAATTTTTCCCGTTACATGGAGGAGAGATCCTCAAATTCACATGTTCGCTCTTGCCAAGCATAAGAAGATTATCTCTCACAATGTCGAGTATTCGAGAGGGCGCTTTTGCTGTTGAACAGTGCTTTTAATTTTCTGTAAAAGAAGAAAGGTCTTCGTTAATTAGCCTCCCTCCGACCTCCACCTCCCGTCATGCGTAGGCACACAGCCATAGCTTCCCTTCACCTGAGCCGCCTCTATCGATTCCTTTCCCAGGAAACCATTGACTTGAGACCTACTGTTCGTGATTCTTATGCTCACGACAAGATCACCTGTGGCAACATTGTTTCCTGGAGAGTGAGCCTTCTCTGTCTATCCTCCGGTCCCTAAGGCTCTGCCATAGATGCCTTTTTCCCATTTGGCTATATCGTGTGGACGGATTTGAAATACAATCAGCACAGGGGTGATCTTGGGTAAAAGTCTTTGAACAACCGGCTGCGTTTAATTCACCGCGGACACGATCGGCGCATAAACCTCGGCCATCGCTGAGCCTGGAGTGGAGATCCAGGTAGTGCTGGTGGCGTGAGCAGTAACAGGGGCTTTGGCGATGCTGGTGGTCGTGGTGGTGCCTCCGCCGGTCGCTCAAGTGGCGGCGGATTTGGTGCCTGGGACACCACCCGCCAGTGACCCTAGTATGGAGTGTTCCCTGCTTGACCCCGAAGCTACGGGTAAATTCCTTCTTAGCTTTTTGTATGTTTCTCTGCCATCACTGCGATGCTCTAGACAACGAGTCTTGTATCTGAGCCCAGGATTGGGGATGTGACAACATAGATTTTGCGTAGATTTTTTCTCTCTCATAATCCCATGCTCATCGCATTGGACATGCTATGGCATCTGAACTAGGTGATTGGGGCGCTGGGCCAATTCCATCGTACTATGTTCGATACCCTTTTTCTTGAACTTATCATGGACTGTTTTTTTTTCAAGCTGACTTAATGTATTATTTGATTTTCATTTGCATTCTTATCGCATAGATCTGGGGTCGTAGTAAGTCTCTTTTCTTCGTTGGGAATTATCGATACAATCAAATTTGTCTCTTACACATTCTTGGTCTTTTTTCCACAAGACTTAAAATTTACACTCACGCATGATTTTCTTGGCCGTGTCATATGCTTTGAATTCATTGAAGATAAAAAGAACGTAACACATATTCAAGGTTGCATTCTGAAATGAGAAAGACAGCCTGGTAGCTTCAAGCTGAGGAGTCGGATATACGTCCACGTCTCCCTTTCTTGAGCCTTTCGATAGACCAAGAATCACGACGACAGACCTGATCGCAAACAGATTGAAGAATAACTCTTAATTAATAGGATATATCTCACCCTAGGCTCACGAGATCTCCTCAAGAACGATCTCCTCGGGCCATCAGCGAACTGATATCCTTGCTTGTGGGTCAGAGGTCACCGCAACCCCATATGTCAAAACGGCAGGGGCAGACCCTTCTGCAAGCTTGAAATCATATTTCAATATTAAGTGACATAACAAGGTCTTTATCTCTTTGGCAGCAAAGAACCGACCGGGACAGGCGTGGTTGCCATAACCAAAACCCATGTGCTCGGGAGACGGAGACACGAGATGGGCACGGCTCTCCCGTCCGGGGATCTGTTTCATTTTCAGGAAGCGATAGGGATTGAATGCTAGTGGGTTCTCGTAGAAGTCCGAGTCCCAGTGCCAGTCAGCTGAGACCATTAGCTGTACGCCTTTCGGGATGTGAGTGCCATCGCTGAGACTGAACTCCTTGCCGACCATACGGCGCATTAATACTGAGAAGGCTAGTCAGTATCATTCCGGGGTGCAAGCCATGGGCCATGACAACTCACCATTACTGACAGGCTTCATTCGTTGTGATTCCTTCAGGAAGCTGTCCATCAATTGCAGCTTGTACATGGCGGATTTCTTCCATCCCTCGCTCGATATCACAGAAATGACTTCCTTTCGTAGCTCTTCCACAAGTTCCTGTCTCTCGCAAAGATCATAGATTGCTTGAGTCATCATGTCCGTTGTTGTGTGAATTGCCACCCATGAGAAGGTCACTTGCAAGGCAACAGGATCATAAGAGCGGCCCTTGGAGGCCTGCTCCAGCCATTCCATGGCATCATTGTATCGGGGAAATTCAATTCCTTCCTTCAGGGCATTTTCTTTGGCTCTCTTTCTCTCATCAAGCATTGGCCTCAGGATTCTCTCTGCCTCTCGCAGTTGTTGCTGCACCTTGCGAGTTGATGAAAGGAAATAAGCGACGATAGGGCGGGTGATTTCCGGCCACCATCGAAGCTTGTCCCCAGCCTGGAAGGCATCGACGGTGTAGTCGACAATAATTCGCAGCCAGTCGGGGTTTCGGCACATCTGTTCGCCCAAGAAGACTCTCGATGAAAGTTGAGCAATAATTTGCACGATGCTCTGTTTGAGTGGTAGATCGTGCCATTCTGGATAACATCGCATTAGCACCTTGGCAGGCATCGAATAGTAATTGTGTTTGAGAGACTATCCTCACCTTCATCATCGGTCCAGTGGTTTCGGAGAGAGAGAGATGTTTCTTCTGACAACGGCTTTGTGATACTTCCTATTTTGCTCGTGAGAACTCACCCGATTCATTCTAAAACAAAGAAAACTAACCAAGTGCCTGCGTGAGTTTGATACGCACCGCGTCTACAAAGATATCTTCGCTCTTTGCAAGCTCTCCAAATGGGGAAAATCCTTGAGTATTAGCATGCATCTCAAACCCCACCACTGTGGTGAAATTGAGTATAGGGGATCTGGCGATCTCGTTTGCGAACTTTGGAGCCAGTATGGTCTTGATACCATTGTCGCTCATAACTTGAAACACGTTCGCCTAATCCTATTTAGCAAGGTATCGCCACAGAGTGAGGTCATCTGGATCAGTTATTACTTACCTTAGAGAGACCCTGCTTGATCAGTCTTTGGGAGTTGTGGATGTATTCATTACATCATTCAACTTCTCATCATCGAATGCCTTCTTCCATGGGGCAATTTTGCGGTGCCAAGACCGGGAAGAGATACAGGAAAATCAATGGACTGAGGGCGATGATTCCTACAAGAGGAATAGCTTCATGCCAGGGCACAGAATACATGGCTATGGAAAGCATGGTTCGTGTGCTCTCCTGTAATGAAAAATAGGGTTGTGAGGCAGATCGTATGCACTGGGGAATTTGTTCTTATAATGTCATGCGAAGATTAAATTTGGCATATGGAACAAGTGACTACAAATGATAAAAGTAGTCTGATAGTCTACTAATACACTATTTCGCCCGTATAAATTAGAAGACTGCGTGATAAAGTGGACGTAGTTCAGCTTGAGACTCCTTATTAGGCTGATGAACCTGCCTCTACACCAATCTTGGCCTTGGAATAGATGAGGGGTTGGAGGGGTGAGCTCAGTGGCTTTGTTTCTTGCAGTGATGTTCCACCAGATGTGCAAAATCTGTGCTCGGCCCTTAACTGGTGGGAGTGAGAACAACATGGGTAGTTGTATATCTGATGTACATGTGGGGATTCGACTATTTTGTTGGGTCCAAGAAGTCGGTCCTAAAGTAGCATATTGACTATCCCACACGAGCTTCCCATGCTTGAGATGACTGGGTGCTTTGATGGAGAATTGGAAGCATGTCATTCGGAAGGCGGGAATCGAACCCTATAGCTGCCATCTTCGTAGTCGCACACGACTACTTAGGTTCCGAAATCGCCGATGAAGTGTCAAAGCGATCGCCCGAATTTTACACGATGTAACAGAGGTATTGCAGTTTGATTACCGCCTTGCAGCTGGCCAAGATCATGGTCGGTCTGCTACGTATGTCTATAGGCTGCACATCAATCTCTGTAGTACGAGCGCATGACAGATTGTGACAGGTAGGTCCCGACTACCCCGTGGTCCCTACCTGAAAAAAAAAAGAGCTCCTACAGGCAACTATATCAGTCTGACTCAGGCTGAATTATGCGTCGGGTGCGGCGCCACCCGTCACGAAGCGGGGTGGACCAGTGGACTCTGGGCCCAGGAAGTGCCTGAGACACATAGAGACTAGAATTTGCGATCGCTCATTGCTTTTCTGAGTGGCGCTCGGTTAATTTATTTTAATAGTTTATTGGATCACACGGCACGTACGCGTACAGTAGTGTCAGGCTAGATTTCCTGGAATGTCAAAGTACTTTCTGAGGAGGGAAAGAGGGGGTGCTTTCCGCGTTGCATCACAGGAGGGTGGTCTTCTTGTTTAGAGTAAAATGCAGCGATAGGGGTGCTCCATAGTCATGTTGGAGTTTAGAGTCTAGATGGTTAATGCTCGCTGTATGATCGGGCACGCCCCCCCCAATTTGGGAAAAGCTCTCCACACCCCTATTCCTGATTAAGCAATCACACAGACTCCGCGCATACCAAGCACTGCATCATTAGCGTTTCACCTTCACCAATTCAGCATCTGCCCAAAACGCATATTCCCAATGGTTATATCAGTGGAGTACACAACCGGTCCGCCCATTTACCGGGTCCCCAAAGGCCGCATGGTTCTTGGAGAAGGCCCAATCTACCGAGCCAGTGATTCCACTCTGCATTGGTTTGATCCACTTGATTCGCCTAGTGAGCTATACATTCTGCCGGTGGACCCAGACACTGGCTCGCCACAAGGCGAAGTGAAAGTGTTCACCCTTGAGGATAGCATCACTGTCGCTGCATTTCGCAAGAATAAGCCTGGCAGCTACATTGCTGCATATTATCAGGGTGTCTGCTTCCTGGATGAAGCAACCGGTAAATTCGAGATTTTGCGCGAGATTATTCTGACCTCTGAGCGCGATCGGCTCAGATTCAACGATGGTGGCGTCGATGCTGCTGGACGTTTCTGGTTAGCAGAGATTGATATCACGGCCACCAAGTTCCCACTTGGTCAAATCCCCGAGAATTATAAGCCGCGGGGACGATTATGGAGATATGATCCGGATGGCAGCTTGCACCTCATGCTCTCTGGAGGACTCGTCTGTGGCAATGGGGTAAAATGGAGCCAGGACAATAAAACAAGTGAGCTTTCATGTTTTTATTCTCGGAGATGTGACTAACAAGGACTTTGCTGCAAGTGTACTTGAATGACTCTGTTGGACAAAAAATCACTGCCCTGGATTTCGATCTTGCAACTGGCGCTCTGTCAAATCAGCGCACTTTGGTCGATTTCAAGGGAACTACCTCAGAGCCGGATGGAATGGTCATTGAGTGCGTTCTGAGTTCTGTCCCTATGTCAGTATCACCAGGAGGCTAATCTGCTCATAGTAACAACGGCAACCTATGGGTCTCTGTCTATGGATCTAGTCATCTCATGCACTTCAGCCCCGAGGGCAAGCTCTTGGAGCAAGTCAAATTGCCAGCCATGTGCCTAACCTGCCCGACATGGGGTGGGAAGAACTATGACATCCTCTATATCACCACCGCAAAAGATCGCTCTGAAAACCCTGATCCAAATGATGATGGCGGCCAGATTTACAAGTTCCGTCCCGACGGTGCCAGGGGGCAGCCTAATCATGAATTTGCGGGATGAACAGATCAATCTAGTCGAGACGCATTGCAGATGTCAATTACCGGAATGTAATTCTGAGCCGGACTTTTGACAACCTTTTGACTTCCAAAGTCTCATTCAGCTGCTAAGCTAAAAAAGTTTTTGCCAATCATCCTCCTTTGCTCATTTGCCTCTGTGCTGAGATGAAGAGTGTAGTTCCATGTCAATGTGGCCCGGGTCTAGACGCGACACGGTCATATTGTTTATCCATCTGCACCACACTCGTCGACATTCCATATCAAATCCAAGAGCAAGACACAACATTCATCGACTGCAGTAGCCAAATATGAAACTCCTGGATGCTCCAGTGGTTCCTTGCTGTCCAAAGGGCAGCCCCTCGGGTCACGTGTAGCTGTTGACATGAGATCTCGAAGATCTCCAATGAACATCAACTAGTGATTTTCGGGAGGCTTTGAACCTTCTTTAAGATCGCTAATAGTCAGTATTCTTCGTGAGGTGGATTATTGAAGCCTTGCGAAAGGGTAAGGGGACCTACTCCAAGGGCAGCCGTGTGCTTGAGACGTAATCGAGGGGCATCAACAGCACCCTGTCAAAAGACCACACTTCAATAGCCCTGTCTCTGTCCTTCCCTGACAGCCCTTGCGACCACTATGACTACTGGGATCAAATTCTTCGAATTCTCCGAGATTGTCATTACCCGAGACTGAAACGAACTGACGTCGACTCACAGGGATAAGGACTGGTCAGCATCAACCAAGCGCCTCCCTAGAAACTTCCCTCAACTCCCTCTAGTGGAATCCCAGTCGATCAAGGCTCCAAGATTTGCTTTTCACTGGCGCGAGCTTGGTGTGCGGGGCCTTGGGCGCGGCTGGGATTCTTGTCATGCCAGATCCCTCGGAGGCACATTCCACCCCTCCACACTATGGCGCGTCGACGCGCTCAAAAGCTAAAAATGCATACTTTTATTTCCTTCGTAGTCCCCGGTAACTGCTCGCGCTTGCTGTTTTCCACCGACAGATTGATGAAGCCCTAGTCAAGTGCTTCTCGGTTGAACAGTCGTTCAATTGTTCCTATACCGACCATCGGCACGCGTCGCATACTTCCTTCCCCATCTAGTTCGCCCTTTGTGCAAAGCTCCAGGTACCTCGGCGACGGTTCAGAGCAGCTTCTCATCTCGGCCCCCTCATCATGGCCACTGGATTTTCCGTGACGCCTCGAAAGGAAGGTACTTGGACCAAACTCGTAATATTTGTCTCGCTATACTGCTTGATTCTCGAATCTATTTTGGAATGGGTGCTGGTGCTTTATTTATACGGCAACCACTATGTCGACTCAAAAATGACATTGAGCCTGGTTCTCTCCTTAGTGTCGGTATGTTATGAACGTACTTGTGGACCAACTGCTGCTAATCGATCTATAGTCATTTTTTTCGGTACCACTCGTTTCGCTTCAAAGCCTAGTCGCCTGGCAATATAACAAGATAGGTGGCTTCGGCGAGAAGAAGACAGTCTTGCACAATGTCTGCACTTATGTCTACCGACTTTGCGTCATGCTTTGGCTTGCGACGTGTGTGACCGGTCTGGTAGTCGCCGCTCCGCAGATTTACTGTCTGCCATTGGGTAGCGACGCGACTTACTGGAGAGTGGGTATTAGCTGTGCCTTCCACCGCGCCTCTGTGATTGTGGCTGTTGTCACATTGTGAGTTGCGATCCAGAAAATACTCCGATTTTTGCTGAGACACAAAACCTCCAGGATTACCGTCTGCACGCTCTACTGCGCAAGAGAGCTATGCGATCGACCGTACGATGTTTCACTCATTGGAATATACAAGCACAAGCCTAGACAAATCCTCGAGGACGGCAGCATCTTTTCCAGCCACAGCTGGGACAGTGACGAGACTCTGAAGAACGAAATTCTGAACCTTTGCCGACAACACGATGGAATGGGCAATGGAGAGCCGTGGTACATTGACCCTTTGGCGAACAAGGTCAACTGCCATCCAAGCATCAAGCATCCCGCACCTGTGCGCCTACGCCCGCAACTCACAGTTAACACGGAGCCTGGATCTATCTATGGCGAGATCGTGTCCGGAGTTACTGTGTCCCCCGATGATACTTGGCCTCGTCATTCCCCAGGAGGCCAGACTGTCGCTAGTGACTTTTACCCGATATCACGTACTTCTACGGTTTTGACAAGTGACTCACGCCATCTACTGTCCGACATGACTGTGCCCCAGGTTCCTGAGATCCCCGAGCAGTATACCAGGGGTCCCACGCATAAGAGAGGAAAGTCCTCGCTATCTTCTCTTCGAAAATTCCTCCCAAAGTCCTTCCCATTATCACTACCTCTGTCATCGGATCCGCAGATTCGTGCCCTGGCAGATCCCAACGCCGCCTCAGATGTGGAGAAGCAGGTTGTCACGCCTTCTATCAAGGATGGCATTGAATCTATCACCAAAGAGAAATTATCCAATAGCTCAGACTCCTCCTTGCAGTCTACTGGAGTGCAATCCACGACTCCTATCACGCCCGCATTTGTCAGGTCGGAGGCTCCTGCGCGAACAATGACCATGAACTCTGCGGACGCCCCAGAAGTTGTTCCACTACAGGACCTGCCAACCGAGCCAGTCAAGGTCCACAGATCCCAGACAACTTCTTTCTCCATTCACCATCCACGCCATCCAAACTATATACCAGGCCCAGTCCCCTCCCGCAACTACCCCATGGCCTGTCGACAGAACACCACCATTCTCCCGGCCCACACTGATATGAGACGAGGCAACTGCCGACAAGCACCCCTCATGCAGATGCCCACCCGAAGCAACTCCTACCAATTCGACCAACAGTACAACCCACGCCACTCCCAAAGTCAATACCAAAAAGTCTTTTCCTCCCAACTCCCTCATTGGGGAAGCCAACACATGTACGACCCCAGCCGCTCAGCCCCTTCACTATCTGCGGTCTCTCGCCGCAATGATGTCGAGATCATCTACCCCAGTACCCGTCGAGCACGAAGTAGCACCCATGGTGGGCCTAGCAACCCATTAAGCTGCATTCTGGAATCAACGGACCCTCGATTCTCGGTCGACTCACATCGCATGAACGCCGCTATATCACAAAACACCTATCGAGGCGCTAATCGCACCAGCATGGCCTTGTACTAGACCCCGACAATATTCTACATCTTGTCTGCTGGTCAGGCGATTCAAAATACTTGCGTCTATTTGTTGTTCAACTTGGAGGTTTACACGATTTTATTGAAATGGCGAGAAGCGTGCAGCATGCATTTTTTTCTTTTCAGGCGTTCATACTTTTGATACCAGAATTCGCAGTAAAAAACAGCAATAGCAATAATTGACGATTGACAGAAATGTCGAATTGATATTCGAACTGAACCTTAAAGAAATTATCTGAAAGTAGTCACAATTTGGTAGAATCGACTTATCCCACAAAGCACACCCATGCATAACAACCTAGAAACAATATTATCCGGAGGCGCCATGCACGTAACCCAACGCCACGCCGAACAAGATGCATAAGGGAAAAAAAGAAAAAGAAAAGCTAGTACAAGGCGAGAATCAAAATCACAAGAATTAAGCAAGATCGAGACCCTACACCTTCTTCTCACCACTCCTAGTCTTCCGCTTCTCGGACTTCTCAGTATGTTTCTCGGCATACTTGTACCGATACACTTGGCCGGACTTCGAATCTGCCCGTTCTCCATCCCGACGTCGGTTCTCCTTGCCATCGGCGAGAACACCAGGTCCACGGCCCATCTCCTTTTCTCCCCAGTACATCATCAGTGCCTTGGCCATGCGATCACGTTCCTTCAGAAGGAGATCAATGCGTCGCTCCCATTCGCGCTCTCGCTTTTCAACAGAGAGGGCAATGCGCTCGTCGATGGCGGCGGCAGTCTCGTCTTTAGCGGCGATGACGGCTTCGAGGTGCTTAATCTCAGATCTAAAGGTCTTACGAAGCTGGGATTCCTGGGCTGAGACTGAAGTGCGCAGAGCGGTGAGATCTGTTCGGAGCTCTGCTTCACGTTGCTCGGCTGTTGTGAGCATGTTACGGATTTTGCGCATGGATTCAGCATGGGAGGTGCGAAGGGTGGAGATTGCCGTTGAGTGGGCGGTTTGGAGGCTTCGAATTTGGTCTTGGTGGGCTGCTTCCAAGGCGGCGGTGTCCACGGCTGGCTCTGCGTTGACGGCGTCACGGGCTGTGGGTGGTGATGGGGGTGGGCTGGGTCGTTGGCGAGGGCTTCCTCTTGGAGACGAGCAACGGTGTCCAAGGCCTCAGCGTGCTCCTCTCGTGTGCGGGTCAACTCTTGCTGGGATTTTGTGAGGGCCGAGCTTTGTTCCTGCAATTTTGTTGTCAGGCGCGCGTTCTCCGCCTCGATGGTGGTGAATTCAGCAGCTTGGTCTCGGAGACGGTTTGCTTCGGCCTCCGCAGTCTTCTGAGCGGCCTGGGCTTCTTCAAGCTCTTGTTGAAGTCGAGTGAGCTCTTGGCTCAATTGCTGAACATCACGTTCAAGCGGCACATCACGGTCTTCTGGGAATTTCCCCTTCAACGGTGAATTGGGTTCAGAATGTCCCAAGTCCTTGATCAGGTCGAGGATCTCGCTGTAGGTGCTTCGGTTGCCGAGTGGGAGGTCGGCTGCCGCAGCTCTAAGGGCATTCTCTTGTGCCTCTACTTGCGACTGCACACGGCTTAGATCAGCCTCAAGGGAGATGTTTCTGTCCTCAAGTGAGTTGTTCTTGTCTTCGAGCGGCTGATTTTTTGTCTCGAGGGCAGTGAGTCGATCCTCCAGTGCTTCATATTCGGCATTTACGCGATCAATTTCGGTCTCCAGTCTTGCATTCTCTAGAGCTTGATCGTCAATTTCTCCCTTGAGCCTTTCAATCTCAACATTCTTCTCGTGAGCTTGAGATTCTTTGGCCTGAGTGACTTCTCGCAATCTTTTCATCGTCTCTTCGAGAGTGGTTTCCTGCTTCTTTAATTGCTCTTGGGTGTGGTTCAGCTGCTGACGCAGGTGGGCAATGGTTTCCAACCTTTCAGCGTCCAGTGAAACCTGAGAGTCCCGAGTCTGCAGTTGATGCTGCATATCATGTATTTGCTTTTGGACCAAGCTCAAGTCGGGATTATGGGTGGTGGATTGTTGCAGGAGCCTTTCGTGTTCAGCGTTCTGCTTCTCCAGCGATTTCACCTGCTCGCGGAGAACAGCCTCATCACCACCCAGGTTTTCAAACTCCTCTATTAAAGCATTTCTACGCTGCAGCTCAGCCTGCAGGTGCCGAATTTGCTCTCCTGCTGAAGCGGCCTCAAGCAGTCGATTGCGGTTCTTCTGAATATGCTCATCGCGATCTCGAAGCTCCTCCTCCAAGTGGGCGATGCGACGATGCAATCGCACCTCCCAGCCCTCGTGCTCTTCAGGTTGATGCTCTGATGCGTCGGAAAGGTTTCTCAATGACGGGGACGCCGGGCTCGACAAACCATCAGCAGGGTCTTCTTCGATATCTTCCAGTTGAGTGGAGTCTCTTGCAAGAGCACTAGTCCTGTGGAGCATATGGGACGGGGTGGACATGTCTACTGGCGGTCCAAATTCACTGTCGTCATTTTGCTCGACCTCTTCAACGGCCGGTTGCCTTGACTTGAGGGAATTGTGACGTGACGCAGATCCTGGGTCACGGTGTGCGGTCAATTTGCGCACGCTCGACATCCCATCGCCCAGCAAGTACTTCTCCATATTTGCAGTGAAATCCTCCGGACCACCAACATCAGAAAGATCATCTTGCACATCCTCCTTCAAGTCGGGCAGGTTATCGTCTTTCCCATCTGAGAATTGGCCGCTGGGGAATTGGCTAAAGTCCAGCGTGTACTCGGCAAGACGAGCGTCCAGATCCGAGCCGGTCGGGCTTCCCGGCGTTGACGGCCGAGAATGATTAACAATTTGGTGGGCAGCATGTTGTTCATTGTCGCTCAGATGCTCGTGGTGATTTTCGTCGCGAAAGCGCTCTGAGATGGGGCTATCGGCGGGGAGCGGGGACTCAGGTGGACTCGTTGATTGTTGTGGAGGAGAAGATGGCATGAAGAGCGGTGTCACTAGTGTTGACTGTCCGATCGAGTCATGAGAAGTTGGGAACGGGGAGGTATAGCCGGTGTTGGCCATTGTCGCAGACGCGTGTTTGTGTTCTGCAATAGGCGCGCAGCACGCGCAAGATGCAGAGCTTGGTATTGGGCCTCGATAATAGTGAGTCAGTAAGGTCGCATAACCTGCGAGGGGCGTTCGGAATAAATGGAGGAATAACAATAACAATTGCGGGGGAGTTAAAAGGACCAGAAAGTCTGAGACGCGGATCCAATGATTTGAATGTCCGCCCGATCTTTGAGGCAGCATATTTACTTGCTGCCCTTTTGGGACTAGTGGACTCTTTATAGTGATGGGTCTGATCATTCGGAGGTTTTGATCTACATCCTGCATATATTTCCGAAAGAACTATATATTCTTCGATCGTACCGCCTGTCCAATCTTAGTCCAATCTTATGAGCCGTTCTTCCATGATGGATAAGCTGGCGGCACGACCGACGGCTCTTCTGAAGGGCTCCCGAACAGTGTCGGCCGTGCCTTTGTTTCCACCCAAGGCTCCTCGAACTCTGCGGTCGCTTTTTTCATCGCACGCCCGCCTTTTGATGCAATTTCGCGCTGATTATGTTAGCCCCTAACTTCATTAAGCTGTTCAATGGCGTGAAACTAGGCTTACTTGCTTTTTCGGATCCATATTCTGGAATCCGCCACTACCTCGAGCTTTCCCACCTTTTTTTCCACCTCGGTGACAGATTGCCGACAGTTCTTCCTGCGATCGGTTTGCAAAGTTTCCTGGATTTGGGTGTCGTCCATATGCTGCCACGGCGATTCTAGGTCCGAATCTGGCCACGAGGGACCTCGATCGGAGGAGCAGGGCTGATCTGTGCAAAGAGTGTAATACTGTTGTTTCCATCATAGACGATACGCTCCATAAAACTCAGTTTCGAATCGCCAAGCTGTCGCAAGATGTTCTTGTAGGTTCTTACTAACGCATTTCACAAAACAAAAAAATTGCCAACGCTCGCCACGAAGACGAGCTGACTATATAATGTCTCGACTGAAATAATTGCCTCCGCAACCCGATGGCTGTTTTACTAGGACCGCAGATCCAATTCGCTCGAGGCTTGTTCTGGACTATTCTTTTGATGTCATGTTCAGAGCCATCTCGCCCCCAGACCAGGTGGCGAGCAATCAAGCATACCCCCTAGAAACTCTTCTCAAGCACGGGTCGTCTTCGGATGACTTCAAGAATGATAGCAGATGGCTTCGCCAGTGAAGACGCCTCCCACTCATTGGTGTCTACCGGAATTTTGAGATTCTCAAACTCGCTCAAAATTGATCAAATATCATGTTTCAGAAAGATGCCGTGGAAGTGGTCTATGCTGCGGCAAACGAGGGGAGGTGAAAATTGAAAGAGCTTTGAGACTCAACACTCGACCCCAAGCCACTACACAGCATTGATCAAGACCATCTTGGAGCCTCGTAGACAGCAATCAACCCAAAATTTTCAACGTCATGGCGATGATACCAAGCGACGGATGAACGGTCTCGCGACCCCGGTGGAGCAAGGAGCCACACGAAGTTTATCGGCCCCACCGTTTCCCCCTCATATACGCCAGGCACAGAGCTCTGGACGCACACTCAGTCCGTTGCACCTACTATGCCACCACTTCCCGGCGGATCGCTGGAGCGCCGGCGGGTGATCTGTTACCACCAGACTCTGATTCCTGGTGGAGGCTCATATGTGTCCATGCTCCCGCTCGTGGAAAACAACACCGGAGCCACGCACATCATCCTTGCAGCGATTCATATAAACGAAGGGCCGGGTAACATCACGCTCAATGATGACCCGGCCGATAGTCCGAAATTCGATCCGCTATGGGCCGAAGTGCCTTTGGTCAAGCAGGGTGGTTTGAAAGTGATGGGTATGCTCGGCGGTGCGGCGCAAGGCTCTTTCCGCCGACTTGACGGCGACTTAGACCAATTTGAGAGATACTACGGTCCTCTCCTGGATTTGATCCGCCGCTACGAACTGGATGGGCTGGATCTCGATGTCGAAGAGGAGATGTCCCTTCAAGGCATCATCCGGCTCATTGATCGCCTCAAGACCGACATGGGCGATGATTTCATTATATCATTGGCCCCCGTTGCCGCGGCATTACTGGGTGTCGGAAACTTGTCGGGCTTTGACTATCGAGAACTCGAGCAGACGAGAGCTTCCAAGATCGCCTGGTACAATGCCCAGTTCTACAACGGCTGGGGCCCTGCAGAGGACCCTCGCATGTATGCAGCTATCATTGCACAGGGCTGGGCCCCCCGTCGTGTGGTTTACGGTTTACTGACAAACCCTGGCAACGGATCGCAGGGCTACGTGCCTCGGGAGAAGATCGGACCTGTCCTTGCCACATTGGTCCAGCAGTTCCCGACTTTTGGTGGTGTGATGGGCTGGGAATTTTTCAACGCCCTTCCCGGGGCCAGAGACAAGCCATGGCAATGGGCAGCGGAAATGTCGCTCAGTATGGGCATGAAAGATGTGTTGACGGCGGCTGGCCAGTTGGTGATGGGATCAACGGTACAAAACATGCTGCGTAGCATGCAAGGCCCGCGATAAATTGAGATAGAAAGCAAGTATAAAACACTGTCAATCTAGTGAACTGTACTCATACCCTCCGATCATTCTAATCATCAAGTACCAATCACCAGCTGAACGTTAAACGAAGATGGAAATAAGAAGGCGGGGATAACGTCATCACAATCACGCCCCTCGCAAATCACCAATCAACAGGATTAAAACCCAACATTACCGCCCTGGAGCTCGGATTACATCAATTGCGCGAAGGCCTCACTTTCCTTCCCTTCTTTGGTATGTCCTGAAGCTTGATCGTCGTCTCTGCCTGACCCGCAACGATGGTTTCCCTTCCGCGCGTGGTTGCTGCCGCCAGCTCCACTGCGGTCCGCCTGTTTTCCTACATCTTCCTAAGATGGGTAAGATACAATTCCGAATGGATCTGCTTTCCAGAGCTGACGGCTCTAGATTCCCGGTCATCCATTCGTAGCCATCATTTTCACCTCACTGGTGGTATATCTCTCATCCCTCTTTCTTGTATTGCAAGACCAGGGTGCCTTCAACGAGCGCGACAAGAGGAAACAAAAGACCTCGGCCAGTCAGTCATATCCTAAAACAGAATCAATTGATTGCTTCCTAACCAACTTCTAGAGAAGCCTCCAAAGCCATGTGGTGAAGACTCCGGCGACTCCGTGCTGAAGACACTGTTGACGGGTCTTCCTTCAAAGCGGTCGCCGCTGTGGACCTGCATCACTGCGCTCGTCAACATTGGTGTAGCCCTGCTAGCACTCGACTTTTTGATTCGGAGTATTGTGGCCTGGCCTAGTACCGATGCCGCTTTCTCGCGCATTGGATATGTGTCGCCAACTACTGCCAACCTGCTCTTCCGTGAGCCAGACACCGCACGGCTGCCAATTATTGTCTCCTTCCAACAATCCGAGCCAGCCTCGGAGAAATGGATACAGGAAGGCACCGTCTACAAGCTAGACAACAGTACGGATTTCACAACGTCCGTGACGTTAAGAAATCTCAAACCGTCAACACACTACAGGTACTCGCTGTCGAATAATAAGACCGGCACCTTCGTCACAGCTCCACGGCCCGGATCGCCAGAGGCCAACAGACTGTCATTTGTGACTTCCAGCTGCTTGAAGCCAAATTTCCCCTACAATATCCTGTCTCATCCATTGCGAGTCCCTGGAATTGAGTCCATGACCGAAGCCCTCGGAAAGCTACCAGCACTTCTGAAGCCAGCTTTCATGCTTTTCCTGGGTGACTTCATCTATATCGACGTTCCATTCCGCTTCGGCTCTTCGATGGACCACTACCGCAGCGAATACCGTCGGATCTACTCATCACCATCATGGTCATATAGCTCAGAATTCGGTCCAGCCATCGACCTCCCCTGGATCCACACTCTCGACGACCACGAGATTGAGAACGATTGGTCAAGAGGTAACAAGACCGCTCCATACCCAGCAGCCGCTGATCCATTCATTCACTACCATGTGAGCGCGAACCCGCCCATCCCAGAGAAGTCTTTCGCGCACCCAGAGGACGTCACCTACTTCTCCTTCGTCAACGGTCCAGCTTCGTTCTTCATGCTAGATACACGAACCTACCGTTCCGAGCCACTAAAAGAAAATTCCACAATCCTAGGCTCGGCGCAGCTCCAATCCCTCCTCACCTATCTAGCTCGTCCCGAACCAGCCCGCGTACGCTGGAAGATCATCTCTTCCAGCGTCCCATTCACAAAGAACTGGCACATCGGCACATCCGATACGTGGGGTGGCTTTCTGAACGAGCGCCAGACCGTCTTTGAAACGATTTGGCAAGCCGAGCGCGAACAGAATGTCCGCATCATCCTCCTCAGCGGCGATAGACACGAGTTCGCCGCGACGCGATTCCCAGACCCCGAACTTGCACTCTCACCGGACAATCTCCAGCCCAACACAGCTGGTCTAGGTGTCCACGAGTTCAGCGTTGGCCCGTTGAGCATGTTCTATCTTCCCATCCGGACATATTACCAGACAGATGACGAGGACGTTTCTGTGAAATATGCGCCGGATGGGCAGTAAATTCGGGCTCATTGAGATCGCGGATGATTTCGAAGAGGCCGAACCGAATGCTTCATCCCCTGCCCCCGTGCGGAGTTCTGTGCTCACGTACTCGCTTTATGTGGATGGTGATGTCGTGTGGAAATATCGTCTCAGCGTGCCTCATGAATATGACTCTGCCACTCGTGCGGGCTCCGAGAAAAGCTGGAATCTTCACCCTGGTCGCGTCGTTGAGGACAAGCTTGTTGCTGATGGATGGGATGTTGTTTTCAAGACGGCCCTTGGGACCGCGGAGACTCTTACGAAGGGTTTGATCCAAAAGGGGACAAAAATGTATTATGAGTTTATGGAGAATTTGCGAAAGCGAGGGAGGCTTGATTAGGGGAGGTTAAGAGGCTGCGGGAGGAATATTTGGGGCCTGACATTGTCTTGACGGCTGATCTATATTGCATTGTTTTGCCCTATGTTTCCATAAGACAGGACGTCTGGATTGACCGAAAGTGGTTTCACCATTCTACTTGAAAATTCTCATTTCGTTTTCTCCTTGGTGAGAAGATATATCAAACCTAGTGGCTTTGCCGAATTGCAGACAAGATCTTTGAGTAGGCCAGAATTCGACAATTTATCTGAGCCCGAACTACCATAGCTGAGAAATGTAACGACCATGTCATTCATCTCTTCGTCATCGGTAACAATAATAGTGAATTCTTGGTCCGGCGCAACTGGAACGGGCATTGACGTGCCGTGGTTGCTACCCCCCGAGACGCAAATTTGAACAGGCGCTTTTTTCAGAACAGGGCTAAAAGATGGATCTCTGTGAAGAGATGGCAAGACTGATTTCAGTGTCCATCTATAGTTACTCGGCACAAGAAACAGAAATCAAACCCAACCAATTCTGATATAGACAACTCGTGAATTGTGCAGTTTACATGATATACGATAGAGAAAGCAACGCCAAACACCAGCCAAGATGCAAAGTTGATGAGCCACGAGGGAGCATGCAAGAAGACAAAGACAGGTAGTCCAAGACTACCGTCCTCGTCCTCGCCCGCCTCCACCACCACCACCACCACCCATGCCGCCCATTCCACCCATCAAACCGCCCATCTGGCTCATCAGACTCTGCATATCCATGCCAGCCGGCAGGCCAGGCATGCCACCACCACCCTGGCCGCCTCCCATCATCTGCATCATCTTCTGGATATCGCCCATACCAGGCATACCGCCCATACCGCCCATACCGCCCATACCACCAGCACCACCCATAGCCTGCATGCGCTTCTGCATGGCGGCCATCTGCTGCTGCTTGTTTCCACCCTTGAGCATGTCTTGTGCCTTTTGCATCTGCTTCTTCTGGCCACCGACACGCTTGGCCATACCAGCCATCATGCGATGCTGAGAGAGCAGATCCTCGACTTCGCGGACGGTGGTACCGCTACCGTGGGCGATGCGGACCATGCGGCTGGGTGAGTCGGTGAAGAGCTTTCCGTCGCAGTCTAACTCGGCGGCTGTCATGCTGTCGAAGATGTAGACCATGCGGCGAAGTTTCAGGGAACCATCCTCGTCGTCCAGACCCTGGGTCAGGTTAGACAGACCGGGGATCATGCCGGAGAGCTTGGACAGAGGTCCCATCTTCATAATTGATGTGATATTTTCACGGAAATCGCGAATGGTGTAGATACCTTCCGCAATGTGCTTGTAGGTCTCCTTAGCAGCGGCCGAGTCCTTGGTGACGGCTTGTACGTGCTCAACCAGGCCGGCCACATCGCCCATGCCCAAGAGCTTTTGAACGAATGCGCGGGGTTCAAATCGCTCAAGATCCATCATGTGCTCACCGGTTCCCAGGAAGATGATTGGGGTATTGGTAGCGGCGACGGCAGAGATGGCACCACCACCAGCGGCGTGGCCATCTGTCTTGGTGATAATGATAGCACCGAAGTCAGCAGTGGCCTTGAAAGCAGAGGATTGTGCCTCAGCGGCCTGACCAATGGTGCTGTCGAGAACCAAGATGGTCTGGTCGGGTGTCACAGCGGTCTGAATCTGGGTCATCTCAGTGAACAATTCCTCCTCTTGACGGTGACGACCACTGGTATCGACAATAATGATATCAAAGCGCTCCTTCTTAAATTTGGCCACACCTTCAGCCGCGACGACGGCAGGATCAGTCTGCGTCAAGCTACCGTAGTATGGAATCTTAGCCTTAGTTGCGTTCTGCTTTAGCTGATCGAAGGCACCGGCGCGGAAGGTATCGGCGCAAACCAGCGCGGTCTTGAAGCCGCGCATCTGGTAGTGACGGGCGAGCTTGGTACAGGTGGTGGTCTTACCCGCACCTTGAAGACCGACGAACATGATAACGTTGGAACGACCCTTCTTGGGGCGGAAAGAGTCCGCATGGGGGTCGACCAAAGCCACCAGCTCATCGAACACTGTCTTCTGGATCAGACGCTTCTTGTTGGTCGCAGCGGGGATGTTGGCGAAGTTAACGCTGGATTTAATCGACTTGCGGAGAGACTGAACGAGCTTGACGTTCACGTCTGCAGACAAGAGGGCAGCGCAGATCTCTTTAAGCATTTCATCGAAGGCCTGGCCGAGTTAGCGTCGAGTTGGCCACATTGAGGCACACGACTTGACACACCTTCTCATCGAGGTTGTTTGACCTCGTCATGTCATTGACGGCCGCATTAATGCGCCGTCCCAGATCCTGGAGGACCATAGTGAATCGATTATCAAACGAAGGTGGATGGTGAATGGAAAGTGTGGAGGGGCGAAACCAACAGGCCAAGGAGGTTTAGTGCGGAGTGCCAATCGGAGAGCGGAAGTCTCTCACCGCCCCAAAAAAAAGTTGGTCGCTACAAAGTGATCTCTGCGCTTAGAAACTGTCTTTCCCCCAGCTTTTTGTTATTTTCTAGTCGTTCCAAGATGGTCGGCTCCTACTCGAAGAAGCGCAAGGTCGCTGATGGCATGAAGGGCAAGACTGCCCGCCCCAAGAAGTTCCGCAAGCAAGCTTTCTATCACAGCAGCTCCGAAGACGAAGAAGATGAGCAGGATGGCTTCAAGGCTGTCAATCTTGCTGATTCCGACGAAGAAGAGGATGGAGGCGTCAAATTGAAAGGACGCGCTGCTATTGAGGCCAGATTGTCCAAGAAGGCCAAGACTGTGTCTGCGCCAAAACAAAAAGCCAGTCCTGAAGCCGAAGCCGAAGCCAAAGAGTCCAGCGATGACAACGAAGCAAGTGACGATGAAATGAACGACGACGAGGACAATGATGCCTCTGGTTCCGAAGATGGAGAATTCTCCGACGAGCCCATGTCAGAGGCGGGAGGAGCCAAAGGCCGACCTGTCGCTAAGCGTAACGATCCCGCCGCCTTCTCAACCTCTATTTCCAAGATTCTGTCCACCAAGCTCCCGTCATCCGCCAGAGCCGATCCCGTCCTGTCGCGAAGCAAATATGCGGCTCAGCTCAGTAGTGAACACGCTGAGCAGAAACTCGACAATGCCGCGCGCGCCAAGATGCGCGCAGAGAAGAAGGAAGAGTTGGATCGCGGCCGTGTCCGTGATGTGCTGGGTATTGAGAGCGGCCTAGCTGGTGATGTTGCCGAGGATGAGAAGCGTCTGCGCAAAATGGCGCAGCGTGGTGTCGTTAAGCTGTTCAATGCTGTGCGCGCGGCGCAAGTTCGGGGTGAGGAGGCTGCCAAGGGCGAGCGCCAGAAGGGAACTGTTGGTTTGGGAGAGCGGGAGAAGGCCGTTAACGAGGTCAGCAAGCAAGGATTCCTTGAGCTGATCAATGGCAAGAAGGGAAAGCCGTTGAACATCGAAGAGGCTTAAAAAGTGAACCTTGGAAAGGCGCATGAATGTCTATGGCATGTTTTTCGGCGTTGGGATACTGTATCTTATTTGATTCTTCTACATTGTACCTAGTAAATCCAGGGCCTGTGAATTTCCTGATAGTCTCTCTTTGCTGTGTTTGCCATTAAACAAGGGCAGACCAAATAAGTTCAATCTGCAGGGCTGCCTGGAAGAAAAAGTAAGCCAAACTTCAGATTTGGACTAAGAAATGCTCTCTTCTCCAAATCGAACATCAAACTATTCCGCAAAATCTGTAATCAAAGGACTCGCCTGCAAAAATGGTCGGTCTGTAACTATCTCTTAGAATCCCCATTCACCCGTCTGCCAATGTATCGCAGCCTGTCTACTGGGGGTTAGTTCAATATAAACAACACGGTGGGTAATGATACTATTTTTTCCTGTGTTAGGCATCGACAGCCTGAGCTCGACGTTACCTATGCAAATTGTGGTTCTCTGCTGGTCTTGAAGTCGACTATACACCAAACCAAGAGGGAAATGCAGGAATTTTCTCTTGATATCTCGCTAAGATATGGCATTTCTTCCCATTGATGCCAGTCTACCACAAGCTGCCTGATCCTGCTCCCTGACCCGAACCTCGATTTCTTGTCTATTTTCATATCAACTGATGTTTTTTCTGTTTGATTTATCTCCTAGGGGCACCGCATATGAGAATCACCATCCCTATGAACCCAATTGCCCTCTCTGAACACGCCACCCATTTCTTTCGTTCAGTCTAGATCTATGCCCAACACCTCTAGGAATGGCTATATCGGGAAGCTACACCCGTGTTGAGTAAGGACCCGATAAATTTTATCTACGCAGCTTAGAACCTGCACAGCTGTGGCCATCGTAGCACGACGTGGTGGCTGTTTGCGCGATAATCTCGGTGGGTCCGTGACATGAGCACGACTTTCGCAGAAACGAAAGTGGCCTTGAGAAGGGTGATCAAGAGCATCAAAAATATGCCATGTGTCATTCTTTAAGTCCAAATATGTCTGTTTTCGAAGTGGTAGTCTTGTACAGTTGTCGAACATTGCAGTAAACAAAGAGCAAAAGCTACGCAGAACTGGCTTTCAGGGTTATATGTTATGAATTGCATCCCGTTGATTTATCTAATCTAAACCCCAGTTGGCTCCGCAACGAAGAGCTATTGTGTAGCAGGCAACATCGACGGCCCTCTCCCTTTCATGGCGCACTTTGAAGCCTACGAGATTCCGTCATGAGTGGGGAGAGCGGGGGTATAGGGCGCAAGTAATCGTGAATTTTTTGAGTGCCATCCGCCAATTTGGAGCAAACTTGGTTTCGATGATAGAGTGGTCGGCTAATGAAACCTAGGGCGGTTAGACTCTAAGCTTGTGGATCCCAGATTCAGCTGGATAACACCCGAGTCGTAGGAATGAAGACATCTTCTGACCCTCTCTGGACATCGTATGTTGCACATGATGTAAAAGTAGGTGCTAGATCGAGCAGCAATGTGCCCCGGCAAGCTGAATAGAGAATTGCAGGGTCTGCGGGTATTCAGTAAGTTCCGGGTTCGAAGTTGGGAGGCTCCGGGAGCTTAAGGCGTAAGGTTACCTCGGGATAACGTCGCAATCGGGCACTTACCTTCCCCTAAACAAATGCCAGTTCGAACCTAGGCTAAATGCGAAGAGTTCCCTCGTTAGTTCGTTCACTTTAATATCGCCTCGTGATCATAAATGTCGAATGAAATCAGTCTAGTTCAATTCGTACAAGGCGCAGTTTATCCCCGTGGCATGAGTACTTTCGGGCTGATAATACGAGCTTCGCCCCCCTCAGAGTTATCACCTGGTTCAAGACGGGGGCCCGCATCACCCGCATCTACACGAGCCTCGATATAAATTCAGCCCGGCGCCCGAGAATATCCCGCTCCCTCTCCTCGTAAGCACAAGTCCGCGAAACTCGACCTTCAAGCAACTATCTCCACTGGGAAGCAAGAATGAGTGAATGTACAGGTGGCTGGGAAACCGTCTCTGCGAGGAATCAAGAAGAGCGTAGTGTTGCCGATATTGGCTCCTCGACTCCTGCCCATCTTACTCGAGTATTGTACATCCCCTATCATGACGGAACCACATCCCATCATTCTATTCATGAGGTCACCGGCCAATATAAGGATACCGTGGGCAATCGTGTGATGGGAACGGCTTCGTATGCAGTGTCTTTGGGAAAGATCCCTAAACCGCAAATGATTGGTGATGGGATAGCGACTCCCTATGAGAACGAAATATTCTACAACGTGCACTTCGTCAAGGCGGGCGACAGTGGCACTCCTTTGACTTCGATAATGGTAACCCCGTCATCTTCCAAGTCCTGTCCGGTACTCGTGGAGACAGATGTGTATGTTTATTGTCCCACTCAATCAAATCGGAAAAGAGGCTGACAGGAAGCATAGTGCAAGCAGTGAAGCTGTCAGCAAGGCCACTACTATCACAATGAAGCGACAAGAAGACACTACTATGGCAGAGAGGCCTACCACGATGACAATGTCTTATCCCATCGCACCACTCACATGGCGAAAGACCGTCTTCGTGCATCCTTACTTCGCTTTTCAGCCTCCGGAGGAAGAGAAGGCATATTTTGAATGGCAGATGCATCCGATCCCATATGGGCGTTTACGATATACTCTTGTGCGCGTCAGGGGGATGCAGTCAACTGAAGATCGCACCCAGCCAGATCTTCCTTCGGATCATGAGATCCAGGCTATATATCACCACATCGGGGATGGAGTCTCGCTGCCATTGCCATATAGCGAGGGCGTGCTTCTCCTGGCCGGTGATCTGAAGCCCGAAATTGAAACCATGATTGTCGCTAGTGCCTTCGGAATGCTGGGAGAGCTGCGTAGGCTATCTAAACCAGGAAAGACAGCAGGATCGGGCAAAGAATCCAAGGAAGGGCGATTCGGGTTTGTTAAAGGCTTGCTGAATAGGAAATGAGCATTGTCCAAATAGTACAGGAGGAATTTCATTCGGTATCTTTCAAGTCTGCTTGAAAATTTTCAATGCAAATGGTACAGAGTCCTAATGGACTGTAGAGGCTGTTTCCAGTCCTTATTTCGACTCAAAGTCGCTCGCCTGGAGATTCCTTGTCATCGTAGGCAGCTTGAGAACCATTCCATCCATGTCCTTGGTCACAACCACCTGGCATCCTAATCGGGATGTCTCGGTCAAGCCAAAGGCCAGATCCAACATGTCGTTCTCGTCATCTGAGGGCTCCCCCATTTTATCAAACATGTCCGGGTCTTCCACGATCACATGGCAGGTCGAGCAGGCACAAGAGCCACCGCAGGCACCTATCAAAACCAATTTTGTTAGAAATTTGTACCCCACGTCTAAATGCTACGATACGCGACTTTGACATACCTTCCATCTCCAAGTCGTTCGCCTGCGCAATATCTAGTAGGTTGTCACCCGCCGCGACCTGCAATTTTACTTCGTTCCCGTCTTTCTCAACAAATGTGATGTTGATCCTATTGCCGAACATCGTAAGCTTGATGTGTTTATTGACCGCGATTCTGGGAAACTCACTCCTCGCCGGGCTTGGGCGGCGTAATGTGCCCGTGGGCAACATGTGCTGTGGCGGAGAAGGAGCGCTGTGCCAATTTCCACCCATGCGATGACGATCGAAGGCTCTTCTGTGCGGACATCCACCGGCTCGAGTTTGCGACTCCTGCCGTCTTCGGTGAGCGACTGATGTATCTCCGTGATTGAGCCAGGCACAGCTCTCCGGTGGCCTTGGGCACGGCGCGGCGCAATTGTTGGCCGAATTCTCTCCAAAGCGCCATTCTCAGAAGATTAATTAAAGGGAAATAATCAAAAGAGAAAAGCAAAGAGAAGAGGTGGGAAAAGGATCTGGGGCAGCGGAGGAGAGAGAGGCTTGGGCCAATTACCGCGGAAGAAAAAAAAAGACTGACAAAGCTACTCGGAGACTCCTCGTCTTTCCCGAGCTTCCCTTTTATCCCCGAACCCAACCCAACCCACCATGGCCTCTCGTGAAGGGATCAATCCCTTGCGGCCCTATTATATTCCCCAGACGGGACTATCGCCCAACACTACACAGGAACCCGCTCCGTCCGCCCATGTGTTTGGCAGCAGCGCGCGTGACTTCATCCCGGACCTCGACTATGGAGACTATCTGGACGCCTCGCCGTCCGTGTCCGACTGGGTTCGGGATGCCGTGAACCGAGCTCTTGTCCGCTACACTCAAGTCCTCACCGCGCAGCCCTTTGATGTTGCCAAAACAATCCTCCAGGTGTACGTGGTGCCAGATGCCACCGAAGACCAAGCTCGGAAGTCGACTCCGGCTCCTGGTGGTAGCTCCTACGACTCGGTACGGACATGTATTGCCAAATTCTCTCGAAAGCTGAAAGCTGACAACCGCGCAGGCGTCCGAGTCATCAGACGATGAAAGCACCTATTTCACTTCAGCGGCCCCGTCAACATCCACGCCGACCACCCCGCGGTCACGAAGGGGACGACACTATATCACCGACCGCAGTGGCTACATTCGTCCGGATGACCCCGCAACATCCAAACATGCGCTCACCATCAAGAATCCGAGCTCGTTGATGGATGTGCTTTCCCAACTATGGTCGACGAGCGGACCAAGCTCCCCTTGGAAAGCTTCAAACGCCACGTTCATCTACTCACTCCTCCTCCCGACTCTCAACACCTTCATTCGTAGCTTGCTTTCAGCCATCGTGGGCCTTCCAGAGGCAGACATCTCTTCGTCCATGACAGCCGACATATTGACCGCATCTTCGCCCCTGGTCACCCTCCTCCTATCATTCATTTCGTCATCCGTCTCCGCACTGGTGCTTTCGCCCATTGATACCGCACGCACATTCTTAATGCTCACGCCCGCCACACACGGCCCGCGCTCGCTCGTACGCGCCATTCGCGAGCTTCCTACTCCCAACTGCACCGTCCCGCAGCATCTCGTCCCAATCACCATTCTCCACTCCAGTCTTCCTAACTTCATCATGACGTCGACCCCACTCTTCCTCAAATCCTACTTGTCAATCGACCCTCTCCTCAACCCGTCCATGTGGAACCTGTTCACCTTCCTCAGCTCCGGTCTCGAACTAGCCGTGCGCTTCCCTCTCGAGACCGTTCTCCGCCGCGCCCAAATTGCGACGTACACCTCCCTCAGTCTGCGACAGAAGTCTTCGGGCGGCAGCATTCGCGCCGCATCAATCGATGCCTCCGATGTCGAGACCATCGTCCCAACCCCACGGACTTACCGCGGTATCATTGGGACAATGTGGCACATCGTCCACGAAGAAGGTGTCAGCCCGAATCCCTCCGACCTCGAGCGCATCAGTCAAGCAACCGGCCGGCCGACCACTCAACGCCAGCTTCAGAAGCGCCAACAGGGTCAGGGTATCCAAGGACTCTACCGCGGCTGGCGCGTTGGGATGTGGGGTATCGCCGGTATCTGGGGCGCCAGCATACTGGGCGGGATGTCCGGAGCCGGCGAGGAAGAAGTAACGACGCGCGGTGGCCACGGGCGGTCTAGCGGTGGACGGTTCTAAGGGACCATCCTCCATGCCCAAAACATCACGCACCATCGCTTGATTGATGTTTTGATTGGCCTTGGTGTTTCCTCCACTTTCCCTTCTCCTCTTGGTACTCATTGCTGGCACTGGCCGAGGATTTATTCTGTTACGCTGCTTATGTTTCTTCGACTCTCCCCTTCTCCCACCGCTCACATCGTATACCCCAGGGAAATGGATCCGGGGCCAGGCGAATAGCGTGCTTGTCTCGCTCTTTGTATAAAACTGCACTTAACATAGCAATCATTAATTACTGACGAACCCAAACTTTCTCCTAAAGCAAATAAAATTTTCGCAATATGAGATGTCTTTAGTATAGGATCAGTTGAGAGGATTTATAACAATTCCGTTTACTTCATCAAATCAGCGTATACATGACTGCACGAAGAACAAAAACGCCAAACTCCTATACGTCTAGGAAGAGTGGAATGGGAATAGCAAACCACACAACCAACCACAGACCATGTTCATATCGGTCGTCAAGTCTCTCCGTGATCCCAGTCTATGGTGAACCAGGTTACATTGAAGGGTAGTAGATAAAAAATAGAAAGGATGCTTTTAGGGGGTGTAGGGAGCAAGTTTGAGGGTGGGATAAGTCCTCGAGGCGTCAAGTATCACAAGAAAGAAGGTGTGTAAAGAAACCAAGGCTGACCGCATGATGGTACATGGAGCAATCGGGGAAGTGGGTATCAAAATGCCCCCGTTTGAGAGGGGAAGAGCCCGATGCAGAAATCAAAAAGAGGAGATGAAGGAAAATGATTTATTTCTCCGCAAAGCGCCGGTCGAAATAGCGGAGCACACCCATAACACTGGCGGCTTCGACTTCCATCGCTGCTCGACCGCTGTGCTCGGCTAGGGCCAAATCACGAGGGTTCGGCAGGGTGTGCAGCTTCGGTAGCCAGGAGGAGATGTCGTCGGAGGCCTTGGAGAAATTTGGGTGGCGGGAAAGAGTGGTGAAAGCATCGGCGCAGCTTAGGGTGAGCTCAGAGGGCGCAGAGGGCTTGGATGGGGCAGGCCGCGGAGGCATGGAGGGGTTGCTACGCGTGGCCGGGGTGGCGGGGGCATTTCGAGACATGCAGCATCCCCCGTCGGTTCCCTTTCCACCGCAGCAGCCTCCTCCCGCTGGAGTTCCGCTCGCTGACCGGGAGGCTGCCAGCGTCTTGCAAAAAAGGGTGCTGCGAGGATCGGACTGGCATTGGGCACAAGTTCCCGGCCCGTTGGCACAGGGATTGGTCGCTTGGCTGATAGGGGGAAGAGTCACTTCCGAGCGGACATCGCTTTCGGAAGGAGGAGGTGTGAACTGTGAGATGGATTGTATTGGAGCCAGGCGGGGTGCCTCGAAAGAGTTGCGGCGGCCACGCTGCTGCTCCTGGGCGGCCATCTCGGCACAGATGCAGGGTGTGCCGTCCTGGCAGAAGCCGCATGGGTCGACGGGTGGCGAGGAAACTTCATTGATGTGCGTGTGGGAGCTGGACTGGGCGGGCGCGCCGGCGAAACGAGAAGTGAAGTCGATCTCCATCTCCTCCGGGTCGGGCTTTATTTGAGGCTCTGCAAGCTCTCGCTGCGGGCTGCCCACCCCATGAGGCGGGTGTCTGGGACGAGTAGACTCGAAGGTATCACTGGGCATGGCAAAAGCATCTTCAATACACTGGCAATGTGTGTTGGAGCAGCTGGAGCAACCCAATGGCACGTTCTCCCCGCCTTCTTCACGGTCACGTTCGGCACCGGTAGACTCAACGCCCTCAATGCGAGTGCTTCGGGTAGATGGGCGATTGCGAGGTGGCAAAGGCACGGAGTCAGGAATGGAAGATGACTTGGCGCTGCTTGAACCCGAAAGGGTAGTTCGGAATTCCTTGACGATAGCCTCCTTCGCACTGCGTTCGATGGAGACCTCTTTCTCTAGCGCGAGGCATCGGTCACGCCACCAGCCTACCTCTTCCCGGCATTGCTCGACCTCGCGCGAGAGATCGCTCACCTGCTCGGTGAAAGCAGCGATCCGAATGTCGTGGCCGTCCTCGATCTCCTTGATCTGCTCCTCGAGTTCTTGAACTCGCGCAGCCCGGCGCTCACGGAAGGCTCGCTGAGCAGCTCTGTTTTGGGCCTTACGCTTGGTCGGAGGGGTATCGGTCGCTGGCTTGCGGCCGGGCTTTGGTCGAGGGGGAACAACCCATTCTCTCGTAGTGATGGAGCCGGGAGTGCCAGGTCCAGGCGACGGGGCCACCGACGGCGTCATTGAGGGTCGAGCAGCCAAAATAGGTGCAGGAGCAATAGCGGGAGCAGGCGTTATCGCCACGCCTGTCGTGGCCATGGTGATGGCGAAATCGCAGGTACTGAGTTGCCAATTAGCGGGAATATTGGAGGGGGGCAACGAGGTCGGGCGGGTTCGGGACACACACAGGCCTTCTCGGTCGGAAGAACGGAAGTGCGCTCATATAAAGCCGAGAAGCGAGAGAACGATCCACGCAACGGGAAATAAATGGAATCGGCTTGGTGATCCGAATAAACCGAAGTCAATAGACACGGGTAAGGGAAGAATTTAGGTAGCTCCGGGTGTTTGGGGGGGGGGGCAAGTGGGAAAGGGAAGAGAGAAAAGAGCGATGATCAGATTAGATTATGCTCACATGATGCCGGTTTCGGATGTGCGAATCGGGGCTGGCTAATCCTCAACGGGCAAAGAGATCCATCTGAGAGAGAATTCTTGATTTTTTGGTTTTATCTGATCCGTGTGCACGCAAGGGTGGAGGCCGGCAAGCTGCACTGACGAGTGGGCTGACGCTGATTTCTCTGGTTTTCCCTTCCCCCGTCAATAAGCGTCTCCGTCGTAGTGAATACCAGTTTGGGGAAAGACCAGTTCTGAGCTAGTGTAAATATGTGCTGAGCTACTCTACCTTCTCATCCACTTTCAGCAGTACTCGAGAAAACCTGGGTTTTCCAAATAGAAAAAAGAGCAAAGGGACAATTTCGCAGAACCTGTAAGGACCGTGATGGGCTGTCTAATCCTTGGTCCATGGATGGGTCAACCCCGTCCCTCGCCTCGTTCGAAATTGAGCCTGTTCATTGCCTAGCAGAAACGGCAATTCGGCCAACCAGCTAGGCTATGTCTTACGAGATCTCTTTTCCTGAGCCAAGAGACTAGCATTGTTGGTACTGATCGACAGGCTGGGAAACAAGTACCGCCGAGCCCTAACGCCGCTCTCGGGCTCTGATCTTATCTGATCACGCTAGCCGACCTTCTTGCGCTCCTCTTTGGGCAAAAGCGACCCCGATCCACGTTCTGTGGTTGATGGATGATGCTGCGAGGCAGTCTACATCAGTGGACACGGACCAGTCTCTCGCAATTATTTGTCGTCATTGGGTCGGCCGTCCTAGGTTCTTCATCTTGGCTTCCCCACATCTACGAATCCCTTATCAATCAATGGCTCACTCCATCCTTTTCTACCCATCGCAAGCCGAAAGAGGGCCGAAAAACGGATCATTCATTCGGCTCAATTTCAGAAAAATTCTTCCGAATATGTGACTCTAACTACGGCTCGGATGGATAGGACAGAAAATTGTTCACGCTCAATGTTCTTTCTGCCCTTGGATTTGCAGCCCGGTCGGTAATTGAGTGAACGTGGCTCGGTGGCATTGAAAGGGTCGACGAGTTGATGATCCTTTCCGCCAACGTCGGGCTTGGCTGGTTTCCAGGGCTGCAGACTCCCGGGTGGCAAGTAGATTGGACTCGAAGATCAGCTTAACCTTCGGGCTTCGGGCTAGAGACTCATAGGAAAGAGAGAAGATCTCAGTCGAGTTCAATGAACGTATGTGTCTTGTCAAAATAATAATTGAAAGAGCCTGTTGCATATGGACTAGCTAGAATTGGTAACTCCACAATCTGGTATCCTCCAGGGCGAATAAACGTTGTTTCAAACTTGCCGGCCGGGAACCGATCACATCACCGTCAATTTCGGCGCGCCATCTGAGGGGGGAGCAGAGTGTCTGGTCTGCACGAAGATCTTCTGCATCCCCTGATCACGTTTATCAAATGCAGCGTATACTTTTTCCATATCCTCAAGGCGCACACGGTGAGTCACCATGTCTAACGGGTTAAGTTGCCCACTCTGGATGAGCTCCATCAATTGTTTCCAGTATTTGTGCACGGGGGCTTGTCCGTTTCCAATCAAGCGTACTCCAGTCTCCATCAAGGCTCCGATGTTGAAGTGATTGGTCTGCGTGCGTCAGAATTTGCCTCTTGACAGGGTTGACTTATCGTCACTCACATATGCTGCGTAAATGCCAGTTACGCCCACCCGTCCGAACGATCGGACTGATGTGATCATCTCGTTAAGGATCTCTGAACTATCAGTCTCCATTCCCAGCATCTGCTCAAAGTAGTGCATCCATCCCTTTGCATACTCGCCTGCTGCGCACTCCAGGGCAACATCGGGTCCACCATGAACCATCTTCTTGAGTTGTGATGTGACGGATTCGCCTTTCGGAAGATTTGTGAAGTCAAGGGTCTCGACCTTGGGTACTTTGGTTTTCACATAGTCCAGTCGCCAGGCGCCATTGCCACCATCGATCATGATGACACGATCGGCACCATGGAAGAAGCTGAATTGGGCACACATTTGGCCAATGGGTCCTGAGCCCCAGATGGCAACCACGTCGCCTTTCTTGACACCAGTGTCCACCACACAGTGCCAAGACGTTGCCAAAACATCAGACAAGAACAGAGCCTTCTCGTCGGGGACATCATCGGGAATCGGAAGCAGATTCACATTGCCATAAGGCACCCGAATAAACTCGGCTTGGCCACCGGCGAAGCCGCCCGTGAAATGCGAATACCCAAACATACCAGCTGTCCGTTTTCCATAGAGTACATTCTCAATGGTGTTTTCATTGGTCCTTTCGCATTGCGAGAAGAGCTCTTTCTGGCAGTTTCCGCAGTCACCGCACGCGATGGGGAACGACACCACCACTCGGTCGCCGACTTTGACCTTATCGGCCTCAGGCCCTACACTCTCGACCACACCACAGCATTCGTGGCCGAGTACATCCCCTTTCTGCAGCTGCGGAATGACACCTATAGGATGCCGCGTGAGATTACCATCCACCTATTCTGAAGGGGTAGCTTACCATGATACAAATGGAGATCGCTACCACAGATGGTGCTACCCGTTACCTTGACGATCACATCACCCGGATCGGCAACTCTAGGCATGGGCATTTTGACTAGAAACACAGTTCTTATTAATATGGTACAAATATGGGGATATCCAGATATCCATACCAAGTTTGACCTGGTTCTTGCCATCCCAGATCGTCGCTTGAATTAAGTCTCCAGTCTCCATTCCATGCTCATTGTCATAGTTGCTCACGTCTGTCGTGATTGATGCATTGTTATCGTGGCCGAGCGCCTTTTCTACCAAATTGGCAGCCTGCGTGAACGCCATTGTTGTCTCGTCTCGTATTTGAAAGGTTGAAATTTGCAGTTTTGAATCTAAATTGAGATTTGATTTTTGACATGCTGGTGGCAAGGGTCGCAGTACTTATAGAGAGCGTAAAATATGCGTCATCACAGTGTGGTATCTCAGATTCATTGATGCACTTGGAAATTCGTACTCGAAGCAAGATTTCCCAAAGCTTCGGATAGCTCACCGCTGACATCACTATGAAGTCGGCCCGCCTCGTCCAGTCGCGACAATCACATATCAGCTGAATAAGACGCTCAGACGGGATACAAACGGGATTTGGTTCCTTGAAACTGATTACTTCCTTCAACCTGGTCGAATGAATTGTTTGGTGCTAGGCACGCTAGGCCAAGCTTGGGCAGCAGCCGATACTTGGCTTCGGCTCAAACCTGTAGCGGCAAAACCTGGGGTGGCCAATTGTTCACCCCGTTACAGATGAATAACAATCCGTGTTCACAAGTCCCATTATTGGTGGTCATAAGTCAGCCTGTCTCGACATCCGGCTGGTTAAGCTGCTGACGCGCGGGGTCTAGGACTTCATAAGATAGGTTTACTTAATCAACTTCCAAGGGGAAAATTGACGACGCAGACTTCCAAATAGTATTTACGGACTATGAGAGTGATTGCTACAAAGAAATTCAACCTTTTGAGTGAGGCTGCCTACAGGCGGATGAGTCAGGACCTTGGTGGAATCATTCCGGGGTCTACACAGCTAGCGCGCTTTGGCAGTCAATTGTATACCTTGATACGAACATCAACCCTGTGAACTTGGAATTTGGTATTCACGTGAACGTAGACGAAGTTTGGAATGTATCTAACCTCTTGTGAATTTCTGCAGGGTGATCTAAGTCAGTGCTCCTGTATATTACGTCAACTCTCTACGAGATCTAAGGCGCATTATCGGCAGAGATATACATCCGCAACTCCGCCATCAAAATACCTCTTTCCTGACTCTTCAGATCCACGATGATTGGAGAACCACCAATATAAGAATGATCACCTGCATTAGTATTAGAAGGCAACTCCTTGACAATTGATGATTGACGAGGTAACATGACAAGGTGAGCATCAGGTACATACCGCTCGCTGATAAGCCCGGAGCTCCGGTGGGATAATCAACGCCTCCTAGACCGCTCTTTGCATCCTTCAATGGGTGCCCTGAATTCTGTGATACAATGTTTAAGTTATATAGATATTCACACATCATATAATGATGAACTAAATCCCAGATTCTAGCTCTCTGTATTACCCACGTAATTAGGCAGCTCGGACGAACTCAGGCACACCCGTTATCGCGTGACCCGATGAGCCGGACTCGGTGATAAGCAAGGGGCCCCAGCCACCTGCAGCTCCGCCTTTTCCCCTCACGAGTCATATCTCCAACTCCAACACACTCTTTCACCTAGAATCATTCCCACACATACACCATGACTCGCCGACACGCTTACGGCCTTGACGGGTCCTGGACCTCCCAGATGTCCGCCCAGCTTCCCGAATCCTCCTACGGCCGCCCTGCACCTGCACCTGTGCCAGCTCCCCGAGCTCCGGCACGAGCCCCTGCCATGGAGCCCGAGCCCCTTCGGCCCGAGGCCTACACGAAGCCCTACTGCGAGTTTATGACCGAGAATCCAACAATCTTTCACGCTGTCAAGGGTTTCGCCGCAGAACTTGAGGAGCATGGCTACAAGCAGCTCTCCGAACGTGCGGTGTGGACGCCTGAGCTGAAGCGGGGCGGCAAGTTTTATGTCACCCGCAATGGCAGCTCACTGATTGCGTTCAACATTGGCTCGGAGTACAAGAGTGGAAATGGAATGGCTATCGTGGCGGGGCACGTCGATGCCCTCACTGCCAAATTGAAGCCCGTGTCTAAGCTCCCCAACAAGGCTGGCTTCCAGCAGCTTGCCGTCGCTCCGTATGCTGGCGCGCTGGGTAAGACCTGGTGGGATCGTGATCTTGGCATTGGTGGCCGTGTTCTCATCCGCGACTCCAAGACCGGAAAGGTTGAGAACAAGCTGGTCAAGCTGGACTGGCCCATTGCGCGCATTCCTACTCTCGCCGAGCACTTCGGTACACCTGCTCAGGGACCGTTCAACAAGGAGACTCAAATGGTGCCGATTATTGGAATCGATAATTCAGATCTGTTTGAGCAGCCTGAGAAGAGCGAGACTAGCGATATCAAGGCCGGAACCTTTGCTTCCACTCAACCTGAGAAGCTTGTGAAGGTCATTTCCAGTGAGCTTGGTGTGACGGATTATAGCTCTATCCTCGAGTGGGAGCTTGAACTTTTCGATACTCAGCCTGCTCGGATTGGTGGTCTAGAGAAGGACATGATCTTTGCTGGTCGTATTGATGACAAGCTTTGCTGCTACGCTGCCCACCAGGCCCTTCTGGCTTCGGATGATAGCACATCAACCGGCACAGTGAAGATGGTCGGCATGTTTGACGACGAGGAGATTGGTAGTTTGCTTCGTCAGGGAGCCAACTCCAACTTCATGAGTAGTATCATGGAAAGAATCACTGAAGCCTTCGCAACCGATAAATACGGCCCCAACCTTCTCTCTCAGACTGTTGCTAACAGCTTCCTGGTCTCATCGGATGTCATTCACGCCGTCAATCCCAACTTCCTTGATGTATATCTCGAGAACCACGCACCCCGCCTCAACGTCGGCGTAACAGTCTCCACCGACTCGAACGGCCACATGACCACCGACAGCGTCAGCCACGCTTTGATAAAGCGCGTCGCCGCCCGCTGTGGTTCCACCCTCCAAGTCTTCCAGATTCGAAACGACTCTCGCAGCGGTGGTACCATCGGTCCTATGACCAGCGCGCGCATTGGAATGCGCGCGATTGATTGCGGCATCCCGCAACTGAGCATGCACAGCATCCGCGCTACCACCGGAGCTCTGGATCCTGGTCTGGGCGTGAAGTTGTTCAAGGGCTTCTTCGACTACTATGAGGAGATTGATGCGGAGTTTGCGGACTTTTAAGCTCAGCAATAGATATTTTCGGAGTTAGATGTTACTTGCACAAGCCGCATGGCGGGATTTGCTTTGAGATGTGATTACTGATTACAATGCTAGCTAGAGCAGCGAGAATATATGAATTATTGACATAAAGATATTACATGTCTATTCCTTCAACTTACTTTATCCGTCGTAAAGTTGTGTCTGAAGTGTAGAGCGAACTAGAAGAGCCATATTGAAGGTAGATGACAAGAAACGATGGACCCAAGAGAAAAAACGAATGAAAGAAAACGTGTGATATATTTCGAGACGTTACCAGCGGAATAGGATAGAAGGTACAGCTCTGGCAGCTATGCTCCAAAGATCGAGGAGTTCATACTCTCTAGCGCCGTGAAGATCATGTCCGGCAGGAGCCTGCGTGATATCGAAGATGATTAATGCCGAGAATAGAGATGCGCAGATGACAACTCAGAAATAGAATGCTGGTGCTGATATTCTTGGTACTCCGACATCTCCGTAACAGAGGTAGTCTTAGTGATCCGATGATTCGGCGGCATGGACTTTTCATTGTTGTGTCCTGGAGCCATCTCCATGCGGTCGGAATAATCCACACCGACGACTTCGGGTTCTTCTCCGGGAGCACCGAGGGTTGACTCGTCCCAATTACCAGAGCGGTGATTGGGTCGACGGCTGTTGCCATAGGCAGGACGATTGCCGCTGAAAGTGGGAATCAGACCTGGCATGACGTGGGAGAGTAGGGGTTTTAGGGTTGGAAGGCAAGCGCAGATGATGCCTGTGTTGCATTCGATGGCAGACCAGGACGCGGCGCCGACGTTATCATCTGGAGATTGTTAGTGGTGGATTTGAGGTGATGAGAAAGTTTGGTAGAAAGTACAGGTAGGATCGTTGGAGTCGGAAATCTTCTTGAGGGCGACCAGCCGGATGATACTGGTGACGCAAACACTGATAGAGTCAGTCTCTGGGAGGTTTACTCGAAGACAAAGAAGTCGTTACTCACAATCCACCCATGGCGAACATCAAGATTAAAGCGATCTTTTGCCTCTTGGGGATATCAATTTGGATCAAAGCAGGGATGGGAATGACAAGAATGGCGAGATCGGTGGTGATGTGCATGCTGGCATTGGAGAACCATAGACCAGGCTTGCTCAAACAGAAGCCCTTGATTGTAGGGTCCCAGAACTTGGCGATAGGGACACAATTCAGGAAAGCACTGACCACAGCCCAAGTGCCGTAGATAGCAAGAATGGTGATCATGATCCAACATATGAGACGCATGCGGTGGGTGGGAAAAACACGGAAGTATTGCAAGAGGATCGAAGCTTTGGCGCATAGAACAGCGGCATTGTAGAAAGGAATGGTGAGCCAGAAAGCCTAGAGTGGACAAGAATCAGTCATGATCGAGATACATGCAAGAATTGCGATGATACCTTCAGCTGTCTCTCAAGGATCATGGGTGGGATATCCTTGAGGTGCATGCCCATTCCGTTGGTAGCCTCCACTATATCCAACACCATGAAGACGTATGAATTGATCTAGAATATCAATCATCAATCAGTGATTGACTTTGTCAAGATTCTCAAGCCACTCAACCACGTACCAATGCGATAATCACTACCCAGTCACTGGCCTCGACACGGCGAATAAGGGCAATACGAGTGAACATGCGCAGACCAACAAAGCATGAAGCGAGCGTTGTAAACACAATGCTCACAACCATTTCCTGCGCGCCACGAGACGAGAGGTATGGGTTGCCATGGTCTCGCTTAAGGACGACATCACGGAGCTCGAATATGTTCATTTTCATCCGATACAGGGGCCGATGATGAAGTAATTGGCGATGAAGTTTGATCGGGCGTCCAAAACCGACTGTCCTTTCTAGGCTCTGTCGATGACGCAAATAGATAGTAAACTATCTCGAGACGGTCACCAAGCAAGCCAAGATGGACGACTCGAGGGAGCAGACCGAGCGACAACGTTCGGCGAGGCAATCAATAAGAAATAAACAGTTTCCCCAGGTTCGCAAAGAGGGGCGGTGCCGAGTGTTTTCAGTTATAGAAGAGCCCCATACAGACGCATATGACATGAAATCGGCAAGCCTGGTCGCACAAACAATATGAAAAGACCTACAAGTTTGAAAATGGATGAAGGCGAAACCTACTAGTCCGGGAGCCGTGAGCGAACGGATCATCTCCCTGCATGCTGTTGAACTGGATTGGCGGCTGAGTGCGTAGGATGAGACAGGAACTTGCAGTTGCAGCGCAAGGGACATCGATCTGGCGAATGAGGTGCAGGGTCTGGACCGAATCGATATATGAAGTTCGCCCTAGAATTGACAGCCTTCTCGTTGCTGTGATACTAGAGTTTTATCGAAGTATCTTTGAAACATTGTGAAAGGGGATATTTCTGGGCATTCAGCGCTTCGTGCTTAGAGATTATTGCAGAATTTTATTCCAGTGTTCAGTACAATTTGACCGAGCTCCAAGGTGGAGAGGTGGATGATCGTGTGGAGGTTTGATGGATCGATTATATTCATCAAAGCTATTCGTATCAGCCTATCCTGGGGTGAAGATCTGGGCATTGAAGATTCAAGTCATGACGCCACGGAAGAAATTGAGGCTCCGAGATGTCATGCAGCAGTAACATTACACCGAGGAGCCATAGGTGCTTGAGAGAATCATAGCCCAAAAAAATCCAAAATTTTATGATGGCCTCTGGGCCCAGAAAGACTGTGCAAAGGAAATGCACATACGCCCGGGCATAATCGATATCTTCAGTCGCCCTATGCAACTCGGTACCGAATTGTCTTCCCCAATTCATGCAGCCATGTGAGTGTTTTTGCCCATTACGCATGGCATAATCAGTCGCATCGCACCACGAACTTGACTGGCAGCTCGAATAAAGCATGGGGTAAAAAAAGCAAATAGTTATGCACCTATCCCGGCAACCGGGCAACAGTATAGGCCCATTTAAACGAGCACTGACGCACAGTGCCTTGTGCACATAACCAAATGAGACCGAGCTCCGTCTCAAAGTAGACTTCCGATATCTCAACAGCATCGGACGATCACCCACATGTATCGGATGATCGACTCGCCTCTCAGGTGGCTTTGTTCTCCGCCACCTGCTGGACAGAGCACTGTCGGGAATGCGTGTAGACTTGAGCGTGAGGCTATGGGATACTCTCGAGGTTAGATTCGTAAAGGGTGGGTTTCCACAGGGAGGTGCGCGTAAGGGAGATCACTAGTGGAGAGGGTCTCAGATCCCACTGTTGGGGCATTGTTAAGCTCATCGTGCAGATCTTTAGAGCGCAAGGGATGCTACTGGTCCTGCTCCTTTACAATTGATGATTCCGAGATGGGTCAGGTTATCGGCGTTTTCAATAGCATTGTTTAGGAGAACTTCTTGTATGCGGTCGAAACGAATCTCATTGATTGACATGCGGCTCGTGGAGCCGAGGGAGCTAAGAGCGTCCCGGATCTTGCAAGGAGCGCCAACAATACTTCGTATCCTGATGGTCATTGTGCATGGGGCTCTGTTGATTTGGCCAAAGTCTGGGACTAAGGGGCTCGAGATTGGTGTGTCTACGTATGGCTATTCCAAAATCGAGAATCGCCGGGTGGCTAACATGTTGTCATTTTACAAAATGTTCAGAACGTACCCTGCTCACTACGCAATTTCACGTAAAGATCTAATTTCAGTGGCGAATCTGAGACTCCCTCTTTCTCTCTCTCTTTCTTTCTTCCCCCGGCCAGGCATCCCCGCAAAGTTTGCAAACGTCACAGTGGGTGATATATCACATCCCAGGTCAGCCACACGAACTTCTCAATTATCGACTGCACGGATCCTCAAACGCAATCCTAGAAGATTTTTGTGGCCAGAGACAAAAGTCTAACCGTGATTTCGCGAACCAGGGTGCTATAGTATTTTGTAATTCTCTTTTGGGCTGTCGTGTAACGCGTCATTTGCAGCCCTGGAAAGTTTACCTGGATTGTCGTCCTACTGCGTGGTCCCGAACTGCAGTCGAACAAAATCAATCCGTGCTGGGATGCGAGCTTTCCGTAAAAAGGGCTGACAGCCCCTTAGTAAACTCCCGAAAACTTCAGTAGCGTACGATCCCCCATGTGGGCAGGGTTATGAATTTCCCACAATTCATGCGGGTATAAGACGATGTCTTCCTCTGGGATCATCAGTGTCGACGCGCGCTGGCACACCTGTTAGATGCAAAAACCAGTTCAGTGATAAACAGAGCAAGACTGAGTGGATGGGCGTCTGGGTCTACGCATGGTTGGAAATGCAATCCCACAACGCAAAGCGCATAGACGGTGCAAACGCGTTGTAATATCCTTCATGACATGGGCACCACTAGAAGGATTGAAGAAAGATGTGACAGTCAGCTGTGCCCCGTTTGGGTATGTTGATCATACAACATCTCCATAGTCAGGCGCGGAGGATTTGGAGTGAGACGATTGAGACGCCAGACTTCGATAAGGTCGATAAGGCCGATAAGTGCGCACGGACCATCTACTCGAGAAATTTCCTTTCCACGGTGGGATACGGTTCGCTTCGAATTCCTCCTCCTTCACTGCGTCTTTACTTTTCCGCTTTGAACTCGTTTCTTCACAGCCGTTGAAGAATAGAGCATAATGGCGGATTCCGTGACATCGCCGCCAAAGCCCGTCCACACGATCGTGCTGGACGCCGGCCTTATCATCAAGAATACCCCGCCGCTTTCCACTTTGCTCGCCCAATGCGACGAAATTATTACTACGCCCGCCGTGGTCAGCGAAATTCGCGATCCTGATGCCCGCGCACGTGTCGAAGCCCTATACCTCCCCTTCATGAAGCAGCGATCGCCAACTCCCCATAGTTTCAGCGTCATTAGCGAATTCGCCCGGAAGACCGGTGACCGATCAGTCCTGAGTCGCAACGATATTGAAGTGCTTGCGTTGGCGTACGAGATCGAGTGCGAGCGTAATGGGGGCGACTGGCGTCTGCGCAGTGTTCCTGGACAGAAGCGCGTGAATGGAAAGCCTCCTGTGAAGGTGGAGGAGCCTAAGGAGGAAGAGTCGAACGGTGTGGACGCCGATACTGAAGGTGCCAAGGAGGCTCCGGCCACAGAGAGCACTGAAGAGCCTAAGCAAGAGGAGGCTGCCGTGTCGCAAGATGCTGAAATCACCGCCGAGGGTGTCACCGATGCCCCCACCGATACCTCTGCCGAGAATGATACCCCCGAGGAAGCGCAGGAAGACCTGGATGTGGACGTGGACGCGGACGAAGATGATGCTGCTGATTCCGATGGCGGAGAATGGATTACTCCCACCAACTACAAGAAGCGGCTGGCCCGCGATGAGGCAGGCGGTGCTGCCGGCACTACCACCGAGCCCAAGATCATGCAGGTCGCAACCATGACTACTGATTTCGCGGTAAGCATGGAAATGCATGCGCCCAGACCCGTTCAATGCTAATCCGATCTTAGTGTCAAAATGTTTTGTTGCAGATGAACCTCAATTTGCTGTCGACAACGACTCTCCAGCGTATCCAGCATCTTAGAACATTCATCCTGCGCTGCCACGGCTGCTTTTTTTACCACCAAGGAGATGAGCAAGCAGTTCTGTCCTCGTTGTGGCAAGGATACTCTGACTCGTGTATCATGCACAACCACTGCCAATGGCCAGTTCAACATGCACTTGAAGAAGAACATGCAGTGGAACAACCGAGGCAATATCTACAGCGTGCCTAAACCCATCCACGGAAGTTCCAACGGCAAGTGGAAGGGCGGCGGTGGTAAGGGAGGTTGGGGTACCGAGCTCATTCTCGCCGAGGACCAGAAGGAGTATGTCCGTTCCACGGCTGAAGAGGAGCGGCGACAGCGCCGCGAGCGTGACCTCATGGACGAGGACTACCTCCCTGGCATCCTGACGGGCGAGCGCAACAAGCACGGTGGTCGTCCCAAGGTGGGCGGCGGCCGCAACATCAACTCGCGAAAGCGCTGAGCGTGGTATGAACGACCTTGCATTATGGAAATCACCACATGGTATGGAGTTTGGGCACCAAAAGTGATTACATCTTCACGAATATAGTCGGCCAATTCATGAGCAATGACTGAGAGCTTGTCTTGTGACAATGGACGACCCTTGCACATAGATCACATTAAATAAAAAAGTTTACGGAATTCACAAGAAGCTTTGAAGTATGAACGTTTTGAACGTGTTTGTCATTGGTAGCCATCACCAGAAATTATATTTCACTGGCAATCTCGACACAATTGGGTCTTTGCCAAATATCCATAGCAATGCGAACCCCAGTCATCCACGACTGTACAAAAAAAAACACCAAGCGCCGGAACACAGGCCTAAGCCTTCAATCCATTTTTTCCCAAAGTTCGAGGATTTTCTAAGAGGAGTCGGTCTGCTGGGTGAGCAGGAGGCCGTAGCGCTTCTTGAGGGTCACACGGTGACGGGAGTACTTGTCATCGGGGGAGAAGCGAGCGGGGTGGCTGTCAATAGGTCAGCGGCTGGAATCTTCCTAAGGCTATTTCGATAATCGGAGCACATACGCGGACTTGGAGACCTTGCCGTCAACCACCTTCTTCAAGGTGTAGATACGCTTGCCATCGGGACCGAGGGTGTACTTTTCATCATGTTAGCGCAAGTCCTGGGTAACTTCCTGACAAGTTCCTGGCAGCTGGTTTCGGCCACGAGAGAGAGTATGTTCGAGGGTCACGATCGAGGGAAACGTACCATGAGATGCATTCTGAGGCGGTAGAAGTTAGCAATGACTCCAAACAAGGATACGACAGGCCTGCCGTCAGAAATCAAGGGACTTACTTGGCGGTATTTTGTGATTGTCGATACTTGGAGTTCCGGTGCCGAAGAGGAGGAATTTTTTTGGTCGCCGACGGGGGCTCGGGCCACATGATGAGTCAGCACAGTGCTTAAAATGGATCGCCCGCAAAAACTCAACTTCGATTCTCTTCGAATGTGAGGTGAAGCTTGACGCTTTGTGTTAATGATGCACAGGTGTTTTCGTTAAGCTAATTAGGCCTTTTTCGGGCATTTGCTATGATAATCACGACTTCTCAAATAATCGACCCCCTTTCGACTCACCTTCGGGCCTCACAGATCCTTCCGAGTAAGTTTGCACCGGATGGCGCTATCTTTCCTCCTTCCCTTTCCCCTTCCCCTTCGATGATGACACAATATTAAGCTCAGGCAAGCGGCACCTTGATTTCTTCGCTGCTTGTCAATGATTGCTTAATTGACTACAACGGTATCTGAGAAACATCACAAGCACACATCTACATATCACCGGCTTGGTGCAAATGAAGACTTGGCTAACCCAAACTCTTCATAGGACCTCGAAAGTGATTTAGTAAAACACCAGATGGAGACCAATTCTGTGCAACCCAACGCTGGGCCACGAGGCAAACGTGGTCCCCGGCCCGGTAGACCCAATTACAGGCATATTCATCGCCATCCTCTTCCAGTCAATGTGCTTTCTGTGCCTCCTGTAATCCCTCATAACCCTCTCTCAATCATTAGTGTTGCTCTCTCGTACCTTACCTTCCTGATCTCCCCGCCCCGTCAAGAGGTCTACTCTGCATATTTCGACTCGGCTACTTCGTCCATCCATGTCACAGATGAGCGTGCTATCAAGGCTCTGTGGGAGATGGGCTTCTTCGGCAAGGGTACTCTGAGTCGAAGTGAACCTAGCTGGCTGGAGCGAGAGAAGAAGAGGCGAGGTCTACTGGGAGGTAGTACTAGTGAGGAGGCGACCAGGAAACGCAGAACCGAGCGTCGCGAATTGAAGCTAGAGCGCGCGAGGGTTGAGAAAGTCGCCATCGAGGAAAGGCTGAAGGCCGAGGCTGCCGCCAAGGAGTCTGGCGATGTTCTTCCTGCCGCCGAGGGCAGTACCATTGGCGAGAAATTCTCGGTCAAGAAGGCCATGGAAGCCAGGTATCGCCATTCACGGTCCCAAACACCTGTGAATGGGGATGTCTCTGCACCAGCAGATACGCCAGCGACGCCAAATGGAAAGTCAGTACGCTTTTCGCACGTCATTCAGGAGAAGGAAGTTGTCGCCAGTTCGGCTGCTTCACTCCAGCTTCCTGACTCTGTCCTTGACGAAGATGAGACTGAAGATGTTGTTCTTGAAAACGAGGAACATCTCCAGATCTCCAATGAAGAGGCATTCTTCCTCGCCTACAGCCTTGGCGTCCTACAAGTTTATGACCGCGAAAACAAAAAGGTCATTCCCATTTCATCTCTTTTCCCACTACTCTGCAACCATTCTCACTTCCCTCCTCGCAATGGCACCGCCGAATTGAAGCCCGACGATCCTTTCGTGACGTCTTATGTGGTATACCACCACTTCAGGTCCCTGGGATGGGTTGTACGTTCCGGTGTGAAATTTGGGACCGACTACCTACTTTACAACCGCGGACCAGTGTTCTCACACGCCGAGTTCGCCGTCATCATATTACCTTCATATAGCCATTCCTACTGGTCTGAGACCGAGGAGCGACGAGAGTACACCACCGCCCGACAAGCTCGCAGCTGGTGGTGGCTCCACTGCGTGAACCGCGTCCAGGCTCAAGTGAAAAAGAGTCTGGTCCTCTGCTACGTGGAAGTGCCGCCGCCTGCTGCTTCATCTGGGGATATTGGGGCTATAATCAGCCGATACAAGATTCGGGAGTTCCTCTTGCGACGATGGATTCCCAACCGCAGTCGCGATTAGAAGATGATAATGTACGAGATTGGGCTTCAGATACCCATAGAACTCATAATGTGTATGAACAGAAATGATATACCCATTCGATTGAACTTTGCAATTAAATTTTGCTCTGATCTATACCCTGTAATACGTAAAGATACGCTATCCCATAATGAGTAATATTGGCTCGGACCACGTGACCGACGCGTTTCGCGTTCCCTTTCGAATTGTCCCATGACGATTCGACCTGAGTCGCTGATTACTTGGTCGAGGTTCACGAATCTTTAAGGGACTTTCGGATGAATCAATAGACATTCAGAGCAGAAAAAACCCACATGGCTCTCTTATAAACGGATGGAGACGCAAGATAGTATCGATATCGCCACGCTGCAACGCGTCGCGTTGGGATTAGTATGTAATGACCTGCAGCGTTCCAACTTCTTATTGGACTAACGTCGGCCTCTTCAGGAGCACGAACCACCCCAGTCACTCTTTTCTGGGCAATCGAGAATCAATCATACTGCACAGCAACACACTCAGTCATACAAAGCTGCGGATCGCTCTCATGGTCACACGTCGGCTGGCACCGGTTCTTCTGCAACATCGATACCAGACTCTGGACGTTCTACACCGAAACGCCCTCGCTCCTCTCCATTTCCGCAATATGCACAAAGGCCGATGAATTCCATTCCTATCGCAAACGAGCCGATCGATGGTCATCTGGCTCGGACAACACAATCTGGAACGATGGACTCTGCAGAGACTGCCCCTGGTGACACCCAGGTCGTTTCGCAATCGGTGTTTGATAGTATCATACGACAAAATGGGGAGTCAATGTATCATGGCCACTCGCAGACCGGTGCGGACGGCGCGACTCTGATGACGCTACACGAGGGCGATAGCGGCCATCTCGACCTTCTTGCCGACTTTGACTCGGCTCATCTTCCAAAAATTGATTCCGCGGACAACGACGAAGAAAGCAATTATGATGGAAGCGAGTCCTCTCCGATGGTGCCATTGGAATTTCAGCCGGAGTTCTTCCCGAATCGCAACGTTTTTTGACCACAACCTCAGGGAGCGCGGTGAAAAGGGTCCAAACACCGGGGACATCAATGAAGACCCCCAGTTCGTCTCGGAACCCGCTGGCCGGGGACCTGGAGTCGAGTGGGGGTCTCATGGGATTGAGTCAGCTTTTCAAAGCGACCCAGGCGCCCTCATCTCCCCTGACGGATGTTCCACAGCCTGACATCGTGTCGGACCGCCCATCACCAAATCTTCCCATACAACCTCAACGCATCGTCAATAATGTGTCCTCTCCGCTGGTGCATTCCCGGGTGTTGTTTGCGAGGGAATCGTCGGAGCTGAATCTTAATTACATCTCATTGAAAGAGTCACAGTCACGGCGAGACAAGTCACTTGGAGAACGGCTCACGCGCTCAGCCGATAACATGGATGACGAGATCGACCAAGTGTTTTATAAAGAATCGAGCTTTGTGGAGAGAGCAAGAAGACAACGTGAGCTGGACAATGAAGCCGGTGCGCAATTCGCTGCTTTAAAGGCTTTTGCGCGACCCAAGTCTGACGCAACTACCTCGCCGATGAATCCAATCCTCGAAGCGCTCGACGACGATCCGATGCCTGACGTCGCTGGAAGCGAAGAAGAAACCGAGCAAGAGGAAGACAATGGCCCCCAAGTTCCCCAATCCCAGGAGGCACCCCAATCCTCGGAAGAGGACAAGGAAAACTACAACGGGCCACCAGCGCCTGTTGATGCAGCGAATATTGCACATGATCGTCTTTCGCAGGCGCTCACCATGGAAGGAAGCCTCTCTCGCGTGAACACAATGGTAGAGCCGGAGATAGTACATTCTCAACAGGGTGCCATTCTTGAGGACCATGATCAGTACAGTGGTCGTTCCTCGCAAGTGATGGTCAAGGATTCACAGCAATCACCGCAACCATCGGCTACTCCTAAGCACAATGATCAACATACTGTGGACCGACCAGCGCCATACGAGATACAAGTTGATCCGACCTCTGACGTTGACGGCCTAACTCCCACTCGGCGCAGTTTACATTCATCGCCTCCGGCCTCAAGACCAGGAAGTAGGCCATTATCTCGACATCACTCTCTCTCTCCTGTAAAGAGCACTCATCTCACTCATCCGCCTGTCATGCAGCCAAGTCAAAATGCGTCGTTCGCTGAGAATCGAGGGGTTAATTCCAGCAACCCCTCCCAGCAAGGAATTTCACGGCCTTTTCTCACTAGAGCCGTATCTGGAAATGGGGAGAAATCCTCTTCGTTGCCCTCGCGTGTAACAGAGACGCCAGTTCATCTAAGACCTCAGAACAATGACATCGGAAGATTGACAAGCATTCCTGAAACGAGTCCTCGTCGCACCGAACCTAATGAATGGGAAGGACAATCCAATGGCGGCGAAGGGTTCAACGAAGATGACGATCTCCCTCCTATGTACGCTACTGGTCCTCCTAATCGAGCCAGCCAGCTCCGTCCATCTCAAACACGCGCCCTGTCTTCTCCCATCAAAAATATTCAGTCACAAGCCCTCCCACAAGTGCTGTCTAGTCCAAGTGGACGACAGCGACGCAAGCTGACTGATATTGCCTCGGATCTATCTCCCCAGGTCCAAATGAAGTTTGGCGATTTTGGAAACTTTTTCACGGCCGATGACGAGGCGTATCATGAGCTTGTTTCTGAAGGGTCTCCAACCCGGCCAAAGAAGAAGCGACGTGGAAACGCCGGTCAAAATTTTCTTATATCGGACTCGACGCTCACCAATCTTCCTTCAACTCCTCGCGCACAGCCTCCCAAGACGGTTGCACGCATTCCCGAATGGCCCACACCCAGGGAGCCACAGTCTCGAACAGCGATTCATGTTCCTGCAACAATGAACCACAAAGCCCCACGGCCTTCTCGGTCCTCTGAAAACGTGTGGGACATTGGAGCTTCTCCTCAACAGGTGTTTCGCAGGAGATCGAAAGCCAAGACCATCCGACTTTCCTTTTCTCCAGAAAAAGATGAGCCACAGCCTCTCGTGGCGAAGGCAGCAATTGAGGCACCCGCGAGATCAGTCACGGCTCAACACAACCAACTTGTGCCTTCTTCCGAACTCACTGACGTCGAAATTGAGCCCGAGATGGCGCATTCAGATGCCACCACCCTCCAAAGTTCACCCACAAAACCACCTTCTGGCGTACCAGAGGAGAGTCAAATCGCACCTAGCCAGGTCCTTGCCGTGTGGATGGGCCAGAAGCGAGCCTATTACCCTGCGACATGTCTTGGGACACCGCTTGGCGTGTCTTCGAACAAGTACTCTGTCAAATTTGAAGACAGCCTCCCTGTCGAAGTCGTAAGGGCGCCGTGAAAAGATTTGAACTCCGTATTGGTGATGGTGTCAAAGTAGACATGCGCGGTGTGCCTAAAGTCACACATATCGTACGGGGCTTTGACGATAAGCTGACCAAGGAAGAGCTCGCCCAAGCTGCCGAGATGGGTTTCTATCCCCAAACCGATATCTACGGCCATACCACGGTGATCCTTGGGCCCAAGCAACCCAAAGGTCTTCCAGATGCAGGCCTGACCAGCAGCGAAAATATCATCAAGGTTCCCATTGCTCGCATCTATCTCGACATGATTCTTTGGAACCGACTCAAGGATCGAGCATTCAAATATCAACAGCCTCAATTACCACCTCGAGATATCAAATCACACACGCCCTCCGAGATGTCTTCTTTGCCAGCAACACCGAGCACACGAATTTCTCGCAGTATCTATGAATCCACTGGTATTTTCGCTGGGATGGCATTTGCAGTTTCCTACAAGGAGGATGAAGCATCCAAGAACCGTGTCACGAGGCTCATCATGGAGAATGGTGGAACAGTCTTGCACGAGGGATTCACGGAATTGTTCGAGCCTTCATCCATACGCCCCGTTGATACACCAACTAAACACGGAGGCGATGATGACACCACTGCTGCCGGTGTCGGTTTACGGTTGAGCGGATTAGCTGAAAATATTGGATTCGCTTGTCTGATTGCCGATACCCACTCTCGTCGCGAGAAATATATGCAAGCATTAGCACTCAATTTACCTTGCTTGTCAGGACGCTGGGTTGAGGATTGTGTCACCAAAGGGCGTGTCTTGGACTGGGATCTCTACCTTTTGCCAGCCGGAGAATCCCTGTTCCTCAACGGAGCCACGAAATCCCGAGTGATGGTACCTACAAGACCTTCCGAAACCCGCCTTGTCGACACCATATCGGCGCGACGGAAATTGCTCGATGGCAAGTCGGTGCTGATCGTCATGGGACGGGGCAAAGCAGAGGAGAAGCGGAAGGCTTACATTTTCCTGACTTTCGCTCTCGGCGCTTCCCGTGTGGAGCGTGTTCCCGACCTGGAGACGGCCAAGGCGCTTTTGGACTCTCAGTCCGAAGCTTCTTTACCTTCAAGCTGGGATATGGTCTATGTTGACGATGCGGATCAAGCGGCTGCCAAGGCTTTGTTGGTATCTCGGCCTCGGACACAAAGGATCCACCTTTTCCACGGCAAGAAGCGGAAGAAGTCCACCGTTTTCACCACGTCGGCTACTCCCGCGATATCATCTTCTACGACTGTCATTGGTAGTGAATTTGTGTGTCAGAGCTTGATCTTAGGGAAATTATTTGAAGAATAGAAGGTTCGGCGACTTGATACTTTCGCTTGTCAATGGCTATCATGATACCAATTTCGTTGAACATATCTGCACATAGGAAGCAGTTCTCGTACTACTCTTCACATTCATTCTCATATAGACCCTTTGACTAATCCTCCTTCTATCTCCCCCACTAACTATCACTTTGCCTATCTTACTCACAACGAACTTAGCATTTCGTGCTGACACCTTCTCTACCCAACATGACTCATGTGGCATCATGTCCGAATCGGGTCTAGAGTTGAGCTTGTGCGCCCTACTTAAACCACCGCACTGGGATCAAGTAACCCCTCAAAAAACCAGCCAAACCTCCCTCCAATCGTTTGCATAACAATTACCATTCCCAAACAATACCTTGACCAAACCTTCATCATGACCGAACTCGACCATGGAGAATTCCTTCACGAACTCCCTGAAATCCCCGAAGACGAATTCGTCGTCTTCGGCACCGTCCACGCCAAACCAGAGCACGCGGATGCCTTGGAGGCAGTCTATGCCGAGACCACAAGACTCGCTGAATTCGAACCGGGCACTGTTTACTACTGTCTCGCACGGGATAGCGACACACGTAATATCTTCCATTTCTATGAACGGTATACCGGGAAGAAGGCTTTCGATGCTCATAACGCTCAGCCGATTATTCAGAAATTGATGAAGGATCAGTGGTTTATTGGGGTCAAGGCTAAATTTATGAAACCTATTGGACCAACTTTGGTATAATGTTTGGGTTGTGACAGGGGCGTCATGATTCTCTGCAAATCGAGATTTGTAAAGTATTCGATGTTACTTGCGCTTAGATTAGAAGTTGATCTATCATTCCCTCTCTGACTTGGAAGTCCCGGATCCTGGAAAAGGTCATTGGTTGCAAAGTTTCAATTTACCGACTGTGATGGGAAGAGACAGAATTATTAGATTGTTTTTTCAAATCATTTGGGCACGCGTGTTAATTGTCTCACTTTGGACAAACCAAATTTGCAGAGCCCATATGATGGTGTTTGAGATATGAGTCCTCCTTGTGGGCTCTCTCGTACTATCCGGCGCAATAGAAGAAAACATAGTTTCTAGTACTCAAAATGCTCTACTTGAGTAACGAGAAACGTCTCTTGTCTCTGATCTCCTCTGTCAGCTTTTGTCCGTTTATTTGCTCGACCATGGGAGGAAACGAGAGGTGCAATGGGTATATGAGACATTCGATAGCGACCAAACGGGGCAAATCTCGAATCAATCGCAGTCAAGCAGTCGAGTGGTGAATGAATGGAGAATTGTGTTCAATGGGAAGTCCATATAGGTCATCTTTCTCCATGGACGTTCCCGCGCCCGGTCTATTAATATGGCTGTTTCACCTACATGGAAGTTTTCTAGTTGGAGTGCGGAGAACTTAAAGTGTACTATTTTGCTTGGCCTGTCACTTATGCGCCAACTAGAGTCTTTATAAACAAAGTCTGCCTGCAGCTGCTGAGCCAATATACACTAGAGTTTGAAAACAGATTACCCCTCACCTTTTCCCGGTCTCTACCCGAGGACGACCTTAAGCCGCATTGAGCCAGCCGGACATGGCACTGTTCTGACCCGACAGCCATAGCATGTGTGGAGAACAAGGAGCATTATGTAACTGCGCCCCCTATTTCCCCACCATTTGCGATTTCTTAGTATGCAAAGATCATATGATCCAGGTCTCAAACAGGGTGGTCCTCAATACGAAGAGTAATACTTCTCAGTCCGCGGTTTGCCAGAGACTAAGCATCACAGTCACCGTCTCAGCGAATCAAAAGAGCTTGAATAATTATGATGACGTTAGATGGCCATCAGTTTTCCTTCACGTGCGGACTCTATTCAGCATGTTGTGCTTTAGTCATGCTCGAGTAGAGTCATTACTCGCAAGGACACGAATCACCTCAGTCTGTATGTCGTTGGCGGAGGATCCCGACCGCACGATATTGATAATGTGGTGAACATCTTCATCACTAGATGTCCGGATAATCGTGAACAAGCCATCCATCAGTTCCTGATAAAAACTGCGTTCTTGTTCCACCTTACTGGAGTAGCTTTTGCGTCGTTTGTCCGAGCTCTCATCGACGATGCAAATGATATCCCGTTTTGTACATTCCATGCACGGGGTTCCAGAGCTGCACTATCCCATGAGATAGCGAAGAAAGTAATCAGCTAAGTGGTAGACAAGATAATGTAGATTCCTTACCTTGATCCGCCGACGCTGACATTCCTTGCAGGCGGTTGAGAGTCTTCGAGCTGAAGCATCTTGTTTCGGTACGTCCTTAATCGGTTCGTCAACTACCATATCTTGGGTTATCGGTATTTGAGGCCGAATGGGTCTCAGGTGAGATGCAGCCATTCTGCATTAAAATATTCAATAGTAAAGCGACGAGTGGAGAAAAGATAAGGGAGGATATCAAAAGTCACGGTGGCAACATTATTCCATGTCTCAATTAGACCTAGGTCACATATTAGCGGTGAAGACCGCAGGACTGTGGGGGAATGGCGGATTTTCCATTCCTCTGTTCGATTCTGATATCACTTCGGACGAAAGTCCACTGCACATTGCTTGATTCATCGATAGCGGCATGGAGGCGTTATCGTACCACAGGTCATTGACTGCGCAACAAATCCTAAGCGCATGCTGTGAACCTCAGTTCAAACATCATAAGTTGTCTCGTGATATGATTTTTCTCTCAACGACTCAGCGGGGATCGGTAGGTTTCCTAGTGCCAAATGGGTTAGAGCTTTGTTCCGGGTACGGGCCGAATCACAACGCTTGGTTGTATAGGAACGACCTAAAGTTGAATGTTACTGTGATTCTCCAACTATGTTCTGTTTCACGCACGAAACAAATTGATGGTCCTGCTTGGAATTTCTTCTTAGTTCTCTCTGGTCATTTTTGATATGAGTCTGAAGCTCATGCCCGGCTATCCGAGAGCCTTTGGACATCCATTAAAACCCTCAACTAGACATGCAGACTTTTGAGCTGGATGTTCGAATATGCACAAGAATCAGAATCCAGTCTAAGGACTAGTAAGGTCGCATACCAAGGTTCAAATGTCGAAATGTCTATCTTCCAAACGACGAGTTGGGCATCTATACTGCATGGCAGTCACATCGAGCTTATCACAGTCCGTTATAGGGATTGGATGTGAGATAATGAACACATGAACAATTCAAATGGACAACACCTAAGAATGAGCATGCAAGATATCTACTTGTGGCGTGTGGCTTCTGTGTAAGGTATGAGAGTGAAAGATCTTTTGCAGATTCTATTGTACATGTATAAACACCAAAAAAAAAAAATTCATATCGCTACAAAAATCCCGTATTCCTCGGATGAAACCATCATGCACCCTTATTTGGCCTTCTTGGCAGACTTCTTCTTGCCCTTCAGACTCTTCATCTGAGCAGCGCGCTCAGCACGGGCCTGTCGCTTCCTCCAGGCAAGCCATCGATTACCACGGTCATACGGCTTAGCAAAAATACCGGCATTCTCAGCAGCGCGTCCAATGATGCCAGTTAGCCTCACGGTACATGTAGCCGGGGCGCAGTTGAGGACCGTCCTCGGAGTTGATGGCCTCCACGGACGCGACCTGAGTGTTGTCCGCGTTGACACCAGCGATGGAAGCGGTGAGATCAGGCTGAGCTCCATGAGGCTCAACACGAGTAATGCCAACCATGTTCAGTTTGCGCCTGCTGGGCGCGTTGCGCGGATACGGGAGCTTCGCTTCCTTGTCGAAAACGATTCCGATGTACCGGCGTTCCGGGTGTCGCTCGGGATCGAGGTAGTACCGGACATAGCCGGCCTGCGTGGCGTAGATTGTGTGGTCGCGGCCCATGGCGCAGTTCTCGCCGGGGAACCATTTCGATCCTCGCTGCTTAAAAATGATGCAACCGGGCACAACGTACTCACCGCCAGTGCGCTTGGCACCAAGACGCTTTCCAGCAGGATCACGCGAGTGTCGGTTGGCAGTTCCTTGCGAGGCGTGCGAGGCGAATCGAACCTGTGAGAAGGGGAGGAGTGGGCGAGAGATTGAGGGCATGACTTTCGGGATTGCCATGTTTGCGGAGAGAGTGCGTTGGAAGAGGGATTGCGGCTGGTAGACCGGCTGGGCCGACCGGAAGGAGGGAGCGAATGCCCGCTCCAGCGCCCGAAGAGGCGCCAGCAATCTGGGCTGCAACATTGTTGATCGTTATTTTGTGATGCTAAAGTTGAAGCTCAAGGGGAACTTTTCTCGGAGGTGAGGCTTGGCGTCACGTGCACGGGTAGGCTGGCTTCATCTATAGGCCACTACGCCAACTTCCCCATATCATTCCGATTAAATTTCCACGTCGACGTCCAGATAACTTGCGGGCGGAAAACACACATCATGTTGCGCAACTTTGTTTCCGCACTATGGGCTCTTGTCTTGATGGTGTCCGTTGCACAGGCTCAGTTCAACTTCTTCGATCACATGTTCAACGGCAACCAACAACAGCAACAGCACCAGCAAGGCTCTCAGAACGTACCCAGTGACAGTGGTCGGTACCAGAATCAATGGCGTCAAGGTAGGTCAATGGATGGTCTTTTGCGTATCTATCTCCCCGCGTGGCGCGATTGTTTACTGATCATGATCGTCTTCCTACAGCGCAATGCAGCAACTACCTCTGCCCTGGAACCCTCGCATGTGTCAGCTTCCCGCACCACTGCCCATGCCCCCCCCCGATGTTGAAGAAAAAGTCGAGCTGGGAGAGGGGAGTGCAATTTGTGTGTCCAAGGGTGGTTTCAAAGCTGGCGAGGCGGCCCGAAAGATCGAACTGGCCCGCAAGGGTCTCTTGTGATCAATTACATTTATTATGTGTGAATTTTGGCATATAGTCTGCATCGCACTGGTCTGGGAATAATGAGGAGCCAATTTATGTTGCTTGCTGCGAAAATACCCCCTGACTGGCGACTCTCTAGCGCATGTTCTGAACAAAGGTACTCATTTGCACATTTCGAAAGCTACGAGAGCCGAGGAACATGAGAACACTGTAAAAACCTCAGATGGAATTCAGGGTCTACGATAATACACAAAGAAAGACCGCCGAAGCTGCCCAGTTATGGATTCATGATACGCCCAATGTGCGACATGATGGGCTGAAAGGAATGCTCCTATAGCGCCGATCAAAATTAAATTTTCTTTATCGTATGCGAATCGCCTATAGTTGTCAAAGCTAGTAGGTAGTAGAAAGTCTTCATAGAGACAGAAGTAGAAAGCATGGCATTATCTCATCTGCGGGTGCCACTATCTCCGTTTTAACCCCGCGGTAAACGTTTCGTCATCCCAGAGCCGTATTCTCTCTTTTTCCAGGACTCGGCTCTTCAACCCTCCACCTACCATCCGGCCAACGTTTCTATCAGACAACAGTGCATATAATCCACACTGTTGCACCATAATGTGGGCCACAAGGCTTCGACAGCCGTTGCTGTTGTCGCCGCGCGCGGTTCCGTTTCGTCGACCACTGTCGAGCCTCCGAAGCAGCAACAACCATCGCGGCCCGCGTAACAGCATCAGGCGGCCAGACCGCATCCAGCCATCGCAAAAAGCATCGCAAACACCACAGCGACCTGATTCAGGGAATGCTGAACCCCAGGATAGCCCCAACGAGAATTACGACCCTGCGCAAAACACTCTCTCTCTCCCGTCCATATTCCAGAAGACCCAAACGCGGTCCTCAAGGAGACCCATCCTGCTATCAGTATTCTGGCAAATTCTGGATTAGTGGTTCAGCGTCAGCTCGAAATGATGAATGTGATGATGTAAGTTTTAGGGTGAACGTCATGGACCGCGATGGGACCGTTGCTAATTCAGGGCAGTGGCTTCGAACAAGCAAACAAATATGTCATCATGGATGCGATGGGTAATCACATTGGTTACATGGCAGAGCAAGAGAAGGGCATGGGCAATGCGATGGCGCGCCAGTGGTTTAAAACCCATCGCAGCTTCGTGACGCATGTGTTCGACCGAAACGAGAACGAGGTGCTTCGGGTATGTTTAGGCCCCGAGAAAAAACATATCAAGTGTGTCATGTGCTAATCTGTGCTTCTTCTAGTTCAATCGCCCATTTTCTTGGATCAACACCCGAATCCAAGTTTATGACCCCATCGATCCTGCTACTACCAATTACTCTTCTTCTACTTCTCAACACACCACCGTTCCCGGCTCTCTTGTTCAGACCGATACTGCCACCCGCGTGTCTCAACTTGGCTTTGACCAGATGCGAATCATTGGCGAGGCTCAGTCGCACTGGGCACCATTGCGTCGCAAGTACAATCTTTTCACATATCATCAGTCCCCAAACCCAGCAACAGATATGGGCACGCAGAAGTTTGCCCTCGATACCTCCGATCTTTCGAAGGTGCAACAGACGCAACTAGCACAAATTTCCAATCACCGCGAGGGCAATTTCAACCAGTTTGCTTATGTTGACGAGCCAATGCTATCCTGGGACTTCTCTCTACTCTCTGCTGAAAATCGACTGATTGGATCAGTGAACCGCAACTTTGCCGGATTCGCTCGAGAAATCTTCACCGACACTGGTGTGTATGCGCTGCGAATGGACTCGGCAGGACTTGGCCTCGTTCAGGCACCGAATGAAGCTAACACGCCGACTGGAATGACTCTTGATCAGCGTGCAGTAATGCTAGCTACGGCAGTAAGTATCGACTTTGACTATTTCAGCCGCCACAGCAGCTCGGGTGGTGGATTCGGGTTCATGCCGCTCTGGTTCCCCGGTATGGGTGGAGGGGCTGCTGCTGGAGAGGCAGCAGGTGGTGCCGCCGCCGGTGGTGCTGCAGCTGGCGAAGCCGGTGCAATAGGTGAGGCAGCTACTGGTGCGATTGGAAGGGCCGGTGCTGCCGGTGGTATAGCAGATGGCATGGCTGCTGGAGCTACAGGCGCTGGAGCTATGGCTGGATACGAGGCAATGCAGAGAGGCATGTCGAGCGACCAAAGCAACCAGTCCGCATACCCGGACCAGCCATCCTCAGAGCAGACAGGGCCCACCGCAGACGCTTGGCCTCAGGAACAGCCCGATGACGTCTGGGGTGAGGGAGACGACCCCTGGAGCGATGGTGGCGATGGTGAAGGTGGAGATGACTTCGACTTCTTCTGAAAGTGGGCAGAGAGTGGTCAAAATTTGTATAATAGAAATAGAATGCCTTATTGTCAATGTATTGCTGCAAGGCGGGATCGCCCCACGGGCCGATCCAGTCGGCACAAAAGTGACGCACCCGGCGGACTTCCCCCATCTTCCCGTTACTCAACTTTCTTCAACCTTCATTCCTCTGCCCTCGCTACCCATCTGAATAAAAGCAACTTTACCTGTGAATCTCCGAGACTTACCAAATCCTCGATCTTCATTCTGAGCCATGGCCTCCTCTGTCGCGCAGAAGCGCCTGTTCCATGAATACAAAAACCTCTCTACCAACCCGCCCGAGGGAATCACCGCAGGCCCAGTCTCGGAAGATGACATGTTCTACTGGGAAGCTCTGATCGAGGGCCCCGGGGACACTCCGTTTGAAGGAGGTGTCTTCGCCGCCGAGCTTAAATTTCCCAAGGACTACCCGCTGAGCCCGCCGACTATGAAGTTCGTTGGAGGTGGGGTATGGCACCCGAATGGTGAGCTTTTTTTTCCACGTCTCTCATGTTCACATGTCCCAAACTGATTCACTTTGGCTTTCACAGTCTACCCCAACGGCACCGTCTGCATTTCTATCCTGCACCCTCCCGGCGACGACCCCAACCACTACGAGCACGCCTCCGAGCGCTGGTCACCCATCCAGAGCGTCGAGAAGATCCTCATCTCCGTGATGAGCATGCTCGCTGAGCCCAACGATGAAAGTCCGGCCAATGTCGAGGCTGCCAAGATGTGGCGCGAGCGCAGACCCGAGTACGAGCAGAAGGTGCGCGATGAAGTGCGGAAAGGGCTGGGACTGTGAGGACAACGCGACTTAGTTGCTTTCTCTCAACTCAAGTGTCCTCGCTTTGATGATTGGCGTCAAGGAATGCGTTATTTATATCTTTTTTGCATGGCTGGATTGGCGATGGCTTCTTCTTTGAACGGTTCATTTGTATCTAGCATTTCTCAAAAGAATTGAGATTCAAATCCTTGTTACAGTACTTCTTCTATTCTCATGGGTAGTCTATTGTTACTTTCGTATTATATTTTAAACTGTGGTATGACCGATATAGCTTTATCTTTTGAGCATCACCTGCATACGCATACCGATATCATTGCGTTCCCATAGCTCGCCTTCGTGATATCAATGCTGCGCATCATTCCTGGCGAAACATTCTCCGATCGATCCACGCCTCCAGTCCACCTTCCCGTGTGTACATTACTTCAATCTCCGCCTTGACGTCTAGCATAAGCATCCGTTGAAGCTCAATGCGCCACTCAGCCTCGGGCCCATCATTAGCCAAAACCGGGTTGTTGCGAAGCATAGCGACGATTTTCCTGCGATCACGGGCCGTCAAAGTGAGGATTTCCTCACTGCCCGTGGCGTGTGATGCAGTAATAGCGTCTGAAATCTTCAGGCCAAGCCACTTCAAATTCGGGTTGCTGAGACTTGCGTTGTCGTGCACGTGTGCCAAGGAGCCATATTTGTATGTTGACATGATTCCTATCCCATGTGGATCCCCGTCCACCAAGGCGTAAAATCGGGGCGGACGTCGGTCATTGCACGTTGCATCGAAAAGGTGTCGGATGAACTTACGTGTTCTGATGTCGGGGTATCCTTTGCCCTGGACAGTTCGTCAAATCAGTTCATTTTGGATATCGCATTGGCGGAAAGCTCGAGCTCACGGTTATGAGAAGTCCCTGCCCAGCAATTGCCTTGTTGTGATAATCATTCCGCACCAGTCGTTGGAAAATCGCCTGAATCAGCATCTTCAGCCTTGATACTGTTTGCAAAATCCGCCCTTCGATCAATATTATTCTTACCTCCTTTTCAATGACAAGTACCCAACGGGTAGCCGAGATATCAATCTCATCATTTTCTTGAATCTGAGGCACCAATGTATCCTGTTTCCATCAGCTTGTGGCTCAAGGGCAACAAGATGCTCTGAAAAGTCACCTGCGTAGTAGACCGAGCATCGAGAACAAGGTGTGAATCACGCTTTAAAGAAAATGCCCCCGCTATTAAGCCTTTCCCCGCGGCTTCCTGTCAACAGGTCGCGAATAAGTGGCTGTGCTGGCCCTCGTTCTCGCAACATGACGGCGACTCACAACGTTCAATGCTCCGCGGTCAACTCCAATTGTGTAAGCGAGCTCATCTATCACTGTATCGACCGTCTCCTGGCAGCGGAAGTATGCGGGATCCATATAGTAAATATCCCTGGGGGTGATCAGCCCGGGGCTCGGCAGCCAAGTCGCTTCAATCACTCACCTCTTTGATACCCATTGTCCGCTCCGCACTGCCTGATCAATGATCGCAAGCATCCGAATGATGACAGCTACTCAGATGAGGGTTATTTAGCGAGTTCCTCGAAGTTTAAAAAACCGCAACTCCAAGGCATCAATTGTGCAGAAGCGTACTGAATTTCCACGACTCGTACGCCGTCGCCCCAGGCCATGAATAGGTGCGATAAATCACCACATTCGGTAACGTCTCGAGTGCCCCAGTGCTTGGATTGATGGTGCAACTTGCTGGGGTGGCTTTGCATCGAATCCTAATGGAGGGCTGCGCTTCGGTTGGGGGAAGAGAGAGCTGATCAACAAGGCCTGTGAGAGTGTTGTCAATATAGGTGCGAACACGCGCTTGTCCATCTTGCCCTGCAGCTGCTGTCCACAATGGATCGGTGTTCAAAGCCATTTCATTGCGACTCCGTGGAGGGGGACGGAGGTGGTGTTCTGCGATTTAGTAGATACTGGAGACAATGTGACCAGCGCACACAATTAATATTCAACTACTAGGAAACAATAGCACCGCGATGCTTCTTAGTGTCCCGATTCCAAGCTTTATTGAGTCAACATATAATCTAAAATATCCATCCAGAGTTCTAATCATCATGTATGTCTTCAAATGGATACGGGCCTAGGTACCTGAAGATACCCCGGATTGCGCATTATATCCGCCACCCCCCAACCACTCTCCGCCTCATTATACATTCGAAATAGCCAATGTAATTCTTCTGCGGGGAGGTCCTTCCGACACCATTTCTAGTGTTTATTTAATCGAAATCACATGGAATACACGTTCTTGGTTGTACACCGCAGTCCTGAGAATGCTGACTAAGGTTCCCCGGGCTCCTGATCGTTATCGATAACTGGGAGCTCCAACTTTCTTCATTTGTCCCTGACAAAACAACATGGCTTCACACATTGGTCCATGGCGTACTGACGCTCAGGGCCGTTTATCGCCCGATGAAAACGGCGACTCCAAAACAGATTACACTCGCTGGCGATTGGTCAATGAGGAAGGTCGCCAGACCTGGCGGTACCTTGAGAACGACGCCGAACATCACGCCTGGCCGCAATCGATTGCCGATAAATACCATCTGGGATTGCCGACGGTATGCGCATTGAATCATTCTCAAACTTTAGTCTCCTAATCTCGCGATATAGGGTCTGCCAGAGCTCCAACATGTCAAAACCCCCATGCAAGCTGCCGAGAATGGCTTGTCTTTCTTCTCACATCTGCAGCTCGAGCCTGGTAACTGGGGTTGCGAATATGGTGGTCCCATGTTCTTGCTGCCGGGTCTGTTGATCACTTGGTATGTGACCAACACACCAATTCCTCCAGAGTATGCCACGGAGATCAAGCGCTATATATTTGCTCGTCAACATCCTGAGGATGGCGGCTGGGGTCTGCACATTGAAGCCCACAGCTCTGTCTTTGGTACTGCCATGAACTACGTGGCTTTACGTCTGGTCGGCGTCAGCGAAGATGATCCTCGCATGATCAAAGCCCGTGGCCTTTTGCACAAGTTCGGAGGTGCTATCTATGGGCCTCACTGGGCTAAGGCCTGGCTCAGCATTCTGGGCGTGATGGAGTGGGATTGCGTCAATCCCGTGCCACCCGAGATCTGGTAAGTCCCTCCAAAATGCATCAGGCAACCTCAGTTCTGATTAAAAGCTCTCCTCAGGCTACTTCCTGACTGGGTTCCTTTCGCTCCTTGGCGCTGGTGGATCCACATCCGCCAGGTATTCTTGCCTTTATCCTACATTTGGTCCAAGAAGTGGTCCTGCCCGCTCAATGACCTCACCAAGCAAATTCGTGAGGAACTGTACACTCAGCCTTACGACTCCATTGACTTTTCTCAACACCGCAACTCTATTCACTCTGCCGATAACTACTACCCGAAGACATGGATTTTAAACGCTATCAACGAGGCGATGGTTCGGGTCTGGAACCCTTTTCTTCGCATTGGTCCTATCGTCAAGCGCGCTGAAGATTGGACCTGGGAACTAATACGTATGGAGGATGAGAACACTGACTACGCGGGGCTGGGGCCAGTCAGCAATCCCCTGAACATGGTTGCCTGCTACATTCACGATGGTCCTGATAGCTACTCCGTTCGCCGTCACCGTGAGCGATTGAATGATTACCTGTGGATGAAGAGCGAGGGTATGCTGGCTAACGGAACCAATGGTGTCCAGGTCTGGGATACAACTTTTGTCACGCAAGCAGTCGTGGTTGCGGGCATGGCTGACGATCCCAAATGGCGCCCCATGTTGACCAAGGCTCTCGAATTTATTGATGATCACCAGCTCCGCGAGAATGTTCCGAATCAGGAGACGTGCTACCGTCAGCACCGCAAAGGCGCTTGGCCTTTCAGCACTAAGACTCAGGGCTACACTGTTAGTGATTGCACCGCGGAAGGTCTTCGCTCCACTATCCAGCTTCAGGAAATGCATAACTTCCCTAAGCTGATCTCTTTGGATCGCCTAAAGGACAGCGTGGATTGTCTGCTCTTGATGCAGAACCCAACTGGTGGCTTCACCGATTACGAAACTACTCGTGGGTCGAAGAAGATTGAGTGGCTGAACGCCGCCGAAGTATTTGGTGGAATTATGATCGGATACGACTATCCCGAGTGCACCACGGCCTCCGTGACTGCTCTGTCGCTCTTCGGCAAATTCTACCCAGATTACCGCGCCGACGATATCCGTGCCGCGAAGAAGAAGGCCGTTGCCTACATCAAGCGTGCCCAGCGTGAGGACGGCAGCTGGTACGGTTCTTGGGGGATCTGCTTCACTTATGCTGCCATGTTCGCCCTGGAAAGTCTGGCCAGTGTCGGCGAGACCTACGAAACCAGTGAGAACTCTCGCCGAGGATGCGATTTCCTGATCGAGAAGCAGCAGGCCGATGGTGGGTGGGGTGAGTCATACCTCAGCAGTGAGAAGCATGTCTACGTTCAGCATGAGAAGTCTCAGGTTGTCCAGACTGCTTGGGCCTGTTTGGCTCTTATGGAGGCGCAGTACCCCCACAAAGAGCCTCTGGAGAGAGCCATCAAACTCCTCATGGCTCGTCAACAGCGGAATGGCGAGTGGTTGCAGGAATCCATTGAAGGTGTCTTTAACCAGTCCTGTATGATCTCTTACCCCAACTACAAGTTCTACTGGCCCATCCGGGCTCTTGGCTTGTACAGCAAAATGTTCGGCAACGAGGCACTTCAGTGAGCTTTACATCCAGCGAGCCACATGTATATCCACCTAATAGTCAATAATATTTGAGCGTTCCCCAATCTTTTTTAATCCTAACCTGATCATAGTATCTTGTGTAAAATGAACGAATATGGCATGCTATCCCACTTCGGACCCACTTCAAGACCTGGAGGGAGCTGGAGCTTTCCATAGAGCTCGGACCACCCGTCGCGGAGCCGCAACCCCAAATCATGCTCCCTCTTTCGCCTCCTCCATCGCACTACCCCTCCTCTAAACGCCATGGACTACGCAGCAAAAGGTGACGAGGCTCTCGCCCAATCTAATGCCCCTCTCGCTTTCGAACACTTTACACGCGCCCTAATTCAGCATCCCCGCTCCCCGCAATACTACATCCAACGCGCCACCGCCTGCGGACGGCTGAAGCCAGAGCATGGCGGACCGAATTCCAGTCTCGCCCTGCATGACTCGGAGATTGCCCTCGTCCTCGCCGTCGAACGCGGCAAGCGCGAGCTTATCTTAGCGGCGCAGTTCCGTCGCGCGGTCTCGCTTTTCCAGCTTGAGCGCTACGGGGACGCATCATACCTTTTCAAGCTGCTGGAAGAGAAGACGGCCGTGACAAAGGATGTTCAGGATGAAAGCAAAGAGTCCAAGCTTCAGACTGCTATGAAGGGTGGGAAGGGTAAGATGTACGAGACCCAGTTGCCCATCTGGATGATGAAGGTCGATCGTAAGATGAAGGACCTTCCAGAGGGCGATGTCAAAGCCAAAGTCTCTGTTGTTGAATACCCAAAGAATGTCGAAATTCCTAGTGAGGAACAATTGAAGGCCGAGTTGGCTGGAAAGCTTGGAAATTCAGTGTCTACCCTCAAGCAGTCGGTAGAAACTACTGCCGCTTCAAGCGAGACGAACGAGACTCCGAAGCCCGCGACGAGCTCTGCTGCTCCCTCTGCACCTGCTGTTCCGGAGAAGGTCCGCCATGAGTGGTACCAGTCCCAAGACTCTGTTGTCGTCACACTCTATGTGAAGAACGTCCCTAAGGATAAAGTGGAGACTGACTTGAAAGACGACTCGGTAAGCACGACTCCAACTTACCTTTGACCAGCTATGGACCGAGCGATTAACAGCCCCATCTAGTTGTCCCTCCAGTTCCCTCTGCCCTCAGGCTCCTCCTATGACTTCACTCTCGACCCCCTCTACGCCCCCATCGACGCCTCCACGTCGAAAGTGTCCGTCATGGGCACCAAAATCGAAATAAGTCTCCAAAAGAAAACACACGGTCAAAAATGGGGCTCACTTGAAGGCTCCGGCGAAAGCGAGAAGCTCACTCAGCGTTCTACTGCCTCGCCGGTATCCGCCGGCCCCTCCTATCCGACTTCATCTCGCCACGGCACTAAGGACTGGGACAAGGTCGCATCCAACCTCACCAGCAAGAAACCCAAGAAAAAGGACGGGAAAGATGATGGTAATGAGTCCGACGATTCGGATGTTGGCGGCGATGCCGTTGACGGATTTTTCAAGAAGCTGTACAAGGGTGCTGACGATGATACCCGCCGCGCTATGATGAAAAGCTATATCGAGAGTAACGGAACTTCGCTGAGTACCAACTGGTCTGAAGTTGGAAGCAAGACGATGGAGCCTCACCCTCCCTCCTAGGTGGTTGTGACTGATTCGACTTTGCGTTGGTAATTTGCTTGGACCCGTTCTTGTCTACTCTACTTCGCTGCATTCTAGCAACAGGTGTTTGATTGCATATATTTGCTACTTTGAAATAGCTATGATCTATGGAAATGAATTATGCTTAACGCCACAATATCTTTTGGAGCAGTGGGCTTCTGTCCCCGGGAGGAAAGTTAATAGAGGACCTTGCAGATAGTGACGTCCTCTCAACCCCCTCGGATGCCTGGAATGTTTAGCACACGCTCAAGGGTTGCAAGGGGGCAGCCGGCGAGAACAATCAAAACTTCATTTGGAAGATTCGCAAGGGTTAATTAATGAGGCTGATAAGCCAGCAAACAGGCGATAGACGTAGGGGAATTAGTGGGGGGAAAGAAAGCCTTTCTATGTCCACAAACTCTTTGTTCAGAGCTTCCCCTCGTAGTCCGACATCACTGAATCCAGGAATATCGCTCTAATGCTCAAAGTGCATGGTTCTAAGCCGGGTGACCTGCCCATTACAACGATAGTCTGGAAAATTGAGGGGAAAACGATTTAGTAAAGTTCCCAAGCTCACAAGAGATTCATCGGGATGGTTTGTAATTCTTTTACGTATCTCGAATCCTGTGGACCCAGATCCGATAGTTTCATATCACGAACGATACTAATAAGGGTACTTTACTGGTGGAATAATTGGAAGGTTCCGTGGCTTTCAGCCTCTTGCAGCCTCAAATTTGAATAAGCTTGCCCATCACATTCTTAGCATCCTTATACTAACAAGCAAGTAAAATGTCGGTGACAAGGTGCACAATATACGGGACTTGCGTGTAAAGTACGCCTTGATACGTATAGTAATCGTTCTGGAATGCAGAGCGGATCTAAAAACCACCTTCTTTGTTCACGCCTCTTAATCTTTTATTAGCGAGGTTGTGAAAAAATGGGTCGAGAACTAACTTGTAGGCGTTCGCGGGGTAAACTGTTGTCGAAATCTACTACATATCGAAGACCCGGCATCTGTCAATAAGACTCACCCACCTGAAGACACATGACATGTCCGAATGATTCAGAACGAGGGGCAAGAGGGGATTGTCTAGAGAAAAAAAGGTCGAGATTTGCGAAGAGCGGGGGGACTAAAATAAGCTCGTCGATGACCAACCCTAATTGTGACTAACTATTTACCTAATGTTTCCGACGTCGTTGGAGTCACTTGGAGTACTTTGACCCGGCCTTCTCTCACGCGGCTCTGTTTCTATTATTCACACATTCTGACCGAAGATTCTATAAGCCTATATTTTTACCTAAGCCCTTCCGATCGGACCTCGGGCTCGACGATGTTATAATCCTGGAGAAGTCTGCCCGCTTGGGCGGACAGTTGAGTCTACCCATCTTCACCAGAGTAGATCTTTTGAGAATCCAGAATCAAGTCAAAACATAGCAATTGCAATAATGGTCCGCAACATCCACATCGCGGTTCTCGATGTCGACATTCCAGCGCGCAGACTGTACGAGGCGCGTGGCCTCTGCAGTGCGCACTTCCGCGATATTCTTCGCGAAACGGCGTCGCACTTGAACGAGTCAACCACTATGGATGATCCGATTCAAATTACCGTCACGGCGTATGATATTCGAGGCGGTCACTATCCCGATTTCCGCTTGCTTCGTGGCAGTCCGACCCAGGGGAGTCTGCCCGTTTCCAACCCAATTGATGCAATCTTGATCACCGGAGGCTCTCCGGGCGTTTATGAAATGCCTCACTCTCCTTGGATGCAGATCCTCGAGAAATTCATTCAGACTGTTTACCGCGACCACACCGACGTGCGCATCATGGGCACTTGCTTTGGCCACCAACTTATTGCTCACGCGCTGGTTCGCGTGCCTGAGGATCCGGTCCGCGATGTCTATGTTGAGAAATGTCCGCTTGGTCGTGAGGTTGGCATCTACACCGTTCAGCTGGAGGATCAATTTCTGCAGCACTTCCCTTCGGCTCTTGGTCATCTTCCCCAAGGCCTGCTTCGCATTCAGATGTTCCATGGTGATCGGGTCATGGCTGTGGAGAAGGGAGCCGCCGTGACATTGACCGAATCCCCTCCTGTTTCTCTCCCGGCGCCCTGGATTAATATTGGAAGTACCCCTATCTGCCCTATTCAGGGATTGTACAACCCCGGAAGAGTGTTGACTGTCCAGGGACATTATGAGATGGATGCATTCGGCATGCAGAAGATGTGTGTGGAGAATGCGCCGGTGATGGGCTGGAAGGATTCCAAGTTGGCTCTGTTCCTCGAGCAGGTCGGCCCTGATATGAAGGAGAGACAGGATGATGCCAGGTCGTTCGCTACCGCTGTTCTTGCCTTCCTGGCTGATCTTGAGGTCTGAGTTTCTAGGGGTATATTAGAAGGCATTGAATGATGCCACTTACCCCCCCAAAATGCTCATCGCCTCACGGAGAGACTCACTCGGTGATCAACTCGCTTCGGCACGCAAATGTCAATACTTGGAAGAGAACACGCACACCTCGGCAGGACACCTCACATAGCCTCAGCCACGGCCTATTTACATGTCGAGGTAGGTAATGTTTCGAACTTTGTACCACTGATCTGCCTGATTGTAGGCGGGGTGTATACGTTCCAAGTCCACCATGATATCCCAACAAGCGTGGTACACCCGACCATACCTCCCGACAGACTCCATGGGCTTATGATGTATTTTAAAAATGATAATCACGCGAATCAAAGATTTTATGCCAACCATCACAGCTATTTAGGTGTATCAACATTCATATCGACATTTATACAAGAGCATAATAAGTGCTTTACTCATCAGTCTCAAGCTCATCATCAACCTTCTTCCCATCACGGTACAAGAAAAATTGAACAAAGATTGCCATGTCCAAAAGCAATGTACCAAAGCTGCCGATCAACCAAGACAGGTTGACAAGCACATACCGTCCGTAAAGCTCTGAGACCTCGCCGGGACGACACTTCATATGGCGGGAGTACTTAGTCTTCCCCTGGCAAACGGGCGAGTATGCCAGAATGGATAGCACGTAGGTCAAGTTTCCAATGCAGGCGAAAAGAAAGAATAACAGAGAAACCCCTTCAGTGGACTTGCGGCGGTAATTAAGCAGCAACTGGGGGAGACGGGAGCCAAGGTACAGCACTGCGCAAAGATATCCGAAAACCTGGCCCAATGTATCCATGGTGAGGGGTTCCGCCTCTGGACTTGGCTCCTTAGGTCCAGGACTGACGTACCAGCCCAAGATACCCGCAGCGCAAACGAGGGCGATGGCAGTGATGTTGAAGAGGATGGCTTGAAGGGTGGAGATACGACGGCGGTGTCGCCGAGCGCGAGCTGTATCTGAGCTCGGTTCGATCAATGGTGTCGCAGGAGACAGATGTGTGCCATCTACGTGCTGAGGATTCAGGATGTCTCGGAAGGATGTCGCAGAGTGTCGTCGTCCTTGCGCAGCGGCTGATGTCGGTTGCGTGCTGCCGTGGGAGTGTTGGCCATTATGTCCGTTAGTCGGATCTTGGACTTGGATATGACCACTCGACTTGGGCAATAGGGAGGATCTCTCCGTTGGCGCGGGGGCATTTGCGTCACTGCTCTCCAGAGCGCCCGTGGCGGATGCTTCGGGTTCAGGTGACGGGGAAGAGGAGAATTCCTCCCTGATATTGAATCCCCGGTAGTAGAAGCACTGCCCTAGTAGTACTATATCTGCCAGAGTGTAATACACGGCCAAGATAATCATTGTTGGGAGCACGCCCTGGAGCACAGCACCAAGGATATTGAAGACATCACCCGCTAACCAGACGATCAGGAAAAGAAGCGAGAGGCCATCTGCAGAGCCACGTCGAAAATTCTCAATAATCTGCGGTGAGAAAACAACAACCCAGCAAGCAATTGAGATAGATCTGCAGATACATTAGCAACTCTGTTGGGACGTGCTGGTTCATGTGGGGACGAAAGTGTGTGAAGATCTGCATCACATCCCGCACATGCGTGAGGAACATAATTTCCCGAATCACAAATGTGTAGGTGAAATTTTCAGTAAAAGACATCAGAAAACACTCACCCACAGATGCCACTCAAGGCCTCAATATTGAAATTGGCCGCCTGGGAGGGGAACATGGTGAATGAGGACTGAGGTGACGCAGAACTGGTTCACAGCCACTCATACGGCTGCAGTTGAGCACCAGAGTACGCTTGAGATGACAGTGTCAACGGGCTACCTGGTTTCCCTGAAGTATAGTCGCTGAACACGTCAAAATATGCCAATTGAAGCGAACCGAAAAAGTTGGCGAAATCCGCGGGACTAGACCGGATGACGTCGAGTGTGGTCACGTGTTGCTTTATTCAGTGCCATTTTGCCTATACGGAGTGCATTTTGGAGGTTTCTCTTTGAGATTTCAGAAAAATGGTATGAAGGGTTCCAATTGATTCCATCTAAATATTGCTAGTTGCTAGATAGTTAAACGGACACTTTCATGATTTGCTCCAGCTTATCCTGGAAATCGCAAAAGATATTGATCGCCTAGCCTAGGATTAGTAGAGTATACTTGTCCAACATAAGCAATCTACCTACCTCGGTCAGTTTGATTTGACTGGCGCCGCCACGGTCGCGAGCGAAGGCAATCTTATATTGGCCAGCATCATGCAGGTATGAAGCACCTGGTGGCGGGACTGGCTCTGTGGGAGCAGCGTCAAACAACGAGTCCACTTTAGCATTCAAAGGCAGCGCAAGCTGTTCCAAGAGATGGGGTGCAATTGTGAGGTGATCAGCACCAGCAAGCCGGAATATTTCCTCTGTTGAGGTCAAACTCGCCGGCAAGACCTTGGTCGGAGCTTTGATCGATTTATAGTAATCTTGAATAGCGGCACAAAGAGGAAGAAGCTTGTGCTCATCGACATAGCTGTGTATTATTATTGTCAGTCCAAGAGACTCCTCCTTCATACCCTTTTCCTTTAAAATCGACAACAAATTGTGATACTTACCCTGCTTGGACGTGGACCTTGAGTTCATTCACGTAGGGAGCCACATATGTACAGCCCACTTCAGCTGCAAGAACTGCCTGGGGCATACTGAAAAGAGTGGTAGCAAGTGTCCGTACCCCAGCAAGCTCAAGAGTTCGACAAGCCATCATACCCTCCCAGGTACTCGGAATCTTGATAGAGATACGGGCGACATCGAATCCTGGTTGAACATGCTGGAAAAGCTGCACGATTCCTATACACTTGGTCAGAGTCTTGCACGTTCCGAGCGTGAAAGGTTTGAATAAGAAGAAATGTGGCTGACATACGAAGAGCGTTGATGACTGTTTTCTCCGTGGAGTATGAATAATACGGATTCGTTTGCACATGGACTAATCCTCGAATGTGCTTTGCCATAGCAATAGCCAAGCGTACCATCTGTTCACGCATTAAGCTCCGATCCGAAATCTTGAGATTTGGAGAGTACCGACGCCAATCTCGACAGCGAGCTCACCCATACTGATCGAAGAGTACTTGGTGTGAAGTAGCTTTGCATCAGCCAGAGACGCGGCGATGACCTCAGCGCGAGCCGGTTTAGACAATTCGCCAAAGGCGATAGCCTATCAAGTACAGTGTTAGAGTTGGGTATACTTCTAGGCAAGTAGATACGCTCACTTGATTGGAAGTGCAATCCTGGAATGGACCGAGAGACTTTGCGACTGGGACATATTAAGCCACTTAATTCCTGAAGAAGTGAGGCGGCAGAGTTGAAGACATACCCTCTTCGTCCATCGTATCACAATCCACAACAGTACGCGAACGCATATAGTCCAGACCGGTCGGAGTCCCCATCGTGAACAAATCGAGTGGCTTTGACAAGTTGATTACAGATCCAGAATATTCAGGGAAACTCAGAGAAAGGCTGCGATGCACTGAGTGATGTCAGAAAAGAGATGAGGTGTACAAAGTCCTCATCCCACCTTTGGCTCCAGAATCGGTGGGGGGTTTCCCCGAACGGGGCAGGTGACCCAGTCACAGTGTGGAGCAACGTAGCCTTTTCGATCTATAGAAATCTATGAAAATCAGACACGAGAAGCTTTTCCATGGTCCAATCCTCATGGTGGCATGGAAATTCGGTTGCGATCATCTGTCATACGTAATAGAAAAGCATTGCAAGCTTCAAAGCTTCATAGCTCTTCCATAAAAATCTAGGCTCTTTAGGCTAAACTTCGGTAAAATAAAAATGTTGATTGCCTACGATACCCCGGAACGCCCACGTTTGATGCATAGAACCCGCGATGTACGCTAGACCGACTTGACTTGGTTTATGTTTTTGACGGTGGCATCTACTTGGCCTGAGCAGCCACCCATGCTTCGTGCGCCCTTTTCTGCCGCTCCCAGTCCTTGCGAAGCTTCTTCGCCCGGCTTTTGGTAAGCTCTTCGCCCTTTGAATCGTGGGTCGGGAGACCGTCGTCGTCCCAAGCACTGTATTCGTTCGTCCGGAATATCTCCAAGTGACTCAACTTGCCCTTCTCCAGTTGCTTCTGAGCCTCCTGTTCACGCTTCAGCTTGTCAGCTTGCTTCTGACGAGCGCGTGCCTCCTTCTCCTCGCGTGCTTGGATCATCTCTTGAGTGACAGGGCGGACAAGAGCGGGGAGGTTGTCACGATCCTCAAGGTAAATACCCAGCTCAAACAGATCGATGTCTCGGACGCGGTCGCAAAGGGCGAGGATATCCTTGCCAATGGAGTCCGACGACTTCAGAGAAGAAACCTTGGTGCGGAAGGTAGAGAGAAGCTCGGCGTAGGGCTTGGCAGACTCGGAGACATCCTTTGGTGCAGAATCTTGCTTGATTGCCTCTTCGATTTGGCTGGACGAGACACCCTCCTTGGAGCGGGCGGCTTGGCGGAGAGTATCACGCATGGCAGAAAGTGGGAAAAGGAATGGCTTCGCCTCCTCCGGGACATCGATCCCAGACCAACCAATCTCGGTGCTATCAGCGGTCTTTGTTCCGTTCAGACCGAAAATGTTGACAATGGAAGTGATCCAGCGAGCAGCATCCTCGACATCTTTCGGATTCAGTGCAGCCTTGTCGGCACTGTTGTACTTGGTAATGAGTTCGGAGATGGATTGCATGACACCGGGTGTGTTGAAGGAGTCGCAAAGCTGGTTGTAGACCGCAGTCTTAGTCGCCTCAACATCAGCAGCAAAGGCCGTATCGGTACCAGAGCCTTGCAGGGCGGCGGGATCCTTGACCTTCAGGAAGAAGTTGTTGAGCTTCTCTTCCCAAGCGATCCCGGTGCTCACAAGCTCGTCAGTGATCTCGACACCATCCTTCCAACCACCTAGTAGGAATACAATGCGCAAGCTTCGCGGGTTCCATTCCTTTCGGTTGAGAGCTTCGCGAATGGTTGTGAAGTTTTTCAGAGACTTGGACATCTTGGACCCTTGGATTGATAAGTGGCCCATGTGCAAGAAGTAGTTGATGACTTGGTCATGGTTGTGGCTGTTGAAGTAAGCCTCGCTCTGGGCCAATTCATTGTCGTGGTGGGGGAAAGCCAGATCAATACCACCTGAGTGGATATCGATGCGGCTACCCAGGCGAATACCGTGAAGGGTACTGCACTCGATGTGCCAACCGGGACGTCCCTTGCCCCAAGGGCTGGGCCAGCTGGGCTCACCCGGCTTGGAAGCCTTCCAGAGAACGAAGTCTGAAGCGCCGCGCTTCTCAGTCGACTTGCTGGTCAATGAGCCTTCTCCCTCAGCCGCCAGTTTGTTGTCCGAGCGACTCCATGGCTCTAAACGCGCATATGGGTGCCCAGCTGCCTCGAAAGACTCAATGTCAAAGTAGACGGATCCATCCTTGGTGGTGTAACCGAAATTGTTCTTTACAATGCGGTCCACGTAATCGGCAATTTCTTGACCATGATCTGTCACGCGCATCAACTCATCAGGGTCGAGGACATTCAAGTCACGCATATCTGTCAAGAAACGCTCCTCGTACTTTCGAGTAAGCTTGGTGAAGATACCGTGGTCGTCGGCATCAATAGAAGTACCCTTCAGAGCATCCAAGTATGGGAGAAGGACATCTTGCGCGTCTGTGTAGAAGGACTCGGCAAACAATGCAGGATCCGAACCGCTGTTACCGCGCTCGGCTTGCGCCAGAACCTTCGCCGCCGAGCCGGCTGTCTTGATGTGCATCTTGACCTTGGCCTCGTCATCGCCCGCCTTCTCATTGCCCGGGAGAGCACCACCACTCAACACCGTCGCATATTCCTTCGCCACAGTATCTTGGTATTGTGACGGAGCCAATTCAGGGTCCAAGAGGGACAGATTCTTCTTCAAGTATGCTTTGTAGGCGTTCTTTGTGGTGTCAATCACTTCCGCGTTGACGACGGGGTTCACGGCGACAAACTCGTTGAAGAGATGTTGTTGCCTTGCGCGGAGGATAATCTATGTGCCTAGTGAGTCAGACCGTTCATTTGCGCCAAATAAGCGATCCTCGAGAAGCATACCTTATCATCAATGTCTGTCACGTTCATAATGAACTCGAGGTCGAATTTGAAGTAGTCGCGCATGATGCGCCGAATGATATCAGTGCTCACATAGTTGCGGGCATGACCTAAATGCGCATCGTCGTAAACGGTCGGCCCGCAGGCGTACCAGGTCACCTTCTTGCCGGACGGATCGACAGGAATGAAGGGCGATTTAGACTTGGTCAACGAGTTGTAGACCTTCAAGGGCGGCAGTTGCACACCCTCATGCAGGGGAGGCTGCTGCCATGCCGGCTGTTGACGAGTAGACATGGGTCTGGAGAGAGAGCGTGACAAAGACCAGAACCGAAGCTGCTGCCGAACAGAGGGAAGGAGGGGCATATGAACGGAGGGGCAGATTGCTTTGGAAACAACGTCGACTCATCGCCTTACGTACCGTGATTGGCCCTTGCGTTGGGTCAGAGTAGCCCTAGGCCCTAAGTTCCAAGATAGGAAATCCAGCTTTTTTCTACTTGCGGAGATCGATCTTGAAGATCTCATCGAGCTACGAGTAGTCCAATTCTGCGCATTGCTCGACCTCCTGCAGCTATGCCGTCTCCATTCCTGACTCCGGGCTCAACGGCGGGCCCCGATACCGTCGCCCTCCTGCATCTGCGCCGCGACCAGACTATCCCGACAATCCTTCGTACCTTCGACGACCAGAACTTGGGCTACAAAGAAGGAAAGGTGTCCAACACACGCTTTGGCTCATTCCCGCACAGCACTCTGATTGATCAGCCATGGGGCTCGCAAATCGCTGCCTCCAAGGTCGACACTGGCTCGCGCGGCCGGAGAGGTCCTTCCAAGCGCAAAGCTGACGAGCTTGATACCCCGGGCACAACCACCGGCGCCGACGATGACACCCCCTCCCTCTCAAAACCAGTCGCTGCCGGCAGCGGTTTCCTCCACCTGATGTACCCCACCCCCGAGTCGTGGACATTGTCGCTCCCGCATCGGACACAGGTCGTCTACACCCCCGACTACAGCTACATTCTCCACCGGCTCCGCGCGCGCGCAGGAGGTACGGTCATCGAAGCTGGTGCAGGAAGTGGCTCATTCACCCATGCGGCCGTGCGTGCCGTCTTCAATGGATACCCTCAAGAGCAGCCAGCAAACAAGAAGCAGCGATTAGGCAAGGTGTGCAGTTTTGAGTTCCACGAGCAGCGAGCGAAAGCTGTACGACAGGAGATCTCGGACCACGGTCTGAACGGCCTGGTGGAGGTTACACACCGCGATGTCTACGAAGGTGGATTCTTGCTGGGTGACCCCCAGACCGGCAAGTCTCCTAAGGCCAATGCTATCTTCTTAGATTTGCCAGCTCCCTGGCTTGCATTGAAGCACCTTGTGCGCAAGCCTGCTTCTGGGGCTGAGTCTCCGTTGGATCCAAACTCGGCTGCTCACCTTTGCACTTTTTCTCCGTGTCTTGAACAGGCTGAGAAAACCATCCGCGTGATGCGCCAGCTTTCGTGGTTGAATATTTCGATGGTGGAGGTTAACCATGAACGCATCGATGTGAAGCGCGAACGTATCGGCTTGGATTGTGAGGGTATTCGCGGCGCAACGGTATACCCCAAGACCGTGGAAGAAGCAGTTGTAAAGCTCCAGGAGGACGATGAACGAGCCAAACGACTCCGCCAGGCCCACTACGACGGTAAGACAGACGACCCGAAGGTCCAAGAGGACAAGAACCGGTCTTTGAAAGAAACGGCTATCCCGCCCTCCACAGGACCTTCATATAGCCAGGGCCGCTTGATCCATCGCTCTGAGCCGGAGTTGAAGACACATACGTCGTACTTGGTATTCGCTATTCTACCCCGTGACTGGACAGAGGAAGATGAACAAAAATGTCGCCAACAATGGCCTTCTCAGAAGTTAGATGCTCCTGAGCCCAAGGGGGGTAAGAGCAGGAGGCAGGCCAAAAGAGAGGCTAAGGAAAAGTGTTTGCAAGAAGTCAAGGCGGGAGAAAACGCACAGCCAACAGAGGAGATGAGAGAGGAGGGAAATGAGGCATGAAGAACTCTCAAAGCATAATCATAAATAGTGTACCATTAAACACTGGCTATTGGCAAAAGCATTTTATTTCCTATTTCCTTGGTTTACCCCAAAGCATCATTTATTCGATTTGATCGTTTCGAAGACTCGATCTTCAACCTATTTTATTCTACATCGAAGCTACCTGAATAATCTGAGTGTGGTCTCCTTAGGACTATGTTCTTAAAGACTCTTATGAAAAGAGTGAATTGACATAAAGATAGGGCCATGGTATGTGACAGCAAGATCAGGCTAATGATGAAGTAAATACAGCGCGTTAAAGGTTGTTCTCCACTCTAAACTTGTCCCATGCTTCATTCAGGGTTCCAAAGACAGCACTGGAGATCATCCGCTGCTCGGTGGTAGCAGTGGTGGGAATCTAGAAGACCATTGTTAGCATGCGGTTCCAGCCAGAAAAGTCATCAAGAGTCGTACCTTGTCGGGGTGCACCTTGGCAATTCCCTTCATGTATTGGATCTTCACCTTATTCGGCAAAACAAGCTCCGCCAAGCCGATCTTCTTCCACCCAGAGTCAGCCCAGAGAACGCTATCGAGACTGCCCAGCAAAGCACGAAGATTGTCCTGCTTTCCGTTCTTCCAAAGAGCGATTTTCGCATCAACACTTTCTGAAAGAGCGAACTTCTCTTCATCGGCAAGCTCGGAAGCTTTATTGGCCTCGCGCAGACGGCTGACAGCCTCTGAGTCCTGTGCAGAGCCCGCGCCTAGGTCTGACAGCGCGGACGCCTTCTTGGGCGCAGGTGCTGCCCGCTTCTTAACGGGGACTGCCTTGGCTGCAGGCCTGCTGATACCAGCAGCCTTCTCGCATCTGTTTCGGCCTTGAATGCTGGTGCTTCCACCGTGACCAGCTTCCACGGCTAACTTCCAGACCTGTGCGGCGTCTCCCCATTTCTCGAGCTGTTCCAATGCCTCTGCTTTGCGCATCAAAGCCTTGCCGTAGAAATCCTTCATTTGCTTGGCCGGTTCGCCATTTCCTATATCGATTGTTTCGGATTCACCCTTTGAGGGACCGATCATGCTCAGAATGGTATCAGCATCATCAACTGCGGACTTTGCTTCTCCGGTCTTGAGCGCTGTCATTGCGCGATTGCTACGAATCATGATCGTGATTGGGTGCTTGTCGGGAAGCATGTTCAGGGCCGTTGAGAAGCTCTCGTAAGCAGCTGCGTAGTCACCCCGCTTATATGATTCTGCGGCTTTTTCGCGGTGTCGGTGTGTGGACTGGAGAGCGTCGGCCGAAACAGGTGGGATCGATCGTGTCGGGACCTTTGGGCGCACTGGAATGGGGGTTGAGCGTGCCGGTGTTGGACCTTGAGAGCGAGCGGCTGGTTTTGGTCGTTGAGATGAAGGAGCAGGGGAATCGAATAGATCAATGGCGGGTTCGGGCACTGGAGGGGTTGCTTGAGGCCGCTTCCGCCTTGCGGAACTAACATAGGCTTGTGCCGACTGCTCCTCCGTGGCAAATCTTGATAGACGAGATTTGGGCTCTGTAGAAGTGGGACGCGATGACTTTTGCAAAAAACTAGGTTGCTGTTGTTGAACATGCTGGGCGGGAGATCGAGACTGTTGGCGAAGATCATTACCCCTGGGATCCGGCCGAGCAGACTTTCGAGGAGGTCGAGCGTTGCCAGCTTCAAGAAGCATTGCCTCGTCCGTGAAATTTTGTGGCTTTTGCTGCGGTTGTTCTGGTCTGCCACCACCACGTCGGGGTGGCTGTTGTGGAGGGAACGGCTCCTCGTGTGAGGCGGAAGCATCTCTCATCCACTTAGGTTGGCTGGGATCATGATCTCCCGTATTGAACTCGTTCACTGCTTGTTGGAACCTCTTGCTTCCCGTTTTCCAGAGGGAGCCCGCAGTCTTCCACAGGTTGTTACCTAACTGAGAGGCAAGTTGGGCGGGATCCTTCTCGCCTCCGGGGCTGCTATCGTCTCGTCGCGAAGTCTCGGACCTGCCTTCCCTTGCCCAAGACGGAGCATCACGCTGACGACTACTTCGCTGCATGGGGTCATGGGACGGAGCATTCGACGGTGATTGACCCTGGGACTTTTGTCTGGACTCGGCATGAGCTTGTGTCAGAAGCCAACCAACAGCAGCCTGCACATCTTTCCCTGAGGGGGTAGTCCGGAGGGCCTGACGGGATTTATCTGCAGGGAATCCCATCTCCACCAGCTCTGCAATGGCTCGATCCTCATCACTAGTTGGCATGGGTGAATCATTTTGGCTCCTTGTGTCACGGCTCGTGGGCGTTGGGGGAGACGGAGAAGGTCTCTGGCGTGGGATTTCAGATACGGGCTTTCCGAGTAGTCCAAGGAAGTCATACTCGTCGTCCTGTGCCTGGGGAGGGGCGGCTGCGGACTTGGGCTTCAATTCATTGAGGCCAAAAGGGTCATCATCCTCAAATGTGCCTGATCCTCCAGTGTTGTCGCGTATTGAGATACCTCCGTTTAATGGTACTTGTGGGGTATTGCCGATCTGGGGTGAAGCGTTGGAGCTCGGAATCGGAAAGTTCGTTGATGCGTCCACGGGTGCCGCAGCATTGAAAGCGGCCAAGAGGTCGTCATCATCGATAGGAGGCGATACAGTTTGCGAGACTGGCGCAGCAGCGGGGCTTTGGGTACGGCCTTGCTCAAGACCGTCCCAGAACTGGTTATTCTGTCCCCCATATTGCGCCTCGTACTGCCTTCGCTTCTCTGCTTCCTTCTGTGCCTTCTCCTCCTTTAATCGCTTCTCCTGTTCCGCCAATGAGATATTTTTATTTGCGGCCGTGGAGTTGAAAGAAACCAGATTGGCGAAGCTGTCTCCGGTGGACGGAGCGGGCTTGGATGGCGACGGGGTACGATTTGAGGCAGCGGACATGGGTGTTGATCTCCCAGAGCCACCATTCGATCGTATACTGGGGAACAATAGGCCAGAGCCCATCGGCGGCGGTTTGCTTGGCGGGCCATTCGAGTTGTTAGACCAGCTGAGCCCATTTAAGTCGTCCATGGCGGGCCAGATGGTGCCCCGTTGCAGAGGTGAGGATGTTTGACTGGTCGGGATAAAGGTTAGGAGGACAGATATAGATCAATTTGGTATTCCATGATCTCACCGCACGAGAGACAAAAGAATTGACAAGTTGATAAATGGTTCGGAGTCTCACTGAGCATGCGCCGACGCCCGCGCCCCTGCGCATGTGGGGATGACGACGAGCACGTGATGTTTCACCGTTCGGTGCTTATTTCCCGTCAAGCAGCTGGAGTATAACAGCGATTTTGGTCTTTATTAAAATATCGCCCAGATCCCTTCAGGAATTGACACTCGCTGATTTGTTTTACTATCATCCCAATGAAAAGGGGTGGCGTGCCAGGGGCACGTGGTAGATGTGAGAACATATACTTCTCACACATCTGCTGAGTGATCTGGCTGTCAGCCTGTGGGTATAGATATTTGAGCTCTGTAAATCAACATGTACAAGACTTTGAGATCCTAGGTAAACCTGGCTCCGAGCCTCCAAAATGAAGTAACGAGCAGCATGGAACAATATGTGTTAGGACAATAAGGAGGTGGGGGGGCAGCGTCTGAGCGGTTTCCGAAGTACTACTTCGACCTACGACTCACCTGGTCTTGCAATATCCGTGCTGCAAAATTGATTATCCTAGGCATATTGACAAGACAAGAGCTCATTGTTCAATTTGAAAAGTCCCGAGCGTCTGGCGTGCCAGATATTCGAAGCTTTAAATGTAGTGACAGGTCGCAAGAAAAGACGCCCCTGGATTCATGCCACAGCCGCCTCTCATTTCTCCAGGGATTACCTTTTTATCCAGCTTCTGTCATTGCCATTTTGTTCTTGCGTCTGACAGCGAATCCATTTGGCATCAAGAGAGAAGCTTTGCCAACAGCCTCGCCTGATTTGGTGATTTAAGCCCCGTCCGACATTGTGTGATTTTCTGACTGTCTTCGATTGAGTCGATCTTGTTACTTTCGATCTCACGGATGCTTCCAAGACGATTGATAATCGCGTCATCGATTGATCCCAGGGCTTTTTTTTCCCTGAGCCGATCGGCGAGGCCATGTGGATCAAAGGGTTAAACGAGATTTTCTCACGGCTTTAAATGTTGTTCCTAGGTGATGCACTGGCCTGAACAAAGAAAGATCTTAGAAATAAATCCCCGAGATCTTCGCACCGCTTTGGCCAATATGTAGGTTCCGGAAGTGGATATTTGTGTGTAATCTTACTTTTGGACTCGTCAAGATCGAATATCATTACTTTGCTCTGATTGCACAATAATTTTCAATAGTTCAGCCAACACTTTTCAGTCGCGAATCTCGCTAATCAGAGAACGGTTGTCACCTTCTAAGCCTGCACGTGCATGGGCGCTGTGCGTACGTGGCATAGGATGTGCCGGACACGGGGACCAGAACTTGGACACCATATCTCAATGCACATGGTCGAAAAAACCAGAGACGCACACGGCGGGGCCATATGCATATGGGTGAATGGTCCGCGCTGATTGAACAATGCATTATCAAGGAACGGAGAAGACACTAGAGCGAGACGGGCGAGTGTCTCGGATGAGGCAAGCCCCTTGCTGGCAAGTTTGCCGACCCCGAGTCTCGACCCAGTCAATGAGAATTATATGCCCAACCACCCCCAGAAAGAGCGCGAATTAATGCATGAACGAGCCTGTGGCGCCACTGCCGTTGTGATAGACCAACAGGACACTAAGAACGGGAGTGGTGAAAAGCACGGGTCACGACTAACAAGTCGACAGATCGAGGGGTGCGACCCACTTCGCGAACCCCTAGATGCGGATGGCGCCGATACCTCCGAGTGCATATCTTTGCGCTGGAGCTGTCCCGAGTTGGCTAAATGTTTTCACGCACTCGGGTGCAATAATACGCGCGCAGGTGTCTAGGCTCAGGGCGGAGGGCTGGCTTCTCATTATTGGGAATTTTACCCGTGATGTGACCGATTATGGACCCTGGTCATTTGGTGGCTCGCATTCCTGCTTTTGCGTTGAGAAATTGATCATCACGGGTCTTGGTGTTTGGTTTGAGGAATGATCAACAGATAGAAAACGGCCGAAGTACAGTCTAGAAAGATATTCTGAATGAGCAAGTGATTACTAGGTCTGACCTAGGGTACCCTAAGGTAAGGCGAGTAATCCCTGCCGATGGCCGGCTTTGAAGCCCGAAACGAAAGAGTCTAGTAAACGCGACGGAGTGTAATTTCCGGTAGTAAACGACGGTCCTAATCTCTTTTCGGTACCAGAAACCGCTACCTGCACCCAATTACAGAGCTGATCCATGCTAGATCGACAGGTTCTCGATCGGCGGGTCTTCAGATAGCTCATGGACTTGTCGTTCCTGGATCGCGTGGGATTCTTTTGACAAATTCCTAGTCGGTTAGCCCCTAAAAACTCAAATGCAGCTAACAATGTTGCGCCGGTTCCGTTGGCCCCGCGTCATTCTGGAATTCCTTGTCAATTGTTGCTCTATATGTAGGGGCTTGGGCTAGATATGAAGCTGGCATTTCTCTGTTTTTCTCCATTTCCTGCGGCTACATGGGTTCACGACGCGCCTCTGGCCGATTATACTATTGATGACTATGATCACGACTCTATGAGCAAGCCAGCCTCACCTCCTGATTCTGCGACGCGACCTACACCCACCCGATTATATTGCATGTGCATATTGGTTATGCGAACGAGGCTGGCAGGGTCCATATAGTCGATTCGAGCTGCTCCACAGGCCCGAGATATTCTCATTTGCTCTCGCCGTCGTTTTTTGAGACAAACTGGCCAACATGCGGTGGCCGTTGTTGTTCACTTTGATTCTGTTCGTCCTCTGCGGGGTGTCATTGGCAGCTCCAGCATTGGAGTTGGGGGGAGCGAGATGTTGAATCCACCATTGTTCTCGACAAAAGAGAAAACCAAAATACAACAACGACCGCAACAAGTCATGACGCGTCTGCGACAGCTTCGACCACCACAGGGACCCAGGTAACAGCAACCGAGGCGAAGTCAAGCACAGCGAGTACTACAACGGACTCGGCCACAAGTACCTCAGCCTCCAGCCATACCAGCCTCACAAACGCCGCAACAACAGTGCCTTCACTAAATGGAGTTGGCTCCTTAAGCGCTTCATCGCAAAATAATACTCAGTCGACATACACAGGAGGACTCCCAATCAAACCGGAAGTCACACCTGCATTGGGAGTGGGAGGCTTCATACTTCTTGTTCTAGGAGCAGCGCTTGCGCTCATCGGAATCCGGAAACAATGGTAAACGTCTCAACTCGAAGGGCAAACGGACGTGAAGCTCATGACAAACAGGGTTTATATCTTTCTCTCCACGGCCTTCTGTGCGGCATTGGGTGTCACAGTGAGTCGAGTACACTTGAGTTACAAATGCATTACAAGCTAACCTCGGAAACCCCATATTAGGTCTTGATCATATATGTCATGAATCCTCCTGTTAGCAATGGCGTACAAGGGGGGGTATTTGGTTGCCGTGGTCGTCACGGGTGCGATCTTTGGTGGTGTCGCCCTCGTCTTCAGAGAAATCACCGAGGGGCTGTGTTGTCTCCTGGGCGGCTTCTGTATCGGAATGTGGCTCATGACCCTCAAGTCCGGAGGCCTGATCAGTGGCGACGGAGCAAAAGCCGGATTCATTCTTGCTTTTGCTGGGGGCTTTTATGGTCTGTCTTGGAGTCACTACACCCGCGCATACGGTTCCATGCTGTGTACCGCTTTCGCTGGTGCTACCGCATTAGTACTTGGTATTGACTGCTTCAGCCGAGCTGGATTGAAGGAGTTCTGGCTTTATATCTGGGGTAATTCTCGCGAACTCTCTACGTTCGAGTAGACTAGGATGCTAACATGGAGATTAGGTCTGAACGACAAGATGTTCCCCTATCACACCTATACTTACCCTGTGACGCGGAATATTCGCGTCGAAACCGCCGTTATTATCATTATCACAGCATTTGGGGCAATTGGACAGTTGCGATTGTGGAAGGTTATCAAGGCTCGCAGGGCGAAAGAAGAGGATTCCCGCCAAGAAGCCGAGAGGAAGAAAGAGGAACACGATGCCGAGATCGGCCGGCAACTCGAAGCAAACAACCTTCGCGAGCGTGCCGAATGGGAGCAAATGTACGGCAATGGGCAGCACAGCGGTAAAGAGGCATCATTGACAGAAACCGCAATTGCCGATGATTCGAGAAGAGGATCAGACGGCTATGGGTCTTCAACAAATGCAGAGAAAACCAATATTGAATTGAAAGACATGGCTACTGGAGAACAGGTTGCAGATCTCCCTGACCCCGAGAAACATCTCGAAAAAGTGGATGAGGGGGAACATCATGAGGTGCGCAGTAAGCCCGAACTGGAATACCGTGAGATGGTAGGACCAAGACCGGTCACTGCATTGTCTCTGCCAACGGCCGCTGTAAAGTCCTATCTCCGTGGAGAGAATGACTCTGAGCATGGGGCTGTCATTGGCTCTGAGGTCGGCACCCTTGGAGGATCAAAGCACGTTGCAAGGAAATCATGGATGAACAGGCTGTCCTGGCGCAATGGCAACATTCAAATTCCAGAGCCGCAATCGGTGTCCCAAGAAGCCTTGATCGTGCACGACGATGCCGCATCCTCTGTGGCGGGCGTTGTGGATGATCTGACGATCGCCTCTGGCCCTCCGAGTATCGCTTCTGGTATTCACGACGATGGAGATGATCAAGATAACCAGAGAGACATCTCTGAAGAGCATGCAACAGAGCAGAACGTACTCTCCGAGGTGGCTAATGGAAAACTCAACGCTCAAGCTCGACAGCCTGTCGCAGCAGTGACTGAGACAGACACTCCCACTTCTCATGCAACCGAAGGCGGAAATATTGATGCCTCGGTCAGCGATGACAATGATCAGGAAAATCAAGAAAATTTCCCGGTAGTGGCTGCTGTTTCGACTGATACTCCTACTGATGGCCATGGCACGAAAACCGAGGATGTGGGTGAGCAAGCCCAGCCGGCTCATCCAAACCTTCAACCTGAGATTCAGAATCAGAAAATCCACTTCACAGTCATTGAAAGGGCTGAAGTCATCGCCGAGGATACTGTATCTCAAATGGAACCACTGTCTCACATCAAAGCGAACCAGATATTAGAGATTGATGATACCCGTGATCCCCAACCCAAAGTCGACGAAGATGTCAAAGTCGCCGATTCCGCTTCTTCAAAAGCACCTGTTGAAACTGTGAAGAGGCCGACATTGGATACGTCCACAGTTAAAAAGATCCCTGAGCAGACCTCGAAGGTGATACATGTCTTCCGCACCAAGGAATGGGCAAAGCATCTCGCCGATGCGGAAACACCGGAGCTTGAGCCCTTAGAGCTTGAAAGCAAGGTTCCAGGAAAAACCCAGGGAAATCTGAAGAGGCTGCAGCTCCAGTGCATGTTGATGGCCTTCTGCAAACAGCCTTCAATGTCCAACCACCTCCTGCTGCGCTGAGTCCCGACTTGAGCGCATCAAGCCTGGTAAAACTCCGGCGTCAGTCCGACTTATCATCTACACCTTACCCTGAGATGTCTCGATCCAAGACACGAAATAGCCTACAATATCTCACCGGCAGATCCCCGCCAACGTTGGCTCGCAATGCCTCAACAGGATCTATAGATCCGCCACATGAAGAGCATGACGCTGTTGCTCCGATGCTTCGCAGCGCATCGACTCCCCTGTTGATTCTCACGTCACCGGAGTCGCCACGCTGGAGTGGCCCGCCCCTTCTCTTGCTGTTCGTGAAGACATGGTGCGCAACAGAATGTCCTCAACTTCCCTTCGCCACGACCCCTGGGCATCTCGAAACGCTTCACGCCAATCTCTTGCCGACCCTGTGCAAACCGTCTCTCCACCGACAGCTATCCCCGAGGAAAAGGAGAAGGTATTCAAAGTCCCCGCACCTAATTACGAGGATGACGTGCCTCTCTCTAAGCGCAAAGTCATGCTGCAGCGCCAGACCATGCGGTCACCATCCGGCTTGAGCATTGCAAATTCGCCCCTTGCGACGAGCCATCCGAGCTACGAGCGCTCTAGGTCGCCCCAATTCGCCCAAGTAGATCCAGAAAGATCCGCTTCTAGAATGGCAGCATGGCGCCAATCAGTGAAGGAGGACATGACTCAACGCCGTGACCCACTGTTCCATGGCACTTCTCCAAGACCCCCAGGACCAGCCGGCCCGAACAACCGCGCAGCAATCTTTGGGGATCCGTGCAGCAAATGCGCGATGCTTCCTCAGCCCATGTCGATAAAGCCATTGCAGATGGCATGCAGCGAGGAAGTATGACTGATCTTCATCGTCAAGCAATGCGACGGATGCAGGCTTCCGCCAACCGGCAATTGTAAATTTCTCTGGATACCCCCCATCGTTGCTTCTTTCTCTCTTTCGGACTATACCGGGCGCTCAGTCTATTACCCTAAATTCGCAATAATGCTTTTTGTACATAATCCTCGAGGACTTACGCGTGAAAAGTCGTCTAATGAATGCTTCCAAATTTTCATATACTTCAGACGTCCCCACAATCAAACCTGGGTCATTGCAGGAAATGCTTCGGTGCTTTCTCAAAAATCTCAATTGCTTGTTCAAGCCGCTTTTCGTACTCTTCCAACTCCAGACTGTCCTGGTCATCTTCCACGGGTGCACCCAACACTGCCTCGGTCTCTGTCTCGGGCTTCTCGTCCTGCTGGAGACCCAGCTCAATCGACTGACCCCCACCGCCACGGGCCGTATTCACCGACATAACGTCCCTGTAAAGACCGAGGGTAGTCGGCAATTTCACCCCATCCACACCATTCTTTCCCATTTTTATGAAGCGCGCATCAAGTAACCGGTACTGGGCTGCCCAGACATGAGGCTCGGAGACCTCCATAGTTAGGTCCCATGATGAGCCCACTCCCAAACTCACAGAACCACCGATAGGTACGCCGGACAGAGCGCCAATGAGTGCTGAAGAAACGCCTGCGGATATTTTGGCGGAGTCGCTTCTCGAAACGACTGTCTTGGTTCCTTCCAATAGGTATAGCCCAGTCATTAACCAGACCTTTGGCCGTCGAGCGAATTTGAAGTTAAGCACATAGGCACTATAGGCAGCAGATAGCCATAATTTCAGCTTCTGCTGGGCAAGAGGATTGTTCAGGACATTCTCTGTCAGAAAGTCCTCCGGGCTAGGAGACGTGAGCTTCACTTCAGGCTGCGGGGCAACTCGGGGTGTGGTACTCTTTAAGAATGATCCGAGTCCCTTTCTCCGCAACAACAATTCTTTCATGGTCTTTGTCGTATGCGAGATTGAGATTCACGATATCGCCAGCATCAACTCCCACGGATGGTGATATCCGGCTCGTCCCGTGAAGGACTACGTTAGTGAGATTGGAGGTGTAGGCCTTTTTGCGGAGATCATCATCGCTGACGTGCTGATTAGCTTTGATTCCTTCCCAGAAAAGGTGAAAATCACCTTAAAAGTTCGTGTGTGTAATGGCGTGCAATCATGGGCTGCCAATACTTCTCCAACACGAGGGACCCCAGGGTTAGGGCCTCGGGCCGCTCCCCCACACCGTACAGAAAGAACGATGAGTCGTCGCCAGCTCCCATGGTTTCGAGAATTAAAGATCGCCAAGGCCTAGGCAAGGATCAGATCCGCGATACAGTCCGTGGTCCACTTTTGTAGAAGATTGATGCTCGGGCGTGGCCCTTTAACTTGAGAGCGTTCTTCTGCCTGCGCGGGGTACTTTGCGTATCCCACCTAGTGCTTATTGCTTCGAGGCTTACTTCGAGTTGGGCAACTTTTGACGAGCCCCATTCACGTTCCGATAGCGCCGTGTCCAGCCACAATGGGCTTGATTTTCTTAGAATTGCTTTTGCTTATATGCCGTCAGGCGGCTTTCTCGGCGAAGATCTGTGGATAGTGCGCTACAATTTCTTGAACAGCAATTCCCGATGGATTTTGATCACTTCATCGGTCTCTGTGGCCGATCGCTATTCGCCGAGGAATACCGGGGTAACCTAGATGCCGCCTGGGAATATTTGCAGCAAAAGCGGCCGAATACAGACTCTGTGGAGCCTAACATTCAGGCTGAGTACCTGCGTTGCGCGTCCGTCTACTCGATCTTGATCGGCAGATTCTCAGATGCATATGAGACACTGAATGCTCTCCATGATCTACTTGATCTTCTGCCTCAGGAATGGGGCTTGCGGTATACCAACTACAAAGTGCTTGCCGACTATACCCGCCGCTTCCCTCCGGCACTCCAGTTCTATCATGAAAATGGAAACCCGCTCGACACCGTGATGCTAGGCGACATCATCGGCACCATCGAGATCAACAAAAGGTTGATGCAAAATGTGCACAAGTACCTTTCGCCCGGTAACTCGCGGGACCAGGGCCTATGTCTGATTCTAGGAGCCGTACTTGCCTTCCCGATAAATTCTAGATATCTGAGCGGTCATTTCCATCCTCTCTCCTGCCATGTCTCTTACCATACACCAGAGGCCGATCCAATACCAACGATAACGCAGCGTGCGCAGAACCTCCAAAAGTTCCGTGACAGCGCAGATGCAAACTTGGCTACAGGAATCGCAACGTATCTCAACCTGCTCATCTTAAAACTCCATTTGTCATGCCAGAACTCACCAGCGACAGCTTTGGAGGACCATTTCAAGCGATGCAGCAGACTCAACGACCATGCCGGAATGGGAAATTGCAAGATGATTGAGGGCGACAATCATATCAGTCCCGCGTTTACCAGCCCTCTCTCATTGAATCTGGTCATAGTCAACTTTTCATCATGTATAGGAGAGGATGCTAATTGGGACCCGGTCGGATGTGGGCTCAAGTTTGACTACTCTTCAGAAGCTCAAACTTGCTATGAAGATGCCCTCAATTTGTTCAGGACTGCTGGTTGCACACGAGGACAAGCGGCGGTAGTGCTTCGTCAGGCATGCTGCCTGCACCACCAAATACGTTATCAGCGAGCCTCCAAGAATCAAAGCTATGTTTCGAATGTTCTTGGTAAGGTGGATTCAAAATTGCAAGAGGCATTGAGGCTGTTTGGCAAGGATGAAGCCAATGTGCAGATTGTCAAAGCTCACCAGTTGTTGTTGCAAATTAGTATGGGAAATCCTCGAAGTGCCAAGACGACTGCGAGTGAACTTGGAGAATGGGGAGCTCAGTCCAAGAATGAGAACTTGACTCACTTTATCGGGCTTCTGCTGTCGCGATTTGCGCGCCAAGAATGGGACACGTTCTCCAATTTTGATGCAGCGTTACTAGCATGGGAGTGTGCCTATGGAGTTTTGAAGCCGATAGGGGATGAGATTCCACTGATTCAGTCCGTTGTTTGTCGGGCATGGGTGCAACATGGCACACATAACAATGCGGCATGCCGACTGCTCATCGAGGAAGCTATTTCCATGGTGGATCAATTATCCATATACTACGATACGCGGATCAAATCCGCATCTCATGAACATGATCGGACGATACTGCTTACCAGCAAATTCAACCTCTTTTGGACTCTTGGTAGAACCGTGGGCTGTATTTGGCTCCGCCTGGATGATCTACAGGCCTTTCAAACATGGCAAACAAAACTTGCATATTGGATCGAGAACGATGAGAGTTTCCTAAGCTGGCGCGAAAGATTGCAGAATATGGAAGGTATAAAGGACAAGGGCTCGGAAATTTCGCAGGGGATGCTGAGAAGTCTCTGGCATAAGGTAATGGCCGAGGATGCAGCGAGAGTTATGCACGGTTCGGCCGACATACAGTATCGAAAAATTCTGGAAGATGGGGATGTCGTCAAAGCAGAAGACATCCTTCGCTCGTTTGTCAAGAGCTCAGAGATTTTAGAGGCGCCATACTCCAGAGATTTCTACCGGATCCTGGCCTGTGAGCGGATTGGCGATTTGGCTAAGGCGCGCGAGATTTTGGACTCGGTCGATGACAACGTCCTTTTCGATGAGAGTCTCGATGATTTCAAAGCCGGCAAGAACCTCTCGAAGTTCCCGCTCATGGCAGGAAACGCTCTTACCTTCCTGATGTATGGTGAAGACATGGAGCGTGCTCGCCGAATTCTCAATCTCATCGTTCAGATTTCGCCCACCTTTTTTGAGTCAAATGCAAGCGCCATAGACCTTGCTGAGCAGATGGGAAACTACGCTGCAATCATGAAGGAAATCGAGCCCGAAATTTGTTTCAAAAAGTTACTTGAAGCCCGTCAGATTATCGAAACTATGCGGGTCCAGACCAAAGACTTGGATGCCAGGATAGGAACCGCCACGTCTTCTTGGGTTGGAGAAGTGTATCTCAATCTTGCGCGGATTTGCCTGTCCACTTCCATTTCTGACACACCTTTTGAATGGCCCACAAAATTCGACCACGGGCATTTCGAGAGTATCTCTTGGGCTGAACATGCTCTATTATTTGTCGAAATGAGCAGGGCACGCGCGGTCCTTGAATCTCTGCAGCAACAAGCAAAGGATTTAGGATCAATTTCGGAGGCAGTTCACAAGAGACGACTTCTGAGGTCACTACTCTCCTTGAAGTCTTTGACTCCGGACCAAGAGAAGGAAATTTCCCAGCTGCGAGAAGACATAGAAGTGCTAGAAGAAGATGGGACCCTGACCTCCGCGACCGCTTTCATTGACAGAGTCAATTCTTCAATTGAACCGAAGTTGTTGTATGAGAGCATTGATGAGAATGCTGTTGTGATTGAAGCGACGTTTGGACCTCGTGGATGTGTTTCCTTTGCCATCACAAGGGATGGTATTCTGCATTTTGCGACAACCCATTTCCGGAGTGTCGACATGCGCAGGCCTGTGATGAAGGCGATGCAGATCATGAGAGAAGTGACAGGTTATATTAACGATGAAGAAACAAAACGCAAAGAAGAACTACAAGATTTGTCACGGGAAATTTCCGCAGTATTGTTGGACCCATTTGCAGATATTATCAGATCCAAGTCGCACGTCATTTTTTCCGTATCGGATCCCCTAACTGCTTTCCCATTCTCGATTCTCCATCTTGATGGGAAGCCCCTCATTATGCATGCTGCTGTGTCTCAAGTCCCGAGCCTCACCGTGATGCATTATTTGTCTCAAAGAAAGTCACCATCTGAAGCACCAACGGTCTCAGTTCTGGCCAAGTCCCCTACACAAGAGCCATCTACCGGGATTAGAGGCGACAAAGAGGTTAACCTACACATGGCGGGGATTGAAGCTGTCAATATCGCTCGAATGTTTACTACCTGGCCGATTGAAGCATCACACCTTTCCAGGAAAGACTTCCGCCAGTATGTTGAAGGCGGTTCGCTCATCATGCACATCGGAACCCATGGAGATATTGACCCTCAAAACCCCCTTCTCTCTTCAATCTCGATTGGCGAGGGACAAGAGTTCCGTGTCGCAGACATGCTTGCTATTCGGAGCCGAGTGAATCTTCTCGTGTTTGCCGCCTGTCTTAGCGGGTTTGGGAAGGCAACCAGAGGAAGTGATGTTCTTGGCTTCTCTCATGTCGTCTTGAGCACTGGCTGTCAGGCCTATATCGGATCTCTTTGGAAGGTCAGTGACTTTGGCTCCATGGTCATCATGACGTTGTTCTATGGGCATTTGAAGCGTAACCCTCATTTGGCGGTGGCGGACGTCATGAGGATGGCTCAGTTAGATCTTCTGAAGTTGGATGGTGATACTGCTGGGACACTCCTCGACGACATGCTACAGGGCTGGGGCGTTGCGACTCGAGAAAGTCATAGTCCGACAGAATTCGTTCCCGACGCAGAGTTCCTTTTGTTTACATTGAAGATGATCCTCAACCAGTTGGACTGGAATAGCCCATTCTACTGGGCGCCATTTACACTTGTTGGTTACGGGGGCTTCAGATTTATGCATTAATTCTGAAGTAGTCTCAATCAACAGTTATAAATCCAAGAAGTATTCGTCACTCCCCAGCTGTGGGTCTTTAGAAATGCAAGGAACAGGCGGTCCGGATCTGGGCCCACATCGCTGCATATCTTTTGCAACTTTTACTCTAACGAGATCAGCCACATTGCGGACTATTCTTGTCGTTGGTTTCCTACGGCCTGTTACTTTCTCAGTCTTCCACGCATTCTGCAAGGTGCTTCTATCTGTTAGGGTTATGGAACCTAGCACTGAGTTCTATCTGGCCTTCGCGCATATCCCTCAAAAGTTCTTTTATCTAACCGGTAGACCAAATGCCACTTCAATTTTTATTGCTATCACGCAACCATTCAAAGTCGAATCATAAATACTAACAGAATGATCTCGCATGTAACGAAATTTGCATGATCAGTTTTTGGTAATGACCAATGGCATTGTGTTACTTGACTTCGGACCTTTTCGCATGGGGCATCGTGCTGTTTACTTTTAACCTACATATCTTAAGACGGCGTGATTATTGACTAGGCGTGAGCACAATATCAACGTCATGAGAGTATAGACTTCTCGTCTAATGTGGACAATCGTGCTAATGAGAACTGAGGTCGCTTCCAATCACACCAGAATCGAGAATGGAAAGTATAGAGTCTACCACGTGAAGGAGGCTCTGATAATTTTCTAGGTTTAGGTGCTGTGGTCGCAAGCATTGCTACAATGCATAGTTGGTGGAGGTTTGACTGCGGCAAGTATCATTCTTTGGGTGAAAGTTGGTGAAGTGATAACCGTATTGCACTTTGGCAAACTCATTCCGACGGGAATGAGAGACTCCAGCAGGAAGAGCATTGTTTTGTCCTTCCCACAAGATAGCGTCCAGCGCATCTGTACGGCCACTGCGGGATTTTCTCACAAATGCTCCGGAATTCAAAGTGTGCGTTGATGGTTGTTGCAAGCGCGATTGTGGTGATTGGCAGGTCGAATACGCAGGTTTAGCGGCTAGGAGATGGCTTCGCTCATCACATACTCCTAATAGAACTCCGTCCTCCACGAGGCTTCGCCCCACAATGCAGTACGTTGCATCTCAATCTCGACCTGCTCACAATGCTCATGTTCATCGATGATCCTGTGTCAACACTATTCAAGACGTCGGGTGTGTGGGCCTAATATTGTTGATAATTTGGTAGTCTCACTGAAAAGGCCACCTGCGGAGTACGTCTGACGCTTGCTGTGATTTTGATCATTCGCTCATGCACTCTATGTGATGATGTGCTGATGTGCTGATGTTCATATCTTTGGTTATGGGCCAGATGGTGTGGGCCTGCAGTCCCTCATCTACTCGGAAGCACCATGATATCCCACTGGATTCCGCGCCTTCTACGTCAGCGTTGCGTTGATAATTCGAATCGAAAATCTGCTGGTGTAATTTACTCTCGCGACATTGACTGAGATCTATTTACTAGATGTCAGCAGCGCGTATCTATATTAACAGAACCTTCAGAAAAGAAGAGAAGACTCCACCGATGGAAACCCACGAGATAAATTTTTCTCGGATTTCCAAGATCTAACTGACATGGAACACCCGTACTTCTGATAAGTACATTGATTTAAATAACCAGTCGTTCATCTCGAATGGGACTTTCGCGCGTCGTGTCTAGTCCGGCCGAGTTAGTGTTGTTGTTACTCTATCTTGGCATCATGCAACGCGGGTTTACCTTGCATTGGATCAATTGCAGCACAAAGGACTTTATCTGACATCTGCATGGAATTGACCATCCCTTCCGAAGATCATAGACTATTGTAAATTTGCCGTGTTGCGGGAAGGGCGAATGAAACAAGGGAGAGATCCTCCACATTTATAGATGAATCACAGTGAAGCCCGAGCAAACGACTCGCCCGGCCGTGTTCGAGGCCAAAGCATCGTTCGCATGAACTACATAATAAGTGAACGCATCCCACCGAGAGGGAAAACTATGAGTTGTCACGACAGTCATTCTGAGGCCCGGAGTTCTATAGTCTCTAACTATCAGCTATTCGCTCTTTAACTGGGTGCGCGGCTCAGACATCTCGCCTCATTTTCAAGCCAGAGGATCTAGCATCCTCGTGTCTAGTGCACTCTTTTCATTCATTTACATCCCTTCCCCTCTTTGTTTCTTCAATTGGCTCAATTCGTTCTCTGCTGGAGAGTTTTCCCTATCGCCGATCGGGCGTAGCTCTTGACCACCTTCCTTTCTGCCCTTTTCCCTTCCTTCCCTTTCATTTCCCCTCAAAACGGCGTCCTTCGCAAATGCTCGTCTCCTCCGCGAGGCTGAACCACAATCCCATCGCTATTTCGCAGGTGGGACGAGCCCCAGTCGAACCAACCCCGTGGAGGTGACTCCAGCTTTTCGAGCACGGCGGCGACAGTGCGTCCCCTTCTCGGGCCCGTCGTCGCTCCCTGCTGTCCTCCGACCTCCCGCTGTCCGCCTCGCCAACCCCGTCAATCACGTCCCTCGAATTACCCCAATCGCTATCCCGCCTGCGAACGTCTCGGACGAGAATCTTGCGTTCGCACCACAGTCTCCTCTCCTCAGTGTCCCCGAACAGCGGCGCAGCCGCTTAACTCCATCCCCCACATCCCCAACCAGTCTCGTCGTTGAACGCAGCCAGGGGGAAACCGACAGTGGACGCACAAGTATCGGACTACCTCCACGTCACAAACGCAGTCAACAAATATCACCCACCGAGATGGCTGCGGCGTTCGCTGGCAGTGCGGCGCGGGATGTCGAAAAGCTGCGTTCACCAGAGGCGGTTCATTTGACGCAAGATGGGACCCGTCGCGATGATGGCCGGCCCCGCCATGTGCAGTCCCAAACTTCTCTCCGATCACAATCCCAAATTGCCTCCATCCCCTCCAACACCGGCCAGGCCCCTCCTGAGATCGCCGAAGAATTGGCCTGGGGTCCCGCCCATCCTTGCTACCCTCATTTCAACCCTCATGTCCCCATTGGCTCACAAGAATACCTCACAACGCGCATTATTCGCGTTCGACGCGACTGGATGATCAAGGGCGATCTGGCACCGACCTTCTCTAATTTATACCCCGAGATATTGGACCCGTTACTATCTGAGCAAGAGTTCCGCAAGGTCATTGCCACAGTTAACGACGCCACGATCAAGGCCTTCGACCCGTACAGCCTAAGAAATTGGGTTGACGGAGCAATCGGCCTTCTGACCGGCTGGGTCTGGGACGACTTGAATGCGCCTAGCATCAAGAGGCAATTGCAGCATATCGAGGACTGGTTGGAAAACTGGAACCGTGAAGTAGGTTCCAAGGATGGCGTTCATATATGGAGCCTACGACGGACGGCGTATATGTCCATCGACATCCAAATCCCCGATCCCAAGGTCGGCATTGTGCCCAGTGAGGGCGGTCCCTCCTTACCAAATACGAGGCCCAGCACTGGCATGGGCAACTGATGGGTTTCTTCCCGTCGCTTCTTTTCTTCGACATCCTTATATTGGCCGTGTACTTCCTTTTAATCTGGTTGCTTTCTGATCCGGACTTTGCATGATATCCCTCCCCAGTGACCTGCTTTCGACTTTAACATTTTACCTTTACTTGAAATCCTCGATTCTTCGAATCTGCTCGTTAATTCGGGCTTACCCGTGGGTTGTGAATATTCCCACCTGTCCATATCGAACTTATTACAGCGGGTTCGCACTCTGTTAATTAAAGAACCCCGGAAAGCAAATATCAAGACCTCTGGTCCATAATAATTCCCTCATTTTGGCTTTTTCCGTATAGTTTTCAAATATGTGGTCACCACAACGGAAAATACATGCAAGAATTTGACCGTAATTGGCGTCATGGAATTCTGTCCTGCACGTATTAAATGCGTGTAAATGCAGCGCGATGCAAGTGTACAGAAATCGAGAAGGGTGCTTACCCACTCAAAACACTCAAATTCAGGCGGTGTCGATCCACCCCCCACATTACCCCCGTCTCTGTCTCTGAGCTCCTCCTCACTGTGATGAGCTCTCGCCCCAGCGCACCATGTTGTCGGGGATCTTGATCTTTAATCAGAAGGGTGAGAACCTCATCTTCCGCGCTTTCCGCAGCGATTGTCGCCCACGTCTCGCCGACATCTTCCGCATCCAGGTCATCTCCAACCCACAGGTCCGCTCCCCGATCCTCACACTGGGCTCGACCACCTTTAGCCATGTTAAGCATGAGAATATCTACCTGGTCGCCGTGACCAAAAGCAATGCCAATGCTGCGCTGGTCTTCGAGTTCCTCTACCGGCTCATCATGTTGGGCAAGAGCTACTTCGGCAAGTTCGACGAGGAGGCTGTGAAGAACAACTTTGTGCTGATTTACGAGTTGCTTGATGGTGCGCTCTACCTCTTTCTGTCTCGTACCAAAGATCAATGGCTAATTTCGGACGTTTTCTCACAGAAATCCTTGACTTTGGGTACCCGCAGAACACCGATCCCGATACCTTGAAAATGTACATCACCACTGAGGGGGTCAAGTCAGCCATTGCGAACAATCCCACAGACTCGAGTAAAATCACGCAACAAGCAACCGGTGCTCTTTCATGGCGCCGCTCCGATATCAAATACCGCAAAAATGAGGCGTTTGTGGACGTGATCGAAGATGTCAACCTCCTAATGTCAGCCACCGGCACCGTGCTGCGCGCCGACGTAAACGGTCATATCGTGATGCGCGCATACCTGACAGGAACACCCGAGTGCAAATTCGGGCTGAATGACCGACTTCTTCTGGATAGCCCTGATGCCTCAGGTGCCAATGGCCGAAAAGATGGTAATTCTGGTACAAGCAAGACCACGCGAGCGGCTGCTGGTTCTGTCACACTTGAAGACTGCCAGTTCCACCAGTGTGTGAAGCTGGGACGGTTTGATGCTGATCGTATCATCTCGTTCGTGCCGCCGGACGGCGAATTCGAGCTGATGCGCTACCGTGCCACGGAGAATGTCAATCTGCCGTTCAAGGTTCACCCGATCGTGCGGGAGATCGGTACAACGAAGGTCGAGTATAGCATTGCCATCAAGGCAAACTACGGCTCCAAGCTCTTCGCCTCTAATGTCATTGTTCGCATTCCCACTCCTCTCAACACCGCAAAGACTACTGAGCGGACGAGCCAGGGTCGTGCTAAGTATGAGCCCGAACACAACAATATCGTTTGGAAGATTCCTCGTTTCTCGGGCCAGAGCGAGTATGTGCTCAACGCCGAGGCTACTCTTACCTCGATGACGCATCAGAAAGCATGGAGTCGACCTCCAATCAATCTTTCATTCAGCATTCTAATGTTCACCTCATCTGGTTTACTTGTGCGTTACCTCAAGGTGTTTGAAAAGAACAATTACAGTTCTGTCAAATGGGTCCGTTACATGACTCGCGCAGGAAGTTATGAGATTCGGTATGATTCCTATATAACCCCCCTACTATCAATCCGACAAGCATTTTACTGACCAGACCTCCTCATCAAGATTCTAGATATCAAGAGCGGGAAGGCATGTCAATATCGTGGGCCTGTGAGCAACTTGTTGTCCTCCTCACTCAGACCATCAGGCGGTGTACGGCGTTGGATGGTGTTTTATTACATACTCCTGTTTACCTCCCGAGAGCATGGGAAATTTGCATATGAAACCTATTCTTCTTTCGTAAAAGTGATTCTTCAAAAGACAATCCACGGTTATATCATAATCTGGCTGCTCACACTCATCGCATCTTTTCATTCCGGTACGCTGATTGATCTATCCGAAGATGTTTGAAAACCCGTCGGGCAATGTCGCAGATCTGCCGGGGCTCGGATCGCAATGCCAGGGACGGATGAGTGGGTGTATAGCACGTCTCGAAGAGACCATACGATTGTAAATGCAGGAGACTCGTGGTAGTCTCTTTCTAGATGTGCGACTGAGATCGAGAGTTTGCAACGGGTGGTGCTGGATCCGGATGCCCTCAACCATGCCATGAACACTATCGTCTATCTCATGCGCTTGTGTGTATGGGGGGTCCGCACGCTAATTGGTACCAATTGTAACTTTTCGTACTATTAGACGAAAGCTCGCAAGGAAGAAGGAAATGAGGAACACATAGTAAGGAGAACCCAGTGCTTTCCTCTTTCCTTCCGAGACCCTCCACTTTTGTTCCAGCCAGTGACTTCCTCCACGAGTTAGCACAAAGCACAAGAGAATTAACATTTCATGGCGCTAGAAGACGATATATTATACATGTTTTAATACCATACCGAGAAAACATCTCTTCAGGTTGTGGCAGTCTGAGTAAATTCCTTGTCCACTCTGATCTCAGACAATGGAATCTCGTCAGCAGAACGATGACCCACCTGTGGACCTTTCACGTTGGTGTATGTCTTGGCATGATCATATCGTGGTCTGAATGATGCGTCCATAGTCGTTTCTTCCGACATAGACCCGGAGTCATCTGGTAAGTAATAGAAAGAATGACGATTCTGCTTCGAGCGTTGCGTGATCGCGGTAGCACTCTCGGCTATTTCCGACCGTTGGGTCGCACCGTTTGTGTTCTTACTTCTCGATCCGTTCGTGCTTCTGAAGAGTGCTACGACGCCACTGCTGATACCCAGTTTGCGTGCTATGAAGCGGAGGGCAGGGCGGAGGGCAGGCAGGTTGGCCGAGATGATGCCGGCGGACATTTCGATGGCGGTCCAGCCGACTGTCGGGGCGAGAGTATAGGAGGGATCAAGTGAGCTGTAGCTGAAAAGGACGGAGAACCGGTAGGCGGAGGTGAAGACAACGCTGCTGAGGTTTAGATTGGGCTACTTTGCGGGGGAGGAAAAAGGGGATCAGCATGTGAGGTTACGTACAAGAACCCCAAGCCAAAGGCAATTAAGACGGCGATCTTTTCCGAGGTTCGAAGTTGCAGCTTCCATACCTGTGGAATTGGAAGAAGGAGAATGGCGATATCGGTTGCGATTGTTGAAACGGCGTTGGCGATCCATGTGCTAACCTGGTTGATGCACCGTCCTGGAAGCTGGGGATCCCATATCTTCTGAACAGGGACGCAGATGAAGATGAAGAGGAAAGTGATACAGATCACCCAGAGAATGACAAAGGTGCCGATGACATATGCCCATGTCTTGAAGTAAGGAAAGCGGAAGATGCGATAGTACATGAGCAGAATGCACAATTTGGTCCAGACGAGGTTGAAGACGTAAAGAACCTCAGCCACGACCAGAAACTTTGCTATCATCACCACGTTTTCCGGTGGTAGAGTGTCTGCATGGAGACCCATTCCCTTTTGGACCATTCCGTAGATGAACCCGACGACGATGAAGTTCCATAGCTGATGAACAGACGGTCAGACTTTCATGCGATTGGAGACGATTGGAGGCTAGAAAATGAGAAGAAAGTACCCACCATAGAAAAGATAATCATATAATCATCCCACCATAGCTTCTGCGCGCGCTCAAAGCGTGCAAGTAGCCGCAGACAAACCGTCACGAACGCCAGCGCCGTGACCGTGGCCACGGTAGCGATGGTCCATGGCTGCAGATTGCTCGGATCACCCGTCATGACGTGCGGCAAATATCAAACGGGTCCAACAAAACGGTGGGAGACGGAATTCTAATATAGGCTGAGTTTAGCGGCGGCGGAACTCGTGGGGGGGGAGCTTTTCAACTGCCGATCTACGATTTCGGTTTTTAAATGGCCCCTTACCGATTGTGTCAGCGATGGAGAAAGGTACAATTCGATCATTATCTAGTGCGTTTGTATTTTTACTGCAGGATCGCGGCACATACTCGGCATAAGCTCGTAAAACAAACGGTTCCATAAAACGTACTTTTGACACTTGACAAGCTTGGCGTCTCAGGTCTGAACTTAATTCGCAGCTGTCAACCCACACATGGCGAGGGCGAAGAATGTTACAAATCTAAGTCTAGCCTAAATACAGGAGGTTGACCAAATAGTACTAATCAACAATGGGCTCCAGTCATGGCCAAGAAGGGCTCCACCCTCCTTTCAAAACAATGGTAGCCCCAACCAACCCTCTTGATGACACTCTACTGTAAGAATTCTTGTAGGTGGAGCCATCGGTGCTATAGTATCTGGAGGACCCCCCCCCCCCAAGTAAATGGTAATATCAGTGTGAGTGTGTATCCGCCGGGTTGTAATTTCTTCGTCCTCTGTCAATTTTTGCCTCTCAAGAATTCCGCATAATTTCCCATTCCACGCCATGTCTATCTTCTAGTCTGAATACAGTATAGTTTTCGGGACGGAAGGCTTGAGGATAGTTCCGAATACTGGTATTTTCCCGGCAGGTGGAGCTATTGTACTTACCAGTAGCGTCTCAGAAAGCGTTCGGGCCTGGAAACTTTTACTTTAACTGAACGGGGTTTAGAGGGCCCCACGCATTGAAGCCATCATCAATCCTGCGAAACTTCAGCCAATCCAGACCGAAGAGACTTCCCTAGACGGCGGGATGGAGACGGTGGCTTTGGAGATCAACCTCCGTTGGGGAAGGAGGGGGGAAAATCACCAGACACTGCCATACACTACTGTAACTTTGTCGGGATTTGCGCCCAATTCCAGATACATTTCCAGAAGAGGAATTTAGAACCTCGGCTGAGTCCCGAAAGCGACGCGACATATTGATTTGCAGAATATTGCCCCCCTCCCCGCGGAAACATACAAAACATTATCACCGCATCTTTCACCTCGAAAACAAAAAGACTATTGACTTTCACGCAAAATGGCTGCCACTCAAACGATCATAGTCCCCCACCTGGGCGGCATCAAGGCGGGTTATGCCTTCGCCAAGGACCACTATGATCCTTCCAAGCCGACCTGCGTGCTCATTAATTCGATGTGCATGACTGTGTCTCTATACCAGGATCAATTCAACAATGCCGCCCTAACCGATGCGATGAACCTCCTCGCCATCGAGCCATTAGGCCATGGCGCAACCAGTTGTCCCTCTGAACACTTTACCTACTGGGATTCTGCCCACATGGCCCTGCAGGTCATGGACCACTTTGGGATTCAGAAATCCTTCGCGCTGGGCACAAGCCAGGGCGGGTGGATAGTGACCCGAATGGCCCTGCTAGCTCCAGACCGGGTAAGTTTTGCCACGTTCCAGTTTCATGCATTTTGCCGAGATTTGTCCAAGCTTCCAAGCCCCCAAAATAGGATTCATGGATTAATTCTCGTTCCCTTTCTAGATCCTCGGTCTCATGCCCCTGGGAACTTCAATGGATTATGAATCCTCGGAATCCCGGTCTAAGGGGTGCTGGGACCCGGCTGCCAATCTCATGGCGTTTTACGAGAAGTGGTCCAGCCCCTCGGCTACGCCTGACTTTGTGGTGGATGATGTCTGGTGTGGGTTGGTTGGTGGAATTGGCTTTGGGGCTGCGGGTACGGCCGAGAAATCTGCCTTTTGGACTCGGACCCTGAAGGAAGTATACCAGGGTGATGAGGGCCGGAAGAAGGTCCGGATGGCGCTCAACTGCTTACTGGAGAGAGACGGGCTTCTGCTTCGGATCGGCGATATTAAATGTCCGGTTCATTGGCTACAGGTGAGTTTTTATCTTTTTATTTTTTTTATTCCTTATCTTTTGTAAAAGGATGTGCGTTTTTTTTAACTGGTGAATCAGGGAACCGAAGATGTTCCTTTTGGATCCATCGTTCCGGCAGAGCATATCCAGCGTTTCACTTCGTCGGCAGATGCTAAGCTTGTTATGATTGAGGGGGGTGCGCATTACTTGAATGCTACCAACCCCAAAGAGGTGGATGAGGCCCTTCTGGCCATGGTGACCAAGTACAACGGTTCTGTTACTGTGTAGAGTCCCGAGTAAATAGATGAGACCAAGAGGCTACTATTCAAGAGATATCTTCCAATGAACTATGATCACACTCTGATCATACTGTACTGTATCGTCCAAAGTATTTCGAGGGTCTAATTGGAGTAATTGCTACTCCACATTGGAAGGCTATTTCCGAGTCCAGGTGATCATGAAATGATCCAGTCCGACCGTCGGAGGTGATGCTGTAGATCTTTGTCGCAATGGCTTGCTTTTTTTTCTTGTCTATTGAGTGGGTCTGTTTGGTTTTGGATTCGAAAATAAAACACAACTACTGTACCGTATGGACACCAACGCCATGTGGACTACCCACAGTGGCGTTCAATTACATCGCACACGCTAAGTCGGCCGCTCAGGGGGCGTGCCCAACTTTACTCAATGCAGAGAGCACTTAAACGAAAAAGGGAGAGCTCAAACGTTGCCAAATAATACCCGGTATGTATGCAAAATGTGAGGCCGATCACGGGCCTGAACGGACAGATAAAGAACATTCAATGAATTTCATCTATTAGTTTTACTTTTTTATCGAAATGAGAGAACTTGTGTCAAAGTAATCGATGGAATTTCAAACCCAGTGGTATCTCAGATGGTATAAGTAATAATACAAATTCGTAGTGGTACATTGCTCAGCCTCGGAAAAAAAGCAGTTGCGAAACGAGCAGGAATCATGTGCAAGAATCGACTGTCCGAAAAGGGCAGACAGAGCGTTCCGATGAACAGATGGCGGGAATTTTCACAAAGCCAGTCGCGACAACAAGGGAAAAGGAAAAAAAGGGAACATTCAAGATCGACAAATTGATAATACAGGATTTCTTGAGACAAGTAATGGAGACATGGGAGGTAAAAGGGTCGTAAAATACAGAGGATTCGTGGAAAGAAGCGGTGTTGCGATCACCGTCCGCGTCGTAGACCAATACGGCCCTCGCCTATGAAGGAATTGAATCGTTGGCTGACGTCGGCGGGGTTTGTGCGACGCAATTGGCGCGCGCACTCGTCCCATTCTTGTTGAGAGAAGCAGAATTTCTCGAGAACCAGCTCGAGAAGACGTTGGTCTTCGGCGGAAGTCCATTCGGATGAAGATTTTGCAGGCAGGTCGTGCTCTTCAATAGAGGGGAGGACGGCATCTGGATCGATGCACGGACCAAAGTCTGGAATGCGCGCTCCTGTTTGACGCGCCGGGGAGGGCGGTGATTGCGTGATAGGGGGAGAGTGCAACGAATAGAAATCTGTTGAGGAGAGACCAAGAGGCATGTTATAGGGCGCGTGTCGTTGGCGTTTCGGTGTGGAGAATCGAGTACGAGTAGGGCCCATGTCCGCGTCGCTGTCATCGTCGAAACTTGAGCGACGGCGCTTGTTGGCGCCACGCGCGGGCGCAGAAGGCGGAGGAGGAGGTGTGGATGGGATGGAGGCCGGAGGAGGTGTTTGGCGAGGCGACGCGGGTCGGGCAACCTTGCGCGATCGAGTCGAGCGACGCGGCGGGTTGGTGGGAAGAGGACTCTGGAGGCGCTGCGGCTTGACAGACCGGCGCGGTGACGGAGCCGGCGATCCACTTAAGAGAGACTGTAGTGCGCGGCAGGTACCGAGCAAGCCGTTACCAGAGGGGTATCCTCTGTCGGTGGGAGGTGGTGTTGAGAAGAGGCGGTTGGGAGTGAAGCGAGACGACCGGCGCACGTCGCATCCGAGGGCAGAAGGCAGCAACATCTTGGCGCAAATATATAAGAATAGATGCGCAGAGCGAATTATAGGTCGATAGCCGTGAATATGAGACCACTTTAAAGGTTCGTGGTTGGGGTTGGGTCGGGTCGAGTTGGGTGTGCGCGAGCGAAAATGTGCGCGTTGCGCTGGAAAATGCGCCGGAGGGAGTTGCGAAGCGCGACGATGGAGTGGGAAGGGAAAGAAAGAGTGAGTGAGATGGTCGTCGAAATGCGCTTCGATATCCACCGAGACCGGAGTGGACAGATAGGGTGAGAGAACCCAAGCGGTGGTTGTTGTTTATTGAGCGAGTGGTTGTTAGGGAAGAAGAGCGCGGCGCGGGGCAGCCGAGCGATAAAAGAAAATTGGGCTGGGATCTTTTGGACTCGAGACTGCCGCAAACGGTCAAGCGAGTACCCACTCCAAGTGTGTTCAAAAGTGTTTTGGGCTGCAATGAATGTCCGATAATTATCAAATACAAGCTGGAGTTGCTTAATTATTGAATGCAATCAATCTTAACGAGTGTGTCAATTGGCAAAAAATAAAATAAAATAAAAAAGAATGAGGTCAGTGCCGGGAGTCGGGCCTGAATCAGGTTCAACGAGTGACCGATGACGAGGAAGGACGAGAGGAGATGAGGAGTTAAGGACTACTGTTCAGGAGCTGAGATTCTTCGTCTATTATACCTGAGATATCTAGGGCAGTAGTTTCTGGTGTTCCTATTCCTGGTACCTCTGATTCTCTCCCAGTGAAACAATAGGACAAAGGAGAACATCAAAGGTCCAAGGATGAAGCAAGGGCGCATCGAAAAGCCTTTGACCTTTGACCTTGACAAGGAGCAGGCACGTTCACCCCCTGAAACGCACTGCTCGGGTCGATCCACTTTCTCTTTTCCCAATTACACTTCCTATTTCGGCGCGCGAAACCCGCGACGACCCGCGTGCCCCACGCTGTCATGCAAATAGCCCCTCTACGTCTCGGTCCGTGATGATCGTCATTATCGATATCATTATGACTGCATGACCGCACGTTCCATGCGTATCACCAGGCTCGGCCGAGTTATCCGCGATGCAATGGGCATGACGTGCAATTGACGCCTGGTAATCGTTGGTCTTCTAAAGAGCATAGACAGGCGCTAGGAGCACACCTGGGTGTGCGGACAACTGGGCTTTGCCACCCCGTGAGCGACGAGACGCGTTTTAATATTCTGGACTCGCAGGGTTGCTTTTTCAGTCCTGCCTTCCCAAAGGTTCCCAGGTCCCTAGGCTCACAAGTACCCAGTCCCTTCTCACCAGCCTTGGTCAGGACCCTACCATACCAGCCCTGAAGGAGAAATATGCTACTAGGCTGGTTCCCAGCGTTGATCTATATTGCTTTCTTCGGGTCCTACAGACTATAGATTGTGCGATTGAGAAATTGGACGAGCTCAACGCCACAGTCACGAATTAGAGATTCGCGCGTTCAAGACGCGTCGCGCGTTGGCCAATCAGCGCTTGTCTGGGAGGTCCACAGTAATCAAATGCCTCACAGAGCGGGCGAAAACGTCGAAATAACGGCCATAATTCCTAGATGGACCTAGATACTCCTGCACAAAGCCTGTGCAGGAGAAAGGCGGGCCTATGCTTGGGGACAGAGTCGCTCGGAGAATACCCTCTCGAGAGAACCCCCTCTAACTTCTCCTTGGGGCCGATATGTACCTCAGTTGCTATAACTTGGCGGGGACAACCTGCTGGACGTGTGGTAGCTCAACAGAACGAGATCAAGTACAATGAATTAGACCAATAGCACGTTACAAAATTGTCCGTATTGCAGTAGATCTCCCGTTGATGGTTGATCAAGATGAAAGTCGGTTCGTCTCCATACATACTCCTTGCTTTCTGCAGGTCTATCACTTGGGCAGACTTGTGGGGCCGCGATTGAACATGTGGCATGCATGATCTCGCAGCACCTACTGCACTTCTATTCTCACCAGCAACGTGCAGAATGCCATCACTCGGCCCGTCTAGCATGGATTGCATTGCCTTTTCCCCCACATAGTATCTATACACCCAAATTCATCTACTATACTCCGACAGTAAATCTTATGATGAGCACCGGTCCCATAGGGAGCTACAGGTGACGCCCCTGTCTTCCTCAACAAATCCTTTCTGACCCACTATCTAAGCCCTTAAGGAGTCTGAAGGGCATCACTCCATTCACCGCGGAGGCTGGGTAGGCAGCTTCGACCCCATCATCACCCCTCTCACAGCAGAGTCATCCAGCCCCAAAACATACTCCCCTCCATGCAAGGGGGACAAAAAAGCAGAGAGGACTATTCCCAACCAGAGTCGCTCATAGGAACATCCAAGGTTAACCTCGAAACTCTACCTCCACGGGGACGCACAACATGAAGTTGCAGCACTAAAGCTGCAGCTTACCCTAATCTGTGTTTACCAAAACAATGAGGCTTGAAAAGTCTTTTCCCCCAGGACCTGAAAAGCCCACCCCTTCCCAATCAGTGCAAGACATCCCGCCCTGTTCACAGCGAGTGCTGGCCGATCGGAGCCACAACTTGGATATACCTCGTGGGTCAAAGTGGCTGGGTACGTTGCCCCTCCAACAATGCTCCGCCAGGGCCATCAACTCCTTGGAAGAGTACATCCACAAGGTCTCACAATCTCGCCTCCTTTGCGACTCAACGTATGTCTTGGCATGGGTCTATCGTCGTCTGTGTCTTATCCTAATACCGAATCTGGTGATCCTGCATTCCGATGGACGGATGACAGGTGATAGGCGATCGACGCATAACCCTGGACCTGGGTCCACTGTATTGGACTCATTGGTAGGATGGAAGGACGCAGACAGGGTGGCTTAGGGCCCATTATATTTGCATTTTTGTTTGTTTTGAATCTCGCCCTGAGACAGTGTTGCAGGAGGTTGAGCTCATGTGCAGACAAGGTGCGAATTCCTCCATGGCAACGATGCATGTGTGCATGCTGAAAGCCTACTATATAGACTTGCTTCACACCTTTTTCTAGATCTTCTAGAATTTGAGTGGTAACGTTTCCGGTGTCGCTACGTCCTCAGCTGTACCGAGATCTCCGGCTCAAAGTACGATGGCCTTGTTCAAAGCATCGAGTCATCGTGAGACAATTCAGCCAATAGCCCGCCAACCGATCCACCCATGTAAACCTCACCCAATCTTGATGGGCGGAGATCAATACCGTGTATTCCTCTATCCAGGAACATCCCTTCCTTTCCCTATTCTAGTGTTGCTCGTGACTGCTTACCTGTAACTGAACACATCACCGAGTCCACCGAGCGGATCCTTGGTCACAGGGTCCTGTCTTCCTGTCTTGTTGGTGGCCACTGTCTCCAGCCGAGACAGCTAGGGATGAATGTAACTCTCAAGCACCAAGCAGTTCTGTCCAGGTAAGACCTGGGCCTTTATCCATAGCCAATGGGCTGTCCTTGTACCCCTCCTAATCCATTACAAACGGGGGCTTCCCTTTCTGAAGCCCTTCTTGTTGCCAAGGTGGGAAGAGGGGAACAGACTATTGATTCCACTGGATGCCTCCTTTGGCGTGTAGCGAGGCTTTGGAAATATTCCTTGCTAACAAATATGGATGTGTAATTGGAATCAAGGGCCCACTCCCCTGCTACAATTGCAGGTTCTTCCTTTCATTGATCTTTATGGGTACTCCTTCCTGCGCGACTTGTGCTACACTTTTCTTTCCATAATGATCTTCAGGTCTAGTGAGCCCCTTTGCTTCGTGGCGACCTCTCTTGGAAATAGTTCCATCATTGGTCATTTGATTCGCACTCCTGCCACAGGCAGTAAAGGGTAAAATGGCGAAAATATCGCGACATCCATTCTTGTGTTCACGAGTTTCGATCATCTCAAGCTACTTGTACGAAGTCGGTAATCTCGTACTCTATGTATATCGCTACCACGAAAGCCTAGATTTGGCGGAAATTCATTCCTTGATTGGCCAATTCCGCACACGTAAGTCTCATTTATCGCATTACATATGCTCTAATCATACATTCATGTGTTTGGTATACATGATCGTCTCCATCTTCCCATCATGGACATTCTGCCCATCGTTTGCATCGCCAAAGACTTACGGATAGGATAGCCATCTGACGTGTCAGACCATTCAGACAAGAAACCCAGCCATGGTCATCAACTGTCAATAGATAGGATGACATGACTTAGCCGTCGACCGGCTGCAGAACAAGAGAACAGAAGTGGTCATCTACCGCAAATCATCCTCATTAACGCTAAATGAACGACGCTTGCGCTTGCTGTATCTGTGCGACTCCCGTTTATCTGCGGCCCCATCTTCGGCAACTCTTTTCTCGGCATTTCTGGCCTCTGCAGCTCGCTGGCGAGTGTATGGTTTGTTGGGTTGCTGTTTGCCGCGGGTGATGTGGCTCGTGGGTTCAGGGCGATACGCCAGCCCTGCATCCGAGCGGAAAAGTGAGCCATCCTTCATGGCACTGGTGATCGCGGGTGCAGAGTGACGCGGCTGGTCAGCTCCCATGGCGAAGAACGAGGCATTGTCGTCTGGATATCGAAGGATATCGGCAGTGCGAGGAGGCGCGGGCGAGCGAGAGAAGCCTGCTTCCACTTTGGAGGAAAAGGCATCGCTTTGAGGGAACCGTTGTCTTTCGACGGCCGTCAGAATTTTGGGGTTGCGCATCGATGCTGCACCTTCAGGGGTTGCAGAGCGGTGCACTGGCTCGCCTTCCATTTCCATGTAGAACAGACTGTCATTCGAGGGGAATCGCGGTTTCCGAGTGAGTCGCTCGGAAAGACCGAGGAGATCCCCATCTCGTCGATGGGATTCAGGTTGGGTAACAAAATTGTGAAATAACTGCCCTGGCCCCATACAGCCAATCTGGTTCACGAACTGGAACTTTTCCTTGTTCACCTCTGCAACACTGCAGGGCTGACTCAGTGAGCGTTCTATGGCTTGGTTCTTGTGGGCATTGAGGTACCCGGGGACCTTTTCGGTACGGTGGATCAGTTCTGCATGGTCATTTTCCCCGTGGCGAGATGAGAACAGGCTGCTCGAGGCACTCGGTGGAGACCAGACTCGACGACAAGCATGATGCCCCCCTTGTACGGAAAGGACATCTTCCTGCTGATGAGAGGGGGCCACTCGACTGAGGGCGCTCGTGACTTGAGATGAGCGTCCAGTGATAGACAAGTGAGAGATGCAGGCATCAATCTCAAAAAATTTATAGTCTTGGAGTCTCTCGCCGGGCTTAGTGTAGAGTGTGTAAGTCTGACCAGCGGAATTCTGAAAAGCTTCAAGGTCGGCAAGTGTAACAATCGAAGGATCAGAACGAGGCCGCGGAGCCCATTGGTCAACAGCTACCTGGTAACGACGCTCCAGCTCATCTCTTCCGGGGAGGAACTCGAACCACTTGTGACGCAGAGCCTGCTTCACGTTCAAGCGCTGTTGCTCGTCGAGAACGAGCAATTCCTTAATGAATTGTTGGGGATATCCAACGATTCCATTTTGACTCAGCTCCTTGGTCAGCCCTTTCTGCTCGTCTCCATTGTGGTCGAATGGTCTGTGGGATTCACGAGTAGGCAGGAAACCCATCAACAATGTCGCAGTCACACAGCCTAGTGAATACAGATCTATGGACTTGCTGTATCCGGCGGTGTTGGCCGAATTCACCTCACTTTCAAAAAATCTTTAGTAAACCCTCACAAATGATGCTTTTGAAGGACGTCTACTCACGGAGCGCAGTATTCGTATGTGCCAGTGATGGTTTGCATCCGCTCGATAGGCTGAGGCACTCTTCTGGCGCATCCAAAGTCCGTCAACACAACTCGACCACATTGTCCCAGTGAGGTAATCAAGATGTTGTCTGGCTTGATATCTCTGTGCACGATATCTCTGTCGTGTAGGTATTCAATGGCGAGCAGAACCTGGCGAGTGATAAATGCCGCCTCCCGCTCCTCGATGGTCCCTCCCCTGTAGCGCAGGAACGAAACGAGGTCGCCAGCAGTCACCAGTTCACTGAAGATGTAACTAAAATTTTATGAGACCTTTGTTCCAATCCGCCTCTCGTATCCTCTTGTATGACTCACATCGTATTGGGGGAATGAATCGCTGTCTCGAAGCTGATGATGTTCGGCTCAATATTTCATTAGCTTCATCCATTCTGAGAGCTATGAAATTGACTTACATGGGACAGGGTCTCGAGAAGTTGAGCTTCACGATAGTACTTCTCAAGATTTTCGTCGATGCTCTTCAGTTTGTACATAGCGATTCGTTGTGCAGGAGGGCCAAGCTCTGTCTGCTTGAGTTCTTGCTGCAGCTCGAGCTCGCACTTGGCCTTGGAGCTTTTGATGTCAACTATTTTGCAGGCAATCTGCTGTCCGGTAGCAATCTGGTAGGCCATTTGAACCCTTCCATAAGCACCAGAGCCCAGCTCTCGTCGAGTGACGCAGTAGCTGCTCTGAAACACCTGCATGTACCTCTTGTCAGCCATAAAGGAGGCAAGATCAAAGAAACATGGAAGAAATGACCTTCATCTCAGCTTTTTGCCATTCAGTAAAGTTCTTCTGCGGGTTCGCGGCAGATTCAAACAGAAGCTGAAACTCAGGCACGATCGTTAGGATATCACCATCGCTCAGGAGGAAACTCTTCCCTTGCATCGCGTAGCCGTTCCAGCGAGTTCCGTTAGTTGATATGTCCTGAGCATAAACAAGCGGGGCCACAGTATCGGACGAATACTCATCGTAAATGACGGTATAGATCCGCACATGCTTGTTTGATACAAACCTATGGCTGCTTGAGTATTGGCTGAGCACCAGCGATGAGACGTCTACGTGAGTAAAACAAACCTGACGAGAACAGGCAGAGACGGGCTTACCATGTTGATGTGTCTCGTCCGATGAAGATTTCGTCGCCGCTGTCAATGACCAATGGCTCGATGCGTTCTTCCGTCTTTGGATCCCAGCGGAAGAGTTTGCCCACAAATACATCACCAGTGCCCGTATGACATTCAGACATGATTGCGAGTGGGAATTGATGAATGTGAAAGTTTCAATGGCAAGTATAGGGGTTTGGAGGAAGGAAGATAGGATGAGGAAGGCAAAGTGAGGACGAGTTTCATGGAAGCAAACGCGACTGGTATTGATCCGACGGGCTACAGCTCGCCACTGATCGATACTGCTCGCCAACGGCGAATTCATATGCTTGCGGGTAAATCAATACAATCATAAATGTTTTATTCTTGGTAATAGGCAGGCAAGTCTTGTTTACTTGACAATGACTAAAAGAGCTCATCCACGGTAGCGGTATACAAGCACCGTCTTGGAAGTTCAAAGGATGGACCAGTGTCCAAAGAAACAATTTCTACCATCCTTTGCAGGCTAAGGGTCTTGAAGAAGAGGAATCTCTAGGGCATGGGGATTTTGACTATATACCTAATGAAGTGGTCATCCGACTTACAAAGAGCGCGGAGGCTCTTGGTTTTATCCTGAAGCAACTCAACTCCCTTGCATTCGGCGGAAACGTTCTTCGGCTGCGCGAGCTCGCCGTTCCCTTTCCAGCCTCATTCTCATCTCCGGCGCCATGCCTCGCGTCTCTTCGTCACGCTTCTCTGCTGCTGTCTTTTCGACTGCACCAAGGGTACGACCAGGCTTGCTTGCAGCTAAGTGAGCCTCCCTTTCAGCATCCTCCTTCTTCAGTCGCTCCAAATCGGCCTTCCGACGGTTTTTCTCCTCTGCCTCTGCAGACTTTTGCTCTTGTTCATTTCGTCTATCCGCGTCGGCCTTGGACACAGCCGATGGGACCTTAGCCATACTCCAATCCCATTTTGATTCGCCCAGCTCATGGCGGGCAACTCGGAATGCGTCGCGAGTGGGGCGGTCTCCTGAAAGCTCAAATGGGGTTCTTCCTTCGTTGTTTGTGACCGTAGGGTCCGCGTTGGCTCTGGTGAGCAGCGCCGAGACGACAGCGGGAGCATTTAGGTTGGCTGCCAGATGAAGGGGGGTTGGACAACGGAAGTTTTGTTGAGAATCAGTAGGCTGGAAAGTGAATGAAGAGGGTATGGAGTTGTTGGATAGATATGACATTAGGGCAGGGACCTTTGATCGGCGGATCAGAGCCTGAATCTGGGTCGTGTGAAGCTGAGCGACGTCTTCTTCCTTTGAAATCTTGGGCTTTTGCGGTTGAGGGCGTGGCGTAGATGGCTTCGACTCCTCCTTTTCTTTCTGCTTTACCGCAGCTGCAGCTGCCGCCAGTGCGGCCTCGTCAACCTCACTGACCTTTACCCGAGTCAATTCCTTGAAACATCTCATAAGCTCTCCCTGAGTAGCTCGGCGAGTGTTAAAGGGGAAGCCTCGCACTCTGGGATCATTTTGCTTGAGAACCTGACCCTCGTACTTGTCGAAAAGAATCTTCCGGTTTGTCTTTCCAGTAGCACGAATAAACAACAATTCGGACGTGTCAATCATCTGCTTCCAGTCCGCTAATAATTCCCGAATGTCTTTCTCGAGCGCAGCTTCGTTGTACCGACGTAGACTAGAACCAGCAGAGTGCGCAGCTCCTCGGGAAGCATCGCTGGCAGACTGGGAGCCACCCTGCTTTCGTCGGGTGGTGTATCGGTGGAATGTTTTGTGTGCGATGACTCGCGCCTGTCTCTCCTCAACGCCTCCCTGCTTGCGATGAATCTCCGGCGCCAATGACACCAGCATTGCAGCAAAATGACCACCCCCGATCATACACATGAAGATATGAGGCCCCGCAGCCGTTGGATCTTGTTGAGCGTGCGCATTATTCGTTCGGGCCTTTACCGGAGCCAGTTGTTTCTTTCGTATTGTGTCCACCAAGTGACCTGGTTCATCTTGCTCCGCCTGGGAGAAGATTGCTCTGTAAACACCCAGAGACTTATTCGAGGGTAAACTGGAGCTGGAAAGCCAGAATAACGGGTTCTTCGGCGTACCCTTCACGATGTGATCCTCCTCTTCGTTCGCCCCAGACAGTTTGGCCTGCTTTTTCAGCAAAGCCGTCAGTGTCGTGTCGGCACTACCATCGATATCTTCATCCTCAGACTCCGACGACTCGGATCCAGATATTGACTCGTCGAGGTCTCCAACAGCTTTTGCAAACTGAACTTCGTCAAGTGTTGCGGTTCCACGTAGTTGAGATTTTAGGTTGTACCGGTGGTGATCAGAGCGAACGTGACTGCGCTGTTCTTGAACACTATTGTAGGATACCTTGCAGAGCGAGCATTGAGTTGATGTAGCAATCGCAGATTCTTGTGCGGCGATCTCGGGATCTTTGTGATCGTCCCCGGTGCTCTGTTCGGCAACGGATTGGTTGGTAGTCTTTGCGCTTAGTGTCGCAAGAAGCTCCTGGGGAAGATCATAGACTGCCCAAGTCAGTTGAAAGCACAGCTGAAAACTTGAGGTATTTGCGCACCGTAAAGAGGTCTCTTCAAGAGCTCTTCAACGCGAACTGTATCGCCCATGATGGTTGGGTAGAGAAAGCTTGGAATGGGTGCCCCTCTAATGACGATATGGCTCTTACCGCCTTAGGTGGCGGGCGACTGCTCAGCTTATATGCGGCTCTGTGTTTCGGGTATACTCTGAGTGGCAATCACGTTGAGTCATCCAGATCGCAGAAGACCAAGACCAAAAATACTTTTCAGCCTCTGATATTGACGTTTGCTCGTGTCTGTGGAGCATGTGTTGTGGCTGAATCTAAGCTACCAAATTTTGCGCTATGACTAGCTCGGTTGCCCGCTCTGACTCACAAGGCCTTAGCAATATGCAGCGTTTTACAGTTCGTTTACTTATCTTTCCATACCCTGATACGTTTCTAAGGATGGATGCAGTGTCTTTTATGCCGTTGCATCTTCAAAGAAATAGCTTGATTCTAGGCACGTGATCTGAAAGTGCGAATCGCCAAATAAAGGAATACGTCATATCTTTGGCGCGGGTTCCTGAGATCCAGAGAGCATTTGAGTCTGATATATAATTCTCTGTACGTCGAAAGACAAGGATTCAAGTTATATTGTCAAATGGATATGGCCATTTGTAAGTGAAGGTTTGCCCCAGCTCATTGGTAATATGGCCCTCTATGATCAACTTGGAGATATATATAGAGTGCCCGCATAGTTCGAAACAGGCATCATGAGAACCTGACTGCATGTTCCCAGGGCTTATATTGATCTTGTATTACCAACGTGGTGTCACAGTACTTGAAGAATTCATCCGACTCTGCCAGGTCAAGAGAAGCATCTGAGGATTTCAATCGCATGAACTGTCAAGGCAAGGGAAATGCACTTCCGACCTTATCACGGCGCAGGCATTGCCGGCTTTATCTTCTTTAAATGACTTATCGCCGGATGACCCGGATCACGTGACTCACCATCGCGACTTCCTAAAGTCGAGTCTCTCCAGGTCTTCTAGTTCAGTTGATGGAACACTAGTCTTCGATATAACCTCCACAGACTAGTACTGTCAGTACATTTTGTATGTTGCGCTATGGAGAACCGAGAGTTCCAACGTGCTGGGTCAGCGTCCGGACTTAGAAGATTTGCGCGCGAGACAAGCTCGGCCTTTTAGTAAGCAGGCCGCAAGCTCCATTTCCGACACCGTCTTTCTCTTCCTCCTCTCCAGGTAAAACGGGGCGTATTGTTGCTTGTCACCAATATGTTGGATGGTAATAACCAGGCCGTACTCGGGGGCTCCGAACCTGGAGGTTCCCTGCAGTCGCCGTTCAGATCGGCTTTCGCTCCCCGCAAGCAGTCCTTCTGCACTGATCCCGAAGGATGGGGCCCCCTCAGCCCGACGGGATTCCACGTAACTCCATGCTTCATCGATGTGATCGTTGCTGTGGTCGCCGTATGGGGGATTTTTGCCGGTGCTGGTGCGCTATATCTCCTGTTGAAGAAGCGTATTCCGCAACCCGTCTCCAAGAATTGGCATTTCTATGCCAAGCTGGTATGCTACCCGCGTCATTTGACCCGTTGCAGATCGGATCGGATCGCTAACCCACCTTCGATTGAATAGGTCGTTCTCGCCTCCCTCATTATCGTCACTGCGCTTCAAGCAGCCCTGCAAGCCGAGACCCAGCCGAAAACCTTCTGGGCCGACTTCCGATTCTGGTCTTCGATCGCGACACTCGGCTCTCTGGGCGTGATCTACGTGGTGCAATACTATGAGCATTGGCGGAGCAGGCAGCCGAATGGCGTTGTATTGTTCTACTGGCTCTTCTTCATCATCGCCTACGGCATCAAGTTGCAGTCCCTCGTTTCGCGCAAGGACTATGTTAATCAACTCCCGTATTTCATCCTCATCAACATCAGCTTGGGATTGGCGCTGATCGAGTTTTTGCTCGAATATCTCGTTCCCAAGAAGCAAAGCGCCTATGACGCTCTTGGCGACGAAGATGAATGCCCGTACAACTATGCGGATATCTTTTCAGTTCTTACCTTCAGCTGGATGACGCCCTTGATGAAGTTCGGATACAAGAATTATCTGACCCAAGATGACTTGTGGAACCTCCGCCGGCGTGACACCACCCGTGCCACGCTCGATGATCTGAGCGAGGCCTGGGAGGAGCAGCTCCATACTAAGAAGCCGTCTCTTTGGATTGCCCTCTTCAAGGCGTTTGGTGGCCCGTATCTTCGTGGAGCCATTATTAAGTCGGGAAGTGATGCGCTCGCTTTTGTTCAGCCGCAGCTGTTGCGCTACCTGATCACTTTTATCGATTCTTACCGAGGCCCTGAACCTCAGCCAGTCATCCGAGGTGTGGCAATTGCTCTGGCAATGTTCCTGGTCTCAGTCGTACAGACTAGCTGTCTCCACCAGTACTTCCAGCGAGCTTTCGACACTGGCATGCGGGTGAAATCATCGCTGACTGCCCTGATTTATTCCAAGGCGTTGCGTTTGTCAAGCGAAGGTCGTGCGACCAAGACCACTGGTGACATTGTGAACCATATGGCTGTCGATCAACAGCGCTTATCTGATCTGACTCAATTCGGTACCCAACTCTTGTCTGCCCCATTCCAGATCACTCTGTGCATGCTTTCACTCTACCAGCTAGTAGGACCCAGCATGTTCGCTGGTATCGGTGTGATGATTTTCATGATCCCGTTGAATGGTGTCATTGCGCGCATGATGAAGAAGCTGCAGATTACCCAGATGAAGAACAAGGATTCTAGAACCCGTCTCATGACCGAGATTCTGAACAACATCAAGAGCATTAAGCTTTATGCATGGAATACGGCCTTCATGAATAAGCTAAGCCACATCCGAAACGATCTGGAGCTCAACACTCTTCGCAAAATTGGAGCTACTCAATCTGTTGCCAACTTCACCTGGCAATCGACTCCTTTCCTAGTGTCTTGCTCAACTTTTACCGTATTTGTCTTGACCAGTGACAAGCCTCTGACTACTGAAATCGTGTTCCCTGCCCTGACCCTGTTCAACCTCCTTACGTTCCCTCTCTCCATTCTGCCTATGGTCATTACCTCGGTCATCGAGTCTACCGTGGCCGTGAAGCGATTGATGGATTACTTGACCGCCGAAGAGTTGCAAACCGACGCGGTTATCTTCGAGGACCCCGTGGATCACGCCGGTGACGAGTCCGTCCGCCTCCGTGACGCTTCTTTCACCTGGAACCGCCACACTGGAACTACTGTCCTGGAGAATATTGACTTGAGTGCTCGCAAGGGTGAACTCAGCTGTATTGTTGGTCGTGTCGGAAGCGGCAAGTCTTCCCTGCTGCAATCTATTTTGGGTGAACTCTATAAGATCGACGGTGAGGTTGTTGTCCGTGGCCGTGTCGCCTATGTTGCACAGGCACCATGGGTCATGAATGCGAGTGTACGGGAGAACATTGTGTTTGGTCACCGATGGGACCCTGACTTCTATGACCTTACTGTTGAGGCCTGCGCTCTGCTAGACGATTTCAAGAACCTGCCTGATGGTGATCAAACCGAAGTTGGTGAGCGTGGTATCTCCCTCTCTGGAGGACAGAAGGCACGTTTGACTCTTGCACGTGCCGTGTACGCTCGCGCGGATATTTATCTGCTTGACGATGTCCTCTCGGCAGTCGATCAGCATGTTGGACGTCATATCATCAACAAGGTGCTCGGCCCCTCTGGTATTCTGAATAGCAAAACGAGGATTCTCGCTACCAATGCGATCACAGTCCTCAAGGAGGCTGATTTCATTGGCTTGATCCGTGACAAGACTATCATTGAGAAGGGTACATATGAGCAGCTCATGGCAATGAAGGGTGAGATTTTCAATCTTGTCCGCACCAATCTTGCCGAAGCCTCGGATGACGAGCGCGAGGTTAGTGGCTCCGAAGATGGCCTTGCTAGTCCCGAGGGCTCTGAGGAGACAGCGATCATCGAAAATGACGAGGACTCGGATAGCGAAGGTATGGAACAGCCAGGCTCTCTCTGTGCCTATCAAGAGCAACCGGAAGCCTGCCCAGAGGAAGAATAGCCATGTCACGCTTCGCCGCGCCAGCACCGCCAGCTGGCAGGGACCGAGACGCAAGCTTGGAGATGAAGAGAATATTATCAAGTCCAAACAAACCCAGGAGACCAGCGAGCAAGGCAAGGTCAAGTGGAGTGTCTACACTGAATATGCCAAGGACAGCAACATCGTTGCAGTTGGTTTCTATCTCTTTGCTCTTGTTGCTGCGCAGACCGCCCAGGTGCTTGGTAATTTCTGGCTGAAGAACTGGACCGAATACAACGAGGTACACGGTGGCAACGAGAATGTGGGCAAGTTTATTGGTGTCTATCTCGCATTCGGGTTGGGATCATCCCTTCTAGTTATCATTCAGAACTTGATTCTTTGGATCTTCTGCTCAATTGAGGCCTCTCGAAAAATGCATGAGCGCATGGCCTTTGCAATCTTCCGCTCCCCTATGAATTTCTTCGAGACTACTCCGTCAGGTCGCATTCTCAACAGATTCTCTAGCGATATCTACCGCGTGGACGAAGTTCTTGCTCGCACATTCAACATGTTGTTCGCCAACTCTGCTCGCGCAGTGTTCACAATGGCCGTTATTGCCTCATCGACCCCAGCCTTCTTGCTCTTCGTTCCCCCGCTGGCCTACATCTATCTAAGTTACCAGAAGTACTATCTTCGCACATCTCGTGAACTCAAGCGTCTCGACAGTGTCACTCGTAGTCCTATCTACGCTCATTTCCAGGAATCTCTCGGTGGCATCTGCACCATCCGCGCTTATCGCCAAGAGAAACGCTTTGCTCAGGAGAATGAGTGGCGCATGGATGCCAACTTGCGTGCTTACTTCCCGTCTATCAGCGCTAATCGCTGGCTTGCTGTTCGACTTGAGTTCATCGGCTCGATCATTATTCTGGCTTCCGCTGGCCTTGCTATCACCTCCGTTGCCACTGGCAGCGTGGTCTCTGCAGGCATGGTTGGTTTAGCCATGTCCTACGCCCTTCAGATCACCCAATCTCTCAACTGGATTGTTCGCCAGACCGTCGAGGTCGAGACCAATATTGTCTCTGTTGAGCGTGTGCTCGAATACGCCAACCTTCCTAGCGAAGCACCCGACGTGATTTTCAAGCGTCGCCCTGCCATTGGTTGGCCTTCCCAGGGTGCTGTTTCTTTCAAGAATTACAGCACTCGTTATCGTGAGGGACTCGACTTGGTGCTGAAAGACATTGACCTTGATATCAAGCCCCACGAGAAGATTGGAGTTGTCGGCCGTACCGGTGCCGGAAAGAGTTCTCTTACACTCGCTCTCTTCCGAATTATCGAGCCCACCAGTGGTACCATTAGCATCGATGGCGTTGATGTGTCTTCCATTGGCCTATTTGATCTTCGTGGTCGACTCGCGATTATTCCCCAGGACCCTGCCATGTTCGAAGGCACACTGCGCGACAATCTGGATCCTCGCCATGTCCATGATGACACTGCTCTTTGGAGCGTTCTAGGTATGATCAAAATTTCTTTGTGCCATATTAATATTTACTGACCAACACCAGATCATGCGAAATTGAAGGAACATGTCTCGTCAATGGAAGGTCAACTTGATGCGCCGGTTCAAGAAGGAGGTAAGAGCCATTCGTGTTTGTATTCCTGTGGCGATCTCTGACTGAGGCATCTAGGATCCAATTTGAGTCAAGGACAACGCCAGCTGGTCTCCCTCGCCCGGGCTTTGTTGACACCCAGCAATATCCTTGTCCTGGACGAGGCAACCGTAAGAAAACACTTTGCCTCTGCATCTGGCAACAATGGCTAACAACTTACTCCCAGGCCGCGGTCGACGTAGAGACAGACGCGCTGCTCCAGCGCACCCTGCGCAGCAGCATCTTCCAAGACCGCACAATCATCACGATCGCGCACCGCATCAACACGATCATAGATTCCGACCGAATCGTCGTTCTAGACAAGGGTCGAGTGGCTGAATTCGACACGCCAGCCAACCTGATCAAGCGAGGTGGTCGCTTCTACGAGCTAGCCAAGGAGGCAGGCTTGCTTGACAGCGACGGTCTCGCCACTTCGCAAAAATGAAAGCCAATCGGTCGTAATTAGCCCCGACGAGTTCCCGCGTCATGCGTACTCAGCCGGCCTGCAAAGAGGCGCCCAGCCTCCACCATTCTGAGTGGCTTGGGGGATACGGATTCTGGCCCCAGAGCATCGGCCCGATCTGTGGTCATGACGGATCCTGGTCATTCAATTTCCCGCGCATGGATTATCCTTCTCACCATATCCTAACCGTTCGAACACCCGATGGCAACCCCTTGTGGCGCGGGTGTCTGTGCAGAGTGGCACCTCTCATGGGGAAAACCTTGTCAATGCAACGCCCCAGGGCTCTTTCCCCTGACAAGAATCAAGAGGCAACGTTGCGGGGAAGAAGATCGCAAATCTTTCCTTTTAGCAAAGCCAGTTCTTTTCTCTTTGCCCCGGCCCTCCATGTCAATATTGCGCGATTGAGGCCCGCTGATTGGTGTGACTCTGGAATCTTGAAAAGTGCTTTTATTTCTGTACGATCTACATCTCAATCCTTTCCTTACTACCCCCTGTGATCAGACCGCATGTACAGTGTCATCATGCCTTATTCCTGTTTTTGTTGATAGCATGTGGACAATACAACTCATTCGCACATATAGCAGCAGCCAAAGTAAAATGAAAACAAGGAAACAGAAAAAAAGGCTTAAAAAAGTCTCCGTCCAGACCCAAGGTCGAACATTTATCTGCATGCACACAATGACATAAACCACTTCTCAGACCGGGATTATATGATTATTTGCAGTAGCGCCGCGACCCAAACGTGGCGGTGACATCTCGTTATCCCAATAGAATCGTCTTTCATTGTAGCGGTGAACATCTGTCTAGCGTGGCACCCACCGACACACGAAATTAATTGATTAGGAAGCCCAGAACATACCGATTGCACCTGCCAGGATTCCCTCCGGACTTGCGAACTTGCGACGCAAATCAACTTCATCCAAGTTAAGGCAGATATGCCCACTCCGCGTCAAAATCATGTAGTCACGACTGCGGTCTCGCACCCGCCACAGTAACCCGCTGTCCGATTCTAGTTTGACGGTCACTTCGGGCTAAGAATAGGTCGGGAAATATATTGCTATGCCTTTCGATAGTCGCCTTTCTTCAGCCAGGGTCTCCTTGCATTTGGGAGATTGCTTATGCTCGGCTGGGGGAACATGGTTTCCTCGAAACAGCACGGTCTGGCCGGTGTTGGAGGACGTGCGTCTTGAGGTGCACCTAAGATTACATATGTACAATGTGCTCGCTAGATGCAGAGAAGGGTTGGGATGAACCTCGGGAGCGCCGATTAGCTTTGTTCCACTTTCAACTTTCGACTTTCGACTTTCGACTTTCGACTTCTGAATTCACAGGCTCAGCTTCTGCACTTGCCTATGCAGGTCCTTTGGTATAGTCGTTTTGATTTTCTCGTTTTTCGAGGAGCTGGAGGAGTGTTGCCACATGCCTACATACGTAGTGCATATATATTATTGCCTACGGCATGTGCACGCCTCCATGCCAGCGATCTTTCGAGATCTCTATAATATCGTAGTGGGTTCCAATGCATGGTACCTGAGCCACTTTTCCCAGATTCGAACCCGGGAATCGAAAAAGTCAAGATATCAAATCTGGCGTGGCTCAAATAGTGCATGTCATATGAATTCGCCTCCCCCTCTCGTCTCAGGTTGGTCTATCCTGTCCGTGCTCCCTTTGGGACCCTTCAATTGGTCCTACGTTCTCCCCTCCCGTTGTTGTTTCAGCTGTCATTGAAACGAAGACCCAGGTCAGTGCGTTGGGGAAACGCTGCTCCCGTTCCAGCAATCTTGATTTAACGGGTCGCCGATGGGCCAATGATGGATTGCAATAGCCGACTCTGGGGTTTGGAATCATAAAATTATAACCCTTCTTGAACTATGTTATCAACCTTCTTGGTTGATCTCGGTGTTGGGGTCAGACGATGAATTCCAGCCCCCCTCTTAGAACTCTAAAGCGGAGATTGTGCGGTCCCACACTGCGCTCTTCGTAGACGCCAGGGAACCAGATAGGGCTTGCTAGCGAGGAGGGCCCGATTACAACTTTACTGGATCCGGATCTGGATTTGGGTCTGGGTTCGTGGTGGCCCTCTCCACCCTGCACATTTGAAAGCTTCGGGTGGGGTCTGGAGGGGCTTTCGGGTGATTGAGAATACAGACCAGAATAGCCGGATGCCAGCGCAGCCAACCTCCTGAGATTAGCCACATGAATATCCATCTAAATAGGTTGAAGGACGCAGATGTTGCACAGAAGCAGCAAGGGCTACGGAGGTACGATCCAGTGCGAGAATCTTCAGAAAACGGCTGTTCATGATCTGCATGTGCAGAGGACCCAGAGCCACGGTGAACTCCGGTCCGAGAAGGCTGGAAGCGGAACAAGGGATCATTTCAGCCCTGGAGGAGAAAGAGGGGTACGCAGATGAGAGTTTTATGGTACGCAAATCCTGATCTCTGTGGATGTTGCGGTGCATATGATCAGCAGCGGTGACCAGGACTGCGGAACCAGATCGAGCTGCATCCGGACGCTTGGGCCGACTCGGGGTTGAGCGGAGACTGAGTTGAGGGCGCTAGATCCCGGGGGATGGGTATTTCCACTCGAAGAGGTTGGTTGTCCTTGGCATTGGCAGCTTGCCGGATCAGGGCTTTGTCATTCTGAAGACATTCGCGCGTCACTTTCCCGACACAAAGTGGAGTATTGAAGTGTGTACACTGATATGGGGTAAGTGGATCCAGTCTAATCTCACTTTTCAGTGAGCTCCGCGGTAGCGGGAGAGGGAGAATCATTTTGAATGAAACCTTTTCAGTGGAGGACTCTGGCCACGGATCATTTTTGCGCGGACCGGGCTTCTCGGGATCAGTGGGATGTACCCATGCAAATGGTCCCCTATCAAATAGTCATTGCGAGAAAACCGAGTCAAGCTCGCTTCAAGACCAAATCCTGTCGTCATGAGATCAAAGACAGCTCGTTGGCGTCATAGCTATTGAGGAAGAAGATTCGGGAATCATAAGGATATTGTTCCCAAGACCTCTCGATTGGGACCGGCCACAGATCTGCCAGGGACGATCTTGACGTTTCGGGCAATCTCCCCGTCTATGCATTCCGCGAGGCTAGAGCATACTGCATACGCCGCCGGGTGAAGCAATCCGTACACTAGAGCAACAGAGGTTCATCGTCTTCGGAGACAGCATTGGGGGACGTGGGTACTATTACACACTGGCGGAGCCAAAAACGAAGGGGCATGCATGCCATTACGATAATCGAGTTCCGGCGTGGTGGGTTTTCCGGTTCTCAGGAAGCTTCGAGATGGAGGCTCGGGGAACTGATTAGTGTCTTCCCAGAGTTTGCGCCCAGTACAATTCAGGCATAGAGCTATGCATTGACCACATTCGCTCGGGATGATTGGTTCTCGATGAAAGCCCCCAAGAGGACGCGCTGCAAGGACAAGTGGAGCTGGTACATGGGCCCTGGGGAGTAGCCTTCAAGCCACGACCCTCATCGGGGGGTATCCAGGTAACTGGGCTCGTGAGTTCCCAGGGTACGGATACGGGATGTAGGCGCTCGGCAATTTGGCTCCTTGCGGCTTGCGGGCTGGCACAATTAACTAGGACGCTTTTGCGACCTGATAGCTGTGCAAATGAAGCTGGAATTATACCGCGTCATGTCGCTGTCGAGACTGCAACCCCCTTTGAAACACATGGCTCGCGCTTGATGTGAAGCAGAACCACGTGGACAATTTCAAATGAGCAGGGCGGATACCACGGAAACCATCTCCGTCCGACGCAAGGGCTCCCGAGTTAGGAATGGGAAAAAAAAAGAAAAAAGTACGGGGCCCTGGCGAGCTGAAGCTGGGCGATCACTGGCGTCGGAAGGATCCACCGACGTATGTCCAGAGTGGATCGGCATAGATTATGTAAGCCGGAGAGAAAGAGCAGAAAGGGAAACAATGCACTACCGCAATGCCGTGAGAAACTGTTGTCAGGTCACATCCACGCGGCTGAGGATTGAGGACTGCGCCATGAATTGGACAACTCGCATCAGAGCTAATCACGCTCCCAGCCCAGATTGAAACAATGGTTGTCGGCGATTTCGCTGGATCGTGTGATCCGGCGATGATGTGCAGAATCTGCCATGTTGCATCTGCTGCATCAACCCAAGCCTCGAAACAATGTCATTGAAGTTCAATCTAAGGTAATTTATCAATTATGAAGGATGTTGGCGTGCGTCAGCGGACAATAATAGTCATGGCTGCAGTAGGGCTTCCGAGATAGCTAGGAAGACACACTAAGACCGCGGGCCATCGGGCCGGGCCACACCGCAGTAATTATCAGTAGTCTCACTTTGCTTTGCCTTTCTTTTTTCTTCCCCCCTCTCTAGTCAAGGTGATGAAATCGATTTCCGGAAATGGATCTGGATTATGCAGTGAGAGGAACTTTCTCCCTCGTAATATCTCAGGGCTGATTCGTGTGGGAGAGGGGTCTCGAATTGGAGGGCTCAGAAGGAAAGAATATTGGCTGCGCCGTAATAATAATCCTCCTATGATCTACCGAGCTTACCGAGGCAACCGGAGGCTGTCTCGTTTACTTTAGTGGTCATGGTGCTGGACTCGTGAATGGGCACTGCGGTCTCCTTTTTCTGTTCCGGCAGAAAATAGCATTACGATCCACCAACGCGGGAGCATCGCGTTTTGAAACCCAAGGATCTTGAGAGATGAGATGAGGGTAGATCGGTCTCGTTTACACGCAACAGGCCTATTCGAGAAGGATGGAACTTGAACCTGGGAGCACTAAAGGTCCATGATTGCCAACTTTGACCCTATTGCTGGGTTGGAGTGGATTTTGCACTATGCTCTTTGGGGGAGTTTGACAGCTTTAGCTCGTCGGACCGGTGCCCCCGACCCGCTGTGGCTTAGGCATGGGCTCGCTAGCTGCTTTGGTTCGCTTTGGGGGAGTAGCGTGGAGAGTCTAGGCCTTGCGGTGCCCTAGACCCGCATGGACCCAGGGAAGTTAGTCCTGAAAGGATCCTCTCACAAAAGTACTTCACTGTTCCACTCAAACTGCCCAGATGACCATGAACACCCGCCCTCGACCGCCTGGCGAGGCATGCATGACGTAGATCTAGATCAGGGCGGCCGATGGCCGTACGATCGTGTCTTCTCATTGCCCGATCGTCCTCGCGGCTCCCAGGCGCCTGCACTATCCGGTGCATGAGTCCGAGTGCCTCAGTGACTTGCGTCCCGAGAAAACAATTAGAGTACGGCAACGGATATTTTTGATATTCCTCAAGGATACGCGAACGGCTTCCGGTCTATTACCCTCGGTAATGATTCAGTTGCCTCGAGGTACCTTTGCTACGGTCTCGATCGTACGCGCGAACAGACTTCATTTTCTATCCATCGATACGAGAAGCTGCCCTCCGACTTTTTTTTCTCTATCCTTCATACCTCTCAGAGGATGTTAAATCGAAAGAATCGTGATAGACCGGTAGAAAAGATCAAGCAAGGCAACAACTATACTCGCGTGGCGGTGAAGTACAACCGTTTCCAGAAGACCAGGCACAGATAAAATGCAGATCCAAGGGAAATGCGAGTTTGTGCAGTCATCACCCCCTCCATGATTTCCACCTTCCCCACCCTCCATTTCGGGCCAACCGTGCACCCGCTGTCACATCCGGTTCCCAAGCCCAATCTTAAGCCTAAGCCCCCCAACGCCTCACCATGAAAGGATCTAGTTTCAGGGTGATTGCGTCACGATCAACCGAGCATCTCCGGAGACTGCTAGTCACATTGTCGATCGGCACCAGTGGTCTACCTGGCTGAATCGGGCGCCTGCTATTTGCATCTGCCTGTTTGCCTCTGCTTGTCTCACTCAGACAAGCCAAGGCTTTTTGAATCTGCTATTTTGTCCGTGACAGGATTGGGGGGCGTCTATCAAACAGGGCCCTTCCCTGCACCTTTACGATAGCCAGTTGTCAGATCCTGTGTGGCATGTGGCGGTGTGATCACAGCTGAAAATAGCTTTGGCCTATGCTATGTGCCACGCTGTGGCTGAGCCCTATCTGAGCGTTTTATGCATCGGTATACAGTGGGGATGTCATGGGCTGAACGCCTTTCATTTCTGTACCAATGAGACGCCGCCCATGAGGGGTTGTCAGATGGTGGTACTTTGACCCCAAGCCTCGAAACATCTAAAAGGTCTGGGGTCTAGACCCTCCGTATAGCCTCGTTTAGCTCCTGCAACATGATCTACGGTACATCGGTCTCATCCGTTATTACAAAACCGACAAGAGTTGAAATGGGGGTGGATGCCAACGGGCAGGCCGAGTTCGCCTTGAGATTGCCGGTGGGGAAGATGTGGAAAAAAAATAAAAAAATAAAAAAAGAAGCAAATCAACATAGGGCAAACGGGACGAACGGTTGGGCAAACAAAGCCTCCGAGGGACCCCCTTGCGATCAAGGTGGATATGGCTTTGTTCGGTGTCAAGCCGTTGATATTTTCGGTTTGAATTTTGACGGTCATAATTGATTCTGATCCAAGACGTCACCTGCAAATGACAAATGTCACGATCCGAAAACACGAGATTCTAGGTATTTGCGGTCACAGAAGTACCGGAGATAAATCTCGATCTATTGGTCCTGGTCACTCTAGTCTCTATCTCCAAGGATGATCGCATTACTGTAACTCCAAATGACATGGTGGCGGATATACTCGGCAGTCGATCGCAGTTGATCGGTCAGAGAGGTGGCCAGGGGACAAAAAGACCAGACAATCATTTGGACATGGCGCAGGTACGGTTTGCGCATGAATCTTCTGCAGCCATCTTTCCGATCACAGTCATGGCCGAATCTGTGTCTTGAGGACATCTTGGACCACTGGACCCGACAGATCCTATTGAATCCACCGGCGCGGGAGATGGACGGGATGACAGTCGCTTGGGTAGATGTGCCCTTTTCCCTGGGTTGCCCAACGCCCCGAAGCCGAGCTTAGAGTGTACTTTGATCCTACTATCGGAGTTCCTTCGCGTTTGGGATATGTGGTGGGGGGCGGATCCTCGAATGTTCCGCGTGGGGGGGGAGGTATCCTCAAACACGAACAAAGGAACGCTTCAAAGGTACGGCGCTTAGCCCAGGCAGGTAGAATTGTGCGAAACCTATTTCGCGCCGGGAGAGCCGTCCCGGGGTGATCGTACCGGGATTAGGTGTCATGTTGGCCCCAAGGAGGATGACAGAAAGAGGGGCCGCGAATGTGTCTTGATTCGTGCTAGAACGCCCATGACCACTTACCCGCGGCTAGAGCAGCGGCCTCGACCTCGCGAGTCAATTTGGTGCTTTTGGTTCGTTCTCATTTAGCGAGATTGGGAGGTCTAATCTCAGGGGTTCGCCTATAACCCGCTGAGAATTCAGAGGTCAATCATGATCCCAGCGTTGAAGGAAACCCCGCGAACGCCTGTCATGTTCGGAGAATCTTGAGCCCTGGGAGATCGACATGGAGGGGACGTCCATATGGGTAAAGTGGGCAAAGCCCTATCGGCGAGTCATTCTTCGACAACCCAGGATCCAGGATGTTGGGCCACGCTCAAGCCTCAACCTTGATAGATTCATGGAACCACCGAGTCCAGAGCCACAGGCCCAGTGGCTTCGCTTATTGGCTTGGGAGGTCCCTGCAACTAGCGCCGGGGCACATCATACCCAGATCCGGTGCGATCGAGCACTTGTTTTCCCTGATGACGAATCTGCCTTTTCTCCAAACTCACTGTGGACGTGGACCCGGTACCCCCGAAGCTGAGCTCCTTTTAAGAATAGCACCCACATTGCGTGGGCGTGGGACCCGACGCAAGGGCCTCGGCGTTTTTGAACACGAACGATGAATTAGAAGGTGCCTGGCTAAGGTCATCTCGATGGTGCGACAAGGTTCAAATGAGCAACCCATGTTACGCTGTCATTCTAGTTAACAAAGAATATCCCCTGGACGTCGATCTCTGCGCGTCGTCCCGCCGGGAAGTGCGGAAAGGATTGTTTGGGGGGTGTTCCACACTTGAGCAATTCGCTAACCGTAAAGAATGAAGATGCTAAGTACTATAGAGGAGACACTTTCGATCGAAAAGGATTTTGTCCGATCACGGAGTCAAAGTAACAAGTGACAGGGTGCCAAATGCCGTGGGGGAGAGGGGCACAAATCGATCGATAATCGACAGCGCCACACTGTATTGGGCTCTTCCCCGACGGACTCAACGCTTTCAAGAGGCCGGGGCGGGACTGTCAGAAAAAGAATTCACAATTGAAAAATTGTCAATGCAGAAAGGGTAAATTGAATGGATAAAAAAATCCCCCATAAAAAAAAAAATAAGAAAAGAAAAAAAAAAGAAAAGGCCCAATGCATGGCGATCTACAAATAGTAGAACAGGGATGACGGATCGGGACAAACAGCTGGGACGTCCCCGGTGGTTGGACTAGAACTAATGCATGCCCTTCAAGTTACATACTGCATCAGATCAGGGAGCTACCGGGGCTTCCCCGGCCTCTGTCAAGGATCATCCATGCTTTCTGCTGTTTGATACTTTTTCTTGACAAAGTACCTTTTCACACTCTAACCCGCTAATCGAGAGAAACTGAAATACTCTGCACTTGCACTCCGAGTCTTCCCTATTCTTGCATTAATTTAAAACACCCTCCTCTGCCCACTTCTTCGACTACTTCTACACGACCCACTCCATCTCTGGTTCTATTTATTGGTTCACCCCTCCAGGCTCAACCCTAAGATATTTTGTTCACAACCAGTCCAACCCCGTCTCACCAACCCGGGATCACATTGTGGATCTATATCCTTTTCTATTCTACTCATTCCTGCATTTGCATACCTTCCGACCCGTCGGTTGCCAACACTTCTGCAGTCGTCCTCGCATAGCACTCTATTCTACATTCTTTGTTGACCTGTGAGTGTACTCCTGGAGCTAAGCTTGGTCTCGTTTGCAATAAGCTTGCTTCGAGCCGCCCCGGGTTGGCTTCCGCTTGTCACACCGGCTCGCGCTTTCCCCCCGGAATTGCATCCACTGACCAGTGGATGACCGTGAAACGGCGAGATGCCGCGTGCATTGCGAAAATTCGAGATCAACGGCTGACGATCCGACAGGACCTCAATCAGTGTACTCTCAATCGTGAGCTTCATCTATAAGAAGGACTCCCGAGTCTTTCCGCTGAACTTTGGAGTCTGCTCTCCATACTCTCTATCCGAGTGAACGGTCTTATATTTTGCGAATTCGCCGGAGTACTCCCAATTCCAATACCGCGCAACTCGCCTCGGCCTCGGCCCCGCCATTTCCACTTGAAGCATCATGGTCTTTGCCAACCATAAAACTGCCACTGGGGCTATGAAGCGCTCTGCTTCTGCTCTGGAAGGCCCACCCAGCTGGGATGTGGCTCCTGTGAGTATACTTGTGAAGTGTACTTGGTTCAATCGCTTACATTCTCTAGCCTATGATGGCTCCCACGCGCTCGTCTTTTCGCCTGCCTTATGCTCACTACGCTATGATCTATCTTGACAACGAGGGCAAGCTCAAAGTCGATGAGTCTGCTTCCATTCAGGAGCAAAACTCGACTGTCTTCACGCCCGATGTTCGCCAGAACTTCCTCGAGATTCTCGGTGAAAGAATTGGCTATCACCAGCCTATTGCTCGCCGTAAGTATCAACATGCTGCTACGTGCCAGAATTTCATCTGACTCACTTTCGACAGGCACTTTAGATGCCTCTCCTCGCCGCGTTCGCCGCCGCAATGGCCCTGCTCCTTCTATTGCTGAAGATCAGGGCTCTGACAACGATGACTACCCCCAGGGTGCATCCAACGATATGGTCCCTCTCCGTGTGGGAGACATCCAAAAGGTCAATAGCTATTATGAAAGTGCTTTGAAGCATTTCCAGCAGCTCAATTGCCGCATGGTCGCCAAGGCCTTCATTAAGTTCATTGAGCCCCGCAAACAGGTTCGACACCCATACAATGGAGGCAAGCCTGCGCCGGGATCCCCTCCTGGCAGCACCGGCGACCCTGAAAAGACCAAGCCCGAGTGGTGGCCCCCGGGTGTCATGCACAAGGAGCCCGACCACTTGCGTAAAGAGTGTAAGTTTTCTATATTGGTTCAAAGAATACTCTCAAGTCACTAACGCTTGCAAAGACCGCATTGAGCTTCTGCTCCACATCATCCGCAAGCTCGGAAGCCATGGCATTACCGCTGACAAGCTCAAAGAAGTCGCTGGTGACACCAAGCGCAGCTTGAAGCATCCTTCCCATGTCGAGATCATCTTTGAGATTCTGAGGGTCCGCAAGATGGAAGAGCGTTTCGAACGCGGTGAAGTTGGTATGTATCAGTACCATTGTTTTCACGATCCATATTAATGACTTTTATTTAGATGCCAATATGGTGGTCTATGTTCAGAACCGAGGACCCAGCCCCAAGGGTGAAGACGAGGAAGAGGACTCGAACGATATTCCCACAATCAATGTCGCCGAGCATATCGAGGACGGTCTCTTGACTCCAACCTCATCTGTCGAGCAAGTCACAGCTCCACTCACGACACCAATCGACACAATGGCCATGCACCATGGCCGCTCCCTGCCAGGTAGTTTCTCAATGAATGAGCCCCTAAGCTTCGAAGCCCCTCGCCAGGACCGCTCCTACTATGCAACCCCGCCTCAGTACTCAGACGCATACTCGCAGCCCATGCTCAGCACACCAGTGACCGCCGAAATGATCAGCCCTCACGAAGTCCTCGCCTACGACTACTCCACGCAAAACGCCTTCCCAGCCTCCTCGTCTGACCAGCAGCGCACAGCAGGCCATTATGACGCGTGGGCGCCCTCGTTCCGCCAAAACATCTTCAGCCCAGTGGACTACAGCGCCCCGCCTACCAGCCACGGTCTTCCTCCGCCCTCAATGTCCTACCAAATGCCCATGGCATCGCCGGCCCAGCTGCACGACATGTCGCACCACGCCCAGTCACCCCTCGACATGAGCCAACGGGCATTGCCCTTCCGCACTGGCTCACTGGGTCACCCACACGGCTTGCCTCTCTCGCACCCGGCCTGATCCCACGGGCTGGACACAGTTGGACGAGCGATCCAATTGACATTCGAAAATTGGGGCAGGATAATTTAACGATTTATATGACTGATGGCTCTGAATACCATTTGAAAGCACTCAACATACAGCGGCTTGAGCAACGGAGTTTCTTTTGCTTTGTTGTTCTTTGTGAATAAAAAAAAGGACGGTGTCGTCAAAAGGAGCTGCGGAGTGGACTGGACTTTTTTTTTCCTTTATTTTGTCTTTTGTTTCTCTTTGAAAATATTTGGATGGCTTGATTTGGATTTGGGATTCCGGTTTTTCTTTTTGGACAGTGTGGTCTTTTCACTTATTTTCTTTTCCTTGACTCTCGTCATTTTCCTCTTTCACACTTATCGTTTGATTTGTATATGAATTCTCCTTTTTGTTTGGCCCATGTCCATGTTGATTGGAGTTGTCTGTTTATATATGATATCTGGTAGATCATGTTTACAAATTTATTGCATTTGGATAACCAAGTTTCTTTACTGTGATGAAGCCGCTCAGATCTTTCCCAACTACACCATCATAGGACTCATTATCGAGTCTTCGAAGTGGTGCTTTGATGTTTGAATTACCCTTCAATACACCCTGGCTAAGTAGTGATGCAAAGAGAATTATTCGGCATGTAGTAAAGCTGCGCATCGGAATTTCATTGAGTGTTCTTTTAGAATGGTCAGAAGTTCTTTTACGGTCATTCCCCCCCCCCTCCGGCCTCTCACTTCTGCGCAACAATGTGATACGAAGTTCGTCACTACACACGGACCGATTACATGAGGTAGCAAGATGCAGAAAACAGAGGTCCCTTCCCTCGTCCAAGTCTCAAATTTTATTGATCGGAGACGAAGCATAAAGCCCCCGAATCTAACAGCGCTCTGGGACTATCTGCTCGCCAAGCCAGGTCTGTACCTCGAAGTAATGATACTTACTCTACAGGATGGATCGAAATCAGTTTCACCATTTACTCACAGAGGTTCTTTCTCGAACCCTCTTTCGAAACACGCTATGCCCATTATGGTTACTCTGCCCTCGAACCCCTTTCTTGGCAGTATTATAGTACGGGTGTGCATAACAAAGTAAAAATAGCTTCTGTATTAGACTCGTTAGGTCTTTAGGGGTTCTAGAACGTTGACCTAGCAAATAAGCCAGACAGACAGAGGCCTGCTCGTTTGGAGACGTGGCAGGAAGTCGCACTTGCCCTCTGGAGTGACTACTTCGAACGAGCGAGTTGTTTAGAGACAGTACTAGTGGGTAATGTTTGCTTGCTTCTTGTAATAGGCTTGGCCTTATAATAGCGGATTAGCATCTGCTGAACTAGCTAGTCGTGATAATGCTGACGTTGGATCCGTTTAGAGCCTTGAAACGAGGACGATGACAGCTAATTCGTATCCTAATGACCTTGACTTTCAGCCGTATAATCTCGAACCTAGGGATCAAGATTCGCAATATGCCCCCACTCCATTATACTACGGTCGCGCACCTACGTTAAGCTATGGGTTCAGCTCCTCCCCCGACTATCACTCCGAGAATAATCTAGAAGTTCTATAATAACTATAACCGGAAACTCCTAGACTGCTTCAGCTATCTAAATGGCGTAACGAAATATCCAGTGATAAAGTTCCGGCAAGCTACATCCAGTATATAATCGAGTGGAAAGTCATAGTAAATATAAAAGTGCTCTTACGCGATACAGAGGAGGACGTAACCCTAACTCCGAGTGCTTATTAGCCGGTGACCCTAAAGGGTAAGTTAGAGAAGTTATTAGAAGGAAAGACTCCCAGTAAAGGAAGGGTAAAGTCGGACGATATCTTAATCGTTATATCGGTGAATAATCGCTCCTAACTGATGGTGACCCACCTTGAATCTTGCGGGGCTTTCAAGTATCAACCATGCCACAGGAACCTAACCTCGTCGCTTGAATAGAGCAGGAACAACAGTAGATGAGGCGGAGAGTCCAAGACTACTAAAACATGTGGCGTCATGATCCTCTGACAGCAACGAAGGGTATGTCAGTGGAGAGGTTTCAAATACTGGTCACCAGTGAAGGTCGAGTTTCTCCACTCTCGGCGTTGACGTCGGCACCTCGATCCAGCAGCACCTGCACCACCTTTTCATGGCCATGGATTGATGCAGCCTGGAGTGCATTGCCATAATATCCACCCTGGGCGTTAACGTCTGCACCTCGATCCAGCAGCACCTTCACCACCTTTTCATAGCCATAGATTGATGCAACTTGGAGTGCATTGCCATAATATCCACCCTGGGCGTTAACGTCGGCACCCGATCCAGCAGCATCTGTACTACCTTTTCGTGGCCTCCGTAGGACGCCGCCTGGAGTGCATTGGCATAGTCTCCTCCGTGGGCGTTAACGTCGGCGCCTCGATCTAACAACATCTGCACTACGTTTTTATGGCCATCGATTGATGCAGCCTGGAGTGCATTGCCATAGTCTCCTCCGTGGGCGTTAACGTCGGCGCCTCGATCTAACAACATCTGCACCACCTTTTCATGGCCATCGAGTGATGCAGCCTGGAGTGCATTGGCATGGAATCCTCCCTGGACGTTAACGTCGGCGCCTCGATCTAATAGCATCTGCACCACATTTTCGTATCCTCCGTATGATGCGGTGTGGAGTGCATTGCCATATTCATATTCTCCTCCCTGGGCGTTAATGTCAGCACCTCGATCCAGTAGCATCTGCACCACCTTCTCATAGCCTCCGAATGATGCGGCCTGGAGTGCATTGCCATAGAATCCTCCCTGGGCGTTGACGTCCGCACCTCGATCTAGAAGCATCTGCGCCACCTTCCCATTGCCACTCCGTGATGCGGCCTGGAGTGCATTGCCATACTCTCCTCCTTGAGCATCCACTATTACCGATACGTCTGTATTCCTAGTGCCAATTGTCAAGATACTGTTCAAGACGAATTCCAATCCCAGCAAGGCTGCATAGTACAGAGGCGATGCTATATCAGTAAGTGGGCGGTTATAATCCACGTTCATGTTCCACAGGCGCTCTATGTCATGTAACCGTATCCACGTCACGAAAGCGCTCGTCTCGTCTTTGAAAAGCCTCGACGCTAGTTGTTCAATTGCTGTCTTCCCCTCCCTTGAGACCGTATAATGATGAAACCAATGCGTAGCTGCGAAATGAGCAAATGGGAACTCCATGAGCTTTGCCTCATCTAATAGCCCCTCAGAGAGAGTTGGCTCCAGGAGGTAGACTAGGCATATCTGGGCTATTTCCGTATTTGCAGGCGCACTTCGCATGGCAAACCTTTCTGCTTTTTGTTGCAAGATACGGTCTGATTGAAGATATTCCTGGACAGAGAAATGTGCTATCCGAGCAGTCGAGGTGCTTCGCCCATTGTTGTCTACCATAAGGACGATCTCGATGAAGCCAAGACAAATGTCGACGAGACTATCTTGCTCGTACGAACGTCCATCACGATCAAGGCGTGGGGGCTCACTTAGATCAACAGAGTGTGCGTCGATCAGCTCATTAACGGTGAGTGGTCGTCTGGAGAAGCAAAGCAGAGTCAAAACTCGCTGCACGTCCTCGACATACTCATCTCTGATACTGCATAGGATTCGCTCGTATGTTTCATCCAGATCGCGAGGTAATGTGCGTAGGCATTCGTCAAGCTGGTTCCGGTTTCCGGCCCGCCGAAAGGGCATTGAATTGGCATTCAACGTATCTGAACCTATGTGTCGTGTTGGTCAAAATAGTGGAGTCTGCTTTTTATCGTGGACACCTACACTCCTTGTGCATATTTTGTCAATTTTTTTTCAATCTCCTCGTGACGCGCTTTCCACCTCTGGAGTTTTGCGTCGTTCTTAAGCTGATAAGAGACAAAATTTGCTATGTCTCTGTCGGTTTCCGAATTCCTTGGCGATAGATCTTGCTCATGGGAAGGATCTAACGATTCACGGATATCGAGCTCGCGCCGACTTGTCACCAAAAGATGGACACTAGGTATCGACCAACTGCGCATCTCTTTTATCGCTTTCAAGACACCTTCCCTTTTATTGTATCGGGGGCTCTCATCTAGCGCGTCGAGCAGAATATAGCTCTTGTGGAATCGGTCAAGCAAGCGTTGAAGAGTATCAAGTAGCACTTCCACTGGAGGAGAACCGGACTTATATAACGTATGTAGTTGCTCTAGATATATCTCGCCATCCTCTAACTGTACGGACAGCTGCAGTAGTAGCGCGCGTAGCATACCGTTGTCGTTTTGCGTTGCCTCGTCGTTAAAGGAAAAGTAAAAGAACGCGATTCCCACTCTAGGTTTGTGTCTCATCTCGCAGAATGTATGTTGGATTGCGGTCGAGCAGAGGACCGATTTGCCACATCCTGCAAAACCATTTAGCCATAGGAAAGAATTGGGTTCCTCAAGCCAATTACGAAAACGACGGCCGTTAATAAACCATAGATCTGTGTTACGGTGACGTTTCGCACATGCTGCGTTGTGGTTAAGGGATGTATCTGGCGCCATAAGCCAGCCACGAATCGTAAAAGAGACTTGACTAGCATTTGTTCGCTCGTTAAGTGATTTGATTTCCGCTATACTATCATGGATCTGAGTCTGGCTCTTTAGCTGTAGGACATCGAGTGCGAACGAAAGGTTTTCACGTATGTCGCTGACGTCTTCTTCGAGCTTCTTTAGTGTACTTCTCCGAAATGGATAGGCTGCGCGACGTCCAGCAACCTTGACGCGATCCTTTAAAGCGGCGGCCGAGTCTTTGTGGAATTTGTCACACTCGCTCTGCAGCTCGGAGATGACGTCCTCACATTTCCGTACTGCCTTCTCGACTTCTAGGAGTAGACCCTGGGCGTCGGCCTGCGATCGGCGTTCCTTTACCGCAATATCGAGGGCTCGAAAGATGCTCTGAAGACTGTTGAGATTATGCGTAATTTTTGCCAGATCGGTGTCTTGGTCCTTGTATGTAGCGTAAAATTTGACTAAGGACTGAGTGACTTGAATGCCAAGCGAAAGCAGCCCGGCAATCCCTGATGCGATTGCGAGTGGATCAGCCATCGTGTCGATAATAATTCTTGAGATCGGGAGTACAGGCGATTCAGCCGTCGTTCGTATATATAAGAGCCGGCCTTCAGTCTCATCAAGCAGGACAACAGCTGCTTTGATGCCCAAAGCGGGGCTGAGCATGGGCTATGATAGTATCGATGTCCAGTAAGAGTTGTATCAGTATTTCCAGTAACTTAAAGGATTTTTCATCATGTGATTTTACGTTACAACGCATTACGGGATTTCTGAAAGGAGCTAAATCAAATATGGACTAGCGTGTTCTACAATACAGGGTGACCAAGAAACAAATGTCGGTTTTATCACCGCCTTTTTCTGATATCTACATACCGCCTTACGGAGTTACTTTACGTGACGCAATTACTTTCTTCTTTTCCTAGCGTTAGCCGGAAATAAAGGGTATCAATACAAATTGAATACATTGGTTATTTACAAAATGCCGGCAGAATGAGAGTGGAGACCGACATTTGTTTCTTGGTCACCCTGTAGGGTACGGAAAAGATCAATGTGAGTGAAGTGGTGAAACTGATTTCGAGCGGCCCTGTATATTACGAATTCCAAATGCCAGCCGCTACCTCTTAGTGGTGGCCCTCAAGTGCAAACAAAAGCTGGTCTGGAAGGGAGCCCGACAGAGTGCTAGAGAGCAGAAGGCTGAGTGATCAAAAACATAGGCTTATGGCCTCCCTGGCTTACAGTTCCTACCACCTTGCCTATCATGATGAATTAGGATGGAATCAATGAATCACGTCGTGATAAACAGGCGAGTCGTTACAATACAGTAGTATTCGAAATCAGTTATACCACCTCACTCTTGCGACTTGGTTCCCGGAAAATAAACCCGGCCGTGAGTCCTGATAGGATAGACCTTGGGGCCTCCGCTTTTCAGACCGCTTTTTAAATCAGTAGGTAATTTTCATAATACCGTGGTTCGATAACAGAGGATGTATTTTACACGAAAGTGCTATACGCACGCTATCTGGTGCGCCCCTCCCTATTCTAGGCACTCTATGGCACGGGCCATATTTTCCTCTCCCACTTACTACCCGTTAGCCTTCGAAATCTCAGTATCCGAGATCACTTCAAGCGACATAGCTCCTAGGCTTCCTACTTCGAAGCTTTATCTGATCCGTAATATAATAGAGAGCCAGTCTTTTACTACGTCTCAGATAGCCGAAGAAGCTAAATATTCTAAGCTTACGGTTATCAATATTCGTAGAAACCAACGCCAGTTTAGAACTATCTATACTCCCCAAACTCGAACTAGCCGAAAACGAACCGTGACACCGCTAATAATAAAAGCTCTCTGCGAATACCTTTCTGCAAAGCTAGGTCTCTATCTCGATAAGATAGCTATCTTCCTATAAGATAAGTTTCGAACCATAATTATAACCTCCAGTATTAGAAGAGCCCTTATAGTAATAGGTTAGTCGAGAAAGGCAGCGTAGCAGCGCGCTAAAGAGCAAAATACGATGTGATACCCAGGAAACAGCCTCGCACTAATGCATGAAGCTTCACACCGGTTCCGTGCCACGGACCATTCCTCCTAGCCAATGATAGAGACTCTTGTCAAGCTGGAATGCGGCTCTGAATAATTCGTTGGGGTTGATCATTGCTGGTGTAAAAGAAATTCTCCACGACCTAAGGGCCTGAACTCATCCCATTCTGCTGCGTTGAACCCGCTCAGGCCCCGTAAACATCAAGTGACAGGTTCCCCGCTGGAATCACTTATGTGTGACGCACCAAAAGTGGGTGCATGCCCAGTAATAGTTGCCTACATCCTAGATATAAAAGGGGCTAAAGGCTCGCAACATTTGGTCAATACCCAGTACCCTCCTTCCTCACCCTCCTTTTCGCCTACTTGGTCTGATTTCTGAAAAGAATCGAAGCCTGTGAATGGCCCCAGTTCAATATATTCTACGTCCGTCTGTCGCTAGATACTGATAGGCCTTAGCACTTCTCTCAATCAAAATGCCGTCCGAGATTGTTTCGTGCAGGCATTGCGGAACAAAAGTTTCTACTACTCAGACCGAGTGTCCGAGTTGCCGTAAGCCACCGCACTAAGTACGTATTATTAATCTAAGACTTCTTTTAAATATCAACTCACTAAAGCAGGGCTCAACCCAGATATAAAAAAGTTGCTCGGGGTGTCAATATTTCGGGAGTGCTAAACCGTGGTAATGAAATGGATGAGTTCCACGGAGCAAGATACGGTACATACATAAATTGAATACAATAAGATTCTGACTACCAAAGTCGGCTTTTTCTCGCGTCTACATATCTGTCTTGTTCGCCATTGTGCACGTAATAATAGGTTACATTGCTCTTCACTCTTTAGGGCTGTTGCTAAGAAATCCGAGTAAATCCTTCATATCGTTATTTTCACCTTCGATTGCAACAGAAGGGCCCAGTCTTTCGTAAAAAGGCGCTTCAAAGTATTTCGGAAAGAACCCGGCATATTCCCAATCAATGATCGCTCGTATCTTTAATGTAACGGGATCAACAATGATATTTGGCTGAGATAGATCGTTATGGCAGAACACGTATTCAGTATTTTTAGATACCCTGACTTGCCAGCTATCATTCTCTGTGCACTTCATAACTCTGTAGGGAGGGATCACTAGCCCTAAGTGTCCGCCTATAGTGTTTGACCTAATTTCACGCAGGGTGGCCAAGTGCTAACAGAGTTCACCGCGGACAATTTTCTTCTGATCCTCGGAAAGCCGGGACATAGGTGTACCTTAAATGTATTCTGTGATCAAGAAGAATGACTCGTCCATCTCGAATGCACCGTACACAGTTGGAACCGGAATGTTAGTCTTACGTCGAATGAATCGTAAAGACTCCGCCTTATTATAAAGCCTCTCTTTCCCTAAGCGAGGGATATGAAGGCCTCTCTGCGATATTCTAAATTCGCTGGGTCGCAAACTTCTCTTAATGAAGAGACGATCGCAATGATAGTACCCTCTTTCGAATATTAAAGCAATGCATCCATCAGGCGAAGGAGAGCGATCATGCAAACTCCCCGGTCTTCCTTAAGCGTATTCCAGCTTATCGTTAATGGTATTGCCGTTATCAGCAGTCGACATTTAGCTTCAGACTTTCGAGACATTCTTAGGACCAAGTCATTGACACTGCTAATAGAGAAGTCAACTTACGTCAACTTACTAGAAGTGTTCTTTAACTGGACAAGTTCTGACGGACGAGGTGCAGAGATGAATGCTAAAAATAGATAACTTGCGAGCGAAATAGGCTATAACAGAGGAGACGATGGTCAAGGGGCCACTAGCAAGTCATTAAATACCATTTATGCTACTGACCCCCCATCTGCACTAAGTTAAGGCGGTGTGGCCCGGGAGAGAATAGGGCTGGTTTCTCCGGATCTCGTGCACCAATGATAACTTCCACATCCCTTATCATACAGGGTGACCAAGAAACAAATGTCGGTTTTATCACCGCCTTTTTCTGATATTTACATACCGCCTTACGAAGGTACTCTACATGACGCTTTCACTTTCTTTCTTTCCTAGCGTTAACCGGAAAAAAAGGGTATCAATACAGATTGAATTCATTGGTTATTTGCAAAATGCCAGCAGAATAAGAGTGGAGACCGACATTTGTTTCTTGGTCACCCTGTACGGGAAGAATAAGGAAAGAGGCAAAACGTGGCTGACGGGAGAGGAAAGCTAGCAGGCGATCTTACCAGATCGCCAGATCTACAGAACAATTCTGGCTGGTTCCATATAATATTACAGTACTATGACGATGACTCATCTATGGCAATACAATCATTACGATAACGGTACTGCTGGAACTAAAGGGCGTGAGCCAAACAGGTTAGCGTCATCCGGAGTTATGTTCCGGCAATCAAGTAGTAAGAGTATGGCGGTATAGCTGATTTCGAAAACTACTGTAACTGTCATAGTTCCGCTGAGACGAGAGGTATCATGATTTTGCATGCGCATGCTCGAGGTTGTATCTTATTAGCTTCTGTTTCTTGTAGGACAGCCATGCATAGTGAATAGTCTTCCTTAAAGTTCGCGGTACTCTTGCCCAAAGCAGCCTCGCTCAAGCATTTCCTCGTCAGTATGCAATGTGTGGGAAAATGAGGGGGAGGAATTATCAATCACTTTTTCTCCAGTTCTTTCTTCAAATTACTAACTCCTCTTTGGCCAAACTACATGAAGTTGAGAGGCTAAGCCTCACCTTTGCCTCTCGTCAAGTCGCCTAAGTCGTTTCGATTGCGTAGCGCAAGATTCTAAAATTGAAGTTCTAGATTGGTCCGCCCGATAGAACCCCAACCTTTTTTTGATAATTTGTGGCAGGTGTCTCCCATAATCCATTGAGCCGAGAACTTCTGGCAGAAAGGTGTTCGCCATTGCCGAATATTTGATGCATTATGTTTTCTCAAGTCACTGTAAGTCAGCGTATTTCGGTCATCTTGCTTTGTAGATGTAGATTCAGAGACTTGGCATTTCCCTGGGGTCTCAGCGACAACGATCATGATCAATATTTCTTGTAACCATTCTCATTCTGAGGGGTCCAGTGATACAAGTAGTTCTCAAATTATGGCGCAAGCAAAACGACAATCCATGTAACAATACTTTCATACTTAACTTCTCAATTCTTTCATGTTGCCTTTCTGAACGTCTCTCCAAATCTCTTTTGACCCCCTTTTGTTCCATTTCTATAGTGTCGGTTAAAGCGGTGTCAGAGGTCTCCGAGGATGTAAGTCAGGGCTACTTATATAGAGTCTTTGTGATATCTACCTGGTCCGGCTGAGTCTCGTCCAGCTGTAGCAGAGGGGTCATCTCATAGTCCGCAATAACCGCCCACTTAATTGGGACAAGCGCGCGGCTAATAGTGGAACCGCGCCGGTCCTCCTCGAGCTCACGCGAAGCAGCAGAGCATCATCCGCAATTTCTCCTCGACATCTTTGCAGCGCAACTAATATTTCTCTAAGCGTTCTGGAGGTTTGGAATATTGAGAGATTCCACGGATCAGCGCTAACCTTTGCGCAGGCTGCTTTTACGATCTCTCTTCCGTCACCTCCACCTCCCACGAACCTGCCGCGTCTCTTTCAAGCACCTCTTTCATCGCATCTGCCTCAGACTAGCATCTTTTCGCGACATGCTTCTTGTGTGTTGTGGTACGCAATAAGTCCCGCGATCGCTCGAAAGGTACCGCCGTCTCACCCTTCCCGTCGCTGCGACTTCGAGACATTGCAAGGTTCGACCAATGGCGCAATCCTGCATTGCTCGGCCGCTGTGATCTGTCGAAGAAACAGGCAGTACTTTTTAAATAGCAGCATGGACTGACTTCTGGTCCTCGCCTCGGCGAATCGACTCCCCAAACAGCATTCCAGCCCTCTCCAATTACGCATATAACCCACTGTCCACAACTCGCATCCGTTCCAATAAACCTGCCCAACACTTGACCAAAGACAAAGCCCACGGGGCGGAGCTTTGAAGTGGCTGGTGGCGGTCCATTGTTCCTTTCCGCTGATTGCGGACAGGATGGCAACCCCATTCAACCCGTTCGGTGCTCCTCGTGGACATGCACAGGCGAGCGTCACGAGCACTTCAGGGCGTGGTCGCGGGTCATCAGCCGCACGCGGGATGACATTCCAGCCTAGGGGTTCCAGATCTAGAGCATCAAAATGGCGTGGCGCAGGACGGGGCCAATCTATGCCTCGTGGCCGGGGGGGACGCGGCGCTGGCGTTGCACCCTCAGGCGTTCCTCACTCTGCTGCGTCGACATCACAGTTGCAGAGCTCTGCCAACAATAATTCGCCATTCGCTTCAATCAGCCAACAGACAGTCACTGGAAATCCGTTCGGGAAACAAGCAATACAGCAATCGCAGTCGCCATTCGCTGCCATAGCCAACGACACGACCGTTCGTCACGGTCAATTTGCTCCACGAGGCGGATTAATATCAAAAAAACCTCCGCGTGAATCTCAATCTAGAAGCTCAAACAGTGGATTCATGGTGTCTGTGCCTGTGGAGGATGCATCCTCTGTAGCCTCATACCATGAAAGATACGAGCAGGTCAGCATCAGTCCCCATGAGTTCTCACCAAATTTTAATGAAGAAAACTTTCCTCTAATTTCTGATATAGCTTAAACTTGATCGAGCGAAACAGCGCCAGCAAGCAATTCGAGATGGGCAAATGGCCGATCCGAATCAGCCTACATCTTTGAATCAAGCTATCACCCCAGTGGGCACGTGTACCAGCATGTGTCCTGAATTCGAACGGGTGGAGCGCATCGTCCAAAAGATGGTCGACAAAAGCGAAAAAGTATGAATCGCGGATTTCTGCACTCCTCGGACCCCGCTAATCCTTCAAACCTAGTATTTACATCCATCAAGTAATGCACTCCAGAATATGGAAATGAAAATGCTGAAGCGTTTCCGACGCTCGGCCGCTGGCTACGACGAACAATTGCCCTCTGATATTCGAACACCAAAGACACTTCTTCAAGCCACGAACTACCTGATTCGCCATGTTGTTGGAGGTAACGAGCCTTTGGGTTTCATTCACAAGTTTGTTTGGGATCGGACACGATCTATTAGAAATGACTTCTCCGTCCAGCAGGTCACTCAGGAGGAGGACGTTAGAATTGCAGTAACTTGTTTGGAGAGAATTGCGCGCTTCCACATCGTGTCACTTCACCTTCTCTCCAGTCCAGCAAATGAGGAACCTTTCGACCGTCACCAAGAGCGCGAGCAGCTGAACAACACGATGCTGTCGCTGATGTACTATTACGACGATAATCGTGGACGCATTGCTTTTCCAAACGAAGAGGAATTCCGCGCATACTACGTTCTTTTCTCTATTCACGATCAGCGCCCCGATCTCGAAGCTCGTGTCCAGAAGTGGCCTCTCTCGTTGCAGAACTCTCCTCGGGTCCAGGTTGCTTTGGAGCTATATGCAGCTTCTTGCAACACTTGGGATTACCAAGGCACACTAGATGCGCGTCGACCCAATGCAATCGCCCAGGGATTCTACACTCGATTCTTCAATATCATCAACTCACGAAGTGTGTCCTACCTGATGGCATGTGTCGCCGAAATTTATTTCAACCACGTGCGGCAAACGGCTATTCGTGCGATCTGGAAAGGCTACTGTCGTCAGCCTGTTTCCCAACAATCCAAGAACGACGAATGGACTGTGGACGAGCTGACTCGAGTTTTACACTTTGATGACGATGAGCAGACGATCCAGTTCTGCAATGATCAAGATCTGACCCTGGACGAAAATGCGAATGGCCAACTTTACCTTAATTGGGGTAGCCGTCCTGTTGACTCTATCGGTATGTTCCACCTTATGCAACCCCAGGCGCTTGTTTGCTTTACATACGCCGACTATTTCTAAAACTTTCCATTAGCATTCTCCCCATCATCAGAGCACTCCTTCTCCGAATCCTACGTCGAGTCAAAGCGGTCGGGAAGATCTCTGGTAGCTGTCATTCTGGGGATGAACATTCGAGAGGCTGCGAGAATGGGCATGGTTGATAAGTCTTACTTGGACCAGCGAACCGACAAGTCGGCAGACATGACTCTTGATGATGAGTCTCTCTTCGTCACTGACGATGAGAACGAAACTCCTGCTCCCGTGGTAGAGATGAACTCCCCATCACTCGACAGTGAGGTGGAGTCCAATACGAGCAATCTCTTCCAGAACCCCGTGCCTTCGTCCTCTGTCAACCCATTTGCCAACCAGCAACCCCCTGCCCAACAACCTCTAAATCCTCCCCAGACATCTTCCACGGCGAATCCCTTTGCTTCGATGTTTTCTGCTGCACCGGTGGCAAACAATCCTCCCGCTTCTTCTTCACCCGATCCCAACCCCTTCTCTTCGATGTTTTCCAGTGGTGCTACAGTGAAACCCGCCCCTACCCCGTCAGCCTTGTCAACCCCAAGCCCAAATTCGTTCTCTTCAATCTTGTCTGGTGGCATTGCCGCGAGCACTTCTTCTGTGCCTGCGACCAGCAATGCATTCGCTGCGCCAGCGTTCAAAGCACAGGTCTCCTCTGAGCCGTCTCGATCTTTATTCTCTTTCTCAAAGCCACCGGAGACGAGCCAAAACGAAGAGACGCCGGCGACTACTACTGTTTCTTCGCCGTTCCCCTCATTCAAACCACCTGAGCCAAGTGAGAAACAAGACACACCTGCGCCTACCACCGTGCCTGCAGTGGTGTCCGCGTCAATTTTCTCAGGTAGTTCTCCAAGTGTGACATCAGAGGTCTCGACTGCAAAGCTCAACCCCTTTGCCGACTCTCTGTCCTCCTTTGCATCGCCGAAGCATGCTGAACCAAGCCAAAATAACACCTTACCGAATCCGTCTTCACTTTTCCCCGCCTCGAAATCCCCCTTTCAATCTGCGGTCGCCAATGATACCTCCACCGTGGCTGCGGAGCCTGTCACGGAATCTAGCTCGCCATTCAACTTTGCAAGCCCTGCGCCACCTTCGTCTTCCTCGTTGTTCAAATCACCTCATACGACAACCACAGCTCCGAAAGAAAACACTCCATTCTCATTCGCCACGCCAACTGCGCCTACGCAGCGGTCGTTCAGCGTGCTCAGACCTACTCAATCCCCAGCAACTGCTGAAGGACATTCACAATCCTTGTTTATGCCCTCGAAGCCAAATTCCGACACTTCCTCGCAAAGCCAGGGTTCGATGTTCAGTCAGGACGCATTCGCGCCTGGAAGATCCACTCCTACGTTCGGCAGCAATCAAGCCCCGGGGCCTTTGTTCCCAAACGTTGCGACAGCACCACTTGTAGAGCAAGAAGTGCATGAATCACAGCCCCAGTCCACGGATCCTGCCATCACGCCTCCCGGGTCGCCCAAGGTCGCCCCAGCTGAGACCAATTTCTTCAATCGTGGACAAGAGCCTCAAGCCAATTCATGGCCTGAATCGACTGAACCCATGAATCAGCTTCGGGGGGCCACCACGGTGGACACTACGAATCAGTCTGCTCATCCAAACAGCAGCTCAGAGACCGTTGAATGGCAACCCCCTGGTAAGATTGTTCCGCTTCTATTCATTTTCCAGAGTTTTTGCTGACTTTAATTCTCCCTTGTTAGTCTACGCAACGGTTGAAGAGCAGACGGCTGCTTGGGAGAAGTTTCTTTATCGAAACTTTCCTGGGGTGTGCGCCCAGAGCCCGAACAAGGACGGAAACGAGCATTCGAAGCGCCGGTCTCTGCTGAATCGACTACGGACGAACCCGGCTCAAAGTTAGTCAAAGTATCGGACACGACGAAAAGCTCTCCTCCTGCCAAGAAATACTCCCTCATCGAGCAATATAGCAGGGCAGTCCCATCTCTGCCTTGCCTAGAACGTGCCAAGGAACTTTGCAAGCCGAAGCCCCCGACCGAGGAAGAAATACTAGCGTCAAAGCCAAACAAGCGTCAGGTTGATGAAGACGAGCTGCTTTTGAACGATGCCCGGATCGCAGCCGAGCAATTGCGGAACGGAAGCATATTCGATGGTATCTCTCCATACAGCGAGCTTTTCCGCTCCTCCTACATTCCCCGCAGTAGTTTTGGATTTTCCCGGCCTTTTACTCAAAGTCTCTCGCCCCCGTCGCGTCCGACACACAATTACGAGGTTGCATACGCCCCGGGTCTCCAGACGACTTTGGCAGGACCCTGTCTCGTACTGAACAACGAATCCGAATGACTGGTGCGCACGGTCTTGCCTACAAGCCTCTGGATTTCTCTCGAAAGGAGAGAAAAGATTCCACACGGCGGGAGAAGGAAAGCGAGAGAGAGGATCTTGCGCGGAAGGACAGCGACAAGGTCCGTCGAAGCGAATAGTATTGGTTTGCATACTTGATATGGAAGGCAGGAAATTGATGCTTGCATTTCATCAGGGCCATAAGGTAGTTTCGGCTCGTCACTTCGAGATTTGTATCACTGCACATTATAGGGTGTTAAGCGAGGCTTTCCTTCTTACATACCCAACATTTCTTTTCCGATAACGCAATGCATGACCACACTTGATGTATATTTGACATCCATGAAAGTTCAACACTGTAGCTTACTAGAACTTGTGAGCGAGTATGGTTGAGGTACATGGCCTAAGGGCATGTTTGACGCAATATCAATGAATATACTGGTCCATGAACGTTGTGTGCAGCTCTTAACTTGAGTTCTGCTTGCCCGCAATCTTTCGCTAAATTTATCATGAACATCATCGTATGATGAGACTTGTCCCAGCCAGAAATATTGACCTAATAAGTCATCCGAATGTGATGACTATCATAAGTAGATTGTAATATGAGATTCATTTCACTAGGCTACGAGGGAAGATAGTCCGAAGCCAATACTTGTAAATGGGAACCGGGTAGATGAACGTGTTGTTTTTGGTAACGGGTTCCATTGACCGATTTTGGCAACCACTACTGAAGACTAAGTGCTGCAATTCGTCATGAACCCAGGCAAGGTTTCGCCTCCGAGGTTCTGGCTTTACCAAGATAGATAGAGTCGGTATTGCCCTTGAGCTCAGGGCGTCGCAACCAAAAAGAGCAATTGATTTGGCATTCGGAAGGGAAAATCACAGGATGCTGGCCGGTATTTGCTTTGTATCTAAGCGATCTGTGCCCGATAGCTGTTTCGTCCTCTTTCATTACATGTCTATCGCTGACTGTACTTTGGCCTAGGGATTTGAGCTGAGAAATGCTCATATTGTAGCTGGATATTGGAAACCCTGGATTACACGACTGGAATGTAAATTTATCTGCACATATAGAATGAACGATATGCAAATACTTGGACTATACCGAGCACTATATGCAGAGACTCGCAGATTGGGGTCAGCCTCTACCCCAGTCAGTGGCCAATGAAGCCTCTCCACGCCTCTCCATACACAACCTTGGAACAAACCGGAGAGGGTCGGGGAATTGGGGAATTAATTTCAGCTTCACTTTTTAGCCCCAGCTAGATAGTATTTCAGCCCAACGATCCGCTGAATCTGGGGAATTCCATTCTTTTGGCCATCACCCACCCCAGGCTTCGAAAACATGGCCAAACAAGTTTCAAGGTATCAGAAAGGTGCACACTCATCCTGGTATGGACATTATGGTAATACTATTACGTGTCCTGGCTGCCAAATCACCCGCCGAAGGCGTGAAAAGACACTCGGTCAGCAGAGCGCGAACCCAACTATCGATGATTCTCATGAATCAAGCGAGAACACACAGCCAGCTTTGACTACCCTTACCCCCGAGGGAGCAAGTTCCCCTGGGGTTCAAGTATCCACGAGCGAAACAACTGAGAAAAAAGAGAATGAGACGACAGGTGGACGCCTTGGGCCGTTGCCTTCGTCGCGATTCTTCACTGTTGGCTCTCGAGGCATCAAACTCTATCCAAGTTCAAGACCTCTTCCTCCAGGCGAAAAGCCAATGCACCCTCGCGGTCCTGGCTTTATTCTAACAATGGGGTAGGTCCCGCGAATGAAATGCTTTTTGATAACGCCTCTGATTAATAATAGGTGCTGACCTGGACTCAGATTATGTTCGAAGTGACTGAACTTTTCATTCTGACGCTGATTTTATGAGTCTGTTCAAGTACCGTCGTCCACTCTTGATATTTAATGAACCCAGATTTATGCTATCAAGGCGATTGCTCCGCGAAATATTGGCCTTAGTACTAACAGTGGTAAACACTAGCCCAAAATAACATCAATTAAAAGCAGGAAACGACGTTACGACGATTAGAGAACGATATATTTACCCCAGCTTTCATGATATCTCAAAATAGGGTGCCTGATATGGGACATCTGCGAAAGGCACCAGCTTGTTTAGTTTCCTCGACTCCGTATTCCAGGGCTACGGCGATTGAGCTCAACCCGCCGATATAATGGTTCCTCTCGGTCCCTATCCAAGGCACGATAGACAAATGTCTAGATAGGAGGGAGGAGAGATGTATTTTGTGTATTACACGTCTAATGGTACAGATGGAGCCTAAGGAAGGTAGCGATACAGTGATGACAAATGGGTAAACAAGTATCTATATGTATAGATCATGGCATAAAATTCCACATAGGTCCCCAGTAATTTTAAGTATCCTGACTCGCTGTGCTAGATGAGTTAATCAAAGCCAATCAAGAGATCTGCTTGTTGAGTTTGTCAGACAATCATGTATTTAGACCAACGATGAATGAAAATAAGGTAATTGCATCGCCTGGTCCACTCCAAAGACCTGCAGTAATATCAGGCATCAAGGCATTAACTCTCATCTCTCCGCCCGAGTCGATCAAACCACCCGAATCCCTCTCTGCGCATTTTCAGCTTCATTGTGATTGCCACGATTTTATCAAGTGCAATAATCTCTATTTAAGGTCTCGCTTAGACCAATTTGTCCCCTTTAACGCTACTGACATCACCGTGGCAGTCGCTTCACTCGGTGCCCGCCTTGGACACAGGTCACGGCAGGTGCCTTATATTGGCGCTGCACTTCAAATTTTACTTTTTCGCCGCATCAGCCGCGGGGGCCTTATAACTATCCAGAGTATTCATCATCGATCCTCGTTGTCGACTTCGTCGTGCCAGCAGATGAGGATCGCAACCCTCCAATTCGCCCCAAAATTGGGTGATGTTCAGGGTAACATCGAGAGAGCGAATGCACTATTAGAGAAAGGCAAGCCCATCTCCTTGGGAGATCAGACGCCGCCCGTTGGTATTGGTCTGGACCTGTTGAGACCTGATGTCTTGGTGTTACCAGAATTAGCGTTAACTGGTATGTATTGCGCACAACACGTGTCAAAACTCTCTCTCAATGTTGAGACATGTACACGCGTTGAGTCCATCTATCTAACAACATTCAGGTTACAACTTCCCCTCATTGGATGCAATCAAGCCATATCTCGAGCTAGCCGGTTCAGGACCGAGTGCTGCATGGGCGCGAGAAACCGCCAAACGCCTGCAATGCAAGGTCTGCGTGGGCTATCCTGAGATAGAGTCTAGTTCTACCGGAACAGAATCTGATCAAGTCAAGTACTACAACTCTCTGCTTGTGGTCGATGAGGGTGGAAAAGTTATCCACAACTATCGCAAGAACTTCTTGTACTTCACCGACGACACATGGGCCGCGGAGGGCAACGTGGAACGGGGGTTTCACGAGCTCACCTTCCAGGCGCAAGACCTCACACGTGCACAGGAGGTACTCACAGACGATATTCACCGAGCACACTCAATACGGGTGGCAACCTCGTTCGGCATCTGCATGGACATCAACCCTTACAAATTTGAAGCTCCATACACAGCCTGGGAATTCGCCAATCGTGTGCTAGACTCGCAGTCACAGCTTGTCATTATTTCCATGGCCTGGCTGACGCTACTTACCAAGGAGGAGCTCGCCGCGCTAGAGGGCCAGCCCGAGATGGACACATTCAACTACTGGCTGAATCGGTTCTATCCGCTGATCGAAAAGCAAATGCAGCATACGCGTGATCTAGATGGAGAGGACGGCCCGAAAAAGGTGGTGATTGTCTTTGCGAATCGCACCGGGAGGAGCCGGCGGCAGATGATACCAAGCCACCGGCGCGGTATGCGGGGACCAGCGCCGTCATTGCTGTGACGCAACGGCCGCGTTCTGAGCCCAAGGGGTCACGAGTCGGGGGCCAAGAGAATTCAATCGACGTCGAGTCGGCTTTTGATGTGAAGATTCTCTGCTGGGATCTGCTTGGCGCGGCGGAAGAGGGTATTTGTTTCGCGGATACCACGGGAGACCCGAAAATGGTGTTTGGGCTAAGGTCTAGATCAGGGCCAGAGTCAAAGTCAGACTCCGACTCAGACTTAGACTCAGAGACAGGGTCAGAATAAGACGGTTTCTCGGATATACTTCCGCTGCGTCATATCAAGGAAAATAAGAGGGGACGACTGCGCTGGGTGGGATCTCTGATCTCCTATCTATACATGTGAATGCTGCCCTTCGAAACGGGGGTTAGGAAGCTGGCTATACCTAATTCTACATCGATCGACTCACTATTGATAGCTGGATTCACTGGACCGGTGGAACCAGCGGAGTGAATCTTGTAGTCTACGCCGTCTACAATGCCGAACTATGATTGCAACGTCGGATCTCCGCACCTGCAAGTGATGATCGCATGGGAGATCGTCGGGGTCTGCAGAAATCTCGCCCACCTTAAATACACCATTGTCTCATGACCCCGCAGGCAAAAACAGGCAGAAGAGGGGTGGGCGCACTAAGTGCAACCCAAAGATAGTCCATGTGATGAATCGCTATCTTGATACAAGGGGAAGCAAAAGAGACATGGAAGTGGGCCTAAATTAGGGGGCTGATTGAGAGTATCCAATGACGAAATCTGAGTGACCCTCTGAATTTAAAGAAAAGATTTAAACAAATATCTCGAATTTAATTACGAAGGTGAAATAAGATGATTGAGACACATTACAACATGATCTGTAGATATGACGGACTTAAAACTCACTCCAAAAAGGGAGAGTGGCCCGTGCAACACGATCGCACGTGACTGTGAGACAGCCGGCCAATCAGAATGCAGGATCGTGGGGTGTGCGAAAGGAGGGGCACGGGGTTTCCAGCACCTGACTCTGAGGAGGATCACGAATTTTGATTTCTAGGAATAGCATGAATAAGTAAGACGGTCTCTGGGTCTATTCAGCGAGAATCTAAAGACGATCCAGTAAAGACGGTAAGTCGGGCCAGGATGCACAACCCGGGAAGATCCGCGATGACCTAATTATGTCAGGTGATCCAACTGCACAAGTGGTCTGTATCGCTAACCCAACAACACCCTCCTCCTCTTCCACGTGAGCAGTCCCTCTCGACTCGGACGCTCGACTTCCCTAAAGAAAGCATCCCTTTTTCATGTAAAATCCTCATTATCAGTGTCATTACTGCGCCAAACGCTTCTCCGGCTATTCATTCTTGCGAACTTGCTCCCCGTCCATTTGGGGTTGATATCGAAGTTCGCTTCGCGAACAACGTGACTTCGTTCTTGTTATTGTCCGTGGCAGGTGACTTGCTGTCAGGTGATAAAGACTGGATCATCCAAAAGGTAACGACGCTCCCAAGTTGCTTCTCTGCCTCTGCACCAAATTCCCTTCGCGTTACCTGGTGTGGTCGTCGCCTGTCCTCGTCGCCGCTCATTTCCCCTCACTGCCCCCTGTGTCGTCGGTCGCCTGCAGCCCATGACGCGCCTCTGATGCCTCCGCGGGGCCGTGAATGCGCCTCGAGCAGTCTAGTCCTGAGTTATGGTGCCGATAGACCAATTTCGCGTCGAGAGTGAATTGCGCGAGCTTCAGAACACCGATGACCCTGCCTGATCCTGCCCGCCCGGGAGGGGACGCCTTCACCGGGCGCGTCGGTTTCGCGCGCTTCTCTGTTTACCCTGAGGGAAGACAGTTGAACTACCCAAGAACGGGTTCGACATTTCATTCTTGGACTAACATCAATTCCACTGACCATATCTCCTCATAATATTGCTTTCACTTGTCGAACACACTCTTGCTTGCTTAGCACTTCGATGACTAACCTTGAACTCTAGAACTTTATATGTCAGATCCCACCATGAACAGCCCCGACGGAAACGCTCACAAGCGCAAGCGCGAGGGGTCCGATGACCTTGGCCACGACCCTCAGCGGATGAACCGTTCTTCTCACGGCAGCAACGGCAGCATGCCTGGCGACAGCCACTCCAACTTTGGTCATTCACTCAACTACGAGCACGGCATTCCCAATGCGGGGTCCGAGTTGAACATTGATCAACAGATTCTCCAACACGTCGGACCTCAGAATGGAATGTCCGATGACAATGCCCTCACTGCCAACGCGAAGGCTGCGCTGGCCGCTCACACCCCTCAACACAAGTATCCCCCGCCCCCCGACTCCGCGTTCGATGCCAGCAACTTGACGCAGGGGTTGAACTTTGGTGACGACATGGGCCAGGGGCCCATGCCCGGCGCTCACAACCACAACTCTACGGCTGCAGCTGTGTATGCTGCCCGTGAGGCTCAGAGCATGAACCAGAAGCCTACCGTCGGCTCGCCCGAGTGGCACCAGATCCGCAAGAACAACCACAAAGAAGGTTCGTTGAAATATTACGCTTTGTTGTTCCAATGACGCGATGCTAATGTCTGTCCAGTGGAACGTCGACGTCGCGAGGCCATAAATGAAGGCATCAACCAGATCGCTCGACTCGTGCCAAACTGCGACAAGAACAAGGGCGCCATCCTCCAGCGGGCCATCGAGTATATCTGCCAGCTCCAAGAAGAAAAGAAACACATCGACGAGCGATTCGAGCAGCACAGCCTGACCACCAACCACGCCATCGGCGAGATCAGCACATCCAATCAGAAATTGAAGTCTGAAGTTAGCCGACGCAACCACATCGCCCTGAAATGGCTTCAGCGCTGCCGTGATGCTGGCCTCGAGTTCGACGACTACGAAGAGGCAAAAGAACTGGAGACCTATGACCTGGAGTAATGTCGTTCCTGTTTTGCAATTTCGCACGTGCTACGATCGTCTCGCCTGCCACGTTTTCAGTGGTTAGGAATTTTGAACATACCCTCATTCTTCGTTCTTCCATCTGGTCATTTCTTGCCGGGTTTATTGTGCTACGTTTCCTGCCCTCTCTCTTGATGTCGGTTCCCATCAAGTTGGTTCGTTCTTACGCCAATGTTCCTAGTCCACTTATCAGTGGGCGTATCTCGCTTGGTGTGGCGTATTCTATTTTTTTTTCCTTTTTTTTGCTTTTTTTTTACTGAATGCCCTTTACTTTGGATTGTATGCTCCTCGACGTTGATTTTTTGTTTTCTTTTATTCTGTCATTGTTAATGGATGGACCGGCGAATCTACGGATGGGATGGGCTTGGGGCAGTCGGTATAATGCAAGTCTTGGTTCTTACTTCTTCGCGTATCTGGCTATTGTGAGCCCTTTTTTCAACTACTCGTACACCCAGGTTTTATACATTTAAGACCCATGAAGCGGAATCACGTCCAAGAAGATTAGCCGTTCTTGTACGCGATTGAAATCAATTTTCACGCCGTTTTAAGGATCCGGTAGTGTGCTCTACACACGTAGAGATTGAATTGCTGAGAATGGTATATCAAGTCCTTGATTCCATGAAACAATTTGTCTTGAAATAATACATTTGAGAAGATAGCCATACCTCAATAAACTCCACAGTTCTAGGGCCAAAGATCCATGATCAGGTATACTCACAGGTTGGACGAAGCAGTATACTCTGACTCAGACGAGCATCCAACATCCTTCACCACAACCGTGTTTCCAGACTTTCCAGTAACACGAACAGTAACAGTGTCTGTGCCGAAGCCCGAAGACTGCTCAAAGTAGTTGTAGGAGGTACGGGTGGTGCTCTGCCAGTTGCTACCGCCGTCGGTGCTGACCTCCAGCTTGGTGACAGGCTCGTTGGCATTGACAACCTGCATCGAGAACCAGTATTCGGAGGTGCCAGACTTGTTCTTCAACTTCAGGGGGCCGTCGAGATCACAAGAGGTAAAGGACCAGTCAATGTCGATGATACCAGCAGAGATATCAGCGAGTTCGCCAAATGCATTTTCGAAGAGGTCGAAGTGATTGGTGTTACAGGAGGGGCACTGGTCAACAATCTATTCCTTGTGTAAATTATCTCTTCCTTGATTCAATTGGGACGGTTGGGGCTACTGACCATGGCCTTGATACTGTTACCGTTGGGTCCGGTTACGGACACACAGGCGCCACAGTTGGCGGCATCGTTCCATTGATCCACTGAGAGAGCAGTGCCGAATAGCCCACTAGGCAGGGTGTAACCTGAGAAAGAACAGGTCCCACCCTCGATGTTGCCGCCGTAGAAGGTGGCTTCACCGGATGTTCCAGAAGAGGAAGAGCCGGTGGAGGAGGTGCTAGTAGCCTCAGCAGTCAGGGCAGAAGTAGAAGTAGAAGTGGACGAAGTGGACGAAGAGGTCGAAGAGGTAGTCTCTTGGACGACAGCAACCTTCGCGGGAGCGACAGTCTCAGCAGTAGAGCTCTCGGACGAGATTGAAGGCACAATCACCTGGACAGTCTCGGGAACAGCAATCACTGAAGTGGTAGCGGGTGCCTCAAAAGTAGGGGACATAGTAGTGGGAACCGGAGCAAGAGCAGAAGTCGATGTCGAAATGGCCGCAACAACAGCAACATCAGCAGCTGGAGTGGAAGACACGGACACTACAGGAGTCTGAGACTGCACAACCGTGACAGCTTCGAAAGTTGAAGTCGAAGTCGAAGTCAAAGTCGGAATAGCGGACGGGGTGCTGCTGATCTCCGTCGAAGTCGCCTCCGGGGTAGGCCAAATGGTCTCATACCAGACGACCATCTTGTAGCCCTTGGGACAGAAATTCTCTTCCTCACGAGCGAGTGGAATAGCAGAAACAGAGGCAGCCATGCCAAAGATGGCGGCGCCAATAGAGGCCAATTGCTGGTACTTCATTTCGAAGGATGAGAATGAATCAATCAAAGTATAAATCGAATTATGGAGATTTGGAAACTGGGCAGAGTGTGGGCGTCGAGCTTTGAATGGAAAGAATGGGGGAAGGAGGGGACGTGCGAATGCACAGGAAGGAATGGACGTCTGTGAATATCGAATCCCAGACTAGAAAGAACTGTCCCGGACAGGTGAGAAATGAATGTGGATGAGAAAAGAATGGAACGGGTGGCCCCGAGTATATAAGACCCTGGACTATGGAGGCAGGAGACAACACGCCTAAGCATTAAGAGCCCTGACTCTGGGCTTTCATCATGGCCCAGAACAAGTCAAAAAATGACATCGAGATATGTGAAACACGCGTGGACCCAACGGCGCCACTGGCGATGCTCGGATGAAGCCGAAAACGGTGCGATCCGTGCCTGGTTGGGTTTAGCGGATGCTGCTTAATCAAAGGAAATGAAACTAATAGTTCGAGGCGATCCTTTCATACTGAACGATCCAGGGTTGTCCCCACTCTACTGAAAATGAAACTTTGGTAAAAAGTACTTCGGACATGGACTAGATCTATCGCGCATCCCACATCACCTCGTTCAAATGCAGCAGTGCATCGGCGCTGGCCTTCTTAGCGGCCATGAAGTCTTCACGACTCTCTGCGCCGCGAGGGCCCCGTAGCATCTCTGAGAAACACAGATCCACAAGTACACGGAGCTCGTCGTAAGTAAATGGCTCTCCGTCACCAGCGGCTAGTGCCTTGTCACCCTGCGCCGCGAACGCCTCTTTCTCCTCCTTAGCGTACTCGAGGGACTTTTCGGCTCCTTCCAGGAACCAATCCAGGAACTTGGCACTGCGGGGCAATGCCACAATTTCTTGAGTGGCAGGGTCGACGGGGCTCGTCACCGAGTTCGTAGTGGTGTCGATGATGATGTTCTTGAGGTTCTGTTGCAAAACCAGCACATCCAGCTGCAGGCGCAGAGCACCATTCTCATTCATAGCACCAATGTATCGAGTACAGGCTACAAACACACGATCGATGAAGCGAGCCAGTCCCGAAGCGATGAACCAATGTTCCGCGGGGCCGAGGTAGGTGGAGATATTAGTGTCGAATGCAATCAGGTCTCCATTCAACTGGAGAATCGACGGAGAGGCAGCCGTTGGCTGGTTCAAAACAATATGCCACCAGCTTTCATTGGTGCTTGGAGATGGAGTCGTAGGCTCAGAATTCCGAACAGTTGGCGGGTTCGGTCCCGCCATGGTCTTGGTCAGCATGTGGATGATGCCGCAGCGAATATCAACATGCAATGTCAGGAGTGCCTTGGATCCAAGGTCGTGTAATGATTGAAGGTTTTGGTCAAAGATTTCAGCCGTTTCGTGGTTGAGTGGCAGGTAGACCGGGGTGTTGATACTATCACGTCTAGGCTTCACGGCGCCAAACAAAGTCCATCTACGCGATGGCCGACCCTTTGAAGTCAAGACCGTCGACTCTGACTCCGATGCATTATCAACCACCCGTCTGATCTTTGCAAGGTGGCTTCCGAGCCATTGCTATGGTAGACAATTAGCTCCCAAATAATAGCACAATCAGAGTTCCAATAATTGTACTTACCATGCTGTTATACAGAAGCGAAAGCGCAACAACAGTCTTCGGATCAGAAATAATGTCATAAGGCTCCAAAGGTGTCTGATCTGTGCGCTTGAGAAGAAGATCGATTTCCTAGGGACGATTAGCAGTTACACCTAAAGAGGAGTGATGAGAGAGCTTACAGTATCGATAAGCGCCTGCTTCTTCGAGCCAGCTCCTTTCCACAATTCATCAATGATGTCGTGAATATCGCCAGACTCGGCGAAGGAAGCGGCGGCTTTCAGGCGCACTTCACCTCCATGGTTCCGAGCAGAAACTTTGGTGACCATTGCTACAAACAACCGTCAGCGTACGTTATCAAAATAAGCCAAAACTACCTTTACACATACCTTTGTACCAACCACAGCACTTCTTGTAATAGGTAACAATCTGATCAATCAGAAGCTGCGTAAATGCTTGGTCATGTGGGATACTCGACAGCATCTTGCTAAATTCCCGCACAATCGACATGAATTTGACTGTTCCTCGGAAAACCGGGCGAGGCGAGACCTTGATCCACTGGGGGTCCTCTGTGAAAGCATCGGCGGCAATGAAGCAGAGCGTGCACAGATCGGTGACAGTTTCGTCCAACTGTGGAAGGAAAACATTGACCATGAAGTCATCCAGGAAAGAAGTCAACGTGCTCATAGAGATGTCCGCATCAACAGGAACGATATCCTTAAGACGTTGAATGAAGGAAAGCGACGGCGGCAGGAGCAGACGCATGTTGAAAACACTTGGCTCAAGGAGAAGCTTATGACCAGTGCCAGAATTTCCCTTCTGCGCCTGCGCGGCTTCGGTTGCAGAAGCCTTTTGTCTCGTCTTAGAGACTAAACCAGGCACTGACGATTTCAAGATTTCATCCAATTCATCCTGCTCGGCTTTCATTTCCGAATTCTGATCAATATCGGATAGCTTAAACATCTTCTTGTTTTTATCTCGATTGCCGAGGTAGTTGTGCCGTCTGGCCTCTGCCTCCTCGCCGCGGGATCTGAAGGAGACATCCCCGTCAGTTGCAAGATAGTCATGTAGCAGAGATCGGATCTCGCTTTGGAGAAGCTTCCACAGTTCCTTGAATCCACCGCCAAGAGTCTCGCCCTTGGTAAGACCTTCTCGCCCTACAATCCCCGCAACGACATCATGGACCACGCGATGACCCTCTGCAATCGATTCAAACTTGGCATAGAGAGTCCATAGGAATTCAGTCAGCACATGGCCTCGCTCTTCAATGTTCCGCGTGGGAAGATTAGACTTGATTTGGTTGTCGTATGATGAATAAGTACGGTTCGGAGTAGGATAGCGAGCATCGACTTCAGCATTTGTCTTGTCGACTACAGCAAACAATTCCACGGGGAGGCGTTGCTCAATCCGATCAACTGCAGTATCAAGGTGGCCCATCTTGTTCAGGGACTCAATCAGAAGTTGAATGTATGAAAACGTATCGGCTTCTGGGTTGCGCGAGGCATCCTCAACCATTGGTGAGGATGGATCAAACTTGGACAAGAAACCGTAGATAGGACGCTCCCAAGAACGGTTGCCGGCCCAAGTGGTCTGGGTCATTTCTCCTTCTCCATTTGATGTTTTCCATCTGTCTGAGCAATAGGGAGATTTGAGATATAGATGATCGTGCAGTTCCTCAATCAAGATGTCAGTGATTGAAGTTTCTTGATTGTTGAAGTAGGCGCGGATATCGGCCAAGGCGCCAATATCTTCAAGCTCGGAGCGTCTGAGAAGTCGAAGAGCTGTGTGAAGGATATCTACCGCCGCGAGGAAGCGCTTATCGGAAATTGTAGACTCAAGTCTTTCAGGAAGAGACTGGATCTCTTCAATCTGAGCAAACAGCTGGAGAATGTCGTCGTAGTTTTGCGAGGACGTCGCCAATCCCTTGAGCTCTGGTTTAGTCGATAACAGCCCAGACTTCGACTCCTCTAGGGAGGTTCGCAAGTTGCGCACTCGGCTTTGTGCGCTCGAGATGTTGGTCTGGATTTTATGGTATGTACCGATGGAGCTGTTGAATCCTTGATGGTGTTCTATGCCAAACCATGTCAGTGCCTACAAGTATGGCCATTCAAGGAATAAAAAACCAACCGTTGACAATTGCCTTGAGTGTCTTCTGAATGTCGTCGTACATATGCAAAAAATCCGGTTCTCGGTCCGCCTTGCCCAATGTGCTTGTGTCCATCAAACTCAGGGCGACATGCACAGGGATACACTCGGCATCGGTCATGAAGTCCCAATCGCGCTGTATAGACTGTAGTACCGCTAGAAAGCTGTCAGTCCACGGAATCATGCGACTCCCCCAAAGGTAACAACGAACCTTCGACTGACTGCATTTCACGCGTGCTGTTCTCGGGCACACTTGCATCCGGTTGATTCATATCCCGACCACGGCTATCCGGAGGCCGCAGGCCGTCTCTGGACCGATCCTCTGGCTGGCCCTGGTATCTCCTGTCGGCGGATTCATTTCGTGATCGCGATCTTGAGGTCGATGGATGCTGGCGTTCGCGCTCTGAGCGGTCGCGCCGACGTTCCGGGGAGGGGGCTGGTGAGTGTGACGGTTGCTGTGACTGCTCAGAGTAGAACCCGCCGTAACCGCCAGGGCGACGGTCTCCTCCTGTGTTGCCAGCACTTCGACCGCTGTAATCGTTCGGTCCGAGGCTGTTACTGCCCCCGTAGGCGCCATCTCCTTGGTCATATCGGCCGGCGTCGGAATATCCGTTGCCGTAGCCGTAGCCTGGTCGCCCACTCATCCCCGCTGGATCTGGTCGTTACGGCCAAGTGGTGACGCCGGAAACGCAGGCTGCGACAAGGGGCGCGGGGCGCAATTGGCAAGGGCTTCAGTTCAGGTCTATCTGGCGCGCGACGAGCAAAAAAAAGCTAGCGACCATCCTTGGCCGCACGAGACGTACGGATTTGTGTTTGTGGGGTGCGCAATGCCAGAGCAGTTCACGCGGGTTGGGGAGGACTGGAGGCGTGTCGGGCTCCACATAAGCTTCCCGCATTCCAAAGAGTTCAAATACCGTCTACACAAACATCTTTACGTCGAATATTCTTCACTATGCTATATGTTCCTCAATTGACTATTGACATGTGTTCTTTATTTCGAGATGGGCTGAGTCTCACGCTCAAGCCACTTCCGGGTCAACTCGTCGTTGTCGAAGAAGTGGTGTGTTTTGTCCCAAATCTCGGCATGGTAGTCATTCACCCACTTGATCTCGGCGTCGCTGAGCAAAGATGGCTCAATAAGGTTACGTCCAATTGGGGTCATTGTAACATGCTCAAAGCCGAGCCACTGCTTGTCACCAAACTTATTGGGAGTATCAACCTCGCGACACATAACGATGTCTACGGGAATGGATTAGTACATGTTCAGCAACTTGGGACCAGACACTTACTCTCAATGCGAATGCCAAATTTGCCATCCTCGTAATAGCCGGGCTCTGGAAAGGAAGGTCAGTCGTGATACGAGTTGATGCGGATCATAATCACTAACCGTCAGAGATCACGTTTCCAGCAGCAATGGGAACCTCTGTGTACTGCACGCGAGTTCCGATACCCATGGGGCCCTCGTGGACATTCTGATAAGACTTAGCTGCGGTGACCAAATATTACTGGCGATAGAGAGGACTGACCAGGTAGGAGCCAACGCCGTGGCCGGTTCCGTGAAGGAAGTCAAGGCCTTCTTTCCAAAGGTGCTGACGGGCCAGGACATCAATTGCAAAACCGCTGGTTCCCTTGGGAAAGACTGCCGTGTCAATTCCGATCATGCCCTTGAGAACCAAAGTGAAAGCCCGTTTTTCGAATGCAGTGGGTGTGCCGAAATGGAAAGTACGAGTGGTGTCAGTTGTTCCATCAAAGTACTGGCAACCAGAGTCACAAAGATAGATGGCCGAGGGGTCGATGATCGAGCAGCTGCCTTTCTCTGGCTTGTAGTGAATAACGGCACCGTTGGGCCCGGTGGAAGAAATAGTGTCGAAAGACAGGCCGGCAAAAAGATCGTGCTTTGAGCGGATTTGCTCAAGTTTGTCGGCTCCATCGACCTCATCCAAGACGGTCTTCTTGTTGACGAGCTCATTCTCAAGCCAGGCAAAGTATTCGGTCAGGGCAGCGCCATCACGAATGTGACAAGCACGCATGCCCTCCAGCTCGGTCTCGTTCTTGACGGCCTTGGCATCAGCAATTGAGCTACGGATCTCTTCAACGCGGTCCTCGCCACCCAGGTTGAGGCTCAGAGCCCATGAGGTCTTGTTAGACAACAGGAACTTGGCAGGGACCTCTGTGGCTTGGCTTCTCGCCTCACTCAAAGCCTTAACGTCGGCAAAAATAGAGTCGTACGGCTTGATGATCACATCTTGGCCGAGGTGAGCCGTGACCTCGGGCGTAAGTTTTGAGCTGTCCACGTAAAGTTCTGCGGTGGTGGGGGTAATGATAGCATAAGAAAAGAAGACGGGATTGTAGGGGATACTATATCCAGTCAGCAAATCAATCGTCTCAGATTTACATCAACGTTGCTCTTACTCGCTGCCTCGCAGATTGAACAGCCAGGCAATCTCATCAAGCATGGCTATCAAGAGCGGTTAGTCACGGGCGATTCATGAATCACAAAAGAGTGCCTTACAGACGACAAAGCCAGCCTTCTTCTTGGTTTCCAGCTCCTTGCGAATATCGGCAATCTTATCCTGGAAAGGCTTGCCCGCATACTTCACGGGGTGCACGCGCACTTTCTCCACAGGTCGGGCCGGGCGATCCTTACCCCAGACCAAATCGACCAAGTTCTGCTGGATTCCTACCAAAGACGAGCCGTTCTTCTCGAGAGTCTCCGCAAGCTTTCGCGCGCCAGCTATATAATTGCCTCTGATTCAGTCTTGGGGTCGAGAAACGACTTCCAGGTGTTTAAAGTACTTACCGGCAGTGATCAAAGAGGGATCAACACCAACAGCTTTTCCGCCCTGGGCTTGCTCGGTCGTCCTGAATGCACACTCAGTCTCAATTTCTCAAACAATCAAGGTATCCCTACCATTCCTGCCAGCTGGGGACGCCCTCAATTCCGCGCTTGAGGAGCTCCCAGTTGCTGTCCAGCTGCTTCGCAGCTTGGTTGAAATAACGACCATCGGTAGACAATGCAGCTTTGTTCAGGGAGACAATCGCAGTACCGGCAGACCCAGAAAAGCCCGAAATAAATTCTGAAATCGGGCATTGGTGAGCAATGTGAAAAGAGAGGGTCGGTGGGAGTTGGCGGCTAACCTCGGCGGCCGTCGCAGGGCGCAATGTATTCGGACTGGTGGCTGTCTTCTGAGGGCACAACTTTGGAGAAAAAATTAGCAAGACAGGCACATGCATAAACAGCGAAGTAAGAACGAAGGGCGGCATACTGTATACATCGACTTTGTGCTCCTGCATCAGCTGTCGCAGCTGCGCCAGACGCTGGGTGGTTTCCACAGTCCCCATTTCGATGTTATACCGCGCACTGGATGACGAAAAGAACCGAGAGGGTTGGAGCGGCCTAAGCGATCGCAGCGAAGTCCGGGAGAGGCGAGTGGGAGAGAAGAGCATGGACAAAGGGCCACGGTGATAGTGGCGGGGGCTTAAGGGTTTCGCACCAAAGCTCACAGGCCAACGTGGGGAGCTTAGAGTGGGAGGAATCCGCTCCGATATGAAAACGAGCCGTCAAATGGTGGCCAGTGCCGGTCGTGTGAGTGGCTTGCCGGTTGCAGACGGCGAAGTTGTCCACTGGGAGGCAATCCACCGACCCACTGTTGACATGTTTGCATTGTTTCCACATCCATTATCGATAATGATAATTTAAACAAAGATATCAATCACTAAGTTGAACCCTAGGATTCAAAAATCAATGAAATGTAAATTATTCAAACAAGAGCTAGGCAGCCTTGGGGATTGGCAAGCTGGCATCTGTTTCCCCCCTTTCCCTTTCCACCCCGAAACCCAATTTACCATCTAGTGTTTACTGGGAACCAGGCACACGAACCAGTGTTGAAAATATCTTGTATACTTGCAGACTAGGAAGTAAATGGTCATCACTGCCGTCAGCTTGTCATCCACAGCTGGCTCTTCCTTGACGCTCTTTAGTACAGTACCATTGGAAATCAAGAGCGAGCAGTTGGACAAAGGTACAGATGAAATCACACTGAAGGGCCCTTTTCTGTGTTGATCAAGTTTAATTGCAGTACTAGGAACAGACAAGAAGCAGGCGCTTGGCAGCAGGGCGCAAAGCTCCACTGTATGAATTTCAATTTTTATTTCAAATGCTTTTCTTTTTTTTTTCGTTGATTTTTCTGAAAGAAATTCCATGCTTTTGTTCTTGCAATTTTGTCTGTCACTCCCCAAACTCACAGATGGAAAATAACAAAAATTGGATTTCCCCCATATTGAGTATATCAAATCATGATTTAGTAGTATTACCATTAAATACACTATAATTTAGTTATCGAAAATAATAAGATATAGATCTCTATTATCCTAATTCTTTTCAAGAAAATAGCACACTAGTGGACTAGTGATACTATCTAGGATATTATACCTTACTATATCATATTATAGTTAGTTATAGTTATTGAGATATAAAGTGGTAATTTATAGCATTTACTATGTGTTTTGAAGATGGCGGGTTGCTTGTGGTGGCAGATCGCTTGAGTTACGTTACCAAGAACCGATTGTTTTTGAGGTAGGGCATCAGGCCGTTAATGGTATTGATAATACATGTGATGTCTGGCGAGCTACGATTTGAATGCCCTTCTGTATGACGCGATACAAACCCAACTGATATCTAATGTGTACCAATGTGTGTTGGCGATCAGGTTCGAGAAATTATCGAAGGGTGTAGTTGGTGACATCAGTTACGGGACGTACTGTACTTGACAAAGGCCGAAGGTACTGTTTTCTCCCCGACCCCGCGGTTGACCGCCTCCTCATACCGCCCTACATACTCGTGTGTGACTGGACGTCCACATAGCAAACAAGAATCTACCGGCAGATGGGAGCTGCTATCACCACGTGACCAATTTTATACTGTCCCTTTTCCATCTTCGCACTTCCATCCCACTCAGGCGTCCTACGTCTTGTATCTACCATGGCCACACCCTTTCAAAACATGGGCCATGGCTCTGACGAGTTCATATCTGAAGCCCATTCGGTAATTTGGTCCCCTTCTTCTGGGATTGAAGTCTCTAATGATCTCGCAGTTGGTGACCCAACTTTACGATCCCGCTAACCAGCGGAACCCGGCCAAAATCGACGAGGTACAGTCGCAACTGCAGCACCTTCAAAAGAGCGAACATGCCTGGGAAATTGCGGATTCGCTTCTTCGGGAGCGCTCTGCCCATCACCGTTTCATGGGTGCCCTCACCTTCACAGTCAAAATCAATGTATCAGGGTGAGTGTCAAGAGATGCGATATTGCTTTTATTCTTTCAGCTTGGAACGACATTGCTCATCTGTTTTCAGTGGCGAGGTCAAAGAAACCATGGCAGCCCAAATTTTGGAGCTCCTCGTCAATCACTTCATCACTATCGTGAATGAGGGTGAGCAGGCGTTTGTGATCCGAAAGCTTGCCTCCAGCCTTATTGCGATCTTCCGGCATCCGACTATCCCGTGGAAACGGGCGCTTTGGCAGCTGGCTGCCAGTCTTGCGCATGGGAATTTTGTCCAGGAAGATCAGTCCCAGACCGTGGATTTCCTAAGTGGTGTACTGCCAGCTCTTAGTACACCGCAGGCCACAGCTTTGTTATTCTTTTCGGTTTCGCTGGCTGAAGAAACCTTGAGGTTGGACACTGAGCCTCAGAATCTCGTGGCGCCCGTGATTCAGCGGGCGGTGTCCAACATCAAAGATGGCTTCTTGCTGGTGCAATACATCATGCGGCAGATCGCTCAACACCCTTCCATTTCGCAGGGTGAATCTCCTGAAATAACGCTCGCAAATGAAGCCATGATTGCCTGGAAGGTAAGTCAGTTAGCGCAAGGATAATATACAGTGCCGATGATAAGATCGTTGACTTTTTTTTCTTACATAGGCTTGGCTAGGAGTCTATGGGAGTCGCCTGCACCCTGGACATGGCGAAGAACGTCGGGCCTTGGCAATTTCTTGCGGACAAGACATCATAGAGACCCTCAGAATTCCTAGTTTGAGCGAGAATGCAGCATCTATATTGACCCAAGCTTTTGAAACCCGCAGTTGGGCCTTCGACGACAGCTCCATTTTGCTCATCTCACAAGTTCTCTCTGATTCCATTGTGACATTGCATATATCAGAAATCACGAAGGGGAATGAAGGCGCCGAGAGCATGACATTTGTCGACCTTCTGGTCGCGTATGTGTCGCATCTTCAAATGAATCTGTTCAGTGATCCGATAAAGCCCCAAAATGCCCAAATCTTGAGCATCGTGCACAACATCTTCAAGACTCCAGGATACGCTGTCATTGATGACCAGGCAACACCTCGCGTCTTGGAGTACTGGAATGAGATAGCGGAAATTCTTCCCGACGAGCTGCAGCAAAGTGATCCTAGGTATCAAGCAGTGAAGAGTCACTTGGCGCAGGTTGTTCTTGGCTTATTCAACAAGCTACTGTATCCCACTCCTGGCGACCTGTCGGACTGGAGCGATGATGAAAGAAGTGAATTCAACGGATTCCGTTACGAAGCCTGCGACTATCTCTTATCGGTTTATCCCATCCTCGGCGTGGAGTTGGTGAGTGTTTTCCAAGAAAGCGCAACTACCCACCTTCGAACGAATGATTGGCGTGGATTTGAAGCTGCCATGTTCTGCATTGCGCAGCTATCAGAGGCTGTCGATGAGAATGGGCATGCAGATCAATGTCTTGATGCCATCTTTGGCAGCGATGCCTTTTCTCGCCTCTGCACCGGTGGTGAGAATGTCATTCCGTTGAAGGCACGTCAGACGTTAGTTGATGCGTTTGGAAAATACGAGTCTTATTTCGAAAGGCACAATTCATTGCTTCCAGGTGTTCTGAACATCCTTTTTGAGTCACTCACCTTCGAGACGTGTGCCCCGGCGGCTTCGCGATCTATCCTGACGCTTTCCAAGTCATGCGGCCGTGTGTTGACCACAGAGCTCCCGGTTTTCCTCGACCAGCTTGACCAATTTCGTACAAAGCCGACGGCAACAGTGTCAACGATGCCCAAAGTGCTTGAGGGCATTGCAACCATCATACAACGATTACCTACCGATGATGAGAAAGTGCAAACTCTTGAGAGGATTCTGCGCTTCTTCGTCCAGGAAGCTAATCAGGCACGAGATGAAGCTGCCAATTCTGCGTTCGAAATTGCCCGTGCCCATGGCCATCTTGTGCTTGGCTGTATCGCCAGTATTGGACGGGGTTTGCGTGCCGATACAGACGAGGTTATCAACATTGACGCAGCGGAAGAGCAAAATCCTTACCCGCCATCCTTCTGGAATGCTGGGCCCGGCTCCGGTGCCCAGCAACTTATCATGGAAGCAATGAGGCTTCTTATATTGGATTTCCCCGTGGACAGTGGGATCATTGATTCTGCGTGCGACATACTCAAGGCTGGGTATACTGAGACTTCGGGGCTCTTCGTTTCCCCCCATCCTTGACTGTCGACTTCATCAAGAGTTTCCCACTTGGTATCTCCGGCACAGATGTCATCATGGCTACCGCCTCCTCATTTCTAGCCTCGCATGCTTCTCACTCGATGCAGATCAGGGATGAAGCCGTGGCGTTAATAGTACACGTCTTCCAGCTATTTTCTTCCATGCTGGATAATCCTGACATTTACGACCCAGAGACCGCAAATGCAGGCATTGATTTCCTCGCGCGTCTCCTTCCGAAATACTACCCCATCCTTTTCTCCTTGACTGAGCCACTCCCCTCTGTATCAGGCTCAGTGTCACAAGGTCTGCCGGTTTTCGTGGTCCTGTTGAACTTTACGCTCCACGCTCTCACGCGCCCAGAGCCTTTGACCCTTCGTTCTGGGTCCGCATTCTGGGTTGCCATGCTAGAACTTCGCGGCGGCTCACCGGAGGAGACGGCTGCCCTCGATCAAGTCCTCGAGCAATTCATTCCTGCGCTTTGTGAGACTTTAATCCGCCAGATCGCAGGGCACTGTGCACGTTCGGATCTGCTGTCGCTCAACGATGTTCTGCGGCGCACAGTCTTTAAGAAGATGGGACTGGCTCGCCCAAGTCTCACCGCGGCTCTGAATGCCCTCGACGCGCAGGTCACAAATGCTGATGGCCACCAGGCTTCAGTTCTTTCGCCGCAGGAGAAGTCTCGGTTCCTAGAGTCGCTAATTGTTGCTCGCGGACAGCGACAACCATCGCTGGAGCTGGTTCGATCATTCTGGTTGAAGTGCCGAGGGATGGCATTTGACTATGCCGGATAGACCGAGGACTTGCATATTCATGACAACATGATAATTGTCATTGGAGTTCAGGATATCTCAAAGATTCGAGGAAATTTCGTTGCATTTTCTTTTCAGAAATCCAGTTTTGCAGGCAAGTCATAGCCTTGGAATCAGAAAGCAGTTGAACCCATCCGGTCAACACAATGTTCTTATCTCTTAGAGTTGATGGCTCGTACATAGCCGATTCCACCAACTCATTTAATCACGCTTCACCCGACAATTTGTCCCCCTGCCCATTCAATGTGACAGTGCGAGTCAGGATGCTGAACTTGTGAAACTTTCATACGTCCCCAGTTCCTGATACACAAATTGCCACGCGCCAGGTGTAAGGACACGCAGTAATGAGCCTACACGACCATTGCGAGAGATATGAAGGATCGGTCCAAACGCCCTGTCGAGCGGCTGATTGAGCCTAATCAGGGCAGACATGGAGCCTTCATTACATAGAGTACTTTACAGTGCACTATCTCTTCGCTTATATGAGATTCATTGTGCCCCCGAATTGTTTTAGTCTTGGGTTCAATTAGATCTCTGACTTTCTGCATTTTCCCCGCAGCGATGCCTCTTTTGCTCTCGGTGGCCATACCTGTGGACGGGGTTTTCCCATGCGATGCTCCCACTTCACCGTGGCTGGAAGATCACCGAATTGATGCAAGTTCCGATCATAACCTCGACACCTTTCAGAGAGCTTAAGTTTGTCGCCTGAAATCCAGGGCGAACATGGAGCTTTGTCAGTAAAATTTCCTATTCAGGCATAGCTCAGGCACCGACATGATTAGGGGACATGAAGATTCGACAGGTTCCGCCATACTCAGCTATTCTCCCTCCACGATAACCTGAGAACAGACTCAATCATCGAGCAGGCTATCGCTACATCGGAATAAACATTGGGTTCTTGTCCAAAGCGATGGCTGTGACAGCGGCAAAAACATAGCCGCACCGCCACTGCGGCAGTGCAGCCCTCAAACAAGTACAAAAATAACATCTCTAGACGACGCTCCACGATGTGGCCCAAGTGCAAGTGGAGTGCCTCGAGGGCTGCATTCCTGCTCACCGCACTGCGTCAGGTCCGTGTTCCAATTTTCTCGTAGCCCAAGATCGTCGAGTCTTTCTTTTTAATTTTCTAAGATCTCCACTTGCCGCCAAACATCGCTATTTGTTTTTGCTGTTGCTTTACTTGGATTTGCGTATGCCTCAAATTTCAAATACACCGGAATCTCTGCTTGCCCGCTCAGATTCAAGAGACCCGACAACCACCTGTAGAGGCATAACTACCCAGGGCCGACCATGTCGTCGAGCTCTAGCACCATCTCAACCGCCAGCGTATATTTCAAAGTCTCGCAAGGGCGTCAGCCACATATCAGACCCAGAGTCCCTGTACTGCTGGCAGCACAAGGATCAAGCCGGGTCATCAGTGCCCTGGGATAAACCAATTACTCCGGCAAAGCCACGAACCAGCATCGAGACCTTGATGGATCGACTCGGTGTCCTTGAGATCAATGATCAGCCTAGGCCGCAGAAGATGCACCAAAGGCGGACAAATCAAGGTCTCGGTGAGAAGCGCAAGCCTCGTCCAAGGCGCACCTTTTGCTGCTTCGAGATTGTGGATGATTCTAGCGACGACCACACGCCGTCTAGACCTGTGCAAAGGCCTCAAAGTCGCCCATCTCAAGGATTGCCAAAGCCCCGGCCATCTGCCGGGAAACCGCAAAACGTTGCTTCTCAATCATCGCGAGCATCTGTCCCAGACGGCAGAAAAAAATCCGACTCCATCGTGGATCCCTACTACACTTTCACCAGAAACAGCATCTCTCCTCCAAACGGAGCTCTCCAAGCCAATCTCATCAGCTGACGAATATGGTTACATCTATATGTTCTGGGTAACACCCCAGACAGCAACAAGAGATAAGAGTGGAGAATCAGCGCAAAACAGAGATATCGCATCATCTCTACTACCATCAGCACCACCAAACAACCATCTCCGCCCACCAACGCAACCTCGCAGCGTAAGCGATGCCATTCGCGCCGCGCGAGACTTGAACGCTCTTACATCCAACCCAACACCAACCACACCAGGCACGATTCGACTTAAAATTGGCCGTACAAACAATGTCCACCGTCGAATGAACGAATGGACCAATCAGTGCAATTACGATCTGACTTTGATTCGCTATTACCCGTATACATCATCTGCATCCGCCTCATCCTCCCCAGCGAGAACATCTCCGAGTAAGCGGAGCAATAGTCACTCGGCTGTTGATGCATTAGTTCCTGGCCGCAAAGTTCCTCATGTTCACCGTGTGGAACGGCTTATTCATCTCGAGCTAGGGGAGCTACGTCTTAAGGATCTTGGCAAATGTGGGGTTTGTGGAAAGGAGCATCGAGAGTGGTTTGAGGTTGAGGCTGCGAAGGAGGCTCTAAGGAAGGTGGACGAGTGTGTGCGGAGGTGGGTTTCATGGGGAGAGTCCATGCTTTAGGGAACTAAACAAAGGGTTATTTAAGAGCAGTTGAAGCTCAAGGGATCCCCCGCCACTTCATTCAACGAGCTTAGTATATCGTGTTGGTTCTTTTCTTTTCTTTTCTTTTTTTTATGCAGATAACAGCAAAATCCCTGACTCCGCTTAGGCTTTGGCGCTCGGGTTGTGACGCAAATTGGTGCCAAATTATAATATGCAGGCAATAGATGATCTACGCCTGAGTTGTTGAGATAAGATCCTGCATCAAGTCCGTCATACCAACAAGTTGCATAGCAGTCTTGATCTCTTCTTTAAATTCTAGTCCAATATGATCGGATGTTCAGCTGTCAATCAGTTTCACGGAACCTTACAATTGACAGCATGCTCCACGCCTTCTTGTCCATAATTGAGAGCATAGCCAAAAGGCCCGTCCAGGCTCACAGCCGAAGCACCCAAGCAAATGGCTTTGACCATATCCGAGCCCCGACGAAAGCCACCGTCAACAAGGACATTCAGCTTGTCGAATACTTGTGGGCAATGTCGATGGAGTTCCAACAAGATGGTTATTGCAAGGGGAGCAGTACTAGCAGCTCGACCACCATGGTTGCTCACCACAAAACCATCAAACCCGACTCTCATGGCAATGACAGCATCTTCCAGTCGTTGAACTCCCTTGAACAAAATAAGCTGCTTCGTACTACCTCTCAACCAAGCCAATCTCTGTCTCATGTGGCCAAAGTGCAAAATGGCACCCTTGAAGCGGAATCTTCAGCACTCACACTGGCAGTAAATAGCGGAACCAAGCCGATGGATGTACACTGGGCTCATTCTCACGATTGAATGCCGGATTTTCATTGTAAAGATAGCAAGGTCAATCGACGACGCTATATGCACGCTGGGCTCGAGTGTCCTGTTTTTCTGAGGAATCGAGATCGATAGAATGGGTATCGTTCAGTGGCATAAGCTATGGCAGGTGGATGCTATGGACAGGAAGAGAATTTGAGATAAGGAAAAGAGCCCGGACGAAATCACGTTATGTCGTGGACACCAGTAGCAACCATTATATTTGTTTTCTTTTTCTTAATAGTCCCGGAAGACAGCAACCATATCGTCCAAGCGAGCAATAGCTGCAAGGAACAAGGCCTCTTTATTTCTCCAGCGTTGCAGACGCTCCAACTCACCCTCGGTGAGATACTCCTCTTCATGACCCTTGACATCGCTGCGCTCCGTCTTCTCAAGGAAATCTTTTTCAAGCACTCGCTCGTGCTTGATACGCTGCAGAGTTCGCGACATGGCCTTGTAAGTGTCCTCCAAAATACTGCTGCACACCCGGTCTGCATCATAGTACCAAAGGAAGATGGTCTTGGAGGGTTGGCGTTGAGCATCCTTGGGAACTTCTTGCAAGTCCACAAATCCACCCCTCTGCATGCTAGCCAGCGTCTGCCGCAAGTCTTTGAACGGCAATAGACTGATCTCCTGCAGTCGCTTCTCATCCAGTTTGCCCTTGGCCTGCAGTACACGCACCACTCGGAGTGCGACATCGCCGAACCGGGATTCAATCAATCGTTCTAATTCCAAGTGTCGCAATTTCCGAGCAAGACCGCGGAAGCCAACACGCCATTTTGAGGGCCCCACTGATAGGGTGACAGAAGATACTAGGTCGAATGGGGGTTGTGAAAGAAGACCAAGATGCTGGTTGACTAAATAGGCACGCATGGCCCCAGACGATGCTTCATCGCCATTGTCAGCGTCATCGTGGTCGCCGTTGACGCCGTTCTCCAGAGGCCGCTTTCCTCGTTGATTCATCACCTGTGAGGGATCCGTTGGTCCCAAGGCGCCGGTTAGATCCATGTTCGGATCAATATCTTCAAGTAACGTCTGGACGCTGATCGGAGCGGAGAACTGTTCTCCTTCTTCCTTCTCACGAGGGATTTCTTCTGAATCTCGGCAGCGGGGTGTGGCATATTCCACCCGACGAAGAAGGCAAGCGTACAACTCCGCGGTCACAGCAGGTGCGTCTTGCTGGGCGAGATCTACAAATCGAGCATTCCGTAGAGCCACATCGAGCTTTTCATAATTGACCCGAACGACCATTCCAGACTTTGTTTAAGGTCAGCTTCTGATCAGTTGAATTGAAACGACAGAGAAAGATACTTACCTCCATTGGGATATTGTCGAAGCCATCCTCATCCTCGGACCATTCATTTTCTTCCTCGTGCTGCTCTTCGTCTTCTGCATGATCGCCATTGACGCCATTTTGGTTGTCCTGGGATTTTCCATTCCCGGAACCATTACCAAATCTCCTTTTAATACCACGGGGCAGACCATTGTACATGAGTCCTTGGGTGAGGTCACCGTTCGTTCGTTCTTGGACCAATTCTAAGGCCCTCTCTTTGATTGCCTCTTCCTGCTTCTTTCCTTTGAGGGCCTTGATATCAGATCGAGCAGCAACCGCTCGCTGCGCTTCAAGTAGATTATCCGAAGGGCTCTGGAAGTGAGCGTCTCTCACACGTATGATGTATCCGTGGGATGCAAGAGCCTTGAGAGTGGCGTGGAACGGTGCCGGCTTGTCCTCAACCCCATGATCCCCATTTGCAGTAGCGTGTTCTTCCTCCACATCCATCCCGTTTTCTTGAGGTTCTTCTTCCTCATGTTTGATCCCATTTGCAGCCACCGGCTTTCTTGACCGAAGTTCGGGGCGGACTTCGAGTTCCGAGATTGAGGCATGTCCGAGGTACAAAATGGCCTCCATCATACGAGAAGCATACTCTCCGAGTCGTGATTCAACTAGTTGAAGAATCTTGCCAGATCGCACGAGGTAATAAGCAGCTTGTGGGTTCGCTTCATAGTAGGTGTTTCCATCTTCGAGGGAGGTGAAGTGGTAGATGAGGTGGTGTTGAATCATGGCAGCCAGTGCATGGCGCAACTGTCTATCATTGAGACGGGAGTGGAATTTAAGCCGAGGAAGTGTCAAGCGCTCATAGCGTTGAAGGATTGAAAAGATGCGCTGTGAAGGTTGAACTCGTTAGAACCGAGGGAAATTTGTCGCTATCTGGCGAATTCATGCAGCATGAGGTTGTAGCAAAGACCGAAAGACACTCACAGCAAATAGCTCACCAAAGTGATCCTCAACCAAGAGCATACATAGCTCCGCCGCGTACTGTGCAGATATGCGTCAGTGCCGATCGTAGACCGATTAAAGAAGTCCTGGCGAACCTGGGATATCATTTTGGCGGTATTGGAGTGATGACCAGCCTCCAGTCCGCACGAGAGCAATTAAGGTCACCGCGACAGATTCATTTGAATGTAGAGCGCGGCGCAAGTGGAGGAGGAGCAGCCCTCACTTTTTTGCTTATCAGTCACGTGGTGTCATATCATGTGATCTTTACTTGGGCAGGTCAAGTCTGCGAGTTCAGCGTTTGACGAAAGTGTGGCGAATAGAAGTATAGAGTCGAGAACCCTCAACTATGTTATTTTTCCAGCTACATAATAAAGATATGTTAATCCTATTTCTCTTATAGAAACAAGCGATAATGCAGAATAAAAGATATTCCGGTTCCGTCCGACTCGTCACGGCAGCCAATCAGCGGCCACATAGTCAGCCAGCAACCCGGCATCTTGAAGCTTTTCGTAACCCGTCTGCTTCTCCTCCTCCTCCGCATCCCCCTCCAACTCAATTGCCTCCCTCCTTCAAGCCCTTTTGGGTTCTCGCTTCTTTCTTCCTTTCCTCTTCCGTCCTCGGCGCACAATGCTGTCGCGGTCTTCCGTCCGAAACGCGCCGCGTGCGCTCGCCGCCGGCCGTCGGGCCATGGCCTCTGCTGCCAACCCGACTTTCCAGTACGATGTCTCTGAGGTCTCCGGCGTCAAGGTCGCCAACCGTGAGGTCGCTGGTCCTACTAGCACCCTGGCCCTCGTGGCCAAGGCTGGTTCCCGCTACCAGCCGTTCCCGGTTTCTCCGATGCCCTCGAGAAGTTTGCTTTCAAGGTTGGTCCCGACTGCCATCCATTGAACATCATCCGCCGCCTCCCTGTGCTAACTCGACCTTCTCCAGTCCACACTCAAGCGCTCTGCTCTGCGCATCACCCGTGAGGTCGAGCTGCTGGGCGGTGAGATCTCCGCTACTCACTCGCGCGAAAACCTCGTCCTCCGCACCAAGTTCCTCGCCAATGACCTCCCCTACTTCACAGAGCTGCTGGCTGAGGTTGCTAGCCAGACCAAGTTCACTGGTGAGTTACTTTCTCCACTGGGCGTCCGGCTCGAAAGGGAAAGAGAGCCATGATTATTAGGTTGGTTTTGCTGATTTGAATCCTTTGATATCAGACCACGAGTTGAAGGAGGTTGTCGTCGATCTCCTCAAGTACCAGCAGTTGGCCCTCTCCTCCAGCGCCGAGAACATCGCCATTGACGCCGCCCACGGCATTGCCTTCCACCGTGGTCTGGGTGCCCCCATCACCCCCTCCGAGTCCTCCCCTTACGAGAAGTACCTGACTGGTGACGCCATTGCTCAGTTCGCCCAGGATGCCTACTCCAAGTCCAACGTTGGCCTCGTCGCCACCGGTCCCAACTCCGGTGATGTTACCAAGTGGGTCGGTCAGTTCTTCAAGGATCTCCCCACTGGCGCCTCTTCCAGCCAGTTCAAGGTCCAGCCCTCCCAGGCTTCCAAGTACTTCGGTGGTGAGCAGCGTATTGCCTCCAAGAAGGGCAATGCTGTCGTCATTGCCTTCCCCGGCTCCAGCGCCTTCGGCACTGCTGGCTTCAAGGCCGAGGCCTCCGTTCTCGCTGCTCTTCTCGGCGGCGAGTCCACTATCAAGTGGACCCCTGGATTCTCCCTCCTCTCCCAGGCCACCAAGGGCTTCTCTCAGCTCAACGTCTCGACCAAGAACATTGCCTACTCCGATGCCGGTCTCTTCACCGTCACTCTAACCGGCCAGGCCGACCAGGTCGCCTCCGCCAGCAAGAACGTTGTCGACGCCCTCAAGAAGGCTGCCGCCGGCGAGGTCGCCAGCGAGGACGTTAAGAAGGCCATTGCGCTGGCCAAGTTCCGTGCTCTCGAGTCCGTTCAGACTCTTGAGACTGGTCTCGAGGCCACCGGCTCCGGCCTGATCCACGGCAACAAGCCTTACCAGATCGGCGAGATCGTTCAGGCTGTTGAGAACGTCTCCGAGGAACACGTTAAGGAGGTATGTCTTCAATTTCCACTCGACCCTTTTGGTCCATATACTAATTCTTCACAACAGACCGCCAAGTCCTTCCTTTCTGGCAAGGCTACTCTCGTCAGCGTCGGTGACCTCCACCAGCTCCCGTACGCCGATGACCTCGGCCTGACGGTTTAAACCCCTTGTATACAATACAGCCCCTAGATCGAGGGAAAAGCGTGTTTCCTCGTTTTGGATTTGATGTGACCACTTGTGCCTAGATTCCTTGCCGATATCTCTTTTGTCTTCAGGGTGTAGTTGACTGTAATACAATTGTACCTTATTTGATGCAGTCTTTGCGAGACTTGATCTTCTTGCCGACGTAAAATGGTCTCAGTTGTAAAATGGTCTGAGTTGCATTGGCACTCGGAAGAGGCCTCCCTAAGTGATTTGTGGCCAAGCTTCTTGAAACAATGACCACTGGGTGCTCTCCTGGCTCAGGACATACAAGTCAGACTCAACCTCCAGTACCACGAATACTCAACCACGATACTAGCCAAATTACCCAAGATCAAACGCACTATAAGACCGGTTCGTGGCAATCACCAGGATCTTTTTTTCATCATAACAATCTCATCAACTGCATGACCGTAAGAATAGAGTGATCCACCACTGTGTGCATGAAAGTTGGATCGGTCGAAATGTCTGCATTGATACCATCTACATCCAAGCTCGGTGGTTTGGATCTGCAAGTACCAACTAATGGTGTTCAGGATGTAGTCCTCTGAACCGTCAAAGCTAGAAACACTGATAGCCTCGTCTCCAAGGGAGCTTATCGTATAGATTTTGGATCCGAGGCTTGGGATGAATCATAATCTTTACGTCAACAAGTGGTTTTTACAGAACTTCTAGAGCGAGGGCCTGGGGAGGTCTTTGTAATACCGGCAGACTGAATGCTGCGGAATACGCAGATCATAGCAGCGTTCTAGAATTGTATTTCTCAAATCCATGATCTTTCCCACTTGAAGACCCTCAGACTTATTGTTTTGTAGTATTGCTTCTCCTTCTCCTTCTTCTTCTTCTTCTTCTCAAAGTAGTATTCTCAGTCAGGATTTGGCGTCGCGTATCTGCCTGTTATCCTGTAGGCTGTATCAAGAATAGACTATGGGCTCACAATTCTCATGATTTTGAAGCAATTCACTTGAACTCAACTACGCATTGTCTCCCTTGGCTCTTTTAAGCGAGGGAGATGCTGCAAGGTAGTAACTGCAGCTTGCAAAGGTAGACCACTAGGGTTTCCATGAATCGTAGGCATGAAGACGTACTTTATTTCGAGAACATTTCGCCCATCTCATTGCTCATGAATAATTGCTTCTCAGTCTTGCGCAGATTTCATTCAACGAGCTCAAGGTCCCAGGTAAGATGAAAGTGCAGACCCTAGAAGTCTTCGTGGAGACTCAAAAAGGGGTAAATTTCTCGTGTCGGACATTTCACCTGCAGCTTTTCCAGAAGCGTACCAGAACGTATTGTACCATAGCATGAGCTCGCTCGGCATTGTATGGCCATGTGAAGTACAGAAAACAGAGAAGGGACGTACCTCTGGGCCAATTGAATATCTAATGTCCCTGTCGTTGTGGGGAACCCCACACTGGCTTGAGCGGAAAGCGGGGGGAGGTGTATAGAATTGAAGAGAACGAAGATTTACCCAGCATTTTTTGATGAATCGACACGACTTTTTGCTTTTAACAGACGGATAGAGAATATGCGGGTCGAAAGTCTCTAGCAATACCAGCGACGTCGATATTTATCGTTCTCATAATCCCAAACACCACAGGTTTACTTATATATCCTTGGATTATATACAAGTGTGGACAAAATTTGAGCCATGAAAGATCGGCAGGGCTATCTATAATCCGGCTCAGGATCTACAGTCTCATTTAAGGAATGATTTGTGCTTGCTGAGTGTATAGAAGTAGATCTTCAGGCCCTTCAACAGCTTATGGATGTACTTTGGAAGCAGAAACCCGGGAATATGTCAACATCTCTCTCCATGGAGATAACTATGAGATAGAGTATGAAGTCGCACCACGGGATTTCCACTCTCACAGCTTGATGCGAAACATAAAAATACATAAATCATGTCTTACTCTTGATCTAGCATGTCTCATTCTCGAGGACTCGAGAAAGTCCAAAAGCTCCCGTGCAGCGAATCACAACCAACAAGCAATCGAAAACCCCAAACAGATGCCGCCCACCAGCTGTTCACTTTCAACACCCCAATCGTTTGTAACTTATTCAGCTTCTCCGAACCTAAGATGGTAAAATAGCCACCCAAGATCCAGCCAACATCCACTACACCATACAAAGCATATGGAACATTGCATCAACAAGTAGAAACTCAATTCCTTCAAGTTATATATAGGAGATACTAACAAAGTACAAACCTGGGAGAATAATCGGCAATTTCTCGGCCCAGGCAGCGCCCATTGACCCGTGGCCTATCTCATGCATAGATGTAGCCGAGGTCAGGATGGGCTGCGGGTAGCGCGCGCCGCCCATCCGCAAAGACGATCACGATTACGATACGGAACGAACGGGTGAAAGGAAAGGAGAATGCATAAGCATGATTAATTCCGGTCTGCACGGAACGTACGGAGTAAAGTGACGACTGTCGGGGGATTGAAGGGCCGATTTACGCCACCGAGATCGGATGATTCCTGGGGCCGTTGATACGGAGCGGGACTGGGGGAGCTCCACGAATCTTCAAGAAGGCTGGGGTAAGCGTTACTGAAATTTGTTCCTGGGGTCGGAAGTCGGAAGTACCACGCAGTATTGGGTTTTAGTCTAGTACTGTAAAGACTCTGGAATATTTTGCAGTTGTTTTATCTGGGTCTAACATGTTGACATTGGGGGGGGGTAAAGACAATCACAGAAAAAAAAAAACTACAGGGATTGAGACAAAAAACGAGTGTTCAGAAGGGACAATTGCGTGTGTATTCACTAGGGTATCGGGTAGACGAAATTACGAGTGGTATGAACGAGGACAACCCTTTTCCTCCTTGGCCGCTGCATAGCAGAAGGGTATCTCAAACCTTCTAGTGCTTAGCGGTGACGGCCTCGCCAGTCAGTTTTTCGACTGCTTCTTTGGCCCTGCAAAGAAATGAGTTAGTCCGCGGTATCACATGAAAGAGGAAGGTGGATCCCAAAAGAGAAACTTACATGTCACCGAGAGCGACCATGCAGACGGTCTGCCAAATACCGAGACCAATACGGGGAGCAACACCCCGGTACAGACCCTTCAGTCCGTTGTTCTGGTAGATGTAGCTGAAGGCCTTGCCAACAGTCAAATTTTTCGGGCGGTTGGGGTCCACGGTCTTGCTTTGCATCTCGACACGAATGACCTCAATGGGCTGGTTCCAGGCGGAAAGACCACCACCAAGTCCGGACGCGAGGATCTTCTCCCATGCAGCCAGCTTCTGGCCGTCCTCCTTGCCAGTGACCTTGCGAATAGTGGACTCAGCCAGACGCGAGAGACCGAAACGGGAGCCCCAGTTGGTGGTCTGGCGAATGGCGACGGCGTTAACACCGCGGTTGATACCGCGGATGCCTTCCTTGCGATAAATGTCCATGAAGGTCGCGAAGGTACCGGGGGGCTTGACACCGGCGGCGGCCATCTTGTGCTTGGTGATCTCGACAGTCTTCATGCAGGTGCAGGAAGCCCATGGTGGCATAGGCCTGGGCAATACCACCGACCATACCACCACTGATACCACCGACGAAGTCATTGGCACCGAAGCTCTTAGCGTAATATTCGGCCTCAGAGGCGACGAAGAGGAGGACCGCGCCCTTGGTGGAGGCCTCAATCCAGGCCCACGGAATGAGTCCCTGATAGTCTAAACCGGATGCAATATTAGCTGGACTTGTTCCCATCGCCGATGATTGTGTTTCCGTCCCGACCCACACTAGTTGCGCGTATCGGAGGAAACTGGGGAAAGGTATCACGTACAACCGAGGATGCCACCACGGCCCCAAATCCGACTCATAGCACCGGCGAAGCTGTCGCCCCGGTTGGCGGCCATGGTCGTCTTGATCACTTCCAGCGGCTGGAGAAAGAGCGGGGGTAGTTAGCTTCGTGTTTGGGCAAGGGGTCACTGAGGGTTGATAGGGAAACATACCTGTCCCAATGAGGTGACCTCGAACAGATTCAAGCCAGCGCCGAGCAGCAGGTTGCTGAACTTGACAGGCTTCTTCTCGAGCTTAGGCGCGACGGCCATCTCAGTAGCGGTAGACATTGTAGTTCTGGGGATGCGCTGAAAGGGGCCCTGACCAAGGGAGAATGGGGCTTCGTCGCCTTTTAAGGGATCGAGGAAAGAGAGGTGGAGAGTGAGGGGAGGAATTCCTGAGAGAGCACCAGAGTTTGATGAAAGAAAGAAGGGGAAAGGCAAGCACGCATTTGTCTTATAGGAGAATCGAAGTCAGCTGTGTTTGGTGTTCCACTCATGCTATTGGATACAGGGTACCTCCCATACCACCTGAATCGGGTGGTTCCGTAGGTAGTTGGACTTTATCGGCTATTGAATCTCAAATGCCAACCAGCCTTTTTTTTGTATTCTCTCTCTATAGACCATTCATTCAACGCGGCAATGGGCCATCTATTTTGTCACATCCTATTCTTCGGCCCTGAGCTGCAGACCATTGATTACACCCGCGTCCAGACATAAAGAATGTTCATACAGATCTGTTTGGGTGGGTCGGTGAGGGCGGTCGGTTGATTCTCAACCGCCCAACATTTCCCGTGTGCCTGATTCCACTCAGTAGCTGTGAGACCCCCCGGTTGCTACGCAGGACACTCCCGCACTGATCGTCCCGACCCTCATCCCGAGCTGCAGCTCGACAGATAAGACTCATGCTATGATGCTAGGCATGACACGGTAACACTGCAATGATGGGAAATGGGGATACTGGAATTTCACAGAACATCGTCCGCTTTCGGTTTTAGGTGACCAATTATCATATTTGGGGGATGGAAACGCTGTTACAAGGCCCGCTCGAACCGGTCAAGTCCTATCATACAACATGACAAAAAATCGCAGAAAAAAATAATACATGTCATTTAACTAAGAACCCCCAAAAAATTCAATGAATCATCTCTCCTTTAAAGCTTGGCACCGACAAGCTTGGCGTAGGCCTCAGTGCTGAAGGACTTGGGGCGCTCAATGGGCATGCCGAGAGCACGGTCGATGATCAGCTGGGGCAGGACACCAAGGGCGCGGGAAACACCGAACAGGACGGTGTAGTAGTTGGCCTCGGTCAGACCGTAGTACTGGAGGAGGACACCAGAGTGGGCATCAACGTTGGGGTAGGGGTTCTTGGTCTTGCCGTGCTCGGTGAGGACACCGGGGGCGATCTTGTAGACCTGGCTGACCAGCTGGAACATGGGGTCGTCGGGCAGCATGCGGAGAGCGAACTCACGCTGGGAAACGTAGCGGGGGTCAGTCTTGCGGAGAACGGCGTGGCCGTAACCGGGGACGACACGGCCGGCGTTCAGGGTGGACCAGAGGTAGTCCTTGATGGACTGGTCGCTGAGGTCGTTGCCAATGGACTTCTTCATCTCAGTGAGCCAGTTGAGGACCTCCTGGTTAGCCAGACCGTGAAGGGGACCGGCCAGACCCTGGAGACCAGCGGAGAGGGAGAGCATGGGGGAGGACAGAGCGGAGCCGACCAGGTGAGTGGTGTGGGCGGAGACGTTGCCACCCTCGTGGTCAGTGTGAATGGTCAGGTACAGACGCATCAGCTCAACAAAGTCTTTGTTGCCAGCGAAACCGAGCTGGTTGGCCAAGTTGTAGGAGTAATCCTGATCCTTCTGGATGGGAGCAACCTTGCCGTCCTTGTAGACGTTGCGGTAGATCTTAGCGGCGATGGTGGGCAGCTTGGCGATCAGGTCCATGGAGTCCTCGAAAGTGTAGTTCCAGTACTCCTTCTTGTTGATACCCTTGGCGTAGGCCTTGGAGAAGGCAGACTCGTGCTCGAGAGCAGTCACGGCCAGGGAGAACTGAGCCATGGGGTGGAGGGTGCTGGGGCAGCGGTCGATGAGCTCCTCAACGAACTTGGGGACATCGGAACGAGCAGCCCACTCAGCAGACAGGTCGCGAACCTGCTGCTCGGAGGGAACCTCGCCGGTCAAGAGCAGCCAGAAGAGACCCTCGGGGAGGGGCTCCTGACCACCGGGGGCCTTGGGGAGAAGTTCCTGGATCTTGGGGATCTAGGGATGACAAACGTTAATTTGCGAGGTCTCCAGCATACAAAATCATCACTGATCACTTACAGTCTTGCCGCGGAAGCGGATACCCTCCTCAGAGTCGAGGACGGAGCCCTACACAAACCCGAATTAGTCTCCCAAGAAAAGAGTTTCGCGGCGATAGGTCTGTTTGCGACTCACCTCCCAGACAAGGGACTTAATGCCACGGGCACCACCGTAGACCTGGTCGAGAGTGACCTCACCAATAACAGTGCTGCCGTACTCCCTGCGATTATTGTGAGCTATGATGACCTTAGGACCGGAAGGAGGCGCAGACGACATACTTGCGGAGCTTCTTGACCTGCTCGATCTTGGCGGGGAGGCCGTCAGCGAAAGTCTCCTTGAGGGACTATTCCAGTGGGTTAGCATATCAATTGAGCTTCTCGAAGCTTTAACGGGCCACGTACCTTGGCCTTCGCGGAGTAGCACGCGCGCCGTTCAGGGCAGCAGACTGAACGGGCTTAGCGACAGAGGCCCGCAGAGCGGAGGCACCAATGCGAAGAGAAGCCATATCGACTCTTGAACAAGAAGGGGTATATGGATGGGGAAGAAGATGGAATAGGGTAAGGGGAAAAGAAGAAGGAGAAAAGGAAAGCGGACGAGAGCTATGGATTTTCTCGGATTTTTCCAACACCCCCGTATTACAGCCGGTACGGTCACGGTTCGGGTGGCCGTTAACAGCCACATCGCCTGGTAATTTTTCCCCCAACGGTAACACCGAGTACTGTCGGGCTGCCGGCAGATCTTCTTGCAGTCCGACCATTTCCGCGAGCATGGATTGTCTCCCGGGTCGTCGACTTACTGCCATTTCATGTATTCCTACATTGTGAATACTGCAAAGATCAGATATTCTGGATTCCTACTCCTAGGTATAGTGCCCTCTTCCCCAAGTACAAGCTGGCGATACCGGACTGTTGATAGCATATTACCAGCTATCCCTGGCAGTGACGTCGGCAAGTCGCCATCCTGCCGTGCCGTCATCCGGAGCCCCGAGATGGCCAGCATTGGCCTCGGCAGGGTGCACCGGAGCCATGGCCGCTCTGGCCCAGGTGTCTCTATCTGCATTCTGACTTTTGTGACGCCATCCCCCATGCTCGCGTTTCCTCTATAGGCTCCCGTTTATGACCGATACACTTCTAAAATAGTTCACCGGAATCGGGAGCTCCACGGCACGAAGGGGCAGAACGGGGGAGGACTTAGCAAAGAGAGAGAGAAAAAGGGAAACACCAATGATGGGAATACTCTCCGGCTCCATCGTATCCACACCTCCCGTAGCGCGAAAAAGAGGAAACGTGTGATGATGTGAGGTCCAAGGTCCCAGCTTGCTTGTAGCCGGGGGAACCGTGGTGGGTACGGGGCACCTGGGCAGACCAAGCGCGCAGGGAGCGTGCAGAGCTCGGGACAGACCAGGTGTGCAAGCAAGTACGGTGCGGTGGGTTAGCCAAGTGTGCAGTCATGACTAACGCGTTACAATAAACGTGACCGCGGCCCATCTCGGACTAGCGCGCAACACCCCTGCAAAACTTCTCTCTCCTTTCCCTCCTTTCCACTTCTTCTCATCAACCACCCGCCACCTTCCTTCCATCACTTTTTCATCGCGCATTCCATCGCTTCATCGCGCTCATCCTCGACAACACTCGCACGGATTACCTGTACTCTGTAAATCCGTCCCCTGGTTTATTTCAACCTTGGATCTCACGGCAGTACGCCCTAGGTTGTACCTCGTACTCGTACTCCGGGCAAGGTGCCCTTCCCTGGACACATTCGCTAGGCTGTATTCCAGCTGTAGGCGCCAGCTCCCTGGTTTCGGAATCCGCTCGTGCTGTAGTGAAGAGGTCACATAAGATATCAGGCTTGACACTTAATCTCCATAGGAGCTTCTGCACAGTACACTGCTCTCGAAGTAACGCTGCCTTGACGAGTTCCTGGGTCCGTACAAAGACCATTAGAGCGAGAGCCGCCTTAGGGACACACTTTCCTCGAATTTCATTCTTGCGTGGAACATCGCTTGTCAACCATGTCTTCCGCCGTAGCGGAATTGGAGAATTATCTCCAGTCCATGCTGGCCCTGAAGCCACCTGGAGTATCTGGATCCAAAATCCAGGGTATCACCACCCTCTGCACTGCGAATGTTCAGGTATGCTTCACTTTCCGCTTCAAACCGACGATTCAAGAGCTCAAGACTAATGAACGTGATAGAATGAATCTGTTCTTATCCAAAAGATTTTCACCCATTTCAAGAAGGCCCCGGGCACCCACAAGTTGGGAGTACTCTACGTCGTAGACTCTGTAACCCGGCAGTGGGTAGAAGCTGCTCGCAAGGCTGGACAGCCTCCTGGCACTGCTGCACCCGACGGCACTTTCGCCGCTGGAGTCAACCGAGTGACTGAACTCTTGCCTGTGCTTATGACCGACATTATAAACAATGCACCCCACGATCAAAAGGTAAGCACTAGACATCCGCAGGTAGCCTACAATGCGCATTTGGGCGCCACCCCTGCTACTTCGTTTTTACCCTGCGCTTGAACGCTTTCTGTCCATTCTCTAAGGAATCGTATTACTCACGTATGACTTTTGTTCCAATAGGAGAAGATCAAGAAACTTATTGACATTTGGGAACGCGGCCAAACATTCCTGCGCCGATGCTCTCTTCTTTCCGAGAGAAGTTGATCGCTCCCCCGCCAGGTAAGCTCACCTAATCAACCCTGCATCGTTACTTACAATTCTAACAAACTTTGACACAGTCGAATCCACCACGCCGGAAGGATCGCCGGCTCCAGGTTTCAACCTTCTGGGTGGACAAGCCGCTCCAGCAAACGGTTCGGCTGCTGCCCCGGACACCTCCAGTATCTTGAAGGCGCTAGCGGACATGGCCAAAGCTAATACTGGAGCCCCCGCCGCTTCACAGGCTTCGGCTCCTGTTCCTGCTGCATTGAATCATCAAGCCCCTCAAGCCCAGGGTGCTTTCAATCTGACCCCCGACCCGTCCCTGGCCAACCCCTATGGCGCAGCTGGCGCCATGGCCACCAACCCGTTCGCTGCTATGGGTGCCCTCGGCCAGAACCCAATGGGTCAACCTCAAAGCCAGAGCAACACACCCAATCCATTGACGTCCGCTCAAAACCCTTTGGCCGCAATGATGCCCCAGGCTGGTGCCCCGGCACCCGGTATGCCTGATGGCAATGCCTTGGGCCAGCAGCTTCAGCTTCTACAGTTGCTTGCTTCACAGGGGATTCCTCAGGACCAATGGGGCGCGGCGATCCAGATCTACAACATGACCAACCAGATGGGTTCTGTCAACCCTGGACAGGTGCCCACCCTCCCCGGCATGCCCGGTATGCCCGGTATGCCCGGCATGCCTGGTATGCCTGGTATGCCTGTTCCCGGTGCTTCCGCCTGGGGTGCTCCGGGTGCACAGAGCCGTGACAGCGCCGATCGAGAGCGCGACTACAATCGCTCTCCTGGTGGATATCGCCGCCGTTCTCGTTCTCCTGGATGGGATCGCGGACGCCGTACTGCTTCCCCGCCGCGTCGTCGTGACAGCCCTGTCTATGGAGACTACGGCGATTCACCCGGGCGTCGTGGTGATGCCCGTGGCCGCCGTGGTAACGAACCGTACCGCCAACGCAGTCCTCCTGGCCGCAGACGTCGCTCCCCCACTCCGCCGCAAAAGGATCCCAACCTGCCCCCTCCGGGTCCCAAGCTCATTGAGTGGGACTACTCAATCGGTCAGGGCAACATGAAGGTACTCAGCCGAACTCTCTTCGTTGGCGGAGTTACTTCCACCGAATCTCAACTTAGGGATCTATTCAGCAAATTCGGCATCGTCCAGACTTGCATTGTCAACATCGACAAGCGCCATGCCTTCATCAAAATGATCAGTCGCCAGGACGCCGTCAGCGCCCGTGATGGAATGGAGTCCTTCCGCACCGGTGAAATGCAACTCCGCACCCGCTGGGGTGTTGGCTTTGGTCCTCGCGACTGCAGCGACTATCAAACCGGTGTTAGTGTCATCCCGATCGAGCGACTGACCGAGGCCGATCGCAAGTGGATGCTCACCGCAGAGTACGGTGGTACTGGTGGACGTCCCATCGAGTCAGGAATGGTCGTCGAAGAGCCCGATATCGAAATCGGCGCCGGTGTCTCCTCCAAAGCCATCAGTCGGCGTATTGCCACCGACACAGGTGGTAAGCGTGGCCCTCAATCGTCCCGCAGCCAGCCCACGAACGAGCGCTTCGGCGGCGGCGGCGGTGGTGGTGGTGGTGGTCGCCGCCAGGAACGCGACGGCTTCGGAGGCGCCAATAATGCTGAGCGCGATTATACGAACCGGGCAAGCAATCCCTCTGTCCCTCCTCCAGTCCCAGCATACGGCTTCAACTTCGCCAGCATGCCCATGCTTCCGCCCGGCTTCATGATGGGCGGTCAAGCTGGCCAAATGCCTGGTCAGCAGCCTCCGCCTCCGGGCCAAGGAAACTAAAACCCTAAAAGCTCTGCTCTCTATTGCACTTCAATGACTTCTTCCTTGGCGCTTCAAACTCACTTCTTGGCTCCCCCACATCTTTTCAACTCTCGTCCCTTGAGATTTCCCCCCCTGACTTCTCTACATTACCTACGACCCATAACTATTCTACCCTGGCTTTTAGACTCGACTCTACGAGTCTATGTCTATTCATCACAAGTCGTCGCATCTGGGATCTCGGACTCGTTCACAAAGGGACATCGGCGTTATATGGTCTTTCTTTCGAGAATCGGGGTGGCTCTTTTTTTTTGGTTTCGCTGCGTTTTTTTTTTTCCCATGGGCTTTTTTGGTTCTCACTTTCGTATCTCGTGTAACCACACTTGACTGCATATTCCGATCGCCGCGACATGATTTCATCATTGATCGTCGCCTTTAGGCTAAAATCAACACTGTATTATGATTTAACTTGATCGTATCATTACTCACTTCGTCGCTCCATCGTCATTCTTAGCTTCTATTTTATGGTCGTATGAACTTTCCTTGGCAGCGATTGATACTGTAAACGGCCGACCTATAGAGATTAGAAGGAGGAAAACGGAAAAGAAAAAAATGTGAAGACGATGAGGAGGAATCGAGTGGAGATGATGAATAGGACGGAGAGAATCGTGCTGTTGCTGATTGATGTCGGCCAGAAGCACGCAAAGTTGCTGCCTTTAAGCATCACAATATGAAGGGTTCAAGACATAATCCTCTGGGGTATCGAATTGGCCTTTGAAGTGAAATACTAGTGAACGCAGCTTTATTAATAGTTATAAGAGCTGCTATGGAATCTTCGCTCATCGTCTCCGCTGGTCGAGCATCTCCTAATGGAACCCGGCGAGTGATCACGAGACGCGTCGTGTTAGAAGTTGATACTCCGACCTTTATTTCACTAGCAGCGACCCCAATACGATTGAGTACCAGTCGACTATCCTGAAGCACCTCTTCTTTATTGTCTTTCTGGGATGACCTCCTCTACCAATCAACCGAAATAACCAAGAGTCGCGACTGACTTCAACACAACCGCAGTTTCCATTGGTACGATAGTATCACTTTCCTCTCCATGTCCCTGGTCACTCACTTACACATTGAATAGTTCAGCGATGTGTGTTCTTTGGGTTATCACTACCACATTCACATGTGGTCATACGGTCACAAAACGCGAACCACATCCTTGCCCAGAAAACCATCCACAGCCATGGCCTGAAAAGTTCATGGGGAGCTCCCGGAACCGCCAGAGGAACTGTCCTACATGTGCAGGGGCGCCAACTGGAACCTAGTAGCGTGAATACCATTCTGATGGATAGAGCTCCAACTAATATGGTTTCAGAAACCTGGTGAAGTCCCCATCAGAATTCATAACACCTTGGCTGTTCATCTGCAGCTGGATAAAGTCAATTGAACTGAGCCATTGGAGGATGGAACTTGATCTAGGAACGTGCTGGACGTACCCATGATCTTTATCTTGTCGAAACAAAGTGTTGCGCATCCAATTGCACCTCAGGGATAGTGAAGTAAAACGAGAACCTATTCCGCTTTCAAAGTCTACAGCCTTAGGTCCAACCAACATCCCTACCTTTCAAAAAGCCAAATGTAACAGGGCAGGATTCTATATATTCGTTGGTGATAAGCTAGTATTGAGTATTGTGTCTTGGGCAATTGAACAGTCAACCGCAAAGCGTCTTTCGTCATCGGGCCGCTAGCCAAAACGCTCCGCTAGTACTTTTATCTGATCGTCGGTAGGCAGAGAAGAGTGTACATCCTAATAAGAGATTGAGTCAGGTTCCTTGTCCAAAAATCAAGGAAGGGGGCATATATCATTATTTTTTGACTCGGTTCTTCCTCCACAACAAAACGTCCAAGGAGTCATTTAAGCTTTGCTATGCCATCTTCAATATGTGTATTACTTCTGAGTTGCGCAACTTCCATCGCAAAAGATAAGTTCTCACGTATCCCGCCAATGTCCTCTTCAATTTTTTTTCAAATTTCATGTGTCTGTGCTTGCATCTGGTTGATGGGAGCGTAATAGCAGAGTTTCCGGATTGGAATGATAAGTAGGGGCGTGCTCGTCAGATGGGGGTCTTAATATTCAAAATAGTCTTCCTCTCTCCTTCTCTTTACAAATTTTTAGCCGCGTCGGTTGCAAAAGATTTTCTCGATTTCTTCATGGCCTGAAATGAGATGTCGCAGTTAAATGAAGGTGAAAAACCTATATCCAGCGTTTTCGACCCTGTAGGTTAGAGAACAGAAGCTCTGTTTGGGCACGAAGACAGAGTGGACCATCGATCTTCCCTTTGGAGAAGAGATGATTAGCCCAAGTCATCTCTCGTCACTTGAGGCGGATATTCACTGCCTCACGGCACTACCAAGCTTAGACTTCCTGGGACAATTGCTTCTGTCTTTCAAGCTTCCGCCGCAGATAAGCCGTATAGCTAATTAATACAAAGAGCCCAAGTCCCACAAAGAAAACCATCGAGTTGAACCTTTGATCACAAATTTTCTCGTCGTTCCGAAAATGGCACGTGATGAGCGAGCCATAGATGAAGATCAGAAGTGCTAGGAGAGACCTGCTTTCATCAGCGTGATAGTCCCATCACTAAGACTTAATACGCATCTTCTTACTTCCAGAAGTGCCTGGCAACTGGTGCCACACAGTATCTGACAATGAGGTTGTCAGGGAAAGAGTCTGCAATCTCAACAAGGCGGTTGAGAGGTACGCCATCGTCGAGCTGGGCGCGGGTAGATGTTGATGTACGGCTTTGAAGAGCTGATTTTTCCATATTGATCAACGTGGTCGACTTGAAGGAATGAAACTGATCCCTAAATGCAATGAAATCAGGCGGGGACGAAAAGGAGGTAGAGAACCGCAAACTTTCACTCGTGGAGCAGTGGACGAGAGAGTGAGATAGCCTAGCTTCGAACTCGGCGATAGGGAATATCAACAACTGCACGATTATACGCAAAAGGCACGAATTACCCGTTTCGCACACTGTTGCCTATTGGGCCGGGAAAGGGTCCAGGGCCGGGCGATGACCGAGCCTTGGCATCTCGACGCAGTTTGAGGAGATGTGCTTGAATTTCACAGTAGCCTACATACTTAGACCCTGATGGGTTAATTACTTGCATGAGGGGAAGACCTTCAAAATACATATGTCAGGATACTGCAGGTTCTCCGAATAGACACATTTATCTAGACACGCGTATAGTTTCCTTTCCTTGAGACGGATCTATTGATTCCGATTACCATGACTCTCCCGAGTCAGACCAACATGGTCACATCTTTTGCGTGGGTTTCCGCCAAGGCCCTAATTGCGCCCTTGTCGGGGTCCGTCACTGTTCTTCAGGCGAATGATCACGCAGGATTATTGGAGACAAATGTTTTTGTCGTGCAGGAATTTCGCACGTAGCCGCCAGAACATGCACCCTGTCCCCTTCTGAGCTGATGAGATAATACTGATTTACGTTGTGACAATATGTGGTGGAGGAGCATGAGCCCAGTGACACTTTATAAGGCTTTGTGGTAATTCGCGTTGGACTTGATAGACTCGGCGGTTTGTCTGCGTCCAGGGGATACACGCATATGCTGAATCGCTGTAACTAGAAGATTTCGGTTCAAAAGTGGCGTTACATGCAATGTATGCTTCAAGAGGTATTCGGTAGGATAATATTACTTCAGTATGAACAGCTACCAGGTGTTTCACATATATTCCGCTTGTGTACTTTCGTGGCCTCATTGCCCCGCAACGTGACTTTAAGATGAACTTTTTCCTTCTTAGTCTGCTGACAGTCCTATTCAACGCGTATTCGTAAGACTGAGCCTCTTCAAGCAGTGGTTGCCGCCGCCTTCGAAGCGGCGAAAGACTGCTCGAAATCGGCAATGATATCATCAATATGCTCAGTACCAACTGAGATCCGAATTGCATCATCCGTGACACCAGAGTCCTTCTTCTCTTCATCACTGAGCTGCTCATGGGTCGTGGACCAGGGGTGGATAGCCAGGGTCTTCGAGTCGCCGACACTAAGAAAAGTTAGAATACACAAACCAGTGAGGAGAAGCGAAAGAGAGACATACTTGGCAAGGTTAGAGATCAGCTTGAACCCATCAACCACTTGACTGCCAGCCGCAGCACCGCCCTTGATTCCAACAGACAATACGCCACCATATCCACGAGGTAAATACTTTTTCGCCGTCTGATGGGAAGGATGATCCTCAAGACCGAGATACGAAACCCAGCTAACATGCTCATTCTTCTGAAGCCATTTCGCCAGAGCCAGCGCATTCGTTGCATGGCGCTCGCAGCGCAAACTTAGAGTTTCCAGGCCGAGAATCAACTGCTGGGCCGCGAAGGGGTTCAGAGCAGAACCCAGATCACGTAGAATCTCGACACGCACGAGAATAGCAAAGGCGATGGAGCCAAATGTCTCCCAGAACTTCAGTCCATGGTATCCCTCAGACGGCTCGATGAATTGCGGGAATCGAGCACCATTCTTGCCCCAGTCGAACTTGCCGCTATCGATGACCACGCCACCGATCGTGGTTCCATGGCCACCAATCCACTTGGTAGCACTGTGCACGACGATATCAGCGCCGTGGTCAATTGGACGTGCAAAGTATCCTCCCGCTCCAAAGGTATTGTCAACCTAGTAGTTCATCAGCACGACCATCTCGTATCATCACTATCGGATGCATGCCACATCCCACATTTGACATACCACAAGTGGAATTCCTTTCTCATGCGCAACCTGAGCAATAGCCTCGAAATCTGGAACATTGTACCTCGGATTTCCAATCGTCTCGACATAAACTAGCTTGGTCTTCTCATCGATAGCGTCCCGGATATCCGCCGGATCATCCCCATTGACAAACTTCGTCGTAATCCCTAGCCGGGGCAACATGACCTTGAATTGATTATAAGTCCCGCCATACAAATTACTCGTCGACACAATATTATCACCCGCATGGGCCAGCGCCGAGATGGTCATGAACTGGGCTGATTGGCCTGAGGAGGCGGCTACGGCAGCGACGCCACCTTCCAGGGCTGCGATCCGTTTTTCGAAGACGTCGACTGTTGGGTTCATGATTCGACTGTAAATATTGCCGAATTCTTTGAGGCCGAAGAGGCGGGCGCCATGGGCAGAATCGTTGAATGTGTATGAGGTTGTTGCGTAGATGGGGACGGCGCGAGAATTGGTTGTTGGGTCCGGGGTGTGACTAAGGTTAGGGGATGATGGTTAGATGTGATGGTGATGGTGGATTGAGGATTGGATTCCTACCCGGCGTGGAGCTGGAGGGTCTCGAAGTGGAGGTTCTGAGGGTCAGACATGGTGAATGCTGGCTTGGGATCAATGTTCGAAATTTGAAGTCAATAGGTGAAGATCCAAGACCGCCCGAAGTGTCTTGGGAGGTTGAAAGAGAAGAGAAACGAAAAAAAGAACTGTCCAGCAGGTTCAACCAAATATAAGAGCCAAGAGGAGGGGAGAACGCGATGGCGGGGGAGCGGATGGCGTGATTTCATTCTACGGTCAGAAGCTTTCCCGTCTTCCAATGCTCAGGCAAAGGCCGAATTTTCGTGTTGATTCGAGGTCCCCACTTGCTTTTTTGAGACTCGTCAATCTGGTCCCTGGTCGCACAAGCTCAGTAAGTGTGCAAGAAGTACGAGTTGGCTCAGTAGGAAAGATCTAGCCACTAGTTCCTGTGTCTTGGGTTTCTTGTTTAAGCTCCTAGCCAGTCATACGACGATCCATCTAGGTCCCTTCTTTTGCAGGTGGGTCGCGAAGGATGTACCCCGCATTCCACGTTTATAAATCCCTATGAACCCGTGGGCGAGATTACCCCAGAGGTACTTCCAAGTCTACTTCGTACCTACTTGGGTCAAGAAGGCTCCGCTAGCTTGGAGCACAACTCTGAATATCTCTCAACGTACATGCACAGACAGCGCTTCTATAAGGCTATGGGTCGCAAAGACGCACGAGCTCTCTCAGCCGAGGTCGGGCGGGTCAGCGAGTATCTTATACAATCGGATGCATCCATAGTCTATCAAATTGCATTTGACTCGATCTGCAGTACTGTTGACTGAGATGATTGGCGCCCTACGGTGAAGGTCGTAGATGGCTGCCTAAACGGCCCTGGAGTGACAACCCCCTTGTTTGGTGTTTGGGCGCCCACGTTCCTCCAAAAGGGCAAAGAGCACTTTCAATAAATGACAAAGACATCTCTATTTCTCAAGAGAAAAAATAGTCGCCCATATTTACCTGTATAGAGACAGATCCCAGTCAGCCACTGTGCAAGCCACTGGGTCATCGGTCGGCAGAGAGACGCCCACTAGAGCTAATGTGGAGAGTGTTTCACATGTCCCATTCAGCATTAGGCAATCGAATTAAGCTGCATGCACGCTAGTGGCTGTGCTTGGATTTTCGTCAGTGAATATAGGCAACAGAAAGATGGAATAGATATTTCATTCAGCTATGATTCCATGAGTATAAAAAAGAAGCGTTAGGCAGCATGTGTGTGAATACTGTCAGTTTCCCCGGCCAAAATCCAGGTAAGCAACGCCAACCCTACATCGATTAGTGCATGGATCTGCGCATTTGCCAAGATTGCACCGATGACGCTGGCGCGACGAAGGTGGCTGACTTGGCTGACCTTATAGTTTGAGCCTTTATTTACCTCCCTCCTGCCCTTTGGGCATCGCTCATCGCAGAACATTTTCAAACACAACAGCATCCAAAGCATCAACATGATTCCCTGGATTCAAGCTATTCGCATCGTGCAGGCCATCTTCGGTCTGATCGTCCTCGCCTTGACCGCCTATGGTACGTTGTCCCTCTGTCGATCCCGGTGGATCCCCCACCGAGATACTAACAATCTGGCAGTGGTCAGCACCTATTCCTGGTGGGCGTACTCCAGCACGGTCGATTTCCTTCTCTTCCTGGGCTGCTGGACATCCTTTGTCGCCGTCCCGTACCTCGGTGCGGCCCCGATCTTCTTCCCTCGCCTCGCACACCACTATGTGATTCCTGCCGTCGAGGTGGTCACCATGATCTTTTGGTTTGCCGGGTTTATCGCCCTTGGCGCAGAGCTGCCTCCGCCTGCGTACTGCCACTGGGGCGCATGTAGTGCAATGCAAGCAACCACCGTCTTTGGCGCATTTGAATGGTATGTTTTGGATATGGGTAAACAGAGCACAAGGTACTGACAGTTGAGTAGGGTTCTCTTCGCGGTGACGACTTATTTCGCGGTCCTCGACCTTATGAACCATCGCAGGAGCGGTGAGACTGCCCAGAAGACGCAGCATAATGCTCATCTTGGTGTTTAGAGAATGACGTCGTGTTTGGAGGATGTTTATGGTGGTTTTTCCTCGGAGCAGTTCACCGATGATTTGATGGTGCTTTTATTTTCTTCAACGATACCCGATATCCGATACCCCCTGCCCTTGGTGATTAGCATGGTCGATGATCTGATGCCTTATTGAAATTAGAAACTATGAAATAATTTACATTCAATGGATTTGAGTTCTAATGACAGCTAGGCCGTGATATGTCAAACTCATTATGGAATGCGATTAGCGGAGCCGGTTTCCCAACTTATCGATAGACCCACAGGAACGGGAACGGTTCCAACATTGTTCGTCCACGGTTCCATCTCCGAGGGAAACTCTGGGATTCCCGAGCCCGAGAGTTTTTTTAAATTTTTTTTTAAATTTTTTTTTTCCACACAGAAGATAAGTGACTTTACCTGGTGGTTCATTGGTCAACTTCACAATAAGCTAGGGCCGGGTTCACAGGAGTCGAAGTCTGAGGTGGACAAGCTACTCATCTGCGTCGGCGATACCGAAATCGGCCGGGGCTCGGGAAAAGCCTCGTGTCTCGTCTCACATAGTGCGATCAGAGTTTCGAGCCTCGAAAGGCTTGAACAGGACTAGGCCTGGACGACAGGATGGCTACTTGGTCATCCAGTGAATAATGGTCTGACAAGAAGTATAGATAGGTACTCACGGACCGTTCGCCACCAGAAAAAAAAAATTTCTTGGTCGGCGTGGCCCACATTGGGACCCGGGTAGCATCCAACGTATTGAAAATTTCATATAGACCGGAAACGTCCAGATCAATTTGAGGTGAACATTGCATCCATCGTCCTGGGTAGGGTATCTTGATTACATTCCCCAGTTTCTTTTACATAACGCTATCAAAAGCCGATCTGAGCGGAGTTGACGTCGCGTCGCGTGCTTCTCCACTTGAAGCAGAGACGGAGACCCCCAAACTCGTTAGGGTGGAGCACATTACGTGAAAGACCTGCTCAGATCTCTCCCTTCTGACTCTTCTTTCCTCTTCACTCAGTTGACTCAATCGGTACTGCCCAAACATGGCCTCCACGGTCTCCAGGGCTGAGAAGGGTAAGATGGACAATGAGGGTCCCATCACCCAGGTGCAGCCGCAGTATGAGTCCGACGCCTACAATGTCGACTACGAGAAGCATGGCGCGGGCCGTGAATCGAGTCCGCTGCCCGATCTGAAGCGCAGACTGAAGAGTCGTCATTTGCAGATGATTGCCATTGGTGAGTAGATTCATTCAATGGGGTTCCGTGTTATTTCCGTCTCATGCTGATGATCGCCAAGGTGGCACCATTGGAACTGGTTTATTCATTGGTAGCGGTGCCGCTATCGCCATGGCTGGACCTGTCGGCGCCCTCATCGCTTTCATCTTCGTCGGAAGTATCGTCTACTCGGTCATGATCGCTCTGGGAGAGATCGCCACATATATCCCTATTCCCGGTTCCTTCACCTCGTATGCGGCTCGTTTGATCGATCCAAGTCTCGGTTTCTCGATGGGTTGGATCTATTGGTTCTCGTGGGCCTCGACATTTGCATTGGAATTGACGGCCACGGGTATGATCATTCAATTCTGGGATTCCAATATTTCAATCGCCATCTTTATCGCTGTCTTCTGGGTTGTCATCATTGCGTTCAATATGGTTCCCGTTAGCTTCTATGGAGAGATGGAGTTTTGGCTCTCGAGTCTCAAGATTATCACCGTCGTCGGCTTTATGATTTTCGCTATCTGCATGAATGCCGGTGTTGGACAGGAGGGATATATCGGTTTCCGGTACTGGGTTCACCCTGGTCCATTTGTGGCCTACGAGCTCACCGATGTTGGCAAAGACACCTCTCTCGCCAAATTCATCGGTTTCTGGGCTGTCTTGATCAAGGCTGGTTTCTCTTATCAGGGTACGGAGCTGGTCGGTATTGCGGCCGGTGAAACCGAGAACCCTCGCAAGACTGTCCCTTCTGCTATTAAGAAGACTTTCTTCCGCATTATCTTCTTCTTTATCTTGACCATCTTCTTCATTGGCATCGTGGTGCCTTCGGATGATGAACGCCTCTTGAACAGCACGGGTAGCGGATCCGATGCCAATAATGGTAACGCCTCGCCCTTTGTCATTGCGGCTCGACGCGCTGGTGTCAACGTTCTTCCAGACATCATCAACGCCGTCCTCTTGACCGTGGTACTCTCTGCAGCCAACTCCAACGTGTACAGTGGTAGCCGTATCCTCGTTGGATTGGCTCAGGAAGGCTTTGCCCCTCGATGCTTCAAGACCACCACCAAGGGCGGTGTCCCCTACTGGGCTGTGCTCTTCACGGCCTTGTTCGGACTGCTGGGTTTCATGAACGTGTCCAGCTCGGCCTCTGAAGTGTTCACCTGGCTGATGCAGATCTCAGGTGTTGCCGGATTCATCACCTGGTCCTCTTTGAACGCCTGCCACCTTGCATTCATGCGCGCTCTCAAAGCACGCAACATTTCTCGTGATGTTTTGCCGTACAAGGCTGTCCTGCAGCCTTTCCTTTCTTGGTACGGTCTGTTTTTCAACATTCTCATCATCATTACCCAAGGGTTCACCGCGTTCATCGGTGGTTTCCAGGTCCAGAACTTCTTCATGGATTACCTGAGCTTGATCCTGTTCGCCGTTCTGTATATTGGTCATAAGGCGTGGTACCGCGATCCCTTCGTCGGGCCGCTTGAGGCTGACCTGAGACACTGGCCGAACCACGGCTGAGAACGAGTCCTGGGAGACCACCGAGCCTACCACCTGGTACGGCAAGATCTGGCGCTGGATCAGTGGCTAAGCGCATTGTATAGTTGTATATTGTCATCGGTGTGGACATTCGGGTTTTGTCACTTATGGCATGGGGCATGGCGTTCTACGATTTAAAGTGTAAATGAATAGTCTCCATATAGTTGCGGCGCAACGATAGAACGGGCGCAAAGTAAACCTTATTCTCAATGATGATCTTTTGAAAAATTTGGAAGCCGAACTCCAAAACACGAGCTGCCATGTGAAACCGCATGTGAGTAAATGTGGATGACATCGCCTTGCATTGTAACATAGCCGGAGGGGGACACTAGCTCGGTACTTTCTTATATAGGGGACACCCCATACTCAACCAAGTACCCCCCCCCCCAAAAAAACAGCCGAGGTCCCTTTGCCGATCATCCACCGTGAATGGAGAAATAACCAGAAAGGTCGCTCACTCCGGATTTCGCTCTTCTACTCCTGACTCTCTTCTCCTCTCCCCCACACTCCTTTTCGTCACCTATCCGATCACTGGGAATCGGTTCTTTCTGGAGCTGCTCTTTCACTCCTGATCCGATCCTGAGATTCTTATCTAAGGTTCTGGTATGGAATAGCCTCCCCGCGACATCCGAACGCATGTGCTGACATTCGGGACAAGTAGACAACATGTTCTTCTCACAACCCGCCCACCTCGCCAAGGCGGAAGAGCTCAAGCAGGAGCCGCCCAAGGGTACTCCCTACTCGGTCGCAATTCCTGGCACCGAGCAGCCTGGTCGCAGCCGCGTCTATCGGGCATGGAATGCGCAAAAGGAGTTGTTGAAGACCCTGGATCCTCAGGTACAAACCTTCTTGCTACTCAGACGGAAACAGAAACATCAACTAAGCCCACATTTCCTTTAGGTCGTCACTGCCCATGATATGTTCGAGTCGACTGCCAACCGCCAACCCAAGAACCACTGCCTCGGCTGGCGGGCATACAACTCCGCTACCAAGTCCTTTGACCCATACCAGTGGTTCACATACGAACAGGTTCAGAAAAAGCGGGCGGATTTCGGTGCCGGTCTAGTGGAGCTGCACCAGAAGCACAACTGCCACCGTCCCGGCCAGTACGGTATTGGTCTTTGGTGTCAGAACCGCCCCGAATGGCAAATAACTGGTAAGTGTTAAGATCAATGACTTCAAGAATACCCTGTAATTAACCGGTCTTTAGATCTGGCGTGCATGTCTCAGGGCTTGTTCTCTGTCTCAATCTACGATGTCTTGGCCGCGGACGCCACTGAATACATCATCAACCACGCAGAGCTGAACTGTGTGGTGACCTCTCTCCCTCATATTCCTACTTTGTTGAAGCTCAAGGCATCTCTGCCCAATTTGAAGATTATTGTCAGCTTGGACCCGCTCGATGCTGGAGAACAGGATGGGCACTCCAAGCGCGCCCTGCTCGAGTCCATGGCTGCTGGACAGGACGTCGCTATCTATAGCATGGACCAGGTTGAGGCTTTGGGGGGAGGCCTCAAAGCGCGGCTACAATGCCCCTTCGCCCGAGGATATTGTCACTATCAACTATACCTCCGGTACAACCGGCCCTCCCAAGGGTGTCGTTCTAACGCATCGGTCTGCTGTAGCTGCAACTTCTGCCGGTCTCATGACTGTCGCCCAGGCCCGTGGTGACACAATGTGCTCTTATCTCCCGTTGGCTCACATCTATGCTCGTCTCGCCGAGCACACTGCTTTCTGGGGTGGAGCCCGAATCGGTTACTTCCACGGCAACATCGTGGAGCTTGTCGATGACCTGAAGCTCCTGAGGCCGACTGGCTTCATGTCCGTCCCTCGCCTCTATAGCCGCTTCGGTACTGCCGTGCGCGCTGCCACCGTTGAGGCGCCCGGCTTCAAGGGCGCTTTGTCCCGGCATATCATTGCTGCGAAGACTGCCAACCTCAAGAATCCAGACCCCTCCAAGGCTACCGTCCGCCATGCCCTGTATGACCGCATCTGGGCTAAGAAGGTTGCTGCCGCTCTTGGCTTGGATCGTGCCAAGTCCATGGTTTCGGGCTCTGCTCCTCTAGACCCTACCCTGCACAACTTCCTCCGTATTGCCACTGGTACCGATGTCATCCAGGGCTACGGTCTGACAGAGTCCTACGCTTGCGGTACCGCCCAGTCGGCCGAGGATCTTTCTTCAGGCAACTGTGGTCGTCTTGCCCCCTGTACCGAAGCTTGCCTGGTCTCCCTACCCGACATGGAGTACTCGGTTGACGACAAGCCCTACCCTCGTGGTGAGCTTCTCCTTCGCGGTAACAATATGTTTAATGAGTACTTCAAGAACCCGGAGGAGACCTCCAAGGCCATGACTGAGGATGGCTGGTTCCGCACCGGTGATGTCTGCCAGATCGATGAGATGGGCCGCTTTATCATCATCGATCGCCGCAAGAACGTCCTCAAGCTCGCTCAGGGCGAGTACATTTCCCTGAACGCCTGGAGGGTGTGATCATGGCCGAGATCAGCTACCTTGCCCAGGTCTACGTTCACGGTGACAGCATGCAGACTTTCCTGGTCGGCATATTCGGCGTTGCCCCAGACATGTTCGCTCCCTTCGCCAGCAAGGTCCTTGGCCGTGAAATCGCACAGACTGACGTCGACGCTATCAAGGCCGCCTTGACCGACGAGAAGATTCGCAAGGCCGTGCTTCGTGATCTCGAGCGCGTGGCCAAGAAGCACAAGTTCCAGGGCTATGAACGTGTGAAGAATGTTTCTCTGAAACTGGAGCCTTTCACCGTCGATAACAATCTTTTGACCCCTACGTAAGTTCCTCATTGTTCTTTTTATCATAACACTTGCTAACGATCTTTCCAGTCTTAAACTGAAGCGTCCTCCCACCGTCAAGGCCTACCGTGCGGTCCTGGACCAGCTGTATGCCCAGGCTTTGGATGAACAGTCGGCTCCTCGCGCCAAGCTGTAGTCTTGCTGTTCAAGGTCGTCTTCTATTCTTAGCGGGTATTTTGCCCCTTTTGACTGTACATAGAGGCCCGCATCTTGTTTGATAGCCGGGCTATGCATTGTAGTATATTAAGCTGAGCCTCCTTGAAATTTCATTCATGTTCATAAACCTTTCTCCGTGCATGACGTTTGGATGAACGCCTCGGTCTTTGGGTTGATCTTCCCTCGTATCTATGAGAACGGACCAAGGATATGATCTTGATGCGCTTGAACTTCAGGCGATGATTCATTTGTTCAACCATGTTTAAAGTGGTCCAGACAATCACATTGAGAACCGAACGGAATGATCAAGGATTCAAGACCTCAAGTGGCTATGAATAGGCAATGAGAGATAGATCCAGGTGTATAGGCTCAAACTCATTGCCTTCTAGATCAAGCAGACCCAGGATAGCCTATTTGATTCGCGTACGGTATCGTCAAGAAGTATTTCACGGGACAAGGACTCAATGGTTTTGTGATCTCGATTGAACATCAATAGTAAAAAGAAGGCGTTGATTGTCCGACGAATATGAACTGCAAGGGTACTAAGAAAATGGGAAGAAAATTGAGAGGCGAAAAAAAAAAAAAGATATGACAAGAGTGGGATTCGAACCCACGCCCCGTAAACGAGATCAGGAAACCAATGTTTGGTGTTAAGGTGGACCTTAACCTGACGCCTTGGACCAACTCGGCCATCTTGCCTGGTTCATGTACAGTACCCCCAGTTTTAGCATTATGATAGCAATCCTCTCTTGCGGACTTCGCTGGCCATGCGTTGCCCGATCTAAATTTTGCTCATGTCCTTATGCATCGCCTTAGGCTTAGTCTTGCTTTTTTAAGCTAGATCTCGATTTCAACTGCGGACACATAGGTGTTTCTGAAATTAAGGAATTCGAATTCTGTCGTAACTTCTTTCATGTGTGTTAAATCGATAGTGAAGAGCCCATATATATGTCTGCCGTCTTGCCCCAGGCATGTAGCTGGCCTCACCCCCCCCCCCCCTCCCCTCTCTTTTTTTCCTGTTTTAATACCTTGCGTTAATCAACCACCATAGAGCAAGAGAAAACGAATTGGTTGACTGTGTACCCAAGAATGAAACGTATGGTAGTGAATGAGCAACTTCCCACTTCCATGAAGAGGTTGGTTTGGTCCAACATTTGGAGAACAACGCCATTTACCGGCCATGGAGATTCAGAGGAGATCCAGATCCATTTGGAAGATCTGAAAGTGGTTTTCTGCGGCAAGGAAAAAAAAGACATGAGCTTTTGAGCTGCGAGGACAACAAGATCAAGTAGAGCAAAAAAGAAATTGACAAGAGTGGGATTCGAACCCACGCCCCGTAAACGAGATATGGAAACTTGGATCAGGTGAGCCTGAACCATACGCCTTGGACCAACTCGGCCATCTTGCCTTACATATTTGTTTTAAAATATCTAGGATATATGAATCTAATAAGATGACAGGGAAGCCTCCCGCAATGCGAGAATTAACGAAACCCCGCCAACGTGGCGCCTTGACCCCATCACATCTCTGAAGCAGAAGATTCACGTCCTATCAAACCTAATCAGTAGAGTATATGAAGCCTCAAAGCTTAAAGGAGTATAAAGATTGATACTGGTAAAGCGCACCGTGTATAATAACACAACAGATAGTACAATCATGTTATCATCCGACCATGCCACCAATGTGTTCTTGATACAATCCTGACATCAGAGCGGTGGGATGATAATGACAAATATCACTTAAATTAATTGAAATAGCCTCCCCCTACAAGTATTACCTTATATAGGCAGTCATGAATCACTAGGACCTCGAATGGTACTGTTGCCCTCGTTCCCGACCCCGCGCGTGATGGCTTACATGAGCAGCATGACATGATCCCCGCGATATCGCTGCACTATCCCCTTAAAATCAAACCTCATTAAAATAAGTCTCTGATCTCGATGTCTTGACCATGCGACCTGTTCCTGACTTGCCGAATTTCGCCCGCAAACCCTCTCTCGAGCACTCCGCGTCCCTTGATCCCCGCACCACTGTCCCCTCTACCTTCTTCCTATCTCGAAGTCCGCATGCCTCCGATGACGAGCCCGGCTCCCCTGTCGACGAATCTGTCGACCTCAGAGAGAGCATGTACGGGGTGAAAAGCCTTGGGGAGACCTTATCTCGCTCCGGACTGACTGCCTCCCCGCGCTCGATGCCTGGAGATAGCCTGTACATGAACAGTCCGTCGCAAGGACCTGATGACTCGGGGAGGAAGCTCAGAGCTCACGGCGTCGTTCAACAATCAAGCCTTTTGAATATGATCTGCGCAACTCGCCATCGCAAGCACCCGCCTCTGATACCGTCTCGCGCCCGCTGACCCCGCTTAACCCCGAAGAGCCGTGCTCTTTGCCTAGCAGTCCGAAGTCTATCTCGAATCATTCACTTCGGCCACTCGACGATATCTCCATCACTGACGAAATATACGGTCAACCCCTCATGTCGGGAGACGAGGATGAGAGGTCCGGCGCATCACCTCGTCTTGGCACTGGCGGAGTTGGAGCCTCTCAGCTCATCATGCCAAGCTTGACGATGCCCAGTCGGCGACCTTTTACAGACCGAGGAAAAGATATGGGTAGATTCAAAGTACTCCTGGCTGGAGCTCCGGGTAAGTTTATGTTGAGTGGACACCTCGCGGGTGATACCTCATTGCACATGCGCTAATAGATCAAAACCAAGGATCCGGGAAATCATCCCTTATAAAATCCATCGTTCAGACAAGTGAAGATATTGTGCACATTGATTCTCTCGAGGCTCTTTCCTCAGGAACCTCTCTCGAACGCCGCCGGCCGGCGCATCTCCACTCCGGAGTCCCCACTCGCGGGGTGTCCACTGCCGTGACCGAGATTTACGCTAGTACCAAACCGTATCCCTCGTGGTGGTCTGATCTAGAGGACTCGCGCGTGTTGCGACGCCGGAAAAGCATAGACGAAATTGTATTGGAACGAAACCTCTGCTTTGTCGATACACCCGCTACTTCCCTAAGCCGGGCAGGGCAAACCGATGCCATCGTCCAGTACATGCGCCAGCAACTACAACGAGCAATCACAGCCCTTGCGAGCTCGGGTGTAGATTTCCAGAATATGCTTGCTGGCAATGGTGGCTCTCAAGTAGATGCAGTCTTGTACTTGATATCTGAGGGTATGTTCTGTCTTCTTCTCAGACCATTCCAGTATTAACCATCGTAGACACTTTGCCGACTGATGTTGAATGTATTCGCAAGCTCTGCGATCTGAGCAATGTCATACCTATCGTCTCCAAGGCAGACAGGCTGACAGACGAGCAAATCACTTCGCTGAAGGATCAGTTCCACCAGCGAGCTCAAGACGCTGGAATCAAACCCTTCCTATTTGGCAATACACAGCCTGGAGAGCTTGTCACACTCGAACCACAGCCTCCCTATGCAGTATCGTCCGAAAAAACCGCCGACATGGAAATCATGGACGCCAGTACTCTGATGAATCCAGACTACGTACAGCCACTCATCGTATCTGAGCTTAGCATTCTGGTAGAGAAGCTGTTCGACCGGGACAACCTCGCGTGGATGCGCCACTCAGCTGCGAAGAAACTAGCGCAGCGCCGCGGTGATTTCCCACCAGCTCCACTAACTACAGCAACACTTCCAAACCCACTTTCGGGTACCACTACCAGTGGATTAGCCTGGCGCGGCATGCCAGGAGCATCCATGAACTCCTCCGTCTCTTCGATGAACGACTCGCCACCTAGCTACACGATGGCCCGGATCACAGACTATACACGACATGAAGAGCGCATGGCCCAAGTGCGACTTGCCCACTGGGCAACAGACCTACAACGCAGCCTACAAAACGAGCGTGACCGATACTCGGCCCTGGCCCGTGGCGATCGCGCTGTGTGGCTAAGTGAGAAACTGAGTGAATGTGTCATAGATGGTTCCCTCGTGCCCATCTCCCAGACTCCCGGTTTCTGTGGTCTTCACATCCCCATCAGCGAGAAAGGTCCGAGCGGGCTACATGCTATGCGACCCCCAGGATCCAAGGAGTACCGCTTCACAAGCATGAGTCCCTACGATCCTCTCGGCGTGGTCGGCTGGATCGATGACATTAGCCGACGCAGCTGGATCATCGTCCAAATCGTCGGCAGTGTCGGTGTAGTTGGCGGGCTGGCACTCTGGCTGGCCCGGACGTGGGGAGTTCCCACCAAGTCCCTATCTGATCTTCAGCTCGACTACTGGGCTGGGCGCATGGAGCGATAGCTCATTCCGACGAATTACGATCAGGTCATATGGGGGCAGCAGGCTTTCCCAGGTGACGATACCATGGATCCTTCAGCGCAAAGAAAGTGAGCAGGCAGGCGTTTTTTTTTCCGGCGGCGATATTGCTTTCCCATTCCCCTTTTCCGCGTTGATTTCGGCGTTTCCTGAGGTATTGTTGCATTTCCTTTCCGTACGTATTCAGGCTAGAACAATCTAAGCTAAGAATTGCACTACCACTTCAAAAGCCCCATCTAGGGGCATTTGTTCGTATTCGAAGACGTTAAATTTTTTTTTCATCCATATTCAGGGTCTTCTTGATTCCTGCTGATTTTCACGTAGATCTCATCGCGTCCATTCTGATCATCAGATCCGGATCTAAGCAGAGGAAGGGACCAACTCCTCAAACCGACGCAGATCCATATCCTTCTCCAGTAGAGGAATGACATAGGGATCGAAAGTCTTCCAGTAGGGGTTGTTGAGGTGGTACTCTTGCGACGACTCCTGCTCGTATCGCTCGACGATCGTGAAGTCCTGGGGATCGTGAACGGACTGCATCACGAACCAGGAGAGAGTCTCCTTATCCTTGGAGTAGACGGCCGAGGCCTCGAGAAGCTTTGCGTGCAGCTTGGAGATGGACTCCTTGTCTGCCTTGGCGCGCATGTCTAGGTGTTTGGGTTATGGTTAGTGGGGGGAGGTTCAGATGGAATTGCGGGGTCCATTGAGAGCTATCAAGAGGGAACGGAGGCAATTGAATTGTCCAGGGTTGAGGGTGAAGGCAGACTCACGGACGACGATAGTGTAAACCATTTTGATGATGGGGTGTTTAGAGTAAGGTGAAACCTCTCGCGGGCGGAGTCTTCTTATACGGGCCGAAAGTCGCTTCGGTGACTGTCCGTGTGGAGCATATCGCCGAACTTGGTCCCGAGGTGATCCCGACCTTTCAACTTGTGGAGCTTCTTCTGGGGTGGATTTCTTAGCATCGTGTAACATTTTTCTCGTCTTTTCTATTTTGTGTTATTCGGTCGAGGCGAGGATTTCATTCGTAGTACGGGTCAAGCTGGGCTACTGTAATCCAACAACCAGGTATCAACAGTGAACTTTTATCTGTGAAAGCATATTGAGGCATACAAAGACCTTCGAAATACCATTCCGGGAGACTCTACAATCATATTCTGGCCACTTACGTCTACAGGCCCACGCTAGGTCACAGTTATTGGGCGCTATGCTTGTGGACTCTGAAGCGGTGTAGAAAGACGGCAGAATAGGGAGATCCCGTGATATGATCATGTGACCACTCACCGCCATTGGCATGGAGACATGATTATCTAAGCACTCAAAGTGTCATTGGCGCTTGGGGTCGAGTGATTTCTCTTTTTGACAGACTTTCATTCAATTGTTCGAACTGTTCATCAGACGGTGGTCCAGTGGGCCGATGGTGAAAGACACATTCGAATAAATCGTCCACCCATGATTTGAATGAGCTGTCACTCGAACTTGATGCACCTAGCACTGTCTTCTCGTATTAGCCTCAAAAGCAAGTCAACTTAAACGAATGATGGAGATAAAGACTTGGCACAGCCTAGGCAAATATAGCTCCAGTAACAGAAAGTAAGAATAGCTTTCATTTGTGCATCAAGACAGGTAGGTGGTCCAGAGAGTTCGGAGCCCGACTGCGATATGGTGGTAGTCAACAGTTCCAAGGCTTGTTGTTCGGAGCGGGATGGTAGTATGCCCATGAAATTTACACAGTTAGTTCGATGATGATTACACACTAGAGAGTGATTATGGCTACAGTACTACGGGACGTCAAGCTCAAGAAACCAAGCTGTATTATCTTTTAAACAAATGTATCAGATAAGATAAGAAGAAATATTCCAGTTGGATTGATAAAAGAAAAAAACAATAAGTTTAAAAAAACATCAAGGGTCGTTATCCCGTTTCCCATTTCCCGTAAGAACCGATTGTAAGCAAACATGTGGCGAAGGCATCTAATCAACCTCCTCCATGGCAGACTCGCCAGTGGCCTCAGCAGGGGCAGCAGCCTCAGTAGCAGCCTCAGCGGAAGTCTCGGCATCCTCATCGATGTTCAGACCGAGGGAAACGAGCTTGTGAATGCGCTCAGCGAAGGAAGCGGGCTCCTCAATGGTGAAGCCAGAAACCAACAGAGAGGTCTCGAAGAGGAGCTGGGTGATGGACTTGACGGTGCGGTCGTTCTCGCCATCGGCCTCGACCTTCTTCTTGAGCTCCTTGACGATGGGAGACTTGGGGGGAGATCTCGAAAGTCTTCTTGGAGGACATGTAGGAGGACATGGAAGTGTCACGGAGGGCCTGAGCCTTCATGATACGCTCCATGTTGGCGGACCAGCCGAACTGGCCAGTACGGATGGCGCAGGGAGCGCCCATCAGCTTGTGGGAGACGACGACCTTCTCGACCTTGTCGCCGAGAATGTTCTTCAAGGCCTTGGCGAGGTCCTCGAACTCCTTCTCCTCCTTCTCACGCTCAGCCTTCTCCTCCTCGGTCTCCTCGAGCTCGAAGTCCTTAGTAATGTCGACGAGCTTCTTACCGTCGAACTCCTTCAACTGAGTGAAGGCGTACTCATCAATGGGGTCAACCAGGAAGAGAACCTCGAAGTTCTTCTGCTTGAGAGTGTCCAGGAAGGGAGACTGGGCGACAGCCTTAATAGACTCGCCGGTGATGTAGTACATGTTCTTCTGGTGCTCGGGCATGCGAGTGACGTAGTCGGTGAGGGAGGTCTGCTCATCGCCAGACTTGGTGGACTGGTAGCGGAGGAGCTTGGCCAGAGTGGGGCGGTTCTGGGCATCCTCGTGGATACCGAGCTTGATGTTCTTGCTGAAGGCAGAGTAGAACTTGTCGAACTGCTCGCGGTCCTCAGCGATCTCGGTGAAGAGCTCAAGAGTCTTCTTGACGATGTTCTTCTTGATGACCTTCATGATCTTGTTCTGCTGAAGGGTCTCACGAGACAGGTTGAGGGGAAGGTCCTCGGAGTCGACAACACCCTTGACGAAAGAGAGCCATTCCGGAATGAGGTCGGTAGCATCATCGGTAATGAAGACACGACGAACGTACAACTTGATGTTGTTCTTGGTCTTCTTAGTTTCGAACAGGTCGAAGGGAGCGCGCTTGGGGACGAATAGGATAGCGCGGAACTCAAGCTGACCCTCAACGGAGAAGTGCTTGACACCAAGGTGGTCCTCCCAGTCGTTGGAAAGGGACTTGTAGAAGGCGGCGTACTCCTCAGTAGTGATATCGGCGGGGTTGCGGGTCCAAATGGGCTTGGTCTTGTTGAGCTCCTCCTCCTCAATCTTGGACTCCTTGACAGTCTTGGTCTTCTTCTTCTCCTTCTTCTCCTCCTCCTCATCGACCTCCTCGACCTTGGGCTTCTTCTCGTCGCCCTCCTCCTCCTTAGACTCCTCAGCCTCCTCATCGGGGACCTCGGTCTCGGTCTCCTTCAGGACGTGAAGGTAGATGGGGTAGGAGATGAACTCGGAGTGCTTGCGGACAACCTCCTTGATGCGGGACTCCTGGAGGTAGTCCAACTGCTCATCCTTCAAGTGCAGGATGATCTTGGAACCGCGGCCGAGCGGCTCGCCCTCGGTGTCCTGGGTCAGGGTGAAGGTACCACCGGCGGCGGACTCCCAGACGTACTGCTCATCGTCATTGTGCTTGGAGACGAAGGTGACCTTGTCGGCAACGAGGTAGGCAGAGTAGAAACCGACACCGAACTGACCAATCATGGAGATGTCAGCGCCGGCGGACAGGGCCTCCATAAACTGCTTGGTGCCGGAGCGGGCAATGGTACCAAGGTTGTTGATGAGATCCTAGATGGGTTTGCATTAGCATTAAGTTACAATTTTTTTTTCCACTTTCTGGCACAAACCGGCGGATAGAAAGGATGAACTTACAGCCTTGGTCATACCGATACCGGTATCACGGATGGTCAGGGTCTTGTTGACCAGATCGGGGATGATGTCGATGCGCAGATCCTTGTTGGAATCGAGCTTCGAAGGGTCCGAGAGGGACTCATAGCGAATCTTGTCCAAGGCATCGGAGGCGTTGGAAATCAACTCACGAAGGAAGATCTCCTTGTTTGAGTAGACAGTGTTAATGATAAGAGAGAGCAGCTGAGAGATCTCAGCCTGGAACTCGAAGGTCTCCGGCATGATGGCGGTGTGATTCTGAGAAGCGATTAGATGGGGGCAATTGGTGGCGAGAGTTGAAGAATTGGAGTGAGATATGAGAGATAGGCAAGGGTTGATGAAGGGAGATGGAGACGGAGATGGGAGCTGGGTGATGGAATACTAACAGGAAGGGGAGAATGGAGAAAAGAGAAAACTGCTGGAGAGAACCAAAGCAGCGACGGGGGTGGGGAAGAGTTTAAAGAAGAGGTGCGGCTAGCTTTCTGTGTTTCCAAAAAATTCTGGCAAGTTTCTACGGCGATCCAGCAACTTCCACCGCTGGTCGGGCAGGCAACTAGCCCCCCTACAGCTTCGATCATAGGTGACAAGGGTCTGGTTCTAGAGCCTTCGTCCCTGCTCCATCCTTAGTTTCCTTTTTAGGTTCTCTCGCTGGCCACGGGCATTTTGATGGGGGCGCTGTCCCAAGTGCACTGCGCAACTGTGCACCGTACACCTAAGAGGAGAGCTCTGTTGATGCCTGAGGCTACCATCTAGAATCTTCCGGTCGTCACTTTACTGTCCACTGCAATGGTCATCTATCAAAGCTTGTTACAAGGACCTTGGGATTCGATTCCACCACGATGCCACAGAGGGCCTTGGATCACCCTACGTAGGAACAAACCATTGTACGACTAGCCTGTATTGCATATTCCTGTAGCCTGCCCAACCTCTTTTTTCCCCTAGAACCTTGATTTACAAAGCAAAGATACAAGAGAAGAAACGAATAGAAAAGAAAAACAGAACAGGCCAGAACAGCGCAGAACAAATGTGGGACCTGGTGCAACACCTCAAAGCCCTCGCAGCTTGCCATGCTGAATAAAAGATGCAATATAGGTCTCTGCGGGGGTCACAAAAATCATAATGAAGTATAGGGCAGAGAATCATCGAGACCTGGGAGGACACGAGAGCCAAGTAAATGGAAAGGCATCTTCTGGGCGTAAAAAACACAAATGCCCAGAGAAGGAAGGGAAAGAAAAACGCAACTTTTCGAGCCAACCCGGACCCAACCGCTAATATGCACCGTGACAGGGTTTAAAAAAAAGAGGGGTCACGTAACACATGTCATTAGGAAAGAGGCAAGAAAAAGGGGAAAGGAAATCAAAATCGGAGTAATACAGATCCTGAAAAATCATCCGGAACGTTGGAGCGTGAAGCTTTTATAGAAAGGTTGATGTCCTTTAAGCGGCCTGTGCCTGGCTACGGCCCTTGGCAGGAGCGTTTCCGCCACGGCCACGGGGAGTGAAGCCTCCACGACCGTCGCGCTGGAAGCCACCGCGACCCTGGCTGCCTGCCCGGTCACCACGGCCACGGCCAGCACCACCACGGCCAGGGGGGAAGCCATTGCCGCCGAAGGCGTTGCCGCGGGGACGGCGCTCCTCGACAAGAATCTGCTCACTGCCGACCTTATGGGGGTTGGCAGCGACGGCGGCAGCGTAGCTAGCGGGCTCAGTGTACTCAATGAAAGCACAGTTCTAGGAAGGTAGGGTCAGTATTGAGAGTTGACGGAAGTGTGGGGAATTGATGGATGCAAACCTTGCTGCGGTTGACGTCGATGTACTTCAGCTTACCGAAACGGCTCAGGACGGTCTCGAGAAGCTCAGAGTCAACCTTATCGGTGACATTCTTGATATATCCCATAACGGTCTGTTCCTCGCCGGCACGGGACTGAGTCTTCTTGTGGTCGGCACCAGCGGTTTGCCAGCCGGTCTCGTTGGAAGAAGCCTGCTTGGGAGCGGCCTTGGCAGCCGGAGCAGCCGCTGCCGCTGCAGCAGCGGGCTGCGCAGCACTAGCAGCTGGAGTAGTAGGAGTAGCGGCCTTGGGGGCGGCAGCCGGGATGGCGGGAACAACGGGCTTAGCACCGGGCTTAGAGGCGATGTTCGCCCAGGTCTTGGGGAAGGAGGGAGCAGGAGCGGACTCCTCAACCGGGGCCTCCTCCTTGATTTCCTGCTCGGGAACGGGAGTAGGCACCGGGGTAGCGGGCTTGTCTTGCTTCAGGATCTCGGTCTCCACGTCGGGAACCGGAGCCTCGACTTCCTCGGCAGGAGTGCCGTTGGTCTGGGGAGCAACCTCGGGCTGCTCGACCTCGCCATTGGTCTCCTGCTCAAGCTTCTCATCAACCTTGGAGGCGGCGGCCTCGTCAGTCACCTGCGCCTCAGCGGCCGGGACGGGCTCCTCAACCTTGGGGGCCTCGGCGACAGGCTCAGCAACCTCCGCCTCCTCCTCCTCGACCTCCTCCTGCTCATCAGCGAGGTATCGGAAGATGTCATTAAGCACATAGTAACCGTTGGGCTGCTCGGCCAGAACGAAGGTCTGGATGAACTTGCGAGAAGGCTCGGACTTGTTGGAAATCTCACCAATGACCGAAACGAGGATGTTATCAAAAGACGCCTGGGAGTCGACGTTGAGGACGCGAACTTTGCACTCCTGGAAGTCCAGCTGCTTGATCTTATCACCAATGGCCTAGAGAGATAACCGATAGTTAGCGATGGACTCAGATGGCGAACGAGTTTGTGACGAGGCGAAAACGCACCTTGTTACCGATAGAGACAGGAACCGACTCGGCCTCGGTTCCGAAGACGAGCTGAGAGCGCTTAGAGTAGAACAGATGGAGCTTGTCGGGGTTGCGGCTCATAGTAGTATAGTATTGCTCAACGAAGAACCAGCCGACCTCATCCTTGCTGATCTCGTTCTTGTCGGTGGGAGTGGCGGTAGTAGGAGTGGAGGACTGAGCGGGCTGGAAGTTGGCAGCAGTGTTCATAGCCACATGAGACTGGGAGTTGAAGGAATCGGGAAAGCCATGCTGGGCAGCGTAATTGCCGTTGAGAGGAGCCTGGGTCATGTCGGCCATTGCGAACTGAGGGGTCTTGGGTCGGGTCTTCGGTTGGGTGTGGTGAAGGCGAAGATGAAGAAAATAAAGTAGCCGAGGGCGTTGAAATGATCGGACGGCGACCAAGGAATAAACAGGCGTCTAGTAAATACCGAGGTGGAAAAGATCTAAGATCACTCTGTGCCCGCTCGCTTCCTTGATGCTTGGTCAGTTCTGATATCACGATCGCGGTGGAGATTTGCCAACCAGGCGCGGAACTCACAAATGCGAAATGGACTTAGCACCAACGCAAGCAATTGAAGAGAGGCAAAGGAAGGGAAGAAGAAAGAGGCGAAAATGGGAGAAGTCTCTAAGATTGCGGAGAGGGTTCGGAGAAGTATGTGAGAACCCAGAAGAGATCGTGTGCGGATCAGATCAGGCCGGAAGGGGAGCAAGAGGGGATACGAGAACCGAGATGGACGATGAAGAGAACAGACGAACTATAAACGGGGAGATGGAAGAGGGAAGTCGAAGATGCGGAATGGAAGCTTTTGGGGAATTCGCCTTGGAAGAAAAAGCGGCTTCGCCTTCGTCGACACCGTGCGGGTTTCGTTCGTACCGGGTTATTCACCGCCCGGCAGAAAGAGCCATCCGATATAGCTTTAGCTTGAGCTTGAGCTTGGGCTGGAGATTGTGATTGAAATTGTGGGTTTGCAGGAATTACGAATCTCGTATTTTCATGCCTGGACTTTCACTTGAATTCCTATCTAGTACGAGGTAGCTTTGTGATTGACAGCTATGTAAAGAGAAATAGACACCGGACTCAGGATCCAAAGCCAGAAACCATATACGACAAAGAAGAAACAAAAGATCATGGGAAAATCATCAAATCGAGAGCGCCATAGAGTAACATCAAAAAATAAGAAGGGGGTATGTATGATAAGACGTGCGAGTAAAGAACGGGTGAGATCGTACAGCCTCAAGCCACGAGGCCCATATTGGGGGAAATAGACAGAGGAAAACCACACCATCATCGATCGCCGAGCCATCGGTTCATGGGCAGCGCATACACCGCCAGCGGACTTAGGTAGAAGTCTCAGCCGCCACTTTCTCGTCCAGCGGCTTGCGCATGATGGCGTCCTGACCGGTCATCCTTCGCCCGAGAGCGCGCTCAACCTTAGCGCCGAGGGCCAGCTTGTTCAAGTTGTCGGATTTTTCGGTGGTAGGCACGAAGCGCTGAGCCTGGAGGGGCTTGTTCTCGAGGCGCTCCAAGCCGTCGCCAAGGTGGTGGATGTCAGCGACTCTGGGGTCGCTGCTGGGCAGACTCCCGATCGTGCGCTCGGAGGCGGCGAGCGATGGGCTTCCGCTGATGGTGGAGAATCGCTTGGAGTTTCGATTCTAAAAGGTGAGCGTTAGAAAGGTGTTTCTCTTGACAGTTGCCATGGCCTAGAGATCACGGCAATATGGGAGATGCCGGCAGAGACATACGGAGTTGGTCATGATGGGTCGTTCTGAATCGAGAGACTGTTGGCGCGCCATTTCTGTCGGGGGGGGATTGGGATTTTGAAAGGGCCGTGGGTACTGAAAGAAGACCAGATTGGGCACAATTTATTCAGATGGTAACCCAGAGATTTGTGGGGATGACTCTAGTATTCTAGGAGAGGAGGGGAATGAAACAAGTTGCAGAGGCGACTCAGGAGGCGCAAAACGGTTGGTGGGTCAAAGGTCGGTGGGGTTCAGGAGCGGATGGGAGGGATGCGCCTACAAAGGGTATTCAGCACAGCGATCTTTTTTAGGGCCAAAGTCGGTCAGGGGAATTACTTTGGTTGGACTATCTTGGTGGAGATATGTGAAAAAAAGGGGGATCTTAGAATAGCGTAGTTCGGCCTTCAGCCACGCCGAGAAAATGAGATTGAACAAGGGAATGCGAGAAACCTTGGTGTGCCACAAATGCTCATGGTGGAACTTTTGCCACGTGCGGATCAGCGAGGAAGAAGTGTAAAGTGCCTAGTACAAGTATAGTACCATAGTGCAAACGTACAGGGTGATATTGAGATTGGAGAGCATGGAGAGCGTGGAGAGAACTTGGCCAACTACAGAGTGGACTACAGAGTGGATGACGGAGAATTACTTCATTCCACGGCCGATCCTGTGCCACATGGACCTGTCCACCATGATTTCATAGGCATTGACGCTAGACAGAAGGAAAAAACCGAACCGAGGAAGTAAGCACTTAACAGAAGCTGCAGTCCGAAACGAGAGTCTTGGCATCCTCATCGCGTGGAGACTTCTAACCTCTTTCTTATTCGTTCTACGGTGCCCGGGACGAAGAACACAAACTTTCCCCAACTTCTTGATACTCCCAAATAGACCAGTGCCGAAACGAAGACATAAGGTGCCGGAAATGCCCAAGTCCAAGAGTCTTCTTAAGGACTTCAAGCCCAAAAAGAAGGCCGCCAAGCAGGTACCATACCCTCCCATGGGATGATCGCGTTCAGCGCTAATTAGAGTAGGCCGCGCCAGTCACGGCTGACGATTATCTTGCCGGTGAGGATCGACCCAGATTGATCAATCATTCACAACGCGTATGCTAACTTTTCCCAGCGGGCGTTGAGCTTGAAGAGGCCGGTGAGAAATGGCGGGCGGGGGATGCCGCCAAATCCATGCGCTTCTTCATGCGCGCCATTTCTATTTATGACGAGGGTTTACAAAAACATCCCACTGCGTTTGATCTAGCCTATAACAAGTATGTGCGACTCTTCATATCTAAATTTTGATGAGGTGGAAACAGTTGTGATTTGTATCATTATTTGACTCCTCCCCACTAACGTTCACCCCCATAGAGCGCGAGTTCAATATGAAATCACTCAGCATCCTAAGCTGGCTGCCCAGCTGCCAGCACCTCAATCGGAGATCTTGCAAGTGGCCCTGCAATCGCACCGGGATGCATTGATGCTGGAGCAGGATAATGCGGATGTGCTCTTCAATTCCGGTCAGGTGTTGAACAGTCTGGCGGAAGTGATTTCGGACTCTAAACATCCCGATGAGGAGCAAATCGTGCAGGCAACCACGTATCTACAGGAGGCGATTGAGTTGTTCCAGAGATGCCAGGTGCTGCAAGATATGCGTTATACCGAGATGCAAGAACAAATTGAGGAGATGCAAGCGACAGGCTCTGAAATACAGGCCCAAGACCAAGCCCGGGCTCCGGAGCCGGCACCTGCCGCAACAGCCAGCCAGGAGGATGCTGGAGACGAAGTTCAGACGCAGTGGGCGGCCATTGTGGAGCCAGTCACTAAGAATACCCTTGTCGACACTGCTGTGGCGCAGTTAGAGACTTTGACCACACTGTGCAACATGCTGACATTTAACCCCAGTGGTGGTGGTGTTGGCTGGGTACAGGAACATTCCGCGGGGCTCGTGCAGACTCGACTTCCGGCCTATGTTGAAGGTTCAGACAGACAGTATGAAGCGAGTCTGGCGAGGGCAAAATTCATGTGTGCCATACACGAAGTCCTCTACCGGGGCGGACACACCGATGTCGAAACATATCAACAAGAGGTCGGACAGGCTTTTGGTCCGGACCTCGATGTATCAGCCGATCCTGAAGGACTCTGCAGCAAAGCCGAAGCCTTGACCTCGCTCAATGGAGCCTTCTCAGATGTGCCTCCCATGAGCGACCCCGAAGCATTCAAGCGCTCTCTGTCTGTGCGATGGCAATCACTTTCGACCGCCTTGGATGCGTTGACAAAAGCGTCCAAGCTTCCAGATGCAGAAAACCTTCCCAAGATCCATCTTGCTCGAGGTGACGTGGAAATGCACCGCTGGAGACTTGGAACGGCGCCCTGGAACCATGCGATGGCTCAGCAGTACGGTGCTACACTCTTGAAGAACGCGCAAACATACTACCGCGGAGCCGCCGCGTTAGCCCGCCGCGATGGTGCCACCGATGAAGAACGCGACGGAACATGCAAAGAGGCAATCGCAGCCGCAGTGGAGGGACAAAAGGCCAAGCTGGACCAGCTCAAGACCACAGCTCTCGAGCAAGTCGTGGCAGTAGCCACAGACATGGTGGAGGATGGTATGATCGAGGGCACAGTAATGAGCGCCCTGATCTCATGAACAGAACCACGGAACAGAGAAAATTACCTAGATCCCTGGCTGAGCATTGACTTCCTCGTCCATTTGAAGCGCATCCTCGCGAATATGGTTCTTCTCACTGAATTGAGAAGCTGCCTTAGCAGCATCCTCGATATCCTCAACAACAGACTCCAGATGAGCCAGTAATCTCTCGATTTCCAATCTCTGAGCCTGTACCGTTTGCGCAAGCTCCCCATTCTCAGCCGCAGTAGCCTCAAGTTTCTTGTTCAGAGCTGCCTGCGTCTCTTCAAGATACGGCGTCAGATGCGCATTGTAAAGCTCTTCAGCGCCGAGTGTATGAGGACTGCATAGAAACAGAGTTAGTTTGAACCATGAACCCTATGAAATCTAGGTCAAAAACATACGGTTTCTCAGGCTCGGCCCCATCCCCCTCAGCCTCCCTTCGCGCTCGGGCATCCCCAACCAACTGATCCAATTCATTCAAATGCTGCACAGCCTGCCTCTCCTCAATAATCTCTTCAAACTCAGCTTTCGCGCTCTCCTCCAATTTCGCGTTCAATTGTCTCCACACATTCTCCAGACTGGCAGGCACGTGTCGCGCAGGCGTGGGAAAGCAGCTCGCAAAGTTGGCGTATGAGTTTGCGCGCAAGGTGCGAGCAAGTGCTTGGTCGAAGACTTGGATTAAGCGTGAGGCGCGTAGACCGGGGACTTCGGACTCTGGGGCAGGCGGGGGAGGGGCTGATGAGGCTGATTGAGATGGATGGGCATTCGCTTGGGCCATCTTTAGGGCGAGCGTATGTTTTAGATTGTTTCTGCGATAGCGGTTGGATTTTTATGGCCGAGGACGTCGACTTGTTTGGCGAGGAATCTGGGCTTTGGGCAATTGAAGATGCCTCAATGGCGCGACGCGCTTGTCACGTGTTGGGTCCACTTTATAGAGCTGAGAGGTAAACATGTCAATAGTCAAATTCACTACGTAATGGAGTCATTCAAGATTGATTTGATGAGAAAAATTTGCTGGAATAAGACAACAATCAATCCGTGCGGGTTGTTCTTGAAATGCCGAAATTACATGACAGAACTCGGAGTCCTTCCCCAGATACATTGACCGGATTTTAGATTCTCATTCAACTCCGGAGATGCATGTTTGTGGGTGTGAAAGCGCCCTGGGCTCGCGTTTTTGCCCAAAGAGCTTTAAATGCAGGCCATGAAATGTTGATGTAAATAAGACTATTCCAAAAGCCCTGTAGAGGAAGAACGAAGCTAGAGGCATAGTTGAGTCCAAAAGAAAAAGAATTCGGGCGAGCAAGAGCGTAAACCCGGTTTGCAGTGGATGGGACCTATTCAAAATTAGAGCACTACTCCCCTATATTTCAAGCTTGATTGGGTAACATACCCATGTTACAAGAAGCGCGATGAAAAACATCACGGCGTATTTCGTATAAGCACACGCAGCCAAGTTGACATCGGTAGCCACTGCTCGTCTCTGAGCATGAAATGAGTCTACCACCTCAAATCGAGCGTTTGTCAATGCTACTTCTGGACGAAGTGGACTTGAACCCGGCCTAGAACTGAATGCTGGCCCGTGGAGCGGCATCGTACCGGCGCGTTGAAGCCCTCTGATGGGGTCTAAGGGCCCACCTTCGATGGTGACAGAGTATGGACAGAATGAAGTTGCAGTGAAGCTGCGTACGGGCTGTATTTCGGTGCTTGACATTGAATGGCGTACTGGTGAAGAACAGGCGATCTCGCTGGTGACCTGAATGCCTGCCAACTTCATGACTGGGTGTGTATCGCTATCCATTGAATCAATGCCGCCGAGGTCTCGTAATTGGCGCCGCTTTTGGTAGATCAAGGATCCGGCGCGCAAGTAGATAGCAAATGTGAGGGAGATGACAAACCACACGGGGCCATAGAAGACAGCGATGCGGAGAAAGTCCCAAGGAACGGCGACCCAGCACCATAACTTGAAAGGGATCAGCAGCCGGAAAAGAGAAGTGGGATCATTGCGGAAACCTACTATAGCAGAACCATACACACGACCTCGTAATTCTGTCTTGATAAAGAAGTATGCAAATGCTGGTATAAAGGGGAGACCGTAGCAGCATAGCACATAATTCCATTCCAGCTGGCGTAATTGCTCCGAATTATACCTGTGGAAAAATGTCAAGTAGACGTTGCAAGCCATAGCGAAAGTCCATAAAGCATCTGCCGGCATAAACCTGATTTTCATTAGAGACAAATGGCAGCCGATAATTTTCTCTTCTCACCATTGAATTAAGAAGCCCTGGAATTGACATAAAGAACTCCCAAAGCCAGCCTGTATGCCTGACTGAGATATCAAAGTCGCGATATTAGCCATGATATTTCCCCACGAGGCGTAGAAGACGAGACGATTAATAGGCTTGCGAAATGAACGGAACCCGATGAACGTAGTGACAATGACGAAGGTGCCAACTAGCGAGACTGCTGAGCAAATACGCTCTGTGAGCGAGATTGCGGATAACTGGGCTTGTGAGAGCGACATGGCGACATGGCCTTTTGTGTGGCGCTTGTTTGACACAGAGTTTCAGGCACAGCGAGCACTTGAGAGGAGCCCTTGTAGCCATATCAAAAGATGCAAAGAGTAAAGTAGCGCTGCTCAATATGAGTTAACCCGTGTGACAATCAACCCCCGGATGATTGAGGACAGGTTTATTCCGCAGAGCATGCTACCCGGTGGTCGGATCCGTAGATGATCATAATTGGAACCTACTTACTTCACAGTCCAATGAAATTGGCAAAAGTCATCATGCGATCAGCCCATTCTCTAAAGTTATGTTTAAGACTGGTTCTCGGCAGGGTTATTGCCAGTCCAATTTGGAACTATGGCGAGATAACTACGAAGCAGAACATGCGATGCGTTCTTAAGGGGCTCAAAAGGCATCCCAAAGTTACGACTAACGTACTTCCAAGAAGTGACCCTATCTGACAAGCTCCGAAAATTATGGCCGAGATGTGTCGTCTGCATGAAGGGACTTAGGGTCGAGTAAAACAAACAGCGCTTCACGTATCTGGTAGTCATCAGAAGCGCCTTGGGCAGCCGAAGCTTCTGAAATAGGCCAAAGGATTTTGATCCAAGTACGGGAAAACATGCATTTTGAATTGGAGCTTGGATCCCCACGCCGTTCAATGATATATTCTATTGGAGAGGACCTCTTATTATTTGCGTTCATGATGTGTTTTCAAAGACGCTTCTTGTACATGAATCGTTTGTGTAGTCAACAAATTATGACTGAGGGCTATACAGAAGTAGATTCAGGCCCAGATTCCCACTTCGAAGTATCGCCGAGACTGTTTCTGGCCCTTTCAAAGTAACCCCTGCATTTCGAAAGACCTTGCCTCATGGCTGGGATGCTAGAAGCAACAAGTGCAGTCGAAATCTCCACAATGGAACACAGATAAATCGGGACAACATCCCAAGACGGGCCATGACCCTCATATAGATAAATCACAAATGCTAGTCGGACAGCAGCTGCTGCGCACGCTCTGGGTTAATGAGACCACGTGACTTCAATAAAGCTGAACGGCGATAAGGAGACTCACAAGATGCCGGTGGAAGAGATTAGGCTTAAAATGGCCATTTTCTTTTTGAAGGTAAGATGAAGCCCTTTTTGTTCACAGAAAGTATAGTGAGCGACTGCGATCAAACTTTAGCACACACAGAGAGAGAGAGAGAGAGTCAACTAACCAAGTATCGGTCTGACAGGCAATGCCACAATCCAAATATTGGTGACCAGGAATACGACGGCCACATCACACCAAAATACCAGAAGTGAGATACATGAATGAGCCTTGGTCCGTCTTTTCAGTAAACCACAGACCTGCAGTGGGCCTACACTGGAATATGGCGCCAAATAGAAAGGTAATACTTATCAATACGATAAGGACGATGGTGGTAATAATCGTAATTCGAAGGGTCGTCCGAAATATCCGATAGTATAAGAATAATACCGAAAGTTTTATCATCCCACATGACAGTATGTATAAAACCTGAGTGGATACTTGCGTCTTGCTGGCGTGTCAAAAACAGTCCCCACCAAACTCATTCATCAGTCAACGCACCTTTTCTAAATGGTTGATGTCATCCGAATGTATTTTCCCTATGCGAAAATTTACACCTAGAAAGCATCATGACGACAGGATTTAGAGCTGAGGGTGGGTTTCGTACTAACCCATGTCCATTGAGACAACCATTCCAATGGCGAGTATTGTCGCAGCTACAGCACACCAATCATCCATGCCTGATGTGTGGGAAATGAATGTGCGCGCAATTAGTCTCACTGCGATGACTATGACAGTAATAAACATGAGTATGGAAGTGACCACAATGAGAGCTATCCCTCGCTGTGAGGGTGCCTGAAAGTCAATTAGCAATGCCAACGCAAATTGCTAGAAAAGCTAGCTCAACCATACCTCTCTAAGGCTCAAATCAATCATCTTCTATATCTTGCTGTTCTTCCATGAGATGTTGAGCGGATGTGACCAATGCGAGGAGAAAGTTATTTTCACGCTTGACGATGAAGTTAACCACACCGTATCTCGAATATATACCAGGACATTTGCTAGATTTTCTATATAATACAGGTGATGAGGGTGACACTTGATAATATTAACGTGCTCATGGCGACTCAAGCAAGTAAGCGTTGATGTCGTGACGTCATTGACCTGACTCGTTGACCACCACCCGGACGTCACACAGGAACAACTTTGACTGGCAGATTAAGAGCGCAGATGCCTTTGATCAGGCACTATTGAGCCTTCGTGACCAGTATTGGTTGGCAATTGGAAGTACAAGGCCGCAAAGCTTCATTGTACCATCTTTGTGACTACTTCACATCGTGTCCTAATCCCATCAAACGATGCACTGCCATCTCTGACCCTCTCACATAGTAATCCATAGTACCGACTATCTCATCGGGGATCTCCACAAACTGTCCGATCAGCGCCATGTTCTTCATCCCCTGAGGAATGACCTGTGGCCGGTCTCCAGAAGTCCTCGGCAAAAAGGCTGCTGACATGCGTGGCACGACACAAGGAATAGTGACCGAGTTAGAAAGAATTGAATCGACAGGGAATATCAACTGATGCAAGATTTCAGTCATGATTTCCTGGCCCGAGCACTCGAGCATGGGTTTCTTGACGTAATCGCCTTCGTTTGCTGGGAACATTGCGTAGCCCCAGAACACTTGAACGTCTTCTGGTTGATCTGGGAACATAGGTTGCTTGGGAATGCTCAGGCTGAGTAACCAGCTGCTGTCTTTCAGAGTGACAAAGATCCCAGACCCCGGTGCATCTCCCGTCAACTCGGTGAAGCGGTCAAAGAACTCCGGGCTCTTGAGCGTTACGGTGAATGACTCCCGTCTGGATTCAGTCAGCCGCGTGCAGAAGTTGTACGCATTGCCAAACTTCTGGTCTTTCGTTGATAATTCCAGCCACAGTAGCCAATTGTCATCCAAGTCTTTTTCGATCTCCATCATTTCAAGCGATGGCGGCGTGGTATTTGTCCCGCTTGTCGCACCAGAGATGACAGAGCCCACGGATACAATCACGATGTCGTTAGACTTAACATTGATAGAGATTTCCGGTTCGTTGAATTTGGCCGCGCTAATTGAAGAGACAAATTGATGGGTGGGATCGAGGATGATATCTGTGACAGTTGTGCGGAAGCGAATGTCGACTCCGCGGGATTCAAGGAACTGAGCGATAGGTATGATTATCGCTTCATGGCGATTGAAATTTCCGTTATCGAGTGGACGTATGTGGTCTAGTTCGTGCTCGCCGTTCTTGAACCATTGTACACATCGGCGGAACTCAGCGGCGCTGTGCCTTCGGTCAAAGCCGAAACTGCTTGTTGTAGGCATCGGTCAGCGTATCTCCAGCCGGTAGTTGTGAGGAGACATACGTAGTAGCCAGTACCAACCAATACGTGCTTTTAAAGAAGCTCGGGTGGAAGTGATCTTGAATTCGAGATCGTCCCAGACTTCCCTCCGACTTTGAAGACAGCATATACAGGCTGAGGCGGTCTTCTCAATCCCATTCCCATCCGTTTTGGGTCGATCCGTGCCAATGCATGGGACTTGCGAGAGAGGAATCGTGTGTGCGGGGTGTTGGAATGTGGTCTGGAGCGGTTGAACTCACACAGATCGTCGAACGCGGTTTTCTCTGAGTCCGATTTCGATGGCACAAGGGCTAGGAGTTTCTCCATGTAAATGCCACTTAATGCTGGCATCGCTCCAGCATGATAGTCATACCCATTGGCCGGGTCTCCCGTGCCAACGGAACCTTCGCCAGCTTTCTCCAGCGTTTCAAGAATGTGGATTCGTGAGGGTGGAATGTGAGCCTCCTGAATTAGAAGTACCGCCGATGTGAGTGAGGCGATACCGCTCCCAAGAATCCAGGCGTCCAAATCGCGCGGACATCGAGGTTCAGGTTGCTGATCTGGCGTGGTTGACGACATGGGGTGCCTGCGACTATATGGGCTGAGGATAGCATAGAGCACATTTAGAGGTACAAAGAACACACGCCGTTCAGATCACCTGAAAGTCCCACAGGTCTGCCTCTTCAAAAGTTCGAGCTGATGTAACGTAGCTATAAATGGGGTGGTCCGAGAGAGTGATGTCAGGCTTCCTTGGTTACCTTGGGTCTTGTCGGAGTCTAATGTCTTTGCGGGTTCGCGACCACCTATTTACAGGCCGATTCAAGCCACCGAAGCTCGCAGAATTATGATGTGTATGTCTCGAGCAGTGGCCAGTTTAACCGACACATATGATCCAATACACACCTTGAGTTCCCACCAACCTTGACATCTCCTAGTTGTACACGTGCACCTTAAAAGACGTGATTTTGTTCGGGTCCAAGTCGGGGTGCACAGCTAGTTCATTGTGGGTATCATGATGCGTTTGTTCAATTATACAGGAAATGGACCATCATGTTAGGAAGCTGCTCGAAAACTTCACATAATTCCGAGAAATGAAACAATTCAACTAGCAAAGCGCTCGTCATGAGACACACCAAGACGCCCTTCAGGGCTGTACGAACAAGTGAGAGCAACGAAAACCAAGCACATCACAGCACTAAATGCAAAGGGAACGATAGTGGCGAGTGATCAGGTGAATCTGCCCCTCGCGTCATTCTACTAGAGTAGGCGAGTTCAAGGTCCCATGCTGCGACATGCTCGACTCCATCCTCAACCCTGACCACGTTCAGACATTTTCAGCAAGTCACAGAGGACGTCAGGCTAAGATATTCCCTGGCACAGATCAAGAAGAAATCAGGCGATCTTCTGGTGACGGCATATGGAGCCTGCAAATCTCAATCCGCGATTTGAAACTAGGCTCTAGCCATTTGATCCAAACCAAGAATATCCCTTATTTGAAGGCCGCGAGGCAAGAAGAAAAAAAAAAAAAAAAGAAAGGAAAAACATTCCGCGGAAAAAACTATGCAACATGAAGCCACTCGTTCCTTGTCTTGCGTATCAGATCCCAACGTGGTGCAGAACGGAAACTTGAAAAAAATGAATAGATGAAAAGGAACAAGAAACACATTGCCCCTATTGGGTAGTTAAAACGCCGAGGTCTCCCATATCCAGTCGTCTAAGTCGAGCTCGTCATCTCGTTATGCGCATTGTGGCTCATCAATATGCTGACTGAGGCGGAACCATGCCTCCGTATGCCCCAGACATCTGCTGCTGCTGCTGTTGGTGCTGTTGCTGCAACTGGGCCTGTAGCTGAGGCAGATCGTGGAACCACGGGTGCTGCAGAGCATCGGCGGCACTGATGCGCATCTCCGGACGCAGTTGGAGCATGCGATTCAACAGGTCCAATCCAAGAGGGTCGATCTGTGGGAGAATCAAGCTCAAATCTTGCGTCGCGTAGACGTGGAAAGTGGGCTTATACTCCGGCAGCTGTGAAATGCCGGGCCATGATCGTTCGGAGGGCGTTCCCATTAGTCGGAAAATCTTAAGTAGCTGATCTTCATTGGTTGTGCCGGGAAAGAGGGGTCGGCCTGTGTACATCTCGGCCATGATGCAGCCGGCGGACCAGATGTCGATGCTGGTGTTGTAGGTGCGACTGCCCAAAAGAACATCGGGTGCGCGGTACCACAGAGTGACGACCTCGTTGGAGAAAGTGTTGACCGGGATACCAAACGCCCGAGCCAATCCAAAGTCACCCAACTTTAATTGACCCTTCTTGTTAATCAACAAGTTCTGCGGCTTGAGGTCACGGTGAAGAACTCGGTTTTCGTGACAGAAGGCGATACCCTTCATCAGCTGATGCATGAAGGACTTAATCGTGACTGGATCCAGTTGTCCCCGATCGCCCCGAGTGTCCATGTACCGCTTCAGATCCCGATCCATGAATTCAAACACGAGCATGAGTTTGTTCTCGGTGTGGATGACATCGTAGAGCGAGACGATGCTCTCATGTTTCAACTCCTTCATCAAGGAAATCTCACGGATGGCAGTGGATGGGGTGCCTTCTTCTGAGTCGAGGTGGATCTCCTTTAGCGCAACCATCTCACCGGTCTGGCGATTGCGCCCTTTGAAGACCTGTGCAATTTTTTTCGTTAGCGATGGCACGGGGATAATTCGCAACGGCGATGGCAGCACTGGGATGTGCCAGTGATTATCAGAGGTCTGAGGGACATACGGTAGCATAGGTACCTTCACCGAGCTGTAGAGCAAGAGCAAGTCAGTTATCGGATAGAACGTAGGGATGACAGATTGGGAGCGATACCTTTTCCAGCTGCTGGAAGGAGCTGGGCTGCTGTTTATCCATGCTTCTTCGAGGGTGGGAGGACAGTCCCGAGCGAGGTTTGGGAAAGAGAAAAGAGCCAGGCGAGACGAGGGACGGAGGGCGGGCTGCAGGATCCCTAAGACGCTCCATGCTGGTGAGGAAGGAGCCCCGCGCGCAGTGGGAGTCCGAGGGTTGGGCCAACGCTTATGGCATCCGGCGCTTGGAGAAGGTTTAGGCTTATTTTACATTCATTGTGCGCCTAAGACGGTTTTTGACCAGGGACTACTGGCTTTTAAAAGCACCTACTTGTTCTAGCAGAAGGAATTGCAATAAGCAGCAAAGCGAAAAAAAAAATGTCAGTCCGGGGGATCGAAGATCCTCACGTGATACACGTGAAGTGTAGCCAGGCCAATCGCCGATCGGTAGGGTCCATGGATCAGCGCTATTCTAACGTTCTTGTCTATTGTGATGGGGTAGACTCTAGCATCTATACTGTCGCATTGTAAGGCTTGTACATAGGTCTGGTTGTGCTTCTGAGCATAGTCAAAATAAATTCGTGTTTCGTGTATTTGCGCTGTAAAGATCAGGCATTCGTGTACCATGCGTATTTTCTAGCCCCGGTCATCGGAGACGTTAGTGGTGATTTTGGTTATCTGTTAGCACCTCATATAAGGCATCCGAGGAATTTTCGATCGTCTAAGAGTTCATCGGTAGCTTCGACATAACAGCGGGAAGAATTGACTGGGCAGGATGGCTGCACCTGACATGGAGAGTCGGATCAAAGTCCAAGTTTTGAAAGAGGTGGGACTCGTTTCTGACTCCTCCGACATTGATAATGCCGATTGGCATGCCTCGCTTGTGTGCTCGTTCGACCAAGCGCCAGGCGGAGTAGGTGGCCAGACTGCTGCCCAAGACAAGTAAGCGCCCAGCATCGTCGATCGCCTCTTCAGCCGCCGACTTGACTGTAGGATCAATGTTTTCGCCAAACATGACCACTGCAGGTTTTAAGATACCGGCGGTCGATGTTGGCATCCATGCACCATCACCTTCGACCTCTACTTGGGCCCTCGAACCATCTTTCAGGGTGGGAGGTTTTTCCAAGCAAGTCGGACAAGATGGGTATCGGAACGTCGAGTAGGGCGCTTCTGCCAGGTCGACATCACCATCTGGATTCAACTTCAAGCCTTTGCGCCGTTGCTCGTCCGGATTCTGGGTGTCGAGGGCTCCAGCCTCCACCATGCGATCCAAAAACTCAGTCCACGCCGGATTGAGCTTCCTTAATGATGACTGGAACTCATCTCGAGAGAACTGGTTGCGACAGCTGGTGCAGACCACAGATCGAAGATATCCATGTAGTTCGAGGGTGGGTAAGTCTGGATGAGCGAGAGAGTGAAACGAGTCCACGTTCTGCGTCACGACAGAGCTTATATAACCCTTAGCGCCGAGGTCTCGAATAGCCCAGTGGGTCGTGTTTGGCCGAGCTTTCACCAGGCCAGGCCATCCGACAAAGCTGCGGGCCCAATATCGCTTGCGTGATTCATGACGTGACACAAATTCATGAAAGTAGATAGGCCGGTATGATTTGTTTCGTCGATAGGTCCCTTGATCGCCCCGATAGTCAGACAGACCGGACGCGACAGAGATGCCTGCGCCCGTCAAAAGGACCGTTTGAGAGTGCCTTCCGACATCGATGCCGCGCAAACTTGGAGACGGTGACGCGGCAAAGAAGGCTCTCACAGCGTCGATGGCTCCAGCAACTGAGGTGGCTGAGGGCGGGACTATTATGGCCGGCGGTAATGGGCCCGTGAAAGGGATTCTAATTGCAGGCGTCGTCATTGAAGACGCATCATCGACGGGTGGAGTTCTTGGCGGGTAGAAAAAGCGGCGGAAGCCCCGGACTCGACAGAGATGTCCTACGGGCGCGGCTTGGCAAATTACGGCATTTGACCCTCTGGGGGTTAAGCTGTGCAGGGTTTCATTCCTCAGCCGGGTACATTTTCCATTATTTCCAATAGGGAGCTTGGTGATAGTAATCATATAACGATTGTGGTGAGGAGGACCGGACATCAGCGCATCTGGGATCTCCATCAGCCGGATTACATGATCGGATCGAATGACATCCATTTCTCCTCATCGTATTCTCCTCAATATTCTGTGTTGTTTTGGAACCATGCAAAGTCCGAAGTGAACACCCTGTCCACTCAGCCCTTTTGCCGGTGCTCGCGTGCCTCGAATTAAGACCAGGGCCGTGATGCCGCTGACGCAGCCCCTGCGGTGCAGGCTTCGTCCCTCCCTCCACTCTCTCCTCAGGGTCTCTAATTTCCGTGGATCTGCTCAGCGGCGCATCCTCACCTACCACCCCTCAATAAAACCCTCTCCTTCCCTTCATGCCCGTACCCGTCCCATTCGCTCTTTAACACTCGCTATGACGCAAACAAGAAGCCATGGAGGCCACGGTCACGGTCACGGTCACGGCCACCACCATCACCACGACAATGTGTACCTGACCTCCACCAACAAACGTGACGCCGGCGTTCGGATTACTCGAATTGGCCTATTTGCCAACCTGTGCATGGCTATTGGCAAGTTCATTGGGGGCTACGTCTTCCATTCACAGGCCCTGATTGCCGACGCCTACCACGCGCTTACCGACCTCGTCTCCGATTTCTTGACACTCGGCACTGTCGCATGGTCCATTAAGCCTCCGAGCGAACGGTTCCCCAACGGATACGGAAAAGTAGAGAGCATTGGTGCTCTCGGTGTGAGCGGGCTTCTGCTCTGCGGTGGAGTGTTTATGGGTCTCAATGCTGGACAGGTTCTGCTGGCTCAATTCTACCCCGACGCGGCTGAAACACTCGCGCACTCTGGGATTTCGGGACACGGTCATTCGCACAGCCATGGACTGGACATTACAGGGCCAAACATCCACGCGGCCTGGTTGGCAGCTGGCTCCATTGTGATCAAGGAATGGCTCTACCATGCCAGTAAGTGTTCCATTATAGGGGGCTTGGCAACTACATACTAATTGATTTACAGCGATGAAAGTTGCTGAGGAGCGCAAGTCGTCCGTCCTAGCTTCAAACGCCGTCCACCACCGGATCGACTCTCTGACAAGCATTGTGGCTCTATTTACGATTGGTGGAAGTTATGTATTCCAAGACGCCACCTGGCTAGATCCGGTCGGCGGCCTCTTGATCTCCCTGATGGTGATCAAGGCTGGCTGGGGAAACACTATCACCTCCCTTTTGGAGCTTGCCGACGCCACTGTGGACGAGGAAATCCGGACCAACGTAGAGAAAGCCGCCGCCAAAGCCTTGAAATCTCTCGAGAACGGCGGACAGGTGGCCATTCGCGATGTCCAGGGATTGAAGTCCGGACAAAATTATTTGATGGAAATTGAGCTGGCCGTGCCTGGGTCCTGGTCGGTTATGCAGTCTCGGGCCGTTGAAGAGGCTGTCCGCAGGACTGTCGGCGATGGGGTTCGCGGTGTGAAGCGTCTCAGGATCCGATTCGTCCCAGTAGAGTTGAAGGAGCTTAACTTCTCCGAAGAGTTCATCTCCCATGACACCGACGCGAGCCCCGAGCCCCATGGTCACGAAGTTAACGATCTCGCTTCTGGATCCCACACTCACGAGGAGCTTGACTCTCGAAAGAGGCGGTAGATTTTGAAGGAATCTGGATTGCGCATAAAATGAGTGGCATTATTGGTGCTGCTATGATACCCCACAATGGCATCTTCCGAGAGATCTGTACGTGTATAGACCGTTTTGAAAGTAAGAATCGATACAAGACAGCAACACAACTTTCACTATACTTTTACTTCGATCGTATCGAATGCATACGTTCTTTTTACAATGCGCCATTATGCCGTTTTGTTGGCCGAGAATTATTCTTCTTAGGCACATCCAAGCGTTTGATAGAATACGTTGCCGTCATTGGGGGTTAGCCGTCCTCAGCAAGTTTCGCCCTTAGATGACAGCTTCGGATCGACGTTATTTATCCATGCCAAAACAAAGCCGCATGTGTTTCGAGTGATATATTTAGAGACACAATGCCCCAACCTTGGAACCTTGAACGGCGCACACTTGATCACCGCACCTCACATGAGCGACACGATGGAATCTGTCTCCAGACTTATTTTAGCCCTCGGGATACCGAGAGCAGATCGGACCTGAAGCAGAGTCGCAAAGGTACAAGTGAGGAGAAAAATTGGCGGTTAAAGTATTTGAATTGATGTGCCTGACAAGGTAGACATCCCGAGCAGTTGGCAAATGTCCCCGCGATCCTGTGGGGCAATGAATTCTACCGAGCGTCAGGGCTATTTAGCAGAGGCTCGATTTAGCCGGACACTCTTCTAGATGCATTCGCAGGAGTCACTCATGCATTGCAAGATTCTAGTGATTCTGACCGTACCTTTCATACTAAGTCAAACTTCCTCGAGTATCAAATACAAAGGCAATGGTCGAGTAGAATAATCCTGTTCGCAGGTGCTTACACATAGGTGGGGAAGATCCGCTTTTACATCATTGCGGGCTCGTCTACTCCGGCTCGAGGTTCATCGCGCTGTTTCCCTGTACAATCTGTTTGGCCGTACAGGTTAAATTCGCAACCCCCACCTCCATAAGTCATTCCTAAGTATCGATCTGATTCTTCTACGATTGCAATTGTGTGACTACGGCGCTCTCAATCACGCTCAATTACTATGGCGTCGCAGTCTCCACTCTACATCGGATTCGACCTGTCAACCCAGCAGCTGAAGGGGCTGGTTGTCAACTCGGACTTGAAGGTCGTCTACATCGCCAAATTTGACTTTGATGCCGATTCGACCGGGTTCCCTATCAAGAAGGGCGTTCTGACCAACGAGGCCGAGCATGAAGTGTACGCTCCGGTCGCGCTGTGGCTGCAGGCTCTGGATACCGTGTTGAACAGCTTGCGTCAGCAGGGTCTGGATTTCAGCCGTGTCAAGGGTATCAGTGGTGCGGGACAGCAGCACGGAAGTGTCTACTGGGGCGAAGAAGCGGAAGATCTGCTGCAGAACCTCGACTCGGCCAAGTCGCTCGAAGAGCAGCTGGAGAAAGCGTTTTCCTACCCTTACAGTCCCAATTGGCAGGACGCGAGCACTCAGAAGGAATGTGACGAATTTGACGAGGTTCTCGGCGGCCAGGAAGAGCTGGCTCAAGCCACAGGAAGCAAGGCACACCACGTAAGAAGCTCTCGAATGTTTTGCTATTGTCGATGACGCTAACCCCGCGATCAGAGATTCACAGGTCCCCAAATCCTCCGATTCCAAAGAAAGTACCCAGAGGTGTATCAGAAGACAGCCAGGATCTCCCTTGTGTCCTCGTTCATCGCCTCACTGTTCTTGGGCCATGTTGCACCCTTTGATATCTCGGACGTGTGCGGTATGAACCTATGGAACATTAAGAAGGGAGCCTACGATGTCGAGGCACTCAAGCTTTGCGCCGGCAATTTCAGCGTCGAGGACTTGAAGAAGAAGCTAGGAGATGTGCCTGAAGATGGCGGACTACACCTGGGTTCAGTCCACCCTTACTACAAGAAGCGTTACGGCTTCAGCTCGGACTGCACAGTAATTCCGGCTACTGGTGACAACCCGGCGACCATCCTCGCATTGCCACTGCTGCCATCTGATGCTATGGTGTCTCTGGGCACCTCCACGACCTTCCTCATGTCCACACCTAGCTACAAACCCGACCCCGCGACCCACTTCTTCAACCACCCGACCACTGCCGGCCTTTATATGTTCATGCTTTGCTATAAAAATGGCGGCTTGGCCCGTGAGCACGTCCGAGATGCGATCAACGAGAATCTCAAGAATACACCTGCACAGCCCTGGGCCAACTTTGATAAGATAGCTCTGCAGACTCCCCCGATGGGCCAACAGAATGCCACAGACCCCATGAAGCTGGGTCTATTCTTCCCGCGACCGGAGATCGTGCCGAACCTCCGCTCGGGACAGTGGCGTTTCACCTATGACCCAACCACTGGAGAGCTGAAAGAGACTACAGAGGGCTGGGCCACACCACACGATGAAGCTCGTGCGATCATCGAGAGCCAGATGCTTTCCCTGCGCCTCCGCTCACGCGGCCTAACGCAGAGCCCTGGAAACGGGCTTCCTGCCCAACCTCGACGAGTCTACCTTGTGGGAGGTGGATCCAAAAATGAAGCGATCGCCAAGGTGGCTGGAGAAATCCTCGGCGGTGTTGAAGGTGTTTACAAGCTCGACATTGGTGACAATGCCTGTGCTCTTGGAGCTGCATACAAAGCAGTGTGGGGAATGGAGCGAAAAGCTGGACAGACATTTGAGGACCTGATCGGGCAGCGATGGCACGAAGAAGACTTCATTGAGAAGATTGCGGATGGCTACCAAAAAGGTGTCTTTGAGCAATACGGCAAGGCAGTGGAAGGCTTTGAGAAGATGGAACAGTATGTCTTGCAGCAAGAGGGCAAGTAACACGTAGATATCCATAGAGTTGAAGCCTATAGTACAATCAAGCATCGATGTAGGGACCTTGGAACTTTGTAACTTGTTAGACGTCACTGAATCACGCAGCCCCTTGCCCTATTCGGCCACGATCCATGTAAATTCTCTATCCCGTCCCGTAGCGTTTCTTCCAATTTCATCATTCTCTAGATCCCTTTCCAAACATTCATTCGACAGTAAGAACGTGGTCAAGCGAAGGCGGAGCCAGGCACGGAAATCGGATTACGATACCATGGATGTTGTGCTCCTCCACTGAAAACAATTTTGAACCCAACACACATTCCCCTCGTTCCCCGTTCCTCTCCCCTTCAACAATCTGAGGGAGTTCCGGCTGGTCGAAGATGGAAGAACAGGTAAGCCTCTCTTCTGACTTCAGGTGGAAAGGAAAAAAATTAAATCTCCTCCCCCACTGCCACCGAGTCAGCCCCTCCGAGGGGTCCCTTTGATCATGCATTGACGCAACCCTCCACCCACAGGTAGCAAATGCCATTGAGATCGCCTGGAATCCGTCATCCGACCAAGCCCTGAAGTCGCAAGCTTTCGACTACCTTAATCAGCTTCGCTCCGATCCCTCCGGATGGCAGGTATGCCTAGCCCTCTTCACCAAAACCCCACAACAACCTGAGGTCGTACGGCATGTGAGCTTGGAGATCGTCAACAGCGCCGCCCAGGCTGGTCTTATCGATTTGGCATCGTTGGGTGTTGTGCGGGATGGATTGATGGGCTACCTCCGCCAGGTATACGGGCCCGACGGTATCGCTACGCCCGATGCGACCTACATTCAGAACAAAATTGCGCAGACAATCACCTTCCTCTTTTCTGCTCTTTACGCAAACGGTTGGGAGTCTTGTATCGATGAGCTCCTGAGTCTGACTTACAAGTCCGCCGCCAGCACGACCCGGGATAACGCACTTGGAATTGTGTTTTACTTGCGTGTGGTGAACTCGATTCACGAGGAGATCGGTGATGTATTGGTGTCTCGATCGCGCGGAGAGCAGGATAAGGCAAACTCATTGAAGGATTTGATTCGGGCACGGGATATGCAGAAAATTGCTAGCTCCTGGCAAGAGATTCTGTCTCAATGGCGGGATGGTGACGATACGGTTGTAGAGATGTGCTTGAAAGCAGTCGGCAGCTGGGTCAGCTGGATCGATATCGGTCTTGTTGTGAACCAGACCATGCTCGATCTGCTCTTCCAGCAACTCGGACGGGCCGAGAAGCAGGAACTACGTGAGGGAGAACAGCGGGTGCGCGATGCGGCTGTTGATGTCTTCACAGAGATCATCGGCAAGAAGATGCGCCCCGCCGAAAAGATTGAGATGATTGTTTTCTTGAACCTTGACTCGATCATTACGCAGCTCTCGAACAGCCCTCCCCTCCGCGAGAACCGATTCACCTTCAAGTACGATACCGATTTGGCGGAGACTGTCGCCAAGCTTGTGAATATCACTGTGATGGACATTGTGCGGGTGCTAGAAACCGACAACAGCCCGGTGAAGGAGAAAGCGGATGATCTCCTGCAGGTTTTCCTACCACATATGCTGCGATTCTTTTCGGATGAGTACGACGAAGTCTGCTCTACCGTGATTCCCGGTGTCAACGACATGCTCACCTACCTCCGCAAGCTTTCTAAGACGAACCCCGCATACCAAGAGCGGAACAAGACTTTCCTCCTCCCTATCCTGAAGGCCATTATTGCCAAGATGCGCTACGACGAGACCTCAAACTGGGGCGATGAGGACGAGCAGACAGACGAGGCCGAGTTCCAAGAGCTGCGGAAGAGGCTAGGTGTGCTCCAGCAGACAATTGCTTCAGCGGACGAGCAGCTTTATATCGATGCCATTTCAGAAGTCGTTGGTACAACCTTCGAGAACCTGCGTGCTTCCGGCGGTCAAATCGATTGGCGTGATTTGGATCTGGCTCTGCACGAGATGTTCCTGTTTGGCGATCTTGCCGTCAAGGGCGGCGGCCTTTACCAGAAGAACCAGCCCACTGGCCCACCTGCAGTTCGACTTATTGAGATGATGCTCCGCATGGTTGAGTCTGACATCCGCTCCTTCACCCATCCGGCAACACAGCTCCAGTTCATGGAAATCTGTGTCCGGTATAGCTCCTTCTTCCAGCACCATCAACACCTTATTCCCGGTGTCCTGGAGAGTTTCCTTCAGCTTGTTCACCACCCCATTCGTAGGGTGAAGACCCGTTCGTGGTATCTTTTCCAGCGTCTCGTGAAGCAGCTGCGCGCTTTGATTGGCAATGTTGCCCAGACTGTTGTTGAGGCTCTGAGTGACTTGCTTGTCATCCAAGCTGAGTTGCCCTCCGAGGGCGAAGACGGTGATGAGATGTCGTCTGAGGACCACGAGGGGTCTGCTGATGCTGTTTTCAACAGCCAACTGTATCTCTTCGAGGCTGTCGGCATCATTTGCTCGACCAACGGTGTGCCTGCTGACAAGCAGGTTCTCTACGCCCAGTCAGTGTTGAACCCTATCTTCTCTGATATGGAGCGGAATCTGGCGGCGGCTAAAGCCAATGATGAGCGGGCACTGCTCCAGATTCATCACGATATTATGGCGCTAGGCACTCTTGCCCGTGGCTTCTCCGACTGGATGCCCGGTACTAGCACCCCGGCTGCTCTACCGGCACCTGAAGTTTCTGAAGCTTTCTGTCAGGTGGCCGAGGCCACTCTGGTTGCCCTCGAGTCCCTCAAGGCATCCTTCAACATTCGAACTGCGGCTCGCTTCGCTTTCTCCCGACTAATTGGTGTTCTCGGTGCTCGCATCCTGCCCCAACTCCCCCGATGGATCGATGGCCTTTTGACCCAGACCTCTTCGCGTGATGAGATGGCACTGTTCCTGCGCCTTCTGGATCAAGTGATCTTTGGATTCAAGGGTGAAATCTATAGCATTCTTGATACGCTCCTGACTCCGTTTTTGCAGCGCGTTTTCTCAGGCATTGCGGATCCCACGACTGGAACCGACGACGAGATCCAGCTTGCAGAGCTCAAGCGTGAGTATCTTAACTTTTTGCTGGCCGTCTTGAACAATGACCTGGGTGCGGTCATTATCAGCGAGAGAAACCAACCCATCTTCGAAACCGTCATCACCACCATCGAACACTTTGCCAAGGACATTGAAGACTTCACAACCGCCAAGATGGCTTTCTCAGTTCTGTCCAAGATGGGCAGCTCCTGGGGAGGACCCGATATCGCCCCTGCGAATGGAGCCACGACTAGCCAGACCCAGCTGCCCGGCTTTGGCGGATTCATGATCTCCCGATTCTCGCCCTTGTGCTGGGCACTTCCTACTACCCCATCCTTCAACTCCAAAGATGCGCAGGCCAAGCAGGTTCTTGCCGAGGCAGGTGGAATGCAGCGCATCATATACAGCAAGACAGGCATGGAATACGCAGATTACCTGCGCAATCAAGAGCTTCCCGGCATGGGCATGGGCGCCGAGCTGATTGAAGAATTCTTGACGGCTTTGAGCCAGCTGGATGTGAAGGGATTCCGGCAATTCTTCCCGGTAAGCTTCTATCATCTATTCATTCCTCGCGGGCCCTGAACTAACCTTCTTGCAGTCATTTATCCAGCGATTAAGCGCATGAAAAACTCCGATGACCTTTCCTATTTCCTTCTGCTTTTTAGATTCCCCCATGCCACATTTCCTATTTCCGAGAACATGAAGTCCTCGCCGACCTGTGATATGATTTTTCTGTCGGTGACTCATGCCATCTATCATCATGGATACCATCTCTGCCACACGTTTTAATCCCCAAAAGAACACACCCACTCTCAGAACATCACGAATTGGATAAACGCCACAGGAAAAAGGGAAGTGGAAAAAAGTGGTTCCCCAAAACTCAAGTACATAGCGTTGATCACTCCCCGGTGCATTCGCATCGCATCTGGGCCTTTGTATCCCCGATATAAGCCCCCTTCACAATGGCTTTTTCTCTTAGGTAGATCATGAATGAAACTACTCTACAGAGCTCGTCTTTCTTAAATCTTGAACAGGAAGTAAAATTCACTCAGGTGTAAGACATGACTTCATTCCTAGTTAGGTGATTCCCCCTCCGTATATTTCATTTTAATCAGTTTATTGGTTTGTCAAATGACAGATCTCACCGGACCCTGGTGCTCACTTGAGCGAATTGCCATCAGAATCTCTTGAATTGGTTCATTGGGCTGTGTCCTATCCCGTCTATGCAAGGGACTCCCCCCAAAAATAAGACAAGGATATGAGAAAGGAGATCACACACTATTTTCCAAATGCCTTAGCCGCGTGCGCAACGTGGTCATCGGCAAACGAAGCCATGAAGTAGTATGAGTGATCGTAGTCTGGCTGGTAGTTGACCTTGACGTTGGCGAATCCCTTTTCGCTAGCAACGGCTTGCAGGTTCTCGGGAAGGAGTTGGCCCTGCTTGTAGAAGTTGTCGCCGGTACCCTGGAGAATCATTAGAATTGTTTCAGTCGAATAAGGCGGATGGTACATACGACGTCGATCAGAATGTCAAGATCCTTGTCAGTCCACTTCTTAAGGAGCTCAGTGGCGTCGTGCTCCTTCCACTTTTCCTGGTCTTCACCGAAGTAGCCTTTGAAGGCCTTCTGGCCCCACGGGCAGTTGATAGGGTTGCAGATTGGGGCAAAGGCTGAGACCGACAGATACTTTCCGGGGTTTTGGAGGAACTGGTTGAATCGGTTAGAGACCTTTTTTTTGTGTAGCAGAGGGTTGAGAAGACGAACCAGAGTAAGAGCGCCGTGTCCACCCATGCTGTGGCCAGTGATGCTAACTTTGCTGGAGTCGAGCTGGGGAAAAGCAGCAAAGACGGTCTTGGGTAGCTCTTCGGTGATGTAGCTGTACATGTTATAGCCGTTGTTGTAGGGGGGCTTGGTGGCGTCGACGTAGAAGCCGGCGCCGGTGCCAAAGTCATAAGAGTCGTCCTCGCCTTCAATGTTCAGACCACCTGTATATTATCATATTAACGTTAGACCGAGTTCTTTTCGATCTAATTCTTCTTTGATATGACTGTGAAAGACATTTGTGACAAGACGATGACGTACGAGGGCTAGTATCAGGATAAAGCACAGCAATGCCCTTCTTGCTAGCAGCGTGCTGGAAGAAGCCCTTCTCAGAGCAATTATCGGCAGTGCAAGTTAAACCAGATAGGTAGATGAGCACGGGGACCTTCTGAGAGTCCGCCTTCGGGGGCAGGTAGAGGTTGAAGCCCATCTCGCAGCGGGTGGTGGTGGCATTGTGGCTCAGCTTCAGCAGTTTACCGCCAAAGGAGGCGATAGTAGCCTTGGTGGTGACGGACATGACGAGTAGATATTATAGAACGGGTCGAGTTGAGGGCGCGAATGCGAGGAAGAAGAATATAAATAGGAGTTGACGTTTTTGCGCGGGGTATTCGTCCGGCATGAGGGGAAGCTCCACTGTGTTCTGCTTGCCTTTTTCGGTCGCCTGAATTGCCGCTTTTGGGGGTTGACCTGCTATTGTATCTGGATTGATGGGTACCTTAAGAGTCTCAGTCATTATTCAATCAAGAGCTTCAATAAGAAGAAAAGGGCTATTCGTTGACAGAATTCTGCGAAGAACGAACGATGTAAGCAGTTCGTGAATTTGCCAACGAAGAGTCTACTTTCAAGTCTAGTACAAGTCAGGTAACTATCTGAAGCCCTGAGTTTTTAATTAGACCTAGTATGGATTACCCATCGATAGCAGACAAGGCTATTAGCCACCATATTTATCATATAGGAAGACATGAGACTCGATGGCGTTGACGCATAAGGGTGTAAAAGCAGCGATAGGTGCCATACCTACGAATTAGGAAAGGCAACCCGGCGGAGGATGGAAGTACCAAGAAACGAATCCGAGTGATGCCCACAGTGGAGAAGCACAAGGAAAGAACATATATTACAGATAACAGACCATAAACCCAAAGCTAAGTGATATCATCTCATCATCTCATCATCCAATCAATCCAAAAACACCGGAACACCATAAATGACAGGCGCAGCCCCATTCAAATACTTCAGCACGCACTTTTCCCTTGCACCTGCGATGGCAGTGTCCAAACCAACATCAAGCGAACGAGACTTCCCTTTCTTCCCAAGCAAACCCCACGTATCAAAGGTGGATGTACAGAATCGATCGATGTCCTTATCAGTGACATCCCACAAAGTAGCAACAAGTGCGGGACTGCCAGCGTGAAGGTAGTTCATAGGCGTACCGTATGGTTCGTACTCGCCTGCTTCGGTCAAGGTACCGCTACTGCAGCCCATGAGGAACGCGACCGCACACTTGTTCATGCGCTTGATGGTGCGACCGCGGATGTACTGAGCGCCGCTGCCATGACCGAAGTACAGGAACAAATCTTTTGTTTCGAGGGATGTGCGGAACTCGTCTTCTGTGGGCTCGCGTTTGATGATACCAGTCCAAGATTTCTGCGCCGAAAGGTTCCCTTCGAACGTCGCTTGTGTGGTGCGTAGATCCCCGGTTGGGTTGAGGATAAATGAGCCCAAGGTACGATCTAGGACTGCACCAGAGCGGTGTCCCGGAATTCGAGAACTCTGTCGCGAAGACATTCCAGAGAAGGGACGCGACAGACTGGGAATCCGTGGAGGCAGGGTAGAGATTCCCAGGGGAACAAGTGAAGGGCCTTGTCTAGAACCAAGACGGTATGGCTGGGTGGTCGAGATGCAAGCTCATCTCGCGCAGCTTCGTGATAGCATCGCAAGGCATCGAGGGTGTCGACGACCATCATGTCAAAATCGATCTCGTCGTAAGCATTGCGCTCACCTTGGAACTGGAGGATGTCGACCACGAAGTAAAGAAGATCCATTAGCGTATCCTCAGGCTCCTCCTGCTGTTCGAGATCTCGCAACCCAATGAACAGCTCCACAACATTCTGATGAAGCGTAAGACGAGGCGATGAGGCCTTTCCGCCCTTCTGTCGAGAGGGAAGATGCTTGTCAAGAATACCCTGAAAGGCACTCGAAAACCTTGCCAAGGCAGAGCTATCCCGCGAAAGCGGCGAGAAAACACCTCTAAAGCCTCCAAACCAGACATTTTCAATATTCTGCAGGAGACTTTCCATTTGCTGATCAAGGGCCTCGCGATTCTTCCACCACTCCTTCCTCGACTGTTTGTCTGTCTGGGATTTAGCAGCATGCGCGCTCTGGTTTGCCAGCTTGATAAGCTCTTGCATTTCACCCTTTCCGTCCTCAAAGGTAAATTGCTCCTCCTCATCATCGTCAGAAGTGCCCCTCCGAAGTGGAAGTCGTAGAAGAAACGGCGATCGATTCTTTTGAAGCCGAGAGACTACAAACTCAGTCTGATCCGCACTCAGAGATAATGAAAGAACATTCCAATTTTCAGGCAGGATATCGACGTAGTTCTCAGTGAAGTTCGAGCAGATCTCTTCGGTCATCTCCATTGTCGTAGGCGACTCGGTTGGCCAAAGAAGCGGGTCAGAGAAGTCAGCTAGTTGTCGGTCGAAATCAATAGCCATGCGTTCGCGAGCGAATGCACCAACACGGCCAATTTCTGACGAGGAGAATGTTAAAAGAGTTAATTGTATTAAAGGATTGGATACTCACCATTCATATTCGCTGGAGACTGCGACCAGGTTGCGGGACCTCCTGGAGAAGTCGCGTGGGAAAGCATAGAGATCCGACTCATTAAACGGGACGCAGCATGACTTTCAAGAGTTGAGCCAAGAATAGTGGCGTCTGCAAAGACGCTGGTGAGACGCTCATTCGCTTTTGCAAGCATGATTGAGAAATCCTCGCTGGCCTTTTGAACCTTCGCGCGGGGTCCTCGGGTCGTGGCCTTGGTCTTTCTCGTTGGCTTCACGACAGGTGTGCTCGTGTCTTCTCCTCCCGCGGCAGGTGACATGAGGGAGGGCAGCGAGATGGTAGATTCTGGGAGCACGCAGTACACCGCATGGCTGGCAAAATTACGAATAGCATCAGCCAGGAGGTGTCCACTCTCTCCGATGTCTAGGGAGACCTTGCTTTCACGGCCAGTTGCGTATTTTCGAGCTTCCGCGAGAGTTTGTGCAGATCGATCGAAATCACGAAGCGACCGCAAGCAATCTGCTTGTTGTCGAAGAATGTCGCCTTTCAAACGCAGAAGAGACTTGGATTGAACTTCAGGTAACGGGACCTTAGGCGTTGTAGTCTTTTTGGAGGTAATGACGGTAGTGACAATGGCAGCTGCAGAGCTCCTGGCGCGAGTGCGTCGAACAGTAGTGGTCGCTGATGATGCCGAGGTCGTGCGCCGAGTGCTTCTCACTCGCAGATTCTCCATTCCCTCTTCAAGAGCAGCAATTTCTGGCGTTGCTGTACTGCTGATCGCGTCCGATGAGGTCAAAGCCGTCATGACTTTGTCCGCCTCCTGCAGCAAGCTCAATGCCTTCTCATGCTCGCCTTGGACCTTGTACAGGGAAGCGAGGGCCATATGAAGAGAAACCACCTCAACGCTTGTCTGAATCTGCTTGGACGATTCCGAAGCCGATGCGAGGAGTCCCTGTCCTTCATCCGTGTGGCCGCCGAGAATCCAATAAGAGCCAAGCTGAGTCTGAGCAGCGACGAGACGAACATTGGCATCAAGTGTCTTGTCAATCTTCAAAGCCTGTTCTCCGTAGTAGATAGCATCCTGAAAAAGACCATGATGGGCAGATAATGTTGCGAGGTTCAACAAGCAGGTATGATGGGAGCCGAGGTGTGGCCAAAACGGCGCGCCTTGAGTGTAGCTGGTGAAAACATCTGGCGAAGATCCATTTTGAGATAAATCGAGCTTGGCCACGCTATCGGCCACAGCGTCGACGTCGGAGCTATGAATTGCAGGCAAAGACTTCTCCTGCTTCTTCTGTGCTAACTTCTCGACCTTGGCCCAGATGCGGCAGTTGAGTCGAACAGATAATTTAGCAAAGAACAGAGCCTGAGTCATTGATCCCTGTGCTGTGGATAGCCGGGACTGGGCAAAAGCGGCGTCGGCAACAAGCCTCTCCCATGAGAGCTTGGACAAGATAGACAACTTCGTCAGCTCATCCGACTTCTGGCATTTCTCAAAGAGAGCTCTGGCGGCCATCAGAAGAGAGGTAGCTTTCTCAACCTGTCCTGTCTCGAGAAGATATTCCACCCGTGCAAGCTTGTAAGATATTGTGGCTAAGGAAGACACGTTTTTCTGCGCAAGATATTGTTCACCACGCGACAGAAGATGACCCGCCTTCTGACAATGTCCATGTCGGCAGTTTTGCAAGACCGACCGTGAAAGGATGATGATCGCATCTGAGATATCTCCGGATCCCTGAAGTTCAGCGGCCCTTAAGATCAACTCTAGGGTAGCAAGCTGAGCCTTCCATAGCCCGTGGATCTCAGTGTAGTCGACCAACGCTTTGAGTTGGAGAACCCAGTAATCCGTATCATGGACGTGTTTAAGCAATGTCTTCCAGTCAGAGCACTGGCGAGTCATCGAGGTCCACGAAGCAAGCGTTCCATCTAGATCGTTTGCATCCAACTTGCCTAGGTGGAAACCAATGATAACGCGTAATGAGTTTGTGATATGGGTCGCGAATGAAGACAGATCTCCGTCTTCTCCGAAGCCATTTTCGCACTTCAGCGCCTGTGATCCTTCTTTCAGGAGTCTTTCTGTCAGGGCAGAGTCGAGAGCAGTCGGATGCTCCAGCAAGAACCGGAGTGAAGCAAGGGTCACGCGACCATGACGAATTGGATGAAAATCCAAAGAGAACATATCGAGAAGGGTAGTCACAACTGGACTGAGAATTGCACGGAAGTCGTCTTCATTAGAAGATTGTCCATGCATATCAAACAGCAGGTACATTTGCCACTCAATAAGCATTGCCTGTTGTTCAATATTCAGCTCAGCATCTTCATAGATTGACTGTGACTTGGATCCTTTTCTGCGCAGCTTGATCTTCAAAAGACTAGAGAGTACTCGATTGAGCATGAAACCGGGACTTTGAGGGTCCTGACTGACCGCACCGGGTCGAGCTGCCAAGTTGCTTTCGGCGATTTGTTCCAATGTTCCAGAATCGATGTACTCCGCAATTGATTGTCGGAAAGCGTTCTCCGAGTCGCCGTATAGACTGCCGTCTAAGTAGAGGTGCGCGATTCTCTCATACTTGAGAGCGGCAAAGGCCGTGGTCCGGAGGGATGGTGAGCAGCCAGAAATCATCTGGGTAGATTGCTTGAGAAGAGGAATAAGTTCACGATACGTTTGTCCAGCCTCCTTCTCCTTGATATAGCGAGACCAGAAAACATTGGAGAGTTTGACAAGAGCCATGCCAATGCTCTCACTCAGCGCTTGATGAGGGCCAGTTTCATTGCTGTTCTCGAGGCTGACGAGAAGGCGATGGCAATCGGCCAGAATAGGAATCATGTCATCCCAAGGTGGTCTTCCTGATGTGATCGACAATTTTCCAACAGCAACAGCAGAATCAACCGCAGCAAATATAATGCTTTTGGACATAGAGACTCTCAATTGGAACATTTCGATCTCTTTCACATCACTGTCCTCTGTCGGTAGTCGTCCAATGTAACGCCTGAGGAACCGAAGGAAAGCTTGGAGGATTTCCCCGGATTTGACAGGCGATTTCGTTTTTCTTGCTGTCGCTATCACTACTCTTCATCATTGCATCACCGAACCAAGCAAGTGCAAGTTTCTTGAGCCTAGCAGCTTCAACGAGAAGCTCGTCAAGATCCGATGAATTTCCTCTGAGATGCAAGCCCAGGGCTTCGGACGCTTCTGATGTAGACTGAAGCGCTCCGTCCAAGAAATTCTTTGAGCTTTTCAATGCTTGAAAGTAGACTGAAGCGCTCTTACACTGAACGGTAGCCAATGAAAGACTCTGGGCGCTGGTAAATGGGGCGATAGTCTGGCCGAACAGCTTCAAGGATTCCTCGAAACACCCCGCGTCCAAAGCAAGTTGGCCAAGAATGGTCATTATCCTAGCCGCTGAAGTCGTATCCTTGGCATCCCGAGGCCTCTTCAAGATCTCCGATATTGATGACTGAACGCGAGTGATTGTTTTGTAGATCATAGCGAATTCGGTCTTCTCCATCGCTTTACTGCGATGAGAGAAGCTTCCGAGGTATCGGAGAAGCGGTTCAAGCACTTCTTTGCTTTCGTCACAAACGTGTCCGGAGATCTTCCATCCCAGAGACCGAATCTCTAAGGACAATAGTTGCAGAGTCAAATTCGTGATCGGCTTCAAATTTGTTGGCGAGTCGTCGTTCGAGCTTGATCTTCCGGAGCATAGAGATAAAACAGTATTAGAATGCAATTGGAGTTGAAGAGCGGCTTTATCGGCAGGTAAGCTGCCTGATTTGAACGCCGCATTGATGACCTGAGCAGGGCTGCTGGGATCAGACAACTGCAGCAATGGACACAATTTCTGAAGAGTCGAGGCTTTTCGATCAGAGGCAAGAAGACGCATCGCGTTTGAGTGAAATGTTACAAGGAGGCCGTAGATGGACTGTGCGTTTGCGATATTCGCGAACGTGACAAGATCGGACATTCGTTCTCTCCCTGTCTCTTCGTCTAGTGTCGCATTCAGATCCATAGCTTTCTTTCCCGTCTTCTGGATACCCAGATGCTGTTGTATTCTTCGCTTGAGAGATCGTAATTCTTTGCAGGCCATGTCATTTAATCCCAAGGAAATCAACTTCCCCACCAATACGCATACTCCTTGCTCAAGCTGCATATTGGGGAATTCCCCATTTGAGTTGTCGACTTTGAGAGCTCGTAATGTTGCCAGGGCCAGTCTCGCACACTCGGCAGCTGCGTAGACGCCCGCGTCGACGCCAGCAACGCCCGACCTTCCTGACTTTGTCGAGATATTGTCTGAGACCTGCGTCTGTCGCTTTGCTACAGGAACCTTCAACGCGTCTGTGAGGGTCTTAAGCGTGGTATTGAACACCTCCGTGGAGAGGACGAGCTTCTCTTGGGGCGTTAATGTAGAGCCATCCTGATCGACAATTGGGTGCAGCGTGTCGGTCACGGGCTTCGCTTTGGTCCTGGAAGCTTTCGCACGACTCGAAGCGGTAGTTGCTTCCTTCGAGGATTTTGTTGTTCTCCGCGAGGGCTTTTCGGAGGTTTTCGAGGTTGCGCGTAGGAGGGTTTGGAGGGACAACACGGTGGCATCGGAGCATGTTGTTGTTGATCGGACTGCCAGCTTGACGGATTCAGTCATAGAGCTGGCAGGTAGGACGGTAACCGCCATGTCGAGGAGGAAAACCGTTCAGGAGGACCTGCAGTTACTGATAAGGACGGATTGAAGCTGTGCGACTGATATCACCAGAGCCGTGGGACTCAAACGGACCTTGTTGTCGTAGCAACAATGCACGCTACGCCCGAGCGGGCGTTGTTGCCTTGAAGCCTAAGGCCGACACTACTCGCTTTTGCCGCCGCCGAGATCTTTTGCGACTGCAAGAGCAACCACATTACACGCAGCAATGGCGACAGCACTCAGACTGAGGCCTAACGGGCTGAACCGGTGGCTAGCATTGGCGCCTATGACATCCACAATTTCCGGCCAGTGTCGTGCCGCAGCTATGCGCACTTACTCGACCTCCGACCGTCTTCCGAAGATCGCGGACGCCTCAGTATGGACGGCCATGATCCCCGCATTCATGCGACGGAAGCGATCGCGCACGGCGGACGAAAAGAAAAAGTGGAATCCGGCCACTTTCTACATCGTCATGTTCACACTCATCGGCTCGCAAGCCATCCGTATGCTCACCTTGAAGAACGACTATACTGCGTACCGTCGGACTGTGGATGCCAAGATTGAGCTCCTGAAGGAGGTCATCAGGCGTGTCCAGAACGGGGAAGATGTGGACGTGGAGAAGTTATTGGGTACTGGAGACGAGGCGAAGGAGAGAGAATGGGAAGAAGGTATGCTACAATTGCGGACTAGATACTTGGCTGGAATCTAACTATTTCTTCGTTCAAGTCTTGCAAGAGATTCAACGAGAAGACAACCTTTGGCATGAGAAACACAAATCTGCACAACAACCGGAAAACAACACACCGAAGAGCGAGGACAAGGCACCTCAAAAGTTAAAAGGAAAAGAAACGGCACCCACAGTGAATGCGGATGAAGAGGCCACGCAGACCAAGCCAACAAGGAAGCCTACCTTCTTCTAAAGGCACAGATATACTCTTTGACGGGCATTGGAGTATGCAGCTGCATATTATCAGCGCATTGCCCACTCATTTGTCGGAACTTGATACCCACTCACATTTTCCATGTATAAATATCATGCAACTCACACGAATAGAGAACAAGCTGGAAGCGTCTGCGCTAAATTTCCTCTACTCATGACTTACGTTCAAGTTTCCTAGAAATCGCGTTGTGTAGTCTTCGAACAGGAAATCCGATTCTATCTGCTCTAGATCTAGGTACTATACAGAACCCAAGCCACCCCGACAGCAGCAGGCAAAGCGCCTTACGCGAAGACCCGAGTCGAAGAGAATAAGACGGGCTTGCAGGGATTTCATGCAAATCAGGGACCCCTTCATATGGCTCCGAGGTCCTTTCTTTCCAAATCTATCTGCTGTTAGTACAATGCACACCGGCCATCCGAGTGAAAGGAGAGAGAAACACGTGGGCTTCTCCCCGCAACCCCGACAGTGCCCAAATTTTGCACAAATGAAAATTGGAAAGGAAAAAGATTGCAGGGCAGAGGGATCGAGGAGAGAGAGAGAAGGAGAGAGAAACCCGAAGACATCCGATGCTATAAACGAGCAGAGAAACAAGACAGGGACGAAAAGACAAAGATCGAAAATGAAAAAATGGAAAATATAGAAAATATGACACTTAAATCGCTATGAAACTAGGAAGAAATCACTGCTGCCTGGAACCTCCTTGGAGGAACTTGGGCCAGTTTTCCGCGCGAGGGACCTGCACTCGGCCGATGTTTTGATCCAGGTCAAGGATGAGCTTGAGGGCATTCCTTGATCGAAGGTAGGGAAGGGGAGCCTTGGCCTGAGTCAGACCAACACCGGGCTCGACGTAGCCGCTAGCGGTCTCTTCCTCATGCGAGCCGGGCATGGGAAGGGCCTTCTGAAGAACTTCATAGGCGGCCAAAGTGAAACCGAATTGAGGCGAGGATCGCAGAATACGGGCAGGGCCACCCTTGAAGAAGGCCTTGAGACCCTCCTCCTTCCACACAGTGGCGGCACAGTGACGGAGACCAGTGTACTTGGTATCGCCCTTGCGAGCCTCGACCTGCAGACGGGTCTTGATCACGTCGCAAGGAGTGGTGAGGTAGGCTGCGGGCATACCAGCGATGGCACCGGCAGTCAGAAGCTGGACGACACCGAGCTTGTTGGTGGCGGTTTCGCCGAAAATGTCACTCTTCAAATGAGCGTATGTAGGGAAGTAGATGGCAGAGAAGGGAACTAGAAATGTGTGAGATCACTTTCAGATACGAAAATCATGTGAAACATACCATCACGCAGGAGACAGGCACTGGCACCCTTGTACAAGCCCATAAGACCAAGGTTCTTCACGATCCAAAGGGCGGAGCGGCGAGGAGCACCTTCCACGTTTTTAGCAATCTCACCCTGGACCTGTAGGCGAATCTTGACGATCTCTAGAGGATTTGTGAAAACCTGGGCAGCAGGTGTTAGCATGTGAAAACCAGATGGAACGAGCGAATCTAACTTACGACTTGACAAGCACCAGCAGTACCACCAGCAAGAATTTCGTGAGCATACTTGATCTTGCCAGTGTCTTTATCAGTGAAAGTTCCACGAACCAGATCGTTGACTGTGAGCTTGATAGCCTTCTCAGGTGCCACACCGATCAGCTGCGGGATGACACCGGAGTACAGACCGGTGAAACCCTCATATCGGATGACCTTCTTGGCGCAGTCCAAGGAGTTATTATAAAGCATCTCACCTGGGCGGCTGGATCGCTGGTTCTGCATACGAGTCTTGACCAGATCGATGGGGTATACCATAAAGGCACCAAAAGCACCAGCAATACTGCCAAGAGCGAAGTGATGCACCGATTCCAGCACACTATGAAGAGCAGACGCGGTCTTCTCCTGAACACCCGCCACAGCCTGGCCGGCAAGGGCAACGGGAACCCGCCATGAAGCGTCAATGACCTTTGCGAAGTCCTTCTGGGCGAGACGTCCGGAAGGAGCATCCAGACCAGCAAAGTGGAACAGAATGTCGGCCTCCATGGGAGTAAATTGGGAGAAACGAGTGACTCGGGTGGCCTCGTCCAGGAAGTCAGAGCGAGTGATCTTACCATCGCTGCTCTTCTTGGTGGCCTCGCGCACGATCAAGTCGATGATGTCCATCTCGCGCATGATATTCTGGAAAGCACGGACGGTAGCGTAAGAGATCTTGTTGGTGTTCGCAATGTTGCAAAGGGTGGGCAAGTTGTCCAGGACATGGTCGGACAGCTTGTGCTTCGAGGTCTCCAAAATAATGCGCTGGAAATCCTCGGGCTCGATATAGCCATCACCATCCTTGTCCAAAACGTGGAAAGCTTGACGGATGCGCTCGCCCTGCAGTCCGCGCAGCATTTGGCAGAATTGTGGGTAGGTCATGTCATGGCGAGACTTGGTGCGACCGGCGTACAGCGAGGCCCAATCTGAGCTCCAGTCGAAAGGGATACTCTCGGGGCTCTTGGTCGAGTTGTAAAGTCCCTTCACGGTGTCAATCTTGACGGTTCCCGAGCCATCGAGGTCGAACAGGCGGAACGCGATCTCGTACTCCGCATCGGGCTTTGTGAGGAGGTTCTCGAAAGTCGCCCAGTCGGACAAGGTAAGCTTGCCGGTTTTCCGTCGGTCTGCGACTTGAAATAGGATTCCGTACTGCTCGCGCTTGATTTTGTGCTGTATTGGAGAGGGCACAGGTCAGCACTAGGGACTCTGCAATGAAGGGCAAAGTGACACTCACATAGTCCTCATGCTTGGGGGCAACTGCATTGACAAAGTCCTCCTCGGTCATGAAGTGTTCGCCGTTCTCATCCTTCTGTGCATGACGGATGAAGTTGAAGCGGGCTTGGGTTGACAGCTGAGGGTCCTCCGAGCTGCCGACCAAGGTCTCCTTGACGGCGTCCTTCACACTTGTCATTGTGTCGGGGGAGAGAGAGATAAGAATTAACTCTTCAAAATCTGACAAGGGACCAAAAAGCTAATGTCCACCGCACACACTGGGGGAAGGGGGGGGAAAGATGATGGAGAGTGGAGAACGGGGAGGTTTGAGTCAAAAGGAATGAGCGCACGTTTAACACGCGATGAAAGTAATGAGTAATGTAAATGGCCGGAGACGTTGTTTCTCCCTTTCTTTCTTATTCTATAGTGGCCGGTGCAGTATAAAGTAAAAGATGTGACAGTCAGATTTCCAAAGTCTACACCAAATCCATATACACTTTGTTTGGCCACGCGAGTATGAATTTTTTTCACCGCCCCTGGGATGGCGTTATTTACCCGCGAGATCGGGCTTGGGGCCGAATTGCGCTTCCCTGGGGGATCTCCGCACTCTTCTTCATCTGGCCTTTTATCCGGCTTCTATCCCATCTCGAAGCCCCTTGCCCTAAGGCTGTATATTTCTAGAACGACATACCAGTCAGACTATTCAAGCACCAGGATCTTTACATCTGTCAAGATGAGACTTTGTACGATATTGCCACCACAGATCCACGGTAGATGGATCCCTAATAGCCAATCGTCGCCTCGAGTCCCTGGTTCCTCGAGTGTGTAGTAAGCCGTCGAATTTGACATGCTTTTTAAAGACTCTGCGGTTCAGATGACCATCGGAAGCGAAGAGGGTAAAATCGGGATGGCCGGCTCACATGTGCTCCCGGTGTGTGCATGTGTGTGCTGGGGCATGAAATGTGCCCGGATGCCTCCGTCTTCGGTGTGGAGCTTTCAGCGGGTCCCTTTGGAGACCAAAGCAAAAGTTGGAGATGAACGCCGCCACTGGCTTGTCCTCCTCTCCCCAGTCCTGGTCCAGGCTCGGCTCAACTCCGGGCTCTCTTCTCCGCTCTCCTCATGTCAAAGGTCTACTGCTTTTAGTTCGGGATGAATAATCCTGAGTGTCTTATAAATGGGTGAGCTTAATAGCCAGGGCTGATTGTAATTGTACACGAACATGAAGCGAAAGCGACTAATTCTCTACATTTGCTTTGTTGTTTCCTGTTCTGACGCTTAAACCTGCCTATTGCGGTGACCCAAATTGTCACAGTGCGCGGCCTCGGTCCATTGCATTAAAAGCCTCAATGGCTTCGGTGTCCGCAGAGAAAGTGCGTCTTTAGATTCCATAACGTCACTGGGCCTAGGGTTGTAAGGAATTAAGACCCGCATGACACCCGAGGCGGAGTATAGAGCAACCTAGAGCTGTTCGGGAAACCTACCACTTCTCACTAGCCTCATTTTAGCTCTCCCCAGGTTTTTCTAGTCCTATAACCATCGACGACACCTCAAGTTACAGCAACCCCGCCATCGTCCGATTGAAATGGTGTGCGACCGGAATAACCACCACCACGCCGCAAATGGCATCGAGAACGAAATGATGAGCGGTCGCGACTACCGTCGGTTTCATGATCATCGGCCAGAGCGGAGCCATGTTTCGGAAGAGCACGTGAAGGTTGAATTTCAGCAGGCAGAACGCAATCAGCACGAAGTTGCCAAAATACAATGAGGGTATCGCCACAATCCTCAGCTGAAACTTGTTGTGTGTCCCTGCGGCATCGGAATCGTCTTCGTGCAGCTCGTCGATAAAGGCTTACTCTTCGGGTAGAAGACGCGGCGGTGAACATCGCCAAAGTGAAGTGACCACGAATACAATGACATTCTCCAGTCCTAGTGTACGTCGGATCCTCTGAAGCTCATTTTGTGTCATGAAACTATAGCAGTAGACGTAAATTTCGACTCCGATAACAATATGGGAATGTCAGACGTGGGCAAGGTGATTCATCAACCACTGAGACCTTATCGAGAACGAATTGCTGAACGAAGAGCTCAACATCGAGGCCAATTTTGATGTTCAAAGGACAGCACTTGAACTGCATGACGCTCGGCCCCCTGGAAGACACTTCCGTGTCCAACAATCAGCCGCCCAGGGATAGCTCTAGCACATTGACATACCTGCGTGTTGTCAGGGCTCGCTGTCCAGTTCTATCTAACGGACACATACCTCACAGACCAGCGGCTAATAGAACATCTCCAATAGAAAAGGCGATTTTCTCAATATTCGAGAACGAAGCGCCTGTCGTGGCTTCGAAGATTGCCACTTCATGGCGCCATACCCATCTTCGCCGGTATTCTCATCTTCTGAGTCATCCTTGAGTAGCAGCTATCGCTGGTTCAATGGGAAGTTTGACTCTGGTTGACCCAGATACCACGAGTAAATGAACAATTGCTGCGGACTCCAATCTGATGCGCAAAGGATAATATCAAATAGAAAGCGAAAACGCGCTCAATCTTCCTAGACCAAGAGAATCTTGAAGGGTTTTATTACTTGTGAAGAGTCTAGCAAGGTAGGGAGCTAGCAGAGCTTCGTGCTTCAGCTGTCACGGGAGTGAATGGCTCCAACCACGGTACGAGGTAGCTCTTTGTACACGCAAGCCAAGCTGGCAAGCATAACACCTCACATCTCTTCACCGTGGCTGGCTCACAGCAAGAGCTTTGCCCATGAATAATTTGAGCAACGTTTGGCCTAGCAATCTGCCAGATAGCTTCAAAGCTTCGATCAACCCGCTGAAATGTAAGACACGGGAACCCCCTCTTCTCTCGTCCTCGGAGTAGGCCAGCCCTGACCTGGTTGAATTTCCAATTTGACGCTGACGGGACATTTTAGAGGGCAGCGGAATTGATCGTGGATTGCCTCCATGCATGTCTTCCATCCATGCCTAGGTGATCTACGCTCACATATCTGGGAAAGAAAACGATCCATCTTGACTCTCCCAAGTTTCTGTCCTGGGTTCCCGCATCACAGTCTATTGCTGTCGACGACGTAGTCATATATATCTCTAGCGAACCCACAGCACCTCGGCGCGGACGCTGGAAGCACCGAATGATTATAATCGCACAATAACTTTCCTGCAAAAGATCGATAACCATCTATTTCAGGTGAAAGAAAGTTTGACAGGGCGCCCAATGATGTACTGATTTCTGCTAGCGCTAGTGACTATGCAAGGATAGTGATAAAAGTGCAGACGGCTATCACCTTCAGAACGACAGACTCAGCGAAGAATCCGCCGAATTAAGCCACGTGTGACCCAAGCTTTGATTTCTGAAGAGGTTGGGAGTGTATTGCTCTGGGCCTCATGGGGTGGCTTGGGAGGGACAGTCGTGACAGTGCATGGGGCGGCATGGTATGCCTGAGGGCACAGGCTATCACACCACGATCATGTTGAAGCAAAGCCTTTGGTTGGGTGGAGATCGACGGCACATCACCAAAGTTGACACTACTGCGTGATAGCAAAGTGATGAGTGCAATGAGAATGCATGAAGTGGGCGCTTAGAGAAAGAGGAGGTGGTTGGCCGCACAGAGCAACCCCCGCCCACGAAGCCCAGCAGTATATAGCCGCCTTCTCCTCCCAGGGGCGAATTCCCTTCCTGCATATCGTTTGTTTGAGATTTTGCTATTTTCTCCTGTTCTATTTTCGTCTTCGCGCTTCGTCTTGGCTGGTCCAAACGACCTCTTCTTCCTCTTGCCTCTACGTCAATAATTGTCTTCTCTCTTCATACTCCAACCGCCGTGCCTTTGTTGATCAAAGTGTCTCCGCAATAAAAACTCTACATTAGTCTTTACATTCTCAATTTTCCAATCTCTGTCCTATCTTTCAATATGTACGCCGCCAGACCGAAGCTGTCCTTAAGCATCTCTGCTGCGCAGAATGTGACCCGTCCATCTCTTTCGCTCAAGTCGCCGAGCGCCATGTCAATTCCTCGCTCTCCTCTCTCACCAGTCCACACGTCGAGTCCAACAGCCAAGCGCTTTTCTTCTTTGCAAGTGCCATCTTACAGCTACACCAATTCATGTTCCTCGAAGAGCATTCTCAAGAAGCACTCGTCCGCGCGAGCGGGCGTCCCCGAAAAGCGCATACAATTCAAAGGCACACCAACGGTGCACTGCGTGACTCCAATCGAGAACCCAGATGAATACTACGGCAAGCACACCAAGATGTCCCGTGAAGAGCGACGATGGGCAGTACGCGAGTGAGCCAAGTTACAGACCTCCGACGCGACTCAAAGCTCCATCAAGCTTAGAGCTAGCATGAGTCTGCTGAGTCTCGAACATTCGACAGCGACAGAGCAACCAACACGGCTTGAGATGACCGAACATGCCTCTTCTAGGACTGCATTCGCGAGTCCTGACATGCGATCGACCCACACCTGACTCCGGTCGCGTGTATACGCAGCCGCGGCCTGTACAGAGCCGAGAAAGACTATGTCTCAGTTGAAGAGACAAGTAATTTTATGACGCTGATGGATCTCCGATATGATGACTTTGCAATTATTGTAAGCGAAATACCTATCTAGTTTAACCACGCCGGTCTTTACCGTTCGAATATCCATTGTCGCCGCGCAATGACATCGATACGCATATATCATCTTGTTTCCTGTAGATGTTAGACCTTCGTAGTAAACAAAATGCAAGTTTTTTGATGGATAGCACCCTGGCCTTCCCCAGAATGACGAGTTAGTGCGGGTATCACTTAGTGGTCAGGACTATTTCCATCTGGCTAGTCTAATGGATTTCCAGTCGTGTTTTACCGCCGTCGCTCGATGGTGTACGCGATTTACTATTAGACCAACACTCACCCTTCTAGTTATCCTCTTCCTCTTATTGAAGATATCCGGGGAGCCTTTGTTGCAACTGAAATGATCGCCAGGTCTCAGTGCGTAATGAAGTTGACTCACTGAGACTGAGTCTGAGCACCCTCACAAAAGCGGGCGACTTTTAGAATAGGAAAGGCTCACCTGGCAGGAAGAATCCGGTACGTATAGTTGCAAACAGATCATGTAAGGAAACAAAAAACCATACGGGGTATATTGATGCAAATATTAGACAATACAAGTGCGTAACGTAGAAAGAAGAATCGTGATAAACCAACATTCCCCAGACCTGAAGTCCAAAACTTCAAGACACCCAACCCAGCTCACAGCTTCGACGACAGTAGGGTAGAGATACTCTATGTTTCGTCGGAAAGATCATCAGAGAGAAGAAAGCACAGCTACGCGCACAGCACGAGGCGCTAAGCATACTGAGCAGGCAGCTCCTTGCCATGATAAGCCGGACTCTGGTACGCGCCGTCGGGCCGCATGGGATAAGACTCCTGCGCAGGGTACGCAGGCGGGTACTGAGCAGATGGGTAAGGAGTCTGGCCTCCATACGGGCCATAAGACTGGTGCTGCGCGTCCATGGGAATAGTGTAGTACGTCGAGGCAGCAGCTTCCTGAAGAGAACGGCGGCGTTTCACGCAGTACATAATGAGAAGTATCCAGCCGATGAATTTGCAGGCGGCGCCAATAACAATAAAGGCGACGGCAGCGTAAAACTCGCCGTTCTGTTTGGAGGTACAATTCACGTCGTCCTCACTGTAATAGTAAGAGTTGGAGTCGCCGAAGCAGTCTGACGCGTTTGAAACCCAGACGCCAACCAACGCGCCGCCAACGATGAACGAGACAATAGCGGCTAGGAAGAAGCCTAGAGGCCACCATCGGGACATCCCTTGGTGCTTCTGCTTGGGCGGGTCGGTATTCCCCGGCATGTGTGACATGGTGGGCGAGTAGGATGGAGGTGAGGGTTGAAATTAGGGTCGCGAATGTGTCAGGGCGACCGCGCGCCTTTTAAGAAGGGTCCAGTCACCCTGGGGCAAAAAAAAAAAGAGGGCTTGTTTTAGCTGATGCGATAGAAGCTACGATACAAGCTAGAAAGTAGACTAATGTGGGTTATCCTATCATAAGCTAGCGTTAGGTAGAATCGGGGCCAAAAAGAGACGTTACGAGGCTGTGTCACACTGTTCTAAGCCTCGCAGCATTTTTACTTTTGGCGAAGGCGCGTACTCGAGCGTCTTGTGCCCCTTTTTTCCAGATGAGGCTCAAAATCTTTTGGCCCTGTTTCATTTCGCAGCTAAGAAAATTTTTGCAGAGTCATTCGCGTAAAGTACACTATTTTGGCGGAACACTTCTATTGGGTGACTGCCTAGAGCCACGAAACAAACCCGGGTTCGCAACTCGGCCAGAGATAATCTGCACTATATTGCTATGTTTCGGTGACTAGGCAAGGGAGCATTCGACTAATCTGACCAGTAACGGAGAATACGAGCATCTGGCTGCGCTTCCTTGACAAAGACTAGCACCCGAGGGTAGATGCAGAAAACAGGACAGTGTTTTAAGGAGGGTCGAGCAAAATCAAATCTGGGTTCTTATTGGCCTACGACACGGTCCCTGGACCCTGGACCCTAGAGTCATCTCAATTTTAACATAGATTGTAGATTCGCCGTGGGCACATCGTGTTGATGTCGAGAATCATCATTGAAGAATCTGTTATGTAGATGGGCTGTACAGTAAAATGAATTTGAATATTCCTGAATCACAAATTCAAGGATTGTGTATTTCAGGGGCTGCCAGCACCGAGCAGGGCTTGAGCGCTAGAATGCACATGACCGAGACGCTTTACAGGGACTGTGCGGCCGCTAAACCGCCATAACTACGTGAAGCGAGATCTTGTGAAATCTTGTGGCTGAAATGTGCAAACGGAAGTCAACTCAGTACGAGGCATTGAATTGAGAGATTCAGCATCTATTGTAAAGCCTCCACGATAATGGTAATGGACTTATTCCCCTTGATAGAATTGACATACTCGGCCACTTTGGAGCACAATTCTGTGGTACATTTCAGCTTGTGCTTCAATTAGCGTTCACGCATGCTTATCCGGGATGTCTTGCTCAGAGCTGTCCACTGGGGATGGTTGTACAGTGGCGTCCTTCTCAACATCCTTTGAAGGTTCACGACTGTCGTATTGATGTGGGAGCTTGCCATCATTCTGAGCGATTTGATGATCGAGCTGAGCTTTTTCTTCATCGGTCGCGTCGGTAAGGTTGACGGCAACCTCTTCGCCAAAGTTCTTGGCGATTTCCTCGAGGGTGAGGCCAGCGGTCTCGGGGAAGAAAAAGTAGATGACTGGGTTTCGTTAGTCCGTGTAATTACTAAGTTCGAAAGATAGCTATGGATCGCTTACTCGGGATGAAAAACGCAGACCAGCAGATGATGACAAGGTAGTACTTCCAACCAGCGTTGTTGAAGCCCATCGGGGCGGTCTCCAGGAGAATCAACGTCGCTTAATACCGTTAGTGGAAACCACGAACAAAAATGGTGGAACCTACCAGCAAATTGACCGAACAACGAAAAGCCCATACCGATGGGACGAATCTCAGTTGGGAAAATCTCTGAGACATAAAGGTACATGGTAGTATCACAGCAAGTGCTAGTCAAAGTGTAAGCATATGGTGATGAAAGCGGTTTGAAACGAACTGACCCCTGGAAGGCCAGATACAGATACATGAACAGAATACCAAACCCATTGCCGACCTTGTTGGTAGTACCGGCGTATTGAGCAGTCATCGCAGCGAGACAAGAGGTAGTGCAAATGATACCCACAAACCCAGTCATATACATCCCGCGCCGGGAGTTGACTCTATCGTGCAGCCAGGCACCCAGAGGGTTGTAGATCAGACCTGGCATGAGTTAAATTGCCGAGATAGTCAAAAGTAGAAGCTCTCATTCTTACCAGCAGTGGTCAACCAGATGGCACTCAGCAAGAGAGGCATACTACCTTTCTCTCCGAGATTTGTGTACAAAAGGACGGCATAGTTGTTCTACAACAATATTAGCCGCGCCGTAACACCAAGGGAGACGATGGGACTCACAATGATCAAAGGTCCGCCAAATTCAGCACCCCATTGGGTAAGGAAGCCAATAGCCATGCGCTTGCGATACGATTTCTTCTTGATCACTGCATTCCAAACATTACCATACTCGGATAATCTCTTCGCCTCTAGTCGAATCTGCTCTTTTGTCTGGTAGAACTCCTCTTTCGCAACCAGATTGTCGGGGTCATCTGGAGATTCCCGAAGACGCAGAAGAACACGCTCGGCTTCGTCAAATTTGCCCTTGGAAATCAGCCAACGTGGAGAACGAGGAAGCCAAGGAGACCCGATGAACAAGACCAAGGGAGGAAGACATTGAAGAGCTAGTGGTAATCGCCAGCCAAAAGAGGGGATGGAACTCTCTGCGTAGTAGCAGGCAAAACCCACCCATGCAGCAAGCATGTATCCGAAGACAAGAAAGATGGCATGGTGCCCGACGAGCCAGCCGCGACGGAGGGCACTCGACATCTCAGATAGGTACATAGGGCAGACTGTGACCAGGACACCGATTCCAAGACCGCAAACGAAGCGACCACCTTGAAACATTCTGTGACAAAATTAGCTCTACTCTACTGGAAGGGGGATAACAGGAAGTGATTTACGCGAGAGAGTTAGCCCCGCCCTGAAGGGCGCCGCCAAACATGGTGAAGAAAGCACCCAGTTGAATGTTGGCCTTGCGACCAAATTGTTCGCAAGACCACATCATAAACAGAGTACCAACGGCACCACCGGCGCTGAACACACCGTTGGCGGTCGAGATGGCGGGGGTTGTGATACTGTCATAGCCAGGCTCACCCTCAGCGGGAAGCTTGAAGTAAGTATACCATCCTGGCTGGCCGATAGTGCTAGAGATGATGGAAGCACAGTAACCATAGGTCTTGTATAATTATTAGAATTCCTACGGTGATACATCTCACGAACATTTGAGGTACTCACCATTGACCCAATGGCGACAAAGATGGTCACCAGCCTATTATAGGTACTGGTCTGTGACCCGAAACGGCCCATAATGATCCGACTCTAGTTTCGGACCGAGTGAGATGTATATGCGGGAGTCACACGTGGATAGAGTACAATGCCAACATCCAACCCAGCTCGAAATGTTTAGCCAAGGTAAGAGAGAAAATGTTTTTTTTTTCAGATAAAACGAGCAAGGGGGGTTACAATCAACTCGATGTCATGCGGTGGAGCGGGGGTAGTCCACCATAGGGTTGGGACATACACACTTTGACGATTGACAGAGTCCACTCGGGGAAACGCGAAGTCCCATGCCGAGCACCAAGTGTGGGTCTCATTAGAGCTATACTGACTGGAACCAGAACGTACGCTGGGATACTTTAGGAAACTCTGAAAATTTGGGGGCTGAGGGACTCGCCGATCGTCGCCACTTGGCATGCAAGAATCCTTGCTCTCAGATTTCCCATCAATGGCCTTCCTGCTTCGTCAGGCATCTCGTTTTGTTACCTGTTCGAGGAGCCGATTCGACGCAAAGCTATCGAGTTCAACGAGTCAGAGATTGGTGCTGGGGTGTCAATGAAGAAAATCACTCAAATTAATACCAAAGTACCGCGTAGAGATCCACGAGGTGCATACTTGGTGCCCCACACAGAATACACAGGAAAGTCCTTCACGTTCATATGGAAGTCTGCCTCCAGCTACAAAAGTACCCGCGATTTAGCGGCCTCTGCGCTTGACAATTCAAATTTCAGTCTTTTATCTCTGCCCTTGTCATTACACCAGATTCACAAGTCTTGTACCATTGAACATGGCTCAGTCTACTTTCGACACCCCGTTTGACCAGCTGGCGAACCCTAAGCAGGTTTGGATGGGAAAGCCCGGAAGCTATGAAGAGGGTCTCGGCAAGCTGGCTATCCTCACCCCTGAAGTCGTTGCACGAGCGGCCGCTAGTGAGATCAAATGCGGTCGCCGCGTGACAATGGGATGGGAGCTGACGAAATTGGATTATCCTAATCTCAATCGCCAGCCGTGCCATCATCAGATCGTGCCTCTTTTGGGTGGTGTGGCATTTGACGATATCTATTCTATGAACCCACGTATGTTAGACATTCATCTGTGTATCAGTCAGCGTGATTGACAGCAACCAAGAACAGAGTAGTCAGTGGGACGGACTTCGTCATTTCTCGCAGACGGTCCCCGGACAGACTGAGCGGGTCTTCTACGGTGGAACGACCGTTGACGAAATCAATGATCGACAGAATGATCGTATTGGTCTTCAGCATTGGGCACGCGAAGGCATTGCAGGTAGTTTCTTTGGTCCCCGAACATATGACTTTGGATACATACTCAGCACAAAATTACAGGACGCGGAGTCTTGATCGATTATGCGACATGGGCCGAGAAAAGGGGAATCAAGTATAGCACATTCTCCACCCATCAAGTAAGTCTCTCGGACATTCTGACAATTGCCAAGGAGAGCAATATCACTTTCCAAAAGGGTGACATTCTGTTTGTCCGCATCGGTGTCACCAAAGAGTGGGACTCTGTTATGACCGATGTTCAAAAGCAAGCCTACTCGGACAATTCCAATCCAGAGCATGCAGGGGTCGAGGCCACCGAAGACGTTCTCCGCTGGTTGTGGGACAGCGGATTCGCGGCGATTGCCAGCGATGCAATTAGCTGGGAGGTAAGATGCCCCGGAAATTTTCGAGATTCCTGCCAGTTATCATCTGTGGCTGCCATTGGCGGGTCAACAAACGATCAGAGGAATCTACTAATATCTCTAGCACAGGTCTATCCACCGCAATCCCCAGACATCTTCCTCCACGAGTACGTCCTTGCAGGATGGGGCATGCCGATCGGTAAGTTACTCGGACTTGGAGGCCATCCTTCGCGGAACTTGCCCGCTAAAAGCTCCAGGGGAACTCTTCGATCTGGAGGCGCTAGCACGATCCTGCGAGGAACTGCAACGGTGGACCTTTTTCGTGACTTCCATACCTTTGAACATGCCTGGTGGAGTCTCGTCGCCTCCAAACGTGATGGCCATCTTCTAGTCAATCCAACGCCGTGAGCCCCTGATTATAGAAGTTAGAATGACAAGCTGTGTATATGACACCATTGCCTGTATCGCGTCACAGTACAAAAATTGAATCTAGTGTGCTCGGGTGGCGCCGTCCACACACAGTATCTTTGACAACCAAAAACCCATTCGTTCTGGGCAACGGACTGTGACTAAAGGCCGGAGCATCGCAATCGTCCTGAATCCGTGGATTGATCGATCCACAACGGGCAATGAGCGACGCCTGTTCGGGAACAAGACCTTCTCTGGGGGCCAGACCAAATCCCTCACATCGGCTTGAATCGGAAGCCGAGAAAGTGATCTTCAATGTCATGGCCTGAGACACAATGGTGGAGATGTCTCGTGTTTTTAACTTCGCCTATTGCTCGTTCTCATTTGCGAGCATGAGGCCATTTTGGCTGTGAACAGATCCTTTGACCCACCATGCTACCTTATCAACTTTATGACTAGTCTGTATCTGTCTGCGCACCAGGCGCCAACAGGTATTCCGTACAGATGAAAGGGTCCACGCCAGTTACGTGGCGCCGACGGGGGACGTTGGGTCCCACTTCCCGCGCGTGCGGCCCGGTTCTCCACTCGATCCCTGTCTGGCCCTGGACGTGTTGGGTGATGGAGGTGGTCAATGATTGGAGCATTATACGTTATTACGTTTCATACGTGAATGCCTATGTAATAAGTAACATGGCATCATGTTACGGGAACTTAAGATCTCAGTATACGTGAATTGGGTGATGCAATCAAGTCGAGATGAAAGGGTAAGATGAATACGTTCTAAAATGAGGACCGACCTTTCGTTAAGTGACAAACTAGTAGAATCAAACAATGCATGATTCGATTCTTTCACTACTATGAGCATAAAGTGTACGAGAAAAGGCCGAAGCCCGCGCGAGAGAACTATGTCGGCAAACTAAAATCCCCGATGTCATGAAGGTGTGATCATATTATTTCCTAGAGCCCACTTCCATTGGCATGATTTGCGTCTCGGCTCCTTTCATGGGGGTCAAAGAAGTACAAATGTACTCTTAAAGGGGAGCAGCCCTGAAACGATCAGTCCCTACGGTCGGATCCAGCCAGGTCGTTCTTTTCACTTCAGGGCCTGGCGATGCATCTGTCCCCCATGGCATCGGGGTCATCCTTGTCAGGACGCAGTCCTGGAGATACAGACATCAATCGGAGTGTGCAAACTTGGGACTATGTATGTCAGTCATTATGTATCTTCGGTATGACTGTTTGCTTTGGTCTCCGGGTGTATACTCGTGTGTTTATCCTTAACGGGTTGAACAAAGAGGATTGTGGGTGACTACCGCACATGAGATCAAGAAATCTGCTAACTCGTGTGAAAGGGATGTGTGCAACGGCCTGGTTCCTTGGTACTGGCTATTCTGTCATTGCCATAATCAGTAGGTTTGCCGACTGAAGTGATATGATTAGTTTGCTAATACAGATTCAGTGGGACACTATGGAGGAGGCCTTCACCTCGACGATGTTCCCCCCCTGGATGCCATTCCTTTTGCAAAAGTATGTCGAACATGCAGCTTGATCCCTTGAAAAATTCTGATATTCCAGACCGTGTACGTGACAATGGTCATGTACGGGCCGACAGCCTATCTCACCAAGGTCTGCCTCTTATGGATCATGACTCGTGTGTTCAGTCCTTTCCGAAAAACCGTCATCTTCATCTACGTCTTCATGGGCATCATGCTCGCCTATTATATTCCAGCTGTAATCGTCAAGATCCGAATCTGCAATCCTATCGGCAGATTTTGGAACAAAGACATCCAAGGCACATGTCTCGATGAAACATCTATTATTCTGGCTGACGCCGTCGTGAGTATGGTCAGCGACCTGATCATTCTCCTCCTTCCTCTTCCATTGACGATGAGTTTGCAAATGCCCAAGAAGAAAAAGATGCGGGTCATCGGTCTCTTGGGAGCAGGTGGATTGGCTGTGATGGCCAGCGTTATCCGCCTAGCGCTCATCGTCACCACCGGACAGTCCAAGGACACCACTTATGCTTTTATGAGAATCAACATGCTCGGGTAGGTCTTTTTCAGACCGTTTCAGGTGCAAACCCATGAAGTTGTTAATCATATGTTCTTCAGAAACGCCGAAGTCGCCTTGGGAGTCATATGCACCTGTCTTCCCGCCCTTTCAGCCCTCTTGATTCGAGCCTACAATGAACACTCCAGCAATAAAGCAACCCACACATCCGATTACAAGCTAGGAACGATGCAGAATCAGTCAAGGACGCAGCGCAGCAAGCAGCAGATGAGTGTACTGGAGGCCGAATCCGACGAGGATGTCCTCATGTTTAATGCCCAGGGCACCCCGCGGGTCGAGACGACGGTTCAAGGCGATACCGAGCGACAGATGAACCGGAGAGGCTCCCCACTTGAAGGCGGGATTGGAATCACAAAAACCGTTGATGTTTCGACCTCCGTCGAGACTCGATGAGGTAAGGTGACAGGAATCAGGGGAAAATTACACATGGAGTCACGTACTTCTTTTAATTGCGATGCATACAATGTCGGCCCTACTTTTGATGGCCTGTATCTTCATTTGGCTAGCATTCATGTCGCTTGTCTTCCTCTTCTGTTGAGCATATCTTTAAGGTCAGGCCTGATAATTGAGAATATTCTCGGGGGTCTGTTGGGTAACTCTGATTTCAAGCAAATGGAATTTTACTCAACCTTGGGTAAAGAACTGCATCAATCGGATTCCAGTAACCCGTTATCTGCTTGATTTTACGGAGAAACTTCACGATATGTCTTCCCTTAATGGATACATTCCTCAGTTTTTGTACCAGTAGGCGCCTTCGACAGGGACTGGGGCCAAGTTTGATCCGAGAATGTTCATCTGGGTGAAAGTCGGGCACCATTTATTGATTGTGACTATATCCCGACCTTGATACACCCAGACTCCAGACATAGTGATTGAAATATTCCTGATCAGGATTGGGCGGCATATTGTCTACGCGACAAACGCCTAAGTGATTCGGTCATGCCCGAGTAAGGCAGAGGTCCACAGCACAGCAAGGGCCAATACAAGAGTTTTATCTATGTGAATTCTCGCAAATGATACAGAGTTCTTTTGAGTCTCGCTTTCATCAAATATGAGATCACTCATTAACCCCGCAAGCTAGAGTATGCCGCATGGCCAAGTCCTAGGCAAGTGGGTCGAGCTCTATCAGTGGTGGGCTCCCATCCCGTATTTGATTTCAAATCAATGGTCTACAGGAAGTAATATATCATGATCTCAAAACTCTATGAGGTCTAGCTTCTACACAGGCTCCAGGCAGTTAACATCATAAGTTCTCAGACAAGAAATAGTTGATTCCTTCTATTCCACAGTCTCACAGCTATCCTAGACCCAAACCACTTGACCGTGGAAAGCAACCGCAATGAAGGCCCTCGTTGAAGAGAACGTTATTATCTGTGCCAACCGCATTGCTTACGGAATATATGGCCATGGACAACCTGTCGTTCTTTTACATGGGACTCCGTCTTCATCCCTCATCTGGCGCAATGTGATTCCGCATAATACTCGTAACGGTTTCAAAGTCTTTGTCTATGATCTACTCGGATACGGTCTCTCGGAGCGTCCATGGAATCCCGAGATTGACATCTCTATCTCCGGACAAGTGCCCATCCTGGAAGGGCTACTCGCTCACTGGGGACTTGAAACATTCCATCTTATTGCCCATGACATTGGGGGTGGAATCGCACAGCGATTTGGTGTTTCATCTCCCCAACGGCTACGCTCCTTGTCATTGATCGACGTCGTGAGCTTTGACAGCTACCCCTCTAAAAGAACAAAGCAGCAGATGGAGGATGGATTGGAAACCCTCATCAAAACAACAGACGACGTACACCAATCCCACTTCAATGAATGGTTGCTCTCTGCCGTGTATGACAAAGATAAGTTTAGAGACAGTAGTCTTAATATTTTTTTTAGGGTATATATCTGGACCTATGGGCCAAAGCAGTCTGTTTCTGCACCAAGTGCAACATTACGACCCGAAACACACCATGGAGATTGCAGATCGGATCCATGAGCTCGGTAAACTACCAGTGAAAATTATTTGGGGTGCGGATGATGCATGGCAAGTTGTGAACTGGGGACGTAAGCTTAATGAGGAAATTCCTGGCTCTGACCTTGAAGTAATTGAGCATTGTGGCCATTTTTCACCTGAGGATCAAGCAGATCAGATCTCAGAGATATTGGTCAATTTTTTGAATCGCCCTGAAAGAAGCCCGGAGAACATTGAATGACTGAACACAGGCCCTTCAAAACCAATAAACAGAAAAAGATCCGATAAAGCTATATCAAGTAATTCAAGTACAAGGTCAAGGCAGGTACATAGCTACTCAAGTCTTGATTTATTAAAATATCCATATCTATGGACGAATCAGCCTTGCCTTCCGAACCACCCGAGTAAAGACAATCCTCAATTCTGCTTTAGTCCTGTTAGGGCAGCCTTTGAGGGCACGGATGGTCCGTGCGGCTCCGATCTTTTCTTGCTCGCCGCGTGCAACTTCTTCGGTAACTCCTCAATGTTTTTGTTCACAAACTCGCTTGCAACGTTGCGAAGGTCCGCAATATGCGTCTCGCGCAACTTGTGGAAGAATCAGCGGGGCCTTTTAACCCTTGCGATTGAGACATCATGGTGTGTTATGCGCGACCTCTGAGTACTCGTAACTGTTACTTACTGGAGCCATTCTCATAGTGACGATACATCGGTATCTATTGTCGAGAAGAAGCATGATGATTCCACCGGAAGCAGAGCCAAGATTCATTTTCTCGAAAATATCACCGCGGATTCACGGGCGCATCGCGGCATTCATCCGATCCTTGCTCTCGAGTCGCATCAAGAGAACCTTGCAAATCTGGTCGACAAGGCTTTGAAAAGTCTACCGGCGTCACATATTGATGGAAATACTATTAAGCTCGCAGATGGGTCAACGCGTCGCCGTCCAGACTTCATTTCGGCCACTAGGGGCCCAGGCATGCGGTCAAATCTGTCTGTTGGACTTGATACTGGAAAAGCTCTCTCAGTAGCTTGGCAAATTCCCATGGTGGGCGTTCACCATATGCAGGCACACCTTTTGACTCCACGGCTGGTCTCATGCCTGAAGGAAGGCGATGGCACGCGTGCTACGTCCCTGAATTCCCATTCCTATCGATTCTTGTCTCGGGGGGCCATTCGATTCTAGTTCACTCGAAGTCTTTGACAGATCATAAGATCATGGCCTCAAGTGATGACATTGCTATTGGAGAGACACTTGACAAGGCGGCACGCGAAATATTGCCCCCTGATTTATTGCAAGGAGCAAAGACTACGATGTACGGCAAGACCTTGGAGCAATACATCTTTCCAAATGGCAAGGCCGACTTTGCTGACTACCGGCCTCCTATGAATCGAGGAGAAGAGGTGATCAAAAAGCAAAGCCGGTGGGGTTGGAGTTTGACCACTCCTTTTGCAAATACCCGTGCCCTGCAGCTTAGTTTCTCGTCCGTGTCAAGCATGGTCAACAAAATCGTGAAGGACAAGAACGGGGCCATGTCTGAGGAGGAGCGGGTCGATCTGGGCCGAGACGCAATGCGTGTTTCCTTTGAGCATCTTGCCTCTCGAACTATCATCGCTCTCGAGGCCCTCCGTTTACACAACACTGGCGATCAAGAGATCAAAACTCTTGTTGTCAGTGGTGGTGTTGCTGCCAATAAATTCCTCATGGCAGTACTTAGATCCTTCTTAGACGTGCGCGGGTTTGAACATATTCAGATCGTTGCGCCGCCGATCTATCTGTGCACTGACAATGCAGCGATGATTGGGTGGGCAGGCATTGAGATGTTTGAAGCTGGCTTGCGGACTGACATGAGCTGTCGTGCTCTTCGCAAATGGACCCTTGATCCTCAAGCTGATGACGGCGGAATCTTGGGGCCCAGTGGCTGGATTTTCAGCGAAATATCTCGCTAATCTTTCTCATACCCTGTACAATAAGCTCCTGTATATTAGCGATACCCTAATTGTATATCAAAGCAAGCGATTCCACCCGTTGTCTTACTTGGACATTCTGGAAGTCAATCCCAGTCCCATTTCCTCTTTTAAAGTGAGATTACTCTGCATGAAAATGCGATGGAAAAAGGCTAGAAAAATGAACAAAGACGCCGATGCAACAATGTAACAGCTAGATGGCTTCGATCCAGCTTCCCAACCGAGTCCTCCCACATCCATGAAGCCTCCACAACAGGGTATCAATGATGCGCCGTTTCAATCCGTGCAAATGAACCAAACCCACCGGCACACTATGCAATAGAGGTATTTGAAACAAAGTAATACATCAAATGTACGGTTGACGTGTTCAGCCGCCGACAGGAGGGCCCGTTCGTTGCAAGGAAGCGATTTGTTTCCGAAGCTCAAGGAAGAAGTCCTTTCCGTTCGCCATAGTATTCTCTGATTTCGTCAGTCGATGGGTTCGGCGAGCTACGAAGACAATGTTTGTGACGACGTACGCTTCGAGCCCCAAGGGCTACCACCAGATCGTTGGTTGTTGTCTTTTCCGGCGGGCTTGTAGAAGGTGGCTTTGGACTCTGTGACAGTAGATGCATTAGATAGGGGCCGCACTTAATGAACAATGTACACTCACCTTCAGGGCCTATGGCGGCAGCAGACGAGCATTTTATTAGCTTCATTCATCGAACAGTGAGCGCCGGTCCTACCTCTCTTCAGAAGGCTTTTGGCCTCCGCGGCATTGAAACCCCGGACAGGGACATGCTGGTCTTGTGCTGGCCCAGAGGCTGCAGGAGACGTGTTGTCATTGCGAGGACCTCCACGGTTGCCATTGTTGGAGTGGCGTTGCGATGATTGGCGACTGGGCCCGCCGCGCCATCTGCAGCAAAGAGCCAGGATTAGCGGGGTTCGGAGCGTGCGCGGTAGGTCAACGAGAGAGAAGCAGATGCGTACTTGTTTTCTCCAGGGCCGCTCATAGTGTAGATTGAAAAGACTTGAACGAATGGCGCAGGTTGGAGCTGATATGCGGGGAAGCTGTGCACGTCCAGCTCAATTCAGAGTTGTTGACGCCTCAGGCGTCAACGCGGATGTCGTCGCCTTGATAACAAAACACCCTCCCCGGGGACTCAGCCTTCGCTCGACCAGGCGCCTTTCTCTCTTGTTCTTGCTGCACGGCTTCAGTTCTTCTAGCACACCCTCACCGGACACTGCTTTCAATATAGGCCATCTGGTGGCGGCTCACCCCCTGAACGCGACCTGACGTGTCTTGATTGGCAATCACCAACCTCGACGTCGATCAACCCGCGCAACCCTACAAGCTCGATGTGAACGATGGCGCCGATGTCCCGACACTCTTTCTCCGGTAGATCATCCAGAGCTCAACCCAAGTCAGCTTTGAAATCATCGCGCCACGCCGTCGATTCGCCTGAAGGCCCTCCTTTCAAAAAGCGCAAGTACGTACCCGGCGGACCTGGGGGAGGTGGGCGTTTCATAGATGTCGACGCTTCCCAAGAGACAACACCCAAGAAAAAACACAACATTCCAAGGCGACACTCCACAAGCGCACGCAGTCGCCCCATCCGCGAAATCGAACAATCAATGCAGGCCCCTCCACCACCACCGCCGCCTGTACCATCGACGCCGCCCTCTGTGACGCGTCCTCGACGTGATAAGAGTCAGAACCGGGGTCGCTTTCCTTCTTCTACGGCTGCCGCGTTGGCGTTACAACAGGGGGATGGTTACAAACCGAGAGAAGAGCGAGGATGGGAGGAGTTCCATCCCGACTTGGACATCGACGGCAAGCTCGCCGTGTTTACTTCTGAAGAGGTCGACACTGTTGAGCCTATCGCCAATATGTTAGGCCTTGAGTCTCTTAATGGTATAAGCACGGACAGTAGCACAGGAACACCTGTTGGCTATCCTTCAGAACTGATATCGCCCGCTCCATTCAAGCGCAGGCCCGGGCGTCCTCCGCGCCGCCCTGAAGCCATCCTCAACGCTCTTTTTCATCAAGGTCCCAAAATCATTCCTCCGCCGGGGCCAAACCCCCGCGAGAGACTGACATTGCCGAAGCCATCCTTCCGGCTTAAGGACCCTTTCACTTTCTATGAGAACAAGAGCATTGGCCAGCAGAACTATGTCGATCGAACAATGGCCAGCGTTGGCTATCAGGAAAGTGACCTTTTCCTTCGTCATGACCGGCGCTTCATTCGCATGACCGAAGGTGCACAAGAAGACGATATGGACGTAATACAGCCTACCGCGATTGACGGCGATGTCAATGCGACGACTGGACGGGTCGAATACGACATGGATGAGCAGGATGAAAAATGGCTGGAAGATTACAATGTAAAACGTCGAGGTGACCAGCTTGAGCCCATCAAACCGGCCATATTCGAGATCACCATGACCAAAATCGAAAAAGAATGGCATGCTCTCGAGAAGCGAATCCCAAAACCGAATCCCAAACCGCCTCAGACACACCGACCACGGTCCAGCTCCGCAGCCGCCGTTAATGGCGAAACGGCTGGGGCTGGGGAAGATCAAGATAGTAAGTGTGCTATCTGTGATGATGGCGATTGCGAGAACGCAAACGCCATTGTTTTCTGCGATGGCTGTGACTTGGCGGTCCACCAAGAGTGTTATGGTGTTCCATTCATTCCCGAAGGTCAGTGGCTGTGCCGCAAGTGTCAGCTGTTGGGAAGAGGCACCACGAATTGTATATTTTGTCCAAACACCGAGGGCGCGTTCAAGCAGACCACCTCCTCTAAGTGGGCGCATCTTCTCTGTTCCATCTGGATTCCCGAGGTCTCCATTGGTAATCCATCACTTATGGAACCGGTCACCGATGTTGAAAAGGTACCGCGCAGTCGCTGGAAGCTCAACTGTTATATCTGCAAGCAGAGAATGGGCGCTTCGATTCAGTGCAGCAACAAGAATTGCTTTGTTGCGTTTCACCCCTCATGCGCACGGAGGGCTCAGTTGTATCTGAAGATGAAGGCTGGCCACGGGCTCATGGACTCCCATCTACTCAAAGCGTTCTGTGACAAACACGTTCCGCCAGACTGGCGATTGGAACATGGGACGGACCAGGCAACCGCCGACGCAATTGAGTACTACCGGGATGCCATGTACGGCCGACGGTGGGGCGATAGTCAGGCAGCGGCTCTTCAAATGGGTCCCTCCGAGGTGGAAGTTGGACAGGAAGAACAGACTCTTACCCCTCGCATTACTTTGACTGTGGGTGGGAATAAACGCAAGCGTGTTCCCAAAACGATCTGGAAGCTTCCCTCTGGCGCACCGGTCATCCCCCAGGTAGTTTTGACCTCCGTTATCGCGGCACTTCAGCGATTCACCGTCCGTCATCGAAAGCAATATGCGGAGGACGCGTGCAAGTACTGGACACTCAAACGTGAGGCACGACGAGGTGCTGCCCCACTTAAGAGACTCCAGCTGCAGCTAGAAACCTTCTCATCGATGGAGATGACACGAAGAGATTATGTGGCAATGGGTGTCACCGGTCACAAGCGCTTGACACGCCGTATTGAGTTTGGAGAACGGCTCTACAAAGACCTTGATCGACTAAGGATGCTTTGCGATGAGGTGAAGAAACGCGAAAGGGAGAAGTTGAAGGATGCCGAGATGCTTCGTAGCATAGTGGACATTGTCTACTTCCCAACGTTCCCCATGCTCTGGCCTATCTTTGAGAAAGCGCAACTGTAAGTCTCTTTTGCCATATTTGCTCGAGTCACACGCTAAATCACCCGCAGTTTGGACAGTAGAGGCACATTCGCGGGAGGTTTACACTGTATACGGAAAAGACTCGAGGAACGATTTTATCCATCTGTCGCCTCATTCTCTGCCGACCTGGCCAGTCTTTTCACTTCTGAGATTGGCGTTGAGTCAGCGGGAGGCACAGCTGAGCTCCAAGAACAGATATCTGGCCGTGCCTCCGGTCTTAGCATTGAGCAGCGTGAGAAACGGAAACTGGCGAAGCGAATCATCAAGGCCATTCAGCCAGCTTTGGAAGACGCCATTCGAAAGGAGAGCGAGCTAAACCGCAAGCCTTTTGAGAAGGAGCTTAAGGAGCTTGACATGATTTTGGACAATAGTTTGATGTCTCGTCGTGATTCTATCGATGTGGAAGGTGACACCGGAATGGACATTGCTCAGCCTGATGCTATGGAACGTATTAAAGAGGCTGGCGATGCGCCCAATGGTGCTGTCTCTAGTCAGGAAGTCGCACGTGAAGAAGGCAGTGACAACGACCCTACCTCCGAAGAAGGTATCAAACCAAACATCAACACAACCTTCAATCGACACCCGACTCCGGAGTTGACTGAAGAGGATCAGCAGCTGCCTCTAGCTCGTGGCGGTATTCAATGGTACATGCAACCCTTCGACCCTGTCGGTACGACCATTCACGAGGAACGCTGGACCGGACGAGATGTGATGCGTGGCATGAGCGAGGAGCTGAGTGAATTGGATGAGGATGAATTGCAAGATCTGGTGGATGATGTACCGGGCGCGGATGTGGACTCTACAAAGACAGCTGATGCAGGCAAGAGCAAGCAGAACGTCCGCCGAACCCGTCGCGGGCGCAAATAATGATTACGAGCACAAAGGCGCAGGCAGGTGTTATGGTTGTTTTCATTCTCTTGCAGATTCCCTAGGTAGATAATATGAGCGATAGTCATATTGAGAGGTCTAGACGTACTACGTGTAGCTAGTCAGAGCTAAGGCAGGTCACAGCCTTGGCCTAGACGCCTTGCTTTGCTGTCTTACCCCTGGGCGCTAATCTCGTAATTTCCACATTTTGCACTTTTCTTCTTCAACTACCCGTGAAATCTGGTGTATTTCATTTTGCTCTCTTTTTTCCCCAAACTTTCCTTAGTCACCTAGGCGAGCTTGCAAACTTGACAGCTTTCGGGAGTGTTGTTCCTTTCCGGAGGCTAGCGCCCGCTCTTATCACTGATTTCTCTTCTCTCCTCTCCTTCCTTCCCCATCAACCTTTTCGTTTTTGCAACCCATCATGGCTGATTACGACAACGATAACGGCCGTTACGCCGGTAAGCGCTTTCATCGATGTATTCTGTTCTCGATCTAATTCGTATAGACGAGCCCCGGTATGACCGCGACCGCAGCGCCTCGCCTCGCGATGAGCCCCGAGGTGATCGCGGTGATCGCGCTCGCAGCCGCTCCCCCAACGGCCGTCCCGACGACCGTGATGAACGGTATGGTCCATCATCAATTCTGTGAATGAAGGCGGTCTTGTCTAACGTGATCATAGCCCCGGTCCCCTGCGTAAGGCTCACTTGCAAGAGGAAGAGGAAGAGGAAGGTGCCCTTAATAGCGGCTCGAACCTGTTCGTCACTGGTATCCACCCGCGCCTGACTGAATCCGACATTTCGCGTCTGTTCGAGAAGTACGGTGATGTCGAGAACTGCTCTATCATGTTGGATCCCCACACCAAGGAGTCCCGTGGCTTCGGCTTCGTCAACATGGTCACCGCCGAGCAGGCCGATGCAGCCAAGGAGGGTCTTCAGGGCGAGGTCATCGAAGGCCGCACCTTGAGCATCGAGAAGGCGCGTCGCAGTCGTCCTCGTACCCCTACTCCCGGAAAATATTTCGGCCCCCCCCAAGCGCGGTAAGTTCTTTGTTTTTTGTCTTCTTCCAAGCTGTTGCTGATCATCTTTGTTTAGATGGCCCTGGTGCTCCCCGTGGCCCGCCCCGTCGTGGAGACCGCTACGATGACCGCCGTGGTGCTGGTGGAGGTGGAGGCAACTGGCGTCGCCGCGATGACGACTACTACCGCTCTGGTCGGTATGACTCCTACAACGACCGCCGCGATTACGGTCGCGAATATGGTCGTGGTGACTACCGCAGCCGTGATTATGGTGGTGGTGGTGGTGGTAGCGGTGGTAGCGGTGGTGGCCGTGACTACCGTCGCGATTCTCGTGAGGACTATGGCGGCTACCGTGGTGGTGGCAGCAGTGGTGGTCCCGACCGTTACGCTGATCGTTACAGCCGTGATGATCGCCGTGGTGATGACCGCCGTGGCGGAGGCGAAGAGTCTCGTGGCGGCTACTACGACCGTGATGCCAACCCTCCCAGCTACGAATCCGCTCCTCCCCGTGAGCCCCGTGCCCCTTACGCTGGTGGTGACAGTGCCGCTGCGGGTGCTGGCAGTGCTAGCGGTGGTCGTTCATACGAGGGCCGTGGTGGTGAAGATCGGTACGCTAGCAGGTAAAGTATTGTCTGACAAAACACAGAAGCGTCCTCTGGATGTCTTCATGGCTGAATGTTCGTTCCCATTGCCCATAATCCCCAGCTCCTCACAGTTCCTCCCCCTTTTCCATTTACTTCTTCCCATTCTGAAATTGTTTTAATGCGGGATTTGAGCGACGGGCCACGGGCGTCGTTTCCTTTTTGTGTGTTCTTTCTTTTTGCTTTCGCGTCGATCAAAAACGATAATTCGGAGCGCCATCGGCCGACTGCGACCGACTCGGCAACTTTCGGTCCTTCATGTCGTCATCTCTCGATCGCTTGATGAGGTGTCTTTATTTTATCTGTTCGCGACGCAACTCGGGAAATTCTAGCGGCAAGGAAGAAAACAATTATCGATGTAATTCGGTTGTCTCTTGGGTCAGCACTCTCGGTCAAGCTGTCCGCCTTATGCACACCACTTCAACTCTTCAACTCCAACTCCAACTCTCCAGTAACGGCTCGGTTGTATTCGATCAACTAAAGTGTCGGCCTATTTCAGCACCTTGTTGGCCTGCTCGCCAAGGCCGTCGCGCTTGTAGTATCGCCGAGCAAATGCTACAGGCGATTTAATGGCCATTTCGATATTAATTCTGGAATGAAAGGCCTTGGAAGGTAAGATTTGAGGCTGACTCGCAGATGTTTTTCTTCGATGTCTTTGCTGGACTGAGACTTGGACCTGGAGCTCGACTTGCCTGGCGAATGTCAACGCAGGGTGTTCTACTCACTTTTTCTAGGCACGACACTACGGTTATCCGGCCTGGAGATATTGAATGAACGTAATCGGAGCGCCTTGAGCTAGCTGACTATCCCGGTAGGTGCACAAGTGGTTTTGATTGAAATATTAGCCGAGTAAGGGGTCAACTCAATGGATTTGGACAATGTGCAACATGCTCATCTAGGCAGGTGCGTCTAAAAATCCGTACTTTGTAGACCAAGCAGGCGCCTATCGTGTGTTCTTGTCCACTTAATTTACGCTTACTCCCACTACACAGAGGGCGTGCAGATGGGCAGGATCTGCTAGAAGGGGGAGTTGCTCAACATATAGTCCTGGTCCACCCGGGATCCAGGTTCATTGATGGTGTACTTGAAATATGTAATTGGGGTATCACACGACTCCGTGCTGCTGGAGACTTCCAAACTCGGGAGTTAGGATACTGATCAAGATCCAAGAGACAGACCAGGTTCAAGCTCTTGTCCATTTCGTAGTATCGAATCCGTCCAGCCTGCAAACGCCTATAAAGCATAAACCAATCCCATGTCGATAAAAGTTCACTCCGTTCTGTTCGCATCACGTTCCAGCTCATTGCTCTTTTGAATCAAGTACTCTCCAAGCACACGCAGAGGATTGTTTGGCCTAGAATCAGGTCAGCCCAGTCCGGAGTCCATAATTATCTTCACACTGGTACACCCACTGTTCCTTCGCAATAGACTTCATTCCCTCAAGCAAAGTGGGAACGATCTTCTCGTTCAGGTAGACACGCGCCGGAGCACCGCCAGGGCGTACCTGGGTCGTGGAAGCAGCAGCAAGATCCATTTGGGCAGAGCCCACGCCATTGGTCTCAGTCATTATGGAATGCGGTTTCGTCGATGCGTCTGCGGAGACTAGGATCGAAGGAGTCGGGGTATCGAACGGTATAGTCGAAGGCTGTTGTTCAAATGGAAAATCAGGATGGAAAATCAGGATCAGGAGGAAGAGGAAGCTATTCCTCATTCAATGGTAACGTGGCTTGGGGTTTCTGGGGCAGGTAAAGGGTTTGGGTCCGGATCAAGGTTGCGCAGAGCGGAGCCGTGGAGCTTCCAGAAAGCTCGCACTTGAACGGAGACTTCGGCTTCTTACCTGTGCTTCGGCCATGATAAGATCTGCCTGTCAATGTCAACAGACTGTGACTAAACCTTTATTCTTTTCTTTTTGTTTTCTCTGCTTGCCGTGGATGTTTCGTGCTTGCGCCGGTCACTTCGATTACAAACAGGTCAAACAGCCTCGTTGGGATATATGGACCACGTGACTTCGTGTTTTCCGCGAGTTGTTAGACGCGCCGTCGAAGACCGAGTATCGTTTCCATTAGTCGAAGTTGGCGGGTTCCTGTCCATGGCATCTTTCAAGCATGTCTTTGCTGCATTTTTGGGAAGACTCAGCGCTTTGTGAAGCGCAGAAAGACCTCTGACCAGTACTCCGACAGTGAGGAGATCGTCCACGCGAAGCCACCGCCGAGTCCGAGTCCTTCCACAGGAGTGACGGAACCTGTGCCTGTCGATGAGATTGATGCATATATTCCGAGCAGCCAGACAGATCTAGAGACCTCTCTACCCGTCATAAAGATCGAAAAGGATGCGATTGAAGAATACGAAGCGTCGAAGATCGAGGACGGGGAGAATGGACCGGAACTCCATGTCAGGCTGCGGGATGGTGTCTGGCAAAAAGGCAAAAGCTCCATATATGTGGATGCGTTCAATCTAGCGCTTGAGACCGTGTTGGATGACGAATCGCATCTCTTTCATGAAGCTGAGATGGAGGTGTTCAAGCAGTGGAAGGAATTGTCCTACGAGTCGCAATATTTGTACGTTTTCCCTCCTAATACCGATGATGTCTTTCAAAATGGTGATTAACATCTCAAATATACTAGGTATGTACGATTATTCCTCCGCAAGACTTCTGCTTGGCACCGAATCAATCGGCTGGGCTACTACTCCGATATTTCAGACTTGGCTTTAGTAGCTACAGATCTTCAACGTGATCGAGATCTACCATCCGGTGAAAGCCAAGACGATGATAAGCACGCGCTCGGCTCTACCTTCCGGTTTGCCGATGGCACACAAGAGATTACCACGCTGGAAGAAGCGTCTTCTCTTCTGCTGCTGGATGAGTTGAAGGGATTTGCAAAGGATGTCAAAGCACAAGGCAAGAACAAGAAAGACCTAGTAGCAGCATTGTGTGAGACGAGTCAAAGTCAAACTGGTCTAGGGTTCAAGGATAAGACAGACGCCAACAATCCCGGTAACAGGGACGACCATTTTGTAAAGAAGATTTTGGATTATACGGGCGACTGCATTCGTCTGTCGCCGGGTCCACGCACTCTCTTCGAGCGAGTCCATCTCGTCTTCTACAGATCGACAGAGTGGACGGAGAAGTCACTCACAACCATCATTCTCGCCAAAATCTCAAGGAGAAACTTCCCAGAATATATAGTTTGTCGGTCAAACTCAATATTCTCATCCAGGGCATCACTCCTCGAATTTGAATCTGCAATTCGCACTCAGTTTGACATCGACAATATCTTGGAATTCAACGGTGCTCCAAGCACAGAGTCTTTACAAAAGATTATAGACCTCGCGGACAAGTTCTATCCTCGATGGCAATTTATGGTCAAAGAAGAGCAACAAAAAGAAGACTCGATCTATGAGAGCGGCGAGGGTGCTTATCTGCGTCGTTTCTCGCCCGCTTGGGTGTACACGAGAATCATCCATAAAAGTCTTCACCCCCTTGGTCGATTCAAGGAACATAAACGCGAGCACGAGGTCATCTCAGACCTCCTTGCACAGCGGCTATTCCACGCGGCTCGTCGAGGGGCTTGGTACCAGCGTAAAGCACTTCTTGAAGAACACTACATGTGGGCCCTCATGCCATCGGAGGGCCGCAATGAAGAAAAGCAGCGCAAGTTCTGGAAACGAATTGCGCTACGGACGTGCGAAGAGGGACTTGAAGATCCGCTCTGTCATATTATATATCACTACGATCTTCAGAAACGGATTATGAAGCTTGAGAAAGCTCTGAAAGTTGTCAAGCGAGAACAGCACGATTTCGGACACGTCATGCTAAGCAAACCCGTTGAACGAACCATCGAGGGTATCCGCATAGAACGCGACATCGATGTCTCGAGAAAGGGCAAGGCTACCATCTGGATCGACGAACGCGAGGGCGGCGAGTGTAGAGTTGAAAGCATGTGTCTGAGCTGGTACCGCGACCATGGCTGGAAAGGCTACCATTCCGAGGGGGGGCATTATCAGGACTTTGTTCGGGTACCTTTTCTATGATATCTTGTTCACTTATGTTCCGAACGTCTTCCAGACTCCGTTTCAGACGTGTCCGCTCGATCTGCACACTGATGTCTTTTATCCGTCTCGTGCGTCAGAGATCAATCATCGACTGGTCGAAATTACCAATGGCGATGCTGAGCGGATTATCCGCGAGATCCATGAGCGGGAATCTGCTACTCAGCCGTGTGCTATTGGGATTGACTGGTCTTTTGAACTGAATGACCTGGTTGAGATTGTGCAGTGTTTTCGAGGTGAGGCGCTGGCTACTATATGTAAGGTGATGGCTCAGGAATATCAGCAGCGTGGAGGAGGAATTCCAGATCTGTTCCTGTGGAACCCGCAGGAACGGGTTGTCAGGTTCTCCGAAGTAAAGTCGGAAAACGATCGGTTGAGTGATACCCAGCGGTTGTGGATTCATATTCTCATGGCGGCGGGTGTACAGGTTGAGTTGTGTAATGCCGTGGCGAGGGAGGTGAGGACGGAATGAAGTGTTTCCTTCGGTTCGCATATTGTACATGGATTACGACGCATACGAATGATATACCCCAATCTACTAGAAAAGCATTTTTAGACTGAGAAGTCTACATTACGTGGTTTTTCTCAGGGCAAAGAAAATTGGGTAATTGGCATGAAAGGGTATAACTCGTAATAGTTTCTTTTTTTTAACGGGTGTATCTAGCACAACTGAAAGAGATCCGCAGACAATGTCCGACAGAAACCTTCAGATCCCCATTCCAAATATCCACAGACAACACACCTTACGCTTATGCGACAAGGGTGGAGGCGGTGGCGCTCTCGTAGCGCCAGGTGGGGGGCAGAACACCGACGGTCTTGTAGTAGCGAGACAGACGGTGGATACGGGACTCGATCAGAATGAGGCGGAACTTGGAGTCCTTGTCCTTGCGGTTGCGCTCGAGGTGCTTGCGGACAGCGACGGCCTAGTTGCAATTGTTAATCGGATCAATCGCAAAAGGAGATGAATATCTTGCACAAACCTTCTTGATCAGGAAGTAAAGGTCCTCGGGGAGCTCGGGGGCGAGGCCTGTATTCCAAAATCTCTCTGTCAGTCTAATTCTTGACCAAGCAGAGGCTTAGCTGCTGGCGCATTCCTGCGACCAGAGTTTGTATGTGGATGTCGAGTGATAGCGAAGAGAAATCTATGGTGACTCGAGAAAGTCGATGCCAAGAATACTCATGCGATACTCGTTTTTCATCCGATTGATGTAGGGGGGGGGTTTCGGGAGTCGTACCGCTGGACTTCAAGATACGGAGGATCTTGTTACCTATTCACACATAAAGTCAGCGCTTCGCCCCTTCCAATCGCAAATCGGCACTCTCGCAGGGATTCCATACCAGTGACAATCTTGACCTGGGCAACACCGTGGGAGTCACGGAGGACAACACCGATCTGGGAAGGGGTGGCACCCTTCTTGGCCAGCTTGCAGATGTGGTCAACAACCTGCTCGGGGGTGGTCTTCATCCACGCGGGGGCGGTGCGAGAGTAGGGGATGGCAGAGGACGAAATGCCCTTGCCCTTGGAGTGAAGACGACCCATTTTTGCTGAAGTGTCCGGCGAGGATTGCTTGTCGGAAGTTGTCGAGGTGGATGGTAAAATTCAACGGTGGAGAGCGGAAGGTTTGGGAATTGAGAATTGTGTGGGTCACGTGGCCACGGCCCGTTCGCTTATTTTTCAGCGACTTTTCCTTGGTCACGACCTCCTCTCTTTCTACCCGTAAACATGGTCTTGTTCACACCTCGACGTGGCTTGGAACTGATGTGTTCGAGACGGTCGTTTGGTGGAGAATCATCTTTTGGCTTCAAATATGCGACATTTCACATGCCATATACGATACTCACTACAATCAGGTCAGTTTCCTCTTTACTACTACGCTGCCCTCCACGCCTCATTCTATGATGAAAAACACTTTTTTTTACTATTTTCTGGTACCTCTTATGTCAGAAGGCGTGTTTTCGGATACGTCTTCGATGATCTAACTGGACTTCTGATCTTTGCCCATGACTATCACATTTCTGTCATTCACGTTGCGAAACGGTCATACTAACTTCGCAATAGACTCCACAGATACCTACACGATCGATCTTAAGATAGCATTCAACGAACACTCTTTGTCATCAATTGTGCCTTCAATACCGCTACACAGGTGATTGGTCTTCTATATTTGTTGCTGTCGTATACATTGGTCGTACATGATTCAAGTCCCTCACGGGCGCAATCTTTTAGACATGCGCCTAGTCTCCGTAGTCGTAGATGCATGGACAATTTCTGTTGTCGACCCCTTTCGCTTCTTTCCTCGAGACGTTTCGGCAAGTTTTCGCTCCAGATCTTCTAGCTTGACCTCGACTTCCTCTTTCGGCGCAGTCAAAGCAACAGCCGTCGTCACTTCTGTTTCGATCTTCACCTCCGAGTCTTCCTCCTTCACTTTCACGTTGACCTTCTTCGTGGCGGCAAGTCGGTCAGCGAATGATCTTAGATCAGCAGTAAAGAGCACACTGTGAGCCCATCCAGCTTCCTGGCCCCAGAGTTTGCGGAAATGATTGCCAATGGCGTCGTAGGTTGCTTTGGTCAAAGATTTCTGAGAACCTTTGCCAAATCGGTAGTCTCGCTGGGCAATTTGCCAGACTGTAATAGATTAGCCAAGCACGACTAGGCTGTGAACTTAAGCTTACCATGTGTATCAACCGGCACTGACTCCCCCCATCCCAAGCCAAATAGGGACACACAGTCTGCTACTTTAGGCCCAACACCTTGTAATTCAAGCAGTTTTTCATGAGCTTTGCGATAACCTTCTCGGCCCTCAGGCTTCATTTCGCTTCCTGCCTTGGCCTCTATGCCAAATGCAGGCGACTCCGGATTGCAGAGACCATTCAGCCATCCATTTTCTCGCTCCTGAGAGACCATGATGGCCGTGCGATGGATATATTTCGCCCTGTATCCGAAGCCCAGGCTGCGTAGGCGACTCTCCACATCCTTGCCTGTCAATGCCTCCGGTGCAGGAAAATCGTGGTATGCGCGCCCATCAACCGTGCCAACGAAAGGGCCATAATTGATGCACAGTTTATCCACCATTTGCGAAATTCGAGGAATATTGTTGTTGCTGCTGCAAATAAATGAAACCAGAGCCTCCCATGGCTCCTGGCGTAAGATGCGAATGCCACTGAATTCAGCGGCCTTTTTCTTAAAATTGGGATCCGATGATGACCACTGTGCGTAGAGTTCTTTAAGATTTGATGAGAGATTGAGGTAATGTTTTAAGATGTGCACAAGGTGGTCATCCTGCGAGTTGCATAGATTTGTCTTGCTGTCCGCGACTTCTGTATCTGATTCCGCACGAGAGGGAATCTCCGAGGAAGGTGGGGTTGGCAAGGTGGGAGGTTGAGGTTGATATGCGCGGTAGTATAGATAGCTAGAATCTTGTTTCAAAGAGAGAAGGTGACCGTAAAGGACGCATCGCCACTCCTGGCTTTCGGGGATGTTCTGCCATCTAGAAAGGGTGAGTACAAATCTCCTGGAATCAAAGAAGCGTAACCGACCTGAAAGATTGACCGCAACGAAGCGTGGTATTAATGCACAATTCACCGAGGCTGACCGGCAGCCTGCGCCATTCACAGAAAACACCAGCCATTGTTCAAAAGCATCATTCGTGTTGAAAGTGAGCGACGCAAAAAGATGCCGATAAGCTTTCTGCCGTATCGCCCCAAGATAGTAGGCGGTGAGAACAATACCGCCTCAGTAGGAGCTTCCAGTTTTCCCCTTCGCGGCTGCGCCAGCCTAAGAGCTTCGCCATTCCCCCAGCTCAGCATGAACGGAGATACCTATTCCTCCAGAGGTGAGTATCCAGAGTCGCTTTAATTAATCAAGTCTAACTTTTGCAGATTCTGGACGCCCGCGCGATTACTATGTAAGTGCCAGCTTTGCAGTTCCCAGACTGCGACTAACCTATTCCAGCGTGACGAGCGACGTGATCGTGACAGAGCAGCCCCGGCTGATCGAGCGGAGAGACCAGAGAGACCCGAGCGAACAGAACGGCCGGAGAGAGAGAGCGACGACGATCTCGGTCGCCTCACTACGGGTCCAGGGGCGGCGGCCGCCGTGAGCAGGAGACCAACTCCTACTCTTCCAGCCGCGACTACCGTGCTCGGGAGCGCGAAGACCGCTATTCCAGCGGCCGACGGGATGATCGGGAATGGGATCGCGGTGACCGCGGCGACCGTGCTGAGCGTGGGGAGCGTGGAGACCGTGGAGATCGCCGACGTCGTGACTTTGATGACAGACCTCGACGCGGTGACTTGTTCGAGGACCGACCCCGACGTGGTGGTCGCGAAGATCGACCAGATCGCGGTGATCGCGGCGAACGCGGTGATCGTGCCGATCGTGGAGAAAGAAGAGAGCGGAAGAGGAGCGCCTCACCCCCGAGGCGCAAGGAACCCACACCAGACTTGACGGACGTTCCTTCGATCTTGGAGCGCAAGCGTCGCCTGACACAATGGGATATCAAGCCTCCGGGATACGAAAATGTCACTGCCGAACAAGCTAAGCTCTCGGGCATGTTCCCTCTGCCTGGAGCTCCTCGTCAGCAGCCGATGGACCCCAGCCGTCTGCAGGCCTTCATGAACCAGCCAGGTGGATCGGCCGAAAGCACAGCGCTCAAGCCATCCAACTCCCGTCAAGCCAAGCGTCTTTTCGTGTACAATATTCCCGCCACCGCGACCGGAGATAGCGTCATGTCTTTCTTCAACCTACAGCTCAACGGCTTGAACGTCATTCACAGTGTGGACCCGTGTATCTCCGCTCAAATTGCCGACGACAAGTCATTTGCACTCTTGGAATTCAAGTCACCGAACGACGCAACTGTCGCCCTTGCCTTTGACGGCATTACCATGCCAGAAAGTGGGGAGAAGGGTCTCGAGGTCCGACGGCCCAAGGACTATATCGTGCCGGGAAGCGCAGAACAAGAGTCCCAGGAAGGCGCGCTGTTAAATGAGGTGCCAGATTCCCCCAACAAGATCTGTGTTTCCAACATTCCTGCCTATATTCCGGAAGAACCCGTCACAATGTTGCTCAAATCGTTTGGCGAACTTAAATCATTTGTTCTTGTCAAGGACGCTTCCACTGAAGAGTCACGAGTCAGTATTTTCTTCCAAAGTTTTGCCATTCACAACTAATGATCCATAGGGCATCGCCTTCTGTGAATACGTCGACCCCGCGGCGACTCCCATTGCCGTGGAGGGTCTGAACGGTATGGAGCTAGGTGACCGTCACCTCAAGGTCACCCGCGCCAGTATTGGCGCAACCCAGGCGGCCGGCTTGGACATGGGCGTCAATGCCATGTCGATGTTTGCCAAAACTACATCCCAGGATATGGAGACTGGCCGTGTTTTGCAGCTCCTGAACATGGTCACTGTGGATGAACTGCTCGACAACGAAGATTACGAGGAGATTATGGAAGACATTCATGAGGAGTGCTCCAAGTTCGGAAAGATCCTGGGCCTCAAGATTCCCCGCCCCAGCAGCGGAGGCCGTCAACAAGCTGGCGTTGGGAAGATTTACATCAAGTTCGATACTGAGCAATCGGCGACCACCGCTCTGAAAGCGCTGGCTGGCCGCAAGTTCTCAGACCGCACTGTCGTGGTGTCGTACTTTGGCGAGGAGAACTTTGATGTCGATGCTTGGTAAAAGGACGGTGCCTGATCTGACTAGTACTTTCTCATTCCATTCCTTTTGCTTCTGGTAAAGGAGTCTACATGTATCATAGCAGCAAAGCCTACATGCATTCGGTTATGATGGCTTGATTCTGAAATTTCTTCCAAAATGTAACGCCCTGGTCTCTTTCTCTCAATTGAAGCCAAAACTGTGAAGCCGCGAGGCTTTCAAAATTCCCTTTTAGTACCTGCATGATGTTGTCATGACGGTTTTTCAAAATGATCGGGGGCTAAGCCCTCGCCTAAGCTATAAAATTGTCACTGCTGCATCGGTTTGTTCTATCTCGAGCCTGTAATTCCAAAAACGTGTGAGTCAATCCATTATGAACGCCTAAGCACAACCCCAGACACATTCAAACCACTCTGCAGACCACCAAATTAGTGGTGAAAAGGTGATCATATGGATAAGCGCCAGGCCTTATGTGTTTCTGTTGCTTAGAACCTACTTGAACGCGCCAACATTCCCCTTGGTGTCTTCGCACTATTAATCCCGAAGGAAAAGCGACGCATAATACCAGTAATGACCTCATTCTTCATGATCTCAACAAATTTATAGACCGTCGAAGACGGAAAGTGATCCTCTTTGGTTCTCACTGCTTCTGTTGGGCCATCCGTCAATGTGAATATACATCCAAGCCACGCGTATACTTTGCTTGGCTCTTAAGTTTGGCCTGAACTACCCCAGGGCTAGTATCCTCTTATAACACTCATTTTCTCAAAGAAGATGTTTTCTTGTACAGCTCATTCTCATTTCGCATGATAAGCAAGTTGAAAGAATTAGTATATGGAGTATATGGATTTAGGTTCATATGGAAATAAACCAGTCAATGTATGAAAAGAAACAACCAAAAAGTCCCGCTCGTTCAATCTAATCTTGAGCCAAGATACGCGCAGCAGCAGCCTCAGCAATGATCGTAATGGTGGCCTGGATGTTACCAGTAGGCAGGTCAGGGTGGATACTGCCATCGATCACGTACTGAGTTTTATCTTGTTAGTTTGAATCTATCAATAGTAGAAGTGAAGAAACTTACCAAGTTATCCATTCCGTAAACCTTAGTGTTGACATCCACAACGGAAGTGCCGTTCTTAAGACCATTATCGGTACCCATCTTAGCAGTACCAGTGTAGTGCATTCCAGGGGATTGGGAAGCGAGTATAGCAGTAGTGTTCAGGTTGGTCTTCAATTTAAAGCCAGTCGCGGGGCCCTGGATATTGTTGACTAGCTGCTGAATGAAGGAACGAGCCGCCCGGCGTCCGTCGGCAGTCTGCATGTAGGGGGATCTCTCAAAAACGGTGTTTTGATTGACATCCAGGCCCAGAACACCTTGAGAGGTAGACCCGTGAGTCAAGTAGGTGGTGATATCGAGAACGGAACCTGCGTTCGGGCACAAGAGCCCTGGTAGTAGCGAGTCTGGTTGTGCAGCTTGTTGGAGCTGAAGAAGATCATACGGTGCTTGCCCTGGGTCAAGAGACCGGTGCCGTTCTTGTAGAGGTTGATGTCGGTGGTATCGCTGCCATCAATGATGGCGTCGTAGTCGGGGACGCCGTAGTCGCCGCCGGTTTCCACGTAGATAGAGAAGATGGGATGATCACGGAGGCCGACACCAACGGGAAGCTCAAGCCACTCCTTCTCAGCGGGAACAGTGACACCGCTCTTCTTAGCGGTCTCGATCTGCTTCTTTGGGCCAATGCCGGAGTTGAAGAGAATACGGGGACTGGACAAAGCGCCAGCGGCGAGAACGACACGGCCTTTATCGGCCAGAGAGACGATCTCAGTCTTGCCAGAGGCAAGCTGCACCTCGACACCTGTGACTTGGCTGCCGGAACGCACGACTCGGATAACATTCGCACCAAGGTTCAGGTCGAAGTTCTTGCTCTTCTTTGCCTCGGGCAAATAAGTGCGGACGGGACCGCCACGCTTCTGATCCTTAATATTCCAGGCTGGGTAGCTGTAGACCTGGTGTTTCTCATCGGGCTGGGTAATCATGTCCACGGATTTCCAGCCAAGCCTGTTGAAGAAGTTGGAAAGCACATTGTACAGATTCTGGTCGTACCGCTTTCCATCGGCAGAGGGCAAGATGGTACCAGGGTTGCGCTTGTACAGACGATCAGCCGCAGGCTTGAGGTCCCTCCACTTCCATCCCACGGGCCAGTTGTTGTTGTCATCAAAGTCGTGAGCAGGAGGGTGCACGAAGACCATGTAGTTGACGGTCACCCCTCCACCGAGGACGCACGCAGCGTAGCCAACGGTGTCACTACACAGATATTCATTCCAGAGGTCGAGGTTACCAACGTCGGCAGAGAGACCGGGTAGGTCGATAGGTGTCAAGTGCTTGTTCCACATGAGGGTCTCGTTGGCTCCGGTTGCGACGGTAGGGCCGACGCCTCGTTCGAGAAGAAGGACCTTGTTACCTGCCTCGATGAACTTCTCGGCGGCGATGATACCAGCAGGGCCACCGCCAACGACAATGTAGTCATAGTATCCGTTCTTGAGGCTAGATGCTGAGACAAGCCCTCCCAGGGTAGCAATCAAGACTGCTTGTCAGCTTGCACGAAGAAACCGCATATTGAAAATTGCCCGAATACTCCGTACAGTTGAGATTAAGAGTCCTTGGGGTGCTCTATAACATTGGGGATCGGCGGCTTTAAAAAGTCTGCATCTTTTGCTTCCAGTGGCCTGTCAAGGGTGTTTGAGACCCGAGTCCAGACCGATTTCAGGTCTCCATATTGTGTCATAATTCCTGCAGACCCAGGACCTACCTCTCATGTTGGGCCAAGAAAGCTGCTAAAAAAAGAATTGGCGATGCTAAGCTGAGAGGCCGGACCATTGGATGGGTGGAAATTTCAGTCTTCTGTCAGTCATAGTTTCATCTCAGGAACAAAAAACGAGAGGATGTCAAATTGAGGTTAGTGCAGACCGACCACACGGCTGTTATTGTAAACTGTCTCCACAGCGCGGCCGTCAAACGGCCATGCCAACGGTCCACCAACTTCCGGAGAAGCCGTGAAGACATCTTATTTGCTGAATTGTGCTCTGAATCCTGCATTGTGGACCGGCCATTGTCCTATCAAGGGAATGCACCGAGTGGAGATACCCTTGAAGAAGCATGGATCGCTTGACATGAGGCGTATGAGGTCAAGAAGGGTGCGTTATCTGATTGAGATCATTAGGACGGCACTCTCGGGTATGTCATTTGCCGTGGAAAGGAAAAACAGACCAGCCGCACTTTAGATAAGACGAGCACTGATCTGGTTTTCTGATTGAGTTCGATCTACGGTTTAGATCAGTGGGAAAATAAGGGAGCGTAAGCTTTTCGATTAGCGAAGTATATTTCTCTTGTTCCCTAGTTGAACTTGCAGCGCCTACTGCAATGATGTGTATTCAATTGCATATAAGAAATGCTGAAAGAGCCTGGCAGAGTATCGGAGCCTATTTCTGACTTGTAAGCTCGCACAACTTCTCGATCGGCGGTCGATTGTCTAGCTTCGTGCGGGCGGCTGTTTGATTATCCTTTTCCCGCAGAGTTTGAGATTGATTGTGTTTCACTAGAGGGCGGACTCAGGGCTCATAAGAACACCCCATGCCAAGATGGACGGTCGTTTCAAATCAGGCCTATCCCGTCAAGATGATGCAAAGCCTGTACCTTATTAGCGATTGAGGCTATGCAATGGCACAAGGGGTCCTGTTTTCAAGATCTGGAGTGATATGGGGAGGCGGGGGTTTGTAGATCAGCCCCGAGCAAAGTAAAAGGGAAAAAATGAAAAATCGAAGAGATAAATGAGTTATATGGAATTATATCTGTGGGACGCATTGAATGCTGTCCTCGTGCTTATTGCACCTAAACAGACGCATGAGTAGACACAATCCGCCCAGAATTGCCGTCACGCCTGTACACACAATGAGAAGGCCAAATCCGCTACCATATGCGCCCCAGGCCTGTCCCTTCCAGCCATCTGCCTCGAGCAATGCCTCGCTGAGAGGACCACTCACAATGTTGCCAATTCCACGGCCAAATGCAATGAACGAGAAAATGATCGTTGGGTCGGCAGTCGGATCAACCCGTTGGACTTCGTTAATCATTCCTGACCAGGTCGACGAGTAGCTGCCTGCAAATAACCCATATGCAACAGAGAACACCAACAGAACGGGAATATTTATCGATAATCCCCAGAGAAGGAAGATCGATGCGGCCGCTCCGGCAGTAGCGATCGCGATGCAGTTTTGTACATGAAATCGGTCTGACAAGAATCCCATGGAGACGCTGCCGAATATAGATGCCAAATTGAATGCCGTGACGGTGAATGAAGAAACGAATGCAGAGATTCCGATGGCTCGGGCGTAAGTCGGAAGATATAATGCGGGCAAGAAGAAGCCGAGCGCCTCGAAAACATTTCCTAACTGATAGAAAATAAATACTCTTTTGAACAGAAACCGGAAGGTGAGTCGCCGAGAGACACTGATGGGGATTCGAGGCTTGTGGAAGTATAACAACGGACCCGCCAGCACAAATCCCAGCACAGACAAAATTCTGAGGGTGGTTTGGAACCCGAATCGGCTCAGGAGTTTCTCTAGGACTAGAGGGAAAATGATCCCAGAGAGTCCGGAGCCAGCCCAGACCATACCGAAAGCGAGACCCCTCCGTTTCACGAACCAATCCGGCATGAATAAGATGGACGGGCTGTATGCTATGCAGCCACCAAAACCGAACGCAATTCCTTGCGATAGAACAAGATGGGTCACATTTGTTGCAAAAGAGCCCATGGCGAGTGACAGGCTCATGACGACTAGCCCGATCGTTGAGAACCAGCGAGTCATACCCGGAAGCAAAATCATCGCGACTATTGTCAAGGGACAGCTCAGATAAGCCACACCCTTTTTCCATTTGTTAGCACAAGAAAGGTCATGAAGTTGATTCATGTTCTTACTGTGGCACACGTTCCGATCAATGCTACCATTTTCGAGTCTTTGAAGGCGTCCTGAGTCCGGTAGTAGCTCTGAAATACGCCGAAGGAAAACGCAAGTCCTGCGGAAATCAGCAAATGCTCTCTATACAGAATATTATCGTGTCTCACCCCACACTAGCGCCTCTATCATAGCAGATGCTGCCAAGAATAGCCATGCCTGGATACCGCCATCTTGAGGAGGCAGCGTATCCCCTGCAGGGACTGTCTCCTTCTCCTTGGGTGCGCATCGACAATGCTCAAAGCTGCTGCTTGGTGATGAGCAGGTGCATATTGTGTCTGGTGTCTCCATCACATTGGATATTTCGGAAATGTCGAGAGCCTTTGCTTATCATATCCCTCGATACGTTCGAGACAAGATTGGAAGATGAGCGGTAAATGACCGAGCGGAAATAACATCAAACTCCTTTGTTCTTAAAGAAGGGGGTTAGTTTTCGGTTCAATCAAGTGACGAAAGGAATTCATACGCGAGTCGACATCATAGGGCTGGCATGCGACGCATCGGTGGAAGTGCTCCAAGTTGAAAGAGCAGAGCCTTGCCAGCCCCTTGGATCGTGATTTCTGAATGTTCCATTTCAATCATGCAATAATCCCTTCTATTTGGCCATTTCAATCTCAAAGAATGTCACGAATTAGATTACCCCAGATCCAGGAGTCGTGTTGAACAGGGCGGCGGCGCCTGGAAAGCTCTAAGGGTTGCAATTGACGGGCTCTGCGTGGGGCATGAAAACATCTCAAGGGTACTCTCGGGGGATTTTCAATTCGATCGTCACGAAAGCCGGCTAAGCACGGAAAGTCGAAGGGCTGGAATGTAGGATGTTTTGATTTCAAGGTCCAGCTTGTGTCCCGTGCACTTTAACACGGATAAGGTAGCCCATGAGATCATTGGCACACAGCTCCGGAGCTCGTTATAGGGTTGACTCCTTGCTTGGCACAATTCTTCGGGGACTTTCAGGCCCAGATAGCTCAGATGTGGTGGCTTTCTGAGTTTGTTAGAGGCTCAGCTCAGTTCCGTCATACGGCCTTCTGGATGCACATGCGACTGCCCCTCACCGTCCACTGTCTGGGCCATGGATAGAAGCATTGACAGGTCATCCGCGTTTTCGCACCATGCGGCGATTCCTCTTTCCTATCTGGGCTTATAGATTTGGCGACTCTCTCAACGTATGCTGGAAGACTGTCTGAGCAAGAACAGATCTCGCAAGGTCAACCCTCGCCTTCCTCCCTGTTCTTTGGCAGCAACATGTGCTTATTCTATTATTTTCCACTCTTTGTCTGATATCAGCTGCCACAGTTCGCGAACACAGAGCAGTAACATGTCAAGGAAATCATCACAATCCCCTCTAGAAGGGGTCTCGGTATCTATGTGAAGTGAGAGATCAATAAGTAGAGGAGGCAACCAATCCTGTGCACTTTAGTAAGAATTTGACCTGGATTTTCAACTTGATGTCTCAAAGACAAACCTTCTCAAGCTTTCTACGAAGACCCATTAAGGGCTGGAGGAGCACAAGTGATTTTTATCCTGGCCCCACATGTGCAGATCGTAGAGCTCTTCAGCAAATCTCTATTTCAAAAATTGCAGTGTTAGCGTAATGAATGGACTGTCAAATTCAGACCGTGAGATGGAAAACCAAAACCGACCTCAATCGTTGCAACCATCCGTGCACTGAGAGCATAGGATGCCATATACCGTAGCCGCCTGCAGGGCCTGAAGCATCTTCTGATCGTCATAGCTCTCATACTGATCAGAAAATCAGCATTCCCGGATCTGGAGTAGTACTGGTGAATACATGGGGAACTTACTTCCTCGCTCATTTGCCGTAAATGAGTACATATTTGCTTCCATACAAAGCTACGCCTCCCTAGTAGACGTGCATAAAACATCTTCGTTAGGTTGACGCAAACTGCAAGCGCTTCGTGCAAGCATTGGTGGGGCGAGTCTGGCGGACACTCGTCATTAGAATCGAGTGAACAGGGCGTGTGGACGAAAGATGGCAAGGTTTGGGCCTCGGTGACCATGCGAGTGTAATCCGTGAGACGACCGAGGAGCATTTCACCGGTCAAAGATCCCTGTTGGAGTGTTCTCGCGCCCTGCAGAGCTGGGGACTGAGTAACTTGGTACTTGGCATGAAGTTCAAGGACTTGGGCGTCGTCAGCTCGAACTGGTTCCCATTTAAGCCAGTCATATCGAACGTGTCTGATAGATTGTAAAATTGCGTGAACTCCGAGTAGTCGGAGAAGTCTGGTGTTTGGGTACTTAGTCCGGCTGCCGCCATTTCGTCTTCTCCCAAGAAGTGTATTGAAGCCTACAGAGGCTGCTCCCGTCAGTGCTGGAGTGAGCTACGCAGGCCTCGGGGCCAAGATGATCTTGGATATCAGCCGCAGATGAAGAGCCTGCAGGTCTCAGGGGCCGGAAGCTTGTCCATTGATAATTAGAGTGGGCAATGGCAGACGTGTAATGGCACTCGATGTGGCGCTTCGCGCAGCGCGAGCATGGAGTTGACAAAGAGCATCCGGCCTTAGCGCTGCGGCAATTCACACACGCCTTTGCTCGTCGCACCGGCCTCCTTTCTCATATAGATTGTCGAGTTCATTAAAAGTGAACATGGCAATGACTATGCTTATCAAAGCTGAAGGATGCATCATCAATGATTCATCCGTGGGCGGACGTTTCCCAATTTCATTCACAAATGTGTATACCCGGGACAACACCGTGAAGATTCAGGCTGAGAGTTGTGTCTAGGCATCTACCAAGCAACCAAGGCTGCTCTCATTCAAGCAGGCGAGGTATTGCGTCTGGAAATAGCACCTCTGGGTGTGCGCGTCCTTACCGGGAAGCTGCGGCGTCGAGTATCGCATGCTTCTCATCACAGGCGGCATCACGACAAACTTCCTGACTAATATTCCGACTCTGCTGTTGCCGGAGAATTCCTACTACCATGGCATCAGGAACATTATTGAAGAACAACCTTAGCAGGTACCCTTCGGTGGAAGCCCGAAAATTTTCGCGTGGAAAAAGGGACGGCAGGCAAATACTGGATGGGATGCGCTGCCGGGTTTGCTCGCTGATCAATATGGCTTTTACCAGAGTGCTTGTGAGGATTCAAAGCAGCATCGCCTTTCACACATCTCAAGTTAAGTAATGCTTAGTGTACTAGGATCGGTTTTCTTTGAGCCAGAAACCATTTTCCAAGAAGCTGGCTGAAGAGCATAAGAGATAGACGGCGCAGGATAAGAAGCTTGAACAGTGGTCGACAGCTATCGCGTGAATAGAAACATGGGATAGCCAAGTGGAAGTACCATCAAAGGCCTTCAACTTTCCGAAGCTCGCAGCGTCTGGAGCCGCGGCGTGACATTGGAGAAAGACCATGGCAGATGGATTTTGATACTACAATATGGGAGGTTCCAATCATTCTACCTCTAGGATTCATGGGGATCAAAGCGAGACCACCTCGTGGGGTGATAGTTATACAGAAAACTGAAGTGCCACAACTATCCATCATAGTTTCCGTTTCCGAAAGCAAATGCTCCCCTGTAAATGGAGCGCTTTCCGTCTCTGATTGGTGCGTTGAATAAGTTCCTTAATTTTCATTGGTTGTTTCCGGAACATGCCCTCTTTGCCCGGCTTAAGCTTAAATCTTCTTGACCTTCTTTGCAAAGCCACCTAAGGTACGATGTAGTGATTTCGCTATCGAGATTCACGATCAGATCTGATTATATGAAAATTTGTATTGAATTATGCCCATGTAGCTAAGCTACGGGCCCTAGCCCGTCGCGTGTGAAGCGAAGCCTTGCTACATGTCCCCCTCCATGTACATGTCGATCATTGCCTGTAAAATGAAGTGACAGACCTCGGGAAACATCCAAGGTTGGAGACCTATACTCAGGCTAGGATCAACCAGGTTCAAAGTAGAGAATCCCTCAGTCTGAGTCAGTCGGTGAAACCAGGGCTCGGCGACTGCCGAAATCGTGACTGGTTGGTGGGGACGGCAAAATTATCCGTCCAATCAAAAGCGCCACTGGGGTTCGGGCAGGTACCGTCACATCGTTTGCGTTGTAGTTCCTTGGTCTTTCCAATGTTCACGAAGAAGCCATGACTCTTCGGCAATCAGCATGATCACTTCGCAAGATGCTCTAGAGCCTAAGGTCTCAGGGATCATACGGGTACTCTAGCTCGGGATATTGTTGAAGCTGAAAAGTTCATCTGTTCTTAACCACATCCTCTTCGGGTGAAAGCTAAGACCCGGACCTATGTCTTGTAATCAGTCGCCCAATCAAGCGCATTATTTTCGGGTATTGTCAACCAATAGCATTTCAAAAGTGGTATTGTCGTTGTTACAATTCAGGATGGGTGGAACCATGTAGCATTGACCAATTTCCTCATTAAGGAACGTCCCAGGCATCTAGGCATATAGCCTCTGATGGACAGCTAGGTGGGCTATACGGGCCTAATTTGGACGTCTCTACCAGGGGAATGGTTTCAGCCTTCCGTCGTTAAAAATAAGCTCCACAGACTCTAATGACCATCGCGGCCAATATTCATGTCCATTCCTTCCAGGTGCCTCGATCCCTCTAGTCTAGCGTCTACCAGCAGTAACTTCCTTGGGTCCTTGTCGTACGGAAACACACAAAAAGCTATGCAGATCATCTTGTCATTCGGAAACACAACTGCATCTGGATGTTAAGTTGTGTTTTAACGTATCATCACCATGCAGATATCGTGTACGCGCTAATAATAGGTAGGCTAACGTTGGATTTCTACCAAGAAACCTCATTCTCTCTACTTCTTTCAATATCCTGTCAGTGGTCCTCATTTTTGTCAGTGTTATTTAAGAGCACAACTCCCCAGTCGTCGGCATTCTTTCTTCGGCAAAGAAATTCTCTCAAACTACATAACTCTTTTCACCTTTCAAACATCTCCTCAATGTACCACCCAAAATGAAGTCTGCCGGTCTTTTGTCTCTTACCTTTATTCTCTCGGCTGTTCCCGCCTTTGCTCAGCGGGGAAACTCTCAGAGTGTCACCATCAAGCTCGCCAACGACCACACCGGTGCTTGGGCCAACGAGGCCATCCCTGCTGATGGCAAGAGCTACCCCATCAATGCTTTCTGGGCCAACAGTGCCCTTTCGCAGAACGGTAGAATCTCTGCCACGAATGCGGAGCTTAATGCCTATGGCCAGAATGCCCACTGCAACATCCAGTGCCCTCGCGGCACCTTGGCTCTCAATGCCCAGACGACTTACGTATCTTTTGAGCATGGACAAGTTGTGAACTTGAACGACGCCACTGTGTCTTGCCAGGCCACTCATTGGTAAAGACGCTGTCTTGAAGCATATTCTTGGCTTTTGCAGAGTATCTTGTCTGTTGCTTTTACCTATGTTTGGTTTGACCCTTCTCTGTTCTTGGGCGGGAAATGTACTCTGATTATGTTGTCCCTTCGATAAGTCTTTCAATATTAGACAAACAATATTTACCTAAAAGCGAACGGCAATACTCCAACATGGATCAATGCCCCTTGTCGGGTGCCTATGTAATATCAACTAGAGACAACCCTTTCTTCACGTTCAAGTTCCGGTGCGCCCAAGTCATTATTTCGCTCAATTGATCCGTGGCCTTGCTATCCTAGAATCCTGAACTTGAACAACTTTCTCTATAAACTCATCCATCAAAGAGAACAATGTGGGTTTTCCATATAATATCCAGTCATCGGAGGAGAAATCATCCCCTCCTTGCTTTCTTGTTGAAGATGGTTTCACCAGTCGCCTAAATCATCACTTAGCTCAGGCCTTCATTCTCAAACATTTCCATGATAAAGACAGCCATGGTTAATTCAAGGCGCTTGACCTTGGCACATAAGTAGCAAATGAACTACAAGGAATTGACTTTGATAGATGGAAAATCCCCAAAACCCGAGTTCAAAGACTAAAAAATACTTCAGGAAGTCCCCTTTCGAGACAGCCAGCTCGTACTCGTGATCAGGTTGGAATTCCAGCCGCATAGCTTCAGGCGCCGAGTGCTTGTAGGTACACTCCGCCTCCTTTTCGGGATATTACTCCATTCAATGCCCGACCCAGCGGCAGCTTCCATCAGAAGCTGTACGCGACAGGTGTGGTTCACCAGAGTGAACAGATACGCAGCCTCATCAACAGTCCTACCCGTTATCAGAAAACTATAACACCTCAGAATAGCGCATCGCTTCTCATCTAGAGCAGCAGCAATAACTAATTTCCATCTACTTCCAAAGCCAACCCATCCAACATGTCGTAGAGTTGGGAAGCCATGGGAGGTAGGACGTGTTCAGGTCAGAATTGTAGGACCCCCGTTCCGAGGACACCGGCTTTCTCCCATACTCTACGCATAGATCACCTCTGTACCCATAGACAAGAAACCTTGACTGCTAGCTAGAAGGACCAAGCATGATGCAGAAGCGAAGGGTCCAAACGTTGAGATGGCAGTCAAGTCCGAGCCCCACTTCCTTCACACCAACGCCCCGCTCTTTTCGCCTCGCTTTTGCTGCCTTTACTGGCCAATAGACACTATGGCTTAGTCGTTTTCCTCTATCTTCTTATCAGACATAGCGGATTTCCATCTTTGTACCACATCATAGCCTCGTGATTTTCCCCAAGAACCACAATGGCCGCTCCTGCCCGCACCTTTCTCGCCTACCAGCATGATGCGCATCTCCACACTCTCGAAACTGTGGTGATAGCAGTGCACTCATTTCCCTCTCTCGGAGAATCAAACCGCCAGCTCTTCAAGGATGGCACTGAAAATGACCATGCAATCATCACAGAGAAGACAATCTTCCATCCGCAAGGCGGCGGCCAGCCCTCCGACACCGGCGTGATGAAAGGACCCGCCGGAAGATTCACTGTCACGGCAGTGCGTATGACCAACGATGGCCAGGTACTTCACCTCGGCCAATTCGAAGGCTCGACCTTCAATACGGGTGAAAATATCAATCAGGAAATTGACGTCGGCAAGCGTCTACTTTTCTCCCGTCTCCATACAGCGGGCCACGTCCTTGGTGCCGCAGTCCGGCATCTTCTGGAGAAAGAAATCGAGAATTTCGATGAATTGAAAGCGTCGCATTTCCCAGACTCGGCGGCTTGTGAGTTTCAGGGTTCTATTGAGGGAAAATGGAAGGATGAGATTCAGAAGAGGTTGGATGAGTATATTGCGGCCAAGATGCCGGTTCAAGTGGAGTGGTGGGATGAAGATGATTTCAGGGCGAAAGGATTGGAACGATTGATTCCGGACCGTAGTTTGGTGCCGCCGGGTGAGAAGTCGCGCGTCGTGAATATTGTTGGGGCGGAGGTTTACCCTTGCGGAGGGACGCATGTTGATACGACTGATTTGTGTGGCCCGACTATTGTCAAAAAGATTTCGAGGAAGTCGGGGAATTCGAGAGTCAGCTATGTGGTTAGCTGAGGAGTAGAAGGAAACAAAAATAGATGGCGTTATTTCATGCTTACATTCTATACTGTGTCGTGATCAACGTGCCAGTATTTCAACTCCTGCGCAAGTAAACTCCCATCAAACAGGTAAAAGCCGGAAGATTCCCAGTCTAGAATCCCTGCCGAACTACCTATTACCCCACCACGATATTGACCTTGATAGGGTGGCAGTGAGTGCAAATTCGGACAACGAAGAGGACTCAGAAGACTGCGATCCTTGATTGGACCTGATCATTTACGCGTTTTCAAAGCATGCCCAGTGTGGCGGTATAAACTAATGTTGTCTTTATCTATTAATAATTTCAATTAGATTCAATTCAATAGCAGACCCTCATGAAGAAGTATAGACCTCTTAGCTATGTATTCCACCAAGCGTATTGGCCAAAAGGCCCCTCATCTCTTCGGAGAAAGCCACCCGCGCTAAGAGCAATCCGGCGACCACATCTGTCATTTCGTCTTTTCTACTTTGGAATGTGCCTAGAATGGTCAGATAATCCCAGTTGAAGCTTTGAAGTTTGCATACATACTAGAGCTGAAGCATGAGGGATGATTGCATTAGTGCCAATCGACCCCAGTGTATCTCGAAGCCACCGCTGCTGAGACTGTGATGACTGCGATTTTGGAGTACAGCATAGAGACCAAAAAACCAAAAAACCTCCGATCGGAGCATGCTTTCCCTCGTTGGGCTGGTCTGTCTCCTCGATAGGTATGGTCTCGAGTATTACAGGACTTGCAGAACATATGCTGTCCCCGGCCTCCTGCATGATACGTGAGAGGATTATGCTTTCTCTCGTCTCGCCATAAGCTTCACCCGAGTGAATGAAATTTCCAGCCGATAGTAGTAGATCGGCTGTGATGAGCTGGAGACAATGGTAGTCGGTCCACCGGACTAGAAGAAAGGCCTCTTACGTTGTCAGCGTGCTTTAGAGTTTCCAGAAGATCACATACATTCACCAGTCCCTCGCGCAGAGCCACTTTAGTTGTATCTAGTTCCGCTTTAGGGCATAATCTGGGAAACAATTTGAGGTTCATTTGAACATCTTTGAGTGGTGCTCGAACTTTCTGCACATCCAGTTTTCGAGGCTTCTCACTCTGGAACAGAGCTTCAAATTCTGCAGTCGATTGTCGTAGACAAAGCTTTGCCACGTCTAGTATTAGAGAGGCTTTGGCGCAACCATTTACATGATATGATGCAAATTTTTGGAATACATCACCTTCAGACTTAGATTATGATTGCATGGTGCAGCGACTACAAGGTGATCAGTCAGAGTCAATTGGAACAAATTTCTCCCTCAGACATTCCGGCTTAGTTTCTTGGCCCGCGCTCTAAATAGACTCCGCTATTTCATAGAAGGCAAATTCTCAAACAGCCTTTGTTTCCACCCAAGATGCCTCATGACATCCAATGTTTACTTCACCACGTTTTACCACAAAAACACAAGCTTTATTCTCAAGGAACAAAAAAGTAAAAAGGCAAAAAATGGACTCGCGGGGAATCGAACCCCGGACCACTCCCATGCTAAGGGAGTATTATACCACTAAACCACAAGCCCATTGGATGTGGATCAGAAACCCATTTGGATAATTGAATCTCGATTGATTTCTAGGTAATTTGTGGGAGATAGCCGGGACGAGAAACAATTTACTATCGAAATGACAGCGAAAAGCTACATAATACTTCTTTTCCGGTACCATACGCTCAAGCGATCGCGACCCTCACCATTTGATGTGAGACATGACAATACTTGCACTTAATAACATTACAGAGCCACCTGGGGCTCCCATCCCGCCTCAGCCATCTCAAATGACTCAAAAAGGAAAGCCGGTGCCACCGTACAACCGACGAGTGTCCAATCACCCAAGCTCCTTGCATGCTGCCATTCTCCGCGTTTCACGATAGCTTGCGGACGCTGGCCCTAAATCGGGTCATATTTAGCATGCGTTTGACATGTGGGCAATGGATCATGCTTACTTTCGCAAAATCAAGCCCCAGTATAACGTCTCGAGTGGGTTTTCCATCATTCCAGGATAATGAAAGTTGCATAGGGGCACCAGCGTAGTAATGCCATGTCTCGGCGGCATCAAGAACACGGTGCCATGTTGACAGGCCAGCTTTGCCCTCAAGAAGATAGTAAATGCAGGTGCTGTGGGGACGGCCGTTTGTTGAGTCCTCGTCGCGGAAGGTCTCGATGTAGTAGCCCTTTTCTGGATGTGGAGATAGGTTCAAAGCCTCAATGATCTCCTGTGCAGACTGGAATTGTGACATCTCAGTTCGTTGACAGCTGGATGACCAGGAGAAGAGGAGAAAAAAAAAAAAGGGAGCAAGATGAGGGTGCTATCAAAACTCGCGCGCGCTTGAGGTCAAGGTGTTTGCGAGAAAGGGTGTCTGGAAGGTTGTGACGTGGTCAGCCGTCAGCAACTTGACTTGCTGAGTTCAAACAAGGCTCCATAAAATTGATCAGATCTGCCCGATCCCTCCCCCAACCTTCCATTCGGTAATACGGTAATTTACAGTGGATCTTGTTTTCCTTCTCATATTTGCCATGGTGTGAAGGTTATCGCAATACGGTAATTAATTCACAACGACGAGATCCAGCACGTCCCGCGTCGAAATACGGCTGGGCAGGCATTTTGTTCACAAGAAGTTGATACATAATAGCCTAGATGAGAGATTAAGCGTGAATATTTGGGCGTGAGAGTCTTATTTATTTTCTACCCAATTCTACGGAGCATGCGGGCTATGGAATCGGCCACCCTTCTACAGTCGTGCCTGGCTGCGATACTCACAGTCCTACCAATCTTTAGTCCGCTAGTCTCTGCAAGAGCTTGCATTTTCTCGAAAGGCTTTTCTAAATGAAGGGCCAGTTATGTCCTTACCAAGGTAGCGGAAGCCTAGTAACAGAGGTATGCGTTGAAAGTCTGGGGCTACGAGGAGCCTTGTCATAAGGCCTTCGAATGACGACCTTCAACAACTGGGCTCTTGAGATCTGACATTATTTTAAATGTCAAACTTCTCCCACTGACACCTCTTTCCTACGCTGTCTCCCGCATACTGAGCTTGGCCTACGCTCTCTATTCGCCCCGAGATAACCGCCGACGCTTTCCATGATTTCTCGCTCTTGCCAAATTTGCTTCCCTTTATTTTCTTTCCTTTCGCGGTCTATAGTAAATTAATGAAGCATTACATGGTTCAGCGACATAGGCGTGTTGGATAAGCTAGAGGGTGAGCATGCGTATCCTACGACAAGTATGAAGGGCCTATTGAAGGACCTATTGAAGGGCCTGGTGGGGGCTGGCGTGCATATGATGCATCAGAGTGAAATGACAACAATGAGCTATAATTGGTTTATCCTACACGTCACAGTCCAATTCCTATCCTTGTTTATAAGCTTCACTGCTCAGTCTCCTCTATTTGAAATGGTGAATTGCTTCAAGCTTTCAAAGCCAGCCAAGCGGAAATATGACAGCACACGCTATTCCCTCTTAGCTTGCAGCTGTAGCTCATGGAGACCAGAACATCGCCAATCGTGGGGGCGCGGGGCGGAGGAGTGGAGCCGGACACAACGAGTATTTGCAAATCACTACATTGACAACGCAGACGTATCGAAAAATCAGCTATATAACCCAACCTACCTTCCAATCAATCATGACACTTGAGAGCTCACGCTTCACCGCAAATAGTCCCCCTCCAATCCCACCCTGATAACCCCAAAATGTCCGAAAAGCTCCAAGTGGCGGTCGCAGGTACCGGATGCATGGGTAAATACCGCCCTAGCTTTCCTAAGTCATTGGAAGTTCCAAACCCATCTCACTTCATTGCTAGGCATGCGCCATGCCCACCATTTCGCATCTCTTACTCCCCGTGCCGAACTCATCGCCGTCTGTTCCCCGGTCCAAGCCGAACTAGACGCCGCAGCAAAAGAATTCCCCGACGTCCACACCTACACCGACTATGACCAAATGCTATTCAAAGAAGAAACCCTGCAAGCCGTCATCGTCGCCAGCACCACAATTGCACACGCTGAACAAGCCATCAAAGCAATCGAGCTAGGCCTGCACGTCCTCTGTGAAAATCCCATCAGCACGAGTCCCGAGATCGCACGTCTCTCCCCCCAGCCCAGACCAAAATAAACCTCTAACACAACGCAGTCCGAATCCGTCGTTGATGCCTACAAGACCTCTTTAGAGTCGCACCCAAACCAGAAAGTTATCTGTGGATTCTCGAGGAGGTTCGACACAAGCTACCGCGACGCACACAAACGCATAGTAAATGGCAGTATCGGCAGGCCCTCCGTCTTCCGTTCACAGACCTGCGATAAGCTCAGTCCTATTGACTTCTTCGTCAAGGACGCAGAAAGCTCGTGCGGAATATTCCTAGACTGTTCGATTCACGATATTGATTTGGCGCTTTGGTTCTTCGGCGAAGAGAGTAATTTAAAGAGTGTTACGGCGGTCGGGATTACAGCTGTGCAGCCTGATTTGAGGAAGCCTCATGATCGGGACAATGCGTTGGGAATCAGTGAATTTTACGTGAGTCTTTTGCTCCCCTTATAAGCTGATGACTTTGAAATTGGAATAGGAATGATGGGGGCTAATGGATGAGCAGGGTGGAAAAATGGCCCAACTCTACTGCTCGCGCATGATGGCGGCAGACCAGGAATATTGCACCGAGATTCTTGGAACCGAGGGCAAGATCGCAGTTGACACACAGCCGCAGCTGAATCTGGTGAATCTGTACGAGCCCGGTGGTATCAGACGGGAGATTCCGGCGGATTTCTATGAGCGGTTCAAGGAGGCCTTTGTAACGGAGGCGAATGAGTTTACCGCTTCTTGCTTGGATAACACGCCGGCGCCTTTGCAGCTGGACTCGGCGGTGAAGGCTGTTGCTATTGCGTGTGCGTTGCAGGAGTCGTTGATTACCGGAAAGAAGATTGAATTTGATGAAAATGGAAGACGGCTTGTGGGGTCCAAGTTGTAAATTCGGTTTCTCGAGGTTCTGTTACCACGGCAAGGGTATAGAGGGGAATATGGATATAGACCTGTGCAATGTAGAATGTGACATCGTTCCTGTTCTTAGATCGTGAAGATCTTCCATCTTCCCTACCTGGACAATTATCTTCTCATCACAGTCTACATCTGTCCCAGACTTCACCAAATTTTACCTAAACAAATGACGAGAATAAGGAATTGCCGAAGCGCTGCAATTGACTAACATATAGGCGAGCGGCACAAACCACATGCCCCAGGACTAGGGAAAAAAATTAACGAAATGAGCGGGTAATAGGGCACACAGAAAGCGGACAAGAACAAGATATGGCGTAGCAAAAAGTACATCACAAGAAGGGTAAAAAGGTCCCAGAGCCGACCCGCAACGGATCGTATTATCAAAACCATTCTTTTTGCGATGCGTGGGCCCATCCAGCGGAAGTAAAGAGGAAGAAAAACAACACAAAACTGCGTTAGGGGGAGTAAGAGAGTGTGAGATTGAGACAGGTCAAGGAAATAGTGGGAAGTGAGCGCGAGTGGTGATGGGGTTCAGCCGTCAACGGCAGAGGAAGGATTCGTCTTAGCGGAGGGAGAAACCCTTGCGCTTGCCCTTTTCTTCGATTGGGCGTCCGGTCTCGAGTCGGTTCTTCTTTTCTTCCAGCTCCTGGCGCTGCCGGTCGAGCTGATCCTTCATCTCGCGATGTCGGGCGTAGAGTTCGTCTTCGCTCTGCTTGAGCTTGCTTTCCTTCTCGGAAACCTTCTGCTGGAAGACCATCTTCATCTCGGCTTCCATCTTTGACAGCTTCTGTTCGTGCAAGGCACGCTCCTCCTCCTGCTTGACGGCAGGGTTGACCTCCTTGAACACACTGGGGTCCTGGGCAACACCCATCTGGGTGAGCTTGTCCGAGCGGTAGTTCTCGTACAGGAAGTTGTTGGTGTGCTCCTTGAGCTCTTCCATGTGGGTGCGAATAAGCATCTGGCGTAGCTTAACGAAGTCGCAGTGCTCCTCATTGTCGACCTCGATGGTACCCCAGGGGTAGCTACGGCCACGGACGCGACGGCCATCGGCGGCGCTGACCTCGGCGTTGGCACCGACAACTGCAAACGGCACCTTGGACATGATCTCCTGGTTCTCGGCAATGGTCTCCTCATCATCAAGCTCGTAACGGGGTCCCTCGAAGATCTGGATGGAGTGGTGGGAGATATCGGCGAGGATCTGTAGGGAAATCATTAGAATGCCACTAGTGGTAGCTTTGAGAACAATAGCGGGGATCGACGTACGCGCTCCTTGAACAGGACAATCTCTTCGTCGGTCAGGGTATCGGACTTGGCGATCACGGGAATCAGGTTGACCTTGGTGTGCAGGCGGCGCATAACTTCGATGTCCAGAGGCTTCAGGGAGTGGCCGGTGGGCTGGATGAAGTAGACGCAGGCGTGGATGCGATTATCGACAATGTTGCTGCGGTTGACCTTGTTCTCAGCTTCAAGGTAGGTATCGAAACGCTGCTCGATGTTCTCGACAATAGGGCGCCACGAGTCGTCGTTGTTCACAAAGTCACCAAATCCGGGGGTATCAATAACGCTCAGGCGGAGACGGACACCGTTCTCCTCGATATCGGCACTGGTGGATTGGATCGAGACGGTCTTGGGGATGATATCGGCATTGGGGCCGGTGCGCTCCTTCGGGGGGTAGAGAGAGGTGTTGAACAGGGTGTTGACGAGAGTCGACTTTCCGAGACCAGATTCACCTGAGATACGCTATCAGCTCTGCTCACGCAAGCCATCAGGTCTTATACATACCGACCACCATGACGTTGAAGTTGAAACCCTTGCGGACACTCTTACGGTGCCACTGGTTAGGCAAGTTGGCGAAACCAACATAGCCGGTGAGCTTGCGGCGGACAACATTCTTCATATCGCTAGCAGCCTGGGCCACAGCCTTGGGGTCGCGGGAGCTGACTGTTTGGGCGGCTCCGGAGCCCATGGGGTTGCTGCGCTCCACGAAAGGAGACTCTTTACCACTAGGAGTGGGAGTAGCAGATTCGTCGCGGGACGCGACGGGAGAACCGTTCGCAGACGGCGAAGCTAAAAGATCAATCAGTCTTTCCATTCTCGAGATGTCGGGCGCGATTTCCGGATGTTCGGGCACGAATTTGATCCGAGGGACAGCTTACACATGGCGAAAGTCTTGTTTGAGAGGGTACGGAGAACGAGTCAGGACGGCACAGATAAATCTCCTAGATTTCGATTAGACGATGAGCAACTTTGTCTTATAGAGTGGGGTCTCCAAGGAGAACAGGAAAAAAAATGGGGGGGGGGCAAAGTGATGATCAAGCAATGCGTGGGCCTTCATACCTGGACAAAGCGTCAAAAAAGGGGGTTAGGAGAAGCACCAGAGAAAAGCGAACGAGTGAAGGTGTCGAGCACGAGTCAGAAACACAAAAGAGAAGGAAAGAGAGGTGGTCGGGGAAAGGCAGAGGGAGGAGGATGGCCAGTCTGGGAAAGAAAGGGGGGGAAGTCGAGGTTCCCAGCTATTCTGAGGTGGGTTTGGATCGACCCGCGTGAACAACATGTCCCGGTCTCGATGCATCACCTATGCGTCTTTCACGCGGACTACCTGGCCGTGCATGTTATTTAATTATCAATTGCTACTGTTCCTATCCGATCTCTCAGGTCCTCTGATCCGCATAGGTGTTAACATCTACATCTATCCAATGCCCTATGTAAGGGACCTGTGGCCGGCCAGCCATCGAAGCTTAAATTAGTCCTCCGAGAGATCATCTCGTTTGAAATGGCCCGATTCAAGGTAGATTGGAACCTGTGTAGCATGGACGGTAGTGTTTCTCCATTACGCGACTCTTTGGATCAGGGGTTACCGGGGAGGGGGGTGCTCACGTGAGCTCCACCCGGTGGAGCCAGTTGTATACAGCCGTTTACTTCGTACTTTGGTAATGGTCAATGCTTGTGAACGACTTCATTATCAACACCGTGACCAGAAGAATCAAGAGTCGCTGTACAATTATTTTCCGACCTTGGTCTTCTTCTTCGGCCGGTCTTCCTCCGCATCACTGCCACCACCGCCATCCGAGGCGTCGCCCATCTCCGCATCACTGCCGCTGCCGCTGCTCTCGTGGTCGGAATCGAATTCCTCGGCAACGTCAGAATCAGAGTCGGCGTGGAAGTCTTCATCAGGAGACTCGTCATCTTCATCAGCCGAGCCACGGTCCGCACGGGCACCTTCCTCGTCACTGGATTCCATCAAGTCCTCGTTGTTAAGAGCGGCCTTGAGAAGATTCGAGGCATCCTCGGCCATCTCATTCTTAATGCGGATACCCTTGGCCTTGAAGAAGTCCTCCAGAGGTTGCTGCTCCTCACTATGGCTCATGTCAGCAGGAGGTAAGGACGATATTTAAAAACAATTTCTTACCGATTGATGTTGCTGAACTGGTGCTCGCCAAGACCTGCCTTCAAGCTGACAGTGATATCAAATGTGCGGCTGGCAGACACGGCACCTCCGACACGCGACATGGTGACCACGGCAACGTTCTCCATCTGAATGTAGGTCGCAGGTTTGGGTACAAACATAAGGCTCTTATCCAAGAAGTAGAGCAGACCTTCATTGGCCTTGATGGAGCACTTGACTCCATGGTGACCATGGTGGCTGGTAAAGTCCTTGGAGGGCATGATGACCTTCTTACCAGACAAGCCCCGGAAAATTTTGGTCACCACCTGGTGAATTGGCTCTTCGTAGTGCGGTTGCAGCTTATCCTTGTATTGGGATTGCAGGAGTTCCCTATCGCCGTGTCAGTCAGTAAGTTAAAATCATCCAATGTCGTCTTCGAGGAATAGACTAACTCGGTCATATTCAATTCAAGGCTGATCTCCTCGTCCAGCTTCAGCTGCATCACCAAAAAGGGGTATCGGGTCTGACCCTGACGCAGCGGGGGGGTCCAGACCCAGGACAATGAGGGTGTGGGTATCGTCGGGCTTAGGAAGCAAGAAGAATTTTTTGAGGGCAGAATATTGAATCTTGTAGTCGTACGTTTTGCCGCGAAGACGGAATGACGATTCGTACATGTCAATATCGAAACGACCTCTGCAAGAAGGTGAGTACTGGACCTGGGACAGTAGGCACATATGACAAACCTGGGTGTAAGGTGAAGAACGTCCAAGAACGTAGCAAAGGTGTCGCCTGCCACCTCACCGATCTCGGCCTTGTCCATCAGGGTTTCATAAAAGAGGTTGGCAGCATTTTGCTCCTCTAATTCTTCGTCGTTTTCCTCCTCGCCTTCAGCGCCCTCGGCGCCCTCCGCCTTCTCCTTCTTGACAGCTGTTCCAGGAATGTAGAAGCGCATTTCCACGAGTTCATCGGCTCCCGCAGCAGCCTTGCGACCCCGGTTCTTTGTGCTGCCAGCCGGCTGGCCAGTACCGTTCACATCGGTAGCCGAGAGCGCAAACTCCACGGCGACCTCGTTCTTTCCAGCCAGGTTGGTATTGGAGATTTCGGAGTAGGGGATTTCAAAGGCGGGTCTGTTCTGCACATTGAAGGACAGCTCGGCCTTGGTGAACTCTGCCTTGCCCCAATTCCATCCTCGAAGGGCGTGTTCGCGGGTCTCTACGTTGATGCCGTACCAGATTTTGAAAGCCTTGCTCAACCGTTCGAAATCCTAGACGCGCAGCTAATTAGCCAAGCACTCGCACATGTTATACGGGTCTCTGCACATACCTCTTGGTCAAAACCATCCAGTTGGATGACACCCGAGGATCGCGACAAGATCCTCAGCTCGTAACCTTTCGCGGCGCGACTCCACTGGGCACCACCAATGTTGCTACTATCCAGAGTGAAGGTGTCACCGCCTCCAGATGGGCGCCATCCCAGACCACTCTCAGCCAGCTTGCATTTTCCGGGCTGTTTTGACAGATCCAGGTACACGTTGTCAAAGCTCTCCCTATGAAAGAAGTTAGCAGGCGAGACAAGCAGGATCGCCTAGGGGGCGGGGCCTCACATTATGGAGAAGCTCTCAGGGATATTCCGACCGTGTCAAAAGAGATTGAACAACTTTGAATGTGATCGGTGAATTGGGGACTGATGGGAAAGGGAAGTGAGTTGAATAGCTATCAGATTTCTCGGAGGTCGCGTTGCGGCGCGCCGCAGGGAGTCTGCCACTTCAACCCGTTTGGGTTTAGACTGATGCCTGAGGAACACATGTTGACGGCTGCCGCAGTAGACGTTGTGCCTGATGTTGGCATTAGGCCATGTTTGAAAGACTTTGGTGGGTTGGAAAATCTCCTTCTGCCTAAAACTAGCCTTACCTTTCCAAGCAGATAATATCGTCAAAAATTGTTTAATTTGAGGCGTGCTGTCGGGGCTAGTGTTGATTCAGCAGCATATCGTATATATTTACACGAGCATCGTCAATTTAGTCCACACCGTGCGGCTTGCTTAATGACTCAATACCCTCAGGCCCCTTATCCTCCCTGGTCTATCGGAAAGGTTCATCTGACCTTCGAACGACCCTATAAAAAGAAACATATATACTCGACGGCTGCGAGATCCCGCTGAGCTGAAACAGTACACAAAAAGCCAAAAACAACTCTTCATAGACGTCCTAGATCTACTTGCAGCTGCTCAGGGGCTAGCGTCTAGTACAACTAACCAGCTACCCTCTTATATGCGAGGATCATGATTCAGGTTATTGATTGTTTGATCCCCACTGGATCGTTTGAGGTACGTTTAATGTTTACCACACCATTACTTTGCACCGAACGAAGGAGAGCTACATCCTGCCCGATAAACGGGATCATGATCCCCAGAAGCCCACATTTCCGTGGCTTCCGACTCACCTATTTTGGACCGACAAACCCAGACAAGTGCGTATGCACTGCGTAAACAGAATCCAGTTTTCTATAATTAAGTACAGCCCGCGGGGCGGGATTTGTGTTTCGGCCCACTATGTATCGGAACTTACACGCATTTACCAGCTGTCTCTGCCTGGCGATTGTTCAAACGTGAATATTGCTCTTCGTGGTGTTTATCGCAGGTGATTAAGTGGTAGGCGCAATTGAGTGAGACGTGTCCACCTAGGTTCAAGCTAGGGATGCCTTGGAGCCCAAGTCCGGAAGCCTGGGGCTAAGCGACCCCGATGTAGATCCTCATTCTACTCGAGTTTTGCCGTCATTTCGACGTAATTTGACACTGCACCTCAATTAAAATCAGCAGTTTGAAGTTTATGCATCTTGGAATATCCCAGGCGGACACTAGGTGAAACATGCCGGTGATAGAATCTTCTGGCATAGTCTGCCACATTCAGGATTGGTATGACTGGGCGATAGCAGCACCTACGCCCGCGATCCATAATCAAACGAAAGGAAACGCCGGTAAAATTGGCGTAAGCAAGGGTGGACCCAGTCGTGTAGCGGGGCCGAGCGTGGCTTAGTCTTTGTTTCCGCCGTAATTCTGTAATTTGGGTAATATGGGTAATTTGGGTATCTTGGGTATCTTGGGTACTCTCGACTCGTTCCATTCTCCTTTCCCAGGTGTTCTGGCTCTGTCTCCAACCACTTCAGTCATTCGTTCATTGCAAAGAGGCTTCGGTCTCGACATGCATAAGCCATTCCTTTGCTTTTAGATTGTTCTATGCCACATTCCTTACTTTCCTTTCCCACGCGTTGAGGCTCACCTCCTGAATTCTTAACCCCTTCCACTCACTTTCGCTTTCGCTTTCGCTTCAACCTGCTTCTGGAGACGACCACTTCTCACCTGTCGTCGCACCCACAATGAGGGCTCCTTCATTGTTTGGGCCAGCGACGGCTGGCCTAGCGACTTTATTCGCCTTACCGACCGTTTACGCTCTGACATTCGACGCCGTTTCCATGCCCGACTTCGAACTGTCTTCCCTTGGCCGGGTGACCATCACTGGTGACTTCGACGGCGTATCGCTTTACCAATATCAAGGACAATCAGAAATAACCCGGCGCCAGGGCTCCTCTATTTTGACTCCGCTTCCAAATGGCATACTCACGAACCTCACCTCCGCCGACGCGCAGATCCGTGATATGTGTGCATACACAAAGCCAGATGGGACTTTGGGAGGAATCTTCGTCGCCGGAAACTTCAGCAGTCTTGGGGGAGTCGATTCACCAGGGGCTGCGCTCTTTAGCCCCAATTCAAGTCAAATCACCGCCTTGTCGGGCCTCAATGGCTCGGTATCGACCGTGCTCTGCGACCAGTCAACAAACCGTGTTTACGTTGGTGGAGACTTCTTGCGCGACCACTCTTCAAATGCCGCCGTCTGGACTCCCGACCATGGATGGACTGATTTGCCCTTCGACGGCTTCAATGGACCTGTGACGTCGATTATCAAAGATGACAGCGACCACATCATCTTTGGTGGATCTTTCACTGGACTTGGCAATAGCACCAAACCTTCTTCTAGCAGCAACAATACCAAGCAGATTCTCAATCTGTCGAGTGCGACCATTACGGCTGACGCCAAAAGCTCCCTGAGCGGTTACGAGGATCCCACCAACATTGTGTGCTCGACTAGCGGCGTTGCAGGCAAGGGTAAGACCTATCTGCTTCACGACTACGCTCCCGGTTATTGGCGTGCCGATCTTGGCTTCACGTTCTTCCCGACCAAAGTCCGCCTTTATAACACTCATCTCGATGGCCGCGGTACCAAGGACTTTTTGTTCCGCGCTCTGCCCGACGATGGCATCATGAATTTGACCTATACCGATACTTCCGGTAACAAGATCCATTGCGACTCGTCTTGCCCCCTTTCTAGCAGCACTAGCGAGAAATATCGTGATTTCACCTTGGTAAATCCCGTTGGTATGGAGGGTTTCCAGATCGAGATTTTGGCTTGGTACGGACAAGGTGCCGGTTTGAACGGTATCGAAGTCTTCCAAGACCAGATCATGTCTTATGCCGTCGATGACTACAATGAGCCATCATGCGCTGGCATTGAGTACCCCTCGAAGTCGACGAGCACCGGCACCTGGACCGTTGGCTCCGGATACCTCATTGCAAATGTAACGGATTCAAACGACTTGGATACATCCGTTGTCTTTGAACCTGATGTCAAGGAGTCCGGTAACTACACCATCCTTGTGTATACCCCTGGATGCAAAGCCGACGACACTTGCGATTCTCGTGGTATGGTCAATGTTACAGCCGTTCTTGCTACTGACACGGATGCCGCGCAACCGTCTCCGACCACTATATACCAGACTAACGACTATGACAAGTATGACACCCTATTCTCTGGATATGTGGAAGCCGCTAGTAGTTCTTTCCGCCCCCGTGTCACTCTTCGGCCCATTGTTGGTCAGGGAGATATTACCGTTGTTGCGTCCAAAGTTCGATTTGACCTGCTATCCGCATCCAACACCACGAATACGACTGGCAACCTGAATGGATTGTACGATTACAACCCGAAGTCAACGAGCACTTCCAACCTCGACAACTCGGATATCAACAAGGCTGGCACATCACTCAACGACAGCGCTTCTATCAACAAATTGGCGCAGCACGATGGTGTGGTCTACGTTGCTGGTAACTTCTCCAACTCGAATATTCATAACGTCATGTCTATCACCGATGGAAATGCCACTGCCATGCCAAACGGTGGCTTGAATGGGGAGGTCCTAGCCATGACAGCGTCAGACAGCTACTTGTACGTTGGTGGCAAGTTTACCGGCACCTCTGACGGTGGTGTCAGCGGTCTCTATCATGTGGCTTCTTACTCTTACTCCACCAAGGAATGGTCAGCGATGGGCGATGGTCTGAATGGCCCAGTTAATACGATTTACCCGATCGAGTTGAACGTCTCTACTGCGATCAACGAGACTACCTATGCTGTGAGCGGTGATTTCGACGAGATCCGTGCCACCAGTGACCGACCCGCCATTTACGTAGCTGGCTTTGCCATCTGGGTGCCTTCCCAGAAGACCTGGCTGCAGAGCCTCAATGATACCCAAATGGAGTTCGCTGGTCAGCTGTCCGCGGTCGCCACATACAATGAAACCTCCATTCTTGCTGGCAGCCTTGCTACTGACGGTATTTCTGCCGGAGGTGCAGTGTCATTGCAGAACGGCGATGATCTGAACCTGGTGCCTTTGGATATCAACTTGAACCACACCACGTCTAATATCGGTGTATTTACTGGTGTTTACGACACTGAGTCTGGGCGAAATCTCACCATTGTTGGTGGCCAGTTTGTCACGACCGCCAGCAACGGATCTACCATCAACAACCTTGCTTTCTTGAACGGCACTCAGCAGACTATCACTGGTCTTCCCCAGGGTCTGCATAGCAACTCGACCTTTTATTCCATGGTTGTGCACAATGACACCCTTTATGCTGGTGGTCTCGTTACTGGAACGATTGGCGGTGGCAGTGTGAGCGGTCTGGTGTCCTATGATCTGTCCACGAACACTTTCCAGGAAAGCCAACCTTGGTCACTCCACGGAGACAACGTCACGGTTAACTCAATTGCTGTGCGCCCCGGTTCGTCTGATATCTATGTTGGCGGTAACTTCGAGACTGCTGGCTCTCTTACTTGCACTAGTGTTTGTGCTTGGGACCCCAATGAGCAATCATACTCTTGGCCTGGTGTGACAATCAGTGGTACCGTGCTTTCGCTCACTTGGGCGACCTCAACGACTTTGTATGCCGTGGGAGATCTCGACATCTCGGGCAACAAGACTGTCGCCGCCGCATTCAGCACAAAGTCACAGACCTGGACCGCCCTTGATGGCGCATCCGCCTCGCGCATCCCTGGTAACATCACTGCGTTCGCACCTGCTAGCGAGGACATGTCGGAGTTCTGGGTTGCAGGCACAGCGACTAACGGATCGGCCTTCCTCCTGAAGTACGCGGGCTCCAAGTTTGCCTCTCCTGGTAACCTGTTCGCTGAGGGGACGGACATTCGTGGCATGGAGATTCTTCCTCTCACCAAGGACCACTCGGCTACTTCCCTCCTGAAGAACGACCAGACTCTGCTTATAATGGGCAACCTTGTTCTTCCTGGGTTCGGCCTGGCTTCTGCGGCTCTCTACAATGGCACCGCGGTCACTCCCTTCATTCTTTCGTCCAAGTACAATGGAAAGCCGGGCAGCATGTCCCAAATGTTCACGGAACACCAGAACCCGTATACCAGCGGAACATCTCAACACTCCAACGGTATCGTCGTTCTAGTAGCATTCTGCTGCGCCCCAGGCACGGTCTTCCTTATCGTCGCCTGCGGCGTCATCATGAACAAGATCCAGCGCCGCCGCCAAGGCTACGCCGCGGCACCACAAACCTTCGGAACAGACCGACCAACTGATATGACCCGCGTACCACCGCAGTACCTCTTTAGCCACCTGGGCGCGACGCATCCTACCGCCCCAACCATCTAATGCCTCCACCTCCACCTTGCACAAAAATATTTTTCGCCCTCTTAAGCCCTTTTTGAGAACCGCGTTTTTTTTTTTCTATCAGAAGCAACGCTGCTTATACCCCCGCCCTCCTTAATGTCTGATTCGGCTAGCGTATGTTTTTAGGCCGCACCGGCCTCTGCTTGCGATTTGTTTAGCCTTGACAGCCGTCCCTGTTGCTTTACTCTTGTCTGAGATTTCACTTGTGCTTTCTCTCTCCTGTGCATATTTCGAGCATCTACGAGCACTTTATGTAACTTAGTGATTACGTCCTGGAGACGTGAATAATACAACGATCTACCTGTGTCATTTCTTCCCTTTAAATTCGACCTATCCCGACTTCACAGGGAGCTGTGACAGCGTGATACCATGCATGGGAGCCCGTCAGACCTTGAGACGATCGTGAAGGCCGTACTTCGGGTCTGCACCATGATTATGCATGGTAAGGTGCTGCTTTTGAAAGATTCCTTTTGTCCCTGATCACCAAGCCTGTCTTGAAAGCTTCAATATCGTTGGTTGTGGCATGGGAGAATTCTGTGGGTCTCTCATAGTCGTGGCCTGCATTCACCTATGAGGCCGCCATGACAGGTAGAATCGAAGTAAATCGTGCAGCTACCATGGCTGTCGACGGTTAGGCTCCGGGCAATTCCCCTCGCACATATCTTGGTCTCGAGTCTAGCCAGTGGAGCTCAAGCTATAGTGTGGAGACCATGCAGCTTAATGCAAGGCTGTGGGTTAGCATTGATCATCAGGAATGACACCTTCAGCATGCTACAGTCGCCCAAGTGGGCCACGGCACCTGCAAGCTGGGGCTGGGTGGCAGCAGTGCCATGGCTTGGGATGCCATCGAACCTACGACACATTGCATCCCTCGTCTCACACAGGAAAACCCCACCTGTTCAATTTCAATCTAGATCAGACTCTGTCTGTTTGAGCAGCATGCGCAGGCTTTCGGTTGTGACCCGGTCCGGTATGAGTGGGGAGACGCACTAAGCGCGCATTGCCAAGAGAATGTGAACCAAGAAATTACAGAATTTGTCGCTGGAGTGCGTGAGTCCGAAGTTTGAGACAAGAAGAGCATCAACTGTGGCATTGCCTCTCATTGCCCGAAAGTGGATCCTCTCCCCTGAGTCCCGAGCCGCGATTGTTGACACCGCAAGGAAGACCGACCCCGGGTTACAGGCCGAAGTTCGCATCAACCCAGAATGCCCGAGGGCTGATCGTGTAGACAAGATTCACACTGAACATCATTGATATATCAACATATATCTCGACAGACAGTTCGGAAAGAGAAGAATAGTCCGTGTGGGGGCCGAGGACTTGAATCTGCCAATCTTCCCCGGTCAGGTGCCTCTCCCCGCAAGTCTCTCCAGGTTTCTCTTCCACCCCAGGTTCCCCCCACGCATGTCGCGCCTATGCCCTTGTCCTTGCCATGCGCTCCCGAACTGGCTGGTAGGTGGCTTGCATCTACCTGTGGTGACTGTTACTAATATTGCCCAGCTTGACATGTCGGACTCGCAAGCTTAAATGTTTGTGCCCTCCCTGCGCCGCTCCCGTCCCCAGCTAACACTTACAGGCGACGAGCAAAAGCCTCAGTGCTCACAATGTCGCAAAGGGGGCCGAGAATGTCGCCCCAGTGAGGGCATTGTATTTCGCCATCAGCAGAATGCCTCTATGAACGAAGACTTGACCCAGCCGCTCGAGGGTCGTGGAAATTTGAAGGGGTTCTATTCGTACAAGAACACATTCGACAAGGATAGCGTATGGCTCGATATTCCCAAACACGGTATGTACAGTGGCATCTCTTCTGGCTTTGAAAGTTGTGCACTGACGTCTCTGCAGTCGTCTTTGTCGATAACTCCGATCCGTACGCCGACGATCTCGAAGCCACCGAATCCAGCGCAGAGGCGCTCGCTCAGTCGCGCAATAATAGATGGGGCAGCGACTCGAGGGCCAGCGACGCAGGATCACACGGTCTCGATACTTTATCAACAGTCGCTTCCCATGATCGCTTCCCCTTCTCGCCCCTAGAGCACTCCATTTCCGACAGCTTGTCGTACCCTTCGCCGAACCGATCGCGCAGTAGCGCCATGCCTCCCCCCGCATCCCCATCCATGTCCCTCTCCAGCAACAATAATACCAATATCAACTTCCTCCTGAACCCTTCTCATTCCATGTCACCGCCCCTCGACCCGACCATGGGGACACCCGACCAGAGGAGTGCATCCCTTCCATCGAGACCGGCCCTACCACCGAGGAAAGTATCACATCAGGCGCATGATCATGCCGAGACAGATTTCGAGGTGGCTTTTCTCTTACGGCACTATACCGAAGGGCCAGGGTTATGGTATGAAACAAGCATCAGCTTAGGCGGCGTTGGACTCGTGGCACTCGTACTGACAGCTTCTCCAGGATGGACTTGTTCGACTTGGGCACATATTTTGCATCATACGTCCCTGTACGAGCCATGTCAAATCCTCTTCTCAAGTATGCAGCCTGTGCATACGCGGCAAAACAACTCGGTCGTGTGAAAAATGCCAAAGCGACCATGGGCGGTGTATGTTCTCGCCAGGCCATCATGGAGAAATGGCCGGACAAGGACGACGACTTCATCTGGCACGGCGCCAAATACTATGAGAAGGCTATCCAATTGCTAATGAAGGAGTTGCAACCCGACGCGGAGGGCCCACCCCCGTTGAGCACCCCCGAAGCATTTGGGCAATGGCAGGCTTCCGAACTCATCGGTGATGCAGAAAATCCACGTAAGCGTCGGAGGCGTGTCTCGGACAGTCGGCTTTTGCATGGGGTACATTCGGACGAGGTGTTGGCGGCGACGGCCATTTTGTCGATATATGAGTTTCTCGATGCGACCGGTCCTGCATGGAATCGACATCTGAGCGGCGTCAAGTCTCTGCTCGATGTGGCCGAAGTCGGGATTATGCCCATGGAGCAGCATTCTTCAGATGGAGACAATCATAGTCCGTATCACTCGTACAAAAAGTCGGGCCTATCTAAGGCTCGGAAAGCGACCTTTTGGAATTTTGCGCGGCAAGATTATTTAGCTGCTTGTGAGTACTGTCTGGCTGAGCTTTTTCCTTCCATTTTTCTTGTCATCCGCCTGTACTGACAATTGGCAGTCATCAATGAGTGCCACACCAGGTTGAATACAGACGACATCGTGTTATGGACCGAGGCGGGATTACAGCTTGACCAGATGGGTTTCATTCGACCAAGCAACACCACGGCCACTGGATATCCCGAGGGTGACGGACTCATGAAGGAGGATCTCATCTGTAATGCCCTTATCTGGATTCTGTCGAAGATTGTGAATTTCGTCAGTTCCGGCGATGGACTCAATATGAACGTCAATCGGTCTGTCGATAGTGGACCCCTAGGGGTAACGCAACAGGTCCTTCTGGAGCGATGGTATCGGCTGGAAGCAGAGCTGGACGCATGGTATAATGGGCTCCCCGACACATTCAAGCCATGTGCGAGGATAGAACCGTCACGGATGCCTCATTACCAGCCCGCCGATGAAGCAAAAGACTTAGCCACGCTTCAAGAGGTGTGGTACAGCATCCCGATGTGCGCGTCCACGATGCAGCATTACCACATGGCCCGCATCCTGCTACTCATCAACAAACCCCACGAGTCAACCAGCCGACGGAGCACCATTACTCTCCGACTGCAATCTTACCGATCTATCGAAGCCGACATTGGCTTCCATAGCCGCGAGATTCTCGGCATCGCGCTAGCTCGGCCCGACGGCAGCGTCAGGGTCCACTCCCTACAACCGCTCTTTGTCAGCGGGCAATGCGTGACAGATCCCCGCGAGCGACGAGTCGCAATTCGACTTCTTCGAGCCGTCGAAGCCGATCTTGGCTGGGCCACGGAGTATCGAGTGCAACAGCTTCTCAAAGAATGGGGCTGGGATGAGAGCGCTATCCGTTCGGCGGCGGTGACCTGATCCGGTAATCATGTCTTTATTGATAAGATAACCACTAGTGCAAAGCACTGAAGGTCTCCACTGGATCATCCAGGGCTTGTCTCTCAGCCTTGTGAAGAGGCCAACTTCTACCTCGCTCTGCAGGCCCCTGCATTTGGCTGTCATTTCCACGTGTGCCATGCGACCTCCATGATCCGATCGGCACCGGACCTTGCCTCCGGTCATTTGGCGAGCATCATGAAAGCACCCACCTCTCCAGCAGTCAAGGGGCCACCACATCAATGATAGGGGTGTAACCGAGATCCGGCGTATAGCGAACACCCAAGGATTCGAAACATGGCACGCAAAACCTAGCATAGTAACGAGACGACGATATACCCAGCATTTCGCATAATCTAATAGGAAAGAAGAGGCGAACAAAGAGAATAAGAAGAAAATTCAGAATCCTTTCAAGTCATTAGCTAAAAAACCACCCCACGAAAATAACCCGCTACACCCATCAAGGAGATAACCTGCAAAGACTCGGTCTAGTTTCCCCAACTCCAGCAGAGGTTGCATCACCATCCGAACTCCTCGGTAAAGGTTAACGTCTAACCCTCATCGGCCCGCTCGATTTAAGCAGGGGAATTCGACGAATCACCCTTTTCTGTTTAAGTGTCGCGCGAAAGCCGCTGCCTGTTTAAACTCAAGATTGACCAGTACTTCACTCCCTGGAACCGAACCATAAATCGATTCCTTTGGTAAACCCCTTACCCCGCCTCAGTTCCTTCACCTTCGCTGTTGAATGTTGTCACAGACCCACTGATCGCCACGCGGGACCGCGGAAGGTTTACCGAACTGACTTTCCCTCCATAGTCTGCCTATTCTAGCTTTCTTCGGGTTCGGCCATAGTCCTCCGGAATTACCCCGGGACTACCTAAATCAGATAACCCGGGTGCTTTGGGACGGCTGGAAGTGGAGGAAGAAGGTATGGTGTTGATGGCGTTGCGGGCTTGAGTCGGGGTTGATCCGAGTTTGCGTTGGATAGAAGGGATGGGGTCACACTTGGTAATAGTACCGAATAAAGGCCGTGTTGAAAACTTGGAGATTTGATTGTAGGGCTGGAGCTATATCTGTGTCTGTTGATACGCATATCCTGGTCATCGGCGCCGGATCGTCGAGTATTGTCTTTTGTGATCCAGCTGCAGAAGCAGTTCCCAGGGTGCTAGTTATGAAATCTTCGGGAAAGCAAATAAACGGTGTGGGACGTGAATTGGCTGAGTACGTACTCCAGGTGCGAATGCGTTGTGAGTGTAGGGGATAAAATGTGGGATGTGATATGGACTTGGTTAGTTGAATAGGATGGGATGAGTGGGGAGATGCTTGCACGGCGTTCGAGGATTCTTATCTCAGCTGTTGTTGCGCTTTCTGTGCCGAGGATTTGTGGAATTAAAGGCGCTGAAAAATACGAGGGGAGATTGTTCCATTCTTCGCAATGGGATCATCCGTTTGACCGGACTGGGATAGATATTGTGGTCCTTGGTGAGATCGGTCTTTGTCTGGGATGGGAGAGGGCGCCAATAACAGAAAGGGAATGGCTGCAGTGCCACACTGTCTATGCTTAATTGTGAGCGACGCCAGTTACAAGCGACGACCTTGGGAAGACTAGGAAACTGGTTCAGTTCGTCAGCCTCACTGGCTCGCTGAACGGCCAAGTCCGACTTGATCGCGCTCGTTCCACTGGATCATGCTTGATTTTTATACGCCATGATGGAGCAAGGTTTCCTCAGCTTCTATCAGGACAATAGGGGCTTCATTCGGGAGGACTTGAAGAGGACACAGATCGGCTTTACGAAGAAGAATTGCGCAGAAGCGAAACCATCCCGCAGATTGGGGTCGGCTGTAAATGCAAGCTCATGAATGGGGACTATCTGGCGTGACTACACCGCGAATACGTCGAGCTCGTGCACTCGGGTCCCATCGAGAAGTCATCAACACCGTGGTGCGCACTCAGTCCGGGCGAGAGGTGCATGTGCATGCTGTCATTCTCACGAACCGGCTTCCGGACGCCGTAGGTCCTGTTTCCTGTGAAGATGACTGGTAAGAAAAGGTATTACCTCAAATGGGCACCCATTTCAGTCTTCTGCACCTGTGTCGCGATGCGACTGACTACAAGGTGTAGCTGAATAAGTTCGTCCGGTTCAGCACCGGCATACCGCGGATTCGGTGTCTCCGAGTTTCCCCAACCTGTTCATCATGATGGATCTAACACGAGCACTGGTCAGTTTCGTTTATTTCCTCGACCGATTGCGAGATCAGTAAGCTTGTCTGGGCGACCGGTTGCACCAGCTGGTATGTCAAACCGCGGACGGGGGCGAAGTACCGTACTGAATCCGGATTGGCAGATTAATTTGCTGACGAGGAATATCTCCGTGTCCCTTGAAGAGAGGATTTACTCTCTTGGAGGTGTCCATTCCAGTCAGCAGCGACGGAGTAGCGGGAGAAAAGATCGTCAGCGCGGGCGCCTAGGTCATTTGGCCACGGCGCTGGGCCTGGCGGGTGTTGCTGTTGTGGTTGTTCTGACAGAGCGCAATGAATGACGTCGAGATAGCTTGAGCGCTCAGGAATGCGGTGAGTTGTGTACAGAGCGAGTGTGTGACTGGTCTTCGCAGTCTGCCCGTTCTGGCTGGCTGGCAGACAGTGTAAAAAAAATAGGTGTGACGAGAAACACATGTATCGATTCAATGATATCATCCGAGAGACTGAGCTGCGCGGTTGTCTCTAGCATCTGATTCGAGGATGGCAGTATTTCCAGACTGTAAGTTTCGGCCGATCTGCCATACAGGTCTCGGATCAGAGTGATAGATAAAGTGCATGGCAGACTGCAGGTCAGACCGCATCGAGCAACTGACAGTCATGCTATGGCCACCTTCTAACGTCAGAAAGGTCCATCAGGGCTCGGATTGGCCCGACCCATCACGAATGCCGGGGTCGATCACAGCTCGAGGCGGGATGGCTAGCGTGATTGGAGGAGTTGGCGCGAGGATCGCCCGATGGATGAGTGGCCCTGTCCACTCTGCAGCGAGATCCTAGTGTTGGGATTTTTGAATGCCGTACAAACATGTCGCAAAAGATGTCGAATCGTAGAGCACAACCTCCCCGGGGGAAAGGAGGCGATGAGACAATTCGAATGTTCCTTGCCACGGCGGTATTCTTTTCCTGTTGTACAGCGACCGCAACCGTCACAAGTTGTACAACCCCCCCTGGTTCTGTCTAGTCAGACATGATGCATCTGAGGACCGTCAGATCCAGGAGACAATAGTATCTTGACGATCTTTCTCATGGTCAAGGACAGGACAGCACCGACTTCCTTGTTGGTAATCAATTGTCCGACTCCGCAACGAGGCTGAAAGTGGAACCCGGAATGCGCTATGATACACGCTACAAGCCGTGGGTACGAGATCTAGACTCCCCCTAAGAGAAGACACTGCAGCCGAGTAGCGGAGTATTTTCAGTATCATTGTCATTGTCTTTTTACCATGGATAGTGACAGTAATACACAGTCACAGTCTTTGCCACTGACCAGTTTGTGACCCTTCCCCTGAACGATGGCTTTCTAGGCCTTGGCAGTGATTAGAGAGTCGGTAAAACCGCGGGTTCCCAACGTGGTCCAAACGTGGTTCATCAATCTCGCGAACCACACTTTGCACGGCACTGCTTCCAGAATCCTTCGAACTACTTCCAACCTTGGTCCCCATTTCCTACGTAACCCATGGCTAATGATCCTCATCCGTGTAGATCTTGTCCTCAACCAGTCCCGTGTTACGGAGATCGTTGCCCCCTGCAGTTCGCTTCGGGTATTCCTGTAATTTTTTTCAATACTGGAGCGTACCTCGTGCCAACCCTAAATGCCCGTCCCACTAGGATCCAGGATGAACCAGGGCTAACACTAACAAATCACCCCTGGGCCCCGCCTAGAATTGACTTCTACTTGGGGAGGGACCGTGTACCCAACGCCCATGCGTGAGCTCGTGGAGACTAAACTGTAGACCCGCTTTTCTAGAACTTGGACCCCCCCCCCACCCCCCCTCCCCTCCTCAGTCCTCTTCTCTCGCTTTTCTATGTATAGCCGAAAGTGCCCACTCTGCAATTTACTTCCTTTCCTTTACTTGAACTTCCCCACGTTCCTTCGACATTCCTTTGCTGCGCGGTTTGCGCGTGGATTCGTCGCGCTGGCGCGTTTGATTCCCTAATCCTGAGGATATGCCCGTCTGGCTCTACGACTACTCAACATGACATCTGCCGAACCCTTGTGTCGGTCTCCTTTCTACCTGGAGTCACTATTTCCGGCCACTGGAGGGTTTATTGAAGGCCGTTACTGCGAAACCTTCGGAAATATCTCATGCTGCCTGCCATGTCCTCTCGCCGACTGGAGATATGGCGATAATACCGCCCAAAAGGCCGCTGTCGCAGGTTGGATCAGTGTCGCCATCTTACCTCTCTGTGTCTTCCTCCTCATTTCATACGCCGTGCTTGCTCCCCAAATGGACCAATCGTCACTATTTGAGTATTTGCTTTACTCTGGGTATCTGCTGCATGGAGGTATGTTGGACTGAGTCCCCCCTCGGCACAATCCCACCCTGACCAATCTACAGATTGCCTTCATTATTCCTCTCGGTGCCAAACCAGACCAATGCTATAACGCTATTACACCTAATGATATGTACACGGACCTCTCGTGCGCTTTCTCCGGCGCACTTCTGCTCTTCGGCGGCTGGATGGTCGTCATCTGGAGTTTTCTTCGCACAATTGCATTCCACCTACAGGTATGCTGGGAAGTTGTCCTTGGACCCAAATTCATGTGGGGAGCCTTCCTCTGCGGCTTTGGGGTCCCAGCCATCGGAATCACGGTCATGCTCATCATCACCGGCGTCTCCTTCCGATTCGGTCAGATCTGTCATATCAACATTAAACATGGTGAGCAGGACTACTGGTACCCCATCATGGCGTTCGCTGCAGCCGCACTCGTCATGCAATTAGCAACCATGGCCTACTGTATCCATATTTACCTCCGCTCGCTTTTCGACAAATCAGGCTCGACTACTGAGAATAGCTCCGGTCTCCCAACATACACGTCCAGCATCCGCACCCAGACCGCTCGCCAGGCCTATCGCCGGGTCAAACGTGTACTGCAGCTGCAGTGGCGTGGAGTCGCCCTCGTGGTCATCATCATCGCCAACGTCATTTTCTTTGCCGTGGTGTTTATCGACCTGGACCGTGAAATTGCGCCTACGGTCGCCAACATGGAACGTGCGGAACCCTGGCTAGGATGTCTCCTGATGGGTGGGACCAAAAAAGAGTGCATGAAGTACGCATCGGAGCTAGGCCCCAACGAGGCCACGATTCTCGCCATGATCTACCTATTATCTTTAGTCGGAATCTGGAACTTTGTTCTATTCGCCCGGCCATCCATGTTCGCCGGCTGGCTCGATCTGTGGCGGCGCGGCTTCAAAAGTCGGCACGAGTATGTCTCAGCCGATGCGAGCAATCGTCATGTCGATAACAAGGGTTTCGAGATGCTCACGACGAACTCGGTCAAGACCCCCGACCCATACATGCGATCCCCTAGCCCCACTCAGATGATGGGACAGGGCCGGACCTCGATGACCAGTCCCAGCCCAACATTTGACCAAACTGTTCATTTCGGGCAGGAGGCCCGCTACGTGCGCCCCTCGATGAGTTTCAGCGGCCCGCGACCACCCAGTGCCTCAGGTTGGGATCCGTCGTCGACCTTTGCTCACGGTCATGTGCGATAACTATTGGGATGGCTGACGAATGGGTCAAACTCAATTTTCAATATATCCCGTCTGAAGCTTCGGGCGGGGCAACTCAAAAAGCAAAAAAAAAATATTAAAGGGATGTCTTGGATACTTGGTGTGAAGAAATTGTGGTTCCCGGCGTTTTCTTCGATGGGAAGGGGGGGGGGGAGTACTGATGCTGATCCTTTTGCCCGTCTTAGATCGGCTGTTCGCATTCTTTGGCCACCCAAGGGTATGGTTCACAATGTTCAAGTCTAATGTTTTATTGTTTCTTTGTACAACTTACCTGTGCACTACTGAACCATAATCTTGTAAAATTGATAAATTACAAATTCATCCACAACCCGTGTGCCTCGAGCGTTCAACCTCCTTTCCAATCGTACGGGACTATTTCACCACCGATCGTCTCCACAGCAGACGGCATCTAGTCCGTCTGCGCGGGTTCTGAACTCGACCGATCCAGATTCACCCAATAATAACCTCACCAGAAGCACGAGTCGAGCTCCACACTTGAGGCCCAAAAACCCACACCACGCGACTTCCACGGCCTAGTTGCCGAATACTACCTAGACTATCTCCCTACTTATCTCGTCTAAAGTCAAGACATGACATGGGGTGGTGGGGCGGGGGATGGCTATAGTCTGAAGAGTGAAAAGAAAAAGAAAGAAAAGAAAAGAAAAACAAAAAAAGCGCGCAGTCTAGAATCTGAGAGCTCAAAGCCCCCTCGAAACACCGGCAAGGTGAAACAGAGCCCTAGAAAAAAACAAGCTACCCCAAACGGGGTAGGTCGGCCGTTCCTGCATAGCCTTGTTACATAGAAACCTGCGTAAGCGGTGCCACCGACCTCATGGGTACGCGGTGCGCTAGCCGGATTTCCGTAGCGTTGAGATTTGTCCGCATCATTCCGCGACGAGTCAAGTACAGTCTTGGTATCTAATATTCGTAGGCACTAACCCCCTTGGCTTTGGAAAGGCGATTGATCTGGACAATTGGTGCCCGACCCCAGTGCCTTTGTAAAGTGGTACCTGCGTATGAGACCTCCACAGTCAGCACGACTCACGTGTGCTGCGACTAGTGTTGGCAGGGTCCAGGATCGGGGAGGTTAAAATAGATGAGCTTGGAAGTTCGTGCGGGGGGGAGCAAGATTGAGCGATGGGGATGGAACGCCGTATGCAAATGCACATGTGGCCTCTTGCTTTTCCGGTGACAAGCATATCGGAATATAGTTTCGGCCGAGCTGTGAATTGAACTTTGACTTGCACAAACGGCTTCCTCGCCACTTCAATCTCAAAAGTCTTGAGGTCCATGAAACCCCGCAAACCAACACTTACAGTAGAGACTTCTGGGTGAACCAAATCCCCAAACTCAAAAAAACCCTATCGGAACGGTTCTAGCCACGTCTCCGTTTCAGTTCCGGCATAACCTCATCACCTCTCATACCCCGGGGGGAAGGATTGCCCAGACCCCGGGACCCCGAGATGATAATCGAGACATGAAAGGCGGGGTGATCCGCGGTACATGGTACACATCGTGGACAAAACCGTGTTCTGGAAGTGTCCAATGCAACAGTCCACTATAATTTACCCTATCAAGTTCCTTGTTCTCGTGCCACGGGACTCGAACCAGCGAGGCATTTTTCGCGTGGCATGTGCTTGGGATCGGAAGATCACAAACTACCGGAACCCCGTCAAGTGCGGAGTCAATGATGAACGTGTGTGGAGAAACCGGTAGTTTTTCTAATAGTTTCATGTAGTTGATGTCAGAGTAGGATCTGGGTCTAGACAATTTTCCCCCGCCCTCGAAAGTAAAGATGGCGGGAACTAGTGCAGTGGAAAGTCTATCGGGTCGCCTCGGTACATGTGATATCTGCATTGGCATCTGGCACGGTTCGCTGCGATGGAGTTTAGGCCTCGTGTTCCATGTTGGGGGGTTTTTTTTTGTTCAATATAATCTGATCGTTTTCGTTGCGTTTTGGAACGGTCTTGTTTGCGTTCAATGGTTCGTTTCATACCGACGATCACTTTACTTTCGGTAGTCGTGTATAGTGGGCGGGTCTCGTGCTCGAAGATAAACTATATGGGGCTAAGGGCCACTAATTCAAGGATAGACTACATTTTCTAGCTCGTGGGCCTGGAGGATGGGGAATTTTATGCAGGGGCCACAAGGGCAAGGTACAGATGAACGTGTATGGGTATTGTCGTCTCCGGGGCTCCCGTTTGATGAAATTTGGATGGATTTGATTACACACGGTCATCATGAAAATTTCCAGTATTCAGCTCAACGTTACTCTCTGGTCGTGTATGAGCTCCAGATTGGAGTTGGGCCTCTACCGTGTGTCGAATATGAAGCCAATCAGGCCATGACTCTTGTGGAATTCGATTCTGCGGGTGGCAGGAAGAGCGTATACCCTCTTTCACTGAAGACTCTAATTAGGGATGTATAAATGACGAGTTCTAGGAATGCCTCATGTCCATCGGCGCGTACCATCAAATGTTGTTTCCTGCCACTGCATGTCGCGTGTCACCATGATCGTGTTCAGTGGTACTTCATCGCTCAAGTCGTCCTGGCTAACATGCATTTGCACGTGTGACTTGGATGAAGACTCATCCCCTGGTCTCAAGGCCGCTCCGTCTCTTGTGAAGCTTCGCAGGGCCGTACCATCCGTTCCGAAGCTGCGTAGGGCGGATGTTTTGCCATCTGTTGTTCGTGTCTTTGATGTTCCATAGCGACTTCCGAATTTGGATGAGAGCATCACGAACAATGGGCGCAGTGTCGGCATGCAGGCGGAAATGATTCCACTTGAGGTCTCGATCAGACACCAGGTGCAAGCTTCCGCGAGGGTCCAGGATACATCAGTCGGCTCGAATTTGAAAAGGGTTGAGAATCGATAGGCGCTTGTGAAAATCACGCTGTTGAGAGGTACTCGTTAGGTTCTGATCACTCATAACCAGCACGATCATGCCTGGAGGGGGAGGAAGGGAGGGTTTAGCACGCACAAACTACCCAACAGGAAAACAGCAATCACAGACAGCCGATGGACAAGAGTGGCCTGCAGCCTCCAAACAACGTGTACCGGAAGAGACAAAATCGCGACATCGGTTAGGATATTCGGTACTGCGTTTCCGATGAACGATCCTTTGAGGTTGATACATGTCCCTGGAAGACTTGTATCCCAGGCTTTTGCAATCGGTGTGCACTGAAAGACACTGACACAGATGATGGCGATAACCCATGAGACAACAATGAAGCCTATAATGTATGCTGCAATGCGGAATTCTCGTGTGGGGAAAATGCGCGCGTACATCAGCAAAATCGAAATCTTGACGATTCCTACCGCAGTGCAGTATACACACTCAAAGGCCATGAGTAACTGCGGGAAGATCATGTCAACTCTCGAATACTGTTCAATCATTGCTTGGCTCATACCTTTGCAATCATCACCAAATTTTTGACCGGTAACACATCTGCGTGTAGTCCCATGCCATATTCGATCACTGGCGCGATTAGTCGGATATCATGAGATCGTTACTTGCTCGTCTACTCACTGGAGAGATTGAGACCGCAAACTGCGAACAAGAATCCCTATGTGGAAACATCCCAGTCAATTAGATCTTCACGAAGAACTCGTGGAACACACCAGTGACACCAGCACCAAATAATCATCCCAGCCGATGCTCACTCCCTTTTTCCATCTTGACAAAAATCTCAAAGCAACAAATACTGCACCTAGCACGGTCATCGAGATGGTCCCGGCCCGATATTGGCCCTGCCGATTATCATGCATATCACTCGACATGCTACCCGCTCAGTCTTCCAAGTCCGAGTTCATTGAGCATGTTCCACCGAAAGGGAAAAATAAAATCAAGAAAGGTCGCTTCCCACAGTCGACTTGACGGCTATTTCTACACCACCCCTGATGACACGACAAAACGGCGCAGGGCTAGAGGCCGTCTCTGAGACAAAAGGACATGTCCACCACCTGTCAAAAACGGTCGCCACTTGGGCGATCCTATGCTTCGTCAAATCAGACGTCGACTTACCGATGAAAAGTCAGCATCCTTCTCCAGGTAATTTCTTTATGCTTCCTAGCGGAAGCCACTGACAGCCAGGACTTAGCTCAGCTGCATATTCATATGTGGGTCGTACAACATTAGGTCATCAATTACCTATTTAGGCCTAGTGACTTAATGCAAACGACCCCATTTTTTTCCTTGGCATACAATCCTCTTACCGTCCGCCTCTCTCACCGCTCTTTTCCTATATAATATCACTTCAAATAAGATATCTACTAGGTACCTAGGGAATACCTAGAGGATATCTCTTTATCTTGTTTATCTTTTCGTTCTTTTTAAACAACTTTATCTTCTGAATCTATAAAGAATATCTCTAAATATTCTATTTTAATATAGAATCACTATATGGTGGAGATAGGGGAATAAAGGAAATAGGGAGAAAGGGATTTTAAACCCGGCAGAATTTAATTATAGGTAATTTTTGGCTATAATACCAATACGTTCATAGAAGTTAGTAACACGCTAAACCTAGCTAGGTGATTATCGACGACATTACCGCTTTCGTAACTGCCTAACACGGTTAGGCAGTGTTTCGCGACCCATAAGAGAATGTCGAGGCGACATATCGACTCACTGACAGCGGATCTGTCCTTGACTGCCGTGTGTGGACCACGGAGCTTGATGGTCCGTTGGCTACGGCCAACTTCCGAGAATATCATAGATCAACTTGAGGTCCCTGCGTCCGTCGCTAATTCATAGTCCAATGGCGGCCACATTGTGATCTGATGATCCCATACGAAAATGGTATACTTCACAATTTACGCAGCTTACAATAGGCCGTTCATATGTCCGAACTCCACCGCCAAGCGCGCCGAAGGAATCCTTCGAGATATCCCGTGATCCTGTAAAGGTATACCTCGTCTAGTGAATGATGACAAAAGTACTAGAGGCTCCCAGTGCTGTGGTAGGGGGCAGTGGTAGGGGGCAAGACGAGGAAAACGTGGGTGCTTAGATTAAAGTTCCTGGTTTCCTTGAAGAACCGAAGAAATCCGTTCTTATTGCTTTTTTACGCTGAAAATTGGCCTTGGGATTTTCAGGAACACTTCATATAATCTGCCACGTCGCAAACCGTCACAATGTCTGGTTCTGAGAAGCCTATCTTTGTCTTTGTGCCCGGTGCATGGCACACCGCGGATACCTTCGATGGTATCCGGGAGATGCTCTCCCAGAAGGGATTCGATACTGAGGCTGTTCCAACCCCATCTGTTGGCGCAATTCCTCCGAATAAGGGTCTCCATGCCGATATCGAATTTACCAAGGAGTTCCTTCGGAAATTGGCGGACAAGGGACGCCAGATCGTCCTTGTCACACACTCGTATGGTGGGATGGTCGGAGCTAACGCCGTCGAGGGCCTTGGTTACTCTCAGCGCTCCAAGGCCGGTTCTTCCGGCGGAGTGATCATGGTTGTTTGGATGGCAGCTTTCGTTACTCCCAAGGGTCAGTCCTTGCTCGATATGCTCGGCGGCAACTGGCTTCCCTGGATGCTCCCCAATGTCAGTACTCTTTAAATCACTGACATCGCTTGCCACTGCAGTGTCCCGATTGGTTTCTAGTATGCTGATGATGTTCCATAGGACGACGGCTATACCTACTCGTCGCAGCAAGAGACCGTCTTTTATCACGACATGACACCTGAGGCCCAACAAATGGCGATTGCCAAGCTGAAAGGTCAACCCACACAAACCTTCTTGGAGAAAGTTGGATATGAGTGCTGGCACGATATGCCCAGTATGTATCTCTTCTGTGATAAGGATCAAGCCCTGCCTCTGGCCTTCCAGGAGGCGTTTGCTAAGGTTCTTGGCAACCCGGTCACTTTCCACACCGACGGTTCTCATTCAGCCTTCTTGAGTGTGCCTGACCAGGTCATTGAGGCGCTTGAGCTGGCATTGAAGGAGGGTCGTGCCCAGAGTGGCATCACTACTGAATGAGAGGATATACATGCACTTGGCATTGTAGCAATGAGATGATGTCGATACAAGAGGCTAGATAAGCCGAGGATGGCATAGGATCACACTGAATTTTAGCGGATCCACACAGTTGAGGAGCACAAACATGAAGACCAGTGTTCGAAATTGTATTTCCTTCACGCAAAAAACAAGAAATCATCACTCTTGGATTGGTTAAACAAGAACCGTAAATAATCAATTGCCATTCTTTATAGAAACTAGTTTCTGATTGCATCATTCCGACTCTCGACGTCACTACGGCAGAAGGCGGAGAGCGAAGCTCCCGAGCTGGAAAGTGGAAAGCACGGGTAACACACAACTCTCCCCGCTTCCCAGCCTCCTCCGCGACCTCTTTCCGATCTCTCTGTTTTTTTTCCCTTCCCTTGCTCCAGAACTATCCTCCTCGACCTCCGGAACCTTTTCATCTCTCCCTAATTTTCCGCGCCCGGAATCTCGAGACACACCGTCATGGCTCCTCCTCCTCCCGCGACCTTGCCTTTGGCCGATAGGCTGAAGGCTCTCGCTCAGACCCTCCAGTATGTCTCCCTGGCGGCTTGATGCAGTTCCATGCAACTTCAATGCTAGATGGACAAGTACTAATTCATATCTCGCTGCAGGTTTGGTTGGTTCATTGGGTATGTCGTCACTCGAGAACCTTCGACGCACTCTTCCGAAGGTCGGCATCGCTGACCGTATTCCAGGCACCTGATGCTCCTGCTCTCCGTTTTCCGCTACTCTATTTCCTTCATCATCTTCAACTACTACTCTACATGGGCCCGATTCTCCTATCGCTTGGCGTTCATCTCGGCCGCTGTCACCTACGGCATTGTCGTGTACAAGGGCCACTTTGCCCGCGGTGTCCAGGGCAATGTTCCTACCATCTTGGCAAAGCTCATCTCCGATGAGAACGTTCAATACCTCGGTAAGTGACTGGACGATAAGAATTGGGTTGTGACTCGGAAAACTGACGAGATCATGCCGTAGGAATGGCTCTCGTCTGGCTGTACTCCCGCCAGATCATCTTGGCCCTCCTGCCCTTCAGCGTGTACTCGGTCTTCCACGTCGCGACCTACACCCGCATGTACCTGATCCCCACCCTGCAGCCCCCTCAGGGAGCCTCTGGGCCTACGTCGCCTGGCTCCCCGAGCTCCAAGACCCCCAGCAAGCAGAATCCTCTTGCTGAGACCATTGGCCGCTTCATCAAGCAGTATTACGATGCCAGCATGGGTGTCGTCGCCAGCCTTGAGATCCTACTCCTGTTCCGCCTGGTGCTGTCTGCCATTACCTTCTCCAAGGGTAGCTGGGTTCTGCTGGTCATCTACCTTGCATTCTTCCGCGCTCGCTACGCCCAGAGCTCCTTTGTCCAGCAGGCCGTCCGCCAGATCACTGCTCGCGCCGACGCCTCCATCTCTCACCAGAGCACTCCTCCTCAGATTCGTCAGGGTTGGGAGACTGTCAAGGGTCTGGTGCGCCAGGGTTACGAAGCCACTGATATCAGCCGCTACATCTCTGGCCCCACCGCTGCCAAGAAGCCCCAGTAAATTGATCGCACCGGTCTCGTGACTAGCATGTGAGCTCAGCCTCGCCTGCATTCACATCGTTACGACCTCGAAACGGAAGATAACGGTACTATGTATTTACCATTACAACAGAAGGGTGATTGGGATTGTGGCCTTTCCCCGACTGTTTCGGAGGAGGGGGTGAGGGTTTGTTTAAACACGGACCGAGGAGGCTGTTTTGTAGAAAAGAGGCGGACGTGGAGGAATCCCGCCCTGATGATGCTATACGCAACGCAACGCCATGTTCTCTGTTCTTTTTGTCTAGAAATCCGCAAAGCCATTTCATTTTGCACTTCATAGCCAGTATACCAGTCGTGCTTCATTTTGATACTATCTCTACAGAAAAACGCAGTGATGACGACAGTATTTTCCGGTTCTGGCTTTTCTTATCTGGCGGCTCGAGATAAGCTTCCAGATCAACTTCCCGGCCAATTGCTCTCGTGCTTGTAGGCTACATACGGTTATTGTCTTGTTATGTCTTGCATTCACTTATTAGACTACTTCATGATGTCGTGGATTCCAGTTAGTCTTTTTGAGCCTATGATGATTCCGAGGCAACGCGACACGCAACACAAAAAGCTGAGTGTCTTGAGCCAGCCGTCATAAATTGAGGATGATAGTGCATTAAAGTCTCGATCACGTTATCAAATGCCTTCATGGTCTAGTGGTTATGACGTCGGTCTCATATTGTGAGCATCGCACCTTGACGGTCCTGATAACAGGATTGCCATCCGAAGGTCGCCAGTTCGATCCTGGCTGAGGGCAAGATTTCTTTTTGCCATTTTCTTCCTTTGTCGTCTTTTTTTTTTGATCCTGAAGCCTTTAGTTTCGCATGCAATTACCTGATCTTTGTCTCTGAAGTTGTATTTGAAGCGAGCTCGTCTGCATTATACATGCTACGATCTTATGGCCAAGATATGATATGGCGATCTCACCACTTTCAAAGCCAACACCGTATCCGCTGCTCTATGATTATAGAAATATATTTCCCAATGCATGATCGAAAAAACGCTCAAAATCAATTATTCCGAACAGACTCTGTCCATTGCCTTTACCGAGTCCGAAGTGCTCTTATTGCCCTTCAGACCAGAATTCTCGAAATAAGAACAAAATCTACCTAACAAGAACCTGCCCACTGGAGTAGTGTACTCATGGCGCTTGCAATCGCCCTTTGTCGAGGTGGACACTATCTCATTTTTTCTTCGATAATCTAGTCGACGAGCGACAACCTGGAAACCGGCTCTTGAGGATGTCTTTCGCTCTGGGGATGGCTGTTGGGGTTGTACTGATTGGTGATAGGGTGTGTGTGTTTGGGATACTGCGCGTTGTCCAAATTTTCCATTACCAGGTAGAAAACTTCACCGGTTGGCTATCTTCAGGCCTGGGATATATTTTTGCTAATGAGCTCGATAGGCAGTAATGCTTTCGAGGTTACTTGGGCGCTTCTAGAGCTCAATCTGGGCGTTGCATGTGCGTGCCTAGTGCTTATGCGGCCGTTGCTGCACTGTTACAGGGCTTTCATTGCTCGGGTGTTTGAGTCTACGAAAGAAGTTTTTGGGTTCGAGGAGCTCGACTAGAATTGATGTGATGGATTCGAATGTCTCTTCTAAAGAATTATCAGCTCCACGGCAAAGTGAATCGGTGGACTGGGATGCGAGGCTTGGGGTCGGGACATTAGAAGTCAAAGCCAACTCTGGGGGTCCTGATGAGACGAGGCTCCCAAGATATTCTTCCATAGAACAGACATGGAGTCTTTCAGCTACTTCGTGGCATCTAAGGCTATTATGAAAGTGGCACCGACGTGTTATCGGAACGCGGCTCGCTTGTCACACTCACCCACACTGGTTCCATGCGTATGCCCCTTAACCTGGGCACATGGCTTTCCTGGGGATTCGGCCACTTGAAGAATGTTTCTGTTTGTTTTTGTTGTCGTAGGCTTGACTGAATTCATCATCTAGCATCGATCTTTGGAGGATGCATCTGGTAGAAGCTCTGGGTAGACTGCTGCCTGAGCCTCGATGTAGCAGGAGGGGTTAAAAGAGCCTTCCTGTCCCTGTCTCCCACTTTTTTCCCTCAATATTCCCAACCACAGGGTTTTTCTTCCCTTTTCTTTTCTGTTTTTGAAAAGAAAAACCTACATCGAGGTTTTCTCATCTCGATTTCATCTTTGTCTTGCTCGGGATTATCGGAACAACCCCACGTGTCAGACTCAGCAACTCCAGACACTCTACAGTAACTGAGAAGTCAACGGTGTCGTCATGTCTGCCGAGGGAACAAACTTCGTGACCGTGAGATCACTGCTGCCAACATCACCGCTCCCCCCAAACAGTGAGCGGGCCACAGTGACAACGCATCGCCTGATCATCCGGGCTCTTCAAGCAACAGACCTGGAAGCATTATACGCGTTGCGAAGGCAAGAGGATGTCATGCAATGGACAGCGGCCGGTCGTATTGACCGATATATCGAGGAAACTCGATCAAAGTTGAATCTCTTCTTGCCGCCAAATGACGCGGCCTCCTTCAATTGCGCTATCTGTTTAAAAGAAACGGGCGAATTCATCGGTGTCGGAGGCTGTCACCTTTTCCTGCGGCGCATGGATGGCCAGAAGTTGGATATATGCTTCGACAGGAATTTTGGGGCCGTGGATTGGGGTCTGAGTTTCTCAGTGCATGGCTAAGAATGTGGGGTGAATTGCCGAGGACGGAACAAGACTTCAGGGTTAAGCAGGAGATGGCTGCCGGTGAAGGTGAGATGGATGAACATCTTATTGCAGTCACAGAGAAAGACAATGTTCCGAGTCAGAAGGTCCTGCTAAAAGCGGGATTTGAAAAATTCAGAGAGTGGACTGAGGGGAGCGAGGATGCCTCGAAGGGTATTGTGAATCTTGTGGGATTCCGGTATTTCCCTTCCAGGTAGGGGTGTTTTCATCGAAAGTGAAGAGTTAGAGGCCCCAAGAAAGTCCTTAGATAGATACTCTACACATAGAATGAGTAAAGCGCGTTGAAAGCGACTTCCCGCAATGGACATGTCGATGTGAGTGCAAGAAATAGAGAAAGACATTAACTTATAAGTGGTTCTTATGCAAAAAGTCTTTTCTTAACGTATTAACATTGTACTCGTGGAAGATGATTGTTTCTCTAGTTCTCTCGAATCTAGGAGAATAAAATCCGCGCTCTTCATATCGCTCATCTTTCAATTCCGTCTGTCGACCAAGTGTCAGAACAGACGCGCGAGAGCCAAGCTGAATTCCTTGATGAATTGCTATCATGATCTCAACAGGTTTGTCTTGATACCACCATTCGTGCTATCGTCCATTTCAAGAAGCTCTTGATATAAGCATCGATAGTGCCAATCTCCTGTTGAAACCTCCGCAATGTCGCCAGCATGTATGAATTCTGCGCGCGCACGATATTCTCAACAGCATCAATGTTCCCACGTAATCCTGGTTGTGCCAGAAGCCTCCTGGTAGCCTGAACCCCCCACGTTCGCTTGCTGTCCAGATTGTTGAGAGCGTATGCATCGGCGATGGAGTCATGACTGAAGCCAGCCAGAAGCATTATCAGCATAGAAGTCACACCGGTTCTGTCTTTCCCAGCGGTACAATGTACCAGGATTGGCGAAGGCTTTGGCTGGGCTAGATGGTGGAAAATAGGAAGAAAAGATATTGCGCCTGAACGGAGAACGTGCATGTATGCTTCGGCATAGCCTTGATACTTAAGTTAGTAGTGTTGTATGATGCTAAGTGCGTCGGATATTCACCTCAGCAGCACTGAAATACTGGCGAAGACGGGAGTTTCGCCGGTCTTGGTGCCATTCTTCATCTGCGAATACAGGGACGACCACTCGAGGGATCCCAACATCACAATATCGGTCAGGGGGTATATAGGCGAGGTCTCTTGTGCCAACATAGACTGATGGCTCGCTCCATGGACTGAATGGTGACCTTCGAACTCAATAGGGCTTCGTTGATCGAAGATTTTCTCAATTCCCAGCTCAAGTACTTTCGCTAAACCAAGCTGGGTCATTGTCGATGGGTCGCCACTGCGAAAGACCAAGCCCTTTCGTAGACCTGACACAGGACTACCGCCAATGTCGCGGAACATGCGAACCCCCTCCACAACGACAATTGGTGGACATGGATGACTCCCTTGGCTGGATCGATAATCCTCGACAGGCAGTCGTTCGATCATGTCAATATCCTGATAGTCATCCAACCATGGTATAAACATCCTTTCCGTGCCAGATTTCCCCCTTCCCAAGACGCATTTCTGCAGTCGCTAGGATAGTGCCTGCCATGGTCGTAAGGTCCCGAAGAGGCCTATGGAAGTTTTGTCTCTGCCCAACATCGACTTCTGCAAGAGCACTGAGACCGACAAGACGGTATGCATCGATCAAGGTCCCGATCTCAACTCCGTACCCCACAGGAAAATGGAGTTTTTTCAACGAGACTTCGCCTGGCTGCAAATTCACCCGCCAGTGGCTGTCTGAATCCAGCCAGCTCAGGCCAGTGCCTGTTTAAGACGGGACGAGCGAGAAGCTCAGTCACTCTCCCGCCATCATATGGCTCACACAGCCCGTCTGTGCCTTGAAGGGGCGGTCGAAACAAGCTCGTACCATCTGAATGTTATCAGAGACGATCAGGGGCCCCAAGATCCCCACCAGATGAGCTGGAACGGGATCCTCGGTATCTCCATCCAAAAAAGCGATGATGTCTCCTCCAGTCGAAAGAATTCCTCTCCAAAGAGGCTCGCCTTTTCCTTTGCTAGGACCTAGCTCTGTTGAAATGTCGGCCCGTTGAGGAACCTGTGCACCAGTCTCTTTCGCGATCTGACCAGTTCCAACTTACGATGCTGCGTCAATCACAAATACTTCGTGAACAACACCGGCGTCGATTAATGGGCGAACGGCTTTCTTGATGACCTCGGCTATCGTAGCTGCAACTTCCTTGGCGGGGATCAACACGGTCACTTTCAAATGTTTCTCATCAACAATTGTTGCTAATTTAGGTATCGAAAAGTCGGTTTTATTAAAGCGGTTCTTCTGAAGCCAATGAGGCAGTCCCTCCTGGAATAGGTGAGAATGAACCGAAGCGATATCACCCATTATGTAGACGTGTGAGAATAAGTGGATGAAAGATGCCTCGATGAGAGTCACAGGTTTCCATAATTTAAGTGCATTTTTACATTGCGGCCAGCAACACAATCGCCTCAAGCACACACCGGCGTAAGCTGCAACTCTTGAGTTTCACGCGCCATGATGCATGTGGTGTAATACACTACTAGTCGTTTTTGATAGATCGATGCTTATCTGAAGAATTCATTGGTTAAGGTACGATTAGATTGAGCAACATGGACCGCCCTAGCCCCACTTCGCACAAGCCGCGATCTAAGGACGAAACTTATACTTTCTAGATATTAGAATGATGGGCATAGAAACGACCGGAGCAATTGTTTGTATGCGTGTCCGCCCTCAATTCGCAAGATTTTTCCATTGTTGCTCACTCCCAATGATCTACAGCTAGATATCTCTGTTGCATCTGGAGGAATACGTCAATTCCTGATGCATTATCCTAGCTCTAGGTACTGCAGAACTCTATCTCAGCCCATGCGACCATCGTGCAACTCCAAATGAAGATCGTCCGAGACATCTTTGCTATATGTTACGGAATTTACATTCATATATACACCTCGGCCACGCATATCCTATTTACATGATCACACAGCCAGAAGAGCGACGGCGTCGAGACTCAGGGTGCGTTGATCCTGCTGCAGTAGGTCCTCCCGCAGCCATGTATCTTTTCTCCTCCAAAAACGAAACATTTCGTAGATACAACTCTTCATCTGACATAGTCTTCTTCGAACCACCTTCCACCAAGCTACTCTCGAACCGTAACCGAGGACTGAAGATAACGTCCTGGGGATCAACCTCGTACTCATTCTGATACAGTAAAAGCGACCTCCACCTAGGATCCTCAGGAGAAAGTCCCGGGCCAACGTCAATCCATCGGGTAAATATTAAGCTCACATCATGAGTCCCCAAGTCGCGCAACTCAACATGCCATTCTGTATTACATTTGGAACACTTTCCATATTCGGCTGCTTTTGGCGCACCAGAGCTATACGCTGAAATGTGAGAGCTAACACGCTCTGAAAAGTTCGGCGTCGCGTTTGTGATATGTCCGCATACCCAGACGGTGTTTCCCTGCGGGAGTAACCTGGATGCGTTTTGACGCCTCACTACTGCCAAGCCTTGAATGCGCAAGCATAGGCTGGGAGCTGTCGGGCAAACTCGGGCTTCGATTGAGGTGAGGCTTGTCTTGTTTTCGCTAAGGTGCTTTTCTTCCGGGGTCAAGGCTGATAAATTTGATGATTGTGGTGTGCTGTTACTGCGTAGCCGATCAACTCGTACCTCTGTGTGGAAGAGGGAGTCTGTGGAGATGCCGTATTGTAACCCATGATAAAAGCGTCTCATAGCCAGGTATACATGAGTAAATTGCAGTTGATAGCGACACCATGCTGGGTAGTATAGACCTGCGAGGCCTTGGACTAACCAGCGGTCTTCATGATCCTCAACATCCAGAGACGAGAAGCATTTCAGGGGCTCGAATTTTGCTGGAGATGGAACTTTCGACCAAATATGAAGTTTTAAACAAACAGAGCAAAGATAATAGCCGGGTATGTCGAATGAGAGTCGGGTCAAAAAGAGAGATCTCTCGTCTTCCATATCTCCAGGGAGACCTTTTGGTAATCGGCCATTGATTGTGGCACTGTCATCGGAAGCAAATAAGACCATCAGTCTATTGTTGCAGACTGCAAGGCATGCTATATCAGCTGGTGATAGGAGATCTGAGATCAACAACAGAAGTTCCGCTGGAAGGCCGATTAAGGCACTGGGCCTATTGACGCACGCCATGGTACGCAATTTGAATCGGAGACGCTATAGGGAGTGGCTAAAGGAGGAAAGTTAAGTTGAAAATTTTGATATATGTAGGAATAGCTTATCAATCGATTTGTTTGTCAAGCCCATGGCAGGAGACAAGGGGATACGAGGTTGAGACAAGCGGTGCTTGAGCCGATGCTTCTATACCCACTGTGATTTAGGGCAGGCGGTCTCGGCAGGCAGTTCATAGACCCGGCGATGACGCATATGCTGCCTGAGGCAGGGCGGAGGCGGAGAAAAGAAAAACACCGCCGACCAGAATTTTGATTCGGCTCCCGAGATACACGGAGTGATCTCCCATTCACTTACCCTTTTTCTTGTCACTCCTTAACACCTATCCGGGGGCTGCTCCTTTTATCTTTTTATTCGGCACCCCCAATCATCTTTCGAAGGCCCCGGCGGAAATCGCGGGAGTCTCGGCCCATATTGCCATGAGCCTGACCTCGCGAGTGCTCGGCCTGTTCTCGACAACAGAGAACTCGGACTCAAACACGAGTAATGCACATGATCTTGCTGGCTCCACACTAAACCAGCCTACATTCGGCTTCGATGGCCAGATAATGTCCGGCGGCGCCGCCCGCCATGCGCAGGATGATTTAATAGAGGAGGAGCCCCGTCCGCCATATCTTCATGTACGACTCAATTCCGATGGTAGACACTGCCCAACGGGATCTCAGGGAGCTAACATGACTTCAATCTGCAGGCAATGCTAGCAGGTGGTATCGGAGGCTGCTGTGGTGATATGTTAATGCATTCGTTGGATACAGTCAAGACAAGGCAACAAGGCGATCCGACCTTTCCACCCAAATACACATCGATGGGTTCATCATACGCGACAATTTACCGACAAGAAGGACTCTGCCGCGGATTATACAGTGGAGTCACGCCGGCTTTCCTAGGATCCTTTCCAGGTACCGTAATATTCTTCGGAGTGTACGAGTTCACCAAGAGGTTGATGTTGGATTCTGGGATCAACCCCAGCGTGGCGTACCTATCCGGTGGTTTCTTTGCGGACTTGGCTGCGTCAGTTGTCTACGTGCCGTCCGAGGTGCTTAAAACCCGACTTCAGCTGCAGGGCCGATACAACAACCCGCACTTCCACTCAGGATACAACTATCACGGCACCACCGATGCATTCCGAACCATCGTGCGGCGAGAAGGATATTCGGCCTTGTTCCACGGCTACAAGGCGACCATATTCCGCGACTTGCCGTTCTCAGCTCTGCAATTCGCTTTCTACGAACAAGAACAGGCCTTGGCCAAGAATGGGTCGGCAAGCGAGATATTGGCCTGGGATTGGAAATTTTGACAGCCGCGACCGCCGGCGGGATGGCTGGTGTCATTACCTGTCCGCTCGACGTTGTCAAAACACGCATTCAAACACAAGTGAATCATATCGAGCCTTCCACCGGGTCAACAAGCACGAAACACAATGGCGATCACAGACCCCACGCGGGATCATCGCATTCCCACGGGTCACATCCCCACTCGCGACCGATTTCCACCTCATCACCCTCCACCTCGGTCACACCCCGGGTACACCGCGATTAGATACATCTTCCGTATTCACGGGCCTGAGGATGATCTACCGCACAGAGGGATTAGCGGGATGGTTCCGCGGTGTCGGCCCGCGTGGTGTGTGGACCAGCATCCAGAGTGGAACCATGCTGGTCATGTATCAATACCTCCTCAAGCAACTCGAGTCCTGGCAAGGGCTTCAAGCGGAAACGCCACTCTGAAGAACCTCTTTAACCTGCATTTGATGGAACTTCATTCATTGGAACGGCGTTTGGACGATTTCTTTGAAGTATTGGGGAGTGCTTTGTTTTGTATACTCCCATCTCCCTTTGTGATAGACATAGAAGGTCGCCCTCTTCGGGACCCGTGTACCATAGCCATAGCTTTTGATTCAGATCACGATACATAGAATTAAAGAAAGCACAACATTTAATATGACTTTCCAAGTTAGGGGGAAACCACCGACTCCAAAGTGTTCAAGAATTCCGAGGTCGAACAAAGACGCGCTAGCGTGTTTTGTTTTGGCGATCCGCGTAAACACCGGAACCCCCCTCCTTGCATCTACATCCTCCCCTCTTACTGAATTGAAATTACATGTATCTCGTTTGATGCATTGGCCATTATCTCTGATCCTCGATCTATCGTGTACTCTACCCGCCCACCATGACAAGCGGCCTACCTTATCTTAAGTCATTGCGCAAGCCTGACCTCGTCGACTTTGCCGAGCGCACCGATCTCCAAGAGTATGTTTACCTTGTTTACCCTTGTCGCGTGCGCCCGCACATATTAACAAAGCGATATAGATATGAGGACTTTAACAAGAATGATCTCGCAATTGCGCTGGATAAGCACCTGAGCGACAACAGTTCCATCTTCATGTCCGACAGCAAGCTCAGCAAATTCTACGAGCGCCTAGGCGTCGCCACACCCGGCAAAACACCCAGGAAGACGCCGTCCAAGCGCATGTCCGAGGCCAAGGTCGAGATCTCCCCAGTCAAGAAGACCCCCGGCCGCAAGCCCAAGGCCAAAGTCGAGAGCGAACCGTACGTCCATTCTCCCCCTCTTTGTGCGTTGCGCGCCACCTTGCGACATCTTACTAACTCATGCGACAGCTCCTCTGACGAGAGCACCAACGCCGTTGTCCCCAAGCCCAGCCGCACCCCCAGTTCGGTCCGCACTCCGCGAGCATCTTTCGATGTCCCCGCCTCGCCGGCCTTGGTGGCCGCCAGCATTGACCGCCAAACCGCCAAGATGCGCGAGGGCCTGGAGAACGCCTGGGACCATAGTGGCTTCCTGGAGCACTCGTACAGCGTGCGCGCAATGCTGAGCAGCCTCAAGGCCGTCGAGACCATCCTTATCTGTCTAGAAGGGTCCAGCGTGATCAAGTCACTATTCCCTATGCGCCATCTTACCAACACCCCTGCTGTGGACGCGATTCACCTGCCAGAGATTATGATCAAGGTTCCCGACGTGTTTGTGCTGGTCACCGGCGAATTCTGGGCTACGTTGACGCTGTGGGCGCTTACCAGTGTCGTGCTGCCTTTGATCGCGGCTTGGTTCATTAACTTGAGCTGGATGGCTGCGACTGGTGGGCAGACAGTTCGTCGGACTCGTTCAGCTTCGACTCGAGCTAGCTTTGACCCGCTCACCTTTAACATTGCGAAGGCTTTGCTGGTGTATAAGGTCTTTGTGGAGCACTTCAACTACTTTGATCTTTTCAGCAACTACACTATTCTTAAGGTCGATGCTGTTGTTCCTGGTCGCTGGAAGGGAATGTTGACCGGAACTGCTATCGGTGTTATCGGGACTCTGTACGAGGCTATCCTGCGGCGTTCGTGAGTCGTGGGTCGTGGGCTTTGCTGCGTTTGCCCTGGTGTGTGTATAGGCGTTGGATTGTTGGTATGCAAACCAGCATGGGGCTTTTTTTTCTTTTTCCCTTTTTTTTTTAATGAACAGTGTCGGAGGGCGCGAAATCTGCTGTTGTTTTGTCCTGATTCTTGTTCCCTTCCCCCTTTGGTTCGCAGTATCCTAGTTGGGCTCATAACCTAGACGGGGATATTCCATTCTTGGTTGATATCCTCTTGTTTGGAGGCATCGTCGTGGGATCCTCACCTCATGCTTTCCTTCTTTTGTCCCTTGTTCAAAAGAGCTCACGGGTTAGGGTTCGAGACTTAGTCTGGGATATGCGGTGATGCGATATGTGATATCGGGATTTTGTTTGTTGTCCCCTTTTATCTTCTTGGTCTTTCGTTTCAGCCAGATAAGGCGCCGGGGTTTGGGTTATTTTTGGTCTTGGTGTCTCTTGGTTCCGCCTTGTAGGGTTGTGAATTTGTGTTTCTGGCCTCTTTAATGCGCTTGGTCTTGATTGAGTCTATAAAGGGTATCAAGGAGCATTATAGTATCTATAAAACTTATTTGGTCCAGACTTGCCCGACAGAAGGGGGTTTTCACCTCTTCAACCGGTCTGCCAGTTCCACTGTGAACAGGACCGGCACCGATGTCTCAACTTCCACCGTATCCGCGCGGATGTGGTTGCTCGTTGAGATTTGCCCTCCAACCTCGGTTCGCCAGTCCTCCACGTCCCATTCAAATCCCTTCGTAGTGATCGAGGCAGCTGCAGAGATAGGAATGATACCGATGTTCTCTTCGAAGAAGTACTCTGCTTCTTGATCACGCTTGCGTTTCCGCAATGTCTCGCTGTCATCCGCTTGTGACTTGGAAGATTCAGCTTGGATATATGGGCGCTTGGTTGCCGGTGTGCGGATGATGTTTTTCCCTTCTTGCAGAATGAATGTAATGCTCTCCTCGGAGACGAGATAGAGGTTTCCACCCGCAACAGGTTTATTGGTTTGGCTATCAGTGTTGGCCTGATTAGCTTCGCGGATTTCTCGTTGGTTCTGTGTCATCATATACAGATGGTGGATCTGTGAGAAGGCCTGGTCGACACGGCCACCTAGGCCACCCAATATCACGATCTCAAGTGTCGGAGGATGTGCTGATTGGGCCTGTACATCTCCAAGTGCGTTGCCATGCTTTGCAATAGAGTCTAACTTCTGCTGTCTAGGAGAGGCGATAATCTCTGCGACATGCCCATTAAGATACTTCAAACACTTGGTGAAGTCTGTTGAATATTGATCTGGGTCTTCCACCACGGACACGCCCAGCTTTTCATAGTGCTGTCGCACCAATGGACGCAAAGAGTCCAAATCGCCGACTATCCGGTCGGGTAACTAGTGCTGTCAGCTCATGCGTTCACACAGATGGAAGACACTTGCCCAGACCAGAGGCGCCTTGAGCTAGCAAATGTACCCACTTCTGTGGCTTCTCTTCCGCGCTTCTTCATCATATCATATAGACGATTGGCGCCGCCGTCGGCGCAGATGATGTAAGATGCTAGACAGCAGTCAGAATGGCGAACGATAGAGCCAAGAGATAAGACTCAACACACCATGTTCACTTAAGACACCAAATGCGCTCTCATTAATTGGCTGATTCAAAATGAGCAGCGCATAGGGAGACGGACTCCCTGTGACGCGAAAGAAGCGACTTGGATCCCACTCCATGAAGACTGATATCGGATATTTGCTGAAAGTTGAAGGGGAGTCGCGTGCAACTGCGATTTACGCAACGTGACTGGCTGGCGGCAACTTCCAACCTCAGGCCTCCACTTCTCTTCCCACTCAACTTCATCTCCGCGGTCACCTTCTTTCCTTCTTCTCCCCCTCCCTCGTCCTCTGGAGGTCCTTCGCGGATTCGTGCCATCCTCACCATAATGTTCCGTCCTGCCGCCCGCGCGCTTGCCCGCGCGCCTACTGTCGCTCGTGGCCCGGCGAGCACCCGATTGATAAGCACCGGTCCGGCGCCGAAGTCGAGAAGCTGGAAGAATACTGCTGTTCGCCTGGGTCTGGCCGTTGGTGCTGTCTACTATTACAACACCAGCAGTGCATTCGCCCAGGAGCCATCGTGTATGTCATGTCACCATTTTTCCCGTCCATACCTGAGGCGCGTGGTGTTCGGAACAGTCGCATTTTGGGCCAATGGCTTTGGAAGTGTGCTAACTCGTCATCCTTATAGTCTCTATCCTAAACTCCAAGAAGGAGCACGTCGATGACTCTTCCCTCCCTACCCTTGACTCAATTACCCCCAAGATCCGCCAAGAACAGACCGCCCGGTCTCAGCCGAAGCCTGCTGCCACCGGGGCTGACAAGTCCGAGGAGAAGCCTGAGGAGAAGCCCCAGGGTACTGTGACTGCCGAAGATGTCGATGAGATGGACGAGTCAGCTGCGTTCAACCCCGAGACTGGTGAAATCAACTGGGACTGCCCGTGCCTAGGCGGCATGGCCCACGGGCCGTGCGGAGAGGAGTTCAAGGCCGCCTTTAGCTGCTTCGTGTATTCCCAGGAGGAGCCCAAGGGCATCGAGTGCATTGACAAGTTCAAGTACGTGATTATGCCATTCTTAGCAGATTCGAAGCCAAAACTAACGACTCCGCAGGAGCATGCAAGATTGCTTCCGTCAACACCCTGAGGTGTACGGCGCCGAGCTGGAGGACGATGAAGTCGAGGGTGGCGCCGCCCCTTCCGAACAAGCCTCCTCCGCCACCGAGACTGACACCTCCTCACACCCCGAAGAGCAGCGCGCCCGCGCCAAGGAAGTCCACGCCCAGATGAAGGCCGACAACGCCGAAAAGGGCGAGCACGCCGAGTCTGAGGCCCTTGTCCCTAAGGCCGCCCATGACGCCGAGGACAAGAACTAAGTGCACTATTCCCGCATCTCTGACCACGACCCAGTGCGCTATGCGCTGTTCGCTGACCGCTTGCAATGCTTGTCGACAGGGATCGGGTGCGTGTATTATATAACCTAAAGCCCTCGCTGTCTTCCGCCCTTGACTCGCATTCTCCTCTCCCACGATCTTCTCAGCATTTCCATTCCCCCGTTCTGCGATCCTATGTTCCCACTCTTTGTCTCACCATGTAACTTAGTGTATTGGTATGCCCTGTGCTTCTTTGTGTTTCGGACACCGAAAGAGGTGAGATAGAATAGACCTGTTACATCATGAATTTCTTTGCCTCCTCATCTCATGATATCTATGTCATATGCTGGGTGATGGGGAATAGTCCATTGATCGAGTTGGTGAAGTCACTAGCCTATAAAATATCAATAACTAGCAGTAAGATTCACACCACTTGAAGGTACCACAATAGATGATGTGAGAGAATACGTCGTATTGAGTAAATTGTAAGGAAAAAGTATTGGCATTGCTTCTACAGCATAACAATGAAAGACGCCTTGAGATAGGGAAACATAGGCATCGGGTCGTGTTGTTCATTCTCGTCTGATCCTCGTTCTCGTCATCTCCTCGTCTCCCTGAACCTATCTCGGCCATTGACGGTAGACACCAGGGCGGCGAGGCTGCTTCACTCTTACGAATGAAGATATAGGCCGACGCCAGTATGTCTGGTAAGATACTGTTCATCCATAAGGCGTCCACAAAGTCGTGGATGACGACTGACTGACTGACTGACGGCTTTGAAGATGCGCTTCGAGGAGGTTGAAGTCGTATGTCCAGGACACTGGAAACTGGCAACTTCATGGATGGTAGTCAGCACATATAGTCTGTACAAGAAAAGATGAAGATCCTCGGCGAGGCGAATTTCGTCATCCGTTGCAGACGATATGCCGTGTAAGCATAGGCAGATACAAGGAAGCATGCTTATGTTCGTGTTCCATAATTCGATACACTTATTACCAGTTCACATCGCTAAGTTGGAGCTTGCGGGACCGGAAGGCGCTGCGATTTGCTGCAGACTTGTCGACTCGCTGGTTGGCAGGGATGCGTTTTTCAAAGGCTTTGGTTTATGTTAGGAGAGATCAAGTTCAGTTCATAGGTGGGGGACATACTCTCAACAGGCTCGGGTTCGTTGGCTGCCTCGTAGTTCAGCACGAGGTTCTTGATGCGTTGCTGCTCTTCCCGATCAGCCGCTTGCTGGCTGCGCATAGCAACAGCGAACGTTGAGTCGGATGGCAGGTCGATGGTGCGAGTCTATAAATCTTTAGGTTGGTTTGCTTAAGTTCTAAGGTCGATTCATCCTTACCTGCTGCTTGTTCCCCTTCTTTGTCATCAGAGAGAATGCCATGGTCTTAGGCGCAAACGGTTCCGGCACAGGCGTGGGAGCCTCAGACGAAGCCTCAGCAGATTCAGCGGACTCGGCCAATGTAGCGTCGCGAGGAGGACGCTTCATTGGCAGAGGAATATCAAAGACAGCCTTGCGCTCGAAGCGTCTAGAGTCCACGCTCTCGGCCATCATCTTCTCAAACTCGCGATCAAACTCGGCCTCAGCTGCGGGATCCCGCTCCTCCTCCTGGCGTGTAACAACAATATGCTCATCTTCAGAGTCGCTCTCGTCTTCACCTTCCGGGTTGGGACCAGATGTTTCAGCCTCAGCTTCGTCGCTCGATTCACCTTCTTCTTCGATCTCGGGCATCGCATCATCTTCCAAGCCCTCGTCTGAGGAGCTGCTCTCAGCGTCTTCCTCGTCGGGCTCGATGGGGCGCTCGGAGTCGGGCATGTTGTAATTTTGAGCGACTGCCTCGCTGAAGAGACGAGTTGCCTCTTCGAGGTCGGTAGCTAGCTTCCATGCGGGTCGAAGGGAAGAAAAAGTATCTTGGACTAGGAAATCCACGTCCATGGGCATTGGATCCTTGGTGAAGAGGTAATACTGGAAGAAAGTAAGGAAGAAGTCTAGCTTCTTCTTCGCTGATCCACGATCGAAGCAATGGCCACAGGTATCAAGCAGCGTACAGGCCAGACGAACTCGGAAAAAGTCATCAGGGAGATCCAACAAGCTGAGTTTTCCGGGAACTGGGGTTCCGCCTTCGTGGCCGAAAGTGACGATGCGGTACAGCGTATCAAATATGACAGGAGAGTCAATCATCTTGTAGTTGTAAAGCTCACCCAGATATTTTATTTCGGCAATGCGCTTCTGGTTGAACTTGAAGTCGTTCTGCTCCAGGCCCAAGATGACTTGCTCCAGGACGTTGTCGACAATGCCGATCACAAAGTCCTGGTGATACCGGTAGAGAGCGCTCACAAGAATTGCCAGAAGATGAATACTGCCATATTTCACCTTGACCGGCTTACTGAAAACATGCTCCAGGATTTCAACAACTTCCTGCTCCTCCCAGTGGAGTTTGCGGACAGTCTTCAGGATCTTAGTGTAGTTGCGCTTGTTCATGTCCAGGTAGATGAGTCGGCAAATATATTGCTCCATTGGAGTGCGTTCTTTCTGCTGGATGGCGGGCCTCGGCGGCGGGTCGACATAGTAAATAGCATTCTCAATGACCATGCGCTCGTTCTGAGCCAAGTGCTGAACGGCCTTCTTTCGGCTCAGCGTCTCCAAGAAAGAGGCCATTCTTGGTGCAGTCTCAGGGTTACGTAACAGGTAACGACCGCAGTTTTCCAAGAGGTTTCCGATGATTTCGATGTTCATCCGAGAAAAATCGTCGAGAGAAACTTTAAAACAGTGGAAGATGATGTGCTCTGGCACCACGCCAAACTTTGTCAATTCTGCCAGGTAGCGCACATTTCCCATGCGCACTTGGCCCAGGAATTCCTTGGCCTTACGCCGTTGGAGACTCCGAAATTCTTCGTCGAGGTAAGTAGTCAGTCCCTGCGGAATATCTGGTAAATACTGCCCCAGGGTGGCTACCAAACGAGAATACAACGGCAAAAGATCAGTGCGTCCTTTTGGAATATCAGAGACAGCTTTTACCAGCCTGTTGCGAGACGCCTTCGAATTGACGAAACAAAAGTCTAAGGCAAACTGATCCACCTGGTCTTTGCTTTGCAGCTCCGGAAGCTTGCTGAGTAAAGTATCAACCTGAGCACCAACTGTCTTGCTCGCGATGGCAGTTGATTGATCGTCTGCATCTGCATCAGCTCTTTCCTCTGATGTTTCAAGTTTCTCAGTCTCAGCCGAGGTCTCGCCATCAGACTTCTTCTTCGTGGATTCTTCTGTGTCGCTTTTCTTTTTCTTGCCATCTTCGAGTAGAACCGCAGGCACTTTTCCTTTCAGGTCAACAAGGTTCTCGTAGAAACGGCGTTCTTCCTCATCTTCCCAGATCCCAGCGCCGTCACCCTGTCCACGAAGATAGTCGGTGGTCTTCACCAGGCCGATTGCCCCACTCGAGGATGCATCAGTGGTTTCCTTCTCAACTAGATCGGGCATTTCGGCCCCCAGGGCCTCGCAGAGAACCTGAGTATTGGCCACGAGCTTCTCTAGCGATTTGCTCTGCTTCTCGAAATTCGACTGGCGGTCTTCAAAGATTTCACCACTCTTGACGTATGCCTCGGCGTTGCGACGGCTTTGGCTTGCCAATGCTTTCTGGTCTCGAACCACGTGGGCTTTCACATCATCCAAGTACCTGTTCAAAATGTTCTTAAAGCGCTGCTGGGTCTTTTCTGGTGCCAAAGGCGGATCTACTTCAGCTGCTTCAGTAGCACCCTCGGTATTCTCCTGCTCAGTCGCAGTCGTAGTCGTAGCGCCATCAGCCTCTACAGTCTTCCGACCATCCTCAGCAAGTTTCGCACCGAGAATATCCCAGCTAAAATTCTTGACGAAAAGCACTGCAAGCGGCAAATTGCTATGATCGCGGTCGTGTCCAAGTAGCTCTTTCAAAACCTCCAGCGGAAACGGTTCAGCCTGCTTGTCTTGATCCTTGGTGACTGCGGCAGGCCTTTTAAGCGGGGCATCGGGCAACTTGCCCGCGATTCCAGAAACATTGTCTGTAGTCTTAGCGCCCAGGTCCTCCGGCCGCTCAACGTCATCCAACGTCCTAAGCGCACATACAAGCCACAGTTCTGTAACAATGCGCAGAAGAACTCGGTGTCGCGACAAACGTTCCTTTTCCTCGCGCTCGCGTAGCTCGCCTGTCAAATTCTTGAGAGCCGCTTTATCCGGAGAACTCAGGCCGCGGCCGAGTAACCAACCAATCTGCCTAGTAAATTCCGCTGGACCGAATCGTTGATGTAGCGCGCTGACGATCTCAACACCGACAGCGATTTCACCGGGAGTCTTGAGCTTGCATAAGCCTTCGTAGCAGGCGGAGATGATCTCGGACAGATACTTGTGCAGCGAAAGGGTGCGAATATCGGATAGAAAGGTGGACTGTGCTGAGGCGCTGATTCCAGTACGAAGACGTTTGATGAAAGCGGTATTCTTCTTCAGGGCTGAGTCAAGAGACTTGCTGACAGGGAAGACATCTATGCGGACGGGTCAGTTACTCAGAGCTCAGGAAGGACGACAATGACTTGTAGATTCATACCGGTTTCACCGGCCCAGGCTCGCTCGTTCAAATCGCGAAGCTCCCCTACAGAGAAGATGTCAGTGGCCGATCGCGGAGACCTGGAGTGGCTCTCGCATACTTTTCCTCTGGCGGTCCATGGCCATGGGTGCGGTCGGGGCCTTATCAATCGAGGGGACCCTTCAGAACGTCAAAGAAATGAATGTGACGTGATCGCCACATTGGGGAAAGGGAAGGTAAGTGCAGTGAAGCCTGGCACACAAGGGGGGTTGGGGTTTGAAGCTCCTTGTGCGGGCGGGATGTTCCCAAGGCGGTGCGGAGGTTCACTTTTTATCCACTACGTAGCTGCCCACTCTGATCTTGTGAGCTCGATGTGTTATTTTGAACTCGACTACTAATACAACGTGCCTGTTGCTCGATCACTTGCTCTCCTCGTTCTTGACCAACACTCCCATTTAGTGTTCTGTCTCACTAAACCCAGACTCCCGACCCTGTTCAACTTGCATGAATCTTTCCTGCATCTGATGCTTCTGGTCCTGCGCACTCCAACTCTGCCGGCGATCGAGTCGTGGTGTCCAGTTATGCTCGGGCACAATGTCATCTTTGGCGCCCTGTGGCTTATGGCTATCATGAGGTTCGTGCTCGAGCGGAAGGGTTGTTTGCTCTCGAGAACGATCAGGGAAGGGACCCTGAGGGCTAGTGGACTGCATAGTGCTTGGTGCTTGGTGTTTGGTGCTCGGTGCTTGGAGCTTCGAGCTTGGAATATTTGCAAATTTGGTTTCAATCAAACGAACACTGTAGTCATAGACCGTGAAGAAAAATTTACAGGAGAAGTTTGATCTGGCGTTGATGCGGGGTTTGATCCTTCCAAGTGGCGAGTTTGGTGACGGTGTAGACATGATGACATGAAAAGCTAAGGTACCCTCGGTACATGGTGACTTGCTATGGATTAACTGAGTATAGGCAATCTTGAAGGCAAATTGAATGCGGCCCAGCAGATGTCTTGTGGCCTAGGTAGGACCTGCTGGCCGATCATTGTGAGATTGTATTCCTAGTCCGCAAATAGTACTTGATGGTCGCTACCACGAAGCGATTCAAGGTACCCTGAACACAAACCCCGCAGTAAAACCGGGCCGTAATATTTGAATACAAACAATTTGGAGCAATTCGCCGTTAAACAGCTTATTTGTGACGCAATTCAAATTCTGTGAAATTACCCAATCCCTACTTCATTATTAAACAGCTTCAGTTTACAGGACTTCATTCAAGGACACCAACCACTCAAAATAAAGAACAAATCATGGACTAGGACTTTTAAAATTCAACAAGCTAGCGTACAAGTCATAACAGCGTTGAGCCCTCAACCAAGGCCGCAGCAAACAAGAACAAAAAGGAAGGATAAGATACATGATTCACATCAACCCAGTTGCCTGGTATACCAGACAATGCACATGAAGAACAATTGTTTCTGGCGAAGTGTCAATGGGACCATTGGTGTAGGCCAGCAAATGGCAAAACGAGGATAAGGCCATCGAGTCCATAAAAGGATCGTCTATCAAGCTCACGTTCCAAGGGAACAAACTAACGAGAAACAAGGACCACACATCGTACATCTCCATGCTGGAACCAGAGGAAAGTTGGAAAATAAGAAAAAGAAAAAAAAAAGATTAAAATCAGGGTATGCCTCACGCCACGCTATGCGAGTCACCGTGCCTGTCGGGGTGACTTAAACAACTGTAAATATGTACTGAGAGCCGGTTCATTGGGATATGGAAGGGCCGAAGTTTGTAGGGATGAGTTGGAGCCAGGCTTTCATTTTGGCTTACGCCAGAAGTATTGCTGGTATGGATTAGCTATGATTGGGTCTGGAGTGAGATCAGGGAAGCATACCTTGTGCTGCTTGCGGCAATTACGCAGACCGGGCTTCCTCAGGTTATTTACGACCGTCTCACGGCGCATATCATCATCGTCATAGTCAGGGATGTAGTAGTACTCGCTCTCGAGCGGTTTGCCAGCAGCATCTTTGCCTTCACGAGCAACCTTGCCGATGCAACTTGTGTTTTCAAGAATGTAGCGAATTTCAGCCCGGGCTGGGCCGGAGAGGTTGTGTGTATTTGATCTCCAAAAGGACGGGGGAAGATTGTTGAGGATGGTCGAGAAGGGAGTCGAGGATAGACGGGAGAAAGCAAGCTGATTCACAGCATGATTGCGTACACGCTCGAAGCTTTCGTTTTCGGGCTGGGACCGATCCTTTGTCGGTGTTTGGTCATCACCTTCCTTCTCATCCTGGGTTGTGGATGGCTGCCGTAGAGACTGGGTAGGCTGAAGGGGCTGGGCGGGCAGCAGGCGTGGTGAGCGGACCGGGCGAACGGGAGAATCACCGGCATGGAAAGAAGCCATACGAGGAAGCAAGTTCTCACCAAATGGACCGAAAGAATGGATGATAGGGTCATTCTCCTCGTCATTATCTGACTCGTCTCGGGTCTAAAGCTGAGATCGCTGGATTGAGAGCTCTGGAGAAGGGCAGCGGCTCGACGAGCGCTGTGAGAAGTCATGCCACCAACGGTATTGTGGCGTTTCAAAGGAGAGCCTTCATCTTCATAAACAACAACTGGAGCACGGGCACGGGAGGGGGTAAAGATGGGCGAGGATGGAGGGATAGCACGTTGAACGGCAGGCGACGGCGAGACAGGGGAAGCCAAACGCTGGCCCTCAACAAATGGGCTGTCCTGAAGTACTCTCATGGTGCGCTTCTGGGTAGGGGTAGTTTCATCCCAAGTTTGTTCAGAGTCCGTGGACGGACAATCTTTTCTATCATTCTCAGTGCGAGGCCATTGCACCAAAACACGAGCCTCGTGTACGTCAATCATAATGTCCGCATCCTTGATATCTGACGTAAAAGTCTTTCCCTTGGCCAAGTCATACTTTTTGCCTTGACAGTGGATCTTGATTCCATTCCAACCCATGCACATGATCTCAACCCTATCCCGGTCGAAGGGATTCGGTGCCGGCTTGTACGTGGCCTTCACATGAACACGAGAGATCATACGGCTAGCAGCTAGCTGGTGCTGGCATGAAGCACTTGAGCGTCCCATGAGCAGGGGTTCACCGTTCTCAGGCAGCATGAGTGTAGGGACGGCGGACAATGGAGCACGTTCGGGCGCGGCAGAGAAGGTACGACGCGCCGACGGGCGAGAGGCAGAGATACCGGGCGGCGAGGAGGACATAATATGAGTCGAGGAGGTTGGGACCGGTGTAGGGTAGGTCGACACGGCGGGTTCGCGTGCAACACGCTTCTGGGGTCTCGGGAGAGAGGGCGACGAGCTCAAGGGTTCAAATGCAGGCAACAGGGCAGCAGGCCGCTTGACACCGGCCGCTGGGCCCAGCGAGCTTCTGGACGGTGAGGAATCCATGATCCAAAATTGTGCCGAATCCGCACGAGCTCCTTTTTTTGGTGAGCGAGGACTTGAGTCGAGCTCAAGGGACTCGCGTCGTGTGTTCCCGCTAGAAAACAAAAAGAGGATGAAAACGTGTAGATGAGGACCAAAACCTCTTCTCAAGAGAAGAATAGAATGGATGGAGAAATTGGAGGGGAAAAGGAAGGACAGGCCTGGGAAGGAAAAGGTGAAGAAGGTGTGTGGTGGTGGAATTCCCTGGGGCGGAGCGTCTCGTTCGCCCTGCGCGGAAATGCACGCTTACAGCCCGAGACGCGTTCGATAGGCGCCGACGAGGGTTCACGGGCTCCACTATCCTCTCACGAACCCAATTGACCTCTCGCAAGCTGTTACGGGAGTCGATGATTACGATTTTTAGTCTCAAATTTGCAAAGTGCAATGACTTACACTGTATATGACCATATCATGGAGCTGTCGTTTCTATACTCGAGATCTGACAAAGCGCGGTCGCGTCTGAAGTCACGTGTCGGTGGATCATGGCCGCACGCGAGTCGGAGTATGCAGTATGACAGTCTCCTCTGAGTATGTCTGGTAGTCGTGAATGTCATCTGCGGTACTGATTGACTTCTATATAAGGTAATATGCCATTATTAGCCTCACTGAACTATGTTGTGATGCCTGGTGAGCACTCCAAGGCAAGCGTAAACATCAACGAAAGCTTCGGCTATAGAAATGATGAGCGAACCAATTTTACCCTATTCGTACAAGGCCAGAACAAGGAGGCCGGTTTCCGGTCTGGTTGGCAAAACTTTTACGCCAATTTCGACACGCCTGTCAAATTCTGCTCTGCGGGGCTCAACGCGGGCGCGCGGTGACCGTTACGCCCATTTCAACCGCGACGGACAAGTGGAAAAAATACAATTAAGTGAAATCTGGTAGAGCTGTAAGACTGTTTCTCACCCGAAATTGAATGGAGATTGATATAAGAGGTTTGATGTCGTTCTCGCGCCAAGTAAAAACTATCTTTCATCGCGTTGAAACTTTCAACACGATGGTGGTAAAGACCGTCAAGATACCATGCAGGCTAGCCAAGTTTTGATGTGACCACTTCTGATAACACTTTGACGCAGCTCTGGTTCCTTTCATCTTTCATGGCTCTCCATAATTAGCCCCTGTTCGCTTACTTGAAGGGTCTTGATTGGTAGAACAGGAAGCGTCTGAATTACAAGAATTTACTTCCCGCTCCAGTCCTCCAGAGGACGAATATCCCTCCATAAATATTTGAGAACATTGAGTCCGGTCGCTGGTAAGCTAAAGAATCTATTCCTCGCAGATCACAGACGTCAAATATCTGCGCAAGAATTGTGTCGAACTTTGCTCGTTCTTTCCGCACAACCCCTCCGGTGAGGGGCATCCGAGTTAAGTTCAATAGGACCTAGGGCGGGTTTATTTCACGCCGCCCACAGAGCTAACATAGGTACCTCACGTAGTATGAAACATTTGAAAATCTTCGAAGAAGCAAATTCATATGGTCAATCTTGTACATCATGTACGGCAATGATGCAATGGCGCATGTACGACGCCTGGGGCAGGTCTGGCCATTGCCAAGCCCATTTCGGATGGATCACATTGCTAATGAGATCATTAGGGTATTTAGGTTACTGTGGAAATATCATAGCTCGTCGTTCCCCAGACTGGTGCGATCGTGTTGAACCCATGCACCAGTGATCGTGCTGGGTGCCAAGAGAGGATTGCAGGGGTCCGTGGATCCGTTTCCTGGTTCGCGTGCGTAGTCGCGTCCGCAGGGTGATTGGGAGCGATGATATCACGTTTGGCATGATGCTTCAGTAAGAAGAGCATTCATGGCATCGTGGATAATTCAAGGGAGATGAGAATGAAAAGCGAGGTAGAGAAAGCCAAGGGACGTCGAGTCCCTATCAGAAAGTTGCACCAGGTGATGAGATAGACAGACCAGCTGTCTCGAAATCAACCTGACAAGCACTGCATTAAGGACAGCAATCAAACAGTCACACCACGCCAATGAAAGAAAGAGACGATTTCCTCCATCCCGATAAAAAGAACACAATGGATAGATCTGATATTCAGATTGGTTGCACTTGAGGTACTGAGATAAATCTAGCCATAGAGTACCCTCAATGTTTGAGGGATATCCGCGAAAAGAAAAAAAATAACAAGGATTGAATTTCCTCCCCAAAGGCCCACATCAAGCACGAGATAAAATTTAAGATACACAGAAGAAAGCAACCCGTCAAGTAACAAACCGTGATATGGACAGAAGCAGCACCGAAGGCCAGCCGAGGGTTTTGCCCTTGGCAGGCCTTCAATGGCGGGTTCAAATGAAAAAAAGATAAAAAGCTCATCCAAGTCCGTGGACCTTTGTATTTTCTTGGGGCGGAAAGCGGGGGCATTAAAGGAGACGCTTAGTCGTAGAAGACGAAGTAAGCGTCGCCAGAGCTGGAGCTGACCTGTAAGGAGGAAGGTGATCAGTAGATCTCAAGATAGAACAGCGTGTGGTGAAACTTACCGTACAGCCGTTGCCGCTGGTGATCTTACCGGCGTTGTTGTAGAAGTTACCGGCGCCGTCGTAGCTGCAGTTGTCGCTGAGGTCGTCACCAACGAGCTTGACCTTGAAGTCAAGGTTGGCATCGGTGGTAGGCTCGTTCTTGAACATAGAGAGCCAGGTGGAGCCGGCAGAGTAGCCAACACCGAAGTTCATGGGAGCCCAGTTACCGATGGGCTCGGAGCCATCACCCCACTGGCAACCCTTCTCAGCGGAGACACCCTTGTTGTTGACGTAGTACTGAGCAGAGGTAGTCTTGTTTTCCCACTTGAAGTAGGTCTCACCGTCGGGGCAGGTCAAGGGGTGGGAGGCACCAGGAACAGCAAGCAGCGGAACAGTCTCAGACTCGGTTCCGGGGTAGTCAGTGCGGCAAACAGCGACCTGCTCAGACAGCTCGTTGCGGATGTTAACACCGCCAGTACCCTCAATACAGATTTGCTGGTATTCGGTGTTGGTGCGGTAGAGCTTGCCATTCTTGCACTCGAGACCACCAATAGACTGGCCAGTGGAACCTTGGGTAGAGGGCCACTGGGACTTTTGGTATCCCGGGGGGCAGGCGTATGAGCACATGGAGCCGCTGGTGCAGGAGTCACCAGTGACAGCGGTAACAATCGAGCTGATAACCTCGTCGACCAGAGTGACGTACTGGATACCCGACCAGCCACCAATGCCAAGGTAGTCCAGGGCAACGGCGCCGTAGTCGGAGGGGAAAGTAGAGCAGTCGAGCTCTCCATCGGGGAATTCGGAGGTAATACCGGCAGCAGTGGAGGAGCTGGAGCTGGAGTAGCTGGTCGCAGCCGCCGAGTAGGTAGAGCTGGAGGACGAGCTGGTGACGGCCACCACGGTGCTGGTGCTGGAGCTGGAGCTGGAGGACGAGCTGCTGGAGATGATAGCAGCTGCGGTCTCAAGCAGGACCTGGGCAGCAACAGTGGGGGTAGGGGTGACAGTGCTGGTGCTGGTGCTGGTGCTGGTAGAGCTGGAGCTGGAGCTCACGCTGGAGCTGGTCGGGCAAGCAGCGGGGATTGGAGCATCGAGCCATTCGAGCTTGTGATCAGCGAGACCAGCACAGGCTTCACTCAGGCTAATTTTTTCGGGAGATCCAGAAGCGTTGGGATCCATGACCACGAAGTCGTACACGGTAGGACCGGGGACGGCAACAGTCTCAGTCTCGGTGGCGCGCTTGTGGAAGTGGGCGTGGCCATGGCCGTGGGCGGCCGCCAGCGAGCCCGCCGTGGCAAGGGTAACGGCAACGGAGCTGGTGAACTTCATTGTGAATGGAGATCGATGTCAATTTGTGAATCTGTAGAGTCGTAGAAGCGTCAGTTACTGCAATCGCCAGAATGACCATTTTACCCTGTGTCCTTCAATCGCAGCCCAGGGACTCTTCGATTTTCGAATCTATTGACGATTCTATGCGCATTGAGTCCCAGGCTGCTGCGACAAGGCCTATCGCAACTCCTCCGCATTGTGCTCCATATTGGGTCGAGTGTATCGGGGGCGGTTTCACGTACATCAACGGCAAGCCAGTCGCGCGCTTTGGAAAGGGCTGTACAGATTGGGACGAAGAGAGCGACAGATGGTTTCCGTAAATGAACGTGGTAGAGAGACGAGTCCCTCAGGTCGGATGGGAAAACTTCAAGGATGGAAACAGGAAGAGAAGGAGAAGAAGAGAAGAAGGGAGCCCCCCAGGGGGGTGGCAGGGAGTCGGGCCACCATACGGTGATACCGCCCCACTGTCGAGAGGCACGAACAAAACGGCAAAAAGGGGTGAGACAAAGCCCCGAGGTGGACCCCCGTGTTTTCTTGCAGTGATCCAAGACGGCCTCGAAGGGCCTAACTGCCTTGGCATCCTAAGTAGAATCCATTTTCTATCGGTTTTCTATTGAAGTCCGTACCAACTCCCGTCCACTTCTGGATACTATGAGAATAGAGACCGTGGGCCTTGGGATGATGAATTTTCGTTGTTTACCTTCACATCTTGGCTACCGAAATTGCCATTTTCAGGGGTAGGCCAATCAGATCCTGCTGATGTCCAGGCGCCAGGAGATAATCTCCACTATTGAGCCAGGCACACCAGTCAAAGGCCGGCCATGGCTCCCGAATTCCCAGCGTACACTGTATCCATGGGTACCGATTGGTATTTCCGTGTGCCCATATTGTCAAGATTTCCATACTTACGCTCATCTCACTCGCACTATACAGGTTGCCGCTCAGCGCTTACCTCTTTGAATCCTATCCACGATGTGTTTCATCGTCCATTAAACTTTCAGTCTTTCTCCCCCGTGCCAAGCAACCGTTGCGGAGTGTTGCTGTATTGCTCCGCAAGGCTAAATCTGCACGTCTGTTGATCCCACGCCAGGGGCTGCTCTCTCTCCTGGCAGGGGACTCCGGCCTTTGCTGTCTCAACTGTTAGGGGGAAAGTGCCTGCGTCCCCAGCTTCCCATCCTTCCAGTTTTCACTCAGTTTCTTGTCGTGGACTGTTCTAAGCTAGGCTAGGAAGGGATAGGGTGCCCCTGTGCGTTGGGAGCCATGAAGGTCCACGGGGATGACGACTTTGAAGGGCTGTTTGAATTAACACAGGACACTTCTCCAGACTCCTGGTTCCTCTTCAGATCCCGCGTGCTCGCCAACTTAACCCCCATCAATCTACCCACGCTCGGTAGATGCCTTTCAAAGGGCGATAAGCCTCTAGGGACCCCATAGGAGTTGTCGATCCGCAGTAATCTTAATCGTCCGCGTCATGCTCCCCCGTTTCTAGTCCGATACAACTAGGCGTATTCTCCTGAGTCATTACATACGCTGGGGCTCGTGCGCCTTCATATCCCGAATTTACATCTGGCCTGTCTGTACTTGTGTGAGATCGGCCGTTAAACTATGCATTACAACTTGACATTAAGGGCAGATACAGGCAGTCGCAGTCGTAGTAGTAATGTAATTTATGGCTATACCAGCATAAATGGGTTCTAATCCATATCCGAACTCCGGCTCAGTACTGTCGTCATATCAGAATCCTGGTGCCTATCGTGTTGCTCTGGTCTCCCCCTTTCAGTTGTTTCTCCCAGACCTTGTCAACCTTCTTAGTTCTCTATCCTCCGGCTCGACTTCCTCCTTGCGAGGCGCCGCCGAACTAGTTGGGGAACTTGTCCAAAGCCGTGGATCCTCGCTGCTTGGGTGGCACCCCATACTAGTGATAGCTGACGTACTCTACCAGGCCAAAATCCCCGCTCAGAATCAGACGCTGAGTCTCTGTGGGCCACGGTCTGCATTTGTAGGAGTAAACGATCGCACTACAGTCGGCGCTTAGTTTCATATTGTGAAATTAAAATACTGTACTGCGAGACTTGGTTGCTCCAATTCTCCGTGCGACATCCGTTTGGACGCGCAGAGCATTGCTAGCCTTCACAGCTCGCATCCATATGCATCCTTGCAGTGTAGAGCTTGCAAAAGACCCTGAAGAGCAGTCTGTCTTGCAGCATATTTGTAATCATGGATATTACTTGAAGGCTTTGTCATTTGACTCTTAGCTGAGCCTTGACTGGGCGTGGCTCAGTCATGGTGCTAGCGGTGGCTCCGAGTCGCTATAAATTGGCGGCCAAGCTGCATTGGCACCCTGTGTGGCTTGTTTGGGGCCGTGTGCGGCCCTGTTGAGAAAGACGATCCTTAACAGATTACCCAGTAACTTCAAGGGTCTGAAACAGACCCATTTGGCGACGGCGCCTTGCACGAGCTTGTAAGTCACTCGTCAGTTATATGAAACAATGCCAGCGACAAGGTAGCTTAAGTGGGACATAGTGGTCATGGCTTTGCAGATGTCTAATTGTCACTTCGTATATACCTTCGAACTTAGAAGTGCGATGCAGATAGTACGACAAGCACCAATCTCCAATGAGTCTTTCGACGACAGAGCCCCGAGGAAAGCCAGGGCCGATTGCCGCCCGTGTTGGAGCCTGAGGCAAACAATGTCTTTAAGGTGAGCAGACTAGGCGTGTGTTCAGCACTTGAGTATAATGGGTTGACTTTCTAAGATAACATTGTGTTCAAAATTTATTAGTCTTCAGTTGATAGGACTTTGCGCCGAATTTTGGTCTTTGTGGATATACTCTTCTCTTTTTATTTCGATGAGATGGTTCTATGATTTCCAATATGTTCGGTGCAAATATGTATCCAAACTGCGCATTGATGGAGCTTTCCTTGAATGATGATAACGCACCTAGTCAAGTACTACAACATCTTTAGTCATTCATTTCTCTAAGTATCCTTCGTAAATCAGCCACATAGCATATATGCTTGTAAAGGAAAAGATGTACAATTGCTGCCTGAGGCTCAAACACGGGGTCCAGACAACCATGTGCCAAGCCTGGCAAATTGTCACCGCCTTCCGAGATTTTTTTTTTATCTTCGATAGCATCGTCGAAAAAACGGAGTCGAGTCTACAACCAGACAAGATGCCATCCTCTACTGCCCTCACCTCTAAGGTGTCCACTGGATCACCGTATCAGCTGGACCCACCCCAGGTTTGTCGCAATTCCCTCCTCAAGGCTCAGCGCACTTGCTAATTGTCTAAAGGTTGTCAAAGCCTCGTCCGCGCTGCTGCGCCATATCAAGTCTAATCAGGAAGCGAAGGAAAAGTCCGCAACCAAGAAGACCCTGATCGGCGACAACGACTCTGATGATGAAGAGACCCCTGTGAACAACGAGGCCATTTGGCTTATTCTCACCACCAAGAAACACGTCGTGGATAAGAACCGCCTGAAGCCGGGCAAGATCACCCTTCCCCACTCCCTCAACTCGTCGCCTTCTCTCAGCGTGTGCCTTATCACCGCTGATCCCCAGCGCAGTGTCAAGGACATTGTTGCGGACGCTTCCTTCCCCAAGAACTCTCCTCGCGCATTGAGAAGGTCATCGGCTTCAGCAAGCTGAAGGCCCGCTATCAGAGCTTCGAGAGCCGTCGTCAATTGCTCGCCGAGTACGATGTCTTTCTCGCCGATGAGCGCATCATCACTCGCCTGGTCCCTACCCTCGGCAAGATATTCTACAAGTCCAGCAAGCGTCCTATCCCCATTCGCATCCAGAAGATCGAGAAGGTGGATGGCAAGCGAGTCAAGGCGGACCCTAAGAAAAAGACCAACAAGGAGGAGAAGCGCGCCGAGTTTGCAGCTCCTCTGATTGTTGCCAAGGAAATTGAGCGCGCCTTGCACAGTGCCCCCGTTCAGCTCGCTCCCTCTACCAGCACTGCCATTCGTATCGGCTCCTCCAAGTTCACTGCTGAGCAGTTGTCGGAGAACGTCGCCGCGGTCGTCAAGGGAATGACTGAAAAGTTTGTTTCCAAGGGCTGGAGAAATATCAAGAACATTCACATCAAGGGTGCCAACACCACGGCCCTTCCCATTTGGCTGTCCGAAGAGTTGTGGGTTGATAATGCCGATGTGTTGGAAGAGGGTGCTGAAACCGCCGCCATCGAGAATGGTGCTGCCAATAAGAAGCGCAAGTCCACCGGCGAGGAGAAGGCCATTGAGGGCAAGAAGTCCAAGAAGACAAAGTCTGCTGAGGAGGAGGATGATTCCGCCGAGGTTGCGGCACGGAAAGAGAAGCTCCAGAAGCTCAAGGCTGAGGCCCTTGAGGATGCTGAGCCTGCCAAGCCCGAAACATCCAAGGCTGGCAAGAAGAAGAGAAAGTCCACCTCATGATCTGGTTTCATTTGATCTTTACCTAATGTTCTGCATGTAAAAGGTATCCTCGGCGTACAAAATATATCACGTGTCTTTCATTATGACTATATTCTGTTCTCATTATTCAAATTTCTGTTACACACTGTTCTGAGTGATCAAGTAAAAGTAGAGACAAGAGTAGAATCCACCAGAATAGGCATCTCCATAGCGTCATATCCCAAGGCGCAAAGATCAGGCTACATGATACCTGCATTAGCCGAGTCCGACCTCGGGCGGGCGGGTCTTGGCACTCCGACGATAACCACATCTTCAGATCACCGCGGATCGCCGAGACTCACACTAGAACAACTTCCCGGCATATTCGAGCGTAACGACCTCTCCACCATAGTTTCGTTGTCGCCATGATTCCTCTCGCCAGACAGTCTGTATTGTGGGCTGCTCGCTCGCAGATTTCCCCTGCCACAGCCCTCAGACAGCCCGCTTCGTCGGCGCTTGCTCGGCTCCTCTCGACTCTCGCGGTTCTAGAGCAGCGCGACGGTAAGCTACAGAACTCTTCCTTCTCCGCAATCGCAGCTGCACAGAAACTCGGTGGCCCCGTGACGGCCTTTGTGGCTGGCTCTGGTGTGAAGAGTAGCTCTGCAGCCGAGGCTGCTAAGATTAAGGGTCTCGAGAAGGTCGTTGCCGTGGAGAATGACGCCTACGAGAAGGTATGAAAATGATAAATACTGCATGCGAAGCTCGAGCTCTAGCTTTTGCTAACATTCATTGTTTCCCGATGTGTAGGGTCTTCCCGAGAACTATGCCCCTCTCCTCGTCGAGAACATCAAGAAGGGCGATTACACCCACATCGTCGGTGGCCACTCTGCGTTCGGCAAGAGCCTCCTGCCCCGTGTGGCCGCTCTCTTGGACGTTCAGCAGATCTCCGACATTACCGGAATTGAAAGCGAAGACAGTACGTACAATCCGGGACGACGAAATTAACATGTGACAGCGTCGGTGCTAACCACCCTGCAGCCTTTGTCCGTCCCATCTACGCTGGTAACGCCATTTTGACTGTTCAGTCAACCGACAACATCAAGGTTATCACAGTCCGCGGTACAGCATTCCAGGACGTCGAGACCGAGGGCGGTTCCGCCGCCATTGAAGACGGCGTTGACTCTAACGTCCCCGCCACGACTGAGTGGGTGTCCGAGGAGCTGGCCAAGTCCGAGCGTCCCGACCTGGCCACCGCAACCCGTGTTGTGTCGGGTGGCCGTGGCCTGAAGTCCAAGGAGGAGTTCGACCGCATCATGCTCCCGCTAGCTGACTCGCTTGGTGCTGCTATTGGTGCTTCTCGTGCTGCCGTTGACAGTGGCTTTGCCGATAACAGTTTGCAGGTCGGCCAGACTGGTAAGAACGTTGCACCTCAGCTTTATTTGTGTGCTGGCATCTCCGGTGCTATTCAGCACTTGGCTGGTATGAAGGATAGCAAGGTTATTGCTGCTATCAACAAGGATGCCGAGGCTCCTATCTTCCAGGTTGCGGATGTTGGCCTAGTTGGTGATCTCTTTGAGAAGGTGCCCGAGTTGACTGAGAAGGTCAAGAACGCTTGAATTGCGTGTGTTTTCCAGACCATTGTCTTTTTTTTTCTTTCTTTTTTCGTTCTGCGATGACCTTACCGACCAGGTCTCCTTTTTTGTTGAACCGTACAGAATACCACTAGAGAGCACTAGAGCCCGCAAAGGCCTAGTCACTGCAATATGACAAAGACCTACCTCACAACATGAACCCATGAACCCATAAATATCCTTAAATATAGAAGCTGTCCCTTTGATTCTCCAAGTACATTTCACAGAAAAATGACACAGAAAAAGGACATGGAACGATTCAGCCTGGGGCACTATGAATGGAATTGCCTAAATTGGACTAGCGCGTCACCACGCGTCGGCGCGTCTTAATCAGAGAGGGAACAAGTTCACCGTGCGATTGCCAGATACTCCAGACCCGCCAGACATGACCGAAACGTTTGAATGATCCCCTCATCGCCCAATATCCTCTCATCATTCGATCCTGCCCTTCACCTCCACTCCGAAGATCTCGACAACGCGCCTAATCTACCCTCCGAATCATTCTCTGACGATCTCGACGCAATCCACTTCCAGCGTCGCGAGCAAACCCGCAATAAAGTTGTAATTCAGCACCGGGCTTGGAACTTGTCGGATGTTTTTCGAAGTGACGACGATATAAGACCTGGTCAGAACCATCAAACTCATTGAGAGATATGAATGCTCATACGAATTGCAGATACTCCGACGAAAGCGTTCGAGAGAACTCCGCGGAAGATCAATAAGACGCCTACTCGCACGATTTCATACCTGGCGTCCTCGCCGCCCTTGACGAATATGCCGTTCATATCGTCACCTGCACCCGCGGCCTTGGCCAAATCGGACGGAAATGCACAGAAAAGAAAAGCGGCCGAAGCTGAAGAGACATCGACGCCGACAGAGCCCAAGCGGCAAAAGTTTGTCGGTGGATTCGTTGATGAAGATGATGACGGCGAGGACGGCCTTGCTGCTCTTGGAGACCAAGATTTCGAGCTGCAGGAATACCCCGAGCCACATCCGTCTGAACTTACTGCGATCCTGGAGCAGTCGCAGCTCCCTGTCCTTTCTCAACACGATAATACCACGCCCACAACTTCAAACTCTCAACCAGAATTGATCTCTCAACCCGCATCTGGTGCAACTAAAAGGTTGTTCCAAATTAAGACATGTACCGGCAAGACGCACCATATTCCTCTACGAATGGCCCAAGCTCCAGTTTCTTATGAGCGCATGATTGCTAGTCGGTCCGAGACCGATCCGGGCCGGGCAAGGAAAAGCTACTACGGAATCGAGATTCACACTTTGCTGGATGATGCGGCCAAGGAGACATATCTTAAGGCTTCTGAGCCGGCGCCGCCACCTCCGGTACAGGTTTCAATAGAGAAGAATGATGGTGATATTAAGCAGAAGAAGATGGATTCTATGATGTGGACAGAAAAGTACCGTGCTCGCAAGTTCACTGACTTGATTGGAGACGAACGCACACATCGCCAGGTCCTCCGCTGGTTGAAGGGCTGGGATTCAATTGTCTATCCTGGCTTGTCCCGGTCCCAGAAGAAAAAGTCCGGACAGGATAATGAGGAAGAGCGTGTGCATCGGAAGGTACTCCTGCTCAGTGGTCCCCCTGGATTGGGGAAGACCACCCTGGCCCATGTCTGTGCTAAACAAGCTGGCTATGAAGTTCTCGAGATCAATGCGAGTGATGAAAGAAGCAAGGATGTGGTCAAGGGCCGCATTCGAGATGCTCTGGCAACGGAGAATGTCAAGGGTGCCAACGTCGAGGTCGGCGAGAACAAGGTCCGCCGGGCGGCAAAGCCTGTCTGTGTGGTTGTCGACGAAGTTGATGGCGTCGTAGGAGGTGCTGGAAGCGGCGGTGAGGGTGGCTTTATGAAAGCCCTCATCGACCCTAGTGATGCTCGACCAACGAAACTCGAAGCAGGCAGAGAATGGTGGGAACAATGGCAAAAAACGCAAGGGCGATACTTTCCGATTCCTTCGACCCTTGATTTTGATTTGCAATGATCTTTACGCCTCCAGTCTTCGTCCTCTAAGGACTTCATCCATTGCGGAGATAATCAATTGCCGACAAGCTCCATTGGAAAACGTTGTCAATCGTGTGAAGCACATCTTCACCCGGGAGGGGATCGCCGCGGATGGTGATGGAGCTCGAAGACTGTGCGAAGCTGCTTGGGGAATGGGAAGCAAGAAGCAACGCGGTCCTAAGAGCTCTGGGTCTGCCGAGGGCGATATCAGAAGTGTCCTTGTTGCTGCAGAGTGGGTCGCACATAAGCTCCGGAGTGAGGGCTTATCTACGCGACTCAGCCGGAACTGGCTGGAGTCTCGAGTCCTCAACGCTTCGACAGAAGGCGGCTCTTTCTTCAAGGAAATGAGTCGTGGAGGTGTGCGTGAGATCGTGAACCGCGTCTTTACCGAAGGCGCGGGCTTTTCTGATTCTCCCGTGGGCATGACCTCTTTCCAGGACAAGTACGACGGGTCCAATTCCAAGGTACCAGTCGGGGTGGCTGACCTGCGAAAGCGGCATGCTATCAACCGTCTCCGGGAGATGGTGGATGCCAGTGGCGACCATGACCGATGCGTCACCGACTGTTTTGCCGCGTATCCCATTCAACAGTACCAGGATGATACCTTCCTCTCGAAACCCTGTGACGCATACGACTGGCTTCACTTTCATGATTCCATTTCCAACAAAGTCCATGCATCTCAGGAATGGGAATTGGCACCGTACCTAAGCCAGTCCGTTGTCGCTTTCCACCACCTGTTCGCTACGGCCCACGGCAAGACAGAAGCCGCTGACCACAAAGATGAAGACGGAGAAACCGAAGAAGAACACCCATTCTCTGGCCCTGAAAGCAGAATTCGCTGCATTCGAAGCACAGAAAGAAAATCGAGCAATTCTTACCGGATTTCACTCATCTCTATCCGCCCCAATGTCCCGCATGTTCCGCTCCACAGAGAGCGTCGTCACAGATCTCCTCCCGCACCTACTTCGCATGCTATCACCAGATGTCAAACCCGTCATCGTGCGCACCGGTGGCGATAATCGAAGCACAGCAAGCGTGCGCAAAGAATCCGAGCGTGTACTGGTTCAATCGGCCGTACGCGTCATGGCCGGCATGGGCGTCACATTTGAGAAAGTCCGCGTCGAGCACGAGGGTGGAGGCCACGGCGGATGGGCCTACAGAATGGAGCCGTAAGTGAGACCCCGTACTTCACAGAATAGAAGTACTGACACATACCCCACAGACCAATCGACTCGCTTGTCGCATTCTCAAAGCTGAATACATCCGGCTCCTCAAGTGCTAATGTTCCCGTTCGGTATGCGGTTCGCTCAGTCTTGGACCAGGAGTTCCGGAAAGAGAGCACTCGCAAACAATTCGATTCCCGGAACGCCGTTACGGCCAAGTCGATCCTAGGTAAATCGCCTAAGTTGGACGCGGCTAAGGTCATCAAACACGGCCTTCTCAAGCGGGACTTCTTCGGACGGATCATTGAAGAACCTGTTCGCGAGACCGGGGAGCATGATGGGCCTAACCCGTCGGATGAGATGTCTAAGGCTGGGAGGAAGGTGTGGGTCACCTACCATGAAGGATTCTCAAATGCGGTTCGCAAACCTATTTCGATGGGAGAGTTGTTGACAGGGTTGTGATTCTTGTTTCCAATGTTTTCCAGGCCAGCATTTTTATGGAGTTTTTTTTTTTAGCATGGTTTTTATCCGGACTACCCTATTTGAGCTATTGTTTATAATCATATGCAAATACGCAGTTTTCTTAAGGTGGTGATTCCTAAGATTGATATCGTGTGAGATTGACGAGACTTAGTATGAAATACTATATGGGATTACTTGGTAAGGACTCGGGTCCTGAACAGACAGTTATCACAAGTCCTATTATGCATTTCTTCGGCCTTATATTTTGAGATTGTATTTTCTGCGATTCATCTAGGATACACTAAAGTAGTCCACCCGCGTAAGGTGTAAACCCCAGCCAAGCACTAGCCGAGCGAGCAGCGAAAGCCAACAGATGGCAGCAATGTAGTGTTCGCTATGCGGTACCATTCTAGTGATCTTCGTATTGAGGTAACCTGATCCCTGTGGGGTCGTTCTCGGCGCCCACTTTGCCAGACCTTAAAGTGCTAGGGTGAAACTTCTTCACATAAGTCTAATTTCAGCTTGTCATGCGAATTATGGACTATTATCATATGTGCATGAACGCGCAATACGGCGTACAGAGTCAATTTGCCGAGTTCCTGTTAATTGTTTATAAATAATAGTTAAGAAATATCATGTAGCGACAATACTAACAATAGAACCTAATATACCCGAGAAACGAGTCGAACGTTTACGGCTTGCGCCACTTAAGCTTAAATTAAGACTGACCAATTTCATAACAAATTTACTCTTAATAGGTATTAAACTTATCAGATATTGTGAAAGAAGATACTGAATACTCTACACCTATAATTAGTTAATAAAGATGATAAAATAGTCTGAACCGTTTTGAGAAAATAGAAATAAAAGTACAATCTTTATGATGACACAAATTGAACAGCGCTAATTTGCGCAAGAGAAGAGAAGTAGCCCATTGAAATATCATTCCATTAAGTAATTGTCGCATCATATAGAGCAAGTAAACCCCATCTAGCCCATAACACCGAGGTTGGTTTTTTATGTTTCAGATATTAGTCTCGCAATTGTTTTAAGTCATAAATCACCAAATGCAGAAGCAAAAAACACATTCGAAATCAGTATTAAATATCCAGATCATTCCATCGTGATGAACGCATCGAAAAAGAAAAGGTGGTATCAAGAGTCGCAGGCGTCACAGGCGTCGCAATGTAAACAAGGTCATTCAACATGCACATTCAGCGCAGGCTGAAGTAAGTAGCGGTGGCCTCGTTGTGAATGGCTCGCTGGGCCAAGTTCTCGTCGATCGAGTTAATGTATTTGGGTTCGAAGGCTTTTGAGAAGAACTTCTTGCTGGCTTTGATGGAGCTTTTGAGGGTCGTTGCGGTGGAAACGGTGGAATGTTCTGAGGAGGCAGCTGAAGAGGCGCGGCGGGAGGAAGAGGTAGAGGTGGTAGTGGGTGTCTTAGGAACACGGGGAAGGGCAAGCATGTTGGCCATTTTGATTGATGGTGGTTGAGTTTTTTGGTGGTCAAGTCAAATCAAGTCAAGTAGACTGTTTGGTGGTAGATGAGATGAGATGAGATGAGAAGTTGGGAACTTTCAATAGATGGAAGAAAGCTATTTTGGTTTGGTTTCTTTGTGATGGTCTGATCGAGAATGCATTTGAACGATCATGGGGAATGGGTCTTATATACACGGGTCAGGCTGTACATTGCACAGGTCACTCCGTGGTTCACTCCGGCGTAAAAACTAGATGAAAAATCAAATCCCAGATATCCGGAAGCCAACGACCCACTCCGCAAGCCATCGCCGCGTCTTTGAACTCGAAATAAACTACAATTGTAAAAGATCAGAAAAAAAAAAGACGTCACAGCCGCTGTGGAGCCTGCGACGACACGTCGGACTAAACCTTCGGAGTTCGATCTTGCGTGGGTGGAACGGCGATGACCAACCATCCATACACGAGGTTCTAGTGCGAAGGCCGTCCATTGACAGAGTTAGCCCAGATTAGTTCATTGAGGCTGACATTGTCCCATACAGTAAATTGGACAACGGTCTATGCCGTGGGAGTAGCCCGGGAAGCGGCCTCCTAAATGGGAAATGGAGTTGCTCAGCCTAGACCCGCCAAAACTCGGGGGGAACCCAATTTGCTATAGATGTCACCAATAATCCTCTCGAACTACGCGACGAAGGGCGTGAAAGATGCTCGGCGGTTGCGCGGCCTTCAGCCTAATTGAGTCAGGCAGACAGCTCGGGGCCGTAGCCTAGCAAGTTACGCATCGGCATTGCATAAAGTCTAGAAGCCTCGAAGGCTGAAGGCTGAAATCTAGAAGTCTAGATTGTGACACCCAAGGCCCTGAAATCCAGAATGTAGATCACGCGGCTCCACTTCAAATTTTCCGTGTGGACATCGGAGTGCTTTCATGCGGAAGAAGATGGGGCTGCGAGACGTGTCAAGAACTCCGTCGCGGTTATCTGCGGACACCATTTCCAAAGAAAGAAAATTCATCACATCTCCAGATTCTATACAACTATACGTAATTTGGTCATGACCTTTTGCTGCTTTCCAAGCACCGAGGCGGTGCTAGTGTGCGACACGAAGTGGCTTGTGTGACTCAACCACGGGCCTTTTAAGCATCGGCAAAGCCATGTTGCTCTGACATCGGATCATGACTGAAGCAGTCATGCCTGGATCCATCCGGACAAGATGACGGGTGGCGTGATGGCGGTTGGGGGCTTGGGGGCTTTGGGGCTCTGGTGCCTGCAAGTCCGAGGTCTATTCCGACGCTGAAATTTTTACTCCGAGGCGTAGTCCGAAGCCGCGCGAGCACCCTGAACAGGGTCGACTAGTGGTACTACATGATTCAGGCGATGAAAAATTCTGATCGGAGTACTTTGGTAGTATTTTCTATAGTTCTCGCCCATTCAGGCGATTCCGAACCTGGTACCTGGCGAACGTGCTCTGTGACGTTGACGCTTATTGGGCACTTGTGACTAAACACTGAAGACCCCGATTTCGCGCCTTTCAATGCTCTAAAACACGCCCTCCGGCTTTGGAAGCAGTATCTCTCCACTGCAATTCCCACTTTCACGAAGATGGCGGTGTCGACTCATTTGTGTGCTTGGGTTCGGGCGTCGCTACCATGACCGAGAGGGAGTCATGTTGCAGCCCCGCATCATTGCGCTGCCGGCCTTGAGTGTCACCTGAATTCGCCGTGGAGTCGCTCTTCAGGGTTCTTCAATTGTCGTGTGAAGCGATTTTTCCATCTCCCAATTGACGCTCAATGCTGAGCCGTAGCTAACACCTTGCGTGCGCGGGGTTTGGTTTCTTCGCGATCAGAGAGTTTCGGCTTTGTTTCCTCACGATCTCCGTCATCAAGGTCTCCTTAATAGGTGCATCGGTGGTTGAGATCATTGATCCATAGTACGGCTCCGCCAATGACTGAGCAACAGCGAGCTGATCGTCAATGAGAAGTGCCGAATGAGCATTCTGTGAGATCATGTTGCGGTCTGCTAAAACTCTGGCTGCGCAATACCCCGTCCCAGGACCAATCGCGGAGCAATCCCGCAGGGTTCTTTCGAGAAAGCTCGGTCAGTGGCTCGGAAACGCAGGTTTGGAAGCCATTTGTCAGCGCTCGGTCATATTGTGAGCTGTGGATGGACCCACTGGATCAATCTCAAATGCTTGAAGAGCGAAAGACCGACCGTGCAAAGGCTTAAAGAGACCCCTGTTCCTTGGCGTATCTGAAACTCGTCCATATCATACTCCAAAACAATCAACTTTCTATTCCCAAACTCTCAACCATGTCTCTCAAGCCTATTGTTCTCTATGGCCACGGTCCTGGCCCCAACCCTTGGAAGGTCGTCATGGTCCTCGAGGAGCTCAACATTCCCTACGAGAACAAGATCGTCGACTTCCCCGATATGAAGAAGGAGCCCTACGAGTCTATCAACCCCAACGGTCGAGTCCCCGCCATCGAGGACCCCAACACCGGCATCACCCTCTGGGAGTCCGGCGCCATCCTCGAGTACCTGGTCGAGACCTACGACAAGAAGCACACCCTCAGCTTTGAAACCGGCTCCAAGGACTACTTCCTGGCCAAGCAGTGGCTGCACTTCCAGATGTCCGGTCAAGGCCCTTACTTCGGCCAGGCCATGTGGTTCACCCGTTTCCACTCGGAGCAGGTCGAGAGCGCTAAGGAGCGTTACTACAAGGAAGTCCGCCGTGTTTCGGGTGTCTTGGACAAGTACCTCGCTGATAAGGAGTACCTTGTCGCTGGCAAGTTCAGCTATGTCGACCTGGCTTTCATTCCCTGGTACCAGCTGGTTAGCGTGTTTGGCATTGATCTGTCGAAGGAGTTCCCCCACCTTGATGCCTGGTTGAACCGCCAGAAGGCCCGCCCCGCCATTGCCAAGGCCCTGAAGCTGCGCGAGGAGGCTGTGGCTGCTCATTAAGAATCAGTGCAACGTCACTGATTAGCTAGTCTTTAGACAAGATGTACATAGGAAATGAGGAATGAAACGCTTTGTATCCAATCTGGGTGGCCACGCCTATGGAATTGGTTATGCGCTGATCAGCGCTGTAGTGCGCGCGATATGATGGAGATTTGTACTCCATAGTAGCCGAGAGAAGAAAATATCAATCAGCCATTTATGCTGAGGCATTGGCATGACCTCTTAGGTGAAGTAAGGCGGATATCGCAGTAATCGAAAAGCGCTTATATGAGCATTAGCCCACCATGGCGCTAATCAGCGCGGTGAGCGAGATCAATGTGTGTGAATCGGTATCATTAAATATAGCTGCGCGAGGAAAATCACTCAAGCGACGGTCGCACCACGTAGAAATAAGCATATACTGTAAAGGTAAGCAAGATGATGGTTAATCACATCCCTGTACTTGCTCATAGGAAAGCGCTAACCGAAAAAGGCTAGCGGTAAGCTGGGGCTTGGCAGCGCAGCCGCGAGTTTTCCGTGTCGCGACATCCACCTCCCCCAGTCAATCGAGAACTTGATCCAATCATCCCCCACTGGCCTGATTTTCCATCAAGTTGGGCCTTTCTTCTCCCAAGTAACGAAATACTATCGGCTATTTGCCCCAGCTACGCGTAACACTGTTGCGTCGTGCCAGGCAGACTGCCAACCACAGACAAGGAGTCGATCTTCTGTCGCGAGCGACAGCTACTTTGTTCTTTTGATCCATCATGGATGACTCTTCGCTTAATCCTTCTGGTGCTTCTGAGCACGCCCAAAGTATGACCGGCGCAGAGAGTGGCCTGGATGCTGGCAATAGTGCCTCTGGTATGTTCAGCTCCCCTCTCCTAGCTCACTTCAGAAGCTGACTGGATGGCAAGAAGTGCAATCGCGCCAGGACTCCCCCGAAAAGAAAGCAGAGACCTCCGCCAGATCAGACAATCCTATGGATGCTCCTGCTTCCCCCAAGGCCCAGAATGGTGGTGCCCAGCCGGAGGATGAGGAGATGGGCGGCACCGAGACTGATCCCAAGCGTGATACCGAAGGATTGGAAGATGCTGTTGGCGAGTCGCAGCCTCCGGAGCAGGCCACTGAGGGCCTTGAAGATGCCGTTGGAGAAGAACAGCCCGCGCCGACCAAGTCCTCCCTGGAAGCCTCCGCACGCGAGCAATTGGTCACACAAACTCATGCCATTATCCTCCCCAGCTACGCTTCTTGGTTCGACATGAACGCCATCAATCCCATTGAGAAGAAGGCTCTCGCTGAATTCTTCAATGGCCGCAACCGCAGTAAAACTGCATCTACCTACAAGGACTACCGTGATTTCATGATCAACACGTACCGTCTAAACCCCATCGAATACTTGACTGTCACCGCTTGCCGTCGCAACCTTGCTGGCGATGTCTGCGCCATCATGCGTATTCACTCGTTCCTTGAGCAGTGGGGCTTAATTAACTACCAGGTAAGCAACATAGCCAGTGTCTCTTTTCTTGGATGGCATTGATTGACATCACTAGGTCGACCCTCAAACCCGCCCCTCCAACATTGGACCGCCCTTCACCGGCCACTTCCGCGTTATTGCGGATACTCCCCGTGGCCTGCAGCCTTTCCAGCCCGGGCCGCAACCCCAGGTCACATCTGGCAAGCCTCTCGCGGCCACAGAACGTGCTGCTTCTGCTACTCCTGCCAAAGATTCAGGTCTCGAGCTCCGCCGCACCATTTACGACGAGAAGGGCAAGGACGTTACACCGGCCGATGATAAAGAGAAGCAAACCAATGGCGACTCCAACGGACTTGAGGGTATTCCCCAAGAACCTAAGAAGAAATCCCACTGCTTCTCCTGCGGTATCGACTGCACACGACTCCGCTTCCACTATGCCAAGTCAGCTCCGACGTCAGCCAACACTACCACCGCCGACACAAAATACGACTTGTGTCCCAACTGTTTCCTCCAGGGTCGCATGCCCTCCAGCCACAACGCCTCTGACTTTGTCAAGCTTGAGGACAAGTCTCACACTCATGTGCCTGATAAAGATGCTCCCTGGTCGGATTCAGAGCTTGTCTTGTTGTTGGAGGGTCTGGAGAACTTCGATGAGAACTGGGAACAGATTGCCAACCACGTTGGCACTCGGACTCGCGAGGAGTGTGTGATGAAGTTCCTGCAGCTAGATATCGAGGACAAGTATCTCGATGACATCCCCGAGCTGCGCACTGGCTCCGGCCGCGACCCCATCAGCCAGTCAGAGAACCCTGTTCTCTCCGTTGTCGCATTCCTAGCTCAGATGGCCGAGCCCGCCGTGGCCGCCGCCGCCGCCGGCCGCTCTGTCGAGGAGATCCGGAAGGAGCTCCGTAGCCAACTTGAGAAGGACAATAAGGGTAAGGAATCCGTAAAGGCCGAAGACTCCATGGACGTGGACCCCACTCGCGAAGCCTCAACCGAGAAGCCGAAGGAATCCCTCGCAACCGTGGCGCTTGCTACCTCCGCTGCGCGTGCCGGCGCCCTGGCCTCCCACGAAGAGCGGGAAATGACCCGCCTTGTCGGCGCCGCTGTGAACGTAACCCTCCAGAAATTCGAGATCAAGCTTCAACAATTCAACGAAATGGAAGAAATCATCGAAGCCGAACGCCGCGAACTCGAGCAAGCGCGCCAGCAGCTGTTCCTCGATCGAATGGCCTTTAAGAAGCGCGTCAAGGAAGCGCAGGATGCTCTCCAGGCCGTCTCCCTGCAAGGTCCCAGCGAGCACACCAATAGCATGCTCGGGCACGCTGCTACCGCCGGCATTGGCAATCACTACAGTTTCCAGCCTGTTGGTGGAGATATGCGGGCTGGTGCGCAGCCTTTGAGCGCTGAAACGGGCGCCGATTTCAAGACCCTTGACCTGTAATCCTTTCTCTCATGTATTTGATATCCTACTGCGTGCCAGGGGGAAGGGCCCTCGACTGTGGACAGGACAGGACTGAATTGGTGTTTATGAATATCTATCTGAAACTTATTTGGCTAGGAAAAGGCGCAGTTTCTATCGTTGGGAGTTTAAATCATTTCGCCCCCTGATGACGGATTTTCCACACCGTCTTTGATCTTTGATATCGATTTATTTTAGGGATGACGGCAGGGGGCATCTCTTTTTCTTTTTTTTTTTTTTCTTGAATGTGGTTAACCTTTCTTATTTCTAATCATACTTCTTGTGATGAAAGTTCTTGTAGAATTTTTTGTAGTTCTATGCAGATGCTATGTACAAGCTGTGGGTATCGTATTAATTTCGAGCCTGAGTCTGAGTCTGAGACTGAGACTGAGGCTGCGCTGTCAATTTTTGTAAAAAGGCCGCCCATGCAGGGGATCCATATTTCGGAAGCTCAACAGCGACCATCGGTATTGATCGAGGCTCGTCATCGTCAAGTTCCATCGGATTTCCATCCTCGAAATCTGAAAATGCGGCATAGTCCTCACTATCGACATCCCTTCCACTTCCAGCCGCATCTTCGGCCTCAATCTTGCGTCGTTTCTTTCTGTTCTCTTGCAAGGCAGTCTCCAATTCCAAGCTTGAATCTCCAAATTCCTCCCATTCGGCGCGGTACAGTGTTCTGTCTCGCCATGGGATCATTTCCTCTCTCGTCTGCGACGGATGAGAGGTCGGTCTTTTGAGTTCTCGCCCATGTCTTCTTCGGCGACGATAGGGTTGGACAGGAGTGGTGGGATGGGTTGTTGTAGAGTTTGCCATAGGTGGAGTTCTGAGCGGCGATCGTATTCTTGGTTGATGCGTTCGGCATGGACTTCTTCGGCGTCCGAGGGTTGGTCTTCTGCTGCTGCTGCGATGGCTGCTGCGGCCGCTGCGGCTTCTCCTTCTTCTCCTTCGATTTCTTCGGACTGGTAGGAACCTTCGGAGTACCGGCGGGATCTGGTATTGACTTGCTGATGGGGTTGCAGCTGTGGTTGTTCTGTAGGGGTCTTGATTGTTCCTTCAGCTGTAGTTTTGGGTTGAGCTTTTTCTTTCATATTCTCTGTTGTCGCTGCAGATTCCGATGAGTTTTGATGTTCGGTGTAGGGTTTAGGTTCAGACGTGCGATCTTGATCTTTCTGACCCTGTACCTCGTCTTCTTCTTCGTCCCCTCCATTATAATTATCATCTTCATTTTCAAACTCGCCCTCAGAATAAGCTGATCCAGAGTCCTCGTACTCGTCATACTCGTCATCGTCGAGAGTAAGAAGCTCTTCTACATAATCGTAATCGAGAACTTGCGGCTTCCATCCCTTCTTATTTTGAATGTCTTTGATCAGAATGCCGTTTCGCCGTGCAAAGTCGACTAGCATATTGCCCCGATCGTACTTCATATTCAATGTTTCAATGGCAGCCCTCACATCTCTTGTTCGAACCGTCTCAATCTCATCGTCGATCTCCTCACCCATCTGCTCCATAGCAGAAATTCGTGCCATAGAGAAGAAGAGCGAAGACTGAATCAAGCGCCGTGTGATGCTCATGGTCAATGCGTAAAAGTCCATGAGGGCATCGCCTGTCATGGAGGGTGACTCGGCAGAAAAACTCTGGTGATAGATCCAGTTGTCTTCAATCCTTTTGCCGCCCAGGTTCATGAACAGCTTGCGAGAGAGTTGAAGCCAGACAGGCACATTGAGAATATTTAGAGCTTTGTCTATGCCGCCGTGTAAAGGTGGGCAGACTTCATCATCTTTACAGAGTCCTTTGGCTGTGGCCTCGGTGATAATGCCATATTTGTGGTATCGGTCTCTGGAAGCCCACGAGTTCTCAGCTTCTGCTTTCAGACACATTATATCGGCGATTTCTTCCAGCTTTTTCTCGCATTCCTTGCTGACTTCGGCGGCGCCAGGATAATCACCCATGAGGAGTGTAGCGTTTTGCTCGTTATCGACATGTTGTTTCACCAGGCCTTCGTGGAGGCAGTCAATGTAGTGCATCACTTCCAGTTCCGACTTTTCAGGGATTGCTGCGGCAATCTCCTTAATGCCGTTCTTACCCTTGCGATCGAGCATGTTGAAGAACAATTCCTTTTCTGTGGCCGTCCAAACGACAGCATGGCGTTGCTCAACAGTGAGAAGTTCCGGGTGCTCGTTCATGTTTTTCAATTCAACGTCCTTCTCCATCTCAACTAGCAGGCCATTATAGGCGTTCAAAGCTTCGAGGGGAATAGATTGAAGGCGAGCTTGAAGCGAGCGGACTCGGTCCTGGCGAGCGTCTGTGTTCATATCGTCGTCGGCATATTCGGCAAAATCGAAGGTCGAGAGATCTTCTTCTTCATCTTTGACTGAAAGAGAAACCGCGCGAGAAGAGGAGCGCGTTTTCCGCTCGATCGACCGGATCACAGGCGCGCCATCATTGAGGTCGGAGTCGGAGTCGGACTCCCACTCGGATGCGGAGTCATCCGGCTCATAGGAATCACTATCGCTCATCGTGGAGGGTCGCAGACTCGCCACGCGTCCGCAGTGAATCCGAGAAGAAACATCACAGCTGCGCTTGCGAGTAGTTGAGTAGTACCAACTTGACAAAAAAAAGTTGAAGCTCCACTGCGCAAACGTTATCGTCCGATAAGCTATGTTTGCACTGTTTGTATTCTAGTATTCCAGTCCGCAATGGCGTCCAACTTCTGCACCTATGGAGTTTATTCGCAGATTCGGGCTACTGGCTATTTCACGGTGGCCGAAGAAGTCTCCAAGGATCTCTCCGGTATTGAATCGGCGCGGTGTACGTTTCAACACGACAGCATCACCTCCATCATCACCTGGTTCTAGCATCGTGCTCCGCGACTACCAGGAGGAATGTATTCAATCGGTCCTCAAGTACCTCGACGAAGGCGAGCGGCGTCTTGGAGTATCTTTGGCTACGGGCGCTGGAAAGACAGTTCGTTAAACTCATTCCACCTCGAAGAACCGGGCACGAGAAACTTAATGTCGGCAGGTAATCTTCACCCAGCTTATCGATCGAATCCCGCCGCGCGATGCGAAAGCCACCAAAACCATGATCATCGTTCACCGCCGAGAACTTGTCGAACAAGCAGCGAAGCACTGCCGGCTTGCTTACCCTGAGAAAACCGTGGAGATTGAAATGTCAACTAATGTCGCGACTGGACACGCGGATATAATCATCGCCTCGGTCCAAACCCTCGCCCGGGGGCGCATCAACAACTTTGACCCAAGCGTCTTCAAGCTCATCCTCGTAGATGAAGCGCATCACATTGTGGCTGCATCATATCGCAAAGTGCTGGAACATTTTGGTTTGAATGAGCCATCCGCGAAGGCGCCGGTGCTCGTGGGAGTCTCCGCCACGTTCTCACGATTTGACGGGCTCAAACTAGGTGCTGCGATTGATCATATTGTCTACCACAAAGACTACGTAGACATGATTGGCGATAAGTGGCTGGCAGATGCAGTCTTTACTACTGTCAAATCCGAAGCGAATTTGTCGAATGTCAGAAAGGACCAGTTCGGTGACTTTGCGTCTGGGTCGCTGTCAAAAGCCGTCAATACCGTCAATACGAACAATATCACTGTTCGTGCATGGATGGCGAATGCACAAGGCCGGAAATCTACACTTGTCTTTTGCGTGGATGTAGAGCATGCGAAGGAGCTTACGGCGACGTTCCGGGAACACGGTGTTGATGCGAGGTATATAACTGCCACTACACCCAAAACAACTCGCGCAAAGCAACTCGATGCTTTTAGAAAGCAAGAATTTCCAGTGCTTTTGAACTGTGGTCTTTTCACAGAAGGCACCGATATCCCAAATATCGACTGCGTGCTCCTGGCAAGGCCAACCCGGTCCAAGAACCTGCTTATTCAAATGATCGGGAGAGGGCTTCGTCTTTTTCCTGGCAAAAAAGACTGTCATATTATCGACATGGTTGCTTCTCTTGCAACAGGCGTTCTAACAACACCTACATTGTTCGGTCTCCACCCAGATGAAGTGTTGGACAAGTCTACCGTGACAGAACTAAGAGAACCCCGCGAGCTACCCACACTCGAGGCCCCTTCAGTGGGAACAGAACACACGCCTTCCGACGATGTGAGACTGCATTTCACAAAATACGACAGCGTCTACGACCTCCTGGAAGACATGCAGTCAGAGCGCCACATAAGATCTCTGAGCAGGAATTCTTGGGTGCGAGTCGACAACGAAAAATATATCCTCTCCGAATCCTCCGGCTGGTTAACCCTAGACAAAGAAAAAGACGTCTACAATGTCCGCCATGTCATGAAATTCGCAGACCCGGTATCCGAGCAAACGCAATTCACACGCCCGCGCCTTGTCGCCACTGGAGCCGATCTCGAGACTGCTGTCCGCGCAGCAGACACATATGCTAGCGACAAGTTCCAAGAACATTTCATCGCGTCCTGGAAGCCATGGCGACAAAACCCGGCCACGGCGGGACAGATCAAATTGTTGAATAAGGCTAACATTCGCAATGGCACGATTCGCGCCGGAGATTTGACTCGTGGCCAAGCGACTGATATGATTACGAAACTGAAGTTTGGAGGTAAAAAGCGGTTCAAACGACATGAGGTGACGATGCGGAAGGTGCAGCGTGAGACTGATGCTGCGAATAGATTTAATGATCTGCGGAAGAGGACCGACGTCAAGGTTGGTCCTTTGGAGGGCTAGTGGGCTCTTGGCTGACTTGCAAATTACAATTTTGATATTGCGCGCATTATTGGTGTAACTGGATGGCCTTCTCAAGCGGTTTCCTCATTTGAATCATATCGGTTTCGACCACTCATGGACCCCTTATACGGGCGAAACTTACTACAAGAAGGAGTGATGACTGAAAGTCTCGAAGTGAAATACAATATGGCAGAAGAGCCCAGCCTATTCGCCATGGATTTATGACTCGCTTGTCTAAATGTAGATCAATTGGCTTGTCGCCTCTATGCCCACGATTCTATACCCTCCCGAGCCCTCTATGAGGAAATGACGGACTCCTTGGATCGATTCAAATGACCAGGATGTGTGTTGTGGGGAGACTGCTGAACCGCCCCGCCGAATGGAACACCGCAATCCCCAAATGAAGCTCTAGCTGCAGGCCATTGCGGACACTAGGAAGTAGAGGTCCCTCGACATAGTATCCTCCAGTCATCTATAATTGGATCTGTGCAGACGCTGTGGATTCAGCACGCGATTTTCACATTCGCCAGTTCCCACGAGTCCGCGACAAGAGATACGTGGACCATGCTAGTGAACACGCTCCAAGCAGTGAAGCTACTGAAGCAAAGATTTGCAGTCCAGAAAAGTCGGTTCCGCCTTGTCGGGTCAAGATACTACCCATGATGGGCAGCCCAGTGAGGCAACTAAGCAAAGGTGAGCAAAAGCATTCAAAAGCACCAGAGCCTCACAGGACGCCTACCTGACGGAAAGCACCGTTTGGAAAGTTCCAAAGCGCTGGCCCAAGGTTTCCAGACTTCCGGATTTTGCGACGCATGGCATGAGTAAAGACACAACGGCCCCGCTCACAAAGCCATAGACTAAGGCGAACACGATGATCCCCGCATGGGACGGGTGGAAGTTGAACGGCAGCCACAGACACAACATGGAAAATCCTGTCAGCAGAGCGCACATTGTGAGCACGTTGAAATGACCGATGTGATCTGCCAGATACGGCGGAATCAGTCGGCCGAACACCGAGGTTGCGCTAGATGTGAGCATTGCGAGTCAGTGAGATGATAACCCCAGCAGAGGTTCCTAGAACAGGACGGGGGTCATTTCTTCAACCGTACTTGATTATTGACAGCAAGTAAATAGCCAGTGTAGGGGAGAATCCTTTAGTCTGCGCCATGTCGGAGATATAATCGAAAGGGCCCCAGAGTCCCCACCTATATGCATGTTAAGTGAATTGTCCTCTTGCAGTCGGCGGACTTGACTGACATGACTAGATAAGCGCCTAAGGTGTATAGCGCAAATTGCTTGTTTTTGAACAGTGACACATCGAACCACGGCGCCTTCCTATTCCATTCCTTTCTCGGTAGTCTTGACCGGACCATCAGGCAGGACACTGCCATGAGCACTCCAACCAACAGAGCTGTGTACCGAACCGCGCCATAGAAGCCTACGTCCTTGATGACACGGTCTAGAAAGATGGGGAAGATCACACCGCCAAAACTCGAACCACAACTCGCTATACCAATAGCCAGCCCACGTCTCCTAACGAACCATTGGCCTACGCAGACCATGGCTGTAGTGAATACTCCGCCTGCACCTATGCCGAATCCTAGGCCTTGCGCAAGGAATATCTGATAGTACTTGTCTGCGAGACTCGTCATACATAGAGAGAAGACACATAGGAAACTGCACGGATACAGTACCGGGGCTGGACCGTATGTATCTAGAACTCGTCCGTAGAGCGGACCAAGTGCCCACATCAGACATAGTTGAACGGCGAAGATCCAGGCGATTTCGGACGAGCTATATTCCTTCAAAGTGTTGTCTTGGTAGAAGGTCTGAAAGACGCCAATTCTGCAGTCAATTCGTTTCAGTCGGTGTCGCAATCGTGGGTTGCCTCAGGCAATACCCGAATTGCATAGATTGCTCACGCGTTTAAAAATCCGAATGTGCTGAAGAGGGATAGAAAAGCTCCTCCACACACATCCATCCGGAAAGACCTTCTTCGGGCGGTAATTCCAGCTCATCTGGGGCGGTTTTTTTGTCTCTCAGCATAGCAAGGTCGCTCAGAAGGGCGTTGAGACGGTACACGGTGGATTCGACTCCCGCTTTTCTCGGACTTCCCCCCCTCTGACTTTATACCTACTTGCTAAATGCCAAAAAGGCTTACAAATGGCGATCAAGGTCTGAATTCCTCGATAAAACCTTCATTATCTCTCTCGATTCCCTCCATTAACGGGCCCCCATCAGCGGCCGCCGAGCTCCACTTGTCGGCGCCGCTTTTCCCCTTTCGTGCTCCCCGATTTGTAATGGCATTCAATTGCACTTTCACCCATCCAATGTGGATTCATGGTAATCCATGGCGTCGACCGGCAGTCTACGCTTCGTCTGCGTTAATTGCAAGCTGCGCAAAAAGAAGTGCGACAGAGTCCAGCCAAGTTGTGGCTACTGCGTCCAGTGTGTCTCCAAACCGACGACTATCTAGTACAGGACTAACGAAAGCAGGAAAAGGCTAGAATGCCAGTACATATCCCCGCATGTCAAGCACTGGTCAATTCAGCAACAAGAATTGGCCCTTCCATGCCCCATCCTCCGCTCAGCCCGGCTTCTCTCAGCCACCTTGTCGGATGTGCTCCAGTCAGCGCCGACAAGTATCGAGTCCACTCTATATTTTCAGATCCTTCGGATCGTTCGAACAACGGGTCTAGACGTGGATGATTTTAGTGCACGCTATTTCCGAGGGATCCACACCTTTATTCCGATCCTCTCGCGTCCTCGCTTCCATGAGCAGCTTGCCCAAGCGGGTGTCCCTCCAGTGGCCTTTTCGATTTTGTTACTGTGCATGTGCTTAATTACCTACCACCCGGAACTCGCCCAGCAGCCCCAGCCAATTGATCAGGAAACGTTGTATTTGACTGCAAAGTCACTAATCACGCAAGTACAGACATCCTTTCCGCCATCATTATCTCTCGTTCAGGCGGGAGTGATCATCGCCGCGTATGAGTATGCCAGTGGAAAACTCCACAATGCGGTATCGTCAATTGGGAACTGTGCAAGAATGGGGTACACCATCGGTCTGCACCTCGCACGTCCGGTAGAAGCGGCCGATCCTGTTCCATCCTTGCAGACAGAAGAATTCAACACTTGGTGGGGGATCATCATTTGCGAAAGGTAACGTCAAAAGGCACCAATGCGTGAAGCAAGTCTGAAAATGAGAACAGGATCTTCTTCTGCGAGCTGGACGATTTCACTCAACCGTTCGTTTCGAGAATCACCCAGGGATCCCAGCCAGAACCAGTCACCATGTGTCAGAGCCCACCTCTACCTCAGATCCACCCATCCCTGCCGATGAACAGAGTGACCATATCCATAGGAAAACCATCTTTAGAAGAGTCCACTGGCTTTTCTTGCATCACACAAGCTGCATACCTCCTCGATCAAGTGTTTGAGGCACTCGAAGTCCCAGACCTCGACTCCAGGCTTATTCGCCTCGATGGATTAGATCATACCCTGCGCACATTCTTTTCGGTGGTCATGGATCGAGCGGAGGGAAAATGGGGGTTCTTCTGCTCAGCAAACGTTCTGGCCATCCGGTTGGTTTCAATGTCCCTTCCCTTGTACCAGACGAGATGCTGACAAGAAGAACAGTGCTCTTTACATAATCCATCTGCACGTACTTGCAATGTTGCCTCAAATTGGGCTTTGCAAGTACAAATCTCCGGACATATGGAGCACGACTTCTTGCGCTGCTCTGGATTCTCTTACCAAAATGGAAGCGCAAACGGCGACGATACGGAGCGATCTCCCATTGGAATTGATCGATGCACTGCCTCCTAGTTGCATTTATATAATGCGTGCAGCACGGAAGCATATCGAAAATTCCTGCGACAAGACGAAGCATTGGAGTCTTAGTGACACGAATAGAAAGAAAGCATGCGGTGTAGTTGATGATGACGAGACGAAGACATATTGTATTTGGGACGCTCATGACGAGAAGCTGGGGCATGCATTAGCAAAACTTGAAGCTCGTTGGAACTATAAATGACAAGACTTGAAGAGAACGATTTCCACGATTGTCTACGTATGCGCTAAGATACACTAGTTCGAGAGTGACTATGGTCTTAAATGACCGTCTGAATATAGCAATAACAAATCGATGCCAATAAAGACTCAGGGTCAGGGAAAGCCGGGCGATATCTGGAGCAATTCGAGGGCCAAATCTATGTGGGATATTGATTACCTGTAGACGGATGGAAGAAACATGCACAGGGATGTACTCTCCATTAATTCGACCCTTCAATCAGCCATGTCTTTTTCATCTCCCCTATTATGGTAGCATCGGTCATATAGTTTATTCGTGTGCACTAGTTCGGTATGGGTAAGACGTCTGCCTGATAAGCTGCGGGGTAGTACCTGGATCTTCCCTTTGCATTCAATGGCCTCTTCAGCCTCCGTTTCTTTGCAATGCGTCACAATCATATCCGACCCTGATAAAGATCTCAGAAATTCACATCTCTCTCAATTTCTTTTCATGGTTCAGCATTGACCATGGTGACCAACCCTAATCATAAGGCCGACTTGAGCCTAGAATCCCTAGCCGACCTTCAAATCCCCAAAGATCTTTGTATTTCTCCCAATGGTTACAAAGTCGTCTATACACTGCATCCATTCGGCAAAAAAGGCGAGCACGCCACTTCATCAATTTGGATCGCCAAGATAGGCCAACAAACAAGCGCCCGTCAATTCAGCTCCGGCCAGTTCAGCGATGAACAGCCTCAGTGGTCTCCAGATGGAACTTCCATCGCGTTCAAGTCCGATCGTGGGCACCCGGGCAAAAGCTCGACTATATATGTGATGAATGTAGATGGAGGTGAAGCCTATGCCGTCACGCCTGTTGAGAACGAGAAACCTATTTCCGCGTTCGAATGGAGTCCCAACGGAGCGTATATTGCATATGCCAGCGCAGATGAGAAGACCGACGACCAAATCCGCAAAGAGAAGGAGAAAGACGACGCCAAAGTCTGGGGAGAGGACTTGGAATATCGTCGCTTGAGGGTTGTCCATGTAGCGACAAGACAAGTCTCGACGATTGTCTCGGGTGACAGACACGTGCATGCCTTCTCTTGGGGACCCGATTCGAAGCAATTCGTCTACCTCGAGCACAAGGAGCCGGATATCAACTCTTCTGGAATCCATGGTTCGAAAATTTGCACTGCGTCCCTTCTCGGAGCACAGTCGACCACTGTCACATCATACCCCGGTCCCATCTGGCAGATTGCATGGGCAATGCTGGCGTCTACTTCATTGCAGGCCTTCAGCCGGGATCCAACTCCACTTCGCTGTCGCTATTTCAAATAGATATCGCAAAGGGCGCATACCACAGGCATGAATCTGAAGATAGCTGCTGTATGAGTATTCGAAAGAATCAGTCTTCCCTGGCTTGTCGTGTTCAGCATGGCCTCGATGATGAGCTTTTTTCATTACATGATGGTGATTGTACCCTAGAATATCGTGGAGAGCATGAGCTCAGCTCCTTCGCCATCCTGAAGACTGCAGAGAAGACCGTCATTGCAATCACCAAAGGCGACGGGTCCAACCCGGAAGAAGTGTTTTCTATCTTCGAGTCAGAAGGTATAGTCAAGCTATCAGATCACAATCCCAACCTCGCCGCTCTCAAAATATCCAAGGCGTGCTCCGTTTCCGCGACCGCGTCCGACGGCTACTCTCTCGACGGTATGATCTATGTACCTTCCAAGTACAAAGCAGAGGATGGCCCTCTTCCCACCATTGTCATGCCACACGGAGGGCCATACTGGCGCATCAGCACCGCTTTCGCGGTCTGTCACTTCCTCGAAGCCCCACTCCTCGTCTCAGCTGGATATGCAGTTCTTTGTCCGAATTACCGTGGCGGGAGTGGTCGGGGTGAAAAACACGCCTCGTATGCTCGTGGACAGATGGGAACAGTCGACTACACAGATTGTATCGACATTCTTCGCAGCTGCATTGACAGTGGTCTCGTGGACCCTTCGCGAGTGGCGATAGGTGGCTGGTCGCAAGGCGGACATTTGTCCTACTTTGCCGTCACCCGCGATGACTTTCAGTTCCGGGGAGCTGTATGTGGCGCGGGCGTGGTGGACTGGGACGTCATGACAATGACTAGCGATGCGTACTGGTTTGAGGGTGAAATGGCCGGCGGTGCGCCGTGGGATGTAGATGTCAATGCAGAACTCGAGGTGGACGACGCGGATCAGACTTCGAAGAGATGGATCCGCAATACGAACGGTCGACAGGGAAGCGCGTTGTGGAGGATGCGCAAGGTGAAGACGCCCATCTTGATTATTCATGGCGAGGACGATCTGCGTGTGCCCTTGTCACAGGGTGTTGCTTTTTACCGGGCTTGTGTTCACAACAAGGTCCCGGTTGAGATGGTGACTTATCCCCGTGAAGGACACATTATTACTGAGAGGAAGCATCTCATCGATATGTGGAAGCGGATGAGGCGGTTCTATGATATGCACTTGCAGTGAGCGTAAATCATACAATATGAGACCTAAGCTGTTGAATTCAGTCACGTTGTCTTTTAAACTAGTATCTCTTGGAAGATCAATCAACCCATTTGTAAGTCTTCAAGGCCACCAATTTGGCACCAATATAATCACCAAGACATTTCGAACTAGCCTTGCAGATGCAGAGAAATAACAGGACATTTCACACATTTGGTTGCAAGGTGAGCAGCTTATGGCACTGTAAGTATTGAGCGATGTGAAATGTGCATTACTATGCTTGATGTAGGGCCAGTCCGAAGCCCAGGAGTGACAGTTTTGGAACAGGAAGGGAAATTGTGGGGGAGGGGGAAGAGAGGGGAGAGAGGGATTGACGGGAATGTAGTATTGAAACGTCTTAAATGTCTACAATAGATGGAAAAAAATTGATCTGAACAGCCTGGAAATGTATTTTGTTCTCAGCAACAACTAAGAAAGTCATCAAAACATTAAAAACTCCGTTACAAAGCACTCCTATGGAGTCAGATGATTTAGATATCATCCTCATCGAGAGAAGACCTCCTCACCACGCTTGCGGCGGGCAGCACGCTCCTTCTTCTTCTTGCGAAGCTCAGATCCTGTGATAAAATGTTAGCAGTGTTCGTGGCGAGTAATAATAATGGAATCGACATACCAGTGAGCTTCTTCTTCTTCTCGACAACGATCTTGTTACCCATGGCATCAAACTTGTCCTCCTCATCATCACCCTTGGCATCAAGACGGGGACCGGAACCCTGACCCTGGACCCAGTTGTGGCGGGAGGGGGTCATGAGACCGTGGTTGACGGCCCAGACTTCCTCAGTCAGGTTCTCAGTGAACTCACGAGAGTGAGTAATGATGATAACACCACCCTCGAAGGACTTGATGGCCTTGGAGAGAGCACCAAGGGAGTCACGGTCGAGGTAGTTGGTGGGCTCGTCGAGAACGATGACGTGGGGACGCTGCCACGAGCAAGCGGCGAGAACAACCTTGACACGCTGACCACCAGAGAGACCGCGCATGCGGGAGTGAGAAACCAGCTCAGCATCGAGACCGAAGTTGGCGCAGTGCTGCTCAATCTCCTTACGGACAAGGGACGGAACTGACCGGAGGCAAGGGCCTCCTTCTGATCAACCTCAGCGACCTGCTTCTGGTGAGAGGCGATAATCTCGGAGCGGGGCAACCAGGTGTTCTCGTTGGACATCATGGGAATCCACTTCTCGGACTTCATGCCGATGTTCTCACCCAGAGACCAGGAGATCTCGTACTCGTAGGTGTTCTTGAACTTGCGGCGAGAGTGGATGCCAATGACACGACGGAAGGTACCATCGACCTTGTAGATCTTGTCCATGGCCTTCTCGTCCTCCTCGGTAACGATCTTGTTGGCGCGGTCCATGGTCTCACGGTCCTCACCAGTCTGGAAACGCCACTGGATGTACTCGGAGGGAGTAGAGTTCAAGTGGTTATCAATGTGAGCGAAAGCGTGCTGCTTAATGTAGGCGATACGGATGTTCTCGTGCTGGTAGACATCACCGGAGGTGGGGATAAGCTCACCAGTCAGGACGTTAACGAGAGTGGACTTTCCGGCACCGTTGGGACCGATAACGGCAATACGGGAGCCAAGAGAGACCTGGAAAGTGATGTCCTTGATCTGGGGCTTGGGAGTGCCTTCATACTGGAAAGACATGTTGTTGACACGAATGATGGCCTTGGACTTGGTCTTGACACCCTCGAGGAAACCGGGCTCGGGGAACTTGAACTCCATCTCGGAGGCACCGAGCTCGTAGTAGGAGCGAGCGGAGGGGACCCTCTTGACAAGTCGGAGAGGGTACCACGGTAACGCTTGAGCTTGAAGCGCTCGTAGTGGACAACGTGTTGAATGACGTGGTCAAGGAAGCGAGAGTCGTGGGAAACCATGATGGAAGTGCAAGGGGAGGACTTGAGGTAGTTCTCGAGCCACTCAACGTTCTTGACGTCCAAGTGGTTAGTAGGCTCATCGAGCAGCAGAATATCGGGGCTCTCGAAGACGGCACGGCACAGAGCGAGCTTCATCTTCCAACCACCAGACAGGGCACCGATGGAGCCATCGAGCTGAGACTCCTGGAAACCGAACTCGTTGACAAGCTTGTCACGGACCTCAGACTCAACAGGGTTGAGACCGACCTCCTGGAGCTTCTTGATGGTCCAGCCGCAGACAGTCAGCTCGGTATCGGCAGCGTCAAGGTCGTGCTCGACGTAGACGGTCTTAACCTCATCCTTCTTGGGGGAAGCCCTCAAGCTGCTCGTTGTTGATAGCGCGCATGAGGGTGGTCTTGCCGGAACCGTTGGGACCGAGAAGACCGTAACGCTGACCACGCTTCAGACGAAGGTGAGTCTGGTTGAGCAGGATCTTGGCACCGTAAGCGAGGGAGAAAGTACAGTTGCAAAGATCGACACCATCCTCCTCATCGGAGGGAACCTCATCAGCGGCAGCAGCCTCGGGGGGAGGCCCGCTTGCGGAGAGCCTCGGCAATGTTCTTGGCCTCAGCCTCACCGGCAATGGCGACGATGAAGGGAGAGCAGTTCTGGATCCAAGTGGTGTTGTCGGAGTCCTTCTCGTCGACGAGCTGACCGGCAATGGCACCAACGTAGTTGATGACAGCCTCGGACTTTTCGATGACGTCCTTGGAAACATTCTTCTCGGCAAGAATCTCCTTGAGAATGGCGGAGACAGTGGAGATGTCACCGGCGGTGGAGACCTCGGGGATCTTGCCATCGACGATGTTACCGACACGGGACAGGGTGTCGAGGGCCTGCTTGGTCTTCTCACGGGCCTCGGGATCGGCGAGGGTCTCGTTGTTCTTGTTCAGGGCGGGCAACATCTTAGGCAAGAAGGGAGCGACAATGTTGGGGTCCTCCACAAGCTTACACATGTTGTCGACGATGACAGCGGACTTACGCTTGATGGCAGTCTCACGCTCGACAAGACCACGGTCCAGAAGGGGAACCATGATAGCGAGGGTAGGGCCAGTCACGTCAGTAACGAAAGTGGTGGCACCGAGCAAGTGAACGGTCTCGGGGACGTTCTCGGGCTTGGCGATACACTTGATGAGCTCGGGAATGAAACGCTCAATATCCTTGTTGACAATGAGACCGCAGACCTTCTCCATGGTGGCGTAGGCGGCCTTCTTGATCTCGGACTTGGTGTCCCACATAGCCTCAGAGATGACGGGAATGAGGGCAGGCACCTGATAGGAGAGCTGAGCGGGGGCAGTCTCAATGAGAGCCTCCAGGCAGGTCAGGGCAGCCATCTTCTCCTGCCACTTCTGGGCAGTCTGGAGGGACTCCAGAATAGGGGGGGACAACGGCCTTGACGGCGTTGCCAGAGACAGCCTGAACGATGGCAGCGGCGGTGCTCTGGGCGGCCTCCTTGACGGGGGTCATCTTGTCACCGACCGCATTGAGGACGGGCAGAAGGAGGGACACAAGGTGGGGCTCAACACCAGGGGCGATGGTCTGGTGGGAGGCGATGGCGCGGATGCCCTCGAGGGCACGCTCGCGGGCAAGAGCATCCTTCTTGTTGCCGAGCTGCTTCTTGAAGGTCTCGACGGCCTTCAGGGGAAGAGTCTGCTCGGGAATGGGACCGCTGAAGAGAGTGGCGAGGTTGCTGGCGGCAGCGTTGACCTCATCAGCGGAGGTAGAGACGTTGAGGTTCTTGATGAGATCCTCGAGGACGGCGACCGACTGAGCGGTCTCCTTGCCGGAGGCGGCGGGGGTAGAAGCGACGGCGGCGGGCATGTTGTCGAACTTTTGGGGGGGGGAAAACAAAGATTAGAAAAGAGATTTTTCTATGGGTATCACTGGTATGAGCGTTGCCCAAACTGCGTCGGCTGTCCAAAGACGCAGCGCTCGTGTGTATTGAGCTGGTCTATTTCTGTCTATGCAGAAACAGAAAAACAGAAAAGAAAGAGAGGACCAGACCTCAAAAAGACAAAAGATGGGGGAGGAGAGGATGAGAGGAGGGGGGGGAGAGGGGGGGGGGCAGATATTTATCGGCTGTGTGGCCCCTCGCCGCCCAAAAACCCTGGGTACAAAATTTTTTTTTCCTTGAGCGGCGGGCGTCCCGCACTAGATCCGGATTCGGTTTAGAGGCACACTCTACTAGGCCCCGATTGGACATGCATGTGTGTTCTCCCGAATCTCTCGACGCTTATTGGTATGGAGTCCGTTGCTGGGAACAGAGATTGTCTTTGGCGGGTTCCCTGGCATTCACTGAAGATGCCATCCTCACTATGTGCTATGGCGGGCTTCACGCTTTAGCTCCCTAGGGCTGTCCGAGGCTGTCCGAGGGGGACCGATCTACCTGTATCTACCTCCATCATTTTTGTTTTTCCCATCTCCATAACAATATCTGTGACGACCTAAGTCTCTATTACAAGTACTTCGGCATTACCCCTCCAAGCATAGCAGATAGAGCATACCGTAGAACACAGCGCAGATTGCGTAGACTACAGACCGTGTCCCGAATTGAATCCGAGGCATGAAACCAGAAGATGAAGGTGCCAGTGAGTTCTCCCAGTTCGCCACTTTCATGATCGGGTGGCGCAGTCCTATCCTGGCCGTTGGATATCCAATCATGCATCCCACAGGTTTTCGTAAAGCCTAGCACCCGAACACACGATGTTTAGAGTGGAATCGGTATTATAAATCCTTTTTGTGGCCGTCTCTAAGATGAACCTATTGATAGCCTTGAATATGCCTGGCTTAGCCGTATACCCGATGCTTCTCCGTCATATTTTTTTTGCCTTTGCCTTTGCGTTCGCCCTTTTGTACTCGTAACATTATGTGTTGTCCAGCTGTAAGCTGACGAGTCAGCCCAGGCTTGAAGAATGAGAAATTAGGAAATAGAAAAGAATGGAAATTCTCGATCAAATCCTAAGACATTCAAAATCGAAATCCACGAAAAGGCATGAACATTCAGACCGGGATCTGCAGACCTTAATCGGCACGGACAATCCATCCGAATCAAAAATCTGATTTTTTTTTTCAGGGGTGCATAGATATGCCTCACATCATGACGAAGCCGAGCAGAATCACAGACTCGGTATCCAGGATTATAGCCCAGTCGAGTCAAGTGAAACGCCGAAGATGCTCACAGTACGTTTGATACTGCGCAACACCGCTCTTTTCCAAGCCCCTCGAGCCCCTCACCGCTCCCCCTTATAGCTTATCGCGGACTGCATTGGAATTTTTCACTTTGCATGTTACTATGTAACTAACAATGTAACTAGATATTCTTAGCACATCCTGAAAACTCTGTTTTGTTTTTGTTTTTTTTTTTTTTAGAAAAAAAAAGCCCCTGCCTCACTCCTGCAGGTCATCCTTATCCCTTATCCCCCGCGAAAGCCCGGGTGGCAAAAAAAAAATAAGAAGTGAACGCGGAACCGGCCAGTGGGTCTGGAGATCAAGGCAAATCAGCCCTTGCTGTTTTGGTGCGAGATGTCCAGAAACGGTGTTGCATTGTTAGCACTTCTCCCCGTCTTAAACCTTATACGGGGACTAAAATGAAAAGATTTTCGTGTTTCTATCGGGCTGTCCGTAGGTTCACTCCAAAAAGTATGATTCGTATTAGGTATCCGACTCACCCGACTTGAGGCGGAAATTTACTGCTGTGTGGCGTGTTTGCCACCAAACCCTGGGGAGAGGTCATTACGTCGATAGTCATGTTTAGGACTGAAGAGGGATTAATCGTGCGAGCCGATGTGTCTAGTGTAGTTCGAGAGACGGGGAACAGAGGGTGGATCCGCATGGCATCTGCCCCAGTTGTCTATTCTATGGGGCTGCAGGGCTGGGCTGGGCTGGCTTCGCCCCCCCCTTGGCTGCGAATCCGATCCTGGGGAAAAGGGGACCTCCTTGCTGAAGCTGAGTCTCCTTCCTTTTGTCTGGTTGCGAATCCGGGGTAGGATCCATTGCTCGCGTGGGTATTGTCTTTAGCCTAGATAGATGACGGCCTGGTTGGGCGGCACTTCAGCTTTCTGATTATGGCGCCCCGTTTCATTATCTGTTGGACTCTGAACACTGCCCCTTGTCCACCGGCTGTTGAGATTCTGGCTGCCCCTGTCAGTCATCAACTTTCGTCGAAGCGCTGCCCCTTTCTTTTGCCTGCCAGGCGCTCAGACCTGCGCTCTGATACATCGTTCACCGGTGCCCTGCGCAGTACCGACCTATCATCTCAAGACCCGAGAAAGAACGAAGTGAAAAGGGCGTCTTGATATTTCTTGGTCTTTGGTGAGCTCTGGGAGGATTCCAGAGACTAGTCGAACCAGAAAGTACAGGAGAAGACATGGTCCTGTGAATCGGGGCGAGGCCCAACCCCCGCGTGCACTTAGCAAAGCAGATGTGTCGCTCTTACACACCATGTAGTCGAGGTCTCATGCTTAACAACGAAGGATAAAGGTTGAAGGCAGAAAGAGGGAGAAAGGAAAAGTGTAGACCATTAGTATGTCAGGCGGGCCGGATCTATACCGATAAACAAAAAGCAAGTCAACCAAAATCCGCCCAGACCCGGCATCCAGAAATCTATGTCCAGATCGATAGAACACGAAAATCAAATAAACAGGGGCTGGTATATACACAACACCTCCGTCGCGCCCGCAGATCGAAGTCCGGAAGCAAGCTGTTGAGTATCTCAGTCTCAGCTCCCCGGCCATCGTTCTGGCGGAGGGTGGATCGGATACATGCTGGATGGCAGATACCCGATCGCAGGGATTGTCTTTTACAAGTAAAACGCTCAAACTCCATTCCCAGATGCACAACTCCAGTGCGTACAAAAGTCAATAACGTGATTAGTGGGTTCGGTCTTTTTCTCATGGCTTCTTCTTGACGTGACGGCTCCCTGATTCAGAGGGGAGCTCGTCGCCGTCGATGATGCGCCAGAGACGACGAGGGGAGAAGTTGTTGCCGACAAGATAAATACCGACGAACCAGGCCGAGAGGAGGTTGGCCAGATGGTGGAGCAGGTAGGCGTACGTCACGCCGTAGATGGCGGAGTACACGGCGATGGCAAAGAAGATGACGGAGGTGACGTGTTTGAACCTATTGATGTTAGCATGGAACAGAGAGGGACAGGAAATACAGAGAACATACCGATTCACGATCCGCGGGATCATCGCACCACTGGTCATCGTCTCGACGAGGAGGAGGAACGGCATGATAGACAGCACGTTGTGATGGGAGGAGAAGGGCATGAACCAGTGCACCACAAGGTTGTGGGCCCAAACCAGAAGCACCAGCACATTTATGGGCAGGATCCACAACATCAGGACGAGGATGGAATGCGCGTAGTTGCTGAAATTGATGTGCTGGGAGGACCTGGTCTCCTTTGCATGCCACTGTGCCCGCACAGTCGTGGCCAGCTGCACGATACAGGCAACCATGTAGGCAAACTGGTACGGGATAATCGTCGAGACAAGGATGAGCAGGACTGCGGTATGAATCACGCGTCGCCGAGGGGTAGGTGAACTGAAAATTGGGAGATTCCCTCGATCTTCACGCCGAATATAGCCTGACTTGCTGTTCACGGCTCCGTAAATAAGGGAGAAGATGTTGACGAGAAGAAGAGCGGCATAATTAACTAAGACGCAAACACCAACGCTGATAAGACCAAAGATCGGAATCAGGAACCAGAAGAATGCATCTTGTGATCCCAGGAGAAGATCATTCTTCGTAAAGTCAAGAGGAGTTTCAGTCGAATTTGTTCGCCAATGGAAAGGGTCATCGGACTGAGGGAGGGCTTTGGAGGTGGCGAGAGAAGATGCCAACAGCGACATGGCCACCAACAACAATGGGAGGAGGAGCGCAAGGCGCGATCGAGGCCATCGTTGAAGGGGATGAACGAACCAGTCTCGTCGTAGACTTGGAACTGCTTCCGGAGCACAAGAGCTACAACCAGCAGCGGAAAGGCTGCAAACACAGTGCGGTATCTCATCACCAACTCGCCGAGACTGCTAGTAAGATCAACTTGTAGGGAGATGTCGACTGTCGAGCCAGAGCTAGGATCAGTCCATAGTTGGAATGACACACCACCCTTAGCGGCCTGCTCACGCACCGGCATTGGCATATACGGTGCAATTCCGTGCAGGTTGACATTGACTTCGTCGACATTCACGAAGAATTTTGATTCATGAGGGTCAAGGATGGACTGTCGAAGCAGCGGAGCGAAAAGCTCCTCCTTTTGTGGGTGCCGAGTGATCTTGAGTCGGTAGTCAAGAAGACTAGAGTGCAATGCTGGGACTTGCACTTCAGTGAGCATGGGCATGTTGGCGGGGAGTCTCATCTTGAGACCTGCACCCAGCAAACTGCCAAGGCCAACCTTGGCCCGAATCATCGAATCTGAGCTGTCCGAAAACTCTGCGACCAAGAAGCCCGGTGTGGGTACATTGGCCTTGTCCACAACAGCCACAAACTGGTGCTCTGCAAGTCCCTCCAGATCATACTGAAGGTAGGAGAATGGCGGTACACGCTCCCACGCGTCCTTCGATGACGGGGTCGAAGCAGGAAGATGAATGACATCTTCCGCCGCACTCTTACAAGCCAGGCGGGTCGAGCCCACAGTACCTCCAGAGAAATCCAAATTCATGGAGAAGATGGCGGATCGGCCATTGTTAAGTGGGAACACGCTGCAGAATAACACTTCGATATTTCCCTGCTTATCCAAGGTTTGGTCTGTCAGGAGCGTAAATTTCTTGCCCGATACACCCTGAGGCGGAATCGGCAATAGTCGAACATCCGGGCCATGCTGCAAGCCCAGTTCGCGGAGGATAAGCCGCTGGCCCTGAGCAAGGATTGTGTTGGCATTGTCTTCAAGAGTTAATAGAGTGTTTGGCTCTTTCTGTGCCAACGTCCTTTCAGCGACGGCCTCTAATCCAGTCAAGTACCACCGCTTGAGTGATCGCATACGCTCAGCTCTTGGTTTCGTCTGAGTTGGACGCCGGGCGTCAATAATATCGAAGAGTGACTTGATAATCGCCTTCCGGAATTGATCACACCAGGTGATCGATAGATGATCCATGCCGATCCACACATCAGGGATAGAAGATGTGAAGACGGTAAATCCATGCGTCTCAGGCACGAGTGATGTGATACTGGTATAATCAGACGGAACCACGGTGTCGCGCGCACCGCCCGCAATTGAGATCAACGTCACATGCCACAATGGATTGTTGTTGGCCCACGTTTGTGAGTAAGCCTCACGCCAGTAGTCGTTAATTTGCTTGTAGGTATGGACGATATCGGAGTCAAACGACACTGGTGGTTTCGCGTGCGGGGCAGACATGGTGATAATCGTGTTGACCGAGTTGGCCTGATAGTTGGCCATGGTCAGGGCAGTGCGAGCCACAATTCCACCCATGGAATGACCGATCAGGATCACCGCGCTTGGGTCCGGTAACCCAGGATCTCGTCGAGTTCGTCGCGGGTCGTGATAAAGGGAGAGGATGTAGGAGATAGCTTCGTTCACATATTCCGCTTGATCCAATAACGTCTGCCCATGGAACGCGGCCATATCCTCGTTGAAATCCACCATGAAAAAGTCCAAGCTGCGCGTTCCAGCCGCATGGCGTTCATCGTCGTGTCGGACAATGTCGTAGTAATGTCGGGAGGCCTCCGCGGCCAGTGATCGGACCTGTCGGTAACTACCAGCGTTGCCAGGAAGAAAAAGTACCGGAACACCATTCAACTAATCCCAGTCAGCCAATGCATCGCTATTCGCTCTTCAGTGATATCCTACTCCGATGTTATCCTGCGTGTACGGATCCACGCCCTCCTCTCGGTACACGAAGAGATTGTACTTGCTCGCGAAGCGCGTATGCTCCGTGTCAAATTCGAGCATCCTAATAAATGTCGGACTCATCATTGGCACGCCGCATCCATCTCCGCCAATCTGCCTCGTAGCAAAAGAACGCACTGTCGATAATAAAAACGCGACGGCGGCAAATGTGGTGAACGCCGTGAGAACAGAGATTGACCAAGGACTGCGCAGACGAGACTGGCGCGCGCGACGGCCATCGGGCGAGGGAGCTTCCAGAGGAAGCCGGGGCGAGCCCAATGGCATAGTTTTGGTATCGTTGGATGGTTGGGACGACGGGTGCGCCAGAGACTGGAATTCCGCGAGCGTGGATTCGAGAAACCGTTATCGCGGCGAAGATCGAAACTGGTGCCGTGTCTGGCTATTTGCGACCGCGATTTATCGTTCGGCTCGATGGCTTGGCCATGGTCGTCTGGAGATCGAATTGGGGAATCTTCAGTGTCGTCCTCGACAGGGGAGCCTGAGGAGCGTCTGTGCATTGGAGGAGGCGGAGCCGGGTCTCATCCAGCACACAAGGATCTTGGCACAGGGCCACACAGGACCCAATAGGCGAGAACAGGAAGGGGAGAAGGGGAGGGTGGAAGGGGGGAATTCGATCGGAATGCAGAAGGTCAAAAGGTTCAAGGTTCCCAAGGAGAGTGGTTTCTCTTTGGGGTTTGGGCCGAGACTTGGCAAGGAAAAATAAGAAAAAGCTTCCTGAGACCCTGAACTTCCCATGGAGATACCAGGATCACCTTGATTATACGAAGCACTCTGAGCAAGAAGATTCAGAATGTGACTTAGAGGAATCAGGACTTTCGGTTCTTGATCACTTGAACTTCTAGACGGAAATGGTATTCTTGGTCTTGGCAATGAGCCGGTGTCACCCCATGTCTCTATCACCCGCTCGAGCCCGTGGACTGCCTGATCGGGAACAAGAGTGAGACAGCTCCTAGGGGCGTTAAACAAGTCTCTAAAGTGGATGGGTCTCAATTGCCGGTATCCATCTTCGTTTTGATTGTTCTGTTTCTTGCTAGTCTTGCCATGACCAACTTGCTAGCAGGCAACCATAAAAACTAAGGTACCTGCAGGACGCGTATGAGAGGCGGTAGCCCCAAATCAAGGCAAAGAATTAGCCAGAACGCTAGCGTCGTGGCGCAGGTCAGGCTAGCTTTCTATCATAGCAGGTTCAGGGCGAATGGCGTGACCGGCTTATACCAGTGTAGTTTTGGGCATACTTGGTGATGGTATACATCGGGGCTCAGGCATAATCCCGACACAATCTTCCCTGATAGCTTCTCCTTAATTAGCCTGATTACACACATCCACGCATAGGAATCGGCTCATATGTCGTGCACAGTGAGCCTTGAGTGCGGGGTTGGCCCCGGTCGCTCTACAAGGAAGCACTTCTTCCCTGTTCATGTGCGTTGCCAATTTTCGACCACAGTAAGAGTTGGAGATCTAGGTACTTATCATTCTGCATGGAAATCCTCTTTTCTATCACAAACGTGATGAAACCTTTCAACCTTCGGACTGGCAAGGTGCCAGGATGGCGCTTGTCGAATTAAGCAGATTCTGATCATTTTGTCTGTGCTTACAGCCTCAGTGGGTCAATTGCTTGGAACCACTGTTAATCGTTTCTTGGCCCACAGATCGTCTCTACTCGATACTTGGCAATGATCGTGGACTAAGTTGAAGCGAATCATTTCGTTGCAATTATAGCTTCTCATAGGGCGTGTACATATCATCCATTAAGCAACTGAGTATACAGCCATCACATCATCAGGGTATATCGACGTTATCAAAGATGAAATACGAGATTCACCAGCCTACTCCACCCTGGTGGCAGCTGCCTTCTCAGGGTCGCTATCGTGTCGCTCCATTCCACGGTGGGCGGCTACAACTTGCAGATCGGCATCGTGCTCAGCATCAAAATTACGACCAAGACGCTCGGGTCCGACAAGAGTCACCAGAATAGTGTAGGCAAAGACACAGCCCATGAAAATACAAATGACCTTGCCGTACTCGTAGCGGTGGGCTGCCTTCTCCGTGGCCGGGAGCGGGAAGCGCTCTCCGATCGTCGACTCGATGGTCGAACTGGCGGACGACACGAGATTACCAAGCTGGTAAGCTGTGCCAACAGCGAATGTGCGGATGGGACCGGGTGAGAGCTCCATCAGATGGATGGGAATCACACCCCATGCACCCTGCACCATGAATTGTTCAAAGAAAGCCGCTGCAATCACATTATGCGATGTGACGAAGGTATATGGGTAGAGAAGCGCGCCCCCGACGATGCTGATCACGATGATCGAGAACCGGCGACCGAAAATTTGACTCGCCCACCCGCACAGTGTACCACCGGTCAGCGCGCCCAAGTTCGCGACGACCTGCGTCACAGTCACCGCATTCTTGGAGAAACTGAATTGGTTCTGCAGCATCGTAGGGTAAAGATCTTGCGATCCATGAGACATGAAATTGAAACCGGCCATCAAAAGCACAAGGTAAATCAACAATAGCCAGTGACGCTTCAAAGCAACTTTTCCTTCGGATATGAAAGAAGCAGCCACACCGCCGCGAACCTCCTCACGCGTAGCTTGTCGACGGCGGAAAGTCTCCGTCTCCGGCAAACATAGACGGAAGGCGATGATCAGTACTGGAGGACAAGCAGCGAACCAGTATAGCGGGCGCCAGCCGTGGGGAGTAGTATCAACGAGACCGCGCGCAAACGCAGTAGCCAGCAAATATCCAAATGCATAACCCTGCTGCAGCAAACCAGAAACAATACCGCGAGCCTCAGAGGGACAGTCCTCGAGGGCTGTGGCAGCCGCATTACCGTAAAGACCACCCATAGCAATACCAAAGAGCGAACGACAAGCTAGGAATTGCTTATACGTCTGACAGAAGCCAGTACCCAGCTCTAGAACCACGAAGAGCAGTTGGTTGACCACAAAGGGCCACTTGCGACCCCATCGGTCGGATGCGATTCCAAAGATGATCGCACCAACAGACCGCAACATAAGAACCAGCGTGATGCCCCATGTAATATCTGTGACGGATTTATCGAAGCTCGTAGCTAGTTGAGTGGTCGTCAGAGAGACTGTGAAGAAGTCGAACGCATCCCATGTCCACCCAATAAACGCCACCTTCACTAAATTAGTATCACTTCTCTCAAGGTGTAAAAGACAAACCCAAGAAAACACACCGAGAAGAACAACCATTGCTGGCGGTTGAGTAGAGTTAGCGCTTTAAATGGATTCGGCGCCGGATTCATCGGCGGAACGAGCGTGGGTATGCGCGTGGCTATATAACGCCCAATGCTCATGTGCTCTTCGACGTCCGGCGAGGACACCTCGTGTTGAGACTTGTGGGTTTCAGCCATGTCGTTCACTCGGCGAGTTATTCTAGGGACCGAGAGGGCATGCCACTGGAAACTGGCGGGTGTTCGGGGGGGAAGGGGGAGAGAAAGAGAGAAAGAGAGAAAGAGAACGGGGGAACCGCGACTTCAAATAAATGTCCCCCGCTACCACAAGCTCTAGTCTTTGCCTAAGGCCTGTGAGCTAAACCCCGCTTTGCTGAGGTCCAAGGATGATACGCTTTGTTATTCGCTGCATGTGGTCGGTTCTGGGTTCGGGGCCTGGTACGAATAGGGCGCCGATCTTTGCACCTATTGGGGAATATGGCTTTTCCCTCCTGTTAGCCTAGACTTTTGGTACCATAGAAACCTGGACGTTACAGGGCTTACAGCTTCAGCCAAATATGGACAAGGCTTTCCTGTCAGGCACTTTATGCAGCGCTCCATTTCCCCACACCGAGTCGAAAAAGACCCGATGATTCAATCCAGATCCAGCGTCAGAACCAGATTGGCTCAACTCGCCGTCATTCCCGAATACCCCGAACTATCCAAATCCTTCGCCGATCCCAGCCTATTTTGACGTGGCTCTGGGTACACAGTTCCAGCCAAGACTATCACTCCGCATCCCCAGGTCCCTGGCCCGCGGCTCCACCGCGGTTCTGAAGCGCCACATCGGCCCATACTCGGATAGTCTCTGTCAACACCAATACGTGCATCGCCAAATTTACCCTTGTCTTCAAATTTGTCCTGCGCCAATTTTTCTTCTGCGTCCATGCAATGAGACGAGCTTTTTTGAATCCTGGGTTTCCCCGCGACCCTTTGCTCCGTACTACGGAGGAATGTGGGTCGCGGGCATATCCCATAATGCTGGGTAATTTGCCTTGCTCGGCCCATCGGTCTATGTCTGCCTCGGTCTCAGGCTTGAAAGAGGGTGCCAATTTAGCCTATTTCATGACAGTCGACACCGCAGTTTCCAAGTGAGAGTAGGGGTAGAAAAAGAGAGAGAGACGCCATGAGAACCCGACGATGTGTCGATTAGTAGCAGGGCAGGGGCTTCGCTCAGTTTCAACAAGCTCTATCAGAGAGCCATGGTTGACCGTTTACAACAAGAATTTGGGAAATCTTTCGAGGCACGCGATTCTGGGAGAATGAGATAGAGTCAACTACGTGGTCGGTGGCTTAAACACAGTTTCGGAAGTTGACCGATGCTTGTAGCTTGTGTGGTTAGTTTATGCGGGTGGCTTGATCGAGTGTGGTCGCGGGTAAGACTGGTCTGGCCGTTGAAGGTTTGCCCTATTGCGCGCCAAGATCCAAAATCCGGGCCCCGCGGTGAAGCACAGTTCGAGTATTGTCAAAGTAAGCGAAACCGCAATTGTGATTACTATCGAGTCGTATGCCGTACTCGTTCTCTGATCTTGGCAGTTACGTCGTGCGCCCCAGGGCGGCCCACCTCCGACACGATTCGAGGACGGGGCTTGTGTTTCTTGGCTTGCAGTGCCATGGATGCCGTAGAATTGGCACCGAAGCTTCTTCTAACTGTGAGCTGATTGCATACTTCACCGGGCTATCCCTTTGATGAGGCCACCATGCCGTCTTCAATTTTGTAGAATATGAGAAGGAATATCTATTGGGATTTTGGGTCCCTCGTAGATCGACAGCAGGCATCTTTACGAGCGAAGTATTCAGCTAGAAACTGCCACCGCCCGGTGTTTACCTGTACGACTGAGCCCTCGCAAGACCGGCGACAGATTTCTGGTCTAATCTGACTCCCTGTTATTACTCATTGACCCTGTACATCTCTCTGAATCTCAGCACATCATGTCAGATCATTCATTGAAAGTAACTGCATCGTTACGGCCGCGAAATTCCTGCCAAGTGGAGAATGGCATAGAGGGAATCAGCTCGAAAATCAGCGAAAGGGACCAGTGAATATGGATATCCATAATATCTGGGTTCAAACCAGCGAGCAAAAAAAGAACTTTACCGTCTGAACCTTGGGCTTTCCCGCCCCGGTCTAGTTGGAGGGGACATTCTACAGGGCAATAGGAAAATTTTAAGAATTAACGTTGGCGACTTCATTGATTCTCCTCAATCTTCTCCACCAAACAAGCAGTACCATACGCACAAATTTGCGAGCACGCCCCAAAACTAGCAACATCAAACCGCACCGCAATGATTGCATTCCCACCTCGACCCATACACTCACCCACCAGCCTCTCCATCGCTTCTTCCCGCGACGTATACATCAGATTAGTGAAAAATCGAATCTCGCCCCCGACAGCTGATCGCACGACAGCGCCTATGTCCGCGCCCCAATTCCGCGTTCGCACGGTGATGCCATAGATTGTCCCAAGGACGGACTTGATCTTGTAGCCAGGGAGCTCGTTCATGGTTGAAGTGATTACTCCATGGGTGTCGGTGAAACATGAGGGGACTTCTTTCTCTTTTTTGTTCGATGCCATGGCAAGGTTCGAAATGGGCTGCTTGGACTGGATGTCTTGCTTTGGATTAGTTGGGATGGACGAATGCGGGGACAGCATGGATATACTTGGTGGGAAATTGTTTAGGGCAGTGTTGACGGTATACAGACGTTTTCAGTATACGAGAAATGCAGTTCCAAGGCCAATATATGGAAACGCTCGAGCCTCGTATTCATGAGAGATCCCCATCTCGATGCCGTCATACCCGCGGGATTTTTGAAAAGGTTTCATAGGCCACAACAATCAGATCCCACAGTCTCTCTTGTTTTATCGCGAACCGAAGGCTATTTGAAGCTGATTTTCCGTTCATAATTTCTGAATCATCCATAAGCAATGTGTGGAGGTAAATGACTTCCACCCTGTGTCAAGTGGGGCCGCGACACTTTCCAATTTTATTGATTTGGTTCTTCTCTCTGATAGCCGCGCCATGATAGAGTCGAGGGAATGATTCCAGCCACAGTCCCAATAAGAACTGAATAGGAAACCATCGCGTTCTGCAGATGAGGCTGTGCTGGGCTGATCCACGGCATTTGCGGCCAAGAGGGGCGGGGCAATGCAGCACCGCCTCAGATTCGCGTCCAGGGTTTCGTCGTATTCTTTATTAAGGTGCCGCTCATTCTTATTGTTGTACATTCAGTCTTATTTCATTGATTATTTTTCTCTAAACTTTCCACCTCCTTCACGCTCTCCTCAACTCTTTAAATTATGTCCTATTACCCACCTAATCAACACGGTGGTGACTACGGTCAGAACTACAACCACCAAGGCCAGGGCTATCCTCCTCACCAACAACAAGGTTATCCGCATCAGCAAGGATACGGCTATCCGCCTCAGCAAGAACAAGGTTATCCGCCTCAGCAAGACATTGGCGTTCCGCCGCCGCAGGGTTATTACCCTCCCGAGGTAAGTTCATTCCTACCTGTCTCAGAATATCAGACAATGCGCTAGACAAAATGATACAATGGACCTCATGACCCCCAATCTCCAAGGAGGCGGCTGACAGATTATACAGCAGCAGCATGGATATGGCCAGGCCCCTGCTCCGTACGGCCAGCAGCAGGGATACCCTCCCGCCTATGAGCAGCACCAACAGGGCCAATACGCCGGCCCCGGCTATGGCGCCCAACAGATGCCCCCCCCAAGACCGCGGCCACACGCCTTACCCTCCCCAGCAACACCAGCAAGGTGGCGAGAGCGCTTCATTCTACGGTGGAGCTCCACCTCAGCAGCAAAGCTTCGCGCCCGGCCCCGGCGGTCCAGAGGGCGAGAAAGGTCTCGGATCGACGTTGCTCGGCGGCGCCGCTGGCGGTTTCGCGGGCCACAAGATGGGTGGTGGATTCCTAGGAAGCGCAGGTGGTGCAATTCTCGGAGCCGTTGGTATGAACATGGCCACGCATGCCATGTAAGTCTTCATTATCGGCTCTTTTGTCTTGGGCTATTCAACTAACGGTTCTATTTCCGCGGAATAGCAAGGACCAAAAGAAGAAGCACAAGAAGGAGAAGCATAAGAAGGATAAGCACCACAAGCGCCGTCGCTCACATTCTTCCAGTTCGAGTTCGAGTTCAAGCTCGAGTTCTTCGAGTGATAGTGACTAGATAACTTGTTTTTCATGACACAAGATGTGGTGGGCTAGTTCGATCGAGGGCTTGCTTATGATGGTGGCACATATTATATTGATACCCTGCTCTCCAATGCCCTCTGCTTGCTCGGATTTTGGGTCTTAATGAGGCCCAAGAATTGAGGGCTTCCCCTTTCTTTTATCCATTCGTTTTTCGTCTGTACATTCTTATCGTATTATTCCATCTTAACAAGAGATGAGATCACCAAACTACGGGATTCTGTGGAGAGAGTGGATCAACGTCAACTGGACCAGCCAGATGGGCCTAGATGTACTGTATTAAGTGCACAATCCAAAGGCTATTATACAGTTATAGTACACGGTGGAATGTTAAATGCAGTGCTCAAGCGTTAGAGCCACGAAGAGAGTCCCTGAACCTGCCGTCTTTGACAGCGTTCGGGGCTCTGATTGTGCTCAGATTTTCGGTTCACCAGGTGAATTCAGTCGAATTTCAGCCTTTTGCGGGTACTTTGCAGGAGTCTGCTTCTCGTAAGCAAAGATGTCGTCGGGTTCCACCTCTTCGGCCAAATTGAAGCTCAACTGCGGTAAAATTTTTGGAGAATCCCAGACAAAATTCCACCTCGAAGATATCGCATTCCACTGCATTCGTGGGACAAGGGCAGAGACACGTCGCCATTGACGGTGCATAAATCTCGCGGTGATCTTATGTGGCCGGCCATCGGCGTATTTGGCAAATGTCCAGCCTTTCTGCGGCCCGTCTGTCAAGAACTCCACAAGGTGGCCTTCTTGCGTGGCTGGAGGAGACGCCATCTTCCTTCGCTTTACCGGCGCCCACGGCAACGTACCTGAAATTAAGCCGTCCAAAATGGTCAATTCGTGATCCGGTAATGGTGGTAGTAAACAGTTCAATGTATCGGTATACCACTTCCTACGCATATTTATGCGGCGCGTAGGACTGAGAGTAGTCCCCCAGCTGTTGTGCTCGGGAATATTTGGCTGGAGGCTCTTCACGCTCGGCCGAACACTTTTAGTTGAAAGGTGGCCATTGTTCATTTGTGACTTCATAAGACTCATAATGATCGCTGGAGGTTCCCAGCCATCTTGATATATCGAGGGTCCATGGACCAATTTCTCCAGTGATTTGGCGTCGGTTGGGATATCATGGTCGAGTAAACGATTTAAAAATGTGTGACGTTGTTCTCCAATGCGCCCGTATGCAGAATGCAAGACTTTCTCCAGGGGGCTTTGATATCCTTCATTTGCTCTCCGAAGCAATGATAGGCCTTTTCTGGCCTTGCGAGCACGATCAGCTTCGGTGATATGCGATTTCTTTGCCTGCTTCTTTGCTTGTCGATATCGGTCGAGGACATAACCAGACGTGTAGGCCCGCGCGATGGGATCAGGGAGGTAGGTACATTCTCGAAGAGTTGCCCGTAGGACCTGAAGCCATTGTTCGCGCCCTCGAGGGTAAAGAGAGCCGGATATAGGAGCCGACGCCATTGAAGGAAGAGCATCACTCGAAACGGCAGAACGCGAAAACCTTGGCGGGAAGCGTGTCACGGGACGGCGACGCGCTCTTTTCGCTTCAGAACTCCAACCCCGCGACTTGCTCTGCCGTGCATTGCTTATCCGAGCCAAATCGGTTCCTGACACATTCCTTTATCGACTCTGGGCAAATACGTTGGATGGTCCTCACAGTGACCCGTTGCGCTTTCCCTTCCAGAAGGGTGTAGCCACGCGCCTCCTTTTGCTCGCGTCTTCCTGGCATCCGGTACTAACGCACCACCCTCATAATATGCTCTTTTTGCCGTACCTCGGTGCTGACTGGATTTGCAAGGGATTAGTATGTCCTACTCACAAAAAAGTAAAGGGTCAGCGCACGGTCTAGCATTTTTGAACGCTTCTCAATCCCTCTCTTCGACTCCTGGCGCAACTCCTCCACCCCGAAAGGATCGCAGATGTCTTCCTTCGGTATGTCGAACGGCATGTCAAGAAATAGCTTTGGTGGTTATGACGGAGGAAACGATTATGGATCACAGGGACCATATCAGAATCAGAGTGACACACCACAAATTTACCGCGTTCGTGGAACCTGTCCGATAATGGAAGGCTTTTTGCTGATAAACAATACTTAGGCGGTTTACTCCAATGTGTCGGTCTATGAGATGGAGACTCGAGGTGTCGCAGTTATGAAACGTCGATCCGATTCCTGGTTAAATGCGACTCAAATCCTGAAGGTGGCTGGGGTTGTCAAAGCCAGAAGAACGAAGACCCTGGAGAAAGAAATTGCCGCCGGGGAGCATGAGAAGGTCCAAGGGGGCTATGGAAAATACCAAGGAACGTGGGTCAATTACCAGAGAGGTGTCGATCTTTGTCGAGAATACCACGTTGAAGAAATCTTGCGACCCCTTCTGGAGTATGACATGGCCCCCGATGGATCTGGCGGCCCTTCTCAAGAAATACTCGACACACCCACGAAGGAACAAGCCATGGCTGCACAACGCAAGCGCCTTTACAGTGGCGCCGAGAATCGCAGCATATCTCAGCCCCAACAAGGGACGTTCTTCCAGAACATCTCGCGCGCCGCGGCAACTGCAGTGAATGCCATCAGCAAAGCTCGATTTGACTCTCCGGCTGCCAACAGTCGACGCCCAAGTGTGCCGCGCAAACCATCGCAACAAATGGCTAGCCAGAGCCAGGACTCCCAAATGACTTTCGGTAGTCAGAACAGCATGTACATGTCCGATAGCGGGTTCAGCAGTCTACAGAATCGCTTCCAGCAGGACGATCATGATGACTTTGCGGAACCCCCCCGCAAGCGTGTTCGTTCGTCATCGCATCAAGCTCCTTCAATTGGCTTCCACCGCGAGCCATCCAACCTCTCCATGCATGACCCTACTCCGACAGAGCCCAATGATTCCTTTTACCAGGACGTGGACTTGCCGCCCCCGCCAATGGATGATGGCCAGAAGCGCGGCCTCGAGCCAGTGCCTCCGGCTTCGGAGCCAGAGGGCTTCCAAAAGACCAAGCTTATTATGACTCTATTCCTTGACAAGCGAACCAAAGACTTCTCCAACCATCCCGCTCTATTGCAGCTGACTGGCGAAGATCTTGAAATCCCGCTTGACGAGTACCGAAATAATGCTCTTCATTGGGCTGCGATGCTTGCACGAATGCCGCTAGTTCATGCGCTTGTGGCCAAAGGAGCAAGCATATCTCGAGTCAACCTCGCTGGTGAGACTGCACTGCAGAAGGCAGTGGGAACCCGCAACAACTTAGACTACAGAAGTTTCCCCCGCTTGCTTCAGGTGCTTGCACCAACTATTGACATGGTCGATTACAGTGGTAGGACTATCTTGCACCACATCGCCGTCATGGCCGCAACGGGTGGCGGAGGCCATGTCTCTGCTAAACACTACCTGGAGTCACTCTTGGAGTTCATTGTCCGACATGGTGGTTTATCATCAGCTACCAATGGCGAACACACTCAAAATGGCACCTCCAGTACGGATTGCATCTCTCTCGGGCGGTTCATCTCAGAGATCGTCAATCTGCGTGATGATCAGGGTGATACAGCCTTGAATCTCGCTGGGCGTGCGCGCTCGGTCCTCGTTCCTCAGCTTTTGGAAGTTGGTGCTGACCCACACATTCCCAATCATACCGGTCTCCGACCTGCCGACTACGGAGTTGGCGTTGATATGGTAGACAACTCGCAGTCGCAGCAGAACGGGAGCCGTAATGATACTTTCATTGATCAGTTGGCGAAATCTAAGAAGGAGATACTCGATGGTAAGTTAATTCCCTGCTAAGAAATTACTTTATATGCTAAACATTATTTCAGCCGCTATGTCTCAAATCAGCACAATGGTTGAAGAGGCACTGGGTGGTATCGATCGGGAGTTGGCATCAAGCCTGACCCAAAAACAGGAGAAGTTCGATCATTGGCATTCAAAAATCCGCGAGTCTGCCAAGGCTCGTCAGATCGAGCAGAAGCAGCTGGATTCATTGAAGCTACAAGCTTCAGACCGAGTGAAGTCGACCGACGGATCAAGAATCTCGAGCGGTCTTCAGAAAGTTTGATCAGTACATTAAAGGGTACCCAAGGATTTGATATCTCCCGACTCGCCGTTGTCGGCGACGCAGACCAAAATTCCGGCGTGGATATCACTGCATTCGATGCCCTATTCCCTAGTACCTATGAACCCGCCTCAGGGTTCTCTCCTCAACAAATCGCGTTCTTGGCAGCATTATCCCCGCCAGACGTACTTCAGCATCGGCTTCAATGCTATCAAAATTTCAATGCTGGTATCACTGCAGAAGTTGATGCCCTCAAGGCGAAAAATGCCGTTCTAGGCCAAAATTACCGGCGAATGGTGATGGCATGCACGGGATGGACCGCGGAACAAGTGGACGAGGCAGCAGAAGGCTTGACACAATGTGTCAAGGAGTTGAATGAGAACCCCGTACCGGAAGACGAGGCCATTGAGATTCTGATGCGGGATCGTGGGCAGGACTGGTAATTCTTGACTTCTTCATCCTCTGAGCGTTTGTGGAACGGCGTTGTATTTCTCATTTGTATTATACGAATACCCGGGTGGCCTTACCTGATGTTTATTGCCATGTGTTGTATTTATGAACAGACACATCTCTGTACACCTGCTGTGTGGTTCGTGGCTTTTTCTGGTGCTAGTACAGGCTAAATGCCATGGTGAAATTAGCCGGTCCTACGCTTTCAGGTGGCTCTATGCACTCGACCAGACCAGTTCAATACTTTGCCAAGGCAATTGTACCTATTCCCCGCGTTTGGTCCTTGTTCTTTTCTTTGGAGCCGGGGAACCTATTTATACCCCGTGAGCAACCCCGGGACCATCATTCCAGCGATATCTTCCGCCTTGCACCAAGATCGACAGATCTATAATCTCGCAACCATGGCCACTGGTATTCTACGCGTCAAAGCAGACACAGTTGTCGACGAGAAAAATGATCGTGTCATTCTTCGGGGAACAGCTCTTGGAGGATGGATGAAGTAAGCGGAGTGATTCAAGTTCAATCATGTTTTGCCATGCTGACAGCCACAGCATGGAGAACTTCATCACGGGTTTCCCCGGTCACGAATCTCAGCACCGAGCTGCTATGCGCAGGGTCCTTGGACCGCAAAAATACGAATTCTTCTTCGATAAATGGTTGGAGAACTTCTTCACAGAGGCAGACGCGAAGTTCTTTGCGAGTCTGGGCCTCAACTGTCTGCGACTACCGTTCAACTACCGTCACTTTGAGGATGATATGAACCCACGCGTACTGAAGGAGACGGGTTTCAAGCATCTGGACCGGGTCATTGATCTGGTTCGTTTCGTTTCTCTGGGCCGATCGTCTTTGCTAATGATTGACAGTGTGCTGCACATGGCATCTATACGATCTTGGACATGCATGCCGTGCCCGGAGGTCAGAATCCGGACTGGCACTCGGATAATCCGACCAGCTATGCCGCCTTCTGGGATTACAAGGATCATCAGGACCGGACTGTATGGCTCTGGGAGCAGATTGCTGCGCGATACAAGCACAATCCCTGGGTTGCTGGGTACAATCCACTTAATGAACCCTGCGATCCGGAACACGTCCGCCTTCCAGCCTTCTATACCCGTATCGAAAAAGCTATTCGCGCAATTGACTCGGATCATATCTTGTGGCTCGATGGGAATACCTTTGCGATGGAGTGGAAAGGATTCGAGAAAGTCTTATCAAATTGCGTATACGCCATGCACGACTATGCAGTAGGTCCATCTTGATCCAAGAGCTCTGCATATCTTTGACTCTCTAATTCTCTTTAATTAGTCGATGGGATTCCCTACTGGAGATAGGTATACAGGCACGCCGGAACAAAAGCAGCATCTCGAGCGGTCGTATCTTCGAAAAGCGCAATTCATGAGCGAAAAGGGTACGCCGGTGTGGAATGGCGAGTTCGGACCCGTCTACGCTGATCCGGCCATTGATACGGATGCTGCGACGGTTAACCAAGAGCGATACAATCTCCTAGGCGAACAACTTCGCATCTACGACAAATACAAAATCCACTGGTCGATTTGGGTGTACAAGGACATTGGTTTACAGGGTATGATTTATACTGACCCAGAAAGTCGATGGAACAAAACGATCCAACCGTTCCTGAACAAGAAGAGGGACTTCTGGCTTGATAAATGGGGGCGTCGTCCTGCTGCTGAGCCGGAAGCTGCACTCAAGCCTCTAGTTGATTGGATTGATTCTGCCAGCCCCACGGCTAAGGATACTTACCCCACATCATGGAATACGGAGATGCATGTCATGCGTAACGTCTTTAATACCTTTTTGGCTGCTTCGTTTGTGGACGAATTTGCGGGTTTTTTTGAAGGCATGGATGAGACGGAGCTGGAGGAGCTGGCGAAGAGCTTTCATTTTGACAAGTGTGTGCAGCGCGACGGCTTGAATGAGATTCTGAAGGCGCATGCACATTTGACTCAATAGACTTCGATCAAGGTCGTGAGGATTCGAACGCATTACAAATCTAGTGTCTACGAGAAATAGAGGGGTAGTAAACGGACGTGGCAATAATATTCACTTCGGGAACAAACTGCATGGGAAACAATAATCGCACGCACGATTCACTATCCACACACTATCGATAAGCAGAAAAACCGAAAAAGATCGCGGGGTTTCGCGCACTTTTGACGTTCAAGGACTCGAGGTTTTGGCGAGGAACGGTTCGACAAGCACTGTCGACATGGCCGACCCTTCCATCCCTGAAACGCTGAACAGCGTCTTTGATGCTCCCCTCAAGGACCGATATGACCCTGTCCGCTTGATCTCCAAGAGCATCGTCCCCATCTTCGAACTGCCCTGGCCAAGAGAGTCCTGGGCCACGATTCCGACAGCGAGGCCATCGCAAAGATCGCCAGTGCCGATACTTCATATACCACCTTTGTCGCCGAGAACGCTCGCGCCATCCTTGAATCGCCGGGCGACGGCTTGACTGTCAAGCAAACACAATCGCAAATCCTGCACATTGGTCTGGCAGCATTGTTCAGTTTCCTGCAGTCAAACGTCACTGGACCTCCGCTGGTTTTCAGCTCAGCGGAGACTGTGCTTCCGACTGCTCTCCGAAGCGATGTCAAGGTCCTCGGTGCTGTGCGGGCGAAGGTCATTCGTGATCTCACCGTTGATGGTGAGGCCGCCTACAAGCTCACACCCAACTCGGAACTTTTCTCAGTCGCCAAGGCTCTGCTTGTTGATGCAAGCACCGACGACTCGGTTGTTGCGAAGACGGCTAGAATGCGTGTCAACTTCCTTCACCAGAAGATGCTCTCCGAAGTCACAAGCACATTGCAGGATTCCATCTACAAGGACGTGGAAGCTTTGAACAAGGCGGATTTGACTCCTGATGAAAAAGGGCGTTTCTTATTGGAGCGCGCAATTATCAACACCCACCACGGATTTGATGTGAAGGCACGAGCGGATCTCGATCAGGCATGCCAGGTCCGGAATTTTGAATTTGCTTTGACGGGTCAGATGGGTAAGCGCACGAAGTTCCAGGAGCGCGATACTAGTCAATTGGTAGTTCTGGCCAAGAGTGCGGACGAAACTCCCAAGTCCGCAGATGCTTCGGGTCCTAAGAACGTGGATCTCGACGATGATACCCTGCTTGAAGCAATCTCTTTCACCGAGAGCAAAGCTACAAATGTCCAAGACGAACTTTCTCCCACCCTGCAGTCGATCGACCCTAATGACCAGCCTATTCTTAACCCCGTGGATTCGGCCATCTTGCTAGCGATGGCATCCGCTATTACCAATACTGCGCCTGAGAACGGTCTGACGCGGGAGGAGACACAACCATACGCCACTCGAGTTCTCGAGGGTGGCAGCTCAAACTGGCAAATTTATACACAGGCTTTGTTAGTACGTAGTCGTGTGGAGGGCTTCCGATCGCGAACTGTCGAGAGATCTGTGTTGCAAATGCAGGCCCTCGTTGATCAGGTCATTGCGGACACAGCGACAGATGACACCGCTGCACAGCAGCCTTCAGCTGAGCCCACTACTTTCTTACCTCGCCCCGAGAAATCCGAGTCTGCCTCCGCCTCTGATCGATTGGAATATATCTGGCTCATGAACTTCTCGACTCGGTGGAACCTCGAGTCCGAGCTGGCCAAGCGCTGGGTCGAGCTGGGCGGTCTCCGTACCGCGCTTGAAATTTACGAAAGACTTCACATGTGGGCTGAGGCTGCTCTGTGCTACGCCGCAACTGAGAATGAAGCCAAAGCTAAAAGCATTGTGCGCCGCCAACTTTACGAAGCGACAGGCCCGGACGAAGATGACGAGAATGAGCAATTTGATGGCCCCGAGCGGTCACCTGCAGCTTTGCCAGCAGATGCGCCACGCCTGTTCTGCATCTTGGGAGATATCGAGAAAAACGAGAAGATGTATGAACGCGCCTGGGAAATCTCAGGGAACCGATATGCTCGCGCCCAACGCTCTCTCGCCCGTCATTACCTTGCTCTCACACCACCTGATCTGCTGCAGGCCGAAGATGCCTACCGCAAGAGTCTAACCATCAGCCGTCTCAACCACAGCGCTTGGTTCGCTCTTGGCTGTGTCCAACTTGAGCTTGAGCACTGGAAAGACTCCACCGATTCTTTCACTCGCTGCGTGCAACTAGATGACACCGATGGCGAGGCATGGAGTAATCTAGCAGCCTCTATGCTACGTTCATCCGCGCCAGATTCCACCCCGGACGTAGAAGTCGACGAAAATAACCCAGACGTCGACCCCCACAAGCGCAAGCGTGAAGCCCTATCCGCCCTCCTCCGCGCCGCGCAACTTAAGCACAGCAACGCCCGCATCTGGGATAATGTGCTCACAGTCGCCGCTTCGATTCCCTCGCCCTCGACACCCTTCCGCGACGTGATCACAGCTCAGAAGCGGATCATCGAACTTCTTGGCGCGAAGAAGGGCGAGAAGTGCGTTGACGGTCCTATTCTCGCTATGCTTGTCGACTTCCTCTGCACAGCCTTCGACTACAATTCCCTCTTCGTCGAGTCCGACTCTGGCCGCGTTATTCGCTCGGGTACTATTCCCGGTCAGATCCTCTCCCTAATTGACGACCACGTTGTCCCTCTGATCACGCACTCCGCTGCACTGTGGCTCGTCGTCTCGCGAGTCGAGGTATTCCGACAACGGCCTGCTGCTGCTCTGGAGGCGCATGAGAAATCTTGGCGAGCGACTGTCGCGAATAATGCCCAGGGCGCGTTCCAAATGGGTGATGAGAAGCCTTGGTTAGAAATTGTTCGCTCTACCGAGAAACTTGTGCGCGAGGGATATGCCAAGTTCGGCCCCATGGATCGTGAGAACCAGCAAGTCGATGGAGATAAGGAGCTTGAGCTGGTCGCTAGTGACTGGCGCTTCAAGGCCCGGAGTGCCGTCCGCGGAATCCTCGGCAAGGGCAAGGATTTCTGGGAAGATTCCGTGGGATGGACTCGTCTGAAGACACTTCAGAGTGAAGTCACTGGTAACTAGAGCAGTATACATATAAAATAAACCGATTATGGCATTTTATGACCTCTGAATTTCTTTGCATTTGTTGCAAGTATGTGATTCTGATTGGACAAGGTCCTTGGTGTTCAGCATGCACCATTTTATGCCTGCATCTTCCTCTTCAGCATCCCGCAAAAGCTCTCAAATAATACGCTATCCGTTCCCTGGATCCAGCGTATCAAGACTTGTACTTGCCCTTGTGTTTCGGGAGTGTTTCTATGGCCGAGTGTCAACTGAACACGGACTCCAAGCGCTGCCTCCGCTGGGACAGTCTTTATATCTATGCCTTCCTGTCCAGAAAGCTTCATCTTACGACGTGCTTGTCGAGACCAGACATTCTCCGAGGTGTATCCCACTCCAGCGCTGAGAATCTTGTCCCAGTCCCAGTACCATGGTAGCGAGTCCAGCTCGCTGTTTAAAGTAGCGCTAGCAGTGTCGACGGATGTCTTTGGCGGAAGAGTGAAGGTATAATCACTCGGAAAGGGAAGAAGGTGCTTTGGGAATCCCGGAATACCCCGGGCGACGCTCTGAAAGAAAAGATAAGTCTCGATTCCTAGGTGAGGATGAGAAAACGCACCATCTTCGGGTGTAGTACATCCCACGACCAAGCAAGAGCCCACCGCTTCGTCTTACCTGCACAAGCTCTGCGACGGCATAGTTGTGATTATTGTTTTTTGTCAAGGTCTCGACAAGGGCCGCAACGCTGCTCAGTTTCCCCAGCATGGATGTGTACCACTGTACTCGGGTGCGTAGTTGCATGCTTTCTTCGATCATGCGTGTCACGAAAGCTACCTCGCCTCCTGATGTGACCATTTCCACGTCTGCGCCTGTGCACGTCTGCGGAATGTCAGTTTTCTTTGATTTTAGGAACTCGAGAAAGATAGGTACCTGCGATGGTTTCTCGGATTTGGCTTCTGCCGATTGTATCATTTCTTTTTGGGATGCGTAGAATGGTGGATTGCACATTGTGAAATCGGTTCTGGACTCAAGTTGAACAAATGATCCAAAGACCGATAGGCTGGACAAAGACTGACCTCTTCAGATCAAACTTGTCGAGAGGGAATAAAGGGCCTCGGGGGTCAGTTCTCACGATGCGAATTCGTGAGTCGAGTTCGTTGAGCTTCACATTATGTTCAGCCGTGCGGGCGTTTTTCTCATCGATTTCTGACAAAAAATCAGCACTAGGACTAAATTCTTTCCAATTTTTTTGAGATTGTACCTGTCGCAAGGAACCTCCATCGAGGTCGAATTCTGCATCCTAGCAAAGGGTAGATGCTGCAACACCCAGTTCCACTAAAATCATGAATCATTGTTCTATTTTCCAAAAGGGGGAACAACAATCATACACATCAAGACCGATTACTTCTCGGTCAGGATCGTATCCTTCTTTGATCGTGCCTGCTGTTGAATCCAGAAGGTCTTGCAACCAGAGGATGTAGTTCAGTCTAAACTGTTAGCATGTGAAGTAAATTGCAAGGGGCTTTTCGCACCTGTTAGGGACCTTCAATGCCTGTCAGTAATCTGTTCCAAGTAAATAGCAAGTATTGAGCATACCGGTGGACATAATCGATCTTCAGGCAATTCAACGTTCAAACGAAAGTCTTGTTTCAGCAAAGTGATGGTCAACGCTCTGTGATATCATCAGGTTGGGCTTGAGTCAAAGTACTATATTTATCTTACCTCACGGATGCTGGATCGTTGAAGTCCAACTGACCATTTGATTTGAGACTAAAGAATTATCAGTTTCCAAATCTACGTCAGATTTAGAGTACTCACTGCTTCGCGAACTCTGGCGACTGTAACGAAAGGGCAGCAAAGTCGACCCCATTCCTGTAAAGACTCCGTGCAGTTTCCATTGTTGATTGATTTTGAGAGCAAAGCTGATTCCAAAGACGTTTGACGTGATCTCTTGGATGTTGACAAAGTGAAGATCGACGGGAAGGTAGATCCCGTAAACTACGGCAGCGCAGTCACATGATTCTTCAGGCCCTGAGTCCATGTATTCAAAAGCTAGAGCAAAAGCCAACATGACGTCTATGTACAGCGCGAAAAAGTGATAAAAGATAAACCGCCAAGTATAAAAAGTAGAAGCGAAATAAAAAATGTGCCGAGAAAAATCGCCAAGTTCAAGTCATAAAGTCGTCAAGGGCTTTATGTCCCATGTATACTCCAAAAATGCCCTTTAATACCCTCATCATCCTATTGAAGGGGAAGATCATGTGTATGAATGATGAAATGCTGCTTCAAAATCACTTTTTATCCGCGTCTCCGCTTACGCGGACTGCGACTGCTCTTTGCGTTTGAGTCGCTCTGTTCGCTCCATGCGCCATCCGGCACCCCAGCGCATCTCGACCATGAGAAGAGGGACCATGACGAGAGTGATGCCTGCAAGGAGAAGGAATGTATACTCGGCTGTGATGGCGTCGATAATGGGTTGGACGGCTGCAACACCGGCGGCTCCGATCTCGCAGCGCATCAGGTTGTTGACTGCCGTCGCGCTGGCACTAGCGCCGGGGTACAAGTCGATCACCAAAGCGCTATTGATTGTGAAGATGGCGGTGGCGCAGTAGGCGATGATGTATTGGAGGATGACTGGGACGGCAAGGTGGGTATCTAAGGAGAAACCATAGAGGGCGGTGCACACAATGAACACGGCTGTGATCCACCAGGTGTTGCGCATACGAGCGTACTCGATGGGGAAGTCGGGGTGAGATTTGGAGGAGATACGAGTTTCAAGGGGTATGTTGTTGCGCATGCAGTATTCGCGTTCAGTGCGTCTGTGATTGTAGTCCATCAGATAGCCGATGGAGTAGGATCCAGACATGCAGCCGAAGCCGTTGCCTAGGAAGGTCAGGCCGACTTCTAGAGAGTTGAGTCCATAGCGGGTCTCAAAAAGATCGGATGTGGAGGAGGTCACCATCGACCAGACAGTGTACACAATGGCGCCGAAGAACAAGGTGATGAAGACATCCTTTTCGACGAGGAAGCCAAGAGGGGCAAAGACAGTCTTCCAAGTCACCTTCTTCTTTGTAATAGTGGGAATTGAGTCTTCTTGGGCCTCTTTTTGACCGGTAATACAGTAGATCCATGGCTTGTAAAACCCGTGCAATGGGACAGTGCCATTGCCAGCGACGGTTCGGAGGGTTTCGGGTAGGAAGATCAGAATAGAAATCAGACTGAAGCCGGACAGGATGGTCAGGAACCAGAAAATGGATCTATAGCCCAGGTATTGAGACAGCATTCCACCAAACACGGGATCAATACCCTGGCCAAGCATGCGTACTTTCATTTCCGTCAGTATGATTAAGTCAGATCGAGAGTATAAGGACTTACCTCCGCCAAAAATGCCCACTAAACTTCCTCGTTCGGCTGATGTGGTGATGTCACCAATCACGCCAGCACCTGTGCCGGTCAGTAAATGCCTCAAGGGAGTCAATGGTCAGGGCGGGTGCATACCGATTGAAATAGTTGCCGAGCTACCAGCCGCTTGTAGCGCACGGAAAGCCATAAGCTCTCCATAGTTTGTGGATACGGCCAGCGCAATATTGGCAATTATATAGACAAGGAAAGTACCAATGAAAATACCGCGACGGCCAATAGTGTCGGAGAAAGAGCCCCAGAAACTAGGAGCAAGCCCTTGAACAATCATGTATATTGTAACAGTCAATGTGGTAAGTGACATGGAGACACCCAAGTCCTATTTTGTGGTCAGTTGACCCGGCGTGCAAGAGACATGGTCAAGTCAGTATAAATGTTGACTCACCTTTGAGATGACACCCAACGCGGGGAAGTAGATATTAGAGGATAGCGGAGAAAAGATGGCTGCAAGCGAGACAATGCACACCATCTGCAATTTTCGGGATCGAGTGAAGACATGGTAGGGTGGTGGCTTTGGGATTTGGCTTTCGAGGTTGATAGAGGAGGCAGAAGATGGTGTCGCGAGGTCCTTTTCATCTGTTGGTGAAAGGCTAGGGCTGGAATCGCAAGATCTCTCGGTGACTGCGGCAACCTTGAGAGACCCTGGGGATGTAATTTGGGACATGATGAAGCAAAATATCTAAGATATTGAACTAAAAGTGCATAAATGGACAGCCCCGAAAGATATAGACAAGAAATGGAAGCTTAAGCTTAAGCCAGCTGTCCTAGACAAAACTTTCGAGCTCTGATTGTTGGATTCTTGGAATTGATCGGGCCCTTTTGTAGTCCGACGTTAGGCCCCTGATAGCACCGATCCCAAATATCAAAACGGACCCATGCATCTGAGGAGAGTCAGGGCCATGTGCTCCACTGTGGATTTCAGCCAAGGGACCACTCCTCCCCCGTCCCCTTAGCAGTAGTCTGTGGCAAGGATCGGACAAAGACGGTAAGACGGGTGTCGCTCACAGGGCGATAGATGGATCCCGACCTGCGGCATAGAAATTCTAGGCTGAATGCCTACCCATCCAATTGTTTCACAAACTCCGGCCATTCTGGGAACTAGCTTACGCATTGCTCCAAGCCCCAATTACTGAGATCTCTGGCGTTCATCTCAACGGTATCACACTGTTATTGTTCTTTAATCAGCTATACTGGGATGTACTGCAGGAATGGCCCGAGGACCTGACAGGTTTCGTAGTTTCTCAAATGCCATTACCCGTTATGGACGCAGCAGATTCCTCGTAGGGCAAGCACACGCGTTCCCACGTATCGCCAATTAAATCATGTATGATCTACATAGCATGTGCACTACGCAATCAAGTTTCTCAGAAAGCTTTACGAAACAGAAACGCCTAGGTTCTTTTGGAGTTGAATGTTGTCTGGTTCGGGCACTTTCCTTTCTTCTCCCAGGGATCGCGATACTTTGCAAACTTGAGACTGCATGATTAAAGCGTCGCAAAAGATGGAAGACCCAATCAACAGACATGAAGCCAAGGCTTGGCAAGTGATGGCATTTGCACATGGCGAAGCAGCCACCGACGACAGGGTTGTCACCCTTCCGAGCAAGTTGATCCCGAGCTGTCAAGCAAATGCCAAGCTTCATCATCCTCAATGGCGGTGCCGCGGAAAGAATTTGTGTCTCAGGGGAAATAAACATGTCTGTTGCGCCAGCTCATTACGTAGACACTCCCCTGAGTAGGGAGTAGGGAGTATCTTGGCGGTTTGTTTTGTTTAGGGGAAAGTTGCCCTTGCTTGGGCACACAGATCCAGAACCCAATCGGGAGGCAGGAAAGGGGGACTAGGAATTGCTAGTCCAATGATGATACATTCTAGGGCCCGATAAGCGTGCGAAGATGTACCCGCAAGCTAATGTGACCAATGCATCTGGATTAATATCGAGTTTAGACATTATAGGGTGGAGCTGGAAGGGGACTGGAATGTGTCTTTACCAGCTCAGGCCAAAGTTCACGCTAGGCAGCTATGATCGACACAATCGAACGGCCGCTGTGAAGACCAAGCGCAATGGTGCCAATCTTCGGCTGCCGATCATGACCCGCCGGCTTCGTACTGAGCCCCTTCTGCCTTCTCTCAGCACCCGAGGCTCCCGCGGAGGTTTCGTTGGGCTAGTCCTCTCTACTTTAGCGGCCGCTGCTGCATCTTGGTCCTGTAGTCCCTCGGAACTATAATCTCCACCCATGGGCCTTGGAACAATGAGTCTGTACCACAGCACTCATCACGAAACACAAGAAAGTGATCGCTGGGGTCCATTGATCGGACAGCGAGGCTCGGCCGGCCTGCTTTGTTCTCCCCATCTTCGATTGTCTTCTGTAATTACCTTGAGCTGGCAGGACAGGGTGGGGCTGCATCTGGCTTACTCTTGGCTAACCAATGTCTGTTATCTCGCCGTATCTTTACTTTCAGCCGAAAGCACGTCTTCACCGACCATGACCAGGGTCCTCTCCGGCGTCCAGGGTGCTTGGCTATCGCTCCCATAGCGTCGGAGGATTCGAAGGATCGACTCGGGTAGTCGAGTGCAACCCCCTCTTCTTCACTGCATACTGATAGCCTCTTTGCACCGGCTTCAATGTCGGCAACCATACTTAAAACCCAATCATCTCCATTTGTAATCGTCATTCGGTCCGGAACTTCCCTTGGCGGGGTTACAGTGTTGGCTGAGATGCATGAAAACGTTTTTAGGATTTGCTAATGTTCGCTTGAACCACCGTCACACATGGTCATAGTTGACTCTATGAATGCCTGGAAAGGAAAATTACCCTGCACATGTTCTCGAAGGATCCACTGATGCTCAGCGGGTCTATGAAAGGTGGATGCCCTCGCACAAATGGGGCTTTGCCTACGTTGTTTTTCGCAACTCATCCGGTTGTATTCCCATTCATGGCAGTCCATGGGGTTCACATATCATCTCAGTCCGAGTCTATGGTTCAATCTCATGCGATTGAACTCTGTTACCGTGTACTTGCCTGCGAAAAAGGTATAATTCCGATTCCATTATTCACAATCATGCTCAACCTCCAGAAGAGCTGCAGTCGTCGACGGTGAGACTGACAATTTGACTTGCACAAACTGCAGCTCTTAATTTCTCCGAGGCAAATAGCTCTTCCTTTATCTATCAGCCGTCAGTTAGTCAGAAAACACTCTGGCGCGTGAATGATCTGCCCTGAACACTTTCTCTGATTCTAGCTTTGGTGTCTCGGCTGCATATTCAAGGAGTTGGGGGGTATGACCTAGCATTAGGCATTGGGCATCACTATTTCAAAACGACCTGTCAGTACTTTAAGTCATGGTGGATCTTAGCGAACGGATGGTCTTGAACTCTTGATGACTTGGGATCTTCAAAGCAAAACCGTCCCCATAATTGAATCAACTTGGCTATACCTACTCTATGTCAAGTCTTAATGAGAGAGAGAGAGAGAAGCACGGAGGGGGGGGAAAGAAAAAGAGAAAAACAAAAATAAGAGCAAAATATCGACGATTAGACATGATGTCGACCCCTAAATGGTTTGTTTCATTGTTTCAAAGACGCACTGGCCAGGCGCTTTGCAGATCTAGTACGGCTTGCACAGCCCCCCCTTGGGTCGGAACGCGATGATCGAGATTTTGACGTTCTCAATCCCCTTGGAGCTCATGCAGCGTAGGGGCAGCGAGAAACAAAAACTCCGAGCGGCAACGGGGAATGTCAAGAAGAACACTCGCAAAGGCAATCCCTAGCATGCCTCCTTCACATGGTGTACGTGTCCCTAAAATCCCCAGTCGCCGATCTCGATTTATTTTGCTCATGCGAGGCACCTAAGCATGCTCGCATATTGCTTAGATGAGGACAGTAAGGAAAGACGGTACGTTACTTATCCAGGCGGGGGAAAGTCATCAACTCAAAATTCAGTATTAGCACCACAGGGTCTTGGCACAGGCGACTGATACAACGGAGTATAACCAGAAAGTGAAGGAACTCTTCCAACCAGTGGATCCTGCAGCGTCGCGGAACCGTTTCCGCAAATCTCAGACTTCTTGGCCGGAGACCCCGTAAGGTCGTCGGAGGGCCTCTGATCGTTCTCAATGCCACACGAGGGTGGACCGGACGATGGTGTGATTCGGACCATTATTTCCAGTGCGATCAATGGATCAAGCATGGATAAGATTCACATTACCGCATGGCCCAGCAGGACTCCTGAAAATCCTCTGATCAGCATTCGAAATCGATGGAACCCTTATATTCAACATGTGCCTATCAGCTCCCCATTTCCAAAAACGGAGCTCTGGGACCCTGTGGAGTCGAGTACACAATAACGGCCCTCGCCAAGCAGCCAAGCAGCCAAGGACCCGGGCTGGACTTCAGTGACGCACCCGGTTCTAGCCCAACGAAATGAACCAGTTTCGCCCACCGGGTTAGATTATCTGAGAGCAGCTGAAGGTCCACAAGTACCTGATATCAAGGAATCTTATCTAATCGGTAGAATCAGACCGACCTTAATGCTGAAGACTAATGCAGGATGATAAATGCAGCCGAATCTCAGCACTTGGCGATGCATCGGGCTCCGTCAAGATGCCTCTTCGATAAACCCGACCACCTACCTACCTTTTCCGCCAGCACGCGATACTGTATGCGCTTGCAACATCGTGGGTCCATCGCGATGTTCCACGCATACAGACGAAGTCTATCCTGAACTCTTTCCAAGATTTTGTTGGTTCCTGTGCTCCCGAACCCCAGAACACCATAGCTGCCCGTGTCATCGGAAGCAGCACCGGGATGAAATCCCGCGACACAACATTCTTATGAACAGAGTGGAAGATTTTGCGATTCGGCAAGTGGAGGCGATGTACAACATGCATGTCCGGACCGAGAATCCCTGGCGCCGAGAAAGTCCAGGGACCCAATCGACTGCGACCGTGAAGAACGCGACCGATCGGCGTTCGTAGCACGATAATTCCTCGGAACAGTATATGCCAAGCCTCTCGATGTACAAATTACTTGTTGTCAGCCCAAATGAGAACCTCGTAGGAACGCACATGAAACCGCTGCCATGGCTGGTGGCGCTGGATGTGGCTGCAATATATAGCGGGAGGTGCTCTAGTGGTTGCTTGGCAAGATGGGAACGTTTTCTGGATAATCGCATGCCCGCTTGATGCCCAGCAGACTGTCTGGAGGGGGCTAATTGAAAAAGTCTATAATCGCAACTGCGCGATACTCAGTAGATTTCCGTGAGTACTGGCTGTCTTGGCTTCAATGAGGAGGTTTAGTAAGTGCAGGAGAACAAACCAATGACATGTTCTTAATCATCTATATTCTCCTATCACAGTGGATTCACTTGGATATCGTCAATTGACTCAATTGATAAACAGTTCATGAGTAGTATCTACACAGTTCGTCATACACTCAATTGGTGATTCTTTGCGATGGGATTAAACTTTTGAGAACATCTGCTAGCTCAATGTCATGATGCATGGTGGTGAACTGCCCGGAAAATATATTCCGCTACGGCCTTCAGCGATAAATGAACAGTACTGGAAACCACCGAGATCACTCTTTCCTCTCTGTCTGAGCCTTCACTGCTTGTCTCATTACCGACTAGTCGTTCGATCATAAGACAAGAATTCAACCCAAGATTTCTATCGCACACGGTACTTGGAAAGAAGCAATATACCTCTCGACCAAAGCCGATCCTAGTTGGCAAAGATGTCACACTTGCAGTACTACAGCTACGAAGGCCTCGGCCAAAAGCAGAAACGTGACTTCTGGTACAGCCAAGCCGTCCGCATTGGCGACCGCATCGAATGCGCCGGTCAAGGTAAACTCTACATCACCATCGCTGGACCATTTACAGTATAGGTCACTGACATGTTCGCAGGCGGCTGGGACCCTACGACTGGAGTGTTCCATCAAGATATCAATGCCCAAATCGACCAAGCCTTTGCCAATGTCGAATTGAACCTGAAGGATGCCGGTGGCAAGGGCTGGGAGCAAGTGTTCCGGGTGAACTCATACCACGTCCCGATCAATGATGAGGCTCTCGCCGCAATGGTGCGCAATTTCAAGCGCTACATGCCGAATCACCAGCCTATCTGGACATGTGTTGGAGTGCCACGGCTTGGGGAGGAGGATATGAAGGTAGAAATTGAAGTGGTGGCCCATGATCCTTGAGTGGGATTGGGGTATATGGCATGTATTCGTGAATGAGCCGCTAGAAGCTAGGTATATGGATAAGTCCTGGCACAGGACCAAATAAAAAAAAGCATTCTTCAATATGTGCAAGATGAACTCTAACGGCCTCTGCCGCCTCTTCCTCTTCCTCCACGGCCACCACGACCTCCACGGCCTCCTCGAGATGATCGTCCTCTTGAGCTTTGCATTTTGTGCAAATCGTCTTTGCTCAAACTCAACGTACCCCCGGAGAATTTTCCAATGGATGATCCGCCAATGCCACGATCCCGTCGGCCATTGTTGGACGGTTTGGTGACTTTGGCAGGTTTTTCGAGGATAATGCCGTTCTCCTTCGCCTCTCGTCGTCGCTTCTCGTCCTTGGATGCAGCCTTGGCATTGATTCCTCGCCGGTGGGCATCGGGCATTTTTTGTTTGTACAAGGAGTCCTTGGCGCCCAGAGATTGCATGCGAAGGTCCAGAGCTTTGAGGCGATTCTTGCCCGTGGGTGCCAGGTCTGAGGACGACTCGAGTAGGTGAGATTCTCGGAGTAGTCGCTGCAATGCGAGATCGTGTTTCAGGTTATCAGCGTCTTTCTCGTCATCGGATTCGTCTTTCTGATCTGCCTTTGCGTTTGATTTTGTCGTCTTGCTTTCTAAAGATGGTGGTTTCGCGCTCTGTGAGATATACACGTCAACATCAAGACTTAAAGGAGTTGCAGAAGTTTACTCACCATGAAAGCTTTGTATGCTTGCTTGTCCAATCTGTCATTTGTAGCTCGGGTGTCCGTGTGTTCTACCACTTCCACAATATCCTCGTCGGTTTCGCCGTCCGAGACCCCGTCCCACTGCTCGTCCATCTCTGATGCCTCACTCTCATCATCTTCCTCCATTTCCTCCTCAGCTTTGGACTTGGTAGTAGAGGGTTTATCCGGCAAATCCAGAGGCGCAAACTGTGCCTCAAAGTACTTGCGAAAGACGTCTTGCGCATCGTCCGCCGGAGGTGGCGAGGGACTGGCTTTGACTGTTTTCTTAGATCGCGACACGACGGCCGTGTCTCTCTTGCGCTTGCCGACCATGCTGGGTGCCATTTCTCAAATTTCACTCGCAAAATTGCCGTTTCCTTACCGCGCGACCTGCCCCGAAGGTTTTTTTTTCGACCGAGCTCCAGATCACGTGCGATAACACCGATAAGCCCCTCGACATAGCGGCGCGACTCATTCGGCTTCCAGTCTCCCAATTGACACGAAAAATGACTAAATTCCGGCCTTGTATAGACCTCCACTCGGGCAAGTCAAGCAGATTGTGGGTGGCACTCTCAGCAGCGTTGCCGCAGATCTGAAGACCAACTACGTCTCCAAGTTCCCCGCGAGCCACTATGCGGGACTCTATCAAAAGAACGACCTACGTGGGGGGGCATGTTGTGAAACTTGGACCGGGAAATGACGAAGCCGCCCAAGAAGCCTTGCGAACATGGCCCGGTGGCTTGCAAGTGGCTGGGGGAATTACCGATCAAAATGCGCAATATTGGATCGACCAGGGCGCCGAGAAGGTGAGCTCCCTACCATGCGATCAATTCCTGCTTTGGCACCATTATTTGCCCAACAGACCTGTATAATCCTGATCTGGATTTATCCGTCATACTGTCCAACAATGACGCTGATGCAATTCCTGTGGAACGCGGGACACTAGGTGATCATCACTTCATTCCTCTTTCCGTCAGGCAAATTCTCCCTTGAACGGCTCGAGTCAGTCCTCGCGGCTCTTGGTGGCGATAAGTCCAAGCTGGTTTTAGACTTGAGTTGCCGCAGAAAAGATAACACATGGTTTGTGGCAATGGACCGCTGGCAAACTATTACAGAGATGGAGATCAATCAAGGTTTGTCTTACTTGAGATGATGCAGGGCCTTGGTCAATAACACTTGGCAGAATCCATTGCTCTTTTGGAGCCTTACTGCTCCGAATTCTTGATTCACGCTGCCGACGTGGAAGGCCTGCAGCAGGGTGTGGACGAGGAGTTGGTGTCAAAACTGGCCGAGTGGTGCACCATCCCCATTACGTATGCTGGTGGAGCTCGCCATCTTCAAGATCTGGAAAAGGTGCACACTAGCAGCAAGGGCAAAGTCGATCTGACTATTGGCAGCGCTCTAGATATCTTCGGTGGCTCTGGAGTGACGTTTGACGAATGCGTTGAGTGGAATAAGTCTCATTAAGGATGAGACTGGACTGGACTGGATATCCCATCAATACTATCGCAACGATAAAAATGATCATATAAATAGACAGAAGTCAGATCAAGAACCCAGTCCATATTTTGATTTTCGATATTCTATAGAGCCGGCGAAGTTCCAAGGCCGAGACATGTCGTTGGCTGGCGCATGACCGAAAGCGGCTTAGGCGCTGGATGTGAGCTCCGCCCGCCAACCTCCGTGTCTTCCTCGCTTCTCATCGTCTGCGATCTCCCCGCGTCTTTGGGTGTCCTTGTGTTTCAATCTACGAAGTCTGAGTATTCTCAGCGCCTCCTCCTCCATTGTCATTTCTATCTCGAATCGATTCTCGCTCCCGACCGCCAGGATGAAGCCCATAGTGTCGGCATTGAATGCCTGGTCCTGGTAGGCTCTACCACCCGAGAAGGCCTGGTCGCTCAGGCTGCATGATCTAACCTATATTCCTTGACAGTGTCGTTATCTCAGTCTTCGCTATTGTCATTCTCTCCGTCCTTGGAACACTCTTTGGCGTACGTTTGCCCGCTCCCAGTCCGCTTCATCAGCACAATGCGCCCCATCGCATTGCTCAGTTGGATCTTCAAGAGGAGGAGACGCTAACGATTTATTTCCTTCCTCAGAGTAATAATCACGCCTATACTGGCTCAGAAGGAGAACCCGAGGATGGTCCTGCAGTTGCTGCCTCCATCTACATCGCGGTGCTCGTCTACGCTGTATGTCACCATCCAACACACCGAATGCCACTCACTCAGGAGAAGCGGACCACTGCTGACAACACCGTTTTCCAAACAATAGGGTTTCTTCGTCTTCTGCGGTTTCCAGGCCTACCTTCACATAGTAGACCGCAGGGGCGGTGCCATATCACTCCGCTAAACCAATCCAAAAATCTACAACTTTATCTTATTCGGTGTCTTCAACGGTCGTTAAGTCGATTTGCAATCATTGGGTCTTACGTTTTTTCGGTCTATCTTCGGTGAACATGAATGCCAGGGTCTGAGAGGGCGGGAAAGATACAGATCCAATCTTGAAACGGATTGACAGTTCCAACCTATCCGGACATCTCACCATGCTTTACAAACTGCTTTGTCAATTTGGGGTGGACTCGGAGTCCGTCGGTATCTCGAGCCAGGAATGCAGTCTCTATCCATGGATGGCCTCGGAGCTGGTATCCCGGTCTCCCCTTTGCTAGAGCACACATTACCTTCTTGCACGATATGTACATAGACCGCTCGGAATTATGGCCGACTATGCCTTTTTTTTTTTATGTACGATTCTATCATCCACGGATGGCCTTTCGCTCAACTCGAGACCGAGTATAGACATTTCATCATTGTTCGTTATTGAAAAGCCCCATTTTTGTAGTCCAACGCCTATGCATGCAAATAATCAAAACCACGGGTATATTTTTGGTTCACTCTTCATCTGCGTACGGGTCCAGCATCTTGGACATGTAGGGTCCGTCCAGAGTATACCCGAGGCGCGCGTAGTAGCTGCGCACTCCAACACCTGAAATCACGCTGATTTTAGTACTTCCGTGCTCTTCGCGCGCAATGCGCTCTGCCTCCTCCATCAGAAGTGTACCGAAACCTCGGTGCTGGAACTTGCGAGCATCACGGCCGTGAAGCGGCACCGCAGATCCGTAGACGTGGAGCTCGCGGACAATACTGGTCTGCTGGCCGGTGAACTCGGGGCGGAAAGTGTGAGTATCGCTGCACTTGCGCAGACGGAGCAGACCAATGAGGATATCCTGCTTCGGGTCTTCGTATGCTAGGAAGGTCTCCCAACCGCCGTTGGCGGTGTAGTCACGGCGGATTAGCTCGACTTGCGAAGGGCGAATCTTGTTCTTCACTTCGTTGATACCGACTTCTCGGGTGCGGACGTCGCGACAAGTGGTTCCAAAGTCCTTCATACGAGCCAAGGCCAGCTCGCGCAGATTGCCGTTTTCAACGCCGGAGGTGACGAGGGGCATCGGGATATCACGCTGGACACGGTAGATACGGGTCCACGGGGGGGATCAGTGCCAAGATACGAGCGACGAGGTCGACGAGGGCGTTGGGGGGTGTAATTCTTATAGCGGCCGGTTCGCCACAGCTCGTAGAGCCCTGTGCCTCGAATGACAAGGGTGGGATAAATCTTCAGACCGTCGGTACGGAAATCAGGGTTCTCAAAGTATTCTTGGAATTGGAACAGATCACGCTCCATGCCCACGTTCGGCAAATCGGGCATCATATGGCTGACAACCTTGAAACCGGCGTCCTTGGCGAGTTTGAAGGTCTCGGCCACGGCCTTGACGGTGTGGCCACGGTTGGTGTCGCGGGCCACGTCCTCGTACAGACTTTGCACACCGATCTCCAGACGCGTGCATCCATACCGAAGCATGCTGTCCAGGTGTTGGTCCAAACAGTAATCCGGCCGTGTCTCGATTGTGATACCGACGCATTTGACGTTGCTCATTTCACCAGCCTGAACGGCTTCGTCCACGTTGTCCGTCTGGTATCCACTCAGCGCGTTGTGCAGTTGGGAAATGAATTGGTCCCGATAATCCTCAGGCAATGACATGAAAGTTCCACCCATAATGATGTATTCGACCTTGTCTACACTGTGACCCAGTGACTTGATCTGATCCACACGTCCTCGCGCCTGCTCGAACGGATCGTAGCGAGCGCGAATCGCGCGCATCGATGTCGGTTCGTATCCAGTATAAGATTGCGTCGAGTACTCGAAATCAGAGTCAGGGCCGCCAGGACAGTAGACACAGATATTTCCGGTATATGCGATATGAGGGCAACGGTGGGGTTTGCACATCACGGCTACGACGGCGATACCAGAGGAGGTTCCTGTACAACGAGTTAGCTCGGCGTCCAAACAGCTCCATATAGCCTTGACATACGGATCGGCTTCGCAATCAACTTTGGTAGAATGTATTTCTTGTAGTGTTCGGGCACAGCAGCAATGATGGCTGTCAGTGGCGGCAGGGTCGCCAAACTGTGCTTCTTCGAAACTTTGCCCCGCAGCTGGTTCAAGTTGATGTCCTTCCGGGGCTGCGAAGGATCCTTTTGAGACTCCCAGTCCTGAATGAGCGCATTCGCAATATCGGAGCAGGCCCGTAGATACCGCTCATTCTCTGGCAGCTGCTTGGAGTTCTTCTTGGCCGACTTTGACGGCATCGTCACGGTCATGGTAGCCATGGCGAAAAAAATCACCGCACGGTGGCGGTAAGAGATCACAAAGATCACAAATACAGATAGAGGACAGAAGCTCTGAAGACGTAGTGGGGTTGAGGCGATTAGATAGAAAAATGTTGGTGGCCGAGGTTTGCGACCCGAACTCAACTCGGATCCGCTTAAGTAAAAGGATTTGTTCCCGAACGAAAACTCCCGGGCGCGCATCCCGATTCCCTTGCTCCAACTCCATCCCCGAGTCAATCTCATTTCACCCTCTCCTCTCCTCTCTCCTCCATATCGCAGTCATGCAGGCCTTCCGCCGTAACACCTTCTCGGCCGTCCGCAATGTCGCTGGCAAGCGCTCGGTGACCTCTAAGGCCAACTCGCCTTATGCCGAGACCGTGAACAACCTGCGGATCAACAAGGATACCCGTGTTCTGTTCCAGGGTTTCACCGGAAAGCAGGGAACGTAAGTCATCTTGACGTGCAATCCGCTCGATTCCATGCAGCGCAAATTGCTGACGTGTAGCTCTTGACCAGTTTCCACGCCGAGCAGGCTATCGCCTACGGTACCTATTCTCTCATCGCGATCGCAAAAGGACACCAACTCACAAACAGCAGGCACTAATGTCGTTGGTGGTACCAACCCCAAGAAGGCTGGTCAGATGCATCTTGACCTCCCCGTCTTCGCCAACGTCTCCGAGGCCCGCAAGGAGACCGGTGCTACTGCTTCCGCTATCTTCGTCCCGTATGGCTTCGCTGTTTCAGAATTCCTCATGTTGAAAGAAGACAAAGCTAATGTGGATTAGTCCCCCTCTTGCTGCCGCCGGTATCGAGGAGGCCATTGCCGCTGAGATGCCCCTGGTTGTTTGGTTGGTGTCCCTATCTCTAGAGCTACACTCCCTAAAAAAAGGGTTCGACTAACATGTGGTTCGCGTCATAGTATCACTGAGGGTATTCCCCAGCACGGTACGAGCTAATCCATCCCCTTCGCGTCAAACAAAAGTTAATGAAGCGTTTATAGACATGGTCCGCATCACCGACATGCTGAAGACCCAGAACAAGACCCGTCTTGTTGGCCCGAACTGCCCCGGCATCATCGCCCCCGTAAGTGACAAAACTCAGTGATTGCGCAACGGCATATACTCATGTTTCTCGCTTTTATAGGGTCAATGCAAGATCGGTATCATGCCCGGCTTCATTCACAAGCGCGGCCGCGTTGGTATCGTCTCCCGCTCCGGTACCCTCACCTACGAAGCCGTCAACCAGACCACCCAGGCTGGCCTCGGTCAGTCCCTTGTTGTCGGTATTGGTGGTGACCCCTTCTCCGGTACCAACTTCATCGATTGCCTGAAGATCTTCCTTGAGGACCCCGAGACCGACGGTATCATCATGATCGGTGAGATCGGTGGTTCCGCCGAGGAGGACGCCGCCGAGTTCTTCAAGGCCAACAACATCCACAACAAGCCCGCCGTTTCCTTCATTGCCGGTATCTCCGCTCCTCCCGGCCGCCGCATGGGCCACGCTGGTGCCATCGTCAGCGGTGGTAAGGGTGGTGCCGACTCCAAGATCGCCGCTCTCCAGGATGCTGGTGTCATTGTCGAGCGCAGCCCTGCCTCCTCGGCAAGGCTCTGCTTGCTGAATTCGTCAAGCGTGACCTTGTCTAAAGGGAAGCAACTGTTTTCTTGAAGTTTCATGCTCCTTGGTGACCTGGTTCTTTGGTTCTGAGATATATCCACTGTCTATCAGATGGTGATCGCGGTTCATCTACTTATGCCGCTCCTGTATTCTTTTTCTCCTTTGTGTTAGAGACCCTTGAAGTAATCAGTTTCGTGTAACTTTTACTTTAATTCAATGTCCATTGCGTAGAGTAATCTTCGGTCTTGTTTACTCCATGGCTAGTCCTTCATGATTGCTTTTACTCCAATATCACACTATTTCCGTATTCTCGACCCCTAAACCGCTTACATCCACTTTATGCATCTGCCCGTCTCTTTTGATGTTCGTTCCAAAGTAGCTAGCCGGTCATGACGTACTAAGAACGTGCTTTCAAATTTGATAGCAGCGGTGAACTTCGAAATGATAGAGCCATTATATTTTGAGAATAAACCAGATTATTGTCTGTTCCGGGACCCAGTTCACCGACCTGTAAGTTCCGAAATGTGTATAGCTTGTAAACACAACTATCAACCCTCAGTGGCATCAGATAGAGTAGCTCTTCTCCTATTAATCTAACCCAAGGTCTTTCCCTAGACGTTTAATCTATCGCAAATCTCCTTTGTCACAGTGCATATTGCCAAGGCGCGAGGTAGTGAAAACCGATCAACCCTCCTGTCCACAAGTACATACTTCAACTAGAATCATGTCTACAAGTCAATGAGCCACCTTCCGCAAAGCCTTCACAACCTCCTCAGTCCCAAGGACATCCGCAAACTCGCCATCAAGACTAGCAACCGAAACCTTGTGAACCGTCTCCGCATCAATACCGCCCTTTTCAAAAGTCGCCGTGGCATCCGACACAAGCACAATCCTCCCCTTATCAACCTTCACATCCTTTTCATGCGTCCCATCAGCATATATCTTGACAGGTCCATCTCCAACTACTCGATCCACGACTCCCAAATTCGCCGCCATCCGAGTCGTTGTAGAAACGCAATGATCAGTAGTCAACCCCGCAATAATCAACTGCCGGATCCCTTGCTCCCGTAGATGCTCTTCGAGCTTCGTGCCAATGAATGAAGAGTTGACGCTCTTCCAAAATACGGGCTCTGACCCATCTGATGCCGGGACGGCGAAGTCTAAAGGACGGATTCCCTGTGTTGGGTGAAGTGGATGCAGTGGGGATCCTGGTGTGACTGAGGAGTGGAACACATGGATGATTTCTAGTGATTGCTTGGAGCTTGAGCGCGCGGCTCGAAATGCGGTGATGAGAGCTCGAATGTTCACCTCGTAGAGTGGATTGGAGCGTGATGTACCCCAGTGGGATACTGTTTCTGAGTGGCAGAAGGCGGATTGGTTGTCAATTAGGAGGAGAGCCGTAGGGCGGTTCAAGTCGAGGGAAGGTGACATTTTCGATTAATGGTTGGAGGATAGAGATCGGCGGGGGTTGAAGAAGCCGTTTTGAGGTTTGAGGTTGTTTGAGGGAATCATAAGCCTTCTAATGATTCCAATGGGGGCCGCTTCGGATGAGTCACCTTGTTGCTCACGAATTGTTCTAATGATGGCGTCTATCAGCCCATCAAAATGGGTCAAATACTACTCTGTTGGGGTAGTCCTGATTACGAACGATTGTCCAATGGTAAAGGATAACAACAATTGGTCGTGGTGATTTCTTACAATGACGTCACCGCAGCAGTGCGCTTTCTATAGATGGCCGAGATAGTTTCACAGTTCAAGCCATTTAATGTTTGCGATGCAGAGATAATCCAACTCCGGTCATACATTCATACCAATTCATTAAAACTCCTTATCTTCCAAACTTTTGATCCCGTTTTCCAAGTCGGGCACCTTGTGCTTCCCAATACCAAGTCTCTTCCTCCACTTGGTCTCCTTCTTAAGTCTCGCTCTATGTCGCCGCCTCGGCGCATAGTTGATAGGAGATTCACCTCCAATAAAGATAAACGTATCGTACAGACCACCTCCAGTAAGGCAGCCAGTGATGGTAGCCACCCAGCAGCCCCAAAACCACCATCCGTGATGGTCAGTGAAAGTTTCCCCCCCATAGCCAGCCATAAGGGCAACAAGTCGAGGTCCAAAGTCTCGCACGGGATTCAAGCATCTAGAACAGTCAGTACTTCAATTTATTTGAAAGTCAATCGAACAGGCAGAAACATACCCTCCAGTGTTGAATCCTAAGCAAATGCAAAGAACGTAGATAACGAGGCCGATCACAAATGAGTGCATACCGGCACCAGGGGGAGCGTTGCTGTCATCACCCATGGCAAAGATCACACAAAGTAAGACCACATCGGCGACATATTCAGTGAAAAACGCAGTGGCGGGGCTGACATGACTTAGTGGTTCGGTGTAGAATCCAAGTCCGGATGAACCTGGCGATGCATTCGGTGCTAGGTTCACGATCGAATCTCGATACAAACAGTACGTCAGACCCGCGGCAGTGATTGCGCCCAGCATCTGGGCAATGATATAGTAGCAGCATCGTCGACCTGGGAAACCACGAAATATCCAGAGCGTGATGGAGATTCCTGGGTTTAAGTGCGCACCAGAAATACCACCAGCGAGGTAAATACCGATCATGAATCCGAGGCCCCAGGACCAGTTCTCCGAGAGACGGCTCCCCGCTTGAGTTCCTCCAGTCGAGACCGCGAGGGTGCCGCATAGCCCGATGAGGACGGCGACAGCGGTCTAATATTCTCGTTAGTATGATGTATGGGGGTATGTGTATGTCAGATTGAAGATCTTACCGCAAGAAATTCTGCAAAGGGCTCCTTCATCTTGTGTCTGATTTTGACCCACTGATTCAAAAATTCTTCTTGTGATTCTTCCTCCATTGGTTGCTTTGAGCCCTGGGATACATTTCCTTGACCCTGGCTTGCTTCTGATTCCATCGGACGGAGAAGGCCATCGGGCTGCGGGGCATAGATGGTATTCTGTTTCGCACCACCCTGCTGCGCTGTTGATGAATAGGTCTGTCCCTGCCTGTACCATCACCCGCCTGCGGTGATGATAACCCGGGCGTTGCACCCAGCTCTGGAGCAGGAGCAGATTCACCTGGAGGCGCGGATTGTTGAGCATCTTTTTGACTCTTGTTGTCTCGACGCATACCAGGTCGGACAACGCGAGGAAGAGGCTTAGCCAGGCCCCAAACTGGCTTCTCATTTTCGTGTCCGTATTTGGGGTTACGTTGTCGGTATTCCGGCTCCACGTAGACATTGCCTTGGTGTGATGTTTGAGGATTAGACGATGCCATGTTGTTTCCCGCTAGGGAGTGAGATGGCCATTGATTGACTTGCTGTTGACTCCATGATCTATTCGCTAGTGAAGGGGGTTGGTGTCCATAGTAGACGCTGCCGGATTCGGTCGGTTGGCGAGCCACCGAAGGACGCGAGAAAGGCGATGGTGGTTGTTCAGTTCGAGGTGTGGAAGGGAAGCCGTATTGAGATTTCTGTTGATGTTGCTGTTCTAATGCGAGCTGCTGTTTTGATGGCCCGGGTGTCTGGGGCTCGTCGTCAATTTGCTTCACAGGTGATGTGGCCAATGTCTCTGTCGATGCTGATGAATTGGGACTGCTGTCTCGTTCTTCAATAGGTTGCAATTGAGGTCCAGGTGGTGACCTGAGAGGCTCTTCATGGTTTTGTTCCCCCATAATCAAGCACGCTAAAAAGCAGAGTGACAAAAAAGTAAAATACTAGCACGAGCAAAACGATCGCTCTAAGAAATGGGAGAGATCTCCCTTTTGAGGTGATGGACCTATATAGGATCCATTGACTGATGTGACACGCTGGTATGTCTGCCCGGAGCTCGGGGGGCAAATTGCAAGATTCTGTTCAATTGATCGACCAAACATATGTAGTATTGACGTCTTCGGCTCCGAATTTTACTGTTTAACTATGGGGCGACTTTCAGGATTTGGTTAGATCGGAGTGGAATAGGTTTAGCCGGGGGAAAACACTCTCATCTTAGCTCTCAAGTGACATCAGCTTAAGGTACAGTAGAAAAGTCATCCATGTCAATCATCTTCTTTCCAATAGCAAACGCTGATTTAGACGGCATATCGGGCCCCCAAGCCGACCTGCCACGTCAAAGCCTGGAGAGGCAAGGTTAGAACCACAGGTTTTCAGCCCGAGAACGGTTCGGGCGACACCTGGTTTCATTTGCCCGTTCAACCGGTGTTCTTCCCGCCAATTACGGCCTCGGAATCGATCTGGCCCACTACCCGCGAATGAGCATTTAACGTTGTCCCACTCGGCCAAAGACTTGCTTCTTCGCCGCTTCTCTGCTGTTCCATGAAATCAGTGCCTGAACTAGCTTGACCATCTATTATGTCATTCTCTAAATTGTTTATATCAACGCTGAGTCGGTATCGCTCGCGGAGCCTCCTGCACTTTCCCCGCTTAAGTTCACGCCACCGTCAAACTCATCAGATTAAACTTCTTCCCTAGCTGTGATCGCCACATCCTACTGCCAAATGGAAGATACATCCGCAATAGACAGTTGGACATTGTCGGTACTTCCGTTCGAGGAGAATAAAGTCGCAAATCTCGCTTCCTCGCCAGGGAATATCTGAGCAGTTATCGTCCTCTCCCCTTGCCCTTTGAACACCTCAACGCTGGACCAATCGACCAAGATCCTCAAACGAACTACGCCATCGATATCGGGTTCCAACGGTGCATGGTAAACACGCGCAAAGGTCTCGTCAAACGAAACATCCCCGACTGCGTACGGTCTAGAAAGACCTTTCGAGTCTTGAAATCGTACCCAACTCGTGTTCCTTGGCTCTTGTCAGGGGTAGCCTGAACGACAATCCCGAACTCAGATGCCCCCGAAGATTTCTGGCGGCCATCAAAGCTCAATTCGATATCCAATATCTTCCCTTGCGAACCGAGATCCTTTGTCCCTTCAGCAAGGCTTTTCCAAGTTCGGGAATACTTCTTTTGGCTTTCGATGGACGCCCAGTTCTCCCTTGGCTGCTGAAAAAGGATGACATCGCCCCCAATTGTCCGCAATGAAAGATGCCGCGGAGTAGCCATCGCGCTACGCCAGGGGTAAGTCGGAATGTTCCCTCCGTACTGCCAATTGTTCATCCACCCAATCGAGACGTGCTCGATATTCGGGAGACCGTTATAACTTGCAGCTGCATAGAAATCCGGACCCCAATCCATCCAGTTCGCAGTGCTGTTAACAGGATACACACTGTCGGCATCCGGGATGAAAGCGGTGCCATTGAACTCTCCAACGAAGTACTGCGTTCCCGAACCCACGCTTTCAGGCGGACCTCCGGGATTGAGTCCAACAACCATCACCCACTTCATGTTTGTTTGGCTACCGTCAAGTGGGAGCGGAAATAGATTGGGACATTCCCATACCCCACCGACGGCATTAAAAGGGCCGAATTCGCTTACGACGGACCAGTCTCTCAAATTGTCGGATCTCTGAAAGAGCAGTGACGAGAACCCATCTGTGGGTTTGTTCATGCCAGAAGATGAAGGGATCTCGGAAGTTTTGATACTGGTCCTCATACGGCTTGGGGGGGGGGGTTTGGATGACTGGGTTGGCGGAATCGTAGGTTTGCCATGTCAGACCGTCGTCCAGGCTATATACCAGCGACTGTGATTGTTGATTGGCTTTGACAGATTTCCCGCTTCGTAAAGTATGCGTAATGGGGTACTTCCAAAAAAGTGTCAGATTTACCTGGGCAAGTTCATGGGTATTCTCTTTCAGACTCACAAACGAAGTGTATACGGCGACTAGGGGATCTTACCGTCAGCCCCCAGCCCGCTGGTGTTATTCACATCAGCAACAGCACTTCCAGTGAAGAACATCTCGGTGATATTGTCGGGAAAACCTCGGGCGAGAAGGGCGATGGGCTGCTCCTCCCAATGGCTGAGATCTTTACTAGTCGCATGGCCCCACGACATATTTCCCCACTGAATCCCCCCCCCGGATTATACTAGAAAAACAGATGGTAGAGGTCATTATGATATAAGAGCCCAGTAGGATCGTTCATCCAGTTCTTGGCAGGCGAGAAATGGTATTGAGGACGGTAGGCTTCTGTGTAGATAGCCCATGTGGGCCTTAGCAAAGAGGCCTGAGAGCAGGACTTTTGGAAAGTTGACCATTATTGTGTCTCAGTCAAAGAGCAGATAGTAGTGAGAGAAATAGGAAAATGAACTGCCATTGATTCCTTTCATTATTGCACAAGTATTTATACCCCAGGTCCCAACATTCCCACGGGGAATGTTTGCACCTGACAGGCCGATCGTCACCAACACCGAAGTTTCTTCGGAGAAATAGTACATGAGCTCCACCTGCAGATCTACCGAACAAGAAGATTCGACGTTCGGGACTGACCTCGCATAAATTCAGGGTTATACTCTGGGATTGCAAAGAAAGTCCGACTTCTTATGGCTCCAATCCAAGTTTCTCCTGCTTCCCTTTACTGTTCCCCGCCGCGGTCTGTGATGTCTCCGTACTCGTATCAGTGCCCTGAACATTTGAAGTAACGGTTTGACCGTAGTTACTGGGTGCGGGGTGGTTGCAAGGAATTCCTAGGCCGTTCACGATGTTCGTGCACTGGTAGACCTCGTCTTGCAGGTCTGTATTCCACATGGGCAAACCCAAAGTACTGTTGACGGATTGAATCTCAATATTTTCGAACTTGAGACCTGGGCAGGGGTGCACGTCAGAGCAATAAATGGAAGACGCAATGTTGTATCGCGAGGTTCCTTTAATGTTGGACCAAGTAATATCCTCGATCGCCATCTTCGAGGTATTGCAGGTGTTTGTGCTCTCGCTATAGATGCATTGCGAAATTTGAATCGGCAAAGCAACATTGTTGATCTCAAAGTCACGGAAAACAATGTTCTTGACGACGCCACTACCTCCGCCTCCACTGTCGCCGTTCGAGCTACCGTCATCGTTTTCTCCTGCCAAGTTTTGATCAAGGCGGCTTCCTGGCAGTCATGGCACTTGATGTTCTCGAATGTGATATTCGTTACATAGTCGGGCGTAGCGGGGTATTGTCCGACCGACCCGATGGCCATACCGTAGTTTCCATAGCAAGTGATGTTCCTCACCATGAGGTTGGTCGTGTTGCCTTTGACAGCAATGCAATCATCTTGATTTACCACGACTGCGTTCTCAACAAGCAGCGTATCGCTGTTCCATGAGTCGTAGCCATCGGTGTTAACCGTACCCCATTGGTCGTTGCTGGTGGCATTGACATAGAGGTTCGTGATGGAGACATTCTTGCTGTAGGAGACAAAAGTCGCCCAGAACTGCGGCTGGGTAATGTTCAGTCCATCCACAACGAGATTGGTGGAATTGTAGAAGGTGATACTGATAGGCCGACCGGGCTGATTGCTACGATTCTGGTTTTGCGTATACCAGGCCTGGCCGTTGCCATTGTACCAACCGCCTTCTTCACTGCGGAAGGTAACATTTTCGCCACCAAACAACCACGCAGTGGATTGGTCCTGGAAGACGACGGAGTAGGAGTGAGACAGCCAGTAAGCAATGTCGGTCGACCAACGCAGTTCGCCGCGAAGAATAACGTCGCAATTCACCAAGTTTGTTGTGTTCATGACGGTGTTGATGTTGAATGTGTGGTTTGCGGCAAATATGACCTGTCCATTGTGGCCGCAGAGATCGAAAGCCTTGTGGATCGAAGGGGCATCATCAACTGCCTGGCCATCATTGTTTAGTGACTCGGGGTACAATGTACAAGTACTGCCATCTTGTTGGACATAACCGGCCGTGAACGACGCCAACGCCAACGAAAGTAACCAACGCATGGTGAGATGATTCACCCCCGGGGTCTCTTCAGTCAATTGAACGAAGTTACGATTATCAAGGGGTTTTAACAAAGGGCGAAGGACCCTATATATGCAAGCGGCCTCTGGCTTTTGGAATTGCCCGACCGCATTTGCCCCTTCGATTGCATCGTCAACCAGCAACTTGCCGGGTCACATCTTTTCCCCGCATCAAACTTGCCCCGACTGGAATCAGCTGATTTACATCCAATCATCACCAGTCTTGACGCTGGAGAATCTTGGCTCGCGCCACGAGGCCAGAGCGTCAAGTCAGGGGAGATGCAAAAGCTGTGAGGGGTCTGCCGATGATCTGCACTCTTCTCTCGTAGCGCATTTCCCAGGATGTCGTAGCATCATCTGCTAATTTTTGAGCCACCAGCCCAGTCAGTTTGATTCTGTCACCCGACACCTAGCATATTAACCCGAGAGACCCTGATCGATGGAATGAAATACAATTGAGAGATGAAGGAGTAGTCGGTGTTCACTATCCCGAGATTGGATAGCGCTATGTCCAGATTCCACACGATGGAATATGACAAGTAACGGCGAATCACCGGGCTAAACCACGAGTCAAGGCTCACCCAAGCTCTGTCGCGTGGAAAGATCAACATATCCAGTAAGATCGACATTGATGAGATCATTGTGATCATTCACGTTTATTCGTTTGTCTATCAAAGGCTGGTGCGACATGTCTAGGGGGGATAAATGGCCTTCATGGCCTTTAATTTTGCTTCTTCATTTGCGAGCGTGAGAACCGACGAGTCCGGCCGCGCAGCATCTCCACTCGCTCCTCCATACTCATGTTCACCTGGTCGCCCATAGGGATGAGACACTTCGCCAGATGAAGGTAATTTTTGCGCAACAAGTTCACGGTGATGAAAATGTAGTCGACGTTTCGGAAAACCAAGGCTCTTTCCTCGGCGTAACGATCCCGGCCCGTGAGGAATGCCACGGGATGGTCTCTCCAGTGGCGGCGCGGGTTCAAGTGGTGCGATGTGTGGTACCCGTCATTGAAGGAGTAGCGGTTGCTCTGTAAGAGTTCATTAGCTATAGCACCAAGGGAGACAGTATCACACAGCTTACCGGAACATCAACAAGGGTGATACTGGAACGGTAATCCGAATCGGGATCGACTGGATCCACGAAAGCATGCTGACCCCAGTTTCCAACCATCAAACCAAAGCGCATGACCGTGAGAGGAAGAATAAGTACAAACGTAGTTGCGCGGGCATTGACGTAGTTGTAAAGGATGTAAATGGCCAGATAGTTGCCAAGCTCCCAGAAGGCTGCCTTGCAGCCATATTTGAATTGGCCTTTTCGGAAGAAGTAGAGGGGAAGCTCCAACCAGACGAAGAAGATGAAGCGACCCACATAACAGGCAAAGTCACGTACACTATCACGATCGTAGAACATGGTCGTGCTGAGGTCATGTTCGCCATTGCCCTCAACGTGGTGATGCTTGATGTGGTGGTAAAAGTAGGAGTTCCATGTATGTCCGAGCATGGGATCCAGCAAGTATGGGAAAAGCGTATCGAAGACCCAATACTTGGAGGCCAAAACTCCATTTCCATGAATGTGCTGGTGCTTCATCAACGTGAAGGCACCGCAATAGTATCCCATCATAGCCCAATGGAGAATACCATGTAGGTAGGAGAAACGATAGTACAGATAGAAGGCACTGGGAACAATAGTAGTGAAGTAGAGAATAAGATGGGTCAACATGACTACATCTGTCGGCACCCGTACCACGGTCTTTGCCCAGTTGATGTAAGGATCCAGTACATATTGCTGGATGGCTGGGGATAGCTTTTCCCGCAGCTCTGGGGTCTCCCAAAGCTGGGTGACAGTGGGGTCAAAGTCAGGACTCGATGCATCGTTCATGTCGTGCAGCTTCTTGACAGTCTCTGTACTGCCAATCTTTTCCTGTAATGGGCTCGTGGTTTCATCTAGCACGCTATCAGTGATTCGTCAACAGAGTGACCAAGGGACGGTTCTCACTGTTTGCACTAATATCATTCAGGAGGACTTCGACTACCATCTTATCCTGGAGCGTGAGCTCAGGATCCTTGTATGTGGTTGGATCCATGGTGGGTAGCTAGAAGTGGTCTTAGCACGGGTCAACAAGGCGGCAACCAAGGAGCTCACATCGACAAAGGATCTTGGGACACGCTTTATCACCCAGACCACCAGTATTCGGGAATATTTGTGAGTCTGAACAGTCCGGAGCGATCGAGACTACTGAGCAGGACTAGCTCAAGTATACTCCAATCTGGACAATGCGTGCTCAGGGGTGGAAAGAGTTTTCGTGGATTCACATGTGGGTCCAGGGAATCCGGGACACTTGGTCGCGACTCCGAGCCTCAACTGGCCATCATATGATGGAGAATCACCAATCTAAAGAGCTTCTAACGGCTGGAAACAATGCTTTCACTTATTATTTCAAATATCGGCGTGTCCCCTCATGCTTCCCTTGGTGCCCCTTTAAGGCGGAAACGCGACTCCACGGTCGGAATGGATACCACGGCTTGACGCGGGTAGAGTACTCTTCCCCTGAACGTCCATTTGGCTCTAACAATATACACTGGCGACTCGTCAACCCAAGCACGGCATGAACTGCGCTTTGGGACCCAAATATATTTCTCTTCCTCGGACTGGTTCATGTTCATTTTTTTTTTAAACAGTATTTAGCAGTCATTGGAGGATCATTAAAGGATCATTGGAGGATCAATGGCCCACTGTTCTTACGCCTTAGCTTAGTTCCGCTCTAAATTGGACCCTAGGCAACCGCCTGAGAAGGAATCAAGCTTGATCCTCGAAGACAGCTAGTGGAAACTTTTTTTCTCCTGTCAACTGAAAATCTGCAACCACACAATATCCATGTTGTTCTCATATTTGATCGTCGTTCTTTGTGACTATAGACCTGAGTGGAATGGAGACACAGATCCCTTCTGGATGACATCCCTAGTCTGAGCTCTATCAGGTATCATGTATTGATCAGCAATTACCCACGCTGTGGAAAGAAATGCCAATATTGAACCCAATAAATCATGACAAACAGAGAGAGAATAAATCGCAATCTCCTCTTCTACTATACATTTCGGGGGAAACGGGTGTCAGCTTGATTGAATGGAATAAATTACATTTTGATTGAGGCGGCATATTCCCAAGAAAGGAACCCTCAGAGTACTGTATTCAATTTGATGAACGACCCAAGCGATGCCCCGCAGAAAGATCACCGTACCAGAGAAGCAAACAACTAGGTCGGCCGATGCGCTCGCAGTCTCCAGGTCCGTGGTCGACTACAGCGCGTGTGGGGAAGCCCCGCTATATTGACGATCAAACTCTTTGTGTGCGGCTTTGCGCAGCTTCGCAAACCCGGGCAAATAAACTCACACGATTCATGTCCGTGTCTATCTGGGCAGGGATCGTCGCTTGGTATCAAGATTGCTTGAGGTTCTTGAACCTTAGGCCTATGAGGATCATGACACGCACGGAATTGGCCCAGTTTGAAGAGCGGAGTCGAGGATTCCTCGATGGCCAGTGAAAGACAAAGGTAAGTCCGTGTCAAGGTTGAAGAGACTACATTGAACGATGCTGCTCGGTCGGCATGCGACATAAATTGCCAGTCTACCTCGTCATTTTGAAATGCACCGCCGCGCCGCATACACTAAGAGTCGGAGTCGTTACAAGATGGAAGACGACCACACTTTTCCTCAACGTGCCGCAGGCAAGATCTTGACACCAAATCCCACCACAGAGTCGAAGCAGCGTGCAGCTGGTCCAAACTTTTTTCGTGATGGGGAGAATGTACAGTTCATGTGGGCTAATTGCCTTTTGGAGCAGACCTTTTCAGAAAACATCCTCCGACTGAAGGTTCAAACAATTCATCAGGTCCACCGAACGGCGCAGACACATGATTCCGTGATGCATCAGTTCGTCACGGAGGAAGACTCACATGGTGAATTGTGCTTTGAGATTTTCTTCATCACCGATCACATCTTCCGCGTGCGATTTGCAGGGCAGCAAAGCACCCTGAGTGCATTAACAGATGAACCTGAGTACCCACCTCCAGAGGCGCGCATGCTAGCTCATATCCCCAAAATTAATCTTGCGACTATTTCTGAGAGAGCAAATGGTTGTATTGAGCTCTCTTCTGCAAGTGTGCGGGTCTGCATTCAACCGAGCCCTTTTCGCCTGCTCGCTTACCAAAAGGATACAACGGTGCCATTCTGGAAGCAGCGCCTCAGCGACCTCTTTACCAGCGATATAGTCCCTACCTCAATTGCAAGCCACCAAGGTCGTGAGGCTGTCTTTGAGTCGTTTGTTCTCGATCCACAAGAGGCGGTTTTTGGTCTGGGCGAGCGCTTTGACGGAGTCGAGCGAAGGGGAAGGCGGGTGGACTTTGTCAATCACGATGCTATCGGCACCAGCAACACGCGTACTTATATAAATGTCCCCTTTTTCTGGACCACAAATGGATACGGCTGTTTTGTGAACTCGATTGCTCGCACGGAATGGGATATGGGTGCGAGTGAGTCCGGAACCCTCGGTGTGAGTCTTTCGAAAGCAGCCTAATAGGCTTTTACAGGAGTGAGTTCTGGTATTGACTTGCTTTGGCCAATAGTTCTCGACAGAGGAGAAGTTCATGGACTATTTCATTATCTCGGGGCCCTCACCAAAGGAAATTTTGTATCGCTACACTCACGATCTGACTGGGACCGCACCAGTGCCTCCCATATGGTCCTTTGGGCTCTGGCTGAGCCGGAACTCTTACCAAACCTGGGAGGTGGTCGATGAAGTGGTCAAGTGTGCCGAGGAGCATGATTTGCCATTCGACGTGATTCACCTCGACACCTCATGGTTTCAAGAGGATTGGAATCCTGATCTCGAATTTGGGGATCGATTCCCTGAACCAGAAAAGAAGATGGCCGAGCTTCGAGATAAGGGAATCCGCGTGTCACTGTGGCTATACAATTTCGTTCCCTCTCGTGAAGATAATCGGCTGTACATCGAAGCTTGCGAAAGTGACTATTTGGCACACGCTCTCAAGCCAGACGGGTCTCGCAGCAAAGACTTTTTCTACTACCCACCCGGGACCACTGGCTGGAAGACCGACGATATAGCCATCGATTTTACCAATCCCCGCGCCACAGACTGGTACGGCCGAAAAGTTGAGAGGCTTATTCGGCAAGGTGCATCCGCCATCAAAACCGATTTCGGTGACTGCATCCCAGCTGAAGCCTCTTATCTCAACCTTGCGGGCCGCCGACTGAACAATCTGTACAGTCTCGTTTACAACGCAGCCGTACGTAGCCATGTTATGGAGTGCAACACTGATACAGCTCAGTGGGCTCGAAGTGGCACGGCGGGCAGCCAGCGCTATCCAATTCACTGGGGTGGCGACTCACAATGCTCCTGGTCAGCCCTTCAAGGAAGCCTCCGAGCTACGTTGGCAATTGGCGTTAGCGGGTTTACTTTCTTCAGTCACGATCTTGGTGGCTTCATCGGCAAGCCAACTCCTGAGCTTTACATTCGATGGGCCCAGCTGGCGGCGTTCAGCAGTCATGTCCGCTCGCACGGAGTGGGTGACGAGAACGGCCGGGAGCCATGGTTCTTTGGGCAAGAAGCTGTAGATATTGTTGGATCGTTCATGCGACAGCGCTATCGTATGTTGCCGTACATCATCGAACAGGCGCATCTCAGTTCAAAGGCTGGGCTACCCATGGTCCGTAGCTTGGTGCTGGAGTATCCTGTCGATCGCAATGTCTGGGGTCTTGAGAGCCAGTATATGTTCGGCTCGGATATCCTAGTAGCTCCGACCTTGCAGCCGATTGAAGAAGCAAACGTACATGCCATCTACTTGCCAGAGGGAGTATGGTACGGGTTTTGGGACAAGAGAAAGTTCATCAGCCATGGACAATGGGTTGAATTCGTTATGGCCCCCTTGAGTCAGAACTATGCTTTTATCAAAAATGGTGCTATGTTGTGTTGGACCGCTCCAAGGAAGCGGACGTACAACCATGTGGGCACTATCGAGAAAGTAGAGCTATATGGCCAACGCGATGGCCCTTGGACATGTGGCGATGGACAAGGAGCTACGGTGAGCGTGATAGGAGAAGAAGGCAAATGGACCGTACTTGATCGGGAGAATGTCAAAATTGAGACATTTAAATAGAAGCAAGACGGTGAAAATTTGTCTCAGGGTAAATGTAGGAACCCAGATAGAGGCTGGCCAAATTCCAAATTGCACACGAATATGGAAATTAACATGACTTTTGCGCTGGAAATTTGACATTCGGAACCAGAATCACACAAAGTCTTTGACTACCAGATTTCCCGATGTTTAGAGAGTAAGACATGGGTAAGCATAGCCGAGAAACAAATTGGAAGCAAAACTGTTCGGCTCCCCGCACTTTCCGGGGTCAATCCACCGCCACATACTTTCACCCGAGCCTCGCGAGCACCCTTTCATATCTGTCAGATCCATTTTTCAGTCAGTCACCATTCCGATATAATGTCTTAGCCAACAGCAAGCCTTGAATAGCCCTCCTCACTTGAGGTAGAGCCGAAGAGTCACAACCCGAGCCCTGGAGAATAACAGAGTGGGAGAAAAGGGAACATAGGATCGAGCCACCATGCCTCAATCGCCCTCTGGCCAAACCCAGAATAATGTGACGCGAAAAAAAATCAGCCCATGTTCAGTCGAGGCGAAGTCCCCGTGGGCGTCTTCAGCCCCAGCAGTCGTTGCGCAGGTGAGCCCCTGCACTTAGTTGCATCGACTTTTCTAACTTTGGGCTAGGCGTGTAGACGGGCTCTCTGCACAGGTGGCCGAGTATCGCGCTGCCCTGGAAAGGCTTTTTCCGGACTCAAATTTGGAAGATCTCAAGCACATGCCGCGCGAACAGCTGCTTAACCAGATTTATCGTGAGTTTTTTTGTGAAAGTGAAGCCTAGCTCCGGCCGGGCTTTGATCCATCCTAAACGTGTGATTGACGGACTCAAACCTACCTCTATAGAAAGCCCGGAAAGCACAGAGCTTGAAGAAATTGATTTTGAAGTCTCGGATGACGTCAATTCTCTTTCATTGAACTCAAGGAAACCCAGGTCATACCTTGGGATTTCATCAGTCCATGCGATCTTCAAGTTAATATTTATTCTTAGCCCTCAAAGTGTCCCCGATCACGAAGGGTCCACCTATGATGATATTGGCCGCGAGGATACATCCCTGCCGCCACAGAGACCCGGTAACTCCTCACAGGTAGTTTCACCAAAGCCCTTACAGCCGAAACTCAGGGCCTCGTCCATAAAATCGGGAAGCAGTCATGCATTAACCCCAGAGAGTGATTGCATAACTGCCTATTTCACCTATTTTCATCTCCTGGTTCCAATAGTCGACGAGCCTAGCTTTCGGGCAGCCTACGCGTCAGGCCATCGGAAAGATAGGGAATGGCTTAGTTTGCTAAACATCATCTGTGCCCTTGGCAGTATCGCGGCCACAAATACCCAGGACAAGTCTCACTGTGTCTACTATGCACGATGCAAGAAGTATTTGGGCTTGGAATGTCTCGGCTCCCCTCACTTGGAGACAATACAGACTCTTGGTCTTATGAGTGGTCTTTATCTGCACTATATCAGCCAGCCAAACCTTGCTTATTCCCTGATGGGTGCCGTCCAGCGCATGGCTCTGGCTCATGGCTTTCACGAAGATCTAGATTCCCGAAAACATTCGGTTGATTTCAAAAATTGCCTGCAAATCAGAAGACGGGTATGGTGGTCGCTTTTCTGCATGGACACTTGGGCTTGCGGTCCACTCGATCGACCAGGTATCGATCGCCGCGGACCGACGAATACTAACATTGATCTTTTGTCACGAGGAGAAGAGGTATCACTGCCAAACTTATCTTGTATCTTGTATGCGAATCCCATACATCTCAGCTAACGCGACTAAAGAGAAATGTTCTAGAGGTTCTGCCTCTTCTGGAAAATGTTCGATTCTGCCAGATTGCCACAAAAATTCAAGAAGCTGTGGCCGCGACCTCTATTATCTCTCATGTCGAGCGCAGGAGACTGAACCAAGAGCTTCAAGACTGGTTTGACAACCTACCGTCGATTTTGAAAGACTATCAGCCATGCTCGGAATCAATATGTGTTACTCGCACAGTGATGCGCTGGCGGTACTTCAATCAGTGTCTCCTCCTCCACCGTCCCAGCCTGCTAGACTACGCCATCCGCCGCATTCCTTCTTTTGCCTTGTCAAAATATGAGCGCTCCTCAATCCAGGAATGTCGTCGCTATGCAAAAGAAACCATCGAAGATATCGTGAGCACTCCGTTCGTCAACCAGTCCACAGGCTGGAATGGGGTATGGCTACTGTTTCAGGCCGTGTGCGTTCCACTGCTGGGATGTTTTCTAGCCGATGCTACGACCGATGATCCACTGGCCTCGCTGGAATCTTGTCATTCGCAGATCAAATTGGCCATTGAATACTTAGTGCGCATGAAATCTTGGAGCCCGGCCGCAACGCGCACTCTGCTTGTCATTTCGCGGATTCTCTCTGCAAGCGAAAAGGCAAGAGCAAGACTGAGTTCTCGCCCTCCACTTTTGCTAAGTGATGCTGAAACTGCGGAGATCAATCTTAATACTACGGCATTATCGCTTCAGGTCTCCGCTCGCAACGACCATATCTTGCTCAGGGCAAACAGTCTGTCTTTGGATCAAAATGAGAATAATCAACAGCCTCACCAACTGATGAGATTTTCCTATTTGAGTGACATTCCACCCCCGAACGATGTTCCCTTCACCGAGGTACTAGCCGGTGAATATTCGAATGAGCCAATGATCCAGAACTTTTGGGACTACCTTCATGCGGCAGATAATAATATGATGCTAGATCTTCCATTCTCTGAATATCAGGGTACTGGGAGGATTGAGCCACATGAAATGGACTTCGAACCGCTTTGGGATCAGGTCAGATTTGACGATTCAGAAATGGTTTGGGATGACACAGATCTCAATTTCCTTCAAAGTCTTGTGGGTAGCAATGAGAGCGAATTGTCATAGGAGGCAATAGCCTGGAATAATAATCTTGTGACAAAGGTGGCAAAATGAAGAGGATGGATCAAACAGGGACAATTTCTCCACACTTGAGTCCTAAACGAACGCAATTTAATTATTAAAGTATTTCAATTGTATATTGGAAACCGGGCCACGGATGAATGTCTCGCATTACTTGTGGTAATAATAATTTTCACGAACAATGCTTTTCAGCGAAAATGTAATTTTTACAAGTGTCGCAATGCAAATAGCAGCTTATTTTTGTTTGAACACACAAGGTATCAACGCCCCAACTTGCAACCGTTCTTTTCCAAGCTGTTTCCCAGTATGAGTGTAAGTGCCGGACAGTCACGGCCTGGAGAGATCTGGATGAAATCGTCTTCCTTTTACGCGACTGGGGCAACAGGTGCTGCCGAACTTCGGAAGCCGGCGGACGATCATCGGCACTAGCAACCTTATGCTCCACCGTCCTGGCCCCTCATTTATACGAAACTAAGATGAGTTGAAGGACTTCAAGGGCGAAGTATGCAACAAGGGCCGTAAATAATGCAAGTTACGGATTCACATGACGTTGTCCCTCTTGTTTGGCTTTTGCTCTCCGCTGGAAACTTGTGTAGCTGAATCCAGTGCTTGACTGGGGAGCTATAACCAGAGGTAACAAGTCGTATTTCTCTGCAAGACGAGAAAATTGAATCAAATGCATGGCAATCTAGGAAAAGCAATCATCTAAAATACAAAAGGTAGATCTCAACTAGTCTCTAAGATGTCCTTATCCATTCAGGCAATCATCCCAGAGCTCACGCCTGTGGCGAGCTGCGGCAATGATGAATACTCCGCACTCAAACCAGCAATGATCCACATAGGCCCGATTAGTTCAAGGATCATTGATGCCTGGGATAGCTTTGTTGACGTGAAAAAGTATATAAAGACTGGATGTTTTCCTTCATCTCGCTCAAAGTTCATCAACAAGTCTTCTGACGATATCACCAGAATCTTTCAACATCAACACAAGATGCAGAGCTACCTGGTTATTGCAATGGGAGTCATTGTTTCGGCTATGTCGCTGGAGCGTCGGTCCTACAGTGGTGTCGCTACCTTCAATGACTATGCTGCGCAAGGAAAGTATGCCAGCCATAAACACTCCCACTTTTGACCATTCGCAAGTGCTGATATGTCAATGTAGCACCGTCTGCGGACCAAAGCAAGGTGTTTCGGGGACCTATGGTGTAGCCATTGGTGACCTCTCGCCGAATATCTGGAGCGGTGGCAAATGCAGTGGTTCAATCGATTACTCTAAATGGTAACTACTTGCCTAACTTCCACTTTACGAGGGTCAATTGGGTGATAATTTCATGACAGTAATGGGCAAAACCCTGTTAGTGGATACTCTGGGCCATCCTGCCCGACCACCACCTGCGGCGAGTGCTTCCAGGTATGCAATACTGGTGGATACGGAGGTGCCTCGGTTGGCGGAGTTGGAAATTGTGTGACTGTCAACGTTATTGATGTGTAAGTCGCACCCCGTCTGTCCTTCCTGTTAGCTTCTTTGGTGGTAGTGTACGTGGGTTACTTTACTAAGTCGGCCTCGATGCTTCAATAGTTGCCCGTCCGAGTCTGCCTTCAACTATTGCAAGACCAATGTCCCTGCCGACGAAAGATGTGGAAGTAGCTCTAGCAATGCTATGGACATTGATGTCAGCGCTTATAGCGCGCTCACGGGAACGGAATGGACTAGCAGCAGCCCAAATTTGTTGATCAGCATCAATCCAGGTAACTGCTGATTGAAGTGAGTTTTGAATCATCGCTACTCCTGTATGGAAGACATCATATGTTCCGGATGAGAAGTGTTCCATTTGGTTCGTTTATTTGCAGGCCTTGTATTGAAGAATTCTCGTCGCCATGAACTTGTCTTTCTGTTTCTGCGAGTGAGGGACACACGATACCGTCAGATTTTGCCGTGAAATTTTATTTGCAGCGAACAACGCTTTCTGCCATACATTGCACCTGATACAGTCTATCCGACTCTTAAATTGAATTCGTAAAACGAAGATAGAATGATCGAAAGCCAAGAATTCTTAATTGGCCCGCTAAGACTCCTACCTCTGACGATGTGTGTGCTGCTAACTTGGTCGATAGCCCCGATCCTGACCTCCGATTTTGGGTTCCTCGTTCCATAGGCGGATGTGCTAGGTCCAGAAGGCGTACAGAAGAGTAAGAACCTGGCAATCAAGAAAACTAACATTATCATACGCGTCAGTAAAATAGCACTCTTATCATTGAGCACTTCTGGTCGGTGATGGTATCCGGAGGAGTAACGGTCCGCAATTTGCGTCGGGTTATCTACTTCTCGCCCTTTATTTCAGCGCACGGTGCTCAATTGTATTGATAACCGGTTTATCGTAATTTGAAGATTTCAATGGCGGATTTCTTTTGTCATGAAATCGCAACCTGATCCCTAGGTGGAGATAAGACTAGAAATACTTTCCAACTTCCTCGAGAGTCTGAATACTGGGTGCCTAGCTCATTAATCTCATGATCTTTGAAATCCTTATGCCTTCTTTACAGCATTCGTTGGCTAATAGGCCTATCTTAGCGTGGCCTTTGGCTTTTCAACAGATACGGGGTCCGTCTCCAAGCCACTAGTGCAGTGTAAGAGGAAAGAAGAAGTACTTGCTGCGCAAGCTACATGCTTCGCAGCTTCCAAAAATTACTTATTGTGAAGAGCTTCCAAGAAGTACTGATTGTCTCTTTTCGCGAAGAGAGACACAGACCGCTAAGTCCAGACCAAATGATCGATGTTTGAACGTAGCGAAGAAACTTGGTGTGTATTTCAATACAAGATTCATGAATAGACGCAAAAGCCAGTCAGACCTCTTTGAAAGCTTGACAAAGATAAACTCTGGGCTAGTCAAATATGGCACGGGTATTTTGGCTTTGATCTACGGGCATACAACTTTACCCCGCAAATTTTGGCTGTCTGGTCCCGGAGGTTCGGCTGCTTGTCGCCCCCCGAGCGCGTAGTTTTGGCATTTGAGCAGCTTTGCCGAGGTTATATCCATTTTCGACACGGATGAAATTATTACCACGCACAACATTACGCTGTCAAAATGTTTAGTTTGCCGACACTGCCCTTCGACAGCAAGATCGAGGAGAGCCGTTACCAGAATGGTACAAATCACGCGACACAAACTCAACTTCGATTGTTTACAGATTGATCTCTATAAGAAAACCCCCCTTGGTATGCTGACCAGGCGATCACCGTATCTTTCTGCACTGATCCGACCTTCAATACTCTCATTGATCGGCCGCGCCACAAAATGCAAAGCAGCTCAGGTTATGCAACAGCTGAGCCCCAGGCAGGCTACAAGTGGACACATAGAAGACTTGGAACAAAAGGATGTTCATGAAGTCCAAGTTGCATCTGTCAGCTTTCAAGACGCATTGGCCAAGGAGCAACTCAACCCATGGAGCTGGGCAGCGTGGACCCTATACGGGGTAATTCTGGTAACTACTCTCGGTATGATCCCCACGTGGTGGCAAGAAAGGCGATGAATAGCTTACCAATGCTACCTAGATTGCTGCATGAATGGCTTTGACGGCACTCTGATGAGCAGTATCAATGCAATGCCCAACTTTCACAAGCATTTTGGAACTAGCATGGAAGGAAGTGGGACGGGTCTCCTATTTTCTATCTATTCCTTTGGCAACTTGGTCGGTGCGGCTTTTGCATCACCAATTTCTGACATACTCGGACGACGGATCGGCATGTTTAGCGGGTCTGCGTTCATCGTGATCGGTACCATTCTTGAGGCTGTCGCCAGCAACGTGCAACTTTTCATGGGTGGCCGATTCCTAATTGGATTAGGCGTGAGTATCAGCAACACAGCGGCGCCGGTATATCTAGTGGAGGTGGCTTTCCCACAGTGGCGCGGGCTTTTCGGTGGTCTCTACAATGTTGTCGGTTATTACACGGGGGCCATTTGTACGTTACTATAACCCCGATCTTGGAATTATCCATGGCTGACAGCTTCTGAAGTATGCACGTGGATCGCATATGGGACGGGCTTCCTTTCGTCAAATTGGTCTTGGAGAGCCCCAGTAATCATTCAAGCTGTATCGTCTGTGATCGTCATGCTCGCTGTGTTTGTTCTACCCGAGAGTCCTCGTTGGCTGTGGGCGACAGGCAAACAGGAGCAGGCTCGGAAGATGCTCATCAAATACCATGGCAGTGGCAAAGATAACTCCCCGTTGGTCCGGTGGGAGTGCAATCAAATTGGAGATCATCTTCAATTTGAAATTGAGACCGGTGGCCGGAAATGGTGGGACTTCAGGGTCCTCTTTAGTAGCAGGGCAAACCTCTATCGTCTTTGGCTCATCTTCTTGGTCTCGGTATTCTCTCAATTCATCGGCGGCTCTGTCATCAGGTATTCCCTTAGGTCTATCTCCAATGATTGAATCTCAGACTAACAACATGACCAGCTACTTCATGCCCGTCATGCTACAGAATGCGGGCATCACCAGCTCAAGCCAGCAGCTTCTTATGAATGCCCTTAACACGGTCTTTTCTTTTGTGAGTGGTCTGGTCGGAAGTCTTTTTGTCGACAGATGGGGCCGTCGCTCTCTTTTCCTCTGGGGAACATTCCTTACTGGCCTAATTTACGTTCCTATCAATGTTTTGGCATCGTACCCCGTTGCCGAGATCACCCGAAGCATGGGTTATGGCTTCATTGCTAGTATCTTTCTCTACGGAATTTTCTTCTCTTTTACATGGAGTAACTTGCAGGCCTTGTATCCGGCAGAGATTTTGCCAAACACGATTCGAGCCAAGGGCGTGGCTTTCCAGGGTGTCATCTCCGGGGCTGCTAACTTCATCAATTTTTACGCCACCCCGACTGCGCTGCAGAATATTGGGTGGAGGATGTATACAATTTTCCGTAAGTGAACTCCACTTTGTTCATTTCGAGAATCATTCATTTATGAGTTTCTAGCATTTATGAGTTTCTAGTGGTGTTCCATTTCCTGGAATTCGCTTTGATGTTCTTTACACTACCGGAGACCAAAGGTCGGTCAATTGAAGAGCTGAACTATGTGTTCAACAGCCGAAATCCAGTCAAGGAATCACTACGAAGAACTACCGTATTGGTGCATGAAGGTGAAGGCGTTAAGGGTATTTCTGAGGTCTCGGGAGATGTCTAGGGCAAATCCAATCATTCGCTGATGAAATCCTTACCATACTATCCCCTGCAAGTATAAAGTAAGCTCGGCTGGGAAACTTAAGAAGTCTTCACTGAGAAGACCTTGAGTGACTGACTATGAGACATCACGGACAACAGTTATCGGACTAGATCGGGCATGGTCAATTGGCCTAGTTCCGTTGTGGGATTCATTGACAGTGTCTGCCTCACGAAGTCAAGGGCAGCTAGGAAAGGACTGTCAATGAACAGCCAGTAATGTGTAGCAGGCTCAGAAAATTGATTTCATTCACAATGTACTCCCTTAGAGGCTTCTGGCTTCCTCCAGCTCTTCTGTCCTTGCAATTTCGCCTCTAAGTACTCGTCTCTGCCATTCTTCGTCCTGCCATAACATTCAAGCTCGAGGAGAGACAGAACGTCCATCGCTGATTTTTTTTTCTTTTCTTTTGAAAGGACTGGGCACCTCGATTTAAATTCTCCAAGGGCTTTATTCATCTTTACCTTAGCCTAGATGAGTACGAGTCTGATCTGTCCTGTGGTCATCATATCTTGGAGGTCGCGATCGGCAGGTCAGACATGGCGGATAATTCGAACACTGGACCTTGTGAGTGATCCTGGTGTCGCAATATACTGAAACAGTTAATTTCCACCGTCAGTTTGGACCATAGGCCAACTTCCGAACCATATCAACGTATTCTCGCCATGCAGGACTTGAGCCGTCGCGTACGCGGTCGATCGGAGAAAAGTTCGAGCTACAACTTTGAACACATCAAACAGTGGCGTCTCGAGCGCACGAGTCTGATTAAAATTCTCCGCGAAGATTTCAGGCTCCGTGCATCTGCTGCGTCAGGCGTTCTGCCTGAACTGCACCTAGATCACCGCTAGTTTCATCTTACGTCTCAGAAGTGACCTGTCGATAATGCATTTCCCCAATCTAGTCACCAACGAAGTCATTCCGAAATCATGAATGTAAGATGTGGCGATGACAGTGGCGATGTAGAACTGTCTCACAGCCCCCTCAAAGACCTCGGGGTTTTCACAGCTCGAGCACCGACTCTGCCCAATGCGGGGGGGATCTGCGTCAATACACAAGCTGACTGGCCTGACAGAGCCCACTTCTTTACTTATTCTGCCCAGAGTGAGATACTCATTGCTTATGTTGCTTATGTCTTAGACAAAGCCTCGAGGATATGGATCAATGCGCATCTGCTGTCGCCTTATTCTTGATTTATCGAATTACGGGCTCAACTCTAGGGCTCGTGCAATGGTGCCCAGGTGTGTGGACCATGCGATTCCCACCCATCACACCATCAGGATAATTATGGAACCTCGATGAAATGATCGACAAGACTATATAAATTGGTGTTCCCGTGTCGTCTACTTGAACTCTCATCTGTTTCCAGTTCACAGTCGCTTAAGAATTCGATATCAACACAAATCATCACAATGAAATTCATCTCCGCGATCGCTCTGCTGACTGCTACGGCCGTGGCCAACCCCGTCGCCAGATCAGCCGACAAGGAATTCCACCTAAAGACCACCGGCTCCAAGACCGCTGATCACAATGATCTGTTTCTCACCACCTACCACACCGGCGCCGGTCTGAATGATGCTGTCCTCGAGAGCAAGGCTGATGCCGCAACCGCCTTCTACTTGAACGGCACCACTGCCCTCGCCGACCTAGGTACCTCATATCCCTGGGGTTTCGAAATTGGCGGTGACACAAATTATGCCGGTAAGCTTTGTTCCATCTCCCCAATCTTAGAAACAATCACAACTAACACCCAAAAGACTGGGAGGCTGTTGAAATCAATGCCGGCGGTGGTGCCGATGGCTTCTCCATTACGGATAATAAGTTCGTCTGGTCTGAAGCCGAAGGATTTGGTGGATGGCTCGGTAAGTAAAACACGATTGACGTCATTTCCCCTGAGTCCTTGGCTAAACTGATCCACTCTACAGTCTGCCAGTGGTACCACAATGCTCCTCAGCTGTTCTGGCTGGACAAGTATTACACGGCCACTATACCTTGCAGCTGTAGCGAGGTTGAACTGGAGCCCATCTACCTGTAGATGTGGATACCTGATTGAATGGTCGATAGCCTCGAGAGATTGTAGAAAAGCTTTGAGTCATGCAACAAGACATGAAATGTGAGCCGATGAATTTGGGACGGCCTCATTTGTATGAATAAATGAAGTATTCGTGTCATTTCAATGTTGTGAGATTCAATTCTATTGCTTTTGAGTTTGTGTCATACATCGTTATGTGTGGATATCATTATGCAGCTGCTATTTCCGGCGTGGTCCCATAGTAGCGCTTGTCCATGCCAGCTTGCAAGCGGGCTTCCTCGTTAAAAGGTCCTCGGAGAATGCCTCGGAAGTGTTTCGAAACGTTGTTGCGGAAGACTTGGACTGGGTCTGTGCCTTCTTGATCACAGATCCAGGTGAGCCATCGATGGCCCGTGGTGACGTGCGTGATTTCGTCGTTATGGATAATCTCGAGGGCAGTAACACTCTCTGCATCGCCGGCGTTGCGGAACTTCTGGATAGTCATTGGGTTGACGTCTAGACCCCGGGCTTCATGGACCAGAGCGATGATGCTGATTCGGGAGCGAAGGTCGTGTGCGGTTTCTATGGCGGATTCCCAGAGACCATGGTGGACTGGTAGGGCACCGAAATGAGAACCCATTTCTTCCATTCGTGTGCGTAGCAGGGAAAAATGTTTCGCTTCGTCACTGGCGACTTTCAACCAGTCGTGGAAATATGCTCGCGGTAGCTCCTGAGAGGTTCTCTCAGCGTGGAACGTTGAGAATCGTACACAGATGTCGATTGCCAAGTCGATAGCCCAGAGTTCGATATTCGCCAGGGCGTGGAGCATTGCAATCCGACTTCTGACGCTTCCTCCATTTCCAGCGCGTGGCATCTTTCCAGGCTCCAAAGTCTTCATTTTCTCGCGAGGAGGTTGATCGGGGGCGGCGATAGTACCCCTTCCAATTTCCATGGGCGAGTCGGTACGCTCCCTCTCACTAAAAATGGAAAATAGGTGGGTAGTCAACTCGACCTTGTGCTCTGGGTTAGCGGTGTTGAGAATATGAACAGCCCAATCACACAAGGTCGCCTGGTCATCGAGATAGTGTGCCATGCCAGGATCCGCCCGAGTAGGCGCTGACTTATCTGATGGTCGCGCATGCTTCAATTTGACTTTTTCGCTGACAGGTTCAATCTTTTCAAGCGTGACACTGACTCCATCATCAACTGGGTAATCAAGAGTGACGGATCCATCGCGAACATTCACGGGGAACGTGCACGCTTTGATACCCACGCTCGACTCTCCCGTCTCCACGTTGAAATCATAGGCGTGCCACGGACAAGACACGACGTACGCTGAGTCTTCAATATCAACGTGGGAATCTTGCATCGGGCCTCCCGCGTGGGGGCACTCCGCTTCCATCGCGTAGTACGACCATCCCCCTGTCTCGTTGGGTTTTGAGCCAGACGGGTCGATTGACGGCAGGCGGAACAGCACCAGCCGCTTCCCTGTCGAGAGATGGATCACATACCGCGCCTGAACGAATTCAGACAGGGGCCCACAGTTAATCAGCATTTCGATCACTGACTGTTTGAAGGGGCTTTTGTATCCGGTCAGTTGCCGAGGTCGCCGCTTGATGCTTGGCTTCAATTTTTGATGTCACGTGGAGATAAGGAGATGGGGTTACCGCAGAGGCAAACCATTTTGGACCAAAAGTACAGTCTGGACAGTAAATTGGAAGAGAGAAATGATAGTATTTTTGAAGTGTGTGTGCTGAAAGATTTGAGAACAGAATGTCTTTCCTTTGGCTGTGAACACATATTTTACTTAGGTAGGAAATCTAGTGTTTCCTGTCATCACCTCTCACGAGCGCGGTTTCGGAAATCCCGAGGTTCTTATAAAACATGTTGTAGCTAATTCAACCTGATGTTGGCATGTATTGAAATTGGGCAGAAGACTTAATCAATCAATTGCGCATGTGAGAAAAATTGCAATTCCGAATTTGGAAAGAGCAATTGCTATCTTGATCGACATTTTGACGAGACGGGACTTTTGGACGCCTTACATCCTTTAGCCGGTCTATAATCTGTTCCCTCCAATGCGTCTTATATGCATAAGGGGCATGATGCCACCAATTACAAAAGCTAGGGGACTCCACGGGCTTGAAGAAAGTGCTTGTCGCATTTACAACAGGGTGACACAAGTCCACGATCGGTTTGAAAAGTTCCCTTTATCGCTGAGGCCGAGATGCAGAACGGGCTTGTCGGCAATGATGCGGGCTGCTGAGCGGCAAGCATAACTGAGCACGGCCATGAATCTCAATTTGGTTCTGACCAAAGTGGCCCACCGCGCAAAGAGTGGACCTGGGTCCAGTGATACCCGCAACCTTGGACGAACTGTGCTAGTGTTGACGATCTCTCGATTGCCACGGGAATCGATCGTTTACCAGGCGTTGGAGGGATTCAACGCTGTGCATCGCTTGTGCAAATGCACTAAGTCAAGGCCATATTGCCAAGCGTCTGACAGCAGTCTGTTTGGTAAGACGAGCCGAGTGACCGCCCCTTTTTTTGGGTGGCGCGGATCCCTTTGCGGGGGAGAACTGAGCGCGACATCAAGATCCCTCGATTGCAATCGAGCGCACGACAGCGCCTCCAAGCACATAAGCTTACCACATGTAACCGTAGAATCATGACACATCAGCGACGTATCTGCAGCTAGAATTAGCACTTTGACTGCGGCCTGATTCCGTAGCTGGAGCTCAGATGATCATCTCGCACTCCAGGCCGAGATCGGGCCCTAAGTGGGCATTGTGGATCGCGGATGCAATGTCGCAGCGAGCTTTGGCTGACCGTGACTCAATACCTTGGATTTAGTATTTATTTAATCACCGGGTTCCTCTCGCCTGCGACCTTTTCTCCTGTTTCCTATTCCCCTTTCTGTTTTTTCCCTCAAGTTTGAAGCCTATACGGCGCAGAAAGCCGAGCCTCGGGTATAATCATCCCTGCATTGCGGGCTGGTCTGCGCTTGACGATCCTAAACCCGAACGGCGTGTGATTTGCGGCGATTGCTCTGGAAGGACTTCTCCCCCTCCTTGGCCAAAATCCTCATACCTTCGCGCGCTTCGTGCTAGCGATCACATTCAATCATGGGTCTGACAGGTAGGTGAATTTGCATCCTGTTGACGCGCATCGCAACTGCAAGCGAGCGATCGGCGCTGACAGCGGATCAGAGGCGCACAGCGGCGAGAAGGGCAAGAGCCTATCCCCAGACCGTCAATTCGATGGATCGGACTCGGAAGCCCCCCAGTTCTCGAACATCAATGAACGCAAGTTGATGGCCAAGATCGATGGGCGCCTTCTGCCGTGCATCTGTATCTTGTACCTGCTTGCTTTCTTGGACCGGTAAATAATCTTGCGCTCTTATGATTGAATGCGACAGGCTGCTGACCTGCAATCCTCTCCACATAGTGTCAATATCAGTAACGCGGCAATCCTTGGACTCAAGACCGACTTGAACATCGAAAAAGGTACCAAGTACAACACAGCATTGACGATCTTCTTCGTGCCATACATTGTTTGCGAAATTCCGGCGAATATCCTGTTGAAGAAGCTAAAGCCTCACGTTTGGTGTATGTGATTACCTTCAATGTGACGAGAATGAAAGCGAATGACTGACCTCTTGTGGTGCAGTGTCCTTTTGCATGTTTATGTTCGGCGTCGTGATGATTTGCCAGGGCTTAGTGACAAATTGGGGTGGATTGATGACCACTCGATTTTTCTTGGGGGTTTTCGAGTCGGGCATGTTCCCTGGGTGTGAGTATATACCTAGGATGCAGTGGTTCGGCCAGCGCATACTAACACACAGCAGGCTTCTACCTCCTGGGTATGTGGTATAAGCGTAGCGAAGCCCAGAAGCGATTCAGCTTCTTCTTCAGCTCAACGACTCTGGCCGGTGCGTTCGGTGGTTTGTTGGCCTATGGTCTATCGCACATGGCTGGTGACCGAGGTTACAATGGCTGGCGGTGGGTGTTCATCATTGAAGGCGTTATCACCGCGGCCGTCGCAATCATCCTCTTCTTCTTCATTCCCGACTTCCCGGAGGAGGCCAAGTGGTTGACCGAGGAGGAGCGCGAATTCGTCCGCGAGAAGCTGGCCAAGGATGTGGGCAAGTCAGCTCATCACGTCAAGATGGGCTGGCGTGAGATCAAGGGCGTCTTGTTAGACTGTGAGTTAATTGGTCACCTTGATTTCATGCAAATTCTGACTGCTTCTTAAGACAAGGTCATTCTCGGTGGCTTCATGTACTTTGGTCTCATCGTCCCGGCGTACAGCTATGCCTATTTTGCCCCTTCGATTATCCAGAGCTATGGATATAGTGGTATGTGCTGCGCCTGCATATGTACCCTTGTGGATTATCTCACTAACCACATGCTCCCAGCGGTTCAAACCCAGTTGTACTCGATTCCTCCTTGGGCAGCTGCATTTGTATTTTCCATGATAGTGGCTTTCTGCTCGGATCGCATGAAGCACCGCTTTGCCTTTACAATCATTACAGTGTGCATCGCCATTGCTGGTTTTGCCATGCTCTTCAGTATCCACGGCAAGGAGCACAGGCACGCCGAGTACGGTGCGCTCTTCCTGGTGACTTGTGGTGCTTATAGTGCTATGCCTGTCATCGTGTGTTGGTTCGCTATGAACTTGGGTGGTCATCACCGTCGCAGCGTGGGAACTGCATGGCAGGTCGGATTCGGCAACATTGGCGGTATCATTGCCACCTACTCCTTTATCTCGAGCGAGGCACCTTACTACAAGTCCGGTTTCAGCATTTGTATAGCATGGTGCTGCTTGTCCATTGTTGCATGCTGCCTCTATTTCGGTGCTATTTGGTTCGAGAACCGCAAGCGTGACCGCGCTGCCATTGACCCGAACGCTGTCTCGGAGGAACAGGAAGAATACCAGGGCGATCTCGCACCCACTTATCGTTACCAATTTTAGATGACGTTGCAATTCTGAAGATCGATGATAGGATTCCCCCAAATTTGAGTCTATGCGCATCCACGGGACGCAAGCTCTGAGAGTTCCAAGGTTGAAAACGGTCTGATGAGATATGAGATGCTCACCGATTGAAAGCTGTGAGTTACAAATGTACGGTGAAATAGCACCGAATACATGATAATGCGTGCAATGCACTGAACAAACCCTTAATGGAATTGAAATGACCGTTGCCCTACTTCCAAATAAGCGACTGCATGAGCGGAAACCCTATTTCCACTGTCTTCTGTGTGATGTAATGAACGCATCACGTGTCACCTGCTCAACTCCCTAAAACAGGTTAGCGCCTCGCTTAGCTGAGTAAGCCACCCACTACACAAACCCGTCGCGGGCCGCACTGTTTCTCTTTCTTCCAACCATCTCTTCATTTTCGCAGAATAGTAAGTCGCCACTCAGATCCCGAGGGCTCGCCTCGAGCTCCTTGGGCCATTGACTGACCCGGACATAGAACATCTACGAAGATGAGAGCTAAGTGGAGAAAGAAGCGCGTTCGCCGTCTCAAGCGCAAGAGAAGAAAGATGCGCGCCAGATCGTGAGTTTTATCTACCAAGCTCCGGAAGCTGGGGAGCTTTCCCCAGTGCCATTGAGCATTGCCACAAAATTATCCTCAATACTAACAATCGCCCACAGCAAATAAACTACTCGCCCCCTCCATCTCAGCTCCTCATGTCGAGGCTCATGTTTGAACGCTGAACACGACAATTGATGAATTCTTACGACTTCTTCTCACGCCCTCATCAAAACGAGTTGCCTGTCCGGATTATGTTTCCGCCCATCGTTTGAAGAATCAACAGCTCACCGACGGAATCTGCGTCCAAACAACGTTCCTATCTATCCAACTTCCTCGGATTCGTTAACGTCGGTTGAGCTGATATCGGGCATGGTTTTTAAACTCGGAGGGGTCATGTGTTCAGTTGAGGGTTGGAGGACTGGAAACAGTCTTGAGCTCGGTATTGGGGTGACTGGTCAACTTCGCTCGTATTGTTCGCAATAAGGTTCTTCTTCGAAGAATTGAGAGCTATGAAGGGTCCCGCACGAGAGTTTAGCGCACCAAAAAATTCTGGAGAAAGCTCGGAGGTCTTAGTTTCGATAGCTACGCTTCCCGATAATTCATGACTTTGCAGAGCACACATATTCACAAACATTGTAATTCAACTTGTAGCTGGTTAGCCTTGCAGTAGATTCAAGAAGCTAATATTATGCTCTTTGAAGCTGATGCATGTTTGTGTTGTGCGGATCCCGTTCACCGCCTTCCTAAAATTCGAACGTCGGCGCTAGGAAATTTTTCTGCCCGTGAGTTAATGACATTTATTCTATCAAGCATTCAGCCGATCACTCGAGTTGAATAATTGAAGCTTCTTACGGTGTTGTCTGTGCTTTAACTCCAGACAAAATGCCGTCCGACAAGATCGACAAGAAGCGCAAGCGCGCCACGGACCGCCACGAGCGCCCGAGCAAGAAGACCGCGCTGCAATCACTTCCCCCGCTGGCAGCTAGCCTTGTCGAGGACAAGAGCGAGCTTGCTCCTGTGATTGGTGAGTTATTTGGCACGGTAATGGCCTCTTTCCTGCAGTCCTGACCGTCCGCTCCACCTAGCTACCACCCCCGGCGTCCAGAGCTCCAAGTCCCTCCGCTGGACACCATATCTCAAGGCCCGCGATAATGTCACCAAGTCTGCCACTCGCAACCCGGGCATCGTCTCGTCTGAGATCTTGTTGCAGTCTTCCGAGCACGAGAAGATGGATTTTACCGGCCGCGAGGGAACTGGCGAGGATGCGGATTCACAATTGAAGCACTATGTCGCCGTCGTGGATCCTGAGCGCAAGACATGGCAGATCGTAGAGGCTCGTCGGGTTACTCTCCGCGGTGCTGTCCGCAGCAGGAAGCCTGAGGATGATGAGTCTGATGAGGAATTGGTAAGTCTTGAAGATCGGTTGAAGGCTTGGAAATGGATCGCTAACGACGATACAGAACACCATGCGCGCTCAGCGTACCGCTCTCACCAACACATTCGGTACCAAGCAGTCCCGAAAGGCTGTGCAGTCTATGCAAGAAAACGCTCAGCTGTCGAACGCTCCCGCCGGAACCGTCACCGAGGCGGGCGCAGCCCTCATCTCCTCATTGCCGGCCGGTGTCGCCTCCGGTGTGGCCAAAGCCACCGACGTGCAGGCCGAAGTGCAAGCCGCGAAGCCCCTGCCCCAACCCGACCTCACAGCCGCTCATCCCGCTGATGTATACCCTCTCGAGACCCTGGTTCCCGGTGGTGTCGCTACTCTGCGTCAATTGAACGGTGTAGACGAGTGGAAGCAGCAAGTGGACGCCGGTCTGGAAGTGACGACCGGTTCGCGCTTCGTCGCCAATCGCGTCGTGGCCGTCGCAAACGCCGACAACGCCACGCAGCTACAACTCCTCCGCTTGATCCAAATGCTGCTCGAGTTCGACCACTCCCTGAAGAGATTGGGCGGCGGCAAGGGTGCCGGTCCCGGTAGCAAGCGTCTCCCAGCGCGCAATGATCTCCGCCGTATTCTCTCCAGCACAACAGGCACCACATCCAAGGACCAGGACTCCGAGTCAACTGAGAACGATCTCCCCGACGCCGTCATCGATGCCGTGCGTCGCCGCTTCGCTCCTAGTGGAGGCTGGCTCTCCAAGCACGACTTGACCCTCCTTCACACCACCATCTGCGCTCTCTCCCTGCACATCCCACCCCAGCCAGCTAAGGACGGCGGGTCCAGCTCCTTGGGTGGTAACGCGCCCAACGAGCTGGCTACCGATCCCTCCGATCTGCGTGATGATCTTCGTCTTGACGCGAATACTGTGCAGCAGTACTTCCGCGAGCTGGGATGTCGCATTGATAAGCCCCGCGAGACGGAGTTCAAGAAGTGGAACATCAAAGGTGGTAAGGCTGAGGCTCAGGCACGCCGCATTGCTCGTCTGCGTATCCCTGTTGAGTTCCCTAAAGTTAGCCGTGGTGGTAGGAAATAGGTGGGGTCTGGACGTATTTGGTGAAATCATTGTCTGTGGTATATCCGGCGTTTCTCTTCATTTTTCACAGCTTGTCTCAAAATGGTTCCTTACGAATGAAGATCTCTTGCATATATTTTCTATCAACACGGCCTTCAAGGGTTGTATTCGTATATGTATTTATGAGGTGATGCCGCAAACAAATGAGGGGCTTATCAGGCGAGAACTATATATAGTCGGGAAGACCATTGAAAATTTAACATCTGAATAGAGCGAGTGTGTGCATGTTCAGAAATATTACATACACGCGCGCTATTCAGACGTATCCGATGGTTCCATACTTGCAAATTGACCTTCTTGCATCGACTCAGCATAGCCATGGATATCCAATTTAAGTAACGCGCAGACTAATACTGTACATGCCGGAAATATATTGTCATTGCTCATTATATGAAACATTCATAAATCATTTACACTCCCCTAGGGTTGCCCAGCATGGGAAGCAGCAAACGAGCTCGCTCTGCGAGTCTCTCCATGCCGCACACGATCAGCCTCAAGCTCCTGCGCGAATTTACTCTTCTTCCGGATTTCAGGACCCTTCCAATAAAAGACATAAATCGGAATCATGACCAAGAAGCCAACGCATCCCAGCAACGTGCTAGCCCACTGCAAACTATGTGTGCTTCCCATGTTCTGGTACATCGGCGTTGAGTACATGGTAGCAATACCCGCGAGGAAATCTCTCGCAAATCCATTTCCTCCAGTGGCGGAGGCACTGTATGGACCGTAGGCTGCGACCATGTAGTCGATTGTAGCCATGTAAATGGCGTAATTTGCCATGGCGATCAGACAGGCGAAGATAAGGGGTGCAATCCATGGAATGGGCGGACCCATTGATGTCCAGGCGAAGCCCAAGAGACCAATTGGTTCAAGAGGCGCGATAAAGAGGAGGAGTAAGAGGCGGCGTTCTGCGAGACGGGATGCTGCGCCTTGTTTGCGGCGGAGACTGATTTGGCGGTAGATATCTGGGAGGAAGATGATGTAGGCGATGATGTAGCCGATGAGAATTGAGCCAAAGGTCATGCCGACTGCGAGGGTGGACATGTTCCATTGCCCGAAGACCAAGGTGAAGGATTCGGTGAAGACGAAGATGAGGGCATCTGAGAATCCAGAAAGGAGAGAGAGGAAGAGGACGATGGGTTCGCGAAGGAACATCTCAAACGGACGGCGCCAGAGGCGGAGCACGTCGGCGAAGTCGAGTCGGGGAGTCTTGAGTTCGTTAGGGCCGTAGACTTCATCGCCGTTCTTGCGGCGTCGTTTGGCTTCTCTGTCGACGAGAATCGTGGCGCGAGTCTCGGGGACGAGGAAGAAGTGGAGGGTTTGTGTGGCGGCCCGAAGATCAATTGTATCCAGAAGATCCAGGGCCAGGAGAGGTATTGGCCGATGATGCCGCCGAAGAAAGGTCCGATGGTTGAGCCACCGACGGACGACAGGACGACAAAGGCAACGGCGTAACCTTGATCGTCTGCTTCCCACATATCTGCAGTCATTCCTAGGGTCACGGAGCCACCGGCTGAAGATAGACCACCGAGGATACGGCATACGATGATGGTGCCGAGGTTTGGAGCGAGAGCGCAGGGAATCTGCCAGACATTCACGAAGAACAAGGAGAGCTGCATGATGGGCCAGCGGCCAAACTCCTCAGACCAGGGAGCCCACAGCTCACATCCGAACGCATAGGCGACGAGGAAGACACATTGGCCTACTCGAGCGGCTTGTTCACTGATATGGAATTCCTCGGTCATTCCGGTGACGGCGTTGGCGTAGACGCCGCTGTTGAAGTTCATCGACATTTGCACGACGAAAATAACGCTTAAAATCGTCCATTTCTTCCACGTTGGAAAACAGAAGCCTAATTTATCATAGCATTCATCTTCCGTGAGCTCGCGCTTGCCGGCCTTCTCGATTTTGGGCGCATCTTCACGACTTGTCTGATCGAAGTCGGAAGCGTTCTCGACGTGGGCGTCGTTTTTCTTCCGTTTCTGTTTCAGCTCGTGGTCCTCGAATTCTTTGTCGATTTCTTCCCGCTTCTCGAAGAGCGGAGAACCTGTTGGTTCGTCCATGGGGGCAGTGTATGCTCCTTAGATCCTGTACTGAAATAAAACTATTGTGGCAGAGTAGGTGAAGGTATAGATATAGGTATAGGCATAGAAAGTATTCAAACTCAAAAGGATGAAATTAGGGAAATATGCACAAATTGCCCCTATATAAGCCAAAAACTAAATGATATTGGCGAAAATGGCGGACATCTATATACTACCAAACAATCAGTGGAATCCCCAACTTGGGGGCTTCCCGATTTTGACACGGCCGCAAGGGGAGATCCCAGCGACAATGCACAGCTCATTAGGGTGATGGGAACATCGGATCCACTCACACCGTCTATATCTATCGTGAATGGTCGTAAGTTGCATGGAAGATGAATTAGCCCGGCAAAACCTGTTGTGGATGTAGTTCACGGCCCGTGGGGCGACTGTCGGCAACCCGACGTCGACGTCATATCCACCCAGGCTACGTCAAGCCTGGGGTTAAAGATGCGGGAGAGAATGAGAAACGGAACTCCACTACTTCCTCGGCTCTGACTATCGTGCCAATCGTCGTTGACGGAGCTGCGTGGTGGAGAACCACTCACATGGCCTGGAAGGGCGGGCGAAGTGCAAGATGTTGTCATAGTTCGCGTTCGCTGTATCAAAGGACCATTTAATGCCGTTCGAGGAGATGCTTCCGATGTCCCCGACTGCCATCAATACATTCCATATCAATTATGTAACCTTGTCATCTTTCACTTTTGAAGGTCCCAACGTTAGGAGGTGCGGAGTCGTGGACTTTATTATGGCTACCTGTTAAGTAATTCACGAGCTTCACAGAGACTGAATTTGGCGCCTACTTGCGTAAAATGCATCAGCCTGAGAGGCGATAGTATTAACGGATTCAAATTTACGAGTCAGCTTCACTTGGCCAAGACATCTAGTAACCAATGGGTACGAGTCGGAGAATCCCGCAGACGGACAAACTGGTTGTGCCACTGGTACGGCCAAAGGTATAATTGCTCATCACCTAATCTCAGGTCTGGGTCTCAAAGTGTGAGCTTAGACATCGATCAAAAAAATTACAATTCTAAGATGAATCCTCTCACCGCGAGTTGACTAGTTCATGAGACTAGCGCCAATGGTGAATACACGCCATGTGAACACATCAAGACTGGCATCATTGCAAGGCAGACCACATTTGCCGCCTGAACTGGATCGCCGAATATCCCTCGGTCTGGCCATCTCTGTCCCTCGGTCACTTTCCGCAACACGAACGAAGTTGCCTGATCCGATCATATTCTGGATATTGGGTCCTAATTGCATCTCTCAAGTTCTCTTTTCCACGGCTAACAATTGAATACCAAATGATGAACATACGCCCTTTTTTCTTCTAAAAGTCCATGATCGAATCTACTTAACACACGAGCATCGCACAGACGTGCAAACATAGCACATGTACATACGCACGCACCTACAGCGGGCCATGCGGGCACATCGTAAGAGGCTTCGGCCCCTTTTTTGCGGCTCCACTTCTAATCCGGATCTCCAGGTCCACCCCCGGGTCCACAATGTAACTTTCATATGCGAGGACGTTTGATTTGGCGAGAAGATGACTGCGCCAGTTGGTTCTTCTCCGGGTTCCCTCTTGTGGAAGGTGTACTGTAGTCCCCATGCGCGACGATCAGAGCAGTTGCAAGGTTACCCCTGCATGACTTTACTAACTCTGGCAGCTTGAAATGGTTGGGTTTTGGTGAAAGGGTCTGGAAGTCAGCGACTCAGCTGTATCTTTATAGTGTCAAGAAGTGTGTCTCGAGCACATGGTCGACCACAAGTTTGCCATGTGACAAGATGCCTGAGAGGTGAAGCCCCCGCCCCAAGAGACGTACAAGTACGAATGGCTCGTCTATGATCCGGTTGGTTATCATGATCATCAACCTCATGTCTGGCTTTCAACATCACTCGAATCCTACCTAGGTAAAAGACCATCCTTGACACTTGACTCTTCTTGTTCTGTGACCTCCTTTCCAAAATAGGATGTGTCTGGCGCTATGGCGTGTAACCCTATCTGTTTGTATCGAGGAATGAAGGATTAGATTTACCCGCTACAAATCAAAATGGATTCGACAATCCCTCAATAACCCGAAATCTCATTTGACTTGGCTCGTGCCATCCGACTCACCACACCGGATCTATGTAGATAGAAGCTATATCCAATACATACGACAGAATTGTTCCAAATGCAAGGCCATCGCCAATGCAGTCATCGGACAGCGAAGACAAGACAAAAGATATGAACATAAGAGGGAACGAAAAAAAAAAAAGAAAAAGAAAAAAAAGGCCAATTATTCGATCATATACGTGATGGATGCATGCACGCGTCGAGTCATCTTAAATGAGCGGACAGGTAAAAGAAACAGTACCCAAAGACCAACAAGCACAAGCAAATCTAGGCGGCGACTCCGATAGGAGCGGCGCCGATAGCGGAGTGCGCACGTGTGCCGGCCGGGGTGCCGGTCTTCAACTGCGGAGCGGTCTGAGCTGCTTCGGCACTGAGCTCACGGGCGATGGAGACCTCAAGAGGCTCGGAGGCCAGAATATTGAGCTGGGTGTTTTCCCAAATGGGCTGGTTGGCTTCTTCGGCGCCCTCGACGCCGACGCCGACGAACCCACCGAGAGCCTTCCAGTCAGAGGTACGCTTGATGCCTAGGTCATTCCAAACAGACTGAACGGCTTGGACAAGGTGGTCGCGCAGAGGCTTGACGTGACCGGGGGTAGGGGTGATGCGGAGGCGCTCTTCACCGCGAGGAACGGTGGGATAATTGATGGCCTGCACGTAGATACCGTGTTCCTCGAGAAGCTTGTCGGATGCGCGCTTGGCGAGCTCGGCGTCACCGACAAGGAGAGGGACGATGTGAGAGGGGTTGGGGATAACCGGAATGTCAAGCTCCTTCAGGGCGGACTTGACGGCGCGGGTGTGAAGCTGCTGCAAAACACGGTCACGGGGGTGCTGCGCCTGGTATTGGATAGCAGTGTCGGCACCGGCCATGGTGGCAGGGGGAGGGAAGTGGTGAAGATGAAGCCGGGGGCCAGTGAGCGGATAGTGTCGACCAGAGCCGACGAGCCAGCGATATACCCGCCGACGCAGCCGTAAGCCTTACCCAGAGTACCGGTGATGATATCAATGCGGTCCATAACAGTTCCCTTGGTGCTCTGGGGGGAGGCGGTGTCCTGGGAAGCGTAGGCATCGTAGTCAAGATGCTCAGCGACACCGGCTCCGTGAGGTCCGTACATGCCGACGGCGTGCACCTCATCCAAGAAAGTGATAGCGCCGTACTTGTCAGCGAGATCACAAATCTTCTCAATCGGAGCAATGGAACCACACATGCTGTACACAGACTCAAATGCAATAATCTTGGGCACGTGAGCTGGCAAGGCAGCGAGCTTGGCTTCCAGGTCCTGCAGGTCGTTGTGCTTGAAGACCATCTTCTTCGCACCAGAGTGACGGATACCCTGGATCATAGAGGCATGGTTCAGGCTATCGGACAGGATCACGCAGTCAGGCATCTTGCTGCCGAGGGTCGCGAGAGTAGCATCATTTGCCACGAAGCACGAGCTGAAGACCAGCGCAGACTCCTTTCCGTGCAACTTGGCAAGGGTATCCTCCAGGGCGACCGCATGCTGGTTGTGGCCCGAGATGTTACGGGTACCACCGGCACCGGCACCGTAGGTATCCAATGTACGGTGCATAGACTCAAGGACCTGGGGATTGCGGCCCATGCCCAGATAATCGTTGGAACACCAAACCGTCACACGCTCCTCCACAGAGGCAGTGTGGGCGCGAGGGAACTCCTTGGCCAGTCGGTTGATGTTGTTAAAGTAGCGGTACGACTTGTCCTTATGCTTCTTCTCCAGCTCGGTGTTGTAGAAGCCATTGTAGTCGAAATGCTTATGGCTCGGGGCCTCGGGACGGGGACCGCGGACTGCGGCATCGGTGGCGTGGGCAGAACGAATCGAGCGAGGAATGGTAGGGTGGACTAGGGACCCTTTAGTATACCTTCATAGATGAAAAAAGATAGAGAAATCATTCTTACCCTGCTCATTCTTCTCATACGACTCAGGGGCGACACTGGCCGGGTGACCGCCGGTCGTGTGCAGCGCACGGTGAGCAGTCGGGGCCTTGTAGGGCTTAATGCTGGGGACACCGGCGGCGCACGAGGTGAAGCGTTTAGTGCCGCTCATGCGGGCACTCTGCACGGCAAGAGCCTTGCTCATGACAGGGCAGCGGCGGGCCAGGACCTGGAGGTTGGACATGGTACCGCCGCTGGTGCTGGGCCGAGTAGCGGTGGAGAGGGTGCGCAGAGTGGCGGGCGAGGTGCGCTTGAGGAAGGGGCACATGGCCCGGGACTGTTGGAGCATTGCCTCCATGATGGATCGAATTGAATCAGAACAACACAAATTCAAGGGGAATAATAGGAAGAGGAATTATTACCTGGGCTCTCTCCCGTGAAAATCGGACTGGGCGGGGGCGGAATCGACTGACTCAGCCCATCGCTGATTAATTCCGGGCTACAATTGGTTCCAGGCTCTCAACCGGAAGATCTTGCCTGACGGGGTTTTGAGGGGTCTGCTGCAAATCCCGAGGTACACTAATCGAATACGAGAACGGTGACGGAACTTTGGAAATCAATTTCCATATGATTCTCATTTGGTGCGGTGGCGGGCCAATTCTCCATTTGCAGAGAGCACAACCGTGAAAAGCAAACACCGGGGGTGCTACTCGGGGTACGACGCGGGATCTCAGTGCAGAAACCGCCACTCGGGGTTCTTCTCAAATCGCGACATTTTGGATTGGGTATCACGTGGATGGCATCTCTGATTCACAGTGATCTAAGCCATTATCCTGTCAAAGTCTATAGAATTATTATGAAAGCCTTGAATGGAATCCTCGAATATGGTCTCGTGAAAAGACTGATGTAATACAGAAAATTTTCCCAAGACAGGTGTGGGGATATATCGATTCGAAGCTGCCTCGGGATTGTCAAGGTCAGCATACGTAAGCATTCTCCGGAGCTGTGCTAGATCGAGATAGTCTTCAAGCGCTGAAACCAGGAAAATTGGACGTATACTGAATACCCAGTGTGTTACAAAGTTGAGGGTACCGAAGAAGTCAAATGGAATAGCTACATCTAGATTCGACCTGATTCTGCATCAATCAGCTGCCCGTAGATATAAACCCAACCCTTGAGATATTAAGGCAAAAAGAAAACAGAAATTGAAATTCATCATAGAGACTTTTTCCGCATCTATCAGAAAAACACTTCTTTTGTCTCCCCTACCTCTCCGAGAAGTCTTCATGCATAAAACATTTCAACAATGAAGGATCCAAATTCCAAAAACAGAAGAAGTAGTCACTTCGATCCCAATTGGGTGAAGAATTGAACACAAGGTTGTATGTTAATACACAGCGAAGCGATGATGTTCGCCAAACATGGAAAAAGAAAAGAAAAGAAAATAGAAGACAGAACGTTGTAGACCATGGAAAGAAACAGATTGAACGAAAGACCTCACACGGAAACGCCGTCACCCAGTTGCTCACTTGCACTATTCAAATACATCCTGATTAATCTAACCCGCCGTCACCGTCAATGAGGCGCAGACGCTCCTTGGTGGTCTTTGCGCGCTTGGAGGTGCCTTTGCCTGGACCGCGGCCTCGGCCTCGTTTGGCGGCGGGCGCTGGTGGGGTGTCCACATTCTCGGATAGCGGTGTTGCGGCGCCTGACTGCTTGGCACTTTGGTCGTCAAAGTTGCCCTCGCCTGCCAAAGAGTTAGCAAATCGGTCGAATGAGAATTTGAGATAAGAGTGGACAAACCTTCGTGGTACATGTCGTCCAAAGTGAGATCCCGCTTTCGCTTTTGAGCAGCCTTCTTACCGCCCTTGGGAGCTCCGAGAGTCTCGCCGCGCTCGAGCGCCTCTTTCTCCTTCTTCTCGAGCAACGCGGCTTCGTCGTCGTCGGCAAGCCACATAGCAATGTCCTTGGTGCGGTTTTCGCGGGCACGGGTGTTGAAGTCGACGCCGCCAGCGGCACCACCAGTGATGACGACGCGCTGCACCTCTTCCTTCTGTAGGGCGCGCTTCCGAATTCGCTCTTCGATTGTACCCCGGGTGATGAGCCGGTAGACGGTGACTTGTCTGGTCTGACCAAGACGATGTGCACGATCCATGGCCTGGGAATCGATGGTAGGGTTCCAATCAGAATCGTAGAAGATGACAGTGTCTGCAGCTGTCAAGTTGATACCGAGACCACCAGCACGAGTGGAGAGCAGGAACACGAAGATTTCAGGATTCGATTGGAAGTCTGCCACAGTGTCGCGACGATCCTCGAGCTTGGTACTTCCGTCCAATCGGCAGTACTTGTAATTTCGGTACGTGAGGTACTCTTCCATCAAGTCGATCATACGTGTCATCTGGAAATATAATAGGACACGATGTCCACCGGGCTTGAGCTCTCGAAGCAGCTGGTCCAGCTTGGCCAATTTTCCTGAATCTGTGACGAAGCGTCGCATAGAAGGGACTTCGATATTGGTATAGCGGGCTTTCTGAGAGATAGGCGCCGGGAGCATCGGCGGTTTAGAGTAAGGCGCGGGATCGAGCTTTTTCGTGAGAATCTGTTCTTCGAGCTGCCTAGATGTAATGTTATAGAGTGCCTGGCGCAAGCTTGGGTTGAACATGGTCCTCTGAGCTTCCCGACCTGCCTCTTGACCAGAGCAGGAGAGCGTGATTGGTGGCGCCGAGGCAGCGTTTACAGAGCAAGGCTCGATGAGATTGAGACCTTGATCCTCGAATGCCGAGCGAGAGACATTCATCAAGTTACGCATACGGCCCTCGGTGGTGATATCGCGAAGAGCCTGCCGATCATTGCGGTCCACGATGTTGAGCATGGAATGCGCCAAAATTGAATTTGCATCCGTGTTCTCATCATCGTAGGTGACATTGAGGGCAGAAAGGCGGTTTGACTGGCCTCTCTTCCGAGCGGCACGCTCATAAGGTCCAAGGCGGGACAGTTCACTGGCTTCTCCAGCAGACGTATCGACAAATCGCAAAAATGAAAAGGCACCGTTCTCGCGAGCACTTTGCTGAATATTTTCTGGCGTCCAGATATTCATCATGTGTGAAAGGTACTTGTTCCGGAAACCGGCACGGTCGTTATCGGGGCCGGGCATGTCGACGCGAGCTGCCGAGCTGCAGAGAAGACGCGGCAATTCATATTCAATGAGGTTCTTGGTCGAATAACGGACGTCGACAAAGTAGCCTTCACGAACAAACGAGGCACATTCGGCAAAGCTTGCAGCGGAGAACGGAGATTTGGTCTCTGCACGCTCAAAAAGATCGGGATGGTTACAGACCTTACGGAACTGCATTACCAAGTTCATCAAAGTTGTGGTATCGCTATCATCACCCACGGCCGCCTTTTCAAGGATATCAATAATGCTGACACGGTTCCGAAGGTTGGCGTAGATGGCACGCTGGCGATATGTCAGGTCACAGAAGAGATCCTTCTCAACCTTATCGCCAAGTTCCTGCTGCACATTCTTTTTCACACGACGAAGCATGAAGGGCTTCAAGATCATATGGAGACGCTTGAGCTGATCTTCGTTGAGCTTCGTGTTACTCTGAGCATGGGACTCAATGTCCTTTGAGAACCATTCGCTGAACTCGTCGTGAGAATCGAACAATGTGGGCATGATGAAATGCAACAGGGCCCAAAGCTCTTGCATGTTGTTTTGAATAGGAGTACCTGTCAACAGCAGCCGGTTACGACAGGAGAAATTCAACAAGTTCTTCCATCGAGAACTCTGAGATGACTTGATAGCTTGCGCCTCGTCAAGAATCATATACTGCCACTTGACCTTCTGGAAGTATTGCGCATCAAGCACAACTAGCTGGTATGAGGTCACGAGCACGTGGAACTCGGAGTCGCGATTGTAGGTGATGTGTTTGCGATCCCAGAACTTGCGGAGAATCTTACGATCCTTTGCATTGCCCCAGTAAGGCAGAACCTTGATATCTGGAACAAATTTGGCAATCTCCTGCTGCCAATTGTGCAGAGTTGACGCAGGTGCGATGACTAAGAACGGACCCCAGATGTTGTGGAACTCGGCCAGGTATGCCATGACGGAAATAGACTGGATGGTCTTACCAAGACCCATCTCGTCTGCCAAGATTCCGTTAATGCCCTGCTCGTATAGGTTGACAAGCCAGTTGAGACCCTTCAGCTGATATTCCTTCAATTTTGCAGTCAACATAGTCGGCTGGGAGATTTCAATGTCTCCGAGACTGGTTGGATTCTGGAAGTTCATCTCGCCTTCATCAAAGGCTGCCATATTGTCTCCACCCTGCTCCTGGTTAAAGGCACGGGCACGGTCCTGCGCTTGCTGCACAGCGTTCTGTGCATTTGCCATAGCAGCCTGCTGTAGGGCAGTCTCATCATCTGCATCGAAGTCGAGATCCTCGAAGTTTGTGGGCTTGATATTAGGGTCGGCATTGGGAATATTAGGGTGGTGGGCTTCACCCCCGGCGGCGGCCGTGACACCATCTCCAGCTTCAGCTTCAGCAGTCTTGACCTTCCGACCGATGAAGTGAGAGTACAGCTCAGTCTGGGAGATAAGGAAATTGAGCTTGCGCTTCTGTCGGTTTGATTCGCGCTCTGCTTCAGCCTTCTTCGCCGACTCGAGTTCCTGCTTTTCTGCCAAGCGGCGCAAGTCACGCTCCTCGCGCTCGTTGCGCTTCCAGAAGGACATCATCTCACGCATGGTACGTTTGGCACGGGCTTGTGTATCCTTAGTGCTCTTGTTGGTCCGCTCCTGCCACTTGCGAGACTGCTTGCTGGCTAACTGGGCTGTCTTGCGCAAGTTCTCTTGACGGGTGGAAAGCGACGTGGTCTTGATGCGATAGACCTTGGGGATGTCCTTGCGAGCAATGTCACGCCATATTTGCTCGTAGATCTGGTTGTAGCCCTTGCTATCGTAGTGCAATGGAACGGGGGTGCCCTCCTTGGAATAGCGGGCGTCGAGAGGTGTATAATACTCGTCATCAAATCCGGCGTTCCAAGCCGCTTCAGCGGCATCCTTCTCGGCCTGCTTTTGTTCCCTGGACTTCTTGGGTCGGGTAACAGGACCGCCACGTCCAGATTTGCGGCGCGAAGGAGATGAGCGGCCAATATGGAATGAGCTAGTGGTGCCACCTTCGTAGTTAGGAGGCAACGGAGTGACCTCGCCGAGCTCCTCCTGGGCAATTCCACCTTCCAAAGCACGTTTGGTGGACTTGATTTTCTTGTGAGCCCGTTCGGCTTCGCGGAGGAACTTCTCCCTTTCCACTGAGTCCTCAGTCTGGCCAGCCTTGCGCTCGGCCTCCATTTTCTTCTGCATTTCCAGACGCACGGTATTTTCACGGCGACGCTTTCGCTGCATGTCCTTCTTACGTTCCTTCTCGTCCTGGATTTCTTTCTGCTGAACTTCAGCGATGACAGAGCCTTCGTTGAGCGAGCGGAATCGCTCTGTTCCAATAATGGCCTGCTTTTCGAACGATCGAGCGAGATCGAGCAGGAAGGCGTTGCGACGTCGCTTTCGCCGCGCTTGTTCAGCGTGGCTGCTCTCAATAGAGCGCTTGCTGGCTTTCTCCTGGTAACGATTGAGCTCTCCCTCGAAGCCGGGACCTTCAACGTCACTCTTCTCGGCATTGTCAATCTCTACCATAGCCCGATTCACTTGCTCAGCATCAACGCCAGGCGGTAGAGGTTTTCGCACTGGTGGACGAGGGATGGTAGCCGACTGGTCCGATCCGGGCCGTAAAATCCCATTGGGAGCGAATGGGCCCTTGGAAGGTCCCAAATGATGATTATCCATGCTCGGACCTTTCTCCGACTTGGGATAGAAGGTTCCCGGGATTGGCCCTGGTTCTCGCCGTTGATCAAAGTGCGAAGGTGTGTGTGCCGAAGGCGTTGCCATCGATGAAGGCGGAGGAGACGTCTTTTTTGCAGGGTGTTCATCCGATGGTCCGGATAGAATGCTAGCGAAGGACATGGGATCTGCAGCTCGGGCAGGCTTCTAATGTTAAAAAGATTAGGAAAAGCTAATTCAGTGGAAACAAAGAAAGCATGGACGTACAGATTCCCGAGGCGGGGATGCTGGCCTAGACTCCCGATGCATCGGACCGTATCCAGCGCCATTACCTCTGACATGGTATGGCGACTCGGTTTCCCTGGTGGGAGACTGTGAATGGCCATCTGGGCGGCTGGTTGGGTGGCCGTGTGGTGTCGAGGGACCATAGGGGGAAGTGCCGTTGCCTGGGTGCACAGAGCTAGAGAAGGGACGCGGCAGCGCAAGTTGAGGAGTACCAGCTGCGGGATGACCCTGGTACTGCGATGTCTCTCCAAGGGGCTGGTGAGGTGGCGCCGCCGCGCCGTTCAAGGACGGAGGGATCGATGCAGGCATTGGCGAAGACGCGTGCGGAAAGCGAGGACTGCGCGCCACGGAGGGAGGACCGAAGGCCGGGGGTGTCTGTGGTGGGTAGGCTTGCTGCTGTTGCTGCGGTTGCGCAGGCGGTTGCTCATTATTGGGATAGTACGGGCGGTTCTTATTCGGGGACTCATAGGAAGGGAACCGATGCTGCTGAGTCGGGGACTGGGCGTTGTATGGCGGAGCGCCCGTCATGATGGCCGTGTCCCCAGCGCCGGGTACGCGCGACAGAGGCTAGATGCTCTGAAAGAGGTAGAGCTGAATGAATTGGAAAGGATCCAGGTCAAAGACCGAGGACGAAGCCCATGGATAGGTGTCAAGGGGGGGGGCTCGGAGATCTAAGCGCGGACGCGACGTCAGCGAGGTATCTAGATGGGTGGAATAGTAGGTGATACGGGGGAGCGATGTAAGAACGTTAAAGAGAAAAGGAGCGATGATGATCATACCTGATGGGAGGATGGATTCGTTTGTGGTGGGAAGATGCAGGGAGGAGGATCTTTGTGGCCGCGGAGACCCAAGCAGAGAATGCGCTGGGGCTAGGCGAGGATGCAGGGAGGTGACCCGGATGAGTATCAGGCCCGTCTTGAGAAAAGGGTAAGTGTGAAGGGTAAAGAGTTCGATGGTGGGAAAGGAATGGTGAGATTGAGAGGGGCAGTCGTGACTGAAGAAAGGGGAGTAGAGTAGGATCTGGCCGTTCCCTTCCTTTTGCTTGACCTGGTCCGTTGACGGCGTCGAGGTCGTGCCCTGTACAGCTCGGTTCCAACTCCGTCGGATTCCGTCTCTACTCGTGTTAGTCTATTGAACTCATCCGATTTTCTCTTTGCAGAGTCTAAATCGGATTTTGTCCCTACTGAAAGACTCCGTACTGGCGCAGTCCCATCCCATAGCGTGCCAGGCCAGTCGCATACAAACAGTCGTATGCTGGACGCGACCTTCCATATGGTCTCAGGTGTTTACCGGCTACAAATTTGGCTATTGCAGAATCCTCGCAGTCTAGCCAGTAGGTTTTTGTTTTGCTATCTCAGCCAGGCTCTTTTGGGTCCGACTGCCGGCTGACTTCCAGCTCATCCGAAGATTTCATCGCGGCCGATCCCGGTAGATTTGACTTCACGGTACGCAGCTCCATTACCATCAACCTCACCGTTTTCTTTGTCTTTTCTTTTTTGGCTCCCCATGTCACTAGGAAAGAGTTCGATAGATATTCAAGCCGCAAGTTCCATGGGAGTTGGCACCATCTTACTGCACGAGTCGCAGATTGATCAAGTGATGCACTACGCCGGGGCCGCCAAGACCCATGAAATGACTCTGTAAGCCACCTGGTCTTCTCAACACAGATCTGGTGAATCTCTAACATATCGGCTGTCGACCAGCTCTGATTCTAATGCCTCTACCCTAATGAATCGACGAGTTATTCATGCGGACATAGTTGCCGTGGGCAAGCATTCCTTTCTCGGCCAATCACCGCCTCTTCCTTATTTAGCAAAAACTCATGTCAATGAACAAGATGAAACAAAAAAAAATTCACAGCAAGATGGTCAAACGCCCGTTTCAAGTACTCCCTAGACCATACGAGAGGTCTCAAGGTGTGGGAATCGATACGATGACGTACTCCACTCCAGTGGACATCACATTGATTTTGGGATGCATCTACCGAGCAAGCACTCTGTAAAATTTGACTTTCAGTACCTTCGTGTTTATTTTATAAACACTAGGCTGAATAGGATGCTCAAGAAAGTCTTGGCTTTACTTCCGGTAGCGGCGTTCTGGTCCCTTGATCTATCTAACTGCTGGTTGTCAGGATCTGCCAGGAGGGTTTGAAGCGCAAACATACGAAGGATAGTGTGTCTACATGTCGTCCATACATGAACCTACTTACTGGCATATCGAGAAGTGAACAAAAAATCAAGTGTTGCTTTTCTCTCAGGGCTATTTCAAAGATCGCTCCGGATGTCCACCCATAGAAGCGGCGCCAATATTTCACCTGGTAAGGTCTTCATACGAAACCTGGGAAAACAAGACCTGATAAGGATCCGATGAAAAAAGAAAGCTCATCCAGCACGAGAAATCCAACTTTTGGGGATCATCGCGAATATCAGAAGCAGCTCATGTATTAGACGCGAGAAAAGTCAAAGATCTGCACAACAGACCACATAATTGGCTGAACGGTCTGCATTCTTGCATCGCAGATTAAATAAACCAATAAACCATCTTCTTCCGATCACCATGCATATGAAAATCGGAAAGAAGGGCTCACAATCAGTACCTGCCCTGGAAGAGTTCCCAGACCGAATCGGGGCACACTGTTTCATCCCAGACGTGAGCTTCTATTCAAGATGAAACCGGCATTGACTCAGCCTACTATATTACGAAAGCCCAGGACACAAACCACAAATGCGAAATAGCAGCGGAAGAAACCGCACAAGTCCGTCGAAAAGTCGACTTCTATGGGATGCCACTTCTCATTTTGAGCTCCCTGCTCCAATGCATTGACAAGTTGATATGAGTACGTGCATCACAACCTGACTTTTTTTTTTTTCAAAGATCTCAATTTGTAGGATCCGGCTTCTCGATCATCATCACGCGCCGAGCAACCACTCTGTTAAGCCCGCGATACACTCCGAGAATTATCAGATTGGAGGAATGGCTGTGATCCGAATCAGACGACTTGGATTCCATTCCCGATTGTGTCCAGTCTGCGTACTGGATTTGGAGGTGTTGTCATCCATAAGTAAGGGGTTTCGCACATTGTTTCCGTTCTTCTGACTGGGTTAGTAGGCGGCTGTGTTTTGTTCGGTTGCATTACAGCAAGAGTCCTATTCGTGGTGCTCAAAAACGCCCGTCTTTGGATTGTGATGGTGTGCGAGAATCCCGGTGATACTGGGATCATGTTGCGTGTTGAAGCTCGACTAGAACATTCAATGAGGCGGAGTGATCATCGGTCTCATCATGTGCGGCTGGATGGGTGGTGGGTATATGGTGACTCTTGTATCGGTCGGCGCAAATGTAGCCGGGCAGACGGAGAAGATCTTCATGTCCGGCATCCTGTGGTGTGCTTACGGACTCAGTAATGAGATCTCCCCATTGATGAGATTGAATGAGGAAGTCAGGCAACATCACCCGACGTGTTTCTACGCGATCATTGGGACTGCCTCGGTCGTGCTCTGTGGGGCGCTTGTTTTGAGGCACTACCTTGTTCGGGAGAATCGGAGACGGAATCGTGAGGATGGCGTGGTTGCTACAATGGTTGCCCAGGAATTGAGAACTCAGAGATTTGAAGAATAGAGACAATGAGAACTTCAGGTATTCTCTTTGATACATTGAGCGAGGTTGACTATCGGATAGCTAGAAGATCAGTGAAATAATGACGGAGAGCTCCATGCCTCTGAACTACCCCCTCTCAATCAATTTTCAAATGCAAATACTCCCCACCAATGTCGCCTCTTTCTTCCTCTGCTTTGTGGTACTATCTGTCTATGAGAACCTTTCCTGCAATCTCCAACATGCCACATTCGGGGCTCTCGAGAGGGGGCCTACTCGGAACGTCGAGGAACCTCGTATCCGGAACAACGATTGAAAACTCAGATAGCCACTTGTAGCTGCAAAAAACCATCTTGGGATCACTCCACTAGAGCTCGATCGGACATATCCCGATAAATGCCCAGAGCGCAGGTGGTGGACGATCGGATCGGCGGAAGCACCACCGAAAGGATAAGTGACAGTGCGGGGCCGAGAACCACAACGTTCAAGCGGATCGCGATTCCCCCAAGGTAGCTCTGAAGCTCGGGTCCCCCTTAAGGAATCAGACTATGGACCCGACCCTAAACGATAGGAACCGCAATTGCCGGAGATGTTTGCGATCGTAATCTCGCGAGGCCAGACGACTGGGTCGACAATCGTATGATGTTCGCATTGAAATCCCGCGCGGGGAAATCCCGTTGGTGACGTCGTTCACTCCTGGGTCCATCATGACTGCAGCTTCGACAACTCCCCTTCCGATTTGTGAGCTGGAAATGGGATTGGTGTATCCATTGGCTGTTTCAAGGCGTTTACCCCCCCTCTTCGACTCTCCGAGCTCCCCTGTTCGGTTGAGCGGATGGAAGCCTTGTATCGCGCTGTCTGTGTATAGAGATGTCTGAAGCCATCGCGTCAATTGCCGTGGGCGAGGAGGTATATTGGAATACCATCAAGCTTGAATGCCTTAAGGATATAAACAAGACCCGAGAATAGACCGTGTCATGGAACTAGACAACGCAATGGGTCGATGGGGAAAAAACCCGGACTGCCTGGCGACGAGCCTGTTCTTTGCGTAATATCCCCCAGTCCGGCGTTGGAGTGGTACCACGTCGCCATGTAATTTTTTGATTTTTTTTTTTTGATTTTATGCTCTTTTATAGCTGGCGTGTCTCTCACTTCATGGGCCTTGAACTTTCTACCTTCCATTTCTTCTCTTCCTCTCACCACCCCTACCCACATACCTCAACCTCTTATCCATTTACATTTCTACAAATTCCCGACGTACCAAAGTCCCATCAAGCAAGATGGCACCCACCATTCCCGAGATGCAGTGGGCCCAAGTCGTTGAAAAGAAAGGCGGGCCCCCAGTCTACAAGCAGATCCCCGTTCCCAAGCCTGGCCCAGATGAAGTCCTTGTGAAGATCCGCTACAGCGGTGTCTGCCACACTGACCTGCACGCAATGAACGGTGACTGGCCCCTTCCCCTCAAGATGCCCCTAGTAGGTGGCCACGAGGGTGCCGGTGTCGTGGTCGCCAAAGGTGAAATGGCTCGCGGAATCGAGATCGGTGATCATGCAGGTATCAAGTGGCTCAATGGCTCATGTCTGGCATGCGAATTTTGCCAGACTGGTGATGAGCCCCTTTGTGCTGGTCAGCAACTTTCGGGTTACACGGTTGACGGCACTTTCCAGCAGTATGCGATTGGCAAGGCGGCTCATGTCAGCAATTTGCCCAAGGAAGTTCCTTTTGATGCCGTGGCGCCTATTCTGTGTGCTGGTATCACTGTCTACAAGGGTCTCAAGGAGTCAGGTGCGCGTCCTGGTCAGACTGTTGCTATTGTTGGCGCTGGTGGTGGACTTGGCTCCTTGGGTCTGCAGTATGCCAAGGCTATGGGGCTGCGCGTGATTGCTATTGACGGTGGCGAAGAGAAGCGTAGTATGTGCGAGAGTCTCGGCGCAGAGGTATGTTTTGATCACTGCTCTGGATGTTTTTGGTTGAATGGGGAGACTGACACATGATAGACCTACGTCGATTTCATCAAGTCAAAGGATCTCGTCGCTGATGTGAAGGCTGCGACTCCCCAGGGGTTAGGCGCTCACGCTGTGATTCTACTTGCTGCCTCCGAGAAGCCTTTCCAACAGGCTGTCGACTATGCACGCCCCCGTGGTACGATTGTCGCCATCGGTCTACCCGCGAACGCCTTCCTCAAAGCTCCTGTCTTCGACAGCGTGGTTAAGATGATCAACATCAAGGGAAGCTATGTTGGCAACCGCCAGGATGGTGTGGAAGCCGTCGACTTCTTTGCTCGTGGTCTGATCAAGGCGCCCTTTAAGACTGTCCCGCTGGAGAAGCTGCCTGAGGTCTTTGAACTCATGGGTAAGACAACCCTGAAAAGTCCTTTGTCAAAAACATGCTAACACGATGGACACAGAGCAAGGCAAGATTGCTGGTCGCTATGTGCTCGAGATGCCCGAGTAAAGCTACGTGGACCTAACAGTCTGAACAAACAATTCAGCGGAATCTTCCAGACGGGAAAAGAGTCATGATGCATGTATTACAAACGAAACCCAGCAACGCACGTTATGAGAAGCGAGAGAAACTCCCTAGCTACAGTTAATAGAATGACCCGCAGTGACGGTCACTCTGAATTGCGTCTTACATTGGCTTAGGATAAGAATGTAGCTGAGACTGGTTTCACAGGTACCACAACCTAAAGACCACCGTTTTCCGAAGTCTCGCCCTCGACCTCAATCCTTTTGCCCTCATCTTCGGGTGAAACAGTGGTCTGAGGGCCATTGAACGTCTTCCTAGCATGAACAGCATAATAGAAAAGCGCACCAAGCCAAAGAGCACCGTTAACAACAACTGTGTAATTCATATCCTCCGCTATGCAACCAGTCAGTTCAGGCTCATTCACACGGCCAGTCATAACAGAAGGTGAACTTACGCGTCGGATTAGGTCCACCAGTGGGGATCATGCACAGCACAATTGCGAAAACCATGTAGATAACCGCAGTCCAAGCAATCGGCTTACTGAACTTTCCAGTATAGAATTCACCAGGGACAAACTTATCATTACCCCAAACAAGGCGGCAAAAAATAGGTGTCAGCCACGCAAGATCATTACCAGCAACGGCGAGAGAGAATAGTGCGTTGGCCGCGGCGTTGTCGATCAAGGATAGAAGACCAATGACTGCGGCGGCAACAACACAGCCGCAGACCATGCGCACGGGCTGGTAGAGCATCAGTCTGTGCTGGCTGACTTTGCGGAAGAACTGGGAGAAGGGGAGGGCGCCATCGCGGGAGAAAGCCCAGCTTTGACGAGAAGCGGCGAGGACCTAGAACCAGATTAGACAGATGTCTGTGGAAAAGGAGATGAGAACGCACGATGCTCAGTCCCATGAAGAATTGGACAGTTGCTACGACCGCCATGAAACCGAGGGCACCCTGCTTGCCTAGAGCATCATAGTAGATCTAAACATTGGTGAGTTCAGAAATTTTTTTTTTTTTTAAAAAAAAATAAAAACCATTCACTTAGCAGAACATACTTGAGCCATGGGCTGCCCAAATTTCGAGTTTAGAATACCGTCAATATCCGTACTCATTGAGGCCGCAATAACAGCCAAACTCAAGAATCCCAAGATACCACACAACCCAGCACTCGAGATAATACCCAACGGCACCGCCCGTGCAGCATGTGTTGCCTCCTCACTCATATGCACACAAGAATCGAAAGCCCCAATAGTCCAAATAGGACTCAACCAAGCCAACATGAAGGCCCATCCAGCAGGCCAAGTGGTTAAATTTTCCACGTCGCCAAAAACATACGACCCCGAGTTCACCGGCGGCGCATTGTGCGCCTTTCCAATCGGCAACGCAATCACAGTCGCAACGACAAGCCCGATGTTCAGCAAGATACAAAGAGACTGAATGCGCGGCATGACTCGTGCGAAGAAAATGGCGATGAAGCCGTGTGCGAAGACAGTTGCCACGTACGTGCCGTAGATGACAGGTCTTGTAGCGGACCAGTTGCCATCGCGCGATATGGAGATCATCGAGAGGAGCATGTTGGCGAAACCGTAGTCGATGGAGCAGAGGCCTCCGATCAGGCCGATTGTGTTGCTGTAGCCGACTAGGAAGCTGAGTGGGTTCTTGAGCTTGTCCGGGGCGTAGTAATGGGTCCAGAAGTAGAGACCACCTGCTGTGGGCATTGCTGAGGCCATATCGGCCTGATTCGGGGTTAGTGAGATGGCAATTTTCTTCATTTTCTTCATAGATGAAGGGTTCAGTGGACGGGTACGTACCATTGCAACACTGACGATGAAAATGAAGACACTTGCAGCCAGCCATCCTAACATGTATTGTCAATATCATAGCCAATGTGCAATCTAGTGGAATGGCATACCCTATGAGACAGTCAGTAACAACACGTTGCTGAAGCGGAGAAGGAAAACACTCACCCAAACCATGCCCACTGGGCCAGCGGGCATCGAGAAAGAAAGCGTCGAGGCAATAGATGGCAAAAGCCCCATAATACTAAACGCAACCGCGAAGATCTGCAGCGTCGAGTAATGGCGACGCAATTCCTGCTTGTAACCCAATGTTGCTTATGCCCGCATCAGCAATAGGCCCTATATCGTAATGCAAAACACACTCACCCAGTAACTCTGTATCGCCGACCTGCGCATCAACAATCTCACCAAGGCTCGCCTGCTGCGGCGTCTTGTGATTGACCGACGGGGACTTGATCTCGTCTGCCATGGTGATAAGATCTCGTATTCAGGATGGAGAAAGAAGAGAAAAGAAAGAGATCAATCGTCGGGACCGGAGGAGCGAGGTGCTACAAATACGGAGCCACTAACAAGCTTTCCAGCTAGGGAAGTCAGACAACGACAATCCTATCTCTTTCGGGGCTCAGAGTTTGAAATGCAAGTACCTCAGGTACTTGAGTTACCGATTACACCAAAGAGATAAAGAAGTAAGACCCCAGCCATAGTGCCATAGGCCAACCCCGGAGGATCAGCCCCATCACTTCCATCCAGCATTCCAATAACAACCTCTCGGCTATCTCACATATGGCGCGCGTCTCCAACGACTCCTACACGGATACCCGATAAGCCAAAGGCTAAGTGTGGGCGTACGAGGAAGCGGGGGAAGACCCGCCAAAGTCTGGGTTATGAGAGAAAGAGACCATTACTAGGAGCGATAGGAACCTCGGAGCACTAATTCCGCGATTACTCGGTGTCAGAGATAGGTGTCCTAGTTCCGGTTGGTGTGGCAGGCCGCTGATAAGGGGACATGAATGTGGCGAAGGGGCCTAAAGGATGAGGCTTGTCTGCGTAACTGTACTTAGTACAGTGTCTCTCTCGCTTCCAATTCCGAGGCTAACTTGGCTCGATTCCGCTATCAGTATCGTCGTTCCAAGGATTTGTTGTTCTTGGCTGGAATCCTGGCACGGATTATTGCGTACGTGGAGTTTGACCCCGGATTCAGAGAAGTGGGGTCGTCCGGAGTGGAGCCTGGTACACTATATGGTTTACCCGTGCTAGTCCACGGGTCTACTCGGTTAGATGAGCTCCATATATACAATGCAATTAGGGCCTCTACCATGTGCTCTAGCTACTTGTGAAAGGGTGTAGTTGCGATGACAGCCCCTGTAAGGGGGTCTGCAGACACGTACGGCAGCCGGTAGAGACGACAAGCTCATGAACCATATTGGTTCACTGTCCCAAAGTCTGCTCGCTAAGGTTGAATTTTGTGCACAATTGGATAAATAGGTTCGAAATAGGCTCAAGGCAGGTGGCCGGCATTGACTACGGGAATGCCGTCTCAAATCTGAACGAAATTGCTGCTCTAACCTCTACTGAATTTGCCCAACTTTGACGAAGACACACGACTCAACATTTGAAACTCATTTGATCCATTATTCCAACTTAGTGCTTACATCTCCATTCGGTCATGAAATGGCCGAACTCAGCATATCATACATATGCATCTAAAAGTTCTAATAGGAACGTTGCACAGAACAGGGTCTTAAGTCGCCGCACCCAGCTACCAGGGCCGAGTACTCATACAATCCAACATACCATGCTAAATCATGAAAAAAAGATATCTTGGACGGTAATGCACACCCAAAACAAAGGCTAAATATACATTCATGTCGGAAGGAATCCTCGCATGCAAGAGCTCCGGGAATATCATATCATCAAACCGCCCCAGGGCCAGGCCCTTTGTGATTCGACTGATCAAGCAGCAGCTTAGGCTTGATGAAGTCTTCATCGATTTGGCGGAACCATGCCGCGTGGTCACCGCTCGCTCCTCCGGAGAAGAGATCCCGAAGTGCGTCGCGCGCGCTAAGGCCGGATGATTCGCGGCGGGCAGGTGATACGCTTGCAGAGGCTGCGTTGGAGGAGGGCGTATGTGTTGCTCCTGGTGACGGGTGGGATGCGGAGCGGCGCAGGCGGTGGCCGCCGGCGATCGGTGGGAGGTCGTCGTCGGAGATACCTTCCATGTCGAGATCGAACTCATCGGGGTGGGCGACTAGGTTCCCGCGGTTCCTGCCTGAGGGCGGGAGGCCGAACTCGTCGTCGCTGTCGCCACCGCCGAGGCTGGGCCCGGCTGTACCGCCGTTCAGGAGAGTTGCTGTTGATGTGCGATCACGTCGCGATCCAACGTCCTTGGGGCCGTAGGCGTCAGAATACATACGGGTGTGGCCTTGACGGGGGCTAGGACGCCGGCTGTTCCCAGTTGAGTAGCTATCTGTACGCTTGCCGATGCCTCCTCGCTGGGGAAAGGGGTGGTTCAGACCATCAAGAGGGATGGTAGAGTCTCCACGACGTGGGGGTGTAGCCCAGGGCAGTGCCAGAGCGCTTGTAGTAGGTGCCGCCGTGGGTCACCTCGATATCAAACTCGTCGTCGGAGTCTATTTCCTCGACAACTCCGGTCCGAATGCCCAATATCTCCAGCATGCGGGCTGTGGTGCCTCCAAAGATAATGACGGTCAACACGACCACAACTAGGACTGTCGCGCGCAGTGTCGGTGCGTTCACTCCCGCAAGACCGGCAGCCAGTGCAACACCGACGGCACCACGCAGACCGGCCCAGAAGAGCATGGCTTGGTAGGCAAAGGGAAGTTCATCTGCGACCTCAATGCCACGGCGTCGAGCCTTGTAGCGGATGAACCAATTAATGGCTTTGGAAAGCGGAAACACGGCCAAGTAGCGGGCAAGACAGATGCCAAAGACCGCAACAAGGATGAAGAGTGGGTTGAACTTGAGGTTCGACTCGACAAACAAGTCCAAGCCCAGGTAGATGAAAATAAAATTCTCCGAAAGCTGGGCCATAACTTGGAAAAGGTATTTAGTAGTCAACTGAGTCCGGCGGGACATGTTGTAGTAAGCGTAATGCTTGAGAGTGATTCCGCAGAACAGCAGAGACACAATACCTGTAAGAAAAGTGATTAGCCGGGCGTGCCTTTCCTTGTAAAGGATCCGATCAACTCACCAGAAAGATGAACGCCATTGGAGAAGAAATAACTCGCGTAAGCAATGAGGATAATCAAGCAACTCTCAATCTTAGGCATGCGTCTCACCAACGTATACTTCAGTCCCAGCGCCGTAGCGATGCCAACCACAATACCAACCAACATGCTACCGAAGAAAACGAGCAGGAAAAGCCCGGCAGCTTCAAATAGATGAAGGAAAGTGAGCGAGCCAGCATCATTTTCAGCATACTTCTGCGCAGTCTCGAACAGCACAATAGCAATGGCATCGTTCAGGATCGACTCGCCAAAGATGATGGTATATAGTTTCGGCTCGACTTTGTAGAGGTTGAAGATCGCCAAGATAGTGACAGGGTCTGTAGCAGAAAGCGTCGCACCGACCGAGAGTGCCTCCACAAATGAAATGTTCAGCCCGTCCAGCGGGATCCGCGTCCACAAGTATAGAATCAGGCCAAGTACCATGGCCGAGATGAAAGTGCCGGCGAAGGCAAAGGTTAGAATGGTGCCGATGTGGCGAAAGAAATTTGCTTGGTGAAGCTCATAGCCGGACGCAAGGATGATTGGTGGTAGAAGGAGGTTAAAGAAGAATTGATAGTCGAAGGCAACGCTGTCTTGGAGGTTTGATTCGGAGGTGAGGCGGATGATAAGACCGACGAACATGCCTGGTTTTTGGAATGTCAGTCAGATGCATTGACCAAATGCCATGACCTTTGCGACCACAAAATTGGAATTTGGAATAGATTTCAAGACACGTACCTGCGAAAATGGACAGCACAGTCTCGTGCACAGCTTGGATCTTCCTCTGCTGCAGGATGTAGCTCGTGAAGAGGGCAAACATCAACAGCATGATCATAATGAAAAGCGCCCAGGAGCTGGTGATCTCCTTCGAGCCCGCTTCGGGGGGAATCTGTCGTCGAGAATCATAGTCAGGTCATCGCGTATGGAACAGGGATATAGCGTCATCAACGGAGGAGAGGGGCAAGGGAAGCTCAGTTCACGCGTACCATCAGGGTCAGTATCTTCCGACGCTCGCCCTGCAGACATGGTAGTTAGCATATATTCACTAGTTCAACCACCGGCGACATACTTAGCAGAGCGTGGAAGGCCTCGCCCATCAGTTGACCGGCCATCGCGACTGGACTTGCAGAGCAACGCGGACAGCTTGGCTTTGAGCTCTCGCTAGTCTAAACGGGTAGAGCACAGCGCGCACATAATCCCACCGCTAGGGAGTAAGAGCAGTGCGAAGGGAAGTCGGATTGTTGAATCGAGGTCGTGGTGACAGGGCTGGGGGCGTAAGTTGCATCCGCGCGGACGGGAGGGATGGTGGATGCGATTGCGTATACGAAGTACAGGACGTAATACGAAGATTACATTTACCAAGCTGAACGGACGCGGAGTCGGCGAAAACGGGTGTATTGTGGCAGTATCGTAAGAGTAATTCAATGAATCTGACACGTGGGCCATTTCGAAGCCGCGCAACTGCCAAGAAGCGGGTTGAGGCGCTTGTTTTTCTTGGATTCTTTCGACTCGATCGAGATATTTTCCTGTTAAGGGATTCAACAACTAATTGTACTACTTGTTTTCATTGTAAATATTGGCAAAGCGTCAATGATGTTTCATGTAGATACTTCCCCCCCACCTCAATATGTTCAAGCTTGGACTGGCAATTACTAGGTTCGACCCACTCTGGCCGTACATCATCGGTATGCCCTGCAGGATGAAGATCGGCTCAGGCCAGAAACGGACTTTGATTAGTCCGTTATAGTGTGTGATCAGGGTTAATGAGTTCCCTCGGATAACCTCCTAGTGAGCCACGCTGCGACTAATGCTGCGCATCCACCAAATCGAAGGACCCAGCCCACGCTATCATCCCAGGGTGCCCCCCGTGGTTTCTGAGCCAATTTGAAGATGGCGCTGCAGGCAAGACTGGAGAAAATCTGCGGGAAGGAAACGGCCACATTGTGGATTCCGAGGACGATACCGGCTTGAATAAGATCGTCTTCTGGTCCATGCTTGGGGCCTTCTTCGAGATCATTCTCGCTGATATCATGGTCTTGATGTTCGTCTTCGCTGGCCACAGGTGCGTAAGATCCAGAGGAGCTATGGTGTTGTGTGGCACGCTCTGCATGTATACTCCTATGACGATTCAACCGGCGCTGGACCTCAATGCGAGAAACCTCAGCGGATATCAATGCAAACGGTGCCCAGAGAGTAACAGCCCATGAAACGCCAACGAATCCGATGACAACGGACCCTGCTGGATAATAGGAGATAAAAAATGTGCTAAACATGCAGAGCGCAAACAAGATATGAGATAAAAGCCAGGTTCGACGGAGAGTCAACCCTGGTATCTGCATTCGTGACAGCCACGTGGGATTTCCTGAATCGACACCCTTGTCGGCTGCAGCGTCAATGAGCGGCTCTTCCGCGGTGCTTGTTGGCATGCTTGAGAATGATAAGCGGCGTGGAATAGGCTCCTCTTCGTCAAACTGTTCGTGCTCTTCATGTTGTGCAATGGGTACCTTCGAATCATATGTGGGAACCACAAATAGTGGGAGAATAGTGTTCGCAATAAACGAGATAATGGCGTAGATTAAAAGAGCAAATGTTCCAATTCGAGTGGCATCCTCCCACGTTTTGTCGATCTGATCTTCTGGGAGGTCAGGGTGCTCTGCGAAAATCGGGTTGACGTAGAGTTGACCGATGTATGTTGTAGAGTAGAAAAAGGAATGGGAACCAGCCCACCCATGCAGCCACTTGTACTTCACAGACACGGGCAATCTGCGGTGGCAGATTTCGAATAGACTTAAATGCCTGCTTGAAGAAGGAGATGAGGCCAAGTCCATCGGAGGGTGGGGGTCCATCAAGTCTGGGATCCCGCTCTTGAATGTATGAACAACTCAGTGCCAGTGTGGCGATCAAAGAGATAGAAGCAAGTGCACACAAAACTTTGAACTGAGTATTTCCAAAAAATGGTAGAATCCTGGGTAAGTCCAAATATCCGAAGATGTAACCCAGGATACTACCAACACCAGTCATTCGACTAGCCCAAGCATTAGCCAGTTCCTGCTGATGAGGCGGACAATTGTCAACAATGAATGCTCGAACTCCAGCTTGCACTAGATCAATGGTTAGTAATCTCAACGAAGATCAGTGAACAACACGAGAGACCAACCGGTATTGATCGCAAAATCCAGACAATACATAAGAATCGTGGCCACAATAATAACCATGACTTTGGTCCCACTCGACGCCGGGTCGGCACCAAAGAGAGACAAAGACCCACCAACGATCTCCTTTACCCACGCAAGCAACAGCAAAGCAACAATCGTCGCAGCACTCCCAACAACCATAAATGGTTTCCTCTTGCCCCACGCCATGCGGCAATTATCGCTTCGAATACCAATATAAGGCTGCACCAATGTCCCCGTCAAGGGCCCGGCGATCCAAACAAAAGCAAGGAGCGACTTGCTCATCCCAAGGGACAGCAAAAATGGCTAGACATAGACAACATGTCAGTATACCATGCAGACCCGTCAAAAAGTGCATAGATCCGAAACTCACCGAGCCATTAGATAACTCCACAGACCACACAATCTGTAATCTAAACCCCCGAAGGACCAAGTCAGTAACCAGTCCAAGATGAGCTAAGCTCGGAGAGCTAGCGGAGAGCTAGGAAGCTCATTCACAAACTGGCAGGACAGAACAAGACATACCCTCCAATAGAAACCGTCAGTAAAAACAAATACCATCCGCTCTTCGATGTCTCATCAATTCCATCGACATCCCTCAAGTGTTCAATCTCCCGCCTCTCCTCCATAAGCGGCGATCCTGCATGGACACGTTCGCGATTGTTGTCCCCCATGGATCTGCGTCTGCGATAAGCGGTGACCCACTAGAACCAAACGCGGGGGGAGATCAGGGACAGAAGAGCATAGAAATGAAGCCCCGAAGCCGTACTCGATATCCAAAAAGAAGGAAGTTGTTCAGGTCAGGTTGTATATATGTTATGTCGATCAGTGAGCAAACTTGGGCGTGGGCACGAATCAGCAGCTGGGAACAGTGCAGCGAGGCGTCAGTCATGAGGTCTTGATCGGATGTGCGGACATGGCGCGTGAGATCGCCTTTCGGTGGGATTGTGACCAGTGGTATTTTAGAGCGTACCTAGCTCTCATTTGCAAGGGAATGAGATGTTCTTGAGTTGCTGTTGGAGCTTGAGCTTGGGGGGTCCCGAGATCGGTAAGACGTCAGCGCACGTGATCACCACGTAGACATCTCTGTCTTAAACGGTAATTATGGGGCGCAAAGTATCTGGAGCGAAGATATGGCTATACGTCAAATACTAGCGATCACAAATTTGCAAGTGGAGAGAAGACAAGATAGACGATTTCGTTAGATGTCTATAGTATTTCCTGACTGCTAAAGACGGCACACAGCCGCCTCCTGAAAGATACCCGATATTCCCAGAAAAGCGCATACCACGTATGTCCATATCCCTAACATGCTCCGGGAGCCTCCGAAGCAAACGCCCCAAGTGCCCGTACCCGCCAGGCAGCTCGACCGCTGACCGCGGGGGGCAAAGACGAGTCAAGATCCGTAAGAGCAGCCGATGTCCAAGTACAGTGAACAAAAAAAAAAATAACAGGAAATGATGGCATGCAGACGTCGCATAGAGAAAATAAAGATTACAACGACTAGATCAGGACACGCCTGGAACCAAAATGAAGATCATGGCAATACGCTCACATATGCTGGAGAAGTTGGGGTGCGATCATCTGAGGTGCTACCATGTTTGGCGCGGCCGATGCCATGCTCATGGAAGAAGCCATGGTTGTCATGGGCATGTTGACCATGGTGTGTGCGGGGGCGGAGGGGGACGATTCCTCATCGGACTCGAAGTCGTTCGACTCGTCTAAATCTTCGTCAGGAGCAATGGGCGCTTGACCGTCCTGCTGAGCCTCGTGGATACGACGGTGCCTGACAAGGTAAGTTAGTCTGAATAAAGATGCCTATATTGGGAGCGTAAGCTTACTGTGCAAGATTGTCGGAACGCGAAAAGGCCTTGCTGCAGTAAGGGCAAGGGTACGGGCGTTCTTGGGTATGGGTCCTCACGTGCCTAAGCGCCCATGTTAGTCGGCGGCAATTGAAACCATCACACGGAAGCACTGTGCAGATCACAGACCCACAAGGGATCGATGTCAAAAATAGATCGGCAAGCTTACCTTTTGAGATGCTCTAGCCTCTTGAAAAGTCTGCCACAGGAAGGAATAGGGCATGAATGCGACTTGTGCGGGTAAGGGCCCAATTCCATCATCGTGGCGCTTCTGGCCCGACGAGCGGGTCCAGGACCTGATCGATCGGATCTGCTAGTACTGTTTTGAACGCTCGTCTCGATGGCTGCACTAGTAGGGAGTGCTGCGAGATCATCGGGAGCATGGCTCATCGGTACTTGATGGTGATCAACATTGTCTTCGATGTGCTGCAAGGGAGTTCCGTGACGGGAGATTTCCCGAAACAGATCCTTTTGGGGGAGCATTGCACTTGGGTACGTGCGCGCCAAATCATGGTGAGATTCATCGGCCTCGGCCACTGGGGCCACTGAGCTGGAGACGGAGCGTCGAAGGTCGCTGGGCCGGTGAGCAGCGTAAGTGGGAGGTTGTGAGGAAGATTGAGATGTGCCCATGACACCCGGAGTGCCATTCGAGGGACCTGGAGTCACAGATGGTCGTCTCCTGCGCTGCTTGTAGGTCGGTGATCCCTCGATGACAGAGTAGTTGGAAGAGAACGATCGAGAAGCGGCAGGATAATGACCGGCAGCGGCAAAATTAGACGGAGGGAGCTGCATCATGGGGTTATATGGTGCGTGTCCCGCGCTAGACAAGTCAGGAATCGCAGTGTAAAGACCGGTATCTTCGTTCGCAATGTAAGCTGGCTCTGCTCCGAGTCCGATGGAGTGCTGGGGTGGTGTGACGGGCTCGAAGGAGAGACCGCGGTTGCTGTAATCCTCGTATTGAGAGGAGACGAAAGACGGAGCGGGTGAGTACTCGTAGAAGGTGGGCATAGAAGAATGGCGCTGGTGGAGGCGACCGACAGGCATTCCGTGTCGGTCATACTGCATAGGCCCATAGTCTTGCTCACGCTTAATAATGCTCTGAACCAAGTTGTTCGACAGGGGCATCGGCGGGTGGCTGTACATGGTCGGGTGACCCGAGTCGTCCTGGAGTAGCGGAATAGCTGGGGGAGCCATCTGGGGAGGAGGCATTGCGTCAACGGTCCGTACCACGGGAGAGTTGGGCTGGCCATATGTCGTACTTGCGTGGGCAGCAAACGAGGATGAGTTCGCTTGTTGAGCCTTGGTCAATTGCTCGTATAGGGACTGAGACGAGTCAAATTCGAAGGACATGGCCGGCTCGCTAACGGCGACGGTCGTCGCTTCCTGGTTCATCTTCTCGCGCTTCAAGTCGCGCTCCAACGCATCGAGGAACAATCGGTCGTGCGGAACGCTGTACCAGTAAAAGACCTTCTGCTTCTTCTGGGTGCGGATGCAGTTGTTCTTATACAAGAAGTCCAGGAACCCGCTCTTGGGCTCTTCCAAGGTCGCATCCGTGCCGGCCTTGAGGTTGCGCAGATCGGAGAAAATGCCTTCCTCAAATTTCTTCGAGTTCTTCACGGGACGGCCAAATGCCTGGAATCGGAAAGCAAGGCATCGCACGATGTCAGTACCCGAGATGTGGAACAGGTTGCTCCTGTAATTGCGAATTAGTTCAGTCGCCGAGGCGGCTCGATCATCTTCACTCACCAGAGAACACAAGAGACATAGTCGCCCGTAGGAAGAAGGAAGCGACGGATAAGCTGATCAGGTTGCCAGTCGACGGGGGCTGACAGGAGAAAGTACTTCACTGCATTGTTGTCAACAATATTTTCAGATTATTGCACCAAACAATGGGTGGATGACGCACGGTTATCCACTTGCTGCAGAGCGACTTGCGCATCATGGGGGAGACTCTGCTGGGCTTCGGTCGAGAGCATAAAAGTCTCCGGTTTTTGTGGCGGTGCCATGGGGGCACCGTGTTGGGAATACATTGTGGCTACACGCGCTCTATTAATATTCGATCAGTTCCGACCGGAAAGACGCAGATAGATAAGATTGAACGTGAACAAAGGAGGGTCAAAGCAATGCTTCAGACGGGTTCCTGACTCTGTCCTGAGACATTCAACAAGTCAAAGCGACTCACAGTGTTGAGGTAATTCGGCGGGTGTCGTGTGCGAAGCGTGATAGCGAGGGGTCGCTCGGGGGAGTGAGTCAAGCGATAGGAGGCGATTGATGGCGCAAAGGAGTCGTGATTCACAACGATCGTACGCGAGGAAGGTTCGGAGGTGAGGGAAACAGAGGAACCAGCCTCAGTCAGGGGACAAAGAGCAGCAATGAAAGGACGTCAGAGATTGAACTGGACCAGCCGGCTAAGCCTCTGAATTTCGCACAGCGGAAAGAAAGAAACGAAGGTGTGTAGAAGTTTTGGGAGGAGGAGAGAGAGAAGAAGAAGGGGGGGGAGGTACACAACGTCAGTGCTTATTATTAGAGCAGAGAACCGCTGGGAGGGCGGCAGTCACAAGAAGTATATATTACCTTGATGGGGCCGAATCTACGCTACTGGTCATATCTTACAGGTAATGCTCGGTTCTAGTCAAAATACGGAAATCTTACCACTTGGTCCACTCGGGTGTGCCTGGGATTGCACCGGAGCTCCCTTCTGATTCGTGCTCGGAGCCATCGCGTGGATAATCCAACTAGAAAACTAGGAAAATACAAAAAAATCGGGTGAAAAAGGGGAAAACGGAAAATGGAAAAAAAAAAATATTAAAAAAAGAAAAAATGGAGATACTGGCTCAAAAGGGAATAACAGGGACTAAGGAAAATCAAATCATAAACACATCAATAACATGGGTGATTTTTCCGTTCCCCCTCTTTGTTTCCTATCGTGAGTGCCTTGCGGCGGGGGAGATGATCGCCTCTAAACGGCGATTCGACGTGTAGCATGTCTGATCACTCTTTGACTGGGGGCGTTGCAATTTGGCCGGGTGATAGGACTGCAGGATGTCTGTGCTTCCCTTCGAGGGCATCACCTTTCTCCTACCACAATAGCTCTCTCAGTAGAGACCAACAGAGGCGCCAAGACCAGGCTCGCAGGTCAAACTGGCGCTGAGAACCTGAAGCACCTGGATGGTTTGTTTCAGATCTCTGGTGGGCGCTTACATGCATCCTTTCTGGCCACTCACGCCGTTGAAACCGGGGCCCGGCTCCCGTCCCATCTGCTAGAACTATTTCTCCGAATCCTGCCCTCTTTTGCTCCCCTGCTCCGCCGGTACTTACGGGTGTGGCTGGAGCTGATCCCTTTCCGGGTTTTCCGCACACCCTGGTCTGCACGACACATCAGAACGGATGAGTCCAGAATAGGCGTCCATGCTCGGAGGGCATGCTCTATTAACCCATTCCTCCCCGTGTGGCGGGCCTCGACTATTGTTCACGTCAGAACTGTACCTGATCCGTTGCGCTACAATCTGGAGTGCATGCAGTAGTACTTTTTCTATGCCCACCTGTCCATGTTGTGGAGCCCTTTCCGCCCCCCTTTATACTGTACATACAGATCAAAATCTGCATGACTTGGTTGTTTTGACTGTAGTAATTGGCCCGACCCACGCCGTTTATGTCATAGATGAAGATCTGCACGTCTAGAACGGCGCAGCCCGTTACTCAAGCCCGTGGTCGAGAAGGCTGAACAACGAGTCGAAAGGAAAAGCTTGGCAACCGGTCGCCATGGATAATATCGTGCACCAAGGTACGGAAAGCCTCCAAGGCCCAGAACGCCCGACCCGGCGAATCGTACTTACCAAAATTCTGCATTCTCGATTCTCTCGCACATAGTATCCTAGGCTCAATCGGCTCATTCTTAGCCTGCTATCAACCTGCCTGAATTTGCGACCGACCGAAAATACGACCGGTTCCACCCCGGCGAGCCGATCTGCTCCAGTCTCTCGGATCTTGATGCCGTGGAGCTCACAAGAAATGCGGAGGGGCTGAAGATGTTTGATGTTTCATCTTCCAACACGATCACCGGGCCGGGTCCGAGCCGGATTAGGTCCTGTGCAGACCTGGACAGACCATCATGTCGACGAGCTAGACCAATTAGCCCGAAGGCGTGTCTTACTTACCTCGCAGAATAGCAAACTGCCTCGTTCGTTTTTACCAGATTGAGGAAAGTGCACGGTGCAAGGCTTTTGCCCCGGTGGACAGGCCATCGAATAGACTCTTGATCGAGGTTTCGAAAGCGACGCCCCTAGAGCACTCGGAGTAAAGGGGGTGAGCACAGAGCACATGATGCATGGTGCCTGGTTTGATCGTCCACAATGAAACGATCTAGAATTTCCATCTGCTAGCCTTGTCCCGGCTGTGGGGCGTTAATGTCTCCGTCTTCTGAGTTCTCGTGGCTGGGAAAGGAGCCATGCTGCACCGCGCTCCTTTGGGAAAGTTGAGAAATGGTCATATTGAGTTTGCCAGACCCAGCCTTCATACTGATCAAGAGATGATCCTTGTCGATTTTTCTTGTCTATGAATCGCGGTGAGTGTCTCAGAGTTCAGGAAGACTTGTGTTTCTTAGAGCCGACGGGTTCCGCGTCTGGGAAGATGATCTCCCACCGTGATCGACAATGGGGTAACATTCCCGTCGACAGACTCAAACGCGAGCTTTTTAGCGAAGAAGCGGCAAGGTCGTCGAGAAGGTGGTGTTGACGGAGTGCAGGGCGGCCCGAGCTAGCGGATGCACAGAACGTTCTAAACCAGATACTGGAAAAGCTCCGCCCGGTCCTAGTTTTTATGCCCGTCGCCTCCGCTTACCACCTTAGCCGGAAAGTATATTAAATCATGGACCGAAATGTTCCACTCTTGGAGCCCCGGTGGACTCAGCTGGCCCAGAAGTTACGGTGAGAATGAATTGATGGTCTGTTGTGTCGACAATCAGATTGTACAAGCGAGTAATGGGGGTCATGGAAGTCATGGAAATCATAGAAGAAATAAGGTTCAGCCCGCGTGTCTGTTGTTCAGTTTCAAGACACGGTCAACCTCGGTCTCCGATACAGCACGCGGGTATCCACACTCAAACAACTCAAATCATTCTTGCGAGCCTCAATGAACTGGATTTTCAAATAGTGGAAATCCACAATCCACTCTTACGCCCTGTGAACCTTCTTCTATCCGGCTTCACACCAGCACGGGGAAATCCTGTGACCTGATACACAGGGGGAGGGCGAATTAGCGAGGAACCTCTAAGATCCTTTTTTTAGAACTTGAGTTGTTTCATGAGTCAAGAGTTATGATACTACCAAGCGGCCTATGTATGTACACACGTGCAAAGGAGAGAGGTAAGCTCTTAGACGGAGTCGACGCTCTTTCGCCTCTTCTCCAGCATTGCTTCTTTCATGAATGGGCTTCTTGCCCGGATCTTCTGCCCAAAGACAATCAACAAGATTGGCGCTAGAGAGAGCGCCAATGCAATGAATGCAAGTAGTGTGCTGGCCCAATTGAAACCGAGAGTGGAGTACATGCTCATCGCAGCCAGAGGAAGGAATGCTGAGAGAGTGTTCTCTCCAGTAACAATGATCCCAACAGCGCTGCCGGCGTATTTGCTGTATGCATCCACAACGTAGTCTGAGATCCCTGTCACAACGATCACACTGCCCGCCCCGACCATGCCGAGGCCGATAGCAGGTGCTATCCAGGGCAGATTGGGGTAAGATGTCCAAGCGTAGGTGAACATTCCACCAGAGATCCCGAACACGCCACCGACGATAGCGAGGTACAATCTCGCCTCCGGAATTGGGGTGTCAGGGACTTCCTTGTTTCGGGATGCAGAATTGAAATAGAGACTTCCAGAGAATAGTGTCCCTACCCAGCCCAGGCATTCCCCGATCACGATGGCGCCCTGTACGTATCCGGCTTGTGCGGGTGTCCAGCCATAAATTCCCGAGAAGACCTGCTCGACTGATTGTGTGAACAGGTACAGTGTGCCAACGGTGAAGGCAGACCATAGAGCCGAAAAGAACACCACCGACTCGGTGAAAAACATCAGCAGAGGCCGCGATGAGCTGCGAATCACTATTGTCAACAACGGTGTCCCTTCGCCGTCAATTTCATGTTGGGTATACGCCATCCGTCCTTCCTTGCGCAATTTCTTTGCACGTTTTCCTAGGATGGCGATCCCACGGCACTCCTTGAACAAAAGGGCATACACCGGGAACAGAGCCCCATACCAGATCAATTGCAGATAGCTGATCCATCTCCACCCCAGATACTGGAAGATAGGTGCTCCAATGACGGGGCCGATGCTGGCACCTGCCAAGTAAAACACAATATACAGGCTGACGGGCACATTGCGATTCCGCTCTGTGTCCCAAAGATTTCCAATGATCGTGGCAGCAGTGTTAGCCAGAATGGCGACACAACTCCCAGCGAAGAACCGAGTGACGATCAGCGTGGCGAAATTTTGTGCCAGGGCCTGAGGGATCACAAAACAGATGAAGATCAAGTAAGTGCCCAGGAACACATATCGCACACCAAAGTCCTCCATAAGCGGTAGGATGAGAAACGACGAGAGGGCGCCGCCCACAGCCCACGACGTGACAGGCCAATATGAATTGGGGAAGGAAGCATCGGAGATGCCAAATTCCTCATTAATGACCGCGTGTGCAACAGTGATGATTGTGCCGTTCACCATCGTGATGAAAGTGGCGAAAACGGCAAGCATCGTTAGCGTCCATTTCTTTCGCAGAGGCCAGTTGTATGGATTCCCTGGGTCTCGCGGGCCATCCCAGTCGACAATTTCCACATTTCTATTGGCTTCATGGTGGTCTGTCCGTTGTTAGCACCGTCTCGCTCTTGGAATCTTAGATGTCAAAACCATACCGATTGTCTGATCCGGTTCGCCGTAGACATCGCCACGCAAGAATACCATTACTTCTCGAGGCTTCAACGAAGTATCTCGATGCTCATCCCACTCCCCAGGGTCTGCGATGAAATCTGTTGTCTGCCAAGCGGCGGTTTCCAAAAGATGAGGTCACCCGTTGTTTCCGTCGATGATCTCTCAACCGATATAGATCCAGCAGCCTACTTCCAGAGCAACAACGCTTCGAGCAACACTTCGAAATGAAATTGAGAGAATCAAAACGACAAGAAAATTTTCACTTGCATCATCTCAACGTAGTTCAACTCCATCGGACCAGTTCTGGGCTTAGGAACCCACCTCGCCCGTCCTCTCAAGATAATAACCAATTTGGGACTAGCGCGGATGGGCCTTGGAAAAGGCCCTTCATCGTAATGCTTTTGTGTGGTTCGTCGGTTCAGCGCGACTAGTCGATCATGTGTGTTTTTCTTAGAAGAATCGATTTGCTAAATGGTCTTTTTGTATGCACCCCCGCTACTCCGCATTTCAATGCCAAGGCGTTGAGGGAAAGATCTTGGTATGTGATTGGTTTTTGCGACAGTCTACTTGAATGTTGAGTCACGGTAGTTTGAGGGTAGAAAAAGTTTCTCTAACTCTGCCTTCTGAAGGAGGATTCTTGATTTCCAGAACAATTTTTAGAGCGTGTTTGCCGGTCGTGCTGCTTTTCGCTGTCAATGCGAGCCGCGCTTCGTGCGGAAATTTGCCTAGCACGTGGCAAGGACTGTTTCGGAGAAACATGAATTGAACGAACCCAGGCCTACAGGTCTAACGTGTAATGGATCTTCTAGGAAGGTCGAGGCATACTGCCCGGGTGCGTTGCAAGCCACCAAAAGGACCTGACTACCAGACTTGCCAAGGCTGTGACCCATATTGAGAATATATATCGCGGTGTAACTAGTGCATACAATTGTCCATGTCGAAAACTTAGTTTCTTCCAGCTCCCTTGGTTGGCTACCTTGAACATGAGATGTTCAAGTGTGTTAATACCTGGAAGGGCCCAAAAAAGATCATCCATATGATGTATGATCTGGACTCTTCAAAGACAATAGCAGGCGATGCAGCTTTGGGGCCACCTCTATCGTACTAGGCGAGTGCCAACAAAGCTATGATCGATGGATATCGATGGATCGTGGAATTGTTAGATTGCCAGTTGAGAACAAAACAGAGTCATCGTTACTCTGTCCCAACCATTTTCACTCGTCCGCGCAGCGTGGAACCCGTGGCTCCGCAGTGATCCATCGCAGACTTGACAATGACGAAGTTCTTCAGAATGAATATGAGCTAATTAAATCACAAGTTGGACTATTGCTTCTTGAATAATTTTGGAGCCTTTGTAATAACGGCCTGTGGCAAAGGAGTGATCGACAGAAAGCATCTGTTTATGGATCAAGATCGCTGGACTGTCGCAAACAGGCAGCGACAACCAAAATGCATTGTTACCACTCCTTCTGAAATGCAATCCTATTGTCAACACAAGTCACTGTCTATTATTAGCGCCAGTAAAGATAAGAAATATACAGTTGCCCCATAGGTCACACAATCCAGTGGTTATATCATAGCTTGCCACATCCGTTCCCATGTTCCAGACTCCCCGCACTTGATCATGAGTTCAAATACCTCACCCTCTCCCGCTGATTTTCAAACCTTCAAACAACCACTGCTGTTAAATTCACAGAGTACAATACCTTCGCTGGACTCGATAAAGTGCTCATCTCCCAACCTAACCACGAAACGCTACCCAAGATGGTCGGCTCTAACATTGACCACAATCCAATTGATCCTAGCATCTTGGAAAAGCGCAATTCACTCGATAAAAAGAACGACAAGGGAACACAAACTCGCAAAATGAGTGACTTGGAAATGATCATGCATCGAAATGTGGCTCCGTAAGTCAATGCGCTTCTACCATGCTCATGTTTCATCCCCTCTTCTGACTTGCCACGTTCTCCAGCACTGCCGAAGCGATGTGCGCCGAGCTAGCTCACGAACATGCTCTAGAGGACCTTCAAAACTCTACAGAGCATAGTAGCGTACCGAATCCAGTGCGAGGTAAGCTTTCAATAATCCATTTTTCCGGATTGCGCGTTGGGCGATCCTCATAGCCTAGCTTGAAAGCAACTACTTATACGAGACTTTTTAGGCCCCGTCTATTCAGAGAATTACCTCGAACATGCCACTCAGTACGAGCCCCGCCGACCGGAAGATTGATTAGTGCTCCAGAAACGATTTTGTCCATGGACGTACGATTATGTCGCAAGCGCTTGATGATTATGTGAAAGGATACTTCCGGATTCCACTATAAATTGGCATGATATAGCCGTGAGAATTATCTGAGGATGATGAAATGTGATATCTACTGAATAATAGCGAATTTAACCTGTATAAATTTGGTGTTCCTTCGCCTCGCGGACATGGGTTGACTCGTGATGTCAGAGTGATGCTCCAACCACCCCGTGATAACCTTTTTCCCTGGGGATCCCGCCAGCTCTAAAAACGCTTAATTTTCTACTAGTGATTCTCCAGAGAATCATAAGTCTAGCATTTCGGGACTTGAACCGGCTCCCAGAGCACAGGACGAGCATGTGCTTTTAGTGCTCAATATAGCGTTGTCTTGTGGCATATCTCATAGTGGCTTGCTCCATTGTATTCTGAGTATCCATGGCAAGGGAAACATTCAATGAAGTCTGAAAACAAAAAATCATAAGCACCGTAACTAATCGGTATCTCTCTAAATGAAATCATATCAACGACCTTTCTATACATTCACAACCACGCCTATGAAGCCTCAGTGGCGGAATCAAAGACCTTGTTGCCTCGATACCACGTCTGACAGACTTTGGCCTCAAGTAACTTCTCTGGCGACCAATCCATGTCAACCACTAAGAAGTCCGCGCTCAAGCCCTCTTTCAAGCTTCCCGTCCAAGAATCAGCAAATCGCGCATAAGCCGAGCCATTCGAAGCAGCAGTAGCCGCTTGCGCCAAACTCATCGCAAATTGGGCATTCAGAGTGTCGGCCATCTCCGGTTCAAGTGCAGAGCGCCTCGTGGTCGCATTGTAAAGATTAGGGAACGGGAGGTGGCGCGCAGTAGGAGCATCCGTTCCAATTGCAAGAGGAGCGCCTCCGTCAAGGAACTCTTTGTAAGCGAACGCACGCTTGCAGCGGTGCTCACCGACTAGAGTAGGCCATGCTTTGAAGAGCATGGGGTCGGAGTGGACTGGTTGGATGGAAGCGGTGATTCCTAGCTGTCCTAGTCGCTTTGCATCTTCGGAGGTGGTCATTTCGAGGTGCTCGATTCTGTGTCGCCGGCCAGGGGTGCCGACTTGTGATAGGACGTCAATTGCTTGGTGCACTGCTAGATCGCCGATGGCGTGGATGGCGCATTGGAGACCGGCTTTGTCGGCGTATTCGACCACTTCTCTCAATTTGTCTTCTGGCCAGATGGGGTCGACAAGGGAGGATTTTCCGGAGTATGGCTGCATCAAAGCGGCGGTACAGCCATCGACGACGCCATCGCAAATGAGTTTGACTCCGAGGACTGTGAAAGTCGGATCTGTATATTGCTTTTTCAGCTCGATGGCTCGGTCCACGTGCCGGAGGTTGGCTTGTTGGTCCTCGGAGTATGGGACGAGCCAGTGGACTCCGACATGGAATGGAATTCCTTTGTCGCGGCGATACATATTCAGAATCTCCCACGTGTTATCATCCATGGCCATGTCGATCAGTCCCGTATACCCGGCGGACTTGTAACCGTTCACGGCGGTGTCAAAGGCGCTCAATTTGTCTTCTGTCGAATAGAGACTGTCTAAGAAAGGCCATGCGTTGTTGATGACGGCAGATTCATCCAGGAGGCCCGATGGCTTTCCGGCTTCATCGCGATGGATAGTTCCGCCGGCGAGATCAGCCCAAGTGGCAGCGCCCATTTCGTCGAGAGCGGCTTGGTTGCACCACATTGAGTGTAGATCGAATGCGTCGATGTAGATAGGTCGCGGATCAAGGTCGTCAATCATACTAGATAGCGCGATTCCCCCAGTAGACGACTGGATCCATCCTCGACAGAGAATCCGGGGCGCAGAGGGATGCTCGGCGGCATATGCCTTGATCACTTCTCGGATCTGCTCGAGTGATGTGCATTCGATGAGATTCGCTTTACGGAGGGATTGGCCGTGTTGCAGGATGTGTACGTGGCCATCGACGAATCCGGGAACAACAATCCGGTTGTTCAAATCAATGACTGTGGCTCCTTCTGGGATTTCAGTTTCGGGACCGACATATGCAATGCGGTCATTCTTGATGATCATACAATCGGCGAAATTGTCGCCAGGAATGGCCGATGGCGCGGGTACGAAGACCCGGCCGTTACGAAAAACGGATGTCATCATCAAATGAGAAGATATTTCTAATCGTACAAGGAATGAACCACGATCTAGTGATTTGAGAGAATATTTAAAGAGGGTTGCGGAACGTGGGGTATTCGGGAGGACTTTCCTATTGTGACCAGTTGAGGTTTGGGGTCAACGTGACACGTGAGGATGATTTGTGATTTTACACTATCACGACCATCATGAGCTAGGAGATCTGCGGGATGGAACTTGGCTGGTTACCGAGCAAGATTGAGCAGCTTTATCGTCAATATCGTCCGGGCCATTCCGTCCTGATTGCCCGAGGTCAATTAGCCGATGTTGCAGCGGCTTGGCAGCGCAATTGGACGCAATTGGACAATGTTCATCTGAGGGTGGGTCCTCATGCCGCGAGAGATAAACGAGGCCATCTGTGAGCAATAGATTCCTTGTATGAGATGATAGTGGCTCCCTGCTAGAATGATTCAACCACTTCTCCAATTCGGAGGAAATTCATCCATGCAACTCTTGGCCGAGGATGGTAATTCAAGTGAACCTTATGATGTGAAAGATATTTAGAACGCTCTTGACTAAACATCTAATAAGTGGGATCTATTGTTATTATTTGAGTGTCCGTATGATGAAAAATAAGGTCAAGAGGAGCTTGGTTAATTTGAACTGGCGTATGTTGTAGACCATCTATTTCTTGGAGTATACTGGCACTTCAAAAGCCCTCTGGACGATGGCAGGACCACCGACCATCGGCTCGATAGGCTTAGGTAGAAAACAATACCCCAGTTTCGGCTTATCGACGAGTCAGTACCCCGTATTAGTGCCCAGCGCAAGGAAGATACACTTGCTTCCTTATAGCCTTGTTATTGGCTATTGCTTCAAACTTCCCTTTTGAGAAAAGCATCCTTTTACTTTGCCGCTCAATCTTCAAATGTGAATGGCTACAGAGATCCGACTTTCGACGGCCGATACTGTTCAGGCAGAGGTTCAATCATCATTATGTGGCCGACGATAAATACATCCCATAGGGTTCGCAACTGGTCCGGGGTCCATGCTTGAAATTACGACCTGGCTTCTTCAATCTTCTCGCCCGCGTGACTATCCCCGACAAACAGCACTTGCAATTGCGATGTCTTCACAGAATGATATAATAGACCCTGCTTCTTGGCCACCAGGGACGGTTCGGCTTGAGGGTAAGTGAGATATCATTCCAGCCCTACTTGTTCGGCAGATTAACAAGACGGTGGTAGAGCTCAGCCCCTCGGGTGACACCGCAGAGGTGGTCCTCGAGCCCAAACCGACAAACGACCCAAATGACCCATTAGTGAGTGATGAAAGCAATTTGCTGGACATCTGAGTGCATATTGCTAACACCACAAAACATCAGAATTGGCCACAATGGAGGAAGCACCTAAACTTTGGATTCGTTTCCTATTATGTTGTGATGGTTCTGGCATTGTGAGTGTACAGTCACCTTGTGAGGCTTGATCGACCTTACTCACAATCTCAGTATCGACGTCGCAACAGTCACCTGGGGCCCAGTGAACGCAGAATTGGGCTTCAGCTTCGCCCTCCTGAACGACAGTTACGCCGCCGGCTGTGGAGCGCTATGTATTGGTGCTGTGATCCTCGTACCCTTCGCCCTGAAATTCGGAAGACGCCCAGTTTACATCTTCAGCACTGCTGCTCAGCTTGGAATCAGCATCTGGTCTGCGCGGATGCACAATGTCGCAGACCTGATGCTGGTCAACATTCTGAGTTGTATTGTTGGAGCCTTGGCCGAAGTTCTGGTTCAGATGACTGTGGCAGATGTCTACTTCGTTCATGAGCGTGGTATGATGAATACCACCTATTTCTGGTTCATGACAGTCGGAACTACCCTGTCACCACTAGCCGGCGGGTACATTACCCTGTCTCAAGGTTGGAGATGGGTATGGTGGTGGATGGCCATTCTATTTGGAGTCGGTCTTGTCGCTCTTTTTTTCTTCTACGAGGAAACGATGTTCAACACGGAAGCCATTGACGGTGTTGTCGTCCGAGACAACTTGGCTTCAGCCCCTAGCAATCACAAGCATGACCCGGAAGCCTTGCCCCCGAAAGTCATCCATGACATTAAAGACGGATTTCAACCCGAAGCAGTCCAGCTTGATTACTCTATTCCTAAGAAAAGCTTTTTGAAGAAGCTGGCACCATGGTCGAACTCACCTCTGCCATTTGGCCAGTTAGTCAAACACAGCTACCATCCATTCTTAATTATGTTCAGCATCCCGGCTGTATTCTACATGGCACTCGAGTACGGTATTATGGCTGCATGCACGACTGTCCCCGTCACTACACTATCTTCTGTTATGACACTACCGCCGTATAACTTCGGATCTGCACAAATTGGTCTCATGGGCCTTCCACCCTTTATTGGAACTAGCCTTGCAACCCTCATCTGTGGACCCTTGAGTGACAGAATTGGTCTCTACCTTGCGAAGAGAAACGGAGGCATCTTTGAGCCGGAGATGCGCCTCTGGCTATGCCTAGCATTCACCCCATTTGTTCCAGCAGGTCTTTTCATGTTTGGCATCGGTCTGAACAACGGGTCGCACTGGCTTCTTCCGGCATTTGGTCTTGGAGTCAGCGCATTTGGAGTCGTTCCAGCTAGCAGTGCTGCACTGACTTATCTTACTGACTCGTACACCGATGTAAGCTTTACACGTCTTACGCTTCCCTTGATATCAAGGACGTGCCACTAACCTTGGGTCTATCAGATCATCGCGGACTCGATTGTCGGCGTCACTTTTATACGTAATCTCATCTCTACTATATTTGTTTTTGCCCTTTCGCCATGGTGCGACCGTGTTGGCTTGACGTGGTTCTATGCAACCTTCGGCTTGATTGTGGGAGTGATTATGCTTGGAAATCTTGTTTTCATTTATTATGGAAAGGCTTTCCGAGTGAAGTGTGCGAGTAAGTATCGGCACTTCAGTGCTCAGAAATCCATCTAAGGTTGGCTTTAAATAGGATAGCATTAGTCGGGAACAATCGCTCGGTATGGGCTAGACAATTAAAAGGATCAAGGATCTTGTATGTGGTGTGCAATGCGTCAATAGTGAGGGTTTGGAGGTAAATTTGGAGACATCCCCCTCTCAGAGACGCCCTCGGAGCCCGCGGACACCGGCCAACCCGCTACAAGTGCTATAGCAGAACATCTAGCAGCCTGTGCTTGGCTGGCATTGGCTGGGTTTCCGAGAAAGTTGATAGACAAGCGATAGAGGCATGTCTCGTTGAGGAAGGTCTAGTCTGTGCGGGGAAGGCGAAGTAACACCAACTGCATGAAACATTCCGATTTCCGAGGAATTGAAAGTAAGACACCTTGGTATGTATCGATCCAAAGCCTTTCCCCAAGTATCACTTACATCTCGATACTAAAGATCAGCAACATCTCAAGCGCTAGCTTTTGCTCTGAAACTATCACAATGAGGACGACCAAGATTGCTCTCATCCAACTTCACCCTAAAGTGAGTGCCGCATATGCCAGCTTAGTCTCCTTTGGTCTCAAAAGTTGACACATTAAAATCAAGGAAAATGAAATCGAATCCAATCACCAACGGGCTTTATCATTCATCAGAGAAGCAGCAGCCTCAGGTGCACAGCTGGCCGTTCTCCCGGAATACCACCTCGCAGACTTCTTTCCCAGCTACGATCTCTCAATCAGGCATAGATGCGCCAACTGGAAGAGATATCTCGATGCGTACTGCGCAATAGCCAAAGAACTCGACATCTGCGTCGTGCCAGGGTCCCTGGGCGAATTGCACGAGGATGGCAGCATCGTCAACGCCGCCTACTTCATCGACAACACAGGTGCGGCCTGTGGGAAGTACGAGAAAAAGAACCTCTGGCACTCAGAACGGGGCTATGTCAAGGGATCGAAGAATGAAACTCGCCATGTCGCTTTCGACACGCCGCTGGGCAAAGTTGGACTACTTATCTGCTGGGACTTGGCATTCCCTGAAGCGTTTAGAGAGCTCATTGCACAGGGAGCGAAGATCGTTATTATTCCTGCGTTCTGGAAGTATAGCGATGCGGGTGAAGTGGGAATGAAACGCAATCCCAAGTCCGAAGGCGATTTTGTTGATGCAGCTGTTGTCAGTCGGGCTTTTGAGAATACGGCTGCCATTGTATTTTGTAATGTTGCAGGATCCATAGAAGATGGGTATGCTGGTCTTTCCCAGGTGGCAGTGCCATTCTTAGGACGCATTGAGAGGTTTATGGATGCTGAAGAGGGTATGAAGATTGTGGAACTTGATATGGACATTTTGGAGGAGGCTGAAGATGTGTATAAGATTCGTGAGGACATGGCAACGTCAGACTGGCATTACGGATATCGCAAATAGAGGCACATGGTGTATTACAGTCCTTCGAGTCAGCAAATTTTTTGGGGCAATAGTTACAAAATCGACTGGCGTCCAAAGCTTGTTTCCATGTCTTACGAATATGCAGGCCAAGACACGAGGTATGCTTTATCGAGAGAGAGGGAATTGAGGAATATTGGTCGAGCTTCTCCATGCATACTGCACTGTCAATATGCATACGCTTTTTCGATAAGGCTCCCCAGGGATTTGAAGAACTTGAATGACGAGCACTGCATGCCCGACACGTTGCTGTCATGCAGTTCAAACATTTAGTTACCTTGTGAATCCCCACAGTCTTCACAATCTATCGAGACAGTGACTATTTCTGGCACATGTGTTCTTCGTCGTCCTGCCGCAGCACTCGTATTGATGCAGGCAGTGTGATCGACTGCGTCAGACGGGGCGGGGGGCAACGTAAGCCCATCAAGGGTCATTTGGGGAAGGATTGGGCGACTGAACCCCAAGCTAGGCCTGCCAAGAGCCACAAAGAGCGTCCACGTCATGTTCCTATGGCAAAATGTCGCAATGAACCGTGCGGGGAATTGGTCAACCTCACGAAAATCGACCGCTTTTTACAGTGTAGTTTACCCCAGGCTTCCCCCGGTCCGATGCTCAGGGTAGCGAGACTACAATTCGATCGACAGCGGGGCGTCACAGGCAAAGAATCTAGGGAACAAAGCGAGTGCATATCGGCCCATGACCGGATTTATGGTGGGTTCTGGCGAATCGTGAATGAGACGAGGTGGGATCTTGGGCTTGTCTTTGACATGGCCAGGCAGAATCTTATTTGCGGGATGGTTGAGTAGGTACCCCAGGCGTGATGTCATGCCAAACAAACCATCATTGACACGAAGTCCAATTAGCTAACCTCGCGGGTGGGCTTCCCCCAGAGTTGGGGGCAAAATAATGGGTACTGTAAGTGCGCGGGCGCAGACACGATTGCCGACCTTCCGATTCCCCAAGGTACCATAATTTTGTTCACTAGCCGTACCTGGAACAGAGTAGAAACATCTCAGCGTTGGAGACGAGGCGTCCCGAGCCAAGGGCCGGATTCCCTGGATATTTTAGGCACATTTTAGCAGGCTAACTCGTTCGGAATACGCCGATGTACGTGGCGCGAGAAATTCATCGTGAAAATGGGGCGCAGGGATCAACGGACGAGGATTCGGGGCGCTAGTCCTTTTTTCCTCTATTTTTTACGACCCTCAAACTCTCTTCAACACTCGGGTTTAGGGGCGGACGAACCGTGATTGGCCTTCTAGTGGAGCTAGGGCGCAAAGTGGGAAAAGGAAAGGGAAAGAAAACACTGTCGGACTCAGCCCGTCTCCACCGGACCCTGCCCAGAGAAAAGCAAGAGCCTCACGGGTTCTGGATTTATTTTGGGCGTAGCTGCCTTGTTATTTAATGGACTCTTCGCCCCCAGCTGATGTTCATGTCCCCTCTAAATTCTTCATCCTCTTTAACGTCACATTTTCTGACACATTCCTCGTGAGAATCTATTCTGTACAACCGCAATACCGACATCATGCAATACAAGACTCTCGCAGCTCTCCTCTTCGCTACCGCGACTGTTGCTCAGACTACTGAGTCCAGCTCTAGCGGTAGCAACGATGACTACTACGGTTCTGATGGGTCTAGCGACGGTTTCCTCGAGCTCCCCATCCCTCCCAGCTCCATCCTGGCCGTCCTGTCAACCGCTATCCCGACTTCCTGGCTCATGAGTATGGAAACCGACGCGGCATACGCTTCCGCAGAATACAGCAAGATCGCCGAGGGTACCTATCCAGCCTGGTACAACAGCCTCCCCGAGAGCGTCAAGGACTGGGAGACTTCCGCTGCTATTGCCGAGGCCTCGGCCATGTCCAGCCTCTACGGAAGCGCCACGCCCACCATGGGCTCCATCACCGGCTCCATGGGTGCCACCGGTGCCAGCAGCACCGCTGGAGTGTCTTCTACTCCGCTGACTGGATCGTCTGGCTCGTCTACAATGGTGACTTCCACCATGACTACCACTACCACTACCACCTCTACCACTTCCACCTCCAGCTCTGACAGCAGCTCTTCGGGTTCTGCTTCCACCGCTACTACTGGTGGCTCTTCCACCTCTACTGCTGGTGCCCCTGCTGCTACTGGCGGTATTGCCATGAGCCTTGCCGGCGCTGCTGGCATCCTGGGTCTTGCTCTTGCTCTGTAAATCACATAGTTGTGATTGGATTGTATTATCTGGGACAGCAGAATTCGGGATTTCTGTTGCCGTCACATTCGATTAAAATGCGGCTTCTTTTTACGTTCTTTACGATTCATTGAGTCTCGGCGTCACAATACCTCATCTTTACTATCTTTATCTAATTATTATGAGACATACTTGACTTCTAAATCTTCTTCGGCACAAATGCCTTCAAATTTCAAATTTAAGCCTCGGCATCACAATACTACGAAAGACAAGACACCTTTTGTATCCTGAGTCTTTGTTGTGAAGTAAGCTGGTGAAGATGTGTTAAAAGATTCCCAAATCCGAATTCCGTTTGGCAGAAGGTTTGTAATCTCAATATGGGCAAGAGGTGACATCTCCAAATCAAGAAAGTATGCCCGGCCACGAGGTGAAGATGAAGACGCCCTCATCTATTGCTATCTTCATTATGGTGCCTTGAAGCCAGTTCCTCGCCGACAATATGTTCCCAGCTGTTCATCGAAATGACACTAGGCTGTATCGGGCTGTTCTCTTCGAAGAAGCCCGATCAGTCTGTCGAGTCGACCGATATGGGTGATGAGTAAGCCAAGGAGCAGGAGCTCGAGTCTTTAGTGCACTATCAGACTTGCGAGAGAAACGTGGCAATCTGACATGGCTCACCCCTTCTTACTCATCGCTTGTAGCATGCTACGTGTGCCCTTTGCAGAGTTCGTATTTGTTTGAAGCCATAGCTTCCAGCTCTCTTCCGACCTGTGAACCAATTTATATTCGATTCACCATGGTTGCTCTATCAGAGGTCCACTCTTCAAATGAAGCCATCGCAAAGACGCTACCACTAGACATAGTGGCTGTTTTCGTTGGCGCGACTAGCGGAATCGGTAAAGCGACTCTTCTCCACTTTGCGCAGCACACCCGACAACCGCGAATCTATTTTATCGGTCGCTCGCAGCAAGCCGCCGACGAAATTCTTAAACAGCTTGAAAACATCAATGTGGATGGTCGATACGAATTCATTAAAGCCGATGTGAGTCTGCTTAATGTCGTCGACGAAGTTTGCTCGAAGATCAGAGAGAAGGAGACGCGGATCGATGTTCTGTTCCAAAGCCAAGGCACTCTGGACATAAGCACAGGTAAGTCTTTCAACATTCAAGACATGTTGTGATTCCAAGACATGTTGTGAATCACGGTCCCGTTCGCAGATTATTGAGTCTTTCGCAGAAACATCCGAAAAATTATCTCTCATCATGGCTCTCGGCTACTACTCTCGCATGCGCTTCATTGCCAATTTGCTTCCAATGCTCCAGCATTCATCGATTAGTCGCGTGGTAATTGTTCTAGCAGGAACAAAGGAAGGGCCTGTCAACCCCAATGATATCCCAGGGAAGAGGGTCTTACCCTGGAAAGCGCGCGGACATCTTTGTTCGATGATTACACTGACGCTTGAGCATTTTGCAAAACTGGCTCCTGAAGTTAGCTTCATACATAATTACCCAGGCTTTGTGGACACGCCGCTGTCGCAATCGATGAAAGGGGTCTTGGAAGCTGCGATGAAATCTGTGTTTCGGGTGACGAGTCTTTTCTCTACGAGAGAGTATGTGTCTCTTGACGAGACCGGTGAAAGACATGTCTATTTGGCGACAGGTGCGAGGTTTCCAGCGAAAAAACCAAGCAATTCGTCACTAAAGGGCGGCTCTACACTGCTCAATAGGAAGGAAGTTGCCGTTGGTAGTGATGGAATTGTTGGAAGTGGCGTGTACATCGTGGATGAGTATTGTGAGGGTGGCGATGCAAACGTACAGAGAGTTTTAAGTACTCTCCGACAAGACGAACGTGATGCGAAGATCTGGGAGCATATGGAGAAAGAATTCTTGAGAATCACAGGGAAACCAGCGATTTTGGGGTAGCAGTAAATTTAAAAAATGAAATGCGAAGGAAGAGGACGGAAGAGACACGAGTGGAACTAAATTGTCTAATGATATAATTTTTAATTGCCAAGCCAGAGATAATGCAAGAAAGTAACAGTATTATTGTAGTGGCGGCGAAGATAATGCCCTCTTTATAGTGAGACATCCTTCCTTTCATTGTCAATGAGCTTCACTCGATTGACAATCGAGCGTTTAGTTTCGTACTATCAAGCGAATGACCATCCGCGGAACTTGATAAGGTATGGAAACCGTAATCGTCATTCCGTGACGGCTTGGCTCTATTGACGATGATTGAGTCTAGCCCATGACCGAAATAAAATAACATTGCATGACGCAATTGACGGTGAGAATTGTGAGGACTAGCGACGTAACGGCAAGCAGTAACATCGTGTCCTTCCCTGCAGTTTTCGCGCGGAATGTGTGCCCACAGAGAATGATGATCCGGCTTAGCAGATATGCGACCAACGCAAAGTGGCATAACTAGAGGCCAGATTTAGTGATGATCATGCCATATAGATGAAGTTGCTTACAATGACGCTGAAAGTGGAAATCTTCCTTTCTGAACGAACGGCCCAAATTCCGATCATCGTGACAATGAAAGAAATGGGTATCAGAGCCCTCGTGAGAGAATATTCCGGCTCTTCGAAGTGAACATCGACCAGGTCATATTGTACAATGAACCCGACCAAAAAGAAGAAGTTAAGTTTGAAGAGTACGGGGAAGACGTCACACGAGTCAGTCGCTATCGTTAACGTGATAGATGGGAAGCTCACCTCGTATGCATGATAACGGATTTTGAAACTCAAGTCACCATGTACCTGTCTGTATAGAGCCCATGCATATTCCCCGTGCAGATAATACGCAGTAACCCATATGATGGGAGTGCTGAGGCCTATGAAGACGATCGCCACCAGCTGTGCAGGCTGAATATATGACCAGACATTCATGCCAATTTCACGAGCGGTTTGTGATCGGAATCACGCTGGAGAGACAGGTTATAAACCGCCTCGTTGAGTTGCCCATATTGCATGGCAGAAAATATCAAGATCACCACATCGCAACCGCAAAGTGCGAAGAGCAAGATATTATTCTTGCAGTGAATACCATCTAACGAAAGAATGGCGGCGTACACGCAGGCAAAACTGAGCAATGCCAAACTAACGGGTACAATGTAAGAAACAGGGACCTGTGTTGCGTGGGAAGAGTCCAAGACTGCCATTGTGTGAGGATGTAGCTGTGCAAAGTCAGGAGATCAGGACTATCAAATATGAAGATGGAAAGAAGCTCACGCTTCAAGGGCAACAACCACAACGGCCTGTAGAGTTATCGTCCCGGAGAACTACCACTCGTTCCTTGTCCTGGGGAAGTTCATAATGTCTCGGTCCGGGGATGCTGCTACGAAATCAGCAGCATGTATGCTCTGAGAACTTGCAGGCTAGAAGATTGATGGGAAAAGCTTGTCAGTGGGACCTTCGGTCGTTCTATCGATTGGAAAAGTTTTTAATCGTCACTGGCTGTGGACCTGGACCCTAAGTTTGAAAAGCCCGAAAAAACTCCGGATCACCATACCCTTTAAGACTACGCCGTGATATACAGAGTGGCTTTCACAAAAATCAGATTAACAAAAGGATACTCAAACGATTCTTCAGTCTGAGTTACCCATTTATTTACGACCCTCAATTAAAACTTCGAGATTAAGCAGGCTTCGGTGGACGGGGTTCCCGGAGCTGAAGTAAGACACGACTCCACCGGATCTTCAAGGTGGATCTCCAGAATCTGGCTTCAAGCCTCCAATTTTCTTCCTCGATTCAACTCGAATGTTTTTTTCATGAATAGAAAGATACCTGGTAGGATTGCGTCCGCCGGAGCTATCTTCTCAGCGGTGAGTTTACGTCTTAAAGAATCGCCAATGATATTGGTTTCTTTCCTGGTGAAAACCAAATCACAGCTTACTTAACATTGAAGTTCTAATTGCCCTGGACCCTGAGAGAATATAAGGTGGCTCAGAAGTATGAAATTGAGGATCTCGTCAACAATTTCACAGAAGCGGCCCCGGCTATCTAGTATCCACTGATATTGATCGCATTGCTCTTGTCGTGAATAGTATCAGAATGCACCTGGCTTGTAATTTTGGTATCACAGAACTTCAAAAGATATGAATGAGATTTTGCGATTTATTCTGGATCTCATTTCCTTACTATTGTAGGAGGAGAGGATGCAAATGAGGTAGATTGCCCATTGAATTTCCGTGGATTGTAGCTGACTGGTCGAATTACAGAGTTCTCCCGACAGGCATTGCAAAATTGGCTATACTATCTCCTTTCAACCATGACGGACAATATCTCCGAGCTCTGTATGATCTCATGTGTCGTTTACTCTCATGATGCATGCTAATTTTATCCAGCTCGACTCTCAGGTATCTTGCGCGGACAGGAGAGTTTCTCTCAGGCGGTTTCACTCGGACTCAACACTAGAAATTGGTATGGAAGAAGAGTTCCTCTTGCAGTCAACACCATTCTCCTTGGTAAGTGCTCGCACGATTGAAAAAATTGCGTATTAGCTGTTTCAAATTGTCCAGCTTGACTGACTGGAATGTAAAAAATCACAGGTTTCGCAGTGTTGCCCACCTGGCTCGTTCTCAGAGACCACAAGCCCATCGAATATGACAAAAGTGAAGATAATTTGACTCAAATTAACGATGAAGAACAAAAATTTGAGCAGCTAGACGGTATTACCGGGAAATGGAGTATCATTGTTGGTGAAACACGCATGACAAAATGAATTATGTTCACGTCAAGCCAGTATGCCGAGTTCAACACATAGGCTTAACTGGTCAAAATTTTACTTCTGTTCAATCTCTTTTTCAAAAAGTCCCAGAATATTGAAAAGAAATAACAGCAGCAAGTGAGCCGCACGACTGCATATCGATCACGTTCCAACCGTAATCCATCTCAGCTTCCCAATCATACGAGCGGTCTGGTCGACGAAAAACAGAGCGGTATGAATTTAGGGCGGGAAGCATGAGCATACCCGGCATCAAGGGACCTTGGTCTTTCCTGCCGAAATGATACTGTGCGCCCAGAGCCTGTACGGTTACACCGTCTCAGCTAGCGCCCAGACCAACAATCTCGAACTTTCCCGTGCGAGCTTTAGCCATCTTGGTTGCTGCTTCGTTACTTTCGCCGCCCATGGAGAGGAAGAAGGCTTTGTCCAGCCCGGGCAGAAGTAGCTTGGAGAGTCGTTCGCCTAAGCGGATAACGGGGGGCGACACCGTTCCAGAGAAGAGATGATCAAGGGACGCTGCGTGGTTTGCAATGACTTTCACTATTTTTGAATGGCCGTGTCAAGAAGGCAAGATATCTGGTCGGATGTCCAATCTAAGACTTTGTGTCCTGAGACAGTGTAGACGTACAGACCTTAGCTGCCGTAGATGACATCCTCATTGAATTTGGTGCCATAATTCAGCAGAAGTTTCTGAGCCTTGAGTTGGAGTTCGGCTTCATTGAAGCCATGGTACAAAGCGGGAGTTTCATCGTCCTTGGAAGGAATCAATGTCATCATCGTGCCGTCGGTAGTTACCCCAGGCGCCAAGTGGCTTTGATGAATACCTCCGAAGATGAGAAGAAGAGAAGGGGGGGACCAGTTAAAGTGGTATTTTGAGGCTTTATAAGAGCTGACTTGAGTTGAGTAACATACTTTTCTTGTTTATCGAAGGGGATTTGACCCAATACTTAGTTTCCCGCGGCCCGCGGGCAGTGTGAACAGAGCGGGGTTTTGTTCGAATCATGTATGAGCCAATAAGATCATAATAACTGACTTGTTCTATTCTCTACCTTATTTTTACTTCACTGATTATCAATTTGGGTGTTGTGTGTTCAGACCTTGTTCATATCTCCTGAATCTTTATGCGATAGTGGCCGACGGGGGAATCCATTCACAGCCCTTTGAGGCCGTTAGAAACTTAAACGTCCCGTCTACATATATCAATACCCCCCATACCTATAGCGATAACCAAGTCAAATAAAGTATAGTTGAATCTGTTGGATTGAGATAACGGTGTGCGATGCCACCTGTAACGATTGTGCAATGACTTGTCTGGAAGCGTTGTGCCTTCAGACACAAATACGTCGAAACGGTTGGGACAGACGGAAAGTCAGCCATTCACTCAACTGAGACGAGAAACCTGAGACAGAAGCTATTCAAGTAAAAGCTATGCTACTTTCAGCTCTCTGATGCATCAACTACGGGTCTTTTTCGGAATGATACTCGCATGGATGATTAATCGGATCAGCTTCATAGGGGGTCCCACATGTACTCCTCGGGTGTCCTGAATATAATGCAGTAATTAGAGTCATCCACTTGGCTAATCTCTAAGGTAGATTGACAACTCAATTCTTGTTGACAGATCAAAGAAAAAGTACCATCAGGGAAAGTATGCAGTACCGGATGCATTTCGCCTGATTTGGGCGGACTAGCCCTATACGTCATAACTTGACATCACGCGAGCACTACGCGCCACTAAGGATCCAGATGTTGCTTGGATCATTATCTAAGATGGGTCGGCAGATAGGCTTCCAAAGCACACTATGTACATTATTGACGCATGAAGTAATAGGTGTGTGATAGCTAGTTGCTGCGGGTGGACCCAAAATGGCGAGATATCGGAGGATTTGATCGGAGATACGCAGCTTTGAGGAGATGCCGGTTACATGATAGATAGGGATGACCATTCACACCATTCGACTTAGGCCTAGGTTTGACACGCGCCATGTGAATCTCGCAGCTGATTGCAGGCTGAGTACGTCATGACATCACGTGATACCGCACGGGCACAGCGTAACCGCCAACTCGGCGGGTTGCATTCTCATCATCCCTCGCTCCATTGCAGCTTTCGCTCTCACATCCAAAGATATAGCGAAAATCCAAGCCTACCTCACAAAATGGCCTCTTTCCAGGACCGTGCTCAGCACACCATTGCCCAGCTCGACAAGGAGGTACGTTTTCCGCGATTGTGTGTTTCGATGGTGCCTTGCCAGCTTCAGCCCTCGCACCAAAATGGGGCTGCATTGCTTCCGAGCCCGCAATCTGTGCGAGCAGCATGAGCCTCCACGATTGCTTCCCTTAATCTTAGCTCGGCGCCTTTTAATGGCCACTGGTTATTGAGCTTCATCCTGACTGACATTTTGATGCAATAGCTCTCCAAGTACCCTGCCCTGAATAACCTTGAGCGTCAGACCTCTATTCCCAAGGTCTATGCCATTCTGGGCCTGGGCGGAGTCTATTTCTTCCTCGTCTTCTTCAACATTGCTGGCGAATTCCTCGTCAACTTTGCTGGTTTCCTCCTCCCCGGTTACTATTCCCTCCAGGCCCTCTTCACTTCGGGTACCGCGGATGACACTCAGGTAAGAATTCCTCAAGCCGTTCAGTCTTGCCCCAATCATGCGATAAACTCTTGACTAACTCTCTACCTGCTGTAGTGGCTCACTGTACGTTCCCTTCATTCCCAAACATTGTCGTCACTCGTTGCCGTTTCACGTCCAAGTCACAACGCTGGCTCGGGCTTATCCAGACGCCACGTGACAAATTTCCTTCCTGCGCAAGAGCACTCATCTGACTGATAATCGTACAGTACTGGGTCGTCTTTGCTTTCCTGACCGTTGTTGAGAGCGCCATCAACGCCGCCTACTGGTTCCGTACGTTCCTCCATCACGCGAGCTGACCATCTGGCATACTGACCCTCATAGCCTTCTACTACATCTTCAAGTTTGTCGCTATCCTCTGGATGGCCCTTCCCCAGACCAAGTAAGCTCCACCGCCCAAAAAAATGTCTACAGGCGGCACTGACCATAACACAGCGGTGCTCAAATCATCTTCAACTCCTTCCTCCAGCCCGTTCTCGGTCGCTTCTTCTCCAACTCCGGCACCTCTGCCAACCTCCGCGCTCAGGCCGAGGCTGCCAAGGCCCACTCCACCTGAAGAAAGAGCTATTCATAGCGTAGCAGAGAATCGTTTTGGTAGCGCTGTCTGTCCAAGACTTTAGTTTAGAGATAGGTCACGGATCTGTCGATTCTCAGTGGCTTTGGGTTCTAGCGTTGTGCATTGGGAAGATCGAACCCGCGCTATTAAAGTGCAATTGGAAGTAGGATGACATTTAAGGGGAGATGATCGGAGAAAGTGGGCCGTGTCCGGGGTTGAGTCTCGGCTGTGTGGTTGTTAACGTTTATTTGTGTGCTTTATCTCATTACCCATCCAAATGGTAGAGTTGATTATGCTATAACAATTTCCTTTGGCCTGCGATGGCATGTCTGTTGCATCTTCTCTTTCTCTTGATATTGGTTATCGAGACGGGGAGCCTGTATGTTCCCCATCGTCATGCGTATAGGATGATCTTCACTGGATGTTGTAATTTCAGTGTGCTTTGCATTTGACTCATTTGACTCCTAGCGTCTTTGGCTAGTTCTAAATAAATTATTAACCTGAAGGAGAAGTTCACCTCCTCTTGACGTCGAACCGAAACCCCAGAACACCCGAGAGAATGAATAGATCCACGGAAACAATCGCAACGCCACTATTTCATCATCCTTCTTATTCTAAATGTGAAATAGAAAGGAAATTCGTAAATTGCGCTGGGTACCTAGCCTGCGCTTGAGAAATACAATTCTCAAAAAGAGGCATGGCTCAAGACTGATGGGTCACTGATTTAGTACAGTCCAACACGGTTACCCCAACCATCAGTCCGGGGATTGACCACAATGCGGTAGGGGAAGGGGTTTGAGTCGCTGGTGGTAATAGGCGGGATGTGATCTTTGTCACGATTGACGACGTTGAGGATCTTCAGCGCCGCCTTTTGGAGCATGTTGGCCATGGCTTTGCGGACTTTTGCTCGCTCTGTCGAGAAGTTTAGTAAGATTCAATGAGTCAGGCTCGACGCAGACAATGTCCTTTCAGAGAAACAGATGCTAGAGCCCACAAGCCAAGCGGCACTCACCAGACTCAGTCCGCGGCGTGGCGATGGTCACATCCAACGTCCAGATCTCCCAGCACACCTCTTCTTCGCCCTTTCCGGCCAAGCCTCCAAACCAAAGACCCGAGCGACGACGCTTCTTCTCGTAGAACTCTACAGCGATGCGACCACGTACTCCACCCCCACCCCCACCGACTTTGCCATCCTGCGCCCCAGCGGCTGAAGACAGGTGCTGGCGCACAAGAGCGCTCACACGGGACTCGATCAGTGTTTCTAGGTCTGCGTCGTTGATCGCGGGGAGTGTGAAGTCTAAGACATCAAAAGTGATAGGGCGAATTGAGGGGAAGTAGCGGTGGAAGAAGATGAGGTTTAGAACGCCTGGGAGTGTATTTTAGTTGAAGTTCGGGGAAAATGAACATCATTTGCATTCCGAGCTGATTTGCAGCGGACTCGTACCTTTCAGTACATCGCGCACTGTGGTGGTGTCGGCGAAGATCTCCAGAAAGTACTCCGGGAGGGGTCTTGCGGGGTTCCATCCCCGCCTGCGAATGAACCAGCGCACGACTGGACGATTTTCGAGGAGGGTAAGTAAACAGAGTGGATGATGAGAGGAGACTCAGTGAGAGTCTAGAACAAGAGCGTTGAGGATCATGGAGAGGTCGACGGTAGAACGTTAGGAGTGATGATGGTATGAGGGCGGTTTCTATCGGCCATCGGCTGAGCCGAATGACGCTTATCGCCTTATCATTGGCCGGGGTAACTGATTCTATGAGGTGACGAAAATAGGTAGAAAGATTCTTGTTTCTTTTGAGCTTGCGATTTTTGATGAAGACTCGAATTGAGAGATCAGCTGGGTTCAATTTTGACAAGGAATCAATGGTTGCGGCAAGGCCGGTTGCGCCGAATGCAGCAGAGTGATACGGACGCCAGGTACCTAGGCTTGCTAGGAAGTTCCCTAGGACATTGTTCGTAGATGCCAAGTGGCTGAAATTGATAAAATTTTGATAGGTGAGGCAGTCTGATCTTTAAAATTGTCATTTATGGTGATGCAGAAGCAGAAGCAAGTTCACATTCGATAGAGCAGGCTAACCGAGGCCCTGAATCCCCGGCCACGATCAGCGCCCGAGGGTCTCCCGCCTCGTCTGCCCGACTTCCCATCTCTATCAACTACATCTACGATGAACCTATTTTGATTCATTGCTCCGATTAGGGACTTCTTTCAAATCTTTTCAATATGATCGGTGCCGCTAGGCGCTGGTTCCAGCGCAATCGCAAAGGTCTCGCGATCGGGGCTGGCGTGCTAGGAGCTGGCTACCTGGCAGGCCAGTATGTGCTATCCAAGATCTCCGAGGCACGCGAGCGCATGAGCAGTGACCGCATTGCCCGCGAAAAGTCAGTATCTCAGACTCCCTCTTTTGATCATCCTTGCTGCTCTGACGGCACGCGAGCTTATGACGGGCTTGAACTGTCCCAGACTGGATCCAGGTGAGCTGACAATGACGACAATAGTCTCCGCCGGCGCTTCGAACAAAATCAGACCGATTGCACTTATACCGTTCAAGCTTTGCTCCCGACAGCCACAGAGAACATCATTGAAGCGCTCCCCGTGGAGGAGCTAACGAAGGAGTTGCAGAAGAAGCGGGCGGAGAGGCTGGCGCGTCTCAATCCCGGGGAAGGTTCAGGATCTGACATGACATCGGTGGCAGCAAGTGTCAATAACGATGATCGGAATAGTCTTTCGAGCTTCCAGAGCGAGGGCTATATGCATGCGAGCCAGGTGGAGTCTGGAGATGCGGAGGGCCAGCCCCGAGTGAAACGGAACAAGACGCAGCTGTGGAACGAGGTTAAGATCACATGTATGTGGACATCAGCGATACTTTTCCGGTCTGCTATGGATTACTGACAACTTTTTAGCTATCACAAGATCCTTTACCTTGATCTATACTCTCTCGTTGCTCACCATCTTCACCCGCGTCCAACTCAACCTGCTAGGCCGACGGAACTACCTCTCCAGCGTCATCTCTCTGGCTACCCCTCCCACCGATTCGACTATCAGCTTAGAAGACCACGATGATGATATGACACAGACATTGGGCGATGACTTTGAAACAAATCGGCGATACCTGGCTTTCAGCTGGTGGCTACTCCACCGTGGATGGCAAGAGCTTGTGGCGCGGGTCCAGCCCGCCGTGGAGGAAGTTTTCGGCCCTTTGAACCCGCGTGAAGATATTAGCCTGTCCAAGCTTTCGGAGTTGACTCTCCAGATTCGGAGGAAGGTCGAAGGAAATACAGAAGAGGAGCGGCGGTAAGTGGCTTGATAATCGCTATCAAGACTAGATGACTGACGATGCATTACCAGATCGAAGAAATGGTTATCCTGCTTACTGCCGCCTGCAGAGGAAGAAGAATACGTCCTTCGTGAATCAGGTGTCGAAGGCGTAGCAGACCCATCCTCTACACAAACTGCGTCGAAGCTGCGCCACCTTCTCGATGAAACCGCCGATCTCATCGATTCACCTTCTTTCTCTTTTGTTTTGACCCTGCTCAACAATGAAGGGTTCTCGACCTTGATTGACGCAAAGTGCGCCAACGAGGCTTTCAAGGCATCGCCTGTTCCCGAAACGACCCCTCAGTCATTCGACTCAATGGCCACCGTCGTTCCTCCCAGTACCACCGAGCGCAAAACAAAACTTGCCAACCTCCTAGCAGTGATGGCTCGCCAGGCACACGTTATCGGAGTTGGAGCCCACACAAACAACGAGTACTTAGCTGCCATGGATCAAAATGTGCGAGAGCTAGAGGCATTTTCTGCTGTAATCTACAGCTCGAACTTTGACCTCGAGCTTCCTGGGGCCAACAAGGCCGCAGCCGAAGGCGAAGGAGAGCAAGCATTCGGCTCCTCCTCATACGCCACAGTCATGGTCGAGAAAGAACCGGAAAACAGCGATCATCTGACCCAAAGCGCCCCAATTCTTGTCGGTGACGACGTTGATGAAGAAATTGTGAGCACTGGTGCACAGAGGGGACCGGAGACCGGGATTCTGGGAGAATCGGCTTTTGAGCAGGCCTGGGGCAAGGCCGTAGAAGATGGGAATACATCTCCCCAGTCTGAGGGCCAGACGACTCTGTGAGATCTGATTGACCAACCTGTGTCTTAAGAACATGTCTATCCAATACCCTTCTTTTGTATTTTCCACTCATTTTTTGTCTCAATTAGACTGACTGTGGTAATGACACATATATATGACTTCAATAATTGCAGCTGTCGTGCTGATTTCCAGGCACCTGCACTACTCCGACGACCGACGGAAACAGTTAATTTGTAACCTTACAAAAAGGGAATACCCTGGGTCGTGCTCTTAACAGTATGGATGTGTTGTTTGACTGGATCCCTAAATAGCCAATAGTTGGACTGGGAGTACAAAAAGATGGTTTCTGAACAGGCGGCTATATTTTCTTGGTCCCAGATCCTCAAGGCTTTTGAGAAGGATACCTCGAAGAAATAAAAAAGTCATGTGGAAAACGAAACAAAGTGTTCACTACGCCCTGACCCATTTCCTACGCCCATGTCGACACCACAACTTCTAGGTTATATAGAAAACTTCATCGTACGAACCAGTATAATTTATTCTCAAGTAGATTCAGATACATCACTGCTTCATCATTCGCAATCCAAATGTCGCATCACTCTATCATCCGGTTGGGATCGGCTTTTCTTGACATCTCGGGGCTGTCTTAGATGTCTTGTACGAAGTCCCACGGTAATCATTGTCAGGGATGCCAGGACCTCCGGAAGAAACATGAGAACCACTCGCACTGTGGTGGTTCCGAATAGTGGGCTAAGAGCTCTTCTTTGAGAATAAACCGCAATGATGCCGTAGATGACACGAATGCCAACAAACGCCAGTGCGACAAGAGCACCTTGTTGAAGCTTTAGAGAGTCCACCGTCATTAGCCATCTCGTCGCCAAATTATTGATATCAAGCAGAGAGCATAACTCACAGCAGTACCACTGTGGTACCCGGGTGCACCCTTTTCACCTTGGGAGGGCGTGAGAGAAAACAGGGCCCAAGATACTTGTAGAGCCCATGTCACAAAGAGCACAATCGTCCCTGCTTTCCACTCGGCCAAACTATTCGGCTTCGGATGGCCTTTGAAGAAATCCAAGGAGCCTGAAATGGAGAGGGCTAGGGCTGCGATAATGAGGCCCGCAGTGACGATGACTACAGACCAACCAAGAATTTTATTGTGCGAGGGATGGCGGTAGCATCGTCTGTTCATTACCTATTAGCTTTGATTTTGGTAGCAAGGCGACCATAGAGCCTTACGCTTCGTGAGTCAACCCATCAATTGCCAGGATCAAGTGTGTGAGTCCGACACTCTGGATGATATTCGCCGGTAGACCGTTGCTGTCGTGTACTCCGAAACCACCGCCGACAATTCGGGCAGTACAAAAGACCGTCAGGTAAAACCATGCTAGAAAGCCTTTCCATCTGTGAGCGAAGAAAAGGTAATTCACGATCGGCAGCAACATCAGGTACACTGCAAGATCAGCTGGAAAGATCCCATTCATATTGGACCCTGGTGAGTCGCGTCGCGAGAGCAATATAAAAAAGAAGAAAAGGAAATCTATTCGTAGCACGGGTGAAAAGAAACGGAAGGATTATCGGCTTTGCTGAGAGACTTTATCTCTTGTTTAAGATGAGAGGCTTTATTTATGCAATTGAATTCATCATGATCGCCCGCGGCGCGAATTTAGAAATTTGACACTGCCCTAGGCCTCGTACCCTCTTTTGGAATACTCTTCGGAGAGGATCGAGATGGTCTGCGTGCAGCTGAGATGGTTCTTCCGATCTAGTCCCTGACTTGCCAAAGTGTAAACCCACACTGATCTTTGTGCTGGTTTGGCACTGCGCGCTTGCCCCTATTCGGTATATGGTTCGGGAAAGTCCACTTTACGGCCCGATTTGGCCAATTTGTCCAATGATACCCTTCTTTTTTGGCCCCCACTGGTAAGGCTAAAGTGAGCAGTCAAGATAATTGGAATGGTGGAGTCCTATGAGTGGTTTGACTGAGCCTAGACCCTTTCACTCCAAGGTGTGAGACTCGACGGACTTTGCCCTCCCCCTTCTGAAGTGATTACCCTTTTCAGTAACCAGACTGGAAACCCCACTGCTATGGTGTATAGAGGAAAGCTCAGTCCGGGCTGTGCCTTGTGCCGAACCAGGCGTCTGAAGGCATGTGCATCTGACTCCACGATCGCGGAAGCTTCTGCTGATCCAGATAGTGTGATCGGAAACGGCCATCTTGTTCACAGTGTCTACGAATCGACCGAGAATGTTCTGGATATCGAGATCTAACAGCACTGCGCTTCTATGATCAAAGCGAAGAGGTAATCTTGAAAGCAATATCTAGGCACACCGCCACCCAAGGCGTGTCCAATCTGTCTCCTCAGAATCAACGAACACCCCTACCCCTCGCACCCACGTTGGTCTCAGTCGATGATCGAGCCACGTCATACACTCTCAAGTATTTTGTTGGTCAGAACACAAAATTGGGCGTGCTTCCGTATATTCCACGGCTGCTAGACTCAGATCCATCTCCGAATCTGATAGCCTCGATCAAGGCTGTAGGGCTGGCAGTGATGTCCAACAGACAAATGTCCCCAGGTTTAATGCAATCAGCATATAGTGAGTATAGCACAGCGTTACTTGCCACGAATAGAGCATTGCAGGATCCAGCCATGTACAAATCAGATTCCACATTAGCGGCAGTGATGCTGCTCGGTATGTACGAGGTGAGACTCGTCTCCACTGCTGCTGGTACTTCAATTGACAAATTAGGTGATCACATGCCACGCATGTGGCACAGATCTCATGGATCGCTGGGCGAACCACATCAATGGTGCGATGAGGCTGATGGAGCTACGGGGACCGAAGCAACTGGAAACTCCGGCTGGACTGGAGTTATTCTCTCAAATACGCATTCAAATTGTAAGTTGTGACCTCGATCTGTTATGTTGGTGCTAACGAGAGGAACACCGCAGGCTATCAGCAACATCTTCTACAGACGATATAGCTCGCCTGTTATGGTTCAACTCTCAAACATGGCACGATCCTATCGCGACAGTAAATCCCAAGTGATTGACAACTTTTACAATATCTTAACCCGAATTGGAGACCTCTCAGCTATGATCAGTGACTCTATTCCCAATTCACCTTCCAGCAACCCTGTACTCTTCATACAGAACGCACTTCATCTAGATGCAGATCTAGTCGCCTGGGCCATGTCCATTGACCCTACATGGCATTACACTGTTATCAAAGCTTCTCCCGCAAGCATCAACGACGACAATCAAATTTACCACACAATATATGGCGATACGTACCATAAGTACAATACGCTCGGCTTTGCCTCTCTCTGGAACACATATCGCCTATTGCGTATCATGCTTCGCAGGATCATCGGGTCTACATGTAAAAGCATGCTGAGGCGGGGCGAGTGCCCAGAGAAGCGCCTGACCATGGCCCAGGGTGTCGTGATTATCAAACAGATGGCGGAAGACGTGTGCGCAAGTGTGCCGTACTATTTTACTTCCGACGATGTTGCTATCGGGGGCTTGATGCAGCTGATCTGGCCATTATTTGTTGCGTCGGACTGCGTGGAATCTGAGCCAAAGATGAAGAAGTGGATTTTGCAAACTCTGGATAAAATTGGGTATACCACGGGCATCCAACAGGCACTCATGATGTCGAAACTTGCCAGAGCAGGGAACTCATATTCAGTAACGCAAGAGCTGTACAAAGAAGACAAAATGAGGCAAAGCACAGAGCCCTACGGAGACGAAGAGCTCAATTCCTCGACATAATGGCAATGCAGCGGTTCTTGTATTCACTTCAAGCTTACATCTCCCCGTCATCAAGTTCACCTTAGTAAACCTGTGGAAGATTCGTATTCATAGTGTCTGTCCGAATATCTTAGAATTTCTTTTTTTGCTGCACATGGGAGTGTTCAATACCTGGAAAACATCTCTCTCTATGCCGAGTCTCCGCTCGCTGGATTGAATCTTCCCATCTCCTGCTCGTACGGCGTCGATGTTGAGTTCGATTTGGCTATCGCCACTGGGTGTGCGGCTAAATCAGACTCTTGCCGGGATTGTTCAGCCTTCGCCTTGTTTCTTTTGCGAATGAAGAATGGGATGAGAAGACACATAGTGATTACTCGAGGTTTTGAAGTGTCGATTTCTCGTTAATCTGAAAATACCAATGTTCGTTGAAGGCGAGAGTGCGTTTTTACATGGGATCACATCGTCTTTTATACATGCACATCTGCCATTTAGTATCTTTCGCCCTAGCATTTGAGGGTATAGTTGGTGAAAGCCACGCGGTTGCTGAGCTCCAGGGCTCACTATGTAGATCACTCATGTGCGGGCTAACTCGATTGGGTCAGTAACTCGGGCCTCATTTCTATCATCTAACGTCAGATTGAGTCTTTCAGCTGAGTCCATTTACAAAAGAATGCTGTCTTTAATTGGGCTCATAGACCGCTATTCAGACATGGTACCCACTGTGTGCGCAGTAACGTGTATGACGCCTGGCCTCTATGAGAAGGGGGCGATTTCATCTGTTTAATGCCTCATGCAGTAAATTAGATTCGAAGCGGTCTAGAGAGATGTAATGCCATTTTCGTCATACTAGCAGCCTTTGGTAAACCCTGCAATTTTTCAGAGGGTACAAGTAGCATCTCAAAGCTCATTTGAAGTTGATGATTTCAACCGTATCCTGACAATGACATGTCAATAGCTTTCAACGATACACTCATGACAAAGACCATCAGAGATTGAATTGCTAAACTGATCATTACTAAGCATGATGCGCCAGTTCTCTGTGATCTCCACCTTATTATCTTCCATAAAATCAAATTTCTAATATTCTCACATGTTGATAACGAAGAGACTTTGACTTTTCAACTAAAATCAAGCGCCCTTGACCGAGTTGTGGACTGCCCGGCAATTGTCGTCAATCAGCCAATTGCTCTACGAAATGGACGAGACAAATGAATATCGATAAGGTTCGTTGACCTGGTTATCTATTTTCCGATCTAGGAGCTCAAAAAGGATATGGCGCTGTCGGAGATGGGGCCCTTTGAAGCTTGATCTTGCAGTTCTTGACGACGTCGTGGAAACAATTTCGAATCTCCAATATAGGTGGATGGAAAATCTACCACATGCGCAAAATCCATCGACTATTTACTCTCATCCTCAAGAATAACATCTACTGTGACTTCACGTGCGGTGATGCTTACCATGGCTACGACTAAGATACCGGACTAGTCTCAGGGATTGATCCTATCAGCCAAGACATCCTTCTGATCTTGATTCTTTAGTTTTTTCCTGTCTTTTTTGAATATTTTTTCAAGAGCCTACGAAACTCATTGTATATCATCGGCTAGTCACGGCCGTGAGCCAAGTGGCATCGGTACCTCGGAGCTTCCCGACCCCCGCACAACAAGATGCGGGGAAGCTTCCTCGATTGTTCACACAACCTAAGAGCTTTCTCCCTCTCACAACTGGATGATTATCAGCGCATCGCTGTATATACTCACTTGAAATATTTCCATTTGAAGCTGAATGAATGTCGTGAAGCTTCAGTGATCGAGGGAAAGTAAACATGCGTGTGTACAACGGGGTTATCGGGGCTTTGCGCGTCCAGAGTCACTACGTTCCCACGAAATTCTTCTTGAGAGGGAAGTCTCCTCGACATGTGTCAATTTCGAAACGAGGACATTTGACAGTTAGTCTTGCAAGAGGTCCCTCAGAGGTAAGCCAACCCTTTTGAATCTAGGGTGAATCCTGGAACAGAGGATCAAAACGACAGCTCACGCGAACTTGTGTGCTTAGCCGCCTTTGATTGAGTCCACTGTGGGCGGCCACTTTGCAAAGATAGTCGCACAGCATGGGGATAGACTCGCGTGAGTGTACTCGACTCCTTTATATCAGCGCTGGCCTCATTCGAGGACACTAACCAGTACTGTTGATCAACTAGAGTCATCTCCAAGCATCAAAATGATTCGATCACCTACTCCGAGCTTGATACCAGAAGTAATGCTCTCGCGCGTGGACTGAAATCAGTCGGTGTGAAGAAAGGAGACCGAGTCGCCGTCATGCTTGGGAATTCTATGGAGTTTGCAGTGGTACATTAGTCTCCGCTCTACCAGAAGAGAAGTAAAGCTGATTGAAACCAGGCAACATACGCTTTATTCAAGCTCGGTGCTATACTAGTCCCGCTCAATCTTTCATTCAACGCCATGCAGGTAGTTGCTGCCCTGGGCCACCTCGAAACCACCCATCTCATCATCAGCGCCGAGTCCAACCTTCCTCGCAAAGACCCTCGAAGCAATGTACCTCTTCTTGAGCACCTCATTCCAAACCTTTCAGGCGCGAAGATCCAATCTGCTCTGGTTCCCTCACTGAGGCAGGTCATTCTTGTGGATAACTCCTCCGGTCGCGTGGACTCGTCTGCTTACAAAAGCCTAACACCATTCTCATCCATCATGTCTCAAATACCCGCAGATGGCTGCGCTCTACCAGAGCAGGACCTCTCTGCGGACGATATCGTCAACATCCAGTTTACGTCCGGCACTACAGCTATGCCAAAAGCTGCGTGCCTGAGTCATCGATCAATTCTGAATAATGGCTCACAGATTGGAGACCGTATGCTCCTCACTCCCAGCGATGTCGTTTGTTGTCCACCGCCACTCTTCCATTGCTTCGGATGTATTCTAGGCTACATGGCGACGGCCACTCACGGCTCAGCCATAGTTTTCCCAGCCGAGTCTTTCCACGCACGCGCTACACTCAAAGCAATTCAAGAAGAGAAATGTACCGCGCTCTACGGCGTCCCAACCATGTTTCTCGAAGAACTCAGTCTGATTGAGTCGGGGGGAGATTTCCCGCGAAGGTTTTGAGCATTTAAGGACCGGCATCGCAGCTGGGAGTAGCATTCCCTCCGAGCTAATGAAGAAGCTGCATAAAGTCTTGAATCTTACTGAACTGACAATATGCTATGGGATGACGGAGACCAGCCCCGTGTCTCTTATGACTACCACGGATGATCCAATAGATCGAAGGATCAATACTGTGGGAAGATTGATGCCGCACGTAGAGGCTAAAATCGTGAATCCCGCGAACAAGGAAGAGATTGTTCCAATAGAAACGCGTGGCGAATTAGCAGTCAGCGGGTATCTCCTTATGAAGGAGTATTGGGCAGATCCGGAAAAGACAGCAGAAGTGATGATCGCAGACGATAATGGAAAGGTTTGGATGCATGTAAGTTTGACTCCATCTTCCTTTAAGAAAATATTTCTGACCGGTGATATCAGACCGGAGATGAAGCCTCTATGTCCCCAGATGGCTATGTTACCATCACTGGCCGAATCAAGGACTTGATCATCCGCGGTGGCGAGAACATCCACCCCTTGGAAATCGAAAATTGCTTGCTAGGAAATCCTGGCGTCGGCGACGTATCTGTTGTCGGTGTTCCCGATGAGCGATATGGCGAGGTAGTGGCAGCTTTTGTGATTGCGCGAGAACATGGCCCTAAAACCATCACTGCCAAGGAACTTCAGGACTGGGTTCGCGAAAAGCTGAGCAGCCATCTTGGTAAGTCGAGACTCACAACACATTGGTGCAACCAATGCCTATTATTAACGTCTTTTGGCAGTGCCTAAATACGTCTTCTTCTTGGGACCGTTAGATGCATTCCCGAAGACTGCGAGCGGCAAAATTCAGAAATTTAAGCTAAAGGAGCAGGCAATCAAGCTGTTGGCCGAAGGGAGAGGACGGTAGACCTCCCAATACCTACTCATGCGAAGTGCAAATAGCATACAGCGCAGATCCAACTAGATGGTATTGTACATAACAGCCTAGCCATCTAAAGTCGAATCATTATCAATTTCTTGTAGAACTATTCTGGCAGAAGCCAGCGCACCAGGAGTATTAAGACATAGGATAATTACCGCCTGGATTTGGTGGACAACCCGTCTCTGAAGTCGAGCTGACCTCAATAAGCTAGCTCATATTTTCTTCTTTTTCCAGGACTGACATAAATAGACTTTACTCCCAGCAGGATATCTATCGGCTGATGTCTTGATTGGAGCGTCTTTGTGATTAGAAAATGGCTAGTAGAAGCCGAGGCCTCGTTTCTGATGAAGCTCGTTTGAGATCAGGATTGTCTCTCACGCCAAAGCTCTAGGTGTGTACTCGAGCTTCGGACACCTGCGTAGTCGAAAGAGTACAGCTGAGTTAAAAGGAAATGCAAGAAGATGACGAAAGGGTTAAAGCATTGAAGTATCACCGCAAGAATAATCCCATCAGAAATCTTGCACGCCCGTCTCACCCTGAAGACTCATATGAGCGTCATCACCGCGGGCATCGCCGACCAGCCACTCAGGCTCCTCATCCTCGAAGTACTTGTCCTGCTCTTCGGTTCGATCATCATAATCGTCATTCTCATCGACGGTCTTGTAGTCAAAATCATCGTCATCGCCTCTCATGAACCGCAAGCCCATCTCCCACTGCCAGGCCTTCTCTCCTTCCTCCTTACTAGCGGGGATGTCATCACGGTCCTCGGCCAGAATCTCTCCATCAGGACCCCGAGTATAGCTCAGCATTGCATTGGGATCTGGGTTCGCGAGAGCATCCATCTTCGCTTCCGAGCGTTGCATGTCCGCCTGTAGGACGCCCGAGAAACCCTTTTCACGGCCCAGGGCCTCCCTCTCCTGTGGTGTCTGGAATCGGCGGATGAGGCGATCGTACAACAACGGGTCTAAAAAAGTAGTTTAACATCGGTTAGCTAGAGTTTCCCCTTTCTGCTACCATTTCGCAGCTCTAGAGCCAATATCCAGGATGGAGCTGGTAGCTAGGATAGAGCAAGCGGACCGGCGAGCTCAAGATCCGCCGAGAAGTACTCTGGGTGCAGGTCCAGGTACCGCTTCCGACGGTTCTTCACTTGTACTGAAGGAAGCGCGCTGCTAGATGCATCGCTGGAGTTGAACCCTGAATTCATGGGGAAATGAGGCATCTCGAGCTGGTTCAACGCGGTGTGGGGGAGGTGATGTTGGGAATGCGGAAGTGGGCGGCAAAAGGGCTATTTCTGCCATTCCGCGCTTTTTTTCCTTCCATTTTGATATGCTGGAGAACTGAGTCTGTAAGTCATGATCGAAGCTGTTTCTCCGTGTGGATACGGATCTCTTGTTTCAGCTTTAGTGTCATATATGGCTTGACACCCTTCCGAGCTTCTGCTAACACTTCCTCACAGATTCGCCTGAGGTTCCCGCATCAGTTGAACCAAAGATTCGATAGCTTGGCCATCATGTCTATCCAAGAGTGGATTCAACGGGTCGACTTTTACCGTTTCGGTAAAGGTGCGGCTTTGTTGGTCCTGCTGGCCTTTTACTCCCCTGTGATGCTGATGGTGTTATCCCCCACGTATGGTGCCCTGCCCGCGCATATCTTCCATGTCTACGGCCTGGGCGTTTTCGCAGCAGCGGGATGGTTCTCGAAAGACCAAGTTCAGATGCGTTTCGGCCGTGTCGCCGCGTACATGCTTCCTGTCCTTGCTTTCTGGACGCCTACTTTGCAGTACTTTGTGATGCAGCAGAGTTCTAAGCTGGGAAACCCCCTTGGACCTGTCATCACAGAGCTGTTCGGTTACTACCCGCTGGCATTTCTGACTGTTGCTATTGCGGGTAAGCAGATCCAGTACTCCCTGCACCTTGAGGGCATGGGTGATGTTGCGACGGAGCATGTACCCCTTTTGGGCTCATACTTTATCTATTCCGCCGGCGAGCATTTCGCTAAGGCTGTCTTATCTCGGTTCATCGGTTTCACTATCTTCTTCTCCCGTGCTGGTCTGCAATTCGTCATTGCGGTCTTGTACGCTGCAGTCATCCCCTCTAAGATGCTCCTTCTTGCCATCCCGTCTGTGCTCTTCTCGATCACATCCGATGTCCACTTCGGTGGTATTAGTGGCGTTAACTCTGCCATTCAGAGTGAGGGTTACTCTCTCCTGGCCCGCCAGGAGTCTTACACTGGCTACATTTCTGTTCTAGAGAACCATCACGACGGATTCCGGGTGATGCGTTGTGACCATAGCCTCCTTGGTGGACAGTGGACCAAGACAACCCCCGGCTACAATCCTGAGGTCGAAGATCCTATCTATGCTGTTTTCACCATGCTTGAATCTGTGCGTCTGGTCGAGACTATTCACGGCAGCCATCGTGTGGACGCGGACAGCAAGGCTCTGGTCATGTAAGTATTTGCATCTACCTTTTCGAAGGCCATAGCTAACGAGCGTGAAACAGTGGTCTTGGGGTTGGAACCACACCTGCCGCATTGATGAAGCACGGCATTGACACTACCATTGTCGAGCTGGATCCGGTTGTGGTTAAGTTTGCCGAGCAGTACTTCAACTTCCCATCCAACCATGCGGCCACCGTCGATGATGCGACCAATTTCGTGAAGAAGGCGATGAAGAATCCGGCTGCTCACCAATATGATTATATCATCCACGATGTTTTCACCGGCGGGGCTGAGCCCGCCGAGCTTTTCACCGTTGATTTCCTCCACGATCTGAAGACCCTGCTCAAGGATGACGGTGTCATTGCCATCGTGAGTCTTATCAATCCCACTGGTCAAACTCAGCTAACATCTCATATAGAATTATGCTGGTGATCTTGACCTCTACCTACCGGTCTGGTCGTCCGCACAATCCTGGCTACCTTCCCAACCTGCCGCATCTTCCGCGAGTCCGAAGCGAAGCCCGACGATGAGAATGCCAACTTCACCAACATGGTTATTTTCTGCACGAAGAGAAGCACAGGCACCCCGCTTCGATTCAGGACTCCTGAGCAAGGTGATTTCCTGGGCAGCAATTCCCGCAAGAATTACCTTCTCCCGAAGTATGAGCTTGACCCTGCCATGTTCGACTCCATTCCCAAGGGCGGAAGACGTCTCCTTGTCGACAAGGAAGTCAAGAGACTGTACAAGTACCAGGATCGCGGGGCCTTGGAGCATTGGTCAATCATGAGGCAGGTCATCCCCGCCGCTGTTTGGGAAAACTGGTGATGTGTTGTGACTCGGGAAGATTTGGAAACTTTTTCTATGCTGCTGTATTATCTATACCAAGATTGGTCTCTTCCATTTAATTAAACTTTGTTCTCACCATCCATGATTGTCCTCTCCCAAGACTTCTAAAAGCCTCTCGAATTTCGAAAGTCCCTGTCTTGATGGGTATCAACGTTCAAGGCAAAGTACCGCATATTACAACCTCATAGACAGCCAGACAGATCAGAAGACGATTTTATATTGGTATCATTATCTAACATCCCACAGAAAGCCATCAGAATTCAAGGAAAAGAGAAACGAAATATGAACAGGCCGTCCTCGCTTGTCCTTCCTACCAGAGCAAAACTGCAAGGTCAACCGCCTCAATATGTACGCCTACAACTGAAATTCGGTCCAAGGGAGAATCAAGCAGACGGGCTTCCACGAGGACTGCTGCCGGGTTTCTTGACGAGGCCGGCGAAGAAGTTGGCCAAGGCTTGGTTGTGAGCTTTTTCGTCGCCGGGAGTTGGGGATGCTGGCTGAATCTTTTGGGCACGACTTGCTTCGCGGTCCTGGGGGTTTGTTAGCGACTTGGGATTTAGACGAATTGGAGTCACACGTACGCGAAGCTTCTTCAGCATGTCCTCGGCGTCCACTTGGATACCCCCCATATTGAATTGGACGGGACCAATGTGCTCGTTGACTTTTCCTTCGTCCATGGGGGGACATTTCTAGCTGCGGGACTTGCTGGTTGGCGCGTTCCTTCTCGTCGTCGGCTCTGAGTTTTTCTAGGAGGTCGAGTTGGTCGGCAAAGAAAAGTTGCATATCATTGGTTTCGACTTCGATCTTGGAGCCGTTGGTGTTGGCGGTGGGGTTGGCGATTGAAGTTTCACGTTTCGGATCTTTGATGGTTTGTTCGAACACGGTTACGGCACTTGTACCATCATCTTCGCCATCCGGGCTGACATCCATGGGTTGATCCAGCGGCTGGGGGGGATCTTGGATCTCGATTGACCAGGCGGTCGAGGCTCCTTCCATGTCGAACCCTTCGCGAATAATTCGAATTTTACCCCAAGAGTCCCAATTTGCGGGCACGAGGATCTTGTCTCGGTCGATGACATTATGTTTTAATGATTGGCGTTTCAAAAGAGAGTGGATTCCCAATGAGGAGTGAATCAAACTTTGAAGGGAGTTGGCAAGGAAAGGTGTAGTGTAAATGAGCGATGCGCCGTCTGTATAATGTCAGGGTCAAATACCTCGTGATATAGAGGTCGGGGTTGCTCACGCTTCAGCAAGATTGTGCGCAGAAATTGTAGGATGAAATCAAACTGCTCTTCATTCCAGCCGTGATCCTTTTCAAGTTTCTCGATTTTATCAGCCTGGAAGTGACATGTTAGCGAGAATTGTTGGAAGCGGAAACTGGACTGGTCTGCATACTCCCTGGCAAACGACACACATCGGGATACCAAGTCCTTCGTCCCATTCGCCGGGCCCTAAGGGTATTGTGACTGGCCCACCAGAATTTGGCAGACCTCCTGTGGCAGCAGAGCTAGCATCCATTCCTCTTTTGCGGTCACGCCATTCTGTCATAGTTTCTTCCATCACGACCTTTGTGTCATCGTTGAGCGAAACAAGGACTGAACGAAGCAGACGGACCCATTCTCGTAGCCTGCGAATCCATGTCCAGGGGTCAGACCAATCCATCAAGATGACAACCAGCGTTTCCGGGACGGATTGAGGGGTCAGGAGCGGTTTGAGGAGCTGAGCGAATGACGGAGAAGGTTCGGACAAGAGGTAGGCCGAGACACGCGCCAGCGTATCTTCAGTAAATAACGTCAGCCTGGCAAAGATATAAGGGAGATACAGGCTGTACCTTCTTGGTCGGCGTCGAGTACATCTCGATATGTGTATCCCAGCGCAAAGTGATTGGCAATTGGAGGTGTCTTTCCCTTTCGTTTCTCATTCACTAAGCTGGGGTCTGCCGAGGTATCTGCAGAAAAGGTCTCCAGGAACTCCCTCTGGCTTTCCGGGGACCTCCTATAGTCCAAGTCAGCAAAATGCAGTCACGCAGTCAAGCGGTATAAGATCTAGTGGGCTCTCAAACTTACCGAGAATCAATAGGTTCTTCTCAGGCAAGCGCTTTCCATTGGCGACGCCATCTAACAGAGAAGACCATATATTCTTCTTAGAACCATCCTTGCTGGACGGCCGACTGTTCGTACCAGCCGCCTTCGATCCGCGATTCGGACTGGAGGACATTTTCTGGTCGAGTCCCACCATGCGTTAAGCTGCACACACCATTCCAAGCACTTTATTTTCAAAGCCAACAGCGATAAGGCGCGTAAAAATGGTAGGTCAATATTCGGGCGGACGGGGTGAAGCCAAGCGCGGTCAGGGGAATCCGGAAATGAGCAGTTGGAAAGAACACGCGGCGTCTGATACTGCGGAAACAGGCGATTTCGATTGTGGGCTCTTGAAAAATACCTGGCGAGAAGAGTTTACGACGTCACGGAGAGTCGTAGCAGGGGGTTGAGTAAACAGACGATTTTACGGTTCCGCAGTTGCTCCGGGCGGGACCCTTTTTTGACCAAGCGCGGCCGTCGAGCTTCACGCTTTCTTCACCACACAATCATGAACGGCATTCGCCAAGTTCAGCAGCTCAACAAGCGCGAACTTGAAAATGCCATGTAAGTTCTCATCGACCGCTCAGCTTCTTTTCTGTTTTCTAGTGCTGACGCTCTGTCTGAGACCTCCGGAGGCATCATGGCATGCGGACTACCGCGACACGGCATACGTCTATATCGGCGGACTTCCATTCGATCTATCCGAGGGTGATATCGTGACAATATTCTCTCAGTATGGAGAGCCAGTCCACGTTAACTTGATCCGCGACAAGGAAACTGGCAAAAGTCGTGGCTTCGCGTTCCTCAAATACGAGGACCAGCGCAGCACAGACCTTGCAGTCGACAACCTTGGAGGTGCAACGGTCATGGGTCGTATGCTACGAGTTGATCATACACGTTACAAGCGGCGCGATGACGAGGAAAAGGACAACAATGTCGCAAAGCTGATGGGCGATACGGCTATCGAAGAAGGCACACGAGGTGACGACGGCGACCACAGGCGCAGAAGAGACAGCCCTGGCAGGGAAGAGCCCCGGCCTATGTTGAAGGAGGAGAAGGAACTCCAGGATTTAATTGTCAACCATGACGAGGAAGATCCTATGAAGGAGTTCTTAATCGAGGAGAAGAAAGAAGAGGTGGCGCTCGCGATTGCCAAGTACAAAAGCAGCGAGAAAAAGTCTTCCCGACGGCGTGATAGCAGAGAGCGGTCCAGTCGGCATCATCGACGGCACCGATCTCGATCGCGCGAACACAGACATCGGGATGATCGCTCACTGGACCGGGAGAGAAAACCTCGGCGCCGCTCGACAGAGAGAGAGGAAAGGTTGTCTCAGGAGAGATCGGAACATAGACAGGTCTACGAGAGATCATTCGCGAGATAGATCTCGCTCACCTGAATCCCGGAAGCATCGCAGTGAGCGAACTGAGCGCAGTGATCGAGACAGACATGATCGTCGCCGCTGAAAGATCTCAAACACATTTGCTATCTATCGACATGATCTTCCGGACCCTCAAACTTTCTCAGCTGGGTTTGTGGCTCAGATTCACTTCGACAAAGGGTCAAAATGGAATCAGCGGAGTAATTTTCGAATTGGAATTAGCTGCCCTTGTTGTGCTGGCATATGTTGAAATTCTCGTTAATCTGCAACGAGACTTCAAATTCCTCAAGTCATTGCGCATCTCAGCCCCCGAGATATCGTTTCCAACCATCTCGCATGCAATGCCGCTTCCCATCATCACCGTCTCGAAGAATGAATTTCTCCCACCGTCCATCCCTACCGGATCCTATCACCAACAGTGTCTGCTCGTCGACCCACCCGATAACGCCTTTGAGCGGCCGACCAAGAGATCCATTAGGCTGCGTTGATCCAGAATTCAGTTCTTCGCCAATCTCAAAATGCGCGTTGGCAATCGAGTACACGTCCGAAAACACACGCGGAAGAAGAGGGAGTTTACCCAGGATACCCCATTTCTGGTTAGTCCCTTCCTCCGTCACTGAGGCCGGAGATTGGCTGCGGCGAATTATTTGTCTGGGGTGGGGGATATCAAAGATATGCAAGGTGGACTTATCGGATGTTACAGCTAGCAGGGAGTTCGACGGAGAAAATGACAGAGAGAATATCACCGCGTGGTCTACACCTCGACGCAGTTCCGCCAGTTTCGTACAGTTTCCCGAAGCAAATACTCTGATCAGAGTTCCCTAGTCGAACTTCAGTAAACGTGATCAGACAGCAAAGACTAATTATCTTACTGCTTCACTGGCTGTTGCCAGCACCTGCCCGTCCGGGCTCAAGGCCATGGCTCGTAAAGGTGAGCTATGAGCAGGTATAATACTGATATTCCCTGTCTCCAGCTCAATCACTTGCACCTGTCCTGGAGAACGACCAGGAAATGCGAGGTGCTTCTGCCCCAGACAAGCCAAGCCAAGTGGGTTATCCGAGGTCTCGAAGACCGATAGCTTCTTCGGAGGAGTTGAGAAAGCAAATACATGTATGCTGTTCAGTAGAGCGACGACGATTCGGAATTTGGAAAGGCGGACACCAAGGACGGAGGTGCGGAACTCGAGGGTAATGGCAGCTTTCTGTTTTGCATCATCCCAGATCACGAGCTGTAGTATAAGTATAAGTAGAAATTTCGCCGCAAGGGGGGGAAAGTATTGGGAATATACTTTGTTCTGGGGGAACTTAGGATTTCGCCCTCCGCCAACGATAGCCAGATAGTTGGACTGGCCGAGCATTTCAACGAGGCCGATGCCCGCATTGAAGTCTGTCGCAAAGGCAAGGTCAGCGGTCTTACTCGGTGGCTTATATTCCCAAGCAGAGAGAGGCTCACCTCGGGAGACCTTGAGCTCACATGGGTTTGAATTGAATACTATGATTCAGGGTTAGCCTCCGCGCCCTTGATCAAGCTCTTCGGCAGCTCTGTCAAGCTGCGCGCATCATACCGCAGAAGCCCGTGTTCAAGCCCACCGAAAAGCAACTGCTATCATTGTTGAAAGTGGCCGACAGTGAATAAGGGCCGAGGGACTCGTCGATAACCTGGCGAGTATTCATTATCGAGCATGACGGAGAGCCGGGAAACCGGAAGGGAAGGAAAGTCTGGAGTTGGAGTTGAAGGCACTCCGCACATGGCCGATTGGCGATAAGAAAAGAAATGCGGGCGAAGCTCACGGATCCACGGCTGCCTCAGGCGTATGCTGACTCAACTCTCCGGTGACCAGCAGCGACCCACCGAGCAACCCCTGAGTATACCTTGTGTTGATATGCGGCGCGTAATGGGGACAAGTATAGGCATGATAAGTGTAGATTCGGTCCATGTAGGTGTCAATATATGCACCGTCCCTTCCTTATCGATGTAACAGCCTCAATGGAATCATAAGAAGGTGATACATTCATTCTGGGGAGAGCTGGAGCACAGCGTGTCCCGTGATTGGCGGCCAAAGGAAAGGGGGAAACACGGACTTTCCCTCGACCCCCCCTACCAGTTCGAACATCTCAATCCCTCCAACCTCTCTAAGTGCTTTCCAGGAGAGTCTCCGTCTCTGCTCTTCTTACCTCTTGCTTCCGCGTTCTTTGCTTGCTCTCCTTCTCCATATCTCCCGCCCACCATGTCGTCGGCTCTCAACGCGGTATGTTTCCCCCTTTTACCTCCTGCCCCATACTTTAAAAAAAAATGTCACCTGAGCTAACTTTAAGCCCCCGTTGTGGGTAGATGAAGATTCGACGCAAGAAGAATGTCAAGAAGGGAATTCAGTTCTGCCTGATGGTCTGCGGTGCCAGCGGTACTGGTACGATATCCGATTGCTTCGCGTCTCCTGTTCCATTGTCCACTGACCTGTGCTTCACTCAGGTCGCACAACCTTCGTCAACACTCTCTGTGGCAAGCAAGTTTTGGAGGGCAAGGAAGCCGATGATGCTGCGAATGCTCACATCGAGGAGGGCGTTCGTATCAAGCCCGTCACCGTTGGTGAGTTGCGAGACTCCGATATAACCATTCATGAATACTAACCCACCGATCCTCCACAGAGCTCGAATTGGATGAAGAAGGCACTCGTATTGCCCTAACCATCGTCGATACCCCCGGTTTTGGTGACCAGATTGACAACGAAGCCAGGCATGTCCCCGTCTCACCACCCAACGGGCCCTCCCCCCACTAACCCCCCAAAATAGCTTCGGCGAGATTGTTGGCTATCTCGAGCGCCAATACGATGATATTCTTGCGGAGGAGTCCCGAATTAAGCGTAACCCCCGTTTTAGGGATAACCGTGTTCACGTCCTGCTCTACTTCATCACACCCACCGGCCACGGCCTTCGCGAGCTCGACATCGAATTGATGAAGCGCCTGTCGCCTCGTGTTAACGTCATCCCCGTCATTGGCAAGGCCGACTCCCTCACCCCCGCAGAATTGGCTGAGTCCAAGAAATTGATCATGGAGGATATTGAGCACTACCGCATTCCCGTCTACAACTTCCCCTACGATATCGAGGAGGATGATGAGGACACCGTGGAGGAGAACGCCGAGCTCCGCGGTCTGATGCCCTTTGCCATTGTTGGCTCAGAGGACTTTGTCGAGATCGAGAACCGAAAAGTGCGCGCCCGACAGTACCCGTGGGGTGTGGTCGAGGTTGAGAACCCCCGGCACTCCGACTTCCTGGCCATCCGCAGTGCTTGCTCCACAGCCATTTGGCTGATCTGAAGGAGATCACCCACGATTTCCTTTACGAGAATTACCGTACTGAGAAGCTCAGCAAGAGCGTCGACGGTGCCGCTTCGTACGTATTCCTTTCGGTCGCCAATCTGATGACTTTGCTAACCCACAAGAAGTGGCGGAGATTCCAGCATGAACCCCGAGGACCTTGCCTCTCAGTCCGTTCGCCTCAAGGAGGAGCAGCTCCGTCGCGAGGAGGAGAAATTGCGCGAGATCGAGATCAAGGTGCAGCGCGAGATTGCCGAGAAGCGACAGGAGCTGCTGGCCCGCGAAAGCCAGCTCAGAGAAATCGAGGCTCGCATGGCCCGCGAGGCAAGCCAGAGCAATGTCAGCGAAGCCAATGTAGAGGCTTAGTTATACCCTGTCGATGCGGCTCATTCAGCGGGGCGCCGGTTCGCAATGTGATACCGTTTGTGCCAACATCATGGACTTCTGGCACAAAGCTTGGTTTTGTTTATGGGGATAATATTGACTGTTTATTCACGTTAATAGCTTTTTTTTTCTTCCTTGATTTTTCCTCGATGTCTCTGTGGAGATGGACAAGGTCCCCCAATGGGTCACTAGATTGCAACCATGCAAGACCGAAGAGCACCGTCAAACCTGGGATATCTTGCCGCTGTCGCTGTTCCTCCCCATCTCCACCGTGACGATATCACCTCTTCTTTGGTTTTTTTTTCTTTCCCCTTCCTAATCACCCCTGGGGAGTTTCTATTCCTGCATATTCCTGTTTCTTATTCCCCTGTCCACTCCCTACCCCATCCCCGGGGGTTTTCCGTTTTTTTTTTTGATCGTCCCTGGCACCTTGTCCAAAGTCCGCAGCGCAGCAAGATTCCCTCGTCTCTTTTGTGTTTTGCGTTTGTGAGTCTCCCTTGTCTCTATCCTTGCTGTCTTCCTAGCCCGTTTAGTAAATGAGGAAGAAAAAGTATCTCGTCTGCAGTGCCCCTAAGACAGATCTCGTAATCTCAACTAGGTGTACCGAGGTCCGTTGGTGGTAATCGTGTATACCTCAGGATCTCATCAAGCTAGATTGGAGCACGAAGTGAAATTTATCATACAAAATTTTTGATTTTTCATGTAGTGTCTAATGACCGGGCACTTGTTCTTATGTCCCCTGTGGATCAGTGCGCGATGTTCAGCGGATATCTCAGGTCCTTTACTTCCAAGACTTGATTCGATGTACACGGACCATCTATACCGAAAATACGACTTATGATGTGCACTTGCATTCATGATAGCAAATTCATATCAATGGCATCAATGGCATTGAAAATAGAAGAAGATACATCGAAGTCAACAATACATATGATAGCTTCCTTAGAAAAGATAAGAGAGAATAAGAAACATGGTCATCACTTCGCAAGCCATGCGGAGGAAACAAAAGCACAAGAAGATGAAGATAGAAGTGATATGGGGAAAAATAAGAAATGAGAAAAAAAAGTTTTAAAAAAAGGATAAGACGATGCAACTCAAAAGACAGAGGCACGGAAGAAACGAGCAGACACGCAAGAAGTGGTATTTGCGCTCCATTGTACACAGAAACGAGACAGAACAGGAAGCCAAAGTCTTTTGGGTTGACGAAGATATGATGAGAGTGAGATGGAGTTTTGCCCGAGTCGTATTCCTAGAAGACGTCATAGGATGCTGGTGGGCGGAGGGGGATGCTCAGATCTAGAGGAAGAAATCTGAGGCGGGAGTGGGAGGATAGAGGGTGGTATTAAGGCATTGCGGACATCAAAGAGTTACTAACTCTTCTTTTTCTTTCTGGTCCTTCTTCCCACTGGCATGCTCGCAGATGTGTTGTCATGGACGACTAGACTCGATTCGCTCGAGCGAGGCACAATAGAGCGAGCACGGGAGGGAGAGGTGGAATGGTTTGAACATTGATGGCATGCACCTGAAGGTGTTATACTGATTTCCAAAAGTCCAAGCTCGCAACCACATCCTCGCCCGCTTCATCTTCATATGCGTAGATGATCTCTCGAGTAGAAGAGTGAAGCATGCGAATGTTCTTCCCCGTCATAATGTGAATCAATTCACTGGTCTCGACGTGCCTAATCTCGATAAAGTTGGGCTCGAATGCCAGGATGTAAGGGTAAGACAAGGCAAACGCGGTTGGGTTGCCCTCCCACGAGATCCTCCAGTCAGGACGAGCACGCCATCCGTTGCGGTTGACGAAAAATGAGAAGTCGCTGTAGTTGAGAAGGAACTCGCCGTTCATGCGCTCGATGTGAATGGGTTTGACATTCTCCTTGCGAGCAACGAAGTCAAGAGATGTATCGGCCTGGTCCAACAAAGATTGTGTCTCAGTTGTCTCCAAACTGACGACCTCAAAACCGCGTGCGCAGCCAACACACAATGTAGACCGCAGGAAGTGGATCGATGATGATTCGGCAGGGATGTAGTATTCCTTGAACGGCCTGAGGGTGTCCTGCCCACTCTGGAACATTTTACTGACAGCGGACTTCTTCTTGCCCTTGGCCAAATTGTCCATCGGTTCGTAAACCTTGATCGTACTTGACAAGGCTGACGTCTTCACTGAGCACACGAGGTGTCGGCCAAGACCAATACCTGCCTTGAAGAAGTTTGCATGACCCTGGATTTTCTTTGGGCGTTTGGCCATGGCGTTGGCACCCTCGGTGAGTTCAAGGGCTTCCATTGGGTACGAGGATAGGGTCTTGTTCGCCAAAACCAGAAGCAATTGGTACTCTTCTAGAGTGTCAATCTGTGTGACTTGAGTAGCCTCCAAGACCCTTCTCGGCTTGGCTGATTTATCTTTGGGCCAGCGTTCGGAGATATAGATACCGCTATCCGTTCCAAAAACCAACTTGCGTCCGCCATCTGTAAACATGTTAGCAAAGAGATTCCATCTTAAATCGAGGTCGAAAGCTACATACCAACTGGAACACAGCAGTTCACACGATTGATCGCCGAGAAGAACCTCTCACTCAGAACCGTCTTGTTGTAGAAATTGCTGTTGCGTTCCCAAAGCTTCCTTTGCTGCTCCTCCACCATCTCAATAAACTTGCGTCGCTGAGTTGGGGATGTGGCATAGAGGGTCTGTTCGTAACCACCCTTTCCAAGGTGTCGGAATGTAATGGGCAGCTGTCCGTCTTTGGCAGGGGGAGGGTTGATGGTAGTCTTGTTGGACAAAAGGCTGGAAGACGGTCTCTTGGAAATTCCCATTCTAGGAATCACCTCGTCCATTTGGGCAATCACCAAGAGCTCGAGAGGGATGGGCTTTTTGTAGACCCGATATTCCTCTCGCTTGTTGACCACCTTGATGCGGACCAAAAGCACCGCATGATCGAAGAGATACGCGGTCACCTCAGAGCTTTCCGCGGTCGTCTTCTTAAAGGCCATCTTGGTCAGCATTTGACGGTTCTCTTCAGTAAGCTTCAGGTCCACATAATCTCCAGGGCCGAACTTCAAGGCGGCATTCAGCTGCACCAAGTTGAAGTGGTTCTCGGCCTTTCCACTCTCGGTGTTCACACGGGACAGGAAGCTCTTAATGAGCTTGACGGCCTTGGGGATATCTTCCTTGTCGGGACTGTCATCAGCGGTGTGCTTCAAGACGGACTCGAGAAGAAGTGGGTATCGAGCAAGACGGGTTGTGGGTTTAGTCAGGTAACCGTTCAGCTCCAACTTTCGGGACTCCTTGAGACGCTCGGTGTCCTCAACAAATTTGGCAAAGGCCGGATTCGAAGCCTTCTCCTTCTCAAACTCATACTTTCCGTAAAGTTGGTTGGCACCATACTTGATGAAAGGATCGAAGCGAGGAACGTGCTGGAGGAAGATATCACCGACGGACTTGACAATGTGGCTTTCTTTTTGCCGGGCGTTGAGTGCCTCACAGAGGCCACTGTTCACCTTTAGCACCTCCAAACAATTTCCGAATACAGTCCGAATGAATTTCTCCCGTCGGTGCTCTGGAATGGGGGAGTGATTTGTGGTGCCCGCCGCGCGCAATGGTCGCATCCAGAAATCGCGCAGGTACTCCAAATCCTTCACGAAATCACGCTCAGTATACATAATCTCAAAAATGACCTCCTGCCGCTTCTTCTCCCGATCTTCAATGCTATCTGAGACTTCCTTCGGAACCATGTTGATCCATAATTTCTGGTTGTCATTGTCCTCATCATCATCCATATGCAGGCTTCCTTTCGAGGCTGAAGTCCTCAAGACCGGCTGAGGTTTGAGGTTCAACCGTGCCTGCTGTTCTAGCCGTTGGGGACAGGCGATCGAATAACAGAGGCTGTCCCGAGTGCAGGTGGGGGAATAGCATTCGGTGAGAAGTGTGAATACGCCATTGACTTCCGAGGCCATAGTATCCTCTCCCATAGTTTCCTTAAATTGATAGACCTCCCCAGGAGCATCTCGAAGACGGTGATCATAGGTGACATCGTGGAAAAACTTCTGAGCATCCAGAGCACGACCCAGCAGAAGCGCGAGGTTACGGTCGTTTGTTCTGATAATCGTGCAGATCAAATCCACGGCATCGGTTCCGGAGAAGGCGTTCTGATAAGACAGGCCGTTCTTTTGCCGTTCGCCAAGTGTAATCTTCTCACGAAACACGTCGGCGACCCGAGCGAGAAGGGCAGGGTAGACCACAGGAACCTTGGAAGTAGTCCGGCGCGAATTGTTAGAAACAAGCGTTGACTGCCCGTTCGAGCCCACTGTTGCCTGGCTCTGGACACTCATAGTGCGATCAGGGTTAATGGTCGACGCCATGGACATTGTACGAGACCGCTGTGAAGCATCGCTGGGTGGACGGTTTGTGACAAAGCCATCGGTCACATTTGCCGGCATTGCCGGCATGGAATCAAATCTAGTAGGAAGGGGTTGCTCATGACCGCCTGAGGGAGGTCTCCGCGTCGGGATGGATCTCCCACTGTTCATAATTTGAGCCTGATTATGATCTGTCGCATAGGTGGTCATGGACATAGATCGTTCATTGGTATGCCGTTCTGGAACAGTACGTCCAAGCTGGGTCATGTGTGAGCTGGGATGGTGATACTGCTCACGACGAGATGCAGCGGCAGAGGTGTGATTGAAGTTGCTCGGCGGGAAAGGCGGTGCGGTGGGATATGACGGACCACTCAGTTTCGCCAGCGACCGAGATCTCGTCGCATCGGAGTTCAAGGCAGGAGGAGGCATTGGTCGGCCCAAGTCTCGGGGGTCTGGGTATTGAGGGGCGGGTCCCGGTCTAGAATCCAGGCGTTGGGGTCGAGGGTACGCAGACGCAGCATAGCGACCCGCTGGCGGGGGGTACGGTCGCGGCGGCGGATGAGAGGACATTGTCGCGGCCCCGGGCTTATATGCCTGGTATCCTCCACCGGAGGGCGGCGGTGGATATCCGTTCGTTGGGGTGGAGAGGGCCGGTGGTCCGTATCCATTTGGCACCTGGCGGGTTGGTGGCGGTGGTGCCCTCTGGAACTGGGGAGGGGGCACTTGCGACGACATGGTGTGGGCACGACCCTGGTTGAACTGAGGAGTCTGTGAGTTCATGGTCTGTGAGCGGCCTGGCGGAGGCGCAGCGCCAAAGATATCGGAGATATGCAGCCTCTCGCTGTGTAGAGGAGGCAGGTGCCCCATAGGGCCGGTAATTCCGGTTACGTTGGCCACCCAAGTCTGCCATATTCAACCGGTTGACAATCGACGAGACGTCACGAAATTAACGAGTAGAATATCGATCGCTGAGCCACGACGGAAGAAGAGGCAAAAAGGAGGTGGGTATCCGAAAATCGATCGTGGAGAGCGTTCAGAGCGTCGCAAGATGATCTGTTCAGGATCGTGGAACAAGAGAAAAAGAGAAGAATGAAGGCAGCAATTTCAGCAAGAGACAATTGTCCCTGAAAATCAGATAAGAACAGTCTTCGTGCAAAAGTGGTTCTTCAATATGCCATAGCTTGCCCCGGCTCGGTAGTCTTTTGGGGGGGGTTTATAGGTGATCAAAAGGCGTTACCGAAAAGCGCCTGGACCCGAGAGCGCAAGAAAGTCCGGGCTCCTTGCGAGGTCATACCCTCAACATTCCTCCTGGGTAAAGAGTCGGGAGGGAAGGTGGGAGGATAAGGGTAGGTGAGGGGTGGAGGAGTGAATGTTGAAAAGTGATAGACACAGGAGAAGAGTGGTGACGGGTAAAGCAGTATCGGCGTGACAGGACCGGCTGACGGCGTGGGCAGTTGCCGCCAAAGCGGGCGGTCACGTAATGTCATGGCTACGGCGGGCCAAGCGACCCTCAGCGACAAGGAGAAAGGCGGTCGTCTCTGTCTTCTTCCTCCCACCCTCATTAGTCTCGCTTCGACGAGCTGTTATCTTTCTCTTGGTTTCTGCCCCTCTTTCGCGCGTCATCATGGCAGACAGCGAGTTGGCGCCTAAGTTCGCCCCCTTCTTTTCCTTCGTGAGTCGCCTCGTCGAGCTCCCAAAACTACCTATGGCACAACTAACAAGCTTCTCAATCTAGGCCGGCATTGCTGCTGCAGTGAGTGAACCGAATTCATCCGACTCATCGAAGAAATTATCATGCTAACAAGTGCTCTGAAGATGGTCTTCGGGTGTACGTGGCTCGACACGCTGAAACCCGCATCATGAGTCTCGGACGGAAGCTTACAACTTCACAGGTGCTGGAGCCGCATATGGCACAGCCAAAGCAGGCATTGGCATTGCGGGTGTGGGAACCTTCCGACCTGATCTGATCATGAAGGCAAGAACACCGGTGCTTTTTCTCGATTTAGACACGGGCTAATCGAATCGATTTCACAGTCCCTTATTCCCGTTGTCATGTCCGGTATCATCGCAGTCTACGGTCTCGTCATTGCAGTTTTGATTGCTGGAGCACTCAACCCGGCATCGACCATGAGCTTGTACACGTACGTTGGGACGATGATTGTGGATGGTGTAAAACGGTTGGCAATGACTGATACTTGGGGCACAGTTCATTCATGCATCTCGCAGCTGGTGTCTCCGTCGGTCTCTCCGGTGTGGCCGCCGGCTACACTATTGGCATTGTCGGTGACGCGGTATGTATTCTTTCTCGGAACTGCTTCAGCATGACAAGAGCGCTTACGGCTTTCTCAGGGCGTCCGGGCATATATGCAACAATCTCGCGTCTATGTGGGCATGATTCTGATTCTCATTTTCGGCGAAGTTCTCGGTTTGTACGGGTAAGTGATAGGAAACCCCTGGACTAATGTCCTCAACGTTCCTTCCTAACAGCACCAGTTTGATCGTCGGCTTGATCTTGAACTCGAAGTCCTGAACGCGCAATCCCATTCAACTTCTTGTACGCACTGGCTCTTTTTCGGCGCATATCGACACGTCATTTCCCACGCGACGCAGCTGCAGCTGGTTCCCATGCGCGACAGATTGCGCCTGAACCCCGAAATCTGAAACCTGCCGAGATCGGAGATCGAGATTTCGAGATATCGAGATCTGGGCCAGTTCTGCTTTAGTCTTGATTTTTCGGGGTGTATTATAACTTGGCATATAGAAGGGTCGAATAAGCAATAAGCTGACCAGGCTTCCGACTTCCGATTTATCACCGTAGTTCCCTATCCGTTCAGCCCCGCCCCCATGGGATACGTCAGAGCTGCGATCTCCCCTTTACCAAATTGCCCCGCGCTCCCCTAACCTCCCCGGTTTGCTTTTTTGACGATGTGTTTCCTGCTTTGATCCCAAGAGTCTCTCTCTCTCTCTCTCCGGACTCACAGGTGGGTTACGTGATTGGTGGTGCGCTAACCGGGTGGGCTCCTATCCATTTTTTCCCTCTCTGTCGCAAGACATGCTCTACCGGCCCAATGGCGACCGGAACTGTCGAGGATTCCTCATCTGAGGCGCAGAGTGGCTCTGTCCCGAGCTCGCTTCCGTTCAAAACCAACAGCATACGACATGGCATCCACGAGAAGGAGAAGCATCTGGTCCAGTCCTTCCGATCCGTTCCGCAGAAGATCGCAAACCCGTTCCTCGTTACCGATCGCGCAGATGAGAAACAGTTATGTATATCTTCAAGAAGGCTTGAACTGCAGGACTTCAAGCTCCTGAAAACACTGGGCACTGGTCAGAAACACCTCGCGACTAAGCGCGCTCTTCTCGCACTGGTTATGTAAACTGACTATTGCTTTGGCTTTTGCAGGCACCTTTGCCAGAGTATGGCTCGCCAGATTGAAGAACCAGGAGGATAAGAAGAAAGTATACGCGCTAAAGGTCCTACGAAAGGCCGATGGTAAGCGCTACCTGTTCTTCCAACTGCCTGCAGCTGCTAACCTGCTGGACAGTGATCAAACTGAAGCAGGTGGAACATGTGCGCAATGAACGCAAGACACTTGCAGCAGTCAACGGACACCCGTACATCACGAATTTGATTGCATCATTCTCGGACGAACAAAGCTTATACATGCTGGTATCGTTTTTTCTACCTTTGGTCGTGTCTTTCTCACGGTACTAACTTGTCGCAGTTGGATTTCTGCCCTGGAGGCGAGATCTTCACATATCTTCGACGAGCACGACGATTCGACGAAGAAACCTCAAAATTCTATGCCGCCGAAATCACAATGACAATTGAATTCCTGCACGATATCCATGGAGTTGCCTATCGCGATCTCAAGCCCGAAAATATCCTCCTCGATGCCGACGGCCATATCAAGCTCGTGGACTTTGGATTCGCCAAACAGGTCGACAATCGCGAGACCTACACGCTATGCGGCACACCAGAATACCTGGCTCCGGAAGTCATCCATAACAGCGGGCACGGACTAGCGGTGGACTGGTGGGCTCTTGGCATTCTGATCTACGAGTTCTTGGTGGGCCAGCCTCCCTTCTGGGACCAGAATCCCATGCGTATCTATGAGCAAATTGTTGAAGGCCATATACGCTTCCCTCCTAACATGCCCGCAGCAGCGCAAAACATTGTCTCGCTTCTTTGCAAAACCAATCCTTCCGAACGACTGGGATATATTTCTGGCGGCTCCGGTCGTGTGAAAGCCCATCCATTCTTTGCAAATGTTGTGTGGGATGATCTCTTTTATCACCGGGTCAAGGGTCCGATTATTCCCCGAGTATCACACCCCGCCGACGCAGGCAATTTTGAGGAATACCCGGAAACCGACGTTAGGAAGCAGAATGTCTACACGGAGGACCAGAAAAAGAAATACGAGCCTCTTTTCAAGGATTTCTGAGCTTGACGCTCACAAGTTTTCGCGCCTGGTTTGTTTCAACAACCTCACTTTTGACCCCGGTTTGACTGGGGGTTTTTGGCTTTCTGGGTAGCCCAACGCCTCTTTCCTCGTCATCCGCCCGCCATCTTCTGGCCTTGAATTGTCTTTCATCCCTATATGAGACCATCAGAGTCATACACGGTCCTACCTTCACACGTGGCTTCACAAAAATACACCATGCCACTCTTGGTCCCACGAGCCTCGGACCTATCACCTTAACCTCCCGCACTCACGACATAGAGTGCTCTCCAAATGACTCGTTTGTCCTTTTGGACTATTACTCGAGATGTGTATCTCAGCCCACTAGTTCCCTTCAAACGCGTGCAACTGCATCCTCACGTCCGCAAGCTTGCAGATATTCCAGATGATTCACTCATCAGAACTTTCGATTCATGATTGTGATTTACAAAAGTAATACACATCAACCAAGCCACACCGTGGTAAAAGATCGAATCCAGGACTTTTTTGGTGGTTTCATGTTCTGTATTAGCTCGGTAATCCACGTCAATCGTCAATGAACATATCACATGGTTTCTTGGTACCTTCTATATTCCTAGATTCTCAGTTCTAGTAATGGCGTTCACATAGAGGTCGAAGGTACAAATTACATACAGGGGTAGACTCAGATGATAAGATAGTTCAAGAATATTTTCAGATCTATTTCAGGGCCAGCCTTTGCGGCATCTAGGACTGATAAAGCAAAATAAAGGAGTATTGCACAAGACAAATGTGGGAATCATATGTACGGCTGATCGTGAGACATGAGGATGCGTACGAGTATGGAACCGTCCGAGCCTTAGTCCTGTTTTACAGAATTGCGGCTAAAGGACAAAAGGCCCTTTTGGGAGGAAGGCGGGAGGAAGAAGAGGGAGAGAGATCGGAGATCAAAGGGCATGAACTACTGAAAGAGGAGGTTCTGAGAAGAGGCTAGGGTATCTCGGGTGTAGAGTAGTGTCATAGGGATGGGTCTGTTTTCCATGTGCCTAGCATGGAGTTAGTATTATATCGACAGTCAAAAGACACGAGGAACATACCGCCGAAGTTGTGCTTCACAAAAGCCATCTCATCGTCGGTGGATCCAGCACCCATTTGCCCAACTCCAGGACTGAAACTGGTAATAGGTAAGACAACCGTATCACCGACCTTTCGATGGACCTTTTGGCCACTGAAATCCTCGTAGGTGACGTTCTTGTCACCAGGTTTGATATCGAAGTATTCTGGATTGTTGAAGTAACGGAAGACCGCATCAGTCCAGGCGCCAGGCCCTGTGAACTCCATAATGGTCTTGTCCATCTTCCCACTCTTCAGAATACCAAGCCTCTTCATACGAAGGGCTTCCTCGGTGACATATGCGACCATGTCGCGCAGAATCGGGTGTCCCGGTTTCGAGACAATCGTCCACTGACAGAATTGGAGACGGCGCGAGTACCACTCATGCCAGTCCGGGCGATCAGGGTCGGCTTCGATTCCGACGATAAGTCCGACAGTCGATCGGTCGAGTTCTTCCGGGAGCCAGTAGTGAGCTGGTTTTAAAGCAAAGGTGTCGATGTCGCTGTAGATACCACCCCGCGCAAGGAGGACGAGGTAGCGGAAGAAATCCGCCTTCATGACTGGGAGTGGCATGGCCTCGTAGGCCTCGAAGACATCCGGCACCGAGCCGTACAGATACCAGATCAGATGTCTTTGTGTATCATCCGGAATGACCTCGTGCGTGAAGCCTGGATGCAGCTCAGTCCAGCTTGCCTCTGAGTCGCGAAGTCTCTCCTCAAACCAGGTAGACGCCGGGGTATATTTCCATGTCTGCCAAATATATGCTGGAAAGCTCCTTTCGAGATCATAAGGGAATTGATACCGCAGACGATCACGTAACGGCGCCGTCGGCGACGAGCCAAATGGCATCTGGCCTCTTAGTCGAGGTTGTCTCCTAGGCGCTCTGAGGGAATCCGCCTCCTCATCAAAGATCTCCTTCACGGGTCTGTACCCAGGCGAACCGGGGACATTTTCGGGGCGACTTGAGCGTATCACGTAGACGAAGGCTATAAAGCAGATGGCGGCGAAAATAAACTTGCGAAAGCCTGGCATAGCGGCGGTGTCACGGGTCGAATCCCCCCTATCGAGAATGCGACGGCCACGCGCTCCGGTGAGACGGGAGAAGCCACGCCGTGCGGATCGTTGGCACAGCAGAGCTTGGGGGGGAAAAAATGTCGGGAGATTGTCGGAGGTGGGAGCCGGGGAGGGTTTCGCGTGGGGAAGCGTGGGAATTCGAGCTCACAGGAATCGGAGAATTGGCATGTCGGAAATCTTCAGCCCTGTAGCATGTCCAAATGCGTAATGCGACGATGCGACGCCTGCCGATTGGAGGGTACACGGTTGTACCGCAAGCAGAAAAGGAGACACGGATGTCTAAATTTCGGGCCGATCCAACGTCCGGCTGGGCATGAGACTAGTGAGCAAAGAAAACGATCGCGCGGAACGCGATTGAAGGGGGATCTTGCACCGGTTTTATTGTGGAAACGAGGATTGCGTATGCCCACCGATGGCGGGAGGCGCAGAGGCGCATCTACAGCCGTTTTGGTGGGCCCGCTCACGTGGCTTCTCTCGAAGATGTGAAAGTGAAGGTCTTTGACCAGCGATGGTTTCATCTCGAGAATTATTCCGCCCGTCGACCCCCGCAATCCGCCATGCGTAGTTCGCACTCGTATTGGACAATGATCGCCCTTCTCCACGGTACTAAAGTTTGGACGAATCTGTACTTCGTGTTATATGCGGCATGATTCCACTGCTCGTGTCTGGCTAGAAGTGTGCACTAGCGGATGGAGAATCACTCTGCGGCTAGGTGCTTGTCCAAACAGCTTGGTTTGATGCGTTCAGGGGTTGTGATTACCCCTAAGCGGAGGACACATCTCGAAACGACCCCCCGGTCCCTGCGTTTGTGGCATAGGCCTCATTTATATTAGACCACCCTGCCCTTTTGAAACAGATGAATTTCTGTTCTATAGATATCCTGGATCACCTGGGTGACTAGTCTACCTGGGCTTTGGTCGACGCCCCACCCCCTGTTGACCGATATGTTATGCAAGAGTTAGCACACGTGTCCCTGGGCTAGTCGGTGTGACAGGCGCTTTTCATGTCCACATCTCGTGGCTTGAGAACAGAAGTAGCCTGGAAGTATCTAGCAAAAGTGCAAAGCGACTGAACAAGCTCTTCTTGCTCTTTCCGCCATGATTTGTCAAGTCTGGTAATGAAGCTTCGCTGACGCATGCACTGGAGCGCATTTGACGTCGCCATGGCCAGGCGATTGCATAATTGCCTATCGGCGTGTATTCTGGAAGAAGCAACACCGTATATATATAGTTTTTTTCCCCTTAAAAACGTCTCATCCTTCGGTGTCGAAAGGTGGTCCAGGGCAAGAAACATAGACTCGGGCGGATATACTAGTAGAAGGTCGCCAGGTGTCCAGCCTCAATTGCCGCGACAGGTAGACTTCTGCTGGAATTCTCGTGTGTGTAGACAGTCAAAGCAATCAGGTTGGATTGGACAAATCGTCCTCATTCGAATTAATTTCAAACAGTTTGCAACTGTCGACATGACTTTGGCCATCAATTGTCAATCGTGGTCTGCGCAGATATATCTGCTGCGACGCGATGCAGTTTGGATCCTTTCAAGATATTCAAGCGATAACGACGTCGATATATGAGGTTACTTCTTTCATCAACTTTAAAGTCTTGAATCATCTAAAAAGGAACGAACTAGCTTCGGTGTTCTTGACGTGTGCATGCTGTAATCCAACGGTATGCTAACAAGTGGGCGCTATGCATGCAACTCAATTCAAAGTAGCTGAGGTTCTCCAAGAATGGTACATGAATGGAATGAGTGTATCAATTGAACGAATTGGGTAATTTTCTAAAGAGAATTGCTGAAAGAGACGTGAACTGATTGATAGCCTATGTTGGCACAAGAATACCCCAGACGGTCCAGCAAATCCGAAAATCTACAGTGCAACTACAATCCGATGTGGAGCAGTGCATTTACCTCACTTTCAAACCCGCTGCTTCCTAGCCAGAGGCTCCGAGCAGGTCTGCAAGCGAGACAGAACGATCAGGCTTCCCCGAAGGTCTGCGTTTTCTCTACGCCACTCGTTTACCCCAAGAACCATAGAGTCCGTCCCGAAGGATCAGGATTGGTGGGGAGATAATCAGGCGATACTTGGGTGCCCATCGAAGGGAAATGGACGACCGAAGCAAATTGGGACAGATCGCTACGGAGTCGAGCGAGCGCAGAAAAAGCTGACCGAACCAGCCGATCGACCAGAAAGAGGCCTTTCAGGTTGCACTTTAGCATTCGACAAAAAATCCCTATACGCACAGGAAAAATGTGAGGAAAACGACGACACCAGCCTCACGAAAAGTCATCGTTCAGCAAGCACCAACTCCGGGTGGAAGAAAAAGGAAAATTTTTCATTTTTCATTCATCGCAATGCAGGCTCGCGAAAAGTTGATCCTGATAATAGCAGGTTGGGACCTCCATTTCTTTTGGAGTCCTCTAATAAACCCGCGCCGTCAAACCGCCATTGCAACATGAACCTAAACCCCAACACGTAAGATATCCCTTAAGCCGACTTGGCGGCCTCACGACCCTTGGCAATGCGCGCGAGGATCTGCTCACGGTCCTTGTCGAGGTGGAGCTTGGTGATGACGCAGTTGGAGGGGAGATGCCGAGGGGAACGGACTGTCCGTTGGTCTTCTCGCGAACGACACGCTCGACGTGGACGACGTACTTCAGACGGTAGACGGTGGTGATCTTGCCCTCACGGCCCTTGTTGGAGCCACGGACAATGGTGACCTCGTCGTCCTTGCGGAGGGGAATGGAGCGGACCTGTTGGACGGAATTTTGTTAACATTCTCGTTCCCATGTGATGGCTGGTTGTGTGTGCGGCCCCGTTGGCTCAAATTCTCGAAAATGAAAAAAAAACACCCTCGAAAACCCTTTTCGGCCAGACCCAGATTCAAATCGATTCGGTGTAACGTACGTTGTACTTCTCACGGAGCTCCTTGGAGAGGGTAGCGGACATGCGAACGCGGCGCTCGGAGGAGGGGGCAGAGAAGTGAGCCTTGCGGGACTTGCTCCGCGAAGAGGCGAGACCTGGATTCATCGGTCAGTATTGGTGAATTGGCGAAAAGTCGATCGAATAGCGACAGGCGAGAATATAGGCGTAGAGAACGCACCTTGGTTGCGAACAGTCATCTTGTCGGAGCCTCCTTGGGGTGGTCGTGAATGGGCTCAAAGTGCACGGGTTGTCGTTGGTCGGGGAGAGGAATCTTTCGTGGTGTGGTTGAATATTGCGAGTGGGTTGTGCGTCACATGATGTGCCGCTTAGGGCTTGACGGGTGATTGGTGGTTGTGGTGGACCCACTTGGACACTCGCTCTTGTTAACATATGGCACTCTCACCAGCTCAGATGTCTCTATGAAACTTAGGGATAGACATTTTCGCCTGGAAGTCCGCCTATGTATGAGATTGGAACAATATGATCAGCTAGACATGCCCATTGAGGGCATCGATCGATTCAACTGATCATCATCTCCCTTACACCCCTCAGTCCGATCAAAGGAACCATCGACCTACTGTTTTGCTTTAGGTTTATCCTGAGATCATCCGAGAGATGGCAATGAGCGCATCAAATGACTTACTTGGCTTTGCTCATACTTCTTCCGGATAGGGTCGCCGGCCACATAAGAGTCTTAGTTAAGGAGCGAAAACAAGTCAACTGAAGCAGCAATCAATTAACCTTTCTCGCCTGCTACAACTCTCGTGTCTTCGCGCTAATTAGTCAATATCTTTTCCCTTTTCAATGTCAAGAAACCACTTGGCGACGGCGCTTTCGACACTTGAATTGACTGAGGAATTCGCATCGCGAAATAGTTCCTTGATGGTAAGAGGCTCTGGGGAAGAAAGTACCGGGTATCGAGAATGTGATAGTGATACCGGGTTCAATGACATTAGCACGCCCTCCAGCTTCAAATTATTTCTCTAAGTATCGACTATCGTAGAGATCCGAGCTTCATATTTTAAGCGGTAGCAGACAGAACAATATTCCTTGAGAAATATTCCTGATGGTCAGTTCTCATCATCGCTCCCACTCTTGTACCAAAGAGACCGAGATTGTGTGGCTCGTTTTGTGATTACGTGTACTCGGAAGATACGGCCTGCTGAGATATCCCTTTGTTCCGTAAATTAGTAGATAGATTTCCCGACCTTTCGTTCAGCAGGACCCTCTAGGGAAGCATGAGGCGTTCACTCAAATCAAACGCATTCAAGAATCTTGAAAAATAAGCAAAAGCCGTAAAAGATAGGAGGACTACGTCGAGATCATAAAATTTGCAGCACCGTGTTGTTTTAGCGATGCCTTGGAAGCCGAAGGTCCCTTGATTTTTAGTGTCCCAGCGGCAAACCCATCCGATGAAGATCGAGAGAAAGAAAGATTTTCGTGGACTAGTGTTCTGCTGAACATCGGCAATCGACATTGAGATGTTAAAATTGCACCGCGTCGCGTGGAAGTACCGAGGGGCTATGGGAAGCCCAAGCCCACGTGCGTGTCTGGCCTCCCGTGGGTGGTTCGGGTTTTCTTCTCTTTCCTGTCCCCTACGGTGGAGCTTAGCATCCGTGGAAAGATCAGGGCCGCTTAAAATATTGTTTCTCGAATGCTTCCCTCAGGCAGGTCAAGTTGCCAGAGAAAGAGAAGTAGTGCTGCCTGGACCTAGGGAGCCGATCAGTCCAATGGCCTCAGGCGCCTGTGGAACGTTCGACTCCACACTGCAGTGAGACCTAAAATGCATCACTATGGTTCCCTACGAACAGGCGGCCATGCATGTCTGTTACGACCCTACGGACTACGCCGATGTTCAGGCTAGATCCGGAACCAAGCAGAAGCATGGCTCTACTTTTCGATGGAAAAACGTGAGACTGCGCCCCCATCCGGCGGATCAACAGGAGACACGGGGGCCACGCTAAACTACAAGGAGAAAAAGATAGGCCACGCGCTGACACTGCATAGCCTCTCATTGGTCAATCAAGTCCCGTGAGCCACTCACAAAAGCTTGGCCTGCGGGAGAATCGATTTCTGACTCCTCCAGACGGGGCCCTTGGCCTCACATAGTCAGGATGAGGGGGAATGCAGGGTCCACGGATCAGTGTTCGGACTCTCCGGATAAGGGCCAGAACAGTCCCAATGCTCCATAATAAGAGGAGAACGATAGCTGATGAGCCTTGGAACTGACTTGCTGTGGTCTCATCCCGCCCCATGTTTATGTGATTTGGGGAGTCCACCGAGACTTCCAAATCCTTCTATTTGGCTTTCAGGGTCCGCATGAAGGTCGGCAGATGCTGGATCCAAAGTTTCGAGTGAATTCCAACTGTTGCCTGAATCTAAAGCCGATCGGTCGCCCCTCGGCCGACCATCCCCGTTTCACATCGTTTCGCCTGCCGCTAACGCCAGGCTAGCCGTGTAGCCGTATAAGAGAAATCCGCTCACTCGGACGGTCTGACTGGTTTAAATTTTTTTTTTCCTTCCTTTTCAGCTCGGTCCAGTATTCGATCATCCTCCAAACGGAGGTGCGATGGACAGCGTTATTGATGTCTCCTGCACTATCCTTTCTTGACACCGTGCCGAGCCCTGTTCACCCACAGCCACACATCTATTAATCCAGCGTCCCCGTCAGGTCTGACAGTATTTCCACTGGGAAACCCCGGGGGATCACTCGTGTTGGAGAATCTATCCCCGCACTGCCAAGATGGTGGATCTCTTCTTCGGGCGTCCAAAGGATCCCGACACAAAGCCAACGCCCTCGGTCCAGTCAATCTCAAGTGGTCACCTATCCGGCAGTGAACAGGGCAAGACCGTGATTTCAGAAAAGCCATTGTCTGATGTGGAAAGTGGTCAAAAGAAAAAGGGCATCTTCTCGCGGCCATGGACTCGACGAGACCTCACAATACTCGGTATCCTAGGTGTACTGGCTCTGGCAATGATTGCATTGTGCATTGCACTTCCGATCCATTTTGTCCATCGCCAGAATGATGGAGATTCTTGGACGCCTTATAGACCCAAGCACGACGATCCCAGCTACAAGATCGAAGAGAACAAGCCCATTTGGGCTATCCATGATTTCCCGGACCCTGGTCTTCTGGAGTATAACGGTACCTGGTACGCCTTTGGAACAAACCCGCACAAGAATGATCCGATGTCAATCCATATTCCTGTCGCAACGTCGGCCAATTTCGTGAACTGGACGCTTCATGATGGTTGGGATGCTATGCCGACCATTGGTAACTGGGAACGCAAAATCAATCACTGGGCTCCGGATGTGATTCGAAGGGTGAGCAAACTCCACTTGTATGTGTGACGGGATAGCCATCACTAACCGAAAACTTCCAGGATGATGGCAAGTTTGTCATGTACTACGCCGGAGAGACCAAGGACTTCGGCACTCACCACTGCATCGGAGCTGCTGTTTCTAAGGGCGAAGACCCGCTCGGGCCCTATGTCCCTCTCAATGAATCAATTGCTTGTCCACATAAATACGGTGGTGCGATTGATCCATCGCCTTTCCGCGACTTGGACGGCACATTGTACGTCGTTTATAAAGGTGACGGGAACAGCGTCGGCAGTGGTGGCTACTGCGGCAACACCAGAACACCGCGACACTCTGTCCCAATCATGCTCCAAGAGCTGAAGAGCGACGGCATCACCCGGGTCGGCGAACCAACAATCATTCTCGACATCGACAGGACAGATGGGCCTTTAGTCGAAGCCCCAGATATCATCCGCACCGACAACGGCGTATACTATCTCTTCTTCTCATCCCACTGCTTCACGTCTCTGGGCTATAATGTGAAGTACGCCCATGCAACCTCGCTCAAGGGACCATACACTCGTGCCCCTCGACCGCTCCTGCAAACCGGTGACTTCCACCTAGAGGCCCCCGGTGGCGCGACTATTTCCACCGATGGAAAGAGAATGGTCTTTCATGCGAACTGTGAAGGCTGGCGGTGCATGTATGCCTCGGCTATCGACATCCACCCCAGCAACAACACGATCGTGATGGCTTCTCTCGAGCTTCAAGTTCTAGGAAACTCGACCACCCACACTGTTGACTCTATCACCAACTCCACCACAAGCTCCTAAAGAGGTGGTCTCACAAGGCCATGTCTCAAAGCTTTCTTCCAATTGTTTGTTTGGCATTAGCATTACATGGCGTTTTTGGGCATTTGGATTTTATGAACGAGTGATACCCACATGATGGGTCACGGGCACAGCTAGGCATGACTATCGGCGTTGTAAATAGATTCTGTTCCTGTATGATAGAATGCAGTTAGATTTCGACCTCCAGCGTGAAAGTCAGACATATATATCTCCTCTACCATCCCCGTCCTGTCCAGTCGAACCCTCTGAACCGTTAGAACTCACCCATCAGCAGTATGCACGAATTACAAGATGATTGTTTAGTGCTAGTGACATACCAACTCCGCAGACATTGCTGTTCATTAATCGCAGGCCACCTTGGAATTTATCCGCGGCAAGCAAGCTCCAGTGGATCCCCTCCCAAGGACATGTTACCGACCCACGGCGGACCTTTCACCAATCATCGCGAAGGCCGATGACGCCATGTCGCGAGTAACGCCTGAGGCATCAAAATAAACTCTCCGCTTGCGCAATCGGGAAATATAATATAGCCCTCATCGGTAGCTACTTACCAGAGCTGCTTTCTCAAATTCACGCCTGCCAAACCCAGTCGCAATGCGTTCGTTCCAGAGTGCCGCCCGCTCTGCTTCGCGCAACTTTTGCGCTGCACAATGGCGACCCAGCCTGCCGAATTCGATGCTCGCCGGCGCAACTCGGCCGTTATCGGTGCACTCGAGACCACTGCACAGCGGACAGCCGCGAAAGTCCTCGTCAGAGACCGCTCAAACGACGCTTAAAGATACGAGTAGCTCTGCTATGTCATTCCCTTGCCTCGACGCTCAAGAAGCCAAATCAGCATTGCTCTCGGCGCGATCGTTGCAATCGGGGCCCGAACCTTCATACACCACCGGCCACCACGAGCAATTCCACTGTGATGACCCGCTCCTTCTTGACTGGGGTGGCGTGCTGCCCGAGTTCGATATCGCCTACGAGACTTGGGGTCAATTGAACAACGACAAGAGCAATGCAATCCTCTTGCATACTGGTTTGTCAGCATCGAGTCATGCGCATAGCACTGCATCCAACCCGAAGCCTGGCTGGTGGGAGAAGTTCATTGGGCCCGGTCTGCCTCTCGATACAAACAAATACTTCGTCATCTGCACAAATGTGCTTGGAGGCTGCTACGGCAGCACTGGACCTTCATCGAAGGGCCCATCCGATGGGAAGCCATATGCGACTCGTTTCCCGATCCTCACACTGGACGACATGGTCCGCGCCCAGTTCAGGCTTTTGGATGCTTTGAATATCCAGAAATTGGCAGCTTCTGTCGGTTCCAGTATGGGCGGTATGCAAAGTCTGGCTGCGGGTACCCTGTTCCCCGAGCGCGTAGGCAAGATCGTCAGCATCAGCGGCTGCGCTCGCAGCCACCCGTACAGTATCGCGATGCGACACACCCAGCGACAGGCATTGATGATGGATCCTAACTGGGCGCGCGGATTCTACTATGACGCCATCCCACCGCACTCTGGGATGAAGCTGGCTCGGGAGATCGCCACAGTCACCTACCGCAGTGGCCCTGAATGGGAGATGCGTTTCGGCCGCCAGCGCGCCGATCCAAGTAAACAGCCAGCCCTGTGCCCAGATTTCCTCATCGAGACATACCTCGACCACGCGGGCGAGAAGTTCTGTCTCGAGTACGACGCCAACAGTCTGTTGTATGTCTCCAAGGCAATGGACCTCTTCGACCTGGGCCACGCCCACCAGTCCGCAGCTCGTCGCCGTCGCGCTGAGGCTGAAGCTCGCATCGCAAGCGGTGGTTTTTCTCCCAGCGTCGCCGACCCCGCCTGCAGCCTGACTCTCCCCGACAAGCCTTACGAGGAACAGCCCGAGGCAACAGCGAATGTTCCCCTATCTGACCAGTCCGTATCACCCCAAGAACCAGGTGGACCCCCAGAGGACCTCGTCGCTGGCCTTGCACCTCTGAAGAACCACGAACTACTCGTCATGGGCGTTGCAAGCGACATCCTCTTCCCCGCATGGCAACAGCGCGAGATTGCCGAGACCCTTCGTGCCGGTGGTAATAAGACCGTCGAACACATTGAACTCGGCGAGGACATCTCGATGTTTGGTCACGATACTTTCCTTCTCGACCTGAAGAATATTGGTGGTGCGCTGGGCCGCTTTTTGCAGTAGATGCTTGTCTCGAGGGGCATGTGGTGCTCGTAATAATGATTCCTCTGTATATTTCGCAGCGCGTGGACAAAATAGTGCATTACCAGGTGTTTATCTCTTGTGAATGGAATACTTTATTTTCCAATACTTTTATAGAGTGCTCTATTGTAGAAGCTTCTTAAATGGACCCGAACTTGTATTGTACAGTAGCATGCCCAGTTGTGAAGCAGCTACTCTAGTGCTAAAGACCATAACATCGAGGCATCTTCATTCAAGCCAGCTTCTTACAGGCGCGGGCGCAGGCCAGGCCACCATCCTCATCTTAGAATTCGGTGCCAGCACGCCCACGCTACACGCTTCAAAATGGTAATCCCACTGCACTGCACGATGTGCAAGGGACGAGAAAAATAAGAGATACCGAGCACAGGATGCTGTTCCAGCTATACTGTAAGTATATTTTCCTATCGAGGCGTATGAATGTAGTATGTTCACGTAAGCTTAATTTGAATTGGCGTCAAGCCCCGAGTCATTTTTCTCTCCAGATTTGCAAGACAATAAATTCCCATGGCAGACACTTGTGAGGTTCCTCGGGTAGAAGAATACGGACTTGCCAGGCCATTCAATAGAGACCACGCTGCAGATTGAGCTTGGGCCAAAAGGGATGCCAACGCTGCCTTCCGGGAGCGAGAGAATACTGCTAGTACAATGGGGATACGGTGCCTGGTACACAACAGCCACCATGCTTGTAACGGTCACACATTTTCAATCCCAACCGTTTTGCAACCTCGCGAATTTATGGAGTGGCCTGGGAACACAACAATTAGACGCCATCAATTGAATGGCGAAGTTAGGGACTTTCATCAAGTTACTTCAGGCGTACGCAGCTATTGGAGACTCCTTTGAATGGTAATTACTATTCTCATGCATGACGATATGCTCCAATCAACTGAGTCTATGGGTTCAGTGAGGGAAGAGCGAGCTGTCACAGTAAGTAGTCGATGGAAAAATAGCTGTAAGCCGTGATTAACGAGTCCCGCTGGATCAATTGATGGAGCTTCTTTTTTACACAAATTCACGCTAGCAATAAATTCGTCGTAAGATAATATGACGCGACGCTGTGCTTTTGCTTGAGATGTATTCATGTGGAGACGCTTGAAAAGGGTGGCTTTTTTCTCTACCGAAGTATTCTTTACAGCGAATGTGATGGGCGTAATTTCACTTGTAACATCCAAATGCTTCCGACTCAAGTATTTCCAGTGTCTTTGTATGATCAATTGCCACCCCGCGATTTACTCTCAATGCATTCATGGTCGGCCCAAGTGACTGACTAAACGCGTGGCGCCTCGTAGCGTACATGCAATTGATAGTCAGCAGAATCGCATCTATTACTTCATATCCTATACTGGAATAGTGCATTGGCGTGGCACTGGCTCTATGGCTACATTGTTTGTCTCCTGGTATCAGAAGACAGTCATTTATTTGAGATCACCTTCTCACCTGCAGAAATTCCCGGTCAACTTCCGACACGAGGTCGTCAAGGTGGATACTCTATGAACTTGGAATCATGCAGGGCGACCGCATTGGCTGACATGGATTTTGGTATGGACCAGTCGGCAAAGGTCATATTGGCACCAGTAGGAAGAATCTACTCCATACCAGAGCCCTTTCTCATTTTCCTTGACTATACGCTCGACGGAGAGAGTACCTTGTGACGTATGGAAAGAGCCTCGGATCTGACGGGGTATATCCTCCTCCATCGTGTTCAAGCGGGGTACGCATGAGCGACTTGAACAATACCGCAACCCGAGTCAGGAGCGGAAAACTCGGCTGAATCTTCGATCCTGGCCCAACAGTTTCCTTGATTCTGGCAACTTATCCACGCCGCTGAAATTATCCTTTGCTCCACATGAACCATCAACAACAGTTCCCACTAGCGTTGAGGAATTCGCGGGGTCACAGGGGTGGAATGTAACGCTACCCGAGTGCGATGTCTTGATGCGGAGTGCATGCAGTGGTGGTGATGCGCATGTCTCACCTGCGACTCGTTTGGTTTGGCCGTGGGACCGCCAAGCGGTGGCCTGACAATCCAAGACATGGAATATGAGCCATGTCTTAGATCAAAGGCCCCAGATGTACTCCATCAGTACATCATCGGTACTACCCATGGTCCGAGCAGCAGGCCTATATGAAGACAGCCTTCCTCCCCTGGTCGGGATGGAAACATATCATCCAAACATCTATCACATAAACAAAAAGCGAAATTACAAACATGAAGACCACCTTGATCACATTCGGTGCTCTCCTCGGCCTGGTGTCGGCCCAAAATGCTGTCGTGAACAACCACTGTGCCACCACCGTGTATGTGCAGTCGTATCCTTACGATGGCAGCGCTCCCGGCCCTCTTACCACCGTTCCCAAGGGAGGCACTTTCTCCGAGAAATTCAGACCATCTGGCTCGGTACGTTACGTCCTGTTCGGTCTTCGCAAGACTCCATATAGCAAGGAACACTAACTGGAGATGGAATGTGACAGACGGTCAAGATCGCCAAGACAAAGACGCTCGATACGCCTCTCTTCTTTGGCTATTCTTTCTCGTCCAACCCGGACTACGCATACTGTAAGTGCACCCTGTCTATTCGTCAGTTCGGAATATTTTCTGAACCGCATCCTTCAAGATGAACTGAGCACGGAATGGGGCAACCCCTTCGCCGCGAGTCCCAACTCGCTCAGTCCCGGGGAGGGCTGTGAGGTCTTTGACTGTGCGGCCAATGATGCCTCCTGCTACAGTACCCCAGCTCATAAGAAGGTCTATGGATGCCCCCAGCCAGTCAACCTGACGGCGGACCTGTGTCAGTAATTGTGTCGCCTACACTATTGAGTGTGGAAACATTATGAGGTTGTCTCTCTGTTTTTTCCAGTCCAAATCCCAACCTGTCGCAGCCTGTCTCAAGGTTAATTCTGAGTGAAGAAAAAATACAAGTATTTGTCGTGACACTAGTATTACCTGGGAGACTAGACACGATCATAATGAACCAAAAACTGCAACACACAACCACAAAACTAGGAGGTCTTAAGAATTGAAGAGAAAAAAAACGAACTAGGGTATTGGTAGGTTCTCAGCATAGCTCTCCCGAAGGGAGATTGCATCGACTTCTTCGGATGACCTTGCGGTCTTCGCGACGATGTCTGCAACATTGGCTTGTTTTCATCGTTGAACGCACGGGTCTTGAAGTATTGTAGAGCTTTTTAAAATATCAAAAACCCTAGACAGAGGAGAAAAGGTCGACACTGAAAGATGAGTAGGCTGGATCTTGTTAGTGGATGTGCTTGTGTGCTGCATCAAGCACAGATATATTCTTGAGTATGGAGTCATACTCGGGATCAATTAGAATAATTAGCTTTGAGTAATTTGCATTGAAACCTGTCAAAAAAAGCTGAAACCCTCGGATTGAAAACTACCTTTTGTGTCACTCGTCACCGGCATGCTCGACATCGTTACCTTGCAGGTGTACAGATGGAGCAATGATATACTAGCCTCGGAGTGGTGCGACAGCGAATTTCGTCATTGGGTAGGCAGTTGAGACATGATCTTTCCAGAATAGTCTATGCCATATAGGACAAGACACTGGATTGCATGCGTGAAAGTATGCGCGAGAGGCATACGCTTTTGGAGAGATTGAGTAGGAGTTGTGGAGTTAAAAGGAATCGTTGTTCACCGATTAGTAGCATTTTTTCGAAAAACTGCAGTATGTACACTGGAACCGGACGGCTTGTAATGTCGAGAGTTGACCCGTAAACAATGGCACGCGACAAGTAGGAGGAGAATCTATCAATCGCCAAGTCTCTTAGATCTCTGTTCATTCTCTCAGTCACCCACGGAGGTACAAGCGTCTCCTTCCACAAGCACAAGCACGAGGCTGTCAAGGGATGAAGTCCGTTGCCCAGCCCAGGGATCCGGGTGTGTCGTGAGAAGCTCATGGAAGTGATGGATATCGTCATCGAGACTGGGAAAACGTGAAGTTCTCTCGGAACTGCACGGGTATCAGTAAATAGACAATCAATACCTGATCTGCAACCAAGAACGTACCTGCTGCACGAAGCGCATTGAAGCAAGATCGACGTGTCGTCGGAATTGGCGTCTGGCCGCGGCCTCTCACGTGATAGCACCGTGGTTCCACTGATGAGCGCATGGGCTTGCAGAAGCGCATTCCTGGCTTATAAGAGGCCCGACGCCCAAGCTGGTGATGGTAAGCGATTCCTGTCTTTGAAGATGGCACCCCCTGGTCCCAGGTGGTGGCAGGCTACCGACGAAGCCGACCTCGATTACGGATTCGAGTCTGACGATTTTACTAGATTCGCCGAACCTGACCGCACTGCCCGCTTGACTTCACAAGGTCCACGAGATAAGAGAGATCGAGACATTGAACGCCGCGATACCGAGACAGAAAATCGAGGTGTTGTCAAGAATATGTCGTCTTGGTTTCAGCGCCAGGCTGGTGCACAAAGTGCTCAGCTTGCGACCACTGCGGTTCTATCCGGCGCTGCTGTTGCGGGTGCGATTTTTGGATACCAGGCTTATCGACGGAAGGAGGCCGTTGATGAGTTAAAGTCTTCGATTCCTGACCTTGACGAGCAGCATCATGCGGAGAAAGTGAGTTTGCAGTGCCTTACAATTTAGCGATTGGAAGCAAGGCTAACGAAGGGTTGAAGCTAACAACATTTGGTGTCGCCGATACCGCGATTCCCATGAGCAAGGAAGATGAGCGCAGTGCCATGCTGGCTCGCCGTGCGCAACGAGGAGATTATGATGATGGTATGGAAGCTCATATTCCTTCTTGGCAAGCTAGCTAATCAACGGCTAAAATCTAGACCTGATCCTCGAACAACTTGCTCGCAACCGCGTGTTTCTTCAAGATGAAGGCCTCGCGAAGCTCAGGTCCTCCTTTATCGTGGTCGTCGGATGTGGTGGTGTTGGGTCGCATGCAGCCGCCGCGCTGGCCCGGTCTGGTGTGGCCAAGATTCGATTGATTGATTTTGATCAAGTCACACTCTCCTCACTCAATCGCCATGCGCTAGCCACATTAGCGGACGTTGGAACACCAAAAGTACACTGCATTCGCAGACGATTGGAGCAGATTGCGCCATGGGTGATATTTGATTGTCGCAACGAGCTATTTGGCAAGGAGGCTGCGGATGATCTCATTGGGCCTTGGACCTTGACGCACGAAGGCGAGGGCCGTCGGCCGGACTACGTGCTCGACTGCATTGACAACATCACCTCGAAGGTCGATCTTTTGCACTACTGCCACAAGAACTCGTTGCCAGTGATCTCATCTATGGGTGCTGGCTGCAAGTCGGACCCGACTCGTGTGGTCGTGGGTGACATCTCTCTCAGCACTGATGATCCCTTATCACGCAGCACGCGTCGTCGACTGAAGGCTCTCGGCGTGAGCTCTGGCATCGCGGCAGTCTTTTCCACCGAAAAGCCTGGCCCCGGCAAAGCAAGCTTACTTCCTCTTCCAGAGGAAGAGTTCGCCAAGGGTCAGGTCGGTGAACTGGGCGTCCTTCCCGACTTCCGAGTCCGCATTCTCCCTGTGCTGGGAACTATGCCCGCTGTTTTCGGCTACACCGTGGCCAATCACGTTATCTGCAGTGTTTCTGGATACCCTATTGAGTATAATATGGGTGGAAAAGGTCGTGACAAGATGTATGACGCTACTGCAGCATTCCTACAAGGCTTCATGGAAAAGATGGCTCGCCAGGTTGGGGGACAAGACTCTACCGGCCTGCGTCTGCCTATCAGCAAGGACGATATTCAATTCTTGATGGAGGAGGTATGGCGTGGCAAGAGTGCTATCACCGGCTTGTCGAATCGACTTGTTCTGATTCCCTGGGAAACGCCAGCCCGGGGCTTCAGCATGGATCTGACATATGAGCAGGACGGCCAGAAGTACATGCCGATTGATTTGAAGGAGTTGGTATGCATGACCAAGGATGAAGCCACTCGACATGAGCGCGAGGTTCTTCGTAAAGGTAAAAAAGTGGAGGAAGTATACGATGAGATCGTTATCCAGCGGGTTCTGTTGCGCAGGAAGGAGGTCGAGGAGTATCAGAAGTACCGTTAAATCATAAATCCATAGAAAAATCACTATTACCATGCAAGCCTCAGCTCCATCAGCTAGATCTCGTATTCGTTCAGCGGCGCCAGTGATTGCGTCGATCAGCGGCGATCCTAAATGAAGAGAAGCGGGTCCCGGGAAAGATAACACAGCCGCGCCAATGCTTTATCCGCCAGACTCAGACCGAGCGTCTCACCTCCCCGTCTCCTAAACCCCTCCTTTCAACACAACCGACCATGGCTTCCCACGGCTCGGACCTCGACTACGATGACCAGGAGTACTATCATGCAAGCGCAGCCCCTGGGCGCTTCAAACGTCTCTCGCGTCCTCTAATCGACTCCGTTCGAAACGGTTGGCAGTCACATTCCAACCCCGCCTACCATTCCGTCTCCTCTTCCCCAGATTCCAAGAACCCGGGATTGATGGAAATAGCCATATCGGTCGTCTCCGCGCCGCGATTCCGCCGATATCTTCTCGTCTACCTTACGCTGTTCACACTAGGTTGGGCGGGCTGGGCGTTCGTGTTGTCTCCGACACTTCAAGACCGTGAGATTCTCGCGCAATCGCTAGATCCTCTGCAAATGGATACGGGCGGGACATTTGGATCGAATTCGGTGCCTACATTTGACCATCTGATTCGAATTGGGACTTTGGATCCTGCGCTGGTGCCTGGTGCCGAGGCGGTAGCGGAAGGTTTGAGGAGTGGGAAGCGATTGATCATGATTGGTGATGTGCATGGTTGCAAGGAAGAGCGTACGTGTTGCTGGAAATTTTGATTGATGGGTCATGAATGTTAACTGAAGGTATCATTACAGTGGAGAAGCTCCTTGAAAAAGTCAAATTCTCTCGCGAAGACGGCGACCATCTCATATTTACTGGCGATCTTATCAACAAGGGACCTGACAGCGGCGGCGTTGTGGATTTGGCCCGAGAATTCGGGGCTTCGAGCGTCCGTGGCAATCACGAGGACCGCATCCTTCTTCAGCGGGACGATATCGAAAAGGCTAACGAGACAGCTACTGCCGAGGGCAAGGATAATGCTGAGTTCTTCTCGTCGAAGGAACTTCTTGAGCGCTCCCTGGCTCGTTCTTTCAGCAAGGAGCAGATTGACTGGTTGAACTCGTGGCCCGTTATTCTGAAAGTTGGCCAGGTCCCCAACATGGGCCAGGTGGTCGTTGTTCATGGAGGTTTGGTCCCTGGCGTGGACCTTGAGAAGCAAGATCCCTCTACTGTGATGACCATGCGGAGTATTGACAAGAAGACCCATGTACCGAGCTCGGATGGCAATGGAGTGAAATGGGATAAGGTAAAATATTCACCACACCCAGGCTCTATTATCTGCAACCGATGCTAATACTCTACAGATGTTTGACAAACACCAACAGATGGTCCTCTCGGACCTCCAGTCATCGTCTGAAGATCCCCGTTCTCAAACAATGACTGTGATTTACGGCCATTATGCCAAAGCAGGCCTGAGTATTCGTGAATACACAAAGGGTCTTGACTCTGGATGTGTCAAGGGTGGCAAGCTCACCGCAATGGTCATTGAGGATGGCGGCAAGCAGAGCATCGTGCAAGTGCGCTGCAAGAACTATCTGAAGGATTGAGCTCGATTTTTGCTGTTCTGCATTTTAGCTTCATACTTGCATCTAGCGGCATCAGCCACTTGGAGTTGGTCTGTGATTTTCGTCTTGTGACTTACGGGTCTTATTACCTTTTGTGTAAATATTATGTGGGCTGTGATATATTCCAAGGCTTTCCTTTCGGTGTCTGGGATTCAAAATTGATTGCTTTCAGAGGGGTTCTCTTTTTCTCAGATAGATAGAGCGCTTGAAGGCATTGAAAGACTTTATTTTAGAATGCAAGTAGCGACAGCTGGAAGTATAGTAATCATGACTGACTACCCATACGCGGTCTTTCTCAATCGCAGGCTCTCCAGATACTCCAGATCGGCCAGCTTCTTCAACTTTTCCAGCTGCTACAGCATCCTGGCTCACCTCATTCACACTCCTCCTATCACGATATCGGGGAAGGCACAGTCTAACACTCTTGATCTTCCCACAAATGCCCCAACAACATTGCTCATTCCATTTACAAAATGCCAAATGTCTACAACAAGGCCTGTGCCAATGAATCATGCGATTAAGGCTAGCTTACTACAAGGGTAGCAGCGACTACAGTAAATTTGGGCAGGGTTGGGGATGCAGTATAGAGGGATGTTGGCCATTGTGCGAAAGGCTTGAGCGGTGTAAATGATGTATATAGAGGAGAATAATTGGAGATGACATTAAAAAATCAATGTCGGAAGCTTTGATCAGAGAGGAACGTTAGGAGTGATGAGAGCTTTGTGGAGGGATAAAAATAAGTCGGCCTGATAGATTAGCCTTTGGCCGGCGAAGTATTTCTGACACTTTCTCCAATCACTCTTCGCATTTCCTAATAGGGGAAAGAAGTCATATTCCGAGTCCCCTTCGGGTTTGGTAGTTTCGAGATATAGCATCGCGCCCCGAACTGGAAGCGGGTATAGTGCGGCCCTCGGTCTATATTTCACGCATCCCATTCTTCTCTTCATTCGTAATCAATTGTAGATCTTCAAACCTCTTGATCCATTTGTTCCCAGCATACACTAGACGAAATGAAGCTACCATCTTCCGGTACGTACATCTCATCCGACTTCAGCAATCCAAATAACCATCTCCAGTCACCGCAACATCAATCTTCTTCGTCCTGAGCACGGCGAAATTCATAACAACCCCCACAGGAAATCCAACAGCAGCAAGCAGTCTATCTTCAATTCCTAGTCCCATCGGAACAGGGAACTCATCCCAGAATGTATCTGCCAACCCATCTCTCGATATCCGCCCTCTAAAAAAGTTCAAAATGGAAACACAGATCCAGGCCAGAGAGCCCGAGACCTGCTTAGAAAACTCACAGTGCTTCTGGAACCACATATGTGTCGACGGTGTATGCGTCGTAGGCTGCCAGGACCTCAAAGACTGCAAGCCTCCCCAGAGATGCGTTCAAGGTTACTGTCACTGGAAAGCCTTCAAGCATCACGGTCGTCCGCGACGGTGTTCTGCAAATAAGCAATATTGTTCTCAGGAACTATCACTGCTGTTATCATCGGTGTGTACTTCCCGGTCGTAGGGATTTTGATGCCAACACTGGGATTTTTGGGTATTGTTACAAGGTTCGCAGGGGAGCGGATGGGCCGGATGGGGATAATTGGGGTGATATGAGACCGGATTCTGGAGATATACAGCAGTTGCTTGATGGTGATGAGACGGCGGCGCCCGCGAGGTTCAAGGGGCGAGATGAAGATTTAGAGAAGGGGGATATGGGTCTTGAGAGACGAGATTTGGTTGCGGAGGCTAGGGAGTTTGAGTTGGATGATGGTGGTGAGGATTTGGACGAGGAGGATTTGGATTCTGAGCTTATTGAACAGGGGAAAGCTGCCTACTGGGAAGATCACTGATCTTCTAGATGTCTTTTGCTACTTGCTCCTCTGATGTTGTGTTCTGCTTTTTCCGAGGAGAATGTACTGTCCTGGCCACTTTGGATCGCCAGCATTGTTCAAAATTGAAGCTTGTATTATTTTGTTTACAAATTCACTTAGAAGGTATCGCACGCTTAAATACACGCTTGGATACGCAAATATTTTTCAGGTCTTTAAGAACACAGGTGTCCCGAAACCAAAATGCATTCAAGTTCTAAACGGGATAAAAGAAATTTCCATCAGTAGCCCAAGTAGCCGCCTCTGTAAAATCCTCATACCAAACACCACCCAATGTATTGATATGCACGTATCCAAAGCGGAAATACTCGATCTCATTCTCGAATCTGCGACCCCAAGAAAAGTCATCCATATGACCGCGACCTTTTGACTTGAAGCTCTGGAAGCGCTGAACGTCATTGACCAAGACACTGATACCGTCCACATGCGGTGGGAGATCCTGGAATGAGAATTTGAGGTGATTCTGGTCAATGATGGTCGGTGCGTCGATTGGTGGAGGGACGGTGCCTAGTTTGCCACCATTGAGAAGAGCTGCTGGTGTTTGAAGGATGGAGTCGAAGCCCCAGCGTGCGATGCCGTTGATAAATAGGCCGACAAGAATCCCCTGAAATAAGAGGCTGGGTCTCGTCTGCAGTGTTGTTCCGGGTAGGAACATAAGAGCGATGATGTAGTGGTGAATGCGGAGGTTCATGTGTGGCACGGCAACGAGAATGAGAATGATAAGGACCATGAGACCGTAAAGCCCCAGCATTGAAAAGAAGCGGCCTTCGCGGCGGAAACAATGTGCTTGGGCGAAGAATATCACGATGAGAAGAGCCCACGATAATCAAAAGTGCCGTGAACCCACCTGGTTGCTGTTTGATATCGTGGGGAGTGAGGCGCGAGATAGGGATACGATCGAATGTATCCGTGTTTAAGGCGCCGACCCAGCAGCCGCCTAGCCACAGAATGGTCTTGTCGAGGTGCGCTGTCAAGTCACGCAGCGTATATTTAACGCAGAAATAGTACATGGCGAAACCAACAAATGCACCTGGAAAGAACCGACCAAGACCAATTGAGACCAGATCGTAGAAGCCTGAAGTGGGTGGATCTGATGCCATGGCGACCTGGAACCACACGATGAAGTATATCACCGTGTAGAAGGCCGGCGCGGAAGTCACTAGCATGGACAAGATGGCCGTGTAAGCGACAGTGAAAGCGAATAGCGTCCACCGGATGTCGGAACATTCCACCAGCTTTGCATCGTGAGACCCTGACAACGAGGCCTGGCGAGTCAAAATGAATGACATAGGGAAATGCGACATGAACTCGATGCTCTCGATGCCATTCTGTTCATAGGACTCAAACTTGTCGTTCTCGCCTCTGCGGTGCAAAATCCCACATCCACCCTTTGCGTCGCTGATCATCCCTGCATGCAGTGCCGATGCACAAATGGACGAGTCGCCTCTATAGAGGCCACTAGTGCGACCGTCTTGACGAAACTCACTAGGCACGCCACCAATGACCAGCGGTCGGTAATTGTACTCATAGGCACCGACATTATACGGCTCAAGGAGTATGGCTGCAGCACAGCCAGACGGACAACGAAACGCGAACGACTGATCATCAAAGGGCATACAAAGCTCCCCATTCATACCGCAGTCGGTGCCATTAGCCCTGAAAGCTTGTTAATTCTAAGACCGATAGAGGCCAATGAACCCTCGGGAAGATGCGAACGTACCACAAGCGATGGTGACATGACAGCTTGACGGGCTGACCATAGCCCGGAACTTCCTGTTCCGCCACAGACGCTTTGAGCGAAGAGAAGAACACAGCGACCCAAAAAACCACCCCGAGCAACAAGGCAGCTATTTTCATGAAGCGTTTCGGAGCCCAGCGATCGACCAGGCGCGCCGGCGCAGCCTGCCATTTCGGAAACCAGGGATTAATGCGATAGACATGCGGCGGCACGGGCCCGCGGCACCACGCGATGAAGCCATGGAACGTGCAGGAAAACGGCGGATCTCGAGCGACCTCCCGGTCCACGTCAAACTCGTCATAATCCTCATCTTCGAATTCAAAGTCATCAGGGTGCCCGGGGAGCAGGGCACACCGCCTCCTAGTTCGACGTCGCGCGGGTCTTTGAGGTGGCGCTCAGTGTCGGCGTCTCTATACCGCGTCCGCAGATCCTCGAGTGCATACGAGTCGTCGCTGCGCTTCTCTTGCGGCGGGGAACGACTCGCATCTTCGCCTGCCGATTGGGAGTGCATCCTTGATGATCTTGGTAGGTCCCATCGTCAAGGAGAACTGGAATTCCACCCTGTTTCGGCTTTCGCTGGGTCCCCCGTAAGGGTCCACATGCCCTAGGATCGTTATTAGTCATCTTGCAAAATAATGCCAATGGTCTAGGGTTTCTGCTCCATTTTCATGTGGTTTTCTTGCTTTAGATAGGGTCGCTTGGTGATGTCTTCTTCAACCAGGACTGACTTTCTGGAAGAGGCCCGACCGAATGGTGGATACTTCCCGCCGTAAACTCTGTCACCCAAAAAAGTATAGGGATGAAACCAAAAGGTAAATATTATTGCATTGCCGAACGCGAACGAGTGACTACCATTAAACCATGCGAAACATCATGCGTCCACCAAGGGTATCAACGTAAGTCGTAATTCGTTTGCCCCCTGACCACGAGGAGAATGCGACAAGAAGTCAAGAAAGTATCATGAAACAACCGACCATTACAGAGAATTCTCAAGTGATGCGGATCTCACCAAGCAAGCCAAGCTCAAAAGCCAACCCTTTTTCTGGAATGTGGCATGAGCATCACAGTGACCGCTATGGAGGATCCTGCAAATCAAGCGCCTATTTAGGCAGCGGAGCCGACAGCGGCGCGCTTGCGTCCCCAACGACCACTAGCGGATGAATTAGCACCGCGTTACCGAGATAGGGTATGGATAGAGACTTACGACGACTGAGTGGTCTCTCCACGCTTGCGGAAAGTGAACCAAATGCCGACAAGAGCAGAGACCAGCCAGACGATAGCAGACAAGAAGCTGAAAGCCTCAGCCGCCTTCCAGCGTGCACAGACAGAGTCACCGCGAAAGTGCCAGGACCAGATACTGCCGCAGGGCAGATGATGAATGGCGTCCACGAGGATACCAAAGGCAGCGAACCAGCCGAAGGAGATGAGAATGTCCACTAGATGATGATCATGTCAGTGTATGATTGACGATACAGCCGGTTCGAAGGTTGCAACGTACGAGACCAAGAGAAGAAACCCGAAGAGAATGGGATCAGCCAGATCAGAGCCAGCAATATGGACAGGCCAGCGATGACCTCGGTGTAGATCCAGCGAGCCTGAGGCCAAGGGTCGATGTCACTGAACGAGGCGAGGTAGTGACCGATGATACCAGCGACGACCTGGGGCTGAATTAGAAACAAAACCGGATTTATATCATAGACCATGAGCATATACATACCGCAGCAAACGCGATTTCTGCAATGCGCAGAGGAATAGAGAGAAGGCGCGAGATGACAGGCATAGTGACGATCGGAACTCAAGCTCAGTAAGTATGCGAACAGAGTCAACAGCCGACAGGAAGCTTTGTGGGTAGATCAGAAGTAGAGTTATGTGGAGGAAACGAGAGAAAGCTCGGGAGGAACGGGAGAGGTATATAAAAGGTCACCAGGACTGTTGCACAGGGCAGATGTCATGATTCGAATCAACGGGGGCCTCAGAAGCAAGGGCCCAACCAAAACTATTCCAAAAGGGATCTAAAACTACTCTAAACCTAAATATCACTAAAGTGAACTAGCCACAAAATTAGAAGCATGAGTAGGGAAGAAGAAACAGGTACCAAGACCCACAGCCCATCTCGTCACTGCACAATGTCGTCAGATCCTGCCCGAAAGTTGCGAGGAGCTCGAGCTCGAGGGCATGATGCATCATTGGGTAGCGTACAGGATGCCCAATGGTGATGTCGATCTCCACGTCTTTTTTTCTTCCATTTCTGCAGGCTCTGTACGTGGCTGTACGTGGCTGCCCTGCCCAGCTCTACCGGGAGCAAGGAGCTCATGGCCTGTCAGAATCCCTCGAACACCGCGAGCTGGGCCGGGGTTGGTCGGCGGCCCCGGCGTGTATAGGGGGGTTTATCCCTGTTTTTGCGGTGTGTTGGCAAGCTCCGGTGGCTGGGGTCAAGGAGTTAAGAGATGGGTGCCTAGTCACAACATTCTCACCCAATAAATGAAGTTACGTAGTTTTATTGTCCCGTGGTCGTTGGGTGATCGGCCATGTCTCCACTTTGAGAGCAGATCAGTGCAGCCTATCTAGGGCGGCACGGCCTCGAGGTGCTGCGCATGGTTCACGGAGGAGGACATGTGTTGAGCGGTGCGTGTCTAAGGGATGTCTGGCTGCTGCAAAGCGCAATCCTCGATGGGACGTGGATTGGCATCGTATGGTTGAGCAACAGGCGTCCTTGCTTGTGATCCACTCAGCCCTATGACGTGGGGGGGGCTGAAGGGTGTTACAGGATGATCCAATGGTGTCGGATGAACGAGTGTACCAAGTGTACCAAGTGTACAGCCAAGGTGACTCCAGCATAAACTTGGGTGGTCAAATCACTTCATGATATCTGCATGTCAATTACACCCAGACGCATTTTTGTTCAGACTCTACAGAATCATTCGTTTTTCCTACTTAGTGGAGACTTGAGAACCTGAGCGCGTCGATAGTTCCTGGTTCCTGATCAAAAATTAGAATAAATTACAGTATTCTGCCGGTCTTGTGGATAACAGTACACAGATCACACCAGCCTCCCACAACGCCAACAGGGGGTATTAGACAGCTCCAGAGCGAACTACACAAGAGTACAGTGATAACACACTCTCAAAACACCCGCCACACAGAGCATAAACAATAACCTTAGACATTCTTGGATTCGTCCTTCAGGAACCAAGCCATCACGTCCTGCCAGACCCCCCTTTCCGTTGGTCTCGATAACATCTCCGTGGCAGGGAATGATCCGATCAAAGTCCCACTGACCGATGCGCTTCACAGACGCCGTAAACGCCGGGCGATCCTGCTGCGAGAGAATATACCAAGCAAAGCGACGCTGGCCAGTAGAAGGAGCTCCGGTCCGGAGCATGGGCAGAAACAGCCTCGTGAGCCAGTTCATAGGGTTGGCGTCAGGAGACTTGGAGTACTGCTCAGTCGCCGGCAGATTGAAGAGCATGTCGGCCTCGATGACCGTGCGCGAAGGGCGGTGCAAAAAGACCAGCTCGCGCGACGCGTGCCCGTGCACATACTCTGACTCAAATTCAGCATCGAACTCCTCCGAGATAGCCCTGGGTGAATCCTTCTTGAAAACATGCGCGAAAGGCTCCTCGCCCTTGAACTCAGCAATCTTGCTTCGCTTCTCCCACAGCCCTTCGGGTGCCAGGATTTCCGCCTGCGGATAAGCCTTCTTCCAGGTTGAGATGTGCAAGTGGTGCTCGAGGTCCGGAGCAGCGATGTACTTGACGTTGCCGCCGAGGGATTCGACCCGCTCACGGACTTCCGGGGTGAGACTCACGGGCGAGAACACGGCGAGTGCACCCGTGGAGAGCTTGACTGATACACGCAAGGAGAATTAGCTCGAGTCTAGGTGAATCATCCGTCGGGTCGAATGCGCGGGCTCAGATCTGTAAGGGCGTGCTCACCAAGGGTGCCTCGACCGCCGAAGCGCAGGACTCCGAAGCGCGCAAATGGCAGGCTCATAGTGATGATCTCGGGCGTCACAGCGCGGATGACCATCAGGTCGGATGGGTTGGACGGGAAGAGCTGCGGCATGATGTCTTTTGTGTTTGGGACTTGCGCTCCCTGGCGTTGATGTCTCAGTCGCCAACAGCTGTCTCGAGCTGGAATAATAATAACTCAAGAAATGTGAGACTGTAGATGGATCGAATGCAAGTGAAGAAGAGAGGTAATGTTGCACGGAGAAGAAGTTTTGAGCTTTGGTCAGGCGCGATCCAGACCCCAAAAGATGACGTGATGATTGAATGATCGCTAATAGCTGGAAGGTACGAAGCTTATCGATCATAAGGGCCTCGGCCCGGACTCTACAGTTTCCGGATCCTAGAGCTCCACCTATTCTAGAATTATGAACATGAAAATGGTTATGAATGTGAATATGAATATGGAGACAATTTCCTCAATTCAACGGTCATGCTAAATATGGCCTAGTGGGTATCATAAAATAAAACAGAAACGCCGATTTGCCGTGGTCGCGAGGTGTCAAGAACTATCTAGCCATGCCATCCTCGCCCAGTCTCCTCTTCTTGTTCCTCGCGATGAGGGATAATCGGGTCTTCGATTTCAAACACATCGATAAGCTCTCTCCAGGTTTCAAAGTCAAGGCTGAACACGGCTTGGTGCTTCTGGATTTTTTTCCTTTGGGCCTCGCTGGGCGCGTATGGTATGGCTGGAACTATTCACGATATTAGTATATTTGACACAGAGTAATCGTAATCCAAGCCACTCACTGAGATATGGAATACCACGACTGTCCATCTGCACAGCGACAGTCCCGTCGCGAACCAGGAAGCTGACGTAGAACAGGTTCTCGATACTTTGTCCGAATGAGTGTGGGTCGATGCAAAAGCGGAATAGATTCATGCCAGCGCTCTCAGAGATACCATATTCATCCATCACCTTTTGGATCATTTCCTCACTAGGTTCCTCGACCCCCGCCAGCTTCTCATTGACCTGTTGGGTAGCCGCCTCCGAAGACTCGTAAAGCAATTTGTTGACCCTTTGGCACGTCTCAGTAAGGTTGGCGTTCTCTTGTTGGCCTAGATCTTCCTGCTGTAGTTCCTGTGGTTGGACCGTTTGTGTTGCGTCGAAGCGCTCAGCTCTGGTCCGCTGGGTCATCTGTCGCGTGCGTTTTTGCACTGACAAAGGCCCGAGTAGCCATCCAGATACCGCGGGCCTCGTGTTATGGGGAAAGCAAGCCGCTCGACCAAGCCAGTCCCAGTTCATCGCATCGCCCGCAGTGCCATCCTCATCGTCGCTATCGGCCTCTCTCTGGCTTCGGTGGTGACGTCGTTGGGTCTGGGTGTTGCCGGTTATCGTCTCCGAGCTGCCTGGTCCGGCGCGCATGAAATTACAACACCTGGTGATGAACTCATCCACGTCGATACCAGCGCTACTGTCCCCAGTCTGCGAGAATTTTTTATTTGTGAGATCGGCGGCATTGACGAGGAGGCGCGAGTCGAGGGTGGCGTCGGCAGTTTGTTTAACATTCTGGTAAAGAAAGTTCGCTTTCTCCACCGTTTCGTAGATACCATTGTTCCCTGACTGCATGAATTCGGCGCGCGAATCTGTTGAGGGATGTGTTAGAACGCGTCAATCGCACCTCCTGGCTGTTCAAAGACTAAGAAAACTTACCATTAAAATCACCCGTCAGATCTCTGTATTTCTTGCGTGTTTGTCTCCGTTCCTCCTCATCCTGGTCAGGATCATACCATCGCTTGCTGTCATTCCGTTGCGTCGATGATGGGACTTTCGACTGCATATTGGAGGTACGGTCGGTCAAACGCCGGCGTTTCGCAGATTGGTTGGAGGATGCCATTCGAGCGTTGTTATTCTTGTTGATTCTTCGGGGATTTTCTTTATCAGAATCGGATGCTGCAGGAGGACTGGAGCTGAGCACAGTTGCTTCAGTCAACTGAGAAAGAGAGACTCGCTCCATGCTCGACGCTTGTTTCAGCGCGCGCGGGAGTGATGCAGGTTCGAGCGAAGTGTAATCAAACGAATGGGCAATTTATAGCTCGAAACAGTCCCCCTGTCGTTAACTAAAATAGCACACCGTAATTTGGGGGGGGCCAAAAGAACGCATCCCCAGTTCACTATCTGACGCGTATCTTCGCGTAACAGCACGTGATCGTGTCGGCGGGCCGTTGGTGGGCTGTGATTTGACAGTTCCACTATGTATCACACTGCATTTGTGATCTATGGAAGTATCACTATTGGAATCTCTCTGCTTCTGCGTGATTCGGACGTTTGATCACTGACATGATGTACCTAGCTCCATCCGAAGGCTAACAGTGCATATCAGAGGACTAAGGACTTAGTGCCGACATTACTTTGACACTGGGCCGAATTTTTCAAAAAGCATCTGGTATCTTTTTGCACTCCTGTTTCTTCATTTAACTCGCAATATATGAATTTCAGCTTGTTTTGTCGTTTCTTTGAAACAACGAGCTAGACGCAAGCCTCGTAGCAAATGCAAGGAATTCTTAACTTTGTTGATCAGTTTCCGAAATCATTTTTAATTCCACACCTGTATGACATAATTTGCGGAAGCTTGTGATGCTTGGAAGTATGCAGACTTATCGGCAACGGCTCGTTGAGTCCAAGCTCAAATTTTTGCTACTTTATCCAATGCTCGTCGGAGGCGGAGAATATATGATATATTTCTGAATGTATAATGTATCAAAAACAATCAGAAAAAATTCAGGTCACAATTGCTACTCCTCACCACATTCATCCACCTGATTGTATACCCAAGACACGTGATGATAGCTGACTCATTCCCCGCAGGAGCTCAGCGCGACGTTGAGCTTCGCTGCTCTGTTGAGGGTCCCACAAGCATGGAGGCATTCACTTTTGCGCTTTCCACACAAGTGGACCTGCCTATTTGCATCAAGGTGTAAGTCAGGCTTTCACCGCCGAACAGAACATGGCTAACAGCCCCGCAGTGGCTCACTGGAAGGCAAACAGAAGCAAATACCATACTCGCGATTACTCAAGAACCCGCAATTAAGACATCTCGGATCCGCCCAGAACCCTTGCTCTGATCTTTTCGTCACGGTGCAGCTATGGTCGGACTCGAAACCTCTCGGTGTTCCTCTCCAGACTTCATACAAGGCATTCAAAAACGCCCGTGCATGGAACGAATGGTTGCAAATGCCTATGTCCATTAAGGATGCCCCATTCAACTCCCAGCTTGCAATCACGGTCTGGGATCTATCCCCGCTGGCAGGGGATGGACTGCAGGGCCATGACGTACCCTTTGGCGGAACGACTATTCCTCTTTTCGAGGCCGAGGGCAAGTTGAAGATAGGGCGACAGAAGTGCAAGATCCATCGCCACAAAGCTGCAGATGGCTTCTCATCATCCACTACTCCAGCCACGCCGCTCCCGAAGAGGCGGAAGCAGAATAATCGCGATGTGCTGGCCCCGTCGTTGGCAGAGCTCGAGTTGGAACGAATTGAAGTCCTGATCAAGAAGCATGAGATAGGCGAAATCACCCGGATCGACTGGATGGATCAGATGGTCTTCCGTCAGCTGGAAAAGCTGAAAATGCAGGCCGAGGAGGCTGCGCGCAAGCGAGCTATTCACTTGAAGACATTGAAGCACAAGACAGGGGCAAATGAAGACGATAGTTCTGACGACGAGGAGCTAGATGATGAGAAGTTTGTCCTTTACGTGGATTTCCCTCGTTTTGACCATCCCATCGTTTGGGCTGATCATCAGTATGCCCCGCCACCCATCTCGTCCTATTCCCAGAGCGTACCGGCCAATACGAACTCAGCATTGAAACCGGTCCCAGAGGTCCGCTTTGGTCCTGGAATTGAAGGTGGGGATGGTGCGGGAGTAATTAGAATTTACGACGCAGAGGTTGGTCAGTCTGGTAATCCGTGTGAAGACAAGCATCGCCGTTTGATTCGCAGCCACCGCACTGGATTCATGGATCGCGATCTTAGACCCAACCCCAAGAATCGGGATGAGCTGAATGTAATCTTGTCATACGAGCCGACGCAGGATCTCACTGCCGAGGAGAAGGACATTGTGTGGAGGTTCAGATACTTCTTGACACGAGAGAAGAGAGCACTCACCAAATTCGTCAAGTCGGTCAACTGGCGCGACGAGGGGGAGGCTCGGCAAGCAGTCGAGATTCTGCCCAAGTGGACCGAGATCGATGTCGACGATGCTTTAGAACTTCTTGGACCGACGTTTGACAATCCGGCGGTGCGAGCCTATGCCGTGGCCAGGTTGCGCAAGTCTGATGACGAAGAGCTTCTTCTTTATCTTTTGCAATTAGTTCAAGCTCTAAAGTATGAAGAGCATGCTGGAGATGATGCGGATGAAGCTGCTCACGACTCTTCACTTGCAAATTTCCTGATCTCCCGCGCCGCCAACAACTTCAAGCTCGGCAACTATATGCATTGGTACCTCATGGTAGAATGTGATGACGCCGGTCCCGGTACACTGTCAACTCAACGGCGCCTCTTTGCTCGAGTCGAATATTATTTCATGACCGAGCTGGAAAAGATCAATGCCGAACATCGAAATATCCTCCTACGTCAAGGTGAATTGGTCGCCGTGCTCTCGAAGATCGCCAAGGACATTCGATTCTCAAGAGAGACTAGACCAGTGAAGATCGAGAAGCTGAAGAAGTCTCTGCGTGATCCGAAGAACGATCTCATCCATATCGATCCACCGCTCCCTTTGCCTTTGGATCCAGACGTCCAGATAATCGGATGCTACCCCGACGAATCCAACGTCTTCAAATCAACATTATCCCCACTGCAGATCACTTTCAAAACCACCGACGGCCTGCGTTACCCCCTCCTATTCAAAGTGGGTGACGATCTTCGCCAGGATCAACTCGTCATTCAGATCATCATCCTGATGGATCGACTCCTCCAAAAGGAGAACCTGGATTTGAAATTGACGCCATACCGAATTCTCGCGACAAGTTCTACTGCCGGTGCCGTCCAATTTATCCCCTCAACCTCCCTCTCCGCCGCATCCGCCAAATACAAGTCCATCCTCGCCTACTTAAAAGAAAATAACCCCGACGAAAATGAGCCCCTCGGTGTCCGCAAAGAAACAATGGACACATACATCAAATCCTGTGCGGGCTACTGCGTAATCACCTACCTCCTCGGCGTGGGCGACCGCCATTTAGAAAACCTCCTCCTAGCACCCGACGGCCACTTTTTCCACGCCGACTTCGGTTTCATCCTGGGCCGTGACCCAAAACCTTTTGCTCCAATGATGAAGCTCTGCAAAGAAATGGTGGAGGGAATGGGCGGCACAACCTCACCTCATTATCTTCAGTTCAAGGAATACTGCTACACCGCATACACCACCCTACGCAAGTCCGCAAATCTCATTCTGAACCTGTTCAGTTTAATGGTCGATGCCAATATCCCAGATATCCGAGTGGAGCCTGATAAGGCGGTGTTGAAGGTCAAGGAACGGTTCCATCTGGAGATGTCTGAAGAGGAGGCAATTCGGCATTTCGAGCAGCTTATTGGGGACAGCGTCAATGCTATCTTTGGTGTTGTCATTGATCGGTTACATGAGTTCGTGCAGGGTGGAGGGCATGATGTTATTTATATTGTGATTTTTTTTTTTGGGAGATTCTACATTGTTGGAGTTATAGAGGGCGCTTGATGTACAGACTCAGAATACCCGGCTGCACCGCTGCATGATATTTTCTATTTCATTTCTGGGTCGTCCAGTACTATACCTTGATGAGATATGAACACACAAGTAGAAAACACGAGTACAAGGTATATCCTCCCCAACCTCGTGCAAAGAGAGGACAAAATTAGGAGGGGACATAAGAGGCAAAGTGTTTGAGAAGGCGGCTTTGTCAGTCCCCGATCTCGTGGTAATTGTGACCGAAGCCGCTTTTCGAGACCATTTCTATCATTGCGCGCCTACGATCTGTATGTTCAGTCACATCTAGAGCTCCTTTACTATCAGATTGGGAAACCCTGGCCTTGTGGCTGACCTTCGGCTACGCAGCCTACGGAACCAAGGTGTCGGCAGCTGGACGCGCGGCCGGGGAAGAGACAGGGCAGAAGAAGAAAATGGCGTTTGTAAGAGAAATTGGCCTTTTACGCTGCCAGAAATTCAAAGATCCGGACTCCCTGACTGCATTATCGGGCTACGAGCCTGCATCCTTCTTTTGCGCCACATTTAGATCTTGGTGGCAAGCTAGTATTGACTTCGCTCATGAAAATTGCAATATGATTCTACTACTCGATAGGATTACATAAATCTAGCAATAAAGAGCTTCAGGATCACAGCTGGACGATCACGATCTCTTGTACCTATCATCGCGGCCTAACTCCTCATCACCATGCTCCTGAAGCTCCACCCACTCATTGTTCATATCCCCATTGCTCGTACCCCAAATTCTTTGATCCGCAAGATCAGCCTGCGACTTACCGGGCTCTTTCGAAATTGAACTCGATTGAACAACCGCACTTGGAGAATCTGCATCCAAAATCCCAACTGCAACTTGCTCACTTCCTAGTGCGTCTTGATCCTGGATCTTCGCTGCATCCTCATCGTCTTCCGGTGTACCCTCACGACAGGCCCATGCGTCAACGAAGCGAAGGACTTCTCGAGGCCACCAGCGTTTCATAACCAAAAGACGGAATGGGACGAGGGCGATGATAAGGACTGGGAAGGCGGGGGCGCCGCGCGTCAAGGTGAGAATGAAGATGATCACTGTTATGACGATCTGGAGGATGGTGTAGAGGTGGATTGGGAGGTAGGATGGGTTGCGCGATGGCGTTTCGGTGATGTTCGGTGTCTCGCTTGGTTTATGTAGAGCCTGTGGTAGTGGCGGAAGCTCTGAGGGTGGAGTAAGGAGGTAGAAAGTGCGGTATAGTATAGGGCTAGAGTTTGGGTTTAGTGTATAGTCTGAGCCGGTGTTAGTATAATAGACTTACTTGACTGACAGACTCTGTTCACCCATAAACATGAACAGTCCCGCGAGAACGCTTGTCGGAGTCAAACCAAGCACTTTCATGAACGGCGGACTGACGAAGAGAAGGATTGCTCCCGCATGAAGAAATGATGACCAGCGCTGTTCGTAGACTCGTCGCACATCACGTGTCTCTATCTTTTCTTCGCCATCGACGATGACGCTTTGCTCCTCTCTCTCGGTATGCATCAATGATTCGGAATGCAAGGGAGCCTGCGGGAGAAGGCCGTTGGCTGGTGGGATACCAAGGATGCCGCACAAAGCCGTAGTCGTCCCGAGTAACACAATATCCCAGGCAAAACCACCAGGTTTGCGTGTACCGTATCGATCAATTGTACAGATAATGGAGCTGACCTCGTGGTCGAAAAAGAACAGCATAGTGATGATCAAGCCTGGGATAATCGCAGCAAAGATCCATGAAACGGGCAATTTCCAGAATTCCACAAAGAAGATAGTTCGGTCTGGAGATGTAGGCCGGAAGGATGTGCTCACAGGAAGCGTCATCTTATCCAGAGTAGCTAGCTCACCAACGTGTGGCAAACCAATGAAGATGATGATGGAGATTGCGGCAGCGTATTCCGTTAGTCCTAGCCGAATATAACGGTGGAACAAGGGTTTCCAGCTCTCTGCAGTGGAAAGAAAAATAGCAAGGAGCATGGTACCCACAGCACCAATCACGGCGTAAAGAAAGGCAGCGAAGGAGAGACTATCATGGGCTCGCTCAAGCTCTTGGATTGCCTTGTGGAAATAAATGATACTGTTGAGTAGCGAGAAGATCTCTGTTGCGAATGTTGTTACATAGCGCATTGTCCAATCGTGAGCGTTGATGATGGCTAGAAGATAGTGTAGCCAAGCAGAGTGGATCAAGGACCAGGCCATGAATGGCAGAAAGGGAATCTGCAATTACTACCATTAGGCTTTTGGAAGAATTATCATGGTAGAGCCTATATAATACCTGGAAATCTTCTTTACAAAGAGAATAGATGTTCTCCGCCAAGACAGAGAAAGGCCCTGTTACGCCAAGGATGGTGAGGGGCTGGATCGAGAATCTGCTCACTGGTCAATGACACGGCATAACCTAGTTCAAATAAGGTACTCACAGTGAAAAGATAACACCATTGAGCCCAGTGCTCAAGACAACTTCGATCGTACCCCAGCTCTTACCTGTCAGGACATACAAGTCACTGGCGAAGGTGATGCCAGGCAAAAGGTTCGTGAAGAAGAGGTATACTGCACTGGCAAAGATTAACTGGTTAAAGACAGTCCAGTCAGACACATATCGCCGGCGAAGGTTAGTGATATCTTGCTTCACAAGGCGGAATGGGCGTAGAGGGCCACCAGCTGCCACCGAGCCCCGTAGAACTCTGAAGGGTCTCGGGGTGTGTTTTGATGGTGTGATGATAGAATGAGCATCGGGGTCATGAGTATTCCCTTCAGAATCAAGTTCCTGCTCATTTCTGGTCGTCTTTCTTCGACGGCGGGGTCGCGACCTGCGCCTAATAGAAGAAGAAATGCGGGTGGACGGCGGTCGAAAAGCTGATATGAGAGACATTGTGACTTTGAAAGACTATGGAAAATAATATAACGAGTGTTCTGTAGCAAATTCTCTAAAATCTAGGGACAGAGAGGAAACAGAGATCAAGTGGAATTGGAAATCGCAAATGAAGAAGCTTGGAAAGTACACGGGATTAGGGCGCAATTATGCCGATCTGCGTGATATCATATACTCACACCGCCTTCCTCTCCGCCTTCTTAGGAGCGGCAATTTTATTGAAGAATCACGCCTGTTTCTGCGACTCAAATCGGGCTTGTCGAAAATGAATGGCTTTTTACTCGTCTGATCTATAACGTGAACCTCACTATGGCACAGTTCGTCCCGCGCGGGACGTTTCCCCACTATGGAGCAATCCCACGGTCTTACTTCCTTGGTCACCATCGAGCTGGTCTGACCAAGATGAAGAACATGCTCTCCTCAATCGACTACGTTGTCGAGTGTCGTGACTCTCGGGCACCTTGTACTTCCATCAACCCCATGTTCGAAGAGGCTCTGGGCAAGACAAGGCGATTGATCGTCTATACTAAGAGAGATCTCAGCAGCACTCCGGGATCACCTGCACAAAAGCTGGTGAGTCGCATCGCATGAGACTCGAACAATGTGAGCCGCAAACTAACATTAAATGTACCAGGCAGAAAAGAAGCTCCGAACATACGATCCCACTAGTGCCACATTCTTCGTTAGCTCGTCTTCTCGCGCAGACGTAAACCAGATCGTCAAACACCTTCGAAACGATGCCCAAGCTCCCGATAAGCTGGTTGGGTGTCGCGTCATGGTCGTTGGCATGCCCAATGTCGGGAAATCAACATTAATCAATCACCTGCGAAACTATGGAGTGGGTAAAGCAAAAGCCTTAAAGACCGGAGGCCAGCCGGGCATTACAAGAAAAATTGGAACCCCGGTGAAGATCATCGAGCGGGAGAGCGGCTCGCATGTATATGTGCTTGATACACCAGGTGTCTTCATGCCATATGTACCAGATGCAGAGAACATGCTCAAGCTGGCACTTTGCGGCTGTGTCAAGGACGCTGTTATATCGCCTGTCACACTAGTCGACTACTTATTGTATAAGATCAATCTGCATGATACGCAGGCGTATCAGCGTTGGTCAGAGCCTACGAACGAGGTTATGCCGCTGCTCGAAAGGTTTGCGCAATATACCGGCCTGCTCGGCAAGGGGGAGTACCCAACATAGATGGCGCCGCTCTACATTTTTATAGCAAAGTGGCGACAGGGAGAGGTCGGCCGCTTCATGCTGGATGATTTGGAGGAAGAAGAACGACGTCGAGACGATCCTTTGCAGGCCGAACGCATAAGCATGACCCAAGCACTAAGGGCCGAAAGGGTGTCTCGAAAGAATAGGGATTCATAGCCAGTAGCTATTTTACTGTACATAATATAGACAAATTACTGGGATATAATTGACCTGTATCTTTTGAACGACCAAGTCGATGTCTCACTGAAATGAAATTAGACAATGCTCTCAAAATGTGTGAATATTGCGCAGAAACATCCGTAACGCCAAGACAAAAAAAAAAGACAGGAAACACCTCGACACATGCAACCTTTAAGAGATCTTGTCTAGCAGACGTCTACGTCGTCGATCCACAAGTTCCTCTTGCACTTCCTCTAGTGAAGGAAGTCGCCATTCCACGCCGTCACCCGCATCGCCTGGTAAAGACTCCCAGCCATCTTCGGCGTCATCCTCCTTCTGCTCACGCAGATGTTCAACGGCTTCTTTCTCTTTGGCCTTTTCGTAGGCGAGTAGTGTCCCATCTTCCTCGTCGAGACCGTATCCAAAGTAATTGGCATCGACTTTCCTCGTTGCGATCTCACCACCCCTACCAGCCCCGGCACCCTCCTCCTCAGCAGGCCCTCTGGCCTTGCGCGCCGCTGCCTCGAACATCTCCTTTACACCAGGTAATTCCCTGGCACGACCAAAGTATCGATAACCTTTTCCTCCGCCCGGAATCTCACGGCCTTCATCGTCGTAGACTCGACCCGACCCACGCATGTAGTTCGGACCGCCCAAGTTCCGAATTTGCATTTCCCAGGCCCATTTCTCGCGCATGAGCTTATTGATCTCGTCGTTCAAATCGCGAATTTGATAATCGCTCAAGGTGAGCTCTTGGATGCGTGACACTTTGCGTGAAACTTCCTTTAGAACCTGGCCGCGCCAGCGCTCGCACGTCGCGATGGAGTCGACACTTGTGATGGCTTTAGGTCGTCGTGTGCGTCCGAGATCAATGATGCCCATGTCCGCTGCTTGTTGCGCCCGGAAACGGAACAGCATGGACTGCGCCTTTTCGCTGTTGCGAGCCTGTCCATCGTGGAGGGGCCAGTTAGCGAATTTGGTCACAGAGGGTTCATAGACCAGGGCGATAGAGTCGCATAATTGAAACGGAGTGACATACCATGATTGAAGATCGCCACGGCCAGCGGCGCAGATGCAGTAATGAAGGTCGTGGGAAGATCCCGGAGTGGAAATCTGAAGCTTGACAGCTGCGGATGAGGTTCGGCGGCAAACTGCCGCGTACCGCGCGGGTATCACGTGCTCTGAGTCGGCAGCGATTAGCATGCACAAATGGAAATCAACTGCACGCTTTCCGTCATATTTTGATGAAGTTGATAATTCCCTCGAAATGGGAGGCCCATGCTCATATATGGACGTTCTGATATCACCGAGATCCGGCATATGCCATTACTGCCTCTTCATCAACGTCCAATACACCTCATACTTCACTAGGTTTTTCGACTTTTTCCAAACAACTGAGAAATATATCAAGTGGACTAAAACACTCCTTTATTAGATCTTCAAAGGCATGTTGGATTGAGAGGTCTGAGACTGGGCGCTTTTGACTTGAAATGATTGGGAACTTCAAGTGGCGTTCATCCTTCGGACTAACTCAGGCCGTAAGCATTATCAGGCCCACATGCGATGAAAGTCTGTGATTTAAAATAAGCTTGGATGAAAAGGCTATGAACTGGGTATGGCTAGCTTTCTCACCGAAGACCGTGTGTTGGTCGATTAAGGATCCGGCCATCAGGGTTGACCACGCGTCAATTGGCCCGGCGAATATCCCGAATGAGGGTCACTTACTTGGTCAATATAGATCCCATGAAGATCATGTCGACTTGGGCATAGAGAAGAGAGTGGACATTTTCATGCTGATCTCGCGTGAACAGAGACTAGATTCTGACGTTAAGCTACTACACACAAATCGAAGAAATTGGACAGCATTGTCTGAGCAAACCCGTTGACGGAAGTAGCTTTGAACCGAGCAAAGCAGAGTTTCCTCGTGCCAAAACTATTCATGTACACCGTGCTACAAATTGATCTTATCACAGTCCAGTCATTTAACAACTTCATTCCATCAATCGTCGGTACACTGGGCTATCATGATGGTATGAATTTCTTATATCTTTTCTCCCCTCTCCCCTATATGTGCTAGACCTGCAGAGTCTTAACAGTGGTTCTTTCCTTCAATTCCACTGATTATCGAGTCTTGAGCTACATGTAGAGAAGAAAGCATCAATGGATAGACGTGTAAAGAGCGAAACCGATCAATCTTCCAAATGAGTCGTCTGATCTGGTATTCTCGCATCGTAGATAACTGGTCTTATCGTAATTCATCACCACCGAGCGTATTTACTCCCAAAAATCGATCAAAGACCAAAAAGCAGACAGCCGTCCAATACATACAACAATGAAAAACGAATAAGACAGATGGTCATTCAAGTCATATGAACAAGACCTCATGGTCAACAAAAACGACCAAGATATCCAACTCGAATGCACATGCGCCAACCGCAAAAATAGCAGAACACACAAAAATCCATGGCTAAAACTCCTGAATCAATACTGTTCACGTCCCTTCGGCCCTATTTACAAGAACCCTTTGGTGTTACTGGGTTGTCGCTGAGGGATATCATTAGATCCGTAAGCTGCACTGCCTCGTCGGCTGCCCACATCGCTCAGTGCGGCCATGGGGGCCCGGGTGAGGGTGCCACTTCGCTCAAATCGCTTTACTTTCAGCCCTTCAAGCTCGCGTTCCAGACGCAGGGCCTTCTCACGTTCCTCGCGTAGCTCTCGCTCAGCACGGCGAGCTTGCAGCTGAGTCTCGGTGTCGCTTTGCTGAAGCTCGTCAATGTTTTGGAGGAGTCGTTCGATCTTATCCCTAGCTTTGTTGACGTCGTCATTGAGCTGGGCGTTCACCTTATCGCGTCGATCGATCTGGGATTGGAGATCCTTGACGGTGCGATCGACGTTGCGTAGAGAGCGCTTCTCGGCACTGTTCTTGTTCTCCTGCTCTTCGAGATGAGTTTCAAGCTATAATGGGAAACTGGTTAGCGTATGCAACAATAGGTTTGACATGTTCTCTTACCTCCTTGATGCGTTTGTGCAAGAATCGCACATCTTGGCTACCAGAAGAGTAGCTCTTTGTCTCCAAATCAACGCAGCGGAGCTGCAATTCCTTGAGCTGTTTCTCCAGTCCGGCTTTGTCCTTGAAGAGCTGAGCATTCGTCTCCCGCTCGGTAGTAAGCTCCTTCTGGATCTCGGTAGCTAGAGCATCAGCGCGGCGCATTTTGCCAACAGCGGCAGTAGACAGGTCCTCTTGCTGAGCAAGCTTGGACTTGAGCTCAAGTAGCTCACGGTCCATGCTGGCAGCATTCCGCATCGAAGGACTCTCTCCTTTAGCAAGATCTTCCAGACGCTCGCCGGCCTCGGCCAATCGACCCTCGAGCATCTTCTTATCCTTGAGAAGCAAGTCGCGCTCGGCTGTCACATCATCGACGTTTGTACGGAGAGTGCGCACCTGCGAGAGAAGCGAGACAACCTTGCTCTGGGCCTCATTGTGGGCCTTAGCAGCTTCGTCGCGAGAGTTGGTAAGGTCTTGCATGACCATGTCCATGCGACCCTTCTCCTTCGCCCAGGTGGAACTGTTGATAACTTCGTTATCCCACTTACTTCGAAGCTTCTCTAGATCCTCGCGTAGACGAGAGTTCTCTCCACGGACATTGAGTAAGCGCTCACGCTCCATCTCCAATTCACTGTTAATAGTGGAGAACTCTCTTTGGTATTTTTGTCTTGTCTGCTCCATTGAGGTCTCCTTGTCCTCGAGGTCAATAGCGCGCTGGTTGCGGTAATCTTCAAGCTCGTTCTGGAGGCGTTGCTTGGCCTGCAGGGCGCCCTGAAGCTCTGCAGCTTGGTCTTCCATGCGAGCTTCAAGAGACTGGGTTTGTCGTTGCAAGTCTTCAACAAGCGCATCCATCTCCTTTCGCTCGGACATGATCTGGGCACAAGTCTCCGTGGCTTCTTGACTTTGAGACTTCGCAAATTGCTCAGCGCGAGTTGCCTTCAAAACAGCAATCTCGGCCTGTTCGAGCTTGCTGAAGTAGTCGTCGGAGCGGCTCTTGTACAAGCTAAGACTGGACTCAAGATCGGCAGTCCTGGATGTCTCAGCATCGAGGCGAATCTGCAAGTCGGAGAATTCCTGGAGAAGCTGATTGCGACTAGCTGCATCGTGCTCTCTGCCAGCTTGTAGTTCTTGAGCTTCAGAGCGAGCGTCGCGAAGATCAACCTCCAAAGAGGCTTTACTGCGCTTTAATTTCTCGTACTGCGACTTAGCCTCGCTGTATTCAGCGATGGTGTCGTTATGAACCTTGAGCAGAGAACGGCGGGACTGTTCCTGCGAGTTAATCAGGTCATACAACTCCTCGTGTGACTTGGCCTGGACATCGCGCAGCGACAACTGACCCGAACGGATGCTTCGCTCTAGAGACGAAACCTTCTTAGCCGAGTCATCCAGCTGATCGTGAAGACGTCCGTTTTCACGCTCAAGGAGCTGCATCCGACGGATGGAAGGACTCTCGTCCTGCCAGATATCACGGTTGGGAGTGGATTGGAGCTGACTTTGAAGATGCTTGTTCTGCATCTCTGTCATCTGGAGCTTATTTTGAAGCTCTTCAATCTCAGCAGCCGTATCCATGCGCTTTTGGTAGCCCACGGTATCGACCGTTCTGTCTGATCGGGTGGAATCGGGAGCACCATCTTGCAGATTGCTGTACCGCTTGTTGGGAGTTGTCGGGTTTGAGTACCTCTTCGCCGCATTTTCAGAGTTTTTCCTGAAGTGCGCCGGCGTGCGGTTATTGGCCACTTCGTTCTGGTCAATTTCCTCGAGCAGGGCGCGCTTGGAAGTCGAGTATCTTGAATCGAGCTCCTTCATCTCATCCGTATGACGCCGGCGCATCTCCGCAAGCTGGCTTTCGGCTCGCGCGTACTTCTCTTCCGTCACCTGGAGCTTGTGCTGTACGGTGTCCAAAATTTGCGCCAAATCGACCTGCTTCGACAAGTGTGGCTGGACAGCCTCCCAAGACTGGGTGGGCTCGGAGGCGTCAGGCTCGAAGACTCTGTGCAATAAAATCAATTGGCGGTGGAGATCAGCGATCTCTTTGTGAGCGCCATCAAGCGAATTTTGAGTTTGCCGAGTATTCGCCTGGGCTTGAGCCCGCAATTGCCGCTCGTTTTCGAGATTGCGATTCGCTTCCGAGAGCTGGATATTGGCAGTGGACGCGGCCTTCTCCGCGTTTCGGCTGGTCTTGTGCTCACGCTGGACCTCATGATTAAGATCCTCCAGGCTCAATAATAGCTTCTCCTTCTGCTTCTCGAGTGACGTGATTGCAAGTTGAGACTCGCCTAATTGACGCTCAAGCTTTTTGTTCTCCTCATCGAGCTTGGTCTTCTCTCTCTGAAGATTCGTCAATCGGACGCGGTTGCTGTCACTAGCTTTCGAGGTAGAGCGGGCAATGTCTAAATTCTTCTGCTGAATCTTGGTCAGAAGCGATCGATTGTCGTTCTCCGAAGCAGTCAGTCGGCCTCGCAGGGTAACAAGCTCTCTCTCGAGACGTTCCTTGTGCTGATCATGGCGGATGCGGAAATTGTCAGACTCTGAGATCGCGTGCTCAAGTTCTTGAACGCGAACCGAAAGTTGATAGCGCTCGGCTTCGATGTCCTCAAGCAACTGCACCTTTTCATCAAGATCGCTCCGCAGGCTGGAGATGTGCTCATCAGCCTGCTGCTTGATCTTGCGTTCTATGTCTGCTTCAGCATTCAAGCGGGCATTCTCAACATCAGCAAACCTCTCGCGAAGCTTAATCAGCTCAGTTTGCAGCTCTTTGCGGGACTGTTCCGCGGCAACACGGGCCTCGGTGGCTCGGCGCAGGCTGTCTTGTTGAATGTACATAGCTTTCTCGATCTCGATTTTGGAGTCATTGAGGGCGGTGTACTTCTCATTCAGCTGGGCGAGATTGTGCTCCGAAAGCATTTGAACGTCGTCTCTTGACTGACGTTCACGGCTAAGGTCCGCTTCCGTCTTGAACAATTGGTCCTTCAGGTCATGGACCTGCTGCTCCAGCATTCGACGGCTTTCCCCAGCTTCGGCATCCTCAGATCGCTTCTCGTCCAGCAATTTCTTAACATCAGCCGCTTCTCGCTCCATTTGGGCCTTTTCTGCCCGCATGGCATCTCGTTCGGCTTGAACCTCACGGAGACGCTGTTGCATGTTGTCATGACGACTCGAGAGAGATGTCTTCTCAGCCACCAAGGACTTCTTATCTTCGTCATGCTTCTTCAGGTCATTTCTAAGAATGGCCATTTCACTCTCCTTGCGACGGAGCAAATCCTCGTAGCCGGTTGAAGTGGACGAAAGCTCGTTAATCTGTTGACGAATTGACTGATTCTCGTCGGAGAGCTCACGAACCTGCTTCTTGGACTTGTCAAGCTCCTTCGATGTGGTGGCGAGCTTCACGTCAAGGTCTTGGTCTGTTTTCAACAGCTTGGCCTCTAGGTCTTGGAGCTTGCGGTCCTTTAGGCTCAGGTGACTTTGAAGCATCTTGACTTCCCGGTTGAGTTCCTGGATCTCACCGTTCTTGCCGATGGACTGCCCCTCAGCCTCGGCAAGTCTCTTCTCAATATCTTGCAGCGAAGCTTGCAGGGCATTCTTCTCGGATTCCAGAGCTTGGATGATTTGACCAGCCTTTTCAAGTTGGGTGATGCGCAGCTGCAGCTGTTCATCTGTAGTCTTCTTGGCATCAATCAAGTCATCCAACTGTTCCTCCAACTTCTCCTGATCTGCAATCGCCTCGGACAACTTCTCAGTGAGCTCCCCTTCGCGGTCTTGTAAACGTTTGAAAATCTCTTCTTTGTCAAGTGCAAGAGCACGTTCACTCTCCAAAGTGTGTTGGATTTTTTGAATCTCAAGCTCTACACGACGCCTTTCCTCGTCAAGCTTTTGCTTGTCGAGCAGATCTTGCTTCATCTTTGCTTCCATTGCCTTGATCTGATCATCTCTTTTCTTGACCTCCTTAGCAGTGCGTGTGTCTCCGAGCAGAGGCTTCATTCTTGAGAACATCCGCCACCAAGGACTGCTCTTAAGTTCAAGATAGGAGTGGAAGTTTTGTTGGATAATTCTGGTGGCCTCAGCACGATAAAGCCGCTTGTTCGAAATGCGGCGCTGGATAAAGCCTCGGGCGACAGATTGGAAGCGACTCATTATAGTGCGGATAAGCTGGTCTCGCTTCTCTTCCAAGTCTGCCAGAACACCAGCTCTAAAGAATACCTTTGTACGGCCAACACGGTACCAGGCTTTATCCATAGCAAGCTTCTCCAGCATGATCTGAGCCGCACTCTGCCCTTCGATATATCCCTTAGGCATGTGCTTGCAGAGAACCTCGTATCGCTGGCGGAACTCAGCGAAGGTCAGGCGATTGGGGAATCCAGTTCGAGCGATTCTAATTCCTTCAAGAACACCATTACATCTGAGCTGATCAAGCACCAAAGGCGCATGCAGCATCTTCGGGCGCTTCTTGTGATTCGGCAAGATACAACGGACGAAATGGGGATGGGTCGAGTGGAGCTGGGCCATCAAGCTTGAAAGCTGCTCCTTGTGTCTCTGTGCGACGGTTCGGAACAAGCCCTTCTTCACTCGATTTCTGGGATTTTCGCTGCCTTCACTGGATTCGGCACAATCCGAGAATAGGCTCGCCACATGTTTCTGGTCAGAATCAGCCAGGAGACGCGTGATGTTGTCGTTCATGGGATCCTTGTTCTTCTCCAACCAGTCGTGGGTGGTGTATTCGACTTCAGCGGCATAATGGGTCAAGACAAAGCCTTGATTGAGACGAGCAGCGCGATACTTGGGAGTCTTGCGGTCCCAAAGTGAGTGCAACTTTTCCGTGAAAGTCTTGTCTGTAGCCTTGGGCATCACACAGTCTTCGTCAAGACAGGAGAAAATACCGATTGGGTTGGTTAACTCAATTAAATCGATTGTCGGTTGCAAATCCTTGCCGAAATCAATGAACTGCCACTCAATTTGCTCTCTGGCGTATTCCTCTTGTTCAAGGACAAACATGTGGTGGTTGAAGAATTGCTGGAGTTTCTCGTTCGTATAGTTGATACAGAGCTGCTCGAAGCTGTTGTTGTCGAAAATCTCAAAACCAGCGATATCGAGGACACCAATAAAATAGTTGTCATCAGCCATCGAGCGACCAAGCTGGTTGTTGATGCGTGTCACCAGATCGCCGAAGCCGCGCTCGTAAATACCTTTAGATAGAGCATCGAGCGCTAGGCGTACTTGCTCCGGTGTCTGAACCTTCTTCACCCACTCGCGACCGGCCCTCACTCGTGGGTGCAGCAATCCCTCAACGAATGGCTCAGGGGCGATGCCCAGAAGTTGACAGGCCTTCTCGACACTAGCGTACCCATCGCGACCAAGGGCGGCCTGATCCGCGCGAATACTCTCCTTTGCAATGGTCACATTGCCGAGATGCAAGACAGCGGCAATGGTGCGCAAGATGCACAGCTGATCTTCTTCGGAGAAGTTCATAACATGGAAAGCCTCAATCAGAGAGTTCCACTCATCTTGGTCGGAAACACCCACTATGGAATCATTGCCATCCCGTGTGTACGCGAAATCCTCGATTTGCATGTTGTCGAGCAAGAGCTTTTCGCGGGTCTTATTATCCGCGCCCTGCAATAGCTGATAGAAGATGTGGTAATTTCTTTCAGTGGCGTTCGGCTTCACGACGCGCGATTTCTCCAAGAGATACCAGTCGATCCATGCTCCGCAAATTTGGCCAGATCGCGAGAACTCGATGCGAATGAATTTTCCGAATCGAGAAGAGTTGTTATTTCGCACCGTTTGGGCATTACCAAAGGCTTCTAGAATGGGGTTGGCACGAAGAATTTGCTGGGAGAGATTGGACAGATTCTTTGTGCCTGATCGACCATATGGGGTATCGGATGTGGCGACAGCTGCTAGGTACTGAATGACCTTCTTCGTATTCTCGGTCTTACCGGCACCGGATTCACCACTATGGAGAGAATAGTTAAGTTAGCCTTGGGCACCAGAATCCCAACGTTTAAAACTCACGTTACAAGAATGCTCTGGTTTTCGCCCTCTTCCACAAGGTTCCGGAAAGCCTCATCTGCCATTGCGAAAATATGGGGTCGAGTCTCCTCTCGCCCGCGGCCCTTGTACATCTTCACGTACTCATTGGTGTAGATTGGAAGCGGACAATACGGATTGATCGTTACCAAGAACAGGCCGGAGTATGTCTGTGATACATGGATGTCAGTACAATCCTCAAAGACGGTGTTTCACAAGGCAACTGACGTAGATCAAATCTGACTGATATCTGGTGTGAAGGTTGTGGACAACCGAAGCCTCATTCAAGTGAGTCAATTCAGCCATGTCGTCGGCCTTATCAAATTTAGCCGGATTGACTTTGTCGACCTGGTCGGCATCGACTTCGCGTTGCTATTGAGGCTGTCAGTGCTATGGTCATAGCTTCTGTGGGGTAGAATCCCTACATCACCATCGTCACTCTGCACAAGCAGCTGGCCTCCTTCTAATTCTTCCAAGACCAGACCACGGACAAACGCTTTTTCGGGATCCCGTAGCCACACATACTTGTTGCCAGAGAAATCATTCTCGCCTTCTAATCCGCGAATTTGATCAGCCCCGCGCCTGAGCTCTTCAGACTTAATGAAGCTCGGTGCAAAGGTTCCAGACGCGGGATTGTTGCGACCGGAGTTGGATCTCTCACGATTTGCGCTTCCCGGAGATAACGTTGAGGATATTTGTGAGACGGAAGAGTTGCGCAAGTGCCCTTTGCTCAGCTCAAAGCCTTTGGATGGTGTAATAATGGCAGACTTTGGTCGTGTCTGTGAGGGCACTGGTGATGGTGAGGAGCGGCCAAAGAGGCTTGCTCGCTTTGGCGAGCCGTTGGCGCCGTTCAATTGTGAGGGAAGCATGTCGGAAGCTCGTTCAATAGATCATTATTCGGTGTCACAACCGTATCGCATAGTCAAAACACGCAAATGGGAGCAGTTGAGGGATAACAAGACGCGAATCCACACGAATAAAGAAAGATACAAGTAGGAAGGTAGAGTACAAGCGAGAACAAGACGTGAAGTGCCCCGATTGCAACAGGCACGGTGATGTCGTCAAGTGGAGAGGGCTGACGCTGTTTGTTTACACTGCGTTCCTCGGACTCCCACCGATCGTGGCCCGTGCACATCACGTGATGTCACTCTTTTTTCGCCGGCGCTTAATTCATGTTGGTCCACCTCCGCGTCACTACTCTCGACTTTTAGCATCTTCGACCACATTTCACTTCTTCCACTCACCCTTCCTGCTCAGCATTCTCCGATACACACCCGCATCATCCTTCACGAAATTGTATTAGTGAAACGCGCGCCTTTGCTGTGTCAAGGCTCGAAGCCATTCGCGATTCTCACCTTTTCACATCATGATATGGGGGATCTGACGTTGCCTTCGCTTTCCTAGATACCACCGTCTACGGTTGGCATCATCATCTCTCTAGTGTCGCACGGTAACCGGCTTTCTCTTTGCGCCATGTCGAACCAACCACCCCCTGCATTTGGTGGCCATCCCAACTATGCATCGCAGTGGCCTCCCTCATTTCCTCCCTTCGTCCCTCCAACCTACCCACCCAGTTCCGGTTATGCCTCAGCTGCACAACCGGCTCCCGCAAATCCTGGACAGAATTATGACCCTAACGCCCCACCCTTCAATGGCAATTCGCAACTCCCTGGCCCGCCTCCAGGGTTCTTCCTCCATCCTCATTTCCCATTAATGGGCCATTTCGATTCAACTCAAGTTCCATCAACTGCCTTTCCTTCCATCCCTATGTCTAACTTTGGGTATCCAATGATGCCATTCGCGCCTCAAGGGTCTTCCAATCACGCCCCGGGTTCATTCAACGACCTTGGAAATGGCCTCGCCCAAAGGTCTGAATCTCGATCGCATCCACGCCAGGCGTCGAACACTGGGGATTCGAATCGAGAGGAGGGTGAGGTCAGCGAAGGTGGACGGTCATCCCGGACCAAGAAGAATCCAAAATCGGGCAAAAGGGCTGGTTTAAACGTACCTACCTCTCGAAATTCCGACTTAGAAGAGGGTGAAACTGTATCAACAAGGACACGCTCATGCAGTCGGAGTAGTTCACCGTATAATCCACCTCTATCAGTTTCGGCAGACCCAGCTGTGGTTCATCGTGCAATCGAGATGCAGAAGCGAGATGGAACGGCAGCAGCCTCTGAGGACGCAACTTCTTCAAAATCTGCAGCGCAGCTTCGAATTCAAGCACAGGGCGCGTTACTCAGTCTGGCACCTCACAATATCCGTTACCACGAACTGGTTGCGGAGGGTATCGACCCAGCCATCTTGAAACGACTCTACGAAGAAGTCGGTATCAAGATTACGACGCCTCGAGGCGAGAAATCGAACCCCACTGCCAATGCATCTGCCAATTCTCTTACAGCATCCATCGCTAGCCCCAGATCCGTGGGAGTAGCGACTTCGGAAAAGAACAAAAAGCAGACTCCTATTTCTGTCCAAAGCGTTGCATCTCCTGCTTCCCAGTCTGAGGATGGCAAACCTATTGAAAGGAAGGAGCTTATTGCCAGGATGCTTGCCGCTAAAGCTGCCAAGGTATCAGAAGCCAACTTAGAACAGACACCAACCCAAACGACCGCGAGTGTGGCAAGTTCTTCTTCCAATGGAAACTCTAGCAAGGAGATTGCGGTTCCGGTACGAGAGCGGAATAAGGCACAGACGGAGCTGGCAAGACAACGGATCGAAGAGCTGAAGAAGCAAGCATTGCTGAAGAGGCAGCAGCAAGCTGAGCAGCAGGCTCAGCAGAAAGCTCAGCTGACTCGGCCTAGCAAGTCTGTTCGGGACGTTCAACTTGCCGCTCCGTCAGAGACCACTGCGCCCGCCGTTCAACATCCATTGCCTGTCCGCCCACCTGTCCCCCAGTCCACCGATTCCGCTAGTATCCCGGGTCTCTTCATGACTGGGTCGCAGCAGGATTCTGACATGCAGAACCCCGTCGAACCCACTCAGACGATTGTTGTGGATTCGACGCCATTGAGCCGAGCAACTCAACGCAAACGCCCTCGCGCTGCTGACTTCGACGAACCCGCTGCGATCCCGAAGAGACACTCGAGTCAAGCAGTGGGTCATCATGTGCCTGCGGAGAAATTAATCATTGATATCAGTGAGGACGAATCTCTATATGGGCATGATGAAGAGGAGAACATGGATGTTGACTCTGGTCCGGATCAAGAAGCGTCCCACATGGTCACTCTCGAAACCGCTAGGCCACTTCTCCAGAAATATCCGTCTACCAGAGCTTCTACGTCGACTCCGCAAGCATCGCATTGGTCCGGAGATCAAGAGCACATCCGAAAGCGGGAATCAGAGATTGAGGCCATGCACCGCAAGATAGCAGAGCTTGAGCAGAAACGAAAGGCAAAGCTTGCCGCTAGTCGCACTGATTCTCCGCTCCTCCTGGATGATTCCGGTGCATCCTCGTCGGGTGCACAATCAAGTGTGCCTGAGGCTGAACCTGAGGTTGATGTTGCTGAAGCTTTCACTGGCCCGTCGTCCGGCCCAATATTGGAAGCTGGTACAAACACTAGCATGAGCATCGGTAGCGTTGCTGATCGGACAAATCCAAGTGATTCTTCTACCGAAGAATCAAATACTTCACGGCTGTCACATACGGACGAGCCTCCTCGGCAAGCCGGACTTCAGCTCAAGGAACAGCATCCAGCTGTCGAAGAAGGTAATTTCATTTCCCATTCACAATCGACCAAGAAGTGCACCGTTACTGACACTCTCGATTAGCATCAACAATTATGCCAGCTTCCGCAGATTCTGTGGATGAGCCCCAGGATGCTCCCAGTTCTGGTCAAGAAGCCGCTGTGGACTCTTCGGAGTCGGGCGATTACACGCCTAGCTCACCTATCGATGGCTTGAAGGCGCATGATGAGGAGAAAAAGGGAAAACTTGCCAACCTCTACCCGATCTGACTCATCTGGCTCTGCCATGGACGAATCTGTTGATCACGAGCACGATACTTCTTTTGAAGGGACCAATCTTTACGGCTTCCAAGACACTCCTCCCGCCTCGGGTATGGAAGAGCAAATGAATACTGGTCACATTGACCATTCTGTTCGCGAGGAATTGCCAGTGGCTGGTTCCGAGGAAGAAGCTAAAGCCTTGGACCAATCCGAAGATTCTGTCCGAGAAGTCGACAATGTCAAGATCCAGAGAGAAAGTTCTCCAGAGTCGGATTTTTACGAGCCTCCGGAGCCTGAGACTGGAGCCGAAGAGTCCGATCCCATTGTGGAGGAAAAATATGCTGCTGAAGCTGATGAATCCTACAGCCCTCCTCCATTCAGTCCAGCTCCTGTAGAGGACTTGACGGAGTCGCCTCCACTGCGAGATCAAGACCTTGTAGAGGGACCAGCAGAGTCATCTCGCTCTCGGGCTCAACCTCAAAATGAAGCACTAACGTGGGCACGTCCGGGCCCTCATTTTTCGGAACCCAGGAGGAACTTCCAGATTGGGATCTTTGGTGTATGAGCAACACCTTTGCGTCGATAAAGTCGTCCATCAAGCACTAACACTCTGTTTAGGATGAACCCAAATCTCTTAAATTTTCTCCCTACGTCAGCCCTTTGCGGTACTTCAAGGCTTATCGCTACCACCCCAGCTACGCCCAAAACGTTTCGGACGGCTACCGTTCGCTAACATACAGCCATGACATTGACACCATGAAATACTTCTGTCCCTATGAAGTGGCAGGTGGTGTCTGCAACGATCGGTCCTGCGACTTCCAGCACTTCCGGGACATCAAACTAAGCGGTGCGTCGACAAGTTAAAAACCGTGCAACCTTGTATATGGTTTCCTTTCCTGCATGCACTACTCCATCTTGCCCTCGGACAATCGTGTGGTCATTTTCTGGTCTCCCCTGGTCATCATCTCTGCCTCCCTCCTTCATCACCCCGTCGATACTTTTCTGCTTTCTTCTACCCTGTCCGCATGCTGACCACAGTGCTATTAACCTTGACAGATGATAAGATCCTCATCGAGATGGGAGCAGTCCGAGAAGGACAAACTGAAGAAGAAAAAGAGACCTACATCGCCGGTCTCAAGGAGATCATCAACGAGATGCGACGAGACAAGGTGAAAGATTTCAGCACCGTGGCTGCCGAAATAGCCGCATACCGTAGGCGCTTTCTCCAAGACCCGTCGCGAGTCTTGCCCCTGTAACTCTTACCCAACATCCGACTCTATGAGTCTCAAGGTGAGCTGGCATCAAAAGTTCGCCTGATGGCCACACGCCAAATCCACCACCACTATCTTTCTTTGCGATACCCCATCACCTTCCACGCCGAGGTATTACCCTTTTCCATTTTCTTTGTTTGTGCATCATTAGCCAGCGCGGTCGTTTCCCTGCATTTGCAAGTCTTCAATCTGAAACCCGCAGTTGAAGTACATCGCAGTACACCCAGGTGCAAGCATTGAGCTTGAGAATCGGACCTTGATCTTTCGATCTTCTCGTGGGCTGAAGGCCAAGGCGAAATGGCATTGGCGCGTCTGCATGAAGCTTTCGTAAATTCGCCGTTGTGCTTCATTCTGGAACCCATCGACTGCTGGGGTTTACAGCATAGGATACTTATTTCTCCGGATCTGGGGAGGCTGTTTGATTATGATGCGCCGGCTGGTATGCAGTATATATACTAAGTAACCGTGAATATCATATCATATATTCTTTCGAAATTTTCCACCGTTTGAGTAGAGGGTTGACCATGAATATTTCCACTATTGGAGGGTATTTGCATTTTCGAAGCGCTCTGGATTTAATGTGATGGATGGATGCCCTTTCAAAGGTCCATTGAACTTGCAAAGGTATTTGTTAGTAGAAAAAAAAACAGAAAAGTGAATTCTGAAGCAATACTCTGATCTTGGAAATTTGAACATGCGAGGAAATGCCTGGGGGTATATTTGTGTCATGGACTGAGGTACCCAGAAGTCCTTTCTCAAACATTCAAAAACACGAATCGATTACGGTCATGTTCGAGACGACGGCACTTAAAAGTCAATCATGTCATTTACAATTTGATTCGCTTGACTCGACATCAAACATTCAATCCAAAGACTCGAGCACCTGAAACAGCAGTCCCAACATGCCCTTCAGACAAGGCCCGTGCGAAGGCGGGGGGGCCAAGAATGTCAAGACTGTCATGATGAACACCGAAACCCGAACAGGCCCTCCTCTAATGATCTAGAAACACTCAATCGACAGCTGAACAGCAAAGTGCACCAATCAACAGAGTTCCATTGATAGGAACGAGGGCTCACAATAGCGTGCTAAGTATAGACCGGCAAAAAATGGGGGCCGAACAGATAAGTGTCACAAGTTTTCAGCACCAGAATAGCATGAAATGTAATTCTAGCTTTTGGCTGAATATGACCGTCTCACCTGTGTGAAAGTCCCGTCAGAATCAAAGTTCACGTCCTTAATCCATAACCATTTCCGTACCTGGCCTCTGTAGCTTACGGTCTATACCAAGTTTCCAAGCCAATGATTGACTAGAATACAATCTCATGTGGAGACGCATCCTTGGCCTGTGAGTCAAAATCCCGCAAGGCAGAATATCCATTCCCTCGGATCGGAGATGCCGATCATCATGATCGCGACGGGAATTGAGTGATCCACGATTTCGCTGATCTGTTGTTCACTTACCACCCGGGGCACTCACGTCGCCCGACCCTAAAAAAAAGTGACTGTCAACTCCCCGTATCTACGCGCTACGCCCGCGCCCGGGCCTAAATACCCGGGTCGAGAACAACGTCACTGCACGAGCCGGTGGAGACAGGGCAATTTACGGACATAGCTTGCCCGGTACTGACATTAGTGACATTAGTGACGTGCAACTGGGGAAAAAAAAAGTGACAGCTACAGTGCGCGGATTAATTCCCGGAGCACAGCCTCACAGATACGAGCTAGTCGAGTGGGCTGAACGGAGTACCGCCTTCAGTTAAGATCACGGTCCAGGTCCAGGTTCAGGTTCAGGTTCAGGTGCAGGCCAAGGCCAAGAATGGGGCCGTGAGCCCAGCGACCGCTTCTTTACCCAGGGGGCGTAGGGCTGATGGGCGTAGATGCAGGTTCGAAAGGCGGTCTCCCGAGTGAGTACCCTGGGGATTTCTGGACTCGGGGACGCTGGGTTTGGGGCGCAAACAGCGCCCCGGTCTAATTGTGACTAGTCGCTATGTCATTGGACTCGACAGCAAGCGAAGCGTTGCTGTATTATTACGAGAATAATCATAGGTCCCGCTTGATGAACAATTAGAGTCACGCAGGGAATGGTTCTTGCCCGGGTGCGGCTCGGCCGGTAGGGATGGGCTTCCGTATGGAGGGTTCGTGGGTGTTTTAGCTGCAGGTCGGCATACCCTGGTTTGGAGGTCACGTTTAAACCCCGTGGATGTGCTAGAGAGATGACTACACTCTGCAGGGCGCAGTCATGCGCGGGACTAACTAGCGGATGAGATTGTGGTTCTTGGATGAGTATCTTGGGTTTTCTTGGTTTTACTTTGTTCTGATTCTTTACAGAGGAAACGGTATGGTTGTGATGAATTAAGTGGATTCGATGGAGAACGCGAGGCTGACAGGGATCCTGCCCTGCTTACCTCATTGTGCGCTAACTAGATCAAGTAAACAGAAGTATAACAAACATCCAAGACACTTCTAGTCGCAAATAATGGTCGCAACATGAGAAAAGACAAAAGGAGAAAGAGAAAATCCCGGAAATAAAAAACCCGCTATGCTGATATATCCTGGCCCGTTTTCTGTGTGATAGAATGGAGATGAAAAGGCCAATCGTCAAGGAAATAAACCCAAAAAGTACACAAAAACACAAGTGGAATCACTAGGTCGGTAACACTGGGGCTAAAAGTCAGCAAGGTCTATTCAAGTAGTGTGTGAATAAAAGGAATGGTTGTCTCACCATTGCTTCATACTCTTGTCCAGCAAGAGGAATATGTCAATCTTACTTGACGTTGATGCATGAACCACAGGCTTGATGGTTGCAGACGATACAGACTGGCTGGACGTTGTAGACCTTCGGGCCATCATTGCAGTGGCAGCAAATATACATGTAAGTTTGCGTATAGTAGTTGGTCGTGGTACCAACAGGCGGAGCATGCATAGCTGGCGCCGCGCGATGTAATGGGCGGACACTGGGAAGGTCTGGTGTTGGGATGGCCGGTACCGTCTGCAGGGACATTGTGCGAGCTGTCCTGAATGAAGCCACGGACGGGTATGGTGAGGTCTCGTGGCAGTGGGTGTGGTTGTGAGTGTTTAGACTGTCTGCGGCTTTCTCTTCTGCGCATGCCGGACAGCGGCGGCGTTGACAGTTGACACAAGATTCGTAGAGGGCGGAGTTGTGAGGACCGAAGCTGCAATCGCAGCAGTACCAGAGCGAGGCCATGGTGGTCGAAGTGGTCGTTTGATGTGGTCTAATAGTTGAATGCAGGTTGGGATGCACGGATGGATGCCGGGTGGCTGATGAAGTATATAGACGTGTGGTATACAGTTGAGTTGTGTATACAAGATAAGAAAAAAAAGTATACAGGCGATCTTGAGGATTCAAGGATCTGATCAGGATGAATTGAGTGTGTGAGGATTGAGCACGAGACAGATGCCAGACTATATAGGCACCCAAGGACATAGCGGAATTTAGCATATAGTAAGAACAGGCAGAGAAACGCCCATTGTGGCTAAGAAAACAGCTATCAGCCGTGCCAGGCAGCCTAGGGGCCTAGGGCACCGTATTGGGAATGTATGGGTTCAACCCGGGTTTAGTGCTTGGGGCCATGGAAGTCCGCTCTTCGTCGCGACCATCTGGGGTCCCCGATCCACCCGTGCCACGGCTTTGGAGCCTTGGGGTGCCTGGGTGATTCACGAGTGATTAACCCGCTTTACCCAGGTGGGATTAGCCCCCATTCAGGGGTCTAGAGAGGTACCGGTGATTCACAGACGCGCTGGTTGAGTCAGTGGGCGAAGCTCCACCGAGCCAAGGCTGCTGATCTCACCGTCTCGCCCGGGGTCAAATGTAGGCGTTCCAGGGCATGAACCGTCTCGGGCACGCCGAATTGACGGTCACAACAGACTTTCCCCGACGATCATCGGTCAACTGTCAACTCTTCAGCGTTGATGCCTTGCCTGGAGCCTTGTGATGCGGTTCCACTCGGCATAGGCAGATATCGCATCGGTGACTCGATAATGGAGTCATCGGTCAGGTGTGTCGCGCTAAGCCCGCCTGCTGCCTAAGGTGGTGAACAATCCGAGGTCATTGCAAAAGATTCGTATTTTCAAAAGTTCTTCGGATTCTACATGGATTAACAATTTCATTCCGGATTTCTCATCAATTTTTTTTTTTTTTTTTTCGGATTTCTCAGCTATCATCATGCCGTTCACCAACTACGATATCACGATATCGACTCTTAGGGCTTCATGTATTGTGATGAACCATGGTTGGTAATCCACCGGCACGATCCCACATGGATGAGAACCTCGATCATCCATGTTCATTCAATTCTCACGGTCGCAAATAGCGTGGATGACAGCTGTGACTCAATTGAGAACGTTACATTGGAATACCGTAGATTCAGGGAGAATGATGACTCGACTGCGACTGCACGCGCTGTACGCAATCTACCAGTGGGATTGGATTGGATTGGAACTGTTCAACGGCCGATTACGTCAGGCTGCCGGGGCCCTGTTTGCGCCGTTTGCGCCCGCGACTTCATCTCCGCCTACTCGAACACATCCTGTCTCCTGAACGCCCGAACCGGTTTACCTCATATTCTTCTTTCATGCATCCATTACGGTGATCGGGGCGAGGCAGACATTTTCCTTCGATGGCCACACAGGCGCAGAAGCGCGTCAACCTCGCGGTCTCGAGAATCATCCCGCCCGTCTTACTCGGCGCCGTGGTTTATGCGAGCTACGCAGTTACAAAACCATTATGCAGTGAGTCGCTTCGACAAAAACAAACAGAAGTGCAGAGTCTTAAATCTGGATCTAGTCGACTACCTCATATATCCTCTTCCATCCTACAACCGAGATTCCCGAGTCGGCGCCGGCGCCGCAATTCTAACCATTTACTATGTTCTTCTAATACCCATGGTCGCGACGTACGGTCGCCTGATGTATAACGTCTTGGGGAGTCCCGGATATCTTCCATTCGGTGCGGAGCGCGTCCAGGCAGACTTCGCCTTGCAGCGCAAGCATTCACATGGGCAACGCCGGCGTCGCAAAAGCGGTTCGAGGAAGGTGCGAGATGCTGAGAAGCAGGAGCCAACTGAGTTGGACCTTGAAAGTGCTGTGAACGACCATGCTGGAGGAAAGGCATTCCAGTTAGATTCAGCTGGCCTGGAGAGCTTCTACACGAAGGATGTTTTTGTATGTCAGGACGACGGCCGGCCGCCGTATTGCTCGACATGCTGCCAATACAAGACAGACAGAGCACACCATTGCCGCGAGGTTGATCGCTGTGTACGCAAGATGGACCATTTCTGTCCTTGGTATGTTGACCAGCCTTTCTTCAATGGTTACTCATAGCTGACTGATGTAGGGTCGGCGGCGTGGTCTCGGAGACATCTTTCAAGTTTTTCATTCAATTCGTTTTTTATACAGCTACATACTGTGCATTTGTCCTCATCGTCAATGCGTACTTCACCGCAGAAATCAAACGCCAAACCGGAGGTGCGAATCCACATTGGTGTGTTTGCATTGGATTGAGCGGACTATTCGGACTATTCTCCGCAGGCATGACTCTCAGCTCCATTCAACTTGCCATGCTCAATATCACTACCATTGAAAATCTCAGCCGCCACTCTGTCGTCTGGACACTTGCCGTTCGAGTCCCAGAGCACCTGCTCGGACGCCTTTGGACACCCGACTCTCCCTGGGCCCCCCACCTTCCGCATGATCTCATACCCACTTGAACCACTTGAACCACCTGAACCACTCACCCCAACCCAACCTCCAAGCAGCCCATCAGCAGAGCGCCATGTCTTCGCCATTCTCCACACCCAACCTGGCGAAAACCCTTTCGACCTCGGCAGCAAACTCAAGAACCTCCAACAAGTCATGGGCTACAGCATCACGGACTGGCTCCTCCCATTGAAGCATAGCCCATGTGCAGACCACAGCAGCCCCGAGAGCGCATTCGCTCTGGGCCCTGTGGTCACGCGACTAAAGCAGGAAGCTGGATTGATCCCGACGTCTACATGATGAACTCAATCGCAAAAAGCATAGAATTCACGGCGACTGGTCCAGAACTACCCATTTCAATTGAGTAGTAGCATCAATCCATACACTACTCTAATGTCTCTGTATTTCCGCCCCAACCTTACCGTATCTCACTCTATTACCAAATTCGTAGACTCGCATATTTCCTTAGCGCGGCCCCACGCATAGGGCTGAACTCCCTGCTTAAGAGACTAAACCCAAGCCGTGAGATGACGGCGGTAAGATAGGAGGTGCAGACAGGATTGACGACCACTCCAGCGTATCTTCCAACGTCTACAATCCACACCTCACCACTTCATCACCCCCCAAACTCCTCCACCGCAGCATTTTCAAAAAAAACCCCGACACCATGATCCTTAGCGGCACCCAGATCCTATCCCGCAACCTCGTCCAAAACCTCCTCAACAGCTCCCTCCAACTCCAACCCTGTGGCATCGACCTCACCCTCCGATAAATCTCCCAGTGGACCACCCCTGCCACAATAGACTTCACCAACGCCAATCGCAAAGCCGCCAAAACAACACTACTCCAATTCACGGACACAATCACCCTAAAGCCAGGATCTTATCTAATCGATTTCAACGAAACGGTCAAAGTCCCCCGGAATTGCATGGCGAGCGTGTTGCCCCGCTCGTCGCTTTGGAGATCCAGCGTGGGTATTAGTGCGGGTGTGGTGGATGCAGGGTACGAGGGGGCCATGGGGCGATGATGGATGTCCGGAATCCGTTGGGTATTGTCTTGTATAGGGATGCGAAGCTTGCCCAGGTAGTCTTTGAGGAATTGGGGGAGATGGTCGATGGGTATCAAGGGGTCTATCAGGGGGCTGTGTGCAGTGTTGGACGGGATGGGGATGAGGTGAGAAAGTAAGTTTTTCTGTTCCTAGTCTTTGGGCTAGGATGTGATGGAATGGGAATGGTATTATGTTGGCTTAAAGGCACATTTCGATAGTGAGCTTTTGTTCTGTTGGAATCTTGATTCAAGTACTTGATACCAAAATAGGAAGTAGGTCTGATGTGGGACGACCTTGATTACGGCCATGCATGATATTCTTGTCAATTTCGGCATGGGTACAACAAGAAGTGACCATAAGCGTAAAACTAAGCTCAAATTCTGACCTTCTGTATGGGGATAATGTGCTCTTCCGTAGGCCCGAGAGTTGGCGTGGACTGACCCCTCGCATTATTTGAAACCAGACATTCTACAATTATCAAATGTAAGAACTAAAATAACTCGAGTAAAAATTGGTTTCGAAAGGGCAATGAGACCTTTGTGTGTTGCCAAGTGACAGAAAATTCAAGTTAATACCCCTTGTTGTTCTACCAAGCTGCAAAATCCTATAAGGGAAGTAAGAAAGCAAAGGAGGTAGAAAAAATAAAAATAAAAAAAACTTGCAACGCATGAAATGAGGCAATCTTCATCGACTCTCGACATCTAGGACTGACCCTGAAAACAACACTGAAACTAATCAAGTAGGTTAAAAACAGCAAGACAGGAGTGGAAAGAACAGACAAAACACCAGATCAAAATGAAACCAGAATGCTCGAAGCCCCCGCTTCGATCTATTCTCCATACACCGATGTATACCAAGCCTCCAGACACCTTGCTGAAACAAAAAAAAAGCCGCGAGACGAGTGATACCTCTGGAAACCAGATTTTCGAAGTAGACTGTCTCTCATCTACCCACTCATGGCGAGTGAAAGTGATGGCTCAGACATTCACCGAGCCACACGAGCCACACTTGTCGTGACTGCAGATTGGGCATCGATCCGGAGATAGAGCAGGATTGCACATACTCTCGCACATATGGCACACCCACCACAAATCACACGTAATTGCCGCACCGGACCCAACAAGGTCCGTGTTTCCGGCACGCCATCGGTGCACAGGCGGAATATTCGCGACATCGGTGAAGTAACGGTGGTAGAGGTGGTCGAAGCTCTGAGCTGAAACACCAGCGGCCGAGAGGGACGAGCCAGCTTGGGATCCGTGGGCAAGAGGCATTTTATAAGACGTTGAACGTTGAGGATATGGTGGTATAGGGTATGATTGTGGAGGGGCACGAAACACCCAACGACTGATAATTGAAGCTTTGGTCTCTCTGTGGACTCAATAGACGATGCTGAAGAAACTAGAGACCATGATCATAGTCACTTTCTTTATACCATTCACCGGTGTATACGTCAATTGAACCTGCACCCTCACCTCCTGGGTGTACATTCTATCAACCAGTATTTATGCGTCATAAGTGCCTCAACTGGGGAGGTAAATGAGCCCGTCTCCATCAGGGCGCGGGCGTAGGAAAGGTGAATGCCATCAAACAAATAACCAAGAGTGAAGCGGAGGCTCGATACTGGGGAACGGACCATCCAGGGAAGCCGAATTAGCCATCATTGAAGACGATCCTCCCAGGGCACCCGCACCCAGGCCGGAACAGCACATCAGATCGGAACCTGGGCACGCGACGGCGAAGAAAGAATTCGGCGAGTCAAATCTAGCCTTGCAATACGATGACCCAGCATGGGGCCAATGATGGTCGATACCCATGTTCAGAGCGTCGGGTCAGGCTAGGCATCTTGCTTGCATTACATCGAACCCGCCGAGAGCCGGGCCAAGGGGAAGGGCCTTGGGCGGTGGGCCTTTGGTTTCGACACCGTCTGAAGATCCTGGGTTGCTGAGTGGCTCGCTTCGTTTGGTACGGGGCGGGCGTGGCGCGGGAAGTGGGCTAAACCGCCCTAGCTATGAGAAATGGGGTGTGACTTGCCTCATGGATGACCTCCCGGATGCCCTGATTGATTCGCACGTCGAGGGCCGCGAAAGTGTCGTCGGAGCAGGTGGGGTGTATTGGTGGGACGGGTGTGATATGAATGGTGAAGAGGGTGACGGTGGAGATGGGAAGAATCTTGGAATGTTCGGCCATGTTTCACGAGTAGAATAACCACGAATGGTGGTAGATTGGGAGATTGATCGACCGGAGCGAGGAGATGAGGTGGATATCGACTGAGATGTGGTCTACTGTATGGATATTGATGCTGAAACCCGACCGGCCGAGTATACTTCGTACTCCAATCACTTGGTCGTTTGAATCCGTGACTCCGGACCTCAATGATCCGATCCGAAATGCCAATGTCTTGCGCCCAGGCGACTTTGCCCGTCGAGCACCCGGGCACATCGGCAGTGCAGAGCCTCACATGGGAGACATGGAGACATGGGGATCACCAGGATGACAGCAGGGAGAGAACCATGGTTTCATGCCCCTCCGATCCAGACATTCCAACCCCACGGGTCGAAAAGGTTCCAGTGTGTAAACATCCAAGATACCAAAAAAGTTCCCAACTGCCAAAACCTCCATTCTCCCTGCATTGACTAGTAAACGAACGAGAAGCAAAAATAAAGCCTAGCTCCGACTGTGGCAGAAGCCCAAGTGGGGTCTTTGTCATCGGCGGCGCCCACCATTTTGCGTCATTCCCCAATCTCACCGTGGACTTTTCTCTCCTTTTTCTGTTTCACATCATCGGCTTCATTCATCGGGCTGTAGCCTCCCCCGACCCGTGGTATCGAATTGATCGAAGATCCCCCTTTTCAATCTTACTCGCCAAAGCTCGACCCAGTCCGGACCCTCACCTCCTCGGCCCCATCGGATCCTACCTGCTGTTTGGGAGGCACGAGGAGCTACTGTACTTAAATTGAAAGACGACCGCAGGTATTTTTCAAGAATCATCAGCTCGTGCAGTCAAGATGCGGCATTCTAATGTTGATCGTGCAGTCCCCCGCCCATCCCGCTGAACCACTCGGCAGCCCTACGAAGCCACGGCTTCAGCTGGTATCTTCCATATCCCCAAGTCAAAATGAGCTCCTCCACCTACTACCGCAACCTGTCGCCAACCGGGGGACGTCACCACGTGGCAGGCCCCCGTGCGTCGACCGGCATGGTGCAGCTCGGCTCTTCCCACGATCCCTATGACGTCTCAAGGAGCCGCTACGATTATGACGATTATTACTACCCTTCTGATGTCGGATACTCGGCCTCTCATAGACACCAGCCACATCATCGGTCCTCGTCGAGGATCGAGGCTCAGCCGGTCTCTTCTCAAAAGTTCCGTGATCCTGGCCAGCCGACTAAGAAGCGGACGGAGTATACACTTCAGCCTCAGCCCCAGTCCAGACATAGAAGCCACACGGCGTCTGCGGCCGATTTGTACGATATTCCGGTGCGATTGTCTGTGCCGTCTTCATCATCTTCCGGTCATCTTCGTCCGGCGGCCAGCTCGGGTCGAGGCCGCTCTCCCAGTCCTCTTCCCTCCACTTCCAGCCAGTATCTGACTCCGCATTCTTCTCATTCTTCTCACCATGGCCATCGCCGAGTGTATAGCACGGACTATGCGAGCGATACTGGTCGTTTGGACCCGCGTGATAGTACCAAGCGTCACTCTCCTCAGCATACGTATCGTCATCATACTTCGAGTGGGCGTCGTCGACACCCCGCCTACGATGGACTGCAGAAAGGCGATGATATTGACTCCTATGATGCCTACTCTTACACAAATGCGCGAGAGCAATTTGACAGAGACTATCCTGTCAAACCGCGTCACCCTGTATCCAGGTCTTCGGTAGACCGTCCTCTCAGCATGAATGTAATGGATGAGCATCCCCAGCTGCTACGAAAAGAACGAGCTGAACGACCTCACGGACCCCCTCCGACTTCGTGGGGCTTGGACAAGATCGATCGTGAGGGCCGGCGCTCATCCAGAAACTCCGACGGTCACCGGGATACATCGAGAACCAGGGACGCCTCCCGGACAAGGGATGCTTCTCGAGCAAGAGGCGGCCACGACCGTGCCCTAGCCGCCCTACCTCACGAGTCCGACGATGGCTATGATTCGTACAACGACGGTCGCCGTAGGCGTCACCGCAGACATCGACGCGAGAGTGACAGACACGGTGATGATCGATCGCCGCGCCCACGCAATGGCACTGGCGAGCAGATCTTAGCAGCCGGTCTTGGAACGGCTGCCTTGGGTGCGGGTTACTCCGACATGTCGGATTATGACCATCGTGCCTCGAAACATCGACACGGTCACCACTATGATCTTGACCGGGAGTACGATTCCGCCCAGCCTACGACTCGAGATCTTCATGAAACCTCCCCTAGTGCCGAAAATAAGCAGCTCTACTTGGAACCGAGCAAGGCCGTCCGTCCTCGTCGGCGGTCACGGGCACGCTCTCGGGGAAAAGACAGCGGCTCAGATACTTACACAGACGACGAGGACCTTCGCAAGTACCGGCGAGAGCCTTCTGCGGCGGATCATCGGAGTAGACATAGCAGCACAGACACCAGCAGCGCTGAGGACCGCTCCTCCAGACGTCACCGCTCCCACTCGCGTCATCGGTCGTCACGTTCACAAAGAAGACTAGAGGATGGGCAGACGAATGGCTCACGTCACTCTCCAACTGACAGCAAGGAGGACGTCAGGAAGGTTATCACTGTCGAGCCGCCCACCAAAGAACCCGAGGCTGCGCCCAAGGGTATCCTCAAGCCACCCCGTCAGAGCTTCCCCGAAGAACCCAATCCAATACGAGAAGGGGTTGCTCCTCTCAAGGATGCCCATAAGCAGGGTATTCCTCCGGGAGCTCGTTGGACCAAGATCGACCGCAGACTAGTCAACCCGGAGGCATTGGAGGCAGGCAACGAGCGATTTGAAGAGCGGTCGGACTATGTCATTGTGTTGAGGGTTCTGTCCAAGGAAGAAATTCAGGCCTATGCTGTGAAAACACAGGAGATCCGAGGTGAGCTTTACCCAAATCCAGAGATGTGTCCATCACATTCACTAACCTTTGCCTCAAGATACTCGCCGCCAGGAGTACATTGACGACAAGCGCCGTCGTATGGAAGAGAATCAGCGTCACGGCCGCCGTGGTGAAGAGACTTCAAGCGACGACGAAGACGAAAGCCCAGAGCAACTAAAGCTCGAGGCACCACCTGTTGCAGAGCTTGAAGCGCCACGTCTTCCAATTCGCCCTCGAGAGTCCACCAACTCTCCAGAATCCGATCGAGCAAAAATGGCACCTACAGCTGCGCCGGCACACGGCTAGGTAGTTCATCTGTTCAACAATCCCCTCAAAACCGTACAGGATTGGCATAAAGGAAAAAAAAAAGCCATTGGTATCCAAGTCTAGGGGCCCTGGCCGTGCTCCGTTCCCTGACGCAAGGCCATCTGGCTCTGATGAAACAGCCAGCATCACCCTTGTATGCATCTCATTTACGCATACACGTCATCTCAATGGACACTCAGCTTAGCATTCATATCATTCAGCGTACTACCCTCAGGCCGGGAAAACTCCCGAGCCAATGCATTGTCGTTATCAATCTCAGTACTACTACTTATAAAATCTCACCATAGCCATCCGCATAATATCTAGCAGCGTAGACGGTACCTTCGACAAGCGTACAGCCGCCCAATATCTCAGTCCTACGCTAGCTCAAGTTCAGCCCTTGTACTACCATCAGCACAAACTCAGCCGTAGCCGCAGCCGTACCTCAAATATTCTATGCAGTACTCTCCCTCAATATCCCGAAGATTGAGACCTTCAGTCCCAATCCAACATCAAAACAAAAGTACACATTTGAACATCCCAAAAACTGACATACATACCTCGGAGATTATCACCCGCCAGCCAGCCCCAATAAAGCCCTCCAAGCGACACCCTTAAGGCACAAGAACTGAGGGCCGAAGAATAACACCCGGCAAGAGGAAACCCCGAATCAGGAACAGGACCAGAACCAGAAACAGGGTCACTGGTGAAAAGTCAAGTCAGGTCGCAGAATGCAAGTGCGCCACAGACGTGCCCAGCAAAGCATTTCTCGAGCGCAAGTTTCCCCCCCAATTTCCCGCCTTTCATTCACTCTCAAGCTAGAGCCCGAGTGCAGAGACAGGAGGAGACGCTACCCAGAAGCGAGTGTGATTGTGACTTGTTGTCGTCCAGGCTGGGAATTGTTCGGTTCAGATGAATCTGCGATCAGGTTGACAAAGTGGCGACTTGTAGAGTGGAGCATATTGAACGGGGAACGGGCACAGGGAGGGGCATGATATGGTGAATACAGTATTCCTGTTGACTGCACGTCCAGTAAGATGATGATCGACGGGGACAATAACACGGGTATTTTGTCCGCCCAATTATATGTTTTCGTAGCGTCATGGATGTTGAGTTATTTGAATCATAAACTCCTCTTGTTTTCTGATGTAGGTGCCTGCTTTGCTTCTATGGACGGATGGAATGATTGACTTATGGGGTGGGATGAGAGGGCAAGGTATGGAGAGGGAAGGGAGGGGCGTGGATCCAGGAAATCATCCGGACGCCACGCCACGTTGTACATGGGCTTAGTCTCGTACTGACGTGTGTGCTTTTGCCATATCTTCGATACCCGGCAATCTCTATTGTGAAGTGTCGAGGCATGATTCATGGTCAACTCTACACTACCTGGTTGGCCCAGAGGGTTGGGAGGAACATATGGGAACATAAGAACATGGTAAAGGACGTTTTAAGAGGCAACGGTCTTCTTGCCGGTCGATTAGAGAGATTGTGATTCGTGTGCGATATTAATGTACAGTACTCGATGTATCGCGATATCCAATAGATTGTAGCGAGGAAGCGAGATCGATTGCGGGAATGATTTAATGGGGGCGTGGCGATCTTAGTCGTTTCAAGAAGGAAGGAACACCCCGAGCCGAGCTGAAGATTGGCTTTTTGATAGTTTTGATCGTGACCCTTCGGTATGGAATGCCCGTTCGTCGCATTGCGGGATTTGATGACTTTTTTCTACACGGGTCGGATTTAGGGAATATGTCCGACAGGCTGTATATGGAGATGGTGATTGGTTTCGCTCCATTGATAATCGAATGGACCACAGGATTCAAAAGCGCGCTATACGAGTCATGTCGACTCATGTCGGGCCAAGGAGATGCCTCGTCTCGTACCTGGGCTCCACTGTTGGATTTTTTAGAAAAAAAAACATTTGTTCCACGGAGAAAAGGAAAAACATGTTAAGCACGACCCGTGCAGTGGAGAGGTGTGGCCAACGGTTGATTCACTCCGGGAAGTTGTGTAAGCGGTCTCTTCATAGCGCGAATCAATCGTGCAAAACTGGGTTGTCTGATGGTTGAAACACCCGTTGATCTCAGAGGGCGCAGATTTGTTGGGTTAGGATTTATTTGCAGATGCCTCTGTGATCTATACTTTATTCGTGGGAGATTCAAGCCGTCCCTAGAGCCACTCACACGCGACGGCGCCTCCGCAGGCCTAAACGGTACTTCTCAATTCACGGCGGTATAGCAAGTTTGGGAACCGCGATGGCCCTGTGCAGCTGTAGTCCGGCTCTTTGAACACCGGATTCCATCGATGATTGATGCACATGGATTGGTTCGCCACCCCCTGCGTCCGCCTCTTTTGACAACCAAGTGCCGTCGCTTTGGCTTTATTCTTCCAGTCCGGCGAGGGACAGAGACAGAATCAATCTATTTTGACTTTGCAATGCCAGGTTACCGCGGAGTTGTCTGCCGACGCCACGAGAGTACGAATAAGGTGCAGACAGATGCAGATAAACGATGCGGGTATGTTCGGTGGTAAAACGTTCACGTCCGGGGACACTTCAGGACCCTAATCATAATAGGTATTCCATAGGTATCGTGCAGCGATCAACCCCCAAGGTTCCTATTCCCGGCTAAGGCTGAACTGTCCTGCGGTCAAGATCATGAAACAAGGCCGGGCCATGCGACTGCAGTGCTGCAGATTTGACCGATAGATCACAATTTTGCTCGTCAGAGTCTCTGCAGCAAGTATCGGTGTGCGATTCAGATGCGGTCAGGAATCATTTCCGACTCATAAACTCAGACACGTTCGGCATTTCTATTTCCCTATAGACTTGACGGGGTCTGAGACCCGTGTAGTGGACACACTACCTAAGGGCCCATCGGGACTCCATCGTGTACTGTATACGCTCGGAGCCGGATGGTGGGGCCGAACCAGACTACGAGTTGGGTCTTTGGTTTTTTGTTTGTCTGAATTTGACATTGCTATGAAAACTTGAAAACCGTGGGAATGGAGTTGGAAGAACTAGGAGAGCTGGGAAAAACTTGGTTCGAGAGGGGACCCCTCCTCGAATTGCCGATTATTGCGTGCTTGCGGGCAGATTCAACCGATTAGAGAAGGGGTCAAATCACCACAGTTGATTACAATTTACCCGGAGTATCTCTCGATTGGGGATTCCCGAACCATCTTATTCGTTCTAGGACGATCCGGAGTGCGGAGAAGACCACTTTGTCCCCGATGCGGTCGAACAGGGGATCCCGTTCCCTCCCCTCCTCCCCTCTTAGCCGATTCAACTCCAAGACATCTCTACCAAACCTAAAAGCTCACAACCGTTGGCGCCCCTCCCACCCCCGGAGCAGATCCTCCCCGGGTGGACGATGATTCCGTGCATTTGAGCCAGGGTATGACAACTTTATTTCAAAGGCATGTCAGGACCAGGAAGGTGAAGGTCTGGTCTCAAACTGTAGATGTGGCTTAGCCTGAGCGACGTGGGTGAAACCCCGAGCTCTAGAGGAAATGAAAATACCAGCCCCCAAGACTCCGACCACGCCTGCATCCATGGGACCGGGTGGCCCGGGAACCAGTTACTGACTAGACTCGTTAGGAGTTCTACCCAGGGGCGGTAACAATCACAATCCCTCTTTTACTTTAATGACCGTGGTACTTTACCTTATGACGCACCCTCTCGGGGCTTGTTTACGACGTGGCTCTCCATCCTCACGTGAGTTGTATGGCGTGCCAAGTGATGCGCAATCCAAATGGCAAGCAGATATCGGTGGGTCCGAGCATGGTTTGATATCAAAAGCAAAGAACTCGTAACGCGGCGCTTGCCGACTGCCGACCATGGACTGATTCATCTGTCCACGGTCCATCCCCATGCTCTTCGTCCCTAGCTAGACCTGCACGTCGACAAATATTCTAGGATCAACACATACAATGAAGGGGAAAAAAATAAAAGTGGCTAGCGGGCAAACTCCAGGATCCATGAGCCGCATGGTGAGGTCAAGGTGACTTCTTGATTGCTGTGATCTGCACGCAGCAAGGGCGGCCCCCCCGGTCCCGGCTCCAACGTGGCCCGTGTTGCCGCGACGGGAAACCGGTCGAGGTAACCGTGCACCTAAAGGCATGGGAAAATCAATTTCAGTAAAAGAAGGGGAAGGGGGAGGGAAAGACTATAGCAAATGCTATGGCTGAATGTAGGATCTAGGTCAAAGGACTGGATCAAACACGGGGCCACCGCTCCTCTCAGTAACCGACTGCGAGCTCACTTTCTCCGACGGACCTCCATCTGGATGATCTTCGACAGGGTGGCGTCGCCGGTCCGTTCTTAGATCGCGCTCTCGCTCGTGCGTTGGATGTGAGTCCTGCAGGTCAGCGGACTCGAAGTGTCACCCTACAGTCGGACCAGAAATACAATGGTTCTGAAACTAGGCGGCGGGAACTGATTCCCTGGAAGAGATTCGAAGTATTTTGAAGTTACTGAAAATAATAAAAAATAAAAAATACAAACAAAAAAACTTTAGAATAAGGCCTCATAGCACTCTTTAGAAGATATGCCCGGAATGACGTCGACAACAATCTGAATAAACAAGTGTGGAGGCCCCCTTTTTGGATGATTGTCTGAGACTAAAGGAAAGAAAGCTAGAAGCAGCACGGGAGCCCTGTTCGAGAGAGTCTATAAGGTGCCGCACAGGCCATCTTTTCTGGCCCTTGACGTATCTCCCCCCTTTCGAGCGAGACGGAGCCAAGGCGATTTTGAGTCTAGTACCAGCAACGAGTCATTCTGGTCCTGTCTTTGTCCCCGACCGAGAGATCCGATTTCCCTGAGTTTCATAGTTTTGCTTTTTTTTCTTCATTTTTTCCTTTTTTTTCCTTTTTCCTTTTTCCTTTTTTATTTATTTTCTTTCTAAATTTTGGTTCCAGTTCTATTTGTGGTAAAGGGGGGGGGGGGGGCGGACGCCTAAGCTCTCAAATGCAAATGCAAGCCAAGCTCCAGCTCCGGACTCTCGCGTGCTCTCTTGGACCTGAGATCCGGGCGGTAGTGGCACACTCGGCAGATCAAATCGAAGACTGGATCTCGAGCGGTTGATCCGCCCAGGGGTGTGTATCCCTGAGATTGCGGGAAGATTACTCCCCCATCCCCCCCCCCTCCTCTCTCTCCGTCTCATCCATGGTTCGCCGAGGACAACCCCGGTCGAAAAGTCAGCCATCGATTGGAATGCCAACTGTGAAACCTTTCTGGAACGGTACCACGCTCCTGTGCACATGTGCTGTCAGCGGCAAAGGACCGATGCGCTTCCTTGCATGCCGGTGGAAATAAGAGTGACTGGTTCGTTGCAGCTCGGGTACTTTCTACCTTATACTGCATCCAGTAATCCCGCATACCCTAGGTATGCGACGTGTGGTGGGTCCCGCTATCACCCTTTCCCTCCGGTCTGAACGATCGTCCAAACTATTCTCAGAGCTGTCCGAAGTCTAGATCGGGTCTTCGATGGGAGAGAGAGTAGAATGAGAACTGAGGTGGAGAAAAATGGGTACGGGTACGGGTACGGCTTTAGGCGAAGTACACGCTTGCTCGACCCTGGCACCCTGCATCGATCACAGGCGCCCAATAAGCGACGTGAGAGGGAGATGGGACACCGTTTTCATCTCGGCCTCACGGGCCTGCAGTCTCACAGTGCAAAAAAAAAAAGAATAAGAAGAGAAAAATCAATGATAATAGGAAAAAGAGAAGAGAGAAAATAAAAAAAAAACCAAAAAACAAAAAGAGAGGGGGGGCCAGTGGACTTGCCTATGCACACTGGCTTAGCCCCAACCTTCAGCTGAGTTCCTGAACCAAGCGTCGAGCGTCGAGTCCGCGCGCACGCATCACTGGCTCCGCCTTCAGCCGTGAATGGCTGCTGCGATTACGACGAACCCCCAAGCTAGCCTGCTTCTGGAAGCTCTCGAAGCAAACGAAGAGATGTGCCCACACCCCTCTCTCTCTCTCTTGACGGTAGCGTGGCTCCGGGTGCTTCCCTTGATCCCGGTGAGATCATCGGCAGTATTTTCTTATTCCGTGTTTCATAAGGTTGGATTGAGCCTCAGGTGAGCCGATTAGCCGTTCCTGAGTGGATGGACAGTTAGAGACCGGGGGTGGCGATCGAGAGATGCCCAACGTGGGCCCAGTTACCAGGTGCCAGATGCCAGGTGCTAGGTGCTAGGTGCTAGGTGCTAGGTGCTAGGTGCTAGGTGCTAGGTGCTAGGTGCTAGGTGCCAGATGCCAGGTGCTAGGTGCTAGGTGCTAGGTGCCAGATGCCAGGTGCTAGGTGCTAGGTGCTAGGTGCCAGGTGCCAGGTGCCTCTGAGGGTATTTTCAAGAATGACCCCGGGTCATTTATCTACTTGGGCAGCTCGTCGTGGCCTCCACCTCGGCTTTTAGTGCTCGACAAATGAGAGGCATCGGCCAGTTCACATGTCTGGGTGTCTGGACTCGAAAGGATTCGAGGTGTACGGGGCAGCATTCGCGCGCCGTGGGCGCCGTCTTTCTCGAACACCTTTTTCGATGAGAGGTGCCAAGCCCGACCGAGACGCAGAGCTAGCGCTGCTTCGGTCTTAGAGGCGAACCTGGGTGGAGGTCAGCATCGGGGGAAGATGATAAAGCGAACTGAGATCTTTCCATTGGTCCGTCGTGCAGGAGACGAATGGAGGAGCTGGAGCGGGCCAAAGACCGCGTCCTGCTCTCTCTGTCTCTCTCTCTTCTCGACGTTCGGGAAGCACCAGGACCGAACGAGTCTTGTACTGGTTCATCCGAAGTTCAGGCTGGGGGAAACCAAAGACCAGAGCCACACGGTTTCCTGCCATGAATGCTCGTCTCGCCGGGAATGTGATGGGCGCCGTTAGGCTGTTTCGAGTTTATTTAGACGGGGCCGCCGAGGGATGGAGTCATGCATCCCGATCTCATTGGGGCCAGTGGAGAACGGGGGAAGTCAGGCCGGGGACCACCGACGACAACTTGGGAGCCACCGACTACTCGAGCCAGTTAGATCCGTTGTGTAACCAGCTGCTATTGCTTACGACTTTGGTCCACACGAGCAATGTGTCTCTCCCACCCCGCCGACCCCAAGATATACTCCGTGGAAATCGCTCAGCCCAACAGGTTGCCGTAAATCCCGTCTTCCGTACCTGAAACTGGTCTCTGCACAATTCCATGTGTTCATTCGAGTCCCTATAGCCCGAGGTCCACTCTCTCCCACGCTCTCTTGCTTTCCTCTCCAGCCTTGACGCCTTCTAGACCGAGGGACGCTACGGATCGTCCCAGCTGCCTCCCCGAAGGATGCGCGATCTCGAACGTGGGCGCAAACACTATCCTATCGATTCTCGACCTAGGCCGCGGGTGCTGACGGAAGTTTAGAAGTTTGCTCTAACAATTGCCCAAGGTTTTATTTCTTTTTTTTTTCCCCTCCATCGACGCTTGACTCTATGCAGGATAGACTGTCCACCAGAATCCAACACACCTCGAGAAGGATTCTTCGCTCACTCTTTGTCTGCGTTCAGAGAAAACAGAAATAATCCACAATCATGACTGGCTCCAGGCTGCGTCTTTTTACCCTCCTCGTAGGTGGACGTATCATCGTCACTCCACTCAGTCCGAACCCTACTTAATCTTCTCGGTCCAAGGCAGAAGAGAAACCCAAAATCAAAGAGCCACAGCCAAGAAAGGGGACCCGCCCAGGCCGTTGAAGCCTCCAAACTAGTATAGATCAGCTACCCAGAAACAAAGACGATCGAGTGCCGTATCCATCGTGCTTTCGTCCCCTCGTTCTCCACTTGGAGTCGTGCAGTGACATTGGGCTTGCTCTCTCTCTCTCTCTCTCTCTCTCTCTCTCTCTCTTCCACGCACCGGCTCTGCATGCTGCACATCATTCACCCTCGCCCCCCCCCCTCTCCCCCTCCCAAGGCGTTTAAATCTGCCTCTCGGCTAGGCTGTGCTCAAAGTGATGATGACACTCATGTAATTTTAAAAACCTCCACCTGAGGCTCGGATGTTTACCGGTCTCGACTTGTTGGTAGCAATCTCCTCTCCTGCATCCATCCTGGCCGATATTACACCACTTTCCCGCTAGTGAGCTCTTCCTCATATTTCTTACTTCTGCTGGAAATAAAAAGACGAAGCTTGGGTGTCTGGATTTCGTCTATCCCCCATCTGGAATTTTTCTTTTTTTTTTTTACTTTTAATTTGAATTTCTTTTTATTTTTTTCCTTCCTTTTCTTTTTTTCTGATTTATTATTTTCTCCGCCTCGTTAATTTAGAAAAGGACACCCGGACACCATGGATCTCGGTGCAGCTAAATAAAGGACCCTAGACCCTCCACCTCGCATTCCCATCGTGCCCTGAACCCCAGTCTAGCCGTGTGTCGCGCAGGAGCCTCAGGCCGTCGGGATCGCCCTTGACTCCACGCGCTTCTTCCTGAGCGCGCCAAACATCCTAGTTCTTTCTTGTCCCTCCAGGAAAGATTCTGTCCGAGGCCGTGAGAACACCGGCATGGTTCACACTGACTTCGGTCCTCCTTCGGCAAAATACAAGGAAGAGCCCGTTGACGATTCCGTGAGTACTCGTTTTTCTTAGATCTTGGGTGGCTTTTCCCATCATATCACAATCCGAGAGACTTTGCTTCTATCGAGCTTGGGAGAAGCTGTTTTGGAGGACGCATCCGCCATTTATGGGCAGCACAATCAACTATGCGCCTTCTATGTGAGAATGCGCTCTCAATATAGATCTGAGCCAACTTCAATTCCGCATTGAGATCCTCAAACTTGCGGTGATCAGTCTGTTGCGAACGACTTCAACACACCTGGCGCAAAAGCTATAGGCGCATATTCAGACCATCACTTCTCCTCGAGACCGGAATGTCTGATCCTCGTGAACTTTGCCGAGTCTCCAAAGAGAGTGCAATGAAAACACGAAACTGTGTAGCCACTCTGATGGAATAGGCAAACACGAGGTGTGCTTTGTCCCTCGGAAGAAAAGAACCACTCGCAGAGCTGTGAAAGCCCCAGCGCTACACAGATTCGTGGGTTTCTTTGGCCCTGGACGGAATATCCTGGTTGATACCCTGGCCCATTTGTGACGCACCTGAGTTCATCCCTGCTCAAGGCATTCGTGGCGACTCTTCTCCCCCTCCATGATAAGCTGCTTTAGCTTGTGGAGAACTCACCGATGGACATGAATCTAGCTGTGCTTTCAAGTTCCTCTTTCACGAATGTTCCCCCCCCCCCCTCCCTTCCCTCCCATGTTCATAGGTTGTTGTACCACCCTTTGGGCTCGACCACCTTTACAGTTTCGTCCTATCTCTTTCAGTCAAACTGATATTGTGTCTCTTGTCTACAGCTTCAACACAGTTCGGGACGTCCAAGTCCTCGTTCTCAATATCACCATTTGCAAGGTCAAGCTTTGAAGCAGGGCCGCGCTTCGCCAATTCAACCTTCTTCCATCCCTACATCTACGTATCCGCCAGGAAGCAATATCCAACATTCTCATAGCGCCTACGGACCATCATCTCAGGAAGCGCCATATTATTCTAACCAACCCTCTTCATATACCCCCACAACTGCATCCGCACAGTATTCTTCCACCGGTAAGTCCAATAACTTCGTTTTATGGTCATACATGCACCATGCTTCACCCGATTGCAACGTTACTTTCCCCAAGGGAATTCAATCAACAAATTCAACAGGAGACTGATGAATAAACTAGGACCAGACCACATGGCCGCCACCACCCAAATGCAGCGGCCTTACCCCCCAATCTACCACACTCCTCAATCCAACTCTCCAGCATCCGTAGCTTCGCAGCCACATGATCAGCATGCACGCAACATCTACACGCAGTCACCACAGATGCCGCCCCAGATGTACGGCTACGCGCCATATTCGCCTATGAACCCGATTCAACCACCATATGCGCACCCTTCACCCCAGTCGCATACTCTCACATCGCAATCCATGATGATGCCGCCGCAGACGACCACTGCGCAAATGTCACCACATCAACCATCGCGCACCCCCAACACAGCTTTGTCCAGCAGCCCCGCTATGAAAATGGATTCAAACCCTCAAGGAGTGCAACGACCAATGCTCAATCCTCCTCTCCCAAGTGCCAGTAGCACTGGAATGTCCGGTGCCGGTATGCACCAGAATTCACCAATGGGAGCGAGCTCTAGTGCAGCCCCAGGACCCATCCCAGCCACAACTCCACTTGTTGTACGACAAGATGGCAACGGGGTTCAATGGATCGCCTTCGAGTACTCTCGAGATCGGGTCAAGATGGAGTATACGATCCGCTGCGATGTGGAATCCGTGAACGTGGACACTCTTAGTCAAGAATTCAAAACCGAGAATTGCGTATATCCTCGCGCATGCTGCGGCAAGGACCAATATCGAGGAAATCGGCTGGTCTACGAGACCGAATGCAACGCCGTCGGCTGGGCGCTCGCTGATCTCAATCCTGCTCTCCGCGGCAAGCGCGGTCTCATCCAGCGCGCAGTTGACAGCTGGCGAAACAGCAACCAGGATCCTCGACTCCGTAGCCGCAGAGTCCGGCGCCAGGCCAAGTTGAACCGTCGCCAGTCTGTGCCCACTGTTACTCCTCATATGGCGGCCGCTGCGCCTGTTGGACCGGGTCTGCCTAGCACAGCAATGCAAGCCCCGGGTTCTCGGCAAAATATCGGACCCATGTCTATGGGCCCACCTCAGCTGCATCACCATCATGCTCAACATACTCAGTCGGATGGCAGTCCAAAGATGGAAGTTGGTGTTAGCGGTATGTTTGATCACCAGATATGATGCGTTCCGTCGAGATTTCTTTTGCGAAATGTGCGGCGGGAATATGACCCAATGATCCCTGTACATTCTTTTTTCTTTATTCCCCATGGATGTTCAGGTCCGTAATTTGTTTGTGTGTGTGTTTATTTTGGGCTGGTGCTTGCTTCCTTGTCTAGGTCTCTGTTTGTGGGACTGGAAATCTTCTCATGTCTAGTATGACTTTTCGGATGTGGATATTTACACGTGGGAGTTTGTGACGAGTGTGTTGAAGATTGCGAAACATGCACTGGTGTACTACGGTCCAGGTTCGGTCTCCTTCTGCCTTTTCTTTTTTCTTTTTTGTTCTTTTGCTTTATTTTTTTTTTCTATGTTTGAGATTTCATACCCTGTGCCAGTTTTGCCTTATCATTCGATGCCGTCGCACATGTTCGTGCCTTTCTTCATTGGGATCCCGGGGTTCTCTCCCGACATTTGCACGTACAGCGTAGGCTAATTGTTCTCTTTCGTGTTTCCTTTTATAGGCTCTGACTACCCCGGTACTCAGCATTCTCTTGACACCCGTCTTCCCACCCCTCTGATCCCCGACATCCGACCCGCACATGTCTTCCATGATACCGCCGTGCCCGCCGGACACACTGGCCCAGCCATGCCACCACTGATGCGCGACAGCGGACATGACGCACTAAGTCGACGCCCAACAATTGCGACATCCAGCCGCGTGGATACAGGCGTCGATGTCGACGACGAGCAAAGTCCCGATAACAATGACCTCTTCGGCCAACTGCCCGAGGGCAAGAAACGCACATTCATCCTGGTCGAAGACCCGCACCGCGGATCTCGTGTCCGAGTCAAGGTCATGCTGGATAAAGTCAAGATGGAGGAAATCCCAGACTCATACCGCAAGTCTAACGCCGTGTATCCGCGGACCTACTTTCCTGTACAGATGAAAGACGCTCCGGGCCGAGTCCTCACCGGACGACGGTTCTTCGGTGACGACACCGAGCAAGTCGACGATCCTGCTGACTCCACTGTTGGCCGCACCACAGTCCCCGCACCTTCCTTAGACGGCGAGCGAGACATTGAAGTACCCAAGCTTTCTCGGCGGCGCCACCGTAACGAAGTCCTCCTGAATGACCTCGGATACCGACTTAGCTGGAGTCAGAGCCGGGTGTTCGCAGGCCGGATGCTATTTTTACAGCGATCGTGTGAGTTTTTTTTTTTTTTTTTCTCTTTCGCACCTTTTCTTTCCTGGGCGGTGATGCACGGCGGTGATGCACATTCTCGGCAGTTGTGTTTATCGTTTGCGTGGAGTGGGCCCGGCACGTGTCGCGGCTGAGACGTGTCTCACTGGAAAGTATGTAACGTGCTGACCAGGACCTAGTGGATGCCTACCGGAATAAGATGCGCAGTAGTATGCTCGCTGCGGGTCAGGACCCATCGGAGATTCCAGAACATTTCGATACTCGGCGTGGGAAGCGAAGGTTCCTAGAGCGTGGAGGTCGTCGGTTGGAGCCTGGGGCGCAATCTGCTGCTCAACGCAGTGCGGAGGAGGTAGAGGGATAACGGGTCTTTTTTGATGTCACCTTATGCTTTTTTTTTTTTGCGAGGGTTTCAATCTTTGTGCCCTGCTCTGCCCTGCTCTATTCTGTTCTATTCTTTTTTGACGGTTTCTGGTTTGAAGGGATCTATGTGGGACGAACACCAAAAACAAGGGAGCGACTCGGAATATTCGGAATGATTTTTGACGGCGCAGGGAATCGGATATGGGATGTATGGCTTTACGGATTATGAATTACGGCTGATGATAACCATGGCAAATATACACGTTCATGTTCGGTAAAGGAAAAGTAGTCTCCCATGCGGCGATACGAACCCTGGGTCGCATCCGGCCAAAAATAGAGACGTTGCCCCACCTCCGCCCACATTAAACCCTAGGAGGCCCTTGGGCCCTGCATTCAGTCATGTCAAGGTGAGATACACAGGTCCATCTTGACGAGGAACAATGAGTTAATATAGCAATATATGCGAATAATTGCAGATGGATATTCTCTATACAATATACTGATTATTATTTCCAAAAAAAAAAAGAAAGCGCAAATAATACGAGCAACCAACTGCTGTCATCCGTTGTCCGGGCCACGCTTTGTTGACGATCGCGGCCTTGGAACCTTCCCGCCTTTCCACCTGAACCCGTCCACAGGTACCGTCCACGGGTACGATCCATTCCTCATTCCACTTTGTCACTGAACTTTCTCTGGCCGGTCTCATCCCAAACTTGACCGGACCCCAACTGCGCCTCAGCTTGTTTCGTCGGGAAGCGTAAATTACCTGCGATGCAATAATTCTTCTACTCACTCACATTGACCTTTCTCCAACTTTTTATCTCTTCCCTCATTCCCCGAAACCTCGACTTTCTGTCTTCTTACAGGCAGCAATAGTCCCTACATACCAAAGCTTCGGATCAGCGCCACAAGCTTTGGGGGGGGGAAATCCAGCACACATTCACAAATGAGCGACGAGTCAGAATTTCCGATCCCTCCACCTCATCGCTACGCTTACTCGCGACATAACTCTACCATCACTCCGGGCGTCGATAATTTAGGCCCCTCTTCCGTCGGCGGCGGGATCAGTGGCATCGCACTCGGAGTCGCCAACTCCCACGACCGCCTCAGCGGCATCGACGCCGTTCACAACATGAATCATGAAGGCTTCGCCGGTCCTTCCGAGCGCGGATTTCACACCAGCGGCTCGGACAATCCCTACGTTCCACCAGCTGGCTATGGCAGCGCTGACACTCTACATGCTGAGCAGTCGTATGGCTCGAATATGGCTTTAGGTGCCTCGGCCGCGGAGCCGGGCATTCGGTCTCCCGCTCAATCCTCAACACATCTGAGTGATGGATCGAACCGGCGCAGTATGTTGGAGTATCATGCTCCTTATGGGGGTGGACTTGTGGGTGATGGCCCGTATCAGCGACAATCTCAATACAGTCCTCAGGCGGTCATCAATCCGGATGATATCGCTGATGATGGGGATGATGGATTCATGCCGAGATCGAATGCTCCTGTTGCGACTGGTGCGGCGGGTGGTGCGGCTGGTGGTGCGGCGGCGGGCGGGGTTCTGGGAGGTTTGTTTGGAAAGGGTCGGAAAGCGAGCCCGTCTTACGGGCCTGTTCCTGGTGGTGGGTTGGAAAGTGGGGATGGAGAGAAAAGAAGGGCTGGGACCGGGATGTCGCGGAAGAAGCGAGGCCTGCTTGTTGGACTGATTCTTGGCCTCGTCATCCTTGGCGCCATTATTGGCGGTGCCGTTGGAGGAACCATTGGACGTAGGGGCGGCGATGGCGGCGATGGCGGCGATGGCGGCGACGGCGGCGATGGCGGCTCGTCGAGTGACAGTACGGCGGATAATGATACGAAAGAGAACGGCGATCTTGACAAGGACTCGGCTGAGATTCAAGCGCTGATGAACAATACGAATTTGCACAAGGTCTTCCCGGGCATGGATTATACGCCATGGGGGGGTGCAGTATCCGCTTTGTCTGAAGTATCCGCCTTCGCAGAACAATGTTACGCGGGATTTGGCGGTGCTTTCGCAGTTGACTAACACTGTTCGACTCTACGGCACGGACTGCAATCAGACCGAGATGACCCTGCATGCGATTGACAAGTTGGGACTGACCGATATGAAAGTTTGGCTAGGTGTGTGGATCGATACCAACACGACCACAACCAATCGACAGCTCGACCAGCTCTATGACATTCTCGACAAGACAAACGCCTCCATCTTCAAGGGCATTATCGTGGGCAACGAAGCCCTGTACCGAGCTGGCCCTGACATCACAACTGCCGAGAAGAACCTCATCGGCTACATCAACGACGTCCGCTCTGCACTAGAAAAGCGCAGTCTTGACCTGCTTGTCGCAACATCTGACCTCGGAGATAACTGGAATGCCCAGCTCGTCAAAGCAGTCGACGCCGTCATGTCCAATGTGCATCCCTTCTTCGCTGGCGTCAACGTCGACGTAGCAGCAGCTTGGACCTGGGATTTCTGGCAGACCCACGACGTCAACCTGACCGCAGGCACGGATAAGAAACAAATCATCTCGGAAGTCGGCTGGCCCAGCGGTGGTGGAAAAGACTGCGGAGGAAGTCCAGTCTGCAACTCCGACACGCCCGGCTCAGTGGCCAGTATTGATAACATGAACACGTTCATGTCCGACTGGGTCTGCCAGGCTCTAGAAAATGGCACCGACTACTTCTGGTACGTTTCCTTATCTTCATCAGATTCTCACCGATGAATATGCACTAACATTATAAATAGGTTCGAAGCCTTTGACGAGCCGTGGAAAATTCAGTACGATACGCCCGGGAAAGAATGGGAAGACAAATGGGGCCTAATGGATCAAGCACGCAAGATCAAACCTGGTCTCAAGATCCCCTCCTGTGACGGTAAAACCGCTTCCTAATTTCCCTTCTGGGATCTTGATCATGAAAACAACCCGCATGCATATACGTCCTCATTTTATCCCGTCCCTACCTTTTAAGACATTCCTCCTTTTCTCAATTGTTCGACTCCCACATCTCCACCTCGTCCTATCCCTTTGATCTCGTCACTTCCAGTGACAATCCGACATTGTTCTTGCTTTTCTTTCTTTCACTACTTTACGCAAGGCGTTAGTCTGCGGCCCGAGTGAGAGTACTTGAGCCATGCAGTGATCGAATTCTCTGTATAGGATATTGATTTTGGGGGGTTTCTGCGCGTCTCATTTTAGCAGATGGTGTAAATAGTTGTTCCAGGTTTAAATTCTGAATGATTTCTTGCTGCACATATTTTGATGTCTATTTTAAGTACCAGCACTCTTGGGATGAATGATCTCTCGATCCTTCAGATAAATCGGGCCGTTCAAGAAAGTCAACAGATCGATATGAACTACGTATCTACCAAGCCACAGTCACTCAACCACCAGAATACCCACAAGCGCAGAATCTGTTCATATATCGCACTCGAATGTCCAAACAAACACCTAAAGGCACTTGTTATATATATAAGTCCAAGCCAAAGCTAGGACGAGACCATAGATCAGAAAATATAGCAAATCCCCAAACTCCCCAACATGCCAAATGCCAAATGCCAAATGCAATAGATCCCTCTGAAAGTCACTCAGATCACTCCTCCGCCTTCTGGAAATAAAGCCTCATCTTCCAAAACGCATGCTCATTGATCAAGAACGGAACCAATTCCCTCGATTCCACCGTCGACGTATAATTCTGTATAATCTCCGAATCCGCCATCTCCAACGGCCCGCCGAAAACAAGACACGGATTCGAAGGCAAGACCAACTCAAGATGCGTTTTCTCCGCACCGGGGCAGAACAGGAGTGTATTCTGCGTGATGCGCTCGAAATGCAACCGGGTCCTTGACGATCGTTATACCCAGCGATTCGAGAAGTAAACAATCGAGCTCGTTGAAGACGGGATCCTGTGCGTGAGATAGGGAATGAGAATGGGATGCCATCATCCGGACCTGTTTATCGAAGGTTTTATTCAGTTTAGTTTTTGCGTGTAGGTATAGGGTATAGGAAGAAATATGAAACGAACGGGACAATTGTGTCGCAATACTATCCAGCGCTGCGAGCTGATACATCGATACGGTTCGTCGATCAACCCATCCGTCGCGCAGGAACCCACTCGGACTCCCGAGTCCAATGCAGACAATCGCGTCAACGGATCCCTGTACTGCTTCATCCGTGAATGTCTTGCGCTCCCTCTCGCGTATTTGTGAGACGAGAAGTTTTGAGAGCGTCTTCCATGTCTCGGACTCGAGCCAGCGCTCCCGATGCGCCATGTACTGCGTCTGCAAATCGTCGAATGTGAGGCGCGCTGGTGCTTCCGCGGGTCCGAGTGTGGGTTCTTCTTTTGCGCGGGCTTCGCTTGGTACGCGCGATGTGCGCATCACCCGGCGCACATTGTTGCTGCTTGTGACATGGGTCCAGCCGTCGGAGGAGGTTACTTGGAGGCGTTTGTGGGCCGTGGCGGATGGGCGCTTTTGTCGGGATGTGTGTGGCATTTCTCAATGTCGTTAGCGCAGGTAGTCTATATAAATATTGCGAGGGTTTCGTGAGCTTGATCTTCATCTCTCTTTTTTTTTGGGCCCCCGCGGCGGAACTGGGGATCGGGGTTAGTCAGCGGTTTTCCATGGCGGGTCCCCTGTGTCTATGATTCTTATCTGGGGAGATTTGATCTGGGTCTGGATGGTGATGCTCTGGGGGGGAAGGGATCTAGAGATGGGAATGTGAATTTATACGGTCTGGTAGGAGGGATTTATGTTCTTAGATGTTTCTTTGCACCGCATTGCTGTCTTGCTTGGCAGTCCCTCGATTGCAGATATTCACCGAGTCCTACTTCAGCTCCGATAAGATCTACGTAATGGCCTTTCACGGTCTTTGGCAGAGCTATGGCGGAGCTATAGAGGTAGGAATTGCATTTATGATATCGATTCATATGTCTACCGAAATGAGATGAAGTACAAATTCGAATGCTGAAGCTTTCACCTCAAGACCCTAGTGGAGCCATCCCGCACCCAGTCACATCTATAAAAGCCAAACAGGTCCACTGGAGTTTTCCGACAACCTGATCGGTGACACTAACGGCTCTTCCCACAGAAACACCGTTGCTTAGCTGGGATAATTTGCCCATCACACGTCTCAGCACTCTAAGCGCCGAGCAATCCAGAGCCCCTCAAAGCCCAGAAATTTAGCGTCGCCCCCTCAGCGCTTGGAGCTGCAGGCGCCCCACCAATTACGGTACTCAAACAGGGGGAAAGTGACTGCACTTGCAGTAAGCCGTGATGATCCCCGACATCCTTGGTCCACCGAGTGGTCCTTTAGCCAGTCACTGGCTGAGGAACCTGCACTCTCAGTCACATCTGGATCCCACATCCTGACTCGTCCGCATTTGCGATGCCTGCTCTGTTCTCGGTAACCCCCTCAAAAAGAGGCCGAGCCCTCGAAAATTCGTGGCTTGATCTGGTCGAATGCTCCGGATTCAAGATTCTCTTGGTCTCTCTTGATTACCCATTTTTCTTGTATCGTGCCATTTCGGAGATTGACGTTGACCGTCACTCGATGAGAATCAGGGACCGGTTCCTTTAATTTCTACTATCATCCGATTCCTGCGATTTAAACTTGTCGCTGCTCCATTCACACCCAAAATAACACATCTATCATGACTATCCAAACATCGATATCTTCCTGGGTCACCCTCGCGGTTCTACTCTGTGCAAGCCTCACCCATGCCCACACCGTTATCACATACCCTGGCTACCGAGGAAACAATCTGCACACCAACGGCACTGTCGCCGACACAAATGGCCTCGGGGTAGCCTACAACTCCAAGAATGGCTCCCTCTACTACCCCTACGGCATGGAGTGGATCTATCCATGTAAGCAGCCTCTCATCCGTCCCATCAACCCTCGCTAACTTCTCCTAGGCGGCGGAATGCCCACCTCCACCAACCGCACAAAATGGCCCGTAAACGGCGGCGCCCTTGCTGTGCAACCGGGCTGGTTCCCGGGCCATGAGACCGCACTTATCTATGTCAATCTCGGCTTCGGCGAAACTCCAGAGAACATGAGCCATCCCGTCGTCTCCCCATTCCAGATCACCGGTCCGACCAACAATCCCTACCCAGGTACTTTCTGTCTCCCTCAGGTGCCGCTACCGGCCAATATCAGCGTCAAGGCGGGCGATTACGCGACTATTCAGGTCGTGGAGGTGGCTAAGCATGGCGCGGCTCTGTATAACGTATGTCCCGCGGCTCGATTTTCAATATTCATCTTGATACACTGGCTGATTTCAATCTTAGTGTGTCGACATCGTCTTCGCCGATGACCATGACCCTGAAATTCAAGAGGTTACAAGGGACAACTGCTTCAATTCTACCGATCTCAGCTTCCAATATATGTATACCACCTCTGCTATTGGGACGAGTGGTGGGGCGTTGATGAAACCGCGTGGTACAATACTTGCTCTTGTGCCGATTGTGGTTGCTGTGTTCTTTGGCTTGTTGATGTAAACGTTTGATCTGGTTTTTGACTTGCATTTGTGTGCGCCGCGTTATTTTGCAACATACCCTTTCTCTTATGGTCGATTTGCTTAATGAGGTTTATACTTTTAAAATGTTGATTTTTATGGTACCGCATGTTTTGTCTTTGAATAGTGCTTGGGTATCATTTCTGCTGCTCTCGACTCGTCTAATGTGATTTTGACATCAGCGTCAGATCGTTGAAATGTTTGAGGATGTTTGTTCTTTGTCCTCGACATGCCACAGAATAGTGAACGTGGAAATAAATGATCAATCCAAGTAGAGAGACCAGCAGATAAAGTGTAGACGGTACACCTTTGTCCATCAGCGAACTTTACAAGCTATGTACTTATAAACTGAAATTATACCTCGTTAGAGAGTCTTCTATGCAAGACTGTTGGTCAATTCAATGATGGTCCGCGCTACCTCATTCGGAGCCTCCTGAGTAACCCAGTGACCCACTCCATCTAGTAGCCGCAGTATCCGGAAATCAGAGCAGACTGCACCACTGGTCATCTTCTCCAGTGCACCAGGTTCTTGATAGATGCCCCAATCTAGTTTTCCAGACACGAACGCACATGGAGGTTCCATCTTCTTCCCCGCAAAGGTATCATAGTCCTTGGTAAACTGACCACCCGCAGCAGTACGCACCCGGTACCAATTCAGCCCACCTTGAAAACCGGTGCGAGCATACTCAGTCGCGTAGACTGCCAGCTCATTGTCGGGCAGCCATGAGTATGAGGACATGCCCTTGGTCGGCTCGTCAGCCATATCTCTTTCTACAGTCTCAGGCATTGATGCGTCCAGAGGCATGATGTAATATCCAGGCATCTGGACCATCTCCTCGGCAGTCCAACCAGACAATTGATGCGGCTTGTTACCGGGCCAGGAACCACTCTTCAAATGGAAGTATCCACGTAGGAAGCGGTGCAGCTCCTCCGGGGAAAATGACGACATATCTGGACCAGCTTGAGGAGTCGAGTAGTACCACTTATAGTGCTTGCGACCAAGTTTGGCCAAAGCCTCATGAACCCCTGAAGCAGCAGCAGAAGCCTCTGTCCCACCACTCCCACCCCGCGCTACAGCGACAGCCTGTTCCTCAACGCTGCCCTCATTTGCAGTATTGAAAGGCAGATTAGGGCTGCCATTGAATGGGTGGCTCATCAGAACAACACTCTTGAAGAAATCCGGTCGGATCAGAGCACAAGTGGCCGCCGTCATAGCGCCACAATCGTGACCCACTACACATCGAACCGATCGGTGGCCCAGAGCATGCACCAGAACCACCACATCGCGAACCAAATTGGTCATTGAGAAACTATGCAAATCAACATCCTCATACGCTCGATCGTCCCAGCCGACCGTGCGGCCAAACCCACGCTGGTCTGGGGCAACCGCGTGGAAGCCCGCGGCGGCGAGCTGGGGCAGGACTCGACGCCATGAATAGGCGATCTCGGGGAAACCGTGTAACAAGATTACCAAGGGGCGGTCACGATCGGGAGTGGCTCCAGCTTCCAGAATGTGAACGGTGAGATCGGGAGTTGGAACAAGGCGACTTGAGACGCCCTCGGGGAGGGGCAGATGTGAGGGTGAGGCATCCAGGGACATCATTGATACCCCTAGTCCTTGTCCGGAATATTCTGTCGTAAATTTAGTATCAATGGATCTTCATGGATCCTGAACATGTCTTTTATAAAGCAGTGATTCGGGGAAATGATCAGCCTGTTTTTCCAAGGATGGAGCCGTGCCTGACCCAACAGGCAGTCATGACGCAAGTGTTCACCTCCCAAAAACCTTCATTGCTTTCCACTGAATGTAACCTGTTGTGAGGGGAAAAAAAACTGCCTGGGATCCTAGTCTTTTCTACCCCTTACCCTGGCTCACTCGTTCCTGGCCTCGTCGCGTTGTCTCTCTTCCCTCTCCACGACCTCCCTTTTCCCATACACTACGCGTCTACAACTCTTACGTCGGGCCACGACCATCACACATCCGAGTCTTCCGTCTCAATCTCGGATCAACCCCGGCGCTGCGGAGCGCAGTGTGCGGCCGGCTATCCGATTCGCTTTTTGTGAAGCGCTGGAGCCCGAGCAGCTATGTTCGGCCGTCGCAAGAGAAGCTCTTCCCATCACCAGGTAGTACGTACCAAGCTGCCTGAATCTACTCGACGAGTTCCACGAGCCTTGCGATACTCGAATCGAGGTAACCTTCAATGAACGAAAATGCGCTAACGTTGCCTACTCGATGTAGCCGCTACCTACGGCCTCTTCCCAATCAGCGCAGTCCGCCGCCAGCCATGCCTTCCTAAAGTCCCAACCATCGACGAGCAGTCTCTCGTCCGCTGCCGCGGCCGCCGCGCTACGCAATCGCACACCGACTCCAACCTCTGTCGGAAATGTCGAGACAAAGCGGATGGTTCAGCGGAGGGCCTCGAGCCAGGCGCAGGCCGATCCCTTGGCCGGCCGCCGGTCAGCGAGTGTCAGCGGCACACTGCGTCGAACAAGTAGCTCCGGCTCGATGACTGCAAGAAGTTTTCGCGACCCGTCCCCTCGACGCCCATCCACGAGCTCAGGCCCCATTAATCACTCCCTGGTCAATGCACCTCCGCTACCATCCGTTCCTACGCAATATGCGAACGGGAAGCTCCAAAATCGCCGCTCTATGAGCATGCAACCGCAGATGCGAACACCTCCCGCTTCTCCGCCACGCGCAATGGTACGAGGCGTGAGTGCGGACCGAGGTGGGCGAGAAGGGGGGTTCGGCGGTATACTCCGCGCATAATCGACTTAGTAACCTCGGAACGGTACTTGAGACGGATCGACCAAATAGTGGAAGCTCCGTCAATTTCTCACGACCCATCTCTCCACCGGTCATACCCGTTGTGCATGAGAAACCACCCGTGAGTAGGAATGCACCTTTGGGCCGTGCGGTACCTGCATCTGCAGGTTTTGCTCAGCACTCGCTCTCTCAAGGCACGGAGAAATCGTTGAACACAAAGTCTAGAGGCTATGGTGCAGCGAATGCGGAGGGAAACTACGTCATCAAATCAGTTGGCGCCTCGGCTGGCACCGCCGCAGCCGCAGCTAAGGCAGATAGTATTCAAAAGGATAGCCCACGGGCGGAGACAACTCATGCAAGGAGCGAACGGAAAGATTCAGAGCCCCTTGATACCAGCACACGGGATCCACGCTCTGATGACAATGGGCCAATTGCAGTTACTACCCCAGACATTGAGGAGCAACCATCGCGAACCTTTGAACGATGGCCATCGACGGTGTTGGAGGAGAAGGAGCCGGCAGATGAAGTCAGTGCCCCTCGTGTTGAGGAGGCGCGAAACCGATCTGCGACTGCATCACCTACTGTTGACCATGCTGAGACGGTGTCGACTCCTCAGCCGTCTCCGAAGGCGGACAAAGAATCCACGCCGCAGCAATCTGAACATGCACGCCAGCAAAGCAGCCCCGGCCGATCGGCTCATTTCTCCAAATGGCTTTCCGTTTCCGCCGCTGGTGATCAGGTTCATCAGCCTCCTCCTGAGATCAGTGTCACCGGTGAAATCGGCTCTGAAAAGCCAGCGTGGAAACTCCCTATCTCCGGACAGGGGGGCTGGTCATACTGGGCGGCCTGTACACACGAGTGAGCTGTCTGATGGCACTTCGGTGGCTTCAGATGATGGATCTCGACCTGTTCCGAAGAAAAAGTCTGTTAGGGTCAGCTTTGATGACGCGGCCGAGATTGTCGGAGTCGCAGCTAGTCCTCCCACTTCCCCTGAAGAGTACGCGCCGGATTCACCTGTGGGCAACTCCAAGGCTCACAAGAACTGGTTCGGTGTTGGCAAGAAGAAGCAGCCGTCGGACTATGCCACAGGTGATGACGACTTCGACGAAGTTTTGAAGCCTCGGCCGGTTCTGCCATCATTTGGTAGCGTTCGGAAGAAACGAGATGGTACTCCGATCCCTCCAATTCCTCATTTCAGCGACACTGAATCTACCAGCACATCTGGGGATGAGGCTCCAGATCGGGGCGTGGCATTCTCTAACGACCATGCTCTTGAAAGCATGTTTTCTAAGGTCCATCATGCGGAGTTGTCGCAGGTTCATAATCTCAGTTCCGTGGAGCAAACATCTGTCAGTGGCGAGCCTGTCTCTCCTCAGAATCCATCTTCGGAGAACAAATCGAATGGTACAAACTTGGGTGGGATCACTGAAAACCCGCCATTTACTGAAGCGGAGTCTGAGATGGCGGTGCCCTCAATTGCTGTCCAGCCAGCTACTCCCATGCTCGAGAACGACCGGCCCAGCTTTGATCAATCGCGATCAAACCGGTCAAGCCTCGATCAATACCAAATTCCGGGTGGATTCCCGCCCTCAAAGTCAGATCGCGGCCTCAAGTCTGCAGCTGAAGGTGTCAAGCAGCCTATGGCAAGCCCTATCCCCAACTTGGACGATGTTGATACCGACGGTGATTCGGGCGACAGCATTTACAGTGATGCGGAGGAAGACCTCGACGGAGATGGCTTCGGGTCGATCAATGCCATTGTCGACAGTCGAGCAAACTCTAGGTCATCAGTCCCCTTAGACACGATCAGCGAGAGCCGTGACATTACTCCCAAGCCGACTACGAGGACTGCGGCGATCGACAGTCAATCGCAAGATATCACAGAGGCTCCGGAAGAACTTCGCTCCATAACGCCCACGCAGCAAATTGTGAACCGCCAGATGAAAGAGTCTCCTACTGCCGCGGCGTTTCCAGAATCTCCCTCTCCGCCTCCGCCATCCAAGAGTCAAGCTGGATCATCCCGGGGCGGGGCCATTCAATCAGAAACAAGACAGAAACGGACTGTTTCTGTCGATGCTCATGGAAACCCTGGCATACAGGATCGCCGCTCACAGCCTGTCAATGGTGCTGCTCATGGCAAGACGCAGACCCGACCTGTGTCTCTTGGCCCAGCATTTCAGATGAAGAGCCCCGTGGCCGCCTTTCCGAATTCCCTTCGCCGAACAGCCTCGAATGGAAGCGATTCCTCGAGCAGTTTCAAGCGCGTTAGTCCTTCACCCCGCAGTGAGGGCTTCCGCAGTATGCGCCGGACAATGAGAGCGGGGGCCGTCCCTGCTGGTCAAGCCCAGTCTCCAACTCTCCGGGCAGGCTCCCCTGAGGATTACCGACCAATGTCGTCCGGATCTGGCACTGGAAAGATGCGCAAGACCCTACGAAGCCCACCTGATGGAGGCGAGCGAACTTCCTTCTTCTCCACAAATAAGAAAGCGCCTCCTCGTGCAAAGTTTACCAAGCCCCCCTCCAAGTCGAGGAGTGCAACTCGGTTTGCCAATTCGGACGACGAGGACGGACCCCACCCTCGGGTCTTCCGCAGCAGATTTGCCGACTCCAGCGACGAAGAAAAAGGTGATGGTAGCAATCCTGTTATGCGTCCCGTTCGTGGGATTCCCCGCCGCCAGGGCGCTCATGACGGCGACTCGACCGACCTTGAGGATAGCTCTGAAGAAGACCGCCATGCTCAGGCTCAGGCTCCCCGTCAGGGTCGATTGGTGATCCCGCCGCGTGGGGACGCACGGCCACCACGCTCTCGCGATCACAATGCACCGAACATGTCCGGTATGGCGGCCGTGGCTCGACAGCGCGGCATGAGTCAGAGGGAGCTCGAGGCGTTCCTCATGCAGCCTAAAGGAGGAAGCAAGCAAGGTTTCCTCACTCGTATCGGTCTCAAGAAGCCTAAGAATGATCATCGCGGTTACAAGGCCGATGTGGAGAGTGCCTCTCGGAGAGAGACACCACTTGAGCGATCACGCTTGGAGCGCGAGCAATTGCGAGAACCTTACACCAGGGAAACCAGCTACACGGCCACAGTCGAAGCGGAGCCGCCGTCTTCACCATCGGGAAAGCTACACAAGAAGAACAAGCGACACACCCTCGGTGGTGATACCTGGCCGCTCCGTCCCCAAGACGAGCCGCCGGCATCCACACCCGTTCCTGAGCAGGTCCAGAGCGCACCGTCATCGCCACTGCGAACGGAGAAGCCGGCTCCAATCAATGGCGAGCCTCCAGCCACGGCAAGCAGACCTTTGCACGCCGAACCTGGGTTGAACGACGCCAACTCGGAAATCACCCACCTCACCGACCCGGACCAGCCGCGCGCGACGTGGTGATCGCAGGGTCCGGGCGAAAGAAACGATTCCCAATGCTTCGCAAAGCTTTCGGTCTCCGATCTTGATCCCTTTTTCTTTCTCGCGATCGATTCTCTACGTGTTTAATACCTAATTTTGTTCAGTGTTGAGACGTCCAATTGTCTGGTCTTCGGCCCTGATCAAGCGGATCGCGATATTCCACAAGGATCTAATCTCTAATACCTGATTATTCCTTCGAGTCTTGTACCTTATTTCGACTACACTCTTTTATCTACTTCTTCCCTCTCTGGGGCGCGGTGCAGGTCCCATGGAAGCGTGTTTCCGTACCATATACAGTTGATACCCTCGCTTCTTCAATTCGTGTATAATACCTTCATTAATGTGCTTGAGCCTGTTTTGGACCATGTCTTGATAGATGTACTTTTCTTGATCTTTGGGGATTGAACATGGGGACCACAATTGATCGACGTGGAGACCATCCACTCAAAGTTCAGTACAATACAGTATCTACAGTACTTGGTAGATAAGCCGATCAATCACTCATGACGAATTGGCCATGACGAAGAATCCACCGTGGGTAAACAAAAGCACCCTGGGCAGGTCCACAGTCGCAGTCGGTGGAGTCCCGGCAACCAGCCACTTTCCCATCACTCTCAGCTCGCCTGTGCAACCCCCGTGTGCACTGCCCAGCCTCGGTAAGATACGGTCTAGACACCTGCAGACTCGCCCAACCACCTTGGAAGTACCTGGCAGTTCGGGCTCTGGACACATCAATTCAAGTGGAGAGCTGTGCGTTGTCGGTTTCACTGGCTCCACTGTGAGATGGGTCGTAACGAGGAAATACAAGCAGATCTCTAGGAGGCTTCCCACCTAGAGCTGTTTTTGGGAGATGCCCCTCGGTATATATAGAAGGGCGTACCATCCTCGATTTCTCCCCTGGGTTTCCTTGCAGTGAGATCACAAAAGACAAGTGGAGCGATCGGCAGACGCGTCCGATTTGGCCCTGGGGTTGCCATGGTGATCGAACCACCGTTCGTTCAATACGGGGTTACGGGGTTGACGGGGCTGGCCAGCCTCATGTGAAAGACGGAGCGGTGTACTTTGGGTACTATCCGTACTGTACTATCTGCGTACGGAGTCCTTGGGGGAAAAAGAGACCCAACTGATATAGATGGCTGGTATGCGACTCCGCATTCCAGCCATCTGTGATAATCTTTTTTTATTTTTTAATCTTGATTCACCGTACCGAAAAAAAGGTGAAACCCAGGAACAAGTAGGGTTCGAAGGATAAAAAGAGTGAACCAGAAATCAACCTCGGTGATCCGCGCCCCCGATCAGGCAAGGCGCAGTAAACAAACACCGCATGAGATAAATAAACGATGACTGCCAGCTCTCCCCATTCTCCCCTCCTTCTTCCCTTTCCATTCCTCTACTCTACACACATTCCTGACTACCCTGTCACCCACGCGAAAGATTTAGATTTTGATCCATTCCGATCAATTCCTATTTCTTTCCTTCTCTCCGAGAAAGACTTCCCCCAGTCAAGTCTTTTCTTGTCTAGTCTTTCGAGTTGTCTTGAACAGTTCGAAAGGCATTCGAGAAGAGACGTCGGACATCCGTCAATCTGGACTTTGACGCCCGCGTCCCTATCCCCTTCAGTGTCTTCCCGTCGTCGTACCGGAGTGACGCTGTCTCTGAAACTACTCAGACGAGAGTAGAGGGAGAAGTCCAACTCGATCGTACTTCGCGCGTCGAACGGGAAGATACGAAGGGACCCATCCCCGACCCTCGCGTCTACGGAAAGGAAGAAATCGATTTCCGCATCAAGGAAGATCGGTTCCAGATCAAGGAAGATCGCTCCGCTCCTGCTCCGGCTCCTTACCAGCAGCGCGACTACGCAGCCGAGGTTGACCTCACTCGTGAACGGTACGTATTGTGATTTGCACTTGATTTGTTTTTTTGTTTTGATTTTCCCAATTCTCTGCCGAGAGACCGTGGCTGGTCTAGTGAGATGCACTGCTCTCCACTGTGGAGACACTATGGAGCTGCCCATTCGGTGCATGGCCCGCATCCTGGTTTGGAGGCGTCGCGAGTTCGGGCCCGGACTCAATTACCTGAATTACGTGGCACGCCAATCGTCTTGGAAGGATCCACTCACCCCAATGAGCGGTGACGGGGGTTCAGCGTGTTGTTTTTGTTTATATGTTTACACTTTCTCTTCATTTCACTAACGTTCCATCCTTAGCTACCCCAACTATCAAAAGTCTTCGGTTCGTTTCGAAGAACACCCTCCTGTCTACGATCAGACCGTCGAGACCCAACTCGACCTCACTGAGAGAGATTACCGTCGCCGGACCTCTCCCAACCCCAAGTTCGACGTCTCTTACGAACGTCGTTACCAGGAACCCGTGAGCTACGACTACTCTCCGGAAGAGTCAGTTGACATCTCCTACAACCGTTCCTACAAGCCTCAACCCCAGTCCGTCTACCAAGGCGACTACCAAGGCGAAAGCTATCCCCGTCGCGAAGTCGAAGCCGTTCAGTCTTCTGCTCCTCGCTACTACTCTGCTCCCACCGAAGTTAAGACCACTGTCCGTGAAGCACCTCGCAAAATGGGCTACTACGACGACGAAGGCCAGTACCACTCTTTCCGCCGTGGCGTTGAGCGTGCTGCCGACCGCATCATGCACCCCTTCCACCATGGTGAGCGTGAGGAGGCCGCTGAGGGCCCCACCCGCTTCTCTGATGGTGTCCGCGAGAACATTCGCATCGTCGAGCCCCGTGGCGGTGCCAGCGCCGAGACTATCCCTATCCCTTGCCACTATGTCCGTGTCGGTGACATCCTGATCCTTCAGGGTCGTCCCTGCCAGGTCATCCGGATCTCCGTCTCCCCCCAGACCGGCCAGCACCGTTACCTCGGTGTCGACCTGTTCACTCGTGGCCTGCAGGAGGAGTCTAGCTTCATCTCCAACCCCTCTCCCTCCGTGGTCGTCCAGACCATGCTTGGCCCCGTCTACAAGACCTACCGCATCCTCGACCTCCGTGATGACGGTAAGCTCGTCGCCATGACCGAGACCGGCGATGTCAAGCAGGGTCTTCCCGTCATCACTCAGGGTAACCTCTTCAAGCGTATCCGTGATGCCTTTGCTGATGGCCGTGGCTCCGTCCGCGCTCTCGTCATCAACGACGGTGGCCGTGAGCTCGTCGTCGACTTCAAGGTCATCCACGGTTCCCGTCTGTAAATGTTTTAGTGACGTGGATACCCCTGGGTTCAGGTCTTTAAGAATAGTGTGATTTATTATTTCCTTTGTCTTACGATTTCCTTTCCAATGACGGCTTGATTTTTTTTCTTTTTTTGGGCGAGGGTTGAGAATTTGAAATATGACTTGTATGTTGTATGTATGTGTCCTCCTGTACCTAAGCGATAATGCCAATGAATCAGAGCTTGAAAGTGATCTGGACGTATCATGTATTTTGCTTCCTGTAATGTAAGAATTCAATTTCTGCGGGAAAGTGAAAAAAAAAAAATAAGAGCAGATTGCTGCACCTGCAGCTGCCTAGGAACATGAGACGTGGCGTGATGGGTTTCACATCTCGTACTTTGGTTCTACACAGCTGCCCAACTATTACCCCTAGTCCTCCCTCCTTTAGACAGCAATTGGGTCCCCGTACGTGAATATTCCAAGCCCAAAATCGAGAAACCCTCTTTTCCAATGGACGATCGTAGCTGTAGTAACTTTAATATTGCAATTGGCTCGTTCATGGTGCTGTATATCGTTTTTTCTCTTTTCCCGTTCTCTTCTCCCATGCATATGCGCCAGCTCCAGCGTCTACGTCATCTTTTGGGATCGATCGGATCCTTGCCATCGACCGAAACCAATTCCATGAGCTTACGAATCTAGCTAGAATTTGTAGATGATGGGATGGATATTCGGCCTGTTTAAGGTGCAGAGGCCTGGAATAGTATATTATCAACTCAAAATAAACAATATCCTTTCGTAGCCTTGTGTCGATGATATATTACTCCATGAATTTTCATTGTATGGAGAAATTCATTGTGATGATGAGGAGATTGAATTGGTGGGCTTCCCCTTCATCTTTGGTGGAATTCTACTTCGCGTCACTTTCCTTGAAAAAGAGATTGGGAGTAAGTTTTCAGTCGGCTATTTTGGGGAGACACATTAGTAACGAGAAGCTTACCTGATACCTGTTCTGCTTTTCAATGTCGTGACCTGTAAGTTACTGCATCGGGCCAGTTTTATCGTTTTCTTATTTCGCGCCTTGAAAATTCACTGGATACTTCCTTGGGGCTCCCCCGCTTACTTCTTAGCTTTTAGTATAAAGCCATAGTAGAGGGGAACCTGAAATGAAGTGTCTTGATATAAAAATACTTGAATGCATGCCTAACGAAGTCCCGATACAATGACAGGCCAGGACGATAGACTTATGTCTAGAGTCTGAGTCTAGCGGAACGTTGCTGTAAACCTGATTAGCGATGTCTGGTAAAGGAGCTAACGAAGGGTCAATGTAGGTCGGCCTTGATGCCGTAGAAATTCAAGATTGATCTGCATGGTCTCGATCATGTTGTGCGACTATCAGGGACGCGGGGGTCTTCCATGGGTTTTTGATCCTTGGTGGGATGAGAGGGGCAAAAGAAACAGACCCTGTCTGCTGAACAGAGAATTGTGATAGTCCCGTCCAGAGAATAGCTGCTTTAGGGTTAGAATGACGGGGCAATGACTACGCTCTATTCAAGAACCTATGGAGAATTGGATCGGATATATTGCATATGCACATGCAGTAAATGGGCAATTTTTAGTCGGGAACATAGCAGATAGTTATAAATATGGCCCCATCCCGTGCTTCTTGAGCAACTGATGATAACTTCAATCTCACCGGGATCTTTCAATTCTACATTTAACGTCTACGGTCTGGATAAAAGACTGGAGATAATGATATACACAAGAGCAGTGTTGTTCAACCCATGTAACCTATAGAAAACTCCAAATTTAGAGCCTGATTTTCCAAAACACCGCCCAAAACCCATAGGAAACCAGATATGAACACGCGGAATATTCGAAAGCGCATAATCAGTTGACCCTTGGAATGTTTTTTTTTTTCAACCTCGAAAGACATAAATTGGACCAACAGTCAGTCAAACTCATGGTGCAAACACGATATGATTAGCCATTACACATCGATCCCCGAGAAATGAAACCAACCAACGCAACGCCAGTCCGCCAAATAGAAAAAAATTGAATAGACGCCGACACAAATTCTAATGTACAACGGCGGAAAGGGGTATCTTGTAGCAGCCCGAGAATGATAATGATTAGCCGGCAGGATTACCAGGCCGGTGACACGACAAGGCGTAGCTAGCGCTCGCCGAACTTGCCGAACTCCTGCTGCCACTTGAGAAGGTGGCGCGTGAGCACGTCCATCATCTCCACGCTGCTTAATTCATGAAAGTCTTTCTCGTGCGGCTCGTCTTCGGCGGCGGACTCGCCGTCGCTGGGCATAGGCATGGATTGCTCGATCTGCTCGACCATAGATTTTAGAAGCAGGCCTTGTGTGCGGTCGCCGTTGCTGCCTGTTGGCGTGGAAGAGTTCTCGCCGGTAACGGCCATTTCGACTTGCATGCGAGAAATGAATTCAAGAATGGCGGCTACTCGTCGCTTCATCTCGTTCATTGTTGTTCGCTGTGGGTGCATATGTCGTGGCTTGCTTGGGCGTCCTGTGTCTCCGCCGTTCATGTGGGCTCCGTTCATCCCGATATATCCTACTCGTGGTGAATCGGCGCCGATTTCGTGGGAATGGCCACGGCGGGGTGATTCGGTGCCAGTGCCATTGACGTCGCTGCCTTTTGTGTATTGGTTATTTCGGACACGGCCGCCTCGGCGCGCTGGGGGTCGCCCGGATTTGCGCGTCGAGGGGCGAGCAGGCGGCGGCTCTTGTGGTGTTGGGGTATTCGGGCTTGCTTGAGCCGGTTCGAGCTCGATCGGTGCTGTCTTCGTGGGAGATCCAGTTTCTTGCTCGGATTCTAGAAGAGTATAAGTTAATTAAAAGACGTCGATTGTTGTTGAAAGCTTCGGATCTCACCATCTCCTTTGCGCCGGTTCGACCTCTCTTTGCGGCGAATGATAGTCTCTGGGACCTCCGGCTCTACTTCTTCGGGTTCTTGGGGAGGCTCTTTCTCACGCTGGCCTCGGGAATTGGCCCTTTGTCGCCGGGTTCCGTTCGTTGATTTGGACTTAGATTCGTCATCGGACGGAGCTTGCGAGGCTGAGATACCTTGCTTCGATACGGCAGTTGGCGATGGAGAGGTGGTTCGAGGGCGCTTAGAACCTTGTCTGTTTCTGGAGGACAACAATTGTCAGCAAGACAGGGCAGATTGGATTGAACCCAGGAACACTCACGGTTCACTTTCACTTCGACTCCGCTTGGTCCGACGTGTAGTCTCATCGTCGTCCGGAGTTCCGTGCTCATGTTTACTCTCCTCAATGGCTCGCCGAATCAGTTCTTCTTCGTCGTAGGCGGCATCCCGGCTGTTCATAGTCGACCGCCGTTTGGCATTCGCTGCGCCTTCACTTAGACGTTGTTTAGGGTCTTTCGAGCGTCGGGAAGCTTCCCTCGAAGAAGCGCGAGAGGACGGCGCCGGTGATGTGACCGGCGCAACGGGAAGGTAGGTTGAGGAACGCGAGCTGCCGGGCTGTCAGTAAATTCGCCCTCGAAAGAACTTGCACGCGGTGATTGAAAGGAGGAAAATAAAGACAAAGGATTTGCCGCGGCTTTGCCATTGTCTGCGATTTCCGCACAAAACAGAAAAGCGATTCGAGTAGCCATGGGCAGAGCAATCCACCCAGACGACCGGAGCTCAAATCAGACGAACGACCAAGCAAAGCCGCAAGCCAGATGCAAAAATATCTTGGGACTAAGTGTAAGAGGCTCGTCTCTAACTTACCCATTGACTTCATCCCGGATCGTATGCAAATCCTTCCGGCACTCCTCGCAGAAATATTCGTCGGGGCTCGTCTCTTCATCCATGATGCCCACACAACCACCGTGTTGCCAGACCTTACATGAGTCGCATTGAATGAACATGCTCCCGATATCATCGGGCAGCATGTCGGAGGAGTCCGTGGCTGGGTGGCCCTCCAACTTGATGGCACCGCGACTCAGAGCTTCGCGGCGGGAAAGAGGCAAGCCTGGGTATTCCTGCTGTCCACAAATACATCGAGTCACTTCCTCCTCTTCATCATCTTCGGGGTCCTCCTCATCATCCTCGCGAGGAGGTTCGTCATCGTCATCTCGGGCGCGCTGGCGCGTGCGCGTGTGCGGGAGGTCGGCTCTAGAGCCACTTTCGGCGTCTTCAATGGACTGGGAGCGATGTCCCGATGAACCCTGAGGAGAAGGGTTTTTATGATTTGAGCGAGTACTTCTTTCGCGGGTGAGGGAGGCAGAGGAACTAGAGGAGTGGGTGTGTTGGAGGAGGACAGGAGAGGGCTGGGTGGTGCGAGCTCGCGAGGAGCGACGAGGCGACATGGTGGATCGGCGGAAAACGGTAGGTATGGTGAGATATAGAGGTATAGATTGGATTTGAAAGAATCACAGAGAATTCACAAAGAATTCACAGAGATTCAACCAGGATCTCGAGCAGGAGTAACAGTGCTGAGCAAGGCACCTCGAGCAGAACCGGTTGCGAAGGAGCTCCACGCGATTGAGAGCTCCTCGAAGAAAGAGGCGGACGATTGGAAATCGCAGATGGAACTGTAGCAAGGCGTCAACAGGCTCGAGGAAGAGCCCGATGACTACATAGTCAGGAGTGCAGGAATTGGCGGGGGCAGAGGAGAAGAGAAGGAGAAAAGCGCCGGAACGGGACTCCAAAAGTCCAGTCGCCCGTCCTTCCCCGCTCTGACGCCTCTCGACGCGAGCCTTTTTACATCTTTCTATCTTTGCCCGTCTTCCATCTTGTTATGAGACCTGTGTGAAATCATTTTCTCTATTGCTACGATTATTCTCTGCCGTAATTCTATTGTCGAACATTGCCGGTGGCGTTCCAGATCCTTTCCTCATTCTTGCTTGCCTACGTTCGCCCCCTTCACCGGCACGGCAACCGTTTTGCCTGATAGCCATCATTTCTGTGGAAAAAAAAAGAAAACCTCAAAGTCTCCTTATATCGGATTGATTATCTCCGAGACGCAAGATCCGGACGTAGGCCGCAAGGGCAACCGGGTGAGCTCGAGGTGGGGACGGCTCAAGCTGCACGGTGGATTGGGGAGGAGTCCTGCGAGAAGCTGCTGCGTATTATCAGTTGGTTAATTGTTCACGTCTGCAGCTCCTTCAAGGGCCATGCGCGTGAGTCTCCGCGGTTGAGGGCGCTTCAGCACAATGCGATCGGCCTCGCTATGTCATGGTGTCGACTGCCAGTCTCTCGCTTTCGGCCATCAACGTGTAAGATTCGATATTCCATGACGAAAGAGCGCGAGGGTGGCACAGGGGACCGACAGGACTTGTTCCAATCTCTTGCGCCGGGCAGTCTCACGCAAGGCACTGGGCTAGCCTTTGAACCAGCCATGCAGGTACAGCGACTCCAAGTCCTTTCCTCACTTCGTAGCCCAACGTCATCCAACGAAATTCAACTTCAAAGCACGTAGGTATCGCGATCCCAGCTCATGTGAAGTACTTTCCGGATCGACTTCCCCTCTGCTGACACCCCGCTGTTCGGCAGCGTCCAGGAAGCGGGAGCACAGCAGATAGACCGGTCAAAACAGAGCAATCCGAGAAAAGCGAGTGAAGGCAAATACAGCACATAGACACCGTTCCGGTTTGTTTGCTCCTGTCAAATAGCAGACACGTAATGGTAGAGCCCTGGGAAGCCGGTTGGGTGCCCAGATGACCCAAAGAGGTTAGCGTGAAAGTGTTCCGAATTCCCGTGACTCGCTGGCATTTCGCTTCACATCTTAACCCCTCCGCATCATCTTGTCCCGTTGGCTTGTTCGGGCTTTTGGGTGTTCGAGCTGGGATTTCTCATCTTTGCTCTGGGTCCTCTCCACAACCTTATTATTTCTTATTTTCTTCGTGCTAAATAGTTGCATTTGTTGTGGGTACGTGCACCATCCTCCCTGTGGAACACCGAGGTAGCTTGGTCAGGGCCCGAGAAGGCACTAAGACCCTACCGACCTCACTACTATCCTCCGATGCCTGAAAACTCGCGCCTGGCTGTTTTGTCTCGATGTTCGCTGACCATGCTTTGGGTCCCAGTATTCTCCGAACCCGCGTTGCTCCCCAATACTTGAATCAGATCTCCGTGTTGCTGGCTCAATCTCTACAATATCAGCGGAGGGGGGGATTACTGATCAGAAAGGAAGTGGGCTGGCTTCAACTCATCCATATAGCTGTATAGCTGTGGTTGAGGGCGAGTGTGAACTTGCATGATGACTGCCACATTGAGTACGTCCATTCGCACACCCCAAGGGGCCCTTCGTCCTCGGAAGGTTCTACAAGGCTCCAGCCTCATGAGCACAATGGTCTGCTACTTGTTCGGTTACTGACGTGGAATGCACTCGTTCAGACGGGACGTTCAACTCGGCCCCTGACACACCTTCTCTCGTCTACCCCGATCGTCTCATCCGACCGCTCCCTAAACGTACCCTGCGCTCTCGTCTGTCCACTGACGCCGCCGAAGATATCCACTATCCACCAACGCCCCCGGCGTCGCAGATATTCTACGGTGTCTCCGGAGACTCGGAGGAGGTGGTGACCCACTCCAAAGCCTACGTGCGGCAGACCATCGAGACGGATAGACACGAGCTAACCCCGGAGGCGGACCAAGAGTTCGAGACCGCGGTGGAACTGGATAGTGGGGATGAAGACGGACCGGTAGTCGTACGCCGGAGTGCTGGGTTTCGAGGTTCTCTCTCGCCGAGTTCACAACCCCAGGTGTTTGCTGGTAGAGACGGTGCAAAGTCCTCGGCTGGTCCGGACGGGTATGACGCTTTTGAAAACACAAATAACAAAAAGAAACGGAAGATTCCCACGCCCGGGAATATGAACGGCCATCATTCTGCTCTGTCACCGGAGTTTGCGAGCATGGGATTGGCCAACTCGAATCCTCCAGTCAGCGATGGCAGTACTGGCACTTATTATGGAAGTGGAAACCCTGCTTCACCGTTGGGAAGTGGCATATCGGGATCTGGTAGAGGGCGTTTGGGCCGGAGTACACGCAGTAACAGCGGGAGAAATCCGTTGTCCGCGAATGCTCAGAATGCTTGGATGAATACGCGAGCACCAAGTCGGCGAGATCTGTCGTCTCCAGGACCTGGTAAGTCTTGCAATGGGGCATTGGTTCGTTGCCAGTGCCTCTGCTCTAGTAGACACGGACAAGTGCTTACTTGTTATCAGGCGAATCATCTGACCAAGGTATCATTTCGACTGCGATTGCAAACGCGGCCACCCTGTCGTCTCCAACCCGAGGTCCCAGCAATGTGAGCTTGCTTGACCAGGAGAACCACACCACCCCTACCAAGACCCAGTTCACATTTACCTGCGAGTCCGATTCCTCAAAAGGAATGGCAATGCAGCGTAATTATTCTCTTCCTCACCGTTCACCTACTTCTCCACTTGCCCCGACTTCTTCCAACCCTCATGGTTACTCCACAGGAACACAGACGAGCCCAAACATGTCTCAGATGCATGGGCAGACCTCACCGAGTACTCAGCCCCCACCTGCAGGAGAACAGGGCTCTGTTGGTCGCAAGAAGAAGCGATCCCCAGGCAGTATTTATGCTTTGGCAGCGCGTCAACGCAAAATCCAACAGCAATACACAAACATTCACCACCCCCCAGCACTGGAAGACATCTGGATCTGCGAGTTTTGTGAATACGAGAGTATCTTCGGCCACCCGCCGGAAGCTCTCATTCGCCAGTATGAGATCAAAGATCGGAAGGAGCGCAAGCGTCTAGCCGAGAAAAAGCGTCTTCTCGAAAAGGCCAAGATGAAGGGCCGCAAGACCAAGAAGGCGCCCAAAAACGCGAAGAATGCGTCACAGCACTCCTATCAACAAGGTTATGATCGAGCCTCGGTCGATCACTCCTCCGCGGCCGGTTCAGGCCTCCATGACGACGAATACAGCCACGAGTACGACGACGATGAGCTGGGATCCATCCCCGGCCCGGACGCTGCATCCCCGTCTGAGCTTAAACCCCCACTCCCTCCCCCGGCCAATATTGCCAGACCGGTACCGGCAGGAGATGCGACAGAAGCTGGGACGAGTCGGCCGGCCTGACAATTCATCTGATTGCGATCAGCTTCCTTGTCGTGTCTCTGTGGGTTTTGGTCGAATTCAGACTGGGCGTCACGAAGTTTTGCCTCTGGAATTCCCTTCTCAAGCATATTGAATAGGCGGATTCATTCAGCGGGGTTCTATACGTGGGTATTCATGTAATTGTAACGACAGAAAGTCATGTAGGGCAATGTGCATATGTGCAATAATCTCTCTAATCTTGTAGATCTTTCCCAGCTAGTCTTAGCAACAGCGAGCTCTGGACCTGAAAATACAGTCCAATCAGCTTGTGAATACCCTGCATCGAAGACAACCAAATTAGCATTAGACTCTTGGCTGATTTATTGGCTCGTGGCTGTCCAAAAGAACACGACTAGATGAAACAACAATCCCCTTCATTAGCGCGCGCGACATGAAGGGCCAGACCACGCCGACACTCGCGCCTCGTGGCATCACAAGTTACCACCTGTACATGTGTTTATTTTAGTCTGAACTTCTGTGGCGTGTTTCATTTTTCTTTGACCGCTGAGAAACCTTTGGAGGAGCGAAGAGGAGGAACAACCAACATGGCGGACTTCGTAGGGCGAACCGCCAGCACTCACAGAATGTACGGGAACGTAGTTTCAAGCTGGCCTGGGCGCAAGTAGAAAATAGTAACAATCGACCTTTGTATGCAGCCTGATCCGGATGGTCATGTTGAGTCGAGTTGTATAAAGCTTCAAGGACAGAGCATTGGAACCAGAGATCAGAAACCACCAACGATCTTTTTGTCTTCTATCTTTTTGTTTCCTTTCTATCTTTCTTTACTCAAACTCAGCCTTTCTTTGTGCCTGCGTCATCCTGGTTGATGACCCCGTCGGAATAGACTTTCATTGTTTCTATTCACTATTCTCTCTTCATTATACACTCTTCACTTTTCACTACTCGTTTTGGTCTGGCCAGGCTGCCTCCTCGACTATACTGTTGGTTCCTCGCAACACAATACATACGCCTCCTACATCTGGTTCTACATACATCGACGATCTCTTATTACTTCACGCATTGTCTCTTGTTTGAACGCTTCACTTACATTTCTCGTCCTGCATCTTCATCCTCATCTACACCTACATCTACATCTACATCTACATCTACATTCATTCAAGCGACGGGCCAACTACCACCATGTCCTTCATCGCAGTCAAACTTCTCAAACTTGGCTTCTCCGAGGCCAAGAAGCACCGCGCCAAAAAACAAGCCCAACAATTCCAGGATCCTTCCGTCTACCCCGAATACCCCCAACCCTACCCAATGACCGAATACCCCCGGGTGTCGCCCCAGGCTCCAATGTCTCCTACCAACCTCCCTCAGAGCCCATCAGCAAAGGCTCCAAAGTAATGGGCATGGTCATCTCCGCCCTCCGCTTCTTCCAATTCGTCTTCGGTCTCGCAGTGATAGGCCTCTACGGCCAAGACGTGCACCATGACAAAGCCAAGGATACCTGGCACGCCAGATGGGTCTTCGCGCTCATCGTCGGCTTCCTAGCAACTAGCACTGCGGCTATTTATATGATTGTTCCGTTCCTGACGAAGAAGGTCAATTATAGACCTAGCGCGAAATTGCAGCTGCCGCGCTTTGCTTGGGAGTTTGTGCTTTGTGTGCTTTGGTTGACGCTTTTCGGTATCTTTGGGAAGCTATACATTGGGATTTATGTTTCGGACTCGAGTTCGGAATCGGGTAAGAGGGACACGACTACATCTTCGACTACCACTACAAGCGAGTTGGGAGATGCGAGCAAAATTAATCGCATGCGACACGCGGTGTGGGTTGATCTAACTAATCTGGTGTTCTGGGCTGTTACTGCTTCTTGGGCTTTGCTGAAGTGGTTGAAGGCGAGACGGGAAAATGGACCGGTTGTTTTTGATGCTGAGAAGGAGGCTGGGAGTATCTGAGGGGCTTTAGACTGCAGGTTGATCCTGTTCATAAGCTGCTTGAGGCGGGATGGGTGTGGAAAAGAAGATCTGGTTGCATATTGGTCGCTTTCTTTTAATCGATATTTGCCGCCGGTACTGGTGCAAATTCGGACTGGCGTTTTGTCTGTATCGAATACTTTCGGGTCTTAGAACCGATCTTGCATGTCTGAATATTATGGCGTTTGGGACATTTTCACGGCAGCGAAGCCACTTCTATGCCCCAATACAGTAGAATTCGAAAACAGTTTAGCCCCCGACACTCACGCTTTGTTTCTCGGTCCGTACCCGAAACCACGCTAATCCGTATTGGGTTGTTAAAACAACGCATGCCTAGCCCTATCGCGGTATAAAATGTACTGGGGTTTCGTCTCTAATGAGTCATTGCAGGGTACCGTATAGGCCCATGGAATGTTCCAGGCATCTCGAAGGGGTGGGGGGAGATCTGGCGATCTGGCTTTCTCCATGCCCACTCGCCTTTCATGCCTCGTATCGCCTTCAATTATCTACTTCTTACATGACAGCAGTTGTATTGCTTTTGTAGAAGACTAATACCGATAGGCTAATCTAGTTCACATTTAGAACATCTTGAGGTGGCAAAGAGATGAACATGATGACTCTTAGAGTCGCCTCCTCGTGAATTATATTCTGCGCACATTTTCCGATCGAGAAGCGAAGGCCATTGGCAAGAGTAATATACACGGGCAGAGATGACGCTTTAAGCTCGTGGGAAGACCTCTTCGATCATTTTTGGAGAATTACCAACAAACATGTGGTATTTTTGTCTTTCCAATGGATCTAGTCTGCTTGAACGGCCTCCTGAATCCAATCAAGATAAGCCGCGGTGCTAGCATAAACACCATCATGGCTGTGTTTTCCACATCCAAAGCCCCACGAAACAACTCCAACCTGCTTCTTAGTGCTAGAATCAACAAGTGGACCACCGCTGTCTCCCTGGCAGGCATCCTTTCCTCCAAATTTGACACCGGCACAGATCATGGAGTCATCAACTTGATGGCGATCCACATATTCCTCTACGCATTTCTCGTGGTCAACAATGTTGACGTACGCGACCAAGAGGTTTGCAGGAATAGAGCCTCCTCCAGCGGAGGTACTCCCCCAGCCAGTGACAGAGCACCTGGTCCCCACCTGCGGCGTATCGTCCGCCGAGGATGGAAGTTCCACAGCCGAGATAGTAGACCCAAATTCCAGGCTCGAGGCCAACTTGAGAACAGCGATGTCATTTTTAATTGTTTTCGCGTCGAATTCCGAGTGTTGCGTGACTTTAGCCACCTTGACCAGCTTCCCACCCGAGGCGTGCTGGTTTGAACCCGCCCGAATCCTCAGGCGATCTGCGGATAGCCCATCCACGCAGTGAGCGGCAGTTAGGATGTGATCTTTATCGATGATAGATCCACCGCATTTGTGGGAGCTGGTTTGAAGAGAAACTTGGTAAGGGAATTCTCCTTTTGCGGCCTGAGTTCCACCGATAATGGCTTCCTCAGCAATCGCTGATCCTGCGATGGATAGCAGGGCGATGGAAAGGGAGAGTCTCATAATTGACAATTTGTAGTAAACGAGAGGTTAAACGATCGCAGGACGAGAACATCGTGACAGCGGAATATTTGAATGCGTCAACATCGGGTCCCCTAAAGTAAACAATAATTTGTGATCTGCAAAACTTCAAAACTTTGGCGCACAGTGTCTTAGATTGATTGATTTTCAGTTCGGCGCAGCTCATTCTTCACGCTAAGATTGGGGGTAAGATCCTCACAACCAATAGTATCTATGATCTTCTATACGACGGTGCATCGAGATCAAGACACAATACACCGATTTTGGCGCTATTGGTGCCCTACTGTACGGTTCGCCGATCTGAAATCTCTTGTGTTGATGATCAACATTCCAGATCCGCAGGCTGACCCACTCCGAGCTGAACCGAGCCCCTGACTAGGAATATCGACTCTCTGCGTACAAGAACAAATTCCGTAGCGCATCGTGGAAAAGTTATTGCAATCGCTGATTCATGGTGATAGAGAATGAGAATCAACGTAATTCGATCACAATTGGTATTTACTACTTCGTCTACTTCGTAGCGTCAGAAGATGATATCTAGGTACGGAGTCCGCAGTAGAGGTCACTTAAAGAACTGCCCCTCTTGAGAGAAAGATCCAGCCAAGCCCCAGAGGTCAGCAAAGAATGTGTGCATGGTGATCTGCCACCAGTATTTTGCGTACATAACACTAGTGATCGCCTACAAACTGTAGTTTTGGTTCGACGCATATCGCATCGCGCCACATAAATGTCCCAGTAATATCATGGACAGGCATGCTCGGGAAAAGCCTCAGGATCTGGATATTTCTGCGAATCAGCTGCAACCAGAGTCTGAGCAGTATCCACAGTGAATGGCTCGTATACTCTGACAGGACTGGCAGAGACTAAGGAGACCGGCGAGCTATCTATGCCAGCACGCTTCACGTTCGCGCATCAGAAGCATCAGTATTGACCCTCCAGGCCCTCGATTATAAAGCCAATGCATTCTCACCAGTTGCAATATCATGGTCTGTTTTACCCCTTGAAACGGAGACAGGAGGAATGTAATGAACGACAAGGTACTCGTTGATGATGCTAGCCTGCGCTCCATTCGGAATCGATAAAGAGAAAGCGTCAACAATCTTTCCGGCACAATAATGGTAGCAATCTCGGAGTTCGGCCATGTCAATCTCAAGAAGGATGCAGCCATATATTCTAGCAGTTCATTGATATATAGCGGTGCTAAGATAGATGTTAGGGTATGGAGGTGCACAAAACCGAGTGTATAGAAGTTCCTCGTAAAGTACGTTTACACGTGATGCGGTCGTTGTAGAATGAAGGATTATCTATTCTTAAAGAATGACTATTTGCGCAATATTCATAAATGGATTAGCGTGGTCTTGGGTACGAACCGAGAAAACAAAGTGTGTGTGCCTCAGTAGTCTGTTTTGGAAGTCTACTGTAGAAGCTTCTCGTATTGGAGATATGACTCATGGGGTCGTACGAAGCAGCACAGTCTAGATCAAGTAGAGCCATCGGAAGCCAGCATATGGCTTATGTCACTTTCGTGCAGCTCGAGGCGTCAGAGGCTCTAAGCGTTAGCGCCAGCATTGAAAGAAAAGAAGCCGCCCACATTGCAACACCCCTCCCAGAGGACACCAATTTTTCTTGAAACCCCCCACACTCACCGCTACAATTCGAAAAATGGAGAAACTCTCCATTTTGTGCTTTGGCGACTCCCTCACTTCAGGTTATCATCGCTACGGACTCGAGTATCACTCATACGCGATCAAACTTACGGCTTTCCTCGAAGCTGAATTCCCAACCACCAAAATCCACCTCGAGGTGGACGGGCTTCCGGGCGATGAGGTGATACACCCTGCAGGCGAATTCTTGCCTCGGATACGAGATCAATGTGCGAACACACAATTTGACTGGATAATCATACTCGGGGGAACCAAGTAAGCTCATTCGTCTTCGTAGACGAGTTCCGTGTGTTGGCTAAAGAAATGATCTTCTTTCTAAGTGACTTGGGAGTCGGACACAGAGTCGACCAGATCTACCACGCCTTAGAAGACTGCTGGAATGTGGCGCTTTCAAGTGGCGCAAAGGTTCTCGCTATGACGGTACCTGAATGTGCGGCCAAAGTTGACAGCCTGGATAAAAAACGGAATACTCTAAACTCTCACATTCTGAGACGCGAGTCTGAGCAACTGTGAGTCTATCGGACATGTTATTTCTCGGGAAAGTTCACTAATTTGGCATAGCCGTGTCATTGATTTACATAGCAAGATCCCCTATCATTCTGCCACGGAGGCCTTCCAGAGGGAGATGTTTGATGATGGATTGCATCTTACCGCCATGGGATATGACTTGATGGGTACCGTTGTGGGAGAGCGCCTGGTGAACTTGATCAAAGAGGAACAGGGTCTGAAGGGTGAAACCTAAGCCAAGATTTAGCCCTGGAGAATGCAGCGAATAGAAGTTCGCAAATAATGGTAGAAGCTTGCAAAGTTTCACAGATGAGATTTCTTCAGTAATGTTGCGACCCAAATCTTTTTGTGGAACTCGTTTTCCTCAGCAAGTAATGTTCCAGTAGAGCGAGCTACGGCCTACAACTCGGTACTATTATGGGAAATTCACAAGGAGCTAATGAGTTAACGCCAAGGATGATAGCTTCAGATCAATAACCCGCATACTTAGAAGGAAGTATCGGCCCAAGAACTGTCCTATCCCAGCATGTTCCAGCATGCCGTACCTGGCCATCCCCCACTTGAGTTTTATCCCCCCACCACATTCGGCCGTTCTGGTCTGTCTTCCAATCATCGATGAGATCCACCAGTGTCTGCAGATGCCCCAGAGCGGCAGGTTGATAGCCTCTCGGTCGCTTGAGAGCCAGATATGTTGCGAAAGCGGACACTAGGACGGCTAGTACGGCGTATAATATCAACCGGGGATATACCATATCAAACTGGAGTCCGTACTTGAACGGCGAGTCTTCGACAGAGGCGGAAAGAAGTGACTCGACTTTTTTAGTGTCTTCAAGGGTAACGGAGGGAATCAGGCTCTGACCAATAATCCAATGCAGCAACGCTTTGGCTATGAATAGAACAGTATTCTCCCAGCTCGATGCGGCTGCACGGAACGGGTTAGTGGCCAATTGCGCACCAGAGGCCTCCCTTGTTTCACTGTAAGCTTGTCGCCAAATGCCTTCATCTCTGGACAAATTGACGACGAGTTCCAAGCAGTGCAACGCAACGGTCTGAATAGCCTGGACGAGGCAGACAAAGAGAACACAAAGTACAGCCTCGGTACCGTACGAAAACGATGCAGAATTCGGATTGTGGTCATTCGCATACGGGGACAAAGAAAGCGTCACGTAGTTCCGATAGCACGCCAAAGCGTTTTGATTCCATTCAAATCCAACTCTCCAGCAAGAAGGCTGAGAGCTTTGGCCGGCAGCACTGGCGTTGCCGATAGACTTGGAGATACTCGCGATGGCGATAGGCCACGCAATAGCCAGAAGAGCTACTGACCACAGCAACGCGAGAATGTATCTTACTATCACTTGAACTTGGAACATATTTCCTTGCCGCCTTGTAGGATATGTCTCTTGGCTTGACACGTGCCTCTGGTGAATTGATAGCATACACCTTCCGGGACGTTGAGCGATTTCGCCTTTTTGCATCACGGCCAACGCGGTGTTGAGCGGATTCGAGCTCCAGGTTGGAATCCACTTGTGACTGGAGGCTATGCACCAAGCGGCGATGACGGCTTGACCGGCGACACCTACACCCAGCGCTACTAGAGCGGTGGCGTTAATCAGGAGTGGTAGTTGGTCTTCGCTCTCAGAGCGGGGAACTGCTTGATCGGATAGCAGCAGAACAGAGGACGAGGCATATGATAGCATCAAACAAGCTAGGGCTACCAGGTTTACGTACCATCTGTTCGGGCCAAACTTTTTGGAGCTGGTGAACAGGCGGATATTGGTGTTGAATTCCAGGCGTTCCTCGTGATACAACGCCCATCGTAGCGAGACGGAATGCGCGAACATTATACCATCAGTGCAGAGTGCCAGTATGATATTGATTGCAAGGGCCATGGCTTCCCGCCCAAAAGTGGAGATAGGAACCAAAGCCCCCAGTGTTGCCCGGTTTGTTCTGAGGAGGTAAACGCCGGCTATCAAGCAAAGAAGGGAGAGAATCCCGCCGATCGATACGGCGGCAATACATCCTAATCTTGTAGCGTTCGCCGTGTCATAATCTGGTCCCTCTTTGCCATCTTCGTGTATTGATTGCTCAATGAATGGTTGATTTTGCTCCTCGGGATGCTCAATTCCCCTGAGTCTCGAACACAGGTTTGGTCGGTCCATGTCGAAAATACATTGAGCCGAGAAAGAAAGGTCCCTCATGAACTCGGTCAAAAGTCTGCCCGCAGGAAGGAGCCATATTAATACACCTGGAAGGATTGTGATCCCCTTCACATGAGCGCCCGGGGGCAAGAAGCACTGCCTTCATGTCCAGCCTCAATTGTACCGCACTTGCATGCGCACGTTCCCAAGATCCCCACACCATGCACCAATCCATGACTCAAATTTTGGGGGTCAATTTGGGGGCCAAGATGGTTTCTAGACCCTCTTGACACAAAATGGCACCAAACAATGGACATGGGATCCAAGATATGGGACGGACCTGACTGCCCTGCCGCCTCCAACTGTAGCAATGCGTCGAAGACGGGGATTTTAGCCGAGCGAAGAAACCTCTGATATTTAATCCCTGAAACGACAAGGTAAATAATACGCGGAAGAACCCACGAGTCCTTTTTATCCGACTAGAATGTCACAGAGCTCTCACAAGCTTGAATATCTAAGCCCTGCCCATCTCTCAATCTATCTCGTCCAAGGTCATTTAGAAGTCCCCGCCAGCACAAGCTGTATATTCATTTCACTCCCGGCGCTATGTGGACAATCTCTTGCTGAACAGACTGGCAGTGATCATACTAACGTTGGATGCGTCATAGCTTTGAAACGAGGAGGTAAATACTCATATTACCTTAATAACAGTGGGAATCAGCCGCATGACCTTGAAAATGGAGATTAGGATTTGCAATATGCCTCTTCCCATTGTCCCACTGTCGACGTCAAGCTGCGCTTTCAGCCCTCCTCCCGTCTATCATTTCAACAATAAAATGGGAATCTCGTCACAGCAGCTATCGTAACCTCCCAGACTGTTTCAGCTATTGGAATGGTACAGGGCCGCCCGCCGTCACTTTTTTTGTCTGAAGCATAGAGAGGCTCTTCCAAATATCAGTATAGCGAAAATATTATGTTTTGTAGCCAGCCAGATGTTAAAAACTAAACTCCTAAAATAACGGGAAGATAAGGGGCCCTCGAATTAAAGACTGAAGGATTCAATGTAGAGCCAGAAACTAAAACTTTTTTGACCAGGCAATCTGTCAACAACTCTTCCCTGCATCTTGCAGTTGGTATCTGTAGAGAGCCTGTGGCTTTTCTGGAAGTCCATCCAAGGCCAAGTTGGCAAGGCTTGACATCAAGGCTATCTCATCAACACAGCCACTGCTTACAGCATGGTTGTTTCATGCTTTTTGAATCTCGCTGGGCAGAAATTACTGGCTAGCCCCAAAAAGTGCCACGTCATGAGGTGGGATTTCACAGACTTAAAAGCACCGAACATCGAGGCAAAAGTTTCGGACGTTCTTATAAATTGCTACTATGCACCTAAGCAATTTTCCCCACGTTGATTCTAAGCCACACAAGTTTGACAATGAAACCGTTCAATTTCATCGGCCTCGAGGACATACGGCCTTCCCGTCTAAATCTTCGTTGCTCTCTGAAGCCCATCCATCCGAGAATGGCGACCAGTCATCTTAGAATCCTGGATGATCGAGCACGAGACTTCAAAGTGAGCTCGGATGGTTTGCTAAATGCACGGAAGTTGGCCACGGGCGACGAAGATCTCGTGGTTGTGCTTATCGAGCCTACCGATAAGGCTGAACAAGTGTCTTATACAGAGATGTTAGCTGCCTCACCAACACTGCTTTACGTGAATGAAACCTTGCAACTTGCGTCCGGTGGTCAAAGAGACATGGAAAATACTATTATCTTGAATATTCGGGCTTTTCGAAGTAACTCTTTTCGAAGTAGCCAAAGTCTAGATGATCGGATTTGTGACGACGAGTTAGCGTACAACAAATTCGAGCAGATCATGAGTATCTTACGTCCTCGTGTCGCTGTCGTCTGCCAATGCGCGACAAACAAAGCGAACAACACTTTCGTGCGAGATATTTGTTCGTCTATCGAAGACGCCGGAGACATATATCTTCAAAAGCTTCCAAACGGCCACGAATGCCTATTCGTATAAAGTTTCCATCCAATGTATTATGGAAGATCGGGAGACTGTGCCCTAAAGAGGCTCATGCGTGAGTATTTATTCGATGCCACCTTCATTATCGCATTAAATGCGCTGGCTGGGGATAGGATATCTGGTGTGGGTGTTAAGAATATCAGAAAGTGGGCGCAAGATGGACCCGCCGTTATCATTGCACCCGAAGGAGGCTATGTCTCCTATCAGTGGATTAGCGGGCGGAATGTTGCGTCAGGCAAACTGTTGGAGCGTTTGCGATCCATGGGGCGATTGCAATCTACCATGCAGCCTCTTGTATGTTTCTCTCCACATTATGATGCCCCTCAAGCTGATGATACTATAGGATGAAGTTGATCGGGTTCTGGCCAGATATAAGGAATCTAAATGGAGCTCTCCTTCACTGTCCAATTCAACGTTGAAAAGGGACATATTGGAAGAACTCAGTGGAGACATTAATCCGTTACCACCAAAGCAACCTCTACCTTGTTGGTAACGATTGGACATCATCTGAAACCTGATTGTGTTCACACATTATAGAACAAGATTGTATGGATTGACTTCGATGTTACGACAATTTCTAGTCATATAGGTCCCCGTGAGAGGGTATCCCGCGAATATGATACTGAATCTGTCAGGAACTTTGGAAAGCTTTTTCGTTTGTCTAACGTCCTTGCCGTAGATATTCTAATCTAACAAGTATCAAATACAGAGCGAAGACCAGACACAAGGCCCCCAATACTAGATAACATTGATTCGAGGGGCTCGAAGGACAAGACAAACTGGCACGATATTAGATCATGAAAGGGATATTACGCAATCTGTCTCATGGCACTTCTTGCACACGCCCCACTTTCTGGAATGGCGGCCACCCGCACTTTCTCTTTCTTTATATCTGCATGTCGGAAATAGCCTTTAGCACTCTGCTTTGTCGTCCTGATTTCACGTACGCACCACCGAAGGAAGACATAAAACTCTTGATTGAGATCAATCTCATGAATTGGTCAAGTGCTTGGGGAAGCTGCTCAATAAAAGATATGAAGAAGGCACCCTCACTCGACCCTCTGAGATACGACGCAACGTGACTCCATCTTATGCACAGGCCTACAGTATCTGGTAGCACTGACTTTGACGATAATCAAAAACGTACAGTAGTTTTCGAATCCAGTTTGACCTCACACTCTTTGGACTTAATTCCCGGAAAATAAATCCTAAATATGCGAGTTCTGATTGGATATTTTATTATTACCGTCCATACAGTACAGGACGATACAAGTTTAAGGGGGTCTTGGACGGCCTAACCCAATCTAGACTAAGGCGTTTCGGGATAGGGTTCGAAAAACAATCTGAGAGTATTCGCGGGGGAATCTGTTTTCGAATATGGCAGTATTTATTTTATTTGCAGAATTAAGCGTGTTGTTGTTAGCAATACATTCTACCTGCAAGAGCCCTTGCGTTTCGACAGATGAAAGAAAGCTCACTTCCCTATATTGACCCGGTGTATGAATATGACATACTTGCTATAGTTATTCTTTGCAGTACTGGCTAACATCGGCTTAATTTATGCCCAAAGTACCTTTTCACGTGCCCACAGGCTGTCTTGAGGGAAGATAACCGCAACGGTAACCTTGTTACCAAAGTGCCCTTCTCGTTGTGGCCCATGCAAAATTTTAAGGCCCCGACGAATTTCCCAGCGAGGTGCCAATTGGTCATTGTCGTCCTTGTGAGGATTAGCTTCTAGGGGGACCGAGAACCCTTCCATAGGAGAAGATTCCAAATCATGAAGGCCGGATCCTTTTAGATGTAACAGGGCCATCATCTGCGGAATAGTGGCAACAATGCCATTCTTCTCCTTTGCTTGATCATGTTGGATTCCTAGAGCGTGCCTCCAACCATCACCGATATCCCAAGGAACTTTGAACATTTTCCCTCTCCGAGTCGTGCCAACAGTAGTGATTAGAGCTGGGGCCGCATAGTCCTGTCCTCCCGTCTCAATACATCTTATTTTGTCGCCTCTTTGTACGAGCTTGATGATTGAAGACACCCCTCCCTGCATGATCTGAAGGACCTGCTTGGGGACATCCTTCATCATTGCAAGCGGCTCAAGAATTAAAGCCAATTCTTCTTGAGGTTTTAGTGAAACTCTCAAGAGCGTGGCGACGCCATAATAACTCTCACCATAAGTCAGGACGGTCATGTATTCAGAAGTGCCGCGGTACTTGGTTATATCGAACAATTGGCTCTCAAGACTAGCCAAAGTAGCAGAGTCTTCAGAGTTAGATGCATTTCGTCCGGCCCAGGCGTAGATGTTGCGAGTTTTCGCACGATAGAGACTGATCCACTCTGTAGGGTGAAACCAGCCATGGATAATCCCAAAGAACCCCTCGAGCCCGCCACCGCCAACTCCAGCATCCACATTGATTTTGGCGTTATCCCACCTTTCTTGATGATTATCAACGACTTCTTGCACAATATTCCGGGATTCAGGAAGCTGGTACGGTACAAGGGCATCCCAGCCGGCGAAGAATGGTTGGCCTGTCTGAGCGTCCCAGTCCGGCTCCTCCTCTTCCGTTTCGATCAGACCGACTCGATCGAACCTCATAGCTGTCCGAAGTGAAACTTCTGCTCTTCCAGCCAGTTTAGCTGTATCATGTTTGGGGGCAGCAGAAGTTCTCTCGTGGACTCGTCCCGGCCTAGGAAGCGCGGCTAGACCGCTGAGATGAGCATACTCATTATTGAAGGCATCGGGGTCGGAAATTTCGAGTACGAGATCACAGATGCCATCTTGCATATCTTCTTGCTCTTCGGCCTCGTGTGACTCTTGACTTTTCAAATTATTCCATAGCTCAACGATCCCTTCGGATCTGTTAACAGAGTCAAAGAGGGTTCTGAAAAATGTGGGGTCAGCCATTCGGAGTTATCGTTCCGAAAGATGTTGGCAATTTCTCGTTGCGTCTCGAAACTCAAAGATTGTGGTGGTATGCCTCACTGTCGTTAGAAGAAAGAATTATAATGCGCTTCGCGGAGTACTTTAGCAGGTCTGGCTGTGTTTACAATAAGTGGTGGTTGCCAGAAATAAAAAAAGAGACATGAGAAATAATCGAGTGAAGGCGGGGCACCGGGATGACCATGTAATCTAGATATTCTTACGCGAAAGACCCCGCCTTGCGAACAGAGTGCAAACCGTAGATGTGGGCTGAAACCTAATCTATTCCTCGTTTCCAATCTTTTGTTGACTTTACTGGCTCGGGGGACGACGGAACCGACTAAACATAAAATGCCATACTATACTATAGACCAGACCACCTTGCGGTCTGGTCTAGTCTAGTCTGCCTGATTCGTCCGTTAGCTACGCGCCACTTTCCCATAGACCCAGCGAACGACGGCCTTATACTCTAGTAGCGGCGGGGTCGAACTCATCCCATTCATTTCCTACCCCTTATGAGGATTCATGGGGGTTGAAATATGGACTCATGGGTTCGGCCGTTACTCGGATGTTACAGATCCGGAGGAGGCAAGATACGCGTGATCCGAAGAGGGGGATATTGGAAGATGATTGTATGCAGGGTTTCTATCGGTATTCTATCCGTAGTTGAAAGGCGTCAACGAATCAATGGAAATTTCCCTTGTTTGACACATGACTCCCAGTAGTTCAGAGCGGGTGTCTTCAGCCAGATCCACTAGTGATCAGTCATCGACAACCTCTGCCGAATGCCATAAGAAAACGAGATCACCTAATACGGCGGCGCTGACTACTCTGCAGGCTTGCAGGATCTAGACTCTCCACGCTGTCCAAATCGTGGAAAAGAAATGGAAGGAGCGCGCGAGCCGATTTATCTCCCTCCAGTCATGCCCCACTGCCTGAGGCAGATGACGCAATCCCCACCAGTATGTCTGCTTCGGGATGGGGATTTTCAAGCGATCCAGATTTTGAGAGAACATGGACAAGAGTCAGGCAGTTCTTCGCATAGCATTACTCAGGCCAGCAACCTTGCGTCTGGGTTGTCTGACGTTATCGTCATTCTCGAGCGCCCTCGCATTGTCGAGTCACATTCCCCCAACCAAAGCTTTGATGGCTTTGTGAACGGCTGTGACTCTTTGAAAGTGGTGGACGAGCTACTGCGCTTTGCTAGTCGAGGGACTCGGAACATTGGTACCGTTACTGTCATTAATGCATTCTCATTGCAGCCTGAAAGGAATGCCGAGGCAGACCTCAGGTGTGAAGAAATTCTTGCACGGTTTCTGCAGGTGAAGAGACCCCAGGTGATCATTCATTGCACAAACTCGGTCTATGAGAGTTCGTGGATGAGCTGATTCAACTTCAGGGGAAAACCTTACAGAATACAGAGCGACCAAATCGAAATTGTGAAGGGGCACACCGCTATCGTGATACCTTCTTTTCATCCGTCCCATGCCGTCAACTACTTGAAGTACCGACTGGAGCTACGAGTTTTACTCATGTATCACTTCGCCTTGGCCTTCTACTCATTAGGCGATAGAACGGCTATCCCGTGTTGCGCAACAAGAATACAGGATCTATGCTTCTACCAGGGAGAAAGAAAAGAAGACAAATCTCCCCTCAGTGACTGGGACTTAGCATCATGCATATCAGATAAAATCAACAAATCTTATCTGCATTGTGGAAAAGACGTCGTGCCACTCTCAATGGGCGTCTTTGCCGACGAAGATCTTTCGGACAAAATCAACAGAGAATCCGACACATTTGATTCCTTAAGTTTTTGGCTTACCCTCCTTCTCGAGAAGCCGCAGAAATTTGAACTTTTTGGAATTGCATCTGCCAGGTTCCTATTGCAGAGAGCGAGGGTGAATTTGAACCCCGTCTATTCGAGAATCTCCTCGGCGTTGCTTGACCTGGTAACAGAGCAGGATCATTAGTTCTTCAAAACAGAAGACACCGATGTGGCTGATCTAGAAGAGAAGTTTTCAGCAGTTACCCTCCATGTTGACCCGCAAATATTGGGTGTCATCGATGCAAATCGCAAAGCCTGCGTTTCCGTTGAGAAGACTTTAGGTCTTGTTGAGCGCGGCCAAGTTATTGATTTTCGCGTTAAAACACCTCATCACTACTTTGCCGTTGTTTCGCAAATTGTTCTCCTGGCTGAGTATCTGGCTAGTTCGCAAAGAATTACTATTTCTACAGCGTTGCGCACGGAAGCGCTGTCAAAACGCTGTTGGGTCATTAATGACATGTCACGGAAACAGAGCGAAGAGGAGGGGCAGCTACCATATACCAAAATAATTTATCACGTCAAACGTTTGTTAGAATGTCTCAGAAATTTGAGGATGGAGCTTGAAGCTATGCTTGAATAGATAGCTTAGGCAATTTGCAGCGAGGAAGAAACGGGGAAATATATCCGGAATGGAGCGAGACTGCTCCAGTTCCCAATCCATAAGATTCCCGCCGCTCACTTTCGCCTCGTAATCTCTTTTTCACTAATGTTTTAAATATGCTAGCTGCCCATTTATTCTCTGGACCCGCCCTCCGGAGGTTGCCTTTGAAAGGTGGGGGCATCGAGATATCTGATGTAGTTAATACAAAACGAAGACACAATACACAGCCAACTGACAGGTAGCCCAGCAAATCCCAACGTGGACTAGTGTATCATGGTGCTGGGCACAGACAATCATTGGACGAGTGAAGGTTGGAGCAACAGTTTTGGGACACACTGTATCCTGGATATGTAAATTAAATGCAACTCTTCAGTGCTGTGTTTGAATTCTGTGTCATAATATCTAAGGCCACGCCATCTAATTGATCAGTGATTTCACAGAAGAATGTTTTCAGGGTACAGCGTAAAATACAAATCTTCTTGGGACCTATGTGAAAATAAGGTCTATATATAGTATAAAGTGTGAGGGAGAATCTTCGTTTCGAGAAAGGGTTGGCTTTCATGCTCAGATGGTTCAAGGTTATTTCGAAGCACTCGACTGCAGTGACACTAAAGAATTCTTACTGTCCATCTTCAAAATTAGCCACCCTGCTGCCATGAGTCCCTTCATTGCATGAAACTTCCCAAAACCTCACGTACCCAAAAGGAGTCTTTAGAACTAGACCCGTATCTACACTCAGCAATTGCCCGACGACAGTCACAAACGGGCTGTTCCTAATGTTGTAGGACCCTGGTCACTCCACTCTCGAGATCACTTCCCAGAATGGCATCTTTACCCACGATACGGCCACAGATACTAGATAACGTAATTTACATTTAACGGCTATATCTCCGTGCCCCGCTCTTCACTTTCCTAATCTCTACTCACTCTACAGGGTGACCAAGAAACAAAGGTCGGTCTCCACTATTATTCTGCTGGCATTTTGTAAATACCCAATGTATTCAACATGTATTGATACCCTATGTTTCTGGCTAACGCTAGTGAAGGAAGAAAGTGATTCGTCACAGAGTAATTTTGTAAGGCGGTATGGTAATGTTAGAAAAAGGCGGTGATGAAACCGACCTTCGTTTCTTGGTCATCCTGTAGAGACGGAATGACAGAGTCTGAACAATTTGCTTTCCCTTGACGAAAAATGCCTCGCAGTGGCGACCGCGACATCCTTGAAGTCGAGCAGATGGTCGCAGAGGAGGCCCAAGCCAATACAAGGCAACTGGAATCAAAGAGAACAAAATTATTCGTTCTCACAGGTTCTGGGATACTTCAATTACCAATATGGGGTACGTCTGATCTCATGTCTGCAACGCCACACTACTGACCTACCGACGTCAGGGTTTGCTATGAGCTACGGTGTATTTCAGGAATACTACTTTGACAATTGGACATTTGAAGGAGACCCTAGCATCACTGGTGTCATTGGCACGACCGCTAACGGTGTCATGTATCTGTCCATGCCCTTCCTATTCGCATTATTCGCCAGACGATGGGCTCATCGGCGCCAAATTGCTGCTCTCTGTGGAACAGCCATCGCATGCATCAGTTTCTTCCTATCCTCTTACAGCACCACTGTCTGGCACTTGCTTGCGACGCAAGGTGTCACATCTGCAGTGGGCTGTGCTCTCATCTACAGTCCAATCACGCTTTCTCTTGGCGAGTGGTATGCTACCAGCAACCGTACTTTGGCATACGGAATCGTTCTGTCTTGCAAGAATATCGTTGGAACTAGCTGCCCATTCTTACTCCGGGCTTTGATTGATACGTACGGCTACCAGACCACCCTAAGAGCCTGGTCCGCGATTGTTGGTGGATTGAGTATCTTCGCTATCTTCTTGATACCAACCCATCCATCGAAAATCTCAATGTGCAGAACTCGGGCACGCACAATCCCGTGGTATTTTCTCAGACACCGTTCCATCTACTTTTACAGCATTGCCATTATTTTCCAAAGCTCTGGCTATGGCATTCCGCAAACATATTTAAGCACCTACGCCCGTGAAATCGCTTCATTGTCGCAAACCTCAAGTACTTTGATGCTCGTTCTCTTCAATGCCCCCGGAATTATTGCTTCTTCCTTCTTTGGATGGTTGAGCGACAATAAGCGGTTTAAGCTCTCAGCCCAGACTGTTTCCGCGATCCCACCTGTTTGTTGCGCCCTGGCTACTTTTATCTTCTGGGGCTTAACCACACAAGGCGCCATTGGCCTACTCCTCGTCTTTTCTATGACGTTCGGGTTCTTCTCCAGTGGTTATAGCGCTACGTGGGGAGGGATGCTCAAACAAATGGAGCGAGAATCTGCGGAGAGAAATGAAGCTGTAGACCCGGGAATGCTCTATGGTCTGCTAAATGGCGTCAGGGGCATTGGTTACGCGAGTGGCGGCATTGCTAGCGTGGGACTTTTGAATGCTGGAACGATCCTGGACAACCATCGCTTCGCCCTTGGAACCTCATACGGGCCACTTATTCTCTTCACAGGGCTTTCTTCGCTCCTTGGAGGATGGGTAGTTCTATGGAAGTGGAATCCAAAAAGGATTTTGCCATTGATAGTGAGGTGAAAGCTAAGGCGCGCTGGCACAATTGACTTTGTCCCATCACCTTGCTGATATGAGACCATCTGTATTTTGAAAACCATTCAGAGTTATTGGATGATTTTTGACTTTGCTATCAGCCAAACCTTTGCTTTCCATTTGCCTGATATGTTGAGCCTTTCATTCTCATTGCCTGCCTTCTCCCCAAGCTTTCTTGTGATTGTTGATCTGCAGGTTTCAATTTATGATTAGCGCTGGCTGCTTTCAATCTGATGATATTGTCGATTCGAACGTATCTGGTACTGCTCAGAGTCCAACGCCGTCAGCCCTCTCGGGCATACCTGGAGCGGTATAATAAATGATAAATCTTGTTCGGGCCTTATCGAACTGGTGCACGGGTAAGTAGTAGCCCGCATCAATGATCTGGATGAAATCGAAAATTAAACTCGGAGTTTACCCGCCCATTCCGATCACGCCAGCTGCAAGAGCGCAGAAATTGTGTATTCACTTGAACATGTGGAAAGTGTTAGTACTTATATTTAATGGGCGATTCTGCGTGATGCCATGAATCATTTGGTATCGTACCGACGACCGGTCGATTGTAGGACGTTTAGTACCATAATAGTTTTGCCGTAACTGCAGAGCGGTGATCTGACATGGGGTTAAGTAATTCAGTAGTGTATCTCTCTCCTTCGACACCTTGCGATCATGGTCAGCGAACAAAGCCAATATTGAGCGTTCGTCTTTTTTCAAAGTCATAAAACCCCAAAATCAACAATGACTGACCTCGAACCCGTTCATTTCTTCGACCTCTTCTCTACTCAACCAGGTATATTGGCTCCGGGACTCAAGTTTCAAACCCATTGATACCCCGCACCCCAGACTAACGCAAAATGTCCCAGGCGCCTCGAAATCATGGTCCCACAACACTCTGAAGATACGAGCAGTGCTAAATTTCAAGGGTATACCCTATACTCAAAGCTGGATCTCATACCCGGACATCAAGCCACTTCTCACTAGCCTGGGCGTGCCGCCCAACAAGCAGGGCAGACCATACACTCTGCCAGCAATCATTCACAAGCCCTCAGTGACTTCGAATCCAAAGGGAGCCATGATGGATTCACTTCAAATCGCCCTGCACCTGGATAGGGTGTTCCCGTCCCCACCGCTGTTCCCATCCGGTGACGCCAGCTACACATTGGCAGTCGCTGTAGGCACATTGGTGAATCTTTTGGAGCCTGGGTTCCGGCCATTTATCATCCCGCGTGTGGCGGATTACTTGGATCCTCGTGGAAAGGAGTACTTCCACGAGACACGATCTGCGGCCCTTGGAAAGCCTTTGTCAGAGGTGCGACCCACCGATGAGGACACAATTGACAAGTTGTGGAAGTTGATTGAGACAGAGTCTGAGACATTGATTACAATTCTGAAAGGAAGGAAGGGAAAAAAAGGTCCGTTCTTCGAAGCCGAAAAGCCTGGATTTGCAGATTTGATATATGCTTGTGAATTGGCATTCATCGAGCGCTTCGATAAGGAGCTCTTTGAGAAGATCATGGGTCTAGGAGATGGAGAAAACAGGAAGCTTTATAAGGCTTGCTTAACTTGGCTGGAGGGCCAAGGTGAGGACATCGAGTGGCCGGTCCCACGGTCTGTCTGAATCCTTTATTAAGTGGCTTCTTTAGCACTGTAGTAGGTAGCCAAAGCCCAAATCCGTACTTATAATAGATAACGCTTTATTCTATCGTTCTGACCGAATGAGGTAACTATATTCGGATATAGGTATTATATTATTGTATCTGCCGCCTTATTCGCCGGATTTCAACCCCATCGAGGAGTCCTTTGCCGAACTCAAGGTGCAGATCAAGAAAGCTTGGTCAGCATACGAAGAGAATCCCGATCAGGGGGGTTCTAAACCTTCCTGCGGCGGTGTGTTCCACATCTTAGTGCGAAAAGTGGAAGTGCTGAAGGCCATTTTCGATGTATGGGTATAACGGTAGAATAATATGAGTGATCGCCTTATGAAATAGGCATATGCCAGATTATGTTGTTTCGAAGGCTCTCAAATCAGTAATATTTCGTGTTCCGGGGAAGTCCTTGTCTCTGATCCTCGTCCTGAATCTTTTAGTATATGACTTTCAAAGAAAGGAAAATGGACGGGCCAAAAGTTTTCCAAAACTCTTCACGAGTTCGATTTCATATTCGCAATAAGCCTTTTCATGAGGACTCATATTGCCGAAAGTTATCGCAACATCAAAATCAATCCTTATAATCTTGCCACCCGAAACAATTATGTTCTTTGGGTAAATATCGCGGTGGTGGATAAAGGCATTATGAATCTCTTGTAAGCCTTGAATGGCACAGCGAACCAGGTCTTGCGAATAGTTCACACAGTTCAGACTTTCAGCATACAGTAGGTTTTCAAGAAGAATAGCCCGTGGCCTAAGCTGATCTTTGCTGAAATGTTGAAGCGGTGGGCGGAAGGCAAACGGGTCGAGCCGATCGACGTAGCCGTAAATTGTGGGAACAAAACCGCGATTGCATACGCCGAATTTATGGAGGTTTTCATAGGCTTTCAGTTCGCAGCGAAAGCGATTTAAGTCTCGACCTTTTTTTAGTGTACCCTGGATCACCATTGTCGTGAAACTGGCCCGTCAGCGTCATCCTAGAGATTCCGTATCGTACTCACAAGCTTCAAAACGATCGTCTTCCCAAACAGCTCTGCTTTGTATATCGAGGAAGCTTCGGAGTGATTCAACTCCTGTTTGATGGTAATATCTGAGGGAACAAGGTCCAATGCAGGGACATCTTGTGAGTGCATGGTCATTATGCGGCCTATACTATAAGGTCGGAGGATTAGATGAAGTCGAACAGCGCCCCTTAGATGATGTGAAGTATATGATTATGTTATCATGTTTTCCCGCAATTATGACCCCAAACCACGGTATGACGCCTGTGATACAGTACTTACAATACGTTCCCCTGCGCAAAGTGAACATCAAATGACTACCTAACTACTTCTCAATTACCTCTGTATTGCCCTTCTAACGATACTAATGCGGGAGACTACTCCCGGATAAAATACCACCAATCCTTAATACGATGCGGATGATTTTACTCACATTGCCTCGTGGCCACAGTTTAATTATGCTGCTGTGATCGACCGGTCTGGGCAGCTGTTGAATTCGAGATTGATTACAGCGATCCATTTACCTCTCCACCCGCCCCACTCCGAGACGAATCCACTTTCCATCTTCGTTTCTCTGACCTAGAAATAACACGGATTGGACGCGCCCTTCGAGCTGGCTTCGACCAACTTGCTGCCGCGCTCGCGGCTCAGAGGCTCTCGGAAGTCACAATAGATGGAGGAGGATCTGCGAATGTCATTAATTAGTACAGGCCAGATACTGCATTTATCGTGGTTGGTGCTAGTCTGCCAAGCCTCTTTGTTCTAGACTTACGTACCTTCCGTACAGGTATGAGTTTTAAAGAGTCAGTTATTACAATGTAATGCCAGAACAATTTATTTACGTATTAATCTTATTCAGCCTATCTGATCATGTGATTGGGGTTCAAAAGACCCTCTCATATACCTTGGTTATGGAAGGCGATAATGGTCGCTACTGTACAGCTGTCAGTAGACAGATACCCCGATACCGACTAGAAGCACTTGAGTGGACAAAACGTTTCTAGTAACATGTGGACCACGGGACGAAAGTAAGTTGCGAGAACTGGCTGTATTTACTTCTTTCATGACTTTGAGCTTTCTTTTTCTTTGTCGCACTTCACCAAATATGGCGATAGACTCGAGTGGACTTGAAGAGTGGACTTGAAGTTCTCTTTCATGGAAATCTCTTTCAGCCTGTGTTCCAAATTTAGACAACCGTCAGATACTCGGCCATGGCAGCATTATAGATAGCTGCTGGTGTTCAGCCTGGGCTTTCTCATCTATATTTGCCAAATTTTTAAATTTTTGCTCAACAGAGAGGCATTTTTTTCACTCAGACATGTCCCATACCAATCAGCGGAAGAGACGCCGCCTCTCTCTGCAACATGAGTACATACGCAATTTGTACACCTTCGAAACTCTTATACGTCGCCCGAGGCAGCAAAGCACAAAGAAGTCTAAAAACACTACTGTGTACCTTCCCCCCGAGATATGCGAGCTAGTAAGGACTTTTTTATGTTATGCAAGACAAGAACTAAATCTCGCTCAATAGATTGTTCAATATGTACGGAAAGAGAGTTTTTCAGACGATGGATACTTCTATATGGAGGATGATTCAAGGCATTTCAAAAGCTTTGGAAGTGCGAAACAAAGTCTTGCGGCTCTGCGCCTCGTGAATAGGACTTTTTGCCGTTGCGCATCACCCTGGCTTTTCCGACACATTGATGCCAGGCATAGAAACCAGGCGGATATGTTAGCTCTAGAACGGCTCAAGAAGATATCACAGAGCAGGTATGCCAAATACGTGCGCCAAATTGATATTGGATTTACTCCGGACATCGTGTATGCTGGTGACACCCAGGAGGACTGCGTAATATACGTAGAAGATCTCCAGGGATTGATCAGAAGCTATCTAGCGCGATTCCCCTGCATCAAAGCACTCGAATTCCATGAGCCACCACCTGCTATGCACAAAGACTACATAGCAATCTATATACGCACCGTTGTATCAACCATGCGTTATATGCCGTTTCCCAGGTTGGAAGAACTGGATATCAAATTCCCCTTTGACAATGATTTCATGTTCTTCGATCCAGATCAGCAGTACTTTGAGACGAACTCTTTACGGACTCCCATCTCCAAGGTGCTGAAACGGCTCCGTCATCTCAGTCTGCATTCGTGTGTGTATTCAGGTGTGTCGGAAGCGGAAGAATTACCCCATTCGAATACACCGGAGTATGCTACTCTCCCGAACTCCATTTATTCCAGCGAAATGTTCAACATGATCGACCAGACCTGGTCACTTGAGTCACTCACTGTATCGTCTCGAAATATTGTGAAAATCACTGAAGTGCCCACTTTGCACCTATCTAAAATTCGAAGTCTCCATTTCGAAGGACTCGCCGTTTCGCCTGATGATCTCCTTGGCCTGATGGATCGATGTCAAGATACGATGAGATACATCAATTTGTTCAATGTCAAACTGATAGAAAAGACATGGTATTATGCGCTATTGAGAATGTGCAAATTATCCAATCTTCTCGACATTCAGATGGAACATTGTGGATATTATTCGCTAGGAGAAAGTGCCCATCTGGGGCACGATATTCCAGATGAAAACATCTTTCAGCAGATTGAAACGAATAGTCAGTATGACAGAACCGCTCTGGGTACTTTGCAGAGGCAAGTTAATAAGAATCGAGTCGCGGTTGGGTACAAGCCGTTCTCACATGAGAGATATCACTGGTGTCCCGAACTACCTACTGGGCTTGAACGGGATCCGTATGAGCGATCGGACAATGAATACTCGTGCGATGATATGTCAGACGATGAATACCCGGAACACGATGTCGAGGTCAAGATTGAACCCGATCGTTAGTGGCATGGGTCGTCTAGCTATTCTGGACTACTGTCGTGTACCATACGAAGGGTTTTTGGTCCTGTATCTTGCTGTTTGGCTCATGTTCTCATGTTGAGCTCGTCGAGGGATGATCGTGCCAAGAAGTGTATGTAATTACGGATTTTTATCTAGTGGAGATGGTACAAGTTTGCATAGTCATGGACGAGAGAGCTCAAATTAGAAGCTTGGTAGATCAAGTCGTTTTCTTCACTGCAAGCTCTCAATTCGACTCCGCGTACTCCGATAAGATAGCCTCACGCGAGCTATGAGCCAGAGTCGGAATATCAGAGTCCCAACTATCTTTCCAGGTCTCCCGGGTCGGGCTTTGCTCCAACGCAAGAGCCACTTGCCTCGCTTGCTCAATTTCAGCAAGCATCCCAATCTGGTACTCCATCTGATCTGCGAAATCCTGTCTGAACTCGCGCTCAACGAGCCGTCTCTCCGAAGGCTGTTCATATAGAGTCGGTTTCTCGAGAATCATCCAGTCGAAGAGGTAGTGTTGCTCTGGTAAACGGTACCAAGCGTGTTCAGCGAGGAGCCAGGGGCGGACGGGGAGAGGGATTCGACCCTTCACAGGCTTGGGGTTTTCGATTATATCGAGAAGGTCATTTACCATGCTCCTAGGCATGGGGACGCGCTTGGCGTTGATCAGGCCGGGTATCTCCCCGCTTCTAGCGGTTTCGAGGAAGATGCCTGGCAAGGTATCGGTGCTTGAGATAGATTCCATGGGGGTGCCGGGAAAGGCATCAGAGAAACTGAAGTCCGTGGGTTCAGCATGCTGTTTGGGCTTCTCCTGAAGGGGATCTCGACAAACCGTTTGAATCCCTTGGGGAAGAATGGGGTCTTGCTTGTCTGCGATTTCGAGAACAGCAGGGCTGATCTCAGGGTTCTTAAGGGGTGGGTACGCTCCGTGAGACTTGTTGCTGGCGACGCGGCTAGCCTGCTGGGTCTTGTAATGATAGGATCGACTGATTCTTCGTCTGCCCAGCTGTCCTCTGGCTCGACTCCGGCGTGAATCTCTGCATGCGACAGCTCGTGGGGAGACATGAGGTCGGCGTTCAACAGTGGGTCAATTGGGTCGTCGAGCCTAGCTGGATGTGAGCTCACCAGTCGCTGGTTCAGAGGTGGGTTGGCCTTGGGAATAGCTGGTTGTGATGATTTGCGGCGATTGAATACCGATCGACGACGCGGGCCTCGGCCTGGGCGACTAGAGTTCGTTTGGGGCTTCTTCGACGTCTTGCCGCCTGCTGAGTTGCGTCTCACATTTAGTTCAGTCGAGCCTGGGTTAGGAGGGGTTGAGGGATTGAGGGTGACGCTTTCACCGTCAGGTTTCTCCAGAAGAAGACGAGCTGATTTTGGCACGTCGCCTTGCACACTCTGGGGCTTTTTCAGGATTGGAGGGAGCGGGCTCTTTGAGCGAGTAGCCGACTGAGACTTGGATGAAGTGTGTCGTATGGGTCGTGGAGCTGTTAGGAGCCCTGGAGAAGGTAGCGCGGGCTCAGATGATGGGTGGACCTGCATGGGAAGTTAATGTTGATGGAAGGGGACGTGAAGGGAGGGGGGAAAAGGATGGAAAGGTCGAAGAAGGATACAGGGAGACTGACATGCGGTTTGATCGTTTCACTGGAGGACATAATCCGTGACACCAAACGATCCAGAGACTCGATGCTGGCGTCGTCCTGAAGGGTCTCGCTACTCCATATTCTCCAGAACAAATACTCGAGTCGACGATCAGTCTGAGTGTTGCTGGCCTGCCGTGAGACATAAAAAGCTACATTCAAAGCTGCTTTAGCACATTCCTGGAGTTGGCCACGCCCCGACATGAATATTGAATACCTTGCCAGAAACTCTTGATTGCTGTGACGTCCAGTTTTCCTCGTCCCAGTAGCTCGCTGGGGGACTGGGACATCGTCAACAGTCCAGAGGGAACCTTTGGCTCCATGTTGAGAGATGTATGCAATGCAGTGCAATGTGTCAATGGAGAAGAAAGAAATAGCAAAGTCAATCAAAGAGATGTTCCCTTCCAAGGATTGTCAACGGCTCCGGCCCAGGCATCAACCTTGTAGAGACCTCCGGGCAAATTTCTGAAAATTGGCCAACACGGCTTTTTTTGTCGAGAAAATTTATGAAATCTGTCACAAAGCAACTGCTCCAAATTAATCAGTGTGACAGGTCTTTGAATATGTGGCAAGCAAGAATCTCAGATGATTCAATATCAAACGAGCCAGCAGACGTGTGGGGTAACATGTGCAGATGATTCTAGAATGCATCTGCATGATCTGAATATGTTTCTGCATGCTTCTAGCAGATCGTATTGAGTGCTGACATGCAGTCGGATGCCGGGGGAAATGGACAAAACGGACTGGAGATCAAGCAAAGAAACTTACAAGTGCTGTCTTTCATGGAGCTATGACATTGGACCAGTCAGCGGAACTGGCAGGGCTTATCGTGTCATGTATAGACTCACACGCGGCCTTTCAATAGCAATTATGAAAGCGACAGGGGAGGAGTTCCATCTTTGTATTTGGTTGAAGAAGCGTCAGATCGCTATCATCTTTCGGGACAGTCGGGACGGGCCGGGATTGGGCTGATTTTATTCTGGTCTGGAGCCCTTCAACAGCAGACCAGTCATTTAACCTGGACATGACTTCGCTGAAGTTGGCTAGCTCCATGACAAATGATTCAGCCCCGTCATCATCGCATTCCACGGTTCCGATTCGTCGCCCCTTGCGACCTGGGGCCACGCAGCCCTATCGGCTGCCACCCGGGCGACCCAGTTGCTGTACGATGAGGTGGTTGACTCTTGGGACTAACCTAGGATCTATCTTTTCAGAAGCTAGAGATCTACCTCACTCGCCTATGCGGGAGATACCACCAGGGTGCTTCAGGGTGCATTTCAGTGGACCTTCAAATCAAGCTACGCACTGAGTCAACGACGATGCATGTTTCCGGTTTATGGTGATAGAGGGTCGAATCAAATCGATGAGAAAGGGCACGGAGGAATGTCAAGAATTTCTGTAGACGCAAGCTCGTCTCCACTAGGCCGCATTTGTCGAACGCGAAGCTCAACCCCTGGATATCCCCATATGCCCCGCATTGGGTTCCACAGGAGTCTCCACCACTTGGGATGTCAGCTATGCGGAGAAGAAAGACAGGTTTCAAATTTTCGGGGCCTTTGAATCTGTCTTTATCTCTAGGGGTGATAAGCTGTCCCCGGTTCGTTCTGAAGAAGGAAGCTTAGCAACTTATAAATCATCTTCTTTGCCAAATCTGAGTCTGCCATCTCATAGGAGACCCTCCGTCCGATGCTATTCGTGCTCATTGCTATGGCAGGTAAGCCGAAAGCTGCCGAGTTCGTCTGTTCCGGTCTCAGCAGGCCGATGTCAGCCGCTGCAAACCCATCCAAGGACACCGAGACGGTATCGCAATCTTACGAGCTCTTCATGATGATGGCACTCTGTCAAGAATCAACCATGGGACACACCGTATAGGGTCACCTGTGGATTCAAGATTTTCTTCGTACCTCGTAACATCAGGTTCCGTTCTTGGCGCGCGAAGGAGATCTTCTCCGGGATCATGATCTATGAATCATAGAACATAGGATCGACCCATGTACCTTAATTTAACCTATGCGATACTTTATGCGGAGAGCTGAATGCGTACTATAGACTGTTCCCTCGCAACTCGGTCTCCATGGGTCTATATTATTAGGAAGTATTTGAAGTACCCCGCTGGCGCAGAATCAAAGCGGCATCACCGCTTGTTGCCAACTTCACCCAAGTTTCTTTCTAAGCACGCAAAGCATAATGTGGTCAACACTCTACTCACTGATTTCAGGCGCCAATGTCAATTCTCCGCTCTCGAAATTCCAAGGCTGCTGCGCGTTGATTTCTATTGTGGTATGCCGGAGAGTGAATGGTCTCCTGTTGCGAAGTTGATTTCGCCTCCGCCATTTGTGTCCCCGCCTGCTCTCATGCGATTAATTTTGCAGCACGAGCACTTTCTCACCGATACCGAAGGCTGATTTCAAAATACCGAGTTGCCGGCGATCAATGTAAATGGAAATACGAAGAGCTTTGAAAGACAGGATGTAATGAAGGTTTCTAGACCCGAGACGGTGCAATCGGCTACCAAAGAGCTGATCAGTGGGAAAGACTTAGTGCTAGGGGAACGGCTACTTATTGCACATGAGTTCGGCGTTCCGGCTGAACCTGCTAAGGGCTGAATCAGTCAAGGGTGCTGCTGATGGAGCTGCCGTTGGGGCTGCTGGAGTGGTTCGATAACCATCATGGATTTTCCAAGCGCGTCTCAATTTGATGTCTGGAACCGCATGGTTAAGTCTGGTGCCACTGGAGACTCCTTGGCTCAAGCATATGCGGATACGATTCAGGATGTTCTGGAAAATGTGGGAAATGAACGAGTGACAGCCTTTATACAAGCTCCAGCTGTGAATCCCTCTGCACCATCCAATATATACATCGAATGCTAGTGGTGCAAAGTATGGACCGTTTCTTTTACTTCAGCATTTAAGATAAGCGCTGGAAGGGATTGTGCGCTGAGACGCGGAAGAAGACACTTCAGTCTTTCAATCAAGCTTACCTTGGCTATCAAGATTTAGTGTGAACTCTTCCTTCTCAAAGACAGAACCATTCACTATCTCTACCATTCACTACTTCTTTCCTGTAACTAGATAACCACCAAGGACATTCTACTCAGCCAAGCTAGGGCCATTCCTACAAAGCCTACATCGTTACATCGTTACTGGGGCAGAGGCCCTGTGCCTCAGCTCCAACGAAAATGCAAAGACTTCTTCTGTAAACTCGGGCCCCGGGTTTCCAAGGGCCCAAGTTAAATGCTACAGGACCGATTCTCCGAAGTTCAATTCATTAGCTCCGCCATACACTCAGATACCATGGCCCACTAAAAGCCTCAGTGCTCGTTAATCGTCCCATAATCTAGGAATGAAAGCCTCAGTCGCCGGGGGACAGTATCTAAAAACAGCAAGATATCAACAAAGTCCCGCCCCAAAACACTGCCTACCATGGTTCCTTCACCCAGGCACCAGGGACCAAGCCCACCACCGGAACAAAAGTACCGAATCGTCTGAACTCCACAGACTGTTTTCCTTTCGGGACCTTTCTTCGCGGGGGATCTAAAAAGATGTGGAGAATCCGATCAAGGTACATTCCAGATACGATTCAGGGGTGACCGGCAAGGGATGAGATCTGGTATCCAAATTTGGATGCTCCTTGTTACACTGTGAAGGGAGTCATGACAAAGCATTTTCAGCTTTTGTGGAAAGTGATAGCTTCGAAAAAGGGAGCTTGTGGCTGCGTGTGGCTGCTTACCTGTAGATCGGAGATTATAAGGTCGCGTAATACGCAGATGCTCCCTACACCGCAATCTGAATTTATGCAGGAAGAGGGTCATGGGACTCCCTGGCTACAAACTTAGGCTCCACAGCTACTTTCAATCTGAACTGCGAAATTCGATGATGACAATCTTTACTCATGTAGTAAATGGTACCATGTCAGATGTGAGTACTGGGTACGTTCTGTATCATGATCTACGCTTTTCAGGGTTCCCCGCAAAAACGAAGCGCAAAGCACGGAGATGATGTCAAGACTGAACACAGGTTCAATCAGATCTTTTTCTCCGACGTAGCCTGGACTTTACTTCTTGTTCTCGTACTCAGACATTGCCACTTTGAATAGAAATAATGAAAAGAATGACTTTGAACAAGTTTTTTGCTGTCGCAGTTTTTGAATGAGATCATAGCACATTGGTTCCGGTCTATGTGGCGGTGCATCGTAATCATGCCAGCAAATGAAAGCATTTAGGTCACGGTATATCCACCATCAACACGCAATTCAGCACCGGTAATGTATTTGGACGCGTCGGATAAAAGGAAAGTCACAGCGCCCATGAGGTCTTCTGGCGTACCCATTTTGCCGACGGGGATGAGCGATGTCCACTTATCGCGGAGCTCGGGGTTCTCGTCGAGAATCTTGCGAGTACTGGTATAAGATTGTCAGCGCAGCTTTCGAGACGAAAGTTTCCGGCCTTGTAATCGGGAAAATTCGGTTCAAAAACTTACAGAGCAGTCAACATGTAGCCAGGACTGATACAGTTGACACGAATATCCTTGCCAGCCCACTCAACAGCGAGAGACGCCGCGAGATGTCGCACAGCGGCTTTGGCAGCATTATATGGAGCCTGGGGTTGAGGAACATTGACGATGGCGCCGGACATGGAGCCGATCATAACGATGTTACCTGGTGCGTTGCGCTCCATTAGATGCTTGGCCACGCCCGTGGCGAACAGGTAGGTTCCGTCCACGTTGACGCCCCAGAGCTTCTGCATGCGCTCGAACGGGTAACTGATCGCATCGAAGTTCTCGGTGAAGCCTGCCGAGGTGACCAGGTTATCGATCCTGCTGTGCTTGGCGAGGATTTCGGCCAGAGCGGAGTTTACGGACTCTGGATTGGCGACATCGGCATAGTGAGCTGTAACCTGGGGCATTCTGGAAGTTTGACATTAGCTCCCCGTCGCGTGGCCTTCTCTTCAAAATGTAAACACATACTGCTCCATGCCGGGATTCTCCTTCCGGATTTGCTCAATGAGCTTATACGCAGACTCCTCAGCTTCATTCTCTGTAGAAAGTATGAGTGGAGCGCCCGAACTAAACAAGTGATCGAATCTTACTGTTCAAGTCAACAATCGCTAGATCAGAGCCCGAAGCAATTAGTCCTTGGCCCATGACGAGACCCAAGCCACGAGCACCACCCGTCACAATGCTAACCTTGTTCTCGAGGGAGAATTGGGCCAGTGTGCGTTTGAAATGCATACCACCCCGGCCCTGGACGACGGGCTGGGCGGGATATTGGCTGTCAGGTGGGTAAGGGATTTGAACGCTGTCATCGATTCGCGCAAATTCACCCTCATGCTCGCCGGAGGCGCCTTTCTCGGCGCGATTTGTGGCGGCGAGGATTGGGTCTTTGTTAGGGTCTTCTTCCTTCGCACGAATGGCTGTGCGGGAGAATGGCCGTGTCGAGGTTGCAGAGAGAGCTGGACGGGCGCCGATTGCCCTGATGGCGGATCGGGTGACCGTGTGGTTGAACATGATAGAGATAGCTTCTTAGCTCGAGCTCGAGCTAGAGCTAGAGGTATGGGAGAAGAAATGTACGAATGAAAGGGTATCTCGAGTCTGCGGAGAAAGAAAAAAAATGAAAAGCAAGAGATAGGACGAGAGCTCGGAGCTTCCAATTTTATTATTTTTCCATTATTATGATTTTTACCAGAGCTTGATAGCCTTCTGGAACAAGGATGGCGCGGGCCCAGGAGCTGGGGAATGCAACAATTTGCGGTGAAACTGGGGGCGCACTGGGGGATGCATCCAATGACAGGGACAAATCATGGTCGGTGGACCGGTGAGTGGTCGAGCGATTGACTGAGGAATTTTGGATTTTTTCGTTTATTGAATTGATGGATGGAGTGAAACCTGCCGAGTGATGTCAGGTGGACGAGATCGATCTGGTTTCATTACCGTTGGGCTCATGTACCTGATACTTTCCAGGTACCGAGAGGAACTGGGGACTCATGTACTGCTGCGCGGTATTGGTACTCAGGCTTAGCCTTCCACGTAGTTGGTCCATCTTTGCTTCTTTCATTTTTCAGAGATATGACTTGTCAGGCCCGCAGTTGCCGCCCTCTACCGTGCACCGATTTCGCCCCTAGACCGGAACAGTGGCCATCTGACTCCCAGGTCTTTCTGCTCGAGTAAATCTGACGAAGATATTGGAAATGTCTTCCGTATGATGAGCCTGCTAAGATCTCCCAGAGCCATGGTGGAACGAGGTTGATCACGGTGGATTTGCTATCGCATCCACTCAGTCTTATCATCCAAAACAGCAGGGCGTCAGCCACGAACCCTCGTCCTTGCTGCTTTGGGCTTACATATCAATGACAAAAGCGTACTTTCGGTGCTTTTGAGGATTTTAAATCTTGCGCGCAGAGAACACGGATCAAGGACATTCGAATGCTGCTATACTTTAGGGTCCACAAGTCTACCCCACGGTTTGGCCCCATAGAGCAGCCCCATCTCGAGCTGTCAGTTATCGTCACATTTAACAGCCGCATATCTTAACGGTGAACTCAATTGCTATTATTGACCTGGATCTAATGTATTCTCCTACTCTGCTTCCTCGAATTCCACCAGAGGTGTTCCGCTTTTGCATTGATCCTGCAAGGTACGGTTAGTCATTGTCAACTGAAGCAGACTTGTTTGTTCTTCTTGGGTCTTATCTCCTCGGTTTCCATACCGGTCCGAAAACCAGAAAAAAAAAAAAAGCAAGACACAAACAAAGGGGCGGAGAGGTGCTTCAAGCCAGAATGCAATGTATCACGAGACCAAGGGTCTAGAACACAGGGGAAGGGACGCGTGACTTACTCCTTGTTGATGGACGACGCGCGCAATGGTTCCCCGCTGCGGACTCCGAATTACCGTCTCCATCTTCATGCTCTCAATCACAACCAGCGGCTGGTCCTTTTCCACCGCTTGTCCGGCCTGCACTTCTACCCGCAGAACCTTGCAGGGCATTGGGGCTAGGACGCTATTGGCGACATCTTTCATACCCAGTGCTTTCTCCATCCATTTGGCCCGCGGGACGGTGAGTCGGTATTGGATACCGCGCTGGAAGGCAATGATGGTGTCTTCCTCTCGGACAACGGTCGTATCTAGGCGTGTGTGGGGGAAAAAAGAGGTTACAACGTTGGAAGCTGGGTCCATGCGGCTCGAAACTTGCTCAAAAACTCGGTCTCCAATCTTAACGTTGAAAGTCTGGCTTGCTGTCTGCTGAACACGCACGCTGTATGTAGGTCCGTCGTGATGAGGACCCGCTGACTCGGTAAATGACAGCAGCCGCTGCTGGTAGCTGGGAGTGAACCCAACCGCACCAGCGAGCCCTTGAGATGGAGGCGCGGTGTGAGAGTCTTGGTGCAGACATGCTAGCGCGACCTGAGCGAGCACCTCATCATCAATGATCTTAGGTGCAAAAAGCTCGTCGCGGTGTTTGTCAATATAGCCAGTCTCTACCGCGCCCGCAATGAAATCCGGGCTGCGGCAGATGGTCTTGAGGAATTCGATATTAGTCACGGGGCCAGCCACCTCGTACTGCTCCAAGGCGGCCCCGAGTTTCCGGATCGCCTCTTCACGCGTTTCTCCCCTGACAATCAGCTTGGCGATCATTGGATCGTAGTGAGCTGAGACGTCGTCTCCCTCTACGAATCCGGCGTCGATGCGAATGTCGTCTGTAGTTGCGGGGGTGCGGACGTGGATGAGACGGCCAGAGTCAGGAATAAACCCTTGGTCGGGGTTTTCAGCGTATATTCGGGCTTCGATACCATGTCCACTCTGGGAGATCTTCTCCTCCACTTGCTCCTGCGTCAAAGGCAGAGAAGCCCCTTCGGCCACCAGGATCTGCCAGTGGACTAAGTCCTGGCCTGTGACCATCTCTGTGACGGGGTGCTCGACTTGGAGGCGCGTGTTCATTTCCATAAAGTAAAACTCTCCTGAGTCGTTATCAAAAATAAACTCCACTGTTCCTGCACCTTCATATCCTACCGCTAGGGCGGCAGCTCGAGCTTTGGCCCAGAGATCCTTTCGGGTTACATCTGGAAGATGCGGCGCTGGCGACTCCTCGAGAATCTTCTGATGTCTCCGTTGGATGCTACAGTCTCGCTCTCCTAAAGCGACGGAGTTTCCATGCTTGTCCGCAAAAACCTGGACCTCGATGTGACGAGGAGTTGTGATGTATTTCTCAACCAGCACATGATCATCTCCAAACGAATTCCTAGCTTCTGACTTTGCCGATTCCAGCTGGGCCTGGAATTCGGCTTTGGAGCTAGCGATGCGCATTCCCTTACCACCGCCTCCTTTGATGGCTTTGATCAGCACGGGATATGTGATTTTGTCGGCTTCGGCTTCTAGAAATGCGGGATCTTGGTTATGACCGTGGTAACCGGGGACACAGGGCACGCCTGCCGCAAGCATTATCTCTTTGGAGCGACTGTCTTCGTGTCAGCCTGTTCGTGCAGGTATCTGTATACTGAAGCAATTACCTTTTATCGCCCATATCTTCAATTGCCTTCCACGGCGGGCCAATGAAGACGAGTCCGGCTTCTGTACATTTCCGAGCAAAGGCAGAATTCTCGCTCAACTAGTTGGAACCAGTCAGCGTTGAGAGGCTAGTGAAAGAGGCTTATGCTTCCCCCCTGGATAAAGAACTCACAAATCCGTAACCAGGGTGAATTCCTCGACATCCTTCCTGCTTAGCAATCTCAATAATCCGATCCCCGTCCAAATATGCCGACACCGACCCCAAATTGAATGCATGTGGCGAGCTCAAAGCATGCTGGGATTTACTATCAGGATCAGTGTAGAGGGTGGTGACGCGGATCCCATGCTTCGCCGCAGTCTGTCCAACGCGTCTAGCACCTAGTCAGCAAAAGCCACTCTCCAAGATTTCCAAGCTTCATACAATGCAATCTCTCCTCTGTTAGCAATGAGGATTGAATCTAAAGATTTGGTTGTCGGGGTTCTCCCCACCACCGACGATGCAGCTCTCGTAGCTCGGCGAGTGACGGTCGGGGCAAAGCGGGGAGTGATGCGGAGAAGTGATGAAAGAGGCATGGTGATTGTGAGTGCAGTTGTGCAACCTTGGAATGAGTCAAGCTGCTCAACAGATCTACCCAAGATTACTGGGGCTCAGCAAGCTTGCATTATTGACTTGAAAGAGGTCAAGCTGGGGGTAGGCGGCTTTCAAGTGAGCATTCAAGGCGCCGCTGTTGACCCGCAGAAGCCGACGCAAAGCGAGACTGCGGGGAAAGCCGTGGGGCGTGACCGCTTTCTTATTTGGGAACCCACTATGGGGACCCCTAGGTGAATGCCTCGGACAGAATATACTCAAACTTCGTAACTTCTAGCTGCAACTTTCATGCGATCGACTGCGAACTAATTAGAGGAGGAGTTGACTAGTTGAACGGGTATGCTCACAATATGAAGCATGCACAAATCAACCGCTGAATATTGGGATAGCGGCTTTTGGACATTGCAATGGATTCATTAGGAATTCCATACGACTAGTGGCATTGCTCCATAAATGATGGAGGCCCTTTTGAAGATACTCGCAAGCCGATGGAGCCAGTAGCCCCTATGATTTAAGGGGAAATTCCCGCATCCTAAAGCCCATGTATTCCCTGTCGTAGGTTGGACACGGACAGAAGGTCGCTTTTTCCGAAGCTCAATACTAGACTGCATTCTGAAATGAATGACGAGATTTAGTTTCAGGAGAAGCGTCTACACGAAGCTGGTTAGATTCGGGGTTTGAAAGTCATTACCATGCGGTGACTGTTGATCAGTCACGACCGCCGAAACAGAGACAGACGGGCTGACTCGGGAGTCTCGATCAAGTGAATCTGGGCACCTGAATATTTTTTAGAGACCTCTCAAAGATATAGGGTCCAGGGAGAAGGTATTCGTCGCGGCCATCGCCCTTGTAAACCCCATTGGTAAGAGGGCAAAGCGAAGGATTGATCTAACATTTACCGCCGCACATCTATCAGAGCGATATTTAATGTGAATTAAAATTAGATTAGCTTGCAGTTGACCATAGCTGGTGGAAGCCACGGGTCTTACCTCGGTCGGCATGACATCTGGATTGGCGACGTTCTGATGGTTCCTATGGGGAAAGTACTAATATATTGAGCCAAGTGAGTATAGTAAACCCGCCAATGTGGGCCGCTGTCAGATTGCGTCATTGAAGTCAAAATGGGTTAAATCCTGAAGCGACTCTGAAGAGGACGCCCTTTCTTCTTAAGAGAACCGCCTGTCTCACCCACTCAGCTGCGCTCCAATGGCCATTCAAAGGAGTCCAGAAAAAATTCCACATTAGATCATAGACCAGATTTGTATCGATTAATGCCATGACTTGGTAAGGTGATGTGACAATTGGCGGCTCAAAATCTCTAGTCCACCTTTCAGACTGGGCTAAATTCCATCACCATCGTGCCCTGACTGGGTAAAGACTTTATGAAGGCTCTCACGTCTCGGGCCGGTGCGGATGAGGATTCCGATCTCGGGTAAACAGCGAGAATCTAAAGTGATAGTGACTCACGTTAACCTAGAGATCAACTCTTCCTGGGAAAGCCCACCTTAATTCCTATGCATCACAATTGTGCTAAGTCTCTAGAACCGAAAGAAGAATCGGCCAGATAACCTTCTATTTTATCAAGATAGGGAAATCGGAAGGAATAGTTGTCTAAGAAGTGGCCAAGACAAGAGCCTTCAATAGTGTAAAGCGGCTTTCAAGCAAATAATACATAAGAGCACTCGGCCGTGACCTCCCCACGTTGTTGATACATTGTTATAACACGATAGCCTCCCAAGTGGAAGGCCTCTATACCGTTATTTCCATAGTCTGTACAGGCGATGAGACGAAGTGGCATCGCTTGAGTCATTGGACTTGGCGCATAGTTATAGAGAACCACGGATTAGACGGCGGTAAAGAGCTTCTATGGGTTACTTGAAACAGTCATGGAGTGATGATAGCTGCGAGCTAACAAAGAATTGCGCAGAAAGTTCAAGACTGAAATACTAATGAGCCCCTTCGACCCAAACATATCACATAGCGAGAGTAAGACGGTCGCAAAGGGGTCAGGAAGGGTCAGTGAAATATAGAAAAAAAATGTGGGGCCGCGCGAAAAAAAAATGCCAAGGCTTACATTAGCAATCGCCTCTTCGATGCAAAGATCAACCGGGTCTTCGTCACTTTGGTCACTTCTCCAGCTTTGCTGCATTTGAATCGCTCGTACAACTTATCGACTCCACAATCCCCATTTCTTTGTTGTCGCCTGGGGCCCCCTTTTTGTGCATCCTCGACGGCCTCTTGCATCTACCGAGTCATCTCAACAATGTCCGACGATGAGGAGTACTACGAATGGGAGGAGGAATATCTAATTGAGGATGTGCCGGACTTTGTTGTGAGTGCTCAATGCTATGACTTGATATCATCAGACCGAATCTAACCAGGACCGTGCCTTGTAGGACGAACTCGCCCAAACCTCATACTACGAAGCGGCCCTGTACGAAGACCCGGGAATCGAAGCGGAGGACTACACTAGTGACTGGGAATACTATACAGACGATTATTACGATGAAGATCCGACAGTGAAGCCTGCCCCCGTCGCGAAAGACACGGACACGAAAACCCGCCGAGCAAACCGCGCCCCCAGGCTGAAATCCTCCATAAAGCCAGACATCACTACCTTCCAAGGTGTAGTCTGGAAGACATCCAGCCTGGAAAAGGACCAGGATGTTGCTATTCAAATCTACGAACCAGGTGCTGGTGAGCAAGTGGCGCTGCTAAAAAACTGGCGCGAGGTTTTCAAATACGCCCAGCCTGCACTGGACAAGTCGCGCTTGCGCAAGAGGAAGGCGGAGAGCGTATGCGGCCCAGAGCCTGTTCTCGCCGATGACGAATTCCCATGCGATAACGATCGAGACGACAGTTCGAACCAGATGTCGGATATCGTGTCCATGGATCACACAACAGAGAATGGCGATGCGGGCGATGCGTCAAATACAACACCGGAACCGCCTCAACCGCTGAAGCGCGAGTCCAACTTGGCTGTTGTGATTCCGGCGAAGAAAGGCCGTAAACGAAAAGCGGAGGTTCTCCCAGAGACAACTGAAAAGTCCGTTGAGACTACGCCGCGGGCGAAACGCATTGCGTCGAAGAAAAGGGATGTGGATAGCGGGACGAAAGCTTCATCTGGCCCTGTGCGCAGGTCGACCAGGCAGAAGAAGTAGTTGTATACATGCATGGGATTGGTGTCATGATTGTCACGAATGGATGATGGAAGATGCATTTCCAGTAAACGGAGCAAAACAGGCACGTCGAATAATACATTCATTGCAAGCACATGAGTTATCTATTTCTGTATTACACTCTAGGCATACTCTTTGTTGAAAGCGCGGCCGATAACCATCCGTCTGATCTCGCTCGTGCCAGCTCCGATCTCGTATAGCTTCGCATCACGTAGCAGACGTCCAGCGGGGATCTCGTTGATGTAGCCGTTTCCACCCATAAGCTGGATGGCGTCCAGTGCGCATTCCGTGGCGCGCTCAGCAGCGTAGAGAATTGCACCAGCGCAGTCCTGTGTCCGAATCACAAGCGGACTAGGCGATGCGGCACCATTGTCTACTTCACGTGCTGTAGCGTATGTGTATGATCGCGATGCAGCGAGCTTGGTGTACATGTCTGCCAATTTGCCCTGAATTAACTGGTTGTGAGCAATGGGGGTGCCAAACTGCTTTCGGACATGCGTGTAGGGCAGAACAAGGTCAAGAGCAGCCTGCATGATACTAGAAGACGTTAGAATGGTCAATCCGGCAGCAATGGTTGCGACTTACCCAAGAGGTCCTGCGCTCAAAACAAGTCGTTCCAAATCAAGACCTTCCATCAAAACTTTGACGCCGCGATTCACCTCACCAAGCAGGTTTTCTCGGGGCACAAAGACATCTTCAAAGATGAGTTCGCCCGTGTTCGAGCCACGCATGCCAAGCTTGTCCAATTTCCGGGCACAAGAGAAGCCCGAGAAGCCCTTCTCAACCACGAAAGCAGTAATACCTTTGGAGGCCTTCTCGGGCTCGGTCTTGGCATACACAACAATGTAATCTGCGTCAGGGCCCTATTCATTGAATTATTAAACTTGTTTTCTTAAAACCGAGGCAATCGGGACCTACATTGGTGATCCACATCTTGGTACCATTCAGCACCCAGCCACCATCAACCTCTTTTGCTGTAGTCTTCATGCTGACCACGTCGGATCCAGCAGAATGTTCAGACATGGCCAGGGCGCCAATCTTCTCGCCTGAGAGAAGACCTGGGAGGTATTTTCTCTTTTTGAGCTGTTGAGCCGTTCAAGGAAAGCTGGTTGACACAAAGTTGAGAATGAGCGGCGTAGGACAAGCCGATACTGCCTGCGTAAGAACATGGATGAGTTAAATCTCCAGAATATATCGTCATGAAATTGCATGCATGGTAATTCTTACCTGAGGCTCTGCTCAGCTCTTCCATCACCACGCAGTGGGCCTGGTAACCCATCCCCAAACCACCATATTCCTCGTTGGCAGTGACACCGAGTAACCTGGGACCCAATTAGCAAAACCTAAGCAGCATGGTCATAGGAATCTGTTACCCAGCGTCACCTAATTTCTTCCACATGTCCGCTGGGAACTCATTCTGCTCATCCGTCCGTGCAGCTACCTCTTCTGGGATCTCTCTCCCTGAACAAAGCCAACGTCAGCACGGACCGCAGGCTAGCTGAGAGATTATTCACTCACTCGTAAAGTCTTGCACCCGCTCTCGTAGCTCGATAAGGTCCTCCTCCGAGGGTGGTGTAAAACCGGCGGGGTGCTTCGTTGACACGCTCCGCGCGAAACCTGGGGAGAATGCGGGGATGGCGCGCGGCCGCAACGAGCGGGTAGATGTGCGTAGGAGGAAAGGGATGCGTACAGAGGCCATCATTGTATGTCAAAACAGTCGACCAAGAGAGGAAAGGCAGATGATTCGGGACGCAGGGGACTATTTAAGAAATAGAATCTATGCTGAGGGGAAACCCGCGGCAGCCCTCGGCGCAGAGACCACCCACAGGGTATACAGGTATTGCATTTCGCAGTACCCTTCATTCTAAACCAATGTTCATTTACGTCTTCCGATCTGACATAGGAATATTTCTATCAAGAAATGCACCCAGCTTGTTTCTCTAAAGTCTCCTACTCTGCAAGCCTCGACACCATCAACTGCTCTGTTCTTTTGAGGCGGTGATGACGGGCCGCGGGTAGACGCGGCAATCATCGCAACTCCGCACATCTGGGGAACCTGGAGCTTCTTTATCCCCATATCAACCCTCACTTCTAACGCCAAAATCATAATATGACTTTCTTGATCCTATAGTACCGTTTGTTAAAACCACATCACTGTTTTTGAAGTAGCTGCCAGTTACTTCGGGTTCACCCATTTGCCCGCAATGCGCGCCCCTTCCCCGCTCGTCCTCCGCGGCTTGGGCTCGCGTGTCGCCCACCGCACCTGTCGCCCAGGACACTTTCCTAGACAGATACCTCAGATATCTTCGAGATATGTTGCGAGCTATACGCATCCTCATCATGCATCTGCACTATCTGTCTTGCCCACAGCTGTGGATACTTCATCACCCGAGTACCGCGAAAACAGCCAACAGATGCAAGAACTCCTGGACCGAATGAGTAGCCTCCATGGAAAGATCTCGAAAGGCGGGTCAGAAAAAGCCCGGGAGAAGCACATTTCACGAGGAAAGATGCTACCACGAGACCGAGTCTCAGCATTGATCGACCCGGGTACATCTTTCCTAGAGCTGTCCCCACTTGCAGGCCACGAGGTCTACGAAGGCGAGGATGTTCCTGCCGGCGGTATCATCACCGGCATCGGTACAGTGGAAGGTGTCAATTGCATGATCGTGGCCAACGACAGCACTGTCAAGGGTGGTACCTACTACCCGATCACGGTGAAGAAGCATCTCCGCGCACAAGCAATCGCTCAAGAGAACCGGCTGCCTTGTATCTATCTGGTCGACTCGGGTGGTGCCAACCTTCCCCATCAGGCGGATGTCTTCCCAGATCGTGACCACTTCGGACGTATTTTCTTCAATCAGGCTCGCATGAGCTCCCTCGGTATTCCACAGCTCTCCGTCGTCATGGGTCCCTGCACTGCCGGTGGTGCCTATGTACCAGCCATGAGCGATGAGACCATCATTGTCGAAAACCAGGGTACTATTTTCCTGGCCGGTCCGCCGCTCGTCAAGGCTGCCACAGGCGAGGTTGTGTCCGCCGAAGATTTGGGTGGAGGACAGCTACACTCTTCCATCTCTGGCGTGACGGACTATCTAGCTGTAGACGATGCCCATGCTCTCGTTCTCGCACGTCGCTCCGTCGCGAACCTGAACTACCCTTCTACAAATGCTCCACTGCAACTCGAGGATGCCGTGAAAGAACCACTTTACGACCCCAACGAGCTCAACGGTATCGTCGGCACTAACCTCCGTCGCCAAATCCCCGCTCACGAGGTCATCGCGCGTATCGTTGATGGAAGCGAATTTGCCGAGTTCAAGCGTGACTATGGCACGACTCTAGTCACCGGCTTTGCGAAGATCCATGGCCACCGCGTTGGCATCGTCGCTAATAATGGCATTCTATTCTCCGAGTCCTCGCTCAAAGGAGCTCATTTCATTGAATTGTGTGCCCAGCGACGCATTCCTCTCGTTTTCTTGCAGAATATCTCTGGGTTTATGGTTGGCGCCGATGCTGAAAAGGGCGGTATTGCGAAGAACGGTGCGAAGCTTGTGACTGCCGTTGCCTGTGCAGATGTCCCCAAGTTCACCGTTGTATTTGGCTCCAGCGCCGGTGCTGGTAATTATGGCATGTGGTAAGTGTTCTTCTTGAAACTTGAAAAGCTCAGATCTAACTGGATTTAGCGGTCGTGCCTACTCTCCTCGGTTGATGTTCATGTGGCCCAATGCTAAGATCGGTGTCATGGGCTCCGAGCAGCTTTCTTCCGTTATGGAGGCTGTGGGTAAATCAGCTGATCCCGCCCTCAAGGCTCGAATTGATCATGAGTCCGAGGCCGTCTTCTCCTCGGCGCGGTTATGGGATGATGGGGTGATCCCTCCTGCTCAAACGAGAAAGATGCTAGGATTGGGTTTGGCAGCGGCTGTTGGAGGAAAGGCCGAGCCGGACATCCAGACCAGGTTTGGTGTTTTCCGAATGTAGAGCAGATTGACACGTAGAACCATCAGAAGGCAGGGCGGATGGCGTTTCGAGTATGAATCCAACACGATCTATTTTACATACCTAGACAATTCTTTGCAGACATCCAATTCAAAATAACCAGCTGAGCCAGCATTCAGAGATCAATCAAATGAAAACAAATATCAAAGCTTTTAATCAAGTCGACTTTTGGGGGCCTTGCAATACACGCCCTAGTTATGTAATTGGTAAAGAGAAAGCGGCACAAAAGCACCCAGCCCGACAAAGTGAGAAGGAAAAGGAGCATAATGGTATAATAAGGGTTATAAGATGAGTAGGCGGCGACGCATCTTTCTATCAGGTTGGTGCATAGGCGTGGTAGAGGGGGAACAAAAAGATATCATATAGCGCGTCAAATGCGTAGAAACGGAGGCAGGCATGATTTTCAAAGGTTCACCGTGGACACAGAGTACGGTAGATGAAGCCGTGATCCAAAAATGTGTATCAAAGAATAACACAAGGACCTCGGCGGCGCTGAGTTCTATTGTCTCTCTTGCGATCTCGGCCTGGCCCTTCACGCTTGCGGTTCGAGTCGCTATTTGAGCCAGAGCCCTCGAGGTCTTTGCGGATGATTTGCCGGCAAAGATCGACGAAGACTTCATTTACATTCGCGCGACGCCGAGCGGAGGTCTCGTAGTATGGGGCATTGCCCCAGCTTTGGGAGAGACCGAAGGCACGGGCTCGGGGGACGGCACGGTCGTCTTCCAGGTCAGATTTGTTGCCAACAATTACGAGAGGGACTTTCTCGTCATCTTTGATTCGAATGATTTGTTCGCGAAGCTCGGAGAGTTCGTTAAGGGAGGATGCGCTGGTGATTGAGAAGACGAGGAGGAAGCCTTGGCCTTGCTTCATATACAGTTCTCTGGAAGGAGGTTAGCGGGGTGGAGGGTTGCGGAGGGTTCGACTTGGGTTTACCTCATGGCCGCTGGAGGGTTGTTAGCTTCGAAGTAAATGACAAGTAGGAGTTGACTCACTAAATTGCTCTGTACCTGCCGTGTCAAGGCTGCAAAGTAAGATCGATTGATCAGTTTCTTTCGTCTTGAGCACCGTAATCCTTCGCCATGGAGCACCTACATTTCCAATATGCATTGTCGACCCTAGACGGAAGTTAGCAAAAGTCCATATCCAATCGGGGTCGAAACACATACATCTACCTCGATCTGTTTACGGTATGAATCCTCGATGGTGGGATCATAGCTTTCGATCCAAACATTCTGGACGAATTGAGCTGTGAAGTCATAAGCTTCCGGCTCTAAACCTAGTTCACAATGCCTGCAATGGCGTCGCAGACATGCGACAGCTCCGCGGATGATATATACCGGTCAAGCAACTCTTTCCCACTCCTCCAGCACCGAGCACGACAATATGGTATTCGCGTCTATGACGAGCACAAGGTGGTTAGAAGCTGGCATTGACCCGGTTTGGGACATGACATCCCCAACTTACTGAGGTCGCATTGTGATGGCTCGAGAAAGTGTTCAAATATAAGTATGCGGTGAAAAAGAAGCGGGGCCGACGAGAACGGCAGGAGTCAATGGCAAGGGATCCAGGGTTGTGTTATCTCGGGGTGGTTCGACTCGCAATGGATTGAGAATTTTGCCGCGGCCGTCCAGGGGTCGCCAAGATGATCGGGATTGTGAACGGGCAGCTTGTGTACAGTGTAATGTGCGTTGTAGCCCTCAATGATTGCACGATCGACCAGCTCTTTTGAGGGCCGACAGGAAGAGCAAAGAGAAGATCAAATCGTTTACATCGGTCTTCAAGCTGTGCCAGTGCCCCTTGGATGTCCGTGCGCGATCAATGGCGATTCGGAGATTAGGTCCACAAGGGGGTTCAATGTGGATGAGGGATGAGGCTGAGGGTCTGAGATGAACGTGGACGTCGTGGAAAGTGGGTGTGTGTGCGGGCCAGAGAGTCTAGAATCCCGTCTAGTGTTGTCGAGGATAGGGGGAGAGGGAAAGAGAGAGATAGCTTTGGGGCTCGGCTGCGCGCTGTACTGGGCTTTGAGGACGAAGACTTGAGTCTCGAATCCAATCGGTTCTCAGTGAATTTGGTTTCCCCCTTTCCCAATCACATCATTACGGCACTGATCCACGGCGGTGAGTCTTGACTTTCCGATTACTCCACAAAAACCATTCCCGTGTCTTTTCTTTTGACCTAACATATTCCACTACTTATAGATGTCTTTTAGAATTTGGTCCTTCAGACTGTTACATGTCAAGCGTGAACGTGCTGGGATTTTAAGTGTCGGGATATCCGACAGAACGTGAGGATCACCCCCGCAATCCTCACCTAACTAGGAAGTTGGACGATACCCACCCACATCAGCCACTACAGCAGAGATAACAATCTTTCTTCCTCAACAAAGAATATAGGCCCTGCCAGGACAAACGGCATAAATGACTATCATTTGAGGGCTCACACTCAATTGAGAGCGCCCCGGCAGTCTGCCTCAGTGAGGCGGACCACATCCCGGCTCAATCGCTGAAACCTTCCGCGTACGGGCACGTCTTGCCTGGATAAAAATCATACTAGTCAATAGCCTACTTCTATTTTCTCAAAGGGGGTTGGACAAGTCACATTATACATCCTGTCAAATTGGCCTAAGGGTTGCCGAGGTTTGAGCGAAGGTGTCCTACCCTATAGGAGCTCTCCCTAAGCGACAGGGGTATTCAAACCCCGAAGCCACCACGGATCCATTGCCTAACCTTCCACACTTGAGATTATGACAAGAACGAAAGTACGAAACACTTCTCGCCTATCCGTTAAGCTACCCGATCTGCTAAGACCATGCTTCGCTCCCAGAAGTGAGAATCTGCAAACAACATGGTTTACTGATGCGTGAGACAGTGGAAAGGCGAGGAAACTCAAGTTCCAAGCATTATTGCAAAGAGGAAGTGCTTGCCTATCATTCAGTTGTTCTTTTCTAAAACCCATTAGATGTCACAAGGACTGAAGGGGCCACAGCACATGCTGTATAGAACGACTCCCTCACAAGTTTCATCTTTCACAAAGGAACAATAAAACCCAGAGTCAAGTAGATTATCAAATGCTGACAAGAATTTCGCTGTCACGGCCGGCTCCCTCCCGAAGCTTGCTCTCAAGTTGAGTAAGAGTTCAAGGTCAAAGGCAGCCTCAAAATCTACAGCTCTGGCTAGTACAGACAGAGGAGATCCAGAAAGTCCTCATCCAATACATCCGCGCCCTGCCTCAGATGTGGTCCCATATCACCACTATTTTGCGCTGTTTCCTCACGCTATTCCTTTAGGTCGAGTATGGGTTCAAGCACAATGCCCGTGACTTCCTAGACGGGGTTGACATGGCAAAGACCGGTCTTATGGAAGATATCTTGCTGATATGACCCAACAGGACCTGAATGCACCGATCCACAGCGCCAAGGGGTGATAGCTCACTTAATTGAATCTTGGGGCAGAATCCCAAGAAATCAGTTTTTTTCAGAAGAGGCTTTAGGCTAGATTCCGTATCTAGAAACAGGCGTATCATGAAGATGATATACAAGGTTCTAGACATGTGTCCCTGACTGATTCTACTCCCGATCATCAAAGCTATTTGAAGGCGTACCTTGCAGAATGAACCAGTGGAACTCTATAAATAGCTCTAGCAAGATAGGTGGGAGATATCGAGAGAACACCGAGGGCCTCAAATGGGGAAGCCTCGTTAGACCTCTTCTCGGTGGGGAGTCTAGACAGGTGTCGGTAGCAACGATTGGGCGTACATTCTGGGCCCCCCCATGTAGAAGATGCAAGAAGACAGGGTAGCGTACCTCGTGAGTAAAGTAGAGAGAAACAAAGAGGAGAGATCGTCAACTTTGAGGTGGAGTCTGTTATGCATTGTCAGAATGTTAACTGAAAGCTGCAGGCTCCTTGTCTAGTGAAGCTGCCACGAAGAGTTCAGCAGAGCCAACTCTAAAACTTCTTGCGGAATTTTCCTGCTTTGGCTTCTGAGATGAGATTATGGACCTGGACTTTTTTCTTTTCTTTGGAAGTTATTCTGTTCTTCATGGTCGAGAAGGCCGCGGATATTAAGTGAAAGCGGAATGACGCTTGGCGTCACCTGGTGGGGAAAGCTATGCGATCACCCTCTCCACTCGCGCTTCGCGCTTGACATTTCGACTCTTCAACTCCGGTCATGTTTGGCCATTGACTGACCTATCTTCCCCTGGCCCAGAAGCTCCCCTATAGCCATGGCTGAACCATCCGAAGACGCCATCGATGAGTTCGTCAGCTTCACAAGCACGACGCGCGAGCAAGCTATTAGCTTCCTGAAGGTCCACTTTGCCCCAAGCCCCCCTCGAAGAACAAAGACTCATGTTTCGTCTGTCGCAGGCACACAACAACGACTCACAGAAAGCGATCAACGCCTATTTCGAAGATCCGACAGGTCCAAAGGTCAGGGTGATAACTTGTGATGCGCGGGGTCCGGAGTTTAGAGTGGAAGCTAATAATCTCTCCGTGGAGTAGACCACGACTCTTTATAATGACAGTAACGTGCCTTGTATGGCCCTTTGACCCTATTTTCGATACTCAAGCGACTGACAACTCTTCCCCAGTTGGCCCACAAGAAAATGCGCTCCGAGTGCCCGCAACAGCTCCTCCTTCCCGTCCTCCCTCCCGAGCAAATATGAATGAACTCTCCCAGGGCGTCGATTTCGATTCAAATGCCACAACAGCTGCACAAAGCTCCGCTGGTGAGGAGCCTCCCATGGAAGATTACTGGTCAGCAGCTACTGACTTGGGAGACAAACCAGGCGGTGCCGGACAAGGACTGAGCTTAGCCGAGCGCGAGGAACAAGAATTGCAGCAGGCGGTTGCTATGTCTCTTGGATCCGGAAAGCAGGAGACCGGTGTAACGCTCAAGAGTGAAGCACAATTCGGCAAAGCAACACGCGATCATTACGATGAAGGCGCTTGGGCGATGACTTTGTTTAACACCTCGTCTGAAGAAGTCTTGATCAGTCCGGATCCTAAGGACCGTAAGAGGTTTGACGGAGATCCTGCCTTCATTAGACCTACACAAAATAATCTCTACCTGGGAGGACTTCTGACCATTCTCCATGAAATTCCTCTTGCGCGTGAAGCCCTCCTTCTGCGAAACAAAGTTCTCTTCGACTATGGCAATGACCCGAATTGGTGGAACGGACAGGCAATTAATCTTCCGAAAATTGTTACCGTTCATGATAGCCAGGACGACAACGACTGGGACGATATTATCTACGAGTCACAGCGGCTGATGGCATTCCTGGACTCCACAAATCGTGCATTCGGAAGCAGCGATGCGCTGGCAAATCTCAAACACGTCACGTCATACTCTTCTGATTTGGAGGAAATTGTGGCTCGTTTTCTAGAGAAGTGGCATGACGCGGCGCTTCGAGCGGACCCAGACAACCCACTTGCCACAATATTCATGTCTCATGCTTACAAGAACTCTCCTTTCGAATTGGATGAAGGGGAAGAGCCCATTGAGAAGCAGCTCTACACATTCAGCCCCCAGGTTGAGCCGGATCATGGTCAAACGCTGTACGACGTCTTGGACACCGCAATTTGGAGCGATAGCCCCGGCGAAGAGCTCGACGACGTATGGCTCGAAAGTGTTGGAGAAGTCCTCTTGATGAAGCTCGATGCCCCTGATAGTTCTAAGTCTGTGGATGTGAAAATTCCCTCTGTTTTCTACCCAGACCGCTACCTCAGTAGCTGTCGAGAGATTTCTCGTGATTTTCGCACCAAAAGACTGGAAGTTGAGAGTGATGTTCAGAGGCTGGAGCAGGTCGTGCAACGTTTGACATACCCAAGTTCACCGGCGGGTACTTTGACCCGAAGGGAGATCCTCGAAAAAGCTGCAGCTGCTGTCCCCATTGTTCTTGCGAAGAAAATCACCGGGGAAGATGAATCAATGAAGTCCGAGGTGGCGAACGAGAAAGCAGAACGGCTTACTAAAGAGCTGAAAGTGGCATCCACGAAACTCGAAGTTAAGCTCAAAGAGCTGGAGGAAAGAAAGCATGCGGCTCACGAGATCATGCGAAATTATTCCAAGACACTCACCGAGCCCTCTCCAAACCCGGGAGAGCCTCCTCTTCACAAATACACGCTTCGAGGAGTCTGCACTCAGCCGCATGTCACCTACGTCTTGAGAACTGGTGAGACCGCCACTTCGGGCGACTTAATGGACATCGATGGTCGAAATGACGGCGCCTCTCAATGGTGGCGCATTAGCTTCTCCGTTGAAGATGGGAAAGCACGCCAGGCCATGAAGAGAGAAGCTCAGGGCACTCACTCTGCTAGTCAAAATGGCGATGTCGTTGGCTACACAGCTCACAAAGTCCGCGAGGTCGAAGTGCTTCGAGCCGCTCGCGAGGAGTATCGCTCAGTCCTACTTGTTTATGCCAATGATAACGCGGTGAATGCGAAGGTGGAAGCAGCACCTGATGCACTCAGGGTAAGAATAAATCGGTACATGTGTTTGACATTTGCTCATATTGAGAACAGGAATTCGTGAACAAAGACAACGAGCTATTTGCAGCCGAATGTGAGCAGAGTACCCACTCAGGCGAAGAGTCTCACAGCTCTTCAAAAACAGACGCTGGCCGGCCACAGCAATCCACATCTCAAAGCGGACATCTGTTGAATGTGTTTGACCACGAAATTCCTGGGCAGACTGATAGTGGTGCCGGCCAGGAAATGCAAGAGAAGGGAGGATCCCAGCTCTTAGGCTCACCCAATAACACTGTAACCCCATCGGTCTCACGAGCTTTGGATGATGATATGGAGTGGAACGTAAGTGACGAAGCGGACTACGTGGAAAATGCGAGGATTTGAGCCTTCATGTATGAGTCACGAATGAACCATCCGTAGAGCGAACCTGATCCATATTACAAATGTATAGGGAGCACTTGACTGACTTGCCTTTGACCGTACGATCTTGGAACGTTCTGTACACAGCCATTCGATAAGGAGGTATCCGGGTCCCCACATTTGTTGTGTTTGCAAGCTACAGTCGATCTTACCAGAGCCAAACTCTCCTCAATCTTTCTCAATCACCTAATTTTCCTTACAATGTCTCTTGAAAGTGAAGCTGTGGCTGGAGCAACCATTGAGCTCCTCGAGGCACGTCTGCGCCGCCTCTCCTACCTCCTGACGGGCGCCACAGAGTGGACTGGTATCCCAGCCGACCCCGAGAAACCTTCCTCTCACGAGGAAACCGTCTCCCGCCGAATTGTCCGCCTCGAAAGAGAGCTAGAAAAGCTCAGTCGAAATGTGCCCGCGGTGCGGGACGTGATACAACTCCGTACGTCGTAAATAGTTTCTTTGTTGACATACGTGACCTCCCGCGTGCATTGTCCGGTCTTGCCTCTTCTTCCTCCAGCAAATCCATACTACCGATAAGCACCTCCCTAATCATATCCCAGACGACCGTTTTCCAGACCTTTTTCGATCCCCACCCACCCACGAAATCCCTGAAGGTCTCTCCACCCGCACATTATCCTCCATCGTCCTCTCCTACGCAACCGCCTTCCCCGAGACCGCATCGAGACTTACTTCTTTAAATGACCTCCCTGTGCCTGACGCGCAGAGCTCTGCGGAATTAATTGAATTACAACCTCGATTGGATCGCCTCGCGCAGATACAGGCTCAGCAGGCTGAGACTATCTCCGAGTTACGCGTGCGCACGGCTCGTGTATTACAGAGGTGGTATGAGGTTGGTCTTGTTGGGAGTGGGGAATGTTGGGCTGAATGGGAGGGTCGACTTGAGGATGTGGAGAGGGAGGTGAGGAGTAGAGAGGTTGTTAAGGAGCGGAGGGAGAATGAGATTTGATCGGGTTTCAAGCCCAGGTGCGCTGTGGATTGCATTTGTGTTGCGCTTTATGATATCCTCTCTATTTTGGTGCTTTATTCTCCTCAGGCGCTTCGGACTGTACTTTGGGAGACCTCTCTGCTGGGACAAATGGATGGAATGACTATTATCGATTGCCAATGGCTCCAGTGCTCCCTGTGACAGGGTTTCCTTTGCAAGTAGAAGTCAATAAGACTGAATTTTTGATTTGAGAACCTGCAGGGCACACCGACCTTCACGGAAGACAGTGGGATCAGGGTCCTCCCTGTCCAGGACCGTCGGATGTCCGAGTCTGTGATGGTCTTCTGGCTCCATCTTCAAAGGTTGAATGGCGTCATGCGGTGTCAGGGTGCAAATCTTCGCCGATCTTGGCGGACCCTGATCCAGATGGCACACGAAACATTCCAATTGAATTCAGAAGGAATGTGACGATGACATGTGAATCTACCCCGGATTCCTCTTCATGGCATTGGAGTCCGAAACATCCTAGGCGCCGCGGGGGAGAATTCGAAACCATAGCTCGTCTACTTAAAATCCAAACACAATGTTTGTCTATGTATATCGCGGACTATGGGCGATTGGCATTGAGCTATGGCATACATTCGACGAGTGTTTTGGTCCTACCGTTGACGACATACACGTGCTTAAAAGAGGTATGTCGTAGCAAAAGTACAAGATCGGGCCGAGCGAACCCCCCGGGTGGGGCGGGGGAGGTGGACATTAGGAACTAATGGGTATGCTACGGGACTATTAGTGGAACTGCGATAGGAAGTGGCACACCGGTATAGGCCATCGCAAGTAACGCAGAGTATCAAATACGACAGACATCGGATGAAAGGCTTCAACAGGGTTTAGACGCAAGGCAAGGTTGCAAGGTGTCAACCGCGTCAGCAGCGGAGCCTCGGACATGGGTGACTAATGCGTTGGCCGGTTATTTATAGATTCACGTTTGAGCATACTCATGTTCTCGAATTTGGATTAACCGTGGAAGGGTTATTAACGTCGACAGAATCGAGCTCATTAAACGAGCCAGCAATAATTTGCAGAAATCGAACGCAGTGGGCCAGGACGGTGACACTTCATTTCCCAGATTCCACCGTGGTCTCGATTCTCGATTCCAGGGGCACGTCTGTGTGTTTTGGGGCCGGGCCCACTTCCTTCTCTTCTCTCCTCCTTTTCCATTCTGCTCGACTTTAACGCCTTCGGCCTATTCATTCGTTTGTATTCTATTCTCCAGCCTGGTGCTGCCGTCGCCTCTCTCGGGGCCTCTTTGCGTTGTTAATCAACCCTCGCTCTTTCGTCCCGTGTCCGTCCCTGGTGAATTCACCCCATCGTTGTCTCAGGTACGAACCATAATTTCCCGCCTTGGGTTTTCTTTGCCTTCGATCTTTCGGCTATACGATCCCTCTTCTTGTTGCGTCCCTGAGTTGCGATTCGCAAGACACCGAGTCGATACTCAATTGTCTTTGGAATCTGCTATTGATTTGGGACCCCACGCGACCGGGGCTGTGGGAACAGTCGGACTGACAAGGCTCCCCTCCAGTGATTTCGCGCATTCCATCGCAACATTCGAGACGGCGGACCTCAATCCTCGACATCTGACTATACATCGACTCATCCGTCTCATCCGATCAATTTCGTTTCACCTCTACGGCTCCTGAACAGCGAGATCCGCTCCTCTTCGATCTATCCCTTCCTTCAACCTATTATTGCGCAATCTTCCTCACTCTTTCAACTGAGCGCAAATATTCGTCAAAATGGCCAATTTCCGCGCGAGCAATATTCTAGGCGACCCCTTCGCGCTAGCCACCCTCTCTATCTCCCTCATGGCATGGCTCATTGCATTCATCTCGTCGATCATTGCAGACATCCAGACTGAATATCCCAACTACTCGTGGTGGGCCATTTGTTACATGTTCTGCGTTATCGTCGGTCTGATCTTGACCTTCGGTACCGACACGTGCAATGTCTACGGTGTCGCAATCGTCGGATACTTGGGCTGCGGCCTTGTCTTGACTTCACTGAGCGCGAACAACACGGTCAACGGAAACCAGGGCGCCCTGCAAGCTGCTGGCGCCGGCTTTATCCTCCTTTCCATGGTCATTGTAAGTGAAATGAACAGCTAGTTTCCCATTGGCACATTTGCTAATTCTACATCTCTAGATCATCTGGATCTTCTACTTCGGCTCGACCCCTCAGGCTTCGCACCGTGGCTTCATTGATTCATTCGCTCTGAACAAGGAACAACCTGGCTCTTTCCGCGGCAGCCGCCCCATGTCCAGTGCTTTCGGTGCCCGTCCGGAGACTATGGCTACAAGCAACACTCCCCAAATGTACACCTCTGCACAATTGAGCGGCTTCGAGACTTCTTCTCCCGTGTCCGGATACCCCGGGGGGCCCCCTGGTGCTGAGCGCAACTCGTCCGCTCGCTTCGCTCCTACCCCCAGTCCCGGCCCTGCCCCCACCAACAACGGTCAGGAAGGTACCGAAGTGCCCCAGCCCACCGAGTATCCCTACCGAGCGAAGGCCATCTACTCGTATGACGCGAACCCAGAAGATGCCAACGAAATTAGCTTTGCCAAACATGAGATTCTCGAGGTATCCGATGTCAGTGGGCGATGGTGGCAGGCTCGGAAATCCACCGGAGAGACAGGCATCGCACCATCAAACTACCTGATCCTTTTGTGATCGTGAATGTCTTCTCTCTTGTGTTTGTTTTTTTGAATCTGTCTTCTGTTGCAAAATCCCGTTCCCCTTTGATACCCTTCGGATATTCTGTCGACGTGTGTGTGTGTATTTCTTGGTTCCTCTAACGTGATGTCTTGATGGCCTCCTCTTTTTGTCTCTACGTGATCTTTTCTCCATCTCTCCTTGGAACGTATTCTGGTTTTGGCTTGTCCAGTGTCGTGGGTCATTCTCCCGCTCTTTTTATATATGGTTCATATGCTTCTGTTTCTTCCCCCTTTTCATGTCGGAATGAGACATGACTGGAGCCTCTTGGACTCTGGTAAATTTCTAATATTCTGCGTGAAAAATCCCCGATTTTTGTGTGTGATTCCTTCACCGTTTGTTGGTTTTGATTTCCATGTCAAGGAAAACATTGAAAAGCTGGCTTTGAATACAATCTGATACCTCTGTTCACATGCCTCCAGTCCGCGTAGACCATGGCGTAGCACTTTGTAAGAAAATCTCTGCAGAACAGGGCAATGTGAGATCAACATCCATAAGACTCCGCTTGTGTGATTCTAGGCTCGTCTGCTATCTCCAGAGCCCCGCATTTCCTCAACATCTCTGAGATCCACCCACGTACCCGTCTCAAGCAGCACTCTCACATGACATGAGTCGGCATGAGAGAGGCAACATGTGGCATATCTAATCAAATCAATGAAAATACATTTCTGACTACAATTTAAGGTGTAAAGGGGGGGGGGGGGTGGAAGGAAAGAAAAACACCAAAAACAGCAGGATCTCTGTCACAAAGCCCAATGCCACCCACGTAAATCAGTCACCCCACTTGCCCAGGCCCACCATAGCATGGTAGCTCCATTGGGGAAAATGAGAGAAAAAGACCGAAAGAAGATGGGAAAAAGGAACCATAGTCAACTTGATGCATTGTCGGACTCTCAATCATGCTCATGACCGCAATTATCACCGCTCAAGGGAACTTCAGAAGTCCCATTAACACTAGGGAAGAGACCAAGAAATATTAGCCAAGAAGACTTCCTTGGGTATCTAGAACATGGAAAACCTCTATAAACAAGATCTAAACAATAGGCTTATCTGAGGAACGCCGATCAGCAGGACTTCCACTGACCATCCTATCTAGTCCTAGTCTCTTGCCAACTCACAGACCCTGGGTCCCTGAAGCGGTAACTGATTCTGGTAACTGGTTCCCGGTCAGACCCATGTCATACTGTGGATTTCGGGGAATTCGCTGACCTCCTGTTCGATAATGGGTATGCTGTGCTTGCATGGCCTTGCATACATGTAGCGGTTGGCTCGTGTGGGTGAAATATGCATCTTTAGCGCCGACTTGACCTCATTCGGTTTCTGGATGAGTGGTGGTGGCGCCCCGAGGTGCGGTCTGAGTCGGTTAAATGGTTGTCTATCACCGCTGCTTTCCCGGGGGGTTATTTTGTGCGTTTCTCTGCTGTGATAGAGGACTCCAGATTTGAAGATTCGAGAATACCTCGTTCGTTGCTATTACTATACAGGTGATTTGTGCAGGCTCAGGTCGCAGTCTCATCGATTTCAGAGCAAGAGTGTCAAGGAAGGTTGTTCCTCTGACCTTGAGACTGGCAGAGAGGTCGTTGATTTACCTCCGGTTTGTACTCGACTCTGTCGACTTTGATAGTGTCGCTTCATTCACTCTGCGCGGTCTGTGCATATTCATACATTCACAATATGTCCGGAGATAATATTACAGTGGCATCTAATGTGCTCGGCACTATCGGCACAGTTCTCTGGTGTATCCAGCTGATTCCGCAAATATGGTATAACTGGCGACGCAAGACGACCGATGGGTTTCCGGCAGTCATGATGCTTTTATGGGCTAGTTGTATGTGTTTCTCTGTTATGTAAGTAATGCAGATGCTGATAATCCCCTGTTGTCACAGGTTCTGTTCCGATGGGAGCTTATTTGATACTACAGGTGAGTGTCATGCTCTAGACAGTCCACAGAAAGCACATTTGAGACTATATCAGAGGCTGAGGGTGCGGTTGAGGTAGGAAGTCAGCATACCGCTACAGATCCAGCCGCAGATGTTTGGATTCTTCTCTCTTGTCAACTGGGGTCAAATATTGTATTACAATCAGTCCGTCTTTTGATTCTTGAGACATTTGTCTTTTGACTGACTGTTTGAAACAGCAACTATAGCCGATTAAAGGCCACGATTGTCTGTTCTGGTTGTGTTTTGTTGTTTGGGGGGATTGAAGCTCTTCTGATTCTGACATTACGGGTAAGTGCCGATATTGGCTCAAGATCCTGGCATGCTAGAACGAATCTTGACACATGTTGTTAGATACCCTACGAGAACGGAGTTATGTGGCCAGATTTAGTGGTAGGCATTGTGGCAGCCATTCTTTTGGTTGCTGGGATGTTGCCACCGTATTTGAACTATGGAAGAGGGACGGACGAGTGATTGGCATCAGTATGCGATTCGCATCTCGAGAAGTCATCCATGAGTTTGCTGACCCACCATACATAGACTGGTTGTTCTTGTCAACTGACACCTTTGGCGGATTGTTCTCGCTCTTTGCGTTAGGTGTGCCACCCAGGCTGCGTCGGAAGATCTGGAGAATCGAACCTCGCTGATGAGCCAATAGCTGCACAAGGAAAATTTGATATACTGGCTGGAATACTTTATATCCTTGTGTCAGTTCCTCGGGTCTATTCCGAAAGTCTTTTGCCAGGCTAACCCTGTCAACAGTGTTGTTCTGGAGTTGGGCATCTATGCAAGCCACATAACATGGCGGATCCGCTATCGCAAACTTCGCCGAGAGGCCAAGATGGCCGGTAAAAGCATCGATGACCTGCTAAGGATGCAGCAAACCCCCACGCCCGCCACACGGGACCTCGAGTCGGGGGTACTCGAAGACTCTGGGAAAACCCTGCCTCAGGAACCCAGGGAGCACCAGCCACAGTCCACATTGGCCGTGGAAGGGGAAATGACGAGTGAGAAATGTTGATACAGGCACCCAATCCTATCAATGAGGACTATTTCGCGTCTATGAAATTATGTACGTAGTCAAGGTCGCGTCGGGCTGCAAATCGAAGTTCACCAGGGATTATCCCAGCACGAAAATAAATGGATCTGATCAATTCGTGAGATCTGAGCTTTTCAGATCATAAAAAAAGCAAAGAGTTCTAGACCCAAGAAGACAACCCAGAAAAAAAAACCCACGCGGACCGATGTTTCGGTTTTAGCGTGAGATCTCAAAGCTTTGCCCAACAATCGGGAGATCAGCACGGGCACGGATTGCTAAATAAACGGTCTGATACAACGGCACCCCCTCATCTCCTTTACTCCACCCCTCAAAAATTTTCCACCCTTCTTCATCTTCTTCGTATTGGGGATCCCGAGAGGATTGTGGTCTGGAGTAACGCTGGAACCTGCTAACCATCCTTGGAGCTAGACCGAAAGCCTCCGCCCCCAGCCGGGACAACAGTGCCCCTGTCTCGTTTCTTGAATGGTTCTCGAGGAAAACACAATGCGAGGCCTCTAGCCTCTCTGGCAATTGTCACCATGCCAGAGAGACGTCTATCGCGTCTGCTGAAGGCAAAACTGCTTCGACGATCATCGACGCCCGCGGTTCCCAAAGCGGGCAACGGGGCGGACCCGTGTGTCCACCCAAATTCAACCTCTCGCATCTCCAACCATCGCGCTCTACAACCCCTCGACTCCGCCAGCGAGAAATTCCCGTACAGCGTCGTTGCTTCGCCTCCCGAACCCTCCTTTGACGAGCCCAGTCCTGGCTCTGCTCTCGACCGGCAGGGACGCGCGGTCGAGCCTCGGCACCCGGACGAGCCTTATCCTTCCTCTCCCTCGTTCCAGCTTCATCACCAGCGCAAGGATCGCAACAATACTCCTCCACCAACCGATTCTAATCTCTCGTCGCTGCATACTCCTCTCACCGAAGAGGCTCCTTCTCCTATCTCGACTCCACTTCAGACGCCCCAGCATTCCGACGATAATTCCTTCCAGTCTGCCAACGCCAAACTTCGAGCGGCGACTCCGAGCGACCTTCCATTGACACCGGCTTTAGAAACCGTCCTTGAGCGAGGTTTGGACACTACTCAATCGCCGTCCACGTTTTTTCCTCCTTCTGCGAGCAAGCGACCCAGCCTTGCAGTTCGTCGACAATCTTTGCTCCCAGCGTCCCATCAGGATTTGATCAGTGGACTGGTGGAACCGAATCAATTCTTTCCCGGCGATTATTACCCTGCTCGTGCACCTGAACCCACGAACGAGATGGTTCAACGCCGAGTCTGGGTCAAACGGCCAGGTGGCTCCGCCACCCTCGTCCCATGCATGGAGGATGCAGTTGTGGATGAATTGCGAGACCAGGTCATCATGAAATATGTCAACTCTTTAGGAAGAAACTTCGACTCGCCAGATATCGTGATTCGGATACATGCGCGAGAAGGTTCGAATAGACAGGCGCATGCTGAACGTTTGCTGAGCCCCGAGGAGGTCCTTTTCTCTGTCCTTGATTCATACTATCCTGGAGGTCAATCAATAGATGAGGCGCTGGTGATTGATGCTCCATCACGCCGGACGCCGAAGCCTTCGCCCCGTCACGCAGTTTATCACCATCATCAACCGGGTGAACATGGCGACTATTTTCCTCTGATGCCAGCTCAGCCGAACCCTACGCCACCCGGGCACCCCTCGGCATCAGCACAGCCTAATGCGCCTTCTATATCAATTCTGACCACGGGGGTCGTCCCTCCCTTGCCGTCACCGGGTGGTCGTGGTTCACGGCATCACCGCCGGCCTCCACTTACTAGACACACAACTAACTCTCCAACAATTCACGGTCAAGGAGTTACCGTCACAGGTATGTGTATGCCTCTTAAGTTTCAGGATCAGCTTGACTAATTTCCAGAAGAAGCCGGCATTTCTCCTCATGCTCAAATCCCCCCCGCCTGCTCCAACACAGAATGTCCCAACCCCTCCGGCGCCTCTGCCCGACTCTCCCCAGACCAAAACACATACACCGCCCGTACCACCGGTCGCGTCTCCGCGAACGCTTCGCAAATCGAAGGGTGCCGCATCACCTGGTGCGGTTTTCGGTGGATTGATCGATGGAACAGTGCCGCCAATCAACGTTTTGATCGTGGAAGACAATATTATCAACCAAAAGCTTCTGGAGGCGTTCATGAAACGATTGAGTGTGCGCTGGAAGTGTGCAGCCAACGGCGAGGAGGCCGTACGAAAGTGGCGTCAGGGCGGGTTCCACTTGGTGCTTATGGATATCCAATTGCCCGTGATGAACGGCTTGGACGCTACTAAGGAGATCCGCCGTCTTGAACGTCTGAATGGGATTGGTGTCTTCCCAAAAAATGCATCTGGTCGCTCGAGCGCATCAAGTGCCGCTACTACCCCGATGGAAGATCGACGACCTAGTTTGCATCGCTCTGTCAGCGAGGAAGATACATTGTCTGATTTGTCATTGTTCCGGAGTCCGGTCATTATTGTCGCCTTGACGGCTAGCAGTTTGCAAAGTGATCGTCATGAAGCTTTGGCCGCTGGCTGTAATGATTTCTTGACCAAGGTATGCGCTCTTTTTCCAGCTTTTCCGTTGAATATTCACTGACTTCAGAGTAGCCCGTTGGATTCCCGTGGCTAGAACAGAAAGTCACCGAATGGGGCTGCATGCAAGCTCTCATCGATTTCGAAGGCTGGCGGAAATGGCGTGGATTCATGGACTCTCCCCGTTCCTCCTCGCCTGGTTTCGAAAGCGCCGCTAGCCCAATGCAAGGTGGCAGCCACCAAGAATTTGGATCCCATACACAACTGGCGTCGCCACTCGTTAACCGAACTAATGCCAAGCTGCCTCGCCATAAATTGCAAAGACCTCATCTGCCCGATGCGGGTGAAATCTTGCGCGAGGACTCTTGGGGCAGCGGGAGCGGTGCGGATACTGCCGATACTGGAGACTCCGTCAGTCCCTCAGTGGATCCGCAACCTTCTTCAGTTCCTGAAGTGGCCGGGGAATCTCCCGAAGAACCTGCTCCGAGTGAGCAATAATAGCACTGTGGTATATCTGATGCATTGACATACCCGCGCATTCCTTTGATTATATTTCCATATGTCTCGACTATCTGTCTTTTCCATTGGATACCCCGCATAGTAACGATTATCTCTTGTTTTGACTTTTGGATAGCATTGGCGCTTCGAGGTCGTGGACCTGAACGTTTGTTTCATTATACTCGTTATTTTCGTCTTATTTGCGTTCTGTTCAGATCTTCATGGCATCGCAAACCGCCAGTCACCTTTCCCCTTATTCTTGTTCCATTTTTTTTCCCCTATTCGGCACTGCACTTTATACATATATGCAGACTGAACATACTCAAATATACGAAGGAGATGTTTCTTTGTCTTGTCCGAATTTCTTTTCCGGTTGGAATGACCTGTTTCATTTGTCATCTCTGCACCAGTGGAAGTTTGTGGATTTTCACATGTTTTGAGACATCTAGGCTCTTAACTCGTTTCTCTTTCTCTCTCCATAGACTACATGGACACGTTCATCATCACGCTCGATCACAAACACAAGTACAGTTATGCAAGGCTCAACTGAGTACTCAGAGCTCCAAGACAAGCTTGACACCACTGACGCCAGCCTTCAACTCATCCAGAGCTTGATTAGCAGATTCCAGTCCCCCTTCCACAACCTTGATCTTTGGACTAACCACCACCTGCCGAGTCGCCAGCTTCTCCTGCAACCAAGTCTTGAAGATCCAAGCACACTGTTCATATCTCGCATCAAGGTCATCCGGCGCTGAAACAAACGCAGTCTCGACGCCCTCGGGAACTTTCACACTTGCATCAACGATGGGCGCAATAGCCAGCTTGACCTTTTCTCCATCCCCTCGCAACGCCTCCATGACATCCACGGATAACTGTTGCGACCCAGTAGCATGATACCCAATCTTAAACATCAGCCCATCTTCTTTCGCAGCATCCACAATCTGTTGCAACACATCCCCAGCCTTGTAATCAAACATGCGCGACGCGCCAAGTCCCTTCACATACTCATGATGCTGTGGACTAGCAGTCGCATAAACAGTATATCCAGCCAATTTCGCCCCTTGCACCGCGAAACTCCCCATACTACTCCCCGCGCCCCAAACAAGGACACCTTCTTTTCCCTTGGGAGAAACTTCCCGCGGAACTCCAGCCCACAACCACCCGTTCCACGAGGTCAGCGCTGCCATGGGGAAGACACACCCTCGGTAAAAGAATACGACTCTGGGAGAACGGCCACCATCTCCTCGCTGACGAGTACGTACCTCTGCAGCGCGCCGTAGTTCGGGCTTCCTTGGTGCATGAATGCGCTGGCGAATGCAGTCACTCGTGTACCTGGCGCGAGGGTGGCCGAGGAGCCTGTCTTCGCCACGATCCCGCTGACGTCTGAGCCTAGCACAGCTGGGTATTCTTGGATGAACATGCCCATGTCTCGTTGGTAGATGTCGACGGGATTTAGAGCGACGGCATGGACTTCAATGAGGAGTTCATTGGGGGCGGGAGTAGGTGTTTCGCGTTGCACAACAGCTAGGGGACCACCCTTTTGGGGGACTATGGCTGCTTGGTGGGTTGTGGACATTGTCTGAGGATGGTATGTATTGACTGATTGTGAGTCGCTGGTTGATTAAGATTCGTCGGGCTCTGGCAAGGCTAAGATCTTTGTATTTATACCTCGATCTCTTGGGTTTGGATCGGAGTGTTGAGATCTGGGGGTTCATGGTTGAGTCTTGTGCTGGAGTCGGAGTTAAGTCAATACCTTGTTGGTTGCGTTGAGCGTAAACTCCTCGGGCTTTGTGTTATCTCCGTCAGCCTTACGGAGTTTGCAAACGTCAGATTTGGTTATGAATTCAAGTCGGAATTCGGAATCGGAGATCTCTGGAATTCTGTAGTGATTGTGAATCTATACCTGTGGATGTATTTTGTTCTGGTGAAAAAGCTGGCAACGGCCGAGGAAGTATCGTGGACTTGTTCGACCACGCGGTCGATCATGGATCAACATTGTTTTCACTTTAACACTAATTAATTAGCAGTGATCTCTGGGAGCAAGTGCTGCTGATGAACGGAATGAGTAAATATTTGGCTTGTTCAACTGCTGTTTTGGAAATGGGCCGAGAAGGTCTCGAGTGTTGTCGATATATATCCTATGGCAGTGCACCAACACTTTAGGTATTCATGTCACGTCCCATTCATGTGAATCCGAACGTGGAAAATGCCTTGACCACATGTCTCCAATGATCATCACAAAGCTGAACAAAACTCACTTCGGGTAGAAATGTCACCCGGGATCTACCCTCATGTCTTCCTTTCTAGTTGTAGCTCCATGCGCCAAGGCCCCGTAAGCCAAGTTCAAGCCTCGCCCCGCCCTTACCCGTCCCTCTTCAGGAACTCGCTCTGTCCTTTATGTAGTTGTGTTCTGAATTCGAATAGACGAGAATTCCGGGTTTCATGGGACTGAGAAGATGAAGCCCGATCTTCGAGCGATGTAAACAGCGCCCCCAAATCTATACGACATTAGAGAACAGGAGGTTGAAATGTGCAGCGAAGATCCTCGCAGCACCGACCTTGGCATCGTTGCGCCAGGATAGGTGCAATTTTAAGCCCCCACCCCGGTATTTCCAGCTGGAGACACAGCTCTTCCTCGTTCTTAATCGTAGACACTCGCCACCATATATCTCCATTACACATCTTATCTTTCAGCACCTCGTTTCTCTTCCCTGGGTAATTTGATCTTGGGAATAGAGCCATGTCTTCGAGTCGCCAGTGCTACTGGCCGCAATCACGAGGCCGCCCCTGGCAACTATCCATGTTCCGACGACGAGATCACCTCCTGTTGCGGCTCAAGTTCCACCTGCCTGTCCAATGGATACTGTATGGACATATAGCAGCCTTTTACCCTTTCGCAAGGAGGATGTACCAGTGATACGTGGGCGTCTGGATGCCCAACTGCATGCCGTGAGCTCTCGATCAGATTTTATCCTTTCTTTCGGCCCCCAACCATTGACGCAACGCAGAACAAACAGAATTCGAAAACCAAGGCTCAGCAATTGTCAATCTAAACTACAATAGTGCAACTGGTGTGTCGATATATTGTTGTGGTACACCCGTCGGCACCGACGAGGGAAATGGCACGGACTGCCAGTATGGCTACGATAGCTTCGCTTTCGCGACCATTCTCGCTGGATACAATGCTCTTGCCGACTATACCAATACATCATCATCGACCAATTCTTCAAGTGTCGCTCCAAACTCGTCTTCAGGACCCCCCACTGGCTCACATGATGTCGCCCTGGGCGTCGGCCTGGGTGTCCCGCTCGGAATCATTGCTCTTGGCTCGCTGCTCTGGGCATTCGGGGAGAGGAGGCGGGCGAATCAACTAAGTAGAGCCCTGGCGGCTAGTAACATTCCAGCCCAAGCCTTTGCCGGTACCTCGCAGTCTCCTCAATCGCGTCTCGTGACCGAACGGTCTGGACTCAGAGAGCTGGACGGTACTTGGCAACCCCCAAGAAATGCCAGCCAAATGAGAGACTGGGCAAAATACCAGCACTGGAGAAAGAAATTGCGAGACTCCCAATGAGACCATACATGTGGAGCCAGCTAGTATTCACTCGATCTTTATCTCGGTGTCCTACATTATAGAAGTGAATGGAATGCACATGGATATCAGCTCATAACTCTAGTCCAGGATGAATCTTGGATAAACTATCCGAGGCCCATGGTGGTATCACGATGTAAGGAAGTACAAAAAGCTCAGGCACAAGCACAAATCAACTGACAGATGGACCGAGTCGGGCTCGTTATCTCGGTCCTAGTTGCTTCTTTTGAGGGAAATTCGAGCTTCGGTCCAATGAGATTGTCTCGGGGTGCTTATTTCTCCGATCCCTTGTTTTTTAAAGGTCCATTCTTCACTTTATCGCTCACGCTGTGCCATCTAGCCTTGACCACTGCCCCCAGAAGCCACATTCCCCAGCACAAACAAGTGTCATTAAGCGGTACTCAAGGCCCCGTACCGAGCTCCCAGATCCTCTTTTCGAATCCCGTGCAGATTGGCCCTCGGGACAGGCGGGGGAATTCAATGCCTAAACTCCAGGGGGTTGGAATGCGGCAAATACAAGAGGCCTTGGAGGCCTGGACCATACAGGCTCTGCTGATAGCCTGGATGATTAGCCTGGAGGATGGAGATATAAAATCAAGCGGGAGAGGTCTGTTTCTGCGTCTTTTTTGTTTCCTGTGGAGTTCACAGTCGATCACGCTGATCCATCAGATCTTCACCTCGTGGCGGATCTTCGTTCTGACGCGTCCAGAATGTCATCTTTGGGAGTTCGTGGCAATAGCCTCAACATCGTGGCTATCCTGGGTGTTCTCATGCCTGGGATCATGTCCGTTGGCTACAACGCTGCTTCACTGGGTGGGGTTTTGAGTCTGAAGAGCTTTGAAAATCAGTTCCCTGAAATCGACGTGGATCATGCGAAAGATCAGTCCTATGCATCGACGATACAGGGAACGGTGGTCGCTGCTTATGCGGTTGGTGGCTTCCTGGGTACCTTTTCTTGTATTTTCTTGGGCGACAAACTCGGACGTCGATGGACGATGATGACAGGTGCCGCGGTGCAAATTCTTGGTTGTCTCTTGAATGCCACCGCGTCCACCTTGGTCCAGCTCATCATTTCTCGGATCACCATTGGATTCGGCACTGGCGCATTGCTGGCCACTATCCCTCTTTGGCAGTCTGAAATCTCGCCTGCGAAGAAACGTGGTAGGCACGTTGCTACCAAGGGTGTCTTCAGTGGTTTGGGATGCGCCCTCGCCCTGTTTCTTGAATTCGGAATGTCTTTTATGGGAAGCAGTGTTGCATGGCGTTTCCCATCGGCTTTCCCTGTTCTACTCTCGGCCATTGTCTTTGTATTCGCTGCTCTGCTTCCCGATTCTCCTCGTTGGCTTCTTCGACAAGGACGAGTCGCCGAGGCCCGTGAGGTTCTGGCAATGCTGGAAGACACTTGTGTGAACGATGGAATCATAGACGAGAAAGTCAAGGAAGTACAGGATTCATTGGAATTATCCGGTGGGAAGCGATCATTGGGTCAGATCTTCCACATGGGACCCCAGAAGATCTTTCACCGTGCTATGCTCGCAGTTGGACCTCTGGTCTTCCTACAGTTGACCGGTGCTACGGTGACCACCTTCTATACAACCTCCATCTTCGAAAATAATCTCGGACTCGACGACCAGACCTCTCGACTTCTAGCAGGAGTCTACCAGCTCGTTGGGCCAATCGGCGGTACCGTCTGTGTCCTCGGCATCGAAGGCTTTGGTCGTCGGAAGCTTCTGATGGCTAGCACGATCGGAAACACCATTTGCCTGACGCTTATTGCAAGTCTTGGGTCCGTCTCCGGTAACCTTTGGGCATCGCACGGAGCCGTCTTCTTTCTTTTCTTGTTCCATTTCAGCTACATTATCGGATTTGGTGGCATTCCGTACCTGTTCGCCACGGAGATTGCGCCTCTTCATCTTCGCACTACCATCAATAGCTTGAGCATCAGTATCTCGTGGATCTTCAGCATCTTGATCACTAATGTCACACCGCTCGCATTCAATCTGATGGGACAACGATATTTCCTCATTTTCGCCGGCCTCAATGTCGTGATGACACCGGCGATCTATTACCTCTTTCCCGAAACGGCAGGGCGCAGTCTCGAAGAGATGGATGAGATTTTTGCGCTTTCGCGAGGTGTACTGGATGTTGTTCATGTGGCTAAAAAGCTTCCACATCGCCATCAGATCGAGTATCAGTCTGATAAGAAATTTGACGATGACTTGAAAGATGCCGCTGCTTTGGCCTGATGCTTATTGTGAACGTCTTAATTGCTGGGCAATTACTTGGTATGACTATGTTGTAGGACTTAATGACTTTGATCTTCCAATAATGAATCAACCCCGTTCAACGTTCTAAATGCCGCCGCCAAGCATCTGCTTCAAGCTCCTGAAACACACTTCCGTTCTGAATGAGCTAGCAAAGAACTACAGAACCATGAGTTGCTGAGTTCTCAATGACATTCTGGGTCTAATGGGGCTTTATAATGCTATTAGGATTTCAAAATGTGTTGAATGGGCTCAATGCCACTGGATTTAGCCTTTCAGGCATTCGTCAATCTGTTTGGACATCTGCAAACATTCCTCATCCCGAAGGGTGGTAGTGAACACTTGGATCGAGCACGGTGCTCCCTTGAGCAGCTCATAATTCCCTGCAACAATTACAATATCAGAGTTTGTTCCCAAGAGGTAATTCAAAGTCAATCATACATGACGGTGCAACCTGGCCCTCCTTCAACTCCATGGTCTCCTTGGCGTCGAGCTCTCCGACGTGTCCAAATGGAATGACACAGGCGGGATACTAGGGATAAGCATAAAACCGGTCAGCCATTTGTGCTTGAAAATGCATTCCACGCATAACTCACGTCGAGCAGGTTCAGGAAGGTGGTGTAAGGCACCACGCCAAAAGTATCATGCGCCACTGCTGTTGATTGGGCAGGCGGTGCAAGGCAGATATCCAGATTATGGTGAAGCCACAATTTTCTATGAGATTCACGCAGCTCTGCGCGGTGTGTGTTTAGTAAAGCCAATTTACCCATACTGTCAAGAGCGCTCATATCCGGAAGAGTAGACCTCTGCAGCTTCAGCAGCTCGACTAACTTCCCAATGTGGACCAGCGAGGGCACGGGGGGGTTCACCAGCTGCCATGATATGGCGCATCGCTCCTTGATCGAGAGTGAAGATGTTCCAGGCGACTTCGTTGGCTTCCATGATGTGACATTCCTCCTCGCTCAGCGTGACAATCTCATGGCCCCGGGCTTTGAGTAAACTGGCCGCCTCCGCTAGAACTCGTCGAACAGGGGGATGAAGAGGGAAAGTAGGGCTTTCAGGTACAAGGCCGATTCGGAGAGTGGGCTTGGTGGATACCTGTCTCCACGGAATGTCGAGAACAGTGGAGTCGTAGAGAGCGGGCTGGGCGTCGAAGATAGCTTTGAAGAATGTTTCAATGCCATTCAGATCCAGTGATAGGGGTCCGGCGCAGGACAGGACAAATTTCATTCCACTGGTTGTGCATGCGCGCATTCCTCCGTTCGGAACCCTCCCTGCGCTGGGTCTGAATCCGTACGTCCCACAGCAGGCAGCTGGAATTCGGACAGAGCCTAGAGGTGACAAAAGCGTTAAATTTCTGAAACTTTGTGTGGTACTCAAGTGCTATTTACCGCCAATGTCGGTGCCGACTCCCAATGGTGATCCTCGAAGGGCAATTAGGGCACCCTCGCCTCCGCTAGAGCCGCCGGGGCCTGTGGCTGTATTCCACGGGTTCAGGGTACGCCCGAAGACATTGTTGTCGGCCTCGGCAGTCTACAAAGAGAGGTCAGCCCATGAAGATCATGCACAATAATCCGAGTCACGCACCATCATTGTCTGCGGGACATTGGTTTTCACATAGATGACCGCCCCTAGGTTCAGCAGGATATCCACGAGAGGCGAGTTAGCTGAAGCAACTTCATCCATAAAAGACACCATGCCGATAGTAGCTTCCATTCCCTTGTATTGGAAGTTATCCTTGATGCTAATAGGGAGACCATGAAGAGGTCCGGCTGATTTGCCCTGAGCTCGGAGGTTGTCCAAATACTCGGCACGAGCATGAGCTTCCTCAAACATTGTCTCAGTAAGACAGTTTACCTGACTCAATTGTGAGCTTAGAGTAATATGCCTATTAATACCTGTAGGAACGAACCAACTGTTGAGCAACCGCAGCTCGCTTACAATATGCCATGGTCACCTCCGCCGAGGTCAATTCACCACTCGCCAGAGCAGAAAGCAGAGCGGCAACGTCATACTGCTCGGTGATATGTAGCTCTCGTTCCGTCAGGATTCCAGACTTGCGGATCGCTTGTACTTGGATGAGATTGGTCTTATTGTCTGACAAGGGTGTTTGGAGACTGTCTAGGAAGTTTGCCGACACCTTCCATGCTTGCGGAATTCTGTCTGCACAGGCTTCTCTTTTGATGGCTACCCTCTCTAGCCAAGGAGCCTTTTGGCCGGTAGAGCCCATTTTGAACGATGGATTCAATATTCGAGTACAAATTCCAAGGTAGGGTCTTCCACGTGAAGGTCTAAGAGATGACCAGGTATATGCGTGTCGTTGTATAAAATACAGAGAGTCAATAGATCTACTGATTAAATAGACGCTCTCTGTTGAGTAACCCAATCAATAGTCTTTCGGTCGAGGTGAAGGAACCAAGGTTCCGAGGGTCGTCATCCTCGGCAAAAGGCGGAGACGCGGGGTTCGATGGAGGCTTCCGACGCCATTCGATTCGAGATCATGGTAAGCTGACGGTGCAAAAGCTAATAAATTCGCCGGCTTGGCATGTCTCTCTATTCGTTCATATTCTGCCGTCATTTGTAAAGGAATGAAGTCGCCTGTGTCCGCTCCGGTCCGTCCACGGCGATTCGAGGTATCTTGCAATCAGATCTTCAGCTTCATCTTCTCTCTATCATTATCTCCTCCCCGCTTCTCCACTTCGTCTATCCGAGTGATCCGTTATCAGTGCAATGCGCAGACTCAAAATAACCCCTCAGTGATGCCGTCCCCTGCCTGTGACCGATGCCACTCTATAAAAGCGCGGTGCCTGACAGGCCCCGCAGGCAGCTGTTATCGATGCTATCGTCTGAAGCATTCTTGCACGTACTCCCGATGTCGTGGAAAGCGAGGTCGAAAACCAAGAATTGCTGTTCCTGAGGGGTCGGTAACTGATTCAAGTGATGGACTGACCACAAGCTTGGCGTCACCGCTCCCCAGCTCGCCAAACAATGCCACCGAGGACACGACTCAACCCCAGGAAGAAGATGAGGGTGAAGCTCCACATAAGTCCGAGCTTTCGGAGATATTATTTCAAGAGGGCATCATCTCCCCAGTCGCAGAATGCACCTCATTCCAAGTATGCGCCTTTTACTCATTTGGACCTCGGCTCAGCTTCGAGATGAGCCAAATGATTCACTGCCGGATGGAGGAAGCCCCTTCCCTTCTTCTCCACCCATATGAAGCATTTGCTCGCGTGCTGTATCGATGCATGACAAACCAGACGCCTTGTAGCAACGAAGAGTGGTCCATGGGTGCATCCGCTTTGAAAGCCCTACGGAATGCGCAAATCACAAAGGCCGAGTATGTGGGCGGTATCTTGGCCCTGGGCACGAGCTTAGTGGGCTTCCACCGTCTGATATCTGGGGTGTCGGCTAGTACCATCTGTCGACATACCTTGAGTCTCATTCGGCCGCTGTACTATGCCGATGAGCTGCGAGACTTCGACATAAAAGAGCTCCTATGTCTTATCTTTCTAGATACAACTCAGTCATTGTTCCGAGCTTGGATCCCGGTGATTGAATATAGGATTCGAGATCCCTACATTGTCAATCACTATGCGGGTCTGTGTGCTCCTCTGCTGCCACTTCTGTATCGTGTCTGTATCGTGGGAGCGGCTGTTCGTACAGGTTATGGCGACAAGGTCTCCCCGGAGGACTTTGAATGTCTTACAGATGAACTCAAAGCATGGTCACCAAACGTATCGAACGATACACTGAAGCGCTTCTCGGACAACGAGATGCTTCTGCTTCTCTCACAGGCTAACCTTCATCGAACGGCCACACTTCTTCTCTTGCATCGACTTCAATACCCATTTGGAGAGCGAGACGCTGAGGCAGAATCCCTTTCCCAGTCGATGGTGCATGAACTGATCCAATGTCTGCAAGGAGCTGACCAGTTTCCACCTAATGTGACTCTAGCGCTCCTGCTGGCAGGAGCCGAAGTCCATGACCCAGAGGGAAGAAAGCATATTCTATCATTGATTTTCAAGGTAAAAGGTGCATATTTCTACCCGTTTATTTCCAATCTGCGCATGTTCCTCGCGCGTGTTTGGAAGGCCAGGGACCTTGGAACGGCGCGATACCTTTTCCGTCTTTTTGAAGATGACCCGGATTTAAGCGTGCCGCTATAATGCGGCATTCAACAAGAATAAGAGAAATATTCCTCATCACGATTAATTAACCTGTCGTAATATTTCAGTATGTCCCCCATGGACCTCGTGTAGTTTCTTTGTTAGACCCTGGCGCCCTAACTAGATGCGTCTTGGGATGACATGTTTCGACTCCACACTTGGCCCTAATTAAGATTGAATCCTATTTATCGCCCGCGGATTGGCTCAAATAGCAGTCTGTTCGCGTATCTCTTTGTATGTCCAAAGTCTATATGAGAAGCAAGCGAAGAGAAGAACTCATACTGCAAGAACCCTGGACATGTCCTTCAGATTTATAAAGAGACGATAATTTCAGCTGTTGAGGGCAGTCGGCACACCCTCGTTGAACTGCATGTCCTCTCCTCGCCATGGCAGACCACACCTCTTCGATAGAATTCCCCCCTGGGACCATCTTGCTTGAAGACAGTAAGCCATCTTTGCTACCTGAATTGATCCTAGGATCAACACACTCACCAAGATCCTAGGGAGCGCCTCCCAATCCGGCATCATTCTCAGTCCCACCCCCTCAGACGACTTAGACGATCCTCTGGTACGTACACCGTCCATTTCGACACATCTTCATATTAAACCAAGATTCAGAATTGGTCTCGGCTCAGAAAAGCGATAAACTTTGGATTGACATGCACATTTGTCCTCTTCACAATGGTCTTGATCGACATCAACAGCGTCGCATACCGCGAATACATGACCGAGCTAGATCTGACATACTCAACCTTCAACAATGCCATCGGCGCCAACGTTGCCGGCCTTGCAGTAGGATGCCTCGTCTTGATTCCCTTTGTACACAAGTTCGGTCGCCGTCCGTTATACCTCATCAGCGCCCTGGTGCAATTCGCCACCGCTATCTGGTGGGCGAAGTTCCACACTGCCGGCGAGTTGATTGCCATCAACGTTATCGCTGGCTTGGCCGGATCGATTGCCGAGGCGATCGTGGTGATTACTATTGTTGATATGTTTTTCGTTCATCAGCATGCCCGTATGAATGGCGTCTTTATCTTCATGCAGACCCTCGGCTCGACTGGTGGGCCTATCGCTGCGGGATACATTGTCGTTGATTTGGGATGGCGGTGGATGTGGTGGATACTTGCGATCATGCTCGGGGTGAATTTTCTCCTTGTGCTTTTCTTCTTTGAAGAGTCCAAATACGTCCCATCTACAATCGCCCATTCTACCTCGGCTGCTTCGGATACTGTCGAAACCGGAGGAAAAAAAGGTGACCGTTTGGAAAAGATATCATTCACTGACCTCACAGTTGCCACTCAAAGCCGCAAGTCATATAGACAAAGACTTGCTTTCGTGACCAAAACGGATATCCCCATGCTTCAGCACTTTTATCAACCGCTACTTCTTCTTTTCACCTTCCCCGCGGTGGCATTTACCGCCATCAGCTACGGCGCTATCCTTGCTTGGTTTGCAGCATGTGTTTCATCTGCATCTTATTTTTTGATTCAGCCACCTTATAATTTCAGTGCGGCTGAAATTGGATTATTCAATCTTGGCGGATTTATTGGCACACTGTTAGCCACCTTCACGGCTAATTTTCTGAATGACTGGCTCATCGTCTGGCTGGCACGACGAAATGGGGGTATCTTCGAGCCAGAAATGCGTCTTTGGCTGATTTTCCCCGCTGGAATATTGAATTCTGCTGGTCTGTTGATGTTTGGAATTGGCCTCGGACGGGTTAATCTACCAATACTCTCAATGTGAACATTGCTGACGATCCGTCGTAGGGTCTTGCGTGGATCATTCTCGCTGTTGGTTCGGGCTTGTTTGGTTTCGGTTTCGTGGTCACTGCAGATGTTGCTTTGACATATCTCACCGATAGTTATCCTGACGTGGGTACATTTGCAGTTTTATTATTACGCTGTCTTGAAGTCTAACGATTTCTAGATCCTCGGTGATGCTCTCATAGCTGTTGTCTTTGTTCGCAATGGATTTGCGATGATAATCCTTTTCGCCCTCACTGACTGGATCGCCGGGATGGGTATTCAAAATACCTTTATTGTCATTGGCGTGCTTGCTTTTGTAACCCTCGTCATGCCGGCGCTGCTGATGGTCCATGGCAAGCGAGCTAGGATCAAGACAGCCTCCAAGTACAAGGAGTTCGCTTCACGTCAGCAGCCTCAGCGATTTGTGTAGTGGTATTATCGATTCATCTTATTTACGCCTTTTCAGTCTTTCTTCTAGTCTGTGAAATGCGGTTTCAAGGTAGTTCAAAGTTGAGGTTCCCGATTGAATGAGTTCCCAGTATTCATTCCCACTACAGTGCGGAGCTTTGGGTCAGAGTCATGAGATTGTTTCATCTGTTGAATGCCAAGTCAAATTGCCACCATATATGTACATACCTAGGCCGCAAGTGCCTTCAAGAAGGCCGGGCTCTCATGATCCTGTACAACCTTGGAGATAGGAGTGAGGTACGCCTCGGCATTTTCTTGGTCCTCCAGAAGACGGCGGATATAAGCTTGAGCAGCCTTCATCCACATCGCCTTCTCAGCTGCGCTGGCTTCCAAGCCCTGCCAGACCCAGATGCGATTGCCAGCATCGTAGATGAAGACATCGTTTCCGTCGAGGTCGGTCTTGCTGACACGACCCCCATCTTTGACGAGATCAAAGGATAGTGAGCCTGAGGCGTCGCTGAGCCGGAAGAGCTTCCGGGACCGAGAACTATCGCTGTCCTCCACACTGCGCTTCGCGAAGGAACCAGGTCGCGGGCATTGGAAGCTAGATTGATTGGCTTCCTTACCACCAAGCAGGTCTACAACGATCCGAGATCTTGACTCGAGTTGGGAAAGAACCTCAACATCAACATGCTTCGCCAAAGTCATGTCATTCACCACCTGAGCGGCCTTGGCCTTCTCCATCGGGCTACAGCTTTTGCCCTGCCAAACCCAGATCTTCTCACCCTTATCCAAAACGAACACGTCATGATCATCGAGGCTTTGCCAAGTAGGCTCGACTTCGTGCACGATGATGGTGCCCGTCCGGGTGGAGCCAGGGTACTTGAAGATGCGGAGAAGTGTGAGTACTTCTTTCGCTTCTTCAGGCTCAATATGGGTGAATCCCGAGCGAACACCTCCGGATCGGACCGCGTAATGACGGAACAACGCCAAGAACTCGTTGGAGGGCTGTGCCTGAACCTCACGATGCTGAGTCGCAGCCCCGTGCAAGAACTCATCCAGCTCGACTGTCTTGTATGCAGCGGTGCCCGCCTCGTCCTGAGTTGTCTTGCTGCCCAGCCAGAAGAAGATATCGTGGCCTAGCTTGTCGTCGCCAACCTTGTATGTATGCAGCACGATGAAGCTGTCTCCGTCGTAGAACTCGCCCATCTTCTCTCTGGGCCAGAGGACGACTTCGAAATTCTCAATACGCCAGACGAAGAGCCCAATCTCCTGGCCAATCTTTCCATTGTTCCATGCAGGCTCGGAAGCAGCGGAGTTGTATTTGACGCGGTGGTCGAGGTCGGATCCGATCAGCTCCACATTGCTGTCTTTGATATCATATTCTTTCGGATGAACGAGACCTTCACGGGGAGGCATGTTGATTTGGTTTGTAATTGTAGGAAAAACAACAGAGCTGAAGCAGTGAAGAGACACGCTGCCTTAAAGAGCTCAGGTGGGGCCAGGGCTGAGTCAGGTGGGGTTTCGAGGAAGTCACTCGGATTTGTCAATAGGACCAAGTTGATGCTATTTTTGGCCCTGCTCTGTTTCAACACTCGTTCACAGCCTGAGGCATTCAAACACCCCGGCCATGCTCGAAATCCAAGGCTCCTGGCAATTGTCATCCACGCAAAGGGTGGTTTCATCTTGCACAAGAACAAGCCATTCGGATTTACCAAGGGCATTCCACAAAACATCATTTTTTGGCAGGGGAAATTGAAGGTCACCTGCAGAGAGCAAGGAATCACTTGAATCAGGGCTATTATGGCTTCCATTGTTAGACTGGGTGGAGCTCAGTTTCCCACAAGCCTTGTACAGGGCCAAATTGAATCGTTTGACTTCCTCTGTGCACACCCAGGCAAATGAAGCCAGTCCCACCTCTTTAAACCTGGTGAGCATATTCGGATAGAAGAGCATGCCTCGTTTCCGACAACTTCGAACCAGGGCTTCAAGCAATTCAGTGTCAGCGGGGGAAAGAGAAACTTTGAATTCAAAATCGAGAGCATCACGACTCCTCAGAATGAGGGAGAAGATGATATGTAGCAGGATAGCCTGATACGTAGAAATAGGCCAGGGCAAGGTGCTGGAAAATTCGTCTTTATCTGACACATCCCAGTTCGCCTATCACGATATTTTCAGATAAGTAAGTCAGATATGCCAAGAGCTCTATGGGCATAACGAACCTTTTGATCACGAATAGCCAGGTGGAGCTTTTCATGGAGCTCGACCGCTGCCGATCGTGAAGGCTGTTCTCCACTACACCAAAGACCTAGGACAGTCATTGATTGAAGGAGCAGGGGCGTTTCACGATGTATATTGAATGATCCTCTATGAATAAACGGCCAGAATCGGTGAAATTTCTTGAAATAAAGACCAATGTACTGTTCCTTCTTCTCAAAGTGAGTTGATTGCACTCGACCCTGGCCCGGACTGGACGCAAGGTCGGAGGATGCAGGGCGTTTCGTTTCTATCGTATCATTATCGTCGAAGAGACACTGGATTCCGCGGCGAAGACATTCATCACATGGCACGCCTCCTTCGCAACGAGATTTCCCGGTATGACAACTCTTGCAGGCCCGTCTGGCGCGACCTGGAGGCTCAGTTCTTTTGTGGCGTTGCCGCATATGTCGTCGTAGTGTATCACTGCGACGGAGACCCCAGTCAGATTGATGTGGACAGATGAGCCGGTCGTATTATGAGGTACCTTCTCCCAAAATGGCTACCACAAATTGAACACGGGAAAGCTTGCTGTCGGGAGTGTTTTGTTTCATGGCGGCGCAAGTGCTCCCTCCGCCGATAGTTCGCGTTGCAGCCCGGGAAGTGACATCTAAACGTGTCAGAAGGACTTCGCGAACAAGGCTCATCTTCTCGGCTTGCCATTAGTCGTCACCGCTTCTCAGAATCTTGTTGACGAGAAGACAGTAGTGTTCCATTCTAAGCATTGAAGTGTTTAAGTGAAGATGGATGACAAATCAACGATCGGTCGGTCTCCAGCGCTCCTCTGGTTGGCCTATTGTGCCGGCATCCCACCGGTTTCCCACTTGATCTATGGATGTCATGCTACATTCGTCACTTTCACATCAGCTACAGGCCGAATCGACCCGCTGATCATGCATTACGTGAAACGATGAGGCATCGCAAATCCCCGAGCTCACTGGAAAATCTGGTGTAAATTTGCCACAAATTCCGTTATTGCAGCCCCGCAAGATAGGTAGCGTCAAAAAGAGCCTCTCAAAGATCAGATCTATGAGCTTTGTACCTCATGACGCAAGGCTGTCTATTCCTCAGAGGCGAGAAAATGATAGCACAACCTCTTCAAAATAAGCTAGACATCTGCGTCATCAATGCAGCGTGTACTGTTATTCAGACTGTGGATCCTTACATCGGCGAGCCTTCTGTGATGAGGCACAAAATAATGCGGATATGAAGAGCAGGCTTCTCAAGTGTTGTAGAGCCATGGGATCCCTAAATTGGCACACAGCATATTTGACGCTCAATAGGAATTTGGCCTATATAGCCGACTCTAATTATCTGCAGAGATAGAGTAGGGAGGTGGGTGCTCTAAGTCTTCAAACTCAGTCATCGAAAGCTCATATCCAAGATGTCGCTTGAGCAATTCATGAGTGATGAACCTCTCCGGCGCATTTCCCTGCGCATCAACAAACGAAACATGGGGATTCACTTCACTGATTCGCTGCAGCTCATTTGCATGGCGATGGTGGTGGGGGCATCCGTCAACACCGATCAAGAAAATCGTAACATGAACCCAAGAGAGACCCAACAGATCAAGCTCGAATTCATCCATATCGCTCGCTTCTCCATCAAGTAGAAGAAGTAGCCGCAGCTTCGGGGTCTGTGGACCAGCTTGCCAGCCGTAGATTGGATGGTATGTTGCTGATTCGGAATGTTTTTGGAAATGGAGTTGCTTCACTTTTTGCCAGCCGGTCATCACTCGCGTGCGGCCACCAAATGCGACGAACTTCCACATTTCTTCAAAGTTCCAGTGATTTATGATGCCAATGTGGTCGGCATTGCTTGAGAATGTGGTCAGTTCGTAGCCTTGCCAATTTTGGTCGTGGTTGGCCATTGCGTCGGTGAACCGGCGGATGATTGACTTTGCCACATCTGTAGTGCTAATATTCAGCACATTATTGAAAATTTCTTAATGGGTTGGACGTACCTTTGTTTTTGGGTTGAGTTGATCTCGAATAGCCGGTGATGAGATAGTGATTGTAGTTCGGTCGCATGGGCTCAAAATCCATGGAGCCGGAAACGTCCAGCAAGATCATGGTGTCATCCGAGGGAGTTTCGACGCCATCGAATGGCCTGAAGGGTGGAGGCATCACTTGGTGTGAATAGCCCTTGGATGTATGTTGAACATGGCAGACATCATCGGCAGCATAATAGGCAGGAGGTGGCTCGACTGCAGAGGCCATTCGAGCCCGAGCCATGTCCAGCGCTGATATGATATCGGGCTTCAGTCGAGCCCCTGTGCTCCCTGCTCTATGATTCAATACCCAGTAGAGACGCTCCTCGGCGGTGTCTTCGTATCCTCTCCATGTCGGGGTGATGCCTCTCCATCCAGAGGCAGCATCAATGGAGAATTTGAGAGGATTTGAAGCCAAGTCCGCCCACGCAACGGGAATAGGCTCAAAGTAACCCGCTCGAAGTAAGTGAAGGTATTGAAGAGGGCAGTGAGTCCGAAGTTCGGATATTTTCTCAGTCATACCCATCTTCGCCTGATAAGTGATCACAATATTCCGCGACGTCTCATCTGGCCATCTTCCACACTCTTCACGGAGAATTTCGGTGCGCAACTTCATCAGCGATCTGGCTTTGATGGCTTCTTTCTCCTCGGATGATTTGATTGAGAATGCCCGCTTGAGCCCAGCAAATTTCGATGGCTTTGAGCGATGACCAGATGAATTAGAAGCCGAGTCGGCGATTGACATGTCCGACATCGAGGCCTCAAGCTGACTAGTCTCCCAAATATTGATTGGCGGCTCCTGGCCGTTGACAGCAGCCTGTGCTTTTGCGTTCAGGACTTCATTCAACCGAATTGTCTGTCGGATCGACTTTGCATGATAAGTCGGGTCCGGCCTTTGAGTTCCATAGAGGGATGCGCCACTGAATCCATAGGGAGAGATGACCCCGATTGCATACGGGTTTCCTGTGAACCAGCTCGTTTGGTAGCAGTCGTGATATGTCTTCTCACCCGGGTACATCACAGCCTTGGACCATAGGTCCAACACATGAAGGCGCTTAATCTTTCTGTTCATATACCGGTGAATGGGACAGTTGCAGTAATAGTCTGTGTCGTGCTCCGGCTCTATCTCCGGATTGAAGATGTGAGATACTTGCTGGACGTTCTGCAGTAAAAACTGCATTTCTTGTTCATCTCGGGCGCGAACATGGCTGGCTTCGATGACTGCATTCGTGTGAAAGGCAGGTGTGGCAGATGTGGGCCCACCTGTCGTGGCTGAATACGACGGGGGAAGATCAACAGACATCTTGGCTTTTGTAGACCCTGGAGAACTCCCGTGCTAGGACTGGTGATTCTACCTCGCGATCTTCGGGGTGCATGGAATGTAGAGACGGGTGCCTTAAGAAGTCGAATAAATCGCGCAGGGCACCCGGCTAATCGGCCACGTTTTGCTGGTTCAGCCACAAGCGCTTGTCCGAAGTGAGAATCGGTTTGTTGCCCGCATCTGTTATGCGACCGCCACGCAATGTAGAATGTTGCACATGAAGACTTGGCTCCGAGGCTTATCTCGTACAGCCGCCCGTAACTCCGCATTATGTCCCGGCTTTTGTTTGGGTTCATCTACAGAGCGGTGACGATCCACTGATTTGCTCTGGCAAGGGCTTGACCTGACTTTTGACAGGTCAACAGTTCATAATAAATGTCCGACTCTGGACTGGGATGGAAATTACAGATCACGATTAGAAGGGTCGCGCCCAGCTATCAGCTATAGAGAGTCTCGACTCTTGCAAGTGCTTCAATCTTACGCAGACACCGCAGTCTGCAGTTCCGAAGATTCCACAGCAATCTGCATGTCACGTTTCAGCTTAACACATTGAACAGAAAATATGATATGGTCCATAACACATACATATTGCCACAGGAATAGCGGAATATTATCATCGGAGCCATTGGTCATGTAGCCTTTCTACGTTGTTGAAGAACCTCTTTGTTTTTCGGATATCAGGTGCGGGGTAACATAACGTAATCCACAAGCGACTCGCCACCACAAGCCACCCGCCACCCCATCCAATTTCGCGTCTCCGCGTATTCCCCCCCCCGATTATATCATTTATTATGCCACCAATTCGGTCGGAAACAAGCCAGGATGCTATCCACCAAGAGGGTAGGATCGAGCTTGCAATCCAGGCTTTCAAAAATAAAGATATTCCGACTATTACGGCTGCTGCGCGCGTCTATAGCATACCGCGGTCTACGCTACGCGACCGCATCAATGGTCTTCCTTCGAAGGCTACCACCCGCGCTAATGGCCATAAAATGACCCAGTTAGATGAGGATACGCTTACCAAGTGGATTCTATCTATGGATGACCGCGGTGCATCTCCTAGGCATACGATGGTGCGCAATATGGCCAATATTCTTCTTTCGGCTACCGGTTCCTCCACAGTTGGTGTGAATTGGGTTGGAAACTACATTAAGCGTACGCCGGCTATCCAAACACGTTTCTCGCGTCGATATAATTATCAACGTGCAGAACAGGAGGATCCGCGGGTATTAAATGACTGGTTTCGGCTAGTTGGGGAGACTATTGCGCGCTATGGTATCCCGCCTGATGATATCTATAACTTCGATGAAACCGGCTTCGCAATGGGCTTAGTTTCTACCGCAAAGGTGGTTACTAGAGCTGGATACTATGGACGACGATCTGTTCTACAGCCAGGCAATCGGGAATGGGTGACTGCAGTAGAGACTGTTAATGCTTTAGGCTGGGCTTTGCCGCCGTTGATTATATTCAAAGGCAAGCGCTATATCGAATCATGGTTCCACGATACCCCGAGGGACTGGCGCTTCGAGGTTAGCCTAAATGGGTGGACGTCGGATGATATTGGGCTTCGATGGCTTCAAAAGCTATTTATTCCTTTGACCGCAAGCCGTATACGTAGTCGGTATAGGCTATTAATTCTTGATGGTCATGGAAGCCACCTTACGCCTGAATTTGATCGTCTATGCACCGAAAACGATATTATACCTATTTGCATGCCACCGCATAGCTCACATCTATTGCAGCCGCTAGATGTAGGCTGTTTCGCAGTTCTAAAGCGATCATATGGTCGGCTTGTGGACCAGCAGACGCGTATAGGTATAAACCATATCGATAAGCTTGATTTCCTTGCAGCCTACCCACATGCACGCGAGGATGCATTCAAGGCTAGAATTATTCAAAATGCATTCAAAGCGACCGGTATAATACATTGAATGCAGCAGAAGTCCTTGATAAGCTTAATATTCAGCTTCGTCCGCCTACACCAGACCGACCATCAAGCCAATCAAGCAAATCAAGCATTTATTGCCCTGAAACACCAAGCACAATCAAGCAGCTTTCAAAGCATAGGGCATCAGCAAGACGACTGATTAAATATCGGTCTGACAGCCCACCTACGCCTACCAAAGAGGTATTTGATCAGGCTTATAAGGCATGCGAACAAGTCATGAAGCGCATCCTTCTATTGGAGCAAGAAGTTGTTGATCTACGCGCGGAAAACTACAAAAAGAAGAAAAGAAGGCTTTGCCTAAAAGGCAAATCCAGCGCGATGAGGGCTTATTCGTTCATGAAGCCCATGATCAAGGCATTGGTCTACCAAGTGGCATAGAAGGTGGTAGGGTGGTCTCCGCAACACCCACCTCGAGGGCTACAATAAGCGGTGATCAAACCAATAGACGTCAATATGCATGCAGCGTATGCAGAAGGCCTGGCCATAGGGCTAATTTCTGTACGGAGAAGGTTTAAATTGAATATAAAGGGGATGTGGTAATTTAAAAGCTTCATGAATAGAAGAATAAATGGGTGGGTGGCGGGTGGCTTGTGGTGGCGAGTCGCTTGTGGATTACGTTACCGCCCGGGCTCCAAAGCCATTGTTGAACACTTTTTGTGAGCAGAGATACGGACCTGGTGTTTTCAAGTCGTCATGGTATCACCCATGGAAATTATAGCAGAAGCCTGCAAGTAAAGCATTATACTTTGGAACCATTGAAAAGCAAATGATCATCTTAGGCTTCTTATTGAGTGATTGACTCTGTCTGCGCTATTCATGGCCCCATCTAGCTCATTTTATTGTCAAAAGGCTACACACTCCGTTATTCCAGGATCGTGAAAATTGCTCTGAATTTCCTCGAGGCTGCGACCCTGACTCCCACCATCTAACGACCTGGCTTGGTTTTTTTTTTCCGTACCTTGTACGAGCAAGTTCCAGAATCTAATGGGTGGTGCGTTGACGAAAGTATGCCATCCAAAGTCTTCCTCAGGATTGACAATTAATCTTGGGATTTTCGACACAAATACTTGGAATGATCGCCGCTCAATAGAGTGATAGGACGAATGTATCTCGAAAGAAAAAAGGCACTTGCAATTCACGCCGCCTCCAAAGTAAACATAGAGCGAGAGTCACAGATATGAATACAGGCAGATCAATCTTTATTTGAACTGAAGGCTGTAATGTATTGCTTCCATGTAAATTCTCATTCCCCTCGACCAACGGCATGCTCACTTCACCAGCTTGGAAGTACACTTTATCCTCAGATTCACGAGTCTGCCATAGGCCTTACACTTACGCTCCCGCAGGAAAGCAATGTGATACTCAACTTCCCTGAATGTGGAAATCTTCGTATCTACCTGACTTGAGTCAACCGTAATTTCTATTCTTTCCTAGTACAAGGTTTGTCGAGGCTGAAGATGTCGTTCGCCAATGTGCACTTGGAATGTGGAATATGAGATCTTATGTAAGATTGGGACGCAGATTCACATTCATCGAACAAGAATGGTTGATGTCATTAGAATTTTTTCCGCGGCCTCCGACCGAACAAAAGGATCGTGGAGCACCCGCCCATCCGATCAGAGACGGATCAGAGGTTCTTCCGAGAGCTGAAGCGGAGAAAGATGTTCGTAGGGTTCTCGGGATTTCTGGATCCGCCGAGTTCAGGAAGAGTCTTGAAGCGGGGATTGAGGGGCAAGAGTGATTGGGAGAAAAGGTTTCTGGGATGCAAGAGAGCTTGGGATTCATGGTGTTTGTCGGGAAATACGTCCACGGATCCCTGGGGTTGGGTCTGGGCAGTTCGTTGTTGGTGGTCTGATCTGGGGTTCGTGACGTCTATGATTTGAAGGAGCCGGAAGCCTGAGCCCGAACGACCTTCCCATGGTTGAGGAGTCTTGGATTGGAGTACTTTCCATGAATGGAGTAATCGTATACGGATTGATGATATTATACAGTAATTTTGAGTAGTAACGTGATCGTCGTGACTCGTTAAAAATACTGATAGACTATTATACATGCTCTCGCGCAGTATGGCGAGCTCCCTGAGATCCATCGTCGCCATCTGCAGACGTTTGCGTGACCTCGAATGTTTGGTGAATGCCCACTTCTATTTTGCGGTGGCCGGGTGACGGTTGATCAAAATTCAACCTTTCCTCGCTGCTGTTTGGACTCGATGACGAACCGGCCCATGTATTTTCTGGGTCCCTCTGACTTTCAATGTTTGTGACCATTACAGCCAGCTTGTCTGGTCTCAAACCTCCCGGCCGACTAGTATCGACGGATCCCAATGGTAGCCCCCTCTGTGCGCTGGCTTTGATTCTGCGAGACCCTGAGGGCCCTGCAAAACCAGACGGATAATTTGAGTCAGTCCGTGAGCCTAGCCAGTGACGGAGGAGAGGTCGGAGGGTTGCAAGACTGCCAGCTGTAATTCCGAGTCCGGCCTCAATGTTAGACCAGATAGCGATCTGGTAGGTCGCCCCTAGAGAAACGTCAGTACTTTGAACAACGAGAAGAAATGATTCAAGGAATCGTACACAGGAAGTCGTTTTCGATGCGGAATGTCTTCACGAAGGGGAATCTGACAATGACGGCCGACGAAGCACTGTATATCATGTCAGTTGAGTCTTGCGAGGTCGAGAGTAGGTAACGTACATGCAAGCCATGCTCAGAATACCCACGACGGCCAACTTAGCCTCCTTTCTCATGTGCAGCTTGTGCACGATGAAGATGGGCAATATGCCAACGGTGAAATCACAGGCGGCGGAGAATGCACTGTAGACATAAGTCATGGTGATGATGATGTCGATACTAATGCAGTGTCCCGCAATGGCAGGGTCCCGAGCCGCTCGCGTCCAGAAAAATGAGAGCGGTTTGCATTGTAGAAGCATCAGGAACATGAAGACTAGACCGGCTAGAACGGTCAAGACCATGACGATGTAGAGGATCCAATTATGAATTCGTTTGACGGTAATTCGTAATAAGAAAATGCAAATAGAAATCTTGCAGAAGATCGAGGCGAAGCAGTATGCAATCTCGCAAAACCACCAATACTAGAAGACGGTGAGTGATGTGCATTTCCGGGGAAGTTGAATGATGCGCGATGCGTACCTCCATGGCCGTTACACGATCATCGGGCTCGAGATTTGTAAAATGGTAACCGGTACCATAGCGGGTTCCTCCAATCATACAGGCGCTGAACATCACGTAGAATAACTGAATCGTTAGTGTCTCGTCGGATGGATGGAGAGGATCAGCCTACTGCTGCGACCACCATCGAACCATCATCCCATCCAAATGCCTTCACCAAGAAACCACGGACGTAGCAACGCAGCATCACCGAGATGGTGGCAATGCACATGAAGACGGCCGCGACCGTCCTCACGGCCATGGCCCTCGATTCCTCGTCAGACATGCCGGTCAGAGTCAAGGCGATGTGACAGAGAGTGGAGTAGGGGTGGGAAAGCTAATTCATATTAATATTTCGAACCAGAATCAAGGGCAGACTCTGCCCGGCGGAACAGTGGCGGACAGTGATCGTGCACTTCACCCGATTCCTTAGGGGGGCAAATTTAGCGTACCCAGGAAGTTAAAAAACCCATCCACTTGGCAAGCGATCAAGGCGTGATCCGCACCATGGCAGTGTGAACAGTCAGGCTGGAACCTCCATGGACAACCATCGTAATTTCGGAAGTCGCCTAGCCTAGTAAGTGGAGCGGGCAGATAAGCGCAGACAGCTGTCTAGTGACCGAAACAGAGTCTCGCGAAGGCGAGGTAGAGCTGGAACTGGACGAATACCCGGTTACTGGAACCTCTGTGGAGAAGCTTCAAGCTAACACCCACCAGCGACTCTAGCGCGCACTTCGCGCGGCCTGGCGCGCCATATCGATCCACCTCGGTCGGCTTGATCGCCCGGAAATGGTATCACCACCGCGAGTCATGCAGGGTGTGTCTACCACTACCGTGATCAAACGCCTAGATCTTCTCCTGAATTTTGTTGTGTCCGGGGATCCCAAAACTCGAGCTATTGAACGCGGTGTTCACACTTGTTCTCAAGTTGACAGCTTTGGTGACAGCTCTTGCACCGTGGACCTTCCAGGCTAATCAAGGAAACTCATCTCCGAGTTCCAATTTCCTCGTGATCGCCCAAATCACATTTGGCCTAGACAATGGCCCCTATCCGATCTGCTGATTGGTAATCGACTTAAAACGCGAAAGGAGGGGCGGGAAAAGAACGGGGTGCACCACATGGCCTGACTGGGATGACCTGCATGGCGTATCCTTAGTGGAACGTTAAACCAGAGACGTGGCTCGCCGGTTTGCCCAATGTGGTCAAGCATGGCGCCTATAGTCTGAAGAATTAGACCTCGTGTTTTGGTCTTTCTTGGAGCTGCCTCAGGCATTCAAATCAGCTTCCAAATTGGGGGGATGCATGGATCTCTCGAGTCCACCCTCGTGTCGCTTTTGGTAATCAGTATGGTTGGATTCTCCGTTTGCGGCCTTCCCCGAGTTGCTAGACTCGGTACTTTTTCGCCATAAAAATATGCTCCTTTCGTACCAGCGTATCTGTTACTAGATCTAGACTGATGGCGACAGCTTTTCATATTCCACGCACACTCTCTTTCTTCTTAACAATGCATCTCCTCTGAGTGAAATATGCGACCAGGAGCATTGCTTTGACATCTGGGAAAACTTCCTCACCAATATCTCTTAGGGCTCATCGGAACTTTTGCTGAAAAGTCGGTCCTGAATTCCAATCTTCGCGGGAGTGGCGCCCTCAACCATAGATCTCATGGGCTTCATCGCATCGTAGACGGGCGTTCTTGATTCAAATGCATCGTCTAACCCTTGAGAGTTCCTGCCGGTGCCATGAACACGGATTTGCAAATATATGAAGTAATTGAGAATCACATCTGATACCGGGGGCGTTTATCCTACTCAGATTGTCCTCACTGTCGTCTATATTTCATGCTCTCACCTCCTCTCACTCTGACTAGCGACCGCCATGTAATGATTTTCTTACTTCCCAAAATTGAGCATCATCATTCGGTAGGCCCGTGGCGTCCAGAAACCTTGTTTTGACTTTTCAAAGGGGCTGACATGTAGCTCTACTGGCGGTTTTTCAAGGATTTCCGGCAATACTGTAATCCTCGGATCCCGGCGGAATGTCGCTTATTCTTGCTGAAGGTTTCCGCCCTGGATCCCGCAACAATAAGTTTGAGTTCTCCATTATTCTTGCCTGTAAATAGAAGGAACAGCACTTCGCCAAGCAATATTGCCTTACGCGCTCTAGATTCCCATTCTTTGACCCAGAAATATGGACTGCGGACATGACAGGCCCTTTTACTTTGAGCTTGCAGTTGTCGCATACAACACGTCTGCAGACTTCGTGCTACAAAGTTCCTTGATCTTGAATGACTCGTTTTTTTGATCGGGACAATGGATGGTGAACTGTATGTATACATCTTTCATCGGTTTTTGCCACCTTCGCATGATGGCGTTGATATTGCTGAGTTATATGATTCTTTCGCCGCAATACAAAGACCTTCAAATGCTGTTTCAAGGAGGACCTTTCCTTTGAGATCAACAAGAATAAGTGATCTGAGGAGATGGCAGGCTGCGTCGTTGAGTAATCTGGTCGTCGGTGCCTCCTGGACAATCACACAACCGGTATAATCTAGGTAAGTAGCAGCGAACTGAAGGGGCAATGACTCCGCCACCGTGGTTGTCAAAGATCGACGGCTTTTCTCGACCCGAGAGTTTGCGTATGGAAATCACATCGCGTGCTTGTTGTGCCGGATTTAGCCGGTCAGGTAGGCTCAGCGACTTCTCTTATGTCAAATTGTCGCCGAATGTTTGTGCAGACGGAGGCTTGCATGTCCGGATGCTCAAACGAGGGGCTGAACAGGCGGCTAATACGATTTTCGTCAGGGATGAAATCCAGCCATGTTCCGGACCCTTGATACCAACAGGGCAGATCGCACCGGTTCGTGAAGACGAAGGCGAAATCAAAAACCGCAGCGCACGGTATTTACTGTCCTAGCAAGCTGTCTATGGAATCGGATGTCTCACAGGTTTAAATGTGAGAGTGCCAGGTCTTTTCATCTCAAAGATGTCTCTCATCCTGGCATGCGCATCTACGTTCCAAAGGGAAACAGGGTTGCCGAATGCGGCCCGCATTGTCTACAACGTCAAAGATCGTCCACTATTTGTCCGCCTGGTCCAATCGCAAGATAAGCTGAAACAGCTGACCCCTCAACTAATGTGACGGAAGGAATTTGTGCGATCTTGGGAAGAATAATCCCTGTTGTGGCTTGCTGCAATGCTCATTTATCGGTGCTTCGAATATTCGAATCAAGCTACCTTGCCTTGAACGGAAACGACATATCGCTTTTCTACTGTGTTTCGGGGGCCTGGGACACTTCCTGTTTCGTCTCTCTTTCGCCATGGATGCGCCAACGACTGCAGCTGGTAACAAGCTCCAGCCTCAAAATGCCACCTGGAGGATGCTGTTGCTTTCTATTTGGGTTTCTTTCGCAGCCTGGATCTCAGCTTTCGACAGCGGTTATGGAGGTATTGTATTGATCATGCCCTCCTTTCAAAAACGATTCGGTCATTGTGACCAGACGCCTCATTCAAGTCCTGAAAATGCTGAGAAATGTACTCTCACCACATTGCAACAATCTCTCTTAAGCGTGAGCTTCCTCTTCACGGGCATTGGCAGCGCGCTAGCTGGAATTAATGGATCGAGCCTGGGCCGTAAAAGGACTATCCAGGTGGCTTGTCTCTTCTGTATCATTGGAGCTGCCGGTATGCTCGGAACCTCGGGCAATTTCCTCCAATACATGGTATGCAAGTGCATCAACGGCGTCGGTAATGGTCAGCTTCTAGCGGCAAGTATTGTGTACGGCTCAGAGTGTGTCTCTGCAAATAAGCGCGGCCTCTTGCTTGGAATTTTCAACGTCGGACTTGCCATGGGAAACGTCGCAGCAGCTGCGGTTTGTGCAGGCTCGGCAACGCTGGCACCGGACAATGACTGGCAGTGGAAAGCACCTATCGTCAGCCAGATCCCATTGAGCTTGCTCCTCGGGTGTGGCATTCTCATGTTTCCCGAGTCTCCGCGATGGCTACTACTAAAAGGCAAAGAATATGAGGCTCGAAAGGCGTTTGCTACTTACCAGGGGCTCGGTTTGCATTCGGCTGAGATTACTGCACAAGTGGAAGATGTTCAGCGATCTCTTGAATTTGAACAGTCGGTCGATGCCAGCACATCCTGGATTGAAATTTACCGTGGTTCTCATCTTCGTCGAACAGCAGTTTCTTCGCTGATCTTGATCGGGCTTGCCATTACGGGCATCCAATTCGTTGCACCATATGCAGCCCTCTTCTTCAGTGGGGTGGGAATCAAGAATCCCTTTTTGATCAACGTCATTGTTGGACTATGCATTTTTGGAGGTGCCTGCATTGGCCCGATGATTCTCGAGTACGGCGGACGACGATTCGCAATGTTATCTGGCTACAGTGTGATGGCCATATGCATGCTCATCCTCTCTACGGTTAGCACTGCTCTCGGATCAGATGATCCGGCTGCTCAGAAAGTTGTGATTGCCTTTCTATGCATATGGGCATTTGTCTTCGGTGGATTTATCGGTCCTAGTGTCTGGCTGGCGTCTGCAGAGATGCACAGCGTGCGACTCCGAACCTATGGACAAGCGAATACAACCTTGCTTTACGAGATTTTCTCGTTCGCAGTCCAGTTTTGGACACCGTACATGCTCAACGTGAAATATGGGAATATGGGGGTCAACGTTGGCTACTTTTACTTTGGACTGACGGTAGCTGTTCTGGTTCTCGTGTTCTTCTTTGTACCGGAAACAGCACGTTTGACCCTTGAGCAAATCGATGACTTCTTCCTTTCTGGCAATATGGCGTGGAAGACATCGACAAGAAAAAATATTGCCATTGCTCGGGGCAATCCCTTGGGCTCATCAAATTCCACACTTGAAACATTCATGTTTGCAAAAGAAGCAGCCCACACTGAGGGTATGGAAGTATCGCTTAGATGAGCCCTTGAGGTATCACTTGAGGGCAAAATCATTCTGCCGTTCATCCGGCGTTCATAGGTATGAGAAAAGAACAGAAACCATGGGTGGGAAGATGCGTGGAAAGGCAGTCATAGCTATGGCTATGACCTCAAAAGAAAGTGGATATGTTCATGCATAAATCAGGCACTCGAAAGAGAATGATGAGGGTTGGAACTTAATCTATTGAAGACCTCGGAGACCGGTTACCCGAGGTTTACTCGGTCCAAGATTCTGCATTGGGAAGCTCCGATCGAACATCGAGCCTCTAAAACAACTTTTTTATCAACTTCGACGCGTAGCCTTGCATAAACCCGAAAAATCGGATTTAAAGTACAATAGTCGACAATGATCGTCCCCATGTCCCCGCATCACTACGCGTATCCGGCGTTGGATTCTTCAGGATGAATGCGACGTTGATGATTCAACGTACACGCGTCAAGTTCTCTAAGTGCAGTGCAAGTTACTGGAGACAAGGGCGCGGTCACTAAAACCCGCTTTTTTAATGATACCTGATGATCAACTATTGGGCGTTGTTCTCAAATGACTGGCTACTGTCGTCATTTAACGCGAATGTCCTACGCCGTGGACAACCCGTTTAGCGGTACTATTGACTCCCGCTTTAGCTAAGCCCAGCATGAACGTGGACCAGTGGGATTTATGTCGCGGAGCGTGTCATGTATATTGGTCAAGCAAGTGTGTATAAAAACCCATTGATCGCCATTCCAATTATTCTCTTAAGTCACTCTTGTCTTCTTTCACAATCTCAACACCTTCCCTATTTCTTGACAAACAGTGCGACGAATGCTTTCCATCAACCAGGGTCTCGTCTCGCTGGCTGTGGGTGCTGCAGTTGCCCAAGCTCAGCTCTGGGACAAAGTCATTGAGACGAACTACGGCCCCGTCCAGGGATATAAGTACTTCAATGAGTCAACTCTTGGGAAGTACTTTGATATCTCCGAGTCCAATGTAACCGCTTTCTTGGGCATCCCTTTCGCCGCAGACACTGGTTACCAAAACCGCTGGAAGCCTCCTCAGCCTCGCGAGAAATGGAACACAACTTACAAAGCCACCTCATGGGGTCACCCTTGCCCTAGCAACGGTGTCGGTAACATCAGCGAGGACTGTCTCAACCTGAATATCTGGACCAATGCTGGCACTGCCGATGCCAAGCTGCCTGTCATGGTCTGGAACCAGGGTTCTGATGAGACGAGCGACAATACCTGGTGGTATGGTGGTGGCATGGCTTTGAAGAACGTTATTTTGATCACTTTCAACCGTCGTGACGATGCATTCGGCTTCCTCGCTCATCCCGAGCTTAACGAGGAGGGTTTCAAGGAGACCGGACACTACACTTCCGGCAACTACGGCATCCTTGACCACCTGGAGGTTCTCAAGTGGGTGAAGAAGAACATTGCCAACTTCGGTGGTGATCCTGATCGCGTTACTATTGCCGGTCAATCCTTCGGTTCCTCCCAGGTCTATCACGCCGTGAATAGTCCACTTTTCACCGGATACCTCCACGGTGGTATCTCTGAGTCCGGTATTCGATACCCTTACGATCCTCTTCTGGCTGGTCTGGCTACCTCCTACGTTAACATGTCTGCTGCCATTCAGCACGGCGTGAACTACACTACCAATCACAATGCCTCAAGCATCGCCGAGCTTCGCACCAAGTCCATGGAGGATCTATTGATAGGCTCCCAGGACCGTGTCAGTGATGACTACATTTGGTGGGTGACTGCGCTCTCTACCAACACCCCCCCTGATATTCAAGCCTGTTCTCGACGATTACGTTCTGCCCAAGAAGTACATGGAGACTCTTCTCACTGGTCCCGCCAACGACGTCCCTGTCATTACGGGTAACACCAAGGATGAGTCTGGCGCTTCCCCAAGCACCGATTACACTGTCTCCGAGTACGAGCACTACTGCTCGCTGAAGTATGGCAACCTGTCCAGCCAGTACTTCAAGCTCTATCCCGATCACAAAAATCAGACCATCGCTGACCGGGCCTGGAACGCTGCTGCTCGTGATGCCAGTCTGGTTGGTTCGTGGGCTTATGCTACCGAGTGGTACAAGGCTGCCAATTCTGACTTCTACACCTATTACTGGACCCATGCCCCCCTGGCCAGGACCAAGGTGCTTTCCATCAGTCGGAGATCATGTACGCCCTCAATGCGCTCTATGCCAACACGGATACCTATCCGTTCACCGGGATCGACTACGAGATCCAGGAGAAAATGTCGTCCTACTGGGCCAACTTCGCCAAGACCTTGGACCCTAATAAGGGTGGCTCATATACTGGCAAGGGTTCTCTACCCGAGTGGACTCCCAACAGCCCGAACGGCACCCAAGTTGTCATGGAGCTTGGAAACTACTTTGGAAATGTGCCAATAGCCAAGAAGGCACAGGTCAATTTCCTCATGGACTGGTACAAGCAGCAGGGCCCTTACTGATTGTTGATTTTCCTCTTGGGGCCCTTGAGATGCTTGGAAGGTTCGTTTTCATCTTGCACCGCCAGGCACGTCCACTTTGTCGGATAGAGACTTGTTTGCCATGTCCTGATCAGTGTACTTGTAGACAGGGATAAATATTGAATTTTGTAACAGAACCAGTCGTATAGATATCGTATGGTAGATGATTTAGTCATAGCCTTCGATGACTATATTGCAATTGTTTGTTCGAGAGTCTCATTCATCAGCTGAACACTATTACAACCTGTAAAACCCCCACTTGTGTAGGGAGTAACCTATCTGCAGGTAAATTCCAGTCAGCCTATTGAAAGAAAAGAGCACAAAATAAAAATCTCAACATTTATTCGTGCAGCACGCTATCACAAGATATCTTATTCGACCGTCCAGCCGATCTACATAATCCTGCAGACTCATATTTGTACCGCTTCTGAACGCCTATGATCTAGAAATACTGACCAGCCAAACTTGCTGCAATTGCTGTCACTAGTAGCTGCTCCAATTCTACCACCGGTTCAACAAGGAAAAACGCCTTGGATGTGAAGTCTCACAGGATCCGAAGAGAAAGATCCATGTAACATCGTCATTTTCTCTGATTTCTGGACATTTTCCAATGGATACCAGATTCTGTTCCAAAGAGCCTTTTACGATTCATTGCGGATCCGTGGGTGACCCCTGCAGGTGAAATTGTCTCACGTTGTTCTTTGTGCTTACTTCTCTCTTCGGTCTTAATGCTTCTGTTTTGGGGATCCGCTTATCTTTGGTCCTACTTAGCCCGGGCTGTCCTACGGTTCTATCGAATTCATCTTATTTATTACCCCGCTATCTCCAGATTAATTTCATCCACCGCTCACTCCACCATCATCGCAACCGCGAAAGGCATGTCTGTCCGACCTGCACTCGTACTCATTATCATGGGCAACAAATCCTGACAATTCAACAGTCATACAGAGGATTGTATATCGTACTCATATCCCGACCTTGGGTTCACGCCTGCGCTTCAACGCTCTCGCTAGGCCTATTGCGGTATCTATGGAGTCTTCATCTTCAATCCCTACGCAGTCTAACGCCCCTACGACCATGGACACTCCCAACACAACCACCTGGGTTCAAAACATACTCGATTCAATCCGAAGCTTGTTTAGTCGCCACACTGGCGTCAAAGAAAGTGAGTCGGACATCATGGACGGATGGATTGGAACACGGAAGGGTCATGGCAGATGTCGCTCGGTTGGAGAAATTCATTAATTTTGTTTCTTATCTTTGAATGATAGTGTGATGCTTGATGAGGAGACAGATGAATCCATTCTTGTCTGGTCTTATTTAAAAGTGATCTAATCAAAAAATGGCCCTTAGTACTCTGCTTTCTAAGTAGTCTGACGTATTGGTTGTAGCTACTAGAGATCGATATTTTGGGAACATTTATTGAAGACAGAATTTGGAGTGAATTACAGTCTCCGATTACAATGCACAAATAGCAGCGGCTGCTTGACATATCTTCAACTTTTGTCTTGACGATCTAGATGTGAATTTCACGCCACTAAAGCGTGGCCAAGGAAATGATCAACATGTAATGAATGCTCATAACGTTTCTGGCCGAATATACTGAGATATTTTGATAAGATATATTGGAGAAAAGCCACATGACAAAATGAAAAGAGCCCATTGAATATTTCGAATAGACCATGGAGAAACCCCATAGATTTATGAGAATCAAGTCTTAAGAGCTCGTAAGATCATCCATGAAATAGATCAGGCTTGAAACCGAGCTCTACGATCAAAATGGTGTTTTCTTATCAGCAACACGTCCTTCATACCGCTCACGAGTCATTCCATTTGACGACACGGAAGGGGCACATTCCGCAGCAGCTTGCGGGGATGAACTAAAGATAAGCCTTGCATGTGCTTGAACAATTGGTTTCCGTTGTTAGAAAACGGTCTGGATTGCGGGACTGTCATTGTTGTTTCATCTCCACTTATTAGCCGTTCATCTTGGTGTCTTGTAATGGTCACCACCCCCGGCCTCAAAAGTCTCATGGATTTAGAGTCAACCCGCACAGCATGGGTGTCTTTCCTGAGACTCCAATCATACCGTTTGATCTTTCTATTTGGCTGTTTTCTCTCCGTTTGCAGTGTTTGGGCATCATGTTATGTGCCGAATGGCACAGTCGATACCAATGCAGGATATGCACCATGCGGAAACACGGACGGAGAGACGAATATGTGTTGTGCCTTGAACCGCAACAGTAATAACGCCACCTGTCTTGACAACGGCTTATGCCAATATGGCCATGAGTCGCCGACTTACTGGCGAGAGCTGTGCTCCGACTCAGATTGGACGAAGAACCAACACTGCTTGAGCGTGTGCCTCAATGTATGTTTCAACTGGGGGACTGGGATCATACTGGCTCTTCGCGCTAACACAATGGCTCAAAAGTCGGTCAACCATGCGGGCACTGCACAGATGACGCCTTGCGATGGTACCCCGGAATCGAAAACCTGGTGCTGTGGTTCGACGAAGGACTGTTGTAATAGCGAGCATGCGATCACACTTGCTCAGAGACTCGAAGCTCGAGCATCGACTCATACAGGCTCGCAGCTTTCGAATGGGGCAAAGGCGGGCATCGCAGTGGGTGTTTCTGTCGGGGTCATTGTGTTGATGACCTTTCTCTTTTTCGTTCGTCGTGCCGAGAGAAAGAAGACTGGCAGTTCTCAGCATCAGCATTATGACTACCGGGCCACGGGGACGACGCAGGAGACAATGGGGATCCCAGTTGACGATCTGCCGTCAAGGTCAGTGACGGCAAAACATGAGTTGCCGGCGTGAATATATATGGGATGAAAGATCATTGAAGAATGAAAGTCAAATATGGAATTGGAGGAATCCATGATGTGGTATAGATACATGGTCAAATCGAAACATCGCCATAATAGTAGTATAAGTACAAGTACAGTTTGCCGTCGGGCCCATCAAGAAGACGTCGAGAAGTACCGCTCGAGATAGAGTTACAAAGGCCGCTTCGAAAGCGGATTTAAGCCTCCACACGAGTTGGGATCTTAATCATGCCGCGCTTACGGTCTTGGGTAGGTACACCATAGCGGCGACCAGGTGCCCAGGGAGCGCGTCCGTCCTTTCCGGTGGTCTCCGCAGTGAACACGGCTTCCGAGAAGCGGTAGTCAAACCGACCACCCTCGGGCTCAACGTGCTTGATGCTCTTCTCACGGCGGGCGGCAGCTCGCTCACGGCGCTCCTGCTCAGCCTTCTCTTGACGTTCCATACGCTCGGCATGCCTCTTGCCAACCTCGCGACGCTCCTCAGGGTGGGCAGCGCGGTCAAGTTCCAGCTTCACCAGCTGCGGGTGGGGGATACGCACATCGGCAGGCTGTAGGACCTGACGAGCGTTGTCGCCCTTACCAACCCATTCGATGGAGTTGGGGTTCTCAATGGCCTTTTCGGCAAGGTCTGAGGGGTGTGTAATCTTCTCCGCAACCTCACGCTCCAGAGCAGGTGCACCAGAGAAGACACGACCAGCGTCAACACGAGTGAAGGATCGCGACTCGGGCACGGGGTAGAAGATCTGAGGGCCAGTTGAGGGGTGGGCAGGGAGATCGTTAATGGGTTCGTGGAATTGTTGGCGCTCGCCATCCTGGGCTAGCGGAGTGGTCGGAACCATCTCGTGGACCGCGCGGGCATATGGCAAGGCAAGAGGTTTACCCTGAATTGCAAATGGTTAGCCGGGTTTCAAAGAAATAACCAGTGGCAATGAGTAGAATGACAGCATTCATATCAGTAACATAAAAGTTCCTAACCAGTCAAGCGATTGCTTGTGTCTTCAAGACTAATCGAATTTTTTTATAGCTCATCATATGAGTTGGGGATGGGGCGGAAGGCGGAAGATCAACGAGATGCGAAATTGGGGAATCCTTACCTGTGCCCGTTGTCTCTTCTCCAACTCGACTAATCGCACCACCGCCGCGATCCGCTTCATGTCAACACCAAGCTGAACACTGACAGCACGCACGCTCTTTTTCTTCTCAACGACCAGGGCATAGATCTCGTTCCGCAACTCCTCACTCAGAATGTTCTCGCTGACAAAGGTTGGGTTGCTCGGAAAAGGCCGGTCGCCGCCTCCCTCGTCATTCAAAAAATTTCTCAAGTAATTTGTTTGGCCAGGAGTGTGGTGCTTGAGAACAGATCCTGAGGTGTTGAGCCACTCGAACATTTGCCTCCGGAGCTTGGTCTGGGGGGCTGCCGTGACCGAAAACTGACGAGGAAGGCATTGTGAGGAGGAAAGAGAGGGGATAGAGGATACTGAGGAGGAAGATGAGGGGGATGTGAGGTAGGGAAGAAGGGCGTTGGACACGCGACGGCTCTGTATCCGGGGCGCCATCTTGATGTGTGCGATTCCCGGAAGCCGTGGAATTAGGGAATAAGGCGAGGAGTGAGGAAGAACCGGGAGGATAGATCAAGTCTCAACAAGAGCAGCGGCCATTGACCTCACGCTGCAAATGCTGGGGTGCGGTTGGTCCGAGGCTGAGGTGTTTGTGTAGGGGAAGAAACTTTTCTCTGCGCGGGAAGGTCAATCGGGCCCTCACGTGACCGTTCCTAGCTCAACCATGGCCTTCTATGTGTGTTTGACTCAAAGATTGGGAAATATCATTCTTTTCGTAAATCAGAAATCCTAAGTCACAGGAGATAGATTTCTAAAACTAGACTTCACAGTTTCATTCTCATAAGATAAGTTGGGTCGAAGACTCATCGACTCATTTCAGAGACGACTAGCATATTCAAGAGGCCAAATTGTAAACCATTCATTGTATCAGGTACAAATTGAAGCAAATGCATCAGTATCATCAAAAGCACCAGCACAGAAACCACCAAGCAAAGCGAGGTGCAGGCGTAGAAGAGAGCGTGGCATGAAACGAACGCGCCTCAGTTTCCTGATCCAGACATAACAAAAGATAGCCATGGCACCATGAAGCATAGTAGGACTTTGCACGAGAGTCCTGGTCTGAAAGCAACAAACGAACGGCGATATATATTGGACGATGCAAGCGACCAGGATGGAGGGAGAGAAGCAGGGCACGAGCGACAAATAACGACTCAGACCTTTAGGCGCCCTCTTTTCTCCAGGTAAATGTAAAAGAAAGCTGGATGAAACGCCTGCGCATACCGAATCCTATGCATGGAGTGGAGACTGGCAATAAAAGGATTAAATAGGGCAAGCCAAGGACAAGAACTGAAAAGCCGAGTCTCAATCCGTCTCTGGTACTTGCATAGAAAACAAAGAATTGCAAGACGATAATAGCAAATTCCATTTCCGGTTCACACGTGAAGATGCAATGATTAAGACAAAAATTGAAGCAGGTGGTTGTAAAGGGGAATCACGGTCGAAAGTAAGAAAGAAACCTTCACCCGTACAGATCTCAGCCAGGCAAAGACAACCTCATAAGGTGCTGTCATCGGGGCATAGAGCACAAGCAGAATGAGCAATAACAAACAAACACAAGGGTATGAGGGAGATGAAGAACGCAAATGGTCGACAGAAAAACGCTGTGCGAGCGCCGCGGTCCGACCACAATAGGAATACAAGCTTGACGATGACCTGAAATGCAATCCTCCCAAAGGCGAGAAAAAAAGAAAGGAATGTGGAAGTGCGCCCGAGTCCCCATGCAATACAGAAAAACAACATAGCAGCCAAAGCAGAACAAGGGGCAATTAATCAATGCCATAAAAAAGAAAGCAGAGGCCGAATCAATACTCCCGAGAGGTATGCAGCCGCCGAATGCTGGTCTAGCTCACGAAAACGAAAGGAACCCCCCAATGCGCCAGTACCCCAGTTGGTTCATCAAACATGCCGGACATTATTTCAAATATAATGCTTGAGGTCTTAGCGACCCATCATGTAATCGGGGTAGAAGGAATTGAAGCCGTTCATATTGGGTCCTGCATTATTGCCGGCGGCACCTCCAGGAGGTGGCGGGGGCGGCGGCGACATCATTTGACCAACTCCGTTGGTGCGAATGCCGAGTCCCGAGTTGTGGTTGAACGAGCCGTTATTAACCATATGTGGATGGCCCGGAGAGTGCATGGAAGCACTTCCGTTGCGGACAGGCATGGGCATAGCAAGTCCCGGAGGAGCTGCTAGACCCGGAGGTGGACCACTCACTGATGAGAACATGTGATTGTGCACCCCATTCAAGCTGCTGCCACCAGGTACACCACCTTGTCCAGAGAGGTTGGCTGGATTCATGCTGCCTGGCTGGCCGGAGCGCACGCCGAGTGGATTCTTAGAGAAACTAAGGCGGATACCAGTCTTGACACTGTTGGACAATTTGTAGCCATAAAGCTCATTAAGTGCCTTACTGGCCATCGCCACTTCGTCAAACTCCACGAAACACATGGGCCCGTTTTGCTTGTTACGGAAGCAAAGTCGCTTGTAGCCGCGTTGCTTGGAGAAGAGCGCCTTAAGCTCTTCTTCCGAAGTGTCGGGAGGTAGATTGCCCACATACAATGTGTTGCATGGAGGGTTCAGATCATTAGGGTTTGCAGCAGGGAGACTGTGTCGAGGGGTGTGTTGACTGGCATATGGGAAACCATGGCCTTGGTTCACGTTGCCGGGGTAGGCAGACTGAGGTCCACTCGCGCTCATGCGCTGCCCGCTAGGACCGCCAGAAGCATAATTCGGCAAAGGCGGAGAAGACATGGTCGTCGAGAGAGACAGATTGGCAAAACGACCGGCCGGGATGTGGGGATTGGTTGATCGACGCTGGGCAGAGATGGAATGGCCATTTTCAGCGTAGCCAACGGGATCCTTAAGCAATTCTCCAGTCTCCTCATCCGGATCTTCATCAATCATCGACTTGCCAGTCACCCGCGGGAGATCGCCAACTCCGTTGCCAATGGGAGACTGCGGAGAAAAGAGGCTATGTAGGCGCGAGCCGGACTCTGATGTGGAAGGCAAGCCTTCGCCGATTGCCTGAGCGGATGGGTTGTTTGCGGACAACCGCTCCAAGCTCTGGAAGGTGCCATTGAAACGGGAGGACTGGCGGGACAAGGGGCCGTTAGAGGCGACCCCGCCGAGCAAACCGCCCCTCGCGGTGTGATCTATCGTGTTGCGACGCGCGTTCGAGAGGTTGGAGCCCACGGCACCAGGATACATCTCAACAACCATATTTGCATCGTTCTTGGAGTTGGGCTTCCCGTCGAGAAGAGAGCGAGCCTCTTCGGCGGCGGGGATGGTGTTGAAGCGCGCGATCGCGCTCAAGAACCCGTTATCTTCGGGATGATCGGAGTTGATAAAGTCGGCGTCGACAAAATCCTTGGCGAAAAGCAACATGCTGCGGAGAGCTTCGCGGCTGGTGTTGCGCGGTAGTTTGCGCATCAATATCGCGCCACCGCCGCTCGCGCGTCCCAGGCCGTTCAGACCCTGGAAATTGCGATCGGGGTCGCCCAGGCGCATACTGTTTTCAAAGGAGGTGGAAGGGCCGAGAGGCGAGAAGGGATGGGTAAAAGTCGGAGCTAAAGATGTGGGCGCTTGCGAGACAGTCGGGCTATACACGTCGGTCGACATCGCATGCTGAGTCGTCGCGGACGCCTGAGAAGAAATTTGGGTGGGCGAGGAGCCTGAAGACACGGATTCGGTGCGCTGCGTCGTTCCGAAGGAGCCGGGACTCGTTCGAGTGGACTGGTTCGAGCTGCCGCTCATCCCTCACGAAGGTGTATGAGAAAAAATTGGGTTTCGCGACAGGAGATACCACCCAAAGAAACGCGAGATACGAGGCTATGACGGCGTCAGAGGCAGAAGCGTCGCGGCGCAGGCGCGCAATGATGCGACAGGAAGAGATGAGGCGCGGGAGGGCGAAGACGAAATTAGCGATTCAATCGAGATTCGAATAGGCAGGGACGTTCGCTCCTCATCGGGTCTGCGACAGGCGCGTTGATGAAGAAGGGGGAGGGGGGGAGACTCCGTAGAGTGAAATGGAGATGACGGAGGTGAAAGACAGAGATGACTGGCGCAACAAATGGAGATGGGGAGGGGGGAAGCAGGAACGATGGGAAGGACGAGAGGCGATGGAGGGGGAGAGAAAGAGAAGGGGGAGAAGGGGGGGAAAGAAAAGAGTCCGGAACGGTCGAAGGAGCCCACAGGTGCCAGATCCATGGATCTGTAGACGCGACTCGTGACGGAGGTGTGACTGTCGGTTGCATTCAGGGGGTACCTCTCCTGCAGTCAGGGGTACCATGGCATAGAAGTACCGCCCTGTAAATTACCACAGTACTGTCACATCAATACACCAAGGACGGTCACCTTGGTACCGCCGCTTGCAGAACGTGGTCCTGGAGTGCGTGCCCCGAGTTGGCCAGGAATGCCCCGGTTCTTATTTTTTCCCTTTCTTCTTCGCCCTGATCTGCTTGGGGTGTCCGGGGTTCTGGACCTGATATGAGTATCCCAGGTATACAGCAGCTAAGCCGCTCCCCCACTAGTCTCGCGTTCGAGGTCCCAGCCACCTCGGTACTTGTGTTTCCTTGACCCGTTCGAGAAACAGCGCCATTATCTCCTATGCTTCAACGGGGCTGCAGATGCTCCGTCAAGAATGAAACATTGAACCAGTCGCCCTCTAGACACTGGGAGTATAGAGGAATTCTCACAAAACCGGACGCGCTCGACACTGTAGACCCTAGATACCCTAGAGACTCGACATTAAATACTAGACACTAGATACTCGACAATACTAGACACCCTCGAAACCCAACATACTGTGCACACCCCAACAGGCTGACCGTGCTTGACATCATTGTTCTGCCAAATCAAGTCGAGGAACTGTGGACCTTTTGGCTCCGAGAATATAGCAAAAAGCCCCATCACAGAATCCGGAAGTCCGTCTCATTCTTTGCCGATCATCCAGTGACTCAGGCACCAGTGGACTCATCAAGCAGGTCGTACACTGCACGCTGTCAGCCGTGGACTCTCGAAAGTCTAAGACCCCGGCGATCCTCGAGCACCCCAGCACCAATTGCCACCAATTACCATGGGTTTGACCTGCTGCGTCCCTGCACATTGGCTGATCCGCTGGAGTTGGCCATGGGCTTATCGAGTCTTGGGGGTCGGGCTGAAGGCCTGGTTGGGCCGTGTCCACAACGCACAGCTCCTCGGGAGACAGCGACCAGCCCCGATGTGGTTAAGAACCGTCCGTTTCTCCTGGGGGCGAGAGCCGGTCATAGGGGCGTCACCTTTGGGCGTGACTGTTTTCCCTTTCTCTTTTGTTGACCACAAGATCGGGAAAGCTTACTTGGCATGGCCTCGTTTGACTCGAATCAGCTGTGGGGTTTCGTGTTTCGTTCCCCCGGATCTACACTTGCTCCACTAGGGTGTTCATGCACAGGTTCAGATCAAGTAGGATTGTTCATGCTGGGCAAGCAGGGTCCGAGCATCGCGTCACGTAATATACATAAAGAGGATTTGGGTTCTTGGTCCCGGGCGACCCAAATGGCCCAACTCATTAACGCCGCAAATGCCAATGATATCAAAAATGGAAAAATAGAAGCCCTGGAAGATTGTCGTGGCCCAAGTCGCTCCTGGCTCTTCTGCCTTGGTCCATTTAAAAGGTGCGTTCGACACGCAAGGCCCAGAGGCTGATGATTTACAAAGTTCTTCTTTGCACATCAAGTCAGGCACCCCGCGAACTGCGCCTGTTGTATCCAAATTGGACAGATCGAAAGGAACGCTCGGGTGGGACGCTTTCGTTCAAGGTTTGACGGTCTCACGCCTTTGCGTAGGTAGCAGGCTTCTTCTCGACGAGCCCGGCCTGGGATCAATCCAGTCAGTACATAATTCCACCATATTGAATCGTGAAACGGATAACACGTTCAGAGATTGAGGATCACGATGCGCAGTCTAAAGAGCCCGCTACATTATGTCCATTCGTATCACAGCAACGGCTCTCCGGCCCATCCACACTTACCATGCTCAACAGCTTCCACACCGGATCACTAGGCTGCGCGCCGACACCGAGCCAGTACTTCGCACGAGACCGATCGAGAGCAATCTCCTTGTATGCGCGGGCATTGGCGTTCTCATTGTACAGGTTGGTCGGTTGCTTCGGGATGGGGTTGAAGGTGCCGATAACCTCGAGTGGCTTCGCGCCGCGGGCAGACCTAGAGAGGCGAGAGTCAGCTTGATTTGTCTCATGAAATTGAACAGTCCAGCACGGATTCCAACTTCTGCGATTCTCTATCCGAGCCGGATGGAGTTGCATTGAAGATGTCGTGGGAAGCCAAACAGGACCACCTACCGAGCCTGCGCAACGACGATGTTGTAAAAGGGGTCGTGCTTGTTGCCGAAGCGAGCCAATCGAATCCGGAGAACCATGGCGGAGAATGTGTAGGGGTTTTTGTGAATGAAATGGACAGCGTGATGCTCGTGAGACCAAAACTCCGCAAAAGTTAGGGAGGCTCGGATGAAGGGTTATTCCGTCTGCGCCAGATATGGACTAGCGTGGGATATGATGCAATGCGATGTATAAGGGCCTCATTACTTGGTTAACTCTTTCCCCCCTCAATTCAATTGTACTTTGTCTCGATTGCCCTAGTATCTCCACTATATCAGGAGATTTTATGTTCCGTTCCCTTCCCATCGGACGGTCTCGATTCTCTACTATTCGTCGCTACAGTAAGATCACAACAATGTCGCTGAAGGTATGCTTCATGCTCACCACCGGGAGAGTTTACTGACTGATTGTTCATTCCAGGCGATTTCGGCCAAAGATGCTGCTGCCCTTGACAAGGATCTGATGGACATGGGAGGTTGGTCTTTGGACCAGCTGATGGAACTGGCAGGCCTTTCTGTTTCCCAGGCTGGTTAGTTACTTGGTCCCTAGCCCACTGCCTGTCCTAATGCTAAATACATGATCTGGTAGTCTGGCGAGTCCACCCGCTTAGTTCTGGAAAGAATATACTCGTAGTATGTGGACCAGGAAATAATGGTAAGAGCCAGCATCTTCCATAATGAGCGCTATAATCCGAGCGCAGTTAACAATGCACAGGCGGCGACGGTCTCGTAGCAGCCCGACACCTCGCCCAATACGGCTACAATCCATCCGTGTTCTACCCCAAGCAAGGAAAGAATGAGCTCTATCAGCGCCTGAAAACACAGCTCGAGAATCTTTCCGTTCCATTCATCACGGATTTCTCAGCTGCTCTGAAGTCCACCGACTTCCTCGTCGACGCTATCTTCGGCTTCTCCTTTGGCGGACCATTGCGGGACCCGTTCGGCTCTATAGTCTCACAAATCGAGTCATCTTCTGTCCCCGTACTGAGTGTCGACGCGCCCAGCTCATGGGATATTCAGAGCGGACCACCAAAGGAGGGACCTGGTGCCAAGTTTATGCCCGCAGCGCTGATTAGTTTGACAGCTCCGAAACCGTGTGTCAAGTTTTATCAGGGAAGACATTTCATTGGTGGTCGGTTCTTGTCTAAGGATATTACGGACAAGTATGGGCTTGACTGTCCGGCGTATCCGGGAATCGACCAGGTCATGGAAGTTGGGGTGGATGCAGAGGGTAGACTTTAGGTTTTCTACGATGTGGAAAATGAAAATAACAAGAACATTGAAGATCAGGTACTGATTTGTTGTTGAAGTCGTTAATAAGTAGCGTAAGTTCCTATCTATGCACCTTCCATGAGGATGGCTCCTAGCCATCAGACTTGAAGAGTTTCCTTGATCTCGCCAATGATGCCCTTCACTCGGGGCTCTTTTCCAACAGCCGATGAAGAGACGCGTGATAGGATACTTTCGATCTCAAAGATATCTTTCGCTGCACTCTTAACCTCGGCTCCTAGAGCCTTGACCAGAGTCCCCAGAGAGACCAGACCTCGGTAGACTGCCTCGGAGTCCTTCTCGCCCGCAACTATCTCGCAAAGTTCCTCGAGGAGGATCAGACCGCGTTCCGCGGATTCAGGGGCCGATGCCCGGCCATCCGAGGTAAGGTAGACAGCGAAGTTGATGTACAAGGTGGTAACAGCGATAGTGAGATTACGGTTGGGCGAGTCGCCACTGTTGGATAGAGCAGATCTCACACCGGTTAAAATTTGCTCGAATGTGTTCATAGCCAGGGACCGTCCAGCGGTTGTTTCGAAAAGGTTGGCAAAGGTTCGGACAGAAAGCATTGCATTGTTGACGTTGAGCGGCGTGTCGAAAACCCGGCTGGTCAGAAGCCCTGTCACGAGGTCGTCACCATTAAACTCCGTGGTCGCGGCGAAAGGTGCAGCGGCAGCCAGCAGACGAAGAAGATCCAGTCCCGGGAGCCTGTTCGCAGTGGGCCATGCCGTAGCGGCCTTGAACACCAGCGGAACTCCAGCTTCGACCGCTGGGGAGTCTGGGAGCTGCTGGGAGGACTCTAACTTGCCGCACAGAGCCACGATGTCTTGTATCTCTGAAGGGGTCAATGCTTTGTCCTTAGCACCTTCGGATAGAAGCTTCTCATTGATTTCCTGGAGCTTTCTCGTAATGACTTTGAGGTTTGCTGAACGGATAGAAAGATACGTCTTTTGTGGAAGAACATGTGTGCGCTCCTCAGGAGTGGACGATGGAGTATTCTCGGCGGCTGAAGCGTCTCCAGGACGGTATCGTCGATCAGAGCCCCAGGGGTCTGAGCCGGGAGGAGCCGCATCTTGAGATTGGCCCAAAGTTGCACCCTGAGTGTTCTGTGTGATGAAGTTTGCAACCTGGTCCAGATATGTCATAGGCAACTCGTTGTCGCCGATGAACTTGGTGGCTGCTTCGTAAGGATTCTGTGAGGCATTGTAGGGGAGTTTGAGCGGAGGCTTGCCATCTTCGATATCGACATCGAAGACATAATCATAATCCTGCCCAAGGTATTCCGTTTTGCGACCGCTGCTTCCTGCCGAATCCACCACGGTGCCAACTGCAATCCACTCCTGTGTGGCTGCTGACCAAGTATGAGCCGTGATGCTGCCATCAGGTTCATTGATCATCTGAATTTGACCCTCTTTCGTTCCTGATTTCTGCTTAAGGAACTCCGGGCGGGCAATTGCTCCTTGTTGATATTGCCAACTTGTTGCGCAGGAATGGCTGACTCCTTGACAGCCTGATCAAACAACTCAATAACCTCCGGTGCCGCCTGTCGCTCCGGACTTCGGCTGAAAATACGCGCAATGCGATCACTAGCGCCGGTAATGATGTCACCCGTTTCCCTACATGCAGCAACACTCCAAACCGAGATGGCAGGGTGGGTAATGGTTTGAACGCACTGAATGCCGTTCCATACTCGAACGGTTCGATCTTCGCCTGAGCTCACTAGCTCACCGGAAGGCAGCGCAGCCAAAGAATAGACGAAGCTCTCGTGGCCATGAAGAGAAGCGACCAAATCGCCCTGCAGAGTGTATAGACGAATAATGCCATCATTACTGGCCGATGCAAACTGCGCTCCGGTCGGGTTCGATGAGGGGACCCTACAGAGGGCCCGCACGACGTCATTGGAGTTTTGTATACTGGCAAGGAGCTTTCCGGAGGTATTGAATATGCGAATCATCTTGTCGGCGCAGCCTTTGTTAATGTTAGTGCATCGTTTCGTCAATAAATTTCATAATGGGGAATCATCGTACCGGTGATAACGGTGTTGTTATCGTAGGCCAGCACAGCCCAAACGCTTCCTTCATGGCCATTCAATACGACATCAGTCTCCCACTTCCCAACCGTCCAGATCCGAGCCGACGAGTCCCAGCTACCACTGACGATCCATCCGCTATCGGGTGACACATCCAGAGCACAGACGTTGTGGGCATGGCCCAGAAGCATCGCATCCGCATTGTCATCCGATCTCTTCCCGGGTTGACGGGCTTCAATTATGGTATCCTGTCCACCAGACAGAATGAGGCCCTCTGGATACTTAGTTGTAGGTTGCAGGTAGGCTAGACTGTTGATGAAAGCCTGGCCATGTGCAGTTATTGTGTAGTCATATGAGGGGGGGTTGGGTAGAGACGAGCTTCCAAAGCCGTACTGTTGCATCGCGTGAAGCTGACAAGACAGCATTTGGGTTGGGAAAGGCCACGGCGCGTACCTGGCACAAGGATTGAAAGTCAGTGAGCTGGATCACATGCAATAGCAAGGTGTCTCGTCGAGACAGCGGGGAGTGAGAGCCTTACATCATCGCCATGGCCTTCAAGGGATGCGGAGATCTTGAAATCAGGCATACATACAACTGATAATCAACTTGAGGAGGACAGAATGGTGAAAAGAGCAAGAATATGATTGATGAAGCTCTGGGGTCCTTGGCTGGGAGTTGTCGTCCGTTACTCGTTCCTGGGGTCCCCGCCGCGCATCATATCACGTGGGCGGTGGAGCTACGACGGATCAATTCCACGATCAGCTCGATCGACACCCCGAGTGGTCGTGCCGCCCTCTGCTTCAGACCTTGATGACTTGACGACCCTGACGAATCTCTTTGGTGCTTTTCTTCTGACCGAATCGAGCTTTCCTTCTCCAAGCCTGCCTTGTGGTGGCCATAGTGGATTCTTGAAGACTCCTGTGTCTCTATCTCCTTTCACTTCACGTTGATCGAATATTTTTTTTTTCAAAGACACCATGGCTTCTGGTGAGTTGTGAGGTGCTTTCTGATCATAACTGTGTGTTAATAGCGCGGAGATATCCCTAAGGTGGTTCCTCTGACCTGTCATGGACATTCTCGTCCTGTGACCCATCTCAGTTTCTCGTCGAATGTCGAGGACGATCAGTACTATATTATTTCTGCGTGCAAAGGTATCGACCTGAATATGCCACAGAGATTTCAGTGCATAGGAAACTTACCTGCCTCAATCAGATAATAACCCAATGCTTAGAGATGGCATCACAGGTGATTGGTATGCCCAATTCATTTCTAAACTAGACCATGAGACAATGCAGCGGCTGACCCATTTGACAGGATCGGTACATTTCTCGGCCACAAAGGTGCTGTGTGGCAGTCCCGGCTTTCGCCGATGCCACCATTGCAGCCACAGCTGCTGCAGACTTCTCGGCGTAAGCCACATTCTCACGCAAACCAATGAAGCTACTGACCACAGAAATAGAAAGGTCTGGGATACCTACTCGGGCGAGTGTCTTCACACTCTGCAACACGCCCACATCGTGCGAGCAATCGCCTTCCCAATGCAGGCCAACCCGCAGATCCTAGCAACTGGGGGTGCAGAGAAGAAGCTCCGCATCTTTGACCTTTCACGCGGTGGCGGGAGCAGCAATGGCTCTTCGCCACCTCTCCCGCCTACTGGGGGAGAGCAGGGCCCCGAGCCCACCAGCTATGAGATTGGGCCTGGCGTCCATGGTGGCACGATCAAGTCTATTGTCTGGAACCAGGACTACAACATCGTGACGACTGCTGCAGAGGACCGCAAGATTCGCTGGTGGGATCTGCGTTCGCGGCATCCTGTCTTCGAGTATGGTGTTGACGGCACGATAGGTTCGTGCGAGTTGAACAGTCTTGCTGTGCGATCTAATGATCCCGGAATCTTGACCGTTGCTGCTGGAAAAAGCGTTTATCTCTTTGATGGAACACAGCCAGGTCGTCTATTGAAGAAGGCTGATTTCGGCTATGAGGTTGCTAGTGCTGCTGTGAACAGTGAGTCTGGGCGACTGGTTACTGGTAGTGCGAATGATACGTGGGCGAGGGTTTATGACCTCCACACCAACGAAGAGCTGGGTAAGTCACCTCTGGGATTTTCCTGTGTGCGGTGTGAATTGATCTAATCTTCGACTATAGAGGTGCAAAAGGGTCATCATGGCCCCATCTGGTCTGTCAGCTTCTCTCCTGACGGCAAGCTATATGCTACTGGTAGCGAAGACGGCACCATCAAGCTGTGGAAAGCATGTCGGGAACCGTATGGTCTTTGGCGGTAGAAGCGGACGATTACACACCTTGTACAGTATTCGGATTTTCCCTAGTCTTCTCCTGTTCTCAGATCCTCCATAAAGTGTTGTGCGATAGCACCTTTGTGTTTGCTCAACAGAAATGACTACCGTCGCTTTGACTTCACTGGCTTTACTTTTATTTTGATTTTTATTTTCATTTGGTAGATGGGGCGGAAAAAAAAAAACCATATGGATGTCCATAAAGCTTCATTTCATATTTGAGCATTCACATGTCTTGCGAAGCACATCAGACCTTCTCTAAAGCCAATACTGTAAGGAACCCCTGAATTCGCGAAGCCATAAATTCGATGTCGAAGAAAGGAAACGGCCCAGATAACCAATTGACAATTTCATAAAATGCAAGTAAAATTACAAGTCTTCCATCTGCAGCATGCCACAGAGGGAAGCGGTGTATCATGCTGACGATGAAACGGAAGAAAAAAAACCAATTTCGAAAAGTTGTGCAGCATGCAAGCTATGTCCCGGCCGTTTTGAAGCAACTCATTCACTCAATCATATCAATGTCATCGTTTTCATGACCAGCAGGCGCAGGCGCAGGCGCGAGGGCATCAGCCACAACTGGGGCTTCGTGGACAGGCTGTTCGCCAGCGCCCTCAGTATCGTTCTTGCCGCCCCAGTAGTCCTCCATCTCCTGATCGAGCTCCTCCTGTGTTTTGCGAGGACGAGCGTTCGAGCGACGGCCTCCATTCTCGGTGTTGCGGGGACGGTTATCGCGGCCCCCTCCGCGGCGGCCAGCATTGCGACCTGTGTCGCGTTGACCGGGGATATATCGGTCGATGTGGTCAGGGGCAGGCTTGCTCATGTCGCTGCGACGGCCACGGCCTCCAGCTCCACGGCGACGTCGTTCTCCACCTTCGTTCTCGCTTTCAGGGCTCATCGGGCGCTCCACGCGGTCGAAGAGGGTGCCGCCAGTGCGCTCGCGACGGCCGGGGACAAGGAGAGGCGGATGGGTTGGCCCTTTGCGTTAGCACCGTCAAATTCGCGAACAGAGTCGTGTGCGTCTCTCAGCCTCTCATATGTGATGAAGGCAACGCCCTCGGAGCGTCCAGCGCGGTCATAAACGAGGGAAAGTTCTTGGACAGGGCCAATTCGGCCGAAGAGGTCCTGTTGGGCAGTGTCTGTCAGATAATGTAGAATTGTTCAAGTCGGCAATACGTACTTCCAAATCACTCTCGGTGATATCGTAGTGAAGGTTTTCCACACGAACCTTGGTCAAGGCGGGACCGCCACTACATTAATAAGTATTGATTAGTATGTCCAGTCATATAGATCAGGGTGTCCATGAAGCAAGTGTGATTCATACCGGCCGGGTGAGCCTGCGCGGCCGGAATGGCGGGAGCCACGAGATGGACGAGCTGGAATCACTGTCAGAGAAAGTTCAAGTATGCCAACATCGGACAATCATCACCCACATTCGCGGTCATCATCGAACTTGTCATGAACCCAGTCGCTACTCATACGACACCGTCAGCCTCCAATCAAGATAGTCCAGCTCAAACACAAAGGGATATTCACAGGTTCAGGTTCACAGAATCTTTGGAGTAAGGCTGTTGAAATCGAACAGAACAACGGTTAGCTGCAAGTCAGGATGGAAGCGAGGACAATTGCGTTGCAAGTTCGCCGCGGCCCTGTCGTTGGCGAGTCTCCAACCATCCAGAGTACTTGACCCGCTAAGATTGTCACGACACAAAAGAATTCGAATTAGGGATAGGAGGGCGGACCTAGAAAGAAGCAAATGATGTCAGCAGGGCCTTTATCCTTCATGCGACAGTAAAATTCAGGCTATGGTGTCAAGATTGGGGCCATACCTTTCTTACGCCATCACGCTCACCGCGACGCCGGCCTGGGTTGCGCCGACCGCCAGAAGGACGATCACCAGAAGGACGGTCACCAGAGGTACGGTCACCAGAAGAGCGACCCTTGTTGCGCTAAAATTGGGGGATCTGTTGTTAGTGGCCGGCTATGAGAAATGGGGCAGCTGGAGGCGTACGGTGTCTTCGGCGATGATCTCGTCCAAACTGCGATCCATCTTGTATGTGTGAAGAGGGAGGGGGTGAAACGAAAGAACAGAATGAAGCGAGGAAGTATGAGATGATGCGATTGACCCTTTCAGGTGTCGCAGAGGATTAAATGAAGTAGAGATGAGGAGTGAGCGGTGGCTGATTAGAAGATTGTCGCCTCTTTCGGGATTCGCGATCTGGCTGGGGGAGCGCCAAATCACGTGCCATGGACTACTCCACTGGCACTAGAGTGAACGGATCTGGAAGTATTTACCTGGTTTGTAAGACTATATCAGCTGTTTCTGTGGAATTTTTACTTCTTAACGTTATTCTTTTTAAGTCATGGTATCCCAGTCTCAATACAAACAGAAGAATGCAGAACATAATGTAACAAGAGGAAGAACCACCGAACCCCAGGATGCATGATGGATATGGGAAAGCCAGGGGAAAAAGAATAATAGAATGACACCACCCCGGTAATCACGGCAACACCATATCAAAACAGACCTTCCGGTATCACCGACGACGCTGTGCAAAGAACAACTGGACTTCAACTTCTTTATTGCTTTCCATTCTTTTTGTTATCCTCAATCATCTTCTCCATGAAACTGATGTAGTCGAACTTGGCCAGGTCTCGGTCCTCTAGCATATCAGGGCCTTCGTGTTGGGGCATCGTCTTGACCAAGTGCTCAATGACTTCATCGGGGATGAGCGAGTGCCGGAGATCCATCTCGGTGACATAAGGCTGTGATTCGTCAATATTCTGTGTTATGGCAATCGTTTACATGATGAGGATTGAACATACCTTGCCATCGGCAACTTCCTTGAAGCTCTGAAAAACTTGCTCCGCAGTATTTTGATCTTCAGTTACACTCACCATGAACCGAATAAACTGCTCGAAGCTGACGCCGGCGTTCTGTGCGAGGCGAATCGGCCCACACACTTCCACGTAAACCTGATGCATCTCTTCCTCATCGTAGACTAGACCCAAACTAGCCAATGCTGCAGAGAACTCCAGTTCCTGCAACGTGTTGGAAGAGTCCCGGTCGAAGTGGCGGAAGACTGACTCAAACTCCTCCAGCTGAATGGGGGTCAAATTGGTCATGCTGCGGGCCACCATCTGGTTCTCCAAGAAGGCCAGCTTCTTCGAGATACTGGACTTCGTCAGGCTCAACTCGTAGGAGAGTTCGTCTAGGGTGAAGGTAGTAAAATCGTTCTCTTCAATGTTGGCCTCGGCACACTGCTCGTCAATTTCCGCTATGGTATCAAGGAAAGCATCGAGCGGCGGCATGTTATCGTTCAGCTTCTTGACATGCTCTAGCTGATCTTCAACATCGCCATCCAATCCGGAGATGGCTAATGATAGGGTCTTTAACGTCAGTGCAAAATCATTTGCCTTATCGGCAAACGAACGGCGCAGGGCGTTCTTGATATCGCGGATTGTCTCATTGATAAGCTGGCTGCGTTGGTGCTCATCTCTTGTCAGACTCTCCCATTCTTGATCGCAAGTCTCCAGGCTTACTTCCGCCGGTGGTTCGTAGGGACGTAGCCGGTAGGTTCCCAGCTTCGTTTTGATGTTGCCCAGCAGGGCTGCCAGATCCGATTTTTCAGCAACCCATTGGCGCTTCTCATTTCGTTTGTACAGCGAGAATTGATGTGCTTGCTCTTTGACGTCTTTGTATGTGCCCTCGAATGAGGAATTCTTCCATTCATCGCGCTGGGCACGAATCAAGCGGAGCAGCTCGCGCATGCGACGCTCGTAACCGCTTTGCATGTCCCAAGCTCCGTGCATATTGTTCACAAACTTCTCTACACGGCGACCGGCATTTTCGACTCTCTCCAATTGTGAGAAGGCATGGAACCAATAGGCAATATAGGTCATCAAGGAGCGGTCATCGGGACGCGGCACATCACACACATCGTCCACGTCGAGCAAATCGGGGATGCCGATCTCGTTTGACGCCAGGTCGAATGCAAGCTTCATGTTTCCGCGGTGGTCGCTCTTGTCCAAAGAATCATAGTCGATCAAGTCCGGTCGGTGGATGTCGAGCAGAGCGCAGAAAGCCAAACCGTTGTTCCAACTGGTCGAAAAATCGCGAACCTCCACATCATCATAGCACGCTGTCTTGCGCTGACACCAGAGTAGCAAACCTTCCTTCGCGGTCATGCCCTCCTCGTTGATGTCGCTAATAGTAAACCGGAGAATGAGAGTCCAGATCAGACCGAGGATGATTTTGCGGTTGCCATCGACGATATCTTCCGCTCCGATGTTCGTCATTTGAATCCTCCTTCCTTTGATAAAGTCCAAACTCTTGTTGACATTCTCGAATTTCTGCACCCGCAGCTTTGGTTTCGATGCATATCGGCCAAGGGATTCTCCACCAAGAATTTCGAGTAGATGAATGAGGATAACCTAATGGGAGCAGCTGAGATCAGCGACTAGAATCGAGGGGCTGATATCGGCTGGATTGCGGGGGGAAAAAGGGACTCACGCCGTCGGAGAGATCAGTGACCAAGTCCGCGATGAACAAGGCCCGCGCCTTCAGCTTGTCATTCAGCCTAGATAGATGGCTCCGTCAGTGGCAGTGACCAGAAAGGGCGGAGAAGACGGACCATTTGGTGAAGGTCTTCTGCTGCACATTAATCCACTGCTTCTCGACCGTCAACATGTTGACTCAGGGCGGCATCCAGGGCCTAAGGCCGATTGGCAATGAACAGGATCAGAGATCAGGGTTCAAGGTGGAAACGAAGGTGGATGATCAGCGGTTAATTTCGAGCGCGATCCGACTCAAAGGGAAGTTTGCTAACGAATCGTCGATCAGGGGCGGGGTGTGTCTTCCGCTCCGCCAAGTCACCCTGGCAACGCTTTGTTGCCCGACGGTATCGAGCTCTTTATCTTTTAGCAGAGTGAAAGCTGGGCCAGAGTAGAAAAGTGATGAAGCAAATCCAGCCACAGACAAGTCATCGTATGGAGGTTCACGCTTATCCCTAGCGATCGAGTATCCCTTGATCACCCAGTTCTATCTTTAGATCTACGCACAGTCGACGACTTGGAACTACGTCGTAGTACGTCGTAGGGCTGGATATGTGGGCACTTGACTAAAATTTTGTTCTGTGATTTGATCCTTTTCTTTAGGACTTGGTCCCTTGGTACTTTAGCGGCTTGGGGACCACCCGTCCGCGACCGAGGCTCGGCGTTCTGAGCCTGGGAACCGATATCCACCGCATAGGTAGTTGGCACCGCTTTCGAAGAGGTAAAGAATAAGAATGGGGAAAGTTGAAGACAAAGAATGGTGTGATCTCGCCACCACATACAGGAGAGAGAATAGAATGTCCGAGCACGCCATGGATGCTATACAGAAACATGAGTAATCGCAGATGATATCATTCCATTGGCGTGGTCCGGCTAAGAGCGGGGCATGCAGCTGCGAAACTCGAGTCGACCTCATTTTCAATTTTTGATCAATTCCCCTACCTTTGCGACTTTTCGAATCCCCCGATACCCTCCAGGAACACGATGTCTATCAAAATCACCGATACCCTCCCGCTTCCTAACAGCAGCGAGCGGATTCCGCGCCTGGGCTTTGGCGTTTACCGTTCCCCATCCGCGCAATGCGTCCAGTCCTGCCTCAAGGCTCTGGAAGTGGGATACCGACACATCGACACCGCGCAGTTCTACGGCAACGAGAGCGAGGTCGGTGAGGCTCTGCGCACCAGTGGCTTGCCCCGCGACCAGATCTTTGTTACGACTAAGATTCTCAGCCCCGCCGGCTCGGTAGAGGCGACCTACACCAAGCTGCTGGAGAGCGTTGAGAAGGTTGGTGGACCTGGCGGGTATGTTAATCTGTTTTTGATCCATAGCTCCAGCTCTGGATCTGCAGGCGTAAGCAGCTGTGGCAGGCGCTGGAGAGGCTACATGGAGAGGGCAAGGCCAAGAGCATCGGAGTGAGCAACTACGGCGTGCAGCATATTGAGGAAATGAAGGCTTATGCCAAGATCTGGCCGCCGCATGTGAACCAAATCGAGGTTTGTTCTTTGCTGATTAATTGACTTGGATTATCGTCCATTTGATCTTTGTTGCTGACTTGCGACTCACTCGCAGCTCCACCCCTGGTGCCAGCAGCGAACGATCGACACATACTGCAAGCAGCACGGAATTGTCGTCGAGGCCTATTCGCCAATTGTCCGTAATAACAAGGCCAATGAGCCCACGCTTGTCGAGATCGCCAAGAGGAACAACCGGTCGACGCAGCAAGTGCTGATCCGTTATGCGCTGCAGAAGGGATGGGTGCCTCTGCCGAAGACCGACAACGAGTCGCGAATTGCAGCAAATGCCGACGTCTTCGACTTCAATCTGAGCGCGGACGAAATGGACCTCCTGGATTCTCTGGACCAAGGTGCTGCAGGAGCTATCGTCGAGGCCGTCGAGAATGAGTGAGCTCCATGCAGTGTGTCATCTCAAAATCACGGATTTTCCGCCAAACCGGGCTAGGCAGTATATGATGCATTCTAAACCCGAATCAGGACATCAGAAAGGCGTTCACTGATTGAAGTGTCGAGCGAGACGGATTCACGTCATGTTTCGACGAAACGATCCACGCGAGACGCTGTCGGATAAATTGCTTGCCGATCGGGTTCTTGCTCTGTGAGACATCGAACGTCCCTGGACGACTAGAGTCAGTCTTTTTTATATTCCCCGTTTCATATAGCGTCTGAACTTATCCAGAGATATCTGGGGCATAGCACATACCGTCGTCCTTGTAGAATAAGCAAATAATTGCCAATAGCGCTCCCGCAGACAGATCTTTCCCAGTCTCGCAGGTCACTAGTAGTGAGCGTGACGTGTTAGCTTCTAGTTGTGCGCTGACAAACTCTTTGACTTTATCAAGAGCTTTGCGTAAATCCCGACTGCCCAGCTTCAATGACCCGCAGCCTAGGTTCAATCGCTTCGTATGGCCTTCCGCAGCGGCAGGACTTCCGTTGCAATCAATGATCAGATCATATTGACCGCTGTCGCTCACAACTGCGTCCGTCTGACCGATGAAAAGGTTGTGAGTTGGAGAAATCCTTGTTGCACTCTGTCCTTCACTCTGTTTTTGATTTTGCTTGACCAGCTCAGAAATGAGACCCGGGAGGTCTTCTTCAGGAGTTTGCTGCAGAACAGCTTGATTCGCCCAAAAGACCGGGGGTGTTAGACCATGCGCCCAGCCCTCGCTGTCATCACCAGCACCCTGGATGTATCCACCCTCAGACATCTCGGCACCATGGACACGTCTTGAGGCAGAGCACAGGACAAAAAGAGTATATGCATCGTTCTTGCATAGATCTGTCGGATAGAAATACGTGCGATTGGCCCATGCAATACGAATAGGCTTCCCAAGCTGCTGCCGCAGCTGATCTAGGTCGAGCTTAAGGCTCTGGTTTGATAAGATCAGCCCTCTTCTTCACACAACCTTTCTCACCCGGGTGAAGAGGGTTTCCCCAACACAAGGACCCTTGCCAAGCTATATGCGGGCATCTTACCTTCAGCGACGATACGAATCCATCGATGCGGCTTTCAATCTGTGATTCCTCGGATTCGCCGAGGAAGTTGGGCGGCAGTTGCACGGGATGAAAATCTGTCTCTGTCGGGAAGAGAGAACGGTTGATCACGGCGCACCAGATCGGAATTGTCTTGGATAGGGCGTCTGGCATCACTGTAGGCTTTGGTGTCAGCCTCGATGCACAGTGATGAACATGCAAAATGAGATAGCCCCGATTAGCCCGTCATGTCTCCCTGTTTGATACGTACATTTACCTCGGCGGGTCGAGTCGACAATCACACACCTGCCGCATTAACATGAAACAAGTCAGTTTGGGGTCATGCAAGCCGTCGGGTATTGAAAATGGTTATCAAAGCCCAACGGAGGCCCAGAAGCATAGACGTGGAAGTCAGACCGCAACGGAATGATCGAACTCCCAATCATCTCTGACTGGTACCGGCGAGAAGCGGATTCAACTCACCCCCCATGCTCCCTCGCCAGCGGGAGAAGCTGCAGGTTCAGCCTACGAAGGCTAAAGTCCCATTGGCCGGTGTGGCCATCTGTGCTCTTGAAATAAGCACTGCCTGTCTTGACATCAGGCGAGATATACCAGCTGCCACAACGCTCATTGGCAACCAGCGGTAAACCATAATGGTCTGCAGCTTCTCGCACAAATTCCGCATCCGCCTCAATTGACCGGAGCCGGTTGGAGACCGACAGAGCCGAGCGACGCAGGGAGGACAGTGTCTGCGAAATGGATTGTCGGGCAGAGGGGAAGTGAAGCGCATCCAGGGTCGGAAAGGATGCCGATCCCATGTTGAAACGGGCCAAGTTTGGCCTGCGTATCGCACTAAAGCTGCGGTCGTACTTTGGGGTAGTACCAATTGGCAGCCGGCCGAGCTCCAGGCGCTTGCTCCAGGAAATCTCAAAATTGGCCGGCTAGTTCGACTGTCAAATTCCAGTGGACGTTGCTGTCAAGGCAGTTGTCAAAAAGAAACCGTGCAAGTCGCGAAAATGGCAGTTGCGTTCGAGATTCATGGATGAGCCAATGAGCATGACGGTGGGATTTACAAGAGTGGAGACATGCAGCCGCCCAACTCAGGCTGGTCGGCGGTCAATAAAATTGCTGAAGGATAACGGTGAAGCGGGGTATGGAATGAAAGTGATAGGGAAGAAGGGGAGGTGAGGGGCAGAAAAGTGCGATGTCAAGTACTTGGTTAACTGCCACAAAAGCGTTTATGATTCATATGACAGATGTTGATTTAGACATGATTCGAAGACGGACCGAAAATGAGTATGTATAGTGTCAGCCTTTCTAGAGCCTGATCTGAGGACCTATATTCCAGGCTAGAATGCTGCGGAGGACGCCTCTTTCTCTGTGGATCTCTTATCCGCTTGTCTTCTATCTCATGAGGTTCATGAGTTCTAGAATCTTCTATTATTTGACTCGCTGATCACCATACGGTCTGATAGTTCCGAGTTCTTGCTTAAAGCACCTTTTGCCAACATTCTCCGAGGAAACTTATGCAACATCCTCAAAACCCCCCGCAGATCCCCCGCGGCCGGGGTCACATTATAAGCCGGAGCTCAATGACCTGGGTCGCATACGAATCGCCGTGCGACCGAGCGGCACGGGTTCGGGCCCTCAGGTCACTGAAATGACTTAATAGAATCTTCTAGATATGGTATCGTGGGTGCATTCCTCTCATGTTGTTGCTTGTCACCAGCATAGGCGCGTAGAATGAGTAGCGAGACAAAACGTCCAGACTTTCTGTCGCACATTCTCGACAAGCTCATTCCTACGAGGGCTGTGAAAACTGACTCTCCCGACGTGCTACGACTTTCTACGAGCACATAGCACGCGCTAAGCTGGAATGGCTTTGGCGCTGCTTACCCCCGTTGGTTGCGGGCGGTGATTGGCAGGATGTCGGGTACCGATACATGCAACTACGTAGTGTTGACTATGTTATACAGGTACCGGTACCTATGTCACGATCTCAAGCCCCGCGGACCCGCAACTGCCCGGAGAATCTCATCGTGGCATCGTCATTCTTTCCTGCTTTCCGTAGACCGGGTTCGTGCCCATAAATGCCTCTTTCCCCCGTTTTGTTCAGTCAATTGTCTCATTCCTTCTCTGGGTTCTTTCACTACACCTTTCTCTTTTTTTTTCCGGTACTACTCCTCCTCTAGATCACCCTAGATCACTCTAGATTTGACATCCCGCCTTGCTGCCTCGGTGTATTGTCCTTTTACTCCCCACTACCCCCCCATTTCTTTTCCCAGCTCAAACAGAACTCAATCTTACTCTCCATCATGCCGAAGGTTCGTGGATCCCCTCGTGGCTCTCAGACCCACCGACGTTAACCGTTCCGCAGATCACCGAGCTCTTCTTCGACTGCGACAACACTCTTGTCCTGTCGGAGGAGCTAGCCTTCGAAGCCTGCGCCGACTTGGCCAATGAAATTCTGGAGAAGCAGGGCATTCCTGATCGCTACACCGGTGGCCAGCTCATCAAAGACTTCGTCGGCCAAAACTTCCGAGGCATGATGATCTCGCTGCAATCCAAGTACAAATTCGAATTAGATCAGGATGAGCTTGAGAGATACGTCACCAAGGAGGAGGACAAGGTCATCGAGAAGCTGGAAGCTAAGGCTCAACCTTGCGTCGGTGCTTCCGAGGTTCTGCAGAGACTCTACGATTCTAAGAAGTACGGCATGGCGGTCGTCTCATCCTCGGCTCTGCGTCGCGTACGCGCCTCTATCAAGAAGGTCGGCCAGGACAAGTACTTTGCTGAAGACATGGTGTTCAGCGCTGCTACCTCGCTGCCCAAGCCCACCTCCAAGCCTGACCCGGCTATCTACCTTCATGCTCTTGAATACGTCAAGAAAACAGCCGCCGAGACTATCACCATAGAGGACAGCAAGTCCGGCGCACTCTCTGCCATTCGTGCCGGAATTCCCGTCATTGCCTACGTTGGTAGCTACAGTAGCGACATGCAGGAGGAGATGGGCAAATGCCTGATGGAACTCGGTGCCAAGATCGTCATGACCGACTGGTCTCAGTTCGACAAGTGCCTAGAGTTCATTGAGAGTGGAGTTGATAGCGAGGCTCCTCAGTCGAGCCTGTAATTTTGTTTTTTTCTTTTATTCACGCCTGCACGATATCATGATAGCAAGCGAATGGTCGTTCTGGAGCTTTGAATTGGGTCTGTTACTTTTGTGACGCCTGTCTATGTGGGATGAGTCCCCGGTTTTCCTCATCCCGGTATTCTTATTGTTGGATGGACAATGTTCCATTCAGATGCAGAAGAGGATGGGGTTCTTTTGCGCTGCTGCGAGTTTATGTTTGCCGGCAGTTGTTTATTTATCGTGTCTGTGCATTTTATCTAGTCTCTTTTAGTTTTCCCGCAACGACGGGGGTTCGAGCAATGAGATACCGGCTATGGGATATTTCATCGTGCGATTGTTCACAAGATACCAAATGTTTTGACTCATCATTCTTCATTTAATTCGAGATTGTTCCTGCAACATAGGATCCCAGCATAGCAAAGTGATAAGATAAGGGTTGGAGCCCCACCACCAGCGGAGATCTCCTCCCCGCCAGCTCTTCGTGAACATTGGGAGTAGCCCGGGAAAGCTTGAACTCTACTGAGTGAACTCCCATTACTACAACTCCCTTCTATTCCCCAATCCGCCCGTAACTTGTCTCTGAATCCTCGACTCAACATGTCGGCAGGTTCCTTGACCAATTCCAAGCACATTTCCAAGGGCCCCCTGGTACGCCATCACACTTGACTTTCCCTTTTGGTTCAAAGTTGCCTCGAAAGAAAGGCAATGAACAACCAAAGGAGTTATGAGCGCAGCAGGCGCCCTCTGCATCATTCCAACTGACGCCTTCATTCAGGATCCGGCCGAAGCCCGGTGGACTCGATTGGTGAAGACCACTTACACCGATCCTCTGGGCGTCGAACGCACCTGGGAATCTGCAGAGCGTACGGTAGGTTGCTTTGCTCATACTTTGGATCTCATTGCGTGTATCATGTTGATCGTCAAGGGTAATTTTTCTATGTCTGGAGACACTATTTAAATCCCAGTCTGGGCCCGCGCACCGATTGATTGATGATCTCCCCTTTTGTTTCAGGCGCACGGCAGCATCGCTGTGTCTACTTTGATAGACTTGATATTTTCACCCGGGTTTGATGTGCATTGAATGACAATGTCTTCATTGGCTGCCTCGGGTTGCAAGCGTTTCCGGAATCATGACACCTGCGACCTGCCATTTTAAGGCGGCATCTGCGTCTTGCTCGGTTTTGGGCCCTTGGACTAACTCAATCTGCATAGACCCGACCGGCTGACTGCGCAATCGACGGTGTTGGCATCTGTACTATCCTCAACAAGTCCACGGGGCCTGAACTGTTGCTACAGAAGCAATATCGGCCCCCGATCGATCAGGTCGTCATTGAAGTCCCTGCGGGCCTCATTGATGCTGGTGAGACTGTGGAGCAATGTGCTGTACGTGAGCTCAAAGAGGAAACTGGCTACGTTGGCGTGGCGGAGCAGACCAGTCCGGTCATGTTTAATGGTAAGTCTTCCGGGTGGAGTGACTTGTTTCATCATTTGCGCGACTTGCACTGAACTCCTGTCTCTAGACCCGGGTATGTGCAATACCAACTTGAACATGGTCCATGTTCGTGTGGACATGTCACTTCCCGAGAACCAGAATCCCAAGCCGGAGCTCGAAGAGAATGAATTCATTGAATGCTTCTCTGTCCCTCTAGCTTCTCTATTTGATGAGATGAAGAAGCTTGAGAAAGAGGGATATGCTATTGATGCTCGGGTTGGCACACTCGCTGAGGGCATCGAACTGGCGAAAAAGTGGAAGTTGTGAAATCAATCGAGATGAACATACATGATGCAACTCAGTTTATCGATCAGACCATGCTGATGATATGCTGCAGCATGGCGTCTACTTAGAACATGCCGCCTAGTGCGAGTTTTCTCCATGCCGGATCTTTCATCACTAGATCTTCCCTTCCTGTTGAAGTCCCTGGTAAAGAGCCCACGCAGCTAGTGTCTTACCATCCCTCAATCCTTCCTTCCAAAGGTCCTTTAGAGGAACAATCTTCAAAGTAATCTTTTCCCCATGATCCCGCAGGCCCGTCAGCTTCCCCTGTAGCTCTTCAATTTCCTTCCTCGGCATTCGCTTCCGACACAAGAAGAGAGGAATGAACTCATCACTCCCTCCAGCTGATGGATAGACTGCTCGCTGCAGATTCTCTCCGTTTTCGTCTTGAGCAGACTGCAGAGCCAAGGAAGTCATATCGATCAGCTCGTCCTGTTGAACAGACAACCCAGTCTCCTCTTCAATCTCCTTCGCTGCACCTCCAGCAAAAGTCCCACTGTCATCCAACATGCCAGCTGGAATCTCAGCAAATGCCAAAGATCCAGCCGGAATCCGAGGCTGAATCGTGAGAATGGCCCGTTCTCCTTTTTCCTCGTTGGCAGGAATATCATCCGGTTGTAAGATAAGCTGTGCATGGCAGTCAGCGACACGGGCCCGAGTAGCTTACCAGTAAGGAAAAGGGTAGAAAAGCCGGGAAAAGAAACCTACAAGCATGCCAACACTGCCACCTCGTAAAAAGACACTTCCAGGCAATGACTCGCCGCTCTTGTTCGACACGTCGGCTTTCAATTTGACGAACCCGAGCCGCTTGCCTCCGAAGCGGTCAATGGACTGGATGTCAATGCTGCGCAGCGTATATGGGTCATGGTGAAACTCGTGTGATGAATTCTGCTGCCGGCCCAATGACTGCTGCAGCGTCTGGATCCAAATCTTGAACGGGGGAAATGACAGCAGGTCTTCGCGGGACAGATCCCGGATGCTCTTGACGCGTACATCGGATCCTGGGATGGTGAAAGTTGACATTGTGGCTTGGGCGAGTCTGGTTCCTGATTGTCCCAGGCGCCCGGGTGTGACTTTCATATGCCGCGCGGTTGGGCGCAGTCCAGAGAGCATGGATTTGAGATGCGGGCGTTGATTCCGAGGCGGTGAAGGTGCCTCTGTTAGAACTTACTATGCTTCTTAGTTATTTGCTGATTTCTTTCACGCTTGTTGTGATGTTGAAGGCTTGTGCAAAGTGGTTGGTGGTTTGTTTGTGGCTGCGACGCATGACGTCGGATTCCCGTTCCCTAGAAGGTTCCTCTGCACCACATAGATTGTGGTCAGCCATGGACTGTCTACATCAGGTAGGCTTCCTTGATTGAACTTTAGATGAAGGGGACAGCATGATTTGTTACACGGGGGGGTTCCAGAGATTTCCTCTTCTTCCCGAATCGCATCATTTTGTGTCGCTATTGGTCCATTCTGAGGGCTCTTCAGCTATGTGTGTTTTGTCCGCTTTGCGACCCTTCATTTCGTTGAGACATGCTCAACCCCCTTCGCCAATAGCGCAATTAATTGCTCCATGATTGAATGTGACGGCGCTCGGACATAGTCAGGTTTGATTGTGATATGAGCCTCCACATGCATCCATGGTCAGCTCGAAGCCTCGCCTGACCTCCTTGGCCTTGCTATACTAGATCCGATACAAACCCCCTATCAATGACGACCATCAATAATGAGGCATATATCTCACACGAGGTCCAGGGCTGGGCAGAGATAGCAAACCCACTTTTGTCCTAGCTCCAGGTATTCTTCGAGGACAGAAATTAGACGGAGATGGTCGTTTCAGAAGCTCCAATCAAATAGAAGTCCTGAAAATGCAGGCCAATCAAGGATCAAGCTAGACGTGAAAAAGCCCAGCCATGCAAGAGAATGAATACCTGCTGTACGGATTCTTCGAGTGAAAATCTAGAATTGTCGTGGAACTAGCTAATTTCACCCGGGTGAAATGGGCCCATCACCCCTCACACTAAGCTTCCTTCCGACCCCAATTTCCACCCCTGGAAACACCCCTCACCTCGGCGATGAGCACCTCTAATAATGAAGAATCCAGTCATCTTCTCTTAAAAGGTCTCGGGGGAAATGGGGTCTCATCCGATATCTGATGCTCGCTTCACCCGGGCGCAACAGATCCCTGTTCAACGTTATCCGCGCACCTTTCCCGAGGCATCCCTGCCAGCTCCTTACATCTGCCGTCGATTTGACATGATTTGCGCGACTCTACAGGGCTTGAAGACAGGGGTATATTCTGACGTCAGCCAATAATATAGGGGGTTGCGCAGTCGGTTGCCTTGCCGGGGGTGGTGCGAACCAGCCGAGTAATGCACCTAGTAGACCAGAGGTGTGTACTAATTTGCATGCACTTTGACCGGAACATGATCTTAGTGCTGCATATTTGGAGTCTGTCGAGCATGTGCATTGTTCCAATGCGAATCCTTATCCAACTTGGAGAATATGTCCAAGTGTCTTTTGAGGCGAGAAGGGACTTGCAGGTTGAGACAGGCCACCTATGTGGGACTGACGCCTAACTTGGTGCAAAGAAATGGTAGCTAAAACGCACTATGCACTGCCCCGGTCAAGGATATCTATATCCCTTGCTATTAATTGGCGAGTTCTACCGACGGCATCGTAATATTGACTTGTTTTTCCACGGCCAGTTATAGATTCCTAGACGTTCTTATTCCTCTAATAATATAGCAGATGATCCAGGGGGTTCAATTTGTCTTGCCTTTTGTCTCTCGTTGACATCCGATTCATCCATGACGTATACGATCTTCGTCATTGAATCATTTAATCATTTGGTAGGGAGATGTTGGGCATGGCGCTGGAGGCTGCCACTGATGATGGTCCACGCGGGAGCCTAACTGCCGACGTCGATTATTATCTTGGACCCACTTGGAGAAACAAAAACAATACGAGTCCAAATAATCAGATGAATTGCCGATATATTGCCAACGTCGTATGAGGCTGTGTTTCAGAGTTCAGTAGTGTAAAGAATCGAAGTATCATGACTTGGCCAAGGCATTGCTGTGTCGGGACCCCAGAAAGTACCGACATCACCGACGTGTCCTTCAATCTTCAAGCCCCCGAGTGCCATGTGGCCTCCTCCTGGGGTTTTGCCCGCATGATAGCTTCGAATGCAGTCTTTTGCATTGAGAAAATATGGAGCATATGAAGCATGGGTGGACCTTTGCGCAGGTGGCTTCAACAATCTGAGGATTGTATCAAGGCAGGCAAGACCAATCACAACAAACTTGAAATCAGAATTCCGAATTGAGCATCTGAATAGGAGCGGGATCTGAGCAACGTCAGAAGCATATATGTAGAGGGAAATGCTCGTGTCGCCAGATACCGGGGCCAGCCTGAGATCAGAGGGTTTGGGCAGTGAAGATCATGGTATCGGATCCTGTGTTTTGAGGTCAATGCCAAATGACGGTGAGAGTCCCCACGGGTGAGACCCGGAGAAGCGGTGACTGCGTATCGAACTGCGGCCGGGTCGATGCAAGGGCACAGAAAAAAGAACAAATACCTCATATCACTCACATTGGGCATTCAGTGGTTGTTAGGTGGGCAACTTAATAGATGGAATTTTTAGAGCATTTGGGCATCCAAATGTATCAACGGTCTCTCTAGGTCGGCCGAACCAATGTAGGGATGCCAGTATAGTCGTCCCCCTCACCCCAGCCCCCTCAAGTACTGAGAGTCCCGGTACAGAGATTCCCGGTACTAAAACTGCCTGGTGGGCATGTAGTGTGGCGCCTTTCTATGCCCGCTGGGAACACTTGGACCCGTTGGCATGACAGGTTTGTTTGCTAGCCTCAGGGAGGCGCCGTATGATGTTTTACAAGGCCTGGATAGCCTGGACTGGGTCAATAGAGTGCGTCAGCAGATAGACTCGGAACATTAGTGTTCTAGAATGCATGTTCAGGAAGGGTCCTAGTTATTTAAACCCGGGTGAAAAGGTACCGGGGGGGGGGGAATTTCGTGACCGAAGTGGTAAGGCAACCGGGCTAAGAACAACGGGTGGAGCGCTTCACGCGAGATCCTTGCGGAGGAACATATCACGCTACGTCGTACTTTTAGCTCTAAGTTATAGGCTGCCTGGTTGCCCTCTTAACCTCCTTGATCTCATACTTAAATAGATCTGGGGTTCCCCCGCCCTCTTATCGGCGCCCGTGCCATTGTGCTTAGTTTCCCTTCCAAACCGTTAGTTGCACCCCTTTCACCCGCCACCGCCCTTTGACTTTGCCGTGATCATTCGGTGAGCTAACAATCGAATTAGATGTTACACATCTAGATGGATGATGGACTCTCGGCCATCAATCTATCGTTCAGAGTCTCGGCGTGTGTTCGGCGTGAATCTAGCTACCCGATTGGACATTAAGGCCTCAAAAGTTTCGGGCCGACTCCATTGTTTGTCGCCCAGGCAAGTTCCACCCAGTTTGCTACTTAGTATTCGCCTAACCCTTGCCCAGGTGTTCCAAAGGAACCTTGTACTTTGAAAATTACTTTTCAAGGTTCTCAATGGCCAATCGCATGTGCTTATCGGCCAGCCCTCCATTATCAAGTGGTCGGCCAACGTCGGGCGTGTTGGCAGATGACTGTACCCTAGACACCGTCAGTAGCCAAGGGGCGCGCGTTTCAAAGCACTCACGTGTTTGCGCATCGCGCACGGAAAAGTTCCGCCGCAAGGAAAGCTCCCGAACACTAAGGGGTCATCGACTATCCGCCTCTCAGCAATTAGCGAACTATGCCGATGCCAATTCATTGGCATCAGGGAAACCTATCGGCACAAGTTTCTCGTTGACAAAAGAGCCTGCTCATGCACATCATGCTTCAAACACCCGGCCAGGATTTCGGAGATTCCACTCAGATCCCAATGCAGTTCCACGATCAGCCGATGAGAAGATCGGGGGTGATGAAAGGATGGAGGATTCACTGCAGAAAAGGGGCCTTGAGCCAATGAACGGTCACTCGACTTTGAAAGACACATCAAACACACAAACGGAATATCATGAAATGTTCAGACAGCCTGAAACCAATCCGATCACCGAAGAGCAGTTGATCAATGAGGTCCGGGCATCTATGCTGGGCTAGTGATGGTCGAAAAGAAATGCATCGAGATCGACAGACAGCAGACCGAATCCAAGGCAGAGCTATCAGGGCCTCAGTGGCAAGCACTCATTTCCTTGCATCGAACCCTGCTTTACGAACATCATGACTTCTTCCTCGCATCACAGCATCCATCAGCGAGCCTCGTGTTGAAAAGACTGGCCGATAAATACGCTATGCCTGCCCGAATGTGGCGCTATGGTATCCATTCCTTCCTAGAGCTCCTTCGTCAAAAGCTTCCAGATTCATTAGACTACATGCTCAACTTCATCAACTTAGCATATTCTATGATGACTTTGCTCCTGGAAAGCGTCTCTGCGTTCCGAGACACTTGGATTGAATGTCTTGGCGATCTAGCACGATATCGCATGGCAGTGGAAGAGGCTGATATGCGAGACCGCGAAGTTTGGGCCGGGGTATCTCGGTACTGGTACAATCAAGATGCAGACCGGAATCCCGATGTTGGCAGGATCCAGCATCATCTAGCCGTGCTTGCTCGTCCGGACGTGTTGCAGCAGCTATTCTACTACACCAAGGCTCTGGTTAGTGTGCGTCCGTTTCCCAATGCACGCGAGAGTGTTCTTCTCCTCTTCAATTCTTATCATGGTCAACCGCTTCAACAACTTACAATGGTGACTGCCTTTATTGCTACACACGGTGTACTATTTACTCGAGGTCCGACCGAACGATTTGTCACCTTGGCAAATCTATTCTTGGCTCTTCTGCGCAGAGACATTCGCCGGCTTAGCCGACAGGGACAGCAGGGTGTCTATATGATGTCTTGTAACTTTGCCTCCATGCTTCAGTATGGCGAGCCGGAGGCAGTCATGGCGATGGAGTTTTCGAAGCAACGAGAAACTGAGACTGTTGACGAGGCGCATACTTTTGCTTTGGAATGGACTCGCGGTACCGACAACGCAGACCCGAGTAGCCAAACTATGTCTGTGACTGTGGATCGAATCTCGACTCAAATGGCGTTACAAGGAAGCTGCCTTGCCTTTCATACTCTGACTGTTCTCCTTGATCAAATAGGCGACTCTAATATTCACCCAAGTGTCCATACTTCTTTGGCCTTTATCTGGTGCTTAGCGCTTCACCCGCCAGCTATGCAGCAACTCGAGCAAATGATTCCCTGGCTGGCCATAGCCAAGTTTCTCAACACGTTATTTCGCCCCGATACTATAGTCGCAAAAATTGAAAACGCTTCATTCCCTCTATTTGATGATGGAATCATTCAGCAGCTGCCTGAAGACTTCCTGATTCGTGGGCAGGCATGGAGTCAGCTGTATTATCCCGAGAAGTTCTTCGAAAATGCTCCATCAGAAGATGAAAGGCCAATAATCGAAGATCCCTCCGCTGCCATCCCCCGGAGACATCGGTGTTTGTGGCTTGGAACGAAGATAGCAACGGTTAGTCAACGGGATCCTGATTGATCAGTCTGTGAAAAAAATGCTAAGCAAAGATGCTCCGAACAGTTCAATCGGTGGATAACTTACGCTTCAAGCCAAAGGTTTGAGGCGACTCAACTTGCACTCGAATTTGCACCAACTGCAGAAAACTGTGGTGGACTTAACAGTCGAGCATTGATCGCAAATCCGTCTCATGTCGACATTGAAATGGGTGATGCATGATGTTGGTGAACGCCAAGCACAAGGATTCCTTTACTAGATGTGCTCAAGAATAACAGAATGTTCTGCTTTACATCCTGGAGGGAGGTTCTGTGGCTGGTGGGTTTTCATCAATCACCGTTCGGTCGGGAGCTGCTTTTTCTGTCTCGTCTGGTTTTGACCTTTCCTTTTGTACACGGAGCCTTGGAATGGATCAAGTCAACCTCGACTATTCGACAGTTCAGACACAGACACAGACTCCCCACAGGAGGAACAAGGTCTCCGGAAGGTCCAGCTTTCACTTGAAAGCCCGGCACACATGGTTTCCGAAGCTAAGATAGTAGGCACCTCCAACCGGGTTCCTTTTGGATCCTACCAAGGCCGATGCAGTCTCATGGACGAATTGGACAATCGATCACTGAACACCTAAAAACTCAATAGATACCAGGTTTGGCCAAAGTCTTACAGATGCACTCCAGGTTCGTCTCGAACTGGAGATTTTCTGGCATTTGACAAGTCTGCTTTGGAGCTGTCTTGAGCCCTCAAGTCTTCATTTGTAAATCGGACAGGAACAGTGAACCGTCTGGTATTTTGACAGGGAAATGGAATATGGGTTACTGACGCTAAGAGCGGGAAGCATGTCAGTGGACTGGGAAAGAGAAGACATTGATGGCCATGATCGATATTTTGATGCTTCACTGGGGAGCACTTCACACTGTATAGCTTGACCCGACCCCCAGGACTTTCTTGACTTACGATACTATACCCCGTCGGATGGAACTAGAATTACTTTGAAAGGCGAGTTATCACCGAATTCCCCCGTACTATTCCGACTGCTTCGTGACGCCACACGTAGCAGGCCCCAAAGCAGCCACCTAGTCACGTCTTGAATACATGGAGCAAAGTGGACGATTTGTTCACTGGTAGATTCAGGCTCGGAGTCAACTCCAAGTGGACCTGCATATGGTAGAGTAGATTGATCCGGGACCCGCCTCCAATGCGTATAGTAGACACGAATCCCCGAAAATAGGAAAGGACACCGAGCACGTTCACAAGATGACGAGAAAATAAATCAGTTGCAACGAATGAGCATCCGCAGAATAGCATGTTAGTGCACGGCTAAGCTTTGTAACGACGTTGCACTCCACCGCAATTGAAATTAGGCGCACAGCTTGCGCGTTACCGATAAAAAGGCCAAGCTGGCGATTATCGTCATGCAACATTCCCTTTCCTCCCCTCTCATCATCCAGATGGGGCCCCTCCCTACGCATTTGAATTGAAGTGACCTGGTTTTTGTTTCTCGTTTCGCATGGCTGGTCGACTTGCCTTCTCTATTTTCTGGGCATCTTGACTGTCCTCGGTTGAGCTCCTTATCGCTGGTCTCCGCTAGTCAGCTCAAGCTGCCACACCTTCGTCATGGCCGATACATGGAGCGGCGTCTGTCGCCAATGTGTCGCCGTCATCGCCGACATTCCCACTCCAGTTCTCCTGACCACTGGACTCGCTACTGTGCTAGGACTGATTGTCCTGGTGAGTTGTTCCCCCGCCCGTTCCCGCGCCGGGTGCGCGCGACCTTAGTTAGCCCATTCTCAATTGAGCTGGCCAATTGACTTATGCTGACCTCGTCATCTCATCAATTAGTTTTATACTTTCTTATCCTTCGTCGCACCTGTACCCCGCGAGCCTCTCCCGGAAGAGAAAGAGTTCACGACACTGTTGGAAGATGGAACCATCGCAGAACCTCAGCCACTCCCTTGCTGGTTCGACGGCGTGAAAGCCGCAAAGCGCGCCGGACAACCCGCCAAGCTTGAACCAGCAGAGCTGTTCATGTCTGTAGTCGTCCCAGCCTACAACGAAGAAGACCGGCTTGCAGGCATGCTGGAAGAAGCTGTCAATTACCTTGAACAAATGTACGGAACACTAGGAAGGGAGAGTGAAAGCGCTATTGAGACTCGATCCACACGGAAGCGCAAGCCCAACGGAAACGCGACAAATGGTCACGCCACAGTGTCGGCAACGACTCGAGGATGGGAAATTATCATTGTTTCGGACGGGTCTACGGATCGGACGGAAGAGGTGGCTTTTCGCTTTGCGAAAGAGCATCAGCTATCTTTGCACCCAAAGGGTCACGCGGGGCCCTGGACTCCTCAAGCGTCCGAGGGTGTGCATATCCCGTCTGGCACTATCCGATTCGTGACTCTGACTCACAACCGCGGTAAAGGTGGCGCGGTCACGCATGGTCTGCGCCATGTTCGGGGTCAGTATGTTGTGTTTGCGGATGCTGATGGAGCGAGCAAGTTTACCGATCTTGGCAAGCTTGTTAACGCGTGTCAAGAGATCGAGGATGCCGATGGACGGGGGTGGCTGTGGGATCTCGGGCGCACATGGTTGGCAGCGAGGCTGTGGTCAAGGTAAGAATCCCAGTACTGGTTCACGTCTACACAATACACATTCAGCTAACATGGGTCGATAGCGGTCTAAACTACGCAATTTCTTGATGCACTCGTTTCACCTGATCTTGAGGCTGATGACGCCGCCCAGGACTGCCACGATCAAGGACACGCAGTGTGGTTTCAAGCTGTTCTCCCGCGCGGCATTGCCTTTTATCGTCCCATACATGCATTCCGAGGGCTGGATCTTCGATGTCGAGATGCTTATGTTGGCTGAATTTGCCAGTATTCCCGTGGCCGAAGTGCCCGTGGGATGGAGGGAGGTCTTGGGAAGTAAATTGAATGTCCTACGTGATAGCATCGGCATGGCCTGGGGATTGGCTGTCTTGCGGGCGGCTTGGTCGCTGGGGATATATAGACAGCAGTGAATGATTTCCGTTGGTTGATACTGTCGATGTATTGATGATATTCGGGTGTCTCTCAGCGTCCTTCGCCATGCAAAATATATAGAGGATATTCCCGCATATCCCTCTTGATTGGGCACAGTATGCATTCAAAACCAGTAAAGATCAAAGCGCTACCGCATTCCGATTTATTTACCGCGCCAAACCCCACGATCAGATTGAATGTCTTTGGTCGTTTCCCGCCGTAACCTGCTGTCATCATGAAGATCTGCAATGGGTGTCTCCGTCTTCTGTGCACTTGACCACGATCGCACTACATTCTGATTTTCTCAGCGACCCAGTTCTCTCTCATGAGTAAAACGTATCGTCCGCGTATCTTCAAGCTGTATCGCGGTGGAAACACATAGCCCTAGTCAAGGAGATTCAGGAAGCTGAGTGCAACCAAATACTAACCAGTAATGGTCGGCTGCTACTTGGTCGTTTCATGCCCTGGCACTTACCTATTTCTTGATGCGACGATACCCTGAATCAGCGATGATCAATATTGCAAGGCTATCAGTTGGCATACCGATTCGATTGTGTGGATCAGATGCTGACCAGATGATGAAAAATGGCATGACAAGCCGCGGGCTCCCGGTCATAAAGAAGTACTTCACTCTTCGGGAGAACATGGTGCGTTCAGACCTTGTTCTTTTCACTTTGCCAACTCATTCTCCATACGTTCAGGACCAGTCACAGGACCAGTCACACATACACTCGAAAGAGGTCAAGGCTGTCTACTTTCGCGAGTGCCCGACAGCGTCTTTTTCTGAACAGGATGACAGGGTGTGAGAGCGAATTCTATACATCTAGCCCTTCTCAGTCTCAACATGGCCATCGACCAGAACTTGAGGCCAAGCACATCTGCAGCCTTGCTAGCTCGACGAGCTCACTGAGTAGCCCAGAAAACAAGATCTCGCCCTTCTGTAGGCTACCGACGGAGATCCGGCTCCTAATCTACGAATGGGCGTTGACTGTCCTTCATGACGACATGGGTAGGCCCTTGATCGTTGTCGACGACTCGAGCAAGTTCTCCACCCGTTCTCAATATCACCACATGTCCATGTGTCCCAGCTGGACGGGTGAGGACGGCACAGCGCGAAAGCTCCTCACTGTCAATCGTCAAATCCACGACGAAGCAGAGGACTTTTTGTATTCACGAAACACCCTATTCTTCCAGAACTCGTTCGATTTGGATCATTTGGGCGAGTTCCTCGAAAGTTTGAGCAATCCTGCCCGCAGTCATATCCGCAGTGTCGGTTTCGAGGTCTTCTTCTTTGTGCACGCCGAGTCGGGGGTGCCCAAGCGCACTTTCAAACAGTATGAACAAGCTGGCAGATTGCTTCGTGCGAGTCTACCCCAGTGGGAGACTATCGTGTTCTACATCGACCCCTTTTTCTACTTCCTACCTCAATCCGTAGGTGGACGCGATTCAGCGGCTCGCGGTGTTATGGACCTATCCGCGCGATTCAGAGCCTTGTGTGGGGAGGTCGTTTTTCATTCATTGCCTTGAGACAGACCAAAGCGTCTATCGAAGAAGCATCGCGGCCTGTGCCGTGCGGCAACAATTTACTAAATAGATGCACCCTGAAAAGGCAAAGTTCGAACTAGGCTGAGTGCTCGAGGCCAATTCCTGCAGTTGTCGGCTCTTACCGGTCTACATGGGCCATTTGCCTCATTATGGCTAATCTTGTTTTCCTTGGTACCAATAGTTCTCGCTCTGGAAAGATCGTCTTTTTTCACTGCATGCTACTTCATATCCTGATGGCTCTCGGTTCTCGGTTGGACTTCAGCGAGTTTTTGCTCCATGTTTTCACGTACATCGATCATCTACCCAAAAAGGCCCCCCCCAGGAGCTGTCGAACCGAGTGAAATCAAAGACGTGTGCCAGTTCCACACTGGACAAGAGAACCAGATATCTCCAGAATTCTTCCGCAAAATGAATGGAAAGAGACAAGAAGAACTTGAAATATATATTGTCCAAGAAATGCCTCGGGACATCACCTTGATCCGGCTACAACGACGGTCATGGAAAGCATCGGAGGATAACATGAGACATGGGTGCGAACCCGACAGCTCAGGGCCGAAAAAAGGAAGATAAGAATGGCCAAAAAGGAAGATGAGAATGGCCAATTTATACGAATGCAGCCAATACTAAGTGGCATTTGCAGCACAGGGCGAGCTAATGACCGCCGATGACATCACTTGGTATCGAATCAACATCCCCGAGCTTCAACGAAAAGCTTCAAGGGAAGCTCCTCGACTGTCTTTCTACAACTACTTACCACAAACCACCATGGCCTTTCTCCTCTCTCCTCTCCGACTCGGCCTGGGCCTTGGAATCGGCATCTCCGCCGTAACTCTCCACCCGCTTTCCCCCTTCCGCACTGCCCCCCTTCAATGCCAATACAACGCGCCCTACAGCTCCGGGTCTCAGTCTGCTGAGAGTAGCTGGGCTGTCAATTCCAACAATGCCCATTGGCAGAAAGAGGGTCGCTCGGGTATTGCTGCTCAGGTCAATGGGTTTATGACTCCCGAAAACATGAAACAGATTAGCTTGGGAAGTGTTCTCGGTCTGGTCGCTGGTGTGGGGTTGAGGGCGTTCTCCCGGGTTTTGGTGGTGCTCATTGGAATGGGTATTGTGCTTGTGGAGGTGAGATTCTATCGATCTCGTGGCCCCTTAAAAGCTTGGAAAGATTTTCTATACTGACAAGGTGATGCAGTGGGCCGCGTCCAAGGGCTATAACATCCTCCCTTTCCACCGGATCCAACAGTATGTCAAGAACGTCGACGTCCATCGCGCTGTCTCTCAGCACCGACCTTTCAAGATGAGTTTTGGCACTACGATGGCACTGGCCGCATTTGCGCAATTCTAAATAAATGTCTTCTCCGTGGAAGGCTATCTGTAAATAGTGAATCCCCACCGCTCTACAAATCCGAGGCAAAGAGATTATTACAAGTGCTACCAGCCACTGCCAAAATGAATCGGTGATCTTGATATTTCGTACAAAGGGGTATCATGACTTCTGCGACCTAGTCCTCACTACAACCTTCAATTAGAATGCTTCATCCCAGCACCAGATCTTCTAACACACCCTCCATCTCATCGCGAGACAACGGGACACCCAGAATCTCCATGCCGCTGGGATCCATTCGTGAGGTAATCATCTGATGGTCGTGGAACTCCTTCAGCAGGGTGCGGAACATCATCTCAGAAGATGCGATGAATTCCTCCGTTGCCTTCTGGTACAGCAGACGGAATTCGATCCCATTCTCCTCCCCATTCTTACCGCCGTCACCGGCCCCTTCTTCGTCGGACTGATGGCTATCGTCCATGATGGAGAAGAGCTCGGTGAGCAACAGCCGGTATAGGTTGCGTGCATTCTCAGGAAGACTCTTTAGCACGAAGCCCACACCCTCCTTGCCGCCTACACGACGGCCTTTTCGGCCAAGGAGAGCATGCACCTCTTCCACAACGTCTGTCTCAACAGCGAATGGGGAGAAGGTTGTGCTGTCATGGAAGACCAGATTAAGTTGGTCCCGCAGACTGATATCCCACATCAACGGGAAGTTTGGCGTGTCTGCTGTGAGCAGAAGTCGGACGCGTGGTGTAGCGCCTAGACGAGCAAGTAAAGCCTGGTTGGCGGCACGCCGCAGTGGCGGTGCATCAACGGAGTTTATCAGGACGGTAACAGGTTCTTCGTTGGCTGGTCTAGCCTGGAGCGCCGATTGTAAAAGCTCCAGCACCTCTGTCGGTTGCGCACCAAGCTTGGATGGCGCATCGTCCCCGAGAATGGCGGTCACAATCGTAGCAAAGATCGATCGAATGGAGATGCCGGGCGTGTAGCCATTCACGATGATGATGACTGGTGGATTTGTAGGTACCGAGCGATTGTACAGCCAGTCCGCAAATTCGTGGACGAGCTTTCGCTTTGATCCATAACCAAACAGACAGACATTAAATCCCTCCTCAAACTCGAAATACCACTGTGGGAATGCTCGATGGTGTAAGGAGAGCAGGTATTCCTTCTCCTCTCTGCATGGGTCCACAAATTGACCCAATTTTTCGAAGTACTCTTCATGTGTCAATAAAGGTACCTTGTTCAGTGTTGTGTTGGACGTTTTGCTCGGACCTGCGCGGTTTTGGAAGAAGTAGCGCTCATGCGCCGGCAATTCTCCTTCTGGTGTCGGGGACCGCTTGTTCCTTGCCCCCTTCGGCCGACCAGCTCGGCGCTTGGGGGCCTTTGCATCGGCTTTGGAGGCCTTCCCCTCGTCGCCACCTTCAACACTATCCACCGCCGGCTTGTCAGCTTTATCGGCTTCGGGCTCATCTTGTAGAATCTCCTCTGCAAGCTGCTCAGATCCATCCCAAGCACCATCTTCATCTTGCTCTAAAAGCACTCGCGCACTCTTCTTCTTCGCCGATCGGTCCGCATTTTTTAAACGACCGGGGGTGGAAGCGCTCGGAGTCTTGGGCTTCGTAGGCGTGGCAAAGAGGTTCCGAGCCTTGGATTTGTGGGTTGGCGTCTTCAATCCGGATTCCTTCAGCGGAGTTGCGGCGATTCCATTGGCCTTTTTGGGGGTAGATTGACCGTGCGGTGTAGGAGGCAGCTCGTAGGGGACATCGCTATTCGGAGCCTGGCCGTTCAGGGAGCCATGGGCCTGCTCGAGGGCCGTCCGTAGCCGCTTCGGGGTCGATACGGGGTGGTCATTTTCCAGACCGGAATCTGACAGCTTGCGCTTCATGATGGGCGAGTCAGCGGACGTGTGGTTGGAGTGAAGGGGAAGGGACTCAACAATACCATGAGATCCGGAGAATGTGCACAGGGACGCGACGCAAGGGATTGGAGTGTCTTCCAAAGGCTCAATATCGTATCAAGTCAATCAAGTCCAGACAAGACAAGACGTTGACAGCAACAACCCAATTGTGCGACTGTAAAGCTATCACTGTTCGCGGAGTGGAGGTTCAAAGTCGATCCCAGCTGCCTCTCGCTTTCACTCTCACTCTTGGCGGGTCCACGAGGTTTCTCCGACTCCGCCTCAGCGGATGAAGAAGCGCGCGCTTCGACGTCCGAGGCACTGGATCGCGTCCTATCAATTCTTGTTGAGCACTCGAGATAGCCAATTTATAGATCTCAACCATCAAATAAAACAATCGGAACCGTGGATAACCGTGGATGCGACCGTAGTTTATGCCATGTGAGGGAAAGAAGATGCCATTGCCAATCTCTCGCAGAAAGTGCAAGTCTTCTGTAGCCCTGTATATTTCTCTCTGCAATGGCTAACGTTACTTCGTAAATCTTTGAATCGCTATATCCTCCGTCACAGTTGTGGGCTAAAGCAGTGCCATCGATACTGGAGCGGGAGCTCCGAGACCGGCTATCTTTTTTCCTTGGGGGTAAGCTTGACTCACCTTATCAGATCTCTTTATAACCTCCACTTCTCCATGTCCGAATGATTCGGACATAACAACCTCTCAGCATGGTTTCCAACCCTCAGTCCGCCACAATGGCGGCGAATTCCCTTGCCCGCATGCTCAAAGGCCAGGTGCGATGCTACTCCGCACCACTGGACCTGGCTATTCCGGCCTCCAAGCAGCGATACATTCCTACCAGCGGCACCTACCCCCAAGGCTTCCTGGTCTCCGGTACTCATGTCGGCGTCAAGGCCTCCAACACTCGATTTCCGGATCTTGCGCTCATTGCGTCTGAGACGCCGTGCTCCGCCGCCGCTGTCTTCACTACCAACAAATTCCAGGCTGCGCCGGTACAAGTGAGCCGACAGACATTGCAAAGCCGCAAGGGAGAGGGCATCCGGGCTGTTGTGATCAACTCTGGCTGTGCCAATGCCGTGACCGGTAAGGGTGGCCTCGAAGATGCCGTGCAGATGGGTCGGACAGTGGACGAGTGCAGCGGAGCCGAGAAGGATAGCTCGCTGGTGATGAGTACCGGTGTTATCGGACAACGGTGAGTGATGCTTGCCAAAATAGCTTATTGTGACCAATATGTATACTGACTGATATGACAGCCTACCCATCAACAAGATCCTCGACCGCATTCCTACCGCTTACGCCAACCTCGACTCGACGCACGATGCGTGGTTGAGCACCGCCCGCGCTATCTGTACCACCGACACATTCCCTAAGCTTATCTCCCGCACCTTTACTCTGCCTTCTTCCCCAGATCTAACTTACCGCCTGGCCGGTATGACCAAGGGTGCCGGTATGATCCACCCGAACATGGCTACCTTGCTGGGTGTTGTGTGCACCGACGCAGCTGTTGAGCCCGCGGCGCTGCAGTCAATTCTCAAGCATTCCGTAAACCGCTCGTTCAACTCGATCTCTATCGATGGCGACACCAGCACCAACGACACCATTGCCGTTTTGGCTAACGGTGCCGCTGGTGGAGAGACCGTCCGCGCACCTTCTGGTTCTCAGGCTAGTGCCGACTACGAGGCCCTGCAAGCTATTTTCACCGACTTTACTCAGGAGCTGTCGCAGCTTGTTGTCCGTGACGGCGAGGGCGCGACCAAGTTCGTTACTGTGCGCGTGCGCAACTCTCCCGACTACGAGTCTGCCCGTCTGATCGCCTCGACCATTGCCCGCTCTCCCCTCGTCAAGACTGCCCTGTATGGTAAGGATGCCAACTGGGGCCGTATTCTTTGCGCCGTGGGCTATACGCAGGGTGTGCGCGATGGTACCGTCGTGCCCGAGCGTACCTCCGTCAGCTTCATTCCAGTTGATGGCAGCCCGGTCCTGAAGTTGCTGGTCAACGGCGAGCCCGAGACTGTCGATGAGGAGCGTGCCAGCGTGATCCTGCAGAATGAAGATCTGGAGATCGAGGTTGACCTCGGTGGTGGTGAGATGGGCGCTGCCGGTTGCGGTGGTGAAGATGCCGTTTACTGGTTCTGTGATTTCAGCCATGAATATGTGACTATCAACGGTGACTACCGAACGTAAAAATGCATACACGGCACTTTTCGGCAATTGATGGATTCAATCTGTGTTCTGGATCTGTAGTGAATTTATCGTGCAAGGAGATACATTTAGGATAGTGGTTAGAATATACCATAGTTGGCCCAAATTTGGGTCCATGTGGTCCACTGGCTTGTTTTCTTGGATGAAACGATATAAGCACTCTTTTCGTTGAACCCTCTTAAAAGGGGTCAAAACTAATACTTCCTGTAATTGTGCAGTCTCTGATGAGAGGGAAGATATATTCAAGACCGCCCGATCGATTTTGAAATCTCCAAGGGTGGCGAAGCCTTCCACTAGTCCAACGGTCCTAAAGATCTCATCTTGAATCACTCACGAACCGTGCAACGAAAGATACGTGGAATGCATTTTTTTTTTTTCGTTTCATTCAAGATGTACACTCTGATAGCGTTGGAGCATTCCAAGGCTCGAAGGTTCACTCAGACTGGAAAACCGTGGGGAAAGCTCCCGTGACTATGCCATCAACATGTGGCCAAAATCACCTCTCACTGCGAAATGATTTCATAACCATTCTCTATACCACATTCGACACGCACAAGGCTCAGATGACAGAGTCTCCCTCATATCCATATCTCACACCCGAGGTAAGCGCGGGGACGAATCTTGAGGAAAATCCCGGGTGGAAGCCGCATCCCTTTGACGTCATCCTGTTTGCAGTCGTAAGAATGCGGCCCGGTTCCTATAATTCTTTGCAGTTTCGCATCTTTTACCCATCGGGACCTCGTGTGGAGATTGCCAGACTTCGGTTCCACAGGGCCCATATTTAATCCCACCGCTAACCGTGCCCAAGAATCTCCTGCGGGGACTTTCTTGCTCCTTGGACATCTCCGCTGAAGCTGCCCGACACTCCCTTTCCTCTGACCCAACTGTCTGCGGACGCGTGGCGCTGTCGGATATTTGAATTTTCTCTGGGAGTCTTGCATGAACTGAGCTGCACTTAGCTGGTGCTTCGAATGGACGACCCCTGGGTTATATATCCTCTGTCGTTATTGACCGCCCCTTGTACGTTCCCTCCTGCAGTTCCACCGAGCTGCGTGGCACGCTCTCTTTGATTGTTTCCTTCTGACTATGGATCAGACCATTGTTTAGGGCTCACTAGTTAGCTTTGGGGTCTTCAGGCCTCGAGCTAAGTTAATTCGCTTCGAGTGCGCTGTTCGGGCGGCCTCTTCACATTTCTGTATTTCATCTTGAACAGACCCGCTTTCCCCTCTTTCGATATCCCGAATCCGCCACTTGGTTATTGTAAAAAGAATCTCGCGCAAGTTTGCAGCCATCGTCAATACCATGAAGCCATCCACCATGAAATTGCCAGACGGTCACGGAAGCGTCTACAAAGAAGTGCGCTTCTCGCCAACATCAACACCCATCCGCCGCACACAATCACTCTCCGGCAACACTCCAAGGACGACCAACTACCGGCCAGTACCCATCCACGATATTCCCGAAGACGGGGTTCCTGCCCTGGCTACCTCTTATACCACATACTTAGCGCAATCGCGAAACCTTCTTGAGAAGCAGCGGACCCATTATGAGCAGGAGAGAGAGCTTTTTGCGCAGGAAAGACGGCTGTGGGAGCAGGAAAGATCGATCTTGAGGGCCAAGATTGCAGAATTGGAGTCGTCGTTGAGAAGCACGAGGAATCATTTCAGTATATCGGCAACTTCTTCCAAGCCCAATTTTGGAACACCGCAATTCCAAGGCCCTGGCGATTGTCATTCGGCGCAAGTGTGGGAGGGCTCAAGTCCTGGAGGTCGGCCAACGAGGGTTTTCCGTAACGAAGAGATCCCCGACAATACTCACCTGTCGCCGATCACTGATAATCCTCCGTCCCTTGATGCAGCCTTGTCTCCTCAATCCCGGGCGGTGGATGCTGGTGTGACCATTAGTGTCCCCGTGCCGATCGAGAAGCTTGACAGCAGGTTAGATGGGATCACTCTCAAGTCCACCGCCCTGCCACCGGATGTTGTTGCCCGGGTCATCACTCCGCCGTCACCGTCACCCCTAGAAACGCCCTCCGACCCCCCCTTCGGTACATGCAAGGCCCGAGCTGGAACGCCGAAACAGTCTCAAGCTGAAGCTGTCAGAACTCCCTCCGCCCAATGAGAGGCTCCTCAAGGATGCTGGTCATACCCCGATGGCGATCATCGAGGCCGACGGGAGCCAGCGGTCCACGAAGGAGGCTTCCCCCATGGAGGGACCCCCGTGCAACGAGGAGGAAGCCCCTCTCGCCCCCATGGTTACCCAGATCCATCAACCGCCAGAGAGCTGCGAGTCGTATTTCCCCGATTTGCCCAACGATCCCGGTCTGAAGGGGCCCTTGGGTCTCATCAACGACGAGGAGCATGACAATAATTTCTTGAGTGCCCTCGATCAGAAACTCCAGGACCAGGCTCTCCTGAGCCAAGCCAAGCAAATCCTTTCCCCTGCAACGGAAACGATTGACCCTCACGAGACCGACCCGGAGCTGCCTGAACAAGGCGAGCAGGAACCGGAATTCAAGTTCAGAAAGTCGACTAACTTTGGCACGGCCTTTGGACTATCGAATATTGGTGAGATGTGAAGATATCCCAATTTCTTTTTTTTTTTGAGTTTGTGATCTACCTACATTGGCGTTTGGCTTTCATCTTGATCTTCTTCAAGATTGCAATTTATTTCCAATCCACCTTTTCCCTCCCCACCATGTTGGTTGTGTGTCTGTGCGCGGAAACGCCTCACGACGTGATGAGATATCTTTGATTACGCTGCAATCAATTTCTTAGTTCTACTTTGTTTCAGCCCATCTTCGTCTCTAGGGCGATGTTTCTTGTTGCATGGGGAGGTCTAGGCTCAAAGCATATCTACAAATCCCGGTGTTTAATGATGATCTTGCACTTCCTTGCGTGTGATGTGTCTTAGAACATAACGGGTCCATTAGCATATCCAACCAACCGAGAGCGTCTACCGGCACCTACGATGGGGGAGACAATTTCCCATGGGAGAGCCCCTCGATCCCTTGCAGTCGGAGTCGCAACCGTTCCTGGTTCCACGTGCTGTTCGCTTTCTTCGCGCTGTTCACATATCCTCCAAGTCAACTACGCAGCGACAGCTCGGATCGCCCGGGCTCGTGCATAAGCTTCAATTTGACCGGGACCTGCTATGCAAAGCCCCAGTTCAGGATCACGCCGTACCACGGGTGAAGACCTCGGTCCCAAAGGCATGATCTCTCATCTGCTTCGATCCGTCGGATGCTTCGTGGTTCGTCCCCTTGGGAGCCTTGCTGATCATGGCTCTGTGTGGCGCTGAGTTTTTTTTTTTTTTAAAAAAAAAAAAGCTCCCGAAGGGCTAACTCGTAGCCTTGCAGGCGAACCTGGTTCCTTTCTAGACTCTGTCTGGGTTCTGTCTAGCCCTTGGCTCTCCCCACAGACCCTCGGATGTCAGTTGGCCCTCATCCTGAAAAACTACATAAAGACCATGTATGGCAGTTGCACTCTCTTCTCCATCATTCATCCGACCCTCACAGTTCTTTAACAGTCAATCTTTTCTCTGCCTTCTTTCGGAGCTTGCTCCTCGTCAATCTTTCAATAATAATTCTTTAGTACCTCTCCGGACTCATTCCTCTATACTCCAACACAATGCCTTCCCACACTTTCTCCATCTCGGCCGCTCTGTGCCTCGCTCTGGCCATTGGCCCTGCTTCCGTCTTCGCTGCTCCTCAGCTTGTAAGTAAAGAACCACAAGGTCGTTACGCCGGGAACCCGATCTAACGCTGAACTCTAGAACGGGCTTCCTCTTCTTGGTGGTGCGCCCACTGGCGCTGCTCCTACCAATGGCAATAGTGAGCAGGATGCTGGCGCTGGCTTCGATGTCGGTATCCCTGGTGGCCCTGGAGTCCACTATGGCGCTGGCGTCCACAACGAGCACCATGGTCCCTGCGGCCCTGGCCCTAGCGGCGAGCACGATGCAGGTGCCGGCTACGATGTTGGCATTCCCGGTGGTCCTGGGGTCCGATATGGCGCTGGGATTCACGATGAGCACCAGGCTGTTCCCTGCCCCGAGCCCATCGCCGAGCCTACTACTACCACCTACGTTCCGGTGATCCTCCCGCCTACCTATACCACCCCCATCGTCATTCCCACCACCACTGTGGCTCCCGTCTACATGCCTCCCACTGCGGCCCCGGCTCCCACTGTCGCTCCCACCGTCGCTCCCATTGCCGCTCCTGTTTCCGCTCCCGCCTATTCGAAGCCTCTGATCCCTCACCCCATGCCTACGCCCACTGCTTCCGTTGTGCCTTCCGCCAAGCCTGAGCCCTCCACCATGCCAGTCTTCAATGCCGGCTCAGCCCTGGCCCCGAGCTCTCTCGTGGCCTTTGCTCTTCCTATCATGCTCGGCATTTTTTACTAATCTTCCCTTTGCGACGGTGAGGTGATCGCAGTTCCATTTGGACATTGACATGGCGCGTCGGATCGACGCACTGTGTATTTTTTGCTGTATTTGTGTACTTTTCTTTCAACCTGTGTACTCTTTTCTCTGTTCTTTGTTAATTTAATGGTCACCATTTCGGTGCACAATACTGGTCCCACATGGGATCCTGTATCTCGGCTGACATATGAGGAGCCGATTGTTATCTTTGTCCTGATTCATGTGTCGTTGGGTTTCTGTTGGTAATGGGGAGTCCGGGCGTGCAAGGCACTTTTTGTTCAATTCTATAAAATCAATTTCTTCTTGTCCGATTCAATGCCTGAAGTCATGAATGCAATTTCTTCTGTTTCTGTAGTCTCAAAGGTTCTGCACTCAGAACATCTCCAAAGGCTCCAGGTAGCCACTGAATGTCTTGAAGCCATATTAGGACCAGGGAGCGTGTTTGATCATCAATTCCGTTGCTCTAGCCGCTTTTACGCAAGAACTCGAAACTTGATCGGCGGAAATACCGACCTCCTGTCGAACTAGGCCCCGGAGCTCGGTGACGCGAGGGGTTTACATTTGACGAGACTTCAATAGGTCGATCTGGTGGTTTTGATGCCTCACTACAGCAGACTTTAAGAAAGGGAGATTCCCAACAGAAGTCTTTCTTTGCACTTGCAGCATGAGCTATGCAGTGATAGCGGCCTAATCAATAGCATTATTGAAAGTAGAAAAGGGTGGGGGGGGGAAATAAATATTAGGCCGTGTTTCCAGCAAATGATCAACGCCAAATCAGGTCATATCATGCATATCACGTATTCCAGAGAGGCTTTGTCCGCCTCCCTGCATCCATTCTATTTAGACCCCCATCGTAAAGTCATGCTCGATTCCCGGCGTCACGCTCGCAATGAACTTCAAAAATACTACCAAGTACTGGTCCACTCGAATGGCAACCTGCTCTTCCTCATCGTGTTGAAGCACCTCCCACTCATCTCCGCTTTGTCCCTGTTGGTGCTCTCCGAGTGACAGAATCTTCGCATCATCGACCAATCCTTCCAGACCACTGTTTCCACCGGCCTGCAAGACGCGATTTGCCTCTTCGCGCGACTGTGTCTGCTTCAGCTTGTCTCGTCGCAATTTGAGGGCTGCATCGGCGCGATCTAGGAGCGTCTTCATGACGGAGGCGTGGCGACATGGGTGAACAGTTGCCATCTTGACGCTGCCATCGAACCATGGGAAATCCTCAAGTGTCACGGTTTTGTCTTTGTAGTCACCTACGATGTCCTCCATCATCAAGTGCGGGGGGAGCGGCTCTGATGGGGATAGGTACCCGGATAGGTAGAGACGGGGTGTGCGATAGAAGTTCGAGTATGTGATGTATAGTGTATAAGTGCGCAGAGGCCTAATGATAAAAGTGTTTCAGTATGAGTGCAGGTAGACGAAGAGTGAAAGAATGTATACTCACTGTGTAGTCTCTGACTGACCAACCGGATCGCGAATGATAGCTTCCTCGTCATCGTCGTCATCCTCCATGTCAGGTATTTCCTCATCTTCTTCCTGCTCGCCCAGGTTCCCGGATTCGTCGACGGTCCGTACGTCACGGATGCGAGCCTCCTGCTGATCTCGGTCTGCGACAAGATCGCGACCTCCTCCTGTTCTAAGCCAGCCGTCATCTCCATCGGCATCTCCAGCACCCTCAGCACCCTCAGCGGAGAGCATATCTCGGACGATCTCGTCTTCATGGCCCGCATCGCCAGCAAAGTTGTCGTTCAGCCGTCGATGACAAGGAACTCCACGGGTAACGAGGAACTGCTTGCCGGCAGGCAGATAGGATACACGCTTTGCAGGGCTGGATGCATCGGCCCAGGACCATGTGGGAAACTTGTAAACGAGGTAGTCACCCGCCAGGACAAACTCCTCGGGGGTGATCTGGCCAGTGGCACGAAAAGTTGAAGTGCGTGAGACAGGAGCCAAACGGTCCCGCCACGTCGATAGAGTAGAATGTAGGATATTCATTGCGTTTGTATTCTATGTAAGAGTGAAAGAGGTGCGATGCTTAAAGGTGGGGTGGGGTCGGCGTCTTGATAAGCGGTGGAGCACATGATCGGCCCCGCGTGAACTCATCGTCGCAAAATGTCGCCTCTTGACCTTTCCGCGTCTTTCACCTGATTGCCGCTCATTAAAGTCTGCGGACCAGTTGTCGCTTTTGCAAGTGATCAGCTCGTGGCTTGGAATTCGCTTCTTCCAGACAGCTCACTATCACTGGCCTCAAGCCCGCACTATGAGGTCGTAGAATCGGGATTCCCCTTCCCCTGCACCTTGGGTCAAGAGGATAATCAAGAACTTTATGTCCCGGAATTATAACTGCCCAGACCCGGCTCAGTCTCATTCACCTTCTTGCATCATTCGCCGTCGCTCAATCTCCGCCTCCACCTCGTCTACTGCCATGGGAATCCCCCTGTTCTTCCACTGTTCCGTCTCAGCACGCACGAAGCCTTCTGTACTTGTCATACCCACAACGAGGAAACCAAGCTCTTCCCGATCAACATCAAAGACCTCCCACCATTCCCCATCTACCAACTTCACTCCTTCTTCGCGTGTTGCGAGGTAGATAGCTGCCACGGCCAAGGCATTGGGCTGATGCGCCACATAAAGAAGTTGAGGTGATAACAGACTGGTGTTCAGATGTTTAATAACTCGATGTGCGACGGCAGGTTTTGTCACACCCAGGGTTTGTAGGTAAGTGAGTGCAATCGTGTGCGGAAGCGCGACGTGCGTGTCGAACCCGAGGGTTCTGAGGATGATCGATTCGATCCGAAGGAGCTCCAGCCGAGCCGACTGGTAACCACCCTCAGAGAGGATGTAGCTCTCGGCCACGGGAGGCTGGCTGAGTGCCCCGCGGGGGTTCATAAACCATAGCGGGGAAGAGTCTGGAGACAGGAGAAAAGTGTAAACATTCAAGACGGATCGTGGTGAGGTGGGCTGGAAAGAAAGCTTGGCTGTCAGGTAGAGCGATGCGGCCGAGACATCCTGAACAAAGTAATGAGTAAAGAGCCTTCCTGGATACAAGCTCGGAGCGTACGTGCCTTGGCCGAGTATATTCGTAAGCTTCCTCCGTCTGCTCCCAGCCAGAAGCGTGTGAAGATGACAATCGCCTGGGCGATAACATCCTGTGGCAGATGCAAGAGAACGCCTGCCGCCTGTGTGAGCTGGGCGCCGGCGCAGCGGATTGATGTTTCGAGGTCTGAAGGCACGCCGTCAATCGACGAGGAGGATCTGGAGAGCTGATCGGGGGTGGCGAGAGCATTGGACAAATGCTTGAGGCCATTAGTGGGCAGCATGATGAGGCGGCTGCAAAGTGGGACGATGACGCGCAGATCGTGTAGCTCGTGCTCGAGATCTCGAAAAGATTTGACGGAGAGAAGACGATTTGGTGGAGACGTGGGATCGCGGTTCAGCCACCGTTATTTCATACGCCAGCCTCTTTCTTTACACGTTTCGAGGGAGATGCTCCTCAAAATTTCCAAGTGACAGACGAAACACGTACCATTGCATTAATCCTTTTCCCGATTTTCACCTATCTATCACCGTGATTTCGTCTCGCAATCCCGTTCCTCCATCCCTCGACCTCCCCCCCTAAAAGGGAATTTCCATACCTCTAGGACCGCACGTTGCACACTGCACACTAGCCACGCCACATTACTTTCGATTTGACGTGGCATTTGGTTCATTTGATTTTGGTCTCGACCTTCCCCCCCCCCAATATGTCTCCTGATCTCTCCCAAACTCCGATCTCCCTACATTCCGATGCCTTGCCCCACGAGACCGTTGCGCCCTCAGATATCCCTGTGATCTCATCGAGGAACCGACTCACTACTCTACCTTCACACCGTCGGTCAAACACCGAATACATTGCTCGATCTCCTATCTCTGGAGAAAATCACGACCCCAACCGCGATCGTATCAACCAGTCGAGCCCCTCCTGGACAGGCACATTCCCCAAGAAGAAATTTGAAGCGAAAGCAAGGATACTGTCGGACTGGTTCCAGGGCAGATCAGATCCAGTCGACTTGGAAATATCCATGCGCTCTGATAGTCATACAGAATTGAACGACATGGACCCGCCTCGTCTCACTATGGTGCCCACACACACACGCATGAAGTCGGCCCCGGGAACGGGCCGATTCTCCTTTTTTGGTCTGCGGCGACAGGCCGAGCAGAGAACAATTCCCCTGAGCCAGCAGATGATGAGTTCTTGAATCTCGACATTTCTGCTGCCCTATCAGCCCCTACTTATCCAGATGCCACTGGAGAGCAATCACTCGATGCTCTGCGAGAACAAGCCACCAGCGTTCTACAGCGGATGCAATATGCCTACAAACAAAGAACGTTCGTCATGCACCAGGCTCTGGCTGACCGAAATGAGAAGCAGAGGGAGATAGAGGAGACACGTGCTCGTGTGGATCATTTAAAGATACAGCTGGACGGCATGGCTGTCAAGGTGCTAGACCAAGAGAAGGCTATGCAGGCGATGGCCGAGGAACTCAAGCAGGGAAGACGCATGCGACAGAGAGAAGAGTCTCACAGCCGCGGCCGCACCATGCGTGCTATCCATCCGGAGGACGACGTACCATCTCTTGTGCTTCAAACCCCCCACCGAGGCGGCAAGCGTGCAAGCCATGGGACTCTGACTAGTGATTCTGGCTTTGAGTCCGGGGATGAGAGCGTCACTGACAGCGTCTTCTCGCACCGAGAAGGTGTTGAGTCTCCCACATCCACGCTAGCGGCGCCGTCGCCTAACCTCTCCCAAGTTGCACTATTTACGCCAACGGCTGCTCCGACTCTGACACCAACTATTCAAAAGAATCTTGTCGCAGTCACGAGCTCGCCGACGCCGACACGACCCTCAACATACGACCGAGTTATGAAGGGACTTGCCTCAACCCGCCTGGGAAGTTCTTTAGGTGCGAGCTCGGGGAATTCAAACCAGTGTGGTAATTGCCATGGTGTTCCCGCATCGGAAGCTTGGAGTGTCATGGGTGTTCTCAAGGATGAGAATCGAGGCCTTAAGACTCGCCTAGGAGAGCTGGAGCTGGTGATTGATGACTGCTTGGGTCTTGTTGGACCTTGAGCAAGACTTGAAGCAGGTCCGCCCTAAATTCTGTGACTCTGGGAATTGCGTATCTTAGGGTGACCTGTTGTCAATATAGAAGAGCGAAATGCTTTTGATTACCCGATTGATAGTCCAGTACGATGTGATAGAAAACCAAGGAGCACTTGGTCCAATAACATGGAACTTTTCAATGATCTCGGTTGCTGTCGCGAGGCTTCTCGCAGACCCTGGGCCTCTTAGTGTGGGGATAAGCTCTGGGGTCTTCAGCACCGGGGTACACAACATACATACACACACATTACACGGTGCTATAGAATCAACCTAGATAAATTATTAAAAAAAAAAAATTACAATCTCAATGGAACAGAGCAATCTATCCCATTCTCAGACCGTGAGGGGTTTTGAGTCATGGCGAGTGGTGATGAAGCGTTCGCGGCGAAGACCAAGTGGCCTTAAAGTAGCGCGGAAGCGAAAAGTGGCCAGCGAGCCTCTTCCCTCTTTCTCTTCCTCCCCAATCTGCTCCGACCTCCCTCCCCTTCTCCTTTTCTTTTCTCTTTCTCCCCCCCCCCGCCCGATCTTAGATCACTTTCCACTCCTTCTGCTGGTCTTCATTTCCAGCTTCCTCTTTTTTCTTCTTGACGGATTGGAGGGAAATCAGTCACCATGAGCGGCCGTGAGTCTCCACCCCCCAGCGCCCTCCAGCACGCGATCGATACAATTCCCTCCGATTCGGTCTCAATTGCCTCATGTACACTAACATAACAGAGAATTGCAGTTCGCTTCCTTGACTTGATCAAGCCGTTTACGCCCCTCCTCCCGGAGGTGGCAGCTCCTGAGACTAAGGTGCCCTTCAACCAGAAGTTGATGTGGACCGGTGTATGTGGCCTTCAATTCCCTCAAATACTCGACATGAAATCTAATTGATGATCACTACAGTTGACTCTCCTCATCTTCTTAGTCATGAGTCAGATGCCTCTGTATGGTATCGTGTCCTCCGACACCTCTGACCCCCTGTACTGGCTGCGTATGATGCTAGCCAGTAACCGCGGTACCCTGATGGAGTTGGGTATTACCCCCATTATCTCCTCAGGCATGGTCTTCCAGGTATGTTTTGGCGACTCAACTGGACGTTTTGCGACGCGATAAAGCTGACAGTCGAGTCTCCCGTAGCTCCTTGCTGGTACCCACCTCATCGATGTCAACCTTGACCTCAAGACCGACCGCGAGCTGTACCAGACTGCTCAGAAGCTCTTCGCCATTATCCTCTCCTTTGGCCAGGCCTGTGTTTATGTCCTGACTGGTCTCTATGGCCAGCCCAGCGACCTTGGTGCTGGTATCTGTGTTCTCCTGATCGTCCAGCTGGTTGTGGCCGGTCTGGTTGTCATTCTGCTGGACGAACTTTTGCAGAAGGGCTATGGTCTTGGCAGCGGTATCTCCCTCTTCATTGCGACCAACATTTGCGAGTCCATCGTGTGGAAGGCCTTCTCCCCTACCACCATCAACACCGGTCGTGGCCCTGAGTTCGAGGGTGCCATCATCGCCCTGTTCCACCTGCTTCTGACCTGGCCCGACAAGCAGCGTGCCCTGTACGAGGCTTTCTACCGCCAGAACCTGCCCAACGTCATGAACCTGTTGGCCACTCTTTTGGTCTTCGCTGCCGTGATCTACCTGCAGGGTTTCCGTGTTGAGATCCCTGTCAAGTCCGCTCGTCAGCGTGGCATGCGTGGTTCTTACCCCGTCCGTCTCTTCTACACCTCTAACATGCCCATCATGCTGCAGTCCGCTCTGTCCTCCAATGTCTTCTTGATCAGCCAGATGCTGTATTCTCGCTTCTCGGACAACCTGCTTGTGAAGCTCCTCGGAGTCTGGGAGCCTCGTGAGGGCTCTGCCCAGCTTTTCGCCTCGTCGGGTATCGCCTACTATATGTCCCCTCCTCTGAACTTCAAGGAGGCTCTCCTTGACCCCATCCACACCGCTGTCTACATCGCCTTCATGCTCGTTGCCTGCGCTCTCTTCTCCAAGACCTGGATTGAGGTTTCCGGCTCTGCTCCTCGCGATGTTGCCAAGCAGCTCAAGGACCAGGGTCTTGTTATGTCTGGTCATCGTGAGCAGAGCATGTACAAAGAGCTGAAGCGTGTTATCCCCACCGCTGCCGCCTTCGGTGGTGCCTGCATTGGTGGTCTCTCCGTCGCCTCCGACCTTCTTGGTGCCCTTGGCAGCGGCACTGGTATCCTCCTGGCAGTGACGTAGGTTACCCCCGACTCCTCTGTCTTTTTGATTTGCATGCTAACATGTTTCCAGTATCATCTACGGCTACTTCGAAATTGCCGCCCGCGAGGGTGACATTGGCGCCGGCCTCAAGGGCCTCGTCCCCGGCAGCTAAACGACCAATGCTGCAGTTTCTCTTATGAGCAGTATGATGGGGGACTTCCGCTGTCCTCTTTATTTCTGTCCATTTCTGTGTTTCTAAATCATCCGCTTTTCTTTATACTATTTTGGGGAGAACGCATTGGTGAGTCGGAAGGCTCTAGGGTGCTGTGAGTTGGAGCACTGGAGTCATTCGCCCGTCGAAAGTGCTCCCGGGCCTGTAACCATATTCTAAAAAGGAAAAAGTCCCAAATGAGTTGATTGCCGTGAGATCTTGGAGCGATGAGTAATTCGTAGACTCAGGCGTCCCCAACTTGATTCCGGTGATGGCATTGGCATTGCAGTGTATTCCCATACAGTTACATACAGTCCCATACCGTCCTATACAGTTCAGTCGGGTGGCACGACTAGGATCCCCGGTATCCTCGGGTAACGCAAGCCCCGATTTCGCAGGCGGCGAGCTTAAATCAGGGAGGGGCAATACTTCATTAGCTAAGGCAACTACCTTGGCGGGGAAAGGCATTCCCAGGGTTCAATTCGTGTTGACTCACTCAACTCGGTCTCGATTTCTCTTTTAACCTTGTGTTCCTTTCACTTTCTCGTTTTCTCTCTTCCTCTGTTCTGTTCTCTTCTTCCCTCTCGTCGCGCTCCGATCCTGTCTGTACTTTCAACCCTTACCATGGCTGCCCCAAACGGAACTTCCAATGACTTCACTGTCAAGGCCGGTCTGGCCCAGATGTTGAAGGGTGGCGTGATCATGGACGTTGTCAATGCTGAGCAGGTATACTTTGGAGCAACCCTGGCTGGTTGCATTGTCTCTCACTAACTTGTTCGTTCTTGTCTTCAGGCCCGCATTGCTGAGGAAGCAGGTGCTGCCGCCGTCATGGCCCTCGAGCGTGTCCCCGCTGATATCCGTGTCGAGGGTGGCGTCGCCCGTATGTCCGACCCCAGCATGATCAAGGAGATTATGGAGGCTGTGACTATTCCCGTCATGGCCAAGGCTCGCATTGGACACTTTGTTGAATGTCAGGTACGTGTTTGGAACGGCCCCGCTGTCCGGCAAGCCATCTTCGTGAGGGGCACGGAAGCTAACATGCCCCGCGCCGCAGATCCTTGAAGCCATCGGTGTCGATTACATTGATGAGTCTGAAGTTCTGACCCCGGCCGACGATGTGTATCACGTCACCAAGTCCACCTTCAAGGTTCCCTTCGTCTGCGGCTGCCGCAACCTCGGTGAGGCCCTGCGTCGGATCTCCGAGGGCGCTGCTATGATCCGCACCAAGGGCGAGGCCGGTACCGGCGACGTCGTCGAGGCCGTGAAGCACATGCGCACTGTCAGTGCCCAGATTGCTCGTGCCCGTGGTATCCTTCAATCCCGCGAGGACTCCGAGCCTGAGCTGCGCGCCTTCGCCCGTGAGATTGAGGCTCCTTACGAGCTGGTTCGCGAGGTCGCTGAGAAGGGTCGTCTGCCCGTGGTCAACTTCGCGGCCGGAGGTGTCGCTACCCCCGCCGATGCGGCCCTGATGATGCAGCTGGGCTGCGACGGTGTCTTTGTCGGTTCCGGGATCTTCAAGTCTGGTGATGCTAAGAAGCGTGCCCGTGCCATTGTGCAGGCTGTGACTCACTTCAAGGATCCCAAGGTCCTTGCGCAGGTCAGCGAAGGACTGGGTGAGGCCATGGTCGGTATTAATGTGCAGAAGATGCCCGAGACCGACAAGCTGGCTGGACGAGGTTGGTAAATACCCTCTATTCCCGTCATTTATGTGTCAAATCCCGGTTCGGACCGAGAACATCTTGTACATGAGCCATGACCTGTTTGTCTTACTTCCAGATACAAAAAATTCTAGACAAGAGCATTAGAAAAAACCTTGACAAATCACTACTCTGAAGACGGCCTTCCACTTTTGCTGAAAGCCATACTTGACCGGCAAATTCGCCCTCCCAAAGCCGAGGATTCTAAGATATTTGAAGCCCACCATATCCGTCACCTCGGTCATCGAGCGTACGCATCGGCCGATGAGACCCACCGTATTCTGCACCGATACGTCCTGCACGACATGTCCAGGGATCATAGAGATCTATTTATATGATAGGATCGACGCACTGAGCCACCGATCATCGAACACTCGAACGATCTGGTAATAAACTCCTTTTCGCTACGCCACTGGCCCATCGGGGGTTTTACCTATCCATCTCGATCCCCTGCGTCCCCGAGTTACCGATTCTACCCGCGGATTAACGGATCTGGTATCCGTATGTACTGTTACCAGTAAAATACATGTGTATTGTCCACATGATCGACGCTATGAGTGTTCCAAGGTGTGATCACTTATCATAATGAACAGCGTACGATGAGAAAGGTGTTCGTCGGCCTCGTCCTGGTCCTTCACAGACCTATACCATGAAGTCCTTCCACTGTGTTTGAAAGTACGGAAAAGGCCCGGCAAAACCCAGCACCTATTTAGCTTGAGCTCGGATGGACAGTAATATGCATGACTCGGCCGAGAATTGGGGTATCCTCTCCAATCGTGGAAGCTTGAAGAAATCTTTGGAGCTGCAATAACCACGTCGTTATTCGATCGGGAAGACAGACAACAAGTGACATGGGCAAAATTTTGATTATGGCAAGTGCACGAAGCCAGGACAAAATGCCCTAAAGTGACTCATTATGTCAAAAGTCTATACCTGGATACAGAGAGTGCGAAGCCTCACGACGGGAGTCGATATATGTAACGAAATGAGCCTTCCCGAAAAGCAAAAAAAAAAGCGCCGTCGCTATCAGATACTCCCCCCCCCCTCCCCCCCCCCCAAACCCAACCAAAAACAAGACAAGCTAGATCATTACACGTCCGTGAAAACCGCTGACCAAAAGCCTGGGCCCTCGAGGCGATCACGTTGCTGGTATACAATTTGGTCATGACGTCTCGTTGGTCGAGTCATGACCGGTGCCGTTGACTTCCTTCCCTGTCACAGCTGCAGAAGCATCTGCAGATTTGTCGTCGAGAGTAGCGCCAGCGAGCTTCGCCTCGGTTGCAGCCAATTTCTGGGTGGTGTCATCCAGGCTTTTCTTAAGGGCTTTGATGTAGTCGATGGCCATCTCTACCGCACTCGCTTTGCTGATGGCTTGGTTGGAAGCCTTCTCTTTCTCCTTGTCAGCGGGCTTAACTCCAGTCAAGGCAGCCTCCTTGGCCTGTCTCGCGTGGACAAATTCTGACGGTATCAGGGCCTCGATTTCCTTGAGAGCGCTGTTGATTCGATTCCTGCGTCCCTGTTCGGCAAGTTTATGGTTGGTGCGCTTGGAACTCAGGTTCTCGGCCAGTGCCTCGGGATATGAGACGCCCGAGGGCAAGGTTCCATCGAGGATATGTTGGTAATTGGACTTGGAAGCCAAGTAAAGCGCATCTTGCGACATTGCTGTGGATTCTTTGTTAGCATTGCATGTCTCACGATGACGGATCTCCAACGAAAGAGGGACACGAGCACTCACCCTCACCACTTCGCATCAGCGGCTGGATGCTCGGGCTGATTTTTGGTCGCAATTGAGGGCTAGCCTGCGTGGAGCTCACACTAGGCCGTTTCCGACTGGAAATCGAAGATCTGGACGGATCTGATCGCTTCGGGGCCAACCCGCTAGGGGATGACATAGCAACCGTACACGGGCTCATCACGATGGACGCGGGAGTTCTTTCTGCGGCTGATCGAGGCCCTCAGGATGGTGTCCCATGTGCAGAAATGACCGGACTGGCCGTGCTGGTACGGAGACTAGTTTCAATGCGGTTGACCCTCGGGCGCGGTTGTAAGGGAGGCGCTGCTGCCTCGGGAAGGGCGATGTCCTCCATAATCTCGTCGTGTATCTCCAGTTGCGCTTGACCCGTGAATTGATCGAGAGGGTCTCGAGCATGCTGCGAGCGCTGAATGCGCATCAAAGTCGCCGGGGTGGCAGCCGTGCCAGGCGACTGGGCCACGGGGGTGATGGCAGGAGACTGACGCGGCGGCGGAAGTGCGGGTGGTGGCATCAGCGGTTCGGATAAGGGTTCGGGGGAGACCGAGTCCTGACCAGAGCCTTCATTGCTGCTGACTTGAAGGGAGCGAACGTCGTGGTTTTGAGGCTTGCTCAGCTCGTGGGTCAGACTATTATAGAACTCATCCGTGCTATGAGGCATCGGCTTCCCCCTATTGCGCTGAGTCTGTGCTCGAAGGGAAGGCGACTGTTTGACCTTGCTGCGACCCGGAAGTCGAGAGGCTGTTGAGGTTCGGCGGCGATTCGTCTTGCGAATGATGCTGGGAGACGGGGGAGCCGACGTGCCCGGCAGATGGTTCATCTCGGCGTGGGTGGCTACGAAGCCCACATCTGACATCTGTCTCGCTTGGAATGGATATCCATTGTTGGAGCTACTGGCGTTCTGGGCTTCCAGCGCAGGAGAGGTCAGAGGAGTGAAGTATTCTCCGGGGACAGTATATTCAGGAACTCGAAATTGACTCTCTAGTGGTGTCATCGCCGGAGATACAAGTGGAGTGTAGAGCGCCTTGAAATAATATGTGAGTAGACTTCACAGAAAATGGAGTAGGAATATTCCCACATACCTGTTCCTCATTGATGCGCGAGTATCGATCGTACATCTCTGCATTCTCGTCAACTCGCTGGGGATAGCGGGCGGCGTTCCCGTGCAATTCCATACTATTGGGTGTAGGGGGAATCATGGGCTGGCCATGCATATAATGGTGGTTTGCGGGCTGCTGCGACGAATCCTGGGCACCGAACCCGGGGGTCATGCTGGGGGTAGAGTAGGACATGCCGTGCGACTGGACAGAGCCATGGCCAAAGTCCATGGCGAGACCCTCAATTGGAGTCGCGTACTGGTGGGATTGCGATCGATGGTCGGATGAGATGGTCGACTCGGGTGCTGTAGTGGTGGGAGGTACCATCGCATGTTGCTGCTCCTGCATCTGGGAATGCGCTGGTCCGTGCCCCTCGAGGTCGGAAAAGTGCATGTTGAATTCGAGGAAGTTGGAGAATTCATCTTCGCCGGGCGCCGTGATGAGCGTATTCTCATGAATCTGCTCCGGCCAGGTCATGGCCGGTTGGTGCTCCATATCGGAAGTTTTTCTGTCTTGACTATCTCACAGAGAAGCCAATCAGACTGGGGGAGAGGGGGTGATTAGAAGCGGGGGGGGTCTGAGCTGAGATCCGACTTTAAACGCCTTGACGCGGCATCGAAGAGAAAGAGGGATTTCCGGGGGGGGGGGAGGGATGGAAAGAAGAGGAGGGGAAGACCAAACCCAGAGAAGCCTTGAGAACTAGACCCAGGAAGTCGAGTGGAGAGATCCCGTTTCCTTCGGGCGGAGACGGTTTGTATGGAATCTTACCGGGCGAAGCACCCGGTGGCTAAACTTCGCTTCCCTTTTTTTTTTCCCTTTGGCGCTAGATGCGCCTGTAATGCGAACCGGCCTTTCCTTTGCCACACTTTCAGTGTCGCACTTCCACCCTTAGATGTGACATGAAACAAAAAAGACTGGTAATTCGGCTAAATAGAAGAGACGGCCCCGAAATTGACAATGCCCACTTTTTTTTTTCTGTCCACATTTGCCCACTTTTTGGCACCTTGGCTCCTCGAAACCAGAGATCGAACGTTGGCCCGCTATAATGCACCTTGGTCCGAGCTTTCGTGTCCCTTCCTCTAAAACGTCTGTCGGCCACGGCCATTCGTGGAAGCTAACCATCTGGACCTTCACAACCTTAACCTCTCCCCTCCCCCTCCAGAAATGCGTTTCTTCCTGGCTACGTGGCTGTGCCATATAGCGGCTGCTTCATTGACTGTCACTATTCCTCCGTCTACCCTACTCCCCCACCCCCATTCTCTCCCCGCAACCACTCAGGCCACCCTGACCACCACGGATCGCGTTCTAACGGCTTTCCTGACTCGTTCGTCAACATTGATATTCCCCGATATCCCCTCATCCGGCCCGGCTTCATACCTTCTTGATATTCGCTCCGGCGAATGGGTGTTTGCTCCTTACCGTGTTGACGTGGCCGCCGATGGAACCGTCCTGGGGGTTTGGGAGACTTTCCGAGGCAACCCATGGGATAATCGCGGCGCAGAAAAGTATGTGGTTGATGTCGCGGGAAAGGCACAGAGTGATGTCGTGATCGAAGCCAAGGTGGTCGGTCGCAGAGGATTCTATGAGGAACGCGCCAAGTGTGAGTCTGTTGTTAAAGGCCGAAAGGCTTGCTTTGGTGGATTACGCTCACTTCTACAGTTTCACCAATGAGTCTTGTCAAGAATCCGATGATCTTACTTGCAATCGTCGCTCTGGGTTTCACATTGGGTATGCCCAAACTGATGGAAAACAGTGCGTTCCCTTAACTTCCTGTACCGTCTGTCACTAACAGAATGGCAGTGGACCCTGAGATGCGCGCCGAGTTTGAGCAGCACTCTCGCTCATCTCCGATTACAGGCGCTACAAGCAACGCAATGGCCGGCGGTGGTTTCGATCTGGCCGGGTGGATGGCTGGCACCTCATCTGGTCCTGCCGCCGATGCCGACGTGGCCCGTGGAGATGCGACGGGTCGGGACACGGGCGCTGCTCGGCGGCGAGGCTAGTCGTTCAGATTCCCAGGATAAAGAACAGAGACCAGTTTGAATCGTGCTGCACGAGATCTTAGTCCGAATCAGATAGTGAACTCTTCCAGGTTTATTATCCCGGTCATGGAATCGTATTCGTTCAATTCGTTGATCGATACATATATCGTAGACTCCATCTACAATTTCTTCCAGATGAAAGGTCGCAAGCCTTGGTCAAGGGAAGTTGTGTATGCAGCTCGGTCATTTCTAGTTATAATCCTAATAATCTGGTAATACTCTATCCGATAAGCCTTGCAAGTAATAATGCCCTATGTAACTAGACGAATATGGAAGAGTCATCTCGTAGACAATCGTGGACCATTCGGTAGTGATTGAAAGCCCCCCAGCCCCCCCCCCCCCCTCCCACCGAGAACCCTTCCCATGAAAGAAAAGCCATAAGCTCAACCCGATAACCTGAGCGAGCAAAGAGAAAATCATAGCATTGAAAGGGGCACCTTTAGAAATCTCCTCCGCCAAAATCACCACCACCGCCATCATCCCAGCCACCACCTCCACCGTCATAACCGCCGTTATCGTAATCTTGATGATCGCCCATATCTTCCACCGCATCGGCGAGGAGCATCCCACCGAGCAATCCTCCACCCACACCTAGAGCGGCTGCACCTGCAGTTCCCATACCTCCGGATTTTCTGGGAAGGGGCTGCTGCGGATAGTAGCCTGCCTGGGGCGGATAGCCTCCGTATCCTTGCTGGGGGTAACCGTATCCAGGGCGTGGAGCTGATTGCTGAGAGTAGCCACCGTAATATCCACCGGGCTGCTGCTGAGGGTATGAGGCATACTGCGGCTGCGACGGTCGTGAGCTGCTTCCGGAGCTTTTGCCCATCAGTTTGCTCAGAAAACCGCCCTTGCTTCGTTTTTGCTCCGGCATGGGACTCTGGGAAGAGGGCCCGGGGGAATATCCGGCGCCTGCTAACGGTGGCTGGGACGGATTACTGTAGTAGTCTGCCGCGGTACCCGCCGTCGGACCCCTGCTATCCCCGCTTCCCCCGCGCGCATCTTCCTCGGCCTGAAGCTTGGCTGCAAGCCGTGCGTCTTCGTCAATCATACTTGGGCTGTCACGACTCTGAGAGCCATTTGCCGGATTGTATGGATTGTTGGACGCCATGGGCTGCTTTTTATCTCCTATTGCACCTGTCACCCCTGGGCCGGCAGGGCCAGTCTGGTTGTATGACGGCGGAGGCTCGCTCGGGGGAGAATCGTCAGCACTCGGTGGAGGAGCCTGCGGCGGGTCCCACTGTGATTTTCCGGTTGCAATATTGATATAGAACCTGGGTTTTTGGCCGTAAGCACATGTTGGTAGGGTACAGAGGGGGTAAGATGGGAGCTTACCATGTCTGATATCTCTCGTCATATTGTGCCTTCCAGCCCTCCGGAACCGATGGTGGGGGAGGGCCAGGCGGCGGGTTGAAGGACGACATGAATATCGCGTAATAGAACAGCTGAGGGTGGGACTTGATCAATGAGGGGTGTAAATAATGTGAGAGCGAAGAGGGGAAGAAGGGAAGAGACAAAACCAGTCCGGTTGGTCCTCCGTGCTCCTGGTTCTTATATCGGTATATATACACCCTATGCAACCCCACCGGCGCATTCGGCCAATATCATTGGACACTGCGCCACAGTGGCGCAGAAAGGCAGTGACATCATCGGAGTCTCTCACTGCGGTCTCATCTGGCTTGGCCCGATACTCAGGCAGCGTTCCCGCTTAGTTCGAACTTCATCCAAGCTAGAAAGCTACATGATGTTCGTCCTTTCAAATTTTCTCTGGTTTAGAGGCTGGAGCCATCCAGGTATTCAGGCTTAAGAAAACTCTTACTGAGGAGAGTTTTTATTCAGGAAGCAAATATTGTATTAGTAAATGTAGCTTAGTGTATTTTACCATTTCCCACCAGTTGTTGCTCCTGTATAGAAGCCACTTCTGCAGCTCGGGAGGTGGAGTTGAGATCACGTAAAGTGAATTCAAGTTAACGTCAAAGGATTCTCAAAGGTTGAAAGAAGAAAAAGAACGGTATGTATACAATTTCCAACCAAATTCCCAATTAGCCTGGTATGATTTAGAACATGCCAAAGATCGAAACATTCATGCGATGATCGCCTTTGGGACGATCAGCCAGAAGTGAGGAGCTGAAGCCTTCTGTGGTCGCTGCTCGCTGGAACGGTATACATTTGCAGAACCAGAGCTCATACACAACGGAGTTGGTCCTGAGCAATTAATGTGGGTACCTTTACTTGCGAAGGGCGTTCTTCTTGCGCATAGCGACCATCATGTCATACAGTACGTCTTTAAAGGCGAAGAGGCATGCGGCAGTAATAGCGCTCTGGGTCACCTTGGGCCCAATTCCTGAATGGAGTAAGTCCGGGTCCTCTGTCATCCTGGTACATCTCCGAGAGGCACTTACCCTTATACAGCCCTGTCCATCCCTCTTCCTGGATTATTCTCTTGAAACTGCCATTTAGGCTCTCCTTGGGGCCGTCTTTGCTAGCCACGTGCATCCGGCTCTTGATGGTAATGTAAGGGTATGTGATGCTGGTGGCCATAATTTTGCCGAGGGCACCCAAGTAGAACGCATCCTTAGGTGTCATTCGGCGGCGGCGCTCCACGACGTTCTTCAACTGCTCGAAGATGGTATATTGAAGGATCGGGTTGATCACCAGAATCAGCGCCGGGAGAACACCAGCAAACAGAGCCTTGGGCCCTTCTAGTCGGAGCAGGTCCATCAGTGTGTTGATAGTTGATGCTTTAGCCTTCTTGGGAGCCCCAGGTAGAGCCTGTTCTTCAGACTCGGATCGGCGAGCTGTCATACGGGTGTTGATGACCCAGATGGGGTTGGTGATCAGCACCGTCGCACTACCAGCAATCGCACCTGCGATCATGGACTCGACCGTGGTGAGCTTCTTGGAGGCCCGTCCTGCCTTGATGGCCGCCTTCTCGAAAGTCGACCGAGTCCACTCATACCAGTAGTAATACACAAAGTTGGTGACACTGATGCCGAAAAGGGCTGATTCCAAGCCCGAGTAGAGTCCGGAGATGCCTTCTCGCTGGACAATCCGACGGACTGCATCTAGGGTGGTGGAGTGGGCCCGCTTAGACTCGACTTGGGCTCTGGTTGACAGAGTAATCAGAGGGTACCTGTGCAATGGACCTTAGCATTGTTGGCTACGGGGAAAGAAGACAGGAAAGGTGTACGTCAGAACCATCGACAGGATTCCACCGCCGGCACCCGCCAGCGCGTGCGCGATGTTGTCGCTCTGTTGAATGGCCGCGGAGGCTGGCTTCTGCTCACGTTGAGACATAATGGCGAACAAGTTTGCGGGAGTTGAAAGATCAAAAGACCGAGTAAGACTCAAAAGAAGAGACTTGAAGAAAGAAAAGGAAGAGAATAAAAAAAAAAAGGGTTCAGGAGACCGGGCGCAAGTAATGGTTCGACTTGGGAAAACGGGACATGGGGCGTGGAGCATGGAGCATGGGACATGGGGCCGGGGGAAGACGAGGTTCATGACGTTTTGCCGAGATGCTTCGTGCCTCGGCTCCCGCTCTTCAACGATTCCGACTGCCACGAGACGATAGTTCAGCACTGAGTGGGGATTTTCCTTACCGGAGAGACTCATGCTCCGATTTGGTGTTTTGGTCAAAGATCAGTCTTGCATGTGATTCAGGTTCGTGGATCTAACCCAGACCTTGCTTTACAGGGGGGGGTGACTTTTGTGCTCCCTACTACATATGTTCCACCTAGTGTTCACTGCCTCAATAGCAATACATCTCCCCCTACTTGTATATAGCAATCGAATGATTCGGAAAGTCACTCTACTCAACAAGGAGAGAATTCACAATTTCTCGCCATTAATTCATTTAAGAGATGAATCCAACCTACAAGAGAGAAAAAAAACCCCCCTCCGGAGAGACTGAAGGGCCCAAGAAAAATGCGGCCACGATAAGAGAAACAAAAAAGCAGAAAACACCGGCGATAATTACGAAGCAAAGTGGGGAAACGACAGAACACACGGCCGTCTAAAGCACAGGAAGAGAGAAGAAAACGGACTCCCGGCGGTGGTCGTGAACCGAATGGGAAGAAGCCCCGTCGAATTCTCGGCCGTTGGGGCTCTGCCGACTAAAGGGTATGGTAAGCAGGGACGATGAGATGTCGTGCCTAGAGAACCCTCATAATGTAACATAGCGCCAAATGGAAGCATCGTTCTGAGTCGAGGTCGTCTAGCAGCAGCCGCCCGCGGATCCGGACTGGACGCCCTGGCCCTGGCCAACCTGCACGGTGGGCTTGTTGTTGACGGTAGCCGTTCCCATGCGCTCCTTGATCTGTCGTGCCATTGTCAAGAAAGCCTGCTCGACATTGGACGCGTTCTTGGCAGAGGTCTCGAGGAAGGGAATCCCCAGGCTGTCGGCGAACTCCTACCAAGTGTTAATGACCGACTTTTGACGTCTCCATAGATACAAAATCCGTCGGAGAGGGCAAGTGGGACTGCCCGAGGTACTTGGTGCTTACCTTGGCCACGGTGTACTCGACCACCTTCTTATCCTCCATATCACTCTTGTTACCAACGAGCAACTTGTTGACACCCTCAGTGGCGTATCGGTCAATTTCTTGAAGCCACTGCTTGACATTGTTGAAAGAGTCCATGTCGGTGACATCGTACACAACACAAATGCCGTGGGCACCGCGGTAGTAGGAGGATGTGATGGTACGGAATCGTTCCTGGCCAGCAGTGTCCCACTGTGATCAGTGCATTAGCCACTTTCCCGTCCTCTTCACAACACTTCGAGCAAACATACAATTTGGAGTTTCACGGTCTTGCCATCGAGTTCGATAGTGCGGATTTTCTGTGGCATGTGCGTCAGCATAACATTCTGGCTCGTAGCCCCACGAATATGCCTTCGAACGTACGAAGTCAACACCGATGGTAGAGATGTAGCTTTCCGTGTAGGTGTCATCGGCGAACCGGAGCAACAAGCAAGACTTTCCAACACCGGAGTCTCCGATGAGGAGGAGCTTGAAGAGGTAATCATATCTATCTCGGTTAGGTCAGGCGGATCGGCGACACGAGGTGTCCACGAGAGTCAACCGGCGGTGTCAAGAATACTCTGGATATGATGGCCGTGTTAGTCGATTTCTCTCGGAAGAAACAAGCTCTGAAACCACTTTGAGAGCCCCAGAGCGAAGATGTAGACGGGAGGAGACAACGAGAGCAGAGTGTTTGGCGAGGTAGACTTACTACTCGGGATTCATGATGGAAGAGCGAAAGGTAAAACGGGATCAGGGAGGAATGGTAAACTGAGCAAATGAGAATATAGCGAAGAGAAGGCGGCGATGGAGCGAAGACGGAGTTGTTGGTGGAGGGGACTGGATGATGAACGCCTGAAATGATAGGAGGTGCAGGAGGCCAGACGCACCTGATGCGCAGCTTTGTTTCACGTCTGCCACCGCCTTGGCCTATGTGTTATTTCTGGTTCTTGGGTATGTTTGATTTCATTACATTTTTGTTACATTCTGATGTTGATAATGAATAATCGCCCAGATGAAATTCAAGCATGATCAATCATTTTTCCTTTTTTTTTTCCATCCCATGAATGTCTCATTCGACCGCGGCAGCTGATCAACTATACCTACGGACCTAGTCATCAGTCTCGTCCTACCCCAATTTGATGATCCTCGTCATTCTTGTGCCTTTCTGTATTTTGGGTTCTGGCAGATCATGCTGTGAGTCGCTCACGCATAGCCGTGAGCCTGCAACCATTCCAGGACTAGGGCCTGGTCGCGCTCTTTGTAGGATGCATTGGTCCGTATGTTATCGGACACGATGACTAGGGCGCGGGCATAGGCTCCCGTATTCTTGCCCTTGAAGAAACTTGCGATATCCTCGCCAATCTTGTGGTCGGCAAATTTGGAAAGCCCCATTCGAAGGAACCGTTCGAAGACCACGTTGTTGGATGACAGATGCTCTTCCACCGAGGCCCAATTCGTCTTGATGTATTCCCACAGAAGGTGTCGCATCTTCGCATTGGCAGCCAGGGACACTGCACCGCTGTGGGCATCCTGGATGGCCACCTTGTCCGAGAAGACAAAATCCAAGTAATCCTGCACCAAAGCTGGCTCCTTGGTGCGACCCATCGCAGCCAGGCAGATTTCCTTACCATCCACGGAATCTGTACGGAGATACTCCTCCTTGACAGCGTCATACTCCTTCCGGCCGCCCTCTGACACATTCAGGCTAAAGATCGCTGAGCGAAGGTTGGTGTGCACGGCGCTCTTGTCTTGGCCAGAAGCCCAGAGATCGAAGCGGCGCTTGGCTTCCGTGACAATGCTAATACTTTTTAGCGGTGCCAAGCAGTTAGGTTATCAGACAATCTAGAACGCACCTCTCGTGGCCGGCATTTCCTGCCATTGCGATTAGAAGCTTGCGAAGTTGAACAGTAAGATAGTCTTCATTCAGTTGAAACTCCCAGCCAATCTGCTCTGCAGCCGGGGCCACCAGGTTCCGAGTGAAATTCTTCAGCCCCTCACCAGCTTGCTCATTCTGGGAGAAAACAGAGCGGAGACTAGCAAGCGATGAAGATAACTGGGACCAAACGCTGAGAACACATGTTAGAGTCGATGGGCTGAATAGTGAGAGTGGCCAGGAAATAAACACTCACAGATAATTCTGCTCGCCCTTGAAGCCCTCCAAGAGAGCCAACAAGGCAGGTGTGGTGCCCTCGCCAGAGACCGCAAGTGCAGCTGCGTCTCCCAGCAGACCGATCTTGTCCTCGGTGCTCAGAAGATCAAGGGATTGACCCAGCTTGGCCAAACGCGCAGGTGGGTAGTTTGTGCGATAAAATCCCGATAGATCCTTGTTGATCTTGTAGAAGGTATCCTCGCCAATACCGCCCACAGTGTCAGTTTTCTTCGTAAGAGCGCGAGTATCCACAGTAGCCAGCGTCTGGCCTGACTTGATACCGAGAGGAATCCACCAAGTCGTCTCGTCTTCTTCGGACTTTGCGTCTCCCGTGGACAGGAATCGGTTCTGGCGAACGCTGATCTGACCAGGCTCCTCTGCTACGGTGACAACGGGGAACCCAATCTTGCGGATCCACGGGTCCTGAGAATACATATGTCAGACTGGAATCCAATGGAGACCGATACTTTCTGGGCATACCATGAAGCCGTGCACATCCTGGCCAGATGCTTTACTCAAGGCGGACCATAGGGCATTGGTAGTCGCGTTGCCTAAACGAAAGTAATTGTTAGCCAATTTTGATCATTTCAGTTTGGATAGATTTTCTGACCGTATGCATGAGATTTGAGGTAGTCAGCAACTCCTCGAAGGAATGTCTCCTGCCCAAGATGGACACTTAGCATGCGGATGACCGAGCTTCCTTTTAGATAGCTAATGTGGTCGAAGATCTGGTCCACCTCGAGAGCGTTTCGAACCGGTACTTCGATTGGGTGAGAGGCACGCAGCGAGTCGAGATGAAATGCTTGTTGCACACCTTCAGCCTGTGACAACGTCAACGGTGATCTTGGAAAGTTCCTTTACCTCGAGAGTTGCGTACGACAAACTGAGACCAGACATTCCAGTCTATGTGGATTCATTAGAAGCTGCAACATCGTTGCGTACCAAGAGAGACGACTCACCGGGATGGAAATGATCGACAGCCAGCCAACCGACCCAGGTTGCAAAGCCTTCATTAAGCCAAAGCTCATTCCACCAGTCCATGGTGACGAGGTTACCAAACCACTGATGAGCGAGTTCTTGTATACGAGATGCGTCAGATGGAAATGCCAGAAGCTTGAAACACAACTCAGAATCAATCTTACCGTGAGCCACCACGTAGGCAATACGATTTTTATAGCGATTGTCTGACTTTCCTTCGTCAAAGAGAACAGCCGTCGTCCGGTAAGTGACCAAGCCCCAATTCTCCATGGCTCCCATGGCCTTAGAAAGGGAAAATCAGCATTAACCAACAATTGCACGTTCAGAATGGCTTTGTCTCTTACAAATTCATGCACGGCTAACAGGTCTGCCTTGGGAAGCGGGTATTCGATCTCAAAGATCTCGGAGAAGTAATCAACCGTCCGATGGGCACACTCCAGCGCGAAGCGAGCCTGGTCTTCCAGACCCCGTGTAGTGTAGACGCGAACTGGAATGCTCTTTCCTTGATACTTGCGCTTGGTCATGGCTTCAACATATCCAAAGTCACCCACAGCCCAGGCCAGAAGCTGCACAGTGGCAAAACTTGTTAGTGAGGCACGCACAAATTAGCTGGGTCCATACTAACGTAGGTGCTCATGACAGGTGTCTTTTCAAAGGTCACAATTTTCAGCCCAGCGTGGCTTCCAGCCCTTTCTGATTTGACAGGCATGTTGCTGAGGGCCGTCTGGCCCTTGGGGACCTCGATCTCGAAATCGAAGGTAGCTTTCAGATTAGGCTCATCGAAGCAGGGGAAGGCCCTGCGTGCGTCGCAAGACTCGAATTGAGTGCTCAGCATGTAGTGGAAGTCGCCTTCCTTCGGTGTGTCGGCAGTCGGCTCCCCGACGGGCTTATACTTGGACCGATAAAACCCCGCCATGACATTGTTCATGGTTCCCGTGAAATTGACTGAAAGCACGATGTCTTCAGGCAAGACTTCATGAGGGAACTGTAAAGAAATGCGCTCCGACTCTTTGTCGTAGGAGATTTCGTTGGTCACAAAGAGTCGATTACCTAAAGGCGTAAAGCAGAACCGTTAGTACTTGGTCTCGAATTTACCCATGATAGTTAGACAACAAACCATCTTTGCCCAGTACTTCGGCAGTCTTCACATTGATCTCTTTCGAGTTCAAAACTAGTTCCTTGGTGGGACGGTTGAGCTTGAGCTTGATCTTCACCACACCATTGTATTCCCAGGAGCCACCGAGCTGTAGATCGAAGAGGGAAACATGATAGTTGATGGGTTTGGCCCTGTTGGTTTAAAATGTCAGTCATATGTCTGAAGAAGGGCGGGATAATATTTCGGAAGAAAAGGAAATCCTCCCACCGTAGAAGAAGAGTAGTTCCAGAGAAGCATTACACTTACACGTCTGGCAGAGTATCTCTGTCGGAAGACGCCATCATACGAACCTCGGCGGAGCAGTGTCGAACTGGAGCGAAAGCAAGTTGTAAAGGCGCTGGCACAAGAACCCGCGGACGCAGTCGTGGTCGAAATGGTGAAGGGGGAGAAAATGAAGAGAAGGAGGGACCCAAGGAGGGGGAGGGGCGGAGAGTGACGGGGTGACTGGCCTGGACTGTTACTGCGCGTCTTGTCGCCGCAATGGATCTTCGCCCCCACATTGGGGTTTATGTGACACCACGGCTATCGACGGGTTTGACTTTCTCGGTAGGTCCTGGAGAGCTCGTCCTTTGAGGCGGTTGTGAACCGACGAAGGGGTAGTTCAACAACGGAGCTCCGACGGAGCTTGGACCCTCTTGCCGAGCAACCCAGCGCGGCGAATCCGCACTTCCTTCCCATTCGGCCTAGACTTGTCCATCTTGCCCACCTTTCCTACACGATGGCTGACTCGGATGAGGAATACGTGGGGGATGTGACCGAGGATGAGGACAATTTTCCGGTCGCCCGAAATGATCGTACTCGCTCCGGGAAGCGAAAGCAGCGCGGCGGCGCAGAGTGGGAGCTCTCAAGAACCTGGGAGACTCTTGTGGAGGGCGCGGATGGAACAATTAGCTCCACGGTCGAAGGGCTCCTAGAAGCCGGGAAGCGAAAGAGGTAAGGTCACTATCAAGCTACCGAATTCGTGCCGTATCACTACTGACCACATCGCGACGCAGGTTGTTGAAAGATACGACTCCTCTACAGCGCGGCATTATACGACATGTCATCCTGATTCTCGACCTTTCACAGTCTATGTCCGAGAAAGACTTGCGGCCCACGCGATACCTCTTGACACTCCGATACGCGCAGGAATTCGTGCGAGAATTTTTTGAGCAGAATCCCATCTCCCAACTCGGAGTCCTCGGGCTACGAGATGGTCTGGCTCTCCGAGTAAGCGATATGAGCGGCAATCCAACCGAACACCTTACGGCCATTCAGTCACTCAAACCTCAGGACCCGAAAGGTCTGCCCAGCCTACAGAATGGTCTCGAGATGGCTCGAGGTGCCCTCTTGTGCGTATTTGTCCTACGCAATTGTTCCGGTTGTGTTTGCCTTGCAATGTGATACTAATGCGCGAACACAGCCATACTCCTAGCCATGGTACTAGAGAGGTGCTGGTCATTTTCGGCTCCCTCCTCTCTTCCGATCCTGGAGACATACATCAGACAATCAATACTTTGATCAGCGATCAAGTGCGAGTCCGGATTGTCGGACTCGCCGCCCAGGTGGCTATCTGTCGTGAACTGTGCATCAGAACGAATGGTGGCGATGAAACCGCATATGGAGTTGCGCTTAATGAGCAACATTTTCGGGAATTAATGATGGACGTGACAACACCCCCGCCTTCATATTCGCAGAAACAATCGGCAAGCTCATTGTTGATGATGGGCTTTCCCTCGCGGACCGTGGAGGCCCGTCCATCACTCTGCGCATGTCACTCGAAACCGTCACGAGGCGGGTATCTGTGCTCGCGATGCGGCAGCAAAGTATGTAGCTTGCCTGCGGAGTGCCCCTCCTGTGGGCTCACACTTATTCTTTCGACACATCTTGCACGCTCGTATCACCACCTCTTTCCTCTGATGAACTGGGCTGAGGTCTTGTGGCGCCAAGCCTCCCGAAGCTCCGCTTGTTTTGCCTGCGGGCTTCCTTTCCCGGTGGTGCCTCCCGAAGATCAATGGCAAGCCACTGAGACTCACGCCAAGGGAATGAGTGTAAGCAGTCGTTATGAATGTATGACCTGCCATAACCACTTTTGCATTGACTGCGATTTATTCGCGCACGAGGTTGTCCATAACTGTCCTGGTTGCCAGAGTAGTAGTCTCGGAGCATCCCACAACGAGTCAGACATACCTGATGGAATGGATACGACCGTCTAGGTACGAAGATCGGGGGTGTTTCTCTCTTGCTTTCATGAGTGTATCGGTTGGCGTCGGGATTTCAAAATGGGATTAAGAAGAGCCTAAGGGCCCTGGGCGTTGATGTAAATAGATTATTTTGATGATTTCAAGTACTCCATATTCTAGAAATCGAGGTTTTCTCGGGTCTAATGTATGTAAAGGAGTATTCCAAACCAAGTAGACAGTGGAGCTCTCAGCACTTAGCATTGAGCCTCGGTTACCGAGCTATGCCCCACGTTTTCCTCCACATCGGGTTCCTCCTCTCGAACACAATCCAACAATGATGCAGCCCTCCTCCTCTCAGACCCCAGATTCCTTCGAGAAGCTGTATTCTTATCCGTTCCAAGCGGATCCCGAGTTCTCAAATGGCCTCGCTATCATTCTCGGCCATCCGGGCACCCCCGCCACTCAGGAGGAGATGGATCGAGATGACGATCTCGTGATTCAGGCCAAGTGCTTCTTCTTCTCGCGGTACTATGCCCCATGTTACTTTGATATTCCTCTTCTTTTACTGATTTCATCGCATAGAAAAGAGAACCTCAACCCCCCCATTGACTTCGCTGCCTACAGAACCTGGTTACATACGCGGTCAACGGACGTGCAGATAGCTACACCAGACTCTTCGCTGCGGCCAGGCGAAACAGAATCATCATTGGAAGCGAATGTACCCGACGCCGAGATTGAGACGCCTCCGGAACCTGCTTACCCGTCTTCATTCGCACATATCGTGGAGCTCATTACGACAGGGCAGCCAATTCCGGGAATTGAACAGATTCCGGACACGGTGTTGAGCGGACATGACACTGCGAGCGAGAAGCCTCAGCGACGGAAACCATGGGAGGGAGAAGTTACAGAGCCCTCCTTGAGCGAAACTCCGAAAGAGGCTTTCTAAAAACTGTCTGATAAAGAGGACTGAACACAATGAGAGACAAGAGCTGACAATTAGGAAACAAGATCATGCCCGGTGTGGCTCAATAAAAATGTTTATTCGCTGTAATTGACATAGTGTGGTCACGGACAATGCCGAGGACTGGATAGTATTATAACAAGGCATAGCGACAATCGAAGGACAGAGCAAACAGGTGCGAGAACAAGACCAGGGGTAGATATCGTAAAGAAGCATGGCATACAGGCCATTTTGAGAGCCAATGTCCAGAATAATTGTCGCTTAATCATAGCTTCGTACTTAAGTCAAATATAAGCCACCATCGCAACTGGAGCGACTTCTCCGTGCATTCTTCGGACCAAGTTCGTCAGTGAAAGACGCAAAAAGCCCGGCTTATCCGATCGGGAGAGAATAGCAAGCCAAGTAGATAGATCGGCAGGCAGGAAGTGCCTGTGAGATTGATTCCGCACCGATAATGAAAAGCTGGCTGTTGGTGGGCTGACAGAGGTCCGCCACCGAAAGGTGGAAGTGAGGATAATCAATACAAATGATAACGTTTGGCATGGCTTTTCGATATCTGACCATGTTTTCTTCTCGTCTCATATTCGTTTCGACCATCTGAATTGGTGCAAACTCGTAAGATCGACCTTTCGGCCCGAGTAAATTCAACGAAACGGCGTGTAAGCAGGGCCCCATTGATGGCCTCGGTTGAGGCGGCCGCCGCTCTGTCCAATTGAGGGGATTCTTTCCTCATTGAAGTTATTGAACCGACCTGCCTGCATGCTGGTTCCGGGACCCGGGCGCGTGGCATGAGACGGATTGCAACAGAGCATCGCGACACGAGAGCCAAACTTAGACCCGCGAAGAGAGACCATGTGTTTCCTATGAGCGCAAAAATGAGCCAAATGATCATTCATCAAAATTTACGAAATTGCCAAGTGCCTCATACCGAACATGACTGGCAACGATTTCACGCTGATGAGTGGCGGCGTTCATCAGAATCCATTGAATAAGGTAGTTACCATACTGATCTCCAGCGACTGCTTCTCGGTCAGTACAATTTAGGGACAAAAAGCCCTTCTGAAGCTTACTGTCAATCAATGGCATTCGAGGTCGATCAGCGCGGCCACTGCAGACTCGAGAGAGGTAGCGATCCAGGAACTCAGAGCCTCCGATTTTCAAACATTTTTCGACTATCTTGGATGCAAATTGGTCCATGCTGTAGTCCACGGCAAAATGAAGAACATGCTCGATGGCGCGGCCTTTGTCGTGAGGAGTGCCATGCTCACAAATATGCTGAATGCACCAGTTGCCAAATTGACCATGTGCAAGGATGTCGATCTTCCCTAGAACTTCTTCAATGGCGAGCCGCTTCTCGCTGTCAGCACTCGTTCTAATTCAATATTATGCCCCCTGCCAACGAAGGCAAACACAGGGCAATGCAAGGATTGGATATCTTGTCACTGTATGACTTTTCTTACCTTCTCCTCTTCCACGCAGTTCTCAAATATGTTTTGGACAACCAGACTTCCGGTCTCACCCAATGCCACCTCATGCCACATTCCGCGCAATGCTTCATTCACCTTGACCATAATCTGGGGCGGCTCACCGCCCCATCGTAGCTCGAACAACTTCTGCCAAACATGGCATGCATACCGATGAATCACCGTCTCCGGGATTCTGCAAAGAAGCTCGTGGACCATGACAGCTTTGTGTTCTTCGGGCACACAGTCGAACGCTTTTTGGATAACATGACATCCAAAGGGATCCATGCTCAGACTAAGCGTGTGACCTTTGATTGCATTGGCAATGGCAACAACCTGCTCTGGGGTTCCATGCTCAAAACAGCGCTGAACTAGAAAGTTGCCGAAACGATTGATCATCAGTGAATACGCCTGGCTGACAATAGCCTCGACAATGTCGTAGTTCTGCTCAGTCGTGCCGATCTTCAGTTTTTGTTGCAGGAAAATAGATGCTTGTTGGTCGTTGTTGCAGACTATCTTGTCCACAATATATTTCCAGTCACACGAAACGTTTTTGTCGAGAAGACGCCGATAGTTGAGGGGCTCAAGGGGCGAAACGTAGGTTTGAAGGGAGCTTCCACTGGCCTATGCTTGTGAGTTGGTATCTTAAGTGATTAAATGTTTTACTTACCAAGGGAGTTGCCCATGGGGTTCCGTTTGTGGTAAATTCCGTAGCAGTCGGAGAGAGTGTCGTTGCAACAGGTCGAGTATGAAATGGAGGCATGGAATAGAGTCCAATTGGTGGGAAAGCGCTTGAGAATCTGGCTGTTGGCAAAGAGGGGGACTTGGGAGCTGCCTCACTAGGAGGCCCCGATACAAAGCCACTTAACGCGGTGCTTGGAGATGGTAAAATAGTTTCACTCCGATTGGATTGCGTGGCCGGTCCACGTGCTCCAGAGGTGGGGTCTTGAAAAAATCGGGCTTGTCCATCTGGAGATCGAGAACCAAATCCATACCTACCGGCTGGGGGTCCTGAAAGGACCCGATATGATTGCAGCGGTCCATGAGTCGCAAACGTAGGATGCGTAGAGCCACCCCACAGTCGACTTGGATCGTGCGTCATGGGGTTAGATGTCTGAGTAAAGTCATCATATTGCTTATCAAAAGAAGATTCGATGGTGGCCATCCCGAAAGAGACATGGTCTTGCTGATTCCAAAGCCCCCGCGCGCGGTGATACGCTCCAGCAGACAACGCATCCGAAATATCGGACTGTGAGTCATCTTGTGTATTCCACGCGTCTTGAAACTGACCGAATGGATGATTTGATGCATTGAAGGCACTCTGTAGATGTGCGATGGTTTGTTCGGTTATCTCACGACCGCCGAGATCTGCCTCGGAGGGAGGGCCTAAAGCCTGATCTAGGGTATGCCCGATGACACGAGTATGGGCGAGCTCTTGCTCCTGCAATGCGATTTTGGAATTGGCGGCCATAAGCTCCTGCTTGAGTCGAAGGAGCTCTGTTGTCTTGTTATCTTGGACACATGGATAATCTGCATGAGAGAATTCGATGGCGGGACTGAACCGCGAAGGATGGGCAGGTTGACCAGACTCTGGATGAGTCGATGGCACTGTATCAGAAGGCACATTGATTTGCATTTTCTCGACCTTTGAGGGTTTTTCAATCAACGATCCGACCTTCCCATGTTTTTGCTTCTGCTTCTAGGATTGTAAGATCGCCCACGTTTGTATCCCAGGTATGGCGTCTGAGAAAACTGACCTTGCTTGATGGGAGATTCGTGTCTGAACCAGAAGAGCTCTGCGATAGTTCATGAGTAGATGTCCAGGAATGATCAGAAGGGCTTTGTCGACTGCTGAAGCAGTGATGACCCTGAGAGCACGAAGCAACTGAGTGCCCTGTCCCTTTTCAACAGTTCAGCTTGCACGACTCACCGAGAACCCGCATCCAATTGAAAAATCCCGTTGATCAGCACCGTCCTTCGAGAAGACCTTGCCCTCTCTGCCAATGCGAGCAGATTTGGGCGGACTGGCGACAGCGGACATCCGGCTCATGGCAAGTGTTTTGGGCAAGAACGCTAGTAAAGCCTTTCAGGTGCAGCTCACATAGAAAAAGAGAGAGGACACATTGAGATCGGCAAAGAATGCTGTAGAGATGGGAGATATCAGGAGGGAAGGGGAAAGAGGAAGAAAAGGCAGATGGGAGGAAGGTGAATGTAAGCTAGTATACTCGGAAGCCACAACAGGGGAGTGTAGCATATCAGGAAGGTACGCCTAGGATTACAATACTCGCATCAGTGCCATGGTGGGAGACTGAGGAGATCTGCCACGATCGGGTTGAATGACAGGCCTCATGCAATCCCGCGGCGTCTTGCCAACGACACCGATTATTGACCGCCACGTAGTCTGGTGACCTCAAGCCCGTTGTAGTCGGTACAAGACGAGAGGCAGAACACAGACTTGCTAGATCCACGGCCTAGATGACCATCCAAGCTTCGGTCCTCCTGAGGCCAAAAAAATACAGCCCCGAGCCTGGTGTCATATGGGTATTCATGCCTCACGACAAGCAAACCTTTTTTTTTTCGCGATATGACCAAACGATCATAGTCAATACGAACGGAGAATCGATTGAAGTTCGAGGTTCGAGGGGTAAAAAAATCCCCTGTGTTCACTGCCACTCTGACGAATTTCAAGAATCAGCCGGGCCGTGGCCGTTCGAGCACTTCCATTGTGTTTGGGAAACCGCGCCAAAACTCTGAAGCAGATTAGGCGATTCGTCTGGAAGGCCAGGCTCCTGGCTCTCCGCGACTTCATCTTGATCGTGAAAGAACCCTGGGTATCAATACATGTAACCAGCGCCCCATGCTAGCGCCCGTGTCTTTGACGATTGCTCTCCCCGTAGATGGCAGTCGACACACCCAAATGCTGCTGACATCTTTTAGCCACCATCTTTGCCGACACTGATCTCGGTCCGCTTTGACCGGCATGTTTGCGCCAACTGGCTGGGTCGTGCCGGGAATATTCATCAAGCTGAACTGTTACAGAAGAGGAAGTGATGCATGTTGCTGAAGCTGATGTGCCAGGTGTAACTCTACAAAGTCGCCCCTCAGTCTACCTCAATTTTGAGAATACGGAAGAGAGAAATGGCTCAGAAGAATGCCACATTGTGTGGGGGACATCATCTACCCCTCAGAACATTCAGCGATGAAACTCACGCACATTCCATACATCAGGTTAGCAATAATTTCAATGATGCAGAGGCCATTGAAAGTATTACCTCCATGGGATGACTGGTCACGATAGTATCTTTCAGGGTCATCCCTCGGGCGCTCCCTTATATAAATAGCCCACTAAAACAGTAGCCTGGAAGACGATGTCGCAGTAGTCTGAATGCACGCAGACACCATATATCAGATAACCTGATATTCTGCAGTTGATAAGTTGTCTGAACTTCAGCCTGTCATCATCGCTCGAGGTCGTGGCACTGCTTGGAAATAGCATTGATGCACAGGGACCATAGGCTGAGTCTAGCATCTCGCGTGCCTGCAAAGTCTCAGCTTCGAGCCCGGCGACATGGAGACTTACGATCACTGGCAGCTGGGCTGTAGGCCATACGGTTCGAAAGGCGGAGACCGAAGAACAGCATACGAGACTGTTCTCGACGGGTGAAGAAGGGAAAATCGCGGTGACTTCATGAGATATTTCTCCTCGATATTCACATCAACACCTGGGATCTGAAACCTTCCTAGGCGCATTGGGAGAGATATCAAGTAAGAATTGATGGTCAGCCGCCTGGATAACCACCAGTGTGAGAAATATGGCGAAACTGAGGTGTCAAAATTGATGTCCAGCCTACCGTAAAGGCTCCATTTTCGACACCTGATATCGAGACCAGAGCGAAGACCTCATTAGCAATGTTCACCAAGTGCATAAGGGGACAAGTGTCGTATGTATGGACTGAACTCCTCTGGACCTAGTCGGCCTCGTCCTAGAAATTTATCGAGCCCCAGGTGCCGCCTAGTCTTCCTCAGTTATCCCGATGTCTAGAGACTACCTTGATACATCATTCTGGGCTCCTCGCGGGGTAAAGCTTCCAACACCGCCTCGGTCACGTTAGATAGGGCACTAAGAGCTTGCCCATCTCGAGTAGGTCTCAGGTCCAATAGATGGAGCCCCGGCCAAGCTTGAAAGATGACGGGAGCTTTGCAACACTGAAACAAATCACCACCAAAGTGATGCTCCTCGTCCAGTCAGAATTCTAGAGGTGTTCGACGCATTAATATGTATATACATATGAGAACAATTTCACTGGACAGTCGCATTGACGCCGAAAGCGCTAACAAAAGATGTCTCGGCAGCATCCACCTGATGATCGGTCTCGCCTCTGACTAAAGTCAAACTTCAACTTCTCATCAGTTCTGTCATATGTGCTGCTTGAAATTAATCAACCTCTAATAGCGAGCTGAAACGGGCCAAGGATGTCCCATCGATCCGATAGAAATTCTCCGGCGAGACCGAGTCGATTGGGCGACGAAGAGCGCCTCGAGAGAAGCTGAGCCACGACAAAGACACACGTGACTGGCGAGATCCCGAGCACCAGCAACGGGAAATGTGGATGCATGCTCAATTCACAGTTCGTCCAGCATCGACGATGATACCTGTGTTCGGCACACCCAGTTCGGACTCAAGTGGAGTACAGAGACAGGACGGCGCCAGAGTTGGGGCTTCATATCACGTGATGCTGTACCTGACGGATACGTCTATAGATAGAATACGGCGCAAGAGTTGATCCATAGGCGAGAGAGCGGGCTGCCATCAAGCATAGAAACACTGCCGTAGACAATCTCTCTGGCTTGATTTGGGACATATGTGATCCCGTTCGCGCCGATTGCTCGGCGCCCTCCGCGGTATCGAGATGGTATCCTGTAATGTAACGGCCGGTGGCGGTCGCACCCTGCAAATCGCCCATAGATGGGGCCAGTCAACCTCCAATTTCCCTTTCAACCCCCCTATTCGTTTCGTCTCCCCGGTTCTGTTAGTGTGCACTGTCCCGCTTCTGTCCACTGGTGTCTCGCCTTCCGTGTGTCCGCCGTTCTCGACGCTCATTCGCTCCAGGAGATTCGTCATCGGCAATCTAAGCTGCAAGTCGTCCCCTAGTTCCGTCTGCGCAACAAGGCGAACCACTTCGCGCATTAATTCGACCCTGTAAACGCCCCCACAAGCTCTTTCTCCCGCATTTCTCGGGTGGATGAAACCAGCAGTCTTGACGCGTGGTGTGCTGCGAACTAGACAACCTGAGATAGAGACAGGTTGAGACAGGGACAGTGCGAGAGTATCAACGTCTACCAGGGAGACGCTTCGTGCCTTGGAGGATGGCCACAACTACAGTGACTGGTCATGGACGACGGGCATCGATCAGGCAAAACGAACTGCAAGTCCCAACCAAGACGTCGATCTCACAACCCACGGGCAGTCCCATCGATCAGTTCCCTCCCTACGAAGAGACATTTGACGCCGCCGCGGGGTCGACTCGCCCCAATGCAAGCCCCTCTGTCAAATACGCTTCCGGCGAACCATGGGAGCCTCGAAAGTCGGCCTTCTACTCGCGAGAACACGCCAATGGATCCGCGAGAATTTCTCAAACATCGGCCGCGGAAGAGTATCAGCGAGGCCATCACAACAATTCGGACACGCAACGGCAGCGTTAGTGCCAACGCCCAGGAACTTGCGGAGGCACTTCGAGCGCCAGTGTCTTATCGCCTGATTGTATGTCGCAGAAGACCGATATTGTGTCGTCACGAATGGTTTGCTGACTAGGCTTGTTGTTTAGGGTCTCTGCCTTGTCTGGTACTTTACGTCCGCCCTGACCAATACGTCCTCGAAATCCATTCTGAATGCTCTTCCGATGCCTATCACATTGACCATCATACAATTCGCCTTCGTTTCAATATGGTGTCTGCTGCTGGTATACTTGTCCACGGTAATCCCTTGGCTGCGCCAAAGCGTGCCCATCCTCAATCATGGCATTCGATACCCGTCTCGCGACGTGATCTCTACTGCTTTGCCTCTGGCCGTCTTCCAACTTGCCGGGCATATCCTTAGCTCGATGGCCACCTCCAAGATTCCCGTGTCACTGGTTCACACGATCAAGGGCCTCTCGCCTTTATTCACCGTTCTCGCCTACCGAGTTTTGTTTCGCATTCGATACGCAAGGGCAACGTATTTGTCGTTGATTCCGCTTACCCTCGGAGTTATGCTTGCGTGTTCTACTGGGGCGTCTACAAATCTTTTTGGGATTCTCTGCGCTTTCTTCGCTGCGATCGTCTTTGTGTCCCAGAACATATTCTCCAAGAAGCTCTTCAATGAGGCGGAGCGTTCTGAGACTGACGCGTCACGTCCAACCCGACGAAAATTAGATAAGCTCAACCTGCTTTGTTATTGCTCCGGGCTTGCTTTTTTCCTTACCCTGCCAATCTGGTTTGTCAGTGAAGGGTATCCGTTAGTGGCTGACTTGATCAAGGACGGCGTTATTTCTCTATCAGAAAAGCAGGATTCTCTGGACCACGGTGCCTTGGTGGTTGAGTTCATCTTCAACGGCGTTTCGCACTTTGCGCAGAATATCCTCGCTTTTGTGCTGCTGTCCATGATCTCTCCGGTGTCATACTCGGTCGCCTCTTTGGTTAAGCGGGTGTTCGTTATTGTGGTCGCGATTGTGTGGTTTGGAAGCTCAACAACCCCCATTCAGGCTTTCGGTATCGGCCTTACTTTCTTGGGTCTTTATCTATATGATCGCAACAGCCACGACGACGTGGCTGATAAACGAGCAAATGCAGACCATTTCCGCGCCCGACAGTCTATCTTGCCAACAAATGTGAAGCACTCCGGCAAGGCTTGGGATTCAAATGGTTACGCTTTCCCTGGTGGCAGGTCGTTTGAAGGGTCTACATCCAACAGCCCTTACGTATACAATGGCCCAAAGAAGGAGGATGACGAACCGGGACGTATGAGACCTCGAGGCGCCAGTGTCTCTCGAAATTGGTTGCCCGGAACCAAGCAAGAATCAACGTGGCAACCCAGAGATTCCCCAGCGGCTGCATGATATCGTTCTCTGCAGCTTTTCCCAGGACGGATGAACGTTTCTGTACTATATCATGAAACATGGGGGCGTTTTGAGGTTCATTTTATTTTTCCTTTATTCTTTCCTCCTTTTTTCCAAAGATTTTTTTGAGCGAAAACTCCTTGTCTGGGTCGCAATTCCCCAGCTGACTAGCCCGTATTTTCTAGGCGCAGGGAGTTGGCTGGGAGTGACGAAATAAGGGGTATGTAGGATGCTTCCAGTTTTTGACCCAAGCAAGAACGTGAGACGTTGGAGAAATGTAGCTACCGTCAGTAAAGAACATTGTCATAATCGGGCGAGACCCTTGACTGCTCCAGCTCGGTGCAAGTCTGCTCTTGGACAACGTTGCAGAGGAAGCAGGGAATAAAAGCCCTGCTTCCTACAATAAATCATGTCCTTGAAATGAGATAGAGAATGTAAAGGGGGGACGGAGCGCGGTGTGCTTTTGACCTGCGGACCGGATTATCTGTTCTTCCGCGTAGCCGAGTCCATCCGCCAATCCGCGCGAAGCAATTTGTGAGTTCATCTTAGTCAGCGCCGCCAATGGTCAGCAATCCCAGGATTTCATCATGTGACCCGGCAGATTCCAACTTTGAACAGCTCCTTCTCCTCAAGACTTGCCCCCCTCTCCCAACCCCATCTTCCCATATTCCCCTCCCCTCCTTCATCTACAGTCGCGACAATTATGCGGCCGCAGCTGTTTCGTGCGGCCGCCCGGTCTCTTCGGGTCCCCAGGGCCCGGGCCTTCGCTACAACGGCCCCTCGCGCGGCCGAGGTCGAACTCACCATTGGTACGTCTAAATCCTTCAGTCAAACCGAGATATGCTGACTTTATGCTATAGATGGCAAGAAGATCTCTGTGGAAGGTAAGACTCGTGCTTGACTCGTGCAATTGGTTGTTGCTAATATCCGCCGAAGCCGGTTCGGCTCTCATCCAGGCTTGCGAAAAAGCCGGAGCAACTATCCCCAGGTATGATATCTGTTGCAAACTCAAGCCATGGACTCATTAGTACTGACCCTATTGAAAGATACTGCTATCACGAGTACGTTACCATCACCGACTATTCCGGTCATTCCCCTTGCTAACGCTCAGCCATCAAGAAAACTGTTGATTGCAGGAAACTGTTCGTGCCAGCCGCCTTCTCGACCCTATCCCAGGCCTAGATCGTGCTAACTTATTGCTCTAGGTCGTATGTGTCTCGTCGAAGTCGAACGAGCCCCGAAACCTGTGGCCTCGTGTGCCTGGCCCGTTCAGCCCGGAATGGTCGTGAAGACGAATTCGCCGTTGGTTCACAAGGCGCGAGAGGGTGTGACGGAGTTCCTCCTTGCCAACCACCCTCTTGATTGCCCTGTTTGCGACCAGGGAGGAGAGTGTGATCTCCAGGATCAGTCGATGCGTTACGGTGCCGATCGTGGAAGGTTCCATGAAACCGCTGGCAAGCGTGCTGTGGAGGATAAAAACATTGGCCCTCTGGTCAAAACTTCGATGAATCGTTGTATCCATTGCACTCGCTGCGTTCGATTCATGAACGACGTCGCGGGTGCGCCTGAGCTGGGAACCGCCGGCCGAGGAAACGACATGCAGATCGGAACCTATCTGGAGCAGAATTTGAACTCCGAAATGTCGGGTAACATCATTGATCTATGTCCTGTCGGCGCCCTGACATCAAAGCCCTATGCCTTCCGTGCTCGCCCATGGGAGCTGAAGCACACCGAGTCGATCGATGTCCTCGACGCGCTGGGCTCCAACATTCGAATTGATAGCCGGGGTATGGAAGTCATGCGGATTCTTCCGCGACTGAACGACGACATTAACGAGGAATGGATTAATGACAAATCGCGATTCGCTTGCGATGGCTTGAAGACTCAACGTCTTACTACCCCCCTGATTCGTCGCGATGGCAAGTTTGTTCCCGCGACCTGGGAGCAGGCCTTAGTAGAGATCTCGGCCGCCCAGCAGAAGCTGCAGTTGCAACCCAACGAGTTCAAGGCGATTGCTGGGCACTTAGTGGATGCCGAATCGCTGGTCGCCATGAAGGATATGGCCAACAAGCTGGGCTCGGACAACCTTGCTCTTGACCAACCCGGCGGTGGCGCTCCCATTGCGCACGGCATTGATGTTCGCTCCAACTACCTGTTCAACTCAAAGATCTACGGCATTGAGGAAGCGGATGCTATCTTACTTATTGCTACCAACCCCCGTCACGAGGCCGCTGTTCTCAATGCTCGCATCCGCAAGCAGTATTTGCGGTCTGACCTGGAAATCGGCCTTGTCGGTGAAAACTTTGAAAGCACCTTCGACTATGAGCACTTGGGTGCTGATGTGTCTGCTCTCAAGACTGCCTTGGCTGGAGAGTTCGGTAAGAAGCTCGGCGCTGCTCAGCGCCCCATGATCGTTGTAGGTAGTGCAGCCGCGGAGCACCCCGACGCAAAGGCCATCTTCGAGGCGGTTGGGAGCTTTGTAGAGAAGCACACCAGCACCTTCAACGCTCCCGAGTGGCAAGGTTACAACGTTTTGCAGCGTGCCGCTTCTCGGGCCGGCGCTTACGAAGTAGGATTCACTGCCCCTTCCCCCGAGGTTGCCCGGACTACTCCCAAGATGATCTGGCTCTTGGGTGCGGATGAGGTTGCGCAGAGCGACATCCCTAAGGATGCCTTTGTTGTCTATCAGGGTCATCACGGCGACCGAGGCGCTCAGCTCGCCGACGTTGTTCTCCCTGGTGCCGCCTACACTGAGAAGTCTGCCACTTACATCAACACTGAGGGCCGTGTTCAGATCACTCGCGCGGCCACATCGCTGCCCGGCGCCGCGCGTGATGACTGGAAGATCATTCGTGCTACTAGCGAGTTCCTTGGAGTTCCTCTCCCCTATGATGATATCGAGGCTCTCCGCGATCGTATGGAGGACATCAGCCCTGTGATGCGCCGCTACGATGTTGTTGAGTCCACTTCTGTCGGCGCATTGAGCAAGGTGCAGCTGGCCGACCAGAACAAGGGTGCTTCCATCACTGGAGCTCCTTTCAAGAAGGTCATTGAGGACTTCTTCTTCACCGATTCGATTTCTAGAAGGTTTGTTTTCTAATGCCATGCTTTTCTTATCCGTTGATGAACTTGAAGATGACTGACTTCTATCTTTAGCTCACCCACCATGGCCCGTTGCTCAGCCTCCAAAGCTACCGGCAACCCCGAGACCAACTTTATGGCCGCCGGAGAAATGTCTCCGCAGGCGTTGTACGGCTAAACCATGGGTTCCCTCATGGGCGGTTGACCGATTCTATGTTTTGTCTAATGGTTGCAAGGCGTTGTCATTTGTATCACATTAAACCTCCCTTTGATGTACCGTTTCCTATCCATTTTCTGCTTTCTCCATCATCTCGAACGCCGTTTCCTCCGGTTTCTGTGGTCAGCCTCCTTCGTCCTTTCTCCGGTGTCACCCGGGAATGATCGGTCGGGGTTGACTTGTACATAAAAATATTGAGAACCCTCAAATTTGCAATTCCACGTCGGAGAATAACTTCACTCATGCATATTACTATTTAATATCACAAGTGAGGGATAGCTGCTGACAGCTGCAGAGTTTTCCCTGCCGGTCATGGGTTATGCTCCAAACCGTGCGAAACTTGGAGTTACTAGTCCGTGAATTGCTTGGACCAGGAGCTTCTCATAGCTCGTCGTCGTCTGTTGCCCCAGCTGTCTCCTCCGCATCTTCCTTTGGCTGTTCTCTTCTGACAAAGGGAAGCTCTCTGAGGGGAGGCGCTGTCCTCGCACTGTTTTGCTGTGTCAATGCTTCGATCTGTGCCATCGGTTTCATCAAATGCAGCTGCGGCGATAATCGTTCTTCATGGTCGCTGTCCTCTTCTGTAGCTTGATCGGTGTCCTCTTCCAGCTGAGAGCCGTCACCAACTCTGGTTTCATCAACTTCCATTTGTTCAAAGCCCTGGTCTGACTCTTCGTCCGTCTGTTCCATCTCAAGCGCAGGGCGTTTTCCCGCATGGTGAATTTCAGTGGCGTGGGCGAGGTTCCCGGCGGCGGCTTGAATTTCGGAAACTGGTACAAGTACGATGATTTTAGTGGCAGGCCGATGTCCAAGAATAAGATCCTACCTTTCGCTAGATCCACCGTGGCAGATGCAAGTAGTCGCTGCTGATTGCGAACTTTCAGCTTTTTCTCATTCAACAGCTGAGCAAAGTTTGCCACCAGTTGGGTTTCATGATGATTCTTAGCTCGTAGGAGTTCCTCTAGTTGCTCGTTCAGTTTTTTAATTGTATCTTCGGCAACACGGTAGTGGCCAGACAATGTGGTGACTTGTTGCTCCAGCTCATCTGCTCTGGATACAGCCACCGCTGACCATTCAAAAAGTTCAATGGCCTGTTCTTCATCCTTTTTCAGAACGAGAGTACCAAGTCGTTGCTGGAAACATGTTAGACAGGGACAGAGATGGAGAGTGTATGTGCGTATGAGTGAGAGTGAGAGAGGGAGTGCGAGAGGGGCAAAGAGATGTCTTGGTCATGTACCGTGATAGACTGGACTCTGTTTCGGATAGTGATGATCATTTCCCTCTCATCACCAGAGCCAGAGATGCTGGCGGATGTTTCAATCACGACCGAGGTCAGCTCGTCAGAATCGATGGGTTGGCCAAGGACGTGGGAAATAATCCGAATCCACTCTTCCTCTGACCCTTGGTAGTTCTTTACACGAAGGTCTCTGATGCAAGATTTTCTGACTATATCTTGTCAATAGCTGGTTTGATCTTCTAATTTGACGAAGCCTTACCCGAGGTTACGTAGGGGCACTCTCCTTCCGTAGCAGTGAGAGCCAAGTCGAGCGTGTCGGGCCCGTTCTTGACGACATGTATGAGGACAAAGGCATCTTGCAAATCGGATCGGGCGATTCGCAAGACTCGTGGCAGCGTCATCTTGCAAATCCAGTAGGTTCGGGAGTCGAGATTGAGCTTCAGGTGACGTTGATGATGGCAACGGCGACGGGAGCCCCTAGGAAAATGTTGAGACCATTCAAGAATTCATCAAGACAGAGATGAGACACTAGAGGCTAGAAGCTAGAAGCCATACACATGACACTAGGCTCCAGTCTGAATGAAGTGTTGCCCTGGCTAGAATGGTCCCCCAAGTCCGATAATTCGAGACTGAATGTCCCCACTTAAAGCACGTTCCCTCCACGAGGAATCTCGTCCAGCCTCCGCTTCAGCCTCAAGTCTCCTTCTTGACATGGAGTGATACCCTTCACTTTGCTCTGTTGTCCTTGTTCCCCGTTATTTTACTTATCCTCCCGCTGCCTGCATATTTCGGACACATGAGAGACGCTTTACACAATTACCCCTTACCCGGCTGGACGACTACACGACTCCTCGTTGACACGGAATGACGTTCATCCTCCTCCCTTGTCCAGTATCAATGTTGCGAAGTGCCGCTGCTACCTGATCCTCGTCTAAGCGATCAGACCGATTGCCAAAGTTACTCGCGTCTTACTCTTTTGACACGCTCACCATGGATTCGCTCATGACCCTACGTAGACCAAATATGGACGAGACAATCGAATGCTGGGATGACGACGATGACTTGCAACTCAATGATGCTATTCAGTTTCGTACTGCGTCTAGTGCCGGATCTATTGCCACCTCTTCGGTTCGGCCGTCCGGACATCGTGATTCCATATCATCTCGGCGGTCTGCCCGCTCGGATCTTGAGTCCAATGCTGGAGATGAGGATTGGCAGGTTCTTTTGCCCGATAATGATGAATTATCCAAGGAAGAAGCTCTTGCCTCGGCCAAAAATGCTGGGATTCCCTTACCTGCGGATATCCCAAGTTCTGCTCTTCTGGGTGGTGCTATCAAGCGCTTGTCAGCTCGGAAGACAAATAGAACATTCGTTGATGACTGGTCGGATGAGGTGGAGCTCCCGGGGCCGGACGCAGTATTGGAGCTCAGAATGCCCCAGGACTCGCTCTTTCCAGATACCCTACAGCAGATCAGCTCTGTCGCCACAAGTCCCGTGAAGTCTACGGCCTCGCCATCCTGGAACGAAAATATCTCAACGCACTTGCAGTCTGCATTAGCAACTCTAGATGATTTCCAGGATGGGGAAGATACGCCAGTCTACCATGACGCCCCCACTATCAAAGCTCCGATGCCTCGATCTCCGCGAAAATCGGTAGTTACCGCTACCAGTGGAGGTCTCGCCGTGAAACGGGAAGATGATGACTTTGATCAAGACCTCGAACTACCTCCTGACCATAGACCTCTTCAGCTGGCCCGCCGAAAGGATTATGCTGGTGATTCCAGCCCTACTCTAGAAGACTTTGACTTTGAATGGTCTGAAGGTAGCATAGGTGTGCGAGTTGGTGGTACCGCACGAGATGGACGTTCAGTTCCAAGCTCCACCATGTCTATTGCAAGCCCCAGTGTCTCCAGCTGTATCACTGGGGAAAGCGAGGATGATGGACTGGACGGTCTCGTATTCCCTAACGGGCCTGTGGACTTCAATGCCTCTCTCAAGAAACGACATGACAGTCAGGCTGCAGATGTTCCAATCACGGCGGGGGACAGTCAAGACGCATCGCATCCCCGGGATGCAGACGACTTCTTCTCTGGAATCGAGGTCGACAATGGCAGAGCATTCGCCTCGGGGAAGTTGTCACTGAATCCCAACGTCAAATGTAAGACAGAATGGCCAGCAAGTCCCACACATCGGCCCGCAACAACCTTAACCTTTACCAACGGACCAGTCGCAAACACTTCGGATTCTCCGCGAACTCGAATCCCACGTTTATCTGGTCATGACCGAACTCATTCCACCCATCTCGAAACTGTATCCGAAAGTGGCGCACCGCTTTCCAAATTCCGAAGATCACAATCCCGACTCGGACATTCAGCTCAATCGTCCATCTCTAGTGTGCCGGCAACTGAAACACCTTCGATATCCCCAACGCCACTGACTTCCAGCCGGCGGATCATCGGTCAGCGGGCTTCCGTAGATTCTGTGGCAGCTGGAGAGTCCAATGCACCCAGCAGACATCTCCGAACGAAACGATCTATGCCCGTCGTACGGGGTGGGGCGGAATCACATTGGCCCAGTCCTCCCAACGATCATCTTCTCACCCGGATGAGCCCGTTCGTCCAGTCCCCTTCAAGAGACCTAAGACTCCGGTTGAGCGCATCTCCCACGAGGAAAGGTCTTTGGTGACCAGCCGTCGAGCACAAGCGCCGGCTCTTCAGCCAGGATCAAGAGAGCGACAGTCCCATCACACCGGTGTGAGAAGCTACCACTCTTCCCGCCGCATCAACTCAGACGGCTCTGGTGGTCTCCTCAGTCCGCAGGGCGCTTTGATTCGTCTGTCGCGGTCGACTCGCCCCGAGGCTCTCCGTCTTGGCTTCGGTGACCCCGGCACAGAAACCAGCAGCCCAACAGCAAAGCGCACACTTACTCGACCTGCCAAACGACGGAATTTTGGCGATGGCACTGAGTTGGAATCATTTGACGATTTGCCTACATCCACCTCTACCGAAAGCAAGTTTGTCAAGAACCCTGCCGGCAAAGGCGCTCCAAGATCTGTGCGAACCAGACTCAGTCAGAGCCGTATTACTCCGCCCATTGATTCTCCAACTCTATCCTGCACACCACCTTCAACATCCAGGTCGAACCCAACTCCAAGGTTCGCTCGCGACACCAATGCATCCCGCAATGCGAGGGAGCAACGCATTGCCTCCATGACTTCCAAGAGCCGCGACTCCAATCCGCTTGCTTCTTTCAACTCCAATTGGAAAGCGCATCCTATTACGCGTATATCCCCGAACTCAGCCCCTGTTCGGAGCCGGAAACCCAGGCCCACGACAAAATTAACATCAAAACCTCATTTAATCAAGCCCATAGGATCCGGGGTACAGGAGTCCAAATCTGTGGGGGGCATGCGATATAACCCGGCAACTTTCCTCTGGGAGGGCAATGAGAATTCGGTGCAAAATTTTGAAATTTCTAAGGGCCCCAAATCACCTAAGCCTGCTCCGGCTCTCATCACTAATGTCGGTACCATGCAAAATGTTCAGGCAGTCGGCGAAATGATATTCGATCCGCACCGCATGTGTTGGCTTAAAGCAGCATCCCATAGGCTGGGAACCAAGACGGAGTCATGCTCGAGGACGAAGATGACGTTTTCGCCGGCTTGGATGATTTAGAAGACAAGACTGTTGGGACTACAGGGCGAACATCCGGAGCACTGGACGACTTCAAGGCTCATACCGTCGGCGAAGATCCGAGTGCCGGCGAGTCCTCTGACGAAGGCCCTATTACGGAAGAATTCGATGTCGGCCCGGAGTTCATTCGACGACAACGGGCCGAGGAGGAGAAGTGGAGGCGGAAGGTGGATAGGTGGATTGAGTCTGATCACGGAGACCGCGGTGCCCCTTGGCGATGGACCATTCGTGACCTAGTGGCCGATGACACCGGATATCTCGCGGCCTAGGGCTCCTCGTGTCTCTTGCGAACCCGAACTTGCAAGGGGAGTCTCTCGGAACTTCGCTTTTGCCACAAATTATGACATACATCATGACATCCGTGCGGCTGCCCTTGGCAGTGAAGTGGAGCTTGCGAAGGAGCATGGATACACGACCTTTATGATGCGAAGACCTTTTGTTTTTACCCTTTCTCTTTTTATCTTCTTTCTTCGCTTCCCGGTTTCTCTTGGTTGGCCGTAATGAGACCGGCCTGTACGAATGCTTGGACGGTTCAAGGTAGCCTGTTTTGTTTTGTAACTATATTTTTTATTTGGATTTTAGTACATAAGTTGAACCTAATAAAATTGTGAGATGGGGGATTGCGAGGTATCCTTTTTTCCTTCTCTTCTGTTAGCCTTCCTTGGTCTCCCTTCCCACCTTGCCAATATTTCTCCTCGGGCTCAGGCTTCGTACATCGTTGACATCCCACCAACAGGGAAGATCCATGCAGCACCGCCCTCCGGGGCAATCCTCGAGCACTCCCCCTCACCCTCTCTTCCAGACGGATCCGAAACGCCTCGGAGTCGGGGCTTCCAGGGGTTAATTAGATGCAAAGAGAGAATGAGAAAGGAAAGGCCCTCTCCGGGGATTTGGCTCACTCATCATGATCGGGAAGCAGCAGAGTGACACCGGGTGATAGATTGTATGACGCTCCGAAGCCTTCGAGCGTCCCCCTTTTTGGTTGACGACTGGTCCGGACTGACAGCGATGCGAGAGTCCGATGCCAAGTCCATCGAACACTGTGTATCACCTGTCGCGGATGAGCCAAACGCATGCAATCCTGCCATCCCGCATACTGCATTGATTGTCCATCAACGGAGACCAATCCAAATCGGCCTCTCAAACGCCACGTCAAGGGCACGCCTCGCCAGAGCTCCTTGACAGCACCTCGACCGAGGCGAAGAGGAGACCTGTGAGACACTGCGAGAGGCGCTTACTCGTCCTTCGGCCCATTCGTGCTCATCTCACTTGCGACTCACACCTTTGCAGCACGAGGGTTGCCCTGGAGTGGTGAATCTCTCCAAACCCATGTTCCTTACGGCCACGGCTACGTGCATGTTTGGACGTTCGCCGGAGCAATCTCCAGCCCGACTTTTGTTTGACGGAGGCAAACCTGCAGACACAAAGCCCTAGGTGATCGCCTCCTAGATATTTTTTCGGGGCGAAACCGGCGCCCAGAATTGTTCCGCGCAATTTGCAGGTCGGGGAGATCAGTCTCTTTCCCCCTGTGCCTATTTCGGCGTCATTTTAGCGGATGGTCCCCTACGTTCTCTCATAGGTGGCCTCGACTGACTCAACGTGGCTTTCCATGAGCTAAAGTGGTGGCGCCGGGCATCGGGGCAAGAATTCGTATCCCAATTGCTTGTGTGCGCTGTCATAGCAGTCTGCCTTTACGCTTCAAACGTTTCGGTAGGTCGAAAAGAATTCGACCACGAACCCTAGTCCCTTTCGTTTTACCATCTTTTTCTTTTCTTTTCTTTTCCTTTTCCTTTTCTGGCGGGAAGGGGGTTTTTTTTTTTTTCTTTTTTCTTTTTCTTGGGCGGCACCCAGGCCACTATCTTCCCTGCAAGCTTGGGTAATACCCTTCACGCTGTACCTTACAGAGCTTTGCTCGACTCGCCTGCCACCGTGGTTTCTTTTTTTTCTGTGGAATATTTGCTGTTCATCTTCCAGGGATGTTCTCTGTTGCTTCTGTCCACTCTTTTTCGACATGGTCTCGTGCACTCCCTTGGGCATCGGCCATGTCCTGCAAGATTCACCTGGGGGCTTGCGGGTCCTTTTTAATGCAATTGCTATCCCGTTGATTTTGTTCATGAATTTCACGGTCTTTCAAAATATTTCTCGTGATCTTTCCTAAATCACACGTGCTTCTTACAGCTCCAAGGTTTTTCAGCCAGCTCGTTGTCAACCCCCTCCGCCATTGTGTTCCACTTCTCAAACCCAGTTCGTTCGTTCATCTGAGAAGCTCAGAAAGGGCGTTCTTGACCTCGAGAACGGTGGGTATTGAGTTCTCATTAACAACAGAAAACAATGGGCAGTTTCGCAAGACGCAATGACGGGGCCGACAGCTATCTCGTGAATCAGCAGATGGCAGTGCCCGGTGTTTATAACCATCAAGATGGCCATGAATACGGTGCTACTGGAGCTGAACCGTACCACTTCCCCCAGCACTCTTTCAACGCTTATGTCTCTCACTTCGGACTATCTTATGGACAACAGTCGAATCTGTCTCCAGGCATGCAACATCTGCAGTATGCATCGGAGCATACGATCCCATCGATGTCTACATCAGACGACACGAGACTCCACCACCATCCGCAGTACATGGCCTCGTCTCGTTATTTGCAGTCGCCTAGATATCTTCCTCTTCGGGACGCGCTCAGTGAAACGGATATCGAGAGCCAAGAGTCTCGGAATGAAAGCACCATGCTGTCAGAGCCCGTGGTACCCTTGTTAGATGGATTTCCGGACGTGAAAGAATTTGATCGACTCATGCAGAGGTGAGCCGGTGTTTTAGTGCATGGGGCCTCCGCGTTCTCTTGACTTCGATTTCTGGGGGCCAGAAACGCTGACCCAAACTTTCTTCTGGTCAGCTATGTCGATGACCTATCGGTGAAGAAGCAAGACAAAGCCTTGATACATGCGAGAAGAGCGCGGAATATCCGAACCGTCCTGATTGATCCCAAAGACACAGCAGTTGAGTCAGCTCAATTTAGGTCAGAGTCATCCACCCGGAGCCCTCGAAGTCGAATCTGACGCTTATACAAACACAGGTTCTGGGTCAAAAAGATGTTCAAGCTTCAAACCGTTGGCATGGGTACTGCAGACGTAGGAATCTCCAATCCGACAAACGCATCAGCTTCAATTCTAACGAAGCTTATTAGTGTCGGAAAATGATCTGCCATGAGGGTAAACCAGTGGCGATTCGTGAGAAACTGTTCAAAATTCTCACCAAGGCGCATCAGCAATGTCAGCACGGCGGCCGCGACAAGACCTCTGCTCAGGTTCGGCGCATCTATTCATGGTAGGACTCGCGGTGTTATCAACCTTATAATCCCCTCCGCAACTGACACCCCAATTCTTACAGGGTTCCAAAGGAACTGATTTCTCGTTTTGTCAAGATCTGCCCGACGTGTCAGGTTCGTCGCGGAGGATCACGTCTTACACCACCCAACTCCCGGCGAGGATCACCTCGTCTTGATATGGTACCTCGATCTCCAAAGCTTCCATCCCCGCCGGTTATCAAAAGAGAGTCGTCATATGGTGGCCAAGTAGCCCTAGATCGGGCACAACCCGACTATTTTGGCCAATTGCATGGTCATGGCTGGATAGACGGGCATCAGAACTTACAGAGCCGTTCGGGTATGGGCACTGGTGTCAGATCCTTCCATGGCTCGATGAGTAACATGCCACACTCCATCACAGGCACTTTGGACCCTTTCGCTGCGGACTTATCAGTGCCTCCCTCTCAGTTAAGCTATGCAGCGGGATATGTTCCCACGCACGGCACTTCGAGCCAGCGGGATTTTTGACCACCTGCACCGATTCTTCGAAAAGACATGGGTATTCTTTGAGGCATAGAGTTTCCCCTCTATGTTTGAAAAGGACGGTACAATCTCTTGGTCGGTCTAAAAAAAGAAGGGATTATTTCGCCGGAGCATGTGCAGTTCTCGATTACTGGCCCGTGGGAAAGTGAATATGGAAAAAGAGGGAAAAGGGAGAGAACATGAAAGGGAAATAGTAGAGGTTGGATGACATGCTACAGATCACAGACAGACACTTAGTGGAAATTCGAATGCAGTAATGAAAAATTGCATCCATCCTATCTGGTACAAAAGCTGGCTTCATGCCGGAACAGAGACAGAGAGTGAGCCTCTATACGGCCAACTCAATCGTAGTGCTCGTCCACAGTGGCTTGAACAAGTTCTCAGGACGAACTGACCCCAAGAGACCATCTTATTTCACATTTCAGGCTCCGTCACTCTCCCTTCTTGGTATCCAACGACGCGAAAGCATCAATTCGTAGCTTTGAGTTCCATGAACGGGCGCTAGCGGTAGGGCGTAAAGCTAGGACATCATCATATCGAGTTCATTACTTGAAAGGCTGTCTGCAATACGTGCAGACCTAGTGGAGGACCCACAGAAAGGGCGAGCAACTATTTACCCTTGCGATAGGATAAACAAGAAATCGCCCCTCCATTTCAAATATATGCCGCTTGTCTGCATTACACAGGAAGCGAGAATCTCTTTCCTTTCAGAACTCTGGCTGGTGTGAGTGGCCATCATTGTTGCTCCTGGGAAAATTGCACTTACTTGTTGTAGTAAATGTAGAAGAAGTCCGAGTAGAGCAGGGTTTGAACGATGCCTGCAATAATAGGAACGGGCTGGAAGGATCGCTGAAAGGAAGCATCGGTGAAATACCGGAATATCCAATTCGGGATATAGAGAGCCCTGTACACACCAAGTGCAAAAAGGTAATGCGTTGTGATCGTGTCAGCCTCGCCTGTTCGCTGCAGCATGAAAAGTTGAGGCAGGATGGCGACAGATTCCAGCCAAATAGAGAACGTCCAGAGAATCTGAGGACTATTAGTGCGGGCTTCTTTTTTTCTACTTGGACGAGCGTTTAACGACCAACCTCGGAGAGACGATAGTCGTGAGGAAAGAGAAGAGCCAGAATAGCACTGATTCCAAGAAGGTACTGGACCTTGAACGTATCAATGTTTGGGTCATGGGTGGGCTTGTAGTCGTTCAGCATGAGATAAATTATGTAGCCTGAAGATCCAATGAAGAGGAGCTTAAAGGTAGTGAGATATAGCGACTCGGTGAAGGTCCAGAACAAGTCTATCGCAACATGATTCCATGTTAGTGCGCTTCGTCCAGCGGTTGAAGGGAGGTGTATGCTACACTCACCGAGATAACGAGTGACGAAGACGAGAAGATAGAGCACTTGTGATTTGAAGGACAATCCGGTACAACTCTGCGATTCCAATTAGGTGGCGCGCAACGCAGACGAAAGGAGGATGCAGCATACGCTGGACGTCTTCATCTTCTGCAGAAGAATGAAGATCGACGCGAGGTGGGAGAAATCGGCTATCTCGGTCAGTCCTGCGAAGAAACGCGGCTCAACAAATTGCTTACCTAGAAGCCTGAAGATATTCATGGTGCAAGCTGGATGGGATGTGGTGGGATAGGGGAGGTGTGAGGTGTGAGGTTGAGGAGTTGTTGACACGAAGCCAAAGCGAAGGGGTGAGTTGCGCCGCAGATCAGGAACGCGCGCCACTCGGTGGAGCCGTAGTTTTCATAGTGCATACTTCGTACTGTACTTGATGCTTGATGCTTCGTGCTTCGGGCTTTGTGCTTCTTCCATAATTCATTCTTTATTCATTATAACAGTACATCATGATTACTTGAGCCTGACGCCTTTTGAACCCCATTGATTCTCCCCCGTGACTACGCCGTGTAAATACGCAAGACAAAGATGTCCGCCAGGAAAAGTCTCTTGGAAATGATCAGAACATAATACCACCTCCGTGGCTTTCATCCGCCATTCGTTGCAGGTGCCCCTCGGCCAACTCGCTTTTAAGAGCACAAATCGAGCTTTCGCGATCTAATCGGTCCCAGTCACGGAGACTCGCCCGCTTCGATCGCTGTGTTTCCGCCATCTGCTCGAGTAGTTTCTCTTTATCCAGCTCTAGCTGTGCCAGCCGTTTTTCGGTCGGCGCATCCAAGGGCGATGGTAAAGATCTACCCCCAGGGATGACCGATCCTAGACCTGCAAGGTGATTCGGTCCCTTGAGAACTGGCGACAACGCAGCGGATGTGGAGCTATTCTGGCGAGATCCAGAGTGACGATAGCCTCCTGTCGGTACTGGAGGGATGAATGAAGCCCGTGGTCCAGAAGGCGTACTATTTGGTGCAGGTGGGGGAGGTCCGCGACCACGTCCTATCGGTACACCTGTCCAATGTACATCACGAGTGCCGTGTCCACGACGCGGACGTGTTGGTGCTGACAACAGCGACATATTGTGGGATCCGCGGTGCTGTGCAGGCGTGACCTTCGGTCCTGGATATGATCCAAAAGGCGGAGAATGGCTAATACCCAGGCTCCTCGGTTGCGTTGGGATGCTGCCACCAATTCGGACACCGCCCATCCGTTGTTGCTCCGACGATCCATTATCAGCGGAGCGACCCAGCACTTCCTGCTCTTTTCCTCCATCACCACCACCAGCAGTCTCACTATCCGGATTCGGATGGCGGTATGGAGAACGGATCGTTTGGCTCGAAGGACGGAAGGACAGTGGTGGACGAGCGGGTGATCGACTGCGGCTTCGAAGAGGAGCCAACGCTTTGCGCTCGGGATGAAGAGCCGGAGATGAGCGCCTAGACGGCACTTCCGATTCGACTGCAATGGCTGGCACTGGAGAGGCTTGCCCTGAACGTAATAAAGTCTGATCTTTGCTTAAGTCACCCGGATGCTCTCGCCGTGGGTTTTGTGAGGGGCTTTGAGAGCGCAGAGTATTCGTCCCTTGGACCCTCGGTGAAATCGCACGTCCAAGTCTTTCAATACTTGGTCCAATGGGACTGTTTCGCTTCACTACTCGAGCGTCCTGACTTCCCGGGGTTGCGTCGCGGGTCCGTCTCGGGCTGCTACGGCCTCGGGAGACATCGCGTGACCGACCTTCACTGTAGGGAGACCGAGAGCGCCACAATGTGTGAGGAGAACGCATCCTGTCTTCTCTTCGGGGAGAGGGTCTACGAGGGGGAGTCCGTCGTCTGCCGTAGAGACCGGGACCGGGACCATATCCTCGATTGTGAAAGGGGGGAGTTCGAGAACGGCGCCGAAAATCAGGTGGTGAGCGGCTTCGTGGGCGACTGTACCCTCCTCGATCAGAGGGTACCCAGGTATCTGCACGCAGAGGGCGATTTCGTGGTGGTGACCGTCGACGACTATCGAAGCCGCGAGAAGGTGATCGGCCTGGTCGGTCGGCTGGCCGATAACTTTCTCCTCCCCGACGGTCTTCAAATCTGCAAGGCTTCTGAGTCACTGTGATTTTGCATTTGATATTATAGATTCAAACCTTCTGCGATCCCAATCCATGCCAACTGGGTATGAAGCCGGACAAGCTGTGGAACCAGATGAAGCGGGCGCGCAATCTCAGAGGAGGGCCTTGCGCGGGATGACTAACAATGACCTACCATAGGGTCACTACTACAAACCTGGGTACAAAACAAACGGACTATGTCAAGATCAACGATCGACGATCAAAAAAGTCAATCTTCCATGTATTAGTTCGTCGGAGAGCATAGAGTACAGGTTTTTTGGTATCGGGATGTCCTGCCATGATACAACATAGGAAATGAAATGTGAATGACGCTATGACAAAAGTCCTCTCCAGCTTCAGCGTCAGGGTCAGCGCTTACCGCGCCGCTCTTCTTCCTTGCGCAACCTCTTACGGCTCTCCTGTGCAATCATGTCACTGAGGTCTTCCTGGAATCCCCATTGCGGTTGATTCTGTTGCTGTCTCTGTGCCTCGTACATGTTTTGAAGGCTGTCCTTGCTGAGACCATCTCCAGCTTGAATCGCATCCAGGTCGACCGATACATCCACATCGCCGGGCTTCTTGCGCTTTCGGGTTTGGTCATCGACGCCGAGGACGGGGGGGATTAGTGCGTGAAGAGGAGCCCAGATCATATGCTCGGTCGCCACCGAAAAATCCTTGGACGCTCGTCTGTCTCTCCGGGATGACTTGGTAAGCACTTCGAGGGTGAGCGGATTCCTCCGTCTCTGTACCGCGAAGATGCTTTCGGACATCGAACTCCCCAGAGATATTCTCCGTCCCCACTGGTTCAGATGGAATAGCAGAAGCTACGCCGCTGGGTGTTTCTAAACCACTTGGAGACTGTGTACCTGTTTCATCGTCCTCTTCATCCGCGTTCTCGTCTTCTTCCTCATCCTCCTCCTCGCTCTCTTCTTCCGACTCTTCAGATGCCTGCAATTCTCCCCAGAGATCTTTCTCAACTGGTTCTCCTTGTTGAACATTTTGCTGCGGTTGCAAGACTCCAAAAATATCACCTCCGTATAACGGTCGGTTATGCTCATCGACTGGTGGTTTACCATCCCCCCTGGATGATAGCCCCACATGGCACCAGGAGGAGGAGGCGCATTGAGTCCGGGAATTTTCAGTGCCGGGTAAGAAGGTGGGGGACCATAACGTTGTTGATTAATGAGCCAAGGAGGGGGGGGCACCCGGTGGCATATTGAGAGCCTCCTTTAGTTCATCGCTCAGGTCACCCGGCCGGAGATGTTTCAGGTTGGTCTCGTATTCTTTCCCCTCATAGTAGATCTCGCCGTAGCGAGTCAGCTCGGGTTTAGTTTGGAAGCGGAAGAAGGCCTCGTAGAGTTTCTGATAGTCGATGTCAAGGCGTCCCATCTTCGGCTGGACCCTCTCCCGTTGCTTTTGTTTCAGGCTGGACTGTTCTTGCTTGTCTAAGGCAGCATCACGCATCTCTGCAATCCCCGTTTCCTGTATGAACTTGGGGAGGGCGAAGGGTGCTTTTTCAACCCCTCGTTTGGACGAAAGGTATTCACGTTTGAGAGACCAATGCGAAGGAACGGGAACCACATTACGATGTGCCTTGATGTGGATCAGGAGCCGAGGATCTGATGCTGATGTATCTGTCCATTCCACGATCTCGGGTTTGCGAACCATCGCCTTCAATTCAGCAACCGATAGCTTGTTCAGTTCCTTTCGCTTCTTTTTCGAAATCTTCGGTTCACTCTCTTGATCCTCGTCTGGGATTTCATCTTCGTCATCGAAGTATATCTCAGGCTTTTCAGTTCCTTGTGCGGCAGCATCCTCGCCGGTCTCGTCAAATTTGCCGACGATGCCCTTGTACATCTCCCAGAGCGGATCGTCGAGCTCGGGGGGGGAGGCGACCGTGGCGGCAGCTGGGACATCCTTCGAATCAGAGCTAAGCTGACGTTGTTCAGACGGCGTTGCTTCGATCTTCTGAGGTGGGGCATGAGTAGCCTGGAAAGAAACACGTCAGTTTCCTGCGGTGGTAGCGATAATGTTGACTCACATCCGTCTTCTGGGCCTTCTTCTTCGCTCGTCTGAGCTGATTTTTGCTCAGTTTCATGATGCTGTTCTTGCGATACCCGCACTATCTCTTGAACGCGAGTCGCCCGGGGTTGGCGATGGCGTCTCGAAGGATGGATGAAGATTGATCGAAGTCTGATACTCGCGCCGATAAATTGCGAAGCCTCCGCGTCGTTCTGCCAGCTGTCACCGACCTCTACACGTTGATCTACCTTGATCTACCTTACGTTATTCTCAGTACTACGTACTGAACTATGAACACCAAGAGTCAATGATGTAGGTGACAATCGCAGTCATGCAAAGACTGTTGGAGTGGGAGATCATCTCCCCGTTTACCAGACTAGTAAATCGACCAGCGCATCCATGGATCGACATTGAGAACCTTCAAGACGAGAGCGCCGAAGGAAAATGGATATCTCGGATTGAGGTTTTCAGGAGTCTCAGTTTGAATTGACGAGAAATTTAATGATTTTTTATCGTACAAGTTGGGGTCAAACAATACATGAAAGCCAAAGATGCCAGGCATGGAGAATGGAGGGAGTACCAAAGTCGAGAAAACAACCCTGTCCTAATAGTTGGAGGCTAGTCACAAACCCCATACGCGACCTGGCGTGAGAATAATGATTTGGGTATTTGGTATCTGTGGGGGCTTCACAGGGCGCACGGGTTTTATTTCTTCTTTTTCGCGGATCTCGATTCTAAAGCGATGTTAGTGGACTTGATGAAACCGCAGAGTCTGGATGTATTTACCCGCTGCAGTCCGTTTCTTCTTGGGGCGACCCTTTCCGCGAAGCTTGGCACTATTTCAAGAGATCAGCATCGAGAGCATGGGAAAGACATGAGGGACAAACATCTGAATCGCTTCCTCGCGATCGTCCTCCGCCTCGTCAAAGGTCGTCAAGCCAAGGGGTTTGTATGTATTTTGGAGATCGCGGAAGGAGACGGTCTTTTGCGGATACCATGCTGCGAGCGCCGGGCCACGAAGCCGCTGCCTGAGAATCTTATTGCCAAGTCGAAGCCTCTGCGGGTTGAAGTTAAGGGAGAAGATGCGGCATTGTGCCTATGACGGAAAAGGGGAATAATGTTAGCGCGCGTCTCTTCTTCATTGGGCTTAGATTGCACCTTGACTAGATCCAAAATGCGGCCTTGAGACATTTTCGCGATTCAGAAGTGTCAGTTCATGGCGGATGATGAATCGTTAAAGGGTCGGAGGCTTTCGCGTGAAGATCATGTGACTCTGCATGGGACCCACTTGGGCTCCACGATCTTCTTGACTTCAAACTGTCGACCTCAGCATTCAGACGATACCATGGGAGCCAAGAGATCGGTCATACCAGGAGAGTCGTCCATCTTGTCTGTCAAGCGATCCAAGGTAGGAAACTGCCTGCCGCTTAGGTATTGCCCTTGAGTCGTCTGGTCCGACTGACACTTTCTAAGACCCATCATGAAGCACGGCCGCCTCGTCACGAACATGAGGCCGACAATAAAGACCAGCTGCAGATATCCACCCCCAACTCTCGCTTGTGGCTCCTGAGGCAACTTGTTCAGAATGTGGTAAATGAACCTGAGCTTACTGCGGTCGATTCGGAACTTTCGAAGGCAGTTTCCACGCTAGACGATGCTTTTCACCGTATCGAAGGGCTTGTCTTTCCTAGCGATGGCACATCTAATACCTCAAATATGTCAAAAGCATCTCATACGACAAATGGCGCCGAAGATAATGGATCTCAGGAACCTGTTCTACCGCACATTCTAGATGACCGGTTGGAAAGATCGGTTTTCACTCATCCGGCATGTGGAAACAATAGCGATTCAACCTATGACCGGCTTGAGATACTGGGTGATGCATACATTGAGTTAATGGCAACCAGACTGATCTGGGGGAAGTTTCCAGGTATTTCATCCGGTCGGATTTCCCAAATCCGCGAGCTTCTTGTCAAAAACGAGACTCTATCGGCATTTGCAGGGGTGTATGGGTTTGATCGGAAGATCTCAGTGCCAGCCAATTATTCAGACCAGGAGAAACGGTGGACCAAAATAAAAGGCGATGTCTTCGAGGCATATGTAGCCGCCGTCATACTTTCACATCCCATCGATGGCTATCATATTGCTGAAAAATGGCTGACACAGCTGTGGTTACCGAAACTGGACGCTTTGGGCCATCAAAAGGCCGAACTTCGCTATAAGGAAATTTTGGCCAAGAAGGTCATGGGGAAAGGCACAAAACTGGAGTACAAGGAAGAGAAGCGAGCAATTGACCATAAGGGTAGCGGCACACAGACATTCTTCATCGGTGTTTACCTGACAGGCTGGGGAAAATGGAAAAATGTGCATTTAGGCTCTGGACAGGGCTCGAGCAAGGTTGCAGCAGGCGATGAGGCCGCAAGAGATGCACTCTCGACAAATTCTTCTTTAATTTCGAATATTGCGGCGGCAAAAGAAGCCTCGAAAGCAAAAAACTGAATATTCTTATTCTTCATCCAGTGAGGCATAATACTGTATGTAACATGTGTAAAGAGGTCTTGCATGATGTCGCGGGTTCAAGATATCATAAGTAGTGGCTGTCTTAGACAAGTAAACCGCCTGTGAGCCAGCACCGATCACCATTTGAGGGACGTTATGGAATAGCTAGTAGGCATGGATGAATGGGTTGACAGACGCAGACCTGTCCGCTGGGAGGCCAATTTACACGCATAACACAAACCTGGCAGCTAGAAAATCTATATTAAGAGCTTAGGCTATGATACAATTTGTTTCTCGGTCTTTGCTATCTAGATTGTATCATCCCCGATCACGGCGTTTTTGGTAGAATGACCGGACTTATCGAACTCTTAGCCTATGATCTTTATTTAATATGAATGTCTATAATAAGAACAAGCTTTCTCGCGGCTTTGATCGTTAACTGTGGGGGTGTTGTACTTCCCCCTTACGCAAGTTACGCGTCATTTCTAGTGGCTTCTTATAAGAATGTTCTTTATTAGGGTACTTTATATCCTAGTAACCTCGAATGTTAGCGGATAGGATTGAAGACCGATCTGTGTAATTTGTATTCAATTTTGTATTTCATAATATGTTCTTTAGCTTAGTATGTATTGAAATAGGGACCGACTTGATAACAGTTTCGTAATGAAGGCTAGGCAACACTAGTATAAGAACGCACGTCTACTCCTAGGCTCTTTCAGAGATAGTCTAGAAGGTTTTTCTGGAAGACGCACTACCTTATAACCCTAAATCGTATATTATTAATCAAAAATAATGGTAAGACTGAACTGAATTGGGTGATTACTTGATCTATCTCTGTTGGACTAAAAGGGTAAAGCTACCACGAAGCAGATCGTGGCCCCTTAAGTCCGTGGGATCAACCTTAGTCCGGCTAGGTCAGTCGGTGCCAGACAAAGGAAGAAGGTCAAAGGTCGTAGGATAGACTATAAGCAGATATAGCCTAAACGAAGGCAGAACCACAGTCCTGAGGATCAAAGGAAGAAGGTAGAGATGACTTTGGAAAGTGGAAAATGACTTCAGGAAAGTAGAACTGACTTGATTCTATCTGCTAGAAAAGAAGGACGTATTTATAGGCTAGGATAGCCTAGAAATGACGTCTAGAATAACATACAAATGACGTACAAACACTAGGCAGCAACATAATCAAGGTGGCAAAGAAGGGAACCGAAGAGAAGCGAAAAGAATGATATCAAGGATCGACGGTCTAAGCCACCCCGAAAGCACCCCCGCAGGATCAGGCTATGCATGCCTAAAGGTGGACGGGTCCCATTTTACCCCTAAGGGAAAGTGGTCCGCCTATCCTTAAGGGGACCGAGGGTCGAAGTCTGTTCACCGAGGTCCGAAGACCATGGTCGAAGTCCGCGGGCAAGGCATGCCCGAAGGCACCCCCGAAGGAACGGACCATTCATGCCTGAAGGCGGACTATTTACCCCTAAAGGAAAATATTCCCGCCTATCGTTTGGGGGAGGGCCGCGGACCAGAATCAGAAGTGGTCAAAACATCATTTTGATAGAAGAAAAATCTGGTCATGTGATCAATGCAATCTGGTCTTATATGTTGAATATAAGAGTAGATCTTTCTATGTAGCATTGGTCTATATTCCAATGGATAGTCCTTATCTTAAGGTCTAAAGTTATAAATTTAGGGTTTATTTTAACGTATTCTCTTTTTCTAAGTTACTTAAAAATTAAATATAAGCGAGATATATATTTAGTCTATCTTTAATATAATTTAGGCGATATAGCAAAATTTATAGTACCTATAATATTAAGATCTTAATCCTAAGTATAGTATATTTTAGTCTTAGTTAAGGGTTGTTGGACTAAAAAGGTAAAGCTACCACGAAGCAGATCGTGGCCCCTTAAGTCCGTGGGATCAACCTTAGTCCGGCCAGGTCAGTCGGTGCCAGACAAAGGAAGAAGGTCAAAGGTCGTAGGATAGACTATAAGCAGATATAGCCTAAACGAAGGCAGAACCACAGTCCTGTGGATCAAAGGAAGAAGGATAGAAGAAGGTAGAGATGACTTTGGAAAGTGGAAATGACTTTAGGAAAGTAGAACTGACTTGATTCTATCTGCTAGACAAGAAGGACGTATTTATAGGCTAAAGTAGCCTAGAAATGACGTCTAGAATAACATACAAATACTAGACAGCAACATAATAAAGGTGGCAAAGAAGGGAACCGAAGAAAAGCCAAAAGAATGATGTCAAGAATCGACGGTTTCAGCCACCCCGAAAGCTTCCCCGCAGTATCAGGTTATGCATGCCCAAAGGTGGACCATTTTATCCCTAAGGGAAAGTGGTCCGCCTATCCTTGAGGGGACTGAGGGTCGAAGTCTGTTCACCGAGGTTCGAAGACCATGGTCAAAGTCCGCAGGCAAGATATGCCCGAAGGCACCTCCGAAGGAACGGACCATTCATGCCTGAAGGCGGACCATTTACCTCTGAAGGAAAATGGTCCTGCCTATCATTCGGGAGAGGGCCGCGGACCAGAATCAGAAGTGGTCAAAATATCATTTTGATAGAAGAAAAAATCTGGTCACGTGATTAATACAATGCTGATCTTATATGTTGAATATAAGGATAGATCTTTCTTTGTAGCATTGGTCTATATTCCAATACTTCCTAAATAGCATACTAGACGACCCTGTTTATATTGCCTTCCCCTAAGGATACGGCCGCAAACACTACGTTCTACGGCTTAATAAAGCCCTATATAGCCTAAGGGTAGCGCCTATCCTATGGCAGTAAGAAGTCCTTCAGAAACTGGCCCAGTTTGGATTCGTGCCTATTCCTGAAGACCCGTGCCTATTTGTCTATAAAAATGTCGTTTTAATGATATTTGTGGACGATATCTTGGTTATCTTCCACCGAAGGCACAAACATGAAGCCTATAAGCTTAGGGACAAGCTTATGCAAGCCTATGAAATGAAAGACCTAGGCGAGGCAACGAGGTTTATAGGCATTCGAATCACCCGCGATAGGGCCACGAAAAGGCTATGGATCTCCCAGGATGCCTATATTGAGAAAATTGCGCATCGATTCCATATAACGCCTTTGAAACCGGTTAAAACGCCATTTCCACCCTCGCCGCTCCCCGCTCCACCTTCGGACCACTAGGCTTCCCCAGCTATGATTCATCTCTATTAGCAGAAGATAGGATCATTACTTTATGCCACAATTATGACTCGGCCTGATACCGCAAAAGCTACCCAAATGCTTTCGGAACACCTCACGAACCCTACCGATCAGCATATGGACGCTGCAGACAAAGCCATAGCCTATCTATACTATACTAGATATAAGGCTATAGAGTATTCCCCTATGCTAGACGGTCCTACCTTCGTATGTGCAAGCGATGCATCCTATGCAGACAATATCGGACGAAAGTCATCAGAAGGCTATATAGCCTATTTATTTAATGGTCCGATAGACTGGATTGCACGGAAGCAGAAGACGGTGACGATATCAACGACAGAAGCCGAATTGCTTGCTATTTCATTAGCCAGTAAGTATGTGATGTGGTGGAAACGTCTCTTTAGGTCTATAGAACTAGACCTAGACCAGGAAAGGCTTAGTGTTATTTGTGACAACAAACAGACCGTGGACCTCCTTACTAAGGTCAATTCTTTGTTCCGCACAAAGCTTAGGCATATTGATATCCACCACTATTAGTTACGACAAAAAATAGTGGCCGGAAACATCGATATTGCCTGGATTGAGACCAATTCTATGCCTGCGGACGGTCTGACCAAGCCTTTGCCTTATCATAAGCACCAGCGGTTTATCGATTATCTAAATATGACCGATATCCAAGACAGAATTGTCGAAATCTAGATCTATGAGACTATATACGCATAGGCCTAATTCTATGCCTTATTTAGCTTATAAGTTCTGATAAGCTGAAGGGGGTGTATTGGAATATAGACCAATGCTACATAGAAAGATCTATCCTTATATTCAACATATAAGACCAGATTGCATTGATCACGTGCCCAGATTTTTCTTCTATCAAAATGATGTTTTGACCACTTCTGATTCTGGTCCGCGGCACTCCCCCAAACGATAAGCGGGACCATTTTCCTTCAGAGGTAAATGGTCCGCCTTCAGGCATGAATGGTCCGTTCCTTCGGAGGTGCCTTCGGGCATATCTTGCCTGCGGACTTTGACCATGGTCTTCAAACCTCGGTGAACAGACTTCGACCCTCAGTCCCCTCAAGGATAGGCGGACCACTTTCCCTTAGGGATAAAATGGTCCACCTTTGGGCATGCATAACCTGATACTGCGGGGAAGCTTTCGGGGTGGCTGAAACCGTCGATTCTTGACATCATTCTTTTGGCTTTTCTTCGGTTCCCTTCTTTGCCACCTTTATTATGTTGCTGTCTAGTATTTGTATGTTATTCTAGACGTCATTTCTAGGCTACTTTAGCCTATAAATATGTCCTTCTTTTCTAGCAGAAAGAATCAAGTCATTTTCCACTTTCCAAAGTCAGTTCTACTTTCTTCCTTTGATCCTCAGGACTGTGGTTCTGCCTTCGTTTAGGCTATATCTGCTTATAGTCTATCCTACGACCTTTGACCTTCTTCCTTTGTCTGGCACCGACTGACCTGGCCGGACTAAGGTTGATCCCACGGACTTAAGGGGCCACGATCTGCTTCGTGGTAGCTTTCCCCTTATGCTCCAACAGGAAGGCATTTACTGTATCCAATTGTATGGTTTCAAGGTCAAATGCAGTAATAATAGCAAGAAGAGTCCGAAGGGTTCGTGTAGCAAGGGTAGTAGCCCTAGTTTCGTTATTGCGGTCAACTTAGAGATCTCCGCGGACATAAATTCTAGCCTTAAATTTGGATAAATAGCCGTTTTCATCCACTTTATAGGTAAATACCTATCTTAAAGGCAGAATTTGATGCTTAGGGCATCGATAAGGCTTGATAGACCCTTTGTATGATTTATGGTCTTCCTCAATAGTCTTTCGCTTCACGGGAGTCTATGCATTCATATTCTTAAGCTTCTGATATTCGACGTCTGCGGCTTACATGAACTTAGCTTTATAAGGATGATTAAGCATTTCTTCCTATGATTCCGGGGAGGGGGAAGGTTATCTTAATGCACCTTCTTAGGCTGATCCTTTATTGCCGCAGAGAATGTATTATAGAAGGAAGCGAAGGCTTGCCGCTTATTTGAAGAATTAGGCGAGGGAGATCTATCCCATTTAGGGTGGTCATATTGATTTAATATTTCCTCGTCATAGGAAGAGTTATCAATTAAGACCATAAAGTCAGGTGATTGGTCGGAAACACGTGCATCCGGGGTAAGGTCTTCGGCCGGAATAGTGATTCGGGACAATAAAGAAGGTTCAGAGGGAAGTGAGGCGTTTTCGACTTCTTGAGTGAGGATAAAGTGAAGGGTCATTTACTCTAAAACCGCCCGAATAAGGTGCGTTTTCAGTACCGTTTAGAGTAAGGTTATCCTCACTTTCGCATTGGTTTTACCTTACTTCTTCTTCTCCTTCTGATTCCTCCGGGGAAGGCGGTAGGTCGCCGAGGATTTGGTCTTAGTAGTCTATATCCTCATTTTTATCTTCCTCGGTGTCGTTATTAGACAATTAGTCTGTTTCGTCCGGTAAAGGCTATATCGTTAATAGATTATCGAGAGGCTCATCAATACTAGCCTTGGTGATGACTAGGTCGAATTCTGGTATCGACAAAGGCTCGATAGCTTCTTTTGATTAGTCGTCTATCACATCGTACGCCGTATTTAGTTGGTAGAAGCTAGCCTCATCGAATACACAGTCTCTTGCATTAATGACCTTATGGGCCTTAGGCACCCAGATTCTCTATATATTGGATGCTTTGAAGCCGACAAGGTAGCCTATCATTGCTCTAGGCTTCATCTTTGCGAGACGAGGGATATTATTGATCCTCACGAAGGCTTTACAGCCATAGACCCGTAGATTCGACAAATTAGGCTTTGGTTTCATATAGCCTGGTTTGGGGTCTAGGCTATCAAATAAGGCCTAATAGGGTGTCTTCTATCCTAGTTATTTGTTCGAGGTTCGATTAAGCACATAGACCGCGGCTTGGACTGCTTCAGGCCATAGATATTCAGGTAAGGATACCTAAATAATTATAGCCCTAGCCCTTGAGATAATGACCGCACCAGACCTTTCTGAAAAGGGGTTTTGCTCTGGTTGGTAGGGCGGTAAGGTAATAACCTCAATTCCTTGAGTTCGAAGCCTATCCTGGTGGATATTACGGTCCCCGTCTAGGTAGATACGTTTGATGCGAATGCCGAATTAGGTAAGGACGAAATCAATCATTTGCTGCAATAATAATTGGATTAGGTGTTTCCGTGCAATGGTGACTAATAGGTGGTATTTCGTCACTGGACAATACGTATGGCTTGCATAGAGGATATTGTTGATTCCAGGGCCTAAATGAATAAGGTCCCAATGCAAGGTTTCGAACGGTTGGTCTCCAATATGCATAGGTCGTCTAGACACCTGTCTTTGAGCCTTAGAGATAAGGCATGTCTCGCACGGTTGTTTTTTGGCCGAAAAATGGTCTATAACCACCCCCGTGGTAGAGGCTTCGAGATGCTTAACCGTATCGAGGCTAGGATGCCCTAGACGCTGATGCCATAGGCTGTCTGAGCCTTTAAGGATAGGCGAGTCGTAGGATAATACTAGGGCCATAGGCTCGTAGATATCGTCTTCAGGGTCAGATTCCTCCTGTATAGGCTATATAGGCTTCATAGTGGTGTTGAAGGCTGTCTGAGGTGGAAGCGAAGGGGAGTCGGGGGGAGGTCTGATCCTCATATATAGACTTATTCTGATACCCTAGAATAAGGGTGATGCCTGTGTCATCCGAAGTCTTGCAAATAGGCGTCCCATCTTCTGTTTTAAGCCTATTAAGCCTCTGATTATGGTAAACACCCCCTTTCTTGGCCCTCTTTGCTGATAGGATGTTCAAATGGAAGCGTGGAACATATAAGGTTTCATAGAGGTCAAAAGTGGTGTTTTAGAAGCGTAAATAGACTAAGCCCTTCCCTTTTATAGTGGCTTTTGTGTCGCCGACTAAGAGGTCTCCTTCATAGGGCGAAAAGGTGACGAATTAGGAACGATCATTGCAGATATAGGTGTCTGCGGCCGAGTCATATACCCACACATTAGGCCGTGTATGCCTAGAAGCTAGGCAGGTAACCATACCTATAAGAGTGTCGGACTGGCCCTGCTGACCTTGATACTTTTTGATAGTATTGTCGTAGGCTTATTTAAAGCCTGAATAGGTGCATACTTATTTAAAGCGGTCAAGGACGGTTTGGTCTGGTTTCCAACCTTCTGGCCTAATAGAGGGGTTGATATAAGGACAATCACTGAATGTGTGGTATCTATTATAGGCGCCCCCTTGGCATAGACAGGGCTTCTTAGTCTTCTTGCCCTAGCCCTTATCTGATTGTCCACGGAAGGTTGCATAGACATTAGAAGGTCGTTTAGGCGGTATAAGCCTAATAGAATCCCTATACCTCTTTGTTAAGGTAAAGAAGTCTATAGAGTCTATCTGGCCTATAGATTCAAGCCGGTTGATCTCATTATGCCAGTATTCGGCAAAGGAGGGAGACATAGAGGCTAGGCCATCTAGGAAGTCCAAAAGTGGTCTAGTCTTTGATTGGACTTCACCAATGCCTAATTGGACAGCCTCTACGTAGGTATTCTCGCATTGCGAAATCCATGCATCTATAGTCAAAGAATACGGGATTCGGCGCATTTGATAGTATTTCTTGATAACCGACCGCTTTCGGGCTTCAGTGGTTGGTGCATAGCGCTTTTGAAGGGTTTGCAAGGCTTCATAGACCGTCGGTAGATGCTGAATAATAAGCTTGCTTGAATAGGAGATCGATAATTAGACGATAAGGTAAATCTGAGAGATAGCACCCGAAATACGGTCATATTCGCGAAGGTCAAGCTCATAATCTCTTCGTCTGTCTCTCCACCTTTCACGCTCGTTTATGGTCAGGTCTTCATCGGTAAGGGCTTTAGGGTTAATATCAGTAACCCTAGGACGAATAGGATAAGAAGGAATATCCCTCTTTATTAGATTATTAGGGTCAATATAGTCCTATATACCTTTTGCAATAGCATAAGACTTAATTTGACCAATCCAGAGATACCAGTCTGATGACTCAGACAAGGTAATACCTATCTTGCTTATATCAGATATTATAGGCAAGAAGGTAAAGGCAAAGTGAGAGAAAAGTGAGAGCGAAGTGAAGACGAAGTGAGGTCGAAGTGAGAGAGAAAGAAGATCGTCTATAGGCCACAGACTAGGCCTAAAAGAGGAGGAACGTCGTCGATAGCTTTAGATCACAAGTCTTATAACTATCGGGTATAAGACCGCAAGTCAAGAAGTCGTCGATAGCTTTGGATCACAAGTCTTATAACTATCGGGTATAAGACCGCAGCAGAAGGACTAGTCTTCAATAGAAGACCGCAATAGATATCAAAGGGAAGCGAGATCCGGGCTCATAACTGTTGGACTAAAAAGGTAAAGCTACCACGAAGCAGATCGTGGCCCCTTAAGTCCGTGGGATCAACCTTAGTCCGGCCAGGTCAGTCGGTGCCAGACAAAGGAAGAAGGTCAAAGGTCGTAGGATAGACTATAAGCAGATATAGCCTAAACGAAGGCAGAACCATAGTCCTGTGGATCAAAGGAAGAAGGATAGAAGAAGGTAGAGATGACTTTGGAAAGTGGAAATGACTTTAGGAAAGTAGAACTGACTTAATTCTATCTGCTAAACAAGAAGGACGTATTTATAGGCTAGGATAGCCTAGAAATGACGTCTAGAATAACATATAAATGACGTACAAACACTAGGCAGCAATATAATGAAGGTGGCAAAGAAGGGAACCGAAGAGAAGCGAAAAGAATGATATTAAGGATCGACGGTCTAAGCCACCCTGAAGGCATCCCCGTAGGATCAGGCTATGCATGCCTAAAGGTGGACGGGTCCCATTTTACCCCTAAGGGAAAGTGGTCCGCCTATCCTTAAGGGGACCGAGGGTCGAAGTCTGTTCACCGGGGTCCGAAGACCATGGTCGAAGTCCGCGGGCAAGGCATGCCCGAAAGCACCCCCGAAGGAACGGACCATTCATGCCTAAAGGCGGACCATTTACTCCTAAAGGAAAATGGTCCCGCTTATCGTTCGGGGGAGTGCCGCGGACCAGAATCAGAAGTGGTCAAAACATCATTTTGATAGAAGAAAAATCTGGTCACGTGATCAATGCAATCTGGTCTTATATGTTGAATATAAGGATAGATCTTTCTATGTAGCATTGGTCTATATTCCAATAAGGGTTAATTTATATATATTATTTAGGTTATTTAGATTATAGTAGCTATAGCTTCCTTAAAAATATAAGGAATTTAGCTAGGTCTTTAAGGATTATTAGTCTTTATATTATTAGGGGGTATTATCTCTTCGCTAATTATATATTCATTTAGTTTATATAAGATATCTTAGTAAGTATTAATACTATTAGGTTTTATTAATAAATTAATAATATTTCTTAGCTATTTAGAGTAAGTTCTAAAAATATTTTATTTTATTTATTATTATATTATATATTTTTAATGATTATTTTTTAGGGAGATATTCGCTTATATAATAATAAAGGGCTAAGTCAAGCTTAGAGTAATTAAATATTATATTATTCTTTTTACTTTTTTATTTAAAATATTATTTTAGATTATCAAAATAAATATAAAATTAATTTAGGTTATTTTATAGTCTTTAATATACTTAGCTAAGGCTAATATTTATAACGTGGTCGGTAAACGAGTGACGCATGTAAGCGAGTGACGCACCCCAAAACACTATAGTAAATGCAACAATGTATCTCAACAACAATAAGCTCATTCTTCTCAATATACATCATTCTACTGAATTAGTGCATTAAAAGTCTGGTAAAGAAAGCCTGGTTTAGTTTAATCCTAATTTGACAACTTTTACCAAAAATACACTGTAATTTTGGTGGTTGAGCTTTAAGGATATGTTATCTGACCACTACTTCCTAAAACCCTTTGAGACTTTCAAAAAACATTAGAATTAACTTAAATAATATACGCTTATGAGGAAGTCTTACGAGAAGCTATGGTTGTTGAGATATAAGGTTGTGATTTATCCCATTTACTATGGTGTTTTGGGGTGCGTCACTCGCTTACATGCGTCACTCGTTTACCGACCACGTTATTAGCTTACAAGATATCTATATTATATAAGAGAGTAATTATTTAGTCTTTAAAAGCTATTTATAAGCTTTTAAGGTCTTAAATTTTTTTATAGACTTTATATTTATATATTATAGTTATCTTTAATAATAGTTATATTTTATTATTATAATATTAGCGAGTATCTTTTTTTTAATTAATAAAATACTATTTTAGGTTAGCTTTAAATTAATGTCAGATTTAGAATTTATTTCTAATATTTTTATAGATTAAAACCTCTTAGAAAAAAGGATATCTTTAATTTTAATACCCTTCTTATTATTATTTATAGTTAATTTATTTTTATTATATAGCTAAGCCCCTATTAAAATTAATATAGTTTAGTCCCCTTTAAGCTCCTAAATATATTTAAGAATACGGATTTTCTTATTAAGATATTTAATTTAGTCTTTAATAATTTAGCTATTATTTTAGGGTTTCCTATAAGTCACTTAATATCTATATAGGTCTCTTAGAAATAATTTATATTATAATAGATCAGGAGAAATTAACTTAGGTTAATTTAGTTCCGAGATTAAATTAATAATATCCCTATACTAAAATATAGTAGTAGCCTTATATAATATAAGCGTATTATTACTTTTAATAATAATATAAGAGCGAAGGATATAATTATTATAAATATAATTCCTTAAGTAAACGATAAAAAAAATTAGAATTATAAAGAATCTATATATTTAGGGTAAAAGGACTATTAGTTAGGTAAGGAAGGATATCTAGGTTTAAGTCTAATATTAAAAGAAGTAAGACTAATTCTTACTAAGTCTAAGTTACCTGGAAACCCTCTTAAATAAAGTACGAATTAGGTCCGAGACTCGCTTATTACACTACGGGGTAAACCTTCACCGTTAGTCCTTGGTATTCCTTTATATAATCGGCTTTATTTTTTAGCTATATTATAGTTCCTTTTATTTATGTTTTATTATGAATCTATCTGAGTAACTTGAAATGTACTTTTGAGGTGATTGAATTATGTTTGATTTAAAGTTTATTTCGATAAAACTGATCTCCTACTTTCCAAAAGGAACTATGTGAGGAGTATATTTTATTAGTATTGATTTAACTACTATAAACGCTAATATTTATAAGATACCTTATATAGATAAGGATACGCTTATTCAGTAGATTCTATTCATAGATAACTATAATATAGCCTACAGGTATATTATAGTATATAGAACGGCCAATATTCTTCTTATAGTAATTAAATCTATTATAGTTAGCGTAAACTAGTTTTAGAAGCTATATTAAGCGTTCTCTAGATATCTAAACATAATCGTTATAAGAGAGTTACGTATTTAGGGTATGAGGTCTATCGGTTAGGTAAGAGATATCTAGACTAAAGATTATATATATATAAAGTAAGACTAATTTTTACTAAGTCTAAGTTTCCTTTATTCCTATCTTTTTTAAATATAAATTAAATATAGAAATTATTCTATAATAGAATAGTTCTTATCGCTAGTTTTTAGATTTATTATTGTCTCCCTCTCTAAAGGTAATAGGCTCCGAAAATAGTTACAGGTTTTTCTTAGCTATAATCTATTATAAATTTAGTTTTTATTTTTTCTATTCATTTCTTTATCTTTATAATCATTATTTACCTTAATTAATAGATTCCTTTCTATATCTCTTAGCTATTATCTTTCAAAGGGTATTTCTTTAAAGCTTTATTTAGTATATATTTTGTTTTTTATTATCTAAGGGACTAAGATAGCTAATGTATATTCTTAGTTATTTATATCTATAATATGTCAAATTCTTTTCTAAAATAAGATTATATCTATGCTAATCATCTTTACGCTTTAGTTTATCTATTCTTTTTATTTATTTCTCTGTTACTCTTTAGAAGCTCCCCTTAAAATATAAAGTAACTTTGTTAATATAGTTAATTTATTTTAATATATTATAAATATCAA